GAAGTATTGACCAGGGTCCTTGTCGCCCCCACCTAGCAGGCCTTGCTGCAGAGTTCGGGGGAACCAAGCTCCCACTTTGCTCTGATCACTTCCATCGGAGTTGGGCCCGGCTCTAAAGATTTTCCTCTGTTTCATGAACCCGAAGATTAATAATAGAAACGGGTGAAAAAGGAAACATGTTCGGAAGTTGTAGCCGTTGGGCTACCTTACTTCCTCGCCTTAAAGACTTCCGAACAGTCCGAATGGCAATGGAAGTAGACACGATATGCTGAGCCACTTGTCGCGTGATGCATGGCATGAAAGATGCTTTCATCTTTGAATGGGGACTCGTCACCGCTACATGGGCTTCAATCATTCGACCTATTGCCGAAGCTTTTTCAATCTATCCTTCCACCCGGGCAAGTTAAACTTCGCCTCATCGTGTTGGTGATTTTCCAAACTGCATGCTTGTCTTCCATGTATTTCTTGCATAGAAGGATTCTACCAAATTACGTACTATTCCCAATATGGGTATATTCACGTAAACAAATTCCCAAAGACAGCTTTTCTTTGATTGTCATCGTTGCCTATAGTGATATTGGAAAAATTCCAGTATCAATATGGAGTACTCCATACAAAACTCATCATTGTTTGCTTTTCAAGGCACTTGGGCCTCCACTGCAGGTATGACTCGTGGCCGATCCTTCCGAGCTTGCAGATTCAACCATTCACCTTCTATATCTTGAACACGGTGAATGGAGATCTCTACAGAGTACATCTTCCTGATTTCCTGATCATTTCATTGCAATGTGATGGCCTTCCCCCTCCCGGCTTCCCCCTCATCCACCCCTCCATACTTTAGCTTCATATACTTGTTGCCCAAGCATGATGACGTCGCAGAGACCCAGTTTTTTTCCATTTCCCTTTTGGCGCGGATTTCTCACCGGCTTTTCTGGATGCCCCGATGCCCCGCCTTTGGGCTCGCGTGGCTAGTATTAACTGCATATCCATATTCTGTCGTACATCGCTGATACTCTGGGTATCGTTCCTGTTACAAGGAAGTGTTACAATAATGGTCCCACTAGTAAGAAAGTTTTCCAGCCCCTTGGGTCCCGTTGGCCCCTTCTGCTGGGTCGGTAGTTTACCGACTTTTGGATAGGCTCGATGCATGCTTAAGAAGATCTAGGAGATGCCAAAGCTGGGGTAGAATTGAGATGAAAAACATAGATATTTCCAAGATGCAATAGAACGAATTCGATGATTTCAAGTTAGGTATCGAGTATGGATAAATTCATTGTTTTCTTATTGCCGAATAATTCGGAATAAAAATTACAATGAAAGAGCACCCGTGGAGTTGAGGCGATTTTCTGTTTCTCCCTTAAGCGATCGGCCGCAAAGCGGGTCTAGCGACCCAGAGTGTCGGTGAATTAGATGACAAGCTCAGCTGATGAGAAGTATTCGAGAAGACTTGCTGGCTCCATAAAATAATATACAGAGCTCCACGGGGATACCTTGGTAATACCCAAATTTGGTCCTTGGAAGATCATCACCTTCCCCAATACGGAGTCCCCGCCCAAAAGGAGACAAAAATCAAATACAATAGCACCCCTGTTTCATCGAATGTACGTGTCCCATAGAAAACTAATTTTTCAGGAATCAGATTCTTCAAGATGCGATCTGAACTGTCTGCCTAATCAGGATTCAAAATGTGACCTGCCACTTGGCGTGCCTCGGAGTTAGCAGGCACGTTAACCGACCCATAGTGATGGATACATTGAAGGATGAATATTTTACGTGGCCTACTTAGAATCTAAGGTACCAATAGTCTGGTTGATAGACAGGCTTCTTCAACGGTTTGAAGGGTATCACTGGCGATACCGCATGTCAATAGTGTAGTAGGTCCTGGTCTCAATCTTTTATTGGATGCCCTCCCACACCACACCGCATCTCTGGGAATTTTGGAAACAAAAATCAAGATGAAGGAGAAAGTTAAAGAATCAAGTCGGAGCACTTGAGAATTAAAGAGGTATTTATGACATCCCAGTCTGAAGTGTACAGCCCTATTCCACAAGATCATGATATGAGGTTCACATCAAGTTCGGATTAATGCAAGACGGGCTATCCCCCATTGTTTGTAATTAATTGTTTTATGCCTTGCAATGCAGGGAAAGAAGAACAAAGAACCATCAGTAGGATCCACTGGTCCTTTATTCCAGACAAGTATTTATTTTTGAATTTTAATTTTATCATTTTTTTTCCCTTACGGAGGAGTACACAAAGAATACGGAGAAGTCCATCCGGTATAATAATATTATAGGCTGTGACAACGTCGGGGAAGGCGACCCTTTAGTCCCGACAAAGGAGAGTTCAGCTCATCTCCCGTCTTTTCCAGGTAAAATATAGGTTGTCCAAATGTCTCCAGTATGTGGAGTGGTAAGAGAGAAGCGGCTGGGTACTTTTGCGCATTTACTCCGTGACACTACTCCGTGAATCGTGGGTCAAAATGAAAGATATGACGAGACTCTTGTGATTTATCTTTTTTTTTAGGTCAAGAAGAAAAAAAAGAGTCGAGATTCTAGATTGTTTACAGAGATTTTATTATTTATTTTATTTTTTTACTTTTTTAATTCTAAATTAATCCTCGATCTTTCTTAGTGTGTGCCCCTCCAAAGTTCGGGTCTCGGGGAGGCGCAGGCGGACAGCAGAAGATGTTAGATCTATCATCTCACTAATTCGCACTAAAACCACCCCTCCAGGTAAGTCGAAGGCAAAAGGACCAAAAAATTCATATAAGCCGATCATCCTTGCCTTACGGCATACGAGAGAATCTTGTTAGCGCGCTTTTAGCAAGGCACTAATGAGTCGCCTCCTGTTGTTCCCCGGGCTCAGGGGCGTGGGTCTACCGGTTTCATTGATCATACGGAGTGTATGGAGCACAACGTAACCAAGCTAGACGGGATGTGGTAGGTATGAACGTTACCTTGAGAATCTGGGGGGCAAGTCAGCTTTCATGGATATGACTCTATTTTTTTAAAAAAAAAAAAATTTTAATATCTAAAAAGTCACTATTTGGATATAAACTTGATATTCAGGTTATCTCTTAAGTATGCACCGGTTGCAGGGACCTCCAAGTACAGCCATCGAAGGAAGGACAGCTCACCATGTACTCCCGTAGTCCGGAGATATCTCATCTGATCTAAGTAAGATATGGGAGTAGACGGGTTCTTTCGCGAGAAATCCATTCCTCGGAAGCATTACCATTGGCTCCGCAAAGCCTGAGACGATGATGACGATGGAAAATGCTCGTCTCCGTCCCTCATCATTTTGATACTTCTGTTTAGCTATTGGCTCCGCACATTTTTTGGGTCTTTAATGAATTATTATTATTTTGATATTTTTTCTTTTTTAATTTCTTTTTTTGAAAAATAAGAAAATAAAAATGACATTTTATTTTTCTGATGTATTCCCTTGCATCTAGGGTTTTTCTTCCGCTCTTCCGCCTCCCATTCCCCTTTTTAGGCTTTATACTTTTGAAATATAATTATTATTTCTTTTGTTTCTCTTTGCCCCTAAATCGAGAGATCGAGAAGAGATTTCAAAATCAGGTAGGATGGATTGTTGAATTCTTAGATAGAAATTAAAGAAATAGTAGAAATTACCTATTACTGGCTCCAGAGCTCCAGGACTAAATTGGATGGATCCGATCCACCATTTACAATTGAATTACAATGACTTACATTGAAAATTACACGGATGTATCGGTAGAAGTGAGATCTGAGGTAAGAATTCCAAGTAAAAGAGCCAAAAGAGATAGTCAAAAATACAGCATTCTAATTACGATACTCTGAGATCACGAAATGGTTAAATCGTTAAATCCAAATCAGAATCGAAAATCCAAAATCGAAATCATTAACTTTTGAACCTTTTGACCTGTTGACCTGGTTGACCTTGTTGACCCACTCTGATAAATCGATTTTTATTCTGACTTTTAAATTGTATTTTATTTTTATTTTTATTTTTCATTTTTGATTTTCTATTCTTTTTAAGGAATTTTTTTTTTTAATTTTCTTTTCCCTTTATTCCTGATTGAACATGTTTGCTGCCATGCATCCTGCGGCTTTCTGTACAGCTGTAACCGAAATTCATATGTTGAAGGGTTGACGTTTTAGTTGCTTTCTGGCGCCTGATCATATCTATAGATGGAGCTATCCACTGTCGACACCCGTGGATTAATATAATAACTTCCCCTTTCCCTTCACACATTTTCTCTTTCGTTGTTCATCACAATCGCTATAAATCTTGAGATTCTTTATAGATCCCTTCCCCATTCTTGGAAACCCTTTCTCATCTCCAACCCTACCAACAATCAAGATCAAGATTAACTCAGACCTCGTCGATCAAGATCAATCTCTTCAAGTCAAAATTCTTTTGATCTTGAATATATCCCTATCTCATATTTCATCACCTGGTTGAAGATTTACTCCTGAGTACTTCAATTCCAAATTCAAGGTTAATCTCTTTGATCTTACGGTGAACGAAGATCATCCCCCCCTGTGTTCCTTGTTTTTTTGGTTCTGCAAGAAAACCTCCGAGGCTCCATTCAAGTTTCCACTTCAAGTTGAAGATTGTGTCAAATCTCCCTTGCAGGTGTCTCATAGTCCTTTGGGATCCCCAAGATTTGACCTGCCTTATCGGATTTCACGGTTAAATTTCCAGGGGGAGCAATGCTCAAGCCCTAAAACAACATCCACGCTCCTTGCTCCGAACAAATCAGCTGTTCACGCCAATTGCATTCTCTCCCTTTCAAACCCTGACGCATTAACCTGGGGTAACTTGAACTAAAAGGGGGAATCAAAAGCACCGTCTGGTACTTTTTTCCCCTCCATTGGATTAACTCTCGATTCGATCTTATCATCTGAATCGGGGTGTTTTTTTTAATTCTTGCTATTCTACCATTTTACGACTTTGGTGGGATTCACGACTTCGACTTTTCCCCCACTCTCTAATTTCACATCTACACAATGTTTCAACGGCCATCTTGTCTACAAGGCCGTCGCCAACGAAATGGCACCGGGGAGGATTGGTCTAAGTTTCCTATTCGGCAATTGTTCATCTTAGGTAAGTGGTGCTTTTGCTATTGTGGCGTATCCCATCTATGAAGTATATGGGAAAAAAGACAAAACAATATCAAAATAAAACTTCTTCCCCATGACAGAAATAACGGAAGAGATAAAAAAGCCAAAGAGATACTGATCATACAATCCAGCACTTGTCCGAATTTGCGAACCAATTGCTTTCATGTCAATTTTCCCGTACGTGTACCACATGGTGGAATCATTCCATGTGACCGACAACGATCAAAAGATTGCGCTTTACGCCGGGATGATTACTTCTGCTTTCACCTTTGCTGAATTCTCAGCTGGCATGTTTTGGGGACGAGTCAGTGATTCGATCGGCCGCAAGCCCGTGCTCATTATGGGATTAATCGGAACTGCGATGAGCATGGTGGCATTTGGATTTGCGCCCAATCTAGCGACAGCGATGATCGCGCGAGCCCTGGGTGGTCTGCTGAATGGCAACATCGGAGTGCTTCAAACCACCGTTGCCGAGATTGTGACGGTCAAAGAGCACCAACCACGAGCATATTCTATCATGCCCTTTGTATGGTGCCTGGGATCCATCATTGGTCCGGCTATGGGCGGTGCTTTGGCCCAACCCTGCGACAACTACCCGGCCCTGTTTCAGCGTAACACGCTCTTTGACCGGTTCCCGTTCCTGCTGCCCAACCTGGTCTGCATCGTTGTGCTTATTTGCGGCATCATTGTCGGTTTCCTGTTTTTGGAGGAGACTCATCCGGAGAAAAAGCACCGCCGTGACTATGGTCGCGAATTGGGCCACTGGCTCTCCAGCCAATGCTGGCGTTCCCGTGTGCAACTTCCTGTTGATTCCGAACCCTTGGACGAGTCCAAGTACTTTGTCTATGGTGATGTACCGCCTGAGTATGAAAGTGCCGAATCATCGCCTTGCTTGCGCCCCGTGAGTGACGCCGGATCAACGGAGTGTGACCTAGAGGGTCAGAAACCCCCGCCAAAGATCAAGATCTTTACTCGACAGGTCGTCTTCACTATGATTGCTTATGGCATTTTAGCCTAGTGAGTTGGCACCTTCTTTCTTTTTTTGAACACCCCTCATCTCCCCACCTCTTCAGCCCCTCACCACCCTTTCCCCGCCACAATGGATCTTTCCGACGTTTTTTACTCCCTTTGTCGTGTTCCTACATGCTGACGTTTTTTGCTTTTTTCTTCTCTCTACAGCCACAGTGTGTCATTTGATCAATTGATGCCCGTGTTTCTCAGCACTCCCAAATCGGACGACCCGATTATTTTACCGCTCAAATTCACGGGTGGCTTGGGCCTTTCCACAAAGACGATTGGCTTTATGCTAGCTGTCCAAGGTGTTTACTCCATGATCGCCCAATTGTGGCTGTTCCCATTCGTCGTCAAGCACTTTGGCACCTTACGCACCTTTCGCTTTGTCTTGCTGGCATGGCCACCCCTCTACTTGGCGGTGCCGTATCTCATCCTCTTGCCGACTAAGCTTCAGATGCCAGCCGCATATGTTGCGCTGATCAGCAAGATCACCCTCCATGTCATCGCCTTCCCCGCAACTGCCATCTTGCTCGCTAATTCCGCCCCCTCTTCGAAAGTACTAGGCTCCATCAATGGAGCAGCTGCATCCACCGCAAGCCTAAGTCGAGCTTTCGGTCCAACCATCACTGGATTTCTGCACTCCAAGGGTCTGCAGAGTGGATACTCCGTGTTGGCATGGTGGGCCTGTGGCTTTGTCTGCGTCATTGGTGCCATCGAAAGCTTCTGGATGGAAGAGTCGGAAGAACCCGAACGCTTCAAGACTCGTGAGCCTGAAGTCAGCGAGGCGGAGTTGAAGCGAGAGGTGATGTCCGAGGACTCCCTCGAAGAGGAAGAACAGCGATTACTATCTCTCCGCTCCAGCATTGATCATGAGTATGACATTTCCAATCTGGATTTGGATGCTATCGATCTTTCTCACCCTCCCTCTGACACAGCCCCCGCTTCCTTCCGCACCTAAAAGTACGTTGCATGCTTTCATGCCGTCAACTCCCATCTCCCCTCTTTCACTTCTTTCCAAGTTCTTCTAAGAAGGACCGGACTTTTACGACAGCATCGCTCTTCTGAGAGTGACTTACTCTTTACTCTTAACTCTTCCTTCTTCTTCCTTAGAATTTACCTTGATACCTCACCTCTTCCTCATGATTCTTTTTTTGTTTCCTTCGTGGATAACGGCGCAACATAGAGTGGGATGCATTGCACAAGAGAGAAAGACATTATATCATCTTGGGTTTCATTTCTGTTGTTCACTTCTTGTTCTATTCTTGTTAATTTTTGTTTTCCTTGGATCTTATTTGGAGCATTGAACGGTTACATTACGATGATACTCATGCATATGGGAAGGCTATCTGATTACTATCTGCGATTCAACCATTGTCTTTACATTTCTCATCATTCTCGTTCTCATTCTCATTCTCATGAAAATCTCATGAGTCTACTCTTGTCTTGCTATAGATTCTCATTATCCTGGACTGATTAGTTCAATGGATCTCGTGGTTTTTACACATTCATCCATATGTGTATATCAGGTTTCATCATGATCTCGTGCTTTCTCCACTCGTAGAGTCAAGTTTCCCGACTAAGCCTCAAGTAGATTCACTAGATTCATGAAATTGCAAGCCAAGAATATCCACTTGAATCTACTTAATGTAGTACCTTGCAGGATGTGGATCATGATCATATAAAGAGATGAAACCTTCCCCATATCTTTCACCTTCTACCTTATAACTCTTCTATCTCTTCCCCATACTTCTTCCAAGGTTCAAAATACCTGTCAAAATCTCCACTACTCCACCAATGATAATCCCCCGTGTCCCGGGGAACTCCACCTCTTATCAAATGTCTCTTGTGGCGGTATTCGCGCCTGTTGAATTGCCGGAGATCGGACTTGAATTAACTTGAACTTGAATCTAATATCGCTGTGACTTTCCCCATTGCTCGGTATCTCCGATCTAATTTCCTGGGGTACCGAGATCATCTATTCATTAACATTGCCCGAGGGCAACTCTTTAAAGTCTTTAAAGAGGACCGGTAACCTAATTCGACTTCTTCCGAACTTGAACTCCACCAGAACCCTATTACAGTGAGAGAGTCTTTGATTCTCTTCCTTAATTCCGTTGAGCGGATCATACCGTGGTGCCCAGTTGCTTGATTTTGCCTCGCTTCCTTTATCGTGATAGTCTCGATCTGGTGCAAGAGTCAGCGATCTTCATTTCGTCTGGAAACCACCGTTCTCATCCACTTGCATCCCAAACTTGGACCTTTCGGAGGATAATCTAATCCCGTCAAGTGTCAGAACTAGTACTGGCGCCGCGGAGAGCTCATCTCGATTACCAACTGCCGTCTACCCCAGAATTACGGGCCGTTTCCTTTTCTAATTATTTCTGCAAAAAGAAAATTAAAAAAAAAATAAGTCACCGAAACTGAGCTTCAAGCCCAGCCCGTTTATCCCCCAAACTCGCCCCGATCTATCATGAATGTTGATCCGGTCCGGGGGTTCCAATCGCTGTACCCGACCGCTATCTCCGCAAAACTCCACCATCAAGAGATGATCGCAGGTTTGCGGCTCTCGTTTGTTTCTCACAATGCCTAACCCTCCTTCCCCGCCGTCACCGTTAGCTTCGGGGAAGAAAAGACCTCATCCATCCGAAACATCTCCTAAATCCGACCCCACCATCAACGCCTCGCGTGACGCCCACCCCTCCGCCTCAACCGCCGTACCGTCCACCTCACCTGCTCTTTCTACGGCGCATTCCACAGCTACTGTCGCATCATCTTCCTCTTCATCCTTTCGAAATGTATCCGCTTGTAATCGCTGTCGTCTGCGAAAGAACCGTTGTGACCAACGTCTCCCGCGATGCCAGTCTTGTGAAAAAGCTGGTGTCCGCTGTGTCGGATATGACCCTATCACTAAGCGCGAAATACCGCGTAGCTACGTATATTTCTTGGAAACCCGTGTCGCCTACCTAGAAAAGGAGCTTGCGGAGCATAATATCGAGTTTAAGAAAGCTGTGGCTTTTGACGAGGAAGACGCAGTGAAGACCGAGGTTGATGGAGATGCGGCGCATTCCTCTTCCGGTCATGATGGACAATCAAGCGAATCTACAGAGAAGGGAGGGAAATCGAAGAATGCCGGTTCCAAGGATGAAAACAAATTGGAGCAAAGAGCAGATGCAGAACAAGCGCAGGACAAGGACCAAGATACTGCGAATCAGGAAAATTGGAGGATACACAATTTGGTCTCAAATATTGGTATGGTTTCTGTGCAAGGAACATCGGATCCACGATATCTTGGCTCAACGTCGGGTATTTCATTCGCGAGAGTTGTCTTTGCTGCTGTTCGAAGCTCTCTTCCGGGTAACATGCCGGAGCGCGCTCCCATTCGCACAAGTGAGCGCTTGCCACAGACAGCTGCAGCTGGACCAGGTGGTGGCACGATGCGTGATTCATTTTTCGGGTTACAAACTCGGCCGATGATGAAGCGAGCGGCGTTTCCGGAACGGGAACTTGCAGAACGACTGGTCGACTTGTATTTCGAACATGCCAATCCTCAGATGCCCATTCTTCATCGTGGTGAGTTTATGGAGCTTCTTGATCGTACGTATCTACTCGAAGAGAAGAACCGATCTCCGCGTGCGCTTTACGTGCTTAATATCGTGTTTGCTATCGGTGCCGGCATTATTTTCGATGATAAACCCCAGAATTCTGAGGATGACAATCGCGCGGGTCGTGACCGGGCAACCTCGACTACTAAGAGACCCAGACTCTCAAGTCATCAGTACCAACCGGAGGAGTATCATGCATCTGCAATTCTGCACTTGGAATCGTTCCTCGGATCTTCTTCGAGTGAAGGCTTTGGTGGTTTGGAAGAACTCCAAGCAGTACTTCTGCTAGCTAGCTTTGCTTTGCTACGTCCGGTTGCACCAGGACTCTGGTACATCGTTGGTGTCGCAATGCGCTTGGCAGTAGACCTGGGTCTACACTATGAGGATGGTGTCGGACTCGAGTCTAGCAAGGACGGAAACCAGGTTCAACCGCGCATAGATGCTCGCGAACGAGGACGAAGAGAGTGGGTACGGGATCTGCGCCGCCGACTTTGGTGGTGTGTGTACAGTTTTGATCGACTTGTTGCCACCTGTGTTGGACGGCCATTTGGTATCAGTGACCAGGCTATCAGCACAGAATTCCCGTCCATGATAGATGACAAGTATATTACCAAGTCCGGACTTTTGACTCCTCCCGAGGGTGCCCCAACGTATAAACATGTGGCTTTCCACTATTTCAAACTTCGCGTCCTGCAATCCGAGATCCACGACGTTCTCCAATACCAGCAAACTCGCGCCGTGCGAAGACGCGCAACAGACAGTTCCATTATCCTCCCCCATGCTGAACTTACATCGCCTTTCTTACAAGGCTTTGACTCTTTCCGATCATGGCGCCATGATGTCCATCGTCGTTTAGTGGAATGGCAAGAGAGCGCCCCAACACGTCCTGATACGGGCGTCCGGTTCTCAATTGAGCTCTTAGAGTTGAATTATTGGCAAGCTATCATCTTGCTGTATCAGCAAAGCTTGGCAGTCCCTGCAGAATTGGCTGGGGAATTGACCCCGGCTGACGATGTGTCTAGCCCTTCATTTTCCAATGTTGATGAGGGCGACGAAGAGGATCAAGTTTATCTGAATGTGGCTGAGGCTGGTCAGAAGGTCATTCGTATTTATCGACAGCTACACCGAGTGAAGCTTGTTAATTATACCTATCTTGCTACCCATCATATATTCATGGCTGGTATGCAAGAAATCCTTCGTGCCTTCTTCTACGTATCAAAATTAACGTGCATTAGGAATCTCATTTTTGTACTCGATCTGGTATTCGCCATTGGTTCGCAGTCGTCTGGTATGTATTACTTGAATTCGCATGAACTTTTTTGTTTCTGGCTAACAATTCCCTGTGAATAGACCCTCGACGAGGTGGACTTTACTGTTCTTGCAGCCACGTCTGTTCTGGGTGATCTGATGCACAAATGTCCTCCAGCCGAAGCGTGTCGGGATGCCTTCGAACGAATGAGCAAAGCCACTGTGCAGATGTGTTTATCGACCACCGGATTCGGATCCCAAGTTGACATGAGCCGCATCAACACTTCATCATCACACGCATCTGGATCTCTTCACTCAGGCCGACGCCAACCCACAGATCCGCGACGAGCAAGCCAAGGTCAACCACGCCGACCAATGCAAACACGGGCATCACGACCCATGCCCAAATTTGATATGAACTTAGCCGAGCTCTTCAGCGATAATACGCCTCTTGCCGACCGGTCAAGACCAGAGAATCGAACAGCAGGACACCCTTACCCCATTCGACCCGAGCACGGAGACCCCATATCAGGCGGTCTAACAGGTGATCGTCCGGGACGCCCGTTTGTGCAACGTACCCCATCCATGGAGTATTATCTCAAGTACGAGAACCCAACATCGCCGCAACATCCCCAGCAATTCTTTTACCCTACCTCCCCGCAACATAGTGGCTCTCCTGGCAGTGTAGCACCTAACGCTGCAAATGGTCCTCATGGCATGCCGCCCACGGATCCCGAAGGGCAACAGGGCATCAGTCTTGACTTCCTGGATTTTGGATCAACAGATCCAGATAATCAGACACTCGAGACTGATCCTAATGGTGATTTCAATATGGCTAATATGCCTCCACTTGGACCTAACCTAGGCCAAAACGTGGGTATTGATCTTGGTTTTGGTATGGCAATGGATTTCCAACATGATTGGAGTGAAAATCCCAACTATGATCTTCTGGAGGGTTATTTCTTTGGTGGTTCTGGACCAGGCGCATCAGGTGGTGAACCCTGAGTTTTGGTCTATTCTGGTTCTTTTGATTTCACCTTATTTCCTTCCGAGGTTTCATTACCTTATACCTGGGCTGAGTTGTTGATCGGCGTTCCTTGCTTTATCATATCGTCCATTGAGCTCTTACACTCTCCTTGCAAGTCGCTCATTCTCCTTTTTTTTTTACTCCCCCTTCATCAACCATTGGGTATTTGTACTCTGGGACTTGCATAGTTAAAGAGGATTACTTTACACGGACTGGTTTATGGGCACGCAGGGTGCAGTTGGCAATTTCATGTTTCTTGGCTCTTCGAATTCTTTGCGTCTAGGTTTGGAACCATATGTTGAGCCCTGGAGGAATTATACACCTGGTCATTATAGTAGTAGGTAACTACTAGGCTCCTTAGTACTTGCCACTGGCAGTGGTACGAGAGGTTCAAGTTCATTGATACTACTATTTTTCTTCCTTATCCACATACGCAACTCATACAGCAGGTAGCCTGTCCCTTTGGGTACCCTGTAGGTACTTCCGTACATAGAGGAGTAGGTAACCATTCACCTACAGATACAATTACCAGTCCAGCTGAGTATGTAAATATGAGTGCTTCAAGTTTGTTAATCTCAGGCTTATTGGGATATAGGGTGTCTATGTAATTCAGCTTCTTAGCCAAGTACATACCTTTCCAAATCTCCTTGCTACAGCGCCGCGAGGAGTTGTATTGTATTATTTAACTACCTCCGAGGTCTACATGTGGTATCTACAGTAACCAACATGGAACCCTGGGGCCGTGGACTACTTTGTAGTATGTAAGAAAAGAATATTGGACCACTTTTCAACCGAATATTTTTTTACGTAAATTATTAATTTTAAATGAATCTCATTTCATTTCCCCGATTAACGTCTTCATGTAAGATCTAAGGTTGTGGTTCGTGCATAATTTGGCCTAGACTCAATGCCTTGGGCAGCACCACATCCCGCACCCAAACAAACATCCACTTTTTCCTTCGACGCCAACTCATCAACCCTGCCCCCCATTTGCTGACGACAACACCGCAAAAGGGCTTGGTTCTCGTTGGTCGAGATTGCGACTCTGACTCCGCGCTCGCGCTTGGACCTAACTGCCTGACTTTACTGCCTCATCAGGTGCCCACAAGAGTCGAGGACCTCAGTTCACCCCTCCAGAAATTCTCGAGGTTTGAGTTGTTGATCTCGCCAAGTCCTTCTCTCTTATTATACCCGGGGACTCGGTTCAGTATCATGCCCATTCATCGCGATCTTCAATTTAGAACTTCCAGTTGTCTCAGCCTTGTCGAGATCTGATCAGCCCTGCCGCAGCGCATCCTGCAGCCTGCACCTTCACTCTTTGTACACACCTTCGTTCATACTGCCTGGCTCTCACCAGCCTATTACTGTAACAGTTGCAGATACCCTCCCTCTTTCTCTCTCAACGATACCTTTTCAACACCGTTTACGGCCCCAGTTGTTGATCAAGGCCAAAGACTGTCTCAATATTGACCCTTCAAGCCCAACCTCCTAGACTGGTCATGCAGGATACCCTCCGACTATTGACCGAACTCTCGATTATGCGCAAATCTATACCCTCGATTTAGTCCTACGATACAAACGAATTCAACATGGTGAAGGCAGACGTTCGACGGGATTACTATGCAGACCTGGGTCTGTCTCCCAGTGCGGAGTCAGAGGATGTCAAGAAGCAGTTTAGAAAGCTTGGTGAGCTATGATCAGACAAATCTAACAAGAAAAAGAACTCGAAATTAACGGGAAGTTACCTTTTCCAGCACTCAAGTTTCACCCCGACAGGAACCCGGGACGAGAGCAAGAGTTTATCGCAAAATTTCAGGCTATCCAAGCAGCCCATGAGATTTTAAGCGATCCGCAACATCGACTTAAATACGATACGGACCGATTACGCGCAGGATATGGAAAGGTCTATGGGCCAGGAAAATCCAGTGCTCCGCGAAGACCACCACCCGCTCAAGCCAGACCTACTCCTCCCAAGCCTCAACCGACAAGACCGAGCTATCCCTCGTGGAATGCCCCTGGTACGACACCGCATCAACCATCTGCTGGCGCGCAGCGATACTCTTCACATGCTCGAGCAGGAGCAGGATCGCAACAGTGGCAAAAGAAGCAGGATGAATCGCAAACGAGAGCCGACGCGTACAAGAGCTTTTCTGGTATGAGGGGATCAACCGGGCCGACATGGCAATCATTTGATCCTCAAACAGGACGTTCGGGCAGTGGATCTACACCTGGTGGAATACCGAGACAACAGAATACGCCGTTTGGAAAGTCCGCATATGAGAGTACCAGAGCGCAGCAATCGGCTACTCCGAACTCGGGTAAGAAGAAGCAGGGATACGCGCCTGGAAATGCCGCAGGAGATGAGCCACCAGCGAGGAACACTTCTGCATACACTCATAATCGGAGCGAACGTCCTCACACCATGTACTTTGAACCTGCTCCATCGCCAACTGCGAGAAAGCCGAAGCCACCACCTGCGCCTGAGCCTCCAACGTTTACCGAGGAGTTTGAGCGGAATAGAAGAGGATATGCATCAACAGGAGGAGAGAAGACGTTCTTCTCTAGCTCGAATCTTGGACGACAAAGTAGCTCGCGCATGTCTTCAAGTGGATTCCGATCCTCCAATGCGTCGCGCACCAACCCGCCTAGTCCTGAATATCCCTCGTCAGATGGCAGACACCACAGCGCCAGTCCCAAACCCAGACGACCAAAAGGTCACTCATTTTCATCGGCGCATTCTACCAGCTCTAGTGATTTGGATGATTCAGACGAAATACCCGAGACTCGACACCGTCCTACCCAACCAGGCCCCAAGCCTAAAGCCGTGCCAAAGAGTCGACTCAGACCCAATCAACAATTTGCCGACTTTCATCGAACTGGAGACGCCAGCCCTGGAACTGGTGAGGAACCTAATTCTACCCGGCAAAGCAGCTATCAACGCTCCCAGCCAACAGCGCCAACGCCGCTAAGCAGAGGCACCCGGAGACCTCGCATGGATTCTCCACACCCGTTTGTGGACTTGACAGCTGACCGCGATGAAAATAAAGGACATAATTCAGATAGCGCTGCATTTAGACGAGGCTCGACCCGTCCGGAACAGCCTAGCCAGCATCAAGGCTCCGCCACGCGGTATAGATTACCCTCGTTTTTCGATTTTCTTGGCCGTGCACTCTTCAGTACTGATTCGAATTCGAACTTTAGCCCTGAACCGACCCAGGATACTTCAAGCCGCTCATCTACAGCCTTTGGTCACCGAGATCCTAGCAAGCTAAACACTATCCACAAGAAATTCTCTGCCGAAGATTGGAGGAATCTTGGGTCCTTTGATTTCGGACCTTCATCTAACGGACAGTCCACACGTAGCTCGAAGCCTCCAAGTCCTTTGAATCCTGAGAGTGCTTCCGCAGAGTCCATGCCCTCTGCAGGGGCTTCTGGTGTGAAACAAAATGGTGATGTACCACCTGGAGACCAGCCACAAAAACAAGCATTTACACCTTTCCCACAAGCTAAGTTCAATGCCGACATCTGGGCCAAGGAGCTCAATAATCTTGACTGGAAGGCTCCCGAGCAGGATAAGGCACGTCAATCAGCAAATACGCCTCCTTCTCGGAGTCCTAGAAAACAGTCTAGGGCAGGAGCTGGAGCTAAGGCTTGGACTACTCCGCAACCTGCGAGCGTAGCGTCCGAGGCTGAAGAGGCCAATGAGACCGTCAATGGTATTCAGACTCCTCTCTCCTCCTACGCCATCCGATTCAGTATCCGATATGGAAGCTATGGATATTGACGAGGAAATCCCTCTACCATCAATGCCAGATCAACCAGCCGCCGAAGAAAGCCAAGAGAAAAAGCCTTCTCAGCCAGACTCTCCCGTACAGCCTGCCCAGACTGAAAATAATGCATCGAATGTAGAGCCCGGCGCACCACTGTTTGACCTGGATAACATTCTTAAAACGGCTCCGTTTACTACGACTAACAACGGTGGAATCGAGAATCTCGATGACGTCCACGCAACATTACCATTTGAGTCTCGTGCAAAGAAACAAACCACAACAGAGCGTGACATTCGACCTCGTGACCTCAATCTCCCGAATCCACCCAAAAGACCCAAGGCGCCGAAGCGGATTCAGATGGGACTTTACAGAGAAGTTCTACCAGAGGATAAATGGAAACATTATCTCTCCCATATGGCTTCCTACATTCATGAATGGAACTCGTTCAATCGTCGCATGCTCCTACATTTCAATACACGCCAAGAAGCGATGCAAACAGGACTCCATCCTAACTGGATGAGTGGAGTTGGAGACTCATCTCGTCTCAAGATAGACGGCGATGATGAAGGCGAGAATCATGACCCCAATTCTTCCGATGCAGATGAGTACTTGATTCCTCAAAGCCGGAAGGGAGGGTTCAGTGCCTACCTACGTGGTATTGAAGAAGATATTCAAGTACGCAAGCATTGGGATGTTGCATGCGAGATGCACCGCGAGTGTATTATGGAATTGGGACGTCTCCGTGAATGGATCCGGGGTGGGGGACAGTTGGTTGCATTTTCCACAGTCTGATTTGGCATTCAGGTCGTGTAGTCCTGAGATGATCTTGTATTGGTTGAAGAATCTCGTGTAGAGATGTGTTTTATTTTGATGCTTGCATGATGGCGATGGTGTGGTGTTTTGTGGCTTGTTGAATAAATACCCGGGGTATGTAACCCTTGCATCTGATAGACTATAATTTGGGCAACCTTTGATTTCAAGTTCTTTCAAATGGTCTGAATGGAATTATTCAAGTTCTTAGTATGTACAAAGTAGAGGACTCAGTGTATACTCTAAAGGATAATACTTAATCCGGAGTACGTAGACATGCACGTGCATTATTTCCTTGTTGCCTCAGGCACATCGGTTTGTATGTATTATTGATACGAAAGTTACCAATCTTACACATGTTATATCGATGGAAAAAATAATTTCTATTACATACAGGTACAGTGAGTCACTTTGCCGCATAGTCATGTAGAAGAAATAACGTCTAATTCGTATAAAATTGACCAATTATTCATAGATCTATAAAGATCCAAACTTCAAAAACTCATATCCAGACATTCAATTCCTTATTCCAAGTACAAAAGCGATTGTCGTGCTGCTCTATACACCGGAGCTCACCGAATACTCAGATTTCTTGCCCCGCTATCCGAAGCCGGGCCTACTTCTTCTTCCTCTACTCCCCCGCCACTAGCACCATTTTTTTGTTCGCCAATTGCCAATCCGAGTGCAGCAATTGATATCTATCGATAACCCCCACATTCACAATCATGGTCTCTATCGTTCTGGGTAGTCAATGGGGAGATGAAGGTATGTGAATCACGCCGAAACCCCGCGCTCGAGTACCAAATACCGGGGACGGTGTCTCGTCCAGAGCGCTAGTGGAAAACAGGTACTAACTCATGGGATTGTGATATAGGAAAGGGAAAGATCACAGATATGCTGTCGCAGCAGGCGACATTGTGCTGCCGTGCTGCCGGTGGTCACAGTACGTGTTACTATATACCTTGACGCTGCGGTTTAATTTTCAATTCTCTTCAATGGATGGGGTTCACAGATCACGAATGATCTAAAGATCCCAACCAATGTCTCAGATCGAACCTACGATCTAAGATACGCCATGAGAATCTGTGAAATTAATATAAAAGAAACTTGGTCATACTAACATAACCACTTTAGACGCCGGTCACACTATCGTTCACGAGAACGTAACTTACGACTTCCACATCCTCCCCTCCGGTCTCGTCTCGCCCTCATGTATCAACCTCATCGGCGCGGGAACCGTCGTCCACGTTCCTAGCTTCTTCAAGGAGCTCGGTCAGCTGGAAACCAAGGGTCTGACCTCCGCTGGCAAGCGCATCTTCATCTCTGACCGCGCACACGTCTGCTTCGATCTCCACTCTGTCGTCGATGGTCTCGAGGAGAAGGGTCTGGGTGGCCGCAAGGTCGGTACAACCGGTAAGGGTATTGGACCCTGCTACAGTGACAAGGCCGCTCGTCGCGGTGTGCGCATCGGAGAGATTCTGGACGAGGTGACCTTTGAGCGTAAGCTCCGCACCCTGGATACCTCTTACCGGGCCCGATTCGGCGACTTGGCATACGATGTTGAGGAGGAGATTGCACGATTCAAGGTAAAATCCAAATCCATCCATATTATACTCAGGATATCATTTCTCACAATTCCTAGGAATACCGCGTCAAGCTCCAACCTTACATCATTGACCAACTGGAGTTCCTGCAGCAACACGAGAACTCCCCTAACATCCTTGTTGAAGGTGCTAACGCCCTGATGCTGGATCTCGACCACGGCACCTACCCCTTCGTTACCTCCTCCTCCACCGGCCTCGGAGGTGCTGTCCAAGCCCTGGCTCTGAACCCCCAAAAGATTAAGAACGTCATCGGTGTCCTGAAGGCCTACACCACCCGTGTTGGATCCGGACCCTTCCCCTCTGAACAGCTCAACGCTGAGGGCGAGAAGCTGCAGAGCGTTGGACGTGAATTCGGTGTTACAACCGGTCGTAAGCGTCGTTGTGGATGGTTGGATCTTGTGCTTGCACGATACTCGCACGCTATTAACCACTACACTGCTCTGAACCTTACCAAGTTGGATATTCTCGATGACTTTGATGAGATCAAGGTTGGTGTCGCTTACATCCTGCCAAATGGAAAGCGCACCACAGGCTCTTTCCCTGCTGATCCTAATGTTGTGGAGAAGCTTGAGGTTGAGTATGTTACTCTGCCTGGTTGGAAGAGTAACACTATGGGTGTTACGAAGTACGAGGACTTGCCTCTTAACGCTCGCGCTTACATTGAGTTCATTGAGCGTGAGATTGGTGGTGTTCCTATCAAGTGGATTGGAACTGGTCCTGCTCGGGAACATATGATTGCCCGCGCGTAGATAGATCATGGTCGAAATGGTATAAAAAGAATATCATTTGAGGTAAAAAAGAAGACTTGGATCTGGAATGGATGTTGAGGCTGTTGCGAGGTGTTCCTGTTTTCTTCATCTTTGTAATTATCTCTGCCTGCAGTAGATTTCTCTTGTTCATTTTTCTGGATTTTTGGCAGTACAGTTGGATACATGAATTCAATGTTATATACACCTTTTGTCCTATTTAATCATTTCTGTTTCGTGTTAAAATGGTACCTAGGTAGAGACCAATAACTCGGGGGTGAGCGCTCTATTAAACATAGGACATATATGATATTGGCAGGATTGAAGAACAGAGTAATTGTCAATTAAAACGTAATCCTTAAATTCTTTAGATATACACCAAGATAAAGTAGCAGTATGATATAACACATGAGGAGAGAAGTGAGAACAAAAAAGGGAATCGACATATTGTACATAGATAGACAAAGAACGCCACCCGATGCAAGGACGGTCACTCTATCAAAGAGATTTATGAAGAACAAGTAAAAGATTTTAGTCAATCAGAGCTTTCAGAAGTGATCTTTTGCATCGAACATCCTCGCTCGTTGACCGATTTAAAAGCGAGAGCGAGAGCCGAATGGGCTGTTGCTGTCTCTGTTGCTGTCTCGGTCACGGTATTGACGGCTGCGAGGACGTTCGCTAAAGTCGTCATTTCCGAATGATCGACGGGAGAAAGAGCCCCGAGAGCTGTGTCCGCGGTCGTCGTTGTCAAAGCGGCGACCGAAGCTTCGGCCAGATGATTCTCTATCGTGGCTCCTCTCAGAGCCGCGGCGGTCCGAACGACGGCCACCACCACCTTCCATCTTGACAAGGTCATGGTAACGGGAGATACCAAGGTTCTGTGCAAGGGCGGGGTTAATAGTAGGGGGCTCGGTAAGACCATATCCGTGAAGGGCAAGTCTGTTCAGAGTCTCAAGGGCGGTACGCTTGCTAGAGAAGGTTCTGAAGACGTGACCGAGCTGAGAGCGCCAAGTAGACTGCTTGATGATAGATCCGATGCTGGCAGAACTTTGCTGAACTTGCTCAATAATAGTGCGAGCGGCGGGAGAAACGTCGTGGAGGTCCTTGGACATGTCTGCCATGGGAGTGTGCAGGGTCTGGCTATCCTCCTGGAGAGGAATGCCTGAAAGCATGTGATCCATCTCCTTAACTTCGCCATCATGGAGCAAGATCCAGCCCTCACCGGTCTTGTTGGCACGGGCGGTACGGCCAGTGCGGTGGATGTAGGTCTCGCGATCAGATGGAAGACCAACCTGAATGACGTGGGTCACATCTGGGAAGTCCATACCACGGGCAGTTACATCGGAAGAGAAGAGGATACCAGAGGAGGCACGACGGAATGCGTCAGCACTGTAGGTTCGCTGGCGCTGGGTAAGGCGCGAGTGGATTTCCAAGATATTCATGCGACCAAGGGCAGGGTCAGTACGGCCAGTGCTGGCGTTCTCGACGCGGGGAAGCTTCTGGAAAACCTCAGCGGCCAGTTGCACTTCGGCAGTAGAGTTAAAGTAGACGATGGCCTTGAAAGGGCGCAAGTTAGAGTCTTGGCTCTGACGGGCCTGGTACTCCTTAGCGATTTCAAGGACAGCAGGAAGACGGTTCTCGTAGCCACGAATGAAGACAGTTCTCTGGGGGACCCGCAGGTGAACTGGGGTCTCATCATCGCGAACTGTCTTGACAGTCTTGTAGTCGGATCTCATGGTGCGCTCGACCATCTTCATCACGCCCTTGGGCACAGTGGCCGAGAACATCAAGGTCTGACGGGTGACCTGCTCGGGATTGGGCAGAAGGGCCTGGATCTCTTCAATCTCCTCAGAAAATCCTTGGTCAAGAAGACGATCGGCTTCATCCAGAATCAGAGTGTTCAGCTTAGGTGCGGAGACACCGTTGGAGCGATCACTGAAGATATCCTTAATACGACCAGGGGTACCAACAAGAAGGTGGCAACCTTGCTGTTGGATACGTTGAAGTCCCTGTCTCTTTTGTGTGCCACCAACTGCGGTCTGGACCATCAGACCAGTGCCAGGAGTCATCTTCCGGGCTTCCGCGGCGATCTGCTCGGCAAGCTCACGGGTAGGGGAAATGATAAGGGCACGGATATCATCAGCTTCGACATAGGAGCGATTGTTGTATCCGCGGGCCCGGGATTGCAAGTTGATGGAAGGATCATTAAGGATATTCTGCATGGTAGGGAGAAGGAAAGCAAGTGTCTTGCCAGTTCCGGTCTTGGCCTGGGCGAGGCTGGAAAAATTGTTAGTGAATGAACCAACTTATAACGTCGAGGACAAGGTTTTTGATTGAACTTACACATCATTTCCTTGAAGCATTTGATGGATGGTTTGGCTTTGGACCTCGGTCATAGTCTCCAAGCCCATGCGGACAGGGGAGGTGACATTGCGAATAAGCGTTCCATCAATAAGTTCACGTTGTTGCAAGTCCGCAAACTTGGTAATAAGTTCTGACTCGGTGTTAGTCTCCTCAGCCGCTGCCTGAGCGGTGGCCCTCAGCGCAGGGAATGAAGTCTGAAATGACCGGACCAAAACAGGAGACTGAGTTGCGAGAGGCTTGAACTTGCACAGTTGAGGAGTCCATCTTGCGGACACTGTGCGAGGCGCGGAGGCGCGGAGTGCTTGAGCAACGCCAAATTGGCGAAAAACACCAAGCATCTTTTTAAATGTTTAAAGAAAGAAAATTGATGACAGCAAAAAAGTCGATCACCGCAAAGAGGCGACATAGCGCGAAGAAAAAAGTAAAATTAAAATACGGGTCACATGATTCTTATCGATAAGGGGCTGTTCCTTGATGCCTTGATGCCTTGATGCCTTCGTGCCTTCGTGCCCTATGATACTGTTGCCTGAGGCCGCAAGGCAATCCAGGTCTTATAAGTTAGGTTATAGGACAGCAATGACTCAATATTTCTATATCTCTCGGTTAAATACAGGACTACACATATGCATACTATTCATAAAAGTGTATGATCATTTGATTTCAAGCTTGCGGTTTGGCGTGGTGAGAGTCATTCGATTTGGATTGGTTCAGAAATTGAAGTAACTTTGGTACATCATCGGTTTCCTCATCGATTGCAGCCGAGGGGCCAATTCTTTTGTAGAAAGGCGCATCAAAGTATTCCGGAAAGAAGCCTGCGTATTCCCAATCAATAATGGCCTTGATTTTCAGGGTCTTTGGGTCAACAATGATGTTATGTTGTGAAAGATCGTTGTGACAAAACACATATTCTGGAGTTTCGGCTTCCTTACAAAGTCCAAGAATCGTTGTCGGTACAGTCCATCACCCGGTATGGAGGAATCACAGCCCCTGTAGGTCCGCCAATTTTGTTCAACCTTATCCGGTGGAGGGTATCGATGAACTGTTTAAGTTCTACCAAGACGAGTTTTTTCTGATCTTCTGAGAGTCGGAACATGCCAACGCCGTCGATATATTCCATGATAAGTAAATAAACACCATCGACCTCGATTGAGCCGTACAAGGTCGGAACAGGGACATCGCTGACGCGGCGTATATATCGTAACGACTCAGCTTCGTTCTGGAATCTCTCTTTTGCAAGTCTTAGAACATGGATATTTCCATCGTATGCAGTGATGTATTCGCTTGGCCTCAGTGTCCTTTTATGAAGAAGTCACCCTGGCGATGGTAACCTCTTTCGGGTGATTTATCACTCCATTGGTCTTCTGAGGAAGTCAAATCATGTGAGGGTGTTGGCTCCATCAGAATAGAACCAGACATTCTGTGGGGTGGCGACGAGTAAGTCCAAGTAGAAATGAAGATGGCAAGCTGGACAACCTCGCAGGTATTATTGACCTTGAAGAGCGTATGGACAGATCAAGAAAAAACCCGGTGACATTCAGAGACTTTCTCAGGGAGTAATAATTTTAGAGGGGCGGGCACGGAGAGAAGGGGGCCCGAAGGGTTTATAATTTCAAGTTGTACGTAGAGGCTAGTGCTTTCCATCACGTCCAGGTACTCACCGCTCAAGATACCATCAAGAGTTGTACTTTACGGAGCAGGGGGAAAATTACATTTTTAGGCAAATGAGCGTGTTGCACGTAAGAGTCGGTAAGACCAGCAGTAGGCATCCGGTCAAAGGTCTCGCAGGCTACTCTGTAGGTAGTTATGCGCCCAGGTGCCTGATAGTGATCTTAATGCAAGCGGCAAGGCAGACTGCACTTCCGATCGCCGATTTCTCCGACTGGTCAAATAGATCATCTCCAGGGCTTCATTGTCAATATTTCAATTGACTCGGTTTCCTCGCCTGCTCAGTTCACAAAGTCGCAATAGCGTAACCAGAACTTATTTGCACATAATAGAGCTGATCATCCATATTGGTGTCCAAGACAATGACCGTAGCATTAACGTCTATCATTGGCTCACTCTCATGATCCTGGGCACCAATCAGCATCTGTTTCTTATCGGGCTTAGTAATATGTCATGTGACCTCACCAGGTGGCAGAATCTAGCATTCATATGAAAATTGAGACCGCCTACTGTAAACGCCACCACACAAGGATCACAGGGATCACAAGGATCCATTTCTCTGCACTAAGTTAAAATTGACTTTAATCCTTCCACATAACACAATTTCCGCCACCATTTCAATTTTTTTTTTTTAGACAATGTACAACTTGATACTCATTCTTAGGATGAAATAATCATCGCTATGACTTTAATAGAACTCAAAATCTGCAAATATGAAGCTTCTTGCTGAGTCAGCCCCTGATCTATTCCAAGATTTAGGTGGAAACATGTCAATAAAGGCCCATTGATAAGCGCTGCTTATTTGCTGCTTATTTGCCGAGCGGGAAGCGGGATGACAAACACCTCGGGCAGATCACTTGAAACTGTCAAGTTTACACATGCTTCCTACGTAGACATGTAGAAAGTTGGAAACCATGGTCCCCCAGGTGCCGTAAATTAGCTACTCCTCCTCCCCAAAAACCGGTGTGGAGTGGGGGGGCACTTGTGCAGGCTAAAATCGCGCTATATAAAGGCTAACCCCCCTAACCAACCCGTGCGTTTATCGTGTTCAAGTTTTTTTTTTCCCCTTCCCTTCTCCTTAATTCTACCTGGTTTTCACAGGTGGTCATTGCGCATCATGGCAGAAACAAATATTGTGATTATTGGAGCTTCCACTGTGGGAAATACTGCAGCTCACAGCTTCCTGCAAGATATCCAAAGCTTAAAAGCTAAAGTCACTTTAATCAATCCTTCCCCGAACTTCTATTGGAACATTGCTGCTCCCCGTATCATCGCCAAACCTCAAGCTTTCCAGCCAGACCAATATCTCCTTCCAATTGAGAGTGTATACTCCCAATATTCAGCTGACTCATTTGAGTTTATTGCTGGTCTTGCGACTGACATTGATCCAACCTCTAAGACCGTATCGGTGACCCCTAATGATGGTGAGGCAAGGACGTTATCCTACGATTATCTCCTGATCGGTTCCGGAGCCACTACTCCTGCTTCTACGGGTGAAGTCACCGGGTTCCCCATCCCTTTCAAAGCGTCCGGGCGCGATGACATCCAGGAACTCCTTGAGGCAGCCCAGAAGAAAATCGCCAGCGCCAAGAACATTGTTATCGGTGGTGCGGGTCCAATCGGTGTGGAGTTGGCTGGTGAACTTTCCGAGTCTGGGGATGTCTCTATCACACTGGTCTCTGCGACAGACCGAGTCTTACAGATGCTCAAATCGTCCGCTAGCTCTGCTGCTGCAAGCCAACTGAAAAAGAGAAAGGTCGATGTGCGGGTCTCCACGCGCGTGGTGAATGTCGAGGCTTCGGGCGACTCTTGGATTGTTTCTCTGGACAGCGGCGAGAAGCTCACTACCGATCTTTACATCCCAACCACCGGCTCTACCCCCAACAACGCTTTCATTCCTGAATGTTTCCTGGGCACGGATGGCTGGGTGAAGGTCGACAAAGAACTACGTGTTCAATCTTCGCAAAGCTCATCGCCCTTATCTATCTATGCGGCTGGCGATATCAACTGCAATTCTGTGCGTCTTGGATTTAAGGCTGTCGAGCAGGCTCGTATCGCCGCAAACAACATCAAGGTGGATATTCTCCGCCGAGGCGAGCGAAAAAAGTACGACCAGGGTGACAGTATCTTGATGGTTGTTCCTATTGGTGAAAATGGTGGCACTGGGCAGATTTTTGGTTTTGTTCCCTTCAGCTTCTTTATCAAATTGATCAAGGGCAAAGACTTCTTCATCTCCAAGGCGCTGGGGGTCCTAGCTGGGACCAATTGATTGGGGAATTGGGGAATTATACCAGTTGACCTGTCTCCCTTTGATCCTGGTCCGATTCGGATGAGTTTACGAGTTGTTAACGTTTTATACCTCCATAGCCTACACACTTAATGAATAGTTAGAAGTTAATGCACGCATGTTAGCATACCGAGAGCCTTCAAATGTTAACAAATACTAGTAATCTCTACGGTAGTAGTCGCTTTGAATAACCTCAAGTTGAATGTGGCGATAACCGCAAAATAAGCACTTGAGTAAGAAATGCCATATCAAGTAATATTAATTAAACTAATATTACTCAGGAACATTTGAATATATTAAATCTCGAAGCTAATAATGTTAATGCACCCCGGACCATAATAGGCATAAGACATGCAGCGCGATGAACCGATGAGACCAATTGTGAGAACCAATAATAACTTTAACTCAGATCGATCCACTTAATGTCCCCGCTATGATACCAAATTTGGTAGTCTCCTCCGTGCTGAGAAATCAACCTATGCAATTTTTCATTGCACAAAATTGATTTCTAACTTCGATTTTCTATTCCAGGATTTGACATTTTTGTGAAAAACGGCTCTCTTACCCAGAATGGCTGTGTCCGTCGGCTTGGACTGATTTCAATTCATCCGTGGACTCCACTGTATTTAGATATGGAGATTGAAGCGGATACGAAGTAGGGGTCGAGCCTCTTATTGAAAAAAAAATATGAGGAATAGAATAAACAGTACAATCCTTTCAACAAAATAATCCATGATAATTAAGGCATCATTGCATCTATAGTGGAACCGTAAGCACCCAAATACCTAATCTAATTCCAAGGTTCAAAAAACAAAGAAAAACAGGAACAAAAAAAAAGAGGGTCAAAGTACCGGAGGCATCACCACCTCAAGAAGCTTCTCGGGACGGATCCATCGGTGAACCGTTGCTTTATAATAAGTAATCAGGGAATCTAGATTTTTTGCCTCGGTCCTTTCATTTTTGCCCCGCTTCATCATAGAACATTCAACTTCTTATAAACCCTGTTGCGCATTCCTTACGATTCTTGTTCATAGTTCCATCATCCCTGCATAGTACGCCTTCTACTCTAATCATTCGCCCACAATCGTCCAATTTGAACCTTACTCTCACAAACATTGCCCATCATGGTGAACAAGACCCTCATCTTCAAGGAAATCCCTGAGTCTGCGACCTACCCTATCCCAGGCAAGCATCTCACCGTTGAGGATGCTGAGTACGATGCCGATGTCGCCACTCCCGAGAATGGCGTAGTCCTTCAATCCCTCTACAGCAGCTACGACCCCTACATGCGGGGTCGTATGCGTCCCGCCCACATTCAGTCCTACTCTCCCGCATTCCCTCTCGGCAAGCCCATTGAAAACAACACCATTGGCAAGATCCTGCGCTCCAACAATGCCAACTTCAAGGAAGGTGACCTGGTTATCGGTTTCCTCCCTCTCCAGCAGTACACCGCCCTTGACACCCCAAACCTGGTCCGTATCAAGAAGCTCGAGAACCCTCTGGGTCTGGAGGATATCCGTGTCTTCCTGGGTCCTCTCGGTATGCCAGGATTGACTGCCTACTCATCTCTCTACGACATCGGTAAGCCCAAGAAGGGCGAGACCATTTTCGTCTCTGCTGCCAGTGGTGCCGTTGGCCAACTGGTTGGCCAGCTGGCCAAGCACGAGGGTCTGCGAGTAATTGGATCCGTTGGCTCAGACGATAAGCTCAACTACATTCTTAACGAGCTTGGCTTTGACGGAGGTTTCAACTACAAGAACGAGAAGCCTGCTGGTGCGCTGAAGCGTCTGGCTCCCGAGGGTGTCGATATCTACTACGAGAACGTTGGTGGAGAGCACCTCGAGGCTGCATTGAACGCGATGAACAACTTTGGTCGTATCATCTTCTGTGGTATGATCTCGCAGTACAACGAGGCTAGCTACCCTATTCCCAATCTAGTGCAGGTTGTTGCCAAGCGTCTCACTTGCCGTGGTTTCATTGTTGGTGATGCCAACATGGGTCCTCTTTACACCAAGGAGCACCAGGAGAATGTGCAGAAGTGGATTAAGGATGGATCATTCAAGGTTTTGCTCCACCAGACTGAGGGTATTGAGAACTCTGCTGAGGGTTTGATTGATATCTTCTATGGCAAGAACATGGGCAAGGCCGTGCTCAAGTACTAGAATATGGCTTTATAGCTGAGGACCTAGAATTAGATTTATTTATATACTGAACGATGATACCCGCCACAATTACACTGGGAATTTCTATTTTTTGTCCATTTACATGCTACTAGTAGTTAGTGTTCATAGGTACTACCTTGCTAGTAGATACCGAGATACTCGATATCCCTAGTTCTGGTAAGAAACTAAATGGGATGAGATCTGGATATCGCAGATCCTAGAATATGCATCATTCCAGTAACCCATATCCTTGAATCCTACTAAGATCCATAAATACATCTCTATTCTAGTAGTATATCCCCAGATCCGGCAAAGAGTTTAGTTCCCGCCCGCATCGGCCAATTTCGGCTGCGCGGGAACCTCTCGACCAATCACCTGACCCGTAAATGGATGACATACCGAGTCGGACTCCCGAGGTTGTCACCAACTTCATCCGTGTGCGCGAAGTTGATCCTCGACCCCTACATCTCCTCTCTAACTCCGTCACAATGGCTTCGTTCGCGCGCCCATCATTGTTCCGGTCCATTGCGACCCGGTCGCCCCTGCGCCAGAATATTGGCGTGTCCCAGGCCGTGGCTTTCCACGCCTCCGCCCGGAAGCAGATCCTGCCCCCATTGCCTCGTAAGTCGAGACCCTGGCCATTGCGCTTGAAGATTGGGGATATACTCGAGATGTGGAATACTAGTGTGGACAGACTTGCTAATTGCGTTAATTCTATCTTATAGAGACCATCGAGGGTACCAGTATGTCTATGACCCGTGCCAAATTTCCACTTCCGAAGATTGTTCCGCCTCGAATTTGAAGATTACACGTCCAATATATATGTCCATTTCTGGACTATACAGCTTTGAAGATCTGGCGGAACATCTTCCGGAAGCATAAAATGCTGTTCCTGGTACTAACAGTCCATCTCAGTGAACGACCCCGTTCCCGTCCCCGAGACCAAGCCCTCCCAGGGTAGCTACCACTGGACCTTCGAGCGGTTCGTCATACCACATCCACCTCAAATCGAGGTGCTCCTACAAAGGATTACTTGAATACTAATTAATTCCAGTGCTGTCTGCGTTGGTCTGATCCCTCTCAGCGTTGCTCCTTTCGCCGCTGGCTCTCTTAACCCCGTTATGGATGCCGTTCTCTGCACCCTCCTGGTTGCCCACTCTCACATCGGTTTTGAGTAAGACGCCTTTATTCTACCACCGCCCTGCTCAGACCTTTTCTAACTTGTGTAGGGCCGCCATTGTCGACTACTTCCGTCCCCAGCGTGTGCCCAAGCTCTACGCTTTCTGCCAGTGGCTTCTGCGCGCTTTCACCCTCACCACTGCCGTCGGCCTGTACGAGTTCGAGACCAACGACGTCGGTGTCACCGAGGCTCTGCGCCGCATCTGGAACGCATAGAGTGGCGTTGATTTGAAAAGGGTTGTTTTGGGTTCTTTTTTTTATTCTGGTTCCAGGCGTTTCCGCCTATGTATATGTCGTTGAACACAATTTCATTTGTCTGCCCGAGTATATCGGGCTGAATCCTTCAATTTGAATGACCCATGGGTCTAATAGGAATTCAGATTGTATAACAGTTTTGACAGATTATACCTATAGAGTGCTAGTAGATTGTACTCGCATGTGGTATAATGCAACCACCTGATTCATACTAGTAAATACGTCAAGTTCATGCAAGTTATAAATAAGCAAATACTGCCCAGTGCGCATATATCATTTTGATCTATTCTAAATACAAGCACCCGCCCAAAGAACTGAAAGCTGCCCGCTGCGTAGATATCACCAGTTTACAGCTTGAGCATATTGGAACCATGCTCATAACCTGAACTTGCATGTGAAATGTATTTTTCCCAATCCAACATGAATCTCAAGTAACTGAATCAATCACTCGAACTCATCCTCCGCCTCCGCCGCCTCTAAAGCCTCTAAAATCGGATCGCCCTCCAAGCGCTCCTCATCATCAGCCTTCTTCATAACCGCCTGAATAAGCTTCAACGTCGCCTTAAGCGGCAATCCAACAACATTATCATAACTCCCATCAATCTTCTCCACGAGAATAGATCCCAAGCCTTGTAAACCATACCCACCAGCCTTATCCGCGCCCTCACGAGTACGAACATAAGCCATTAACAACTCATCCGTAACCTCGGGATCGAAGCGCACCTGTGTTTCCTCAACAACAGTCTCCATAGCATAGCCCGGTTGTCTAGCACTAGCAAGGGGAGCCATAGCTACAAGCGCCGTGTAAACCTTATGATCGCGTGCATCGCGCAGGGCCTTAAGCATAGAGAAATGGTGAGCCTCTGAGCGGGGTTTCTCAAGGATGGTTTCAGTGGTTGGATCAACGACAATAGTATCAGCCGCTAGGATTAGGGCTGGTTCGCCTTGTGCTTCGTTATCGATTTCTTGTGTATACACCGCCTGCGCTTTCTTGGTTGCTGTACCAAGCACATATTCGAATGGACCAAGGGATTTAGGAAGATCCTCGTCGGCATTTGAGGGGATGATTTCGATATTGGGAAGTCCGAGGAATGAGATGATTTGTTTGCGACGTGGTGATTGAGAGGCTAGGATTACTCGCTTGCTGCGGAGCTCGTTGAGCACTGGGAGGGAGAGTGGTGGTGGGCGGGGGAGAGGTGCCCCGCGACCTGGTGCTGGTTGGTTTGAGGTCTCGGTATCGATTGAGTCCTCATCGTCGAGGAGGGGTTTCTTTGAGAAAAACATGGTGGTTTTGAGAGGTGTTGAAGGGATGAGGTTGGAGATTGGTGGAGCTAGGGTGGTTTTTTGAGATAGATGGGCGTTGCTTGTCCGCGCACTTGTCTCCACTATGTTCATGGCCCGATTGGAGGATTCAAGTTGGCATGATCTATAGTTAACATTGGTCTTGGATTGTTCTGTTATTTTAAAAAAAAAATCAATTAACTCAAAATAGTCCGGCAGAGAATTAGCAGGGAATGATAATTCACTGTGAGCTACATATCACTACTAATACTGCGGTAGCGCCCGAACTATGCTCAGGTAGCCTAAGTACTCATTCATCGTGATCAAGACGGGTAATGAGATGAATACATTGTCCGAAGATTCATCCACAGAAGTTTCATTCAGAGATATGAGATTCAGGGATCAGTGAGACGGCACTGCAATCATATTTGCTATAAAAGTCCGTTACTGCCACTACAACATTTTGTATACCTAGAGAAACTCGAAGCCGACCGGTGACAACGCCCTTGTGGCTCCGTAGCCACACCCATAAAGACATTCTGCCTAGATCCCCAGGGCAAAAACTCGAATGTACAAAAATATGTGTATAAAAGTATTAAAACATGCGACATACGACATGCGACATCAGAAAAGAAATCCATCAGAACGGTCGTTGCTTCACAGGACAAAAACTTCAGATCGGACAGAGCCGGCCAGATCGAGTAGAAGCTCTCCAGAAACAGGGTATGGAAACTCAGTGTTTCATTCTGATACCAGTGCCGTAAAAAGTGGACGATGGCGAAAGAGATTCGTTGTTCGGATGCATGATTCATTTTCATGGGTGAAGAAGGCCCGCCTCCTGAACCTCGGCACATGCATGAGGCCCAAGGTCATCCACAAATATGGGTAGCATGATGCAAAATAGCGCAAGCAGAAGGGGGAATTCAAAAGCAATGAAACCGCCAGATGAAGGTAAATATAAATATCAAAATGTGCCCCGCGAGTCCCTATGTAGGCCGCAAGGAGTCGTCCACTCGACCACCTTTGTTCTCCACTTCGGCAATAAGGCTATGACGCTCTTGCAATTGCTGGTGGATGAACTCGACTGTCTTTTGTAGGACGATGCTCTCACTGCGACCTTGACCTTCGAGGCCAGGTACCAATTCTGTCAGGCGGTCGAAGCCCTCTCGAATGGCAGCGCGACGCTTCTGCTCAGAGGCAATATGATTATTCTTCTTCTCCTGATCAGTCAGGCGAGGCTTATCCTTTTCCTGACCAGATGCAGACTTGGGCGCTGAGGTCGAGGACGACCGGTCATTTTCATCGTCAGGGTTCATTGTGAAGAGTGGAGCGGGTGAATGCAGTGAAACTGGTGGTATGCGTATGCGTACACTGGGGTTGTGGACAGTCCGTATAAGTTTGTATGATGATCAGGCAAGGTAGTGAAGGAGAAAAGGGAGGTATTTAAAGAAATATATTGGAAGTAAATATACCACGTGCTAAAGAGTGTGGAGGAGCCGTGGAAAAGTAAGCGCAGAGACTGGAAGTTGATAGCGAATCGCGATAAGCTGGAATGCGGAGAAGGAAACTTGGGCCTTGACTCTTGGAGTCTTGGCACTCTTCAACGTCATAGAGAGGGTCCATCTCATACCCGAGTTTTCTGTCATTCTTGCACTTTTTTATCTTATTCGAATCCATTTATTTAATCCACTACTCCGCCAACCTCGATTTCAGGCAGCTCAATCCCTATTGAGGGATCTCTCGAGTCCCTATCACAAAAGCGGGTCTACCCCAAGCCTAGCAGCTTCACTAGCTAGTAGCTGCTCATTAGCAGTTTCGACGTTTCTCTGTACAACCCAACCAACATGCCCCACGAGCCATTGCATGGATCATGCTCCTGCGGTCGCATCCATTATCAGATCCAGATCCCTGATAATGTGACTGATCATGCTTCGGTATACTTTGACAGCAGTAGAGACAGCCGTATAGATACTGACCCCAATCCACTAGCTTCCTCGTACTCTGTACTAATAGTGATAATCCCAGGTCGATTCCAAGGCACTCCATTGACAGCATGGCTACGAGTACCACTTGATTGGTATCATTCTTATACGACTTCTTTCTTCCCCGATGAAACACACACCTCCATTCGACGCACCTTCACGCCACATGACGCGCCCCAAACCCAGCGTATATTCTGTGGCTTCTGCGGAACACCACTAAGCTTTTGGACTGAGGAACCTGAAGAGGAAGCGGATTACCTGGCCATTTCTATTGGAAGTCTTCTAGGCGCGGACCAACACGCTCTGGAAGATCTTCATCTACTACCCGAGGACTCCGACGAAGATGTTCCATATACCGGCATTTCCAGCTCATCCCTTGCACCCACACAGGAAGCTACTTCCACGTCCTCAATTACTGTACCATCATTTCCAGATTCACCAGATCTCTCGCGGAGTGTTCGAAGTGGTATAATCCATGGCATACCATGGTTCGAGGAGATGGTGGAGGGCAGCCGTCTTGGTCGTTTGATGCGGTCAAAGCGTGGAAAAGGCGTGAGTGAAGATAAATCTACATCTTTTGAGTGGGAGATTAGTGAATGGTATGATGATGGTTCTCGCGGTATCATCCAAGAGGATTCGGATTCTAATGACCGTCCTACTGGAAAGAGAAAACGGGGCCACCATGTGGATGCCGGGTCTCACCAAAAACGAGCATAGGGCTCTTCCAGATGTCAATGAGGAACATTAGTTCTCTGGGGTCACGAGATCGTGCTAGATTATTTATATAGCGTTAACCTAATGAGCAATAATAAAATTTATTAACTTCTTCAGGTGTGAAGCCGTATCTCCCTCATTTGTAGGACTGGACTCGTAAGTCCGGAAGTCCGAGATATTACTATAAAACTTTGGAATTATGCCTCGAGAGCCTCACATAGGCCCTACTTGTTTCTCGAGTGTCTGTGGCTTTATTTTCTTCTGCCACTGCCTGGCATAAACAGAGGGGCAGAAATCGTAGAACCAATTTAGTCCAGCTATACACATGTAGCAGCTAGCCTTCCTTCTCTTCCAGCTAACCCTCCAGGTAACCCCGTAGGTAATCCTGTAGATGATTACATAAAAACAGGTATAGGTTATCAGTCACCTGTCCATACTACCGACTGAGTACCTAAGTGTGTGGAAATCCCTGTCTGAGAGGATGTGAACACACCTGGCCAAGCACTTGAGTGCTGAGGAGATACCTTTCCCACGTGCAATTTCGCTGCTACTAGTACAGTGTCGCTCGAAGCACGGCGTGAATTCGGGCAACGTGAGGGCTTGCTACAGTATCATTTGATTCTAGAGGATCTCTCAGTATCCTGAGATTCTGGTTCTAGTGAGTATGTAGTATTTTCCAAGGTCGTGTATCAATCTATCCTAGGAGTGGAGGATGTCCCCTGAGTAAGGTCTGAAGGTACATGCACTCAGCAATATCGGGCTGTAAAAGTCGAGTAACAGCAGGCTGAAAAGGTCTGGTGTCATTCTTTACTTTGCCATAACTATTGATAGAAGTCTCACCTCATTCAAGATCTCCTGATATCGCGCATAAAGCCTGCAGGCTTCGTTAAGATCCTCTTATCTCAAAAATCTCGATCACACATCTGCAACCTCCATCTTGAGCTTCTTCTCACCTTACCTTTGTTTCTCAGACTTAAAGCAAGTAACCACGCCCAAAATCGAAAGGGATTTTACTTCGACATCATCCTTAGTCAACATGATTTGATATCTGACACAGCAAGGCAGCTCTGCTTCACTACTCAAAGGGCACACAGAAAGTAAGACTAAGAATAATTTACCTCTTCAAACTATCGAGCTGATCATATGGCCTGCCCTTTCCAGAAAAAAGGCATCAACTACCAAGTCACACCTGGATACAGCACTTGACGCTCTCGCACAGCAGCTATATGATACCGTCCATGTTTATGCTGAGCACCAAAGTCCATTTAAAGATTTTCAAATAGAACTCAATGTAAGATTCCTTGCTTTCTTTCTCTCAAATCCTGAGGCTGCTCCGAGAGATGCAGCCCTGAGAATTCTATCGGGGAGTGAATCTTGGCAAAGTACACACCTGGCATTTCTTCGGAGTCTAGCTGTACTTGCTTCTCTACCTACTGCCTATGATCATCCATTTTAATTTACGTGGATATCAAGAAGACATCTGGACAGCATTAACGTGTACTTAGAGATTACTTGGAGACAATCATCAATCAAGAAAAAAGTGTAAAATTATTCGTTTATCAAACAGCTCGCTAATCAGCAAAATCTAGTGGTAAAATAAATATCCCAAGAAGAAAAGAGCAAGGGAATGCATGAAGATCCCTCTCGCTTATAAACGCCTAAATGCAGCATATTTATCTCTCATAATCAAGATTCCACCAGGGAGATCATGATGAAAGTGAGATCAAGAGGTAATGAACAAAGACCAGACTTTTATACTGTCCGGTCCATCCAAACAAATCATAAAGACATCTCTATACAGAACATCTAAAACTGGGCCTGCTCATAGCGAGTTGGCTCATAGCGGTTGTTCTGGTTCTGGCTCTGGTTCTGGTACTGAGTAGGCTGTTGCCACTGAGGCTGCTGGTACTGAGTACCGGCAGGCTCATACGCAGTCTGCTCGTACTTAGGAATCATACCAGCCTCATCCTCAGGCTTGGTGTAACCATCCTTGCGAGATTGGAGGGTAACACCGATAGCAATAAGGACGACGGTGATACCGACCTCCTCGATAACACTCATGAGAACCTCGACAGTCTCGTTAGCGTTGACGAGGCTGAAGGTGCCGTTGTTAAGGAAGAAGATCAGAACAGCGTAGATGGTTCGGACAAGCAGGATTGGCGAGCAAATGGCAACAGCCAAGAGACAGCGACCATCACCAGGCTCAAGACCGTCGCGACGGGTCCAGAGGATGTACAGCATGATCATGAGGATGACCCAAGAAACGAGGTAGATAGCCATGGAGACCTTGCAGATAGCTGGTGGGTTCTCCATTGCCTCGAGAGTCATATTCTTAGTGAGACCGTAGATACTCAAAGCGACGGCGAGAATGTTGAGCATGCGGAATGCGAAGAAGTGGAAATAATGGAAACCCTTTCCGGTGCGTTCGCGAATACCGTTGTTACTGCGGGTGGGTTAGTGTTTGGCACTAGCGTATAAGGTTATACGGGGTGAGACTTACGCCCGAGAGAGTTGTCCTGAACAGGCAAGCATTAAAGGTGTAATACCGATGGCTGTGCAGATCATGTATGCGATTGTGAGGTCCTTGGAGGTCTTTTCGAGTGTGATAAGGTTGCAGACATGGCCGATGATTCGGAGGAGGGCAAATGCTGTGAGGAAAAGGTATCCACAGTTTGTCATGAAACCCTGCCGAAAGACAAGGAAACCAGAAATGAAGAAGGCGGGAATGTAGACGACTAATTCGGCGACAGAGACGCCATCGCTGTAGTCGAAAGAGCCCATTTTGGATTTTGATGTGAAATTAAACTTGGTTGAGGTTTTTGTATATGCGAAATGTGTATATGTCGGGATGGCAATAAACTTTTTAGAGCGAGGAGATGTAAGATGAAAATATCCAAGGCCTGTCAAAGTGATATCGAGAATAGGTGGAGAGAGGGCTTCGCCCGGGTGGGTTGGTGGCTGGTGAGTTGGGAATAGTGAAGAAAAAAAAAGCTTAGGTATGGGGGCAGACAAGATGGTTTATATCCTTCTATGATCCACAAGTGCGCGACTTTTGTCTAAATCTGATGCCTGCTAGTGCATCATCTAATGCAGCCAAGCTCGCGAAATACTGTTCATTGCGGCTGTGAGATGCTTAGTTTCTATGGGAATGAAGCCAAGCTTCGTCAACAGTTGAAAGAGCGACGAATTAATTGCTTCATTAAGCCGATTTGGCGACGCTATTCCTAATCCAGGAAGCAATGCGAACAGAATTAAACCAATGAGAGTGGAGAGGCTGTGTTTCATGGCTAAGATCCGCGGTGTCTCCGTTATCCGTGGGGGCTATGGTAGGCATTGGTAGCCTATGGAAGAGTGGAGTCCGCCCTATATGATTTCAAGTTACTCCTTCGAGGAATCTACTTTGTTCAGTTAGACTCATTTTTGAGGTGGGGTAGTTCCTAAACCGCATTTCTTACACACGGATCACCGTTTGAGGAGACTATTTGGGGTAAATGTCGTATCTAGTATTGAATGGCCGCTATATCCTCTCCCACCGTGGGGTAAATTAGGGGCAAAGGATGCTAATATGTGGCAAAGCGCCAAGTTTTCTTTGTTTCAAACTATCTGATACAAACGTTATCCGACATACGAAATACGGTGCCTCATATTTGAAGCTGTTACCCCCTGTCTGACCAGCATCAGGATGGTTTACCTTTGATTAAAGGATCCGCAAAACTGCAATACTATGTGGCATTGATGGATAATCTCAGAGGATGATATTGTTCGTAATTAAATGATTCTATTAATATCAACACTAAGGAGTAGCTTCGGATGATCTTACAATTAGATCGGGAATACCTAGGATAAATTAAACTAGTGGGAGGAAATAGATGAGTTATGATGACAACATGCATAAAGATCCACACTTGAAAGAAAAATAGATTCTTATCAAAGTGCGGAGTCCACTTACTGCGACCAAATTGATAAATTCGGGAAGAACCTTGGGAGGTTTTAGGTGATTTTGCGAGCCGAGCCATGGGCATGCAGGCTGCAGGCTGCGCTGCCCAGAATCACGTACTCCATACCCCGTAGGGTGTAGGCATTACAGGGATTATGACCAGGGTTTGTGCCTGATCCCAAGCTCAGCCTCTCCAAAATCCCTGGATAATTCTCTGTTCTTTAGTGTGGAATTAGTTCGGCGGTGAAGTTGGACGCTATCTATCACATCATGATATGGCATCATTGGAATTGGGCTGGAATGCAGCAAAAATGGCCCCCAAAGACTCATGTCGCCTCCCGCTAGCACCCGATGGTACTTTTCCCAATACTCCTCCAGGTTGGCATTGCGAGTGATATTTTCTCAAACAAAACACACATTATCATTCATTCCGGTGGTTATTGTTCTCTCAGGTTGGGACTTCAAGTTGGGTATAGATCTTGTAAGTTGTGACAGCCTTGAAAGGCAACTGGCCAGAACATCAAATATTTGAATGTGACCAAAAGGCACTATGAAATGTTCCAAAGTTCAAATGCCAGTGGATTCTTAGACAAAGAAATACACCTTCTCTCCACCTACTGACGTGGCCCAGCATGACTTTCGATCCCAAAGAACCATCCTGGGAGCATGGGAGCAACACATCCATACCCGGTACTGCTCCCTTTCAAATTTTCAAGTAAAAAAACAAGGACAAATCATATCATTGGTTTAAATTACTGGTATGCATTAATTAGTCGAGGACAAATTCAGGACCCAGGTGTGATAGATACTACTTCTAAGTTCTGAGAGATCGAATAAGGCCCATCTCGGACTTCCAAGGTTCAGCCCTAGAGGGAGATTAATCACATCAACAGATACTTTACAGGTTATTTTGATACTCTCTCGGGCCCCCAGACAATGACAGATACTTCAGGGTAAAAAGCGTCGTTATTTATGATTGACAAAACGTTATATTCAGATTATTGAGAAATTATCCCGCCAGCTGGCATTAAGAGGTAAGAAATATCTCTAGGTTGGTATAGGACATTTAGGAACTATCTACCATCCGGTTCCACGGGTGCCCAGGTGGTAGCAAAGCTGAGCATCCCCGTGTTAGTAGCCACAGGCTCTGGCAGCAGCTTCAAACTCAAGGTCGTTTCTACAAGTTGGTTCGGCTGGGGGGGGTCCGGGTACCTTATGTCAATTCCAAACGGCTCGTTGATTTCATTCGTGTCTTCCCATCCGCGGCCCGCCTCGTCGTTCGCGTCGGCGAGTCTAGCACTCTCGATAATACTCCGAAGCACTGCCCGGCAGCCCTTCTGCGTTCCAGCACGGCGCAGGTAGCTCTGCATGTATGTATTCAGCGGCCACTCCGAGCCCCTCTGGTTCAAAATTGTATTGCAGCACCACTCGAGATTTTCCACAGTAGGAGCCTTCTCCGCATTGAGGCAATTTACCACAAGTTGGAACATATTCACAAAGCCCAGTCGCTGTGACAGGTGGATTGCGAGGCTCCGGTGCACATCGCAGTCGAGGAACCCATGGCTCCTTACCCATCCGCCATCCTCAATTCTCTGAGTCCACTTGGGATTTTTTTCATGACCTGTCATAGAATTCTTCATTTTGACGGAGATAAATCCTTCCACGCTCTCTCCATATGTACACCCATATCGGAAACATGCTTTATTAGCCGAAGGATTCTTTCCGGACAGCAAGCAGAGACAAGAGACTGCGGCGTCAGGATTTCCGTCAAATTGATCCGATACGTTCTTGATTCTTCGAAGGCCGCATTTACTTTGCGTTCGCATTTTCTTTAATTTCTCCTGCAATTCTTCAAACGGGGTATGCCCGTCGATATCACGGGCTGTCTTCCAGGATTCTGCGTCGTGGATTTTCTCAAGTAGCCACTGTGCACTCAAGGGCTTGAACTCGCAAGCTGTTAGATGCAGGAGTGTAGCCTCGGAGTTGGTCACTCGATCCCAGCCAATCTTATCATCAATATGAGTGATGAAAAAGGCCTTCAGTTCTTCGTCCGTCAGCGTGAGAGCTGCATGATGTAATGGCAACGCGTTGCGAAGCCTTTCCATTCTCAGTGTGCTTGTGCCAGTAGAGCAATCAATCTCATAGATAACTCTGAGCTCCTCATTTTCAAGATCTCGAGCCTTGCTACGACGTGGATTGAAATCGGAGGCTGCTGCAAGGGCATGGGACGGATGGTCCGGAATGAATGAAAATGCGAAACAGTCAGATACACCGATTCGGCGAAAGCCACATGATCGCCAAAAGTCAGTAGCAACTGCTTCAGTTTGATATTTTATCATCAAACGTTCCTCTGGTGACTTGCCCACTAAGTGTGATGCAATATCAGCTTTAAGATATCCAGGTATGACTAAAGCATGGAGAGTCCACTCAGGACCCATGAAGTCCTTGGGAGTCCAATTGTCAAAGCCCGCCAAGATATAGACATCTGGCTTCACACTATTGGCTAAGGAGAATTTTTTGGCCTTCTCCAAGAGTAAAGACACAACTTTTTGTCCCAGCCCTTTCCGGCGTAGCTTCAGTGCTGTAATATGAAGGTTTTCGAAGAAAAAAAGAGGGCCCTGATCAAGTTCGCTTCCCCATATACCAGTTCCTCTTTGTCTTGGATGGTCCTTATACTTTGTCATTATAGTTCCATATCGATCAAAGATTTCGAAGGCCAAACGGCACATTTCCGCGCTTCGCTCTTGCACGGTTTCCCAGAAGCCATCGTAGTAGCGACGGTGTCTCCTTAGACCATTTGTCCATCCTGGGTGAATATTTGTCCTTTCTGGGTGACTATGCCGCGCAAGAGTGGTCGCAACAACAACACCATTACAGGTGCATTCGGCGACAAAGTTCTTCATCCACTTGTAGTTGCCCGTTTTATCGTTCATCAAAAAGAGCCGAATCTTCACCAGTTGTGCTACATCACCGGGGATGATATACTCATGATCTTCAATTTCCTCTCGAGTTTCAATTCCAGATCATTGCTCTGATCTTTATCGTCATATTCATACCCATGCTCGGAGTCTTCAAGCTCGTCCTCACGTTCGGTTTCATCGGCCCCATTGTAATCAGATATATTCTCCTCGGATTCACCGTCCTCGGTATTCATTGTCGGTAAATTAAGTCAGTACAGCTCACACTTCTATACTCTCATTTCAAGTTATTAGTGTAATGGAATTAGGACGCACTTTTCCGCTTGAGAGATATTGGATGGACCTCCATTTCCTTCGAATAAATATTCAATTGTCATAGCGTTATCAACCTTGTCTTTTGGGCTGGTTGAGGGTTAAATGAGCACTTGAGTAGTAGGGAAACAGGAGAGAGGGGGACTGCAGTGTTTTGGGCTGTGAACCAAGTGGACCGACGCGAGGTAGTCACCCACCTTCAGCCCAGTACGTGATTCATTGTGCATTAGCTTGAGAGGGGAATCCTGTCAGAGATCTCGCGTCGTGATTGCACGAAAATAGTATTGTGATAGGTCAATAATCCCAAAACACGATATATCATAGTTCAAATGTTGGATGTGGGGCTGTAACAAAATGCGAATTTGTGGCTATACCCAGGTGTGGGAAATTGTTCCGTAAATTGAAGGATACATGGATACCATGTACTCATAATTGAAGTGCTGCTGGTATTAGTGGGAGAGGAATTCGTACTTAGTTACTACTCCAGATGAAACTAGCTTTTTATATTAGTAGTAGTAGTAGTAGTAGTAGTAGTAGTAGTAGTAGGACCTCGGAAGGAGGAGTAGTCTAGTAGAGATTGGACAAAAGCCACATGCCCACTGCCCAGGTGGCACTGGCACATGTGCATGTGGGCACGCTAGTGTATCCATGGATAACATCAAGTTGAACTTCAAGACTTCGAGCCCTGGAGTCGGACAAGTTAACTACCAACAACCCTAGAACGGCGCTTAGAAATGGTACTATACAATAGCATTCCTCATAATCATGTACTCGTATACAGACGAGGATAAGAATAACTTGAAGTCACGGTGAGATTTAAATCCTTCTTGTATCCATTTCCAGGCGCACCTGGGCAGCATTCAAATGTTTGAACACATTGATTGCCACCTGTGGACGCTATGGATGCATCCATTTGGCCCCATTAAGCCATTGGGCACTGGATTATGATCTCAGATCATGATATAGTAGTCTGTGTAAATCGAAGATCCACTGGGTACGTATGGGCCGAGTTCAAATGTTTATTCAGACGCGTTGTTGTTGTTATTGAATATCCATTTACTAGTAGTTGACCAGTTGACCGAAAGTGCCCAGTTCTTACGGAGAGGACTTGGAGTTGGAACCGAACCATGGCTGCTCCATTTAGTTGATATTGGAACAGAACAACGGAATCTGAAGTCATCCTGCCGTGTGTGTAGAAGGCATTGTCTTTCATCGAATTGCGCCACTTCAAGCAGATAAGTTGATTCTGATGTCATCCCGAATTAACCGATGGTCCAGCATTCAACTATACCTTGAACGGTACCTAGGTATACTCGTTGTTGACTGCCTAGGTTTATATGTAGGTGCCTTCATTTGGGCCGTCTAGCGTCGAAATTTAGGCATCTAGAATGGCTTTTACCACCTCAATATCCCACTGTGGCAGTGTATTCACCCAAGTAGGCCTATCGGCACTATTCCGAGCAACATTCCCATCTTTTCAATGCTTAATCTGTGGCTGAGCGATGAAAGCCATCCAGGCACCAAAATTAGGAAAGCTTCATCTGATAACCGTGCCATGGGAGACAAGCTTCTGTCGATCAAATGTCTCGCACAGTATTCCGAACTGAGGAGCCCTTTGACATTCTGTGAAAGCCGATTTGACGGTGAGCACCACTTCAGTGGGGCTGACCCATGCCCTACCAATCAGACCAGTGGCGGTGCAGTTGTCTTTGTTGAAGTCGCCCCCAACGTCTTATTATCCCCCCCCCCTCAGCCGTTAGATGCCCATCTTTTTAAATCTGTTAAACCACCGCCAGGATCCTTCCTGATCATGGTCTATTGTGGCAAACCAAGCAAAGGCTGCGGGCAATGCCGATCCCGCAAGATCCGCTGCGACCAGGCCCGCCCGGCATGCTCGCAGTGCGTGAGAGCCAAGCGGGAATGCCCCGGTTATCGGGATCAGTTATCGCTCATGTTTCGCGATGAAAGCAAGTCGGTAATACGAAAAGCGAAGGCGGAAGGGAAGGAGACAAAGAGGACCAGTCCACCTGCATCGTCTAGCGTCGCCCCTCGATCAAAACAGTCATCAGAGCGAGCTCATCGCAAAGCTTCCCCAGAAGGGAACTCGGCGCCCACGCTTGCCTTGGAGGTGGGGCCCGATGTCCCGTTCGATTTCGACAATGATCCACACTTTCAGTATGCGCTGTCGAGAATATCAAGTCTAGATAGCGTGCCAATGGAAGTACAGCCAGCAGGAATGACACAGGAAGATGCGATTTGTTATTTCATGCAGAGCAATTCGTTTCCGGGCGCGTTTTGGATGTCGGATTACATGGCCAATTTCTTGAAACAATCCGCCGGCGGACCTGCGAGTGTCCGAGCACTCCGAGCAAGCATGGGCGCTGTTGCATCCGCCATGCTATGTCGGGTAAGAAGAGAGGTCTCACTGAAAGAAGTCGCTCGCAAGTCATATGGTTCTGCACTTGAACTTTTAAACTCCGCCTTGGCCAATCCAGAAGAAGCAAAGTCTAACCAAGCGTTGGGGGCCGTCGTGCTTCTTGCTATATACGAGGTAAGATATCTTTCCAAGGTTCTTCGCGATCGACGCTAGCATTTATTATTTTTTTTCAAAAGGATCTTCTAGCTCACTTTTGCCACTTTTAACATTAGATTGTTGTTTCGCGAGCCCCGCAGGATATTGCTCTTTGGACTAACCATATATCTGGTGCTACTGCCCTGCTTGAACTGCGAGGCCCTGATCAACTAAAGAACGAAGCCGGTCTTCGTCTGTTCCTGCACTTGCGCTATCAAATTGTATGTACCACTACTGGCATTTTTTCACCATCTATCTGTGGCGAATTTTCATTTTTTTCTAACCTGGGAAATATTTTCAACAGATCATCAGCTGTATGCAGCGAGACGCCCGCGTGCCCGACTACCTCTTGGAGGGCACAAGGGAAATCCTTAACCTCGCCCGGCCGAGGCTCATGGAAACCGATTGATTATGATCATCGGTCGCATCTCTAACCTCAGAGCCGACATTATCTCCGGTGCACTCAACGATGATCAGGAGATTATTTCGCAAGCCTCGGCGATCGAGGCTTCATTAATAGCCTGGCTCGCAGCCTTACCACCCGTATTCACCTACGAAACTCACACGAGATCTCGCTTCGATTATGGATTCGACAATCGCTGTCGTGGAATGACTACTCTTGATGATCAGTATCATGTATACCCAACACTGTGGTCCTTCAACACATGGAGTCAGTATCGATGTGCACGTATCATCATCAGTGAAATTCTCTTAACACATATCCGACAAATGTCCGACGCATCTTCGATGAGGTCGTTATCCGAGGAATTTCGACAGCATTGCAAAACACTTCGATCAAACATTAGTCGCCTTGCCCTTGACATCTGCCGCAGTGTACCATATGCTTTAGGCGCCCATCGCCCCGAGTATGACTCCACTATGCCAGCACCTGATAGCTACATTGGTGGCCTTGTGTTACTGTGGCCGTTGTATATTGCCGGAACTGCGGAGAATTCCTACCACCCACTGCGCCGGTGGGTAGTGCAATGCTTACGTTGGGTTGGTTATACCTATGGACTGGATCAGGCCTTAGCGCTCATGGATATTGTCGCTGCTGACCCAGGTATTCTGCACGGAGGTACCGATGCGGAAATAGAGCAGAGCCGCATTACTGATGAACCCGTATCAGGCGTTTCTAGTTCACGAGCTGCTGTGGCAATTGCCAATTCTACCAGCGCTTTCAATAACATGTCCCCTGCTGCAAGAATTGAGAGCATTTGAGGCTAGGTTCTCGTGTTCTCATGGGACTTTATTTTTTCTTCTCTATACCCATGACATGATTTTACATTTACTTCTCTTTTTTTTACTTGACATATTGCTTTCTTCTATTACTTCGCCTCTTCCTTTCATCTTGTTTTCTAAATTTCTTTTCCTTTTCTTTGGGTCGGGGAGATTACAGCCCTGGGGGAGGCTATGCCTGAAGTGTGCTCAGACATGATTATGACATACTTTATTCTAGACAACATTCTCATGACTACTACTGTCTAGTATATTTAAATTCTCTTTTCTCATTTGACATTTTAAAAATTCTCCGCAACGTAGTTGATTTTTCTTATTGGTCTATTTACTAATCATTAGGTATCTCCACGTTATTTAATCTGCCCTGCGGGGTTGAGCTTATTGACTGGATCCATGTTGGGGGCTGTGCGTACCACCTGGGCTGCTGGGCATTACTCCGCCTCAAGCTGTGCAAACACAACATGTGCAAGCAACCGCAATAGCACCTGACAGGGTTAAAGTGACTCAACCGCCATTCATAGGGCAAAACGAATATGTGCACCCTATAGTAATTTACCCAGCCCGACCGAAGGGTTGTCTATATGCGCTCTTCTACATACGCTAGTTAATTGTAATATGCCCGTGCATAACCCTACTGTCTACCAGGGGGAATAACATGGTTCAGCCCCTGATCATAGCTCCCTTTACAGTTATGTCCAGTCTGCCTTGTGAATTCAATTCTGTGGTTCCTGAGAAACATGGCTCCGCAAACCTAGACCTAGTGGAAGTGTGATTGTAACCTGCCTCCATAATGGTTTCAATAGTAATACAAGGCTATGATATCAATGGATCATTCAATATGTGACTCCGCTAAATTGGGCGTCTACAAGCCGCCCAAAAACAGCCTTCCAAGGTTGTTTTGCTTTGATGTCTTGGGACCAAAGGAAGTGAATGATCCTAAGTACTATATAGGATGAGATATATCTTTGTTGTTTGATAGTTCCTTTATTATAGCAAACATCATTCATCTACTGAACCCAACACACTCAATGACTCAAAACTTGAATCACTAGTCACTGCCAGTTGTATCAATCTATTTCTGTTGCGCGATATTCACCACAGTCTTGGAAGGTTGGATTGCACATCATAATACCCAGGGCCTTGGATATTTAAGTGCTCACTAGAACCTCCCACTCTTTCTCATCAAATTGACTTGAGTGAACATTCAAAAACATCTCTCAGCAAAACACACAATCACAGAGGGCAACATGGCTCGAAAGAACCCAGAAAGTCAAAACGCTCACTGGAACCCGCCGCTTTACGAGGAAATTGAATCACAATACCCAGCCCAAGTACCCGCTCCCAACCCAGACACCGCTGCAACCGGCCTCTGCAAATTTGATACGATCTTCATCATAGATGACAGTACCAGCATGAAGGGAAACCGCTGGGAAGAACTCGAAAAAGCCATTGCCGTCATCACCCCACTATGTACTCAAGGTGACGAAGATGGGATAGAAATCTACTTCCTAAATCACAATCAGGTCTATGAGAATGTCAAGAAAACAGAGAAAGTACAGGAGATCTTCTCAGATATACATCCTGATGGATGGACACCCGTCGGGGAGGTACTGAGGAAAATCCTGGAGCCATACCTGGCGCGTGTGCAGAATATGCAAAGATATCGTCAAAGCCACTGGCAAATAACAGAAGTCCCCGCGAGTGTCAATGTCAAGCCTTTGAATATTATTGTCATCACGGATGGAGCGTTCACGGATGGCCACATTGCGCAGGATACAATCTTCCAAACGGCCTCTGCGCTGGATAAATGTGATCCTCCCGCGAGAAGTGATCAGTTGGGTATCCAGTTCTTTCAGATTGGGGATGATGAAAAAGCGAAGAAGTTTCTGGAGAACCTGGATGATAATTTGGGTAAGATTTGTGGGCAGGAGAAGATGAGGGATATTGTGGACACAGTAACTTGGGAAGAGACGGAGTGGTGGAGAAGCAAGAAGGAGCCGACGTTAGATACGGAATGGCTTCTGAAAGTTGTTTTGGGGGGTGTGAACAAGGTTTATGATCAAAAGACTCGGAAGAGTCGAAAGAAGTGGTACCATGCATTTAGAAGATAGTGATTTTGCTTTCTTTAATATTCTAGCCTGTTTGAAGATCATATGATTTCTTTTGCGAGCGCGGTATCAAGAATCACTACTCTTTCATTGCAGCAAATTCGGAATTGCTACTACATAGCTTCATAATACTCATCCCAATACTCTAGAGTATAGAAATACAGTCTGGTAATAGTTGCATAAAATGGACTCGACCAAAATGTACAAGTAGGTATGATATAGTTAACTTGGAACACTGGGACATAGATATTGGCGCCAGCGTCCTCAGCCTATTACCGAGATTCCGGCTCGGATTCAACCTTGGCGACATCATGAATGGGATAGATAAGTGACAAAATTTAGTCGGAAAAAAAACATTTGCAAAAAAAAAAAGAATAAAAGAAGAATCGACAGCTGGCGGATTTGAACCGCCGCCTCCGAAGAGAATTGATATCGATCGGATAAATTGTTATCCGGTTCTAGTCAATCGCCTTAGACCACTCGGCCAAACTGCCTATATGTTCAATGCTCCACATTTGACTATATCACCCTTTGGGCCCAATCCACCTTTTGATCTGATATCAGTAGATGGCTATTGTACTCCGTACCATCTTATAATAACCCGAGAAAGAACATATTAAAACTTCATACTAACATATCCAACAAATTATCCCAACTTGAATATTGCATTAAATCCAGCCGTTAAAAAATATCAATTGATACGGGCACATATTAACATTTGAATAAAGTAGATATGCGTTGGAACTGTCCGTATACAGGAGAATTCATTCAAGATTATACCGTGTTATCAAGTCACTCCTCAGTGAAAGCTACCGGAAAAGAAGTAATGGTAGCCTAAAATTTGAGATACGAAGCTCGAAACTCGAATAAACAATCCTTTTTCAACTCATATACCCTAGAGTTTAGGGGGGCAATAGTGCAAATTAGCGCGGGGTCAAACACTTTCCCGGTTTGAAAGGATGGACGCGTGTTCATTTCATGCTCTAGGAGATGAGCTGAGTTGGAACATCCAGAGAGGCACTTGGCGGGAAAATTTTCTTGATTAGTAGGAATGTGTTATCCAGAATCCCAAGAATCCCAAGTAAGATCCCTAGAGAGGGAAAAATGCAATTGCGTCATGGTATCGGATCCTTGAGGGATTCCACCGAGTAGTTCGATCTGAATTTCAAATTTTGTGCTTTCAGCTGATGATGAGATGAATGAAGGGTGGGCATCTTAGTTCACTTTCAATATGATCTGTATGAAATTGAATATCCGAGGGTGTCATCCCGGATTATATTACGCAAGCTCCCAACCTTCAAATGTTGAAGACCTCCTTGTCCCCTCATTAACTTATTTCCAAGGTTGAGTACGGAGTACTAAGGCTGTGTACTACAGAGACATGTTGTGGCAGTATAGTTGCAGAAGGTCACACGGTGAGAGGAGCTGTTTGAGCTTGGTTTGAATGGAAAATTGGCCTCAATGGCTAGGCTTGTGCATCCCAACATATCCGACAGCGAGTATGAACGTGCTTCGTGCTTCGTACTCCGTAGTTCCGAAGCAAACCTGGCAGCTTCGCCACAGTCCCGATACGGAATACTATGAAGCCATAGATGAGACCAGTCATCTGCAGGCGCCGCACAATTTCAGGAGCCGCCCAAGTGGAGCCTCGGGATCCTAGTGATGGGCGATCTCCGAATCACGAAATTTAGCGTCAGGGGGGCGAACCATTCCACCCTTGCAGTTCTCTGTTCCTGGTCAAGCATAGGCATATTTTACCGAGTTGATCCGTTTCATGGTGTTGTCAAAAATAAGTCGCGTGTTTCCAAATAGGAGAGTTAAGCTAGTTAGAGAGTCGCGTACCTTACAGTAGTGGGGGGAGAACCATGGTTTGGTGGGCGGAGTTCATCAGCCACATTTGTAGATGATAATCTCCTTCTATGTTGATCTGCATGCCAACTTTATTATCATTGAGGATAAGATTTAACAATGCCATATTCAAATCATATTTGGTTCATTGAGCTCATCTTATCCATTCTAAGATCCGCACAGCTATTGGAATGGTTGGGCCCTTATTGACTCTCTCATCCGTGGATCGGCATCTACGGTGATGATTCCCCGCAGTGTGCCGATCTCGCGCGTCACCGCAAGAAAAAAGAAAAAACCCTCACTCCCTATCTTCTCTTCTTGCCACTGCTCACATTTCACATTTCCAACTAAATCAACTCCTCCCGTATTCCTCCCGAAACACGAATCCCAATTCCGCCTCGTCGAAGCGCCGAGTTCCAAGGTTATCCTAGTCCTGCTGCCTCCTGCAGGTACATCCGGGCGCTTCGCGTTCTACCACGCTTATTGGTTCCAAGTTGTCGCCCTGCAGTGTGCTTGGGAAATTACTTTTTTGCCTGTCAACAACGAGCTCAACTAGCTGCCTGATCTTCCCCCCCCCCCCCTTCGCGGTTCCTGAAGCATCCAGCCCCTGTGTCAGGTCTTCAAGGCCATGGAGTGGTCGTTTGCTTTGTTCGACTCCACTGAAACGGTTCTCGAACAATCCATTAATAGACCTGTCATTGTTTGAAACAGGCACAGTCAACCTAAGGGCGAGCTGTAATTATAGAAACATTTGTTTACTTATCCGGGCTGGACCACGGGCTATATTGTTGTCCTTATATTCCCTCGCTTGGGCTTCTCGGACATTTCTTTTTCTCTTCAAGTTCATCACCCATCGTTCTTCTCATTCCTTTCTTTGGTGTTTTTTTATTGCATTGCATTGCATTCACTTTCCTTGCTGTATAATATATCGGTGCCTTTGCTTTTTCATTTCTGACCCTCTGGTTTCATTCCACCTTCGCTTTCAAGCACATTCATTGTTATACTTTTCCTTTCAAGAATTTTGCATCATTTCTATTTGTGGGTGCATTTACTGGCCCTTATATCTTTCTTCAGCGACTGTTGCATTGCCATGATATCGACCACCCTCATGACTTTTCTACTGTGAGTACAATGGATATTGTGAGGTCTCGATTTGCGCGGAAAGCTAACCTCATTCAGTAAAACCAATCCCGATGTTCGATCGGTGAAGCTACTCGGATCATGGGACAATTTCTCCAAGCCATATGCGATGGACAGAGACAAACGTGTGGGGCCAGGCCACTGGAAAGGATGCCATACATTTACTGATATAATGGGTGATGGATCCGATCAAAATCAATGGCGCTCGGGCGGCCTGAAGATGGGTGCCACATACTGGTACTATGTAGGTCAAGTCGATTCCTTGCTTTTAATCGCAAAGCTAATGTTTTAACTAGTACTTGTTAAACGATGACGTGGAATTCTATAGCGAGGCTGAGCCCTTTACTACGAAGTGTCCTCTTATGCCCGGTCAGCCTCTGAACGTGCTGAACGTACCTATCATACTACCGGACAGTCGGTCTCATGGTCGCTCTAATAGCGGTAGCTCGCAGAAAGAATCATACCGAACGATGAACCCAGCAGACAAATTTATGAACCCGCGCAAGCCACCAAAGCCCAATCTTGCCCGCCTTCAGACATCAATTCCTGAACCGGACCCGCTTTCTTCAAGCCCACCTAAAAGATCTCCGTTTGGTGGCATGATTCACCGGAGTATCTCTCAGCCGAATAGTGCCACCAGAAGACACCGCAAGGAGGAGCGGTCCGCATCCCCCCCGCGAGGCCTCGGACTGCGTCATGCCTTGACTCAGAAGCGCCCTGGACCATCGCCAAGGGCAGAGGCATTTAATAAAGCTACATTTCAGGAGAGCTCCGTTAATGAGCGCCGCAATGTTCCTGGTATCTGTATCAACTCTGGTGCGGTATCCCCATCAGCGAAACATCCCGAGAACGCGGGTCTCTCCAGTCTCCAAACTCGTCGTGCTCTGAAAGCAAATGGCGGAATCCCCGGTCAATCTCGAAATCTTCTCACAGTAGACACTCATCTGCAAAATCGCAAGCCCAGCACTTCCAATAACTCGAATCATCTGGGTGCATCTCATATGCGGAACAGCTCGGATGACATGACCCCAACTGGCCCTTGTGTCAATGACAAGAGGCTTCCGTCTCTCCCTAATACACCTTCCTCTGTCATGGACGAAGCAGTACGTGCCATTGACGAGCGCGACAGGGCCATGGATGAGGCCGTTCTTCGAAGCCACTTTTCCAGTATGACTGCAGATGACTCCACTAATTCACGATTGGTGGCCGAGCGCAGTCGATTCTCGGAATGGAGCACTGATACTGAGGGTGAGGATAATTCACCCGAATCCATGATTTCCACATCGACCTTCCCTACGGAGTCACATGAGTCCCCGGCTCCCGAGGAATGGAAAACGCCCGATCTGGCGTCCCATGACACTGGGTACAACACTGATCCCAACACACCGCACCTTACCGTGCATTCCAAACCTTCGTCCCCGAACTCAGCATCAGGCGATATTCCGCCTTGGCTGCCGCAGCTCACAGTTTCCCTTTCACCTCCTCATATGTCTGCCTCAGGCCTTGGAATCGATCAAATGGATGGGATAGAAAGCAATCCCAAACGCCACGCCGCACTATTTAGCGCCCTGGAGTCTATGCAGGCACTTTCTCTTGCTCAGAGCCGCGACGGCTCTCCAATCCTTCTTTCGGAGAATGATCGTCGCGAATCTGCCCAGTCTCGACGCAGCGATGCTTCGTTCAGGGGCAATGCTACCATGCAGGAGATGATGGACGAGCTCAGTTATCTGAAGAACATGATCCAGGCTGAGCTTGATGGCGAACCTTTTTGAAGATGATAATGTACTATATTGTTTGGGTGCTGGTCACCTCGACTCTTATTTATAGTGTATAGAATTTAGTAGCACAAACGTGCGACAAATGGAAAATTACATGTACAACTTTTGATAAAATTCAATGAAGATCCCAGTAAATAATAAGTTATTATCTGAAAACTTGAAATAATCATCATCGAGTTGTTCACAAAAGTTGTCATAGATGTGCTCAGTGCTATGTAGTGCAAGCACCCGCACCCACACAAACATCCAGCGCGCCAAGAATCCGATCCACGCGATCAACAACTTCAACAACCAACATCCCGGATCCCCAGAAAGGGGACTCAACACATCTTGCCAGTCCAGATCAGAATGGGTTGACCTATTCCCACCAAATCAAATCCAATTCATACCAAAATGACCGAACAAGGCCCCCAACTCGCGTCTGTCGGGGAGAAACTCCTTCCGGCGAAATGTAAACCCAGCACTTTGGCATTCTGTCCTACAATGGACCTTATCGCGCTAGCGACCGAGGATGAAGAGCTCCGTGTATTCCGACTCAATGGGCAGCGAGTATTCGGGGGTTCCTTTGGGGGTGATCCCTACCTAGGAGACGATGAAGAAGACGGTGAGGTGAGGGCGGTGGCATGGAAAGAGAATGGTGAGTATTGATCAAATTCTAGGACAAATTGGTATTTCTCTGATTGCGTCCAAAATATCTAATAATCTGTTTCTCAGGTCGTTTGCTTGCTGTCGCATGTGGTGATGGCTCTGTACGCATAATGAGCGCGTATAGCGGGAAGACAGTCCACCATTATCCAGTGTATCAGAGTCCAGGCGAGGACGCCTCCAGTGCAGAGAAAGAGAATAGTACCCCAAAAGTCATGTGTCTAGGCTGGGGTGTTAACTTTACAGATAGAAAAGCGATGCAGAAACATCTACAGGGTTCTGCAGGTCGGCTGTCTGTTGATGATCTCCTCGCCCCGGGTGTGCATCCCTCCAAAGCGGCATCTGTGCTAAAGGCCGATCTACCTCGCGAATTGGCTTCGATAGATATTGAAAGCTCGCTGCCAAAATTGAGTGTCCTCCCCGCGACAGGCGCTGAAGATGACCTGTTTAGCTCACGACCATCGATCGATGCTATCTTTCACTCCTCGGTAAAAGACACGGGCGACTCCGTTGATGTGCTCTTTGTTGGATTTGATGATGGGTCTGTTCATCTACGGATATTCGATTGTTTCGAGATTGGCTCTTTTCCAATTGGTGATACCACTGGAGTTGCTAACTCGCGTCGGATTCTTCATCATACATCTCATCCTGTCAGCTCGACTCATGCTTTGATATCGACGCCAGCACCATCACAATCGGGATCATCGCCAACTCCTACTCCTCTTAGTCTTGTCACCCTCGATCTCCGCTTCATCACTAAATCTGGACGATACTTGTCTCTCCTTGCATCGAAAACAACACAGCTACAGAACTTACTCCGGTATATTAGTGCTACCCAGCGGCAGATTGAGTTGGAATGGAAGAACGCACAAGAGCTTCCAGCGCGCTTTTTACGCAGTGTTACCGAGGATCTTAAAGAGAAATGCGAGTGCGACTTTGTTACGGCAATGTACCATTTCGTGGTTACTGGACACTGCTTTGAGCCGATGAGGGAGTTTTTGGTGGATATCATAGGAGAGCGGGTATGTCTGCCTTTTGCTTTGATTGTGTTTGCTATCTAATAATTTTATTCACAGGGACATAAAAGGTGGGAGAAAGCTGTCGCCGGAGGATACGAGAATATCCGGCGACTAACACACGAATGCCTCCTCCCAGCGCTAGAACGAAGCCAAATTTTATTGGGTCGGCTGGTAGGATTATCAAAATTTTCCAAACTGAGCGACGTGCTCGGCCTGGATACAACGAAGCTCAACGCTATCGTTGAGACATTGGATTGTCTGCATCTGCTAGGACATTGCATCATGATCAATGCAAATCAAGAACTGGATCAGTTCAATGCCTTTTCAAGATATCTCAAGCATGAGATCCTCATTCTGACTGCAGAACCTTTGTCGCAAACATCAGAAGAACTCCTCGAGAAGCGAGAACTCCTCGACGTGCCACCTACAGTGAAGTACCTCACGGGCGCACTCCAAAAAAGTGTTCTTCGCAATTTCATCCGCCAACTTCCTATGATGGGCGTGCCCATTCCTCCCACACCTATCACTGATAAATGGCTCCCAGATGGCCATGATCGGTCATTTTATGATGGGTTTAAAGCATTGCTGGCGCAGCAGCGTCAGGTTCAAGCGGAGGGAGGCGACAGTTCAACCGTTGATGCACCCAAGATGAACGATCTGACGAAACGACTTGGGCTCCAATTCGATAAAATCTTTGCGGAGATTGCACTCACACAGCGAAGGGGGATCCTCCATCGATCACCACTTACGCTTCATGCGGATTGCGATGAGAATTTTCTGGATTTGAAGATTAGCTACGAGGTGAGGCGGTTTGCTCTTGTTACTGCAAATTAATATGCTTATATTTTCTTATAGGACGGCGAGGAGGGACAGCCATGTTCTATCTACGTTGCAACTCGGTCTTTATTTTCGAAGTGTCTAGGTATGTTATCAACTGTGTCCGGTAAAGAGGAAAACCTGATTAAGATGCTAATATATCACAGTCTACATCTATCGCATTGTCTTGGACTCGGTAAATGGCGTCAGTTCCACTCGGAGCACCTCGATAGCTGCGCTGAATCTCTCCGAGGGAGAAGTGAAGCAAGTTCAGTTTGTCCACGATGATACACTTATGATTCTCTGGTCAAACCGCCATACGCCCGCTCGTCTCTTGAACCTCCCATTCCAGCCCGCATCTGCCTTATCGAATAAGATGGAGGAGGTATCAGCCATCCTCAAATATGTGGAGTGTGATGCACACCCATCCGAATCAAAACCCAGTGTCCCAACTACAGATCTCGACATGTCAGACACATCTACAATATCCGAATCGGGTATCCTTCGCCATGTGTTTACAACATCTGGCTTGAAGTCAAAGCCGCTACGGATGGATGTTAATGGACGAAAGGCTCGCAGGGCAGTTTGTGTGCTGTATGGGGATGCGATGCGGTTTGATGTTTTGGATATGGATGGAGAGACAGATGAGGAAAGTGAGAATGAAAGTGAGGGTGAGGATGAGGATGAGGATGAGGGTCAGGATGAGAACTGATTCTTTCTAGAATTATCATCGAGTATTATTTCTTCCAAGCATAAGATACCTGTAGCGGCGTTACTCTTCCAAGGTTCCAAGGTTTAGTAAATGTTCAAGTTGAATTAATCTTCAAATGTTGCATGATACAGATAACTCTCACCACAAAATTATCCTTTTTCAAGTTCTTTTAGCATCCATGCATTATAACAGATAGTTACATCCCAGGTATATTACGTGTCAATAGCAGTGTTTGTCAGTTTGATAGTCTGATTTCCAATGTATCTCTCTATGACGACATTATCTATTGTAGTTCTTTGACTATAAATGGTATTTCTTAGATTCATCGATTTTATTCCATTACCCCTTGCCGCTCAGTAGATTGTTCTAGAAATATTTTTCCACAATTGCTTTGACACATCCACTAGTCAGGCACCAAGCTGGGATCGTCTCCACCGGAAAAAATAGTTTGCGCCAGGTGTGTGTGCAGGGCTAAATTGAATGGGTCGCCGGGGCCACTCAGTGGCCAGTGAATGCTTTGAGAAAAATCAAAACAAGTAGAATATGGAGGGGCAAAAAAAAAGGACCCATAAACAAAGGGTCAAACCAAGACAGTTGCAATTCTAATCTATGCAGAGCTCAACCACAATTAACTTTGTGAGTGATACATATGATAATTTGACATATGGTATACGACAGAATTCAAAAGGATTATAACATATACTTTTCTATATTGCAGTATATTCCATACATTGCTGTATCAGATTGTCGGATTTTCCATTTAAGGAAACAAAGTTGATGCCTGGGACTTAGTGCCTTATATGCAAGGCAGCACTTATGTGCCTAAGGCCATCTACCGCTGGTCAACCAATCAGATGTGACCTCCCAGATCAACTTCATCCCTCATTCTGATCTTCTCCTTCTCCAATTTATTCTCTTTCATTAAAAAAAAACCATTATCCTGCTTTAAGACTCCTCCCTTGCTATTTTCAAGGAGTCTTTGTCTTCTTCCTCGACCTGGTTGTTCTAGGCGTGTACTAAAAGGCACCTTTTCCCTCTCTGTGACTCCTCGCGGAAAGACCTGGTGCATGCCTCGTCATATCCACAAAAACACCCCGTCCCTTCCTAACACCTACCAACTTTCTTCTCTTCCCTCAACCACGCGCCCACATATTTTGGTGGTTTGTGACTCCTGTGTCTTTGAATTTCTGCCTTGACTACCAGGCAACAGGAGCGCTTTAATTCTTGCCTTTCACTTTTTTTTTCACTTTTTTTCTTCTCTCCTTCACTCACTTAACCCCTCCACATTTCTCTGCTGCCCACCATGGACGCTCGTCAAGTGTTGCAGAGCACTTTGTCGCCTGGTATGTGTTAATCCTTATCGCTAAGCTCGAAGCTAGATTGACCCGGAAGCCCGGGAAATCCGCCCTTCCTACAAGAGACGCGCGCTGACTAGCCTTGAACACAGATGCGGCGGAACGTTCGAACGCCGAACAGCAGCTCGCCCACGCCGCGGAGGTTGACTTCGTAAGTGATTATTCGTGCTTTCTCCCTTTGAAATATGCCCTTTCTTTCAGCTCTTTATAGAGCCTGAAATAGGTACCTTGTCAATATGGAGAATAGGTTGCCCGCTAACACTCTTTGTTTTTTCTTCCTTCGTTTCTAGGCTGCCTACCTTGTTACCCTGGGTCAGGAACTGGCCAACGACACCACCCCCGCCCACATTCGTGTCGCTGCTGGTATTGCCCTGAAGAACGCTTTCACTTTCCGAGACCAAGCCAAGCTGCGTGAAGTGCAGCTTCAGTGGGTTCAAAACATCCCTGTTGAGACCAAGGCACAGGTCAAGGAGCTTGCGCTCAAGACCTTGCACTCCGACACCCGAGCTGGAAATGCCGCCGCCACTTTGATCGTTTCTATTGCCGCGATCGAGCTGCCCCGAAATGAATGGCCCGATCTTATGAACATTCTCGTCCAGAATGTTGCTAGCGGCAGTGACAACCTGAAGCAGTCTTCTTTGGCCACTATTGGTTTTATCTGTGAATCCCAAGACGCCGATCTCCGCGCCAGCCTGAATGCCCACTCCAATGCGATCTTGACCGCCGTCGTTCAAGGCGCTCGCCGTGAGGAGCCGAACATGGATGTCCGTTATGCCGCTATTGCTGCTCTGAGTGATGCTGTGGATTTCGTCCGTTCAAACATGGAAAATGAGGGAGAGCGCAACTACATTATGCAGGTCGTCTGTGAGGCCACCCAGGCCGACGAGGTTCGCGTGCAAGCTGGTGCTTTTGGCTGCCTTAACCGTATTATGGGCTCATACTATGATAAGATGCGCTTCTACATGGAGAAGGCTTTGTTCGGACTCAGCATCATGGGTATGAAGAGTGAGGAGGAGGAAGTCTCTAAGCTCGCTATTGAGTTCTGGTGCACAGTCTGTGAGGAGGAAATCGCTATTGAGGATGATAATGCTGAGGTATGTACCGTTCCGTCTCAACATTTGGAGATTTGAGAGGGGGTTTCCGTCCGAAACGAATTGTGATAACTAACCTTTGTTTTTTTTCTTTCACTTTACAGGCTCAACAGGAAGGTGTCGAGGCTCGTCCCTTCTTCGGCTTTGCTCGTGTGGCCACTCGTGAGGTTATTCCCGTTTTGCTGCAGACTATGTGCCGTCAGGATGAGGATGCTGGCGATGATGAGTACAACGTTTCCCGCGCTGCCTACCAGGCTCTTCAACTTTATGCTCAGTGTGTCCAGGGTGATGTGATCCCTCCCGTGGTTTCTTTCGTCGAGGAGAACATCCGTAACGAGGACTGGCGTCGCCGGGACGCTGCCGTGGCTGCTTTCGGTGGTATCATGGATGGCCCTGAGCCCAATGTTCTGGAGCCTTTGATCAAGCAGGCTCTGCCTGTGCTTCTGGGTATGATGGAGGATAGCTCTGTTTCCGTTCGCGACTCCACTGCCTATGCCCTTGGTCGTGTTTGCGAGTGCTGCCCTGAGGTCCTTGACCCAGATGTTCACCTGCAGCCTCTGATTTCTTGCCTGTTCAACGGTCTCGCCAACAGCCCCAAGATCGCCAGCTCCTGCTGCTGGGCTCTCATGAACGTTGCTGACCGCTTCGCTGGTGACGGTGGCTCCCAGACCAACCCCCTCTCCAAGCACTTCGAGGACAGCATCAAGTCACTTTTGGCCGTTACTGAGCGCCAGGACGCTGACAACCAGCTTCGCACCGCCGGCTATGAGGTCCTCAACTCTTTCGTCATGAACTCCGCCCACGACAGCCTGAACATGGTTGCCACTCTCTCCGATGTCATTCTTCAGCGTCTCGAGCATACCATTCCTATGCAGCAGCAGGTTGTTAGCACCGAGGACCGTATGCTTCTTGAGGAGATGCAGACCAGCTTGATCAGTGTTATCCTGGCCATCGTGCAGCGCTTCGAGGTCGACATCAAGCCCCAGGCCGACCGTATCATGCAAGTTCTGCTCCAGACTCTGTCCACTGTTGGTGCTAAGTCTACCGTTCCCGATGTTATCTTCGCCACAGTCGGTGCCATCGCCAGTGCTCTTGAGGATGACTTTATCAAGTACATGGAATCTTTCAAGCCCTTCCTGTACAACGCTCTGGGCAACCGTGATGAGCCTGGTCTGTGCGCTATGGCCATTGGTCTTGTCAGCGACATTGCTCGTGCCTTGAACGAAAAGGTTCAGCCTTACTGTGACGACTTCATGAACCTGTTGCTTTCCACCCTCAGCACCTCGACCAACCAGCTCAAGCCTGCTATTTTGGAGACCTTCGGTGACATTGCCCAGGCTATCGGTACTGCCTTCGACACCTATCTCAGCACTGTCGGTGGTGTCCTCCAGCAGGCGTCTTCGGTCACAACTAGCAATGACCTCCCCTACGATATGGTTGACTACATTGTCTCCCTGCGCGAGGGTATCATGGACGCTTGGGGTGGTATTCTTCTCACCTACAAGGGCAAGCCTCAGGTTGTCCAGCTGCAGCCATTCGTTGAGTCCATCTTCCAGCTTCTTCACATTATCTCTAAGGAGGGAAACCGCAGCGAGGGCCTGATGCGCTCTGCCATGGGTGTGCTTGGTGATCTCGCTGACTCCTTCCCCAACGGCGAGCTTGCTGTCTACTTCCGCAACGATTGGGTCACTACCCTTGTCCGTGAGACTCGTTCTACTCGCCAATACAGCCCTCGTACCCTCGAGACCGCCCGCTGGACCCGTGAGCAGGTTAAGCGCCAGATCAACATGAGCACTGCTACCTCTATGGCCTAAATCCATTCTACGGCTTTCGTCCAACCGGGAAGTCCGCTGAACACGAAGTTTCTGTAGTTTCCAGAAGTCCCCGAATATTAATCCATCATTCGGAACGTCTAGCCAAGACCGTGTCACGGATTTTCCCCGACATAGTTCAGCCCAACCTGGACTACGCTCTAATGGATGGTGAGGGTTTGCTTCATTGTGCTTCTGAGCAGCACCAGTCAAGTATCGCTGTTTCTGTTCACTTTCCCCCATCTTTTCCTCTTGAGCTCCGAGATTCCCCGCTTTCTTGAATTTCAGCCCGCCCCCAACCCCAGTTCGTGATTCATACACACGATTTCCCCTCCCCTTGATGACATCTTCAAATGATCCCCCCCATTTAACCCATCCCCCTCACGCTCTGTCTTCTGAGTTTCTTCCTGATACAAACCATTTTATCCCTTTTTTTTCTCCTCTTTTCCTTCCCCTTCCTAAGTTTCCTTTTTAATTAGACAAGACCCCCTCGCATCCTATAGCATCTGCCCACTCATGTAGCCCAAGACCTCATGTATTCTCCCCCTCCCATCAAACTCGTGTATGCCCCATCATGTATGCCCCATCATGTAATCCCAGGAGCCAAGTCTTCCCCTTCTCAGAAAAGAGTTGTTTCATGAAAAGCTGTTCAATTTTCCAATCTCCCGTATACTCCGACCATCCTCCCCCAACGCCCATGCCCAAGCTGTTGCACCAGTCCACCCTTCCACAACAATGTATGAACATCCAACCTTGGTGCCCTTGATCAACCATTTGGAAAGCCTTGCTGAAGGCACATTGGAATTTTTATAAAATGCAATATGTAGTGATATTTTGGATCTTCTCACTGGTTGAGATTGTATACAAAGTAAGCCCTAGATAATCACGTGATATTGATTACTAAGGTCCAACCGGCCATTACCCTTATCGGCACGTGATTGCAAGCCGTGGTGATAAGGGCAATAGCCCTGGACCCGCACAGTCAGCAGAACCCAACCTTCAATCTTTCAAACTTTTCATTTCCGACCCGCCAACCATCGACAATCAGTCACTCGAGGTATGTATACTCTATACGCCCTTTCTCATCAGCCTCCCAGCTAGTCTGGGTGAGCAATCATCCTGCCATCCTCTTATTCCCTTAAGGCTTGAAAAAAAAAATGCTTTTATTAGGTCAGGGTTTTAAGGGGTCGCTGCAGGATGATACGCATCACCTATCCAGCACGGGCTGAAGAACTCCTTTTCAAGGAAGGGGGCACTCTTTACGCTCAAGACTAGTTGAAGGCTGACTTTACTGGTCTTATCCAGATACCTCTTATCTTCACGTCCTCGATTTGAGAATCCGCCAAAATGGTCAAGACCTCCGTCCTCAACGATGCGCTTAACGCCATGAACAACGCCGAGAAGGCTGGCAAGCGCCAGGTCCTCATCCGTCCTTCCTCCAAGGTCATCGTCAAGTTCCTTACTGTCATGCAGAAGCACGGTATGTGAAAAAATTCCACCTTCGCTTTTTCATTTCATTTCAATTTTTTTTTTCATTCTTTCTTTTCATGGTGTTTTGTGGAGGATATTCGGGTTGATAACTAGGCGGATTGTTTCAATCACCCACGACGTTTGCCTTTTAAGTACCCGATAGATTATTTGCGGAGATCTTACACGTTTTCAAAGCGCTCATCAGTATTTGACGACTTTTAAATTTTCGCAACATGCTGACATTTTCTTTCAGGCTACATTGGCGAGTTCGAGGAGGTCGATGACCACCGCTCCGGCAAGATCGTCATTCAGCTGAACGGCCGGTAAGTTTCTACAAGCTCATTACTGCATAACATTTTACTAATCCCTTTCTCAGTCTTAACAAGTGTGGTGTCATCAACCCCCGCTACCCCGTCCAGCTCCGTGACCTCGAGAAGTGGGCTACTCAGCTCCTTCCTTCTCGTCAGTTCGGTTACGTTGTCCTGACCACCTCCGCTGGTATCATGGACCACGAGGAGGCTCGCCGCAAGCACGTTGCTGGCAAGCTCCTCGGTTTCTTCTACTAGATGGAGTCGTTTTAAAAACGAATCTTAAAAAAGAAAAGTTTCTCTTTTGACTGGTTTCGCATGACACTTGGGCTGGGCCCTGGAATGTAATCTAAGTAGCAGAAGATACCCCGCCTCTGATAGCTTGCAGAGTACATGGTTCGTATTCCAATGCCAGGTGTTTCTGGTCAATGACCTTTAGTCCTTGTGTAACACGTAGAGACCATATAAGGTCGATTGGCCATCTCGAGCCCTGACTCTTGAAAACCCCGTATAATGCGAAGTCTGTCGGACCGAGGCTCTAGCTCACCGCCTACTTTCTGCCTCGTATACACTATACTCCCCGCAATAGACATAGGACGGACTAACAAGACTCATTGTCTGTACTCATCATGCCGTTAGATACAATCTATTTGACTCGTCATGGAGTGGGTATCCTTCATTCCACCTTGTTGAAGAACATGCAAACAAGCTAACTTAGTTCAACTCTAGCACCGTCTCAATTGGACAATTGATCTCAGCACCGGGACTTACAAGTCGCAATTCCCGACACCAACAGGCAATCCTGCAGACCCTGCGCTGACATCCTACGGAATTAGCCAGTCGCATGAGCTTGGGAGATATATAAACGATCCGGCGTTCCACCCGAAGCCCTTCCGAGTGTACTCTAGTCCGTTCTACCGTTGCTTACAGACCATCCAACCATCAGTGGAGGAACTGGGCAAGAAACACAAGGAACTGCAAGCCGCAGGATATGATGCGTCTCAAAGAATAAAGGAAGGAAATGTTGACCCGTCATCTAACTTTGATGTCCACATCGAAAATGGACTTGGGTACGCCCTAGTAGATACTATCTACCATCCCAAGACAATAATTGCTAATGCTTGTTATACAGTGAATGGTTCGGCCCGACAACATTCTTCGAGCACCCACCCCATCCAACAACGGAAACGATGCACGGACACTTTCCATCCTTGGTCCCAGAAGCGCACTTAAGAACTTATAAGCCTCTTGTGCACCCATCCCGTCGCGGGGAGACGATTCTGGAACTACATAACCGCGCCGCAACCACGCTCGCAGGTATTATTGCCGACCTGGATGCTGAGATCACCGCTTTAGAAGCCAATATCCCACCTGAACAACGAACCAGTAAATCAGTTCTGATATGTTCGCATGCTGCGACGTTAATTGCAATGGGTCGTGTGTTGACTGGAGTTATGCCGGAAGATACATCTCAGGAAGACTTTTTTGTATTCACAGCTGGGATGAGCACGTTTCGTCGGCGCAGCGATAATGCTGATAAGATTGATCGTTCAGCTGTTTTGGCTGGGGGAACGGAACTTCTCCGTGCTGAGGGCGTTCCTGAGTGGATGGGCCGTGGGGTTGGAGGTGGGTGGGAGTGTCTCAAGAATGGAGACTGTAGTTTCTTGAGTGGCGGAGCTGAGCGAGGATGGTAAGTCATTCCAATGATTTCATCCTTTTGGATTTTGTCGGATTTGATGCTAATACGTTTGATAATTTTCCAGGCATTTCAGTGGGGAGGAATCTTTTGATACTGGTCCTATGGCACCAGCTTCGGAGCCTATTCCAACTAAGCTTTAAGCTTACTTTATCAATCTATGCATATTTAGAGCTTTGATATATCTATCAGCAAACATCTACATATTTGAATGGAGAAAGCACTGTGAAATCCGATGAAAGGTTCCAACTTGAACTCTACAGTATGTTCAAGTTTACCTTGCCCAAGTCATTGACAACATTTGAATGTCAGCCATAGAAATCAATATCATCTTCTCTTCTTTCGATCAAACCTTGGAAATGGTTTCCAGTCCCGAGGTCTGAACATGTAACGATTACTCATCTCACGCCCTTCAGTTACATCCCGAGTATAACCGTCATGTGGGGCATAAACCCTCTAGATCGTCCAGATGCCCAGTGAGAAGAAAATTCAAATCTCCGAATCTGCAATTGAATGCTCATACGCTACTTTAAGATCAATCCCCTGCAGCTAATACCTAGAAAATACAGCGATTGGTCCCTGAAACCCCGAAACGACAGGGTCTAAGCGCCACAACATCCGGCATTGATTGATAAGAGCTGGCTACCACGCCAAGCTTAACTCATCGGACATCTCTATAAAGAGACCAAAATTCTTCATTGGACTTAAGAAGTGAAGAACCTTGGAAGGAATCAAGAAACAAACGATCTTCAAAATGTCAACAATCCCACAAAATCTACCTAGTACAGCCATTGAGCTCCCAACTCTAGACACTCACAACCAAGGTGAACGTCAACGCAATGTCACCAACGCAGCAAACCAAAGCCAGGAATCCGATGAAGTTATGCAGCAATCCTTGCTAGCAGACTCTGAAGTTCCCGACGGCGGGTACGGCTGGGTTCTTATCTTCGCCTGCGCAGTTGTGACATGGTGGTTCGTCGGCGCATCCTACACATGGGGTGTGATGCAAGCAGCTCTCGTGGAAAAAAGAGGATATTCTTCCTCGACACTGGCATTCGTCGGATCTTTGTGTCCTGCTTGTATCTCGCTTCTGGCCGTTCCTAACGCAACGGTAATTCGCAAGATTGGAGCGCGGATTACCGCTTTATTGGGAATTTTCTTGCTTGGATTGGGGAGTATCTTGTCTGGGTTCACGACACACAGTATTGTGGGACTCTTTATGACTTGGGGATTTGTTGGAGGACTTGGGACCAGTCTATGCTTTATGGTGGGTTTGACCATGGCCACGTGAAGGTGATTTGTTGTTTACTGACTGGTTTCCAGGTTGTGTCTGTTACGCCGGCGCAGTATTTCAAGACTAAGCGCGGAATTGCCAATGGTATTGTTTATGCTGGAGGTGGACTTGGTGGCACAGTTCTCAGTTTTATTCTGAATGCCCTACTTGATAATGTTGGCATTGCCTGGACATTTCGAATCCTCGGCTTCATGATCATTATAACCGGGCTACCAGCTGCGTACCTGATCAAAGAACGGGCACCGATTCGACCGGCGAAGATGATTGAATGGTGCGTGATTTATACTTCGAAGAAGTAAACATGAAATATTATTAATTTTTGTCTGCAGGAGTCTATTCCGTGATACTCGCTTCACTATCCTCTGGCTGACAGGTGCTATTGGCACATTTCCACTCTTCGTGCCAGCATTCTTCTTGCCACTTTACACCAACTCTCTCAATCTCCCATCCAGTGCTGGAGCCGGTCTCGTTGCAGCCTTTAACTTCTCATCGGCCATCGGACGACTCACATGTGGCTTTGCGTGTGACAAATTCGGATCACTGAATACTTTATTCATATCCCTCTTAATGAGTGCACTGAGTCTGTTCGTTTTATGGCCTATCTCGAGCTCAATTGGTCCGCTGATTGCATTCGTGGTAATCAATGGAGCTGCGAATGGTGGATTCTTCTCTACTATGCCCACTGTCGTTGGAAATGTTTTTGGATCGGCAAGGGTATCTGTTGCGGTTGGAATGATTGTGAGTGGATGGCTTGGAGGATATCTTCTGGTAAGTTCGATCCTTTTTGATAAAATTATCAAATGATCTCAGTCTGATAATTATACTTATAGGGTGCACCTATTGCTGGTTATATCCTGAATGCCTCTGGAGGTGAATCGAGCGGAGTGGGCGCATACAGACCCGCAATCTTCTATGCAGGCTCTATGGCAACGGCAGCTACTATTTTGGCTGGTATTCTGAGAATCAAGGTCGATCGCTCACTCAAAAAGACAGTCTGATACATATCAACTCCAGGGTCACCTCAGAGCTCTCAACCGCATGTACATGCTTAATCAAGATAGTTTTGTGTGTCATAACTACAAAAGAGAGATTGAACTGAAGTATTGCCAAGGAAAGTTGTTATGTTTGATATCCCACTTTTGACCTTGAAATCCCTCAAGTGCTTGAATATTTGGACTTTTGACCATATGCATATTACTAGTAGTATATGGGCGGTAAATGTGATGGTCGGAGTAGTATCTACTACGCGTCATTCAGTATGGGCTTCAAAAAGGGCATAAATACACAGTCATGAGTTCTTTAACATCGGGCACCTGGGCACCTGCCTAAACATAAACCAATTGGGCAGTGATAAACCCACCACTTTATACGTACAGTACAGCCTCATGCATGATGACGTGTTCAGCAGCTGCCAGTGTAAGCGCCGGGGCCAGCACTAGCCAGAATCGCAAGAGGGGATTCAACAGAATGTACTTCGTAACAATGTGCGATCTTTCATGACTCACCATAATATTTGGCTAGCACATAATGTTGAAGAAGATTTCGTACAAAGCTCTCTCGTTCTCGAGCCGACGGTGACGCCGATAAAGCTGCCAGTGGATCTGCCCATACGATCCCTTCGAAAAATGAGGAGGACCCCTCCAACCATGCTGTTGCGGGACCCAAGGACCTCTGGCAAGTAGCCTTCGATGGCCTGGATTCAAAGCAAAAACTCTGGTTATCCCAAGACAGGCAGACTCCACTCGGGGCCATCCAAGAAGTCATCAATGAGACCGAAAAGAAATATACCGAGTATAAAAAGAAGCAGTTGACCATTTGCAGACGTGATGGGGGTGAGATTCAAGTCCGCAAATTTGCCCAGAATATCCTTGAGTCCGCATTGAATGTGCAGGAAATAGTCAAAGCGATCGCGACCTTCGATCCAACTGGTCATGGTATGGTCCTGATGCTGCTCTACAGTGCAAAATGCTGACATCAAACCACAGCCTGGAGCGCCTGGGGAATAGTCTCGCTGGGGTTGACGGTAAGCGATGCTCTAAATCACCTTAAAACCAACCCAAACCGACAAACTCGCCCTCAAGATGGCCAAGACTAATATTGAGCGCAGAGATGCTATCTTCGAAGCCTCTGAATACTTGGCAGATAAGCTGGCATATTTCACCATAATTGATAGCGACCGTCGATACACAAAGGGTGCGGGGGACAAGCAGCTCGAGGATGCTCTTGTGGGTATCTACAGAGCAGTACTTGAATACGTGGCGGAAGTGAGGAAGACACACAGCGAAAGTGTTGGGTAAGTTCAAGGAATATTCTGCAAGACTCGCGAAGCAGGTCTATGACAAGCGTCTGACAAATGTGTGTTCAGCTCGGATTGGAAGCATCTTCATCTCCCTTACCGAGCATCCACTGCAGAAGCTCCGGGGAGTTGTGGAAGATAAATCTACCGTGGCTGAGAAATGGGCAGCTGTCACCAATTGGAGCTGTGAGTTAAGGGTCTTTAATTGTTTTCATGTTACTAAGTTGCTGATTATGTGCTAGACTTGAAGAAGCAGGCTGGAGAAATTCTTACAGCTATTGACAACAATATCGAGGAGCTTCAGAAAATTCATTCGGTCGTACTAAGTAGACTCTCCTAAATTGCCATCAGATTTCTGGGTACTAGAAGACTGACGATAGCAGGTGCCGAAGATAGAAAAATACTTGAATGGCTATCTCGGTCAGACTTCTCCAATGCCCAGAATAATGCTCAGAATCATCGATCTCCAGGGACAGGTGACTGGCTCTTGAAGTCAACAGACTATCGAGAGTGGAGGGCTTGCTCTGGTGGTATCTTTTGGTTACATGGAGTGGGTAAGTTTGCCAGGTCTAGAGACATGGACGATACACTGACTGCTCAATAAGCGGGATGTGGTAAATAGGTTATGTGGTATGACAAGGTCGTTCAGATCGTGATTGACCGAGTTTGCCGGGATGATCCAAAGAAGCGGTTTGCCTACTGGTATTTTCAATTCAGTGTTCAGGAATTACAAAGCGTTGAGAATATGCTCAGGGGGATCATTCAACAGCTTCATTCAAACCCACTTGATGAGCCCATCAGAAGCATTTGGAAAGACCATGGTACAAAGGGAAGTCATCCGAGTAATGCGAGACTGTTCGAGACTTTCCACGGTGTCATAAATGCCTACTAAGGCGACGTATTTCTCATTTTAGATGCATTAGATGAATGTCCTGAGTCAGCCAATCGCAGAGAAAGGAGTGTCTTGCTGTCATTACTTACTGAGTTCCAGAGAGAGCACAGCAACAAAATCCATAATCTAGTGACCGGTCGCCCAGAGCCAGATATGATTGAAAAGCTTGAGGGATATACAGCATTAGATCTCGAGGAGAGGCAGGGATCTGATATCTCAGCCTTTGTCACGCTTAAAAATTGAGGCTCTAGACGCTAGAATCGCCCCAGAAGAAGTGAAAGCACAAATCATTGACGAGTTGCTGGAGAATGAAAAAAAGGTATGTTCAAGTAGCATCCCGCTGACTTCTTTCTGTACCTAACCAACATAAATCATTTTGCGCAGGCGGTTTCGCTGGGCGGACCTTCAAATAAAGCGTCTTGAAGAATGCCGCACCAAGTCTGGAGTCTTGGAGGCATTGAGGACGATGCCAGAGTCATTGGAAGAAATTTATCTTTCTGTGATTGAGAGAATTAACTCAAGGCCCTCTGATGTCAAATTTGCCGAATTGATCCTCAGTTGGCTCAGTTTCTGTGCCAGGCCTCTTATCTTGAATGAAGTCGCAGAAGCAGCAGGCCTTGAGGTTCCAGAAGACGTCATCAAAATCTGCACAACTTCCCTTGTCACTTTCCGGCGCTCAGATAATGAGATCAGATTGGCTCATTTCTCGGTAAAGGAATTTCTTGTCGCTATCAAGCGTCCAGGCCAATGGTTCCAACTCTCCAGCCTGGATTGTCACGCCATGATAGCCGAGTACACTTTGCAACTTCTCCTGCAACAGACAGAGAGGCTATCTGCAGAGGAACTTGATGGAGTAGCAAAGGAGGGGTTCCTGCTGCTAAATTATGCTGCTCGTCACTGGCCCGAGCACTTTAAAGCTTCTATTGCCACTCTTCCAACCCCAAAACTCCGAGAAATGGCGGATGGGCTTTTTCGTCAGCGAACTATCTACCGTAACTGGCGTAGTTTATTGACAAGGGAGGAGAAAATAATACAATCAACTCCTCTCAGCATTGCATCTGGATTAGGTCTCATTCACATTGTGAATGGCCTGCTCGAAGAAGGTGCGGACCCTATGGAGGGGTTTAATAAATTCTGGGAATACTATGAAATTGAACCTTATACTAGGAACCCTTTACAAAACGCATTATTGAATGCCTCGTGGAATGGGCACGTGGATATATTGAATTTACTACTGACCAAAATGAAAGCCTGCATGTGTTCTGCTATGGCCGCAGATATATTGAGAATGGTTAGACACGACAGCCTCTCAAGCAAGGCACTGGAAAATGTCATGGACAGTCTTTCAGTTTCAGGGGGAATTTATGCTGGAACTAGAGACTCGGATCAAAGCCTTCAAATAGACGCGCAAGTGGTTATTGCTGTGTCCAAGAACGAAACTTGCGGGTTGAAACTAATGACAATCCTCCTTGATCGATTTGATGAAACAGGAATTGTGGTTGTGCCTGTAACCGAGAAAGTGCTGGAGGTTGTGTTGAAAACGGAGGATGTGGGTTTGACATCTTGCAGCTTTTTCTACGAAGACGCTCTGCCGATGCTAAAATCTATCCACGAATAAATTAAATACTGGCATGTCCAGCCAACGCGAACGGCCGCGCAATCAAACTACTTCTTGAAGCACTGCATGCGGATATTGACATGGATCAAGAGTTCATTGCCAGATTTGCAAAGTATGCCAACGAGACCCAAATGAGGATTCTTTTGAGTAAATTGAACACCGATACCCCTCTGACGGAAATTGTTCTGTGGGAAGCAGCTCGTAATGAAGAGGGTGCTGGTGCAATGCGTCAAATCCTTCGTCGACAGGAACACCGGGCTCAAGTCAACGAGGATGTTCTCACTGAGGTGGCATTTGAGACATCTTGCAGTCATGCGCTTGAAATGATGGAAATTCTACTTGATGAGTGTGGGCCTGATTTTCCTATAGGTCCAGCGGTCATGTGGTCAGTTTTGGATAACAGAGGCTAAGAGATCCCAATTCTCAATACACTTTTGCACAGGCAGCAAGCTGGATTTATCGTCACTCACAAGATATTATGCAAAGCAGCCTCTCTTCATGAGAAAGATGTCTTTGAGATACTGATGAACAATGGAGGCTTGCAGATCCCAATCATTGAAAAATTAATTCTCTGTGCCGTGGAGGCCAACAATGATGATGTTGTATCTTTTCTATTGGATCTTGAGGAAAAGACCCAGATTGATCCTCTACCTATCACGGAGTGGGTTTTGTTACCTGCTATGAGAAACTTGAAGCCTGCCACTCTGAAGGCCATCTTACATAGACGGCCATTCACTCAAGTCAGTCAAGTCAGTGACAAAATGTTTGTTAAATCATGTTACAACAAATCGGCAGGGACGCTTTTGCTTCTACTTGAACCACCACACAATCAATTGCCCGTCATGGAAATGATACAAGCGTTGAAATATCATATGAGAGGATCAGGCTCGCTTGGTCAGACGGCCACCAGAAAAGTCCAAGCGCTTATGGATGAAATGGTCATCAAGGCTGATCAAGAACTCCTGGAAGATTTTGCAGACAATACCTACACATTGGAATTCTTGCTGCAGAGGAATTCCACAATATGCATCACGGAACAAGCCGTGATCCGCGCAGCAGCCCACCGGGATGCACTAGCCATTCTGCTTGATAAGCGACTGGAGGATATTCCAATGTCAAAGGGGGTCATGGTAGCGATAGTGGAGAAAGCGGCATGCTCAGGTCATTTTGCAGGTTTACGACAGATCCTCACGCATTTTGGTTCGACGGTACCAATTACAGAGAAGGTTTTGGTGGCAGCATCAGCTACCTTGGATACTCTACAACTTCTTCTCCAAAGCCCAGGTCTCAATATACCTCTCCCTCTACCTGAGAAAGTGGTTGCAAATGCCACGTATAAAGACTTGTCTGCATTACCATGGCTCCTGGAGAAATTTGGCCCTGCCGTGCCATTAACCGAGAGAGTGATGGTTTTTGTCGCCGGAATATCCCAGTATGGAGTAAAGTGCCTTCTCCATGAATGGCCCACCCATGTCGATCTCAACCAAGTTTGGGAAGCAATCTGGGGTTCAAGTTTGATTCTCACTTCTGTTATGATCCAGAAGAGTTCACATGCCTTAGGGACTTGCCATTCATTCAGAAAGAGGCAGCCAGGAATATCCTTCAGTACACTAGAGAAATTGATCTCTCAGAGGCATTATTTGCGCAGACTTCAACTCTCATCTGTGGATATCATTACAGCGGTTTGCTTCCTTTGATCCATGTTTGTATCGAGGAAAAACTGTCTGTTCCGTCAACAGAACATTTGATGAGGGTGGTGTCGGACAAATGCGACACTAATCTTATCAATGCTATCCAAAAGGACCTCAACCGATTTAGAGCAGTACCTACTCATCACCCAGGGGACTTTGAGCAGATGCTATGGTCATATATCCGATTTGAAAGATCCGGGTCATTGTTCGTATATCTATGAAAGAGCATGACAGAAGGAACGACTTGGACTTGGAAGAATGATGAAGTTCATGGCGCATGAGAACTTGAAGGAAGGGAAGAACATTGAATCTACCAGTGTGTGGTTGATATCTATGTAGCCCTGGAGCATACCTACGATCTGAGAATCATACAGAAGCCTTCACTCTTGACTCGGAGCCATAAGCATTTGACTTAGTCTAAGAGATAAGTAAAAATACTGTGCGATAGATTGATCAATTGTTTTCCCTCATACCTGGACTCGGATCCTTGCCAAACATTTGAATTTTAGTCACCCAACCCGGGCCCCTGGCTTGCCAGTGATTACAGCCTCCAAGTTGGATATCTCTATCCTTTACGTCATGTCTAATTTGATGGTGAGGAAATTAGCACTCAGAAGTGAAAAAGAAATAAGAATAAATTAGCAGAATGCTATCTATCTAAAGTAGTTACCTCTGCGGTCACCTCACCCCCCCTTTTAAGTCTGAGTCCGGTCTCCATCCGGAGCCGGGACTTCCTCCTCCTGCTGCTGGCGTTCACGCTCACGCTCTTGGCGCTGACGCTCCGCCTCTGCCTCAGCGGCATTGCGAGCCTGCACCTGTCGCTCGCCAATGCCCGGAATCAAACTTGCCAACAGAAGAACCAAGGACCGTTCGGCCCGCCACAGATACTGCCAGATATCGTCTGGCGCGTTTTGAGCCGGAGCAGGCTGGTTGTTTCCGTTCTCAGCCGTGGCCGCGACGGGCTGTTCGCCCGGGCCACCAGCTAGAGCCAGCCGCTCAATATGGCGTTGGATTGGCCCCACGGTCATCCGGTAGACCTGTCGAGTGATGTCCGAGCTGGATGCCAGGGCAACCACTACTGCCATCGTGACGAACAAGGTCCGAGTCCAGGTGCCTGGCTCCGTGATCATGTAGATGAAGAAGTACAGGCGGATGAACAGCCAGATGCGGCGGAGGGCGCCGCCCGCATCACCCTCCGCGGCTTGGGCCCGGGGGCGTGGTCGGTTGTTGAACACTACATGCTGGGCAGCGTCCCGAGGGAGAGCAACTATGCCGTCAGGGCCTCCTCTATCAGGAGCTCCATTTGGCCCGGCGGTAGGAGGAGCTTGACCAGGAGGACCCGCATTAGGAGTCTCCGTATTACCTGCGACATTGTTTTGAGCGGCGAAAAGATGGTGGGATCTGAGAATCGGGGGGCTGCCCGGGGCCAATGGCCGCATATGTTCAGAGCCTGGGGGGGAGAGCGAGATATCGGGAACCATTAGAAGTGATGACGGTGTAGGCAGCAGGGTCTTGCCCAGGGGGACCATTCCGGGTCATAATCAGGGTAGCAGTATCGTAAGAAGAGGGAGGACCATTGAGGGGATTAGACCGGTTTAGTTCATTCAGACGTCGGAATTCGCGGCCAGAAATCCGCCCATAGTCATGGAGGAATCGATTCCGAGTTTGGGTTGCGATGTCGGCACTACTGGCAATAGCCGCCTGAGCGATCCGAATCTGATTTGAAAGTCTTTGGAAGTGTGAATCGAGCTCAGCAAGTGAAGGGAGAGTGGGATCCCGAGCAAAGGAAGGACCACGAAAGTCGTTCCCAGAAGGAAGAGAGTTCAAGTACATTCGTTCGAGCTCGGAAATAGGGTTTGAAGATTGGTCACCATCATTAACTCCATTGCCAACATCATGTCCAAGAGTGTTTGTAGCGGTCCGTGTTTCATCAGAACCGGAATGAGAGCCGTTTGTGAAAGGGGCCGTGGATCCGAAGCGACGAGATTGAAGAGGAGTAGCGGGTGCGATGATCGGTAGTAGGAGATGAATAGTCATCTCATTTCCCTATGCGATCGAGCCTAGTCAATATAGGAGAATAAAGAGGGAGGTTCACATATATTCAACTTACAGTAATGGGCGCCAGCGCCTCTCGAAGAATGTTAGAATCGGCATGTGAGTGAAGCCGTCTGCCACGGACAATGAGGGTTTGGTGGATGGGCTCTGGGTGAGACGGGACAATCTCCTGAATACGCAATCTCAGGATTGCAACTGTACTGTCCAGGGACATGTTGAGGGTGAAGCGACTCGTGGCAGAAAGTGTAGGACAGAGAATATGAATGGTGATTGTGTCTGGAATTGGATCGGTGGCTGCAGTTTCGGTCTCAACATCTGCTCCTAAGTCTAAGCTGGTCTCCCTTTCTGGCACGGAGTCCGCGACCAGGTCTGGAGTTGAACCAGGGACCTCTAGTTCTGATGCCATTTTGAACCTCTTTTGAAGCTCGCGATAAGGTAGATGACGTGCGCGTTCAATGGGCTATGACGTTACAAGTCAAGCCTATATAGATAAAATGTCAAAAAAATATATCCCAAAAGGAGAATATGAAAATGGAGTAATTGCGATACCTTAGAATTTCATCACTTGTAGACGTGGCCGCGGGGCCAGAGAATTGACAATGCTCACCTGGACAGGTGGAGTTGATTTGGAGATCTGGCTAAGACCGGGGTCGATAAGAGGCGGGCCGCAGAAGACGCTAAGTCCATGCACAAGGATGTATACCAAGCCGTATTGGCAGGGTACACTCCAAGTACATGGAATGATGAATGATAATATGAGGAATCCCAGAATTCAGATGCAGAAAATGTTCATGTAATAAATGTAGTGGGATGAAGAGAAAAGAGTTCAGTCAACAATATAAACAATTATTATCAGCCTATTCACGTGTACAGGGCGGTGAGCTGTGGGGATATAATCCATATAAGGAAGGCGGTCAGGGGTGCATATGGTGCGAAAATCCCCAGGAACAAAGTCACATTCTGACCCTGAAATAACCTCGGATATCTTGTGCACAGCTTATGCTGATCTCCATGGATAGAATTTTCTAACCATGGCCAAGCGCCTTTTTAACCATTCTATTCCCCTCCACTTCCCTTCGGCCCCGGTGATCGGGGGCCCTGCGTCGATGGAGGTTCTTTCGTTCCGGGCAGTTGCTCGTAACAAGGCCAGTGTTCGCCAATTCTCCTCGAAATCATGGCGACAGTATCAAAAAGACAATAATTCGGAACATCATAAATCAGGATTTGGCTCTCGTCTACGATTTGCTCTGCGGAACACCAAGGTGGAATGGTACCCTATCCCTGTGGGACTCGGTATCGGCTTGTTAGGGTTGCTGCATTTCTACAAATCCCAGCGCGATCGCGACCGTGATGATTCTGCAGAAGGTTGGGAGAATGGGGGTCAACCGCCACGCCGACCTCGAGTTGTGCCGACAGGTTCCTGGCAGGTCCAGATCATGTCCACATTGCCCCTGAAAGCCATGTCCCGGCTCTGGGGTCGGTTCAATGAGATTGAGCTTCCCTATTATTTCCGTGTCCCAGGCTTCAAACTGTATTCATGGATCTTTGGTGTTAATCTTAGCGAGGTGGCAGAGCCTGACCTTCATGTCTACCCCAATTTGGCTGCCTTTTTCTACCGCAAGTTGAAACCGGGTGTCCGCCCTCTCGATCCCGATCCCCGTGCTCTCCTATCCCCATCCGATGGTCGTATTCTCCAGTTTGGTACCATTGAGCGAGGAGAGGTGGAACAAGTTAAAGGCATGACCTACAGTCTGGATGCTCTACTGGGATCAGCGACACCAAGCCATGCCGACCACAGCAAGCGACTTACTGATACCCACGCCGAGCAAAACCAAAAGGACGTGGATAATATGAAATCGGATGAAGAGTTCGCCATGATGAATGGAATCTCTTATACTGTTCCCGGATTGTTGTCAGGTGACCCTGATGAGCCAGCCAAGCGTCGTGCCTCGATCGATGCCTCCACCGCCTCCAATACCACTTCCGAAGTACAAGTACAAGAGGAGTTGGCTCGAGGAGATGGCACAGCCTGGTATTCTCCCAAGACATCTGCCAACCATGCTCTTTTCTACTGCGTAATCTACTTGGCACCCGGTGACTACCATCGATTCCACTCTCCTACTGCGTGGGTTGTAGAGAGCCGTCGCCACTTTGCGGGTGAGCTGTACTCTGTTTCGCCTTATCTGCAGCGACACCTTCCTGGTCTGTTCACTCTCAATGAGCGTGTAGCGCTGTTGGGTCGCTGGCGATGGGGCTTCTTCAGTTACACACCTGTTGGCGCCACCAATGTGGGCTCAATTAAAATCAACTTTGATTCTGAGCTGCGCACCAACAGTTTGCTGACTGACACAGCTGCGGATTTGGCGGCGGCCTTGGCAGCTCAGCGCGGCGAGAAAGATCCCGGATTTGTGGAGGCCACTTATCGCCACGCCAGCCGTACTCTTGGTGGACACCCCTTGCAGCGTGGAGAGGAGATGGGAGGATTCCAGCTGGGCAGTACTGTTGTATTGGTCTTTGAAGCACCTTTGAGTTCACGCCAATCACCAGATGCTGGCTGGCCTGACCAGGATCAGGGAGATGGATGGACCTGGACTGTTCAAAAGGGCCAACGCATTAAAATGGGTGAGAAGCTGGGATATGTGGGCGAAGCATGAAGCCAAGACCAGGACTCCCTTGAGTAATGAGGGTATCGAGTATCACTCTTGGCCTTCACTCTTGGCCATCAGGGTCCTTGTACACTGAATACGGAGTACCCTGATGCGCTTTAAAAATGGTCATTCCAGACTGGAGTGACTTTGTTCTTCTGTAATATATACCATTTTGTTTGCTTTTAGTTTCAAATGTTCGAATATAATGCTTAGATTTACTTTATTAGACTGGGTATATCCTATATTAGTAGTACTACTGTACTTTGTATACTGTTTCGACCTACTTAATTCAGGTAGAAACATTTGAATGATCCTCATGCACGGACCACAACGTGCGGATATGATCCACCTTGATTTGTTGCTGATAACGAGCTTCACTTTTGCATCATTTTGACCCACTTAAGTGCTATATTCAAATATTCCTTTGTGTTGCACAATGGTACAGTACTGAAAGAATCTTTGGATATTAATTCTATTCATAAGCAAGACTTAATTTAGTTATATAGATCAGTTAATTCGGGAATAGTAGCAAAAAATACGTATATCCATGGATCAAGGCCAACCTGAAGCACTTGGCGCCGTCTCTTACGTAGGCTACAATCCTAATCTTGGTTGACAGCTTCGCCCCGTTCCAACTTTTCCCCCCTTCCCTTCTTCTTTATTTCGCCTCATGGTCCTTGGGGACTTTACTAAGTCTTCACCATATCGCCTCCATGGCCATTTTTACTGCTCCTCGCTCATTCAGCAATGCCCTGGTCCAAGATCCTATGGGCAACAGCCTTATCGCCGGAACCATGCAATCAAATCACCCCTCCTTCTTTCACCTAGTCCTGCTGGTCTTTGAGGCTGTTTTGGAGGTTGTCTGTGTCTGTCTACCAGGTTACATTGTTGCTCGCCAGGGACTATTCGATGCCGATGCTCAGAAGTTCGTGGCGAACCTCAATGTGATGCTATTCACTCCTTGCCTGAGTATGCCTTTTTGTCCCCTTATCAAGACTCGATCATGATAATATGTGATCCCTATCGCTGGGGCTACTCAATCTCTAATACATACCTCTAGTCTTCATCAAACTAGGCTCCCAATTGACCGCGGAAAAACTCACCGACCTTGCCATTATCCCTGTCATCTTCGTCGTCCAGACTGCGGTCTCATACTCCTGCGCCTTTGTGGTCACGCGATGTTGGGGATTCAAGAAACGCCAGTCCAATTTCGTGACAGCGATGGCGGTATGTGATATCCTTCTCCTGACTTGAGAAATTTAAGAGTGCCCCTGCTGATCCTGGCAATGTGACCAATAAACAGGTGTTCGGCAACTCTAATTCCCTCCCCATCTCCCTCGTCATCTCCCTCTCAGCAACTCTAAAGGGCCTCCACTGGAATCGCGTTCCTAATGATAATGATGATGAAGTCGCGGCTCGAGGAATTTTATATCTACTCATCTTCCAGCAGTTAGGTCAACTGGTGCGCTGGAGCTGGGGGTACCATGTTCTGTTGGCACCAAAGGACCGATATCTTGAAGAGGAGGAGCGAGAGGAAACTGGAGAGACAGTGATTGAACAGGGACAGGCTCGCTACAGCGATAATCCTGCGCAGACAGACCCAGATGAGCCACTTGTGCGTACCCGGAACTCGCAAGAATTCTATGGCTCAAATGGCCATGCGAACGGCAGCCGTTTCGCGTCTGGAGAACAGACCCCGGTTTCCTCCCGTGCCTACTCCTACAGAAAAGCCGCCTCAATAAATTCCGGCGATGAGGACCTCTACTCCGATGACTCGCCATCGGACATTGGACCTCCACCAACAGGTCCCTTCCTGCCACGGTCCAGCACAGGAGACATCTTATCTTTCCCCGACGTCGAAGCCACCGCACGAGAAACGCATCAGACGAAGCAACCATACTTGCAGCGATGCAAAACATCCATCCGTCGAAGTGGCCACCATGTGCGACGCTTCTTTGCCCAAAAGAGAGACACATTATATGCACGCCTTCCCACAAAAGCCCAAAAGACCCTCTCATGGACTTCAACTGGGATCCGTCGCTTCATACGCGGACTATGGGACTTTATGAATCCGCCACTCTGGGCCATGCTTGTCGCGATCGTTATCGCCTCATTCCCATCCCTACAGCATCTCTTCTTTGATGAAGGTACATTCGTTCGCAACTCTGTCACTCGTGCCATCGAACAGAATTCCCAGGTCGCTGTTCCCCTGATCCTGGTTGTGCTGGGCGCCAACTTAGCCCGGAATACACTACCAGAGGAAGCTCTCGCCGATATCGAGCACCCAAATGCGGAGAAAAAAACTTATCATTGCTTCTCTCCTTGCGCGCATGCTTCTTCCAACTTTGATCATGGCTCCCTTAATCGCCTTGATGGCCAAGTTCGTTCCGATCAGTATTCTCGATGATCCTATCTTTATTATCGTCTGTTTCCTTCTCACGGGCGCCCCATCTGCTTTACAGCTTGCGCAGATTTGTCAAATAAACAACGTTTACGTTGGAGCTATGTCGAAGCTCTTATTCCAGAGCTATGTCGTCTGGTATGTGATTGTCCTTCTTCGCTATGATGAACAAGAACTTGAAACTAACACTCTTTTTTGCAGGATCCTTCCCTCTACTCTTATCCTAGTCGTCTGCGCTCTGGAGGTTCTCGAATGGGCTTCCGCATAGATTGTATTCAACATTGCATTCCTGTATCTTTATGACGTGAACGAAGCTGTGCTTGGCGCTTTTTCTTTCTTTATTGTGTGATACATGCTCTCTTTTTCGGGCGTATTAATTCGGACTGGCGTTGAGCAGTACATCCCTAGATACACTCTCAGGACTGGATATTTTACTATCAATATTGAACTTTCAAACTTTTCTCCAACTTGACTTTATCTGATACATGAACTAAGTACCTTTTTCCAAGGTATTATGGGTATAATGAAAATCGTAGCCTTAAAAATACTCTACGCCTCATGCTAAGTAGCCTGAGGTACAGGACAAGCCCCTCCTATAGCCTCCCCCAAGACTCCATCATGCACAAACCCATCCCCATCGCCTCCTTTTACATCAATCAGCATCGCCATACCCGTCGCTTGATGCCAGAGTACATGACAATGAAACAGCCAGATACCAGGATTATCAGCCCGAAAGCGTAGGACAGCATAGCCACGACTGGGTATCTGAACTGTATCACGTAGTGTGACACGGGATAAATTATACGGAATATAAGAATCAAACTCGTTTTCATCCGTATTTTCGAGATTTCCTTCAAGACCTGGTGGAATGGAATTTTCGAAGGGATTATAGGAACCCCAGCCGAATGGTTTTTGAATGGTCATTATGTAGAAGTGATGGCCATGCTTTAAAAACATTAGTATCTACAGTTTCAATCTTAATTATACACGGGTGGTACATACCAAATGAAAAGGGTGAGGCCCCTCATCTAGATTATTCACGACGAGGTCTACCCATACTGGATCGGAACCAGTTGAGATCGCGAACTGGTTGCTATCCCACTCTGTTCTTGGCAGAGTTGTTAATGGGGCAGCTGAATCTTGTTGTGGACTCCAACTAGTTTGATTGAAGTATCCAAAAGGGATATTGTGGTTACGAGCCATTTTCTGAATTTTGGTGTAGACCACATGTGTTTGTTGTGCTTTTGGTGGGAGGGCTTGTAGGACTGATTTTGCGGAAGGGATATAGTTCAGATCAACTTTGTTGCGAATCTGCGGTAATGAAATTGAGCCCAAAGAATTGGCGGATTTACGTGGTGAGTTGTAGCTGATTGGAAAAGTTTGATCTGGTGTCAGAGCTGGGTTCACAAACTTGAAGCATCTAAAGAGGATTAGTGGAGGTCATAAGTGGTAGGATTATATGAAAAGATTTACTCTCGATCTAGTTGGACCATCATAGAAGAGCTCTTGTGATCATGAGACGGATGGAGAATGAAATCCATGCGTGATCCAGGATACAAGATTCCAAGAGAATTCGTGTTGTCTGTGTCATTTCGTTCGACATCCACACTGTCAATTTGAATTAGATCTAATTGTTCCTTGTCAAAGACAAGACTGAAGCCCGCTAAAGATCTGGTTTATAATCAGTTTCCATAGTCACAAAAGGGATCAAATGTACAAACCCAGTATTGACAACACGGATTAGATAAGTTTTTTCAGCATCAAGATCCAGCATAGAATGAACTTGCTGTTCTATGCAATTCACTGGACGTGCAGGGACTGCCATGGAGCATTCAAAATGACCAACTCCGTTGATAATTAGGGAGTCTGGCACTGGCTAAGATTCAGTCAGAATTAAATTCATTTGGGATTGCTGGATGTTCTTTACCTCATTGCCGAAATTCCCCGGAGTCTTATACCATGCTAAGACATCCCTAGCAGGTCGATGATACCAGTCTCCGATGAGCAGAAGCAGCTCTTTGTCATATCCATAGCGATTAATATCATCCTCTGGGCTCGGAAGTAAACCGCGTACTGTGGATGAAGACGATGGGGAATGCACCACCAAGCCTCCATACAGCCCATCGGCCCTCGAAAGACCTGCATGCGCATGGTACCAGAAAGTTCCACTCTGATCTGTGGAGATTGTGAGATTATAGGTAAACTGGGCGCCCGGGACAATGGGACATTGAGATACCCCCACGGCACCATCCATGGCATCTGGATCTGCGTCAGTTTCAAGATGTTGATTTAATAGTAAATTTTGCATTTACGTAACTTACTAGCCACGTGTAGACCATGCCAATGCAAAGCCAATGAGTCTTCTTTTAGCCCATTAGTGACCGTGATAATCAGGGTATCACCTGAACGAGCTTCTATTGTTGGGCCAGGGAAATGATCTAGATTTATCGAAAAACATGGTCAGAATTCATACATATTTTTGAATCGAATATTAGTTCAAGTGTAATGTTAAAGGCCCAGCTCACCATTGATGAGGTATACATCTTTAAGGACTCCATCGGGCCTAAGCAAGCCCGATGTGACATGCCAATCCAGGTACTGCGTGATTGGCGGCCGGGAAATATGCTCTTCGGGATGAAGTGCGATACCAGGGCGGGTAGCTCCGATATGTCGATGAGACTCGATTGGAGCTGGCCGGGACTCCCATGAATAGAGATCCGGTCGTTGTATGCATGTATATGCGAGGGCGATCAATATCACACCCACGAGGGACCAGGGCAGCCAAGTACGCGAACTAGGCTGGGATTTCCTGGGTATTGATGACGGCGACTCCCGTGTATATGGAAGCCTTCGACGACGATGTGATCTCTCCATGATGGAGCATTTCGGAGGGAAGTCGGGGCCCGTAAGCGGATTTCAGTTCTTCTAGTGCTTTCGCACTGTCCCTTTGCATGTACCCCTCCTTATGTGTCTTGCTGCAGGGAGAACAAGCTTGGTCGATTGATTGGAAAAAGTAGAAAGCTGTTTGGATCAGTATATCCCACGTGCTGTATTGGTGGCTTATCTCAGGATCTCCAAGAAGTCTTAGCGTATTTAGCGTATTTAGTGCATGAGAGTGGAGTTGGTGGTTGACCCCATGTCCTGATTAGGTTTAAGTGGTACTACATCCATGATATGAGTGAGAAAAAGAAGCGCAACAGTTAAATCATATGTACAGCCTGGTCACCCAATCTCTAATTGGAATATTTGCAGCCCTTCAAGGTTTACTTTATTGGATGAAAAACAAATAAGGATCGCAGATATAATCGCATTATTTAGAGAAGTTTTTGTCCGCTTGACTCTGTCATCCCTATTTTCCCCCACACGATGCAGTAAGATAGGGTTAAAACACCCAATCGAAAGAATGTATTGCTACTCGTGACTTTTTCGGAGGGACCCAAGAATGTTGGAATATTAGATGCAACTGTAGTCCAATATGTAAAATCTCTTTGTATCTTGATTAATTAGATGGTATCATTCGACATAAGTGGGGAGGCGGGTTGACGCGATCCAACTGTACCCCACAGACTAAGACAGTACAAAGCGATACAGGAGAATGCCACTACAGTGATAAACCTTACTCCGTACTCCACCAGGGCATATTCCTTTGTGCAATTAAACATGTAAGATTCATGCATTTAGGTGCATTGGATCTGCACACACGTGGGCCTGTTTTGGACTAAGGATTGGATCTTGAGATATCAACTTTAGGAAACCGCTGGGCTGCATAGAAGCTGCCACCCTCTTTGCCTCAAAATGGTTACTCTAGTTCCGGGGCTTAAATGCCTTCGATCTCCTCCTGCTCACATTTATTTTCTCTGTCGCCTTTGACAAGCTAATCATCTTGGTCTTCTCGAGTCTCGAGTATACTACGCGGCCATTATGACTTGGAAGGTCGTTCGTGGGGCTGCGCTGGCAGTCATCCTGGCCAGTCTGCCTGTAATGGGCGACGAGCTACGCGATATCGAACACGTGGTGATCTTCATGCAGGAAAACCGTTCCTGGGATTGTGTATGAATCGCAACTCTATATGTGCCCCTGCGGAAAATTGAAGCATGACTGACGAGATTCTGCATAGTACTTTGGTACCATGCCTGGTGTTCGTGGTTTCAGCGATCCTAATGTTCAGGTGAATGGCAATGAGTCAGTTTGGCACCAGTATGTGGAAACTTGACATGCGAATTATGTATTCTCGGTCTGACTCATAAACAGAGTGGTTGATCCTGGGATGTCTAACAAGACCAACAACTTGCTGCCCTGGTATCTGGGATACGAGGGTGGTGATAGTCTCGATGCCATCCAATGCATGACTGCTGGTGACAATGGTTACCAGGATAACCAGGCAGCTTACAACCATGGTCTCAACAATCATTGGGCTCGTAACAACACTCCTTGGAGTTGGGGCTACTTCAAGCGCCAGGACATCCCAGTTCAGTTCGCTATCGCTGAGGGATGGACTTCTGGTGACATGTACCAGGTACGGTCATAATCCAGACTGTGGAACAATGAATCTGACTTTTGTGTAGGAAGCCCAAATCACTGCGACAAACCCCAATCGTGTGACTTTGGTCAGTGGCTCCATCAATGTTCCTGGTAGCCCCCAGAACAAGGACCAGGGTGGTGTCTACATCGACAACAACGAAGTCCCAGGTAGGTCCACAACTTTGATAATCTTTAACTCGGCTAATAATTTGAAGGTTGCGATTCTGATGGTATCAACTGCTATCCCCTCAAGTGGAAGACCATCTATGAGTTCTACGAGGAAGCCGGTGTCTCTTGGCAGTTGTACCAAGATACCGACAACTTTGATGACAATCCTCTCGCATGGTTTGAGCAGTACCAAAATGCCAGCTCTTCTTCGCCCCTGGCAAAGAAGGGCATGTCTTACGTGGGTCTTGAGGCATTCTATGAGGCAGCTGCAAATGGTACTCTGCCCGAGATCAGCTTTATCGTCGGACCTGCTGAACTATCCGAGCATCCTCCATACATGCCCAAGGATGGTGCCTGGTTGCAGAAGAAAGTCGTAGATGCGGTCACTAGTAGTCCAAAGTACTCTTCAACTTTGCTTATGATCAGTTATGATGGTAAGTATCACCTGTCAACACAGTAAGAAAATCAACGAGAGCTGATGTTATTCGCAGAGACTGGTGGATTTGGTGACCATGTCAGCCCCTTCCATGCTCCCAAGGATACCCCCGGCGAATGGATGGAAGATCCACTTGGATATTTCGGTGATATTTTCGTTGGACCCGGTATGTAATAGTTTGAACTTTGAAGTTCTTTGAGGTCAACTCTAACCGCTATCAGGCTTTCGCGTCCCATTCATGATGGTCTCCCCCTGGACTCGGGGTGGCCGAGTATTCACTGAACGGGCGGATCACAACTCCCAGATTCTGTTCCTGGAGAAGTGGCTCTCAGCGCGAGGCTACAAGAACATCGAAACTGACCAAATGGTCGCTTGGCGTCGTAGCCACATGTCGGACCTGCTCAACGCACTGGATCTCGACAACGTAAGAACCATCTCTATCATATCTTCCGAAGTGACTAGACTGACCTTGCAAAAAGCCCGATCTGTCCCTGCCCAGTATTCCAGATGCTGAGACACCGGCCACTAACAGCGACGGTAGTTATGTCGGGACCTCCAATTGCGAGGCCGAATACCCCAGTCCACGACCTGTTGTTCCATATGGTGACCAGGACAACTCGACCAACACCATGTTCTTCGAAGATGGATTCAAGGAAGTTGTCGGATACCTTACTGAGGGTCGCTACCTTGTTTTTGAGAAGGCTGGTGCCGCCTTGACAGCTCCTACGAGTTCCAAGAACTCCAATCTCGAGACTACCACGGCGACCGATAACCACGAGACCAAGGCTCAGCGATGGATTATCCACTACAACGACGACGAGGAAAGTGGAATCTTCACCATCTCCAGTGCTCTTGACGGCAGATGGATCGGCTCTCGCGGTACTTTGATCGATGCTGACGATTCTGCACGGGCTGCGCCATTGAGCATCACTTTCCTCGGTAATGGAAACGGCTACAATATTCAGTATGCTAAGGGCAAACAATACCTCAGTGCCGAAAACGATGGCAGCTTCACCCTGGTTAGCACAGCTCCAACTGAGGGTTTCAAGGCCTACAGCGTTACCTATCATGATTAAAAGTCTGCATCCTTGACATGGCCTTCAATCGTGTTTCGTGATTATATCATTTCCTGATTTCGTTTCCAACTATAGCATCTTGCATGCATGGATAAGAAATACGGATACAGGCAACATGCCTTTCATTATTGTCCCACTTGTTTATAGCTAAGGCACCGGGGCTCATATATCGAGGATTATACATATATATCTCAGAATAAAATTGAATGATCAATACAAGTTTCACAAGTAATCCTCAGTCATCATGTAGATGTTTGAGCCGGTCCAAACTCCAATACATGCGTCTAAGCGGTAATAGTAAACGGGCCAGCGGCGTTGTACACCGTCGGCATCTAGCAAAATAAATCAGCATGGTGTACAAAGAAGAGAAGATTTGAAAAGTACGAGGTGACCTACCTGAGGAGCTGTATCCAAGGAAGTATCCAAACGCAGATACCAGACACTGCCATCGGCAACATGGGGCAGATCCTTCGGGATCTCAATATCAATTACCCCAGAAGTAGCATTAACCCCTTGCAGAAGTTTAACAGACTGCGCATAGGAGATGGTATCCAGATGGCGGACAGGGTTGTTATACAGCCACACGCCATAGCCATACTGGCTAGCAGGGTACTTTGCCAATGGGTCGGAGCAGTGTGTGGTGGGTGCACGGTTGAAGCGCAGCTGGACGGACTGTCCAGCAGCGAGGGTGGAGTTATCAGGGATGCCTTGGTAGACGTTAAGGCAGGAGTAATCACGTTTTCCCCATGCTGTAACATCAAACTGTTAGTGATGGTTCTTTGTGTCTCCAATACTGGAGACCACTTGGTGTATGAACGTACGCTGCCACTTATCAAAGGCCGTTGCGGTAGCTACAAGAGCAGAAATAAGAACTGCGCCGGAAATCTTCATATTGTAGGAGTATGAGAAAAAGAATATCCAGGTCTCAGGAAGAAGTGGTTGGGATTGCGGTATAAATAGGAATACGAGCAGGAGAAACCAGTTTTAAGTTATCTTCTGGGTAATTCATCCGCGATCGACTTGGACCCTTAATTTAGACCGAGACACAGTGCCTATTCTGCAGAATGTGTCTCACTTATCGACTCCACATGGCTTGGCATTGAGAGGAAGTGGCGGTGGGGGATCGGCAGGGTCGTTAGAAAGAGACGCGTGGTCTGATATAGAGTGCCTAGCCCAGATCTCGGTGTTTGGTACAGGCCGTTGCCGAAGGACACCATTAGCATCCAGATCCCGAACCAATATTCTTCCAGGTGGAGCTGTCTTCGGCACAGGTTGCTTCTTCACGATAGGTCGTTTGGGGAGATTTTTCTGGGAAGTAATGAGGCGAGAGATTGCAGCTTTACTGCACTTGTTATCAACCGCATCGAGAAGATCCTTGTACGGGATACTCGGATCATTTTTGTACATTGATAGAATCTTCTCGACATCACTGTCTGTAAGGATTTTTGGTCGTCCAGAACGCTTTCCAGTCTCGAAGCTATTCCGTTCCCGCGCTCGCTTGCATGAGGTTTTGATAGTTGAGATTGGAATTTGAGGGAATCTTTCGTGAATTTGCGTATAAGACCACCCGGCAATATCCTTCAATGTTGATAGCTGTACGCGAACGTGAGTGTCTAATTCGCAATTGCGACGCCGCACCAGTGGCGGATCAGCTGATGGAGTAGCTTGTATGGCCCCGGCCGGAGAGGGTAGACCCTTGGGCAGTGGCCGAGAAGGTGTAGGTGGAGACTGTGCGGGTTCCATAATTATGCTCAATTCATTCTAATATCGCGGACGATTAAGCAAGAATTGTTATGGATATCGATCTCTAGCGCGTCAGGGGTGATATCTTATACAGGCGGTCAGAAATGGCAATAACGGTGCGTGATGGATCAAATTCCTAAATCCATGGATCTTGATGTTTTGCTCCACCTTATTCAACTAAAATATGGAGTTGAGAAGCTTATTCTTTGTCTCCATGATGTTGAAATTTACAAAGGTCTACAAAATTGGAGCTTTTTTCAATTGTTCAATATACGGTGCTCCCCGTGTACCCAGACGAGATCACGCTCTTTGTCCCACGGACTCCAACCCCAATTATCACAATCAGGGAGGGTCTCCGCGTGAAAAGATATCGAATTAGGAGTTTCTGTTGCTCATTTGATTCTTGAGAGATAGTTGATAAGGTCGATTGCAGCCCTGCAGGCCATAAAAATCTCATTCCAGTAAAATACACTCCGAATAAACGATTATTTGAACCTCAATTCAAGCCTCAAAATCAATGACATACATGTCACGCCATGTTTCCTGTTCCTCAACCGTGCTGACTGCTTTCAGAACTTCATCCCGAGCTGACCATGGAATGCGCTTAATCGTTGGCGTCTTTAACCGGCCCTGTTGTACCAGGTCTCTCAGTGGGTAGTCAACATCCATCTCAAGTGGTGAGTAACCAGTCCCCGTGTAGTCCATATGCCTGTTGTAAAAGTGCTGCAGAAAGCTCCTTACATTAAAGGGGCCCGAGGGTATTTCTCCATCTCGACGGTAGTAGGAAATGGTCAACGAGCTGGGTGTATCGCTGCCACACAAGAAAGCGTAGTTCACCACGCTTCCACCCAAACGGAGGAAAGGGACAAATGGTGAGACAGAAGGTGATGACCCACTATCAAAAACAGACACGATCCGCATATTCTCAATCTCTTCCTGGTATCTTTCAATTTCGGATTCCAAAAGAACACAATCAACGCCTTGATCTTTCAGTATGCGCTTTCGGGGATCAAGTCGAGATGGGCCTTTCATTTCTGGCTGGTCTTCAAGGACAACCAGAACTTTGGCCCGTTCGGCTTTCACCAGAGAAATGATGGCCCAGGAAATAGGATCCACGGGTTCGTTCATGACGATACAGTGATGGCTCTTCAAATCATAGAAGGACTCTTGAACGAGAAACCGACCAGTACAGAAAACGCTTCGAAGATAACTGAATGTCTCAATATCGATTGGTGAGAAGCTTCGCCGAAGCTCGTCGAGGTCGTATAGATTGCAAGACAGATTCAAAAGCCAATTCTCATGCACGTTTGCATGGCTGCACCATGTGCCAATTCCCATGCGAAATGGGACAACAATGTCACCCTCTCGGAAATCTGTGTCGTAAACGTGTCTCGGAGCAAGTTCGCCAATTTTTGTGACTCGTGCAACACCATCATACCCAGCAATGTAAGGATCTGTCATTTCGTATGGCCCTCTTGGCACCCTTCGGATTGGTTTCAATGGATATTTCCCTGAAATCGCGAGGATGTCGGTTGGAGTAACGGGGGCGAAGATGAAAGCGATCTGAACTTCATCCGGACCGGGATCTGGTATTTCGAATTCTTTGAATGTCAGGTTCATCGAGGCTGGCGAGCCAGCAGTCTCGAAACACAAAAGTGTAGCTTTCTGGGGCATCTTGGGAGTTGCGGTGGTGTTGTGGAGGAAGAGAGGTCTGGCAGGGTGAGAGTTGTTGATGAAAAGCGCAAGTGAGAGCTGGACGTGCAAGGCCTTCAATTTTTTGGACCACTTGGACAGGCTACTACTTTGACTGCCTATCGGTCTCATCTGTCTCATCTCTCTATAAAATTGGGGACTTGAGCGCTTTTCATGGAATTTCTTTTATTTTACTAGTCAATGCTCCGGGTATTCAATACAATATGATTGAATGCTCAATCGCTGGAGCCGATGGAAATACGTATATTTCACCTCTCAGTTCTACCACAGGAGCCAGATCAGTGTTTATTTTCGACTTGCACCCACAAGTTCTAATTTTACTTCAAATTGACGGACTTATGGTGCATGAGATTAGTCACTTAGCACTAGGATGTTACAGCCCCCCTAGTATAGAGTATTAACGTGAGTCATCGCAGGGATTAGAAAATTCCATGATAAACTCTTTGCTTTCCGCTCCTTGACACCAAATCAATACTCGAGACTGAGGTTTTTCAAGAGAAACCTTTAATATCAATTTGACTCCACTCAATATGACCCAGACTCCGCAGAAATGTGGGACTGTCCTTCCAGTGCCCGGAGAATGCAACATCCTCATTACAAGTGCCCATCCATACGTGAACAATGTTCCCCATCTCGGAAATCTCATTGAATCCACGCTCTCAGCAGATGTGTTGCAAGATACTGTAGAGGAAGAGGATATAACACGCTCTATGTGTGCGGTGGGTTGTCTGCAATGTTTTATATTTATAATGGTACTAGTATTTATCGACTCTATAGGTACCGACGAATATGGCACAACCTCCGAGACGAGAGCACTCATAGAAGATTTTACACCCAAGCAACTTTGCGATAAATACCATGACATCCATGATGATGTCTACAAATGGTTCAATATCAGCTTCGATACTTTCGGCCGGACGACCACTCCGTTGCAGACAGAGACCGCTCAGGAAATATTCCTTAAGCTCCACCAAAATTGCTTTCTAGCTCCACCACAATGGCTTTCTAAAGGAGGGAATGACAACTCAGCTTTACTGCGAGCAGCATCAATCGCTTCTGGCGGATAGATCTTTTCAGGGAGAATGTTCATCAAGTGGCTATCCAGAGGCCTATGGTGATCAATGTGACCTCTGCAGCCAACTTTTAGATCCGCTGGAGCTTAAAAACCCTCGATGCAAGGTTGATGGTGCTACACCAGTCAAGAAGGAAACAAAGCACATCTTTCTTGAACTAGACAAGCTTCAATCTGAGATTGAGCCTTGGTTCCAGCAGGCTGCTTCTTTCGGGGCTTGGTCTAACAACGGCAAGGAAATAACTTCTGCTTGGTTAAAGGAGGGCTTGAAAACACGCAGCATTACCAGAGATATTAAATGGGGCACACCTGTTCCTTTGCCAGGCTATGAAGTAAAGGTCATCTATGCCTGGTTTGATGCATGCATTGGTTACGTTTCTATCACGGCAAACTATACCAACGAGTGGCAGAAGTGGTGGCATAATCCCGACGATGTCTATCAGTTCCTTGGAAAAGACAATGTTTCTTGCCATACTGTCATTTTTCCAGGTACTCAAATCGGTACTCGTGACACTTGGACAAAGGTTCACCACCTCTCTACAGATTATCTGACCTATGAAGGCGGGAAGTTTTCCAAATCTCGAGGGATTGGTGTATCCGGGGACTCTGCACAGAAAACAGGTGTCCCTTCAGATGTTTGGCACTATTACCTTGTTTCTCATCGACCAAAAACCGGTGATACTGAGTTCAACTGGGACTCATTCATCAGCGCTAATAACAACATTCTTTTAAAAAATTTGGGAAATTTCGTCAATCGCGTCGCGAAGTTTGTCAACTCGGCCAAGTTCAATGATATAGTGCCAGTCTACACGCAGTACCATGAGAATTTTTTTGACACATGGAAGAATCAGGTTAACACACTTCTTACCGATTATATTGACAAACTCGAAGCTGTCAAAATTCGTGGTGCCCTCGCTACAGTTCTGTCTATCTCTCAGCAAGGCAATCTCTTTCTCCAATCAAACAATCTCGACAACAAACTTGCAGCAGACGAGTCATCAAAATATGCGGCAATTATTGGACTCGCTGTGAACTTAATCCACCTACTTGCCTCTCTTGTCTCCCCATTTATGCCTGAAACGGCTGACTCGATAAACGCACAACTTTGTGCGAAAGCGCTACCAATCCCCGATCATTGGGATGCGAATTCCATCAAGCCCGGTCATGAGATTAGCAAAGCAATTCTCTTATTTAGCAGCTTGAATCCTGAGAAAGCATCGGAGTGGCGAGGGTCGTTTGGAGGTCAGGAAGCACAGAAAGTCAAGGAAGAAGAGGCAGCAAGAAAGGCCGCTAAGAAAGCAGCAAAGGGTATCAAAGCACACGAGGGATGGAATTAGATGATATTTTAATGAGTTTCTGCTTGTCATTTCTGTTTTTATCCATTTTATGTCTATCGGATCAGGTGTTTCAAGTTGTTCAAGTCCTGTCGGTGTTTCTTAGCATGTCCACATGCAGGCAGCAGTACTACTCAGCGAATGTATGGCGGTGAAATGCACCAGATGAAGCCAGTGATTTTCGACTGATAATTCCGTGAGAAACGTAGATTCCATCATTTCCTTCTGAGATTAACATTCATTAACGTCTGAGTGTTGGAAACGCGACCCCGAAACCCGTGGACAGCCCTGGAGTGGGGCTAAACCAGGTGGATTATTAACACCACAAGTCCTCTCTCCCTATGAAACAATTACCTTCCAGCACGAGAATCAGTGCCCAGGTGATCGGCATGTGATGACCAATTAAAGTCACCTGAATACTTTATCTCAATCTCCAGTACTCGCCAATAGTGTCCTTTGGATCTCTGTGTTGGACATGCGAAGGCACACTAAATCCAAACGTGGCTGTGATACTTGCAAAGCGCGACACGTTAAATGTGGGGAAGAACAGCCCCATTGTCAGCGATGTGTCAGTACGAAGCGCCAATGCTCGTATACACGCCCTGCGAGTGATTCACCGCAGAGACAGCTTGGTCTTTTCCAAGATTTTCTATCACGAGAGCGCCCTGTGATCAGTGCACACCGAGAGCGAAGGGCGTTCGAATATTACTACTATCAAGCAGGTCCAGCGTTATGTGGCGTACTGGACTCTGGTTTCTGGCGAACTTCAGTTCTGCAGATGTGTCGAAATGAGCCTGCAATATGGGATGCCATAATTTCACTTAGTGCGCTATACGAGCGACCACCAATTCATGAGGCATCACCTTTTCGGCTTATCAATAACCCTGCAGAGGTAGAACATCCCCACCACCACGAGGCTCTGGTGTGGTACTCTCGCTCGCTGGCTGCTTTGCGACAGCGCATGGAAAATGGCTCAGCTGATCTATCAGTACTGCTCGTAAGCTGCATTCTGTTCATCGCTATTGAATTGCTCCAAGGCAACAGACAAGCAGCCTTGACTTTGTGCAGACAAGGGCGGATATGGTGATCAATGCCTTCCGGCCCACAGACCATACTTCAAGGAATAAGGCCTCTGTGAATAGGGAATTTTTGATTTCTGTCATCAATCCTATTTTCCGGCGTTTCGGTACCTGGGCTCTCGTAACAGATGGTAACCCCAATAGCCATCGGTCTTTGGATTTACTTGACATGGATGTGCAACTGTCATCGATCGATGAAGCTCGAAATGCCCTCCATGGTATTGTCAGAGATATGAAAATCCTCAATGTCGATACAAAGTCTCATTGGTCTTTTTCCCTCGAGGAGCGGATACATGGTGGCCTGGGTCTTATTCTTATAGAGAGACAGAGGGATCTCAGGGAGCGTCTCAATCGCTGGCATAAATCCTTGATATCTCTCTTTCATGATGAACATGATGGCAACACTGCCCTATTACTTATGACTTACACCGGTGTCCTGATTGAGATTGAGACCTGTCTTTGTCGCGATCAAATGTTATATGATTCTTATGAAACCGAATTCGCGCAGATCATCAATCATGCCCCCACAGCGATTGCATCCACCCGATATAATGGCAGTCAACCACCTTTTTTATTCGAGACTGGTGTATTTCTGCCACTCTTCATCACTGCGCTCAAATGCCGGTTTCCTCAAATACGTCGCCAGGCCCTACAGTTTCTGCACGAAGCTCCACCTGCCCAAGGTCTTTTCCTGTGCCGTCCGGCTGCTCATGCTGTCGCCGTCATTGTTGAACTAGAAGAGGGAGGGAATCCTGCAGATCTCGACTGGTTGCAGGGGCCAGGTGACTTAATTTCCAAATCAGGATGTGTCCCACCTTCTGAAAGCCGTATCTGGGATTTCAGTGTTTCGTCCGATAAGGACTTGCAGGGCATGACGCAAAAATGGCTTCATTATCGTCTTCGGGACTTCGGTAACCCCAACGGCGACATTAGATTTATTCAGCGTACTGTTCTTTTTCCCGGTGCTCAATCTTAACAACCATTATGTATATTAATTCAATTTCCCATTAATTTGGGATAACAGAAAGCATTAATGCACGCGCGGCCCCCGGAGGGTTCCGTGCCGAGTCCTTATACCCCGCCTGTCAGCTGGGTTGCAGCTGTACTTCCAAAGGGTTCAAGCTTAAATGTTCCCCTCATTCCATTGAGGGTTTTTTTTTCTCCATCACATCCCCTCTATTATGGAGTCAACCATTCTCTTGACATTGAAGTGCTCCTCAGATGAGAGGAGGTACTCTATTCCAAAGATCTATAGTTCATCACTTAGTTTTCCCACAAAGACGCCACAAAACACCCCTCACGCGACACATTACCATCTGCGCCACATATCGATATATCCGCTATTATAATGCATCCCAGCCAACGAGTTTCAAAACCAGACCAAAGGTCGGTGAGCGTGATCAATTACCTATCTCGCTTTTTGCTTATCTCGGGAATCGGCTGATAGTCCATGATGTCTGGACTGTTGCCATATCCCCCAGGCATCAATTGCCACTTTCTTTCCCCTTAAGGAGAGTTTTATATGGGGCAATTCTCTTTGTCTTTGAACAAACCATCAAGAATTTCCCAGATTTGGTTAAATCGTGTCATATTGCATGATACTAGGGTGAAAATATTCAAAGCAAAAGTTTGCATACCTTGTGACCACTGGGACAAGTGTGGATCGTGGGTCCCCAAAGATTCACCTTTTCCTCCCCACAAAGTCCAGGTGCTCCAGACTGGCTAGTTATTATCTGGCCTCTGTGCTCTTCTCCAGAATATCCTCCTTGGCACTCTAACAATTGACCTGTGACTTTCAAACACGTTCATTTCGACTACTCTTGTTGAGTCTATCGGGGAGGTTTCTTGAAAAAAAAAATTCTGTGACCTGGAGAGCATGCCCTCCTTTACCGAGGGGCATGCCAACTCAGGCCCCGAAGTAGCAGGTAGGTGATATATTCCTTTCCTGTCTGTACAATTTAGAATGCCCAATGCACTACATCTCCCATGCGACTTCTGGCCCTGATGGGTACAACGCCCTTGCACCAACCGCTCCTTCTTCGGGTGATCCCCGCGGGGGAGTGACGACATTATGCCCATGCACCTCTCGATCTTCAGAATCTTTTTTTGACTGATCTACAGTAGAGTCACCATCTATTTCGGGAACAGTGACAGATTATCATCCACGAAACTCGTCGCATACACACGGTCCGACCTCTGCCTGTCCTGATGGACCGACCCTGAAGCAATACCGAGCCCCTGTCGCGAAGGCGACTGCCCGCCCGCCGATTACCCCCACTTCCATGTCTCCTACGGTCAACTACTCTACACCCTCGAGCCTGAGGCTCGACGCGATGACGCTGGATGATAGTGTACCATCGATCAAATCTGATGAGGATCCCCAGATAGGCCTCTTCCATCAGGTTTACGAGTGGCTACAGCATGAAAAGACTCGACGAATGGCACGCAAGGCACGCCACGCCGAGGCAGCCCCTTCCAGCGCGAACGGCGGAGAGGATGAGGAGGAACGCCCAGCGGAACCTCCTCAACCCTCGGGGAGCACATTCTCGCTAGATCAACTGGAAAATATCCTGGCACGATTCGCGGGACCTACAAACGTGAATGGTCTAGCTTTGCACCATTCCCTTAAACGCATTCCCCGCCGTCGCCCGAAGGGTCTACGTCGAGGCTCTGCCTCCGAGTCGGATTACACGGATATCGAAGCGCAAGTTCCAAATGTGGAAGCTTATCTAGATAATTCCAAGACCCTCGCGTACAACTTCAGCAACACAGCCGAGAACGATGCTGATGATAATAATACCAAGCGATCGAAGGAGAGGGAGGCGTGGACTGTCTTTAAGACGGAGATTGTGCGCCTGGTGCATACCCTCCAGCTTCGAGGCTGGCGCAAGATGCCGATGGAGATGGCTGATGAGATTGATGTTGTCCGGCTCAGTGGTGCCATGACCAATGCCATTTATGTAGTCGCTCCTCCTAGAGGTCTTTTTACCCACAAGATTGAGAATGGATCTGCCTCCTTGTCTTCTCGAAGACCTCCACCGTAAGTACAACTGATCTCGAAGCTAAGTTTCATATGTTAACCTCTTGACTCTTTACAGGAAACTTTTGCTGCGCATCTACGGTCCCCAGGTAGACCACCTGATTGATCGCGAGAAGGAATTGCAAATTCTTCGTCGTTTGGGTCGTAAGAATATTGGGCCCAGCGTACTTGGAACTTTCCTGAATGGCCGTTTTGAAGAGTTCTTTGAAGCTCGTCCCCTTACATTCAAGGACTTGAGGATTCCCGAGACCGCGAGGGCAATTGCCAAGCGGATGAGAGAGCTGCATGATGGCATGGAATTACTCGAAGAAGAACGCGAAGGGGGCCCGGTGATCTTCAAAAATTGGGATAAATGGGTGGACCGCTGTGAACAAGTAACCACCTGGCTAGACAAAGAGCTCCAGTCTCCAGGAAATGAACTTAAAGAGTCAACCGAACCATGGCGCTCCCGCGGGTTTGTATGTGGTGTGCCATGGGCAACATTTCGAAAGGCCGTTGATCACTATCGGACTTGGCTTATCTCTAGCTGCGGTGGTATAGAGCAGATCAAGCGAGAGCTTGTCTTTGCTCACAACGATGTAAGTGATTACAATGAGAGGTATACAATGACTTCCATGCTAACCTGGCACTTTCTAGACTCAATATGGTAACCTTCTTCGCATGGAGCCAGCTACTCAGTCACCACTGCTTCTCCCTGCCAATGAACATAAGCAGCTTGTGGTCATTGACTTTGAGTACTCGTCAGCAAACACTGCTGGGTTTGAATTCGCCAATCATTTTGTAAGTTATACTGCTCTACGTTTACATGATGAAGCTCATTGCTGACTGTATCAGACCGAATGGTGCTACAACTACCACGACGAAGAGCGGCCTTGGGCTTGCAACAACCGTTTCTACCCTACCCCCGAAGACCAGTACCGTTTTGTGATGACATACCTCACCCATCGCCCAGCCGTAACTGGCGGTGTCACCTCACCCTGGGCAACCCCGGCTATGCGAGGTGGCACAGGCACTGCTATCACCCCGCTAACTCTTGATGATTGCTCTGAGGCATCATCTGTGGCATACGCCTCTCATGAGAAGCCTATTGAAGAGGAACTCGAGCTGGAAGTGCGGCGTCTGATGCACCAAACGCGCCTCTGGCGTGTAATGTGCTCCGCACAATGGGCGGCCTGGGGTATTGTTCAGGCCAAGATACCAGGTATGGAGGAAGGGATTGCCGAGATGACCGCTGGAAGTAGCGGTGTCTCCGGTGTTCCCCATGAGAACGGACACGAGAAGAATGAACAGGCCCAGCCAACAACACCCGTGGATTCCGATAATGATGAAGGGGATGAGTTTGATTACTTGGCATATGCTCAGGACAGGGCCTTATTCTTCTGGTCTGACCTGTTGACGTTGAACCTGATTGACCCGGAGGAATTGCCAGCTCCTATGGTTGAACACCTTCGGAAACGAGCTGTCGACTATTGAACAGATATCTGGATGGATGTCGATGCATGACGCATATGAGATTACGATGTGGATGCTAGTAAATATCATCTAGGTAAATAGGATAGCGCTGTACCTAGTGAATGGAGACTACTACATAATACTTCAAGTTGCTACTAGTAGATGTGAACTCAGGCATAAAATTTACGATCATTTAACTCCGAGTCCCAATCTTACAGGGGTGAAAATCATATTAATGAACTACCGTGCTATTCAGCTTTCGGATCACCTAGTAGTAGGTACCCTGGAGCCCCGGGGGAAGAACACACCTACTACCTAGGCATCATAATACTGAGCAGCCAATTGATGAGGCAGTCGACCAGGTCTATGACTCCAAATGTTTTATGCATTTGTCCACTCCACATTTGTACAAACATTTGAATATTCTAATGTTTGCCTGCTCATACTTTTGCTCCATGCACTCTGCACGAGTTTCCATCTTCTGCTTAGCTTTGTTTGTGCTATTATAGCCCTCCCATCCGTTTATGCCCAACATCAAACACATTCCGTATATCATGATATTCCATACTAGACCAATGCTGACCATAATCCATGGCTAATTGGTGATGTACCCCCACTGCATCCAGAAATGATCGACCTTCTGAGTCCAGTCTTTTATGTTTAACATTACGGATTATTGCCCAGGTGATCACCCATCCAATTGATGGTGACCCCGCTCCAAAGGTGCGGCTGAAAAACAACACGACCCCGCCAGACTGATTGCAAGGTTGAACTATTTGAACATGGACTAGTCATGTTTGACCTCGACTCGTTAAATTAAATCTTCCTCTCATGGCTTCAAAATACCAATAAACTTCCTGTTTGTTGTCATTCAGCTCCGAGTCGATACCAATCAACTTTTTCTTCGTTGGACCACAACTGCGCTTGTTGATCCATTATGCGTATGCCTGCCCCAAAGTGCCGAATCTCCCATGACAAGAGGCGGAACAATCCATCTTAATAATTTATACCAGATATTTATCGTCACCAGGCTCATAATTTGGCATGGTATGATGAAGAAAGCGCACCGGGTTACAATCCTTTCAGGAAATGGAGACGTTCTGGCCGCCGGGGCCGTTCAATTGAACTTGAAGGAGCTCAAGGCACCATATCCGGTGAAGCTGAGCCAGAGCAACCTCCAAACTTTCCCTCTGTCTCGAATCTAAGGGCAACTATTCATACCAACTCATCATTGCCGGAGCTACATAGATTACCGTCGCTCGAGAGGTATCAGAACTTACCAGGGCTAGGGCAGCGGAACTCATCATCGCCAGAGCTTCATAAAGTAAAATCGCCAAAGCGACCTAGCTTTTCATCGCCGGAGCCAGCACTTATATCAAAAACTCCCACAAATTCCAATACATCTCATCGGATCGATCTTGAAGAAATCGAGACTGGAAGGCTCCGCGCACGCCGCAGGTTTTTGAAAAATTTTAGCCATCATGATGCAGATTTCGAGAGCATGTCATCGGAAATTTCTGATCAGAAGACATATGTAACCTCCCTAAAGCCCAATTTACTAGGTCCTTTATATGTAGCTCACGCATTCAAGCTCCCTTTCCGCGCACGGATGAGGACTCTTTTTCTAAGAGACTGGAGCAACATCCTGTTACTGTTCGTCCCCGCGGGCTTCGCAGTCCAGCACACATCTTCTTCCCAAATTGCGATTTTCTTTATGAATTTTGTGGCAATCGTTCCATCTTCCAGAATTTTGGGTCTAGCAACGGATGAGCTGGGCGTATATATGGATAAAAGCTCATTGCTTCTAGCGTTGATCATCCACTCTTTCGGGTATGTCTGTCTGACAAATTCTTTTCCCAATTCAATGTCCTTGTTTACGCAAGCACGAATGAGATATCCAGGAGAAGACAATATACTAAATAATTGCTTATACTAGAAATGCCGTCCAACTAATACAGTCTATCTTACCGTTAAAAAATCGACAACTGAGCATATTGCGTCTCTCTTTACTTGGCACAATCCTGTCGAATCTTCTGCTTTTGACGGGGATTTGCTTCCTCTTAGGCGGCATCCGATACTTTGAGCAGCGATTTAACAGGGAAAAGACTGAAACCATCACTATACTTTTATTTCTCGCTGTTCTATCTCTGGTTATCCCAACAGCATCTCATTATTTATCAAACACAGACGCCGGGGGTATTCTAGCACAATCTCGCGGTACATCCATCATCATCATGATATCCTCCGGTCTTTGGCTTTTGTTCGACCTCAAGACTCACCGAGAACTCTGGGACACACCTCCTCTCAAACCAACGGAAAACATCATGTGGCGCAAGCGGATCAAAGAAGGTGACGTGGGTCGTGAGATTGCAAAAGTTGGACATGTTGCAGCAAAGATAGGTGCAGGAGCAGGAGATCACCGGGATGTGACTCTAGTAGAACTAATTGATGATTCAACACCAAGACTTACCATACCGGTTATCGTGGTAACAATGCTTGTCACAACTACCTTGATTGCCTTGAATACAAATTATGCAACAGACAGCATCCAGGGATTGACGGACCAGTATATTTCGCCCTCTTTTGTTGGTCTTGTCATCCTACCCATTATATCACTCGATACAGCTGCGGTGAAATACGCAGTGAACGGCAATATGGATATTGCTATATCTCTCACCTTGGGCCGCTGTATGCAAAACGCATTAATGGTAGTTCCCTTGACTATCTTGCTTGCCTGGTGTATGAGTGTCAACGATATGACTCTAAAATTTGATACATTTAGTATAACGACTTTTTTATTGCTATTATCATTCTTGGATACGTGGTTCGGGAGGGAAGGAGTAATTGGTGAGTTGCAGGCACTGGCATTTCTTCTCAAACTCGTGGAAGTTGTCTCAAATTTGCTAAGCCTTTCATTCACAGGTTGAAAAGAGCTCTTTTAGTCAAGATCTATGTTATTATTGCACTTGCTTCGTGGTGGATCTCATGAATGATACATGTATACCCGACTTGTGCGAATGTTGAACCCGGGCCAACTTCAAGTTCGATCAATCGAGTATGTCACGGCTCATAGAATTGCTTATTGCAAGATTTTGCCCAGCTATTCAAGTTCAAATGTTGTAACTCTGTAATACCAGTAGTGTCGGACTTGCTACCAATAGATTGCACACGCACATTTGGCGGTCGCCACTAACACCACAGGTGGACTTCAAGTTTCCCCATTGCAACCTCGGGATTGAATATTAATGAGATAATAATTTTTATTATGTGTTATGATGTACTTTCACCTCACGAAATAAGAATTATGAAGCGGATTTCTCGATGAAGGAGCTAGGTGGGAATTGAGAAATCAAACTTGAAGCTAATTTTAATTCTTTGTTTATGATAGAGTGGCGTTTACTTCAAGATTACCTAGGAGCTTTCAGTCCCTGTAATATTGGTAAATTTGCGCTGCAGCCTAAAACTGAGGTACTAATATTCCGTACTAGTGCCACTGTCCCCAGGTCAAATCGGAGTCGCCGTTTTATCCAACTTCTGTTTATCTCTCGACATGCCCAGGACTGTCCACGATCATGAATACCACTCCAGAACATCATGAATACCACTCCAGAACAGATCCTCGATATTGAGGACGCGTTAGTTTCCGACGAGAACCCTTCCCGTCATTAACATGACGGCACTCTCGACTATGAACGCTGCGCCAGACTACACAATTACTTGGTCGCATATGGCTGGATGGCCCGCCACAAAAAAGACACCCCCGACCTTGATGCAATGGCTCGCGAAAAGTTGTTCTGGCGCAAGTCAAATACAGACATAGAAGCCATTCGCAAGCGCTTAATTCCGTCGCTTAATTCATTCCTGGATTTGATCTATGATTCTGAGCCGTCACTTTTCTACTGGGTCGGCCGTCTTGAAATGCAGCTCTGCGACGAGTATTTCCCCGATGAAGATAATGAGCTCGACGGGAAGGAGCGATATGTTGTGATCTATGGTACTTCTATCGACCTAGGTCCGCATTGTCTTGGTGTTGTCTATGATCAACAACTCCATCGGGCCTCCTTCCCGATGACTATAATGAACTGGGAAAGTATAGATCCTATGGATGGGTTTGATGAACTGTAGTATCCGCTAGAGACCCTCCTCTCCCACTGGATCTACATGATTCGTCTAGGCACGATTGTTGTCGGGCTACCTGAGGAGGAGTCAAGAGATCGAATGCAAATGCAGCTATGGTCATGGATTCCCTATTGCGATACTCAAATCGAGAGTAACATAGCTGCTATAGAGCACTACTCAGCTACCGTTGAATCTCGAATGCCTCCTGGCTCACATCTTCCTTTGCCTGACTTTACGCCGTTCTTTACCGATACAGACCTGGACGCAGCTCATGTGCCACAAGACTGCTTTATTCGCTCATTATTGACACGAGTGAAGACCCCCCCGTTTCAAATTTATTGCGCCTGGTCTAGAGGTCCCCCCACGATGAAGAGGCATTTGCGGCACGTCAGCAATTTAACAGCATGCGACCTTATGAAGAGGGATCTATTCCACCAGTCCTTTTATTTACAGCTTCCGCAACGGTAAATCTAAATACCGAAATTCGATGGTTATTTAACAAAGTGTATGAGAACGGGGAAATAGCCATGAACGACGGTGATCCTGTAAAAACAGGATTATACAGTGAGCCTACATGTCGATATCACAATGACACGGAGGAGACAGGTTTCCGTCTACTCCTTCCATTTCCACTGAATAGGGCGAAGTTGAGCAACGGAAGCCAGGTCAGGCCAGATTCATATACACAACTCTTTCAACATGGCAATTTCCATTGGTTTGGGGGAGAATGGCGGTCGCAGAGATTGGAGAGGCTTTTTAAGCGATGGACAGAGCTGGTTGAAAGCGGGGTATGGACAGTGGGTAAAAGATGGCGTGGAGGGACTAATTGATGAATTTAGAGATGCGGATAATGGCGACGCCTGGAAAGATTATTGGATTGCACCGGACTGGTGAACTTGAACAAACATTTGAAGGAAACACTGTCCATTACATTTCAATTTTCATGTTGCTGCTACCTACTAAGAGACACAATAACTTGAACCATCCATGGATGTGCAACATTTCAAGTCGAACATTTGCACATGTGAACATTTGTTGGAATCAATTCCAAAATTCCAACCTTGGGAGGTTTGATTCAACTTGAACTTGAAGTTAGATCCGAGTCCTATGGATGTAGTACTACTAGGTAGTGATTTAGAAATCTTAATCTTAACCACTGGCACATTTGAACTCTGTAGGAATTAATCGATGCCCAGGTGGAGCCTGGAGGACGCTGGTAAAATCATCAAGAACTTGAAAGTTGAAGCTTCAATTTTTAATATAAAAGAGATACCTCGTCATGTCTAAGTCTGACAAGTCTTCAGGGCGGAACTGCAGATGACAAGGTGCCAGTACCCGTGGAGTTATATATAGAGCCAACAGTAGTAATAATACATCGGATATAGCCAAGCATGATGAAATACGGACCCTCAAGTGATGTATAAATGAAGTGCTATCAAAAATTTCATGGAAAAGCAATCAATTGAAATGTTTTGTGGAGATATAAAATTGTTTTTGATGTATGGGTGGGATTCGTGTGAAGTGTAAAAGTCTACATACGGAATAAACAAGGCCTCTCAATACCTGTTACTAGCAAGCTCTATCAACCAACCAGCGCTGGTGGTCTAGTGGTTAGGTAAGGATTCACTCATCCAATTTCACACTAAATATCCGTACTAATAAGTTCTTCAGGATTGCTCTCTTCCAAAGTGAATTCAAGAGCAGGGGGGGGTTCGATTCCCTCCCAGCGCATTCTTTTTTTTCTTTTACCTTTTTTTGGACCACCACTACTTTTATAACTTATATAGATTTTTCTATGTCTACTCTTTTAAATAGGAGTATTTTATTTTTATCGAGTTAGTATTGTTTTCGTGCTTAGTCTAAATTCAATTTCCAGGACAGATCGAGGCTTCGTGAGACTCGTGGATTAAGATCATTCAGCATACTCCATACATAAGGATATCAAGCTTTGCTTCCAAGAGATAAAAACTAGCAGTGCCTTTAAGAAGGAATCACCGCCTCATCTCCAATTTCTTCCTTGTCTCTTTCTTCGCCGCATCAACCCACTCGGTATAAGCCATCCCCTCGGCATCCTGACCCTCCTTCATACCAACAACTCCCTTCATCATCTCCCCAATAAAGCCCACAAAATTCCATCTACGCAAAGTATTCTCCCACTGCCATGCAGCTCTCTTCCTCTGCTCTCTTTCCAGGGTCTCCACATCCCCAATCTCCTTTGCGCGAATCCTCGGATCCCGAACCACAGCCATAAGATTGAAATGTGTTTCCTCGGGCGGATATCTCGCAATTCTCTTCCGTAGAACCTCAATAACCGTCTCAGGGAATGAAGTATTATCACAGGGTCCATGACTAATAGGATGAGGCTGGAGTCCATCAAGTTCATACAGAGTTCCATTCACAGAGGTATACGCAATGAAATGGTAAACATCCGCTGCGTTCTCTTCATCTTGAGGTCTGGCAGTTTCATCGGCAAAGGGACTCGCGCGCGCAAAGGTATTATGTGCTGAGCGGATGGCCTCTGAGTTTGAGAGGGCTTCACCACGGAGTTCCGAGGGAAAGCCTGTTGTGAAGTCTTTGAAGGAGCTGAGTTCAGAGCCCAGGGAGATCGCTGGGAGTGGTGCAGGTGGGTTATCGTGGTTTAGAATTACGGAGAGAATGGCTTGTGTGCCACAGGCGTTTTGGATTGTTTGTGCTGCGAAGAAGACGTTGTTCTCTGTGGCCGTTGTGTCGTATGATCCGTCAATCGGGGCTTCGGCGCGGGCGCCTGCTGCTTCGCGGGTCCATTTGAAAAGGAAGATGACGCCGTAGACGTGACTGGGTAGAACATGTTAGCTTTAGGTATCTTTCTTTGGGGTTTCTTGGTTGTTGGAAGGATGATGCTGGTACTGGGGAATTTACCCAAGGGACCGTATTGTGTCTGCATCAAGAGAAATCAATTCCTCAAATTGGATATCTTGCACACCCAGTGTCTCGATGAGGGAGGTGAAAACACCCTAAAGATTGTTAGCAGGTGAAATTGTTTTGAGCTTCAGTTCAGATATGCCGTACCTCGTCGGACTCGATGGTGCTCCAACCACCAGTGTCGGCCATTTTGAAATGATTGCGGTCAGATGAATAGTCTGGAAGGTTGTAGTTTGCTCGGCGCGGTGGAAAATGAGGTGTTGATCGTAGCTTGACAAGCTTGATGTGAGTGTTGATATCGGTAGCTATCCATGGGTGCAAAACGTTATGTCATAGATCACGTGTAGGCGGTGAGTTCGGCGCTTCTCGCGTTGTTAAATGGACACCCTTCGCCAAATTTGGCTTAGCCTGTATACACCTCACCAAGATAGACTTGGAATCAATCAGGACCTTCGCCGTCTACATCGGGATTCCTGTTACATGGACCCTGTCTGCTAAATGGCCCTGGAGCTCAACTTGTAACTCCATCAATATAGAAATATAGGATACATGGAGCTGATAGATTACCCAAAAGCCAAGCTTCGCTTTTTGCGAGGATGCATCCATGGAAGTATAGATGTATAAAGGTTAAGCCAAATTTGGCGAAGGGCCCGGGACATATTCTGAATCGTCATGATTGCATAGCCTAGTATCCAATTTAGCTTTTCCTGTCTTTACCCTTACATATGGAAACATCCATTAGTACGTAGTGCACCTAGGCACTATCTAGGTGGTTGATAGCAAACCGTTTAACTCGCTTCTTAGTAACTGACTCCAACTGGTCTCTTCTCTCACGTTCACCACTATTCATCTCTATTGCCTCTTACAATCCAGCCAGCTTACCTTTTTCACCAGAAGCTCCTACTACAGCTTTTCGCCGTCATAATGCGTTCTGGAGAATCTTCTTTCATTATGGGTCTTGAAGGTAGTGAAATCGTCACCCCAGCCCATCCGAACTTGGAGTTGTCTGAGAGAACACGGATAATCACTAAAAATCTTGAGGAAGTGTCACTTTCTATGCCCAGACATGTCCACGTAGACCCTATTATCCCTGATTTTACAACCGAAAAAGACTTGGAGTTGCCCGAGAGAACATGGATAATCACCAAAAAGCTTGAAGAAGTGTCACTTTCTATGCATAAGCAGGACCATGAAGACCCTATTGGCCTTGATTTTGCAGCTGGAAAGTTCCTCTGTTATCTCAAGGGTGATGAACACCAGAAACCAGCCTTCCTACGCATTTACCGTCAGATACCAATCATTGGCACGGAATGGTGCCCACCAAATGAACGAGCTAGTCAGGCTGTTCCATTTCACGAGCCTACCGAGCTCTTGGCCTTAAAATCGTTCATGAAACAAATGTGTCCAGTCGTTCCTCAGCTCTTCGGATACAATCACACACAGCAACCGGATACTGGAATGATTCCTGGAGGCTATGAGGCAGTTTTTGTTTAGGAAAGGGTGCCGGGAGTACCTTTGACAAAGGAATATTTCTGGGGTCTTGATAGACCTCAGCGAGATCGGATTCGTGGCGAGTTCCGCAATGTTTACGAGTAAGTACTATATACCTTATTAGTTACTGTCCCGATAAGAGGCTAACCAGCTATAAGAAAACTTAGGCGTTGTGGAATCCAGCCATTTCCTACTACGTTTTCCAAATTAATCTACAATGAATTGACTGGAAGAATGTATGTGAAATTAATTAATTATGATTGATTACCACATACTAGGTACTAACTCTTATAGGCACATATTAGGATTCCGCATGGCTGTACCTGTGGATGAACCGTACAAGTGGTCACCTCTGTTCTACGTGACATATGGGCTAGCTAAGCGCTCTGAAGAACCAAACTGGACTAGGCATGAAGACCCGGAACAATGGGAGTACTGAACATGTTGAAGAAGGCTGTAGATACCAGTCCCTGCTCAGTCTAGCTATCTCTTACTTATGGTGAGCTATCTCTCACTTAAGCCACCTCTTACTTAAACTATCTTTCTTTGGCTATCTCTTACTTTACTATTATAGGCCCCTATAGTATAAAAATCATATCAGATGAAATCAATCCTTTATATTATAACTTTAAGTTTATACCACTAATAAATATACTCATCTAAGATATAAAATAACTAATTCTAAATGAAATGATTATACTAGCCTGAGGCATCACATATTTAGACATGCTACCATTGTAGGATGGAATGGTCATAGTGAGAAAGATATGGGTAGCAAAGAAAACCCACCACCTCATATCTGGCGTCAGCCTCCACTCTGGTCGCCTTCGCTTGGTCATATCTGGCTTTGGCTAGCTCTTCCTTGGGGTTGATAGCTTCGGCCTTGGAGGTTGCGGAGCGCTGGGCGACATGTTTCTGGTAGGTTGTTTCCAAGGTTGAGATTTCTCTTTGAGTTTCTCTTTGAGTAAGCAATCAATATTAGATACCTACCAGTGTGATAAATCATGAAAATTTCAAGATATCAAGTCCAGTAGATGTATCATTTAACACAGCCTAGTAATAAAATCATGATGTACATTACACCGACAATCTATCCATACCCGCATACATACTAGTACATGTAGTATCAATATCTCTCAGCCGAACAAAACAAGGCATCAATCTGAAGATCTTAGATAAACTCCGACCGTTCGAATGCAGATGAATATGATACATGATATCACAAAAACAAACCAAATTAAACCTCCAAGCGCGTGCGGTGAACAACTTGAACCTTGAAGAAAATAACCGCATCCCAAAATAGTACAAGGTCAACGTAGACTCCAATCTGAAACTCCGACCCCACGAGGAATCCATGTGCTGTATGCATGACGCAAGGGAGTGAAGAAAAATCGCATTGAAGTCAAAATGAAAGTTAACGGTTGAAATCTGCAAGGAGGGCCGATGGCAGCCTGGCAGGTATGTACCGCAGCAACCAAGCATTAAGAAGAAGATGAACTTTCAGCCCGCCACACTACTTCAAGTTTCCGAGAAGAGTCAAAGTACTCCGTACATATGATATGTATGAACCAGGGGTTTCAAGTTCGTAAATGATCTACAATTAAACGCGGAAGAGGAACGAGGCCGAATACGAGGGTATTAACCAATGGAATTAGGTAGAGCTGTTCAAGCTTGCTTTACTTTAATTTCTATTCTTAGTTTTACTCCGTACATGTTCATGTGTTGCAGGATTTAAACTCAACGTTCTGGGCTAAGCACTCAAGTGCTTGAGATTGATGTGATCCGAGTTTGTGTGACCTTGTTATCTATGAGGCCATCAAGATCGAGATCTTAATCTTCATGCCCATGTGGAGCTGATCTATACTACTTGTAGATTGGGTGTTTCAGGTCTTTGTTCAAAATGCCGACTGACGTCTGGATGTATACGGAGCTTCATTCCTGATACTCCGTAAAAGTCCGAGTCTAGGGAAATACCGGCCTTCGAACGTGTGAAGTGCAGTAGTACCTACATGTAGACCTTAGATAGACCCTCTTACCACATACTCGGGTACTGGGGAAGTTTTGACCTCCTAGCATCATTCCAGTTAACCCCTCCAGGTGTACAGGTAGTATCCAATCAACATTTGAATGCATCTATTTTTCTTCCTTCTCCAATCTCGGAGCTTCCAGAGTGCCAGTGGCTAGGCTACTCCATTATGTCCTTACATACATAGAAGAGTAAACCGACGAGTAGCCTCAGAGTAGGTAACCATTTACCTATTACGGATAAGATTAATCAATAGTACAGCTAAATGCATAAATATGGTCTTCTAGTGAAATCAGATTGGGATATAGTGTCCATTCAACAGAGTTTCCTAGCTAAGCACATACCTTTCCCAATTTCCTTGCTTTAGCACCGCGCTTCGCGCGGCCCTAGGACTTATGAGCTATCAAATACCAGTACGAGCCACGCGGCAGGAAAAATCATATCCGAATAAAATCAAGTTCTTGAGATTGTAGTAAATGTATGACACGCCAACGAATATGCCCATCCGAGATACAAAACAATGAAATATATGAAATGCTTCCCAAAAAAAAAAACCAAAAACATATGAATGCATAGGAAACAAAAGAAACCCATAAAAAAAACTCCTAGCCCAAAGTGAAGGCGGGTATTGGTTATCTCTTGCGCCATCCCATCAATATCCTCTAAACAAAACACCCAATATCCCAAGTTATATTTCCAAGACTCATGACCAGCAAGTCTCAGAAGTAACCATACCCGGGATATCGTAATGATGAGCCTGTGCATAAATATCCATATTCAGACTCATCTCATCCTGACGAGGCATATCACAGAGCGCCTCAGTGCCATATGGAGGTGTGTATGCTGAGGAACTGGGCAACATATTAGAATGCGTCAATTCAGTCAGACCGAGCGTGGGGTCATGTGTATCGAGAAGTTGAGGGGAAGGTGGGTAGAGCGTATGCGAAGGAGCAGCTGTGATATATCCATCTAGATGGAATGGCGAGCTAGCGACAGTCACAGCGGGTGGAGACTGAAGTGGTGGGGTATATGCAGCGTAAGAAGGAGAAGCGGATGCAGGCGAAGAAGATGAGGCTAGAGGGTACTCGTGTAGACCTTGATTGTGGTAAGGGCTTGAAGGACCGGGAGAGTAGTGCTCGACGGATGGACGAGGTGACCAAGCCAGACGATTACGGTAATGTGCGACGGCTCGTCGGGGTAGATCCATAAGAGTCATTGCGAGACGGAGTTCGGCGTTGTATGGATCTGTGGCGCTGTGTGCTGCTAGAATTCGGTATGTTTCTTCGATTGGGCCGATGGATAGAGCGCCAAGGTATGCGCCGCCCATTTCGGGGTAGAAGTGGTCGAGTGCTACGCCGACGGCAAAGAACTGCGAGAGGACTGCTAAAGCGTTGATGTCGGAGTCGCCGCCTCGGAGCATAGATGCAGGGAGCCAGAATAGCCAGCGTCGTAGGATCTGGATGCGCTCGAAGACCTGGTCGGATGTTTGCTTGGGGTAATCTTTTCTGAATTGTTGCACGTAGTCGACGAGTTCTGCTAGTCGTTGCGCATATTCGGGGTCATGTGAGACTCGCTTCTGGGCGATTTGTAGCCCGTGAATGGTTTGATCGAGTTGGTGCAGATCGTCCTCGATGGAAAGTGAGTAATCGGATCCTGCGCTTAAGGCGCGTTGGTTTTCGACGAGTTGAACCAGCTCTGATTCTTGTTTCCAGAATGGGTGCATCGATTCAAGAACGGAGGAGATGCCCTGTTGCAATGATACCCAACTTTGACTAGATACGGAATTAGTTAATGAAATAAATAGAACTAAAGTCTAGACTTACCGCTCAGTTGCTTGCCATGAAAGTAAGATAGAAGCCGCCAGAATAGCTTCACAGTTTTCCTTTGAGAAAGCACCAATAGCAGTCTGAAGGCCTCGTAGGGCAGTGACTTTATGGTGGTAGGCCAACTGCTTGGTCTCCTGGTCGCGAGTAAGGAAGGCAAGATGAAAAGCAGATAAACTCAAAATGGCGCTCATAACGAAATCATTGGATAGGGCAATAGCAAGGAAACTAGATGATAGGTTAGCGCAAGGTGATATCGAAAAGAGAATCTAGGACAACACATACTTGGGCATTTTCTGTGCCCAAACGGTACAACCACTAAGACCGCGGCGATGAAAATCGATCGAGAGCCCAATGATGTGGTGAACCAGGCGCAAATCCGCGCGTGATAGATGAGACCATCCAGACTGAGGACACTGCATGAGTTCAGGATAAGGAGGAATGCCAGTTCGGTGCCACTTGTCAATCTCCATTTCGATTTCAGGCGACATTAGTAGATCGGGACCCCGCCTTGAGGGGGAACTGCCTTGTGTAGCTGCCATATCCTGATAATCACAACGACAGTTGTGCTTGGTACAGTTGCGACTAGATCTAGATTAGAACCTTGGAATGGACATATTCTTTTTTCATCTCATCTGAGTGATAAGGCATACCATTGTGGGAAGGACTCATCACAACGAATGTGTCTCCGCTTGCATGTCTTGCAACCATTGCGCGACTTAGTATGGCTCTTGCGCGGGGGACCACCACCTGGACCAGCCATTTTGATTGATATTGGGGGAATTTAGTTGGGTGGAAATAGTTGATAGAAGCCCGAGTTGGAGGGGTATGGGTAATCAGGCCTCCAAGTGGGTAACCAGATTGGAACTCGAGAAGATAGAGTCGATTGAGGTCGAGGAAGAAAGGAAGAAGTTGCTGTGGTGGAATTCCAAAGGATAATCAGGTCGAGAGACGATGTTTATAGAGAATCTTTGATCGCAAGTTGAAGTCGATCCTCCAAAAATAAGTTAGGGTTGAGGGAATGGAGATGATTGACCCGCGTGGAAGATACGAGCACCTGCAGGGTGGGTTAGGTTTTAAGTAGTAGTCAAAACAATTTTAAAATGACCCTAAGAACGGCCCCCGAGGAAACGGTTTAAAGGGGGGGAGGCCAAGATCGCGAAGTGGATGTAAAAGAAAAGAAAAGAAAGCGTGGAGATGGCGATGACTGGAGAAGGTGAGCTTGGATCGCGCGCACCGTTGATGGCAGACGAATTTAGTCAGGTGCAAAAAGAAAAGCTATGATTTAATCACGGATATTTTTGGATTTATTTTAATATTATTTTTATTATTTTATGGGAATTATGGATTAATCATTTTTTAATTTTAATTCAATTTTATTTTAATAATGATTATTGCTTCCCCAGTGACGATCTTGGGAGTTGAGCCTCTCTGCAGGGGTCCCTAGGATAGTCTACTCAGCTGAAGGGTTACCAAAGGGTTAGTAAAAGGTAAAAGGTCACTACTCCGTAAAGAGTCACCAAAGAGCCACTAAAGCGCTATTAAAGGGCTAATTTAGACCAAGGACCACATGGCCGCACAGAACTGGGGGTCCGGGCCATTGAACAGAGTCTAATTTGACGGGAAGGGGCCTTAAACAGCTGCCTTGATGGGTTTAGCTGCATCCATAAATCATTTTGAGTTGCTCACTTGAGTCTCCACTATTAGCGGCATGTGAGCTCTCATTCCGGTGGGATTAAATTGGGTAAACCAATCAAATTGATTCAACTTCATTCTCTTCTTGGTCTTGTCTGGTCCTTTTTTACCCTCTCGTCTGTTTCGTCTGTTTTTTACTTGGGTCTTGCCGGGAGAACCCAAGGATATCTTCCGATGAATTAGTCCATCACAGCTTCCCTTCTTGGGATCCCGATAGTATAGAAAGCGGGGATAACCAAAATAATAGAGAATAGTAGAGAATAAGCAAAAAAAAAAAAAGAAAAAGAAATGAACGGTCTAGCCAAAACCAAGTGCAAACCGAAAAAAACTACATCGTAGTTCATCGTTCATCATAGATGGGGTAGCTCACCTTGGACGAATAAGAAACAAGGTAAATAATCCCGCATTTCGTAGATCATCAATCTTGTTGATTGGGATACACAATCGCTTCAAAGATCCAGGGGGGTGTTTAAAGGGGGGTGGCTGATATTTTCTTTTCTTTTTCTTCGTTTCATCTTGCCATGAGGGATTGTTGCGCCTACTCCGCTTAGACCAATCTCCCGGGAAGCATATGTACTACTCCATTAGGGGAAAAGTTTCAAGAAAAATCATGGTCTCGAATGATTGGGGCATCATCGATCGACCTGAGCAAAGTAGTCTCGGCGATCTGAGCAGACCCTGGATTGTGGATCGTAGGAGAGAGAGAGAGAGAGAAAAAAACGTCAGGATTGCCAAGCTTGTACCGTATGCCCAGCAGAGTAAAGGGGAATGTAGATCTTGAACTGCGCCATCCCAGACTTGCCCCGTGGGTCATTATTAAAATGAATTTTTCCTTTTTCTTTTTTTTCATATTTTCATTTTTTTTTTTTCTTCCCCTTCTTCTCATCTTCTCATGGGAAAGGCGCCGTTTTTACCCGTAAATCAGGGTGAGTCAGACGGGAGCGCGAACTGAACTCGGTAATGACAACCGAGTGTGCAGGACGGGGGACATCTAAGAATCCACAATCCACATGGAATTACAGGGATCGAGGATCAGGAGATTTCAATATTTTTCTTTTTTCTTTTTCCTTTGTGTAATCCCTCAAGCTAAAACAACTCGATGATAGTCGTCAGACCAAAGAATCGGGATCATCATCCACGGGTCCTGGGCAAATCCGGGGGGACGGGAGAGTTGGTTAAACAAGGATAGATTGCATGTTACCACTGGGCTGGAACAATTGGAATCCCTGTCCCTGTTGAATTGGTACTCTCCGTAGGAACTGAAAGGGAAAGATGAACCATAGCTAAGGGCTTAATCCCTAGGATCTGGAAACAAAGAAAAAGTGAAAAAAAGATAAAAAAAAAAGATAAAAAAAAAAGATAAAAAGAAATAGATAATAAAACCCGCCTCGATGGGAATCTACTGTCCGCTGTAATGGCTCATGGCGCTCTTGAAGAAAAGATGAGAGCTTCCTGTGTCACGTTACAGTGACCGCCAGCTTCAACTTTTTGACTTCCCACGTTTTTTTTCTCCTGGAGAGGGAGGATCTGGTCGGTGAAGCCACTTCGGGTAGACTTGCATACTGCAGCTAGGACAGGGTTTACAGGTACGCAGTACTCGGGAGAGATCGAACCAGTTGGTTACTCAACATGGAGATAGTACTCGACAATCCTCGAGAATGAGGGGCAAAAATAAAATAAAAAAAAGCAATGTCATCACACGTGGCTTCATGATGTAAAAAATGTAAGCTATAGAGTGCCAAGTATGAAGTAACTAGTACTTACATACATGTACGAAGTACGGAGTGCATGAGAGAAAGCACTTGAGATAGAGAATCTGATCAGTTGCTTCATCCAGATCATGTCTGATGAGGTTTTCTAGATTGGGAATAATATGCGAAGTTGTTGGGAACCATGGACTTGTTCCCGGGCATATTCGGTTCTCCGCAATGAGTTGAATAATCTGGAGAGTGGAACTACCTACTCTGTACATAGAGTGGATCCACTTGGTGTACTTTCTTAGTAACAATTAGTGTAGTAAGTAAAAAAGAACCTATAGGAACCAATCCCTCGCGAGATGACTCCCAACGAGGTTAGTCTGGACTGCATTTCAGAATTACTCCGGAGTTGGGGGCCAATATGTAGTAATCCCTCGAAGAAATCGCAGACGGAGATTTGATTATTTCATACCTCAGGCTTCTAGATGTAATTTCTTTTTAAATTATTTCTTAATTCTGTTGGGGAGTTTGATATTCAATATTTTGATTCTTTTCATCTCATCCCTAACTGTTCCCAAAGTACAGAGAGAAAAGCACAGAGCACAACAGACCCATGCGGGGACTCCACTAGACGATCATGCTAATATCTCCTCGGGCAAATGATTGACCATGGGAAAATGTTTCCTCCTGGCAGATTGACCCATTAAATCAATCCTATGATTCCTATCCCAGTAAAATATTAGCCAAGAACTAAGACTAAACTGAACCAGAGGTTCCTATTCCCTAATAGAATGAAGATATTTAGGCCCCCAAGACCTGGACCCTGCTTCAACAAAGAATAGGTTGGGCGCCATGACCCGACATCTTGGTTCTCCCGTCCTGCCAGATGACATCGAATCCAAAAGATCCAAAAGATCCAAAAAGAGTCCGCATAGAGAAAAAGCACGGTCCATGGGAGGCAACAGCCGCTAATCAACTTTAAGAAGCCAAAAGAGGTCATCCTAGACGAAGTGGAGTCGTCGATCATGGATTAACAAGTAGCTTCCCAGGGCTTGGTCCAGCAGAACTTGATGCCTGGTTACCAGAGATTTGGTTCAAATCTAGCTTGGACATCTGGAACGTCAGTCTCCCCCGTCGATCTATATGGTTTCAGATTTCCACTAAGCTAGAATAAGGCTAGGATTTGCAGGCGGAAAAAAGCAATACCCTCAAACATAATGGTAACTTGTAATAGAGTGCTTCCAACAAGGCGCAGTAGTAGATCCATACGGGAAAAAGAAGTTAAGAAAAAGAAAAGAAACCCCGAAATTCTCAATCAACGATCAGATGAGAAAAAAAAACATTTCAATGTACTAACATTTACCCTTTTGCCTAGAATGATCATTTTGAAGGGCCTAGAATAGGTAGATCACGAACTTGAAGTACGTATACCTGCCATGCAGCTACAACTAGCTACTTTTTTTTTTTTCTCAATTTCGTAATTTCTCATCTATTTACTAGCAAAGCCCCCAAGTAAATTAAAGTCATTAGCGTCAACTTACTTTTTTGTTAGATTGCATACCACTGGCAGTTCGCACTCAACGCCCATAATAAGGCAAGGCAATTGTGAGGCTGAAGCCCCACCTCAACGCCTCTATCTGAAGTCATGATGATCGAGGGGGAAATTAGTAGGCTGCGAGATAACTACGGATTAGTATGGAATACAGGGTATAGAGAAGGGGCCCCTATTCCAATAATTCCATGCAGGTCATAGTGAGGGAAGCATGATGCAGGGAAAACGCCCCCAAGGATTCGAAGATTCGAAAATGCCCATCGGAACATTATACCGGGAGGCAAGTCCTGTTCTACTGTATATCACAGTCCACGCCGTTTTTCTCCTCCTTATTATTTGAGTCTTGGAGATCCTGAATTAACTTGAGTTGAAATAGTGATACTGCACTCCCACTCCCATCCTCCATTGCGACGAGATCCAAGACAGAATCCCTTATCCGAAACAGCTGAAATTACACTCAACATGGGGTTTCACAAGTCATCAATGAACATCGAGCTCAAGAGTGGACATGTCTTGACAGCATATTGTCGCAAACCTACTGGAGAAGCAACATACTCCGAGCTAAATCTGGATGATTTCCTCGGAGCTAAGAAAGGTAAGTAATATCCCTTACTGTACAAAAAGAAAAGGAAAGGAAAACGATATGCAATAAACTCAACGGTCGGAACTTCATTGAAGACTGATTCGATCGGATCTGACAGGTAAATTCGCCTGGAGCGCCGATAACTTTTCTGATCATGCATCCGACGTCAACCTTAAACTGGAGGGCCCTACCCATGAGCCTATGCTAAGTGCCCGACTGGATGATGAAGAAGGTGGTGAGCATATGGATGTGGTAAACCTGGCAGATTGTATCAAGAACGAGAATGGTCGATTGCGCTTCATGGATTGTTTCTAAATGGAGTACATAAAATCAGAATTTGTCTTGAGTATATGCTTGTCCCACTATATCGGTCAGAATGTCTTTGAAGCCATAAGTTTACCAGTTGACGGACACCTAGAGGTACTAGTACCGAGGTTATTCTAGGTAGAACTATATGAAGCACTCGAGTGAGAGCACTGCGGCTGAATGCCAACGCATCATCCATGTCCTTGTATCCAATTGGCTCGCGATTCTAACCCCCTGATGAGGATGTCTCAACTCTGGATGATTTCTCCTTTCGGGGACTTTGATTCGGATCCGAAACAGCTCATCTCAGCCCGGTATCTCCCTAATAATGTGCCAGTGTGCCACTAAGAATACAAATGGCAAGTGAAATGACATGAATTTATATTTCGCCACTGCTTTTCCAGATGAATCATGAGGCTTGTCTAGCCCATGCTTACGGATCATGATATTATTAAACACCTGGGTAGCGCTACCGTGGACGTAGCTTACACTATGCAGCTTACACTGAAACTGTAAATTTCCGATAACCTTTAGTCTGACTCTTGATCTCTGCGTACCTAGATTAGCATTTGAATCTTTTCGTCTCACTTACATCGCCACGCATCGTAGTACAGGGGTGGTGTAAGTATTATCAGCCAGTAATAGTAATCTGCAGCATTGTATCTGGAACATGCAGTACCTAAGCCGCCACCAAGACCCTGCATTGCCCAGGTGTTTTCAAGGCGAGCTCAAATGACACCATATTAAATGAGTGAGTAAGAGGAAAGCCCTATCCATGGGTGAAGACTAAAGACTAAATCCACAACTTAATTATCTGTCAACTTTGTCGGAAGATATTAAGCTTGGACATCCGGGATGTCAGTTAAGCGAAGATCCTGGAATAGACTCTCAGGGCATCTTGAGGCGATAGGATAAGATTAAGAAAAACTTGAACTAAGATGGAATACAAAAGCTATGTACTACGGAGTACATCCGGAGTACTTAGTGCTAGTACTGCATTCAACTTCAAGCTAGTGGCGTAGGTTATTTGATTCGGTTAGCGGTGATTATTCATTACTTAAGTGCTACTAGTAGATAACGAAATTAGTATTAGTTAATAGTGAATATTCCAGACGCTCCTAATTTACAAGTTTTGTTGATAATTTATAATCACCCAAATATGCTAGAACTGATCTACCCCAATTTTACCAACCTAGGTTATGATAATCAGGGTCTCGGTACTCCAGATGGATATTGGACCCTGTCCCGCTTCTCCTCTTGGCACCAAGCCCGGAGTGCAATGTACAAAAAGAGGCAAGAAAAAGAGACTGGAGCACAGGACTTTTGTCCGGTGAGGGGTCAATGATGTAAATATCGAGTCCAGATCCTTGTAATTTCTGGTCATTTTTCCCGAGCTCGAACCTCAAGTGCTGCAACATTTGAACTCCGAGTCCACAGAACCTGAAATGAGGGGTCCACGGGTTCTCGACCGCCACATCGCCTATTTGAAGCTTAAGGATTATCGCGGTTAAGGATCTCAAAACTACCTAGGTGCTAAGGTTGTTTTGGGGCTTTTTTTTATATAGGAGAATCTATCTAATCTATCTATCTAGGAACAATGGGACAGTCGTCGGATCCGACTAGGAACCTTGGAATGTAAAAGTCAGCGCTAAACGACGCATTACCAAATAGGGAACCGGTCATATCAACATGCAAGAGTAGACAGCCGAGCAAAAAGCAAATGGAAAAAATGTTAGGATATCAGATAGCCATGCTGATCGTTGTTGTCCAGATATAATGGTAGATGAAGTCCAGATATCTCTGGAGATCCTCTTGCTCCTCCCCCAGGTTCCTTCGACTCAACTCTTCCCACTTGCCAGCTTAAATGGAATATGTAAAGAGGAACACGGCGAGGGAAAATCACCGAGTATATATAACTTGAAAAAAAGAGAACGCCCAGTCGAGAGAGATTTCTGCTCATGATTATTGACCTAATTCTTTTTTTGTTCCTACCCGGTCATTCCTCCTGTTTCTAGGTCATAATGAAAAAAGGGTATAATCAGCCCCAGCGCTCAAAGTAAAGAAAATAAATTTGAATTTGAGGATAATGAAAAGCTCAGAGAAACGTATCGCATGAGGCATGAGACATTGTCATTCCTGGCATCCACCTGACATCCACCGGTAAGATGTAGTAAATATGAGACATACGAAAAAAATGTGTCGCACTGTTCATAAAACCATCACGGTAGATGCAGGTCTGATTCCACCGCTGGGGGGGTGGTGATTGTGATAAATGTGCTGAGTGTGCCTTTAAATCTGGTAGGCTGAACGTAGCTTTTGGTTCACGTGAGGGGGCAACTGAGAGAGGAACGAATCGAAGTTGGGTATCATATTTTTGTAGCCTTGCAAAACCTGAACAGTGGGTTAGATTAGTTTGATAGTCAAAATTGAGATCGAAGGACGAAAACCGTACCTGTTGGAATGAGGTGTGGATATCCCGGTAGTCATCATGTAAAGCAAGCGACTTGCTTCCGCACGCCGCGATGGCCGCAAAGTAGGTTCCGAGAGATGACTCCATGGCTTGAGGGTTCTTCATCACGACTTGGTTAAAGCCAAGGAAGGCAGATGCCTTCTCGCGACTGAACTCAATTCTACTCATAGATTTAAGGAAGATGTTGGCGTATTCGCTCAAGCGTGGTGCCAACTGGTCGGCGCAGCAGAGACCAAGGCGACCGAGTGCCATAGCGGCATTCTCATTCACAGAATCGATAATCTCCTGGTTGTCAATGATACTCAGAAGACCCTGGTACAACTTTTCGGCGTGAGGAGCAAGGTCGGACTTTTTCTCGTGCACGGCAATCTCACCGCAGGACCAGCACGCGTTGTTAAGAACACTGAAACCGGTATGCCTGTCGTCATCGGGAATGAGATCGAGGTCAAGCTGCTTGATGAGAATCGGCATAATGGTAGGGACAAATGGATCCATATGAGAGAAAATGCTGATGGCGCAGTCACCCAGGAGGGCGTAGGAGGACTGGCGAACCTCGTAGTTGAGATCTTGCATACAGTAGCAGAGAAGGTCAAAGAAACGTGGCTGGGAGTTGGCCACAAGCTCGCCGCTCTTTTCCGAGTCAATGGCTTGGATGATACATGAGAGAAGATCAAGACTAGTAACCAAGAAATCCTTATCAGGCTCATCCGCCGCAGGGTTATTTGCTGAAGCGATGGCCTCCTCGAGGTTCTGATAAATAATCTTCACGCAACGTTGGAAAATAGGGGCCGCGAAAGAAGAGAAAGCATCCTCGTAGGCTGCAGCAACATACCCAAGACACTCGAGCAGCGGGAACAACTCGCGAGACTGATCGGTGACTTGGTTGTAGCGGGTGATCAGGGCAGGCATCAAGATATCGACGAGCTCAGGTTTCGCCAGTTCGTTTCCGACACACTCAGCAAGGGTCTGCACGCAGTCATAAAGAATATACATGTTGCGGTCCTTGTACTTGTCAAAACATTGGACAAATTGACGGAGGATGGGCGCACAGTAAGGGATGAGATTATCATCTGACTTCTCTTCTAGACTAGCAAAGGCGGATGCGGCAGCTTCCTGAACCTTCTTGTTGTTGTCAAGCATGCGATGAAGAATACCCTCCATCATCGGCTCAAAGAAGCGCTCCTTCTCAGATGGGTCCTGGAGGTGTGACGCCCATTCTGAATAACGGCCCAAGCACCAACAGGTAATCTGACGCACAACGGGCTGAGCATCGTTCAGCAGAGAAATCAGGTAGGGAACCAGCTCAGCAAGGTGAGGGGTGACAGCATTCATACAGCCATCTGCGACTGCGCCCAATGTCAGAACAGCAGCTTCGCGGTTAGGCCACTGCGCATGTCGCAGAGTTTCCTTAAGGTACGGCAGAATGATCTCAAAGATAGGGTCGTGGTACACATTCGAAAAGACATCTAGCGCAGCAGCGGAGCATTTTCGCAGCGTCCACTCATCCTCAGGGTCATCTCCAAACTCCGAGTCTTCGATCTCGCCGTCACTCAAGTCATCCTCATCCTGTTCCTGCTCCTGTTGCTGTTGAGCACCACCATTGGCTCCATCACCCTGCTTAGACATATCCAGACGGCTGGCCTTCGACTTGGCAAACTGCGGCTTCAGGTCCTCCGCACGATCCTCGGAATCCGCATCATCTCCATCTTCCATCAAACGAAGTACGTCATCCTCCTCATAGATCATGTTCCGGAGCAAAACCGGGATAACCTTGGGCATAAACGGACCCAGTGAATCCCGTAGGAGATCCTGCTCTCCTGAGACAATCCAGAACTCGGCGGCATCCAGAGCAAGCTCGGGATCCTCCCCGTTCTGCTGCTGGATGAGAATATAGTTGACCAGACCCTCCATATGGGGGATCAGCTTCTCGGGGGCGAACTCGACCAACTGGGAAAATGACTGGCACACCATCTTGCGCACCTCGGTGTCCTGATCTCCAGACAGGTTGAAAAGCTGCGACAAGAAAAGATCCAGGGAGCTCATCAAAGCCTGGGGCTTGTGAGGGAGGAAAATGTGAATACTGTTGAGAGCAAGCGAGCGGACTCGGGGACTCTGGCGACCGGTGAATTCCAACAGCTTGGGGATAATCACATCGAGCGGGCGCTGTCCGTTATAATCGCGATCCAGGACCTTGCGGTTATCCTCGCACACCTTGAACAGCGCAGCCATGGAAGCCTCCTGGGTAGAGAGCGGCACATCACCGGAACTGTTACCGACCAGAGCAAGAAGTTCATGCAGAACCTCGGGCCAAGCCAGCAGTCCACCGCGCTGCACCAGTTCCGTAATGATACTCCCCGCACCTCGCTGGACCTGTTGGTTGCTGTCCCGCAGGGAAACGAGAGCGGCGGATCTGATGAAGTTCAGGCTTTGCTCAGGAATCGTGTGGTAGGCCATGTAGAGTTTCGTCTTCATATTCATGGTTGCGGTGAAACGCACAAGGTTGTAAGTGGCCTCGTCCATTCCGACGCCGGAGGGCGGCTGCGGCGTCGAGAAAATGTAGGTGATATAGTTGACATAGTCTGGGGAAGAAGTCGCATGAGAAAGCATCTAACCGTAATATCAGAGTTAGTATGTGTATTATTTAGACTGCATCTGCGTCGTCGCTCAACTCAGTTCTGCGGTTTGATAAGAGGGGGGGAAATGCAAGGTTGGGCCTTGGGCAAAAAAAAAATTGAATTGCTTGAGAACGATACCTCTTCGGCCTGTTTTCGGATCGCATTGTCTTGACCATTGAGAGAATCTCTGAGGCAGCAGGCGAGCTGCCTCAATGGCTCATCTTGCGGTTGCCAATCCATGTTGAAGCTGTGATCAAGTCGACTTGCGACCGGAGGTGTAAAAGTGCGTGTGGCACAAGGAGAGCCCCGCCAAGAGTGTGGGAACGACTTCCCCTTCGTTCCCCAGAAAACCAACTCTGATCTGCTACAAAATCAGATCAGAAACCTGGACGAAATTTAACGGTGCGGTGATGAAAGACGTAAACCCGAAAAATTCCTTAAAAAAAAAAGGAAAAAAAAATTATTTGGACAAGCAAGAGAAACTGTAGTGAGGTAGAGAGAGGCGAACGGCTAAAAAGGGAAAGGCGGTAAACCCGTTTTTATCGCGGGACTTGAAACCCCCCCCATATAAAACAGATAGAATAGAACAGAGAACGAAGCAGTAAGTGTCTACATAAGAAGCGAATGGTTGAAGAGATACTGTATATTAATTTCCAATCTTGAGCGACAAATAGATAATCACTATCTTGATGATCCGAGCCTGTTACATATCCAATATGCATGAAATTGGTGGCTTGCGTGTATCACAGCCACTAATCTGAAAACTTGAATCACTAGATAAGTGTTTACTCGGATTGATCAATTATTCCATCATGATCTTGCTTTCATCGAGTATATGAGAAATTAGTTATATCTCAAGTGCCCGCAGGGTTTATATCCAATCATGTGAAATCCAAATGCCAGGTTGGAGAATGGGCTCCGAGTCTTCAGGGCTTTTTATACGATAATTATAAGCATATTTTGGTGGCACGAGGATACTTTTTTTTATACTACTAGTATTCTTTCAAAAATTTTATTCTTTGAGAGGAAAAATTTGGACCTTGAAGTGACGTGTTGCCATGTCAGAAAGTCACGGAACGAATTACCTCTTATAGTGACTGGAAAGGGACTCGGATCAATTTTATAACTGCGAATAAACATTCAATGTTTGAATCGCTAGCCCTAATTGACTCTGAAAATTCTATCAATAAGGGGCCTGCATATGGAGACTGACCTTGACGTTGATATTCAACCTGAACTAACCAGTTGACTCTTTTCATCGTCAGTCACGGGGTTTCTTAGGGTTCAAGTTATTACTTCTCGCACTACCAGTTACCTATGTAGGTACATGAGTAGGTACTATATTAAGTAGCTTTTCCGAGCACTTGAGTCTTAAGGTTCCCATAAGAGTAAAGATACTGTTAAGTTAAATGGGATATTAAGCTAATAAACACGGACTCACCGCCTTTATGTGATCTCATGATTCTGCCGAGTTTACTTTCAAGTATGTATGGAGTAACAAGAGCGACTTATATCTATGGAGTAGAAATTATCCTTCGTGTGCATAGACTTCGTGCGTTAATTATATGCACTGCATATCTAGTCAAGATTTCGACTTCTGGTGACTGGGGACCTAGTAAAGCACCCTGTGAAATGACTGAAGTCATGATTCAAAGAGGGAGAGGCTAAAATTTTCCAAATGATACATGATATCGGCCATTGCATGATTGCCGCTCGACTCATGGATGCGATATTATGCCCAAACCATCTTCTTGATATCATAGACCAAGGTCTCAAATATACCAGTTCGTTTCTTTGCATCTCGGAGAGAGATAATATCCGATTGCTCGACAATCGATCCAGTCTCAGTACTTTCTCCAACACCCGCTAGCATAGCTCGTTCAATATCCAGACAAATCGACCGAACACGATCAAGTTCACGCACAGTACCCGTTGTGGGCCCCAGACGAGGACTCGCTGCTGCATTGTTGAGAGGTAGAGATTTAAAAGCGACGAATCGGGTCGTCGCACGCTTGCTTCCACGCAGCCAGGAGACGAGATCCCATTCTCTGCTAGAACTGGCGGTGGCTTCCAGAGTAGCAGGTCGAACATTACTTTGCAAGGAACGGGTGTTCACACGTAATAGGTTTTCATCTCCGTCACGATACACGATGACGAGACCCACGTTAGTGCGCTCATCCGACTGGCTTTCTGTTAAGATCGAGGTAACATAAGTGCCGTAGTGGATACGGGAGACTGAGCGTAGATCTATGCGCTCGAAGGAGAGGACCTTATCGGTTTCCCAGTCGAAGCGACAGCTGTACACAGCGGCATCTGTGAGAAGGAGGACGGACTCTTCAAATGGAAGGGTTCGTAGTGTATTGGGTTGACGAGGAGTTAACATGGTCCATCCGCCAAGGAACTCTTCACGGGGACTGCTGATGACAATTTTGCAGCTGGTATCAATGGCATTCTGACGGATCTTGCCCACAGAGATACCCGGATCAGTGGTCTGCAGTTCCACGGAGAATTCATCAAAGACCTGCGTCGAGACATTACCCAATAGGTAGTCGATACAGGCCTGGGAGAAGTAATCGTTCACGATGTTGTTGTAGTACCGCGATAGAGTAAGACCAAAGTCGTTCAGCGCGCCTCGGTAATTTCGCTTGCGAGTGCGGGTGTAGTCACCCTTCAGGGCTGCAGTCGACGAGTACTGCTTGGAGATTGCATCTCCGTTATCGGCCCAAAGAGTATTAAACCACTGAGTCGATGAGTCGCCGCCAAGATCAATCGCGATGCCTTCATTTTGAAGCTGGCGCTCCAGCGCCCATTGTCCAAAAGCGCATTGAGCAACACCAGTCCGGTCGAGACAGTCCATACAGTTGGTGCGCACGATACCGGCCTGCTTCAGCGATGCCGCGCCGTCTTTAACGCTAGTGTACCCGAACTCTTCCAGTGTCTCTTTCACGCGGTCAACAAGATGAGAGACATTCTCAAACTTCATTCCACGGCATTCATTATGGAATTCAAACCATTCCAAGCGTAGAGGTGAGCCATCGATCCCACCAGCCTTGTTGAACACATCAGTGTATCTCTCATATTGCTCACCAAGCTTCAATTCTCCAGCATGTTTATCAATCAAGGACACAGCCTGGATCTTACCATACCTGCGACTCATCTCTCTGAAGTGTCGTCCAAAAGCGAGCTGATTAGTCTCGGCAGAGTGGTGCAGCACTGGGATGGGCTTGAAGGCGTATGGCGACTGCGAGAAGTACAGCGGAATAGAGCCACGCACTTGCAGGTATGAGTAGACATTCTCAGATGGCTTCCATTCAGGGCCCGACAGAATCTGCTCAGTTTCCACAGTGTTGGCTGTATTACCCTCGTCATCTACACCGCGGCGTAAGTAACGGAGACCAGGTCGATTGACAGAGCGTCTCGAGATGAGTGTCAACAGGAAGTTGCGCTTGGGAACTTCAGTCTCTACGGACGTCGCTTCTTGGCTATCGCCCAGAATCTTTGCCTCAACCGGCTCTTCTTCTGAAGAGTCAGACTTTTCTTTGGGTTCTGGGCTCGTGACTGTGAACTCTCGTTGACCAACAAAGCCTTGGAGAAGGGGTAGAACGAAACCATGAGCTCCATTTTCAATGAAATTAAACATGAGATGCTTATTCCAGAAATACTATAACACCGTTAGCAATGATTCAAAATATAACAGATCGAGCTTAAAAAACACATACCACAGGATCTACAGCCTTATGAAGAGGAAGATGTTCCGTCCGCACCTCTTGCGCATCAAAAGACCTCGTCAGATCATAATCATACGAAAAGAAGAAGTTATGCGAAGCAAACAACAACTTCGTATACTTTAGCAACTTCGGCAAAAGCTCAATCGCCTGATTAGATCCAGGACGAGTATCATCCTCAGTCTTGGGACTGACATTCCCACTGTTCTTCTGGCTAGCAGAGACCTCTGCCAGTGCAGAATCATCGCCACTTTCCAACCCCTTATTCTCCTCTGCAGCAGCAGCATCATTATCATCACCAGCAGACAAGCCTAACGGGTCATCAAACGGCGACTCAGGCACATCCTGCGTCAGGGCTCCAGGTCTCGGCAATCCCAAATTCTTCCTGGAAATCCAATTGGCCGCAAACCGACCAAACGGCACGCGTTTTCCGATGACATCTTCCGCGATACTACTCACACTCGCACCACGAGTATGAAAGGTCGCGGCCTGACTCGGCGAACTGGGCGTACTACCGATTTCAGTATCTGCACCATCAGCCACATTATCGGGGATATCATCATCAGAGTCCGAATCAAAATTAGGCTCGTCCTGCGAGACCTCCTTTCTAGCTTGTGTGATTGCGCGCGTCGCGTCCGACTGCGAGGCTAGGGGGATAATAGCGACATTTGAGACGGCGTAGATAGGTCGACCCTGGATTTGCGCGACCTGTTGTCGTTGAGTTATGGAAACCAAGAAAGAGTAAGAAGCAACGGATAGAATTCCTATATTAATCAATTAGATTATTATTAAATCGCCATAAATAAAGTCAAGATCCACGTTTCCAAGCTCGGCTAGCCAGTTGTGGCTACTATCCGCGTGGCTTGACTAGGTAAAATACTTACCGACAAGTCCATACGCCTCTAGATACTCATGACCTTCCAGAGATTCAGCGGAACAAGGGGGTAGGGCATTTATCTTGTTAGTTTTGTAGTCGATGCGAATAGACGAGGCTTCGTTATTGCTGCCATTGTTATGGCGGGGTCCGTTTACGCCGTGCGCGTGCAGAATCAGCCCGTCAACTGCGGCGACGATCACCAATTTCCGCAGTAGACCGGGCATGGTGGTTTGCCCGGTTCGTTAGAGGGTAGATGTATGTACAAATTCACTGGGGCCTGGAAGGGGACTAGGACTCGAAGTGATGGATAATTTCAAGTTTGAACTCGGATGCAAATGCTCCTTAACAGCTGACTTGACTTAGCTACATCATCGGAACAGAGCCCCACTTGATGAGTCGGCGCATACGTTTGCGTGCCTGATACTCCTGATACTCCTGATACTAGTACCTGTTGACAATAATATAATATTTTTTCTTGTTTTTGCTTCTTTTTCCAAGGTTTGAACAGGCTGAGAATGTGATAAATGCCACTCTAACTGCAAATGAAATTCCATGATAAACACTCCGTATATACAATATGCCTTCTCGCCATTACCAAGTGACACAATGAGAAGAAAACAAGGAAAAGAAAATAGGAAACCAGGGAAAAGGAAAAGGGGAATTCAACCATTCAAAGAACCCAGAGAGTCATATCCAATCATTTCATACGGCATGTCCAGTGCCTGATATGAGAGAGCCCGAGTTTCTTTACTCGGGTCTTTTGGAGAACAATAAAAATACAAGGGGCTGTTGGGGAAGAGGGGGGGTAGGATGAGAGGGTGACGTGAAGCACCATAAGAAAAAGATCATAGATCGGGAGAAAGGAGAAGATGTTGGGGAAGAAAATGGAGAAGAGCGTGGCGGCAGTAACTTCGTGAAGGAAGTGGGAGGCGCTGGCTTCCACTCCGCGGCGATCAGATCTGGCTATTATGCCTGGTATGTTTCACGGTGCGATCACGCTCTTCGGGTGAGATAGTCGGGCCCGGTTCACCGTCATCGGAGTCCTCTGCCAAATCCTCCAGCCCGATGCCTGCATGGTTCTCAATATCATAGGAGTGAATTAGTCCCTCGCGGTCACCGTTGCCGTTGAGGAAGGCGATACTCGAGGAACTGCGACGAGATTGCATGGATCGTCGAGTTTGGAAGCTTGCGATACCATCCGTGGGCACTCCCTCGTCATCAAGCTTGGAGTTGGACAAGTTGCGTCCATCGGGATCGTGTCGTGATAGGTTGAGTAGATATACTCCAGTGAAGATAATCAAGAATCCGCATAGCAAGGAAATGGTGTTCACTGCATCTGTGGTATTGAATCCCTGGAAAAGGATGAACGAAGCGCAGAGCGTGGCGGTCGTAAATGTGACATAGTAGAGAGGGTTCACACTGCAAAAGAAAACTTGTCTTAGCGATGTCGGGTAAAACTGTTGGCCTATTGGTCACTTACATGGAAGTCGAGAATGAGTTCAATGCCTTGTTGAAATAGTTCATCTGAGTGAGAATGCAGAAGCCGGTAACGATGGCGAAAACATAGGTAGAGGCGTGCACGAATTGGTTGTTACCGCCAATAGTCAACTTAACTGCGATACCGAAGGCTTTGACGGACATCACAGAGACCGAACCGACAGTAGAGCAAATTGAGATGAAAATGAGGGGGGTTCTTCTTTCCGTGTACCGGGGCGACTCGATAGATCATAACTGTGGAGAAGATGGCCACTGCGAGGCAGTATAGGAGGAAAGCTGCGGGAATTAGCCAAATCCGAGAAAACCACACCAGATAACAATCGCAAACATACGAAACTTCACTGCATATCCAAGAATCTCATCGATCGTTTCAACGGGCTTATCAGGGGGCGCATGAAGAACAATAACGACGGAGCCCAGAAGGCACATCGCACAGCCCAATTTACCCAACGTCCCCAATCGTTCGTTCAGGAAATAGGAACCTAGAACCGCGCTTGTTTTGTTGTCAGTGAGGTGGCTGTGGATTCGAGGGAGGGGAGTGCGTACCCGATCAGAACACTCAGCGCACCGAGAGGTGTCACGAGAATTGCGGGCGCAAAGGCATAGGCGGCGAAGTTGGCGATTTCTCCGATGGCGACTATTCGGCTGTTAGCAATCTGGCCTGCGTGTCCAAAAATGGACCTCGGTGGTATTCGTACGTGTGACAACACCTCCCCACCAAATGGGACTTTTCAGGTATGAAAATCCTTCGCCTTCGAAACCATGTCGTTCGGAAGCATGTAATAGACCCTGCCGTAAAGCGCATTAGTCTTGAAATCCCCCCCGTAGACACGATCTCGCTCGTCGCTCCCAGCCCCGAGGCTTTCGGTTTCCGGATTTCGTAGGCGGACGAACCTTTTTGGTAATGACGAAACTTGTTCCTAATAATGCATGTATTAGCTGATAGCTTCCCCGCAAGATTATTAGGAGCGATAGATGCCTACCAATTGCCATTGTTGACAGGATGGCTAATATTAGCCCGACATATCTATTATAGCGCGCGCATTGTTAGAGTGTCTGGCCAACTGGTCCACACCGGTCTATGGCGAGGAGAGAGAGAGAGAGAGGTAGCGCAAGCTCATACTTGTCTGGAAGCATTTTGATGGTATGTATCTCTTTGGAGCCGATGCTCCTACTGTCGAAAGGCCTCCAGTGCCGACGAGGGAGATTGAGGATCGGGGGGCTGCGGGAACGAGCGACTCGGAGTGTAAATGAAGGGATATAGCGGCAACACCACACTAAAGGAAATCAGGAAGCGACAGAAGAGGTATCGGGGGAACAGAAACAACGAGCCCGCCCGAGATTTCTGAATTCTGCAGGGAATATGATGATGAGTAAGGGGAAGGTTGAAAGGCAAGTTGTTTGGTGCCTGCGTGCGGTGGGGTTCCGTTTCGAGACTGGGCCGATCGGGACGCGTAAGAGTCGTAGTACTGAGGACTAAGCATTAGTATAATTATACTTAGTGGTGTTCCAAGTTGTGTATACATAAAATGATCAATTTTAGTATATTCAGTCAACTTTTTTTTTTTTTTAGTATTTATTATGATCGTCAAGTACTCAAGTTCATCTCATAAATTGGACCCTGACTAGAAGTGTAAGACATACTATATGATCGTCCTCGATATTGTTCACCACCGCTTTCGGCTACAGTCTATACATAGCCGGACTCCACTTGGCTGAAATTAAAGGGCAAGGACCAGATGTTGATCTGTGAGAGAATTTGACGGAAATGAGCTTTTATTCATTTAGGCGGCACTGTTAACATTACTAGGCTGGATATTATGTAGTTCAAGTTGATATCAGTCAACTGGTCAAGTCGTACTTGTATCAACTTGGATTCTAATTGGCCCACGTATTGGATTTTATCTAGTAAAAGTGGTTCTTCCTGCAGCCATTTCTATTTTCTACAAATCAGAAGCTCTAATATAAAAAACGATGTCATAAAATGGGGCTATGCTAAGAGGGGCGCCATTATGCAGCACCTGGGCACGGAGTACCCCGTACTAGGTCGGTGTACAGCCAGCCACTCCACCCAAGCGACGCAGCATTGGACCGAGCTTCCAAACCTTCAAATGTTCAAGCTAGAATTTAACATCATACCAGGGGTCTTGATGTTTAGATTATTACGAATACCTTGTTTGATGCCATTGAATACACTGGCACCCAATATGTGACCCGATGCGTGAGCAAGTCTGTAATTACTTGTAGTAGGCGAGTCACTACTATGTAGTAACTTGAAGTAGATGCTATCCAACATAATGTTGAAGCCTGCAGATGTGAGGTTCCAGATGTCCAAGATTGTGTAGTAGCATCCTTCAAATGTTGCCTCCCCCTCCTACTTGGCACTTATTGGAACTTGAAATCTCAAGTGCTCAGGCTATTAGTACCCTTGGTTATCCCTCTATAGTAGATCTTAGAAGTCATCGATGCTGTAACAATACCAAGCACGAGGTTCAAATGCTGAACAATCTGACATTAACAAATATTCAAAATTCTGACAGTCTGTGAGAAATCTCAGCCAGTGGGACACCTGAAAAAGCAAGCTATTGCGCCATTCTCCTTCAGTAAGCATGCAATGCGATCTTTCCGCCTCTTAAAAAATGGCTTGAGCTCATCCTCTTCCAGCCATATAAAATCTCCATTCCAGTCGCAATAACCAAAATTATCAATGAAATAAAGAACCCACTCCCAATCTTTCTCTGAAAAATCTGCTTGGGCTGCCTGCAAAGCAGTAGCATAAGGGATACCCTCAAACCTCTGGTTCACATCGGCCCCAGCATCAATCAGAAATTGGACTTTTTCCTCTTGACCAAAGCATGAAGCAGCCATAAGCGCTCCACCATACCTTCTAACAGAGCCCTTGGGATTCAATTCAGCACCGGCTTTGACCAGAAGTGCCATAATTTCACGTCTAGGCCGTTCAAATCGTGGTACTGCTACAGAAAATGTAATCGCAGTACTGAAGTCGCGATTTTCGAGGAACATGTTCACATCAGCACCGGCTGCTATCAAAATTTGACAGCTCTCTCACCGTAATAGCGCCATACTCCAGCCGCCAAGGCACTGCCAAACCTTCCATACTCTAGTGGCATGTTCATGTCTGCACCTCCATTCAATAGAGACTCCATAATCCTATATTGAATATCAACAATGCAATCAGCGAGACATGCTACCACGAGAGGGCTACCACAGGGACCGATTTTGAAAGTCATATCCGGAGCTGCCCCTGCTTCCTGGACTAGGAATTCGATACTCTCAACCTCTTGAAGGTCAATTTTGATTGCAAGCACGCTTGGCCAATATTCACTCTCCAGGGATTGATTCACATCTGCACCGGCATTCAAAATTTGTTTCAAGAGCTCAACTCCTGGTGCCCAAGCCGCCATTCCAATTGCGTATCCTTGGCATATGGCTCTGTCCTGAGATTTAGCCCTCCCCATATTGGGGAGATGCCAGCCCAGATTCAATGAATGCCTCTCAAAAGATTTTGGAAAGGCATATTAACATCATAGTCGGTCTTTTCCAGAATATATCGTACAGTTTCAACATTTCCTGAACTAATTGCTGCGCTCAGAGCATTGTCGTGAAATCCTTCCTTTTCCCCGAGCAATATATTCACATCGGCACCCGTCTCCACTAGATACTTCAAAATTTCAAAATTACCAGAGGATGCAGCCGATACAAGTGCAGTACCTCCTCATTCACCTTCAAGACGCAAATTTCTATCAGCTCCATCCTCTAGAAGCATTTGACATATTGCCAAGTGACCGACATGACAGGCAAGGCTGAGAGGACTTTCGCCTCTTTCATTGACGAGAGAGACATAGCTTCTTGCATAAGCTCGCCAGCTTCTCAGAGCGTCTGCGGATCCAAAGCGACAAATTGCAAAGACAGGGAATTCTGGGAGTGAAAGATGGCCAAAGCATCCCGTGAACGTTCAGCATAGTAATCGATCGAATCTAGCTCGAAAAACGTCTGGCTCGGTGTAAAATTCGTGACTTGTCGACACCAGGTCCGGTATTGATAGTTGCTGTTATCAGGAGGTCCAAGGAAAGCATTAAGATGGGACTGGAGCGTCTTCTTCTCAGTACCTTGAGCCAGGTAGACATGTTTAACCCACCAGAAATTCGTAATTTTCAAGACGATTAAAGAAGCGAGAACCCTATCCCTAGAGTCATAAGAGTCACAGTTGGAGATAGAGCTGGCTCTTTTAATGAGGAATTCTGGGTTAAGCTGGAATCCCCCGTCAATCTTCGTAGTAGTTGATCAAATAAGAAAGACAAACATTGGCGGCATGATGATGAGCCCATGGTAAAGTCCAACTAGTTTTCGATTCCAAATATTCCAACACAGATATATAAGCAAACCGCCACACATTACATTCAGCGTCAAGGATAATGAAATTCTTGCAGAGCAATACTAAAGAGTCCTCTTCAATATTATCTTCCTGAGGTAATGCCCGACCATCTTGGCCCATGCGAATGATTAATAAAAGCTCATGGCTTTCAAGCGGTCTCAAAGAGGCCATGATCCACCGGAGGGCACGTTTAGCAAGAGTCTGATCAGGCTCTCCGAGTGCTTCAATCTGAATTCAGACTTTGTCGTAGGATTCTTGCAGATCAACTGGAAGACTTTCGAGTATCTGCCGCACATTCGTTGCTGTGGTACAGTCCTTGAGCCGATGCACTTGCATAGCTGCCCACTGGAACATTCCCTGGCATTTTTCAAGCAACTTGGTCATGATCTCCGTTTTCAGACGTCCAAGAACTCGGATACCTTTATCCTTGGCAAGTCGATCTAGCTCAAGATCAAGAAATTTCTCGATATCGTCATGATTATCACTGGCTGAAATGGTAACGCTAGGCACACTTGCCAAGTGAGACTTGATGTTTGAATCAGGTCGGCTTGAGATGAAAATCTTAACAGTATTCTTGCACTCCAAGATGAAAGACCTCAAGGCATCAATGAGTCTATACCGTTTCTCTGAGTTGCATTCATCCATAGCATCGATCATGAGGATTGTCCTCGGATATATGTTCAATGACTCAAGGATCTGCTCCTTACACTGCTCAAACTGAAAATCAGTGCCCCTGTTTCGAGCAAGATTGTATGCTTGCCTGAGCTTGACACGCATGCTTTCTGGGCTGCGCTCAGTAGTCGAAAGCTGACGTACAAAGCTCTGGAGAACGGACAAGGCTTGCGTACGCAGGGTATCGTTACGATCGCAGTAGAAGAAAGCAAACCCTTCATGATCTGGAAAGTCACTTAATAGATCTTGGATATCATCGATAACAGAGGACATGAGAAAGGTTTTGCCGGCACCAGGTGAACCTTGAAGCCAAAACAGACCTGGAGAACTATTCTCTTTCCAATCACGAAAGCGTTCGTGGTGTATAATCCAGTTACCTGTACCTGGAGTTCTACGTTCTTTGACGCGATTGTGATTTTTGCCAAAAGGAATTGATGAGATCCACTCTAGAATTTCATTGCGCTCCTTGTCATGGAGATATTCAAGAAGATGCTTGACTCCTTCATCGATATGTTTTATCGGGGCATTCAAGATCTCGATCATTCGGACCAAACGTTCGTCGGCTGCCACACTGCGTCTGTTTTCGCAGACTTAGATATCAAGGAGAAGTTGAGTTTCCTGCTCATCAATATCTGAGAGGGCACCGGAAGCCTTTTCTGGATTGACGATGGCTTCGAACGTGCGCTGTGCAGTATTCTTGGAGAAGAGGGTACCGGCATCTGCCAAAATATCGAGAGAGGTAGCGTATATCTTGATCAGCCCAGTTTCAAGATTCTTTGTAACGGAATCAAAAGAACCTTGAGATTTTGGATTGAGATAGATCTCCTCATAAGCCTGCCCGCGACAGATAATGCGCACGATCTTTTCGGTGGTTCCAAGAAGTGCTGCCATTTGTTCTGATTCACCTAGGGGGATCTAATAGTGAAGATCAATAACTAATTTGAAATTATATTGATGAAAATGGTCAGAGGAGTACAAACCTGTAGGCCAATCTTGATAATGGACTACGACAATGCTATCTGAGTTGGTGCAAACTGCATAGCAATATCTCCGGTCTTCTCGACCCAGTCAATGATTGATGTTGTGTAATTCCGAAGAAAGATGGTTTTCCCACGAACGGATATACGCCAGAACTTGCTTTCGCATTCTTTCTGTCTTTCGTTCACAATTTCGACCAAGTCGTTGAAGCTGAAGTTTACAGATCCGGATTCTAGTTGATCGAGACCCATGGCTTTCAGAGCCTCCTGCTTCTCAAGAGGTAGGGATTGAAGCGCCTCACGCCAGGAGTCTTTCACATCTTCTATCTCTTGCTTCGGGGTTTCTAGTGAGGAAATCCTGTGCTCAGGGCGAGTTGAGGGCCCCGCATTGTCTGGTGGGGGTGTTGGGATGTGTGCATGTTCGACTTCGTCCTCGTGTGGCTTGACCAGTGCCTAAATTTCAGTTAAGACTGTTAGTATGGATATCTCAAGTCTCAGAATAATATAGATGGGAGGAGGTCATGAGACATCATTATGGACATCTGGACATGCGGGACTTGCTCTTGTTCTTCTTCCAAGGTTGGGTTTGATACCTTCACATCTCTGTCATGTTTGTGCTTCAACTTGAAGTTGTCAACCTTGGCCTTCAGTTTATCAAACATTTTGCCATACGTCACACACGTAAAGAGAAGGGGTTCCACCAGAGTAGCGTGACTCGAGGTTGTCAGTTGGGTAGAATAAAATGATCAGCCCAAACTTGAAGATATATTTTATTTTAGTCCGGCGCTTAATCATAAGTACGGCGTACTATAGCCTCCACACCTGGCATCAAGGACAACTTGAAACCGGCTCTCAGAGTCATCCGGTCAAAAGCGTTCTATAATTTACATTACCAAAATGGAAAAGATTAAGGGAGGAAAAAGTGTTCATTTCCAATACCAAGTATTTAACTAGAGATAGGAGGGCTCTCCACGCTCATACGCCGAATACTATGGATGAGGTAGAAACTAGAAGATCGGCCACTAACGACAACTCCCATGGACGCCCCGAAACAACTTTTTGATCGCAAGTGGTATCATGCAGGGAAAACAAGGACAGAAAAAAGGGGGGGATAATAACGACATAACAGAAAAAAAGGGGAATGCGAGAGGACTAGGCAAAACAAAAGTTGCAGACTAGCTCTACTCGAATGTCCCAAAAGAATTGAAGAGGGGAAGGAATATCACCTGGTAGGCCAAGGAACGAGAAAAAAGCGAGTATTTGACTTACCTGTGTCATATGATGTTGAAGGTGAAAGAGTCCACGAGTCGTAAACGTTGCTGAGTATCAGAATTAGTAAAAAATGGCGAAACTGTCATTATTGCAAGGCTAGCAAGATCCCGAGGAATCAGGACTAGGCTTGCTAGCAATTGAGAAAAGCAGAATGCCGCCGAAAAAATGGAAAGGAAGAAAAAAATATCCGTTTACGAAGGACGCTGGCGCTTGAGTTCGGGGGTGGTAGCTTCCGTAATGTCCCACTCATCTTCCTCTTCCCGAGACCGTTTGGTGGAAAGAGTGTCATGAGTGTGGGAGTCAGTAACAGAGGTGTCGATTTCGCCAAGCTCCAGTCCTTCTGCGACATCCAGTTCGGGGTCATAGTCGAGCTCATCCTCCGTTGATTGCTGGTCGTCGAAATCATCCTCCAAAAAGGCACCGGTTGGTTCTTCATCGGGGTTCTCCGAATCCACATTCTCGGCGTTGGCGAGGTTCTTGTTTTGGCCATCCTTGGAGGGAGATTGCAATACATCCTCAGCGATCCCGAGAAGGTCATCCTCTGGTTCAAGGGGGGTTTCCTTGCCAATAATCGTCCTGTGCGGCATTGTCCAAAGTGGACTCTGACTCTTCATACGTGTTGAGGTCAAAATCAGGCTCTTGAGCATCCGTTGGGTTTGCGTCGTCTTGTTCTTGTTGCTTTTGCTCTTTCGAGGCTACTCCAGCACCTGGAATTGCAGAGTTGCCATCATGAGACTTATGGTCATCTTCATGATCTTTGTGATTTTCTTCAGGGACGCTGGTATCGTGGATTTCAATATGATCACCTTCATCGATCTCTTCATCGAGCTCGCCGTTGCCGAGCTGTTGGTCATCATGGTCGGAGTGGTGACCACTGTTTGGATCGCATGTAGCACCCGCAGATGCATCTTCGGATAGCGCACTAGTTATGACTGCCTCGGAATCCGCTTCCACTGTGTTGGTAGTCTCCGTTCTAGCGGTCTCAAAATCATCTTGCACATCAGCAGCACCTTCGTTGTCATTGAGGACACCTTGAGGATTTTCATCCACTTCTTCTTTCGCTTGTTCAGGCAAGAACTCAAAATCAGGCTCAACATCATGCTGAACGGTGGTATCGTTATCGCCTTCTATTACTGTAGCTGTCACTTCATTCAATTCGGTGGAGTATTGAACTTTACTAGTGACCTGATCACCTGACAAGCCTTGTGCATCGGCTGACTGATCTTGCTCGGCATCTTGAACATGTGATTCAGCAGCAGACTTTTCTCCAGCGGCAGCAGTCTCCTCCGCAGCAACATCCGCCTGGCTATAATCAGCCCATAGTTGCACTTGGGATAGACCTTTGCCTTCCTTGGAACCAGCATCAAGACTTGCTAACTCATTTGGAAGAGAAGGTCTACTGGAAAGACTAAGATAGAAATCGTCCGGTTCATGATTGCCATCATTGTGGCAAAGGCGAAGGTAAATCTCCAGGATCTGATGCAAAGTGACTTTGGATGTGTGCAAGGAGTCCTTTCAATATTAGTTAGCAACTTTTGTTCCATAAAAAAAGGATATTATGGGGTTTGGGCTCACCTCTGTTATTTGGATACCAAGACAATCGATATCAAGAACAAGAACATCATCCTCGGTAACATTATCCAAGAGAACTTCGCGCAGAGAGCTGAATAATTTACCAACACCTTCATAGGCCAGACTTTCATCATGGAGGAAGAAAGTCTCAGCCGAATCACCCTCTAAAGGTGGAAACAGAGAAATCTCGCTGTCCTCATAAATGACTTTGATGGGGTGGAGAACCTCTTCATCAAAAGTGACAGGACCATTTTCGGACACATGGGTCTCATGCTGCGCAGCAATTACAGCATCAGTTTCGGGCAGATAGGCCTTGGAGGCTCCCGAATCATCTGCCAAGGGGTTGGGAACAGGATGATCATCCGAGATCGAATGTTCAACCGGCTCATTCGGCTCAACCGGTTCGACCACAGTAGTTTGGTTAGTTTGCTCACCAGCCTCGGTTGGAACCTGATCGACACCCGCGTCAAAACTTTGATGAGACTGAGCTGGCTCAATCTTATCAAGTCCAGACTGGTTGTCTTGCACTGAGGTATTTTTCTCGTGGTGGGTCTCGTGGCTGATATGCTCCTCTTGAGGGTTCTCAGAAGAGGTAACTACGGGCGATACAGCCTGAACCTCCTGAACCTTCTCGCTGACCTCTGTCGCAGTTTCTGGGGCGGGTACCTGTGGCTCATTGATCTGGACTTCAGCAGTCGGAATAGCTTCAATAGGAGCGATAGACAGAGAAAAATCCACCGGTTGATCTTGGCTATGATCACCTTCTACCATCTCTGCTTCGTAGGTAACTTCGTACTGAACGTCGATATCATGGTCTTCATCGGCCATGTTTTCGGTATCCACCATGGACCCCTCAGAGGGTTCATCGACCATATCGGCATCATATGTTACATCGTTTTGGAAGAGGGAGGGTTGGGAGGTGTTGGGAAATTCATCGGCACCCATCATGTCACTATCCATGTTGGAGGCATGGTCGTCCATGAGGTCGATATCGATATCAAAATCATCGACTTGGCCCTGATAGGGCGAAGCCATTTCGAGGTCCTCACCTACGGGGACCTCCATGCTGGCATGAAGTAGTGAGGATGTTGATGTCATTACAAAACGCGTTGTAAAGTGAGGTATGGGGAAGGAGTCGCGATATTTGGGGGATTGCGGCCTTTACAGGGTCTAGACCATGTGGATAGGGTGATACGGTAGAATGAAAAGGAAGGAAGGTCGGTAAATGGCTAATTATTCAACTTCGATCCATGTCAAGAAACATGAATAGCTGAAAAGGACGGAGGTGAGGGAAGAAACTAAGTCTTGGTAAGAGGGGGATAAAGGAAAAATGTTACGAGGTTCGTTCGCGGCCTGACGACTAAGCGAAAGGCGGAAAGGAAAGCGGTGTGCACGGACCACCTCTCAATGAAAGAGAACAGAGTAGCTGTACCGGATGATAACTAAACATCAAACAGGGGCGTCATCTTCAGCTGCTCCCCACACCATCAAGTTACCTTTTACTGCTATTTCCTCCCCTCAGATTCTGACTAGTGCTTTTATACGGGTTTTACAATGGTAAATATTACCAATTCCTTTTTAACAGACCTCCCCCGCAACGTACTTCGACTGACCCGGTCTCGCCCTCTCTTCAATAGGTCGTTCTCGCAGCATCGATATGTACTCGCGGAGGCAAAGCGGTCCTCTCGCGTCAGTTCCGCGAAATTTCTCGGTCTCGAATTGAAGCCCTTCTTGCTGCATTCCCTAAACTTGCGGATTCGGGAACTCAACACACCACTGTCGAGCAAGACAACGTGCGCTTCGTGTACCAGCCATTGGATGAGTTGTACATCGTCCTGATCACCAACCGTCAATCCAACATTCTTCAGGATATCGACAGTCTGCACCTCTTTGCTCAAGTTACTACCAGCATTTGCAAGAGCCTCGATGAGCGTGAAATCGTGCGCAATGCATTCGAGCTACTGAGCGCATTCGATGAGTTGGTCACATTGGGTTACCGGGAGAACTTGTCCTTGGCCCAGATTAAGACCTTCTTGGAGATGGAGAGTCATGAAGAGAGAATCCAAGAGATCATTGAGCGAGTATGTTTGAATGATGAAAGCGGGGCCAAACGTAGGCTAACACGAGTCAATAGAACAAAGAATTGGAGGCTAGCGAAGAGCGGAAGCGGAAAGCCAAGCAGTTGGAGATGCAGCGCAAGGAGGCTGCTCGTTCAGGCCGTAGTGCTGCTCCCCGAGCTCCGAATTACCCTGTTTACACACCACCTTCCCGTCCATCAGTGCCGGATACCTATGATTCTTATGAAGCGGAGAAGAAGAAGACATTCGCGAAGTATGAAATTTTCCTCGGGAGCGAATGCTTTCTTTTCGGAATATGTTTAACTGACAGAAACATCTAGGCCTCTCCCCACCCGTGGCAAGGGTATGCAACTTGGCAAGAAGTCCAAGGCAACCGATATCTACGAGAAGGTCCGTGGTGACTATGGCCCCGAGGCCGAGGAGGAGAGCCCTCTGGTCACTCCCCAAGTGTCTACACCAGTACAAGAGCCTGTCTCTGCCCGCGAGTCCCTGACAGCGGACCGTGAGCCTATCCATGTAACCATTGCCGAAACCATTTCTGCAACCCTCACCCGCGAAGGTTCCTTGAAGTCGTTTGAAGTCAAGGGTGACCTTCAGCTGCGAATTAGCGATCCGTCTTTCACAAAACTGCGTCTCGATTTACACGCCAACCAAACCCAGGGTGCCCAGTTCCGAACCCACCCCAATGTGGACAAGGCCCTCTTCACTAGCTCTTCTGCCATCCAGCTCAAGGACACCACAAAGCGATTCCCGACAAATAATGCCATTGGTGTTTTGCGGTGGCGTGTCGCTAGCTCGGCTGATAATGCCGATATTCTGCCCATCACATTCACCGTGTGGGTTAACAAGGGCTCTGACTCGACCACCGTCACAGTCGAGTACGAGCTGACCGGCAGTGATAGTCTTCGGGATGTCGTTGTTACCATTCCTTATGGTTCTTCAGAGCCTTCTGTTTCCAGCTTCGATGCTGTGTATGAAGTTTCGGGTGACAGCCTGGACTGGAACCTCGGTGCTGTTGATGAGTCGAACCCCTCCGGCAGTTTCGAATTTGAGACTACCGACGGTGATGAGGATCAGTTCTTCCCTATGAGTGTCAGATTTACTAAGACACAGCCATTTGTGGATGTCGATGTTACTGATGTCTCACTCTTGGAGATGGAAGGCGAGAGCACCGGCTTTTCCAAGGATGTCCGTAGCGTTGCAGAGAACTTCCTAATTGAGTAGTTCTGCAGGTGGCTTGTATAGAGTGGGATACTAATGACTTTCTGATTGTGGTTTTCTGGCATTTATTTCCCCCTTTTCTTCTCTTTACTTTCGAATCCGTGTTCTCAGCCCATTCTTATTGTTTTTTCACATCAAAGACCCTTTTTTTCTTGCCAGGCCATGTCTCCTCTACTCAAAATTGAAACTTTTATTAGACTCAAAATAATACGGCGTTCGAGTCAATGCACTCTTTATCGGTAACCTCCCCGCAGTGATGGCCTAATCAGTCATTCTAGCGTAACCCACGACCAGTTGACGTCAACGACGTCAATATTATGGATTCTCGACTTCTCTGGGGTTCAAGCAGGCACGTAGCAACTTTCTTAATTGGGATGCCCCTTCTGGGGACTAACTTTAAAAGCTTCTAGTACCTTACTCTCTAACCCATGGGCAGCTGCGGCCGCTATCGAATCAGACAGGGCCAAACTCAATGGTAACCAGGGGCATCAACAAACTTCGGCGCCACCACCAGGAAACGTCAGATTGACTCTACTGCTTAGGTCTAGGCCATGGCAGCTTCTTCCATCTGCTATGTGGAGTGTGAGCACGAGCACTTTCCATAACTGGCCTAGCTGAGTCGATTCAAGTCAATCGCAATTCTCAATTGCAAGAATATCCCAAAAAGAACACTGGCGAAGATCGGTGACTCCGACTCCGTCTATATACAATCGCTTAAAGTGCTACTGACACGTACGTCCCCTCAGGTTCAGATCGGAGTTCAGAACCTGTCGGTTTTAAAAACCGAAAACCGATAGATGGCTGGATGGTGTTGTTTAACTTAATGATCGTGGGGCATGGTATCCATGGACTGACCAATATGCGAATCCAACTCCACTTGAGACCTCTGGAATGCAACGGCGCCATCAATGGCGAACAAGACAGCTGCACTTGCAAAAAGACCTCAAATTCGCCTCAATGATTAGTTCTGGTTCCTGAGGCAAATCACTTGCTTCATAGGCGGTTTTACATCGCACAGTGGCTAATTTTGCGAGCTCACCGAGATGCTACCAAGATATCCAGTATAGATGGAATAAGATCAATAGCTACAGAGTTTGGATCTCGTGCGTAGCCAGACCCAGACTTCCTGGTTCCCTGCACGCAATATCCCACTTCTTTCATAGGTCGGAGCTGCCGATAGCTTTATAATCCCAGCGTCTTCCTCAACCTCGCCTCTTTGTTGACAATTCGATATTGGCAGATTCTACATTGCCATTGAATCTTCAAGGTGAATCAGCCTGAGACTCTATGCCAAACAAGATTACCAGACATCCGACGAATGGATACTGATTAGTGCAGACACAACTCAAAATAGAATAATCTCTGTTCTTCATGATGAGTAGCACCCACTTCCCATCATGGACCGAGCAGCAGAGCCTATTCAAGCTATCATGTGCTGATGCAGAGACCTGTAATCAATTTTCAGATATAGTATGTCATATTCCGAAACCCTCCTTAACATTCACGGGAGTTTGACTAAATTGGTTCAAATGATACAGGATAGTATGCCATCGCTTCAGAGAACCGATTCTGAACTAGGTGCAAAGAAGATGGCCATTCCTCGACTAGCCGAAGGGGCAGAATCTGCTTTTACCTCCCCTGGCAGATTTCATCGTCGGCATGTTCGTCGAGCGTGCGAGTCATGTCGGCAAAGGAAAACAAAATGCACTGGAGATAAGTCTGGCTGTCGTAATTGCCGTGAAGCTGGCATTATTTGTTGCTACACGGATGGTAAACGTGAGAAGTCTAAGCGGTAAGAGATATCCCTATGATACAGCAAGTTTTTATCTCGTCTAGTGAGGCTGACAGAAAATACTATGGTATAGGCAACTTGCCAGCCTTTCGGCTAAAGTCCAAGCCTATGAGGACGTGATAAAGCGACTTAGTAGTCGCTTTGGCGTTTCTGATGAGCAGTTGGTGAATATTGCGTTGACAGCAGTAAGAGACCATGAATCCCCAAGCGGCCAATATCGTATCTAAAAGAACACAGGGCTCTGCTCCAGATCTTGCACTTCACTCTGATGGAAGTGCTTCAAGGGGAGAGAACAAAACATCCTGTGATTCTGAACCACCACCTTCTCGATCATCTTCAACCACGCCTTTGGATTTGATCGATCATACGGAGGAAGACTTCAACAGAGACGAAACTGCACGGGCAACAGGATTCATTGGAAAGAGCTCTGAGCTCAACTGGCTTCAGAAACTGAGTAGAGAAGTCAACAATGAATGCGAGGCCTGGTCTGCAAGCATGTCAAATTCAGGTGATGACAATGGTCTACCATCACCTACACTGACTCCTCGACCGGAGAATCCCGTTGATCCTTTGATTGCAGCATCCAACTACTATCTCGATGACCTGGACATCCCTGGCAAGGATCAAGTTGATCCCCACGCTGTTCCATCGCGAGAAACTGCAACCAAGCTTCTAAATGCTTACCTCACCTCTGTGCATCCATCATTCCCAATAATTGGTATCTCAACATTTGTCTCGCAATTCCAGGTCTTTTTCAGTCAGCCAACCCTAAAACCGGGAAACAAATGGCTGGCTATACTCAACCTTATCTTTGCTGTTGCGGCAAAATATGGTCAGCTGACCAACGCAGATTGGCAGGAAGAGGAAGATGATCATGAGTTGTATTTTGCGAGAGCCAGAGTGCTCAGTCTGGAGGATCAGCTTTTGCATCATCCCGATCTCCAGCAACTTCAAGTTGAAGGCCTCGCGTGCTTCTATATGATCTCATCAGGGCACATTAACAGGTACAGTATTTCTCGTCAAGATTGCCCATAAATTATGCTAATAGGTTCCTTAGGGCATGGAAACTGTCTGGAAGTGCTGTTCGAGGCGCATTAGCTCTTGGTTTACATCTACGCAATGCGGGCCCTTGCACATCGGATACTTCTAAAGAGATCCGGTATCGTGTCTGGTGGTCACTGTACAATGTTGATCATCTCCTTTCCGTCATGACTGGTCGACCATCTTGCATCACCGATGACTACTGCACGACACCTCTGCCTGTTCCCTTTGACGAAAGTGACTTTCAAAAGGAAGAGGTCTCGCAATTGATCAGCACTTCGGGTCGTGGTACTTTGAGTCCTCTTGATCGCATGTCATTCAGCAATAGTGTGGCTAGCTTGGACTCTAATGCTGACTCGGACACCAATGATACGCCTGCAGAGGGTGACACAAAAATGATCCGAGCTGAGTATCTAAAGAGTCTGCCGCCTTGTGTATCGCTGTACTTTTTGCAGTTGACCTCACTCAATACTATCGCCAAGCGCATGGCAGTGAAGCTTTACAGCCCCGAGGCCTTGCAGTCACCATGGGCCAGCACTCAGTTCACGATTCAGAGTTTGATGCTGGAGATTGATTCTTGGTTCATGAATCTTCCATCGGCTTATGACTTCACCTCCACACAAACCTCGCAATGTCCTCTTGGTCATCGAATGGGCCTTGCTTTCCTATTCTACAGTACCAAAATTGGTATCACTCGCCCTTGTTTGTGTAGACTTGATCCATCGCCAGCTGAAGACGATAAAACACACGAGTTCTGTAGCAAGACAGCCGCTGAATGTGTCGAATCTGCATGTCATATGTTGACACTATTCCCGGATACCCCAGATGCAGCGCTTCTTTCTCGGATCTCTCCATGGTGGTGTACTCTTCACTATCTCATGCAAGCTGCTACTGTTCTTCTCTTGGAGCTTGCATACAGAGCTCAGCATGTCCCCGAGAAAGCGGTCATGGTATCTAAGGCAGCAAAGAAAGCTTTAGATTGGCTGTCAGCATTATCCAAATCAAATCTCGCATCCGAGCGAGCCTGGAAGCTCTGCAACGGATTCCTCCGTCGTCTAGCACCACATGTTGGAATTGACGTTGATGATTTCTCGGGTAATGACAACGACGAATCATCTGCCGCTTCTCTCCTGGATGCAACAGAGATCGAAGATACCGCAAATCTCGAAGCAGACCAAATTGTGGACGATATTACGTTCGACCCAACTGTAACCCTGCCAACAGCCTCGGTGACAACTTCAGTCGATACTATTGCCGCAGAGATGGACTCCATTGTGTGCTCGCCAATGGACCAGTCCGATACTCCGCTTGCGATACCTGTATCTTCGTATGGCCTCGAGCCGGATCTACTGGATCAGTTCATCAAACCAGAGAAATCAGTTTCTGGTAAAGGATCTTATGATGACTACTTCCCTTATGATCCTGCTACCGGTCAGATTACGGGTTCATTTTTCCCAACGGGACCAAACTTGGATTTTGACATGGGATACTCCTGGCCTGATCCAGTTTGTTAAGTGATAGTGCTCAAGCTTTATTGGCTTGGTTCTCTTGGAGACAATGTATCGAGAGTTGAACAAAGGTTGTCTCAAATTGTCAATCTTGAATTGTGCTGGTTCGTGCGTTCTTCAACTTGAAGTTTGTGGTTTATATTGACATTGTTTTGAAACATAAAACTGGGCATTTCTAGAATCGAGATTAAAGGGAAAAGTTCGTCTTTCATGCGAGAGCTATCTAGAATGACAAGAAAGTACTGCTTCCCATATCAATATTCTTGCGCTTCTGCAAATACAACTAGTATTTCGTATGAAAATTGAACTTTGCCGGTCTTCGCTAATATACAGACGACTCGGAGATCTTGATATTCGAATTAAATCTTCAGCTGATGCAAGGCATGTAGTCCCAACAAACACATGTGAACAGATTAGGACACCCAACAGTTGCCAGGGGATGGCTTCGACCAAGTCCAGACCGGTCTTTTTTGTTTCCTCTGCGCTGCCCAGAACACCATCATTATGTCACTGTGTGATATGCCCAAGTGCTTGCTACTCATGGGTCACCTGCGTAAGCAGCCTATCACAACGAAGAGCCGCAAGTGACGTATGAGCTCGTAATTTCGAGTCAGGGAGTGAGAATGTTGCTTCAACGCGCCAAGCCAGCTGAATCATGCCTCCCAATTGCGGCTCTTCGCTGTGAACAAGGTTTTTGCATACTCGGCTGCAGTGCTAAATCGTATTAATTTGCCTGAAGTGGACGAGATGGAAGCAATAATTCCCTGTCGAATATCGACAGTGAGATTCTTCATACCGCCGATCCATTCCGCCTCACAACGACTGACTGGGCTGCTCCAAATTCTGTAATCCACGCCGAGGAGAGCTTGTGCATCCAAGAGGTATTTTTCAATGCAAGGAATGATTGGGAGTAGACGACGCCGTACCCCACAGCTTCCGTGATAAGAATCCACCTGATAGTCTGGATATCGCCGTAGAGTAGATATGATGCTGATGATGCTTTCCGAAGCTGGACCTTGTTGCGTGAAATCAACCCCATCGTCACTACCTAAAGGATCCAAATTGAAGTCAGGATCGATGATATTTGACCCGAGAAAGACGGTTCTGCTACGCATAGCGAAGAAGCGTATCATCTGACCCAACTCAAATGTGTCACATTGACTTGAATTTCCCATACCGCCGCGGCATTGGAACTGAGTTGTCTGGGTTGATGTGGAAAATGCAGCGCCTAACATCCTGTTTGGAGCCGGGCTTGGTCTTGGATTTGGATCGTCCAATACTCCATAGGCGCGCATGAAGTACGCTTGAAGGTCAGTGATAGTATTCATGACGCACTGCCGTCGATAGTATAGTTCCTCTGTATTCGGAGCCTTCAATAAGCTTCTAGTAGCAGAATACGCAAGGTGGGAGTGGTGTACCTTCAATATTATCAGATAGATAGTTCCAGTAAAAGGAATCGACATCTGGACCTTCTGGTGCATTGTTCCAGAATCTTGATCCAAGTATGAGGAGGGTATGGGTCATGACCTGAAATATGGCATGGTCTTTAAGAAGTTTTGAGATGAAGATAATCTGACGAATCCGTTCTTCTTTCATATCCACCAAAGCAGCGTCAAAACGCGATATTGACATCTTCCCTTTCGGGCCATACTGATATTTTACTAGTCGCAATACATGCTCGACACGATCCGTGGAGCTGAAAGAATCGGCAACTTGAATGAGCCTTGCAATAGTAGCCGGGTTTTCAATCTTCAAGGCCTCTTGGAAGAGACCGTTGGTGGTATCATTCATAGATTCCAAGCATAACACTTTCATGAACAGTCCCAAGATATCTGTACCACACAGCTTGACCACAGGATTTTCAGAAAATTGAATGACAGGCAAAGAGATCTCATTACCGCTATCGAAGCTTGACCCCGGCTGCGACTCAGCTTTAATCTCCAGCGCCTGTAGTTGCTGAGCGAGAGATCTTCCTTCCGAGAACTTTTCTGGATCTAGCATAGCATCAAAGTATCGAGAATTCTCTTTGAGAGATGTGACTGAGACTTGCCAAGCGATCTTGCCAGTTGTCGAAGATGGATCGGTGTGCTCAATAATCAGATCTCCATTTGGTGAGATGATCTTTGCTGTATTGGACCCGCTCGTTGTATTTATTGGACCTTCCAAGAAGTTATTGTAGGGTCGTGAACCATGGTCAATCAAAAGACAAGACTGCTTAAGACGTGTTGTTCGTTGTCGATGCTGCGAAATCAACCCCACCTCTTCAGACTTCATGGCGAATGTCGATCTTGAACTCAAATTCTTAGCCGAGAGGGGTATAAGGACAATTATTGGGCATATGGGATTCAGAGCAAGTTTCCATTGAGATGAGAATCCATAGTTGTTTGAGTTCAATGGGTGGATGAACAGAGAAGTCTGAACATTGACATTTGGAAAGTGAGAGATACTCAGTTCTTATGACGCGTTTCCCGATTTGGCTCAATACTGACTCAGCCACGCGTGGGCACGTGAACCTCCAGCCCTGGAGGGGGAGAAGCGGGGAGAAGGTAGTGCCCGCCCGGCGGTCACCGTCCCTAAAACACCAGCTATATAGCCCGACAATACCATATGTGCATACTAGGGTCAGCTACAACCCACCAAATCGAGTGTCTCAACGCTATTCCTTTAATTTACCTCGATATGGAATATTTCAAGGGCCCCAAACTGGTCAAATCAACATCACAAAATGCTAGCCTGTGACTAGGTGGCATTGGCATCGCGCAGAAAGTCAACTAAATTACATTCCAAGGGTTCAAATCAAATCAAAGGCCTAGATTTCCATACTATTATCACAACTTGAAACTTACAGTGCACACAATATTTCTTGGTTTTGTGAAGTATATCACGGCCCTTCATAAACCATCTCATTCAAAATGTTGGCTCTCGTAACGAAATGAGAGGATTCCATGTCTCGCATGTCTGATTATGTTGTGACAACCAGATACTATGTTAAAGGGCTCCCGACTCGGGGGGAGATATACCGTGACTCTCTATTATCATGGCTTCTAAAACGGTACCACTAAGGATCAATGGATCACACATGCATGAACATTGATTGATCTGAAGGACGTAAAATTCCAACCTTGGAAGGTTCAAATGTTTCATCTGTCTAGGTACATCATTCGAGTATGTCGCGACACAATTTGGTGTTGAGGATTTGTAGAGACTTCAAGAAAATAGAACGGTGCGTCTGCTGTATCCCATCAGGGTGGATCTTTTCAGATGCCTGCGATAGGAGAAATTCTTGAGCAGATTGATGGACCAAGATAATTGTGTCTCTTCGTAGAGTAACGAACTGCCCACAATATCCAACTAGCTTTATCATGGATTGAGTATTATTTGAGGCTCTCTCGGGCAAGTCAACGTAACCCTTCACCTCTGACAATTTTATCGGCCGGTAGACTGTTGTCACCTTGCGCAGAATCGAAGGGCATATAGCAGCAGTTGGAGTCTTCAACCCCCTCACTTTATCTAGCATTCACACATAGAGCTCGTCAAGACCAGGGGGGGGAAATATTTCAGTTGATACTCAACTTCCCAGAACTCGACATCAGCGAGTCCCAGACACACCAAAGCTACCCAAAGAAAGGTCCCGTTCGCAGTAGATATCAGATGCTGTTCCACTGCATTTTGTATATCTGGTGTGCAATCATGGTTTTTCGCCAAGTCGTTGACTTTGTGACGAACATACGATTCCACAGCGCCTGAGAGAACCTTCTCATTTAATTCCCATGAAGTTTTCGTTCTGTTTTCCTGTTGAGGTGGTTCACAATCACCGGATCGTTGCGACTCGACAAAATCCATTTCACACGGGGGTTGACTGATGCGTGCTGTCTAAGAAATTCGAGGAGTCTCTTCTGATCGATGGTACACTCATCGATTGCATCAACTAACAAGTATGTGCTTCTAATGTCTGGGTCCCTGAGGATTTTCTGGAGAGCGTCACATAGCTCGAACCATCCGTTTTCATTGTCAAGGAATCTCGGTGGAATATGGGTCTTAAGTGGAGGTTGATGCTTTCCGATCATGTAGATAAGTCCTCGCAGAACTGCCGTAGCACTATTGATACGATTGTTGGTGGCTTGGCAGAAAAAGTAGGCATTTTCGTATTGTCTTGATCTGCTTGCTTTGAAAGCTCATTGATAATTCCGCAGATCAGCATCGTCTTGCCCTTGCCAGGATCACCTTTGATTCACAATAGCTGACCGTCAGCAGCGTCCTTCCAACTTCGAAAATCGTTGTGCTCGAGCACCCAGCGGTACGAATCATAGAGAAGACCGTCCTTATCTGCTTCGATTCGCTTCTTATCAAGCTCGGGACTAAGAGCCTGAAACAAAAGCAAATCATCAGTTCTTTCCCATTCGAAAATGTGATCTTGGGTCCAAATGGTACTTAGTCACGTCCCACTGACCTTCAAGTTTGAATGATTGGATTCAGTAGAATCCTTAGTACCAGTGAAGATATGACCGTTGTTTTGGCCAACTTGCAATCCATCATTGCGGTTGTTAAATGATGCTTGAAACCCCATGGCGTACCAAGTGCAAAGTCTCCGAGGTCAGCTGCGCATGGTACAACTAGAATCGAATATAAGTGAAGATTGGGCTGAAGGCCTTCCAAGGTTGAGACGCACATGCGGAAGTGGTTTCACCAGGGTGCCCATGTATCAATGTATACAGATGTAGGTAGTTCCGAGTCATCGGAAGTTCACTCCAGCACTTGAGGTGCCACAAAAAGTTGAAGGAACTTTTTGAATTATCGATCACACTATTGTAAGTGACCTTTGCCACATGACCAGGTGTATTCTTCAACTGTTAGCCCTTCAAGCTACATATCCCTTGGCGAAATCAGTAGCGGTACCAGAGCTCAGCTGGGTACTGGGTCAACGTGTCAGCATGCAATGCATGGATGACGTGGATTGCAGCCTGAGCGTGCAGTGATATGTTGCAGCTGATTCGTTTGATCAGTCTGCCAGTGAGGATAGCAGCATGAAAAGCTCCATCAATCTTCGAAACAAACAAGCCCATGACTAATCGCAGATTTGTGGAGCAAAGGATCAAGGTTGACACAGGTATATCCAATTATAAACCATCTAAATGAGATTTCTCGGAATATCATGATGACTGCTGCAGGCAAAAACCAAAAGAAACCAAAGGGTAACTCCAATGATTTGACCAATCCCTCATTTCGTAACCTGCATCCGAGTCTTACTGACTAGCTCGATCATCTGGCACTAGTTGATAGGCGCTGGGAATGGGTGAAGAATCCAGCCCACCTTTATTGCACTAATGAAAGGGAAGTTTTGAGAACAATGAACCTCAACTTTAGTTTGAAGAAAATCCAAGGTCTGAATTTGAGATAAGCTGGAAGAAAATGGATTGAAAACTTCATAAATCATTATTACATAGTAGGCTCGGGTCGAGGATGCCAAACAATCACCGTGGACAGCTACCAAAAGAAAAGAAAACAATAGAGACAATGACAGGTATAACAAGAAAACGCCGAATCAAACTCAGCCTCTTATCGAGCTCAAACCTTCCAAAATGCTAGACCTCAAGACTCTATATAGCATCCACTAGGTCGTGAGAGATATGCTGAATCTCCATATCGCGAACCCGAGTGACCACATTCTTACTAAAATCCTCAAACCAGCTATCCTTGCTCGAAAGAGTCGGAGACGGAAGAGGCTCTTGAACAGGTGTCGGTGCAGGTGTCAGGAGAGCTGCAGAAAGAGGAGCAGGGGCCATCTTAAGAATCATCGTTGATGAAACCGAAGAAATCTCTTTCTCCATCTTCAAGTCCAAGTCGAGCGGAGTCTCTTTTGGTGTTCTCAGCGATTTCACCTTCGAATCTCTCCGCGGGTTCTCCTCAGAACCCTCAGCAACCTCAGTAATACCCAAGGTCTCAATCTCAGGTTCATTACCCAGTCTAACCTTTAAGCCTTCCGACGCACGAAGTTGACGATCAAGGTCCTTCCAAGATGTACACCCTTCCTTATCTTCAGGGAAATTGTATACAACTGTACCATCTTTCCAAGCAGCGAAGAAGCAACCTGGCTGTGAGAGACTCAGGCTCACGTAGATGATCTGGCCTTGACTTCCGTAACGCAGGTAATCTGCTAGACGTGGGTATGCGGGACGGAGTTTTGAGACGATTCCTCCGGTTTGGTAGGCAACTAGCCAGGTACGGTTGATACCCATTGTAGCGAGTTGAAGAGGAGGGTTCCTGTCGCGTTGTACGCGTGAGAATAGGTGTGCGGAGACCTCGTCAGGACCTAGGAGGGTGGTTTTGTGATCGGTGATAAGGAGACCTGCGTCTTGACCGCCGTCTAGGAACCAGAAAGTCTGTCATATGTTAGGAATTGAATTATTTGGAGTTTGCAAAATTTAAACTCAGTGCTTGGAGTGGCTTGGGTTGAGCTTACCTCGACGTTTATATCGAATAGCTTTTTCCCAGATTGATAGAGTGCCTTGTCACATTGGACAATGCAGTCATATTCCTGCTGTGGATCCGTGGGGAATCTTCCATGAGGTATGATTGCCTCAATGTCATCTGCATTATCGATGATCTTCTGGTTCTCTTTGGAGATGTTCAATGTAGAGGTACGGTCTACCCCAGGCACCTCAGCGAAGACGGTGTTCTGAGGGCCGAAGTGAAAGACAAAATCGGAGGCTGTGTATTCAGGCATAATGAAGATGGTCGCTTGGGAATTGAATGAGTTTTGGAATATACATCAACCAAGATAGAGATTAAGCGGGTTTATATGTATGATCTTGAAGGCTCATGGCCCCCAGGGGCTGAAACTGACGTTGATGATATCTCCATCTTTTAGTTGTTTGACTATACTCTCACTGTCATCCATGGATATTCATCTCATCGAGACGATATACACATCTCCATACACTCGAACAATTCTTTTCAAATTCCCAGAGTTTCAAATTTATTTCAAATTTCTTAACTGATCATTGATCATCAGATAATGCGAGTAATTGTCGCTGTAACTCATTACATTGCGCGCATATGGCATACTTAGCCCCCATCTGGGGGACTCGGAGTAAGGGAGCACTAGGGCTCGGACCATTGGAGTCATCATCGTGCATGGAGCTAAGTATGCTTGGTGATCACTACTGCGGCTTAAAGCTGACCGGGTCCAGGAGATATATTCCTTCGTCTAAATTTGGCTCGATTCCTGCACATGTGGTGTCGTGCCGGAGGCCTGGAAAGAAAGTGGTTCACTACGTAGAGTAGGGCCGATATGCCAATCGATCTACAGTGGGGTAAAAAAAAAGAAAAACTTGGATCAATGGGCCAAACGCAATAGATCCAATGACTACAATTTTTCCAATGTTGTCGACCGTGTATGTGACAAATTTTACCACAAGCTCCTCAAATGTTGAAATTTTCAGCGCAATCTCCGAGTCTTCAGAGCAAAACACTCGCGACATAGCCTCAAATGCTTTGAAAATGGACACTTTCATGAACACAATGTTTACACCGAACGCCTGATCTATGATCCAAGAAAATAAAATGCACATGGTGAGGGTTGACGTAAATCGAGAAGAGACATGACGGTTCGTGGTTAAAGTAGCGTTAAGTAGGAGGTAGAGATATAGAGCGGGAGTGAGGAAGATAGAGAGAGAAGGTCGTCAAGAGATATAGTGACAAGGGCTTATGGCAGAACAACAATGGGGACGTGGTACATTGTAGGGCCAGTCAGATCGGTCGGTTCATAGACAGTGCCATGTTCTTTACGATTCGCATCTCGTAATTTCATGGCACGGTCTATCATATAGTATAACTTGGCAGCACATGGAGACTGTGACTCGTGTGAAGAATCTCCATTCACTGTTCGAGCGAGGTCATCATCATAGTCGTGCATTAAGTCCGGGGGAATGAGAGAAAACAATCCCAGGGACATATCCATATCCATGTATGGCGAGTATCTCAAGAAACAATCCCCATCCGAGGTATAGCTCCCGTGACCATCTTCTGAGGCTAATTCTAATAGCGTGTTTCCACGGTAATTGTGAAAGAATGGCTCGCTGGTCGTAATACCGATGACGAAGTCTGCATTGGCGCATGTAGCGGCCAAGGTAGACTGACGATACTCGGGTGTGAAAGCAGTATTTATAGAGCCCGGGAGGAGGAGGGCCATTCCGCGCGCAAGGAGAGGTGGGGGAGGGATGCCATCATCGGGTTGAACGTGAGGTTGCATGGTAACGGATTCGGTGACGGAAATAGTTGAGGATTTTCGAAGGGCATAGCCCATGTTATCGTTGCTGAACTCAGGCCAGCCGTTTGTAGAGGGAGGAGAGAGGGAGGGTTTGGGTTCCTCGGGGGTTGGTTCTGATTGTTCGGCGGAGATCTCTGTTTGAATCGTCTTGACCGTTGTTGCGACAGCTTGACGAGCAGCTTTGCGAAGGGAAGGAATCAACAGGTCTTTCTCTTGTTGATCATATGGCACACCCGCTGCCCAGCATGTTGCCATTCCCGCCCAAGCTGCGGGCTTAATTAAACCATTTGTGTATTTCGTGCGGATCATATCTCCCAGAGCTGAACAGGTCCCTTGTTGTGGGTATCCGCGTCCCATCACACTCACGGTTACATTAAGAACCCGGCTACTCTCCCACAGAATGAATGCATGCTTTTTCGCTTGATATGTCAACTGATCAATGGTATCTTGACTCCAATCCTCGATAAAATCCGCCTGAACTTGAAACACTGCGATATGTGGACCAAGCTCTGCAGCCAGTTGTATGAGGTCGGCGGTGTGTGTAATATGATGGGAGACCATCACACATACTGGTTGACCGCATGGAAGGCCCTTTTTGTACAATGGTAATTTCTGGATATAATCCAGAATTGGATTCATTGCTGAGCTCTCCATATTGATTGTGTGGGGGAGGAAAGGAGAATCAAGGGAGAGAGTGGGCAACTCTGGCTTTAAGATGGGCAACACCTAATGTCCACAGCGGGGCTTAAGGGGTATCCACTTAGCACAGAGCTGGGGCCATGTCAAATCATCCTTGTGGGAGAAAAAAATTGTGGAAAATTGTGGGAATAGAGTGGAATAGGTGGGAAAAAAAGGTGGACAAAAGAGAGAGATGAAGAAAAAATTAAATTATGGGTTTTCGAGTACCCGATAAAATGGACAATGCCCTTTGTCTCTCTGGTAACCAGATGGGGGCCAAGCTTGTAACTTGTATGAGCTCTAATGAAATGTAATGAGGCATTCAATTTGAATATTTTCATGAAGTTCCCGAAATCTAATGGATTTAATCAAGTTGAACACACATGTGCATGTGCAGGATGTCAAGTTAGCGGATATTTTGTGTTTTCCCCTTAACACACTGAATAGGTGGACCAAGCGAGACTGAAGGATTCGCACTAAAATCACCGTCGATCCAATAGTGAAGAAGTCAATTGTTGGAAATGATAATTGGATCGGAAACTGGGTCTCCACTCGAATTATGGCTTCTCGGATCGTCCCGTACAATAACAGAAGAAGAAATTTGGTGTAAGATGAAGAATAACCCCAATGCCAATTTAGGAATATGGTCAAAAGATATGCCAATATCACATCCACTTTAAGGGTAGTAAGAGTATCTTAGCATCTTAGGTGGGTTTATTATTCGGAAGCCCTCCGAATTGATCTCTTTTTTGATATTATTACATGAATGTACATCTCCTTGGGATGTAATTGGTCTTTCTCTCCGACTTGCATTTTCCCACGGAGTGGATATGCATTTGTGTATTTTTGCTAAATAAAAAACAAGATAAAAAACAATTAAAAAAAAATCAAGTTCCAAGCTTCCATAGCTAAGCAATTGGATCTATGCTGAAGCCGACTGGTGGCTTAGAGATGTGGTCATTGAATGGATCTTACCCAAGGTGGCTTACATGGCCTGCATTTGGGGCGTGACCCTATACCTAATTTGAAATAAAGACCGAGATTCCATCCAATAGCCTTGAAGACTCGGTGTTGGAAAATGGGAGACTTCGTCAAATTATCCAACAGAAACTAACTCAGGACCCAAGGCAATCTATCCTGGTCTTAAGTGGTCGGGGAATGCCCATAGCTCTAAACCTTTGTGGACCCCGTCGTATTGCACTGTGATGGTCCACCCTTACAAGAGAAAAAAAATGACAGGTATGATTTCCGCATGTTAAAGAATTCCGATCCTCGGAATTTCAGATGTTGGCCTATATGCCACGGTAAATCACTTTGGCCTACATCCGGGTGTACCTAGCCGACAGACTTAACGTCGTCAGCGCCCACTTTTTTCCGGGTATCTTTTATATGGGCCACCATAGAAAAGATACACGACCCCCAAAAGCTTCAAGTTGGATTCTTAATAATGTTTGGTAGTATGTAGAAAATTGTTGAATACAACTGCGGTATCCATTTGATCGTTGGCACTTTAAGTTCAAGTTAAAGACCCAACCCCCGGGGCCTCAACCGCGCTCCATTGCCGACCCCTCTTAAGATATTTGAGGCTGTACGGAGTAGTATGGATAAAACAAAGGCAAATTTCGAGTAAGGGTTTCAGATTTATAAACATTGATTTTGAATCAAGATATGCCGCGGCGCATAGAGTTCATCAACACAACTTGCGCTCCATAGAAGTGTAGACAAACACCCGTATCACGATCCTGATGGTTTGATTCGGATAGACGAATATGGAATTGAATTTATATTAGATGGAGACGGCCAAAAGAGTATGTCTATTTGAACATGGGAGACTGGTTGCATTGGTTCTTACAACTTTTCATGTCTTTTTGTCTCTCGCTTTTGGTGGAAAAGGGTGAGATGACAAAGGAAATGCCAAAAAGGAGGTCCGGGATGGCATGTCATATTTCGCACTGCCAAAATCTGGGTTCAAGATAGTGTCCAGTGACCGTTAGGTCGATAGTTGATAATCAGGTGATGATTTTCTGGAAACAGACGAAGTCCTTTGTAGGACCCAGCGTATCTCATCAGCGACGCGTTCTGGCTCTGTGATCTGAATATTATGGCCACTTTCAGTCGTGGTGGAAAAGCGCACGTTACTCGACAGATTCAGTAGTTCACGCTGGAAGGCCTCTTCACTAGCGTCCCAGCGCTCCAGGTAGTCTCGAAAAACCGCTCGCTCGGCTTCATTTCCCAACCCTTGTGCCACGCCCCGATCGTACATCCGCTCCTGGTCCCGATGCGAATTGCCCCGGAGCACACTAAGCGGCTGGCCGCAGAGGAGATCTCGCCCAAGGAGAAGTTGCTGTTTCTTGGCTAGGACGCCACGACTGACCTGCAGATAAGGCAGCTCGCGCGTGGCCTGCTGCTCGTGGTGTGAGCTAGCTTCCTCCGCCATAAGCTCTGCCCACTCGACCTCCGTTAGCTGATAATCGCGGGTCAGTCCGACGACTTCCATATAATCCAGCCCCTCTGTGACGGCTCCGATCGAGGGATCCGGCCATGTCTCGAAAAGCATCCGCTCCTGGACGGCATCCACCAACACCATCCCGCAGATCGCCTCAGGTCCGCGGGCAGCAAGAAACTCCCGCGCGAGAATTCCGCCCCAGGAATGACCGACCACTAGGTACGGGGGTGGCAGAGCCGCGGCGACAAGTAGCCGAGACAGCTCATCCACAATTGTTAGTGAGTCCGGCTCGGCGGTAGGGCATGCTTCGCTCTGACCGTAGCCAGTTCGCTCATACAGCAGCACAGATGCCTCATTCTCGAGATGTCGACACACCGCACTCCATTCTAGCGCGCTGCTGGTGATCCCTGTAAGGACTATCACAAGGGGAGCGCCGCGCTGCCGAGGAATACCTCGCAATGCGTAGCTCAAGGAGTGGGTTCCGATGTGGGCGGTATGTTGGAAGTGTTCCATGGTAGCAAGCAAAGGTTGGGGGAGGTGGAGAACTTGAAGGAAACACAGAGGAGAGCCCTGGACTCCTGGAGGGGGGGTCTTATATGACGAGTTTCCAACTTGAAGTAATTAGTTAACTAGAGTAGTGGGGAAGCTCAATGAGTCACCACAGCCTAGTCGGCACAGGCGGTCCTCCCGCTAAGGAGACCAGCGCTGCATACCGTATCGAAAACCGAAAGGTCCCCGTCCCACCCGACAGAAAGAGTACTCGAGAGAGCTAATAGGGACAGAGTCGGAGACAACATTTGAATGTCAAACAATACACTCCAGGTTTAGTAACAGGGAAGCCGTCGTGACCGTGACAGCGCCTAGTCTGAATTGCACAGCACTCCCACTGTCCCACAGCTCGTGCTCTAATGGAAGCGGGAGGTATTGTTACTCGATCGAAGGAATTGAATAGACGTCACGCTCAGTGGTAGATATGCAGAATAAAAGATAAAAATGAAAGATTTCGTCAACATAGAAGATAATTGAGCCGTAGCCGTGGGGTAGTCGGGTGAAGGCCTGTCCGATTGGAAGGGGGCCGAATTGCCTGATCTAACATAACAGCCATACCGAATTATGCATGTCAATTTCGATTAAACAATAATCACATGGTCTGAAATTCAAGGAAATGCCAGTGTCGAAATGTCAACACTGCAAATTTTCCCACTAAATTAGTCTGGATGATGTCAAGTTGGAACTTGAGTTAATAAGTGCTAGGGTCCAGGGCTAGAGGCTCAAGTTTAGGGCCGTGTTATAGTACTTAGGCCTGTTCAGATCTGTAATCCCAACTTTCAAATGCCTGTGGTGCAAGTCGGTCAGCCAAAGTCTCACTTGATGATTCAATCGTGATTTCTCGACAAATAAGATCTCCAACCCTTAGGAGCACCCATTTTGATAGTATTTCATAGTGGAAGGATCATGCGTCGTACCATCTGAGGTTGAGTTACATAGTAGAAATTCTGCCGGGGCGGACCGATTGTTTGTCACGCCACGCCTCCCCTGAATAAAATATCCCGCCACCTCCGAGAAAAGATCAACTCCGCTCACTCCCGTATTTCCACCGGTTGACCAGCGACTTGTCCTACCGTGACCATTTTACCTGCCTTTCCCTCCCATTACCCTCGAGAATGCCGGGACGGGTTTTACCAACCTTCACGGCCGCCGAGGTCGAGTCGCATAACAATGCCAAATCTTGTTACATCACAATTGGGCGCAACGTCTACGATGTGACCGAGTTTGTGCAGGATCACCCCGGTGGCGGTGACTTGATCCTGGATTACGCAGGCAAGGATGCCGCAGAGATCATGAAAGACGAGATTTCCCACGAGCACTCAGAGGCCGCCTACGAAATCCTGACCGAGTACCACATCGGCTTCCTGGGCCCGAACGGCGCCGCTTCTTCCAAGGCCAAAGCCTCTGGCGTGGAAACGAATGATGCAGACTCTGGACCCGTGTACCAAACCACCGGAATGTCGCGCGAGGAGGACCTCTCAATCGACACCGATTACACGCAAGATTTCAAGACCCATAAATTCTTGGATCTCAGCAAGCCTCTCTTCCCCCAGCTCTGGTACAGCACTTTTTCGAAGGAGTTCTACCTGGAGCAGATCCACCGACCCCGTCACTATAAGGGTGGACAGTCAGCTCCACTCTTTGGCAACTTCCTGGAACCTCTCAGCAAGACTGCATGGTATGTGGTGCCCATAATCTGGCTGCCACCCGTTTTCTACGGAACCGCAGTCGGAACAGCCGGCTTGGGCAATCCTATTGCTGCTACTGCATACTGGTTCGGCGGTGTTTTCCTGTGGTCATTGATCGAATACTTGATGCACCGCTTTCTATTCCACATTGACAAGTATGAAACCCCAGTCCCTACGATCTAAGTCTAGTTTACTGACATGTCCTCAGATGGCTTCCGGATAACCGAGTCGGTCTGACATTGCATTTCTTGCTCCATGGTATTCACCACTATCTCCCTATGGACAAATACCGACTGGTCATGCCACCCACCTTGTTCATCATCCTGGCAGCGCCCTTCTGGAAGCTGGCCCATGCCGTTTTCTTTTACGACTGGTTTGCGGCCGTGCAAGTGTTCTGTGGCGGTGTCTTTGGGTACATCTGTTATGACTTGACGCACTACTTCCTCCACCACCGCAAGTGAGTATCCCAATATCTCATGATTTCTTTTTTGAACCATGCTAATTTTATCTAGTCTCCCTCTTTACTACAAGGAGCTCAAGAAATATCACCTCCAGCATCACTATGCAGACTTCGAGAATGGATTCGGTGTCACCAGTCGATTCTGGGACCGCATTTTCGGCACTGAGCTGGAGACCCCTCCTCCCAAGGGCTCTAAGGCTCAGTAAGAAACCACGAAATCACCGTTACGTTCAGATCCTTGCATAAGTGGCAGGCTCTTCACATTCACGAATTCACGTCAAGTCCCTTGCTCTACGAAATCACAAGGAAGGGAGGATGTACATGTCTGCCCTTAACTGTGGCAATAGCGGCGTTTGGGTAATTTGTCTTTCTCATTTGTATAGGTGACTGACCTCCCTTGGATATTACGACCAAGATCCTGGAGAGTCGATTAAGCCACACTTATTCTTTCCTGTATCACTTATTAGTGCACATTATCAATTAATTCTAATGGCAATTCCAATGCCCTGTCTATATAGTCTATTTACTAATTTATGACTCCATGAGACTGATATCCCTCCAAAATAAACCAGAATACAATTTGATATTAGCCATTGCACCTCAATTGCACAAATTCCCAGGTTATTGCTCTTCCCTGGTTCTACAGTGGCGAAATTGATGCCTTAAGGCAGGAATTGTAAAAAGTTATATCCCACGTGACTACACATCACCGCTCCCAAACCGTCTTTCAAGACTCCGTTAACTCACCACCATCTTACCTGGCGCGTTCGTTCAAGACAACCCGCACAGTTTCGTAAAACCGAGCAGAGGAGTCTGGAAGTTAAACATCTTCTGTCTTTCATCCTCTTACTCAGTTCTAAGTGACTAAACTCTCTAAACCCCCATTATCATTGCAACCGCAGCCAACACACAGACCATCTCCACGATGTCCGGACTTGACGTGGAGGCTCTTCTTGAGTCAACCGCCGCCACTGTTGAAGCAACCCCCAAGCAGGATGACCATGATGATCGCTCCCGAGCTGATAACTCTGAACGTCGCGACCGTGACCGTTCCCGTGATAGACGCCGCCGCCGCGAACGCAGCCGTGATCGTCGCCGCGACCGAGATGTGGAGGGCGATGAGGAGATGAAAAGCCCGCCCAGCGAGCATGGCAGTGCTAACGGTAGCCATAGAAGCCGGAAGAGAAGCCGGAGCCGTGAAAGTGAGAGACGTCGCCCTCGTCGCGATCGCGATCGCTTTGACGACCATCGCTCTAGTGGCGACTTTTACCGTGGTGGAGGACGCGCTCACAGCCGTTCGCGCTCCCCTCATGATGATAGACATTACCGCCCCTCCCGTCGCGAGCGTGATGATGACCGACGTCCTCCTCGCCGTGAGCGCGATGCTCGTCGCCAAACCCCCCGTCGCAGCCCTAGCAAGTCCCCCGAACTTAATGAAGATGAGCGGGACAAGCGAACAATTTTCGTACAGCAACTGGCAGCTCGTCTGCGAACTAAAGAGCTGATGGCCTTCTTTGAAAAGGTTGGCCCCGTCAAGGAGGCCCAAATCGTTAAGGACCGCGTCAGCGGACGATCTAAAGGGTGAGTTGTTTTCCCTAAATAACCAGTCATAGCTTTAGCTAACACAATTCTTCCTGCCAGTGTCGGTTATGTTGAATTCAAGAGCGAAGAATCCGTACCCGCTGCCATTCAACTCACCGGCCAGAAACTTCTAGGCATCCCTATCATCGCTCAATTGACCGAGGCGGAGAAGAATCGCCAGGCCCGCAATCCCGAGGCCAGTTCAGGCCCTCAGCACTCGGCACCATTTCACAGACTCTATGTGGGTAATGTTCATTTCAGCATCACTGAAACCGACCTCCAGAATGTCTTCGAACCGTTCGGCGAACTTGAGTTTGTACAGCTCCAGAAGGACGAGACTGGTCGCAGCAAAGGTTACGCTTTTGTCCAGTAAGAAATCCCATCCATATTCTTTGGTGTCCTTGGATCAAAATCTAACATTATTCTAGGTTCCGTGATCCCAATCAGGCTCGTGAGGCCTTGGAGAAAATGAACGGGTTTGATCTTGCTGGTAGAGCCATTCGCGTTGGCCTTGGCAACGATAAGTTCACCCCGGATTCAAGCTCCACTCGTCCCCAGGGCTCCTCTGCAAGTCAACCCAGTTTCCAGGGCTCTTCCTTTTCCGGCCACGGAGGCCGCGGTGTTCAAGCCGGTGGCTCCAACAACTTTGACCGTGCCGGTGGTCGCGAATCCGAGAAAGGCACCGGCGCTAGTGCCCTAGACGATACAGATGTGGCGGGTGTAAACTTCAACAATTACAGTAGAGATGCGTTGATGAGGAAACTTGCCCGAACAGATGAACCCGAGCCTTCTGCCGACGAGCAGCAGAAGATCCTCCGACCCAAGACCGAGACTAAGCCCCTGCCTGTCAATGTGAACATGGCTAGTCGATGTGTAATGCTTCGTAACATGTTTGACGCCTCCGAGTAAGTTTTCTCATGTCTCCCTATTGAGTTATTCATTTATTAACACTACTTTAACAGAGAGGAAGGCGAAGCCTGGATCAAGGAGCTGGAAGATGACGTTCGCTCGGAGTGCGAGGAAAAATATGGTCACGTTGTTCACATCTCACTAGATCCAAGCTCTCAGGGCGACATTTACCTGAAGTTCGACCGTGTCCAGGGCGGCGAGAACGCCATCAAAGGATTGAACGGACGTTTCTTCGGCGGCAAGCAGATCACTGCCCAGCCCGTTGTGGATGCCGTCTACAGCAGTTTGTTTTCGCGTACCAAGGCCATTTAAACGCCTTCATACCCACGCGCCCGGCTCTTGTTTTCTGTACTATCTAACGTGGCACTTTCTTTTCAGGCAGATCCCTTTTGGCGTCTTGTTTTAGGCTCTTCCGGACGATTCTGCTCCTGGTAGGTGCCAATCTTCATATTGTATGCTCTATCTCCCTTGGCTCATTGCGATGAGCCTCCATACTTCCAATGATTTCTCTCTAGGAGCGTGATCTTCCCCCATCAGAAACAATCGTGAAATCAAAATAGATATTGATTGTATTTCTTCCAAGCTCTGTTCCACTTCAGGGTCCACTTTTTGACCCGTGGCGGTTCATAGCGTCGACCCGTCTTTGCTTCCACGTAGATTCATTAGATCAGATAAAAAGCTGCCCAAGTGATGAGCAATCACAATGGAAATACCATGCAGGTATAATATGGGCCCGATTATAATCTCACCATTCCTAGGCTCTATAAATAGATAAGTACTACTCGGCGCGCCTGGAGTCCGAAGCCCGCGGAGTAGATATGAATAGATATGCCGGGGCTGTCGCCTTATCTGCCGACGCTCGGGCCAAACAGCAATGTTCCCCCACGCCAACTTGAATGTCTTTTCACTTCAATCACTCCAATCACTTCTACAAACCACTCTCTCTACCACGATCCATGGGCCATTCATGATTGTCACTTCAGCGAGGCGAGTAACAGGCCGGGCCTGGGCCTTGGCCGGGTGTTACAGTAAGTGAGCTCCAATGCACGCCGGCTTATCTCCGAAACCCTCATGGAAGATCCTTATAGCATCCTCCTGGTGCTATTCAGCGTTGAAAGCTAAATATCATATTTTCTAGCAGCCCTCTCCCCTCCTCGACAATTACGATACTACAGTTCAGAAGCCCAGACATCCAATGAGCTTCCAGTCCAGAGGAAGCCGCCCCAGTTCCGCGACTACTTCGTTACCCATTTACCTTCGTCATCACTTCATCCTGATCCTCGGGGGCCGACCTCCCCATTTCACAAACTACCTCGTTCCGAATCAGTACCGCATACGGGCGATATTTCACATTCCCCAACATCGTTTCAGCCTTTGATCGACCGAGAAACGACAGTTGTGAGAATCCCGCTACGCAGTGCGAAGCATCATTTCGGAGCAGTCTCAGCCCGTGGCACCCGACCAGCAAATGAAGATTCATACCAAGCCGGCGTTATTGATATTCCTGCGTTTGCAAAGCGTCCGCCAGCATCACTGACCATCAATCGATCCTCAAGATATCCACGGGAATCCCGTGCCGCAGACACCGCCAGCGGCGACCCGCAAATATTCTACTTTGGAATCTTTGATGGCCACGGCGGAGCGGAATGCAGTACCTTCCTAAAGGAATATCTGCACGAATACATTCAAAATGCGGCCGCAGATTTTCAGGTCCAGTCTAGTCTCCGGCCCCAGCAACCTGTGAATGGAGGCGATTCGCTTCCAGTCATGCAGGTGGGAAACCGACGGCGGATCGGGGATCTAGAAAAAGAGTCTTCTCAACAGCTGGAGACGTCTAGTCGGTGGCTACTTTAAGCGATTCAAGCCACCTTACTTTTCTTACTACGGTGCTGACTCCGCAGACGCCGTATCTAACGACACGGTGTCAATCGAAGAGGTCATGGAGTTTGCATTCCTGCGCGCTGATCTAGACTTCGTCAAAGCGCAAGCAGCCAAGCGGGACGATGATATGGCCTTGGCTGAGAAGCCATTGAACGAGAACGAGATTCTTCACTCTCCCAGTCTCACCCGCACCCCGCAAATTGGCGGTCGCTCACGATTCAAGGGCGGTAGTACTGGATCTATTGCAATGATCTCTACTCCTAGCCCGACACCGTTTTGGCATCCTGCAGGTCCTTCTAGCCTTTTAGTTGCTCATGTTGGTGATACCAGAGTTCTACTCTGCTCCACAGCCACCGGCGAGGCAATCCCTCTCACTTCTAATCACCACCCATCATCGCCCATAGAAGCTGCGCGATTGCGTCGGTACGCTGCCACTTTCGTTACAGACTCATTCGGCGAGGAACGCATGAGTGGCCTTGCCAATACCCGTGCCTTTGGTGACGTGCAATCCAAGCGTATTGGCGTCTCCGCTGAGCCAGAGGTTAACCGCATCGAAATGGGACCAGCCGAGTACTCGTTCATAGTAATGATGTCCGATGGTATCAGCGGCACACTTCTTGATCAAGAAGTGGTCGATATTGTTAAGGAGGCCAGAACACCTGAACAAGGCGCTCGGGATGTGGTCAGCTTTGCCACCGAGGTCACCAAAGAAGGCGACAATGCTACATGTCTCGTTATCAGACTAGGTGGCTGGGAACGTCGTCTTGAGGGTGGTGTGGGTAGTCTGGGATCGAAGGAGTCTCGCGAGTGGCGGCGTCAGGATGCCACCGATCCGCGCAGGTCACGGACATGAGAGCTCTCCTTGAAGTTTCTAGACATGATGCCTTTTGTAAATATTTTTCATCCATCAAAGGATCGATTGCACATAATAGTTCGGTTCGCCAACGCTCAGCTTGACAGCGAGTTTCTTTTGTCTGGGGGTTACATGGATATCTGCATTGTGGTTTAATTTTTCATTTGTATGGATCGGGAATCTGTATCTTCACTGAGAACCTTATAGTCTTGGATGCTTCACTAGTATCTGCCCCAAGGTTCCCCATATGAGTTCCATTTACTTCATTAGTATGGATAATTTTTCTCTTTTTCTCCCGAGTTCCCACTCTATAACTTGAAAGCCGGGCCCCGTAAGAGTCGTATGTTTTGGCCATTGTTTCTTTTATGCAAGGTGAATTCCTCCGGTCTGCATGGAGCTCAGAAATAGGCATCCAACATTTGAAGACTATTCATTTAAACAATGCCTATCTATGACTTCATCGGCTTTAAGGCTTCCACGCTAGAAGCATTGCCTTTTTCGATGCAAAAGGATCATGTAGATCTGCGGACCCGCATCTTCATTTTTCGCCCACGCGTAAGACTCGTCATACGAAGTTCTAAAGAAGTAATTTTTCTCAACTGAGTTGTTTCAAGAGAAAGTACTCTTGCCTAGATAGATAGCCCCCAAACGCTGATCTGACAACGTGTCAGCAAAGGTGAGTTTCCAATGGATTTCAGCTTCCTGGCCCCCATAATGAGTGATATTATATAGGTGGAATAATTCCCACCGATCTAAGTCAACTGCCGTGAAGAAAATCAAGCCATAGATTCAGCCACTTCAAACTTCCAGTCTCAAAAAAAATCCTTGAATATCCGCCGATCTATAAGTCAAATTCATCGTGCAAAAGTACCCATTTTAAACACGCCGAGATCGCGTCCCGGAGCCGCGGAGCTGATAGTAGCGCTTAGATAAGCACAACTTTCGTTTGCTTATTTGGATTATCAACCCCCCTTATTCTCGCCGCATCTTTCACTTCCACTTCCTAAGTTCCTTATTTCAGTCTCCTACATCTCACAATGAGCTCAGAACCTAGAACTCGAGGGCAAAAAGCTGCCCGCCGGGAGGAGAGCGAGGGAGGTAATGGTGTTGCGCCGACATCCAAGAGCGCGCGCTCAAACCAAAGCTCCGATGTTGTAGAGTCGGAAGAGCCTCGCGAGAACATCTTTTTGTTCTGGCCGAATCTCATTGGTATGGTACCTTCCTTGTCATTTCAATATTGTAGGAATCTCTTTCCTTGCTAACATGGGGTTCCTCGCCTGCAGGTTACTCCCGAGTCGTTCTTGCGGTCGCCGCACTCTACTATATGCCCCTCCATCCTCGCACTTGTTCGATTTTGTATACTGTGTCATGTACCCTGGATGCCTTGGATGGACATGTCGCCCGGAAGTGTGATCAGTCAACCTCCTTCGGTGCTGTATTGGACATGGTCACTGATCGTTGCACCACTGCCTGCTTGCTGGTCTTCTTGAGCTCCGCCTGGCCTCGTTGGGCCATCGTTTTCCAGATCCTCATTTCTTTGGATCTGGCTAGTCACTGGATTCACATGTACGCCACTCTGACTATGGGTGGATCTGGTTCGAGTCACAAGAATGTCGAGGCTAGCCGTAGCTGGGTGCTACACCAGTACTACACCAACAAGGTATAAAGATGTTTCACGACCCTAACCTTCCATTTACATCCAATTTTCAAATCTCTAACATGGGTATATTAGAACCTGTTGACTGCCTGCTGCGTCATGAACGAAGCATTCTTCATCGGTCTCTACCTGCTGTCCTTCTCTTCGCCCATCCTGTCGCCCTCCCTTCTGCAACCTGTTCCTGACGCCCAACCTCTTTCCGCTCAACCCGGAAACCCCGCCCACCCCGTCCCTGCTAGCCTCTTCTCTAGCCCCTGGAGTGCCGGTGCTCTGGAGCTGGCTCGTGCCAACAAGATCGACAGCACCCTGCCCTGGGCTGTCACCCTCATCGCCTTCCCGCTCATGGCCTTCAAGCAGTTTGTCAATGTCATTCAGCTGATTCATGCAAGCAAGTGGTTGGCTGAGGGCGATATTCAAGCTCGCCGTAACCGCAAGAAGGCGTGAGCGTGTCTGGACATCGCTTTTAAGAACTCGCGGGTTTTCTGCCTTTTTTTATTTGACATATTGTCAAGCCAAATAAGCTAGCTTCTTTGCTCAGCTTATCGCTTTATCTCCACACCCTTAATTTGGGTCATGCATGTCTTTGGAGCTTCGGTCTGTGATTTAAGGGATCTTAGATCCGCCAGCGCTAGCAGCTGTCGCCTCAGATCCCGAGGGTTGGCTTGGTGAATCCAATCCTTTTTGTAGGCGTCTTGGGAAGGGTCATCGAGGTCCTCAGGTATGGTCTGGATTCTGGTACCATTGTACAGTGCTCATGGGGTTGTGTCCTTTCTTTCGCATTGATCTTTTTTTTTCTTGCTTCTTTGCATCCCTGCTGCTTCTTGAATATGCCTTCTTTTTCCCCCTTCACTTTTTTTTTTCTTCTTCTCTTTCTTCTTCGAGTTTCACATCCTTAGTGTTTCTTCCCTTCGTTACATCATTTAATGCATGCCATTGCTACCTGGTATATATACTACATAACCTTAATTATGAAACTAAGAAGCTTGTTACTATCATAGCCGTGGGTAACCGGACATAAGGAAGATCATTTAAATAAGACCGATTTGGGCCCGCGTGTGGCTGTTGTGTAATGTTAACTTCGCCGTGTTAAGCCAATGTGTGGGCTGCGGCTCGCCGATTTCGGAGTTGGCGGGGTCGACTTCATCCGCATGCCACCTTTTTTAAAGCTCCCTATCCTGCTAACCAATTGAGTGCTTTTCAATTGACATATTCTACTCTTCACATCAAAATGCCTGCTTTTAACATCGTTGTTTTTGGTGGTGACCACTGTGGTCCCGAGGTATGCTTGTCATCCTAAACAATCCCCACTATGGAGCTTCCCTGGGGCTATGACAGGATCAAATAGGACCAAATAATTAACGCTGCATGAAAATTCTAGGTTACTGTTGAGGCTGTCAAGGTTTGAATTGACTATATTGACAACATACTTCCCAATTAATCCTAACTCCATCCTTTCTAGATCCTTCGCGTCCTCGAGAAGCACCGTGAGAATGTCACCTTCAACCTCCAGGACCACCTGCTTGGCGGTGTAGGTCTATACCAACGCGTTCACCAAGAGTGCCTCATAACTAACTCAGGCTAGGCCTCCATTGACGCCCACGGTACTCCCTTGACCGATGAGGCTCTCAACGCTGCTAAGAACGCCGACGCCGTCCTCCTCGGTGCCATCGGTGGCCCTGTACGTACCAACCTTGGCTCCTCTCCCAAACACACTGCTACCCCGGAAAATGACTCATAAAACAACGAATTTCCACACAATTGCACCAGACAGAATGAAAAACTAACATAGTCAACACAGAAATGGGGTACTGGTGCCGTCCGCCCTGAACAGGGTATCCTCCGCCTCCGCAAGGAGATGGGCACATTCGGTAACCTCCGTCCCTGCAACTTCGCCGCTCCCTCCCTGGTGGAGAGCTCCCCCCCTGAAGGCCGATGTCTGCCGTGGTGTCGACTTTAACATCATCCGCGAGTTGACCGGCGGAATCTACTTCGGCGAGCGCAAGGAAGACGACGGATCCGGATTCGCCATGGACACCGAGCCCTACTCCCGTGCCGAGATTGAGCGTATCACTCGTCTTGCCGCTAACCTGGCTCTTCAGCACAACCCTCCTCTCCCCGTAACAAGTCTGGATAAGGCTAACGTCCTGGCTACTAGCCGTCTGTGGCGTAAGGTTGTCACTGAGGTTATGGCGAATGAGTTCCCTCAGGTTTCGATTAACCACCAGCTTATTGACTCTGCTGCTATGATTATGATCAAGAACCCTCGTCAGCTGAACGGTATTGTTGTTACTAGCAACCTGTTCGGTGATATTATTAGTGATGAGGCGAGTGTTATCCCTGGTTCTTTGGGTCTTCTGCCTAGTGCCAGTTTGACTGCTGTGCCCGATGGAAAGACCAAGGTTAACGGTATCTACGAGCCTATTCACGGTATGTTGATCTTTACCCCCTCTTTGGGATCGTTTATTCCTGGTTGGAAAAATACTAACTAACATATTATTAGGCTCTGCTCCCGATATCGCCGGCCAGGGTATCGTTAACCCCGTTGCTGCTATCCTCTCCGTCGCTATGATGCTGCAGTACTCCCTCGGCATGCTCACTGAGGCCAAGGTCATTGAGATGGCTGTTAGCAACGTTATTGAGGCTGGTGTCCGCACTGGTGACATTGGCGGTAAGGCTACCACCGCTCAGGTCGGTGATGCTGTTGCCGCTGAGCTTGAGAAGCTGCTCCAGTAAACATATAAAACGAGACTGGCGATATAAGAAGGCTTGCATATGAGACATGATAGTGTAGACAAAATTGAATACCCTTTGGATCCTTGATGGAATCTGAGATGCGTTGTACAACATCTTCCTGTAAATCCGAACTTATGTTAGCACTGCCGAATTTCACTGGACATCTTGTATTGGAGTTGCTAGTGAAGTGATTTTAAAACTTACCTAGGTATGACTCGCAATATCCCGTTCTTTTTGGATGTATTGGTGACGATGGTAGAGCTCACATTTAAGTCTATTTGAAGCCCAATCCGGGTATGAGCCCTTTTCTCCATATGTCCGGGGCCGATTTAGCAGTATAAATTGCATTCCCACTGCACTGCGCCATATCAGAAGGTGCCAGTGGATGCGATGAGAGTCCACGGAAGGAGCTGGTAGAGGAGGCGGCTGGGATGGCGGTGTTATCAGTATGGGTCGTGGCTCATTCTCCTCGTCCCTTTCTTTTCGAAGACAAATCGGCGATTGGATCGATAGCTTCTTTCTATGTCTGGTCAGTAAGCTGCTTTATTGGTGTCTCGAGCCTTGGACATTGCAAATGGAAGATGGGCATTGATCACCTTCTTCGGAGTAGTAGGCGTATCATCTGCGGCAACATCGAATTGTCGAGAGAGTCTTTTATAAGGGATGAGTATGAAACGAAAGACGTTTGGCAGGCAAGCTCATGAAGTATTGACAGAAGGATACCTCAAAGGAGAGTGTTTAAGAGCAAGAGTAGAGGATGATTGTAAACATGGATCGCATCAAAGGAAAGAGCATGTGCTTGATCCGAATTTTGTACTTTTATGACTAGAAATACATTCATTGAGCCCAGAAAAAGGGAAAGGACCTGGGTATCTCGAAACCACGAACTCCAGTTTAACATAACGCCATTACGGATTTGTTGTAGCCTTCCAATGTTGCATTTAACGAATCACAGGTTCACCCATCCAATCAGGCTCATCAAGACCAGATGCTGCGCCTAGTCTGCTAGTATCAAGATCTTCACTTGCCAACCGGGCATGTTGACCAGGATCATGGATACTTGAACGAAGAGATTGGCGTGCACTGTGTCGACGATGACGATCGCGAGCATCTGCAGATGCCGATGGAGCAGCAGCATTCTTGGCGCGGTTATCATCACAAGAGAACACCTGGAAACCACGCACATGGGTGTCCTTTCCATTTTGATGATTCTCCACGATGCGCATCTGGACAACCATCGCCTTGAGTACATTGCCACAGTATGGATCCAGCTCGTCACTAATCGGATCAACACCATCAAACGACTCTGCATCAGAACCTTCACCTTGCTGGATATGATCATAGCCATGCGCTTGCGACTTGTGCCGATTATTCTTAGCGTTGCGGTCGCGCAAATGGGTATTTTCCTGGACCCAGCCACCATTCCGGCCTCCAACACCCTCTAGGGGTACATCAACCCAGCCACATGGGCCATCTCCCTCCCAGGTCGCGAATTCAACAAGGTCATTCCCGCCCATACCAGCTAGAAAGATCATCTTTGTAGGTGTGTAGCTTTCATCTAGCTCAAAGTCGAGGTACACACGAATGCGTACAATAGCGACAAGTTTGAAGAAGTGCAAGGTCAGATAGTGTGGTTGTGGGCCATCAGACTGCCAGTATTGTTGAGGGGAAGGGTGTCGAAGAGCCGCGACACCGCAGCCAGGTTTGGAGGTAGAAACGGTCCAGGAAGCGAGGGATGAGATCTCACGGACATTAGGTGGGAGAGGAGAAGGTGATTTTTCTGTTTATAAATCAGTCGATCAATTCCTTAAGTAGAACAAAGTTAGGAAAGAGTAAACCTCGTACCTCGATCATGCATCTCCTCGTCGGCTTCAAATTGCCTATTTAGCTCTGCGTCGAGTTCCTCGATCTCTAGATCACCAGTATCCTCGATCTCATCGTCCGGGTCTATGTCATCTTCTGGCATCATGCCAACATCATATTCACTTTGTGCTATGCCTCGCGCATTAGGATCATAGTCGTCATCAGCGTCACCAAACACCTCATCCTCTTCCATATCATCCACCAATTCAGCAGGAGGTGGTGGAGGCTGCGCTAGTCTTCCACGTCCAAAAATGGAGAAAGGATTGGGGATTCCCGAGGGAGGCGCCATTGGAGGCAATTGTTCTGGAGTTATCTCATGGGATTCGGAAGAGGGTATGTGTCGATGAGTTGGGTTGGAAGGGGTGTGTCGAGTTGGCGGGGTTTGGAATTGCGCGCGGAGACTCCCGGGGGCATTAGGCCCTTGCGCCTGGAGATCATGTGGGTTAGGTTGGCGCCGGAGGTGTGGCATAGTGAGAGGTCACAAACCGGGAACTTTTTGTAAGACGCCTTGTTTACGGTAGTAACACGCACTTCGGCTTCCCGCTTATGGTTAGTATGATCACGATAACAGATTGATAAGGAGCACTACAATATCAACTTGGCCCTTTCTCTCATGAGTTTTGATATCATTATTAGAGGTTCAAATTTAATATCTATGAATCAGATGAAAGTGAATAATTATGCTTAAGTTAGGAGTCCGTTACATAGTGGCCTATCATAGTAGGCACTACTAGTACTACTACTAGCCCACAGATATATACTGGACCTAGGTATTAGGTACTAGTAGATTTCTCCTGGCGATTTTTGGTTGCCCTTTCAAGTTCTGGATTAGTGCTCACTGACTCGGACTCGCCGCTTTCCAAGGTTTGCTAACTGAGTAGAACTGAGCACGCCAGCGGCTTGAGTATACAAGTACGTCCAAGCTAAGACAAAGAAGACCATATATCCCCAGACAACGGCGTGTAAGGTCACCTTCACTTCAGCCCAGACCATCGCACAAAGAGGACTCGATCCTCGCGATGCCGATAACTGGGAAACTCAAAGTGAGTTTATACAGCAAGTCCTCCCGGTTAGGAGAAAACGATTACTAAGTATCTTCAACAGGTGTAACAATTGATGAAGACGGTGAAGACCTCGGTGGTTACTATCACGATGCCGAGAAGATAAAACAACACGATGACTCCTGGGAGGAAGTGGAGGACAAAAAAGGCTCATACAGCATCCGTCGTCGTCGTCAGTTCCAACAGCATCAACATGGTCGCCATGCAAACTAAGCATGCATGTGACATTTATGTACATCACGTCAGTGGAATCAATCGGATTGAGATCCCGAGCCAAATAGATCAAACCCTTCTGCCAGTCCGTCTCCTTCTGCCTCTGCTTCTACGTAGCCCGGAGCGAGTTCAATCAACGCGTCCTCCACTTCGTCATCGTCCACCTCTTGCTCCTCTGACTCAGTCAATATAATCTCTAGAAGCGGTTTTTTCATGTCAAGCCTATAAAAGGAGATTTTAAGTTGAATTCATATCACTCGTAGCCATGGATCTAGACTTTTAAACTTACGCTTTATCATGAAAATCAATCCTCTTGTCCATTGGGTTCTGCTCCTGTCCATATGGCTCTAGAAGGATTTACAATCGCTTTCCTGTCCCTATTATGGGTACCCATAAAGAGAAGAAACCCAGGGCACGAATTCGGTAGCCTTGATAAGGCACGCCATTAACGTAGGAAAGAATAAGAAGTACCATGCCGGTATTCAGCGCATAATCATCCACAATTATTGAAGGGGGGTGGTAGGAATCATAGACTGCCTCCCCCACATTATAAAGGCTATGATGCCGAAATCAGCAGTCTCTAGACCCTGGTACCGCTTAATATTATCAAGAGTAAAAATCATTCTCCTTTGGCGTGATTGTAAATGTTTCATTTGCGCCATGACCATACATCCTATTGTAATCATAGAACATCAACTGAATCTTCAACCAAAGTGCCCAGCTGGTTGATGATCTTGGGGTATCTATAGTAAGATACAAATCCCAAGGGACAAGCTTACTATGATAGTAGCAGCCATAATTAGAGATTTCCTATTGAAATAGGTCAAAAAACAGATACCTCCCAACATAATCAGGGACCAATTATTGAAGAACAAAAAGAATAGAAATCTTACCTTCTTTGAAAATCGCTGTTCTAGGTCTAGGGCCTTATTTATATATGACTATTCTATATTAGCCTCTATATCTAGAGATATACACATCGTGATGTGCATGGTTATGCACATGATTTATATATAGGGAATCATAGAACATACATCTCGGAAATCTTGCTGGGCAGTGACCCAGGTTTCAATCAGGGATCGACGTTGTTGAGCCTTGGAGTCATCCGTTTCATCGTCACTCGAGACCCAATTTTCCCGAACAAAGCGATGCCAGCCCTTCACGATCGGAGGGAAATCGTAAGGCTCGATATTAAAGTTCTCTGTTGGAGACTCGATGAAAGAAGGAATGCCACCTGGCCAGAACTTGGCTTCAGTCGTCAAGGTCGGTTTGTTAAGACGACGCTGAAGAATTCCAGGCGTAACCATCGTGGCAGAGGGAGACGGTGATGATGATGATTGATACTTTGATCGTTCTGGGCCGTATTCTGAATGAATGAACAGTCCAATGAATCCCTTTCTTGGCTCAAATTCCAGGTAAATGTACCTAAGTTGAGGTCAGGCAAAGGTAGAGCGGAACCTTGGAATTACCCTTGGACCCCTCGGCAGTGGCCATGTTGAGCTTAGTTTGGAAACTGTATTAGGTACCATTCAATGTTATCTGACACCTGATAAATAAGGCCTGAAACCTGAAGATAAAACACTGCTGAAAGGCTACAGGAGGAGCAGAAGAAGCGAGGCAATCCATGCTTGATCTGAGCTAGAAGAAGAAGAAGTGGCAAGTTTGAGCTCTATATAGAGCTGAAGACAGAAGAAAAGAAGCTGCTAATCCCGACGTTTAACGCTGATCCGGACACTCAAACCGGCAGCGCATTTGGACTCGAACGTATGTCACAGAGGCCCATATTTTAATTGCGTCAATTGATTTTATGATACTCTTAAAAAACTAAATCGATGGTAAATTCTCAGAGGAATTAGATATCATCCGCAGAATATGATTATCACATCTCAATATTGCATGAGCACCGAACTTCTTTTCAAACTTTATCTTTGGAATATTACTACTAGTAGTAGGTAGTAATATGTAGTATTCAAGTTGAAAACTTGAATTTAAATATGTGACTCGGATCTACTGAAGTGATAGTTATCGTCTCATTAATCCAACCATTGAACTTCTCCATCCAAAATACCCTGTAAAACCTTACATCCGTGTAAGAGACAACTTCTGGCATGATCCACCGGCAACACTGGCCTCGAAGTTGTGAGTCGGGACAGCCTGCGCTTTGCCGTTGAGCCTGTACGAATCCACAACAAATGGCAAGCTAACCAAGCCACTGGTACCATGAGGTGCACAGACCCGTAAAACAATGTCGTTCTGGGTAAGATTCCAAGAGGCCGTAATAGTACCCTGAGGAGTGGAAACACGGCCGCGAGCCCAAGTAACATCGATATCAAGGATAGCAGGGCGGAAGGTCCACTGCTTGTATCCAACAGAGGCTGGTTGAACACCGAGAACATAGTCCGACAGAACATAAGTAGGCGAACTAGCCCAGGGGTGGGCGAGGGAAGTATAGAGGCCCAGACCAGGGCTACCCGCAGCATCAACATACTCCCAGGAACCTCCAGTGTAGGTTTCAGCGTCGGTTATCATGGATCCCCACGTTTGATCGAGAAGAACATTGATAGCATTTCGTGTGATGTTGGAGGGAGAAGAGCTTGACTGACTATTCCTCAAGAGACTCTCGAGTAGGAAGCCGGAAAGGAATGTCGAAATTTGAGTACTGGACGAGCTTGCGACGGAGGTAGAGTCCTTGTATCCAACACCGGTACGAAGCGAAGAGAGTGCCTCTATTGCCGACTTAGCACGAGTCTCACTCGCGACGCCTGCAAGGATCGCCCATGCTGTTCCCGCAATGGATGTCTCATTGGGAGTGGTCAGAGCGGATGCATATGTTCCAAGATTTTCATTCCAGAGATGAAGGTTAATGGCCTTTGAAATTGACAAAGCAGTAGAGTTCCAGGTGGATGCGGCTGTAGTGTCCTTCATAATCCCCGCGATCTTCGCCATCTTCTGGAGTGTATAGACAAGAGCAGCAGATGGGGCTGTTCCGTTACTGGCACCCATGAAGAAAATGCCTCCGACGGGCACCGCAAGCCCGGAAGACTTGTCTACAAGAGGAAGAGCAACCTCCACGCCCTCCTTAATCTGTCCCCAGTATTTTTCCAAGAATGTGTTGTTTCCAGATTTGAAGTAGTAATCAGCGAATGCATCCAGGAAAAGGAACTGATAGTCAAGGAGACCAAAAGAGTCGTATGTGTTGGTGTATTTGGCTGCTGCGCCCATAGCAGGGGCCATACTGAACCACCCTGCGTTGGATCCAGAAGATGCTTGGCGGGCCATGATGTACTCCAAGGTTCCAGTGACAAAATCATCTCGACCAGTACTAGCCGCAATGACACGCTGCGTGTGAGCAAAGTCGCCAGTCCAAACCAAACGGTCACGCTTAGCTCCGTCAAGACAAAGATTGTGAGTATTGGACATAACACCATATTCCTCCAGGACAGATTCAGATGTCATGGCGTTGTGATATAGGCGAGTGCCATTATTCGAGTAGACGTTGACATTTTTCACGTATGCAACTTGGTCTTGATACGGTCCGAAGCCCCAAGTACCTTCCGAGAGACTGCCAGACGGCGCAGTAACAATCTGAAGACTGGCCACCGGCACGAAGATAGTTGTTCCGTTGATAGTGACACCATATCCAGTTGCATTAACAACCGTAGAGACTTTGTACCACTCGTCTTCCTTGACAGGGAAGGGAACGGGGAAATAATCCACTTTTCCAGTCAGTAAGGTAGTCTGGTTGACCAAGTTCCAGCCGTATCCAGCAGCTAGTGTATTAGCAGGCACGAGGGTGCGGTTGGTGTTGACAAAAGTAGAAGCAACAGGATACTCGCTTGTAAGAACGAAGTAAGCTCCTAGACCGCTGATTTCGGCGGCGACCTTCCAACCGGTACCACCTCGAACAATTTTGGTAGTGAACTCCATGGTATAGTTGGCAAAGTTTCCACCCAAGACTGACACTGCTGGCTGTTGTCCACGAAGGAGAACACCATCTGCAGTAACGTCCCAGGTTGAAGTTGCTGTTCCCGCCTCAATGCAGGCCTGCTGCACTGTGCGCGGTCCGAGGGCCCAGATATCATTGTACAGTTTCTTCGAGCATTCAAAGTATCCTGGGAGGCTTTTGACAGGTGTACGGTCGTTTCCAGACTTGATACCGACACCGCAAATCTCAAGGGTACCTTGGGTAAGCAGTCGCAGGCTTTGCCAGCGCAGTCCACCCTGAATAAAGTAAGACTGAACGGAGCCCGGTTTAGTCACATTAAAGGTCTCTACACGGAAGGTTCCAGCAAGCCCATTTGAAAAGGTCCATGGTCCATCGGAAAATGGCTCAGCTAAGCCAATCTTGGGTTCGGTGTACTTGGCTTCCACTTGAACATTTCCCGATTTGGACTGGACATGGAAGAAAGGAAAACCGCCGACTTCTGTGCCATAATCCAACGTAGCAAGAGTGTCGGATGGAGTCAAAGTGATGCAAGAGGACTCATTATACTCCTGGAAGCCAGACGAGAGCTGGAAGGTTTCAGGATAGACATCCAAGGTTCTGTAAAGATACTCATGTCATTAATTGAGACTTTTGCATAAGAATAGCCGGATATTGGCATAATTGACCTACCTGGCTGTCACTGCAGCTGCTAGCAGCGCTTGCGTCAAAAACGCAACCAGCGTGGTGGATAACATAGTATCCTTTCAAGGTTGGTTAAGGTCAAAAAGTAAAATGGAAAAAGAGAGAAGGTCCGAAACAATTGATGCATGCTTGGAGATCAAGTTCATTTTAATGGCCAAAATTACCGGCCAAGTCTCAAGCCAGACATAGATGTGTGATTTAGCTTCCTCGTTTGAGCTCGTGCGGGGAGGTCGGGGTAAAACCAAGCGAGCCTCCTCGGCTCGTCCTCGATTTTGGGAAAAGATCGACTTCCATATGTCTTTTCAAAACATCATCGGGTCATATGTCCCCTTCAAATGTTCATCTAAATTAAAAGGAGCCCCGAGATCTCAAGAAGAATAAAATCTTGGCCCTCGAGGGTCTGGTAGCAGTGGTAGGGATTGGCTAGAAATGCATGAATTGCTCATTGTTCGGGAAGTGGAGAGATAAATCTTTCTTCTTATGTAGTACTCCAGGCTGCCCAGAACATCATGATGGCATCTGGATACTCAACCTTGGAAGTGCTATATCCATATCTATCATTTGACTTTGGTTGGCGTTTTTGAGTACAGCCAACTGGTTCAATGACCTGCCTAACTATTTGTTTCAGCACAGCATTTGAATGAGTGCCCCCCAATGCTGAATTATTAAGTAGCCTAGGTGTGCGGCCTATCGATTTCTTTGGAATAAACCCTAGCAGCACTTGAGTAGTAGTCTTTACAACATTTTTGAATAACCTTTGAGTGTGATGATACATTGATAGTACTACCTAGGTAGTGATTAAGGATTTGAACTCGAACTACTTCCAAGGTTGCATTTCAAAAATAGAAACATCAATTGATCATGCCAGTGATAAGTTCAATTAACATTCAAGTAGACAAGTATAATCTTCAAAAGGTATTCAGAGATGATGAAGGCAGAAATCAAGATTTTTACCTACAAAGTAGTCAGTTCATTCAAACATTGAATTTATGAGAGTGTAATGACGGCTCCTTCAAGTTGAGTCATGTCTGGAATTTTAGGCATCCATTTATGTAGCACTTGTGTGCACTAAAGTGCCAGTAGAACATTTGAAGTGAATATCTTGATCATAAAAAACCGAATTATCTCCTTGCAGATTGGTCCGTAGCATGTCTTATCACTTTTTTCTATTCTAACATATGTAGCTTCCAATATTCCAATGTGCCTTCTCTCTAGTCTGTCCTTAACTTGATATATTAGTAGTGATAGTACCTAACAACGTGAATTCGATGTTTTTGAACATAAACCGGAATAGTAGTCTCTTAAGGTCATGACTCGGAGCCGGTGGCTGCACGTGGATGAAACTATACAAAAAGTGACCATTTTTGGACAATCGACTCGATGATCGTGTGACAGGTAGACCCTTGTCTCTATTAGCCAAGATCAAGGTTCTCATACCACATACTCAATGCATTACTATCAAAATCCAAGGCTGGTAGGATTTTCTCATATGTCCTAAAATGGAAAATCAGACGGTGTACCATAATATTCGCCGCATTTTTCCGCGAGCTAAAATGTCACCAGATTCATCCATGTGCACTAGGGCATGCATGCTAGACGCCTGGTAGAATCTTCCAAGCTTCTGTGATATCATATGCGTAACTTTTGTCAGTATGCATGTTTCAAATGCCTAATCTGGTTTTGATAACCGTTTTGATATTCCGAAAATACTATGCCGCCTAAGGCTTGTCCTACCCTGTCAGTATCAACGAAGGCTTTTCATGATGTGAAATGTAAACTAGGGATAGAATCCTTGCTCAGTTGAGATCTTCTCCAGATAAATTGAGCCAATGAAGTTCCAAGTTTGATCTGAGGTAGTGTAAGCTACCCGATTCGTATGTTATGCAGTAGATCTAGGTGTACGACACCTAAAAGGGTAATGCAAGAGGCAACATCCACCTGGGCAACTAAGCATAAGGACAATATTGGTATTTTAAAAGGGAAAAAGCTATGGACAGAATTCCATAAACAATGAGTTTAAAGTTTATGATAAAATTCAAAGTCACACTATACTCCTCGTTCCATAGCAATGCTAGTGGCTATTAACGGGAATTTGCATCTCAAAAAAGTCTATAAAGATGGGGCTGTAACGCACAAGCATCTCACTAGAATCTAACAAGTGATTGAATCAAAATCCACATAGTACCAACAATTCAACAATTCACTTGTATCAATCTTATTATCGGCTCAGCTCTCCGCAGGAACCGAAACATTCATAGATCCGATCCACAAATCCAGTTGTTCTCAACCAAAATGCATCTCGCAGAGGTAACTCCTCCTACATCTAAATTTGGTTCTTATTGGAAGGATTTGGGACTAATCTTGTTGGAAAATCACAGTACCTGTTCCGCCGTCTGTACCAAATTGATATCAGAGCCGTGTTTGGCATTCCAGGAGATTTCAACCTCAAGGCCCTTGACTACATAGACGACTGCGGTCTGAACTGGATTGGCAACGTAAATGAACTCAATGCTGGTAAGTTGATGCTCAGATATCTCTGATGGATACATCTGATATCTTCAAGGTTATGCTGCCGATGGATATGCTCGGATCAAAGGAATTTCAGCAATCGTCACCACATTTGGAGTTGGCGAACTTTCTGCCATTAACGCCATTGCTGGTGCCTGCGCTGAGCTTGTTCCCATAATCCATATTGTTGGATTCCCATCTGCCCTTGCTCGAGAGAACAAGCTACCCATACACCATTCGCTCGCAGATGGTGATTTCGACTTATTCATGAAGATGAGCGAACGGATTTCTAGCGCGACTATTCTTTTGGATGACCCGTTAGAGGCAACCAAGCTGATTGATGATACAATCATTCAGTGCTATCGTTCCAGCAAGCCGGTCTATATCGGATTCCCAATGGATATGGTGCAAGTGGACATTGATTCATCTCCCCTTGAACACCCGTTACTGTTGCGACTCGCGACATCTGAATTCACGAATGCAGAAGAAACAGCCGTGAAAACAATTCAGAATCGCGTGTCTCAAGCACAGAATCCAATAATCATCGTCGATAGTCTGGCTAGTCGATACCAAAACCTTGAAGCCAGCCGAGCTTTTGTTGAGAATTCAAGTCTCCCTTGCTTCTGTTACCCAATGGCCAAAGGAATTATCAATGAAAGTATACCTAACTTCCGAGGCGTGTATTGTGGCGATGTTTGCAGAAAAGAAGTCCAGGAACAAGTGAAATCTAGTGACCTAATTCTTCTGCTTGGACATCGCCCAACCGATCTGAATAACGGAGGTTTTCAGGATGATTTGCCAGACGTGGAAAAAATTGTTTTCCAGCAAGATAGTGTGCATATAGGAGAAACTGTCCATAACAATCTTCACTTGGAGAATGTTCTCGGAAAGTTGTCTGACATTATTTCCGAATCACCTTCAAATTCATCGCCGTCTTCTACACCCAGTGGAATATCATCTCCGCCAAGCTCAGTTGCCAGTGGTGAAGAAACCCTGAGCTTCTCCTTGAAGGAATCTGTTCAAACGATGAGAGATAGCACAATCGATCCGACCTCTGCAGTAACACACGATTGGCTGTGGAAGCGCGTCGGTTCATGGCTAGAAGAGAATGACATCCTCGCAATGGATGTTGGAACATCATCTTTTGGCGGCCTCTGGTGTCGCTACCCACGTGGTGTTCAACCTATCTTCCAGCTTCTCTGGTGCTCAATCGGATTCGCCATGGGCGCAACAGTGGGTGCTGCCATAGCAGCGCGGGAACAAGAGCAAGCATCTGAAAACTCACTCCGGCGACGAACGATCCTTTTCACCGGAGACGGAAGCCTCCAGATGACAGCGCAGGAGATAAGCACACTCGTTCGCCAAGAGCTGAGTCCGATCATTTTTGTGATTTGTAACGATGGATACACGATTGAGCGCTACATTCATGGCTGGGATAAGAGTTATAATGACATCCAGCCTTGGAATTATCGGCTTCTTCCCACTGTTTTCAATGCGAAGCCTGGTACAATGAGAACATACAGTGTTCGCACGAAGGGCGAGCTAGAAACACTGCTGGCAGATGATCAGTTTGGCTCGGCAGAGAGCTTTGGTGAAGATAATCCTGAGCCATTGCGTCTTGTGGAGATCCATATGGACAAGCATGACGCGCCCCAAACCATTCCGGATACGATTGCTGGCATTAATGGAAAGAAGTGAAAAAATTCCTCGATGATTGTTATTGTGATTTGAACATTTGAAATGCTTGTTTTGCGCAAATGTTTCTTCAAGTTGATGACCTGCTTGTTGTTCTTTTGTTAGTTCCAGATTCTTTAGATTATATTGCGTGACGAATCTGCTAGTATTTCGGGTATATGTACTTGACTGCCTTGAGAATGTCCGACAAGAAGGCACGGATAGATATTTTGCACCTAGAATGAATAGTGAACTTTTGTGTCAATTTCAAATGTTGGTCCAAATTGCGGCCAACTTGTTCGTTCTGCTTTAAGTAGCATTAAAAACATCCCACATTAAAGAATCAAAATCTGGAACACCAGCAATATCCATGAACCCAGAAGACATCGAGTCATTCAACCAACTTGACGTGTCCAGACCCAAATCATAATCAAATGTGTTCATGGTGGATGTAATATCTACACCAGAGCCAACTGGATCAAGTATCTCTGTAGTACTTGTGGGTTGGTTCCGTGTACTTCTCATAGTAGACGTCGCAACAAGACTGGGCTCCGTCCTCCCTCTGCGTGAGGATGTATCAAGTCCACGGCTCTTGATCAAGCGTTGCACAGTGACGCCTGATATCTCATGAATGCAATCCCTTACTCTTTTTGCCTCCGTCCAGTACTCGCCAATGCTGCTGAGAATATTCAAACTGATGCCTGTATCAGCCACCAAATCATCAATCTGAATGGCAGAGGCTATTTGTGGAAGCCTCCATAGGCAGTGTAGCATTATGAGAGTTCCGAGAAATATTGAGTGAACGACGAGGCGACTGTATCTAAGGTCGTTTTGCTTGTAGAGCTCGCCAAACCCTCGGAGTAGATCAACGGCGTGATTGTAACAACGGGAAAATACTTCTTCAGAGGGGTCGGGTATACCTGGGCTAGGCCGCAAAAGAAGAATCATCATCTCGTGATACCTTATCTCGCAAATTTTACGGATCGATGTCATTTGGTGTAGTTGAGGGATATCCGAGTACCATGCCTGAAGTTGATCCATCATGTCTCTTTGCCATCCATGAATATCAGTCACTGGTGGGTAGGCATATCTGGGAGCTTCTCTGCAGATACTGTGCATGACATATTTGATTTCTGAATTGATTCGAGCCAATTTGAAAAGATGGATGGAGAAGGTCATGGGTGACACGGGGCTCTCATGGAGATTCCGCTCGGGTGCTGACTCGGTACTAAGATCTTGATCGGCGACATCTGATGGGAACTGAATGAGAGTTAGTTCAAAGTAAATCGGCAAAATTTCGAGGATCTACCTCACTCTAAGTTCACATGCTTCATCCCGAACCCCGATCGGCCTCCCCATCATGGTACCCAGTGTCCGATCAAAATTGTACACGACCCAGAAAATCCGGGTTCTCATTTCTTGTTGCAAGAAAGATATTGAAAAAGTCGATGACGACCGAACATCGCGTTGAAGACCCAGGTCAATTAAAGCACCAAGACACTGGTAATTGAGGCTCCATATGTTCACTCCACATGATGGGTTGTGCAAGGCGTAGACCATGAGGAGGAGTGAACTTTGGAGTCCCTCAAGAGACCCTTCAACGCAGGCATCTTTGAAGAATTCTGTAGCAGCTGTGTAGTAGCCTTCGGCAGGAAGTCGAATTCGATAACGCCGGGAGAGATCGGATGCAGAAATAGCTAAAACCATATAGACGTGGAAGGCTGTAAGCGGATCAGGAGGACTATTGGCGATGGAATACATCTTCTCGACGCGCTGCATATGTGTTTGCCTATGTAGAAATGGGTAGAGAATATGAATGTATGAGAAGTACTTCGAGGAGAGCTCGATCGCATCTTCTTTGCGGCCCGGGAGGGTGGTAGGGCTGTTGAAGAGCTCATTAGACAAAGATATGGATCCATGTCCAATATCCTGGGCGCCCGGTGGCTTGCTTCGCCGACCAGCACTAGAAAAGACAAGATTTGCGAGGAAGTAGCCACTGGATGGGCCTATGTATCGTGGTTCCCCGCCAGGGAACAATGAGACAAGCCCAATCTCGTGCGCTTGTCGTGGTTGTGTGCGAGAGGGCTGGGGGTCCACAGTCTCACTCAAAGGTTGTGCATGTTGATCTGCAGTAGATGAGGATTCGATCCGATCTTCGTCAAAGGTCTCCGTTGCCTGGGAATCAGGTCCATCTTCTAGTCGTACGTTGGTATGTTCTTTTACCAGTGACTCAAGCCACTGGACGCGCTTCTGCAGATTTGCGATATACCTAATAATATGTTAGTATGGATTGAAGCGAGTCTATCACTGGCATTTGCGAGAGACTTGCGTGCGGTTGACCTCTTGCTTTCCATCATTGACACAAGCCACATTTGCCTTCTTGCATGCCGAACACTGAGGAAGCTCGCCATTGCATCGAATCTTGCGTCTCTGGCAACGCCTGCATGCGGCACGGTTCCGACTCCGACGCGGGGAATCCATATCAGCTCCTGTGCCGTTCGATTCTAGAATATTCGGTGCAGAGTAATAGTAGTGTGTGTTAGATCTCTTCAAGGAACTTGCCGGATGGCTTCCGTTCTGTGCGGGAGTCATCCGAGCGATGACTAAACGACTTGATCATCCATCCATAATGCGTAGCTGTATCTTGATTTGTTATACAGTCGACTCCTTTTTAGAATTATTCTTCATCACATGGAATAGTGAGAGCTTTGAATTTTTTTCCTATTTTGCAGAGTATATTTGGATGCAACAGTCAGTAATAGTCAGTATCATGCAATGTCGGATAGACTGGGCGGAACATACCCGTGACATCATAGCATTACCTAGTGCCGACACTGTCTAGTATTTCAATAATAACATTTGAATCGAGAGTCCCTCTATCTACTAGTTAGTTGCAAATTTCTTGGTCCAAAAAATGATTTCTATAACCTGCACTTTATTGTCTCAATAAAACTTTGAAAAAAATGACAATCGTTCATATCGGTGAGTCTGTCTATCTTTCCTCAAGGAAGTCAACTAATGAAAGATAGTTCTTTTCAAGTTCAGGGCCGACACATCGGAGGAAATCAGAAACAAATTTGTGACTGAAATAAAGAGCCTAAAAACTTTGGATTGCGTGAAGACTGAAAGACGTGTTGTTGGAGGGCCCTCGATCACTGTCCCTGCAGAGAAAAGTAAAGGCTTTCAGTATGCTCTAGTAAGCTACCATGAAGTCGTGCGGCGCTAGATGCATATCAAGCAAGCAGTGAGCATGAAAGGTATGTCCATTCCAAGTCACAAATGCTGAATTATGGCTGCTAATGTGAAGAAAAAAAAATTACGAGTACATATTTCATTCCATACAGAGAAGATTTAGTTCGATTCGACTTTGAGGTGGAGCAAGATGATGAGCCACTGCTTGGATTTTGAGGGAGTACTGAGAATCGATTTCATTTGTAGACTTTGTGACCAATTTAGAAAGAAATGAATACCCAATCAAGAAAAAAGCAAGCGATAAACGACTGAATCAATTCTCATTCTGAATCATCGTTCGAGTCATCATCGGAATCATCGTCGTCATCCGAATCAACTTCCGTAAACTGGACCTCAACAGACGCAGTATATTTTATATCCTCTGGTTCTGTATCAATGGCCTCATGTCGATGATTATTTCCCAAATTCAGGTTGCCAGATCGATATGATTGAGCTGAGAGACCACCCTCGGGCACAGAGGGTTGATTAGGTGGATAAAGGCGCCTCGAACCAGAATCATGGATTTTAGTTGGGAAAACCTTCCGCCCAACGACTTCAGCAAAATCGGTCGCTTTCAAGATCGCATCACGCATAGCCATCTTGCGGGTCAAAGTGGCTAAAGCTTTGTCAGACTCCTCGGTCAACTGCCACTCTATTGAGTGGATCTCAACACGGGGATATGCCTTGATAATTTCCACAACCTCACTCAGTAGGTCGAACCTGTGGAAACAGACTTTGTATGACAATCTTGCGTAAAATAAATTTCTCCTTCTCTGTGAATCTTGACGATGGTGGTTATCGAGCCAGGTGCAAAGATGAGTGGACGAGAAAGATGCTATCGCGTCAGGGATGTCCCGGGACAGTTGGTCAAAAAAATGGTGAAGGTTGTCTGAAGCGGCTGCAACTTGACTTGTCACGTTCTTTTCGAAAGGTCCTTGAGACTTCACATACACTCTCATGACGGCTAGGTCTGGTTGGCGAGAGTGTGTAGAAGTTCCAGAAACCTCGATGGTCAAAGGAGTCATTTTGGTTGCTGATTCGGTATCAGAATGGAGATGAAGAAGTTTTCTGCTCTTTCGAACTTCTTTGAGGGTGGGGGTGTCTTATATGGTGTCTTCTTAGGCAAGTCAAAGGTGTGTGAGGAACTGGAGTGAGGATGAAAAGCGTGTTCTGTGTGGTGTGTGAGGGAGAAGTTGATTACTGAGAGGACTAGGTGGTCTACACCCACCTGGTCTCAGCAAAAAGTCAAGCGAGAAAGTAAGGCGATGGAACCATACCAACTAGATCTCTTCAAGCCGAGTTGGCGTAGATGGTGATAAGATATCTCAATTATAAGTACACCAGAACAGGGTGCCTCCTGTAGAATAAAAAGCATTTAAAACTCCTTCAAGTTCATGTCACGGTCACGGTGTCGCTACATACCGACTTGTCTACTACATAATCATACTATGCAAGCACTCACATGTGCATACCCACTGCCAGTGGCAGCTGGACTGTTAGTTCCCAAGGTTCATCTTTAGGTGAATGGTTACTTACATGGTTATCTACAGCCTAGGCTACAGGAGTATCTACATAGATGATAGAAAGAGAGATACCCAAAGGAGCAGGATAACTGCGATATAATCTTGGATATCTCAGGCTGGAAGTTGCACATTTGGATAAGGAAGACAATAAAAATCATCGGCTAACTATAAACATGAAGAGGTTAACTGGAATAATGCTTTGTCGTCCAAAGACCTCCACGAGTAGTAGAAGGTCTACATAGTAAACGGATATACTATTTCGACGGATTTCCTATTCAAGCATATCCTCCAGTGTTTCAAATAGAGGCCTGACTGAGCACGGCGGGATAAGCCCCCTCATAAGGGACAGCACGGTTCTCCTTAAACCAAAGCTGTTCTGCCTCGCTCTTGTGCGGAGGTGGAATTAGGCTATTGATCTTCCAAAGTCTCCGCTCAGTCTCATCAACGTGATATTCAAAATCGTATCCCTTATCTGCGACATACGGCTTTATGATCTTGTCAATGCGGGAAGTAGTGCGAAGGTACATTGCGTCGACATCAGGAATACGAAGGGCAATGTGGGTAATCACAATCCGGATAAAAGGTGTCTCGCCAGATTCATTGGTTTTTCCGCCAACAAAAACGTTCTCGTCATCCATTTTGTAGAAGTGGGTGACCACATAAAAGGAGGGTAGGCCTATGTCGGTGTACATCTTCGTAATATCCTGGGCGAATGCATGCTTTGTAGCATTGTCCTCGAACGTGCCGGTCGGGTGATAAATCTGCCAGAGAGGCATGATGGGTATGATAGAGTTATAGTTTAAGAATGAGGGTTGAGAGGTTTGGAAAGTTCAAATGTTGACTTCCACTGGCAGGATTGGCTCAGGCTAAAGAACTTGAAGTTGGAACTTGAAGTTTTTGGGATTTCTCATTTGCATGGGAGACTACGAGGCTATATAGATGAGGCTTTGATCAAAACTTCAACTTGAAGTTGACATCTGGACGCCTTCCAAGCCTGAGATTGATCAGAGATATCTGATATCGGCATAATGAATAATCATAATAAATAATCCTCATTAAGGATGAGAAATGATCGGAGATGATTATATTGATGATTTTAGGAGTTTTCTAGTCTTCGTGTTCTCGTATAGTCAAGAATATAATGATTATTCAACAAAGCGGTGTGGAATTTGACCAATATCCCACGTTTGGCGCTGATGAATTTTTGATTATTCAACATATTCAAGACGTCTAATCATCAGTCTGACGAATTATCAATTCAAGTTCAAAACATTTGAATGTTCATACTATCAATTCGATGGATATTATAGACGGGACTGCATATATAAAGGATGAAAAGTAGACCAAGATGAATCATAAATCACACAAATATTCAACCTATTGCTACTACCTAGTATCACCTTGAGAAATTCGCTTCAGTTTTCTATCGGCCAGCATGTCTAAATCTCTTGTTTTCATCACTGGAGCCACAGGCTTCATTGGCTCCCATGTTGTGGCCTCCACGCTTCAGGCTGGCTACCGTGTGCGACTCAGTATCCGGAAGGCTGAACAGGAGTCGCTTGTTCGAAGTCGGTATCCCGAGTTCAGCAACAACATCGAAGTAGTTGTGCTCCCTGATCTCTCCAAGCCAGAGGCATTTAGCGAGAATCTTCATGGTGTGGACTACGTCTTCCACCTCGCCTCTCCAATGCCTGGGCGCGGCAATGATATCCACCGCGACTATGTCGATCCCGCTGTTAATGCAACTCTCGCGATTTTGAATGCCGCCCAGGCATTCAAACAGATCAAGAAAGTCGTCATAGTTTCATCAGTGCTGGCCCTGGCCCCGGCAAATGCTGTCATTTCTCAGAGTGTCTCTGTGAAAGGTATTTAACCCCCCCAATATCTACTAGTATTTATGCAGTATTCAATTGGAATAAGCTACTAATTCATGACATATAGATAACACTGGAGAGCCCAACCCTGTTGACCTTGATGCGACCTTCCCAGAGGGCTTTAGTGGCCACGCGCTCAAGTATTCTGCTTCCAAGATCAAGGCCCACGAAGCCACCCGGGACTTCCTCGTCAACAATACTCCTCACTATAACCTGATAACTTTCCATCCAGTCTTTGTGTTGGGTGATAGCCTGATTCAACAGAGTGCGGAAGATCTCGGCGGTATGAACGGCATCTTTTGGATGTCTCTGTTTTCTGAGAAGCCTCAGCTTGCGAATGCCTGGGTACATGTGCGTGACGTCGCGGACGCTCATGTGAAGGCATTGGAGATTGATATTGAAACTGGCAAGGAGTTTATTCTGTCTCGTCCGGTGGTCTCGTGGGACGAAGCTGTGTCTTATGTGAAGGAGAAGTATCCCGCTCTTGGATGCAAGCTGCAAGGCCCCTTCCAGGGAGGTTGGACTGTCGATACCACCGCAGCGGATCAGACATTTGGTCCGAAGTGGCGCTCGGAGTCTACTATCATTGATGATATTGTCAACCAGCAGCTGGGTTTCCGGGCTAAGGCGTCGTCTATTTAGTTCAAATGTTTGTTGAAGTAGTATACACTTATTAGAGTACCTCACTACATAATAGTTATAATGCAAATTCAAGTTCATTGTACATTGATCATACATTCTATAATACCGAACAGAATAGCCTTCGCTTTAACTTCCCATAAAATAATAATTTGAAGAAGAACAGTGTCTACATGTGTGGTTGTACATAGCCTAGGTAAAATAAGCCCCACTTAGTCCCCGCGGATCTCCAGGTCCGCCGATAACCGAGGCTTACACTGTTTCCCTTGTGATTTAACAACGATGATCCATTCACAACTTTTCCCCTCAACAACCCTCTACTAGTAAATAGTAGATACTCGCAATGGCCTCTCTTTCCCGCACTCTGCGATCACTGTCACGAAATGTCCCCTCGGCCCGCCTATCAACCAAGCGTGTAGCTTCTTACCGCCCCGTTCAAAGGTATCCCGAACCCGCTCCAACTCCCCTTCATATGCTAACATCCATCCTACCTCTACTTAGTGCCTACGCCTTTTCAACCACACAGCGCCGAAAGGATGCCGACATCTCCGACCTTACCCCCACCCCGATCAGCCATCTATCCGAAATCGAAACCATGATGGCCGATTCGGTCTCCAAGTTCGCCCAGGAGCAGATCGGCCCGAAAGTGCGCGACATGGATGAAGCCGAGACTATGGACCCAACCTTAGTGGAACAGCTCTTCGAGCAGGGAATTATGGGTATTGAGATTCCCGAGGAGTACGGTGGTGCTGGAATGAACTTTACCGCTGCCATCGTCGCGATCGAGGAACTCGCCCGCGTGGACCCCAGTGTTAGTGTTATGGTTGATGTGCACAATACCCTTGTCAACACCGCGATCATGCGGTATGGTGATGCCCGATCTCATCGTACTTGGCTACCCAAGCTGAGTACCGGGACTGTTGGCTCATTCTGTCTTTCCGAGCCTGTCTCCGGCTCGGATGCGTTTGCATTGCAGACAAAGGCGGAGAAGACGGCGGACGGGTATAAGATTAATGGGTCGAAGATGTGGATTACCAATGCTATGGAGTCTGGTATTTTCATTGTCTTCGCCAATCTTAATCCTAGCCAAGGCTATAAGGGTATCACCGCTTTCATTGTTGAGAAGGGCACCCCCGGTTTCTCGATTGCCAAGAAAGAGAAGAAGCTCGGTATCCGCGCTAGCAGTACTTGCGTGCTGAACTTTGATGATGTTCTGATTCCCAAGAGCAACCTTCTCGGTGAAGAAGGTCAAGGATATAAGTATGCCATTAACATTTTGAATGAGGGTCGTATTGGTATTGCTGCCCAGATGACAGGTCTGGCGCTTGGTGCCTGGGAGAACGCTGCGAAGTAAGTGTGAAACACGCACTGGAAATCATGTTTCAATTATCTAATAAAACTTGACAGGTATGTCTGGAACGACCGCAAGCAGTTTGGTCAGTTGATTGGTAACTTCCAGGGCATGCAGCACCAGATTGCGCAAGCATACACTGAGATCGCTGCCGCCCGCGCCCTTGTTTACAACGCAGCTCGCAAGAAGGAGGCCGGCCAGGAATTCGTTCAAGATGCCGCCATGGCCAAGCTGTATGCCTCACAGGTCGCCGGTCGCGTTGCAGGCTCTGCGGTTGAGTGGATGGGTGGTATGGGATTCGTCCGTGAGGGAATTGCGGAGAAGATGTTCCGTGATAGCAAGATCGGTGCTATCTATGAGGGTACCAGTAACATCCAGCTTACAACTATCGCCAAGCTGCTGCAGAAGCAGTACACCAACTAGCTCTGAGCGGGCGCTTGCTTTTGAGGCTCTCGTTATTTTTCAGCGATAAATTCCAATAACCACCGTGCAGCGGTGATATGCTTTTGAGACTCTGAAGTGTAATTTGCGGATTAGGAGTACATGCATCGAGATTTCTATGATCTGTTCAATATCACATCGTTCTAGAATTGATTTGTATTTTTATTCATTATTTGCATATTGGACATCCCAATTATTGATACCATGTATGATTCAACGTTGGAAGTTTCGATTGTTTGTGGATGGGGCGCAGATCTCAACCTTGGAACTTGGCGATGACCTGTCAGAGCGTGCCGCTTGTATTTTCCAGCGCGTTGTGCATTGTCGGACGTCAGCAACTTCACTGGCAGTTCATCGCGACTTGCTGTCAAGTTTGGACACATGGTATGGGCACTAAAGAGCAAAACAAAAATATCAGCTGCGGAAATTTGGTTTTGTCTAATGAGGAGCTTAAACTCACCTGATGCGCAGTCACTTTAAATGAATTATCGGTGTTGATGGAGAGCATTCGAATCCTGTTGAACATTCTCGGTACTTCATTCTTTGAGACAGTCATTACTGCGGAACCCACGAAGGATATGAATATTCTGAATCCTTTTGTGTACTTTGCAGCAAGGAATCCTGGAATGAGGGCCCTGACTGTGCAGTTGAGGCCAAGGGTGTCATGGACATAGGTATAGATCGGTGAGTTGAGGCTTGAGAGAACGCAGTCTCAGATGATTGTGAATTTAAAGTGCTTATTGAATTCCCCAAGTTTATTTGAGGCCCTCCAACAGGGAGAGAAGATGGCACCAGTCGAGATTTCTGGCTCATCTGCCCATCTAACCCAAATGGATCCATTCGAGCTGAAAAATCAGGATCGGATGAATCCGCCAATGATGGCGATCGAGTATTATTGTATGATTGCCAATCCTGTACATGAGGCGAGCGATTCGGTGCGGATGCTGAGACAACAGACGGCGCTCGCGAAGGATGAGACGATCCAGAGAAGTGCGGAGAGAGCATTGTATTAGTTGATGGAACGCTGGATGCTGTATTTCCTGATCGTTCCTCCACCGACCACCCGCCGCTAAAAGCGCCAGTCTGCTCACCAGTGGCCGCGAAGACAGGTCGGCCCATCAGCGTCGTCATCTGTTGTTTTAATCGACTAACTTCGTCTTCCAGCGCGGCGTTATGTTGCAAAAGTTCTCCAAATCGATCGACTCGCGGCTGCATCTCAGCTAGTTGATTCTGAAGCATGGCGACCTGACTTTCAAGCTGCTCAATGTGCTCCTTCGTCCTTTGTCGGATGGTGCGTTGTGCTTCTCGGTCATTGGCGCGTTTTCGTTCCAGCTGCTCGGCAGATAGAGAAGAAACCCTTCTTGCCCCAGGGCGAGGGTCCCGCTTCTTCACCGAGCCTCCTCCTTCTTTGCTGCTGGTGCTCATAGTCTGTCGTGTCCTTGGTTTCTCAAAACTCGACCCAAGACTTTGCAGAAGAATCCGATCTGTCGTCCAGTGATTCAACTTAAAGAAAGGGTTTTCTGTGACCGTGAATCCCGCACTGGTCACTGGAGGTAGAGAACTCAGCATGAAAGGCACTCAACTTTTTTTCAGGTATATTTTATCGTCTGAGATCAAGTTGACTCCCTTAGATCCGCCCCAAGCTCTCTTATATCTGAATCACGCTAGATAGGGACAGGGCACAAAAAGCAAAATCAAATAGATTCGGTTCGACGAAGCCGAGGAGGTGAAATGGGTCTTTGGAGCCCAACTGATAAATGGCCTGCTGAGTTATCGGGGGTGTGAGGCGAAAGTGCTCCGTATGGGGTATAATATTCATGCAGGGAATCCAGCGACTTAAATAAGATTCCCTGTCACTTGGCAGGTCATTACGTGCCTTTCTCCGGATCGTCGCTAGAACTTGAATAAAAGCCAAGCCCCAAAGGGATAATTACCATGCGGCGCACCAAATGGCTTGAACCAGGCTCTAAGGATAGCCAATAAAAAAGGATTGGCGCATGAACGGTGTGGATACTAGAAGCTATGGGCATCGCGCTTTTTTTTATTCCATTTTTTGGTCCTTTACCCCCTCAGTCGAGGCGCCGGCCCCGTTGGATCCAAGGCCCGCTTTATGACCAAGTGGGTGTTTCGAAAACACGAGCACCAAGTTAAAATACTATTCAAAGCCTCCGTTCGACGGTGGAGATTTACCAAAGTACTATCCATGCATCAGTATTCGGTTACTCCGTTACATAGCGGACTCATTAGCTGCATGATGGAGTATTGGGGCCAGAACGGAAGAACGATTTACAAGTCACTTGGAACCGCGAGGCTGTATACATTAGCCGAATGTGTCTCCACTCAAAATCTATGCATTTCCACATTTCAAAAGTTATTTCTCCATAGAAAGAAGGAGGATTTCAGATTTGCCGTTAATTATGGAACTGTCCGTCTCCGTTCCCGCGCCCCGATACCGATCCGATAACCTTCATGTTCATGGCATCATTATCCTGAACTTCTACCTACTCCGTACAGTGGATGATTCAAGTTTGTCACACTAATTTTTGATTTTTTTAGTTTCCAAGAGGATTGGCCCCAATTACCTCAACTCACCCCATTTACAGGTGGAATCATAGTAGCCTGAATGAATGTTTCTACCTGATATACCGTTCCGAGGCCTTCGCAGTAGGACTCGGAGTCAATTCAAGGAAACTGTACAGGGCTAGGGGCGATTAGAGATGAAACAAGATCCACAATGCCATTCATCCGAGTCATGAGCAACCTTTTTAGCCCTCAAGCATTTTCCATTGCGAAAGCTGTACCCACTACTTCATTGCCTGGCCACTTGAGCCTTGAGCCTCGGTATGGTCATCTACTTCAAGTATTTGAATCTACTCGGGAGGTTCGAGTCAATATGCTACCCACTGCCAAAGCTCAACATTCAATATTTGAATTGTCCCAATATCCATGGATAACATTGATAGGGTATGTCACTGCAGAAGTACCGAGCACTAGTGTAAACTGGAGGGGCGTGGCAACGCCTATCTACTATGCACATGTGTATGTAAATTAACGTTACAGTGACTGCACTGAGTTCAAGGATTAATAACCTTGCTTGCAACTCGTGCTTCTACAAAGCCTTATCGGGACGTCTGGAAGGCCCCTCTTTCTACATCAAGTTAGATCCTCATACTGACAGCTTATTGCATAGATAACGTGTCTGACTACAGAACACGGAGTATGCTTCTGCTATTCCAAGGTTTCAAAAGGTCCCAACGAACAAAGTGCGTGGATCCAGAGACAATCCTGGGGCGATCACTGTGGGCCCTCGACTGGCAAACATTCTGGCTAATTGAACTTTGTCGAATCCAGCATCTGGGAAACCAAATACCCTGACTAATCTCAAGTGCTGTATGACCAATCTTCAGTCAGACTAATCTCCATGTGGCTTTTTTAGTGAACAACCTGGAAAGAAATGCGGCAGCCTCGTGTCAAACCAATTTTACCTATGAGATCTTCATTGCGAGATCCGTATTTTAGTTACCCAATATAGATCTTGTGCTCCCTATGGAGCCTGCAATGCACACGTGGATCTCATTCAAGAATCCTTAACTGCATCTCCAAATGACTCGGAGTGGATAGTGAACATGATACGATCGACCGGATATCTGGATCCCGTTTTTCCGGAATGCCCCCTAATTAAGGAGAATACGAAATCATCTCTGTGACAGCCTCGTCCGTGCCTAAAATACTAGTACTAAATTATGGATGCCTCAGATCATCTGGGGCCCAGAGCGCTACTTGGACCAATGGTATTTGGGGCTAAACATCGGCCGAGCACCCCCGAATCCTTGAATCCTGCAACTTACAGTTTTCGTCAGTCACCTGGCACGGATACGGAAGAACAGATCGGATACGGAAGAAAGGATCGGACGATAATTTGAGCTTCCGGAACAATGGATGGGGTGACATTTACATAGCTTACGATTGGGTGCTGTCGGAGTGCTAGAGGTCCCCTACTAAATATACGCTATCGCTATCGGAGATAAGAGGCTGTACTGTGGCCTCACTCCGTAAACAAAGTGCATAATAAGAAGAATTTTTTGAATATTTGGACAAATACAGTGGTTAGAATAAATCCTTGCATTTTTTTCTTTTCAATATGAATAATACAGCCCTTGAAGTTGGCTGATATTCCCAAAAAATATCAGTTGGGGCTCTATAGCATCAGGTGATTCCATGCCACGTTTTCCCCAAAGCTTCCTGCGAGTCAACTCCACCACTTCCAAGGTTCAATCCCTGAAATCCCTGAACAACCAATTCGGACTTACGGAGTTCGGATATCAATGGGAGCCTCTACTCAGGCAAGCTTGACTGTGTATCAGATCTGAGACCCTCTTAAGCTATTCCACTTATGGATCCCAATTACAAAGCCCGGAAAGAGGCCTTCGTCTCGAACCTCTCCGGGAGCAGCATCCAGGACATCAATTCGGTCACACTTGTCGCAGCGGTATGGAGCCCTTCTATATATATATATATGATAAAAAATATCAATTTACTAATAACTACTCGCTTGCAGACCTCGGTCCTTCTGTGGTCTGCTTTACAATCGCGTCTATCCTTCTTCTCACCTTACGGACCCGCCGCGTTATTGGCCGATTTCTTGCTCAATGTATTAGCCATTTTATTCGCGACTACGGCATACTCCTCCGCGCCACTTCTCTTGAACATATTCCTCATCACTCCGGCCGTCCTCCTTTTCCTTACACAGCCCGCCCAGCGCTCCCCGCAAAAAGCTAAACCACCCCGCAAGAATACCAAAGATGCGGCCACCCAAAATGAAAAAGAATCGCTGCCTATTCATCCTTTCCTGACGACTTACCGAGCGGCAATGATGATTGTTACATGTGTTGCGATTCTTGCGGTAGACTTTCGAGTATTCCCTCGCCGGTTTGGCAAGGTTGAGAACTGGGGTGTCTCTCTGATGGATCTAGGTGTGGGTTCATTCGTCTTCTCTGCCGGTGTGGTGTCTGCGCGTGCGGTGCTCAAAAGTCGAGCCTCTAAATCGCCCAACCGTACATTGGTGGCAAGACTGATCGGCTCTGTGCGACACTCCGTTCCTCTCCTCGTCTTAGGCTTGATTCGATTATGGAGCGTCAAGGGTTTGGATTATGCAGAGCATGTCACGGAGTATGGTGTACACTGGAACTTTTTCTTCACACTGGGTCTTTTGCCACCATTTGTCGAGGTGTTTGACACTTTGGCTGTCTTGATCCCTTCATATGAAGCACTAGCCCTTGGCATTGTGGTACTTTACCAGGTGGCCCTTGAGTCCACTGATCTGAAAAGCTACATCCTCATCTCTCCTCGAGGACCTGACCTATTTTCCAAGAATCGAGAAGGTATCTTCTCGTTTTTGGGATACCTGGCCATCTTTATTGCAGGTCGAGGTGTAGGAACCCGAATTATCCCTCGAGGAACATCATTATCCAAATCACCCCTACAGGCACGAAAGTCCATTCTCATTAGCCTTGGCATTCAAGTGATGTTCTGGTCAACTCTATTCTATTTCAACTCCTACCACGCCTTCGGCTACGGCGCTAGTATGATGGTATCACGACGTCTAGCTAATATGCCATACGTCCTGTGGGTAGCAGCTTTCAACAGTGCTCAAATCTTTTTGTTCTGCCTCACTGAAATTGTGTTCTTCCCGAATGTGCACCGGGTGTCTGGTAAGGAAGGAGAAGAGGAACGGACATCTTTTGCAACCAGTCGTATTCTTCATGCGTTTAACCGTGGGGGGATTGGCTATCTTTTTAATAGCCAACTTACTGACCGGGTTGGTCAACCTGAGCATTCCAACATTGGATGTCAATACTTCGCAGGCAATGGCTATTTTGGTCGTATATGCTGCGATTTTGACTGGTGCTGCATTGGGGATGGACAAGTACAACATTAAGTTGCGTCTATAAACTGTACTATCAATGTATGATTATACTACTACATATACACTGGTTAACTTCTGTCAATATTTTTGGGGGGGATTTTAGAGATCCCCAACTGTGCCACCCATCTCTCGCTGTTTTACGTCAAGTAGATTTCCATAATCCTATTTATATCGCGTTTGATCTGTATTATGTCCTATTGCATTGAGAGCTCTATCATGTGACATCATCGTACAAGCATGTGAAGAGCTTCAACTCCACAAGGAATTCATGGATTGGTGGAGCTTCAATAGCCCCACTTGAACTATCCATAACTTGTCTCAACCGAGGTCTCCCAGTTTACCTCAGTCAACTACTGACAACATCTTGAAAATGGAGAGTCCATCCTATATCAACTATCCTCCACCGATCGAGGGACCTGCAGTGCCCTGCCAAGAAGAGGAAGACAAAAAGTCCATTCCAGTCTTCCGAGGAATCCCTCTCCTGATCGGCGCAACATTGTGAGTTCGGGTCTAGCTCCTCGGGCCACCAGTCATGGTCACAGGCCACATATTAATATTGTTCCAGAATACAGAATATTGGCTTTGTCCAGAGTCACTTCTGGCGAGAAGCTGGCTTCAGCAAAATCCGCGATATCCCCCACCTCCACCAGTATGCTGGACGCTCTGATCCAAGCGTGATTCCCGTCCTGAAAAATCCCCTACCCGACGTACCGGCCCCAACTGTCGCCAAGCGCAAGGGCAATAAGGGGTACTACACTTCGGCCGACTATCAAGAACTATACCTCTCAGGCGAGGCGACACCCACGACCGTGATAGAAACCCTGCTGCCTCTAGTCCGTCGCGATGTCCAGCCACCAGGCAAGCATTCGATTGCTTTCTTGGAGTCGCAGGTTGAGTTAATTCGTGCTGCTGCAGAGGCATCCACAAAGCGATACAAGGAAGGCAAGTCGCTTGGTCCCCTTGATGGTGTTCCTGTTGCCATTAAGGACGAGGTCCACATCACGGGTTACAAGCGGACTCTGGGAACGAAACTGGACTTCAAGGCTGGCAATGATGGCACTTCTTGGTGTGTGAAACAGTGGGAAGATGCCGGTGCAATTGTGATTGGAAAGTCTACTATGCATGAACTAGGCTTAGGTGAGCAAACATAATGCATACTCGAATACGTCGAGCTGAGCTAACCTCAAAAGATACTACCAACAACAACCCCAATTATGGAACCCCAAGAAACCCTCATAACAGCGAATACTACTGTGGTGGCTCATCTGGAGGCTCTGCGTACGCTGTTGGAGCCGGACTTGTACCATTTGCGCTTGGCGCAGATGGTGGAGGTTCAATCCGTATTCCCTCATCTTTCTGTGGTATTTGGGGCCTCAAGACCTCACATGGTCGCGTATCTGGAGCTCCCTCTCTCAGTCTCGCACCCACAGTCGGTGTTCTCGGTCCGATGGCTGCCAGTATCGATGATCTCGCCCTGGCCTATCGATTGATGGCAGTACCAGCACCCGCATCTCAGGACCCAACTTCCTCCCTCTTCCCCAACCCAACCCCACCACCAGCAGACCGAAAGAGAACCAAGACCATTGGAATTATCCGTGATTGGAATGATCGCGCCGAGGCACCTGTCAAGGAAGTCTTCGACCGGGCACTGGACTACTACCGTGAGAATGGTTACAATGTGATTGATATCGCGATCCCATATCTCACAGATGGTCAACGGGCCCATGTATTGACCATCATGGCCGATATCGCGTCCGGCGTTGACGCAAAGCAAATCAAGGATCTCACCGCCCCTAATAAGGTCTTTGTGTCACTAGGCATGTACCAGATCAGTGCACAAGATCTACTTGCTGCTCAGCGCCTGCGTAATCTTCTGATGACCCACCTTGCCCACCTCTTTCAAAAGCATCCAGGTCTACTGATTCTAACACCATCAACACCGCTCCCAGGCTGGCACATCCAGGGAGGTGAAGCAGACCTTGCTCGTGGCGTATCGGATGGAGGAAAGTCCGTCCGAAACATGCTCTACGTATGGTTGGCGAACTTCACTGGATGTCCCGCCATTAACTGCCCTGCTGGATATGATCCTGCCACTGGTGTTCCAATCGGTATCATGGCTATGAGTGACTGGGGTACTGAGGAGGAATTGATTGACTTTGCGCGCGATGGAGAGGGCATCTTGGATCTACCTGCTAACCGCCCACCTGGCACAAGTGAGTCCGAGGAAGCTTCACCAGGCTTACATATCCCGGCAGGTAAGGATAGTGTGTGGGAAGATGTTCTGGCTGGTGTGAAGGCGGCCCAGACTGCATAATGTATTTGCTATCTTAAGGCACCTGATGCCTCAACTTATTGTACCTACCATGGATATCTATGCTCTAATTCAGCCCAACGTTACTGAAAAAATGGTCCAAGGTCCAAATGGAGGGTAGGTAGATTTATAATTCGTTTAAGTTGAAACGAGCTCTCAGAATCACATATCCCCCTTTTTCCGCTGCCTCAATACGCTCACATAGGACTTCATCCTCCTGATCAGTTAAATCAAGAGCTTAGAGCGGAAGCTCCATGAGATTCTACAAAGTAGGATCTCCGGCAAGTGGGCCATGATCGCTATCAGTATCGCTTTTAACCTCTGAGTCAGCTCTCATCCATGGAGGCCGAGACTGGTCATTGACCCCTTGACTTGTCAATATGAGCGCTTTGCTGGAAACGCGGTTATTCCACTCTCTTTTCATATTGGCGGTACCAGATGATAGTTTCTAAGGACCTCCATATAACGGTTCAAGCGTTCCAGAGGAATCTCTTCATCATAAGGGTCAATTTTGGGTGGTCCAGTGAGTTGGGTGCGGGTTGGTTGAATACTCATCCACCAGGCGCTGTTGATGTAATAGACCTTCACGGCGTAGGAGAGAAGAGTACCGGACATTTTGAATTATCCAGGTAAGCTTCTCCTCGTTTTCTTGCTCTTGTCTCGCCTTCAGGAGGAGACAAATGCCTGAGAGCTTACTTAGGCCATTCTTCTCAAGGAAATAAACCAAAGGTTCAAATCGCTGGCCTCGCTCCTCAGCCCAACTGCTGAATTGATATAATCCATATCATCGCTGATTCACCTTTCGTGGAGGGTAAAAACTGCATTTGGCTCGACTTGTTCGGCGAATTTGAAACACGCTGCCTAGGCCTTCAACATCGACCACTGTTGTTATCGACGACAACCAAACTCATAACGATTATCTGGAAGATGAGAACAAGGTATAAGCAGAAGAAAAAGAATCAAAATAATAAAATCTCCACGCCCTAAGAGTTAGAATGATCTCCAAGTTTCTTGTGAAAGGAAGTGGGGCTAGACCCTGAGTTTTATATGGGACTCTGAGACCTACATGAATCAAAATAAGATCGAGACAGACTCGGAGATAACGGGCCCACGAAAAAAAGCTGAAGCTGAAGCGAATGTCGACATTGAAGGCTAAGAGCAACTTGAATGATAGGTAACTTGAATCTGAACATCGTCAGATTCGTCACTTTATACTAGTATTGCCCCACTACAAGCTTCTTATCATGCAGCACGCTCTTATCTAAACAATCCCACCAACGCCATTCATCTCACCACTGGCAACATTCAAGCTCTGCACCCCGACTCCATTCAGAATGACATCAAACACACTTATCCTCCCTCGGCCAGGCTCAAGCCTACCGACAGAAACTCCAACCCCAATAAAAGCACCGTCCGAATCTACATTCACCTCAAAATTTGGCCAACTCCTCCCAAAAGCCACATACATAGAAACACCAATTGGTCGCATAGCCTATTACTCCCTGCCACCAAAACAGAACCAACAGTTGAATCAGGATGGCAGGGACTCAATTTCCCGAGTCCTGTTTATCCATGGAGTCCAAACACCAGCAATAGGACTTTACCCATTAGCTCACGAGCTCAGCACACGTTTCCCAGCAACGCATTGCGTGCTCGTTGATCTATGGGGTCACGGGTTGAGTGATACACCAATCCTACCACACTCAACTTCTTTATTCCACTCTCTCCTTACTACAGTTCTTGATACGTTGAGCTGGGACGCTGCACATGTACTTGGGTATTCATTTGGTGGATCTACAGCAGCCTCGTTTACGGCTCAGTGGCCTGAGCGCGTGAAATCAATGGTTCTTATTGCTCCGGCGGGATTGGTTCGATTCGAGGGCTTTTCGAGTACTGAGCAGAAGTATTTGGTTGGCGGGAATGGTGTGGAAGAGGAGGCTGGGAAATGGGTTATTGAGTGGCTTGAAGGTGGGGAGTTGGTTGTTCCTAATGATTGGGAAGAGAGAGTTGCGAATGGGGAAGTGGTTGCAGAGGCTGTGAGGGATTGGGAGATGAAGGTCCATGAAGGTCATATGGCTAGTGTGGTGGGAATTGTTCGGGATGGAGGCGTTTGGGGGAAACACGCGGAGTTTATGGCGGCGGCGAAGACGGGGGTTCCTGGGTTCTGTGTATTAGGAGAATTGGATGATTTGTGCAGTGTGCAGGATTTGGAGGATGTTGAGATGCGGAATGTGGCTGTTGTGTCGGAGGTTGGACATGGAGTTGTGAGACAGAGAGTGTCGGAGGTTGCCAGTCTTGTTGAGGAGTTTTGGAGTAGTCTATAGTTACCATACATGTTATTGCGAAAGAGATTATGTGAACTGAACCCTTCAACTGGTTAGGCTTCAAAGCATGTAATAGTTATTCTGATGCTCATCAATGATAGTTCCATCTCTATCGAGTACTCCATATCAACAAGTAAGTCATAGTCTCTAAACATAACATCAATCGTAAACAAGAAGAAAAGAATAGTCCAACCCAGTTCACAGAACCCAAGTCTAAAAATGAAGATCGAGGAATGCCATCCCAACAAAACTCCAATATCCACACAACACCAAATAACACCGATCTCGACCCATGCCCAAGTATTCAGTTCTCAAATGAAAAGTGGATCTTGGGGATCCGGAAGAAAGAACTGGCAGCCTAAATTGGCCGTATCGCTGCGAGTCTGGAGTTCTTTGATAATTCTTGTACCCGGATAGAGACCATCGTTAAGTGTTTCCTTGATATGGATGATGTAGACCGATAATCCCAACAAGGGAGGCTTAGACGACTTGGCCCATCTCGATGAGTCCGGCGGTTCAAATTCATCAAAATCAATGAATTCGCCCATGTTGTCCAGAGGCTCGTTGAACGGGCCTCGGGATGCCACGGAGGAACGGCCTTTGCCAGGGATACTCTGCGGTCGCTTGTTGCGTGGACTAGGGTCTGCGAAAGCAGGCTCACCCATTATGGGACGTTTCCGCTTTTTCTCAGTTCCTTCCATTCGCTCCTGCACGTTCAGGACCTTATCGGCCAAAACAGTAAGCTCTGCAACAAGATGGCGTGGGCATAGGTGACCATATAGATATGGATCGTGGACGCTGTCGGTATAAGAGCACTCGATGAAAATGGCGGGGAGTTTACCGGTCGCAATTTTAGGCGCTGCGGTTTCCCAAACACGCCTGTTTCGTGGCTCTAGGGAGATCGAATCAGGCTCAACGTCACCAAATACAACGATCTCATCTCCAGTGGCATCGTCCCGAAGGAAGAATGCTGAGCTTTCCACGGAGGACATAATAGGCTGGTTGCCGATCAGACGCGGTGATCCAGGGGGGGTAGAAACTGGAAAATAAATTAGCATCGTGAAGCAGGGTCCATATTCAGAACACGTCATATCTTACGTTCCATCGTTAGAATGGTCCACGGATCTCCCACGGCGGCTGAGTCTGGAATCATTGGAGTGGAACACCACGCTACCAGCACGGTGATGGGTTTCAGTTTGGTGATGGTAGCGTAGCTTACACTGGCCATGGCTAACACTCAAGCATTTTGCCGTGAGTCCATCACAAGCACGAATATAGCCTCTGGTTTCTCCGACACCGAGCCGCGGATTTCCACCTTCCACTAAGCGTTGGTATGTAAGCAAACCGGCACCGCCATCTTCATCAGACAAGTTTGGCCAGATAATATCGTTGAACACATGGTTCTTGATAGCAGCCAGCACAGACGGTAGAGCTGAAACGGGTTTAGGCCCATTTCCCGCTTCGATGATCGGGGTGTTCATTGCCAGACCTGAAACATGATCCAGGTGAGGATGCGTGATAAAAAAACCGCCAATGATATCGCGAAACACGTGCGCAGCGTTAGCTTGGGCACTCTTGTTTGGCAGCTTCAATCCTTTGAAGGGTCCACTCTTGAGGACAGCTCCTGCGCGGCCGCTCTTCGTAGTTGGGATATGTGGTTCCATCAAACGAACGATCCCAGCCAGCATAGTTCCCGCATCAACAGCGATGACGGATCCTCGAGTCCAATTTGTTGACGTTGATCGGACGAGAATACCAGTTACAGCATCTTCACGTGGTCCACCAGTGGGTCCCTGGATAGTCTGGTCAGCGAGTGTATCCAGGAAGGGGTTGGCAGGGTTTCATCTGCTACAACTCGAGCCGGTCTGCAAAGGCAGCCGAGAAATGCAGGGAAAAAGCAAAAGCTGAGTACCAGCTTGTACACCCATGCTTAAACATGACGTCCGAAGAAAAAGTTTAGCAGATATGAACCTCACTTACCAAAACAATGACCTGAAACGATGTATTGCCCATTGTGTCCACAGCTTGAGATGGCTCGATTCGTGAAACACCCAAAAATAGCCCACTGGAAGCGGATCCGAGCCAAGGAAGAGAGGAGTTACAGGTTGATACTGTTTCAAAAATGCGACAGTTTCACCAAAAAGTCCATGTAGATTGACCCTTTCAGCAGGGTGCAAAGGTGGGTTAGTGGATATCAGAGAATAATCCAATAGAGGTAAACCAATATGAGTGGATAAAATTGTAATTCAGACCACCGCGAGATATCCTGCAGGTCAGAAACAATGCGAAAAAAAAATGTATGCGCGCGGTTAAGAGTGAGAATAAAAGGTCGAAGTCTCAAGTCAAGTTGCTCGGAAGAGGTCTCGTGCAACACTATACAGGGCAAGAGCAACAACTTGGCAGGAAGGACTTAGGATCTTCCCGTTATCACTTAGGGGAAATCGTGTTGAGAGTTCTGGTTACTTGGACCTTTCCAGATCTTCCCCAGTTTGTGCAACTGACCAAAGGGCAACCTTGAGCAGGGATGGACAAGCACCCTGCAGCAGAATTCAAGAAAAAGGAAACGATTGGTCGGGGTTATTTTGGCAACTTTACAGACTTGGCGCTTGCAGGATTGGTCTCGTATAATCACGTCGCCAAGCTACGAAGCTCACGAGATGTAATATGCCCCAGACTGGTGGGGCGCGGATCGCAGAGCTGCGGAGGCTACGGGATCTGGAGTTGGTGAGACATTCAGTAACTAGGGGGAGTCAAAGCCTTGGAGCTATATGGATCTTCAACACTTACCTAGGGATTTGATAGGGGAAAAAGGATAAGGATGCGCGAAGATTGTGGGGGGCCACCGCGTTTCAATCCACTTTCCGAACTCAGTGAAGTGATGGCGGAGAAGAAATGCAACTAACATGGTTTCTTTGTATACATGCATTCAGAGTGTCATTGCGCCCTGCAGGCTTTGACAACAATACACAGTTCTTTCATGTTAGTGCTCAGATGTTTCTTTCGTTGGATCGTCGTCTAAGACTCTGGTAGAGTGGAGCAGATAAAGCTATAGCGATAAGTGCCCGCATAATGACGTGAGATATTTCCCCGGATCTACTTCATAAAAGATACAGATGAGATCTACTAGAGGATAGAAAACAGATGGAATTTATCAAAGGCGCAAAAACAGCCAGATTGAGGGATTGCGCTATAGTAAATGCTTGGACAGCAGGACTTCTCCCAGGGAGCCCTGGTGAAGTTGCTAGATGACAAAAGTGTACAGGCCTGCTGTCAACAAAGGATATCACAACAAAGAACAGTGGAAAGAGCGAAAGAGAGGCGAGAGATGGCTGTGCTCCCCTATACATGACTTCGTGGAGTCCTGAGATTTGCTCCAGGACTTCGATAAAACAAAGGGCGAACCCCGTTTCCTGACCAGATTCCCAAACATGAACAGTAACCTTGGAACCAAAAGACAAGTTATTCCCAGGACCGACCCAGCTAAAAACGCCATCCGTGGACTCGCTAAAAATGAAATAAGAAACAAAAAGAATGAAAAGTTGATGGTGTTGAGAAACCCATGAACCGTGGGAAACACCATATTGGGGGTATGTTTGCGGACAAAGACGTATAATAAGGAAATAGAGAGATTGTTGTGTCAAGACTAATCCAATCATGAATGATTGTCATTATGATCACGAGATTCCCGATCTATCACCGCCTGATAACTGGGCAGTGGTTGAGACCGGTAATCTTCGTTATTTTCTGGGGGAGAGTGAAATTCATCAGACTCTCGAGGAGGGAATTCTAGCGAGGCATCACTACCTCGACGACTGCTTCCAGGGCTTGAATAGTCTGGAGGAGGTACATCATCCTCATCGGGAGCCCCAGGTAATGGAGGTACTAGAGTAGAACCATCGTCGCCATCGGCAAACCGACTGGATCCCTCACCAACATCCTCGTTGGAAGGGATATGGGCCAGCTGAGCAAGGGAGATGTCAGTCGGAGAGCGAATTGGGCCAGGACTGACCGCCTGGGGAAGACCAACGCTGGAGCTTCTTGCGGTATGAGTTTGATAGACACGCTGGGAAATCTGGGCAGCACTTTCACGGCCCGACTCAAGCAAAATGCTGCCATGCTCGCTTCCATATGGTGGGGGCGGGGCGAGGCTCCCGGTCATGGGGGCTAAGCCCCATTTCTTAACATTGGCTTCAATGAAAACAAATCCCATTTGTCCAAAGTTGACATGCACGCTGCAGGGGCCGTTCGCCCCAATTGTCGGAAATAGATTCTGGCTGCGATAGTTATGAGCCACATCCTCTAATTTCTTGCCGTTTCGTGTGAAGAAGATCGTGCCCGACCTAGGGCGGTATCCAACACCGATAACGTCGCCTTGTAGAAGAGGAGGCCCGTATGGAGATGGGGTAAACGGTTGATTATGTCTGCGATGGCCTGTTGATTGATAAGCAACGGATGTCTTATGGAAGCCTAGAGATAGTAATTTGTTAGCCTAAGGCATTGAGAGAAAAAGAGCAAGACTAGAGAGAATCGATCAATCGCATACCAGGCATTCGAAATAGAGGATAAGGCTTAGTCGTGAGGCCGATACCAATCATGGTCGATTCTGGCTTATCGTAAATCTTGGCTTCCCAGTAGTAAACATCGTTCTGCTTGGGAATGGGCAAATTGGTCTGCACGCTGCATTCGGAGTCAAAGAACTCAATCTCTGTGCGACCTTCCACAAAACAGTTTGCAATCTCCAGTTCGGGCTGGAATTCCCATGCCGAAACGCCCTTTTCTTGAATGGCTAGGAACTGTGATAGGGATATGTCGGTTTGCATCGATTCGGCTGGATTGGCTTGAACGAAGGCTACACGGGCCTGTTAGCATGGGAGTTCACTCCAAACACTTTCTTGCCTTTGATTCCATTTCTCTAATCAACATACCTTTGGCTCGAAGATATTCCGACCGTGATAAGTCATCCATGGCCTCCAGGGCCACTTCCTCTTCCCGCGCAAACGCCTGTTCGTCATCGTACTCGCCGGGTCGGCCCATGCGATCGAGCATAATTCGTCCGCGATTGGTATATTTAAAGAAAAAGAAGATCGCTAGGATCGTCAATGCGATGGCAGCCGATCCAAACGCTGAGAAGAGACCGATCAGGACGCCTTTGGTGGTCGAGCCGGTTGAGCCGGTCGAATTGCCACCGGCAACACCGACCCTCTCACTGGCATATCCAGCCGAGAGAGATTTGAGTACATATTGTAAATTGGCTTCAATTTGCTGTGGTGATAGGGAGGATGGAGTTTCAACGGATGGAATCGCTGTTGAGACCTGCCCGAGCGGTGACGTCGTCGTAGTGGCTATCACTGTTCTCAGCGTAGATGGAAGGCCTGCGAGTGCACCGGGGCCCGATGCCTCAAGACCCTGCATCGTTCATTGACCAGCCAAAATAAAAAAGAAAGAAAGAGTCGAAAAAGCACCGAGAGGGGGAAGGAAACAAAAGATAGAAGAGAGAGATAGTGGGAGATGGAAGGAAAGCGGGAAAAGGCAGAATAGTAAAGAGGCGGATTTACACCTGAGCTCCCGAGACCGAGACGCTTCCGGTAATGTCAGCCTTACTATGCAGGTAGACAGATAATACTTAAGATATAATAGTATTTAGTAGAGAATAATAATACTTTATACCTTATATACTCCGAACTGAATATTGCTCAAGGTGAACAAGGAGGAAATCTCCTATTTTCACAAAAAGTAATTATAGCGAGTGTACTAGTCTAGTGCATCCTACATGTCTAACGCTTATCGCCATCTTTTCCCCTCTCGCGTGGCTCCTTGCAGCAAAGCCTAATTCCCTTTACGAAGTCACTTCAAGTCACTTTCAAGTTCCCCCTCGACTCCTTTTACGCACAGACTTTTATTCAGCATAATCCCCTAGTCATGGGGGTGTCTTCTATGGTGCCCTTGGTTGGGCCAAACGTCACTATCAACTCCATCGACTCCTATCAAATCAACCTTACCGTCATAGGGACCTCCTGTGATAAGTACCCAGGTATGACCTCCCTCGAGGGCTTGGGAACCTAGGAAGTCCTACACTCAAGGTGTAGTGACCTTGATCCCTCCCAGGCTTCCTTCAGGTTCCCCTTCTTCACAAGTTCTCCTACCCTCCGCAGAAACCCCGACCGGGATGAACCGATAAGCTAACCAGAAGCCTCCCTATCACAGCTAAACAACATGCGCGCAATGTAGCTCGCAAACTCGGCATCTCCCATGGCCTGATCTTCTTGGCTGGCCAACCCAATATTCTCCTCCGTGACTCGGATCAAGAGCGTCCCTTCCGACAACGGCGATACTTTTACTACCTGAGTGGTGTCGAGGAGCCCGATTGCGCCTTAACATACGATATCAGCTTGGACCGTCTGACGCTCTTCGTACCTGATTTTGATCTCCACCGCGCGATTTGGATGGGCCCGACCCTCGATAGAGACAATGCGCAAGATCGATATGACGTAGATCGTGTGTTATACAAATCCTCCCTGCGACCGGAGCTGGAGGCATGGCTCAGTACCCGAGTACAGAACAGCTTGCTATATATGGTTCATGAATCGGAGCTTCCAGAGGGACTACCGACGGAGCTACCACTGGACTCAATTCAGCTTATGCCTGCTATGAATGCTGCTCGTGGCGTGAAAGATGAATATGAGATCCGAATGATTCGCGAGGCGAATAGAGTGTCCACGCTCGCCCACCGGAAGGTTCTTGAAGGAATTCAAAAGATGACCAATGAATCTCAAATTGAGGGAATCTTCCTCGATACTTGTATCTCCAATGGTGCACGAAACCAATCATATGGTATCATTGCTGCGTCGGGACCTAACGCTGCGGTTCTGCATTATGGAAAGAATAACGAGTCTCTTGCCGGAAAGCCATTGGTATGTCTCGACGCCGGTGCTGAGTGGAATTGTTACTCTAGCGACGTCACGCGAACATTCCCGCTTAAGGGTGAATGGCCCAGCAAGTACGTCTCGGATATTTACAAGCTCGTAGAGCGCATGCAGGAAGAGTGTATCAAGGGAATTCGAGTAGGTGTTCGATTTCTCTCGCTGCATAATCTTGCGCACGACATTGCCATTGAGGGTTTAATCAAGCTCGGTGTTTTGAAAGGCGGTTCACATGCTGAGATTCGCGCATCAGGTGTGAACAAGACTTTCTTCCCTCATGGACTGGGTCACCATGTCGGACTTGAGGTCCACGATGTCTCTGAAAGAGAGATCACAGCCATGAGCAATGAGCTCGATAAGTCTCGATATGGTCCAGTTGTGAATATCGCTGTCTGTCGCGCCCCCTGCACACTGTCTGCTCCATTGCTAGAAGCAGGCATGGTGGTCACTATCGAGCCGGGTCTGTACTTTTCACCTTTGGCTCTTTCAAATGCTCGCAAGCAACCTTTTGCCAAGTATATTAATTTTGAAGTTGCGGCGCAGTACGTGCACATTGGTGGTGTGCGTATTGAGGATGACATTCTTGTCACTGCTAGCGGTTATGAGAACCTCACCACCGCACCTAAGGGTGATGAAATGCTCGCTATTATTCGGGACTCTGTATAGTAGGCTCGTTTGAAGATGCATTTGCGGGAAATTTTGAATATAAGTAAATACCAGTAGCTCGCTCCATTCTCTTATCACTAGACTCATTCAACTTGAAGTGGAGCTTCCGGTTCCTGACCAGTGCATAACTCCGTTTATCCTGCCTGCAGTGTCAATCTTTACTCCTTCGAGCAACTTGCATCCTCATCGGAGCACTTGGCTAGCATCTCCGAAAACCACTTGGCAATTACGAGGGGTCGCTTATTGCGTTTGACTCTCATGAGATGACCTATCAAACAATATTTGTCTGAGTATAAATTCCTGGTATTGATCAGGATGTTGCGAAGGGGTACCAAATTCAGGTCTAACAAAAGGTCGACCCAACCTGGAAACCAAGAAGAGACTGAACGAAGCTCGAAGAGGAGGCAAATACGAGGCAAGTATGTCTCTCAAGCTTGGTGAGTTTCATCACTCTTCATGTCTCGAAAACCAAAATACTGAACCTGCCAAGCGCTCAGTGCCGTCGACGAAAAACCAAGGTAAGATGAAGAACCATTCACAGAATAGTTCCTTTCGTTGACGAAGATAAGTGTGACGGTGCATCTCCTTGCTCGCCATGTCTGTCATATGGCCGAGGCTGTGATAGGGAAGGTATCGATATGCGTCGTCGAATGGGGAAATATCCTGCAGCTTCCGTGCGCGAATCTCTGGAATTCCTTCAAGGGAACGAAGCACAGGACAGCTCTAGGTAATATCAAGCAGCCCCTACTATCTGGATATTTCACTGATGAAATGTGTTTAGCCCGTCACCAAATGATCTATCTCTTCGTCTAGCGCGATTAGAGAGGCTGATGCACATGGTGGCCTCAAGGTCAATATCAGACGCAGAATCGCGTGTCGTTTGCGACTCCAATGAAAATGAAAACGAAAACGAAGCTGCAATTGTTACTGGATGCCAGGTCAAAAAGTCGATTGAAGCAAATCTCGATGAGGTGGAAGAACGTCTCAAGCAGTACTTGCACTCATCTCATCCGGATCTTTTACCTCCAGCAATGCCTTCACCAGCGTTGACTCCAGAACCCTTACAGGATGATATCTCGCAGCTCCATGAACCATCTGGTCTTCGTACTACCCTCAGTGTGTATGGCATAGACGCAGACAGATCTCAGTGGGATAAATTCCTATCTGTATTTTGCGATGAAATCCATATCATGTATCCGTTTCTTCACCTGCCATCGCTATATGCACACTATAACTTGATGTGGGAGGTGCTAAACGCAGACCGTATACCTGGCTTGGAAGTTCCGAACGACGAAGACGATCAAATATTGACTTGTCAGGTTCTTTTATGCCTTGCTATTGGTCGATGTACGGCGTCACCTCGCATATCTCAGGAGGATGGTCGACATTCCGCTGGGTGGAGTCTATACCGGGCTGCAATGACTTTCCTGGGAGATATAATGGACTGCTCTGAGGGCTGCATATCCCAGATCCGTTTTTTGCAAGGATTGCAGCTTATTGTATTGTCTCCCATAAAGCCCGGGATTTATCAAAGAGCAATTGCTTACAAGAATTAATAGGTCATCTATCTATTCCGCCTGGATATTATCGGAAAAGCGGAAAGACTCCTGGCACTTGCGGTTTCTCATGCGTATTCTCTGCATCTCCATACAGCAAGCTCCGCAGTTGGCGGCAATGATAACCAAAAGCGTGAGATGTGCCGACGGCTCTGGTGGTGTCTATATCTCCTAGACAGACGACTTGCGATTGAGACAAGGCGACCATTCCTGATTCAAGATGCAAACATTACTGCGCCCCTACCGCAAATCATCCCAGATGATATATCACAATGCGATGAAAGTACGGCCTCTTGTGGAGAGTCCTCAAGTGCGCCTTTGCAAGCGGTGGACTCCATCACTTTTCTTACCGCAATGATCACCTACTCCAAGACTCTTGGAAGAACTTGGGAGAGTATTTATAGTCCCAATAGTTCCAATTGCCGGCAAAGGGAGATGGAAAATCACTTGGAGGCCTTGATTTCGCAAGCCCAGAAAGACATACCATCTCAATTTGCTTACAACGCAATGGAAGGCCCATGTATAAACTATCAAGACGCATCTTGGTGGTTGGTCAAACAACAAACACTCATGCAAGTGGTAAGTCGCCTATTATCCCATCTGGTGAGAAAATGACTGACAAAGATAGCGCTGGCTCTCATTACGTCTCATGATCCACACGTCGATGTTGCAAAAATTGAGGTCTAGCCACACGGAAAAAATAGCCAGTTTTGAGAACGAAGTCATCAGTATGAGTCTTTCCAGCAAGGTGATTGAGTTATTTTTGCAAATCCCGGAGCAAAAAGACATTTTCACATTTCCTTTCTTTCATTACTTGATCACTGCTGCCATCATATCTCTTGGTCTCCTTATCAAGGAACCGGCCTTCAGACTGAAGTACGGTAGTATCACTCTTCGAGCTGTTCAGCTGCTTGAGTCCTACTGTACTCGCACTTGGGTTTCTGGCAAAACGATCCGGAATGTCTCAAGACTTGGCTCGATGATTTTTCAAGTCTTGAGACAAGGGAATATGGAATATTCACAGCTCTCGAATGAGAGTTTGACAGAACAGTCCACTCAATCTGAAGTTAGCATTCATCAGCCACAGCGAGATGAAGGATCAACCCAGTTTCTGTTCCATGCACTACCAACTGATTGGTCCAGTCTAACGCTACGAGATTTCCAGTTTGAGCAAGGAGCTCTGCGTTTTGACGCAACAGAGGGACCAATTCCCTCCATGTATGATAATGGTGATATATCTGGACATTTCCTGTCACATCCTCATGAGCCTGTGGGAGCCGAGCCAACTATTCGATCGGGGCACCAAACCATTGCAGGACAGATGGAATGGTTAGAGGACCTGTTTGGTGATTACTTGGATCCTGATTTGATAATTCGTCCACAATCATAAGACACCCATAGGTAGGCTATCTCTACAGTCGAAATAAGCCGGAAGAACAATTCATTCATCTCAATATCTATCATGGTATTGTTCAGTGATGTGAACTTCCACGATAATTGTCAATCAGTTATCTTTCAACAATGCCCGACGCGAAGGAAGTACTCCAGCATTCTCAAAAGACCGATAAGTCTCAATCCACGTATCGAAAGTCTTATCATTCCGATGCCAGCCAAACTTTCTCGCTTTGTTGACAGACGAGATAGTTATCCAGGACTTTCCAGTTGCCCAGTTAAAGAAGCCCCAAGTACCCCAATCAAAGGCATCGGCTTTACCACCATACTTACTCACCACCCGTTCCCAAACTTCACGCTTATCCTTTGCCCATTCAACCATGTCAATTTCATTGGCCAACGTATTAGCTTGACCAGCAGCCTTATCGAACTTCGGCTCGGGAACCTATCAAGACATCCTTATTAGAATGAGAGTTCTTAAGACGTGGGAGGAGTATCTTCTCACCTCGATACCAAAGTAAGCTGCAAGATCCTGCCAAACGTGCTTCCACACAAAGACATCACCGTTGACGTGATTAAAAGCCTCGTCTTTGCAATGATCGTGCGAGGTCACGAAGACAGATAGATCTGCAAGACTGGGTGCGTACGAGTTATCGTCAATGGAGTTCCAGAAATACTCGTTTCCAGGGAAGTTAGCCGGTTGACCCAGCTCACGACAAATAAGCATGTAAATGAGAATTGTCAAGACCTCCGACATTCCATTTGCTGTAAATGTTAGTCCCTGAGACAAAGTAATTTATCATAGAAAAAACTCACCATGTGGTGCATAACCGTTTATAGCATTCGGACGAATCACATTCCAAGACCAGGAGTTCCGACGAGCTTGAACCTCCTTAAGATAATCTTCCTGGTTGTAGTAGAAATTGAATCCTTTATCATCATACCGAAGAAAAGATTCCTCTAGAGGGATCTTAACAGGACCAAGGTGAACACCATAGTATTTACCACCTGTTTGGAGACAGACTCGCTGTAGATTCGGACAAGCTGTATCTACAGCATCGAGGAAGTTGCGAAATAGCGGGACATTCTTATCTCGGAGGACTCTGAAGTCGTCGTGATGAACGTAAGAGGTGAAGAATGTGTGGGTAACATCAGCACAGATATCCTCTAGCTTGGCGATGATGGTTTTGACCGGGTCGAGAAAGTCGACTGCCACGAACTCGACTCTAGGATCGATCCAGGCGTTGGGGAGAGGTCTTCTTGAGGTGACGATGATTTTACTCCTACATTCTAGGTTATTATTTGAAAATCTCAGACGAATCTGAAAGGATAGGACTTACCATTCTTCCTTGGGTTGGCGAACAAGATGCTCGATAATAGAAAAACCACTGATACCATTGGCACCGGTGACAAAAGCAACCTTCTCTGTAGATGGAACCCCCATAGTTGATAGATTCTGCGAGTGATTACAGTGCTTCCAATGTTTGTACTTAATAGTATCATGTCTTCTTATTTCCTCCAAGGATGGCAGGCTCTTTTTATAGTTACACCGAATGAATGAGGGGCATGATCTACTAAGCTCAGTTTGGTTCCCTTACATCCTTGATTGATTAGAGTGGTACCACAATCTACTCCAAAACATGTCGATCGCTACTCAAAAGTGGATACTGCATGTAATTCCGTCTACAATTCCGATTGCTATACTCCGAATGAGCCGTTTACCCGCCCACGGACGCTGGAAAGAATAATGAGTGCAAGTATTTTGATTCAAAGGCCTGCGCGATACTATTCTTGTGTGAACTATCAACTCAAGTGGAGCTCAATACTTCGTGTGGTATACATTAGCAGGCCAAACTGCGAGACTGTGCAGACTCCCACGCCAGGTCGCAACAGGTTGCTCAAATAAAGGGCAAGTCATAAATCCACCGAGTCATCAAATCCAACGCAACATCAGGTCGATCTTGAGGCAACTAAAGATCCAAATTAGCAATAGCCCACCACTAAAATTTGGGGAGACTTACGAAATGACCAGCATTATCCACAGTCACGATAGCAAAGCGGGACTCCTTCTCCGAAGCATCGCTCGTGCGAACTCTGACTTCCTTCATCGTGCCAACCGTCTCATTCTTACCAGTCGCAGAGACCACAGACTTCCACGGCTGAAGAGACTTAGATGAGAACTCAGCCTGGCCCTCCCACACCAGTGAGTTTGCCCAGCGCAGATTACCAGCTGTGTTGCACGCCAGGTCGAGATTTCCTTGGTAGGCAAGGTAATCCACCTGGTTCTGCAACAAATACTTAACTTGATAATCGGTGGATGTCACCAAGTCCGAAGTCTGTGTGAATGCGTATGAGACGGCATCGGAAGTGACATTGAACTTCTTGATATGTCCAGGCGGCGAAAGAGCATCCCAAATAGCTTTTGAGTTGAGATAGTCATCTATCCATGCAGCTTGAATATAGCAAATATCGTCATACTCGCAGGGTCGAGTAACTATCGCTTTTATTAGCATTTCTTCCAGTAGAAGATACACTGAAGTATCGTATTTTCTGGAGAAAGTGGACTTACTATCGAATCGATTGCGCCCGCCCGCAAATGCGGACTCGTCGTCGTACCATCCAATGATGCCCTCATAACAGACCTTCGAAGCTGCATCGCATAGAGCGGGATCAGGACGTCTGACGCAAGTATCCAGAACCTCCATGCAGCGAGGCATGTTGGCCGCCATAATATCACATCTGGTTTTGTTGAAGACTGGCTCGGCGACTCCAGGATTGGTTGTGCAAAGGGTTTCCCAGTATCCGAACGTAGTATCTTTTGGAGACATGTAACCATCCCCGACCAGACATGTTCGCAATTGAATCTGAGGCTCATTTGGATAGAGCTTGTTATGTTTCACGATCTCCGCGCCAAGTGCTGGGATATATTTCCCCTGTATTATTTAATGTCAGTGTGCTAAAAGCGGGTGTACGGAATGGGCTTTCTCTTACGGCATAGGATTCACCAGACAAGTGGAATGGGTGGTTGAGATGTTGGGGGAAAACGTCAGAGATGAAAAGCTGAAGGAATCGTTGCATATCGATAGCAGCAGTCGGGGAGTCACCAGGGATCTCAGCGCCTTCATCAAGGTAAGAGAATCCGACGCCAACGGGCTGATCAACATAGAGCACCGATGAGTTTCGAGACCAGCCGAAGGGATTGTAGTATGTTCCATTCCCGAATTCGTTCACAAAACAGGGTCCAGTCTCCTCAAATAAGCCGATCATGCTAGACCCGCCCGGCCCACCTGTCATCCATAGCGTCAACGGATCATTGTCGGGGTCATTCTGGCTTTCAAAGTACCAGAAGAAAAAGTGTTTCGATCCAATGTCTAGCCAGCCAATATACTGCGCTGAGCCAGCCGCACAGATCGATTCATCTTGTTGTCGGATACGAATTGAGTGATCGCTGTGTTTATGTTGGAACACGCTAAAGCCGTTGGATTCGGTAGTAGTTCCCGAGCTCAGAACTTGCTGACTACCAGCGTATGAGAGGCCTATAAGGCCGGCGAGAGAGAGCAGTAACATCAAGGTACAGCAGCTTCCAAAATGAGAATATGCTGAGGGTGAGAATTAAGGAAAGATGGAAAGTGGAAGGGGGAAATGTTGCCGTGGTGTCAGAGCCCCAGATCATAACCCCGTCGGGGCCCCGGTCGCTAAGCGGGGTTTACTGTCATTTGGGGTAAAGATAACAGGCTAATAGGCGACAGGATTATCAAGATTCTAGATTGCTCGAATGTTATGGGATTGCTCAAATAAGCCATAATATTACGAAGATGGATAAAAATCCGCAAGGTCCCCACTTAGCGAAGCATGCATCGTTCGGATGATATTACAAGCAAGTACTATGTGTATGTATCTCATAGCATCCATCAATTGGAATCTTATACGGAGAACCTGCGAGCGAATGTTCCGAGCTCCTTATGTGTATGTAGTGTTTGTGCTCCGTTTGAATCATTAATTTCATACATATTTAAAGTGAGAGATATGATTTTGAGATCAAGAAAGTAGTATGGTAGGTGTTGTTTCGCAACGAGAGCAATTGACGCAAACCAACCACATGCGAAGTGAATAGAATTATGTGACAATATATGACAATCTCGAATTTAAAGGACAGGATTTCTCTTCCTCCTCCAAGAAGAACTGGGGATTCACAATATCGCCAACAACCTAATTGTTATGTGGGTTCCAAATACTCGAGTTCGCTGTCCACCGGCGGAAATAATTCTTTCCTGCGAAAACAAGAAGCCAAAAGAGCATTACAACGTTGTTAGACACATGTTGGTTATTATGGCAGACAGATATCCATATTTTTCAGTCCAGAGGGTGGTAAACTTGCTAAAGCCATAGCCTCAGAGGTTCTTGTTGACAGTAACTGCGACGAAGCTGGAGCCGACAACAGGCTTGTAGCTGTCGACGGCATAGGTACTCGTAATGGCAGGCAATGCAGCGACCTGAATTCCGATACATGTATAACCGATAATCACAATGATCTAATCGAAATACTAGTCATATGTTAGTATATCTGAGACAGTGAAGGGAATGGGAATCAAACATACCCTCCAGTCACAACAATGAAGTTACCCAATATCGCGATAATGACATAGGGGATCATCGTTGGCAGACGCATTTCTGGCTCTCGAATACCGCCTTTTTTCTTGGTCGCACGCATTGAAACCCAGTCCGACAGGGGTCCATTCGTGGCCAGTCCAATAATCACACCCGCAACGAGGGCAAAGTTGGCAAATCCAATAGATTGACTGGACATAAGGCGGAGCACCTAAGACCTGGCTTTGTGTGAGGTTGACGGTTAGGAAAACGCTCGACGACCACGATACAACGAGCGCAGCAAAGTGAACGATCGGGAAAAGGTGCATTTGCCAGGGAACCCAGAACGCCAGCCATAAGGTTTTCGACCAGTCATTCCCGATTCGGTAGAAGTTAAACTGGCCCTTTGATGGACTACCCTTGTGTGAAAATGGATGAAAGGCGTCACTTTGGAATGACCATTCTCTTCTTACACTGCCATCTCCTCCCATTTCCATCAATCTGGAGGCCTGTTAACATGCAAGCCCCCTGCTCCACTTCCCCAGCACTCCAGAGTTGCCAGGTCCTCCAGATTCTCTCTTTCTCCCCATGGAAAGTGAGTGACCCACCAATCAGACTTGTCTTGATATGGAGAAAGGTCATTTCGGCATTTCTTTTTCTAGGTTTTGGTCCGGCACTTTGACTTGCATTAGCACATGCTCCACAGACCGGCAGTTGAGTCAATGCGATATCACCAAAATAGCAGTCAAGCAAGTGAATGTCCCCCTGTGAAAAGCACTACCGCATAGGAATATGAAATCTGGTCTTTGAGTCTTTGACTCTGAGCAGAACCTTGGAAACCCCCGATATTCTAGTTATTTATGGGGTTCGTGAGTTAGAATAATAGGGGGAACTCCGCCACTCCAAGTCTAAATTAAACAATCTTCTCAAATACCCACAAGAGATTGTCCATTCAAGTTCCAAGGTTACCCCATAAATTGACTAAACTAAAGTATGCCTCGCTTACTAGTAAGTCTTTCCTCTCATCATTAGTTCATCGCCTGATATTGTCTCGTCGTAAGCCTCAAGCCACAACTTGAATCCAACCCGAGAGGCCTTAAACAAGCCACTGGCAATCCTCAGTTCTCCTACTGGTACACACACTAGCACTGCATGGATATATTCAATTTGGCCCGCAACTTGTTGAACTTGAACAACTTTTCCAATGTTCCAGATGTCACAGGTTGAACTTGACGGTTTAAGCCATTCTGGCTACTGCTAATACTACTTTTACATACCACAGGTGTTATTACTAGGATGCCTGAACTTGAAGACTCGGACAGATTCGTTTTCTAGAATTTTGCAATTTCACTGGATTTACCAGAAAAATATTGGGAAATCTCGGTCTCATCGAGAAGTGTCAGCGCCCAGGTGCCTGGTGCCCATTACTAGTAAATTGGATTCAAACTGAAATGTTGCAAAAGGTTAGGTCTTATGATGGTCATGATTGATACCACCAGGCTCATGTCAGACAATCAATCAATCCAGATGTCTACCGTTTCATTTACTCTAGTCTGACGCACATTGGAACTTGAAGTCTGGACTCGGAGTCACGGTGCAAACACTCAAGTGCTAATAGGAGAATGACTCGGAGGCAAACTAATACATACTACATAATCCATAGCACTATGTATATTTGCTTCAAAAGTAGTACTCCCTACGAGTCCTTGGGCGAAATAAAATCTTGCCTCTTTCAACTTGAAAAGGTTCAAATTTGACATTCAAGCTGCCAGTAGATGCTGTAAATCATGCCAGCACTTGGGTGATACACCTGCCAGTGGGCAGGCACTCACAGTACCTACTCCTGGTAGTTTCAAATTTTTGCTGTTCTTGCTGTTCTTCAAGTTGAATTTTGTTAAGTATTCCCTGCATTGAGAATGTAGTCCTCTGGAGTATTTCCATCGTTCAATTGATCCGAAGGAAGATTCCAGAATATAGAGAACTATTAGTAACCTTTGGATGGAATTCTTTCACCAAATGCCCTTGCTTAAAGCAACATTCGAATGTCACCGCTCTTTGCCCACACAAGGTTGTGCATTACATATGATACAACGTGGCTCTTTGGAGTTATAGATTCAATACATGTAGATGTGGATATATGGAGTGGCAATGATGCCAGATCCAGAGATTAGTATTCAAACGTTGTTGCAAACATTTGAAGATTGTTGCCCAATATTTATGTGTTTGTTTGGGATTTGGGTACTACCGCGGATCATGTTTCCCAGTAACCGCGCGCCAGCCAATAGCACTTGAGTCCGGAGTATCAAGTCAGATACATGCTGCTTTAGGCGCATTTAGGTGCCTGAGACCATCGTTCCTATTTATTCCGTACAAAGAAGGCCTGATGAATTGTTGTGTGGAGATTATTATCTGGAAAGCATCGAATGAGGTAGACAGGGAGAGCATTTCAGCCTAGCGGTGTGCGACTGGGGCGCCTAGACCCGAGTGATTTCATCCCAACATCAATTTAACCTCCCAATTAAGAATAAACTAGTAAGACAAATGTGAGTTACGCTCGATCCAGACAAAAAGTTATAATATTATATGAGTGATCATATGTGCAGAGTCGCAGTAAGCGTTAGTTTCTAGGCGATTCCACAGCCGCGAAGACAGGGATGACTGCCTCACACGGTATTTGTGGACCCAGAAGCGGTCGAGATCCTGCAAGGGAGAGTATTCAGAACAGGGATATTTGCCTGTCTTTGATGTTACCCACGTGTTCCAATTAGACCAGTTGATGCAGAATCCGTGGTCGGCGTGGTGGTTGGAATGCGCCATTTCTGGCTGCCACACAAAGAATGTTCTAGGATGCATGTGTCCCAACATGCCCCAATGAAGAACATCAATGAACCTTGGGAGCTAAGGTTAGCTTTGATTTGGTCGCACTCAAGTGCTACTACTGTCTGCTTGGTCATCTGAGATCTTATTCATGGAATCTTCAGGGGTGGCAAAACATGAATAATCTGGTTCAAATATGAATAATAATCCAAGTCAAGAAACAGGTTTACGTGATGTAAACGCACGTGCGAGACCTCCTATTATTCATAGCCCTATTAGCAATAATTATTTCGCAGTGTAGGAGTCATCATGTTTCAAATAGGGGCATGAAAATTTTTTTACATGGTCTGAGCTGTCAATAGCGTGAAGCATCCGGAGCCTAGCCAGATACTCCGAGATGGTCTATGCTCATATTGTGTCACTTAGGAGAGAAAAAATCGGGTGTAACAGGATCGATTTCCTCTTTTCTCCGTTGCCTGATGTGATCGCCGTTCGGACCGTACGGCCCTAGCCATTAAGGTCCTCTAAGAGTTATGCAAGGCTAACCGGCACTGGAGTCATCCTTAACTCCAGGACTGCTAAGACTGCCAGAACCCGGGCCAAGAATTTTTTCGATTTTTTTTCTTTTTGTCCCCCAACGTGGCAGCTGGTTCTCGGCCATGTACACTATGCAGGAATGCGTGAAACCCGAAACATGGCATCATTTTTTCTCATTCCTTGTTAAAATGCCTCAATTTGTAGCTCGACATTTAGGCTTGAATGGTGTGAAGAAAAAAAGACTTCAATTATATAGAGTCATAGTTATGGTAGAAAATCACGCGAGATGAATTAGCGTCAAATGACGCATCACATCACGCCTTTTTTCCTGTAATTGACAAGGGTTTGGCGCCATTTTTTAAAGCCATAAGGTGATCTGCCGGAGTCTCATGTTGCGTGGTTCCACCATGGAAAGAAAAAAGTGGGTCTCTGCCTGTTTTTCCCTGCGTGAGTCACTATGGCCCCCATAGGGCGTTAATGCAGCTATTAAAAGCTCTTCAACCCCTGCAGCAGATCGGATCTGACTTTTTCTTCTGTACCTCATCTCGTCCTCTAGGGGGTGACGGTCAATTTTCTTTTAAAAAGTTCTTCAGTCCCGTCATTCATCAATCCGGGGATCTCCCCTCCCCCAAAAATCATCTCCTCTCCCTATCAAGAATGGGCCAGAGGCATAATCGACGCCGAACTCGTCCTCGTTCATCTCAAAGATCAAATTTCAATAAAGGCAATTCTGTCTCTCTCGTCAATCAAATCTCAACTTCTCTTTTACCGGTCTCATCTATTTGGAGTCCGGAGTCCTGTTTGGTTCAATCACCAGTGCCCAATCATTCAACCGTATGCATTTCACGTGGATCTCCGGGCGCGGTACCTGCCCCGACCTGGCACAATGGGTATACAGCATGGAAGATCCGTGATGCGACCCCACGGATGGCAACTGGAGGACTAGAGGACGAGCAGTGTCGTCTCTTTGGTGGTGAACCTGGTGATGATGAGAGCCTTTGTTACCGCATGCTCGAATATTTCGGCGGTCTTGACTACATCGACTCGTAAGTCACTTATCCTGGATTATTTTATTATTTTATACCGATCTGGCTCTGACATGAACAACCATTAGAGCTCGACCCAGTACCCTTGGAGATTGAACGATTACATGTTTCCAATTTCTTGTCTTTCCAGTCGGAAGCAACATCAAAAAAGCAAAATGAAAATTACGACCCCGATTTCTGATTGCGATGATTTTTTGTTATTATTTTCATCCAACAAAAGAAAAGCCCGTCAATCTTGGCCATAGGACTAAATGTCCTTCGCCCACTACAGCGCGCCTGCAGCCATCGACACACCGAGAACACCAGACCACATGGATCACCCGGGTTCCTGACTCGTAGCAATGAAGATACTAAGTTATCGGATTGGTCCCTTTTGACCCGACCATGTGGATCCTGGACCACGATTTTGCACACCTGACATGGATGAGTCACGAGCAAACCTTTCTGTCTGGCTCATAGGTTGAGTTCGTGTCCGACTTCGGTTGTTGACACTTGAGTTCCCTTTGAGTCATGCATGAAGAACTTTTGAGGCTCGCATGTTTAGAGTGTCGATCTGTTCTGTCACCTTCAGAGGTAGTGGTTAGGCTGCCACAGTGAAAGAAGACGGAAGATATTCGATCCGAATTGTACATGTTAGCATTGATGGCATTGAGTAATCTGCCCATACATCCATGAATCGAATTTGAATATATTACAATTATCTAAATCAGTCTGTCCCATATCTGCATAACTTTTACCTACCTAGCAGTTCCCTGAATACTATAGAACATACTAGTATTTATTCAAATGTTTACTCCGTAATGCAGACTCACGTCAGCCCTCCACAGTTAAAAAGTTTGCGTACAACCTTTACCGCTTTCATTATGCCACATATGCTATTTTAGGAAGGCGGAATATAAGGCGGTAAACATTGTACTCTAAACCTTTTTAACTCCATTTCTACCCAGGTCAGGAAGGCGGTCTAAGATAGCCTTAGTAATTGCCGTGTTGTCCTCTCACCGCTCACGGACCGATACCAGTTGACTACTTTGTCCTGCTCTGTCGGCTACCTTTTACACTGTATTGTTCAGCAAGAAAAGTTCCCATATTTCAGATTTCTGGACATTGAAGGTCTTTAAACCTTGAAAGTAAATGTGGGTACTGTTCAAATTACAAGTAACATATACTCACTTGACATTCTGTACGGTTGAACTATCTGAGTCACTGTTCCTTCTTCATTGGTCCGTCTTTGATCATCATTGCAGAATTTTGTTTTTTCTTATTTCAAGTCTATATGCAAGGGCTGAATACCCAGTACCGGGAGACAAAGTCAAAAACCTTTGCAAACGAGACATCTGGATTCTCATGTGTATCTACGCATCTTATGTTAGGTACCTATGCCAGCATCTTTTCAGCATAAAGAAGGTTCAAATATTATTACAGTATGAAAAACCTTGAAACCTTCCAAGGTTCTGAGTTTGGAATGCACCAAGGCAAATTTGATGTTATGATGCTGCCTCCTATTCGTATTCAGTCCGTTATCTTAAACCCTGCTCTGGCATGCAGAGTTTGGAGAAATCTCTGTACGGAGTAAGCAGTATCGATTTGTGGAAGCTTGGAAGCTTATACAGATAAAAGAACACCATAATTCACCTGGGCACATGTGCATATGTGATAAACCACATCTATCACTTGAGGATTTCCTTCTAAAAGCTGTATGGTATTATGCATGACGGGGCGGGGTATTAGAAGAAGAAAAATGATAGTGAATTTTGAATTTCATTGCACTTCTACTCTCACTTTCAATTCAAATGTTGTGATATGGCGACTACTTCAAATTCCACCTGTCTGTCAGGAGCGCAACCAATACAATTGACTACTAATCAAGCATGTTCGGATGGTTTTTTCTGTATGCCGCATCTTAGTACTATCAATGTTCCTCTTCAAAGGCTAATGGCAAGCAGGTCCCAGCAACACTGTGCAACATCCTCCGGAATATTGTCCTCCAACAAGAGATTGTGAATTGACAAGACTCCAAGAGTCTCACAATATCTGTGACAGACCTCAAGGGCAATATGAGCCCTCAGTCTGTGCTGCTGGATCATACTGTCCATCTGGAGGCCAGAGCCAGATTTCGTGCCCCAAAAATCACTTCTGTCCCTTGGGTTCAATGAGGCCAATTTGTTGCATTGCTCTCTCGGCATTCCCAGAGGGAAGCTCTCGGCAGATCCCGACTATAGGGTTCCTATTCATCTTTCTTTTGGATCTCTTACTGATTGGTATTGCAATTGGTATTTTCAATCGAAGATCCTCCTTAGTGACTCAATTCATCAGGCTTAAAACGTATGGCGTCACTCAGAAACGAGAAAAAAAAGATCTCAGACCTGGAGGATTGCTTATGTTCAAGCGAACCAGGCCACCGGATGGATTCCTTTTTAAGAACTTCCTGCACATTGCCCCTGCCAGATCACAGATTGAGCTCTCATTCAAGGGAGTGAGTAAGCAGATCAAATCTCAACAAGGTGATATTGTTCATCCACAACATGGCAAACTACGAACAGGGAGGTGTACCGGGATAATGGGAGCCTCAGGCGCTGGGAAATGTGAGAATTGTGGATTCAAGATTCAGACCTGAAGTGAATGCTGATCATTCCCAGCAACACTGTTGAACATACTCACAGGGCACATTGAACCAACAACAGGATCTGTATATGTCAATGATGAAGAGGTCAATTGTACCGAGTGAAGATCCATCCCGAAGCTATTCTCGGACCATAACTAACGTTGTTTCAAAGGCTTAAGGACCTGGTTGCCTACGTTCCGCAAGACGATACCCTCATTGCAAATTTGACTGTGCGAGAAAACATTCTCTTTTCGGCCCGCATTCGGATTGGCAATTCATGTCCTGCCAAAGACCTCGAGATGTTTGTAGATAGTCTGATATCCGCCTTAGGACTTGATAAGGTCCGGCATCAACTGGTAGGAGACACCGCAAAGAGAGGATTATCTGGAGGTGAGCGAAAGCATGTCAATATTGGGCTAGAGTTGGTGGCCGCACCCCAAATTCTAGCGTTGGACGAACCAACATCTGGCTTGGATGCAAAAATGGCACTTGATATTATGCAGCTGTTGAAGGAGTTAGCCACGAATGGCATTCTCATCATATGTGTGATCCACCAGCCAAGAAGCGAGATATTTGCCCTTCTTGATGATTTATTGCTGCTACATGCTGGTCAGCAAATGTACTTCGGCGCTGCTGCAGAGGCCTCACAATATGTGGATTTATCTGATAAGAAGTCTTCTCCGGCTCAAAATTCTGCCGATTCCATCATGGACGCTCTTGTAAGTGGCCGCTATCGCAACGACCCTTCGTTCACTTTGGAAAGAAGAGTGAACACTAGCCTGTCCCAAGATGTTACCAAAACACCTCATCAGACAATAACAACAGCAACCGTGCACTCATTACTCAGTTCGATTCAACAACTACGAGCCCCGTGGTATCGGCAACTAGCTCTTGTCTTCATTAGAGGGATAATTCAACAAGGCCGCGAGACAAGCAGTCTCTCTCTCGAGATGCTCTCGGGTACGATTACCGGTCTCTTTATTGGCCTTTCTAATTACGAGTTTCGGGGACACTTGTTTCAGGGACTTTACCATTTACCTTTCGAACCATTGTCATCAGCGGTAGCCTACCGACTCTTGACACAACAGTCCCTCCTTTCTTGTCTTGCGATAGGTAAATCATGCCCATGGGGAAATCTCCCAGCCCCTGTTATAACCGAAGGATGGAACACTGAAAGATAGATGCAGCTTGTTGTGCGGGGCCAGCTGGTGTGAAAACATTCGGAGATGAGAGTAAGTCTAAATCGCCCTATGCAGTCTCTCTCTCTCAGTTCTTTGATAGCTAATGACCGGTCTTCTGCTCCCCAGAGTTGACATTTTACCGAGAATCCCACGCTGGGCATTCAGAGAGTGCTTATTTCTTCGGAAAGGTTCTTTCAACCATTCCGCGCATCTTTCTCTCGGCACTTCACTATACTACCTTCTTCATGGTACTCACGACACCAGTTATCTCCTTTGGTCTCCAGCTGACTCTGGAAAGACTGCCATACCTGGTTAGTACATTGCTACGCTTGTTGAATCACACCTCACATCTAAATGACAGAGTAGAGTGCGGTGATTAAGGAAGGCGTTCGCATCACAGGTGTAGTCGCATCACGACTTCCACGAATTTCACCGGAAGATACCTTGTTCTTTGACAATTGGGTGATAACACCGGGAGTATGTTTATATCCTGCTTTATATTTTCTGGATTCTAATGATCGATAGACTCCCGTGAGTATGTCAAATCATTTCATTCTTAGAGATCCAAACATCTTCCCAGACCCTCTTATGTTCGTTCCTGAACGCTGGATGGAATCGAGCCAGAGCCTTGAAAAGTACCTGGTTCCGTTTTCGAAGGGAAGTCAGGGGTGTCTTGGCTTCAAGTATGATAACCTTGGAAACTTCATCTTTTCCAATAAGTAAGCTAACAAACCGATAGTATGGCATATCTGTGGATGAATCTCGGTATTGCGAGACTGCTTCGCTGCTTTGATCTGGAGCTATTTGACACAACAGAGGAGAATGTTCGGATAGTACGTGATTGCTTCAATGCCCAGACAAAGCCAAATTATAATTCAATTCAGATTCGGATCTTGGGGCAGATTTCATAAAATAGCAGGATTTGGAGATATTGCATAGCTAATTTCTGAGTTTTTGCAAACGGGTTGAGCTGTTAGAACCTGGCACCGTTGGTCCACGGTTGTTGATATCACCTCACACTACACATTCTCTTCTCTCTCAAAGCGCACATTTTCATGAACTTCAAGTTTGAGGTAGAATAACAATACTAATATAACTAGAAAGCATCGGCTTTACTAAATGTACTAGGGCTTGAGAGAACGGACCTATTGATGACAAATGATAACGTTTAGGGGTTCACGGGTAATAGTATCACCGGGTCCGTCGTATATTGGCTTGGCAAATTTTGGCCGCCCCTCACCGCCCGCGCCACACAAAGAAGCGCGCATCTTATTTAGCAGGCGGTGAAGCTTTGCTTGAGGACACGGTCATCACCAGATCAGGAAGTGTGTCCATACTTACTCCCCTTCCTTAGTTTCGCTACGGACCATGCTGGGTGTCCGTTGATTACAGCTTGGTTGAACTAATCTGTCGACTATCTGTCGCGCCTCGAGTGGCTCACCAGACTTGCACACACACACGATCTTTAAATTTCGCGGCGGCTACCGCTGTCGCCCTGAAATCGCCGCAGGATGTCGTCAGACTACACATATGATGAACAGGTAGGAGAAGGAAATCTACGAAAGGATCGGATGGAACAGAATGAGCTGGGCTAACCTACTTTGGTTGCTAGGGTCAATTCTTCCCTTTCTTCATCTTAACATTGAGCGGCCTTGTGACCCTCCCTCTTACCTACAACCTGCTTCGACCAAGCAAAGGTGAGCCCAAACCACCAGTAATAGTGGTAATAGTATTTCTTAGGAATTTTTGCTGATAAGGATCTATGATCAGAACTCGAGAATACTGCGCCCCGCATCAAGTCCGACTTCAAGCCTGAACATGCCGACCTCGTTGAGGCGCAAAAGCGCAAGCGTTTACGCAAGGAGCGCCGTATCAAGCGCATCGCAACAGTTGTTATAGGATATGCGGTGATGGCATGGATGGTCTACCTTATCCTCGTCACAGCCCGAACCACCGCAAAGCTGTATGACCCATATGATATTTTGGGAGTTTCAAGGGTACGTGGCGTGCTATATGGTTTGGACAATGAAACGGGCTTCCTAGTCTAATGAGACTGTGCTAATAAAGTACCTTTATACAGAGCGCCGATGAGCGAGCCATCTCCCGCCACTACAAGCGTCTTTCCCTCGTTTACCACCCTGATAAAGTCCGCCCCGACCCCGCCAAGAATGAAACCATTGAAATGCTGAATGACCGCTTCGTTGAGCTCACAAAGGCTTACAAGGCGCTGACTGACGAGGAAATCCGAAACAACTACCTTCAATATGGACATCCTGACGGAAAGCAAAGCTTCAGCATCGGAATCGCGCTGCCCAAGCTTATCGTTATGGACGGTAACGGAAAGTACGTCTTGCTGGTATACGGTGCCCTGCTGGGTGTTCTTCTGCCCTACATCGTTGGAAAATGGTGGTATGGAACTCAGCGCTACACCAAGGAGCGTGTCCTTGTGGCCAGTGCTGGAAACATCTTCCGCGAGTACAAGGACGACATCACAGATAACGGCATAATGAATGCTTTATCTTCTGGTGAAGAGTTCAAGGAGGTCCTCAAGGGAGCCAAGGCCGAATCGGGCCTTGCGAAGCTCGAAAAGAAGGTTTTGGCGGAGGAGACTTCGTTCCTATCCGCTAAGGATCGTGAAACTTTGAAGAGTTTGGACAGTGACACCCGTCGAAAGGCCCTGGCTTTGCTTTGGGCTTATGTTGGTCGTGTTGATCTCGGTGATTCCACTCTGAATGCTGGTAAGTGCGGTTTCTCCATATATCGCAAGAATGGACTAACATATTTCCGTTTTAGAAAAATACGAAGCTGCCCCCGTCGCCCTCTCTCTCATTGAGGCATTTACTGCCATCTCTCTCGCTTTTGGTAACCTCCGACCCATCATCGGTGCTTACAAGGCCTCGCAAAGCTTGATTCAGGCTGTGCCTGCGAACTCCTCTCCCCTTCTTCAACTCCCCAACTTCACCGACGCCGTTGTCAAGTCCGTGGAAGGAGAAGATGCCAAGAACCACTTTACAGTCCAATCTTTCATGAAGCTACCCGAGGGTGAGCGACGTATCCGCTCTCTCGGTGCTGGACTCCTTTCTGAAAAGCAATACGCCGAGGCCATCTCAGTCGCACAGCAATTACCAGTTCTGGAAGTATCCAAGGCATTCTTCAAGGTTATGGGAGAGAAGGTCATTACACCAAGCAGTCTGGTACAGCTGGTAGTCAAGGCCCGATTCATCCCACCAGGTTGTACCTCTATCCCAGCTGTTAACGAGTTGGATCTAGAGGATATTGACCCCGATGATGATGATCTGGACGCTTTGATGGGCCGCAAGCCGGCTAAGAACCGCACTACTAAGATTGTTGATGGCAAGACAGTGGAAGCCAAGATTGAAAAGGTACAACCGCCACTTGCGCACGCACCATACTTGGCTCGCGACCACTCTCCGCGCTGGCACATCTTCCTCGCAGACGCCAAGCAAGGCAAGATGGCCGTGCCTCCTTTCACATTCACGACATTCGACAAGCCGATTCTCGACGAGGCCGGCAAGCCTACATTCAACGTTCAGACCCTTAAGATGCAGTTCCAGGCTCCTCCGCAGGTTGGCGACTACACATTCGTCATGCATATGATCTGCGACAGCTATCTGGGTCTAGACAATAAGATGGAGATTACTTTACACATTGATGATCCTGCCAAGGCAGCTGCCTTGGAAGAGGAGGACGACATTAGTGAACCAGACGAGGGTGAGTTTTTTTATTATCTGTGTGTCCTCGATTTTGCCATCGGCTAGATACTAACTTGTTTTTATCTTCAGACTCCATCGCGGGCCAGATGCAGGCACTGAAGACCGGTCAAGCCCCGAAGAAGAAGGCCCGGAAGGCATCCGATTCCTCCAGCGAGGAAGAGAGTGACACCGACGGCGACGCAGGCGATACCAGCGACACTAACACAGAAACGGATGTTGAGGATTGATCGCATTTGACTAGCATTGTACCCAGGACCAGTGTGACTTGACGATTCTGATTTAATTGATCAAGTTTGGTCTTGGATTTTTCTCTTCACCGAACCCTTTTTTTGTATTGCTTTTATTTTATTTTTTTTTCCCATCAGGTTCTTCGGGGTTCATGTTTTTTTACTATGCATTAAATACTCCACTTGTGGTTCATCTACTTATCTCATTGATTCTGTCCAACAGAAATAGACGGGAATACAAAAAATACTACCTACACAAACTTCTCAAGTTCTATTAATGTGTACAAGTACTTGAATCAAACATACAAAGTAGTCACTGGTGCATTATTGTCTGGGGTCTCGACCTGTACAGCTTGAGTGGACTGCTGCAGCTGTCTTGCATGGCCATGGCGTCCTTGCGTGCATTCGTGCTACAGTGGCTGACCTTGTTACCATGTCACCGCTAAGACCACCTGCACCTAGCAATAGTAAGAAGCAAGGCAGAGGGTTCTAGTTAGATGGTTTAAGCTCACACGAGAATCCAGAGACAGGTTGTTCCGGGGATGTCTGTGCACCGTGTTAGGGTTGTCGGGTTGTCAGGTTCCTGGGTTGATGCTTGATGGTAAGGAGTGATGCTTTGATGTGGCGATGTCCGTGCAGATTCTATTACATGCATATGAACAAACTAATGAAGCCGCCACATAGCTACTTCATCAAACTAGTACGGGTTATCTAGATTCGGAATCCGAGATTAAGTCCACATGCAAGCACTCAATGTTAGATTCAATTTTCTAGAAAGAGTAATCCCGCTTCATAATGGAATAGTATCTAATAACTTGAACAATGTTCAACAATATCAGAAGTCCGAGTTTGTTTCATTCATGATAATAATATCTGAGTCCATGTAGCCTCATAGTCCAAACCAAAATACCATATCTGATCATCAGGTTGCGAAACCTTCGAAATCAAATCCTAATCACAGTTCTAACAAACATGGTCTACCTGAACACCGAGAACAGGGAAATTGAAGCACCTGAATTTGATATCTCTCGTATCAACTAATCATGATCGAGAATGAAATAAAGGGTAAAAAAAGGGAATTCGTTCTTGATTCAAATCAAGTATAACTCCTGAAGAAATGTTCCGGACATCTTCCATGCATGGATATCCCAACACCACAATTTGCAATCATGAATCATGCTTAAGAAATAGAGGGGGAATGTAGGTTAGGTTAGATCAGTCAATCTCAGGAAAGATCAATGAAATAAACGAAAGAGTAGAATCTCGGTAAAGAAAAAGAAATCCAATATAGATAAGAATCGAAAATCGGAATGTAATAACTGCCAGCAGCCCATCCAAACAAAATCATAGGTCTATGCCGAAGGGAAAGACCAACCAGGCGTGAAACCAGGAAAGTAATTTGACTCTTGTCCATGGAACCCAAAATCACCTAGCATATCACCCGATAACCCCATCTGATGATGTTCCGGTATAAGACCATGTAATCTGGTCGGTTTGACATCAACCTGCGAATCTGCCCCTCCACATCCATCCAGATAATACGTAAACGACTGATCCTGTCTGTGATGATGAGAATGCGCATGCGCATGCGCATGCGATACAGGCACAGATACCGCAGTCGCAGGAGCAATATCTACATGAGGAGGAATATCGCCTAGATCCACAGAAGGCAGACCCGATCTGGATAAACTCATAAGATGAGATTGGTATCCCGGGTCTTGAGCGAAAGTACTATACGCAGGACTGGTATTTGGGACGGACTGAAGATCCCAGTTCCAGGGATGCGAGTTTCTTGTCATCGGGGGAGTGGGCATGGGATTTGAGCATGCGGTAAGTCTTGTTGGGGATGGTTCAGGGGGAGTAGTTGGTTCGGGGGAAGGTTCAGCTGTAGCGCTACATTCTGTTGAAGTGGAGAGGAGACGGAGGTAGCGTAGATCTTCGGAGTCTTCATCGGGCTCGTCGGCTGTTTCTTCGGCTTGTTTGATTAGACCGAGTCGGTCGAGGATGGCGTGTGTTAGTGGGTGTCCGTCTGGTGCTTCTTCCAGAGGATCTCCTGGGAATCCTTCGTTGTTGATGCAGAATTTGTAGAGTTTTTGGAGGGCTTTGACTACCAATGAGTGATGAGATTCGAGCATTTCTACGAATCTGATAGAAGTGGATATTAGAATCATAGAATCATCACGTTAAGTGCATTGCGGGGTATATAGTAGGTGGTGTTCTTACCCTCGGGAGTACACCTTTGTCTGTGTAGCTTTTCGCTCACGGAATAGACACGGGTGATTATAGACTGAGCAGCGATTACATGGCTGTTTCCCATCGCACTAAGACAGCACATATAATTAGTGATACTGCGCTCACAAATTGGGGTACTGAATATACCTTGGTCTTCTTGACGCGACACCGATCACACGCTTTTAGAACGTGCTTGCGCTTCACGCGAAAGACTCGCTGATCTCTCTTATCATCAGCCGCCCTGGAACGATGATCCAGTTCTGATAATGAGGCGACAGCAAAATCATCCATGCTATGAGGAAAACCCTTTGGGCGAAGCTTCGGTTGCCACGACATATGGACACGTAGGCTATAAGAGGATTTAAGATAGAGTATAAAGTAAGGGAGATAGGATCGACCGGAAAAAGAAAAAAAAAGTTCAAGATAAAATAGCCAGAGATATAGGATAATAAGTACTCTCTGTAAAAAAGGAGAGAGGGAAGAAAGTAGTGGAAGTATGCGGTCAAGGTCAAGGTCAAGAAGCTATGGCCTAGCAGGGGGGGGTTCAATATGAATCCTTCAAGGAAAAATAATAAATAACAACACCGAAAATAAAAAATAGAAAAAGCAAAAAAGCCAGATAAAAAAGCAAAAAAGAGAAATTGAATCGAGCAGGTGGGGGTGGATGATATGGAGTTCAGCCGCTCTTCTGCATAGACCTTTGATATCATAGCTTTTCCACTCACCCGGTTTTTTTTCAATTGACGCCCTACATAGCCTTGGAAGTATATTAAGTATTAGGTATAATTGATATATTAAAAGAACCTGGGGATTCCACGTATAGATACAGAAAGGTGACGTGGAGCGGTCTGTAAGAAAGTCAACTGGGGGCATTCAAGGTCTCGCGACATTGGAAGCAGGGATGCCAGTGCACGGCGAGTGGAACCGAAAATCGACGCATTGATTATTGGATGAAATTGCATCTGCTCATTTTAGGTGCATCTCCGTTTTTTTTAATCTATTTTAGTATCAAATTCAACCTTGGAAGGGTGTTTCTATTGTTTCTACTGGTTTCTACAATACCCGATTTACCCATTTACCCTAACTTGAATCCTCGGTCTACACAGTACTAGTCCGTGATGCACAGTACGGAGTATGTCCACTAATAGCTTTAGCTCTGTTAAATTCTGCTAAATTCTGCTAAATTCTATTCTTTGTATTCTGTATTCATTTGAATATTGTATTAGATTTCAGTTTTCAGACACTTTTCCACATGTACGAAGTCTTACCCACCCGCACTAACACGGTCCGAGCCGTCAGTGGATCTTCAAGCGGAGTAATTCAACTTGTCAACGCTTTGTGCCCATTCAAATGTTGGCATATTTGAATATTTGATAATGGGTAACGTTCTTGTACTACAAGATTTGGGTTCAAGGACCACACGTGCGATGAATTTGAATGTTAGGTAGCGGCTGAGAAGTTATTCGACATGTATAACGAAGGTGGGGATGTAAATCTCATCATGAGAAGATTTTAATCAGGTAATGTACTAGTCGTACACTAGTTATCAATCTATGTATCTCATACATGGATACTCTAACACCAATCCTATTTTAGCAAGAGACTTACACTGTACATAAGATGAAAAAACATAACATTTTCAAGGTTGAATGTGCTCGAGTAATCGGGTTGACAGCGGGTACCTAGCTCCATCTGTACAAAATGAAACAATAGAGGGGCAAGAGGGGGCAAAAGGAATAGAACCAACCATAGAGTAAGTTGACGTGCTTTGATCCACCATTAAAGGGTCAATGCGTACAAGACAAGTAGTATCAGGTGATATCCTGGTCAAAATGCATCGAAACGTGGTACGGCGTGATATGTTCATGATCATGGGTAATCCCGGAAGAGAGTGAGAAGGACGGGGGTTGCCATTTGGTCTGCAGGCACAAAACATCAAAATGTTCCAAATGACCCAAACGGTATGATGTACAGAGTACAGATGTACTAGTTAGAATGTACTAGCTGTACTAGTACTAGCACTGGTGTACCAAGCACATCATATACCGAGGTCAATTAGGCAGGGAATCACTTGGGCCGCATAGTTGAAAGTATTTTAATGCTTGTCCTTAATGCCTCCTTTTACACTCATGGATTCCATTCCTCCAGGTTCTTTTTTTTTATGTTTTATGCTTTATTATTTTACCTTCTCCTTTCCTAGTCTGGATGCTCCGATTCAGGGCAACACAAGCGCAACAAGGCAACAGTGTACGGTGTCAGATCAAATCCCGCGCTGACAGGGCATCACGGCCCTAATCAGAACCAGTGGGCTCGATCTCGTTGATCTGAGATATCCTCATGGAAAGCCTAGTGGAAATTACAATTGAACGGAATTAAGAAAAGAAAAAACAAAACTAGGTTCCAATGTATGCAACGGTGATACTTGCATTGAAATTCAGTATCAACTTCAAGCACTGGCATCATGAGACTTACAATGTTGATCTATGCTTGAATCTAAGGGGGCTGTGAGTTAGAAGTCTCAAATATTGATCCAGGATCTATCGATATTCAATCACTGTACGAAGTACACCGTACACTTCCATGTTCATCTACGATTCTACCCGATACTAGGGCTTGGGGACATTGGCACAGCCTGAGCCAACATAGCCATAGCCAGCACAGCCAACACAACACTCGGTAAATGCAGATTCCGCTAAGGTTTCATTATGTCCGTCTCTCCGTTCACTATACCAAATTCAAGATCATCTCCGATTTTAGGGAAAGTTTTATTTATTTATTTTTTTTCTTAGCTACTGGGTAAGTTGAACCGGAGTACTGAGGAGCGACGCACTTAGATCTGCAGGTCTACAACTAGTGCGGTTCATGAGAATTTCAATTTCAATCCTGAAGTCCACGAGGGAATACTGGTTTGATATGTGCAGATGGATTCTCTATTTAACGACCAGATCTAAATGATATTGAAAAAAAAAAGAAAAACAAAAAAAGGGGGATCAGTTGCGTGTGCTATTGTGTACATGATGTTTTTTCTGTTTTTTTATTTATTTCCTTTTCACTTCTCATCTCTGACCCCCTTTTTTTCATCCCTCTGACTTTCAAGGCCCAAATCTGTCAGATTCGACCCGAGCTAGCGGGGACCCCTATGTACATTGGTGATTCACCATGCAGCAAGCGCCCTCGAACTCATCATCCAATAAACACAGAGGATGCGAGTCAGATCAGCAGGACAATGTAATTTTTCGTGTTCTTTCTGCTTCTCTTACGCCCAGGGATATCGGAAGCGGACCGCCCACCCGACTTGTTCCATACTGTCGGGAACAGATGACATAGACATACAGCAAAGAAGAGATGAACCAAAGAAGAGATGAACCAAAGAAGAGAGAGATTCAGTGCGAAAGTCGGAGATAGAAGGAATAGAGAGAGGGGGGGCCCATGTTTGCCCCATTGGAGCCCGACTGTCCGATCAAATTTGGGGAAATACAATACTTGCTTCACCCTTGGCAAGCAAATCAAAACTCTCCTCACTCGTTGCCGTGGGCGAAGTAGACGCCGGATGATCAGGCGGCAATTCGTATTGTTCTGCTAGCTCGGACACTTCGTGACTCTTCCATCGGCGATCTCCAATCCATTCAACCCCGTCACCCGCTCCACGAGTGTCAGCCTGGCGAAGTTCGCTTTCCCGCTCAAGAAGAGGGAGTCCATGCTCTTCGCTTCGGGCAGCACTGTTCTTCTTCTCACCCCAAGTGAAGAGGGGTAAGTTACGACGGTGCCATTCGCCCAAAAACATTCCCTCGGGATCAACGTCCTCCCGAACCTTCATCCACTCATCCATATCCTCACGGTATAATCCATGCAGCTCGGTTGATCCGAGAGCCGTGAAATTCTTCGCCCAGTGTGGTTTGGCGCCCATGTCCCGCATCAGCCACTCAAAGGCCTCATAGTATCGTCTATGACAAGGCGGATCCCGGAGATACGGCCGATAGAGTGTCGCATTCAGGTAGAGGGTCGGGCCATCACGGCAAGTCGGATCGAGGAATGGGCGGGGGTTAGGATTCTTGGAAGAGTCGGAGACGCGAACCTCAACAGGACAATGCACGTATAGATCCTTACTGGAGAATGGGATTCTCGCTGTCTGAGTATCACCGTGTAGCCATGCAGAAAGCCGAGTAATCGCCTCAGGACCTTGCTCCAGGGGTAAAGCCCACTCATTCACGAATTGAGAATACAGACAGTTCATTAGCAGACCTGCGCGTGCAGGCTCAACAGCTTCGATGACGGTACTCCCTGGTCGGAAACCATACTGCATACCGAAAACAAACCACTCCACCCATGGCAGGATGCGTGGGATGTATGATGAGAGAGCGAGCAAGTTGTGGTAGACGTGGTATCCGAACCACTCACCGTAGAAATTCTTCGGAGGTGCGCGCAACGGGAGATCGGTTGGGTCTGCGTGCCAAACAATCGCACCCTTTTCATATGGCATCCACCAGACCCGAACGAACTCATGAGATGTCCACAGGTCAGCCGACCATTCCTTCATAACCTGTGCTAACGAGTATCGTTCCTGGCGCCATGCGATGTTGAACGCGCGACGCGCCTTAAAAGTAACTTCCACGATGATACCAAGGGCACCTAGGGAAACAAGGGCGGCGCGGAAGAGAGAAGGGTTATTGGTTGCGCTGCAGCGGACAAGCTGACCATTTGGTAAGATGAGACTTAAAGCTTCGATGCATTCCGAAAGGAGACCGTGGCGCAGAGAACTACCGTGAGTTCCAGTCGCAATCACACCCGCTATTGACTGACTATCAATGCTTCCCAGATTCTCCAGCGTTAAACCATTTTCTTCGAGTCTGTCACCCAGTTCACTCAATCGAATACCAGCCTCAACGGTGACGAGTTGGGTGGTCGGGTCAATTTGTAGAATGCGATTGAAATCATCGAGGTTCACGAGCCAAGACGAGGTACAGGTTAAATCGGAGGGAGAGTGACCACTACCGACAGTGACCAGTCGACGGCGACAGCGACGAGCGAGAGTGACTAACTGTTGGATTTCGGGGATAGTCTGTGGACGAATGTAGAGTTCTGGGCGGGAGAAAAAGGTCTTCGCCCAAGTATGATGTAGGTAATCGGATGAAGCGCGGAACGGGAGAGGGTCGAGCTTTGACAGCTCACGGGCGATACAAGGATCCATAATTGTAATTGATGAGTATCACGGCATTGTCCCTATCACATTATCTGAGTTGAGTTGGGAAGTGAAGGAAAGGGGGAAGAAACGGCTCGCTAGTAAAGAAAAAAAAAGATTAATTGCGACATCGATATCGGCCCACCAGATTCTTGAAATCCCCCACCTGATACTGTTATTCTCTCTATTCTTTCATCTCTATTCTCCGAATCCCCTCGGAGTTCAAGTTTCACGGAAATTTATATGGATTGGTAATATCCCCGCTCTCTTTGTGTCTGTGCCTATGCCTATTTCTAATGGCCGAAAATCTTATATTCCAGTCTTCTCTTAAACCTCTAACCTTGGAAAATAACCGATCGGATGTGGCTTTGTCCGGAGTTTAATGGAGTTTAGTCTACGCAATCAGAAATCCCGATCTGGATTCTTGACACGATCTGATCCTACTAGTAACTATCCTCTATGGTCTCTGATATTATATCCTTGATTCATTCATACTGATTCGGAAGTGATAAAGAAATACCCGTGAAATTTACTAGGAAGTAGGAGTACTTGTAGTACATATGAACATGTGTCCTTGGTGTAACCATGGCGATGAGAGCATCATCTAGCACATAACTCATCCATATTACCACTAGATTTAATGGCAATAGTAGAATCATTGTGGACAGCCTACACTATAGCATGCGAGGTAAGACCATTTCAACCAACTAGTAACATTCATCTACCTCGAATCATGAATACTAGTAAACAAAACTCCTCTATATCAAAAACCATATTTTGTACATGAGCTTTGCAGAAGATAGCAAAAGTAACACATGTACGACCCAGATAGATGCTCCCACCATGCTCCTCTAGGGCACAATACACCATGGGAAAGTTAAGACTCCTGCCACCATGAATGTTCTCAACCGAAATATGCACAGAGAAATGCGAAAAGAGCCCACAAAGCCGAGAAATTCGAGAGAGAGAAAAATAGAAAAGAAATAGAAAAGAAACACAAAGAAGAAGAGAAAAATCAGGAAATGCAAGCAGACGGTACAGAATACATCGTATCATCCCTTACTCAGAACGAATCGCTTCAATCGCCACATCGAGAGGGAAGAGACAAGGAGCCTGAGAAGATCGCTGGTCCCATTTGCGGAACGCACTTTGGCATCGATCGGGAATACCACCCAGCGAGACAAAGCTCTTGGGGATAAAGGGTCGGTCTTCAAGGGAAGCGGCAAGGATACCATACTCGTGAGCGAAGACAACCGCGGAGGCGAAGTCGGCGGACTTTTGCGAGGCGTGTTCACCAACGATGCTAAGAGGGGTTAGAGAAGAATCAAAACTTAGTAGAGGAGAAATGGGGTACATACACATAGATCTCGAAGAAAGTATCCAGTACATAGATATCTTTATCCGTCAAGTCTTTGTAGCAAAAGGGTTCGATCTCTTGCACCGTATCATTTGGGCGAACAGTCGGGGAGCCCGAACCAGGACGACGCATCCAGAACCGGGGTGGTTGACCCAGTTCGTGATCGACACGAAAAAGACGTGTCCGGAAGTGATCGTACTTCGGCTTCAGAGCCCAGTATTCCGAGGTGAGCAGTGCATTGGCCTCGTTAGAGCCTGCAAAGTCGTCGAAGAAGCTTTCGGGTTCGTTGGCCTCCTCCACCTCTTCAAATTCACCGGTCAAGCCGAGGTCCATGCTGATCAATCGAGCGGCGCCAGTTTCCTCAGGGCCACTTCCTTTGCCCTTCCACAGGTAAATCTTGCCAAATGGTGCTGAGATCACGAATGGAAAGCCGGAACATAGATTGCGCAGGGAGTAATCGACCTCGTCAAAGGCCATTTGACCCAGATGCTTACGGCCGCAGAGCATGTAGAGAGCAGAGGAGGTAGAAGAACTAGATCCCCGGCGGGTAATAATGATTCCACCCAGAGATTGAATGAACCGTACGTGCTCCTTGCCCTGACGAATCAGTTCCAATTTGCAGCTGTTCTCACGGGCGACCTTGCGAGCGAATATTTGTGCATCATCAAGCGCAGGCTGAGGGACATCGTCGCCAGACCAGAGGTAAACCTCTGAATGACCGTTGCCTTCTACTTCAAACAAATGCACACAAACGTACATGCTCCCCTCGTACAGCACGTACTCTTGGTTAATTGGCAACTCCTGCCTCTTTCCATCACCGGTGAGTTCCCAAATTTGACGCTTGACCGTACGGATCTTTGAATCATCCGGTTTATGCGCAAGTACCAGTTGTGGATCAATATCCATTCGGTCGCGCGGGTTGGGAAACGTTTTGAAAAAGGTAGAAAGGAACTCACGCGCGTCTGCGGCCTGAGCAACGAGTGATGGCGCGGACATCTTGCGGGATAGTCGATTGCGAGGATCAATAGGCTTTCTGAGCGAAATGTCGGGGTTCTTAGGAGGGACCGGCGGTGACGCACTACTTCTGCTCTGCGGAGATGAATCTGCAACCATCAAACCAGGAACGGCTTGCTGAGAGGAAGGTGTGGATGGCTCCTCTCTCTGCCGGTTTTCTTTAAAGCTGGTTCTGAGTGGGGATGGAGATGATGACATGAAGCGTGCTTGGCCCCACTGATATCTCGACGTAGGACTGGATGGAGATGGGGAGGGGGAGGGCGATGAACTGGGTTTTGGGGGCACAGGGGGGTCTATTCGAGGGGCTGATTTCTCTTGTTGGGGTCGTGTCTTTCGGGGGGGCTCTTATCTAGTTGAGAGCCGGAGGTGGTGAATTCTCGGGGAGATGTGGGTGACAAGTTTCTCAGTTTCTGTGATAGGCCGTTGTTGAGAGCATTCTGGAAGCTGGTTTTCACTCCTTGAAGTGTCCGGATGTAGGGGCTTCCTGTTTGTGCGGTTTCAGTATCGAGAACCACTTTTTCGTTGGAAACATTCACAGAAGTAGGTTTGGGAGAAGCTACAGGCTCGGGAGTAGTCTGAAAACTTCTGGCTTCGGGAGAGGAGATAGCACCAACCTCCGTAATATCTTCAGCAGCTTCGACAGCGGGAGCGGAGGCTCCCTTGGGCGCCCGTCTCTTGGGGCCTCTGGCACGGGACTTCGTCATATGAGTGAGAGGAGTAGAGGGCGATGCAGGAGAAGAATCTCCAGCGGATGGTGAAGGCAGCTCTTTCTTGGGTCCCTCGGCTGCAACTGGCGGTCCACGTGAAAGAAGACCAGCCAATGCAGGGTTGATTCTCCCTGCAAGCTTTCCTTTAGCGGCTAAAACTGGGCTTGCAGCTTCGGCGACTGGTGGCGATGGCAAGCTACGAACTGGGCTGGCTACATCGTTCGAGGCTTCCTCCTGTTCCGGTTCCACAACCGGGGTTATGGTCTCCAATACATCATCTTTCTGGTTCAACACTGGAATCGATGTGGATTCAGGCTCTTTATCAACGGGTTTCAGCTCACTGGAGGCTGGGAATGGGAAGGATTCTTGGAATGAGTCCCGGGGTAACTCCCAGGGGATTTCCTCCTTAGTGATGATTGGCGATACAGGTGCTAGCTCGCGCGAAGTCTGTGAGACTCGCGAGGGGCTTAACTCTGGAGCAGGAACTGTAGGGCTGGTGATGTCGGTGTTCGGTCGTCGAATGCTGGGTGTCTTGGTCATGAGATTACGCTTCGCAATAGCTTCTGGGATCGCTTCAACTGGCTTTGGAGGTTCGTCCTTTTCTCCGACAGTGTTCCGCCTAATAGAACCTCCTCCAGCCTTCATCGCTGCTTTCTGGGTTACAAGGCTCTCTTTGAATTCGTCCACTCGATCCGATTTCTTGGGACCACCTGTAGCGTTCAATGCCGCCTTTCCTCGGAGAATGTTGCCCTTGAGCTCGTCTTGTGCCACAAAGTTGCGAGTCTCAGTCTTCTTCAGCTTTCCAAACATGTTCTTGAATTCCGGCTCTTGAGTCTTCTCCTTGTCCTGAACAACCTCTCGCTTGCGCAGGTTTGCTCGGAAGTCAACCACAGGAGACTGGGGCTTGGGCCTATGTAGCGGTTCCCTAGTGGGAAGAGAGAAATTGGTCCTGGGGCTCATAAGAGGGAGTTTCCGAACAGAGTCAGGCTTTGGGACCTTCTCCAATTGCAATGATGGTTTTCCCCGAGATTTCGGTGACGGGTCTTCAAGTATAACCATAGGACTGGATTCATCTTCGAGGGTCTCGACAGGCTCGACAGGCTCGACAGTCTCAACTGTGGATAACTTGCGCTCTGGCTCCGACTCCGACTCTTGCACAGTCTTTGCTAGCTCTGACTCGGGTTCTGAGGCAACCAGCGATGTGTCCGGAAGGTATGCCTTCTTGGCTGCAGTGGGACTACCAAGAGCTGACGGTGTCCCAGATAGACTAGGCTTTTTGAAGTGACCCCCAGGTGGAGGTGTCCGCATCAAGCCTACAGGCGTGACCTCCTTGAAAGGACTGGCACGGCCCATGTCGACGCTGCCTCTGGATTGGCGCGCTTGTGCCCATGCAGGTGGTTGTGGTGGAGGGGGCTTCTGCTGTCGAGACTCAGGTCGGTTGAGCGCACTCTCTAGCCAAGTAGCCTTTGTAGGGCTCCAGCGCCTGGGGTCCATTGTTCTCGAGGTGAAAGGACTTCCGGGTCCATCACCACCCATACTGTCAACAGTGACTGAACTGGCAGATCTAGAGTGACCATATGCGGATGGTCTAGTGGGGCTGCCTTCAGAGCGCATGGTATCGTTGCCTGAAAATGAAGGGGTTGTAGGTCTTTCAGTTATTTCGGATGGTTGCACGGAAGCATCACTATAGCTTGAGCTAGGCCGCTCTGTAGGCAGAGGCGAAGTGTCATTGGGCAGTCGCGAGGCTGCCGTGGGGGGTCATATCACTGAAGCTGGCTGTGAAGCTAGGAGCCGCAACACTATTGCGATTGCTGACAATAGAATTGCTTCGACTCAGGCGACCCTGAGGAATCTGGGCACTCCATCGTTTTGACACACTATCTGATCGCCGCATCATAGCACTTTGAACAAATCCACCAAGACCTTTGGTGGGAGATGTGGAACGAGCACGCTCAGGTGACATTCGTCGCTGTGTGGGGGAAGGTGGCAGCATTGGTTCCTCGAACGAGTCAGTCTGTCGAGGGTCAAGCTTTGGGGCTTCCGTTACTTGCTCGGGCGATCTTAGACCAGGAGGTGGAGAAACCGATGACACGCTTGAATAGCGATTGCTAAAATTGCTATCCCCAACAGTGGAGGCCGTTGGTGGGGGAGACGGAGATCGTTCTTCAGGTCTCTCTACCTTCTCTGGCTCCGCTGGCTCCGCCGCCGACTCATCACTTATCTCCGGGATCTGATTGCTTGTGTCCTGCTCAACCTGGCTCTCTGGTTCGTCCTCCGGCTTACGGTACACGGGTGAGCTAACTCCTAGATCCGGAGTCTGTCGAAACCACGACGGTTCTTTTGAGGAAAGTGGAAATGCGACAGATGCACGTGACGGTTGGTTGTCATTTGACGCGCTTGATGTTGTTCGCAAGTGGCTAGATCGGGTGGGTGATGTCGAGCCCGGTGATCTGTTACCCAGTTCACGCGACGACGGACGTTGCTGCCACGACAAAGTCCCCGTCCGACTTCGTGACAACGGCGGCAAGGACCGTGGCGATTCCGAGCCTATATCCTGAACCGATCCTCGTCTGGAATCCGCTGTGTATAGGGTCTCTGACTCCTGGCTTGATTTCGCTCCACTGACTGGCTCTGGGTCTGCCGTTTGTACCGTCGGCTCGAGATGCTCCGGTGGTTCAATAGAGGGTTGTCCGATCGATGAAACGCTGAGTCGCAAAGGATTTAATGTAGGTGAGCCGGCTATCGATCGTGCTCGTTCTGCCATCGCCGTGTCAGCATCTCATGGCAAGGTGGGTCAACATAGCGCGGGGTTTTGAGAACGCCGACTCTACCAACGACAAGAGCCCGCGGGATCCTCAATGAGGGGTTGTTTCAAGGGAGAGAAAAAAAATTTATTACCAGCTCGACGGGCCTGTCTTTCTTTCCTGCCCTGCATAATCTCATCCTCCAATCTCTTGGTTCGCTCATCATCTTCTTTATCGCGGCGTTCGCCGAGTTCCCGAATGCGCAGAAGGAAATCGTTCACGTCCTCGGGACCATCAGAGGACTTGGTGGATGTCATGATCCCGTTTGCGCGTTTCCGCTACACTAGGGAAACACCAGGGAGAATTTGGGTGGAAAAGAATGAAATAGGGAGGAGAGTGGAAAAGAGTGGAAGATCCAAGGGCTGAGTTTCTCCGCCCTGCTTAAATTAGATGGGGATGCGCGAGATCCATACTACAGGTCATTGGCTCCTCCGATCTGATCATCCCTTCCCTCATCTTAAGCAACAAGAAGCATTCAAAACTTCTAGATTTCTTTTACAACCAAATTTATATACTACATACTATATCTGGGAAGTGTACCTCGAAGTCATACATGTTCCAAATCCAATGTTTGTTTATGCTAAGGTTTTCCAAGGTTGTGGGGATCGCTTCCTGGTTCACGCCCCGCTGGTTGTTTCCATGGGCCGCAATGACGAAATGACGAAATGCCGAAATTATGAAATTCCGAAATTTTCTTTCAGGGACTTTTTAGTGCTTGTTAGTGCGAGTTCGTGAAGCTAACATGAGATATTGCCCCTTTAGGACTCTTCACTTGCCGCTTTTTACGTGTTTTTTATGTGTAACATGTAGCGGTGAGTTGCAAAGTCTAAGGTCCAACACATCGAGTTCACCTAGGCGATTATCTCCGGCTTTTGTACTCGTATTAGACATGTCCAATGTCAAGCTTGTCCAAAATGTCCCGTTATACAAATTTCCTGGAAATTGAGTTCAATATGGACACCTGGGCATAGGAGTTCGCCGCGGCAATGAGGCTGAAAAGCTAGGTGGAGACTTTGAAATCTCTATAAGCCTCCAACTGTATTCACCTATCAGTGGGCAGTGATTATGACTTGGGAAAAATTCATTCCCTTTGAATTTCAAATATAATGATATTGATCTTGCTCTTTACTTGCGTGAATTCGGAATCCGTAGTCCTATCAAGACTACGGGGTACTTAAATGTAGTAAGTCAACTGGTACCACTGGCAGTACAAGTTAACTAGTACTATGTACATGGTAATGATATTAGGAATTCTTATTTGAATAAACATAGGTGCCATATATGGAAAACATAATATTATACTGAACCAGATGTAATGGAAAACAATTTGCCTAGTCGACCGGTTGGAAATCTCAGAAATCCAAGTGAGTGTCCTTGCAGTTGATACACATACTTCTCAGCTACCTGTCGCCATGAATACCAAAGATAGAGCACTGCTGTGGAAGAACCAAGACAGCTTCTACTCAAGTGCTAAAACTGGCTTCTGCAAGACTCCAACGCCCAGGAATGTTGTCGATGCGGTACCACTTGATGCTCAATGTCCACACTGCTGATTTCAAGTTTGTCTCAATTAGGTAATGGGTTGACTCTTCGGATCATAAACATGTTGAACTCATACTAGTATTACATCATCGGGCAATCAATACACCCGTGGACCCCGGGCCGTGGACATCCAAGCAGAAAGGTCCTGATGGTCTGAAACTCCGAAGCTATGCTCTGTTTATTTCGGGTTGACTGTACTATCTTAAAAGCGGCGGCGTCATACTTCTAGACTGTGGACCACATGTGCAGTCAAGCTTAGGCTGGAATGCCCCACTTGCTGCAGATGGAATGCATACCGCGAACGTCAAATGTCAGTCTTTATTTCATTTTAGACACTGTTTCAAGAGGGCTTTCATGATATGAGCATGTTGGAACCACTGGTGCGCTAGTTCCACCAATTCAATGGGGGCATTGTGGTACAAGAAATACTAATGCTTAGCCCTCTCTGGTCAAGCTTTTTAAAACAATTAAAATTCAAATGGTAAATGACCTCTCTGCTCTCAGGATCTTCCAAATTCAAGTTCCAGTGCTTGGAATTATTTTTCACGCTAGTTGGGGTTGTGCATCCTCAGGTTTCAAATGCTTCCACAAGTTTGGGCATATGTGGTCACCCGTTGGGCAGGACCGCTATGAAGATTTAAGTTGAGCTATCGGATTCAAGTACATTGCATCCAATGATACACCGCATGAATCAATTCAAATGTTTAAGCAGATAAGAATTTAGGTCTTGTTAACATTTGAATTTGGTTGAAACCCAACCAAAAAGCTTCTAATAATATATGCCCGAACCTATCGGAAGAGACCGGTCCCCAACGCCATATCAATTGATCCAAGTTCTCTATCACCAGGGTGATGATATAGAAAGATTCAGCCCAACGTTGTAACTTGCAGCAACGTTTCCTTGTAAAAGAAATTAAACAGGGTGCCCAACATGGTGCTATGTTAGCGTTCCTCTATTAGGCCCATTCATGCAGAGTGACAACCATCGAATTAGTAGAGGAAAAGTCGGTCTTTCGCATCCTGTACCACCCACTCCAATCCTTCATTCAAGTTCTGCCCTGACATGGCACTGCATGGCAGGATAGTCCATTTGTGTGTTTTGATTAAATCCAGACCAAGGCGCTGTAGTATTAAAGTTAGCCCACTTCAAATGATTCGGCTTTCCATTTCGGGAAATTGATGACAATCAAGGGGTATCCACATACTTCTCGAACCTCCGTTTCTGTCATACATTGCTCAACATCTGTTTTGTTCAGGAAAACTAGCAAACTAGCTCCCGTCAGACGCTGTTGGTGTTAGTTCGGGATCCCGAGAATTTGCGGGTGGGGACAAACCTCCTCCAGCAACAGACCAGCTAACTCCTCACGACAGTCATCCACCCGGAGTCGATCAGTTGCATCCACAACCCAGACTAGGGTGTCTGTCTTTTCAAAATAGTTCTTCCAATATGATCGGAGTGTTTTTTGACCACCCACGTCCCCTGGGGTAAGTCAGTGCTGTTAGTCCCATAAGGTTTCACACCCAGTGCGACTCACAAATATTCAGCTTGTACCTATTTCTTGGTTAGTCACGGATTTTCGTTGAATAATGATGGATCTTACCCCATAAAGTCAATGGTTTTGATAATAAAACCTAGAGTCGGGCTGACTGTTGTAATATCTTCATTCATTATTCTTTTCACAATGGTGGTTTTGCCTGCATTGTCCAGTCCCCTATGTTCACTTAGCATCCAATCAAACTAAGGATAGTTCTCCCGATTCTCATACAGCATTAGAATTCGCATTTCTTTATCCTTAAGGCGTGCTTTTCGTAAAATTGATAACATTTTGCTGGATTGTGCTTTGTGCTTAAAAACTGAAGATATGAGAGGGGGGAAGTTCAAGTTGTGTGCAGCGGGTAGAAGTTGATTGGTAGGCCCGCTTATACTACACCACCGAGGTATCATATCGCCTGTATGTTTTCCTCTATACATGGGCATAACTTAAGTCGAATTTCAAAATAGATTTTGAAACCTGTAGAATTGACAATACAGTATATATTAATTGCTGTTTTCCCAGTCAATATAACCCCAAATTGTGTTCAATCACTGTGTTCAATCGGAGATTGAGTGTCTTCCGACTAGAAAAACAGACAGACTCAGAGCTGAAGATGTGCAGAGTGAAAGTAAACTCTCTGATACAAGCTCTTTCAAACAGTCCTCTCAACACTCAAATAGGCAAAAATACCTGTAAATGATAGATTTGTAAAGTTCTTCCTCTGGACTCTTTGGCTACTCTCTGCGGTCTTTAAATCATGTTGACCTTCCAGTACTGACTAGCACTTCTGGAAATCCTAAACCTTTTATTGGTCCTATCATCTTATGAGCCAAATATCCATCACTGCTTGATGGTTTGAATTTGGAAACTCCTACCGCTATTGGGGCTCCTGGAAGGGAACTTCCGCGGCCATCCTTCCTCAGTTCGAACTCAACGACTTCTTCTTTGGTATCGCACATCATCCTGGGTATCATACCAGCAGCCCCGCTTGATCACCCCTGCTACCAAGATTATCAAATCCTTGATTTGAAGACCGAAACCTTTACTACAACTGATTCTTTCTGATCCCCTCGAGAATTCCGGATATCACTCCTCTGCCAGATCGTATCCTCACCCTTCCATCCCTCAAACCTCCTCCAAGTTCATCACAAGTGAAGCAAACATGAGTGCCCCAATCACCGGGGAAATCCTTGACCTGGGTGGAGATGCAGCGCCAATCACTTGGGAAGATGCCCTTGCAAAAGCTAAGGCTATCGGAGAGCCGATTATTCGCGCTGCGCGCCAGAGAAACGTCAGAGAGCAGGAGGACAACGCATGCAATGAGATTCTACCTATTCTTCGGCGCGGCCCTGGAGCTCACCGCAACTCCGACGCTTACAGATCTTTTCATCAGCCCCTGGAAGCCGAGGGTGTGGAAGCAGCACACCCGTGGTTGATTGTGCCGCCTACTTCCATCCCCGACAAGGGCTACATCGAACCAGATCCTGAAGTGAATTGGCGTGCTGCAAGTGGGACTGATGAGAAGTTCTTGTCTCAGTGGAAGAAGTACGAAGAGTCCCCCTCCTGCTGGCCACAGCTCAACTCGAAAGGTTACAATAGCTACACACTGGGTTCCGAGCCCGATGAGAACTGGGATTACACGCCCCAAGGTTTTCCAACAACTGTGAGCAACCCTCCTGGATACGTGCAGCACGACTTTGGGTGCAATTGGCACTTTTCGTCAACACATTCCTGGAATCGGGAGGGTTATCTTGAGTGTTTCTGGAAATGGCTGCTCAAGATTCCTATGCAGGCTAATGTCGTCAACATCTACCATAAGCCGTTCTACGATGGCACTGCAGTCCCCGATGGTGGGTACTCTCTCATGATTCAGGATATCGAGCACCTTCCTACTCCACGAGACGAAAAAGATGAGGAAACTCGCCTTCACTGGCATGAGACCTCAAACAGCTTTATCCTCAATATGCAGTGTCTTGAAATGGAGAATATGGGATTCAGAGACTTGCAGTTCCAGGCTCTTGCCGAGAAAAAGGCAAATAAGCAGTTTCCGCTTAAGGGCGCGGATTGGCAAACGATCGAAGCGTTCCGCGAGATGTCTAATCCAGCCCGCGCCAGCGCCTACCTACGCCCCGTCAAATCCAGTGACGTCCCTGCTCTTCACCGAATCTTCAAGTGGTATGCCGCAAATTCTTTCGTCAGCCCATATGAAGATCCCATGAGTCAATCCACTGTGACAGAGATCGTCAAAAGGTGCCGCAAAGATAACCTCCCCTTCATTGTAGCCGTCCCGCCAGACGATGACAAGACTGATAACATTGAGGACATCGTCGGATTCGCCTACATCAGAAGGGTTAGTGAGCTGGATGTCGACAAGTGGACAGGTGAGCTACAGGTGTTCGTATCCCCCAACGCCACCCACAAACACATTGGCTGGTCATTGATCCATATGATCTTATCTATTGTTGATATCAAGCACCCTCGAGGTAGTCCTTGTTACGAGTGGAAGCCCACGTTGGAAGTTCCGTATTACCAAGGAAGTATGCATCCAATGCATACCCTTCTTGTGGTACTTTCACACCCTTCCAATGAGGATAAGTCGTATGACTGGCTCCGAGAGTGGTTACAGCGTGAGTTCAAGTTCAAAGAGCAGGGTGTGTTGAAGGGAATCAGAATGAAGAACTCTACTTGGTGAGTTCGGTTCATTGAATATGATTTCTCAAGCTACTCACACTTTTTTTAGGATGGATGCCCACTATCTGGCTCGTATTATTCGGCCTTCTATGGAGTCCATGGTTCGTGAGTCCGCAAGCTAAACATGACTGTGGGATGGAGCGTGGAAGAATCGAGAATGGTGTCGGAAAAAGAAATCAGAAAATTCAATAAAAATTGGGCCTCCTATTAGGAACCTGGGGAAAGTTAGCACTAGCATTCCGACTCAATTGAATTCATTCTCAGATAATTTCTAATGTTATATCCCAAGTGCCCAGGGGCTGCCAATGCTACATAGTTGTATCTTGATCATCTACTATAGAATATCCATAGTTCTTCGTAACAGCATAATCCAACCAATGGCAATTATTTCACACTGATACCATTGAAAGATCTAGCCCTTGAGAGAATTCAGAATAGAAATTAGATGTAATAAAAGTAATGCAATGTATGAGAGTCATGCAAATCCGAGGTCATGGGTTTTCAGATGCTGAGTAAGAATCAAAATCACCGGGGCCGTGGACGGATCCATCCATATCTCCTCACCGCCCTCCAACTTTTTTTTTTCTGCTGTTGATTTCTTTTCGCCGATCGGGTTAAGCAGTTGGGGACTTACTCGATTCTTTTTTGGTCACCTTTTTTTCTCCCATTTCTTGACCAAGTTACGAGGCTACAGGTAATTTTACGTATCCCTACGAGTGAACTTTGTTCCTCGATTCCTGCCTCTACAATGGCTCCCAAAGCAGCCAAAGACGACGACTTCGTCTTTACGCTCTCCGACGATGAAGATGTCCCTCGTTTCAACGAGGAGGAGGATGAGGAATTGAACGAGATGGAAGCTGCGAAAGAATCCGACAACAAGAAGCGCAAGCGCGAGGCGGAGGTTTCAAAGGACAAGAACAAGAAGTTGAAGCAGCAGAACAAGGACAAGAACAAGAAAAAGGGCAAGGCTGCGCCTACTGAGGAATCTGAGGAGGAAGAGGAGGAGGAAGAGTTTGCCCGTATTGGTGACGATGATGGCGCCTTGAATCCCGAGTTCGAGTTCGATGTTGGTGGCGCGACCACTAACGGCGTTACTGAAGGATTCGATGGTTGGGGTTTGGAGGAGCCCCGTGAGACCGTTCGTGGAGACAAGCAGGCAGTTGATATCGATGATATTATCTCGCGGAGAAAGGCCAAGCAAGAGGCTGCTGCTGCCAAGAAGAAGAAGAAGTTGGGCTTGCCTGAAAGTGAAGACGAGGACGCTTCCGACGAGGAAGGTGGCATGGAGGTCGACTTCGAGGATGACGAGCTGATGGCTACCGATGCCTTTGGTATGGGTGCTGACGGCGAGGATGAGAGTGAGGCTGAGGATGCTGAAGGTCCTGAGGTTGGCTCTGGACCGGAGGACGAATCTGAAGCCGAGGCAGACAGCGACGAAGAGGAGGACGACGACGATGCGGCATCTGATAACGACTCCGTTGCTACCCCAGTGAACCACCCCGATGACGACGCTGCAGAATCTGACCGCGAATCCGACGTGGAGAGCGAGGTGGATGCTGAGGAAGCCGAGAAGCGCAAAGCCTTTTTCGCTCCCGAAGAGAAGACCGACAACAAGGCCCTCGAGAAGAGCACATTCCAAGACTTCAACCTCTCTCGTCCTATTCTCCGAGGTCTCGCCTCAGTGGGATTCACTGACCCAACCCCCATTCAGCGCAAGGCCATTCCCGTGGCCCTCTTGGGTAAGGATATCGTCGGTAGTGCCGTCACTGGTTCCGGAAAGACTGGTGCTTTCATTGTCCCCATTCTTGAACGTCTCCTCTTCCGTCCTCGCAAGGTTCCTACATCCCGTGTCGCTATTCTCATGCCCACTCGTGAATTGGCGGTCCAATGTTACAATGTCGCCATCAAGCTGGCTACCTTTACTGATGTCACCTTCTGTCAACTTGTCGGTGGTTTCAGCGTTCGTGAACAAGAGAACATCCTGAAGAAGCGACCTGATGTTATTATTGCCACTCCCGGTCGTTTCATTGATCACATGCGTAATTCGCCTAGTTTCACTGTCGATACCCTTGAAATTCTGGTTCTTGATGAAGCCGATCGAATGCTTGAGGATGGATTCGCTGATGAGTTGAACGAAATCTTGACTACAATCCCCAAGTCCCGTCAAACCATGCTTTTCTCTGCCACCATGACTGACACCGTGGACAAGCTGATTCGCGTTGGTCTGAACCGGCCCATGCGACTTCAGGTGGACTCTAAGAAGCAGACCGCCGTCACACTGACACAAGAGTTCGTCCGACTACGCCCTGGACGCGAGGATAAGCGTCTTGGATACTTATTACATTTGTGCAAGGAGATCTATACTGGTCGCGTGATCATCTTCTTCCGACAAAAGAAGGAGGCTCACAGAGTCCGCATTATCTTCAGTTTGTTGGGACTGAAAGCGACTGAATTACATGGTGCTATGAGCCAAGAACAGGTATGATCGGATTCCGATTCCCGATTTTTCCTGTTTCCAGGAAATCCAACAAACTCTATGCATAATCTCATTTACTGACCCTCTTCTCCAGCGTATCAAAAGTGTTGAAAGCTTCCGTGACGGCAAGGTCGCCTTCCTTCTCGCCACCGATCTGGCCTCTCGTGGTCTGGACATCAAGGGAGTGGAGACTGTTATCAACTACGAAGCCCCTCAGAGCCACGAAATCTACCTGCATCGTGTCGGTCGTACTGCCCGTGCGGGCCGCTCCGGTCAGGCCTGTACTATTGCCGCTGAACCCGACCGTAAGGTTGTCAAACTTGCCGTCAAGGCTGGTAAAGCGCAGGGCGCCAAGATTGCCAGTCGTGTTGTGGATACTGCGATTGCAGACGAATGGGCACAAAAGGCTGAGGATTTAGCCGAAGAAGTGGAGGAGGTTCTGGAGGAAGAGAAGCTCGAGAAGCAGATGTCTCAAGCCGAGATGCAGGTTACCAAGGGTCAGAACATGATGAAGCATGGAGCAGAGATTATGTCTCGACCCAAGCGTACCTGGTTCGAGTCGGAACAACAAAAACGGACAGCGAAGCAGATGGGTGCGGAGGCGTTGAATGGGCCGAATGCTCAGTCTAAGAAGGTCAAGCTTAGCAACAAGGATAAGAAACGATTGGATGATGCGCAGATGCGACACGATGGAAACATTGGGTGGAAAAAGGGCAAGACAGACCGAGATGGGCCCAAGTCTAAGGGCAAGGATAAAAAGGGTAAGGGTAAGGGTAAGGGATTCAAGGGTAAGAAATAATCTTGAGGCCTTTTTTCGCTTTGATTATTTCCATATCTATGTTTATTTTCATTTCTTTATTCTCCATGTCCTGTCACTTTTTATTTCCCTATCTGTGTGTACAATGTCCATACCCGATTTCTGGTACTTTTTTACCCCGAATTTACTCCAAAATAGATTTGATTCAAAATGTTCCACCTGAATTATAGTTTCAGACTAGTGATCACACCATTTTAAAGCGCTAAAGTTTCCTATTATCAGTGGGTAAATCTTCCTGCAGTGGAAAATCCTCCTGAATTGTGGAGTGCCTGACGTACAACGCCCAGGTGTACTCCATACATGGAGAGAGTATTTACTGATTTGCTCGGTGCTTTCCTATTTAAGCTTGTCGCCGCTTTATTAAAGTTGAAGTTAAAGGTAATCATTGAGTACGTCTCAGTCTGGTCAATTCGTTTCCAACATGATCCTTCATATGTCTTCTTGCTTTCATTGAAGTGAAGTGAGTTCATCACTTGATTTCTTGACAAGTCATCCGAGAATTCCCAGTAGGAGTACCTCCACGCCCTTGATGTAGCCCAGAATAGTGACTTTTCAATATGTTCAATTCCAGCCCATATCTCTCAATTTCGTCGTGATTCTTTCGGCCACGGTGAAGGTCAAGCAACTTTCATCAGTATCCATAAATCCTCATTCCAAAATGCCTTCGAGCGGGACTATCAGTTCTTCCACATGAATAAGATCGATGATGGTTCTGGCTGGCGTTCAGGTGTAGGTGTCTGGTTGTACTGTACGGTTTGGCCTTACAGCTCCCTGGTTGTTTTCCAAGTTCCTCCCCCCCCCCCCAATGGTTGGTTTCATGGCTGTAGTGTAATGTACGTTAAAGCTCATGACAAAGCTACCGAGGGATTTTTCAAAGACTCACTCTTCTGTCCGTAGAATGGAATCTCTCGTATCCGACCTTCCGTGTTTTCTTCCCCCGTACTCCATGTTCGTCTGCTGGCAACCTTTCGTGGGGGTTATCTTTATCATAGAGGCTAAAGTTTGATTTTTGGATAGTTTAGTGAGTTGGGTCAGTCAGGTGAGGGTGTGAAAGGGCCATTGAAGTTTACGAAATCATCTTGCGCTCGGACCATTTGGAAGAACCTGTCCATTTCGTAGACATCGTAGTCTGCTTAGGCGGAGGCTTGGCCTATTTGTCTCGCAGGCGGACAAAATGTGGACGACCTCTAAGGAGAAGAACCTCATTGATCATCTTGTTCCAGCTGTTCGTCAACTTCTGCTTAGATATTGCGAAGTTTTGATCCTCCTTCGAGCAGGTATCTGGGAGGCCTTGGACGAACGCGCAAGGGGGTAAAATCAGCGAATGCGAAGAGCTGTTAACCCAGGCATCCAGGCATCCAGGACTCAGAACTCTCATTATGAAAGGTGCTCCACTTCCATTCAATTCCTTCTTCTGCAGAGAAAGCTTGGAGAGATTCAAGGAGCGTAAAATCATGATGTTGAAGTCAGTAGCATGGTCCCCTTGATAGATGTTGCAATGATAGTCGAATTCTCATCCAATATCACATAGTAGAGGTTGAAGGGGACTAACATTTCTTGCCGCAGTAACAGCATATCCATTGTAGGTTTAACTTGATCGTCGCATTTCCATCGGGTGGGATGACTAAAGATTCGACATTGGCAAGGGAGGTAATGATTTTGGATCCATTCACAGCCTTCTAGGTCTTCTTGGTCGTCATGTCGATGGTGAAAGAGGTATCGCTTGAATTCGCGTGATAGAATTGACGGACGATGCGCCTGATATTGACTCCTGGCAACAAAGGTTGGAGTTGCTACCATCTATCCGATCTCGCGTATCCTTGAGGATATCTGCTGCCTTTGCGTTGATTTGGTGAATGCTTATCATCGCTGTGTGGTCTTCCCCGCTAAGGATATAATAATCCATGTAGACAAAGAAGAAAGGTGGACCGAGTGTGACATCCATCTAACCAGTAGTCTTAATCAGCATTTACAGCATCACTTATCTATGGTGTTTGCGTACCGGGTGTTTGCGAGGTGTTTGCAAGTGAGATGAAGATGGACAGTTCAGATCCATATCAAGGTTTCCGCGCCACTCTTTTTTCTCCCTTGACACTTCTCTTCCCCTGACACATGGGTACAATGAGGATCAGTGTTTGAAGAAGAAGAAAGGAAGTAAGGAGGAGAAAGTGACTTTATATGTGTCTGACAGAGCTTGAATTACTGGAAACGGACAGACATTATGAGCAAACAAATCCAAATCAAGATTAGCTCCTATCAGAGAATTAAAAGGCAGATAGTTTTCGTCTAGTCCTCACATCTTCATAAATTCCTTATCATCCATCAGTCATATATTCAGGAATTAATCTTGTTTACACTACTCTTGGGGTCCATAAGTGGCCTAGGGCCACTTCCCACCTGGCAACCGTCTTTCTAGAGAAACTTCCAAGGTTCACTTCTCGATCACATCAGTTTGATATTGAGAAGAATCATACGGCAAAGTCGCTTTATGGCCCTTGGAGGTGAGTTTAATCAGTTTTATTTTTAAACTCAGATTGATACTCTTTCTCACGTCCCCCAGTTTAATACTATATGGTCAATATCAAGTAGATATTGCATCGGTATGACCTCAAGAATAGAATATCCATTACGATGCAGGCTGACAGTTGAAGTTTGACCCAAGACCCATAAGATAGCCGACTATGATATTCAGACAGATATTCCAGAATGCGCTCATATCATCCCACTTTCGCTTACTGCCTGGAGTGAAATACGTGACAGAAAATCGAAACATCCTGTATGGATAAAATTGACTCGGTGTTTCCCATCAATCGCGGGCAAACGTTACTCTACGTGGAAGGATATTAAATACCGATGAGGATCGAGTCAATACTTCAAGTGACCTAACCTCAATCTGGTTTATTTTATGTCCTCTCACTCGACGTCCACGGGTGTGAGTGACCCATTCGGTAACTGACACAGAAACGCAGAATGGGACGTGGTTGGCCCCCTGTTACCGGTTCTGAAGACGAAAATGCAAGAGACAGAGAGAATTCAGCTAGATAGACGACTCGAGAGAATCATACCGAGCTTCCAGGCGTTCTATGATCAACTTGAGAGACCAAAGAGACAGGCTGATGAAACATTCCAGTCCCCGTCTAAATTCAATTAAAGACGTCCCAACATTTGAAACCCCTCCAATCAGAGTGTTCCTCACCTGAAGACAGCTCAAACTACCCGGAAGACGCATTTCATCCATAAACAGCATGGACCTCAGTGACTAGCGACGAATCAACCACGTGGAACAAAGCATCGGCGGACCGAGTTCAAACCTCGAGTTGATCCCCCCTTCAGAGCTGTTATCCCTGAGACCACCAGAAATGCGAGGGCTTCATTTAAGCAATGAATCTCCTCCAAACTACAACTGGTCCAAGAGTTTAAAGCGTCGTATAGAAGAGTACGACCCTGAATTGTACGGGAGGTATAACTACCGTATAAGGTGGTTTGAAATTGGCGCTGATGCCAGGTGCCCATCTCGGAGATCATCGATGAATACACATTGTTTTTCAGTCTCCGTGAACGTCAAGGTTATTTGAATCAATTAATTGCATGTTATTTTCCTATTACTCCTCCGTAACCTTGGAAATGACTCTATATAGGGTAATCTCGGGATCACGGTTAGTACTAGTAGCACTAACTTAGTATTGAGCGTGCTCAAATATACTCATTAAAGCGGCAAGACTAAGATGGCCTAAAAGGGAAGGCCAAGAGAGGAAAATCCTGCACACTAAAGATAATAAGATAATAAGATAATATTATATATTATATATTAATATACGGAGTAGTATCATTCAAGTTAGTATTAACGCTAGATGTACAGAGTACTAGTACCAAGTAGTCCAGATCAAATGATCGACTTCATCTATCACCGCCACTAAAAGGTTCTTCGTGGGTTCCAATTGTTCCAGGGAGATTTTTTCCTTCCAAGGTTTTTTTTCCCTGCAGCCATGGAGTCCGGCCCAGTTAACCCCCAACGTTCAAGGGATCCATACTGTAATTCCTGATTGGATCGTCGTCAAGATTGCCATCTCTCTCCCAAAAGCCTTAATGCAAGCTAAACCCGGTCGAGTTTGGTTTGGTCGGGCTAAAGTGGTTCTAGCTGGGATCCGACGTCAGTATCTCCAAATAATATACCGCATCTTTTTTAAGACCAATCATCCAGGGGCATCCCATGAGGAGAAAAGGGAATTATTGCGAACTTGATCGAATTAATTATAAAAAAAAATTGAGAAATAAAAAATAAGATAGAACAACTTGAACAACTTGAAGTTCCATAGCACAAAGACATCCCCCCGCGATATCAAAGGGTTAAAACGCCCCACGCACCAATTCCCTTTTTTTCCTTTCCCCTCTCCGAATCCAACTCCGAAAATCCTACCCTTTCCTAGCCTCCCCCCACATATACCCAACAGAACTCTTTTCGACCTACTGAATTTTCTATATATTCCCAGTCAATGGAGGTCGCGTGTCGCGATTCCCCCTCCGTGAAGGTTGCGTCATGGTGGTAGAAGGTTCATCATCAACCGGTATGACCGATATCCCATTAAAGACTACGCTTCCAAGAAAAAGCGCTTTTTCATGTGAAGCCTGTCGGAAACGCAAGGTGGGTTCAAGCTTTTACTATACTAGAACTGATTCGATTTTGCATGCGCGTAATCGGTCAGATTCCGAATAAGTTCTTATGGGCTGACAAGCAATTGGGTCATAGGTCAAATGTAACGGAGCTTCTCCGTCATGCTCACGATGCGCGGCTCGTGGTGAAGCATGCGTCTACAGCTTGTAAGTCTAATAACCGGGCAAATACCCCATTCTATCCTGATCAATGTCCAAGCTCTATCGAGAATAATCCTTGCTTGCATCGTTGTACTACGAGACAAATCCCGGCTAACGTTATCACAGAGCCCCAACTCTGTCCTACACTAAACAGCTCGAATCGAGAGTCGCCCAGCTAGAGGATATATTGACGAAACTGAGGAATCAGCAAGCCGATGTAGAGGCGAGGAAGGTGAGCTCGCCGGCTTCGGTGGCGGAATCGAGCTCCAGCGCAGGTCGCAAGATCAAGGTCGAACACGACGAAACACAGGATCTGGCGCGGGATTTTGATGGCTTGAATGTGGAAAATGACGGTCGCATTTCCTTCCATGGCCCGACCAGTTTGTTTCAGCTACCCAGCGGGGTGGTCAGTGAGACAACCTCAACGACACATTTTGCTCAGGAGCTGGAAGCCCGCAAGGAGCGTCTGATTAACAGTGCGTGGCGGGAACGGGCCTTTGAGCAGATGGCTACCATGCCGGTAAGCATTAAATCTAAGGAACTATGAAAGCGATATTAGTGGAAAGCTAATAGGTGTATTTTAATCGCAGGAGCCATTCCAATATCTCATCGACTCACATTGGTGCTGGATTCAGCCACTATTCAACTTTGTCTATCGTCCAGCTTTTACCCGTTCGCCTACCTCTCCAATGCTCATGACGGCAATTTACAGTCAACTGACTATCTAGTAGGAGATATGAAAATAAATGGTCAATACTACTCTGACGTCTTACTCAACGCTATCCTCTCTCATTCTGTACGATGGTGCAAGGAGGAGCCACAAATCGGCCCACTCCTAGACGCCTTCGATGGCGGTGCCCAATTTTATCAACGGGCGCGAACTGGACTCTTTGAGACACTACAAAGTGGTTATGCAGAGATTCCAACCATTCAGACCCTTCTTCTCCTCAGTGCTCAGGAATGTGGTCGTGGAAACCGGACACAGGCGTGGCTATACAGTGGAATGGCATTTCGACTATTGGACGACCTGGGTATCTCAATCGACAGCCGCAAATATCCTGGCACAGCCCAACTGACTGACGAGGAGATTGAAATTCGCAATCGACTCTTTTGGAGCTGTTACTTCTGGGATAAGATTGTGGCTTTGTATTTCGGTCGGGCCCCGGCAATGCAGCATTCCCGGGTTAGCCCACCACGCATGATATGTAAGTCATCAATTTTATCTCACACGAATTTACCGCCGATGCTTTGCAGTGCTGACAGCTTTTTCAGTGGATGACACCTCCGAAATCGAAATCTGGACACCTCATGGTGTGACCTTCCCTGATGGAGCACACTACCCGCCAACGCAAGCACACTCCACTTCGTGCTTTATGAGGATGTGCGGCCTGGCCGAAATCTTGAACCAGATCCTCATCCACATCTACGACCCAATGCGGCAAAGTACAGAGGCGGAATTCTTCGAATGTGTCCAGGAGCAGGCGAAGAACTTGAGCGAATGGTGGGAAGAGCTTCCAGACTACTTGAAGCTGGTAGCCACGGATCTCCCACCCTATTGCCCACCAAGCCATATAATGACCTTGAAGTATGTTTCTTTTCTTTTCGACATAATGTGCATCCTTTTGCTAATCTTTGCATGTAGTTGCTTGTACCATACAATCAATATCCTACTCCACCGCCCAATACTCTGCTCTCGCGCTCTATTACAAACACGACAAGATGCATACGACACCAGTCACTTAATTCAATGCATGGCTTCCGCAACTTCAATATTATCCCTGTTTGATCTATTCCGGCGAACATTCGGCGATAACCACGTCGTCCTCTCTCTCGCCTACAGCATCTACACAGCTGCATCGATCTTCCTACTCGAGATCCAGGCCCTAAAGTACGCTGCACCGGGTACCCTCGACAAGCTGAAGTTCTGCATATTTGCACTGGAAAGAGTGAAGGTTTCCAACCCCGTCATGGCTACCGCACTGAGTCTCGTCTACCAGGAGCTTCAAAAGCTACAAATTGACATTCACGCCCCAACCTCGGACGCCGAAAAACGTCAACAGCAGCAACAGCAGCCACCTCCACGACCTCACTCTACCACCCACAGCCAATCCCCATCTGTCAGCAGTAATCCATCTCGGCATGTCTCCCCGGGTCAACAAGCACACACACATCAACATCAGCGGCAACAAAGCAGAGCAACGATGAGTTCACAACCTGCTACACCGGCACAAAATACCACCACGCCAATGATGTCCAGCTACAATTACCAACAGCAAATTTCAGGCTTCGACCTATCGCCAATGAGCGATATGCCACAAATGCCACCAACGCATTTACTTGGCGGAATGCCCAACGCCGTAATGACGGTTGATGATCCCCGCTCCTACGAAATCACACCGGAAGTATTCGAGGCATTCTCGTATGCGCAGCCCATCACGACGAATATGACATCTCCCTTTGAAGCGAACTGGCACCAGGCGCAGTGATTGGCTCTTGGATTTATAAATCAAAAGGAGTACCGGTACTCTGACGTGAATGATGAATTGGAAAGAAAATAGATTTCTTCCTGGATGGCTTTTTGATGATTCCCACTTGGTAGCGATGCAAATATTCTTGTCAAAAGTTTAACGATCTTTCTTGGTTGAGTATATATACTCCTGAGATTTCTCAATAAAATTTGTCCTTATGGGCATCAAGCTGCTCGCAGCAACAACCTATATACATGTACAATATGGATCTTAATCTTAGTTAATCTAATTTGATGCTATAAGAACTTGAACAAGTTGAACTCCGACTCGGATCATTAGTTGAAAGGTGTAAACATTAACTTTTAACTTGAAGCCTGCCTATGTATATGCCTATATGGAGTTGAATCTGCACACTCCAAGCACAAGACAAACCAATCCACAATATGTAGTAGAATGAATCTAATAATTAAATACAACGGGTATAAAAGAGTATGTATCTTGCAAGCACGCAAGAGAAGGAGAGGTGAGAGTGTGTCAAACCCCGAGGACAGAGATGTCAAGCTTTCAAGCTCAGGTGAGGCGTGTATCCACTCAAACCAAGGCATCGATTAACAAAAATGCCTGGGATTTCACAGAGTAGCTTTCGGCTGATCACGATGATCATGAGCCTCCACATCCTCAAAGGAAGCATTATCACAATCCACCGACTTAACACGGGCATTCCAACGCATATACCAAGGACCCGCAAAAAGCTCATCCATCTGTTCCATAGAAACCCCCTTAGTCTCAGGCATCCAGATACCCAAAATAATCAAACCAAGGAAACAAATAAGGGCCCAGAAGAGATAAGCACCCCAAACATCCAAAGCAAACATATTGGGCGTAACCCGCACGACAGAAAACTGGAAAAACCAATGCAAACCCATACTAACACCATAACAAACATTGCGAATTCTCGTCGGGAAGATCTCCGCACCGTATAAATACGGAATCGTACAAAGACCGATGGACCAGCCAACGGCATAAATGAAAACACTCGCAATCGCCGCATTCGACGCATTGGTATTATCCCCCGAACCAGGTTGAAGGCCCATATAAGCACCCATATAAATATGTCCAGCAAGTTGAAGTGAAAGACCCGTTAATGCGCAGCGCCGACGACCGAATAGATCGATAAGACCCCATGTAAACGCCATAGTAAAGACCAGCTTAACGATGCCGTATGCGCCCGAAGAAATAAGCGACTCGTTCGAGCCCGTAATACCAGCATACTGGAAGATGGTAGAGATATAATAAGTAATACCATTTCCGCCGGACCATTGAGCGACGGTTTGCAGGGCCATTAGAAGCCAGAAACGCTGGCGGTAGTTTGGATTTAGTTGAGATTCTTTCAGAGCTTGCCAGTTTGAGATTGAGGCTAGTTGAGCGCGTTGTTTAGCTTGGGTATCGATTTCGTCGAATTCCGCAAGGATGGATTCATCGTCTACTGTTTTCCCGCGGAGTCGGGCGAGGACTTGTTTCGCTTCATCATGGCGTTGTTTTGAGGCGAGGTATCTTGGTGTTTCGGGGCACCAGTAGGATAGGAAGAAGACGAAACCGACAGGGATTAATGGGATGGCTTGGACTAGGCGGTATTGGGTGCGGGTGGCGGCCATGTGGAGACTGGCGGCATAATTGATGAAGAAGCCTAGGAGAAAATGGGGTTAGTGAGATTGTACTTTTGGAGATACCCCGGACAGGGGCCGTAACAAAGAACCAGATTAAAAATAATGACGATTGTGAAGACATACCGAGTGTAAGAATTCCTAGTAAAGTTACCATTGATAACCCCACTGCTAAACCGCGTGTTGCTTTTGGTGCCACTTCGGACAAATACATAGGGGAGGTCACAGTGAGGAGACCAGCACCTAACCCTGCAAAAATGCGAGAAAAGAGTAATAAGCCATAGATTCCGGACGAAAAGACCTGAATAAAGGTTCCAATCGCCCAGACTATGATTGCCAGACGAAATGATAGAATGCGACCCAGTCTATCATTCAAATATAGAGAACTTAAGGCGCCAAAGGCTGCGCCTAGTGTTAGAAATGAGGAAATATTGGCTTTTCTGTTGGTTAAAGCTGACGCGCTGCCTGTCCAGTCCGCTGCGATCAAGTCATAGTCCTTTTCAAAAGATGTTAACGACATGCTCGAACTGAACCCTCCCTCATCATAACCTGTATGGTATATTTAGCATGTGGACTCTCTATTTGGAAGATAGGCACGCGACACACCTTTAGGCATGGTTCCGCATGCAATAACGGCGACGACAAAGGCATAGAAGGGGGTAGTCGTCCATCGAGATCGATCCAGCCATTGCATGATTTATTCCCGTGATGCGATCGGGAACGCTGTGGAGGCAGAAACCAACAGAAAAAAAAATCCGGGGAAGATAGCTATAGAATGGAACACGCGGCAATGAGTGGGACGTGAAGTAGGAATAGGGGGGGCCAGTGGGTTGAAAAGAGAGAATCTCAGTGCTCCTTAGAGACCCGCGTTGGGGTTCTCGGTCGAGTTCCGTTGTGAAAAATCTGGTTCCTGTTACTAAGTTCTCGACTTTCTCTTCAAACCACGGGAGGATCCACTGGGGCAATATCCACTTTATATGACCTTCTGAGATTCATAGAATTCTACGATCACCATTTACCCTACTGGGTATGGATTAGTATTCTTTCTCCTTTGCAACATTTCCTCGGTCATATGGTCTGATTTGGAAAAAAAAAATCGGGTCATGAGAAGGCCCGACCCGGGATGAATGGAGACCTCATATGGTTGGGGGAACTCTAAGCGCAAATTATACTTGGAATATCATGATTTTTAGTGGATGTTGAGAGATTTGAGTGATGAACTCTTATCCACCTAGATCATTAGACCTCGGGAGTGTTGCATGAGTTGAGGTTACTGTATGATAGACTATTCGGATGCCTTTCGATCTAATATTGAGTAAAGTGCTTACCCCTAGCCCTCGAGCCCCTTCAATTCAATGCAGTTGATCTTAATCTGGGAAAAAGAAAAGCCCTCACGTGGGTCTCGGGCTCTCGTGTATGCATGCCACTCCGAGTGTGTAGAATGTACTCTGTACTTGTGTCGTGCAGCGACGATCGTTATACAATTCAAGAATCAGGCCGAGTCTCATCTTGATTTGACTCAGTTCAAGGCAACCAGATTCTTGATCACGCAATCTAACGAATGATATGGAGTAAAAGTCTCTCGGTCATGATATTCATGCATTGAAGCTGAACCGGGCATCTTCATGACTGCCCAGATGTCCCCGGAGATGAGCTTCTCCACCTTCAAATGTTCTTGGCCATAGCTCACGATCAGGTCCTGCCACAGTGCCGCGTAATTTGGATATACGTAATTCGTAGGGGTGATATGCACCTGGGCATGAAGTCGACGCGCATTCCGATACCCGCAAACAGTACTTTGGTAACTTCTTCAGGTCAGGCTTGGATTGTGTCGACAGTGTTATCTTGTACAGCAGAGTGAAGCGTAATGAGTAATGATGAATGATTTCTTCGAGTTCGTCTAGAATTAGACTAACCACATGCAGTTCTCGGTGGTTACTCGCTTAAAGACAGCACTGGCAGCCTCAAGGCTTGGATGTCTCAAGTTTGGGAGAGATCGACCATAGGACCAAAGGTTCCAAGGTTCAAGTTGGATAGTATTATCCACCCATTTTTGCGGAGTACTAGAAGGTAACTAGTCCCGGCTTATATTTACTATCTACTGATTGATAGTAGAATCGATAATTCAACACAGCATTGCACTCAAACTTGGAATTGCATTCAGGGTCTTGGAAGGATGAGTCGGAAGCAACATTTTTGAACATTTGAACCCTCCACATCTGCTTCTTGCAAACTGCTGGATAATATCTACCTTACAATGCAGTATCTATTGAGACATGATACAACACTGTCTTTGACATTCAGTGCTTACAGATGTATGTGCATAGATATCAGAGTTCTGACTTCCAGTAATCCAACATCTGAAAGCTCAAATTTAAGTAGTATTAGGTATACTACTCAAAATTGAGGGCTATCCGGGGTCCTACTTGGAATCATCTAGAAATTGATCAGGATCGTCAATGAAAGAAGTCAGATCTGTGGAATGCACCCTTTGAGATAATATCAACAGAAATAAGATCTGGAGAATATGGGATGAAGCTATGCCTTCCTTTGATCCAGTCTATGAGACACCACTCCATGATCGATGCACTTCAGTAGAGAACGTTGCAAGATTGGATCTTAGAAATATTTGAACTATTCAGCGCCCACTCAAGGTTAAAGACATACACACTACGGAGTAATAGTACGAGGATCATAATGTCAAAAATGAAGGCTGGTAACTAACATTCAAGGTTTGGAGTATTTTGCTTATGAAGCCATAAGTTGAACCTCTTCCAACCAGCCCTGCCGGGCTAGCTCAATCGGTAGAGCGTGAGACTCTTAATCTCAAGGTTGGGGGTTCGACCCCCCCCGTTCGGCTATTCCTAAAAAACCATAACCTGAGAATTCTTTTTTGCACTTTTTTTTTTTCTTTTTTCACAATGTACATACTGAAAACTCTTCGTGGTGGGTACAAGTTGACGCTGATAGGCTACATTTAGATGTGGATACACTATGAGACCCACCTGCCCAGGTTGGCATGTCGATCCATCCAGCAGTGCTCAATGAATTGTTATTTTCAACTGGAATTATCCATCGATTCCTTTTTCTGTTAACTTGAAGATAATGATAGCTCGGTGAAATTTATTCACATGTGCAACATTTCCATTGATGTTTTAGCCTCATATGCCTGAAGGGCTTTCAATTTTATCCCCGGGGGTGACAGAGCAGACATGTGCGTATGCCAGTGGACCGTGACTGTGATAATATAGATTGATCCGACATCTGGAGGCCCTATTATATAAGAAAATATATCAATTCCAAGCCATATATTATGTACGGCGATGGCATGGAGACTCGGAGTACTTGAGAGAAGGAGGCAAGGCCACCAAGGCGTGTGCTCAAGTGCTATGATCTATGAAGACAGACCTCGGACCACTAGGTACGACCTCGGGAGGGGCAAACTACTTCCCTGGTCTGAGTCTTCAAGTCCTTTAACAGGGCATCGAATTGATGTCCTGTTGCAAGGCTTCAATGAAACAAGACTCTGCGCTAGTATGGTGTTCTTTATGTATCATAGTAAAACAAATCATGATATGTATTCCTGGTATTCAAAGACTATTATAAACTCGAGAAATGGACACAAAGGGTTCCCTGGTCGCAAGGCATTGTATCTGCACATGTGGCTATCACGACCACATCGCCTATGTTTCATTTAAACATCTGCCGCATCTTGGAAAATGACGTGGGAGGTACAAATCTTCTTGGGGCCCTGTAGAGACATATCGGTTATTATCATGTACCAAAATGGCACACCACTCCAAGCTCATTAGCAAGGGGCACTTACAATTGGGTAGCAGCATGCAGGTCGAGATTGATCCTCACAGAGCTGGGGCTTCGTAAGCAGAACACCTGGGTAGTGATCTGAGTTAGTGATTGGACTCAAGTTTTGTTGTGGTACGTAGTAAACATACAGTCTTCAGCCTCATTGGCCTTAGGGTTTCCACGCGCAGAAGTCATATCACGGCAGCAATAGGGCTGCTGAACCATGCCGGTGTGATCTTGGGCAAATTGGCAACTCATGTTGATTTCCTTAGCCGAACCCAAAGCTAGGGTGATGGCGATAACAACAACGGATGAGAAACGCATATTGGCAACTGGGTATAATTGGAGAGTAAATTTGGGAGCAAAGGAAACGGAATGGTCGTTCTGGGAATATCGACGTATATCTAGGTAATGGCTGGGGTTTCGGATAATTAGCTTCACAGGGGGAGGCTGCAAAGGAGCCTGCTTACTACGGACGCGAAAAATGCCTTGCTCTCATGAATCAAAACAGCGCTTGAGTTAAATGAGCTGAATGGAGAATGAAAAGGGGGGTTTGGTGCATTTAATTGGTAGGGGTGGCGGTTGAATCATCCCCTTGCATTCTTCTTTCTCTATGAATGTGAGTGAACTGATAAACAAGGAGAGCTCGAGGGATAAGGGTGATCATAGAAATTCTTGCTGGAGGCTCTTGTTTCAGATGAGCCGTTGTTCCGACTTGGAAATTTACCAAGGGATAAATTGGAGGTGTTATTGTATATGAAGCCTTTTCACCTGCTGAAGAGGCCTCTGTGTAGTGTCTTCTACTACTGACTATGGTGAAATGTAGTACCGTAGATGGGTGTCACTCATGGCTTGGAACCTTGGACGCTCTGGAGAAAAAAAAATAAAAATAAAAAAAATAAAATTGAAATTGAAATGAAAGTAAAATAAAATGACTGAGAAAAGGTGCTATTCTGGAGACTCGGACGTGTTGTGGTGTAGTATGGTGGGAGAGTAGTATGGGCGCTTAAAGGAATAATAACTCCATAACATCAGATAAATGCGCGACTAGATATTAATCTCGAGTTATGCAACTATATGAAATTTATCGTTTATCATAGACCTATTCCTAGTAGTACTTGAGCAACAATTAGACATCCTACTAGTACTCCGGGGTACGGGGTTGTAGTTCATCGCGGCTACCCGCATAAGCGGCATAAGGTATCCCCAGTGCTAGGTACCCGGTACCTGGTAGTATATCCTAGACATTAATTAGTATGGAACATCTCAACGCTTAATATTGAGGACTTAAATGCCTATTGAATTTCTTACAAGTAGCAGACAAAAGACATCAAAGACCATGAAATATCCAAATATTACTATTTTGTCGATAATATGCTCATAATGCGACGCATGTGTAGTGGCGTGAGATACCTAGCACTTGAGATATGGGAGTACACATGCACTAGCAAAAGTTACTGCATTCAAGTTATATGACAAATTCAAAAGATATACAAAGTACCATACTGTCGGAGGTCCAACATACTACATAGAGAATCAAGAATGATCAGAATAAATCAAAATTCCACGCTATTCTAGTTGATGAGAAATCACATCATTCAAGGCGGTGAAGAGCACATCTGGACTCCTATCATTATCAATCAATCACTGGTATCGTCACCAATTTTTATTATCTACATCTTGTACATACCCCTCTCCATGCTCTCCCGCTTACTCCCCACCCACACATCCCGGATCAGCGTTCGCTCCTCCTTGACCCGGTCTTCATCCAAGAAAATCCATACTGTTCAACGTCCCGCTGTGAACCGAATCCTGGCGTCCAAGCCTCAACTTACAAATCCAATTGCCTTGGCTTCACGCCTTTCCTCGATATCCCGACACTTTTCCTCTTCTCCCGTTTCACGACAGAACTCACCTACAATGGCTCCTGTTGAGGTCCAGCAGTACGACTACATCGTGCTTGGAGGTGGTAGTGGTGGTAGTGGCAGTGGTCGTCGCGCAGCTGGCTGGTATGGTGCAAAGACTTTGATTGTCGAGAGTGGCCGATCCGGCGGTACCTGTGTGAACGTTGGGTAAGTTTTTGTCCGGATGTATTATATTTTAAGACAAAATTATTGGGAACACTGTACTAAAATCAGAAAAAAAAATAGCTGTGTTCCCAAGAAGATGACCTGGAACGCCGGAACTGTCAACGAGACCATTCACCTGGGCAAGCACTACGGCTACGATATCCCCGAGGGCACTAAGTTCAACTACAAGTTTTTTAAGGAGACCCGTGACGCTGAGATCAAGCGTCTGAACGGCATGTACGAGCGTAACTGGAGCCGTGAGGGTATTGATCTCGTCCATGGCCGTGCCCGCTTCGTCGAGCCCAAGGTTATCGAGGTCGCCAACGAGGACGGAACCACCTCAAGATACGCCGGAAAGCACATTCTGATCGCCACTGGTGGCCGACCCAACATCCCCAAGGTGCCCGGTGCTGAGCACGGTATTACCAGCGATGGCTTCTTCGAGATTGAGGAGCTTCCTCCCAAGATTGCTGTCGTCGGTGCTGGCTACATTGCCGTTGAGTTGGCCGGTGTCCTCCACGCCATGGATGTTGAGACCCACATGTTCATCCGTGGTGAAAACTTCCTGCGCAAGTTCGACCCAATGATTCAGAAGACCATGACTGACCGCTACGAGGCGGCTGGTGTCAACCTCCACCGTGGCCACGGCGGCTTCAAGGAGATCAAGCTTATCCGTGACGGAAAGGGCAAGGACCGTCTGATCAAGCTGATCAGCAATGACGGTTCTGAAATCGAGGTCAACGAGCTCCTGTGGGCTGTTGGCCGTGCCCCAGAGGTTGAGGATCTGCACTTGGATATCCCCGGCGTTAAGCTGAACGCTAGCGGTCACATTGTGGTTGATGAGTACCAAAACACCTCTGTTGAGGGCATCTATGCTCTCGGTGATGTGACTGGTCAGGCTGAGCTGACTCCAGGTATGTCAAAGAATACTATCAGTGGTTTTTAATAAGAGTAATTTGCTAACCCAAAGATACAGTTGCCATTGCTGCTGGTCGTCAACTCGGCAGCCGTATCTTCGGCCCCGCCGAATTCAAGACCGCCAAGATTTCTTACGAGAACATTCCCACTGTTGTTTTCTCTCACCCCGAGGTTGGATCAATTGGTCTCACTGAGCCCGAGGCCCGTCAACAATATGGCGATGACAAGATTAAGACCTACCACACCAAGTTCACCAACATGTACTACAGTCTTATGCCAGCCGAGGAGAAGGCCAAGAACCCCACTGAGATGAAGATCATCTGTGCTGGTCCTCAAGAGAAGGTCGTTGGTCTCCACATCCTGGGTCTCGGTGTTGGCGAGATGCTCCAGGGTTTCGGTGTTGCCGTGAAGATGGGTGCCACCAAGGCTGATTTCGACAGCTGTGTTGCCATTCACCCTACCAGTGCTGAGGAGTTGGTTACCATGCGATAAATATAGATATAATACATACGTCTTTTGCATCAAAGATGCAATGAACAATACCAAATGTTATTCAAGTTAAACTTGAAGTCTGCGAGAGATCGCTCCAATTGCATATCATGATGATGTGATTCTATAGCATATAGACTTGATGTTCCTCCGGTGTTCAAGTTGACAAGAGCATTTAGATTGAAACCAGACATTTGAATGGTTTATTTCCACAACAAGCTGTCTATGTCTAATAGTACTAGTACTACCTAGTACAAATGAGATTGATTGCTCTAATACATTGATCAGGATGGCATGCAGATTCCTCACGGTCTACTTGTATAAAACCCACATCAACCCTATCGCAAAAACACCAAAAATGACCGCCCAGCGTGTCAACCCACGACGAATATGCAAACTCGCAATCTTATCAATCGCATCTCCATCATTGATATGAGCAAACGGTTGATCCCTCGGGACCTCCTTGCCAAGCGCAGAGCAAAGAGGCTCCCAACCATCCTTCACATCATAAAAGACAAGTCGTTCCTCAGGAACAACCTGCTTCAACCACTCAATATGACGATAATAAGTCTGACGAGTAGGAATCTCCTCCCCATAAAGTCTGATCCACTGCACACTCAACAAGCCAAGGTAATCAATAAAGTGTCTCATGCCAGGTAAAGGAAGGAGAACGCCTCTTAAGAACCACAAGAACGTATAATGCATAATCTGATTCATAGATTTTTCCCAAGTTACCGGATCTCGCACTGTACAGATAACTTTTGCATCTGGATACAATTCCATCAATTCAGGCACAAATTGTGCACCGGGTGAATCGGTCGTTGCAGCGTATCCATCCAATTGGCGCTCCAAGAGCTGTAGCACGGGTTTTCTATCAGATGCATTATCTGCAGCCCAATGCTTAAGTGCTGACATCCATGTTTTAATTTGGTCTGGTGGACCTAGAGTCGCTTGCGTACCTCCATGGAAAATAGGTCCGTCTAGGAGGGTTTCTAGCGCCGCGCTGAATGATGCTGTTCCAGTGCGTGGAAGACCTGCTCCTATGACCTGGATCTTTGTTCCTGGTTTTGGAACAGATGGTTTCTGTCCCATATTGAAGGGATAAGGGGTGCGTGGTCGGATTAAGGGAGTTGTGGAGTAATATCACTGAAGCCTGAACAGCCTGAGGCTGATGTTGTGTCGATCTTCCCTTCAAACAAGGGATATATGCACTAAACACCCTGGATCGAATGGAAAAGCCTGATGCCTGGGGTATAAATACTCGTTAACTGGAATCCCAGCGCCCGTAAATGCAAATTTTTATGATAAATTGTGTTTCAGGGGCGAAACAGCCAGCCCGAGAATCATGATCTACACTGGAGCATTGAGTTTACCGCCCCCACCCCTTTCAAGGTTCGTGATCCATCATTATTGACTTGAGTTGACGAGATCAAGTTGGATGAGTGTCTACAAGAGAATACCAGAGATTATATCAGTATCCAATCAATATCGTAAAGCGATCAAATTCGATTAAATCGTAGTTTTACTGGAATCTACAAATAACCATCAAATAGTGACTGATAATTCTGAACTTGACCAAGAATTCTCATCTCGTATAGACATGCCATAAATATGCCAAGATGGCTATAAAGACGCCCAGTACGATCGATGGTGAGCAAGTCAGCACTTGAGATCTATCATCGGTAACAGGTTAAATTTTCAAGATTTTCATTTCAATGTGATCGGATCCATCGTAATAACATAATATACGGCTAATAAGAAAATGGGTTCGCCCAATGCGGCGGCTGGATCTCTCTTTCCAGCACTATGAAAGAGTCCCTCGCTAACAACAGCCTGGCGAAGATTCATGAAATCCAAATGATTGCCAATAGATCAAATACAAGGTGGTCCAAGGCGTAAAGGTGCTTGCGATCATAGACATGCATCGGTTATATTCGGCGCGTGTTCGTTGGGCGTGGAAGGTCAGAGAGTGACCTCCCCCGAGAACGTATCATTCATCTGGTTAACGATGACAGCGCTGGTTCCGGGGCGAATAAGTTATCGACGGATATCATATGATCTGGTAGTGTAGACGACAGGAAAATGCAATGCTAGTGTATCAAAAGTCTAGTACCTCACCCATCCAGCGATGTTGTGGGTGGATTCTCTTCAGCAGGACTAGAGCCGACCTTGTCCAGAGCCACGGTATGAAGGGCAGGCTTCTCGCCGGCTACGAGAAGACCCTGCTGTTTCAATTCAAGTTGCTTGAGTACCCAATCGGCAACTTCCTTGTCTTCGGTCACAGAAGACGGGACTTTCTCGCCGGGCGCAGGAACCTCAGGTTCAGCCTCCTCAGATGCAGCCTCTTCGGCCTCACTTGGTGGCCGCATGAGAGGCTCCAGCCATGGGTGGCGGATCAACGCACTGTAGGTAGGTCGGTTTTTCGGGTTCTTATCGAGACAGGCACGCACAAATGAGTGTGCTTCATCAGAGTATCCAGATTCAGGAAGAGTTGGAGGATCTCCATGAACGATTGCCTTTGAAAATTGTTAGAAACTGGGAAAATCACGAATATAGGGGAAATGTTACTCACGTGTAGCTGGCTGAAGATGTTGGTAAACGTCTCCGGCGGGTAGGGGTATCTTCCCATAGCACACTCAATAATCGACAATCCCAAACTCCAAATATCGCTTTGCACGCTATATGTCCCAGCACTTGGCGCTCCTGATTGTTGCATACCGCCGCCTGCGATACGCTCAGGTGCCATGTAGCTTTGACAACCGATGTTGGTCTTTGCAATACTAGCCACCAAGTTCCCACTCACACCAAAATCGCAAATCTTGACTTGGCCTTTACTGTTCACAAGAATGTTTGTCGGCTTGACATCACGGTGAATAATGTTGTGCTCATCCTTGAGCGCTTTCAGACCCATGATGGTGGACAGTGTCATCTTGCGCAGAATATTCTCTGGCACGCCGCCCTTGTATATCTTGTCAATGGAACCACCATCCATATACTCAACACACATATAGACTGCGCCTTCTTGGAAGAATGCTCCGTAGAAGTCGATGATGAAGGGAGACACGCAACGATGCAAAATATCTAACTCCATGATGATCTGGGCGAATTTTGCCTCGTCCAGTTCTAATCGAATTTCCTTCATTGCCATAATCACTCCTGACAAATTTTCTTGACCTGCGGTATCACCGCTGTCATCAAGGCCGATTGGCCGACTGACAATGCCACTCAAGCCCAAGCCTGGTTTCCGAAGTTGAGGTCGACTGTGTCGAACTTTGTAAACTGTCCCGTAATTTCCCTTTCCAAGCTCATCTAGACGATCTACTTCATCCAGAGAGATCTTGAAGCTGTGGCCTGACGAAAACTCAACACCTCCGCCATGTAGAATGGCCTTGTTCTTGAAATTCAGAGTCCCGGCTTTTGTGTCGATGAACTCGGCATATTTACTGAAGGCCGACTCTCCACCGTTCTGCTCTGCTGGTTTGCTTTCGCCGTTTGGTGGAGGAGGCGATCCGCCGCTCATCTCCGACAACCTCAGTTGAGGCTTCATACGCCTACCCATCCCCGAAGGCTTAGGCGATGCGGGGCTGGCTGCGCCCGGGACCGCTGGGGAAGAAGCCCAGTGATTCGTATTCGGTCGCGGTTGGACTGGGGGGAGTTCCTGCCAAAGCACCACCTGCGCCCATTTCATTGGATGTGGGTATTCTCCCCGTGGACGCGGTATGCGGCAATGGGACACCTTGTCGAGAGAGGGAGAACGCCTTCATCTTGGCCATGATATCTTGATTTAATCCTCCACTTCCTTGTGCGCTCATAGAAGCCTGTGCCAAAGGGCGAGGTGAGGCACCGCCGGTAGCGCCGGCGCCCCGTCGGGCGGCGTTGATTTGGCCCAAATGTGTTGATGAGGAGGTCATGCCTGCGGGGGTATCGCGAGATGGGAGGAGGGTAGGAGTGGATAAATGGGCTCCAGGTGTGATGCCTGGAGAAATTGGACAGACGGGGGAAATGCCTCCGGTGGCTGGACTGCGGTCATCTTCGGTCGGGGGGACCTCCAAGGCGAAATCGCGGTTGGCGGTCATGATGTCGCGGGGTCAAATTATGGAGGGCGAGGACGCCGGACCGACAACAAGGGCCGGTGCAATTGTATTGAGCAGGCCGTTTTGGACTCGGGCTGCACCGGGGATCGGCGCTCTCTAAAGAAAAAGAAAAAGAAATGGGGGACGGAATGAGATGATGATTATGGTGAGAGTGAAAGGTGAAGTCACCTGTTCTGAACAGGGAAAGATAATATAAAGTGGGGAGAAAAGACCAAGAACTTGAATCAAGACAAAGCCTCCTACGAGTCCTGGAATACCTACTACTAGTAGCGATTACGTGGAAAATATAAAAAAAAATTTTTTTGGTATTTTTTCTTTTCTTGTTTTTCGCCCCCTTTAAGTCTTCTTTTACATTTTCTAGAGAGTTCATTTTTTTCAGCTTTACTAGTAAGTTGACAAGACAGGGCCCCAGGATTACTACATTTAGCATCCACTTTGGGCTCCTTTCCTGCGTCACAGCACAGATCAAGCAAGAATTTATTTTAATTGAGGATCGTCTCCCAGATCAGATTCATATCACTAACCCGGCTGGCAAACCAGCCAATCAAGCTGTTCCCTCGGCCGAAAAGCAGGTTTTGACATCACGGAGTAACACATTGTTGTCCTATATGCTGCCGTGTTTCATGAACAAGTTTCAAGACCCAGAGACTAGGTACAGAGCTTTGAAATTTGAAACACTCTTTAGCTTGATCTTCTTTAAGAGCTCTCATTCATGTACAATGAGAAAGAGAGACCCTTGCTCTTCAGCTCTCCAGGGTATATCGGCTTTGGTCGGCACTTTCTTCCTGAACAGGGTTTATTCGGTTGATCTAGTCATCTCATCTACCGAGGGAATATGGTCAATATGGTCAGATGTACAGAGTACAGAGTACAGGACTGGTTGAAGGTCATTTCCCTTTGGAAATTGTACTCCGAAGCCAGAGTGCAAACGTCGACGACTCAAGATGCTCCACTCTTACCCGTTGGATTTAATCTATGGCACCAGATGGGTATCTAGGTTCCTTAAGGGCTCTGTAAATTCATATCACAAACCTAGGTGATAATCATTCGGATTCAATGTTGCCTGATTGAAGGAATATTAGTCAAAGACAAGGATGTGAAGCACATGAAAGGCGTTGAAGCACGGACCTACTAACTCCCTTGAGCGGGGGATCGTGGATCCTCTTCCTTACATGCCAGGTACCCCCCAACTGCAATGACCTCAGAAAGAACCCCAGATACTATTTTTGAGCCTCTTCAACTCATCAGTGATCATATATACCTGTATGAGTCGCAGGTGGCAAATGGAATCGTGTCAAGTTCACCGTCTTTGATAATTCTATGCACCTGAGGCGCAACCCCCCGACGAATCAACAAATACGTGTTGCAATACCGGAAGATTTACCCATACACCTCAATTCTCCTTATCACAACCGATTTCGCCACTACCGTGCTCCGACCATTCAGCTGGATTCGTGCCAATCTCAGTCCAGCTCGACTTGTAATTCGTCGAATAATAGAAGGGATCGGCAAGGACACCCAAAATGTGACTGACCAGGGCGGTATCTTACTTCATTTATTTTCTCATGGAGGAGGGAACACCGCCCTTCAACTGGCCCTTTCATTGAAAGAAGAGTCTGACCAGGGTATCTGGTTCTTTTCAAAATTGAAGGGGATTATTTTGGATTGCTGCCCAGGAGATGATGGTCTTCAAAGAGCATACGCTGCTGCACGTACATCAGTGCCCGAGACACCGATACCAATTCATGGGAGCCACATTGCTCTACCCCGCTATGGCGGTGATGAATACACTACAACATGCGCGCCTGATACGTGCCATTCAAGACTTGCGAGAGCAGCTAAATGACCCATCTTCTTTTGGATCTAAGGCAAGAAGACTCTACATGTATAGCAAGGAAGATGCTATGGTCAAATGGGAAGACGTGGAATCCCACATACGGGATGCGCGCTCCCGAGGATATAAAGTCGAGAAGGCGTGTTTTGAGCATGGTTCACATTGTGGATTGATCATGGAAGATGCTCATCGTTATTGGACAACAGTTCAGAGGTTTTGGCAAGGCCAAGATATGTCTGATGTGGCAACGGAGGGAAATATCCGCAGTTGTTTATAGCATTGAAAGATGTACAGGGTGTCTGAAAAGTCCAGGAGTTGAGGTCTCACTGCATCCGAGTCTTTGGAACAACCTTGGAAGTTGTGATGCGTCGCAAGATGATTGGACCTGATTTATATCAAGACAACAGGCATCTTGAACCGGCATGGGCAAGGAAGAAAACATTATTAACTTATTTCAATGAGCTACTTTCTCAAGTAGGAGTTTTCCTGAGAAACTTATCATCATATATGTGTGGCTATAGAATACGCCCGAGTCGCTGAGCAAACTGTTTGAAGTACACAATAGGGCCGGGCCGGACCTTCTTTGCTAAAGTGCTTATCTAGCCTGACGCCCAACATCTAAGCATTCTATAAGTTGACGTTGGGTATAAATGGATTTCGGGTAGAGATCCTGGTCAGAACTTGAACGCACAACTTGAAATTGCCACGTATAGATGCAAGCGGGGAATCAAAACAGACTCCCAGAGTATGGGGGCCTATAGTAACAGCCATGTAGCCAAACCCCATTTTCATTAATGATTTTGATCGCCTAGCTCATTAACAGCCCTGAAGTTGTTTTATTATTATAATACATCAAGGTTAAAGTAAGAGATGTCTGAGTCTAAAGTGAGAGATATCTAAAGTAAAAGTGAGAGCTAGCTGTTATAGTAAGGCCCCCGGGACCGGACTTATTTATTCGGAGGGGGCTTTAGTCCATAGTTATAGGTTTGAACTTAAAGGCTTTATACCTGGGCATTAACACAACCATTTATAAGCTATCACCATGACAACTTGCCTTGAAAATTCTGACCTATATACTGTTGCATGGATAGCCGCATTGGGCATTGAGCAAGCAGCAGCCCTCGCTTTGCTTGACGATCATCATAGTCCACCAAAAAGCTTCATACAACCTTCTTCCGATACAAACTCCTATGAATGGGGTGAGGTCAGCGGACATAACATTGTGATCGCCTCACTTCCCGCCGGGTCATACGGGAATACCTCGGCAGCTACTACCGCATCTGCTTTGATTCACACATTTCCCCATATCCGGATCGGCTTGTTGGTGGGCATCGGTGGAGGCATCGCTAGGCCTGATCTAGGTCAAGACGTTCGTCTTGGTGACATTGTTGTCAGTCAGCCTGACTGGACGAGTGGAGGAGTGATTCAATATGATTTTGGAAAAGCAAAGTCAAACGGTGTTTGGGAGCGAAAGGGATATCTCGATAAACCACCAATGGTCCTTCTCAATGTACTGACTAGGTTGCGGGCCCGGCATGAGATTTCACCATCCAAAATACCCGCACTTCTCCAGGCAATGCTTGAAGCCAATCCTCGGATAAGACGGCAGAAGACAGATTATCGCCATCAGGGCTCCGAGACCGATCGGCTGTTCAAATCACAACATGACCATTTCGGTGGCATCTCTTGCAACATGTGTAACTCCGCCTGGGAGATTAAGCGCCAAGGGAGAGAATCAACCGAGCCAGAGCTTCATTACGGCATAATTGCTTCCGGGAATAGACTGATCAAAGACGCAGCCACCAGGGATAAACTATCAGAGGATACAGGACATCGATGTCTATGTATAGAGATGGAGGCTGCTGGCCTGATGGATTGTTTCCCCTGTCTGGTTATTCGTGGGATATGCGACTATGCAGATTCTCATAAGAATGATCGATGGCAGCGCTATGCGGCGGCGACAGCAGCAGCGTTCGCAGTTGAGCTGCTCGGAGATGTCCCCACTGCAGATCTCAAAAGAACAAGGACAGCTATCGAAGCACTTCAAGGGTGTAAGTACAGATCAAATCTCAAAATGAATCAATCTCCTTATACTAACTATCAATATAACACTGGAGCAAAGAGTGGATCAAATAGAGTAAGCTATGATTAAACCGAAGTTCGAAAATATTTCTCACGGGGGGTTTCACAGCATCTTTGTTCGTAATATCGATCATACCATAGTTCTAGACCGTCTACAAATTGCAGAAGGAGCCTCATTTGATTTCCATGCCGAAGAATAGCACTCGACGTGTTTAAAGGATACCCGCGTGCAGCTACTCGACGATATCTACCGTTGGATTGATGATTCTGACTCGAAACCGATGTTTTGGCTGAGCGGCATGGCAGGAACTGGGAAGTCAACCATTTCTCGTACCGTCGCTCGAACTTGCGATCAGCAGGACAAGCTTGGAGCTAGTTTCTTCTTCGAAAGAGGCGAGATTGATAGGGTAAATTTGGTCAAATTCGTGCCGACTTTAGCTCATCAACTTGCCTCAAGAGTCTCGGGATTTGCACAAATCATCAAAGATGTACTTGATACCAATCCAGAGATACTGAGCAAAGCTATCCGTCGGCAGTTTAGTGATCTGATTTTGGGGCCCTTAATCAAGATAACGGCATCACGGACAACTGGAATGTCGCTAACATTTGTGGTTGACGCTTTGGACGAATGTGAGAGTGAAGATGACATAAAGCTGCTGCTTGATATTCTATCTCAAGCACCCTCCATGAACTCGTTGTACATTCGTGTATTTGTGACCAGCAGACCTGAAACATCAGTGCGTCGTCATTTTCCTTCTAACGCTGGCATCTGTCAACCCCTGAAACTGCATAAAATCCCCACCGAGACCGTCCACTCCGATATATCTCTCTTCCTTCACCAGGAACTCACTGAAATTCGGGATAACTTCAATAATTTAAAGGAACAAAAGAGATTACCACAGCTATGGCCCACAGAAGCCGTCACCCAGCAACTCACCGATATGGCTTCGCCCCTTTTCATCTTTGCTGCAACTATATGTCGTTTTATTGACAACTGGAGAATGGGAGACCCCGATGAACTACTCCAGCAAGTACTTGATACTATGGGCAATGATCATGGTTCGCAACTGATGCATATTTACTCTCCAATTCTGCAAAATCAAATAGTTAACAAGGCGAAGAGAAAAGAAATCATTCAAAGCTTCAAGCTCATTGTTGGCACTATAATCAGCCTGGTTGAGCCCTTGTCCCAGAAGGCCTTAGCAGGTCTTCTAGATATTGGTCTCGAGAAAGTAACGACAAGACTCCGGAATTTACCTTCTGTTCTAGACGTCCCGGAAAACATCGATTTGCCAGTACGGCTACTACACCAATCATTCCGTGATTATCTTATCATGGAGGAGGTTGATTTTGTGGTGGATGAGAAACTCGCACACCAAATCATTGCAACCAAATGCTTCGGCGTCATGACCGCTCTGAAGGAGAATATCTGCAGTCTACAGTTTCCAGGGATATGTCGATCCGAGATTGACCGTGAACACCTTGAGCAGTGCATACCATCAGAGTTACAATACGCTTGTCTTCACTGGGTGCATCATCAAATTAACTCGAAACGTGAGGCGCAAGACGATCAGAAAATCACCAAGTTCCTGCAAGATCATCTCCTTCATTGGATTGAAGTGCTGGCATTGATGGGACAGTCTGGAAATATCCTCATCAATTTTGAATCTTTGGCAAGCTGGCTAGAGCCTAGAGGTATGGTTATTTAGCTACTCCAGCACGACTTGACTGACAAAGAGCAGATTATGAGCTCTTGGGACTCTTTAGCTTTTGTCAAGGATGCTATTCGATTAATTAGAACAAATATTCCAATTATAGATGAAGCCCCATTGTAGATCTATTCTTCAGCCTTGTGTTCGCCCCGCGTCAGAGTCTTGTCCGACAGTCATTTGAGAGAAGTATGCCAAGCTGGCTCTCGCTCCGGCCGCAAGTCAAAGAGAATTGGGACTCATGTCGATTAATGATTGACTCCCTAGATAGAGTCGAATGCTTGGCAATTTCACACGACTCGACAAAGATCGCATCAGCCCATGCCCCTATGGATGACATAATTCGAATTTGAATACGGGGAGCTTAGAACAGGCTCTAGAGGGCCATCTTGACACTGTGAGCTCGCTGGCCTTTTCTCATGACTCACGATTCTTGGTTTCGGCCAGTTATGACCGAAAAGTTCGAATTTGGGATGTTCAGATGGGGCAGTGCAAGCACGTACTGGAAGATCATAGTGACACTGTCAATTCGGTAGCATTTTTACACGATTCAAAAACGTTGGTATCAGCCTCTTGTGACAGCACAATCCGAATTTGGAATACAAATATAGGGAATTGTGAGCAGATACTAGAGGACCATACGGCTGAGGTTATAAGAGTGGCGTTCTCGCGCGACTTGGATAAGTTTCTTTCACTATCTTATGATCATACTATACGGATCTGGAACGCACAAACAAGTAAATGCGAGCAAGCTCTGGAGAGATTCGATGATTGGCGGTCAATGACGTGTTCACATGACCTCACGATTTACACATCCCCTGTTCGGAATCGCGGGCAACCAGACATCATACGAATCCGGAACATGTAGACGGGGCTGTGTGAGCATGAAATTGAGAGCGCACGCTTGAGTAAAGATGCTGGATCATTTGCATTCTCGCCTAACTCAAAGCTTTTAGTATCAGGTCATCTCGATAATATGATCCGGATTTGGAACACAAAGACTTGGAAGTGCGAGCAGATTTTGAAGGGCCACGGCGCAGATGCTATGTCAATTGTCTTCTCACATGACTCAAAACTGCTTATATCAGGCTCGCGTGACCGGACAATTCGAGTTTGGGAGATAGACAATGAGTCTAGTGAGCAAGACATAGAGAGTCATACTATCTCTGCAACAAGCTCAATGGTGTTCTCAAATGATTCGAGCATGTTAGTGTCAGTATCTTCCGATGGCGCATTCCATATATGGGACTCGCAAACAGGAATATGCCAACAGACAACTCAAAAATGTACTCGGATGGGATATGGTATTGATCACTTGATGTTTTCCCATTATTCAGAAATGGTGGTGTATGAAGCAGGTTCTGTGCTACACATCTGGAACATACGAAAAGGCAGTGGACCCAGGCTGGAAGACAGTAGAGACCTTCCATCAGTAGCACTTTCTCATGATTCGAAATTAGTGGCAGCAGGCTCCAAATCCCATGACAAAACAATTTGGATCTGGAGTACACAGACTGGAAATTGTGAAGACGTGCTAGAGGGCCACAATAGCTATATTCCGTCTGTGGCATTTTCGCATGACTCGCAAAAGATGGCTTCGACATCTACTGACAAGACAATACGGATCTGGAATACACGAACAGGAAAGTGCGAGCAAGTGCTAGAAAGTCACGCTTCTTCCGATTTTGCATATGTGCTGTTCTCCTATGATTCATCCCGAATTGCATGGCGGTTCAAAAAATCCCTGTGGATCCGGGATTTACAGACAAGAACCGAACAACCACTGGAAGGCCATAGTAAAAAGAAATCACATCCATGGTATTTTCCCACGATACACAGATGATAGCATCAGTCTCTCAGGATATGACAGCGAGGATCTGGAATACAGAAACCGGCGAATGTCTGGAGGTCCTTACTGTGGATACATCCTCAGTTTCACTTGGTAGTTGCAAACCTTACAATTGGAGTCTCATCATCAACCACGACACATCTTCCTTCGCCCACCACTTTCCATTCTCCCGAAGCTCTGGCATGTCCTCTCAGAATGCAAAGGACTTAAGACTTGGTTTGCGCGACAGCCGCTGGATCACGCTGAACGGAAGAGATCTACTTTGTCTCCCGACAGAATCTCGTCGGTTCCACCAAAAAATCGCTACTTCAGCAAACACATTTGCGGTAGCCTGTTATTCAGGGAGTGTTCTATTACTTGGATTCTCTGTGGATGAGATGGCAAAATTGGGATGGATATGAAACTATTCAAAAGCGGACAGGATAGCGATGGCCCAAGTATTATTTGTTTATTCTTTTATTCTTCCTCTCTTTACTCTGTGTGTTATAGTCCCTTAATCAGATACGACTGTCTGTCCTTCTGTCTTCCATATCAAAACGGCTCCTAGCATCAAATGCCATTTTTGCTAAAGAACCGCAAAATCTCTCTTGCAATATAATCCGTATCACTCTCCACAGCGAAATGACCAGCATCGATGAGTTGAATTTCCGCATTAGGCAAATCCCTCTTAAAAGCCTCAGCACCAGAAGGAATAAAGAATTTGTCATTCTTACCCCAAACCGCAAGAAGCGGAACCTGCGAGTCTCGAAAGTATCTCTGAAAGTCCTGATAGAGGAGAATGTTATTGCGATAATCGTAAAACAAGTCCAACTGAATCTCCTTATTCCCAGGACGTTCCATTAAGGATTGATCAAGAAAGTACGACTCCGGTGCAATGCGACTGATATCAGGCGTGCCATCCTCATATTGAAACTTGGTAGCATACAGAGTCAGTAACGCTTCAGCAACTTTCTCGCGATTTTCTTTGGCGTTTTGGTTGGCCCAGAGGTCCTGGATAGGACCCCAGACGTCACCAAATCCCTCCGTATACGCGTTTCCATTTTGCGTGATGATTGCTGTGATTGCTTCTGGTCTTTCAAGAGCGAGTCGTAGCCCAGTAGGGGCGCCGTAGTCGAAGATGTACATAGCGAAGTGGGAGATGGACAGTTGATCAATAAATTCTCCAATGGTGGTTGCTAGGCTTGCAAAGTCCACTTTGAAGGTTGATGGAATTTCCGTGAAACCGAATCCGGGAAGATCCGGCGCAATGACTCTGTATCTCACTGCTAGGAGTGGAATCAGGTTGCGGTATTGGTGGGAGGAGGATGGAAAGCCGTGAAGTAAAAGAATCACTGGTGCATCGATGGCTGCGGTCTGCTCACGGTAGAATAACTTGACACCGGACCTTGGCAGAGCAATCGTCTTATGTTGTGTTTCACCCATGATTGATGAGGAATATGTTCAAGCTGAATCAGTGCAGTTGATTTTCTCAATTTATTCGTGATGTCAAACTTCAAGTTCAAGTTCAAGTTGTGGAAGAGTATGATTGTAGATAGAACTTGAATGCCAGTGTGATCCCTGGGGGTGCAGAGGATATTTATACGTTCAAATCCATGTTGTCAGAGCCCACTTTTACCACTGGAATTTGTAATACATTCTAGATATTGCTACCTAGGTGGTATCAGCTGAGAGATTGATGACGAGTTCAATGATCCGACATGTGCATGCAATTATTGTGGCTGCATAACTAATAGAACGATCCAGATGTTTATGGGGGTGATTGAAGTCTTGCGGGTTGCATAGTTCGGGATTTGAAATACTCGGGGATTGAAACATCGGGGATTGATTGCACCAGAGGATAATGTAAGAGCGCCGATAGAGAAATTGAATTCCGATTTTCAATAATTCAATCCATGTTGCAAATTCAAATGCGTGCTAGTGCTGAATATGAAGTGATTTTGGATTATTAGTACTATTACTAAGTATACTACTACTAGGTAGTAGTAGTCCTGTGGCTAGGTGAGCCTTGACACTTGAAATGAAATAACACTATATACCAGTCAAGGTTCTGTGGAAAAAGTCATGACATAGGTGCCTTTTTATTTCAGGTGTTACCTAGCTGTAGGTGAACTACAAAGAACAATGGCAAACCCCATGGCATTTCCGCGCTGGAACAATTCATCATGGAATGCGCAGATAGCGTTCAGGTCAAAAATGCTGGAAATAGAAATAGTAGATATTAGAATAACCGCCCAAAAACTCCGACGAAGATGCAGATTCAGACAATTCATGAGATTTCCATTCCTTCATCATCCCCATCAAGCTCAGACATATCATCTGTGGTAGAACCTAGGCGTAAGCGTGTTCCCTTCCCATGATCACACGATCCATCTCCAACCAACTCCAACTCTGGACCGGCAATGATACGACCTTCAGTATCCACAACCTCACAGAGCTGAATCAAACTCTGATGGCTGAGAGATTTGAAGCCATCAGTTCGCACTATGCGACCCCAGTTAGCAAGACAAAACTGAGCGGCCCGCCGCATCAGCCAATGCTCGTTGGTTCTCCCAGCCCGCTCCCAGACAATTGCAGCATTGTCCACATCGATTTCGCGACCGAGACGATTCACGCAGAGAAGCCGAAGCTTCGGCATGTCATAGAGATTAGCCATTACTAGCATGCCAGCCACATCAACCACACTGGAACAGTACTCAGGATGACCAGCGATACTATCCGTGTAGAGGTAATACAGAAATGCACGCACGACTGAGTATGGCTCGGGAATGTGCATGCGTTTTGTATGGTATTCAGCCATTTGCGCCGCATAAAGGCGTTTAAAGTGCGGCCACCGTAGTTGTAGGATAATTTTGTGAACATGGATTGGTTCCGATGTCGACGGATTGGACTCGACAAAAGTTGCCTGATTGTGGGTTGGAGATCCAGCGGGCGTGTCAAAGTCAACTGAGCTCATCATATCTTCATCGTCACGAATGGCGGTGATGACGAAATCAGCACCACTACCAGACTCGGGATGCTGGTCGAAAACATATGATAAATCCGCTCCCAAGCCTGATGCTGGCGAGTGCCCAGACCTCTCAGGCCAGGGGGAATCCTGCTCGGGAACTTCAGTAGACAAATCATTCCCCAACAGGCCATATTTTTCTAGGTCAATAGAAAGAACCTCACTCATCAAGTTTTCGTCACCCGCCCCGGTAGCATTCGCTAGGTCAAGACTGCACCCAAGCAACCAGGCCTTTGTTCCGGCTTCATTGACGGTGCAGTAGTGCCATCGATAGCCAGGCCTGAAAATCTCATTTCCATCAGCTAGTCGTTGCCAACGCAAGGAATTGAGTTCAAGCGCGGCTAGGTTACAATCTTGTGACCGGACAGTCTCCGAAGGGGTAATCAAGTCAAGAAGTACTCCGGATGCAAATGATTGGAAATGAGTCCCAGAAAACAAAGAAGGAACATTGGGGCCAGAATGGAATCGAAGACAGGAGATAGCGCCGGGGGCAAGGGGTTTACGGCGCCCAATGTTGCGCACCTGGACGCTAGCTGAATTGGCAGCGTAGCTTCCAGAGCGGGGGGGACATCTGGGCAGATGGACTAGAAACAGAAGCTGGGTAATGAGCAACAGGTAATCGTGCATCCGGGGAGTTCACGGTACCTTGAGGGGTTGAGATACCGGCAAGGGAGGGGGAGCCTTTGAGGTCGAGCCACCAGATATCAGTCGTTCGTTCCATGTTGGGACCCAAACCTCCAAATATCCATAGTCGATTACCCCAGACCCATGCCGTGTGATCAAATCGAGCTGTGAAGCTCCATGTTCGAGACCAGGTCCATGTTTGGAGGTCCAAATATGTCAAGTCATCTAAAATCACATTGTTTTCCCCGGTCACACCACCTACTATAAAAAGCTTATCATCATGGATAACGGCGGCATGCCGTGCTCTCCGCGGGGTATTAAGCCACTGATCTCGGGGAGTGTCCAGTGGAAGGTTTGAAGGTCGAGGATAACAACGTCAGAGAGGTATTCGCGATGCTCGTTCTCGCCGCCAAAAACAATCAGTTTGTTGCCTTGATACAATGTGGCAGTGTGTCCTGGATTAGGTTAAGTTAGAAGATATAGCTCTATGGCTCAATGGTGACACAAAGGGAAAAATGTGGACATACCCATACGGACACCTGGGATATCACCGTAGTTGTCAACCAAATCCCATCGGAGAGTGTTCAAGTCCAGGCGGAGCACATGATTGTAGACTGTAATCAGTCAGTTAAGGCTGAATTTGATCCAAGGGAGAATGATTGGAGTGAAAGGGGAGAGACAAGCCTTCATCTGTGTATTGGTCAAATCCACCAAAGGCGTAGATCTGATCGTTTCCTCCGTATGTGGCCGAGGCATTGACAAGACATGCGGGGACACGGCCCTCAGCCTTCTTCACACTGGGGCGATAGTCCGTAGCGGGGCGATCGCCCGTGAGGCTGACCGGTAACAGATATGCACCCTGCTGCTGCATCGAGAGTACTAAATGAGCACTGCAAGATGGGGTCGAATTGGATTATTGATTGAGGCCACCCGTCTTTGATGGTGATGTCACAAGGAGGACGCAAGGTGAGATTACTAATCAATAAAATGGGTCGCGGGCCTGGAGGTTAATTATCTTACCGCCCTTGACCATGATTTTCTGCTGGTCCGAGGTGGAGATATAAGGCGGTGAAGCTGTACTAGGCACAGTTGCACCAAATCGTGTTACGGAGTAGTACACCTTGGGCTAAGCTTAAAGAGGGATTGATTCTAGAATTACAAGTGATAGAATGAAAGTATATGCTTGATGAGGTGATATTATGATATCCATGAGTATATGATGGGTTAAATTGTCTTCAAAAAGAAGGTGGTGGTACTCCGGTTCTCCCTTTCAATCATGGTTGTAGGAATATTTCATTGAGCTAGACGACGACATTTCCCACGTGGCTGTTTTCAGTTGTTTTCACTTCATTTGAAAGGCTGCATCCATAAGTCACAATCATAACCTTGTATAGGTTAATAAGGATAGGGTGTATTTTGCTCTGATAGTACTCACCGTTGAAAGTTGTAAGTTCGTGGGTCTGGAGGATTTCACTAGTCCCGAAATGGTAAGGTGCTTCCGTACCTGAGGTAACGGTTGCCCCGGCAGAACTTGTCCTTACTGCATGTGGAATTCTATTTATTCGTCTTTATTCTGGTCCCTCCTCATTCCCTCTTCACCCTATCTCCTTATTCCTCAGTTCCTAAATTGATCTTGCATTGAATCATTTGCATTATCTTCTTTGTGGCTAGCTCCATCTCTTAATCTCCTAATCTATCTCATCCAGGTCTACAAGTCATCAGCATGGCAGCTGCCTCTGTGACCACTCCGAAAAAGAGCCACCATGGTCTCTTTTCTTCTAAGACTGCAGGGGGTCGAATGCCTTTGACTCCTTCTCCCCACACTTGCTCTGTTGCTACTCCCCAAGCATCAATCAATGAATCACCGTTCACCCCGCCACGGGCTTCAGAGGCTAGTCGCGGCCAGTCTCAATCAATCTATGGCGGTAACCTGTCGTCAATTTTTGCGAAGTCCGCAACCTCAAAGTCTTCCACAACTGCAAAGTCCTCCTCCACAGCTACCAAGTCCTCCTCCACAACTACAAAAGCCTCTTCCTCAACTACAAAATCCTCTTCCGGGCCTACAAAATCCGGCTCCATTTCCAAGGCACCTCGTCCAACACACCGCGATTCGCCAAAGTCCAACATCGCTCGTCGCAAGTGCAAGTCGCCCAAGCACCTGGAGCTGGGTGTCTCAGATTGGTCACTGACTGGTACCGGTCCTTCATCCTCCCAATCTCCAGCTAAAGAGCGTGTGCGTCGAGAAGTTCCTGTGACCCGAGCCCGCCCTGCAAAGACCACCGTCCGCATTCCTCACAACTCTGGCGATCGGTTCATTCCCAATCGCACTGCCAGCGAAGGGCTTGTTACCACCGGTGCTGCTAAGCCTGATGACAACCAGCGCCCCAAGAGTGGAGTGAGCGAAGGTTCCGGATCTAGTGTTCTTTCCTCTGCCGCTAGTGCGTTCGATATCAACGGTCGTGGAGCCGAGGATGATCTAACAGCTGCGCTTGAGAGCCTGGGTTTGGAAGACAATGAGTCGTCTACTTACACTCGACCGGCACCTGACAAGGTCGCTTATGAGTCCTCTTTGGCAAACGCCTGTGATATCAGCCTTAACACTCGTATTCTTGCATTCAAGCCTCCTCCACCAGAGTCTTCTAAGCCCATCGACCTTCGTGCTCAATACAACCGTCCGCTTCGTCCTGCTAAATCCAACGCTGCTCAGTTCCGTCGACGCGTTCAGACGGCTCCCGAGCGTGTTCTGGATGCACCAGGTCTGCTCGACGACTACTATCTCAACTTGCTGGACTGGAGCTCTGGAAACCAGGTCGCTATTGGCTTGGAGCGCAATGTCTATGTCTGGTCTGCGGAGTCTGGCTCTGTGAACTGCCTTCTAGAGACGTCTCCCGACACATATGTAAGCAGTGTCAAGTGGAGTGGCGATGGCGCCTATGTTGGTGTTGGGTTGGGAACCGGTGAGGTTCAAATTTGGGATGTTGAGGAGGGTACCAAGCTGCGCAGTATGCACGGACATGATTCTCGTGTTGGTGTGATGGGCTGGTCTAAACACACACTGTCAACGGGTGCCCGAAGTGGTCTTGTATTCAATCATGATGTCCGCATTGCGCAGCACAAGGTCGCTGAGCTTGTCTCTCACACCTCGGAGGTTTGTGGTCTCGAGTGGCGCTCAGATGGTGCCCAGCTTGCCACTGGTGGTAACGATAATCTGGTCAACATCTGGGATGCCCGCTCGCTCAGTGCTCCCAAGTTCACCAAAACCAACCATCGTGCTGCTGTCAAGGCTCTTAGCTGGTGCCCCTGGCAACTCAACCTTTTGGCAACCGGTGGTGGCTCCTACGATCGTCACATCCACTTCTGGAACACAACAACCGGTGCTCGCACTAACAGTATCGACACTGGCTCTCAGGTAACCAGCCTCCGGTGGAGCAACCATTACCGCGAGATTGTCAGCTCAAGCGGCTTTCCTGATAACTCCCTTAGCATTTGGAGCTACCCTACCTTGGTGCGCAACGTGGAAATCCCCGCACACGAAACCCGCGTTCTACACAGTAGTCTCAGCCCTGATGGCCAGATGTTGGCGACCGCCGCAGCAGATGAGAGCTTGAAGTTCTGGAAGGTCTTTGAGCGCAAGCCTGGTAGCAGTGCCTCGGCATCTCGGGAAGGAGGTGTTAGTAGCAAGGCCCAACTGACCAAGGCCATGACCATCCGGTAGTGGACTTGTGTCTTTGTGTCTTTGTTACGTTTTCATGTCATCTTCTATACCCCCGGTCTCTTGGTGATCTGTTGAGCATTGATAGCCTGAGACATTTTCATTTTGCTTGGAGTAATGGAGCCGTGTCTCAAGGGCTTAGTTTAATCTGGGGAGTTTTTCTTTTCTTTTCTTTTATTTCTCGGGAAGGATTCTTCAGGCGCTGTATCTAAATTGCCATAGGAGGCGCATTGTGTACAAATATCATTACTATTCGTATTTTTCGATTTTGATATACTGTCTTGATAGTGTGCCTAGATAACTTGCCTTGGTTGACTGCCCACCCAGGTCTGGAGGTGAGGGCGGTCCTTTGAATGACTAAGCGCCGGGAACTGGAGGGATTTCGACCGCTGAAGCCTGACTTACACCTTCAGAAACTCATCGCTAAATCTCCCTGTCCAAACCAGTCTTTTCGCCAGGAATTGTCTGGTTTCCTCTTGGTATTAGTCATTTTCTTTTTCACAGGCTTAAGCTTTACACACTGCCTTGCTAGTTTGCCGTTGCGTCATCTCTGAGAGGTGTGATCGACTACCGCTCCGACGGCCTCACCCGTTGCGACGACGGCAAGCTACCTTGACTTGCCAAACCAGTCCGACTTCGATACTGCCTCCTACTGTTTCTCGATTCTGCATTTCACCTTTCACTCTTTCATCACCTCATCCCTACCTCTCTCCTGGTGACCGACAGACACCCTTTCCGCAAACATGTCCAACCAGCAAGTGGTGAGTTCAGGCTCGCGACATCTTACCCTATACGGTCGCAGAAGTGACATCCTGATACAACATGCTGGGCACCTCATCCAGACCCTCATTCTCATAGATCTGCTCTTGTAGGATGATCCTCGCTAATATCAGTTGACTCATAGGGTCCCGTATTCGAGCGTGTCATCCAGGAGGTCTGCGATGCTTCTCAGGTCGACTTTGAGGAGAGCGGTGTCGATCAGAAGACACTGCTCGATCTGCGTGAGGTGAGTTGTTGACTTTTGACACCTTCTGGGACATTTTCGAGGCTGGGATTGGTGTTATTCGGGGATGTCTGGCATGCTGGTTATGGGGCGGCCAAAAGCGGGGAGACCCGAAGTTGTGCGGGAGGCGGTGCTTATGGGGGAACACTGACCTTTTGAGGAGGCTCCCTTTATACGTGGCAGCCTTGTACCCGCTCAGACCGCCAAGCCAATCCCGTCTCTCATTGACCCCATTCCATCTACAATGCTTTTTCGCTATCCAAAAGCCCCTACATTTTACTGACCGAGTGATTTTTTTCTCCTTGTTTTAAAATAATAGACATGGCAGCAAAAGCTTTCATCTGTGAACGTTGCTCACTTCCCCTGGGATCCTCCTCCACCCCAGCCTGCCCCGCAAGTTCCAGTTCTGCCACCTCAGGCTACTGTTCCATCTAATGCTCCTCGTCCTCCTCAACATCAACCTCAACCACAACATGTCGCTCCTCCCATCTCCCTACCGCAATCCATTCCCCAACAAATTCCCGCTCCTGCTCCTATTCAGGCTCATGCTCAAGTAGCAGCTCCCATGGGTGGACCCCGCATCAAAACTGAGCCTGGGACCAACGGCCCGCCTGTTTTGCCCAACATGAATCACCCAATGCAAGTCCCCACGAACCCTCAGGCAGCTCGTGAACGTGCAATTAGTGCTATGCAGCAGAAGTACGGTGCCAACGCAGCCAACTCTGTTCATCAACTTCAGTCCCAAGCTCCAGGCCAGCAGGCGTACCCCCAGATGCATCCCTCCAATGGGCAAATGCCTCAAATCAAGCAGGAATCCAATTATCCGCCCATGGGTCATGGTCAAACAGACGGTGGCAGTGATGACCCTATGGCCGACTGGAAGGCTGAGGTTGCTCGCCGCCGTGAGGCAGCTCAGAACGGTCATGGCGATCATCTGCTTCGCGAACATCTCAAGTCACAGATGCTCGAACTACAGGCAGGTGGTCTTCTTCGCCCTCTGAATGAGCATGAGTCTCCGGCCGCCGCCGCTCGACGTGCCGTAGCCGAGACGCATCTCAACCTCACTCAAGCCCGTTCCAACACTCCTCGCATTCCTGGCCAATATGATGGTGAGGAAGCAGACGAGGATGCGATCAACTCTGACCTTGACGACCCAGATGATGCTCTCGCTGATGATGCTGATGCTGATGAATCAGAGGGCCAAGTCATGCTTTGCACCTACGATAAGGTTCAGCGCGTCAAGAACAAGTGGAAGTGCACCTTGAAGGATGGCATCTTGACCAGTGGTGGGAAAGAGTCAGTCATCCTCTTTATTGAATAATGCATATCAGTTCATTGCTAACATACCTTAGATATGTCTTCCACAAAGGACAAGGCGAGTTCGAATGGTAACTTCGCAGCGCTGCCATCTTACCGCTTGTCCTGTGTTTCTTTGCGCGCTACGTCTGTAATACTTCTTTCCATTTCCTGACGCGTCTCTTTCAACCGAAAACCAGTGTTTTTCCTCGTTGTCTGGTCGGTATAGCCGACATCTCAATTCCCCTAACGAATCTATCTCCTTTCCTTTCTGCCCTGGTAAGCCTTCAATCAAGAAGGAGCTTGTTGATTGATGCGTGATGTTTTCCATCCATTTTCTTCAGATGTTTTTCTGGTCTTCACTTCCAAATATCGAGCCTTTAATGCTCGTGGCGCCTGCAACGAGGATGGGTCCTTGCTTTACGGGTTTCGGGCCTCAATGCCCCTGATTTATGTACTAGAATGAACTGCAAGTCCACCCAGGTAACTCAATACGAATCAAATCAATTTTTTTTAACGGATGCCTCTCATATTTATCATCTACTAGCACATACTAGCACGGCTTTTTGTTCTGTAGAAGTTCGTCAAATCCCAGGATAGAAAAAAAAATGATCTAGATCACTAGGTAGCAATTGATTGATCTCAACCTGGGTGAAACGTTCAAGCTATGTATGTACTAGGCATACAATGTAGAACTTGAAGCATAGACTCGGACTTGAACATACTACTTACTAGTAATAAAATGATAAACATTTGAAGCAAACTTGGAACATTTGAAAACAACATTGAAAATTTGAAAGACCACTGTCGGTATTTGAATACGCCATTTCAAACTTGAAGCCCTGGAAACCATAATGCCGACTTGAATACTAGCCACTACCTAGACGCAGTGGGTGTCTCCCCGGCTCATACAACTTGGACACCAATTGAGGGCAACCAATTTAATATCCATACGACATGTGCACGCCGGCCGGATCAATGTCAAATATTCCACTTAATGAGCAATCACGCTGTCTTTGTGAGGCCGGCCTGCAACGTAATTGCCAGAATTAGTGGAGCTACCAGACTTATACTTTCAGGTCGCAATGTATGGAAAGGTCAAAACTGCTCCATGCAAAGAAAAGAAGGTTCTTTGTCTTCTTCCACTGATAAATCGCCTCTAGGTATTTAAGGTAGGCGTCATCATACTTGCAAACTGTGATAAATATCTCATGGCGATCTTGGGCTATATGAAGGCGGCTGGGTTGAAGAAAAAAAGGCGAAAAAGATTAGAAATTGCAGGTTTAAATTGATATCGTAGCAGGCCAGGACTTACGTCTTATTCGCCTTCTGAGCAGCATGATCATCACTCGCAATCCAAGCAACCATCTGCGCGCCCTCCTGCATTTGAATAAAGGTCTGTTTCTCCTTGCGCTTGACTGGCTTCACTTCCAGAAGAATCTTGGGGTTTCCAGAGTAGTCATGGAGATATCCATCTGTTCGGGCTTCATACTCTGCTTGCTTAAACTTTGCGATGAATGCCTTTCGATGCAATGTCCAGGTTGAAGTGATTTCGCGGAAATGGATAGTCAGAGCATTAAGAAATAGAAGCAAAGCTGTGTTGACAATTTGCTCGTCTTTCGTCGGCGGATGAAGAATCTTGTCCAGACTAGGAGACTCTAGGAGACTCTGGGGTCTCAGGCTGGAAAGGACTTGGCTCTCCATCTGTACCAGACGCACCCCCAATTTCGCGTTCGATACTCTCGCTCACATCGTGAGAATCCACGAAGACATCGTCGGAGAAAGTCGATAAAACCTGTGATTGGCTGCCTCTACTAGGTTTGCTCTAAAGTAGGGATTTTGAGGCCTGTGATCTGGTACGCTGTGCGATAGGAGTAAAAAAGTGTACAGCGGCATCGTCCTCTTTCGTCTTTGTGACCTCCAGTCGATAATGGTGAGCAAGAGCGAAAGTCGATTCCGAAATAGTTGAGTCCTCAAAGGTCCGGAAATATTGAATCCATGACTTGTATCCATTCAGTCTGATTTTAGCCTGCTTTAACTCATCTCCCAGAGAAAGGAGACTGGACAGAGAATCCACTGCAGAAGAGTTTTTTCCCTTTCGAACATTCCATAAAACTCGAAGAAGTAGAAACTGATCATAGCCCATTTGGGAAGCCGAAGCTAGGCTGCGACCATGTACAGTTTCTTTCGAAAGCCCAAGTTGATCTATCTCGGCACGCCACGTCTGAGGGTTGGAAGGTAGCTTCAAGTTCTTCAGGTCGGCCCGGGGAACAGGATTGACTGGCATAGTGAAAGGATAGTAGAATATATCAGAAAACAGTAGAAATTGCGTGGTGTGTGAATAATCGATATCCTCCGACAATTTGAAGGTTAGGCAGAACTTGAAACTTGAAGTACATAGGCTTTAAGGGGGAATGGAGAGCCCTTATATAGCATGCATTCCAAGCCCTTGAGGTTCCAGATGTCAAAATTTGGACATTTGAACTTGAAGGCTGTGCTAACCTGACTCGTAGGTGGTTTGGAAGATAAGCGCCGACCTCAGGACATGCATGCTACCTAGGTGAGCAAAACCGTGACGTATGCGTAAACGCATAGTAGCACTTGAGGGTATCAACTCAAGTGCTGTTGTCAACTTGAAGGGCCCTCTTGTCCAGATGTCAGGGGAGGGGGTTTAAAAAAAGATACAGCGCCTGAGGTAGCTGGGCGCTTAACGGGCTCTCGACGCTGCCCAATTGTCAGCCTGAGTGTTGGTCAACTGAAACTCGTAGGAATATTAATATAATATGGATTATTTCAAGGTTATAACTTGAATAGGTATGTACTCCGTGTGGGTACCTACTAGGCAGTAGGATGCAGGTGGAGCCCAGGGGCCTCTTCGCATCCGGGTCGTATGTACATTAGTATATACGCGCCGGGAGGCCCGATCCCAATCATGTGTCTACTCCAGTGGTTCTTGATTGATGGTATGGTCCATGGTTATGTACTAGTGCGCCATAAGTCCTAGTCCTGGTACTATTATGCACATACGGAGTAGTGGTGTCAGCCATCTAGTATACCTGCATGTGGTAACCTGGGTAGCACTTGAGTAAGAACCTTAGAGGGGAAATGTCTTCAATACTATAGCACCTAGATTCAGTGTTGTTAAGATCTCGATAGTGTAAGAGCCTGGGTTTAAGCACTTCAAGCTGAGCGCTACTTGATGCATGGGTTCTCCGGATACCTTGCATTTCAAGTTTGGGGTTAAGAAAGGCGCGGGAATAAGAGGGAGAAAATAATAAAATTCTAAGAATAGAACGGAAATCTCTTTTCTCTCAATTTATCACGCACCATGAAGCCCCGATGGCTGATGATTTGACGAATTAAAGTGTAAACATAGTTCGAAGGTTATCAGAATAGAAGATGTGATGACTAAGTGGGTCTTTGGTCTTTATAGACGCCGGGTACGGAGTAATAATACCCAAGAGTAACCTTGGAAGACTACTGTAAGAGTAGGCGTGTCGCGGAGGCAACGGCCCCGGGGAACCGTGCTCGGATCTTCTACTTTCACCCAAAACTCCACATTGCTTCTCTTTCAAGTTTGATCTCGACCCACCATCTACAAGACACTTAAAATCCCGCGTTTTCTCGTGTGAAATCTGTTCCATCAGTTGAAAATTCATCAATTCAATATTTCATCTTCATGACCATGGTCGAATCTCAGGAGCGCTACAATCTCCGCGAGGCCCTGAGGCTACTGAATCAGGACCTCAATCAGGCCCCCGGGAAGCAACGATTTGATTCGGAGCAACTTAAAGCCCTCAGCATCTCTGTCCAACCTATGTCACTCGATAGGAACTCGAATGACCATCCCCGCTTCTTCGCGCCATATGCCAAGGCGCCGGCTCTCAGTTCTGAGACCATCAAAGAGCTTAAGGGTGAATTGGGGAGTCTTCGCGAGTTCATTTCTCCAGATGAATATTCCCGTGTCTTTCATAGTTACTGGGATGAGCATGTCTTATGATAAGATGCGCTGCGACAGCCGAAACATGACAAAAAAAGACTGGCCCTGGTTCGATATAGCGTATGTACCACATCCCTTGCCTAGAAACCCCCTCAATGTTCAATTGGAAAATGTCTAACGTTCCCACAATTTTAGGGGCAAATGACTCTCTGCCCTGGATTCCAAAGGCCTCCCAAATAGTAATGGCGCAGAATCATCGGAGGCAATGGAAGTATCAGTCGCCGCCTATGGCGAATTGCCTCAAATCAAGGCAGTCATCCTTGTCAACGCCGAAGGGGACAACAAGAAGTTCTTTCGTGGAGAGATTATGACTGTCCTTCGTCTGATTATCTATCAGATGGGCCAAAGACGATTGATCAAGCATATGAAGTTACCTGTACAAATTCCCCCCATTCTCGTTATTCATCAACCTCAAGAACTAACCCTAATTTGATAGGCAATGGTCTTGTCAATTATGGCAAACCGCGCGCGTTTAATTGAAGCATTCTGGGAAAATGCAGAGTTGGTCTTTCGTGTGACTCCACTTTATGATTTCCCAGAGGGTATTCCCCATGCCTTTCTAACCTTAGCCGAATGGTTCCATCCATGGTCACCCTACGGGCTTTCCCAATATCCGAGACAAATTATGTGTATGAGGACTGGTTATGCAGGTGTTCCGGCGTTGTCGTTTTGATAATTTGGTGGTTTGGTCTATATTAGCTCCATGGGAATTGTTTATGTCTTGAATGAATAATGAATCAAACACATCCTGCAACTTGAAGTATACATGTGGATATCTTACCTTGGAACGCACTGGCACTTTAAATGTTCACGATTTCTACAAATTTACCTCTACAAGTACATGTTGCACTGCATGTATAAAACTAGACTTGAAAAACTTGAATCGCTGAATCGAGGTAGTAGAAGAGTAATGCCAGTGGAAATATAAAGCGATAACTTCAGAAATATCAAAAACAGTAGAGACGAAAAGCTCAAAGTGTATCAAAAAACAAATCATATCTACACGATCCGACGCCAAATAACCGTACTTTTGATTGTAGTTTTCAAAGTCCAATTCCAATCCCGGCTCATGAGCAACTGAGTCAACTGGAAAGAAACGAACATCAAGTCAAGGGTAAGAGCTGTGCTCGTTGATCCCTTTGAGAAAAAATGAGGATGAACTCCATATGTCTGAACCGAGGCACGATTTAAGGGTTGATCCCGGGAGGGTCCTTAACGGCCTGGACAAGATAAAAAATGGAGACATGGAGAAGAAAAGGTTCATAAAAGCGAGAGAAAAAAAAGATCAAAAAGCCAACCCGTGCAGAACGCAGATAAACATGCATCAACGCGCGATTTAATAACAAAATACAAAACAAGAATTGCACCCTTGATACCTTTCCTTTCCCTCCTAAATCCTCGTGCACAGATATCAAATAACAGAAAAAACAAACAGAAAAACAGAAACAGAAAGCTCTTCTAGCCAGATCTTGCTGAGGTGTTGATTGCCCAGAGAGAAAGAGTGGGTATTGAAGGGATATCAGGGGGAAATTTGGGAGAAGGTGGCGGGACGCTCTATAACCAGACCCTAAAATAAAGGGCAACTGGAAACGGCGAGGGATATCGAGCTGAAAACACAAATATGCCGGTGGATATGAGAGAGTTCAGATGTTCACACCGAAAAAACCATGGTGTGAGGGGAAGGAAGTAAGCAAAAAGGCGAATAGATACGTCCCAGAGAAACAGTCGGAAAAATCAAAAGCATCAAACTCCAAAGTCACCAGACCGGTCATGACATCATGTGTGGGAGCGTATATGGATACCCCATGAGACCCGTTAAGATCATTCACGTCAAATAGCACGAGAGAGGATATTATTTATGGAAGAGGCGGAATTTCAAAGAAGACCTTCTTCGCCAATTCCGGGGAGGCCAGCTCCGGCAACATTAATGTTCTGTCCCTGCATGACACCGCCGCCGAGGTTCAGATTGCGACCTGCTGCAAGCTGGAAATCGGGGTTACAGGGCGGCGAATGGGATTTGTGATATTTAAGACCGTTAAGGTTCTTGTAGCGTTTGCCACAAACTTCACAACGATATGGCTTCTCCTTCTCCATACCAAGGGTGCCAGGGTAAGGTGCTGATGTTTCGGGATTGACAATTGAGAATGTGCCATCGGCGTTGTCATGAAGTTGTTGATTATTATGACCGTGCTGTAATAAGGGAGACAAAGATTAGTCAAAGTGGTTCTATACGCAAGTTTATATATACTTTGAGAAGTAAATCACTTACAGCTTTGTGATATTTGAGTCCGTTCTGGTTCTTGTATGCTTTCTCACAGCCGATGACAGGGCATCGGAACGGTTTAGGCTCTTCGTTGGGAAGAATCGAGGTAGTATCAGGTACCCCAGCCAGAAGTTGTTGCTCACGGATCCGTCGCGCAATATCGCTATTAGGACCGTATTGAGCTCCGCTCAATTTGAAATGAGCATTCGTTGATCCCATACCGCCTGTGGGGCTGAACAAGCGCTTAGCTGGCTCATCGATGCACAGATCAACCATATCATTGTTGCCGCCGAGGAAGCGTCCGAATTGGCCCTGGTTTTGGCCCATGGCGTTATTTTGCATAGTCAAATCTCCGAACCCACCTACCACGCTCTCATCGATTTCCACTGGTGTTCCAGGTGCTGACGAATCCGGGGTATTTCGGAACTGGGAGGTCTGAAGAGGATTGGCCATTAAAGTGGGAGTATTGACGGAAGAAACAGTGGGGTTATTCTGCAGGGAAAGAGGGCGTCCAGAACCGATCGGAGTACCAGGTTGAGAGGGTGTGTTGAAACCCTGGTGGCTTGGAAGCATACCCAGATTTAACTGCGGGCCCTGGTTGGGATTGCCAAATCCACCTTGACCACTTTCGCGTAACTGAGGAGAGAAGAGCTGTGACATGGTGTCATCGTCATCTCCCATAGGCTCGTCCAACTCCATGTCATCGATTGTGTCTAGATCAATGTGCTGGGATGTAATGGGGTTCTGGCCCAGCTTGCGCTGCATATCTAGGGTACGATCGGGCTGCAGGCCACGCCCTTGGTTGCCATGTTGCTGGTTCTGTTGTTGTGCGATCGCGGCTGCTGCCAAGGCAGCTCGATTCTCACCCTGGCTCGGACGATGACCTTGGTTGGGCGATTTCGTCGCATGGGCTTCTTCGTAGTGTTGTAATAGGTCATGAAGTGTCGGTAACGTGACACCGCAGCAAGAGAAGTCCCGCATGAAGTTAGCTTCCAGCTTCGGGAGATATGAGGACGAGTGGAAGGAAGGAGACTGGAAAGCGAAGGGGGACGTGCCAGTCATGATGATGCTGTAAAGTAAGAAAAAGGAAAGATCCCATGGTCAGTCTCGATGTCGTGAAACAACAAATCCCGCAAGCACACAGGGTTTTCCTTCCGCGCGTGCGCGCACTGCGCGCCTGGATACGAAAAAAAAGGAAATGGGCCAGTATTTTTTTTTTGGTTACTCACTCATCACGAATCCAGCTTCCAACCGAAACACCGCCCCAACTCATACCACCTACTAAGCTACCTGCCAGAGATTCCCGACGACCTTTATCGCGAGCTGATCCGGACATTGAGATAGGCTTGGTTCCATTTCCCCATTGTGCTGAAGCGGCACCGATTGAATCTTTACGAGGCGGCGGGGCCTTGAACACCCCGAGACCTCCACTCGGGTGATGCGATATACTCCCGGTGCGTTCGCCATTGCCGGCTTTCTGCAGCGCCGACGTCAGATTTGAGGCCTGCTGCCCCGGCGGTGAGACCGAGGTCGACTGTCGCGTGGCGATGTCTATCGGAGCAGCGCCAGTCATCGTGAGGGGTTGATATGCAAAAGCGATTTTAGGGTTTGATGTGGTTGCCGGGGGGGGTTCAATAAAAAAAAGAAAAGAAAAGAAACAACACTAGTACAAGGTGATCGGGCCTGAATCTATTTAGTTTCGAAACTTTTTTTTTGTGAATCCTGGTCCCTGTCCGAGGTTTGCGCGAAGGGCACGCCAAACCGAGGGGTGGAGGGAAGAGTTGGCAAGGTAAAAAGAAGGTTTCCGGTGTTGAAGCACGAATCGAAGGGACCTTCAAATGTGAAAAATTGACGACGAGGGGAAGAGGAAGTTGTACGGATTGCCCCTCGACAGATGGGGACTTTTGGTCGATGGCGGTTTTGGGCGGGTTTCTTGAGAGTGTCCACCCTCGGATGATGTCCCGCTCTTGTACTGGAGCCCGGAACGCTGAGCCTTGGAGTGGCAATGAGGTCGCCTCTGATGATTATCTTCACGGATAGCTTCAACTTTAAATAGATCAAGCAGATTCAAAAAGAACTTGATCCCAGAAAAAAGAAGAAGAAGCACAAGAAGGGGGGAAGATTTGGGTGAAGCGGGACTCTCTTGTTCATCGGAAACGCCCTTTTTACTATCACTGAGGGGATCCGCTTTAGGACTAGTTTTGTCACGGTATTACACAACCACGTGATGGCCCCATGCAACCGTCGAATTTACCATACAAGCCCATAATACCCAGGTACGCCCAAATAAAGATGAATAATCTATTGGTAGGTCAAATTTGATATATAGAAAAGGGTAGTATATCGTGGGGGATTTAGTATCTGGGGATTTTAGAATGCTTGAATGACCGCACTGGGGAAAGAACAGCAGAAGCTCTGGGTGTTGGCATGCATCGATGACGGGGTCGGGCTGCCGATCGCTACCATGATGACACGACACACCGCTTGCAGGAACGTCATGATCTTGTATTATAACCATCTGAAACACCATTAGCGTATTAATTCTGACTATGACTAACAGAGAACTTGATGCATCTACATTATATAGTTATGACTGTTTTATGTCTGACTCAAGACTTTAGATGAAGTACTTCAGATTAAGAGTCATCTAAAAGGAGTTATTCCCAAGGTTCACATGGTCAGACCAAAGAATGTACCTAGGTTCATAAATGACTAGGGAAAACTGACTACGGAATCGGAGTATGAGATATTCACACTGACACTGCCGATAGTGGAGTCTCTTACCTTTGGAACCAGTAATTTTACTCTACTGAGGACTCCCTCAGAGCCTCTTATTCTTTGTTACTTGACAGTTCTTCCATGGTTCTGAATCCAATAACCGGCAGGCCCACCTCATATTTGATGCCGAGAATGTTCAACCTTCCTTTTGAGCTCTCGGGATCGATCGAACGGGGAATGCAGAATAAAGATCTCAGCAGATCTGGGGTTATGCAAGGGGCAAAGATTTCGGGGTGGCGAACTTTCTCGGGCTCCGCTACGTATTAGGGGAACATTTGAATCACTACGGAGTATGTCGCATTCGTTTATCCGGGTGAATACTAGCGAGCTTTTGGTTATGCAGGTATGATTATTTCCTCCCAAGGGGGGAAAAAGAGAAGAGAACTTTGAGAGGAGAAAGGAGAGTTTCCTATACAGAATCCACTTTCTACCTCTTTATCGTCATCATTTACTGGTATACAATATTACCCCTCGTTATTGATCGACAAGACAATCAATAGTCTTCTATTATATAGGGCACAAAGAACCAAAGTTTCAGTCGGGAGACAACGGTGTCTTGGCTTTGGCGCTAGAAACGCGGCAGAAGCATTCGGTGCAATTAGCGTCTTTGTCCTCACACGAACTCGCCCCGCTGTTAATTGGACCCTCAGATCTAAATGAAATGGGCCCGCGTACTCCGTGCTGCATGATATCCCGGGATCCCGTCAATCCCTATTTCCCCTATATCTCCAACTGCCCCCCCTGATGCAGTCACTTGCCGCGCGGTTTCCCCACGCCCATGAGTCGGGCTTTTCTCGATCGGGATAGGTGGGCACCACTAAATCGGACTTGTTGAGGGATCCCTCAATAGCTCCGTATGCCCGGCACTACCCTCCGTCCACTCTCTAACGTGTTCATTAATGATCAACACTGATCACGCCAGCACTTCAAGTTGAGTGTCTGATCGCTGCAATTTATTCTTGTTCACGCCATCAGACTTAACGACGATTGGACTAATCACTATATTTACGCGTACTTGAAAACCCACTTGGAGTAATCCCACCTGGACAGGTGCTTTCAATCGTTACAAGAGACTTGATCATCAACACTGGGTATACTTCGGACTCGGTGTATTCTTAATCCTCAATCTTGCATATGCTCTGACCTTCCCATGTGGGTCTTTGGTGGCGTTGCTAATTCTCAATCAATTGAACCCGGCACAACGTGATTATCTTGGCGAAATCGCATAAATGAGTGACAGCATTGACCATACCAAGATAAAAAAGCGTTAGACGATTACTTTTATTGAATTAAACTTCATCACTGAAACTTCCACCGCCGGACAGTTTTATCCAAATGTCCGTACTTTGAATCCGATGTGGCGGACTTCAGCTGGGCTCGGGTCATCTGACCTCGGCACAAGATTACTATTTTGGTACTCTATAGCTCCGAGCTCTCCATGATATCAAAGAAGGGCCAGGGTTAGCATCAACTGCCTCAATTGGTCATAATCATGGACGATATTTTAAGTTATCATAAAGCCCCACAGCTGCACGGGTGTGAAACCTTGGAAGGGTGCCAAAATAAACTGCAGCTTGAAGTTCATGCCGAACGTGAACTTGAAGTCAACTGGTACTAATATAGTCGGAGACTCCGGACTCTGAGTACACTGAACACATGTGCAGTGAAGGAACGAATCAAATTGTACTCATCAACATTTGAACCAATCCATCCCAGGACTCAAGTGCTGTATATTCTTAGGATCAATATATGCAGCTCAAAAAATAACATTTGAGGGGGAAATATTACATTTGGATGTGCTCGTAGTACCCCAACTTCCCACCTCCAGGCCGTTTGAACTTCCAACTTGAACCCCCAGGCCTGGAGGTTGGAACGGCTCGAGTTCAATGCTATGATCAGCTATCGAGGACTTCAACTGCCATTCAAATTTCCCTCCGAAACAATCAATTGATACAACCTGCAGCTCATACTACCACCGGCAACTCCAAGTTCATCCAAGGTGAAGCACATCGGATAAAACATTTGAACCAACCTTAGAAGCACTAGTAGTTCAAGTTGACCTATACCGGCCCAGGCGGAAGAGATCAAATGTTCTAAGAGCTTCAAGTTTCCCATAACACTTGGGCGGCTGAGTTCCAACTTCTAGCAGAAATTTGACAATATTGAAAGAGCAACAAAGGAATTTCATAAGGCGAATGAATAAAGGGACTATATAATCACAGAAGGTAGAGGGCGACACAGATTTTGGTCTTTTGTCCAAACATCATCTGCACTTAGTGACAGGCACATCAGATGACGCCACACTGTCCTGGTGTTCATTTTTCCCTTTTCCTCTCTTAGGCATACTTAGCACATCACCTTTACGCGATGCACATCATGAAATTCCTCCAACAGAGATCAATATTCATGTGAATAGATGTTCAGAGCTGAATCAAGCTGATGGCTATATAAGGATGCGAGAGACACCAGCGTCGAAGCGCTTATTGAGATATTGTCTGCCTCGGGTTGTGACCAGAAAACTTGAAGCGATACAAACATCACAATATTCATCCACTGACGGCTTGACTACACCAAAAGATCAAAATAATTAACCTGAGGAGCCAGGTAAGTCTGGCCGAGTATTCTTACCATCGAAAAGGGCTCAAGGCCACCGGGCTGATGAAACTTACCTGACTGTCTCGTTCAGACGGGACGACTCCTCCACGCTGACCTTCACCTCTGGCACAACTTGCACTTTTTTGGGCATCAAAACCAGAGTAAAACTCAAGCAACGCCTTCCAGATAATCTACCACCACTCAGTACCATGTTCTATACAGAAGGACTATGATACACAAACCGTTCAATAGCAATAGCGGCACCATATTGCACAATTTGCTACAGAACGAAATTTGAAGGATGCTATGTGCTTTACACCTCAGCTAGCATGACTCTATGGAGATGGGGAGCATTTCAGATTGCTTACTGGGGTACAACCTGATACCTCTGAGATATAGAGGGCTCTAATTACGCCCATGGCTCCAAAACTTGAAAAGATTGCTTTCATAGAGCCCTGCAGCTCAATATCTATACCGATATGGATACTAAGTGCCTCTTTCACAGTCAGTATCAATAAATGGTTATTGCCGTAGGCCAACTCACCAACGACTATGAAGCACACGTGAGGTAGGGATTTAGGATAAGATGAACCCTACTTTTACTATTTGCTTTCAATATCCTTTCCTTGGGCATTTTTCTCGCATCGAGAGTACAAAATCGGATGAAAGATTGCGCCACGACCTGAATACTACTGGAACCCGTCGCTATATTCACGATAGAGAACGCTAGACATTCATTCATCTACTCCCAAGGGCTTTCTTCGATCTACCCGTTCATCACACACGTAAAGTAGGATGAAAAAAGGGCCGATGTAGATGTGGCCTTGAGAACTCGAAGAGGAATGAAAGTCCCAAAGGGGCAGTCGAATCCATTGCTGGCAAGGGTATCGCAATTACTACCATTGTCTCCAAGCCGAGGAAAATTGTCCTTTGATCTCTCCACGCCACCTAAAAAGCTACGAGCAGAGCTCTGGTAGGTGAAACAATCTAGAATACTTTGTCAATAGTATTCTGTAGCACCCCCCCCCCCTCCCTGGACGACTCCATATAGTTGTCACCGGTAATATAATTCAAGGGAGAGAAATGTGGCAAACCTTGGAACTGATAAGCTCTTGGCAGTTGGGGTTTTTTTTGGTTCAGAAGGAGTAAGAAATTGAACCTTGGAAGTTGTGAGGAAGAGAAAGAATAATTTGAGAGGAAGAATCCTATTTAAGTATAGACTAGACCTCTTTTTCTACTTGGGTTATAGTGGTTTTTCGAGTTTCCTCACCGTCTGGCAGAATACTCAGAGACCATAGATTTACCAATAGACTATATTTTGCTTTTGTTTATTACATCTAAACATGCATGTGAATATATCCCGCTTTATTTAGCTATCTCTTACTTCTACTTTAGATATCTCTCACTTTAGATATCTGTAGAGTTGCCAGTTGCCTATATCTAACTATATAACAGGTAGCCCAGTAGGTACTTACATACAAAGACTCGGAGGTGTCGGTCATTAGTCACCTTTAGATGCTACCTAGTACTGACTCGGACTGAGTCCTGTACTTAAGTATGTGAATCTACCTAGTACTAGATCGTGTACAGTGAATAATTTGAAGGGGATTTGATACATTTCAAGGTTGAACTGGAATAGATTACTACTAGATTATATAGTAAATATGACTCGGAAGTGAGATTTACTTACCAACTTCCGTATTTGGTTCAAATTCTACTACCATCATTCACTACCTGGTCAGGGTAAAAACTATTTCATTTTTATGCGTCTGATTGTTTTGTACAACAGCACTTGAGTGAATGTCTAGCGATTTTTTATTTTGGTACAGGTGAAGACACATACATACGTCTTGGTTTTATGTACATGAACCTGTATCAATGACTCGCCCACCGGCAAGAGGCAGACACGTCCCTCAGATACCAATTCATTCATCGGAGTCCTCTGAATCTAGTTCATGATTTTCAAAGGTAAGATATGATTTTTAACCACCTGGGCAGACCACAACAGTCTTTTCAAGCCCTGGAGAGACACATAGAATGTTGCAACCCGAGATCATCCAACCGTGAGCGGTGACTGGCTATAGAGTGCGCTGTGCCAGGCTAGTATGACCAAATGAGACCATCAACATATTCAGCTCAGTTGATCTATGCTAAAATAACTTGAATACCTGAATATGACCTTGCTATACCCAGGACCTATAAGGACTCAGTGAGGCTCGAGGCCTGGGACCCTACGACATACAGCCAAAGAGATGGATCAACGAATTTTTACTTGGACAAACTCAAAGTCCTCCAAACAGCTGTCAGTGACCTTGACCCACGTCTAGCAGAAAGTCACCGGACAGGATAGTCTTCAGCAATTAGGCGACCCACAACAAGCTTCAGCCACCCTGGCTCGAGATTGAGCGCCCATCGGCACCTGACATGTCGAAATATCTGCCTGGATCCGGCTAAGCTTGTTTTCCAAGATGTGTACATGATCTCACAAAACCAATCACCGATGTCCACCCTCATGATTTTACCTGAGCTTCAAATAGAGCTGCCAGTGGGCCTGTTTTTCTTAGTATGCCTCGGTGGCGAGGGACCGTTTTCTTTGATAATGGGGGTTTGTCCTTTCATGGACAGCACTTGAGCCATGTAGTCTCATTAATATGCCTTCTCAATACTACTTCCAGCGGTCATATTCCCATATGTTTTAGGACTGATGATTATTCCATAAGTACTAGCACCAGTGTCATCTTGCACTCTCTTTTGTTACCACAATGGGTGGAATATGAATATCGACCTGCTCCACGCTTCCAACTCGATCATTTATTTTAACCGACTGGTGGACTGTGGGCCATATTCTCTAGTGCTTCAACTAGTTTGCTCACCGCTACATCAAAAGTGCCGTCATCACTCCACTGACTCCACAGATTTACAGGCGGGGTAGAAGTATAGCGTTATGAAGACTGTTATTTTCTCTGATTAAGCCAACTTGATACCTTATTCTGGGGCCAAATTTCGCAATGAATGATTCTTAATTGAGATTAAGTGTGGCGATTACAGGGGACTATCTCCTACTAGTTCCATTAGAGCATAAGCTAGAGTTGGAATCTCTTTAGGCTCTCCAAAAGTAGTAATTTTAGCGAATCATGGCCCAAGCGCATAAATAGTCAGTGAGAGACAAAAATGGCGTTCATATTTCAAGATGGCATGTCTCAAATCCCAAACGAAAAGGATTCAGGGTAAAAATTAAGATTGCGCCAAGTTCCAAGGTTAATTAGCCGGCTGATTGAGTTTCTAACCGATACTAGTATAATGCCCAGCAAAAAAACATTGGCATAGTGCAGATAAAGATTATAACATCAACCCCATAATCCCGGTGCTGATGCAGGATGTATGTGCATGCAGCCACCGCCAGAAGCGGGAATGCCGCCACAATGCAAGTCCTATTATCGGCGTATCCTACAATTCCGAAGTCCGCCCCGGAGATAAGCGTGCAACGTAGACACATCAACCTGGATCTGAACATGTGACAGGAAAAATGACATATAATTGGATGAAGATACTAGATTGTGCAGCTGGAGAGGATCGAATAAAAAGTAAACAAGTCAATCTTATACATTGCACATCATCACTCTTGGTCTTCACCGAAATGCGAGATGCGGGGGCGGAAAAGGGGCCATAACTACGAGGGGTATGGGGAATATGGTATCCACCAATATCTCACCGAAAAGACCAATATAGGAGGATCAGATATAGAGAATCATTTCCGAGACCAATCTTACAATTTAAAGTGCGAACGTGGGAAACGGCTCGCTATGATGAAAGGATTATTGTCCCCCACTCCGTTTAGGCATCTGGGCTTATTCCCTGTAGCGATACACGTCAGATTGACCTAATGGATAACGTTCTGCATGGATACACACTTGGCAGGATTGGCAACACAAAATAGGGATCTTGAGATCTTCAGAATATCCAAACTTGTCGAGGCTGTGGAACATGATCCACGATGGAGCGGGATTCCGTCCTAGAGCCAAGACGGGTATATCAAACAGTAGGCTTGGCGGATCACCATCGCATCACCTTGGCGCTACTTGGCAGGCATTTGGGATCTTATCCCTAGCATCTAGTGACTATTGTATGGGCTGTGCAAATGGGTGGCTTTATGAGGTATGTCACCCCCGTTGTGTAGCGGCTAAGGAAGATACGTGGTATCATTTACAGGGAAGGATGTGAGGTTTCAAATTTGCCCGGATGACTTAATATTCAAGTTGTATGTATCCAAGAGAATAAGATCATAAAAGAAGTTCAAAATATGATGGTAACAAAAAAATTCAAAAAGATAATAATCGGCAGCCAGCAAGCCCTAATTTCATAACGCCAAGAACACCCCCCGCCAATATTCCACTGTTTCCTCCAGGGTGGTCGACCACCAAGTCCCTTGATTGGGAAAAGCCCCAAGGTGAGACGAGGTTGAGCCGAGGACGAATGGATGAACGGATGACCAGATCCACCGTCGGAATAAAATGCATCTGTCGCTGATGGTGTGATAAGACAATTTCATAAAAAAGGCACGAATCAAAAGTGAAGTAAACGGTTCATAATTCACTGGGAGATTGTGGAGTAGCGTCGAGAAGTGTGACCGAGGTAAAGGAATCCACTTGGAAGGATGTCAGACTGGGACTCCATGGAGGAGACAGACGAGGAACTGTCTGAGCGGTGCGACTTGGGGACCATCTTAGGGCTGATTTCTCCGGTGGAAGAAGATTCAGCCACGGCCTGCTCATCATAGATACGAGGGTCCGGGCCAGACTCGGTGGGTGACAAGACAAGGAACTTGTTTGCGGGGTTGAATGGAGCTGATGAGACAGCAGAGAGAACGAGGAAACGGTGAGTGGGAGTGTAGGTGTACATTTTTAAGACTTTTTGGTAGTTGGTGTACTAGTAGGTGAAGTTGGTTCTTTTGGGTAGAGGCAAAGAGTACTTTTTGGAGGAATGGAAGTTTGGAACTTTTTTTTCTGTGGGAAGAAAGGCTTGGAGTAAGATGAAGAGTCATTTCCGGGTAGAAGCGGCGGACTTTATATATCTTCGACATCCGTGGACCTTGGAGAAGGAGGGGCATACCGGTGTATGGATGATGTGCGGCGTGCCCAAAGGCGCGTCGATCCCAGCACAACTCAGCCGGGGCAAGTGGATACCCGAAGGTCATGCAGACCAAGTCCCCCGCGATTATCGCCCATAATGTGAGATTTCAATATTAGGAATTCTTACTTGTCTTGGCTTACAGAGGATTCTCAGAAAAAAAGCAAAAAAGGGGGAATAATTCATCCCCCAAGACGTCACTATTGGTTAACTAGCATCCCTTTAGTCCTTTATCTTTCCAATTCTTCGACCTCGCCTCTCTTGGCTTTGGTATTTAGGTCACACCAGTCTTGGTCTTGGTCTTGGTCAGGGTTAACAATCATTCTCCCAGCCATGGCAAATATGCATGTTCTTGGCAGATGAGGCCCCCCGATTGCAAATCACTAATTGCACAATTCGTGTTTTTGTGATTTCGTGTTTTCCTTGTGTTCTTGTGTCCAGGCACCGGGCGGGCCCCGCTGGCGAGCCGAAAGCCAAAGAGGCACCGAGGAAGATCCCCATCTAGGATGAGGGGGCCAAGCAACAAAGCAACCGCTCCTTGTGGGTGGTCTATGAGATTTCACAGGCTCCTGAGAATCCACCTTTCATGCAGCACTCGAAACAAGAGATTGACACACCTTGCACGGACTCCGATATGTTTCATTACCATCTTATTCGCCCCGACTATCCCCGGCTTGCAATAATGTATATCCGCTCTTCCACATGCATTCTCGGCTCCGGTTTGTTTCCAGGCCTATCGATGGGCGCGAGTCTTTCCTATTTCCAGAAAGGTGGGCCAGTGACATCATTGGCTTGTGTCAGTTCGTTTTATCCCCAATATGATCGCCTTAACCGAAGTCCCGATCGTCTTGTTTGTTTGCAAGGTGGGGAAGGTGTTTCCGATATGTAGCACATCAAAACTTCGCGCGTAAGGCAACCTTTGGAGGGAGTACACTAAAAAAGCACCAAATGGGATACTTTCACAATGCAAGAAATATCCTGTCAAGTACAGAACTAGTGAAAAAAAGTCCGGAAATTCAACTCTTGAAAGCTTATCCGGTCGGTTGTAGAGGGCTGCAGACATTTTCTGTTCCAAACATTTTAAGAGGCCCAATTCTGCTATTATGAATTAAAAATTTTCGCAAAGCTTTTTTGGCTGCTCGAGCTCTCCAAATGTCACAGATCTTCTTTGATTACAAGATACGGGATGATGTTGTTGATAATTTTCTCATCTTCCCGCAAATGACCCAGTGATGTTATTCCCTGATCGTATTGTCTGCTTTAGGTCACTCCGAGTCTGCAGCCATGTTCTTCTTCATCGGGACGGAGTAAGATGTCTGCTTCATGCTCTTCCTTCGGGGTCCCTGCCATCGCAAGTACAAAATTTAGTAAGTCTGATCTTCCAGGGTAATTTGATGCCAAAATGCCATCACACTGGGCCTATTTCGCAAAATCTTCGTCTGGGGCCATTTTATTGCATCAGAGTCGGTGTATATTCGGCCGTCACCGACACTTATGAAGAAAAACAAGACGCCGTTTTTCTGCTATGTTCCTCGCGAGTTCGGCCATGGAATCCTTTTGCCTAGCGTGAATTGTATCCTCCTCGTTTCTTTGTCCCCGGAGGCTTTCTTTTTAGCTCGAAGGGTCGTCGCGGGAGAGAGGTTCGTGGTTTGATCCCGGGTCACTGCCTAGCGCTTGATTAGTTGGCACTGATTGCTGACTCCAGGGGAGTTTTGGCTAATGAGTATATGGAGGGAGATTCTGGATGGCTTGTCGCGGCGTAAAGGAGGTCAATGCTGAAAAAGAGAAGCTAGAATCGAAGGCACCAAACGACTCATACTCGGATACAGACCCTTGAATACAAAAATGATGCAGGATTTGCTCTCACATCTTGTTTCTTCGCTGTTTTCAAGGGATCAAGAGTTTGTTTCGGGACTGATTGGGAATTCTTTGGGTCCACGCTAGCGTGGGAACAGGAGAGAGACTCATAGCCTGCTAGAGGTCAGAGATGATGCAAGTGTGAGAAAATTAAATGGAGACGACGGAGTAGTAGATACCACTGGTACTAGGAAAGATCAAGTGACAATGTTATCTTTGTCTGATATCTTCCCACAACCTTAGAACAGTATGTGGAATGGGATCTGTAATGTAATATACGAAAAAGGAAGATGGCGAGGAATATCTTTTTCGGGTTGAAGCTGCAAAAGTCGTGATCGATAGCTGAAACAGCACAGCACCTAGGCACCTATGTCGTTTACTACCTGAAGCCTGGTATGTAGTAACAAAGTCAAGTACCAATATTGTAAGGCAAAAGTGTGGTGTGATAAGTACCACTGGCACGTCCATTAGGTAGCCTATTACAACAATTAAACCAGTCTTTTTATCTCTTATGTTATCTCTCATTTCTCCTCTTATTTCATCTCTCATATCGAGATCTGAGACAAATGCTATCACCTAACCAGGCCAAGCGATGTGATCCTGGATTCCTGCGCTGCCGCAAATCGAAGCCAAACAGGGCCATGATAAAGGATCACCGCGATAGAGGGTGAGAGATATCAAAAAATCTCACTATACGAGGGACAGAACGTAGCGACTGGAGGAGTCTGAGGAACCTGCCAGCTCAGTCGAGGTATGATTTACTCAAGGTGGTTCTCTAGCCCCTCCAGGGCTGTAGTGAGATACTTGGATGACTTCATCCATATGATGGATCTGAAGCTTGGTACTTCATTATTTTAGGGGCATTCCTCCCGGGACCTTAGAGCTGAAAATAAAGAAGAAGAAAAAAATTCGAACATTGAATGTGCTTCCCCAATGCCGGATGATAGGATGGTCCTGGACGGATGTATACACAAATGAGTCAAATGAATTAAGTTTGAAAGAGGCGACATAATTCATTCTGAATATAGTACAAAGTGATAACAAGAAAAATTCTCAGTCAAGGAACCTTAGAAATGTGGAGATGGAAAAATAGGTGACTCTTTCAGGGAATCAGGGGTAAGTTGCATAGATCGATAAACAATGAACCATCACGTGGTAGAATCCGCCTGCGAGCCAAAGAACGCTAATTACTTGTTCTCTAACTTTTCTTTGTCTTTTCACCTTGCATCAGCCCTCAAGGCATATTCACTAACCAACAGCGCCAAAAATGATGCGGTGACAGTGGAGCAAAGCCTGTGGATTGTCGCTGTGCTTTGCCGCCCTTAGCTTCGGCCTATCACTCGCCCGGAGTCGATCTCCCGGGGCTCGGGCGCCAGCAAGAGAGCCTCAGCGACGATTGCTCATGAGCGCTACTGCGCCACCTTGAAGCACAGTCATTCTTTACCAGTCATCTCAGCCCTAGTAGCAATCTATAGGTTGAGAATGACTTTTGAATTCTCCATTCATCTCCGATATTCCAGTCCATCATGTCACTAAATTGCAAAAAAGGGGGATTCCGCTATCGGCGCTGCACCCAACATGTTCCGCAAGAAGCAGGAGGGTCTTTTTTTGCGCCTACTATGAGCTCATTCAACTCTCGCTTAAACTAATTACTGGGCATAAGGTCTCGTCACAGTGCAGCTTCTCTGAGTTTATTTCCACTATCACCCAACTGCGCCATTAAAGTCCATTATTGTGAGCTCCATCGACCTACGCATTCTCAAGGTTGGGGGCCATTATATGGAGGCACAGAAAGAATGCCTCAAAGTTCTAGACCTACCGACAATTGAGATGTATCAATCGCTCTCTCATCATGAAAATGGAGGCCAAGCTTCTGCTCCTCATTGCCAGCGGGAAATCATTAGCTGTGGGAAGTCTATGCTTTCTCCATTCACAACTCCCCCACCGAATCGAGGTGTTCAAAGGGCTTATCTGATGAAAAGCTTCGGATTTCAAAATCTCTTCCTTGTCTTTTTTTTCTCACCGCAATACACAGTTTACTACTCGAGTGGGTTTATTCAACATATCTGTTTAGATGTGCCTTGTGTTGCATGGCCCCCTTTCCTCTCTTTGACTCAACTTGCTGTGCCCGCCCCCGATCTCCACTACTACCACGGGGACTGTGGCAGGTGGCATGTGCACTGACTCAGAGCTGAATATTCGGGGATGGAACTCTAGGAGACCATTTGTCAGATGAGCTAAACTCTGTGCCTGGCTGATTCTGCAAAGCACAAGTTGTTGGTGTGATACGCAGCCTCATTTGCCGGGCAAGCAGCGCACCGGGATGAGGACGTGGGGACTCTACGGGATTATGTCAAGTGCTCGCTGCAGCTGCGGAACTCTAATGGAGATTGGGGTGTGGCCGAAGTGATCAACAGTTCGACAGCCTTGATACATCCCCTGCTCGCTATTGGTGTCCACAGAACCGAACCCATCAGGCGCAACGTACTGGACGCCACCCTCTAATGATCCACATAACCGCCTACCCTGTCTGCTGTTGGTATGGGATAGTACCCGCATAGAACAATTTTCCAGCGCATCTTTCTCTTGTTTGTGCCATCCACTCCGTCGGGCTTTCGTCACCGAGCGAGTGACCACTAAGTCATTAGATGCATATGGCGCATCTGGGTGTCCTGCGCAGCGCCTGGGAGAGTTCCGATAGCAAATCCAATTCTTTCTTTTTTCTCTTTCTTGAATTTGGGGAGTCTATGAGTCTTTTTGCTCATGCACTGCGGCACAGCTACTCCGAAGAGGCTGTATAGAAGTTATAAAGCTGGCCGTTAATCCTCTCCAAATATCTCATCAACAGCATCAAACAAAGTGATCAATTCTCAATCACATCTCACAAGCTTTCCCGCGATACTTCCACCCTCATCAGATATTCCAATCTCATCTTCCACCCCGCCAAAATGTGTTCTGTCTACATCTTCCTCTATGACTGCGGCTGCTCAGTCGAAGAAGGCGGCGTTGTCGCCTGCGCAAAGAAGGGCACTCCTTCCTGCCACGGTGTGAAGGAGCACTTCCGGCGACGTGCGGGCTACAACTGCCCAAAGCACACCAAATAGTGGCTAGATTTGTCTACTCAAAAAGTGAGTGTGCCTCTCATGAACTAATCAAATACATCCCGCCAAATAGGGTTCATCCCGCTAATACGATCTTTCTAGACATTATCTGGCCACTGGCCCCATACTTGAGGGCGATATACGCCTGTACACAACCTGCTCTCCAATTCTGGCTTCACGAAATGAAAAAGAGGATAATGCGCACATTGTCCCCCAATCCCATTGCGGGCTGGGGGCTTCTCATTTTGATTTGGGTTTCATACTTTACCTGTTGTATTGATTTTGCTTTTTTACTTCCTGTGTACGCCTCTTTGTCTTTCGGGCTACTACGAGATTTGACTGTATTCTTTTTCATCGGGTAGCATCGCTAATTCGCTGTGTTGCCCTTGCTCGTGGCCGGGACGGGCACAGCCCTCCGAGATGGCTCGGGAATGCTGCTCCGATTAAATTTCTCTTGACCCGTACACATGTTCTCAATTTTTCTCTGGTCGATAATACATTGCCATCTCATTAGCCTGGTTTTAGCTTTTTCTCTTGAATGAATATTGGATATACTACCTCACATGTTCCATCTGGCTAGGGTATCGATTGGTCTACCCGCCTCAAAAATAGGGGGAAAAGGTATTCGTTAGCGAGATGATGACGAGTCCTGTCTTGAGATCTGACTTCAAAGCTTTGATCCTCAACTTGGAATCCTGTTCCAGCCAAGCCCACCGAGTCTTTGTGTGTGCTTGGATCCTTCGCGCTTATCATGGCTGCATCTCGGGATATTAAATGGCCCTAGTGAAGAGTCGAGAGGAGTTCGAGGTGAAAGACCAGGTCTTTAGCGTATTCCACATGCTTCCAAGGTTCCGTGACCCATGATATCTTGTTGTGGAGGCAATACATGGGTTATATCCCTGTGGGTGGAGTGCTGCATGGGGGCTTGAGCTTGTACGCGTTAAGTACTGACAGGCATTAAACCTTGCAAAAATACTTTAATAATATGGGACAGATTTAAACCATTTTATAGATGAAACAACTTTTTGATGGAATTACTCTGAGGGGCCAGGATCATAGTATTTGGGCTCTAGCCTCTATAGACCTTTTTCTACCATGAGAGACACATAAGTGTCATAGAAGCTCAATGGTTCATCAAGCTTCGGTACACTTCTGAGCCCCTCCTACATATGAAAAAGGGTTAGATAACTGCAGATCAGATTAAGCCACGCACACATGGATCATATCAGTGTTGACCACGTTGTTATGCATGGAGAAGAACTCGAACCACATGCACGTTGGGGCGCCGAGGGGCGACTCGGAGTTACGGGGCAACGGGCCATCTCCCACCGTCTTATCCATGGACAAAGAGCGTAGGAGTCTTTGCGTCTACTCGTAAATTGGATAAACCGGGCAGGAAAGAGACTAGAAAGTTCCATTTTTCTAATGATTTTACAAATTGGCCTGAAACTTCCCGTGCGAGAGAGAGAAAAAATCTCCGACTGCAATGACGAGAGCCTTGTCACGGCTGTGAATGGTGGCTGGAAGGACCCATAAGGCAACAAAGACAAAGAGGAAAGGACGTGCGAGGGGTGATCGAGCGACCATTGGTGTATGACCAGTAGCTCAGAAACTCGCAAAGCCACCGGGGTTTGGAGTCCAGCGAATAGATCAGTGGCAATAAACGCGAGCTGTGGACCCCATGTGTATCGATAGGTTGGCAACCGCGGACAGATAATTGTGGGTTGCATTAGGCCCGCATAGTCAAATTATCAGCTGATTGTAGATGCAGTCACTCATGTTGATATCTATTTTTTTTATTCACACAGGGAAAAGTGAGAGTCTCATGACGTGAGAGACTTGTAAGTGAGTTTCTTCTTGGAGGAACAGTGTTGCTGGGGGCATTGCTGAAAGTGATCAGGGGGTGTTCAGGAGCTAGGGAGGTTAGTGTTGCCAATTTGTTGACGCAATCATGCTTTTAGGGAGGAACAACCCCTGGTCGTCCACTGTGATGGCCCCCAATACGGAGTACTCCGTACCTAGCTTTGAATCCCTTAGATTCCTCCTTTGTCTCTTCAATTCCAGGTCCGCTTTGGGCCGCCTTGGGCGGTAAATCAAAGTCAAATCTTGGCTGATGTTGAGAGAGAAGGTGGGGATCAGAGCATCTCGAGGACCATACATGGAAGACTCGGCACAATCGATGGCTTCGGAGCTTTGAGATCAACTCCCAGATTTGCCACGGATAGGATCCGTTGAGCCAGCTTGTTCATAGATTGGACGTATGCTAGACTAGAGGAACCTGTTCCAATATTTTGGCATGAATGGTTCACAGGATTGGCGAAAAAGTGGATTATGAAGATCCTGGCTGATTATTGAACATCAAAAGGGTGCGACTTGGCGATTTCAATCATTGTGATGGAGTAGTGCTCCATACACAGCCACGCTAAAGCCAACAGCTGAGGGATCGCTATGACCGGTACCAGATTTTGGCGACGCGGGCTAGCCGCTATATTAAGAACAAGGATCAAAACAATCTATTGCCATTAACAACAAGAACAATCTTCAATTGAAGACTCACTTACCAGACAAAATAATAAATGTTCATCTATAGATCTTTTCTAGCTCGTAGCTTACTTCAGGAATGACAGATCTCATCTTGATGATCTGCAATGTCGTTAATTAGTCACGTGGCACCGCGTCAACCGGCGGGTTTCCTTAGCTTCCAGTTCCTCCTTTCGCGCTTCTTTGGAGCTTTGAAAAGAAACCCAAAGTCAGCTTCATATCGCATATGTAATGTCCATCGAAGTCGATTGGGCAACAGCCACCTCTGGTCCAGATGGAGAAGCTCTGGCGGAACGCATTCGTTCGTTTGTTCATGACAAGTTCCAGGAGGTGACATTGCCGCGCTTCATACGCTCTGTCCAATGTCATTCCTTCGAGTTTGGCACCATCGGACCCGATCTCGAGATCAAAGATTTCTGTGAACCATTTTCCGATTTCTACGAGGAGGATGATGACGACACCTCAGCTACCTCCGAGGAGCTCATCGAGCAATGGTCCCATTCTGATTACGAAGATGAAATACAAATGAGCCATGCAGCCCATAGCCCTCACAGCTTCAGTCACCACCCATACCCAGGCGAGAGATTTCAACCCTCCGCACTCCGCTCCCCCCTTCCACTGGGCGACCATCTGAATCCGCACTTCCTGCCTCGCGCAGGAACCCCAGGGATCCCAGGCGGCACATCAAACCTCGGCTACCATCATTTAATGTCACTGGGCGGTCTCTCCGGCACGCAAACCCCTCTCGCAGCCGTCGCAAGTGGCTGGTCAGATTCAGGCCTGGATCCCCACAGCAGAGGCACCTACGCTCCACGTCCCTCTATACACCAGCGACAACAAGCACAATCCCAGCGCCCAGAACCAGATCTCGACACGACACACTCAGCCTCCCGTCCCTCCACAGCAAACACACATCCCTCCCATCCATCTATCGGCCAAAATACCGGTAGCAGCGGCTCCAACCGAAATAGCGCTGACCACCCAGCCGATATTCCACAACCATCTGTCGAATCAGTAATCGATGACCCCTCCATTCCTATCCCCCGCGCATGCGCGAACGCCGACCAGACGACGTCCAAGTCCTCTGTCACGCAAAATACGCCGGAGATGTGCGCCTATCGCTTACGGCGGAGATCTTACTCGACTACCCGATGCCCAGCTTCGTCGGACTTCCTCTGAAACTCAATGTGACCGGAATCACCTTCGATGGTGTCGCCGTCATAGCGTATATACGGAAGCGTGTACACTTCTGCTTCCTCTCTGCCGAAGATGCGGATGCGCTACTTGGCTCTGAGAGTCAAGCGTCGAGTGGACAGGTTCCTGGGGAAGACGGACGACCCAAGTCCGGTGCGGAGCAGAAGCGGCAGGGTGGGTTGTTGCAGGAGATTCGGGTGGAAAGTGAGATTGGACGCAAGGAGGATGGGAAACAGGTGCTTAAGAATGTGGGTAAAGTGGAGCGTTTTGTGCTGGCACAGGTGCGCCGCATTTTTGAGGAGGAACTGGTTTACCCCAGTTTTTGGACTTTTTTGATCTAATTAAACCGCCGGGGTGCATTGAGAGGGTTCCCATACTGGGCCATCTTTATAGTTACGAAGTTCATGACATATCACTTAAGAAAACTTATTTTTGATCACCTAAGATAAAATCATCTGCAATACAATAAAATTATCTGCAATACAGGATATTCAGCGTTATTTCTGGTTAAAATATTGAACAAAATTGATATCCTTCCAAAATCAAGCACTATTGGGTTTTCCAAACTCCTTGAGAAAGTTCCGATCTGCTAGCAACGAGGAAAATGCGTTGATGCCTCCTCTCCCAGAGCCACAGAACGCACTAGGATAGAAATTTATGAACAACATTTGAATAAACGCACTTCCAGGAAGCCTTTCAGCGCGAATATCGGTTGGCGAGAAAAGCGGATAAGCAACTTAGCCGCGTAGACTCATTGGGCGCATGGCTAGGGCGAATATACAAGCATGAATCGCGCAACCAGAGCCCAACGAGCGCGAAGTGAGGCTAATATTCCAAATCCAAGATGAAGGGCGCATTTACTGGCCCTTCTTCTCGTTCTTATCCGCCTTGCCGGAGGAGACCTCATCGCCGAGCTTGTGGTACTCGCGAGTGAGACCCTCGCACTGCTTCTTCAATGTCTCGATATCACGGTCCTTGGCAGCGAGCTCCTCCTTCAAGCGACCAATCTCACCAACGGAGCCAGCCTCGGCGATACGGGCAGAGTCCTTACCACCAGCCTTCTTGTCACCATCCAGCAGCTTGACGCGGTCCTCGAGACGGAGGACCTCGAGGATCATGGTGTAGGTGCGGTTGAGAATCAGGGAGAGGAAAAGAGTAAAGCCACAAAGGTACATGTTACGCTGCGAGTAGAACTTGCGAGCCTGCACCTCCATGCGGTCAGTGCCCAGGTGGGCAGCACTGTTGGCAAATCTAGTTAGATACGATGCTGTATGATGAGAGGGTATTTTGGGAATGTCTTACCCGACACCGCCGCCATCTCTGGAGAAGGCAGCAAGCTCTTGCTGGACACGGTAGACACGGTTGACGCTGTCGAGGAACAAAATCAAGATGAAGATGAAGGTAATCTGAAACAATTGTTAATCGAGATACCACACGTGGTCCTATAGAGAGTATGAAATTACCTTCAAGCCGTACTGCAGCTTCGCGATGATCGGACTTTCCGAGATAAAGGCAAACAGCTTGCGCTTGATGGTGAAGGGAAGAGGGATGATGAGAGCCAGGAAAACGGCCATCTCAAACACCAGGAGGAGGAAGACCTATTCAAAGCACGCATGTTAATTTGCTATCATTTCATAGCACCTCGGTGAAGTTTCGGAGTGCGGGGGATTTGAGGTGAGCTGGTCACTGCAGCGGCTATAGGCTCCCACCACACCGCGACTGAGGCAGGCGCGGATTCAAGTAGACAGAGCAGGTGTAGAGAGATTTCGCAAGTAGAACGTACAAGACTGTAATAGAGAGTCATTTTGGCGAGATTGGTACGTTGATCAACTCTTTAGAACTGATTATTGGAGCTGATGAACAGGGGTTGGGGAAATTCAAAGCTCCAATGCAAACTGGCTTGAGTAAACAAACACCAGGAAAGCGGAAGGAGAATTGCGAGAAGGAAGGGAAGAAAAGAAGAGTCAAAGACTACTACAAGGCCAGCGTGGTCAAGCTGGACAAGAGGAATTGAGGAGCCTGGATGCAAGTTTCCAAGATTGATGACAGTGGTCTCAATGGGGAGTTTTCTGGCAGACGTCATCGGGTATAAGTGCACGTGATCCGGTGGGCCCTTTGTGAGATCTCCCGAGGTCTTATATTCACCAGTTGACTACTTAGTATACATTATACTATCAGGCAGTTAGAGATGAGCATTCGTTGAATGCAACCTTCTATGAATTCCTGGAACTAAATTAGTGCCAAGTTTTCATTTTTCTCTCTGCTTCCTCATCCTCTTTTCCAAGGTTCTAGGCTCTCTTCCACTCTCCTCGTCCCAATGTACCTGTTGTATAGTGATCTCATACAAAAGATACTCAAATATCGGGAGAACTAGATGTAAGTAGGATGCATCGATTAAACAACTTCCACTGCAATATTAACCAAATAAATACTGACTAGAAGCCTAACACACCAGAGCCTAGTACTCGCATTTCCGGGGCATGGGCTTTTTCCATGAAGAGGCTGATAGTGGCCATGCATCTATTGGCCAGGCTTACGCGGACAAGACAATCCTCCAGGGGTGTTGATAAGAGCCCGGACTCCGGGCACTAATGTCTCCCCTCATTTTGACGCTACTGAATCTTGCCCAATTCCACAAAACCAGATTCCCAATATGTATCTTCCTCGACCTCGCCCGAAGAAAACATCCATCACAAGAACACGCGCAGGATGCCATTCATGTCGGAAACGAGGTCGAAAAGTAGGTATAGCTCCCCGCCCTGTTGTCAATCCTAAATTGGTTAACATTCATATTAGTGTGATGAGACGAAGCCAGAATGCCTTCGATGTCAACGTGGGAAACGGAAGTGCAGCGGCTATGAGACTCATTATACTTTCCTGGACGTGACCTCCTCCACTGCAAACAGAGCAGAGGCTGTTTTGGCAAAGAACAGGTCTCAGCAAACAAATACTGTTCGCAACGAGATCTATGATGGCAATTCTCCTCCCAGGGTTGAGTCAGTTGACATGGGGGATGTGCAAATTGATTCGGGGTTACAGCGCATCTTGACTACGAACTTTTCGAATTGCTTTACATCGCCAACCGTTGTATCACCTGGCATTTCTCAATCCTCCTTCGCTTCGCCTTCTAGGTGCAATTCGTTATTCTATTCAGAGCTTGGATGGATGAATGATAGGGATATTTTCTCAGTTGGTTCCTCGTCATTTCAAGAGCAGCAATCGTACTATTGCTGTCTATTGTCCACTACGCATCCACAACAAGGACTCGGATCAGAAGATCCCACATACCATATTTACCACAATCACTGCCATGAAAGATTGATGACTCGACTCCCACCATCTTACCTACCAAGCATTCAAAGGCTTGGTGTTTCACCAATGGTGACGCTCGCCTTACTATCTCTATCTGCCTCTAATCTTGCAAATAAAAACGGAAGTCTAAAAGACCGGAGTCATTCATATGCGTATCGTTTCTCAGACCAAAGCACCCAACATTTCACTTTTGCCTTTGAATACTATCAAGATGCGCTTTCGCTATTGCACGCTACTGCCGAGTCATCACAGAAGGAGCCCGAGTCTTGTCTTCTGACTGCAATGCTTGCTCTCCTTTTTGAATGGGAGTCCGGCTCTCCACTTGCTGTGCGTACACACATCAAAGGCGCCGAAGCTATAGTATTAGTAAATTATCGAGCAATTTCACTCACAAGTTCGGGGCGTTCTCTTCTCTGTGCATGGGCAGAGTTCCATGCGTTGTGGGAAGCTCATCTGCTTCCTTTTCGGCGAACTGAGATAGACAAACTCATATCCGTACCGATAATGTTGGCACATAACTTTGCTGATAGCAGAGTCGCAATTTATATGATCTGCACCGATGCATCGTTTTTGTCTCAGCGATTATCGCTGGTTTCGTGCTTTGGGAACGATTCTGAATCCATGTCGGAAGTTATGCAGAAAGCACAAAAATGGTACAACAGCCGTTTCCAGGGCTTGTTATCACAGATACATGAATCCGGTGCTGAGGAAGATGATGGATTTCATTCCCTGGAATCACTTGTTGCGCTCATTCCTCATTTCAAACTTCTTTTGAAGTCATGGCATAGTGCACTTGGTCCCGAGGATTTACCCAAAGAAGATCAACTTGAATATAGCCCGGATGAATCATCGCTGTCTAATGGTGATGGCGTTGTTTTGGGCATCGAAGCTCTTGTATTCAAGACATATGCAGCAGCCAGAATCTATCTCCACTACTGCGCGGCGGAAGTTATGCTGAGCGATGATTTTATATCACAATTGCCAGTGATCAAAGCACATGCAAAAACAAAAGACTTGGCAAATAGATCCAAAGCATCTGACACAATCAGTCAACACGCAGAAACCCAGCAAAGCTCTTTCACTCGTTCTCAAAACCCTTCCCCTATGGCTAATCTCTGGGCCGATACTGTTCTCCGAATACTTGCAGGTATGGACTGGACAGACGATGCAGCACTTTCACCATATCATGAGAATCCTTTCTGGACTCTATGGTTAGTATGCAGTGTCTGTCTTGATTCACAGCTGATATACAAAGTATTGAATAATCTTCTCCCTATGCTCCGGGGAAGATATCCAACGCAGACGCCTTTGCTTAATTGCATTTGTCACTGGCAAGATTACTTCAGTTTTCTGCTACAAAAGTTAGATCTTGGCTGGAAACCATATCTTGTCATGATTCCTACCCCTGCGAATCAAGAGATAGGAACTGACCAAGATCCTATTTTTGCAATCCATGGTTTAGATGCGAAGGGAGAAATGGTCCATTTCACAGAAAGAATTCCGAAGAGAAGGAGCTTCTGTTCAGTAAAATAAAGGCACCACGTGCTGAGAATGATCATCTGCCATCATATAAACGCAATTTCAATAACTTCACAATACGTTGCTCTCAAATCCAAGTCTTCGGACCAAACGTCGTGCCTTGTGGAACAGTCCTCAATGGAGTCCCAAGGCCATCTGCTGTATTGGAGCCAATGCTGTTTCCCCACCAAGTCAAACTAACTCCAGGGTAATATAGACAGAAGAAAATCAGAAAAGTACAAATTGCAAGACCTCCGTCCAAAGCAGCAGAGAGCAAGTAGTTGTACTTTGACCACCAGTCCGTCTTATATCGTTTAAGATAGAACTGGAAGTAAATCCCAATCATGGCCCACGGGATGTAATTGATAGCGGTCGCAGGTGGGATTGCACCAGTACTAGTCATAATGATCGGAATATGAACCTGATTTGGAGGTTACTATATGATCACTGATCAGAAAGAAAGAAATGTCTCTCGTCCTGAAAACGAAATACCTTTTTCGCAATACTATTAGGCCACTTGCGGCTAGCAGCCCAAACAAGAACTGGTAGGATGGCACCAATCAAGAAAAAATAAAGCATCGAATTATACATCGTTCCAGGAGCAAAAAGCTTGCGAGGACCAACCAACCCCCAGAATATGATACTTGATTCGTACGCTTCCGCGATCGGACAAGATAGCTTAATTAAGATATTTAGTAATGAATTCTCACATAGCAGCGCTTTCGGCGCCAATATGACTTACACCACCCGTAGCCTCAGCAGTGCAGATCCCGTCGACGTGATTCAATGCCCAATCATTGACAACGCATTGAACAACACAATTGACAAGCATACCTACACACTGTGCGGCAAAGACAACTCGAGGCGGAACTTTCTAAACAATAAGTTAGTATCACTAGTCTTAATCATAGGCTTCTCGCAGAACTTACCATATAACGACCAGTCTTCATGTCACGCAGAATTACCATGGCGGTTCCGGTAGTATTGAAAGTCATGATTTTGAAAATTACCACAGCCACCATCTTACCTGCCCAGATATAGCCACCAATGAGAACAGCTAGTATGTTTGTCGATGCAGTCACGTTGCAAAGCGCAGACATGAGACCGATTGGAATGAAAAGGACAAGATTTATCACTAGGCTGAGAATGATTCCCCACCATGGTAAACCGGTGTCGTAGTATTCCACAAAGAAGATGCTTAAAGCAATCATGACCACGAACGAGGATGCATACCACCATAAAGGTACAGGCTTATATTTGGCCATCAACTAGGAGTGTTCAAATTAGCAAAATTCATAAAGTTATACCAGCAAGAATTTGAATTTACCTTGACATGGATATCCTTGTCTTCAACGAGTTTGTTTGGCGTGAAGACAGTCCTCAAGCCTTTCCAGACATCCTGGCCGTGGAAAAGGACTGAATGTACAATGACGGATGACATCGATCCAAGACCTAGTCCATAAGATAGAACGGAAGTAGTTGAAAGGAAAACAGGGGAATATGCGTGATAAGCTGTTTCATTAAGCTTGTAGTCAGATGTTAACACCTTCGATGTGTCATATGCCTGGCCAGTGTTGTCATAGATAGACGAAGAAGAAAACGGCGTATAATGACCGCACCACACATTGCTCCAATGGAGCGCTGGGGATATGATCCAAAGGAACAATATGGAGCCCACTAATGTGTTGACAATCGCAAATGCAGGAACCATGAGAGGTGAGCCCATGTAGGCAGTGATCTCATTCCAGTCGAAAGTTATTGGGAACAGATCCATGCCGTAGTTAGCGCCAAACACCTGATTGAGAGTCACATTATTCGGCGATATCCTGATCTAAGGATTAGTAAATTCTTATATCTTGAGCCCCAAGGGTAAAAACTCACCAGGTGACCCAGGCAAAGTAAGAAAGACCCATAAACAAATAACCAGGAAGGACCTGGTAGGCAGTTGCAGCAGCCAGTACAATCCAGAAGAACTTCATTCTGGGCATTTTCCATCCGTTTGTGGTGAAGTTTTGGAATGTTTTATTGTGCATCCCCTCTAAAAGGGTACAGGTCGGTAGGGCAGATGGCCAGATGCAGTAAGACGGATCCACCAGCACAGAATGGAAAATTCCAGCCAATCCAATACAAGAAGCTTGTGATGTCAAAATAAACAAAAAGCGGTAACCAAGTGGAAGATCCATGTCAAAATACTTGATCAGGGCTGTCCAGACAAAACTGGATACAGAACCGGAGTCGTAATAGCTGACTGCCACAGCCATAATGGTGATCACAGTATGCTCTTTGCGATTGAATGGACCTGGATTCAAGGTGAAAGATTTTCCGAATATTGACCATTGTCGGGTAGGTAAGATATGTGCCATTAGATTTCCACATGGCAACGACACAATAATAATGAGTGCAGCGGACAGGCCAACTATGATCTTGCCGTGAGTAAATAGATCATCCTGAGAGGTACAATATGGTTTATAAAAAGAAAACTGATTGACTCACGAGCAGGATTATGCATGCCAAAGAATTGATTCATTCCAGAAATGACAATCGTCCAGAAGATTCCCAGAAACCATGCACGGAAAGTATTTGAGGGAGCATCATCGTCTGTCGGGGTACCGCAGCTCGAACCTCTGGGTAAATCCTTCAACTTTGTTATTTCAAAGTGGCCAGAATGGTGCTGCGTCAAGACTTACGAGTCTTCGAGATGAGATGCACTGGGAGTCATATCCCCAGTTAACTCCTCATCTGTAGTGATGCTCCTGGATTTTTCATCGTCAATATCCCCCGGCAACTTCCTGTCGGGGGACCTCTCTGAACTGATGGCAAGTTTTGTGTCCATCGATGAGACTGCGATCAAGCACTATAAAGACTCCTTCCTGAATAGAAAAAAAGGAAAAGACGTGAATCTTTCAAGAAAAAGAAGCCAGTAATCTCTGCAATTAAATATAGCCAGTCACCCTCCCTCCTGATCTTTCAAGTTATGGTGATACGTCTTTCTCACGCTCTTATCGCAAGACGTGCAGCCCGTTCGACATCATTTTGTAGGACTCAGATATCAAGCCACGTCCAACGTTTGCTGATATGGTCGAAAAATAATCCAATAGGCCGGTTCTCTAGATTGGTGATCCATGTCGGCTGGGCGCATTGATTATGCAAAGGATTAAAGTGACTCGACTAGTGGGATTAACCGGAGGAATAATCTAACTTCTTTGGGGTCGCGAGAACGCAACCCCGCCACAATTTCAGATGAACTGCAAGTCAATTGGGGGAATTTAGGAGATCTATCAGCTAATTAGCATGGACTAATATTAATCAGCCAAAACAGTTGAGCTCTTAGCTCTGCGATATTAATGAGGGGTTTCCATCCTCCCCACACTACTTGAGAGTCGAGACTACGACTTGGAGGTACAATTTGAAAATATGCAGTGTGTTAAGATGTTTTTTTACTATGTTCACTGTCTGAATTATAACTAATAGTAGGTAGCTCTGGCTATTTTGATCCAATTTGACTCATTCTATTTTCCCCCTCCCTTTTCATCAAATAAACTCTTTTCACTGTACAAGTGATAAGTCGACATAACGGCGATATCGATTCCACAACCTTTTGTCTCCAAAACCCCGAAGTATTGTGACTCAATACCACTCAAAAGAAATTTTCATTGGATTTCGCGATGATTGTGAATCCATCTCTACCCTCGAAGAGGGGTCAATCCAATATCACTCGTGATTTGATGATGGATCTAAGTCGTGAAGCTGAGGCCATGTCACCATACAATCGTCAAACTGCACCTAACGGGCTGGTGGACTTGACGAGCTCATTAAATGATCTGATGCAAAATGAGATGCGATCATTTATTTTGAGCCTGAATTTGCAACCGGAAGACTGTAAATCCTCATTCATATAGCGACTATCATGTTCACTACTGATAAGAGATGAGCCAGATCTTTCCACTGTGCCTCCGCCAGGCTCCTCCAGTCTCGCAAAAGCTGTGGCTGAGTTCATCAATCTGAATTTCAATCCCAATCAAACGATCAGACCAGAACATATCATGGGTGCAAATGGGGTATCGTCTCTTCTTGATATTCTTTCGTTCTCAGTATGCGATCCGGGCGAGGCAATCATGCTGGCAACTCCGAACTACGGCATGTTCAAACACGACATGCAATCACGAAATGGTATAAGATTTGTTGATGTTGAATGTGATCTAGAGAATAAGTATTTTGACAGATTCAATGCTTCAAGCGCAGATGCGCTCGTCAAAAAATACGAAGTCGCCTATATGAAAGCTTGCGAGGACGGGATTCGCATACGTGCTATTCTTATATGCAATCCGTGCAACCCTCTAGGGAGATGCTATTCTCGACACACGCTGGAAAAGCTGGCACAGTTTTGCGGTCGGCGGGGACTTCACCTCATATCTGATGAGATCTACGCCTTATCAGCCATTCACGCCGATGCTAAAAGTTCAAATCGGGCATCAAAGATGGAAAGTTTCACTTCAGCTCTCAGTATCGGTATCGCAGGAATTGACCCAACAATGGTCCATGTTTTATACGGCTGCTCAAAAGACTTTGGACTCAGTGCCTTGAGACTAGGCTTCTTGATCACACAGAATGCTATTCTCAAAGAGTCTTGCCGCAGAATCTCGTAAGTTTCTAGGATACCCACCTCGGAGCAACATTTTGCAAGGCTTTGACTGTAGTCTAATTGCTGTTGTAGGGTATCAACCTGGGTAACATCGTTCTCCGATCGGATCTTCACTGCTTTCTTGCATGATCGTGATTTCCACTCCTCATATATACGGCGGTATCAGATCAAATTGAGCGAAGCACATACACGCACCACCACGTTCCTTAAGGAGCACAAGATCCCATTTTCACCTTCTAATGCAGGCTTGTTTGTTTGGATTGATCTTAGTTCTTGGCTCAAATACTTCCAAGAGCCTAGTAACAATGCAAATGGAGGAGATGGTTCGCCAGAGATGCAGCTGACAAGATACCTTATGAAACATGGGGTATACCTCAACCCGTCAGAGGTAAGTAATCATAATAGAATGATTTCCCATTGATTGAACTGGGGCTGATTCTGGAAGGCTTTCTATTCTCATGCGGCGGGAAGATTTCGCCTTGCCTACACTCAAGTTGCCGATACACGAGATACAGGACTTGGGCGACTTGTACAAAGTCTGAGAAAGCTAGATATTGGATCAGAGATAGAGTGAGATTCAAGGCTATCATTCTGCAAAATAATGAAATAAAACCCAATGTTCCGAAAAAATATGATTCAACATCGAATTGATGAAACCGACAATTGTTGTTAGATCATTTGAATGTTATAGCCCTCTTTTACTACTCGGGATGCAGTAGTTTTTTGAGCGCCTGGCGAATATGGATCCGGGTTAACACCATCCAAAGAACCAGAGCTCCCATAAATTTCAGTAAAAAGGGGTCCCCCAGTAACATCTCTGCCCTGCTTGGCCTAGCGGCTTAGAGCGGTCGGCGACCCAGACTCGACGGGGACAAAGGTACTGAAATTAGGTATGCCGGGCCTAGTTTCAGTGGCAGAGAAAATACCTGCGAGCGGGAGGGATCTAGCTACGGCTAGGGATAATGTCTTTTTTAATTTTTTTTTTAATTCTCTACTGATTATACTTCTAGCCTTTCTCTTTCTATTGCAATTTTCAGATCCTCAAAATAAAAATAATTGAGGGAGATAGAAAGGATTCTGTGTTGAGGATGAATGTATCAAGTGAGGCTGTTGAGGCTATTCACGCATTTCTGATTCTGAAGCTCCTGGGTTCAATCCCAGTCCTTGTCTTTTCTTTTCTTTTCTTTTCTTTTCTTTTTTCTTGTTTTCTTGTTTTCTAACTAACACAGGTGGTTGGTTGGTATGTTCAAACTTGCCAAACAGTCACCATCTTTTCCGCATGAGCCAAATACGTAATCAATTTCGACTTTCCATCTTGCTCAACCGTGACTGAAAATGGTGAGTCCTCTATATCAGCAGCAATTTGAGCCCGTGAGTGTGTCACAATATGATCACCATCCCGAAGACCTGCCTTATCTGCGACAGATCCACTAACCAATCCAGAGACCACTCTCTTATTGACACTAGTCTTGTCAAATCCAAATTGCAAAACCGCTTGTTTGACATCATGCAACGGCATTGCCGGACTAAACACAAAAGCTTGGCTCAGATCTAGATACGATCCATTCAACATAGCTTGAAGCTCTCTGTCCGCAAATTCCTTACCGAAATAGGGATAGAGACTATCCAGCCAGTGCTGGTTCGTGATATTTTCTCCCAGCTTCGCACGAGCTGCCAGATTGATCACGATGTCATCCATCGGACCATTCTTGTCAGGTCCTAACCTCCCAGTCATCGCACGAAGACGGCTGTCAATTTGAAGCAGGTAGGCATGGCCGCGCTTATACGGGATATACTCGGCATACCAGTTGCTGAAGAAGATCTTCTCCGACTCGTGGATTTCAATATCGATTAAAGGGCTGGTAAAGTACGTCCGTAAGAGGATATTGCAGATCCTGTCCAGGTATCCTTTGTCGCAAAGACCAAATCGATATGGTAACATGTAGCTGTAGATTTCCGCAATCCCTTCGGCATACCAGCTAGTTGTCCACTCGCGGCTCTCACTCACAACGGCGAAGCTATGCACCATTTCATGGGTGAAAATGGACTGGAGTGCAGAGTCATCTTCTTTGGAAACTGTGTCATCAAATTCGAGGACGTAACTGTCAAAGAATCCACTACCCCCGTAGCCTCGAATTGACTGACGGAAGAAAACTCGATAGTTGTGGTCGACATCATTGAAAAATTCACCCATCTTCGGGAAAAGCTTGGAGTTGTAGCCCTTCACGCGATCCACCTTCTCCGGCAAGTGTCCAAACCAATATGTGATCGCCTTGCTAGTCGACTCAATTTCCGCTGAGTGTTCTGGGAAGCTTTGGACAGGACCAACCATGTATACGGATTCAAACAGAGTTTTCCAAAATCCTTGCTTTTGTAGTGGAGCAGGGCCTTCTCCAAAACTCCAGATTGCACGGGTGCCTTCTGGGGCATCGGAAAGATCCCATTTCAGCGTATATATGCGCTCCTGATCTTGAAGGAGTTTCGGGAGAAACCATCTCCCTGTGGCCATCAGACCACCGTTATCACGGCGAAGGTCGATTCTTGCACCCAATGGGGTCGTGATATCGACTTGGCGAGGATAGACGTTGAAATTTAGTATAAGATCGCCTACCAAATCCCGGCTGACAACCCAGTTCTCGAGCGATGGGGTGTTGACGGGGTCAGGAGCTTGGAAATGGAAAGACAGAAGTCCGACATCATCTTTAGCATGGATGTCATTCACGGTATATGGGTGAGATGGTACATTGCCCCAAAATTTGTCATATTCGAACAACGGCTGTCCTTGACTAGCTTGGGGGCATCCAAGTCTCAATTCAACGGAAATATAAGATGCGCCATCTTCGTCGAAATGTGGCTTCAGTGTTAAAATTGTGTTTGATAGTCTCGTCATGTTGCTGGACTTAGATTTCGTTGGTGACTCGGTACAAGGATAGAATAACGCGACTTCAAAACTTGAAGCTAGACATGATGTTCAGGAAGAGAATTAATTTTGAGCCTTTCAAGATTAGGGAACCAGAAAGTCTTTTATATAAAAAACGTTAGAAGAAAATTATTACTACTTTGAAGTGCTCTCCCCTAGTGGTTCTATTGGTGACCTTCACGCACAATTCTCAATTCCTCGGACTCCACATCTCCGAGTCGGAGACTCTACAGATCACTCTCCTCAAGTGCTGACATGTATCATGTTTTTGACGAAGAACAGATGTATGTTTTTCACTATTCTAAGGCCTCGACTTCTAGGTTCCCACATTTCAAGCTCTCAAGGGATGATGCAAGTTCCCCGCCCCATATCAAATCCCGCTGGACTCCGTACACTCTAACCAACTTGGGGTAACGGGAACGCACGCTAAAAATCCAATTAGATATGAATTATGTGGGAAAACTGCTAACCAGATCTAAAATAGTGTTGCCTAGCCTGAGATAACGTGCTAGCCAAAGGGTACCTATCCTATCGAACGTTTTTACCAGCTTACCGAGGCATTGACCTTTGTAAATAGGGATATCCGTACCGCGAATCCTGGCATAGGTGGATTTCGGCCTACACTCGACTTCAGCCATCGACCACTCCCCTAATTTGGCTTGCAACATGGGGCATACATCGCAAATCATTCCCATGCGGGAACCCAGGAGGAGATTCAATATTTTCAATCGATACCTAGTCTCATTTATTGGAGTGCTCTATATCCTCATTCACTTCTCACTTCTTCCGCATCTTAACTCGAGCTTTCAACCCGCAACAGCATACCTTCTGGAAAAGCAACAGAAAGAATTCAACGATTATTTGACAAAATGTCAAGACTTTGATCAAGTCCCAGTGGACTATGATCTCCCACCATCTGTGAATCGGACAAATCCACGGTATAATACAAAGTCAGGCCAAAGTAATGCGATCGTTCTACGGAATGCAACACTGTTCGACGGCCAGTCAACTCTCGACTACAGCGTCGACATCCATTTCGATGATGGTGTCGTCGTGGGTGTATTTCCCACTGGCGATGAATTTATGGTTAAAAAGGATTATGATATCACTGTCTTCCATCTTGAAGGGAGGTTTGTGACTCCAGGATTAGTGGATATGCACTCACATCACATCGGTACACCTCATCCATCATTCTCCGCAACGGATGACATGAATGAGGTACACCCTGATTCAGGCCCTTTGACTCCATTTACTCGTGCATTAGATGCCTTGAAACCATATGATCGAGCTGCGACGATAATAGCATCTGGAGGTGTCACATCCTCGCTTATCCTGCCCGGCTCGGCAAATATCATCGGTGGTGAGGCTATTGCTGTGAAGAACGTTCTCCTAAGTGGCGAAAATCGTGAGCAGGTGGTGGAAGAGTTACTTCTAGAGCACGGCGTTCCCCAGCAATCAAAACGTCGTTATATCAAGATTGCTTGTGGAGAAAATCCTGCAGGACTCTATGGTCACACTCGAATGGGAACAGCATGGCTTTTCAGAGAACAGATGTCTAAAGCTCAAGAGCTTCGACACCAACAGGACAAATGGTGCTCTGCGGCGGCGGCAGCTTATGAGCAAGGAGATAACAGATCCATCGAGAAATTGGTAAAGGGAGGTCTACCACAAGATCTCGGGCTAGAATTGCTAGTTTCAATGTTACGTGGACAGGTTGGCGTGAATATTCATTGCTATGAGCCACAAGATATGGAGGCGATGATCCGACATAGCGAAGAGTTTAACTTTCATATCCAGGCTTTTCATCATGCGCTTGAGGCATGGAGAGTACCAGAGATGCTGAAGAAAGCGGAAAGGTAAGCACCCTCGTAAATTTATGCCTATATTTTTTATCATTGGTTAACATTTTGATGTCTCAGAAATATCACAATCGCGACATTTTCGCATTTTGCTCATTACAAGCATGAGGCATACGACTCTAACCTTTATGCGGGCAAGATTTTGGCTGAGCATGGAGTTTCTGTCGCCTACAAAACTGTAGGTGAACCCACTATCTCTCTTGGAACATTCACTAATAGTAACCTCAACAGGATGGCTCATCTGAGGAGTTGAATTCTAAATTTCTCTTGTGAGTGGTGGATGGCTTAGGTCCAAAGCATGAACTTCTCACTAATCCTTTCATAGATCTCAAGCAGCCGAGGGTCATGCATTTGGCCTGCCTGAAGAAACGGCTTTGCGGTCAGTAACAAGTACGCCCGCTAAATCTCTCGGCTTGGATCATCGGATAGGATATGTCCAAGCTGGTTACGACGCAGATATTGTCATCTGGGACAGCCATCCGCTAGCGAACGGTGCAACTCCTTTGCAGGTTTATATCGATGGTGTTTCAATACTTTCATCTGATCACCTAAAAGAATCGTTGAAGTTCGCTTCAACGCAAGGGAGTCAAATACGACCGCCCAGGGCTCCACAGATGCGGCCTCAACCAGAGAAAACCCTCCAAGCTAGCGTCAATGAGGCAATCAAAGTTGGTGATAAAATTGCTATTTCTGGAATACAAAGCATTCTAGTTCCATTCTCCGGCTTCGACGTTCCAGCCTACGGAAATCTGACCATGGTGTTGGAAAGTGGTCGAGTTATATGCATCGGCCTACTGGAAGATTGCTCTACAGTTTCGAATGATGCGGTCGGTCTCAATCTCGAGAATGGGCATATAATCCCAGGATTGACTGCTTTTGTTCATCACATGGGGCTATCCGAGATTGAGATGGAGTCTACATCTGGCGACGGATGGATAGTACCTCAAACAATGAATGCCAAAGAACTGGATATCACATATGCAAAATATGGGCTCCGGCTAGCAGGAAAGGATCTCAATCGTGCAAGGCTTGGAGGAATCACAAGGGCCGTTGTGGCGCCAATGATTTCTAGTGTATCAGAGAATTCCTTCCTTCAGGGTGTCTCAACAGCTTTCAAGACAAGTGGTAATCGGACAATCCTCGATGGAGCCATAATAAAAGACGATGTCGCCTTGCATTTTGTTATTGGACAGCGTGGAAAAACATCCTCAACGCCAACGATCTCCGCAGAGATCAGTCGACTTCGTGAGCTTCTGTCGGCAGCCCACGAGCCGGATACAGTGTTCAGTCGCGTGGCGCATGGCTCCCTCCCGCTCGTCGCTCATGTTCTTACTCACCATGACATCCTTCATCTGATCAAGATTAAACGCGATTTTCCGGAAATTTATCTTATCCTCTACGGTGCCGAGGAGGCTCCACTTGTCGCAGCTCAGCTTGCAGAGGAACAGATTCCTCTGATTTTTACTGGTCTTCGCCCAATGCCAGATACCTGGGAGACAAAAGATGTGCTCACAGGTCCTCCACTAACAGTCTCACCAATCAAGGTACTTGTCGATGCCGGTGTAAATTTTGGCATTGCGCAGGCACATTGGGCTGACTCCGGTATTCATCTTCTGGCGGTTGATGCTGGGTTTGCCAAGAAGATGGCAGACTTGACGACACAGCAAGCGGTTGACCTTGTGAGTCACAAGGTCAATGAAATACTACGTCTTGACAATCCTAGTTCAGAACAAACGCAGCAGGGAGATTTCGTGATCTATGAAGGTGATCCGCTGGAATACGGTGCAGTTGCCGTCCTAACTGTTGACGGCAGTTTGAATACCATTGTTGAGTGTTGGCCAGATGCATCTTGATCAGCTCAAATTGGAGTTGAAGTTTTCTAAAGTTCAAATGTTTTCTTACACATCTAGATACTTCAAGTTTCAATATCACTGATATTTTATCTCTATAATTCTTGAATCATCTGTGCAACATGCTTGACTCTCCCAACATCAGTCCGAGACAGCAATATCCTGATATAGGCCTCTTATTTCTTGAAATCCTATCAACTTGCAAAGAACATCGGTGCAACACGGCTCGTAAGGGCTGCAACAACACTCAACCCTGTAATCTGTGACGATTTCGGATTACCAGCAAAGCCTTCACCCTTTAGTTGAAGAGTAAGCGTCGCACTCTTGCTGACCGCAATAATCTGACCCAAATTTCCCGAAGAATTTGAATCAGCAACCAATTCAACTTGAGTCTTCTCAAACCCGATTCCCGCAAGCGCAACAGCTGCCGCCAAATTAGCGTTGCGAGGGAACTTCAAAGCCGCCTCTGCAGCATTAGCCTTCAAGAATACAGTTGGACCATCAATCTTATCAAGATCAATGAGGGATTCCGCTAGCGTTCCCTTCCAAGCTTTGGGTGGTTTTGTTGATCGATACAGCACGGATTCCAATCCAGAATGACGCAAGGAATGTAATCCGTCGAAGCCCGCAAGTGCTCCGGACATTATGACGATTCGACTATTGCCCGATTTTGCGGCTTCGAGCATCTTCTCATGGAGTTCTTTGTCTGCGAGTGCACCTACTGAAAGTAGGTATAGATCGGACCCCGCTGCGAGGATCGCTGGGCCGAGGTTAACGACGGCATTTTGCCCCGCAGCTTCGACGACGATGTTGGGAGTTGGACCTTGGTAGTCTGACCAGGAATGCACAATTGTTGCATTGGGAAATAAATCACGGGCTGTTTCGTCCTGCCTGTCTCTGCAGCATATCACGTCGATAGAGATGCCATCAATAGGAGACTTGGCAATTGTTGATAGAATTGAGCGGCCGATCTCTCCGCAGCCCAGCAGACCGACAGAAAGCATTTTTGTCTGGATATTTTTAGCCCGAGGAAGTGATAGGACGGGTCTTGGGTAGGCTCTTCAGATTAATAGTCTGGAGTGATGTTGGGGAATGATTGGAGTATAAACTTGAACCGACTCCTGTGCGCCTCTTATAACCCCATCCAGCATAGATCTACAGTATAGAGCGCTTATCAAGGCACTATCTTTCTATGACCAATATCAATCAACATTTGAACCCCGCTATGATTCATGTTCTCAGGCTAAAGATAGTGTTTCGGTGCGGTCCCGTCCCCGTAATTAGGTTAATTCCGAGTCAGCGCATGTGCACGCTGATCCCAAGGTTCTGTGCAGCGTGCTACTACTCCAAGGACATGCTACTGATATAACTCCCATGACGACGGCCTTTGTATGCAAATGCATGTAACATATTTCTATATGCAAAAATTACATGACTTTTTTTATTCTTTAATCCTCTCCCAAGATCGTCAATTTAGCCCTCTGCTTCGTAAGAGTTAGACTTGTGCTTGGGTTCAAATCGGAAGTCCTGGTGAGCAGGACCCAGGAACATCTCACTATAATTCCAAATTAGACATCATTCATAACAATCAGATAAATCGAAAAAGCTGGAGGAACTTACGTGATCTTGATCCAATCCTTGTAGTTGTTACTAGCCATAAGAGTCTCCAACTCATTACGACCCTTGTAGTACGGGGGTCTGTCATTGATCTGCGCAGGCAGATGATCCAGCAGTCCGATAGGAACATAGCGATGGGCAAAGCTCAGCCATTCCAGTAGGAAACGACGAGTTGTACCAAGACCATACTCATCAGCACCCCAAGCCTGAAGACCATATTTGGCAAACTTCTCAATATAGGTAAGACGCTCGGATGCGGACTTGTCAAGGTACTGTCCAGTCTGGATCTCCTCAAAGAGCCAAGGCTTAATCAAAGCACCACGACCACACATGACAGAATCCACGCCAGCGTTCCGGATGTGGTCATCGTAGTCGACGTGCGAGTAGCAGTCACCGTTACCGAGGAAGTAGGTCTTTCCACCGTTGGGTTGGAATCGAGCATCGGGTTCACGGATGGTATCGGTAACCAGATCAGTCTTCTCATTCATGCGCTTGATAAGAGCCGCGCAGTCTGCGATGTAGCTCCAATCAGCTGACTTGGTGTAGCGCTGCTGTCTGCTTCGTCCGTGAAGAGTAATGGCTGCAGCGCCGGGAGGACCCAAGCCCATAAGCTGAGCTTCGTGACCGCCCAGAAGAAGACGCTCCACCAGCTTCAAAGCAGTGGGTTGATTATCCTTAACTCCCATGCGAATCTTGACTGTGATAGGGATCTCTTCGGAGACCAGGTTCATACCACGAATAATCTTCTCCAGCTTGGATTGGTGGTCCAGCAGAGCAGAACCAGCACCATCGCGGAACAGAAGCTCGATAGGACATCCACAGTTCAAATCGATCACACGCAAGTTAGGTGTGAACTTGGAAAGAACCTCAGTGGCTTTAACTGCCTGCCAAGGCTTGTTGGCAGCGATCTGGGCACCGAATTTGAAGTCTTTGGAGTTATCGTAGCCTTGAACGATGTTATCTCCGGGGATAACGGTCGGCGGAAGCATCTCAGTTTCATGCGCCTTTAACAAGGTCCACTCGGAATTTGTACCTTGAACCAGTGGCATACTCATGGCCATTTCCGAGTACGTGAATTGGGCACCCAGATCCGTGCAAAGTCGTCGGAAGGGCATATTTCCTTGAGTAGTGAGAGGAGCCAATGTTGGGGTCTCGGGACCAAAGTAGATACGGCGCTTCTCAGAAGGGAGGAAAGGTGGCTGGGTAAATTGAGCCCGCAAATCTTCTTTCTCCTGCTTGGCCTTCTCAGCATCGACGGTCTCAGTCTCAGTCTCAGGCTGCGTCTCAGTTTGACCGTTCTGTGCGGCCTCCTTCTCCTGCTTATCTTTCTCAACTCGGTATGCTTCTAATTCCTTGCCGGATTTCACAAGCCAGTCGTTGACAGCGTTAGCCCGAGTAGTAACCTCGCGCTTCCGGGCAAGCAAGAACTTAGCATCGCTGGAAATGATGTTCACAACGCCATCCTCTGCCGCAAAGGAGACGAGCGGCTTAGCATTCGCAATGCGCTCCTTGTCCTCGAGAAGAATAAGCTCCTTTCGACCATCCTCGGTTTCTCGCTCAGTAGAATGCGAGCTAACCAATCGACACTTCCAGCCAGAAGAACATTTGCCCCGCACCTCAAAGACCGGACACATTCCATTCAAAGTTGTGAGGTTCTCGCGCTTGTAATCCTTCAAGTAAAGACGCAGATTGTGCTCAAAGCGACACTTCTCTCCAAACTTGCACTCTTTGGGAGAAAACTCAGGACTATGCATTCGCGACATGCAAAGACCCTTAAGATCTTTCGAACTTCCAAAGCTGCGGTTTGTGTTCTGACCCGTCTGTTTCTTCTTCTTATCTTTCTTGCCCTTATTATCACCATCGCGATCATCGTGGGGAGCGGCTTCAGCAGCATCGTCGGGACTTATTTCAGGTTCGATAGGGGCGATCTTAGGAGCATTCTTGATACGGTATCTTATAAGTCATTGTTAGCCGAGGGACGCTTGAAGAGAGGTAGAGAACACATACTCGAACTTGATAGGCGCAATACCCTTCTCGCGGGGTACGCGACCATTTTCATCTAAGGTTAAGGGCTCCTCCCGTCTTACTTTTTTGGAGGGAGGCTCTTCAGTGCCGGAGCCAACTTCGCCGATGTCACGACTGGGGACATGCGCCTCGGATACGACAATGTTGGCATCTGCAGGGGTGGGAGCTGTCAAATCCATGCTGGACATTTTGGGCAGCCAATTAATTGTAGACTAGCCGTGTAATAGGTCCTGGGCGAGAATCCTAGCCTGAGAAAAAAAAATGCGGAGGACTCCGATCTTATCAAATCTCAAATACCGCGGAGTGGCGAGAGTTTGCGCAGTTTGCAGTAATTACACATTATGATTGGTCAGAAGATAAGTGTACGCTGATGCCTAAGAATGTAGGCGCCAATATCATTGAATCCAAAGAATCAAATATGATTAATCTGAACTTAATCAGGATGGCAAATTTCCGATAAAATAGTTTATTTAGAAGTTGATTTTTCTTATTTCTTTGTATTTCACAAATATTTCTAGATTTCACTGGTAAGTTCATGATCGCATGCTCTCTCTACCGGGGAGAATCCGATACAAGAACACATTTTTCCACATTGAAATTCTGAGCCTGAGAAATAGTATCCTCGCTGATTTCTCATGATCCTTTTACCCTTTGTCTCATCCAGAAGGTCAATATTGTAGTGTGTGTGTCCATAAGCCCACAGGCGAACATTCGGATTCTTCCAGCATTCTTCCATCGACAAGTCCGTTGCAAATCCAGATGATAACGGACTATTGACATGTCTGGGATCAGCACCACGTGGATCTCCACCCAAAGGGCTATGGTGTGTGAAAATAATGATAGTGTGTTGGGGTTCTTCGCTTGTTATTTGTGTGACTTGGTCATTAAGCCATTTAAGATCGGCCTCGTAGGCAGCAGTATGGTCCTCAACTGTCTAGTCCTGGATGTAGTAAAAGTCCTTTAATCCGAAACTGACCTGCTCACGGTACTGGTCGGCGACTCTGGAGAATAATGTGCATCCCAAAATGGTTATACTTGGTGACAGGTCGAATCGGGTTTGGTCTAGGAAGACAAATTTGCCGAATGGATTATCCTCAGAACGTCTGTCATTTATCGATGTCGTAAAATCATGTATTTTTTGACTGGTCTCTTTCCAAGTAAGGTGATAAGGCTCGTGGTTCCCAAGGAGGAAGAAAAAAATTTTGAATTGTCGTAATTGAGTCTCAATGAAAGGGAAGAACCCCTCATCAGCAACGACACCTATGTCACCCAGGAGTGCCAGATAAGGTGCTTTAGGTGGAATCTCAAATACATCGTATGCAGCCGGTTTCTCCAAGTGGAGATCTGACACAATTTGCAAGTTGGCCATGAAGAAAAAAGAAGGTTGCCACCAAAGTAAAGAAATAAAGAATAACCTTGGAACCACTTAAGCTCGTACCGTCCAATGATTTCGAGTTCAGCTCAGTTGGACAGGGACTGTGGCGTTGTGGCGGTGCAAACCCGGGGAATACACTGGAATACATTATGGGCAATGTGGCGGAGCATGCCCAGGTGGACTATTCCTCCCACGCCATTGTTATCTAAGCGCCCAGACCGGGATATTCATAAAGAGTGCCCCTCTCTAGGCTTGGCTGGCGCCTATGGACTTTTCTTCTGATCTTGTGTGATACTCTTTACCCTTGTCCCTTTCACAAAACACAAGTTTTCTCTTTCCTGCAAGTTCGGTGACAGGGCTACGACGTCATTTGCTTATCTACGTTATCGGCTCCTTGATTGCGGGCATCAACATCTCTACATACTACAGTCACTGTTACTGTTGTTATTGTCGGCAGACAACCTTTACAATCATGTCAAGCACCTCGCATGATCCTCGATTGCTGTACAGCGTCAACAATATCCGCGCATTCCATATCCAAGATGGAGAGGAACAGGAGTTGACCCCATCTGGACCACAAACCCTCTCGTTACTTATGGTCCCAACAGCTACTTCACCATCTAATATCCCACCATACGCAGTTGGCGCGGGCGCAGAGGCACCCGAAGAGGATTTCTACCTTCACCTGTATCTTCCACCTGAATTGGATTTGGCCTTACCGGCAACAACTCAGATCTTCCATCAGCCACCCGATAGCTACCTTATTCCTCGTTGGGATCTTGCACCCGGCGCTTTCCTTCGCATTCAGTTCCCTGGGATCGGTTCTGGCCCTCAAAATGTGACCCAAGATGATATCGACACATTTGAAACAATCCTCGCTCAATGCACGGCATTTTTGGAGCACGCGAACCCTCCTCGAAAGTTTGAAGGAAAGTCCAAGGACTCCGCGGCGTACAATTCCACTGGATCATATGGGGCGTATAATCCAGCTGACTATGCGCCTGGCGAGGGATATATCACATCGGGTGACCCTCGGGAAGCGCATGGAAAGATTGTGCTTGTCGATGAGGAGGATGGCAGCGTAGTCGGGGAGTTGGGCGAGGGATACCAAGTGGTAGAGGACCCAGACGTGAAACCAGGATCCAAACGTGAGTTATTCCCAAAACAATTACGCTCGCATTTACCGACAAACAACTAACGACCGTTCATCCCAACAGTACCAGTCAACATTGAGCTTCCTGGAGAGGGAGAAGGGAATCGCGTCAGTATCAGCAACGTCTCTGAAGAGTACCTGGCCATGTCACGACATCCCGCGTACAAAAACTCGACCATCGTCCAGACCTCCGCTACTGCATCTCGTCTGATTGTTGCAACATCTACCTCGCTGGCGAATGCCCTCACGAGCGGTGCAGAGAGCTTCACTAAGAAGACCAAGCCAAACCCGAAGCCATTGACTTTCTCCGATGCGACCCATGCGCACGTCCGTAGAGTCGGCACGCTCTCAGATAGCGCAGCTAATTTCTCAGCTCGCACTCTGGGTCAGGTTGAGCGAGTAGCTCAGAACCTGGGTGCATCACTTGCACGCAACAATGCCACCGAGACAAAGGCCAAGGGATTTGACAAGCGTAACCCGCCACCTGATTACAAGCCCGGTGTCCTGAACAAATCCATGATTGCATTCACTACTATTGCAGATGGAATCTCGGAGGGCGCACGGAATATCTTGCTTACAGGCTCAACTGCTACGAGCGCGATGATCGGACACAAGTATGGTCCCGAGGCAGGCGACGTAGCCAGTAATTTGACTGGTGGTGTCAAGAACGTCGGTCTGGTCTATATTGATGCCACAGGTGTGAGTCGACGGGCGCTCCTCAAATCCGTTGCTAAAGGTATGGTTGTGGGTCGGATGCGTGATGGGAAGCAAGTCGTGGTGGGTGGCGGAGATGGAGGCGAGTTCTCAAATGAAGCTGGTCCATCAGGTTCTTCGCGGGATCCATCTAACCCCACCCCACCTCCTGCATACGGTGCTTCGGGAACGACATCCCTTGGCGGCACGCCTATGACGATGTCTGGTGGGAAGCGGTGACAGGATTGGCCTCCCATAAGCATGTGTTTATGACATTCGGCGGTTTTCTTTTCCTTTGCAGGCGATTTGTGGTTTTTTTTTCTTGTATCGGTTAGGTATTTCCTCGGTCCAGGCAGGTCTTCGGTTCAATTTTCATTATTTTCTTGTTTTAGAGCAAGAGGACGTAAAGTTCTCTGGTCTCTGTAGATAGTTTGATAGTGCAATCCAGCTACTGATTTTCATACCAAACTTCCGAGGTTGAACCAAAGATTGGGATATTATCCAATAAAAACATTCAAGTTAGTTTCATTTGGACTCCACTCAAACATTAATGGACACAATGGGTGTTATTTCATGCATATTAGCCCACGACAATGGCGAATACGATTGGTCCCACATCAAGGTTTGGGGTGGGAGGCGCCATTTCGGCGAATTCTATCCGTTTGATTGAATAACCCAGAACATCGGTAAGCTCCTAGAAGTATAATCTATCGATGGCCGTGCGTCATCAGGAAGGGGGTAAGCCATGGGGGGGGGTCGATTGGATGAGAGAACGCGGATCAGTCCAACTGCCAACGCATCATCCACTTGACAGTTGGCCGACCTTGACAACCAATTAAGGCTTATCAGTGGCAAAAATGTTGAGAGAAGGTGTAAACCGCAACACAATTGGATAGACACTGACTGTAGAGAATGGTGTATTGAGCCGAGGCCATTGAAATGCTAACGTGGAGTTTTCCGTGATGGAGATGTCGCCCGTAACGCCGTTAACATGAATAGTGGAGTCCTCAGGGTGGATCCCGTAATAAATCTACTGCGCGCGGACCTCTTTTTCTCCTCGATGATTCAGGAACGAATGATAAACTTGGATCGAAATAAATATGCGCCCATAAATTGGAGCTTCCAAGGTTTCTTTTCTCCCGTGGTATTTTTTTTGTACTTTGAATTGATCCAAGATCAATACGATCTGGTACAAACGCTGGGTCTGGCTGAAAGTGAACCATGGTGCCCGAATGATAATACCCAGGGATCTTGGGGCGATCAGGGGAACGCATGGACCAAGTTTCGGGGAGATCTTTGGATTCAAAATGTTGCAAATGTTTTCATAATTTGGGTATTTATGAAAAGAAAATTGAGACTGATTAAGCGCTTTCCTCAAATCTCCAGGAACATTGAAGTTCAATGGTGCACATATGTAGTTCCACATATGATGTATATGACGCGGATATGGGATATGGGATATAGCTAGGAGCTTCACCCTTTATTCCGAACTCTACCATGAAGCTATTCCAATTGAAAGAACCAAGCTTCCAGTCTGAAAACAACAAGTTATACACTCTATAATTGGATAGGAAATGCAATTGAAAAGCATTACAAGACCAAGTTCGGGCCTAATGACGATCTTAGCAAGCGAGCCCACTTTTTCCGCAATGCGAAACCACCGGTCCTCTCATCGCCCCCTTTTTTTGATTAAAGTGTGCTAGTTGATCTGAAACGGCCAGTTGCGGGATTATTATGGTCTATTTGAGGACCCAGTAAATGTAGGTGTATGCAAAACATATCAGGCCTGGAGTATTGTATGTTTGTACCTAGGTATCATCTCTACCCATGTGGTAGATGTATGCCTAGTTTATCATGATGATAGTCAGGCTTCAGCCCCATTCTCACTACTACACCTAGGCATTCTAGTAATCAACTTCAAGTCTCAATACCAATTGGCCCCCAAATGATCCTCAAGTTCCAATTTCATACCAACTTGAAGATTTCATTCAAGCTCTCCACTCTCGGACCTCCCTCTTTCGTTCTATCACAGACGCAGCAAGGGACTGGGATAAACGTCCTGTCCCTTTGGACGCAACCCATGAATAGTGCAGCCATAAACCTGGTCATAGGCCTGATTTCCCCCATTTTTCTGTACCCCGTACTCTCTATTTATTGATTGATTGATTTATTTATATTCATGGAACTGATGGAGATATCTGGAATCATCCTCGGTACTAGGGTTAGTAGCATCATGGATGATATAGTAGATATCTGGATCATCTTAGTAGTATACTAGTTACCATGAACTTGAACAATCCAAACATACCAGACTAACTGAATACTACGACAGTTCAATCCTATATTCTTCAATCAATCACAACATTTGAAATCTGTATTGATATCGGGTGCTGGTTTCCCTTGTATCGTCATCAACTTGACCCGCTTGTTCCCCCAGACTAAACGACACTAAGACCAAACCTGCTCGTATCTCCTCCTTCTCCCTCTCTTTCTCACTTTCCCTGAATCTGTGGGCTGGGCGTCTTCTTTCTTTCTTTTCTTTTCTTTGATTCTTCCTCGGATCCAGCTCTGAGCTCTTTTCCTCATTTCTTCTTACATCTCTTTCCCCCCTTTTTTTAGGCTGAACGGGGCGACCGGTGCTTCCCGTCAAATCCCTCCCCCCTGTCCCGTCTCCCCGAGTATCTTCAAATCATGTTCAGTGAGCATTGAAAAAGCATTGTCTGAACCTCTAATCGCGTCTGAGACATTGCTCCTGTTGTCTCCGACCTTTTTCAACTTGGCAATTTAGTCCTTCCCCGTGGACAGAAAGAGGGGACTTTGCACACTGCATACCTGAAGGTACATCCCACCCTTCCTCTTTTATTTTCTCGATTTTCCCCCCATTTTTTGATTTCATTACGCGTTTTTTTGGATTGCTTTTCCTCGATTTTCATCTGGAAGTCTTTCTCAAGCTGTCAAGTGGAGTTCGCGGGTGGTCCCTTGTGCGTTGATTCCCTGGAGCGCGATAAAATCGACGTGACATTCCTTCCCTTCCCCCCATTCCTCCGATCGAATATTCCGTCACTTCCACAGTCTTGCATAAAGTTGCACATTTTTCTTGATTACCGATAAGCATTTCATGTGGATATTCTATTCACTAACGCGCATGTCCCACTTCACAGTTTTGAGGCTGAAGGTCGACACTCAGTGAGTGCGACCGATCGCCCAACCTCCCCGAATCCCTCACCAATCACCCTCGGGAGGGGCTTGGTGCTGTCGGGCGCGTCAATTGTTGTCCATTGGCCTCGGTCGCTGGTCAATTAGCCTTGACACGCTTTAACCCAGGGATTCGTCACTCCGTCGAAGTCGTGAATTGTCTGTGGCGGTTACCTAAAGGTACGTAGTTTGCCTTTACTGTGGTGCAAAATATCCCTCTCTGGTTCTCTCGCAAACTTGCCTCTTCCCCTGTCAGCTTAGCAGAAGAGACCTATGACATTCAATCATGGTCCCTCAATTTGCTAATCATGTTCCACAGCCATTTCCAAAGCTGATCCGGGATCAGCTTCGATCGGCTATGAGCACTTCCCACCAGCCGGCATTGCCAGTCCCCGCGCCAGTGTCGACTCACGCAACTTCTTCGGTTCAGAATAATGTGCGCCCTTATCCCGATATGCTAAGCGTACCCCCAGTTCCTCCTCCGAGGACTTCCTCCCATAAGCACACCAGTCGCAGCCCCAATGGTTCGTCAAGAGACAAGGACGGAAATTCTCGTGGCAAGAGTCGATCCGACCGCAAGGAAAATCGTGACAGGACACGCGACGACCGGAACGGCAAGAGTCGGACCCGCCGAGCAGACCCCCTGGAGGAGACGTCAAAAGAGCCCGGAAGGTCACCGATTTCTGCCCCCATGGGCTCCACAGAATACGGCATGGAGGATCCCTCGGAACAAGGTCTGGTGAAGGAGCCAAGTACAGTTATTAACTCTGTCATGGCGAGCGACCCATTTGTAGATCGGGAGCGAGAACAGGTGCGCCAAACGGGTGCATCACCTGTGGAGGGTGGTGACACGGCCCTGCCTGTCGGGTCTGAGAGCACAAATGATGGGCGAACTCCTGGATACCGAAGCCGCCACGATTATTCCAACAATGGCAACACTGTCAAGCGCAAGGAAACCACCTTTGGTTCCTATATCCTGGGCCAGACGCTTGGTGAAGGAGAATTCGGAAAAGTCAAGTTGGGATGGAAGCGAGATGGGAGCATTCAAGTTGCGATCAAACTGATCCGAAGAGACTCACTCGGTACCAATCCCTCGCGCCTACCAAAGATCTATCGTGAAATCTCGATTCTCCGCGAGCTTGCGCACCCGAATATCGTCCGACTCCATGAGATGGTGGAAACTGACCGCCACATTGGTATCATCATGGAGTACGCGTCTGGTGGCGAGTTGTTCGACTACATTCTAAACAATCGCTATCTCAAGGATAACTCCGCACGTCGACTCTTTGCCCAGCTGGTTTCTGGTGTAGGCTACCTGCATAAAAAGGGTATTGTGCATCGTGATCTGAAGCTGGAGAATCTGTTACTGGATCGTAATCGCAACATCATCATCACGGATTTTGGATTTGCCAATAGCTTCAATCCAATTGATCAATTGGAGGAGGAGATTGAATACAATTTGACAAATAAGGAATATGTGAAAAGAAAGCGATTGGACAAGCCTGGCCCTGATGGATTGCGCCGTGGTGATCTGATGCAAACCAGTTGTGGAAGTCCTTGTTATGCTGCCCCAGAACTCGTTGTGAGCGATTCTCTTTACACTGGACGGAAGGTAGATGTGTGGAGCTGTGGTGTGATTTTGGTAAGTTTTTCAGGCATTCACCTCTGCCTAGGTTGTTGTTGCTTTCGTTGTGGAATTTGTTTGCTAATTTGAACTTTACAGTATGCTATGTTAGCTGGCTACCTTCCCTTTGATGACGACCCTGCGAACCCTGACGGCGACAACATCAACTTACTGTACAAGTACATTGTCACGACCCCACTCACCTTTCCCGAATATGTCACTCCACACGCTCGTGATCTCTTGCGACGTATTCTAGTTCCTGATCCTCGCAAACGAGCTGATCTTTTCGAGGTTGCGCGCCACAGCTGGCTGAGTGAATACTCTCACATTGTCTCGCACATCACCAGCAGCACAACCAACGTTGCGGACATTGCCAATTCGACTGTTCCAGCTGAAAATCAAAACGAATCATCATTGGCACGTAGTGCTTCTGTCCGTGAACCACCGAAGACTAGCCAAGGCAACGTTTCTGCTGTTGGTGGACTGAGCCATCACGCTGGTGACGTCTCTCAAGGCTCTCCCAGTGAAAAGTCCAAGACCTCGCGTGACGCTAAGCGCCGAACAGTCCAGGTCGAGTACGTTGCTCCTCAGTCGCAGACTACAAGAGGTGAATACCCACCTGAAGGCTCCGAGTCACATCCCCGAGAAGCCGCTCAAATGGAGGCTCCGATTACCGAGGCTCCTCCTAAGCCACCAGCTAAGGACCGTGCTGAGAAGCCACCCGTCAACTACGACAAGCCGTTGCCTACTCATTTCCCACGATCCACCTCAGATTATCCTGTTCTCAGTGGACCGAATACCACAGTCCCAGTTGCACCTCTACCCCCATCAACGCGTCCTCAGACAGGTGGATCTATGGCATCTTTCAACACTGGTCGTCTTCCTTCCCGCGGACAACCTGTGGCACCAATGGTCACCGCAACTAATACCGAAGGCCGTCTGGCACAGCCTAAGAGCAGACAGTTTGCCTTCCCTCAGAACCCTGCGCAATCATCCAGCGCCTCGATTGGTCGTCCTAGCACCCAACAGTTACCATCTGCCTTCAACCCAACGCCGCGCCAAGAGCCACCGGCCAAGAGTGCTCACAAGCGCTCCAACACCGTCAGCAGCATTGGCGAGAAGTTGTTTGGGCGCTCGAGTTCTATCATGGGTGGTCGCAATGCACAGGGCGCTGCTTCTCGTGGTGCGCGACAGACCAAGCGATACCCTCCTACCAGCATGAAGGAGAATGTGCCTCGTGAAGATTCCCGAGTCTCCATGGATTCCCGCCGATCAATGCAACACTCGCACAGCCGCAAGGCCAGCGAGGCTGGGGAGAGTCGTCCCCGTCGCTTCTCTCTGCTCCCGGCTTCCTTCTCCCTTCGAGGCCTCACAGGGACCCGATCACAGACTCCTGAGGAAACCTCCCTGCCTCCACGTCTCGCAGAGCACCCTCCACAGCGTCCAGCCACTGGACCCATGCCGAATCGCCCTCGTGCAACTAGCTACGGCACACAGGAGACTATGGGCATGGTGAACGAGGGACCGAGCGATGAGGTGCACGATGATTCGAAACTTAGCAGTGAGCCCGAGCCACTTAGCTACGAGGCTCAGATTGATCAGCAATTTGCGGAGCTTGGAAATCGATTCGACCAGACCCATGAAACCTTTGCCAACTTCTCTTCCGAGCATGTCTACCAAAACAGCGATGATCAGTATTCTGGAGGAAACCACAACTATGGATCTAAGCCAAACTACTACGATGATTACAATAGCGCCCATGACAGTCTGCCTCGCGAGTCTATGCAAGTGAGTCGCCCTGCTCGTGGAGCGAATGTGCTCCAGAAGAACAACCGCAAGTTCGCCGATGCTTATGAGTATGAGCGGGATTCCTCTCATCACTCTGGTAGCTCAGGTGCTGCTCGTAAGGTTATGGACTTTTTCCGCCGTCGAGCGAAGTCCCGTGCTGGTGATGGTCAGTAAAATGACACCGATGGGTTTTATTTTCTTCTTGCTTCAATTTGTCCTCTCTTTTTTTCTTTTCTTCCCTTCCTCTTCAAACGAAGCAGCGAGGTTGTTTGGGAAACCATGTGATACCCTGCTTTTGTTCTCCCTTGTGTGTTTCTGCATGAAGCGAGATTCTTCTCTATCCCATCGGTTGTTCTGATTAATTTATCTAGCATTCTCATTTCCTTTGTCAGAATACATTTTCTTTTCCCCCCATTTTCCCTCCCCTAATGTCTTTTTCAAATTCCTGTTTTTTCCTTTCCTCTTTTTCTCTTACCTGTGATTCACCTTTCCTTCTCCTGTCATTATTACCTCTGACTGTAAAATGGAACATTTATGTTCCAGTTCAGAGTATCGAATTCCCCATTTTATCTTCTTAGCACCATCATCGCATTCTCGAGATCGGGATCGAGATCTTGGTTTGTGCCTACCTTCTATTTCTAATTTTCCGCTCTATGTGGAAGGTCGTCTTAGACGGTAATTCAATTGTGATAACAGTTCTATTTGCGATTTCCTTTCGATCAGCATGGTTTCTATGAGTTGACCAGCATCTTTATTTTGGTTCAAGTTTTTGGTAGTTTTAATTCTTCCCAGTCTGCTGTGTTGCTTATCCATGGATATATTGGGTGTAGATTATCTGTTCGATTGAGACTGACATGAGTATGGGATTTAGCTAGGACATACATAAGAATGAATGTATAATTGGGGCTCTCAAAATTGACGTTTTATCTGAACCTTGGAAGTAAACAGTAAAAAATTAAAATATTCATTCATCCCATATTCATATTGTCAAATTTACAATTTCAAATGCTCAACACCCACCAAATCCGCCTCTTGATTCAAGCTTGCAATCTCCGCCTCTGCAAAAGGAATTCCCTCAACACGTCTCTTCTCCTCAGTAATGATCTCAATCTCACCAGGGAAGTAAATCCTCTCCACCCCCTCCATCTTTTCCGACTCAACCACTCTCTCATATAGATAATCCATCCTTTCCCGAAACTCCTCCATACTCATAAACAAATCCGGCTTAATAGCCACCAAGAAGTGACCCACATCCGACGGTTTAGAAGGATCATAAGGACCAACAACCTGACCCGCAAACGCAGCCCCAGAAAACACACCCGAGAAAACATCCATCATAATAGCCAACGCAGAACCCTTCGGTCCACCCATCGGCAACATAACACCTTCCAACGCCTTCGCCGGATCATCCGTCCGACATCCATCCCCATCAAGCGCCCATTCAAGCGGAATCTTCTCACCCCGTCTCAAAGCCTTATAAATCTTTCCTCTAGCCGCAACAGAAGGCGCCATATCAAGTATAAACGGACGTCCACGCGTACCACCAGGAGCTCCACAAGCAATTGGCGAAACACCCATAAGTTTCTCCTTCCCACCCCAAACCGGTAACGCAGGGGAACTATTCGTAAATACCAAAGACATCATTCCCTTCTCAAGTGCTTGCTGAACAACCCACGCACTCATCCCGAAATGATTCGAGTGTTTCACACTAACCATTCCGATACCATAGGTCTCAGCCATTTCAATCGCTTTGGCCATACCTGCGTGTGCAGACACGAATCCGAACCCATTGTGTCCGTCGATTTGCGCAGCCACGGGCGTTTTGGTTTGAAGGCTTGGTGTGGCACGTGGGTTTAGATGCCCGGCTCGGACTCGGGCCATGTATGATGGGATTCGGTTACTACCGTGTGTATCTACACCGCGGAGATCGGCGGCGACTAGGCAGTTTGAGACGGTGGCTGCGTCTGTTGGGGGTGTGCCGTTGGCGATTAGGATGGAGGTTACGAAGGTTTTTAGGTCTTCGTGCTTGATTAGGTGCATTTTTTGAGATTCGGTCATTTTGATAGATGAATGGGGTTGAGTGGAATATTCTTTTTGAATTGTTTTCAATGTTTGTACTGAAGCCCTGGAGGGGGAGATGCGCAGGTAATGTTCAAGTTCAAGTTGAGATTCTATATGTTGGATGTTGGGGTATGGACCCGCTTTATAGTAATGAGAAGCGGATGTGTCCCGTCATACACGGAGTACTCCCGATGTCCACCTAAGGTGGTGCTCGAGGTCTACGCTGTGGTTTCTGGACCGGGTACTATAAACTCATTACATTGTTCAATGACACATTGTAAATATATTTGGAGACATTTTCCACCAGGGTCCAGGTAATATTGCAAGAGTACTATTGGAGATGGGATGGGAGAAATGGTTTAATCTCAACCTTTTGCAACCGTGACGGTAGGACTTGATCATGACTCGGATGTATGTATATATTCCCGGACCAAAGAAAATCCCCAGAACTCGAGGGCTTCCAGATGTCAAATTCAATGTTGAACTGCCCAGGTGCTAGCAACTTGAGATGTTGAATCAGACTCGGATCCATTTTGCCTCCTAACAGGAAAACCTAACAGATATTCCAATATTAAAGGAATGAGTTATTATCGAGTAGAAGAAAAGACGTGAATGATTCAATATCTATACTAGCAGTAGTAATAGTCACTGGCAACTGGTGTTTATTGCTGGGCGCCTGAATGGATGTCTGGATGGATGTCTACTGGCAGGTTATCTGGCAAGAACTTCAAATGTTGGAATAAAAATTAGTTTATATGCTGAGTTGTAATAAGAGTTTTTATTTTTTATCAATTTAAAGATTGAGATAAAAAAGAAATTAGGATGGGCAAAAAAAAAAAAGATAAAAAAGAATGGAGCAGTGGCGATTTGAACGCCAGACCTCTCGCATGAAGGTTGGTGGAACCATGCAAAGCGAGCGCTCGTACCAACTGAGCTACAACCCCAATTTGTTGAAGGTGTCACTCACTTTTTGCCTCATAACCAACACAACAAATAGATGAATTTGGCATGTCAACTCATCGCCATCTAAATAATTAATTAATAGACATTGGAATCTTTTGACATCTGGATATTTATTCTGCCGGTACTAGTAATTATACCCCGAGTTTCTTACTACCTGATTTTATCGGCGTAGCCTATGCCATGCAAGTCAACTGGCTAGTCCATAAATACTTCAAATTCATGTTCATCCCATGTGGAAGTACAGAAAATCCTTGATACTTTTGGAAACATTTAGATTCAATAAGATGATCTTTAATCAATAGCACAGGATCAGTAGAAGCGCATATATATACGTCACACTGCTTTTAACACCAACTTGAGCCCAGTTGACACTTGTATTACATGCCACCCCCAAATGGAATACATTCAAAGACTTGCCTCCATGACCCACAGCCTGCATCAAAGCGATTCTGTCCAAAACGCAAGTAGAGCTGATTGGGATTGTCGCCAAATTTAGCAATGTCTTCCTCATTCACTCCCGGCGGAAGCCCTTCACTGGGTCTGAAAACGCAGTAATAATGTATCCGAGCTTCCTCCGCAACCTGTATTCCCTGTGATATCCCTAACTGGTGCATTGGCTGAGCGGCTTGCATATTCTCCGAGTCTTCACTCGCGACAGTCTCTTCAGCTTGAGCCGTCATCGTTGCCTGTTGGAGAGCGAAACTGTAACTCTCTTCCAGCATCATAAAACTTTCTGCTAAAAGGGCACTAGGTGTGCATTTGAAAAGTCCCTGTAATGGGGGCGCCTTTCTCAATAGTTCCAGTGCCTGTCGTCTCACTACTGGATGCCGACATTTCATTGAAGTTAGAAACAGCGGAAGACCCACGCCTACTTCGAATGTGAAGGGTGGCTGTGAGCCATCCGGCCTTGTGGAGGCAAGAAGTGATAATTTTGCCTGCTCAACAATAGCCTCGAAGTCGGCAAGATGGGCATCATAGACAGTCTCGAGTGATATCAAGCAGCTTGAGAGAATAATCGACATTGTAGTATAGTAGATGAGAAGCAAGGGGTCGTACTCAATTGGCGATTGTGAGTTGAGGTTGTTTTCACACATTCTGGTATAAAATCCATGCCAACGGGAGACTCGAGCTCTAAGAGATTCTTTCCTGGAGACCATGATTGGGTCCATAGAAGAATCCGGATCTAGAGTTCTGAGATACATGACCGTCTCGCGCTCAAAGAGGACGACCTCCGCAGAGAGCACTGCTAGACTGGTTCTGGCTTGTTCGGCTGACTTGAACTCACAGTCTAGATTAATTCCCACAAAAGCAAAGATATCACTCGGTTGAGTTCCTGAGATAGTCAAAGAGACTGAACCCAGCCGCAGAAATAGGGGAATAATGGCTTGCTCTAGAAGTGCAACCTTGCTGACAGAAACACGCCCTTGCGAAATATGAGTGCGAAGCTCACTGATCAAGGTTACGCCCTGTCTGAATAGCTGTAGTGCTTCTTCCATCCGGCCTTGAATAGTCTCCACACATATAAAAAGGACACAGCTCATGAGCGCAATATATGGATCTGCAGTGCCACGCTCAATTTGGGAGTGCACACTAGATATTGATCGCGAGTACCATGTCAAAGCCTCCAGCTGAATCTGATTGAGTGAATTCGACCCCTTACGACGATTTCTGAGAAGGGTGAAATCCAGAGACTGGTTGGGATATTGAAACAAAGTACTGATTGCAATCATTCCGTCCCAAACTGCGGGCTCACTGCGACAGATCTGGGGGATGACCTTAGTCCAGAAGTCGACTTTCATTCCACCGGCGAGATGTTGAGCAGCGTGTTGGAAGTAATATTCGAATGCATATCGTTCTCTCCGACCCGAATCAGGAGATGAAGAGAGCGCATTGGTAGGGGTGAGAGAAGGTGGTGTGGTAGACCTCAATGTAGAGGTCCGATCATTTTGATATTCACATTTTCGGCCCGTACTGGAGCAACGGAGACAGTTCGGCTTCTCCTCACCACATTTAACCTTTCGAATTCTGGTGAGAATTAGCGGTGGGCCGTTGAAGAATCGATGTTCAAAGATAACTCACTTGCAGGTCGTACATCCAGATCGGGATTTAGCAGCCCCGATGCGGCCGTTTATCGGAGGTTCAATGGTCATTCTGAGAACTAACAATCTCGTGCATCGCTGGAGAGTAACTTGCGCACTCAAGTGGTGATTATTTGGATATCCAACACCTTGAGATAGAATGAAAGCCGAATTTTCAGTCAGCTCACATTGTCAGTTCGAAGATAGAAAATTCATCAGAAAGATCCATTTTAGCCCCCAAACGCGTCGTGTACTATGGGACTTCTGCCTGGGGCATCAATACATTCAGACCACTGATGCTCGTGAACTTGAAGCGATAACATCTGGTTTATTGTTTATTTCACAATCTCTAAACATTCAAAGAGATGAGTTTCTATTGCCAATAATATTTTTTATTTATATCCATAAGAACTTCCAAGGTTGGTATTTGCCTGGTGGTTCAATTCTCCAGTTATATTTGGATTTCCAAGGTTGTTGCTACCGGTTTAAGGTGAATGCAGTGGGAGATGTAAACATGGTTCATTCAATCTGGATGGTAGTCTGGGACGAAATCCTTGTTCTGTTAGCTAACATTTGAAACTGGATACTGAGATATTTCCATGGAAGCCATCAATTCCTCTTCATTTCTTCCAACAATAGAGCACTTGAGCCCATCGCGTTATAGTACGGGATTTACCAAGCGAACGAAAGAGTTCTCATCCTCGATCTTCGATGCTTGCCATATTACACTGATGAATCAGAAGGTCCCTCGCTCTGAGTTTCACTCTTTGGTAGCGTTTTCTGGCCCATCATCTTTTCCATAAAGGCATCCGATTGTGAAGCATAATGCGCTTTTTTCGAATGACCGCGCCATACTTATAGAACAAAAACGGCATAGGTACGCATGCAAGGGCCAGAAAAGCAGGGATAGAGGAGGCCCAGTGAATGCCAAGATTGTCGTACATAGGCTTGGTGAATAGGGGGAACGCAGCGCCAAAGATTGAGCGCAAGGAACCTTTAGCCGCCATAACAGATGCAGCATAAATAGTATACGCATCGAGCAGGTAGTTCAAGACGGGGAGAAACACCATCACCATGCCGAACCCAAATGGAACTCCGGCCGCAATGGATGCCATCCAATGAACCTAAAGTCTCGTTTTAGCACGTGCGATAAGTGGTTTATCTTAATCTGATGCTTTAGAGCTTGGTGAAACTCACGGAAGGGTAGTTTGCCCACGCAAAACAAAAAAAGCCCCACAGGCAGCGCAACGGCACCGATTAAGGCATCAAAAAGTCTTTCTTCGGGAGGAACTCGACCGGGGGTACAAAGTGTCTTCTTCTTGTATCGGAAATACCTTGGAAATGTTGCCACCACCGAGATAATGATACCGACCAGGATCCCCAGGAAGGCGAGGCCGCTGAGGCCTTCACTCCAACCGCGGTTCCCCTCATACACGATGGGTATAGCGGCGAAAAGGAGATAAAAAATAATGGAGATGTTAGCCTAACGCACTGAAATATGGCTATCGATAATGCCGATGTTAAGATACTCACATGCCATAGATAATGGAGAGGTATACCGAGAAAAGTAGGACAATAGGTCCACGGAAAAGGAGAATCCATGGCAGGCAAAGAGCAGTTTTGAAGACTGTCGCCGGGGATGCCCTGCCTTTCTCAATGTCGAGCATGCTTCGGTAAACGTGACCCGTCATGGCCGAGAGACGCTCGGCGCGTTTCCTCAATAGGACCGGGGCATACGTCTCTGGTAGTGTGAGTATAGTAAGAATTCCCAGTACTCCAGCGAATGCCGCAACCAAACCCTCAACCCAGCGCCAACCGGCTGACTGGGATAAGAAGCCGCCGATGATGGGCCCTAATGTTGGTCCTCAGGAAAGGTGCGGCACAATACAACCCACTGGCTATGCCGCGGGTGATGGCAGGGAAAGTATCCGCGATGATTCCGCCTGACACAGCAAAAGGCGCTGATCCCGATGCCCCTCCGAAGAAACGGAGGATAACTAAAGTTCAAATATTTTTTAGACCCAGTTGCGCCCGCCGTGAATGCGGTCAGACCAGTAGCACTAGCGATCATAATAGGTCGACGGCCATAGAGCTCACTCAGGGGTGCCCAGATCAAGGGCCCGACAGAAAACCCTACAACAAAGAATGAGATGCCTAAGAGGGCAACTTCCTCGCTGACTTGAAAATCCAAGATAACTTCATTGAGACTCCCTGTGTAGGCAGACGACACCAACGCCACCGCTAGCGTAGCAAAGGCCGCAAGGGGCCATGATGAACCATTTGGACGGCACAGAAAACCCCATAGGATCACGCGGGTCGTGGTCCAGCCAGAAGACCTGGTATGGATCTTCATCGGTGCCAGAGCCATTGTAGCTATGATTGAGGACGGCCTGGGAAACATAGCCTTGATCAAAGATCAGTCGCCAGATCGGAACTCTTATTGGTTGGATCATTTCTCCGATGGAAGCAATAGCCATCAGCACGATCAGGACTGGCTTATTTGACTGGAGAGAGCTTCAATATGGCTAGAAATCGGGGTTGAATGAGATTGATGTAAATATCACGAGCACAATTCGAGTCCGCCAGTGTACGTGAGGGTCATACCGGGGGGGTCACCGTCATTAAATTGCAGAGGCATCCTGTTGCGAACTCCAGCACTTGAGCAATGCCTCTATTTGACTTTTCATGCAAAACATAAGAGAACTTGAAGCAAGGCCATGAAGACATTTTCGTACGCCTCGAAATTTATATCCAGAAGCTCTGTGGGTCCGGGATGACGACTCCGAGTCCATTCAATGTTTATGACATTGACGGGTAGCAGATCTGTACGGAGTACGGAGTAGATCGGTACCTAGTACATACTAGCAGTCCAGGCTCATAGCAGTCGGAACGCCCCTTTCGCGTCGGGATTGGTTATAACTTATAAGCACCTGGGCAGCAGAATAAGATAAACATTTAAAGGCTTCCAAGGTTGAGGGCTTGGAAATTGAATTTCCATTCTTTTTGTGGGGTCCAGAGTCCTGGAAACACCTGGGACGTACGAGACAATCATTTAGACAACTCCTCACTCAGTGTAGCAGCTACGGACTTCAGAGTAAGATTGACGTGTCGGTGATCCATATGTCAAGCTTCAAATTAGCTTTCTATTTCGGTCTATTTTGAAAGTTCAAGTTTTACTTTTATATGCGGGATCTGCTGAGCCAGCTTACTGGAAGCAATGTTCCTCGGAGACTTTGGATGGACAAATTCTTCAGTCCATCATGAATTGCACGATCAGCGAGTGCATCAACGAGGATGGAATCTCCTCCCGCTCAGGCCTGATTGACCTCGGGACTTTTCTTCCAGATGTTCATTGTTTTGTCACACCGTGTGCCGCTAGATGGGTTGTCACAGCGAATCCCTAGCCTTATCCACAGCCATAGCCTGCACATGTGCATCTAGGCCTGGTTCCAAAAGTCAATATAGCCAATACCTATTACATACTTAGAAATGATCTTTTGGATTGTATCAATACTAGGCCATATCATATTCCAGGCAACAAATTATAGGAACGAATCCGAACGATACATTATTGAGGTCGTACATATATCACAGTAAGGATTACCCAGCTTGGCCTTGGTGTGAACCTTGGAACGTGGTACATGGTCGGAAATATGGGGATGAGACGTGCCTGAATCTGGATGCCAGTAGCAGTCTGGACGAACCAACCTTGGAAGCCCTGGAGGTTGCCCAGGTGCCCAGGTGGGCACCTGGGCAGGTGGAACATTTGAAGCCAGGGCTGGAGGCCTGGCTGCTGACTAAGGGGGCGTAACAGCCCCTGCCCCGGTCCCCTCCAAATTGTTTATGGTTCCATTTCCAAGGTTCACCTTTCGACCCATTCGAAGGTTGTTCTAGTTGGAGATTTTCAATTTAGAGGATCAATTAGAATACGTGCGTCCACAGGTACTTCAAGGCCTACTTATAATAGGAAGGTAGAGGCTCAATTTATCCCAAAGTGACCCGCCAATTAGCCTGAGCAAGATGGTCAGCCTTGTTTGGGTCGGCAAATTCAAGTTATATCACTCCGTATATCGGCTGTTTCTATTGATTGGAAAATTGCATCGGGAATAAGAAAAGGCCGGTCAATTCATCTAGCTCGATACTAGATTCAAGTTGTACTAGTAAAATTGAAGCGAAACATGGGCATATGTAGGATTTGATATCGCACCCTGATAGAGACTAAGAACATTTGACTCATACTTGTACTGAGCCCTCTGTACATGCATTTCTCTCATTGATATTTAGTAATTGAATAAAACTAGGTCAGCATATTCGGTAATGCGATGTAACATTGAATTCACATCAGAAGCAGGTTTTCGTCCATTATGTAGGGATCGATACTAGGGGTGTGCCCCCCTCGCTTCCTTTCCGAGATAAATCCTCCAATTAACCCGAGTCTATTAGTGTCCCCGCAAAATGCTAGTCCTTCCACATAGCACCAAATGAAAATTGCCGAATAACCGATCTAACTTATTGAGAACAGTCATGTGGCGCACCGATTCCCCGAATACATTAGTGTCCCACGCTAAAAGCTTAGCTTCGGCGGAGCCACGTCGGCTATCCCGAGCTCATTGATAAGGGCCGCATTGGTCTGGGACTTCGATCAATTCTATTGACCAATAACCCCTGTCAATTATGAATTCAAAATTCAAATCCTTCCGAATACAAGCTTTTGTGGACCGGCTTCGACCTGTGAGATATGCTTTGACCAATGGAAATAGTCTTCCACCATACTTCTGGTGCGGAGAACGAGACGGGGTACTACGTATGCGGCGGACAAAATCGGTCTGGGTTATATAGCACGGCTTCATTGGCTGATGGTAGTTGATAACAGCGTATCATTTAATGAGCAATCTATTCCCTATACAGTCAAATCGTGGGTGGCGTTCAGTGGCTTCCCCAACCCCTGCTCACATTGGTCTAGTGTATACCCGTCTAGCTTATCGAAGTAAAATACAAATTCAGTGACACGCGCTCATTTTGAAAATGCGTAGGTCAAAGTAGTTTTGTTTTGAGCAAATCTGACTGTCCTCATATGGTCAATATGGCAGATGTGAAGTCTAGTTCCCACCCCGAGGACGAGGTCTCGTCCTTGGGGGAGTCGAGGGATGTCGACATCGTAGATGAGAAAAAGGTACCCGTGGATGTTACAACTGACTCTTCCCAGGATATGGAAGAGGGAGGACAAGATGGCGATGATGAAATAATTCACCATCCTGCCGACCAAGATGATATCTTGACACATACTCTTCACGTTCAAGATGATCCGACCTTGAACTGCTTCACATTCCGGACATGGTTTTTGGGTAAGAAAGATGATCCCATGCAAGTATCTGCTTACATTTCACATACTTACTGAACTTTTTCTATGTAGGCATTGGTCTAGCAGTGTTCGGAGGTGTTATTTCATCGATCTATTACTTCAAACCCCAAACCGTTACCGTCTCAACTGTCTTCGTTGCCGTCCTCGCATACCTTCTGGGTGAGGGTATGGCATTTATCATCCCGAGAAAAGGCGTGATAGGGAAATGGCTCAATCCGCATCCCTTCAACGTCAAAGAGCACCTGGCCATCATTATTATGGCGAATTCCGCGAGTACCGCCGCCACCGGAATCGAACTTCTTGCAGTGGAGCGACTTTATTATGACGCCAAGCTCAACGCAGCGATGTCCATCTTCCTACTGTTCTCTTCACAGATGCTGGGATATGGAATTGCAGGATTGATGCGCAAGACTTTGGTTTACCCCAAGGCTATGCTGTGGCCGATCAATATTCCCGTTAACAACATGTTGGAAACACTGTATCGCCCTCGTTCTGAGACTCGAAAGCCTCTCATGGTATTTGGATATGTTTTTCTAGCAATTTTCTGCTGGGAAATCTTCCCTGAATGGATCATGCCGATCTTGACGGGTGTCAGTATCTTTTGCCTGGCGAACCAAAAGAGTGCCACTTTTACAAACATCTTTGGTGGCTCCGATGGAAACGAAGGAATGGGCCTGTTCTCTCTCTGCTTTGACTGGGACTACATTTCTGGAGGCTACTCACCCCTCTACTACCCTGTCGAGAGTCTTATCAGTCAGGGCGTAGGTGTGTGCCTCTGTTTGGTTGTCTTCTCCGGTGTTTACTACGGCAATGTCTGGGAGGCAAAAAGATTTCCATTCCTGTCCCAGGTTCTCTTCAGCGAGAATGCGACTATTGCAAACCAGCTTGAGTGGAATCAAACGTTGGTAATTGGCTCCGACAATCGCATCGACCAAGCGGCTCTGGCAGTGGAAGGCCTCCCCTGGTTCTCGGCAACCTATGTTATTAACATTCTGGGCTCGAACATGTGTATCTCAGCTGGAATTGTCCACATGCTTCTTTGGCACTGGAAGGAAATGAGTGTAGCTCTGAAGATCCTCCACCCCCGTGCTATCATTCAAAACCTCAACCCTATGAACTGGAACCTGAAATTCTGGAGCTCGGAAGTTAAGGCTGACCCGAACGAGGACAACTATGATCCCCACTACAAGTTGATGATGAATTACAAGGCTGTCCCCGACTGGTGGTATATGCTTGTCCTGGTTCTTTCCGTTACTGTGGCTTTGATCTGTCTCTACAGGGGTGATTCCACGTTACCTTGGTGGGGATTCCTCGTTTCTTGCTTGGTCGCATGGGCATTTCTGCTTATATTCGGAGCGATGCAAGCAACAACCGGTATTACGTTCATCATCCAGCCAATTGTTCAGTTGATTGGAGGATACATCCAACCAGGAAATCCTGTGGCCAATATGTACTTCACTCTGTTTGTGAGTTTCCATCTCCTGCCTAGGCATTCAATTGATAATACTGACTGATCCATCCAGGGGTATAACTCTGTCATCCAAGGCGCTCTATTATCTCAAGATCTCAAACTCGCCCAATACGGCCATTTGGCCCCTCGTGTCACTTTTACTATGCAAATGATTGGCACTATCATTGGTGCCATCTTCAACTACATCATGATGAATGAGATCGTCACCAACCAGCGAGAGATTCTCTTGTCTGTAGAAGGTACCAACATTTGGTCTGGACAACAAGTCCAGCAATATAACACCTTGGTATGCATTTAACCTCAATTATAATAATTGTTAACGGTTTACTGACCTTTAATAAAGTCTGTTGCATGGGGAGGTCTAGCCCACGAACTATTCTCAGTCGGTTCTCGGTACCAGTGGTGCAGTCTTTCCATCCTCCTCGGATTTCTCTGCCCACTTCCCTTCTATTTCCTCCACAAAAAATTCCCATCTCTCGGCATGAATCATGTCAACACATCTGTTTTACTGTACTATATCGGATATCTCTGTGTTGGAATTAACTCATCCATCATGAGTTTCTTCATTATCGGATTTGGATCGCAGTGGTACTTGCGACGCTACCACCCTAACATATTCGTCAAGTACAACTATCTGGTTTCGGCAGCCTTGGATGGTGGTACTTCTGTCATTGTTTTCATCATGTCATTTGCGATCTTCGGAGCTGCTGGCAAATCGGTGGATTTCCCTTCATACTGGGGAAACAATGAGAATGGAAATTATGACTTATGTCTGTATACTGATTAGATGGGTACAGCTGCGAGCACTGGAGGGTTGTCAGATGCCTCAGCAGAGCTTTAGTACTATACTCAAATGCAACGTCTGAATGACTGTCCTATAATGTATGTCTGTTTCTATGTACTAATAGCGATCAAATTGGTTGGTGAACTTTATGAAATTCATAGTAGTAAAATTAATGCAGGAACATCGTGATATCAAATCTCCAGGGCTATGTAGATTATGGAGAGTTCGAACAGCTGCTTTTTCCACCCGTAACTTTCCAGGGGAGCCAATATCATCACGATTCCCAAGCTTTGCACCCATTTGGTACCATCAATTAGTTCTAAGGTTATTTATTATCAGCCGCCGTCGGGCCTGCATATTGCGCGGTGGGCTGTTTCCACTAGTATCTATCATACCTAAAAAGTATTTAGTGAACCTTGGAAGAGGGAAACGCTCTCGAGTCTCAGCTATACACTCAACGGTGCACGGCTCGATCCGGACCAAAACCACACCTGATATCCTATCGCATGCGAGAAACCAAGGAAGAACCCAAAGGGCCCATCAGAAGAGAAGGGGAGTGTAATTTAACTCTATCAAAGCTGCCCAGGTGCTATCTTATAGAAGTTCTAGTACCTAGGGACAGGGCTGTAAGAACGGAATAGAACATAAGACGATAAGCGGAACAGCGTGTGACAATACATCAGTGACCCCGTGGACTACGGTTGAAACCTTGGAAGCTTAGCTAGGCCACCCCTGGTTTATTGCAGCTGGATCTAACCGTGCATGCACCTTGGTTTGAGTGTAGAGTTTCAAGTTAGAACGGTCCCGTCCTTCAATGCGAAATACTTCCAAGGTTGGATGGGTGGTACCTACTATAGCCTTGGCCCCGGGGGCTATATGGCTGCCGAGGGGGACGAACGCCACTGAGGCGTGTCCTATGTCTACAGGGGGACAGACCTCGGACCACTACGCCAGTCAGCCCCTGGCCCCGGGGTCCGATGATTGTGTATTGATACCGTTAAAATTATTTCCCTTGGATAATGGTACAATACCTTCCATTAATTACAACTTACCTGCGGAGTAGAATCATTTTATCCTAGTCGCTATTTAATAAAGTCTTCTTATCTCTAAGCCACTTACCCTTATAACAACAACATTTTAAGTATCAATATTCACTCACCTTACCTCTGGACTTTGACCTGTTTATAAATATGTGTGAGCCAGCTGCACCGAATACTATGCCTCGTCCCCCAAGGTTCGACATCTCACCAGAAGATCTGGAAGAACAGGCGAAAGACCTGATCTATCACACCAAGCAAGCGACCACTCACCTGATTAGCTCCTGTACAGAAATTACCTCTGCCAGCTTCGAGAGTATCATTCTGCCCTTGGCTCGTATTGACAATGAGGTCAAAGATCGAGTCCAATATCTGGCTCTCTTTCAAGCCATTTCTACCAGCCCGAAGATCAGGAAAGCATCCTCTCAGGCGATCAGTCTGGTGGACCAGGCTTATCTGAATATATTCCAGAATCACATACTCTTCAACTTGGTAAATCATGTACGAGAGAATGATACTTCTCTGCATGTCAGGGGTGAAGAAGACATCCGTCTACTTGATAAATTCCACTGGATGTTTCTGGAAACCGGGATGAACTTGAACGGCCCGACCCGTGATCGGTTTACCTGGATCTCTCGTCGCTTGATCGAGCTTCGCGTCCAGTTTATGGAGACTCTCGGCTCGGATCCGGGCTGTCTTTGGAAGAGCGAACAGCAGCTAGCCGGAGTGCCATTACATAGACTGCCGACCGGAGCGGGCGGAAACAATCGGGAAGGCTTGTATCAAATCCCTCTTACCAGAACAATCGTTAACCTCATTCTGGCCGAGTGCCAAGTCCTCGACACCCGCAGGGAAGTCTACTTAGGGAGTAATTCCCGATACCAGGCTAATGTGGATATTTTTCGCGAGATCATTGTGCTGAGGGATGAGGCCGCTCGTCTGTTAGGGTTTCCTTCCTTCGCAGCGCAAAAGCTTACGCGGCAGATGCTGGGCTCGCCGGGCCGCGTCAATGAGTTTCTGGATTATCTTCAGGAAGCTTTACAGCCACTGGCTGAGAAGGAGATTGCAGAGCTGCAAGGGCTGGCGAAAATCAATGGCCCCATTCACCTATGGGATTTTGAATTTTACCACACAAGGATGCTACAGGAGCAAAACCAGGTGGACCATGAATACATCTCACAATGGTTCCCCGCCAAAGTGACTATTCAGCGTATGCTCGAATTATACGGAGAACTATTCAGCTTGCAATTTAAGAAAGTAGAGGTCTCGACCAGCTCTCAAACTTGGCATCCAGACGTGGATTTATTCTCCGTTTGGGAGAAACAGGAGTCTCAGGCTACTCCGAGTCTGATCGGATACCTGTACACTGATATTTTCCCTCGTTCTGGAAAGTATAACCATGCAGCTAACTTCAACATATACCCTGTATGTTCAGTATCATATAAAGACTCTTTGGGTATGATGTTCTGACTCTTCGCATAGAGCTTCCTAGATACAGATGGACGACAGCTACCAGTTGTGACAGCTCTCGTGTGCAATGTTTCTCAGGCAGAGCTAGCGCTTCTGAGACACGCAGAAGTTATTACAATATTCCATGAACTGGGGCATTGTTAGTATCATCACGATCTTCTAAACGCAGTCGGGACTTAAAAAAACGCTAATGAATTCTTGGGTTGAAAGGTATACACGATTTGGTGGGTAAATCTAAGTATGCCATGTTCCACGGCCACCGCACTGTGACGGACTTCACCGAAGCACCTAGTCAATTACTAGAATACTGGTGCTGGATCCCCGAATGCCTTCAAAGACTCAGCTGTCATTATTCCTACATCTCTCCAGAGAAATACAGCCATTGGTTGAGTGCTCAAGAAAAGAAAGATACCACACAGCCTCCCAAGGAGTTTCCTCTTGCGCTGGCCCGGAATCTTGGCGATGCTAAGCAGCTCAACCAAGGAATACTCACTCTTCGACAGGTCGCGTTCAGCAGATTCGACATGCAGATTCACAATCCAGATACCCATCAAGATATTGAGACAATGAATATCTCTGAAATTTACTGTTCAACTCTGGAAACCACAACAGGTCTGAATGGCCCAGGAAATGGCTATAATTGGGGTCACGGGCACGCCACGACTTCGCACTATGTGTGGGGCCAGGAGGCATCTTACTACTCATACCTGTAGTAAGTTACACTTCTATGAGCCCATGTGAGCAAAGCGCTAACAGACCGATTGGGAAGTACTCGGACATTAGCAGCGGACATGTGGTCATCGGGCTTCAAGGAAACACCTATAAGCCAACAGGCAGCCATGAAGTATCGACGTCAGATTTTGGACCATGGCGGTAGCAAAGATGAGCACAAGGCAGTGGAGGAGTTGCTGGGAAGGGCTCCGACCTCGGATGCATATTTGCAAGACCTTGGTTGCAAGGTTCTCGCCACTTCGGCTTGATTGATAGTCTGAAAGAAACCTATCCTAATGGGTTGTGGAAACTAGCAAATTTCTCATTGATTAATCTGCTATCACGGTGAAAGCCATGTTCTGAGAAAGGAAAACAAATATCTCCATCGCATGGCAGAGTAGTACTTTCTAGAGATTGAATGAAGCCAAAGAAAAACATTTCCAACGTTAGATCCCATCCAATCCGGAATAAAGTTGAACGTCCCACTCTTTACTAGGATTGTTGAAACGAGATTTCTGATCTAGACTGTTGAGGAATTCCATATCTGCCGCAGACAAGGATACTGACTGCGCGACAAAGTTCTCCGCAACTCTCTCAATGTGCTCGCTTTTCGGGATTACAATCACGCCGCGATGCATGTTCCAAGCTAAAGCCAGTTGTGCTACCGTCAACCCTTTTGCGGAGGCAAAAGAGAGAAGCGAAGGGTCTTATAACAGTGGTGTAATTGATGAATTGTAAATTCAGTTCATGTTGCCAAGGGGCGAGTAGGCGATCACACGCATCCCGTGGTCGAGGGTCCACTTCACATACTCAGACTGCTGCAAATAGAGATGACATTCGAACTCATGTACAGTAGGTGCAATCGTCGCATGGCGAAGAATCTGTTCGGTCTGTGCCTGATTGAAGTTGGAAATGCCGATCTGCCGGACCAGGCCCTCCCGAACAAGATCTTCCATGGCGGACCATGTCTCACGTAGATCGGCGCCATGATCAACGACAGTATCGTATATACTCCCTGGTTCAAAGGCCACCGGCCAGTGCATAAGGTACAAATCGAGGTAATCCAGTCCGAGGTCGCGAAGCGTTTGTTCTAGCGCTGGTCGAACCGCGGGCGGGTGATGTGCATTGTTCCACAGTTATCCTGTCACCCACAGTGAGGACCTGGGGACCTTCGAGCTGGAAATACCTTTTTCATTTCCTATATCTAACGTCAACTCTAAGCTCAAAGCACTTAAGTTAGAGGGAATAGTTGGGCTCCTCTTTGAGCGCGCACAGACCATATATCAACGCAGCATCGATATGACGGTATCCAGTTTCGAGTGCGGATTTCACGACATCTGCAGCCTATTCACAAGACGAATCAGTCATTGAAATCTCTTAAAAATGACTGCACAAACTTGAAGTCGATTTGTTCAGTGCTCAGTGTAACTTCCACCTTAGACTTCGGGATTTACCATGTACCAAGCCCAATGGGTGGAATATATGACAGCGGCCGGACTACTACATCCTCCCTGTCAATGTGCCAAGTTGAAAAGAAATTTTGGGGTTGGTATAGACGAATCAAATAGATCATTAGAGGCAAGACCGTGAGTGTAGTAATGACAGTGAGAAACTTGAACCCACGCGGGGCGGTGGCGTAGAGTGTGAGAGCCATCGGTACGTGTTTACTTCGGATCAACTAGCGTGGCAAATGTGCATGTGAGGAAGAAAAATTATCGCGGGGAAGTTGGAGGACATACCAGGACTTTATAGGCTGAGAATTGCCATACTTCAATGTCTACTAGTACTCATCTCGGGCCCCAATAGTGCAAAGGATCCGTTTTGCGTGAACTGCGAAATTATAGATACCAATTCCACCATTGGGCTTTTACTTCCACTTCAAGTATGAACTAATCTCGACTTATGCCCAGGTGTATGATCAAATTCAAGTTACCTCTACCAGAACTAGATATGATGCTTCCGAGTCTTCGCTACTAACTGAATCCCAACTTGAATCTCCTTGGTTCTACATATATCATTTATTTTCTTATTTAGCACACCTCAAGTGCTGTGGACGCTAGTATTTGGAAATATTTTTAGAAATACTGAGGAGGCCAGAAGTTCATCGCCACTTTCTTTCCCTCCTCCACCGGCAAAGAAGCGTGTAGAGTGCGCGTATTCCCCGTGCCATTCGCATCTAAATTAACCCAAAAGACCGCGTTGGTGCTACGGACAACAGCCGTGGTCGGCAACTATGACTACACGGTCGACTACATCTTCTATTTGGACGGTACCATTGAGGTCAAGGTCCGCGCGAGCGGCTACATCCAGGGAGCGTACTATATCCCCGGGGAAAGTGAGAAGTATGGCTACCGCGTCCATGATCAATTCGCGACTAGCATGCACGACCATGTCATCAATTTCAAGGCCGATTTAGACGTGCTAGGCACGAAAAATACGCTGATGAAGGTCAATGTAGAGCCCCGGGACCAGGTTTTCCCGTGGTCGGAAGGCGAGACGCTCTCCACCATGGGGTTGAATCAAACCCCCATCCAGATTGAATGTGGACTCAACTGGACAGCAAACTCCCAGAGCATGTACATTGTGCTGCATACTGAGTCCACTAATGCTTGGGGTGAGATGCGTGGCTACCGGATCATGCCAGGGTCGGGCATCGGGACTCCGGCGCACCTGACATTTAATGGATCGAGAGCTCCTGGAAAAGCGGCATCCTGGGCGTTGAACGACCTCTGAGTGACGAAATAGAAGGATGACGAAGAACGGAGTGCCAGTCCCCAGAATGCGTTCAATACAGATAGCCCGATGGTTGACTTCAGCCGATATCTGGATGGCGAAAACATCGAGCAACAGGATTTGTAAGTTTGTGATCTTGCCATAATAACATAGTTTTTCTGTACCACACTAACTAAAGTTTAGGGTAATATGGTTCAACCTCGGCAACCATCATGTCCCTCACTCCGGCGACATTCCGAACACTTTACAACACACAAGCGCCAGCTCGATCATTTTCTCTCCATTCAACTTTCACGACCGAGATGCAAGCCGTGCTAGTTCTCAGGGTGTTTGCTTAGAGCTTCCCGTTCGCAATAACCATAATGCACCTTTGCCATCGCCAAAATACTTTGGCCATCATCATCAGAAGGGTCTGCTCCTGCAAGAGGTAAGCCGATGGGAAAAAATCATTCTTAAGTCACTACCTTATAGCTATATTCTAATCTTGATAGCACTCACCAGGGTGACATTGTACCCAATTTGAGTGATTATGGTGCTATTGAGCATCAGGTACGCAAGTTCCCATACACGGAAGATATGCTGGGTATTTAAGTCATGATTGGGCTCACAATAGAGGCTGGCATACAGAAAAATGACCGCATGTAAATGAGAAGCTAGTTAAAAAACTGGAAGTGGCGTATTGAATAGATGTCCGTACTATCTTGCATGGTTGTTATTTACTTGTTTTACCATTGTGGGTGACACAAATCCCTATTATTCTACAGAATTCACTAATCATAACAAATTTAACATTACTGTTTGAAGATAAAAGAGCAGTCAGATGCTAAGTCTGTATATAGGGCTTTTTTTTATGGTGACTCACCATGTAACTTGAGGCTGTTAAAACTTGGGACCTCTGGACCACACGTTCCCGTACATACTATCACCTCAACTCCAACTTCCTCTCTCCCTTCACCAAAGCACACCTTCTATTCTGGCAGAGGCTTTCCTCCCGTAGAGTGCCGGTAGGGTTGCTTGACTTTAGATATTCAAGCCTCAGGCTTTCCTTGGGCCTCTATTCCTCTCTCTTTAAACGTGTCTTATCGGGGACATGTATCAAGAGGAATCCATGTTAGTAACAACTACAGTGGATCTATGCAGTACCAACAGTAATATAGGCTGCACATATTTTGTCTGATTTAAACAGCCAGTTGACTGTCATAATGTCTTTTACCATTCTGTGTTGCAATCCAGATTTTTCTATTATATTTCTTATATTCTGAACAAGATAAACCAAATAGAATTTATACGACAAAACCCTTAACCCAAATGTTGACCGAAGATCTCTTCATCAAGTCTTATATTACAGTGCATATCGAAATTTCTTGGCTTCCATATCCGTCATATCCTTGAATCCATCTAAGATGGCTGAGGAGTTAAGATCATCTGACAGTTCACTCATAGCGGCAGCCTTCTCTCTCTCGGAATTTGACCATCTCATAGCAGTATATGCAACAGCAGATAGCACAATAATACCAGCGTAACAGAGAAGAAGCCCCGTCAGCGCAGAAAAATAACGAGGTGCCTCACGAGAGAAGAAGATATTCGCTCCAGCGACATTCCCACCCGCATACAGCGTGAACCATATTCCATTAGCAAATGCTCTCTTAGTATGACCAGCAATATTTGTGGAAAGTATGTTCCAGCACACAATGACCGGTGCGCCAACGACGTATTGTAACCAGGAACATCCAACAAGAGTCCAGCGGTGATCAAGATCTGTGAAACGGATCCCCAGTAGACCACCAAATGGAATCAAGCATACGACGGCCAGTACTATGCATCGTGAGTTTGGCACGTAGGTTGCGACCAAACCGCAAATTGGGACGATAACCGCTTCAATTGCGCCCAGTGGCAGTTGGAGAATAGTAGCGTATATACCGCTGAAACCGAAACCTTCGATGAGCGCAGAAGCGAAGTTGGAGACACCGCCGTTGATGACACCACAAGCAATACCAATTCCTCCACAGCAGAGGACCTTAATGTCGTACAAGCACTCCGTTGCCTGCTTGAGCTTGATCTCTCTAGTCTTCACTCCGATCATGTTCTCAGCTACCCGGCGCACTGCTATGACGCGTTGACGATGCGTCAGGAATCGTGCTGAGCTAGGAGAGTCAGGCATAAGCCATAGGAATATGACTCCGCTAACGAAGTTCAGAAGTCCGATTGTCAGGAAAATTAGCTTCCAGCTGTGAAGAGATCCATCATGGGCATGGCCGAGGCCAAATCCTAGGAGAGCTCCTACCATAGTCGCCATGCCGTTGGCGCTTAGCCAGATAGCCATCCGAAGTGGTTGCTCAGAGCGTTTGTAGAACATGGACGTTATCACCATCACTAAAAGAAAATTTCAGCAGTCAGTAATTATGCTCAAGTTAGATCGATCACGAAAACTCACTGCATGGACTAACTCCTGCCTCCGCCATGCCGAGTATGAATCTGAGAACCAGGATTCCGGCATAATTCGTTGCACCAATATGCGCAATGACGATCACACTCCAAGTCAAAAGCATAACTCCCATGTACTTGGCCACGGGTACCTTCTGCAATATCAGGTTCGATGGAATCGCCCAGAACAGATATCCAAAGTTGAAGATGGCAGCTACCCAGGAATATCGCTGTCCTTCTAAACCAAGGTCTGTCTTAAAAGAATATGCCGATGCATAGTTGAGAGACAATTTGTCTGATATGATTCAATATTAGATCAATATCCAATTAGCCTGTCAATTGGCATCTCACCTAGGAATTGAATGACATAGGTGATATAGAGCTGAAACACCAGGTCACGGTTAGTACTAGATCGCAAGAAGCGAAGTATACCCACGAACAATCGGCATGAGTCTCCAGTCCAAGATCCGCAGAACCTGTGCACCCTCCTGCTCCACTTCTTCAGCAGATAATTGCTCGGCCTCCGCATAAAGACCGGCTCCGATGTCGCGAACCTGGCCCAGTGCAACGTCCTTCTCCACTGTAGTCGGATCCACTCCATGTTTCTCTACTATCGGGTTGATGTTAGGGTCCTTCAACTCCATGATGACTTCAAACTGATTTATAGTATAAAGAATATTTGGAATTACTGACTATTCTAGTCAGATAACTCTTGATTTATACTTGAGATAATGACGAGCGGGGTTTAATCGCCAAGCTGATAACCCTCTTCTCATAGATAGCAGATGCGGACAATCCCCGCTCTACTCCCCACTTATGACCTGCAGAAGTAGTGGGGATTAGATCGTTCAAATATAATCATCATTATTGGTCCTATTTCTTGCAATATTTTGGATAATATCAGCACTTCGGGTTGAATTAAGACTGAAACCAGAATGGAGGAGAGCTGAATGCCGTAGTACTAGCAGTCAACTGGTGTCTGCTACTATCGATAAGCGGACTGATTTAAACCTCACTACTATTACCGTTCAACAATTGGATAATTGTCAAAACTCGAAGTGGCAAGTACCATTCTAGATCTAAGATCTATAATACCGATAAGACTGGTAACTCTCTCTCCAACTTGAAGCACTTTTGTTCATTGGCACTCTGACCTCGGGTCCTAAATCCACCGTACCAGCGGACTCTTGTCCGCTCCCAGACATCTTCAGATGATGATCTATATAAACCAGTCCCCATATTTCAACTTGAAGGACTTGGCTGGCGATAAAACTTCAAGTGCAAGAGCACTTCACTATTTTTTGAACGACCATACTAGTAGACGCTGAGTCGCCTTTCCAACTGGTACAATCGATTCATGAGCTGATTTGCCACCCGGGATCTAAACACAACCCTGAATTCACTCAAACTCCACAATCAATATGGCTCAGTCAGACACCAAATCAGAGTTCAGCGTGCTTGATGCGAGTATTTCCGAGCTTCAGGATGCCCTCTCATCCGGAGTACTCACCAGTGTGGACCTCGTCGCCCGATATCTTCGACGTATCAGTATCTACGACGCCAATGGACCCAAACTCAGTGCCATACCTATTTTGAACCCAGCCGTATTCGAAGAGGCTGCTGCGTCAGATGCTCGACGAGTCTCAGGAAATCCTCCACGGCCATTGGAGGGTATTCCATACCTGGTGAAAGACAATATCAAAGTCAAGGGAATGGTGGTGGCGAATGGCTCACCCGCATTCGAGCACTTAATTGCAAATGAAGATGCTACTTGCGTGCGTATTCTGCGAGAGGCTGGTGCAGTTCTTCTAGGCAGGACTAATATGCCTGCCATGGCATATGGTGGCATGCAGCGTGGAGTTTGGGGTCGTGCTGAAAGTCCTTACAACAGTGACTTTTTAGCAGCTGCCTATGCTTCTGGCTCATCGAATGGGTCGGCTGTTGCTACGAGCTCGAATTTCTGTGCCTTTTCTCTTGGGACGGAAACTGTCTCGTCGGGTCGTTCACCTGCATCAAATAATGCTGTTGTCGCTTATACACCATCCAAGGGTCTTCTTCCACTTCGTGGAGTCTTCCCTCTTTACCCAACTTGCGATGTCTTAGTACCCCACACTAGGACAGTCGCTGATCTTTTTCAAGTGCTTGACGTATTAGCAACATCCGATGAAGATCCACTTGGGGACTTTTACCGCGAACAATCTATCACACCCTTACCCTCGATAGACGCTATCCGACCGGAGACTTTCTCCATCCTCCAGGATAAATCATCCTTACAGGGAAAGCGCATTGGTATCCCGTCAATGTATATTAGGGGTGATGACTCCAGCATTTTACCTGTCAGTCGAGTCCACCCTCGAGAATCAATCATAAAGCTCTGGCAAGCAGCGCGTCAAGCCCTTGAAGCATGTGGCGCCGAAGTTATCGAGACAGACTTCCCACTTGTGACAACATACGAAAAGAACGCAGGATCAGGCCAACTTGTCACAGTCGCGAATCTCCCAGAAGGTTGGGCTGCCAAAGAAAGATGCGAGGTTGTAGCGCACGCATGGGACGATTTCTTAGTCTCGAACGGCCAGACAGGTCTCGAATCACTCACACGCGTGCAACCTGATACTATTTTCCCTCTCGCGCCAGAATCGCTACTTGGAACACCCGAAGCAACTAATAAACCTCGCTGGAACGAGATCGTTGAGTATCCGAACAAGAAGCCATCCTCCATTTTCGAGATCCCAGGAATGAAACAGGCGGTTCTAGCTCTGGAAGAGGCACGCAAAGAGACTTTTGAGAAGTGGATGGATAAACTTGGTCTTGATGCTGTTGTCTTTCCTGCTATCGCAGATGTTGGTGCTGCGAATGCAGATGTTGATGAACAGGCTTCGCGGTATGCTTGGAGTAATGGAGTCAGATACTCGAATGGAAATCGACCTATTCGCCATCTTGGCGTGCCGACTATTTCTGTTCCGATGGGTATCATGGAGGACATCAAGATGCCTGTCAGTTTGACTTTTGCTGGGAAAGCATATGAGGATATCAGCCTGTTGCGATATGGGTTTGCGTTTGAGATGGCTACAAAAAGTCGGATTCAACCACACCTTGTACCTGCTCTAGATTCAGATCATATTGCACTGGGAAATGGTTCTCCGACTGGGAACACCAAGTTGGAACTTGCACTTGCGGTGAATGTGCAGAAAAAAGAGATCCTTGACTCAAAGGTCCTTGTCCATATTGAAGGGTTTATACCTTCAAAATGTGCCACACTTTCCGCCTATGTCAATGGTCAGCCATGCAAAGCTATCATTAATGGCGAGAAGTGGTCCATTCAAACGTCATATCCCGTCTCTGAACGGGATGAAAAGTGGACACAATGGGCAAGCCCAGCACTCAAGCAGACTATTGTTCTCATTATAGCTAACACAAGCGGTGGACTTACAGCTGGGAAGTTAATTCTTCTGTGAGTTGTAATAAGCTCGCATTTTTTCTTATTATCGAATGATGTACATTATCTGATATTCAATTTGAAACAATATTCACAGTATTCCGGTCGTAAAATCATCTGGTATCGGTTCGTATCGCGTGAGTGCCCCATACATCATATCCTCTATCATTCCCAAGATGGCTCGGTGGAGATGTCTTTCTTTCAGTTGGGCTAAATAGGCCTCAGCCTCCTCTAGTGTCAAAATCTGAGCACCAGGAATAGTTCCACTCGAATCCCAAAGAGTCCTTTGCTGCAGGAACTCAAACACCTTCAAATATGGAAGAGCATCAGACCAGCGATCTGTGAAACAGGCCAGGGTCTTTGTACAGGCTTCCATTGCCTCGGGGGAGTGATAAGTGCTATTTTCTTGCTGGAGTTCTGCGTTATCTGTAATAGGCCTTGTTGCCCAGATCAGGTAAAGGAGCATGATTCCTGCTCGGAATTGATAAACGAGCTAAGAGATCGTTAGCAAACACAGTGTTTATTGAGACTCGGGATGTAACTTACTGCAGACCAGGTAAAGCACAACACATGTCCTTCTTCTTGTAAGCGACGGTATTTGAGACATACTTCCACCACTGCAGCGAAGATATCTTCTGTTCCTTCATGGTCGAGGAAGTTGTGCTTGTCTTCCATTAAAATCAAGATGCTGTAGTCGTACAATTTCGTCATCCAGTTGGGGTGGTAGTAGCCGCATGACACATTCGATGTTCCATATTGCGGGATCTCCTGTCTCCATACATCGAGAGCCGACTTCAGGGAAGAGTTAAGGGCATCTTTTCCTTCTGATATTTGCCAACGGGATCGTTCCAGCGATCTCCTGATATTGGCTTGAATCTTTCGCAGTCGAAATAGATGGCCGAGTGCAGGGTTCGTATTCACAGGTGGCTGAATAATGTCTCCGAGAGTGCGCATCTGTAAGTGTTAGTCTAGGGCTGTAGGAAGAGACTGGAACGACTTACATCATCTTCCACTGCTTGATACGCATCGGACACTGGTCTATCCCACCCAGACGCAATTATAACATTCAACATGTAACATGCAATAAACATGTTTTCCGTCAAGACTTCACCCGATGCGGCAGTGACCTCTCCATCTCGACTTGTCCGTGCATATTTTCTTATCTCGGTCATTGCAGCAGTACAAAAAGGCACAATTGAGGACACACTGGTGGCAATCTCTTCTGAAGATGGAGAATGTAATGCGTAGACTATCAGAAGGAGAGATGCTTGAACCTGCAAGACCATCGACTGATGTCCTACCACATGTGGATAGTAGCTCATTGCCGACTCGTAAAGCTCTCTTGAGCGAATATAATGAGAAGAATCTCCATGCATTATGCTGCAAAGTGATGCACCAATCGCATACACCATGCGTAGGAAGAAAACCCGCCATTCTTCTCGTCCGCCTGAACTATTCTCACTTTGCCACAGTCTCCACGTCGATTCATTCAGAAATGGCCACTCGCGATGTGATATTGTGAAATAGATATTCGTATAGAGCTCGGTCAGCCACGGGGAGTCATCGCCTATCATTGGGTAGACAGGGCTTTTGTCAAAGCGTAGAAAGTTCAGAGTTTCCGAATTCAATGAGAAGGTATCTGTAAATGACATCTGTGAAATAGGTCTAGAAGGACGTTCATGAAGAGCTAGAACGCCATATTCCGGGGCCCAATCTTGTTTCCAAAACGGTGATTTATCTCGACTATCCCACAGCACGGACAAATTGTTTGAAGACGAATCGACTTCTTCAATTGGATCTGTCTGAACACCAACATCTCGTAGCTCAACATTCGTACCAGTTTCTCGAGAATGGCCCTCTAACTCAGCCACTCTCCGTTCCAACTCTTTCAAATAGGCTAAGGGAATTGTTATACTATCCCCGGTCCTACGAGACCGAGCTGGCAAACATTCAGCACCTTTACGACGACATTCGCCACAGGTAGGTTTAGCATGGTCGCATTTCCGCTTCAAGCGGAAACAGCGGGCGCAGGCGATTTCTCTTTGCTTCAAGGGACGCGACATGCGGGAGTTGGAGAAGGAGAGTGCGGGGGTGGGCGGAGAGGAGAGTCTGGTTGATATTGATAAGAGCGGGTTCCACCCGAGGCTAATACATACAAGTAAATTTGGAAACGATAGGCCCCCAATATCGAATCATATCAATGCGAAGACAATTCCCTTATCTCTTTTTTTGTTTCTTTCTCCACTCAAAACTAGATATCTCGGATCCAGTTACCCGTAGTTGAGTCGAATCCGATCAACTTGTGTTCAATATTGAGTGTTCGGAGCATGTATTCCATCGTGAATTCCTATTACTAATGTCAGCTCAAAACCTTGGAAAGATTGGATTTGAGAATTGTAAGATGACAAACTGACCTGGTCTGCTTCTTCTTCTTTCTTCTGGGCCTGGACAAGATCCTCTGGTACGTCGATGTCTAGGTCTGCTTCATCATTACGTGGTTGTGGCTCTTCGAAGTCCCATTGCACCGCATCACGTTTACTGCGTTCGTTCCAGGCTGACATTCCACCCATGCGACTCACGCGTTCTTGTGCATTGGAAAAGGCCTCATCGGCTGCTTCTTGACTGACAAGTCGCCATTTGACAATCAGGCCTTCCAATTCACCCTCTTTCCCGGCAGATTCAATCCGCAGTGCTTGTCGGACATTGTCTAGATCTGTACGCAGTGTTGCGATGCGTGACTGGAGCAGACGTTGCTGTTTGCGTAGATCCAAAAGCTCAGGGTCGGCCATGAGAGACTTTCTTGGTGGCTTCAAGACGGGAGTTCGGGGAACCCGAGGACTTGCGTTAACTGAGGGTAAATTTGATAAAGTTATTGATTTGTCTTGATTCTGATCAGTCTTGTCTCCTTGAGACACAGACGGGGTGTCATTTTGTGATGGGTGTGTTGACTTTGGCTTAGATAGTGTGGAATCAGATGAGGCTTCTGGGGCAGGCCTGCGTAGTGGCGACTTAAATGGCCTTGAAAGAGCCGTAGCCGCGTCAAGGCGACGACGCTTATTTGGATTTCCGTTGGTTGACATTTTTTATGAGATGGTGACGTAGGAAGATTACAGAGATGGAAGAGTTCGAAGAGTTCATCTGGGAAGATGGAAATAGCTGCCTTATCGATAAGGTTTACAATAAACGAAATTGCATATTAAATACAACATTGGAAGATTCATTAATGGCCCACGCCACCAGCTACCCATTGTGCAAATTCAGGATCTCCAGGCTGAGGGAAAAATCCTCGGTCATTACCAGCGTTCGCATTTACGTTGGCGTTGGCGTTAGCATTGGCATTACCATTAGCTTGATTCGCAGCATTCTGGTTCTGTCGATTCCGCTGCTGCTGTTGCTGTCGAATGTAAACCAGTACGAGGAGAGTGGCTGCTAATCCAACGATGAGCAGGCCTTCTAGCATGCCTTCGTCGATGTCAAACTCTAAGTCATCATAATACCCGTCTGGATGATCGGATTCCAAGCCACGGTATCCATCATCCTCAGCACCGCCATGGAAAGCATCTGGATAAAGGTCTGCGTAATAATCGACCTGAGCATTTTCAAAGAAGGCGGCGAACCACTCTCCAAGTGTACGGCGGAGCTTGACATCTAATGCTGGTGTTAGAACTTGAACACACAATATCCTATATAATATAATTCAAATCTTACCTTCATCATCCCGAATAGGGTTAATGTTCCCATTGGTGATTCGATTCCAGTAGCCCCGGGCTCGCAGCTTCAGCAGACTGAGCTTCACAGGCAGGTATGCTTCTTTGTTGGTCTCTAGGGCTAGATCGTAGTATCGCTTGGCCATATGAAAGTCTTGGTCCACAGCAACACCATTCTCATGCATCCATCCCAAATTCCAGAATGCCTGTGCACTGCGATGCGCCTCCGCGGCGTTGTGATAGCAAGTAGATGCCTTGTCTGCATCCAACACAGCGCCCGTGCCAGCGAGGTAGTAGTCACCCATCTTGATCAAGGAGTCAATGTTAGCCTGCTTAGCAGAGCGAGTCCAGTAAATCAACGCGAGTGCGGTATTGCGCAGTAAAGAGGTAGGGGCTCTCCTAGCCCATGGCAGGAGATTATGAAGTGAGAACAAAGAGCGATGCTCATCTAGCAAATAGGCAACATTTGCCTGAGAATGCTCATATCCTTGTTCCGCAGCCATCATCGCTGGGACAAGGGCAGCTTCCTTGTCCCCTGCTTCGTAGGCCGCATTGGACTCTGCGATGGCTGAGTGCATCTCATCTGCCTTCTCAGCAACCATCTTGTAGTAAGCTGCAGCTACACCGCAGTGTCGCTGTCTGCCCACCCCAAGATTGGCCATCTCTGCAAGATAATAGTACGCCTCCATCCAGCCGTGACGGGCTGCAAGATCAAAGTAGCGTGTAGCCGTAGCCACATCACCCTGGTCCAAAAACAGAACACCCAATCTTGTCTCGGCGGCTGGCAAATCCTGTTCAGCAGCACCTTTGAAATAAGATGACGCTCTGTACGCATCCTCAGCAACGTGAAGACCGTGAAGGTACATCAAGCCCATATGGTATTGACAGAGGGGGTCTGCGTTGACTATGCCCCGCTTGAACCAACCATAAGCATGAGCAAAATCTTGCTTGACTCCTTCTCCACGTAAATACATCATACCAATATGCCCTGCCGCTTTAGCAGCTGTCTTGTCAAGCCCCGCAGGTGTGCCCGGGATGATAGAGCCATCTTTCTTCCAATACTTCACGGCAATAGCCTTGAAATATTTCATGGCTTTGGGGAAGTTACGCGGCAATCCATGAGCTCCATCATAGTTCAGCTTGCCCAGTTGCAAGGTGGCCGATAGCTGACCCTTGCGAGACAAGAGATCCAAGTACTCCAAGACATCCTCCACACTGGACTCAGTGTTAGCTAGGTTAGGGTCCTTGGCATTGAGTCCGGAGCTTGAAACGCTAGCCCCTTCTCCATAGACACCACCCTCCTCGTCTGCCCAGCGATAGGATTCCCTAATCATGGCGTGACCACCAGGGGGGACCAGATCGATAGTAGTCCATCGCTTTATCAGCCACTCTCTTATAATAAACAACAGCATGCTCGCAGTCCTTGGGTGTTGCGATTCCAGTATGGTATCGATATGCCAATGTCATCTCCGATCGTGTATTTCCTCCCTCGGCGGCGAATTCATGATACATCAATGCTTTCGCTTGGTCACGCTCGACTGCGCCACCAATTCCTGTCGCATACATGAATCCGACCATGGACTGGGCTGTACTATTGCCATCCAGCCAGGCCAGATCACTGTACCACAAAAAGGCCTCGCTGAAGTTGCGGGGGTGGGTGAAGTTGCCATGGAAGTTCATCTCCGCAAGAAGAAAGATCGCATCTGGATCTTGATCGTCATCTGCAGCTGCTATTAATTCGTCCACTGCTCTTGCGACGATAGGACTGAGCTTTCGATCGGCTTTATCCTTGGCGGGCCCATTCATAAACAGTATCCGGAAGGCTTCACGGCCATAATGTAAGGAATATCCGAGTAAACCTTTAGGCTTGTCGATATGAGAGACGGAGGGTTCGACGGCTCGTAAGGTAGTCCAGACATTATGAACTCGATCTTTATTGGGAAAGCAAAGCTATATTAGCAGGCTGGATAGATGATCAACCCCCTCACGCGACGGGGTCCGGAAGCCATTTCTCACCGCTGATAGGCCGAGGTTCTGTCTCTCCTGGAGCAAATAGATAGGGTTGATATTCTGCATCGCCAGCGACAGCAGGGGATTCACTGTCGCCTAGAGGCGCTTGGGTCGATCCTGCTGCATATGAGTTTAAAAGCACTGTAATGGGTCAGCATATGAAACAGACACGTTCTAGGGTGGGGAGAAGCCGCATACGCAGGGCCGGCAATAAGCTAGAAAGCGAGGTCCTCATGATTGCAAAGGAATCTGAGTATCGATCAAAAGAAAGAGTCGCATTTCGACCCTTTGCGACCTCTTTTAAAGTAAGAATCACAAAGATGAGGGCGGTGATGATGTAGTTCCAACGGGACACTTGGCTTGACGGAGCTTGGTTTTACCGAACGGCGAATCAGCGTTGACTCCAGGGCTCGCCGCAGCTTGAATACCGCCATGATGTACTCCATACTCCATACAACAGATACTCTTGAATAGATATAGAGCCAGATAGTATACATTATGATATCAAGATAAATAGATGTTAAAATAAATGTTAAGTCTACTCAGATTGGATTAAAACAACTGTCATTAAATTCTTTTTATTCAACTCCCTAAAGTCTGTGTACAGAATAGGAGAAACAGAAACCAGATACAAAGCCCCATTGCGCTCGTCATGCAAATAAAAGGGAAAAAAAAAGGAAAACTTCTAGACGGTCAGGAAAGCCTCGAAATGGAAGCTCAGAATGATACACCGTCGGTATGATCAGTTGGAAATGAATCCAATTAACCACACCAGAGGAGACCACTCTCATCCATACCCGTTAGTAGGAAACAGAAAGGAGCGCAGAGTCGTTCACAATTTCATTGATAAAAACTGATTGACTGCTGAATTTAGGGCATCTTGGGGTGCAAAGTTAAAAAATGATGAAAAGCCCCAAAAGTGGGTTTGAACGTTGCTAAAAACAGATACAATGGAATATGTGGAAAGCCCACAGATCGTGAAAAAAGAGATGACCATCCAGTTCCGAGATGTCATGTGCGAGATTCTTCTTTTTGTGGTTTAGTTGAACCGGTTGATGATAATACAATGGTGCAGCATAAGCTGCGATTAAGCATGCCATGTCTGTCCAACTATCACTGACGCGGAGACCTGATATAGGTGTTAGTTGCTGGGCATCCTATAGACAAGAGGTTTGAAATTGATCAACTTACGTCGGGCTGTAAGCCGGGGAAGTTGGGCTGTAGCCAGGAGACGTTGGCGACGTGGGGGAACCACCAGCAAAGTTAGGAGACGTTGGCGAGTATGACTGGGGGCTCGTGGGAGACCAGCCAGGAGAGGTTGGGGTGTACTTAGGTGAGGTCGGAGAAGTCGGAGACAAGTGACGACCGCCACCCAGAGCAGGGCTAGTAGGACTGTAACTAGGTGAAGTCGGGCTAAAGGCAGGCGAGGCTGGACTGAAGCTGGGCGACGTAGGACTGTAGTTCGGAGAAGTCGGCGAGAAACCCAGGTGAGGTAGGCGAATAGGACGGAGACGTAGGGGAAGCTTGTCCATAAGCCGGGGACGTTGGCGAGTAAGCCGGGGACGTCGGAGCAAAGTTGGGACTAGTGGGCGAGAAGCCAGGAGAAGTCATGCGAGGGCTGGTCATACCCATACCAGGCGACGTGGGAGAATAGCTCATGGATGGAGAGTATCCAGGAGATGTCGGGCTGGTATTGAACGGGCTAGTAGGAGAGTAGCTGCCACCTGGGCTACGAGCTCCTCCAGGGCTAAGTCCACCAAAGCCATAGTCGGAAGGCTGGTATCGAGTGATTCCACCGGGACTCTCTGCGCCAGGCTGGCGGATGGGCGAGAAGCTAGCATCTGGGTCGCCATCGGCTAGGTATGGAGAGCTGGCCATAGGGGATCCGGTGTCGTACTGAGTCGCGGCGCCATCCGGAATGATAGCATCCTTGGCGCCAACACCACCCATAAGTCCAAAGCGTGCATTGTTGGAAACAACGGTATTGAGCAGATTCTGATCGAGGTAGACATCGAACTCACCCGTTCCAGCGGGAGCCATTTGTCCAAGAATCAAGTTCTCTGACACACCACGGCAGTCATCAAGCTCTCCAAAGGCAGCAGCCTCCAGAAGAATCTCCACAGTCTCTTCGAAGGAACAACGCATCAGGGCACCGTTGTCGGCACGGTTGATACCGTGACGAGTGACAGGAGTCAGGTAACCACGAACGGTCATCACATCGACCAGAAGAGCCAAGTGACGGTGGTTAACGTATGAACCATCGAAGGCCAGCACCTGAGTCAACTCACGAAGCACAGCAGTACGTGCAGCCTCGATACCAAAGACCTCGAAAATTTCGATAAACTGGTTAGAGTATGTCCGGGTAGCATCAACGCCAGGAATGGCGAGAACAGGAGCAAGAGCGGAACCGCTAGTCTCCAAAACCCACTCCTTGCAGAGAGGATCAGACTTGCTGGTGAACAGAGTACCATCCTCAAGCACGCGAACTCGGCTCTTTTCGTTGATGAAAGCACGTTCCACACCGGGAACTCCACGGAGGGTCAAGGTGTCGAGAAGATGCTGTTCGAGCTTCTTCAAGGTGACATCGTACTCGATATCCTCGTCGTCCTCATCCTTGCTATCATTGATCTGACGAATACGGATAACTTGCTCGTCGGCGTTGTTATCACTGAAAATGACAGCAATATCGATAGGGTAGGCCTGCTTAATCTTGGTCGCAACTTCTTGCACAGTAAGACCCTTGTCAAGAAGCTTGGAACGGCTGAGCACGATACGAAGCAGCCACTTGGACTGGAGATCAGGATTCTCGCTATCCTCGGGAATAATGAAGTATGACTCCACCATATCTCGATCGTTTTCGATGACAGTAGTTTGAATCTCCGGATCGTAGTAAATCTCAGTTGCCTCGGTGACAGATCGCAAGCTAGTGTGTTCGACAACGCTTCGCAACTGCTTGGCACCCTCCTTGTTGAAGGTCTCTTGACCTTGCTGGTAGACAGTCATGGAAGGTGTCTTGATGTTGGTAGCAGTGTTCAAAATTTCCTTAAGACGAGGCACACCCAGAGTGACGTTCTTGGACGACACACCAGCAAAGTGGAAAGTGTTCAGGGTCATCTGAGTGGCAGGCTCACCGATAGACTGAGCAGCAAGAACACCAACCATCTCACCGGGGTTAGCCGCAGCACGAGCGAAACGACTCTCAATAGCACCAATGACATGCTGGAAGGCAAGTTTGTTAAGCGAATAGTCCGTAACGAGTCGACGGAAGGCGAGACGGCTACGCAGCTGAGCCTTGAAAAGCAGGGTGGCGTTATCTTGTGCCTCACGTGAGATGGGGTCATCACCACGGACGATAACCAAGCGGTCCAGGAGAGACTGCACTTGGGGAATAACTTCGGCCGGGTGCAAATCGCTGATGGTGCCTTCGCGAATGCGGAATGTAGTTCGTGCCATCTCCAGAATTCTCTGAATGTTGATGGGCAGTTGCATCATTTCGTCGTCTTCCTTAACCACGGTACGCAGGAAAGCACGGTCCTTGAGGATAGCCTCCCACTCCTCGTCGAGGTACTTCTGAACCTCCATGTCACCAGCAATCTCGTTGGCTTGCTCCAGAACATCGGGGCCAAGAGTGCGCTCAGGGTCCATGAGATCAATACGGAAGCGTTCGCGGAGCTTCTCATCGGAGCAGCGAATGATGTCAACACGCTGGTTCTCGATGTGTGCACCATCAAGACCATCCTCTCCGTAGATGAACTGAATGATATCGCCAAGAGAGTTACGAACAGTGCCGTCATACTTAACCATGACCTCTTCCAGAGCCTTAACCAGCTTACGCTGAATGTAACCAGTTTCGGCGGTCTTGACTGCGGTATCAATCAAACCCTCACGACCAGCCATGGCGTGAAAGAAGAACTCAGTGGGAGTCAGACCACGAAGATAAGAGTTCTCGACGAATCCGCGGGACTCGGGGGAGTAGTCATCCTTCGTGAAATGCGGCAAAGTACGATATTTGAAACCGAATGGAATACGCTTTCCTTCCACCGACTGTTGTCCGACGACGGCCGTCATCTGGGAAATATTGATGGTAGATCCCTTAGAACCAGACCGAGCCATCTGAATGGCGTTGTTCAAATCCTTCAAACTCTTCTCAGTAGCAGAACCGGCCTCATCACGAGCGTTGTTAAGAGCACGAGAGACCTTGCTTTCGAAGGTTTCACGGACGTTCATACCAGGCAGAGCCTCCAGGGTGTTCTCAGTGGCACTAGCTGTAATCTGCTCGACCTCTTGCTTGCGCTCTCGTACGGCCTCCTCAATCTTTTCAATGGTACGGCGATCGGGAATCGTATCACCGATACCGATACTGAAACCATGGTGTAGAAGCCAGTAGTTGACAATTCTTTGAGCTCCGTTGAAGAAATGGACAGCTTGGTCACAGCCATATTCGTTGAAAATAGTATGGATCACACCACCACCACTTGCACCGACGGTCTTCTTCGAGAGCATGCCGTACATGAGTTGTCCACCATGGATCAACAGGCCGCCGTCATTGAGAGGGCTAAACTTCTCAGAGAGAGGCGAACTATCCTTGTCGATACGCAATAGGTTCAACCCAGACGGGAAAGCCATACTGATCATCTGCTTTCCGGTCCAACGAGGACGAGGCTTGAGAATCGCGGGAGGGGGGATTACACCATCCCATTCAGGAACCCAGAGCATAATGTTCATGACTTGGTCCTTGGAAAGAAAAACATCACGACGAGTTAACTTGTAGATACCGCACAGACTGTCCTGGACAATACCCATCAGAGGACCATTGCGCTGAGGGGACACAATGTTCTTCGGGACGAGGGCCAACTCCGAGAGTTCAGCACGAGACTCCTCACTCTGGGGGACGTGCAAGTTCATTTCATCACCATCGAAATCGGCGTTGTAAGGAGATGTGACCGACAGATTCATTCGGAAAGTCGAGAATGGCATAACGCGGACGCGATGACCCATCATAGATTCCTTGTGAAGCGAAGGCTGACGATTGAATAGAATAACATCGCCGTTGTCAAGGTGACGCTCAACCTTCCAGCCATAAAGCAGCTGCTGAGCACCAGCACGTTTAGCATGACGAAGATCAATGCGCTCACCGTTGTCTCGAACGATGTATCGTGCACCGGGATGAATGTTGGGTCCATTAGAGACCAACCTCTGCAGCTTCTCAATGTTGTAGGGGGTGACCACCTCAGGGTAGGTCAAAATCTTAGCGGTCGAATATGGCACACCAACTTCTTCCAGGGATAAATTGGGATCACCAGTAATGACAGTACGAGCCGAGAAATCGACACGCTTACCCATCAAGTTTTGACGCAGACGACCTTCCTTACCCTTCAAACGGCTACGCAAAGCCTTGACAGGTCGGTTTCCCTTTTGCATGGCCTTGGGCTGACCAGCAATGTCGTTGTCCATGTAGGTGGCGATATGGTACTGCAGAAGGGACTCAAACTCACGGATAACGTGTTCTGGGGCACCCTCTTGTTCACAGCGTTGAACGTTCTGGTTCGCACGCACAATTTCAGCCAACTTGTAGGTCAAATCATCCTCACCCCGTGAACCACTTGTGGCTCCCATCATAACACTGGGGCGGACGGTTGGAGGTGGAACGGGAAGAACAGTAAGAACCATCCATTCCGGGCGGGCGTAGTCATTGCTGAGGCCCATGATTCGCACATCCTGGACAGAAATGTTTCGGAAGATATTCAGAACCATCCCGGGAGTGATAACCTTCTTCTCTATTTGCGCGCCCTCCTCAATCTGAGCTTTGCTAGGCTTCCATGTACCGACAAGGGTGATTCCTTCTTTGCGAACAACGGGTTGGGCATTGCCGCATCCTCCGTGGAGGTGCTTCTTCCTGTCTTCTTTTTGGAAGTCCTCATCATCTGGAGTGGGGTCGGCCTCACAGACCAATACGTCCTTCGAAGCTTTCCAGATGCCTTCGAAGCGCTTTTTGGCGTCTCGCATCCGAATAGCGTTCAAGAATTTGGGATCAGCCTGGTCTCGATGTCAGCAACAAAATACGCTGAAAGATTTGCCATCCCTGGAAGGGATGACTAACCTGGTTAGCTTTAATTTTTCCACAGTTGTGGCAGACGGTCTCGAGGAGCTTCTTAATCTTCGTCAAAAAACCTAGAGAGAAAAGTGTCAGCGTAAAGAACGAGATGTTCAAGTCGCAAATTTTCATCACAAACCGATATGGAAAACTGGAGATGCAAGCTCAATATGGCCAAAATGTCCAGGACATTCTTTGGGGCCCTCTTCGCAGGTCTCGCAGTTGTATTGACGATCAATAGTACCCAAACGAGGATCATTTACACCTTTGGTCCGGGGGCGCTGGCGTTGTTCGTCCTGATGTTGTTCGTGATTAGATAAATTTATGGTGGCCAGTTTGGGATGCGTGGATCTAGGCCATACCATGGTCTCTGGGTATTCGACGTGAACGACACTCATGCGCTTAATCTCCTCTGGCGAGAAGAGGCCAAATTGAATCTCCTTGACGGTGCGCAAGGGCGCCTTGGAGAAGGGGAAAAAGACATTAGACATGGCTGCGGTTGTGAGATAGAAACGTCGAGATCGGGATTCGTAATCGGTCGGAGTGGACGGGAGCTGGGGGGAAAACGAAGGATCCTGGGGTGATTAACACGGAAAAAACCCGCAAAGACCGACTAGATGAAAGTGTAAAGCGTAAAAGCCGATTCCACACGCGGCGACGATGAAACGAAGGTGGTGTGGAAAGAAAAGCTGGCCGGCTGAGGCCTTTGGCAGCCCTTGCCACGAGGGCGCCGGCGACCTAGAGTCCCCGGACGTAACGAAGCCGTAAAAAGGAGAGGAAGGGACGGAATCCGCTGGTGGTCGCGTATCGGGGAGGCTCCTGAAGAGATATCGCGATGCAAAACGCGATATTCTTGGATGGGGAGGCGATGAGGGTGTGTCGGCGTTGAGGTTGAAAGGGAGGTGGTAAAGGTTGCCTCACCCGCTGATGGGGCTCGAGTTTTCCCTGGACTCACTAGCGCGCCCGGCGCTGGTTGACGGACTCCCCAAATGGCAGGCGGTGTCAGATGATGAATCCACGAGAAGCCGGCAGAAACAGGGAGATTTGGTGCCTGAGGAATCAGGATCCTTATCTCTACTCTTTTCAACAGAGAAGAATTGATTGCGACAGACAAGCAACAGGCGCAACTGGTCGATATTTGTTGGACTTGGTTGAAGCTTGGGATCAATTGATGTCAATTACCAGCAGTGGAATCTGGAGATCTTGCAACTTCAAGTTGAAGAGTCAAGTCAAGAGCCAAGTTCAAATTTCTGGAAATAGCTCTCGGGCTGTCTGATATATCTATGAAGGTCTTCAGTGAATGACCCAATTGAAGCATTGAATACTAATTCAAGTTCTACTACCTATTTGGGTTTGACTAATCTCATATTCAAGTTATGGAAAGCATATGTGATAGTATTCATTCACTCCGAGTCTGAAGACTCCACTACTTAGCACTGGTATTATGCTGTTAAGAGTGAATCTACTATGTCGGTGGCAGCAGGTCTGATGCCAGTGATACTACAAAATCAAATACCACTGGCACTTGCTTTGTACTAGACTTGAATTGCAAATTTTTGACCAGACTGGAATTAAAGTAATTATGCATAAAGTATGATCTCAGGCTAATTAGGTACACTGTGAGGGCAGTAAACATTTGAGTGAGTGCAGATTGGTCCTACATGGATAGCGTGGAGATCTTGTTTGTCTTGTTTGGATATGGGGAATCCCTTCTCACCGCCTTTGCTACTCACCCTCACCGCCATCCATAATGCCGCCGCCCATGAGCGCCAGATTAAAAGAGAAGGAAAAGGTTTGAGGACAATCTTCCCTGCACCGTTACAACCTTCAGGCTTTGAGGTTTTTTTTTATTGGGACTCTGTGGATTCTGAATGACCCTCTCATTAAAACCCTGGCCATTGCTCCAGGCTGGCACTTCTTGAGACTGCATCATATCACGCGCCCCCGCAATGAATCTCTCGCTAATTGACCCGTTTATTTTGGCTCAGGATTATCCTGATACACTGACTGAGAAGCTCAGTAAGCGCGCCCTACAATTACGGAGTCATAAACCAGTGCTAACTGTTTCTAGGGAGTGGCCATGCAACATGTTTGAAGTTTAGTCACACCGGTGACTACCTCGCATCCGGACGAGTTCGTATACCCTCCAAGGACTTGAAAACGCCAATGACAAGCTCAATACAATGGAGATGGAATGGCGCTGATTATATGTGCTTTACAGGTGGATGGAACTGTCGTTATATTTGATATCGAGACAAATGGCGTCGCGCGCAAGCTGAAGGGTCATACTCGTCAGATCCAGTCTCTCAGGTATGCAATATAGCGAAACCCCACTTCACTCAAGCAGGGAATACTAATGGCTGTCGCAGTTGGTCTCGATGTGATCGCTACCTCCTCACCTCCTCACAGGACTGGAAATGTACCCTATGGGATCTTCAAGACGGTTCTCGCATACGGATAGTTAGATTTGAGGCGCCAGTATACATCGCTGAGCTGCACCCATTCAACCAGTACAGTCTTCTCACCACTCCCAGCTAGAAGCCCCTATTGCTCTAATCACTAACCTCTCAACTCCAATTTAGTCTTCTATTCGTTGCCTCCCTCTTTGAAGACCAGCCCGTCCTGGTCGATGTCTCCGGAGAAACACCCATTAAACGAATCCTTCCTTCCGCTCCACATCGAGCTCTGCCTTCAAACGGCGAAGAAGTAGACCCAGCAGTTGCAGCGAAGCAAGCCGCCCAAGATGCGAAGCAGTCAACCTGCGTCACCATATTCACAGCCTTCGGAAACCACATTATTGCCGGGACCTCCAAAGGATGGATCAACATCATCGAAACCGAAACCTGCACAACCATTCACTCCATGCGTCTCTGCAACGGAGTGGTTATCCTCCTTCGCCTCGCTAGTAACGGACGAGACCTTCTAGTAAACAGCTCAGATCGCGTTATCCGCACCGTCATAATGCCCGACCTCTCTCAATTAGGCATTGACCTCGAACCCGCCGCAATAAAACTTAACGTGGAACACAAGTTCCAGGATGTTGTTAACCGCTTAAGTTGGAACCACGTTACATTCTCCTCGACTGGTGAATTCGTCACTGCAACCACATACATGAATCCCGATATCTACGTCTGGGAACGAAGCCATGGATCCCTCGTTAAGATCCTCGAAGGTCCACGCGAGGAACTCGGTGTCGTCGAGTGGCACCCGGGTCGACCAATGGTGGTAGCCTGTGGACTCGAATCCGGATGCGTGTACATTTGGTCGATCATAAGTCCACAGAAATGGTCAGCACTTGCGCCGGATTTCAGTGAAGTCGAAGAGAACGTGGAATACATGGAGCGGGAGGACGAGTTTGACGTACACCCCGCTGAACAGGTGCATCAGCGCCGACTGGATCTTGAAGATGAGGTGCCGGATGCGATCACAATGGATAATGTTAAGGATGGGGACGTTGTGCCGTTTAGTATGCCTGTTCTCCTGGATATCTCGGATAGTGAGAGCGAGGAGGAAATTATCGCTGTTGGACCTGGTACTATGCGGCGACGAACCCCGGGTGCAGGCCGTGAAGGCACCGAGGCAGAGGAGTCTCGCGCGAGTGGTGCTTCCCGTGGCTCTGGACGAAACCGCCGGCGTTAAGAGACAAAAGTTTATCAGTTCGTTGGTTGCATGCATACAAGGAGGCGTTCAGGGAGGTATTCTTTGTTGGCGTTTGAGGCATCCAAGTTTTTGATACCATCTCAATGAATTGAGTTGATGTATTCATATTTTCAAGTTCTTAAGTACGAAAGAGATTCGAATTATTCGGATTCTACATGACCTACTCCTAACTCAGTATACACAAGATGGCTGATCAACAACGTTTTCGGTGACTGAGATGAATGCATCTTTATATTCAAGTTACTGCCAGTGGTAGTAAACTTTGAAGCACGTAGACACGAGTTTGAGATAGCTGAACTCATTCAGAGGAATGTCCTTATATAACCGATGCTATTTAAAAGTTACATGAAGGTGTCAAACAAGACCAAAAGATTCACAAAGACAAATAGTCTGGCTAGCAAAGATAACCACAGAAGCTAAGGTGAAACACCCTGGGTATATACCACAAGCCGGAACGGAACAAACTCGGCCCAACGCCAAAACCATGCTGAAGTAGCATAATAAAAAAACAAGTCCAATAGAAAAGCAAGTCATGAGGTAATATCTCCGTTTTTTTTGTGGAAATTCTGACTCCGATGATTCGACATCTCATCAGATGTAGATGGAATATGATCTCGGGCCGGTCGATCCTGTCTCTAATTCAATCCTTGAAAGCTGCCTGTCAGGCTGGCGTGACCAGGATATCGAGTGAGATTTCGGTCATAAATGGGATGCAGGGTTGGCTTGGAGGAAGGGTTCTGTGGTCACTCATGTGGCGTTGCATCCCAGATGCTAGGTGATTTTCAACAGCGACCGAAGCCCCGGAGGAGAGAAAGGCTTTCTCGCGACCAGACTCGAAGTCATCATGTCCATGCAAACCAGTTTCTGTCCGAAAGGAACAGAATATGCAAGAAACGGCGTATGGTGCGCCTTGGCACCAATCATATGGTTTAATTGGCAAGCGGCTTGCGCGCCTGATAAATATGCAGGATATTATAACAGTGAATATCCTTGTTGAAAGCCTCAGACTTGACATCAGTAGCAATGCGCTGAATCTTGTCAACGGACCAGCCGTAGGCACGATGAAAAGCAGCCAGACTAATCGGCTCGATGCTCTCGGAGATCGCAAGATTGTACCAGCGAGCCACTTTGCGTTCATGCTCATCGTTATGCCAGGGGTTCAGAGGCAAGCCAACCATCTGGTGGTCAATTTCTGTGAAGCCAGCTTCTTGTAAGTTGCGAACAGTTTCACGCGAACTATGAGAAATGGGTCGATTCCTGGACTCGGTTGCGTGTTTGAGAGCAGAATACCAGTGACGCAACGCCAATCCGCTAAGAGAACGGTCATCACATCGAGGCTCAAAATCGATTTCCACCTGCTCGAACCAAGCACCCGGGCGGAGATGGGCGAATATTCGTCGATAGAGACTCGCCCAACTTTGCACACTCCCAGCTCCCATTTGTAGGTGGATCAGATCCCATGAATCCTCCCCCATTGCCCAAGGACCCTCGAAGTCCATTGGAGAATGAAAATCGACGTTTTTGGGTTTATTCGCGGGTTGCATCGAAGCCAGATCAGTTCCAACTACAAATGCGTTGGGGAACTTGTTCGCGACCTCAATACACCAGATCCCCGTTCCGCAGCCCAAATCCAGGATACGCGCATCTTCAGGATGGGGCGCGTAAATCAACCCATCGGATGCTCGGGCGACCGTCATCAGTTTATGGAAAATATCCAGGCGATCTTGTTCCTCCTCGTCACAGGGAAGCAGGTACATGCCCTTGTGATAGCCGTGATACGATCGGCCATTCTCGACGATCGGAGGGTACTTTTCAGGGATTCTAAAGAGAAGCAAATGAGTTTCATTCTATCGCGGCTACTAGGGTAACACGATATAGGAGCAACCTACTTGCGATTATTGATGATCACAGGAGGTGATTGGGAAACATGTGATATATGTGATATTTGCGATGATTGTGATGCGACCGAGCCATTGCTGGTGAAACGAGCATTCCGACGGTCCCTCTCCGATGGATCTCGATCGGTGATGGTGTAAATGTCCATAGCGGTGGACGTTTGACGTGAACGAGCCCTTTCGCTTGATGGGAGGGATGCAGAATGATAATACCTCGAGCGACCGATATCGCTGGCAGGCGTCGACTCGGAGGACTTGTATCTTTTCGCTGGAGGAGGAGAATTCGCAATAATTGGAGGCATTGGAGGCAAATGTCGTATACGGTCGTCGTCGAACGGCATCTTGAAAGAGTGATATTTTTTTTTCTTGATAGAATCACACGCGCGACGGTCGGAGGAGAGAGGGATAAGGGAGGAGGGGGTCACACAAGGGACTTCGGGTACAACGATGATCGAAACCCCCAATGCTCACGATCTATGATCGCACAGAACGGAAAAGTAAAGGTACTTGGTACCATGAAGCTTTCCCAGCCACTGCAGTCTGCAGCCCAGGACGAGGGGCAGGAATCAACACTCAAGGTGTCTAACCATACAAGCTCTCGAGATCAAGGACTCGAATATAAAAGGGAAAAAAAAGAAAGTGTTGAACAGAGCCCCAACCCTCACACACTCACACACACATCCCAAGGACGGGGGAATTTTGGAATTCGTCAAAGGACAAGGGTTCAGGGAGGTTCCCCGTGATGGGTGTGCTAGACCCACGGATAGCAGTGGGGGCGGATAAAGGAGCCGACAAGGAAGAAAGAGAGAAAGATGAGGATGAAGTTTCAAGGTATTAAAGAGAAAGAGTATTAGGATTAGGGGCGAAATAGAACTTGGTAGTAATAAAAGAAGAGAAGTACATACATTACTTCAGCTTTACCTTTTTTTTTATTTTTTATTTTTAATTATTTTATTTTATTTTATCTTTATTTTATCTTTATTTTATTCTTTATTTTAATTCTTTTTGTCTCTTTCTTCTATAAAATTTAATTCTTTATTACTTTCCAAGGTTATTACTTTATTACCAGTATTCAGTATTTAACCTATTCATTACTTAGTACTTAGTACTTTACTAGCTTCTTACTTCTTATGGTGATCATTCGACATAAGAACCTGGTCAATCCAGAGTCTCGGGTTTACGGGATCATCATCTCATTCTTCCGATATTCAATCTTTTTCCATCTCTTTCGATCTTTTTATAACTTCCTTTTCATTTTCCCTTTCCCTCTAGAACAAACCTCATCCTTGTCTTAGTGATCGACCTGTATACTGAGACCCACCCCGGGCGGGAACGCGGACCGTCTGGAGCCTACATTCCTCCTTCTGGGTCCTTTTTGGTCCATCATCGGGGGGATAAGGAAAAACAAATCATTTAGTAAGAAAATGAAAATCAGAAAGAAAAAACCCCGTGAAGACAAGACTGATCATATCTAACAGCAAAGGAGTATTCAAATTATGAGTACCTAATACACAGTACAAATGACATGAACATGGTACATACTCCAGCACAGACCGCATAACCCAGGGGAATGGATATGCTAAAGAAACTTCCTCTCTGCATGGTACCCAGTGTTCGTTCACGCATGAGGAATTCGCCCCCATCATCTCTGCCAAATCGAGTGACAAGCGGACAACTCCGCTTAATCAGGTTAGGGAACCGGGGAGGAGTGACGCAGATACCCAAGATCCATGGTTTCCCCCCCCCCCCTTTCCAACCTGCGTCCCAATTGATTTCGTGCATCGCGATTGAACTTGGGGTCCCATAGAATCCCTGCATCCCTCAGCTTAAGTCTCTTTTTCTTATACCCCCCTCAACTGTCCCAAAGCCTTGGGTCCATGGATGTGACGCTACGAATCAAAAAGATTCCCGATTCCCCACTACGGAAATCGTGCCCGATTGAATGGTCTCATAAATCAGTTCTGTTATCCAGGTTATTGGGATTTGGTTAAACGAGGATCGGACGCCAATTTACCACCCAAGATCTCCAAATAGTAACCTTTCAACTTCTGTTATGTATCATCTCGTTTTCCCATCTCGTTTCCCCTCTAATCCCTGCTCATTGTACACTCCTCTTTTGGCCCCGAGAGACTGGATCAGCCGCTGCCACGGATTTTTAGATTTTTGATTAAAAAAAAATCCCTAATATGCCTAATTCCTCCCACCCAAATTTGCCTCCCACTTTTCTGGGTTCTGGGTTTCCCTGCTTTACCCAGACCTCCACTTTGGTTACGAGATCGCTATGACGGCGATACGCCTAAAGGTCCCGGATCCACCTTTTCTCCTCCATATCCTCCCGAATTGGGTTTGTCTTTGTCAACTCTGACATGAATCCTGGGAAACCCAGAGGAACGGTGAAGAGATGTGTATTCTGTGGTTGGGTTTCGCAGAATCCCCCTCTTTGTTCTTCTCGTTTCACGGGCGCAACCCCTGGTCTTCAGCTGCTTCCTTGCAGGGATGTCGAGTACCAATTGCGAAGACGGATGAGTACCCCACTTCGCTTTGCTGCGCAAGGTTTTAGCTGGTGACCTGTCGGGATGTACTTTGTCGATCCGCGCCCGGGCGATGACCACTTGTCAGTTCGGGGTTTACAGAGATGGGCGCAATTTTCATTGGGGTGTCAAATCCATTTAAAACCGATGCTTACTCTGAATTCATAGGTACGAGTACATGTATACATGTACACCTGGGCATCTGGGTCATTTACATTCAAATGTTGTATGTACGGAGTGACATACGGAATCTTTAACTCGAGTCCCCGAAGATCCTGGACTCTTTTACTACCAAAGGACTTTGATTGGTGCTGACTTGGATCCACACATATGGACTTCGGTCTTTGAAATCCTGACTCCGTACGGAGCAGAGTTACAGGTCAAATTCATTATAAATTCAAATCAGTTATGGAGTACGGGGTGGTAGATCCGGGTAAATATGAAGCCAGCGCTCGAGATAAGGATTGACGTACATACGGAGTACTCCGTACATTGATACATTCAGGATTCGCGTGGAGATCTGTGCAGTGCATACCAGATAATCAACGATCATGAATCATGCTTAAGTGGAGTAATTAAGATTATGAAATAGAGTATGAGTCGCTTGCTTGCATTTCTGCGTCATGATACGCGTGACAGGAGAGCCCACGCTATTTACTCCGTAGTTCATGGACCACCCATAAGTGGATTGTTCACACATTTCATAATTTCCTCTCATAAAAGAGACAAAAAAAAGAATATAAAAATCTCATATCATATTTTAACTTCTACTGTAATTCTAAACTCTTGTTGTTGCATATTCTACTGTATTCGTCCATAAACACACCAAATAGACAGCGGTGTGCTGAGCCCCACGCAAGGCAAATAAGGAAATTTTCGGATTAAACCTCCCACTGGCAGTATAGAGAGAAAACCTCAACATCACCAGTAGTGAACCAACACAAAAGATCTCACACCGCCGGCACCCTCATTGCCGAGTAAGAGAACATAAAAAAAGAAAAGAAAAGAAAAAAGGTCCGCGCGGCGACGATCATTCCGCGCTTCTAGCCTTCTACCAGCCACAAGCGATCCATCAGCTGCACCAAAGGGAGGATCCAACACTTGATACGAATCCGGAAGGAGTTCTCATCTTAACCCAGCAAGGGATTATCAAGAACTGTGCATATTGGGCATCCAACCTTGGAAGATCTACAACAATGTACACCCTGAGAGAAACGGGCGCCTCTTCGCTCTCGCTCCCAGCAGACAATTACATTTACTCTATTGTGGCGTCCGCGCCTGGCGCATTTGCCGCTATCTCATCTGATGATTCCTTGCGTCTATTCGATGCCGCTAATCTCAATGGCGGTATTTCGGTAATCTCCCGAAAGACCCACGATGGAGGTGTCACTTCGTTACGAAGCTACGCAGCTGGTGACTCCCAGTTGCTGGCGACTGGTGGTCGAGAGGGAAAGATGAAAGTCTGGGATGTTCGATCTGCGAAGATGGTGATGGAGGTTGAGACAGGTAAGCTTTTTCATTGATCTCGATTTTGATATACTCTATCTCCATGTCTGTTGGCTTCCCCACAGGAGGTGGTTCTGTATGATCCCGGCCTATTTTGATCACGCGTGGTACACTACCTGGGAGTGTTTTCCGGGCTGTCAACCCCCTAGTTGCAGAATCCAGGGATCAGCTTGACGGGTATCGGAGAATTTCTGCATATTCATGCAAGGATGGCCGGATCGGCCCTGTAAAATCTTCGTTCTGTATACACTGGCTAATCATTTGGTCTTCTAGCGAGAAATGCTCCTGTGCTTTCTATCGCCTGTAACCCGGAGACCAACACCATTGTGACTGGTACAGAGCTTGTATCATCACAAGCCGTTGTTTCACTCTGGTATGATCCCTTCGATGAGCCTGACATAGGCCCATGCTTAAACCTGGAATTTATGACTAACTAATGCTGCAGGGATATCAGATCTCCACAGGCACCCCGCCAGCAATATGTGGAGAGCCATAATGACGATGTCACCGAGGTGAGTAGTATACTTGAAATACCTTCTTCCCAATAGTCCCGACATCCCTTAACGGGGAAGTATATCGCCCCAAAGACTTCCAAAAAATACTAATCTGGCATCGGCCACGCTGCCGGAACGATACACAGCTGCAATATCACCCGACTCGCAGTAATATCTTACTCTCCGGAAGCACGGACGGGCTTGTCAATATCTATGATACAACAGTAACCGACGAAGACGAGGCCTTAGTGCAAGTGATCAACCACGGCTCAGTACACCATGCAGGCTTCCTTTCCGAACATACCATCTATGCCCTGAGCCACGACGAGCATTTCTCCGTGCACCCCGCCACAAACCCTGATGAGCCTGGCCAAGAGCCCGAGCCTACGGATTTCAACGATGTGCGTGACCCGTTGGGCTGCGAATATGTCGTGCAGGTCTGCGTCGGTGCACAGGGACCGTATATCGCGGCCGGAAATAAAATGTATGTTTCTAACCAGTTCTTATTGGGACCTCCCACACGTGTCTTGTTATGGATTTGTCTGGTTATTAATGCAATTCTCTTTTTTTTAATCTCCAGTGACAAGCGGTTGGATCTGGTACCACTGGTCTCTAGTCCCAACTGGCAATTTGACATGGATAACCTGTGGCGCTTACCCGGTGCCCACGGTGACGAAGTGGTGCGATCGGTACATCTTGATGAGCAGGTATGTTTTATTTTATCAGAAAACCCTATCAAAGTCTTATTGTGGCAAAAATCGTTGGCTAATACTAATTTCTACAGACTCAATCGGTCATCACTTGCGGTGAAGATGGTTTCGTGCGGGTATGGAAACCCACAGAGGGTGATGCCCAGGCTCAGACTGGCTCGAAGACTTCTCGGAAGGAGAAGAAGCAGAAAGACCGGTTCCGACCTTATTAAGTCCTGGGGCAAACGACACCGGGACTGGGGTTGTCTGCTGTGCACCGTGGGGGTTCGGCCGGTAGGCACCTGGACGAAAATAGACAATGAGTCATGTTATCATTTTAATTTCTACCAAAATTCATTTCAAGCACATGTGAAGTCATCTATAGCAGCAAGTATGTATACTTGATATAGTAAAAACTTGAAAAAATTGTTGAATGTAGACCTCTAGGGCTTTCAATATGGCTTATTGATCAATATTGGACGGTACCTACTTAGAAAGCCATTTGACCTGGTATCTCGTATATACTAGATAGGAACATACAGCAATACTTCGAGGCAATTTAGCCTTCAGACAAACTATGAGAATAGAGAGAAATTCAACTATACGCAGACTTCGAACCTCAAATTCAAGTGATTGAGTCCATAGATTCCATAGAAAGGAGATCATGTGACCTCCATTGACCCACACTTATCAGAGCGGAGAATCCTTATCGCCCAGGAACCATTTTTTTCTCATCGAACTTTTTTCTCTCCAAGGGATCACAAACACCCTCAACCCAAATACCAAGCGAAATCCTCTCAAACTGATATAGAGAGTGAGAAAAATCTATAATCAACTCAACCTCGAACTCTCAAGTGCACGGCCCAGCCTGCACACCCACCACACCGCAAACTCCACCCTTCTACTCTTGTCAACTCGAAACCACAGACCAATCCTCACATCTATACAATGGATGCTAAAGCATACCTAATCCGCCACGGCTGGGATGGCCCCGGAAACCCACTGAACAAAAACTCGCGACCCGGACCACACGGCGGACTCGGTCTTACACGTCCTATTCTGGTAGCCCGGAAGCAGAACAACCACGGCGTGGGCAAAAAAGTGACCAAGGACTCTGCGACGAATCAATGGTGGCTACGCGGATTCGAAGATGCGCTGAAGAGTGTGGGCGAGGAAGCGCCTGCTGCGACACCGACTGCAAATGCGCTTACGAGTGAATTGTACCGATTTTTCGTGCGTGGAGAGGGTCTAGCCGGTACATATGATCTGAAGAAAGATTTGAAGGAGAAGGAACAGGAGAAGAGCAAGAGCAAGACATTGAAGTCTAAGAGGAAGCGTGATGACGATGAGGATGATGAGCGCAAGGCGAAGAAGGCGGAGAAAGCTGCGCGGAAAGAGGAGAAGAGCAAGAGAAGGAAGGTTAAGGAGAGTGTGGATAGCAGAGACACTTCGGTATCTGCTTCTTCTAGCTCTTCGGATGAGGAGAAGGAGAGTAAGGAGGAGCGCCGATCAAGGCGGAAAGAGAAAAAAGAGAAGAAGGAGAAGAAGGAGAAGAAGGAGAAGGAGAAGAAGGAGAAGGAGAAGAAGGAGAAGAAGGCTAAGGAGGTGAATGGTGACGTGAAGAAATCGAAGAAGACAAAGCGCTCGGTTGATGAGGAGGATTATCCTACACCTGTCTCGATGGAAGAAGAGACAGAAGTGGATAGCACAGAAGACTCCAAGAGCAAAAAAGAGAAGAAGGAGAAGAAGTCGAGCAAAAAGACTAAAGACAGCGATGATGCTGAGAAGGGAGACTCAACATCAAAAAAGGAGAAGAAAGATAAGAAGGACAAGAAGGAGAAGAAGGAAAAGAAGAGCAAAAGCACTTGAGCTGGACATATCCTGTATACTTAGAAGTTGGGATGTATAGACTTTGCATACGCGTTCCTTTACGCGATCAAGATACCCTTTCTGTTTGGTTAAAATGTCCATAGAATCATGAATAGACATATCTGAATTTTCTTCGGCTAAACTCGCATTATCAATTCTACTCTAGCAACTTGCCCGGTTTGCCAGAAATGATCCACGGCCGACGCTCCCAAAACTCATCCTTAATGATATCAACATGATCAATTACCACCTGTGCCTTACGGCGCAATTTCTTGAACTTCTCCTGCTGCGTCTTGGATTGCTGTGCCTCTGGGACTACAGCCTCATCTTCTGTGGATGCCTGGATAGCCTTGGGCTCTTGAAGTGCATACTAAATGGCAAGCATTAGACTGCGAAGTCACGTAGAAAGAAATATTGGAAACATATTACCTGGCGATAGAGTACACTGCCTTTCTTATAGATTTCCTCTTCATTATTGTAATTGATGCCAAACCGCTTGAAGAGAATCTCGTTCTTATCAGAAGAAACGGTACCCTAGAAGAGCGTTAGTAAACCATTCAAGTTTCCTCCAACTATTTTGAAGTGTCCGAGTCGGAGTAGAAAAGAAATACCTTCAATTCCTGCTCTGCTTCAGTATTGCTCATATTTCCCTGCAGAACCATTGTCCAGAAGGTAGTATTGTAGAGGTTGTTAATATGACCTGAACGAATTGGTCAGTCATCCGGCAAAAAGACACCAAATAAGATAGATATAATGGGATAAGAAGTATGGAAAACTTACAATCGACCTGTCTCCAGCTCATGTAGTCCCGCAGAATGCGCGAGGAAGGATAAAGGACAGCTCGCCCATCAAATGAGGGAAGAAAAGGTGGCTTCAGGGGATTTGAAGGGAAATATGTAGCCCACAAATAGACATAGTGCGCGGTGAATGTCGAGACAATAGTCGTAACGAGTTTCCTGGATTTTGTAAGCGGATGCCTTCAAGATGGCAATGAAGAAGAGAGTTTACTTACGCGCTTCGACGCTCGAAGAGCTGAGAGCTGGGATGGAAGACAAAGCTGGAGACATGGTTAGTAAAAAAGCTTGATATAATAATGACAGAACTGGCATACCTAAATTCGTCACTGACGCCGTATGCGATACATAGATCTGGAAGATCTTTCATGACTTCGGCGGCGGCCGCATTCATGAGATCCAGTGCACGGCGGTCATTGGGCTTTTCAAATTTGTAGAAATCCGAAAGCCTAATATGAAGGTTAGACGGATTGAACATACGTTGGAGCTGATGTTAAAGAAAAAGGTTGGACATGACGTTTCATGTTAACCTTAGATGTGTGCCAGCGCTCAACATTGTTGGATGATCGAAGTCTTGACTTTCAGCAGCATTATACTGCAAAGATACAAGCCGGATTCAGACTGGGGAGAACTTGAATCCTTCTGGGTGGGTGATGAGTCTTACTTGTGAAATCCTCTTCCATCAATGCGGACCACGATCCAAGTATTTGGCAGCAGAGGATCGGGCTGCTCAAAATCCTTGACGTATTCATACCTGGCAGGGTTAGTTCAGTGTATAGAAAAACTTGTATCCTTGACCTACATACATTGAATTCGCCATATTGGTGTGTAGCTTGCAGACTGCAGTGATGTCGAGTGGCTAGATTTTGGTGTCGAGTCATTTTGTGCGATAAGGTATCCAGTTGACCCGCTCCGCCTCTACCCACTCTCCCAAGGTTGACGATGTTTGACAGCTTCAAAAATGTTCAAGCTGAATGGGGGAAGAATTTACTCTTGAAAATCCGAACATTTGAAATTAAGAGCTCGAACATTAGAAGGAATCCAACAAGTCTTTCATAAGTTAAAATTAAACTTGAAATACTAGTACTGCATCTTGTTCTTACTCTGGATCAATTGCTACATACTAGTCTACAGCACTTGAGACTTCAGGACACCACCGAGGATAATATTAACTCATATTTGAATGTTGTTAAAAAAGATCGCTACTGACTCAAATGTAATCCGGTTCAGCCAAAGCCGTCAGGTATATGTAACTCCAGAATCTAAGGAAAGGAAACAGTGAAAGGACAAAATTCCAGATCATGAAGAAACAATCTCTGGAATTTCTGGGATCTCTTGGATCTCTTCATCGCCAGTCTCACTGGCGCGCTCGCTGGTCTCGCTCGCCTTGTCAGACTTGCGTGATTTGCGAGAGAAAAAACCCGAGACTGCTGCGAGTGGACCGGTCTCCAGATGGCACGCTAGAGACAGTGCTGTCAATGCTCTTCGCTAGCTGGGCCTCGTTGGCTGCATCTTCATCAATGTCGCCCTGTGATGATTCACCTCTTTTCGAGAAGAATCCTGACCGGTCCTTCCATGAACTGAATTTGCTTGAGCTGCCCTTGCGAGTGATCTTGCGAATGAAAGATTCCTTGGACGCATTGTCTACCGACGTGCTAGACGGCATGCGCTCCAGAGACTCATATGACTCGCCTGTGAAGTGGGAAAGAGAACGGGAGGTACGAGGCTCTGAAGGAGACCCATCGTCAACATGAAGATCAAAAGGAACATCGGAGTCCTTGTCTCTATCTCTGTCTCTATCCCTATCGGATCTCTTCCCTGAGAATATTCCCATAAAAGATGGTGCAGCAGGATTGAGCTTCGGGGTGATTGGCCGATGCGATGATGACGGACGAGTCCCAATTGGTGCTTGCAGCGGCCTAGGAAGACGATCGTAGGTGTCCTCAAATAGATCAGGCTCTCCTGCAAGGCTCATTGGTAGATGTCCAGATGAGCCATACTGGATTGACGGACGGCGAGAAGGCGCCCGTGACCATGTCGATGGTGATGTCCAATCAAGACCTAGAGGACTGTTACGATGCCCAATTTGATCCGTAGATGGCCACCCAAAGTGACGATTGTCGGTAGAAGGGTGAGGAAGCTGGTTCTGATTATCGAAAGAGAAAGTGGAGGATGGTCGTGGAGAAAGAGAGCCACGCCGCACGCTACCGAGAAGAGATGATGGATCAATGGGATCATGACGAGGACTAAATTGATTGTACCCCGTGCTAAGATCGGAATTGCCACGGCTGCCAGCACCGCCAAATCCAAACTTGCCGCCGGAGAAGATGCTCGAAAAGGCAGCTCGTCGAGAAGGCGCGTGATCGGAAGAGCTGTCAGTAGTGACACCGGTCGTGTTACTGCGAGGAAACAAGGACATCGCATTTGTCCAGTTGCTTGTATAACTAAGTCTCCGACGTCGTGACCCGATCGGGTCTAGCTCATCCACATTGCGGGGGAAAGATTGGCTCTGGTTAGGCTTCAAGGTCCCCAGCATGGGGGGGTTCATCAGCGAGGGTTTTCCCACGAGGACGATGGAAACCAAAAATTCCTGAAAGTCTTCGTGATGCACTCTTTGGAGCTTCCTCAGCAGTAGACAGCTGTCCCGGCTGAGAGTCGGAGTCCTGCCGATTGAGATTTTCCATCGGGCTAGCGAAGATACTACCAGGTCTACTCCCAGAAGAGGTAGGCGAGACAGGGCCATGGCCAAAACTGTCCAATCCAATATTTGAATCCATTGTAGCAAAACGTGCGCGCCCAATGGGCCGTGGAAACTCGGGCGATTCTTCGTCCCCGAGAAGGTCTGACGGGAGCAGTGCGTCCGCTCGAGGGCTCATTTGCGGATTGCTAAATGCGGTCTCGGCATCAGAGCGCATGATTTCGGGGGGATCGGCGAGACCTGGAAGAGTCATCCCGTTCTTGATATTGAAAAAAGTTGAGGGTGCGAAGGTAGGGGAATTGGAGGAGGTTGGATTATAGTTAAGTCCTCCAGGGAAAACTGATTCGACACCGTGGTAATTCAAAGACGAGGAAACATTGCTGGTTAAAGAGCTGCGGTGTCGACGGGGTCGGATCGTTCCTGCGTTCGACATATCTAGGTCCAAGGCAGGTAAAGAAAAAGGACCCGAGCTGCCAGGCCGTTGGGATGTTAGCCATTTGAGGCGTTCTTGAGCCTCTTGGTACTGTTGCTGGGCCTGCGCATGCAGATTAACGAGAGTAGCATATCTAGCATGTAGGCTTCCCAGCTTCAGCTCCCATTGGCGAGCCCGCTCATTATCGATTCTGTCCAACTCCTTTCCGTCCTCATTGTCGCCGCCTTGAAGACCCTGCCGTTCTTCCTCAAGCTTCTTGATACGACCACCCTTATCTTGGATTTCATCATCAATGACTTTCATCTCCGCCTGTTCCTTTGCGACCTTGTCGCGGGCTTCTTCAGCCCGAGTCTCGCCGTCCTCCTCCAGACGAATTTTATCCTCTCGAACTTGCGATGCATCGCTAGCCATTCGGGTGATTTTCTCTTGCCAGCGAGTGATGTCGTTCTTGCGTTTCTTGCGCTCCGCCTCTTTCTGCTGGAGAAGTCGCATCCGCTTGGACTTTTCTCCTTGCACAGTGCGGTTTACGCTCTCCAGCTTCGAGACATGCTTCTTGAGATCTCCACTGACCTCATCCTTCTCCTTGACACGCTTTTTCAGCTCGTCACGCTGTTTCTCCAGATCTTTCAGCAGAACAGTATGCTCGTCGTCCTCCTCTGTAACTTGTTTTTCGAGATTTTCATTTTCTTGTTGTAATAGTTTCAGTCGATCGGCGAGACTTTCCAGACTTCCTTCGCGATCATTTCTTGACGAGCCCCTCGGTGTTTCGTCAGAGTTTCCATGCATAAAATCCGTTGCAGTCGCAGGTGACGCTTTACGGCCCGCGGATGGTCGCTTTCCTGGTAGTTGTCCAGCACTATGCTCGCGAGCCATTACAGGTGCAGATGGAGTTGGCAGACCGGCCGTTGATCGTGGTACTGATGCTCGAATTGTCGGGCCGCCGGCGGGAGGATCTTGCTGAGTTCTGGATATCGGAAGAGATTTCGTTCGGACATGGAGGATGGCACTGGGGGTCTGGAAGTTTGCTGCGCTGACGGATAAAACACAGATATGATAAATGCTTCCCGGGATAAGATTCAATATTTCCACTGCAGTCTCTGCTCGCTTTGACTCGCCAACTATTAGATAAAGTCTTGGTTAGCATCGTAATTCCATCCATTATGAAAAAAGAGTTGCGATCGTAACAAATTTACACATACCTTTGACATTATTCACCTGTATGATATGCTTATGTATGGAATTATGAAAGTCGGGTTGTTTCCAAGCCAAACGGATCTCCCGAGCTGTAATTTCCTCTAGGGTGACTTCCGGCGGCGGCGGAATATCTAGACCCAGCTTCTCGACCAAAACTTCATTTGATGTTTGACAGACTTGCCACGCACGGTAAAGAAGCCTATTCCGGGGATTAGCACGAAGACGACGTAAAAAAGCGATTCCGGATCCATTGTAAGCTCACCAGATCAAGGCCCATAGAATGGACACTGCCAGGAACAGAGCCATGACGCCTCGTACCCTCACTCGGGGAATGACGGTTGGGTAAGCGTCAAAGGCGTAGTAGAATGGCTCATACATCCCAGCGTCGACTACCCATGGACGCGGGCTAGGCGGGGAATAATTCAAGGTAAAATAGGAAAGAGGAGTCTTGCTCTTGATCGGCTTTCGCCCGTCGAGTGGGACAAGAAAACCACGTGACATGGAGTGTTACCTAAGGGTCTCCCTAATTGGAGTTAGCGTAACAGCGATCGGCCGCTAACCCGTTAGGGACTAATGTAGAGATATTCTTGCAAACATGCACATGTACAATGCAAACAAAACTGCAAACACCAATGCAAACTAAATGCTTCCGTCTCTTAGATTGAGCCTCGGCAACTTTGATTCGTAGTAAAAAAGTGCAAATCGGCGGATGTTGGCGGCTTACTTAAGAAACGGTTGGGCGTTGAATGTTGATGAACCAACAGATCCCGGGGTGGCCCGTTAGATCGATCATTGGGGTAAATTGGAGATTTGATATCTTTTCCTCTTTCTGTATAATGTATTCTATTTTTGATCCGAAATCTCATACTTGTTGCTATCATTTTCGCGGCTTTATCGTTATCGGTGGAGGGTTTCAGCTGTCCCTTGTCAGCTGAGCGTCACATGGGCCGTTTAGAGGCGGCGATTCCTCCAATTTCTTGTTCTTACTCCTCATCCGTTTCTTCCCCTCCTTTTCCGCCTACGCTCCCCGGAGATTTCATTCATTCTTAATTCTTAAGGCTTGATTATTCGTAACCAGTCGAGATCGAGGGTGTCTGACCCAATTCGGCAGAATGCAGTACGTGCGAAGTCTTAGTGGCTCGGTGTCGAAGACATGGAACTCGATCAATCCTGCCACTTTGAGCGGAGCTATTGATGTGATCGTCATAGAACAGGAAGATGGTATGTTTGGTGTCATTGAGTCTTGCTCCTTAAGTCCCAAAGACTGACTGGTTTTTTTAATCTGTACCTAGGCACCCTTGCCTGCTCGCCCTTCCATGTCCGCTTTGGCAAGTTCTCACTTCTGCGTCCGTTCGAGAAGAAAGTGGAATTTAAGGTCAATGGGATCAAACAAGACTATGCCATGAAGCTAGGCGAAGCCGGCGAGGCTTTCTTTGTGTTTGAAACAACCGACGAAATCCCCGCATCGTTACAGACTTCCCCGCTGGTTTCGCCTGCCAGCAGTCCAAAAGTACCTAGCGACGATGTTGCGTCATCGCTAGGCGAACCAGACTATCTAGACCTGGAAAAGAATGGCGATGCCGTCTCTGATGGTATCAAAACCCCACCGACCATGCTGATGTCACGGCCGTCACGAGCTACGACAGATCTAGGTATTTCATACTCCTGGACATAAATCTTTCTTTATAACTTAGGAAGCATATAATAATGTTCTCGAACTGACTAGGTGCAATAACGCCTTTGTCGCGGTCTCCTGGCGACTCGGATTCAAGTCCCTCCCAGCATGATCCATTCAATAAACCGAGCGAACCTTCCCTCGATCACTCGGCGTCCGAAAATGTTCTCTCGACCAGCCTACCCAGGGCTGCAACCGAGCAGCTTTTGGCCTCGTCAATCGACTCAACCAATCACGAAGATATTGACTCACGAGCTCGTTCTCGTAGTCCACCTCCCATATCTGTCGAAGAGGCAAAGTCCCGAGCTATCAATCTGTCCAAGAAATTAAATGGTTCCAACATTCAATCGCACGTTACCGAGACAGGTGATCTTATGTTGGACATGACCGGTTACAAGAGTAATGAAGAAGATGCACTTCGTGCCGAGGTCCTCGCACGTAAGATTCTTGCGGAGGAGCTCGAGGGCAGCTACGATATTGGTGCACTCATTGGCGCCGATGAGCACGGGAATCTTTGGATCTACAGTAGCGAAGAAGCAAAGGAAGCAGCAGACCGGAGAGCAGCGATTAACTCCATGCGACCTAACGCCGCTATTAACGACGACGCAATCTCGGATCCAGGGTACCACAGTGAAGGCGATAGCCCTGTTAGTCTGGAGCCTTCAATGGGAGTACGCCACCATCGAACAAAGTCGGACGTGCAACCGGGATTTCCGACACCTCCCCAGTCTCCAATGCATGATTCTTTTGCTGTGGAGACACGCAACTATGCCAAGACGCTGCGATTGACCAGTGACCAGCTAAAGGCTCTGAATTTGAAACCTGGGGGCAACATCATGTCTTTCAGCGTTAACAAGGCGACTTGTACAGCGTCGATGTACTTATGGAATGGAAACACACCGCTTGTGATTTCTGACATTGATGGAACGATCACCAAGTATGAAACCACCAGGGAACCCCTTGTCCTCAAAACTTTGAAGCTAACAATCTCGATAGGTCGGATGCATTGGGCCATGTGCTGAACATGATCGGGCGTGACTGGACGCACGCAGGAGTCGCCAAATTATACACCGATATTGTCAACAATGGCTATAACATAATGTACCTCACAAGTCGCTCTGTGGGACAGGCTGATACCACCAGAACCTATCTTTATGGTGTCAACCAGGATGGGTACCGGCTCCCCAAGGGCCCTGTAATATGCAGCCCTGATCGTACCATGGCCGCACTCAGACGAGAGATTTATCTTCGCAAGCCGGAAGTTTTCAAAATGGCCTGTCTCCGGGACATTCTCAATTTGTTCCGCGGGAAGGAAAACCCCTTCTGTGCTGGATTTGGCAATCGATTGACTGATGCGTTGAGTTATCGATCTGTCAACATTCCGTCCACTCGCATCTTTACTATTAATTCGAACGCGGAAGTCTCGTTGGACCTACTGAGTCTCAACAAATACAAGAGCAGCTATGTAACGATGCAGGAGCTGCTTGACCATTTCTTCCCTCCTACCAGCCTCTTGGTGCACTCAGGCGGCGAAGAATATACCGACTTCACGTACTGGCGAGACACACCACAAGATCTGGATGATTTCTCTACCACCGACAGCGAAGATGAAGATGAAGAGCCGCTCGATGACGAAGTTGCGGATGAAGACGAAGACGCGGACGAGGAAGACTATGATGATGAACTCAGCGATGGAGAAGACTACCCTGACGATGGGGAAGGTACTGATCTCGGCGCTAGCTATATCTCACAGGGCTCAGCCCTGTCGAACCCCGCGGGCTCTATTCTGGAGTCTGTGGAGGGCGATCAAGACCTGGAAGACCTTCAATCTGATTACGAAGATGAGCCTTTACCGGAACTGATCAAACCTGCTGAGACCAAGTCTCTTCCCATTCGCACGAAGTCCTCACAAGATGACTGAATATTTTCTCGCCATAATATTGCATTGCATGATAGCCATGCCCTTCGCTATGCTCTCGACGTTTAATTCGTGAGGCCCCACCTAAACTAGAACTTGCATTCACAACATTGATACTGTCACACGGCAAAGAGATACCCTGTTCAACACTTATTGTTACTTTTTGCATGAAGATACCGGTGTTGGATCCAGCATTATTACATACAACGTTTCATTGCAAGTTTTTATTGTTGATTGTTTCTTTTGCATTCATGGCGTTTGAAATGTTTGTTTTACGACTTGATTCTTGCCTAACACTTTGCGTTGCTTTTGCATGAAGCCTATGGTTTAATATCAAAAATGAACCTGGCGTACAAATACCATAGAATACCCAAATACAACGTATATGCAGGACTTCAAGGAAACAATGTACTATAATGATTGGCATTTAAAGAATTCTTTTGATCATGGATATTCAATTTCGGATCTCATAGTCAAGTTATGGAGGACCTTCAGTAGTTCCAGTCCCTCGGCGTTACCCAAAGCGGTTAGCGTTATATCAAACAGCTCCCGCGCGCTTTTTGGCTTCAATACCCTCTCGGCTTTACCTGATCCCTGCGCATTCACTTCACCATTCATTTCACCATTCTCAAGATTTCCTTGAAACTCCATTGAATGGTGCAGGCCAATTTCTTCATAATTGTCTACCATTCGAAATTACTTTTATGCCGGTTCCCGACCTGTGATCATTCTTTCAATCTACCTCACCTCCCTCACCTCATTTGATCTCGGCGATCTCGGCGCTATATCCAGGATACCAATAATCAAAAGATGGCGTCTCCAAGCCAAAATCAAGGCTCGGCGCCGCCGACAACGCAACCAATTACGCCCCCAGCAGACGCAGCCGTAAACGGCGTCACAGCCCCAACCACTGCGCCGACCTCTCAACTCTCCCTCACAGCCCCCGCAGCGACAGCAGCAACAAACTCCGCACAGCCTCAGATTCCGGGAACATCTTTACAAGATAGTGGCAAATCCCGTCGTCCACGCGACGTGCGCCTTATCCATATGCTGCTCGCCTCATTGGGTGTAACCGCCTACCAAGATCGCGTGCCCCTCCAACTCCTTGATTTCGCCTACCGCTACACATCCAATATCCTCCAAGATTCTGTACACCTTGCTACCGAAGGATACAACGCTGCAGTAGGTGATGCGAGTGGAAATACCGGAAAGAACGCCAACTCCGCTGAAGTTAACGGTGTTTCACTTCCTGCGCTGCGACTCAGTATTGCATCGCGACTGCACTATCAATTCCAAACTGGTTTACCGAAGGAATTCCTCATGGATGTGGCTGCGGAGAGAAACCGTACTGCCTTGCCTGGTGTTGCACGAGGCTTTGATGTGCATGGCGGACCGAATGCTGGGCCGGCCGCTGGTGCACCGAACGAAAGTATCACAATGGCTGGTATGCGGCTGCCCCCAGAGCGATTCTGCCTTACTGGTGATGGGTGGGATATGCAGGACGAGTGGGAGAGTGAAGGAGAAGAGGAGATCGAGATGCCAGATGCGCCACAGGGCTCTGGTGCGGTCAAGAGCGACGAAGGGGATGAGGGCGAGGGAGATGAGGATGAGGATGGAAAGATGGAAGATATATTTGGGCAAGATACTGCTATGGGCGAGGCGGGTGATGCTGACGGAGACGAAAATATGAACGATGCGTAGAATTGCATGGTTCTGACCTGCTTTCATCTTGCTGTTCTAGCTTTATCTCCATCTTGGGCGGACCAGGTGGCGTATCAGGCGTTTGGATGATAATATCATCATATTTTTGAGCCATTTTTGACCACTAAAAGTGCCAACATTAAAAGGGCCGTTCCATCAACAACCTTCGATGCAGTGGCCCATTTTATACATACCGATTTAATCACTTTGAAGCCGATTAGGCCGCCTCATCCCATCAGCAGTAGGTAGTCTCAATATCTGCAAATACCAAGGGAGCAGATAGCTTCAAAGTGCTTACAATGCCCTAAGAAAGATTACAATGGTAGAACCTTGCGGTCATTGAAATATCAAATGCTTCAAATGTTGTGTACTGTACAGATCCAGTTCTAACCTGTCGTGCGATCAGGTTGAACATGCAAGAAAAAAAAGAATAAAGGAACAAAATGCCCAGCAAAATTAACGCCTGATTGCAGCCTTTTGCGCCTTGAGGTGGGAGAAAGAGCAAGCGTGCGAACTCCATCAGGACGACATCAAATAGGATCAGTGGCTCGGCGTCCGGGAGGTGTCCAAGTAACACCTGTTAGAGCCGAGAACCAAGAACGAGAAGGATAGACCCAAACTTCCGGTAATCGAATATGTAATTCAACCGCCAGAGCTCGGTCAAATAGTGTGACAGAGGTAAGGTGAAGGTAACAAATTGACGAGATCATCAGACGCCGAACCCATTTACAGCAATGTACAACTGACTCAGAAAGACGGCCCGTTATTTGAAGAGGAAGTTTTCGCGAAGAGTCGAATGAGAGGAAAGAAGAAATGATATGGAAGTAAATTACCTCCCCTGATTCTCTTGTCGCTGACGCTCCTCATCAGCGCGCATCATTTTGATAACCTCTTCACGTCGCTTCTCAACACGCACAAGGTCTTCTTCCTTTTTGCGGCGTCGCTCTTCAAATGTTGCGAACCATTCCTCGCGGGCTCGATCTTCTTCCTCGGCATTGGCATGTTGGACCATACATGAATTCATAGTAAGGCGCTGCTGGCGACATACCCATGTCGCAGTGACCGTACGGTTAACAGCACATTCCGCGAATGCTAAGTTGCGATTGATGTTAGCTCAACCATTCATTCTCCGGCGGAATTTGATATAGGGAATTGGTCAAATGTTTCTGACATATGGGAAGCTTCCATATATATTTATAGATATAAATAGATGTATACAAAGAGATCCGACCATCATAGAGGTAACATTCGAAAGAGGGGTTGCCTACCCTTAATTTCTGGGGCGCAGCGAGCCCGGACACGCTTATACCACAGCTGCTTAACTTCTTGTTCTTGGGTGGCGGAGAGAGGAAGTGGGTTGCGGAGATTGTATTTGCGGGGTGCAGGAGTAGCAGGAGAGGAATCGGATGAGGAGGGTGTAGCCATTGGACGGGTGAGCTCGATCAGCGAGATCGAGGTCGATGGATGTAGATCAGACGCTTAGAGGTGATTCGCGCCGAGAATAGCTGAAAAGCTGAAGCGTACGGGCCAATGGGTTTATATTGATCAAAGAAACAGCTAGAGGCAGCAACAGAGTTGTAAGGAGTATTCGTTGGGGAAAACGGTATTAATAGGTAACATGAGATATCTGATCATAAGTGAGGTGCAAGGTGTGTTGATGCGGAGCGCGAGGAGCCGAGTCGGGCGGAGAAGGCAGAAAAAAAAAACTTCCGTACAACTTTCTCTATCCACTACTCACACGACTTGTGCGACTAAGTGAGCTTAATAGTTGCTCTTTTGATATTTTCAACTATTCCTGGTCATTCATTCTTAAGGTCATTTACCATCCTTTGATCCCCTACAAGCTCGCCACAAAAAACTATTCAGCATGTCTTCCATGCGCAATGCGGTCCAGCGCCGCAACCACAAGGAGCGTGCCCAGATCGGGGGCCGAGAGAAATGGGGTATTCTGGAGAAGCACAAAGTGAGTGATTGCCTGACTTCATGCGGTTATTCAGCGCATAAATATATATGGACAAGAAATCAGAAACTAACCACTAAAACAGGATTACTCGCTCCGTGCCAAAGATTACAATGCCAAGAAGGAAAAGCTCAAGCGTCTCGAAGAGAAGGCACGCGACCGCAATCCCGATGAGTTTCATTTCGGTATGATGGGTGGCCAGAATGCGACACAAGGAAAACATGGCCGAGGTGGTGTTGGTCGAGCATCTGCTGCAGGACTGAGCCATGATGCTATCAAGCTGCTCAAGACCCAGGATTCAGGATATCTACGAACTGCAGGAGAACGACTACGCCGCCAAATTGAGACTTTGCAGCGCGAGATTCAGCTGCAAGGTGGTATGAATGAGGCTTTGGGTGTGAAGAGCCAAGAAAAGAAAGACGACTCAGAGGCCGACGATGATGATTTTGATGGATTCGACGACTTTGATGACATCGATTCCGGCAAATCCACCAAGCAAAAGTCCCGCAAGATTGTTTTTGCCGATGACCGCGGTGACCAACAAACCATAAAGAAAAAGCGCAATCAGAGTGAAGATGTCCATATTATGGAGGACAGTGAAGAGGAGACCAAGACCAAGAAGACCGCCAAGGAACTCGCTGCCGAGCGACAAAAACTCATTGAGACCCGCCGAGCCCGCAAAATTCGCAAGCGGGCTGTCGAGGCCCGACAGAACAAGCTGGACGCTCTGCAAAAGCAACACGGCGAGATTCAGGCTGCACAGCATGAAGTTGAATGGCAACGAGCTAAGATGGACAACTCTGTGGGCGGCACCAACAAGGATGGCATCAAGTGGAAGATTCGTGAGCGCAAGCGCTGAGCGATTCCCAAGACTTCCTTATGAGTTGATGACCCGCGGCTATTGTCCAACCCGCCATTGGTTTTCTGTGTGATTAAATTCTTGTTTCTTTTTCTTGTTCTATCTGTATCGATACCAGCATAGATAGGGAGTTCCAGGCGCATTGATGTATAGATGGCGATCCCATCAAAAGGGAATAAAAATGGAGCCGAGCGGGATACATTCTTTCAGACATTGCTTTTTATTCGTACTATCTTATTTCTTCTTCCTAGTAATCCAGTTCGTATACAATCACAAAGTACTCTGTATGGATCCGTTCATTCAGATTTGTGTTGAGAAGACAACGCCATTCATGGCGATAGGATTGATAATGCATCCTTTCTAGTTTTGAACGTTCTATACTTACAGTTAAGTGGCCATCGTGCTCCCTATCCCATTTCGGGCAGCATATCCCCTCCTAATTAACACTAGCTCGTACAAAGTAGTGTCTCCGATCCACTTTAAGTATACGAAGTAATCCCTGAAAGCTGATAGGATCTTAACTGAGTAACGGGTTCCGCTCAGATTATAAATTCAAGGCTGACTAAGTTATCTTTTATCGGTGACTCGAGAATTGTCGCCACCCCTCACTTGACCACTTTTTCCTTTCTTTCCTACCTTTCTACTCTCATAAACAAAACTCACAATGGCGCCCTCATTCATGACCATTGATACTAATGACTCTGATGTCTTCATGGCGCCCCCGCCATCAAAGCCAGTCGACACCTCGCGTACTCTCCTTCTCGCACCCCCCTCCATTGCTACACAAGAGGATAAATTACGAGCCGTTTTCTCCTCCTTCCCCCGCACTTCGACCGACCTGCAAATGCTCGATCGCCTCTCCGCTGGCATAGTCACTCTTCCTTCGAACACATACGATCTTGTCCTCGTCCTCACTGACGTCGATGGCTCACGACGCGCCGAGGCCCTCCAACTTCTCACTAGAGATGTCTATACTACCCTTGTACCAGCCATGAAGGCTGGCGCAAAGCTGCAAACAGAAGATAAAGCACTCGATGTGACAGAGGCAATGGAAGCTGTTTTAGCTGGATTGGTACATAACTCGACTGGATTCGAGAAACCAAATTACGAACAATCGTCCGCCGTGCCGCTGAAGTTCGGTCTCAAGAAGAAGAAGACTACCACTACTGCTCCTGCCGTGGTTCCGCTGGGAATACAATCAAATGGAACTGGATTTTCATTGAATGGCTTGAACGGAACCAACCATGATCGGGATGACGATGACGAATTGATTAATGAGGACTCTCTTCTTGATGAGCAGGATTTAACGAGACCTATTATGCCTCGTATGTTTCTCCTTCATCCTACTTTTCATTAAGTCAATGCTAATATATGTTTATAGCTCCAGAGTGCCAGCCCAAGACTGGTCGCAGGCGGAAGGCCTGCAAGGATTGTACTTGTGGATTAGCGGATCGACTCGAAGCGGAGGATAAAGAGCGTCGCGCAAACGCTGATAAGAACTTGAACGTGATGAAGTTGAACACAGATGATCTCGCCGAGCTTGATTTCACTGTCGAGGGCAAGCAGACTGGATCGTGCGGTAGCTGTGCTCTTGGTGATGCCTTCCGCTGCGACGGTTGCCCATACTTGGGTCTTCCAGCTTTCAAGCCGGGTCAGGAGGTGCAGATCCTGAATGACGTTGCACAGCTGTGATTTTCTTTTACTTCTCTCTGCATTTTCCTTTTTGTGTGGGCGCGGTGGGTTTCTGGTGGCATCGGATCCGATGTCGGGGCTGGGCTTGATTTGATTTTCATACATTGGGTGCCAAAACTATATCGATGATTTTTTTTCTCTTGCATTGGGTTATTCGAACATTTATGATACCGCTTGTTTTTGCTAGCAATGATAAAATAAAAAGCTTATGATTCTATATTTGCTGTTCATTATCCTACTTTAAACTTGGAAGTATAGTTGCTACTTCTGGTATAAGTATGTGGACCCTGAAATCACTAGTCTTTCGTCCTATTGCTGTTCTTTAGTCTCATAGCTGTCCAATGTATCTTTTACGCTAGTATCTCGCTACCCAGACTACTATATGAGGGACTAATACTAGTACTACGAGTGAAATTTGAAGACCATAATCATAACTTGTATGTAATTCATTCGCCATCCCTACACACCAAACGGGACTTTTTCGCTATTTGAATATCATCGCACATTCATCATAACAACTTGGACCAAAGTACTATTTTTTGTAAAAAAAAGAAAATAGAGAAGGGGAATAACCAATCAAGAGCGATTCTTCTTCATGTGCGCAACACGAATGCTGACAGCACGCTTGTGCGCGTCAAGTCCCTCAACCGCAGCGAGGGTCTCGACAGTCTTCGACAAGGACAGAAGACCTTCAGCAGTCAGGTTCGAGCTGGTGATGTGCTTCAAGAAGGAGCCAAGGTTAACACCAGAGTATTGCTTGGCGTAGCCATAGGTAGCTAGTTCTATGTTAGTCTGTGGAACAGAGATGATCATATGAAGTAATTTGGAAGGAAACTTACGCAGAGAGTGGTTGACACCAGCGGAGTAGTCGCCAACGCTCTCGGGGGTCCAAGGACCAATGAAGACACTACCGGCATTCTGGACCTGCTCGACGAGAGCCTCGGCACCCTCAACCTGCAGGATCAAGTGCTCGGGGGCGTAATCGTTGCTCAGAGCCATAGCCTCGTTGATATCCTTCACCACGAAGGTGACGGAGTGCTCGAGGGAGCCACGAACAATATCCATACGGGGCAGAGCGCGAGCCTGTGCATCAACCTCGTCCTCAATGGCTCGCAGCTCGTCCTCGTTCAGATCGACGGCAATGAGAATCACCTGGGAGTCGACACCGTGCTCAGCCTGGCTCAGCAGGTCAGAGGCCACGAAAGCTGGAACAGAGGTCTTGTCAGCAATGACAAGAACCTCACTGGGACCAGCGGGCATATCAATGCTAACACCGGCAGAGGTATCGTTGGAGACAAGCATCTTGGCAGCAGTCACGAACTGGTTACCAGGACCCAGAATCTTGTCAACCTTGGTGATGCTCTCGGTACCGTAGGCCATAGCAGCCACGGCCTGAGCACCACCAGCCAGAACGATACTCTCAGCACCAACCTTGTGGGCGACGTATACAATCTCAGGAGAGATGCTACCGTCGGCACGGGGAGGAGAAGCCAAGACAATCTTCTGGCAGCCAGCCACCATGGCGGGCACACCCAGCATCATGGCAGTGGAAGGCAGAACGGCGGTACCACCGGGAATGTACAGACCAACGCGCTCAATAGGACGGGAGAAACGAGAGCAGACAACACCGGGCATAGTCTCCATCTGCAGAGTATCATTGCTGCTCTTCTGCGCAGAGTGGAAGCGCTCAATGTTACCAATAGAAATATCAAGGGCCTCCTGAACATCAGGGCTGAGCTTCATAAGCTCGGCGGGGAAAGGAGCGTTGATAACGGGGGAGGTCAGCGAGGTGGCCTTCTCAAACTTGTGAGTGTACTTGAGTACGCCGGCATCGCCGTGCTCACGAACATCTTGGATAATGGGCTTGACCAGACCGACAATCGCGTCATTTGACTTCTGAGAAGGACGCTTAAGGAACTCGCTGACCTCAGCGGCGGACGTTGAGGTAGTGTTAATGCGCTTCATCTCAATGCGTGAGCGGTCCTCAACAGGGGCGGGAGTGGGGACAGGAGCAGGAGTAGGCTTAGCCTGGGGAGCAGCCAGTCCGGCCTTCTCAGCCCAGGGACCCTTAGCATCACCCTTTCTCCGCTTAACCTTCAAGCTCTTAAGGTCAAGGTTGCGCTCAATGTCCTCGAGAGTAACACCAGCGGCAGTACACCTGGTCAGAGCAAAGTACAGCAAGTCGGCGGCCTCGAAAGCAATTTCCTCCTTGGTTGTAGCAGTGCACAGCTCCTCGGCCTCCTCCATAATCTTGGCCGCGGCGAGCTTGGGCTCATTGAACAAGCGAGCAGTGTAGGAACCGGCTGGGGCATCGGCCTTGCGAGCCTGGAGGGTCTTCTGAAGACGCGACAGACCAGCCGAGGCGCCAAAGCAGCTTTCCGTACCGAGGTGGCAGAAGCCTGATATCAGTCATGATTAGCATGGAGTTATATCTTCAAAGAAGGTTAAAAAAAAAGTAGCATACCTCGTCCGATCTGCTTAACAACAAATACGAAGCAGTCCGCATCGCAGTCAAAGCCAATGCGGATCAATTCCTGGACATCGCCACTTGACTGGCCCTTGTACCATAATCCGCGCTTGCGGCTCTGGTAGACTCCGGTACCGGTGCGCAGAGCCTCAGCGATACTCTCGTCGCTGCTCCAAACGAAACCAAGACAGGATCCACGCTCATCGGTAACAGATGTGGCATACAGGCCATTGGCCTGGTCTGTGACAGCGCGCGAAGATAGCAGCTTAGCGGCAGAAAGCTGACCCGGCGCATCCCGCTCAACGGTCAACAAGTTGGAGGGAATAATAGCAATAGCACCCTCCTGCATAACCTGCTTCAAGGGACCCTCCACAATCCCCTTCTCACCATAGTTGACAAAGAGACGTGAGGAATCGGAGCTAATGTTCAGAATTGTGGCGGCGGTAGTGGCGGCAGAAGGTTCGGTGCAGACGCTGATATCGGTGCGTTCGGGGGCATTTTCGCGAGTCCAAGACAGGACGGTCTCCAGTTGATCGGCGGTAAAGGCGTTGACAATCAATCGTGATGAGGGAACGGACTGTTCCTGGGAGAGTGCATTCAATTGGTCAATGGTGATGAAGATCTTGGCGGCACCAGCGTTGAGAATGTCGACCAGATCACCAGCGGAAGTGATGGAGGTGGCGTCAACGAAGACATCGAGGTGACGGAAGTTTTGACGCAGGAACTGTTCTGCTTCCGCGAGAGTAGAGACCTTCACCAGCACCCGGCCGAAGTAGGCGATCTGCTTGAGCGAGAGGCCCGAGGTGGGGGTGGAGGGGTAGGAGATAAGGAATGGTGTGGCCATGGCGGAATATGAGAAATTTGGATGAGAGAGTATAAAAGAGGAGAAAAGCCCGGATTCCCGGAGAAATGTAAGATCCCCTCTAAAAGGTTGGAGGGAAAGAGGTGTGGCAGCGATGACTCTTCAGTGTCACCTATTTTTTTGGTGCAATTGGATCCCGCATCCACATCCCGCTGATTCATCTCCCGCAAACTAGACCACACTGTATACTGCATGAAATCTAGTATGAGATGTTTGTTCTACTCACATTGATCATACGTGTCAATTCCAAGGTTATTAATTATCTGACTTGTTTGAAACTTGATTGCTGTGTCTTACCGTTATTGACGGGATCTGACAGTCTCTTCATATAGTACGGAGCATCTGATGACGTTTTCTCGGCTCCCGATTGGATTATAGACTAAGACTACTAGTACATATGAGAGAAGATATAGGCCAGGATGATATGGATTTGCTTGAAATCTGGAAGATTTTCAGTCTTATTGGACCTAAGAAGACCCTCTCACTATCTACTTTCAGAAATTTTTAAAACTAAATGGCATTGAGGACATTGATTCTTAACTTGAATGTCTGAAACGTTTACCCGGACCCATTCAGTATACAGATCAAACATGACTCACCAAGTGCTAGTAATTATCTCAAGTTTTTCTCTTATTCTTCTCACACTCTCCCTTTCCATAACTGACCTTTGCCATGAAGTTCTCTATCGCTGAGAATTCACAATACAAATTGGGCGAAATACTTAAGATATCGATCCTGGTGCCTAAATAGCAAGGTGTCAAATTCAGAAAGGGCTCATTTTGACTCGGAGGCCATTAAGGAGGCTACAACATTTGAAGTACTATGGGCTTCAAGTTGATGATATCTTCAAGCCTGAGTTTACTGGAGGCTAGTGTGTCTTCCAAGGTTGGATGGAACAATGACTGTCTCAATCATGTATACTAGCCATCATGCTAGTGATTCATGATAGAGCATTATTAGACATTTAGGCCCAAAGGGACTGCAAATATTCCTTCAAGTTTGTACTAGTAATATATGTTCAAGTTTAATGTCTACGGTGAGACCAAAAGCTCAATGATGTACGAAGTACAGCCTGAGCATTATAGACTTGACGCCAGGCCTATTTCAGATGCCATCATGCCGACATCGGGAAGATCTGATTGAGCTAGAATGGACAAGATCACCAGCACTAGATCATTCCTCGAAATTGAGAGGACGATCAGGCCATAGTATGCAGTAGTCTCTGGCTGAATTATAGAAAATGTAAAGTATACACCTGGTGGTCAGATGTCATATGAACGGACCCTGCATAAGGTAACGAACCTTGGGTGGGATTTCACCTCAACCTCGGAATTGTTAGCTGCCAGTGCTTAATCTTAGTATCTTCGACTTGAATTCCATCTTATCAACAGGTTTCAAGATCTTGATGGACATGGCATCTAAAATGCTCTTCGCGAGAATGGTGACTGCGCAGAGCTGAGTGAGCAATCCACTATGGAGAATATAGTGAGGAGGGTTATGCTGCTTATGCAGAGAAATCCCCGGCCGATCGCCTACCCCACGATTTCAACATGGAAAGAAAATGAGACATGCGATTTGGTCATGCCGTGCAGTATCGTTGACATAGGCATCCCGGGGTCTCTTAGGTGCCATCAGCAGATGTGATATGAGCCTGGGCAGAAGAGGGGGAAGCTTGGCTGCGTCAGTGCGAGGCCGTACAGTCTTCTCTCCGGCGAGTCTCCGCCAGCCACCCGACGATCCAAGCCTATAGTGCCGGTGGCGGTATAAACATTGAACTTAAAGACCCTGAAGCGTCACATGCTCATTATCCAAATACAACATATCCAAATTCGAAGAATCGACTCGAGGGACGGGGAAAGAGTTGTCGACGATCGGAATCTTATGAGGTATGTCGGTATTGGAAGCGTCGGGTCTTAGCTCAGGCGCAGCATTCCTCTGGAACAAACCAGGAGGGAGTGTCCTTGCAGAGGAAGTTCCGAGACCCCTGGAGCGTGCTAGAAGTGGACCTTGCAGAAGAATGGAATTCAGGAACGAGGGGATCCTAGGCGATGCGGGCCGTAAGAGTTGCAGGAGTAAACAAAAAGCGTGTGACGCTTCCCCCGGCTTCCCCTTTTGCTGCGATGCCCCGATCCCACTTCCCCACTCCTCCATACCATGATCCACTTGTTTTTAATAGTCGCATTGACCCGCCGGGTGTTCACTCATTAGCGACTCTTCTATAACTTGTTTGTTCGCAGTTTTTCTTGTATTGATTTCTTCCTCATTCCCTACCTATCCATACCTATAACAACTCACACTCTTTCGTCTTGGGCAAAATAGCCCCTCAACGGAGCGATGCGCACCACATTGTCATTATCCCTAGCGGCCTTGAGCCTTATGGGATCAGCGACCGCTTTTCCGCATCCCCATCAAGACACTGAGACCGTGTTGAGTACCTCGTCATCCTCGAGTGATCAAGAAAAAGCCGACGCGGTCAAGGAAGCTTTCCAGCATGCTTGGAACGGATATATGAAATATGCTTTCCCGCATGATGAGTTGCACCCGGTAAGCAATGGATATGGTGATTCAAGGTAAGCATTCCCATTGGACCAATTTTGAATTCGAGAGGGCAAAAAATAACCCGCAATATGTTTATAGAAACGGATGGGGAGCTTCAGCCGTCGATGCTCTTTCCACGGCGATCATCATGGGCAATGCAGACGCAGTCAACACGATCCTGGACCATGTCGCCAAAATCGATTACACTCAGACTTCGGACCAAGTCAGCTTGTTCGAGACAACCATTCGATACCTGGGTGGTATGCTGTCCGGGTATGATTTGTTAACTGGACCAGCATCTAGCCTAGTTTCAGATGACCGTGTTGATACGCTACTCACTCAGTCTAAGAACCTTGGAGATGTGCTCAAATTTGCCTTTGACACTCCATCTGGAGTTCCATACAACGGACTAAACATCACAGCGCAAGAAAATAACGGTGCCACTACGAACGGCCTTGCAGTCACGGGAACCCTAGTCCTAGAATGGACGCGTCTGTCTGACTTGACAGGCGATGAGGAGTATGCCAACATCAGCCAAAGGGCCGAGTCACACTTGTTGAACCCTCAGCCGTCCAGCGGAGAGCCTTTCCCCGGTCTGGTTGGCAGTACCATCAGCATCGCCAATGGTCAATTCACCGATGGTGCGGTGTCGTGGAATGGCGGTGATGACTCGTTCTACGAGTACCTGATTAAAATGTATGTGTACGACCCTACGCGCTTTGCGCAATACAAGGATCGCTGGGTTCTTGCAGCCGAGTCGACAATCGAGCACTTGGCGTCACACCCGCAGACCCGACCCGAGTTGACGTTCCTGTCTTCCTACAACAACGGGAACTATGATCTAAGCTCGCAGCATTTGACCTGCTTCGACGGTGGAAGCTTTCTTCTTGGCGGCTCAGTGCTGGGCCGACAGGATTTCATTGACTTTGGTCTCGAGCTTGTTCATGGCTGTGAAGCTACATACAACTCCACGTTGACCCAAATCGGACCTGATTCCTGGGGTTGGGACCCTAGCCGGGTGCCAAGTAACCAGAAGGCTTTCTACAAGAAAGCAGGATTCTACATTACCAACGGATACTATGTCCTGCGACCGGAGGTTATTGAAAGCTTCTACTATGCCTACCGTATTACTGGCGACGACGTGGTAAGTATCGGATTCTCAAAAAAAATATAGTTAGTATTATTTGCTAATAATGTGATAGTACCGTGACTGGGTATGGAATGCGTTTGTGGCCATTAACGCTACCTGCCGCACTGACTCGGGCTTTGCAGCCGTCAGCAATGTGAATACTGCAGGTGGTGGCACGAAGGACGACAACCAGGAGAGCTTCCTGTTCGCCGAAGTTATGAAGTACTCATACCTTACTCACGCCGAAGGTATTGTTTCCTCATTGACTCAGCCTGATACCACAATATACTAACACCTATTATAGATGCCGAATGGCAGGTCCAGGCAGGTGACCAGAACGAGTTTGTGTTCAATACTGAAGCTCATCCTATGCGTGTGAAGCGTACCTAACATATTCATGTCGGCACTTGGTTCCAGTAAATAGGCATGAGGATAAGCTCTGAATGAATATATTTACTCACATTTTTGACTTTGAAGTATGATTTGATTGGTTTAAACTTCGTCTAATAGTATACCAGGGCCTTCAAAGATAAGGCTTGCTTGTCCACTCAAAGCTAGAAAAATAGTAGAAGCTTAAATGTTCAAGCCATCATCTTTCAATAAAATCAGAGCAGGGTATTCTCAGCTGACAATCCGCAAACGACAGAAGCAAGATGACTGAATAGGTACATCCGCCATGGCCAAAGCAAGCCTCAACTGAGGCTCCAGAATTCGTGCCTCAGCGACTCTGCCTAGCTTACGCAGACATTCATGATACCCATGGAGAGCCCATACATTATTCGGATGTGTGAGGGCACGGGGGAGGGATTTTTCAATGCCAAGATCAGCAGCATAAACCTCAGCTGCTTCTTCGACTCGGCCCTGCTCAAGTAGCAAAGCACCCAGAGCATGCCGAGTCGGCTGCATCCAGCCCCAGGGCTCATCGTAAGGAAGATTGTCATCTAGATAAACGGTCTTCCGAAGATGGGCGAAGGCTTCATCATATTCTCCGACCCGGTATTTAATTTCTCCTTCCAACATTTGTGCAGCCACGACAAGAATGCTTTGGCAGGTATTGTTGAATATCGTCCGAGAGTCAGGAACTAAGTTCGTGGCAGCCAAAAATTCCGCTTGTTGTTTTCTTGCTTCCTCAACGCGATTTGTAGCTGCAAACGCTACGCCTTTGGCATAGTGAAGCATGGCTGTGGTGACACAGTAAAGATTCCGATCGGCGGGAAATGGGAGAGCAATTATGTCTTCCCAGCGACCAAACCGAATAAAAGGATGGACTTGCATCGCAACAAATCCCTCAAGCCAATCGGCGAGGGGAGGTGATTCCACTCGAAGAAGATCTTCTGTCATGGAATCCGCTAGTTCCTTTGCGGTGTCTAACGCGGTCTTAGACTGACCACCCAACATAGCGGCATAAATTCGAAAATGGTAATCGTGGGCCCGATACAGGTTATAAAAGTGGCCCAAATCTTGATTAGCGAGGAATTTTTCATCTGCACGGATGGCAGATGTGTTAGATGCGATCGCTCGGCGATAATCACCACAGAGAATATCTAGGTGAGTGGGCATATGTTCCAAGTGCCCTGCATCAGGAACAAGCCCACGGAGATGATCTGCTATTGGCAAAGCATTCTCTGGCGTCGGGGACATTTCCATCAGATGAATGTACAGATGCAGGATACCAGGGTGTCTGAGGGCATCTTCGCGAGTTAACGCGCGATCCAGCGCTTTCTTCACCTCGAGAGTCTGTGCCCCGGCAGTGGGCTCTCCTGTTTGCAAGTCCCACAGGCTCCAAGGAGTGAGATTCATTTGGGCATCACAGTAGAGCGCAATGACATCTAAATCATCTGGAAAGGCTTGATAGACAGAGACCATAGCCTTCGCGTATGGGTTGTTCCAACTTGTGCAGTCTTCAGCAGGCTCTGCCTGAGGATATCGATACTGCAATGCATTCAATAAGGCTCCCTCTACAGATGATGAAGTTTCTGCATGCTTCCTAGCTTCTACAATGGCTCCGTAGGCTCGTCTCGTGGTGAGCGAAAGATCCTCCCCATCGAAGAGCTGCCACGGCTTATTGTAATTGGGACCCAGGGCGAAAGCAATACCCCAGTGTGCCATCAGACATGATGCATCTGCCAATATCGCCTGCTCAAAGCACCGGACAGACTCCTGGTGGTTGAAAGCATAGGCCCAGATGAGGCCACGATTAAACCATTTCTGGGCATCTGGACTGCTTGTTGAGATGGGACGATGAAAGCTGCCCAGATCATAGTACTCAGCCTCGGCCGAGATTTTGTTTGGCGTTTTATCCTGACACCATGCTTTAGTATCACCTGGTTTGGTCATGGTGTCCGGTGTTAGTTGGCTCTCCAAGTGATATTCGTGGGATTTGACCGCGGGGGATGTGGGGCGAAGTGATCCCGAATTGATTGGATCCGAACTATACAGGTCCTCACTTAAGCACAACGACAATTTCACTTTCAAAGTTGGGAATATAGGGCAATTTATCTGGAAGAATATGAGGGAAAGAGCTAATGTTGAGGTTCGTACTGACTGCTCCTTCCCTGTTGTTGAGTTTCAAATGGAAGGTGCAAAGTACAGGGATAAAACCATCCCATCTTCATTCTTCTTCTTCTCCCCTCCAGACAGGATTACCACTATCGTTTTACCTCAATACAACTCCCATTATTATCCTGGCCTACTTCTCAAGAGTCTCAGGTCCTCTGCCCCACGGTATCTCCAAGAACTTCACTTACCGAGCCAAGTTCACCCGAGTCGTGACATTCCTGCCATTCAACATGTCTTCTCCTCCCGTCAATCTGCCCACCTGGCAAGTGGTTGCCGGTATCTTCCTGTCAATCACATTCATCATCCTGATCGAGAAGGTGTTTGGAATCCACGTCAATGTTCGCTACAGGTACTATCATATTCCCCTGTGTGACGAACCTTGTCGATACTAACACCTATGTCCAGTCAAGGGCCTATGGCCACATTCCCAGGATGGGCCCATGTCCTCGGGCCGGGCGAATCCCAAACCACACTTCTTCATCGTTGGATCGAAATGCATCGGAACCAGCAGGCGCAGGACAACCACAACAACATCAAGTCGAGGCAGCTGGCTGTGGACGCATGAGTCATGCCATTACAACCTGTGACCAGTCTTTTCTTTTCCCCGCATGATTTTTGGTTCTTTTCATGTTCTTTTCATTGTGTGATTCGAGGAATGGGATTGCAATGAGACTGAAATGGGATGTACAGCCGATCAGTGGAGGCGGGACTGATCCACCATGACCCACACTGCGCGCATTTGAGCGGATCCGCATTATCTGCTCGATCCCGCTCACCTTGGTGGTGAACCTTGGGGGTGGTGCCTTATATAGCATTCATTCTCGTTAGTGAATTATTATGTGGAGTTTTTTTTTTTGTTTTAACCTACCTTGATCCCCTAGACTCTACAGTGTTTCTCTTGTTCATAATCCGTCATCCTTATACAATCGCCATGTGTGGAAACAGTAACCGTCCAGCGGTTGGAGGCACTATTGCCGTCCTTTTCCCTCCAATGAACAGCCGGTCTTCGAGTCCCGAGTCATCGCTCTCTTCGTCTCCAGACTCGATAATGTCTTCCACGTCGATGTCTTCATATTCACTCTTCTTTCGAGAATCGGAGGCAGACAGCCGCACGAAAGCCATTTTCCGAATCGATGATGCAGAGACCTACAATGCCTTGCGTGCATTTCGACAAGTAGATATGCGCATTGAGTGAGTTTCAATGTAACAGCCTCCCCGTGAATCTTGTTAACATGGATCATTCAGGAAATATGGTGACTTGTCTATAGGACAGCCAGCTGCTCCTCCCTTGCACCAATTCCGTCTAGACTTAGCGAAACAAACTCCTCGAAGTTTCCAAACAGACGTGATCATCGAGCTACCAGAGAGGCTGGACCTCGGGGTCTCGGAGAAGGGAGTTGTTGGGCGACAGATTACAATGACCGAGACGGATGGATCTGTCCTGGGAGTCGGAATCGTGGGATACAACTGAAATTGTATTCATTCATATTGTTTTTGTTAATAGCCCATCTACATCTATAACGGGCAACTAGATATCCACTGCCTTCATCAATCAAGCTACACCTTTCTTTCACACTTGATTTCATCTTCAATATTCATTTCTGACTATTACTGGGGAGTGATTCAACTACCTCCGCATATTGAGAACGTAATACTCCCGAGGTCCTCATGTTTACAGCTTCAAAGGATTCTCAACCCCAGCGGTGTACCGCTTCTCAGCCTCAGCCCAGTTAATGATCTTCCAGATCCCCTCAATGTAACCAGCCTTATTGTTGAGATACTATATGTAAAAGTTAGTCTTGCATTCAGCATCAGCAGATGGGATCAGAAAAAACGAACCTGGAGATAGTATGCATGCTCCCACATATCAACTCCAAAGACAGGAACATCAGAGTTGACCGGATCCTGATCCTTAGTCGTGGTAATCTCCAATCGACCCTTCGGTCCTCCGGTACTGACCAGCCATCCCCATCCACTGCCCTGAATACCTAACAAAGCCGTTCCAAATGCATCCTTAAATGCTTTTTCACTTCCCCACCGGGAGATAATAGCCTCACACAGGGTAGGCGCCGCACCAGTCAGATCGTTACCTGGTGTTCCCGGAGGAGTCAGGTTCTTCCAGAAAAGCGAGTGGTTGATATGACCACCGCCGTTGAAGCGGATCTTCTGCTGCAAAGAGATCAGGGCAGAAACATCATTTAATTGTGTTGCTGTTGCGTGAGCGGCTAGAGCGGCGTTTAGGTTGTTCACATAGGTTTGATGATGTTTCTGGTGGTGGAGCTCCATGATCTGTTTGGAGATCACGGGCTCGAGGGCCTGAGAGTAGTATGTATTAGAACTTGAACATCAGATAAAGTGTTAGCGCTCAGAATGAATTGACTTACCTCGTAGGCATAAGGGAGAGAGGGGAGGGTGTGAGATATCATGATTGACTCGTGATGGTTTAAGTTGAGGGCAAAAAGTGGTTGAATGGTGAAAGAAACTTGGGATAATCAAAGTAATCATGAAGAGCTGTCACCAAGGTCCCTTATAAGATGTCCCCTCAAACGCACCCCTCCATTTACCCACAAGGTACGCATGGTGGGGGAGATTGCGTGAGATTGAGCACATTATATCCGCAGTCTATTTTATACAAGGACCTTCGAAATCAGAAATGCGTAAATATCCCCAGGAGGCTCACTTGATGGATACATCCATCCCCAACACATAATCCCTTCTATCTTCCTCAATTATTCTTATTTTGAGGATCTGAAGGTTGGAATGGAAAGAGGAAAGCTAGAAGTATAATGAGTAAAAAAAAAGATTTAAAAAAGATTTAAAAAAAGAATGATACCCTAGCCGTGGCTAGATCCCGCCCACCCGCTAGTATTTTCTCTGCCACCGAGAAAGGGCCCGGCACACCTCAATTTCAGTACCTTTGTCCCCGTCGAGTCTGGGTCGCCGACCGCTCTAAGCCGCTAGGCCAAGCAGGGCAGAGCTGTTACCAGAGGAGCTCGTCACTCAAATTTATGGGAGCTCTGGTTCCTTGAATGGTGTTTAACCAGTTAAATCTCCACTATCAAATAGTACTATAATCCTTATATTTCAAGTTAGATTTCAGGGAAAGAAATAAAAAAATCACGTCCTAAAATAGTACGGACTTGGAGTACTCGGTATCCCTGTAGTAAACTATCAGCCACGCAGTGCCTTGGGATACATCTTGCGACATATAGCCAACTAGAGTATGTATTATGCTAGGTGGTGAAGAAACGAAAAACCACTACAACCCAAGAACATTCCGGAGTACATAGTAAAAAAGGTCTACACCTGGCCCACTGGGTATACATTATCGCCCCACTTGGCTCCATAACGACTCCACGCAGGCGGTAAGTAGTCAACTGACCGCCTAGTGATATATCTTGCAGTTTAATTTTCGATTTTCACGCCTTTCTTGTTAGGTGTCGACTCACTTAGTTAACTAGTTTAGTTATAATAGCCTAGTCCATTATTTCTAGTCCACTGTTCATCTGCCCAGGTGCTAATCTGGTCTCTATACCGCGCTATTCCATGTATACCATTTTGAACATTAAATACTGCTGACTTTATTATTACTTTCAATTTAGTTAGCAGTGGAACAGGACCTCAGATGGATTCTGGGGAAGTTACCGAATTACTAATCCCCCAGCCATGCATTTGAGGGGTTTCCGAGGGCCGTGAAGAAGCCGAGGCCATTCGGCGCAGATCCAAGCTAATAAGAACCCCCAAATCTCAAGACTCCTCAATATTTGAATGAATCATTATCCAAAAATTTCAACATCAAATCAACCAAAATGTCTGCCGAAGATCAGGTGAAATTGAACGATTTCGGGAACATCTTCTCGCTTGAGGGGAAGGTCGCCGTTGTAACCGGTGGATCGCGCGGACTAGGTCTCCACGCAGCCTCAGGGTGCGTAGCTCCATACCCCAAAAACATAACAAATAACACGTGTATCATGAATTGCAATGAAACTAACGTGGGCTTTACAGACTTCTTCAAGCAGGATGCTCAAAGGTCTACATCACCTCTCGCAAAGCCCAAGGATGTGACGAAGCCGTCGCTGCACTCAATGCATTGCCCAATAAGCGACCAGGAGCTAAGGCAATTTCAGTCCCAGCTGATAGCGCTAAGATGGAAGAGCTGGACCGACTAGCCGCTGAAATTAGCAAAACGACTGACCACGTTGATATCCTATTTGCCAATGCAGGTGCAACTTGGGGCGAGAAGTTCGATACACACCCTGAGAAAGCATTTTCCAAGGTGATGGATCTTAACGTGAAGAGTGTTTTTTATACCATTCAAAAGTATGAATCCACCAATTGATAGATTGAATGCAGCTCAGAGGATTAAAGTAGTGAATGCTAACATTTCTAAATAGACTCACACCTCTCCTAACAGCAAAGGCTACCCTGGAAGACCCGTCACGAGTTATCATTACCGCCTCTGTGGCTGGAATCGGGATTGGTACGATCGGAGAGAACGCAACACCCAGTTACTCCGTCTCCAAGGCTGCTGCCATTCATCTTGCTAAGAACCTGTCTGTTGAGCTTGGGCCGAGACACATATTGACGAATGCTATTGCACCGGGATTTTATCCGTCTAAGATGGCTAGTGGACTGATTGAGCTTAAGGGTGGGTTTAAAGAGCTGGAGCAGTACTCGCCTAACCTCCGTTTGGGACGGCCGGAAGATGTTGCAGGGTTGGTGGTGTTTTTGTCATCGAGGGCTGCGGGTCACATTAATGGTGCCGTGATTACGACTGATGGTGGTGCTGTTCATAAAGGACGTCTTTAAGTCCCTACTTTAATAGCTTCAGGAGATGAAATTTGCCTCTAATAGGAATTGAATGAGATTAAAAACATTGGTTTCGTATTTGTAGGAATTCGATCATATCTACAGCTTTGCTTGAGCAGTGTTCCCACGTCCCTGCACTGCTCTATCTACAATTTCCATAGCCTGGAAGAGCTCATAGTCACGTTGCTTTGGCGTTACAATCTGAACACCCAATGGAGAGCCAAGATACACACGGCGATCTGTTATTTTCTCGTCCCCTGTGATTGTTAGAAGAGTAGAACCTGCGAACAGCCCTGTAGGAGGAAATGACTTACATAGTTGTCGATTCAGCTTATCCCATCCTCCTAACAATGGAGCGTCCATTTTTCGTCCAAGTTCTAGATCGGATTCTGCAAATGAGCGGATGGGCAAGTTGCCCGCTGGATAGTCCAAGAGTACAAATGATGAGGTATAACCAACACCCTTGTAACTGTCCAGTGGAGGAACCGGATGGCCCGCCATAGGGCAGATAATAGCATCCACGCGTCTTTCAGGAGATAGGCCAAGCGTCCACATCTTCAGCAATTCTTTTTCAAGCTCAGAGCGTCGAGCCTGTAGATCTGCGACCTGGAAGATATCTAACGGTTTGCCACGTTTTGGTCCAAACTTGCCTTGTTGAAGATGCCAGGGCATCAACGATTCACCCATGCTCTCAAGAAGATCCAGTGTATTGGATCCTCCATCAATACCCATGAGTCCACCAGCAACAGCTTGGCATTTGCGCATTACTGGCGGGGTCGGGATATCGACAACTTCCACACCGGGAGTGCGACGCAAGCTCTGAGCAACTTCATCCAGCACCCGAGTAATAGGCGGTAATGGAGTAACGAGGCCATCCGTCTTCAAAATTCCAATGGTAAAATTGTGAGGCAGTGACAATGTCGCCGGGACTGAAGGCGTAGGCCAATATCCTGGGATACAGTCCTCACCAAAAAGTTCAGCCCGAGGCACAATCTCCGCCATAACGGCCCCCAAATCCGCAACCGACCGTGCAATAGGACCAGCGACAGCCTGAAGAGACATACGACTCTTTCCAGGAATGCCTCCACCTCCCTGTCCACCAAAGGGAACACGTCCCTCACTCGGCTTGAATCCATAGATACCTTGGCACATAGCCGGCACACGAATACTCCCACCGATATCCGTTCCAAACCCGACCATCGATCCACGCATCGCGACCAACGCGCCCTCACCACCAGTACTTCCACCCGCAGTCCATTGTCGATTCAATGGGTTCAGCGTTCGCCCAAAGAGGTTGTTACAGCTGTCGAGTGTTGCAAGTGTTTGGGGGATATTTGTCTTCGCGATCACGACAGCGCCGAGGCTTTCAAGTAGATCGACTAGCGCGGCGTTGGAAGTTGCAGGTTGAAATGCCAGGGCAGCAAGACCGACGGTTGTATCGACGCCCTTCACATTGAATGAATCTTTCACCGAGACTGGGAGTCCATGTAAAGGTCCGACGGGAGTTCCCGTACGTCGAAGATGGTCGTCCAGTTCCCGCGCCCGGTTTAATGCGCGCTCAAATAGGGGTTCGGTGAGACAACGGGTCAGTTGGTGGGCAATAGCTGCTCTCTAGATGGAATTAACAAAGAGGTTTAGGGGGGCGACAATAGAAAAAAAACACACCTTGCAAAATGCTTCAACCACTTCCTCAGCCGTAAGCTTACTTTCGGTTATAGCCAAAACAAGTCCTCGTACATCATATTTCTCTGTGATATCCAGTTCTTTAAGTGTAAGTAGACCACATGTCCGAGGAATGTTCATCACATTAACGCGGCCATACTGCTTCGGACCCTCAGTGATGGACTCGGCAGGGGTAAGCATCCCCGCAGGGATGAGATGCTCAGGTAATTTCCATTGAGCTGGGATAGAAGCAGCCAATGCAGCTTGCTTTCGTCGGGCAACTGCGATATAAGGGGGTTCAGCGGAAGTCATGATTCAAGTTGTCGATAGAGTCATGATGCTTCTGGGGCCAGTAGCAGAGATTCAAGTTACAATGTCTCGCGGGGCGGAGAATGCGGGGAAGCCTCGGTTCAAGTTTCAACATCCCTGCCCAGGTGGAGATGATAAGCATAAACCTAAACAATAAATAAGCAACATTGAAGTCAAGTATTAGCTTGATGGTGTGACAATGATCGAAGTGTTGATAGTACGTTCCAAGGTTTGCCATCGGATGTGTTATCCCAAGTTAGTATTGGCGGTATTGGAGTCATCTACCAGGAGCTCTGAGATAAGAGTTTACTAGTATTCGACGTAGTTCTCAGATGAGCATATAAATATCGCAGATATGTATGAAGCTCATATTAACCTTAGAACTTAGTTCTCTTCTTAGTTCTCTCTTCTCTCGTCTCTCTTCGCTTTTATTTTTTATTTTTTCTCTCTCTTTAACATCATGTTGGGTATCTTCCTCCGAATCCTATATAACATACTCAGACTCGGAGAAAAGCTATCAATTGCTTTGAGTTAGGACCATCATGTAGCTATCAAAATTTGGAGCAAAAGCCCTGAAAATGCCAGTGACCGAGTAGAGACCACACCCCTAGTAGATAATTAGGCATTGGGGTATTTTCGGCGTAAAAATAATTTGTTGACTGAACAGTGTTCCAAGGTTGAATATTGTGGCATTGAAAAATTGTGTATCTTGTGTTTACCTGCTCTTTTCGTCGCGAGCGGAAAGTGGTGGAAGCCTGAGTTATCAACAGGCAAAATTGTTGTTTTGATCAGACCTCTCTCTCTTCAAGTTCTACTCGCACTGTTTACCACTTCCCTACCACCTCAGACCCCTTTTTTCTTACCCTTTCTCCTCTATCCTTCTCACGGTGAGTTGAAAACCACATAAAATTCTATGCATATCTAATGGTGCCGAACAGAACCCAAGATGGAAGACAGATCAACAGTCCCGTATTACCCTTCCCCAAAGCGAGGGGCTGATGGGCCGACACCTGGTTACTGGGCCTTGAAAGCCAAGCAAACTCATTTCTGGCCTCGCGGTCACCGTCTCCGCTTAACTGCAGGGAAGCTGCTACATGAGTTAGGGAAGCTCCGACTTGTTCGCGAGCCAGGAATTCGAATCTGGAAAGAGACTCTTACCGGCGATGACTTCTACTACACTGTTTCCTCACGGATTTCAAACATCACAGCACTCCTGGCGCAGTGTGTCGGTGTAGTTGTCGAGCCTTGCCATTCATGCAAACATAATCTCGGAATGTTTTCTTCTTGTGTCATCATTCCTGGGCTCCGTCATCTCATTCCATGCTGCGCCAACTGTTACTTCAATGGCCTAGGTGACCGCTGCAGCTTTCATCAACATGGCTTCCCTGAAATCACTCATCCCGAGAACCAAAACGGCCAAGGCGAAGCTTCCCAGACTCAGGATTCTTCCGTCAAATCAACCCATGAGCAAATTGAGGAACGAAGGGAGATGCTTCTGCAACTGAATGAGCAGCTTGAACTGGCAGTCGAAGAAAGAGACAAGTCTGAGATTGCTGTTAAAGATGCGGAAGTTGGGCTATTGACCGCCAGAGTAGCGTTGCAAGAGAACAATGCTAAAATCGACAAGGTTCTGATCTCAAAGGAAACCCTTCTATCGGACTGGGAGCAGGAGATGGCCTAAGATGATGATGACGAGCTTGTGACACGTCAACATTGAATCTGCAAAAAAATTCACACAGCTTGAAGCTTTACAGCGGTATGTGTATCTCCTAATATGCGGTTTCCAGGGACATCGTGCCTAACACATCTACCTATGGCAGGGATTTGGAGTTATCTAATACGACATGATACTAGCCAAATTAGTACCATGCGGTGACTTTTGGTTGGTAACTGTACTGGGGATGATGTACGATATTTGAAGGGTTGAGTGACGGGCCACCGACAATTTTGTTTCCTGGCACATATCATCTGGCGTTTAATGGTTTGAGACAAGCCTTTCTCCAGGGCTTTCCTTGCTGAGAATTCAACTTTTAGGTAGACTGCAGGTTATTTCACAATAATTAATTTCTACTACTATTAGTATTTTTTTCAAGCACTCTTTATTACTCAGTTGATGTAGTAAAGAAATACTAAATACTAGCCGACGAGATTTCAGTCAACTGGTTAGTCACAAACTTGGAAGTCCCAACAACATTTGAATATTCAAGTGACATTATTTAACTTTGATTGGTAGCCAATATCTGTCTTGATTGGATACATATGATGCCAAAAATTTACCCATATCGTATTTCATTCTGGTGGCTGGATTGATTGACTTGGGAAGCCTGTGCTTAGTTGCGGGCGCTTATGTGGGCGCTTCCAGTGTGAATGTGAGGTGCATGTGAGGGGCTTGGGCAGTAGTCGGGCAATATCCCACCAAATATGCCAGTGATTGGCAATTTGAAAGAACTGAAGTGCTTTTTCAATATTAGATCGAAAATCTGGCACTAGGTATAAATACCTATACCTTTACAATCTCCTTGACACCTGAGAGAGCTTTAGGTAAAAAACCAGCCTGATCTTCGTTCCATTCAACATGAACCCGATCCCAGTTTTACAAAAGACAAGGCTTTATTCGTATGTGAACTGGGCATATGCGAAGAAAAATCACAATTATTCATGGATATCTTCTCTAAGCCTCATCTAGCACACTGATATGTCTCTGATCACCGACGACCTCCTTCAAGCGGTTTGGCAGGATGCCCAGAGAAGAACTTTGATGTATCGGCATCAGCGGACCTCTGGCGACATCTGTGGAACAAACATTTGTTTGCAGAAAAGACCTTCATGGCTTTCATGCATCCTTCTTCTGAGGAGAGTGGCCGTCCAAGAGTGAATCTGACAATTAAAGCTCTGGTCAGCCCGAACAGAGGTCTCGCTGTCCTGACATTCCATGAAGCAGAGACCCCCAGTCCAGGTCCCCAAGATGTTCAAGAACTGGAGAATCAGGCATCGGATGATTGCGAGAGATGTCTTACACAAAATCCGGAGCTGGGAATTGTGTACGCATTTACAACAATTGGAACTAAGGGGAGAGCTTGGCAGTTTGGTTGAGCGGAAACTTGTCTAATACCACTCTTCGGCTCTGAAGATTGGGCTGATCTCAGCCAGTACGTGGAGCTAAATTCTCCAGAAGCTGAGCTGATTAGACAAGCTGTCAACATCATTAAGGCAACACCATCAGTTATCTAAGAAATTGGAAAACTACTTTGCTACTATGATTGGTTCATATATCTTCATTCTTCATATTATACTACATCTCAACTCTTAGTTAGCAGGAACCTGTCCCTCCCACTGAGCCTTGGTCACTTGGTAAAGGCTGTCATCCGTCATCATGTCCCAACCTGTCAGAGCCAATCCCTTTCCGGTCAGAATAGCCTCATGATGAGCTTCATCTGTTCCTGCTGCTGCAGTAAAAGTTGGGTGATGTGGAAAAGAGCCCTCGGGAGCTAGAATTGAGAACATTGAGTGAAGAGTCGGCGCAACGTAGCTCACATTCCCTAGAAAGATATCAGCTATCACAATTTCCTATCATGGTTGAAGATGGATGAGTACTTACCGACGTCTGAAGAGCCTGTAAGAACCTTGTCATGCTGCGGCACAACACTCCTTTCGTAACTCTTCATATGACCAGCAAATCGATCGCATAATGTGTCATTCAAGACGATATCAGTGTAAAGACCCTCTCTATATGTCGAATAGCAATTAGCAACTGTGATATCATCTCATGCAAATCGGTATCCACTTACTCTTTAATCTCAACGGTGCAACCAGTTGATGTGGCTGCTCCCTCAACACAGCGGCGCACACGAGTAATCAGATCGTTTAATCCAGAAAGGGTAGGACTTCTAATTTGCCAGTAAGACTTGGTGTAGGCTGGAATAACATTGGCAACCTTCGGCACATCAAGGAAGGCACCGTGAATACGCTGGTCGGGCAGAATCTGCTGTCTCAAGGTGGAGATGCTGTTATAGCACTGGACCAACGCATCGAGGGCGTTGACACCATCCCAGGGATTACCTCCCGCATGAGCGTTCTTGCCAAAGTACTCAACATAGAGTTCCTTACGGGCATTCATAAGAATTCCTGCTACACCATCACAAGGCTTGCCAATCAGATTCCTTGGACCACCGTGACTATTACAAGTTAGCTATTATAATCCATTCATCAGGATATGCAAATCATATGAGAATGACTTACGACATCAGAGAAATATCAACACCCTTGTAAGCTCCAGCATCGATAAGCTTGGCCTTGCCACCACCATTCTCCTCAGCGGGGGTACCGAGGAGCTGGATTCTGCCCTTCATTCCATATTTCTTCTGCAATTCGCTCAATGCCAGGAAGGCTGCAATACTGCTAGTAGCAATGAGGTTGTGGCCACAGGCATGGCCGATATCGGGCAAGGCATCGTATTCGGCGTTGAAGTTAATTAGCCGTCCCTCGGTTCCACTGATGCATTCAAAGGAGGTGTCCACACCATAGGCGTGTCGGGTAACAGTATATCCCCGCTTCTCGAGGAAATCACAGATCGCATCGTGAGCCTTGTGCTCCTCGTAGGCTAGTTCTGGGTTTGACCAGATCTGGATATTATTAGTGAACACCACTCCAGTCGTATTCTCAGAGCACTATTAGGTAGTTTCAAGACTCACGTAGGTGTTGAGCTCACGGAGCTCCTTGTTGGCCTTCTCAAGGGCAACATCAATTGTAGCTCGGACCTCTTCGTTGGAAATTGAAGTCATCATGATGGATTTCTTTAATCTCGAGAGTTCTGATTGTAGATGAAGGGGAAAATGTGTTGATTATGATAAAATCCAAGTGTGAACAAGGTTTCACAATCAGTGTAACCAGATACCAGATATTTGTAGTCTGAAACCATCACCAACGTCCGATCCAGTTCTCTTTATACTTTCCCCTCGCTTCATCTCGAATGGACTCCGGATTCCATAACTCTCCGGTGCCGTAATCGGTAGCCTTCCATCGATATTCAAGTTCATTGTTTTCAATGAAACTGCATCAAAATGTTGCATAATTCTCTCCCATAAGCACAATCACACAATCATCACGATATCCCTGTCAGCAATATCTAATCACCAACATGATATTTCAAATATTGTTTAAGTCCATGAATCACAGTATAGATAGTTTCCCCGCATTTAATGTTAACAATGTCAGAATTATGCTCTCTGTTTGTGCATAAGATAACGATTACAGTTCATGATTGCCGAACCCGTATACCTGGGGCTTAAGCCCACCAATCAGTGGGTCATAAATAGCCGAAAGCATCAAATCCTCAATCCTCTTCTTTACATCGCCTACTTTGAACCAATCCAGTTGACTATTTTGCCGATCTGTTGTAGATATGAGGGCTGGCGCCACTTGACTCCTTCCGAGCTTTCCCGCGGGAAAATAACTGATATCTGATCCCTAAGATTTATATGATAGGAAAATAATTGTCATCAACATCTCGAGTCTTATCCTTCTCCTATCGGGATGACCGAGCCTGGACATTCTGTGCAGTTTAACGTTTGCCACAGGATCGATTACGTTGACAAGCGAATGCTTCCGATGTTGCGGATTGGTTAGGCCGAAATAAGCGACATCTTAATAGTCCATGACAGCTTCCAGGCAGATAAGATGCTTTATCTTGATGGGCAGTTGATCACTGTGCGCCTTATCGATATTGATCCATTGATAGAAGTACGAGGTTGAACTTAACGTGAAATGGTATATAGGGTAGCGATTCCTTCCTAGTTCAGAATTGAATATCACTTCAAGTTGATACATACTATATGTACATGCTCTATTGGTTATAAGCTCAATTATTCAAGTTACTGTTACACACTCACATCATGGCCTCGATACGAGAAACTACTCGGGTTGACGAGAAATCGGTATACATTGCCAAAGAGACTGGACAGGACACAGCCATTGGAGAATTCGTGGAATATCATGCATCTCCTGAAGAAGAACGACGACTTCTACGGAAATTGGATTTGTTGTAAGTAAACAAGGTGCATTCACGTATTCAAGGAGACAGGCGCTCACACCAAAATCTGTATAGTATGATTCCAGTGATGGGAGTTTGCTATATGCTTCAGTATATGGACAAGCTCGCAATCAGTCAAGCGACTCTTTTGAATCTACGCGCCGACCTGGTATGTCTCATCAATAAAGATCATACATATACCAGTAAACTGACAGCCATGAAATCAGCATCTCGTTGGTAAAGACTATACATGGTGCTCAGCGGTGTTTTATTTCGGATATTTGGCCTGGAGTTGGCCTACATCTTACTTGATCGTGCGTCTGCCTTTGGGAAAGTATCTGGCTGTATCAGTGTATGTATTAAAGTCTTTCACCAGCCGAACTATCCGTCTGACTTCCTTTTTTCCAGATTTATATGGGGTGGTATCCTCATGTGCCACGCAGCCTGCCAAAACTACGCAGGCTTGGTGACATGTCGATTCTTCCTCGGTATCGGTGAGGCTGCTGTTGCACCTGGATTTGGTCTCATCACTGGAATGTTCTACAAGAGAGAAGAGCAGCCGGCTCGGTGAGTGATAATATCATAATATCCAGAAAGACGGCGTCAATGTTCTAGTTACTAATACTCGTTCCATTTAGTCAAGGTGCATGGTTCGTCGGAAACTGTATCGCGAATATCATCGGAGGTGTCGTTGCTTGGGGTATTGGAAATTCTGCATCTGGAATTGAAAGCTGGCGACTTTTATTCCTCGCCTTGGGCGCAATTACCTCCGGCTACTCGATCGTTCTCTTCTTCGTTCTCCCCGATTCTCCTTCGAAGGCATCCTTCCTTACCGAAACCGAGCGATTGATCGCGACACAGCGGACAATGAAGAACAAGACAGGATCTGTGGAAGAGACTTCATTCCAATGGAGTCAAGTGTTGGATGCTGCGAAAGACCCACAGGCGTGGCTGCTGGTTCTGTATACATTCTGTGTCAACCTTTGCAATGGAGGTCTGACTAGCGTAAGTGGGATGTGTCTTTGTGTGTTATACTTGGCCCTAATCAGAATACAGTTCTCCGCTATCATTATTTCAGGCTTCGGCTACTCGGATTTCAAGTCATTGCTCTTACAAATGCCTATGGGCCTTTCTCAACTCATCTTTCTCATCATCACCGCAGGATTCGCCACATACGTCCCCAAATCCCGAATCCTATCGATGATCTTCAACTGTATTATCTCAGTTATTGGTCTAGTTCTGATCTATACCCTGAATGATACCCATAAGGTGGTGAAATTGGTCGGCCTTTGCTTTGTGGCTGCATTTGCCGTCAACATTCCACTGAGTCTCAGTATCGTTACCTCTAACGTCGCTGGAGCTACAAAGAGAAGTACCATTAGTGTTGCTGTCTTTGCTGCCTACTGTGTCGGTAACATTGTGGGACCTCAATTCTTCTACGCTTCACAGGATCCCGTATACCAGGTTTGTCATGGCCCAAACTCCTCCCTATTTTGACTCTTACTAACCGTACCTCTCAGAGTGGTCTCGAGGCATCCCTATGTGGATTGGTTCTCGGAGTTTTCTTTCTGGGAGTCCTATACATTTACTACGTCTGGGAAAACAAGCGACGTGACTCTCTTAGCCAGGCTGCTGGAGAGGTCACTTATGACGAAGCTGCGGATCAGCTTGACAAGACAGATAAACAGGTACCCAGCTTCCGTTACCGACTTTAAGGGATGACCTATACTTTATTTTGATTATTTAATAAATGACGCTTTTCACGGAATAATTTGGCTCAATCTTCGTACTTGATTCTCGTTAATCAATGTGCAACTCATAAGACCTATGATATAGCTCCCTTAGATTGCACCTGTGGTGATATTTCCATATGCCGGGACTGGATAGTCACCGAAACAACTCTCCTCGTAATTTGCTTTGGCAATGTTCTCTTTCTGAGCCTTGATAAAAGTCTTCAGCTCACACCACCCATCGTCCCGCTGTCCACATTGTGAGATGCTGCGTCCAAGAGGAATGGTCCTCTGATTCATCAACATATGCACGTAGATTGTCTCACCTCCTGTGGACTCATAAACCGCGTCACCAGGCTGCTCTGATCGTTTTGACAGGACAGGTAGAGGGGTTTTAATGACTTCGATATTGAAACGGCCCGCAAATGGAACAAGGTGGCTAGTAATTAATTGATGATTTGGCGGGGGACCAGACAGAGGTAGGAACTCAGCAAACTGCGTGAGGCCAAGTGCTGTCAAAATCGCCACAATATTGGTATCATGACTGAAATCCAGATACAGCGTCTGATCCAGAGGAAATGTTCTAGTGTTGTCATCCAAAGTTTCATTCACTGCAATGGAATCACCATCGGGTTGAGGGTAATGTTGAAGCAGTCGAGCCACTAGTTCTTCGACGTAACCAATACCTAATGCCCGGCCCACTGGTGATCCAAAGCCAAAGCTTCCATAATAATTCACGTCAAGGCTATATTCAAAGCCCAGCCATTCATCCCAGGTAAATAGTGAGCAGAACGGACTATAGCCCAAACCAACAGTCTCGTACGGACACATAGTCTGGGCGATATAAGTATCCTCGATTGTCCAATTAGCGTTCCCAGTCATAGACTGACGGAATCGCTCTGTCGTCTTTTGGAAATATTTGTTTTGCCATTGCGTACTTGCTTCATCACCAACATACCCACGATCAGTGTGACTATTATTGCAAGCCTCATTTCCTGCCAAGGAATTGTTGAAGCCAGAGCTTTCGATCATAACTTCCAAGGTAACATTCTTGGTCCAGTTGGGCCCAAAGAACCCGTTGAGGAAATTCTCGGCTGACTGCAGCATGCGCGCTTCGGTTGTTGTACGGGCAACAAGTGGTGCAGATGAATCGTAAAGGCGACCATAGTTGAACCAATGAAGTACGCCGCTGTCAAACAGCTGTTGGCGGCCAAGAGCGGTCAGCTCCTCTGTTCCTAGCTCGTACTTCCAGTCGTTGAGGAATGAGAGATTCCCAGTAAAGCGGGTTCCGTTGCCTAATAGCTCGGATATACGGGTATGGAAATCGACCACGGGAACTGGATCGCCGAAGGTTGGGTATCGAGATCCATGACGATGAATCATATGCATCTGAGTGATGTTGGATCCTGGAGGTAAGGGGTATTCTTCAGCTCCGAAGCCCGATGGATTTGGCATGTAAGGTCTATTTTCGAGTCATGTTAGTTTGCCGGAATTCTACTACTAGTAGTACTGGATCACTCATACGTACGAGAGGTTGCCCATATGTTCGAATATCTCGGCACCATCTGCCTGTCCGATAATGGGGACATCAGTAACAATGGGAGTGTTCGGCACATATGAATGATTTCCAAAAGGAGCTGGGTTTATCTGAGCAAGGAATGGTGCACCTCCGACCTGTGTTGGGCCTATAAATTCCCCCGTTAGCTTTTGTAAATTTTTGAAAGACGAAAATCACCTGGGCACTTGCCGGCATATGGGCCAAAGCTGGTCTGGAAATAGTCTGGAACAGCAGATGTACTTGTTGGCTCTAGAGGCTCAGCACTGACTTGCACGATTGTTCCAAGCCCGAGGGCTAGTAATTTGAATGGTGTGCTCATGGTTCTTGTCATGTATACGTTGATCAATGAAGGTACCTGAGCTCCAGACTCGGATGTCAATTGTCCTAGCCTCGCCATCAATTGATTCGCAGGTCCCTTCTTATAGACAAATCATCCAAGATCGACATGGTGCTTGTGATACCCAGTTTCAGTTGCACGCTCAGATCTTTACCCAATCAGTGTGGTTCCTGTCAAGTCAATCCTTTTGGACAGTTTCCGTTGAATCAAACTGCAGCCTTGAAGACAGATCATATTCATTTATTAACAATGATGTAGCATAGACGTGAAGAGTAGATCATCATGGAGCCCCGTGGAGCCCCGCGTTTCCCTTCCTAGTTCAATCTCTGACCCACACGAGAGGAGCCTGAGTCAACCTTGTTTTCTGAGTAGGTTTAGCTTGGTAACTAGCTCAAGGTGCCTAGAGCCAAGCGTTAAAGATGTACATAAGTGGGGCGATCGTTCCAACGCCCCATCGGGAGATCGTAGCCACGTTCAATTCCTATTCGGTTCACAGTAAGCCACATTCAAAACACGAGTATATGATGTCACGTAAGTTCTCGATATATGTTACAGCAGATGCTGAGATGAGAATATTTCACATGAAGATGGATGTGGCGGAATATTTGTATTTCCGTGTCTTTTGAGGGAATAACTAGAAAGTCCGAAGCCGAGTGATATTCCCCCCTTGAAACCTTTCAACGATTGCAACTCAAACATTTGAACCTTGGACTTGTTCACCTAAGATTATTTCGTCGAAAGCCATCTCTGTCAAACCTCCATATTGAACTAGGCTGTGCTCAGAATTATGAGGAGCACAATGGTGTGCACGCGACATGAACTTGAAAGGAATCAGGGAGTTTTCCAACATTCTCCTAAATGATGTCTTGGAAGCTCCTGTGTATCTAAAGCCAGGAGATATATTCTACTAGTGATGCGTTGAATCTGATTTCAAGATGGTCTGGTGCTCACCTCCAAGCTATCATGCTTCCAAGGTTGATTGGCCATTTTCGACTGACCCAGACATGTGCAGGTACTAGTATACCATATGGGCAAACCTTCAAATTACAAGTTAATCTGATTAGAATGATATTGAGGTTCCTCTTAATCAAGCTTCTTGCCCAGTTGGCCGAGCACCTGGGCTTCTGGGCACTCGAGAGCGTTTGACAAACAAAATCAATTCTTGGTTGTAGCAAACAAACTCAATACCGCTCAGCCTCCGAGTTTCCCTTTCACTTCCCATTTCCCTTCCAACTTCCCTTTCTCATCTACCTCCTCTTCGTGTCACTCTCTCATCCCCACAAGACCATCGAGTACTGAGGCTCTCAGTGCGAGCCACTTCATCATAGACGGCAGGTTTGGGAGGTAAGTAAACGATCTCAATCTTGGAAGCTTGTCATGATGAGAGTCTAATGAATGACTCTCAGGTTTATCAACTCACCCCTCACCACTTTCATTATTGGCGCCGAAAAGAAAGAAATTCAAGTGCACTCTTTTCCCATCGCCAGCCTGTCGCAGGGTCTCAAGGCACTCATCAATGGGGGAATGTTGGAAGCGACAACTGGACGTGTCGAATGGCCAGACATTGACGCAGACATTTTCACTTGACTCTGTGAATTTGCTTATCTAGGCAGCTACGCGCCCCCACGTCCATCTTTACCGCGTGTGGAATCTTCTTCGGTTGCAGATAAAGAGCCTGTACTCAAGCGTCAGCTAACAGAGCCTTCCCAAGCTGAGCCTGAACCTAAGCGGCAAGCAATAAACCCTCAGCAAAACGACCAATCATCAGCATCCTCCTCTTTTGATAGGCCTGTTTCTACGCCTCAAACCAAGCAGATTGAGGTCCCATCAAAGAAACTGAAGATTCCTTCTGAAGATTTGAAACGTGTATTCTCGAAATATCTGGTCGTCCCAGATGCACAAGTCCGCTTGAAGCACAATCTGGCGCTTCAAAATCACAACGCCTCAGAGGATTTTAGACCTGTTTTCTTCGGTCATGTTCGTCTTTACATCCAAGCAGACAAATATTGCATCGATGTCCTACGCAATATTGTTCTTTACCACATGTTTCTATCTCTGGGACATTTCAAACTCTTTGAAACGGCACTGGAAGGGATTGCAGAACTCGTTAGATTCGTCTACGAGAATACACATGAGGATCATGAGGGGAGCACCGATGCTATGAGAAATCTGGTGACGCGATATGTGGTTTCTGTTGTTGGCCAAATTGGCCAGACTGACTCTTTTCAAGACTTACTGAACGAGGGTGGCCCCTTTGTCACGGAATTCTGGAAATTATCTGGAATATGGCGTGATCATGAAAGCTCGTTTACACAGACTCAGAATGGATGCTATCATTATTTGAAAAGCATGGCGAAACATGAAATCTGATATTCCTAGTTCGTGGTAATGAGAAAGTTTCATTTTTATGGTTTGTGCAATTCCAATTATTATTTCTATTCCAGGTCTTCTTGTCAAAGAACATCTCAATCGAGGATCCCTACCACTTTTTAGCTACACCGAGCTCAACCTGAGGAACACAAGAAAACTACATTCCACTGAAGCTCACAGGTTACATCCATAGCATGAACAGTATCAGAGCTTTCCAACCTTCACCACAATTAATATCTCGGAAGCTTTTTTCTAGAGCCACGAGAAGGTTTCTGCTCGCAATGAAACCAATCTGAGCTCAAGTTTCTCTGGCGTTTACATATCATGTTTAATTGGCCCTGAAGACCCACCTATGCAGGTTTCCATACATCAAGCAACAAAAGAACGACACAACTGCAAGAGCGTTGTTGGGCAAACGAAATCCAATGGATGATGTTACAAATACTAGTAGAAACCCCAACGCCCTATTTCTGACCCTCTCACTCTTCCAAGCAAAGCCATCGTGGAGTTTCCTTTTCTCGGTTCGATCGCTTGTCAAAATGGAAGGCAGGTTCTGGGAGTAAGTCGATGATATCAAAATGCCCTGATCTGAGCCTAATAATGAGGTTTCCAGATATCTTACCTCGCCCCTTTTCACTTTTGTCATCGGCGATGGCGACGACAAGAAAGAAGTCACAGTACACTCCTCTGCCATAGCCGGACTTTCCCCGGTTCTAAATTCCCTCATGAACGGCGAGATGATCGAAGCAAAGACCAGGCGCGTTGAATGGTCAGATGTTGACGGAAATACATTTGCTCGGCTTTGTGAATTTGCTTATTTGCGAAATTACTCGCCCCCGAGTCCGTCTTATATTTCACCTCCAGAAGAGGCTGTGCCCAGTGAGCCTTGTGAAGAGCCAGCTATCGAGCCCGAGCAGGGTTATGGTTATGGTGAAGCGGAACCTGCTGAGGCTTATGATGCCCCCAGCCAACGTACGGCACTATCTGGGATGACCAGGAAAATGCTTAGAGAACACATGAGGACCGCCACTAGCAGTCGTAATAGGCCACCATGGGCAACTGCTGAGGAACCTGAGGAGCCTGCGCCTGAGCCTGAGGAGCCTGAAATTTATCCAGATTGCCATCCCCAGGTTGAAGGTTCCCACAGTACTGAAATTGAAATCAAGTACAAAGAGATCCAGACGACCACTTTACAAGAATTATTCTCGGAAACCTTGGTTGCAACCGACTCAAGTCTTCACGATGAATCCAACTTAGAATTCAAACCTCCTAGGAACACAGATCACCGCCAAGACTTTACACCTGTTTTCCTCGGTCAAGCCCGCCTTTACGTTCTCGCGGACAAATATCTTATTGAATCATTACGCACCTTGATCCTGGCTAAAATGTTTGAGACTCTGGCCAACTTCAAGGTTTATCCAAGCGGAATTGAAGCCATTGTTAAACTTGTCCGTTTTGTGTATGATAATACACCACCAAATTATGGGGACAACAGTGACCCTATGAGAGATCTGGTGACACGGTTTGTGGTTTCTGTCCTTGGACAAATTGGTGAAAGTAAAGCTTTCCAAGGGCTCTTAGAAGATGGTGGCTCATTTGTTGCTGATTTTTGGCATATGGTCTGGGTGCACCAGTCCTAGTCTGTGTCTGCGAGAGAGACAGAAGAGAGAGAAGAGTAAGAGAGAAGAGAGAGCAGAGTGAGAGAAGAGTAAGAGAAGGGAGAGAGAGTGAGAGTGAGTCTGTGTATATAGGAGAAATACTAGTTTAAGATCTCAGGAGCAGCATTGAAATGAGAAGAGTTTTATTTTTGATGTCTATTCCAATTCCAATTTGCTCTAGAAGCGGGAGATATCCCTTCCAAAAAGCCTGTTGAGGGTCCATCGAAAGGCAATTCTTATCCTGTTTCGCCAGCTGATACTCATACCAATATATGCTGCATTCCAAACTAGAGATGCCGTTCTTCCAGTAAGACCTTCAGGTAGATACCTATGACGGTCGCCAGTCTTCCCGTCATGTGGGATCTGCATCAATGCTCGCTCACTCCCAATGTATGCCATTGTGCCAAGATTCTTGAAAGAAAAAGATGGCATCCGATCTATATCACTCTTGTTCAGACGTTGCGCCAACCACTTTGCTTCTTGACCAGTAGCTTGCGCTGTTGCTGGAGGTGATCCAGTCTCAGGCATTGCGTTATCTCCCAAGGCAAAAACGTCCTGCAGGACTGCAGTCTGGCCGTTATGGTCTTGTAGTTGTACTCGGAGGTGACCGTCAACAAGAAGAGCGCCTGTCTTTGAAACTTTTTTGAACTTCCATGACGAGTTTTCATCATTCACTGCCGGTGTTGAGTCGGGTTTAACGGATTCAGTAGGGAAGTCGGCCACTTTGTCAAGTGACTGGCTGATGAACTTGTTCATTGCGTTGCCAGTCACCCAGACACACATACCGACTCCAACCTCGCCCTCCTCTGCAGTTGTCAAGGTCAAACAGCGTTTCGGGTCCATCTCATATGGAGGCGGGTCACCAGGGGAGCCCCACCGCAAGCCCTCTACGTGGTGAGAGGTCTTGATGTCAACACCTTCCCGCTTCATTGTTTCCATGGCATATTGAGAGAGTGACTCATCAAACATTGACAGCATCTTGGGAGCCACATCATAGAGACTGATCTTAGGAATACCATTGAGAGCAGGGTAGAGAACCATCATATCCTTGTAGATGAAATCACGAAGTGATGCCGCGAGTTCAGTGCCAGTGGGGCCCGCTCCAACAATTGCAAAGTGCAGTAGCCATTCGCGCATTTCAGGAGTGGTTGTTGGAAGGACCGCCAGCTCGAAGCATTCACGTACACGCCGCTTCACCCGCTTTGCATCACCAATATCCTTGAAGAACATAGCGTTGTCTCTGACACCCGGCGTACCAAAGGTGCGACTGACGGCACCGACCGCGATAACAAGCTTGTCGTAGGGTACTTCAAACATCTCGCCCTGTTCCCACCAGCGGTAGTCCTGGGTTGGGTGTTTGGACTTGGCCTCATGACTGTCATTGAGTTCCTTGTCATCGTCGGAGGTACGTGGAGTCTCAGTTACACCACTCTTTACAACAGTAGCTTCACATAAAACAGTCTTTTTCTTCAAGTCAATTGATCTTGCAGCAGCTTGGATGAAATCGACCTTCGCATGTGGATCTCGGACAGGCTCGACGATATTCGAAAAATCAAGAGACCCACTGGCTGCATCGGTAAGAAGCGGCGTAAATACGAAGTAGGACCGTGGTGAGATGACGATGGGCGAAAATGATTGCGGGGAAAGCCGGCGCGACATAGTATACCCGCCCCATCCCGATCCGAGGATTACCACTCGTTCCTTTTGCACATCACTAGTGGGGGAGGCTTCTGTGTGCTCAATTCGTGTTGCGTAGCTTCTGTCTGGGAGAAGATTCGAGGTAGTGGTACAGAAGACGGGTTTGCATTGACCAGTGTCAGCACGCGAACGAACAGCCGGGCGCAGACTGGTACATTGAATGCGCCGTGAGCGCAAAGCGCCTATCGGCCGGGCAGGCATAATAAAGATGTATAAGTGTCGTCTGTTCGAGGAAGGATAATCGATGTATGGACGACTCCAATGCTTGTAATTCAACTTTCGAATATGAAGCTGGGCCCTGGGGTGTAAGGCGAGAATCACGCGATCAATCGGAATCCGAGGAGCTGATATCAGTAGAAGAAAACCTGCATTATTAGCTGCAGAAACGCCAATTATTGTATGTTTTTTTTAATAAAGCTGATATAGCTTGTCATAGACTTTCGCTGACACATCCATGACTTCATCTTCGGTAGGCGTGCTACAAGATGCACAGGGTAGAATCGGATCGGAATCTCAGGCATTGCTCAGCTCCACTTCAGCCCGCTTGGTATCGGGTTCTTGAGCTCCCGAACATCCATTCCGAGACTGTTGGGAGCTCAGTAGATCAGTATGAAGGATGGAAGAGTCAGCTCCCTATCCTCAAGGGGAAACCCGGAACCGTTCGGGGTGATCGGTGAAGGTTTCACAGCACGTGCCACTGAAACCGATCGGGAGAATCAGGCAGGTCATTTTTCTTCATGTTTTCAATATTTCAGCATTCAAAGAATGTTGGCAATGAGTCTTGGGAACTTTAAGGAAGAAGAAGGAGAGAGATGCAGAAGTTAGAAACAATCCCCTCGTGCGGGGTCAGGTGGTAGATGTGAGCCTCAGGCCCCACAATCATGCCACACCTTTAGATCTTCATTTGATCTAGCTTGGACTATAGACTCATTTGGCTCGAATTCAATCCAATCATTGACAGCAAATACTTTCGGCTTTGTTGATAAGGCAGTTGGAAGTATTCCACTATGCTAAATTGCTTATTTTTCATTCGCTTCACAACTGTGGCATCTGTGTTCCTGTCCAACCCGAATGAGGGTTGAAAGGCAACCGAGCTAGGAGCTCAATATTTTCCGAGTCAAGAATCAGCATCTGGGAATCTGGAGCCTCCATTCAGTCATATAGTATGGATGTGATGTCTCTCCAATTTTTTTCCTGTCTCGGGTGTTGTTTCCATTCTTTTGGTAACCTGATCAACTAGGAACGCAAAGCCAAGGCACATCGGCCCAAAGGAGAATCTCCGCACACACAATTTTTTGGAGCAACCCAATCGTGTTTTCTATTCTGTGCGCTGTTTTGCACACTCGAACATGACAGGAAGTTAATATTTACCTTGGCTCTTTCCTTTTTCCATATGGTATGGCACTTCCTGTTGAGACGCTGTCTACTCGGTAAAGAGGCCCGCACAGTGGAGACAGAGTGGCACTCACCCCAATTGGTGCTTGATACCCGAAGGGGCTGGGGAAGGACTAGAGTGTTGCACGGGCACGCCGCGTCGTGTACGGAGAAGACCGAGAGAAAAGACAGGCAAAAACCTCCATGAATATTGACCAGTGAGGAGAAGAACGATAAGCATAAGCGATGTCAGGGAAGATATCTCAACCGCACTCTTGCATTGCCAATGCTGAGATACACAAATCCTCGATAGATAAGGTTCTCCGAAGCCTTTGACTCCATAAGGGAAAACTCCACAAAAAAATCCACAAGTGGAAATCAGACGTCTGAGTCAATGTGTAGCACTCTCTACCCGACATGAGCTGGTGCATTCATTCAAGACATCAACTGCATTAAATCTTTGTCAAGAGAATTGTTTTAATTCGCTACAATCCCGATCCTAGCCGCAGCTGGAATGGAATCAAACAAGATTCGGATAAGCACAACAGCCAACTCAGCCAATGGATAACTAGCGTGGAATGCGTTAATTTAGCGTGGCAAGCGACGGTCTCAGGTGGTATTATTCGCCGGAGTCCGGCCGTTCAAGCTGTTCATTGGTTCTATTCACTGATTAGACTAATTAGATGGGAAAACGTTATCTCTCCCCGCAATCCCCTTTAAAAAACTACCACGTGAGGTTTTTTTTGGTTCCAAGGTTAACGAGAAACTTTTTTTTTTCTTATTTGCATTTCTCCTTCCCTATACTCTCGTCGCGTACACTCACACTATGGCTACCGATCCAGAGCAAGGCCTTGAAAAGGCCAATTATACTGTCGATCAGAATTCTCAAGATTCCTTCGATAACAATGCGCCTGCCGAGACTGGCATCATGGCCAAGATGCGCGCTGTGGAAGCTAGAGTGGACGAGAAATTGGGTCTTGAGTCTGAGGCCATTGTTCGAAAACGGCCAGAAGACAGGAGGAAGGTCCATTGGGTGGAGGAAATCTCCATGGCAGCCTTGTGGGCAAGTTGTACCATGAACACCTCTTGCTTTGCGACTGGATTCATAGGATGGGAGCTTGGTCTGTCTCTCAGACAATCGATTCCCATCGCGATCTTCGCCTCGATTCTCGGTGGCGCACTTACTGGCTATTGTGCGACCTTCGGTGCCGCGACCGGTTTGCGTCAGATCAGTGTGAGTCGATACAGTTTCGGCTGGTGGCCTAATAAGGTTGTTGCTCTGTTGAACGGTATCCAGCAATTGGGTTGGGCTGCTGTCGCATGTATTACAGGAGGTCTGGCCCTGACTGCAGTTTCGGATGGTCATGTCTCTTTGATTCTTGGAATTGTCATTCTGGCTGTCGTCGCTCTGTTCATCTCGTTCGTTGGATTAAACGCCATTCTTATCTACGAACGATGGGCTTGGGTTATCTTCTTCATTATTTTCCTCATCATCTTTGGTGAAACAGGAAAGTACGCCGATACCTCAGCACCTCCTACCGCATCTGGTCTTACCTTGTCCGGCGCTCTGCTCAATTTTATCGCCATTGTTTATGGCTCCAGTGCCTCCTGGTGTACCTTGGCTAGTGACTACTACGTTAACTACCCTGCCGATGTGAGTCGTGTCAAGGTTTTCCTGATGACTACTTTCGGCATCTCGATCCCCACTTCCATCGGCATGGTGGCTGGTTGTGTGGTCGCATCTGCATTGAACAACAAGCCCGAATGGTACAACGCATACGAGGATCAAGGTGTTGGATACCTTATTCAGGATATGCTCTACCCCCGTGGATTCGCCAAATTCCTTCTTACCCTCCTCGTGTTATCTGGTATCAACGTCAACGTCATTAGTATCTACAGTTCTGCGATCTCCTTCCAGCAGCTTTCGCGACCATTTGCGCGCGTCCCTCGATTCCTTTGGACACTTTTCTGCTTTGTCTGCATTCTTGCACTGTCTATCGGTGGTCGCGAGAAGCTGAACACCTATCTTCAGGATTTCCTCAGCTTGTTGGGATACTGGTGCACCGGGTATACCGTCATCCTTTTCGAAGAGCATTTCATTTTCCGGAAGGGCAAATTTGAAAACTATGACTTGGAAGGATGGAACGATCCAGCACGACTTCCTTTGGGTATTGGTGCAGGGGTCGCGTTCGTCCTCGGCATTGTGGCATGGTGTATGGGAATGGATGAGACCTGGTTCATCGGTCCTCTCGCTAAGTTGATTGGAGAGGAGGGAGGCGATGTCGCTAATGAGTTTACACTTGTTGTGACAGCTCTGACCTACATCCCAGCAAGATATCTTGAGCTGAAGCACTTTGGCCGATAAATGAGATCAGTCAAATGTTATTGGACAAACTAATCATACATACTCACTGTACTTGTTCGAAGAATGCTACGTTCAGTTGCTGTACTTTACTTTCTCGTGATGATGAACTTGAATTGAATAATGAAGTCATTGATTCAGCGGACTAATAATAACTTGAATTATCTAGAATCAAGTAACCACCGAACTGAGTACCTGATAATACCCTTAACCAATAACCACCAGATCCTCATTAAACTCAACACCAAGGGTATTGAGTATCCTCTTCGCAGCAGCCTCACCGGTTGCAAAAGCACCATGCACACATCCATTGCCAGCAATAGTCAAGTGTTCGCCCGCGAACTGCAGCTTGCTATTTGTCCGGCCCTCCACTGCATCGATCAGAATGTGAGGATTATCGCCAACCTTCTCGGCAGAATATGTTCCGAATCCAGCGAAGCGATCCTGAGTCCAGCAAGTTGACTCGATACTCGTGACTTGCGGCAAAGCCTTATACGGCTCTTTGCGCATAAGCTTGAACAGAGGTTCGAAGAACTCATACAGTTCCTCCTTGTCGGTCATCGCTTCCACTTTTTGCGTGAGAGGTTCAACGACCTGGATGCAGAGCTCTTTACTATCTGCCACAAGTAACAGATTAACCGTCACAGTGGCATAGTTCAAGATACTGTCCGGTGCTTCAGAGCCATCGGAGGATGCGACGCTCCCTTCACTCATTTCTTCAGGAGTGGGGTAATAGATGAACTGATCATGATCTTTGGACCAGAATACATCGGTGAACTCAAAGAATATTTTGCCAAGGGCACCGTAACTCATGTTTTCGATGCCTTTTTGGATATCTTGAGGAATAGGAGGGTTGTAAGAGACGAGGTTATGATGGAATGTGCCCAAAGGTGTTGTGACGACGATCGCATCACCGATGAACGTTTTTAATGAGTTCTCATCAGTGGAATTTGAACATTGGACGGAGATTTGAGCAGATGGGTCATCGCTCCAATTTATCGCATTCACGACTTGATTCAAATGGATTGATCCAGGACTATTGACAAGATCTTGAGCGGTCCATTTCACGATGGTATCATAACCATCTTTCATGTAGAGATTTCGCTCGGTAACGAAATAGCTCAAGTACTTTGATGATGCTTGATCTGTACTCGTTCCGATCCACTGCTCGATTTCCCGAACGGCCTGAGGAGCCCATAATCGTTCATCGTCAGTGATCAAGGGGTGTTCCCTTGTGAAGTCTCGTATGAAATCATCGACACTCCGATCTTGGGCGTTAGGATGCGTTTCATAGAACCACTCAGCGTAGTCCGCAAACTCATCGGCTACTTTCTTCGCCTTGAACTGAGAGCCAGCGCGACCTTCAGAGGTATAGTACAAAGGAGTGCCATCATCATAGTAATACTTAAGACCCAATTTGGGGACCAGTTTAACCAGTGGATTTTGAGAAGTCTCATGCATCCAAGCAGCGCCTATTTAATTTTTGTTAGTCTCAGAAACGTTCACCTCATCCCTCAGGAAGAGCATTCTGTGGAAAGTAGACTTATGACTCAAGAAGAAACCCACTAGGGTTGTTTCCAAATTGAGCGAACAAGCACCCCTGCAAAAGCCTGCTGAAAAGGAAATTCATACGGCTTTACGCACCAATATCCCGAGCTGGTTTCCCTTCCTTTCGACTGGTGTTGATTCGTCCTCCAATCCTGTCGCGAGCTTCCAGGACAACCACATTTAACCCGTGCTTCTTTAACACGGACGCGGCGCGGAGTCCAGAAATACCGGCTCCCACGACAAGGACTGTCTTGGTAGAAGGGTCAAGTTTGACAGGTAGCTGAAGTTGAAGGGGGGTCTTAGTTGGTTTCGCATTCCTAGTATCGAACATCGCCTCACCTTCCATAGACTCAAGTGTAATCGGGGCATTTACACTTGACTTTGGAGTCAAACCAAAGAAGGAAGTATTTCGACCTTCCTGATCCATGGAGGCTGATATGGGTTTTGCATTAAGTTGAACAGCCATGATGGAGTTTAGAACCAAATAGACAAAAGTCGGTTAATTGTTTGAAAGATAAAGTAGAATATTCAAGATTGAATGAATTCAAAAGGATGAAGAAGTGAGCAGCCAAGGTCTCTTTATCCCCCGTGGTTTCCCCTTTACATTTTAAAACATCTAATACGGTATGTACAGGCGGAACCAATTAAATACCAGAAACTAGTAACAACTTACTAACAAGATCTGATTTTATTTGATTTATTTGATTTATTTCATGCAGCTGACTTCAACGCCACGGGATCAAGCCAAATCTAGCTTAATGTAAATTGATAAGATTACTTATCACCAGTTATAATAAGGGATTTATTCGGTTTTGGCCCACAATGTAAGCTTTCGTCATGATCATCATAATTCCCACTTACTCAGATAGGAAAGCCCAAGCAGTTAGTGTCAAACGTGCCGGATGATGGTGACTCTTGGTGAAAAGATAAGGCGATTTCATCTCCACTTCTCCACCTCATATCTTTGCTCTTATCAAGGACGTAATCGGGATAACACGCTAGTATTTCTACTATTATGAAGAAGAATGGGTGGCTTTTTCACCCTGCATGAACTGTTACACCGGATCCCAGTACATTTTCTGAGTCTTTATGGTTGTGTAAAGGCTATACATGTCCAGGGCTGTGTACCTTGCGTAAGCTGTCCACATCACACAGACAAGATGACACGCCTATTAAAAACTCGAGAATTTTCCCTTGAATGCATGAGAATTTTCACTTTAAATTCTATGTAGCAATTTGACTCTTGAAATTCATATATTAACAAAAATGGTCACACTATATGATTTCACAATTTGGAATGGTCCAACTCGGAGTCATTCTGACTTGTTCGAGTACCAATATCCAAACAGTAATTTCTTTGCGATGCAAAGATTCCATGGAAATGGCGTTGAAGATTTGAAGGAGAAGCTATCTCAGTATGTTGAAGAAAAGCTCAACTCCAAGTCTCATAATATTCCACTTGTGAGGTATGACTCCCTTCAACGTAGTAGAAAATGACCTCCAGTGGCAGAACTCGCAAGATTGAATATTTACAAATCATCAGCATAATCCAGATCAACCGATATACTCCAGCTGTTGGGGAATATCTCAGGACCACTTTCGCCACAATGCCTCCTAACCTCCTTGAAAAAGTTGTTTAGAATGCATCCTTGGTTCAATATGTATCTGTGATACCGCGGGCGCAGAAGGACCCTGCTGGTGGGTTCAAGTTCTTAGTATCGTTATGATCTTTCATCGTTGGGACAAATAATTGATTGTATTATATGGATCATGGTTCTACTGTCTGATAAATCACCCATGTGCTCTACCAGTGACAGGGAAATCTTCTTCCGCAAATTCGAGCCATCCTCAAGTGAGCTTTCTACCGATTGCAACCTGGGTAGTCCCACCAGCACTTGGAATGCGGCATCAAGAGGGAAAGACAGACATATTCCTTGTCTGTACAAGCTCTGCGGTTGCAAAGCTCCTGAGCTCTCACTACTTCACATCGAGCGGCAAAAGATGGAAGCGCTTGGAACAGAATCCTCTTTGGATATTCCCTGACTTGCTTCATGTTTTCGGTGATTGGGAAGAGGTTTGGAATATGACAAAAAGAAACTGACCGAGTATTCCCAGCAGATTCACGATCCCTCTCGCGCAATGTCGTTGATTGAACTGACTCGCGCAATTCATGATGAAACTACAAATATCCTGTCAGTGAGAGAGCACCTACGTGCCATATGAGTGTTAATAACTCGCTTTCTGCGTCTTCAAGATGTGACAGCAACGCAGCCACTTGCAGATAGGGCTCGAGAGTATTCCGAGGATATTACTTATCAGGAAGAGACTTCTCAAGTCATTCTGAGACATCTTGAAAATATGAACAGTCTAGTTTGTTCATCTCACCCCGAACCGCGACCGAGCACTGCTAACTGTGGGATCCAGGCATTCAACATCGAGACAATGACCCAAGGAGAAGCCGTGAAAGAATTGAACGTCTTTGCTTTTATATTTCTTCCGATGACATTTGTTGCAGTATGTACTTCGACATTCACGGCGGATATCCCCTGGACAGGCTAGAGGCTAACAAACGATATTATCAGAGCATATTCGGTATGACCAGATTCTCAGTATCAGCAGCTTGGTACCCTATGTGGGCAGTACTCGCTCTTATTATTGTGATCTCAGTTCCTTTGGTCTTCCCTGTTGACAAATTATATCGATATGCATCCAGGCCACGGTGGCTGAAGAAGAAGAAAGAAAGATTGCTCCAAGAATCCCGTATGAGCCTTTCTTTTCGAATGCCAGAATTTGAGTCAGAATACAGTCACGAGTCGGATTTGGGCGCTTTCTCATCACATCAAGACCAAAACTGGGAAGAGGTTAGTCGAAGTGCAGCAGATCCCTGCCTCCAAAAATACGGCTATTTGAGAAACTTCGTACCCAAAAGCAACAATCTGTATCGATCAGAAGTCAGAGCCTACCTATCATCACATCGTCCAATAGTTCGGTCTATGCCCCACAGGCTTCATCCGACACTAGTAGCAGTGGGTATGAAGTGAACTTGGAGCTTGGAAGAGGTATGGTGAGTGATAAAATATTGACACATCAGCCTGACTCCGAGTCGAAGGTGATATCACTTGATATGTCAAGATCATTGGGCAAAACATTCAAACCACCTACACCTCCACCTCCCTGTATTCCTCCCTCCGATATTTTTGAACGCGAAGCTAAAGGTGATGCTTCGGTGCAAACCAATCTTGTTGCTGTTTTCCCTCTTTTATCCAAGATCTGATCCTCATAACCCTTAAGTCACAGCTGAAACCTTAGCCAGCATTGCAAGTTCTGGAATTACTCCAGCTGCGGAAGTATGACGAAGGGGTATCTTGTTGCTATGTCCGAGGTAGAACATCATGTTGAGATTGAGAGGGAAAGTGAGTGATTCATGTCTATAGGCGATACATAGGGGTGATTTAGAAGCGCAGCAATCTCGACGTGATGAAAATGATCAGCTCGTACGTAGACAGTAGGACCACTAATACACTATGGATGACGACGCCACTGTGGCTCATTGGCCGAGTGTGGCGCAGATCGATGAGTCAGAGCCTCGGCTTTGTCTAAACCCCGAGCTGTATTTAAGAATAGACCAATCACAGGTGGACTCGGACTTGGAAGCCCGATTTGGTCATATTGGACATATATCCGGGTTCCATGTTTCGCCTCTCCGACCTCTTTGAAGATTCCAGTCTGTTCGGATATCGTCTGTTTGGGCACGGTGAATTCCCGAAATGCTCGCATCTCCGATAGAATCAAGTTTTCAGGGTTTCATAGGGCAGAGTTGGTCAAGGCAGAATAATTGTGGAGCACGGCTAGAGCTCCGGTGGCTAATAATGGGGGTGACGAGTACATACTCCTCCTGACTATGGCTGCCTGGATCCACAAGTATATAAAAAGCTCGAACACCCCATATCAAATTCATTTAGAAATCAGATCACATCGCACTTCTTTGCCTTGGTCTTCCTTTCATCTTCCTCATCTCACCCTTACTACATCTCATCACTCCTCCAATATTCCACCCCTCTGATCTAAATACCAAATCTCATCAAGATGGCTTCCATCTACAATCTCAACCACCCCAACCAAACTTGGGATCCCTCGACCACTGGTCTTGAGGATCACCCTTTCTTTGCGCACAAAGGCCATCACCACGGCCACCGCGCACACCATGGTCCTCCTCCTCCCTACTGGGGTTTCGGAGGCCCAGGTCACCACCACCACGGACCCCCTCCTCCTTTTTGGGGATGGGAAGGTCCTTCCGAGCACGATCATCACGGCCGTGGTCGTGGCCGTCACGGTCACAAGCACCGCCGCGGCGAATGGAACCAGCCCGAGCAGGGCGAGGAATCGGAGACACCCCGCGCAGAGCAGACCGCTGAGGCAAACGCCTCCACAGAGAAGGTCGCTGAGACCGACGAGAAAGAAGTAAGCTCATCCTCCGAGTCTGAGTCCGACAGCGACCGCTGCTGCCGCAAAGACAAGCACAAGCACAAGGGCGGCAAGGGCCGTCACGGCATGGCTCACGGATTCGGCGGCAAAGGTGGACGAGGATGCAAGGGTAAGGGTCCCCACGGAAAGGGACACAAGGGCATGCATGGCTTTGGCGGACCTTTCGGTGGTTGTGGTCATCATCATGGTCCTCACGGAGGTCCTGGTGCTTTTGGATTCCCTGGCCCTCACCCTCACCCACCCCACCCCTTCCACGCTCACCACGCTCACCACGCCCACCACGCCCACCACCACGCTCACCCCATGTTCGGCTTTGGAGGTCCTTTCCGTGGAAAGGGTCATCACAAGGGCGGTCGTCATGGCCATGGTAAGCGTCGCGGTGGTCCCGATAAGGCATTCATGCGCCAACTCGCAGAGTACTTTGGATTCCCCTTCGGCACCTCCAATCAAGTCGACTTCGTTCCCAGTGCCGATGTCTTCGATACACCTGCCTCCTACATTCTGCAGATATCTCTACCCGGTGCGAAGAAGAGTGATCTGAACGTCGACTACGATGCCGAGGAGTCTGTACTGCGTCTTACTGGAATCGTTCACCGACCCGGTATGAACGAGGATTTGCACCAAGCTCTTGTTATGGAAGAGCGAGCCCGTGAAGTTGGTGTTTTTGAGCGGGAGATCCGTTTGGGAACACGAGAGACTCCGGCATCTGTTTTAGTCGATGGTATTGTTGCCACACTTGAAGATGGCATTTTGACTGTTACCGTTCCGAAGATTGAGGAACCTAAGGCGAAGCAGAAGGTTCTTGTTGAAGATGGGGAAGCTTTCAATGAGAAGGATGCTATGGTCGTGGAACGCAGTCGGACTTTGACTCCTGAGTCTGAAAGCGAGTCGGAGGAAGAAGCGAAAGAGTATGTCAAGATTCCTGTGCAGTAAAGGACAGGATAGATAATATGGTTTCCTAAGTTTGTGTTTTCAGTGATGAATATGTGATTTCTGAATTTGTGAATTAATAGTTGTGATTTTTGCGATTGAACAAGATTGAATAATAAATCTCCATTCGGGTCTAACTCGGGTGGTATACATCAACATGTCTATCTTCTCCAAGTCTAACTGTATTGTAGAATGAATGAGTAAACGCTAGTATAAAGACGTTGCAAAGGTATGAGCATATACTAGGAATACTAGTAATCATAAGGAACTTCAGAAAAGGAATATAAAGGACTGGACTCACAGTACAATTAAGAAACAAAGAACCGTCCACTTTTAGTAATCTATAATATAACAAACTTGAAAGGGTATCATCGCCGCTCATAAACCCACTGCCTCGGCCAAACCAACCACTCCTGAAATTCAGGCCGAATATACTTCTCAATATCTTCTAATAACTGCGACGCCATACCTCTCATATACCAAATATCATCAACGAGTTGTACAAGCACACAGTAGTGAGCCAGGATAACCAGAGCAGCGGGTTCATGCGCTTCAAGTTCATGATGGAACTCTTTGCTTAACGTATGTGCGAACAAAAAGATCGTTCCTCTCTCAATATTTAGCCCGGCAAGCTCCATCGAGCGACAAGCACGTTCGAAAGACTCGAGAGCAACTTTGTAATGGCTTCGAAGATCCGAAGAATCGTTCGTAGGTTGGGGGTTCACCGCGCTCCCATGGCTAGATTGTGTTTCCATCCGTGGAAAAACATAGCTGTCAATGAAATGATGTAGGTTGGAGGCTTGAACCCAGGTATCGGGTGGAAGCAAGGATTGTGAGACTTGAGCGGGACTGAAAGGACAAAATATTAATCCAGGATCCAATCTACCACTCTCCTGCGAATCGATAATCTTACCTGGGAATGATTTCAGGATCCACCAGCCAAATAGAATTAACCATAGGTGCAAGCTGGGTCTTCCGAATAGAATGCAAGAATGGCTCCATAAGAGCCTGCAATCCATTGAGATTCGCGAACATATCCACAACATTGGAAATCGGAGCTGGCAATTTAGAAACACCCAGTCTAGTAGGCGTCGCTAACAAAATCACATTGATCATTGACGCAAAACAAAACACAGGCTGCCAGTTCCTGTTATTTAGAGGTACTGCGATGAGTTCTCGGAACTCCGCCAATCCACTATTAATATGAAATGCAGAGGCCTTGATATATCGCTCCTTTTCTTGTTGACTTGGAACCAGGGACGAGCGATGTAAAGCGGCAAGGGCGAGAAGACCGTGCATGACGTATCTACTCGAGTACCCCTCCATCGGCATGATAACACGCCAAACATGCCGCACATCTTCACGAGCCACGATTGTACTGCTTGTAGATGTACACCAGTGATGCATTAATTCCAAATCCAGTGCCCAGTCCTCTTGATCACGGATAGGGGGACCTTGTATGTCACTCGGGAAGATGCCGAACAAAGTTGGCTTTTGTTCGGGCTCAGACACGACTCCATCATGATGCAGGTGAGAATTAGCACTAATTGTCCCCACATTGCTGACAGGATCCATATGGGGATGACCCTGCGGCTGTGATGGGATCTGGGGTTGAGTTGGGGGCTGGGGCACCGGGGATGCGGTAGAGACGGGAGTCACGGAGACAGTCTCATAATCAGAACCTTGTTGCGGCTCATTTGGAGCCATGTATTCACAGTGGATCGCATGCTTAACGCAATTGGTGCATGGATAACGTTCATCGCACTACTGATATTATGAGAGACGTGTTCGGATAGACCGGGTAGTCCAAGGACTCGGGGGTTATAAAAACCTTTAAACGACGCGCTTTGCATTGGGGACAGCCATTGCGGCTTTTGCGATGAGTTCTCCGAGGTCCCATACTCTATCAATCACGACTTGTTTGAGTCCCGTCCTGCGTACTCTATGCCCGATACTTGAGTCTGGAGCTGCAAAGGGGTAGATCTGAGAAGAAGTCAGATTCGAATACGGATACCGTTGCGGATACGGATACGCGTATACGCATTGGACTCGGTTCCACTATATGACCCACATTGTTCTATATCGAACCGTTGACAGGCATTGAAAAGTCTAAAGCGAGGATTTCGGACCTTTTAACGGGGAATTACACTGCCTGTCTCACTGGGCCCACAGACATTAAAAATGTGCACCAATGTTAGTGCTCAGATACTCAAATGAACCACTCTATAACCTCAACGCGAGAATATCGCATAGGCTGCCGCGTGGGCCAAGTGGATCCGACAAATAAACATCTTGGCAGGGTAGCGAGTGTGGCTCAGGTTGTAGTAAGAATTGATAATCTGAAATGAACTTGAACAGGGATTGACTGCATTTTCTAGTCTTGATATAAGTACCCGTTCATCCCCCTTTTGGAGATGGGTACTATGCATTCTGCTACACAACCCACTAGCACTGACAAGACATCATGAATCGCGAGAATCTTTACGGATATAATCCGTCCATTGCGGCGGCTGTGATCTTCATCCTCCTCTTCACAGCAACAACAGTGTACCATATTTGGCAATTAACGAAATCACGATGCCGTTACTTCATTCCTTTTGTGATTGGTGGAATCTGTATGTATTCAAGTTGATTCTATCCATGCAGCTTTGAGGTTTGCTCTTTTATATTGGAAAATGCTAATATAACATCCAGTTCAAATTATTGGATACATCTGTCGCGCTGATGCCAACAACAATCTGAGCTCCGTCACTATCTACGCTATACAATCCGTCTTGATTCTTCTCGCTCCACCTATGTATGCCGCATCAGTATACATGGTTCTCGGAAGACTAGTGCACTACCTCAATGCTGAAAGTCTGTGCATCGTCCGTGTGAAATGGATGACGAAGATCTTCGTCTCTGGAGATGTCTTCGTCTTCCTTCTCCAAGCAGGCGGTAAGTTCAGAACTCAATGACAATATACTCATAACATTTGAATTGAACTAAACTAATGCCTTATCCTAGGTGGCGGTCTCATGGCTAGTCATAAAACAAGCACCCGTAACACAGGCTCCAACGTCGTGATGTTTGGTCTAGTTGTTCAACTTCTCTTCTTCGGTTTCTTCGTCGTCACAGCTGCGATATTCCATTTCCGTATCTCCAAATACCCCACAACAAAAGCCGCGTCGGATATCCAGAGGACAACCGGACAGGGCTGGAAGCAGCGTAACTGGAAGACAGTGCTCCTGGCGCTGTATGCTGTTTGCACGCTGATTCTCATTCGATGCATCTACCGCCTTATCGAGTATAAGTATGGATATTCTGGATATCTCATGACACATGAGGCTTTCACTTATATCTTTGATGCACTGCTCATGTTCGTCGCTATGGTGATTATGAATGTGTACCATCCGGCTGTTATTCTTGGAGATGGGAAGAGCTATATGATGCATGGTTCAGAGGGAATGCGTCTTTAGACGTATGAGATGAGGCTATGAGCAGCATTGCAGTGTTGGAGAATATCCATTGGGTTTCATTTGACACATCAGGAGTTCAAATTGGTCGGCGTTTCTACATTTAGATAGTCTTGTTTTCCCATACATAATATGTTCAAAATAGTATGACTAAAATTGAGCTGTATACAGATGATCACCAACTTTTGGTGTAGATGCAAAATGTAGATCTGAATAGGTAGATGATCGAACACAGACATGCTAAGGGAAAAAAGGAACAAATATTGGTCATGTCTCATATCATCATGAAGTGGATCTATAATCCACGCTGCGTCGTAGGTCATAACTCTTTCTTGAAATGCCATTCGTCAATCCATTAACATGAAGGCCTTCTGGTCTTTTGGAGACAGTAGTACCCCGGGTAGAAACAGGCAACAGACTAGGTCCATAATCCAGATCAGCACTTCTGCGTGACCTTGCCAGACTGAGGATCTTCTCAATTTCCAATGTTTGCAGGTTAACATCAGTGCGTTCAAATGGATCTGGCTCTCGGTCTCGGCGGGAGATGAGGCGCTTTCCATAGCGGAAGAAATCACCGATATCATCCACCGAAAGGGCAATTAGAATGAGGGGAATTGAAATCGCAAACCCAACACCAAATGTATACTTTGCAACGTATGCAAGCGTCAAGTGTCCGAACTCTTCCATGTTGATCGTGAAAATAGATGAGATGAAAGATAACGGCAAGAAGATGATGGTAACGATAGTGAACACCATGATGGTCTTGCTTTGACGAGATGTCCCAGCTGCTTGATCGCGGGCGAAGCGAGCTTCAAAGGCGTTGGCATGTTTTTGTTTGAGATCCAGGAGGTCAGTGATGGAGTGGTAGATTCGTTCAGCTTGTTTGTCCATGCGGTCAAGATCCTTGAGGTGCATATCAATCATGCGCTGTTGATCCTTGAAGCGCTTTTTGACCTCATACTGGGAACGGTGTTGACCCTGATAAATCTCCCAAATGACTTCCTGAAAGTCAATGAGGACGTGTTTTTGATGCTCCAGAACAGTTCGAATCATGTTCAGTTCATCGCGGATGTCTTTTGTCTCGGCTAGGAGATCCGTCTCCTCGCCAATATCCAGCAGGTCATCGACGAAAAGTGGTGAGCCATCGGCATGGCAAAAGTCATCGTCGTATTCAGAATCTTCCTCTGGCACACCATCACGTCCTGATACTGAAAGACTCCTGCTACGAGCGAATTTGCTCAACTTGCGATGACTCTTCAACCAGCTTGACGCCTGTGCAGAAGCATGATTAAAGCGCTGGAAAAGAAGCGTCTCCCGATCAGTAGCTATTCCAATAGACGACTCAAACATATCCAAGAATTGATACTGGTCATCGCCTAGTCGATGTCGATCGAAAACGCCCGAGCATCGATTAGTAATTATAATTGCTAGATCATACACTGACTTCACAGGATCGCGAGTCTTGGAATTAATGTCCTCGATAATCCCATCTAGGACGTTGAGCGGATCATTTTTTGGCTGGTCCCATCGCTGGGGAAAGCTAGTGACAATCAGGTTTGTGCCCAAGATCCACACCCACAATTGGTCAACCATGAAGATCTTCGGATCAGTGACTAGCCCTTCGCGCCCGGGTCCTTTCGTTTGATATCGGTAGACGACCTGGTCTTGATCACGGCTCTGAGTATCAATGTTGGGGTAGAAGAACTGGTCCAAAGTTCGGCGAACATGAAGCGACGTCGTTGATGATGAGATATGCGCCTCGATCAGCATCTCATCCCGAGTTCGGATACGCTTCACGGCCTGGGGGTCAATCCGCCATCTTTCGGCACGCTGAATCGCATCCTGCATTTTCTGTCTGCGCTCTGTCGTCTCAAAGTGAAGGTAAGGCATGAAGACACAGACATTGGAAGCAGAGCTTAAAGAATGAGAATCTTTGCATAGACTTCCAGACATGGACGTTAGGGATGGTCGCCCCTTATCCATGGAGCCCCATGGTGCTTTCGATTTGGATTCTGTTTTGGGAGTCCCAGGATTACTCCCCGATTTGCCACGCTTCTGGTTGATTTTGTTTTTCTTCCCGGCCATGCTTACATAGGATTCATCAAGCGAATCCCCTCGATCTCCTTTGGCGCCAGCTCCTTTCTGTTTGCGATATACAGAGCTGTTGTCTGTAATAACGGACTGGCCATCCGTAGGCGGATCTTCTGTCTTCTCTTCTTCTCGCCTTCTCATTGTTCGAGGTGTATTCTGGCATAAAGGACGCATGAAATGCGAGTGAATCTTCTGGCCACGGTGCTGATAGTTGAAGGATTTCTCCAACCCCTTAAACCCATCCACATCATGAGCTCCCTCTTCAATGAATGACTTGGTCAACAGCGCCTCCACCCAAGCCATGTTATTCGCCGGCAAATGAATCCAGCGGAAATCCGTCCCTCGACTGTCAGCGGGAACTGTCGTAACAGCCTGCTTGCGAGGATTCTCCGGATCCCTACCATAAAGCAGATTATAAACTGACATGCGCTTCACGCGGTTCTCATTATGGAAATTTCCAAAGTCCACAATTGTACTGTCAAAAGCCGCAGATGCGAGTCTGACATCCTCTGAGAGCGACTCCACGTTATTAAACGGCGCTAACAAAAGCACAATATCTCTCCTTTTGAATTGGGCCGCTCGCAAGAACGGCGTGCTTCCAAAATTATCTCGCACCCGTCGCTTCAGGTCCGCCCTCTCAAGCAGACATTCCACCACCTCCCGATGACCACCCTGCGCAGCCAGGTGCAGCGGCGTCACTCCATTCAGCAATTGGCTATTGATATGCGCGTCCGCGCGCAAGAGGATTCGCACAATCGCCTCGCACCCCTTATCACACGCATTGTGCAATGGCGTCCATCCACCGTCACTACAGGCATTAACAGCGGCCTCGTGCTGAAGTAACAGCTGGATGATATCCGCGCGATCATGCGCCGTAGCAACATGCAACGCAGTCTTCCCTCTCAGCTCCACTGCATCAATCTCCGCCTTAGGCCTGCCATCCACGGGTGTGAGCAGTAGCTCCGCTAATCGCGAATTTCCCGTCGCACAAGCCCAATGCAGCGCTGTTCGACCGAGTTCATCCTGAGCTTCGAGGACATTTACTCTGCAATCTGCGCGCAGCAATAATCGCACAATACCCTCATCCCAACCCCAACGACATTCCTTATCCGCAGCCAGATTATGCAATGCCGTTCTACGGCGCAAATCCCGCCCATTGACATCCGCGCCACGCAGAATCAGCAACTGAAGTACATCTGCATGATTCTTCCAGGCAGCCGTCATGAGCGCCGTCCGACCTTCTTTATCACAGCTATCCGGAGACGCACCAGCGTCCAGCAGTAAGCGGACGATCTGGTAATGGTTGCGCTCGACAGCGCGGAGGAGCGGTGAAGGGCGATTGCTTGCGACATCTGTTTTTGCGCCAAGGCCGAGGAGGTATTCCGTTGCGTTGATGCGATTTCGTTTCGGCGCTGCGCATGAGCGCTGTGCGGAGGAAATTGTCTGACAATTGGCCATATTCGCGGGCGAGAGCCATTACGCTCTGTAATGCTGGGATATCATCGTTTTCGGTGGCGCGGAGGAGCCGTGGTTCCAGGCGTTCGTGGCCATCGCTCGTCATGCTTGAGCGGGATGGAGGCATGTTTTGCCTGGTTTAGCCGCGGAGGTGAACCCAGTTATATTATAATTAATGGGATTTGGTTGCATTGGTCGAGTATTTTATACGTTAAGCCATTTTTGGGGGGTGATATTGGTATCACCCGAGTAGTATTTTTTCTTCTGCTTTCTGGAGACTATGGAACTTTGACTACTCCAGGATCTGGACTCGAGAAATAAGTACAAGGGGTCCATCTCATGGAAAAGGTTATTTGGTGACCGCCTTTGATACGAGATACACCGCTTACCATAATCAGCTACTAAAATGTGTCTTCTCCTCAACGATGAGCACTGAACTTTTCTTTAATTATCTCAGTAATGTGATGGTATAATATGAAGAAATCTCACTATCAGGTCCCAAGTGAGAAATCTTGTTAGAGTCACTTGTTACATTGGAAGAAATCAAATATGGAAATAATGAATACTTCTGGCAGAAAATTGTACAATTTGGCCCCCACTTTATAATCCATGGGACGCTAAACATGGGATTCCACTATACCAGATTAGGAAATTTGAATACAATCAGCCCTGGAAACATCTATGTATAGTCATCTGATCTAAGATGGCCCCATAGCCATTCAAGCTGCAGACTCGCTATGGCTATCTTTGGTCGTATCTCGCCGTTTCAACTTTGACAAGCTAAACAACGTGTTCCGGAGAGATCTCCTAAAGACTCGCGGGCGAGAGGTCGAAGTTTCATCTCCATCACCCGTGGCCGAGTGTTTTTTCCGATATGTGCTGAAGTTATCCACGATCCAGGCAAAGTTCACGGGTAGACGACGGGCGTTTATTGAAGTTGGAGCTTTGATAGCTGACCACAGAATAAAGACAGTGACTGACAGAGCGACGATTGCTGTGATCACAACTTCGAGAATAGCAGCTCGACCTGGAGCACCACTCATACTGAACAAACTCACAGCGAGTCCCACGGGTAGGAAGAAGACTGTGGCATATGTAAAACGAGTAACATCTCGGGATTGACTGAGCGATTTTTCATTGTTGACCAAGGCAATAAGAAAGTCAATACGAGACAATAAAAGGTTGATCTCGCGGTCGTGCTTTGCCAACTCATTGTCATGGGTTTGAATGATCTTTCGATATTTCTGCTCATCGCTACGAGTCCAGCGTGGTCTTTCTCTCCCCTGAGAGCTCTCGCGTCCTTTCCAATCCTCAATCAGATCCTTGATACCCGTGATACTATCTTTCAAGACGCGAAGTACCTGAAATGTTTCATCGAGGAGCTCTTGCTTTTTGTCCTTGAAGCTTACGCTTGAGTACAGCTCCTCGCTCATATCAGATGAACTTGACCTCGGATCTTGTTCAAGCCTTTTGAGGATGTCGATAGCGCTTCGGTGTATGTTCTCCAAAACATTGTTGAATAGGATGAGCTCAAGCACCTTTCTTTGAGGGAAATGTGGATTATTATGACGCCATTTTGCCCGGAACAAATCACTGCTGACGGTCGACGTCTCGAGAACATGACATGTCCAGTACCGATCACACCAGTCGCCCACCATCATGAAGCTAAAAACATCGTCCACAATGTAACAGCCGTGTCCAAGTGTTCGGCATAGCTTTGCAGCCAGCTGTCGGCTGCATTTTTGGTCTGCTGGAACATCTGAACCTCCAGCGGATCGTTGCTCTTGTAGTTTTTTCCACTCATCTCCATCTTTTTCAACGGCTCTAAAGAAGCGACAATGAAGCTCAGTTGTCCAAGTGTTGAATCCTATTACCACATCATCATGGAAGAAGCTTGATTTGGTATTCCCATGTCTTTGGAAGAATGATGCGAGGTTTGATCTGTCACACTCTGGCGTTGCAACATAGCATGCTATTGCCATACTCCACTTTGGGCACTTGATATTGATCAATCGCTTTTTGCTTTCATCAAGTCTTCTTTTGGCCAATAGGCGATCCCTGGATACTTTGACGACGGTGCACTTTTGCTGGGCCGTGAGTTTTCTCTTTCGGCTTTTGCGGATGTCCAGCATAATCGCGGAATGTCGCCCTTCCATCAATTCCATGTCATCCCAATCCATCTCGTACTCAAGGCCAAGCCTATGCGATGCTGCTATTATGGTCCCATTTATCTCGTTCGGTTCTTGTGGAGGAGTGAATCCCAGGAAATCTGGATCCTTGAAAAGCCACTCTTCTGCGACATCCACTATTTTGTTCACATCCACGAATACTCCATACGGAATTTGCCTTTTCAGCGTCATTGGTGTGATTGCTGGCTTTGTGAAATTTTGATTCGAATAGCTCTGCTCATTCTGGGGTCTTGGGTCACGAGGCACGCTTTGCTCGGATGCTAACGGATTTTCAGGAGACACATCTTCGGCGGGATCAAGTTGTTGTATTTTCTTAGGGCATTGACACCGCAATAGAATATATGGGATTTCAAAGCCCACGTGGAAATAAAAGTCTCGGTCGATTTCGTCTTCAAAAAGCATTGCTTGCTTATCATCATTGAGTTGACCGGGGAACAAGCCGTTCTCTGAAGATGAGGATAGTAGGAGCTTCCTTGCATACTGTTCCATTTTGTCTGGTGAATATGTGCTCTCTAGCTGATGATCTTCGCGAGACATCAACATAGCCAATCCGTATCGAAGAGGGTCCTTCCAATAAGGCTCTTCACAAAGACTGTCATCATGCTTCGTTTGAATATTCATCAATTCTCTTAGTGGCTCATCGTGAGATTTGAAAAAGTCCCAACCCATTCCGTAACACAGCACCGTATCTCGTGAGTGTAACAAAAATCGTGTCTCGCTTGCACTCCGAGTGACACTTAGCATGCGTCTGTTGAAGATCTCATTTTTGATTGTAAACCGCTTTAAATTTTCCTTTCGCAAATCCTCAGAGTTGAAGAAAATGGCTTCCTCGTCCTCATCTGCATGACTTCTTAATCTCTCTGCTTTCAATGTGGAAATTCGGTCCTTCAACTTCAGAAACTGCTGGCGCTCATCTGGATGAATGAAACTATTCGGGATTTGGGGACCCATTTCGTTCATGAGATCTTCAACTCCTCTCAAGGCTTTCCAGATCCAAATATGATCGCCCAGGCGATATGAAGGTATATCTGAGCCCTCGACATGCTCCCAAGTAGGTGTTCGTATGTTCTTCGTCGCCTTAATTCTTGAGAACCATCCCTCACAGAGTATTGCCAGCTTTTGGTAAATAGATTCTTTACCCGCAAAGTCTTCGGTTACTCTTAAGAACTCTGTCACCTTGATGATGTGATAAGGCATGTTGGTGGGACAGTTCTTTGGGACACTTGTCTCACTGTATGAGTCTATCATTTTGCCACTGATCCAGAGATTAGTGGAGCAGGCTGCGTCAAGGTCAAGATTGAAGATCCAGTCAAGGTGACCCTTACAGGTCTCACGAATCCTTTTGCGTAGGCGATTCACGGCTTGATTGTCGACCAACCAAGGACTTTTCTGGGAATCGGAAGGGTCAAGACTCTTGTACATCTCTAACATGAACATGAAAGCAAAGCTAATACTGTCAGGAGCAAAATCTCATTTCTTCACATTCAGATGACTTACTAGCTCCCTGATACGCTGACCCTATGGTCTCCAAAATCTCCACAAGTCAGTGCGGTTGGAATTGATGGGGGTGAATAGCCGATTCCAGTTGTCTTCAAAGTCTTCGGAACTTCTGACAAATTTGAATAAAGAGGAATGCTGCAGACGGAAAGAATATGCTCCAGGTTCCGATGGCAATGCCAATTGACCTTGGCTTCAATATCATCCGCAAATGGGCCAGCTTTGCTTTCCTTTCCAAATTGGAAGGGGGATCGTCGATTAGGTAGAGACGGGGCTTCTAGTAATTTCAATGCCAGGTGAGATGGAACCATCTGCAATTTTAAAGTCAACGTATATTCGACATGAGCTTTTTGTCCTTCAAATTTGTGCGCAAACGGTATAGACCACAAAGAGTCTCCTGGCTCAGGGACTTCTTCAGCGCGTCTGGATTGGCGATTTTTAGGAAAGTCTGGAATTATGTGAGCCTTCTCATCTTTGAACATTTCTACCAGCACGCCAATCTCGCTTTTTTCTGTATAGTTCCCCATCAGAAGTATGCGATGCCCATTTTTCGCAGTATTTGATTGGTACTCTTTTATCTCTTTGTTGTCCGAAGGCATGATATAGTCCAAATCTTGCATGAACAATCTCAAGTTCAGATTCAAATTGATTTCCTCTGGGCCGGATGCTCTATCGACACGCATCTGTTGTACAATAAGGCCATCTTGACACCACAAACGCGTTGTGACTAGGAATCCCTCTTTTGTTCCATAACGAATGATTGGCCAGCGGTTTTCGACGAATTTGACATTTGACTGCAGTGGATGTATTCCATCACCCAGCCGTAGCCCAAATCCAGAGTCCGCATTTTCGGCATATCTGAGAAATTGTCCTGATCGGAATGTAACAAACCATGCTTTTTCACCGGTGTATTCAAGACAGACAATTTTCGATCGGAAGGCATCACATGAGGTACGAGCGTCCAAGCCTGGATTGTTTGAGTTCTTATGTTCCAGATTCTGGACTGGGCAGCAAATGCGTAACAGGGAGCCATACGTTCCCACACTTGCTGTTAGGCCTTGGTCTCCAAATGAAATGTAAGGCGCAGGAGCAGATTCTGTCGATTTTATTTAGCCATTTACTGTCGCAAAGGTATCAGTCGATAGAGCCTCACGCTTTGCCCAGATCTCATCGGGCGGTGTTATCGTGATCTCTGGGATCTCTGGGGGGCTTTGGTAGCGGAACAAAACTCATTTCGTCTGATCGGATCTCTCAAGCTGTGCACAGCCCGTGAGATTCCTTGGGCGCAACTCTCAAGGCGGAGTGGTGCTCTGTGCAATGGACCAGTGCCATTCAGCAAGTCTGATAAAACTGGAATGAAACTCGAAGTGTTTGACTCGGTCAAGTAATGCTTGAAGAGTCAGCAGCTCAGCCTCCAGGGCTCGTATTCACACGCGCCACTAAGTACCTAGGTACATAGTTCCCTGCCACCTGGGCAGTGCACATTGTAAACAAATTTCCCCACAATACAGCCCGTTTCGTGAGAAACCCCTAATCCTAATCCGCATAAGCTTAACGCGAACCCTGGAACGAGTCCGAACGACTAGGCACATGAACCGCGCTACTAATTTAGATTGACTAAGTGAAAAAGACAATACAGAAAGAGCACCATATTCCGAATACTGATTTCTTTGATCGTCTAGGATATAGGGGTTCATTCTTCAATCGGCATCACGTTCAAACATAAGCTTTCCAGTATGAACTTTCGTCGGTAACGACAATGCCTCAAGAGAGTTCAAAGCCAACTGAACTAGCTCCAAATCTCCTCCTGGAATACCCATCAGTCCAGCAAGAACTGGCATTTTTTCTATTTTCCGAATTATCTTCGATAAGTACGAGATTCCACCGACTAATTAAACCATCCCATAGTAGACAATCTATAACCATCTTATTCATCCACGCGGACATAGATTGGAACCACTCACTTGGAACAGCCAGTTCAGGAACTCCCACTGCCGGACTCAGCGTTACTGCACGCAGACCAGTAGATGGTGAGTCCGGGATATCAGGGTATACATCACGATATTGAGGGCAAACCGCAGCAATGGGAAGAATGAATATCATATTTTCATCTTGGTTCGACATGTACTTCTCAAGAAACCAGGTTCGAAAGACTTGAAGTCTGCGCTGAGCCTCACAATGTTGATTCTTGTCGACTTCACTTCCAATTTCCCTAGCTTGTGGTAGAAAATAAAGCGGCTGATCAGGGTTGAATTGTAATGATCACCAGATCCATCTGACAACTTCGGTATTGAAGGGTGGCTTCCCATACTGCCGCAGATAGATTGATCTGAATTCATTGAAAGATTGGTAGGCAGCATAACAAGCCATGTGTATTGATCTTGCCGGGGTTTAGTTCAGCCATTCGAGGTTTTGTATTGAGGTCACTCACATTGAAAAGGTATGTATCAAGAGCTTCATTTAGTTCCGGCGGCTTTGCAGCCCAATCATCAGCTATCGAACCCTCCTCAACTCTAGTAACAAGTATACTTGCTATATTATTCGCGAAGTTATCCAATAGTTCTAGTTGTCCAGTAGTAGGTACAGACCGAAAGTCTCGAGGATATATGACTCTCACTTTCTTTCTGGGTAAGTTTCTTGCAGAATCAACATTCTTCCAAGCGCACAGCACTCGATGAAACAAGTTTAAATCACGGCCTAAAAAGGCAGGGGTATCAAAGGCAGGATACACTTCCTTGCTACCCCATGCGGACAAAATTCCAGAGCTTGGTCGTAGACCAAAGCATCCACTAAGTAGAGCTGAGATCCTTGCACTTCCAGTCGCTAAGAATAACCCTTATGATTAGCAAATTTGCACGACAATCCATAAGAAGTCGTAACTAACTATCAGTCACCAGCGCAAGATCTAACGATTCATATGAAGCGATGGCCGCCGCAACACCGCTACTACTACCTCCTGGGATTTGATAGCCATCAGCTTGTGGATTAACAGGTGCTTGATAATCAACACTTTGCATAGGATGCTCTTGAAGTGCGAAGGCACTCATCGCAAGCTTTCCAACCACCTCCGCGCCCATGGAGATCAAACAGGTCACGGTATCTGCTGTTCGCTGACATGGGGGATATAGCTCGTAATACGGTAGACTTCCAAGTGAGCTTCGTAAGCCTTTTAGGTCAAAAATGTCTTTCACACCTATTCTGACTCCAGCTAGTGGCGCGGTTGATAGAGATGCGTGGATTTTTGAAGGGACGGCATTTCCCAGCGAGCGGTATCTCTCACCAGCAAGACGAAGATCGAGAAATTCCCTACAGACTGTCAGTATCTTTTCAAGGCTGGCTATCGCTCAGTCAAAATAATACTCACTTGTGATCACGAGAGGGCCAGGTAGCTTGGACAAACCCATAGTTGTTGTCACTGTACACCTTTCGTACATTGTGCAATATTCTTTGGATAATACTGTACGGTCCAGGAGATAGCTCTTGAGGTAGATCTGTTTCCGATGTGAAGCAATACCATTCAATTCCCCATTCCTTTCTCAGTATCCGGATATCCAGATCAACTGTGACTTCTGATCTTCTTGTGCCTGTGAATATCACACCAGCAAGAAACTCCTTTCGAAATACATCATCTTGGAGGTATATTGCCCTGGATTCCTGGAGAAAGAGAAGATCTACCCGGTCTCCAGGTTTCACTGCGAACAATGAGACTAAACTGTCAGTGATTTTGATCCCAAGTGACTATTTTCATTATTAGTTCTTGACAACTGCAGTTTATCAAAGGAGTCAAACCTTGGAACCTTACAAGGTCTGTGGAACGTTGGATATAGGTCACTTTGCCGAGCTTGAGCAGAATATATGGGGTTTGCCTCGAGTTGCGGATTCTAAGCCCCTGGTGCACTACCTCCTTTGCAGGCCAAAACCCCCTTCGGCCACAGGCATATCCGAGAGTTAGAGTCAACAACATCAGCAGGAGTGAGACCATCATGAATCTCGGCGATTATTCTTCCAGAGATGGAGTTGAATCTTTGTTAGGAACTTGAAGTCCATGTTCCAGATGACATTACCGCCCGAGTCCAAGGCTGCCCAGCGGGGACAGGGGTATAAGTGGTCAAACATATACGCCTCGTCACAACTGCAACACTTGGAGCGTATCATCTGGGAGGTATCAGGTACCTGTCCTAGTCCTCTTTATTCGGCTTACTAAACTTGGAAATTGTCAACCTTGGGAGTGAGACGAGACTTAGAGAGTGAGGAGGCTGAAGAGGGATACCTCGGTCGAACAGGTGCTCATGTGTAAAGTCAGAATTTGAACTTGGACGGACCAGAAGTATTTTCAAATGTTCGGTAGTATCTTCACCATTGCCAGGGGTCAAATAAGGCGTGCTACTATCGAATGGTTACGATTGTTCGGTGTGACATGTAGAGGCTGTGTTGGTTGAGATCAGAACCACACGCCACAAGATTCATATTCAGACGAAGAGCATCAAAAGAGAAACTTAAATCGAAGATAACGATGATGAGGTGAAGCTGGAAATGAAGTTTGATATGATACGGAACAGATCTATAACTGTACAGTATGGTTGGTTACCAATATGCTCATCTGCTTAGGACCCATGGTTCTTATAAGTGGAATAGGAAGAATCAAAACACCCATAAGAATACAATGAATCTCAATTGTGCAAATATTAGGATCTCTATTTTCTATCAGGCAGTCTCCGGGGGATGAAAATTAAGAGAAAAGAAAAGATTACGAGAAGCAGGGGGAATCCAGCACAGAAAAAAAGTCAAAAAAAAAAAACAAAAAGGAAAGAAAAGACCCGATAGAGACACAATGAACACGGTTCTTCCACCGGAGATGCTGATGCTGATATGCTGATAATTATGATGATGGTGCTGTGCCTTCTCCCATGCTTCTCCAATACATTAAATGGTGGTCGCTTTTGATCTTCCCTGTGCATCACGCCAATTCCAACCCAATGAGTTCATGAAACAGTTATACGCCTATCAACAAACATTCCAAAAAAAAAAGGAGGGAAAGAAAACAAGAAAGGGGAAAAGAAAATCAGAACCATGTATAGTCCAGGATTTTATTGAGTCTAGAAAAGACCACGATGCTGGAAGGATCAAATAAAGGGAAGGAGAGAAGAAAGCAAGAGCGACAAATTAGTGCTTCTTGCCCTTTTCCTTCTTAGGAACTTCCCGAAGGATATCATCAAAGCTCATGTTCGGGTTAAACCGACTGATAGGACGAGCAGGGGGCTCGATAGGGGCGATGCCGGCTGGCAATGGCAAGGCCTCCAGTCCAGGGTAGATGGAGTGGCGATGGGACTCGTTTCGCATACCCGCAGCAGGGGATCGTTGACGAGGAATGGCAGGGGGCGGTGGGGTCAGGCCACCATTGGGCATGTGCATCATACCGGCTTGCTGCTCGGAAGAGGATCCAGTAGAAGACTGCTGAGCAGGGTAAGGAGAAGAGATTGAGGACTCGTTCTCGTCCCATGTATCCTCACCCATAGGGGGCTCGATAAGGGCACCATCCTCAGCCCACTGTTCAGCCAACTGCCAGCAGTGACTGCGGCGGTAGACACCTTCCACACCGTTGATGACCACATCAGAGGGGAGACTAACCACACCCGCGCCACCGGCAACACCAAACCAGCTGCGTGCAGTCTTGGTATCATGCTGGATCCAAGGGGCGCCACCACGAGGAGCAACACAGAGGAAGTACTCAACACCTTCAGTGAATCTAACATCGGGAACATCAACAACCAGCATGGGCAGAGACTGAAGGACAGCGTAGAGGAAGATCCATTGACCGCAGCGCAGATCAGTGATGTCCTCAAGGGTCTTGCCAGCGGCACAACGGCGCTCGAATTGCATAAAGCTTTCAATAAATGTGGTAGGACGCATGCTTTCGCGAGTATAAGAGTCCATCAAAACGGCATTGATGTCGGCGTTCTTCAACTTCTTGCTTCGCAATTTGCCCTCCTTCTTGGGTTCCAAGGGTTTTCGGTGGAGGACCTGCAAAGAGGGGATCTGAGGAATATCGAAGGGGATTGGGGGCGTCACGGGAGGAGTACTACGGTCGTACTCGCTGAGCAATTGTCGGAGCGCACGAATCGTGACGTCCTTGATGTCTGTGGATGTGTTGTCGCCGCCCGAGCCAGACGCGTCGATGGTGCGGGTTGTAAGCGAAGTGCGGTCAACCAAGAGATCGTAAAGGTCAGTGAAATCATGGTAGAGATCCAGGAGAAGTTGGCGGTTCAATCCACTCTCTTCGAACTCGTTCTTCTTGGAGCGAGCCTTGGGTGGCCAGCTGCCGTATTTCTGTCGGTAGAACTGCAGAGTGAAGCGACGGAATTCGAGGAAGCCAGACTTCCAATTCTTGAAGCGAAGCAATTTGCTTTCGACGGAGGTTGTCGAGTTGGCAATACCGGAGAAAACGGATGGGAAATCGAAGTCCTCCAGCTTAGCGTACAAGCCACGCAAACGAGTGTCCAGGTCGATAAAGCCACGCTCAAGGCGCTTCTGAGTGATGGGGTGGATGAAAGTGAACTTCGGGCTTCGAAGTTGCTTGATCTCATCGAGCTTGCCGACACCGTGCGTGAAACCTTCCACGTAGAGGGGGAAGTAACGAAGACGCTCACCGAGCACGATGGCCTCAATTGTCTTCTCCCTACTCTTTCGAACATCTCCCAGGCGTAACTCGTCGCAGTAGTTGCTGAAGCTGGATGTGGCAGTTTCACCGAAATTGGAACCGTCCAGGTTGGTGAACTCAAATCGAGCGAGGAGAACCGCAACATCCATGAAAATGCTGAATAGAGACCCAGATTTCGGGCTTGCAATGAGGGACTGGCCCAGTAGGAAAGCGAAGAGGTTTCGGAAAAGGAGCAGAGTCTCAGTATCCTCCTGGCTCAGTCGACATTGCGGGTTCGACACGTCACTGTTGAGGGGGATGGGCAGGTATAGATGCAGTTCCTGCACATCGTCCGGGCTATCATCAAATGCCATCCGTTGGCTGCCTGAGCTATCATTGTCATTGTCTGCTAACCGGTCCTGCGGGGTCAATGGCGGAGAGATCGGGTTCATAAGAGAGAGCGTGCGGGTAGGCTGCTCTAGGCCTGTTTTGGCATCGGTACCGCGGGCGAGGTAAGTGAGAGAAGGAGATTCGGCAAAGATCGTAGAGTCGACCTTGAATGACGGTGAACGACCGGTATTCTGAGGGAACAAGTAGACAAAGGTATCGCCTTGTTCATTCCACAATTCAGGGACCTTCCAAATCAATCCAGTCAGCGGAAGTTCTTGGCTTTTTTTGGGGTTTTTCTTTGATTTCAATTTCAGGTGTGTTTGCTCATCTTACCTGTTCTCCCCTTGCCAATGGACCAAGATCATATGGCACCTTCTGATCCAACCCCGCGATCCAAGCACTCGGCGTCGAAGGAGCCACTGGCCGCTTATCTATCGAACCGGCTCGCGACCGAGCCCCCATTCCAGGCATCCAACTCCTACGTTTTGATGGCGTGCTCGGGCGGGAGTCTGGTGTGGCACCGGGAATAGCCAAGCCCACCGCACTGGCGGGTCGACTCATTTCCCGACCCCTGCTCTGAGGACGGCCGGATGTGGGAGAGCTGGGTGCACTGCTCGCAAGATCGGAATTCACGGCGAGTAAAGAAGGCGGGGGAGGCAAGCTCTCCAAGTCGAAATCCAGGGGCGCATTGGGGATTGTTCGTGGCTCGGAAGAGAAAGCCGCATTGGGAGTCGAGACATGGCGAGTTGGCCGAGAGCTACTGCGTCGTCGGCGGTCATTTGAGCCATCTGCTGGGTTGGAAGCTGGAGATCCTGGTGAACCAGCGGGGGAATTATGGTCCTTGTGACTCCCCAAGGAGAAGAGAGACGAGATGCGCTTCGCCGATTTAACGGGAGCCGACAACATCGTTTCAGATGTTTGAAGATGGAGGGGGGTAAAGTTTAGGAGTATAAAAGAATCAAGTCGAAATTAACCAAGGCGCAGGGCAAAGAGAAAGAGTGTCAGGCCCTGCGACTCATGGAATGGGGGATGAGAGTTGGGAGGGGAAAACAGGGTTGAGTTCGGGGAATGGATCGGCAGGAGGGCAAGAATGGCAGGGAGAAACCCGTGGGACAACCTTCACAACCTTGGAAGTGTAATAAGGGAATGAAGTCCAATCTACCGAGATAGATAGAAAAAGGGGGGAGAAATTCTAAGAAGAAAAAGCGAGAGGAAATAAAATAGATGCAAAAGATGATACCGGGTTTTTTTTTTTTAATATTTTTTAGTGATTTTTTTTTCTTTTTAGTACATGAAGTTCTTTACGGAGCCTTACCCAAAATACATAATAATAAAAACATGGAATAAAAAAAGGTCAAGGCGTAAAAACAGGCAAAAAACCAGGTGTAAAAACGGAGGAGCTTCGATCCGGTTCCTTTCCATGCCAATAATAGCTCGTTAGGTGCAGGATGGAGGTTCCTTGGGTACAGGTGGATCCTTACAATACCAAAGTCCGAGATGCATAAATAGAACTTGAACTGAATATACATATAGATTACATTGAGAATACTCATATCATTCTAGCATTTGAGTGGAATAAGAGTGATGACAAGGCTGAATTTGATGTACATGGGGTCCATTACCAGTACTTAGACTGCAGTGTTCTATTCATAGCCCACTATACATACTCTGTACAGCCACGAGAAGCACTCGCAGCCAAGGTTAGCCAAGGTTGACTCGTATGCCAGTACCGGTAGCGCCTAATTTATATTGTGGATTAATCTGATTATTAGTTGACCCAATCTCATTTAATACCGGTATGGAGTAAAAGAAGTGGATTTTACTATTAGGAAGTAAGAGATTTAGTGTTCCAAGTGCTAGTTTTACTTAACCACAGTGCCTCCAGGGCTGGAGTGGAACTGGAACTTGAATACTATATAGATCACCTGCCGCAATGCACTATTAGCGACTCCGTACAACTAGTAATATTTAAATGCACGGATGATCACCCACTGGCATTCATAATTTCGCCTCACATAAAAATTACCTCCAATTGAATATGATTTAAATGCCACGCTTGTTGCCGCACTGATCCGAGGCTTGCCCGGTTTTAGCAATGGGGCTGCGCTAGTCATTAGAGGCCCAGAAGTACCCTGAGCATCACTGGTCCAGCAAATCTCAGACTGAGACATATGCCACAATATGATCATTATCCTGGAAGAAGCTTTTCTTTGAAGCTTGAAATATCGGGCATCAATATCTGATCTCATTTAAATCGATCATGATGTCAATTTTTTAGAAAAAAAAAATTATAGTACCAATTTGAAGTATGTGTAGTGCCACCTAGGCAGTGATATATACTAGCATCATCTGGGCACCAATGTATACTAGTTATATTGATTGTATTGCTTCTAGTAGTAGTTGATACAAAAGCCTATATTTTAGGTAGAAATATTCAAAGCAACTAAATAGCATTAAAAAAATATCATATACAAAATATTGTGGCACCGTGACTCAGGCTGTTCCTGGTGCCTGTTTGTGTCCCTGTTTTCCCCTCATAGTTCCGCACTCGCTTCCGCATCTTGCCCGATCTCGGATCCACCAGATGCCCACGGGCGATACGTGGTACTACCTCACGCCGTACCTTACAATAACCCCTGTACGGAGTAATTGAGCTACGAGCTACTACTTGTGCTGTCATCAATTACTATATATTCCGTATCCATACATATTCCCCTCATGGCTGCGCCGACTGACCCTATCGACCTCTTATGCGGTTGGCCGAACCCCGCGCTCCTCCCCGCTCCTGATATCCTCCGCTCCGCCACAGACGTGCTGACCGTTCCTTCCATTGCCAACCCTGCCTTACTCTACGCCCCAGATGAAGGCTGGGAACCATTACGAGTCGATATTGCCAAATGGCTAACCTCCTTCTACCAACCCTGCCACCCCATTTCGCCCCAGCGGATCTGTATCTCCGGTGGCGCAAGTCAGAACCTCGCGTCCGTGTTGCAGGTCTTCACGGACCCGTTGTATACGCGGAATGTCTGGATGGTCGATCCAACATACCACTTGGCTGGCCGCGTGATGGACGATTCCGGTTTCTCGGGTCGAGTGCGTGCCGTACCTGAAGATGACGAAGGGATTGATCTAGATTTCTTGGGGAGTGGGTTACGTGCTGCGGAGGATGAGGCGTTGTCCGTGGGCAATACTGAACCGGTAATTGGACCTCCTAGAAACTGGGGTTGAACCTGGCATGCCATGGCGGAAATATCTCAGCTGACTTAGTACCTCTCTCTGCCTTAGAAAATTAAACCCCCTCGACCCTGGCGCAAGATCTACAAACATATTATCTATGCGGTCCCCACCTTCGCCAATCCCTCGGGCAAGGTTATGTCCCTGCGCCATCGGGAGAGACTTGTTCGATTGGCTCGGAAGTATGATGCGCTACTGGTTACAGACGATGTCTATGATCTTTTACAGTGGCCATCTACCAAGGGCGATGAGAAGACCTCGACCGACCATGCTCTGGTGCCCCGTTTGGTAGATGTGGATCGGTATCTGGACGGCGGCCCCATTGATGAATGGGGCCATACATTAAGCAATGGCAGCTTTAGTAAATTAATTGGGCCAGGAACTCGCACTGGATGGACAGAGGCATCTGAAAAGGTTGCATATGGACTATCACAAGTGTATGTTTTGTTTTTCACTGTATTACACGTGAGTAAGCTGACGTGACAAAAACAGAGGGTCGTCTCGGAGTGGTGGAGCACCTTCCCAACTCTGCGCAGCCATGATCTCGTCATTGATGCAGAGTGACTGGCTGGAGTCTCACATTCGTCATACTCTCTGCACCAGCTATTCCGACCGATACCATTTACTGGCGGACGCCATCAAAGAGCACTTAGTGCCCCTCGGCGTCACCCTGCCGGCCGCCTCAACGCCGGTGGCTGGCGGGTACTTCATCTGGGTTACCCTGCCAGCTCCACTGTCCGCGGTAGACGTAGCGAAGCGGGCCCCAAACGGATGAGAACTTGCGCTTAGCGCCTGGCAATCTATTTCAGGTGGCGGAGGGTAATCTCCAGACAACGAGTGCTCGTTTCACTAATAATCTTCGCCTCTGTTTTGCGTGGGAAGAGCCGTGTCACCTGACGGAGGGAATACGTAGACTTGCGCGTGTTGTGGAGCGAATGGCTTCTGAGTCATTATGATCAAGATGAGTCTTGCAGATTCCTATTCATAGAATTGAAAGACAGCTACAACCGATGCACGGCAATTGGGTGTTGGCCCTGTTGGGTGTCTTGGGTGGACGGTCCGTGCCGGGTAAAGGACGCGTGGCATTGGGGCAAACATATTACATATACCCAGCTGGATATTCTGGTTGCCTAGTTAAAATTTATACATTTTCAAAGGCTGAATCCAAATTCATAAAAATGGACTCTGTATCATGAAGGTGTCGTAGTGGGACAAAAACGTGTGGATGCTTGTGGGAACCTGTCGTTTATTCTTCATTGGGCAATTAAGACCGGTAAGTTACCACGTATGAAAGATTTCTCCCTGGCAACAGATGATGAAGATAAAACGTGTCAATCTGCTCCACGTCCACACAGTCGATGGATCTGATCGACATGCAAGGTCTGCGAGGTTCGCGAGGTTCGTAGATGGCAGGTCAGAACAGCATGAAAAAGGAAGAATGAAGTCGTAATCATATGCATAATACAGGAGTACTCTGTATAACAAGAGCTCCCTACTGACTTTCCAAGACTTTCAAGCTTGTGCAGCTTGTGCTTGTGCAGATGCAGGGGAATACATATGGCAGGTATTCCGTAATCTCCAGTAAAACCACTAAACACGTAGTGCCAGTCATCGCCTCAGGGGTAAAGCTTGGCCACCAAGCCACCGGCTCTAAAATCCTTCCATGGATTCTAGCCCTCCCACTTGTAAAATGAGTCCTTGTGTTATGATCATGAAATTGACTCCGTCATCAAGAATCTCCCATCGTCCCCGCGTCCAGGAATGTTCATCCATAACACCCGCACCCCTGACAACCAAACAATCAGGAAGGATACGCGCTTTCTCGTGAACTCACTGATCGCTCTTAGGCCATACCAGTACCAAGAGACTGCCGAGAATGGTGGGCCATCTCCTGACGTAGAACATCCCGTCTTCCCCGTTCCCCATACAGGTGTTCTGGTTGTTCTTTGAGTATCACCACAAGGGGCGGCTCCACCACGGTTGGCCTCACATACCAGGGAAAATAGGGACTCTTGTCCCACCCATAGCAGTGTTAGACCAAGGGAATAATAACCCCCTGGAAAAGGCTATCGTGGCTCATAATCCCTTCCATGCGACGGGAAAAATCCCAAAAATCCAGGAATGTGCCCAGGTGCGATCCGGCATACCCTGTTTGGGATCGGAGCAGGGTATATTAGCAACGTAGAGTCCTGACTCAAATCATTTGGGAATCTTTTGTCACTTTCTCATTTGCAAGTGTTCTGTATCCTCAGAAGAATATTGAATATTCTATAGTCCCAGCGACCAATTGAATAGTGCATACTAATTCGAGTGCACTCTCGAGTCCATCCAAGCCACAAATCACAACTCCATCCTAGTTGAACTAGGTACTTTGGTCTCAACCTGCTACAACCGAGCTCAGTGATTTGCTGTTCTAGCGTTTCAGTTCCTGATTATCACACGTTTCAAGGGTGCGCCAGGCCCTTGGTGGGGCTGTGTGATTGGTGGGTGTTGAACTACACAGGAGCGCCGGCGCGTGCGATAGGCGGAGTGGAAGAAACTCAGGGTCGCTGCAGGGACCAACTCATTAGGGTATGTTTTATATGGTTTTCAATTTTTTGATTTGATTTCCAAGGGGATTAGGGTCAGAGTGAAGGAGACTTACATCCTGGAGTTGGGAATTTCCTCATTCACTCTCTTTTGTCCTTTTTTCATTCACTTTGGAAGTATACAGCCTGGTGCTGCCTTCACATTCAATCGTTCTGTGAACAGTCCACTTTATACATCTTTTCATTCTTTTTCAATTCTTCATTCTTTTTTTTACCAAACAATTTTGAGACATCTTCAGTACTGGTTACTGAACAGTTTCATTTTTAGGGGTCCAATCCATCTGATCTCAAACTTCCGCTGCTGGTCCAGCGATCCAAGGGCTTCAAGATGGCCAAATTTCAATCCTCGATCATGCTTTTCCTTGCGCATATTATTTTGCTTCTCAGTCTGCCAATTGCCCTGGTCGGCGCTATCCCTGTGAGCTCGGCCTCCAATGGATTGGAAGTTTCAAAGCGGGCCACATCCAGTTATTGGATGGCCAATATTAAGCGCCAGGGTGTCGCTCCTTTCAACACCAATGCAGACTACCAGGTTTTCCGCAATGTCAAGGATTTTGGCGCTAAGGGTCAGTCCTAAAACCATTCGACAATGGTGACAATGACTTATATGCTAATGGTTACATAGGTGATGGCTCTACCGATGATACTGCTGCCATCAACAAGGCTATCTCTTCTGGTGACCGATGCGGAAAGGGCTGCGACTCATCTACTACTACGCCCGCTATCGTCTACTTCCCACCGGGTACCTATGTGGTCTCCAAGCCCATCGTTCAGTACTACTACACGCAGATTGTCGGTGATGCCGTCAATCTTCCAGTTATCAAGGCCGCTGCCGCATTCACCGGCATGGCTGTGATTGATTCCGACCCATATGAAGATGATGGTTCTAACTGGTATACCAACCAAAACAACTTTTTCCGCGCTATTCGAAACCTGGTCATTGATTTGACTGCCATGCCCAAGGGCTCTGGTGCTGGTATTCACTGGCAAGTTGGTCAGGCCACCAGCTTGCAGAATATCCGTTTCGAGATGGTCAAGGGTGGTGGATCCGCGAACAAGCAAGAGGGTATCTTTATGGACAATGGCTCTGGTGGCTTCATGTCTGATCTGACCTTCAATGGTGGTAACTACGGCATGTTCTTGGGCAACCAGCAGTTCACTACTCGCAACTTGACCTTCAATGACTGCAACACTGCCATCTTCATGAACTGGAACTGGGCTTGGACCTTCAAGTCCGTCAACATCAACAACTGTGAAGTCGGCTTGAACATGTCCACTTCGCCTTCTAACCAGACCGTAGGCTCTGTTCTGATGCTCGACAGCACCCTCACCAACACTCCTACTGGTATCGTCACTGCGTGGACCAAGAAGAGTATCCCCATCGGTGGTGGTACTCTGGTCTTGGAGAATGTGGACTTCTCTGGCTCTAAGGTTGCCGTCGCTGGTATTGATGGCAACACCATCCTGACTGGCGGGTCTGTCATCGAGAAATTCGTGCAAGGAAACACTTACACCCCATCCTCCAGCCTCAGCAAGCGTGCCGTCGAGGACGACGAGGAAGTTGTTACTATCATTGAGACTGTTATCAAGACCATCGAGGCTTGCCCTGCCACATATGGTTCTTCAGAGAGCACTCTTGCTGCCCACGTCGGGGAGACCAGCACCGGAGCCACTCCTGCCTTCCCCACCGGTGCAGGCACTGGCGATCGCTCTATCATTGCCGTCCCCACTTACTCTGTTCCGGACTTTGATAGCAGCTGGCTGTCTGAGATTCTGAGCGGCACCGGCGATTTTGAAACTCCCGTCGCTAACTCCGAGCCTACCACCACCGAGGAACTTACCCTCGTTCCCTCTAGTGCGACTGGCGAGGTTGAGACTACCTCTACTCCTGCCGCCACTGCAACTGAAGTCAAGGTTACACCCACTGCATCGAGCACTCACGCTGCTAACTCTGGATCTGGCTCCAGTGGCAGCACTGGTACCTGTGGTGCCGATCAGGCTGTCAAGTCTGCCCGCACCCAGTCTACTATCAAGACCTCCAGCATGCCCTCTGATCTCCTGGTTGATGGAGCTGTCTTCGAAAAGTCCAAGCCCCTCTACGAGTCTTACCCTGCTTCTTCCTTTGTCAGCGTCAAGTCTGCTGGCGCCAAGGGTGATGGCAGCACCGATGATACCGCGATTATTCAGAAGGTCCTCGACAGTGCAACAACCGATCAGATCGTGTACTTTGATCACGGAGCGTACGTGATTACCGATACCATCAAGATTCCCAAGGACATCAAGATCACTGGTGAAATCTGGCCCATGATCATGGCACACGGTAGCAAGTTCGCCGATGAGAGCAACCCTATCCCCGCTCTCCAGGTCGGTGAAAAGGGAGAATCCGGTTCTGTCGAGATGAGCGACCTTGTCATCATGACCAAGGGCTCCGCGCCCGGTGCTATCCTCATGGAATGGAACGTCGCCGCCTCCTCGCAGGGTTCCGCCGGTATGTGGGACGTCCATTTCCGTATCGGTGGTGCTGCTGGCTCTGGTCTCCAGGGCAATGTCTGCCCCAAGACTCCATCCGTCAAGACGACACCCAAGTCCGAGTGCATGGCTGCTTTCATGCTCCTGCATGTTACAGAGAAGGCTAGTGCCTACCTTGAGAACACCTGGATGTGGACTGCCGACCACGACCTCGACCTTGCCGCTCACGCCCAGATCAATGTGTACACTGGTCGTGGTATCCTCATCGAATCACAGGGCCCTGTCTGGTTGTGGGGTACTGCATCAGAGCACCACCAGTTGTACAACTACCAAGTCTCAAGTGCGCAGAACGTCTTCATGGGTCTTATTCAGACCGAGACTCCCTACTACCAGTCCAACCCCACAGCTCTTACACCTTTCACTCCTCAAGCGAAGAAGTGGAATGATCCTGACTTCTCCACCTGCACCACAGCCAAATGCCGCAAGTCATGGGGTCTCCGCGTTCTCAACTCTTCTGATACATTCATCTACGGCGCCGGTTTGTACAGTTTCTTCGAGAACTACGCACAGACTTGTCTCGATCCAGAGGATTGCCAGGAGAATATCGTTGAGGTTGACTGTTCTGATGTGCAGATCTATGGCTTGACCACCAAGGCTTCTGTTAACATGATAACCTCTACCGGTGGAGAGAGTCTGGTTCCTGAACTTCCAAACCAGAGTGTTTATGGTTCGACTATTGCCTTCTTCGAGCAGACCTCCTAGACCACGGTCTAGTTAGACTTATGATTTGTCTTGCTATGATCGGTATCTAGACTCTGAATTTACTGTTCTTCATGTTCGTTAATTTTATCTTTTTCTTCTTTATCCTTGCATGTTCATGCTTCCAGTCTGTGTTCCCTTGAACACCAGACTTTATTTTTCTTCTTCTTTATCTTAGATTCCCGTGGGTTTCTTTCCCTTCGATGCTTATATCAAACTAGAAGCATATGATTCCGTATTCAAGGGTTCAAACTGGACTTAGTTATGCCGACACTACTAATAGATACGTGATCGAGCAATGATAAAAACTCACTTTCATCCAAGCCTCCTATACATCTGTATATGCGTAAATCCTATCTAGATTATCTTCTTTCAAGTACCACAAAACGCTATAAAAGCAAAAAATTAAAATCCTGCGGCCGTTCTCTAGCCAACAGAATCCAAGAAGCAACCCCCTCATCCTCCAAATTCCACCAAGTCTCCAAGAAAGAAAGAACCCTCGCGCGATCCAACGTGCGACTTAGTCTCATAACATCTCTGAAAGAATTCTCGACAAATCTCTGTCCCCCTCTATCCCCCCCTTAACTCAGTTCCCGCAATAAAAAGCGGCCAAACAAGATCCTGCGCCCACATCCCATTCCTCGTTTCCGAAAGATGTCTCACATGGTTTAAGATTTGATCTCTTGAATGACCCGTGTCTATCACTTCGTCACGGAGTTGCGGGAATGCTTGTGCACTGTAGATTAGATCTGCGTGGTAGAACATCCAGATGACAGATTCGAAATCAATTCTATCGGTTTCTGTCCAGAAATTCACTTTTTGACTTAATCGGAAACTCTTTATCCGTGCTGATTCGATTTGCGAGTGGATTTCTTCAATTTGAGAAAATGGGGGTATAGTCCCCGCGAGACGGTGCGTTCGTTCCAATTGGGTGATTTTGTGGATTATGCGAATGAAATCTGTAATCGCCGCATCTTCAGTACTCGTTGGTTCGGTGTTGATATTATTGATGACGTTCATATCGTCCGCGGTAAGATGTGTCCAGACAGATGTAGCGTAGAATTCCTGAAGAAGAAATTCATGAATGCGGATAAGTTGGTCATGTAGAGTTGACGCAGTGGTATTTGCGAGGATGAGTTCCCTGGCTGCGAGGAGATGAATTTTCCAGCCTGCAGATTGAGCTTTTAAGAGTTCATTATTGCATAAGATTATCACTGATGCAAGTGTCATCGATGCATCAGGATTGGAGCTCGTTGATGCAGACGATGTAAGTGCGCCGAGCTCTTTAGCTAGACGTTCCAGTGCTTTATTCTGGTACGCATTTGAGATTTCCTGGAACTTAACGAACCAAGGATCGTGCGATGGGTACTGAGAAGCTAGGTCGTGTGCAGCGAGCGCGAGAACAGAGGAGAGTACCGTTTCCGAATTCTCAGCTAAAGGCAAGATAATTTGTCTCCAAGGATTCTGAGGCCCATCAATCCATGCTAATCTCTGTGCTACACGTTCTTTGAACCAAGCTAGTAGCCGAGAAGCGTGCGGAGACCGGGGACCCGATAAGCTTAGATCGATAAAGGGCGATCCCATTAAATTTTCCGGAAATGTAGGTTGAGTCCGTAGAAAGTCGATTGGACTGTGGATTTCAATGGGAGTATCATGAATACCGAATGCACGACTTGGAACCAAGGAGTTGGATATATGGGTTCCCTCGTGTACTGGGATCGTTTGTCCCTGCAGTCTACCGCGACTTGCGACACCTTGGCCCCATTTCAGTTGGAGGCCGTAACCAGGACATTCTAGATGTCGCTTCGCACATTTTGCACAACCAGGTAAGCCGCGGTCACATTTGATGCGCCGCCTTTGGCAGGTTGGACAATCTAAAAGAAATTATGGATATTAGCTTACGGGGTTAGTGGGATGAAAAGCCGGTAAAAGGTACCTTTTGTGGGTGAAGGTTGCGTAGACCGCTCCGACATGTCCCCATCCAGGTGTCCGACGTAGGTCAAAAGGACCCAGTCACTAGAAGGGATCTATTCGAATAGGCGTCTGTACTTCTATTTGGAATATTTTTTAGATCTTTTTGCTTCTTCCGAGGTGGAGGATTGAAGGTTCAGTATGTTAGTCAGCGAGGCTAGACTGGAAAGGGGTATGGTGTCGGCAAAAATGGAACATGATTGGGTGGATTCATGGAGATTTTCTATCTATTCATCTTCCTTTCTTCACTAACATTAACTTACATGTGAGGTAGAAGTGGGTTAGAGAGGTTGGTACAAATATGACTGAAAACGAGGAGTTAATTGAACATGGATCAAGTTAGTGCCCAAAAATCAGCAGTGTTATTGAGTCCCAGCTCTATAGACAGATACAGCTAAAATTCCACCAGGAAATAGCCTAGTAGCTACATGAAGTCGGTCATAGGATCCAATTTACTGATAATCAGTTGTCAACAAGATACTTGAAGACACTCTCAATCCAGGTCAGTTTCTGCTCGGGACTGCCATTGACAGGAATCGGTATCGAAGTAGCCACTCCGGTGGTGCTGGAAGAGCCAGAGTCTGCGGATGGAGTCTCAGATGCACGGACTTTAGTGGCAAAAGTTGAAGTAGCAACCAGAGCTGGAGTGGTATATTCGGTGTCAGAGGTAGAAGCGACAGCGGTAGTGCTCTCTGCAGGAGTAGAGGTTACAGCCGGTGTGGTTTCAACCGCTGGGGTCTCAGAGGGGACTGAAGATGAAGATGAAGATGAAGTTGGAACAGACGAGGAGCTGCTCTGAGTCTCAACAGATACGCTGGAAGTGGTACTAGAGGAGGTAGAGGAACTCGAGGAAGACGAAGATGTCGAGCCAGATCCCGACTCATCGACCGTAAAGTCCACACAGGCTTCGTAGGTCTGGTCGATAGACGCGGCGTACCAGTACCACTGCAGCACACAATCTCCACCGGTGGTACACTTGTCACTGAGGTCATCAGGAATAGTAACACTGAACTTGGTGTTGTTTGCTGCAACTCCAGTAGCTGTCGAAGCGTAGACAGACCAGGAGATCAACGGATTACCGATGACAGTGTTGGAAGAGGTATCGACAACGGAGACATTGGCGAGACCAGTATGCGGAGCCTGAATCGTTACCTCAAAGTCGACAACCTCGCCAGCAGTGTACGAGTAGGTGACGTTGTTGTCTGCGTATTTGAAACCCTTGCAGAGGAATATGTCACACTCAGCGGCATTGTAGTCACTCTGGCCTTCTTCGGCTGTCAGTTCGTTTTGTACGTTGCCGTAGATATCGGCTGTCTCGGTGTCATAGGCTTGTTGACCGCAGGCTGCTTCGAAGGCGGCACCGGGGTATCGGGGTGTTGGGCTAGTGACGAAGCCGTGGCCGTGAACGGTGGGAACAAGGCTGGTGAGAGTAGCGACAGCAGCGACGATTGGGGTGAACTGCTTCATTCTGGACGAATCTTTTTCACAGATGATCTATTGAAAAGAATGAAATTTGATCGGTAAACCGGCACCGTATCAAGATGAATATAAAGAATGAATTGAAACGAAAAGACTACACGGTCACAGACCGGAGAAAAGAAGAGAATGAAGGAATGAAGGAATGAAGAAAAAAAAGACCGAGAAGACAGACCTTGGAATCAGATTAAGCTCGGCCTGTAGAGAATTGAGAGACTATTTATACTAGGTACTAACCAACCTTTCTGTATAATCCACACTAAAAATTTCGACCCTGTTAGACCATAGCCCTCAATCAACTACAAACAAACGACGAAGAGACAAAATGAGATAAGTGATCATCAAAGTTGAATTTGACTGACAAAACACCAACCAGAGCCCTATGATCCACTCTGAAACACTTGACCCTTCTTGAGATAGTCCAGGGACCATACCCCCACCTTGGGCGCCAGGTGAGACCGGCGATATTACTCAAGTACTCAATTCCATTTAAGATATCTCGGGGAATTACCTACATGCATTTGGTACCTGTCAATCCCATAAATTAAGCACTGTATTCACGACATTCATCTAGGGCTTGGCGAGGCTTGCTCCACGCGCCGGTCAAGTTTCAGGTTGAATGGCATCATGGTGTTCTGAAACAGGAAAATCAAGGGATTCTAATCCGATTGCTGGGATTAATTAGTTGAGCTACTAGTATTGAAAGAGCTCGAAATATCATGCCCATCATGTTGTCATTATTATTGATTCAGGGTATATGCAGGTGTGATCTAGGTCACTAAGACTCAGGCGCTTCCCCATTTTTAGATAGGTCAACTGGTTTAATCTACAGCTTATGGGATTTTATAACGGCTGGCCAACATCATAATATAAAAACTTCAAGAATATATAAGGGTAAAGCAAGAGATATCTGAAGTGAGAGGCATCTAAAGTGAGAAATAGCCCAAGAGCCAAGGCTACTTCTTAAGTCTAATATTCTAAGATTTACTATATCTTCCCTATATAGTATATTTTCTAAGGTTGAATAAAAGAGATTTTCTCCTATTAGAACTTAGGATCACACCCAAGTGGTCCACATGTTCCCTGTAGATATCACCTTCCTTCTCTCTTACACATATACACAAATTCTTCCATCACGTCCTCCATCCCTTCTAACACCTCTGATTCTCAAATATTATTTTCAATCTTCAATTTTCCCTAAACATCTTTCAACTTCCCTCTTTTTACACTTTTTACACTTTTCACCATCCAATCTCACAAAAACCAACATACGTTATCTATGGTACTACTAGTGCCTTCTCCAGCAACCTTTGCATATAAGTTTTTATACCCATCCTGAGCTATTTTTCAAAAGGTACATGGTATTAAAAATATGATCTCATGTAGCCAGATGCCAAGGATGACACCGAAGAATCCATCGTTGCAGGATGGTTTCGACTCATGATGGAAAATCCTAAGGCGATGGGAGCTGTGACACTTCATATCGGAGTCAATATCATGGTGGCCTATATTGTGCGTGCGGCGATCGATCTTATTTGTTTTCTCCTCCGCCGAATCATCACGAAATAGATAAGTTTTTGTACCTATCCCGAGCTAGTATTTTTGAATGCTACATGGTATTAACAATATGATTTCATATAACCAGATGCCTCCGAAGACTCTCACTGAGGAATGGACGCGTCTAATGGAGAATCCTAAACTTGAAGTTGCCGGTAAACTTGCATGGCATATTGTAATGAATCTCCTAGCTGCCTATGTCGTGCGGGTATGCATCGAGCTGATTTTCTTTATTCTTCAAATACTGTTTCTCAATTCATTCAAATTCAGCCTAGCTATACGCCCAGCTCAGTACAAGTAAACGAATGCTTCAGGTATCTTGTGGATAGAAGTGCAGCAAAGACTCGATTAAAAAAAAGGCCAAGTTCAAAATTCAAATAACCATAAATCACAGAATAGCGCACAGGGACGAGGGTATAAGTAATCAACCACGAAGCATCTCGCAGCTGGCAAGGTAACTCGCAAAAGATCTCAGCTTACGCATGCTCCGTAGAGTTGAAATGCACTGTACGCCCATCCTGGGCGGAATTCTGCGCATGCTGCGCTGCACCCGAATCTTGCGTAGCAAAATTATCCGCAAAGGGATTCTGCACCTCAAAATCCGCCGCATGATACTCATAGTGATTAAGTGGATCCTCTCTAACATTCGTAATACGCCCACCCGTCATAGCTGGGCCATCCAGATCAATCAAGTTCCCTGAGCGCGCACCAGACGCAACGATTTCACCAGCAGGCGATACGGAACCGTTACCATCCCCAGTGTTTGCCATTGGGCTTGATGTACCCTTGGCCTGACGAGCACGTAGCATAGCTCGCTGCTGCTGTGAAAGCGCGACGGAGAGCTCATCATTACAGTCGATCAAAGTAAGGAGAGTCGCCTCGTCTGGCGCGGGTGTTGTAGAATGGATATATGATTGAATGAGTCGTGAAGATGTGCGGCAGCGATCGGTAAATTCTTTGATAAGCTCGTTTTCTTCCATTTCTGTCAAAGGCGTCAACTGCACGAACTGCTTAAGCAACTTCGCGGAGTTTCTCGCCTCCTCCACACGCGCTGCTAGCTCCCCTGGATCAGGCAGAGTTGACACCGGTACCGGTGGTGCCTGAACATAGCCACCTGGGCGAGGCGGCGGATACGGCGCAGACTGGTTCATTTGTCCTGCCGCGGCTTGGGGGAAACGACTAGTCTATTAGAGAAAAGAAAGGACCCGTGGTGAGCATTTATGATCGGCTAGGCTGATGGTGCAAACGTACTTACAAAGGACCGTTCGCCCTTGGTTTTCTCCTTGGCCCACATCTGTAGAAGGGGCTGGAGGTCGATATCGTCGTGCTTGGTACTCTCGAGGGTGTTCAGGTACTGGCGCAAATAGTGCTGGACGTGCCAGTCGCGACCATAGCGCAGGAGATCCTTGATGACATTGACGAACTTGGTGTCGAGATTCCGAGTGAAGGTATGACCAGGGTTGTCCACCAGGATGCGCATGACCATAATCGCATTGTACTGGGCATGATTCGAGGTGTTGCTTGGAGAGGAGAGGTATTTGCGAATGCGGTAGGCAGCTTCCTTTGCGGCGGAGGGGCTAGACTCGGCGATCTCGACAATGCGAGGGAGGTGAACGAATTCTTCTCCTTGCTAAATTGAGAGAGAAGCGGGTATTAGCTACCTAGATATGCGATTGCGGGGGGGTTCAGAGGGGGGGTCAATGTAGGGCGCATACAGCATTCTCTGGACCGCTGTTGGATTCGCAAAAGGTTCTCTGATCAAGGCGCATCTAGTCAGCCAAAGATTGCTCGAGCTCTCAGTTCGACTGAAGGTGTTATACCAATTCACGAAGCAGTGTGGCTTCAGGCGAGTCCTCATCATGCTCGGGAGTCGTCTCCCTCGTTGCTGGAGCCGATGTGGCGGGAGAGGAGGCTATAGCGGTCAGTAATTGCGGGGGATAAGGAGTAAAGCGAAACAAACAATCTCGCCGACTGAATTTCCCAAGGATGCGATTCATTGTGGTATGTGGAGATAATTCAAGTGAGTGAAAAAAGGAGCCGTGCAGAATTCGGGGAACTGGGGGTAGATGTAATTTAGGGTGATTTCGCGTAGGCGCAGGGTCCATGCCCAGAGTCACACTTCCAAGGTTAGTACTACTTTTAATACGGCAGTAGAACCTAGGGGTCCCAAGTTTAATTATAAAATGGATAATAGGGATGAAATGGATTGAAACCTACGTATGAAATGCAAATGTGGCAAAAAGATGATCAGAAGACTGTGGGCCTCCACGTCAATGTCCCACGTTTGTCCCCAAATTCGCTATTTCCGTCGATTTGAGGCTCTACTACGGAGTACACTTACTAGAGGTCGCTTGTATATTTACCCGGATGATAGGCAGTACATATCTAAACTGCTCAATATTATTCTATTCCACCTGGGTATTCCCATATGAGTAGATATCTTTCTATGAAGGACTCAACTCCCTTCACAGAAAATTGACACCCCTCTCAAGCCATACCAAGTGATGATGCATCCTTTGTGGCTGAGGCAGCAAGATTATCACTCGCCAAGACTGCTCGGACGCGCCTCCGGTAAAAGTGGCTGCGTATCCTTCGCTGGAACCACATTGCGTTCTGCAAGACAGCATCATCCTCAAGGCAGCAATAACTTTGCACCACTCACTCCTTCTGCAAGGCATTGACCATTTCCCCAAGTGTAGCAAATCGCCAATCAAAACTAGGGGACTCGACTTGATTTCCCATCGTAGCACCGGCTCTCTCAATCCACACCGATCGGATCCCCGCTTGCCGTGCAGGCTGATGATCATGGAACTGGCTCTGGGCCGTCTGCAAGATCTGACTAGGATCCACGCCAAAGTCTGCATGTACGGCCTTTTTCATGTATTCGAAGTTGCGTGTATCGGGCTTGTAGGAGCCTATGTCTTGTGCCGTGATGATTAGGTCGAAGCGGAATCCTTGGAGACTTCCTGCGTTGGATCGAGCGAATGAGGCTCGATCTACGTTGGAGAGTACCACTAACTTGTAGTGTTTTTGAAGCTCGCGGAGGGCATCTACAGTATCGGGAAATGCGGGCCAGGTGCCGACAGACTCGCCAAACTGAATACTTTCTTCATTGCTTGGTGTAGGGAGTCCGAGCCGTTGGGCTAGCACAGGGTGTACGGTAGCGAGGAGCTGAGAGTAGGGCATATCTGGGGTGAGATGTTGCTGTTCACTTTCTAATTCGCCGTATACGGTCAGCAGGTGCTGGCGTGTAAAATTGGTTTGGCTGTGTTGGAGGATGGGTTGAAGCGCAGTTAGAATGCCATTCTCCCAGTCAATGAGAGTTCCGTAGACATCGAAGCAGACGAGACGGTAGTCAGATAGCTGGGACATTATGAGACAATAGAAACTTTAAGGAGTTTTGAAGACAGAGAGCGACTTGGATTAGTCTGTTGGAACCCCGCACGTCTCCGACTCGGAGTCCCTAAATCCCCTCACTTCATACCAGTCTAAGTGCATATATACCACATAGATGCATGATGATTATGACCAGTTATATTCAATAATAGTCTGCATCGAGGACCACATGCATCCGAGTCCATCACGCCTTATCTTTGCCCCAGTTATTGCACATATATTTCCAAAAAGAGAAGGGAAAAAAAACGAAGGTAGTAGCCTGGAGTAGTATATCATACTACTAGTTTGCTAGCCTGAGTGGGTCAGAGATATATGTATGCCTACTAGTAGAAGTTGAATGACATCCGTGGACTCCGGAATAAAAGTGGCCGGGAATTTCGAGTTCAATGTAAGAAGGGCCTCTCTGACAACTTGAAGTTGAATACTACGAGTATCCCAAGTTAATGTTACCAGTGGTGCCCAGGTGTTCAAGTTGGGTCCAGAGCTTCAATGTTCAAGTTCCATCCCGATATTCACACGTGCAAATGTTGACCAAACTCGGAATTACAACCTCAACATTTGAAGGCCTACAAAAACACTATTACCTCCAGATATCGTTAGTAGTACGTGCGGTCAGTGTAATTGAGGACTCGGAACAACTGGACTACCCCAATCCAGGAGCCCTGGAGCCTGAGGTCGTTGCACTCGATGGCAGAACAGAAAGCGAACTTGAATGAGTCTACGTAGATCTAGAACCCATCCTGAAATCATGTGAATCATAAAACATGGGATATTATTTCAGACAGCCGTGCTCCCCATCTGCTATGAAGGAAGTACAAAGACCCAAGGGAAATGAAGCACAGAAGAGAAACCACGTTGTATCATGATCGGATCGGGCAGTACAGAATCCTATGTCCATCGTCCGGAGCCGCGCTGTTTAAACTTTTTATTTGGTTCTCCTCCGTGTTGGTACCATGACCTTATAAAAAAAATCTTGTATGATCCGGTATTCATTTCCGTTCCAACATACAGATGCGCAAGAACTCCGGCCAACCCGTCCACGGCAATCCTTTTTCTTTCACCACCGTTCATCTCCTTCCCCTGCGACCCGTTTAGGCCTCAATGAGAGCCTGGCGGATCTGAGCACCACGCTGGCGGGAAGACAGGTGAAGGTCGGTCTTCTTGGGGGCCTTCTTGACCTCCTCGTTAGCCTCAGTGAGGATCAGCTCAATGTGGCAGGGGTTGGTCATGTAAGGGTTGATCTAAAGATTTATTGTTAGTCCGGAGGTTCGAAATATTCGAGCCACAGCTTCATGGAATAAAAACATACACGACCGTGAGCACGGTAAGTGCGGCGGCGACCCTTGGGGGCCTGGTTGACCTGGATGCGCTGGACAACAAGGTTGGAGGTGTCGAGACCCTTGGTGTCGGCGTTGGCCTCAGCGTTCTTGAGGAGGTCGATCAGGAACTCGGCGGACTTGACGGGCCAGCGGGCCTTGGAGACACCGAACTGCTTGCCTGCAAACAAATGATTGTCAGTCGAATGATCGATAGCCACAAATCTCCCACACTGAATTTTGAAAATTTCGATTCCCAAAGCGACAACGGTATCCCATTCCAACGCCAAATAATCCTCCCAAGTAACCCTCGCATCGATCAAACAAGTGATTTGCGCCTTCACGTGTTGTCGTAGTAATATCGACTCTTTCCCACATCCCATTTGCTCCAGCATAATCATCCTTGATACCGTTGCCACTCCGAAACCCTCCAGCATGTAGAATAGGAATTTTCTGATCGGAACTCACCCTGAGCGGTGCGACCGGTGGAACCGGCGTAACGGCGCATGGGGACAGCCATGGACTTCTTGGTGACATTGTCGAGGTAGGTGAGAGCCTTCTGCAGCTTCATGCCGTTGATGGCCTGAGCGGTCTCACGGGTGTTCTTGAAGCTGACGCGGAGGTAAGAGCCCCGGGCGCGGGCGCTCTTCGCGTTTTCGATCTCCTGGGCGGCGTAACGGACCTGTAGAGCGAGGAAGAATAGTCGTCAGTAATCATGGTGGAAGGTCGGCCGATTAAGTTTTTTTTTCTTCGTCTTGTCATTTCAAGATGCAACTGATCCAAATGCATTTAATCATGTATGGAAGGTTGAATTGAACATGACAGAGTCTCTCGAAAGGCGATTTAACGAAATCGGGGGAAAGGTGTGTGCTGGACTCACCATCTTGAAGGAGTTGGCGAGGGGAAGTCGATGGTCCTCGGTGTCGGGATGATGTTGTCGCTTTTCGTCTACGACCGCTGACACTAGAACTCCTAGTTTGGTGCGGTTTTTTTCGGCTTGGCGCGCGGGCCCTAAGCGAGCCCTAACGCTAACCGGGTTGGGTATTATATTATGTCAGCATGGCTTGCATGCGCTGAGTTATCCCAACATGAAACTCGCTATTCCACGTTAGGCAAGATTGATGCCTGAAAATCCATCACCGTAGGAAGGCACCAAATATCCATTTAGTTACAGCACTCTACATACTTGGAATCCATGGATGGGAAGTAATAATTCAGTTCTAAAATATTGTTTATTTAATAACACAACTAAAATTCTGGGAATGAAAATGAATCAAAATTATTCTATTCTAAAGCTTGTACTCTATCCGGTCTATTTCTTCTGCTCTGGAACTTGTGTAATCAATTCTCCCTTCTCCACTGCTAGCCGCAGGTTATCCAGCACTAAGATCTCCATCTCCTTCTGAGTCTCATAGGTGTTGGTACCAATATGGGGGAGCAGCATAATGCGAGGATTGGTAACAAGACCTGGCTCAATCGCAGGCTCATTCTCATATACATCCAGACCGGCAGAGCGAACCTATTGCACAAAAATCCGTCAGCTTGAACAAAATATAGCGGACGCTAAACTTTGCGCTTACCTTTCCAGACTCGATCGCCGCGACCAAGGCTTTCTCGTCGATCAGGGCCCCACGTGCGGTATTAACAATAACCACGCCATCCTTCATCTTACCAAACTCCTTCGCACCGATGATATGTCTCGTCGAGGCATTCAATGCCAGGTTCAGACTGAAAACATCGGAATTGGCCAGAAGCTCATCGAACGAAACATATGTCGCATCACCCTCAAGCTCGGCAGGGAGTCGAGATCGGTTGTGGTACTGAATCTTCATGCCAAAAGCCTTGGCTCGCACCGCCATTTCCTAATCGTTGTCAGTAAGATAGAGACCTCATGATCGCTACTGGGATACTTACGCGACCAATTCCTCCCATTCCCAAAATTCCTAGTACTTTGCCCTGGGGGTCGTTACCCAGAGTAGTCTGTCCTTGCCAGGTGCCTGTACCATAAATTTTCATAGTCAGACCATGCTTTTGCAAATTCATAGTTTAACATTATAGATTATCCAAACTCACCGGCCCGGAGAGCTGCTTGGGGCACATAGGCTTGACGCAGAGCACCGATCATCAAGAAAATACCCACGTCGGCAGTGGCATTATTCACTGCGACAGGTGTGCTAGAGACTGCGATACCCTTCTGCGAGCAGGTTGCCACATCGAGATTGTCATATCCAGCACCATTGTGGCAGATGTACTTGACCGAAGGGGGAAGGACAGCGAGCAACTCGGCGTCGAAGTTGCCGGTATACTAATCTGGTGCTTAGCTGGAGATTTCGTTGCTGAAACCGCAAATTACGCACCTTATTGGAAGTGTTTGAGCGGTAGATTGCGACCACATCATCGTAGTGTCCTGCCTTGCAGTTCTTCAAGAACTCCTCGCGAGTTCCGGTAGGGAATTCCTAAGTTTATGAGCAAGCTATCTGGTAAGAGCGCTCGGCGCGTATTTACCTTGAGGTTCAGAATAGAGGAGAGACTCTCCCATTCCTTGCGCGAATGCGCAATGGCTCCAATGAGGAGAGCGGCTTGAGAAGGCATTGTGAATGAATTCTGTTTGCGCCATGAGCTACATGCATGATGTTGGTTGGGAAGCGAGTCGCACTTACTGTCAATGGAGCTGAAGAGTTGTCAAGATTGAGTCTCGGGGAGTACAAGGGATACACAGCAGAGATATGTCAATTGGATGAAGTCGGTCGGGAAAAGAAAAAAGGTCATGTCAATAGGCTATCGCGGGGTTCATTAAACCCCCATGCTGTGGAGATCGCCGAGGAAGCTATCTTCCGTGATATCATCATACTATACTCCATCTCTATGAAAATGAAGATTCTTCACGTTATAGATGTATAATTCCCTCTTTTCCAACTAAAACACATTTTTAAACTATTGATACTCTCTTCACATTATATCTTTCCATCGTAAAATCCATTACTTTCTCTATTGAAGCACGGAAAATCGCATAACCCCCCACGGCATCACGGCTATTGATAACTTCCCCTTTTAGATCAAACCCCGACCGGAGCAAATCCGTGGATGATCGGGCCAACCGCATCATCATATATTCCCCCACTTTGTGCTCGTGGGGGGGAGCTCCCATGAGGGGAATAATTTCCAGATGCCGTGAAAAGAGCTCCTTCCCTTCATTCTTGTTCTTGAAATAATTCTCTAATTCACGAGGTACTCGTTGCATCACATCACATCATGTCTGAATCATCTGCTACTGTCCTCGTCCTTCACGGTGCAAAGGACCTCCGAGTGGTAAGCAACACTCTATTCCCCAGGGACTACAATAGAAGACTCATAAACTAACAAGACTCTCTCTACAGGAGAAGCGCACCCTCCCAGCTCCGGCAGTCGGTGAGGTTCAAGTGGCCGTACAAGCCACTGGTCTTTGCGGCTCTGACCTACACTACTACTCCCACGGCCGCAATGGCGACTTCGTCGTGCGCGAGCCAATGTGTCTGGGTCACGAATCTGCCGGTACAGTAACAGCCATTGGTCCCAACGTCACAAGCCACAAAGTTGGCGACCGCGTTGCACTGGAAGTCGGACTTCCCTGTCGCAAATGCTCCCTCTGCCAACAAGGCCGCTACAATATCTGTCCCTCAATGCAGTTCCGCAGTAGTGCAAAGGTCTTCCCCCATCTAGATGGCACGCTTATGGAGCGCACAAACCACCCAGCGGAGATGTGTCACAAACTCCCATCAAATGTTACCGACGCAGGCGGTGCCCTCGTGGAACCCCTCGCCGTCTGCCTTCATGCCATCCGTCGCTCTCGTCCTCCAACACCAGAGCAGGTCGCAATCGCCCGCTCAACGGGTGAAGCCACAGCTGCACTGGTCTTCGGCGCTGGTGCAATTGGTCTCCTACTCGCATCTGCGCTCGCCACAAATGAGAACTTCACTTCCATCCTTGTCGCTGATATCGATGCCTCCCGCCTTGAGATCGCCGCCTCCCTTGGTCTCGGCCTTAAGACTGCTCTTATTCCCCTTCGTGATCCAGCGAATCCAGCCCCGCCTAAGGATGCGCCTCACGCGGAGCAGACGGCCTGGGCCCTTGCTAATGCCCAATCTTTGGCTGCGAAGCTGACTGAGGCGGCTGGCTCAGACGATGGTCTGACGGTTCCGGATTTCACACGAGTATATGATTGCACTGGTGTGCCTTCTTGTGTCCAGGCTGGAATCTATGCTTCCCAGGCTGGTGGTGTCCTTGTGCAGGTTGGCATGGGTAACCCCATCCAGACTCTCCCCGTTGGTGCGGCTGCTCTGCGTGAGGTTGATATTATCGGAACTTTCCGATATGATGGACATGCATACCCCGCTGCTATTGCTTTGCTGCAGAGTGGCAAGATGGAAACTACAGAGGCTAAGGTCGTCACTCACCGGATCAAGCTTGAAGATGGTGAGCGGGCGTTTGCCTTGGCTGGTAAGGGTGTTGATGAGGAAGGACGGCCCGTTGTGAAGGTTATTATTGAAGGTCCCAGTGAATCTGCTCGGGCTAGTCTGTAATTTTTTGGGAGAATTTTGGATTTGTGATGAGATGATGATGTTGATGACTTGAAAATACCCGGAGAGAACATTTGAATAGATTGCCAGTGTGAGATTGCCATGCCGAATTTCAGAAAATTGTAGTTTAAGTAGTTGTTGAATAACTTGAAGTTTTGATCCATGTTTTCTCGCGTTTTTATTTCGTTTGAAATCTAAGATAATCATGTACATATCTCATATTTAACTATCTATGTGCAGAACTAACGCCTTATTTCAGACCTCCAGCCAGCAAGAGACTCTGACCTGTCATATATCCAGTAGTGGCGAGCATGGTAACGACATTCGCTGTCTCCTCCACAGTACCCAACCGACCTATTGGGATTCCAGCAGCTACCTCAGGGATTGCAGCAGCATTAGGAATCATTCCAGTCTCACCAATCATAGCAGGGGCTACATCATTGACGCTGATGTTGTGTTCGGCGAGACGAGTAGCAAGGTTCTTCATCATGCCGGTAAGGCCACCCTTGGACGCAGCGTAGTCTAAAGAATGGCAAATTAGAACCGACCTTTCTTCAAACAGAGGCATAATAGTGATGGCTGTAGACACTTACGACATCCGTTTATTCCACCCCCCTGGGCGGCAATAGACGACATGAAAATAATGCGTCCCCAGCGCTGACTCTTCATGTGCTCCACAACGCCCTTTACAAGAATGAATGATGCCCGCAGATTGATATTCAGCGTGTAATCGAACTCCTCCAGCGTGATATCCCACACATTTGGGAACCGCTTTCCATACCCGGCGTTCGAAACCAAGATATCAGGTCGTTGACCGTGCTCCGCGTCGATCTGTTGAAACATAGCCTCAATTTGATCGGCATTTCCAACATCGACTTGGTGAATCGAAATGCGCAGCTTGTTCTCGGCATATTTGGACTGGATATCTGCGACAATCTTGTTCATCGATTCTAGGTTGGTCGCATATGTAAGCGCGAGGTGAGCGCCCTTTGCCGCGAGTTGTTCTGCACATGCTGCGCCAATTCTATCTCAAAAAACCGACAGTCAGTCTCCGTCGACTATCTCTTAAACGCCGGGTGAAGACTTACCCTCCTGATGCGCCAGTGATGAGGGCCAATCGGCCCCGGATTTCATTAGGCGACGACGACATTGTTAATGTGAGGTGATTGAGAAGTTTCGCAATGAGGAAAATTGGAGATTGTCTTCTTTTTTTCGAGCTTGCGAAAGAATGATAATCCGGGGTAAAAGGATCCCGGCCTCGGTTACCCCTCGGTGGTATCGGGGGATTCTCCGAGAGGAGCTCCGCCCCGCATCATTTGCCGTATCTTAAGCGGCGTTTGACCCGCAACACCAAATAACCTAGAATAGAAGATTACTGCTCATATCGCCAAGCCAAGCTGATGCTTGCCAATTCTGTGATCGGTCCTGTCCGGACTGGTATGGGTCGGCTGGATTCTGGAAGGCATCCAGGCCCAATAGACCGCCGGATACGGGGTCGCCGGAAACATAGTCACCCACAGCCTCCAAATCTAACCAGGAGAAATCGTTGGCAGGGCTGAAATCCATGTAAGAGGGATCCGATACAGGGTTGGTCAATGCAGTTTGCATTGCAAAGTCTGTGTTTTGTGGTGTTTCGGCTGCAGCTGGTGCCATATTAGATGGCTTGGATTTCCAGAGAAGTTCAAGGAGGCGAGCATAGCGTGATCCGATATCATCGGGGCCTGCACTTGCGTGTTTGAGGACTTCGGTGGTTCGAGCAACTAGACCCTGGACTTTGGCTTCTTCGGAAGAGACCATCATTCCAAATGAACGGGCCTTGTAGAGGAAGACTGCAGAATAGATCCCATAGCTGGATTTTGTTAGTCGGCTTGAAAAAAAAACGTGGATCTGGGAAAGTGACTTACAGATAGAAGCGAAGCGGCATGAAATGTAAATGCCTCTCTGGATCTACCGAGTCAACCAAGATAGTCAGGTAAGCTTTCGCTGCGTCGACAGACTCGTAGATGAACCGAGAATCCTGCATCGACGCGACATTCTTGAATGTAGTTCGCAGTTGATCTCGATGAGAAGCGCCATCCGCTTTGGGCTTAACTAGAGATTGGGAGATAGCAGCTTGAAATGCAAATGCGGTTGTGTAAAGTCGTAAGTACTCGTATGATAGCTGCAGCGTAGCTCGCATGGGCGCCGAACCTGGTTATATGTTAGAACGAGTGCAGAGAAAATGCTGGTAAAGTGACCTACAATCCAAAGGACCCCATAGAGACTTCCATCTCAAGATGGCTAAGCGAAAGTCATCGACATATTTGACATAATCTCCCATCAGCATCATCTGATTGCTTGTCCGCATTCCAGAATATAATACTTCATGCACATTCCCATACAGCTGTGTAAGATCCAGCATGGCCTGAAATATTTTTGAATAATCTTCATCGCCTTCGTTGACTGGCTGCAGCGAAGGAAAATCCTGGCTGACAAGACCAGTCATGGGGCCGGGACCACGGGACCAGAATGCTCGTCCAATGCGCACGGATATCAGACGATCGGAGACATAGCAGCTCGCCCACGCTAAACGTCGCCGAGCTTCAGTAGCCTGATCACCATATGGGTCGCCTCGGAATGATGTACGATCAAGTCCGATAAAGTAACCCGAGCGGAGGGCTAAACCAACATGCATCCACGCGGCACGGTCCTCCTCTCCACGGCCCACGCGCTCAATGCGAGATCTTAGGCCATGAGGTTCCCATTCAGCGAGCAAAAGAAGAGCCTCAATAGCATCCACATCGCATTCAGCACCGGCTGAGATGGCCGAGATCAGCTCAAGCATGTATTTTGAACAGCATTCGTGAATCTCTGGCCGATCAAGTAAATCCTTTGATGCAATTGTGATAATAGCAGTAAGGAGATGTCTCTCATTGGTCGCAAAATCATCTAGCGCAGAGCGCTCAAAGTATTTTCTAGGAACCAGAGGAAGATATGGATGAAAATTTTCAGCATAGCGAGAAACCAGCTGCCACACAGTTGTCGGATCTAAAGCTCGCGACTGGACAAGTCGATACGCTCTGATGCCAGTGCTTGGGGCATTAAACTCTGAAACGATGCCATTGCGCAAGCCGTTGTGTGCTGAGAAGCTACCGGACTCCGACTGAGCATGACCTCGTCTTTCCGTCGGTACAATCGCAGTTTGAGCGGCGATACCTGTGAGACACTGCCATGCGTCAGATGGGTTGCGCGGCACCGAGTCAATCGAGGCGTCTTCATCTTCTACAACGACAGAAACCGTTGCCTGTGGGTTTGGCGGGAGAAAAACCACAGGCCCGGGATAGGACACCGACGGGGCGCGACGAGCATCGGAACTCGTAGGGCTGGCGGTTTCTTCTGAGTCTTTCCTTGGCGACGGATTTGTCGCGGGGGTAAAATTCTTGATTTTGTTCTTGCGGATTCGTCGTCCTCCGCGATTAGAGCCCCCAAGCACACATTCTCGATTTTCCCGAACACAGCGTTGACATGGCGGTTTCCCCGGATTTCCGTTGCTATCGCTGTTCAGGGGATCAGCCTACCAGCCCCAAAATTGGAGACAGGGTATGGAAAACTTACAGGTCACATCGTGATTTGCGCTGTCGGCAATGCAGACAAGCTCGGGAGACGCGTTTGCAAGTATTGTCGGGCCGCCGCGGCTGGGAAGCGAGCTGCGACGGAGACTCCATGTCGATTCGGCCCAAAATTAAAACTGATTATCGCAAAGGAAAGAAGAGACAAAGGCCGACTTCTTGGAGACCCACAGAAAGAGGAGCTCGGGTGCCATTACTCATCTCATTTCTCCGCGTGGGATTTTGTGGGGAAATACCCTTGACAGTCTTGGAGGGGGAAATCACATTATGGATTCTGTCTATACATTCTAATTGATGACATTACGATAGAGTAATTGAAAAAATGGGATATTCATTCTTCCATATTTCTCATATGTAAATCCCTAATATTTATTTTTATTTTATTCTTCCTTTTGTCTGGAGTCTGTAATGCATCATGAGATTCATGGCTATGCTTTTATCCCAACTTGAAGTCAATTACCGACGGCTATTGAGTCGGGAATAGTACTTACTACTTTCAGCCATGACCCCCGCGCGTGGGGAAATACTGGCCTGCGTCATATGAATATTTGGTCCCGCGTGTTACTCTGAAGTTTTCTTTCTTTGCATATCGTTTTCAATCTGTTCTTGATCAATTACACAGCACAAAATGGCAGCGACAGTGGGATCTCTTTTCTCTTTGAGTGGCAGAACTGCCCTTGTTACTGGAGGCACACGAGGCATTGGCCAGGCTATGGCCTTTGCCCTGGCCGAAGCGGGCGCCGATATTATTCTGGTTCAGGTACGCATTCGCATTTGGTGGTATGGGAAGATCGAAAGAGACACGTGCTGATCATTCAAGTAGCGAGATGCCTCCAACACAACTACCAAGGACGAGATCATCAATCGCCTTGGTCGCAAAGCCTATATCCACGTTGCTGAACTGTCAGACCGAAAGGCAGTTAAGGATATTGTACCGGCAGTAGTGGATCAGGGACTCAAGCCAGACATTCTCTTGAACTGTGCGGGTATTCAGCGCAGACATCCTAGCCACCAGTTCCCCGATGAGGACTGGGATGAGGTGAGTAGTGCATGAAACACAGAAAATCCAGGTCCTTATCACTACATGTACTGACACAGGAAAACTCGTTTAGGTCCTAGAGGTCAACCTCTCATCCGTCTTTGTTCTCTGCCGTGAATTCGGCGCCTATCTGCTGTCTCGCGACGCATCCGAGTTCCCCTCCGGCCGCCGTGGCTCCATTATCAATGTCGCTTCCCTCCTGACCTTCCAGGGTGGTATCACTGTCCCCGCTTATGCAGCATCCAAGGGTGGTATTGGACAGCTCACCAAGGCCCTCTCTAACGAGTGGATCAGTCAGGGCATCAATGTCAACGCCATTGCCCCCGGATACATTGACACTGATATGAACGTGGCCCTGATTAATGACGCTAACCGCAATGCTGGTATTATGGCTCGAATCCCCGCTGGTCGGTGGGGTAAACCGGAGGATTTCAAGGGCGTGGTTGTCTTCCTGGCCAGCGCCGCTAGCAGCTATGTTTCAGGCGATGTGATTACTGTGGACGGTGGCTGGATGGGGCGGTAAATATATGAAGCTATAGTTTGAGATACCTGGAAGAACCTGTCATTGCACTTAACTGGTATATAGAGAAAGAAAATTGCATTTCAACATGAAACAATGAGCCCCGTAGTTAGCAGTTAGTTAGTTGGCAGGCGATTGTGGCCCGGAATATCAGGCCATACTGCACAAGCCATTTGTCTTGGGACTCTTGGCTTTGTCTTTCCATCTTCTCCACCTTGAATACAATCTGACAACAAGGAATGTGGTAGATCAAACGAGTCACCAGTTTCATTGACTCAGAAGGCATGGGATCATACGATTTGATAGAGTTTGCTCTGAGTCAAACCATCGACTTGGCTCCATCAGTGTTGATTTTGACAGCATGGGGTTCTGCTTGAGACTTCTGAAACACTTAGTACAGCCACTGTTTGAACTTGTTCGCTAAGTCCTGACCACGTTCCTAGCTTCAACGAGTTCCAAGATAACGGAATCCTTTTGTGTGGATTCATCCAGAGACCGAAATGACAGGCCCCATCAAGTCCCATTAGTGAGGTCCTGCTCGTACCCTTCCCAGGGCGTTACGCCGGTCGGAGATCTGCAAGGGTCCTTGGGCCTCAAATTAGCCAGCAAATCAGAACTCTGGCTTTACGCTACGTGCATCTTGAAGAAACACTAGTCAACCCCTGGTCATCGGAGGAGCCACCCCGATAGGTCAGGAGGAGCTGGTGAGGACTACTCTGTACTATACCAGAGTATGACCTCTGGTCCAAACAATAAGGAGAACCGTGCGTCCTCGGATGTGGCATGTCATCTGTGATGCACCACTTGTTCTACTCTTTATAATAGTCCATTGTCCACCAGAAAGCTTGATCCTGAATCTTCTACAAATTTCTTCCCTATTTTCATCACTCATTGCCGATCGGCTGGTTCCTGAATCGCGCATCTTCTCCGGGTCTATAGATAATTCTTTATTACCGCTCTTTGTTGACCACAAACGCTTGTGATTTCATTCTAAATTCTTGTTTGATACTATTATAACCACTTTGTCTGTCTTTACACCTCGGGTTTACTCTTTTGGGTTAAAAAAACGTGTTCACCTTTCCACCTGGTCGCCTCCTCCCTTGCTACAACATTCCTGGGCCCTGGACGATGCCTGTAAGACACCTGGTGGGCAACTGCAGATCTGTGCCCAGGTGATCTGTTGAATCTTGCTGGATTCCAGGACACTTGTTTAGCTGTCGTCATCATCATTTGCGCTGTTTTACCAGCCTTTTCATCTCATCTTATCTCAGCGTCATTCACTCAAACCATGAGTCGTGATTAATATCGCTCGCTAATACCGCATCTGGCCCGTCATTCACTATAGAAGGGCATTTTATTTTGATCATAAATTGCATTTTCATCGCTATTCCTGGTCCTTCTCTCCCTTTCCTCTCTTGCCCGAGCGCCCTCGTCACGCTGCCCCAGTCTAACCATCATCAACACCGGTACCGTCTACACATTGATTCGATTCCAACCCCGAGAACCATTCGATACGTCCGAGCCAGGTCTGTGATCTGACGTCTTTTTTTTCTCTGGTCGCCCTCTTACACTCAACTGTGCCTCGTCAACTCGAGCCATCTTCAAAAATCCCACCCAACAGCCCTTCAGCGAGTCTGGGGCATTTCAATGGCTACATCTCCTCCGCATGTTGCGGCACGAAGTTATGGAGCCAACGTGACGTACATATATGAATTTTCACGGGGGCTTGGTGGTGTGGACGTCCCTCTCGATGTGCTTATCGCTCGGATAATCTACTCGTCGCTCATCATCCTGGCCTTGATCATTTTCTGCGGCCGGATCGCTCAAATAAGCCATGCATACCTTCGTCAGCTCACATCTACCTCCTCCAATCGAAGACAGCAGACATATTGGAGCCAGGAACAGTCAGTATGGTGGCCTTGGTTAAAAAAGTACTTCCTGTATGCTCCATTGGGAAGGAAACGACACAACAGGGAGGTACAGCTATCATCCGCCATCGGCATGGGTACTCTACCATCTCGGTTTCAAACCATCTTGATCACCTTGTACTTGACTAGCCAAGTTGTATACTGCCTATTCTTGGATTATGGAATCAATGAGGGGCAGGCTCTGGTAGCAGAGCTCCGCGGGCGTTCTGGGACTCTGGCAGTCTTTAATATGGTCCCGCTTTTTCTCCTGGCAACTCGAAACAACCCTTTGATCTCCATACTCCATATCAGCTTTGACACTTACAATCTCCTTCATCGATGGCTCGGTCGCATTGTCGTAATTGAAGCCATCACCCATACTGCAGCATGGGCCGTCAACGCCTGCGCGGAGCAAAATTTCACCGATATGCTCGCACGCCTAAGAGATACACCCTTCTTCACCTGGGGACTATTGGGCACATGTTCTATGGTTGCCCTCGCCCTCCACTCCCCATCTCCAATCCGACATGCCTTCTACGAGACATTCCTGCATCTACACCAGCTCTTCGCGTTACTAGCTTTCATCGGCGTATACCTCCATCTCAACATAGACTCCCTTCCTCAGAAGCCATGGATTGATGCCGTCGCCGCGATTTGGGTTCTCGAGCGCAGTACCCGACTCCTCCGTCTTGCATACCTCAACATCTCCCCCAAACACGGTAGCACTCGAATGACAGTAGTGGCGCTCCCAGGAGAAGCATGCCGAGTGACCTTCCATCTCCCCAAGCGAGTCGACATCAAACCCGGCTGCCACGTCTTCGCCTACATTCCCTGTGTATCCTGGTGGATGTCACACCCATTCTCCATTGCCTGGGCCGAGCCCCGATGCAACACGAATAACACACGATGCCTCGACTCAAAAACATCTCAGGATCCACCTCTCACACCTTCCTCCCTCGAAAAACAAGGCTTTGATCTCTCATTCCATGATCCATGCGCCGATTCACGTCCCCAGCCAACAGAAGTCTCCCTCATCATCAGTGCTCGCCAAGGTATGACCCGCCGGTTATACAATCTCGCTCTCTCGAAACCAAACCGCACTCTACACTCCTCAGGCTTCATAGAAGGTCCATACGGCTCACACCCAGCCAATCCACCCAGCTATGGTACAGCAGTCCTCTTTTCCGCCGGCGCCGGAATAACACATCATCTCCTCTACGCCCGTGATCTAGTCCTTCGTTCTGCCGCCGAGACAGCAGCTACCCGACGCGTCTACCTCATCTGGTCCGTCCGATCCACAGATCATCTTTCGTGGGTCAGCCAATGGATGGACCAGATCCTGAAATTACCGCTTCGTCGCGATATTCTCGTCATTAAGCTATTCGTCTCGAAACCGCGCCGTGCGGCTGATATCGTCTCTCCATCAAAGACGGTACAGATGTTCTCTGGGAGATGTAGGCCAGATGTGGTTCTCGATGAAATCTTACCGAACAGAGTTGGTGCGACGCTAGTATCGGTTTGCGGGCCTGGGGCCTTTGCGGATGAGGTGCGCATGGCGACAAGGGACAGGATTGGGAAGGGGGCTGTGATCGATTTTGCTGAAGAGGCTTTTACGTGGTAGATCATACTTTGTTCTTTCGTTGAATTTTCTGTCTTTGTGTAGATTTGTTTATATCATTTTAACGAATGTATGGACCTTAGGATTGATATACAGATTCAGAACTTGTAATTACCTAGATCCTAGTACTCAGACTCCTAAGTAGCAGAAGAGGCCTACATTGAAAGGTATGAAAAGGCTCTTGGTTCTAGAGAAAAGAAAAAAGAAAACGGAATGAGCAAGACTCGAACCAGGGACTTCTAGATTTCGCGATGAATGCGTCAAGTGAGGCTTCAAGATGAGCAAGACGATGACAGCCTCAACTTTCAAAAAATCATAAAAATCCAATAAAATAGGTAAAAAATATAAAAATAGTATCAAAAGAAAGAGCAAAAAAAGAGCCCATCCACAGAAGCCCTTCACATAGTCCGCTGCATGCTTTCTCACGGTGGTGTTCCACTTAGGCAAGTCTCACGCTCGCTGATGCTACTGAGCAACCCTCAGTCCCAGCAAACTAGACTTATGGTATCATAGTGTCAAATCAACTCGGGATAGACACGATAGCCCGCTGAGCTACTACGATGTGGATGGTTACTGGAACTCCTGATTTTACCCCTATATTTAACTGAGAAAATATTTCGGCCAGAATTTACAGGCCCCCGTCACTAGTTGATTTCCCTGACTCTATTACCCACTCTACCTGGCCTAGTCTTCAACCTAATTTTTAAGCCTACTGATACTTAGATAAGTTAATTATAATTTTCAGGTTTATATGAAGATGTTTATGTATTTCATATGATGATTCTAGTCTAATCTAGAACTTCAGTTACCTCCTGCCACATGTGCAATATGAGTGGAAAATAGGAATCTATGTGTACAGCAGAGTGGACATCTAACAGCAAAATGAGTCCCAAAGATAACAAAGATTTGAAAAATATTTGCAAAAAGAAAAAAGAAAAAGAAAAGTATCAAGAAGAGAGAAGACAACAAAGCTCAATCACTTAAGAAGAGCTCTTGTTACGGCTGCCCTTAGGCACACGCGCAATCCAGTAGATAAACACCGCAGCAAAGATGTTGAAGATGATGTAAATCCACATGAAACCGAAGTTGCGCCAAGCATCAGAGTAGTAAGAACCCACATCAGCGAGGAAGGTATCAGTGGAATCGATGGTGCAGAAAGAGCAGTCGGTAGTAGCGTTGGGGTTTTGGAGGTATCCACCGTTGGCAACGATGTATTTCTCCATGTACTGGTAGCAAGTCTGGTTGGAAGGAGGGTTGAGTGAAACATATTCAACAGCGCCACAGTAAGCGTCTGTACCCGAGACACCAGTCGACAACATAGCGGAGACGAGGTACGTGAATGGGGAGACGCGGTACATGAAGATCCAGAAACCAGGCATCTCAGAGGGTGTAGCGAGGACACCACAGAAAACCAGGCAAAGGGAGAAGAACAAGTTGGCAAGGTTACCACCTGTCTCGGCGAGTTCGATACCAGCGATGATCATGTGGGCGAAGGTCGAGGTGAAAAGGAGGAAAGACCAGACAAGCAGGAACATCAGGGCACCACGCTCGTGAACAGCATCGGTAGGCTCAGCGTTACGGTACAGACCGATGGGGTAGTACCAGCAGACGAAGATGAGGACAGCGGCGAGGGTGTTCCAGGGGAGTTCGACGAGAATGTTGGAGGCCATGAATGCCTGCCAGGAGTAGGCCTTGGAAGGACGCTCGCGAACCTCGTACAGAGAGCGCTGGGTACAGAAGTGGGGCATGATCTGTTGGACCAAGTTACCGAAGATAGTCATCAGCATGAAAATACTGAACATCTGGTTTTGGAGACCCTGGAGACTGTTCTCGGCATGGAAGAAGGAGAAACCAATGTAGAGGGCAGTGAAGATCGAGAGAGCGGCCTTGGAGTAGATGTAGACCGGAGTGCGCCAGTACTGACTGAAAACACGCACGAGACACTCATAAAGCTGGACGTGGAAGGGAGCGGCGAATTCATTGAAGCTAGAAGGATCATTGCTGGATTCATCGGCAGGCTTCTGAGAGAGTGTGTTCTTGAGCTCAGCCAGATGGTCTTTCACACCCTGGCGTTCGGGACTTTCTCTCCAGACGGCAGGCCAATCGACATCAGAGTGGGATCCAGGGGCAGCACCAATAACCTCAAGCATCCACTCAGCAGGGTTGGCCTCAGCAGGGAGCGGGGCAGCACCATTTCTCTCGAAGTAGCTAGCAAGTGTGGAGGATTGTTCACCAATCTCGCCAAAGTAGACGGTTCTACCACCTCGGGCAAGGAACAGCAAACGGTCGAAACGCTGGAACAACATGGCAGAGGGCTGGTGGATAGTGCAGAGAATAGCCTGGCCGTGCTTAGTCAGAGTGTCGATGAGATCGAGAATAGACCAAGAGGTTTGACTGTCCAGACCAGAGGTAGGTTCATCCAGGAAGAGAAGCAATTGAGGCTTAGCAGCGAGCTCGACACCGATGGTAAGACGCTTACGCTGTTCGACGTTGAGACCTTCACCGGGGACACCGACAATGGCATCGGCGTAGGTCTCCATACCAAGAAGCTTGATAACCTCCTCAACGTAGTCCAACTTCTCCTGTCGGGAGACATCGGCAGGTTGACGAAGGATAGCACTGAATCGAAGAGCCTCACGGACAGTAGTAGTGTACAGATGCAAGTCTTGCTGCTGCACGTAGCCAGTCTTTCGCTGGAAAGACTGGTCACGCTGGCGACCGTCGACCAACATTTCACCGCTGACAACACCCATAGTGACACGAGTAGCGAGGACATCCAAAAGAGTAGTCTTACCAGCACCAGAAACACCCATCAAAGCAGTGCAGGTACCAGGCTTGACCCAACCGTCGACATGATCCAGAATGCGGCGCTCCTCACTCTTGATCTTGATATCATAGCAAACATCCTGCCATTGGAAAATGGCAGTCTGGCGCTGGATACCGGCGCTAGCTCCTTGGGCAGACTCATCGGTCTTCTCGGCAGAACCAATAACCTCAGTGCTTTCCAGGTCACCGGACTCGTGCTTGGGAGCGTGGCCACGGCGGAAAAGCAAGACCTCACCCTTAGACTTGGACTCAGAAATGTACTCGGTGGCAGTCAAGTAGGTAGCACAGAAGAAAACCATGAAAGCAATCATGATACCCAGGTTGCGCCACTTGTGGCTGTCATAGTAGTTGAAGCTTTGAGCCAGGTATTCGGTACCGTAGACATAATTAGATCCAGCCTGAGAACTGGTAGCACTGCAAACCTTGAAGGCATCCGCAAGAGAATCGTAACCAGTACCGGAAGGAATCATGGAGGATTCCTCGCACAGGAAACTCCGACCGTGGAATTCATTGACCATTAGGGATTCGAATCCATAGGCAATGGGGTCGAGGTAGTTCATCCAGCGAGACCAACCAAGCATGTTATGGGTGGGAATTGTGAAACCAGTGTAGATAACCAGACCCAGAATCAGGATGGCGGCGGGCACCAGAGCCTGGGAAAGAGTGCGAGAGGAGGCAGCAATGGTTCGGAAAATCATGGACATGGTCAAGGTGGTGACGAAAGAGAAGAGCAGAAAAACGAAGAAAGCGCTAGGGGTGCGGCGGAGGTTCGTCATGAAGTAAAGGGTCACGTTGAAGGTTATGGCGTTGAGAAGCTTGTATGGCATATCACAAAGCATTGAAGCGATAGCCTCGGCGAATGGATGATACATGGCATAACGAGCTTGCTTTTCGACGATAGGACGTTGCGCGTAGAGAGTCAAGATCTAAGTATCCTTTGTTAGTCTCGAAGTCTTATGATTGACACTGGGTTTTGTGCAACTTACTTCAAGGGCAGAGGAGAAAGCGTTAAGCAGGACAGCGAAGAAAAGAAGGGCACCTCGAGAATAGAAACTTGAGGTGACATCTTGCAAGTTGAAGAAGACGGAACCAATAATCAAAGCCATAATGAAGTTACCAATGAGTTGGGAGAGAGTCAAACTGGCGTCACCCTTGAGACGTTGGAAGCCACGAATCATGCAAAGGTTAACCTGTTGCATAACAGACATGGTGAAGGGAGATCCGGTGCGCTGGTTCTTGTCCTGCATGGCCTTGCGACCATCAATGAACTTCTGCAGAGCCTCTCCACCAAGAGGGAAGCTTGAGTTGTATTCCTCAATCTCCTTGATCAATTCGCGGTATTCCTTGCTGTTCTTCCACGCGGCGGCGAACTCATCGGGGGTACGAGGAACCACATTCTCAAAGCCAGGGCGCACAATACGCTCATTGACGCTGGTAAGAGATGTCAAGAAATCAGCATCAGTCTGACGATCGGGGCATTCGTAACCCATGTTAACAAAGAATTGCTTGGCGTCACCAGTGCGACCGAAGTAGATCTGACGACCCTCGTACAACACTGTAACCTTGTCGAAGACATCGTAGGCGCTCTGGGAAGCCTGGTAAATGGCGACGGCACAGGTGGTTCCAGAGTACTTGGCCATCAGGTTCAAGGTCTTACAGAACTCAAGGGCGTTGGCACTGTCCAGACCACGGGTACTGTTATCCCAGCATTGAAGCGGGCTACCACACAAGGTGGCCTCGGCAATACTGACACGCTTGCGCTCACCACCAGAGACACCACGAACGAAATCGTTACCAACCTTGGTGTTGATAGTGTGTGAAAGACCCAGCATGGCCATGACAACGTCACGCATATGCTCAGCATACTGATCCCGCGAGACATCAGGCAGACGGTTACGAGGCGCACGGGCCAAAGCAGCGAATTTGAGGGTATCACCCACAGAGAGCTGGGGAAAGTGTACATCGGTTTCGGCAGTATAGATGGCCTCGCCACGGAACTGCTTCTTCATTTGCTTGTCGGAGACACCCTGATAGTTCATCTCGGATGTCTTGTCCTTGTAAATACCGTTCATCTCTCCAGCCAAGGTCTTCAGGAAAGTAGAGCAACCGGAACCAGGGCGGCCTAGCACGACCAGCATTTCGCCACTCTTGACAAGACCGTCAAATTCACGTAGAATCTGAATCTTTTGCTTACCAGTACCAGTAGCCAGGCGGAACAAGGCACCAACCTGCAAGACAGAGTTGAAGACATCCTTTTGGTAATCGGTAGGGCTACCGAAACCGTGCACACTAAGGTTGCGGAATGATACACCTGCTTGGCGTTGCGGGTAGCGTTCTGGGTCGCGAGAAGTAATGGCGAGTAAGTTCTTCATCCAATTGCGGGCTCTGAAGTTGGGGCTGGCGGGATTGAGAGTGGAGTCTTCCTTTGGAGTCTCGAGGAAGGTGTTCTCGCCCTCGATGACGGAGAAGCGAGTTGATTGGCGAGTCAATTTTTGGGCCAGACGGGTCACTTCCTCCTCGATTTGCTCCTCATTGGCGATCTCGACCTTATCCTCCTCACCCATCATTGTCTCTTCGGTACTGACACTACCGGCAGGGTCATGGTGATGGATCTCGCGCGCGACTGAGACCGATTGCTCGGCCTCAGGTAAATTGGGGTTCAAAGTCCCCAACAGCGACATGGTGGGCTAGACCTTGAAGCTGTATAAGAAAAGTATCGATTGTTGTTGGTATCGAAGCCCAATGACGGAAAAGAAATAAAGTTGTTAGGGAAATCACCATCAATTGGCGAGGTGTCGAGTGGAGTAGTTGGATATTGTTTTTGTTTGCGGGGCGAGTGATGAAATTGATAATTAGGGTTGTGATTAAGAGGGGAATATTAAGGGGAGAATATGACTAAAAGAGGAAAAGAAAAGAAGAGACTAAGAGAAAGACACCCAAGTGAAGGATTAAGAAGATAAATAGGGAAGAAGGATTAGCATTGATAAAAAATAATCATCTCGAAAATTCGAAAATTCGAATTCGGGTTCGGGCGAAATTTAGACTGGATCTCCGATAACCAAACGGTAAGCGGTTCAAGGGGATTCCGGACGAGGCCCGAGTGTCGGATTTTGATAGATTATTCTGGATTTCTGGATTTTGTTGGATCCTATGGAGACATTGGCTGTCTAAAGGGATCAATTGGCGAATTCTCTATTTGAATACTTGGGCCCTAAACTACTTTGAGATAATGCACAGAAGCCATGACTCGGAACAATTATGATTCATGTTATGTGTTTATGAGTACATATTACACTAGGTAGTACACTTCATACTCTTCTATCTTTCTATTCAAGTAAAATAGCTACATATATACCAATTAGAATTGGAGAACTTACAATCAAGTTACAATGATATGTACCTAAGTATAAAATTATGTACTACTCCGTACAATTTAATATAATCCTTTGTATGGAAGAAATAAAGAATTCTCATAAAGACTGAAAGTGGGCCGGAGCCCCTTGTTTCCGACTGTCGGGCCCACGCGGAGAGTTCCCACCTTCCTCTCCGCCCCCTCGGATGCACATCCTCCGGCTTTCCGGGATGACTCAGCGCTCCATCTTCGTCCGTACGGACGAACTTACGCCCGTAATCTCCTTGAAGTATGTATACAGTATAGGGGGGCTAGGAGTAAATCAAATCATCATGATCACTTGCATCATCGTTCTCGGAGATTCTGCAGATACTAGGTGTACGTGTGTGCATTGAGTCTAATATACTATCTAAATGTCTAATTCTAGTACTAGTATAACTGGACATCGCCACCCAGTTAGCTCAAGTTGAACTATTCCACTGGCAACTTGAAGGCTGAATGGTTCATATTTTATGTAAAGTTCCAGACTTGAAAGTGTTCCCCAAAAATTATATTAATTTTGGTTAAATGATCAACATTGGCTCCGTAAACCAGAGGCCACCTGGGCACGCGCCACCATATGTACGCGTTGATTTAGCTCAAAATACGGAGTATGGAGCATCACCCATCCTCCAACTTTGATCGCCACTATCCATAAACTATGTATCTAGAGGACTCTACTCAAGTGCGATATCCAAGGTTGGGCTACAAGAAATAATCAGGCAAGCCAACAGGATTATGTATACAGACTTAAGCTTTGTAATGGAGAGCAATGTATGGACCAGTTGACATCTGGAGGCAATGGCAATTTACACGTCATCATTATGATGTTCAAATGTTCCAGATGTCAAAGGCTGACATGTGGTCATGTCTCTTTTACTAGTCGATAGACCTATCATCCTGCAACTTGAATCTTGGAACCCCCTTGCATCACGGGTGCTGAGCTGAGCTGACACCGTGACGCACGCTCAAGACATTTGCCCAGGTGACTCAAGTGCTCACTTAGATTTCAAGATTTCACGGTTCTTCCCGAGGTCATTTACTAGTACCTAATACTACTACAAGATGCCTCCAAGGCTACCAGTGTATATATTAGACTAAAACTTCAAGTTGAACTGATCTGAACTCGAAGTTCAATTTATCGATTCAAGTTACTAGTAGTAGTACTAGGGGTATCTCAGGTTCAAGTACTGCGGACTCGGACATCTGGAGTAGGCCAACTCAATGAAGACGGACTGGGGGGGGAATAGATATATATAAATTCATAGCAAGTGAAGGGCTCCGACTCGGAGTCATCACGGTCAGCTGCCCACGTGGTGTTATTAGTTACTTCCAATGTTCATCTTGATTCATGATTTATCCAAATTTGAGACACAAGCAACCTCTCAAAATAATAATGCAAATCATGTACTTTCATCTTCATTTTCCTCATCCTCATCAATCGGCTCCACCAACAGATTGCCTCCCCGTCCAATCTTATCACGGATCGTTCCGCCATCTTCCACCCCATACACCGCCCGAGGCATTGGTGAAACAAGTCGGAATCCATATTTATGCTCGAACCCTTCCGGTTCGGATACATCCGAGTCCCGCTCCCCTTGTAATTCCTCGTAACATTCCACCACCGCATATAGCTCTTCCAATTCGGCGTCGGCTGCAAACCGACGCATGATCCGCTCTCCATTGGGTAGTCGTACACTGATCCGCACGGCATCCTTGACATCAGTGCCAGGCTCTGCACTCAGTGACTGTACCCGCCACTTCTTCCACTGTGCAAGATCACGCTGTTGCTTCTCATGCGCAGCTTGGCGGTCTGCCGCCTCCTGTTCCTCTCGCTGCTGAGCAGCCTCCTCTTCTCGGCGTTGGCGCGCCCGTTCTCGATCAATAGCCAATGATCGCTCGTAGGCGGAATCCTGTTGTTCACGTAGACTCCGAGATGCTTGCTGCTCGGCGCGGCTAGCGCGAATTCGTTCCAACGGTTCTTGATTCGAGGAAATAGCTTTGCGGAGCTTGTTCGTAAATTCCGTCGGAGTAGTAGGACCTGCAATGCGACCCACCACTGACATCGCTGTTGAAGACACATTGGGTGTGTGGACCATCACAGCCGCAAAAGGGAACTTGGTCACTCGGAGGGAGTTGGAAACCTGGTATGCCTCGGAGTCTTTGACATTTCCACCCCACACAAGTAGATTATTCCGGGAGTCGTTGATGAACTCCATTATCTCCGGCGCCAGTAGAGTATCACGTACCCAGCTGTTTGTGTCATAGTGTTCAGGGGACAAGAGGATGACTACCAAGAACTTCAGATCGCGGTGGGCCTTCTCCAATGCCATGTTGTACCCATTCTCCAAGAACGGAATGGGCTGTGACCCATGTTCCTCCTCAAACTCGCGGATGAATCGAGCGGCGGTGTCTTTTGGACCAAGGGCACGACGGCCAGTGGTGTTTCTTCGTGTGCCCTGGAGGGCTGGGTTTGCGGTGGCATTGAACAGTCGAGGTAGGAAGGGAAATAGGGTCCCGAAGAGACGGAAAGAGCTAAAAAGGAGTCGGTAGACTAGATTAAATGGAGTGAATAGTAAGGCAATGATCAACGGTGGTCGATAAACTGGCTGATCATCTGATTGGGTATCGACTCTTGGGGCTGCATCGGCAGCACTACTACGTGCCGTGAATGACAGTTGTTCAGTGAGGTCCTCTGTCATCAGGTTTCGGGTTTGCCGATTTGGTTGGGGAGTAGACTGTGGTAGCGCAGAGCGAGCTTCCTCAAGGGGATCTGGGCCCTCGCCATCGAAAAACTTGGCTATGGCGATCTATTGCGGGGGTGAGTATGTAGTTTAAGCTTGCGCATAAGTAGACAGCAACTAACCTGGATGTTCCATTGCGACCGACGTAATAACGGAATGGCATCTGTAAGTTCTTGGCCTGTCACTGTTGTATATGTGTCCAGAGCAGTTCTCTCAGCATCAGAGAGCTGATCAAGATCAAAGTCCGGAGTGGACATGGTGAGTGATAAGTGGCAGGCGTGAGCACTGGAGCTGTCCTGGCCAAGATGACATGTAGATGGACGAATTGGGACACCGCCTGTCATACCGCCTTCCAAGGTTGGGTACAGTACAAATTGTACAACTTGGTGAAGACAAAGTGAACATGGTGACCACGCTGACTATTATGGAACTTCAAGTTTGCGGTTTCTTTATCTTTTGGACTGTCCCTAGTATTTTTTTAGTTATTCTATTAACTAACTTTGTCTACATAGTTTCTAGGGCTCAATGAATACCAGCACTTGATCATGCCGTGGTATATCTCAGGTAGATTACATCATGGAAGATAAGATTGTCCGCGGGTTCCTATCTAGAGTTTAATGGGGAAATTCAATATATATTCCGGGCTGTTATTACCATGATAAGACATCTGGGATCCTGGGCAGATATACTAGAAGTCACTGTGGCTGGGGGCCCGGGGTTATATAGGGCGGCCCTATGTGGCAATACGAGTATGATATGCACTGCAGTGCTTGTAGCTTCGAGACTCGGAGATAGCCCACAAACGAGACAACCCAAAATAATAGCCACTGGCAACTTGACATAAGTTAATTCCTTCAGTCAAAGAGGGACAAATTATAAATTTATAGCACATATCAAGACCTAAGTGTTCAAATTCAGATCCATAGTTCATCTAACTTAGATATGGCTCAAAGAAGTCAAGCACTTGATGTAGATTCAATTCGATCGCGGGCCTGACCGCCTGGTCCGTGCACGCGCCCCCTTCGAGTTCATCTTCGCCCCGCGTCTCTTTGGATTGTATCAGCTCTGAATTCTGGTGGGAGGAGCCGCATTGGATCCAATATCCTTATCGGTGTGGTGCTCCTTATTGATGAATCGACTCGCTCACTCCTTGTCCATTGCTTCATTGATCCTTAACCATCAGCTCTTGGGAACTTACTCTTGGGGACGCGCCAACTGCAAACTGCCAACTGCCGTAGGATAGTGTCACATCCCAAGGAATGTGGCTTCCTCTCGGTCAACTCAATCTTTTCGTCGCTTATCCCGTTTCAATGGAGATCTCACCACGCTGATCCGCCCTGTTTCGTCCCGTCGGTATCAGCCAGCCCATAATGGCCTCCTCCGGCAAGCCTGCTTTGGACGACGCCCGTCGCACTACAGGATCGCCGAAAATGAAGACCCGAGGTGAGTGTGTCGCAATTAGCTCGAGTCGTGAACCTTGGCCGAGGATATGAGGATGAAAATGCTGGGCTAGAAGGACAAAAATCATGATTGGATGAGTATACTGATTGAAGACTGGAACACAGAGAACGCGAAAGATACGCTATGTCGCAATGTGACAATCTATGGTCGTTGTCGCTATGAAGACAAAGGTAAATCCATCTTGCATCGGAATGTGGTAGAGTAGAAAATCTGATGTTGATCGATTTCCAGGCTGTGCTTTCAATCATGATCCGCTGAAAATCAATGCAACACACCAGTCGGACAGGTAATTTCTCTTAAATTCTCAGGTTTCAATGTCCGATTATTAACGGTAGTGGTCTCAAAATCAGCAATAAGAAACGTTTCAACGTGGACTCACCGAGCTTCACCCCCTCTCTCTTGTCTGGCAACGGCACCTCCGCACCTAAGAAATCAACAATCTCCCCCAAAGCCGCCAGCGCAGCCCCATTTCAACCCCGAGTTGCTGCATCCCGTATGGCTTCTGACCCAGAACCATGGTCATCCCCGCTGACTGGAAAAGGCTCCAACACGAGTACGCCGATGCGACAGGAAACAGGAACCCCAGATTGGACAGAGGTGCAGGAGTTTGTGCCTGCTGTGTATGATGGTCATGTGGTATGTTTCAATAGCTCCTTCCCTGTTTGCACTTCATGACGCGCTCGTTCTATTTCCCTTTTCTTTTCCCCACATAATTTCAGAAGTCCTCGACTATGTCCCATCATACACCACAATGGGTTTGGGATCCTTGGCTTCTCACCAGAATCATTCCAGCAGAAGCTTAAATGCTTTATCCGACGACTGGGATCCTATATCAGTCTCGGAATGGAATCAATACAAATACCGCAGCGCTAGTCTTGGCTTTTACCCCGCTGACACTTCCTATCAGGCATCTCTCCAGGGTAATGGAAACGGCGCTATTTCTGCGTCAGCTGCATATGATCCTTTCGTAACATCATCGACTCCTCTGTCCGGTACCACAGCTGTTGGACCTGTATCTACCAATCCATATGCCCACGATACTGCTGCCGCCCTCGGACAAGCTACATTCTTTGCAAACCAAACCGGCTTCCAACAACCGGTATGTGTGGAATACTAAAATTTATGTTGCTCCCCATTGACCCTGTCCTAACTCCTTCTCAGGTCCAATATCACCTCTACGCCCCTATCGGTCCTCACAATTCGAATACACTTGGGTACCAACGCAACGTCCATGACCTTTTTCTCCCCAACGACTTCCGAGAAGAGCTGCAGAAGAAGGCGGCAGCTACTTTACAAACCTTGCCCAGTAGGTTACACACTACCGAAAACTAGTACTCATGGGAACGAGTCCGCTGACATGCCTTTTAGACACACAACTTCCTGGCCAGGTCGATTACTTTCACTCACTTGTACCCTTGGACTTGAGTCATCAGAAGAATGCAGCAACATTTGGCTATCCTAGCTGGGTGTACAAGGCGCAATCAAGCAAGGATGGAAATTTCTACGTCCTCCGTCGACTGGAGGGTATGTTTATGACCCAAACGAATACGAAGAAAGACCTGCAAACTAACTGACTCGTAGGATTCCGCTTGACAAACGAGAAGGCTATTCGGTCTGTCCAGGCTTGGAAGCGTGTTTGCAGCGGTAGTGTGGTAACAGTCCATGATGCATTCACTAGTCGAAGCTTCCAAGACAGCTCGCTGATCTTTGTCACCGACTACCACCCCCTTTCCAAGACATTAGCCGAGCAACATCTGGGCTCTGGAAACCGTTTCCAGGGTCGTCACAATACGCCCATTGCCGAGCAGGTTCTCTGGGGCTATATGACCCAGATTGCCAATGCCCTGAAGGCGATCCACACCAATGGTCTTGCCGCGCGCGTCCTGGAACCCAGCAAAGTGCTTCTGACAGGCAAGAATCGGGTCCGCCTGAACTCATGTGCCATTCTCGACGTGGTCCAGTTTGACACCCAAAGGCCCATCGCAGATTTGCAAAGGCAGGATCTCGTTAACTTCGGTCAATTGATTCTCACCCTTGGTGCAAACTCGCCCAACGTTATGCACCACCAAACAAAGGCTATGGACCACTTCTCCCGGGCATATAGCCCGCAAATGAAAAACTCCGTCTTTTGGCTGCTGAGCGCACTGCAAAAGGACCAAGAGCGAAACATTGACACCTTCATCACCGGGATTTCCTCGCAGTTGATGTCGACTTTCGATTCCGCTCTTCACCTTGATGACCAACTCACATCCGATCTTAGCCGCGAGCTTGAGAATGGTCGTTTAGTGCGTCTTATGACGAAGTTGAACTTCATCAACGAACGTCCAGAATACGAACATGATCGTCAATGGTCTGAGAATGGGGAGCGTTACTTCTTGAAGATCTTCCGAGACTATGTCTTTCACCAGGTTGATGCTCAAGGAGAACCAGTGGTTGACTTGGGTCATGTGTTAACTTGCTTGAATAAGCTCGACGCCGGCAGTGATGAGAAGGTCACTCTTGTGAGTCGGGATGAGCAAAGCTGCTTTATTGTCAGCTACAAGGAGGTGAAGAAAGCGCTTGAATCTTCCTTCCAGGCATTGATGAAGCCAGCAAGAAGGCTTCATTAAGCTCCTCGAAGATCCAGCTTTTGTGCCACTCTATGTTTGCTGGATTCTTGGAGCGAATGATATGACCTGTGAACGACTTTCTCGCTGACATGTTTCCCAATCTTCTTTTGACATGCATTTCCCACCCGGAGCTATCCATAGCCGGCTCCAGGCTGATCCTGCAGCCTCCCAGAGGCATCCCATTCGTCTCGCTACCATTTTTCTTTTTACTCCACAATGCTTCATCGCACATCTCATGGAAACATACACTGATAAAGAATGAAGAAATCCATTTCAAATTTTGCATTCTGGTAGATATAATCGACGTAGAACAAAGCATGCGTAGATGTGCTCAATAATGATCCTATAGCTCGATCCTAGGATTCCTAATCCTCCCACAGTTCTCCAATCCCTCAGTAAGCATTCCCAGCTGTTCCTCATGAGTTGTTTTGCCTTTTACCCGGCTACCCACTGTTTTCGGTGGGATCAATATTTGATCCACCACATGTATAACCCCATCCCCAGCTAGTAAATCAACAATACGCGGCTCCCAGAACCCATTAATCCTTACTTCAGTATTCCATCCCTGTCGCATAATATCCATACTGATATCATAACCCTCTAGCAATGTCGACGAATCCACATGAACAACAGGATACCGACCCTTCCTACCTTCAGGATTTCGACGATGCCCTCTTCCAGGCTTTCGACCATGATGTCCACTACCTCTGATAAATTCCTCCGCCGTCTCTCTATCCACATAAATTGCATCAGAATAGATAGTATGATCCGGTACAATGTGATACTGAAGTAAAGCACGCAGACACTCTTCTCCCTGCGGCGAGAACAAGAACCCATTTATGCGCGGTCCTAGGGCCCGGAAGGCACTATTTGTTGGTGCGAAGGTTGTTCCACCGTGTCGATTCGTAGCGTCGAAATGAGGCTCCAGGTTTGATTTCGAGAGGGCAAATGTAAATGTGCTAAAGTGTTCTGGAAGGAGCCTGAGAAGAGTACTTGTATTTGGAGGTGGAGTTAGTGGTATATCGATGTGGTGAATTATGCCGTTTGATGCGATCTGATCATGTTAGTGACGAGTTGACGTTCAAGGGTCTCATTTTTGAATAAAGCAAAATTGATGTTCAATTGGTAGATTGGGTATGCAATTTGAGAGTAGAAAGATGAAGTATCACTTACAATATTCCCGGCAATGATCTCACTCGCTCCGTTTAACAAGACCGAGTCTCGAATTGCATCAACTCGAAGTCGCTGTAGATGATCCCTATATTTGTCCTTCTCCTTATCATCATCATCGTCCTTTCTTTTCTTCTTCTTCTTCTGCGTATCCAAACTTGAACCTTTCCCCTGACCCAATGTAGACGCACTCAAAGTAGTAGCGAGTGTCTGATGTCTATAAGCCCGTAGATCCTCCCAAGACGCTCTTCCAAGTATAACATGATACCGTAAAATACTTGCAATGGATGGTAGGTCGAAGTGAGTCATTAATCGATCCAATGCTCGATTTGTTGGTGCGAAGAGCGTGTAATTCGCACTCGCATTGCTGAGTAACTTGACCAGCTCATCGTCGTTCCTGATCATCTCTGCTAAGCGTGCTGTTCTATGACTTTGGCTGATCAGCTCCCAGATTGTCCTGTTTCCGGGACATAGAGCTGGGTTATCACATGGTCCATGGTGTGGGTATCCAGGACCTGGATGTGGTGGTCTTTGACCTGGATAACCTGGATGAGGTCGTGGACCAGGACCAGGACCAGGGAATGAGTCTTCATCATGTGTCATAAGGTCATCTTTGCTGTATTCTTTATTGCTGAATACTTTCATACTCTTGCTAAGCCCATCGTATTCCAGCAAACCTGAAGCTGGGTAAACAGCTGAGCCTCGCACCGGCTCAACTTGAGATGCGAAAGTTCCCCATAGTGACTCGGTGTCAAGCTGAACCCGATTTTCAGAGTCGGGCTCATTAGCGAGTAGCTTTTTGTAAGACGATCTCTCTGTATCGGGCGAAGTCTTCCAAAAGGTATCAAGAACAGCCTCTTGATCTGGAATCACGAGAGCGGAGCAGATCGAGATCGCTATAGAAAGAAATAGTATCGACCTCATATTGGAAGTGTTGATTTTCTCAAATGATTCAGAAATACTGGGACTGCCGCTCTGCCTGTTAATGAAGTGCTCAAGGTCGCACTAACTTCCGAGCGGCAAGGAAGATGCGACGAATAGCCATATTCGGCACGTTCGGACGCACTGATGGTGCGGTAGGTTGGTTATTGTGGTACAAACGTCGTTTTTCAAATAGAATAGGAAGCAATCAAGGCAATTGCGTCCAGTGGTAGTGTTCTGAATAGGAAGTTCGGATATTTTTGGAATTGAGGAGACACAATCGGGTTGAGCGGCGATGCTCCTTTCTCTTTACAAGAAATAACTTTAGTTATAGAATGACATGATACAATGCAGTGTATCATTAATCCATTTACGAGGTATCAGAAACAATCGAATCTCACATGTGCAAGGTCATCAAGTACGGATATCACATTTGTGCCTATAGTTCCCATTTGTCCACATTTCAAGTATATAATTCTTCAGATTTAATCCAGATCCGGCACAGGGAGTCCGTTAATAATCTTGACCTTCCGGCCCAGCTTGTCAAGAGCAATTTTGGAGTTCTCCGAACGCAATTCGAATGTCTCGGCGTCACTCACCAGAACAAAGTCGTAGGTGAGGAGGGCATGACCCTCAGGCACGTTATATTTCTTCGCGACCTCAGGTCCAGCCTTGCCAATATCGACGGTAAGGGAATCCTTCACACCGAAGACGGCATCGGAGGTCTCGTAAGGGTCACCACGGAGGTAGAGAGCGCTAGTAAGGATGTCAGAACAAGTACAACAAAGCTCAAGAGGGAGAAAAAGGGAAGCAATCGCAGTAAACATACGTAATCAAATGATCATAACCAGGCTTCTGGAACATGAAATGCATATGCGAAGGGCGGTACGGGTGACGGTGCAGCTTCTTCAACAACCGTCCAACAGGTCCATCATGGGGAATAGGGTAAGGCACAGGCGTAATGGCCTTAAACCAGAAGACACCCTCCTTATCGGAACGCATAATGCAACGACCATCTGGACCCTCACGTCCTGCATACTGCACATCATAGTGGCCCGTAGAATCCGTCTCCCAGATATCAATCTTCACGTCATCGATAGGATTTCCCTGCATATCCTTCAATGTACAAACAACAAGCAAGGGCTCTCCCTTGGGGTCATGCGACATGGAATCTCCAGCTGGCATCTCCTCCGCATCGTGGGTGTGAAAGGGACCGAGGACGGTTCCTTCGGTGGAACCGACAGGCTTGGGGTGATCGATTGAGTCGACAAGGATGGAGAGACCGAGGACATCGGAAAGAAGGATGAATTCCTGGCGCACTTCTGTGCAGATTTGACCAACTTCAGTCAAGAAGCGCAAACCGGTCATCCATTCCTCACTGCTGAGACGGGTTTCGCGGGCGAAGTCGTGGAGGTGGGTGACTAGACGTTCGAGAATGTATTTCATGCGCTGGTCTTCGCAGAGGGAGTTGATTGTGTGGACATTTTCGGTGATGTTGTCGACTGTCAAGTCTTTCATAGGAGGGATATTAACCTTGGAGGGATCCATTGTGAATTGTATTTTTGAAATTGGATATAGAGATAAACTACAGGAGAAGAAATGAACAAGTTGAATTGAGATAAATGAAGGAAATCCGGGGTGCGTTTATATCGTCATAAAGTCATTCCGGACCGGATTTACTCCCTTGTCGGCAAATCGGGCGGGAATGTGTATGGTGGAGGGGGGGCTACTTTTTCTATGAATAATGGATCAGGTAATGCTAAATTTCGAATGATTTGCACCACTTGGTTCGTTCATATTTTTTTTGCTTGCATCTAACTAGCTGTTGAGTTTCACCCCGCAGACTCTGCCCCGCCCACTTAACGCGGCGGAATTACTGTACTCCCGTCGGACCCGGCAATAGGGCGAGCTATCTATGCCGATGGGAGTTCTCAAATGTTGACTTCAATTGCAGGACTTGCATTAGTTCTAAATGAAAATGACATTGATCTATATGGAGAATGAGAATAAGACTCGAAGCTATCCATACCTAGGTAATCTATGAGATCACACTGTGGATGAGAATATAGCCGGCTTCTCCAGAACAGAAATAACCTTAGGATTTTTTGATCTTGGTCAGCATATCCTAAGCATAATAAAGTGGGGACTATATCATCATATGGAACACGGCTGATGTATATCCGAAGTTTGATAGTAAGAAGAAGTGATACATCTATAATCAATGGCTAATTTTTAACCGAATAAGAAACTGATCGACGCCCAAGATTAATGTATATCCGCTCCGTGCGGGGAACATTTGAATCTGGGGTAGCACAGATATCTATAGATGATAGAGTATCTCAATGAGGTATTAGTTATAACTAACTTCAGGCCTTACATAATCCATAGTTCCGTCGGATGTATAGGACAGCAAGGTTTCAGACTAGAGTTGGGCCACGGGCATGGATCGCAACAAGATAGGAGGAACATTCAAAAGCGATTGATGTGAACATTTCCTCAAATAGGCATCTGGAAGTGCCTCGCAATATAAGCTTTAAATGTTCATGGTGCGCACTGGCAATGGCCTATTAGCCCTACTAGTCATACTAGAATGCGAGTTTACTAGTTCATAAAATCAATTTTTGATAGTGTACATTTGCAGATAGACAATATGCCTCCAGGGGAATCAATAAAACACATGTTCAGGCAGTGGATATCAGTTACGCTCAATAGACCCCACCCAAATTCGCCCGCTAGCATATCAGAACAACAAAAATCAATCAGTGGCATGGATACTGGCATCAAGATGGAACCAGTCGTAGTTCACGGTCACGGTCACGGTCACGGTCTCGGTCACGGTCATTATCTCGATCTCTCTAGCGATCAGCGTCTCAATCATGAGATACATCTCCACGGTCTGGTCCTCGGTCTGGTCCACGCTCGACACCTCGTTCTTTCTCCTGCACAGCAGCCGCAACCCGCTTATGATGATCCACGGTATCAAGAATAGCTTGCATCAATCGCTGATTAGCATCAGGGTCCTCATCCGACGCATTTTGAGCAGGACCATGGTGCGACTGGCCACCCTCCGTCTCACTCACTGCTCTGCGAGGCGAGTTATTCTGAGAAGGAAGTTTAACAGGCGCAGCAGACTTCGGGGTAATTTGAGAAGCACTGGGTGCAGATTCACGACGGGTATGATGGGCATAAACAGGGTCAAAGGGTTCGTGTCGTTCTGCTGAGGTTGTAGCAGCTGAGGTTGTAGCAGCTGGGGAGGTTCTTTGTTGGAAACTTGCGTGGTCACTGTCCATTCTCTCTCGGGTACGCGATGAGCTTGATGCCCAGACCGTACGGAGTTCATCTTCCTTCACATCACGCCAGGAACACTTCGCATGTTTCTTTGTGCAGCCCATGCATGCAGTTAGATTCTTGAGACAGTCCATGTGAAGCCGACGGCATCGATCGCAGGGTGGTACAACACGCTCACCGCGCTGGAGCTCATCCATGCGGGCTACCATTTCCAGCTTGAATGGGCCGCCGTCGTCTTTTTCCTGGCTACTGGCTTTTGGGGGTGGAAGGAGAGAAGATGGAGTGCTTGGTATGGCTACTGGTGTTGAGGCTGTGTTGTAGGGATTGGTTGTGGGGTTGTATTCTGGTGCTTCGGCGGGTTGTGGTAGAGGACGTTGTAGAGGGTTAGGCGTAGTAGCTGGAGCCGGAGCTGTATCCTCGTAGCCACGTGCCTGGCGATCGGCTGTAGTAAAGAACTTTTTCATCAGATCGGCACGAGTAGTGGGTGATGCGCCTTTGATGGAAGTGCCATTTATGATTGTGATATTCTCGGTATTGGAGTGAGAGAATGCAAACTGGGGGTGGTCTTCGGCGGCCTCGGCGTCAGGCCGAGCTGGGTTGGCAGCGTTCACAGCGACAAAACCGCTGCCGAGAGGTGACGCCTGAGATGAACGTCCATTGTGCGCCGAGACAGGCTGGCGGTTGAGGTCGCGCCAAGGTTCTCCAGTAGAACGGGGTTTAAGAGTTGCATCATTCTCTCGGCGACTCACAATGGCAGTGCGGCGGTTCTTCAAGCGGTAACTGAGTTGGCGAGCTCGCGCAGACACTAAACAAAGAGGGATTAGTATTCTATAACCGCAGTATATCGTAGTATGAACGCCCAAAGCTTACCTTGGTCGGCCATCTGGATAATTTGCTGAAGGTTCTTCTCCAGTATCTCCAATGCGCCCAGTTCCTTCTCCTCATCTTCGCTGATCGGCTGCGGGGGAATCATCTTTTGAGGCATGCCCGAAGCAATCAACACAAAGTCCTCCTCACTGATCTCCACGCGACACTGCTTTGTGTAGAATTGGCAGACGCGCACTCCATTGCGAGACTTCTCTAGATTGAATTGCTCTGGCTTGTTTTTGGCGAACTCAACCACATCCAGCCAAGTAACCGTAGGTCCATCTTTACCATGCGACTTAAGCACCTTTGGAGGTCCATCGAACAGGCGCTCGAAGCGCTTGATCAGAATAGGACCCAGAGGACATGCGCCGAGGTTCCCAGCAATACTCTCATGGCGGTGGAGGACTCCATCGTACTCGGCGATCAGGTGAATGATCGCAGGCATGGTATCATCGGCGCCGACCAGAGGAAGGTTATCAGGGTATTGGCGAGCAAGATAGTTGATTTGAAGGTGATTAGAATGCATTTTGGGGACTTTCGACTGCGGCGCGTGGTCGCCAGTCGGAGACCGAGGCCGTTTGTTAGATGGCTCGGCCATCGCGTTGCGGGACTCCATGGTGGGAATTACCCGGCGGCAGCAAGGATAGCTTATTTCCAGGTCTGAGACGTTGCAGGATGTAAGTATTGACCAAAGGTGTCAGAGGTGATGGTGGTTGGGAAAGGTAACAACAAAGACGCGAAAAAGAAAAAAAGGCTTGTGAGGGACGAGGGATTTAGAACAGGGGCGGGTCAGGCTACCAGATTCAGTTCCGGCGGAGACAGGGCGGAGCGCAAGTACAAATGGGGCGGGTCTACGAAGTGTGTACAAGTGGTGTACGAGGTCCCGTGGAATTGGTTTAAGAAGCTTGTTAAGCATGTCTCACCACTATATATTACCACTAAAAAGAGAGGACGACCAATGAACAAGCCTGTCAACCACAGAGCGGTCGAACTAGTCCAACCAGAGGCAGCGGAGTCCCGCCGGGGGTTTCCGCTGGAGGCATGGGCAGCCCATGCTCGAGTCCCCGTGCACACTAGAGCAGCTGTATACGATAGGTAGCCATCTATCTCATCATGGCCAAAACACGATTTATTGCCGATCACTGCAAATAAGCCTTTTTTTCCGAGGAGTCCACTTGACTTAAAAAGAAGGGATAAACATGAAACTCGTCACAACCTTGGAATCTTCATAGTTTTGTATTATGGATGCCTAGATGATAGTGTGCCCAATCCTTCAGGCATGAATTACCGGGTTCCGCCCCTCTAGACATTCCCGGTGACGGTAATATTACCGTAACAGCGGGAAATCCATTGGGCGGAAGCAACCCGATAACAGTGTGCAGGTGGACTGGAGAGCTTTTATCGTGTCACAGCAGAACAGAACACAACACGCTAAAAATCCCTCATATCCAGAAGCTCCTTCCATCACCTATCTGAACCCCATCATCTCGTCCCCCTTACCCTGTACTTCCGGTCTTCCTCTCCTAACTGGGCTTAGCTGGATTCTGAGCAATTTTAATTTCTTCTTTTTTTTTTTCTAATACCCATTTGACATCACCCCCCGCTTAAACATGTCTGAACGTGGTTCATTCCGAGGTGGTCGTGGTGGCCGTGGTGGTGGCCGTCAGCCTCAACAGAAAAGTGGCGGTGGTGGCGGTGCGCAAGAGAAGCCCAAGAAGGAGAACATCCTTGATCTGAACAAGTATATGGACAAGGAAGTCCAGGTGAAGTTCAATGGCGGTCGTGAAGGTGGGTCCCTTGTTTTATGCCGCATGACGATTTCATATCAAATCCGGATATACATGCAGCTGCCTATGATTTTGATGCTGATTGCTGATGACCCTTCTATCTAGTCACCGGAATTCTCAAGGGATATGATCAGCTGATGAACCTTGTCTTGGACGACGTCAAGGAGTCGATGCGGGGTAAGTCTAACTATTCTTCAGATATCAACTCTAGTCGTGTACTAACCAATTTGCTAGATGACGAGGGTAACCAGACAACCCGCTCATTGGGTCTGATCGTGGCCCGTGGCACACTGATCGTGCTCATCTCGCCCGCTGATGGCAGTGAGGAGATTCCTAACCCATTTGTGCAGCCCGAGGAGTAAGGGATCATTATCTCAATTAAGCAATGAATGCCAGTCATCTGGTGGCCCGAGGAGTGGCCGCAATTAAGAAAGATGAATCTGGGCTCCTGCGCGGAGTGCGCGCTCATCGAGAGCTACGAAGGGAACGAATCCTCCATGAAAACTTTTCTTTTTCTTTTATCTGTTCACATGGGACGTAATGTATGATAAAGACCTCGCTCCATACATGATCCAAGGACTCCTTGGGAGATCCTAGGAAAGAAATGCAAGATGACTACAACATCGCCGACTTCTCAAGTTCGATAGAAAAACAGACTTAAAAGGATCATGGACTTGTAGAGAATACACTTCGCTTGGTCGTTATAAAACAAGTAAAATTGCATAGGTATCATAAGATTCTCTGTAGAGTACGAGTCATGCTCTATTCGTCTCCAGCTCCAGGCGACACCACCTCCCCAAACTCTTCATCATCTTCAACATGAGCACCATCAGCCAGGGCTACTGGCAGTGTAGCAGCACCACCCTTCAGACGCCGAACACCTTCCCCGTCCTCTACCCAAGGCCCCGATTTTTCCATGCTATCGTTGTATTCAACCCCAATGCGCAGGTTGAGACCAGCACTAAGAGCCCGTTCAATGCGAGACTCCCGGGTCTGGGAGACAAGTGTCCGGAATACATGCACTAGGAAACCGCCCAGGATATCGACACTCCAATCCTCGGGAACTAAGTCCAAAACTTCACGCACATCAAACCACGCAGCAAAGCGGGCGAGAAGATCACTAGTTCTCTCGATACGATCGGAAAGATCTTGGATCTGTAAAAATTCATCGAGAAGGTCACGGAAAAGCTCGGATTGCAAGTCGCGATCTGCAAGCTCCGGCTGTGTACTATTAGAAGCGGTCGAACTTCGCGGACCACCAAAAAGGCAGTACCGGATAGCGGAGTCGTAGTCACCCAGACCGTGAGTGAGGAGACGTAGCGCCGCGCGGTGGTGGCCTTGAAGACCGTCCAAGATAATGCTCTCCGAAACTAGATCGTCTTGGAAGGGCTCAATACGTGCCAGCACGTTAGGGATAGAGTAAGTGATGCCAGAAGGTAGAGGCGTTGAGGAGAATTGTGTGCCAGAGGTGCCGCCCAGCAGCTGCAGTAAACGAAGTCGAGAATGCCACCATGGCTCATCTGGTGTGTTTTCAGTGATGAAGTTCAAGTATGTCGGCTTTGGTGGAGCCAAAGCTCGATATGTGGAGTATGACTCTGAGAGCGAAGTCCGCGCCGCGGGTGAGGACTCAAGTACAGATATGACCTCATCCAAGTAGTATGAGATGAGATCATCGGCATATTGGGTGTACTGTAGCTCTGTTAGTATTTTTATCCCACTAAGAGACGTTTGGTAACGCTCAACTCACATTCTTAACAAAGACCAAATGCTCCAGATAAACTTGGACAGCATTAGGCGCGCGCTCCTTGAGCAAGATGACCACATCTGCGGGCTCGAGTCGCACGCGGCTAGAGTTATCCGCGAATATCTGGACTCCCAGGCTAGGGTTTCGTCCGGCAAGCCAGGAGCCATATTCTTCCACCAGCTGTACATTCTTGATATTAACCAGATACCTACGCATCTGTACCTCAACGCCTGGTGCGGTGAGTTCTCCACCAGCATCCGGCTCTCCGTCGACGATTCTTCGCCATGTCCGAAGAACATTACGAATCATCTTCTGGCCTTGGTAAAGGCGACTCAGAAGGTAAAGTCTTTTGTACTGTTCCAAAAGTGCCACGGCTCGATCAAATTTTCCTTTCCAATGATCAACCAGCCGATGCAACTCAGCACGAGTCTGTGAGTCTGTTCGTTGCTCCTGACCTAGGTGGGCATCCTGTTCCAAGACCAAGTGGAGAAGAGCGGCATCAGTGCTATCCAGGACATATGTCTCATCTGTAATACTGCCATAACCTCTCTTCTGTTGCCAAGAAAATAGGAATCGCTTCAGCATATTCAAAACAGGGCCTTGAGTGGCAGCCGGCCTGGAAAGCTCGTTGTTTATCTTTTCCACTTGTTTGATATACTTGTCTGTCATAGTTGCGAGGCCGGAATGAATCCAGATGCCTTGAGGCCCTTTAAGAACCTCACATTGGAGAAGTGGGATGAAAAGGAGGGCTAAACGAGGATCTAAATTACCAGCCTCCAGTGCTTGTTCAGTGCCCCTGATCACTGAGTTGCTTCGAAGGTCCGGATGAATGGAGAGAAGATCACCAAATAACAAAAGGCTTGCCTTTTGCTTCAGATAGCCAAGTCCAATAAATTCGGACTCATTTTGAGGTTCAATGTCCTGGATTGCCGTTATCAACGTCATGACAGAATCCCTTTGCAGAGTAATATGACCACTGTCATTGGTTTGGAGGGCTTGCTGCAGTGAATCCTCAAGCTGAATCACCAATGGATTCTTTACTAAGCGCCATATCTGTGAGCCTGACCAGAGTATGAGACTGCTTTGTAGTTTTCCTAAGCCACCTGCAAATTTTGCTTCTTCGGCCATTCGTTGCGCCTCTGAGTCTGATCCTGGTTCATTTTTCTTGGAAGCAACATTGGCTGTTAATTCCTGTGATTCGAACAATTCTTTCTCTCTCTGAAGATGCTCGATGGATGCCTCCGTTCGAGGGTCTGCACTTGGAGCACGTGGTGTGAGCAATGGGGTTTTCAGGGGAGTCATTCGTAAAAGCTTCCCGATATCCTCGAGGTTAATGTGACTGGGACTAATAGTATGCCTCAAGCCAACCGGATTGGTCTTTTCTGACGAGGGCACATCTAGCCATCTCTTTTGGCGCTCGATCTCTGCTGGGTCGTCGAGCCAACGTTGAATTTCCAGTCGACTTCCTCCCTCGCCTTCTTCAATTACAGCAAGCACAAACTCGTCCTTAGAATCGTTGTCTGGCTGGAGAGATTGGTCGTCTTCGCCAGCATCAATGACAACAGACTTTGGATATCGATGAAAATTGATTGTACCCCGCACAACTTCTCCATCGAGATCTACAAACATACCTACGCCGGGCTCTGTTTCTTTGTTTCCAGTTACAAGAAGAAATTCAGAGGGTGTCGGGGACACCACGTGAGGTTGCAACTGCTTTGAGACTTGTTTCGGCGGTAACGGTGGCAATGGCTTTGCACTCTCAAAAGTTGCGGGCGAAGAGTCGGATACTGGACTATCTTCATTCTTCTTCTGAGAGGGTTCATCTTCTCTTTCTTCTGAGCTCGATCGTCGGGGGGTCCCGGTCGCAGTGAAGGGATCTGGAGTTCCAGTTGGTGATGGTGCTTGGGTTTGTTGAGGCGTCTGTGCATGCGGCTGAAGCATACTACCCACAAATGCATTTAGACTGCTACTTCTGCCGTGTCCATGTGAATCGCTGGGGGGAGAGCTTGGGTACGATGATGAGGGAGATCGCTTCAGGGGGAGTCTGAGGACCTGGGACAATATCCTCCACCTGTCCGGATTCGAAGACTTCATTTGAAGACGAGATGGAAAATAGAGGGATCTTTTGCTGATGCTCAACCTCAAGCAACGAATATGAATGCGAATCAGCGGCGCATGCAATGGTACCTCTACGAGCTGCGACCAGGCACCCGGGAAACCCGATCTTCTTTATGCGACGAGCCTCCTCCCCAATCTGCACCAGCATAATATTATTCTGTGCCGCAATCATGACGACCGGATTTCCCTCGGATTCGGCGTTCCTATCCAGATCCACCCCACCGATCCATCGACAGTGGTTGACTTTGGTATTGCCAAATGCTGGACTTAGCTCCGGTAACATATAAAATGTAACGGTACCATTGCACAGCACACAGGCTTTATTCACTGATGCGAGGATGACTATTTGTTGAACACCATACTGATCGCTGTTCAAGGGCGTAGCTTGGAATGGGATAGGCAGCCGCGATGCCAGTATAAACGTGGGCTCGTTTGAATCATCGTCGGAGGCAGGTGGAAGACAGACAAAATGTAAAATTTCTGCAGCAGAAGTTCCAATGTATAGGTTCTCATCTACCAGTTCCTTGTTAGCAGGCAACTCGCCCGAGCTTCCGTCATTGATAGCTTACCCCAGTATTCAACACAGGTGATGTAAACGTCGCGGTTGTCCTCGGTCTCCACCGGAACATTCTCAAAGAGAGATCTAAGGACATAGGGATTTGTCCCAGGAGGACCAAGCCTACGCCTCTTTCGAGGACCAAACCCATCATCAGAAGCCATGATGGCTAGCTTGTTAGAACACTCTATCCCCGCGCAGCATTGAGGTTGAGCTGGAAGGCGGTAAGACTGGGGCCAAGACTAAGGTTCAGGGGCCATACATACTAACTCAGGAACAAGAGCCCCGGGTGCCAGCGGCTATCAAGACAACCAAGCTGACAATACTTGGAACCAACCTTGGAAAGATAAGCCAAAAATCGAATACAAAGAACAGGCAAAAGCTATATTCTCTAAAAGCAATTTTCATCTTATTAGATTGGATTGATACATCAAGGCGGAACAATATCGGCCCGTGCGCCGCGTGTCCTGTTGCAGCTCCGCGCGATTTCCCCGTTGTCTTCTGGCCGTTGTATGTCGGTGTGGGGTGAACAGTGATTACCCGATTCGAACGTTGGTCATGGACTCTTTCGCTATTACAGAGGGTCTTGCTGCCCAAGAGCAACAAGATGCTGTGCCAGAAGTCTCTGCTAAGCTGTCTGAGGAGACCAATAAGTTCCAGCGTGCTATTGCTGCTTGGCGTGGTAGGTGGCCTCATCATGCTGATGTCAACAGCCTTCGTACAGTACTAACTCATTGTAGGAATTGACCTAGCCAACACGATCGCTAAACTTGATACAACTGCCTCCGAGATCGTTGAACACCAGCGGGATTCTCTTGTCCAAAGGAAAGATGTAGCGCAAAGGACCAAAGACTTTAAGAAGTTGGAGGACGAGGCTAAACTTACCGAATATAAGGGGCTGTTAAAGGCCTATCAATCCTTCATCGACGTTCTAACGAACCAGGGAAAGTCTTCTTCATCGTCATTCCTCCAATTGTACTCCTCGTTGTCCGAAGCTCCCGACCCTTACCCTCTCCTCGAAGCCTCCGTGGATTCCTTAGTACTTTCCGAAGAAACAGTTCCCAAACTCACATCCGAGAGGGATCAGTTGCAACAATCTGTTGATCGTCTTACTCGTCAGCAAGAGGAAACTGAGAAGCGCCTTCAAGAAGAACGAAGCGCACGGAAGAAGCTGGAGGATAATCAAGAGGCCCGAGCTAAGGAAATCGAGGCCTCCTGGGAAGCCGTATTGACGGAGAAGACGAACAACTGGACCGCGAAAGAGAAGAGCTTGGAAGAGAAAGTGGAGAATCAGGACCGCTTGATAAAGGAGCTCAAGGCAAGCTACGAGGTTTCCCAGCGCCTAGGCGAGGATGAAGACAATGATGGCGCCCGAAGTGGTGCGACTGCTGCGGAGCTAGAACTTGTTTCTGCTGATTTGGAGAAGACCAGCTTGCGGTTGGCAGACGTGGAAGCACGGAACGAGCAACTACGCCTAGAATTAGCCCAGGCTGTGTCTCACTCGCACACCGATCAACCAGTATCTGTTGAGGACGACCCCGCATACCAGCGCTTGCAATCGGAGAACTTATCTTTACTGCGCAAGCTTGATGCTGCACGCTTCGATAAAGATTCAACACGACACACCTGGGAGGGCAAGCTCCATCAGGCTGAGCGAAATGCATCAAAGGCGTCAACAGAAAGAGACGAGCTTCGTTCTCGCTTGGATAAATTCTCGGACTACGATGAAATCCGTCGTGAGCTGGAAATGATAAAATCCATTGAGTTGACGGCAGGCGACGATGATGATGTGGACGAGACTCCGGCTGAGAACGCAGTCAACACCAATGGTGACGCTACGAAGACAAATGGAAAGAACTCTCTAGAGCAACTTCTCCTAGCTCGGAATAAGAAATTAAATGATGAACTGGCTGTGCTGCGAGTGTCTTCACGTGACATTCAAGGACAGCTTGAAGCTATGCGCAGCGAGCTTTCGACAACAAAGGAAGAGCTTGAAAAATCTCGAGGTCTATCTAGTACACTAGAAAATGATCTCCTCCGTGTCCAGCAGGAGGCTGCGAATGCATTCCCATCCTCGGCCATGTCTGTAGCGGGTACTTACTCGTCTCGGTACCCGCATTCAGCTCGCCGGGGTGCGGCATCCCCACATCATCAATCATTTCTGGGTTCGATCAAAGTGCATCCGCAAATACCATGGATGCTATTCGTGCAGGAGAAGCCGTGGGCGGTGGCTCCGGCCTTCTTCCCATGATTCAGGCCCAGCGGGATCGATTTAAGAAGAAGAATTCAGAGCTTGAAGAGGAGCTGTCCAAGCTGTACGGCACTGTCAAAACACTGAGACAGGAAGTTGCTACGCTGCAAAAGGATAACTTGAGTCTCTATGAGAAGACTCGATATGTTTCTACCTACAGCCGCGGTCAGGGTGCATCTACATCCGCTTCTTCGTTTGCAAATGCGCCTAGTTCAACATCTGTATATGCCTCCTCGGATTCACCGTCAGGGCTGTCTATGGATCGATACCAGTCAGCTTACGAGGCCCGGATATCGCCATTCGCTGCTTTCCGAGGTCGTGAATCAGCCCGTGCATACAAGCGTATGAGCTTGCCCGAGCGGATAGTGTTCTCACTAACCCGTATCATCATGGCCAACAGAACCAGTCGAAACTTATTCGCTGGCTACTGCTTTGCTCTTCATATTCTACTCTTTGTTGTTCTTTACATGATGAGCACAGTCGAGATGGAGAAACATAGTGCCATGAGTGCCGTCGGCAATGCTGCAGCTGCAGCTTATGCTAATAGTGGGTCTGGAAGTGGTATGGGCAGCGGCAGTGGAAATAGCCAGCTGCAAGCCGATGACTGGCAGCAAGAGGGCTTTAATCAAGCGATTTAAGCCACTCTCAGTCTCTAGTACATATGCTTTGATGGCTTTGGACACGTCTCAATCGAGGACAAATCCTTCAATGATTCACCAGCGTGGGCTCGGAGTTCTTTCTTCTCAATTTCTTTTGTTTAATTCATGGAAATAATCCAATCACGGCGTCTCGGGAATGAGGACTGCTGGCAGTGATGAGTTCCGACTGGGTATATTTTTTTTGTTTATGACCCCAGTCAGCCAGTGTACAGTCAATCAAGCTTCAAGCTACCAATGACATTTGAAATCTAATAACTATCTATGAAAAGTTCTCTTCTACAGATTGCTATTTTAACACACAGTCTAGTTATTTTTGTCTGGTGGAATACAGAATGTAACTCGAGTCATTTCTCTATTCTTGGGTTCACTATTCTTGGGTTCACTATTCTTGGATTCACTATTCTTGGATCTCGCTTCATGTGCCATGCATTAAGTTTGATGGCCGGTGCACATGCTGTATCAATTCGGCAAACCCGGTCAATTTGGCGGATTTTCCCAGATCATTTAGACTTGGCACGTTGTGATATATGGGAAAGAGGGGGTGGCAAGTCATATGGGACTTGGTATTACTTCCAAGGCTCCAATGTTGAAGTTCAATGCTATCGTCTATACTCCACGCTCAGTAATAAGCACTAGGGTATGGGTCCTCACGGAGTAATATTTCCGGGTGCTACTGGTAGTTCGACCTTGGAAATTTTGAGTACAATTTTAGCTTATACTTGGGAGCTATATTGTCGTGACCCCTCATTATCCTCGGTAGAAGATACATCGGCTTGGGTACGGAGTACTCCACACCTTCATCGTTATACTTCGGTCATAGTATTGATCCATATATAGGCATCGGTCGGGTAAATCTTCCCGCTATGTCCCTATACATCGTGATATGTTCTCATGTGGCTGCTTTAGTGAAGTGATTGAAAGTAATACGGGCTCCTTCACTCCACCAGGTGGGCCATATTCATCTCTTGCATTTTCAAGTTTGGATGACTGATAGTAGAATTGGAAAATGGCCGGCAGCCACACCGAGAAGCTGTCCCAGCCCCATCCGCCAGCCTCCCCGCAACATTTGAATGGTCATTCCAAGTCGGGCTACCGAGTGGCTGCCCGAGAAACAGACAAGAAAATAAATAAGTTATATTTGTTACAGCTGTCGCTTGAGATCTATCCAATGATCTATTGACAATGGGACTATATGATTTAGCGGGGGGCGCTTCGCCTGTAGGGAATATCAGGGAGCTCTCTGACACCATACCCTTGTTGCATATCTGCAGACTAACCGATATTAGCAGTCTTCATGTACATCTTCAACTGCCTATCACACACGGAAGATTCCTAGCGGAGATTGTGTAGTTATTAATAGGAACCGGGGAATTTCTAGAGTACCTTCGCTTCCATAACTTCCAAAGGGTCTGATCGCCGGGATCCAAGGACCATTCCGTGCTCATTGACACAGAAAGTGTTTTGCTTAGCGCGATCCTCTCTTGAATTAGCCAAAGTTGTTTGTTCGATGTGACGAATGAGAGTCATGAAGAGGCTGGACTGGTGGTCTTCGGCGCGTTGCCGAACCAATGATACTTCCCCATTAACCACCCTTCCCTGTTAGTACATGCAGCGTGCATCGATCCTTTTTATTTTTGTAGACCGGGCTTATTGTTTCGAATTAGACAGATGTTTCTATATTTGAGCTTCGCACTGAAGATAGAGAGATTACCGAGTTGAATTTGGATGCATTTCACATCTATATGTACCCAGCTTATCCAGCCTTCTTTATTCTTACTTCCTCAACAAGAAATTCCTTTCCTTTAATTCCTCTTCTACAATTGCTTTACTCTCAGCCTGGTGCTGTCTGTATAACAAATTGAAAAAATTATTCCTAATATTTTACGAACAAAACTTGACACATCCACAAGTCAACTTGAACCATGTATATCCTACCCTGGTTAGTTTGCTTGGTGGCAGTATCAACTGCTGCCCCAGCAACCTTCTATGACGACGCATACGATTACTCAGATGATCTCCTGGAGTACTATGGAAAAGTGAGCAAGAAGATCAACCAATTGAGGCATACATCCTCGCCTACCAAGGCATCCGAATCATGCGATACATCCAAGATCTCTCTGCCGGCCTTTGCATCCAGCCTTCCCAGCCCAACTGGTTTGACTGCTACTTATGTCGCTCTTGGACGGGGTACTCAAGTATGTACTTCCTCTACTGTATTTGAAAAATAAATTACTAATACCTTCTAGAACTATACCTGTGCCGATTCCACCGCGAGCTCTACTCCTGTTGCGATTGGTGCGGTCGCAAACCTCTACGATGCCACCTGCCTCGCTGCCAATGAGCCCGATCTCCTAGCAGATCTGCCCACTATCGCATACAAGATTGCTCTCCCAACAAACGAGTATGCAACTTTCCCACCCGCCAATCTCGAATTAATGGGTCATCATTTTTTTCTACAACCTTACTACACCCGAGTTCAACCTTGATACCACTCAGGAAAAGCAGTACGGTATTGCAATGACCAACAAAAAGGACTCAATTAATGCTCCCTCGGATGCCACCAAGGGCGAGTACGGTGCTGTTACTTGGCTTTACCTGGAAGCTGTATCAGGAACTGTTGGTGACTACAAGGCTGTCTATCGAGTTGATACTGCTTCAGGCTCTTCTCCAACTACTTGTAAGGGTATGGCATCTGCATTTGAAATCCAATATTCAGCTGTGTACTACTTCTACAGTTAGTCTGGGCTTTTTTCTTTGTTCGTTTCTTTCTTTCTCTCTTTGTATATAGCGAGGCATTCTGTTTTTGGGTGGATGCTTAATGACCTATTAGGCCAGTTTACATATTTTATCAATATTATACGAATTTTTCTCAACCAAGATCATAAAAGGGTATCATAGACTCAAATCACGAAAAAAAAGAAACAATGGTGGCAGGTAATATAATCCTCTATGTATGTAAGTGCCTAAGTACCTACTCCGTACAAGAGTACCTACTGGGGTAGGCTGTAGCTAATAGGTCAATCGGTAGCTGTAGGCTGATTCTGCCCCTCTCATCTAGTATTCTGCCAGGCGGTCAAAAAAAAAACAAAAACACTGGTGATTAATTCACGTGACCTCGCTATAGTAGATAGGTCAGGTGACCCAATCCACCATTAATTGAAGCTAACCCCAAGACAGACTAGCGTCGTTCTGATTTTCTGAAAGATCCAACGCAGCGCAAAAAAATCTCGACCGCATCAACGAGCAGCACCGGCTTTGAACCGCACTCTACAAAACATTTCCTGTCAATAAAAGTACAGCTGCCTAACTCAGTGTTTTCAAATACTGTGTTAATTTTTTGAATATCGAATCGACTCTCTCTCTTTGAGAACCCTATTCGACTTTTGCGGCTTGAGTATTCATTTAGCTCAATCCTCAACTTTTCGACCTCTTCCCTCTCAATTCCAACAACACACATTTAATAACAATGGGTTTCGGCGCTCCTCGTGGTCGCGGTGGATTCGGTGGTGACCGTGGCGGTCGTGGCGGTGGTCGCGGCGGTGGTCGTGGTGGCTTCGGTGGTGGTGACCGTGGTGGTCGCGGCGGTGGTCGAGGTTTGTGATCCAATTTTTGACCTTACAGGCAGGCTCCATGAATAGTCCTCTACCGACCTACCCAGCGGAATGACACGCTGGTTCAACTGCCTGGCATCTTTTCCCTATAACATCATTGCTGATTCGAGGTCTTCATTAAAGGTGGTTTCGGTGGTCGCGGCGGTGGCCGTGGTGGTTTCGGTGACCGTGGCGGTCGTGGCGGCGGTCGTGGTGCTCCCCGTGGCCGTGGTGCTCCTCGTGGCCGTGGTGGTGCCGCCGGTGCCCGTGGTGGTGCTAAGGTCATCATTGTAAGTTTCTTAATTCACCGCTGATTCGAGTACTTGAGGATTTCAGCCGCTAACAAGCTTTTTCCCCAATCAGGAGCCCCACCGTCACGCCGGTGTCTTCGTTGCCCGTGGTGGTAAGGAGGATCTGCTTGTCACCAAGAACTTGACCCCCGGTGAGGCTGTCTACGGCGAGAAGCGTATCTCTGTCGAGGGCCCTACTGGTGAGGATGGTGCTGTCACCAAGGTCGAGTACCGTGTGTGGAACCCTTTCCGTTCCAAGTTGGCTGCCGGTATCCTGGGTGGTCTGGACAACGTCCACATCAAGCCTGGCGCCAAGGTTCTCTACATCGGTGGTGCTTCCGGTACCTCCGTCTCTCACGTCGCTGATATCGTCGGTCCTACCGGTAACGTCTACGCCGTTGAGTTCTCTCACCGTTCCGGCCGTGACCTGATTGGCATGGCTACTCACCGTACCAACGTCATCCCCATTGTTGAGGATGCCCGTCACCCCCTAAGATACCGCCTCTTAGTTCCAATGGTAGATGTGGTATTTGCCGACGTTGCACAACCCGAGTATTTCACCCCTTAAATTCCTCTCTAGTCGATATTTTATATACTAACTCATTTTTCTAGCCAAGCTCGTATCGTCGGCCTCAACGCCCACATGTTCCTCAAGGACCAGGGTGGTGTCTTGATCTCCATCAAGGCCAGCTGTATCGACAGCACAGCTGCTGCTGATGTTGTTTTCGCCCGTGAGGTCCAGAAGATGCGTGAGGAGAAGATCAAGCCCAAGGAGCAGCTGACTCTGGAGCCCTTCGAGCGTGACCACTGTATCGTTGGTGGTATCTACTCTCGCTCCTCATAAATGGGTTATAATCTTTTGTCATGTCTTTTCTTATTTTGTTCTATTTGGCTTTTCCCTCAGGCGTCTCGTGTTCCGCGATGTATCCACTGTTCTTTTCGCTTGTGACTGGTTTTCTCTGTCCATGTACGATTGCTTGTGTCACAAAATTTAGGTCTCACTTTGGGAAAAATGCACGCATTGAAATGATGAAGTGTCTTGGTAACCGTCTCTAACACAGGGTATAATATGGCTTATAGAAATAATAGGTAAATAGGTAAAAATAACCTATGGAAATATAGTAACACATAATAGGTAGAAAAAACCTATGGAAATATGGGACATAGTATATGGCACATAGTATCCATAGAGCCCTATTTGAATTTCTGACTAAGCAAATTTTTCAGCCGAAAACTGCCCAGATGTGCCAGGTGGTTGTTATTGGGGTTCGAGTCCACACATCGTAGCGTGGTGACTAGTGGCTGTTTGGCCGAAAAGCGCGTAGTCGATAAGGAGATTTTGAACCATGGTCAACGAAGAGGGGACCAGAATACAAAGCAGCCGGAAAGAGTCCCCTAACCAAGTCGCCATCCTGAAGAGAGCCCTTCTTAATGACTGTTCCCGGGGAGTGTTACTGTTAATGCAACTAGACACCGGAATGTCTCTCTATCACCTTCTATATTAGAGAGATGCCATTTTGTCAATTAAAGCGGGCGGCCCAACGTGAAGTACTCTTCTGTGGGGTAAAACCAATACTGAGTCGTGTTTTCGTACCAAACCGGGCCCTACAGAGAGATGCTACCATCTCAAGACGTCACGTATCGTTTCAACAGGTTGAAAGAAAATAAAAAATTGCACTTCTTTGACAGCCCCAAGATTCCTCGACTGAAACCTTTGCAAGTCAAGGACCGAGTCTTCCATAATATCCGTGATACATAAGCTAAGGGCAACCTGCTGTCGACTTCCAACTTGAAGGTTAGAAGCTACGCTATCGATGGCAAGGGCTTTACCGCAGCCGTGACATCCTAGGAAATTTTGGCGTATGCCATGGAGGACCCGACGGAACTGCTGTGGTTCATCGATTGGGATACGTGCTAGCAACCACTGAACGGAGAGCTTGGGAGGTTCTGGTTGCAAACACCTTGAGAACATGCAGTATATGGAGTCCATCAGGCAGCGTGCCTTGAACACCTGGTCTCAAATGCAGTTGATGCTTTGTTTAAAAGAATCACGACTCGTTCTCTGGCTGAGCTGATCAGTAAAGCTCTGGGAAAGAACATTCCATACCAAGAGCTCGGCTCTGGAGCGAACCGTGAAATCTCCGACGGGCTGAATCGTACTGGACGTGGGCACCGCCGTCAGAGGACTATGATCCAGGGAGATTTGGCCAGGGCTGTGAATCAACAAAGAACTGAGCGTTTAACCCAGGAGGAGTTTACGAAACACACCCTACGGCTCGATTCTGATGGATTCGTGGTTGAGAGGGCGCCCGGTGAGGTGGCTATTGTTGTAGAAAACCTTGTCCTTATTGATAACTCTGAAGATGAAGAGGTTGGAGATGCAGAGGGCCCTATGGTTGATCATAGTGCTAAGGATACACTGGGTGATACTGACACTGACTCTGAAGCTGATGAGGATTATGCACCTGAGCCTGAGAAGAGGAGAAGGTGTGTAAGACACGACGGAGTCCATCGGAATGAGAAGAAGAAGACCAAGAGAAAGTCACCCCGAAAACCAACTTGCACCTGCCAGATGTCTGAATCCATGATCCAGACGTTTCACCCAGAACCCGTGGACGTGGGAACGATTGATCGCCTAATTCTGTTGAGAAAAACTGTGCCGAAATCTCGACTTTTTCAGCCAAAAAACTATGCTTCGCGCATGCTAAAACCCTTGCAAGATACCTTGGTCTGTATCCCCGCCAATTCAAACATCAAGATCATCTCAGCCGACTGGACTACGCATCAAGACAGGATGGGGACTGGGACAATTTCGTCAAGGGCAAAACTGCCTGGTTCACCCCTTCGAAAATTCCGGATTTTACTGGAAGAAGTTCATATCGAATCAAGGTTCCCCCTCCCGTTCCTAGAATACAGGGATAAGCAGAGAATGGCTTCACATTGGAGAACATTTTGACACGAATCTATGGGACTGCCAAGCATCAGTTTCAAGATGTTCTACAAGATTTTTATGAGACGGGAAATGTCGTCCTTCCGAAACTTTTTGGATGGCTGGAGGATGATATCTCACACATGGAAGGCGTCAATGAGTTATCTATGATGTTGAATGTGTGGGTCACTAGCTTACTACACCTAATTCATATTGAATTTAACCTTTACGACTATCACTATACTCCAGCTGTTTCACGCCATCGGATGGGTTGGAATCGCGGCATGTTCCAATCTCTAACCCAGCAGCTCACCAGACAGGATATTTGCTACTATGCTGCATACGTGGCTATCAGACCTAACCATGTATGGAAACTCATTTCATTTCCGTACTACACGAAGAGTGCATGTCCTGGAGAAGATACAAAATTCATTCACATTGATCTTGCCTGGGAGACTGCGTTGCAACCGGTCGTGGCTATAATGCTGTCCAAGGCCCTGTTTCATTTACTGACGAAGACGAGGATAACTGTTCTGTTGTGCTGCCTGGCATCCACAAGCACCTACGTCGCTGGTGGGAAATTAGTTCTGATTCCCCACAGTCCCGGGTCTCTGGTCATACGATAGCGATGTATCCATGGATGCTCGATGAGAAATGTCGTCAAGAATTTCAGATAGATTTCAAGAGATTCATCTGCATGAGTGGAGAGGTCAGACTGACCTTACCTTGCGTTCCTCATGGGTCAGTTGGACCGGCGACACTCCTTCGGCGAACATTTATGCCTTGGTTTGGAGCCATCCAGGATGGCCATGAGCGTCTTGACACGGCGGAAGCTGGAGTGTGGAGCTCTGTATCAGATGCTCACCGTGACCTCCGTCTTGCACCACGCATCCCGTCAGGCAGTGCCTGCCATGTGTATGCTGTGAACCCCTATTCTTTGCCTGGGATCGCACAGCTTACCGGTCTTGGTCCTATTTCCGATGCACTGTTGGGGAGGATTAAGTGGCATGAATGGTCAGTTATCAGCGACCTGGATGTGCTGTTTGGTAGTAGTAACATCTCTGCTGCCCACGAATATGTCAGAAGATGGAGATAGACTTTAGACTTCTTTTCCTACTTGGCTTACAGTGGTTTTTCAAGTTTCCTCACCGTCTGGCAGAATACTCAGAGACCATAGATTTGATAAACTATATTTTTCTTTCATTTATTACATCTAAACATGAAGATATCCCCCTTTATTTAGCTATCTCTTACTACTCTAGATATATCTTACTTCTACTTTAGATATCTCTTACTTTAGATATCTGTGGGGTTATAAGTTACCTATATCTAACTATATAGTAGCTAGCCTTCCCCTCTAGGTATTCATATAGGTACCTAGGTAACCATCCAGGTATTTATATAGGTTACCATGTGGGAAACCATGTAGCTGATGGACAGAGTTGTTTCAAAGGTCAAGAGTATCCTAATCCTGAGCCTACTAAGACCTTCCCCCCTGTCTCAGATCTTTTCATTTATGAGACAGTTGTGTATTCCTCTGGAGACCATGAGATGGAAGAGTCCTAGTCTTTTCCTCTTTGCTTGTTTTTTGTTTTTCTTCTTTTTTTTTGGCTAAAGAGGATTTTCATGTCGACAATTCAGTAAAATCCTCTCGTCCCATCGTGGAACTCCCAGTCTCCTCCTCATCGCAGGAACTCCCAGTCTCCTCCCAGTTCGTACCCTCTACAACCCCCTGGCTGTCCTACCATTTGTAGCTGCCAGTGAGTTGCTCACAATTGTAGACATCCATCGAGTTGGAATCTGGATCCACGTTTTCTTGGTCGAATTGATCAATCAGGTAAGAATCAAGAACCTCCATCCTCTCCATCCAAAATAATCTACAGAGTTATCAGCGATTTCCTGCTGGCCAATCCTCCGACGTATGAGCAATTATTCTAATTTGAATCCTCTTATCTAGTTTGCCCAGATCCTTCGCATTTCGTCCTGGTTGCTTGCCCTTTTGCCCTTGATACGTCCATCAACGTGACGATCATGGATAAAAAGAAATAGATTTGTGACGACTGCGGACAAGATTTTACCCAGACAGGCAGTCTTAATAGACATATCAAGAGAGACCACAGTGGGATTATTTACCACTGCAAACACCGTGTTCATGGGTGTCAACTCGAGTTCACCAGTCGAAAAGAGGCCAGGTCACACGCCAGTGTCCACCGTGGCACAATATTCACTTGTCGCCATCCTGATTGTGAAATTTTATGTTACCGCAAAGAGGATCTTGATGAGCATGCGGAAACTGTCCACCATGGAGCCATTTACATCTGTTCGTACCCAGAATGCGATAAATTCTACAAGACTCGAACTGGTTACCGCGAGCATGTCAAGTTTATCCATCTTGGAGTTGTTTACTACTGCGAATACTGTGATCGTGAAGGGTGCCAACGGACATTTACCAATAAAAAGAATGCCAGGAGCCATGTCAGTATCCATAGTGGGATAGAATTTGCTTGTAACTATCCTGGATGTGACGAAAAATTCCCTAGGGAAGACAATCGTCGAAACCATATCAACCATGTCCATCTTGGGAAGACTTTCCCTTGTGACCATACTGGATGTACAAAGGTATTCCCCCAGCTAAGTCAGCTTGAGCACCGTGCTGATTCTGTCCATTTTGGGAAGAGATTCTTATGTTCATGGCCTGGATGTGAAAATGAATTTGTGAATAAAGTTGGTCTCTGAATGCATGTGGATTCTGACCATCTTGGAAAGACATTCCAGTGTGAAGACCCCGAATGCGATGAAACCTTCCGCAGGGAAGATGCCCTTAGAAGGCATTTCAGAATTGTCCATCTTGGACAGAAATTCCATTGTGAACACCCCGGATGTGAGAAATAATATCACAGCAAAGCTGCCTGCGACAATCATAGCGATATTGTCCATCTCGGGAAGATTCTCATATGCGAGGATTGTGGAAGCACATTCACCGACAGCGGAAGATTGAAGGATCATATCAAGTCCTTTCACACTGACGAGGTTTTCTACTGCAAATACCGCGAGGAACTTGGGTGCACGGAAGAGTTTGAGACAGTGAACAAGGCTAGCTATCACTCGAGCACTCATTTCCCCAAGATTTGCCAAGTCAATAGATGCCTTGCGCATCTACAGGAAAGAAAGATGGCACCAGGGAGAGCCCAATCGCATTATCAGGCCCATGTTGCCGCAGGACACTGCGAAGAAGGGAAAGACCTCCCTTTGGAGGTAGGTTACATTTATTTCTTTGAACAATGAGTATGATCTAATGGAGGCAATAGGTTCTCGACAAGACAGGGGCGTTGACAGACTCGGATGCTGAAGAGAATGGCGTTTTGACAGAGGAGTCAGTTGTTGACGACTTGGCAGATGTCCAAGAGATTGAGATTTTGTCCGGACAGTCGGTCATTGAGATTTTGACAAGTCCCTTCAAGAACCAGAATGACCAGGAGAACGAAAAGAACGAGGAGCTTCTAAGAGAAGGTACGACATACAACTTATTGTTTTCTTACGCCATTGCTAATATCTGCGAATTAGTTCATCGGGCTCAATGTCCGAATTACCGAGAACTGAATCTCACATGCCCGGGGCCCGAAATGGTGATTGATAGTCTAGTGTTGGGCACAGAGGTTTGCCCGAACAACACCACAATCTCGTCTGCAACAGGTCTTTTGACGCGTAACCATGGCCGAGTTCATCCGAGAATACGATGCGCACTCTGTCAGGCCCGCAAAAACTTCAACAAAGTTTTGCTGACCCAAGACCTGAAAGCAGAGCCCGGCCAAGAATCATGCGAACATTGTCTCAAGCCCTTGTGGGAAGGCATCCGCTACTGTAAAGATCACATGAGATCCTGGGCTCCAGAAACTCCGAGTCTCTGTGAAGCCTCAATGGTTAAGGTCAGGGACTTGTTCCTGAAGGCCGCATCAGAACAATGGAGTCCCAAGTCAGGTCCCATGGCTAGCATCTTGAAGAAAGTGAAATTCGATGAGAACGCTACTTCTGACTTGCTCCACATTGACCTGGAGTTCTCAACCCGCAGTCATAAAGTTTACCAAATTGGGATCTCTGATTCCAAAGGGGCAAAGAAGCTTAATTGCATGCCGATCTACAGTAAGGGTGTGACTACAAAGCTACCCTCGCGATCGCCCTGGTCACAGGACTTCCAGGGATTTGTACCTTACCGAGTAAAATTGGGAAAACAAGATGGAGAAGGGACAAGGCTGTGCAACAGACGGAACATTGAACGCAGAGAGGGTTGCGGAAAAACTTGGAGAGATGATTTCTAAGAAAACCATCTTCGTCTCCTGGGGATCATGGGCATTTGATGTCGAATACTTGAGAGAAGGGTTAGACGAGGAGGAGGTCAGGCACAAGCTCCCGGCGAAAGACAAGGTCTGCATGCTCTACCATGAGTTCAGACTCAATATGAAGGATCAGATTGGAGAAAAATGCTTCAAAGGACATTCATTCCCATTGACTCTGCCATTCCTATTCACACTGCTCTTCCAGGGCCACGACCTTGTGGGCATGAACCATGATGCTCTAGTCGATGCTCGACAAACGGCAAGTTTACAAAGGCTCTTCTTGGACCTTTGCAAGGTCCCAGAGAAAAGAGTTCTTTTCAAAGGGACGTTGCCGATTATCTTACCAGGGATGCAATCACCCGTTACAAATCTCCTTTGATGGAAAGCGAAGGAGGAGCACATTCCGACTGGCAACAAAAAAGCTCGTTTTGAGTGAGCGGGAGTTCCTGGCGGGGACGAATGCTACAATACGGAACAATATGAGGGAGAAGGTGCTAATGAGAATGGCGATGGGGGTGAGACTGGCTGAGGGGCACAAATTTACACTATCTGCATGGGTTTAAGGCTGCTGGAGCGACCGGAGTTTGGGTTTTTAGGGAGGTTGAATGTTGTATGGAGTATGAGTAGAGGGAAAGATAATCGTTACATTCTGTACGGAGTAATGGCAGCGACTCATAGGGAGCCTACCGTAGACTAATACAAGAACTAGAGCTCTCCCCAATCGGGGAGCGGTATGCGAATGCCCGGAAGGGCTACAGATGGTAACGAACAAGAACTATCATAAGGGCGGAACCCGTAACATTGAAGGTAGAAGTGCTTCTTTGATTAGACCAGATTGATAACGAAAAATGAGGATTGAAATTGCCATTTGAAAGATTAATTGAAGCTCCATGAGTTGGTAGGATGCTATGTGTATCAATATTCATGTTCTATCTGATAATTCTGATCTAAAAATCCCATTCCACTCACATGTCAACTATTTTCCGTCTCATCGGACTTTCCCCGCGTTCTGACGCTTCCGAGTAGCCAGGTTCGGCAGTCGGATTTCTCACCGAGACCGAATATCGGACAACCCTCCATCTCCTAAGTATAACAAGTGGATCGGATTTGCTGCGTGTGAGAAGAGCTTGGCCTTTGTGTATAGGACTGTGTCATTGGTTGTCATCATATCAAGTAAACACGATGAGCGTGGGGAGGGGGTGACTCCGCCTAAGAACCCCGCGGGGGTGTTCTTCCCTCGGACTATATAACGGTAGCATACGTTAGTACTCTGTCAAAGCCTCTTCAATTATTCACATTGATATCCTCACTAGCAGTTTCACAGCGGGTCCTCTTTCAAACAGCATGTCTATACTAATTACTGGTGCCGGTGGCTATGTCGGCCAAGAATTAGCTGCTGCTTTTCTCGCGAAAACACCTTCGTCCACGACAGTGACCATCACGGATGTTGTTGAACCCAAAGTCCCTCAGTCTGCTACCCAGCACGCCAGTCGGCTGAACTGTGTGCGTGCAGACCTGACCTCACCTAAAGAGGTTGACGAATTGATCAGTGCTTCGCGCCCCTTTGAGACTGTATACCTTCTCCATGGAATCATGTCTAGTGGCGCCGAGGCGAACTTTGAGCTAGGAACTCGAGTTAATCTCGACTCAACGAGGTACATTCTCGATCGACTACGCACTACTATGCCCGGGGTAAAGGTGGTTTTCACATCTTCACTCGCAGTCTACGGTCTCGCACCACCAGGGCTCCTTCCCGATGAGTTCAACTTCCCTCCTGTACCTTCGACCTCTTACGGATCGCAAAAACTCATCATTGAGACTTTGATAACGGATTACTCTCGACGTGGTTTCATAGACGGCCGCTCTGTGAGACTTCCAACCGTCACTGTCCGTGCAGGCGCACCGACGCAGGCTGCAAGCAGCTTTGCCAGCGATATTATCCGCGAGCCATTCCACGGCAAGAAAGCTATTCTTCCTGTGAAGAGGGACGTTGAGATGTGGATCTGCTCGCCGCATACTATTATTAAGAACTTGATTCACGCACGCGATGTTCCTGCGGAGGAATTTGGTGTCTCGCGGTCAGTTAATCTTCCTGGGCTGAGGGTCAATGTGCAGCAGATGTTGGATGCTTTGGAGGCTGTTGGTGGTAAGGAGCGATTGGCTTTGGTTGAGGAGAAGTTTGATGCTGCTGTCGATAAGATTGTGCAGACATGGACTCCGGAATTTTCTAATGAGAGGGCATTCAAGCTTGGATTCTCGCCAGATATTTCCATGGAGGAGAATGTTAAGCACTTTGCGAGTGCATTTGTATAATGTTGAATAATGAGCCCTTTAGGGGAGAAGTGGTACAGAGCCAATGAATTGAGCCGTATTTGGGATGATGCGTGGAATCCGAGTAGAACAAGACTTTTTGGTCCTATGAATGATTTTGATGTACCTATGAATTAGACCAATTGTTCCAAAGATATCCTAGATATTATAAAATGCAATTGACCAAAACCAACTGCATCTCTCATACAAGGACATGGAAGTAATCGGGACGAGAATGGCGGTTTGGAAAAGCGGGTCATGTGATTGGTTGGCGCGCCGGGCGAACAATTTGACTTCCGAACTTCAACCTCAGGGCGACTCCAGCTCTTTTCTCCATCCCCCTTCCCCCCTCCTACACACTCCATTTACCCACAATGGCTTCCCGGCGCCTAGCTTTCAACCTTAACCAGGCCCTCCGGACCAAGGCGGCCCTGAAGTCCATTCAGCCCGTCAAGCGAGGCTTTGCTTCACCGGTTGCGCTGCCTTCCACCACCCAGTCCACCACCCTCTCCAACGGCTTCACGGTATGCGCGGAAAACAGAATCAATACCTCTGCAGCTTTACTAATGCCTCATAGATCGCCACTGAGCACTCCCCATGGGCTCAGACCTCCACCGTCGGTGTCTGGATCGATGCCGGTAGCCGGTCAGAGACTGACAAGACCAACGGAACTGCCCACTTCCTTGAGCACCTTGCCTTCAAGGTCCGATTCAATTCCTCCCGACCATGATAAAACATATTCTGACAGCTATTTGCAGGGTACCAACAAGCGCTCCCAGCACCAATTGGAGCTCGAGATTGAGAACATGGGTGCTCACCTTAACGCTTACACCTCGGTACGACCGGAAAATCCATCGAATTCATCCATCGAATCATAAAACGCTAACCAGAGAGAAAAACAGCGCGAGAACACTGTCTACTACGCCAAGTCCTTCAACGCCGATGTCCCCAAGGCCGTCGACATCCTCTCCGATATCCTCCAGAACTCTAAGCTCGAAGCCGGTGCTATTGAGCGTGAGCGTGATGTGATTCTGCGCGAGCAGGAGGAGGTTGACAAGCAGCTCGAGGAGGTTGTTTTCGACCACCTGCACGCTACTGCCTACCAGGGCCAGCCCCTTGGCCGCACCATCCTCGGCCCCAAGGAGAACATTCAGACCATCTCCCGTGACAACCTGACCGACTACATTAAGACCAACTACACTGCCGACCGCATGGTCCTGGTTGGTGCTGGTGGTATCCCCCACGAGCAGCTTGTCCGCCTCGCCGAGGAGCACTTCGGCAGCCTGCCCAGCAAGGCCCCTACCTCCGCTGCTCAGGCCCTTACTGCTGAGATGAAGCGCACCCCCGAGTTCATTGGCTCTGAGGTTCGTCTCCGTGATGACACCATTCCTTCCGCCCACATTGCTCTCGCCGTTGAGGGTGTCAGTTGGAAGGATGACGACTACTTCACTGCTCTGGTCACCCAGGCCATCGTTGGTAACTGGGACCGTGCTATGGGCCAGTCTCCCTTCCTCGGTAGCAAGCTCAGCTCCACTGTCAGCAAGCACCAGCTCGCTAACAGCTTCATGAGCTTCTCCACCAGCTACAGTGACACTGGGTAAGTAATGACACTTTCATAGCTGGGTGATAATGACAAGAAAAAACAAAGCTAACTCATTTAAACTAGTCTCTGGGGTATCTACCTGGTTTCCGAGAACCTGACCGCTCTCGATGACCTCATCCACTTCACTCTCCGCGAGTGGTCTCGTCTGTGCAACAACGTTACCTCCGCTGAGGTTGAGCGTGCTAAGGCTCAGCTCAAGGCCTCCATCCTCCTCTCCCTGGATGGTACCACCGCTGTTGCCGAGGACATCGGTCGCCAGATCATCACCACTGGCCGCCGCCTCAGCCCCGAGGACGTTGAGCGTGCTGTGGGTGCTGTTACCGAGAAGGATGTCATGGACTTCGCCACCCGCAAGCTGTGGGACCAGGACCTTGCCATGAGTGCTGTCGGTAGCATTGAGGGTATCTTCGATTACCAGCGTATCCGTGCTGATATGTCTCGCAACCTTTCTTAAGTTGTTTTCCCGGTGCCTGCAACTGCGAAAGAGAGACGGCCCTCCGACACTCTTCCCAGTGTGTTGGTTTGAATGTACTATCAATCATTGCCTTGGGTTGATTTTGGACCCTGATTTGTGTGTGAAATAGCAATTAATGGTTTGCCATAGTAGACTATACAGTCTGTCGCCGACGATGTGACAGGCGAAACTATCTCCTTTGTTTCTTTTGTTTTGAATCTGCGTCTCAATCAAAATTATCTCGTACATATACACTATCTAGACTTTTCTAGGCTTTTTCAAACCAGGCTCCGTATACGCGCCGGTCAGCATAAACTTCATAAACTTCGTGTGAATTTACCTCACATTTCATGTGAAACGTGTTCTACTATACTACCATCATGATGTTCAAGTTTGAATATTTTACTGCTCTGGCATACTTTCAATCCTTAAGTTAGATTGATAGTCACCCTCCTGATACCTAGTCTGGAGCTCAATGCGGCGGCGGCACGGATTATCTAATCGCGCGCATCATCTGGACCGCATTTTTTTTGAAAGTTAAGTTAGACTGCACCTCAGGAAATTTACAATCACAATGGGTAAAAGAGGCGGTAAGAAGGTATATATCATACTTCCCTTGCCTTCGAATATTCAATCCAACTAATACCTATTCTTGCTTCAGTTTGGCCGAGGTGGTCGAGGTGGCGGCGGTCGTGGCGGCGTCCGTCGCGACGACAGCTGGCAGCAGATTACCAGATCGAACGAGAAGTTCGAGACTTACTACAATTTGCCAGAATTCCTCCCAGAAGAGGAGAAGGAGGAGTTTTGGACTTATCTGAGACGGGATCTTCCTAACAGCTTCCGTTTCACTGGCTCGCGTGGGTAAGTAGAACTCATCCCCGCCTCCGAGACCTACTGTTGCTGCTACTACTTTCAAAGAGTAATTTCTGATAATTTCCCTTCCAATGCTTAGCCATGCGCTTGCTGTCCAGAAGCGACTTCGGGACTTTTACATTCCTGAGATCACCTCTATCAAATATGAGGGCGAATTCGTCGAGCCCCCGCGCCCAGTCTCGTGGTACCCGGATCAGCTTGCTTGGTGGATGAGTACCCCCAAGCAGGTTATTCGCCGCTTCGGGCCTTTTTCTTCTTTCCAGAAGTTCCTTGTCGCCGAGACCGAGGTCGGAAACATTAGTCGACAGGAAGTCGTCAGCATGATTCCCCCCCTTCTCATGGATCTGCGTCCTGGTATGACATGTTTGGACATGTGCGCTGCCCCCGGTAGCAAGTCCTGCCAGCTGATGGAAATGATTCATGCTGGAGAGGAGGAGTCTGTTGTGGAGGTTGGCAAGCAGGTCAAGGCAGGAACTGCTGCTCCTGAGCCTATCGGTCCTGAGGGATTGAATGACGATGGTCGTACCAGTGGTCTATTGATCGCCAACGACAGTGACTACAAGCGTGCGCACATGCTTATCCACCAGATGAAGCGTCTGAGCTCGCCCAACTTGATTGTCACAAACCACGATGCTACTATGTACCCATCCATCAAGCTTCCTCCTCATCCCGCCGAGGATGGTAAGCCCCAGCGCGGCCGATACCTCAAGTTCGACCGTATTCTTGCCGATGTTCCTTGCTCCGGTGATGGTACTGCCCGCAAGAACTACAATGTTTGGAAGGATTGGAACCCCGCCAACGGCCTGGGACTGCACACCACACAGGTGCGTATCTTAGTTCGTGCCTTGCAGATGCTTAAGGTTGGTGGACGTGTTGTCTACTCTACCTGTAGTTTGAACCCCATTGAGAACGAGGCTGTTGTTGCCGCTGCCATTGAGCGCTGCGGTGGCGCTGTCAACGTCAAGATCATTGACTGCAGCAGCGAGCTTCCCGGCCTGAAGCGCAAGCCTGGTCTGAAGGACTGGAAGGTCATGGACCGTGAAGGTCGCATTTGGACCAGCTGGAAGGAAATTGAGGAGCAGAGAGATTCACAGGGCATTGAGGGTCTGGCTAGATTCTCTCCCAGTCTGTTCCCTCCCACTGGCGAGACCGCTGATTTGCCCCTCGAGCGCTGCATGCGTGTTTACCCCCACCTCCAGGATACCGGTGGTTTCTTCATCACTGTCCTCGAAAAGGCAGCTGAGATTAAGGCCAAGCCTGAGGACAACATCAATGTCATCGCTAAGATGCCCAAGACACCAGTGGCTTCTCTCGTCACGGAGCTTGATTCTCGCAAGAATGGCGAGAGCGAGCCCTACCAGAAGCTGGACTCCCTCGATGGCGTTGCCGAGCTTGACCCGGAGACCAAGGAGGATCTTGCGAAGAACGAGTCCGTGGCCGAAGCAACCAACCAGCCACCCTACTCTGTGACTCTTGATTCATCTGATGCTACCCTGAAGCGTGGTGCTGATGATGCCGAGGAGGTTCTTCCAGCCAAGAAGACCAAGCTTGATGACGGTACTGAGGTCCTTGTTGGTGACCGCCCGGTTCACAAGCCCGGCCCTGTTCAGGCCGAGCAGTCTGGTGACAGCACTCCTGCCGCTGCACCCATTTCAGACAAGCTTCTGAAGAAGAAGCAGCCCCAGGAGGATCCTTACAAGTACCTGGATCCTAACCACCCCGAGCTTGGACCAATCTACGACTTCTACCAGTTGTCCGAGCGATTCCCTCGCGATCGATTCATGGTGCGCAATGCTGAGGCCAACCCGGTACGAACAGTTTACTACACCAGCCCCTTGGCCCGTGATATCCTCATCATGAACGAGGGCTCAGGTATCAAGTTCGTTCACTGTGGTGTGAAGATGTTCGTGAAGCAGGATGCTCAACGCGAGAATGTGTGCCGCTGGCGTATCCAGACCGATGGATTGAAGATCATTGAGCCCTGGTTGGGCCCCTCTCGATCCGTCTTCTTGACAAACAAGCAGACCCTGCGCAAGCTTCTCGTTGAGATGTTCCCCAAGCTCAATGATAACGGCTGGAAGAACCTGGGCGAAATTGGCGAGCAGGTTCGCGATATCCCCATGGGCTGCAGTATCCTCCACGTTGAGCCCACCGAAGAGGAGGGTGGTTTCACGTAAGTTTTAATCCAATTTTGTAGCTGCAAAGATCAATTTTCTAACCCTGATTTTTACAGTGAGCGTATGGTTCTGCCTCTCTGGCGTTCTCTGTACTCCTTGAACCTCATGCTTCCCAAGGAGGAGCGCCGCGCCATGCTGCTGCGTCTTTACAACGATCATACCCCTCTCATCAACTCGACACAGAAGAACCAGAAGGCCGAAGCTGCTAACCAATCTACTCCGGAAACCAGTACTGTGGAGACCCCTGTTGATGCTGAGGACGCAGCTCTGAAGAGCGAGAACCTTCAGCTTGGACAAGATGAGCAGGAGCATGTTGACAGCCGCGAGACCTACAACAAGGCCGATGGTGAGGAGGACCGCTTCAACACCACTGTTTAGAGCTTGAGACACGCTTTGATTTTTCCATTTATTTTAAAAGGCCTGAAAATATGGGGTTCATAGCCGTTTGCACAGACGGGTCTCACTGAATGTACTAAAAAGCAATATGATGGCGTTTAACTCGTTCAATGAAATATTCAAGTTGATATCGATCTAATCTCTGACCCATAACAGCCATAGATGAAGATATCGCCTCATCTAAGGCAACAAGCAACTCAAATATCGAGAAGACTCAAAATTAGACCCTTATTCTGAGAAATCCTTCTTTTACCCGAGGCTAAAGATCTGCATTTATTTCGGAGAATCACCGGCAACGGTTAATTTCGTCTTGAGAGTTGTTTTCATTTCCCCGCAGACTTGAGACTCTAAGGGCTTACTGTTTAATTAAAAGTGGTGCAATGCTCTGCTATGACCGTTTCTTGTTTCCGAACTTAATTAAGCACGGGGTCTCAAGTGCTTTACGGATTTAATATTAATGATGTAGTACATGTATGATGTATCTAGTACTTGTGAAAGTCGGTATAATTGGTATCATGATCCTAGTAGATGCACTGTGATCTAGTCACGGGATACCTGCAGTCGTTTCCTCGCTACTAATCAGCACTTCATGCAATGTATAATATCTCAACGCTTTGAAGGTAATGCAGATCAACATCTGGCCTGCAAGGAACTCGATCCTCTACTCAACTTAAACCCCCATGGACCCCCATGGACTATGCGCGAAACGGAAAAATCGCGGTGGTGCAACCCCCGCATCACAAACACGAGCTGGGGGATCATCATTCCGGTTACCTTGAACGTAACCCCTGCAACTCCACTTCTCTACGACGGTACCTCTGACTATGCTTCAACCTGCATGCACGAGCGGAGCACCGGTAACAGACGACTGGTCAACCCCCGCCTTACGCCCCTGTCGATGAGCAAAATGACGAAATTAACAAGGAGGAACGCCGTGAAGGGACTTGTGGAAAATGACGCGCCGGGTCGGTATTTGATCCTCCGACTATTCATTCATCCGGAGGTGAAGCATGATTCGCTTGTTGATCGTGGGATAGTGCGAAAGTACGAAGTACTGCTGCTCAGATGCTTGGTCTCTGGGTAAATTCATATAAGAATGCGTGACGATCCCTTGCATGGATTCCCTGGAGTAAAAAAAAGGAAAAAGGGTCAGAGCAAAATAGTAGATTCCCCTCTACTAGACTCTTAGCTTCTTTCTTTCAAGCTTCTCAATTCACCTGATTGGCGTCGGGTCTCGATGAAGCTCTTGTCTGTTTGGGCTGTGGCAGCCCTAGCAGCTCAGGCTGCTGGCGCTGCTATCACTCATAAGCTGAATGGGTTGACCATTACAGACCATCCGGACCCCGCAAAGCGGGCTCTTCTCCAGAAATATGTGAGTGATTTGATTATTCTATATGACTTATGTTTCATCTTATTGACATCAATTGTTAGGTCACTTGGGATGAGAACTCGCTGTTCATCAATGGCGAGCGACTCATGCTCTTTAGCGGAGAATTTCACCCATTCCGGTATGTCTATTTCCTCAATTGAATGTTCATAAAGGTCATGATCATTGTTCTGATACGAGCTGTGTAGGTTGCCTGTTCCCACCCTATGGATTGATGTTTTCCAAAAGGTCAAGGCCCTCGGATTCAATTGCGTTTCATTCTACGTTGATTGGGCTCTTTTGGAGGGCAAGCCTGGTCAATATCGTGCCGACGGGATCTTCGATCTGGACAAATTTTTCGATGCCGCCACTGAAGCCGGCATTTACTTGTTGGCTCGTCCTGGTCCTTATATCAACGCTGAAGCATCTGGTGGTGGTTTCCCAGGCTGGCTGCAACGGGTTAATGGCACTCTGCGTACCACTGCCCCGGCATACCTGAATGCAACCAACAAGTATGTCATGTCAGATGTTCAAAATTCTGGTTCAATGTACTAATATAGTGGATACTAGCTATATGGCTAATGTTGCAGGCACTATTGCCAAAGCCCAAATTACCAATGGTGGTCCCATCATTCTCTACCAGCCCGAGAATGAGTATTCGGGGGCTTGCTGTTATGATACCGATTTCCCCGATGGAAATTACATGCAATACGTTGAAGACCAAGCTCGCAACGCTGGTGTCATTATTCCATTGATGAACAACGACGCAGGAGCCGAGGGACATAATGCCCCAGGTACTGGAGTAGGAGAGGTAGATATCTACGGACACGATAGCTATCCTCTTGGCTTTGACTGTGCTAGCCCGTATACCTGGCCCAGTGGTGACCTGCCCACAAACTTTTATACTCTGCATATGGAACAAAGCCCAACAACACCATACGCCCTCGTCGAGGTATGTCAAAACAACGCGGATACAGGAAAGCCAAATTCTGACAAGAAATAGTTCCAAGGTGGATCCTTTGATCCCTGGGGAGGAAGTGGCTACTACAACTGTTCTGAGCTTCTGAACTATGAGTTTGAAAGAGTGTTTTACAAGAACAACTTCAGCTTCCGCGTTGCTTTCCTGAACCTTTATATGGTATGCTTTCTCCTTCCAGCGTCATATATGAAGCTGACCAATGTAGATCTTCGGTGGTACTAACTGGGGCAACCTGGGCCACCCAGGTGGCTACACATCTTATGATTACGGATCTGCCATTACTGAGTCTCGCAACATTACCCGTCAAAAGTACAGCGAGCTCAAGTTGCTTGGAAACTTCCAAAAGGTGTCCCGGCCTACCTATTGACGGAACCTGGTACTCTGAGTACTTCGGCTTACTCGACAAACTCGGATATTGCTGTCACTCCTCTCATTGGAAGCAATGGCTCGGATACTTCATTCTACGTCGTCCGACACAATGACTATTCCAGCCAAACCTCTGCCGATTACAAGCTCACGGTCTCTACAAGTGCTGGTGACCTGACCATTCCTCAGCTTAGTGGAAGCCTTACTCTTGGTAGTCGTGACTCGAAGATTCATGTCGTGGACTATGACGTCGCAGGTACCAACATCCTGTACTCCACCGGTGAAGTTTTTAGCTGGAAGTCTTTTGCCAGCGGCAAGGTTCTCGTTCTCTATGGTGATGTTGGCGAGCACCACGAACTTGCAGTTTCCGGTGCATCCAGTGCTACCGTGGTCGAGGGCTCGTCATCTGGAATCACTTCTAAGAAGGTCGGCAGTGCAATTGTTGTCGGTTGGGATGTTTCCGCCACTCGCCGCATCGTCAAGATTGGTGACCTGCAGGTTCTCCTTCTAGGTAAGCTAAGCTCAGAGAGAAAATGAATTTGAAACAGGATCGCTGACCATACCTGCAGATCGATACTCCGCCTACAATTACTGGACTCCAGAAGTTCCCACTTCAGGCACAACTCCAGGATACAGCTCGCAGGCTACCACCAACTCCTCTATCATTGTCAATGCCGGTTATCTCGTGCGAACTGCATACCTGTCTGGCACTGAGCTCCATCTTACTGCTGATTTCAACAAAACCACTACTGTTGAGGTCTTCGGAGCTCCATCCAAAGCTAAGACTCTCTACATCAACGGCGAGAAGACCGCTGTCACAGTCGATAAGAATGGTATCTGGTCAACAAGTGTTAAATATACCAAGCCAACCGTTTCCCTGCCATCGCTGAAGAGCCTGAGCTGGAAGTACATTGACACGCTCCCTGAGATTCAGAACTCCTACGATGACTCCGCTTGGCCCAAGGCTGACCACGCATACACCAATAACAGCGTTAACCCGCTCAATACGCCTACTTCCCTGTACTCGTCTGATTATGGTTTCCACACTGGTTACCTCCTCTGGCGCGGTCACTTTGTTGCTACAGGAAGTGAGTCGTCGTTCTTTGCGTACCTTCAAGGTGGCGAGGCCTTTGGTGCCTCTATCTGGCTCAATGAGACCTACCTCGGTTCCTGGACTGGAGAAGGCGCCACAGAGGTCTACAATGTCACTTACTCGCTTCCAACCTTGACCGCTGGCAAGAACTACGTACTCACAGTTGTGATTGATAACATGGGTCTGGACGAAGACTGGACTGTCGGCAGCGAATACATGAAAGATCCTCGCGGTCTTATGGACTACACCCTATCAGGCCGAGATGCCGATGCAATCACCTGGAAGCTGACAGGTAATCTGGGCGGCGAAGACTACCAAGATGTTGTGCGTGGTCCTCTGAATGAGGGTGGACTGTATGCAGAGCGCCAAGGTTACCACCAGCCTGATCCTCCAAGTGGTAGCTGGAAATCTAGCAGCCCGCTTACTGGTCTTTCCAAGCCTGGAATTGGTTTCTACACTACAAGCTTTGATCTCAACCTGCCCGAAGGCTATGACATCCCACTTTACATTAGCTTGAAGAACTCGACATCCCCGAGTGACTACCGAGTCCAGCTTTATGTCAACGGATACCAGTACGGTAAATACGTCAACAATATTGGTCCCCAGACAGACTACCCTGTTCCCCAGGGCATTTTCAATTACCAAGGCACAAACTGGATCGCTGTTTCCTTGTGGGCACAGCAGGAGGGTGGTGCTAAGCTGGATGACCTTGAGCTTATCTACGAGCTTCCGGTTCTCACTGCTTTGAGTGGTATTGAGTCTGTAGACCAGCCCAAGTGGCAGAAGCGTGCTGGTGCTTATTGATCGGGACTGACCAGCGAAATGTGAATATTTGAAGAACAAAAGGATATAGTAATGAGTGCAAATGCAAGGATCAATGTCTATAGTCTCTCAAATTAAAGTGATGCACTTGTGATAATCCGGTTTCCCTCTTGGTCAAATCGAATAGGAGAACCGCTAACTAGACTCTGCTGTAATGCCAATCCGATCTTCAATGAAGTCAATGCCGAGGTCAGCTTCATAGGGAGCTCCTTATTATCCAAAATCGCAGCCGTGAACTCATTGACTTCGTTCACAAACGCATGCTCATAACGATCCATTCAGGTAGATAAAATATCGTTCTGAACAGTATTCTTCGAAGTGACCTCGACCCTATTCTTCCGTGCCACAGCATTCACCGTGATCTTCCCACCAGTACCAAAGATCTCCGTCGTATTATCATATCCCTGGTTCCCAGTGCGAGAGTTATAGAAATGAGCGATTTTCCCACCCCAGAATTCTACCACTCCGACAGCATTATCTGAGTCATGAAATTCTTTCATCTCATGATACCTTGCTATCACACCGGTAGCCCAAAGCTTTTTAGGTTGGATATCTTCACCCAAGAAGGATAAAGCAAGATCAATATCGTGGATTGTAGTATCGACGAATATCCCACCACTTTGTCTAGCGTAATTGATGAAGAACCCAGTTTCGTCGAATTCTTCAATACCGTGAGAACGGATGACAACTGGTTTTCCGATTTGACCTTCTTCAAGTTTTGATTTGGCATCCTTGTAGCTATCATCGAAGCGTCTTGTAAACCCCACCATCATCTTTGTCTCGGGAATAGACTGGGCTTTGCTTATTATAGCTTGGAGCTAATTTGTAGTTAAAAAAGGTGTGATAGACTTGTTGAATGGAGAGCTTTACCTCTTCAATATCCAAAGTAATTGGTTTTTCGCACAAAACATGAATGCCCAGCTCAAGCGCTGAGAGACTCTGACTTGCATGTAATGCTGTTGATGAAGCAATGATCACTGCTTCTAAACCGGGAACCTTCACCATGTCTTCAAATGAGGAACATATTTGCACGCCATATTGGGTCAGATTCTGGTCTGCCCACTCGATATCAGCCTGTGCAGGGGAACATGCACATAATAGGGTTGCGCGAGGAGTGAGATGGAGAATGTTCAGAGCGTGGCGTCGACCCATTCGACCGAGGCCAACAACACCGATTTGGAGTCTTTTTAGTCCCGTGGGTGCCATTTTAAGAGATGCGCATTGAATGAGCTTTGATTTTGATGAGAAGGATGATATTAATAGTGATCAGTTGAGCGGAGATAATTCCTTCATTCGTCAGATAGAGTACTGTAAGCCCAATAAGTGCCCAGGTGTTGAAAAGCCGGAATCAACTCAATCCTATGAATTTGCTCTATAGCTAAGCTGAAGAGATGTCAATCAACTACATAGTTGTAGATAGAATCCCCGCTTGTCTGGTCTTTTCCCCGCATTTACTTCAATCGGATTTTGATTTCCGTCGATGCAGATTATTGCATTGCACATTGCGGTAATTCACATTAGCGGACAGAATTTCCTGTTTAAACCTGTTCATAAACTTGAACTGCTAGCTGACGTGTTGATCAGTCCTAACTTATTCTATGTTAATTCTACTGGAATCCATAAATATCTCCTCTCCCAGGTTTCCCAATCTAATAACTTCCAACGTTCTAACATGTCGAACGTGCCAACTATCCGTTGGGGGATCCTAAGTATGAATATCCCGATCAAGAAGATGAACCATATAGACTGACATTTTTCATTGAAGCCACCGGCTTAATAGCCTCATGGTTCGTCTCAGACTCCACGATCGACCGACCCGATGCCAAAGTAAAGCATATCGTCCAATGCATCGGCACATCAAGCCTGGAGAAAGGGCAGAAATTCGTGAAAGAGTACTGTCCGAATGAGAATCCCCAGCTCTACGACTCCTACGAGAAGGTCTGTAATGATCCCAACGTCGATATCGTGTACATCGGTACCCCACATGGCTACCATTACCGTGACTGCATGCAAGCAATAGCAGCTGGGAAAAATGTCCTATGCGAAAAAGCGTTCACTTTGAATGCCAAACAAGCACGAGAAATCTTTGCAGCGGCCAAGGAGAAGAATGTTTACATTGCCGAAGCGATGTGGCTTCGTCACCGACCTCTGTATCGCAAATTGCATGAGTTGTTGCACCAGGATAAAGTGATTGGAGATATCACTCGTGTCTTTGCGGATTTCGCTTCGGAGATCGATATCCCCTCTCTACCTATCACCTCTCGGTATCGAGATTTGTCGCTCGGCGCTGGCTCATTGCTAGATCTTGGGATCTATTCTCTCACATGGCTTGCTGTCGCTCTTGAAGAAAAGTGGTCGGGGAATACGGAAATACCGCGCATCGTGGCTTCTCAGAGCCAGGAAGAAGGGATTGAGGTTGCTACGACTGCGGTTCTTCAGTATCCTGGTGGTCGTCAGGGTATTGCAAGTAGCACTACCAAAGCAAAGGGTTCGCCTGGTAGAGTGTTTGTTGTGATTCATGGTACGAATGGCCATGTTGAGGTGTCAGGCGATGCGACATCTGTCCCCGAATTCTTCACTGTGTGGGAAAAGCAGAAACGATACGGAGGCGCGTCAAAAGTGCTCTTTGAGAAGGAAGAGTATGAGCACAAGGAATACAGATTCCCCGTGATAGGACTGGGTTTTGTTTGGGAAGCCGATAATACTGCCTTGGATGTTTTGGAGGGACGAAAGGAGAGCAGTATCATGCCATGGGCTGCAACGGTGCATATGATGGAGATTATGGATGAGATTAGACGCCAGGGTGGAACTGTGTATCCAGGAGAATGAGAATATCTATACCCATACTAATAGATGAAATCAACTGGTGTATTCTCTGATGTTCAAAAGTTCAAAAGGTGACAACTTGAAGAGTAAAGCGGGTCACAGGAAGATAAACAATTAGCCCCACGCCGATCCCCAGCCACCTCACTTTGGACTCTAGACCCTCGACATTTCACTTTCTCCTCTTTCTCTTTTCTTCCATTCCATTCCGAATTGACAGGCGAATTCCTCTATCCACGTCACTACTTTTACGGAGCTACTCATATTATACGGGGTTTCTCAGTCACCAATCCCAGCTGTGCAACACAACATCTGTCTAAGACTGTCTTATCAGATAATCTCAGCTGATCACACTCAACCCCAATCAGAGACTCGAACAAAAACACAAACCAAAAACAAGACCAAAAGGGAACCGGAATCATGGACTCGATTCCCCTCGAGGACTCGGGCCTATCCCTCGAAACCAAACTCACCACAACCTTCTCCCTAAACTCCAACCCAAACAATAACAATGACCTCTCATCACACCTCACAAAACGATACACAACATTCTCCATTCCTTCATCCTACGGGCGCATGGACTCGAGTCCTCCACCGGGCACAGTTGCAGGAATAGTACTCGGCAGCGTGGGCGGCGTCGTCCTAATTCTATACCTTACATTCCTAGCCCTAAACCCCGGCGGTCTAGCACGGGGTAGTTCCTCCTCGTTTGACGAAGAAGTCGTGGTAACGAGTCGACGGGCCGGATCACGACGCAGCCGAAGCAATAACACGATCGAGGTTGTGGAAGAGCGGGATCGACGCTCTAGTTATCGGCGCAGACCTAGTCCACGGGATGATCGCGATCATATTATTGTTGAGGAGTCGATGACGGGGACGGCGACCTCGGATGGAAGGGATATGATTGAGGTTGTTGAGGAGGAGTCTTCGGCTGTGTCCTCTGTTTCTACAAGGCCGCCTCGAAGGGCGAGGAGTCATCGCTCAGGAGTGAGGACAATTGATCCTCGTGATCCGTTGGATTATGGACATGATGAGAGTGATGTGAGTCGGTATTAATTAACATATATGGGGATTCCAAAATGATTGGATTGCGATACCCTCTTATTTTTATGTTTTTATGCATTCGAGTCCATGTCTGTTTCGTCTCTGGTGGATTGAATGAGGTTATTATATGATTTATGTGATGCGCATGGGATTCATTTACAGCGTTGATGTATGTAATATGGGGTTTAGACCCTTTTTACTACCTAGGAACTTCACATGTCGGGTACTGGCTTTATATTGAGCTACTAGCCAATCGATACTACCTAGGTACTGATTTTCTTCCTTATTCGAATGTTCACTTGAATGGATTGGATCTTATGCATGAGGGAACTTTTAATGTAATCAGAACAGTGAAAACATTTGAAAGTAGCATCTACAGGTAACCGATAACCCATACTAGTACCTCTCTGTATGTAAGTACCTACAGGGTTACCTATATGATTACCTATAGGGGAAGGCTAGCTACTATGTAGTTAGATATAGGTAACCAGCCAGGTGGTAATAATAACTAGTACCTAGGGATTATCTAAGTAAGAGATAGCTGAAGTGAGAGATATCCTGAAGTAAGAGATAGGTAAAGTGAGAGAGTGAAAAGTATCCCCTAAGCCAGTTCGTTTGGTCGTTCGTCCATGAGATGTCTGATCCATTGTTTAAATTCTTCAATCGATTCCCACACGTGCGCCATGGGATTGGCAACGGAGCCTGCGTCTTCCTCGGAGGTATCGTCGGCCACTCGGACTCATCCATCTAAATTAAGAGGGATGTATTCATGTTTATATAGAATAAACAAAAGAACAATCTAATTTCTTGGTAAATCTATGGTCTCTGGGTATTCTGCCAGACGGCGAGGAAACTTGAACTCGACCAACCACTTCAAGTTAAACCCAAGTAGGAAAAGAGGTCTAGGCCCTGGAGGTCTATATCTACCGACATCTGGACTACTAGTACTTTATGCACATGCATGTAAGGACCCAAAGGGGCAGGCTAGCCCTGGAGGCGCTCAAGTGCTGTCCACGGGTATAAGTTAGACATGTTCTATTTAAGAACTCTTAGCGCCGAGATAGAATATGGGTTTAATGATTATTTTGATGTGCTAGAGGATTTCAACGTCCATCTGGTCTAGAATGATGAAGAGTGAATGAATTGTATACGAACAGAGGTCGATGGACCACGACCCAACGTCGGGTGCTTTTGCGCCCAGAATAACAGATAAAACCAAGGATATGTGCGAGAGAAAACAATCAAAAGAAGGATTATAAAAGCAAAACCATGTTGACACCAAGCCGAGAGACCGATTTCGACTCCAGAAGAATTGTCTTCAACCAACGCCAGGAAAAAACCAAGACCAAGGAAATCGCAAAGGGAAAACGTAAAAACGAGAGACACGAACACTCAGACTGTATACGGAGTATTCATCCCCTCAGATCATAAAACAAGATGGATCTATCGTCTTGTTCACAGCTTCAAGTCGAACCCGAAAGTCCGCGACCCGCAATGAATTTCAACGTATTATCCACATCCGCATCCGGCGACCAATATCGTGATGCTGTCAACCACCAGCTTAGAAGAGAATATCCAAGCAGCAGCAGCAGGCCAACGCAGCCATTACACCAGCGCAAATACCACCGGCTCCAGAGCCGCCGCGGCCTTGGTTACCGGCGTACCGATCTCCACCACCATAGTAACCTTGCTGCTGAGGTGGGTAGCCCTGTTGAGGGGGATAGTACATCTGTTGCTGCTGGCCATAGTATCCTTGCTGTTGTTGCTGAGGAGGATAACCCTGCTGAGGGTAGCCTCCCTGTTGGTTGTAGTATTCACCCGATGCGCCCTGAGGTGGTGGGGAGTTGGGATGGTAAGGGCCCTGGTTGTTATAGGCCTGCTGTGGGTAGGAGGGAGGGGGGGCTTGTCTAATTCAAAGAAATGTTAGATCTAGGTATACATTATAGTTTGGAACTATAAAAAGGTGGGGGTTGAATAAGGGGCCATTTCACTCGGAATTTGCGGGTGACGTACGGGCTTGTTATAAGACATCTCGAAGACTTGAATGTGGAGCCGCTGTCAAAAGGATTCGGCCGATCTGCAAGTGCTGCAGGAGTGTTCGGAAGATGAGTGTATATTGGATTGAGATAAGAATCAACGTATAGAGGGTAAGTAAGAGGTTGAAGGAGAAAAAGAATACAGAATATCCCCTCAAGATGGAAGAAGAAAAACCTTGGCGGAAGCGCTGGGAAGGGGGGAATTATGTAGAAGAACGCGCGGATCGATTTGCAGTACAAAGTGGAGGATGTGGCGCAGTTCCGGGGATTACGGGCTGAGTCATCTACATTTCAAGTTCCAGGTTCGGGCCGTGTTAGCGCCCTGGTGATATGGATGTATGAGGAGTTAGGTAACAGAATTCTTTTCACTTAAAAATAGTATAGAATAATAATTGGTCTGTTATTGACCAGGTTTTTATTAACTAGTAAAAAAAAAGAACACAGTTGATAACAAGTGAGAAAGGAGATATCAATTCTGGCTTTTGAGGGTAACAGAACAGACGCTGTCCAATGTATAAACGCGAAGATTAAAATGCACATGGGTCAAAAGTGGTAGAGAGGAAAATGCTAGACACAATGCTAGACTGCAAGTATGCGACGGGTGAAAAGGGGGAGAGGAAAAGATTAAAACAAAAAATTTGTCTCGGAAATTGCTTATGCTTGCTCTTCCAAAGAAGCCTTCTCCAGCTCCTCGGCAGCATCGGCGGCAGCATCCTGCTCCTGAGACAACTCGGCCTCAGCTGTAGGGGCACCATTGGCCTGAGCGGGCTTCTTGGCGGCATCAGTGCTACGACCGTTAGGCTTCTCAACCTTAGCCTCCTCTTCTTCCAGGCGGGCGATCTCCTCCTTGGCCTTCTTGATGTTCTATGTAACAAGAGAGGTTAGTAATCAACGAAAACGGGCAAATAATGAGGATAAAGTGAAATAAAAACTCACCTCCTCGGTCTTGCTAGCCTGAGTGCTCTTCCACTCAGTGATCTTAGCAGCCAGCTTCTCAATAACAGCAGGGACATCGGACTGGTTCATGGGAGGGTCGATCTTGATCTTGCCGAACTCCTCGATGATACCAACGTTCATGTTGAACTTGGTGGCCTCAGGAGCGGCCTTCTTGCCCTTCTTGCCCTTCTTACCGGCAGAGCCGATGAAGTAGTCCTCCTCATCCTTGCGGACAACCTTCATACCCTTGATGCCAGAGTCATCGACAGTACGGCCAACACCGGCACGGAAGGCGCCACCCTCATCCTTCTTCTCATCAAGACCAAGAGCCGCAAAGTTGTAAGCGGGGTCGAAGTGGCGAATGAGACCCTGGGCGGTGATGATCTCGTCGGTGTAGGCCAGCTGAGAGGCCTCCTCGAGCTTCTTGTCGGCAACCTTCTTGCGCTTCTCACGCTCAAAGGCATCGCGCTCAGCCTTCTGGCGCTCACGGCGCTGGCGGTGGGCCTCATCTTCGTACTCCTTGTGGGCACGGCGAGCCTTGAAGTAGGTGTCCTTGATCTCGCGGATCGCGGTGTACTTCGCCTGCTGGTCGTTGCGCAGCTTGGTGCGCTCGTCGCGGAGAGCGTTCAGGTTCTTGTAGACGCTGTCCTGCTCGGCCTTGATGGCATCCAGCTCCTTCTGGATCTCGCCATACTTCTCACCGAGAGCCTTGGCCTCGGGGTTGTCAAGAGTCTTCTTGAGCTCAGAAATCTGCGCCTTGAGCTCGTTGATACCCTTCTGGGCCTCATCCAAACCGGCAAAGCCCTTGCGCTGCTTGCGGAGCATAGAGATATCAGACAGAGCCTTACGCTCGTCAACCAATCGCAGAGTACCAGAGTCGACCTGCTTCTCGAGGCGGGCGATCTCCCGGTCGATCTCCTCGACGTTCTTGAATGACATCTTTCCGCGCGAGTTGTTCTGCTCCGCAATGCGGGCCTTCAGGGTGGACTCCAGAGCATTGATCTTCTCTTGGATGCTGGTACGCGAGGACTTGAAGCCGGATTGTTTCTGACGGATGGAGGAGAGCTCGGCGCGGAGTTCTTGCTGCTTCTTAACGACGGGGGAGTCCTGGTTGTTGGGCTTGGCGTTGTCCAACTTGGCCTTGATCTCGTTCTTTAGATGCGCATTAGTAATTGATATTATTTCTAACCGTTTCTTAAAAAAAATGTGATAGACTCCAAAAGGTTTAGAACAAAATCAAGGCATAGGGTGACACGAGGACACCATGGCCTTGACGCCACAATCACCGCAGAACATTGGATTGTGCGCAATTCAGAATAAAGTCCAGTAGATAGAATAGACAATATAAAAAGTATCATACCAGCTTCTCCTGAGCAGCAGTGTGCTCCTTCTCGGCCTGGGCCAGACTGGCCTTGTAGGCCTCCTCATCGGGCCTGGTGGGCTTAACCCGAGGCTCCGCAGCAGGGGCAGTAGTAGCCATTGTTAAAGAAGGTCAGACAAAGCAAAGTGAATGTGGAGGAAGGAATTGCTTCTCTGGGAGAAGATAGAAGTGACGAAAAATTCACGAAGAAAAGAAAAGAAAAGAAAATTCCCTAAGTACAAGAAAAGAAGCCCACGAGGGGGAAAGGAGGCTAGTGAATAATTAAAACGGTTCGGTCAGTTTCTCCGCTTTGACTAAGTGAAGTTCGCCTGGCAGAAAGTTCCCGCCGATTTTTCTCTTATCTGGTTCCGCGACCTCCTCCACCTCTAAGTCCCCTTGAGATCGGGTTTCTACAAGTTGCGCTTCTTCCTATTTGTCCTCTTGTCCAATCCTTCTTCTTCTTCTTCTACAGCTACCTCAATTCAATTCATCATGGATGGGGATCTATCCCACCGTAGCGCCGGCGATGAGGCCGACAAGGAGATGACCCGACTTTGGCGCACCTGGAGAACTGTCTATGAGATGCTCGCGGACCGAGTGAGTTTTCCTTCTCTGGAGCTTTGAAGCTTATTGGGATCCTTTTGGATAGCGGGAGATCCATGACTGATCATAATTGCTTCGGTGGAACAGGGTTATGAAGTCTCCGACGAAGAGCTTCAAGTATCTCTGATCGAGTTCAGAAACAGATATTCTGACCCTATGGGATACCCTGAGTATGCAACCCCTCAAACCCAGCTCGACGCATTGTTTTGAGCATTTCCATTGAGAAATATCTATACTGGCTGTTGAAGAATGCAAAGAAGAAAACACAAAAGCTAATGCGCTTTAAACTCCTCAGCCGCTCGAAGATGAAGATCCAAGCCCGCCCCACTGAGGAAATGAAATTGAAATACACTGCCCTTCCCAGCAAATCCAACCCGTCTCCCCAGCCCGACTGCGGCACCATCTACGTCGACTTCTGCCCCGATTCTTCCGGTGTTGGAACCAAGCAGGTCCGCGCATTCAACCACATCGTCGACGAGAGCAACTTCCACACCGGTGTCTTCGTCACACAGACTCCTATCTCCCCCTCCGCTGTCCGTCTGCTGAGCGGTGTCCCCGGCCGTATCTGTGAACACTTCCAGGAGCAGGATCTGCTGGTTAACATTACCCGCCACGAGCTGGTGCCTAAGCACGTTCTGCTTAGCCCCGAGGAGAAGGCACGTCTGCTAGAGCGGTACCGATTGAAGGAGTCCCAATTGCCGCGCATGCAGGTGTCTGATCCCGTGGCCCGGTACCTGGGACTGCGCCGAGGTCAGGTGGTGAAGATTATTCGCAAGTCTGAGACTGCTGGTCGTTACGCTTCTTACCGATGGGTGCTGTAAAGGGACACGCGAAGCGTGACAAAAAATTTATTTGAGATGGTTTTTGGAAAGGTGTGGTCTCCAGGTGCTTTCTTCGTGTTAAGCAAATGAAAGCACCTCGATCTTTTGATCCGGTTGAGGCAACTTGGGGACCCACAACCCATGCGCATATGAGTCTCGACCTCTCAGACAAAGGCATGATTCTTGTAACAACTGCCATGGAGACATCTGCACACACCGATGGCAGTGATTACAGATTCTGAGAGGCCAGCGAGAATCAGGCACGGAGTTTAGTTTGTTTATTTTTGACTGCACCACACAAACGAAACTAAAAAGTTCTATTATGGGCAGCATGGCGTACTGGCGAATTCTTTCTACGCGCGGAAGGAGGTTGAATCTGATACGTGAATTTTACATAGTAATGCTCTGCCATGTTTGCTGATCGAGCTAGATGAATACACTGAATGTCTATATGTCAATTTCTTCCTAGGGCAATCTTTCTAGGTAGTAGCGCACATATAAAGACATTCAAGTTGGAATCGCATCTTTAGGTAGAACAGCATTTTATTAAAATATTTTCCTATATACAATATGTGTTTGTTTTTCTCCCACATGCATAGATGCCCAGTTACAATCAACCAAATGCAAATGCCACACAACGCCCACGAATGCCTATCCGACCCTCGAGAGTCTGTGCAATATGTCTTCAAAAACCTCAAATGCGAAGATTTACTCCTTTTTTGTGTCAGACTTGGCAGCTGATGCAGCAGCCACGGCTTGTGACTTCCTGTGCTTCTCCCGCTTCTCCTTGATGTAAGTCCAGCTCTTGCTGAGGCCTGCAGTCAAGGGTCCCTTGATAGTCTGAATGGTGCTAGGCCAGCGAATTGTCTTCATGATTGAGGTTGAGACTTCTTCTTGCAACTTATCATCACCGGCAATACGACGTTCGAAAGGACCTCCCTGAGGACGTCGAACGACTTCTTGCTTTGTTTCATTGTTCTCTTCCATCATTTTGTCAAACTCGACCCGAGGGATCGCATATCGACCCTGGTACTGGAAGTACAACTTCTCGCGGAATGACTCTGGCAGACGTCGCACCATGTTTCCACGCTTAATGGGGTCCATATCTTGTGCCATACCGAGAATAGCATCAGGATCATCGATCCAATCAGCTTGGCTGCAACGCGGATCCTGGAACATGACATTCGGCAAGTTGTTGATGAGTGGTGCATACAAGCGCCGGAAGTGCGTCATCTGCCCGGAAACGATATTGCGCACCTTGCCAGGGTCCTCAGCTGGGAGGACCATACGCAAGTCACCCATGTAACTGATGCCAGCAATGGTGCTGTAAAGTTCGAATTCACTGAACCGCTCCGGAAGAAGCAGCAGAGCCACACGCAATGCCGAGAGGAGATTCATTTGGTTTGCCAATCGCACCTTGGGGTGATCGCGAAGAATCTTGACGGGCTTGTGCAAGCGACCTGCGAGATACAGGGTGTTCCACTGGGTAAGGTCTTGACATAGAGTGTCCAAGTTTACGACACCATATTTAATCAGTGTGCCGTTTACTGTGATATGAGTATTGAAATAAACACCGGCTCCAAAGCGGTCCTGGACTTGCGAAACAGCGTATGAACCGAGCGAGCCGAGGCCAGAGTAATGGTCACGATGCTGAGTGAGGTTCAGGTCGTGCCAGTGCTGACTGTAGGAGACACCAAAAATGAAATCAATCATCTTTCCAGATCCCTGTTGCATGTTCTTGATGGCGGCCGGCGCTGAGGGATGGGTTGGGGATGAGGAAGCTGCGCTGCCATTCTGGGAAAACACGCCCGATCCGTAGGCAAATGCATATCTAATGGGTGCTCGGAACTGCCACAGAATTTGTCGCAAGGCCTCCTTGAATTCCTGATTGATGATCATGTGTTGATTGACTCCAAAATCCTTGGATGGGAGCTCGGAGAAGTTCGAGATCTGCAAGTTAGGGTTTTGATCCCAATCCGCATCCGATAGCGAAGAAGATGTTGATAATGAGGCTTTTGATGATGACAGTGAAGAGACATTGTATAAAAATGGGGATTTCGCAAGATTCGAGTTCGCCGATAGTAGTAAAGGAGAGTCTGAGGTCGACCGGGAATCAATTGCGAAATAACGAGTCGAAGCGGGCAATCTCGGAAGAGATGAGCAGCGAGTTTGGAGACGCCAGAGAGAGTAAGGGCCGCCATTCCGAGAGGGCAACATCTACATGGTGGCCAAGGATCAGTATTAAGGCCCAAGCTAGCATATTCTAGTGAGTTTAGGGTTGGGGCTCGAGCTCGGACATACGGTTGAGCGCATCATTGCGGATTCAAGGGAGATGAAGGAGCGGAGCACACGGCTCAAAAAGGGCAGGTCAAGCTGAATCACAAGCCTGGGTCATGGAGCGTGGTCGATGGAAATCAATGGTAAGAGCAGAGGGAACAAGACACGTCCCACGCTGGTTCATCATCAAGTTCAACAAAAAGATTCCCGCGAGTCTGACGTCGGGGAAGATGACATAATAAAATCACGTGGATCCGCGTATCTGCATAACAACGCTATCAACGGCCGCCCGCAGGTGTAAACAGACCATATCAACACCGACAAACACGCCCTTCGCCCACTCGATAACCAGCGCCGATTTTCGATTTTCGACTTGATTTACGACCTGCGGATTGAGGACTCATTGTCCTCAAAACTACAATTGCATCATGGGATCCGAAATGGACACTTTCGCGGCCCGTTTAGCCAGCTTTGACGCCGTACTCAAGCCTGACAAGCGGCGATCGTCCGGCGTTAAAGGTCCTCGATTTATCGGCTGGCCACACTCAAACCCGTCGCCTGAAGAGGTAAATCTGAGCAAATTTTCTTTGATCATGAAGTGATTGGAGCTAACGCGAATCTTCTCTAGTTGGCACGCGCAGGATTCTTCTACAAACCCTACGAGAGTAACCCCGATAACACGACATGTTTCGAGTGCGGTAGAGCATTAGATGGATGGGAGGAGGATGACAACCCAATTACAGAGCATCTGAAGCACTCTCCTGGTTGCGGATGGGCAATTACTATGGATGTCTACCAGAACAGCTCCAACCATGCCAGCATTGACGACCCGACCAGCGATCGCATTACACAAGCACGATTGGCTACATTTGGATCAGCGTGGCCTCATGATGGGAAGCGTGGTTGGGTCTGCCAATCTGAAAAAGTAAATCATTCTTTGATCCCAGGCTTCTTTGAATTTCGGCTCACAAATATTTTAGATGGCCGAGGCTGGATGGTATTTTTGCCCGACTGAAGACAGTAATGATTTGGCTAGTTGTGCATACTGCAAACTATCCTTGGATGGATGGGAACCCAAGGATGACCCATAGTGAGCCCCCGCTCCTGCCTGGCACAGAAGATGATTCAGACTAATAGTTTCCTAGTGAGGAACACCACCGCCGTTCTCCAGGTTGTTCTTTCTTCATATATGGACAAGCCCCCGCGAAGAAGGGGAAGGGAGCGAAGGCTAAGAAAACCCGCGTTTCAAAAGCGTCATCACGTCTCTCCACCCAATCTGTGAACAGTGTCGCCTCCGAAGCCCCCCGCAGGGATATCGATGATTCAATGGACCAAAGCATAATGTCACAAGCACCCGCTAAGCAGAAGGCGGAAAAGAAGACAGCGAAGGGCAAAGGGAAATCGACTAAGAGCAAGAAAAAGAAGGAGAATGTTGAGACAGAAAACCATATGGACATGGACGACGAACCCGAACAACTCGAGCCTGAGGAGTCTGAACCCTCGAAACCAAAACGCGCAGGACGAGGAAGAAAGAGAGCGAGCGAAGAAATCAGCAAATATGATTCTGAATCCGTTGCTCTTGATGAGCAGAAAGACTTGTCTCCAGAGCCTCCTACCAAGCGCCGCAACATGCGCGCAGGAAGCAGCAATATTTCTCCAACCTACAATTATGAGTCCCACGATGATGAAATGCCAGATTCAGCTCCTGTTGAAGAGGAACCACAGGAGGAGAAGCCTAAACGGGGTCGCAAGAAGAAGGGAACCTCCAAGAACCGAAAGGCTTCTGACGTTTCAGTGATGTCCAACAGTGAATCTAAGGCTCGCGCTCCTCGTGACTCGGAACTAGAGTCTGCTATCCAGGCAGGCTTAGAAGAAGATGCACCTGAGGAGGCTGCGCCTGAACACACGGATGGACAAGAGACAGAGACGCAACCGGAGCTAGAGGCCGAACCAGAGCCCGAGCCAGCTCCCCGTACTTCAAAGAAAAAAGCTGGTAGAAAACCAAAGGCTGCTTCCAAACAAGAGCCCGAAGACCCACCGGCAGATCGGGAGGAGCCTGTGGAGCAACCAGATGTTCATGCTGAACACGAAATTGAGGCCACGGAAGTGGTTGAAGAGGCCGCTGAAGAGTCAGGCCCGAGGACCAAAGCAGGCAAAGTGCCCAAGAAAAGAGGACCTAAAAAGGGTAGCAAAAGAGGCGAAAACAAATTGAAGGAATCAGAATCACGAGAATCCTCCGGAAGTAAAGCTGGCCCTGATGATGAGGCTGCTGAAGAACAGCAAGAATCTTTCTTGTCTACGGAAATTGCCAACCAGGACTCTGTGGATCAGCCTGAGCCCCAACCGGGGCCAGAGCTGGAAGTCGAAACCCCAGAGAAGCCAGCTGTGAAGAAGTCCTCAAAGAAAGAAGAGAAGAAAGAAGAGAAGGCAAAGAAGAGTAAGAAGTCGAAGAAGAAGGCGCCATCACCTGCACCTGAACCGGTGGAAGAGGAGCCAATCGAGGACACTGTGATGGAAGACCAGGTTGATCACCGACAAAACGAACCTTTGTCACCATCTGTGGATGACGAAGGCTATGAGACTCCGGATGATTTGCCTGACCAAGTCGAAATGATTGAACCCTCTGGGTCTTCTCCAGAGGCACAGAAGAAACAAAGAACACCTGTGCCTCCTAAAACGACTAAACGATTCAGCGACATTCCCCAAGAAGAACATCTCGCTGAGTCCATCACAAAGTCTCACAGCTCTCGTGGAAACAATTCGCAGAGGACATCTCAACAGTCGAATCGGCCTGTTTCACCACTTCCATCAACCCACCAGAGCACGTCTTCCATGTCCCCGCAATCTTCTGATGCAGAGAACCGACCTCCCTCATCTCGGCCATCGGCTGCCCGCCAACTTGTGCCATCGCAAGAGCTGCAGGCTCGGACACCACTGGCAGCTGCCACTCCATCGCCCTCGAAACGTGGCTTCAATGTTGGATTCGCACCTTCGAGTCAACCTTGGACTCCGGTTGACGTCGACGAAGCCTTATTCGGAGAAGCCAGTGACAAGGAGAACGCCGATATCGCCGGGCTTCTCAGTGGTGTAAAGCGCGGATTGACTAGTCCGGAGAAGAAGATGTCTGTAGAGGAATGGATCATGTGGAATGCGAAGAATGGCGAGGAGCGATTGAAGCGTGAATGCGAACGGCTTGTGAGCCAGTTCGAGAAGGAGGGTTCCCGGGCCATGCAGAGGCTCGAGGCTATTGAATGCATTGATTAAACGACCTCGCATCAGCGGTGTTTATTTGGTTTCTGTTATTTTTTTTATGGGTCTTGGTTCGGCGTTTTGGAAGGATATGTCCATGTTCAAATGTTCAAGTATTGTCCTCATATTTTGCTTTCGGTATACCCAATACCAGTACTGTTCACAACAAAGAGACCCGAGTTGCTTTCTTTTACTTCTGGCTACTTATTATGATACCTAATAGAATAACCAGTAGGTGACCAAGTGAGCGACTGAGTAAGATGCAAGTCCTCGTAAACACAACAATTTTGAGATATAAAAACATGCCCTGAACGCCATGGGTATCATAAAGTAGGTCTGTATTTCATGCAATCTTTCCATCCAACTCAAGCAATAATTCCCAACCTTCCCTCCCAGCCATCATCTTCCTTCTTAACCCCATCGCCACCCTTGCGCCGCTTCTCAGCCCGCTTGCGTCTCTTCTCCTCCCGCTCCTTTGCATCAATTTCCTCTCGTTCACGAAGTCGCTCTCCAAGATCGAGCTGCCAAGCCCTCCTCTCCTCTTCCTCTCTCTCCCGCTTCCGATGAGCAAGCAGTCTCAACCGCTCCCGCACCTCCTCCACAGAAGCCCGCATAACATCTCCACTCTGTCCAGTCGCAATTAAATGCTGCTTGCTGTTGTAGTGTTCCACAATCTGGATATTATCCTTGAATGTCAAATCACAGTCTTTGCAGTAGAATCCCGCTCCTCTTCCGCGTTTTCCCAGTGCCGCTCCTGCAGGTACAATAGTTGTCTTGCCGACCATCGACGCCACATCCAATCGTGAGGTACGCGCAGTGGTGGCTTCCAGAGAGCTGTAGTCTACCGGAGCATGGTATTTCTTTCCGAGCAGCTTTGCTTCGTATCGGGCTTTGCCTTCGGCTTTTCGCTTGGCTTCTTGATCGGCGGCTTTTTTGGCATATTCTTCTTTGTCCCAGGTCCGAAACTCGACATCTGAGGCCGGAGCACCGCCGTAGGCGCCTTTCTGTTGAGACATTGTAGGTAGGTTTATGAGGTTTGTGAGAAAGGTGATGTTAAGTAGAATCAAATGAGCTTGAACTTTGAAGCTTGGGAGGTTTGTAGAAGGCGGTGGGAATATTCTGCCCATTCATGTGATGGATTAGATAATCAAGGGTCTTTCGAGAACAATTTACATCGAGTCTATACAAGAAGTGCATAAGATGTGTCAAAAAGTGGGATTTGATCAAGTCGGGACTATTATTGGAAGAAAAGATTCCATATATTGTCGAGAACCTACTGCATATACGAAATTGGAATTTGACAGCGTTATTTCTCCACCTCGTGCCATGTCAGACTCAAGGCAACCCCAAAAATAGGCTAAGGCACCCGGGGTCTAGAAAACGAGGTTATCTCGTGTGGAGATGGATACTTGTTGAATATAAGCTAGCAAAAGTGGCTGAAACAATAGGCATCCGTATTGTGGAATATACCTAAACATTTAAAATGTAAATCCGGCCCTCTTTCTCCAACCCCGGCGCTCTTGCTTCTCTCATCCCACCTCCTATCCACCCCAACCCAATCACAGACAATGGAATCCTCAATGCCTTCATCAGAAGATTCAGAACAACCCCATCCACCAACATCATCAATGAGAAGACGTCGCACCGTATTATTGGATCTTCCCTCGGAAATCCACCTCCAGATCTCATCATATCTCCTGTACCCAGATGCGCTAGCTCTGAAACACACTTGCCGCCATTTCTACAGCCTAGTGTATACGGGTGTACACCTTAAAGTTGACTGGCTCGTTCAGCGATTCGAGCGCAGGCTCGAATGTCCCATGGAGAAATGCTCGTTCCGCACAGATGAAGTCTTCTGCAATGCTAAAATTCGTGGCATCATGGAGCGTCGACGATGGCATCTTGAGTGTCGACCTGAATCAGGTGGCTGCTGGGTTATTGAGGGACAGAGTTGCAGTGCGAATTTGGTGCATACGTGGATGAAGAGACACCAGAAGTATTACAGAAACAAGCGGATTGGGAATTTGATTCGCGAAGGTGAGAATAGTGATCCATATTGATGCTGTGTTTATGTTTTGTAGATATGATTTTTGATTGCTAACATTGGTTTTGGGTATAGTGACTGTTGTTGTAGCAATTGCTATTATGATCAAATTGGTATGGTTACTTGTGAGCCGGTTAGTTTACCCAAGCTTGTCTCAAGAATACCTAGAAGATGCTGACATGTGTATGCACTTATAGCATTTACAACGGTGAGAAGCAAGGACTCTTGCCACATTTGGTGTCGAGCATTGCGGATTATCTGAGGTCTCATTAAAATGTGAACGAATGTTTGAAGCTCATAGCCCTTTTTTCGATTGCGAGCAATCGTCGATCGACAAGCTATGAGTATTGCACGATGGACAAGAAATGCTGAAGGATTGAGGCTCTATTGAGTCTTGAGACATTGTGATGCCTTATTATGATTTCTACCTAATAATAATAATATCTTTCTATTCCTACCTACCTTTTTACAGTTTCAGTCTAAATGAATTGGTAGATTATGATACTCCAATCTGGGCATCTACGAGGCTCAAGCAAGTTCCCTGGTGACACATCACTTCCCTTGGCTTATTCTATTGACCATTCAATAGCTCCACTAACAGGTTGATCAATTCGATCCAACTCGATCTGAAGCTCCTTACTCATAGATCGAGCCCTAATCCGGATTATCTTATCACTGACGTCACAACGACGTGCCCATATACTTCCAAGATCGCAAACAGAAAAGAAGGATATAAAACACAATAGAAATTCTTTTGTGAATCATTGAGCTTTTCAATACATCATATCTTCTTCGATATCACCAAATTCACTATCATGTCTGCCGACCCATCTATCAATACCAGTACAGGCCAACATGCCGTGGACCCGTACAAGACCCAGAGCTTTGAAGACCCGCCTCTACCCCAGAAGATTGAGGATCTGGTCGACTTCATCTCAGAGGTCAAGTTCGGCATGTTAACGACTAAGCAGTCAGATGGTGAACTCTTGACATCACGATGCATGGCTCTAGCCGCACAGGTAAGCTCAAATTATCAACTCCACATCACCAGTCTTAAACCATCTAATCACACATTATTTGCAATAGGAAAATGGCGGTATCGACCTAATCTTTCATACAAACCTTTTTTCCGGCAAAACAATGGACCTTACACTCCATCCCAAGGAAACCAACATGTCTTTCCTCGATCCTGTGAACGGAGCCTGGGCCTCTATCTCCGGTACAGCAACTATTATTGCCGACCCAGCCACAGTCCAGAAGTACTATTCGCCAACATTAAAGGCTTGGATCGGGGATATGGGCGATGGAGTTCATGATGGAGGTCCTACTGATCCGCGAATTGGCCTGATCAAGCTTGAAGCGAAGCTCGCAACACACGTCGTGGCTAGGAAGGGAATTATCGGTAGAGCCGTTGAGACGGTTAAGGGAGCTGTGCAGGGGAATGTACCTGCTGTTAATTCTATTCGAGAGCTCAGTACGGAGGAGTTGGCTGAGTGTAAGTTGAAATTGAATACCTTGGACTCACGTCAGATTTGGGGGTTGGAGGACCAGTGCTGATAATGTTTATAGGGCGCCAAACTCATCGGAAATGAGCTCAGTGTGGTATTCAATGATTCATTTACTTGCAACATGAAATTATTCGTATATTCTCAGCCTTTTGAGAATCAAATGATGCATTCAATTTGTTGATTCAAATATCAGGACATCGCGTTCAAATATTACTAATATATAAACTCTTCAATTGATACTTAAATATTAACACAACATTGAATGATGCACTGGCAGTCCATTCAAATGTTGGCTCCAAGTTATCTACCACCTGGGCAGTAGTTCCAATATTAGAAGTTCTGGCCTACAAGGTTACTAGTAGATGCTAATATTGAAATGCCCAGTCCAGTCGGGTAGAGAGTCCGAGTCGTGGACTAGGTCGTGATTTGAAGCTTTCATGAAGACTCGAAGACCTACTAGTCTTTTACTGCCCGGGATCGCATTCCCATCTGTTAAGAGATTTCAAGGTTAGGTGTTATACCAGTTGACGTATTTAGTATCACCTGATCCCTAACTTGAACACATACTACTATCACATCAAGTTCACATGTGCACCGTAGCCATGCCTCACTATCTACAGATCAAAGCAACACACATGCAACACTTATGTCTTCTTTAGGAAATCTACGCATCGACAGTGATCAAAGATTTGGAACTATTGGCACTCAAAAGTGAAATCAAATTGAAAAGGCTCAAATAACCCAGGTGCCCACGACAAAATGAAAAGCCGCCAGAAACTGAAGACTAGCTGACATGGGTATCTTCGCAAACCCACAAAACGCCGTAAAACAGAAAAAAAAAAACCACAACTAAACGCAGAACCCCCTCAGCTTGCTACGGTAAGTGAATTAGATCTGAAAGCAAAGTTAGCAACATATAACCGAAAAAGCAGGGAATAGAATGAGAGATACTAACCAAGCGCAGGTTGCTGCGAGACGGCACTCGCCCGTTATGCAGCAGCATGGCCACTGCCTGCTGGGGGGTGGCCTGTAGCTTTCGGTAGGCCTCTCGGATGTGACGGGGCTCGATAGGAGTTCTGCCCTCCTCCGGCGGGTCGAACAGACCAGTCTCACGCTTGCGCTTCTTTGCGCTCTCACCAGGAGTATCCGCGCCACCACGATTCTTCTCGTGATCCTCGCGCTCCTTGACCTTGAGCGCCTCCTCTGTAAGAGTTTGGACAATCTCAAAGGTCAAGAAGCCGAGTATATCGACGATATCATCGTTAGGCTTGGACTCAGTGACGATTCCGAAGCCAGCCCACTCGCGAAACCGCTTACTCTTCCGGTAGGTGAACGAAGCTTGGCGACATTCGGACCAGAAAACGTACTCCTCCCTGGTCATGTGCTTGGTACGTTCGTCGGCGGCAGCGAGGCGCTGAAGGGTTGCGTAGTTCTGCTCCTCCTCCTCTTCATCTTCTTCGTCGTCGCGCTCCGGGATCTGTACGGGAAAAAAAACTGTGAACGTCCCATGCCAGTCCAACCTTCGCCCGCTTGTTCTTCGGCTTGTTGGCGACATCTTGGGGACCTGCGGCCATACCAGCGGCGTCATCGGCCCCAGCAAAATCAGCGGCATCCGCTCCACCCTTGTCGTCGGAATCCTTGACGTTCTTCCGGACATCTTTCCAGGACAAGAAAGTTCGCAGACGGGAAACCTTGGCCTTGTCGTGACGGATTAAGAAAATGAGATCATCGGTTGAGATAGACCGTGATCCTCGGCGGGTTGCAAGCTGAGTGCTGCGGGTAAGCTGTCGTCAAATTAGCCCCAAGCCTATATAGGAACTGAAGGGAAAACAAACAATTTCCAGGACTTGCTGACGAGTTATATCTTCGATCAGAGTGGTAGTGTCGATGGACGGCTCGGCCGTTTCTCCAGACACAAACATCATCTAACGGATCAGGTTAACAATCGTTGCTTTAAGATCTTCATTGGTCTTAAAGGAGTCTTCGGCATCCTCCATGTCTTCTTCGGTCTTGCGTCGTTCGTCTGCGAATGGGTCAATAGCTCCAGCAATGGCTCTATCATCACTGAAATACATAGCCAGGATCATCCAAGCCCACGTACTGTGACTTGGTCTCCAGGCTGATACTTTTCTATGATTAATGGATTCAATTTCAAAGCCATCTCAAAGGAAATTCTCAGAGTTTGAGCGAAGCACATCAGTGACTGTTGCCATTCCAGATCTTTCAAGAGCAATACATACATGCCATCGTACCGCCGCCACCAGCCCCCACTACCAACACCTTGAGCTTCCAGTCTGTCACGGCCGAGGTCAGGATTGTTATGGTGCGAGCCATTGCTGCCCGATCCATTATTATTATCCGGGTTCTCATTGTCTGTAGGTCGGGTCATCACTGTCGGAATCCTCCTCGACGTAATTCTCATTCTCTGCGCCTTCGCTGTCGGAACTCTCATCATCGGGGTTCACATCCTGGGAATTCTCATCATCGGAATTCTCATCGCCGGAATCCTCATAGTCGGGATCCTCATCGCGGGGATTCTCATCGTCGTAATCATGGCCAGAGCCTCCATGACCAGATCCTGACCGAGTTGTGCCACTGGTAGCGTGGCTTTGAGTGCTCGAGGACCGGTTCCAATGGCCAGATCCTGAATGAGTCGTACCACTGGTAGCGTGGCTTTGAGAACTCGAAGACCGGTTCCGGTTCCCAGGACCAGAGGTCTGATGGTTGGGATTGGGATTGGCCAACCGAAGACGAAGGCGAGGTGGGTGATGATCATCAGGGTTATTTCCCGACCCTTGGCGGTGCTGGTATTCGGGGTTTCGGAACCGAATACGAGTGGGAGAAGCTCGCATTTGGCCCCGATGGTAGTCCGGGTTTCGGAGACGAATGCGAGTGGGAGAGCCTCGCACTTGGCCTCGATGATGGTCCGGGTTTGGCAGCCGAATACGAGTGGAAGAAGAAGCTCCCAATCGGCCTTGATGGTAGTCTGGGTTTGGAAGCCGAATGCGAGTGGGAGGAGCTCGCACTTGGCTTGGGCGGTGGTCGGGGTTAGGCAACCGAATGCGGGTGGGAGAAGCCCGCACTCGGTGCTGGTGGTACTCGGGGTTTGGGAACCGAATACGGGTGGGAGGAGGGCTTTGATCGTCGCCCGAACCATCCAGCTGGGAGATATTTCCGTGAATAGTTGCAGGAACAGGACCTGAAGCGTGTCCATTAGGACCATAGCCATGGCTGCGGAAAAATGCAGCAACACGGGGAGTGATTTGTCGGGGGATGGGAGAAGTAGAGCCAGCTTCAATCCCCTGGTTGAAGAGGCTTGCCCGTGCCAGGAGAAGCAACTCTCGGCCACGAAGCTCGACGACCTCCTCCATGAGTCGGGAACGGTGGTCAGACATTGCGAGCAAGAAAGAAAAAACTCCGACAGGTTGAAGCACGAGGGATCAAGAAAGATATTGGAAGTTTCTTGATGGTGTGGGAGCGAAGTCGCGGAGTTGAAGAAGAGAAAGAGAAAGATGTTGTGGAAGACCATTTAATAAACAACGCGTCAGTTAGGCGACAGCGATGTTCTGCCGTCCAAAGCCGAATAGCTTCGTTAGCGAGATGTGCAAACGAGCAACAATAAGGGCAAGGGCAAACTGGCCACGGGCCAGGTTAGCCACATGCTTCGCCGCCTCACAGGGCTGGCAGCCACTGGAGCAGAAGAGGCATCCTGTCACTTACTCCTGCACATGCTTCAACCCCAGGCTTTTTCAACCATATATGTGCAGAAGGACATCATCGACATGATGCAAGGCCCATATGTGAACCCTATGTTCAGAATTTTCACTCTTTGAACGTTAATTTCACAGATATAATTATATCTCCATATTTTGTAGAGGGCACAGAGACCAACCCTAAACAAGATACTGTATGCCCGGCGCAACAGCAAGGATACCAACCTTGAAGACATGAAAAAGACCGAAGACCCCAATAGTACCTGTCAAGGAAGTTAAATTAGGGTTGGCAAAGACCTACCTGCTGGATCTCCTGCCGATACTTGGGCTGACGATCAGAGCTCATAATGGCGGCTCCCTGCAACAGCAGTAATTACGACGAAAGCAGCAGTTCGTCCAATATCGAAATGGGCTTAAATCAACCCAAGAAGCTGCTCAAAGGAATGGACAAGAAGACCAGATAAATCTATTCAGGATAGAAGTTGTACTAGTCAATTACGACACAAGAAAGCTGGATTCGAAGGATAGAAACAGTCCAGGAGAGAGAAGGGAAGTTGAACCTTGTATGGGGGCTGACGATAGCGATAAAGCACGATAATCGGAGATTCACTTCCGCCGCATGTCCGGGCGGTGAGCAAGTGTGGCCGATTCTGCCGCGGGGCAAAGGAATTATTTTCTATCGAGGGGAAGTTTTACGTTCTTTACGACTCAATTGATCTTTTTACAACTGCTGAAACGATGTTGCATCTCGTTGGTCTTGGTCTCGCGGATGAGACCGATATTACTGTCCGTGGCTTGGAGATTGTGAAGCGCGCGGACCGGGTTTATCTTGAGGCATACACTGCTGTTTTGCTCGTGGACAAGGAGAAGCTTGTAAGTGGAATCTATCAGACTCGGTTTTGAGTATTCCTATATGTTCCTTAATGCTCCGAAACTATGGGGAATCACCCGGGTGGAGTTTTATGTGTGCATTAGGCGAACTCCGCTAATGATATATTTAGGAAGCTTTCTATGGTCGACCAGTCATCGAGGCAGACCGTGAACTAGTTGAAACCGGCAGCGATGAGATCCTCGCAGGAGCAGACAAGGCAGATGTTGCCTTCCTAGTTGTTGGCGATCCATTCGGGTAAGTATATCATCAAGAACTATTAGCTCCAACTTCTATATAAAACAACCAACTAACATTTAAACAGCGCAACAACACACACAGACTTGGTCCTCCGGGCCCGAGAACTCGGCATTCAAACCAATGTCGTGCCCAACGCCTCCATCATGTCCGGAATCGGCTGCACAGGTCTCCAACTCTACAACTTCGGCCAAACAGTCAGCATGGTATTCTTCCTGGACAACTGGCGCCCATCTTCATTCTACGACCGTATTCGCGAGAACGCGCAAATTGGTCTGCACACGCTCGTCCTCTTGGATATCAAGGTTAAGGAGCAATCCATGGAGAACATGGCACGCGGACGACGCATCTTCGAGCCTCCTCGTTACATGACTGTCGCGCAGTGCGCGCAGCAGATGTTGGAGGTTGAGGAGGATCGCAAGGAAGGTGTTTACTCTCCTGATAGTTTGGTGATGGGTGCTGCGCGGGTTGGAGCACCGGATCAGAAGCTTGTTGTGGGTACTCTGACGGAATTGGCGGAGGTTGAGCTTGGTGCGCCGTTGCACAGTGTTGTTCTGCTTGGAAGGAGGACACATGATCTGGAGAGAGATTACATTCGCCAATTTGCGGTTAACGAGGCGACTTTTGATGCCAGTTATGCCAAGTACTATGGCAAGACCTCATGATTAATATCGACATATTCAATATTTTAGATGAATGAACGTTTCAAAGTTTCAAGTTACATTGGAAGAAAAGTGAAGTTAAATGGTCTATTATTTTGAGGTATATAGCACAGGGAGGCGAGCGTTATTTCTCTGATGGTAACCAGAAAAACAACTCGGTCTCTATATTCTAACGACCACAGTTGCCATTTGATCCCTTTCGCGCTCGCTTCGAGGCGAAAACAGGAGAAAGAGCCCGGCACAAACGTATGAAACATGAAAGCGGGAACGCCACGGGGACATTAGAAATGGAATCTGCAGGCCGCAACAAGCTGAACAATGCAAATAAAGAGAAATGGTATCCAGACAGAAAAACAAGAACAAATATGAAAATGGCTCGAGATCCACACAAGAAATCGGCTCGTTCATCTGGCCAGATAGGCATATATCATAGATGAACTGAAGGCGATATTTGGGAAACAAAAGCAAAAACCCACGACCATACCGACACCATTCACATGCAAAATGAAGTCTGAAGCAATGTACAGTTCAAACAGAAAGAATAAGGAAGAATCAACATATCACATCACTTAATGGTCAATAACCTCATCTTCCTCACCGGGAAGAAGGATCTCATGGCCAGAGCCCTCGTACACGAAGATGGCAGCAACGCAGCCAAATACGGAGACCAAGGCAATAAGCCACCAGGCGAAACCAACCATACCCATATCCAGACCAGAACCGTACCATGCACCAGAAAAGATAGGACCGATGGTTCGGAAGGCGGATGAAACAGACTGGCCGATGCCGTGGATGGTTCCGAGAACGGATGGGTGAGGCGAGCAGTTGTTCAGAAGAATAATGGAGGTTGGAAGGGTGAAGGTTCGCGCGGTAACCTGGCAGAAGAGCACAACGATGATCCAGAACCAAACCCAAGGTCCGTTGGCTTGACCGGGAGGAGGAATGGTAGATGGAGCTAAGGCAATATAGGGCGCCAGCGCGTAGGCAAGCGGGAAAAGAGATAGGAAGTACTGGTAGCTCTTGGCTGTACCCAGACGACCGTTGATAGAGGGGTAGATGGTGAACTGAAGGAACATGCCAATAACTCCAAGAATGGCAGTGGCAAAGCCAACACTCTGCGGCAGCATACCCAAGCCCCCAGTAAAGATAAAAGGCAGGCTCTGAGCGGGGCTGGCGGGGTCAGCGGGGTCGTAGCGAGGAGTGGACAGGAAAAGTAGCCAGAGGTTGTTGAAAGCACCCATCTGGAAGTCGAAGAAAGCCTGTGCTCCAAGAGTGCACAGGACGTTCTTGGTCCAAATGCGGCGGAAGGGCAGCACGCGCTTCGTGCGGACAGGCTTAGTAGCCTTCTCTTCCATTTCATAGCTTTCAGAGCGATCCAAGGCACCGGCAAGTAGAGGGCCGCTCTCCTCGTAGTCGCGGAAAGGCAGTCTTGTGTACAGAGGAGAGGAAGATCCAACAACTTTCCTCACGCCACGAGCGAAGAACTTCATAGCATATGAGCCCAAACCGGGCTTACCCTTGCAAGAAAGCAAGGTCTCCTCCAAACCGTAGGCCACCAAACAGGCGCAGGTGGTCAGGAAAAAGAAGTTAGACAACATGGGCAGAGCATATGGGTAGTGTTCCAACCACTTTACACCATTCTCGCCTCCAAATGAAGAGTTCGGGCCAAACAAGCGGGGATAGCTCTTTACAGGATCGGCCATCATACCACCCATAACTGAACGCAAGAATTTCAATTAGTACACGCGCATTTTCAAAAAATCCAATTTGCTGATGAAACCAGTATATCACTTACCAGGACCAAATAATGAAGCAATGTTAAATCCAATAGGGAGAATCAAGAAAGCTCGGGAATGATATTTCTTCTCCTTCACATTCTCCGCAATCATAGTTCGAATAATACCAACAGTACCGTTGATAGCACCGCCAAATGAACGCCAGAACACGGCCTGCGCGAACGACGTGGAGAACGCAACACCCAAACAAGACACCGCAGTTCCTACAAGTCCTACCAGCAAGACAAATCGACGACCACCCCACTCCGCATCGGCAACACGACCCCAAGGGATCGCCGTCGCAAACTGGGCTGCTGTGAAAGCACCCTGAAGGATACCAGCCTGGGTAGCAACATCGGAGTCGGAGAGGTTCTCATCAAAGGACTTAAGCTGGTAGAACATGTAAGCCTGCAGCGAGGCGATCTGCAAGAAATCAAACACACGACAAAGACCAAGTAAAGCTAATTGGCCTTTGCGCGGTAGAGACATCCACGTCACGGCGGCGGGACGGGAAGGAGGAGGTGCAGCTGGCAGATCCGACTGCTGCAGAGCGTGAAGCTGGGCCTGACTCTGCGAGCGGCTGCGAACATGGTTCTTTTGGCTATCCAAATCCATCGAGGTATTGCGGATCATGTCGGGGTCATCGGGGCCGTAGGAATCTGGGGAGGGGGCCTCGTCAACGCTGGCGAGAGATATTTGGGACTCGCGACGACGTCGTGGAGGATATGTTGAGTCGGATTGTTCACCGGTGCCGTTTCCTTGGGTTATATGATGATAGCCACTCGACCATGAAGTCGTACGCGCGTGGCGGGCATTACTTGGTTTATGGTTCTGGGATCTGGGAGGCATGACCCAGGAATGTACTAGTATATGTAAGCACCGGGGCTAAGCTAATGGAGGAGACAAGGCGGTCCGATGGAGAAAAACGACGTCAGGTTGCGACGACCCCTTTCGTTTCGTGTAATTTTCAATTGATGGGACGTGTATTAATTGGCCCGCAATCTCAAGGGGTAAAGAAAAAAAAATTCAATAGAAATCCAATATGGATAGATAAGTAGAAAAGTTCAAGTTGAGTAAAAGAAAAGGAAAGGTGGAAAAAAAAAATCGGATCAAGTGATTCTCCAAGTTGATCTCTCTTATTCGCTTTATTTGGCGTGTTCGTATAAATGTAAATAGGGTTTTTGAATAATTAAAGGGGAGAAGAAAAGGAGAACTTGATCCATTGAAGCCGCTGGAGGCTGTTTGTTGCAATGGTCCACAGGGAAAAAGGGTCATGACTTACGTACCCTTGATCTGCATAGATTTACGTATAACATATGTATAAGATAGGGATAAATCACAACTAGTGCATCTAGTTAGATCAATCGAAGTATCTATATAGATCAATGCTATATCAACTATCTCATTCTCATTCTCATTCTGCAATGATGATTCTTTTCTCTAAATTTCTTTACATTGGAATGATTCGTATTGCTTCATACAGACTGTATTGATACACGACGGGGCTTGCGACGACGCTCCACTTGTACTCCCGAGTTCCGGGTCCTTGACAGCCCGCGGTCTTGGCAGTGGACTCTAGGGCTCAATACATGTACGAAATATACACGTTTATACAGTAAATTACTGACTACGTAATTATCTGAGTTGAGCGTCTACTACATAGATTTATTAGATGTTTGACAATTCCATAAATAGCTTCATAAGGATGAAAGTCCAGATCGATATCATGATCCATTCATAACGAATAAGAAATACAAATAAGCTCTGCCCAGACTTACACTTAAGTCATCGTACATTTCTCCAGCCACACCTGGAGATCTTAATGATACCCGGTCATCTTAGTGAACCAAGGAAATATAGCCGACACTTAACCTTGGAACTTAACACAGCCATCCTCGTCAGCGGAGACTCGTAGTTCGTGCTAGTACTCCTCCCACTGGTACATTGGTACATTCAGTTAACTTGAATCCAAAGGACAAGTGTTTATTTTCTACGCTTAACACGGCACTGATCGACGGACGATCGATTCCTCAGCTGTAACGGAGCGCCCGTGAAGGAGATAGAGAAAAGCTTCGCATCTTCATATAGAAACTAAAACTAAGTTAGCGATTCGTCGCACACAACATCCACGTTTCAGTCTTGTCGCAGGGCTGGTGCCAAGTCTTTATTACTGAACGCGAGAGGTGTGAGAGATGTTTCGTAGTGATGTTGCAGTGTGGTGATCGATACATTCAATTTCTACTATGTATCTGTATTCTACAGGGTGAAGGGAAAAGGCTAAAAGGTAAATTCCTATCCAATTAAGCCGATTAAATTGACTTACGATATCCATCAGATTAATGAATCTGTATTGTGCACTCGTACATCGTATCCCAGGGTATCAATCAATCAATTGAGTTAATTAGTATCCAGATGTACTTCGTATAAGATTCCATAGAGGGAATGGACTACCCGTTGCCCCTCTTTAATGGGTCAGGGACCGGACTATTTCCGTTTCCAGAAGAGCGGGTTACGAATTCAAACCAATTTGGTCATTCGCCTCTACGATTTGAGCTCGTTTATGACCTCGAGACGATATGTGGATTCTTGAGGGATTCATTTTGAGGGGTTGTTAATACGCTAGAAACTGATGAGGAGGCGCGAAAGGTGGAAGAATTCCGGAAGCGCCTCAGAGAGATCCATATGACGGGGTGACGCGTATGTGTGGATACCTGTGCATTTCAACGGGCCCAAAAGAGAAAAATCTGGAGGCGAAAAAAAAGAAGAAAAAAGGAAGAAAAAACCATTAAGTGCCGGGTGTCTCGGCCTTAATTAAATTACAAAAAGCTCGGAGTTTCGAATTTGGGTATCTGTATTTCAGTATTCTATACAGGCGATCTAAAAGATTTTGTAATCTTCGTGTGGTATATACGTGTTGGAGATAGAAAAGGAAATGAGTAGAAAAGAAACATCAAAGGAATTAAAAAAGGGACAGGCCGACAATGCAATGCAAATGGAGTATAGAATGAAATGGGGACTTTTTACTCGGTTCGCTGTCTCCGATGTGGTGGACTGCGATCCGCAAGTGAGAAATAATCTCCCCCAGTCCATCGCTTCCAATTCCACCAGGGGAGATCGTTGGACTGAATCGGAGCTTTACGCTCAGCCATACCGTTCAACGGCTCAGCTGACTCGTGATCATCCAACGGATCCAGCCGCTGGCGTCGCTGATAGGAGCGGTAGCCATAATAGGCTCCGCCGAGAAGTGGTAATGATAGTATTATAATGCCACCCCAGAGATACAAAGCTGTGAAATCGATTAGTAAATGGAAAGGGTAAAAGTGTAGATAAATGTCAACTTACGTTCAGAGGTCCAGCTCTTGTGAGTGGTCGGGCCGGTCATTGAAGGATAGCCAGACTCAGAGGGGAATGTCCAGATAGCTCCATCATGGTCAGGGTCTACCCATGGCACAGTATTAACACCCGCAAGTGGGATAAACGGTTCAGCACGTTCCTCGCCGGGAAAGCCAAATCCGGGGGCATCAGAGCAAGTTTCATCTTGACAGAATTCACGTAGCTCGGGCGAAGGTACGAATGTATACTTGATCTCGGATCGACCTAGCACAACACCATTGAGGTCAAGAGCCTCGGCTCGAGTCCAAGGATAGAAGCTAGTGTTGGTATACTCGGTCTCAAAGCCGGTCTTATTGGTCTCAGCCAAGGGAGTCCACGGCCCTGTCATATTTGCCGAACCGAAGAACCGCCATGCCTTGACTCGTGTGGCACCGTTCCAACTCACGTACATGGTCGTCGGCGAAAACGGATCCGCTGTACGAGAGTAGGTCCACATAGCAGGAGAATCGGTAGGGTTACCTTCCCAATCGAACTTCATTGCGCGGTAATTCATGACGGGGCCCGCCGCAAACTCAGCCCAGAGAACGATGTTGCCCTCTTCGTCGTGTTCAGAGACATAGCGGTTGTTACCCCATCCCATGAAAACGTTCTTGTTCGGCAAGCGCTGGAGATTACCCTGGCTGGAGCTAATTAAGTCGTGTACGTAAGGCTTGTAGTCGCGAATCTGGAGAGCGGTATTATCGACATGATCGATGAGAATGATCATACCAGCGGAATAGGCATGGGTGCGATTAAATCCGTTGTAGCCATTGTTGTATAATGAGACGACGGAGTGTGTGCCATTCTCGAACAACCAGCGCGCATCGTGCTGCTGGGAGAAGCTGAAGTTGATATTGCGGAATGACGGATTCGAACCGTGTAGTCGCCAAACAACGGAGCCGTCCTTTCCGGAAATCTTATAGATCGCGCAAGTGTGACGAGACGAGACGAGGTAATCGCCATCCGAGTTCTTATCGATCGAGTTGATATGGAAATAATCCCAAGGTTCGTGAACGTTCAGTCCGGTTCCAGAGGTATCGGTATGCGCGGGCCAGGTGTAGCTGTTGGAGGGGTCGACATGATCCAGAGACCGCCATTCGAATATCACTTTGCTCGTCGCAACATCCACCTCTTGGAATACACTCTCCATTAGCCACCCGACTCCGGTTTTGATGTTCCAGGGCGTCATATCGAACTGGCGCTGTTGGTAGACGGTCATAAGGGCGGTTTTGCCATCGTTGATTGGCATAAATTCGTGCATATCACTGGATGCCATTCCGCCGCCGGGTTGGACGGATCGCACAATGCGGTATGTGTTATCCATGATAATGCCATGTCCGCGACAGTATCCCTTCTGTTGATTTCCTTGGAAGAAGCACAGGTGGTCTGCACCCTTATATTTACATACATGGATTCCGTGGGCATTACCCGGTCCAGATACACCCCAGCCGCTCCATACTAGCTCCTGTTGTTCAAAACCGAGGTTTCCAGTCAGCGCTTTCCGGTTGAATGTAGTCGCAATCGCGTTTGGGATATTGGGATATCAATCATACTCCTTGGTTATCGAAGATGTAAGGGCCGGGGTTCTGAGCCTCATAAGGAGTGATAAATATATAGCCAGGGCTCAGCTTCTCAGTGTCGACATGTTGAATTTTGAAGATCGGAGGATAGATATCAGGTCTCTGTTATACCGGGAAAGATGAGATGATTAGACAAGGGCTAAAATGGCGTGATTGGTATGCAGCGATCAACGTACCGACTTGTAGAAAGCAACCGGATCCTCTGCTACTACGCCAAGGACATAAAGTAGAAGACCTAGGAGCAAGGCTAGGGAGGGAGATGTCCTCCTTGAGGAAGAGATGGTGGCGACCATGGATCCTCCTTCACATCACTCCACGGTAAGAAGGAACCAAAATCAAACACCCAAAGGGAAGGGATTAAAGTAAGGATAGGGAGAGAATCAGGAGTTAGAAGTACAGATATGCAAGGAGAGATGAAGTCAAGAATTCATCGAAGAGAAAAGGTTACGAGGCCGGTCCACCAAACTGTCACCAGCGGAGTAGCAGTGAGTGGAGAGCCAGAAGGATTGACGATTGGATGAACCGTGGCATGGTCTACGATAAAGCCGCGCGATAAGTTATCGCCCCATGAATAAGGAATTGCCAAGAGAGCCAAGTTCTGTAGCTTGAAGTTACTCGTTAGAGGCTTGATTGATATATTGATGTTTAATTTTTATATCTAGTGGAACAATATGAATAAGTAATATGGATTACTGGATAGAAGAATTCCAATATGATCATGAACCTTGGAAGACTCTTCAGGATTGTACAACGATCTTCCTCTCATCTCTCTCATCCATTTGAAACTTTATGTGGTGTTACAATACCGTACTGGTAATTCTTTTCCCCTGCCCCAGGCCACGTCATACACATTTGACTGGCGCAGAATCATTTTTTGGAACTAAAATCCAGATTTTCGTACTGCAATGGCGTATGCACCCTGAATCAATAATTACAATTCATCATCCACTGATCATCACCGTTCATTTCAACTTTGATATACATACGCCACACTAGAATCCACATGTTCGTGGCTAACCAGAATCAGAGTATTCTAATTTCTGATTCTGGTACTCCGTAATCTGGTATCGTAGTACCCGGGGCCTAGTATAAACTCGCATGTTGTACGCGCAGACAAGGTCTAGATTGCATACGCAGGTGATGCAAGCCAAATCTATTCTAACACGGCCCACTCAAGCCTCAGCTCACAGAGTTGCACCCTGCTTCATTAGGTCCATTAGTCTGTTTCCGGTTGACCCCGTCTTCCATTGAATAGATATTCCACATATCAATGCAAACGGAACAGGGTCCAAGCACCCCATTAGGGTACCGCCAGATCAAAATGCTGATAACCTTTGAATAAGCCCAAACAGGTTCGGAGTATTGTCGCTGAGGGGTCTTTTAACCCCGCTTTAATTTTCTAGAACACTAGCTTGGGAACACATGTTTACCCGGGCCCCATAGCACCCGTGTCTAGTATGGAGCACTTGGTACGGAGGCATGGATGAGACTCGGAGAAGAATCCTATACGTACTACATCCTATGTAGTACTAGTAGCAGGACAAAACAAATTGTACTCCGCACAGACTGGTTTTACTATTCAAAGTAATTGATACTAGTAACTACGCAAGCTGAATGACGTTGCCCTTTTCGACGAATCACCTTCCACAATTAGAGCATAGGAGTACCTGCGTACGCTCTAAATCACCGCCGGTACTTTTGCCTACATAAGCGCCGACTAGAAATAGGACCCTTGAAGACAAGGCAGTTTCAGTTTTATTGAATAAAATGAGAATAAGAATAAGAGTCTTCAAATCAAAATTAAAAAAAAGAATATGTACTCCGTGATAGACCCTGATCAACAAAAGCAAAATTGCTGGTAAACTTGAACCTTCCTCACCTGGGCAAGTCACGGTTCTGACTAAGTCGGTGGGTCCTGCCAAGCCGCTAGTTGGGCCAAGCAATCTCCGAGTCAGTGTTACGAGTACGAGTTCTACTTGTATTAAACATTTGAACCCCTTCAAAGAGGATCCCAGGGTCCTAAGAAAAAGGGACTCAGGGTCGTGGGTCTCTTTAAAACTGATATTCGGAGACTATACGGAGTAAATATGTGCCAATTAGAAGTCAGCTATATCAATGGTCCCAGGTTGTACAATAGCTAGTTCACTATTGAGCCCGTGCAATGGAACGTGCTCACGGCATCTCAGCGCTATAGGGCGGAATAATTATCCCTTTTATACTACTAGGTAGTATCAATAGGTGGACTACTAGTACATGGAATACAGCTTGTGTAGCACTCAAGTGCTTACTATGGTACAGTGAAAATGGTTTTCAAGTCCAAATTTGAATATTCTCTAAAGTACATGAGACCTACATCCCTTGCTTAAAACTGGAAGGATCGTTATGTAAAGGTTGTCATTTTTGTATTTCATTCCTCGGCGAGGATTCTCCAATGTGCCTTGCTCTTCAAACCAATGCAAAAATAGTAAATCTTGTACCAGGAATGACCGAAACCGGTTTCCAACCCAAATGAAAGATGACAAAAAGTAAATAAAAACAGATGTATATATGTACTGCAAGAATTACCAACGGGATGTAAATTCTTGCAACCTCGTCAGACAGTAAAGGGGAATATTATAGAGACCAATAAACAGATGATAGAATGTGACCAATCCAGAAAAGAGAAAGCAGACTGGATCACGAAAAAAAAAAGTTACATCCTCCAGTATGCGCCTGCACAAACTGAAGGGAGTAATTAAAAGAATGTCGCCCAATGATGTAAGGGCTTTTTTAGTTCTTTTATGAAGGATGAAGGATGATTTAGCGAACGAAGCGCTTCCAGGCCATGGTGGCAGCAAAGCCAGTAGCCAGGAGAGTACCACCAACAGTGACAGCTTGCAGAGCAGCGTTCATTATCTGGTGGCGGTTACGGGTGCTGCAGCGCTTGTAGAAGTCGGCCATGTCGTTACCGCGGGGGAAAGCGGTGTCGGGAACCTCCTCCTCAAGGAACTCGCACAGGGGACCCCAGCCGTCGTTGATGTTGTACTCCAGAAGGCGATCGGCGGGAACCATGCTGCGGACCTCAGCAACGTGGTCATTGTAGACCTCCTTACCATGAGTAGGGAAGTCACCACGGAAGAAGGTCTCGAAGAACTTGTTAAGCATGGGGTAGTACATGCCAGCGGCCCAGCTGAAGTTGGAAACGAACTTGTGCTCGGGGTCACTGACACGCCAGAAGACGGTCTTCATAACGGACCTATTGAGATATTAGCTGGGTTGTCTTTTTTTTCTGTGTTTTCTGTATTTTCTGCAACAGGGCGAACATACGCGTGCCATGGGTCAACATCACGGGTGGTCAGAATGACCTTAGCATTGGGGTAGGCCTCGATCAACTCCTTGGCGAAAGCACAGGCGGGCCAGTCGCAAACAGCCTGGCAGTCACCCAGAAGCTGATCCCATTCCTTACGGCCGAACTCGCCAATACCCTTGTACTTAGCGTTCAGGGCATCGTGCCACATAAGACAATCAGGCGGGTTCTCAACACTAGCACACATCATGTGGTAGCACTTTCCGTAGCCCAGACGCTCAAGAGCCTTGCGAAGAGCTAATTTGCGAAACAAAAACCAGTCAGTTTATTTGCAATTGGAGCAAAGCTACAGCTTCACTTTGATCCAAACTCACAGGCAGTACCAGTGCGGCCAACACCCAGAGCCAGCACCTTCATGGGCACAGTGCGGTGGCACTTGCGACGGTCAATGTTGGTGTCATCGGTGAAGACATCAGTCATGGGCTGAGGAGCCAGGTTGTCCGAAAGCATGAGAGACATGATGGGCGTATAGGTATATGAATTTCGAGGAATGAACTATACAATCGCAACAACAAAAAGCTCTTGAGAGAAGGAGAGAGTGAAAGATATATAATGAAATGAAAAAAGGGGTGGGAGATCCAAGTGGATAAATAAACCAAAAGAAGGGACAGACAATCGAAAAGGTCTAGAAGGGATAGGGTGAATGTAGTGCTATGGGGAAAGAAACAAAGAGGAAAAAAAGGGAAAAAAAGAAATAAAATACGCTGATCCTCAAAGATCGATTAGAGCCGATAAGTTGCCAGAGTGGAACATCTGTCAAGAGGCGCGTCGCCAATCAAATCAAGCGAACCATTCTTCCATAATTCCAAGGGCGATTGACCCCCGCGAGTGGCGATGTTTCCGCTCGTTCCCCCCTCGGCGGCTGCTAAATTGCTGGTGGCTTTTGTTCAATAAGCCCCTGGCGCTGGGCTCTAATTTTTTCCACTTATTTATTTTTGGGGCGCATATCTGAATCAATCCACGTACACTGACGACGTCGTCAAAATTTTTTTTTCTTTTCCCATGCGAGTGTACGGAGTTCTCCATACAGAATATTCCCTCAAGGGTATGATCAACGGTAATGGAGGCGCAGAGGGACAAGACGTCACAGGCTGACGCAGGGATGTCAGGGATTGTCAGGGGGTGGAGTTTCTGTAATGGTTATGACAGTGAAATCTTCGTACACGCCAGCGCCAAGCCATCCACGTAAACTCGGTAATGGAAAATTGTGTTGCGAGATGATCTTCCAGATAAAAACCCATCAATTTCCAGTTTCCAGTTTTGTGATTCCGGGTCTGAAGGAGACGATCCGTGCTTTTGGCATTCATGATTGGGTGGAAAGCGGGGAAACGCACACGCGTCCACAGTGGGGAATGCGCCTCTGAAACGGATGCGTGGTTTGAGTCGAGTAATGTACGATGAGTAGAAAAAACAGAATAAAAAGAAATAAATAAAACTTGAAAAAAAAGAAAATGTTAAATGTAACAAGAATTATGGATCGTATTGGGAAGTTTGAAAGATATCACATTTCAAAGATATTTCCGGCTTTAACTTCACATGGATTCAAGTTTGAAGGTTATCTGTAACCATGAAAATGGTACTTCCTTTGTGTATGGAGAGTACTTCGTACCTCGTATACTCAGTCTTCTGGAAGGCAATCCAATATTCCCCGTAGCCCGTTGTCCGTGGAATGCCCTCAACCTTGAAACTGGGACTTTGAACTTTCAAAGCCGATCCTCATTCATCTGGGCCCAGGGAGACATGTCGATTGGATCCAATATCCCGTTTCATAACAATAACCCAGTGGCGCTCCACTAGCTCCGCGAATTGATTGCAATTGAGCTCCCGCTTGTTCATGGTCGAGACCAACACCAACGGACCAACGTTTCCCTCTCCGGCCAAGAAAGATCCAACTCAATAAACCCGACCCCTATACGGAGTAAAGTGATGATCAACATTTCCTTGGTCTCCTCCAACAGGGGTATCAGGTATCGACTTCGGTCTGTGATAAGCGGGGCCTCATTACAGTTGATTGTTTGGTGGAGGCTGTGTAGGGAGAATTCGCGGATAGTTGCAGTTTGTCTGTATGAGTATCCAATGAGTCGCAGTAGTGTCACATAACGTAGGTCTTTTGCCGAGGATTGTTCGAGTGAACTGATCAAGACTCGTGTCCCTTGTTCGCCCGGGCTAGGAGATCGTCCCGTCTCCTGGGGCGTACCCGCTCAGTTCAGGGTCGTTGAGAATCAGTGGTGGATCAGCGATGGTGTTGTGAGTTGAACTGAGTTGAGCTGAGTGTTTTTAGTTCTGTAAATCCCTGAAATGTTAGAGATCTGTCGTAGTTAATACCTGTTCAGTTAACGACTGGCGGTGGAGTACTCGTTAGTTAATACGAGTACTCTCAAGTAAAGCGCTGTTCGTCCATATCAAGCGAATGATGCCATCCCGAGAATGTCATGGTGTCTCTCAGGTTCCCATCACTCTGAACTCAAGATATAATCCTAAATTCAGTTGGAACAACTGAGAAGAAAACACCAAGACAGAAAAAAAGGGGCTCAGGGTCCCAAAGAACATTCAGGGTCCTGCAGGGAGCAAGGCTGATTATATGGTTAATGCCAAGACCTCGACATGATGTTCGCCATCGATGAGGGCAATCACCTCACGCGGGGCCAAGTCGGGTTCCAGAACCGAACCATGAGGTTGAAATTGACATTTGGAACCCAATCTGAGCTTAAGGGGATCTTGCTCCAGTAATAGCATATTTGATCCTCCGATCCCCGCCTGGAATGTGTTGGCGGCAATGATTTCGGCAGTTAGATCAGGCGCCTGCGTTCTTGTACAAGCACTGATGGGATGCCTGATTCAGGGTCCTTCCAGGGTCCATTGTCCAGCCCAGGAAGTGAATACGATATGCAGGTCTTGGCATAGCCTTGCAGATTGGTTATTGATTTCGACATCCGCCCTAAAGTAGTGGCATGTCCGGCGGAAATTAACATTTTCAATAATCATGTCTCAGAGAGCCGACAGCTGCACATGTGTGTGATATCGATCTCACTACTCCGATTTCCACAAATGAAAATAATGATGATAATAAAAAGGAGTATATTATTGATAGACTCCGCCTTGGAAATTTGAAACTCCCAAACTCCTTATCCCATAGTAAAAGATGTATACGCTGCTGATGCTTTCCCATCCAAAGAATCAAGTCCGCCTGCTATTCGGTTCAGACCGCAAATCGTCCTCACTCCAGTTTATCCAGATGTTCTAGTCGCGTGAGCACGACTTGTTTGCTGGTTTCTTCAATCTCGCCGGCGAGAAAGACCTCGTCTAGGATAGCGTAGACCTAAGTATACATCTATTAGTATTCCGTCGGATATATGTTGTAGCCCTCCCAATCATACCTTGTAGAAATTGAACACCAGGTCCAATTCACATACATTGCCAAAGAACTGATCTAGAACCTCGACAAAAAAGTGGATGGCTTCCAGGTAGGCCAGTTCATTATCATTGGCATCGACACAGACGCAGAAGAATAGACCCGCGTATCGTCGGTAGACAACTTTGGTACTGCGCCGGAATTCCACAAAATTTGATTGGTATTTCTGATCTCGAGGAGCGACAAGGCGATGGACCTGCGCGGAGGGCGGACGTTAGTTGGTCATGATTCGAGTGCGGAACGTTCGTAGTGCCTGGGTGGACAAACCTCGCCCTTGAGCTTCACTTTCTCTTCATCCTGATAAAGAATTAGTATCCTTTTTCTTCCAAATGAAGAATCGCAGTACTCACACTGTATGGAGCGTACCATTTCGCCAGTCGTGTTTTGCCCCTATATCGTCTGTCAGGCTTGGACCGCGCACTCCTCTCCATAGACATACTCACTGGCGATTTTGAACGAGAATAAATGAGAGGACCATCTTGACTAGTAGATCACCTGGATAGCATTGAGTCTTGCTGGCTTGATCGCGCGACTTCGAGAGGTTCTCCGCGGTCCCTGAAGCTCCCCTCGTTATACTGCCTCTCCTCACCGCCATTTACTATCAAAGTGGATCATAGGTGGCCATTGAGAGAACCAGTTATAGAGTAGACAAGGAGCAAGGGATATGCCCTCAAGTTTTTTTAAGAAAAAGAAGTCGGCTAAATTGAACACTCAGAAATTTGCAGACAAGATCACCAGTAGTCACATAGATCAAAGGAAAATACTTTCAACAATCACAGACTATCAACAAGCATAAGGCATGGAACTCGTCAAAATCCAATCACAATTTCGCTCCAACAGCACTTGAGGGTAAACCTGCACCTCAAGAGCTAAGAAACTAGCAAGAGGGTCATTAATTCATACGCAACATATTCAATCACTCTAGGACTGGAGCGAAGAGCATGTTGCAAGGGGATCCGGGAAGTTTCTAAGCTATGATGTGCTCATACGATTCCAAAGTCTTGTCAATCGAGTCTATGCGGACCAGTTAGCATTCAGCATTCCACACCGTCTCCCACTTTATGAACAGGAGGTGAGAAAATAACAATCAAAAAAAGAAATATCCGAACAGAACATACCGTATAGCTTTGCGGGGTACTCGGTTCAGTCATAGTCTCCGAAGGCGCGACCGACTTCTCATCAGTGTAGCTCTCCTCATCATAATATTCCTCCTCACTATCATCATCTGAAGGTGGATAATACCGTTCAGGGTCCCCATTGTAAACCATAAACCAGCCAATCTTCTCCTCAGGTGCCAAGCGATTGCGCAATTCTTCCAACGCCTCCTCCTGATCCTGCGTTAAACCCGATCCCTGTTCAACACAATCCTGAATATTTAATCCAGAATCCTCGGAAGATCCATCTTCGGGGATAGTCAAGACTCTAGATGCCACATAGGCGTGTTCCTGACTGACGGTATTACTGGACTCGTCGTACGGGTCATATTGCTCGATGAAGCGTAGTTCAGGCAATCGCGACACCAGATCTGGTTGTGTTTTTTGGAACGACTCGTTGATTAACTCCGTCGTAAGTGGTTGCTGGATGTATTCCGCGGCTGCCTCTTCCAAGTTATGCAGCACGACGTATACCCGGATTCCTGTGAAACCTGCACGAGGCCACCGGAAACCGTGGACCATGTAAACGGGCATGGTGGGAATTTATAGATGGGAACGGAGGGATCAACGGCGATTGGGGGAGGAATAAATGAGGAGAAGGAGCCTAGTAAGAGTCGGCTATAGTTGGAATGTAGATTTGGAGAGGATCGGAGGGTTGGTCAAATTTGGCATATTAGGAGTGCGACATTGTTGGGGGGAGAAGAAGAAAAAAAAGAAGAGAAGAATCTCGTGTTGGTATCTGACTGTGATGCATCGAATCGAGATCGGATTTTAGACCTTAACCCGAGTAGGAATGGTTCCACCTTTTTAGTTCCAACGGCCCGCGCGACTACCGACATCTCGCATTTGACACTTGCCTTGCATTTCTATCTTGAAAGAACCCAGGGATTTGGTATTATGCAGGTCACTTTGTGGGTCCTAATTTGTAGCATCGTGGTCTAGGTTATGTATGCATTTCTCTTGCCCTCAACCTTGGAAGATTTACCTTATCGTAGAACCATTATTCAAAAATCATGATAGAGAACGCCGTTTGTTATGTCTAAAATATTCGGTTCTCTTCCAAACAATCTTGGGCCAAGTTTCCTAGAGTGGTGGAAATTGAGCAGTGTGACAAGTTGTAAATCGGACTGACTCAATACACAAAGGTAGTACAAAACATGAGGGAAATCCTGGACCCTGAAAATGCAAGGCTGAAAGATCAAGTCGAGAAAAAGCAAAAAGAAAAGTGGGAGGGAAAAAAGGTAGTGAACCACCTTAAGTGGAGATGATCACCTAGATTGAGGCTCAAGGCTTTCTCTTCAGGTCTGCAAACCGCCTGGTCAACTCGTCCAACTCGGGGATTCCATTATTGCTTTTTGCGGGAGCGGCGGATTCCTGTTTGGGAGGATTGATCCCCTTCTCCTCACCGGGCACTTTGACCCGGGGATTTGGATTGTCCGTTCTAGGAGCAGGTGGTGCTACACTGACTGGACTGCGGCCTGTAGCAAGACCGCGAGGAGGCGTGGCTTTGTTCAATTCGCTAGTCTCGGATGCCCGCCGTGCTTCAGAAAAGCTGGGCTGATCTCGTTGTTTACTCGGTGTCTGTGGAAGATCACCACTTTCATCTTGGTCATCGACGAACTCTGGTGGTGCATCGCCAAGCGCCTGCTGCACCTCGGGCTCTTCGCTCACTCCCCATGCAACCCCGTATGCTTTCGCAATTTCTTGTAAGTAGCTCTCGACAAGTTCCTGTCCTGGTGGACGAACTCGCAATGCCCTGAGAAGCCGATCAGGAACTTTGACTGAATCGATTTTGTTTTCTTGTGCCAGCGCCATGAACTCCTTGCCATATCGCTCTCCGAGCATAGTCCGAAGCATCGTCAATTCGCGCAGCTCATGAGGGAACCGATGCCAGGCGTAGAAGATAACAACAGCAGCTTCGTCTAATGCAGTATCCATGTAGGCATTCTCTTCCTCCGATAGCACGATATCTTCGGTACCGCCAGATGCGATCGGGGCCTCCTTCTTTTGCGATCCTCCTAGCCACGAGAACCCGAATCGGGACCCAGTGCTTTCTACTGGTTTCGCTGCCGTAGAAGTCGATGCCGCATTTGAAGCTTGTGTTTGTCGCTTGTGTAGTTCCTTGGCGCGCAATCTGGCGCGGGTACCCTTCTCTCCGAACGCGAGCTGGTCTAGCACATTGGCGCGCGCAAGTAATAACTCGCAGTACAATTCCACCATCTCCATGGCTTCCACGGCAATATCGGTCGCGATCACATTTTCGACACGGATGCGTGCGGAGGCATCGCGTCCTTCGCTAAGGAGTTGGGAGAGCTCGCGGCGTTGGACGACAGAGGAGGCGTTGTCCTTCTTCTGCGAGAGGCGGAGACGCGGGATAAGGAGGCGTAGTGTTGACACTAATCTTGTCTTTGGTTCAATATTAGCTTAGTTTACACACTTTTCTTGTGAATCTCGACTTCGAGTACACTGCAAACGAATATGCAATCGGGAATGATAACAATGCGGGGTAAGCTCCAGGCAGCAAGTCTGAGGAAGAGGTCATGGTGCCAGGAACTTTGTGCAAATTTGAGTAATCAATGGGTGTGAATATCTGAGAAACTCACCGTTTGTGCTGAAGGAGGCATTTTGGTGATGTCGAGGGGATGACTGGAGAAGGGATGTTGAGGCGGGGTGGATTTCAAGTTGGGGGCATGAGGCGGCATCTCCACTTCTGGCTCCGCATCTACATAATGCACAGTAGGCAACCTTGGAAGAGGGATGAAGTGATCCTTGTCAAATGTTGAGTTGTTTATTCTTACTGGAAATCTAAGATCCAAGACATGTAACGCAGGGGTGTGTATTTTCATAATGTGGTGGTTCGCCAATATTGCTGTCGTTAGTGGTTTGGCTCTCGTTCAAGTTCAAGTTGCTGGACACGCTATTTATACTGTGCTTGGGTACCTAGGTAAAGTCATATTTACTCTATGCTTCATACTAGTCTATGCCAGTGAGAGGAGCTTGAATTGGGGCCCAATTCATAGTTATTATAATCATTATCTGATTCCTTTGTCATTCCTAAAAGCAACCCTGGAAGAATTTCTGAAACTGATAAGCGTCAATAGCAATTTGATTGTCCTCTTGTCAAGCCATTCCGATCAAATTTTAGCTAAGTTCAATCATTTACTAGCATGTTGAATCTTATCGAGCGGGTTTGCAGCGCAATTACCAAGAACGCCCCATGTTGCAACTCGAACGAGACGGTGCCTAGGATTGTTAAGCATAATTGCACGACATTTCTTTTTCAATGCTTCCTTATCCTTTTCGGGAATCTTAAAGCCTCGAGCTTCACAACAACAGCTGCATTCAGCAGTGCAATGTCCAACTCCTAGTTTCCGTGTAGGAGAAGGTTCGCGACTATAACAGCATCCACATCCACGGGAACAGCAACCATTCCTAGAAGCACAATCTTCCTGAAGTATTTGATGCGTGTACCATTTTGGATCAGAGCGCCAAAAATCAAACGCGTTGCGCTCATATCCATCTCTTAGGGACGAATGATAATGCCACCACTCTTGCTCCGAGAGCCAATATTTCTTGTTCAAAACCTCAAGCCTCTCTTTAGCTTGAGTATCCTTTATACCCTCCTTTCCTAGGATAGAGAGTTCAAGTTTAATTGATATTTCTTCTTGAACAACTTCTCGGAGATCTTCCTCAACAAAATAAAGGTGATGTGAGGTATAACGACTCGGACTTTCCAACTCGGAATTATTGAAAAGATCCTGAACATATTGTGTTAGGCGATATCTTTGAAGGATATTTATATCTCCTGATCGCTCATGTTTCTGTTCTGTAGTATCTCTGTCGCCTAGAATTTTGTACTTGCGTGAAAATGCTTTATCAGGACTCGCACTGGCTGGTTTGCTTTTTTGGTCTATGTTATCACTTTGCCCCTGGAACTCGGTCACGGTGTCGTCTCTTGTGATTGACGGCGAAAATAGCGCATTTCTGAGGGAACTTCAAATGTTGAGTATACCCGTGATTATGGATTGGAACCTTCAAGTTGGAATGTTCGAGTAAATATTTCTTCTTCCGAGTGTCATTACTAGTAAGTGCCAGTGAACATTTGAAGTTCCAAGTCTCTGCCAGTGCAAGATAGTCATTCAATCTATTTAACTTAAGAATGATTTAATCATTACTCCGTACACCTAGTTAACTAGTACTATCCCCTATTTGGCGACGGGAATCATAAATCAAAGGTTCAGGTCCAAATCTTGGAACTTCCTAAGGTTGGAACTTGGGGGCATCAGAGTTTGCTGACATGATCAACACGGGATCATGGATGACACCACAAGAACAACCTTACCTATAGGACAAGAACCACTGCACTACTCGCAATGAATCAGCGAAATATTGAGCCATGCTGGACATGTCGCAATCGGCGAATTCAATGTGATCAGACCTGTACACCATGCAAGAAATGCCAGAAGGCCGGATTGGAATGCTTTGATAAGAGGCCCTTTCGATGGGTCAAGGGTGTTGCTATTCGTGGCAATATGCGAGGTCGCTCATTTCAAAATAATACCGAGTCTTCGAGTGAGGATAATGATAATATGATATCTGTCTCCGCGCGGGTCAAGCCTGCGACGAACTCCGAGTCGGAGTTCCATTCGCACCTGCATTTCAATGGTATGTATTTATCTCATGAGCATTCTGAAGCTTCGCCGCTCATCTGGCACTTTTTCACACGCTGACTTCGACCTAGATTTACCTGTTAGCTCGATGTCTTGTCCAACGGGGTTTCTCCAGGATCCGTTGCTCGGGAATTTGGACAGAGTATCCCGATATTATATCGATTATTGTGAGCATCAACCCTCTTAAAGCCAAGAGCACCGGAATTTAACCATCATTTCAGATAATGAACGCATATGCAAACTTTTCATCGTATATGACAGTGACCGAAATCCCTTCAGAAGCCTCATCCCCTTGGGCCTGAAGGACCCAGTTCTTCTGAAGTCTCTCCTTGCACTTGCTGCTCGGCACCATGTGAATACAGGGAGATCTTTCCACTACGCAAATCTTCCCACAGAGCCCGGCCTAATCAATGCAAATCGGGATGCTCTCTCATTTAAACACCAATCCATAGAGGCATTATCGCGCTCAGTGCAACATGACCAATTGCGCAATCAAGACACAACAGTCGCCAGCATTTTCCTTCTGATATTCCTGGATCTGATAGAATCTGGTGGAGACGGCTGGAACTTTCACCTTGAAGGCGTGAAGAAATTGATTACGTCTCTATATTCTCAATCAGAACTTCAAGCTGGTGTCAACTATGGACCCGGTGAGACTGTGCAAGAGATTCGGGGATTCATCACCAACCAAATCCATTTGTGAGTCATGCCAGAGTGGTACATCTTCAAATTTTATCACTCATAGTTTTTAATAATATTGATAGAATTGAAACTCTGGGGGCAACTTTCTTGCGTCCAAAATTACTATCACAGTTCAGCTCATTTGGTCAGCAAGAACTGCAACTCCAGGAAACCGTTGAGAAGTCGTTCCTTGGGTGCCCAGAGTACATTTTAACAGCTATCCAATGTCTTTCGGTGCAAAGAGATAGCATCTCAAGTTCTGCATCACTTGATTTAGCCACAGTTGCCTCACATATAAGAGAGACGGAATATTTGATGCAATTTGTGCAAAACTTTGATTGCTATGCCTGGGCCTCAAATCTGCAACGTTCTCGAAATCCTTCAGCCCAGGAAGTTTCCAACTTATGTATACTTTCCCAGTCCTATAAGCTTGGGACCCTATTATATGGAAGAAGAATCCTCGATGCATTGATCAAGGAAGAGAGTGTGCAAGATGAACTGATCTCCGAATTATTGGGCCTCATTGATTCTTTAAAGGATGATCCAGATTTATTCAAATGCATTCTGTGGCCAGTATTCGTCGCTGGGTTGGAATGCAAATGGCAAGCCCAGCGTGATTTTCTCATTGGTTGTCTGGAGAGATTTTGGACATTGACAAGTTGTTTAAATGCTGTTAATGCAGCCAAGATATTACGGGATCACTGGCAGGAGAAGGACTCCGAGTCGTCAAATAATCCCAAAACACAGTGGATTTTTGACATTGGTAAACTAGGTCGGGACTGGCTTTGGATTTGAGATTTATCATGCTCTATACCCACTTCATTATTCATTTCAACTATATCATTTTCAAGTTTGAGACTCTCGCTCTGTATGGTTCTCAAACTTGAAGGAGAGATTGGAATGCCTGGAGCAGGTCATTCTTCAAGTCTTCCCAGTTCTCTAAACCAACACTGATCCTCAACAATTTCCGGTCCACTCGAGGGTCAGACAATGCCCGCCACTCAATCAAAGACTCAACACCACCAAGGCTGGTCGCATGCTGGAAATAATGCAGCTTACTCGGCAGATGCTTTGCGTGATCTTCCCGCTGTAAAACAATAGAGAACACCGGTCCAAAGCCATTAGGCATTTGCTTCTTCAACCATGGCTCATTCTGAAGACTGGCATGGTAGATCTTCTGAAGTACGGCCTGCACAACAGCTCCTTCGGAGCCCGGAGCTGGTGACGGGGCACACTGAGCACCATGAAGCCACGAAATCAATTTCGCCGAATTCTGACTTGCGCGTTCTACACGAACCTCAAGAGTTCTCAAACTTCGCACCCCGAGCCAGCTTTCCATGTTTCCAAGGACATTCCCCAGAGCTAGGCGGTCTTCGAAAAGTTGTTTTGTCCAGTCTGCACGCTTCGTCGCAAGAGCACCACAAAGGAGGTCACTGTGACCACCAAAGTACTTGGATCCTGAATGCATGACAATATCCGCGCCCCATAAGAAAGGATCTTGTAGGCTGGGAGGTGCGAAAGTACTATCCACGATCAAGTATGCACCTCGCGAGTGTGCCTTCTTGGCATATTCTTCGATACTGAAAGCCGTACCCAAAGGATTGATGGGTGTTTCGAGGAGAATGACATCTCCTTCATTCAGATCCTCGGGTGGGCAATCGAGACTGAGTTTTTGAAGTCCCGAGAGCCGAGAGACGACTGCAATTACTTCATGGCTACCGTGGTAGCCCTCGCCTACTGAGATCCGGCGAGGGTTCAATAGTGTTAATGCAGCGTGTAGAGCGGCGAGACCAGTGGCGTAGCACACCGCATGACCCTTCAGAAGTGATGATAGGATAGCTTCGAAACGGGTCTGGTTCGGTGCAAATTCACGAGAGTAGACGAAGTTTGTTCCGTCGAATTCCGCCTGAACGGGTCATGGTTAGCTAAGGCTCACGGCTTGATTTATTGAATAGACATACAACTGGATCTTCGGATACGGTCAACTTGTTAGGGTCGCTTGGATATCGGAAAATGGTTGACAGGTGGAGTGGAGGTGCAACGTCGGTCACCAGGTTCAAACGATCATCGGCGTGAAGTGCCTGAGTCGCTTGATGTTTATTCTCAACAGAGGACATTCTGAACTGACTGGAGTGAAAAGAAGGATTCTTTTGATTTTTTTTTCGACAGAAGCCAGACGGATCTGAATTTATAGTCGGCGGATTCAAATGTTCACGCTTGACCCCATCTTCAGACTCGGACCCACTCCCGTCAAGTTCCTAAAACGGTCATATGGAGTCATGGATAGATTTGGTTAAGCCAATCAAGTTGACATTATTGATCCACCTATATATGATCCACTCCGTTTAAATGCCCGCTTCAGTTTAGTTTTCAAATACTTGTGATCTTAAGGGCGTGAGAGAAAATTTATAGATCTCGGTGGGAGTGGTCAATAAAGCTGAAAAGTAAAAATCCCATGTCCGAATTGGAGGCGAAATCCAGGGAGGAATGGTATTGTTCGAATTTGATTTGATATTCATTACTAATTTGAAAGACTCATAAGGTGTTCGTACAAATTGTTCACAGCTGCCATAGCGCTTGCAGTTTGTGCCTGACGTGTCGCAGCTCCAATATGAGGCGTACTAACGACATTCAGATTCCCCCACAAAGGTCCATACTTCTCAAAACTTGGTGGCTCTTGCTCATGACAATCCAATCCAGCTCCCCAAAGATGGCCTTCAGCAAGAGCCTTGGTCAAATCGGCCTCGTTGACAATCCCACCCCTTGCCGCGTTGATCAGAATTGCATTCTGTTTCATTGATTGAATCTCCTTGTAGGAAATCAAGTCGCGGGTCTCATTTGTTAAAGGAACATGCACAGAGAGAATATCGGCATTTTTAATGACCTCTTGGACATCCTGAACTCTCTTATGCTCGAGATGTGGCCAAGCATTGTCTGGCATGAAGACATCGTAAGCAATGATATCGGCATCGAAAGCTCCACGGAATATCTCCGCAACTGTTCGCCCAATATTTCCCATGCCAATGATACCAAGAGTCTTCTTGTAAAGGGTAAGCCCGTTGCAAGTTTCCTTGGGAACTGGCTTGATCATCTGGCGGGTCGTGATGGACCGAATGTCTCGAGCAATTGTTATGGTAAGAGCAAGGACTAGTTCGGCGACATCTCGCGCATTGGCACCTGGTGTATTGCAGATCTTGATGCCACGCTTCGCACATGCATCTTGGTCGATCTTGTCAATGCCGACACCGTGCTTGCCAATAGCCATTAAGTTGGGACAGCTTGCAATATCGTCCGCGGTAAGGTATGATCCTCGAATCAACAGGGCCGAGGCGTTTTGACGCCACTTAGAGAATCCACTGTCTCCGGGTTGAATGACATTGAAGAGGGTTTTCGCGTGGGCAAGGGCCTCCTCATTCCATGCATCAAGAATGTATACAGTAAGCTTGACCTCAGAGCTGATGGTTGAGTGTGGCTCGTCCCCATTGTCAACAATACCTGGCGCCATAATGTAGAGAAAAGTCAAGCGACTTATATCAGATTCGGATGATATTATCGAGTAGACATTTGCGCGTTGCCGTTCTGATATAATTCGGTCAAGCTGAAGAGGTGTACTATACATCGGAACTTCGCCGTCGGACACTCTCCGTCGGTCGTCCGATACTATAAAGATATGGCCCACTTTTCGTGACCTGCATCACTGACTAGTCACGACTCATCGCAAACGTTCGACTATCAGGTCTCTAGTGCCATCCGGAACCATCGGCGGGATTTCATGGATGATTGGATCGATTTTCGGATTGCCCGAGACAGCATCGGAGAGAGCCCAAAGCACTCGTCGGAAGACCCTTAGACCGACAAATCTTTCCCCAACTGCGGTCAACAGAGCTGTACACTTGTTTTGAGCGCCTAAGTCTGCAAATGAGTTGGGGGATTCTCAGTGAGGCAGATAATAATACCTGCTGTGAATATATCATGTGCTTCCACAAATCCACCACTGAATTCACCGCGCTCGGAGCTTCGATACTCATCCTCAATATACTCCGAACAGGTTGCGATGATATCCTTCGTTATGGCTTGAGAGTCATGGATCATACTCGGCTCAATGTGCGTGGAACCGATCGACTTCAACATCTCGACCATGGCTCTGCTTGATAGTTGCATAGCGAATTTTCGACTGAAATTTGAATTAGAGGCTTGCACCTTGGTGCCTCGAAATGAATCTCTCCAGTAACATATGTTGCTATAGTGAAAGAGAACGCTATTTGATGCCCCATCACGAACTGTTGACATAAGCCTAGCATGTGCTATAGACTTGCGTGCCACAATGTTTTTCATACTGGATGAACCATCCAGATATTCTTCAGGGCTCTGATTGCGAATGATATAAGTTTCTGATTCATATTGCTGTGACTCTGCGACATCGGGAGAGACACTTACGGGTACGGTGATCTCATGATCCTCAATGTTAAACGGTCGGTCCATTATTGTGCTTACTGTTCTAGGCGACGTTAAGAAGATTTTCATCAGTCACAAGGTTCAAGTTTGAGGGCTTACCGGTCAATGCTATAGAGACTCCAGAAGATATTACGTCGCATAAGGAATGCATGAGAAGGTATAGTACCCAAAGATTCCGGGTCATTGTGGAATCTGAAGGCAATTGCCTTTTTCATTGCCAACCCAACGAGATGCCATGTCGATCCGCCCTGTGGACTTTGCATCGAGTAGAGGGCCAAAGACAACATGCAACTTAGCATTTCAATCCTATTGCCAGACTTCATGATTGCTGGGAGCAGTTTCGAAGCTTTTCGGTAGAGGGCACCAGCAAGTCCTTGAAGGGCTCCTGAATCCTGTGAGACTAAGACGCCTGTAGCTACATAAATATAGACAACAAAAATCTTTGCATCGGGTATTGAGATAATGTCATCTGACAAAGTAGAAGAGTTATTGAATATAGCATCAAAATCCGTCCGTAAATCCTTCGAATCAATGTGGAGGAATTGTGATCCTATTGTTTGAAGGAAGGTAGTGAGGAAAGGTGCAGCTAGATCTCTACCGATATCGACAGTCGAGTCGCCCATTGAGGCAATCCTCAGCATGTAAGGATCGACGCTTGACTGAGATGGCGTTGCGCCAGATAGAGCCATTGCAGCTCGAACCATGCGGCCCATCGTCAGCGCCTCTGAGAAATTACCCATTTCATCACGGGGCTCTGCCATTGCACTATGAGACAGGAACCCAATCTCCCCCATTGCAGCTTGAACAGTATGCTCAGTGGATTCTTGACCCGATAAGCCATGTCCATGGCGCGACGGGGACCTAGGACTCCTAGGAGCCTGCAGCACTTCGGTTGTGGTATTCCTAGGCCGTACTGTTCGACGTTGTTGAATTTGTTCTGTGAGTTCATCGCGTTTTCTCTTCAAGGTATTCACATAGCTATAAACGGTCAGAATGGTATTCTGTATGAATGCAAGCTTGCTTGATGTTCTCACCTAGGGATGGCAGCGTGAGAGAGGCTACCTCCGCTATTGCTAATTGGCTCAATAGCAAATTTGCGGAGAACGCACTCCACATTAACTTGGACGCATGATGTACATGCAGGTAGAGCCCTATCGCACTGGAACCGTAAGTTAATAATTGGCACAGTAAATGGAGGGGGACAGGGGGCCGAACCTTTTGTTTTCGCTTCCAGCATCTCTCACATGCCTGGCCACGTTGTTTTGATGAGGACTGAGAGCCTGGTGCAACCGGGCTACCATCCACCATTTTGCGCAGGTGAGTTCAAATTGTTGCTGACGGGAAGCGGAGTGATTGCGGAGGATGTCCGGATGTAGGACCCTTAATGGGGTGACGTCGGCTTCTCTCCGCCTTTGAACAGAGCGCTTGGTCCTATTTAGCTTCAGCACTTTAGGATCCTTTTTATTTACAAATGATCCAAAAACATATGCATACGAGCTCATTTGACTGTTCGTTCTCCAATCATCTATCATGGAGCTCAATGTGGAGGGCATGTGGGACACTCATCTCCACTGTTTTGACCCAGCTCTCTACCCATTCAAACCTACACGCAGTTATACGCCCGCTCCAGCCCCCATAGAGGCTTGGGTCGAGCAAAGCCGAGCATCTTGGTTAGTCCTAGTCCAAGCTTCTATTGAAGATGGTCCCGCTGGATTGATAGGCCATCTCCGCCGCATTCGAACCGAATACCCCCACTTAGTCGCCCGTGGTGTTATTTGCATGGATGAAAACTGGAACGCATTGACCAACGAAGATTTCTATGCTTTACATGAGCTGGGTGTCCGTTATTGTCGTATACACTATTTCTATGGTGGAATTAAGATGGATGCTGTCAATTTGCAAGAACAGATCCGTCTGTTCGCCCGGTCATATCCATCCAAGCAACTTGGCTGGGGCCTTTCAGCACAGCTTCCTCTAGCTTTGTGGTCTTCATTGAAAGACTTCATTATGAGCGACCCTGAAATATCCAGTCTTTCAATCATTGCAGATCATGTCGGTTGCGCAGTTCCTGCCGATATTGGAGACTCCAGCCTCGATGACTTTGTCCAGCTACTTCATACTGGTAGATTGAATGTGAAAATATCTGCCTTGTACCGCAGATCTGGAGAAGACATCACTCCAATGAAACACATCATTCAAATGTTTGCGGACAGTACCCCATCCGCACTTATATGGGGCAGTGACTGGCCTCATGTGGATGCCTCTAGCCGAGGGTCATACGATCCAGGGAAACCCAAGTTGGCAGATCCAAATAAGGAGCTTTTGCTATTGAAGAGCTGGTTGTCTGCCGATCAATTTCGGAAGATGCTGGTTGACAACCCGGATCGTCTGTTTGGATATTGAATACTATGCCAGGCCCACATCCATTTTCAATGCAAGCGTATGGTTCCGTATCCAGACGCATTTACGTAGGAACAACGTTCCAAGACGAATAGTCTTACCTCAAATTTAACATGTCTTTATGTGATTACGAGGTGCATCTACTGGGTACCGGTATTCAATGGCGGCACATTGGAAGGCAAATTTAATCGCCCCCAGCTGTCGGCATTTTTCCGATGAGCCTGGACTTCCCCAGGAAAAGTGGGGATTTCCGTCTGGGGAAAATCTCAATCTTCTCTAGTGTAGAAAGCCACCTCTAAGGCTGGGCAGGACTCAATATGCTATAAGTATTGGGCTCAGCTCGCCTGATGCTAGAGGCAGTTGCTTCTGGTATCCCCAAATCGCCCCAGCCAAATCGAAATGTCCACTCGCACTTCTCACTCAAAAACCTCCCTGGATGGCAATGACTCTCCTGGGAAGGATCAAAAAGATTCATGGGTTGAGGATACTCATCCAACCGACTCATATAATCCTCTGTCCATTTATCGCTCATATGATCCCGAGTTTCGTGCGAAAACCGAACGAGAATTGCGGCACAAAATCGACACGCGAATCCTCCCTCTCATTGTTTTGATTTATCTTTTCAATTATCTTGATCGAAACTCGATCACTCAGGCGCGGCTTTATGGACTCCAAGAGGATACAGGCCTTCAGGGGGCAGAATATCAAACTGCTATTTCGATCTTTTCAGCTGGCTATATCGTCATGCAGCTACCCTCCACGGTCATGATGACCAAGTTCCGCCCCTCTATTTACTTGGTAAGAGACCTCTTATGGTGTATTTGATATGGTTACTAACAATTCTCAAGCCGACATGTATCGTTCTGTGGGCCTTTGTGAGCGGGTGTACTGCGGCGACGTTCAACACCCCAGGCATTCTGATGGTTCGCTTCTTCCTTGGATTTGTAGAAGCACCACTATTTCCCGGTGCAGTCTACTACCTCAGCGCTTGGTACACCAAGCGGGAGATTGGTGTTAGGATGGCTTTGCTTATTTGTGGCATCCTGCTGTCTAATGCTTTTGCCGGGCTGATTTCGGCTGGTATTTTATCAGGCATGGGCGGGGTTGCAGGTCTTACAGCATGGAAATGGCTCTTTATTCTTGAAGATCTTGCTACAATGTTGCTCGGCGTTGTTTCATTCTTCACCCTTCCAGATTTTCCTGGAACGACCAAGTGGCTCACCGATGCCGAGAGAATTGTGGCTCAAGCACGTCTCGCTATTGATGCTGGCAATGACACCATTCTTGATCCCGAGGAAGTGTCACTAACGCGTGGTTCCATTTTGGCTGTGAAAGATGTCCGTACCTGGATTTTTGCTTGTATGCAAATGTCCACAACGGCATCCATTTCCTACTCTCACTTCTTCCCTTCTCTCATTAAGCAACTAGGATTTCAAAACAGCACCATTGTTCTTCTGCTTAGCTCTCCGCCTTATTTTGTTGCATTCATCTGGGCGCTGTCATGGGCATGGTTCTCTGACCGAAAGCAAACTCGTTCAATTCCTTCGGGGATCTCTCAGATAACCGCTATGGTTGGAACAATATTGTTGATTGCAGTTACCGATCAGCTCTGGGCCCGCTATGCCTTCACAATTCTCGTTTGCTGTGGTACTTTTGGAGTGTACTCTACGACATACGCCTGGCTATCCTCGACCTTGACGCAGCCACCCATCAAACGCGCCGTTGCTATCGGGCTGGCAAATACATGTGCCAATTGGGCATCTCTTTTTGCGAATTACTTTTGGCTGGATCAGTATAAGCCTGAATATCGAGAATCATGGGGCTGCTTATTGGCCTTTCAAGCCCTGGGAATGACCTGTATCTTGACTCTTCGGTATATCCTTCAATATACCAACCGGAAATTTGAGCGTCTGGCTGTTGAGATTGACTTGAATGATACTAATGCTATCCTGCACTTGAATGAAGATGAAAGAAATGCCGTGCAGAATAACTTTAGGTATGTTATTTAGTGCATTAATTCCACTCAAGTGCTTGAGAACTTGAACCCATGAGAGGCATACTATATAGCACCAAAGCATGTGACATCAATCTATCTGCAAATTTAATTCGAATGTTCAAGTTTTAGTAATACCTACTCTCATGACATTCCGGTGACCTGAATACTGTACATCCGTACTAGTACTAGTCGAAATCCTAGATCAGGACTATACATATATTAAGACTTTTTTTGATTTTACGTACACAGAAACTAAATCTTGGTTACTAGTAGTGGCAATCGATCCATGCACATGTGGTAGATCACGCTCGCAGCGACTGCCACATATGCAGGAAGAGGTTCAAGCTGGAGTGGAAAAGCGGGGAGTCAGGACCCTTCCCGCCACGTTTATTCCCCGGATATTCTCCGGCATTCACATCCCCATCGGATTATTTCTCCACGTGACGAGTTACTCGTGAAATGGAGAATAATGAAGCTGATGGGAATATCTCTCAACTAGTGGAAGATGGTATAAGCCAAATTCCTCGGTTACCGGCATGTCGCTTTTGTCACACAAGAAAGACCAAGGTGCGTGCCTCCTGAAGTCATAGCTGCATCACGGAGATATCCCGCTAACGGAGAATAGTGCGATAATCTTCGGCCCAAGTGCAGCCTCTGTGTCAAGCACGGACAGGAATGCATGACACTTTCTGTGGATGAGAGTGACTCGGTCACTAGACAGTATGCAGCCCACCCCTACCAAGAAGTGAATTCGCCTATGGCTAACAAAGTCATTCCCAGGTATATCGGAGAACTTGAACAAGAAGTCAAGTCCCTCGAGGAGGAACTTGCAGAATCGAGATCGCATGAGTTGATTTCTCAGGAATCTTCCACGCCTTTGGGTCCTTCTAACCCACAAGACCGCCGAGAGCATTCGCCAAATTTTGTTGAGGGTGGCGGAATAAGGTGGATAGACTCAAAAGACCCAGAGATATGCCTGGCTGACAATGGCAACAGTTTTATGAGACACCTATTTGCGGATTCAGAATGGCGTGAGCATGACCCGAGTCTTCTCCAAAATCTCTCCAAGGGCTCCGGGCCTGCTGAAGCTGGAGTTAAGCCAGCGCTCCTCCCAACCTCAGAGCGAGCGCAGGCAATATTTGACAAGTAGTATGTCACCTATGGAAAACTTTTGAAACTTAAATTTGAACCAAGGGCGCTGACAGTAATATTTTTAACAGTCTCAATGGATCTCATGTCCAAAACCCTTTCATGCTCCGACGTGACGTACAGAGTACCTATAACAGAGTATTCGTGTGGGATAATGAAGACCAACAGGAAAGCTCTAACTCGAATACAAATCGTGATCTTTTCAGAGCTTTCATGATCCTTGCCATAGGCTCAGTTCTCCCATATCGCAACGGTGAATTCGAGCATCACCCCTATGGCTACTACCTATCTGCATTGAAGTACCTGGATGATGGCTTTCTTTCCGGGGGGACTTGCCTCTATTCAGGATCTTCTCCTGATAGGCCGGTTTGCAATATATCATCACGTTGGTACGATTCATTTCCTTCCTTCTCGGTGGTCCAGGACCCCTTTATCTAACTGTTAAATCCATAATACTAAAATATCTTGTAGGAACTTTAATATGGGAGGTCACTCGGCTTGGAATGCGAATGTGTATAGAACAAGGCCTTCACAAACCTACTCCCCAAAAGCGAAAAATAGGACTGCTGGAAGAGCAACTTCAACGACGAGTCTTCTGGGAGTGTTACATGATTGATCGATATAGTTCAATCACATTGATACGCCCCTTTGCAATCCCTGAGAGATACATCCGAATCGGCTTCCCAGTGGATGCGAACGATGAGGAAATTGAAGCTGCAGAGGCCTCTGGCGCCTTTCTTGACTTGGACTCATTTGGCTCCGCATCTGCTCTGACATCAACAACAATGAGAACAACTGAGATGTCTGTATTCTTTGCTTGTCTCAGACTACGTCAGATTACCTCACGAATTAATATCGAATTTGGTGGCAAAAAAACCCGTCAAGGCGGGAAAAATGATACCACAGCGAGAGGCGTTATCTACACCGGTTTGGACAAACTACTAAAGGATTTGCAACATTGGCGATCATCCACGCCAGTTTTCCATAGCCCGAAAAACCTCTATGAGATGCAAGATTGATACGAGCTTCTTTACCATAGAGAGCGTCTACTGCTGGTCAGAAAGACCATGGATATCGTGCCAAAGCAAGACAATATTCCCCCGAAAGACCTCTTATCTCTATGTATTGAATGTGCCACAGGAGCTATTACACTCTTCTGTCAACTATTTGATCAAAAAAAATTACTTTCACTCGAAGTTACTTCCAAATGCTGTTTGCTGCTGGTGTTTCTGTGATGTTCTGCTTGTCTGTGGTTAAGGACTTTGATCGAATGACTGTCCGACGGGGCACTGAGGCAGTGGTCAAGGGCGAAGCCGCCTTGGAGCGTATGGGCGGGGAACTCCCTGATGCGAAACGCTACGTTGCCGTTTACGAAGCGCTGCGTCGGTATGTTATACGAAAATACAGTCGTCAGCTCCAAGTTGATGCTTTGCCGAATACTCATCCCGCATCGGAGATGCCGACCGCAATGTCACCATCCAGAACGGCAGCCCGGCCCCACAATCCAAGAGCATGGGATAGCCAATATGAAAGTCGCAATACCTTGGAGCAACCTGCATTATCTGGAGGCGAAAGGGTATACGCGAATTTTTATCCTCAATCGTCACTACATGCACCATTCAGTGAAGCAGAATTCACACCCGAGGGAATTCCGGGTATACTACCAGGCGGAACTCACCTCTCAGAAAGCTCTCTGCCATCCTGGGATATATTCGAAGACGATCTTTTGTGGAATATGGAAGCCGGTCTAAATGAGTATGCATACGGGGATCCCCTGCTAAGTTCGTATTTGGATGAATCGTTTGATTTTCAGAACATTGAAGGTTGATCAACTGAACACACATGGACTTAACTATGAAGACAATAAAACAAAATCTCGAATCTATACCTTCTGCTTTTGCACTCTCTCATTGATCTCATCATAATTGTGAACGATTTGCTTGAACGCCTTCTGCAAGATTGCTCCATCCTGGCCACTCAATGACCAGGTAGCACCCAGCGAGAACCATCGCTCCAGCAGATCAAGACGACCTCCAATACCTCCAACTCCAATCGGCTTGCCATACTTCTTTCCCGCGTTGATGATCTTTGTAACAGAGTTCAAGTACAGAGGATCATCATATTTGCCAGGGATACCAAGATCCGTGGTAAGGTCATTTGAGCCAATCAAAATCCCATCAACACCTTCAATCGCAAAGATCTCCTCCGCCAAATCCACAGCACCAGGTGTCTCAATCATAGGGATAAGCATTGTCTGTGAGTTCAATGCTTCATTCTGCTTCAGCGTGGGGATATGCTGAAAGTTAAACGCAGGTTGATTGTTCGTGCACCCACGAGCCCCGATGGGCGCATACTTCGCATGGTGAACAATGTCACGAACTTCTTGAACAGACTCAATATGAGGAATCACAACCGCTGCAGCTCCAGCGTCGAGAATGCGACTAATGTGCCAATGCGATTTGGATGGAGATCGCATAATGGGTGAGATGCCCACGTAGTTGCATGCCAAAATGAGTTGAGAGACCTCGCGGAGAGTAAAGGCTGAGTGTTCCATGTCGATGAAGACTCCATGGAAGCCGGCCATTTTAGCCATCGTGGCGACTTCGTTGCCCAAGGCGTACTTTATTGTCACGATTGGGGTGACTTGGCCGTTTAGAATGCGAGCCCGGAAGGGATTCGGAACGGTGAATTCTTGTTCGCCGATGGAGCCCATCTTGAATGATTTTGACTAGGTCGAGTAGAGTCTTTTGGCTCAGTTGAATGGAGATATGAAAATGATTGAATAAATACTTGTGTCCAAATACCGATGCCATTCTTATATGTTGATGTATGTGGATGGGTCTGACGGGAAATCTCCGAAGGGGATGGATAATGTCCGATCGGCTTAGACTTGACACCACCGATTCGATAGTCTGGCTGGGGTTAGTGAGACTGTGGCTAGTATTTCGGCCAAGAGTTTTATCTGGGTGGGGGTAAATTCTGAGACTCTAGAGCCTTGCCTTTTATGGAGAGTTGCTCAGAGGTCTCAAGCGCTCACAGGGCGGATTAACCCCGGACTCACCCCGTGGGGTATTCCAATGTTGGGGAGCCCAGAATTCCCCAAAAACTGAAGGAATCTATGATTCAACAGTAGTTGGAAATCGTGAGAAGATAATCTCATTTACTTTCATCGTTTTATCTAGAGAATTCTAGAAAATACTGGTACAGTGATCGATTTCATACATTCAATATCAAAGTTGAGGACCATTTTCATTATATAACCGCCTGCAAAAGGAATCACAGACAAAAGAAATCCACCACTGGTAGTCAAAATATATATGAATAGTCTCTAGTTACAGGGAGTATTCAACTTGAGGATATAGTGAACTTGGGGGTGTGAGAGAGACTGAAGGAAAACATGGAGGAAGACACGAAGGAAAACACGAAAGAAGACACGAAGGAAAAACGAAGGAAAACATGATGTGGAGGGGAATGGGGTGCTGGTGCAGGGGGAAAAGAAAGCTCAGAACGGCATATAGTATTTTCATCATGCGCTTTCAGTATGAGTAGTAAGTTCAGGTGCGTGCGTCCTAGGCAGCTGACCAGCCACGGTCGAAATCCAAAAGCCCACAAGATGCCCACAAGACGCCCACAGAATGCATGCCTTAGCAGGAGACCTGGCCACCTCACCTCGCCAAGAGCTGTCCGAGCTTGAATATGTACAGGGTGGCACCTCAGAGACTCGGTTGGGTCATAGGATCACGGGCTTAACGTCTCGCTTCGCTCCGCTCCGTATTCAAAATGAAATGATCAGATACAGAACTCCGAAAGACGGGACACCTGCTAATATCTCCCTCCCTACCCAGACGTAAGCCGCAAGCGCTAAGTTGTGGGTCCTCGGGTTGGAGACACCGGCAGATCTGGGGAAAGAAGAAGAGAAGGAGAAGAGAGATAGAAGAAGATTAAATAGTCAGGGAGGTGGGAACGCGTCTGGGGACAAACAATCATTCACTTCCAAGGCTCGTTTAGCTGGAGGTAGTGTCATCGCCTAATTAGGAAACCATCACTGTCACTCTACTTTGGTACCTGGAGCTCATATAAAATATACCTCGGTAGTAAATATGATATTTCTAATATGAGAATATTATAAATTATCCTACTAAGAGTCAATGACAGTAGGAATACTATCTTAGAGGAATAAAAATACATTAGGAGGGCTTGCAACTACCCTGGCCCCCAGGTGTCTCTTTCCACACATAGAGGTCTCATTGTTTTTACAAACATCATAGAGAGACATGCTTATATCCATGGAAAACCTCGTGAGAAAGAATATGTATCTCTGAGTCTCATCACAAGCTTCACTTCACTTCTCCAAGTTAAACAACTCGCCGATCGGCATTCTCCAGCCTGTCAACAACCACTCATGCAGATGCCACTGAGTCTATGTACAAGGCCATAACTAGAGGGCGCGTATCACCTGCACAGCAGCGATCTTTCTTTTCTACAGAAATCTCAGCAATGCGTCAGATGGTTCGAGCCCGATGTTTTTGGGCTTCTGCGTCTTATACAACTCGTTCAACTGAACGTGTTTTTCCTCGGACATGTTCTCATCTCGATTGATATAGCCGAAACAAATTTTGATTATATTCCCGACGCGGACATCCCCTTGCTTAAGTCATTGATATCTCAACGCATGAGTTCCTCGGGTGGCACTTCATGAAGAGTCGTGATATCGACAGAGCGGCCGGCCCATTTGCACCAATCTATCAAAATACCGCGTCCAGCAATATCTCTTTCTGCAATATCTGTGAGATTTTGGCGCCCATTCTACCATCTCTTAAGATGACTGACATCTTCTTTTTGTTAGGCATACTATCGAGCCCCATCCCACTGCGAGCTACTGCGAGCTACACTGAGATTTAAACGACCACTTGAGATTCCAACGTAAACGAATTTGTTACGATATGAAGGGAGGATACCTCATCATGAGCAGCCTTGCTAAGCGCTCAGTTGATAAATTTTAGCTCAGGGGTTACACGTGTCAGGGGAGGGTATGGAGGCGCAGTTAAGGCCCAGCTAAATGCGACATTCCACAAGACCCAGGCGTTGCCGTGTGGACATCCTATTGCAACGGGAGGTCATCGAAGGCAGTATATTGCGAGTACTTTCAGCTCATGTTAAAGAATTGAAGTATAAGTCAACACTTTCATTCAATTTAGAGGGCTTACTACATGTGATTTATAGGCGGTGCTGGATTGCGGCTATGATGCCGGAGAAATTCCGATGGCGGACAGCATCCGAAGTCGAGTCTAAGTCTGAGTCCTACTACTCTAATGGTTTATTGGAAGCTAGGACTCTGGAATAATCAATGATTGATACTGCTCGGATTCTTTTACTGATAATCCTTACAGATGCCTTATTAGTTCGTCATCTCCGCGGGCACTCTGTCTTCTGCAAATCTTGCCATGTCCTCCGCATACTCCCTGTCGCGCTCTTGCTTCTGACGTGCCAAGTCGGCTTTCTTTTCCTCCCTCGCTTGCTCTCTCAATCTTTCACGCTCCTTCTCATTCATTCTCGCCTTTGCTTGATCCATATCTTCTCCCTCACGAAGCAACCATATTCCATACCGGTCTTTCCATGCCTTCCCCTCATATAACAATCTCGTCACCATGAACTCCTTGAGTTGCCCCCAAAATGAAATTAGAGTATCACCCATGATATCTGCAGGTCCCAATCGAAACCATGTCTTCTCGAATAGATCGGGATCTTCAAGAGCTCTGGGGTCATCTTTATGTAATCCACAAAATATGGCAAATTCAGGCCGGAAGCCTAACTGAAATACCCTTCTCGATATAACCAACTGCAGTTATTTAATCAATAAGAGAATCCGCTTTCATATAGTCAGAAAATACTTACTATGGGTGTATTGGAACTCTTCATGGTCATCGCCCATTCCTTGAATGAACAGTCTCAACATGCTGTCAATCGAAGGGAATGTAATTTCATTAAAGCCACGTCCATAAGCCTGATATTTCTCATCATATCCACATTTCGGCGCTTGGCATTTCGGAAATAAATCATTGAATTTCTGTTCGAACTCGATGATTTTCTGGTCAGATAGCCCCACCCACTTTAGACACTCGCACGTATCTGCGGGGTCTGGCAGGGTCATATCCGGTCGGTACTTGCATTCTGGTAAGCCGTTGGAGATTTCGAGAGGGCCAATCGACGGGTGTATCGCTCCCCGAGAGGTTCCAATCTTCACGAGTTCAGGAGTCCATTCGAACTTGATGGATGTGGTCTCAGTAGCATCATGATGTTTCGGGTGGTCTTCGTTCAAGTTGTTGCTCATCGTATATGCAGATGAAAGGTTACATACTCCTCTATGTAGTACGCGGGTGCCTGAAGACGTCGGCTAGCCGCTATGTATTTGGATAAGGAAGGAATTTAGGAAAATCCCCTAGCTAACTGGAATCTGACCTCGGGAAATGGTCAACTGGAGTACTAAAAAAACTCAAATAACCTCCAGCACGAGTACCGTAAAGGTCTAGGTACGCGTATGCACAGGCGGCTGATATCGGAGTGATGTGCCACCCAGATAAAGGGGGTTCGCGAAGAGGGGCAGACCCAAATTAGTCTCTAGAGGGAGCTGAGATTAGAGAACTGTTTGTCATATTTTTCTTTTCTTGGGGGCGAGAAATTAGACAGAAATTAGAGCTATAAATAAGTGGAGTATCAGGATTGTAGGCTAAATAAGAAACTGCAATCTGGATCTCGTTGTTGATTGGTTTAACTCAGGGAATTGGACCCATTCTCTAAATCCCAATTCTCGATTCTTATTGGGCAGCTCGGTTTATGACATCATAATGCGAGGACCAAGACAAACTAAGCCCTTTTAGGACATCTAGATGTCCAAGTGGGATTCATGAACTACGAGTCTACGACTTGGGATACAAGGCTGTAGACGTGGATTCGTGGGCGAGAAATCTCTTGTATTTAAAGCTTCGCAAATCTCCTGTCAGTTCATGTCTCATTCAAACTCAATCTTCATATTCACATTCACTATCACACTCTTTCTATACACCACGGTCTTTTACGGTCTTTCTCTAAAGTGCTACGCTACTTCCACCATTGGAGCCACTCATAACAGTATGTGATACGCAATGGACTTGGTTTTGATATTTTGACTAACATGATTGACTTAAAGATCACTCTCTTCATAACAACTCGAGTCTCTCTCTTATATTACTACAATCACTCTCCTACAAGACTATACTACAACCCTCTCTTGAAGCAACTATAATCCACAACAATCACAACAAAATGGCTCCTACCACCCTCACACAATCTGGACACACAATGTCCACCCTGATGAAGCGAAGCACCGGAAGCGACTACTCTCTTTACATCTTCTGTATCATCGCCGGCTGTATTGGAGTCAGCTTGATTGGATTCGGTCTGTACACTATGTACCACGGCGTTGACAGCACCGGTATTCGCGACGTTTCCTACGAGCAGAGAAGATACATGCGCGAAGTTCGGGCGCGAAACCTCAATGGCTTTGCTGTTACTGCGAAGCGGCCGGATATGATTATTCCTATTCAGGAAATGAGGGAGTGAGATATTAAGATCTATCAATTGCATATATGGCGTTTTCATTTTCATTTTGGGGATGTGGCGTTCTATGGTTGAAACTTGAACTATGTATGTTTATGAAGCATTTGGAAACATATTGATGTTAGATCTATCGAGGATGCACATGGGATTACATATTCACTTTCTTGTGGACATATCAAAGAAATTATATCAATATCATATTTAAACATTTGAAATCAAAACTTAAATTTCGGAATAATAGTATATGACAGTGCACGCATAGATTTGATTCGGAATTTATCCCGAGCCTGAGGTCTACTTCGTACAGTGCCCCAATTTGGATCTCGAGTCACCCAGGAAGGGCATGCATTCCAAAAATAAAAACATTAAGGATAGTATGCGGCATAAATTGAACCATTTTGTGATATCAACAAATCACCATCCTAACTGAAAAAATGTCACCAATCCTCCAGTGGATAGACCAAACCCCCAATGCAAACCAAACAGGAAAGATATTCAAGAAGCGTTGAAAAGAACATAAGTGCTGAGGAGCAAAGGTATATGAATCGTAAAAAGTAAAAATTGTGACGTCGAAAGTCGTTAAGAGAGAGTCCAGCGGACGAAGAAATAGTGTAATAGGGTATGCAGAAATGGAAAAGATAAAAAGGTGCAGAAAGAATCGAAGAAAGGTATGCATGCCTGCACTAGGGACATGAGATAAGGTGAAGAGATATCACCTCGCACTCTTGGTAAATGGGGCACCTGACTATTTGAGACGGGTTTAGAATTGAATGGCCAGAGCAACGACAGCGCCGAAGACCATGCTGATCATGGAGATAACAGCGCTAGAGGCACCATTGGCTGTGGTGGAAGTCGAGGCGGGCGAGGCACTACCAGTGGCAGATCCAGTCGAAGAGATCTCGGCATCGCCACTTGGGTTGAACACTTGTGGGCGGTATGTGTAGCTTCCAGGGCTGGACATGGGAAGCTTGATGCTCGAGTAGCGGAAAGAGGTGGGAGTAGCGGTAAAGGTAGGGGCATATGTATGAGTAGAGGTTGAGGAGGCTGAAGAAGTAGGAGTAGCAGTGGAGGTGCTAGAGGTAGTAGGAGTTTCAGTGGTGCTGGTAGTAGTCGGTGTTGAAGTAGGAGTGGAGGTAGAAGTCGAGGTTGAGATTGAGGTTGAGCTGCTGGTACTGGTGCTAGTGCTGATAATGGTACTGGAGGGGGCAACGGTGCTGGTGGGAACGGAAACAGTCTCGCTGAAACTAGAGTCACTAGAGTCACTGCCACCCAGCTCAAAGACAACGATGTTTGCCTTGGAGCCGTTGGAAGCAGTTACGACACACCCGGTAGCACCACCGGCGCCAGTGAAAACATCAGGAGCGCTCATCTCATTAACACCCATGGTGGATGGGTCGATACGGCAAGGAAGACCTTCGCAGTCGTCACCATCGCACTCAATTTCGATACCGAACTCGGGCTTGACATCACGGAACGGGGTGGTGGGTTCCAGGTAAATAGGGTTCCAACCAATCTTGACGTAGGTGTTGCCCTCGCCATCAGTGTTAGCACCGGCAGTGTAAGGAGACCAGTTACCGACAGGATTATCACTGGTTCCCCAGATACAACCTTCCTCGACGCTGATACCGGGAGCATTGATATAGAACTGAGCAGCGGTAGAGCACCAGTATGACATTCCAGGAACAGCAAGAGTAGCAAGTTCCTCGACCAGGGTTGGGATCAGCATGGCCTCATTTCCAGGCAGCACGGTCTGACAGAAAGAGACAGCCTGGCTAGCCTTGTTGATGGCGGAGACGAATCCGGTACCATCTTCACAGTAGGGTTTGCTTGGGAATGGCTTCTGAATATCGCCATTTTCGTCACAGTATAGGCCGCCATTCTAAAGATCGTCAGCTGTCAGGGAGGATTCTCCTTGCATATGTCATTGCATCTTATTGCATATGACACATTCGCTAGTAGAAAACTTACCATAGACATAGGGTAACTGTAAGAAGTAGCTTCAGGGTCCCACTGCATTGAGACTTGACCAGGAGGGCAAGCATAGGGACAGTAGTTGCCAGGCTCACAGGGCTGGTTAGGGCTCATAGCCCATCCTGCATTCTGCTCACTGGGAGTGACAGCAATCAATCCGGCATCACTAGGGAACTCGCACTGTCCACTCTTCTTCTGGAGGATCGTATTCTCTGGGACTGTACGAGGTTCATGGTGGCCATGGTAATGTCCATGGTGGGCGGCTTCGACGCTTGCAAAGAGAGCGACAAGTGCAACGGCACGGGCGGAAGAAATCTCAAACTTCATAGTGAATGTGGGAATTAAAAAAGAGCGAATGAATAAGAAGTTGGATCAAACGAATGACTAGGGCAACGAAGGCCGCTGGGACAAGGACACAATGCTCGCAAAGTATGAAGGTCAAGGGAAAGGAAACCAGACGGGGGGAAACTCAAGCAGAAAAGGGGATCACACCATCCAATACGGAATACTAGATTCAGGGTCCAAACACTCCCACGGGGCCAAGAACCCTGAACTCCCCTGGACCCTCTTGTAGATCTCCTCCCCAATAAGAGACCATTTGGGTCCAAATACGGAGAAACGAGCCCCCTGATTCGAGATCAATAGTTATATTTACACTAATATTTTAGTGCTTTTTTAGTGTCAAAACTAGACCAATCATATGTATAATTATGCGGGGTCCCCCGATGGTTCTTGCTTGGCAAGTGGAGATTAACACATGAAAGAACGTATTTTATAATGTTTATAATGTGCAGAATACGGAGATAATGGCTTATTATAACAAGCTTTTGTTCAGGGGAGATATCATCAATTGACATACATGATAAAGCTGATGATGAAAGATGCTCATACCCCAGAAATACTAGTACCCCGGACCCCTTTCATCCTATATGTTCTAGAAGAATTCCCAACATTCTCAGATACTCTACTATACACATTTTGTATCATTCTATATCATCGCTAATCACAATTAAACCCACCGGAGTTGTCCTTATCGACACAGTCTAGACCTGCTGATCCCACGGACTGATTTTCAATGCTCATATTCAAGTTTTCGGGAGTCCCGTAACCCGTTGCCCCTTTTACCGCACGAGCGTAGATCTCGGGAACAAGAAGATATGAGAATTCCTTCCAAGAGTAAGTTGCTAGTACTTTTCAATATACGGAGTAGTATTCGAACTACTAGCAGTAGCTTGTGGACATGACAACCTTGGAATGGCTCCATAATTGCTACTAGCTCCTCGCATTGTTTTAAGGTCATAGACCGTTATCTATCTCCTATGTATGTCAGCAGCTCTAACCAGATGAGCGGCCTATCTCTCTAGATGTCTCCTTGCGTCTGAAAAATCTATACAGAGTAAATAGCTTGAGTCAAAAAGCCGTTGCATGACACCTTATCTTTGGTGGGGAAGTCCTTTCGACTCCGGAGTACCTGCAAGGGCGTTGATTTTTTGCAGCATGGCGCATGTCCAGGTGCATTGACCCACCCATATTGATCCTATGTATGCGGTGAGTATAATTGAGCGGCAATCTCGACTAAAAGGTTATAATATTTATCTATGAACCGAATCTCAAGATATAGACCAACGTTAGATATCCAGAACTCATTCACCAGGCTGAGCCGGCAGCGTGGTCCACCCACTGAAAGCCGCAGTATCATCCCCTTCCCTCCATCCCCATGCAATGCAATAATGACTTGCCAAAAGCTGCCATTCTTCCATCTCATCCAGCATCTCAAGACGAGAGACTCGCTCTTTCTCTTCTTCGTCTACCCAACGATTCCAAATGAACTCGATATCAGCGACCGCTTGACCGCTAGTAAATCCTTGTCCGCGCAGTCGTTCCCGCTGTGCCTCCAAAGTAGCGTATTTATGTAGAGTCTGAAGTTGAATACCTCGCGTTGCAAGATTCGATACCATCGTTCGACCAAAGGCGTCGTTTGGTCGGATCGGTTCGTATAGCACCAATCCAAGCGGAGCGGTTTGCGGACCAAGGAGACGTTCAGTGAAGAATGAGACTACCTCTGTCGCCTCCGTTGGCGATAAGTATATGAGACAGCATTCTGAGATCAGAAGCGTGGGTAGGGTGATATCAACATGTGGAAGTAGCTCTGACGGAGAACTACTCGATGACAGGGAGCGTAGATCGAGGGGGTATAGATGGTAGGAGCTTGTATGGAGAGCATCGCCAGCTTCCGATACGATAACATCGTTACTAGAAGACTCGATACCTAATGCTCGTTGGAGGAGGGGTGTGGTTCGAATCGCGCGGATCTTTGCAGTGGTGTTGACAGCGAAATCGAGTTCATGGTAGATGAGATTGGAAGGCTGGCGCGAACTGAACAGGCGAAGGACACGGGTATCTGAGCCCGCACCAAGTGAAATGATCTGTTTTCTTTGTGTCGTGCCGTCCTGCGAAGGTGAACCCAGGAAACGGTCGACGAGTTGATCGATAGCGGTGGTGCGAACGTACGTTCCTAGCAAAAAAACTGCTGTTAGCTCCCTGAGCTCCGACGCGAGGGTCCTTCGGGTTCAATACACACCTCGATTGATGATTGGTAGTCTCCTTGTTGCATTCTCAGGCGCCGTCAAGGCTTTCGCAAACGGGTCGCCCAAATAGCCCAGCTCGACGGCGCTCAGGCGGGAGACACTGGCGTCATTATCGGTGCCCTGCACAACACGGTCCTTGCCGCTTGTGCGTGTACCATGACTATCCTCGACTCCGCGGAGGCCTCCACGGCCTCGACCACGTCCTCTGCGGAGTGTGCTTAAGTTTGGAATATGCGGTGCGGCCATGAAGGGCGTACCGAGGAGACGTGGAGGAAGCTCGTAAAGCTCGTGAAGCTCGGACGCGGTGGGGTTCACCCTCTTACCCCCACGTAAATAGTCCCGCTAGAACTGGCCAAGTGGTGGAGATTAGGAACTATGCGATCTTGGAATTTCGGAAATTCCCAAAATCCATACATATTTGAGTATCTCTCTAATGTTAACACGCCGGATTGATCGCCTTGAAAATACTCACCGATTTCCAAGGTTCCAGGGTAGTTTATGCCAGAAAATTCAGGCATCAAAGTCAGAATTTACTAACTAGGTGTAAATACGGATTGAAGCTTGGAAGACAAGAGAAATAATATTTAATAGAAGGCTTGTACTCTCCCCTAAATGAGAGTTATTAACAAGCATCAACTTGAAGTTAGCACGGACGAGCTTGAAAAGTCGCGGAGCTTGACGAATGAACCCTCATCTGAAGCAACATTCCCAATATCTAACCCGGCATTTGTACACACATGTGCAGATGGTCACTAGTAGTCTTGAGTCGAAACTTCCAGCCATCTCAATGCCCAGTCAGTAATATTCAATTCTTCGGATGAAGTGCCATCAGCATTCCGCTTGAATGCATAGTGCAGGACGGAAGCGATTTTAGCCCCCTGCATCGCTATGGAACGGACCTCCTGCTGGCGTATAGGATCGACTATCTGACATTGAGCCCAGAACTCAGCCCAGAAAGCATCAATAAGCCTTTGACGGCAGGTATAAGTGTGCCATTCTCCGATGCCCATGTAGCCAGTTGCTAATATAAGAGTTCCTAGCTCCATGCCAAACGGAAGTACCTTGGCTAAGGACCAATCGACGAGACCTGTGATTTCAAAAGTCTCCTCATTAACAAGAATATTTGTCTGAGAAATATCATTGTGCGTCAGAACTTGTGGGTAGGTTTGCTGAAAGAGGACTGGGAGGCTGCGTTGAAGCTCGAGGATTGTTGCGTCCGGTAGTACAGACTCGAAATGGGTTGACTTGACTTTCGTAAGTTGACGATGAATTTCCTCCTGGGTACCATTTTGGACTTGAAAGTCAACTGGCTGAGGGCTTGACCAGCACCGAGCGAAATATCTGGACAGGTAATCAATAATACGCCATTTTGTTAAATAGCTAAATTGATAAATAACACAATAAGCTACCTGGCCAAATCTTTGAAAAAGCGAAGGTGTTTAGCCTTCTCTTCTGGTTTCATCTCAAGCTTGGAGCCGAATGCTTCTAGGCAGGTGATGCCTTGCAGGTATGGCATTGTGTAGACAAGAAGAGATGGGTTTGAATTAGGCATTTCACCATGGAATGAGGCTTCCGGTACAAAGTCGCCGTGTATTGATTTCGCTAGTTGTGTTATGGCTGTATCCAGAGTGGACCAGACTTCTCGTAAAGATACGATTAGATTTCGCGGTTCTCTTGGGCAATCTGTGCAAAGAACGGTGTAGCTCAACGAACCCGGAACACCAACGGCCTCGATCGAGCCACCGGAAATCTTATGAGCGTATTCGTCGCATTCTAGCTGTTTGGTAGATTGCCGTCTTTCAAAGAACTGGTCTATTTCTTGTTCTTTCCACGATAACTCTGTCATGATTTCGGGAATCCTTCAGGGGGTCGTGGGTCATAAGGTTAAGACGTCTTTTGCTGCGGACCAAAGGTGGAGAAGAGGCTGAAATCACGTGTTGTTGTTATCCACAGTAGACCCACATACATTAGGTATACGGTATACCTAGTTACACTTGAACACCTCAAGATATGTAGATATGTATGTAGGATACAAAGTATGTACTACTACTAGGTAGGTAGTAATAATATAATCATTTAAAATAATTGACTATTTAGAAATTTTGAAGGTAAATTTTTTTTTCTTTTCTGATATCTAAATATATGGATTGTAGTAATAATAATACATAGTACGGAGTAGAGAGAGTCGACCATTCAAGGAACCAGAGCTCCCATATATTTGAGTAAAAAGCTCCCCAGGTATGGATTCTGCTCTGCTGGCCTAGTAGTCAGCGGCCTGCGACCCAACCGGGGACAAAGGTATTGAAATCGAGGTGGGTCGGGCCGCTTTTCGGTGGCAGAGATAATACTAGCGAGTGGGTGGGATTTCTGGCTACGGTCAGGGACATTTATTTTTTTGAATTTTGAATTTTTTTATCGATCATACTTTCAGCTTTTCTCTTTCTATTGCAACTCTCAAATCCTTAAAATAAAAATAATTGAGGGAGATGGAAAGGATTATGTGTTGAGGATGGATGTATCAAGTGAGAGATGTTGAGGCTATTCACGCATTTCTGATTTTCAAGGTCCTGGGTTCGATTCCTGACCTTGCTGGATTTCTTTTTTTTTCTTGTAGGAGGTCTGCATCGTATCGCGTGTAAGCTGGAAGTAAAATGAGCTACTTGGTGATATTTATGAAATACCTCACTCGCAACCAGTATGTAACTTAAGGTTTGATAGAGAACAGAAGACATTGTTTCTATGAATTTTAAGGATATCCAGTCGCACCTATCTATCCATTTTTCACGCTCAAACATATACAAAGTTATTACGGCACAACGGGCAGGTGCTCTGGTTGCTGCTCTTGAACCATCGGAACAAGCAAACAGAGTGGAAGGTGTTCTTGCAAGTGGCGCATCGCTTATTCGGCGTCTGCATATCGGTCGAGATAACCGAGTAGCAGATAGCACACTCACTCTGTCCCTTCAGAGCACCCTGCACGTTTCGCCGGAATGCCAACAAACCATCCACCAGGTTTCCATTGGCGAACATAATCACACCTTGGATTGTGAGCAGCCAGCTCTTCCATTTCTTTTCGTCAACCAAGACACGACTGCGGCCAACCACGACGGCGGAGTGAAGAGGGTATGCTGGGGGAAGGGAAATAGAAATTGAAACAGGGGGGGATTCTTCATCCACTGGAATGCTGGCAATGACTTCTGCTGTTCGCGGAGACATCTTCACAGATAGGGCTCGCTCTTCGTTGGGATCCTGTGTGGCAGCCCACTCGGTAACGCCTCGAATTGCGTCGTCGGCCACCAATGGTGAGATCTAATGATAAAATTAGTTATGTTTGCTTGTCATAACGGAGCATGTTGAGGTTTCACTTACATATCTCTCTGTCCAGGTTTCCACTGGCCCCTTGATTCGTTTCTGTGTATCAATCCACCAGTTCTTGGTCATATTCGCCAAGTGCCTCAAACACAGGTAGTATAGATGCACTAGGAGCCACTGTGTTTCCTTCTCGGCATTTTCCGAGTTGTCCGGCTCAAAAGACTGGATCTCAAGCTTGGACGCGTCAACAAGCTTACCCTGTGACTTTTCAAGGAATTTGAACATGAACTCGAGCAGCGGAATCAAGACGTTGTTCTCCTTGATGTTTGTCGCATAGTGCTCTTGTACCGGAATAGACTGGTGGAGTTGTAAGTAAAATATCATATAGTTTGAGAGGTGGGTACATACAGCATTAGAAAAGTGGTCGAATACCACTTTCCAGCTAAGAAGATATGACCTCACACTGGTCCACATCTTGTCATCTCCAAACGAAGTTGAAACCGTATTCATTGTCGGCGTCTCGAGCAATAGAGATATTAACTCGTCGGGCAGGCTAACCGATGTCTTTGACAGAGCAACATCGAATGATACCTGTTCTTGAGCTTGAGGGATATAACGATGAAGAATTGTGTAGGCTGTTCGTTGAACGGAGCGGCTGTGAGCAGTGAGGAGATGGAAGACACCACTGACGTCTTCGATGTTACCAATTGGGATGGTATTGATCAAGCGACATAGAAGTTCAACCGCGATATCTCGAGGCTGGTGGAATGTGGTCGAGGCATCTATCGAGTGTAAGTAAATCGTGCCTCCAGAAGCTCCAGGACTATAAGACTTACCGAATTTCGCAATGGTGGAGACCAATTCATTAGAAAGGCGGGTCTTATGCTCCAGCCAAACGTCTTGAAGGTCATCATTGCTGTCACCTTCAGCCATCTTTTTAAAGCGAGCAAAAAGTCGGAAAGAGGACACAAGCACAGCAAGGCCGTCTTCGCCTCCTTTTACCTCGCGGAAAACAAAACTCAAGGTCTCGGTAATGTCTTCCCAGTGTGAGCCATAGATTTCAGCAAGTCCAGGAAGAATGAAAACTAGTGTTTGCAAGATCTCTGCTCTGAGTCCAAGAGACGTCATCTCTGACTTAAGGCAGTCGATGAGATTTTTGGTAAGGAAGACCAATCGTTGAGTAGGAATGGCCGAAACCACATCTTCTTCGCCACAAAGTAAGATGTTCAGAAGCGCGAGCTTTCGAAGTCCTGTATTTGTTTAGTATCCAGATATTTCAAAGCTGATTTTATTCCAAGACTTACCCTGTGAAGAAGGATCTTCGGGCTTAAGGCCCGTTGAATCGGCGACTAATTCATTGCAGATTCGGGTTCCCACGGAATTGGCTAAAATGGAGCTTCGTAGCACAGAAAACCATGCTGCTGAGCGTATTCCATTGGCACTCCGTGATTCCCGGCAAATCTTGGCAACGTCTTCAGGTGACTTGTGAGCTTGGAGTGACTCCGCCGATGTCATCAATTTGACAAAAGACTGTCCCACGCGATAGTCCACAGGAGACGTTCCATTGAGCTCTTCTAGCTTCCTCTCCCAGAAAGATATGAGATATGAGCACACTGTGAACTCAGGTAAAGATTTCAGCGGTCCATTGGTAGAGATCCAATTGCTGATCAATCTGCGTCCATCAAACACAAGCTCCATATACTCCTCTCGTTGATCCGCGAGCTCAAGGCCCGAAATCCCGTTACAGTTCTCAATGCTCAAGTCATCATCGATCAATTGAATGACTAAAGGCAAGAAGTAAATGACGACTTCAAAGTCCGCACTTTCCAACTTCATTGTGGTATCGATTTTCGACAAGACTTTGATGGTGAAGGCTGCCAGGCGGAACGCAACAGTGCAGCGATTGGAATCACGAGGAACCTCAAGCCACAATGTCTTCAATGTTTCTGAAAGTTCTCGTTCCGTCAAATTAACAATTCCCATAAGGGGACTTGTTATTGTTGTTGAGGGTCTAGGTGGAAGTTGAAGGAAAGGGGCCATTGCTTTCTCCCAGACATTGGAATCAGGCAAGATATCTTTGAGTGTGTAATCTCCATCTTCCTTGATGCCTTCAATCAAATCGTTCGTGATTGCAAGAAGAGCCTCGATACTAGTACAAAATATTAGTGGGAGTAAAATCTAGAATCAGAATGTGACAGCATCACTCACGATAAGGATTCCTCTGTTGCGTTGCTGAGCTCATGACGTAAAATCTCGATCTTAGAGGCAGTGCTTGAATCACCAACAACTGTTTCCTTGAAGGACCTAATCAGAGACTCGGTCAAGGTAGCTACCTCTTCCGAAGGCGACTCGGTGAGGTACAGGAGTTTTCCGGTCAACTTTGAGCCATTGGGTCCATTCTGAAAGTCCTTGATAGCAGAGGGAACGGTCTTCCCAAGATGAGATAGACCATGCAATACATCCAAAATATTCTCTTCCTGGGATAGAATGTCAACAATAGATAGGAATATCTTATCCATTAATTGGCCCCGAGAAGTTTGATTTTGAAGGACAGATGCGATGATCTGCCAGTGAGAAGAGCTTCCCCGGCAGGCCTTATCTAAGGCACGCATCACGAGCAAAGTGAGCTTGGTTTGATCTCCCAGCTCGTTGAAATCAAGGTTGGAAAGCAGGGTTTGTAGGATATGTGCATTCGACTGCTCCGGCTCGAGATCCATGGCCCTTTCAACCACATTATCGAAACTGGAAGCAAACCCATCCCACTCCCGACATTCCATAACAATGGCAATGAGTCGATCGCCTGATGGTGAAAAGAGAAGCTCCGATACATCATTCTGTACAAATTTGAGAAGATCTTGGGATCCCTTCGCAGCGGAAGGCATATTGCGGACACATTCCTCCACAACGCCAGCAGCTCCATACGGCTTTCCTTTACGAGAACGGACCACTTCAAGACAGTTTTCAAGAAGAGATAAGTTTGATGATTCAAAGATGCTCTGGGCTTGGTTTTCACAATGTGCGTCCGTGACTCTTGAAAGAACTGCAGGCTCTAAACTGAGGAAACGTCGAGCCTCGGCGCACACTGCGTCTTGGGAGGAGCGGAAGTCTTTTGACTGTTCAGGTGATGATAGCTTCACGGCTTCCAGTAAGTTGTTTGACAACTTTGTCCACAGCGGCTCAAGCTGGTGGCTCTGTTCATGAGAAATGACAGTAAGGAGAAAATCGCTGCAAATCTCCTGCGCAGACGGCGATGGAAGTGACCACTGGGTCATTTCGATGTCAGGTCGCACATACTGTGCAACTAAGGGGGACATCCTTTTCTCGACAAATTCCGCTCTTTGGTCCTGAGGCATGAGAATTCCCAGCCACGCCGCAACCCGAATATAGGTTTTCCATCCAGTAATCAGATTCTGACGTGGCTCCTCTCTTGAGTTGAGACCCGCTTGAAAAGCTTCTGTCAGGGCCGATGCGCTAGATAATTTTACTGTCTCATCGGTTGAGGTTTTATCGGCTCCAGCGAGGACCTCTCGTGGGATTAAACGAAGCAGCTTGTCCAGGTTGGACCAGAAGTTTGCAAGACCTCCCTCTGAGCCTTTCTGAATATATTGGCGCAGTCTTTTGGACGCCGAAGTCTTTGAGGTATAGTCATCTGTCCAGACCTGTGGTCTTGATGCAGTCAGAATGAGCAAGGACTCAGATAGCTCAGAAGCAGAACCAAGCTGCGAAATGGAGAGTGCCTTTCCAATGATTGCCGAGCTAATCAATTTCCAATCAATCCAAGCAGGCTCTCTTGAGACAGCTGATCGTAAAACAATGTAAACAGACCGTCGTACAAAGGGGTCCTCGTGACTGCAAAAAGCCCAGAGAGACTTGCTACCTAGCAAATTCTCAATTTCAGCTATATTGCGCTGAAGATCGTCATCTGGTGAATTTCCTATGTTTTTCGGGATTAGTTCTGCTTTGGTGTTCTAATGTATGAAGAGATGAAGGTACCTAAGATCCGGTTGAAGAGCATCAATGCAGCTCCAACAACGCGCGAGTATTTCGCTTCCGCATCATCCCGCTTGACTGTTCGCTCATCGCTCAGAGTCAAGGGTGTTTGGTGAAGAAGGACATCGTCGATAAAATCCAATGTAGAGCTCTGGTAGATCTTCCATACGTTGCTTCTCTTCTCTTCTGTTGAGAAGACAGTAGTAAATGATTCTAGGGCGGAACGTTGAACTGGCCGGTCATTATCATAAATGCCTGCAAGCCATGCACCTATGACCCGGGAAAGATGAGGCAATATTCTCTTGCCTACTAGCCCGGAGATTGAGCCTTGTAGAACGTGAGATAGCTGCCTTACCCTTCTTGAAAGATCAATTGAAGCTCTGGGGTAAATTTTGACCTTTGGATACAAATTAGTCACACGTTAGAGATATAAATGACCAAGTATATACATACCCAGGCATCCAAGAAGCCATCATCTAATGTTCCCTTCTTCTGTTGAACTGTGGAAATATGGTCCTTGAGTTCCTCAAGAGCTTTTGTTCGTGTGATTTCATCCTTTTTGAGCAAATTCTTGAATGCAATAACCAATCGTTGGTCAAAGATGCGTGAAAGATCCGGGGGTTCGGCAATGTACGTCAGTGAAGACGGTTCACGTCCATCACTTCCAAATGTACCTGAGAAGCCTCCAAATGATCCAAAGCCCCCCAGCAGCAGCTCTACTGCTGGAAGCCTGTGACTTGAACTTTTTGCTCATGTGGGGTATGAGGTCAGCGGGAATAGTGGGGGAAAGTGATTTGGAGTTGAATAAAGCTGGACCGGCACGACTCCAATGAGGGAATATGAGGCTGGTCCAAGACTAAAAGTTTGGAGCAATAAGTTCCAGATCCGCAATGTCTCTGAATCACAATGGTGAGTTGGGAAGAAAGTAGAGGATTTTGAAATTGAATAGTTTGATAAGCAAATTCACTGCGGACTCCCGATAGGGAAATCACGTGGTCTTGTGTCATTGCTAGAGAAATGATCTGAGCTGCGGACTTAAGCTTCTCTCGGCGGTCACTTCTTTTTCTTACCTTGCCTCTGCGCTCCGGGGATATCAGTCGCCATGAGGTTCTTTATTGAGTATGCTACAATATTTCATCATTTTCGTGTCATTTTCGCCTTTCTTTACCTAATTTCTTCTCAAATAGTGATCTTCCGGTGCTGTTCCCGTATCCGCGTATCTACCCCGAGCAATATGCGTACATGTGCGATCTCAAGAAGACCCTCGATGCAGGGGGTCACTGTGTGCTGGAAATGCCTTCAGGCACAGGAAAAACCGTTTCTCTGCTCTCTTTGATCGTCGCCTACCAGCAACACTACCCAGAGCATAGAAAGCTTATCTATTGTTCACGAACAATGTCCGAGATCGAAAAAGCTTTGGCAGAGCTGAAATCCTTGATGCAATATCGTACACAGGAGCTGGGCTTTGAGGAGGAATTTCGAGGCCTGGGCTTGACGAGTCGAAAGAATCTCTGTCTTCATCCGTCTGTGAAACGGGAGAAGAGTGGTAGTGTTGTGGATGCTAGGTGCCGAAGCTTGACAGCTGGGTTTGTCAAAGAGAAGAAAGAGCGCGGTGAAGACGTGGATCTTTGCATATATCATGATGTATGTGCTGAACTATCTGCGATTCTTACGCTGTCTAATCCATCTAGAACCTCGATCTTCTCGAACCGCATAATCTCATCCCCCCAGGCGTGTTCACCCTTGACAATCTCTTGCAATACGGCGAAGAACATAAACAATGTCCGTACTTTTCTGCTCGTCGCATGGTACGTCCAATTTGATAAGTGACCCTAGAAAAATACTCATGAACTAATGCGATACATGATAGATGCCATGGTGCAACGTGATTATCTACTCCTACCATTACCTCCTCGATCCAAAAATCGCTGAAAGAGTGTCCCGAGAACTCTCCAAGGACTGCATTGTCGTCTTTGACGAGGCCCACAACATCGACAACGTCTGTATTGAATCTCTCAGCATCGACATCAGCCAGGACTCCCTTCGGAAAGCTACCAGAGGCGCCAACAATCTCGAACGCAGGATCGAAGAGATGAAAAGCACAGATGCTGAGAAGCTTCAAAGCGAATATTCAAAATTAGTGGAAGGATTGCAGCAGGCAGAACAAGCCCGAGAGGAGGACCAATTCATTTCAAATCCAGTTCTGCCGGATGACCTTCTGAAGGAGGCGGTTCCTGGAAATATTCGCCGTGCCGAGCATTTCGTATCTTTCCTGAAGAGATTTATTGAATATCTCAAGACTCGAATGAAGGTGACGCACACCATCTCGGAGACCCCGCCTTCTTTCCTAACCCACTTGAAAGATCTCACCTATATTGAGCGCAAACCTCTGAGATTCTGTGCGGAGCGGCTGACCTCTCTTGTGCGAACGCTTGAGCTCATGAACATTGAGGATTACCAACCACTTCAGGAAGTGGCAACCTTCGCGACACTTGTCGCAACTTATGACAAAGGTTTTGTTTTGATCCTTGAGCCGTTCGAATCAGAAACAGCCACTGTGCCAAACCCGATCCTTCATTTCACGTGTCTGGATGCCGCTATTGCAATCAAGCCTGTATTCGACCGCTTCAGCTCTGTAGTCATTACTTCGGGAACATTGTCCCCGTTGGAGATGTACCCGAAGATGCTGGGCTTTACTGCCGTCATGCAAGAATCATATAGCATGACGCTAGCACGTCGCTCGTTCTTGCCTATGGTTGTCACCCGAGGCTCCGATCAGGCTCAGGTCTCATCATCTTTTAGCATTCGTAACGACCCTGGTGTGGTGCGAAACTACGGATCGCTTCTCACAGAGTTCGCACGTATCACACCAGATGGTATTGTGGTCTTCTTCCCTTCATACCTTTACATGGAGTCCATTATCAGTATGTGGCAAGGCATGGGTATCTTGGATCAAATTTGGAATTTCAAGTTGATCATGGTTGAAACACCCGATGCACAAGAATCCGCACTTGCCTTGGAGACCTATCGAACGGCTTGCTGCAATGGTCGCGGAGCAATCATGTTCTGTGTCGCTCGAGGAAAAGTCTCGGAAGGTATCGATTTTGATCACCATTATGGTCGAGCTGTGTTGTGTATTGGTGTCCCATTCCAATACACCGAGTCTCGTATTCTCAAAGCTCGCCTGGAGTTCCTGCGCGAAAACTACCGTATCCGAGAGAATGATTTCCTCTCATTCGATGCTATGCGACATGCCGCTCAATGTTTGGGTCGTGTCTTGCGTGGCAAGGATGATTATGGAGTCATGGTGTTGGCAGATCGCCGATTTGAACGGAAGCGCAATCAACTTCCCAAATGGATCAACCAAGCGATGCTGGACAGCGAGACCAACCTCAGTACAGATATGGCTGTCTCAAATGCGAAAAACTTCTTGCGCACTATGGCGCAACCTTTCAAGGCTCGGGATCAAGAAGGTATTTCTACCTGGAGCTTAGCTGATATCGAAAATCATGAGGCCAAGCGCAAGGCTAAAGAGGGTATGGCGGAGCAGGACCTCACCAACGGTCATAAAATGGACGGTGTTGTGACAACCGCGGTCGAAGTCGTGGATGAGTTCGATGACGATATTGATGAAGACCTCGCGATGCTCGATGCGCAGTAAGCTCTTTGAATATTTCTCTGGCCTTGAATTTTTCACGTTTTCCCCTTCTTTTTTTCTTTCTATGGTACGTAATAACGGCGTTCTTGGGTTCTGGTACTAATCAACAGGCGTTTGTGTTTTACTGTATAATAGGGCATAAAAACTACATAGCATGGATGGCGTTAATTGGATTTGAAGAAAATATTAAGATTGATTCCGGCCCCCAAATTCATGGCTTTGAACCGATATCAATTACTCCGGTCTACAGTGATGTCTTGAAGACTAACCATACTCGGGCCATAGTCCCTGCATTTAGCTACCCAATGCCAGTGGAGCTCCTTGATGACGATAAGACATGGATGAATCGATGCCCAGGTGGCCCCGATGGATCCATTATTGCTGAGTCAGATCGAAACACCTTCCCAATCGGGACAGGCCAGACTAAGCCATATTGAGAGGTCATATGCAGGGCTCAATCTATACATACTCCACATCTCCCTCTCTTAAGCTTCGATCCATTCCATCGAAATACTTACCCAAACCGATTCCCACCTTCTCATTTATATTGCTCAAAAGCTTGAACCTTTCTGAATTCGTCATACCTGAACCAGGGGGTCGTCATAGTGGGACGACTCATCGTTGACTTCTTCTGGACAGGGTCAATTGATCTTGAATTCGATCTATTTTTATCTTTTTCTATTTGCTTGCATGGTTTATCGAGGCAAGCCAAGTGCTGCTTGTGAGAGATGTCGGTCAAGACGATTGAAGGTATGTTGGACCCACATAGCGCTCTCTCCTTTGAGGGGTGTACAGCCGCATCCTAGAAAGGCCAAGGACAGGGATTGACGTAGCTCAATAGTGCGACCAAAGTATACCGTCATGCTGCGCATGTATCAGGGCCAAAGTGGAATGTCCTGGATATCGAAACCGCCTTGATTTAAGCTTCCGGGACCAGAATGAGGAGGTAATCAGTCGGGCTCAACGCGCCGCAAGGAAGAAACGGCCTGTTGCGATCACTCCTCCAAGCACGGAAGCGTCTTTCTCGTCTAGGGCTTTGAGCTTTTCTCCGACAATCAATAATTTGGATTACCCGGCACAAGATCTAGCGAAAGGTTATTTCTTTTCTCATTACATTACTGGTGGCCTCTCAAAGGGGCATATGGCTTACCTCGTGCCTCTGATTACCGATCCCGCCAATGGAGCGGTGAATTCTGCGCTGAATGCGGTTGGGCTGGCCGCTTTGTCCAATATTCGACTATCACCTCAAATGATGTTGAAAGCGCGACATGAGTACACCAAGGCGTTATCGGAGACCAACAAGGCATTGGCTAACATCACGATGTCAAAGAGGGATGACACTCTGGCCGCAGTGGTCTTGTTAGGCATGTTTGAGGTGGGTCTGACCTATAAATATGAAAGCTTAGCTGTGTGCTAACTCAATCCAGTGTCTGACTTGTTCCGATGGTTCCTTCATTGACCGTTGGATGAAACATATGGAGGGTGCGACCAGATTGATAGAATTCCGGGGCGTTGATCAATTGACCCGGAAGGAAGGATTGGACTTGTTTACCCAGTTACGTGCACAAATTGTAAGTCTCATCTCCTGGTGAGAAAAAAAAAAGCCGGCCTATTTTAACAATTGACTGCAGCATATTGGCAAGATCTACCAAGAAAAATACAGTTCGCCGCTCCTTTTCACCTTGTCTGAGAAAGCAAAGGAATACCGAGACCCAAATGATCATATTATTGATGAACTAGGCCTGGAAGTCATCCGCTTGAGTAATTTCTGCGCTTCAATGAAGGACGGAAGCGTTACAGATCCTGGCGAGATTATTCGTGCGGCCTTGACCATCGATGCGAATCTCACATCACTTTTCATTACGGTCCCAGCTTCTTGGAACTACAGAATAGTCAAGGTTCCTATCTTCAACGGGGAAGCCATCACTCGAGCCGTCTGGGGAGATAGTTACCATATCTATGAGAATCTTGCAGCAAGCAGCATGTGGAATAACTACCGCTCCGCCCGAATTCTCGTCCACGAATTGATCATCGACACCGTGAAGCGCCTTGATGCATTCACATCGGAAGAGACCCATCGTCGGCAACAACGTGCGTTGGCGAGTCAAAGCCGACTTATTGCCCATCAATTGGTGGAAGATATATGTTCCAGTGTACCCTTTAATCTTGGTGCAGGATCAGAAACTAATGATGGCAATGATATTGAGGCTTCCGCCCCATTTCAGGTGACAGCAGCAGGGGGGTTCAGTCTGATGTGGCCTTTATTGATTGCTGCTAACTCCGGACTCGCGTGTCAGGAGCTTCGTCAGTGGATTATGAACTGCCTGGATAAGATCGGTCATTCTATGGGCATCAATCAAGCATTAGCTATGGCTCAAGTCTTGCGGCGAGGAATGAGCTCCCGAGCATTATCACTGGAAGAGAGTGCTACAACCATCAGCGACTGCTACAGTGGAGTTGTAGAGGATTAGATAGATTACGATATCATGTTTGGATGACTTAAATTTTTAATTCGGCGGTTGAAGTTGGCACCTGGGCATTATAATGAAAATTAGAGCTAATTGGCATTGATTGAGAGGGAAAAATTAAGGATGACCATCCATCTGAAACAGAGTGTTCTATTTTCAAGTAATAATATTCTGAGTTTCGCGTTTCTTCAAGTTCGTAAACAATCACATTAATACTAATTTTAATATCGTCTCCAATGCCAACAACCTTAAAAACAGTTCAAACAAAAAGAATCCACCATCGTAACTAACACCTTGCGCCTATTTCCATCTATATCGCACCCGGGAAAACATTCAATCTTGCCAGTGCCTCTCAAACACTGGTAACTGCAGCACTCCGAAGTTGGGACCACTCGCAGATTCAGCTACTTCGTCGAGCTTCACCACTACCTCCAGGCCGGGGCCATATCCCTACTTGGCGTAGTAGGCACTTCGAGCTCCAGCCTGAGCAAAGTAAGCATCCTGATTCTCAGTGCGACCGTCTTCCAATGCATGAACATCCGGCGCAACAATTCCACCTCCAACAGCACGATCAATACTAGATTGAGGTGTGATAACACCCAAAACAGTATACATCAGAACAACCAGGAACTCCTCAATAGTAGCCATCCCCAGCTGAACGCTTGGATCACCATCGATCAACGAAAACTTCGCATCGTGACCAAAGTCACTGATCAAGCTGTACAGCAAGCGAACTGCAATCAAGGGCAATGCAAAGAAGACACAGATGTAGATACGTTGTTGACTTGGCTGCATCTCACGGAGATCTTTCACCGTGATGACGAAAAGTAGGCAGGTGATAACATAAATCATGAGGAAAATTATGATCGCTGCTTGGGTTTCTTTCTTGCCTCCTGCATGGTCGGATACGTTCGATGAAGCTTGGTCACTTCCGCCGCTGATTGCTAGAATCAAGGCAATCAAGGCGGGAAGATGAAGGATTTGAACAATTTTGCTGCGACGAGATATGGCAGTCGCTCGTTTGGAGAAGATTGAGATGCTGTGATGGACATGGTTAGCATTTAAAGGGTTCAAAAAGGACTCCAGATACCCCAGTAGTAAGATGAGAATTTGAACTTACATTCTACCAACAATAGGTAGAAAACCCAGCACCTCTACTATGAGATTACTTTTGGAGTTTGGATCCGATGGGACATGTTGAGTTGTTTCATCGAAGCTGTATAAAGGTTAGAAATTGACCACATGTGCATGATTTGAGGAATACTTACATTCTTTTCAAAAGTCCCAAAGTTGAAAGAAGTAGAGGAGAGAGACCGACACTTTGTAGAATGAGAGCCCATTCTTTATCGTTTGCGTTGTCTGGATGATTGGTGCTTAGGATTTCCATGATGGCACCAGCAATGCGGATTACACCAAAGATAGAAAGATAGATCCATCCCAACTGCTTATGGAATCCATGACGAAGAACGACAAGGATGGTAACTAGAGTGACAGGTATGTATATGACCAACTCTGCAATGGCGATGTGCTCTGAAGTAACAGCCATTGATGATCGGTATAGGCGTTAAGGTGTTGAAGAACCTGCAAATGAATAGATAATGTGAAGTGATGGAAATAATCGTGTAGAGAAAAAGGTTCAAGTTATGATCGGTCTTGATCTCTATTTTATAATAATTTAGTCGCTACTTGAGATTCGGACTAAGTCAAGGCGAAGTCTAACACTATACTATACTCTAGAACTGCGCAGGTGGCTGAGTGCTAACCGAGCTACATTCCCGAACTGGTTTTGGAAAGGAAAATAAGCCAGTGAGTTACGGAGTAATCCGTACTCAAAATCTATGATAGCCTAGAATTTAATAAATTTTACGCTGTTATTCAAGGGTTCAGGATGATGATAGTTTAAGCCCTATGCACTAAGTGTTGAACCCTTGAAACGGGAAGTGATAAGCACTGTCCCGATTAGGAAAGGGTTTCGATGCCCTGCAGATTTCCTTTGCATATACGATCACCACAAAAAGCTTCAAAAGCCACAACCTTGGAAAAGCTTAGACTTTGCTTGTGTTCAATTTTTCTAAATCTGATTTGTTGACTATTTTCGCATACGGTTTCTCCGTGGCGCCTCGTACTGGATTCCTTCTATGGAATGCTTATGTCGCAGACTCCGAGTCGCAGCGATGATCTTCAATCCTTCCAAGGTTCCAACCAGGAAGTTGTCACGGTTGATGACATGCCAGTAGCCAGATTCTGGAGCTGATTCTCACAAATATTATTTAAAGGGACTGGAAGCCAGGATAAAATAAATCTCAAGATCCAGCACAGCTTTCTCCATCATTGCGCCAAATATCATTATTGCCGAAGTGAGACATTTCAATTTGGCACAAAATGGCCAGCTCTATTTCTTCGATCCTTCTCCTCTCTCTTGGTCTAGCTGCATCTGCCACTGCTGCTAGTTACGATTGCCGACCAGGTCAAAAATGTTGGCCCTCTTTAAGCCAATGGCAGCAATTGAACACCAGTGTTGATGGTAATCTCCATCAAACTATTCCCATTGCTGCTTCTTGCTACAAAAGCTCGGCTCATTATGATCCGAAGGCTTGTGAAGTCGTCGAGGATTACTACGGAGATAGTATTATTCGCGGTGAACACTTCGGGCAGACCTACTGGCTCAATTGGGAGACCTGTCAGAGTTCTGGATGTACGCTTCTGGAATCTGATCCGACTGAGACCACCTATGCCAATTGCTCAATTGGTCGCTTGGCTTCATACTATGTCGACGTTCGTGATCCATCGCATATTTCTGCTGCGCTCAAGTTTGCAACGACGCACAACATCCGTCTTAGTGTGAAGAATACAGGTCATGACTTCTACGGAAGGTCCTCTGTTCCGAATACACTTGCTATCTGGACGAAGAACCTCGATAACCTCACATTTTACTCCAATTTCACAGCTCATGATTGTCCTGCATCGAACAGTCAAAACGTTGGAGAGCTTGACGCTGGAGTTGTTGCTCAGGATGCATACCGCTTCTTTAATAGCCACGGGATGGATATTATGGGAGGCTATGAAGAGTCTGTAGGCCTTGCTGGCGGATTTGCTCAAGGTGGTGGTGTTGGGTCTTTTACAACAACTTACGGTCTCATGGCTGACAACGCTGTGGAGTTTGAAGTTGTCACTGCCGACGGAGAGTTACGTGTCATCAACCAGTGCAATGATCCTGACTTATTCTGGGCCATGCGAGGTGGTGGAGGTGGTACCTATGCGGTTCTCACAAAGTATCGCGTGCAGCTTTTTCCATCCTTGCCCATCCACACATACACCTTCACTGCAAACTTCACCAATGCTACACCCGAGACCAATGCGACAGAGAATGTTGCCTTGCGTGAGATTCTCACAGAACATGCCCAGAGACAGATTGGCTGGTCTTCTCAACTGATCACAGGTCAGATCGAATACTTTCCTGAAAAACTTGCCGTCAGTTTGGTACTAGTATATGGCGACAATGGATCAAAACTGAAGGCTGCTACTGCAGACTTTGACAAGTATCTCAGCAATCGCACAGATCTTTCTGTATCAGAGAACGGATATAATTCATACACCAATTATGCTCAATACTTGTCAGTGACTGCGGCCGACGCCAAAGTCACCGAGCCATCTGGAATATTTTCGCTTTTGTCTTCGCGATTGATACCCACCAAGGTATTCACTGATCCGAAAACCATCGATGAGCTAGTGGAAGGTGTGCTGCAGGGGATTGCAACAGCCAGAAGTCTTCTCGACCTCAGCGGTACCCAGATTGTCTGTGAGACTCCTCTGACCAATGCAAACGCCGACGAATCATCAGCTGTTAACCCAGCTTGGCGGGACGCCCTTTGGCATGTCATCCATGTTGGCGAATGGCTCGAGCCAATGGATGATAGCTTGTTGAAATCCACTGCTGAAGGCATTCTGCACACGGTGGACCCTTTGAAGGCGCTGAGTCCTGGTGGAGGTGCCTATCTGAACGAAGCAAGTTACCTGGAGCCAGATTGGGAACAGACTTATTTTGGTTCTTTCTATGATCGGCTTTTGGAGGTGAAGAACCAATATGATCCCACTCATATATTTGATTGTTGGAAATGTGTTGGATGGAGAGGAGAGTCTGAGTGAGTGTCTTCGCTGTGTTATTTCGTCCTCGTGATAAAATTAGAAATATGCTAACGAACCTTTTAGTCCATTTTACTCCTGCTACGCGTGAGTCCGACTGCAAACTTGGGGTTCCAGCTGCAGCTCGAAATCATGGACTAGTATGTGCCCAGGTGGGTTTCTTGGATACAACACCTGGAAGCTGCATGGCTAGGACGAACTGAAATAAAGGGATGTGCATGGATAGATGTGCCATACTTAAGACTTTGTACTTGAAATCAAAGATTCAAAGTCTCTACGGAGTCAGTGTTGATAATACATACTAGTAGAATAATACCTAGTCCTGGCGAAGAGGTTGAGAACTCTATTTAACTAAAATAAAGATATGCTTATATGAACAGGGACACGCACTTTTGTGTTTCCGCTGAACAGAACTCCAGATCATCGACACGTCAAGATGGCACAAAATGGCAAACATAGCGGAAAATAAAACAAGTAAAGAGACAGGGAGGATACAAGATTTTGCGAGGAATATACACATGCATAAATGAAAGTAACATAAGAGAAACCATACTCCCAGTATTATATCATCTATGCAACAGGGGCAAGGATGTCAAAGGCACCGGTTCCAACGGTACCAGAACGACCAACGACAATTCTGGCACTGGGGCCCTTCAGGTTCTCAACATCTCTCTCAAGAACAGCCTCCTTGAGAGCACCGACTGTAGTCTCGAAAGACATACGAGCAAACGCAGAGGTGGAATCCTTGACCAGGCCGTTACGGCTGAAGGCCTTGAATCCACCAGACTGAGTCATCACATCACCGATCAGGTTCAAGTGACGGTTGTCGACGGAGATACTGTGACCCTTGAAAACTGCGTCCATTTCACGAACGATGGTGGCACGGGCAGCCTCAACACCGTAGTAGTGGAGCATATCGTGGATAGAGTTACAGTAGATGGAGTGTGGCTTGATGATATCCTGGTAATCACGCATAGCGAGCAAGTTGACACCATCGGTGAGGACGGTGGCAGGCTCATCCTTGGAAGCATCAGCCTCAATAAAGACACAGTTTCCGAGGCTAGGGATGGACTGAATCACTGCGTGATTCGCGGCAGCCTCAACCAGTGGGAGGAGCAGAAGCTTGGGGGTCTCAATGTCGTACTGCAACTGAATAGAACATGATGTTCCCTTCTTGGGGTCGAACTTGAACTTGGTGATTTCCTCGAACTTGCTCTTGACATCATCCTCACGGTTGTTGCTGTCCTCCTCGTCGTCTGAGTCCTCTTCTGAGTCGTCGGCGTCGCGCATTTCGACGTCAGTCGCGGACTTTGGTTTCTTGGTCTTGGCATCTTCATCATCATCATCATCATCTGACTGCTCATCCTGCCGCCTGATGATATCCTGCTCATCGTCATCGGGTCCTTCATAAGAAACCTGGTTACTGCGGTTCTGGTTTCCACGGGATCGCTTGGCATCATCCTCATCATCTTCATTATCGTCGTCAGCAGGTTCGTCCTCGCGGTCAGGACCACTGGGTCCTTCGTAAACCCTGCCAACAGAGACACCAATCTCGGGAGCAGCGGCAGATGCCTTCGTTCCAGACTTATCCTCATTTCGCTTCTTGAGCTCAGCCCTTGTAAGCTTTGAGAGACGGGGAATGAACTTGTTCTGCAAGGCGTTCTGAACATCCTTAACCATGATAGCATACTCCTTGGTGTAATCCTCAGCAGGGAAGAAGCTGATGTCGATGTCATAGATCTTCGCCCTGGCGTGGCCGATACCCGCACCAATTCGCTCCTTCACTTGAACCTTATCCACGACCTCAGCAATGGTGAGCTTGCTAATAGCCTTGGCAAACTTCTCTCCATCCTCCTTTGGAATCTCCTCATTCAGGAGGAGAGTCATAGTAGGTGTCATGATCGAAGCACTGGCAGTCATGACAATTTCACGAAGTCGGGGAATACCCAGTGTGACGTTCTTTGCGGAGTGACCAGCCAAATGGAAGGTGTTCAATGTCATCTGTGTTGAAGGCTCACCAACAGACTGACCAGCCATAATACCGACTGCCTCACCGGGGTCGATGATAGACTTCATGTACTTCATGTTCATGATAGCGTCGAATGTCTTCTTCGGGAACTTCTTCTTGAAGCCATCCACCAGCTTCTGAACTCCCTCGAGATCCTTCTTCTTTTCCTTGAAGAGGTTGTCGGGGTTGTCATCGGTATACTGTAGATCAAACGGATATTAGCGTAAACTCTGGACTCGAACTGCAGAAATATAATAAAGCATTCCATACCTTCTTCAGCGCCTGGGCAAATGCCTCAGACGTACTGCCCAGGTTACCTCCAGGGTGATACTTAGACAGAACAGGATCCATAGCGTCAATCTTTCCGGTTTTGCGCACCTTCCTCATGGCATCCTTGTGCCAGTTGGAGACCTCGTCCTTGGCCAGGGCATTGTAGGATGAAGATTGAACTTGCTCCAAAATAGACTCGTGGTTTTCAGCAAGGAATCCGAAATCGTTGAGATGAACCTGCTTGGTGATGTCCAGACCATCCTCACCATACAAGAACTGAATCATGGATCCATCTGACGCTTCACGAACAGACGAGTCGTACTCAGCTCTCAATCCCTCCATACCCTTAATCAAACAACGCTGCAGATAACCAGATCGAGATGTCTTGACAGCGGTATCGATCAAACCCTCACGACCGGCCATGGCGTGGAAGTAGTACTCTTGAGGCTTGATACCGGTCAAGAAACGACCAGAAACGTAACCACCAGCGATGGGATGAGTTTCAAAGGCACGGAAAGATGGCAATGTTTTACCACTGATCATGACTGGTACACGACGACCTTCCAGAACTTGTTGTCCCAGGTTGCAGGAAATCAGGTTGGCATTGACACCGGAACCCTTGGCACCAGAAATTGTCATAGACTGCATTTGATTCCATGGGAAAGGCTTGGCAAGACCAGCGGGGAGACAGGCCTTGGTGATTTCAGAGGAAAGCTGGGCAGAGCGGGCGTTGAAAACGCTATCAAGGCCACCTTGCTTTGCATCATCACGAAGAACATCTTCAAGTCGGCGATTCAATTCGTCCTCTTGGTCCGACAGGGAAGTCTTCTCCAGTGTCACGTATTTCAAAGCCACCTCGCGACCCATTTGAGCTGCGGTGGCCAACTTCTCCTTACGCATGCGATCACCTTCCTTGGTCAATCGAAGATCGTCAATACCGCAAGTAAACGCCCGCATGTTCAAGAATCGAGTGAGAAGGCGACCGAGAATACTCATCAGCTTTCCAGCAATGGTGTGGCCATAAACTTCATGAATGGCATCGATCAGACCACCAGCAGTCGGACCAAGCTGCTTCTTATCGAGAATACCACACAGGAACTCTCCGTCTTTGAAGATGACATCACCCTCCTCGCTACCCTCGCCCCAGCGGCTGGCAGGAGTAGATGACTTACTCTTCAGAGTAAGACCAGCGCGCTCTGGGGGCTGGATGTTCTTGAGAATTGTTGTAATCACCTGCTTTCCAGTCCATAGATACTTGGGCTTAACAAACGCAGGTGCCACTAGTTGAATGCGATCGCTGACAATGTGTGAGTTTTCGGGTCTCAAACAATTGTAGAGGAGTTGGTGATAATCCTCCTCATCAAAGAAGCTATCACGGCAAGTAAACCATGTTCCCATGGAGATGTGATCTTGAATCAGACCTCGAAGAGGTTTACCGGACGTAGCAACCAAATACTGATGATCAGCATCAGCAAGCATCCGGGCTTCGGCTTGAGCAAGCTCATTTTTGGGGGAAATGCATGTTCATCTCGTCACCATCGAAATCGGCGTTGTAAGTGTTACAGTTGGCGTAGTGCATGCGAATAGTTCGCTCATTAGGCAGCACACGAGCCTTGTGACCCATGATAGAGGGCTTGTGAAGTGTAGGCTGACGGTTCATCAGAACATAGTCACCGGTGGTGAGGTGACGATAGACCTTCTTGTTTTTCGATCCCTTTTGACGCCAGTTTGACGGTGCCAGCAGTTGGTTTGCAAGCGCTGTGCGTTCATCTAGACTCTTGAACTTGAGGTTGACAACCTGTCCATTCTCATTTTCAATCGCGGAAGCACCGGGATACTTGTCAGGACCGTTGATAACGGCCTCCTTCAACTCCCAAAAATTGTGCTGTGTCACGGGCTCCGGGAAGGTCAGCTTCCTGGCGAAGACAAGAGGCACACCAATTTCATTGGTCTCAAGGTTAGGATCGGGCGAAATGACACTACGGGCAGCAAAGTTGACACGCTTTCCCATCATGTTCTTTCGGAACAATCCTTCCTTCTTTTCAAGAAGCTGCTTAATACCGTTGGGCAATGACGCAATGGCCGATCCGGTGACAGAAGTTCGCTCTTTATCAATCAGTCCGTTGACATGGTCTTGCAGGACGATAATTGACGAGAGTAAATCGCCATAAGTTCGTTTGCGGATCACAGTCCGCTCTTCGTCATTCTCGTTCTGGATCTCCTTGCTGATCTGATTGATCTGGTCGCACTGCTTAAGAATAGCGTTGAAGGAAGTGTTCTGCTGCGCCTCCATGATCTCACCTGGGCCTTGTTGGGCGGCTGGTCGGTACTTGTTAGGGGGGACCATGAGGCTCTTGATGAAGAACATGTCAGCATTGACAACAACCGCTCCCTTTGGAACGGGTTGACCATTATAGACCAGTTGCAAGACTTCGCCGTCCTTGGCGAAGAGCAGCTTTATGCAGCTGTAAACCTCGACGGAGCTCATGAACTCCTGTCCAACCCCGGTTTGGGCTGCAACAGCAGTACTACGACGGATTTCTTCTTCGGCACCATGTGTCTCTGAGACTACGCTCTCGGAGCGTGTACCATTGAGTTCGGCGGTTGCCTTCTTTTCAGAATCAAGCAGAACCAGAGCATTGGGCGCCTGGAATCCACCGTGTAACATGGCCAATTTAGACTTCTCGGGGAGGGCTTTCTTGAAAATCTTGTTGTAACGATCCTTTCGGAATGCGGGAGAAATACTTGAACTCAATGTTAGCCGACAAGCAAAATAGAGAGCGAAGAATGATTGGTGACATACCCGCTGCAGTTAGAGCACTTCCGGTAGCTGTTGATCTCCTTCAGGAAAGTCTTTACCAGCTCGCGCCTCTGCTCTGCTGCAATTGGATTCTTGTGGCCAGACATTAATAAACCATCCAGTCGTCCGTCCTTCTGGGCCTTTCGGATGGAACGTTCAACGTATTCGGTACGCTTGTCCATGATGCTTTCTTCATCTTCTTCCTCGTCGGCAGAATCATCGGCATTGCCCTTTCCACCCTTTGTTGGCGCTCCCTTGGGGGATCCCATTGAGTCAACAACAGCAACTTCATCAACAAGTCCATACTGGAGAAGGCGCAGCTTGCAGGTGTATAGGTTCACATGCGAACGAGACATTTGCAGGCGATGGCAGTACACACATTGGGCCCGGAGAAGGCGGTAGATGTGGTCAAAGAAGGTAACGTTGTAGAGGGCAACCGGAAGTTCAATGTGGCCGGCATGGCCGGTACAAGACCAAGAATTTTGACGACATGTAGTACAGCTGATCGAGGCGAATTTTTCCTCCCAAATTAGACACGAGCTGATAATATGATAGGAAGCGTATCATGCGAACACTTACATATGATCACCCCATGCGCCCATAGCAGGGTCATAGAGACCACCAGGAACTGGATTGTTAAAAGAATCCAAAGTTGGAGTATTGTGAATTCTTTTCACTGATAGCTTTTTAATTTCTTCATCGGAGTAGACGTCAAATCCAACCCCGGCAATGCTCGAGGCGACTGGGCGCGAAAAGGTCGCCATTGTGTCCTGTAGCTCAGTGGAGCAACAGAAAACGCTGGCGCTGCGAAATCGTCTTGGAGGAGCAGTCTCCAATGATGCTTCTACTGCGGAAGAGTTGAAACCTTCAAGCAACTTTTTTTTCTGCCCAGCTCCACCGCCTACTCCCGCTTTGGGCAACAGCGACCATGGATCTTCGTGCTTGCCTCAATTGATCTTAGCTTGGTGTTTTTTCTTCCTTCCAAGATTTTTTGTGCTTTCTTGCTCATTTGTTCCGTCAACATCTGCTAGTAAAGCTAACGCGGGATTTATATCCTCGCAACTAGCCATGGCGGATACTTCGGGCAACGCGCTGAAGCGTCCTCACCCTGAGGATGACGGCAGCAACTCTCAGAAAAGAACCCGCTCAAATAATGGGTCCCCAGCGCCAGGCCAAGGCAGTGCCCCTGCTGGCAAAGTCGATATTGAAAGGATGGTGGCTGAGGCCAGAGCGAAGGCTGAAGCTGTGCGCGCACGTCTACAAGCTGCGCGCGGCGGTGCGACACCTCCCGTTCCCCCGGCAGAGTCGAGTCCTAGTCCTGCGCCACCAGCACCCAGTCCTGCGATGTCAAGATTAGAGCAGATGAAGGCTAGAGTTGCAGCAGCTACGGCAAAGGCAAATGCCCCTCCCCAAAGATCCGAAGCCCCCGCACCTTACCAACAGCCTCAATCCTTCGACGACGAGGGCCTTTCTAAGGCCCGTGGTGGTCTCGATGTCGGCCTTCACCCCGCCCTGCTTTCTGATGCTGCGCCTGAATTTCGAGGAAGCAAGAGCCGCCAACAATCTAAGGGCGGTCGAATTCCTCGTGGCAAGCAACTCGATCTATCCGGGCCATCTATTGAAGAAATCAAAAACAATCCCTATTTCGATCCTAGCCTCGACCCGAAGGCAACCGTCGCAAAGCCACGTCAGTCTCGACAACTCATTTTCAATGAAAAGGGCAAATATGTGCAACAGGCGGCTGCTCTGCGCCGACAGGCACAATTGGAGGATATGAAGAGACGGATTGCAGAGCGAGCTCGTCAAGCGGGTATCGATGAAGACATGGAGGTGGAGAAATCATATCTTGTACAAGCTCCTCCGGCCGTAGAATGGTGGGATGAAGGCTTGATTAATGGCAGTGATTATGCTGCCATTGATGATCCAGCAAATCTCAAAATCGACACCGCCGACAGTACGATCACCCACTATATCCAACACCCAATCCTCCTCGAGCCTCCTCAAGAGAAGAACGTCCCCGCTCAGAAGCCAATGTACCTCACTCCAAAGGAACAAGCGAAGATTCGTCGACAGCGCCGCATGGCGGATTTGAAAGAGCAACAAGCGAAGATCCGACTGGGTCTTGAGCCAGCCCCAGCGCCCAAGGTCAAGAAATCCAATCTGATGCGAGTGCTGGGAGAACAAGCAGTTAAAGATCCAACAGCGGTGGAAGCTCGTGTGAACAAAGAAATTGCGGACCGCAAGGAGCAGCACGAGATCATGAACCAAGAACGCAAGTTGACCCAAGATCAACGCCGCGAGAAGTTAGAATCTCAACAAGAAAAGGATGCTGCCCTTGGCATCCACATATCCGTTTACCGGATTGACAGTCTTGCGAGCGGAAGGAATCGTTTCAAGGTTAGCAAGAATGCAGAGCAAAATAAGTTGACTGGGATTTGCGTCGTGCATCCGAGGTTGAACCTCGTGATTGTTGAGGGTGGAAAACACTCTGTTAACGCCTACCGCAAGCTGATGCTCAACCGTATTGATTGGACCGAGAATCCTGGCCCAACTACATCGGACAACAACCGTGAAAGTCAGCCACTGTGGCTGTCTACGGAGGATGATAAAGGCGAACCACGGGACTTCAGCCACAACTCTTGCACCCTTCTTTGGGAGGGTCAGGCCAAGACCCGTGCATTCAGGCGATGGCTTGGTGCAAGAATCTGTGAGTCGGATAGCGCCGCTAAAGAAGCTTTGACTCGATCAAAGATGGAGAATTTCTGGGCATTGGCGAAGAGCCATAAACCTGCCGAGTTCTGAGGCGGTGATAGCTAAGGACAAGAGTCGTCCTCTTCTTTTCTTAATCATGTAAGAATCTCAAATCCTTATTTTATTTTACGAATGAATACGTAGGCCTTAGGCCTCTTTTACTACTTAGGTTCCTGCACTTTTATGCTTATTCCTAGGGCTGCCACTTTCCCAGATCCAACTATAAGCAGCTAGCCTTCCCTTCCACGTCATACCGTAGGTAACCCCGTAGGTACTTACATACATAGATGGGTAGGTCAACAGTCACTTAAGGATACTTCTGACTGAGTACTTAAGTATGTGAACATGGCTGCCTGAGAGGATGTGAACACCTGGGCAGTCATGGGTGCTTACAGGGTGCTTACAAGTTGATCTGATTGAGATGATATAGCACTGAGTGCCAGTGTGTCCATTTAACTGAGCTTCCTAGCCAAGCGCTCGAGTGCTGAGGAGCCCTGGATATACCTTTCCCTTTTTTCGCTACTACAGTGTCAGCCGAAGCGCGACGTAATGACTTGTACTCTATACTTGATATGTCCATCAACCTTGGGGAGATTCCCATGCCTTTCGATAAATCAATAACTTTTAAACCTAAATCCATATAACCACATTGACCCCGCTCCAAATGCAAAATGTTTCAATATCAAGATCATGCCACAACCTTGGAAATATCCAAGGTGAACATGGGAAACAAAAGGTATTAAAAGCAAAACTAAGAAGGAGGTCCCTGGTTACCATTGCTCAAGTTCCGCAACAGATCCAACTGGGCTTTGACCTGCTCAAAGTTCATAGATGGGTTCGGCTGTTGTGCCTGTGTAGAAGGTTGTTGATGTTGCTGGTATTGTTGAGGTTGTTGGTATTGTTGAGGCTGTTGGTAATGTTGCTGTTGCTGCTGTTGCTGCAAAGCGGCCAAGAACAGAGGGTTGATATGTGCCCCCTGTGGAATGGTTTGGAATGGATTTTGCTGAGGGAAGCCAGGTTGGAAAGGAAATTGGAAAGGAAATGGTGACGGAACTGCGCCTTGAGGAGCTTGTCCCGGTTGCTGTGGCGCATACTGCTGGGCATATTGTGGGAAACCAGCGAAAGGCTGGGGCATGCTGAAAGCGGGCTGCTGTTGGGGATAGGCCGGCTGGCCGTAAGGAGTTTGCTGAACTTGAGGAGACGGAGCTGGCTGACCATATGAAGAACCGCTGGCCTGTTGATGCTGAGGTCGACGGTCTTGGTCTCTTTCACCATGGCCGCCTCGTCCACCACCACCTCTCCCACGACCGCCGCGGCCACGGTCAGTGCCTCGGCCGCCACGACCTCTACCTCCACGGAAGCTAGGTCCTCGCTCCCCACCCTCGATGGGTGCTTCGCGAGAGCCCATGATCTCGTGGAGATTCTTTGGACGAGCAAGCGGTGTGTAGCCCTCTTCGCCTCCTTCCTCATCGTAGTTGAGTTCAGTTTGACTCAGCTTTGAAGGTCCTGGGGGGTCCCTTTTTTTTGCCACCGTCCTTGCCTTCCTTCCTCTCTTGTCTCTTCTGCTTCAGCTTTTTGCGATAATCAGCCTCAGCTTCGTCATCGGAGAACTCCATTTCATCCTCAGCAACCTCCTCATCGTGGAAGTTCGAGGCATCGCTACCCTTCATACCCTTGAGTGGCTGGGTAAAGACGAAGGTAGAGTGAGATTCAACATAGTAGATAGGCATATCTTTGACCACGCCCTTTTCCTGCACTTCTTCCGCGCTTGGATACATAACGGTATACAGCGGGTGCTCAACTCGGCCAAGGGTTTCAGATACGACACCCAAAACTCTGCGGTCCTCTGAACAAAGCAGGGAACCAGACTCTAGGACTTGGTATTCACCAGATGTGTTTGCCTCGACAAGAACAGCACTGTCAATAGCTGCTTGGACTTTTCCGAGGTAGATGATCTTCATCTCGGGAGTAATGGTGACTTCGGGAATGGGCAAAACTTCATCCGCAACCTCGTTGGTCGAACGGATATAGCTACCAGATTTGCCCTTATCACCCTCGTCATCGGAGCCACCTTCGGCAAGCATGAGTATCCGGGCTTGTTCTTCAGGGCTAAGAATTGGGTAATCCTCGTCGTCGCTGTCATCGGAGTCGGAATCGGTCGAGCTGTCGGAAGATGATACGTATGGGTCGGAGTCGACTTCCCATTCAGGGTGCTCTTCTTCCTCCTCTTCTCCTTGTGCATTTTGTGGCTGTTCTTGCGTATATTCGGTGGGAATTTCTGTGCTGCTGGGCTCGGCTTTCACGTCGACTTCCATCGCATCACTGTTCGCCTCAACCGTTGGCTCAGCCTGAGCTGGAGTCTGGTGATGTTCATGGGCAGAATTAGTATTGGCCTCCGCCTGATTCGAGCCATCTCCATTCTCTTCCTGGTTGACAGGTACATCTGACTCCTGTTTGACTGGTGCCAGAGCGATAGGTTGCGCCGGTTGCTCCTCAGATTGACCGTTGGATGCATTGACAAGGCCCAACCCAGGGATCATGGGCATCGTAGACGCAACCCCCGATGTCTCTGATACAGGCGCAATAGCCTCCGGGGTCGCACCGATCACTGGCGTTCCAGCATTCAAGGGAGTGTTGTAGAAATCACTACCATCGTCCGGTGTGTTTGCGATAGGCGGCGTATCGACCATGCAGGGTCGTTTCGAAGGAGGGCCGTCACTGACACCCGCAGATTCAACGGGGACAGTGTTTTGGTCGCTCATGATGATGCAGATAAGAAAGCAAAAAAAAACTTTGGCTTAAAAATGCGTTGCGACTGAAGGAACTTTCTTCTCAAAAAAAAAGTTGCGGGAACTTTTTTTGCGGATCTGCGTCAGTTGCCGTAGCGGCCACCGGACAAGCTCCGCCTTATCGTTTATCTTAGCGCCGAAGATTGGCGTTATTCAACACATCTGCAACATCCAGCACAAAGATGGCCGGGGTAAAGAGCTCCAATTCTGGAGATTCTCATACTCCAAAAGCAAAACAACGGTATGGGACTGAGTCTCACTGACATAGATGTTTGATAGTAGTAGCTAATAATCCCAATTACAGCCCTCCTCCATCTCCATTCTATCTCCCACTAAACATTACACTCTACGTATGCCTCCTTGCCAATGGCCTCGCGGCATTCGTGGCCCCAATTCAAGATTGCGATGAAATATTCAACTTTTGGGAGCCAGCTCATTACCTTCAACATGGATATGGGCTTCAAACATGGGAGTATTCCCCTGTCTACTCCATCCGAAGTTGGCTCTACGTGTCTCTCCATGCCTTTGTTGGAAAGCTGGGCTCGTTATTTGTCCACTCTAAGACCTCCGAATTCTACGTGATCCGAGTATTCCTGGCCATTTTCTGTGCTGCATGCCAGACTAGGTTATACTCATCTATCTGCCGATCTCTTAATCCCCGCATTGGTCTCTTGTTCCTTATGGTCGTTATCTTCAGCCCTGGTATGTTTCATGCCTCGACTGCCTTCCTGCCGTCCACTTTCACTATGTACACTTCGATGCTTGGGCTGGCTGCGTTTTTGGACTTGAAAGGTGGACCAAAAATCGCTCAGGGTATCATGTGGTTTTCTCTTGGTGCGATTGTTGGCTGGCCATTCGCAGGGGCTCTGATCGTGCCTCTTCTGGCTTCGGAGGGCATTATTTCAATTCTTTCTGGCTCTTTTGGCTCGCTTCTCTTCGCTGTTATCGACGGCGCCATGAGATGTCTTGCCATTGCAGCTCTTGAGGTTGCCGTGGACTATGCCTTTTTCCGCAAGCTGGTTCTTGTTCCCTGGAATATTGTAGCTTACAATATCTTTGGAGGCCAAGGCAAGGGACCTGAAATTTTTGGCGTCGAGCCTTGGGCTTTCTACATCAGAAACTTGCTGCTCAACTTCAATGTTTGGTTTGTCCTCGCTATGCTAGCAGCTCCGCTTTTAGTGCTGCAGGTCATTTTCAGTTCTCAGTCTTCGGCCGTCCAGAAATTTATGCGCTCGATTACGCTGACTTCCCCATTCTATATGTGGTTTGCAATCTTCACAATTCAACCTCACAAGGAGGAGCGATTCATGTACCCCGCATACCCATTCCTCGCCCTGAACGCCGCTCTCTCATTCCATTTGATTCTTACCTATCTTGGATCTAGCAATCCAAAGGAATTAATGGGCCGGATTCCCACGAAGCTCAAGCTTATTGTTGCTTCGTCTGTTGTTCTGTTGGCTCTCAATGCCGGCATGCTGCGCATTCTAGGAATGGTGACAGCGTACAATGCTCCTTTGAAGGTTTTTGAGCCGTTGCAGCAGGTGGATGTCGCTCAGACAGGAAACTCGGTCTGCATCGGTAAAGAGTGGTATCGATTCCCCTCATCGTACTTCCTGCCACAAGATATGCGCGCCAAGCTCATTCGCAGCGAGTTCCGCGGTTTGTTACCGGGCGAGTTTCCGGAGTCTTCGAATCCTCTCGGTCGCTTGGAGGGTGCGTCGAAGATTCCATCTGGTATGAACGATCTCAATTTGGAAGATCCTAGCAAATACGTAAGTGTAACGAACCACGACTTTCAGTTTACTTCGCTAACCTGGCTCTTCAGACTGATATTTCCGAATGCTCTTTCTTGGTCGACTCCTATTTCCCAGGGCGCGAGGAAACTGAGCTTGAGCCTCACTACATCCTCCAGGACACTCAGTGGGAGACCCTGTCCTGTGCAAGGTTCCTAGACACGGCTGAGACAGGACTTCTGGGTCGGTTAATCTGGGTGCCAGACTTGCCATTTATTCCTGATCAATTCCAGCGCAAGTGGGGCCAATACTGCCTCCTACAACGCAGGGCTGAGTCCGGCATTGTATAAGTCCCCTATTGTGTTTACTTGTGCAAAATTTTCGAAGCATTATTGTATCTATACCATTTTGAAGGTTTACGTGTAAATATTCATTTGTAGAGGATGATTCTGGCCTCAATCTAGAATTAAGTCGTCCATCCACGTCAGCACCCTTGAGACGAGTCACGTAGATTCCTACTAACCTTGAAAGATTCAAATATTCTAAATCCTTAATGCAATTCTCTTCAAATGTTGATAATCTGGGGTAAAACTTTATTTCACGACTCACTTTACCCAATTAGGAAATGAAATCCCTCTATGAGTTCACACAATACTTCCAAGGTCAACGATAAGCAGCCCCTCACAGCTGATAACCCATCTTACTGGCTGATTGTCGCTTTTCTCAGGCGATAAGCCTTGCTACATGCAAACCCGGATCCATCGGCCTTAAACAGACGGATGTTGCATGCATTTCTTCCCCTCTTTCCAGCACATGAAGATAAGGAAGGACCTCGCATCGGCTTAACCAGAATGGTCAATGGCGCGAGACCAGCAACGTTATCTTTGATGTAGCTCGAACTAGCATGTCATTGATACCATGATTTAGCGTTCTCCTGCCGTTTTAGTACACAGGCCTTGCTGCTTTTTGTTCATGAGAAGAACTGAGCACGCATGCTGTCTGATCCACATTCGGGTGATCGACCCGATGATGGAACCTGAATAAAATGCAGCACCTAGTCTATTAAGTCATGATGCCAAGGCTTGTCTATATAGAAATTATTGCCTAGTAAAGAAGCATTGTCCATGTATTCCATCATGTATTTAGGATTCATGCGCTTCGCGCTTCAAGATATTCTATTATCCATATGTGCATGACACAATTAGCCCTCGCACGGACAGGAAGTAATTCTCAGAGTAGTATCTTGGAATGTGATATAACAAGAACCATCTTTTGAGAGCTCGTATGTTGTTTCATCCAGGAGGCCTGATGGATCAATAACCAACGATTCATCCGGAGCTTCTCTCGCGAAATTGGACTCCATACTTTCAATTGTATACTGAAATTTCTTTGTCGTTGATGCGGAATCTGAAACTCTTTCCACGTCGAAGTGAACTTCAAGAGAACCTGATACAAAGATAGGTCCGCTTCTCATAGTACTCCCGAGCGATCTCATCCCTCCTATAGCAAGATCAAAAACAGTATCCAAAGACTTTATTGATGCATTTGATGTCGTTGTTCCATTCACAATCGGCTCTTCTGTCACTGTAGTCTCTATTGGACTTGTTTAAATGATCTCTAGACGCGACGCACTCCTTGGATGCATTATGCTCGCTAATCTTGATGTACTCGCCGGATGCAATACACTTGCTGGTTTTAATGTGCTTGTTGACTGTGACATAGCTGCTGTTGCAGTTGAGATTGACAGAGGAAAAATGGTGCTTTCGTAAGGAGGTTGAGGGTGAAGGAAAGCATGAGAGTTCATCACTCTCGCACCAATGGTGTTTCCGGCTCGTTCCAAGAGAACCTTGTTAAATTTCTTCTGTAGATCTTTGAACTGCCAGAGCGATGGAATTCTCCATCCAGAATATAATCTCCCATGAGTCCGCGATGTATGCATTCGTCCATGCATCTCAATGAAGGCCTTGCAAAGGTAACAGGCATCCTTACTGGAAGCGATTACTCGAGGAAACAATTCCGGTGTTGATTTGATCTCGCAATACGCAATCAGCTGAATCTCAGAATTGATTTTTGATTCCTTGAGAATCTTTCATGTCCGCTTTGAAACCCCCTGTGAAGGGATTTCGCCTTTGGCCAGTTTCATGCATTTCGAGATCTCGGAGACTTCAAAGCCACGCCCATTGGTTATAACTAAGAGCGATGCAACATCCTGAATGTTTGGTGCATACCCAGACCGGTCAGGTCGATCAAAGGCTTCTGGAGGGAGCTCTGCTAGCTGAACCTGCATATTTCGAGCAAGTGGGAATTTCTTGGCGAAGCGATAGAGAACCCTCGGAATCCTGTGATATCTGCTCAATTTGCTGATCATATTGAATAAACTGGTAGCAAAATTTGAGTCCTGAACCAAGCCAAACTTGCCGGTTGGTATGAGCTTCAGGAGTTTAGATAGGTTCTCTACTTTGTTCAATCGCCAAATTCCCGCCAGGAACTCATTCAAGCTGTTTGGAACTTGATATTTAGACCATTTGGTGATCAACTGCATCACATCCTTCAAACTCGATAAAGTTTGCACTGATGCCTCAATCAGGTTCGCTTTCTGGAGCTTCTGATGCTCTATACTTTGAATGCCCTGCTGGCTTTAGCCAATCTTTCCTTGAGGTCGGTTAACCCCTGGGTCTTTTTGCGTTTGTTGGGGACTAAGCGCAGACGACTCAGTATTCGGGCAGAGCACATCTCAATGATAGACTCGCGAAGCTTTGCTTCAATATCGCGAGAAATCTCTCTATTTTCTGGTTTACACTTTCTGTTAGTACACTCAAATCAAAGCTTTAGAGAAGGGACATACAACCATAATCTGCAGTGTGGAGTATTTCAAAAATCTCTTCGAGTCCCTCTTTCAGGTCTCGAAGAATGTCGTCATTATCCTTCGGGCGGCTTTTATTGACTGCGATAATTACTTTCAGGGAGTCTCCACTTTAATCCTTCTCAACACAGACTGCGGGGATGTATTCAGAGCCATCGATGGTCTTAGAAAGGAACGAGAGAGTCTCTACCAAGTCACGTTCCTTGGTGAAAGGGAATTTATGGTGCGACCCGGCTGAAGATGAAATTACTCACTCGGTTTGGGCTCGGTTTCTCTGGAATCTCATGTAGAAGATGATTAAGGGAAATAGATTCAGCACAAATTATCTCAGGGCTCCGGGGCTTCGGAGCCATACTGAAAGATAAAGGAAAAATGGCAACGAAAAAAAATAGAGCGATAAACGAGTCAAATATATCTGCACGTTTTTATGGAGGAATTATAACACTTTTTTATTTTCTTACGATGTCTGGAGGGAACATTTTGAAGACTGAACAGATGCACTGGAAACAGACACTGACGTGCAGAAATCGCGGCTTATTATAGGCAGCTCATAACCAGTGCCTATCAGGTCCAGTAGGTATGACAGGTCATATAAGTAAGTATCCTTGTTGTGACAAGAAGGAGGGTCAAGATATGATTTTATTGGACTCTGGATGACCCCTGTTCGCCCAATTTACCGGGGACCTCTAGTGGCTGCAGTTTGTTTATGTATGACTACGTGGCACGAAGTAGACGACGAGATTCTGAATCTGACCAGAATAGTGCATTCTTGACCTGTCATTACCCGCTCTCCACTTATTCATAGCGCAAATAATAACAATTATTATTATACAAGGTCGGCACACTCAAAATTCCGGGGCTCGGGAAGCTTAACTCCATGCCGGATCGGCCCGCTTCTAGTATGTGGACTTGACACTCAAAATATTCCCGAGTCTCGACATCAAAAAAAGAATAAACATGCTCTATGTATAGTGTTGAAAATAATCTAGCTTGTATAGAGGAAAGATTTCAAAAGAGTGAGCTTCCAAGGTTCCAAGGTTATGATGGAGTCAAATTATTTCTCGCCGCCGATCCTGAGGTCCACGGGTCCTTTTAACCCTCAAGAGTCATTGTGATAAAGATGGATCCATTTGTCCATGTGCTCTTGATTCGCTTAGCTGATTCTTCAAGTCTCGTTGGCTCGCTTATTCTATGTGGGTGATCTTCGGTTAATTGACGTTGATCTCCACTGATTCCAGAGCCTCAGATTGTGGGGAGGTAACCAAGCATCGTGTGGCAGCCATGTATGTATGGAGAACGAGGCATATGTACTTCCGTGGTGATCCCAAGGTTCTTATTGGTCGATTTAAAGAGCTGTGCGAGTGATTTGGGTACGCCTTCCAACATTGGGAGCCCTGACAGCAGGGTATAAATTCCCAGGTTTTCTCTTGCTTCAGAACTTCTTCCTCCTTTTTCCCCAAAACTTCTCTACATTTTCTTCTCTTAATGGCAATCTTGACCTGATATCCTCTGAGACTACCTTGTCTTTATTCCTCTTTTGTTGACACGACCTTATTGACGTCTTGTCGACGCGTCCTTCCATCATGACTTGTTGACATGACATTACCTTGTTGACATAAACTTGTTGACGCGTCCTTCAACCCATACATCATCCATCATAACATTGACCTATCAACTACATGACCTTCATCTTGACATGTCACCTTGGTCAAGGCATCAATCCCACAGGTGAGCCTTCCGTGCCCATGGTCTTGTCCTGGGATTTGTATTTTGATTGCTCTACAGAGCCCTGCCCACGGCGCCACTAGCAACACCTTGCTAAGAGGAGACTCGTTCGGTCTTCTCAAGACCTTAGGCTTCATCCGTCAATCCATTAGTCTATCCATTCATCAACATGAATTTAGCAATTCAATCTTATCTTACTTGATGATTTCCTCTGATGATCAACATCTTCTTACAAGTTTGAGATGTCTTTGACACATCTAAACATTCTCTTGCAATACAATACCATGGTCTGGTTTGATGGTTCTCACGGTCTAATGGGTCTTTGTTTTTTTTTCCTATGGGCTTTGGTGGACAGGCAAGTGATCCATACTCTTATCAATAAAAAGAACTTACTAACCTTCCACGCAGCCACTTCTTAAGGCTCCACCTGGCCCTCTTCCCTCCGCCCCCCCCCTCCCTCCGACGCCCTCCCTCCTTCGATTTCGACAATGCAGGTGGTGGCACAGTCTGCAGAAACAGCAACACACAGGGAAGAAGAAGCTCCAAGTGTATAACACAATCTACGACATGCAGGGGGTGGCACAATCTGCAGGGCATACAACGCACAGCGGGGAGGAAGCTCCGAGTGCAATCTCAAAACAATCTCAACCCAACCTCCAACAAACAAACAAACATACATGAGTGGACAAGTACATTCGGGTTTCTCTAAGGTCAATCTTTTATTTCTTTCTTGTAATTTCCACTATGTACCATTTGACCTTTTCATACTTCCCACTATAAGTCCACACCCTTGACAGTTCAATTCCTGTCATATACTCTATCACATGTTGATGTTGAGCTCAATCCATCATTCCCTTTCAACCATCATCTATCCCGAGTATCATTTAGTAGATGGTAATATTAATCAGTACAATAGCAACAGGATGCTGGAGGTCAATAACTCCAGGGCTGTAAACAAGTTGTGGGTCCTTTTAGAGTAACTAAGCTTGGTGCTTATTAAATGGGTCGAATGCAGCCAGACTGGGATGTACGCGGGGAACACTCCACCTCTGTTATCGTTAAAGCGGCACCAGTTGACCCCGCCTACATAGAGCTACTTTATCTGATGACCTTACAATTTTCAGTCATTCAGGTATCGCTTATATGGATGTACTAAATTGCATGTCTCATATTCGATTATTCTCGGATTATATTATTATGAATACATCCACGACCTTTTAGAGCATTGTTTTCGATACATGTCCATACATTTCATCAGCATCCATGGCGATAGCGACAGACTCCCTACGAGGGAGCTTTACTCCAAGCAAGGATACGATAGGTGTTTTCCTGGTTTTGAATATTTGTGCATACATCATTACCATTGTGGTCCGAAAATGGAATGCGTCCAATAAAGCACCCAGGCCTTCTACTCCAGACCTGGAGAAGTCTACATCAAGACCAGGTGCCAGAGAAAAGGTTATCAGGAAGCCCGGAGGTAAGTCGCTTTCCTCGATAATTGTATGACGCATAAATATTTAAGATTTCATAACTAATCTTTCATGCATCAGAATGGACACCGTCTGATTTCAAGAGACCAACTGCTGCCCCATACCCTGACTGGGATGTTCACACTTCGAAGCCCATTCCCTACCGACCATTTCGATATGGCCCGTGAGTGCATACCCATTCAAAATAGGAGTATTTTTCTGTATCTGAAACCTTAATTAGGAATTATTTCACGACAATGGGCCTACGGAGTATGAAATGGGATGAATGGATAGGTAGGAGCTCATCTGCAAATGCACGAAAATACTATAATGAACTCCAGCTAACATATACCTCCATCTGACAAAGAACTCGATAATCATTACCTCAAGTATCATGCCGACAAATCCAAGCGCATCGAAGAACGCGGCGAGAAGTGCTACAGAACAGCACCCGAAGCCATGGACGCCGCGATAGAACTACTAGAAGAGCTGTAAGTACAATAAACCAAGCAGACCACTCCAAATGACTCAAACTAACCCTCTCAAAGCTGCAATTACCTACCCGAGCGATATCCCAACATGTTCCAGAAAACACCAACTGGAATAACCAACACAGTAACCCACGAAACATTCAATATAACTCAACGCCCACTTCCAGAAGACCCAATGGCAACAGCTGCAAGGCTCGTCCAAGATGACCTCGCCATAATGATTGAGAGACCAGACGGTGAATACTACCTCCTAGCAGGAGCGATCCTCCTCGCGGGATTCTGGCGACTAAGCGATAAATTCGGGATGTCATTAGAAAAAATTCACACATCCGGTGACGTGCCTCAATTCCGTGAGAAGTTGCAGCGCGGTATGACAAACTTCTTCCGTCGTCTTCGACCTGAGGAACCTGTTCTTCGCAATAATTACTTTATCCAGGTAGATGACCAGCTGGCTTGGTCACCTAGTATTGGATCTGAAGACTCGGAAGAGGTATCATGGAATACGGCGGAGAAGAATCGAGCGATTGAGCATCATTTCTTCCGATCTGAGCGACAGTCTCTCAGAAGATTACCGCGGTCTGGTGGGGTGGTCTTTACTATTCGCACGTATTTTGAGCCCGTCACCGAGATTGTTAAGGAGCCGTATGTTCCGGGACGGTTGGCGTCTGCTGTTCGGAGTTGGGGAGATGATGTTTCGAGGTATAAGGGGAAGGAAAAGTATGCGGAGGTTTTGTTGGAATATTTGGACGCGAAGCATGCGGAACAGGTTGCTGCTGGGTTGGATCTTGGGAAGGAGGATGAGATGCGGAGTTATCCAATGTGAGATTCAAGTTGGAATAGAATCTTGAGCTTTAAACCTCTATTCTCAATTTTCATTAATTTAACAGGTATGAACCGCATGATTAAACCAAGCTTGTATGTGGGAGTAGAGGTGAAAGTTCTAGTTCGAAGGTTTTCATTGAGTAGTTTTGTGAATCTACTTATCCAATATCGTACATCTATGATAGAGCCTCAAGTAGTTGCAGAGGCACTGGTGCTCCGTCTTTGATTACGTCTTGCGAGAGCCCATTCATGTCCTTGGCGCCATGTACATTCATCTCGAAATTCGCAAATCCGGCATTTCCACGCTTCTGCGATACCCACTCCGTTAGGATCACGCTGACCGCGCCACCACTCCATTTGTTCAGTAATATATGCGTTCATGTTATTAGGATCAAATAGGAAAGATCGGCTTCCCAATAGTCGTGACTCGAGGTTATCTGTGGCAGCTGAGGATAGAAACCGCGCTGTGAGCACAGGTGAGAGTAGAGTAGGATACTCCTGTAGCAGCTCGGGTTGAGTATGATGTGGAATAGATGGTGCGATGGACCTTGTTTCTGGGATATTTGGCATGAAGGTGTATCGGAGTTGCTCTTTCATGTAGGCCCATAGCTTGGACAAGTTTCCGTGAGTCAACAAGATACTTGTTGAGTCTTGACTTGCTCGTGGTGGACTGGATGAGCCAGAACCAGAACCATGCGAGATCCTCCGTACATCTTCTGGTGTTGGCGGATCATCAAGATCGAATTCTTGAGAGGAAAGGGCATCAAAAAATTCATCGTTAAGACCTCCAACTTCCATAATGAAGGCGTCGGTGAATGGCTTTTCAGGGTCAAGCAAATACCTTTCTGCGAGGAGATCGATTGTCACATCATCACTCGTCAAAAGGCGGCTGAGCATATGGTAATAAAGCTGCAGCTGGAGAGAAGTGGGCCGAAATGATGTGCTCTTCACTGTTGGGATAGAACGACTACCTCTCGTTTTCACATCTGTCATGTAAATTCGTGGGAGGTCATACGCAGCTGGTGAAGTTTCCTGTGTAGGTGCAGGATCTACCGCTCCACCCAAATCCATCGAATCAGTCTGTCCTAGATCTGAAAGTCGTCGCCCACCCTGGGATGAAGATAATAAGAAATCGGAGAGCGACATCTGGTACTCCGGTAAAGCAGCTCTCGACGCCACCGCATCTTCATAGAATTTCGCAGCCGTGGCTTCAAGCTCTGAATCCGGACATTCATAGGAAAGCTGATCAATGACTCCATTGACCAACTCCCCATCAATAAGTCCCCAAACTTCAAGTTCGCGCGTGATTCCATATTGGCGCAACATTCGCAATCCCTGAATCACGTTCCATATCCGTAGAGCCCATGCATCCTCCTTGGTGGTAATCTCCACAGGAACAGTAGTGTATATCTGATCCTCGAGGCTCTTATGCACGACGCTACCAGTCTTCATGGCCGGGGTCCTCCGTTTTCTCCCATGTTTTGTCAAGGTATACCAATATTGTAGCTCGCACCAAGCAGGTGAAATCAGATCCGTAACAGAGAAAGCTTTGTGAGGAGGTCTTCGGAATCGCTCAACGGGGGACCGAGGATCCAAGGTCGGCAGCAGTTGCTCATGCTGTGTCCATTCTTGTTCACGCGCCGCGACGCGTTCTCGCTCTCTTTGCCGACCTTCTGTTGAATTAGCGTCTTCAACTAAACGCTTCGGATATCAATACGTCAGCCCAATTCGAAATCCAAATCTGTCGCAACTTGCGAGTTAAACATGTCTCGAATCTCCTTCACATACCAGACGCAAGGGCACTGTTGATTGCGCCCTGGGTTGTTCCCCCGCCAATCCAGTGCGCGCAGATGAGACTTCCGTCCATGTCTGACGAGTGTATTGCTTCCACGGTGAACGAGGCTTTTCCCGACCCAGTACCTTAGGCAACCTGGCAGCTGGTGGCTCAATACCATCTTCAATATCCGGAACAATAGCCGCGAAAGACGCAGGCTGTAAAGATCCAGTAAGCGCAGTGTCAGCCGCTATTGTCGGGGTTAAATTATTCGCGGTCGCAAAGACAGGGGTTGCTCTGGGCGTGGAGGAACTCGTTGGGGTGGCGGACTCGGCGGGCGCGTGCTCCGTAGCCACTTGTGTAAGTAACTGGTTAATTAGCACTTCCTCATCCGGAGTGAAGTCAGATCCGTAGTCGCTGCTGTCAGGGTCATTATGCTGGGACATTTGTGGAGGGCAGGAAACGCCTGCGACAATCAAGGAGGCTCATGGCCTGCGGGGGTTGAAGATGCGGAGTGCGTTATTGCGCGTTAGATTGAGATATCCATGGCTGTTGTTTTAGGAAACCGGTACCGATAATTGGCGCTTTATCCACTATATTATGAAGCATTCGTCGCAATAGTTATAACAATTCAGATTATTATATTAATATTGAGATAAAATAAACGAAAGGAAACTCTAGTCTATTGGTAAATAATCTATGGTCTAATCTTGGTATCTGCAAATACAACGCTCCGAGAAAGACACTATGGCAAAGCCCCAAACGCCAATATGTCGGGACATCAAATCTGTACAAGTTCCAAAAGCCAAAGCCAATATGGCTTTATTTTTTATGCAGTTCCAGCTGCAGGGAGCAGGTTCCTAGATATCGTGTGCGAGGCAGCGGATTCAAGCTTAGCCTCAGCCTCTCGAACTTCACGAGCGGCCTTCTGGTTCAACCAACTCAGGTATGTCTGCCAGCAAACAGCAATTCCGCCAGAAAAGACATTCCGGAACTCTGGTGGCACGTACATGAAGCTGAATGCGGTGACCGCCGGCCAGAGCTTGACACTGTTGGTGATACTGACGGGCAGTGCCTTCTTCAAGCGCTCAAAGGTTTCTTCAAAACTGGCACCTGCAAGCAGGGAATGCATGCTGAAGAAGTAGGTATTAAAGACAGGGGTGAAACACATTTGTTGAACCACAACCTTGGTCAAGATGGAGAGAAACTTCGAGGAGTAGTTGAAGTTATTATGAAGGAACATGAACCTGCGAGTTTCATGATTAGTATGCTGTATGGGACGGAATCGACGTATAGAAGATTGCTGTACTCACCATTTATATGATGGAATACTAGAGATTGCTCCAATCATCAAGTGTCGCACCGTTCTCCATGGATTATAACTGCTTCCAAAGCTCGGCTTCTCATCCTCATTCTTCAGCTCTGCTGCCTTATTCTGACCGGCCTTAGGCGCTTGATCGTCCGATGGGAATAATAGTTGCGCACCCAAGTCACCAAATAGATAAATGATGATGGAGCTCCAAATTTGAGTCTTGTATGGGCTCTCACTCTGTACACGAGCATACCATCTTCCAAATGTACCCAAAGGGCTGGCCTTCACAAGTTCGCGAAACGCTCGAGACCGGCTCACCGCTGTCGCAGTATTTGGCGTAGCAGCGCCTGCGGCAGTAGCACTGGCATTCGGTTGAGCGATATGGTGACCCTCATTCGGTGTCTCGGGCTTAGGGGCTTGAGAGTTGTATCGTCGAGGTTGTCGTACTCGGCGCAGAGGCGATCGAACTCCGAAGGTGATCGACTGAGGGCGGGAACGGGTCGCAAACGCCGACACTTGGGTTGTGAGCCCCCTCTGTAATAAACTCATATCCAAGGCTTACTTCAAGCACATCGACTTCGTATCTCTGGTGCAATGAAGGAAAGACAAAGGCCGATGCGAAATAATCCAACCTATCGGGGCGGAGGTCCGATTGTGGCGATAAGGGCGAAATACAAAGGAGCGATAACGGAGGTATTGACCGGGCGATTCAAGGCTAGAAGGATATATCGAAAGGGAAAGGACAGACAGAGAAAAATAACTCTTTTTTTCGCAAAATGGAGAAATGGCGGGAAGAAAAAAAATAATCTATAGGATAGCGTAGTCACGATTAAAAATCAAAGCGCACGCAATAAGCAGAACTCGGCACTCGGCTGCCGACCGATGACTCCCGATTAACTCCGATCCATATACTTCAACCTTGTAAGTTGGGCCGAGATCTCAATCTGATACCATAGATCTACATTGGAATAAAGTGTTTGGAAAATACATTATATTCAGTCATATCTAATAGAAACGCCGCTTTTTTTGAAATGCGTAAAACGCATAAACTCATCCCTTTAAAGGGTAAGGGTATAGACCATAAGCGCACAGAAATCAACTCTGTGGGATGCAACAACAATGATAATCGTATGTGGTGATGAAATGCACACGGTCAATAGAAACTATGATTATAAGGCACGGGCATCGGTATTTGATACCACGAGCGTGAGAGGATGTTCAGGTGTAGGGGTATGTGTTGAGGGTGTCAATTAGTTCTTGAAGGAGTCCTTGGTGTTGACGCGATCCATATCAAATGGATTGCCTTCGTAGGTAGGAACTCGGTTTAAGGAGGAAGCTGTGGAGTGGGCACGGCTGCGGCTTCGCTGCACAGCGGATCCTTCGTCGGAGTCGCTGGACAGGGGTTCATTGGGCGCCGGAGCCTCGGTGCGATCGAACTTGACGTCGACTTCCTCAGAGGGGATGGCCTTGGCCATTTCCTGAATCTTGCGCATGAAAGCATCGGACTCAGCGGCGAACTTGCAGCGTTTGCGAATCGCAGCTCCGTATTTGTAGAACAAGAAGGGGAAGGGCAGACAAGCGAGAGCCAAGAATGCGGGGATGCAAGAGGCCCAGTGGATACCCAAGTTGTCAAACATGTAAGTAGTGAACAGAGGGAATGCGGCACCGAAGCATGAACGCAGAACGGAGTTGGCGGCCAAGACGGAAGCTGCAAAGATGGTGTATGCATCAATGAGATAGTTCATGATACCGAGGAACACAAGCACCATTCCAAAGCCAAAGGGTGCACCGGCTGCGATACTGGCCATCCAGTGGATTGAAGGGTAGTTGGTCCAGGCGAACCAGAATAAGCCAACAGGGATCGTGATGGCAGCAATCATAGTGGGAGGTAGACGAGCCTCAGGGGGAGCAAAGCCCTCGTGCCTTTCCTCGGTCTTGATATACCGCTTATTGTCCCAAAGACTGTAGACAATTGCAGCAAGCATACCAACCATGATACCTAAAAAGGCTAATCCACTCACACCCTGGTTCCAGCCACGGTCCTCCTCATACACAATAGGGAATGCCGCAAACATCATATACAGTGTACCGTACACAATAGCCATATAGAGCGACAACAGGAAGACAATGGGCTCGCGGAAGAGGAGGATCCAGGGGCGGGACAAAGCGACCTTGAATGCCTCAGTAAGAGAGACCTTACCCTGATCGATCTCAATCTTGCTGCGGTAGATCTTACCTGAGAGCTTAGAAAGCTTCTCAGCACGGCGTCGAAGAAGGACAGGCGCATATGTCTCGGGCATAAGTAGAGATCCCACAATCCAGACAACTCCAGAGAAGGCAGCCAAAAAGCCCATGACCCATCTCCAGCCAGCATTCATTCCCAAGAAACCACCGATGATAGGTCCAAGGACAGGACCGAGAAATGGTGCGGAGGCGAAGAGACTCATCGCGGAACCTCGCTGCTTTGCGGGGAACATATCGGCGATGACTCCACCAGCGTTGGTAAGTGGGGAGGATCCAAAAGAACCAGCGAAGAATCGAAGGATAATCAGCGACCAACTGTTCTGTGCACAGGCTGTTCCGATGTTAAAAAGGGTAAGAGCAGCGTAGGTGATGACATAGAGGATCTGGCGACCAAAAAGTTCCGACATAGGAGCCCAGAGCAATGGTCCAATAGCGAAACCCAAGACGAAAAGCGAAACACCGAGCGTGGCAACTATGAATATTAGTTAGTAAACTTCTCGAGGCTATATATGAGGCAAGGTATAACTTACGTTCGTCTCCAATATGGAATTGGTCCTCGATTTGCTGGACACCTCCAGTGTATGCAGATGAGACCAATGATACAGCCAGGGTCGCAATTGAGACGATCATGGTATATCCCCATTTGGTTGCATCACTGAAAAGCATAGGGTTACGAGGATCGTTGTCAATCCATGTCACCACGTAGGGATCCTCATCTGTTCCAGATCCAACATAGGGATAGTCGATAATTTCCTGAGTGACAACACCTTGGTCGCAGATCATTCGCCAGTATGGGATCTTAGTTCGAGTCGTAGGTTCAAGTTTCTCAGGTGATTGGCCCTTTTCGGGGCTCTTTTCAATGTCCGACATTGTGGGCAAGATTATGATGTCGTATAAGTCGGGGAATGTAAACACTCGATTGTGGAGAACTTGAAGAGAAAGCTAGAACTATATGTGCAAGTTCGAGCCGAGGTGTAAATTGGTTTTCTTTTTGCCTATTATGGTCTGTTTGCGGGGGGAGATCCGATGAGGGTCCGGGGGGGCAATTATGCCGGAATCAGCGTGGTAAATTGACGAAGTATGTTACCACAAACAATTAGGATCACAATTAAGATCACAAAAACATATGGAAATTGAACAGAGAAATCGCCAATTCAGGGCAAGGGCCACTATTTAATTAAGCCAGGTGGATATACGTAGGTCCCTTTTCGTGGCGTCCTCATTTTTAATTTTTAATTTTTTTTTCTTGCTCATCCAAGGTTGGGCCCGGAGGTATGCCGGTCTCTGGATTTAATGTTGGGTTGTGCATAACTTAAGCGCCCATAGGTAGTGTGAGGGAGCCAGCTCTGGGCCATTCACAAGGTAAAATGATGAAAGAATCCATTGGTGTTGGGATCCACATCAGACCTTCAACTTATGCATTTAGCCTGAGTCATTCCACGGTTCTCCTGTATAAAGGTGACCCTGAGATCTAGAGAGCTGTGATATGACTATCCCACTTCAAAAAAAGATATTTTAAATGCTGCTCCATAATTCCTAGGTTTTACTCTATATCTACATATAATAAATCATACTCTCAAGTTAAACCCCCTTTTCAATTCTTTCAAAGCTCAGTATAAAGTACATGAAAACGGGTATGTCACGTGGTTCCTTATGCAAAGCCACGTTTGATTGTGCGCCGGGTCACTACGGGTACTCGGCAACACCGTAAGCATTTAAGTGGTCAGCTCGCAATGTGAGACATCAATCTAGTCTTGGCATCTTCGAGAATTTCATGTAGTGTGAACCTTGATGAATAGATGATATACCATTATCCACCTTTCTAACTTCAAGTTTCCACGTATCATATTTGAAACTTTCACCGACTATATACTAATACTGAATCTAAAATCGAGGCCCCGGTCCAAAACCCCGAGCATTCTTACCCAAAGTACATACTGAGAGGCTTCGGGTTTCGGAGATTGAGATTCGAGATTAATGCTCCTAGTGCAAGGGCCACACCCGATATGACGGTTGCCCTGCATCAAGTGGGCGGTTTTGGTCTAACCCCGCCCCGAGCTGTTGAGCTTTCACTGGGTCGCGGGGTTAATCTTAACTACGAGTTTCCAAGGTTATCTCAAGTGCTTACAAAGCTCATGTTTAGAAGCTCACGTCAACATTTGAACATTAATTTATTCATCTTATGTACACTATTATGTACATAATATTTGGTTCCAATAGTATGCACGTCAGCGGGTCAAATTACGAATCATGCATAGATGATGCTGCCTTCCAAGGCTCCAAGGTTGGGTCCCGTCTCCGACAGGGCGTGTTGAGACATCCTTCAAGTTTCGGCCCATTTGAGGCTGAGCAAGTTCGGGCCAGGAAACTTATGCCAGCCTTGTAAGCCATGGACGCATGGATCATTTTTGAATGGATCGGCACAAATTAATTCAAGTATGTACTATACTGAGGTGCCATAGTAGTAGTATGCACATGTCGGATGATGGACCAAATGATGATATATACAAGTGCTACATATTGGTCCCGATTTTGAGAAAATGCCAGATGAATCAGTCAACAGGTAATTTCCAGACGAAGTCAATGGCTCGAATTAACCTGATACACGAGGAACAATGACTCATTATGCAGGCTTCGATTGAAATTAGTATTCATTCAATAACCAGACCAGGATCAAAGTTCATTGTTTAAGCACTAAGGATCAATGGATTAATGTGATGGGTTTGTGACCTCAGGCCATCAATGCCTAGAGATAGGGCATAATATTACATTGACGGGTAGTCCCGGTCAAGTGGTAAGTTTACATTTACCTCTTTCAACGCACTGGGTGAAAGGTGTCCCAAATGAAAAATATTTTTTTTAGGTATGGACTTCTGGAATTAGAACTGACGTTTCTAGTTTCAAATGGTGCCTTCAGAGCTTCAAAAATGTGGCGAAAGACACGCAACCAGCAGTCTTTGTATGTCTATACTCGACCAACAACTGCACTGTAGATTGCAAAGAAAAGATATATGTATTCATAGAATAGTACAAAGATAGGTATGAATACAAAGCGGGAGAGTCCTTTATGTAGGAATTGAAACTTGAATGAAGCCATGGAGATCGAGATGTCATCTACTGGTATAAAATAAAGGTCATCCACTGCTATCTCTCGACTCAGCAACTTGAATCCATCAGCATCTTTCAGATCTTCAGCCTTATTCACTGCAATCACACTAATACCTTACAGTCCAATTTCACTCAAGTACAAAATCTAACGTTGCAAAATGAGGCAAGGCGATTCTCCTAGCCCCGAGCTTCTGGATGGTCCCAGTGGTCTTAATATCCATCCTAAGGCATTCGTCCCTCCCAATGAAGAGGAGACTCCAGAGACCCTTTTTCCTCCTACTACAATACCCCATGCATCAGTGACGCATAAAGTAAACCGCTTGATCAACCGGGATGATGATAAATGTATGCTCATCTATACGGATGGCGTATATCTAGATATCGAGGACGAGGGCCCACTGTTCGGCTGTAGCATTGTCTATAAGGGCGATGCGCGATCTGCTCGGGCTCTTGGTGAAACTAATTTCATCGATAATGATTATAGAAACTATTCCTGCTTTGCCCTTGAAATGAGGGGACCTTCTGGGGAGGATCATACTCCAACCACTCAGCGTGCTAAGCTGCGTGCTGTAATTGCGGCTCTCCAATTTCGAAATTGGGATTCAGATGGATTCAACAAATTGGTAATTGCTACTGACTCTGAGTATATTGTCGAGGGTATTACAACTCGGGTACACGCATGGGCACATCAGAACTGGGTTACAAGGGATGGGTTCCTGGTTTGCCACTATGATCTCTGGAAATGTCTAGTTGAAGAACTAGAAAACGCACGTAATCGACCTAACGGAGGACTAAACGTCGAGTTTTGGCATATTTCACCCTCGTGGAATACAGAGGCAAATGGCCATGCTGATTTCGCTGCTCGGTTTGACGAGGTTCCTAGTATTTTTGCCCCAATTATTGGTGCACGTGTCTAAGCTAAAGCTACCTACTTACAGTCTCTGTTTCTTACCTTTGAGGTTTTCCATCTATCGTTAGGTTTTCTTTATAGCTCTTCCAAGGTTGGCCCTTAGGCCTGTATTGAATTGAATATTATCGTCTTTACCTCAATCTCTGAGTTTAGCCTTAAACCAAAATTAGTAGAATAAGTGTGAACTTTTACAACCTGTAGAACATTGTACCTACTACTTCTAGCAAGAAAATGACCAGAGGATATTTTTTATTCAAGCCGAAGGGGTGAGGCGAGTCGAGGGTCTCTGGCAAAAATATCCTTCGGGCCTTCCAAAGGCTTTCCATCGTTAGCTGTGACAGATCACTTCAAAACAAGACAGTTTTAATGTATTCTGCCTAGAGTGTGTCAAAATTGTCTCATCAATCTCACGCCTGAATTTCATTGGCCTTTTTGCATTTTCTCTTTTTCACATCACCTTCCACACCCTCCTTCGTCCACACGATGTCTCGCCCTAGAGACAGCCCTATTGAACCCCCGAATGATCGCCCACGTGGATTTATTCTCGGTGACCCCACCTTTAATCCCGGTCTCGAGCATGGATTTATTATCAGTTACAACCCTACCGTCGATCACAACATCGTACTAGATCGGAGGAACGGACTGAGAATCGGCACAGGGCGACTCATTCCAAAGAAGTTCATCCCTCCGGATGACGAGATCACCCCACAGCTCCTCTTCCCAGCTGGTATTGGATACCGTGCTACACCCCCGGTTAAACGCTTCATTCATCGACAAAATCCAAGAAGCTTCCTCGTCTACACAGACGGGGCGTGTCTCGGTAACGGTACCGCGAACCCCAGGGCTGGCTGCGGCATTGTTTTCAGGCCAGAATCACACTCAGCAGACAACTATGTCCGCTTCGCCCTTGAGAGCAAAGGTCCTCGAAATGACCTCCATCCTCAAACAAGCAACCGTGCTGAGCTACGGGCTGTTATCGCAGCCTGTCAATTCCGAATTTGGTCTGGGGAAGGATTCAAAACCATGGTCATTGCAACGGACTCCGTCTACGTTGTTGAGGGGATTACAACATGGATAATTGGATGGATTCGCCGGGAATGGCGAACAAATTCGAGAAATTTGGTCAAGAATCGGGATCTCTGGGAGTGTCTACTTGGGGAGATAGAGCGGGCAGATGAGGAAGGATTGGATATCCAATTTTGGCGTATTCCACGCGAGTGGAATACAGATGCTGATCGTCACGCTAAAATTGCTGCTGCTGAAGAGAATAGAAACGAAAACTTTACCAAGCGCTGTGGTGTGCTTGTCTGAGCTATCTCTGCTCAGGGACTACACATTCATCATTCCACCCATTTTGATAGCTCTAGGCTAAGGTCCAGGTTCAATATCATCATCTTTGCCCATCTAATTCCCCTCCATTTTAAATGAATTTTCTTCAACATACATAGTCCACATGTTGCACTCTATGCCTAAATCATGGAATATCTCCACAGAGATACTCTTTCCGACCGACTCCCTCACCTCGCCTTCTCATATGGAACAGATCAGGGATAATTCTTAAGAGAAACACCAACAATGACGCGCGTTTCGGATGAATCCAGACGCCATAAACAGATTGGTAGACGCCTAGGCTTGGACCTTGAACCTTGGAAGCTGTTCACATACTTCCAAGGTTGGTCATACGACTAGATGTCTGCCTTGCTGCCTTGATCTTAAGGACTGATGGAGTATGGACAAAGCGCCATGCCCCACTTAGACTGGGTCCTTGTTTAACATTATCAAATTGAAATATCATGATCTTACATGCAAATCATATGAAAACATGAGAATATTGGTGTCAAAGAATTCTCCAAACTTTTTGAATCCATATATCTCATTTTGAATTATTTTCTACTTTGTTGGGGCTGAAAATCAAGAATAGAAATTTGGATCATGGTATACCTCCGGTATCCACATATGACTCGATACAGACAGTCCTGGTCAGTGCGCCTCTATGTTCAGCTGTCAATGCTCAGAATCAGCGACAGAGTCAGTGTAGTCATGTCCTCCTCAGAGTAAATCTAGACTTGGCTGGATCTAACACCGTATGCTTCGGTGTACATATCCTGCTCAGATCTTCATTCAGGTACAGTTGTTATGCATGGACGTGCATTTCCCGGTCGCATAGCAGCAAGGCCAGGGGCATAATGCAACCTTGGAAATCTGGATGAAATGAAGAAAGCATTTTGGGACCTTCGTAGAGTTGAAAGAAGTGAAACATGGTTCTGTGATGGAGAGAAAATCCAAACAAAGGATTTGAGTCCTCTGTGGAGTGGCGACACCACCCGTCAAAGATCAACCTTGGAAGGCATGGCCGCGGACAGGGTCGACGCGACCGAACCCAGTGATCAAGTGGGGGGGCACAACGCGTCCAAATCAAAACAACACCGGAAGGACCTGGTCTGTACTAAGGACTATTGACTACGGTAGAAAGAAGTGGAAAGAGATTGAATCATAGGAGCATAGAATATCGCATTTCAGCGTCTATGTCATGAGAAGGCACTTAAGGCACCGTGGTAAGGAATAAATCCTGTAATGTACATGCCCACGTACTAACCACCCAAGTTGAAGGTATGGTAGTAGCATTGATCACGCGAAATAGTAAAAACGCAAAATTCAGAAACAACCCTGTTCCGAAACCCATTGATATTCGAAAGCAAAACCCATCATTGTGTCGCCGATCGTAAAAAAGAAAAAACAGAACCCCTTATCGCCTTCCCAGAAGTGTCAACAAGAAAAAGGCACCATATTAGGCCATTTAAGAGCGCTCGCCACGGAGACGGCGGGCCAGCTGGATGTCCTTGGACTGGATGGTGACACGCTTGGCGTGGATGGCGCACAGGTTGGTGTCCTCAAACAGAGAGACGAGGTAGGCCTCAACGGACTCCTGAAGAGCACCGATGGCAGAGGACTGGAAGCGGAGGTCGGACTTGAAGTCCTGGGCGATCTCACGAACCAGACGCTGGAAGGGGAGCTTGCGGATCAGAAGCTCAGTGGACTTCTGGTAGCGACGGATCTCACGCAGAGCGACGGTACCTATGAAGAGTTATTAGTAATGTCTTTGAGAGTAGATCATATGATGATTCGGGATGAACATACCGGGCTTGTAACGGTGAGGCTTCTTAACACCGCCGGTGGAGGGGGCGGCCTTGCGAGCGGCCTTGGAGGCGAGCTGCTTACGGGGAGCCTTGCCACCAGTGGACTTACCTGTAAGAGAAGTGAGATTAGTCAAATGTTGTTTTTGTGTAAGGGACGCGTCCACGCGTCGATGTTTTCAACCCGAATAAGTAAGGCGTAACACCAAAGTGGGGGCGCACTCCAAGACTCATCTCAGGTGAAGCGACAGTGACAGCGAGGATAAATGTAATAAAAAGGAAGACATACGGGCAGTCTGCTTGGTACGAGCCATTTTTCAGGACTGGATTTGATGAAAAATGTGGAGTTTTTGATGGAAACCCAAAGTGGTTGATGAAGTTGGTTGTCGGGGTGGTGGATGGAGAAGAGAAGTGAGAAGTGGGTGGGGGAAAGGTATTTGTAGCAAGAGGGGGAAAGGGAGTGATCTGGGTGATGGGAAAATGGACCAATCAGAGTGGGGGAACCAGATCAACCAAAGGGGAGATAACCAGATTTCATGGAATTTACAAGTTTGTTACGTTTGATCTGCGTTTGATCTTAGGCGCCTAAGGCATAGAATGTTCTTACATAGTGTAATTGATCCAATGATAGACCCACTTTATTCTCATAAGCGAGACTCTTCACTCTCCACCAATCAGCGTTGAGGATCACGAGACTGGAATACTTCCTCCTCCATTCTCTTTGATCCCGGCCACCCAAAATACCAATATGTTGATCAACTCATGGGAGAACATTCTTGATCTTACCTGGATACCATTGACATTTTTTTCATTTTCTGATCTACATGTTTCGCGGTGTACTGATCAAAAGATCAAGATCAATCATCGGCATCCCATACAGTCTTCGGTTGGGAGGGGCCCGGTAGATCACGCCTGCCGGATCGGATCCTTCATTCTCATTGGTTGATCCTCCCACTAGCGCGTGATTTCCAACTCCCCGCGTCTTCACTTCTTTCTGATACAAATATCCCCTGCCCCAATCTTCTTCCATCCGCTTTCTCCCTTCAACAACTCTCGACAACAACTTCAAGTCTCCACTCCTCCTCTTTTTTCAAAACACAAACCCCTTTTTTTAATACCTCATACAATATGTCTGGCCGTAAGTATTATCCACTTCTCCCATATGACAAACATCTTTATACCAAAGACGCGTCTTTCTAACGCGTTACGACAGGTGGAAAGGGTGGCAAGGGTCTCGGCAAGGGTGGTGCCAAGCGTCACCGCAAGATTTTGCGTGACAACATCCAGGGTATCACTAAGCCCGCTATCCGCCGTCTCGCTCGTCGTGGTGGTGTCAAGCGTATCTCCGCTATGATCTACGAGGAGACCCGTGGTGTTCTCAAGACCTTCCTCGAGGGTGTCATCCGTGATGCCGTCACCTACACTGAGCACGCCAAGCGCAAGACTGTCACTTCTCTCGATGTCGTCTACGCTCTCAAGCGCCAGGGCCGTAAGTTTTTCACGCGTCTCTTGTATCCACAACGCGTCGCTAACCATTTTCTTCTTTCAGGCACCCTGTACGGTTTCGGTGGTTAAGCTTGTTATGTCTTTTCTCTTTTCCGGGTTGTTACAATCGGTATGATGGGACGTTGGGGTGTTCTCTGATTTTTACTATCGTCATGGGTCTTGGGTTTGAATTTTTCTTTACAACGATTACCACTTTTCGCGTCCACTATGGGTCTGCTAGTGTTCGCTTCTGAGCTTTCCTGTATCATAGCGGCCTCATCAAATGGCTGGCACCACACAAGTGGTGGGATCAACTTACTCTAATGAAGTGATCCGATACGAATACAATTAACTTGAAACTCAATACTGTCTTCCATCATCCTTCGTAGTCTCGTATCATGTATTCTGTTCTTTTTTTTTTTTAAAAAAAAAAAAGTTGCGTGTATCGTTACCTGTGTGCTCTTGTCGTCATTTTGACACGCATGTCTCGCGTTGTTTTCATGCACGTCAGGAGAGGGGCCATTTCGCGTCTTCTCTCTACTACTGTTTCGGTCCAAACCTTGCGGATAAACCTTGGAACCCTTAGTCCCATTATTCTTAACTTCAATAGTTTTGTCACTTGTAGGCATTGTAGATTGCATCTTTCCATATAGAATATTTGAGCTCTAGTTTGAATCAATTCGAGTCGTTCGTGCATGTCTAGTCCGTAAAGATAATAGTGGTCCGCAAGTCCATGCTAGCACTTAACCTTGAACATCACATGTGCATGTTTACTAGTAATTCCACGATTCGCCCATTACTGTACTAAATTTTCCTCATGATGGGGATTTTTTAAGTGCATTGTAAATTTGTATTCAATTGCTCGGGACTATAGTGTTCGCAGGTATCATAAAATTCTTCCAAGGTTGAACATTTGAAGTTGCCAGTGAAGCTCATTGTATGGGTTGTCCATGATATATGTAGAGGTATATACTTCCACCTTTCCTACAACTTTGACACTCGAAATCTAACTTCATCAAAATTGGGTTAATTTCAGCCAAAATCACACCAACTTGTGTGTTATGGAGTGATGATTCCTATAGCACAATTTTTGAACTACTAATTTGCATATTGTGAGCGTACGAAGTGAAAATGGTACTGCTGAGTGGATGGGCTTGGGCCATAGAAAGAGTGGGTCATAATCCCGCTTGGCGGTATTTAATTTGATATGTTGCCGGTTGGCCGAGTAGTCATGGTGCCATTTATTTGAAACTCGTAGGTTCGAATCCCCGCCTGAGCGGCTTCGAGCGACTTTTTTATTTTTATTTTTATTTTTATTTTTATTTTTATTTTTTATTTTAAAATTTCTTTTCCTTCCCCCCCCCCTTTCCATTTCCTTATCCAACTTGAAACTAATCCATACAAACCTCAATCCAATTCGAAACAGCCCACTGCTAATTTATTGACAAGCCGCCCTACTGAAAATCAGTGCCAGCTGCATGATGCCTGTGCCGACCGATACATGAAGCGACAAAGCGACGCGTGACGCGTTCCGGGACCATCAAGTATCTACCCTCTCGCGAATTCGCAATAATATTACATAAACCAGCATAAGAATTAGAAGTCTATAGTATTATAAAAAGGGTTGTCGTGTTTATTACCTCCATCCAAAAAAGAAAGACGTTGACTCCTGGCACTACAGTTCATCGCCACGTCCAATATCCCGAAGTGCCTTTTCAATCGCTGCCTGAGCGATTCGTCTCAGTTCCACACCAAAATCCTCTGTAAAATCGATACTTGTGGAGTTGTTACGTTCGATTGAACGCTCATGCACCTCTTTGAGTAGCTTGGGAGTCGCGCAGATAAGGCGCAGGTCTTGTATATTATCAGGGTCCAGAGGTTTGGTCAAGATATTGCAGAAGAGGATCACAATAGCATGAATCACGTAAGAAAGTGAGAATCTGGGATATAATTAGTTCGATGAATGGCGAAAATGGGGTATTCGTCCCGGTGGGAATTCATACAGAAGATTATGAGAATCAAGTTCCATCTGGTAGTCCAGAAACTTGTGTAATAAAGACCTGCTAGCAGCCACAGAGATGGCAAGACTAGAGTACATACCCCGGGTATCCTGATTTTCAACCCAGGAAGAGCACCGACTACTGGCCTGATGAATCATGACCATACAGTGGTGGTACTGCAACTGGAAGACAGTGGTGCGCATGTCGACACTTTCCGGTGCTTGGTTCTTTGGTAGCATTGACGGCCGTATGTTTGATGGAATAGATTCACTCCATTCATGAACCTCATGGTCCAAGTCTCGAATGCTCTTCAGTAAGTTGGCATTAGATTGACGCAGAGAGATTGGCGAGTATAGCTCTTGATAAATCCGTGCGTGAAGGATGGAAAGTCTAATAGCAGTGTGGAAGAAGGAACCAGGGCATGGATTGCCGGACCATTGGAGTCCTTCCACTGTGCTTGATGGTTTCGTAGGTAAGATGAGATCACAGTTTGAATCAGCAAGCATAGGTGGTAGCCCAGTACCGAGTGTAATCGCTTTATCGCATAAGTATGTCACCCAGAATAAGTTCCTCAGGTGACACTGAGATCGGGTTGGTTCATTGTACAACAAAGTAGGATCAATATGCGCCTTTAAACGATAGACGAATCTCGTGGCACTTGTCAAGAGATTGTATATTACGAGAAGCTCACCGGCAATAGCCTGAGAACAGATGCCCTGCGAAATCTAATTAGCGCAGCGCACAAAGCAGACAGACTCATATGTTTGAGAGACCCACAAGTATGACCAGCGTTTGAAGCCCCTCCACGTTAACAATCTTGTTCAGAGTTGGTGCCAGTAGGCGATATGACTCCCGAGTATATTGCTCCTCGAGAATTTGCGCCGAGCCTTTAGTTTTGCGAATCATGATGGAAACCATTGCTGAAAATGCAAAGACACATGCCCTGGCGCTGATTATTTCGGGCGATGCCAAGGAATTTCCGCTCTGGTAGACTGTCTTGATGGTGTCCTCAAACAGAGAAGAATCAATGACAGGGAAGAACAGAGAAAAGTCCGATTTTCGATAAGTGGAAATATCTTCTCGCAGTGAACTGATACTCGGCAGACTAAGAGGCGAAGATGGGTTTGCATAGGCGTCCATATTAATTCCAATGACTGGGGATTGCCAAAAAGAGTCATCGGGAGCAGGTCGATATTGCAGAGTAAGTTCTTCACCAGAGCATGCTTTAATCCAGCGCCGACCGCTCTCAGAGAAGAAAGGAAGTCCGTTGAATGCATGGATATTTCCAAGGTTCTCACCCGCAAATTTCATGACACTCCCCAGAGTGGGTTCTTGCTCCGACGCTATCAATAGTTGGTCAAACCAAGACCAATATAGCTGGATTCAAAGAGCGAATCTGATAACAAACCTTGCATGATTGATCCAGTTAGTGGTCGCACCCTAGGAGAGGGACCAACGTTGCGTGACATAGGTGGTCTGGTAAGCAAAATCAATTCCTGAAACCGGTAATTCTGGCGATAATCTCATACATACAGTCGATCGAAATGTGTATTTGTTTCCGCCGCCTGACGAGAAAAAGTACAGGGTGCATTATGATGGAAGCACCAATTACACTTTGGTTTTTCCAAGTCACATTTTATCTGGGTCCAAGAGTCAGTAATTCGAAGTGATAGGGAAGACGTTCGGAATGAACCTTTCTTCTACGGCATGCATCACAGGATCGACCGATCCGGCGGCGCCGTTTGATCGGGTTATCGTTGTCAGTATGGCTAGTGGCCATTGTAGACACCTTGATTGGAGATGTAGGTTGGAATAAGGGAGGGGGCGCTAAAATTCGGAATACCTCGGAAAGCCCGCTAACCTGACTTGGTGGAGTCATAATTAACCTTAGAACCTTAGAAGACCTCCAAGGTTGAAACTCGACATTAATTAATTGCGTAGTCATTCAAATCAATAAAATGTGGAAATTTGATCAGGATCGCCTAAGGTGTTCCGATAGGCGAGCCCTGTCGATAACCAAGTTTTGATTCTGTGGTGTCTTTCTGGGGTATGTGCCTTTGCATCTCTAACCACCCAGTTTAGTATGGAATTTGATGCAATACTACTTCTTCTCAGAATCAAGAGAATCCAGGGAATCTTGCTATTCATATTATGTTGCAACGGAGTGTGACAGATCAATCTTCGCGTCATTCCTCCAAAGACATGGAAATACCAAATCAAGCTTCTTCCATGATGATTTTGTGATAGGATTCAACGGGACAACTGAACTTCATTGTAGCTTCTTTAAGAGCTGTTGAAAAAGATGGAGATGAGTGGAAAAAACTCCAAGAGCAACGATCCGCCCGGTCTGCTTCTGGATACCATGTTGGTAGGATCAGGCGAAACATAACACCTTGACTGGGCTATCACCGGGGAATACTCAATTTCATAAACTCCATTGATATTTTCCTGACGAAGAAAGATGCCTCGTTGCATGTTGATCCAAGATCCAAGATCCAATCCAATCCAATCCAAGATCCAAGACCTCTACTACTGGGGTACTGGAAGTTTTTTGACCACCCAGCATTATTCCAGTTGATCGCTTCGTGTTTACATTTGGCTCAATACTATTATTTTTCTTCCTTATCAATATTATGTGTAGCCAATACGGGTATGCAGCAGTCAACTAGCCTACCCCTTTAGGTACTCCTTTAGGTACTCCTTTAGCCTACCCCCTTTATATCATATAGATACAGCTGTAGGGACACCTGGAGGCATACCTGTAGTTACGCCTAAAGGTATCTACATAAATAGAAGAGTATCCAGCTGGGTAGCCCTGGAAGTAGTATGTAAACATAAGTACTTAATTAAATATCAGGCTTATCGCGATATAGGGCGTCCATTTGACAGAGCTTCATAGCCAGGTACATAATTTTCCAATTTTTTGGCTACATATACCTAGGTAGCGCCGCGCGAAACGCGGTCCTGGGACTTGTAACACACCATAGGCGCACTTGAGCTCTTTCATGTACAAGATGGGTTGAGCTAAGAGCTACGTAAGGCGTTGCGTGATTGTGACCACTACAGGACCTGGCTAGCTCATCACAAACCTCTCCCAAAACCAACTTGAAGTCACTCCCCACTGAGTACTTCAAGACCTGCAGATCATCGAGACTCCGCAGCAGCAGAGAAAATCAGCGAACCTCGATCCCGCCGCGCCAGCTCCTACTCGCTGCCGATAAAGTGGCCTCTCTCTGCCTTCATTCCCTCTTGCGATAGTCGCCACTTTCCCCCTTTCCATTCATACCACAACTTTTCGCATTGCAATGCGTAGCGGTGAATCCGATTTCCTCGATGGCCTTGAAGGTACTGAAATAGTCACCCCGGCCCAGCCAGACTTCGAATTGCCTGAGAGAACGTGGGTTATCACTACCAAACTTGAAGAAGTTTCGCTTTCCATGCACCAGGAAGATCTTGAAGATAGCATTGGTCCTGGATTCACAGCAACGACATCCCTTTGTCATCTTAAGAGCGACGATCATCAACCCCCAGCTTTCTTACGACTATATTGTCAAACACCAGTCATCGGGACAGAATGGAGTCTACCACAACAGCGCGCAAATCAGGCAGCAGCATTTTTTGAGCCCGCAGAACTGTCAGCCTTCAAAACATTTATGAAACACTCATGTCCTGTTGTTCCGCAGCTCCTTGGTTATGATCATACCCTGCAAGCGGATACCGGAATTATCCCCAGAGGCTACAAGAAAGCTTCTATATTGTAGATTTCAACTGTTCCCTGCCACACTTTCCAAACTGACATACAATCAATCTACTGGAAGGATGTATGTGGAAATCTCTATAACAAAATACCCTATACTAGGTACTAACTCTTCTTATAGACACATATCAGGATTCCGAATGGCTGTGCCTGTCGAGGGACCTTACAAGTGGTCTAATACTTGTTATGTGACATACAGGCTAGCGAACGCACCCCGGAGACCAGACTGGGTTGAGACTGAAGAAAAATGGGAGTTTTAAACGCATTGAAGCGAGTACAACTAATTTTGCTTTAATCCTCTATCCGCCAGCATATCCAAATCTCTTGTCCGAAGTCGATATTGTAGAGTGGATCACGAGTATTGCGATCATTCTATTGTTTCTGAGGCACTAGGTAGTGCCGTGGCATTCTTCATCATGACCTTGTTAAAATCGCTCTGTTGATACATCTTTCTACCACACACAACCTTCCGCATGGTTGACATTCATTCTGTTGACATGAACCTGTCAGGACCTCCATCATGATCCTGTTGACACCACTCTGTTGACACATCTTTCTACGACAAACTCCCTGGCATGGCCTTCTACGACAACTTGGTTGACGTTTGTTTTTACCTTCTTGATCAATCAACCTTTAACGAAGTCTATACTGCACCATAATAAGATTCATGACCTTGTTGACACATCTTTCTACCACAACCTTCCACATGGTTGTCATTCGTTTTCTCTATGGATATGGCCGTGCTCTGACACGCCCCTCTATAATGATCCTGTCGATATCAGTCTGTCGATGCATTTTTCTACCACAACCTTCTTGGCGTGACCTTCATGATAACTTGGTTGACATTTGTTTACCTTCTTGACGCGTCTGCTGTTGATAAATCCTTCTATCAATCAACATTTGACGAAGGCTATACTACACCATCATGACCATTGAAATGTCCCTCCATCATGACCTTATTGACACACCTTTCTACCACAACATTCCTGACGTGACTTCCACAACCAATTCCTTGACATTTATCCATTTGACGCGTCTGCTATTGATATATTCTCTTACATTTGACACCATGATCATTGACACGTCCATCCATCAATCCAATAAAACCTTCTGTCAACAACGTGTTGTCTCAAACTCCTCTGACAATCCATCAACATATGTTCCATATGTTTACAAATTTCAATATCCTCTTCTCAAACTGTCACTCCTGGTCTGCTGTGTGTCTTATATCTGGGCTTTGGTGGACATGTGAGTCAACTATGTCTTTTTCGAAACTCAATCTTGCTAACATCAACCTGTACAACAGCTTCTCCTCTCCGCACTCCACCTGCCCATGATAAATTTCTCCCTCCCTCCTCCCTCCAACGCCCTCCCCCTCCGATTTCGACGATGCAGGTGGTGGCAAAATCTGCAGGGACGACGCCGCACAGGGGAGAAGAAGCTCCAAGTGCATAAACCAAATCCACGACATGCAGGGGTGGCACAATCTGCAGGGCCCACAGCGCACAGCGGGGAGGAAGCTCCGAGCGCACAAGGTCTTCAAGTTTAAAGCCCTACATCTTTCTACACATTCTTCTTTCCATCCTTCTATTTTTTCCCATTTGTCAATACACTTTGTTTTCATACATGTCTGATTATTCAGGCCCCAAGGCCTGGCTGTTGTCCATAGTTGTCACAGCCTTTTCATATCCACACTCTATCCCAGACATCTCTGAGGCTCTTGCACCCTTCATTTTTCATCTCATGCTACATACCTTCTGTCTGCTAAGACTTGAAATCAAAGTGTTGACATCCCTCCAAACTTTACTATAAACACCATGCTGTGCTCAAGTATAAATATGAATTCCCGTAACTCCTCTCTAATTTCTCTTCCGTAGTCGAACCAACATCCATGGATGTCATACCTGTAAAGCACTATCGATATTTGTTGTCCTCTTTTTCACCACCAAACTCGTTGAGTGCCTATGAAAAGTCAGTATGAATAGCGGTGAGTACATGACAGCTGAGGCGATTTCGGCCCGTCACACAGTGGGTACTCTCTGTGCCACTCTAACCACACCTTAATCTTTAGATTATTATCTTGATAAACGCCACACCTAATACAAGTGGACTGCGTATTATCTACGAAACCTTGGAAGACATGGATGTTTCTTACATCTCGTTTTTAAATTTCAATAATATACAAAATTAAATTTCCCATTTTACAAAATTTGTATCAGCATGTGAAAAGTGATCAATCCATGAATCTGAGTATACTTAGCAATACTCGCAGTACAAACCCGCTAGATCTCCGTGGAAACAGAGTAAATCCCCGACAGGTCTAACATTCTCTAACATGCAAACGACAGACAAGATTAAGTGGAGAGACGGGTACGAATGTCACCACAATACTTGACGACTGTGTCTCAGATCGAAGGATCAAAGTGGATTCGTTGGATACTATAGCGCCACCACGAGAGCACAAAGCAATCCATCCTATCAGAGTTTAGAGATCGTCGTATTCAATCAAGTACATGCGACTCCATGGGCTTGATTGGATTAAACTGCTTCAATTTCAGCTGGAGTGTGTTCACTTCAACTCTGGAATTTCTAGGACGCGCAATCCGATTTGTTTGCATTGAATCAAGGCTGGGTTGTTGTAGACTATCGCTTAAGGAAGAACCCCGAGGATCTGAGTCAAGTGACAGGGCCTTTCCTGTTTTGTTAGCCTCCTTGTCAATCGGGAATTGGTATTTGATTCTAGTGGTTTTAGTCTAGTGTATTTAGGAAGTGTCAGGTGGCTTAGGCTCTGTCGAGTTATCGAAGTCTATCATGTACGGCGTAGGTAACCGCACGAAGTATTTGTATCCCTTGCATGTGGTAGCAAACGTGGTTTATGTAGAACAATGTTCCAGAAGCCTCCTGAAACCCCTGTCGAGTTTAGAATTTTTTCATAAAAAGTTTTTCAATTTTATTTTAGGAGTACAAGGGATGGTGTATTCCATTCCTCGTATGAAGTCTCGAAGTATAGCGATATCGGAACAAATCGGGAATCTGCAGAATCTGTGCAACAGCCATGTAAAAGGCACAAACATGTAAAACAGACTAGAGGCTGACGCTAGTCTAAACCAGCCTAAAAAAAAGGATTGGTAACATTGGTAACTCAAGGAATAAAAAGTGTCATCAAGATGCAACCATGAAAATTTTTTCATAGTGCAAAAAAGCAGATGCGTTGTCCAACGGAGAATCCCGGTGCCGAGATGCCGGAGTCCTCTAGAAGGATTTCAAAGCTTCCAGAAGGCCTTAGCGGCCCCGAGAATTCTTCCTTTTTCCCTTCAGGGCTGCGTTCGAGTCAATACACAATACCATTAGCGCTATACCACGGCGTACCCGCACATACCAGCGCTGTGGCTGTGCCAAGTGTGACTGGAGCAGCCAATCATTCACATGGAAAATTTTTTCCTGCATTAGCCTGGTTGCTATTTTACGATGCACAATGGCTGTCAAAATCTTGCAGGGCTGGACACTCGGTCTCCCGGTCTGCCGTACTCCGGATTAGAGTGCTGACACTAATGTACTGATCTTTTTTGTTCGGCATAAGATCCCGATGAAATTTTTTTTCTGCAGGGGTCTATGCGTATCCTGACTACACGAGCTGATGCCCCAGTTCAGGATATCGTGTATGTGAATACTGAGTGTATAGTATACGTGGTGCCTTGCGTATTTACTTTAGAGGCTCCAGAGGCTGCGTACATTGGGCTTCGCTTCGTATTCGCGGATAAATTTTTTTTTTTGCTTCGTATTTATTTCCTTTTTTTAATTCCTTTGCGGTCTTCATTGCATACTGGGTACTGGGTGGTCTACTTTGGCATATCTAAGATAGAATTGGCGACGGCTACAGTGGGCGCAGTGGGCCGATAAGTCGAGATCTCGCCACTTCCCCAGACAAGGGCCACGTTTTCTGTCTCGGACTTTTTGTCTCGGATCCAAGAATAAACTTGGAACAGCATCTCGGCCGCGAGGAAATCAATAAACGCCAAGACTAGAAGAGCGTAGTCATGATCGCTATATCGGAAATTCTGGGCTAGACTGTTCGGTTCACACGGCACCCCGGACCCGTAAGGGCTCGGCGCCCGGGTCAGCACTAAACCACTAACGCCGACCGAGGATTTTTTTCATTCTTTCTGCCTGTATTGGTCTCGTGGCATTCTTCAGCTTTTCACAAAGTAATGGACCCACGTTAGGCACCGGGACTAAGGCTTAGTTGCACGTTTTGGTGCATGACAGAAAAGAAATTTTTTTCGGTTCTACGCTATTTCCGCGGCCCTGAGTCACGCGAGGGTTCGCTAGTCTCTAGTCTCGCGCCTAAGGCCCAAGGAGAGATATCTCCGGTACACTCGGGCCTCCCCCAGTCGGAGTTCGTTCATCCGATCTGATATGCAGATTCAGCTGGCCGATGATAGCCTCGTACTACATGCCAGATTCTTCTAGTCAAAAATTTAGAGTGGATTTATTATCCACGCGGGGATTCGGGAGTTAGCCGAATACAGGGTTTAGCGAAAGAATTCCCCCGGTGGTTTGATCAAGCCAATGGAATTCTAATCATCCGATCATTCGGATGAAATTCTTTATTCTGTGACTGTGACTCAATCTACTCCGTACTTTGTTTCTAGTCTTTGATGGTGTGATTTATGACTCGATTTTTTTTTGATTATCAATGATGACTCTTCACTTGGGCATTGTTACCGGCCATGTGACCTTCCAACCCTGGTTCCCCTTGTAGCCGAGACGATAGTCTCACATTTACTAGTAGGCAGTACTGTTTTTATCAAGTTCGATTGACCGAGCCGCGTCTAGATTAGCTATTTACTAGATAGAAATATGGGGTCAGCTGATCTCTTAAACACCAGCTGACACCGTACCTCGCACCTTGAGCCCAAGTTGGGGGTCTCTGCCTATTCAGGAAACGGAATGAAACAACCCCCAAGGTGGAGAGAGCTTTGACAAAAAAAACCATCTTGGACCCCTCGTAAATCAAAATTCTCAAAATTCTCCTTTCAATCGACCTTCCTAGAAAGGTTTAGCAATATTCAATAATCTTCATCTGCATTGGATCAGAAGCTGGCATTTGCGATGTGTTGTTCTACCCCAGAGAATGCAAGGGTCCCACGTTGTGGCGCAGCAGACAGCTGTGGCTTGAACTGACTGGACCTCGGCATTTCCGTACGGATGTACGGAGTACTGGACCCATTTCTCTCGACTCCGTTCCACGCACTAAAGATGTACAGGACAGCTGGTCACGCGGAAAGTCCCCAAACCCCGATCCAAAACAAGGTGTGGCTCAGCCCTGTCGGAATCCACGTCCTAAAAATGGACCCGATCTTCGAGATTGGCTCGGGTATGCACGATTTGAACCATTTCTAAGCGAATCGTACTGAGTGCTCGGGATCTTTAGCTTAATTCCTCTAGGTTTACTCTTTTTGTCTCGTCCGATATGACTCTTTTCGGGGGAACCGGGTCGATGCAGGCAGAATATTTCTTTTCAAACTCGGGGGTGATGAGTATGTATTCCCGTATGATTATGAATAATATTTGTAATTTGTAATGTATTTTTTTTTTTAATTTTTTTTAGTTCATTTTTCTATTGTACATATTTCATTTTATTGATTTGAATCTATTTGTTGCGTGAGTGGAGTGGTGGCTGTCTCCGCAAAAGCCACCGATAATAGAGAAGAGGTATCAATACTCCGTACCCAGATATTCAGAAAAAATGAAGAATAAAAATATTCATCACCATATTAAAGCCTAAACGGGTAAGGGGACGAAAAAAAGGTCCAGAAAAAAGAGGAAAAAAAGTACAAACCGCCCCGAAATACTCTACCAGTTGTAGAGCAGAAATGTCCAAAATACTGAAAGCACAGACAATCTCCGGTAGATCAGTGGGACTAAGAGAGACCCGGTGGGACAAAATAATAAAATAATAAAATAATAAAATAATAAAATAATAAAATAATAAAATAATAAAATAATCAAAATAATAAATCAAATAAATCAAATAAAAATAAAATCTAAAATAATGAAATCTAAAAAATTAAAAATAAAATAAAAAACAGAAAAATACCATATGAATAGAAAAAATGGTATTATAATGGTAAAAATAGGTAACACCATTATGATAAATAACCATTATGAGTCAAAGTAGAGATATCTAATGTCGATCTTATTGTTACAATACTGAAATATTTCGGGCTTCCCCGATGAATAACGTCTCAAGTATCCACCAAAGCATTTTCCCTACCTAAGTGGCCCCTACAAGAGAGGAAACGTCATGGGTATAAGTGGAATCAATTTCACCTTTTTTAAGCCCAATCTTTCCCACTCCCAGTCATCACCTTCTTTTTCCCATTACTCATAACTCATAATATTGACACCTTTATCTCTCTATCTTTATTCAAAAGGTACTTTGTGTCATCTCCAATCTCTATCGAGTCATCCTCCAGAATCACTAATCCCCCATACTTCTGTCCCAGACTTCACATTATTAAGGTTCACCCGTACCATTTATCATATCGATCACGAGCCACCTCGACGTTTCCAGACTCTTCTCATTACTTTTAACCAAACAACTGCGCCTCGTTTATCGATTCCCAAGGATCTCTCGGACCTGCAGCCGGCGGAATTCCACAGTATAAAGAGCTCGCCATCCCCGGTGGCGAACACCCTCATTCTCCACTCCTGACGTCCTATACGTGATAACATAATGTTTATGTATCCACGTAAGGGTCTCATCACCGATCCGTACCACCAAGAAGACATCATCATACAAGACGATCAGTTCCCACCTGAGTTCGCCGAGAACTCCCAGCAGTACCAGCAGTCGTATCTGCAACCGCCTTTCCAGTACAAACCTAACCAGTTCGCCTCTCCGCCATCTTCCGCTCCATCTTCACCCACATTTTCCTCGCCAACTTTCTCCATCCCCTACCCCCCTCAGGCGGTCGACAGCCAGTCTCTCGGGGCTCCTTCGATGACCCCGGTCTCTTCCTATAACCCGTCTTTGGACGTTCAGCAAAGTTCCGCCTCGCCTTCCTCACAACATCCATATATCGGCCAATATCAGCAATACTACACCTCCATGTTAGCCCAACAGCCTATTGTTCCCGGCAATCAAGCTTGGGATAGTAACTTGCAGCTGTTGAGCCCGGCTCGTCTCCCATTTACTCACAAGGCCTCGCCAAGCTCAGTCTCGTCACGATCTGCTCCCTCCGGTGCCACCATCTCTCCTCACATTGCTGCTCAGCAACATCGCCGATCGGACAGCTCTTCCAAGCCGCTGCCCACCCCGGTGCAGACACCGCTCCACAACACTTTCCTCGCGCCCGCATTTCAAAACTACGATCCTTTTATCAATGATGGTAGCAGTGTCGAGGCGGAATCAGCGATGAGAAGGGCGATTTTGGATCAACAGACAAAGCAACATCCTTCACCTCCCCAGCAGCAGCAACAACAAGAGTACTCACATTCTCTGGCCCCCTCAGTTTCCACACTGAGCCATAACTCGCCTGTGACCCCACAGACTAGCCTTGACGAGCTCGAGGACGCATCCAAGTCGATGTCCAATGGTGAGACCCGATTTCCTGACTTTGACCAGTGGATGGACCAATACTTACGTGGCGACGCCTTCTCAGAATACAACAGCAACACTGGCATGCCCATTGGGATCCCCAAGCTTGATCGCACTATTTCGGATATTTACCAAGACGAGCTGTACAACCCGGCCATTATGGCTGCTCCCCAGATGTCCAAGCCCATGGGTCAGAACATGTTGACTTCGCGAAATGTCATTGCCGACCGACTGCAAGCTGCTAACCAGGGCCACATGTCCGCCCGCTCTCTGTCTCCAGTGGCTGGAATGAAGCGTGAACGATCACCCTTCCGCCAGAACTCTCCATTCGCTGGTGCTATCAGTGCTTCGGCTCTCCAGTCGCAGATGGCTACAAGTGTTCCTATGCCTCAGCATGGAATGAACATGTCTTCTTCAGGAAACACTACTGATCTGAAGACTATGTCGCCTAAGGATGCGGTTTTGGATTTTAATGAGGGTGAAGATGTGGCAATGGCTCCTCTGTTCCCTCCTCAGCAAGCCGACTTCAACCTTGGAGATGCTCTTGGACTGCGTCGCGAGACCTCTAGCTCGCTCCAACCCTCCACCATGGCCACGATGGACGCTTTCCCTGCACAGTATGCGCCCGTTCAGCAGACTGGGTTCTCTTTCACCCACCAACCGCAGCCCAATTACTTGCAGCAGCCGAAGATTCTGAACGGGCTTACCCATGTGGACTCCAGCAGCGACCTGTCTGCCGACATGACTCCTCAAGCTCACGTCAAGTCCATTGGCAATGGCATCAGCCGGCCCAGCAACACTTCCTCGGATGCGGGTACCTACACCTGTACATACCATGGCTGTACGCTCCGATTTGAGACTCCTGCTAAGCTACAGCGCCATAAGCGTGAGGCACACCGGCAGACATCTCCTGGTGGACACCTGATTACTCGGGACACTACTCTACGAAACTCTCAGGCTGGCCCCCACAAGTGCGAGCGCATCAACCCATCCACTGGAAAGCCATGCAACTCTGTTTTCTCTCGACCTTATGACCTGACTCGCCATGAAGATACCATTCACAATGCACGCAAGCAAAAAGTGCGGTGTCACTTGTGTACCGAAGAAAAGACCTTCAGCCGCAACGATGCTCTCACTCGACACATGCGAGTGGTTCACCCTGAAGTTGATTGGCCAGGCAAGCAGCGTCGTCGGGGAAGAGACTGAACTATCCGCAGGGGGTAGATCATCATCATGACGAACAAAATACCGAAATTCCATTTGAGTTTTTCTTTTGGTGTCGAACTTCAGACCAATAGAAGCAATGACGTCACACCCATCCCGATCCAGAGATGCGACCCACATTGGGTTCCAGATCGTCGGTGCCTACTTCCGTTTCGGGACTATGGACTGCCGATGATTGTGGCCTTGTGGCCTTATAACCCCGGCCACTGACGTCATACTCCAATCTGTCCTCCACTGCTTCGGCTGACGTCGACCATACGTCGACGATCACAGAAACCACCACACCAGATGACGCACCCCACCCTTTTGTCACTACTGTTGGTGGATGGCCTCATCGTATCCCCCCTGCCTCGCCTGACGTGTGCGGGTATCTTGGCACATCTGATCCATGTTCGCAACATTCTCGAGAAAAGAAAATAATGCATGTATCTTGTGTGTATGGGTCTGTTTTGTGTGTTATCTTCGCTTGCAGCTCTTTCATGTCTGTTACGAACTTCATATGGTTATGTATTATTATTATTATCATTCCTCTTGTTTGCTTTTTATGATCTCACGCGATGATGGCTTGCATGCAATTTTGCAATTTTGTTTTTTATCCACTTCTGCATTGGCTGGTGCTTCTGAATTTTTATCGAAAAAGGCGGTGTTGTATATTGACCATTTATTGTTGCGTATACAGTCTTTGGCTTTTGTGATTTTGTACCATATCGAAGAAAATATGGCCAAAAATTGTACATTATGGGAAAACAACATGGATTGTATAGTTAGTGACATAGATTATGAAACATTTGAATATTTTCAAGTCCAATTTTATTCTTTTTGCATAAACTGTAGTTAGTACATCCTTCTTTCTCCCTTCAAAATGTTCTGTTTTAATACCTGCCATGTCTGATGTTGACCGTTGTAGATACTTACCAAGTAATGGTACCACTAGGGAGACTTTCACACCCTTGTAGCTTTTACATCCTACCGGGAGTAAGTCATCGTGCATCTACTGATCACAAAAAGTATCTTTACTCGGAGGAGACGGAGTACATGGTGTACATGGCTTGCTTTAAATTCCAAAAGAACCCACCGAAAGCCCCACCTCCAATTGATTCCATCCACAAAAACCCAACTGAAACATCCCAGTCGGCAGCTGCACGGATCACCACTCGACAGTAGCCGCCCGCGGCTTGGGAGCTTGCGGAACCATACAGCACCAAATAAGCCTTATATCCAATCATACTTGCTGATCCTGGAAGCAGCTAATGGAGCTAACTGGACTAATTTGTCCAATTGGCCTAACTGGCCCCGTTAGCAGGGTAAGCTTCCCGCGTTCCATAAATCACACTTAGTTATTCCGTACTAATGCCACTTTCGGAAGCAATGAATGTGAAAAATTGGCCCCCGCGACACCGCAATGCCTCCCTAATTTGTTCTCCCGCTGCGCCGAGTCCACACTAGCTCTTTTTTCTTTTCTTCTCCCCCCTCTTACACTTTTCATACCTCAATGTTTATCTTTTGTTTATTTTGCTCTTTAGCCCCCATCTCGCTTCTTCCTTCAATGGTTCTTAAATAACAAATATAAGCCCGTATCTCGTACAATCCTCGGAGCCGAACCATATTTTTGGCCCCCAAGGAAAAATCCCTGAAGGATACTCTATTGGGAAATTTTTAAGTAGCTTTGATAAATGGCTACTAGATATGGAAAGAGTCGAGTTTCTCGACCCTCAATAGCTCTTGTTTCGACTACCTAAATTTGTACTTTATCTGTTTTCTACATATTGTTTCGAATCTGGCCCCAATAACCCCCCCATATGCACCGGCAGTTCCAGATCTTGACATCAAATCGAGCTATATTGGTCCGATAACCTTGATATTGATGTCCACACTTGGAATTCGTCTCGTTTTCGTTTCACAGTATTTTCTAAAACAGCCTTGAAACTATCCGTTATACCATTACTGGCCCCAATTACCTTGGATTTCTTATGCCTTATCGATCTACGAGCATGATGCAAAGTGAGACGGGAGTGAGCAATCAGAACATTAATCCGACAAATCCAAAACATCGATTTCTAAACAAACCCAAGTGAACAAGTTTCATGTATTCTGATGCCTACAGGTAAGGAAGTTCTCAAACAGGCACAATACCTATTGATCGCATATACAAATTCAAAGATCCATGATTGGATAAACACAAACCCCAATTGAATTTCCACCAAGTCCGTGCGAATACTCTCCAATAATCTAAATAAACTGATAGGCGCAGAGATCCTAAGGGTAGCAGTAACATGTAACATGTACACGTAGAAAGTGGAGTTCACTCACATGAAAGTGGAGAGAAGACTTACAGAAAAGACATAAAGCGAGCGATCATTAATTCCCTTGTTATGTACCCCCTCTTCCAGGGTTCCCGCTTAATGAGTTCCAAGCAATCATAATGATCGGAGAAAGGGATTGGGTTTCCTGTGTCAGCTCTCCATGCGGGCGGAGAAAGCCATGGGTTCCACATGTGGAGTAAGTGGCTTGTAGATAAGACGGTTTATCACTACTTTGTTGGGAGTAGATGAAGGAACTTCGTCCTTTTAACCCCCCGTTGTATGGAGTATGTACGGAGGTCGGTCCGGAAAGTTCTCGCCAGAAATTATAATTTCTTTTTCTCACACTAGGCTATATACAGTAAATATTGAAATATATCGCGTAATCAAGATGTATATAAAACGGAAATATATAGTACTGAAATATAATAACAGCTTGAAACAGTAAATATTCACATATCTTCCCATATATCGCTGTCGCTGTCGCTGTCGCTGTCGCTGTCGCTGTCGTTGCCGCTGCCGCTGTTATAGGCGTTATCACCTAACCCGCTAGGGGCTACTTCACCTAATTTATCACGCCCCTCACCGTATTCGTTGCCCCCTTCTAGTCTAATGACTTGCTGTATATGCCATGGTATACGTTCAATCCAAGCTTGAATTTGCGCCTGTGGTAGATCACGCCACGCAGCCTCCCATACTTTAATCCCTTCTTTACGCGATTTAGGTGCTCCTTTTCGCGTAGTGTATCTCTTCATCCAAGGCCATGCAGGTTCAATCATATTTAGATCAGGCGAATTTCCAGGCCAGATCATTCGTTGGACCCCCATTATATCAAATATTCGCTGTTGGTAGTGATGTGAATGGGCTGGTGCTTTATCCTCTTGAACTATTGTTTTCGTTCGAATTCGAGCACATTCTTGGGCGAATGGAAGTAGTTTTGGGGCTAAAATCACGGTGTTGTATCGGTACCAATCGATTCCACCTTTCGAATTGCGTGCAAGCTTTCCATTCTTCTGAGTCCATCTCCACTGAGGTTGTCTTCCAGGCTTATTGCGTAGCCCTAATCGCTGTATACCTGAATTAAGCTCCCATTCTGCACGCATAATAGGCTCTAATTCAGTATTCCATTCGGCGATTTGGTGTTCTGCTTCACGCTTTTGGGCTGTAGTTTCAGGTACCCAACAATGACAGGGGCCCTTCTGATCATAAGAAAAAGCACCCCAAAACATGAACTCAGAGGCCCCCTTCCAACGTTCTCGAATACAGCTTCGGACGAACCGCTCACTAGAAGTACGCCATACACGATATCCACCCCGACGGTGTAATAAAACAACCGCAGTTTCATCAGTCCAAATCACATTCTTCCAGTCTTCTATAGTCCAATGGGCGTGTTTTAAACACCATTCAAGACGTTGTTTTTTCTGCTCAGCGGCAAGCCCAGGCTTACGTGTAGGCTTTGTTTTTCGTAGGCCAATTTTTCGTAGTACATGCCAAACTGTTGTTTTTGATATATTAATCCCTAATTATAGAAGAAATATTAGAGGAAATAACATATCAAGTAACATATGAGATAACATATCAAATAACACACCAAGTAACACATCAAATATTATACTAAATAACATATTAAATAACACACTAAATAAAATATCAAATCTTAGAATAACTAACCTGATTCACTGCGTAGCTCTGCAGCTAGCTGTTCACATGTTTTCTCACGCCCATAGCGGTCTACACGGATTTTCGCCCCAAGTGTGGTTTTAAGCTCATCTGTTTGCTTAGATGGACGCCCAGAACGTGCTTTATCAGCTAACATTTCATCTGATATATTGAATGGTCGCTGATTCGGCTGAAAACCTCGTTCGAGTGCACGGTTCCATATGTCTCCTATAGTACGCCGTGGAATATTCATAAATTCACTGATCTCCTTAGGGGCATGTCCTTGGGCCCTTAGGTATACAATGACAGCACGTTGCGCAATATTGGTCTTCATTGTAGCTGTATAGGTGGGACAAAAGTGTAGCTGTGTAGGTGGGATAAAAGTGTGAAGGGGTGTACGGACTGTAGGCGGGGTAAAAGATAAAGATCTACGTGTCCACGGGTGTTATAAGCAATATTTAGCCTAGTACGTAACACGGCAATACATCCAATATACAGCAGGCTATACACCTGACATACAGGGCCGGTAATATATCAAGAAAAAGAAATTATAATTTCTGGCGAGAACTTTCCGGACCGACCTCCGTACATACTCCGTATATGGAAATTAAAATCAAAATACAGTGGAGTCGGGACCTCGGGACCCACTTTGAGCAGCGTAATCTGTAAGGGTTATCGATAACGGATAGCCTGATGGGTCTGTATTTCGTATTCGTACACTGCCAGGTGAGTATTCTTTCTGTATTTCCGTATGTGGAGGTGCGTGATGAGTCATCTGCACCTATTTCGTATATACGCTAAACTGGTTTCGGATCAGGAGATCGACGTGGTGGGTTGCTTTATTTGAGTGGTATTATGAAGTGGCTGCAGGGTGGCTGCAGTGGCTTTTTTATCTCATGGTGTCATGGTATGGTGGTTAGGTGATCATCAGTGCCCTGGGCAGGTTGCGTGCATGGTGCCCTGGTGGTGTTATGAGTGACTATTTTTAGATGGTGGGTGTGGTATCAGATCATGTTTTACTGTATAGTAGATGCCTAAATGTGCCAGTGCTTAAATTGTCACTTGTCAATCTTCACAGAATACTGCATATTAAGTGGTGGCTATGCTAGAATGATCTACAGCTACGGGAACCATATTCCAACTGTCATGTTGAGACTCGACCACTAGTGGGGTAGTTTTCTTGGCTCTTTGACAACGTTGAGATGCTCGAAGTGGATAACTTGACGTTGTCTCAGATACAAGCGTTGATCGGGGCTCAAACAACGTGGAGTTCTTCAAGACAGGTTGCATAACAGGTGGTGGCTATGTGAGACAATGTCATGCATCCGGTATACCACGTAGTTTGAGAAACAATTCGAATTTTTCATTGTGTGATCGTTACATTGGAGATGTGCATGCATAACAAGCCTGTCATTGATATGATTCAAGATGACCTCAGAAATATGCTACGAAACAAGAAATGGGTTCATGTAGCAATGAATTTCGGCTGGTGGTAAGATGATGAACCGTAATTGGAACAAGTCAGCTCAATTTGAGTTGCTCATCACGTCTCAGCCCTCAAAAACTTATTTGTCTATTTGGTCCGTCTGATTATCGTGTCAGAACGAGTCTGTAAGCCTCGATACGGGCCGCATTTTGATAGTAACGATACGATTCTTGTCGGAACAGATCGGAGATAGTGAGTAGAGTCAACTGGTGATGTTGAACCCAAAGACCATGATATTCTTCTTGGAAGAGCTCTATAACCAGGTGGCTTCTAACTAGATCATCGCTCACCCTCTATGCAGTTCCTGCACAACGAGCACAAACTCTTAAACCGCTTGCTGAACGTGATCTTAAGACATAATTGATCGGCCCGCTTGATTAGTTGCTGCAAGATGTGAATATCGCAACAGGCATAGCACATATAACCATAATCAAATATCTCATTTGTTAATAGCTTTGGAATGTGACATGGCCAGTCTAAGTAGGTTATAAGACGGCCCTGGAGAGTGCTAGGTACATCACCTTATCACCTTACCACTTGACATACCTCACTTCTTCCACATCATTGACCACCTGAGAGCTGAAGAGAGCCACATATAAGCAGGCTGACTCATAGCTCCGGGTGCTTTTACCATCCAAACTTTCATCCAGCACCACCTACCAGAATATCCGATTCTTCAAAGAACCCAAAGAAGCCAAAGCAGTAAGCTTTGCCAAGGCTGTACATCGACATGAGCTCAAAGATCTCGTCAAGGAAATCTGCCATGAGAATGAAATGGGGCTCATGGATTTCACGGGCCATTCTGCGCCATTTTTTCAAAGACTTCCGACGTGAAGGAACTTAAAAAATCCTCATATTAAGACGGGGGCTTGGAGACAGCGAAAACACCTGGCTTGTTCAGGCAGAGAACGGGGGCCTACAACAGTCACACGGCCAAATCCCATTTCCCCTTAATGAATTCCAACCACCTAGCTCACCATCCTTGCTTTATCATCGATAATAAACAAGGTCGAAGTGAGAGATGACTGATATGTCTAGTTTTCTTTCTCTACAGTACACATTCTGGCATAGCATACTTCCATTCTCCATTTCTCTAGCAACATGATAGAATCTCACGATCTTCTGCTTTCTTTAACTCACTCTCACTTCACTTCAAGTCGTATTTTTTTCTTACCTTACTACCTACCGCTGCATATCTACGCCTCGTCTACGTCACTTCTGTTGGTATATTATCGTCTAACGCACACCCCTTCCTTTTTCTTATCTGGAACCTGGGAAAAGTCTGCGACATCAGGAAGTAGACACAATCTAGATGCTTCCCATTGTCCAAAAGGACCACCAAGAAAATGATGCGACTATACGGGTGTGAAAATGACCGTTCAACGAGGTGACAGATGTCGAAGGTCAGGTCAGGTTGCTGCTCTGGATCTGTAAAGGGCTCAATCGGGCTCCCAATAAAGTCAACGAGGTCACGAAGCAGCCCCCGAGGTTCTGGTTTGACCCATTGATTGGGAGTGAAAGCTGAGTTTTACATTAAGAAAGATGGCACTCGTTCAGAGGAGTTATGGCTGCCGGTCTTCTCCGTCGCGCTGAGACCAAAACTAAGCACTTGAGAATCCTTTCATTCTCTTCTGACGTGGAATGTACATTTAAACCAACGTGATATTCGAGTACAATGAGTTCAATGAAATATTCACAAATCATGTTGATGTTAGTATAAATGTGGTGGTTACCGCGATGTATCGATGGCTGAAGATGATTGGAAGTCGTTCATTGCATGCAAAATAGATCAGTTCTAACTTAGGTATCAAAATACGAATAGATAAATGCAGGTGTACATCTATGTACCTCGTGTATCGTACGTATGTCTACCAACTTCTATGACCCAGCCATGTCCGCCGTCCTAGACAATCGTTATTGCACACGCGGTCGAATAGTCAAACTCTCATGTAAACCTCCATTCGCCCTCAAATTTATCCCTTGTCGCAAAACACTCTTCAAGTCTTCACTGCCAACCATCTCCACATACTCCGCCGCACTGCCCCAAGCCCCTCTGGCCTCGGGGTCAGCTCCTTGCTCCAGTAACCATTTAACCCGCTCCACAGCACCAGCCATAACAGCGTACATGATCGGGTGATGCACCACAACCCGTGACTGGCCCATCTGATTCACATCCGCACCCCGCTCCACCAACAACGCCATAACAGGGATCCGACTCGTATCGAACTCTCTACTAACCACACTGCGTGGCACGATCCCAGGCGAACAGGCCCCTGCCGCAAAATGGAGTGGCGTGCCATAATGAATCGATGCCCCTGCATCGAGGAGTAGTCGCACCGCTTCCACCGAGCCCCGCGCGGCAGCTGCCTCCAGGGCAGCACATGATTGCGGGTTCGGCTGAGCGGCTATATCAGTGCTGTCATGCTGCGCGCCAAGATTGGGGTTTGCGCCGTGGGCCAGAAACCAGCAGAGAACAGGGAGATTGGTCACGACTTTGGGTAAAAGCACAGCGCCATAGTCGCCGGGAATATTCGGGCCCCACCCCGATTGCGCGAGGAGCTCGAAAAGTGGGATTTGGGTATTTGGTGGTGCGGAGAGAATATGTACAGGTGTGTTTGGGGTCACTGGAGCACCGCTTGAAAGGAGATAGCGGGCTACGTCGACATTTCCAGTCTCGAGAGCAAGGATCAGACCATGGTGGAGAAACGCAGCGGATTGCGGTTGTGATGAGATCACGGCGTGTACCGTGTGCAGGTTTCCTTCTCGACAGGCTGCTTCATAAGAGGCGAAGTGTGTGATTTGTTCATTGTGTGAGTTGATGTTATTGTGTTCCACTGGCATAGATGAGACCCCTGTCGAGGGTGGAAAAGTGGGCGCTATAAAAGACAATCGATTGTTCACATTGCCCATGCCAAGTTCTCGTTCTTGTGCCGCTCGCCGGCTATCTTGCGGCATCATCATCCCCACTTCGCCAAATTCCATGGGGGAAATATGTATATAATATTTTCTTTTTCCCTTTCTTATCGTTGATTCAGGCCAGTTGGTAGATGATTCTAAGAGTTATCGCATAAGAGGAGATGAACCCGGCGACAAAATGGAAGGAGCCTCATGCCTTTTAAGGATTAGCCCATTGGCCCGGGTGGTGCTGACTCATCATGAGACTGGTCAAAAAAATGACATGTTCTATATTGTGGCTGCATATTAGGAGAATATCTGTGCAGAAAAAATGTGATCGAGTAGTTCGGTCAACTTAATCTGATAGATCATGTTTGTGACAGCCTATTTGAGGTGGTTCGTATGCATACTTATGCAGACTTAATAGATCCATGGATCCTTCGTAGATAAACCCGTTTACTGTACGCCCCACCAACCTATCATGATCATATCCAAGGTAGTATTGTGGAACTGAAAGTCAACTTAAAAAGTGATACTTCTATTTTCAAGAGTCTGCTGAGATCTGTGTTGATTGGGGTCAATTTCTGTACATGACATTCCATGTCTTGACTCGGCTTTTTGAGACAGTGGGAAAAGGAAAAAAAGGAGAAGGAAAAATGAAAAAACCCCCCCCCCCTCTCAAAAAAAAGAAAGACTGTGCATATTAATATTAAAATCGCCGCTTTGACCGGCGAGCCTGCTCGCGTGAGGTATCATAATCATCAGTGGATTCAACCGTAGTCTCAATCTCCGTCTGTGCGAAGATCTTTCCATCCGGGACGATAATCCGATCCTCGCTCGAGTTGTCTCGATCTCCAGCAGCAATCTGGGTACCCATAGCGATATCCTCACCATTAATAGTGCCCATTGTAACATTGTTGGGGTCGGTGACTCTGGTGAACCCAGATCCGTATTTCCGAGCATCGACAGTGCCTGACCACGGACCATATTTGCGTCCACTGCTGTACTCGCCGATGAAGCGGGGTAGGAATCGTGAGGCGATGGCTTTGAAGGAAGGAATTGAGGCCGCGAGGATTCCGATGTTGGTTTCAATAATGGACCAGTACATGGCTCCGCTAATGGCGTAGGTATAGTCCGCGGAAGTGAGCATGGCGGGGATGTAGGTGATTCGGATAATGGAAGAGACGCAAGTACTAGAGACATGGATAAGTTAGGAATCGAGGACAATGCTGTGGAATAAATGATATCAGATAAACTTACAAGAGACCTAGACAGAGAATGACGCCGAGGATGGCCTTTTGCTTCTGGGGCATCTGAAGTTTGAGAACGACTCGGATCGGAAGTGTGTAGGTTAGGAGATCCGTGAAGATGTTGAGAGCGGCGTTGCAGAGATAGAAAATATTGATGTTCACGCATTTTCCATTCCCTGTGCCTGTCCAGGCTTTGCTAACAGGGGTACATTGGAATGCAGCGACGAGTACGAAGGAACCAGCTTGGCAAATGATGACGGCCATCATGACATAGGACATTCGGGTGAGGTAGCGGTCTCCAAGTCGGGTATAGAACCACAAGACAGAAGTCTTGACGAATCCGAGACAAGCTAGATAGAACATCGAACTTAGCCAGACAGCCTGATATAGAGTATTAGATAGAAGTTCTGTTAAAACGGGAGATATAGACCCACAAAGGAGTAATTGATGAGCAAGCTCTTATCGGTATACTCATAATGTTGTCCAAGTCCATTCTTGACAGCTATAGCCTGTTAGAATTCTATCATTCAGATAAGAAGTTAGTCACTTACCAGCAACAGTTGCTCCGACAAATGCCCAAGCTAGAAGCTGTTTGATTCATCCGGTAAGTTCATGATCATACATTTTATGAGTGTGGATATCTCCTTACACATGCGCCTATAATGAGATCTTCAGATCAATGTTAGTCAACTTTTGTACTCAAGAGAGATATTGAGGATTACTCACAATCATCGAGACCCATCTTACGCAAAACGTAAATTCGTGCAAAGAGTCTCAAAACGAGTACAAAAAATGTCAAGGTCGCAAAAGCAATGCCAATGGCCACGACTGTATGGCCTTGAGAGCCATGGTCTCCTGCCATGGTGAATTAAAAGAATGAATGTGTCAGGGAGCCAGGAGAAACGATTAGGTGTCCAGTTTCGGAGTTGGTAGATGCATCGATTTGCTACCAAGCAGGTGAAGAGTCTCACCAGGATAGCCAGGGGATGATAAAAGAGGACATAAATGAAACTGCACTCGGAAAAAGTGATTCTCTACTCCGTGAACCACTCCACTTATCGAAGACTATTCGCAAATGCACGTCCCTTAAGCTTTAGACCTCAAAGCTTGCATACAAATAACACTTCAAAACGAGCAGCCAATCTCTCGAGCGCATCTTTGTAAATTCTAGACCAGCCACATCCCAGATAGCTTGCCACAGAAGAAAAGGAGAGAGGGCATTGGCATTAGCTTACCAAAATAAGAGCAGAACCAAACATTCATCCTGTCACGGTCTGTCGATCATGTACTAATGCTCTCCTCCTACTCCGTATGTGCTCTATCTGGAGTAATTCTGACATCGGGCTATTTAGGTCTCTTGATGGACACTGGGATCCATTAAACAACCCTACATCGTTACTCTCATTCGTCAGTCAGACGCGTTGGAAGCTGCCGTCACCCGTCAGCCCCGTGCCGAGAGCCTTAGAAACCTCGTGAGATCCACTTCATCGAGGCAAGACCCAACCATATTTTTGTTGTTGACAGGGATTGTTGACTGGAAGGTTTTTTTAGCATGAAAACGTCTCGTATTTGCTAATCTAGTGCTAGTGGGAACACTCAATTTCCCCTTAACCTTGGGCGAAGCCACCACCAAAGGAATTCAAAATTGGTTAACTATCTCCCTAGAACGATGAATCTGATAGTTTGAGATAATTCCCGATCTCATCGATACAATCTCACCAGAATCATGATCTAGAGGACCAAGGCGTAAGGCGCCCAGACGTGGGCCCCGAGACTCGGGTATATCTACCTAATGGGAAATCTCTGGATAACTTTTCTGAGCTACATACTGATTTGACTAGTACCTCTAGTCGGGTTACTTTTTAGTAACTTCTGAGTAAGGAAGCATCCATGGATTCTTTCTTAACTAACGGAACTTTGATTATTTGTCGGATTTTGCCAGGTGCGCCACGCGGCACTAGCTGCAAGTGACAGCGCGTCTCTCAGAGTTTAACCATGTCTCGCACCTTTCTCGGCACTGACTGGCCAGAAAAGTGGTCCTTTGACTTTCTCCTTTGTTTCTTGTTTTCTTGTTCAGAACTTAAACAGGGATTTCCGCATGCTAGGATGAATGGGATTGTCATGTTTCGGATGCTAGGTTATTCTGGCAGGGAGAAAAGACAATGGACTCCACAAGACCCACTTTTGAAGCCATCGCTGAAGTTAACATGACTCAAGGCCTCGATCTGCAGGAGCTGCCTCCCCGAGCCGTCTCGAAAAAAGGACTGAGAGAGGGAAAATGTCAAGTGGGTCATGAGTGTCTCCAATTTTTGCTACTCAACCGCGTGTTAAGCGAGATTGGCTGGGCGTCATATTTCCGACTCCAGGACCCTAAAATGATTCCTCGGCTTAAATATGACAGCTCAGAAACATCTAAACAAGATGAAACAGATGTACATGGCACATGCATCACTATGAAACCTGCACTGCATGTCAAATCTATCATGTCCTCCCGTCCTAACTTCTTGTATGGAGTCCTCCGCACGGAGTGAGATCTCTTCCCGTTGATGAGATGCCCCATCCCCCATTCCCCATCGATCGAAAACCTCCAGCCCGCTCTCATGATGGTTCCCAAGAGGTCCCGGAATTCCATCTCCGCTTGCTCTGTAAATCTATTTCCATTCTTGGGATTGGTATCTGAGCACAGATTTCCGGGCTATCGATCACCGTTGGAGATCTGCACCGATAATTTTCCGAGGCAAATCATCATTTTTCTTTTTTATAATGATTGTCAAAAGCGGAGAATGGTTATCAAATATCAGGATCTATTATTATGACCAAGGCTTAACAATAGTGCCGTACAGCCGAATATTCATTCAAGTTGCAGGATCATATGCAACTAGCGAGGAACTCCGCTGTCAAATTTTTTCCTAAACACTGGCCTAACAGGGGTATCACAATAGTCTTATGGAGATGATCCTTCGGTTGTACATATACGCCTCGGCCCGACTTCAAATTCTCCATTTGATGTACTTTGTGATCCCTACTAACTCCTAGTATGAGTTTGACAACTGGCTTGTCCACTATGTGCTCTTAAAGGGCGCCACATCGGCAGAAGGATGAACTATCGGACTCAATCTATTTAAACGCAAATTAAGTTATACGAGGCTTCTCGTGAAGATTTTGATTTCACATACATTCAATTGAACCCTCTCCAGGACTGAGTCGAACAATCCATTGACATTTACGGAGTCATGGAAGCTAGGACTCAGGAGGTCTCGAGTGGAACCACATGATACATCCACAACTAAGTCCCACTTGAGCCTGAGCCCTTGACTGCTACGGAGTACTCCCCGGCATTTTACGGACGCTGTGTGTTGTGCGGTTGTTCACTTGTGGCAAATGGACCTTTACCGGGGCCCATATTAATGTCGATCTTTTGTCGCAGACGTTGCTAACGGCTTTCACTGCCCCTTTGATAATATTTGATATCCCGTGTTTCTCCATGGCTCTCCCACAAACGATGATCTTTCCTTATTTTGAATAGTTCCAAGCAAAATTCTCTCGTTTATTTATTCGCTTTCTTGTCTAGACCTACCGAAATAAATTTAGGACTTATAGCAAAGGCGTTCCAGATGTCTATATGTGGCTGACGGGAGCCGCAGATCATATAACCGCGATGCGTGAGAAGTAATGCAGGAACCGGTAGTTCATAGACATATAATAGAGCAGTAGAGTGAATGAAAATGAGCGGTCTGCCCAGGCTTGCTGATCTGCTAGAGCCTTGGGATTAGACCCAGTAAAGTCCAGACTAGACTAAGCTAGACTCATTGCGTCGTGCACCTGTCGGCCAATTCCGCTAGCCAATGACTTTGGTTCTCTTACTATGCAGAGGTCAAGCTAATCAGAGGGGTGACTCTGCTTTGCGGCTATTTTTGAGCTTCTGTTTCTGCATGAGAACTCTTTCAATCAACCAGATGCTGGCATTTGATTTCTAAAGCAGCACCATGGGTCTCGCGGAGAATGTGTTGTCACTGTTGACAGTGACTAACATCATTGTTTCTCTTTTAGTCTACATTACCTACAAGATTGTTTATCAAATTGTTTACTATCGCCTTTTTCACCCTCTTGCTGCCTTCCCTGGTCCCTTTTGGGCGTCTGTCACTCGTCTTTGGATTACTTCACAGAACTTGAAAGAGACTGAGTACTTGACATGCTATGAACTTTATAAGAAATATGGTAAATTGAGGAGCTTCAATCTATTAAATAAACACAGTCGTTAACATTATATCTTCTCACAGGACCCGTTGTTCGTATTACCCCCACTCTGCTGCTGGTCAGCGACCACTCCAAGCTCCCAGAGGTCTACCACCGCAATGCCGATAAAACAGGCCATTACATTACGGGAAGTTTTGGTGAAACAGAGAGTCTGTTTAACATGAGATCACACAAGACTCATGCTGTATTCAGAAAACATGTTGCGGGGCCTGTAAGTATTAACACGAGGACCAAAAAGTATATCATAAATACAGATGGGTCTAACAATAAACACAGTATAGCTTCACGAATATCAAGAAAATGGAGCCATTGATTGATGCTCGTATCACAGAGTGGAGTACTAAGCTTGATGAAACATTCGTAAAGTCTGGCAAAGCATTTGATTTCTCCTGGTGGGCAGTGTAGGTTTATATCCACTTTGATCTGTGAATAATATCGTATTCAGCAGCCGAAACTGACAAAACTCCACTCAGGTATATGGCCTACGACATTATCAGTGAAATTGGCTTTGGTGCTCCTTTCGGGTTCATTGAAAAGGGCGAAGACATTGGTGGTCTTATCCAAGGCTTTCACGACGGCCTTCCAGCCTTTGGTCTCCTTGCCCGTCTGCACCCGTTCACATCATGGGTAAAGACTACCTTCCTGAAAAAGTACCTCGTCGCAAAACCAGAAGATGACTCAGGTATTGGTGTTCTCATGCGTTTCCGTGATCGTCTTATCAGCGAGCGTCTCGAAGATATCAAATCCGACAAGAAGATCGAACGCGTCGACCTCCTCCAGATGCTTCTGGAAGCTCGCACAGACGAAGGTAAACCCCTAGACCTGGAGTATATCCGTGCAGAAGTACTCCTTGTTCTTTTAGCTGGAGCAGATACAACTGGCACAGCCTTCCAAGCGATGATCCAGTTTCTATTAGAAAATCCCAAGGCCTATGAGCGAATGATGGAAGAAATTGACGAGGCTACTCGTAAGGGTCTGATTTCCGAGATGCCGCAATATGATGAGGTTCTTGAACATTTACCCTTTTATGTGGGTTGTGTGAAGGAGACCATGCGTCTTTGCCCATCCGCACCGAATATCTTTCCTCGATATGTCCCTGAGCCGGGTTTAGAGCTCTATGGGAATTTTGCACCCGCTGGTACGGAGATCACTAGCAACCCCTACATTGTGCATCGGGATCCGGCACTGTATGGTGATGATGCGGAATTGTTTCGTCCGGAGCGGTGGTTGAATGTTGAGAGGGCGAAGCTTTATAATAAGTATAATATGGCTTTTGGATATGGGTCTCGTGTCTGTCTGGGAAGGGATATTGCAATGATGGAGCTTTTCAAGGGTCCCTTGCGGGTGAGATTGATTGATTCGGATTTGTGGAAGAAGCGCTGGCTAACTGAATGCTTTAGTTCTTTCGTCGCTACAAGCCAGTGTCTTTTAAGGATAAGCCAGAAGCCAAATTTGTGGTCAAGGGTGGTGTTGGGTACTGGAGGGACCTATGGTTGACGATCTCGAAGCGGCCACAAGAGGCGCAGTGATCAAGAATTTGGAGTTGAATATTTGATTCATAGAGTGTTTCAAGGTTGATATGGGTGGTCTTCAATGTGATAATCGTGTTCGGATGAAATCTCCCTTGTACAGCTTCCCTCTCTACTTTCTTGATTGTGAGTACGATGTATCAATATAGAGAAACAAGAAATCAATTCATTGAGATGCATAAAAATGAACATGGGCTAGATATTTTGTTGGTAGATATCTACAGCTGCTATCTTGATGTCTAAAGAACCCAAGTGCTAATCTATAGCTTCAGCAGACGCAGCAGGAAAGTCGCGTTTTGGACTTCCTGCTCTTCCTGTGAGATAAGACCTGCTTCATCGGCGGCGGGCACCTTGCCATCAACCAGCGCGACCTCATCAAGAGGACGACGCAGGACCTTCTCAATAGCCTGAGTCTGGGACTTGAAGGCTTCGTTGATACCAATGTTCTCAGGGTCGGAAAGCACAGTGTACTCCATCTTCACGTCATCAGTTGCCACCAAGCCTGCGGCCTTGCGCAGCTTTTGGACACGGTTGATGATCTCACGGCCAAGACCCTGCTGAGCCAACTCCGGGTAAACGTTCGCATCGAGGATAGTGATGACATCCGCGTCAGCGTTGGGCTCCATACCCGATGAGCTGGCATCCTCCTTGATGCCTCGCTTGACGACAAGGTCACCCTCAACCAGCTCGATGCCATCAACCAAGATCTTCTTATCCGCAACGTACTTCTTAACATCCTCGCTGGAGAGCGCAGGCAGGGCCTTCTTGACCTTCTGTACGTCCTTCTTGAGCTTCTTACCCAGAGTGGGCCAGTCGGCGTTGACGCTGTATTGGATGTTGTACTTCTCCTCATCAGATGTGAGAACAAGCTCAACAACATTAAGTTCCTCCAGAATGTAGCCCTCGAGAGACTTAACATCATCCAGGTACTGCTGGTCTTGGTGGACAACCACGAAGGACTTCAGTGGGGTCTTGAGACCGATGGATCGGCGCTCACGGCTGAGACGGCCGGAATCAATGACCTTCTGCATGCGCGCAACTCTGCGCTCAACAACCTCGTCAAACAACTCTTGACGCACTTCGGGGAAGGGAAGGAAGTGAACACTGCGGCTGTCTTCAGCACGGAGAGGCTCGGGAATGTGAGGAAGCAAGCGCTGGTAAATGTTGTCGGCAAGGAAGGGAGTGAAGGGTGCCAGGCCTCGAACAAGGGTATAAAGAACCTCAAAGAGTGTGTTCAAGGCATGCAAAGTGTCATCAACGCCATTCTCACCCTTAAGACGCTTGCGGTTGAAGCGAATGTACCAGTTGGTGGTGTTTTCAATCAGCGCCAACAGACGGGGCACAACAGTGTAAAGACGGTAGGCAGCCATCTCCTCGTTAACGAACTTGAGCAGACTCTGGCAACTGGCCAAGATCCAACGGTCCATAACGTTAGTGTTAGTGGCCTCTGCCTTGGGATCAAAGACAAAGTCAACGTCCGAGGACTTCTTGAGAAGAGCCACCTGGCCATCGAAGAACTTGTAACTGTTCCACAGAGGAAGGAGGACCTTGCTAATAACCTCCTTGACACCGGACTCCTTGAAACGGAGGGGCTCGGCACGAACGACGGGGGAGTTAATGAGGTACAGACGGAGAGCATCTGAACCGTAACGATCCATGATCAAAGTAGGATCTGGGTAGTTTTGGAGACGCTTGCTCATCTTCTTGCCATCGTCACTCAGCACAATACCGTTGACAACAACATTCTGCAAAATATAATTAGTCAAGTCTCAAACCTGAAGGACAAGAAGTCATCGAACCTTGAATGGAATGTGCCCATAGAGATGGGTTGAAAGGACACAGAGGGTGTAGAACCCTGTGAAATTGTTAGTAACATAAGGGAAATGAACCAGAGTAGATATACTCACAGCCACGAGTTTGATCAAGACCCTCAGCAATGAAATCAGCGGGGAAAGTCTGCTCAAACTCTTCCTTCTTCTCAAAAGGATAGTGTTGAGAAGCATAGGGCATGGCGCCAGATTCGAACCTGGTAACTTGTTTTAGCATACTCAAGAAACCAGATACTTTGTTCACATAAAGCTTTAACTTACCAACAATCGAAAACCTCTTCAACACGACGCAGAACACCATTACCCTTCTTGCTAGGAATGGTAATGTGATCAACCTTGTCACGGTGGATGTCATGGATTTCACCCTCGTAGCCGCTAAGCTCCTTGAGTTCTTGTGCGCTTCCCACGGCAACAATCTCTGAGTAATCTTCGCTAACCCACAAGGGAAGAGGGGTACCCCAGAAACGATTACGAGAAATGTTCCAGTCACGGGCGTTGGCAATCCAGCTGGCGAAACGCTTGGACTTGACGAAGTCAGGAGTCCAGTGAGACTTCTCAATGCTGTCAAGCATGGTCGGAATAATGGGAGTAACCTTCACGAACCAAGCGGGCACAGCGCGGTAGATCAGGGGTGTATCACTCCTGTTCATCGTTAATATGGAATCTGGCACTGATAATGTAGAAAATATAGAAAAACTCACCTCCAGCAGAAGGGGTATGAGTGGGTAATCTGGCTGTCAACGAGAAGACGCCCAGTGCCCTTCAGGTGTTTAATGATGGCCTTATCAGCCTCCTTGACATGCTGACCAGCGAAGTCGGTAACTTCTTCAGTGAAGCGACCATTCGGGTCTACGGGGTTGGGAGGGTAGCGGGTTTCGTTGATCACACCGTGGTCAACCGCGACCTTGTAATCGTCCTCACCGAACGCAGGCGCCTGGTGGACAATACCAACACCAGCATCGGAGGTGACGTACTCATCATTCAGAACACGGAAACCATGGTCCTTGAATTCGTCATAGTAGTAAGGGAACAGAGGCTCATACTTCCATCCCAGCATATCAGATCCCTTTAAGCGAGAAACAATCTTGAACTTGGCCTTCTTTGGGTCCTTGTAGATGGTTCGAAGCAAGGATTCCAGGAGGATGTAGTGCTTCTTGGTGGCTTCATCCCAAATCTTAATGTACTCGAAGTTAGGGTGAGCACACAGACCTGTGTGGGATGGAAGAGTCCACGGGGTAGTGGTCCATGCCAGCAGACAGGTCTCTGGATCATCCAGGAGGGGGAAAGTCACGACGACCGCGGGATCCTGCACATCCTTGTAGTTCTGTTGAGCTTCGAAGTTGCTGAGAGGCGTGTTGAGGGCGGTCGAATACGGCATCACTCGGTGGCCTCGGTACACAAGTCCCTTGTCATAGAGCTCCTTGAAAACCCACCAGATAGACTCCATGAAAGATGGGTCCATAGTCTATTTCCAGCGAAGAAATTAGCAAGGCCTATGGTTATCGACCTGTGGATATATTTCCCCAACCCGCGTACCTTGTAGTCATTGTCAAAGTCAATCCAACGACCAAGTCGCTCAATGGTCTGGCGCCATTCCGAAGAGAATCGCATGACAATAGCCCTGCACTCATCGTTGTACTTCTCAATACCGAATTTCTCAACGGCCTGCAGGCCAGACATGCCAAGCTTTTTGTCGATTTCGTATTCGATGGGCAGACCGTGGCAATCCCGTGGGGACGTTAGCAAGGGAACCTATTTAGAACCGGAAGATCAAATACACACCCTATATAGCTAGTCAGAAATGAAACCGGGATAACAGAAAATTAAGCAATTAAACAAATCACACGTACCATCCGAATCTCCGCTCGACATAGTAACCCTTCATAGACCAGTATCGGGGAATGATATCCTTGATAGTGGATGCCAAGAGATGGCCATAATGGGGAAGACCTGGTTTCGTTTAGAATGAATGAGAGCTAATCAGAGTATAGCAGCCCTACCTGTTGCGAATCTACCGATCCTAGTTAGCTTAATAGTTCATTTAGCACGGAACAATGAAGTGCTTACGGAGGTCCATCGTAAAAGGTGAATGGTTTCCGACCACGGGACAGTTCAACCTGGCGGTTAAAGGCGTCAATCTCTCTCCACCGCTTGAGGACGGCCTCCTCTTCGGCGGGAAAATCCATAGACATGGTGATGGTGAATTGGTGATTTCAACAAGAACGAGGGACACAGGAGGGGCAGATAAAAAAGATGAGTCACCCCACTATGGAATTCTGCCGTGGTATTCTCTCACCGCTTTTATGACAATGCCAAAGGTCTCACGATGAATCATAATGAATTATTGATACTGATTGGTCTGAAGAGACAAGGATGAAATAGATGAAAGGAAATGTATGTTTTAAAAATTAACCATTGGCATTTCAGGTATTGGAAAAAGTCATGAATGTTTGATTGATAAATTTGAGCTACAAGTATGTGGGTTCAAGTTCAAGTTATACAAACAAGGGGACCAAAAACAGGGTTAGGTTGGGATTTGCAGTAGTATGTACAACATTTGAAGGCGAGGCTGTTCACTCTACTCCTCGTCCGCATCCTCATCATCATCTTCATCCTCCGAGACTTCCTCACCCAGCTCCTTGAGACGTTGCTGAAAAAAGAAGTTAGTAATAGTTCAACAGAATGATAACGAAGAAGCTAGCATACCTTATCCTCGCTCCTCTTGGCTTCTAGATCACCGAAGACAATCAATAGATCGTCCAATTCTGACTGGGTGGCTTGCCGAGCCTCTTCTTTCTCTTGAACTTCGGAATGGGTCTTTTCAAATTGGGCTTGTGCCTGCTTAAGTGCCTCTTTGGCGCTTTGTGCTTGCGACTCAGCTTCCTTGGCTTTACGCTCAGCCTCAGCGGCGCGTGCTTCCAACGCAGAAATTTGCGACGCAACACTTTCACTGGTGGCCTCAGCATCCTTCGTGGCCTTTGATTTGGCCTCATCAAGGTCTGAGCGAAGGCTCTCGATTGTCTTCTTGAGCTCAGCAGCCTCGCCGTTCTGTTGTCCTTGAGCAGCCGTCAGGTTCGACTCCAAAGTTCCAATCTGCTCCCTGAGCCCTGCGACCTCGGTCTCCTGTTGACTTTTGGTCGATGCAAGGAGAGACTCCACACTCTGCAACTTGTTTTGGAGACCCTGAACCTTATCCGAATGGGCGTCATTTGATTTCTTGATATCCGACTCCAATCCCTGGATAGTTTTCTGCAACGCCGCAGTCTCTTCAGCATGAGTTTTGCCAGATTTTCCGGCGGTCGACCTCAACTCTTCAATTGTTTTGTTGAGGCCGGAAATCTCTCCAGTATGACTGTCCTGGAGTTGAGCAATAGTAGACTCTAGTGTCCGAACTTGCTGTTCTAGGTGTGAAATTTCACCCGCGTGGCCTTCTTGAGACTGACCAATGGAAGTATTGAGATCTTGAATAGTCTTCTTCAAGCCATTGATCTCACCAACATGCCGGTCTCGAGTCTTGGTCAGCTCAGATTCCAACCCGCGAATAGTTTTCTGGAACCCAGCAGTCTCATGCTCATGATGTTCTCGCAGCTTTGTGCTCTTTCTTTCATATTCAGCCGAGGCCTGCTTCAATTGATTGTCAATTGCACGAAGCTGCTCTCCATGCTGTTTGAGCAGCTCGTTCTTTGACTGTACATGCTGCGCTTCGAGCTTTGCCAAATCCTGATCGCGGCCGTACTGAAGTTGCTGCTGAGTTTGCTGGGCCTTTGAAAGCTCCCATGAGCTCGATTCCTTCGTCTTTCGATGATCTGACAATTCTTGATCGAGTTTTCGCTGGATATCGACAAGGTCTGTTTCGAGCTTCTGAATGGATTGACTTCGATCTTCGAGTTCTGCCCGTAAAGAGTCTACCAATTCTCGTGAAACACCCTTTTCAACTCCATTTGCAACGATTGAGACCTCAAAGCCCGGTTCGCGGTCAATCGATCGAATCAGGCGACTAAAGTTGTCCTTAAGGAATTCAATGAATGACTGGTCAAAAAACACTTCGGGCAGTCCCCCCTCGAGTTGCCCAGCTGCTGTTTGGGGGAGAACTTCGAAGTCACGAACCAATGGACATTCTCTTAGCTTCGTGATTTTATCGATATACTGCTCTCTTCCGAGTTGCTCCTCGAGCAACTTGTGAAGGGTGACTCGAGGGATGGGTGAATCCTTGGTAGAAAACTCGTAGATGATTCCCAAAAGTGCTGTACAAAGACCAGGAATCAACTTGCTAGGTACCCTTTGGTGCTTGATCTCTTGTAGCAGTGTTTGGATGCTACTTCCTTCTCCAAGTAGATCATTGACCACATCTGGGTCTTCATAGAGCCAACCACATAGCAGCATTAAATAGCCGACTGTGATTCTTTCATCGTCCCCACGTTGAAGCCCGGTGATTAAGTTTGCAACCACGGACTGGACACTTGTGACAACCTCTTCGCCACTTTCAGCATCGCCCTCGGTAACGCCCATTACAGTAGACTTGGCTTCGTGGTCATCAAGAATGAGGTGAGACATCAAGACACAAGCCATCCATACTTGATATGGATCGGCGTTCCCTCGGGAGTCAGGTGGCGTGAGCAATACGGACAGAATATTAGGGATGCGGTCTTGTCCACTAGTATGTCCCTCGATAGCACGTCGTAGCACGTGCATCCGAATACCAGGATGGTGAGCAAAGAATGCTTTCATACACTCGCAGGCCGCGAGTCGAGCATCTAACATATTGTTAGGCGAAGGCTCGAGACTCAATTTCAGGAAAGCTTCGATAACATTGATTCGCTCTGGTTCTGTACTCCCGTTGGCAGTCTTATTCCCAGGCGAATGTGAGCCCCATGAGACTTCAATATCTCCGAAGCGTTCTTGAAGTGGTGAGTTGCCGCGTATGAGATCTGCACATGTCGCCAAAGCCTTTGCTGTGACATTGACACTGAATCTCTGCCCAAAGGCTATGCTGAGTACCTGCTCTGTCACACCGTGTTGCCAAAATGCAGTCTGATTGCTGGGAGTCCCTTTGCCACCCCGAATCAAGAAGAGTTGAATGATGGCCAGAAGACCCCACACATTCTTGTCGCGTTGCACTAGGGCCCACTGTGAGGGGGCCTCGTCACCCTCCAGGTCTTGCTGGCACTCAGCGAGAAGCCTTGTTACCTTCTGCACGCAGCCAGTCTCCCGAAAGTATGACTGATTTGATATATTATATCTCAGGAGGTGGGCGAGTAAAGACAGACAGTCTTCCACTACTTCGGTGCCATGGGTTAAGTAGCCTTCGGATTCTATCAGGGAGAACAAGATCTCAAATGCATTCTCAAACGCAACAAGCTTCTGTAGCTCTTCCGAAGATGGAGTCAGGACAATGAGCAGTACTAGAGCCTCTAAAATATAGGTAAAATATTTGTTAGCTTGAACTCCTAGTCTGATGAAATTCGTTGAAGCTAACATACCATTGCGGACCGGCTCTCTCGAGTCTGTCAGCACATTTACTAGCCGAGAAATACCCAAAGGTGCCGTAAAAATACATTCCTGTGTTCGCTCTGGTCGTGCAGCAGATATGTGGGACATCAACTGGAGGGAGTAAAGACGTGAATAGAAGTCTCGGGTTTCGAGGAGGTCTAAGAGTATGGTGATGTTATCTTGTCGCTGGTGCACTGTTAGCTCTATTGCCCTGTATTTTTCCAAGATCAAGGACAATTACCTGGGTAAATTCGTCTGCCAGCCAGAGAGCAATTTCATCTGACGCTTCAGGCTGAAGAAACAGTCAGCATATCCGTATTTATATCCATATGATTCACCACAATGACTGACACTATTCTCATCTGGGGTAAATAGCATCAATAGGGTCTCTAGGACCACCTTCAAGGTGTCGACATCCTCGCTATCATTGCGCAGGCTGCTGATAAGAGACCGTAAGCCTCCTGAAGCAACAGATGCTGGATAGAGCTTTGCAAAGCTTCGTAGGCCTTGGATTGCGGCCCGTCGATCTTCTAGTAAAGTGGCACTCTGCAATCGATTGCTAAGAACGTCGATTGTATCCGTTGCCGTTTGTTTGGCCGGAGCTTGCGATTCAAGGATTCGAAACATCGCAACAGGATTTCAATATCATGGTCACCGCCGGCCGAGGGCGCAGGAATTGGCAGGCATCGAAAGTCTTTAAGGTCAACAAACGGGGGATCGGGGGCTTGGGCAATGCCGATTGCAGTAAAGCTGGCCTTCCCTGACCGCCTTGGATTGAAGCCCTCACCGCTTTCTATATTGAGAAGCTTTCTACTTATGAATTTCAAACATCTGTGAGAGATCTCAGAAGAAAAGAATATTGATCTTTTGTAAACAGCCCAATACATCTTTGTAAATTGATTTTTCGTCCCCCCTTTCTGCCTTGTACAAAAAAACTCCACTCCGCCAACCATAGAAGTCTCTCAGGCTCTTGTTGCAGAACCGCTCATTCTGCATGACTAAGGCCGGCGCCGGAAATAACCTCGCCGCAGAGACTTTCGATTCCTTTCAACACCAAACTGCGCCGCGAAATTTGACGCGGTTGCATCCATTTGACTTTTGCCTGAATCCAGTCTCCCAGGCGACAGTGTTTCAAAGCTATTATCTCGAGATTTCACAAATACCGGGTACTAGGGAGCTGTCAGATTTACCCGGAAGTCGCATTTGAGCGCCGCATCGAACCGATAAGACCAACGAAGCTCAATCTGCTGTCGCGTCGCCACTATGGGTGTCCCAGCGCTCTTCCGATGGCTTTCCACCAAATATCCGAAGATCATCTCTCAGGTGATTGAGGAGTTGCCCCAAGAAGTCGATGGCGAAGAAATTCCCGTTGACACAACGCGCCCAAACCCCAATGGAGAGGAGATGGATAACCTGTACTTGGATATGAACGGTATTGTTCATCCTTGTACTCACCCCGAAGGGCGACCCCCACCAGCCAATGAGCAGGAGATGATGCTTGAGATCTTCAAGTATACTGACCGGGTTGTCAATATGGTTCGCCCAAGGAAACTGCTCATGATTGCTATCGGTATGTGATGCACCCTCTACTAACATTATTTGTGCAACCAGTATAACTGACATGGCATTTGGCTGTAAACAGATGGTGTTGCGCCGAGAGCAAAGATGAACCAGCAGCGTTCGCGTCGATTCCGATCCGCCCAAGAAGCTAAGGAAAACGACGAGAAGAAGGAAGAGCTCCAGAAGCTCCTGGCACGACAGCGTGCAGAGAGGGGCGAGGATTCTGTCATGGAAGAGCAGGCTGTCCATAAGACTTGGGATAGCAACGTCATCACTCCCGGAACTCCATTCATGGATATTCTGGCTGCTTCTTTGCGTTACTGGATTTCTTACAAGCTCAACACTGATCCTGCTTGGGAGAAGGTGAGATTAGCCCACCAATACATCCAAGAACAACCCTCCGCTAACTTGAAATAGCTTAAAATTATCATCTCCGACGCTACAGTCCCTGGAGAAGGCGAGCACAAAATCATGGAATTCGTGCGATCACAAAGAGCGTCGCCGGAGCACGACCCCAATACGCGCCATGTCATCTATGGTCTTGTAAGTGCTTGACAATATCATCTTGAACTTTCCGCCCGACAAGACTGACAAGGATCGTCTTAGGACGCCGATCTCATCATGTTGGGACTTGGGACCCATGAACCTCATTTCCGAGTCCTGCGTGAAGATGTCTTCTTCCAGGAATCCAAGCCTCGTACCTGCAGATTGTGTGGACAGGTTGGTCACAAGGCTGAGGAATGCACGGGCAAAGCGAAGGAAAAGAGTGGAGAGTTTGACGAGAAGCAGAACGCGGTTGCGCTCAAACCATTCATCTGGCTTCATGTCTCGGTTTTGAGAGAGTATTTGGCTGCGGAATTGCATGTTCCTCAGCAGCCATTTCCCTTTGATCTCGAGCGAGCTCTGGATGATTGGGTTTTCATGTGTTTCTTCGTTGGAAACGATTTCTTGCCCCATCTTCCTGCCTTGGATGTTCGTGAGAATGGTATCGATACTCTTATCGCTATCTGGCGTGACAGTCTTCCGGCCATGGGAGGTTATTTGACTCAAGATGGTCAGGTCAACTTCGCCAGAGCTCAAATGATTCTTCAAGGTGTCGCCAAACAAGAGGATGCCATTTTCCGACGCAGAAGACAGGTCGATGAAAGAAAGGCTGCTAACCAGAAGAGACGCGAGGAGCAAGAAAAGGCTCGGAATGACCACGCCAGCAAGCGACGACGAAGCTCCCCATCTTATGACAGGCCAACTCACAATCGATCACAAGGCGGCGATAATGCCCCACCTGCTGGATTGGAGCTCATCACTCCAGGCCGTGGCCACTTGGCCAAAGAGACTAGGGACTTGACCCACAGCATGGTCGTAAACAGAGGTGCGGTGTATCGCGCCAATATGGAGAATAAAAGTGCTGCTGCTGTACTCAAGAGCAAGCTCATGAGAGGTGGTGCTGCGGCTGAACCCACTACCGAAAGTGAATCGGCTACAGGAGAAGACACACCAACTGAAGTTCCTGAACAGACTTCACCTTCGGTTCTCGGAAAGAGAAAGGCGGATGAGGAAGACTCGGAGAAGCAGGAAGAAGACTCGGGAACTCCAGGCAGAGATTCACCCCCTCCCCCTGCTCCCAAACCCAAGGAGAATGATGAACCCCAGGATACTGTCCGACTTTGGGAACCTGGATATGCCGATAGATACTACGAGCAGAAGTTTGGTGTTGATCCCGAGGATCATGAATTCCGTCACAAGGTCGCCCGCGCCTACGCGGAAGGTCTTGCTTGGGTGCTGCTTTATTATTTCCAGGGCTGTCCTTCGTGGACTTGGTACTACCCTTACCATTACGCTCCGTTCGCCGCGGACTTTGTGGATATCTGTGATATGTTATCCGAATTTAGCAAGGGCCAGCCATTCAAACCCTTCGAGCAGCTGATGGGAGTTTTGCCGGCAGCCTCTAACCACGCCCTACCGGAAGTGTTCCATGACCTTATGAGCAACCCCGAGAGTGAAATAATCGATTTCTATCCCGAAGACTTCCCCGTGGATCTCAACGGCAAAAAGTTTGCCTGGCAAGGTGTAGTTTTACTTCCATTCATTGATGAGAAGCGTCTCTTGAATGCAATGGAGAAGAAGTATCCTCTTCTGACTGAAGAAGAGCGGATTCGTAATACTCATGGCCACGAAGTATTGCTACTCTCTGATCAACACCAACTCTATCAAGACCTTGTTGGAAACTTCTACTCCAAGAAGCCTGGTCCTCCCCAGCATACCTTGAACATGCGTCTCAGTGATGGCTTAGCCGGCATAGTCGAACGCAGCGATACATACATTCCACATGGATCTCTAGTCTCCAACTTGGAGGACTATGGCATGCCAGGTCTAGATGATGACCGTTCCCTTACGTGAGTTGAACCTCAACCCCCACCCATTCTCAAGATTTAATTTTGTACAATACTAACTTTTTTTTCACTAGGGTTAACTACGTGATTCCAAAATCCTCTCACCTCCACAAGTCCATGCTGCTCCGTGGGGTCAAGTTCGCAACTCCAATGCTGAACTCGGCAGACATTCGCGCTACTCAGGGCCGCGCTCAACATTCAGGTCGTTCATACGGAGGCGCTCCATTCAATAATGGACGAGGACGAGGACGAGGTGGTCATAATGATTACAACCCAGGTCGCCCCAATCCCTTTGCGGCGCACATTGACCCTCGTTTCATGAACATTCCCCAAGGTGGACCACCAGCAGGAGCCCCGGGCGGCATGCCCATGATGCCTCCTGGGTGGGTACCTCCTCAGCAAGGTGCGGGTGACTACTCGCGAGGCCCACCCCCACCCCCACGAGGCGGAATGTCTCACCAGTACCCTCCTCGAGACTATCAGGGTGGACATAACTATGGCTCCCAAGACAATCGAGGTGGCCGAGGTGGTTACCGTGGAGGCCGACACCGTGGCAACAAACAAGGAGGAAACCGGGGAGGCAGAGGTGGTGGTGGCTATGGACATTACTGATCTATGTCCATGTTTCTTCTAATATCTAAGAATTTATGAGCATTGTCTCAGGGGCCTTGATCAGAGGTTGTCTGTGATAGCAATGGCGTTTGGATGAACTTTCACAGGAAAAAAGAAAACATGTACAACTAAAAAAATGTACTAGTAAATCGCAATCCGCATCAACTGGATTTTTATTCTTCCTTTTCCATTAGTCCGACTAATTTCACCATTCCCGAGGTCATATGGAAAGGATGCTGAACTCGGTACTTTTTACGGGGGCTTTGCCTCATCAGTATTAGATCCCCTAGTAATCGCGGGGGTTGGCGGGTATTATGTATTCTGCATAGTAGCGAACATGCCAGTCTTTAGGGCTTTCAATGTTTTATATGACTTCCGAAGTCGGACTCGGATGAACATGATGGAATCATTACCATGAGGTACAGAGCTCTTCACGCAAGGGGAATACAATTCTACTTTTCATACTATTTTTATCTTTCAAGTCAAGAATGATCTGTCACATATGAATCACCGTGGAGTAAATAGTCGCAACGCTAGTGGCCCACAAGTACTGACTCACAAAGGCGGTCAATCTAAACTGCCCGCGAAATCGGAGGGGAAAGAATTGAGTCAACTTGACAGTCGTTGTTTCTACATATAATTCCCAATTGCATTCCTCGGGGTGATTTGCTGAGGCTGGCTGTAGCAGTCCAGGTAAGCCATCTCATATTAATCTTTCGAGTAGTGGTGTCAATTTTCTATCCCCAGATTTGTGCGCACCTTGCATCGTTAGCTCCGTCGGTGGGGGAAATCCCGCCAATTCAGTCACCGAAAAGAGGGTTATACTAAAAGAATTGCAGAATGAATTGAGCCCGAATTGCATCCTCAAACAAATATCACTACTTCGCTGCACGCATCATGACTGAGCCCACCAAGATCAGCATCTTGGGCCAGGAGAGCATTGTTGCTGATTTTGGCCTGTGGCGCAACTATGTCGCAGCAGACCTGGTCAGTGGCTTGCCCTCCACCACCTACGTCCTCATCACCGATACCAATCTCGGTTCCATCTATACCCCCAGTTTTCAAAAAGCCTTTGAGGTTGCTGCCTCATCAGTTTCCCCCGCTCCTCGCCTCTTGGTCTACAATGCCGCCCCCGGAGAGAGCTCAAAATCCCGACAGACAAAGGCCGACATTGAAGATTGGATGCTCAGCCAGAGCCCACCATGTGGCCGGGATACTGTTGTCATCGCATTGGGTGGCGGCGTGATCGGTGACCTGACTGGATTTGTTGCGTCAACTTACATGCGCGGTGTTCGCTATGTGCAAGTCCCCACTACATTGCTTGCGATGGTGGATTCCTCAATTGGAGGCAAGACTGCAATTGACACACCTCTTGGAAAGAACCTCATTGGTGCCATCTGGCAACCATCAAGAATCTACATTGATCTCGAATTCTTGGAGACCCTTCCTGCGCGAGAGTTTATCAACGGCATGGCCGAGGTTATCAAGACCGCTGCAATCTCAAGCGAAGAGGAGTTTACTGCTCTCGAAGACAATGCAGATGTTATCCTGAATGCTGTCCGTAGCGAAGCCAAGCCCGGCCAAGGCCGTTTCGATGGCATTCACGATATTCTGAAGGCGAGAATCCTGGCCTCAGCTCGCCACAAGGCCTATGTTGTATCTGCAGATGAGCGTGAGGGTGGCCTCCGCAATCTGCTCAACTGGGGTCACTCTATTGGTCATGCAATTGAGGCTATTCTGACTCCCCAGATCCTCCACGGAGAATGTGTTGCCATTGGTATGGTCAAGGAGGCTGAGTTGGCCCGGCACCTGGGAGTTTTGAAGGGTGTTGCCGTTGCTCGTATTGTTAAGTGTATCTCCGCTTACGGCTTGCCTACTTCAATGAAAGACTCTCGTGTACGCAAGTTGACAGCTGGTAAGCACTGCTCTGTCGATCAGCTGCTTTTCAACATGGCTCTTGACAAGAAGAACGATGGTCCCAAGAAGAAGGTTGTCCTACTCTCCGCAATTGGACGCACCCACGAGCCCAAGGCTAGTGTTGTATCAAACCAAGATATTGGCGTTGTCCTGGCCCCCAGTGTGGAAGTTCACCCTGGCGTGCCAAAGACTCTCGATGTCACCTGCACACCTCCAGGATCTAAGTCTATCTCTAACCGAGCCCTTGTACTTGCTGCCCTTGGTTCAGGAACTTGCCGTGTCAAGAACCTCTTGCACTCCGATGACACCGAAGTCATGTTGAATGCCCTCGAGCGCTTGGGTGCCGCGACCTTCTCTTGGGAGGAGGAGGGTGAGGTGCTCGTTGTGAATGGAAAGGGCGGCAACATTGTTGCTAGCCCGTCACCTCTGTACCTGGGCAACGCTGGAACTGCTTCTCGATTCTTGACAACCGTGGCTACTCTTGCGACACCGAGCAGTGTTGACCACAGTGTCCTCACTGGTAACAACAGAATGAAGCAGCGACCCATTGGCGATCTGGTCGATGCATTGACCGTCAATGGTGCCGGCGTTGAGTACATGGAACGCAAGGGTAGTCTGCCTCTAAAGATCGCTGCTTCTGGCGGTTTCGCCGGAGGTAAGATTAACTTGGCCGCCAAGGTGTCTTCTCAGTACGTTTCCTCTCTCCTCATGTGTGCTCCTTACGCAAAGGAGCCGGTTACACTGAAGCTGGTCGGAGGCAAGCCCATTTCTCAGCCCTACATTGACATGACCACTGCCATGATGAGATCTTTCGGCATTGATGTCAAGAAGTCCACCACTGAGGAGCATACTTACCACATTCCTCAGGGTCACTATGTGAACCCTGCGGAGTACGTTGTTGAGAGTGATGCCAGCTCCGCCACTTACCCTCTCGCAATTGCTGCCATCACAGGCACCAAGTGCACAGTGCCTAACATTGGTTCCAAGTCGCTGCAGGGTGATGCTCGCTTTGCTGTTGACGTTCTTAAGCCCATGGGCTGCGTGGTCGAGCAAACTGATAACTCGACTACTGTTACTGGCCCCAGCACTGGTACCCTCCGCCCCTTAAAGAACGTCGATATGGAGCCCATGACGGATGCTTTCCTTACTGCTTCTGTTCTCGCGGCCGTCGCTCAGGGAGATGGTTCGAACCACACAACTCGCATTTATGGAATTGCCAACCAGCGTGTCAAAGAGTGCAACCGTATCAAAGCTATGAAGGATGAGTTGGCTAAATTCGGTGTCGTTTGCCGGGAGCATGATGATGGTCTTGAAATTGACGGCATTGAGCGTTCCACTCTTCGTCTGCCAGCAGGTGGTGTCTACTGTTATGATGATCATCGTGTCGCTTTCAGTTTCAGTGTTCTATCGCTTGTTACCCCTCGTCCCACTCTGATTCTCGAGAAGGAGTGCGTCGGAAAGACATGGCCTGCCTGGTGGGATGCGCTGAAGGGCATTTGGAATGTTAAAATCGAAGGAAAGGAACTGACTGAAGAGGAAGTGGCTACAACCACACAGGAAGAAAAGGCCAGCGCTTCTATCTTCATCATCGGCATGCGTGGCGCTGGAAAGACTACCACCGGCAGCTGGGTTGCGAAGAGTCTGGATCGTCCCTTCATTGATCTGGACACTGAGCTTGAAAGCACAGTGGGTATGTCGATTCCAGACATGATAAAGGAGCGTGGATGGCAAGGCTTCCGTGATGAAGAACTTGCTGTGCTCAAGCGTTGCATGACCGATCGACCAAACGGCTATGTCTTTGCTTGTGGTGGTGGTGTTGTGGAGATGCCCGAAGCTCGTAAGCTCCTGGCCGAATGGCATCAAAGCAAGGGTAACGTTCTTCTTGTGATGCGCGATATCAACCTGGTCATGGACTTCCTGAACATTGATAAGACTCGGCCAGCCTATGTCGAGGACATGATGGGCGTGTGGCTGCGTCGCAAGCCTTGGTTCCAGCAATGTAGCAACATCCAGTACTACAGCCAGCACTCAAACCAGACCGAACTTGCCCTGGCATCTGAAGACTTCAACCGTTTCATGAAGGTTGTTACTGGTCAAACAGATAACCTCGAGCTTATCCAAAAGAAACCCCACACTTTCTTCGTCTCTCTGACGTTGCCCGACCTGCGAGACTGCAGCGAAATCTTGACTGAAGTTTGCATTGGATCGGATGCTGTAGAGCTCCGTGTCGATCTGCTCAAGGATCCTAAGTCCGACAATGACATTCCTTCAGTCGATTTTGTTAATGAGCAAATGTCCTACCTCCGCAAGCGCGTTGCCCTGCCTCTTATCTTCACTATCCGCACTAAGAGCCAAGGTGGTCGCTTCCCTGACGATGCCCATGAGGCTGCAATGCAATTGTACCGCTTGGCATTCCGCTCTGGCGCTGAATTTGTGGATCTTGAGATTGCTTTCCCCGATGAGATGCTTCGGACCGTCACCGAGATGAAGGGTCACTCGAAGATCATTGCGTCGCACCACGACCCGTTAGGAAAGCTCTCATGGGCTAACATGTCATGGATTCCCTCCTACAACAGGGCACTGGAGTACGGTGATGTGATCAAGCTTGTGGGTGTTGCTAACAGTCTCGATGACAACAACGCTCTGCGCAAGTTCAAGAACTGGGCAGCCCAAGCACACAGCATCCCCTTGATTGCCATCAACATGGGTGACAACGGTCAGCTTAGCCGCATTTTGAATGGCTTCATGACCCCGGTGTCTCATCCCAGCCTGCCCTTCAAGGCAGCGCCCGGTCAACTGTCTGCAACTGAGATCCGCAGAGGTCTCTCGTTGATGGGTGAAATCAAAACCAAGAAGTTTGCCATTTTCGGTTCTCCTGTTTCCCAATCACGGTCGCCTCCTCTCCACAACACTCTCTTTTCTGAGATGGGCCTTCCCCATGAGTACGGCCGCCTCGAGACCACAAATGTCGAGGATGTTAAGGACTTCATTCATGCCCCCGAATTCGGTGGTGCCTCTGTAACAATTCCCCTCAAGCTTGACATTATGCCGCTGCTCAATGAAGTCGCTCAGGAGGCTGAGATCATCGGTGCAGTTAACACTGTCGTTCCCGTTGATAACGCTGACGGATCACGAAAACTTGTTGGTTACAATACTGATTGGCAAGGAATGATCATGTCTCTGCGTAATGAGGGTTTCTACGGAGCTGTGGGCGAGGAGAGTGCTGTGGTTGTTGGTGGCGGTGGCACTGCCCGTGCTGCTATCTTTGCCCTCCACAACATGGGATACTCCCCGATCTATGTTGTTGGACGATCTGCCGCTAAGCTTGAGGGCATGGTTTCTACTTTCCCGACAAGCTACAACATTCGCGTTGTGGACGACTACAGTCAGCTGGATACCATTCCTCGCATCGCTGTTGGCACCATTCCCGCTGACCGTCCCATCGACTCTACCATGCGTGAAACACTGTGCAAGATGTTCGAGAAAGCCCAGGAGGTCGATGGAAAGCTCATTGGCAAGTCCGTTGATGAGCAGTCTCCCCGAGTTCTGCTCGAGATGGCCTACAAGCCTTCCGTCACTGCATTGATGCAACTGGCTGCCGATGCTGGTTGGAAGACCATCCCTGGATTGGAGGTTCTTGTTGGCCAGGGTGTTCACCAGGTATGTACTCATTATGAAATTCTCTATTTACTGAACTTGAATACTAATGATTTCGGCAGTTCAACAAGTGGACCGGTATCACACCCTTGTACCACGTTGCTAGAGTAAGTTCCCACTTTCAATATAATCTTGATCCTGTCGGTGACTAATTTATTTTTTATTCAGGATGCGGTTATGGGTACCAAGTCAGTATAACTGGGTTCCAAACATAAGCCTTCTTCTTTCAAATTCCCAATTTCAGCGCTGTTCTTTAACATGTCCACATGTCCACAAAAAGCAAAAGAAGAGATCAGTACTCTCGGCTTTTATTATGATTTTATTACTTCATTCTGGATCCAAATGTTATTACATATCAAGTTTTCCAATTAAGTTTCCTCAGCATCAATTTTCATCCATGAACATTGAATCCTGATGTAGTTCTAATATTGAATGTTTATGCCGCGACCAATGTGGCATTGGTCTTGATTCAACTGCTGTCTTGCCAGTGTGCTATAAATTGGGACCACTGGTCCACCGTACTAAGCAACTTGAGTCTACTTCAAGTTATATCAGTGATCTCAGATATGTTGATCTCAAGGTTTTCAAATACTGGGTCAAATTACAGTTCATTTTAAGCTTGCTAGTGATAATGCGATTTGTGCTATGTCCAAAACTCCATGAAGCAAATTTAAATAGACAAACAACCTTATAGGATCATGATTCCTGTTCAACCCTTTCTGGAAGCAGCCTGTAGACCTATTAGCGAGGATCCTTTAATCAAGCCAAGGGATTTTCATACAAGGAAACAATCTTTTAATCGCATAAATTCCTTGGCACACATGTCCTTCTGAACGGAATTGTAGTCCGAAACCACGCATTTGCCATATGCCGCAGCCTGATAACCACCATGGTTAGAGCTTAGTAGATCATATGATTTCTGACGTTTAGCAAAACATACCTCTACAGAGCACTGGGCTGTAGCCTTGGCAAATTTCTCAACTGGTCGAATCTTCGTGGGCATTTTGATAGAATTGGGATGAACTAGAAACAGGATGAATTGTCTGATTCGAAGCTCCAAAAGACAAAGAGAAGAAGTGGAAGGTTGGAATTAGATCATTTATTGCGGCCTGAGGCACTAAATACTTACCTCAGCATACCTACACGTGACTGTGGAGCATGTTTCTATCGCGACCACCAAAACAACTCGAGTTGCGGCCCATGGCCTTATTCTGAGCCCGATTTTTCTGATCTGATATTTTTTTTTCTTGCTTTCTGTGTTACTGAGCGCAGACTGGTATCTGCGCCTGTATTTTCACTCCGGGTCAATCCCGCTGTCGCGATGATTTATTTGGTCCGTCGGCTTTATGACCCAGATGCGACAAGCGCGCCATAGGTCGCGAATTTTCGATGCCTCCGATATCCTCTCAGCAGCGCGCTGTCACCGACGAGAACTCATCTCTCACCGATGATGGTAGGGAACACTTTCTCTTACAGCTCTCATGATCATTGATCTGACATGCACGTGAAACTCTAGATGTTGGATTCCTTTACCAAGTTGTCACTCGCGCTGAACACAAACGCGACGTTGAACGGCTACCATTCCGAGCGCTTTTTGCAGCATATGATGAAGTTATTGGTGAACATGGATTTGATACTGATCCAGGGCATGCGTGCCTACGGTTCTTGTTCAAAATGGGGGGCAAAGATGTGGAGGGGCCGACCTTGTTTGACAAGTTCGAGAATGCGCTTCAGCATATGGGAATCGTGATTGACTTTGGAGGCGAAGAAGGCTCGACTGGAATCAATGAAACAAGGGCAAATGAATCATATACGGTTGATGCTACCCACGGCAGAACGCACGATCATGATCACCACCACCCCACCCCGAATGGAACCCCGATAACCCCACGGAGACGAGCGTCATTTAACACCACCGTTGATATTGGAGATGATGGCACTCAAAGGAGTTTTATTGAACGGCCGAGCTCTCGGTCATCAATGTCACGATTACAAACTGGAAAACCCGACTTTTTGAAACCAAAGTTTTCCCCCAAACCTAATGCTGCGCACAATCAGTCACTTAAATCGCCAGACCGCACGCAATTGATTGCTCAATTCCTGGATGTTGGTCGGCGCTTGATAAGTAGATTTGACGATGTTCAGAAAAAGAGCTTGGAGAAAGAAGTTGCGCCCTTGACTAATGGCGTGTTGGCAAGGGCTGCTGTTGACCGGGACCGTTCCAAAAGAATGGTGTCCCCTTCACAATCTCGGCGCACAGCCTCTGTGACCTCTTCTGGTAGCTTTGAGTCTCAGGAATCGCGATCTAGTGCGTCGCAGGCCCTAGAACAGGACTCGTTTGAGAAGGAAGAGCCACCGCCTGAGCTCCTCTATCGTCCTCAATTGTCAGACTTGCTCCGGGATGCATCTACATTCAATATGTATCGACAACGGGCAATGTGCCGCAAGATATTGACACAGTGGCTGAAACGTGCGTTTCAGACACGACATATTCGCCAAGCGAGAGAAACAATTGCTGTAAATCGTGATAGGACTACTTTACTTCGGCAGGCATTCGAGCCATGGAAATCAGTCATTCAACAAAAGCGTCATGTGGCAAGAACAGACCGTTTTTTCAAGCACCTTGATGAACGTGCCAATCGCGCCCGTGACTTGTATCTTATGACAAAAGCCTTCACTCACTGGGCCCAGCTTACCTCTGAGGAGGTTGCTCGGACATCTGCAGCCCGAAAACATGTCCTGGGTGTAAAATACTTCAATGCTTGGCGGGAGATCACCGCTGTCAATGAACTTAAAGCTCAGCGGTTTGCCCTGCAAAGGCCCTTCAATAAGTGGCGCAAGAAAATTTTAGATCTCAAGCAAGCAGAAGCCCAAGCGGTGACCGTCCACAAACGAAGTCTACAGCATGCGTCATATTGGCAATGGTTCTGGGGCTTTTGTGAGCGACGTGCGCCCGAGTGGTATGACTATCGTCTTAAGAGACGCTCACTTTTATGTTGGTTACAAAACTTTCGGACCAATCGAGAACGTGAGCATGAAATAGCAGTGCATAATAGGCGGTCAGCTTTGGCGTCTGCCGTCCAAATATGGTCTCAGAAGGCCCAATCCATTGGGACCGCACAAAATTTGGCTGAAGATACCCGGTGCTACTTAGTGTTGAGAGAAACATTTGACGAATGGAAAGTTCAATCTCGGTTGGCCCCAGCCGCTGCTCAGGTCACCGACATGGTGAATACCAGGGTTCTTCGAAACGCACTTTCAAAATGGGTTTCGAAGGCTCGCATGTTTGGTCAAGCGCAAGAGAAGGATCGACTCAGAGTACAGCGCAATGCGTGGACTTCTTGGAACGATACGCTCCGATGCTTGGCTCTCCAAGCCCGAATTGATGAACGACTCAAGATGGAGGTCATGTATAAGTGGATTCTCATGGAAAGATTCCAGCTCATGCGTCGGATACATGAGCAACGAATCAAGCGCGAGGTGTTTACTCGATTCGTCACGAACACCCGTGATACTTATACTCGCTTACTCTTCAATGCGGAGGTCCATGATGAGCACCGAGATGAGGACTTGGCACGTGCCAAATTAGCTCTCTGGCGTGACCGACTTCACCTCCAACGGGAGAGAGAGTATACGGCCTTTGAATTCTACGCACCTCGACTAGCACAAGAGTCTCTCACGGCCTGGAGATCAAAGCATGAAAAGAATCAGAAAATGGAAGGCTGGGCCAAAGATGCACATTTCTATTTTTTAATGAAACGTTCTTTGAAGAACTGGCGTCAAGCAACACTTGACTCGGCCAAGCAACGACGTAAAGATGCTTATGCTAAGGTGCGCCGAAAAATCAAGATGAACTTGGCTTCTAGAGCACTCACTGCTTGGAGATCTAAAACCAGTGACATCATGGATATGGAGCAGCAAGCAAGTACACTTGACCGTGCTAGGGTACTTGATGATGCATTTGATTGCTTTTCTAGCTGGAATACACAAGCACTTAAACGAGTCCAAGATTACCAAGATGCTGATTACCATTATCTACACCGAGCTGCATACGCTCAACTGATCCAAATGTCAGAGATTTTTGTTATTCGTCGTGAAATGGAAGATGATGCCGATAACTTCCACCGTAACCATGTTCTCCATCAGGCAGGAGCGGCAATGCGCAAGCTCAGCCTTCGCATTTTCCAGATGAGAAACACAGTTGAAACATCGGAGGCAATGCGCGAAAGAACCTCACGAAAACACGCAAGGAATCTATTCCGTCTTTGGTTGGACAGTGCTCGACTCAAGATCGAAGCTCGAGATTCAGCTGGACCTACCCTGACACCTGGACGTGGACGCTTCTCAACCATCCCCGTCGAGGATGGCCCTGTATCTTTGTTCGATCCATGGTATCGCAACACCGTCGAAACCCCCTTCAAACTTGCCGACATTACGAGGAATTCGCAGGAGCCGGTCTCCGCGTCTCCACTAGCCACACCGAACTACATGAGCTCCCCATCTAAACGAGCTGCCCGCGCACGAGCCTTGGCACAAATGTCCACAACACCTGCTACTCCCTTACACACACCCTTTGCCAGTCGACTACTTCGTGCCGAAGCATCGACTGGCCAGTCAGCTTCTTCTCGACGGTCTCGTACTGGCCGAGGGAACTCCATCGCAACGAGCGTGCGGTTTGTAGATGATGACCTTCCGGAGTCCCCTACTGATGGTCGAAAATCTTCATCTCGACGATCATGAGTATTTCCTCCCACATATGATCCGTCCCGTCTCTTTTCTCCGTTCAATCAAATTTTCTAATTGACTTGGCCCTACGGGCTTTTGTACATGTGACAACCATACTTTCTACCCTGTATCTTGTGATGGGTGTTTTGTTTTGTTTCAGCATGCATATCAATCGGCGCAGCATATAAGGGGTTGGTGGATATCTGGCTTTTTGTTTGAGCCTTGGAGCATAAAGCAATGTATTTCAGACTACAATGAAAATGAATGTAACGAACACCATCTGGATTCTTGAGCTAAATATAATGACTTAGACCTGTTTATATACAATATTTTGAAAATCTTAAGAGATCGATATCGACTTCAAGTTGCAGGGATAAGGATAGCTATGCAGGAGATGAAGTAAAGACCAAAGGACCCTTGATGTACATGGCAATTTTGAAGAGGTAAGAAGCATAACACCGTGATCAAACTCGGTAGTATGATGGCTCAGGGATTTCGTGTTGAATGAAAATCCCCTATATAGTCGTGAACTTGAAGATCGTAAAGACATGTTTAATGTGATAATGATCCCAGCAACATGTGGAATTTCAAGCTCAGGCAGAATTAGTACTAGTATGTCTGTGCCAGTGCCATTTACATGCATGGACTCGACTTGAATCGCAACTTTGCGACAACCGTAGAGCGAAAGTAAACGCGAGCCCTATCTCTTACTGATGAGCAAGCAGTTTCTCCAAATACGCCACGAAGAACCCAGCATTCATGCTTCCGCCAACGAAAACAAAGCCCAGCTTAAACCACTTGGCACAACTAGCCGGCACGTTCAAGTCGACGGTGTAAATCATCACAGCCAGGGAGACAGCACTTCCTCCGCACCCAACAAGGAAGTATCCAGTCGTCATATTAGTCCAAATTCCAACCAACACAAGCAGAACTACCTGCAGAATGGCAAGAATAGTGCAAAGCTTTTTTGTGCTGTTCTGAAATCGAACAGCCATGGACTTAACTCCAGCCTTGATATCATCCTGAAGATCTTGATGGGCGTAGATGGTATCGTAGATCATAGTCCAAAAAATCTCAATAACACATAAAGCGATTGTAGCCTTGGCAGTGTCAGGACTGTTCCAGAGAGACTCAAGAACACCAAACGAGTATGCAGAAACGATGATAGCAAGAGCCAAAGGCACACCCAGGATAGCTTGTGGGTAATGAGTGAACCGCTTGCAGAAGGGGTAGAGAACGTATAAGGCGCCCATAGCGATAGAGTACACATCACATTGACGGGGAAGGTAATTGAAAAGCCATACTAGAGCGGCTGTCTGCGCCAGCATGAAAATGTGGCCCTGGGTCGTGGAGACGGCCCCTCGAGCAATGGGTCGATTGCGACAGCGGTCGACCTTTCGGTCATATTCTTGATCGATATTGTCGTTCCAGGTGCAGGCTGCACCGCGAATGAGGAGATTGGCAACAAAGAAAAAGATGCACATCTGCAGTAACTGTACTGGGCTCACGGCTGATGGCTCGGCAATGCTTGCAGCGTAGACGAGACCCAGAACAGAGGGCATGTAGAAGCCGATGAAGCCGGCTGGTCGATCAAGTCGCATTAATTGCATGTATGGAGTCAAGCTGAATGGCTCCCGTACGACATTTTGGGGCAGAGCCTGAGCTTTGCCATTGTCGATGGGTTCTTCGTCACCATTCTGGTCATTGATACTGCCATATTGAGTCGTCATTGTGTCTTGGGATGAATTGATTCAAACTTCAATATTTCATAGATTGATTTACTATTTTGGCTCTGAAGGAAGAAGAAATAGCTTGTAAGAAAGGAATACCACCGGAATGAAGAGGATACATTCCAATTTAATCTCTAGGTCTGCTCGCTTATGGCTTCACCTTTTTAGATTTTCATCTATATGAGTCTCCAACTGCTCCTCTCTTAGTCTCCAAGCCATGAAAGAGGGCCAAAACTATCGGAAGCCACATACTGTACGAGTTAAGCGCTCTTCCAAGACGTCATGGTGAATCCTCTCGTATCGAATATAACAGGGACCAATCGATTTATGGGATGAAACCATGATTCAGCTTCCAGCGGACGCTGTGCTCCGTGCTCCGTGCTCCACAGAAATGCCGGCAAGTTTATGCCGATAGTGTTATGCTGTTATGCTGTTAAGATAATCTATAGAATCCATCCCTGTTTGGTAGTTTGGCAGCAGGTCGGGCCCGAAGGATTACTTCCCCATATGATGATGTGTCACTTTTTAGTGCATATGTGGCTTGATGGGGCTAAAGTAAGATTGTTAGCGGTCATTTATTTACTGTTTAGGTGAAAGTTCCTGCCAGTGGACTCTAAGACTTAGTTTAGCACCTAGACCTCACGCTTCGTATTAGTGGCATGTGGGGGCTTACTGTGCTGGCCTTAGAGCTTCCAAGAAATTTGCCGACTATCAATCCCTTGAAGAAAATCATCTTTTGAAGAATTGCCGATTTTGAGTATGCTGCTATGCCAGAAAGAGTGTATAATGTGATTCCTGGGCCTCACGTGGCTACAATCTGAATCAGCCCCAATTTGGACGAAAGCCGTTTTTTGGAGTAGTAGTCCATCGATCTCAAAAAAAAAGAAATTGGGATGGAAATCGTCTATAGAGAGTTGATTGTAAAATTTTGAAAGATTTAGAGCTTACGAATTGAAATTGAAAAGTAATTGTCACTATTATTCGTAGACTAACTATCCATATTGAACAGAGCTATTGATCTAAGCAGGAACAGCCTCAATGATACTGTCCTTCAGACTAGAAGTATAAGGGGTGATACTGTTGATCTTCAGGCCAGCACTCTCCAGCAGCTTATACCACTGATCCTGGGTACGCTCCCGGGCTGCCAAAGTGGTCATCATGAGAACATCCAACTGTGCGGCTTGCCAGTGAACTCCGACGTTAGGCAAAACCATATCATCAATCAGGATCACAGAATCCTCCGCTAAAGCGTCAATGATGTTCTTGAGAATGGCTAGGGACTTGTCATCAGGCCAATCGTGGAAGATGTTTCGCAGGTAGTAAAATTTGGCACCTAAGTTAAGCAAATGTTAGTACTCCATTTAATCTTGGCGTAAATAGTCCATATGTTGGAGTGAAGAAGGGCTAAACACATACCCCGAATAGCTTGGGGCTGGAAGAAGTCTTGCTCAACGGTCTCCACATTTGGATGCTTCAGGGCATGCTGGAGAGTGGGTGCCAAATCTTGAACAATGACACGTCCCTCGAGGTCAGGGTATTTCTCCCTGAAAGCAATAGCCTGGTGACCAAAACCACCGCCAACGTCAACAAAAAGCGCCCGCTCTGGGCTTAATCCAGTTGCCTTCTCATGGATTGGGTAGGCATCCAAGAATGTGGGCATTCCAGCGCGGTTCACAGTGAGGTACTCCTGGAAAAAGCCCATTTTCTCTGGCTGAGTCTGAAGCCAGAAAAAGGCGGGCTGGTCGGTGCCGAACGCCTTTTGAAGGGCAGTGTTGGCGCTGTTCTCAGGGTCGGCATAGTTGGTCTCCTTCAAAAAGTCGGGTAGATTCTGAATCGCGGGGCCCATGGTATCGAAGCTATATTCGCACCAATTGGTCAGCATTTGTTTATATATCAATTGGCCCATAGAGAGTAACTCACTAGTGACAGACAGCAGCTTGGAATCCAGACACAGCGAATGTTTGTGTGATGTTAGTGTGGGTGAAGGCATCCTGCTCTGTCTCTTTGATAGCTCCAAATGAAGCCAGGTAACGGAGAATGCGGCCTAGTTGTTGATATTTAGCCAAGCTCTATCTTTCGACTTATGAGGGAGGAACGTAGGAGGGAATCGTGATATACCTAGAAAGACTGGGTCTGCGCTTGTCTTCTCGCTAAGCTCAGCAACTGTCAGAGGCTTTTCGCTCTCTGCCAGGTAGTTAAAGAGCTTCAGGTTAACTCCGACTCGCAGGGCAGCAAGCTGCAGGTTCTGTATGAGAGTTGAACGATTAGTATTATCAACTTTAAATGCGCGCACCAGATTTGACATACATAGAAGGTATAACGCTGAATGGTATCATCGGGGGTCTCGATTGAGTTTCTCAACGACTGCAAGGTGTCCAGAATAGACTTGCGGACCTTCTCGTCGCCATTCTTGGCCAGAGAGCGAACCTGTTCCACGAGAGCTTCCATGTTGATCAAGGGGAGGAATTGGAGAAGTATGGTAAAAAGAAAAGCGACTCAAAAGAACATTGGAAGTGCGAATCTTTTTTCAGCCCTGCTGTGGACTGGGGATTTATACACCCCGGTCAAGGCAGTAATCATAACATGAGGGGTAATATACCTTGGAATGACTAGTAGGGATTGATGGATGATCGAAGCTTCATCCTATGATAGAGAGGCATCCCAAATTATTCTCTAATGATACATACTAGTAACATCGCTTACGCACAGCCCGTTTCTAAGACCAAAGACGCTAGAGCCACGATGGGATTAGACCCTGCATATGCAGGCTTAATCGTACCCAATCATTAACACATACCGAATATGTTCTGAAGCGATGTATATCACCTCATCCGACTTAACTAGATCTGGAAATGAGGCGTTTATCCCGTTATTATCCCTCTTGGGGGCACTTCAAGGTTCGTCTTACTGCAATGCACCAAGTACGAGCGAATCCCGATGTCCTTAGTGACCTCACTGGTTGGTGGGGCCGCAAGGAAATACGCAAGACAAATGCAAAATAGAATTTCTTCTCAAAATAGTTTATGGCATATCAGACAATTACTTTTGGCCCCCAGAGTGGCCAAAGGTGGATGGAAGTTGTTCATATATGGACGATACTGCATAATAGTTTGCAGGGGTTCTTGTGTCTCCAACCACTCCCGCTTTGTCGCATTTTATTTTCTTTGTTTCTTTAGTTCTTTAGATCCTATATCCGCTGGCTTGGATTTCTCTTTGTTTGAAACAGAATGTCAGGCGCGGCGGTTCCCGATCGAGGCCCAGCGATCATTGCCCTTTTCTGGGTTGAAAGTGCCATTGCAATTCTCGTGGTTGCATTACGATTCTATGGCCGCACGTTATCTTCTAAGCTGGGCAAAGATGACTGGACAATGTTATTCACAGTAGTATGAGCTCCTTGAATGGCTTTCCGCGTTTGATTTCTTTCATTTCCTAGCAATCAGTCTTGACTTGATATCAGACAATATCAATAACCATGTGAAACTAGGTTCTTTTCGTTATATTAAGCGGTTTTACTACATACATGGCCAAGCAAGGTGGATTTCGACATCTTGCCGATCTGAGTGATCAGGAAAAGGTCACTTGTGTCAAGTGGAACTGGATCACTCAAGAATGGGGAATCTCCGGCCTCGTGGCTGGCAAAGTATCAGTTGCTTTGCAGCTTCTGAGAATCATCGGACCAAATAATAAAATCACCCGATGGGCTCTGTACGCTCTCATTGCTTCACTGATTACGTTCAGTCTGGTGGATTGTATCATCACTTTTGCTCAATGTGATCCACCAAGAGCTCTTTGGGATCTCGTTCCCAACGCCAAATGCTGGAATAGTTCGGTCCAAGCCGACTATGCTCTGTTTGTTGGAGGTAATTTACTTCCCTAATTGACCTTATCATACACTTAAGTCTAACATGATCTCCTTTGATGCAGCGTGGAATGTTCTGGCCGATTTTACCCTCGCCTTGCTCCCAGTCAGCATTGTTATCAAGACATCCCTTACTCTGAAGAAACGACTAGCAACAATTGCTCTCTTAGGATTGGGTATCGTGTAAGTAATGGCACATCATTATTGAATGTCTACTTGACTGATTTTTGTGCCTAGTGCTGGATGCTTTGGTATTGTCAAAGTCACCTTACTGTCTACATTGACTGCACGCTCCGATTTGACCTGTAAGTGACTTATGCTTTCCGACATGATATTCCTTACTGACTAGAGTATCCAGGGGAAACATACCCTCTTTACATCTGGACCAGTCTCGAATTTTGGATGATTATCATTTGTGGTTCAATCCCACCCATCCGACCCCTGATTACTCGCATATTTGGTTCTGGCACCCAAAATTCCGCCACCGGCTACTACGATTTCTCTTCCAGTAGCAAGAGATCCAACCCGCTCGGCAAAATGGGGGTTAGCCAGGGGTCACAAATTCCTGATGGCTTTTCACGGATGTCTCACTCGGAGGAATACCCCGATCAAGAACTCGGGCAACTTAACAACTACAGTGCAAATGCGGATAGTCGGGCTACGCGTATGCCCAATGCTGTTGTTGCCGACGAGAGGAGATAGGTTGTATTACCCGGGTTCAAGTTGGATCCTGTCACTACTAGTATATAGAGAAACGAATTTAATTGTACATGTATTCCAAGTTTTACCTCCATAAAACGTAACTAAATGTGCCCAGGTGCCCGTGTGCCGAGTTGTGGATCCTGTTCTACAGATAGCTAGCATAATTAATCATAAAAGTCTTGATTTTCTTAATATATTAACGCTATTATACATTTCGAAGGTTCGTACACGCAAATTATGATTATCGGACCCCAGTACTTAGGCCAGTGGGGCTAACATGTGCAGACTCAGTGCTTAATTACCCTAGCCCACTTAACTCGTATTGTCGGGTTCACATGGCCCATGGGCACATGGATGACACATAGTGGGCCGAACCGTGCCCCCACATCGTGAATCCATCATACGGTATTTTTTACTCATAGTCCAGATGTATTATTATTAAGATCCATGTAAGCATTATCCTATTGAACAGGATGACTATGAAGGGATTCCTTTCAGCAAAATTATACTAGCACGGGGTACGTATACGCAGTAAGCACTTGAGTTTGGCGCCATCCCGGAGTACGCCGTTCAGACATAACAGGTGCGCATTTTAAACCTTGGAAGAAAAGCCACTCAGTCCATTCTTTGGGGGCGAAAAAAAAATACTTGGCTTTGAGTCTGCAAAGGATTTGGCATGAAGTAAATAGTATCCGGATTTGGAGAAGAACTTCGATCACTGCTAGTAACTACGGGAAAGAAGTCCAGCCACGAAGTATAATAACGTGTTTATTCTACTGCAGCATATTGGATACAAAGAAAAAGACTTCAAACCCCTAAAATCTTAATTACAGAATATTTACGTATGTTTGTCAAACCCCAGAATCGATCTCATCCACATACTCGTTTCCACTCCACACAGACCAGTCACGACAGGTCTGGGCCATGCTAGCAGGGATGTCAAGATCCTTGATCTTGTCCGGTCGTTCCTGTAAGGGAAAAAAAGGGTCAGAACTAGTCTCATGCGTAATCTGCACGTTTCATTCGTGGAATTCTCTCCTGTCCTGCTAGATTTGGGGGCCTGCATGGGGTAAAAGGCGCTCCACTTACGATAACATTTAGTACCAATCCCGCGCTAACGTGGTAGGACATGTGGCAATGCAAGGGCCACACACCCGGATTGTCCGCTCGCCATTCCAACACAATGTATGCGGGATCATCAGTTGAACCAGGCTGCAAAATCTGTGTGTCCCGTCGTTGGGGGTTAGAAGGATTCGTCACGGTACCGTCCCAAGTTCCACGCCCGTCGGCCAAAACCCAAAAATTGTGTCCGTGAAGATGTATAGGATGCTGCATCGCATATACATTATTAACGATAAATCGAATCGAAGTACTTGAGCCAAAATTGTAGAGGTTGAGGTCGGGGTTATCGATCGAGAAATTGCCGTTGCGGCCGAGCAGGAGCACGGGGGCATTGTAGTTTGAGCGGAATGTGGAGTTATTCACGAAGAAGAGATAGTGCCCTGTAGCATTAACGCCAAGGTCAATTTCCACGGTCTGGGTCGTTGCAACTGTACTAGGCGGTTTTTGGGCATAGTAAGGAACAGTTGTGTCAAGCGGGTCATTCCGACAATTGTTGCTCTCCCAGGTGGCAGTGGAGGTGGAGTTTGGCCAGGCGCTGGTGTCAGCATCTTCGTAGTAGATTGCCGCTTTAACAGTCTCGTACGTGGCAGTAGCATTGAGACAGGCTATGTCAATCGATGCGCGCATCCAGTACGAGCTCTTGGCACTGCCGGTGGCTTTCACTAACACGTCAGTGCGCTGACCGACCCCAAGAGTTATGACATCCGTGGTGTAAGGTTCGAGTGGGACAAAGTCATTAGCAATGACGGTCATCTCATGGCCGTCGATGCTGAACTTCTGGTTTGCATTGGAGCCAACGTTCATCAGTCGGAGACGATGAGTCTTCCCAGAAGTGAAGTTAAACTGAGCCAGGCCAGCGCCAGATCCACAGTCGGTAGTGTTACAGTTGTTTGCACCATGTCCGTTAATGAGATTATTGTCAACATTGGGGAATGATGGAGGAATAGAGAGAATCATCTCCAGAATCTCATAATAGGACTGGTGAGCATAATCCGAGATCATCACGGGACCAACATCAAGGTCATAGGAAGCACCAGACTGAACAGGACCATAGATTACCATAGGCCCATAGGCACCATCAGTGTACTGCGCGCTGTAGTGAGAGTGATACCAGCTAGTACCATACTGATCGGCCTTAAACTTATAGGTGAACTTGCCCCCGGGAATAATGGGACATTGAGTAATACCAGGGACTCCATCTTCCCATGGCGTTCCTTCTTGACGCAATCCATGCCAGTGGAGAGTCAGACCTTCTTCCTCAGTTAAGATCTGATTGTTCACCGTCACAGAGATCATGTCACCCCAGTTGGCCTCAATCATGGGACCGGGAAACTGGCCATTGATCAGAATCGCGCTCTTATTATAACCATCTGGCGCATTATAGGCTCGAGAGATAGTGAAATCATAGTATCGAGTCACACCAGTGTCAGGGGCTTCTCCTGCAGGAGAAACACCAGACCATGGTGCCTTATCAGAACCAGACTATATTAACCAATCAGTACTGGTATTAGCATCTAGATGAACCAGTATTTGCTCAGCACTACAATTGATCGAGTCAACTCATACCTTGCATTTTATCCACGCAGGAAGGGGATCAGTGGGGAGGTTTCCATAAGGGTATGAGGCTTCTAAACAGAGTCATGCATTAGCTAGAGCAATTAATACAGCCGCGTTTTGATTTTCCAGCAAGAACAATCCATAGGTGTAAAATACCAGTGATCGACTTCGACGTAGCAACAGTTCCTACAGCAAACCAAAAGAGTGAATGGATCTTCATTATGGTTTCAATACCAAAAGAATATGAAGCTGGAATGCTCGACGCCACCAGAATATCTGACAAAATCCAACAGTTTGGTCTTAAAACTCGCTCTACAGAGTATAAGGGGGCCAATATAACTATTTATAAATTTGAGTTATATTTGATAGTTAGATTCAAAGCGTTCAGGAACATATTCATATGTCGGGGCTGATTATTTCTCTGAGCCTTCCAAGGTTCCAAGGCTACTAGTGTTCTCTTGCGATGGAAGGATGCATACGCGAAGTCCGCACATGCATATGTGCTTGCGTAGCGCAGAATAAATTGAGGCCTAGAGAGCCATAATTCGCCTTCAATGTTAGCTGCCAGTGACCCACCTATCATACAGCCATGTCAGTCAACACATGCACATGTGTGCGAATGCAAATTCCCTGATGAACCGCCCCATACCACCGGGAATTGGTGACGCCACCATGCTGGCCTGGTGCCTGGGTGGCTGAACAATTCAAGTTCAAAATGCCATGGTCAAATACGAGAAACGGCCCGGAAAGAAGCTTGGAAGAGTGCGAAGTGCGAATGGTTCCTCATTTGTGACCAAAATCAGATAATCATTGACACTTACTGCTAGAACTCCAAGGTTTTAACTGATGCCAATAATTATCTTCTAAGACATTGTACTAGGTATGGACGGGCCTATGGAATTGAAATAGTAATAATAGTACCCACGCGACAATCTTACCATGTGGAAGACTCGAGCCGGAGATCTCGGAAATATTCTCGGAAATTGGATTGTAAGATCTTCTCTGTATCATCATGGACCTAATTTCGCTTCCAAAGTGACGTCGAATTTTCCAGATGCATGAATGAATGCATGAGTCCGTGAGTGGATACGACATGTCCGAGTCCCCATACTCACCTAGGCAGTACCAGTCGTCAGAGTTTATACCTCAATCTAACAGGATGTAACGCTGGAAAAACAATCTCGCTTTATCTCCTTTATCAGGATTGTGAATAGTGTGGAGATCGTACCATCAGACTAATTAGTTGTCAATAAGCAGTTAAGTCGAGGACATAGAAAACAAGACATTTAGAGCGACACGTAGCCGTGAAGTTGTGGCGCTTGTCTATTCATGAATCATGACAAAGGATCCACAATTTTTAATTCCCGATGAAAGATTCAAATTGTCATTTTTTTCTAAGGGTCTAGCGTTAAGGGTTTAGCCTAGTTTGTGATATGCATAATACGTGTAATTTATTTATTCTTTTCTCCTCTGGGCGAATACCCTGCGCCTCTGTCTTGAGCGGGGCGAATTGATAATGGAAAATAAAAAAGGGTCTGCATAGCCCCGGGGGCCGTATATTTGTGAAGGTTTAAATCAGATGAAGGGCGATTGGGTGATCTCAGGCTACTCTTCCAAGGTTCATGTGCGTTGGCCCAGGCATTGTTTAGGGTTCATTGCGTTTGGGGGCCAATATGATATGTTCCTCGAAGCGACATGTCTGAATTCAAACGCTGAATTGATTTTACCAGACGAAACTAAATTAGCCTCACGCGCTAGATATGCCTCTAGAAGTCACTGCCGCAAGGAGAATGATCCCCGAAGTAGTCCCTTTCAAGTTGGCCCTAAATTCAACCTTCAAATTTACCTTTTCGAATATTCGTAATGAACACACGATGTTTTCATCAATGCTAGTAGTTAGGAACTGAATAAATGAACTACCTTTATCTTTATCAACTCGTATCAAAAATAGAGCATTGGAGTCTGCCAGGTATACGTGTATGATCATGACCTGCACCCATCAGGATCATTACGCTATCACATCACTCGAGTTGAAATCTCGATTTAAATCATTCAAAATGGTATGACATTGATTTCCGCTACTTATACACATTTCCACATTTGAGTTATTGATCGATTTTCAAGTTATGGGACCGATATAAGACATACTAGTACATATGAACTTCATCCGTGCGTGCATTTATGCTCAGTGCTAGTACTACTAGTAGGTAGTAGTATTGCATGTCATACGATCTCAAGCCTGTAGACTTCTAGTAATAGAAATTACACTAATAGCATCCATAGATTCTCTTTCGAAAACACAAAACTCGTAGGTACTACTACCAGTACTAGTAATTACTAGAAATGGCGAGTCCAGCTTCGGTTGACACAGCCCTATGCCCAGGTGGCTGGCTAGAAAAGCTCGTATATTATTATTATACTCCTTGTCATGATCAATTAGGAAGGTTGGAAAAAGCTACTAGTACCTGAATGGAAAAACGGCGTTTTGAAGAAAGTATAAGCCCGCAACTCTTTCCTTCCCAAGAGTTTATCCTGCTACCTTGACGTCAGAGCGATAAAAATGAACATTTACAGATTAAAACGGCCCGAGGATTCTTCAGTGTTAATTATGGGGCTTTTTGAAACCATGGAATCGGGACCATCTATATCCAACGATTATACAGAGTGAGAAAGCTAGTATCAAGCCACAGCATACATAGTAGTACACATCATGATGACTCGAAAGTTATGCATGCACATATGAGCCCTGGAGATAGTGACACTGCTAGCAAAAGGACTTTCCAATACTAATCAAACGGGCACTGTGCATATTCTAAGTTCAAGTGTCTAGTATTCCAAGATTTCTATTTATATCTAAGAGCCCTGGAGGAATCCATACTGCTATATCTACTATGTTCACATAGAATCGTGACTTTGGATTCCATCTAACTACTCCAAGTTCATTCCAACAATGCCTTCGTTTAAGTTACTTGGAGCTACAAGCAATGAGCTTGACACCTTTCAGTCGGTGTTGATCATTGGAGCAGGGTTGACCGGACTGACTGCAGCCATCCGGCTACGACAGGCCAATTTCAAGGTCACAATATTGGAGAGGTCCCCTGTTATGCAAGATGTAAGTTCATGTCTCTATCATTATTCCCAGAACTAGAGTGCTGATGAGATAAAAAGATTGGTGCTGGTATTCAGATTCCTCCCAACTGTTCCCGAGTACTTGAGGGATTGGGCGTGTTGCAGAAGATCGAGAATGAGGCCATAGCACCACGAAACCTGATTATTCGGTCTCATAAGGGAAACCAGCTCCATAATCAAATAATCAACTCGGATGAAAATCACGGATCGGCCTATCCTCATCTCGTTATCCATCGAGCAGATTTTATCCGCGTCTTATATGAAGAAGCACTGGACTTGGGCGTGCATATCCAGTTAGATGCTCGCGTGGACTATGTCGACTTCGAGGCAGGATCCGTAAATTTGTCCACAGGAACAACCTTTACGGCTGATATCATTCTTGGTGCCGACGGCGAACATTCAGTGTGCCGAAAATTGCTCCAGGGCCCAAAGAATCCCTCCCAGTCCAGCGGGAATTTGGTTTATCGAGTGATGGTGCCTGCTTCCGTTGTTGCTATGGATCCTGACCTCAGCTGTCTCATCAATTCAGGTGGCATCCAGGCCTGGTATGGACCAGGATCTCACTTGATCTGCTATCAGTTGGATCGAGACGACAGCTTCAATGTCGTTCTCACCCTGCCTGCTCCCGCTGGAGCCCCTACGATTGGCCCACAACCAGCAGACATAAACGTCTTGCGGGAATATTTTCAAGATTGGGATCCCAAGCTACAAAAACTGCTTGAACTCACTGACCAGACTCAGTGTTGGACCTTGCATGAGCATAAGCTGAATGAAAAATGGGTACATCCAAGTGGCAGGTTTATCCTCTTGGGTGATGCGGCGCATCCCATCCTCCCATACATGTGAGACTACCTTCAATTCCTCTTTCCCTCCTTCCCTACTTCCTCATTGATGTTCAAGTTCCTGGTGTGTCTGCTGACCACACATTGTCAATATATAGGGCCCAAGGAGCAGCGATAGCAATGGAATCGGCCGTTATACTCGCAGAGCTCATTGCACGTCGTCCCTATGCCATAGAGTTACGCAGAATTCTACAAATCTTCACCATATCCCGCATGGTTCGAGTCTCTCGTATAAAAGAGTGGAGCAAAATGATGGAGAATGCATTCGAGGCCCCAGAAAAGACGAGTCAGGCTTCTGACAACCTGGAGCCGAATTATCTGGAATCCTCAGATGGATTCCCATACCCGCTTGCAGACTCAAAAATTCAGCGTCAGATATGGGATTTTGATTCTCTTAACGAAGCGGATTTTATCTGGCGTGGATATAAAGGACTTGAAGACAAATTAAGACTACTCATGCAATAGAGAGGCCGTCCTTTTGAGGGAGAAGCTGGGCACTTCAGAGTGATTTTCTTATTTGAGTTCTTAGACAATTTCATGATTCATTCAATTGCACTTTGATATAATGAACCCACGGCATTTGAGTTGACAAGGTTCCCGAATCAGCTCTGCAGTAATGTAGCCGGCTTCAATCAAGCTGCATGTGTAAGTAACTGTGCATGGCACCGACCTTGGAAATCACGCTATTCCTTGGCACTTTATCCAACTCCTATTCCTTGTGAAAATATTTGAATATGAAGACAAAGAGTATCTATAGAATTTATAGATGTCTTTGCTGTGAATCTGTGATGATGTCTGTTCTGGCTAAATCAGGTTAGTGCCGGAAAGTAGAAGGGTATGAAGGCGGTATGTTAAGCGGTGAGATTTAAACCACTCATAGATCGGAATCAGCGTCTGTGGCAGATGATCTTGTCGTCGTCAGGCGATTATTCTGCCTGACAAAAGTTACCCAATCAGGGGGGGCTCGTCGTCCTACCGTACAAGCATCATCCAGCAACTGGCATTGGCATGATCTCCCGCCCTTAATATCTTCAAATCTCTTGCCTATCAAGACTTCTGCCATCTAAGTTGGCAATGGTTTAACGTGGCCTGAAGCGCAAAAAGTGGCCACCTTTCGATTGACCCGCCTCCATGAGAGCGGTCCTGCCGGGGAGACCCCCAGCGAAGCTCCAGTCGTTCAGCACTGCGCTGTGGGATGGACTTCGTGTGATTGTAGGTCATCCTAAATCGCATCATTTCTATACCTGCTCCATGCTATATATTCTCGGCCCGAGGCTTGCGCTAATACTAGTACCTGTGTGTTCACCATAGGCGTACATATCCGGTCATGCACTGGTTATCCTCGGCGGCCCGCAAACCCCCCTCCAAACGATCTACGTCGATGATACCGATAAACTAGAAGTGGTAGCCTTCGACGAGGCATCAGGCAAAATTGCTGTTTGTGGTGGCGCTGATGTGTTCATTTACCAACCGTGGGGTATTAAGGGCGAGACACCCAAGGTGCGCATACTGGAGCTCTAAGTTCTCTAATGAGCTTGTCGCGCAGCTATTGGAAACGACTGACTGACATCATGGCGTATTTATAGTGGTCTCTTGCCCATACTTTCCACGCACACGATGACGACGAGCCGATTCACACTTTATCTTGGGGCTCCTCAAATGAGCTGCTCTTAGGAAATTCCCGCCTTTCTCTCTGGGTTTTAGATGACATGCCACGCTTAGTATGGGAGCGAAAGCTTGGAACGCCGGTCAAATTTGCCCAGTTCTCTCCCGATGCGGGACTGGTGGTGACAGTAGGACAATATGATCGCCTGGCCAAGATATGGAGAAGATTGGCATTTGGAGCAGATGAGGTGCGATTCGAGGTCTCGTATCTTCCTCATCCGCATGTCATCACTGGGATTCATTGGCGACTTCCATATCATCGAGAACAGTCCGCCGACAACGTCCTCTACACCCTGTGCGCCGACAATAAGATTCGCGTATGGGCTGTGACAGATCACCACGCTCTTACGGCGTTGCAATTCTGGGCGGAGATTGACATGGAAGCATCTGTACAACCCCGAGATGCCTCAGACAAAAATGAGGGACCCCAGAGGCGATATGGCTTCATTTTGGACAGTCGAGATTTCTGTGTTGCGACAGAGCGCGCCGTGGAACGAAATTCAGGAAACAAGGAAAATCACGCATTGGAGCATCTCATTGAAGTTGCGAACAAGAGTCCTGAGATTTGCTTGGTAACTGATGGCCAAGGTCATATATCAGCATGGGCTTTGGAGGACATTGGATCAAAGGCGAAAACACACTTGAGCGTGTTCAATGTTTTGCATGTAGAAGGCCTTGACTTCGGATTCCTGTCGAATCTGGGAATCCAAGAGGATTACGCACAGATTCGTGCATTCCAAAGTAACACCTCCGAAGACAAGCTCAGTATTATTGTCCATCACTTCGATGGCCGGATTGAGTGGTATGACTCGCGAGTGGATGTCTTGTTTGATCCGTCCTATCGGAGGAATCGCATCGTACCCAGAGCATCTTGGTCTGGGCATACTGCTCCCGTGAAAAAAATCGTCCGAAACGCCACTGGTGACACCCTTATTTCAAGAACCTCCGAGGACAAGGCTATGATTTGGAAGCAAAAGACTCGCGAAACGGGGTCAACACTTGTTCATAAGAGCGTGCTGCTATCTGATGAACATATTCACCGGACTTGCATGATTGAGAATAGCAATTTTCTCGTCAATCTCCATCACAATGGAATTTCTCTTTACGACTTCAGCTCCTACCACGCCCAGAAGTTGGCGCATTTGCCGTTCACTCTGCCAAGTAAGCCACTGTGTGTACTCCCGCTTCCCACGCCAGATGGCAGCCCAGGTCTAGCCTATGTGGCGACAATTGGTGCCGACATGCATGGAATAGCCTGGGAACTCAAATGGGACCCGCAGCAAGAAAAGATTGGCACCAAGCAAAAGCAGGAAAGCTGCGAGCTCAGAAAATTCTGCACATTTGACATGGGGCTGCAAGAGGATCTGGCTTACATTCTGCCTGTTGATCCGGCAGGACCTAAAGCCAAGACTTCAGGCTCTTTTGATGCGTTTGCCCCTGATATTGCGCTCTCCTACACTCATAGCGGTATTGTTCGTACCTGGACAGCTAAAGTTGATTCTCAAAACTCACAAGTTGAGTGGTTGCTCAAATCGACAGTTAACACTGGCATTGAGAATCCATCGCTGGCTAGTGGAAGTACTATTCGTAAGGCCGCGCTTGTGGATAAGGATCGGACTCACTTGACGATTTGGGACACGAACAATGCTCAGTTGGAATTCGAGGAGCACTTTCCTCAGCATGATATTATCAGAGATCTCGATTGGACCTCTACTCCAGATATGCAGTCCATCCTAGCTGTGGGCTTCCCACACAAGGTCATTCTGCTTTCTCAATTGCGCTATGATTATCTGGACTCTCAACCCTCATGGACACAGATTAGGGAAATATGGATACGAGATCTCACACCTCACCCAATTGGTGACTCGTGCTGGCTCACGTACGGTCATCTAGTCATTGGTGCAGGCAACCAGCTCTTCATATATGACAAAGATATCGATGCAGCAGATCGTCTTGTTTCTGGTCTGCGAATTCCTTCTCGTGGCCAATCGACTATCGATCTCTTCGACCTTGTCAGTCGGTTGAATGGACCATTACCTGTCTTCCACCCACAGTTTCTAGCGCAGTGCATTCTGGCTGGCAAGTCAACGTTGGTGCATTCAATTCTGATGAACCTTCACAGAAAACTGAAGTTCTATACTGAGGGTGATGATCTGGATGGATTTCTGGATATGCCAACGGAAAGCTTCTACGAAGAACAAGAGGTATGTTGCATAGTTCCAGATAGGGTCTTTTTCGAGAGCTAATGACTTATAGGTATCACAAAAGGCGGCATCTAAGGAGATGCGCTCCTCATTTGTTGAAGCTTCTAGCGAAGATGAAGAATCATCAGTTGTCGATGAAACTATCTCCGCAATTCTAAACGAGAACTTGGCTCGTATCGCATTGCCCCAACTTTCCAGCCACGAACAATTCCGACTCGTGGATACCATCGAATGCGTTGCAACTGTAGAAAAACACCGGCGGTCAATGGATGATAATGCAGCTCGATATCTTCTTTTCTTCCGACAGCACATGTTGCGAAAAATTCAAGGCGTGGCGAACAAAGACCGCGTTTCTTGGAGAGAAATTGTCTGGGCCTTTCACAGCGGTAGCCAGGATATCCTGACAGACCTGGTATCTCGCCAATTTAATGGTAAATTGACATGGAAGGCAGCTAGAGAGAGCGGTTTGTTCATGTGGCTATCGGATTTGACATCTTTGGTATGCTGGTTCATTCTGTGTTACGATGTGAGACCTCAACTAACCTCATACTAGAAAGCACAACTGGAGTCTGTTGCTCGAAATGAATACACCAAGACGGAGGAAAAGAACCCCATTGACTGCACTCTGTTCTATCTCGCTCTGAGAAAGAAGAATATTCTCCAAGGTCTCTGGCGAATTGCCCATTGGCATCGTGAGCAAGGGCCTACTCAACGTTTACTCGCCAATGACTTCAAAGAGGCACGATGGAAGACATCCGCGCTAAAGAATGCCTATGCCCTCCTCGGGAAACGACGATTTGGTGAGTGTCGAAAAGAAACCCTCTAAAGAAGTGAGCTAATTTGCACTAGAATACGCCGCCTCCTTTTTCCTTCTGGCGGATCATCTTCGCGATGCTGCCAACGTCATCGCGAACCAGATGGGTGATATTCAACTTGCAATTACCATTATCCGAGCCTATGAGGGAGACAATGGTCCAGTTCTGAGAGAATTCCTCGAGGAAAAAGTTCTCCCAGACGCTGCGTCCGAAGGTAACCGATGGCAAGCCTCCTGGGCTTTCTGGATGCTTGGACGGCGGGACATGGCCGTACGAGCTCTAATTGTAAGTGAAACCCTTCCGTTCCTTCACATCATCACTCTAATCATGTACAGTCACCAATCGAGACCCTCCTATTGCCTACCCCTGCCTCGCCTGGAAGTCCAGGGCGTGTTACACTCCAGTCCAAATCCTATCTTTCGAACGATCCCGCCCTAGTGGTCCTCTACCATCAGCTTCGCGAAAAAACGCTACAGACACTCAAAGGTGCTTCTCAGGTCCGCCCAGTCGAAGAATGGGAGTTCGTCCTACGAAATGCCAGACTATACGATCGTATGGGCTGTGATCTTCTTGCCCTCGATTTAGTACGCCACTGGGAGTTTCTTGGTAGCCCACCAAATTCGAATACATTACAAAACCAGCCCGCACTTGAACTACATGAGAATGGCATCGACTACCGAAAGCTGCTCCGCCGGCGAAGCAGTCTTGTTGTCGCTGATCTACCAATCCGACCTCTTGTCTCTGCTTTGTCGCCTGACACAAATAAGAATGATGGAGGTGATGACTCGGGTGAAAAGAAGGATCAACAGCCCCAGAAGCCGAAGCCGCCTCCTACGATGTTCCATGAACCAGATGCTAATTCATTGTTGGATAGCTTTGGTTTCTAGATTTAGCGAGCATCTTTCTGGACTATGTACTTCTGAGATATCCTTCCTCTTATTTTCTACTTTCTGTATGCATTTATCGAGCGCATATGTCATTAAATGCCATTTTTCTTCAATCAGCTCGTCATTCCCAGCATTTCATCATTTTAGCATGACATCCGACGTGACATATTTCACAAGTCCTCACGCCGCGCTTCGCGCGGCACTGTAACAGCGAAATTGGGAAAGGTATGTCCCAAGCACTTAAGTACTTGGCTAAGTGTGTTCACATACTTAAGTACAGCCTGAGGGCTCAGTCAGAAGCATCTAGAGGTGACTGATGATCTACATCTCTTTTTATGTAAGTACCTATGGGGTTACGTACGGGGTTACCTGAAGGGGAAGGAAGATTAGCTGCTACATGTGAATAGTTGGATATAGGTAACTGGCAGCCCTAGAGATAAGCTGTAAGCTGATTCTGCCTCCCTCCTTCGATAAGTAAAAGTGCAGGAACCCAAGTAGTAAAAGAGGTCTACATCGATAATGTGAAGTGACTGAAGTCAAGCCCAACTTGAACCAAGCATTTGGGCTGAGTCCGGATCCATTTAGCACAAGACTCTCACTATTCTTATACACGGCTACGGTACTAATACTAGTAGTTTTGGGCTCACTGAGAAGCTCATGATTATATTCCAAAATCTTCTTTTGCTAACTATTGACACAATCTTTTCTCATGATCCAGCATATAAAACAAAAGGCGCTGTAAGTCACTTCACAAATCACAAACAAGATCCCTAGTAATACAGACGGGCCGCCCGGTTGCGAAGAACAGACAACTTCCGTCTCGACATGACGGTGTGGTTACCATGCGCAGTACCATTCTGAGCAAGAGTCGCGTTCAGAGAACGGGTGGAGTTATGCTTCCCAGAAACCAGGTTGATTCCCTTATGCTTCTTATTCAAAGCTTCCATAATGCGATGCACGATAGCATCACTCTCAGCATGACCAGCGTTATTGACACGACCTTCCTGTATCGGCTCCCTCTCAGAACTCTGTGTCTGCGCCAAATGCCACGAATTGGTATTCGATCCAGGAGTCTGCACATCAGCCGACTGTTGCACAGCCGCAGTCTGATCAATGCGTGGGGTATCCTTCTGCTGATCTTCTAGAGACTCGGTCTCCTCTGTCGGGATACCCTCACAGACAAGTTTCACCCAGACATCACTGTACGCAACGAAGTTACGCTCATGACACGAGCTCACCTCCACGCCATTATGCAGCTTGCTACTGATGAGCGGGTCTTCGATACATTCTGGCACTTCGTGAACAGTGATGTTGCAGTTTGGAGCGTTCTCGGGTGGGAAGGGGTGACCCTTTTCTTGGGAAAGGATCTCAGCGTCTATAGATAGAGCGCTGACGAGGTTGTGTTCGTATGATGGGACACCGATTTGAATGCACTGGCCAGCAGTGATGTCTTTTGATGGGGCGGTTTCTTCATAGTTTTCATAGGTTGTTAGATCGGCGAATGGCGCTCCAGGACAAGATGGGTAGAAATGTGTCCAGACGCGGGCCGTGATTGTGGCGTGGATGGGCGTGGAGAAGAGGAATAGAGTGCTTATTGTGGAATGCATGATTGCCAACTTGAAGATTTATAGAATCTGAAGAGAGGAGTATATTACTTGAAGGAATCAGAGTGGTTGAGGTACTGAGGCTTGATGATTGATGCTCTCCTACAACCGGTGACAGTCACTTCTTTAAATACGCACTCATTCATTCATTCCTCTACGTGGGAATTATGAGCTTTGGGAGGCGGGGAGTCATTGGAATGGCACTGATATTAAGATGAAACGCGATGAACTTGACCCTTCATGGGTTTACGCCGTATGAATGAATTTTTGCGTCATACTTGGTGGCGGGGGAGGGTCAATTGTTTACATGGGCACCAGTTAAAGAGTAAATCGAGCATTCCAATCCCCTTATGGACAATGAGATGCTGATCTAGGTCATAGTGGATGATGTTGATTGCTGGACACAACATTCCAGAGTCATTCATACATTCCAGAATATGGCGGGGCACGATAGTACTGAAGGCTTTGAAGTGGATGGGACGAATCTAACAAGATCTTCATGGATTTTAACCTCGAGATCCAAGCACTGAGCATCATTTGTATGGTGTTTACTGGCAATGATAATCTCTGGATGAATTTGGAGAAGTCTGATTGGCAACATTTGGGGTTATTAGCAATATCGTTACCACTTATACTTATATGCCCCAAACCTTGTCCTTTGATTCTAACATGGAATTAATAATACTCGGGTTCAAACTGAGAGTAATAGCCTTATATACATCAGTCATGAGCAAGATATGACATTGAATTGAAATATAGAAGTAGGAGGACGCAAATCAGTATTCAGAGCAGATGAAACCTGTGAAGCTCAGGTTGATGTCTCAGCCCATTTTCGACAGTAACTACACTTCTTCTGTGCTTTCTGCTTGTATTTATTGCACCAAAAGCAAGGACTTCCATTCTCTGAACAGAGCTCGCAATTTACTGTCTCGCTGAACTTTGAATGGTCCTCGAAAATATACGGAGCCTGAAATCCCCACCAATTCAGAGCATCACTGAACTTGCGTATAACTGGAAATTTTCTCTTATAATGTTGATATGTCGAACATTTTGAACACTTCTGGTGAAGATCACAAACTTGAAAGATGGGGGCAGTCCCTGTCAACCTTCCGAGGCCACCTTGATCAAAGGCAGACCAGAGACGAGTGTCCCAGATAGAACGGGGATAACATTCGGCGTTGCCGGGTACATCAAAATCAGCCCCGTATCTAGCTGCCTTTTTATAATTAGAGTTATGCCGACATACCAAGTAATGGTGTCGTAGGCGCGCCGCACCCAAGTATGGATCCTGTCTCAGAACAACTTTATGATCCGACTCCAAATCAGCCAGAAATCGCTTTTCGTAATTAGATTCGCATTCCTGAGTTAAATAGCCTTGGTCTTTAAACCAGTTCTGGAATCTTTCTAGCCGAAAGTGATAAGCCGAGGATGCCCAATTGAGGTCGAGTTCGTTGTCGAATAGATAACGAGTCTTAAGAAGCCAGTCATTGAGAGACATGGACGCTGAAGCTGTGACAATGTCCACTGTGCTTGTCGTACTTCAGTAAAATGACTTCTCAAGTATAGATGGTGAGCTCTCATTTGATTGTGCGTTTAATACACTCTCAAGCCGTGGTGGCAGCACGTACTCCCAATCTGGCAATATGGAGAAAGGGAGGATGGCAATATCATGGTCAGCGATAATACGATGAAAGTTATAGTGGATAGAATACCAGTTCAAAACTTCGCGTTTCCAAGACTGACTGGGTCTATCTCCCTTGACCCAAAGTTCTCCCACCAATTCAACTTGTACATGCAACATGGAGGTATGTGACCATTGCTTCAGAACTTCCGATAAATCGGTGACCTTGTTCCAGCAACTGAGAGTACGAGCCCTGTCAGTGTATTCTGGATGATTATAACCTAGCGGATGGATCTCGATATGAGCTTTCTTGTTGGGATCCTGGCGCCGAATAAAAGCATGAAGATATGTAGTATTGTAGGGTAACCTTGTCCTTTAAGATCTTCTCGTTCTGTATGTGTAGGTGATTGAACGGAATTTTCACGGTTATATATCTAAAAGTAGTATAATTATCGCTTATTATAACAACAAACGGTATTCGGTTACGATGGGAATGATGTGATATCCATGCCACCGTAAATCCAAGAGCTGCAGCTGAGAATCGCGAGGGGATTCTTGAATGCTTCTATGTGGTCTTTGTGGTCTTTGACTTCAAGCAGAAGAAAGTCCCAAATAATGACTCTGATTTCAACCAGGAGCTTCGCGAAATATCCGAACGCATTGGGGTACGCCATTTCATCCATGATTGTGTGGAGAGTAGAGCTCATGGCATCAAATTGAGTCCATATTTAAGAGACAATGAAATTTGGAATACTTTGATCATAAAAAACCGGAGATTCTACCGATTTAAGAGAGGGGAACCATGGGAGGAATAAAGCAACTGGGTATAGTATACCCTGATGTTTATGGCCGAGTCTGTTTATGGTCTAGTGGCAAGTCTATCCAGGGCCGCACCCATTATAGCTCTGGAGACAACCCTAGACCATTTTGAAGTGATACTAGTAGAAAGAGATTACTTGGTTCAACTTGAATCTATTTTAGAACTGCAGGCTCTAGTACTTACTACTCTACTAGTAGTTCCAATCCTACACGGCACAGAACTAGAGAAAAAAAAATCGATTCAAAAATAATCTACACGAAGAAAATGACTTGAAATCTCGCATACATGTAGGTCTGACTTTGAAATGTCAAAACATATCGCAAAGCAGCTTATTTCCTCTTTTTATCCTCCTCGATGATCGGCTGATATTTTAGAATAGATTCACCCGTCTCGTATCCATTGATTGTGTTGGATCGTCGACCTCTACCCTTCTTGATAGTCTGGATCTTCCGATCAACTTCCTCCAAGTCTCCCTCTGAGTTCACAGAGCTCAGTGGTTTCATGCGAGGTGCAGAGGCAGGTGCATCGGATCTACTCCGACTGCTTTCACGACTCTCGGGCTCACTGGGTGGCATACTCTTCAGAGTAGACTGATAAGCATCTTGGGTGTATGAATCAGATGGGATTTCAGCATCGATATCGGGCATGATACCGAATCCGAGATCGTTGATCGTTTGAGTGACTCGTTCGGAAAGTGCCTCACGGTGAGCACGTAGATCCGTCAAAGATGAAGATGATAGTGGGTTGAGTGCTACCAGAAGGGGTGGGAGAGATTTGATAATGTCCATGCCAACTTCACCGTAACGTAGAGCTGCATAACTGACAAATACCATGAAACCGTAGAAGCTCATGGCGAAAAACCACAAGGAAACGAAATTGGGGACATAGGTGTTTGCAGTCATCCACCAGGGAACCGAATGTGTGTAATAACCGTCCTGTCTGTTGTATCGAAGCCAAGCAGTCATTATAATGGTGTAGTAGGCGTACAGTGTAGGTGCAAGTCCCATAGCAACCAGAATCTTCCACGTGCTCACGACATCGTGTCCTTGTAGTTTAACAACCGAAGCTGCAAGTGCACGTCTTCTTTTCTTTTCGGAGATCACTTTGGTCGTGACGAAAACGGGCCAGAAAAGAAGTGTCCCCGGTAGTGTTCCAACACTCAAAACAAGAAGCTTGCAAAGACGATAAAATAAGGTAATTAGTATGAGCCACCATGGCTTCTCCTCAATATTTCCCCACTCCACCTGGTGATCCTTGATGCCCAGAGACTCGAGGCGTGTGTTGTATTCTGTCACAGCCTTTTTGAGAGTTTGAATCCGGGGATCATCTCGGTGTCGCGTGTAACCCTTCAGCAACCGACGATTGAACTCAATGACAAGAGGAAGGGGGATCTTCTTGCTGATAGGATTGTACAATTTGCGGGTAGACTGAACCAAAATCAGAGTCTCATGATCAGGACTAATCTGAGTGACGGACTCAAGTCCCTCGTAGATAGTTTCAAGAAGTGAGCCCACGGCATTGCGTTTGCTAGTACCACCAGCCTTGAAAGCCTCAACCTGGTCAGGATGGACATGGATCGGTCGTCCAAATTCAATCACACCACGAGATCGGAATTTGTGTGCATGGAAATAATTCATGCCACACGGAACAATCGACAATCCACAGTTAGGATCCTGCGCCAAAGCTCCCAGAGACATCAACGCTGCACCGGCTTTCAGTGGCAGCAAGTTAGAACGATCATGGCTACCTCCTTCGGGGAAGATTCCGATGCAGCCCCCATTCGAGAGTTCTTCATAGACAGCAGCAAACATCCGGCTCTGGTCAACATGAGGGGCAACCTTGAAAGTTGCACCTTTGCGACCGGCGTCATCAGACAAGGGGGCGGCAAATGCCTTCTTCAGTCTGAGGGAAGTAGGACTGATAATCTCTTCAATTGAAGTAGTCTGCGGTCCATCGGGACCTTTCACGGTGAGCGAACCACCGACCACATATTCAGATTGCGTGAAATCAGTATCGATGCCATTGATCAGAGTTGGATCACTCTCTGGGTCAGGTGAATAGAGTCTACCTTTTCCAGGTTTGGTCAAGTCCATAGACCGAACAACTGGTAAAGCGCCCATACATGACGCCAGAGTTCCAATGTAAGGTTCATTCATAGATTTTTGAGCAATGAGGAAAGAGACGCGTCGTTTCGCCTGCGACTTGAGCAGATGCATCAAAATCGCCGAGTCCACGAACTGGTTAGCGTGAGGGGCGGCGACAATCAGGACCGGTCCTCTTTCGGGGATTCTCCATGCTCCTCGAGGATAAATCTCGCGGAAGAAGAGGTCTAATGCACACGTGAAGAGCCATAAGACCAGATCATATAGCCACGGGATCATCCGGCGGGAGGTGTCTCGGCCCACCATGATCGGCGCGTGGATGGGGCTTCACGACAAAATTGATAGATCGGACGCACTCCGATAATTAAATGAGGCAAGGTGTAACGGTCATGCAGTGTTTGTGTGGAGACGAAAGCGTTGAAATGCAAGAAGAAAAAAAAAAGAAAAGAAAAGAGGCTAAAAGCGGGCTAAGAAAAGATGAGGGGCGGGAAGTTTATGATGTGGCACGATTAGACGCGTTACGAGTACGAAGTATTTCGGTTTTTTATTTTTGTTATTTTTTTCCATTGACACCAAGGATTTCGTGTCTTTTTCTGGTTTATTTCCTGGATTAAAATTGCCGTACATGATAATAATCAACACATAAAAAGGATCAAACTCTTCATAGTCCCAGGGAATCTCAAAAGGGGCCCCGATCGTGATTTAAGCACCGAAGAAATCACACTCAAGTCGGACAGAGAGGAATCCAGCATCCAGGAAATCAGGGAGACATTGGCCCTGAACAACAGGCTTGCCATCGAGTGGGAGGAAGTAGTCTGGTTCTCCAGAACACTTGTCGTTGTTCCAGACGGTGACACCAGAGCAGAAGTGGGCATCCTTGGTGTCAAGAATGGCCTTGAAGGCGAAATTGTCGATGCTCCAGTCACGGTTCACGGTGGTCTTGTCGCAAGTCACGGGGGTAGCGGTGATTGAAGCCTTGAACTTGGGCTCACCGAGAGCTGGAGCACCCACGTCGCATTTCTCCCAAGATTGGAACTCAACGCTGGCAATAGGCATGCCGGCCTGGACAGTGATAGGACCCAGGGCGAGCATGGCCGCGGAGGCAAGGAACTATATCATTTGGTTAACATCAATGAACTCTAAATCAATAGGTTTTTTCTTACTGTAGCGAAGTGCATCTTGGGAGTTGGGTACTTTGCTGCGAGCGTGGTCGTTGTCGGAAGGCCGGGGTTGTCGATTGTCGTATGGTCGAAATCAAACCTCTCGATGGCGGTAGCGGCTGAAAGCATTTAAGTAGATGTCTCCTCGCAGGAGCATGGCACGCAAAAAACAGTCGATCAAAGTAAACATTGCTGTGATCCAGTCACAGCACAACATGGTGGTCGGAATGCAGGAGCATTGGAGCGTTGATCATCATCGCAGCACTACTCAGACGAGAAGTCTGTTAGCAATTGGAGAGGGGAATGCGACGATCTGTTGAAGACCAAGAGTATCCTAGTAGGTGAGCCCTGCTGATCATTTTCAAGAATGAGCCGAGAGTTGGTAAAAGTGAAGGGATCAGGGACAGGGAGACATCCTTGAAAGGGCAAGGTTGTACCTGGCATATTCTGCAACGCTTCCAAGGTTCACATCCCTTACTAGAAATGATCCGACTTGAAAAGAAACTGTGATTCTTTTGATGTTTTTAAAGATCGGCGAGTAAGGTGAAAAACTAGTTGATTGTTGGGAATCGGATTTCTTAGTATCAACCTGGGTACGGTACACCAGTTGACTACATCCGAGACAGTCACTTCAACATTTGAAGTTTGAGAAAAGCTATGGATATCATCGTCCAACCTTGGAAGTAAGCTTGTAAAACATATAATGTCAATCTGGAAGAGGATTAAGGTAATCACAGTCTAGTACCTGAGACAAAAGTACAATTGTCAACACAAATTCCCTGCTCTTACGCAGTTTCGCTCTTCAATCTCAAATGTCATACATGTATATCATCATCCTCACGCTTAGAACATATGCATCTCGCGACCAGCGTGGAACATAGCAGGGAGCAGCTTCCGGTTGTGATCAAGATCTCTCACAGGTGCTCGTAGCGACACAGGGACACGCTTCAGTGCACCCTTTTCGATGCGTCCTTCCAGATGATCAGCCCAGAGCTGAGCTCCCAGTCCACCAATGCCCAATCCAGTCATCTTGCCCAGATTAACCACCTTATCCAATGAGACATTTTGTACAATCTCCCATGTCGTCTCCAAATCACCTTGGATGCCCTCCTTGCCCTGTCCCTGAGAGGGATTCTCCACCTTCTGCAGTTGATCCAGCTGCCCACCAGCAGCTTGCCACATCTTTTGTCGGTTGAGATACATATCCAGCGTGTCGCAAGTTCGTGCCTTCTTCTCCATGGTAAATTGATGCCAGTATTCAGTCAGACCTTGCTCAGGAGCAGCATCCTCGAAGCTGAAGGCATCTGTGGGGATACGACGTCCATAGAAATCATTTCCGGCGCCCAGCTCCAAAAGACAGAGGAACCACTTCGCATTAGGGACACCTGAGAATCTGGCAAGAACCCATTCTCCAGCGATACCTTCCAGAGTTTGCTTTTGCACGAATGAGATCATTCGGGCAAGCTTGGCTTGCTCCGGTGTCTTTTTCAAATTGATTTGGTCGAAGAATCCCTCATCCTTTTTCTTGTCCTCATCTTTCTTGTTCTCTTTTTTCTCGCCTTCTGGAGTCGTGGGATCTTCAGGCTCGAGATAGGTCTTGATAACCTCCGCTAGATCGAGCTGCTGGGCGAGGACATCTCGTTCGCAAGAGAAGGCAACAAGTGTCATGGAGAGACCGGTACTAATAGTGCACCAGCCGTCAATCATTTGTCCACGGACTGCCGTTCGGACCCGAGAGCGTAGAACCTCAGGCTCAACCATTGTGACAATGATTCGCTGAATATCGAAGATACCTCGAATACCACCGCTGCTCACCACGATAGGATTGGGGCAGACCATTCTCTTCTCCTCTTGCTCCTCCAAGCTCTGAGTCTTGATCTCAGCATCGGCGGCCTCGGGTTTGACATCTAGCGGCAAGTCCTTAGCAGCACTAAGTTGAGAAGTAACTTTGTCACTGAGAACATCAATGACGTGCTGGATAGCATTGTTCAGATGCTCATATTGATCGACAGGGGGAGCTGGAGCGGGCTCTGGCACGGAAGGTGTGACGGGTGTGACAGGCTCGCTGGGCTGTTCTTTCTCAACTACTTTTGAGCCGCCCTTCTTCCATCCAAAGGACATCTTGGGCACTTCAAATTTTGGAGTTTCGAACTTGGTTGCCATGACGGACTTGGAAAATGAGTCCATTCGGTCAAACCCGCTTCCAAGTCTTCCAGCCAGTGAATTATCCTGGGTGATAGGGTCTTCTTCCTTGGGTGTGAAGTCTCTGAGCTCCGAGACAATACCCTTCAACTCACCAATGTGAGCCTCCAGCTTATCAAAGCTGACCTGCTTAACTTTTGTAGCAAGAAGACTCAGTTTAACGAATACGGAGCATTGTTCTGGTAGCTTCTTGGTGAGAGCCAACATCTCAGCCAGTAGCATATTCACATTGCTAGCCGTCTCACTTTGGCGTACTCGCTGAGCCCGGAACAAGTCAAGAATTCGCTTGCTGGTCTGTGCCTGTGACATGATCTTTGGATTGTTGGCAGGGTCAACAAACGCGTCAATGTTGGAGGGGTATAGCGATCTTCCATGGAGGGGGCTGCCACGGTGCTTTCCAGTCCAGTTGAAGACTGAAACATCGTTGTAGGCAATAACCACTTCGTCCAGAAGTCGTGACAGTGCCTTGGGAAGTCCCTCGGCAGGGAAAGCAGGGAAGCGCACACCCAAAATACCCATCAGAGAGTAAGCCTGGTCTGTGGGGACGGTAGTCACACGTTGAGATGCTGTGACGAGAGAGGTACTAGCAGAGGAATCCAGAAGGCCATCTCCAACAATCCAATTCTTCATGTTCTCACACTTGCTGAATTGTGCGATGAACTTTCGATCTTCAAGGATGGTACTGTCTGTGAGACCTACGAGACTGCCCAAGAGATGATTGAAAACAGCTATCTTGTCGATAAGATGACTCTCCTTCTCTCTGAGTTTTGTCAAGCTGGATGCATCAGAGACACTTTCTTTTGTAATCAGGTCTTCTAATACAGCAGGAAGCTGTCCAGAGGCTGCAAGAACAGCTTTACCAATTTGTGCTTCAGCAGTCTTCTCTTTCAGACCTCTTGGTACTGAGAATCCCAAGATTTGAAGCAACACCGCGAGCTCATGCTCCGGGGTCATTCCCTCCTTGAGATAGGTAGGAGAAAGCAGCTCTTTGAGTGTGTCCAAGATCTCGGGACTTGTTGTCTTGAATCTCTTGACAAATGGGTGACACAAATAACGCTGGATAAAAGGCCGCAGGAAGTATAGAGGACCAATAACCTCAATGGGTCTGACCAGGTTCTGCCAGTGAGAGTTCACATAGTAGGTCACCTTGCTCAGAACCAACTCTTGTAACGTCCATCCACGCGTGGCCCATTCGACTTGATTCTTTGCCTTCTCCTCTTCATTGGCGCCATCAGCACCAATCTGGTCAAACTCGACCATGTTGAGAGGAACAGGAACGTGGGAAGGATCCTTCCAATACTTCCATTCCTCAATCCACGACGACTCCGACCGTGGTGTATCAACATGCACTAGGCAGAGATCTGCATTTGTGTACCAGTCTCCCATCAATGCCAGAGACTCAGTCAACTCATAACTATCGGCCTTGTTGATACAGCAGGTATCAAGCCACACGTAGCGTTTTCCGCCCTTGGGGAAGTGAGCGTCGAAGAGCTTCTTGGACTGAGCAATGGACTCAAGGATTTTTCGCGAAGATCGGATTCTTTGCAATGCGACCAAAAGTGCTTCGATTCCGTAGCACAGCTCGCGATTGTGGTCGAAGAACTTGATCGTACCATCGTACTCTGCTCTAGCCACGGAGGCTTTCTGGAATCGTGTCTCTGCATTTTTGCGTCGCTCCGCTGCTTCTGTCTCTAATTTCAGAATTGCTGAGTCCACTTCTTCCATCTCTGGGTTCTTCTGGGATGCCTCAGACTCGGTAGTAGATGAGTTCTCCGCCGTGAGGGTATTGATGGTTTCCCATAATGAGCGATAATATTTGGCTTCACGCGTTGCACTTGAAAGACCGGAGGACGCATCGTGAAGAGCTCTCTGTGAGCTTCTCAGGCCGTACTCGGCACCATTGGCGTCGATATACCATTCAAGCAAAGTTTTGATGTCTTCAGGTCTCTGCCCATCGGCTCTTGGACGGACAGACTGGAGTGCAGACTCGATTTTCGCCTCCAGCTCCGCGATATCGGATTTGCATTTGCTGACAACATTGCTTACATCGCTTGAAGGGAGACTTGAGTCATCTTGCACGTAGTCTTCCTTGGGCTCAAATGTTTTGGCTTCACCAAAGTATCCGTACGTGATTTCAGAGCCTTTCCAGCTATGTGACACAATACAGTACTGATCTTGCAAGCCAAGGCTGTATGTAGGAACCATGTTCATCGTGTCAACATCAATCATGCGAAAAGGCATCTTGACATCGTCCTCGGCCTTGGCCAGCCAGTCGTCTGGGACATCGCCATCATCGTGAGATGTGATATCCTCATCATCCACAAATTTTGGCGTAATACTTGGGGTAAGGAAGTGGTTTAGAATACGTCGGAGTTTATGCTTCTGGTCCGAATTAAAGGCAACATCCTTGAATCGACTGGTGCGATCGGTGACAAAGCTGGCAATGTCGAACGCCTCTTTGAGTGCTGAATTGGAAATGAGAGAGTCTGACAGGGCTGACTTGATGGTACCCAGTGAATTCATTTTTCAATCCAGATGATATCCACAAGTTTGCGTCAAATGGATTTAAACTTGAAAGTATGGAGGTGGAACCTTGGAAGGGGATTGTGATTCCAATTATGTGCCGCCTGTCCCTTGAGCACGAGCTATATACAGCCGAGCCGGTCCAGCCGATCAAGCACCAAGGTGGCGCTGGAATATAGAAAAACATCGTCAAATCGCCTAAGAGGGCTTCATATCCGCAGCTGAACTTTCGGGGCAGACAGAACCTATCATCATGCAGCTTCTAATCCACCCATGACACCCATGAGGGGTTGGAGGGATAATCCACTGGAGCACAGACACAGATACAGACACGTCAGCATACAAGGGTTGAAGAACGCCCCATCTCAGACCCACAAAGATGCAAAGACACAATCTGGGTCATGCAGCATACATAGATCCACTCTATCCCGAGTGGCTACCAGTCTCAGTGGCTTTTTGGTCAAATAATTGAACAATTCTCAACTTGAACATAATAACATATTACATCCCATAGAAAACTCGAATCACTCTATCCCAAGATTCTCAAATTTCAATTCATTATGGCGTCCTATCATCGAGTATTGGAAACATTTGGAAGATCTGTTAATGATATTACTCTGGAATGTGACTGGTGCGCTCTCGTCTTTACCTTCAGAACAATGACAGTACCGCTGGAGATCAAAAGCTGACATCCCACAGTGACATTCACCCATGGGAACTCGCCATTAATGATGAGCAATGGGCTGGTAAAATCCGCTTGATCGGGTTTGTGGATGTGTTCTTTCTCATCTCCTACTCCGCAAATGCCCGTTTCGAGCATGGGATTATCGTCTATAGTCAGCTCTCCCATGAAACTATCGGTGGGACATAGTGCTAATAACTATACAGAGGATAAACTAGCTCTGGAGCAGTTGACGGGTATCAAGTCTACTAAACACGTTGCCGCGGACGAGGAGCATCCGGAGCCTGAAGAAAGTGGGTATCCAAAATATGAATGATGCCATCGAAATCTTGCTCACAACAAACAGATCTTACAGACCTTGATAACGCCGAGGACCCCAATGCGACAACGAAGTCGGACGAAGACGCGAAAACAAAGCCAGCCGATGCACCAGCCGATTCTAAAAAGGGGGCTGGCGATCAAAAAGATGAGGAGATCACTTCGCCTGAGTTCCGAAAAACCAGCACCCTTTCGATAAAGAGCTTAGGCCACCCTATTGGACTCCGCGCCTCGTATCCCAAGTCGTGGATCCGCCCATACAAGGTGGAGATCACCAAACCTGCAAGTTGGGCATTGAGCAGTGAGTATCACACCTGCACGACTTGTTTCGCACGAGGACAAATGAAACAAAGAAAAAGAAAAAAAAGCTAATCGAAGACATCAAAGAGCGCATCATGCGGGGGCTGAAACCACATAGTACTTATGATTTGATGAGCGATGTGATTCGTTGTGGTATCATCACCCAGGGACAGCTAGCGGGACATATCATGGGCGTTCTTCTCGCTGGATCCCGTTTGGACGACACAACGAAAAAATACCTCGATGGATTGACGTCAGGAAGTGATGCTGGACGACAGGCGCTATCGAATGAGAAGATCTAGTTGGTAGAAACCAACCTTGGAAGTAGCTGAACTTCTGTGGAGCACGGAGTCTCCGTATGTACGTACATTTATCAGAATGTTGGAACATTGGAATAAAGATCGTCGCGACAAGCCTTCGTACATATGCACTCCACCACAGACATAAACTCAAGATGCATTTTTGCGGTGGAGTCAGAAGAGGGGACCATAATCTGTCAATCTCAATCTCGAGATGATCGACAAAGGGCTCGAGAGACGGGGAGATCCGGTGGAGAACATGCACAGTGAACTGGTCACTTCCCAGGTGCAATTTCTTCTTTGTCTGTCATTTGAGATAACCAATAGATTTGTTTAAAGGTCGCTAATTCTTGCTTCAAATTGTGGATCTTGTGGGCTAGAATGCATCAGCTGCCATTAGTTTCTTGAATAGGAGGTTGGAGTGTTGTGGTGGCTGGCTCATCTGTGGATCCCCACACCAATTCTGCATCTCCGCTTCTCCAGTCTCGTCACAAACTCAGTCAAAGCTGAAATTTTGGATTTTGGTGAGTTCCCCATTTTTTGTGGGTATTGATTTTATGAAAAATTCTGATAGTTATTATTCAGGTGGATTATACCATGAAGTTTATGAAGACTCGACTCCTATGGAGTACAGAGTACACAAACGGAGAAACCCGTACAGAGAGAATGTGCTCTCTGCAGGCTCATGCAGACATCCCGTTTCTGCCTTAGAGCTGATGTGCTAGGACCTATGCTAATGGTCCCTCCAATTCAGCTGAACCCAATCCAACGAACTACTCGTGCGTCATTTCACCTGGGTAGTGATAGGCGTCTCCGTAATGTCTCTTTGGTACGGAGTATACACACATGGTCGATCCATGAAAGAAAGACGCATCTAGCTTAGTCGGACAAATATTTTCATGCAGAGTCCCGCCAGCTTATCCACAAAACAGTCAACCGTTGGCTATGATCTCCGGAGACAATCCCTTGGCTGCTGCCGGTCGCTAGTTGCCTTTGTTTTTGTTTTTGGCCAAGTGCCCCCCATAGTGATGTGGATGTGGGCCACTCAGAGTACACTATGCAGCTTTGCATTTGTCCAGGGCCTTACCCATGCTCTTCGGTGATAGCGGTTTCTTTTCCCCTTGTCACTGTACATTTTTCCCTCTCCTAAGCCTCTTAACTCTGTTTTCCTCCAGAGAAATCGCAAAGGAGTAAACAATACAAAGGGCAAGATGGTCTGGTTTCCACTTAAAGTCGATGATGCGGAGGTCACTTGGAGCTTCGACATCGTCGGTTTACTGGCAGTTGTCGGAGGATCCGCGATCGAGAAGCACGCACAAGCTATTACCGCATCACCATTTGGCAGCTTCCCACGTCTCCTGCCCGCCCCCGAGACAATGTTAGACACCGATCGTCCACCTCGACTACCCGCCGTTAAAGATGTCACCGTTGTCGGCGTACACTCCGGAAATCAATTCAACGAGCTCAATTTTTTCGCCGACGTGATCCACGACGTGAACGGACTCGTTCCCTACCAATTCCAATCCTATCATATTACACACCAAAAGAAAGATCCGGAGAAGAATGGCACACCCGCCGACAAAGCGCACATTCCGCTACACAAATTTTGCCCATTGAACATAGTCACCTTCGCCTCGATCCTCATGACCATCGCTTTATTCGTCTGGGCCGGAGTGGAGCACGACGCCGTTGGTCTCCTTGGTCTGGGCACCATGTCGCTATCCACCAGTTTTGCGTGTATGTCTGCCCAATGGCGACCCAAACTTTCCGTCCGAAATGTCAAAGGCGATGTACCACCCGGCGACGTCGTGATTCGCACACGATCTGGAGCATTTATCGCTGTCAAGTGCGAAGAGGAGATTGCGCGCGAGCTTTACGCTGGTACCGAAGTGTGTGACTATGTCTTCCGTGGAAGATTTCACCAATCTCTTCTTGGAGCCAGTACTGTTCTTCTCATGGCTGCTATTATATTCTTCAGTAATTCCTCCTGGAAGATTCAGATCGCTGTTGGTCTCGGGTATATCATTCTTAACCTTGCCTACTGGGCTATGGCTTTATTGACAGAGCCCAAACAGACTTGGAATATGGAGGCAAGATACAAAGTGGATAAACTTGAAGATGTTGTCCGTACGAACTTTACTCAGGTTTTGTGGGACTCTATTCGCACGACGGAGAAGATTGGGTGGATTAAGAAGACTCATGCGGCCCCTGCGACGAAGAACTGGGATGGATGGTTGCAAGAGGCGAAGGAGAATTGTAAAAACAAAGAATGGGAGGCTGAAGAGGCGCGTGATCGGTGGATGAGGATGAGATTTGATACTGATGTTCCAAAGACTGAGGTTGAGTGATGGCCCTATGGGTCGGCAGCACACATGGAATCAAGACTGAGAAAGATGTGGACTGGGAAAAGATGAATCTTAATGATATAATTTAATGTTCAATTTACCTACATGGACTAGATATTGTCTGATTAATTCGAACCGGCTTCTTAAGTTGAATTTTCTTTTTTGATATCTAAATGCAAGGGTAGTAAGTAGCGGAGACCATTCAAGGAACCAGAGCTCCCATAAATTTGAGTAAAAAGCTCCCCAGGTATGGATTCCGCTCTGCTGGCCTAGCGGTTAAGCGGCTGGCGACGCGTTGGACAAAGGTATTGAAATTGTGGTGCCAGGCCCAGTTTTGGTGGCAGAGATAATACTAGCGGGTAGGTAGGATTTCTGGCTACGGTCAGGGACATTTATTTTTTTTTGAATTTTGGTTTTTTTTACCCACTGTACTCTAGCTATTTTCTTTCTATTACAGCTTTCAGATCCTTAAAATAAAAATAATCGAGGGAGATAGAAGGAATTATGTTTCGGGGATGGATGTATCAAGTGAGGCTTTTGAGGCTATTCACGCATTTCTGATTTTGAAGGTCCTGGGTTCGATTCCTGACCTTGCTGGTTTTCTTTTCTTTTTTTCCTTGTTCTAGTACTACTCAAGATACCCGAACTATGCACATGAATCTACACCTCACTGCTAATTATACTGATGTGCGATCTTCCAGTAGTAGTGGTAAATGAAGGAAGAGTTGATTTTACAACGAATAAAGAGAAACATGACACTTGAATTCCTAACTACATCCGTAGCCGCGAAAAGAAAAGAGCGCTATTTGCAAGAGAATTGGGGGAATAGAAAAGAAAGCTATGTCATCAAGCCCGACCCTTTCCTCCTTGCCATAACGTGAGTGTGAGAATCGGGGGACAAGAAATAGAGAAAAGAAACGAAAGAAATAGTCAAGAGAGAAATAATGCAGACAAGGTATATGAGAACAAAAAAAGGAGACTTCGATTATTCCAGTTCTAGGAAGAAACGTATTTGCCGCTGATCAACTTACGATGAGTTGGCACTTCCTGCCAGTTACTTGGAATAGGGGATGGGGCTCCCTGTGGAGAGCCGGCATCGGCGAATGGATCAACCTCTGGCTGAGAAGGCTTTGACACAGCGCGACTGATACCCAATCGAGAGGTAGAATCGGTGGTGTGGAGCTCGAACTTGGCCTCGACATTGCCCTTGCGAGGTCCAGCTGTAGATGTGGTGAAACGAACGAGGAATTTTCCATCCTCGCCAGCTCCAGGAGCTTTGACTTCCAGTTCTGGAATACGCCAAAGAACAGTGGAATTTTTACGGCGGAAGGTAGCTCCGATGTTAGGATGCATAACAGCACTAGCGGCATGAGCGACGCTCTCACGTGGCTGCTTGGTAGTCTCATCTTCATTCGCAATATCCAGGCCGACAGTCAACACCAGGTTCTTCAGGGTAATGGGGCCGGTTGATTGTGAGACAAAGGCCGGGTTAATGGAGTAGAAGATGATGGCACTGGCTTGATATTCCTGTAGATTCCAGACAGGTTTGAAGATAACCGGGCAGTAAGTGGATGCGTTGCTAGGGTCGAGATGCACTTGGTATTTGAAGGCAACTGTTGGCATCGGCCGAGAAATACTGCCGAGCTGGAGGTCGTATTCGCCTCGCTTTTCTTCCGCTGGGCCATTAGGCACTTCATGAACAAAGTTAGGATTTGCAGCAACCTTCTCTAGTACCGGGAAGTTCTCAAGACGGATGCGGGCCGAATCTGCCGCAAAGCCAGGAGCCACGTTGTGAGCTAGAGCGAGCTCTCCCACAACAGAAGACTTGGTCACAGTGCTCTCGGAAAACCAGGCATTGACAGTTTCAATGATCGACGCATTCAATCCTGGTTCGTACAGCTCGGGGTGCATGCTTGCGCCTGATCCGTGTACGGTATGCCCTGACCGCACCGAGGTTGTGTCTGACATAGCATGGTCGTCTGTTGCAATGCTTAGAGAGGGAGTGTGTCTAATCGGAGAAGACGGGGAATATGGGTCAGGCGACCCTTGTGTAGGGGCCAGATCCGGGCTTGGGTTGCCAACAAAGACGGTGTTTCGAACATCGCGACGACCGCGAATAGTGCCTGCATTCCGTCGAAGTCCAGAGTGCTGGGCCCGCAGTCGGAGAGTGTTTGCCATATCATCCATAGCCTGTCTGGCCTGGCTCTCATCTTCAAAGATTGGTTGGTCCCGGATGGTAAGATTCATTCCGGACTCGTCCAAGCCCGCTGCCTCTCGCTGAGCACGCGTGACGTCATCTACCGTCGAAGGACGCTCTGTGAATCCTTCCGAATCAACGTGAGTTTGATGAGTCCCATTGCTGACAATTCCAGCTTGAGCCAAGTGGGCAGTACCATTGGTGGGAGCATATTCTGGATAGGTAGAAGGGGCCGCATTTATCGTGTCTGATGGGTTGGGGTCTTGCGAAATGCTGGGGTGTCGCGCAGACTCCTCTGTAAAAGAGGTGCCGGGTCGGTCTGCTGTAGATGGAGGGGATTCTGGAATTTGCATTTCCCTAGCAGAATCGCTTCTCTTGAAAGGCCCGAATGGACTGCGTTTTTTGTCTGCCTTCTTGTCAAAGCCTCCGGAGGGACCCGCAGCCATACTCTTTCGCCTACCCATGACGGTTCCCAATCGCCTTAAGCCTCCCAATGGAGTGTGGCGTGGCTGTGGTTCTGGTGCTACGAAATGTTAAACTATGCAACGAATTTAGCTATTTTGGGATTGAGAACTCACCAGGTAGTACTGGAAGGGGTGCTTGTCTGTCCGACCTCTCAGAGAATTGACTAGCCGCATCGTCTTGAGCGCGTGGGGTAGGAGGAAGGGGCGCATTAGTTGGGATCTCAGCCGATGGCGGTGCTACAGGGGAGCTTTCCACCTGTGACGGTTGCCTTCGTGGTGTGGCAGGCAGGGGCGGGTTGCGACTGCCCTTCATTTTCGCTGCAAAGGTTTGTATCTCATCTGCTGTCTCCACATTAAGGAGAACATTCAAGCAACTCTCAGCGGCTTGCCTTCCACGTTCAACCTGATCCACTTCATGGGTCTCCAGCTGCGTAAGAATGTCTCGGAGGTGATTCAGACGGCCTTCATCCACAGCTTGCAGCTGCTCGAATACATAAGGCGCACGCGAATCCCATTGCTGACTGACTTCTTCTGCAGTAGTGACTGCAGTCGCCAGCTGCTTGGGGTTCTTGGTGCTCTTCTTCTTGGCCTTTTCAACCTTATCCTGTGCGTTCTCAATGTTTTTCGCCAATGCTGCAAGATTGCTCTGGACTCCGGGCATGGACTGCATATCGCGGTTCTTGGTACTGTATTCTCTGAGCGCGCGCTCAACATCCTCCTCGATCTTGGTCGCAAGGGTCTCGTGTGATACAGCTAACGCCTCTGTCGCGCTGACAATGCGCTGCCAAGGAATCTGAAAGATACTAACATATATGTTAGAAGTGTTCACTAGCGCTATCACAAGGGTGTATTTATTCAATTGCAGGACCGATGACTTACCCAAGTGCAGCCCCATTGTCGAGGACAGTGCGATTTGCCAGCTTTCGCAAGCCTTGAGCATATGCTTCTTCCACGCGACGGCGTTCCTGGTAGTCTGAGGTCAGCATTGGTGTCACCCCGCAAATCAAAGAATGTGAATTTGCCGAGTAGCCGGGCACCATTTCTCATACCTGAAGAAAGTCCGCGATATCCGTGTGAATCTTGTTGATCACTCGAATACGTTCATTTAAGACATTTGTAGCTTGGGTGGGGTGCAAAGTAGCCTATTTAGGTGTGAGATTGTCTCCAAACAGGTCAATGTAGGGTTTGCCGAGAGATCCAGAGCGGAGATTCAGAGCTTGGGGAGTCAATCTTACCAGCAGCGCTGGGTATTCCTGCCGGGATAGCTCCATGATTTCAAGGTCAAGGGTGAGTAAAGCGCATTCAGCGCATAATCAGGATAGATAAAAAGCACTAGCAAGGCCAGCTAGATGGAAGAACTCGAGATTGAATGCCAATGAATGCGGGATAGTGATTGAACGGGGAGTGGCATTCGATCGCCGAGGACGGCTATGGGGAAAGGGAACTGTGGAATGACGATGGGGGCCCGGGTCGGGGTGGAAGGCGGTGTGGCGCTATGGCCCATTGCAGAGCCGCTGTGGATATTACCAGATAGACAGGGCACAATGGATATATCTACAGAAAAAAACAGATAAGTGGGTTTTTGAACTAGTTCTTAATATTCTCAATTCTTTTTCATCCTCTCCAATGACTGTAATTTGGAGTCATTTGTGATAAATCAACTATAGAGCAGTTCGTCTGAAATGGCAGTATACTTGACCCGCTTAATGCCTCAGGCGAAAAACGGGGGCTATCCGCCGATCTATTGCTTTTCTAGACATAACAAGGCACAAGATCAGTTAAACTGGGTTCCCTTACTTCTAACGACACTCCATATGGTTTGGAGTATTGTGGCTATTGATTGTTAATTTCCTAGAGGATTAATAGTGCATGTATACTGCATATCAAATGCATAAAATGAATTCATTTTATTCACCAATTTCACCACCAATCAGAATCTCATTCAGCATGACGGAATTGCCCGTTTTCTCCGCTCATGGAATCACATGACATCATTGTTAGTGGCTTTATTGTTGGTTCCACACCATCTCCCAAGCTTTGTCTACAGCAATGGATTGGCATCAGGACTTGGGCTTCACAGACCGATTAAGAGCCATTCAATCTCTGTCAGCAATTTTTATTCTTTTCTTCTCAAATTAATTGATTGTGCTGATTTTTAATTCAGTACCACGGCATATCAGCAAGCATCCTCCACAGCTGCTTTTGCCGAGGCTCAAGCTCAGGCCAGACAATATGAAAATGAAGCTTACGATCAATCTACCTCAAAGGTCCATCTCTTGGCATTCTGCTATAACTTCTCATAATTTGGATATTTAGTCAACTGACAGTCTGCTTAGGAAGAATACGATCATAAATGCCAGGAAGGAATTGATGCAGCAGAGACTAGAGCCACTACAACTCATAGTTCAGGCTCCAACCAAGATGTCGTCCTAAACTCTCAGTTGGAGAACCAGTCACCTGCTGAATCGTCAACTGGTGAAAAATTTGGTCATTACACAGCCTGCTCTCCCCATTTTGATGGTCTACACTCCAGCATCTACAAAGCTAATGCAGAGGACGGATCTGTGCGAGCAATTAAAATAACCGTCCCTCATTTGATGACAGCACCCCACGATGCTATCCGGGAAATTCGACTGCTTCATGAAGCATCTCATCCAAATGTTGTCTGCTTGATAGAGACATTTAAGCTGGATGAAGGGCGACTAGTGCTCGTTTTCCCATTTTTCCGGTTCGATTTTGAAAAACTTCTTCGGCGTGACTTGGTCACTGCCAACCAGACGCGTTCCATATTGAAAGACATGTTCTCTGCGCTGGCTTATATACACAAAATTGGGATCATCCATCGAGATATCAAGCCCTCCAATATCCTCATGGATTCGCCTGATGGGCCAGCATATTTGGCTGATTTTGGGATCTCCTGGAAGGAGGGCGATCCTGGGTGCGAGATTTCCAATGAGAAAATCACCGATGTGGGAACGACTTGCTACCGCGCACCTGAGATTTTATTTGGATATCGGGGATACGACACAACGTTAGATCTCTGGGCAGCAGGATGTGTGGTTGCGGAAGCCACCGTCGTCGGGCATCGGTCCCTTTTTGATTCCGGGCCCCTGGGTAGTGATCTTTCACTGATCCACTCTATCTTCCAGAGGCTAGGCACTCCAGATGAAAATAGCTGGCCAGTAAGTACCACATTACCACATTCCTCGTTCTCATCTTGCTCTCACGTGGCAGATTTCGAGTATTTAAATAACCGGGATGCAGGGTATCCATGTGCTGCCCGATTGGGGCAAAGTAGAATTCCACCCCTTCTCGGCGCAGTCCTGGGATGATATCTTGCCCGGTGCATCATCTAAAGGCCGAGACCTAGTCCGCCAGATGGTATGTTATGAGAGTAGTCAGCGACTCTCTGCTGAAGAGGTAAGTAACTACGAGATTGAAAGTCGATTTCCAACGGTCGCTAATTTACCAAGGCCCTCCAACACCCGTACTTCTCCACACCTTAATCTCGATATGCCGAGAGCGCCACAGGAATGCCCAGTAATTTCAGCCACATCAACTTGACAGCCATTTTTACATCATAATTTCCCCTTGGAAGCATGCCGAGTACTACCTCTGACAAGTATGCTTTAATGAGATCCCGATCCCACTAGCATCTAAAATACCAATCTCGATAGTCCAGAGCATAATGAGTTGCATCCCTTCATAGCCCTGTACCTCAATGCACATGTGCACACCGTATGCAAACACGAGCCTCGAACCCGCTCGGTGCCGATCTGGGGCCATGCGATGTATGTTTGACTTTTTCCCCTTGACTTAATTTTAATTGATTGCACTTTCCCTTGTCCGAGTAATATCCGGGAGAACCGGAAATTGCAGTTAAAACCATTGATCAATGAGAAGTAAAGGGCGGGCCGTGGGTGAAACAGCCACCAACACGGATGGTGTCCGTGCCCCGCGTTGGAAGAGTTCTTGGGCTTAGCGAAGGACTTGATCCCGCTTGGGGGCTGAAGGTAATGCTGATCATGATATTTTTATCGAGGATTTATGAATTACTCTGTGGGAGAAGAGGTATAATGTCAGAGTAGAGAGTGAATTACTTTTTAAGTGAATTAAAATTAAATGTATCTAATCTCATCAAGATACATCAAGTACATGCAACTTGAAAGGGAGAAGATTAGATTGCAGATTGAGATGGTTTCCATGGTTGATGCAATAACATATTCAATACTAGGTACCGTATTGATTTCCCCAATAAAATGTATCCATTCCACCGATCATCTACCCATATAGGTTAGTCTGTGTAATATTTCAATACCAATACTCGATCAGGGTCCACGGGTCCATCGGTCTGTTGTGTTCCAAGGTTATAATGCATTTCCCTTCACTCGTGCTCATCTCCTGTAATACATCGCTGGTCGCTGATCTCAGGGCACTTGTCTCCTTCACACACTCTTTCAATCACGACCTGGACGTCGCTGTCACTCTTTTTTTTTCATCCAGACTTGTATCGAGCAGAGCTTGATCATACAGTCGTCCATTCTTTCGAATCTCACACCACATTCCGCATAACACGCTTGTGCACTGACTAACCGAACGTCATTCTCGGTGGCTTTCAAGTCGCGTTGGAATCTTAAGAATCTTGTGGAGCTAGCGATATTGTCAAATAGCTTTTTCTTTCCTACAGGCGCGGTTACTTTGTTTTAACCATCTGTCCGAGAGTCAACGGCACCACGGTCACAATGGTACACGGGCATACGCACACCCATGACCGCCCTCTAGAGGCTCGTGACCTAGAGGAGCGGGGTCACGATAACAACAACAAGGATGATAGCAATGTTGTGGTTGTCTATACCACCCTCGATGCGACTTTTACTGGTGATGTTGGTGGTTATTCCACTGAAAATGCCGACACTACGACGAGCAAAAATGATAGCAATGTTGGCGTTGGACCAGCTGTTGCTGCTACGAAGACAACCGACAAAGAGACGACGACTACTGCAGAGGCAAAGAAGACAACAACAACCGAGGAGGCTAAAGAGACAACCAAGGACGATAAGACAACATCCAAAGAATCCGAAAAGAGTACTACTGAAGATAAGAAGACAACCACCGAGGCTGAGAAGGCGATAACCACGGCGGAGACTTCCAAGACCGAGCACAGCACCATCACGACTGCTACTCAGGATGCACAGACGGGTGCGACTCGATCCACATTCGTGACCTCGGCAACCCAGACCTCTACTGGGTCAGATGCAGCTGGTGTTGGTTTGAGTGCAACAGAGACTGCATCGCTTACAGATTCAGCTGCATCAACGTCAAATACAGGTGCCATTTCCTCCCAGTCCACAGGCATGTCTTCTGGGGCCAAAGCGGGTGTTGCTATCGGTGTCATCCTGGGCGTGGGTGTGATTGCAGCTCTGATATTCTTCTTCATTCGAAAGAAGAGACGCAACAATGGAGATGAGCCGGTCATGACAGAGAAACTTTTCACCGCTCAGGACCTTCCACCTCCTCCACCAATGAAGGAAATGGTTCCCTCAAGGGCTTCGACTCCTCCTCAACTCAAGGTTCGCCCGGTCACCCAATTTGCACCCGATCTAAGCAACAGCGCCTCGTTCAACCCCGCCAGTGCCGCAGCAGCAGGTGGTGTAGCGATGGGATCGGCCGCAATCGCCACGCGCAATCTTACTGATATCCCACCTCCTACGCCTCCCAAGACCGCAGGCAGTTCTTCGAATCCATTCACGGATCCGGTTAATCCCTTCAATACTGGCAACGCACCCATGACCGCTCAATACATGAATTCTGCATCTCCTCCTGGGTCCTCGGCATCTAATGCTGCGCCTGCACTGGTGCCAGCTGAAGGTGCTGCGCTTGGCGCTCTTGGAATCGTCGGTGCCGCGGCGGTAGTATCGCACGAATCTAATAAAGAGCCTTCTCATGAGCCCGAACTTTCTCGCCAGCCTGAGCCAACGGAATCCGATGTTCGCCCACCTAATTCGCCAAGTCCCGTTAGCATTGACGGTGAATCTGTTTCATCGGCTGCTATGGGCCCTGGTAGCATTGCAGGAGGCGTTGCTCCAGCCCCAGCTAACGTACATCGCGTGCAAATGGATTTCAACCCATCTATGGAAGATGAGCTTGAACTTCGAGCTGGCACCCTAATCCGCATGCTTCATGAATACGACGATGGATGGGCTCTCTGCATTCGCCTTGATCGCTCCAAGCAAGGAGTTGCTCCTAGGTCCTGTCTATCTGCTCGTCCTGTGAAACCTCGTCCTCGACCCCCAGCCGGTGGACCTCCCGGGCCTGGTCCGCGTGGCCCCCCTATGATGGGTCCAGGTCCAAATGGCCGTTCTATGTCCCCAGCAGGCCGTGGTCCACCATCAGGTCGATTCTATCCCGGAGACGTACGCCCCAGATCACCCATAGGCCCTGGTTACGGCGGTCCACCCCCTCCACGTGCCTACCCCGGTCGTTCGATGTCTTCTAGCCAGCTCCCTGGCCAATTTCCCATCCCTCGCGCTATGAGTCCCGGGCCAAGATCGATGTCGCCGGGCCCGCGATCCATGTCACCAGGTCCAGGAATGCGACCTGGACCTCGATCAATGTCTCCAGGTCCAGGCCCATATCCCATGCCTCCTCGATCAATGAGTCCTGGTCCATATGGCGGAATGCCACGACCTGCAATGCCTGTTAACCAGCGTCAACGCAGCAACAGTGCTGGTAATATGTCTTCACCATACATTCCCGGCGTTCAAGTTGCTCCTCGGTCAAGTCCGCTAGCTGCAACAGGACCACCTGTCCCAGCTCCAAGGGGGAATCTTCCTGCTCTTCCAAATTCCATACCGAACTCTCCATCTGGAACTCAGATTAGCAGGAAGCCCATTGCGCCCTAATCACAACTTCTGATGACCGAGATACCCATTTCCTTGAACCAAGTCGTTATTGAACTATTGTTTCTCTTCAGTGTCCCGCTGGACGGATGAGCCCACCATGTATGACTCAATCTCTACGTCCTGATGAACCTGTTTTATTTTTTCTTCTTTTTCCCTTTATTTTTCTTGTTCGCCCTTTTGCATGTCGCATATTACTGACGTTCTCTCAACATTTGAACATCCTGTTGTCGATTTCTTTTTGAACAGCCATCCTTGAGTGTCGAGATTTACCCAGTCCAGACGTGACGCTTGCGCTTACATTTTACTCTTCTTTTCTACGTGCCCGAGTTAATTCTAGCTTAGATTTCTTTTATTCTTTGTGGGCAGTTGGCGACACTGAGCGTGAATGAATCGGAATCCCCAGAAACCTGTACCATAGTGATCGAATTTCCACGATACTATCGCATGTGTACTAGTAGTGTTTATTGAGTCCATATTCTTTTTTTTCTCTAAGAGTTGTCAAATAGAGTTCGATACTTGAAGGGACTTATAGTGCAATCATACCAAGTATAAAAGTACAAGTCCTCGTGCCGCGCGAAGCACTGTATATAGCAGCGAAATAGGGCAAGGTACATATCTACTCAGCACTCCACATTTGAAGGACTTGGCCAGGAATCTCGGTCAAGTAGACACAGTGACACTACAGCCATGTTCACATGGTTAAATACTCAGTCAGTATTATGTACAGGTAACTGGTGATATACCCCTCTTTGCATGTAAGTACCTACAGGATTACCTACAGGGTTACCTGAATGATTACCTGGAAGGGAAGGCTAGCTGCTAGGTAGTTGGATATAGGCAACTGGTAACCATAGGGATGAGCTATAGGTTAATTATGCCCCTCTGTTCTGCCGGGGAGGAAACTTGAAAAAGCTCTGCAACCCAAGTAGGAAAAGAGGTCTAGTCCGTACTAGTCTATCTAAGGTCCACTCTGAGTATACGCTTTAAGAAATACATTGGCACAATACCCTCCCCAATTTCCCTACTAGGGACTCAGATTTTCCTCACTGTACCTGATTGAAATCCCAAAGTCGAGTAACTGGTATAGCTGCAGTAGTGTGCCATCCTTGAGCAGCCTAGATAACTTATTAGCATTCTTATAATAATCTAAGTAAAGATAAATTGACTGTTTGATGATTCCAAATGTAGCGGATGAGATTAATGCCAACATCCATGGATGTCTTGCAAGCCAAACCTCTCTTTCCTGTAATAAATTTCGACTACCTCACCCCTAAGCATTATATTCTATAAGGGTAAAGTAATCTGAGAAGAGATAGCTAAAGTAAGAGATAACTAAAGTAAGTTCTAAAGTTTCCTATAGTTACAGATTACTTAGGCTACTCAGGTGATAGACTATTTGACTGTCTAGCAGTATTCCAGTTAACCTCTTTACATTAACGGTCAGACTATACTTCTAGTTTTTTCCTTATCTACCAGGTGTATATGCCTACCTACGTGTATAACTTCCAAGGTTCAAGTTGTCCTGTGATTGATGGTAGTTAGCTTCCCCTTTAGGTACTAACTCTACAAATATCACACACTCTCTTACCCCAGCACACCACACACAGGGCATATTCCTTCCCTATTTCAGGTCCTCCCGTAGCATTACCTTTGCTATCTTCACATTCTGGTTGTCAACATTATACTAACCATGCGGCTTGAAGTAAGTTTTTATTATCCTGAGCTGATTTTAAAAGGTACATGGTATTGATACTATGATCTAATGAACTAGATGCCAAGCAGCATGATGATGAGGGCCTTGCGGAAGAGTGGATGCGCCTAATGACTGATGATGGGAAATTCCATGTTTTATACCATATGGGGCTCAATCTCCTTGTCGCAAATGTTCAGAGTCAAAGCAAGGACGCCCCTCCAGAGGTCGCTACTTGGTCCAGAATGAAACGTGCAGCCGCCCGCCTCCTGCGGATCTCGAACAGCCACAAGAAGCTTACAGAGGTCCGTGACGACGCAGAGGACGACTTCCGCTGCGAGCTCCGGCATTTGCCTACCAATGAACAGAAGAGGTACTGGCTGAACTACTGCGGCCTATAGCTCTAACCCTGTGACTCACTCCTGTCCTTTCACCGCCAACGGTGACTTGCATTTGCTTCCCTGACCTTTTCTTTTACAGCGATGGCCTTTTATTGTTTCGTACACCGAGGACGGTGCACCCTTTTTTTGTTTGAGGCATTGCTGCGGGCCTAGCCCCTACCACTATTCTAGCACTTTACCCTTTTGTAGCCCTTTCGGGCACCTGCACAACGCTCCCCAATTGGGGATAGCCTTAGTTCATATATTAGTCATGCAGTAGACTCCATATGAGTCGCTGCCACCACAGAATGTAATGACCATCTTTCCATCTACGCGTATTCCATACTACAAGCCGTGCCTTGGTTGCTCTTTTTTTGAGTTGTACGAGACCTGATCAAGAAGTGGCCTTATCTTTACCTGGGTTATGATACTAATACAGTTAACACTGAAAGGTTTCTAGAATCTTCAATTTCGACGAGAAAACTGGATGCTATCGAGCTTCGCAACCTTACTCTGGGCTGAGTCTAGGATAATGAGAGGAGAGTGGAGGGTGGTCCTTTAATATGTATACAGCCTGAGTATACTTCAAGTTGTTTGGAATGTCTCTGACAATCAAGAACACCATTACTATCACATAAAACCTCTGATCAAGACCCCTGAGACAATGTTCATAGAGATCTAATGAAAATGAAAAATTTAGATGATAGAGTTATTGTTCTCCAGCGGCCGCGATAAATACCACCAAATTTCTAACGATTTCCACATAGAAATGAAAATTAAACATGCATTTGGTGGGCAGAAGTCAGTCCACCATTCTATTCATCTACAGATGAGGGACTTTTGCACTGGCAAGTAGAAGGTTCACGATACTCATGATACCTTCACCAAGAATAAGACCAGAGGCCAAAACAACAATTGTGGAGGTGGCAGCATCTGCCTTTTCGGCTGCCTGTGCTGTGGAAACAGGTCCCTCGACTCTAGCAGCGGAGTCCGCCGAGCCTGGCTGAGCAGATCCGTCATTCTGATGAGATTGAGTGGACGAGCTGTGACGGCGAGACCACCACCAAGCGATAATTCCGCCAATGGCTCTCGCAAGCGTAAAGGAAGGAACATTGAAAATACCAACAGCAACGGCAATTCCACCAGGAATCCAGTCTCTCCACGCGGGAGGCTTTCCATCACGCGCAAAAGCAGGAGACGCAGCGGCAATGCGCAGTGCTGTAAGTCCCATCCAGATCATACCTGCAATCAGTGATGCCTGCCATGCCATATCTGGCAGTCCCTGGCCGGTGACCAGACGGGCAGTAAAGATCCAAACATACGCTGTTGGGGTCTGGAACATTTCACCTGGGATTTCATATACATTGACGTACATCTTGTAGACGGCTGTTGAGAGGACGGCACCGACAACGCTACCGATCATTTGGCCGTAGAATTGGGCCTTAGGGCTAGCGCCGAGGAGGTGTCCTGTTTTCAGGTCCTGCATCATGTCACCTGCTTGGAGAGCGCCGGATTCTGAGACTGCACCTGCCAGTAGGTTTGTGACAAGTGCTGTCCGGCGGGAGAAGTGAGATGCGGGTGTTGCAAGTGAGAAGAGAAGTTGTGTGAGTTTGCTGATTCCAGATACTGGATTTAGATCTGTTTCACCAAGAGCTCTGACGCCCATTATAGAAAGCAGTAGGGCGAGAAGAGTGGCTAGGCTAGATAGCCATGGAGATATGATATCACCAAAAGCGAAGTGCATGCAGATAACATTCAAGATCAGTGTTAGGGGAAGTAAGATGATCACTGTGCGGGTTGAGATGAGCTGGGATGGTGGCGCATCCTCTTCTTCCTCCACATTGGTGACGGCTGGGGCAGATTGATCATGGATTCCATCATCGTGTAATCCACCCGGACTCAGGGCAGAGTAATTAACGTAGGAATGGTCCTGTGATTGAGAAGATTGGAGGTGTAGACCAATCCATCTACCCAGTCGTGTAGCGCGGAACCGGGCTAGCCATCTGGGACCATTGTTAATCAAGGGCTTTACAACGAGCCAGCCGAGGCTGACCAGAGAGTCTGCAAGCATAATTGCCAATGAGATCCAAACGATCCAGGCTTTGCTTCCATCTTCCCAGCTATCAACAGCCCCGGGGGCCCACCCGCGAGCTTTGGCAAGAGGTGAAAGTACACCCCACCCAAGCACTGCACCAAAAAGCATATGCATACATGTTGATGGGCCCATGATAATTCCTTGGCCAATATATGCAGGAGATGGGTTTAGAGTCCAGAGCCAGTCACGAGCAAGATCCACACCAAATAGTGGGATGTCGTGAATCAATGGAACAAAGTACGAAAACACGGTCTATGGATGTCAGCTGAAGTTCGAAATGGAAAATAAAGAGCGAGAAGCGAGGATATCCAAAGATATCACGTTGATGAATATGGGCTAATCTTACATAAAGACCGGAGCCCGCAAAGGCACCGATCAGCAACCGCATCTTCGATCGCCAATCTTTCTGGTCCGTTGCCTGATCCTCCGCCTCGCCATCTTTCAGAAGCAGACCACTTGTCTCCTCCGAGGGAAGCTGTGATGTTCCTGTCTCTTGATTGAGCTCGACTGAGCTATGTTGAGATTCAACCGGAACCTTCTCATTCTTTCCAGCCCCGTGAAGAACCCGGAGCATCAATGCAGAGGCGGTGCCACTAGGGAATTTCAATTTTTCCCGTACAATAACCTCCTTTCGCAGAGGAACCGCAAATACAACACCAAACAAGCAGACTCCCAGACTCCAGATCACCAATTTCCAAAATCCAAGCTTGAGGGGCCCGCCCTCGCCTTCACCTCCATCACCCGCTGGCCCATCCTCGCCATCCTTGAGCAGAAACTCCAGGGCTGGAATGACACCAACAAATCCACATCCAAGCGGCATAGTTCCCACAGCCCCGGCGACGGTCTGGATCAGGACGTTCTCAATCGGCGTAAACGGGAACGAGAGCTGTTTCGATAACACCTTGAAGACCGAGAAGCCTATCAGGGCAGAAGGCATTGCCATAGTACTGATCCATCCCGTCTGGAGACCAAAGTAGGTGTTGGAGAAGGTTATCAATGCACCGATAATAAGGCCGACGATGAGCGAGCGGGGTGTGAAGCTCTGTGCGGAGGTGGTTTGCGTTCGTGGAGTCGAAGTGGCATTCGGGTGTAAATTGGGAGAGGATGACTCTTCTATCCTCTCCCGTGATGACTCGGAGGCATCGCCTGCCATGCTGAGGGTCTGGTAATTCATCGGCCCAGCAGATTCATGGAGGAGAAGCTGAGAAGAGTCCGGGGATCCATCCATGGATTGATAAGCTGAGATGATTAATGCCCGGTGATAAGGTCACCTGACGTCACTTTACCATTTTGGGTAAGTGGTTCCTGATCTATCTCATCTTCGCTGTCACCTCTTTTACATTTTCTTTCCCATTATATGTGGATCAAACTGCAATTGACTAATAGCACAGCTCTAATTTTAATATTACCAGATGAAACTTTTCTTAAAATATCCATGTCAAGACCCATCCTTGCTTGCCCCACTGCCAGCAGAAGATTAGTCCCCGATATGAATCGGGGTCTAAACCCAAACGGGACACAGATACAATGGCCAAGCAAGTTCAATGAATAGATGACTCTTTAAAAAGGGACAGCGACAATCGTTTAAATAGGAAGTGAAATTCTCATTTCATAGGGAATTCATTGTGATGATATTTTTCCTCGCTAAATCACCATCAGGTTTTGTACTTGGTCAATCCAACACAGCATGGCCGCAACTAAGGTCAAGTCCCGGAAACGGGCTCAAAAAGAGCAGGAAGCGATTACTCCCAAGATAGCTCCTGAAGTTAAGCTAAATGATTCCACTTTGGAGCATATCACTGGTGGCTGGCAGCCAGGCATGGATCCCAAGGTCGATGATTCAGGTCACTTCGAATTCGGCGGTTCAGTCGGTTGTCTAGGCTTGATTATTGGCTTTCCCTTGTTGATGTATTACATGTGGATTGGTGCTACGTACTATGATGGCAAGCTTCCTCTGCCTGAGAAGGATCAGTCCTATATTGATTTCGGGAAGCATTTGTGCCACCTAGTTTACACTGGTGCATTCCCCCACGTTCGTGCCTGGCGCATCTATTGGACCTACTTCATGTTTGAGGCTGTCTGCTACGTTTTTATGCCTGGATTTACCTGTTATGGAAAGCCTCTTGCTCATTTGGGTGGTCAACAGCTCAAGTATCATTGCTCTGCCTATACCAGCTTTTACTTGACTATTGTGGTTATGGCTTTTCTGCACGGCACTGGACTGTTTCCCATCTACACTTTCTTGGATGAATTTGGACCCCTGATGTCTGTTGCCATTCTTTCTGGTTATCTCAACAGCTTGATCACCTATGTCCAAGCATTTGTTCGAGGTACACAACATCGCATCACTGGCTACCCCATTTATGATTTCTTCATGGGGGCTGAGCTGAATCCCCGCCTCTTTGGAATCATGGATTTCAAGATGTTCTACGAAGTCCGGATTCCCTGGTTTATCCTTTTTGGTCTCAGCTGTGCGGCGGCCACACGCCAGTACGAAAGATATGGTTATGTTTCTGGCGAAGTTTTGTTCCTGGTGATGGCTCACTATACTTACGCCAACGCCTGTGCCAAGGCAGAGCATCTCATTACCACCACATGGGACATGTATCAAGAGAAACTTGGATTCATGTTGACGTTCTGGAATATGGCCGGTGTACCCATGTCATACTGTCACTGCACACTGTACCTGGCAAATCATGAGCCATCCACATATGCATGGAGTCGACCTGCATTGGCGGCATTCTTCATCTCCTACCTATTTGTGTATTGGGTCTGGGATACAGCCAATGGCCAGAAGAACTCCTTTCGTATGATGGAACGTGGAACTTGGGTGAAGCGAAACACATTCCCACAGCTTCCCTGGCAGGAAGTTCATAATCCGAAGACCATTGTGTCTGAGAATGGAGATACCATTCTTGCTGATGGATGGTATGGACTTGCTCGCAAGGTTCACTACAGTTGTGACATGTTCTTCGCTATTTCATGGGGTCTAATCACTGGTTTTGAAAGCCCGTTTCCGTGGTTCTACCCCGTTTTCTTTTCGATCATGATTGCGCATCGAGCAATGCGGGATATCAATAAGTGTAGGTACAAGTATGGTGCTTCGTGGACGGCATATGAGAAACAAGTTCCATATCTTTTCATTCCAGTAAGTTATCTCTGCTTAGCTGGTTTTGACTTTTTGCTAACGGATTTCTTATAGTATGTTGTTTAATTTCCAAGATTCAGAACAGCGGATCTGATACCGGAGTCACGGTATTGATTGATATGTGGGTGTTGATGGTTTTGTCATAATGAAGGCATAAAGTTATAGTGTATATTTATTTTTGATATTCAATCGGTATTCAAGTTTTCAAATCTCAATCAGACGAATCAACTCGAAACTCCTTAGATATTTGAATCCCGCCTGGAGGCGCCACATTGGAGGTCAACTCAACATCTGAACTTCCGTCCATACCATCATCGCTCCATCTGGTATGGCTGATTTGGGCACCATGTTTCATCTTTTGAGAAGTGATCTCACTCTTATTAGACCCCTGATCCATCCGAGTGATAGCATAATTTTTCTTCGCGCCAAACCCATATGATTGACCGTGACTATCTGTTCTGTGATTTGATGACCCAATCCAACTTCCTGGAAGCATTGAAGAGAAAATCCTGCGAAGAAGGGGTAGATTTCCTGCAACGATAGCGAGTTGCTCCTCGACGATACTCCACATAAGAGGTAAGGGAAGGGTATAGGTGACATCGTCGAAGTTGATGCGTAAAAGGCTGACCACTCGAACCATGCTGACGGCGCTGACACTGTTTGATCTCTTGTGTTAGTAACTCACTCATGAAAGAAGTTTCCCCAACGATGCACAAGGGGAGTATGCTTCACTTACAAGAGTCCCAGACTAAAAGCAATAACCAATCCCACTTTCCGCCCAATCGGCAACTGGAGCTTCATTATGTATGGAATTGGAAGAGACATGACCATAAAATCGGTGACCATGTTCAACACACCAGCCACGACAAAGGCTGCATTTCGGTTGCCGCATCCACCTCCTGCTATTTTAGGGTCCCAATTATATCGAATGGGGTGACAGAGCAGAAATGACTCTAGAACGATACTGAGAGCCCAAGCCCATACAATTGCGCCGGTCGTGTAAATCGCAAGTCGCATACTCTTCTTTGTGCCGAATAGTTTATAGTAAAGGATCATCATGGACGTTTTGACAAGGGCGAGACCCACTCCATAGAGGGCTTGACAGACGATAATCATCTAATGAAGACATTGTCAGTCTACGACATTCGAGTAATTCAACCTTGAGATGCATTGATATCCTTGATCGTACCTTCAACACAAATTCAATATCCACCCACGCGACCGGATCCAGCGCATGTAATCCCACGCCTCCTTTGGTGACAGCTATCGATCTGTTAGCCATGCACTCTGTTGCGCCAGGTATAATCCACACTCATAATCACGACTATTGTCGATACAATCACCATACACTATCTGAATTAGCAGTGAAATGCGAAATAAGAGATAAATGAACTCACTGTCGCCAGTAGCATGAAATAGTCATCCAATCCCAAACCAACCTTCCTCATCCTCCTGGATACCACCCGTAGAACTGTCGAGAGAATCGCAATCCATCCAAAAACCAGGATGACAATCACCATATCCCTACCCTCCTTGGACTGAAGTCCATAACTCCCCATTGTGGCTCAATATAGTGATTTCCCGGGGCTGGTGGAGTTGACTCTATGAGAGTTCCATACTTGTAGTTGAAAGTACAAGAAAGAGGAGACAATAACGAGTCCACCCTTCTAGAATACCCTCGCGGCTGTCTCGGAGTTGATCGCGAGTTCGTTCTTATTCATCATTTGTGCTCAGACCTTGATCCTTCGACCCCACAGCGGGTTCATCGCGGATCGACCATACTAAGAGTAGTTAAGTTGTGCGGCGCTACGATAATACTAATAAAGACGAAGGATTTAGTCTCATACCGCTATACCATTGTTGTCTGTCCTGCATCAGCACTAGAAATCTCTGACACGTAGCGTTTTCCCCATGTGTTAAATGATCTATCCTGGTTTGATTGTAATCTGGGAATTGTGAGGGTTAGCGTAGAACATTGGAAGGCTATGTCGTTTCAGGTGCTTATTTGCCGGCTGTGGATATCAATTATCGGGGACTATGACTGTATTTAGTTGGTACATCACTCTTAGTGTGTGAATACAGATCGAACCTGGGGTGGCGATTCGAGTTCCTTTCGTCCCATTGATAGACACTACAATGACCTATCACCCGTTCATTTTGGAGAGAAGCATTTGCCACCATCAAGTGCAAAGATCAGTCTACCCCTAGGGATTACCAGACTTAATTACCGAGATGAATTAACGCCAATCTAGAGCCTTGTTGTGATAGTGCTTGAACTCTATGACCTACGCAATTGGCCCACCCAATCCGCCACTATAATGCTAGCGTCTACGGAGCAAATGGATGCCGTTCATGTCTCCATACGGGGTACGGAACACTCCGTAGCCGGGACTTTAATCCTATGATAGGAGGGGCATAGACTCCTTAGAAAAGCTAAGGTACCCCTCAGGCACTCCACATCACCATTTGAATCCTTCAACTCTTAGATCTCATATTTCCTGATTGAGATCAAAACAATGGCTTCATTCGATACAGAGTCTGTTGATGGGCTTGAGAATGCTGCATTTGACTTCATCGTAGTTGGCGGTGGAACCGCTGGCTTGGTGGTAGCCAGTCGAATCACCGAAGATCCCAACCTGAGCGTTATCGTCCTTGAAGCAGGTACAAATCGACTCGGAGATCCTCGATTGACAGTTCCAGGATTAGGTGTGGCTACATTCGAAGACCCGGATTTCGATTGGAACTTCCGATCAACTGCCCAGGTACGAGCCTAATTAATGAACGAAATCCAATCCACATAACCCAATTGGATGTTAGTATTGACTTGGAGATACTAGGAACAACTTAACGGTCGCATCATTTTAGCTAATAAAGGCCGTACACTTGGTGGTTCCTCTGCCATTAACCTTGGAATGGTCGTGTACCCATCTCGAACTGGATTGAATGCATGGGAAGCATTGGGAAACCCTGGCTGGGGCTGGGATGGCTTATCCCCGTATATTCGCAAGTCTCAAACTGCGGCTGCACCCTCAGATGCCAATCGGGAGTTCTTCAAGGGTATGAAGTTCGAACAACAGGATCATGGTAGCAGTGGACCTGTCCAAGTATCTTTCGGTGATCAGTATATGCCATACCACCAGGCGTGGATGCAGACTTTTGAGGGATTGGGATATCCGCAGATTGAAGATCCGGTTAATGGTGCTGGTCTGGGTCCTTTTGTCACACCTGGTGCTATCGATCCTGTAACACATACCAGGAGTCATTCGGCGGCTGCATACTTGGGACCAGATGTGCAGGCTCGACCTAATCTCCGTGTTGTGACTGGTGCACTGGTGCAAAATATCATCTTGGCGAAGCAGGGCGAGGAAGTCCTTGCTACGGGTGTCAAATTTCAAAAGGGCTCGGAGACATACAGCATTCAGGCTAAGAAAGAAGTCATTCTGGCTGCGGGAGCAACGCAGACTCCTCAGATCTTGGAGCTTTCAGGTATTGGAGATAAGAAGATCCTGCAGTCCCAAGGAATCGAACCCATTATCGAAAATCCTAGCGTTGGAGAGAATCTGCAAGATCACGGAATCGTATCCTTCTCATACGAAGTGGCAGATGGACTTCCATCCGGTGATATGGCCAAAGATCCGAACGTTGCAGCGGCAGCGATGGCTGCCTATCAGAAGAATGGCTCAGGACCACTAGGCATGGCACCATTTGTTTCTGCGTTTATGCCATGCTTGAATATCGCCGAGGAGGAGCATGCTCAGATGCTTCAGGGATTAAAGGCCTCAATCGAGAGTCCCGAAACACCTCCTGCACACAAGAAACAGTTCGAGGCCCTGCAAACTGTCCTGAAGGATTCATCCGAGCCCACAGCACAGTATATTCTTGCACCGTTCCAATTACCTGCAGTTGAAGGCGATAACCCGAAACGTCTTTTCGGTATGCCTTACCCAGGGCTCTTCATCAGTCTTGTCTCTCTGCTTAGTTACCCACTGTCTCGTGGATCCGTTCATATCGGCTCCGCTGATCCAAGCGCTGCACCAATTATTGATCATGGAATGTTACGCCATCCAGTTGATTTGGAAATGCACGCTCGTCACAATATCTGGCTGGATAAGCTTGTCAAAACTGAACCATTAGCTTCGCTTCTCAAGAAGGGAGGTCAGAGATTACATACTCCGGAGCCTGTGGATACCCTGGAGGAGTCTAAGGAGCTGTGTAAGCAGTTGATTCTATCAATGTATCATGTTAGTGGAACTTGTGCCATGATGCCTCAGGAAGATGGTGGAGTTGTCGACGCTCGATTGAAGGTTTATGGCACTTCGAATATCCGAGTTGTGGATGCTAGTATTTTCCCCCTGGAACCAAGAGGAAACATTCAGGCGACTGTATTCGCAGTTGCTGAGAAGGCGGCGGATATCATCAAGGAGGATGTGAAATAACTCAAATAGCCTTGGAAGTTGCACTCAGGTTTTGTCATCTCGATAGACTTGAGTACCACTTGATAATCTCGATCTAATGAATGGTAACCTTATAGGAAAATAGTCACAACTTGATACTAAAGAGGATCTTTCAACAGAAATATTCCACTGTACATCAACACATCTTGTTTTCCATTCTCCAGGAGAAACTGTATCAAATAATCACCAAAGGAAGCATAGGAGACTCCCAAAGTCCCCATATACGTATCAACATGAGAGAACACTCAGGTGCTCTATCCCTCGAAAAACGCAACGCAACAGCTGTAACTGTTTATCTTTTTTCTTGAATGACACCGGTAGCACTCTGGATTGGGGTTCAACAGCCCATGTAATGAAAAGAAAGGGAAAGGAAATGAAGAAAAGCAGAGTATCAGAACTCAACGCTGAACTCCGAGAACCAACGCCACAAATGAAAGGTACCCAGTAGTGGAAAGAATCCAGATATTTCATGCCAAAAAAGAAAAACCTAGGCCCAACCCGGACCTGAAAAGACATACGTAGACCTCATAATTGCATGTAGGGAAACTGAAGGAATCCATGATCTCAAACTCGATCGACCTTGATAGTAACCAACTTCGCCAAGTTAAATCGACATTCTCTGACCGCGTAGACAGGTAGAGGAAAAGTGAGGAATCAAGAATCAGAATCGAAGAGAGAAGAATAAAGAGAATATCATCTCATACTCATCACAAACTCAGCTGATCGATACTCCCAACTCTTCCTCCGCCACCTAATCTCCCACCTCCTGTTGTCACCATCCCTAATCTATAAAACCTCTCTTCGCCCGCTGGTGTCCGTCCTCCAATATACCATTTCTCCGGACCTAACGCATCCCGGAATCCACCCGAACCACTGGAACTATCGCTTCCACGACGACGGCGATCTGCTGGGCCGCTATTTATGGGTATTGGGGTTGAGGATGCAGGAGTTGGAGGTGAAGATGATTCTGAGGAGTGATGATAATGATGGGTATGGCGATGCTGGGAAGATGTGGAGGTTGAAGCTGGATTTCCATTTCCATTCGCATTCGCATTTGACGATGCAGGTTGCTGAGTTGTCTGAGACTGAGACTGAGATGACGAGGCTGATGGACCCGAGCCGGAACCTGCGGCTTTAGAAGCAAGGGCGCGAGCACTCTGAGAGATCGAGGAGGGTGATAACGAAGAGGTAGATGATTGCTGAGTTGGTTTAAAGGTAGACTGGGCTCGGAAAGCAGCCAGGAAGTTAGAAAGGAAGGGTCGGTTGGTAGACATGGCGGCTCTGCGGTGTGGCTTTTGCGCTGGGCCGCTGGTGGTGTATGAAGATGGATTGTGTTTCCCCGGAATCACAGAATCACGGAGCACAAAGTGGGATAACCTGGAGAAAGTGGGAAGTGGGTTTGGCCAAGGTTATCGGAAGCGGAGCATATGAAGGGTCTGGCGGGGGGTTCAGAGATCCCGAATCCAACTTCTCCCGAGTGGTTGTGATGATCCAATCAAATGTGGGGGATTATGGACATGACGTTGCGCAGGAAGATTTCGGAGGCTAAAAATAATTGGAGTATTTAATGAATAGAAGAAGTGGAAGATGATTTAACAATAAGATGCGGATGAAAGGAAATCTTGCTTGATGAGATCTAGTCTATCAAAGTTCCAAGTTTTTTTCTTTTGTTCCATGCGTGCAGAAGGAGTAGTTAGTACCTATAGTCCAGTCCAGCCCATATTATATGGATCGTCCCGGATCATCGGCTTACATACTACTATAAAACTGCATGTGGACCATAATGGATCATCGGGTCTATTTCTAGATGCTTTTCCAGTAGAACAGATTCCCTCCTTAAAAATGAAGATGTAAAAAGGAAAAAAAAAACACAACACCTTAAATCACACCAGAAAAGAAAAAACCCGAGCAGATATGTCCGTACCGTGCTGACTCTACTTACAAGAACGAGACCATGCAGATGCATCGGGGGAGAAAAAACGAACGAGCAACCAGAGAAGAGAATCAGAGAAAAAAAAGGAAGAGAAATAATCGACCTGCAATTCGACACAAGGAGCCTTCCCATAAAGCTTTTTTTTCTCTGTCGAATCATTCACGCAAAAGAACACATGCCCATGTCTATAGTTGTGGACGCCGAACGAAACCACCCGCCATACCATCTGCCCCCATCAAAAGGGCATAATAAAAACAACCAGACTCGCAATCAACCACCGTAAAGTTGTACTCGCCGTAGAGAGAAGAATGCGGTCCCACACCGGATGGGATCTGAGACGGGAAAATAAAGCCATCAAGGACGCAGAATACACAAATCGAGGCAATAGAGAGGAAAGAATAAAAATCAACCAGGACTGGACGCCATAATTCACAGAAAAACAACCACTGCGACGCAAGGTCGCGTGCAATCGGGTGGACCGGATGGACGACGGTATCGCAGTAAAGGTAAGAAATGCCCCCAATAAAAAGAAAACATATCATTTTTGGCAGAAGAAAAAGTGCAAGAACCCAAAAGGGAGAGTAAGAAAAGGAAGTAAGCCATATCTGGAGCTGCCTCGAACATTATCAAAAGAAATCAAGACTGCAAACGAACACAAATCGCATCCATCGTATGCGGGGAAATCGGTCTAAGGAGTCCTCACGATGGTCAGAATAGGCTATCATCCCCTTCTTAGTTTGTCTCTCTCCCTCAATATGAAATCTTGTTAGACTCTTTCAACTGAAACTGTCGCGCCTCATCGGTCCCACCGAGTTGTTTACTGTCGTGCAGGCTGAACGGTACCTATAAAGAAGAGAAAGAGATTGGCGGTTAGAATAATTCTTCTGTACGAACTTCCACGGATGTTCGATTAAAAGCAGAAATTTTATAATAACTTACCATCACCGCTCAGAGTGGTCGAAGCCAGGTATAATCCGTTCATACCGCTTTCGGGGCCGCCCGCGGTCGTGGCGGGGTAGAACTTGCGCTCGGCATCGACGGGGGCGTGGATCGGCTCCTGACCGGCGGCCATGGAGTGAGGGAAAACCGGGTTCATGTAACCTTCGGAGGGATTGTGCTGAAACATCGAAGTCCAGTCAACACCCGGCTGATTCGAATGGGGGCCGGACATAACCGGATGTTTATGGTCTGGAGTGACTAGGGGCTTTACCTGTTCAAGAGGACGATCAACACTCAGTTGCTGACCATGGGCTTCAGGGCCAGAGTGCATAAGGTACGGATTCGGCTTGGGCGCCATCCAGGAGGCTCGCGCGGATGCCTGATCGGCATACGCGTTGTCACCAGGTCCACGGCTCATGCCGGTGGCCGGTGACATACTGAACCCCAGATGCTGCTGATCTTGGTATCCGGGACGGCCAACGGCCATTCCGTTTCCATTCACATGCCCATCGCTAAATTGCGCACCCATGACACCATTGGCAGATGGGACGGGATTACTAACTTCATCCAAAGGCTTCACTGGGTTCGCCGCAGCAGCGGCGGCCGCTGCCTGTTGCGACCGTTTCAAATGGGCCTGGGGGTGCGACAAGTGGGTCGCGCCCGTTGGGTTACCGCGACGAATTGAGCACTTCTGGAAGTGACGCTTCAAGATATCACTGCGAGAGAAGGTATCCTTGCAAAGAACACACATGTATGGGCGGTCACCGGTGTCTATAAAGTTCCCAAAAAAGACGCGTCATTAGTTGCATGATCCAATAGAGAGAGAGAGAGAAAATAAAAATAAAAAAGGAATGAGGGGGAAAGTAAAGAATCTGTTACAGCCCAACTGGCAGATCGCCGAGGACAACAAGAATTAAACTCACGTCTGAGGAGATGGCGCTTAAGGTGCTTGGCGTGGAGGTAGGTCTTGTTACAGTGTGGGCAAGGGAATTTGCCATCGGCGTCCTTGGCGGGAATGGTAGTGCTCTTCGCGGCGCCATTGACACCGTTGGCGACCGGAGTCGCGCGGCCCGGGACACTCGGCAGAATACCACGGCGGCCCTGAGAGCCCACGACCTGCGTCCGTGGCGGTTCCTTGGCCCCGTAAGGTGAGCCATTCGCGCCATTCACGTCGGGACCCATACCCCAAGACTTGCCATCGGAGTAGCTGAAGGCTCCGGAGGGGAGACCATTGAAGTCGCGACGGTCACGGGGGGGAGCGGGAGCAATTGGCTGGGGGTAGCTCTGCGCAGATGACGCGGGAGGCAACACGCTTGGGGGCGGGGGGTAAGACTGGTGGCCCTGTGAATGATTAGGATGCGACAAAAATGACGGCGGCTGACCACCGACGGTCGTGTGCGGCATGATAGGGGCAGTCGATCCCCCGTACACGTCGTGAGTAGACGCGGGATAGCGCGAAAGGTCTGGCCGGTATGGCTGAGCCATGTAGGGATGATGCGGCGCGGGAGACTGAGAATGATGGGGCTGCAGCGGGGGCAGAGTGTGCGGCTGAGACACAGGGTACTGCGGCTGCATCGAGTATTGAGGCATAGGCATACTCGAAATAGGAGTTGACAGCGGCGTGGAACCCTGAGGCAGGGTAGTGGAGGGAGGCCGCGAAGGGTGCGATCGGGGATCCATCTTGATTCTTTTTTTGGGGATTCGACGGAGTTGAAGGGGAAGACAATGGGAAAGCGCGTATTTGAGGAGGGAGTGAAAGGTCTGGATAATCGAACTCAATCAAACGATCATCGAAAATCTATCCGCAACTCTCTCTCTCTTTTTTTTTGCAAATTTTCACGTCCTTCTCGAGGGGGGTGTTCACGGGTGTGAGGATTTTCAAGCTCCTTGTTTTCAGCAAATTTTCCGGAGGCGGAAAGGTGGCCAGGTCACGAGGAAGATCAATTGATGTATTCTTTTGACTCCACCACAAAGGTCAGTTTATCAGCAGCCAGGAGGAGAGAGGAAAGGAAGAGGCTTTGAGGAAGATTTCCCCACGGTCACCCACCGAAGAAAGTCGTGTGGGAACTTTTTGGGTGTATCCGCACGTTGTCAGCGTCGATGGGTTCTCTGTATCCACCAGGGAAGCGGGCGTGCAAGTGGGTCTCTAACTCGCAGCACAACAACTAGTTCAGATCTGCTTCGCGTCACGGAATGTTGATGAGATCTCTTTCCCCCGGAATGAAGAATCAATTTGATTATTAGTGGTGGAAGAAGATCAAAGATAAGAATTTTCACTCGAGTTTTTTCAAAAGAAAAATTGTGATGGGGGAGGAAAAAAGGAAGGGAAATGGGGGGCGGGCAAAAGTTACCAGATGGTTACTAAACCAAACTAAATGTGTTGCAAAAGGGAAAAATCTCGTAATCAAAAAAAAATTTGAGAAAAAAAAGAATAAGAAAAGATTACCGTATTATTACAATACGGTATAAAAGACGGGAAATACCAAAAAATCAAAAAATCCGGAAAAACGGATTGAACCATTGATGAGCCTAAATATTAAGAGAAAAAAAGTCAAAAGGAATATCATTATAATTCTTGATGCCCAAATGTTGATATAGCTATCATCTTCTATTATATTCATGAGAAAGAAAAATCATATTGAAAAATTATAGAATTGAAAAAGAAAAAAAAAAATACTAAAAGTAAAGTAAAATAGTATTGACTCAGACATACCGATAATCCTGGTTCTCCGATGACGATGGGCGCGGCCGTCTTCCGAAGACAGGAATGACCGTGAGCGCAAGCGGAGTACGTGGACAGATCCGTCTATAAGAATATGCGAGATCAATCGGAATCTATGTTTTTTTTCCGTATTCCGTAGTATTAGGTATACTGAGGATAACTATAGCATAAAAAATAAATGTTTAAAGCGCAAAAATAAAAAATTACATGCCAAACATTTGAATATCTGTAGTTTGTGACCATGATATTTGTGATTCCCGATTACGGCCTCAGTGAAGTTATACCACCTAGGCACACGGGGCCGAGTACCGAGTATACCTTCCCGGTGATATAATGATTGGGTGAGAGCAATTGAAGAAATCAGATCGGTGCCTAGGCGAAACAATTCTCCAAAATAGTAAGCAACAATTCAGATAATTACTCATAGTAATCAATCGGTTACTTAAGAAGCCGAATTTGTAAATGTAAATATCAGCGTGATCTATACATGTATAAGAGAATCCCGAGGTTATGTACGGAGTAGTAAATATCATAATAACTTTCTTGTAGAGTATAGTACCCATATGTATATACAAAGTACCACCTATGGAGCATAAATAATCATCTTGGAACCACATAAATTCTACTCCGTATATCCTCCAGTGGTTCCCAACTTCAGTCCCATTGGAGAGGGGTTTACACGGGAGAGCTGGAGTCACTGGAGTACCTGGAAACACTGGGGTCGCTGGAGACTGGAGACTGGAGACCTCCGTTCTGACATCCTGACCCTGGCTCCGCAGTGGCTTGACACGCCCCGCAGGTAAACAGATCACACATCTCATGCAGGGAGATGCAATGCCATTGCACACTTTGCCTCTCTGCTCAATCAGAGCTACGAAAATGCGGGCCTCCAAGCTCCCTCAAGCTGATCGCTCCAACCATACGCTAGTAACTCGGAACGAGTGCACGAACCGAACGGTCGAGGTCCCTCGCACTGATCCCTCAACGGGTTGGCCGCACGTCATCCTTTCCCGACGCGAGAGCTTTTAAGCACTACAACGTGTGAGCCTTGAATAATCCAGGGAAGAAAAGCAACGAGATGTTCCTAGATATTACCTTACCGTGCAGCCTAATCCAATAATGGTCTCCTACCCCCATGCAGACCTGCAGGCTGTGTTTTCTTGGTGCATGCAGACGGAACTTCTCCCTATGAGAGATCCAAGCCCCGATTATTTTTCTTCTCGTACCCGAGCCATCATCTTGGTTATTTTTTTTTCTTTCTCCTTCTCGTCATATCATGCATGTTATATTGAATCACATGAGAGTAAGTTTGTTGTCAATCTTCATATGCTCAAAGCTGGTTCTGTAACATGCATGCCCAAGACTAGTACATACTTTAGTGGATGCGCCGTAGCCGCCTTCTATGTACTGCGCCGGAGCCGGATGGCTGTTCCCCATCGACGCTACTGTATCTCTACCTAACTGGTACTTCAATTTGGTACTTTGTAACATTTGGGGTTTTATTTTCCGGCATCAAAAAACTTCAAACATATGGTCCGCAATAGTGCGCGGATTAAAGTAAAAATCAAAATTACAAAAAGAGGGAATAAATCGACCACAATCAAAATTACTCTGTACTATGTACCCCTGGTTACGAGGAATGAAATTATTCCATTATAAAAATATAAAAGATTCCTAAAAAGAATTCTGCATAAAACCCGCTTATTGGACCGCGTGTCTAATTCCGTATGTGAGTTCCGGCTTCGCTGAAGTTCGCCCGATCTCGACCATTATTACCTAAAGTAATATCCAGGGGTTACTACAGTAAACACCATGTTGTCTCATTCTTACTGCCAGCATCACCCCTGGATGCAAAATGATTTGATATTTCAATAATAAAATAATAAGATCTTGAGTAAGGAATAACATAAGCGAAACTGATATTGTTCAGGTGTACAGGTACCACCCTGGCCCCTCTGTTCTCCACCAACAGAAATTCGTAAGAGCTTCTCCCGCTTCGATTGTGGACCTGCAAAAGGCTTCGACCAGGGTTCTGCAGAAATAATCAATGATCGGATCTGACCATACCTCGTGACCTTCTTTTGAAACTATCAGATCCTGAGCAGAGTCGACCGTGAGATCCGTGCGAACTGAGAATTAATTCCGTCCTTTTGTCCACGGGTTAATTCTTGGTATTAGTGACTTTGTTACCAAGCTACGACCAAAAAGGCAGGCCAGATAGAAGAAATGAGTGTGAAAGTGACTAGTGAGACAGCCTCTCGCTTAACCTTCTAATTTTAATTTCGGTATGCGGTGGTTGCGCGCTGGCTTCGGATGGCGGTTTCCGGGATAAACATTTTGGACTACTATGTAATGTGGCTTGACTATACTGTGTATGATTCACGGTGTGTTCAGGTCCTCATTCAACCCCCTAAATTGAAGTTCATTACGTGAAAGGAGGGTAAAATAGTGGAATAGATCAAGCCTAAAAAATTATAGTGTATTTATTACGGCAAAATATTCAAGTGACTAGTCATAGTATGTACTAGCTCTCCGTACTCCGAAGGCAGAGTGGACATCCGAAAACTCCATCCCGGAGCAATCATAGGTTAAAATCAGTTCTGTATCAGGTGGACTCCCCCCATCGGCAGCATAGCCGGGAGTTGGCGAGCTCCACACCCAGGGGCTCCCGAGACGGTTCGGTCCACGAGAAGTTGCACTTACGGCGTTAGTGATGCCTTAGTTAGGCAAAAAAAACAAAGGGTAGGTGAGAGAAAAGAAAGGACTAGCGGATCCCGCTTCAAAACTACGGTGAGACGGTTTTCCGGATCCTCTTTATTCCATGGCAAAGGGATTTACCTTTTGTCATAGCTATACCGTATGTCCTCCGTATGGATACTTTCAACTTTGTTATAGCTTGACGCTGCAGAACTCCGCCCTCGAATCCAACACTAACGTAGCGCAGAGATCCCCAATCCACTTAAGGATCGGCATGTACGGAGTACATACAATCATTTTTTGGGGGCTTTTAATACTATTCGGAGTCTTCTTGTGGTTCCCCTTTTCCCCTTTACTGCTTTATGTCCGTATATTCTACGGAATAAAAGCTTAAGTCATTTTGGACCCGCGGCAATCCTCGTCTATCCCCATATGCCGTCCCCCTTTGCTTTTTTGTTTCGGGTTCCCCGCCAGTAGGGCTACCTTCCGACATTGAGGTCACTGTACATTAACTACTCCGTAGAGGCCCATAACGATGACAAAATAGCGCGCGCCGGGTTCTACGATCATGTAGATCCCCGCTTTCTTGTCTCCGCTCTCATCTCGGCCGAACTGGTAGGACCTCACGAGGGCACGAGAGCACAAGAGTTACAGCTTGGTATAGTATACAAAAGAGTCGGGAGTCTACGGTAGAACATTATACCCTGGTAACATACCTAGGTATAAACGGAGGAATTCCGCATAAGACCATATGGTGAACCGAATGGTCAGATCGGTATAGAGATTTATACAAAGGTACACATCCGACCTGCCCAACCCGTAACTCATCCGAACTGGGAGCCTTATCCCGGCAGAGGCCGGAAAGCAAACCTGAAGCCAAGTCCGGATCGCCGAGTTTCAGGATCCTCTATAGCCAATCATATAATCACACGGCCCCCAGCGGACGAGAGGATTATGGGCGCCACCCACCTCATAGGTTAATAGGCTCATTAGTTAGTTGGGTCAGTTGGGGGGGATTTTTTTGCTTCAAAGGTCCTTGGATGCATCCCGCTAAAAAAAAAAATTGGGGTCGAAACGCGCACATCACATGCATTCTCTACTCCGTATATCGAATATTACAGCTTCGAATGTACCATGTGAGGAGACTAATTAAAGATCACATCGGAATACTCCGAGTCTTCAAGTTAAAAATTTCAATAGACCGGAATAATGTATTATCCATGTGCTTGAAAGGTGGATCGGTGACATTGATTTTCCCATCGGGGGGGTTAGGGAATGCCCGCGGAGGTTGTTCTCATTATTATTAGCCGCTGTACGGAGTACCGTGGACTTGGAAATCCCATAAAGGCAAAAAAAATGAGAGTAAAAAAATAAGATAAAATATATGAAAAATATCAAAAATTCAATTTGAGATGAAATAGTTATATTTCCAGTATTCACAGTATTCAATGATACGAGAATATTTAATGTTATGAGTTACGGAGTACAGGGAATTTCTTTGCCCCTGCCACTTGGCCACGTCATGTGGTTTTCAATAATCTTCCATGGAACCGATATTGAAAAGAGACTCATAATGAGGACTTGAACTTCAAAGAAAGGGTTCGAATTGCATATGATTGATTGTACCAGGTTTAGTAGAGTTAGAGGCAAACGATACATCAAAAGTCGGAGCCGTGGATTGTAATCCAGCAGATTACTGTTTGCAGTTCCAAGGTTATGCGTAATTGGAATGCAAGGCGCCAAGAAGAGAAGGAGATAAAATTAAATAATAATAAAAAAATAAAAATAAAAAAACCGCAAATACAAAATTAGGAAAAACCTGAAATCTGAATCTAAATCATAAATGTCCATGGCTGCCTGAGTTATGCATGCCGACTACGGCGAGATCTTGTCTTTCATGATTGGGCATTCGGAAGCCTAAGATGCAGCCTCTCTCCCCTTTAGTGTACACTCTCCGTAGTTGTTATTTTGTTGAGAGTGGCGGGAGGAAAAAGCCCGAACATTTCCAAAATTTGAATTGAAGAACGGTAAAATTACAACATTAATACCGATATTCTCCCCGACCATTATTTATGAACCATAGAATATCATTCTCATATGACGATTTTGGCCCCAAGAGTTCTCTTGTTTTGCCCCAGTACAGCTCGCTTACCGCGATAATTAACCCCTCTCTTGTATGAAATGTTGAAATTAATGAAAATCGGCAAGAAAATGGGTCCTCCCGATTCAGGAACAGTCGCCAAAGATCCACCAGCAAGGAACTGTGGCGAAGACCCGAATGTGGTTCCAGGAACCGCATACATCATCCCTCGGCAAGATACGCCAGTCGCAGTAACCCCCTGACAGTGTCGATCGGGTACGGCACAGCATCAGCCGTGTTGCAGACAAAGGAGGTCACGAAAAATAAATAATTTAGAAAAAAAAGGTTGAATGAGACTGAATTTAATTCCTAAATTAGGAAGGCTGTAGAATTCGAAACCAGATTCAATTTTTTTTTGTTTTACCAAGAATCCTCCTAGAGAGGTAATTTCTCACCGGTTGTCTAATTTTCCAGTTCGTATCCATGCCAGCACTTCAGTATGAGAAAAAGGAAAAAAAAATTACGGAGTTATGGATATACATAAAAAAACATCGTGAGTATTATTTCGACATAACTTCATCTGGACATCAAGTTCAATAGTACAAAGTATACTCTCTCTACCCGATCGCTATGACATCGAAAATCAACTATTTTCAATGAGTGTATTTTGGTACACACCGTATTTCGGATTTTCCTCAGATTACCATGATAATTTAAACATTCTACCCAGACCTATAGTACGAGATTAATTAAGACAAAAAGCGTTATTGGAGATAGAGTTCACCATCTGAATAGAACCAAAAATGTGGATCCGCATATTGCGTACCTCGTGTCAGGGGGGGGGGGGGGAAGAAAGAAAGAGGGGATGTGGATGCCCCCCATCTGGAGTCAGTTTAAGCATATCTGTGTGTCCCATCGACTTATTTCTCCGTTGCATCCATGTCCAGTGCCCACCGCACAGCTTGTGGGGACTTGTCCAGGGGGCCGGTGGATCTATTCGCAGGATTCTCCCCGGGGATCCCAGCGTTCAAGATAACTGTGTACAGGGTACTTGGAGGGGTTGAAAGAGGTAGTCTTCGGCTTTGTGTTTTTTGTGAGACACGTGGCGGTTTTCACTTGATTATCTGTCGTGGCTGGCTCTGATGTGTCCTAAGCTTCTTGATTGGCTTTTCAAATCTCGCTACTAACGATATATGATCCGCCGAGTTGGGTGCTCTATGGTACCCAATACTTGAAAACTCTCGAGGGTGATCGCCCACTTTTTAGCACTTGCATTGAGTGGGCTTGGGCATGGGTACCTATTGTTTCTTTTTACGATTGTGGGGATTTTAGTATTTTCGGCGTTTGTATACACATACTACAGGATTCAAGTGCTGCAAGTTACTGTATCTAGTGATGGTAGTAGACACAGTACTTGAGTAGTATGCCAGATTTTCTTAGCTAGCAAGATCACTGTGCATACATACGTGCCTGAGAATTACAGTCAAAGGTTAATAATAATAAGATTTGAATACATAGAGCCGACATACGCATGCGCTAGCGTCAATGGCTAACTTAATTGATCGCAACGAGTACTGCTGGCTTCATTATGTACATAGCACTCTAAGGGTTGCGCGTAGTAGGAATGCTCAATTGAGGTCTAATAGGAATCGTAAGACCTATGTAGATAAAATAACATTAGAAACCCCCTGTCTCAGGTACGTCGCTTAGCATTACTAGAAGTTTGTTTTGGACATGATACTTTAGGGGATGTTCACTGTTTCCTCTTTGGGATTAGTGGGGTGACAGTAGTGAGATTCTCAACCGTGTGAAACCATCCTGATTCCTACTTCAATCTCACACTTAAGTAAAGAATACGAAATCTCAAAATATGTGTTCAATCTATCTCACTTTGGGGGACGTTATGTACTGACAGTCTGACATAAGAGCATCATACATCCAAGCCCACCTGGGCAGGTAGCCCTAGTACTAGGTACACTGGATAGTACCACGACAACTTTTGATCCCTTCTAGTTCTTGAAAGGTAACCCAGAATTCTGTCTCACAGCCCCATAAATCCCAGTAATATCACCCCGGACACCCATCTCGGCTTTAACATCAGCCAAATAAGCATCCGCAGACTGTACACCACGCATAGTAGCACCGACACTCGCCGCCATATCCATCGCATGGCGTGCATCCTTTCTCACAAGATCAACCGCAAAAAGCGGCTCAGCGCGCTCAAAATAATCACCACTGCGCATTCTTCCCGCATAAGCATCATAAGCACCAGGGAAAACTGCCTCGATAAACTGCTGCAGCGCTTCAGTTCCCAGTCCCGACTTCTCTGCAACAACCATACCCTCCGCAATCGTCTGCACCATATTCAACACAAAGGTATTTCCCGGAACCTTAAGCTGGGAGGCCTTGCAAACTTCTTTATCGCGGAACTCGATGTTCGCTTTCGATATCACGCCTGTCGTGTAGGGCTTCAGGCGGTCAATGGATGAGCTGGGGCCTGCTAGAACGCAGATTACTTAACCTGCTTCTGCCATGGCAGGGGCGCCGAAGACGGGACTAGCGACGAAGGAGGCACCATGAGCTGAGAGAGTGGTTGCGATTTCGGTGGTGGTGTCTGGGTGGACGGTTGAACAGTCGACGAAGAGCTTATTCTTGGCGTTTGGGAGGGATTCAGTGATGGTTTCGCGGAGGGCATGGTCGTCACTTAGACAGGTGAAGATGATGTCTGAGCTGGTGATAGCATCATCTAAGTTGGAGGCGACTTTGATGTTGGGATTTGCTGAGGCGAAGGTCTCTGCGCGTGAGGTCGTGCGGTTGAAGACTGCCAATGGGGTGTCGAGGGGACCCTGTGTAGCGAGGTTCCTGGCCATGCCCTGGTTTGGTCTGTTAATTTATGGACTTCAATGTGTTCATATTGGATGGAATGATATCTCACCCGACCCATGTTGCCGAGGCCAATCCAGGCAATTCGGAGAGCCATTTTGTGAAGTATATATACCATAACCTGAGAGGTCTAGTTGAGAACTTGAAGTTCAGTTGATCAGATGGTGTTACTTACAACAGCCAGAGACAATTGAACATAATTTATACTCGTAAAAGATGAGACAAATCCACTCAGATCTACTTTCCTGCTGATTAATTCTAATTGAATAGAATGATTCCAAAGCCAAGCTCGATCTATATACAACCCGAAAGCGGGTTAGACTCCGCAGTGGCGGAGGGTGGAGCAGGAGCGGAAACCCTGAAGATCGTCTTTTTTACCCTCTTTTATTAGAAGATTGGTCATCTTGAGGATTTTGAAAGAAAATTTCAACTTCTGAATAATCAGGAAAGTGGATCGGCATTAGAAACTTGAAGTTCTGTATCGAAATGAATTAAAGAATGGGAGAGCCTCGATGTAGATAGTATGGTTCGCACCGGACTCCCACTATATCATATATAGAAGACAAATTAAATGTAAATGCACCATAGCACTTCATGTACTCCAGCCAGGATAAAGGAAGGGAAGCCTAGATACTCTTAACGCTACTTTGGAAGAGTATCATCAGACTTATCTGACCCCTTCGTTGCCTCCACTTCCTGAGCAGGGGTAGGATCCACACCCTCATTGATTTCTGGCTCATCATGGATATGGTGAATCGCATGCTCCACATTGACCTTCGGACCAGTGAACCACTTATGGGCATCAACAAACCACCAGATCAGAACAACGAGCATCGGTCCACCATACACAAGACAAGTCCAGTTCATCAGATCTGGGGTAAGGTCTCCTTTTGTGACGCTGGGCAAGCACAAAATAGGCACCATGAGAGCAACAAAAACGACTCCCATACCACCAATGAAAGGCCCATAACGACCAAGGTTCCAGGGTCCCTTGCGGAAACGGTGACCGACAAAGAAGACACGAATGAAGATAGGAATAATGAAGGCAACGAACTGAGCAATGGCACCGATAGAGAACAAAGCACCGATGGCAGTGGTTCCAGCCAAAATCAATAGGCACATGAAGATTCCAAGGACAGAATTGAGAACCACAGCGTTAACGGGTGTCTGTGTGTATGAGTTGACCTGCTTCCAGTAATTTGAAAATGGGAAACAATCATCGCGAGCATAGGCATATGTCACACGAGAAGCAGCAACCATACAACCCTGACCCATAGAGAACCCACAAATAATAGTCAGACAAAGAATACCTAGCGCAGCCTTCTGTGGCAGAACTTGTAGCAAGTATGATGCCCACGGCTGTCCGAGTTCAGAATCGATAACGGCTTCGATATCGGTCACGGTGTAGGCAACTACTAGTTGCAGGAACCAACCCATAACACCACCCACACCAGAAGTCATGACAATAGCGCGTGGAGAGGCGACATTAGCATTGGAGCATTCCTCGCTCAGATGAAAGGGCGAGTCATAGCCTGACATGGTCCAAATCACAGCAACAAAGGTCATGAGGACGGCAACACCATCGGGGAAATCTGTTTGGTTCGTGATGTGGCTCCAGACCTCATGAGATGAGGTGAATTTGGGACTGTTCTTTGCAGCTGCAGGAATGACGATGAGAGTCACCACAAGGGCGAGGACATTGAATGTCGAGCCCCAGGAGTTGAACTGGGCGACTCGCTTGGTGGGAAGACTGCTGATAACGGTATGGATGATCATGATCAAAACGGTGAGGAGGTAGATCTGCCAGTTTTGTGGGACATAGCTAGGATTGGTTATTGAACCAGCAGCTAGAATCATTGCGGCCAGCGCATAGTCGACTGAGGGAGCTGCGGTGATTTGACCGATCCAGTTTGACCATCCTGTAAGCCAAGCAGCGAAAGGGCCCCAACCAGGAGGCGCAAGGACGGCAGCAGCATAATAGAGTCCACCACTATATAGAAGAGCATATCTAAGTTAATATCACATATTTTCTTGATTCAGATATCATCACGAGTATAGCTGGTTGACATACCTGGTGGGCATAGCCGAGCACAGCTCGGCCATTGACATAGCAATACACTGGATGAAGACCATAGCAATGAGCCAGCCCCAAACCATACCTGCTGTACCTGCATATCCCAGCCCTATTCCATCCCGAACCCCGTGTTAGCTTGTGTGGATACCCGAGGTGAGACTTTGAGAAACATACCATAATACATTGTACTCGCAAAAGAGGGAAGCAATCCCAGGACAGCAAAGCTGACACAAAAGGTTGTCCACAGGGAGAATTCACGTTTGAACTCTTGTTTATAACCCAGGGCCATAATCACTCGCTCATCGGCGTCCAGTTCATGGTCTGCATATGGCACGTCGCCATCCGCAAGCACAGAGGTTACCTGGGCATGCTGGAAATCATTATACGCCGAGGGTCTTCTATGTGTACCCGAATCCAAGGATTTAGATCCCATTCTTGGGATTGTTTCCTCCACTGCCCGTGGAGGAATTGATATGAGAAGGAGATGAGAATGTATAAGAAGATTTGATTATAAATGTGTAAACAGCGAGATTATGAGTTATCGCTCGAGTGCACATGTACAGATATCGGACTGTCCGACATGACCACGGGGCTCTGGCTTTATTTAAATGAAGTGTGATCAAGGTTTCACAAGTCTCGCGTCTAGGGGCATCTGTGTGGTTATCTATGACGGCGATATAGCAAGGTTGGCTTATCCCCGCGCTATGATTACCATGACAACAACGAGATAACTTTGTGTCAAAGAACCAACCACACTCCGTGAAACTGATCTGGTGGGACCATAGAAAACAATCGGAAGCTTTTATGGAATGAGGGGTGGCACAAAACAGGGGCAAAAACGGGATGGATCGAGCGGCAAGAAGACCGCATGGGCGTTTCTCCACATGTTGACACAGTCTGATAACGAATCCTGGAGTATCACATAATGCAATGCAGTCAAATAAACTAATTGATAGACCAATCTCCGTGAAAGCCGCATCCTGGAAAGACTAGGGAATCCTTTGATTTGGGCACAACGCATGGACTTCTCCGCACCATAGACCTTGTGATTCGTGGTCCACGAACTCAAACGTCTTGCTATTCGATCAAAAGATGAGATCCGTGCTACCCCGGTTAGCTTGGCAGGAAAGCTCCCTAAACTCATCAGGGAAACTCCAGGCGTCGAGACGAGAATTCCTTATCAGCCGAAGCAGAACAGGGGCCAGAGATAAGCCTGATGGCGTTGGGCTGCCCATATATCAATCAATCCTTATCTACGTCACAGCATGGACCTTCCTGGATAGGAGAAGCGTATTTTGATAATATTTGAACATGTCATCACAGGGCGGATACTATTCTGATATCAGATGAAGCTGAAGCTCTGATATACTTCGTGCTCGTATGGTACTTGATACTATGTACCCAGGTTGTATAGTCCCGACTTGGAGGTCAGGACTCGGACTTACCCGAATAACCGAAAACTCATGAAGGTCTATAAGGTATCAATGATATCCACTGGCACAGCATTGAAAGAAGATAAAACCATGAATTTGGTTTGAAACGGTTGCCTCTATGTGCTATTCAAAACATAAAAGACTTCATCGATATTCTACACACGTCCTCCCATCGCCAATATTGTGATCACACGCGCTCCAGGTTTTTACAATCCCCAAAAAGATAATTTAGAAGGGCTATGACAGGAGTTAGTACCCAAACAGAGCGAAATACCTGAAGATGAAAGAACTTACGTTGTCCTCAGGGGCAATGGTGCGGTCGTAGTAGGTGTCCAGGAAGGGGAACTGCTGGAGGATGTCACGGCGGACACGGGGAACCTCGCCGAGCATGAAAAGAGCGGCGGTACCGGCGAAGACACCGAAGGAGCCAGCAAGAGTACCACTAAAGTGAACCGTCAGTAAAAAATCTCCAGTTATGGTGATAAAACACCGAAAAAGGTTGGGTAAGCTTACGCCTTGACAGCGCTGCTCAGATCGAAGCCAGCAACACGACGGGGAATGGCAATCCTGCAAACATAATATTAGTTGCTTAGTCCGGTCCAGTGCTATAAATATGTCGACTATCAATGGTCATCTCCCGAGATGTGAGGTATTGTACCGACCGCACCGGCCGCGGCAATGATCAAGCCATCATTAAGCCACACTTGATAGATAAGTTCAAGGCAAAGAGGTAATCCAAAAGGGTCACTCATCAAAGCACAATTCCTCATCTAGTCCGCTGGCAATCCGGCCTTGTACACCTTCCATCTCGGGATTTTGACATTTCAATGTCGAAAGACGTCGGGTTCCGTTCGGGGAGGTCTCACTTGGGGGCAAAGGCAGAGGCGGTGGCCTGGGCCGCAGCGCGGCGGAGGGTAGGAGTGAAAACCTATAAATTAAAACAAACATCATTAGCAATCTGCTCAAGGTGGTGGTCGTACGTTCCGCGCCCATCCCGAGGTCATATTCAATGACGCGATGTGTCCAACTTGATCCCGTATCGAGGGGAGTCAAGGGAGATCTCGAATGGATCAAGGGAACTTAATGAGAAACAAGTCTCTATAACCTCAATAACGTACCATTGTGTCAGCGAGGGCAAGTCGTGGGAATTGCTGGAGGGACAAGGAGCTGGCACTCTAATGTTCGAGGTCGACAAAAACCGGGAGTGCCCGAATAGCCAATCAGAAGCCGAGCTTGTCTCCTTCACGTGAGCAAAACCCAATTGTCCAATCAGAGGCCTTATAATTGATTCAAATACTCATTATGTACTACAAGGACATGGTATATAGTACTCACTTATAGTCTATAATTAATCTACTAATGACAGAATGATCAGGTTTGCGGAAATGTGTTCTGAGTTCTTTATGAGAAAGTAAACAATAAAAGAAATAGACGTATGTGCTTCAACACCCCCAGGTTCGGACATGCAAAGACCAAATGGAGACTGCGCATAATGAAAACAGCCTGGAAATCAATCAAATACAATTGAAAAAGAAAGAATTATAAGAATCCGTGCAGCCAAACACCTGAACTGTACATGCTCTCATTAGTCGACTTTTCCTGTCGAGCCTCCATTCAAGAATCCCTCCTTGCCATCCAGGTGGAAAAAGCCACCACTACCGTTAGAATTACCAAGAATACCGCCACGGCCGAGACCGGCACGGCGAAGTAAGCGGCCACGGCCAAAAATAGTAGCCACAGCAACAACCAGACCAAGGAGAATAAAGAAGAGGATGGGGTGACTGCCAAGGAAGGAGCGGGTGTAAAAGAAGAAGGACTCCAAGGTGCCAATGGTAGACTTGGGGGACAGCTTGGGAGGCGAGGAAATGACCAAAGGGATGGTTTCCAAAATTGAAGTACGCGAGGCCATGATGGTAGCTCCACTAGAAGCAGTATCCCAGTAGCGACGGTTCTGGAAGAAGAAAAGTTAGTCTCAAGAGGGAATAAATACAAAGAGGAGTGTTCAAAGGAACTTACATCTTCATCGTTGATGATCACACGGTCACCATTCTCAACATCAATACCGTAAGTGGTGCGCAGCCAGCGCTCCCAGAAGTCACCATCGATCCAGGCAAAGTGAACGGGCTTCTTGTCATCTTCACGGATGGTGATGCGCATGTTCTTGGCAGCTCGTAGAGCGCGCTGGTCATTTCGGTCATCAGCTTCCTCGATACGCAATTGCTTGGCATCACGGAGTTCAGACCGCTCCAACCGGAACAGTTGAATCTGTTTGTCCATCCACTCAGAAGCAGCTTCCTTCAGCTCACGCCGGGACTGCTTGAAATCGTCGGAACGGCGACGGCTGAGAATTCCAAGAACAATGTATTTGCCATCCATAATCTCTCGAGCATTTGAAGCTGTGAGTTCTGGGACAATTGGTAGCCATACGGTCTGCATCCAAGACAGAACTTGACGGAAATCTCTCATGTCCTTGGGGGCAAGCACATTGTAGTAGTTAGGACGTCCATCACGGACAACCAGGAGACGGGGCCAAGTCGAAATCTTGAAGCGCTCCGCTAATGCAGCGCTGTTGGTCTTAACGATCCGAGCATGACCCACAAGGCTGAGGGTAAGACGATCCATGGCCGCAAAGTCCTCTGAGGTAGTTGCGTGATCGTAGAAGTACAAAAACAAGACCTCCTCAGTCTCCTCCAGCTCCTTGAAAGTAGCGGCATCCACATCCTCAATTTCCGAGTAAGGGCCAATAGCCTTGTTAGTGAAAGAGAGCAGATCACCCAGGCCACGCAGACCAGTGTACTCCACTCTTTGTCCACCTCGGAAGAAGTAAATAGTGGGGAAGGCATTCACCCGCGCATCCCCGCAAAGCCGGGTCTCAACGTCGCAGTTAACTTCGCCAACATTCAGAACATCCTTCATTTCCTTGGCCATCTCCTTCCAGTTAGGAGCCATAGCCTGACAGTGAGGGCACCAAGGGGCGTAAAACTTGATGAACCAGGAGTCCTGAGTGGTAGTCACGAGCTTCTGGAAACTCTCGGCAGTCAGAGGAACTGAAATTCCCTGCGGGTTGGGAGGCGCGCTCTTGGGCTTCTCCTTTGTGACGGTGATAGTGCTCGACTTGGTATCAACGGCAGAACCAGAGTCCTTCTGGGATGCCAGTTCGTTTTGGTTCTCTTCATCCTTTACAACAGGAGCAGAGGGCTTGTCATTGTCATACACTGAGTCCGGTTCAGCAGAGAAATCCACAGTAGTAGCGCCAACCTCGGGCAATTTGATGCCCTGCGGAGGGCGGGATCCAGGGAAGAGAGTCTCGAGTTTTTGCTCAATGAGCTTACTCAGATCGTCAATCTTCTTCGCGCCAACAAATACATCCTTCTGTACACCATTTTCGTAGAATCCAAAGGTCGGGTAAGCGGTAATACCGAGTTTCTCGCAAAGATCTCCGTGGGCCAAACAGTTCATAGAAGCGAAGTGGAAGTTGTAGTGTGAAGTGAACGAGTCGACGGATTTTGGATTGGGGGGTCTTGCCGGATGTTGGCGCAATGGGATTTGAGGTCTAAAGTGATATATTAACACGACGAGTCGAATCTATGAAAGTAAAGGGGAATCAATCACTCACATAATAGTATTCATAGGTGGTTTGGTAGTAGGGCGCAGCCTTCCTACAATGGGCACAGGATGGAGAGTAGTGTTTAACCAACCTAAAAAAAACAGTCAGAACCAAAACGATGCCCCTCATCCTACACTAATAACTGGACATAAGGAGTACTGACCAAGTGCCATCTTTAGTTGCCTCCTCGAAATTCTCCGGGGTCAGCTGAAACAGCGGGGGCACATCCAACCCATTGAACACTGAGGGCTCTTCAGGGTCGAGGCCCTTGCTCGATCTCTTCTGTAATCTATTGACACCGATCGATTCAACGTCTGAAGATGCGGACGGTGTCGGAACGGCCAATAAAGAGATGAGGGACCATCCTAGCCAGGAAGCCCTCATTTTTGCGGAAATTTTGGAATCAACCTCAAGGAAGGGTTTGAAAAGAGAGTACGGAGTAGAACGTCGAGGCTAGTTGAGACTATTAAAACGAAGGACGGCCGTCGAAGGGTGCAATTACGGAAATATCACAGGTGGCACATCGGACAACGGAGGGGGCGAAAAGTTGCGCAGGATGGGCGCGGAATATCGAAAAGGCGTGGAAGTAGCAGGGATGGTTCACCAAGCCCTGAGCGGTAGAAAGAAGACAATCAGACAACACACCAAAGGGCCGGCTTGAGGCGCGTGAGTGAAGATAACAAAAGTAACAAAAAGGTGGCTTGCCCCTGCTTCTCACGGTTACGGAGGAACTTAAGTTAATCCGGGTCCCGACCGTCGAACTTGCTCCCTGACCAATTGGGCTCTCCGCAATCAGCAAACCTCCCCCAGTTCAACATCTCAACCCACCATAATGAGGTCTACACTTCGATTGTTGGCCAATGTCAAGCCCCGGTACCTGGAGCCTTTTGCTCCTACCGGATTGACCGGTCTCATCACCCACCCGAGTCCCCGCCCGACTTTGATCTTCCTTTACACCAACACCCTGCAAAAGCTGCAGTCCTTCCCCGAATCATCCGCCTACCGCAAGTCCGTCGAGGCATTGACCCGCCACCGTCTCCAGATTGTTGAGTCACAGAAGCCTCCCGGCTTTGATGCGTGGTTAGAGCGCGCGAAGAAGACCGTTGGCGCTGAGCCCGAACGATTCGCTCAACTTCAGCTTAAGAACGGCGCGTTCGCCTACGCCGCTTCGCAGGAGCGGGACTTCAGCGATAACGCCCGCGGTGAGGAGTGGGATGGTGAGACTCTGTCTGCTACCACTGAGGGTCCTACCCGTACCGCGGAAGAGGAAGCCGAGTGGGTTAAGATTATTGAGGAGGGTAGCGAGTCAGCCAACAACCACTCTGACTTCCACGAGGTGGCCATGAAATGGGAGAATGAACCCGCTCTGGAAGCTTCGCAGTATGTTACTTATTGTGCAGAATTACCGGTATACAGGATCGGAGACTAATCCTTGTAACAGAGTTGCCGAGATTGAGCAGCAGATTGGTGCAGGCCTGATCGAAGAGATTATTCAGGTTGCAGAGGCTGAGTCGAAGCTGGTTGATGAGCTTCACAAGGCGCAAGTGTAAGTTCAATCCAAGTCTTGAATTTTCTGGCTTAGATTGCTGACTGCTTATAGGTGGGAGGAACTGGAAGAGAAGCCCGCTCCTGGTCAGTGGACCTACTTCGAGCGCGGCAATTAAGTGATCGCGGAAATAGGCTTATAAGCCAAGTTTCTGTAACTATTAGAGGAGCGGATGTTCGAATAAATTCCCTTGTTTTACTTTCCAATCTCTAGTATTTTCAACTTCATGTTTTGGCGAATGAATGAATTTTATACTCACATGTACAAAACACATGGATGCGTCATGATCCCAGTTTATCATCTCTCCAAGATCAAGTTCTAGCCACTACCACTGACGATACAGTTGAATTCAAGTGCTTTACAATGTAGACTTGAACTCCAGGGCTTGACGCTCCTCCAGTGACAGCGTGAGCTTTAGTTCCCCTCATAGTACGGAGTATGTACTATATACCCACTATTGATAGTAGTACCTAGCATATATTTGAAGGCAGTATCCACATCATGATGTGCATTTCCAAGATACGTCGATACTACCTACATAGATGCATTGATTGTTACAAATAGGTTATCCATCTCAATCCATAAATTGACAATCTTTATCTGTCCAACTTCCATCAACCTATACTGCGTACTTCACGTGGGTCAGATCTCGAATCAGGTGGAAGGCGGTGAGCGCGGGAATCCCTTGTGGACACATACATTGTCCCTGAACGCCATCAAGCTCACTTTCCAGCCTGGAAAAGCTCGATATTCCTCTCAATCGATCTTCTACGGGTACAGAGCTTCATCTGTATCTAACCTTTCGGGCTCCCTGAGCGGCTCGCCGATCTTTCCTTGTTCGTGTACGCCAGACCGTCGCATCACACAAACACTCCGTGCATCCCCCACACAACATGCGGCTCGACATCAAGGTACGCCGATTCATTCAATGCCGGGGCATTTGTCTCAGACGGCATGAGAGATATGACTTTGAGGGATGGGCATCTTCGGAATTGGTGGATTGCTGACGAGAATGGTATCATATAGAGGCAGCTCTTTGCCCGCTCAGAGCGGGTGAAGGGTATTGATTTCCACCCCACAGAGCCATGGGTAAGTCTCATTTATGATCCTTGAGGTGCTCTCACACTGACGTTTCAATAGATTTTGACTACATTGTACAGTGGTATGTTTGAGGAGAGGCGATTTCGCAAGCTATACCTCCTGTATGCTAACACTTCACCACAATAGGTCACGTTTACATCTGGTCATACGAGACACAGGTATGCTCTGAGACAGTCAATTGTGTCGTCAATAAACTAACAAGCCCATTTTAGTCCATCATTAAAACATTCGAGCTCACAGATGTCCCCGTTCGCGCCGGTCGATTTGTTGCGCGCAAGAACTGGATTGTTTGTGGATCGGACGACTTCCAGCTTCGTGTGTACAACTACAACACCTCCGAGAAGATTACCTCCTTCGAAGCTCACCCGGATTATATTCGATCAATCGTTGTTCACCCAACCCTCCCCTACATTCTCACCGCCAGTGATGATATGACGATTAAGCTGTGGGATTGGGAGAAGGGTTGGAAGTGTGTCCAGGTCTTCGAGGGCCACAGCCATTACGTGATGGGAATGTCGATCAATCCCAAGGATACGAATACATTCGCTTCGGCCTGTTTGGATAGGACCGTTAAGATCTGGAATCTCGGCTCTTCTCACGCCAACTCGACCCTCGAGGCCCACGAAACCAAGGGTGTCAATCACGTCGACTACTACCCAGGCGCCGACAAGCCCTATATTTTGACTACCAGCGATGACAAGACAATCAAGATTTGGGACTACACCACCAAGGCCCTTGTTGCCACACTGGAAGGCCATACCAGCAACGTCTCTTTCGCATGCTACCACCCCGAATTGCCTGTGATCATTTCAGGTTCCGAAGATGGAACAATCAAGATTTGGCACGCCAATACCTACCGCTTGGAGCAGTCACTTAGCTACGGCTTAGAGCGAGCATGGTGTGTTGCTTACCAGAGGGGCCAGCAGGGAGTCGCAATGGGTTTCGATGATGGTGCGGTTGTTGTAAAGATGGGTCGTGAAGAGCCTGCTGTGTCAATGGATACATCCGGAAAGCTCATCTGGGCGAGGAACAGCGAGGTTGTGTCAGCTGTCATCAAGGGCGGTGATGAGACACTCAAAGATGGCGAACCCCTTGTGCTGCCAACAAAGGATTTGGGAACATGCGAGGTGTACCCTCAAACTCTGACCCACTCTCCTAATGGACGATTTGTTTCCATTTGCGGTGATGGCGAGTATATCATCTACACATCACTGGCGTTCCGCAACAGATCTTTTGGACAGGCATTGGACTTCGCTTGGGGCTCCAAAGACAACAGCAATGACTATGCTATCCGAGAATCAGCAACTAGCGTCAAAATTTTCAAGAATTTCAAGGAGCAAACTGGCGGCTTAGATGTTGGCTTCCAAGCAGAGGGCTTGAGCAGCGGCTGCCTTCTTGGTGTTAAGGGCCAGGGTGGAATCGGTCTGTTCGATTGGGAGTCTGGCAGTCTGGTCCGAAGAATTGAAGTTGACCCCAAGGAGGTAAGCTCTGCATCGAGGAATTCTTTTTCAGGTGTGGTATACTAATTGTTAATTGCAGGTCTACTGGTCCGAATCTGGCGAGCTCGTTGCACTGGCATGCGAGGACGCTTTCTACGTCTTGCGATACTCAAAGGAGGCATTCATTGAAGGTGTCAACAATGGCGAAGCTGATGAAGATGGTGTCGAGGCGGCTGTTGAACTGGTTGCTTCTATTAATGAAACCGTTGTTAGCGCAACCTGGGTTGGAGACATTTTCAACTACGTCAACTCCGCAAACCGCTTGAATTACCTGGTGGGTGACCAGACTTACACAATCTCCCACTTCGACCAGCCATCATACATCCTGGGATACTTGCCCCGAGATGGCAGAATCTACTTGATCGACAAGTCCCTTACTATTACTTCTTTTGGACTCTCCCTCAGCATGGTCAGCTACCAAACCGTCGTGTTGCGAGGTGATATGGAAGCGGCCGCGGAGCTGCTTCAAGAAGTGCCTCAGGATCAGATGAACAAGGTCGCTCGCTTTCTCGAGGGTCAAGGATACAAAGAAATTGCGCTGGAAGTCGCCACGGATCCGGAGCACCGTTTTGACTTGGCTCTGTCACTAAACGATCTTGAGACTGCCCTTCAGATTGTCCGTGATGATGCTAATGTCGAGAACACACACAAATACAAGAGCTTAGGAGATGCCGCGCTAGCTGGCTGGAACCTTGCTCTTGCTGCAGAGTGTTACACATCCGCTAAGGATGTGGGCTCCCTTCTTCTTTTACATACTGCCAGCAACAATCGCGATGGTCTTCGCGCCTTGGTTACTCAGGCTTCGGAGGCTGGTCTTCACAACGTTGCTTTCTCTACCCTCTGGTCTCTTGGTGACGTCGATGGTTGTATCAATCTCCTGATCCAAACAAACCGAATCGCCGAGGCTGTGCTCCTAGCTCAAACATACAAGCCCAGCCGCGCACCTGCGCTCGTTGTCAAGTGGAAGGAGTCTCTCGAGACCTCGGGCAAGACCAAGGTTGCTCGTCTGATTGGTGTTCCTCCCGGAGCTCCTGATGTCGTGTCAACTGACGATGACTTGTTCCCTGAGTGGGATGAATACATTCGCCTTGAAAAGGAAGGTGGCGTTCCCGAGCCCCCATCATCGGAGTCTCTCATTGATATCGATGCGGATGATGACCAGGAGCCCGAGGCCGAAGCCGAACTCGAAGCCGAAGCCGAGGATGAACTCGAGGAAGAGGCTGAAGCAGAGGGTGATGAGGAGTAAAAAGATCAACTCGGTTGTATTCGTACGTTCTCGGGCGAAGTGTTGATAGAAGACCATTTTATTCTTTCCGATTGATGCGAGCGGCGTCTTAACGTGCTTCTAACTTTTATTTTATTATTTGATTTTCTTCTCTTCATTTTCTCTTATTTCTTGTTCAAGTTTAATTGCCGCACAACTACCTAGCCTCGATCCTGGTAGTATACCTGATATCAAATAGACAATGATAACGTTTGAAGTCTAACCTAAAACGTCAACCCGGTCTCCATAGGATAATTTCCATGTGCTACCCTCTCATGATCATGATCATTGCAAAATATTCCGGAACCCGAAGGGATAATTGGACGAATACTCGGTAGTAGAGATGCTCGACTTCAGACGACTCGGAGGCCTTAAGCATCAAGATATATGGCACTATCGGCCACATCTGACTGTTTGAATTACACGTGGCATAGTCTAGTATTCGATGTATGATTTGGAAATTGGACAATCAACACTACTGGTATCCAAGTCCGAGTCCGCGATACTACTACTGCTACTACTACTAGTATGACCGTGACCCTTGCATTGACTACGTGATAAACTACTCAGACTACATATACTTTAAAAGCCCAACTACGCTAGAAACTTAGCTCAAAGAAAATGTTGGCATTGTCAATTGTAAAATGTCAAGAGTACGGGGAAAGGCATTCTTATACCCAAACATACATAAGACAAGGACAACACGACAGGTAAGGACCGCTTGAGAATGTCGAACGAAAAAACAAGGGTGGAAGGAACCTGCCTAAAAGCGATTTCGATGACGCTGAGATGGAATCACCAGGAGACAAACATGATCAAAGCGCTCAATGGGGGAAGAGAGTGGGTGGATGAGAGGAGGAATGATATAAGAGGACAGGGAAAGGAAACAAAAGTCTCGAAAACTGAAACAGGCTCCGAGACCGGGATGCCGCGGACTCCTTTGGATGGGAAGGAAACAAAAGACAAGGCAGAAAAAAAAGGAAGAGATGAATGATCAAGATTGGTGATATGTGGGTCGAGACAAAAACACAGTACAAAGGAGAATCGTGTCTATGTGGCCCTTCTTGCACATCGATTGTGCTCGATCTAGTCGACGGGACAAGCAGCTTGCGGCAATCCCTGGTTTAGAATAGAATTGTTTTGCTCATTGATTCTTCTTCTTGATTTACTCGGGAATGCTGGCAAATGATGGGTCTTTCACACTGCCACCGGCGTCGCCAAGACCAGCCACAGGACGGTTATACGACCATCCTACAAACTGTTCCTGGACAGTCGATGAGAGGGCAGGACCATCAACATATGAGTCTTGAGGCTTCTCGGATGTGAATTCATCGTCAAAGTTGTGCGTATCACGAGCATCCGACTTGATTAAGAGCGTTAGTATATATTTTATTTTGAATGACACGGGGAAGAAGGGTTAGCATACCACATTAGGACGGAAGCTTGGCTCATACTTCCGCTGGAGAAGCTTGCGCCAATCAATGTTGGCAAAAAAATGGTGAGACTTGATCTCTGCAGCACCATTGGCACCAAGACGGCGCTGGGGATCGCGGTCCAGCAGTCGTGTAAGGAGATCCCGAGCCGCTGGTGGTACAATATCACTGCTGGGGAAGGTCAGGGGTTCCTGTAGAATCTTGCGGTACATCTCATTGACGTTCTCATCATAGAAAGGTGGCAAGCCTGTCAGCATCTCATAGAGCAAGACACCAAGAGTCCACCAATCCACGGTCTTGGTGTAACCGTTACCAAGCAGGAGTTCAGGAGCAAGGTATTCGGGAGTTCCACAGAAAGCTAGCGTGTCTTGGTTAGAAACTGGAAAAAAACGGTCTAAGGTAGAACGGTATAAATGCTTACTGTTTGTTCGATCCTCGTCCTTCATATCCAACTTGCACAAGCCGAAATCACACAGAGCGATGTGGCCAGTGTAATCAAGCAGAATGTTCTCAGGCTTCAGGTCACGGTAGATGACCTTGAAACCATGGAGACACTCAAGGGCACACAGCAGTTCGGCAGTGTAGAAGCGAGCGCGGTTGATGTCAAATCGCTGTTCCCTTTGCAGATGATGGAACAACTCTCCACCGTTGACAAATGCCAGCACGAAGTACAACTTTTCTGGTGATTGGAACGAGAACTTCAGAGGAACGATGAAAGGATTGTTAATTTGCGCCAGCACGGAGCGCTCTGCGAGGGTGTGTGTTACTTCAGATCGGGAGATAATATGTGCCTTGCGAATGGTCTTCAGGGCGTAGATTCGGCCGGTATCTCTCTTCCTGTTCCATGTCAAAATGATGAGTCAGTCGTCCAAAAGTAGAATATGCAGTGATAAAAAAGGTATTGCATCTTACATGACCTGCATGACTTTGCCGAAACTTCCCTTGCCAACAACCTTCAACAAGTCGAAGTCCTCCATTTTCAGACTGCGCTGGCGGTTCTCAACGAACGACACGCCAATCTTGATGGAACCACTTCCAAATTGAAGGTCAAGCCACTCAGCACCCAGCTGACCCTGGGTGCGCTCCTGCTCAGCATGGGCGGCAGCGGCTTTCTGGTTATCCTTCTTGCTCAACTTAGGGTCTTCCACGTAGGGCTGGCTGGCCTCCTCGAAGCGGGGTTGGACCTTGACGGCTCCCAGGAAGATGTCCTCACTTCGGCCGACACCGGTTCGGGCTGCAGGGTTACGCAGGTACAGCTGGACATTCAGCTCGGTCTTTCTGGAGACATCGAACTTGAACGCTGTGTTATCGCCTGCCCATAGGGGGCTTTCAGGTGTACCCGACACGGCGTCGACAAAGACCTGGTTCTTTTCGAAATCGAGCAACGCATATGGAAGGTACTTGGTGGAGTAACGGCCGTGGATGGTCGGTGCGGCGTTGATACCCCCACTGGTGGACTGTGGGCGGGCTGAGTTCACATAGGAGCCACCTTGACCATGAGAGGAATGCGAAGAGGAGGAAGTGCTGGGACGCAATGATGAGGCGGCGTAGGAGTTGTTTTGGAAATGAGAGTTAAAGATCTGCTGAAGTTGCGGGGAGAGAGCGAGTCCCTTTCCCTCGTGGAGAGTGACAATGAGAATACCGGGGTTCACTGGGGCCACGGGAGGCGACACAAGAGACTCTGAGGCAACTACAAGATTGTGAGAAAAGCACGGAGATTAGCCTGAAGCCCCTGTGAATATAATGCTTCATGAAGTCTTCATGCTTTCCATCTTACCAATGCCATTTGTCGAGGGGGCCTGAGAAACACTCGGGGCCTGGGCAGTCACTGGGGTCTCATCACCACCGCCATTTGAGTCTCCCTTAATTGTAGAAGTAGACGAGGAACGACCGAAGCCCTGAGTTAAAGGGGCCAGGTGCGTCTCCTTCAGTTCTGGTAGTAAATAAATTGGTCAGCCACATAGTTCAGCCCCTGAAGTCCTCAATGTTTCACAACCATCCGCCTAAGGAGGGGTTGACCGATTGAATTTTGAGGGGAACAAAGGACATGGAGAGGGAGACCAACTGAACATACTTTTGGTGAGCTTCCAGGACATGATGGGCGGTCTTGTGAGGTTATGATTCTTGTATCAGTTGATTTTAACAAGATCGAATACCAAGACCGCGGTTGTTGTAGACTGGGCCACCAAACAAGTCAACATCTGAAAGTTCCCTTTTTGAAACCACACCAACGGGACAGGATCAGCACAGATGATCCTACCTGTCTCTTTTCTCTCACTCCGTCGAAAATTTTCTGAAATTTGTTGTTTTCTTCTGTTTCCCCCCCTTTGAAAATATTGTTGGTAAGGGAAAGAGTGGCAATGATGTACAAACAAAGTATGGTGAGAAGGAAGATGTCCAGGGGAGAGAAGGGGGGGGAAAGTGGCGTATGGGGGATACGAAGATTCCCCTCGGGGCTGATTGACACGGGGGCTCCTAAGTATGAAGATGGGGCCAATAGGGCTGTAATTTTAGTCATAATAGTGTAATATAATTGTATTGGTAAAGTTACCAGCCACATGACCGGGACAACGACTGCGCCACACAGTCAATGGAGACTCCAAAGAGCATTCCACTCTTGATGAACCTCAATTTCGGAAACTTGATCAAATCGTTACTTAATACCAATTTTTCTGATTTTTCTACAATTTTTTTCTATTTGTTTCTTACCGGGATTCTTTCTTGGAATCCTTGTTACCTTTGGACGAATCGTATCTCCCCGATCAGATCATCACGCGGAGATCTTACCCCAGCTATCACACCTCATCACCTCCTTCCTTCCACCCCCAGATCTTATCTCCTTCCATAATTGCCCTCTCAGGTATCTGGAGGGCGACTTTGGAATTTCGCGACGGCTTCGGATTCAGTGGAGGATGAAAGGACCCAAGGATCGATGGGTGTAATACGCAAGAAGACCGCCTCGCGCGGCACCGAGGCTGGCACTAAGTTCCACTGTGACGTGTGCTCTGTTGATGTGACTTCGACTGTGAGTTGCGCCGTTGATTTTCTTTTTTTCTTTTTTGCTTTCCGACTGCTTGGAGAAGTAATATTTGTTGAAATGAAAGACTAATGGGTTACTAGGTCCGCATCTCCTGCGCCCACCCTAGCTGCCATGAATACGACCTCTGCGTCCCCTGCTTTGCCGCCGGGGAGAAATCAAAAAACCACGATCCATCATCTCACCCCTTTCAAGTCATCGAACAAAACTCAGTCCCTATCTTCCAGGGAGAATGGGGAGCTGATGAAGAGCTGCTCTTGCTCGAGGGCGCCGAGATCTACGGACTGGGCTCCTGGGCCGATATCGCCGACCATATTGGTGGCTATCGCAGCAAGGATGAGGTTCGCGACCATTACATTGATACCTACATAGACAGCTCAAATTTCCCACTTCCCGACCGTGCCGACCCCGACGATCACAGTCTCCAACAAGCTATACCCAAAGATGAATTCCAGTCACATAAGAAACGGCGCATTGAGGAACGCAAGGAAGCGGCAAAGGCAGCGCCGCCTACAACACCGAAGCAAAAGCCAACCGCCAGTGTACCGGCATGCCACGAAGTGCAGGGTTACATGCCTGGTCGATTGGAGTTTGAAACGGAGTTCCTTAACGATGCGGAGGAGGCGGTTCAGCATATGGCGTTTGAGCCCGGGGCGGGTATTAGTGCCAATGGAGAGGTAGACGCCGAAACCGAGCTGAAGATGACGGTCGTCGATATTTACAATTCGCGACTCACAGCGCGTACAGAGCGTAAGAAAGTGCTCTTTGAGCATAATCTCCTGGAGTACCGGAAGAACACCGCATTAGAGAAGAAGCGCTCGAAGGAAGAGCGAGATCTCCTTAACAAAGCGAAGCCTCTAGCTCGGATGATGAACGAGAAGGACTTCGAGGAGCTTAACAAAGGACTAGAGTATGAACACAATCTGCGGCTAGCAATTGGGCAGCTTCAAGAGTGGCGGCAGATGGGCATCGGAGATCTGAAGACAGGCGAGAAGTACGAGCAGGATAAGCAGCAACGTGCTCAGCGAATGATACCTCAGGGCTCCTTCGATCGCTTTGCTAGTGCACGCCCGAAGCAAAACCAGATCTCGGAGACGCCATCTGCGGCTCTTCAGCTCATAACCCCCGAACTTCCACTTCGTCTTCAAACTGCTGCAAGCCCACACAAGCAGCCAGACTCTGACAATGAGCCCATGAATGACTTTGATCGTCTCTTCGCGATCAATGGCGATGCCGCACCACCAACCCCCGCGAAGACGAAATACATCATACAACCACTCAGTGGAGTCTCACCCTGGAAGCTGGATAGCGAAGGGGCGGCAGATCTCCATCTCCTCACAACGGAAGAAACTGAAATCTGTAACGTGCTGCGCCTGATGCCAAAGCCATACTTGGTCATCAAAGAGACTCTATTGAAGGAGGCTATGAAGCAAGGTGGAAATCTGAAAAAGAAGGATGCTCGGACGATTTGCAAGGTGAGTTCTCTCTTCATCAGTTATAAATTCAGCATTTCTCCTCATACTAATACACTCACTTAGATCGAGGGCACCAAAACCAGCCGAATCTACGATTTCATGGTACATAGCGGATGGATCAACAAGAGCTAGCTTTGATCCTTGGAGAGGCTGTGGAAGCGTCTCTGTTTTCGATATCCACGCCTATTTGTAGCGTTTTTGTTTCAGGCGTTCTTGTGAAAGATGGGTGGAATTGATTTGTGGATATATCAGGCACTGGGTGGTAATGATACTCCAATATTATGACCTTAACTGAACTTCAAGTTGCACACTATCACTTCGTAGAAAGACTTCTTGTACAATATTTCGAAGACCACGGGAAGTACTAAAACACTACCTAGGTAGTAATAATCCTGGTGAAACGGAATTATAGACCGAAACAATGGATCAGTGTGGATATAGATACCCGGCTCTCCACATCGGCCCTCGGCATCTCCATCTTCTCCGCACTGAACCCCCAACCTCATTTACCTACTTTAAAATGTCGATGTGCACACTGGCAATTCGCAATTGAATCAGACCTAAACAAACTTACTACAAGATTCTATAAACTCTTGCACATGTGAGAACCTTCTCTGAATCATTCAAAATGTCGAAGTTTACTACGCCACCTCCAACCCCGGAACATGCACTCCTCTCCTTCCCAGCACCATACGTCCTTCTGGTAACCCTCAACCGACCTCGCGGGTTGAATTGCATCAATTCGCAAGGACATGTTGATCTGCATGAAGTATGGGAATGGATGGATGAGGAGCCAAGTGTGAGAGTGGGCATTATCACAGGGACAGGAAGGGCTTTTTGCGCAGGAGCCGATTTAAAAGGTACCAACTTACCAGTTGAACATAATACCGCATCTGCTTCCAACCTGCACCTATCCTTCGACTTATAACACAAACCTTGAGCTTCCTTTTTATCTTACCTTGACCCTTAAGCTCCACCGAACTACAACCCTCCCAATATCCCCATCTCCGCATATTGAACTGACCCATTTACCTACGAATTGAAACTAACATCACGCAGAGTGGAATAACCGCACTACTACAAATACCCGTACGACAATGCCAACAAGCGGGTTCGGCGGTCTAGCTCGACGAAAAGGCAAGAAACCCGTAATAGCAGCCGTAAATGGACTCTGCTTTGGCGGCGGTAGCGAAATGACCATCAACAGCGACATGGTGATTGCTTCTTCGCGCGCTGTGTTCGGGCTACCTGAGGTAAAGCGTGGAGTAGTTGCCCAAGCAGGAGCGTTACCGCGACTTGTTCGGACTGTGGGTAAACAGCGAGCGATGGAGATGGCGCTTACAGGTCGGAATATCCTACCCGAAGAAGCTGAGAGGTGGGGACTTGTTAATGAGGTTGTGGATGTGAAGGGTTTGAGTCAGGAGGAGGGGAATAAGGTGGTTGTTTCGAGGGCGGTTGTTGTTGCGGGGTTTATTGCGGGGAATAGTCCTGATGCGGTGCTGGTTACTAGGGAAGGAATAAAGCTGGGTTGGGAAGGGATTGGGGCGGATGAGGCGACGGGCATGTTGAGTGAGACTTGGATGAAGAGATTGAATGATGGGGAGAATATTAAGGAGGGGTTGAGGGCTTTTGTGGAGAAGAGAGCGCCTGTTTGGAAGGATAGTAAGTTGTAAGTGTGGTATTGTGTGACACTGGCATTGCCTGTCATCAATTGGCAGGCAGTGATGCTTTAGACACCCCAATAACCAAAATCTGATTATAGAACTCCGAATCTTCCAAGGCTATGTTAACTGATCAATTGAGGCATTTAATGTAGATTGGTGCCAGCACTGAGTGAACATGTGGTAATGAATCTGTAGTTCTTTGAGGCACATGGGCCATGGCCACCCGAGGCTTGAAACACATTTGAAGCAATGCCAATGGTGGAATTGGTATATTCAGACCACCAATTACTCTCAAGCTGAATAAAATCCATTGCAATTTCAAATGTTACATTCAAATTATGCTGCAACGGCACGGAGTACAGAGACCCGTATGGACTCGGAGACTAGAAGTATTCCCACATCCATGTCAAGGGTCGGAGAATAGCGGGAATATAGTAACTTAGAATCATCACATTGCAGAAAGGTGACGAGGCATGCATGATTTAATACTTCCTGAACTCGAGTACAATTCCAAGGTTAACATGATAAATTAACATGATAAAGGAGTTGTGTTTACCCGGTGTTATTCTATAGGTGGGATTCAAAGGTGGAACCCTGGGTACCTGAAGTCACTTTTAGGCTACTAATTGCGTATGTATTGCATCAAAGCTAGTCGGGTTAGGAACAGGGCCGAGGTATCTTGATCACATCCAGGTGGCTGCATGGTGGCTGCTACAGATCGTGGGGAAGAAGGAAAAACAAGGCACACAAAACGCCGCTGACTTAATTGAACTACAATGTACAAGAAACTTCATTTTTTATAAAAGATTTGTTTCCATTTCAAAATTCAAGGCTCAATTACGCCTTGCTAGTCATAGTTATAGAATCATAAAGTCATACCAGAATAAAAAAAAAAGGAACCAACAAGCTAGCTCGCCGACACGCCGTATACCTATGCCCAGGCTCCATGCTTTAGCAAGAATCAATCAAAAGAAATCCCATCAGATACGGGGTTGTCCAGCTTCCCTGTAGAGAATTCATCAGTATGGAACTCCACGTTTGCAAGAAAAAATAGTCCAAGACTTACTTCGAATCGGACTGTACCAGGTAAACTATGTCCACCACAGATTGGAACATAGGGTGCGAGCGTTCCAAGCCGGTCAGTTGGACAGTAGCATCACCGGGTGAGTTTTCCTTGAGAATCTTGGCTAGTTCCACACTTTCCTCGTCGCCCTCAACGTTCTGGAAACGGAGGGCCATTTCGACGGAACCCAGAAGAGCCTGGTAACGAGCATGACGCTCAGCCAACTGAGCAGCAGGGCCAATGAATCGCTCCTTGCGACCCAGCTTGCGGATCGGGGCACGACCAACACGCTCAACGCTGTCTTCCAGATACGGGTTCGAGATACGGCTGATGATGGTCTCGACGTACTTCTGCTGTTCGCTAGCAGAGATCTCATGCTTGTCGACGATCAGCGAAGCAGTCTCGTTCAAAACATCGCGCACCACACTCTTGATGTACGGGTCACGCACGGCCTCCGCGATGGTGGCCTTGCCTGCGTTTTTGCCATAGTAGGCAGCAGTAGCGTGGCTGGTGTTGACAGTGAATAGCTTGCGCTCGATGTAGGGCTCGAGGTCGTCGACCCAGTGGATGGCGGGAATATTGGGGTGTCCAACATCGCCGAAGGGGGTCTTCTCAACGACCCATTCGTAGAATTTCTCGATACGAACGTTCAAACCACTGCCTTCTGGTTGCGCGGGAACGATACGGTCAATAGCCGAGTTGGCGAACTGGGCACGTTCACCGAGAGAATCCAGTCGGGCCGAATCAGTGTGATCCTTAATATAGCCGTGCAGAGTATCGGTACCGCCAATCATGTTTTCGCAAGCAATGACAGCCAGGGGCTTAGGAGTGGAGCGGATGTTGATTCCCTTGGCGATTACGGGGGCGATAAATTTGAGCACATTGGGGCCAACGGCACAGGTGACAATATCAGCGGTGGAAATTTCCTGAACAACATCTTCTTCGTGGGTCTTGGAGTTGATGGCACGATAATCGGTAATCGTCTTGGTGTTTTCACCGTCCTCACTAACTTCGGTGACTTGGTAGGATTTGGTGGATTGCAGGGCAGAGATGATGTTGTCCATCACATCAATGAAAACAACTTCATAGCCAGCAGTGTGCAAAAATTCCGCCACAAAGCCACGGCCGATGTTGCCGCCGCCAAAATGGATAGCCTTCTTACCCATGATTGGAGGAAAGAAAATTAATAGAAAGAATTAAGGAAGTAAGACTTGATGTGAAGGGTAAGGTGGGTGGCTGATATGCAGGGGAAGGATTGGGGGGGACATGAGAGTATTTATAAGAAGAGAAAAAAAAGGATTGAGGGGTTTTTACTGTTTATGGTTTTGTATAATGTAAAAGGTGTATTTATTTAGAAAGAGCCACCTACTCAAAGTAGCAATTACCCAATTTCTCACCTTTCCCATCACGGTTGCCGGTTTATCAAAAAAGTGGATGACTTCATCGATCCATTATATGGGGGCTGCGCACGGAACTCTTGTCCGCCTTGTTTCATGTCATTATGATTGTTTCTATACTAAGTAGACTACTAGTACTAAATTCTACATTCTACCTTGATCATTCATGAAGTATTTCATTCATTCTCACGATGTTCTGAGATAATTTTACAGTGTAACTGAAACCCATAGTACAACCTGAGCCCAAAGGCGTACATACTGCATTACGTCGGGACCTAATCGTGTCCACTTTAACCCTTTTTGGCCCGTAATTCCCCCTTCATGCTATTAAACTAACCAGACTCTATTATCATTTGTTCATTCCATTCTAAATCCCCTATCAATACACCGGCCGACGAGTATAGAACGGACATGAACAGATTCCCCGGGTTTCCCCGTCTACAATGAGGGACCCTCAAATCCCGCAAACTTGCAACACTCCATACAACATCGTCACTTTCGTCATGTACATTCTCCGCATGCCCGAACGTTTCCCCGGCCTCATGAACCATTGGCTGAACGTGGCTTAGCCCAGGTTACCCAACCTATGACCCCAGGCTATACTAAGCCATCCCGGAGTACTGTGGTCCTACGAGACTTTGCGGGCTTTGCGGCGCTGACTAGGTGGCATTCAAGGACATCGCATCTGATACGCGATAGTCGCACTGCATCTATACAACTTGATCGACCCTTTTGTTTTTGCGCATTCTCCACTTTATCACGGTAACTAAGATCATGAGTAACGCTCTCGTGATAGGTCATTCTTGTCCATCAGACCCAGTTTTTTTTTTTTTCATTTAGTCGCAGATGAGTACTTTGATCATCCAGGGGAGGATTTCGAGTTTACTCTATCATCTAGAATCCTCCTCGCATCATCGGTCATCTATGCGGGTCTCATGTTTCTTTGAAGCGGGGGGACATCACCCAATCCTTGGCTTAATTGATCCTGATACCGTAGAAGGTTCCCGAATGGCTTCATCTATTGGTTAACAAGTTAGCGCCGGATTTCCTAAGGATCAATACTCCGGTGAAATGGAAGTCGCCGGGCATCAAGACTAAATCAAGACTAAATTTGAAATTTGGGGGGTAGTATACTAAAAAAGACTTGAACTTACTAGACTCCTGTCATTTTTGTCACTCTCCCGCTTTATGGTTCATATCTGATTGGTTTGAAGTGGTTTCATTCATGTGGCATTATCATATAGTCCTCAAAAATATTCAAAACAATAAACAAAAAATAGAGAGGAAAAAACCAAAAATTCCTACATGTCTTTATTCTACATTGTACGAGTTTCCCCGAACTGTGCATCATCGTCGGATCGTAATGCGCTCAAGCACTGCCGACAGTTCTCGTCTTTAACCCCGCTATTTCAACTCGTCTACCATTCATTGACTCGCCCACTCACACCAAGTCTCATTTAGCCCTCTTCCTCATCTTTGGAGACAACCATAGGCTCTTCCTCCACTGGCGCCCGGACAAAGACATTAACGAAACTAGCGATACTCCCCGCCAGAAGTAGGCCAGCCGCAGCCCAAGTCATACCGAGGAACTTGTCGCCGTATCTAGCCGAAACGTTCGACCCATCCCCGTGGGCATTAATCAAAGCCACGAATTCAAAGGCGACAACCGTGGCAATAATAGACGCTATACTCATACTGAGGGATCCGAGCTAATCACATTCAAGTTAGCCAGGTCACTTTTTTTTCTTTACTTCTCTCGTTTTTGGGCTCTGCCACAACGCAAGGTATAATGCGCGCAGAGGTGCGAGCACAAAGTAAGGATCAGGAGATGTGGCTTACCACTAGGAACCCAAACTCAAATAGTCCCTGCTGGGCCCTATGCGCGATAAAGGATGCCACCCGGGCTAGGAGTACGGCTCCTATGGCACTCACACCGATGCAATATAGCACGGCCATTGACTGGGTAGTCAGTCGGAAAGCATGAAAGTCATCGCTGATCACACGCGGCCATTCTAATGTCGGGCCATGTGTGATATCGGTCCAGTCTTCGGTAGGATCAAACGAGAAGAGTATTTGGCGGTCCGAACACTCAGTTACATTGCGTGTGCCGCCCGGGGTACCTGGTTCAACTGTTCCCAATGTCCCTTGGCAGTATGACATGACGTGGATGGAATAAAAGGCATAGGTATCTGAGGTCAAATCGCCTTTTTGGGGTGTATAGCTGTGACGCAGGTGGAGAAATTAGCCTTTGGCACTGTATGGTTGCTTTTTTTCTTGGTAAATCCGGGGTGAAACATAGAGACGTACTGTTAGGAGGTCCGCATTATCAAGCAGGTTTCTTTGAGTCCCTGCGAATAGACATAATAGCGTAAGGATAAACGCTATGAATGCTACTATTATGGGGAAGAGACTCTTGAAATCAGGTCGAGCCATTTCTGATGCAGGTGTCAGCAGGTGTCAGCATTGCGGGGGCAGAGCCTCATCGTCATTGTCACCCACTTATACTAGCGACGCTCAAATAATATTTAGATGGAGACAAATAGAATCCTAGTCTTGAAGAAAGATCAAAGTCAGTATTGTGAAATTCATAGAAACGGAACGACCCTCACAGTACTGATATCCTTGTAATCCGTGATGCGCTCAACCTGCCCGACTCAGTGACAACCACAGATCTGCGATTCTGGTGTCCCTTCCCTCCTTATATCCCAGCACAACGCGATCGAGAGAGTTGGATTCGTGAATGCACGCCATCATTCCCTGCGTGGGCTAACAAGCAGGAGGAAGCGAGGACAGGAGCGATCCTGCATATCGAGTGGCTGTCATCACGGGGATAATCCGCCCAAGCATGTCTCCCGCGATGAGAACGATCGTGAAAGACATTGGACTTCATTCATCGGTATTGTGGGTCTTGGTGGATCGTGTTTGGTTGGATCGGAAGGGGTGAATCGGGTGATGGAGAGCTTAGCTGTTTGGAATGTTGCCCGCCACTGAGGATCTTGCACACCACTACCTCCACATTTACGTGTATGGAATGTCCTTGATCAAGGAACAATTCAGTAGAACATTATTCTGAGAGGCGGGGTAAATAAAGTATGAAATAATATGTCGAAGCCATCTGCTGCTAGTATAAGTACGGGGTTGACTCTCGATCCGGGTATGACATGTAGTGATACTCCAAGCCCACATTCCAGAAATCATCATCGATTCATCGACGGCGACATGTAGATGCCGATACTCTGGCCCACTTAAATCGACTCTCTCGTGGAGGTAGCTAGATCGTGAAATGTAGGGTAGTCTTGGTGAAGTGTAGAGGGACCCCCGGGATTCAAATATTGTGTCATGTTCCGCTTCAAGAATAATGATTACACCAAGTCTGAATTACGAATAAGGAAGACTAGTTTGAGCTTTGAAAGTGTTGGGGGTGCAAAGGGGTTTAATTGATGTATCTGAGGACCCAAAGAAGATAGGGGATCATAAGATCTAAAAGCTCAGAGAAGATATGCCCAGCAGCTAACAGGAAATCAAAATGGTCAAGCACAAAAAAGAAGTTGATGCACACCCCAGTCCACCGACCACTGCCCTCGTCACCTCTCGCAGCCCCTAGGGAAGCATTTCATAGGAAGTAATCCCTTCGCGGCACTCTTCACTGGGAAGTGTCTCTTAGAAAGAGCGGCAATCCCTCTATAGTGCAACTCATTAGGAACGACCCCCTTAGATTATCCCATCCTCGGAGCAGAAAACCCCCTCCACCACCCCCTCCTTAATGTGACCGATTTCATGCCTCGCCGCCCCCACAATGAAACTGACCGTTAGACGTTACAGACAGGGAAGTGAGCGAATTTTGACCACTGCTATAGAGCTATGTAAAGTTGAAGCACTGCCACGCTAAGCAGGACCCGTCAACGCGAACACCATCTACCGGCGAACCGGCGGGTAGACACTCATGGGAACATCGGAGCGCAGGAGGAGGCAACAAGTTCATAGATATTTGGTGGGCCCCAGAGCCTTAATAAGCAGGACCCGTCAACACATCAGGCCGATGCCATCATTTGCTCATGGGAACATCGGATTAAGGTTGCAAGCAACGCTCAGTATAACTGTAAAGCCGCAGACATCAGCTCCATCATGCCGGTTGTGGGTCCTCGCATCACACAAGGGAATATCCACCACCCCCGAGCTTCTTCTCAGCAGGTGCCATCAAAAAACCAGATATGTATCACTTCTGTTGACATTGGTGTAGAAGTTTGAAAGATTGATTGAGTTGAAACGGTGTGGGGATTGTTGGAAAACTGGGAAGGTCCCCAAGGAAAAGCATCAATGTAATGGTGATTGAGGTTGTGACTTGTTGATAAAACGCGTAAAGGGTGTTCGAGGAGGATTGAAGATTGGGTTTGCAGCTCTGCATTGGACCTAGGGTCTTGAGAAGACCGAACGCATCTCCTCTTAGCAAGGGTGTTGCTAGTGGCACCGTGGGCAGGACTCCGTAGAGCAATAGAAATACAAATCCCAGGACGAGACCATGGGCACGGAAGGCTCACCTGAAAGATGGTTGACAAATTGTTGAAAGTCTGGAGAGCCAGCAGATTGTTGAGAACTTGTGAAGATCAGAGATGACCAGGATCATTTGATAGAAGCCCATGGGGGAAAGCCATATAAAGTTGGTCGATATTGTGAACTTGTTTGAAGGGAAGATTGTATCAGGCCGGCGAAGACCAGAAAGTATGTTTGCCTAGAAGATGTTAGGCAAGGCAGCAGCCCGAGGCAGCAACTTGAAGGGGAAAAGGACCAGTAGAGTGAATGTGGTCATACCACCAAACGGAGACGCGTCAGAGGCAAGATATGCCAGGAAGAGAAGATGAAGACATCTGTAAGGCTGTGTTGGTGAACCTTGGCAAGACCAGGACAGGAGTAGGTTCATATCAGCAGAGTCAAGTCACATCAACAGAGAGTTGATATCATCAAGGTGGTTGATGACTAGCAGAGACCATTGTGTAAGATCCTTTTCCTAAGACCATGGTCAGTGAAGGGTCAAGAGAGGAAGCAGAGTGATATGGACTTAGTGAATCTGTGTAGACAGAGGCATGTCATGTCAACAAAGTGGGGTCACGTCAAGGTCAAGGTGGGGACGCGTCAATGGATGATACAAGACCATGGTGTGGAAGGGTGGAGGATGGGAAAGATATACAAAAAGAAAAAGTGAAGAAGTTGTTGTGTGAGGAGGGATGGTGGGGAAAAAGAAGAAGAAGAATTAAAAAGCCAGGAGAGATTTATTTATAACCTGGGGGGGAGGCAGAACGATCACCCAAGATCACGCAGGCTCCAAGATCACACACGTCCGAATTGGGAAAGACGACGAAGTGAGAGAGTGATCTCGCGTAAACAATAAAACCACAGCCAACTCACCATACTTAAGGATGTTTGCTCGCATCTGCATCTCTTACTTTGAATCGACCAATGGGACGCCAGGATCAGAGAATCGCGTTTCCCAATGAGGCTTTCTAAGCGAAATCACCGCGACTGAGATCGGACCAGGTGCCTTAGAATCATGTCGCATATCTGAGTCATGCTACTGATTCCCTTAGTTCATGATATAGCTTTGTCCCTTGAGACTGTGGATTTTGCCCATTAACAACCCATTCTCCCGCAACAGCTACGAGGAGAGCTCGATTGAATGTCCTATAAAAATACACACCATCTGGGCAGTTCATTCAGGGCGTGAACTGCCCCAGGAATAACGATCCTACATTTCCCCAAATAGCTTTGTTGACAAGTATTTTGCGTGCAGTATAGCGGTATGTCACCCAAAATGATTCATTAATGCGGTCAAAATTATGTCCAGAGCTGACGCCAAAAAGGATTCTACACACCTGGGCAGCGGGTCAAGTCCGTTCTTATCGAAGCTCGGACGAGCAAGCTCTGGAGGCTTCTCTGAGCTACAGTGGATGTACTTCATCTATTCATGGCTCTACAGTACAGTCACAGTCTTGCTTCCGAGCCAAATTGGGGTTCAGCTTCAATACTGCGCCTTTCTATCCCCGGCTCAACGGCCAACCCACGATTGCGTTCCGGCATTGAAAAGCTGTGGAACTGGCAGCACAATAGAGTTCTTTTTCAATAAAATTCGGTTAACTTTGGCATTGCTTGCAGGCGCAATATACTTTAAGACTTACTTTGAGACATAGTTTCCGGATATTGCAACTTGGCTCATATCCCAAAGCGTTTACAGCCTTCTGATCGACCATCACCCTTCTCAAAGACAAACGATGAAAGATTGAACTTGGAAATAGGTGGGCTCATTTTCACCCCTCTTATCAACAAGGTCCTGGTCACTGAAGTCGGACTGTTCGGTGCTAACTAAGTCCACCTCTTCCTTAAGTCCGCCTATCCCCGACCGGAATATACCAACGAATCCACAGGTCGACGTAATCTCTAGGTGAATCAAGAATATAAATATGCACTGCTAACACGGGCTATCTGACTTCAAGTTAACAGATTCAACGTCAGAGCATTCAATTCCAATTAAAACGCATTAGCGAACACCCCCAAAGCAAGTCTACAATCTTCAAGATCCAACATGGCACGCCCAATCCACCTCCCCAACCTCACCACCAGAGAGGCCATCCAAGATGCTGTCTACCGCTGCGTAATTGGTTTCGACCGCCATGACCCCGAGATATTCGAATCCTCCATGACAGGCGAGGACGCTGTTTTCGAACTCAAGATTGGCTCCGGCGAACCGCAGATAACCACCGGCGTCACTGCTATGAAGGAAGGCGTCTTAAAAGCTGTCGGTCCCCTGGATACCCTACACATTCTCAGCAATTTTCGCATCAATTACACAGAAGGCGCAAACACTGCTTCTCTGACGGCATATGCACAGGCACAGCACTGTCCGCCTGGACGGGGTGCTGAGCCGGACGGGCCGAAGTTCATGTCTGGAGGAGAGTATCGAGTTAATCTAGTCAAGGATGAGAGTGACGGGCTATGGAAGGCATCGATGTTCGTTGTGGATATTATTTGGGTACAGGGTGATTTTTCTGTGATGCAGTCTGCACAGTCCGGGTGAAAAATGTAGAGATAAATAGATTGAATATATTCCGACTCGGAGTGATTCAAGTTCAAGTCCAAGATGTTGCCATGGTACTAGGTACTGGTACGATTGTTTCAGACTCGGATGTCAATACTATCAATTGATATCTGAGCTCAAGTGCTGTACCTACATGTATGTAGGCCATCACATGTGCAGCCGATTGATTTTTTGAATATATCCATAGCACTTCTACTCCGGGTCAAGTGCTACTACATAGTAGCATACATATATAACCTTCAACTTCAAATGTTGAAGATGCACACATGTGCATGTGCATGTGGCTTGGCTTGGCTGGTTTGGCATTGACTGAGCCCTAATGGCACTGCACTGCTCAACTCAAGTGCTTTCAAAATGTTCAAATGTTGCAGGCGAGGAAGAGATAGTAATATTATCACACATGTGCATGCATGCACCTGCACACTGGAATCCATTTGGGCGGCTGAATGAAAACATTCTGCTGAGCACTCCAGGGCTACGTACTACTACTACTAGTAAGAATCTGAATTCTCAATGTACATACCTTTTTTTTTTCTCTAAATGTAGTATGATGCCCAAGTAGCCCAACTTGAAGACCGTGACGATCATCTACCATGATGTAGTTAAGCCTGAGCACACTCGGTTGTTTTTGAATGAGACGCTCGAAGCGCCTTATCCAGCCGATTGGACCATTATAATACCAAAATAAAAGTTACACGGGTTAGTGAACAGGATGACTCAGATACCTAAAAGTGGACTACCATTCAAGGCAACCCAAAAAAGACAGTTACTTTTCGTGAACTTCGTCCAGACCGGAACGCTTCATTTGTCGGATGCCATCGTTGCGGATCCTTGTGCCCCGCTGAGAAAACATTGAATGGAAACCTTGCCCACCTCTAACAGGGAGTCGGCTATGTACAAGATGGAATATTTTACGTACAATGATGTGTCAAGACGGGGTATGAATGTCTCACTGAGTCCATACGCCATGTGGCATGCCGATAAAGCTATTCCGTATTGAGGTGGAAGCTCATAAACCTGGGCCCTTGGCTCAAGATCAGCAGGATCAGGAATAGCTTGGGGCGCCTTCCCCAGTCTGGAAACTTTCTAGAAGGTGGCTGGGCTTCTGCAAGAGTCGGCATTCGGCTCGGCTGCCTTGATATCTGCGCCCAGTAAGAAAAGTCACTGCCATCCTTATTGGTTACAATCCCGGAGCTAGTCTTTGGTTTCCGATAATCATTTAATTCCGGTACTCCGGAATCTCGGCAGTCCCTGGCAGTTCCTGGAAAGAAGCTTTGATAGACGGAATACCCGCGTCATACTTGTAATCCTGAAGGCAACCCCCGCGACCGGGCGCAACACGAGACTAGATTGTCAGTTCTAAGGTTCGATGTGTAAGGATGTATTGCCCGAGAAAAGCAAAAAGAGAGAAAGAAGGGGGGGAAAAGGAAGAAATGGCAGAAAAAAGAAACTGAGTGCGAGGTAGCCTTGCCACTGTAGAATAGACGGCTACATACTCCGCAGACCAGCTCTGAATAGCTCCCGGAGCCGAATGAGAGTGAGTACATAGGCGGAAAAGATGTCAAGCGCGTCCATAGGTACTCGTCAGCAGAAATAATATTCAGTCCCGCAATGATAGACAATCAACGGGTCGGTGGGGCTATAAGTCCAAGTTATCTTTGAGCGATGTACTTCCTATGCCGATCCAGATGACATGAATATCAGACTATGAGAACAAGATACAGCGGTAATGGATTCCGTATCCGTATTATTCATTCAAAACATATGCCGGAAGATATCCAAGTATACCAAGACTGACCAAGAAAGCCCCAAGAGCGCCCAAGAGAATCCAAGATAGTCCAGGTCCGGTTCTTCCAGCTTGAAGCGGGGAGTATCCGGCCACCCAAGGGCGCTAAGGGGAGCATGTGCGCTCATCCGGGTATTTAACTGGTCGATGGAGCAGGATCTCCCCAGATGTTAGTTTGGAAGTTAAAACGCGGCAACGTCAGATCCTTTCTAGGGTCCTGCACTCCGTACTGTGGGCTGTTGCGAAACCCTACAGTAGCTCAACAAGATATGATGCAAGATCTGACACTAGTCACAAATCAGGCAATTCGGCACGTGTGCACACGTTTGTGTGCACGTGTGGAAAAATTCGGTTGAGTTCCTGGAATTTTGCCGGTTTGGAACCATTGGAATGCATGCGAGAGGCGAAGGGAGGTGTTCTTGATTCGCAAGGTACACTTTCATATCTCAATAATGTCCTATCTTTCTGTAAAATCATAAGCAATATGTTCATCAAATTGATCCTGTTAAGAAGCCGTTTCAACCCCTCACGCGACCACCTGTCGGTCTGGGCGTTAGTGTGGGATTGAATTGGAGCAGTGGTGGACTCCGCAGATCTAGTGTTCCTATTCTCGTAGGCGGTAAATGCAAGAGTTGCAGATGTGGACAAAATTCTGCCCCCACGTGCTACAATCATTGGTTAACGGAGAATCTTTCGAGTCCAGTGACCCCACTAGGCTGCATTCGTCGAATTCGTGCGAACCACAAATTTCCTAATTTTTAAGAATTTTTCCATTATTTCACATTATTTTCATAATTTCCTTAATTTTTTCGTGATTTATCGTGGTTTATCTTACCAGCCCTGGAGAGGATACCGACGCGTTGTTGGATGTGGAATTTTGTAGTGGAGCTTGCCACTTGATCATTGTAGTCTAGTACCTAGTAATGCCTAGTAATTGCCCAGCAAAATGCTCCAGCACAACTTGGCTGGGGCTTTCTCTTCCGTATCTCCCGTTCTTTCCTAAAAAATTCCTTATAAGATCTGACAATCCGGATTAGGAACTTTACCCTAACCTTTTTTTCCCTCCTACTACCTATCTTCCCTCCTACCTTCCTCTACTTCTCCTCGACTTGGGCACTCTCGGGTTATATTGGTTCAATAGACTCGCCACCCTCGCTTGAAATTGTCCCGTCAAGCTCGGCAGTCAATTCGCCATGGCTGATTTCGGATTACGGGCCCCCCCATGGCCCCGATATGACGGGCACACATAACCCGTTGGAGGATATGCAAGCTCACGAAAGAGGCGCTTTCGACGAGCTTATTCGACCGGACGATAGCTATACCAAGGACGGAACATACTGGGCAGATTTGCCATTAGGGCAGAAGGTCAAATTCGTTAGCTCCTACGATGCTGCCGAGGCCAAACGTGAACTCGGTAACATCTGGGAGATGATGAAAGAGGATCCTCTCTCACCTATCTCATATTATTTTCGAAACATGGTTCTACCCGGTGCCGGTCTCGGGTTGGAAGGTTATGTGCTCTTCTCAATTGGCAACATCAAACCCTTGTTTCAAAAAACTTGGCCTGATTGCTGGGACTCGGCCACAACGTGTAACCAGCAGTGGATCAATGCCGTGGATTACTTGGAGATCATTGGAATCATCTTTGGTCAAATTTTGGTCGGAATTATTGGTGATTGGTATGCATCAGAAAAAGAACAAAAAGAAAAGACTGAGGGAAAATAACTAACGCGGAAATATAGGCTCGGTCGTCGTTGGGGTTTGATTCAAGATGCTACTATCATGTTGATTGGATTAGTGATGCTCACAGCTGCATGGGGTGTGACCATGAATGGCTGGATCATTTGCTATGCGTGGTCGCTTTTCTTCTACAGTGTCGGTGTTGGTAAGTTGATCATTCGCCATCAGGAAAACGGTTTGAATTCTAATCATCGATATAGGTGGTGAATACCCTATGACTGCGACAAGTGGAATGGAGAATGCTGTGGGTTCAGGAAAGATCTCGACCAAGGAGGATCGTTTGCATCGTGGCCGCAAAGTGACCAGTGCCTTCCTGATGCAGGGCTGGGGTCAACTTCTCAACCAGTTACTGCTTATCATTTGTCTCCTCATTTTCCACCACGGCAGCGGCAACCCCCCCTTACTCCGAAGTGGCAACACAATGGACCTACCGAATCTCCTTCGCCATTCCTGCGGTGGGAACACTTTGGCTTGTGTACTTCCGTGCTTACCACATGAAGGCAGCTAGCAAGCAGTTGACCGCAGCCAAGAAGAAGGCGTCCGTCACTGGCTACGATGTGGACTCGTTGGCTCTTACATTCAAATACTTTGGTCCCCGGTTGATTGCCACTGCTGGTGGCTGGTTCTGCAACGATATGTTTTTCTACGGAAACAAGCTTTTCCAGAGTGAATTTATCTCTGTGATTAGCCCATCCACCGACTCCGTTATGCCGACGTGGCTATGGAGCTTAGTTAACATCGGAGTTTCCCTTGTTGGTTACTACTTTGCTTCCTTCTTTATCGACAACAAGCTTTACGGTCGCAAGAAGATGCAAATCTTGGGTTTCATCATGTGTTTCGTTCTGTACGCAATCCCCGGTTTCAAGTACGCTTATTATACCGATTCGGCACACATCAAAGCTTTCCAAGCGATGTACTTCCTTGGCTCGTTTTTCAACCAATTTGGCCCGAACTCCGTGACTTTCCTCGTTGCTGCTGAGGTGTATCCTACTCCTATTCGTGCCACAGCCCACGGCTTGTCTGCAGCGGCCGGTAAATCCGGTGCCCTTTTGGCAGCTGTTCTTTACAACTACATTTCCAACCAGACCAAATTCCTGGTTATTCCTTGGTTTGGTCTGGCGGGTGCGCTCCTGACTTTCTTCTTCCTACCTGACACAACCGGACTGGATCTCAAGGAGCAAGAGCGTCGCTGGCAGTACATCCGACGGGGCGAAGAGAAAGAATATCACGGCCCTGCAGTACACCCCAAGCACCTTTCATTGTACGAGCGCTTGGTCCTGCATCTTGATCGCAACTATGATGCCGAGAAGGACTACCAGCACAAGGTTGAGGAGTACCGTGTCGAGTGGGAGTCTGCCATGGCCGCAAAGTTCACTGAGAAAGACCAGGGCGAGGAAAGCTTTGAGGACACCGACGACTCCTTGCTGGAGGGCCACGTTCACACCTACTTCCACCGCACCAGCCCCATGTTCAAGGGCATGAGCCCCTTGGAGAAGCCTGGATCCTCCATGAAGAAGGAGAAGGATGAATTCAAGCTACCCCCCGCTGCTGAGGTTGATGAGGATGTCTATGTCAATGCTGAGCGACATGACAACCCTGGCAATGTGCGTGTGGCTTCCTCTGAGGAACAAACATTATCAGACGCCAACGGCGACGCATATACCAGCGAACAGCACACATTTACCAGTGAGCAAGTTCAGCAACACACATTATCGAGCGAGTCACATACATTCTCATCGAGTGAGAAACACTCATAGGGTGGTCACCTACAGACCTCTCTAGTACATATTATACATGTTTTGTTTTGGCATTGTTTTTGGTTCTTGTATTTTCTTTTCACGGGGTTTTTGGAAAAGTTTTCTTCTCTCTTTCTGGGCTGTTTATATTGGATGAAGCGCATTAGACCGCTTGCATTGGACATTGCATGACTTCAAGTTGCATTGACATGGCGCCTGTTTATAATTAGATGTTGATACCTCACACACCCTGCTTCTTTTCCAGGGCTTGAAATGATCATGGATTCTATCGATTAGAATCCGGTTTCTTTTGAATATAGACGAACACGACTCGGAACATTATCTCTCAGTAAAGATAGGATATTCAAACATTTGACCTCGGAACTATGTACTCCTCCACATGCAGGGCTGTCACCTGTGATCCAGCCCTGGAGGCCGCCCGGGCGCGTCCCTTATGCTTACGTAACAAATTTCTTTTACAGCACCCCACCTGAAGTATCTACTTGCACACCACAAAAGAAATATCACATTCCAATAGGACGACCTGAAAGAAGGAGGGAAATAAGCACCATGAATCTCTTCGCATTTGGTTCCAACGCATCAGGACAATTGGGACTCGGCCACGAAGAAGACGTCTCCACACCACATCAATGTCTCTCCATGCAGCAATCTACAGACGCAATAGAGTCCGAAATCCCATCAAAGCACAATATCGTTCAGATAGTCGCAGGCGGGAATCATACCCTGCTATTAACACACCAAGGTCACGTTTACGCCTCAGGATGCAATACAGATTGGCGTTGCGGTCCGGATCCGGACAACCTGGACTCTTTTATCGAGGAGCAGCCGCGAAATGGTGGAGAGAACCTTTTACGCTTTAGAAGAGTCATTATCACAGACCGTATGACCGGATCCAGGATAGACACATTCAAACATGTCTCCGCTACATGGGAGGGATCTATCCTCGTTGCAAATGCAGCTATCAATGCCGGAGACGAGAAACCCACTCATCAAGATAAGGTCTTCGTTCTTGGATCATCACCGAAAGGGGAGCTCGGCCTAAGATGTGATACTGGTACTACAATGATCATCCCCGGGACATCCATACCTGATTTCCCACCTTCAGGGACGCAGATATCGGCGCTTGCGAGCAGTATGGGACACACTGTTGCTGTTCTTTCAAATGGAGAGGTCTATGGTTGGGGCGGGGCGCGGAAAGGCCAGCTCGGTGATGAATTGAAGGGAGAGAAAATTTCATGGACACCCAGACGCATCAATGGGATTCCATTTGCAACAACGGGAGCTGTATGCGGACGAGAATTTACTGTTTTACTTGGAAAGAAGACAGAAATGGAGTTCATGGTGCTCGGGGATAGAGCGAATAGATGGGGTATATTGGATGTGGTGGATTCGGAGGGACTACGGTTACGGATACGAGAACGGAAGACGGACGGAGCTGGAACTGGAACTGAAGGTACACGCGAGGAAGAAATGGAAAAAGCTAGTGTGGATTCTTTCGCTGGTGCGGCGGATAAGTGGAGATTGGGGCAGATTGGGGCTAGTTGGCATGGGATATATGCTCATGTTAATATTGGCGAGTCTTTATCCGATGCTCATATAGGTTCTATGGAGAAATCTGACTCCATGCTTATTGCATGGGGCCGGAACGATCGTGGCCAGCTTCCTCCGCCTGATCTTCCTGCTTTGGATGAGCTTGCTGTTGGTAGCGAGCATGTCCTTGCCCTTCTACGCGATGGGTCCGTGGCGGCCTTCGGGTGGGGCGAGCATGGGAATTGTGGGCCAGAAACGGATCCTCACGGCAATGTGGCCGGGTTATACAAGTCGGTTCCTCTAGCCGATGCCCTGGCTGATCGGAAGAGGGTGGTTGGTGTCGGGGCTGGATGTGCCACGAGTTGGCTGATTGTGGATTGATCAAAATGGAGTCAAGTCTAACCCCAATACTCCGCACGACGCGTCTGAGGGGAAACCAAAGAGAAATTTGTCCAAAGAATTTGTTGTCCGGCAATATGTTTAGTCGAACAGACCCAGTCCACGGACCTATGAGATGTTAGATCAATTGCGAATATGAGAGGAAGGATGATGTGGAGAAAGTACCTGGGACATTCGTTGTGTCGGTGGGATACCCATATCGTCCTGAGCTGTCGGATCTTGGGATGTCCGAGAATTTGAGAAACCTGGTTCTGCGTCACGGAGTGTTCCTTCGAACGCGTCCTGGATATAATCAGCAACACACTTGGCATCTGAAAGATCATTACATACCTGACCGCCCGTTGCATCCCACCCAAGGATGTCCTGTGGCTCTTCCTCTTCATTCATCTCATCCCACTGTCTGTCATCGTCCTGAGGCACGAAAAGACTGTCGAAGTCCATCGAGGCCGATGCTGATGTCAGATTTGATGGGTGTTCCGAAGTTGGTCGCTGGGATAGATGTTCCTGTGTTGAAGTTCCATTCAGCGGCCGTATAGATCTGTTTCGTACCAGAGGAGGCGGCATTTGTGTGTTAGGTGTTGGTCGCAAAGAATCACTTCTGCTGAATGAGATCGGGGCAGGCGTGGCCACAGGAGCAGGTGTTTGCCGTGAGAGCTGAGGAAGTGAAGCCCGTGTCGAAGTAGGTACATCTTCGCCGTCTGATCCGCCACGAGTCATGATCGTAAACTCGGCATTGATTCCCTCAAATCCATATGCTAGCTGGAGCGGTTTACAAGGCCGAGTGTATCGTGCCGTGACCGTGGCACTACTCGTCTCGGCGTGAGCAACCACTGCCTTGAAGTCTTTAAGGTTCATGGCGATATGCATGTTATCTTCGACGAGAAACTCTTCAAAATCTCTCTTGTCGGTTGCGACTGAAGTATGCACCGGGAATTTTAGAATCTCTGTAAAAAACGTTAGACAAGTACCGACAACGCAGAATACACCAGCAACATACCCTTTCCTTCCATGACCTTGGTGGTAAAACTAGTGAAAACAGCTCTCTCGCCATCAGAACAAATATCTAGCTGCTCTGCTGATGGGCTGAAATGTTCAACAATTTGCTTTAAGAACCGCGGATCTGCGATCCACTGATTAGTTGCATTTCGCCGATCAAACACTGCATGTTGAATCGAAGCAGGCTCATAAATCAGTTTGTATGATTTGATCACATCAAGTCCACAAATCATCTTGATAGTCAGCCGACACTCAGTCTGTAGGGGATCTTCATGCAGCTCCATTTCACAGCGTTCTACAGCTGTGTCTTTGTTGCGATCGACCCTCCCACGGAAGACGGAAAGCAAGGCCTGGAAGAAGGATAGTTAGTGTTGATCATCACCTTCATCTCCCACATTTGGGCAGCTTGATTCAAACCTTAAGTAATATCTGACAGTCAAATCGATCGCCACCCTGACTTTGGAATGAGGTCCGATTACTTCGATTTATGCTGAACTCGTACGACTCAAAGAATGCATCCTTTTCGCACACGAAAGAAGCGAAGGCTGTTTTGGTAGTGTTAAGGGCGCTCAACCGGAGCTGGAATTTTGAAACAAGTTGCGTTAGCCTCGTGCGAGTCGTGCCTGACAGCAGCCATATAGATGCCAAGCTGAGCTTACTAGGTCATTTTCCGCCTCGATGGCGACGGTGTCACTAAACTTCGCCAGGCATATCAGTGCATCGTGAAGCCGCACCAGAGCCGGTGGGGCCAGTGATAACTTGAGGCTCGTCATGTTCAGGCTCGATCTGTTACCTACGATGTATTTGCCATTCAAGGTGGGTCTTGACAATAGGGAATGGGGAATTGTCGAGATTCGCGTCTGAGTCGCGCGCGGTGTATTACGTAAGCCATACTATGTTTGAAGCGAAAGTGTATGAACTACATTTGGGTGCTAAATAATGCATTATTTTATTATTTTGAAATGATATCTGAGATTCGAGGAGAGTTATTCCAAGCTTCTTTTAGGAAAAAATCAAATTTACTAAATATGCACACATAACTTCAAACAGGATAAGCCAAAAGACAAAACTATGTGAAACTTGAAGGAAAGAAATTCAATCACAAGGAAATTGGAACGATAGGAACTCGAGATGAATAGCTGAGTTCACTCGGAAATACCAACTTCTGTAAGCTAATATTAACCCAATCACTTCCCATCGTAGATCATATCTTCAGGGATATCACAATCGCCCATCCAACGGTCAGCCGCCTCAACCTTTGACTCGAGGATATGACGGGCTGTAACTGCAAAACGCAGTCCTCCCTCAGGTTCCACCATGTGCTAAAATGGTCAGAAAGGTCACATATTCTTTCAGATGTTCCGATGGGAGCAGAAAGCTTGGGAAATGTAGGTTATTAGAAATCATTGACATACCTCATAATATTTCCGTAAGTTTGCCCCGTTCATGACAAGCATATGGCCGTGATGAAGTTCTATCTTCATAAGAGTCGGTGCTGTACTGCTTTTAGTGAGTTGTAAGATTTTCATTCGCTCTTCAGCATATTCTATCCTGTTGAGTTCGCCTGCCTCGTATCGATCTTTCAATTCTTTTCGAGCTTTATAATCGCGGCATCCCTCGAGTACAGGATCGTTTTCGATGGGTTCATTATTACTTCTCATACCCTCAAAGTAATATTTCTTCATGCGAATGTACATGGCCGCTCTTGCTCCCAAAGAAAGGGTAACAATAGTCGGGCCTAATGTCTTCTCTCCATCGTCATGATACTTCAAAACATAATTAGCGTTGAAAAACAAGATTGTCACGGATTTAGTACAAACTAACACCAATATCCATACCGTTTGCGAAGCCAAGAAGAAGCAGCTCATTTGGTTTCTTGTACTCGAAATTTGAGTCCTGTGTCACTTTTTGTGTAGCCCACTGCAAGCGAGAATAGGCACGACGCACATCTGGGTGAGTCTCACTGAGAGACTGCGAAAGTGTTGGAACGATAAACTTGTATGGCATTCCCTAATGCTTAGTTAGTAAAGGACATTCAGACGAGATATTCGGTTTTCTTTCTTTTACTCACAATATTCCGGAGGAAATGCCCCGTGAGAACCCCAGTAACTAGGAACAAAGTCAGTTGATTAGCTCCAGATTTTTTGGAAAATCAAAAGCCAGAACGCGTTACTAACCCATTGAGACTCCAAGACGATGTCGTCGAGGACCAAGGCCGTTAGTTTGAAAGCTTTGGAATAGATAGTCAGGTCCAAATGCTCTTGCATTCATTTCAGAGTTCGATGCCAGATGCGTGATTGTTCTCACGTCGCCTATTGTATACTTGATTCTGCGATAAGGACTCAAAGAAGTCACATCAAGCTCAACTTGGATTTTTTTTTTCTGGGCTTCGACCCTAGGAGCTTCGTAGAAGGAATCGATATCATTGGGAGGAGCTGGGGTGACCCAGTTAAGTGGTACTGCTCGAGGTTTAAGAATAAGCTTCCAAGGGCATTCTTCTTTGGAATCCTGGTTTTCGTTGATATCAAACGCCTCACGGTCAGGCGCGCATTTCCAGCCGAGAAAATGCATACGAGGTATACATTTCCCGCATAGTGGACATGTTATGCCGGTGTTAGACATAGTTCCAACTCTGTAATCATTCTGGTTATCATCAGTTATCACTAGAGGCGGTGTAGTCAAGGTATAATTGAGCCTGCTCAGGTACTTGGTCACGTCCCAATTGAATCGATAAGACATGAATTTATCATGGTACGCGGGATTATTGGGTGGCGTACCACCTCCATCAAGCTTCCAGAATTTGGTGCATTTGTGATTCAGGCACATCCAACCAGCTTCGTAGACGCGATAGTGCTCTGAATGACATTGAGAACATGTCTGACATTCCGGTCGCATCTCCCAGTTTCGGTCGGTAGGTGGAGGAGGAGAGCCTTTAACAGCCCACCAACTTTTTTTTGTGAGATCAATTTTCTGAGGACGAACTAACGTTCCGACATATTTACCCATTTTTTCGTACCATATATCCGTGGCAAGAAAGAAATTCATGACATTGAATCGGTGTGGCATCTTTGTCTTGAAAACCGAAAGTCTATCGCCTATGAGCAGTATCAGTCAATAACTCTTGGAATCAAATATGTCAATTGATTTGATAATAAAGAATAGCATACCCAAAATGATGCCAATTGGCTGACCTAGCTCTACGGAGAGAAGCAGGTCTTTTGCAGTGATCCGGTCAGCGAATGTTTGGTCTTTGTATAGCCTCAATTCGCCCGAATCGCCATCTGACGAGTAAGCTCCTCCCCTAATTCGAACTTTCAATTAGCAAATCTATTGAGCCAGAATAGATTTAATTGACATAAGTCATCTTTAAAAGGTCAACCTACAGTCGTGTGATAATGATTTCTTCGTCCACATATGCCCGTTTACCAGCGTTTCCGTCTAGTAGAATCCCGTAACATCCCCGATCAGCCGACGCTTGTGTGCCTGCGTAATAAGCCTTGAACCACACAAGTGTCTCACACAGATCAGGACGAACCTGTTCAAGTGGAAGGTCAGGTTAGTTTGTGATTCTCCGGACTCAGATATAGGAGTCTGGGTCACGGTGAAATGCTGTCACTTGCCTCTGCCCACGCAGGCGGCCTCCCATCACATTCTGGTAGATGGCTTAAATCTGAAATAAATTTTGAAATTAGACATTTCACGTAATTATCAAGTTTTCGATATGCAGGAGTATAGACATACCAATTGTTTTCGCTCCTGATTTCTTTGATTTTGGAGCGGCTCTGGGCTGCTTCCCTACCCCAGTCTCTCTCTCTTTCTCTTATTGCTTTGCGGTTGATTAGTACTCATTGTTGTATACAGAAGATGGAGTTGAAATTTTTTGGAGTATAGAAAATTGATGTTGGATGAAACAAGATTTAACATAGAAATGGCTCACTATTATGTGGGAAAAGACACAATCACTCATAAAAGGCGCAAGTCTACAACAAAGCCCGAGACCCGGAGACCGTTAGAATGAAAGAAACAGACCTCGAACTTTTAGAGAATTCTCAAAGAGATCAAGGGCGAGGTCAAGATCAGGCTTGTCAAAGGAAGTTTATCAATCCTTCATTCAATTCAATACTCGAGATGTCAGCTTCATGGAGAAGATTTATTTTCTCTTTATCACAAACAGGGCGTCGAAAATCCATCAAAGCGTTGTGAGATCCACCTAGGACATGGTCCACAAATTATGATTAACAACAAACGCCATCTTCTCCGCTCAAAGACCTGTGAGCTCGGATCAAAGGAACAAAAGAAAACTTTGGAAAGAATTTTGACTTGAGAGTACCTTGATTCTCTCTAATGATTGGTGGTAAGGTGTGAATTTGGTAGATTATCTTTATAATGCGGTTCTACTGCGTAGAGGCCAGAATCAACTTGAAGCAGGGAGTCATGATTTTCGAACGTAATCGAAGCAAGGATATCTGTAAATTGGATAAACACAACACTATATAGTAGCACTTCAGAACTCGGACCAATTCATGGGCAATTACATGAATGGCTCGGCAGCCCACCTATGGGCTTTCCTCACTCTCAACTTTCTCACCCGCTTCATGGACGCTCACACGGCAAATAGCTTCCTCCAAATACTCCGGCTTAAGCTGACCATGCTTGTCGTAGCGATACGGCTCCTTGATAGAGATAGTCACAGCATTAAAAACGTTGGTAGATTTCTTGAAGATGGTGTCCATCTCTTCGAGTGAGCGATATCGCGTTTCTGGGAAGAAAAAGTAGACAACGGGGAAGATAAAGGCATTTCTACTATAGTTAGCTTGACTCTTCTTATCATGTGCCACATGAAATGAAGGGACAAAGGAAGTTTGGATACACCGAGTCGGACTTACATGACCGCAAAAATGATGTAGGTCTTATATCCGATACTGTTGAATGCGACGGGAGTGATCATCACGACCATGAAATTGAAGATCCAATTGGCACTAGTCAGAGTGTTAGTTAGACTGTATAGTGATATAATTTAGAATATTTTGTACCTTGTGGCTAGCGCATTGGTAGGTGCCCGAATCCGAAGGGGCACAATCTCTGCTGGGTACAACCATGTCATTCCAAGCCAGCCAATGGCAAAGAACGTGTTGAATACGAAAAGGAAGACAGCCTGTCCGATACCAGCTTGGCTATCATTTAGATGAGTCAATCGATAATTGGTACCCGCCAAGACGGCCATCGAAATTGACATTCCAGCAGCCTGTATTAGATACTCTGTTAGTCGACCAGGTCTGTAAGGCATGAAATTCAAATGTTGTGTACTGTTGACCTACCCCAAAAAGCATGAGTGGGCGACGTCCAACTTTTTCGATAATGAAAATTGGAATAATTGCTGCCATCAAATATTCTGTACCATTGCATGCAGCTAGCAATTTGGGAGTATTTCCCTTTCCAAGACCAATCTCCTTATATAATGAAGGTGCCTGGAGAGATTTATTAGCAGAGCTCAGGAGAATTGGCAATATGAGAATGCCAATATGAAAATGAGAAAAGAGATTATCTCACATAGTAAGTAATCAGATTGATTCCAGAAATCTGTTGGAACATTTGATTGATGTAAGCAAGAGCAACTCGATGAAACTCTCGGTATTCGCTCATTTTAAAAAGACTTTTATATGAGCCCTTGGACATTTCCTTGACTGTTTTCTTAATATGTAGTAGTTCATCTTGGATATAGGGGTCATCTTTCGGCGTCTCATTGAGACATTCAAGGATATCCAAGGCTTCATCATCTCGGCCTTGCATCACAAGCCATCGGGGAGACTCAGGTAAGTTGAGGATAGAGGTGAAAATGATTATTGCAAAGGTGATCTGAAAGGCGAGGGGAAATCTCCAGGCCACCTCAGACTCTCCAATGAATGCCATTCCTGGTTTACATTTATTAGCACGTGGACTTAATTGAATAGTGAGAAAGTCTACTCACCATAGTTGATCCAGTAGCTCAGAGTAATTCCAGCCGTGATTAGCATACCCTCAATCATGACCATCTTTCCACGATCATGGGCCTTTGATGATTCCGACTGCCATGTAGGCACTGTACTTGTGTTCATTCCATTTCCAATTCCGGTCACAATGCGACCCACAATGAAGTGTGGTAGGTGGTACGCAGTACACTGTAGGAGTGCTCCTGTGGCCATAATACAGCAGCCACAGAAAATAGTTCGTCGTCGACCAAGGGGATTTCCAATGAATATCGTCAATATGGCTCCACAGAAGCAACCCAAGTTATACGAGGCGACAGAGATGCCTTGATTCAGACTGCGTTGCGATTTGATAGACGGGGAGTCTGCAATGAGTGGGTCATCTGGATTGATTTCTGGGAAGTACTTGATAAAGGACGGTAGGTCTAGGAGACCACCTGTTATTCCTTGATCGTATCCAAATAGTCTAAAGCATTTATTAGCCAATCAATATGATCTCGAGGAATATAGTGTGCATTCATGAGGCGGCACTATTCGTACAGGAAATCAAGACTCCCAAGAGAGCTGATAGCAAGGTTGAGAGCCCTGCCTCTCAAACCGAAATATTTTGAAAATCCAAACATGGTTGTGAAACGCCACGTGTAGATTCAAAAGCCACTGGCGAAAGTCAATCGGTATATCAAGAGTCAGGGAAAAAGAAATCCGACAATACTCAGGCTATATAGCACTCATTTCATTACAATCACCCCGGTTGGACAAATCCGGTATTCCGGGGTAACTGTATTTCCCCAGCATTGGAAGAATGGCCAAGACCTGAAGCCAGCCATCGATTGCTCGTGCGCAGCGGGAATGGGAACCCCGTGGGGTCAGAATCTGGGGCGGGCACTTCATCCATGGATGAGAGTAGTTTTCTGAGTGGTTCAAGGGTCCACTTTTCCGCCTTTCCCATTGACAACGACGCCTCTGCCGTCCAAGAAAGACCTTCTTGGCGGGTACATCTAATGGCCCCCGTCATCCGTATAGCCTCGCTTGGCGGCGTGGCATAACTTGGCGGCTCACTCCGAAGGGGACGTGCAAGTGTCATGAAATAGACGGAGTCTCAATATGCCATCCAGTTCATTTCCATGATTCCGGTATGGTCCGAACAAGTTACCAACCAGCTGGAGGCAATTTATCTGGGGCCTTACCTCGTATTTGAATATTATTTCTACGTCATAAGAGTAATCCGTCAAGTTCAAATCTTATAACAACCTTGGACACACTTCTGGGCGCCCAGCGAGCCAAGAAGCACTCGGCGAATTATTCATAGGCAGAAATACTACTCGAGATTGTTTATGACGAAAGCGAACTTCTTAATGGTTCTCGTGTTTCTTTGGCCATGCTGCATTTGATTACTTGCATTAGGTACAGGATAATTCCCCAATTGCATCGAAAGGATGCATTAGGCGTCGAGTTTCATATGAGCTTGTGCTTCGCAGTCTTAGCCTAGAATATCAAAACCTATTATGCATGTGGGCGCGTCAGGTCCCAAGTAGGTAGACACCACTCATTTCCTCTCCTCCATGCTCTATATAAGACTCATTATCCTTTCAACCCTTGGAAGTTCTTTGTCCCTTCGGCATTCGAAGGTGTTAGCTCTAATAATTAATGCATTATTGCTTGAAATGAACGGTAATGCACCGTTTTAATCTCCATTAGCCAGTTCGACCCTGTGATCCAAAGCGACCAACTCAAACTGCCTGAAAGCTCACCCTTTCATTCATATCCTTTTCAAGAGCGGTAATTTCCTTATTCTATCTATGTCTCTTCTTCAAGTTCCTGTCTTGGGTGCATCATGATGCGTGTGTACTAGTAACTTAAAAAAGATGACGATCATTGCCCTGGCTGTGTACGTGCACACTTAGAGAGAGATGATCTACAAAGAAATTCATTGGAAGCTTGTTGTATGCCCAGGTGTTCGTTCAAATATTGATTCCGTCGGATAATCTCTAGGGTAACAACAAAACAACTTGAAACTAAGCCACATACAATTTGGGCGCACTGGCAGCAGACTCCTCTGAAGGAAGCCTGAAAATCACCTTCAATGACTTCCAACCAACGCGAACAACATAAAAGCTTAGCGTACTAGACGAAATCCATGCTAGCACGAGGCAAGCCACCATGATCTTGGGTGGAATCCACCCAAAAGTCTCGGCAGGGTCAAATTTCATCTCCGTCTTGAACTTCTTTATATTTTCCAAGGCCTCTGGTATGTCAAACTCGATCCCATTCTCGGTGTCTGCGTCCATCTCCGCAATGGCATCGCCGTAGATATGGAATGCATATACAGCACCCCCCAGCACGGTCAGCCAAATCATGATGATCATTTTCAATAGCACTTCCCATATCCAGGCACAAGAGAAGATGAATAACACGAGTGCATCGAGTCGTGATTGGTGGTGATGCGCGCTGCTTAAACGGTATACCAAGGACCCACCCCAGATGTCCTTCCGGACCGTCACAATTAAGCGACAAACCAGCCAGGTCAGGAGACTGGTGGAGAGACAGAGGTCGAAAAATTCCCATTCGTCTTCTTCCATAACGAGAAAATCGATTTTCATAAAGCCCACAGCGGCGGCTATCCAGAGGCTGAAAATTCCGATTGTAATAACCTTGTGGGCCCGGATGACCAGGGTGGTGAGTGTGGGCGACATTGCGATATTTTCTGGCCTTTGCCAGAAGCTGCCTATTCAAATGTTTGGAGAAAGTGAGCGATGGCAGAATTTGAAATTTTTAAGGAGGAAGTTCTATAATATTGAATCCGGACTCTTTTCATCTTTTTTTAAATGTTGGCCCCAATTAATATCGCCCCTCCACTTTGAGGCTTAGCTTGCCCGGCGAGTGGACAGGTTTCTTTATTTTAGCCTCATTTTGCATTGCTGCCTGGATGGTAGCTTGCACGCCTCGCGCTAGTGGTTAGTCTACCGGGCTCTGATTTTATCGACCTTGGAAACGATTGGGCAACAGGCCGGTAAATTCCAGTGGAAGCTAATTTGATGTTTTTCTCGGGGCTTTTCGGTCACGCAGAAACAATTCAAACACACCACTCGTGCGAACATTTGAATATGTACGCAAGCAAGGCGTGATTAAAATGTTGGAAGACACGAACGCGTCTTCAGGAGAATCAAGACTCGGGATCTCGGGACTCAAGTGCTAGCGCCCCGGGGCGAGGTGATTAGTAAGCGTCATATATCCCGCCCGCGGGACCGGGGCGCCAGCGATCTCGGGACCTCCACCTGGGCACAGGGGCCGAGATGCCTAGATGCTTGAGCGCAGGCCCCTAACCAACATCCGGGCATTTATCAGGCGGCAACAGCTAGTAGGACCATAGATGCCTCACAAACTGCATCATGATGTGGTGCCAGTGATTCCGAGTCGATCGTGTTCCGACGCCAGGGCGTGCCAGTGATTGGACTTGGTTGGTACCTGCTAACACTTCCAAGGTTATGCGCAGGTATATCATGATGTTAATACTAGAAAATACCTCTGAGAGATGTATGCCCTTCAAGTTGAACTTGAAGCACTTGAGTGGAAGATTCAAATGTTAGTATCTGAACTGAGCAAACTGAGCAGCGGACCTCGTGTATATATTTATGTACTGGTAGGACCGATAGTAGATATCCACTGCACATGTGGCAACTTCCAAGCCTGAGGTTCAAGTTCGTGCTCAACTTGACTTATGCAGAGGTTAAAAATTACAAACTTGAATCTCACTGCACATCTGCTCCTCTAAGAAGAATTGGCGCTCAGACATGTTCAAATGTCGTTATTTTGTTGGAAAGTTGAATCATCTGCGGGGGTCTTCTTACTCCGCAGCTATCTAAAGTGGTGCGGGGAACTCTCAAGGAGTCAAGTTACACCTCTCACTCATCTCCTTGTCTTCAAAACTAAGTTTGTGACAGTACCCATACATTTGAAAGTCTGGGAATGCCAAGATGTCTAACAACACCCCACTGATTCCCATCCTCGATCACATCGTCGTTCTCGTGTCTCATAAAACTCTCCTCGGGATCGCCGAACACATCGAGGGCCAGTTCTTCCTAGCCCCAGGTGGAGACCATGCCGATGGACTCACCACCAACAGATTGATTCTACTTCCAGACGGCGTTTATTTGGAACTCATTGCCTTCTTTGACGATATCGACCCCGAAAGACGCCAGCAGCATCGCTGGGGAAATGAGGCGGAAGGAACCATAATCGACTGGGCTTTCACGTTGCCCACAGAAAGCGACTTCAAACTTATTCAAAAGCGAATCGGAGACGCAGACACAGAATTTTCCTATACAGATCCCATCCCTGGTGGTCGCACAAAACCAGATGGCACTGTCCTAAAATGGGCAGTCTGCACTTCGAGAGATGCACAAGGTAGTACGGTGGCACCAGGATCTCTACCGTTCTGGTGTCTTGACAGAACACCTCGCGCGAATCGTGTGCCTTACGAAGTAGAGCCATATCTGACTCAGCACCCTAATGGTGTTCAAGGTGTCTTATCTGTCTCAGTGCAGATTCCTGCTAGTGACACTTCGAAGTTCAAAGGGGCTTATGATGGGATATTCGGTGGCGATTGGCGATATCAGGTTCCGTCTGGCTTTAAGTCTAGCCAGCATAGTGTTTCTCTGACTGAAGGTGAACGCTCGATTCATCTGGTTTTTCGTGGACCAAGACCTGGACAAGTTGAGCTGCTACCTGGTCTTCTGCTTCGTATTGAGTCAGCATGACCTTGTTTGGAATCTAGAAAAACTTGAAAGAGTCTGATATTTGATACTGTCTCTTCTGTTTCTTGATATATCAATTCAAGTGTGATCAATGAAAAACTGATGATTGAGTTTCTTGGTAACTAATCTGGGCTTTCAACTCAAGCCCGAGTCTCTAATCATATCGCGTTTATTAAGCTCGGTCTTGGTTTGAACCCCGAGACGTGGCGATGACATAATGATTTCAATAAGCCCAGGGTTCGAGTTGAATTCTGCAGTATTCTCATGATTAACTGAATTTCAAATATTCTAAATTCATCCATTCATCTCCCAGAGAATCATTCAAGGTACTATATAGTCGCCAGGTGCCGCCTCCACCTCTAGGCTCTGATACTAGACCTCAACTTGAACATCTGAAAATCTACAACATTTGAACCTTCAAATATTGGAAACTTGACTTTTTCAAGTTTTTTTACAACTTGAAAAACTCACATCTCTCACCGTGAAAATGCCAGCCGTTCTAATTACTGGCGCGACCGGAACCCAAGGAGGCTCGATTATCAGAAACCTTATCGCCAAAAAGTCCCCCTTGGAGATCCTTGCTGTCACGCGAAATACCCGCTCTTCATCTGCCCAAAAGCTGAAGGAGTTATCATCCAACATCAAACTAGTTGAGGGAAACTTGGACGATCCTGCAGCTCTTTTCCAAAATGCACGTGAGGTGACGAAGTCCGCTATTTGGGGAGTCTACAGTGTTCAGGTAAGCTAAGCGTCTCCTGTCTACCAATTCTTATCGAAGACTTGGTACTCACTATAATACAAAGGTTGCAATCGGCAACAGCTCACTAGAGGAGAAGCAAGGAAAGGCTCTCATTGACGAGTCATTGAAGCAAAATGTTCAATACTTCGTATACAGCTCTGTGGATCGAGGTGGCAATGCATCTTACGACACTCCCACCGATGTTCCGCACTTCATAAACAAGTACAACATCGAACATCACCTCGTCCAAAAAAGCAAAAATACAGATATGAAGTGGTTCATTCTCCGCCCCTCGGCCTTTTATGAAAATCTTGCGCCCAGATTCTTCGGGAAGGTCTTTGCGACCAGTTTCAAAATGGCACTTAAGGGCAAGCCCTTGCAGATGGTAGCGGCCGAGGATATCGGATTCTTTGGAGCCGAGGCTTTCATGCACCCAGAGCAGTACCAGAATGATGGTCTGTCACTTGCTGGAGATGAATTGACATACGATCAGTTTGCACAAATCTTCGAGCAAAAGACGGGCCAGCCGATTCCTTTGACATACCGGATTCTCTGCTCTGTCTTCATGGCATCAATGAAAGACATGGGTTATATGTTCAAGTGGTTCCATGACAGCGGCTATAAGGCAAACATTCCCGAGTTGAAAAAAATCAACCCAGACCTCAAAGACTTTGGGACATGGCTTGAACAAGACAGTGGATTTGCGAAGCACTGAGACTGGCTCAATATTTTTCTGTGTAAATTAATGTGGAATCTCTTATATGTGGCGATTTGATTTCGGTTATTGATTCAAAAGAAATAGATCTTGAGTTTCCATACCATAATTGCATGTTTCATTCTCCGCTTCAACTACCTTAATGTAACATTTAAATGACTCGAATCTCAAAATTTAAAGTTGGATCAAAGGGAAATATTTAGGGCCAGACCTTTTTTTTTAATAGAGAAATATAGGTAGTATCAGACAGATCGACGTCTAAATAGAAATAAATACAATCTAACGAAGTCTTAAGCGGCGTCACTCGCAAGTGCATACACCAGGTGGAAAACAACGGGAATATTTCTTAAGATGGAACAAAAAAAATGTGAAGTCTCCCACAAAATTGATGTATTGGTTGCTGAGAAGAGGGAAAAGCCAAACTTTTGAAAAAATTGCCCGTCTGCTAGTTGATAACTGGAATAGATTGACGCATAGTTTGAAAGCTCAAGTGATATATCGACCACGGTCTGTGTGGCATCACATTAGATGATAACAAGTTCAATAATCTACTAGTAGAATAGTATAGATCCAAAATTGGGGTCACAAATTAATCATCTGGCTCTATTTTTCATAAATTGAGACCCACTATTTGATTTTTGGCGCATTTCAATCCACTCGGCTCCGTGTGGCGATAGTTTACTGCTCGGTCTTGACCTCAAATCCGATATATGACAAACTTGAAGGTGGAGATAGCCACTCGGCGTGCCAACTGTGAAGCTCCGAGCTGATAAATTATAGGACAGGCTTTTACTTAAATTCGTCGGATTTTCATTCCCAAGCGACTTTTTTTTAATTCGTTAACCTTATCAACATTTGAATAGTATTGATCACCATGGCGAATACTACCACCAGAAGAGTAGCTATCGTTGGGGTATGCGTTTCATACAAACTGCCATCAATTCTTCACAGTGGCTAATATTTGCACATCTTTAGGCTACCGGTACTCTCGGCTCTCGGATTTCTAGTACCTTGAAAGCCGCTGGCTATGAGGTGACCGCTGTCCAACGTAAGGATTCGGGCAAGTCTACACCCGAGGGATTCAAGAGTGTCAAGGTAGATTATGCAAAGAAGGAGGAACTGGTATTGATCTTCAAAGGACAAGATGTTGTCATCAGGTACTTGAACTCCATGATCTTTTGGTGCTTGAAAATTAGCTAACTCATGCTTAGTGCCGTTCCCTTCCCGACCCTTGACTCCGAGAAGATCATCATTGATGCCTGCATTGCTGCATCTGTGAAGCGCTTTATTCCATCTGAATTTACAACTATGATGGAGTCGCCTTTGGCCATCAATCTCCCTGTGGCTAAAGACAAGGTTCTGGTCCGCCAGTACCTTACCTCTGTCATGGCTAACGCCAATGGTCCCACTACCTGGACCTCAGTCAACAATGGCGCCTTCTTGGACATGACTCTTCCGTACGGCGTTCTGGGGCCCAACATCATGACAAAGAAAGCTGTCTTCCACAACGGTGGAGATAATAAGATCGCTGTCTCACTCCTGTCTGATATCGCCATCGCGATCGTTAAGCTTTTGGAGACTGATAGCGCCTTTAATTCCGCCGCCAATCAGCCTGTATATATCTGCTCCGCTGCCATCACCGAGCGGCGTATGACCGAACTAGTTTCTGAGGTCACTGGTATCGATTTTGGTACTCCGGAACAAGTTTCAGTCAAGAAACTGATCGAAGAGTCAGATGAACGCCTGAAGCAAGGTGACAAGTCTGCTATCATCAACTACTATTTCCAAATGATGTATGAGGAGGGATATAAGGGGGGGAGACTTCATGGAATTCAACTGGAATGCACGGCTGGGTCTCAGGATTATGTCCGAGCAGGAGCTGAAGAATACCATTCAGGAGATCTTGGGCAAATTTGTTTGATAATTTATATGCAATAGCGTAGATTTATCAAAGCTGGTAGATACTGATCTTTCAAATATTCTCTGTTCAATCATCAAAATCACTTCCGCTAGTTCAAAATTTTAATAGTATCAAATTAGTAATTCGAAAATTTGAATCGAGCTTTTCAATTGGCCCTTTGTTGGACAAGATCAAAATCAATAAGCTTGGAAGGCATGCTCATAATTAATTAGACTTGCAAGGGTGTGAAGAAGGGTCTACGGGTGGTTCTTGGAATGTTGCCAAGGCTCTAAACTCACCGCCCGGTTTGACTGATCAGACGGTATATTGTTATTCCGTCTGCCGTATCTGGGCTAGCGTATCGGATTGTTGAATTGCATCGCACATTTTCCACACTAACCTTGGAAGGACGACTACCCAGGTGGACTCGTCTCCACCTGAGCAATTCCATATGCTTACCAACCGTTTCTCAATTGACCCGCCCTAGATCTACCGCATTGGAAAATGGCCTCTTGTGAAACATGAACACATACTCCTCGGACCCCAACATTATACCTAGAGGCATGTGGTTTGATTATGACGACCTTGGAATTGGCTCCTCATTGAAGTGTATGACTGGAATTGACTGCAGGCTGAAGTTCGGTGCATCTATTGAATCTCACCTCGATTCAAGTGGATGAGAGATGATGTCACGAAGCTGCCTTCGCTGCCACGAGCGGAAAGTTCGCTGCGACCGAGAGCACCCCTGCGGTCGGTGTATTCAAGCTAATGTGGAGTGCTTCTTCCCGGAGAACAAACGGGCCCCACGTAAGTTGAATCGACCTCCAGTTGCGACAATCTTAAGTCAACTTAGACACTTGGAACAAGAGATCAAGCGATTAAAAGCCTCATCTGATGTCAATGACAATGCATCGACTCCTCGCACGCAGGCCTATCATGGGGAAACCCAACACGCTCATATAGCTGCGCAATCTCCAGACGCTCAAGCCTTTATCAGCGACTCTGTCATTAGAGACCAAGGAGATCCCCATGTTCAATCAGGCAACGGGGTCTACCAATCGACCGTCGGTGCACTCGAAATGGCTCATAAACAATCATCCAATAACGTTTCAGAGAACAGCTCATCCCATGAAATCGTTGATGGTCAATTCCATTTGCCCTCGGTAGGAATTCTGGGGCTACCATCACGGCCAAGATCTGAGCCGACCCACGATCTTCCCCTTGAGCCGCTACAGATCCAAGCATTATGGAGTATCTTTAAGAAGAATGTCGCGCCCATGATGTCACTTTTGCACAAGCGTTCAATCGAGGCCATGATCCACGAAGCGTGCGCACAGGCCGTATCGAGTCTAAATTCTCCCTTGAAGGCCCTGATTCTAGCCATATCTTTTTCAGCCATGGTCAGTGCAACGAAAGAGCAATGTTTGTCAATCCTCAACCAGGATCGTGATTTATGCATTTCCAGAACTCGTCTTGCTGTGGAGCAGGCTTTGGCAACAGCGAACTTGATCAATGCCAAAGAAATTGAGGTTCTGCAAGCTGCAGTGATTTTTCTTTTGTGTCTACGCTGGATTGATCCCAGGATCGCATGGGCAGAAACAGCCATCGTGATCCGTGTTGCACAAGGACAAGGCGTTCATCGTGACGGCCAATTTTCGGGGCTAACTCCGTTCAATATCCAAATGCGGCGCCGTCTGTGGTGGCATATCTGCATCCTTGACATGCTCTGCTCCGAAGATCAAGGAACTGACACTCAAATCAGACCAGAGATGTTCGATACTAAAATTCCCTCCAACATTGATATTGACGACCTCTCACCAGAGATGATCATGCCGCCACACTCTCAATCGGGGTTTACTGATATCACACTATGCATCATTCAGTGCGAGATGATGATCAACTTGTATTGGGCAGGCGTCAATTTAAACCTTGAGGCTACTCCATCTCCCGTCCTTGAGCAAGAAAAAATATTGAGCTCTCTAGCTACTCGCATTGAAGAACAATACCTACAAGGATTTGATTTGAACATCCCGATACAATGGTTGACGGCTGTCATTGCTCGTCTTTCCCTGTCCAAAGCGCGAGTTGTCAGCCTTCTCAATAATCAGAAGACAAAAAAAGCCCCAGTGGCCACCAATGACGAGCTATTTCAAATGGCTGTCGAAATAGTCAAATTTGCCAACCTGATACAGAAGAACGAGGCCACAGCACAGTGGGCATGGCTTTGTAAAACCTACAAGCAGCGGCATGCCATGGCGTTTATCCTTTCTGAGCTTTCTGTTCGTCCAATTTCATCAGAAACAAATCAGGCATGGGATGTCGCTTCGGAGATTTATAACCAGTGGCAAGAAGAGGGTCTCGCTACTGGTGATAAAACTCAGACTGACCTCTCGTCTTTAATGGAGCGTGCCACCCTTTCAAGAAAAAGAAAGCTGGACTCTCTGGAAATCCCGCGTGACATATCCACTTCGCTACCCATCCCGCAGTCTATTCTCCGTGACAGGCTTTCGGCTCCAGCACCTGCCACTGACCCAGATATTGAAAATTCATCTACTGGTTTCTCAACAAACCTAAATTATCCTTTGGACGGAGTACCAGAGTTCTCTTTTTCAGCAATGGATTGGCTATCAGGGCCTCTCTAGGGATCTCCCTGCAAGACATGGTAAATCGTTAATTGGGTTCTTGATCAGCGATTTAGAGTTTGTGAATCTTGGACCTCGCACCATCCTCCTCATACTTGTCCACAGAAACCCTTGTGATACAAAATATTCCAGCTCCGAAGCTTGAATGAGACATGAAGAAAACCAGACAGGTCAGGAGGAGGAAGCTGCAGACTCCGAGATTCACAAGCCAAATCGAAGGTCAATTTTTATCATCCTCAAAGGGCGACCGCAATGGCTTTAAATATCGCAGACTGCTGTGTACTGATTTCATTACATACATTAGGTAGTATTTCTAGGACAAAGGACGTCTGGAGGCTACATGTGTTGGATGAGTTCTATGCGTCTGATGCTTCTGCCCACGTGATGTTACCGAGCCCTGGGCTTACGCAGAGGTCCTTCAACTTGAAGTTCCAAGGTTTATCATCAAACTTGCTGACGCTGGCACCCTATCTGCTGCCATGTGTATGGTGATCATTAGATTATTGTATTTCCTTTTTATAACTTGAACTGTTTCAAAGAATTGAGCCTCTTTAAAGGGCCATGCTACCAATGGCTCGCTTCCTTTGGATATAAAGCCGTGAATGCCAGATGTGATTCGACCGTCAAAGAGAACGTTGCAGAACTCAGGCCCATCAAAATTCTACTATAAGCAAGTGCACACTCTGTGTGTTTGTGCATACGTGTTCAACTTGAAGTTATAGCACAATGATTCATCTGCTCCCTCTGGGGCTATTCATTGCTACCAAGTGCAACTGTTTCAAATCACATCATCAATTGCGCACCTAGGTACTACTCACGGCCAGGCTGTCCATATGTACGTTACGGTGCATTTATCATAGAACTAGTAGGAATATCTACATGTATTTACTATCAGTCCAAATGTTGAGATATCATAAATTTTGTCTTAAGGCATAGTGAAAAACAACCTGAGAATTCCGAGAGTCTATAGCATACTCCTGGTAGTGTTTTAATCTCACCCTATTCTAGATTTGTCGTAGTATAATGTACTTCAAGTTATCACGTTGAGTTTTCCGCACACAACGTTGGACCCGGAGGTACTCCTTTTTCCCATGCACGCACATAAGCACCTGCTTTTTTGATTCGTATACCCAGAGCTGACATACTAGGAACTATCTGATATTTCAAATATTACTATGTACGTACAGATTTCGAGGTCGATATAGATGCAGTTGAGGATCGCGTTGCGGACGAAAGAGACTCGGGAATAATTTTCAAGACAACCATATAAAATTTCAACATTCTACATGGAGAGTCCTAGGCCGTGATTAGAAGAGCATTTCATGTGGTTCTAGCACGTTAATTAGTATATGCAAACAATCAATTTCACACTGACCGTAACCTAGCCATACTTCAGACCACTTCCCCTCGCGGTGTCAAGCGTCAATCGCCCTTCACTCTCCCCATTTTCCTTTTGACACTTTCTTTTCCTTCCTCTTACTCCTAAATTTCTGTTAATTCTTCCTCTCTGTTCCTATCAACCACATTTTTCCATGGCCAATTGCGGCCACAAGCTCCAAGCGTGTTTCAGACGTGTGCTTTGGATCCTTGAGGCCATCCTTTCTTTGAAGCATTACACGCCGGCTTCTCAAACGTGAGTACCTTTTCCAGGCAAAAATTTGACAGACTTGGACTCTCAGAGCGGCAAAAGGCCGATGGACATCGAGCCTTTGAGTTGAGATTGTGTTTCACTCTGAATCAACATGTTTCCCCACTTCAATCGACTTCAACTTCAAGCCCGCGTGTCGTTCTCAATGAAGGTGAGTCTCGGTTAATGTTTCAAAAGATGAACACAGTAAGTACTTATTTCCAATGAGAAATGATGAGATTCTTCACTTTCTTAAGGCCCGGTGACCTTTTGAAGACAACGCATGTACCTGAGCGAGGATTGACCCATACGTTGAGAATTATGTCGAGGCTAACTCCATCCATCTTCTACCAGTCATCAACATTCATGGCCATTCTTGAACAACCAAAGCACATCGGCCTTTGCGAGGGAACAACACATCACCAACAATAGCTGGGTTTCCTTTCCAACACATGATGATCAACCTTCAATTAAACCTGTCTCTCTGAATCTCAAGAACAGACTGATGATAACAACATTATCTGAGCGAGGATTGGCTGCCCACTTTGTTGAGACTTTTGTCAAGGCTAACCCCATTGACCTTCTAGCAGTTGTCAGCATTCAGGATTATTCTTTGATAAACAAGGCCTAGGTGGACCTTTGCGACGGGACAGTATATCACCAATGATAGGTGGGTTTCCTTTCCAAACCACGATGATTTTATCATGTAGCCTGTCTCTCTGAACCCCAATGATGGAAAAAGACATGCCTTGAGCGAGGTTTGGTTACCCACTTAGTTGAGACTTTTGTCAAGGCTAACCCCATCTATCTCCTAGCAGTTATTAGCTTTCATAACAGTTCTGACAGCGGAGCATGGAAATTGGCGGTAAGCAGCACATCACCAATGATATGTGGGTTCTTTTGCCAATGACCAATGATGATAATCTGATCACAGTGTGTACACTGAGCTCGGGAGCTTACTGATTATAAGTGATCTGATCTGACCATGGATTGGTTACCCACTGAGTGGAGACTTTTGTCAAGGCTAACCCCATTTATCTTCTAGCAGTTATAAGCATTCGTGACAGTTCTGACAACGGAGCATGGACCTTTGCGGTAAGCAGCACACCCCCAGTAATAGGTGGGTATTTCTTTCCACTACTTCATGATGAACATTGGGTATTCTGAGTCCTTGATGGACAAAAAATGACAGCGTATTAGCTCTGAGCGAGGATTGGATACCCACCTAGTTGAGACTTTTGTCGATGCTGACTTTTTTTTCGCTGTGCATATATTGTTTCCAAAGTCCCCATCCAGAGAGGGCCTTTATTGAGGCTCCTTAGCGAAGAATAACAACACATTGAACGACTCGGATACGGTGCGGACGCTTCATCTTCTCGATTTTGAGCGATATTCGGGATCTTCGATTATTCAAACTTGCGGTTTGGGGAATATACAAAGTTTGCCAGTCTTGGATCAATGTCGTTGAACTGGAAGCATTTGGTGCAATGTGGGAGGTCCAACCCGGGTCTGCCATGTATGCAGGTTATAGCAAGGATTGACCGGGGGTTGAAGAGCTTCGAGAACTCCTGAAGGAACCTTGGAAATTGGAACCATCCATGTCCAATCCACGGGTCCACTTGGGCCGAGATCCATGGAAAGTTCCTTGATTACTAAGTCCGATGCACACGTGACCTCGGTTCAATATATATCCGATGACATCACCTTGAAGTTGACTACGCAACTTGAATCAACAGTTGAATCGCTTCAATGATGCTGTGAACCAAGAGATTTCAATATGAGCTCAGAATGCATGATGTCCTTTGATTCGGAATTATGGCTGAAGTTACATGTACAGCTTCTGTAGAGGATCACTCTGCACTAGTAGTCGGCTTCCAACCTTGAAAGGTCGTCATCAACTCAACATCGCCGGGGAAAGCAACGAGGCTTGGTGATGAATATGCCGTTGATCTTGTTGATCTTTACGTATGATCCTTCTAGCTTGATATGGAAGACTATACAATTGTTTCATTTCCATAGGGCTGAGTATTTGTTTGAGGCAAAAAAGAAAATCCATGGATGGTGGCGGTGGATGACGTTACCTATGATCATGTCAGCTCTTGTTCCTTGATACTATCTTTATTTGTTCAGGGATCTAACTCCACCAGGTCAACACGTTGAAACTCAATGAAATTGACCACTGACACTACCTTGATCTTTATGGCGATCGTATTTGCGGGGCACGTCATCTACTCTTTTCAAGTTGTCTCTCCAACTGTTTGCAATGGCGTCACAGGGCCTGAAAATCTAGTATATAGTTCGCTCAATGACCAGTCTAACACTCTAACACTGGCAGTCATTCAATACTCATCCAGATCAATCAATATCACTTGCTTCCTCATTATTACTCAATCCACTTCAAAGTTACAACTTGAATCTAACAACTACTTATTCAAATCTCCTCTTTCAACCAACTTCAATCATGTCAGGCATCATCAACAAAGTCAAGGACACCATTGCCCATCATAAGGAGCAGAAGGCAGAGGAAAAGGCAGAGAAGGCCACTGGTAACACCTATGACTCTCCTGAGTCTTCCAACTATGGCCCTCATGGCAGCAACGTTGCCAACCAAGCCGATCCCCGCTTTGATAGCGACCGGTCTAACTTGACCGGCTCAACTACCGATAACTACGGTCCTCATGATACCAATATTGCAAACAAGGCCGATCCTCGTGTCGACAGCGATCTTGACTCTCATGCTATGCGAAACACCTCCCATGTTGCTCCAACTGCCACTGGTGGTGTCGGATCCACCTACGATTCCGCCAGATCATCCAACTATGGTCCCCACGACAGCAACATTGCAAATCAGGCGGACCCTCGGGTTGATAGCAGTCTGGAAGACCACCACGCTAGACACAACACTTCTTCTGGTCATGGCGCTGGATATGCTGGTATTGGTGCTGGTGCTGGATATGCTGCCTCCCACCACCCATCTACTCACACACCTTCCACTGGTCCTGCCACCTCTACCGCCGGTCCCCATGACAGCAACCTAGAGAACAAGATGGATCCTCGTGTCGATAGTGACTCTCCTAATGCCCGTTACTCTTCCTCCACCGGGCCCGCATCGTCGACAGCCGGACCCCATAAGAGCAACGTTGCCAACGAAGCCGATCCTCGTGTCGACAGCGACCGCAGCAAGGCAACCTTCACTGGTAACTCTGAGTTTGATAAGGATGTTCACAAGGGAAGCCTTGGTGGAGGCGGTGTGCTGCACCTTTCTGGTAACAAGGCCCCGACTACGACTCAGACCTTTGAGAAGTCGCAGAATGAGGATATCGGAGGCAGAGCCGCTGCTGGTAGTAGCTACAGCTCTCACCACCACACTCCTCAGCACACTGTTGGCCCTCACGATAGTGATGTCGCCAACAAGCTTGACCCTCGTGTGGATTCCGACCTTGACGGATCGAAGACTATTGGCTCCCAGCGCTTTTAAGAATCACGATGTTTACGATAGCTATGTTCCTTATGCTTAATAAATGATCAGCTCTTTAGTTCATTTCTAGTATCTTTTTTCAATATGAAATTTTCAATGCATCTTCTATCATTCCAACATTTGAACTTGAATTGACCCTGATTACTAATAGTCCCTCAAGTACGTTACATTACATTATGAGGTAGCAACATAGTTCAAATAGTCATTCTACTGATATGATATCATTCAAAGATTACGACAAATAAAAACTGAAGCTGGATTTTAAATATAACTTCATGTAGTAATAGGAGGTGTCAGGGCCCTTCCTCCTTTGGAAATTTGAAGCCGCTAATATGTAGGGTCCCAGGATAAAGATGATGTTACATGTGCAGACTGGAAGAGCACCGCATCCAAAATGTTTATTTCCAGGTATCCGCCGATGGACTCGAGAAAATGCGGGCATTTAGGTCAGATAGCCCACCTCGCTATTTATCCACGCCCAAAATCCGGAGATGGCCTTTCCAAGGTCCCAGGTTGGACAAGTGCTATGTAGACACATGATGTCACTCGCTCACTATAAGTTGTTGATGGAGAATCGAGGTCCTAATTGAAAGTCTAATCGTCGCAGTAAAAGGTGACACCACATGCAATTTCCGAGGCTGCATAAAGCCTCCAAGCCTCAACCTTGGAAGTGCTCAGGGTCTGATGCTTTGGTTTGAGCTTTATCCTTTAGTACATATAGCGGGTATAGTGGATATGAGTAGTAGTCAACCCCTTGCTCCAAGGCCTCCAGGGCTACTACATCATTCCCACTATGCTGAAAGAAAACGACACATAACAAGAGCATGTGAAAAATGCCGATCGACCCGGAACCGAGTAAGATTTTCTTTTTTCTACAGCAGCCCTCAGATATATGCTGGATACCGAGCCAACTAACATCACCTCATTGGCAGTGCGATGGACAAAGACCCTGCGGAAAGTGCCGAGAGCTTCAAGTCGAGTGCCGGTACGTAGTAAACGACAAGCGAAGGAAAACAGATCAAAATGCAAGGATCAGAGCTCTTGAACAGAGAAATAGATACCTTGAAGGACTTGTCGAGCAATTAAGTGCAAGCAACGGCAAGATCACTGAAAGCGATTCATCTCAAGGGGCGTCATCTTCCACCTTGGACCACAGTCGCGGCTCCACATTTCGAGTTGCGCAATATACCAACTTGAACCAAGATGATATGCTTAATATATGTTATACCGGCACAGCAGCATACCCGACCCTACTCAATTCCCAGCCCTCACTTGAGGCTTACCAGACATCTACGGTCCACGGTCTTCCTGACGAGCAAATTGCTCACTATGCTGTGGATGGCTTCTTTCGATGTGCAGCCACTTTATTTTTCATCAAAACCCATGATGAAGCACTTGAGCTACTTTATCGTGTCTATCAAGATGAAAACGTATCGGTTGGAGATATGAGTGAATTTTGTGCTCTAGCCGCAATTAGAAGTCACTATGATGCAGAGAGAGTCCCTCAAGAAGCCCGAGCAGTATTTTTCTATCGCGCTTCTATTGTTTTGAATGGTATTGTCCCACTGGAGTCAGTACAAAGAGTCCGAGTCTTCATTTGTCTATGCATGAACTGTATAATGGACAAGAGCACGACAGCGAGGACACTCATCGGTAAACATTGACCTACCTCCTTTTGAGAATTTCTGCTCAAATCTCACAAATTCTAGTCTCCGCTCTGAATCTTGCCAGAAGCCAAGTCACAAGAGAGTTGAGGGAGGACACTGGAGAAAGAGGTGCTCAGAGTCAGCATCGCAGACTCGTTAGGACACTCATTTCCCTCGAAGGGTATGCTGCCCCTCGGGATTCTGAATGCATTTTCGAGAAATCCCATAATCTAATGTTTGAAAGATGGGTCACATATTCTCTTGGATATCAATCCAGTCTGTTACAAAATGAGATAAGTCTGGTATGTCAGTCCTGCCTTTCACTCTGATGAAAGCGCTAACAAAACTTCAGATACAAAATATCGAAGCTGAAATATCCGAGGAACAAGGTGCAGCCTTCACTGTTGCTAATAAGATTCAATCTCAGATGGCCAAAATGATCGCCATGGTGGTGGAGGAGTATAAGAAGATAACACACTTAATTTTAGGATCCGATCTACGGACCGACATTAACAGAGGCTCTGAGAATCTCAACATATGGTATCATGAGCTTCCACCAAATTTACATCTATCTACACTTGGGGAGGTAGATGCTTCTCTTAGTCCTCAGCAAGTGACCGCGATTTATATTATGCATACTCTTTTCATCGACACACAACTCTTACTATACTTTCGTTTCATCGACTCTTATCTTCGGACTGACACAAGCCAAGATGGTGATACCACAGATCCAAGTCGTATAATTTACCAGATGCAGGAGTCGATATTCTCAACTTATACCTCATTCTCAATCCAGCTTGCACGAATAATCTGCCTTCTATACGATCAAGAGAATATTTTTGCCCGTTGCTGGATAGTTATGTGAGTGTACTACATAGCTTTTAAGTTCTTAAGAGATTCTACCCTGACTAATTGAGATTAATTTAGCCATGCAACTTTTGACGCAGTGAGTATGATGCTACTCAGTGTGTGTCAATCACATTTTACTAGGAAGGGAAACGATATTCCTCAAATAATGAGCCTCCTTGATTCTTGTCTTCAAGTGCTACGATTTTGCTCCAGAAACGATTTCGTCGCTGGCCGGTTCCTCGATCTACTTACACCACTTTACATTGATCTGCGATCTCTTCAGAACTACGAGGGTGTTCAGAGATCCAACAGAATGTTGATAGGATATTTATTGAATTCGGAACAAATCGAGCAGCCTGCAGTTAGAAATATTCTATGCCGTTTATTGGAACTGATGTCTATTGAGCGGCGAAAGATATGGGTTTGATTTGATTACTTCTTTACTGCAAGTGCGTAGCAAAACACTGATTGATCTAATCGAAGTAAAAGATCATTTGTTCAATCCAAATAAAACAATTGCAGGGTACTATTCTGCTTGTTCGTGGATTCTTGTTTATAGATGTTCCCGCTGGCTCAGCTAAAGCGTAAAGATCAATAATCGACAAATTTATCAGCAAGAATAATATGGAGTACAGCTTGAACCTTGGAATCATAATGCAAGAAAGCTGCTGCCTAACCTTGACCCCTTCGAATTTACACTAGAATAAATGTGGAGTTCAGCCCTGCCGTAGGGCTGAAGGTTGCGACAAATAACCGGTTCCTTTGGTCCCCGCTTATTCTGCTCAGGGATCCATTCATTGATGGATTATTGTCCATTTCTGTAATATATTAGCCTATAAAAACTTGTTTGTTTCAAAGATCATCAAAATAAAAGTTAATTCCTTTTCAAGAAGGATGCTCATCCCAGAACAGAGAGGATTTTGAAGAAAGCAGAGTAAGGTCCTGAACCTGAATGCAATGACCGTGGTTTATAGGCAAAGATATTTCCAATATCTTGGATTTTCACTTAATGGTTTCACTTCCAAAGCCAAGTCACTTATTGCGATTTGGATCTTCCATCGTCTCGATTTTTGATTTTATTTTATTAATCCCCGTCACAAGGTACTCATACTGGCCCACCTTGTCTCCACAGTGAACTCGGTGTCCATGGAAATAGGCCGCGTAGGAGATACACCTATGTACAATTTGAACTGAATGGTCAATTTCAATTTACTACTAAGAAGCATTATCATTCTGACATTCATGTGACCAGGATGGTATCACAGACATCAGAAAGCGATCTTCTCTTCATCCCTCTCGGCGTTCTTCTTACCTTCATAATTATCAGCTTTTATGCCGAGAAATTTTTAAAAATGTCTAATTTCCTGATGAGAAACCTCTTGTCTCAAGAATTTACACTAAAGTTGCTATATGGGGCCCTCTGCTTTGGATTATCAGGAGCGGCAAGAGGTAAGTGTCAACTGCAAGCCGAGGGTTATGAATTTTCAATAATATTTACTTCCAAAAGGTCTAGACGAAGGACTTATTGCAAGCACAGTATCAGAGGAATCCTTTATTCGAAAATTCCATTTAGACGCTGCTGGTCTAAGTGCTACCGAAAAAGCCAATCGTCTATCCAATGTTACGTCCATGGTTCATATGGGGAGTCTTCCGGGGGCAATCCTCGGTTTCCTTCTATGTGAATGGATTGGAATTCTTTGGACAATGAGAGAGTTATGCTTAATTTGGATAGTCGGTTTGATTGTCTTCCTAACATCTCATACTCTTGATGATGTTTATATCGGTCGATTTTTCATGGGATTGGGCATTGGTCAAGCAGGAGTCATCGCACCCGTTTACTTGGCAGAGATATCACCACCAAGAATTCGCGGTATGATGGTATGTATGTATGGGATGTCTGAATATCTCGGGATTTTTATTGGGGTGAGTTCAGAGTGATTTAAAAACATTTTCTTTCGTCGTACGAAGACAATTTTCTGACATCGAAGGGTTAGTATTTTGCTATTTGGGGCGCATCTATCCATATCTCAAATTCCAGCTCAACTCAATGGATTGTGCCACAAAGTGTTCAAGCCATGTGGGCGGTTTTTTTATTCATTCTGTCACTTTTTTGTGAGGAAAGTCCTCGATTCCTTTGCAAAAAGGGCACCCCTGAGAAAGCCTGTGAGGTCTTTGCAAGGCTCTGGGGTCTGCATCCTATGGATCCAGCTATTCAGACAGAGATGCGAAATATAAGAAAGCAACTGAAGCAGGAAGAAGAGACTACTGGCTGGTACCTGATCTCATCTCTCAAAGAGCTCTTCACTCAGCGGTCCAATCTGCGTCGCATTATTTTTATCCTGTGTTTACAAGTGTTGAGTCAATGGTCCGGACCAAACTCGGTAACAAGTATGTTCTTTTTCTTCTTTTTTCTCTTTCATCGATGGGCACTTGCTAACAGAAGCTAGCATATGCTCCGGAGTTATTCGGTCTTTTTGGTATCAGTGGACAAGACGAAAAGCTCTTCGCCACGGCGATATTTGGACTGGTCAAACTAATATCTGCATTGATATGCGCAGTATTGCTCATTGACCGACTGGGCAGAAAGAAAACCCTCTATATAGGGATTACCCTTCAAGTTCTGGCTCTCATCTATGACTCTATCTTCCTAACAGTTTACTCCAACCTATCGAGCTCAAATAAACACTCAAGCTCAACGATGCAAGCCGCAGTTGGGTCAATCGTTTTCATGTATTTTATTGGTGTTGGCTGGGCAATGGGGTGGAACTCCATTCAATATCTCGTCACAGCAGAGACTTTTCCTCTACGCGTCCGTCTTTGTGGTGCAAGTCTGGCTACTTGCATTCATTTCGGAAATCGTATCGGTACATCTAAGGTGAGATCCCGACTCGGAGTTAAGCCATTGTCTGCATTTAGATACTGACCACCATCTATAATACGTCTAGGCTACCCCATATTTGCTACTTAATTCTGGGTTAACACCAGCGGGAACCTTCTGGTTTTTTACTGGAGTCTCACTATTAGGACTCATCTTTGCCATTTTCTACCTTCCAGAGACATCGGGCAAAGGACTAGAGGAAACAAATCAGCTATATGCGGGATTACCTGCCTCGCACTCTATGAGTAGCGCTGCCGGCACTTCTACCACTACTGATGCATCTCTTCCCTTTGACCCAGAGAATATAGGTAAAACTACCTTCCATCCATCTGGATTCAAATACTTTACGTCCTTGATATCTTGATTCTTGAAGAGCTTGGCTAATTGATCCTTCCCTCATATTAGTGCACCAAAACTCATTGGCCATGACCGGTCACCTAGTAGACTGAGAAGAATGTGTCCTTATCTTTATCATTCTGTGTTTTTTAATTTGCTACTCCTTCAAAAGAGAATTATTTCATACGCGTCATAAATGATATCCATTCTAGTCTGTAAATCTCGTCAAAAATATGTTACAAAGCTCACGTTGACTTTAAGCCACCAGGGCTTAAAATCCACTCTTGAAAGTGTTCAAAATAGGGGTGCTCATCCAGCAGCAGGTCTGGAATCAGTGACTTGGGTACCCTCTCCATCATCTGGCACAGCCTGAGCTCCATTATTTCTCTCCGTTCCCCAATTTTGGGTTCGTGGTTGTGGAGGAATAGGCTGCGGGAATTGTAATTCCATTGCTTGTCTCCTTTGACGTCGCCCAGTTCGCAGGACCTGCAAAACGTTGATGCCAACTTGACCAAGAAATATTGCCAGAAATGCTCCAATAACAAGCGTTCGTGGGATATACGTGGCAGGCGAATCATCCGTGTTAGTCTGCTGTTCCTGGTCTCGATTATTCAGTTGTCGCATAGCATTCGGGAAGGGCGAGCCACCAATCGATATTGAAATCGAAAAAGAGAAAGGTGTAAACGACGTGAGCACATTCGGCGTTAGAGAAGAAAATATTGTCGAGAGGGGACTTAGTGCTATTGGGATGAGGCAAAGGACGAGGAGAGGGGCGGCTAGTCACAAGACAGCATTGAGAGACGAGCGAGATGACCTGCGGGGAAATGAAGACGTGAGAAAGCTGAATGGTGACGTTGATCCTCTGAGTACATACCAGTCTCGAGCCTCTAGTTCTTTTGTCCATCGTGCGCTAATCTTTAAGCGTTCTCGGACGCTCGTTGCGGACAAGATGGGGTACTTTTCTTCTTCGGCTATTGGTAAAATACTGGCAAACCACCAGGGAAATCGAGCTGCATCTACGGGCACAGGCCCATAAGCCAACATCACGCGTGGGTGAAGCCATGGTGCACCCGACTGGCGCTGTTTGCGAATAAATTCTCGAGTCAAGAGCATCAGATCTTGAGTAGACATCGAGTCCAACGGCGGCTCAACGATATCATCCTCTGGCAAAGCATATGGATTTTGATGCGTTGAAGTCTCCATCGCCTCCAGTCTCTCCTCTTCTGCAAGCGAGATATCATCCACTCGTTCCGTCCTAGCAATGTGATATCCATCCAGCATGTCTGCTTCGAGCACTTTGAATCGCGATACACCTGTCGCAATGACAAGACTACGTCCATCAGGAAGCAGTTCGTAGCGTTCAACCATTAACAGTGTACCGAATTGCATGAATGGCGCACTGCCTATCTCATCACCTTGTGGCCGACCCCGGCGATTATACATGACCATTCCAAACTTACCATCCCCGCTTTCGACCACTCGTCGAATCATCAGCCTATATCGGGGCTCAAAAATATGCAAAAATGTAGGCATTGTTGGGAAGGACAATGTGCAGACAAAAAGGGGTAGCCTCCTATCGTGATCCATGCTTAATTCATCTTGCGCAAGGGCCTCTCGTCGGGCGATGACTTGGTCGGCAAAGAATTGATCAATGATTTTCGAGAGTACCCAGTTTGTTGGCTCCGATTGAATGGAAGTAGGCATGCCTAATTTGCGACGGCATATCGGACATAAATCTGAGTGGTCCACCACTCGGGCAATACATGTTCGACAAAAAGTATGACCGCAAGGCAAAGTCATAGGGTCTAGTATAAGAGAATAGCACACCTGGCAGTCTACTTCTGCTCGGAGTCTATCTCTCAACTTCTGAAATCGGATGCGATCATCTTGTGCCAGAGCCTGGGGCGTCTGCGTGTCTTCATCCGACGTACTACCACTGGGTTCTTCGTAATAGACATCTGTGGCGTCGCAGGGAACGCGACCCTCGAGAGCAAATTGATAAATTCCATTGAGCCATCCTCGGTGACCAATTTGGAGATTCTGTAGTTTTGAGACAGGGGTGGCTGCAGGTCTCCAGCGAATAACTCGCTCATCCTCATGGCGTGGGTCCGGATTGTCGGTATCCGATAGCACCCGCATGAATTCCTCATGAAAAAGTCCAGCTACAAAGCAAAGGACGATGTCAGTGCCGCAATCGACAACACAATGTTCGCCAACGCATCCTCGTTTCCCTTCCCAGTAACATGTAAAGCCCTCATGTCTACCGGGAGCCACTGGGTACGTAATCCCAGTACGCGGTCTAGCATGTGGCAAACATTCCCGACACACAGTATTACCGCATGGTAATCGGCAAGGGTTGCGCAGAGGTTTTGAGCAGTGCTGACACTGAATCAAGCGCACAATCATATGAGGGGCAATCTCTACCTCTGGGTTGCTATGCTCTTCTGAACTAGATATGTCTGAGCTCTCCACGGTCGGGGCCGAGTCATCGGCTGAATGCGGGCGCGAGGGTGATACAGCTGCAGGCTCCATGACTGCTGATCTTCATGAAAGACTTGTTCAGTGCAGTGAAATTGGAGTTTTCAAGTAGATATTCTTATTAGAGACAGAAAAAAGAAACCATGGAAAGTAACGGGGGGAGGCTCCACGTAAATGTAGAAGGAGAATGGAGATCGGCAATCAAAGCGGGTCAATTTTAGATAATCGTCAACTGCGGACATACGGGGTACGAGATGCAGTGCATATTTGTATACGGAGTACGCAGTATCCTGGGAGGCAATCGTATCTCGTACTACTAGTACTTTGATATGGCAAATTTTGAAATGCCACAGAGTGGAATGAAAAGAAAACACCCTCGGTTACTCAAAGCAAGGAGTTGATATTCGTGTCTCATTCGTACGCAAACCGCCACACCAAAATACAAATGCAGACAAACCAAGATCGTGACCCATCTCAACCTTCGATGGCTCCAACGAGTCCGGTATTTATAAAATTGTCGATAAATCATTGCATAGAAGGAACCATGCGGCCTGGTAAAGACCCAAAGACTAAGAAGAAAGCGCCAACACCACAGGGGGATCAATCGTAAAAAGACAGAAGGTTTATTGAAGTTTGGATATCATCGACACTAGACGGACGAATCCGAATCAGATTCTGAATCTTCCTCGAGAACGATGCGCCTCATAACACTCTTATCAAAAAGATCCAGTGCAAACCTTCGCGCTGGTAAGCGGAAGTGGTGACTCTCGAGAATGCAGAGAGCCTTTCGGAAAAGGTGGACCTGGTGAAATCGTTCAGGTTGCTTGGATTTCAAGCTAGAAATCATTCAAAGTTAGCACCTAGCCTAGGGCCTAGGGGAGAAAGAGAGAAACAGTGGGTGAAAAGCGTACTTGTGTAGGTCCGTTGCGGATCGTTTGGATAGAACAGTGTTTCCCATGTCGACGATGTGTTTCAGAATTTTCTGGTTCGTGGGATCGGGATCAGTTGTGGCCTCCTTGAGCGTGTCTTGTGGCGTCCGCCTTGATTTTTGGTTGTAGCCAGGGAAGGAGATCTAAACTTGTTAGCTATACTCTACACCAATTAAAGATACTGTGCACATACCAAGAACAACTTCCGGAAATCAGTCGGCAAACAAAGACCTAAGGAGTCACCTTCTTGATCGATAGCAGAGTCCCATCCGAGTTCGCGAAGAACCTTGAGTCCATGCCGACTACGAGATATTAATCCGAGGACGAAGAAAGCAGTTCCTCGCATGGTCAATACTCCGGCACTCTCCGCAATCATGACAATGCGTTTCACGATCTCAATATCGAGGAAAATTGCACCAAGTTCCATTGATCCGACATTGCCCACGGCCCAAAGACATCCTTTGACTTTGAGAAGCGCTTCGTGCTCTTCCTCGTCCAAGCGGAAGTCACGGATTGTCCAAGCAAATTCATTGAAATGCCCGGATTGCTCGAGCAACTTACATCCCTCAGCGGTGCGTGCAAGCTCGCGGTAGAAATGAGGTGGAACTACTCCGAGATCCTGCATGTCAACCAAATCCTCTGGCGCAAAGCTATTCCGTCGTGGTTGATCAACATAGGCTCGGGATAGAGCTGCTTCCACAAGGCCTACGTAAGAATCGTTTCGACCAAGAAACCAGTCATCCATCTCTTGTGTGATGTAGTCCAGGCCGTCAAGATAATGATAGCCAACGGAGGTAGAAAGGAATCGCAAGAGGAGTGGTGCACCAATTTCGCCCAGATGATCAAGTGAAGGGCGACATTTAACCACAAATTCGAGATAGTCACGCTGGTTGCACGCCTCTTCAAGGATCTTCACAGCAACCTGGCAAACGGTGACATCGGGATCGTAAAGCTGAGTCACAAGAAGTTTCACTACCCACTCCGCATTGGCGATGGCAACGTGCGAGGATATCATAGCATCTCCAACAGCATATTTTCGGAGCAGCTTGGTTGCAAAGATACGGATCTCCTTGGAGCCAATTGTGAGAGCTTTTGACAGCATCACTCGAAGATGACTTTCTCGGCTATAATCCATATTGCCCAAAAGGGTTTGAATTAGATCATTCCGATCTTGCAGTTCAATGATGTGATAGAACATGTTGAGCATGTGCCATCGTTCCATCATGAGAAGTCCGTTTGCGTCAGCACTCAATGTGCCTAGCATCGCGAAATATCCACCACTCATGGTGTTGCCCATTTGTTCTCGTGAGAACAACGGAGAGGCAGATGTCAGCCCACTCATACGATCCAGTTGTGCCAGGCATTCGGCAACCTGTCGCAGGAACTTATTTTCGGCAAGATACTTGGTGCCCTCTGGAGTCTGAACGAGAGTCCGCATGAGAGCACAGCCAGTTCGTACATATCGTTGATTTGGTTTTGTGTTCGGAACCATGGAGTATCGGTACTTAAAGGGTCGGTAGAATCCAATCAAGCGCTTCATGAATTTTGAGCCCTTGATAGCCTCGTCCATTCGCTTGGGATTCGTGAGCGGGCCTTCAACGAGACGGTGGATGAGATCCCACTTCCACTTGATATAATTGACAGTATTCAAAACATGTGTCTCCAGAATTGCATTGCGAAACTGCGTTTCATCCATGGAGGGACTCAGCTTATCTTTGCTTTGCTCGCCTGGAAGTAGAGAAGCCGATATGTCCGTATCAACATTGTAACGGCCTACGCCATTGGGGACAGCTACAGAGCGTGCCAATGTGCGGTTAATGCTTTCAATTTGGAAAATAGTTGATGTTGAAACATCGTGATTCTCTGTCTCGAATTTGACTGCAGCCGGGAGTAAATGTGGTAGTACTTGCAACTTTGCGCTGACAGTTGCTGGCAGTGAGTGATGTGCCAATTTCAAGACCTCTGTCAAAAGGAGAGTAGCTTTGCGTCTGAGAGACAAGTCTGGTTCGTCTTCGATGAGATCCGAAAGAGCCTTTGGTAAGCCCGCAGCGATTAGAGCCGCCAGAATGAGAGTAGAGAAGTGGGCAGTCAAATCAAACTTATTTGAAGCACTATCGGTAAAGCCACGTTGATACTTAGTTTCGGTTTCAGATCTCAGGTTTGAGACACGACCGTAGGTTGTCAGCCTCCTGCCCGCTAGGAAAGAGGACGACCAAGATGGTGGCTTGATTCGCAATGCATCAAACAGCAGCTCCATAATGAGATCGCGAGCTTGAGGATCGGGGTACTGGAGTGATTCTAGCAGAGAACGCAAAGGCTTTGCCCCATGTCTTGCAAGGATCACCAACCCAGGCCAGGTCTTCAGCATAGCAGAGATGGCCCGAGCGGCGGACTTTAAGCGTCCATTGCGCAAGGAGTCTGCTAATGAGTCGGTAAAAGGTGTAAGCACAGCCTCTAGTTCGCAGCCTTGTAGGTATTTTCGGCTGTACGGGGTATCAAGGACATGCAAAAAACTTGAGATCAAACTCTCTGAAGCGCCAAATGTGCCTTCCGACAAGGCATCATGCAAAGCAGCAAAACCACCGGCAGAGGCAACAAGTTCAGGATCCTTGACTAATATCTCTGCCAAAGTCATAATTGAAATATTTCGCAAGCGATCTTCATGATGCTCTGCGATGGAGACGATCGTTCTGACAATGGCACGAGAAATTTCCTTCACTCCGTCTTTGACGTCGAGGAAAGCGCGTACAAACTTCAGTGCCTGTTCCCTTTCAATGCTTGCTTTGGTCTCTTTGACAAGTGACAATATCACAAGTTCATCCGTGTGTAGCGCTCGAATAGTCTGAAGAGATTTGCGATCTGCAATGGCGTAACGAGTCAACCGATAACCGGCAGCCACCACTTCTTTGCTATCGCTAAGAAGCATAACCTGGACACGGAGCCCAAATACAGACCACGCAAGATCATACTTCAAGGTTGGGTATCGTTTGAATAGCTCGACCAGGCTGTTCGCGTGCTCAACATAGAAGTCGGGCGACATTCCCTCAACCTCGAGCTCTTGAAGGGCTTCTGTGAGTACATAAGTTGGCGACTCCATGTCACCCTCTCCTTCCTCCTCCTCATCCATGGGTCCGGTGTTAATGTTATTCCGTGTTGGTGAGCGCATAGGGCTTCCTCGGAATAGACTGGAAAGTCGACTGCGCGGAGGGGTAGAGGACGGCGCCTGCGCACGTAGAAGCTCCTCTTCCAATTCATTTTGCAGCTCTGCTAGTTTCCGATTCGATGAGCTCAGTTCCGATTCCACTCTAAGGCGCTGCTCTTTGGTCTGCTTAGGGGGGTTTTGCGTATAGCGCCTCCAGCATGTTCTCGGTTCCAGTCTTAATCTTTATCTCCTTTGCGATCTTATCCCTTATGACAGCCTGGCGCTCCTCGGTTGTCGGAAAATCGTCTTCGCCGATCGATCGACTCGCTCGTCTTGTATATGTGCCATCGGGTCGAGGTGTAATGCTGCGGGAATGCATGCTTTTGAGCTCCGCGCTGAAGCTACCTGGGCCCCCAAACGATGGGGCCAGTGATGCTCCACGGGGAGCTGTAGACATGCTGCCCCCAGAGCCTGAACGTCCGTTGCGAACCGATCGGGAAGCTCCATCGGCATAGCTTCCATCCACTGAGGTACCATCTTGACTGAATGAGGAGCGTCCATCACCCAAGACGCGGTGCTGGGTTGACGCTGAGAATGCTGAAGTATGTCCGGAAGCCATGAAGCTCCATCTAGCCACAGGGGCAATTTATCATCTGTGACAAATATCCTGAGTATCGAGAGGCTGCATTGAGGGCCGAGAATAGAGAGGTCGATAGCGGCGCAAGGGTTCGGGCTATACGGGGAAACGTAGGCAGTGTAAGGGAGGGGAAAGATCTCCGCACAGGTAGAGTCACGGGTGTTAGTCGTGATGATCACAGAGCATCCACATCTGCCATGACCATAAAACTGTTGAAATCAAGAAATAAGAAGGTCACGTCTGGAATAGACGATCACCACCCATATAGTCGATTTGTCCCACTCCGATCGGTTCAGCCTGGTCCACGAAAACATATGGATGACTAAGGCGCCACTCCAGGGCCCCGGGGGCTTAGCACTTCCAAGGTTCATTAGTGGTGAGCTTGTACGGAGTAGTGTATAGAGAATTAAGACATCTACTAATTAATTGAGTGAAGAAATGCATTAAATTGTATCAATAGGTAGATTAATGGTTTATCTAAATGTATTGGAAGTATTGAAATTGTAGAGAGTCCAAGTCTGCGATATACTACCTATTAAAGAGGGGAACCGTGAGGCAGTGTATTCGAGATACACGGGTCGATTCAGCTAGACTGAAAGAACAACACCAACCAACAAAGACAATGTGTCCGGACTACCCGTAGGGGTCAGATCAGAGATGTGTAGGAGTGTGTATTGTCTTCTAGTATCGAACGCCAATCTTGTACGTACAATAACACAACATAACATAACGTAAGGAATGAACAATACCGAAATATCATACCCGTACGGTACGTGTAGTAGGGGACAGGGTACCCCACTACACTACTTATATAACTTCATAGGGTTTTATTCAATTCTTGGTTGGATCGTAAAACGGAGTTAGGCCATAGACTATTACCTTAATTCAATCCTTACAAAACGATTACATTTTTGTGAGTTATGTGACTTGTGGCAAAACAATTAATTAGAGGAAAATCGGTGTTGCTGATAATATATTAATAATAAATAGTAAAGATGGAATTGTGCGAAGAGCTCTCTTCGTATTTCGAAGGGATCTGCCATAATTTCTGAAGAGCGTTGGTATATTAACGTAGTTAGTTAATCCGCTTAAATAAGTCACCAGTATAACTAATTTGTGAGTAAGCGTACTTGTCAAAAAGAAAGTATTAGCGATTCCAAAGTGAATGGCAGCCTACTGTTTCATTTATTCTAACTGGATCGATCATTTCTAGGTATAGTAATAGAATTTTGGTATTTAGCAGAGGTTTAGAAGAAGCTTTAATTAATCCTAATACCCTTACTTAGGGTGGTGATATAAAACCTGAATAGCGGTTAATTACCTCTACCGGACAACCCTTAAAGCTTATATAAATATTATCTGTCTGTGTGATGATATGGTGTTTGTGATGGGCTCTATAAAGACTGAAGCAGAACGATATAGGCCGACATGCAGTTTACATTCATGCTTAAGGAAGAGGAAGCTATAGTACATGATGGGGCATATATGTCTTTCCGCGGATCACGTGTGGGGCTGTAAGCGGAGACGTCCGTGGTCAACTGTCGTCGAACGTGACCGTACATGATCGTGGCTTTGGGCTTCGTCGAGGATTGACAAGCCCTCGTCGGGTTCAACCCGTTACAATCTCTTATAATTATATATAGTAGCTATATAAGCCCTAAGACAAGTACAAAAGCTTATATAGATTAAATTAGCTCCTAGGAGTTCTAATGATTTTTATATATATTAAATTTACTTACGGAGAGATTATTTTCCAAATTCTATCACTATGAGAAGCTCCGAGGAGCAAACTAATAAAGTTCTCTTCATTTAGACTAGCCTTTTTCTGAGTGACAATCTTGGTAGCCATGATACCATCTACTCTGAGAGTCTGAGGAATCTTATTCTGTATATATCATTCTCTATCTATAATCTTTTATAGTCTCTGATAAACCTGGTAAGATTGACTTCTACTCTTAATTAAGTCTTAGCTTTGTAACATCATATCGCAGACTAGATAGGAGGCTTTTCCTGTGTTCTGGGTATAGTTGATAGCGAAAACAGCTTCTACCCTTATGATCGCTTTTCTTTATTTAGGTCCTAAGGTCTTAGTGTGGAGCCTTTATTACTGGCCCGTAATAAGTTAAAGGCTACCATAAAGTACATTATATCTAATACCAGGGCTTTAAACATTTTACCACCTAGCTTTCAGCAGTAGATCCAATCTTACCGGGGAAAATACAGTTCCATATATTATATATTATTCAATAGTCCTTAGATTACTGCCGGGCCATTAATAAAAGATCTGCGCTAAGGCCTTGGCAGTAGGGCCTAAGAAAAGAAAAGCGATCATAAGGGTAGAAGCTGTTTTCGCTATCGACTGTACCACTCTTGCTACGCTTGCGTCAGTCAAATAGAAGGAAAGCCATTTCACATCTATGGCTTAGGTAAGACTAGTCTAGGTGCTGTTTTACTACTCTTGGCATTACATTCGATAATTTCGAGCGAGTCCTCGGACAACAGGATGTTGTATAAATATAACTACGGCCTCCTTTCAGAGCAACTCATTTTCCACCGTTTATCCTCACACGCTTTTCTCACTTCAACTCTTATCAATTCTGTGTCTCAAATAGTCGCGAAGAATTCATCGATGGTAAGTTACGTTTGATATAAAAAAGGGTCGAGAGATTGCTCACTTTTCATTCAGTCTAGCACCGAGAAGTTACGCGCTCGTTTTGCAGAAGCTCTCTCTCACGAGAATATCAAGAGCTTTTTGGATGTCTTGGAATGCATGAATGTGCAGGTCGATACGCCGGACGCCCAGGGCCGAACCATGCTGTGGCACTGTGTCAGAACGCGTGACCACAAGAAAGTGGATTTCCTCATTAGATGTGGCGCAGAGCCTGATGTGACGGATAATGAGGGGATGACGCCTATTCACGTTGCTTTGATGCAGGGCGAATTCATCGATGAACTCATAGCGCGGATGCTGCTAGGTTCTCGACCGAAAACCTCGATATCCGAGATACTTCAGGGTGGCCTGAGCCTTGACCAGTTATTTTTGTACCATGCCGACATTTCCGACAGTGTCAATGCCATCAGGTTTCTCCTGAAGCTGGGCGCTGATGTTAAAACTCTTAATGAGGATCGTGAAACACCTTTGATGCGGGCAGCCCACTACGGGGAGCTTAAAACCATGAAAATAGTACTGGCGCAAGGAAACATAGATTTCTACACAAAAGATTGAGAAGGGCACACCGCCTTACATATTGCTACTTGCCATGACCAGCTAGAAGCAGTCAACTTGCTTTTATCCAGCGAAAAGCTTAACGTGAATTGCCAGGACCGCAAGGGTAGATCGGCCTTCTGGCTATCAGTACACCTCGGGCGTGACAAGATCAGCGAGCGATTTCTGAATGATAGCAGAGTGGATGTGAACTTCAGGGGTGGTAGTGTAATCCCGCAATGGCAAACCACACCTCTTTATATTGCCTGTTACCGCAGGAATATTCAAATGGTCTCCTGCATTCTTGCAGCGACAAATTTTCCCAGAGTGGATCCAAACATCCAAGGAGATATGGGAATGAGTCCTCTTAGAGCCGCCGCATATCAAGGCATCTATGAGCTCGTGGCAATGCTTCTCAAGGCAGACGGTATTCGGATCAACGCAGTTGACGAAGGAGAAAATGATCCCCTCTGGCTGGCGATTCAAATACATTCAGTGTCCGTAGTTCAACTCTTCTTGAACGACTGCCGACTTGACATTAATTGCCAGAATAACCGAAAGGGGGACACGTATCTCATTGCTGCAGCTCTTTATGGCAATGTTCCCCTAGTGAACAAGCTCCTCAAATTCAAGGGCATTGAGCTTAGTAGAAGGAACAAGGAGGACGAAAGTGCGGTAGAGATCGCCCACAAGCTCAACCACCACCAAATCGTTCAAATGATCATTCAATCCATGGCCGACAGAGGAGCAGATCGCTTATAGGTATCTCAATCAATCCAAACTATGTGAAATTAGACAAGGAGTTTTCTATGTACAGTCATCAGCGAAATCTGCTTCCTCTTTAGTGATCGCTTTTCTTTCCTCGGGCCCCGCTGTAAGGGCCTTGGTGTAGATGCTTTATTGACCACCCGTTGATAAGTTAAAGGCTGTTGAATAATACATATTTTATTGTACTATATCTTCTTATGTACAGTAAGATTACACCTTTTGCTGAATATTGGGTGGTGAAAGTTGATAGTAATCGTATATCGTACTAATTGGATAAAGATTTTAGTTTTTTTTTTACGGCGGCCCTTAACTTTGCGCGGGCCAGTAAGGGAGAATCTACGCTAAGGGCTTGGCAGTGGACCCTGAGAAAAGGAAACCGATCATTAAGGAAGCAGATTTTGCTAGTGACTGTACCACTATTATTCTCTAGAATTAGCCTATTCATTGTCCTCCACTTCCTTTTTTCTGGTTTATGTACATATATAAAGTCCTGCAAGAAGAAAAAGTTGACCCTGTCGTATGAAAGAATTAGCTCCTTCTCTGAACGGGGTTGATGGCGTGAATTTTTTGCCGAGACTTTATCGTAAAAGCCCTTCGATATTTAATCACATAAGAATAGACTAATGTTTTAGGTCATTTCATTTGATCAACTCGTGGTCTTTGTGAAGATTAATTTTGCGTATACAGTAAAACCTTCGTATTACGAATCATTTTTTACACAGGTTCAATTCGTTATATCCAGGAATTCGTTATATGGAGTCATCCACTATTATACACGAAAATACCCCCGAATATCGCTCTGTTTTCTGTTTTCGACTTCTTTCCTCTGCATCTCGATCTCATCTCGCCGTAGGCACCTAATATACGCTACATCAGGTGTTTCCTGCTGCTCGTGGAAAGAGATAAGGTCTCGGATCGCGGAGAGTGCCACGGGTAGCGTGATCGGCGGCTGCATTTCAATCTCCTGCCCAGTGTCTTCCTCCTCAATATCCTCTGTTTGAGGCCCTTGGAACTGGGATAGAATAAGCTCTTCAATCGTGTCATGTGAATCAATAACCTCTTCATCCACTGGGTTTAAGAATTGGCTAATATCCATCATATCACGGATTGGAAGGCGTTCGATATCCCTCGATATATCTTGGTGTACTAGCGGAGTATCCGCTTGGTCCTTTGAACCATATAGACCTTTGCGAAAACAATTGGTGATTACCGAGGCATTAATATCGAATTCCCATGCCTTAAGAGCCCAGCGTATAGCTTTTAAGATATCCACTGTTGCTGAAGGATCCCTTCCAGCTTCATATTCCCAAAGCATATAGCGGACCCATTCTTTGCGCCAATAGACCTTCCAAGCATTAATAATACCTTGATCTAAAGGTTGGTATTTACTGGTCGTGTTTGGTGGAAGCCATATTATCAAGGTATTCTGTAGAGGAATCTGAGAGTGTTTTATCAGATTTACTGCAGCTTCATGGGCAGAGAAATTATCCATTGAAAGGACAACTTTTCGCCCAGTCATACGTTGATCAAACCAATAAAGCCACTCTTTCATAATATAGGCAGTCATCCAAGCAGTCTGATTAGACCGCCAATAGACATCAAGAGCTTGGAAAGCTCGTGGCTTTGCAGCTCGCCCAATTATCCATAAAGGTAATTTCTCAGATCCATCGGCATTGGTGCAAAAATGGATGGTTATACGCGCTTTCTGTTTACGCCGACCGGGTAAAGAGCGTGTAGAAAGGCTTCGATCAGGTGTCAGTTTCCAAAATAGCCCAGTTTCATCACAATTGAATATATCCTGTGGCTGAAACCCCGCTAGAGCTTGTCGAATAGAGTCCATCTCATCTTCAGCATTTGCTACGCTAGCAAGCTCACCAAATTGCTTAAAGCTTTTGATACCGCGGCGTTGCTGGAAGCCTTGTAGCCAGCCATTACTAAAAGTAGGCATCTCTAGGTCTTTATAATTTGGCAATTTCTTCCAAAAGAACTCTGCTTTCTCACGGAGCGTAGCACTGGTAATAGTGATATGTTGCTCTGCGCGCTGTATCCACTGAAATAGAACGTCCTCGAGCTCTGGCCAATGTTCACGTCGGTTACGTTGCTGGGCTAGTTGTCGCTGGTGCTGCTCATCGAGGAAGGCGTACCTCTTTGAAAGGATCTCGGAAACGGAGGAAAGCGCGATAGGTCGCTGGAAGGTGCTTTTAAACCAATTGCTGATGAAAATGTTGCTTTTGGTAGGATTGTCTCGCTTGTATGCTCGTATCGCTTTCTTCTGTTCAACAGAAATAGCGGAGCGCGGTTTGGTAGACATCGCTAAAATTTCGACCTGGAAAGGGATAAATGATGAGTAATCACCTGTATAAGACGAATATTGGGGAAAAAACAGACGAACTCGTAGTAGGGGGGATATTCGTTATATATATGATAAATTTAATTTTTACGGGCCGTGCGTTCGTTATAGCCAGGAATTCGTTACAACCAGGTTCGTAATACGAAGGTTTTACTGTAGTGACTGTAAAATCAGTAAAACTCATAAGTTCTGACAAATCCACTCGTCCTGTGCTAGTTCCTTAGCGCAACTTCGCATGCCTGGCTCCCACTGCAATATCTTCCTTATTAGGTGCAAAAACTTTGATTTGTCCTCTCCCTCAAGTGTAGTTTCTCTCTCCTCCAGTGGGATCCGAGGTTGGAATGGGGTTTCAACACAAAAGTCACCTAGAAAACCAGGTAAAGTGAGCGGGTTTCGGATTTGACCAGACAAAAGAAGCAATTTTCCTACCTTCATTAGAGAAGAACTTGTGGCTTGACTTCCCTTGGGCAAGCAGACTGAGTGGAGGGGGACCGAGGAGGCTTATCATCTCGCTGAGATGAGCCCGACTTCGGTAAGTCTGAAATTCTGGGTCGTATCCAGTGAACAACGATTCGGTTTCAAACAGGTCCCAAATCTGTGATTGAGGTCTTAGAAATATTGTCCGGTATCATCAAACCTATTTTCTTACCATACATCCCACATTCCATATATCGACACTATAAGTCCATGGGGCTTCCAGAATCACCTCCGGGGCTCGATAGATATTAGGCTGGATGTCTTCGAAATGCTCTATGCCACCAGGCATAGCAGAGCCAAAGTCGCATAAGACGGGGGCTCCCCATTCCCTAGGCATCCTGAGTTCCCGGGACACATATATTATTCTTCCATCTAGTTCCTTCCTTGGGGAGGGAGCTTCAAGCTCCCTTTCTTCAAAGTCAGTGAAGACTGAATCATCAGCGATTCCGAACATGATGTTGTCGGCTTTGATATCTAACAGAATTATCGTGACAGTTAATACAAGAAGTAGATGACGATAGGAGAGCACGGACCTGCGTGTACGATTTTGCATTCTGTGTGCAGATAATCTAGCGCCAAGAACAGGCGCTGTAGCACAAATGCCAGAACTGGTTTCGGTAGTTGCCGTATCGGATTGCGGTGCAAAAATGTCAACACACTCTCCCACAATGGAGGATGCACGAGACACCTATGTTTGTCTTTGGGACCATCAACGTAAAATGAGTCAAGTAGCGATCTGACAGCATTGCGACCTGGGTGGAATTTCGAGGCTCTCTCTATGCGTTGGTACATCTTGAGCTCGTCATCCAACTGCTGTCCCAAGGATGTGGAGTTAATGAATATTTTAAGGGTAACGTAACGATGACAACTGTAATAGAGTGTGATCTGTTCAGTATTGACCATATCCTTGGATACTAGCGCTAGGTGAGTCTCACTTCATGTCCCGCGCAAGCCACGCAGTCGAACTAGCTCCAAATCCTAGCTTCCCTACGACCTGATATCGGTCCTGAAAGACTTGTCCTATTCGAGTAGGATAATACCGTGAAGCAATGTAATCTGGGATGGTCTCTTCTTCGATCTTCTGACTGTCGTTTATCCGTGTGAAGTTTGTATTGGAGAAGTCAAGGGGTCTCCACGCCCGTCCAAGCCGAGAGAAAGAGCGTAGCAGCGATGGAAGCATGGTCTGAGAAAATGGATGATAGGTAAGATACCTGATTTATTTGGTGACAAAATAAGAGAGTCAAGTTGTTCAACTTTGTGTGGTGTTGGAGATAATGCAGATATTAAATACACATACCAAATTCCATGTTTCACGGAGGCGGAGACTACCAGGTCAGGTGACCTGTCTCAAAGACTCCACGATTGTTCTAGACTCGCTAGCACATTCTGTCAAGCGTTACAAACAAAACTGATACTGTAAGCTTGAAGTCCCTATGAAGATGGAAATCTAGGGAAACAGAAAATGAGAGCTGTACGATATCTGTTGCATGGGCCACTCATGGATGCCTTATGGATTAGGCAACAACATGTCGACACCGTTACCAAGTCAACTAGTTAGTTATATTAATTCCTAGGAGCTGCACTAGAAATGAGTATGTAGTATTAATTAATTTCTAAAATAATTACATAACCACAAAAGTTCCTCCCTTACCGTGCGGGTTCTCTGCATGAAACCCAAGGTGCGACGTTCGTGAGATTTAGCCGCCGAACTTCACGGCCCTTCCAACGTCACTTTATCGACGAGAGCACCTCTGAGATGACTTCAGCAAACTTTAATATTGCAGGGATGGGATATGTGTGACCGGGCACACGTATCCCATCTATACCTCTATCCGTCTTAGCTTTGCAGCTAAAGGTATATGGTAAGAATAACCATATACATTTTGATCACCACATTAAAAGAGACAGTCGCTGTTAAAGTAGCCTAGTATCTATTTCTACCTATCACTAAGACTCTATGTTCTAATTTAGACTGATCGTAGATGCCCCGCTCCAATGAACTGGAAGACGCGCGCGTTGCGCGCATCGGCCCTGAAACGAAGAACCGAGAAATAGAAATAGAGACGTGAATAACCGGATTTTGGACAACACAGAAGGGGAAAGTAAATAGTCACCAACATTTACAAAATAAATTCTACAAAAAATAATCAAACAAAGAAAGGGCGAAAATTCAAAAACATACAACAGCAGGGATTCTCATGTGGTCACCCACCATACTACTAGGTGTCGCCCGGGTGAGTTTAGGGTGAGAGCCGCTCTATCGTCGCGCGAATTACAAATCAGTAGCGGCCCGAGCTTTTAATTAACGATGAACATGTCCAGCTACTGCAGTCTAGATGCGTACTTGGGTCTATATTACACATTACTGTGACGCACCCCTGGCGCACGGTGGAAATGGGTTCAGCGGCAACTGATACAGTTGAGAAAAGCCCCTGAACAGAAAGATGAGGGGAGTGGTTAGAAAATAACATAGCCACGGAATTTCAAGGACCTGGTCGACATATAAAGCCTCACAACTCCGCGTCTAGAATATCATTATCTTGATCGTCACAAAGACCTCTTGTCTTTGATTCTTATTGGCTCCAATCACTAGCAACCCAGGAAGTTTTGCCATGTCTCGAGCTTTTCTACCGCCCGCGAGACCATTGTGAGATGGTTAGGATTCAAAAAGGAATTACTCCCGCCCAATTTCAAGCAGGCTGCCGAGATATATGCGGAGAACGGTGCCGTAAAGGTTGGTTACTGAAACTTTTATGGAAGTCTTTCCTTTTACTAATTCTGTCACAGAAAGTCGGCAAAATTGACTCTATCGAGATTTTGTAAGTGCTGGCGTACATTAGTTCCCATCAATGAGTCTTTCATTCACAATTCTCCTGCAGGCATCGTAACGATGGCACGAGCCCTGTCCATCAGTCTCAATTCAACCGCAATGACAAGGCGCTGATCATCAGCGCCCGAATCACACCAGCAGACGGCAGCGGAGCTCGAACTCACCACATATATCCGGATGGCACGGGTACCATCAAAAAGGGCGACAGACGCGAATATTCCACGTCTTCCACGCAGGGGTCTTAGGTCACAATTCTTTCGCGTGGAGATTCTCGAAAGGGGACTCTAGGGCTCACCGCATGGGATAAACACTTCAGGACTGGATAGCTTGTTATGGGGGGGTTTTCCAATACGACTTGGCAAGAATACCCGGAAGCAAGCCGCTGGAATACCATTTCACAACGGTATCACGCTCAATGTATACTGTTATATTCTACATAGTATGAAATACAAATTTGTCAGGCTCGAAATAACAAATTATTAAAATATGAACGGTATGGGAGATATACGGCTTATGGAGGTGCTTGTAAACCCACCAAGATGTTTCATATACTTCTCCAGCGGTTGACCTGCAGATAAGAGTCCCCACGAAGACACAACCCCACCGCCCCGATTTGGGCTGGACGCTTCTAAAGATCCATCCATCGGCAGCAGACCCTAACTGAGGGACTACCGATGCGTTGTAGGTGCAGTCCAGATGCGGTATTTGGGATCATCCGCAGCTCGAGTATGTGACGGATGTCGACAATAAACCGAAAAGTAGCAATCTATATCAGACTTTTTGGGCTGCATATGAACTAATGTAAACATGGTAACCAATTCGCTGATTATTGAGGAGATCCAACGACGGTTTGGACGCCTACCCCACTGAAGAGCGCGTCATGGGGATTTCGATTAGGCAAGCGCTGGCCCCATTACTCATTATGGTCTAGCCGGTGGGCGGTAGATCGGCAAGGGGACCGACCACTTGTAGCGCACCTTCCGGGCCATACGGCTACTGTGAGCTTGGGTAGAAATTTTCGATGAATGAAGCAATCTGCCGATGCCAGCCAGGTATGCTCATTAATGTTTATCACGAGTCCGTCTCTTTCCAAATCGACTGCTGGCATGCGGAAGCATCTTCGCTTGACGCTTCTTTGCAGCTGAATGAACCAGCTGTCTCACCTATATTCTTAAACCCCGCTTTCTGTATCACCGGGCCAATTGGATATACCGGCTATTTTCCATTTGATAGTTATTCACTGTCACTCCGGGTAAGTTGGCGCTAAACCCGCCTAATGATTGGCATTAATGCAATATATTGGCACGAACCATAGAGAATGCGAACTGGGGCGCAGCCACCAAAACCTGTTTCTTTAAGATCGCTGGATGGTAGAAAGCGTCTGAACTGCGGCCAATGCAGCTAATGCGGCAGGGATGGGATATGTGTGCCCGGGCACATATATCCCATCCCTGCCGCATTAGCGTCCAAGCCACATACCTCTTTCCGAATGAGGAGAAGCTCATGCTAGAACCTGTCACATGAGCGCAGCAACTCTAGTGGGACGTTTGAGCTACTTTCCTTTATCCAAACTTCACATCACACTTAAGATGGGCTTTCGAGTAAGTCGTTCAGATACAGCCGAAATCAACCTTTGCTAATTCTTGATAGGTTGACCGAGCATTACGTGCTACCCTTTCGCATCTCGAGCTATTACTTCGTGAGGCTGGTGACAATGTGAGATTCTCAGACTTATCGTGGATTCAGGTACTGATTAACCCAGGAAACCGGTAACCTGCTTAAGAAGATACTTCAATCCCCAGAGCAGATAACTGCTCTTCATCAGATATTCGCCTCGAACTTGAAGCGGACGATTCGGGATGACTCTGCTTTCTCTGAACGTCATGCATGGTTCCAAAGCTTCTCATCACAATCTGGAGAAAACCTGAGCGAGAAGCAAGTGAATAAGCTTACCAATATCACCAAAAACTGGGCGCTTACGGAAGAGAGAATTGAAGCTCTGTTGTTGTGCTCAGTTCTTTGGTCTAGTTGTCCGCAGCTATTCTGGGATGGCGACATCCCTAACCCAAATATATTCCGACGCTGCTTTGTTGACCTGGAACGGATAAGAGAGATTGATCCATTAAGAAGAAAGATTTTGTTGATCATCTTGTCACAGCAGGTCCAGGAATAGCAGCGTCAATTGCATATCAACGGCAAAAGACAAAGATCCAGGCCTAAGCATCCAAATGCGAATAGGCCGAATGCCAATCGAAAAAGAATGTTTCTTCCAAGCTCCTTGCGTGTCATTGTGCAAAGGCTTTGGCCGGATGCTGATGTCGCGAAGCAAAGTAAGACAAAAAGGTCGATTTCATTGTATTCTCGGTTTGGGTGGAAATGGCAGCACGTTGAACCTCAAGGAATTATCCTTTCTCTGCCTGACTCCGCCGTGAAAAGGTACGTGTGCTGTTCTTTGATGCTGAATAGATATTGACTTTCTTAGCTATGAGATATATCCATGGAGTTCAGTCGACTGTGATATCGAAGGCTCCCTTGGGTAGGTGCAGCGTTCACCGTGGAGACCGACGATGTCCCCAGCGGGGCGAAAAAGCATTCGCGAGCAGGTAACCCGAGGATCAGCGACGCCAGGGCTGTGCAATGTAACCTCAGACGGAGCTGACGTGGCGGATGGAGTTGGGCGCGCGGGCTCAAGGACGGTATCCGGGGCATTGCAATGGCGAAGGCCAAGGTCACAGGAAAGGAATGGCAGAGGCTAGGAGCTCTGGGGAGCGCGAACGAGCCAGTTTCGTGACATGCAACTCCTGTCACTCTCTTGGAGATGGGATATGGGAGAGAAGACGAACAACTGAAAGCTGCATCATCCCAGGACGCTTGTCCCTGAGCGACTAGATCGCGTCGCAGCCCGCGCTGGCTGCACCAGCCTGGGCGGCGGATCGAGCGGCATCGCCGGTGAAATGAAAGGGGCAGTGCATCCGGCTGAAAGTCAATGCGTCGAAGGTCAGTGGGGGCGAGAAGAAAGGAGCCCGGGTGGGCAAGGAGTGAAAGTGCGTGGGAGATTTGAGAAGAGGGCAAGTGGTCTTTTATAGAGGGACCAACGGACAAGTCGGGCGATAAAAGCGGCCACTGCGGCACTAAGCCCAGTCGGGCGGCCGCAGTGGGCACCATGCCGAAAGGGGCAGGGGCAGTGCGGAGCCGGGCAGGCGGTCGGGGGCGGCGAAAAAACGGTGCAATGGGAGCGGTTTGTGGCCCCCCCGCTTGCCGTCCTGTAGAATACTTTATATTAGAGACCTCTTTCAAACCTTTGGTCATAGGCTGGAACAAAGGCACCTATTCTTACTCCAGTGAACAAATATAGTTAAAGTACCAGTAAAATTATAACTTTGAGTAATCCAGGCATAAACCTGCAATGATCTGTTTGCCACAAGGAAGAGACTATTCTTAAGAAGTCCTTTGTTGAAAACTTAAGATTTAGGGACTTAACATCTTCAATCACTTTTTCTTTTGCGGTCAAAGTATTCTTGATCCACTATTCACGATTAGCGTGACTTACTCTTAAGTAGATCGCAAATTATTAAACCGCACTCATATTGTAAATTTCCAGCCGATCTTCTTCTACAATCGTGACAGAAAGTTTCTCTTCAAATCCACCGAAAAGTCTTTCTGCGCAGTTCATAACACTTGACATCACTAGTCGACCATTCTCACATAACCTTCCTTTCGCATCGTATACATAGAAACGGATAAACTCTTTGAGAGTGATGTGGTCCGGAGTCGCGCTGCCTGGCCTCAAGTCATATTCTGTGAGATTGTAGCTCGTGATAAATCTGTAGTCAAATCAATAATCCGGTTTAATACTAATTTTACAACATAAAGTTGTATGAAAACATACTTCATCCAAGACTTCAGGATCTGAGCATACATGTCCTTTGTTATTGGCAAACGCTTGTCTTTATTTCTGATCGCATCCTCCTTTGCATAGGCGCCAAACATATAGCCATTCTGTATCTGTCGGTTTATTTTTCTGCGTTTGACAAGATCGTCTTTTTCGGCAGCGGAAGATTTCCTTTTTAGAGTCGGATGCATCCTTCAATAGTCCCGGTGACACTGAAGATGTTGTCTGATCTCAATAGCAAAGCTCGTAGTGAAGAATGATCATTTCAGAAAGGAAGACTTAGATATGATGGAGAGAAAATGGAGGAGATATCAGTATTATTTATATTGGTAACCAAGACGGTTAGTGAAAGCGATATGGATTATATGGTGGGTATGCGCCATAGTCTAGAGCTAATAATACATTGAAGATATTGAGATATGAGGAATTGATGACCATGTGGAAATGAAGGGCCATCAAGAACTTGATGGAAAAATCAAGCGGCCTGGTTGATGATTGATACTACTTTTGTTATGGGTAAGAAGTAGCTTGGGTGCTGTTTAGATGCCTCCTTTCAGCCAATGCGATGAGTCAGCGAACGATCATGAGCAGGATCACTGAGCACTCACTGAGCACTCACGTGACCTAAGGACTCGCTCAGAGAGCCTGAGCCCCAGACTGCAAACTACTCACTGAGCCTGAGCCTGAGCGCCCTCATTAAAGCGGCGGTCACCAGAATAGGAAAGCCCCACCTGTCGGGGAAAATCCAGTACGTACAGCTACCTAGGTAGTATTCAACCACCTGGGCAGATGACTCTACTAGTATAAGCCTCGAGTGGGCAGTGCAGGTGAACTCGGATGTCCGAACCTACTAGTCCAGTAATTACTGGTCACTGGCATAGAATATCGTAGTACCACTGGTGTTATGAAACTCAAGGCTTCAATCATCAATTCCATTTCGAGTTCAAGGTACTATCTGCTAGTGATGAAACATGATTCAAGTTCACAAAGTTGAAGTATTCTTCTATGAAACTCACGCGGGGAGTCTTAAATCTGATAGTTGCATCAGAACACGAAAAAAAGATAGCTAAACACGTGAAGGCTTAGTTCAAGTTGATCTAGTCAAGTACATCAATTAACATAACATCAATAAAATATCAACTGCGGCCTCGGGGTTAAGCTTCCCTATTGTACAGATGCCCACTATCCACTGTCACATATCTCATTCAATTTCAATTTATCTTGCAGCCTGGACAAATCAAGGTTGGTTGGTGGTCTTTTCCAGGATTGTCTTCATCATCTCGTTTCCAAGCGTAGCTGCCTCTGGGAAGCGAGGAGCAAAGTACTGGGCAATGCGCTCAAAGCGATCGCGGTAAGATTCGAAGTCTCCAAATGAGACACAGTCAGACCAAGCCTATAAGATAATTGATCGTGTTAGTGGTATTTGAGACTGAGGTCAAAGTCCCTTGTTGAGTGCTTACCCGTGCAGCAAATGTAAATTCCAGATCATCTGATCGGAAAGAATTGTCATCAATAGCTGTGTCCAGTGCTTCCTCTAGAAGTTCAGGATTACGGAATAAGTATTCAGTGACACCGAGCCAGAGGCGGAAAAGCTGCAAGATTATTAGAGCACTATTCTGAAAAACATTTTCAATTTGCTTGTCAAATACCGGAGTGGAACAGATCATATGATCATAAGGAACGATGCCCAGTTTCGACCAGCAGTCCACGATGGCCAGTAGACTTAGATGACTGTTTGGAGGTGACGCCTCACGAGACCGGTTGGATAAAGAGAATCGATCCAGCACTTCATCTCTTAATAAAAGATCTTGCGCTTCTGTGCCCTCTTTGAACACGGATGCACCAGCAGCCTTCACTCGAGCCTTGAGCTCTTCCCGATGGCCTCCAATCATCAATTTGTACAGATCCGTCACGGACTCGGCATACTGTCGAATCTGCTGTTTGGCAGCTGGGTTGAGAATGGCGAGGCCAGCGTAGACATGCCATTTGTTCGAGTAAATACGCAAAGTAATATTGATCTTCACGTTCTCGATACCACCAACCCAGCGTGACATCTCCCAGGGGAACTGTTGATTGGCTTGCCATGCGGTACCCATGCTCAAAAAGGCGGCGTGCGTCACGGCTTGCGTATCAGCAGTGATTCGATCATGCATCTCGCCGGTGAGATAGACATGTTTGGATCCGAACGAGGAGAGGATCGAATCGACGAATTGCACGGCTTCATCGGAGGCACGATGTTGAATAATGACCTAGTACACCATGCTTGTCAATGACGGCTTGGTCTGGAAGGAAATAAAGATGGGGCTAAACCCCTACCAGAGGTTGTCCTTTTGGATTGACTTTTGGGCCGTGCAGCGAGTGGCACGATACAATCTCTACATCCTTCGGCAGGTGCTTTTCGAATGCAGCAAGCTCGGGGGCCTTGCATGAGGTCTGACCACCGACAACGGCACCGACTTTGGTAGCTTTGTTTTATTCCACAAGTCAGAATTATATTGGTTCATTGGGCTAGCATGGGTCAAATGGGTCCGAAACATACATGGCCCGTACTGTGCCACGACTCGGTCGATCACACCGGCCTCTACACTGTAAAGAATGAAATCGCTAATTCTGGAAACCCCATGGCCATTCGGGAAGATGGTGACACCTCTCTATATACGATGAGCGTCTGGGCGGGATGATCCCAGCGGGAGACGTACTTTAGAGGAAAACTCTTGTTGTAACGATTCATAATTTTCAGGTCTATCACAGGCGTTTATCCTTGAGAAGTAAAGCAAAATTTGTTAGTATGTAATGAACCACCATCGTAAATTCATAAGGCCATCGACGATTGAATATTAAAAAGAAGAACCTATCGTAATTCACTGTTAGCGTATGCTTCAAAGGCACGTCAAGAGCGAAACGAGATAGAGATTTTCGAAAAGTTCCGAAGAACTTCAATCAGACAAGAAAATTTTAGGTAGCGAGATAATTTACATCATTGACAGCCCAGGATTGCGCTACGACCAGAATGGCTATGCAGCACAACCCACGACCATACTCGAGCCAAATGCACTCAAGTCATCATTCGAAGGGAAGAGGGAAAGAGGGAGTAGGAGTAGATGCTTACCTTCTCAAGAAAAACATGGCGTAGTCGTTAAAATGCAATGCTGGTTATTTACCTCCATCCTGCATCGCTGAGCTTATGGGCATACATCTTGCCCATGTCACCCATTCCGATGATGCCAATTGAGGCATCTTCTTTGGTGCGTCCCATATTGGTAATGAGTCACGCAAGCTGACTCGGCTTTCTTCGCCTTCTCTGCTGCTATTCCTCCGGTCGTGAAGTGTCAGCTTCTGTCCAATTGTATCTTCGTAGTCCAAGACCCTGGTCGTTTACAAGATCAGTAGAGTTTTGAAAGATCAATGGCAGTGTAAAGAGATGCAAGTAGTTTCCGCTCCAGAAAAAAATTAAATAGGCGAGAGGAGCTAAGGTCTCACCGCCCGGCGGGCCGACTGTCATACCGGTAATCTCTTAGTCATCGGCTCGCTTATCCACTCCAGCCATATGGACCAATCAGAGTTAACTTGAAGCCGAGGGCACACATCCACTTTCTTTTTTGACGATTTCTTCATTCTTCTTTCTGTATTCCATCCACGCCAACTCCATCCAACAAACGTCGCAATGGCTCCCCAAAAGAAGGCTCCCGCCGTCAAGGAGAACGTCTCCCTCGGCCCCCTCGCCGGTGATGGTGAGTTGCACCAAAAATTCGACATTTTGAGGATATGATCAGTTTCTGACAATCGCATTATAGGCAAGCTCGTTTTCGGTGTTGCCCGCATCTTCGCCTCCTTCAACGACACCTTCGTTCACGTTACCGATCTTTCGTACGTTCCCATTGCTCAATGTTGCTCAATTACTCCGAAACCCTCCGTCTTCAATCTATCTTCAAATTAGTGGAACGATGCACGACTGGGAATCTCATAGACTGCGCAAATCAAAGATGTAAAAAGCTAACCTATATTTCCCCTCCTACAGCGGCCGTGAAACCATCACCCGTGTTACCGGTGGTATGAAGGTCAAGGCTGACCGTGACGAGTCCTCCCCTTACGCTGCCATGTTGGCTGCTCAGGACGTTGCTGTCCGCTGCAAGGAGCTCGGCATCAACGCCCTCCACATCAAGATCCGTGCCACTGGTGGTAACGGCACCAAGACCCCCGGTCCCGGTGCCCAGTCCGCTCTCCGTGCTCTTGCCCGTGCTGGTATGCGCATTGGTCGCATTGAGGACGTTACCCCCACTCCCTCCGACTCTACTCGTCGCAAGGGTGGTCGCCGTGGTCGTCGTCTGTAGATATGTGCGGGCATTGTGTCATCTATCCGATTGCGACTTGCTTCGCTGCTGGATTGGGGGCTGCCTGCGGGGTCTACCTGCACTTGTGGATGGAATAAACGCGAAGAACGGCCCTCATTGCCTGGTCTTCAATTATTTTCATACCCTGAAAAGTTTCTGCTCAGATTTAGTTGTTAGATTGGGGAGTCTTCTGACTGCTGAATTCATTAATTAATTCTGAGTAATTATTATACATGTTTTAACTTGTAGTATAAACGCATAGTATGTATATCCGTAGCCTCCTATTAGTTCTATTTGCCGCCGAGAGGCTATATGCAGTCGAACATGAGCGCAGTGCCGGGTGCTTATCGTGCTGCCGATAAAAGACAAAAAAACTGCGAAGAGCTTGACAATCACTTCAAATACCAACTTATAAACGCCAATCAATTCCTCCGATCCCAAAGCCCCGCGCTTTGCGCACCAATATATCAGACCAATACATAATGTCCTATTGAACTCTCCTCCCGCTATCATCCCACTTAACCGCCGCGCGCTTCTTCTCCAACCAAATCGCATACACCTCTTTCCCTCCTTGCCGGATTCATTATCACCTCTTAAACCCCTCGCAAATAAGTCAAAACAGCCCACGGTCAACATGTCGGCCTCCATCCAACCTTCATCTACAATCCTTCTCCCCGAGCTTCCTCCAAAGACACTGGTTGGGATCGATCTAATAACCTTCACCTCAACGGCCAATTTTCATGGTATCAAGGACCTCCCTAATGGATGGCACTTTCTCTATACAGGGACCACGGAGAGTCTCTCACTTCGTTCCGGAGCTTGGTTCTACGTCGGCGACGTCACAGCGACTCAACACGAATACAAAGAGTTATCACTCGTACCACAGAAACAGAAACACAGTGAACAGTCCAAGCCAGAGATCTTGATCTGGAAATGGAATACAGACACAGAGTCTCTGGCTTCATTGCGAAGTGAAAGTGATTCAGACTCCCAAGAAGCCATGCGGTACAAAGCCAATCTCGGCGCGATCTGGCAAAGTGGAGGTTTATTTCAGTTTCGAAGCCGTGTTCCTAAATCAAGCACGACAGATATAGCTCAGACTTCAACACAGAGCGAAGTGACATTGATTGATGATGATGACGAAACCGAAGCAAGCGGACGTGCAGACTGGCGACGTCTTACTGATTGCATAACGCCCAATGTCTTAATGCGCATCATCGGCCCTCCGAATATCGACGTTGATGCTCGCTCGCGGTGGATGGTTACCTCAGCTAGCACGGCTGATTGTGATGCGGACAATATCCCTGGACTTGATCCCCAAAGAGTAGACAAAGACGGTGTTCCCAGAACGACTGGCGAACAGGAACGAGATATCTGGTTCCTTCCGATTGATCTGAAACACACTTGGCCAGCTGGTGCTATTGGACGTGAAAGGACAGAAGCTGCTCAAGATAGATCTTGGGCATTGGGGAGTCTTATCCACCGGTTATCCCGTGCGGTACATCCTGTTACAGGCGAGCCTTCATTCGATGAGGAACAGGCCGAGAGGGATTTTCTTGGAGAGGTGCAATTCACGTTCCTGATGGTGCTGACTATGATGAATTACTCGTGTCTGCAGCAATGGAAACGCATGCTTGAACTCGTTCTAACTTCCCGTTCTGCTATTGTGGATAGGGAACCGTTCATGGCTGAATTCCTGGCTCTACTACTACGACAGCTTCAACGGTGTGACGATGTTGAGGGTGGGCTCTTTGAGATGGATGGAGATGACGGTGGTGCATTCCTTCGTGATCTGCTCAAGAAGTTCCGACGCCTCGTTTACCAAATTCTTGAAGATGATTCAACATCTAGGGTTAAACAAGAGCTTTCAAATTTAGAAAAATGGCTGAAAGAGGAATATGATTGGGAATTGACGCATGAGGTATTCGTTAAGCGTGGTATGGTTCGTCTTGAGGACGGGGAAGAGATTGAGCTCGACATGGAGGATAACGACGAAGACGAGGAGACTGGCGAGTATGCACCGATGGTCGTCGATTCTGAGGAGACCATGCTTTAAACTATACTACGGTGCATCTAGAACTAAAAATAATGAAGCTCATGAATCTACGTCAAGTGCCTAATCGTACCAAATTCTGGTCTTAGAGTTTGCCCAGGTGGAACTGTATAGTATCCAGTGTGTAAATCCGCAATTTTGCAGTAATCTCATATCATGATTCATCTCTGACATTAGACCTCAAAGATCTGAAAGCACTATTTACATGATCCAAAGATCATCGCACGCAATAACTGTAGGACCAATTCTTAATTTCGCCATCTAATTCCAAATTCTATCCAGTGGGGGTTAATATGTCTCAGCCTTTTAGTTCTCCTCGTCCTCAATGACGTAGCCCCAATCGTGCTCTTCCTTGCCAAACATGATGTGCTCGAGCCAAGACTTAATAAGAGCAGCATAGCCCGCAGGCTCGCCATTGGGACCCAGTGTGCTGATATCAGTGTTGACGTTCCGAATCATAGCAACAGGGGTAATGAAGTACTAATTCATCGTCAGCTTCAGTGTCTCCGATTAGAAAAAGAATAAAACTCACAGCAGTGCCAGAGACAAAAGACTCCACAATTCGACCCTCCTCCGCAGCCTTCTCAATCTCCGCAATAGTCAAGGTCCGCTCCACAACCTTCAGCGGCTCCAGTGATCCAACAGCTTGGTTGGAGAGTCTCTCAGAGACCAATTCAAGTACACTGCGGCGAGTAACACCAGGCAGAATAAGCTGATTCTCCAAGGGTGCAGTAACAAGCTCCAACTTGCCGCTACTCGCATCCCGCCAGATAATAAAGAAGTTACTAGCACCAGCCTCTGTCACTTGACGATCCTCACCAAATAGCCAGAGAATCTGATCGAATCCCATGGCCTTGGCTTGTCCATGTGCTTGCAACGATGGTCCGTAATTTGCGCCCAGCTTCGCGTATCCGAAGCCACCGGGCCAGGCACGGATAGTATCCGGGGTGGAGGCATAGAGTCTCAAGCCCGTGCTCGAGGTGTCGGGCCAGGGCACGGCAATGACGAAGAGAAGGGCTTCCTTAGGAACCTGGACGCCGAGGTGCGGGCCATTGCCGATCATAGTAGGGCGGATGTAGAGGAATGAACCTGAACGGGTCTTGGCTAGCCAGCCTGAGAGTATGATATATTAGTACTGTATTTTCAAGAATAGAGATGTAGTATATTTTTGGTGTATAGTTGGGTTGGGTAGAACATACGAGGACCGTCAATTTGCATCAACTTAGCAACGAGCTTCTTCAACTGGTCGTACTTGAAACCAGGAAGCGAAGAGCGCTGGGCACTGTTGCTCAGACGCTCACCGTTGCAGTCTGGACGGAATAAACGCAGCTTGCCATCGTAGCCACGGTAAACTTTCATTCCCTCGAAACATTCAGTAGCGTAGTGAAGGCACGATGCTGTAGGTGGGATGCTGAGATTCTGGTATGGCTTCACTTCGGGTGTCTCCCAGCCATTGGTATCGGTCCATCGAACAGTGACCATGTGGTCAGTGCAGTGGGAGTGGCTCAATTCCTCTGGGGAGCCGGGAAGAGGCACATCACGCAGAGTGGTAGATCGGGTGACCTTGTAATTCGAGGCATCGAGCTCAGCCAGGTGTTGAGAGATAGAACCCATGATGATATTGGAAATTCAAGATGAGGTAGATCAATGGCTGTTTACTATGTATGTAGATGTGAGATGTTCAAATGTGAAGATGAGTCAATGGATAGTGGATCAAAAGCTTGGTCCAGAATGAATATTTTAAATGTGCACCCGTGGACAACAAATAAGAAATATGTTGATCTTATAGACGAAAAGACAATAGGAATGACTCAGGCTCTTATGTATTACGCGGTTTGCCCCGGACTTTGTTATCAGGGCCGAGCCAACAAAAAATTTTTCAAGCGGCAAAGGAATGTGGATTTTTGCCATCAGTACCAGATAAACTAAAGGAGTCAACTCAATTGAGCGAATTTAGTCTAGTGCATATAATTATTCAACTTTTCATATCCAATTGTGGACGGTTGTGCGACATTCATGTAAATTGAGTAGAATAGTCTACGCCCTTTCAGTAACAGAGCAATCAGATCTCTCCCTTATCGATGATCCATAATGGCCCACTTAGTTATGGAAATGCCGAGAATAACCGTTCAAAAGAATGACAAATGGAATTTACTCCGTAGAATCAACTTGGAATATTCAATGTTACTGAATTGATTCAGATGACCAGATAGGGGAAGTCTATTCGACTGTTTAGGAGTCAATTGGTAAGGGTTGAAGTACTGAAAATGTCAAATCATGTCATGCGTTCACATCAAAATCGGCGTGTTGCACAGACTCCGAGTCTGCAACTTTATCAGCGATCCATGTTCAATCGAGTGGATAATATATCCGGGATAATATTCCAAGGTTCTTCGTTCATGCACGGATTTCCAAAATAAGAAGCCCATGACTGAAATAGGAGACGTTGTACTACATGTCAGTTACAAGTAAGAAGATACCTAGGGTGTGGAAAAAAACAAATTCCATTATTAGTGCATCCTCATAATGCCGAATTGGCGAGGTGCAACATTGATTGTGTGCTCATCCAGAGCAAAAAAGAGAAGTAATAACACAAAAAAAAGAAAGAAAAAAGCCGGATGATTAAATGATTATCACAAATCAGACAGACCATGCCCAGTTCTCCATCCACCCAGAGGCAACAAACGAAGACAAGTAAGAGGAAACAGAGAACAAGAAATCCCAAGCTTACCCTCACCTACACTTCTGAGGTGAACTAGAGCGAAGCGTCAAGTATCTCGTTACTGAGGGGGATGAGTTTCTCCTCAAATACTCTCTCTCGGCCAGGGTCATCCCAAATGAAACTATTCACCATCGACAAACAGAAGTCCGAAACAAACCCGGGCTGAGAATCAAGAAACTCCCGGCTGACGCCCTTAAAATGGTCGTGAGCTCGAGAATGATGGTGCAGGATACTCGCCATAAGAATGGGTCGGAGCTGGGTGTAGTTCGCATTTTTGGACCAAAGCTCCGAGATGAGAAGCTCCACTTTCCAAAGTTCGTTGATGCCGCGCAACGCAATTCGGAATTTGGCAAGTGCCTGTTGCTTGAGTTCATCCATCATGAAAAAATCAGCATCGCCGAACACTCTGGCGTGGAAATAAGTCGGAGGGCAAATAGTGAGTGGCGGCCAGCTGCGATCTGCAGCAGGAGGAGTGACGGGAGATTCATCGATGGAAGGTTCGGCAACAGAGGGTTCGGTAACAAATGATCCAGCATTGGAAGGCCCAGCAGAATCGCTTGAATTAATATTTTTGTCGGCACCTGTGATTTCAGCAAGAGAGATGATCTTCTGACGCTTCGTGCCCTTGCGTCGCCACCCGTGCGGGTTAGAGTCCTTTCGTTTTCCGAAAGCACAAGCACTCGGAGAGGTCTTGCCAACTGGGGTGCAAGCGTCCAAAGCTACTCCTTCAATGCTGTATGATCTCTTGTACAGATACTCAAGAATTCTCTGAAACACAATAGGGTCCATCTCCTGCAGCTGAATGATTCCCGAGGACTCCTATATGGAACACTCTGTTAAAGGTCTGATAGAATATTTTCATGAAGACTCACCTGGAAGCCACTGCGGCACGCGTTCTTGAACCAGGCCGAGTTAGTACAAACAGCCATCTTATGGGCAGGAAAGATGCTGTCTCCACAGATGATCTGCATGTCACTGTACTCCTCGCTCAGGAAGAAACTTTGGAAAGTCAGTTCATGGAGAAACAAAGGCCTGAAGTGTCGAGGTAGTCTTACTCTTTGAAAGTCTTAAACTGACTGAGCTGAGGAGAGTTGACATTTTCATCCATGGTCATCTTCGAAGGCGATGGAGACATTTTGACAGAGTGAGTGACACGCTGTCCTAGAACTTGATGAATTGAGGACGTGTGATACACGAAAGGGGTGGTGGTAAACGAAAAGTGTGATGGAGGTAAACGAAAGGTGTGGGAGGAAGATAACCAGGTTGCCAGAGAAGACTTTCAGAAAAGAATTCGTCAGCGCCGAGAAGTTTGAAGAATGGTACATATCACCTTCATTCAATACGACAGGACTTCACCTGGGCAATACGACAGGACTTGATTACGACAGGACTTCAACCTTGGAACAGGAGAGGACCTCAATGAGACTGTACAATCGACGATAAAGTCGCGATTCCATCAATTGATCTTTTCGAACTTTCGGCTCTCGGCCCATCTGAGCATGATGATTGAATATTATCAGAATTTATTATATCGATAATATCCATGGATTAGCTCTTACGGTTAGCAAATACGTTATGTTCGCGGCCTAGCTGTGGCATTCTAACCTTGGAAGGACTCGGATGTGGCCATCAACCTTGGGATTGGAGCGTATTCCTACATATTACCGAGATATCACGGTAGCCTGAGTATAATTCAAAATTTATAGGCATATTCAGGTCCAGGAGCTCACGCTGGTGGTCCATATTCGTTAATATGATGAATCTCATGGTTCTTTCTCCAGCACTTAAGGGCTTCGGGCGCTCACGTGCCCCGTATACGCAGCGCTGACAGTGCACAGTACACGTGAAGTTGCATTACACCTCTTCCCAAGGTTAGATTATGAATGAATTTGTATAAGTCTTCCAAGATTCACGCTAAACTATTTTCAGGAAAATCTACAGGTATTTATCAGTTCATACGCGCTCTCAAATTCTAACTACTTTGATATATAGGGCATCTTAGTACAGAATGAAGTTAAAGCCTGAGCATACTCAGTTGAATATTCGTGCTGGCACAATGATCAAACGCCAGCTGGCACATAAGTGATGGATTCAAATGTTTTCTCATTGAAGTGTTTGAATTCACAGATATGCACAGAGTGTCCTGGTTCCTTCCAAGGGTATTGGTCAAACATCCTGCATATGTACTTACAGCCCTGGAGGTATTGCAAAGAAGCGGTGTATTCAAATGCTGCATCATGGATATAATCATCCATACTATAGCCCTGGGGTGCGTCCACGGTCCTAGACTACACCAAACTACCCTTAATTCTAGCTACTGGCATTCATCTAGTGCTTTTCACATCCTAAATTTTGAGATTTATTTATTTTCAGACAACTCGCTCCAACTTGGTATGTAACTAGTACCTAGTAAAATAATGGAGCTATACCAAGAATTACACTGATGTGATTTAGTACGTATGCTTTTATCTTTGAATATAGAGCACTTAGGGTAATGAACAGTGGCGTGATTGACTGATATTAAACCAGGTATCTCCGAAGAGAAAGAGCACATGGCGCCTGTGGGCATATGCTGGTTCAGATTCTAAGGTTACAGATAAAAATAGTACATATGAGGTACTGGCAACTACGAGGCAATATCCAGTCTGAATATAGGTCACGGTGTGCACATGTGAGCAAAGCAATCAGATAGAATAAGAAAAAGAAACATTAAAAAGCAACTGAACACAAGGTCCTCTCTATTTAGACATTAAAATGGAAATAAACGCACGGAGTCTTCCGATCTACATGGTAATAGTATCCATGCCCAGACTACAAGAGAATATTTTTGAACCTGAAGCAGCTAGTTGAAAGTACAACTTTCCGGTAGTATCCTAGCCGTAAAACATGCAAGCCATGTCAGACTAGCCTGCGCTAGGCGTCCAAAATAGATCCCATTCAACGGTTCCACCAACCAAAATTATCAGCCACAACCGCCAAATCTACACTAATGCAACGGAAAAGAAGACTCAAAGCCGGGATCACACTAAAAGAGCAGGGGTTTAGATTAGCGAGATCAACGAAGGATTTGGGGGTGGAAATTAAATAAGAAAATGAAAACAAAGAAAGAAAAGAAGTAATTTCAAGGCGGGGTAACCCGCTGATAAGGTTCGGATGGGACCCGGTCGACTAACATTGAGGTGCAAGTGGGCAAAAAAGGAAAAATGTGCCCAAGTGCAGGCATTATTCTTGTAACCCTCGGTTTGAGCATCCCAAAGCTGTCAGACTAATATACTAGTCACGTCAAACATACATATGGAGAGACCCGAGAGAATGGATGCGATAAACCCACAACCACGGGAGTCTGACGTGACGTGACATAGGTAGCTTGGCCCCAAAATGAAATAATCATGACTCGTAACCATGCTAGGGAGGACTCATATATTTGTTGTTTGGATTAAGTATCCCGTGTTCACTAATAGGTTCACTTGCATGCTAAAGGGTTTTGGCTTGTGCTTTGACCGTTGATGACTTGTTTGATAGTACGAGGTAGAGAGATTTCTATTAGGAACTAAGATAAATATTGAATCTGGATGAATAAAAAAAACTCCAATGGAATACAAAGTGAACATTTTTGAGTGAGAAAAAAGAAAAAATTAATAATAAAAAAAAAAATTAAAATAATAATAATACTAGTAACGGCCCCCAAAACCTTGGAAAGTATCTATGTATCACGGCACTTAAGATATGGCTTTTGTCAAGAGCCGTACGGAGTACTGGGCCCGACTCCGATTGTCCATTGACAAAGGTACGTACTAGTATCATATAGTATCTACAGTGGGGATGGCGATCCTACTGCCGGCACATGCATATGTGCACACGCCTCAGGCTGGTACATTTGGTGATCACAAAATTACCCAATAGGAAATGCATCAAGCCCTTCCAGCTGCTTTCTCACATCCATCTAAAAGCCAACCCGAGAGCGAATTATGAAAGACTACGTAAGCATATCAATCTTGGATATAATCCATGGATATTCTTAACGCGGTGACCACTGACCTGGTAAGGATTAGGAAACCGCATGTGGCCGCATGCATATTACGATCTGCGAGGTGATTTGGAGTGGAGAATTTGAACATTTGAAGCAAGAGGGGCGTCAAGAGATTCGAGTGCCGAGAGGATTTTTGTCTAGAATTTGAGATTTTTGCAAACTTGAACTTGAACTGATGAGTCATCATAAGTACATAGTACATTACTTCGGACTCCGTCAAGATCATGTTATGTATCCACCTGCCCGCGTTCTGTACGGAGGGACTCGGAGTTGTAGGGACATCGACATAAGTGCGAGTAGGCCGACACGGCTCACACGGCTCATTGCTTGCACTTCAGTGTTGGACGAATTGGAGAAAACAAGCTTGAAACCTTGGGGTCCACTGGTAATACGGACTTCTGCGTAAATAAAAGTATAAGCGCTTCAAGTTCCTTAATATACCAATCGATTAAGGTCCAAGTCCTCAAACCTCTACAGGCACTAGTATGCCTGGTCGGAGTCGACTGGCCCTAGTTATTCCGTATGTACCGAGGTCCATGAAAGGTATGTAAGACCTATATAATATTTGAATACTTTTAGCTAGGAACACAGATATAGTAGGGGGAAAAATTTTTAAACCAAAACATAAATGACAGTAAAATTTATATAAGAAATTGAAAAAGGAAAGAGCCAAAAAAGAAATACATAGAGAAAAAGCAAAAAAAGGGAAATAAAAATAAAAATAAAAACAGACAGCAGGGATTTGAAAATTGGAGTAAAATGACTGCACATGTGAGCAACGACTGGATTATGATCCTTGCAATTGCCTGTGGTTTTTAGTCTCAGTATAAAAGATTCCTGCTTATAGCCATGTACTAGTATCAGGCGCTTTTCAACGCGCGGCGGGTGAAAAAGTCCCGATACATGGCGCAAAAGCAAGTATCCACATTTTTGAGGTGGATATTGTCTAGTCTGAATATAGAAAGAGCTGGTGCTCATGGGTATGTAGCTAAAACCGATATCCACAATATCGGGTGACAGGTGTCTGGTAACTCCGAGTAGGAAAAGGATTCCCAGGGTTCTGTTCGGTGGACACTCGTAGCCGCGATTGGGTCTCGGAATATGAACTTTGTTCAAATGATCAGGTCAAAAGGTTGAATTCATCTGCCATCGGTTACATGGATGATATGTCTACTTAGTCACCATATTAATGGTTCCAGATACCCGATTGGTCGGATAGTTACCGGCCAATCAATAGCACCGGAAGAGTTGAAATGGCATCTCCAGAGCTTTGACTTGAGCGGCTGGATCTGAAAACTTTATTAGAAATCCGGTTTTCAAGATAATATTATATAAATAGATGAACTACTAGTAAGAGATATATGGAATATCATGATACTAATAGATTGAAAAATGAGTAACCAAACTTACTAAAAGATTGGAACTTGAACCCCAGGGAACCAGATAAAAGTACTCCGCGGAGTTTCTCCAGACAACCAACTTACAAATCATCTCAACCTTGGAATAATCTGATGATCTTCCTCAATGTTGCCACAAAGCCAGCCGTTTGATGCAAGACATAAACCAGGGGCAGGTCCCAGAAATGAAATACGGTCGCATGTCGTTGATACTGCTTGTATCACTGCTTGCTTGTGTGAGGTGCAAACATTCTTGACATCATTGCAAAGCAACGAATACCTCCGGTTCAATCGTATCATATACAGTAGTGTAGCTGAAAAGATGACCAGGATTGTGGCATGATACGACTTATCCAAAGCTGCATTGCCATGAGCTTCAGATGGTGTGGCAACGAAGCCAATTAGAAAGAGAGATAGATCCTGGGAACCTCACTTATGTAGTCATACGCAAGGTCGGCCAGGTTATCCGAGTCAGTACTCCGTACCTAAGTAGTCATTATACATAGAGAGAGAATCCTCGATTCTCCACAACCGGTTTCTAGAGGCGAGGGTGTTCGGATGCATTCCCCACTGAACGGAACCGGTTTAGGATATCATAGAAAATTGAACCCGTTCACCATTGGTCGAAAATTGGATGACCATCTCTGGCTACATTCTACGGATGCGGATTTCTTTCAAGTCTCTCGTGGCAATCGCAAGTCAATTGTATCTTTGGTCTTTCGGAAGAAAAATCCGAGGTCGATCTTTCAATAAGTCTCCAGGCCTTTGTCCTTTCCCCATTTTTTTGATGTCATTGTAATAAAAAGCGTTCAAGGATTGCTGAGCCCTTGTTTCAAGACGGTATCATAGTTCCCACTTGGGGAATACCCGTCACGCTAGAGCGCATCGGCTTCCTCGCAAATATCCCGTTGAACCGCACGTCCTCGTTCTGATGGGAGACCTTACCACCCCTGGCATTATTGTATGTGACTAGCGGCACAAAAGATCCCCAGGCTGTTGGATCTACCCCATCTCCAATCACCATTCCCCATTCGATATTGGGCCACTGATCCACCAGACCACACACCCCGGGCTGTAACACAGCCGCCGACCCTGGTGTGTATGTGTTTGTGGTGGAAGAAGTTCCCCCCGCCTCTCGCCTGGACTCGCCCGTTTTTTTTCTCTGTCTCTTGTCGCCTGCAGGTGTAATGAATCACCCCAATAAATACGATTGCGCTCTTCGCCTCCCCTCGGTCTGGAATCAAGAACAGGGGAAACACACTACAACATCGCCATCCTCGGCACGTTCCTCGAATACCGCCACGATTTTGATGAATACGTTGGTACTTTGGCCCAAGATTGTCCACGCCTGATTACAAGTGGCGGTATAATTGCGACCAAGGTCTGATTTATAAGAATGCCCCATTAATGACCGGGAGACGTGGCCGGCTAACCCTTTCGTCCATAGATAACAATCGAATGGCGATCGACCATCACCCAGCTTGTCCGTAACATACGGTTTAGAATATCAACCATACGATCGATAACTTGATGGTGCGGAAAATGAGCCACCACGACGCGTCGAAGTCATTTCCTGCCCTGGCACCAGGTCCACCTCGCACATTCGCACCCCAGACGCAAATAGCCGTTAGTAAGGCAAAAAAGAACTCAACTGCCTGTTTGGCATGCAAGGCAGCCAAGAGGAAGGTCGGTCCTTCGATCCTCGAAGCGTGCGGGGGTTGGGGTAGAGTAACATAGGCTAACGAGTGTTGCATATTTTTTGATATAGTGTTCTGGGCCTCCTAACCCTTGTAAGGCCTGTATCAGCGCCGGTACCGAAAATGACTGTCATTTCGACCCAAGCCGAGATCTGAGACGCAAAGTTGCCGTGAAACGAACTATCCAAGAGTTGTCAGATTACAAAGATCTGTTTGATTCGTTGCTGTCGGCCATACGTGCAGCAGATTCGGACAAGTTAGAAAAAATCGTGGGACTGGTCAAGGATAATGGATCCCTCCACGATATCGCTTGTGCCGTGGGGAGTCCTGTCACTCGATTCACGGACTCCAAAGTTCTGTCAGCCACGAGCCTGTCCATAACCGAAGACGTAGATGGCAGTTTTGATGCCCGACTCATGGAACAGGAGAAAGCCAGAAACAGAAGGCCTTCAGACCTTGAGTCAGCTTCTAGTATGTCAGAGCAAGACAAGCCAAAGGCTTCTCCGAAAACTGCATTTAATCCATACGCACGAGTCAGCTTGGAAAGTCTCTGCGATGTGCCGCTATTTAACGTACCGGCTAAACCGTGGACGGAAATCACGATCGATAATGACCTTGTTTCGCATCTCGTCTCACTTTATTTCACATGGGACCACCCATGCGCGCAGTTTCTTGATCAAAGAATATTTCTCGAGCACATGAGGCGAGGATTGCCAGAGTCTGAGTTTTGCTCTCCAGTGCTGGTCAATGCTATTTTGGCTGTAGCAAGTGTACGGCCATCTTTTTTTTCTCTCCTTTTGTTTCCGTGTACCCCTTGAACCTGAACTTGTTGTTTCTGACACTGAGCAAACAGGCGTACTCGGATCGTCCCGATGTGCTCTCAGACTCGGAGAGTACCTTCTCGCGCGGTCGAAACTTTCTCGCGGAGACAGAAAGGTTGCTACGTGCCGAAGAAGGAGCCCCACGCCTAACAACTGTCCAGGCTCTTCTTTTGATGTGTTGTGTGTATGTGATTCACCACAAAAATTGCGATGCCTGTCTTGAATCGTAAAGGCTGAATTTTTTTTCCCGCAGACTCTTTTGTCAAGGCAAAGGAAACATGAGCTGGCTTATGCTGGGGCAGGCGATCCATATGGGGAAAGATTTGGGACTTTTTAGGCATCATAGGAATCGAAATGCCAAATATAAGGGGAAGCGATTGTCACAGGAGATGGAAAGAGTCCGTACGATCACTGCATGGGCAATATTTAATATGGATATGTAAGTGGTCGTGTTCAAGTGTGGGAGTAGAGCCACACTAATCCAAACCAAGACAAATCTCGACGAAGCTCCAGAAGGATCCCAGCATGGTGCAGCCATTATCCAACTGTGACCTGGGGGCCGATAATGACTTTGACTGGATTCCATATCCGCGATCGAATCAAGCGAGCTATTCCACCAACCCGGCACGTCTCCCTATGATGCGGACGGGTCTCGCGGAATTGACGGAGATCAATATTCATATACATGAATTGTTCGACGACGAGAACCTCCGCCAAGATTTCCGGTCTCTATTGGATAAAGCGGAGGTTCCTTACAACCGTCTAGAGCAATGGCTAGAAAGCTGGCCGGAAGCATCACAGATTGGACAGCAGTCGACTCCACAGCTCGTAGTACTCCGGTAAGTGAGAATACCCTTGGAGTCTTCTGTGATCGACAACCCTTCGAAGGCGTTTCCCGATATTGACAACACACCCAGCATCCATTCTCTTCACGCAGTCATGAGTCTCCTTGAGAGGTTGATCGAACGGGATGAGCATGGGGACATGGCTTTGCAATTGCGGAAAAACTGGCGAAAATCCGCGGTGGAAATCACGCAATGTCTTCGTTTTTACCGTGTCTCGTATGGGCTTCGGCAAATCCCTAGCCAACTTGTCGGTGTTGTGCAATCAGCTCTCCATGCTCTTGTCTATCAGTTGGAAGAAATTGAAGAGGCTAGATATGCGTTCATCGAACTGTCTCATATCGGGGCTGGCCTAAGCCAGCGATTCAAGCCCATTGCAGACTCCATCAACACAATCCTCTCACTCTCCCAGCGCGGAACAGCGAGGCTTCCCCTTGATGCCATCGCGATTCTCGACGGTGCTGAACTCCGAGGACATCAGGAAACGAGATAGGGGGCCGCGTAGCTTACCAGCAGATCGTCTTGGTCGTCTTGGAATGGATGTGAGGGCGATCGGAAGGGGACGGGGGCTAGAGACAGGGCAAGGAGCATGTTGAAGGATGCAAACAGAACGGAAGCGAGAAAGAAAAAAAACTCATTTTTTCCACAATCGAAGATAGAAGAACACTAATCTCTAACGCCTGTATCCCGGCTGATAAGAGGGGCTTATTAATTGATGGTCCAATGACTTTGGAGATTACCCTCGATGAAGATTTGGTCCTGGCCTAAGAGACTCGGGGCAAAAAGGGTTTCAAATCCCTACCTTCTCATCTTGGTGTATAAAGTGTATATCGCTCCCATGGCATCATCTGTTCAACCAGAGAAAACTTTCAGGGATGAAAGCAAACAACTGTAAGATGAAGCTGTGAAGCGGTAGCACCTGCCTTCCTCTTCGGAAAAGGGAAATGGTGGTGAGAATTGAGTCAACTTGTTTTATTCTCACGGCCTCACACGCCCGGAATAAATTTCCGGGGCTAGAAAGCCCCATGGGATGGGAACACAAGTCCTATTTCACCCTAACACCAATCGCAATTTGGGCTGGCAGGAAACAACTTGATGGGTGCATTTACTCCATGAACCCTGCTTTGTTTGGGTCTTTTTTCCCTCATAAAAGACCCTTTATAGCTCTCTCACCCCTGGGATGAATTGAAGTATATTCCCAAGGTTGGCTCTACTATGCCAACACCGTGACAATTCCAAGGGTTTGAACTCATGTCTGGAGTGACTTTGGTTCTTGTGCCATTTCTCGCAATATCCCTATGCCTCAATGTGTGTTTTTCTTTTTCCCCTTTATATCGCTCAACCAACGAATCTGTTTAATGATTATAGTGAAATTCAAGTTCAAGTTGGACTCCTTAAGACTATTAAGGCTCCCAAGGTCTTCAGGGCCAAAACGATACATTGGAAATAAGTAGAAGACATCATATGTGACGTCTGTATACATGTTTAGTATTCAGAACAATAAAACTCGACGAGAATGATAGTAGACATGCATATGTGGCGTCCGAGTCTCTACTAGTATGGCATGATATATGGATTTTGAGCCATGGATACTATCGGTAAATGTTATTTGTAACCCAATAGGATCGCGGTGGCGCGCACCTGGGCAGCTCTGGAGCACCTGCCTACACTTTCGCCACTGGTACTTAGGTAGTAGTAATATCATAGTTTTCAAATGTGTAGTTCGTAGGTCTCTATTGAATGTAGAAGTCTAGTAAAATCCCATTTTTATCCAAAAAAAACACCATGATTTTTGATATTCATGTAGCAAACGAAGCAGGCTCACGAATCAACTGGCTAGTACGGAGTACATGATATGCCTTTGGAACTAGACCTTACATATAGTACCTAGGTAGAGATAGGGATTTTACCTTCAAATTCCAGTCCAATAATATCTTCAAAGGTTTTATTAAGTAATTCAAGTAAAAAACCCCAGTACTTCAGGGCTAATATAGTCAAAAGACTCAAAACATAGTATACTGTAAGTGCATAAAGCATAAATCTTAGTCAGCATATGATTTTATGCGCAGATAAGATAAGCACAAACAGCGAAGCGAAAACCCTCAAAATTCAACTTCGGGTGGTAAATCCCACAGGCCGACGACGTGCAACCCCCACACCCATCTCTTGCCTCCGCTCCTTGCCGTCATCTCGGCATCTTGAATCAGAGAATTTCTGTCTTTGGTTCTATTTCACCTCGCAACCCCTCCGTTCCTCCTACGACCCTCCCACAATGTCCTATGAAGACCGCGCCAATGCGCGCCCCAACCTGAACGATGAGTCCGATGTTGAGGAGGAGGCTCTGGTCAACGACTACCGTGAGCAGGTCAACTACGATGATAGCATGAGCGAGCTGGACCGCACAACTTCGCTCGGTGGTTCCCAAGCCCAGGATTTGCAGGCACAGCTCGCCGCTGCTGCTACCCCGCTGGAATACCAGGCCACCCTGGAGACCAAGTTCGCCAGTTACGACAACTACTGCAGTCTCTTCCACTACATCCTCAACTCCGAAGGCCCCGTCGATTTGGAAGTTCCCTCGGTAGGTCATTGATGCGATCTTCACCACCCCGTTGAGAAACAAAGAAAATGAACATTTGAGACGGAATTATATTGCGGAGACCAAATGGGAACAACAAAGCTGACCAATTGTTTTTTCTTTCTTTCTACTAATTAGTACTACTGGGCCTGGGATGTTATTGACGAGTTCATCTACCAATTCGAGTCGTTCTGCCGCTACCGTAACCGCGTCGCTCGCACCGGATCCAACGAGGAGGAAGCTCAGCTTCTCCGCGAGAACCCCAACACATGGGGCTGCTACTCTGTGCTGAACGTCCTCTACTCGCTTATTCAGCGCTCCCAGATTAACGAGCAGTTGGCCGCCATCAAGCGTGGTGAGGATCCCGCTGCCGTCGCCGGCGAGTACGGCTCCCGCCCTCTCTACAAGATGCTGGGCTACTTCTCCATCATCGGTCTGCTGCGTGTGCACTGTCTGCTCGGTGACTTCAGCCTGGCCCTGAAGACCCTCGATGACATCGAGCTTAACAAGAAGGCCATGTTCGCCCGTGTGATGGCCGCTCACTTCACTACCTACTACTACGTCGGTTTCTCCTACATGATGATGCGCCGTTACGCCGATGCCATCCGCATGTTCAGCCACATCCTGGTCTACGTTTCCCGGACCAAGAACTTCCAGAAGGGTGGCAACAACTACGATGCCATCGCCAAGAAGAACGACCAGATGTACGCCCTGATCGCCATCTGCGTCGCCCTCCACCCTACCCGTCTGGATGACACCATCCACACTGCCGTCCGCGAGAAGTACGGTGAGCAATTCCACCGCATGCAGCGTGGCGGCCCTGAGGCTCTGCCCGTCTTCGAGGAGTTGTTCCGCTCCGCTTGCCCCAAGTTCATCAGCCCCACTCCTCCTGACTTCGAGAACCCTGCCCACAACGTCGACCCTGTCGACCACCACACCGCCATTTTCATGGATGAGGTTAAGAACACCTTGTTCAACCCCACCATTCGCTCTTACCTGAAGCTGTACACTACCATGGATCTGAAGAAGCTCGCTGGCTTCCTTGAGGTCCAGCCTGAGCAGCTTCGCTCCTGGTTGCTCGTTAACAAGCAGCGCAGCCGCCAGATCCGCTGGGTTGAGGGTGGTCTGCTTGAGGGTGACTCCGTCATCGCCAACGACCTCGACTACGCTCTTGAGGATGACCTGATCCACGTCAGTGAGACCAAGGCTGGTCGTCGCCTTGTGGATTGGTACCTGCGCAACCTTGCTCGTGTCTACTAAGCGCGCACATGGACATGAATCTACACATCCTCTTTAGTCCGGTGTGTACATTTGTTGGTGTCATGTGAGGTTGGAGAAAAAAAAAGTGAAGAATGGACTTCTTACATTGCAAGAAAGAACGGACATGACTCGAGATGATTTTTTTCTTTCATATTATTATCCCGCCCCCCTTGTTTTCCTCATTTTTCATATTGTCCTCATTGCCCTGGTTGCTATATGCCCTTTTTTACAATTTTTTTATTATTTCACAATTTCCTGTGATCTGTTTTTATGTTTGATTCCTGGTCTAAGAAATCCTTATGGATTTAAAAATCAGGGGTTCCGCGATGGTTCAGGAGGGCGTACAATTTCATATTTCCCCCGGTCTGCTGTTCTGCTTCTTTCTCCATGGAGTGACTAACTCTATAAGGAGAGTGTATGAGAGTTGAGGTAGAAAAAAAATAAGACTTGATGAAATGCATAGACCAATTATTATTTCTCTGACCTGCCACTTAATGAGATAAATACACCACAAACACATAATTCAGACCAAAGAGAAGAATATTCAAAGGAGAAGAGGGTATCAATGCAATTTGACCTATCTATTCACCACACAAATGCCCATATTTGTACACGCAGGAAAAAGAGGAAGCTAGTTAAGCACAATCCAAAGGTAATGTTGCTTTAATGCAATTAACTCATCACATCAAAACTCGTGCCACAGCCACAGTTGCTTGTAGCACGGGGGTTGTCCACAATCTTAAACTGACTTCCAATCAACTCGGTGGTGTAATCGACAGTGCTACCAGACAACAACTCCAGTGAGGGTTCATCCATAACGACCTTAGCTTGTCCGGCAGAACTAACCGCTGCACCCTCTGCTTCGCCCTCGAAGATGGTGTCTTCTTCAGCGTCGATCTTGGATGCCGATTCGAGAGACATCATGTACTGGAAACCATGGCAGCCACCGCTAGTGACAGTGATTCTGAGGTGGTGGTAAGGATTCTCCTCCTTTGTAGCAGCAGGAGAAGATGTCGGGTCGGTAATTTCACGTAAACGCTGGAGACTGTTAGATTGATACCAAAAGATAAAACAAGACGAGCAAAACAACAAAGCAGAAGAAGCAATAAAAAAATGCAAAAAAGAAGAGGACATACAACAGTCAGGATTCGCATGTGGTCACCCACCATACTACTAACTGACCGGCGTGTGGCTTAAGTACGGCTGAGCGGACGGGAAGCCCTGTTCTCCACACCCTGTGGTCGTATGTGCTTGGATGATCCTTGAACTAGCTTAAGCCGGTCCCCGGACTTTCCCCTCATCCAATGCACAACAAGACAACAGCTTCACATTCATGCAAAGCGAAGCAAAGCGAAGCAAAGGGAAACAAGTCACATGAACAAATTGTGAACCTACCTCCACAGCTCGATCAGAGATACCAATCATGAGTGTTTCTCCATTTTCTCCGGTTCGCGGGTTTTGTAGGACCTTGGTGCTGGCTGGGCGAACAGCCGATGATGAAAATGATGCAACAGGTGAACGCAGGAATGATCGCAAGGCAGAGGATCCGGGCACAGATGACTGAAACGATGGTCCGGAGGTAATCAGTGGTTTCTGGTGACGAGCGACTTCGCCGACGGGGAATGAAGAGAGACGTGCGGTCGGCTGAGAGGATAGGAACCGGCCCGGTCGCTGGGACAGCTTGCGGACAGGCGATGAACCTCGCATAGCTCGATTCATGTTGAAATATCACAATTGCTCTCTTTTAGAAACTTGTTGGAAGGAGAAAGATGGCTTTCAGACTTGATCGCATTGCTCATCTACAGATATCGGTTTGTTGGATCGGCAGTGGCGCGATTGGTCAGCCTGGGAGGCGGCAGCGAGGGCGGTGGCAGAATCAACTCTATTGACCCAAATCGCGGGGTGTTGAAGGTTGCATTCTTCTATAGATGATATGGGTATCTCTTATACACTGCAGGCAAAGTTCATTGCAGTGCTAATTGATAAAGCAGATTCATACTCCAGACTAATAGCCTTTTCATTTGCAGACAACAAAAGTGTGATTTATATCAAAAAAAACCACATCTTTGCTTCACGTTCATGTAGCAGTATGAAACGAGACATCCATGGTGGATTCAATATTGATCGAGGTTATCCCAATTCTAGAGGAAACTGTGAATTGTGAGCCTGGTGCACATTATGGTCAGAAGCAACTTGAAGTTCCTCGCGGAACAATTACTGTAAAGGCAATGATAGCCGCTGCAGTAAGCTTCGCCTGAATAGCTGGATGTGGCAAAGAAGCCGCTATTCCACCGAAAAGGGTACTCGATTCGAGGATTGTGGGGTGCACTCCCGCAAGGCTCCCCTCCATCTGTTCATTGTCTCTTAAATTCATTTGTCCTTTCTCTAATCTTGGAAACATCTTCAATCCCTCGTTTTTGATTGTGGTCGAAGTTAGAACATAGAGCCATAGATCGATTCTCAGCCTTTCAACCCTATCTAGTCTTTGAGCATCTGTTATACTTATCATATTTTTGTCAAAATGGGAAGCGCTTCTACTCAATCATGGCTGGATGTTCTTTCCACGCAGCGTGAGTATCAACTTCATACTTGGACTGGTGGTGATTCATTGCTAATTCAAATATAGTCAATGTGGACCTCGACTACATGGACCCAGCTTTCACGCTCAGTCTTCTTCCTGTCATACCAAATGATGTGACCAGCAACCAATTCATTGTTCATGAGCGGATGTGTCATCCTGATAATGAACAACTTCTGATGGATGTTGCGAAAGAGTACAAAGACGCTGGCTGGCTGGCAATTTACACCCGAGTGGTAAGTTCATTCCAATGTTCTTCTCATATATTAGTTGATATACCGATATTGGGACACTTCTTAATGGTGTTTTTAGGCTGTCTTGATGTGCAAGGCAAATATTGACAATATCAAAGGCCGGGTTCTCCTTCAAACTCTGCCGTCTTGTGCTTATAACACTGAGAAAACCGTGGAACACGCTCGGATGTATGCACGCGAATTCGAAAATGTCGGTATTTTGAAGGATCGCTTTTGCATCAAGATCCCTGTCACTGGTCCTGCGTTGAGCGCATGCCCAATTCTCCTCCAGGAAGGAATCCGTACCCTCGGCACTGCAGTCTTCAGTGTTCACCAAGCAATAGCAGCAAGCCAAGCTGGTTGCTTGTACATCAGCCCTTACTACAATGGTAAATTGCTTTCAAACTTGTTGGATTACCAGCTTGTAGATCAATTTGAAGCTGACAATAAACATTTAAACAGACATTGCGACCCACCTTGATCTCACACTGTGGCCAAAGTCTGCCGATCCTGCGCGCCTACATCCATTCTCATCTCGGTTTATCCAGATAGTTGAGATTTATAAGCAGATGTACAAGGAGACAAAGAGCAGCACTTCATCAAGCATGCTGGGTATGTACATCAGTAACCGTATCGCCACTATGCTATAACTGACCATTCTCTTAGCTTTTTATCCGCAGAAGAAGCCATGGCAGCTGGTGAAATCGGTTGTCACTCAGCAACTATCCCTCACCAAGTAATGTTGGAGCTGTCGCAGCGCCCATATGATAGCTCGCAACAGCCTGGACAAGGTCTCCCCAAGCCACCTCATCCTTACAAGGATGCGGCTCTCACACCCTCCCGGCTTCAAGAGATTGCCAAGGTTGACCCGCTTACACCTGGTTGGGATGGAGTGTTGGCAGCTACTGATGTAGATTACTTGGCGAACAATGGGGCACAGTTGGATCTTGAAAACGAGAACGATCCTGAAACTAAGAAGCGACTTGCTGAGGCTCTTGAGGCTTTTGTGGGGGCTGAGAAGAGAAGCCGGGCTAAAGTCGAGGAGGTGATGAATTCTCTCTAGATCTTTGTGTCTCCGTCAGTTGGACAAGAATCTGCGGACACTTGTAGCGATTTAAATCTACCACCTCATCACACTCAGGAAGCTGGAATGGATTATTCGGCCGACACAGAAGAGCAGGAACAAAAATTATACTCAAGTGCTAGTATTACATAAAGATCTAGATCTGTCATGGAAACAATTCGCCATATCCATAAGCTACCCCAATGAAAAGTGTCTCAACCCTAAAAAGAAACAGTTGCGCCTCTGCATAATTGGTTTTCACAAGCCACCTCTGGAAAATACCCTCAAGGAATCATGCAAAGCTAGTCCCACGCCAGAATTCGGTCGAAGGTGGTTTAGGTGTGCTGCCAGACAATTTCGGGAAATCCCTTTCCTCGGAGCTCAGCCATGAGCGCTTGTTTCGTTGCATCCTTTCCATTGTGGTTAAGAATATAGGTACCTTGACCTGAGTTCGTGGGTGCGAAGTTGGGGAAGGTCGATAGCCAGGTATTCCATTCGCTACTCTCCTCACCGAGATGGAGATCGGTTTCAACAAAAATCCAATCACTGCACCCATCAAAAATCCAACGCTGGTCTTCATGAGAGGGGTGGCCATGATACCTGGGAAGACGTGGAGGAAGCTGATTGATGGATTCTGGGCAGCGAGTTTTTCAAAAGCGAGGGAGGTCATCGATGCTGGGTAGCCGTTGCCAGCAGAAAGAGAGAATTTCTCCAGGTCCAAGTTGTCCTCTTCGATCATGATTTCTTTACCAGCAGCCAGGATGCTAATTACGCGGGAATTTCTAGAAGCTTGAAGGGCAGGTAAGAGATTGACAATGAATCTCATGCGAGAATAGTATCGCAACATATGGTTTTGATCGATCCCAGAATCAGTCTCTGTATTCGTATAAAGTTGTTAGACTGAGTTTCATGGTGGGGACAGGATATTTTGAAGAGTTTAGTAAGCTCTTTTGCTTACCTTTTTTGCTAAATGAGACAGCTCCAGGAGAGAGAAACAGGAGATCTTACTTCAAATTGACTTTTGAGCTCGTTGCAAGCCTTATCGACGAGGCGAAGATTGGAAACATCCACAGATTTGAAGCTGTAAGTACCCCTTGGATTGGCAATTTTCATAGCTTCAATGACTTGAGCACCGGCGACTTCATTGCGGCCGATAATGTGAATAACGGGCTCGTCAACCGCGCTAGCCAATTTAATGGCTGATTGTTTTCCGATGCCGCTGGTCGCTTCAACAAAGACAGCCACCATTTCCGGCTTGAGAGCCTGTAAACCTGCATTCCATTCCCGCACCTGTGTCAAAGTTTGAGCCATTGTGAAAGTTTCGGTGATTCTTCTTTACTCGTGCGCTGCGAAGGACTTGAGAAGAGAATGGAGTGTTGAAAGGGTTAAGCGGATCTTTTGTATCGATTATTGAAGAATTGAAACTGAAAAGAATGCGCACTTTAGCGTAGACCCGCGTCTTATTCCCATTATTTGCGAAGTTGCAAGGCCACGAAGGGCAGGTTCAAGTTCAATCTTTACACTAGCGTGCGGAATTCCCCAAGGGTCCACTCTACCGTGACCCGCTATGGATCTATGCTTATATCGTGGGCCACATTCTTCAGAGTCGGTGCTCTGAACCGTCAACTGGTATGACACATTGATATTCTTAAATATCGCATTGACGGGAATTCGGAAGGATTCGTACTGAGAGACCAGTTCAACAAGTTTGTTACCAAAATTGCTGTTGAGACCGTTGTGCCACTGGGCATACAAGTAGCCCGAATGATTTTGCCGCAAATTTTTGAATCTCGATAAGTTTCAATATAACTTGAACTGAAGCAACTTTGGAGGCTGTCATAACGAGCAATCATCCTTTCGTCAAATGCACTCTCAGTCCTAGATTCTCTAGGCATTTATGAACGTTCAAGTTGGTGCTGTCAGTTGGGATGACTCCGAGTCCTGGGCAAGAGCGGGAAGTAGTGGCAGAATATATAACCAGGAAATCAATCGCGGGGTTATTGATGGAGTTCTCCAGCACTTGAGATTTCTCTTGTTCAAACGTTTCTCATTTCAAAAACGCGGGGAGTTGGCAGATTGAAACGTGATAGAACTGAAAGACAATTATCTCGCCAATTCACAAGATGGGTTCGCGGCAACATCTTCGTGAGATGAAATCAGGACCCCCACTTCCATACCATGATGATATTCGAGCCTACACAAGGGAATATGCGGCGGCTCTTGACGAGAAAGATCCACTCCGTCACTTTCGAGATGAGTTTATCATTCCCTCCAAGAAAGATCTTAAGCGAACTACGTTGGTAGCCGGCGCTAGTGCAGGTAAGCATCACGCGAATTAATTCCCGATTTGAGACAGCCATTGATTTAGAATTAAGAAAGCGACGAAGCCTCAGATGATAGATGTATCTACTTCTGTGGCAACTCCCTCGGTGTGCAGCCTCGTAGCACACGCAGTTACATTGAACAGTACTTGCGAACGTGGGCAACAAAGGGTGTGATGGGTCATTTTGTGCCACATGAAGATCAGCTACTTCCTCCTTTCGTTGACGTCGATACTGCCGGGTCAAAGTCGATGGCTCCTATCGTGGGAGCATTGCAGAGTGAGGTTGCAGTCATGGGTACATTGACTGCCAATCTTCATTTTCTCATGTCTAGCTTTTACCGTCCTACCCAAGAAAAGTACAAAATTATTCTGGAAGGCAAGGCTTTTCCTAGTGACCATGTACGTTGCGTGATAACCAGAATTGCTTGAAGATTCTTCTAATGTAGACCACAGTATGCAGTCGAATCTCAAATTCAGCACCACAACCTCGATCCAAAGGACGCAATGGTGTTGATTGAGCCAGAAAACCTGGATTATCCCATCTTGACTACCGAGCAGATCCTGAAGGTGATTGATGATAATGCCTCCAGTACAGCCCTGGTGTTGCTTTCTGCAATCCAGTTCTATACCGGTCAATATTTCGATATCGAACGTATCACAGCTCATGCTCACTCTAAGGGCATCCTTATTGGCTGGGACTGTGCGCATGCCGCTGGAAACGTAGATCTGCGCCTGCATGACTGGAATGTGGACTTTGCAGCATGGTGCACCTACAAATATATCAACAGCGGACCAGGCGGAATGGCGGCACTATTTGTTCACGAGCGGCATGGGAATGTAGATGAAAAACAGACCGGCGACGATGTATCATTTCGACCCCGTTTATCTGGCTGGTGGGGACATGATAGCAAGACACGCTTCAAGATGGAAAATAGTACGTGATTATTCGAAATTCGTTGCCAAGAGAAAAAGAAAACATGCATAGATATGCTGACTATCTGCCGAATTCAGAATTCATGCCCCAACCTGGCGCAGCGGGATTCCAGCTTTCCAATCCTTCAGTGCTTGACATAAACGCTGTCATTTCTTCTCTCGAGATCTTCAACCGAGCGAGTATGAAGGAGATTCGACAAAAATCTTTGAACATTACTGGCTACCTTGAGCATCTGCTACTGAAATACCCCCTAGATTGCCCCCCCTGAAGACAAGCCCTTCACTCTCATCACTCCCTCCAACCCAGCGGAAAGAGGTGCCCAACTGAGCTTGAGGCTTCAACCTGGATTGCTCGACCATGTGCTCCATCATTTAGAAGAAAATGGGGTTGTCATCGATGAACGCAAACCCGATGTGGTTCGAGTAGCACCAGCGCCATTGTATAACACCTACGTGGAAGCCTGGGAATTTTGCCAAATTTTTCTGGAGGCATGTCGAGAAGCTGTCAAAGCTCGCCAATAAGCATGCCTCAACATGTACTGCATACCTGTTTTGAATAATCAAAATCTATCAGTTGACTTGACTTGAGGTTACAAGCAATCAAAGAGGATGCCTCATCACACTCATTCTCAGAAGTACTTTTTACTAGGTATGTCCCTTGAAGTCATACTAATGAATTCGTGCTCCTACTAGTAAAATCAAATTATATCATACGGAGTACAGCTTACTCCGTAGGGATGATTGATAAGACCCGCTTTGTAGAACAGGTTCGGCTACTCGGCAATGTACCGGCGCCACAATTGCCTTCAATTGGAAGAAATTTCAAATATTGCAATTTCAGGCCCTACATTCCAACTCTTTACGTTTAGTCACCATCAGTAGATCCAGAAAACAGGTATGATGTTGCAGAACCTGTGATTTGCTCTGCCGATCTCGGAATTTGGAGACTTTTCTTTTCTTTGGAGTTTCCCATCTGAGCATCTATACCCGTTATCTGTGGATGGATCTCTAGATATCAATGGAAAAAACAACACTCTCTCCTGATTTAGAGAACCCACAAGATCAGGGTACGGGAAACCGCCCTATAGAGGTTGGCGATGTTGACTATTCAGTATTCACACGAAGCCAGAAGCGATTTATCGTGTTTATGGCATCATGGGCGGGGTTTTTCTCACCAGTCTCCTCACAGATCTACTTCCCAGCACTGAATACTCTGGCTAAAGATCTTCATGTTTCCAATTCATTGATTAATTTGACACTCACGAGTTACATGGTTCGTTATCTCTACATCCAAAGAAAAAAATATAACTGAATCGAAATTCAAAAGACATACCTCTTGAATCACCGTCTCGGGGACTTGACTGACTCGCCGAACCGTGCAGATTTTCCAAGGCTTATCGCCGATGTTCATCGGAGACTTCGCCGATAAAGCTGGCAGACGACCAGCATACTTGATATGCTTCACGATTTATAATGCCGCCAATATTGGACTTGCGCTGCAGAATAACTATGCAGCACTGTTCGTCCTGCGATGTCTGCAGAGTGCAGGAAGTAGCACTACCATCGCTCTATCCTCTGGTGTGGTCTCCGATGTCGCTACGGCATCCGAGAGAGGCTCCTATATGGGATTTGTCACAGCAGGCTCCCTCTTAGGTCCTTCGATTGGTCCTGTAATCGGAGGCCTGTTAGCACAGTATCTCGGATGGAGGGCGATTTTCTGGTTTCTGTTGATCTTCTCCGGATCTTTCCTCATCCCATTCATCATATTCTTCCCTGAAACGGCCCGTGGTGTTGTGGGAGATGGATCCCTACCAGCCCAGAAATGGAATATGTCTTTGCTGAATTACCTTCAATCTCGCAAGGCTCGAGAGGAAGATGTCGTCCCAGCAACAAGGCCAGAAAAGCGAAAACTTGGTTTCCCAAATCCTTACAAGACTCTCGCCATCGTTTTCCAGAAGGATACCAGCATCATTCTGCTGTGTAATGCGATCCTTTTCGCCGGGTTCTATGATATCAGTGCGACGATTCCTTCGATCTATAAAGACTTATATGGGCTAGATGATCTCCAAATCGGCCTGTGTTATATCCCATTCGGTCTTGGATCTAGCCTCGCTTCTCTCTTGAATGGCAAATTTCTAGACTTCAATTATCGACGTCTGGCAAAGCGACTGGATTTCCCGTTGGTCAACAATCGCTTTGTAGACCTGCGCAATTTTCCTATTGAGAAAGCTCGCCTCGAGATTGCGTTTCCGTTGCTGACGATAGCAAGTCTATGTATTATAGCTTTTGGATGGTGCTTGGACTATGGGGTTCATCTTGCTGCACCAACCACCATTTTGTTCTTCACGGGACTGACGCTTACCGGATCATTTAATACTGTCAGCACGATTCTAGTTGATCTATATCCTACTCAGGCTGCCAAGGCTACAGCTGCGAATAACTTCGTTCGGTGTTTACTTGGAGCCGGGGCCACGGCCGTTATTGATCTGATGCTGTCTGCCATGGGTCGTGGCTGGTGTTTCACGTTCATTGCATTCGTGATGTTGTGTACATCACCTTTGCTTTGGATTGTGATTCATTATGGTCCCCAGTGGCGTGAGGAGCGTCGACTTAAGGAAGAGGCTCGGAAGCTCAGTACCGCGCCAAGCAACGAGATGTCATGAGAGAATGCAACTGTCAAGGCTGAGTAAGTCTTGCATGCATGCTACGAAGAAGTGTGCTCTATTGAAGTTTACGAAATTATGATCAATTGGTTGAAAATATTGCATCAAGCCATGTCTATACCCTGTCTCAGATTCAAATATCTCATATACATACTCTCAGAGACTATCATCAAACTTCTGCTAATGCGAATTTGCGGTATATTGTATTATCGATCCAAAGCTCTCCGTGCGAGCAGAGCTTATCACCTAAAGGCAAAGTAAGCTCGCTCCAGGGGCTGTCGTTCCGACTCCCATGCCAGCCAATCTGATCTCGTTGTCCTAGAAGAGAGTTAGTACTTGGGATCAACGTAGTCTCTCCAAAACAATTTATAACATACGGCAAAAGACCCATAGCATTGACTTTCCAGATTCCCAGGGCTAGTAGTCCCAGCTGTACAAGCACATAGACGGCCTTCACACCCATCAAACGCCCGCGGGTCGAAGGAGTCTCAAATTTCGCAAACACGGCGTTGGTACCGATCAAACCCTGAATAGGACCCTTGAACAACATAAAGACCATCATGATACTGAAGATCTGGAGACTGTTGCCGGACATGTACATCATGATTGCGTTCATCGGGATCTGCTTGGAGGGAGCGATGGCGATCTCCCACGCCTTCTTGAGCTTCAAGGTGTCGGTATCTTCGGGCTTCTTTTCGATCGGTTGTTTCTGCTGCTGCTTCTGCTGTTTATTTGTTAGAACTTTTCTCGAGTAGACTTCAATAATCGAGCTGTATCCGTATTGGCTATCTTACCTGTTTACCTGCCCGGCTGGAGAAGCCTGGTGGATCCGGAATACTGGCAGCGGCCTTGGTAGGACGTGGCATAGGGGAGTTCAGCCCAACAACCCATTGTGGTGGAGGGGGAGGTGGAAGAGGCGACGACATAGTTTTAATATGATGAGGTTGTAGACCTGGAGATGGTGGTGGTGGAAGGTCAAAAGATCGTAAAGGTGGGAAATGGGGCGTGCACCTTGGAGTTTCCCTCCGCAGCTTCTCCCACTCCGCCTTGGACTCTCCTTTCTCTCCTGAAATCATCACCTTTTCTACTTTCCACACAATTCTCCAATCTCCGTTCAATTTGGCCTCTTACATTTGGTCATGCCAAATCAATGATTTCCATCACTTATTAAACCAATCCTGTTGTGGTGTAGTGACAAAAGTCCCGATTTCGCGCCCTTTTCTCGAACGCTTACCCTCGACCCTATACACCTTCGTCCCTATTCCGGCCAGAACCGTCACAACTCGTTGAAATACAAATACTTTTCTTACTCTCTTACTACTCTCCAAACCTTCTGATATTTCCTTTGAATCTCATTTTGACTCTCGACGATCGCCAACTCAATTGTCGCATGTGATTGATTGCACGGCCGCTAGAACTCAAGCCACTGATACAAAGGAACCGCCCGTTAAGGAATTACTGCGATTCGTCCAGCAACCATGAGTTCCGGGGGAGATGCGAAGTTGTTCGCTAGGGTACGTACCGTGTCTGATCGTCTGATTTCCAACCCAAAAGTCCGAAAGTGACTTCCTCCCCTCTTCCCCGCACACCAGGATGCTTCTTGCGCTTTTAATGCGATGGCCTTTGGCGGGCTTCGCAGCGCTATATAGCCTGTTACTACCTATTTTCTTGTCATGTTCATACCCCCACATCCCACTGGCCCCATGTTTATCGGATTCTCCCCATATGCTCCTACCTATGGCTCACATTTTCCGCGTACTGCACAGGGCAAGGTTGCCGAGTTGCGAACCGAGCTGCAAAGCGGCGGCAAGAAAGACAAGAATTACTCGGCCAAAAAGATCGCCTTGAAGAAGATCGTTGCGAATATGACTATGAGCAATAATGATATGGTTGCGCTGTTCCCCGATGTCATCGAGTGCATGAACCTGCCAAGTTTGGAGATTAAGAAGATGTACGTTGCCGTCTTATACGTGATTATTCTAATGTCGTCAACACTCGACAAAAGAAGCTTTCGCTAATATGAAAACAGGTGCTTCTTGTTCTTGGTGAACTATTCCAGGATGAAGCCAGAGGTCGCCTTGAAGGCACTACCTACTCTAGTCGAGGTATGGCCTCTATTTTTGGATCATAACTGAATCCATAGAAAAGTCGCTGATATTATTGATAGGATATGGGAGACAATAACCCTCTAGTCCGAGCGCTTGCCCTACGAACTATCTCATATGTCCATGTGCGCGAATTCGTTGAAGCAACGTTCCAACCTCTCAAGCGCCTCATGCAGGACAATGATCCTTACGTCCGCAAAACAGCTGCCTTTTGCGTCGCAAAACTCTACGAACACGATAAGAAAACGGTGGAAAATTCCGATTTGATTGATCGCTTGAATCGAATGCTTAAAGATGAGAACCCGACAGTCGTCTCCAGCGTGCTGGCTTCGTTGGTGGATATCTGGGGTCGAAGTGAATCGATCTCGTTGACCATCGACTATACCAGTGCTTCCAAGCTGGTCTCGATTTTACCGGACTGCTCTGAGTATGACTGCTCTAATTCTGAAATCCCAAATTAGGTGTGCTGACAATGTGTATAGATGGGGTCAAACCTACATTCTCGAAGCCTTGATGTCTTATGTTCCCCAGGACACTGCCGAAGCACTTCTGCTGGCCGAGCGAGTAACTCCACGGCTATCTCATTCAAATTCTGCAGTCGTTCTCACTTCCTGCCGTGTAATCCTCTACTTAATGAACTACATCTCCGACAAAAAGCACATTACCTCACTAAGCAAGAAAATGTCACCGCCTCTCGTCACTCTCCTCGCCAAACCCCCAGAGATCCAGTACCTCGCTTTGCGGAATGCCATCCTCATCCTCCAAAAGAGACCTGAAGTTCTGCGAAATGACATCCGGGTATTCTTCTGCAATTATAACGACCCCATCTACGTCAAGGTGACAAAGCTGGAGTTGATGTTCATGCTGACCACTAAAGATAATATCTCGGTGGTCCTAGCGGAGCTCCGAGAGTCAGTCCTCCTTTCCTCGACCTGAATTCTACAATTTCTTTTGCTGACAATACTCTAGATATGCCACTGAAATCGATGTCCATTTTGTGCGCAAGGCAGTCCGTGCCATTGGAAAACTTGCAATCAAGATCGAGTCAGCCGCGAAACAATGTATCGATACATTGTTAGAACTGGTGGATGCAAAGATTCCCTACATTGTTCAAGAGGCCACAGTTGTGATTCGCAACATTTTCCGCAAATACCCCAACCAATATGAGAGCATCATCAGCCACGTGATACGCAACATTGACGACCTGGACGAGCCCGAGGCAAAGGCAGCCATTATCTGGATCATCGGTCAATATGCAGACCGAATCGACAATTCAGACGGTCTTCTACAAGATTACTTGGCTACCTTCCACGACGAAACGATCGAAGTGCAGCTAGCTTTGCTCACAGCCACCGTCAAGCTTTTCATTCAACGGCCGACCAAGGGTCAGCAGCTCGTGCCCCAGGTGCTGAAGTGGTGCACGGAGGAAACAGATGATCCCGATCTACGAGATCGTGGCTACATGTACTGGCGTCTTCTTTCGACCGACCCCGCAACCGCGAAGCAAGTCGTCATGGGCCAGAAGCCGCCTATCACAGCCGAAAGCGAGAAACTCGACCCTCGCACACTGGAGGAACTCTGTTTGAACGTTGGCACTCTCGCCACCGTCTACCTGAAGCCCATCCATCAGGTGTTCCGCGCAGCGCGACCTCGTCGTTTACAACCCAGTCCGGCTCTCCAAAGACCCCGCATCGAGGATGGCACCGCCAGCATGCTTGAATACAACCCTCCCACAGCCAACGTCGCTCCAGCATCAACTAGTAATAGTGGCCTTGCCACAATCACTACAACGGGCAACCCGATCAGTCCGATCAATGCTCCTCCTCCGCCCAGCTTCCCTCTTGGCGTCGACCCTACTGCTGGCACGGGTACAAGCCCCGGTTCTGCTGCTATCAACGCGGCAGATTCCTATTTCAATGGCATTGGATCGCAGCAAATGGCTCAAATGAACCTAGGCGGTCGTGATGATGGTGATATAGGTGGTGGTGGTGCCCAAAATCAATATGTCGTGACGCAAAACTCCCAGCAGGTCTACCAGGGCCAACTAGCTGGTGGAGCAGCTACGGGTGAGTTGCTGCTACTCTAACTCCTCTCTCGTGAGATGGATTCGAGGGTCCATGGACTGTAATTGTAGATAAGAAAATGTTGCGTCATGTTATTCATACGAGTTGACATAGCATAGGGAATGGTTCATCTTTAATTTTTATACTTCGTGTTTATTGTTTTCAACAGTCTACCGGCACTTTTGGGGATCTTTCATATTGGTTTCTACGGTTCTACTTTGAATAATGCTGTTTCAAAGTTCAAATATCAATACCAACTGGTGGTCTTTTAAAATTGGATATCGTCGCTAAGAAACTGAGTGTATTGAATACACAGGATAAAGCCCAGCTCATAAAGGGTAAGTTGTAATACACAGTAAAAAGGAGAACTTGATGTTCCATATGACATAAATGACCCTTATTCGTCTTCCATCTTGGACAAACCACCACGACTGCGACGGATACGTTCGTCGAGGCTATCTTCTTGCACACGCTTGTGAACTTGAGACATGAACGCACCGCGGTCTGATCGTAGCCGATCATCGGCTTCCTTCTCTGCTGCCTCCTTTTCACTGATATCATCAATGCGCTGACGTCTCTCCGACTCCAGTTCAGTTGCGTTGGATTGCATTTCCGCTAGTTTGCGTGCTCGCTCCTCTTCTAGCGCCTTAGGGTCAGGTCTGGGCTGTGCTGGGCGAGGCGCCCGTCCAGAGTCGCGCCGGTTCTGATTATTGTTGTAATCGCGTCGAGGATAGTCCCGGCGGTTGTCTTGATTATGGACACGGTCACTTCGATCTTGGTTAGGGCGTGGATTAGGGCGTGGAGAAGGACTGCGTCGACGAGGAGACGAGCGGCGAGGAGATCGAGTACGCTCTTTATCATTGTCACGGTTGCGCTCGCGCTCGCGATCATGTTCTTGGTCTCGTTTGCTATCTCGGTCTTGGTGGTCGTGACGGCTTGACTTTGAATTTCTTCTGTCGCGCTCATCGCGGTAGTCGTGGTATCGTTCCCGGTCGCGGTCATCACGACGGTCTCGATCTTCCCCACGACAGCGGTCATGGTCACGGTCTCTCTCACTGCGATGTCTGCGCGAAGATCTCTCACCATCCGCGGGAGCGGGAGATCGAGACCGACGCCGATGCGATGAGCGATGACTTCTCTCCCGGTCCCCCTCATCACTGTAGCGTCTTCTCTTTGAGTCATGGTCACGATCGCGATGTCTGCGTTCGCGATCCCGGTCCCGATCTCCGTCCCGCTTGCTTCCCCGCCGCTCTTCTCTCTCCTTCTTCTTAATAGCCTCCTTCATCAAAGCCTCTTGAGCTGCCTGTTCCCGCTTTCGAATCTCCAGAAGCGGATCAGCCATAACCTTTGACATGGTATCTCTGGCAGATCCAATAGAAGGGCCCTGCGCCGCAGCTTGCGCAGCATTAGCACCGACTAAATCTGCACCCTTTTCCAGTTTCGCGGTATCAGGATCTTTCTTTAGTAGGATGCCGTCGATTCGTCGCTTGCCGAGTAGGTATCCTTCCATCTCTTCGGAATAGTGGCCCGTCGCGCTAGAAGGTGCTTGGTACATCCAGTCGACGCGGTTGTGTTGCTTCTGTTTGCCGGAGGCTTCTTGTAGACGCTGGAGTTCTTGGATCTGACGCTCTTCTTCACGTTCGCGGCGGAGTTGATCGACTTTTTTGCGCTCCTCCAGGGCTTTCTGCTCCTGTGACCAGACGCGCTCCTGGTTGCGCAGGAGGGAGGGGTGCCATGACCTGTTGGATGGGTTAGTGAGGTTTCTTCTTGCGTGGCGCTGGGGACGATTCTGGTTGCTTGAAATTATCCAGGGAGAATCTTAGTGGAATTAACTCACTTCTTCAGGTTCAGATCACCACCCATATTGACGGCTGTGTATGGTAGAAAGCTTGGGGTGGAGAGAAAGTGAGAGGTTGGAGGTTAGACTCGAGACCCGATATGGAAGTTGCGCTTGAAGGTAGCCTCAGGCAGAACGCATCTCTCATGTGATTGGTGCCTTTGTGCCTTAACGTGATCGGTAAGCGAGTGGCCAATGTAAGCGAGTGGCCACCCTACCCAAGTTATTTCTACTTTTTTAAGATTATCTCAACCACAACGCCGTTAAATTGTCTAATCTGTAGCTATACACATATTTCGCTTATGTCCTAACTCGCCACATTTACCACACTTGGGTGGGCGCCGTGCTACCGGAGTATATGAAGCCTGCTGTGCTGCGACCATTGCTGGTGTTCTAGCTTGGAAGAGCTGGTTATGAGCTTGTTCGTGCTCCTGAGCTTCCTGAACAGATACACCGGCATCATATTCAACCCATCTATTAACACGAGTACGCTTTTGTCTTTGAATAGCGTTTGCAGCTCGTAGTTGCTTATTCTCTTGCTCAAGTAGTATACCATTATGCATCGCAATTTGACAGCCTTTGATAAGCTGATTTAATGCAGTGTGTGATGGTGATGGTGCGCTATTTGAGCGTTGCTTGAGAAAAGCTTTAATAGAAGATGCTTGTTTTAAAAGCTCATGAACATTTGCAGGTGTATGTGGGCAAAAAGCACTTGATTGGCTGCCACGGCTTCCAGGGGGGTGTAGGTGTTCGAAGTTGAATATTTAGCTTAGAAAGTACTCTTTGAGGATCAAATGGTACAATTCCAGATGCTTGGAAGCTATTTTTGATTATAGATAGCTTAAAAGCATTAGTACGAGCTTGTGGATAAGCTAGTAAAAAATCAAGGTTGTCGATATGGTTGATCCCAACTCGCATCTTTTGGCCGATTAAATCACCATATGAATGTTTTAATACTGCAAAACATCCAATATCAAGAGGCTGAAGAAGATGTGATGAATGTGCTGGCATACAAATTGGTATAATTTGATGATCAGCACAAATCTGATCAAATTGTGGTGTAAGATGGCTTCCATGCCCATCAAGAATTAAAAGTCGATATTGCCCATGCGTACGACTAGTTGTTAATGGAATAAAGTGTTGTTGAAGCCAGCGAAGGCCTATTTCATCACTTGTCCATCCATTAGGACTAACTTCAAAGCGCCAATCAGATGGAAGGTCTGTAAACCATGCTTGGTTATATCGTTTACTTTTGAAAATGAGTGTTGGTGGAAGCGCCCATCCAGAAGTATTGATTGATTCGATTGCAGTTACCCACTCACGATTTCCAGGCTGCAAAACTGATCTCCGACCGTAGTATTCTGCTCGGGTAATCACTTTCTGTGCTGAGCAAAGCCCTATTGCGAATCCAGTCTCGTCAAAGTTATAGATATCATCTGCGAGGATACCATATTGCTGGATTGTGGTTTGGACTAAATCAAACCATTCTTGAATGATTTTTGGATCCTCTTGTTGCGCTCGTTGGTAGTCATATCGTCGTGAATAGCGAGATTTAAGCTCTGGATGACGTTGAGTAAAGTTATATACCCATTTTTCACCAACAGTTTGAATATGGATAGAACCACGCTTAGCAAGTAGAATATTTGCCATTTCTCGTACGTGAGCTTGTGTCGGGGCAGCTCCACGTGAATCAAGAGACAATATCCGTTGCTTAAGCGATTCCTCTTCAAGTTGGGTCAATTTATGACCATTTGCGCGAGTATCAGCTCGAAAAGTATCACCGGTGATACGGCGACGGAGGGTTGTACGAGGTACATCAAATCGATGTGCAGCTTCGGCAACAGACCGTATTTCTTCGTTTTTGATAGCTTGTATAGCTAACAAGATACGCCCTTCTTGTTCGGCTAATTTTTTAGCCTGTCGAATACGATCTGGAGGCATGGTGGTTGATAGAAAAGAGGTGCATGAAACGGGACGCGAAAAAAATTAGGTGGGGTGGCCACTCGCTTACATTGGCCACTCGCTTACCGATCACGTTAATTACTCGACACCTAAATTTCAAGGCTTATTACTGAACTACATAGTCACATAGAATCTTGAACTTTGTGTTGGTAGAATCAAATGAATACATTGCAAATAGGTACAGGTAATGTAGAATGAAAGGGGAAGTCATAATAGAGGAGAAACTCATCATGCAGCATCTGCGAGGATGGCGACGAAAGAAAAAAGAGGGTGCACGCTCGCTCAATTCTCCAAAGAACAAAAGAGCAACCATCCCGCATCTTCCTCATTAACATATGAGCAGGATGGCCAAAAGGGGGGAAGCAGTTGACAGAGAAATAAAAAAAATGGGGGAGACGATAGGACACATATGAAGATAAAAAAGTGACAAGCATCACTCATACACAAGTCCACCACCTCCAAGGCTAATCTATGCCGGCAAGTACAGGCATCCCAGTGCATACTGAGACCTCGTAGACTTATTTGGTACTTTCCCAACCGACCCAGCTGCGTGGCATAACTCGCCAGACCTTGCACTCGCCACTGCGCATGTCATTCAGCTTGAAGCTCTCCATCTTGACCTTCTTGCTTTCACGACCCTGCTCCCAGGCGCGAATCTTCTTCTTGGTACCATCCCAATCCACAACAATACCAACGTGGTCAGGCTTGCCCACCTCAGAACTGTACTTCTGATGCATAGTACCACGATGACCTTGGAATCGAGCGTTGCGGAAGCTCACAATGTCACCAGCGCGAATCTCGTCATTCTGCGAGACCGAGGCATTGGCTAGGTTAGAGTAAACCAAAGCACCATATGCTCGGTTGCCCACAGGGAGCAATGCATCGTTCAGAGGGTTCAGTAGCTGCTGAATAAGAGTCAAGGGAGTTCCATCTCCAACGGTGGAGTTTTGGAAGGAGGTCACTGATTCTGCAATCCGAGTACCGATTTGATTATGCGCCTGTTCCAATTGATCCTGGCGAGGCTGAAGTGGAGGAGGCTCATGGCGCTGTTCCAAAGAGACATCCGCAGGGTTCCTGGAATCGAACTGGACTGCTATAACGGTTTGGGAATAATCGATGAATAAAATATAGATATCCTTGGATATGGTAGTCTTTCCGCCTCGCTTGCTGGAGGAAGATTCCTCAACTTCGAAAAGAACATCTTTACGGCCTTGAAGAGACGGTGGCAAGGTATTGGGTTGAGTCCACCAAAGAGTGTGCTCGGCGAAATCCACATCAATGGCAATGTACCCTTGGTCGATGGAAGGTCGAGAGACATCCATGGATCGCCGGACATTAGCAGGGCCTCTCGCCATGTCCATAGATGGACGCCCACTGCGCGCTGCAGAGGGAGATGGCATAGGCGGAACCTGGCTTTGAGGTAGTGGCGCCACCAGAGATGGACGTTTCTCGTGCTTGGGTACAGGGGGTGCCTCGTTCAATGGGCTTTGAATAGGGGACTCATCGTACAAATCATCATAGCTCTCAGTGGGAGGGAGCGGAGGAGGTGCTTCAGGCCGTCCACTGGGAGGAGGCGGAGGGGTAGGCATACCATGACGAGGATCAGCATAGTTAAATGGATCATACTCGTCAGCATATTCATCAGTCGACGGCTCTCTGCCTGGAGGTGGTGGAGGGGGACCCCGAGGAGTATCCATAGAAGCGCGGGCATTACGAGGAGGTTGGCTTGGGGGTAGCGGCGGAGCTCCTCTGGGAGCGGCAGTAGGAGGAAGAAGCTGAGGGGGGGCGTGATTCAAGAGGACTGCGAGGGGATTGTAGAGAATAATCATCGGTCATTGTGCCTTCATCAAAGCTCGAATCACGTTCGTGTGATCTCAGAGCATCCTTGTGCTTGACACCAGACGCAATATCAGTGTCGTAATCACCATCGTACTCAGTGACCTCTCCTTCAACATCCTCACCAGCTTGACGAGGAGCAGCAATAGCACTGCTGCGGCTATCAGCAGTGGAACGTCGACGTGGCTGGCTTGGAGGTGGTGGAGGAGGAGCACGGCTCTGCGCCGGCGGCATGGGTGGATTCATTGGAATTGGGGGCGGTGCACGACTGGCTCTCTTTTCAGCAGTCGACGTAGGAGGCATGGGAGGTGGGGTGTCATAGGTTGATGAACGGCGAGAATCCAGGTAATCGGGGATTGCAGGGGCAGACACCTCTTTAGGGGATCCCAAAGACAAATTCTTTGCATGAATGGATAATTCATCATCGGATTCATTGCCCTCCTCAATACCCGATGGCCTGGGCGGAGGAGGAGCAGGACGACCTGACCGTACACTGTTAGTTTGATTCCTTTCAAAACAGTGAATTCCATCAGTAAAACCTACCACCAGGGACTGGAGGAGGAGAACCCATTTGCTCCGTGGGCACTGGTCGAGCTTCTAGGGGGGAAGGACGGAGCCGCTCGTTCTGTGAAGTGTAAGTTTTTGAAACATATTGCATTGACAATAGATATATGGGGGATCGATATCTTACCACGAGTGGGAGGAACAGGAGGACGGTCGAATGATGAACGTGGAGGAGCAGCCTCAGTAACAACCTCTTCAACATCGGGAACCTCTTGTGGACCATGCTGTTCAGTGACAGCAGGCACAACAGGCTCCTCTTCTTCCTTTTCAACATCAACTGGGGGAGCCGGTTTGCTGCTCACGTTCATGCCAGGAAGGGGAATCATTTGAATCGGAGCCGCATTGTTCGGGCTTATCGGATCAGCTTCAGCAAGCCTCTTCTCGGACTCGCCAGGAGTCTTGGGCTTGCGTGCAGGGCCACCCATGCCGGGCAAACCACCCGGAGGACCGAAAAGTCCCATCATACCCATACCGCCACTCATCTTTGCCATTCTCTCGCGAAGTTCCATCCTGCGTCTGGTTTCGGGGTCCATTTCTTCTTCCTCTTCTGCTGCCTCCTCTTCTTCAGCTTCCTCTGGCTCGTCCCCCTGTTCAACCGTGCGAGCTGGCGGAGGTGGTACGTGACGTGGACGCTCTTCCTCATCATCTTTGCTTGCAGATGTCTCTCCAGCATCCTCAGAGTCTGCCGCGGCGGAGTAGTCGGCATCGTTTGATTCACTGGCGATCTCCTCTTGAGGGGAGAACGGAGGAGGTAAAGTAGGAGGAGCTCTGGCTCTCAATGTATCAACACTGGCATCTCGAGCAGTAGTTGGTGCATCTATGGGAGAGGCCTCTTGCTCCTCTTCCAGTTCATCATCAGCTGGGATCGGCTCTACAGGTTGCTCAACGGGTTTCTTTGGAGGCCTGGGCTTCTCCTTCTTCTGAGCAGCCTCAGCGTGACGCTGGGCTTGTTCAAGTTGTTGCTTTTGAAGAAGAGCAATGCGATCCTTGAGGCTGGTGGGTTTGGGCTGATCCTCGGCACCCTCTCCGGACTCCTGCACTGGGGGTGGAGGCGGCGGCCGACTCTCCGAAACAGGTGGTTCACGAGCAAGCTGTTCCTTAACCTCCGGGTCTTCCTCTCGCTTGTAAATCTTGGCTGCAGGCTGACTTGGAGGAGCCACGTAGAAGTCTTTGCTTGGAGGCGGAGCAACGAACTGCTTCTTGACAAAGGAAGACGGATGGTGACCACTGGGCTTAATGGGAGCGAGCGGTGCAGCTGCAGATTTGTTAAAAGCAGCAATGCGATCCTTGAACGAGTTACCTGAGGGCTTCTCCGCCACCGCCGGGGGTGGGGGCTTTGAAGATGCCTTGGTTGGAGGCGGGGCTGGAGCAGCCGCCGGCACAGCAGCGGGGACGGGAACTGGGGCAGGAACAGGCTGGGGAGGAGAGGGCTGGAATTCAGCAACACGTGGACTTGAGGGTAGGACTGGAGATTGAGGAGCTGGAGGTTGCTGAGGAGCTGGCTCTGGCTCTTCCTCCTCCTCCTCCTCTTGAGCCTGTGCGGGAACCTCCGGTTCTGGTTGAATTGGGCTCTCCGTCACAGCTGGAGTTGGTTCCATAGGTGTTGGTTCCGGTTCCTTCTTCTGCCTGGTAGGTCGTGCGGGTCGGGGAGGCGCCGGCGGCTCATATTTCTCGACAAAGTTCTTAGGGAAAATGCCCTCTTGCTTGGCCCCCGAGCCGTCCGTGTACACTCCGTAGTACCACTCCGCATCCTCCTCGGCGGTGACGGTTACGATTTGGCCGATTGGGAAGCTAAGGTCGTCATCGTGGCCCGAACTGTACTCGAAGACCGCTCGAACGGTGAAAGGTGGGGTGGACATCTGGCAAGTTCGACCACGTTTGGGGAAGAGGTCTAAGAGAGAACGCTAAACACCAAGTGTGTAACGACAATCGGGGAAGAACTGTACAGAACCGAGCACCAGCTCCAGTACGTTCAGCATGCAGTGAGTTTGAAATGTTTGATAGACTGATTGTTTGTTGAAAGGAAAGGATTTCGCCTGAAGACCAGTCAGCGTGGGGATGGAACTTAACTGGTGCCTAGGAGTAGGAGATGAGGGGGGGGGGGGGCTTTGGTGGAGAAGGGTAGACCTTGGGGGGAAACAAACCGATGGAGATCCAGGGGAATCGATCACCCTCAACAGCTCAAGAGGATTGATCAATACACAAAGATAATGTGTTAGAAGACAGAATCTCCGAATCGGATGGGTAGAGGGGGGTGGAAAGGAAGGTGTGAGGTGTGGTCGTCACTTGGCGGGATGAGGAACAGGCTCCACTGACGATCAGCGGCTAATAAGAGAAACCTGGGCGCAACTGGAGTATTAGTCGATTTTATATATGGATTATATTAGGGGGAGATTTCTAGTAGAGAATTAGAAAAAAATTTACAACAAATTTTAATTTATAAACTCTTAGCGTCAGGGGTGGTTATAGCTATGTCCCGTGTCCTGCAATAAGGTCCACGAGTACGGAGTTATGACGATGCAGCTTCCCGGATTTCTGGGCAAAAAAAAGACGACTTAATTTTAGAAATTATATATGATCATCTTTAAAATATGTATTGTTAAATTTAGGTATTTTATTTTATGAATATTATAATAAATGACAACTCATCTCTTATATACCCAATACACCCCCGCTTCAGCCCAAGCTGTTCCCTTATTGCATTAAAATCCTGGGGTTTGATTGGCGTTGGTAATTCTTTGGGACCAAAACCCGCAAAACCAAACTTCACATATACTTGACCTTGACCATACTCCTTTCTTTTTTTCTCTCTCCAGTGGCGACTCGGAACTATCCCTGGAGGTTAACAAAGAAAATTACGACATACATACGGTAAAGAGACCACTCTATCCACCATGTCACCATCACAAGGTCCTTCCAAGTCCGCCCTCAAAACTTCTCTTCCCTCTGCATACGCCGCTGTCAACGCCGAACAACCACATGGATACGAATCATTGCCCACCAAAAAAGAGCAGGAGAAATACCTAGCAAACCGACCAGGTGCAAATGCCCAACACTTGGGAATTGCACTACAACATGCCCATCAAATCCAAGCCCAGAAGGTCGCCGAAGAGATGATCCTAGACCGCACCGTGGAACTTATCTCTATCCCCACTTCATCCTCAGCAGACCCTGCCGCACCCTCCACAGAAGACGCACGAACTTTTAAGTCTGCGCTCTTTGTCTTCCGACCGACTGATTACGATAATCTCATTACGGAACGAAACTACGAAGATCTCTGTGGCTATGGACTCTGTCCACGTGAAAATCGCAAAGCGTCGGCAAACGCCAAGGGTCAGACTTTTCATTTCAAATACGGTGCTAAAGGTAGTGGACCGGGCGGACGAGGACGCAGCGTCGATATAGTGTCTCGGGATAAACTAGAGAAATGGTGCTCGGATGAGTGTGCAGAGCGGGCACTTTTTATTCGGGTACAACTGGCAGAAGCACCTATCTGGGAAAGAAGGGCTGATGATATACGCGCCAACCATATCGAATTGCTGGAGGAGGCAAGAGCTAAACGCCAGAAGCAGAAGCAGAAGCAAAAGCAGACACAGGCTGAAGGTTTATCGACTGCAAGTGTGACTGACGGCATGAGCAACTTGAATATTCAAGAGGATCGTTCTCAGGAACTAGCGATCGAGCGAGGAGATACAGCACCTGCTCTTCGCAATGGTCGTATAGAAATCCAGATCAAAGAGAAGGAGAGTGCTGGTTCATCTGCGAGCGCACCCCAGTGGAAACCAGAGGATGCGACTGGAGGTTCCATTGAAGGATATGTTCCGCAAGAACGCAGAGATCAGCCAACCGTCCAACTAGACGAGAAGGATTTGCTTGATCAGATTTGAAGATGGCATTGGCCATGGCATCAGTGGGCGTTCTATGTGTTTGTCGATTTTACTGATTATACCCTAGAGGCATCAGAAATAGCGTACGCGGGATCAATAATACAAATCTACGATATGACCTTCATGTTTCGATCTCGGCCTGCACAATAACCAGTATGAAAGGGCATATTGGCATAGTGGGGGCGTAGCATCGATAACAGGTCTGGGCCTGTCTCCTGAATCAGAGATCCAAAACCCCTACGTAGTTCAACCTGGGGATAAAGGTCCACACAGGGACTAGAACACGTGGAACAAATATTGGCAATCAAGCGTCATCCCCATATGGGGAATCGGCGACACCTTTGTCATAGGGAATCATTTTTTCATTCCTCATCCATAGATAGCCTCCAATCTCAAGCTAAACCCATGATAGCCGGGGAATCAGCGCCAACCAGAACAAGTATCGGGAAACGCCAACCGGGTCGACCGAAGACAAGCACTTTTGGATATTATCGAGGGTGCTAAATTTAGCGGGGACCGAAGCGGCGGGGGCGCTCAGCAACCTGCTGCTGGGAGACGGTGACAAGGTTGACCTTGAGGTTGTCGAACTGTGTAAAATATCATGTTAGACTCGTGAAATTTCCGTCAAATCGAAGAGTAGTTGTAACTTACGCCCAGGTTCTTGAGCAGGTCCTTGGTATCGGCATCAACATCGAGCTGGCCGGACTCGGTCTGGGAGACATCCAGAGCAGAGACCTCGGGGACGAACTGATCCTTGCGCTCACGCTCCTCCTCCTGAAGCTTGAAGGAGATACCGCGGACGGGACCACGCTGGATACGCTTCATCAGGTGAGTGGTGTAACCGGCGATCTTGTTGCGCAGACGCTTGGAGGCAATGATGGCACTATTTTCGAAATCATTAGTTCACTGACTTGTCGGATTTTGGTGTCTTGGGCGAAAACGAACATCTCATCGCAAATGCGCTTGTTGGTCTCGAAGTCCAGGGTGAGCTTGGGGTAGTAACGCTCAATGATGACCTTGGCGGACCGCTTAACGGTCTTAGTACGGACGCGACCCATTTTGGCGGATAATTGTTGGCTGGAAGGATGTTCGAACGAGGGAAGTGAAGTCTCACCAGTTTTGGATAAGGTCGGCGGTTTGCTCTCGCTTAGTCTTGTGTGGATCCATGCCCTAGAGCAGCCCTAGATCACGTGTTGATAGAGCTCCCGCCTGACCGCCCGGGCGGCATAATTGGGATTATGTAATACTTTATGCCTTTTTTTAAGACGTCAATATCTAGTTATATTCCCCGGGACCTTTCGATAGGAAAAGTGGACCGAAGCAGGACTTGAGGGCGACAAACATCTGGACTAAGATCAAGTCAAAGACTACGTAAATTTGAGAACTAGTATCCGATATGAAATAAGAAAAAGAAATAAGATTGATGCATCGAATTTATATCACATGTTAAAAGAAGATAATGAGAGTAGTACTTTACACAAGCACCAAATCTAATCGTACAAATCGCTGAAACTATTTCCGCTCATACTCCTCTAAATCCCCGTCTAACCATTGAAAATTTAGTTTCCAAGGTTCTTTACAAGGTTGCGGGCAACCTCATCAGTGCTTTGCTGCTGCGAACGACCGGTCCGGCTGTTAGGTGTGAAACGTGCCCTGTTGAGCTCCCTGTCCAACCGCGGAACGACAAAAGCGTCGCGACGAGCAGCCTCAGTGATGGTGAACACGTTTGACTTCTGGTAATCTTCGATACCATAAGGTGCCTTCGCGGAGGCGGTGGCACGGTAGGATGCAATGCCGAGTCTGCCCTCTGAGTCGACAGAGGCACGGATGGGAGTGACCCAGTACTTACCACCTCCAGGAATGGTAGCATCGAAGAAGGTCAAGCCAGCAGGTGGTCCCTGGCTGAAACTCATGGCATTGAGGTCCTCAACGGCAATACCAGCAATACCAGCGATGGCCTTGGAAGTTCTGCCCTTGAAACGACCCTTAGGTCGCAGGATACGTGTCTGCACCGGGCGTTGGAAGGCCTGGGGACCATATTGTGGGTGGTTGTATGTCAAAGCATGGGTTCGCGTGTAAGAAAGACCAGCGGATGGGTGTGTCTTGGGGGGGACCAGTCACAGCATATTCGGAGGAAGACAACTTGGTGCCGGGGGATTGGTAGTATGGGTTGCCGATACGCTCACTTGGCACTGCAGGAGATGAAGGAAGATCCAGAAGCTCAAAAATAGCCGGTCCCAGAGCGAAGGGATCCTGTCGCAGGGACTTGATGTATACTTGGAACTCCTCATCGGTGACCTTAACGGGCTGAAGGTTTTCCAAGTCCTCCCCGTTGTCCTGAGCTTGTTTGCGGGCCTCCGCAAAACGCTTGGCCTCAAACCGCTCACGCAACTTTTGCAGCAATTCAGGCTTCTGTGTACGCACTGATTTCAGGTAATGGTCAAACTCCGCCTGGCTCATTCCAGACAACCAAGGGCCGGAATGTCGGTATTGTCTGGAGCCGGGCTCTCCGAGGGTCTTGCTGGTTTCTGTGTTATCGACATGGGTCTCGAAGGGACTTTGGTGACGAGGAATAACGTTGCTCGAATAGTTGAATTTGACTGGAAGAGACATGGGCAAGTTCAAATCTTGCAACTTCTCCAAGGTCATGGTGTGGTCCGCGGCGGACTCGAAATCGGTGACATGTTCATAAGTATCCAGGGATTGAACTCGAACAACGGGTCTCGATGACTTTTCTGAGGTCGATTTAGCCGGGAGAGGACGTTTCAGACCCCAATCGCCCCGTGCGAGGGCCTTCGGCGGAGTAACGATGGAGGCTCGGATGGGATGAGGGAGTGTTGCTGTTGGCGACTCAAAAACAGCTCTCGATGACGGCGGGTCCTGTGGTGGCTGCAGAGCTTGAGGAAGAGCAAATAAACGTGACTTCCGAAGAAGATTTGCCGTTGGCGAAATCCTGGCAGTCGCCATCTTGACTCAATGCCACGGGGTAATGGAGCTGAACTGACGCCGGGGAATCGCGCGAAGAAAAGTTGGCCGAAGCACACGGGCCAATCAATACGGTGCGCAATACACGCCAACAGCGCAACTTTCCATCTGCCATCTATATCCGACATCCACTTCTTACAATCTACATCATTGAATTATGCTATGAATTTCACTTGGATACCGCCTTCTATTTTCGCCACTATTGCTACATGATATACACATATGTACCATGTCAAAAATTCCAAGCCACCATGTTTGGACCTGATTAAGCACCGACCTCCAGCAAAGATTCGACCGTGGTGGAGACGGTATCCTTAAGATGCCTATACTTTAGACCCAGGATCTCTCGGGATCTGCTATTATCGATTTCATAAATGTCGCTGGGGAAATCATCTGGTACATCCGTGGAAGGAAGCTTCGTTTCCAGCTGAGGATGTGTCTCCCGAATAGCATCAACAACTTGCTTGTTAGAATAGTACCCAGCAACGACAAAGAATCTCTTGCCACCTGCCTCAGCCACCTCAATGGCCCTGACATGTGCCAGGGCAACGTCGCGGACATCGACCCAGATGAATATGCCAGTTGGGCTGAGTCCATCCTTAAATTTACCCTGGATCATGTCACGGATTCGTTGATTGGATGTGTTGATGGCATCCAAGGAATTCAGGTAATGGACAACTGGACCGAGAACCAGGGGTGGGCAGATGGTAGCAATATTGAAGTTAGGCTTCTCTTGTTCGATAAAGTCCCATGCAGCCTTCTCGGCAAAGGTCTAAAAAAGGAAGAGCGGTTAGCTGAGGTGACTATCAGTTTTTGAGATGCACGATCTCTTACCTTGCTAGCTCGGTAGACCTTTGCATGATCCCGAGCTTCTTCCCAGGTGACCGGGTTCCAATTCTGCTCACTGTAGACCTTGGGGTGCCTGTCGCTGTTCAAGATGGCAGCGAAAGATGACGTGATGACCACTCGCTTCACGGAGGGAGCATATGCTTTGATAGACTTAAGAATGCCTGTGGTTCCCTTGATCGCAGGATCCAAGAAGTCCTTTACGGGATCACTGATGTTATAATGGAATGGCGATGCTGTATGAAGGACATAGTCAAATGGCGGTGTGGACTTGACGGCCTATATCAAGTTTAAAAGAAATCAGCTTTGAAATAGCGATAATTGACCATTCAAGGACTCAATTACCTCGTCGAATGCTCCATCCTGAGCAACGTCTTTGACTATAATATACGACAGCTTTCCCTTGGGGATGTCAGGGTGGGCGTCAATAATGCGTTTGCCCTTTTCTTCGGATCTAACAGTCACCACAGCCTCAAAACTTACCAAGTCAATGATGTCAGTAAAGAAGAACTATCCATTGAGGCCTTTGATTCATACCCATGTTGCAAAAGAACGTCCACGATGTGAGCAGCGATAAAGCCGCTACCGCCTGTCCGATAAGCCAAATATTAGAGGTCTATATAGGTATGAACTTGGGAAGTATAGGAAGTTTCATACCAGTAAGAAGGACTTTAACCATTGTGACAACGTTGATTGACAGGAAAATCTACTAGTATTTGAATCACTCAAAGTCAAATGATTATGATAAGAGGCATGAAGGCCATGGGCGTCACGCTTCTTTTTATGGTCTTCCATCATGATGGCCCCTCTATCGTCATCAATCCCCACCCATGAACCAAAAATTTCGGTGCCGTCGATTACCGATAATAACAACCTTGAGAATCTCCGAATGCAAAATTACTGTGCATAAAACCTGCATAAATCCGACTAGATCCGCTGATGCCGTTAGAATCTTAATTAAAGTGCGATTCATTTTCAAAACTGTCAGCTTAAACTCCGATATTTAGGAGTTAAGACCATAGTTCATCATCCATTTTTTAAGTTGATCCAATCATCTGTCCAGTCATCTGCCAAATCTGTTATTCTATTAGTTAGTAGTATCCCAGAATTTAAGACTGTGAATGTTATCTGGACTGCTTTTGATAACATTTAAGTAGCATTGGCTGTGTCTTTTGGTAGCCTGACCTAAAATTAAGATAAAATCAAGCTTTCTATGCCTCCACCGTTGCAATGAACCCCAACTCGTGCTCTTATTTTCAGTATTAATCTGTGCTAGAGTGGGAGCATTCTTTGAATTTTAGACCTATGTACTAGTATGCATAGTACCTCAAGTGTTACTAAATACCATCCACTTGAACTGCTTCTACCACTCTCTTGATATTCCAAATGCTCTCCTAGAGCTCATTCGTTGGCGGTAGTATGTATTGTAGCTCAAGATGACTCGTGCTACTATCTATGCCTAGGGGTAGTTATAGACCATCCAGAGATATCACATGATTCGTATCCTACTCTACTGACGATTACTTGCTGATTTTTTTTACTACTCGGAGTCCCCGGTACATACCTTCACTATTTCAAATCCTATTTGAAGCTTCCAATGATGTTAAATATAAGAATTGAAGTTCTAACTAGTACGACTCACGAGGCAGCTATTCACCCCCACATTCAAGTTGATATATCACATTTAAGTCAAATACATACTATGTTACTCACGTGCATTACTACTCCGTACATGTAATTCGTTTGTGTCACTGAGAACCTTGAAGTCCACCGATGTCTAGATCTCTTAGTTGAGCCAGACCTGGGTAATCGTGGCCGCCAAATAGTTAAAAAATAGTTAAAAATAGGCGGAAAAATGATGTTAGAATATTACACCCTATAACCTGACTAATTGGAATTTCCAACTTATTGGATTGTTATTTGCGAGTTCTCATATCAACCAGGTAGATTATGAAGCAGGTTAACCAAGTGTTACCATTACCGGGCGCAGGGTGAAGGACGTCAGGTGGATGGTAACCCGAGGTGGTCTGTGCGCGGGACATCGACCTGAGCCTCACACTTCCAACGCTCCCTCCCTCATCACTAATGTGTCTGCGTCTCTGCTTTCCCCTTTAGGTTGGCTTCCAATGTCCACCTTGGGGTGCAGCTCGCAAACATGGCGCAACCAGGCCCTATGACCGATGTGACCCAGAGGCTCTTTGTGGATTTGAAATCGAAGAATGAGGAGACCCGGGGTCGAGCTGCCTATGAGCTCTACGATAATGTTCTATCCGTGTCACGAGGTATGACCCTCTCCCCAAATATTGGAAGCTTTTGGTAGACCCGTCTGACATCTATCGACTATCAACAGACTGGCCGTCCGAAAAGTTCGTGGAATTCTACAATGCTGTCAGCCAGCGGATTGCCCAGCTGGTGGTAACGGGAAGTGATGCACATGAGAGAGTCGGAGGACTCCTCGCCCTTGACCGTCTAATCGATTTCGACGGCGTCGATTCGGCCCAAAAAACGACACGATTCGCTAGCTACCTTCGCAGCGCCCTCCGAAGCAATGATAACGTGGTATTGGTGTATGCAGCCCGATCGCTGGGCCGACTGGCTAAACCGGGCGGAGCCCTGACTGCAGAGCTGGTGGAGAGTGAGATTCAGTCTGCATTAGAATGGCTTCAATCAGAACGCCAGGAAAGTAGGCGATTTGCTGCAGTACTTGTGATCCGAGAGCTAGCCAAAGGCTCACCAACCCTCCTGTACGGCTTTGTGCCCCAGATATTCGAGCTGGTTTGGGTTGCGCTCCGTGACATAAAAGTGCTTATTCGAGAGACTGCAGCTGAGGCAGTAGGAGAGTGCCTTGAAATCATTGTGGCCCGAGATGCACAAGTCCGCCAATCTTGGTTTGCCCGTATCTACGAAGAGGCTTTGCTTGGGTTGAAATCTCATAATACGGACTGGATTCATGGATCTCTGTTGATTCTGAAAGAATTGATTTTGAAGGGTACCATGTTCATGCATGACCACTTCAGGAACACCTGTGAGATTGTGCTTCGCCTCAAGGACCATCGCGACACCAAAATCCGCACCCAAGTAGTCCTTACCATTCCTATCCTCGCATCATACGCCCCGACCGATTTTATTGAGATCTACTTGCATCGCTTCATGATCTATCTTCAGGCACAGTTGAAGAGAGATAAGGAGCGAAATTCTGCTTTCATTGCTATTGGAAAGATTGCCAATGCAGTCGGACCGGCAATTGCTCAATACCTAGACGGCATTATCATTTACATTCGGGAAGGACTTGCAATGAAGGCAAGGAACCGCATGAATGTTAACGAGGCTCCAATGTTTGAATGTATTAGCATGCTTTCTTTGGCTGTTGGACAAGCCCTCAGTAAATACATGGAGGCTTTGTTGGATCCAATCTTTGCCTGTGGCCTGAGCAAATCATTAACACAGGCCCTTGTTGACATGGCCCATTACATTCCGCCCATCAAACCCACAATTCAAGAGAAACTTCTTGACATGCTCAGCATAATTCTCTGTGGTACACCATTCAGGCCATTGGGCTGCCCCGAGAATCGTCTTCCCCCAATGCCATCATTTGCCAAAGACTTCGTGCCACATGATGTCCATCCCGATGCAGAGATTGCACTGGCGCTTCACACTCTTGGAAGCTTCGATTTCTCCGGGCACATATTAAATGAGTTTGTTCGAGACGTGGCCATAAACTATGTGGAGAATGATAACCCAGAGATCCGAAAAGCGTCAGCCCTTACCTGTTGCCAGCTTTTTGTCCATGATCCGATCATTAATCAGACGAGTGGTCATTCCATTCAAGTGGTCAGTGAAGTGATTGATAAGTTGTTGACAGTTGGAATTGGCGATGCCGATCCAGAGATTCGACGTACAGTTCTGTGGTCATTGGACGCAAAATTTGATCGACACTTGGCACGACCGGAGAACATTCGATGCTTGTTCCTTGCTGTTAATGATGAGGTCTTTGAAGTCAAAGAAGCGGCTATCTGTATCATCGGGCGCCTTTCAAGCGTGAACCCAGCCTATGTCTTCCCACCCTTACGAAAGCTGTTAGTCAACCTCCTGACAGGGTTGGGTTTCGCAAGTACAGCTCGCCAAAAGGAAGAAACCGCTCAGCTCATCAGTCTATTTGTTTCGAATGCGACCAAGCTGATTAGGTCTTACGTCGATCCCATGGTGACTGCCTTGTTGCCCAAAGCAACAGATGGCAACCCTGGTGTCGCTGCTGTCACATTAAAGGCTGTAGGCGAGCTTGCGGATGTTGGTGGGAGTGAGATGAGACGTTATCTACCACAGATCATGCCAATCATCTTGGATTCCCTCCAAGATTTGTCCTCGCATACCAAGAGAGAAGCTGCCTTGCGAACCCTAGCACAACTGGCCAGTAATTCGGGCTATGTGATTGAACCATATCTCGAGTACCCGCATCTCCTCGATGTCCTGATCAACATCACCAAGACTGAGCAAACTGGTTCTCTCAGAAAGGAGACCATCAAGCTCATCGGTGTTCTCGGTGCATTGGATCCATACAAGTATCAACAGATAAGCGACGTGGAACCGGATGTCCATCACATCAACGAGATTCAGAATGTTTCGGATGTCGCGCTGATCATGCAGGGGTTGACTCCATCAAATGAGGAGTATTACCCTACTGTAGTCATCCATACCCTATTGCAAAATATCTTGAGGGAAAACTCATTGGTCCAGTACCATTCTGCTGTGATTGACGCGATCGTGACCATCTTCAAGACCTTGGGCTTGAAGTGTGTGCCATTCCTTGGTCAGATCATCCCAGGATTCATTGGGGTTATTCGAAGCTCTCCTGCCAGTCGTCTCGAGTCTTACTTCAACCAAATGGCTATTCTGGTGAACATCGTCAGACAGCACATTCGAGCATATTTGCCCGAAATCATTGAGGTGATCCGTGAATTCTGGGATGCTTCATACCAAGTCCAAGGCACGATTTTGTCTCTAATCGAGGCTATTGCCAGATCTCTGGAGGGAGAATTCCGGAAGTACTTGGCTGGCCTTGTCCCCTTGATGTTGGATACTCTTGAGAAGGATACTACGCCTCGTCGTCAGCCATCGGAGAAAATATTGCATGCTTTCTTGATCTTCGGCTCCAGTGGAGAAGAATACATGCATCTCATCATTCCTTCCATTGTCCGCCTCTTCGATGGGTCGCAACACCCTCAAAGCATTCGAAAGTCTGCCATTGACAGCTTGACCAAACTTTCCAGACAAGTCAACGTCTCCGACTTTGCATCACTCATGGTTCACTCTCTATCTCGAGTTGTGGCCGGCAACGATCGTATTCTGCGGCAAGCTGCGATGGATTGTATCTGTGCTCTTATCTTCCAGCTTGGACAAGATTTCACGCACTACATCCACTTGCTGAACAAGGTCCTCAAGCAGCAGCAAATCAGCCATGTCAACTATCAGATTTTGGTGACAAAGCTCCAAAAAGGAGATCCATTACCCCAAGACCTGAACCCCGAGGAAAACTATGCATTCCCTCTTGATGACACAAATTTTGCGGAAATTGGCCAGAAGAAAATGGTCGTTAACCAGCAACATCTCAAGAATGCATGGGATGCTTCTCAAAAGTCTACTCGTGAAGATTGGCAAGAGTGGATTCGCAGATTCAGTGTCGAGCTTCTGAAGGAGTCACCATCTCCTGCGTTAAGAGCCTGTGCCAGTTTAGCGGGAATCTATCAACCGCTGGCCCGAGATCTCTTCAACGCTGCCTTTGTGTCTTGCTGGACTGAGCTCTATGACCAATATCAAGAAGAGTTGGTTCGTTCTATCGAAAAGGCACTCACTTCACCCAACATTTCGCCAGAAATTTTGCAGATTCTGCTGAATCTTGCTGAATTCATGGAGCATGACGATAAGGCCCTTCCGATCGATATTCGCACTCTTGGCAAATATGCAGCCAAATGTCACGCATTTGCCAAGGCTCTACATTACAAAGAACTCGAATTCGAGCAAGATCAAAACTCGGGTGCCGTTGAAGCTCTCATCACCATTAACAATCAACTTCAGCAGTCTGATGCTGCGATTGGTATCCTGCGCAAGGCGCAAGCGTACCGTGATGTGGAGTTGAAGGAGACTTGGTTTGAAAAGCTTCAACGATGGGACGAGGCTCTTGCTGCCTACAAGAGACGCGAAAAGACGGATCCTGATTCCTTTGGTATCACTGTCGGCAAAATGCGTTGTCTTCATGCTCTCGGCGAGTGGAAGGTTCTTTCAGACCTTGCCCAGGAGAAATGGAACCAAGCTTCATTAGAACACCGCAGAGCCATTGCTCCTCTTGCTGCAGCTGCCGCGTGGGGCCGCCGCCAGTGGGAGTTAATGGACTCGTACCTCGGCGTGATGAAAGAGCAGTCTCCTGATCGTTCATTCTTCGGTGCTATTCTCGCAATTCACCGTAACCAGTTTGAAGAAGCCAACATGTATATTGAGAAGGCACGCAATGGGCTGGATACTGAACTTTCGGCTCTTCTCGGGGAGTCCTATAACCGAGCCTACAATGTTGTCGTCCGCGTCCAAATGCTTGCCGAACTTGAGGAGATCATCAAATACAAACAGAATGTTGGTGACCCTGAGAAACAGGAGGCAATGCGCCAGACATGGAATCAGCGACTACTCGGCTGCCAGCAGAATGTGGAAGTATGGCAGCGGATGCTCAAGGTCCGCGCACTCGTCACAGCGCCTCGTGAGAATCTTGAAATGTCCATCAAATTCGCCAATCTCTGTCGTAAATCGAACCGCATGGGACTTGCTGAGCGATCACTTGCTGACCTGGAAACTGTCATCACCGATGCTTCTGGAACGCGCACAATTGCACCGCCCGAGGTCACTTACGCTCGACTGAAATTCAGTTGGGCTAACGGGCATCAACAAGAATCCTTGGAGATGCTCAAGGAATTCACCTCTGGATTGAGTGATGACCTGTCCAAGTACACCACCATGATCTCTCATTCAGAGCATCACGGAATGAACGGTGTTAATGGTATCATGGATCCGAACCACCCTGATGCAATCAGCCTACGTGAGCGAGTTGGGGATGTCGCGAAATTCCAGAAACTTCTATCGAAGAGTTATCTCAGACAGGGCGAATGGCAAACTGCTCTTCAGAAGGGCGATTGGCGACCCGAGTATGTCCGCGATGTTCTTCTCGCATACTCAGCGGCCACTCAATACAACCGTGATTCCTACAAGGCTTGGCATGCCTGGGCCCTCGCCAACTTCGAGGTAGTCACCGCGATTGCCAACCAAGCTAACCGAGAAGGCAAACCATCACCAATTCCAGCTCATATTGTCACAGAGCATGTCATCCCTGCTATCCGCGGTTTCTTGCGATCCATTGCATTGTCGTCTTCATCCTCCCTGCAAGATACCCTAAGATTGCTTACTCTGTGGTTCGCTCATGGTGGCGACCATGAAGTCAACACCGTTGTCACCGAAGGATTTACTACTGTCAATATCGATACTTGGCTTTCTGTGACACCGCAACTCATTGCACGCATTAATCAACCCAACATCAGGGTTCGAGGCTCTGTTCACAGATTGCTTGCTGAGGTTGGCAAGACACACCCTCAAGCACTTGTGTATCCCTTGACCGTGGCAATGAAGTCGAACGTAACTCGACGATCACAGTCTGCTAGCAGCATCATGGAAAGCATGCGACAGCACAGCGCAAAGCTCGTCGAGCAGGCCGATCTTGTCAGTCACGAACTGATCCGAGTGGCAGTGCTATGGCACGAGCTTTGGCATGAAGGTCTTGAGGAAGCTTCCCGTCTCTACTTTGGTGATCACAATGTTGAGGGCATGTTTGCAACTCTCGCGCCTCTTCACGACATGTTGGACAAGGGTGCGGAGACTCTCCGTGAGGTTTCTTTCGCTCAAGCCTTTGGGCGTGATCTAGCTGAAGCCAAGCATTACTGTGCGCTTTACCGCCAGACCGATGAGATTGGAGATCTGAATCAAGCATGGGACCTCTACTACACCGTTTTCCGCAAGATCAGCAGGCAACTACCCCAGCTGTCTATTCTGGATCTCAAATATGTCTCTCCTCGTCTCAAGGACTGCTGTGATCTGGACCTGGCCGTGCCGGGAACATACCAGAGTGGCCGTCCAATTATTCGCATCATCAGCTTTGATCCAATTCTCCATGTCCTTCAGACAAAGAAGAGACCTCGACGGATGACACTCAAGGGTAGCACCGGCCATTCCTACATGTACGCTCTCAAGGGTCATGAAGATATTCGTCAGGACGAGCGAGTTATGCAGCTCTTCGGACTATGTAATACACTTCTTGACAACGATAGTGAGAGCTTCAAGCGTCATCTTTCGGTTCAACGCTTCCCCGCTATCCCGCTGTCACAAAGCTCTGGTCTGCTAGGTTGGGTTTGCAACAGTGACACATTACACGCGCTCATTAAGGAATACCGTGAAAGCCGTCGAATCTTGCTCAACATCGAACACCGAATCATGCTTCAGATGGCACCTGACTATGACAGTCTCACTCTCATGCAAAAGGTCGAAGTGTTCGGCTATGCCATGGACAATACCACCGGCAAAGATCTCTACAGGGTCCTTTGGCTCAAGAGTAAAAGCTCCGAAGCCTGGCTTGAACGACGTACCAACTACACAAGGTCTCTTGGTGTCATGTCGATGGTCGGCTACATTCTTGGTCTGGGTGATCGACATCCTTCGAACTTGTTGTTGGATCGTGTCACTGGCCGGGTGGTTCACATCGATTTCGGTGACTGCTTCGAGGTCGCGATGCACCGTGAAAAGTACCCCGAAAGGGTTCCATTCCGACTTACTCGCATGTTGACGTTTGCTATGGAAGTAAGCAACATCGAAGGAAGCTACCGTATCACTTGCGAGGCTGTTATGCGTGTCCTCCGAGAGAACAAGGACTCATTGATGGCAGTTCTTGAAGCTGTAAGTAATTTCCCTTTTTTTTTTTATATATACAATCGCACTGGTTTACTCTGCTTTCCATGTGAATGAACAAGATACTAACATTTATTTCCAGTTCATTCACGACCCCTTGATCAATTGGCGTCTCGGGACCCAAGAATCCCCCGACCGTTCATCTATTACCGCTGAACGTCGCCAGTCGCTCATTGAGGGCATCAACTTCTCTGATGGTGTGCAACCAAGTAACTTCTCTCGTCACCGCCGACCCTCAATTCTCGAAGGCGGCATTCTTGATACTCAAGAGGGTGTTCCTGCAGAGGCTCGGGAAGCTCAAAATGCCCGGGCTGTGCAAGTTCTAGCCCGAGTGAGAGAGAAGCTGACTGGCCGCGACTTCAAGCATTACGAGGAGCTCAACATCAGTGACCAGGTTGATAAGCTTCTTGCACAAGCCACTAATGTGGAGAACATCTGTCAGCACTGGATTGGATGGTGTAGCTTCTGGTGAGCACTATGCTCTGAAGCCCAATGTGCCTGTGATGCGATATGATTCAACTTAAATTTCCTTCTCACGCTTTTTGTTTTATTCTGTCATGTTTGTATTTACAATTGCCTCTCCGGCCCCTTTTTTTGTTTCCATACTCTTTTTGCCTTACCTTTCGTTCAATGTTTCCTCCTGCGGGTCGTCTATTGTTGAATCTCACGTGAGAGTCCATAATGTCCTCTGGACTTGTTGCGTTTTTCTAGTTTCAAATTTTGCTTGCAATGATCCAAGTTGCAATAAACCATCAAGATATCCACTTTATTGGAATTGTTTCTTCTGGAGGTTCTTAGTCAATAATTTTGAAGCTAGATTCCAATTTCTGTCAACTGATATCCACTCCAGTGCTCGTACCCGCTACTACTACATGCCCTACCATAATGGCGGTCAATGAACCCGGTTGAAATCTTGCCCAGGTGCCCTAGTTTATGGTTCGACATGTCATCCTTACAGAAAGCGATGATCCTTTGTGCTATTCTAATTTCTGAGTCCCTTGCCAACCCAACTTCAACTTGAACATTCAAGTTGTATTTTCTAGATAAATCTTGAATGAGGAAGAATTAGAGAAAACATTAAGATAGCTAGAATTTGAATAAATACATGATCCAGTGGTGCATGTGGGTGCCACTGGGAGTGAAAATCCTTTGAACATTTAAAGTTGGATGCCCAGTTGATCTCCAGGGCTATCTATTCCCCACGTCTCTCCTCCACTGTTATAGTTTCATGAACATTGACCCTGTAGGGATAGCGAGTTCCATGGCTCGGATCTAAAGGTTCTTCGCTGCTATTTGAGTGAGAAGAGCGTGGGCCTTCTGGGGATGAAACGCTCGTCACCATGTTGTGGCTTTCTTTGATATCTGGGCGCCAGAACTTTGGGTCATTACTCGAACGCTTCAAGTTGATATCACCGAGCTTCACACTTTCCAAACTAGCCAGAGGATATTTCGGGGTGTTGCTTTTGATGTAAGGCTTGCTTGGACCGTAACGGCTTCCATCGAGGAACCAGCGGAAGAGAGGACGAAGGGTGATAAGGCTACCAGCGATGATTGATAGTCCTGTTTCGATGATAGTCCAAATGGCGATTTGGTAAGTCGAGTCTATGATAAGGATTCAAAATTAGCGTCATGTGTTCATCACAAGTATTGAGATCACATACAAAGGAAGTCGGTGTCCTCATAATGTTTAAGGAACGGCATTCGAATGACCACAGCGATACTGGCACTGTTAATTGTTAGTATTGTCTTGCTCCTCTTGTACTCATGTCGGTTTGGTTCACATACACAGCACCCAAACTCAAAATTCCACTAACAGCCACCTTGGTCCGAGAGTTCATTTGTAAATTCCAGACCAACAAAAGTGGAAAGCCACCGAGGGAAAAGTCAACCACGATCGTAAGTCCACTGTACAAGTAGGCGATAATCAACAAAACATCAACGGATGTACAGTGTCCCTTTGCGTAAGGATCTGCTTGTTTCCAGAAGTAGGAAACAGGATGACAGTCGAATGTCAAGACAAAGAAAAAGAGTAATGCGATGACAAGGGCCAACCCAATTAAACAATATAGGAAATTTCTTTGCCATCGCTTCACTGCCAGACGGAGCAATGCCAGGGCAATAGAGATCTTAGCAGCAGCTGAGGCCCAGATATAAAGAATCTGACTTAACCACCACCACTGTCAGGGCACAAATATTAGCATTGCGAACATGATTCAACGGACTGTATGAGACTTGGATGATTTACCCGAAGTGCTTTTTCTAATAATAAGACATCAGTTCCAAAATCCACGAGTCGATGCCCAACACCATCTTTTGCTCCACAAATACTACAGACACAAAGTCCGATGAAAATGACCTATAGTAGAAGAACCTCGTTAGCATACTGAAGTTCAAGTTGTCAAGGGTCCGATTTCTCCTCATCGGTAAGTGGACCCGTACTAATGCGCCGACCATCACTGAATCATCCCAGCCAAATGATCGAACAATATACAATCGAACAAAGCATCTCAAGGCGACCGCGATTATAGCAAGACCCATCATAACGCTTTCTATTGTCAACATTGCCAGGCTGTGCCCGACAAGCTCGATATGGGCCGCCGTGGAAGTCATTTTGTCGCTTTGTAGTAATCGTCCTACAAAAATATGGGGAGGACTTTAAACGAATGTTAGTCGGTTGCCATTTAGATCACACGAAAAGAATCGGAATCGATCTGATCAAATCTCCGTGGATCTGGAGTTATAAATGAATGGTTCGTTGTCTCAGGAGGCGTTGGAAAAGTTCAAGAGTGAAAAAATAGTAATAAAAACAGCCGACGATTGATTGCCACCTCCCAACATTTTGACGGAGTAAAGCTGTTCGCGTTCTCCACTTACGCGATCAGACCCTCAAATATTCGCGTACGATCTGGTCTGAATAGTCTGAATAGGACACTTCCCTGGTAAGGTTTAATTAGCCGCTGTGCCGAATCTTTGAAGTGGGGATATTCATAGCTCTGAGAGTTTTGGTCATGATCTACGGAGTACAAACAGTAAATTTAGATACATGGCTGAAGCGGGGACAATAGTTGACTTATACACAATTTGCAATGTCCTGAATAAGTGGAATACAATGCCCTAGTTATGCTATGAAGGAGAAAAAGGACCAAATTAGATTTAGTTTAGAAGTTCGAAACATCCAGGACAATTAAAATGAGTACACATTTGTGAGGATGAGGATATTCATACGGGATATGGCACATAACAACATTTGAACATTTGAAGCAGGAAATTTGAATTCTTCACGGATCTGTGCATAATCTGGCCAGAAACGTGTGGCATAAAAAAACCCCCTGGATCAACATTTGAAAGAGGGACTCGTCTAATTAGCAGGGGACGCTAGATAACACCAAGTGCGCCACTGCTTTATAGTACCAAACTGTATAACATTTGAATACTCCACATCAGCCGCACTGGCAGAGAGGCGTTTACTCACTAATCAATTTGGTTCAAATCTTGTAACTTAAAAGGTCAAATCATGATTCAAGCTCATCATCACAAGTTATAACGAACCATTTTCAAAGATAAATGGCTGTTTTTTCCGCCTTAAACAACATACCACAATTCAAATGTTTGGACCAGATATGCATCCTCTCAAATCCACATTTCTATTCTTTTGGCTTCCGGCTATTGGATTTGAAAACTCGATAACCAAGGATCCTACCAAGATTAGCTTTTTTTGTCACTTGCTTGGACCTCTGCAAAGTGCTCGAATCATGTCTTCGGCATTTTCGTCTCCATAGAAAACACGCGAGCAGAGGGGTCCAAGCACATTTGCCAAAATGTGGAGAAATCAACCTGCAAAAATTCCCGAGGAACCATCTAGATCTCGTATATGAATGTGGGATCCACCACTGACCCGTTTTCTGTCAATGCTGATAAACCTTTATCCAGTACCATGGATAGAACGAGCAATCAGTTATTAGGAAGACATGAGTAAGACGATTCTGAAAGCTTGCCAGCTCCTAGGCTCCAATGATGATTGAAAACTGATCGGCGTGGGCGTAGAGGCAAGATTAAGAGCGGCATAGACAGCGAGAAAGTTCGGTTGAAACAAAGCGCAGATGTGAAACTCTTCACGTGGGGACGGTCATGCAGCTGCGGGATACATGGCAGATATGGGACGAGCACCAACAAGGAATCATATCAGAAGATCTGGACATCGAAAGCTAAATGGGTTCAAGAGAACCTTGGAACCAAGATCCCCAGGGAGAAAGTGACAAGTGGCAGTTGAGAAAACGAACGAGAGCAACTATTGGTAGGAAATCGGACAAACAAGCGTTCAAATCCAATCTGCATGTAGCGAGTCTCGCAGTGGGAACGTAGCAAAGTTTCACGAGTAGGTCGTGAGGGTATACCCAGGTGCCCTTCCAAGGTTCTATCACGCTCCTTCAAGTTTCGTTTCAGGACGTGTTTCAGGCCCTGCAAAATAACCTTGGGTGTTGAATGTACTGCTTCCGCAATTGAGATATCGGTATGAGAAGTGAATTTGTATTTTTTTCAATTATATTCAAATGATCATATGTTTGTAATTATCTATCGTGGAATAACTACATGTAGACTGGACATGTAAGCATAATCTCGTCTGATATTTTGAAATCTGCGCTACCGCGTCTATCCGGATTTACTGATATTCCGATGTGCTTAGTGTTTGATTAGTCAGCCATGGCTGGGCCAGCCCTGGAGGGCTCCAGGTGGCTCCAGGGCCTGGTGACTGCCCAGGTGCCCACATCCCGAAGTCTCCAGAGCTTTGGGCGTGAGAGACCAGACTGCTAGGTACCCAGTGAGCCTGAAATTGAGCGCCCTCATAAAAGTGGTGCCATCTTAATTGATTAAGCTCCACTTGCCGGGAGAAATACAGCCCTGAAGTATAGTCTGATGGCCCCCCTAGTTACTACTGTCCAAAAATAAACAGTGGGTTCTTCACCTACATCACTGGGACCCAGTAAGCTGGAAGGATTTGGCCCCCATTATAGGATAAAAAAATTCAAGATCGAAGTATGGTCATTGTACCCTGACTTCAAATAGAACCCGACCCTAAGACTTCAGAAAAAATCAATTCAAGAGATAAATAGTCTAGAAGTAATGACCCCAGTACAGAGTATACCTAGATTGATTCTCTCAACCTTGGAAGTAGATGCCGAGGTTCGGGCCGTATTGAGCTTATCTTCTTTGGACCCCATTCTCTTGCGACCCCCAACTCCTCGGACCCCAACCTTGGATTTTCTTTTAAATACTTTGCGATGGACTGAACTTGGAATCTGGACTCAAATTTCACCATGTCTGTTCCAAGTGCTCCAGAGGCTCCGGCCTCCGCTTCTGGGGGTACGCCGGGCATCAACCCCGCGGTTCGCAACGCTGTTCGTCTGTGTCTCAGCGCGAAAGAATATCGAGCTCTCTATTACATCGCCGGTAAACGTGCACCGGCATTGCAGAGCAAACTGTCTTCAGCTCTGTGCGATGATTCGGCCACTTCTTCAAGGAGTCGTCATAACCTGGGCGCGCTCCGCGCCTCCATGCGTGTATTCGTTGGCACAGGCCTCGCGTTGAAGCTCTTCGAATTGGTCATGAGCCGTGTAAAGGGTGAAGCAGCAAAGTAAGGCAATTCAAAGATTTTCAAAGCATCCATGGAGTCAATGTCATCACTGTAGACTCATAACTGACATCACAACGCATAGGACGAAAACCCGCACTCCTCTGCTCCGCTCTCCTAACTTCCGTCTTTCCATCTCCCTCTCGCTCCTCCTCCTTCTCCATCGTCTCATATATCGCTTCCTCGCTAGGTTACGATCAAATCTCCGTAGCGATGATGCTCGTCCCTTCCGCGAGCGAAACCCGCATATTTCGCGTGCGTTGACGTCGCGTTATGCGCCCGCTGTCGGTGCCAGTTTGGCTGGTTTCGCACTCGGCGGTTGTCCACAAGACCAGCTACGCCTGACGGCTGCTATTTGGACATCGACCAAATCCCTTGAATACCTTTACGATGCCCTTGATATTAATGGGCTGTTGGGCAAATGCCCATGGTGGTTCGGCAGCTGGCTGCTGATGCCAGTCTCGTGTGCACAGCTTTTCCATGCCTTTGTTTTTGATCGCGAGACTACCCCCAAGGTTCGTTATGAAATTCAAAATTTTACTCCTCTATCGAATGGCCTGCTGATTATTTATAGTGGTTTGAGGTGGTCGTTCGCCGATTGTCTATGGGATACATCCAGGACCGCCCGGCGTCGCTCTCTGCCGATGTTGCCTGGCCGGAGAAGGAGCAGATTGTGGACTCACTCTCATCCATTGCGGACCTACGCTGGCCGTAAGTATACAATATTAGGCTCTGAGCCAGCATATACAAGCTTTGTATTTTTATACTAACAATACCCCCAGGTCGTTCGTTTCTCCTATTCTCCACCCCAATGATCCCAACACCTTGCCAGCAGCGGTCAAGGCTATCTCCCCGATTACTGGACCTGCGCATCCCTCGATCGCAAATCTCGCCTGCGCATTACTACACCCAAGTCTGCCTGGATGCAGCACCGCATTCTTGCATCAAATTTTGCTTTCGGTGCCCCGTGTTGCCCGTTTAATTGGCGGTGTGGTTTTGGTTTACGGCCTTATTGGCTTCAAGCGCATCAAGGCCCAGCCTTTGGCTGCTATTAGTGGCATGTTAAAGAAGGTTCTGGTGATGACGACCATTCTCTCCACTAGTCTTGCCTCGCTCTGGGGCAGTGTCTGCTTGCTCAACAACAGACTTCCAGGCTCAACACTCCCCACCAAGCGCTTCTTCCTTAGTGGTGCTATGGGATCCCTGCCATTCTTACTCCTGAGTAGCAACCGTGGACTTTTCACATACTTCTTCCGTGCTGCCGTGGACTCGGCCTGGAAGACTGGTGTTAAGCGCAAGCTTTGGAAGGGAACACGCCGTTACGAGCTGACAGTATTTGTGCTGTCATGGGCCCTTATGGGCTCAATCCTGGACAGCACTCCTGACGCTGTTCAAGGTGGCGGTGTGCGTAAGGCGTTGAGCTGGTTGCGCGGTGACGGATTTGCCGATCCCGTTGAGGCTGAGAAGCGGAAGGCCGAGCGGGCATCTAAGAAGGTGGAATAATGGATTGAACATGTCTCATTTAATTTTCTATGTTTTTAATTTATCTATTTGTTCCATATCGGTTTCGTTCTTCTATGGGAATTGAATGAACTGTGGGGAAAAGGAACTCACTTTCCGACCCCACGAATTCCCAATTCCGGGGTTTGGAGTCTCCACTCAATACTCGGATTTTAGACTCCGCATTCTCCTTACAAATTCCAGCTCCTTTCATTAATTTTGCTTCTGCATTGCACTGTTTTGTTTATTCACAAGTATATATACCATGTCTGTTCCAAGATTAAAGATTGGCTGTGCTGGCCTGGGCCGTATGGGCAAGCGCCATGCCCTCAACTTCCTCCAACGAACTCCCCGAGCTGAGCTAGTTGCAGCTAGCACCCCTGACCCCGTCGAGCTCGAATGGGGCAAGGAGCACCTTGAGCCATTCGGTGTGCGTCTATACCAGAACTACGATGACATGCTCAAGCACGAAGGCTTAGAAGCTATTGTGGTTGCATCTGCAACAGCTGTACACGCCGAACAAGCGATTAAGGCCATTAATGCCAACAAGCATGTCCTTTGCGAGAAGCCACTGTCGACCAGTGTGAAAGTGGTAAGTTTACTCCAGTATTGAATAACCAGCTCAATATCATACTTGAGAATCCCAGATAACAAGTACATCTCTCGTCCTCCCATATACTAACTCCAATCTCCTATTCTCCAGTCCCAATCCGTTGTCGACGCTGCCAACACGAAGCCAAACCTCAAAGTGATGTGTGGATTCTCCCGTCGCTTCGATAACTCCTACCGCGACGCCTTCAATAAGATGCAAGCCGGAGCCATTGGTGCCCCCTCCATCCTGCGCAGCCAAACCTGTGACAAGCTCGATCCCAGCGGTTTCTTCGTTGCCTACGCCGAATTCTCGGGCGGAATCTTCGTCGACTGTTCCATCCACGACATCGACCTCACACTATGGTTCTTCGGCGCAAACAGCAAAGTTAAATCCGTTTCCGCTGTCGGAAACACAGCCGTTGAACCTGATCTCCGGAAACATAATGACCGCGATAACGCAGTTGGTCTTGTCGAGTTCCACGATGGAAAGATTGCGTATTTCTATGCATCTCGCATGATGGCTGCGGGACAGGAAGATACAACTGAGATTATTGGCACGAAGGGTAAATTGGCGGTTAATACACAGCCCCAGATGAACCTTGTACACTTGTCTGATCAATCGGGTGTTCGACGTGAGATCCCTCAGACTTACTGGGATCGATTTGAGTATGCTTTTGTTACTGAGGCGAATGAGTTTACCGCTGCGGTTCTGGATAATAAGGCTTTGCCGTTGGATTTGACGTCTGCTGTGCAGGCTGTCAGAATTGGAGCTGCCTTGCAGGAAGCTATGGTTTCTGGACAGAAGATATTCTTTGATGAGAGTGGGAGCCGGGTTGAGGGTTCGAAATTATAGATTCGTGTTGGGTAGACTCGGTGTTCAATTACATACATTCATTAGAGAGTTATAGACTCCAAGTTACTATATTGCAACTGAGGAAGTACTTCAGAAAGAGTCCAGGTCTTTTTGTATAGCCTCATAGCCTCATAGCATTGTGCAAGATAGAGAGAGAGAGAATAATCGACACTTGAGAATATAAAGTGCTTTGTCTCTTGATGATTTTTCAGAATGTCAAAGATGCCACTCACTATCCTGTCTTCCTCTGATTAATTCGGCGACTTGAATGGTTCAAAGAGACGGGGTTTCCAAGGTTGCATGGATAGTGAATATTTCGCTCTCATTAGATCATATGTGTCTAATGAGCTGTGTAGGTTTCTTTGATCTTCTGGCAGGCGGTTATGCTCAGTCACAGTGTCATCCAGGATATCCAAAATTGAACTCCAGAGACCATGGCAAAGTCTTGGGTCTAAAATCGTCGTCCACATTTAGCGTGAATTTGATTTAGCTTCATCCTGCAAGGAAAAAGTGCCCCATCGGTAATACCCAGAGTATTTTTTTGTTCTGTTCAAATTGGGGGAACGGAGGAGTGAAGAATTTGGTATCCCCTGTTCCCCTTCTAGAACGACTCTTGAAAGAGTGTCAAGTAGATTGGCGGTTGTGAACATTTGAATAATTGATCCTATTCATTTCCTCTTCTTAACCTTTCGGTAATTAACCATGCAAGTTCAACTTGAAGTTAAGAGTGGTCCATTTTGTGTACGAACCTTGCAAAGCCACAGGTATATCGCGTGACATATACATTGGCAGGTGACAAAATATATTGGCACCTGGGGTATCTTCAAACGATTGAAGGCAACTTGAATAACCCCCGGCTTTTGTTTCTCGGCAGGAGGGTGAAGGAGGCATCTTTGAAAGGTGGGCGTGTCTTCTTGGGGAAGGGCATTGTTGGTTGTTATAGTGGACAAAGACTGAGAAGGAGGATGCCCAGATGAAGATGGTTGTAAAAGAGAGAATCAATGAAGAGGGAAAGTTTGTGAGAATATTGATAAAGAAGAAGCCTTGGAAGGAAGTTAAAATATCTATGGAGGAGGTAGACGGTTGTAAAACCTTGGAAGGAAATATAGGCACCAGATTGTCAATAACCTTAGAAGAGATACAATTGAAGGTGAAGTGGTGTAGGTAACTGTAATTACTGGTGCCAATCAGTGTTTTCTAATATTTACCTGATTCATCACCGCAGAAATGAAGCTGTTTTGATCTCCCATTGAAACAAATTACTGTTTACAAGGTTCAAAGTAATAAGCAGGGCTCCCCATCTTCCCGTCACTAAAGAGGGTTCTAGAAGCCTGGCAGGGTCCGGAGTTCCAGTACAAAGGATATCACCCCGGTTCTGGCCATGTATAGGAACCAGCTATCATGATGTATAAAGTGGTGACCTCTTCCACGCTGCTGTGACCTGTCATAAAGCGGGATGTGGGTAGATCTCAGCCTTCCCTATAGAAATAATAAAATCTCACCATACAGATGCTATAAATAGGACAAATCTTTCTTGGAACGTTGCCGATCATCCGGCAAATTCTGCAAATTTCAGCCCCGGGGTCCACGGCCAGTACCTGGGTAGGATTCCAAGGGTGGAGCTAGACCCTGAAGCACGCTGAGATTTGGGGCAGGCCCCTGCTGATCAACGCGAGCCTTGCCAGGCAAAAAGCTTTAACGGGTTTCGCACGAATGTTTTGGCCCTGACTTTAGCTATCCGATCAACGGGAATGATCATGGGCCATTCCAGATTGGAAATCGACTTCCAATGCTGAAATATTATTCATCTGAAATTTCCATTTCTGGATAATCAACAGTGCAATATAGAACTGATGCCCATGTGTCAGTGAAGATTTGTCGAGAACATAATCCAGAAAATAACATAAATAGCAAGATATCCGGTACCCAGATTCAGAACTATCATCCATCTTCTCCTCCCTCCAAGATTGCAACAAGAACACTCAAGCTTGAAATCTTAGCTTTCGAAAAGAAAAAGAAAACCAACTTCTCCTCCACAAAAATTCCAAACCGAAAATTTACAACAATCATGAGATTCTTTACTATTCTCCTTGCCACCGCTCTTGGAGCTGCTGTTCAAGTTGCTGGGGCTGCTGTTCCACGGTCATTCATTCTTGATGGCGAATGCATCAGTATGGCTACCTTGTATTTTTCAGAGGGAAATATCATATACTAACCTTGATTGATTCCTCTTCTGCTAGATGCACTCTTTTGCAACGTTGATGAAGATTGCTGCTCTGGAGACCAATGCGTCCGCGTGAATGACGAAGCAAAAATGTGTCAATAAAATGCCGATTAATAGGATGGGAACATTTTTGCTGTGTCTTTAGCTTCTGGTATGATTCTCTTCCTGGCTAACTTGAGGCCGGTTTCATGAAGCATGAAATTACTCTTTGTTCTTCATAGTGTCTCCACATTTCCAGAGCTAATATGTTATCTTTTTAAAGGAAAGCTAGTGGACCTACATTTAAAAATGGCGTTACCGCGATGGCCAGATCTAGTCATGGCCCTCGCATAACCATGACTTTTCTTTTTCGATTCTTTCTAGCGGATAGACATGCGTTTGGCCGTACCAGTTTGTATATGGCCACATTGTCAGCATTTGACTGGATACTGAGAGCCCGAATCTGACAGACAATCGAAGTTGGTGAAATATAACTGGTTTTATTTTTGGTCATTGAAGTACATCGCCATAGACCTGGCCGAACCCGTATATCAGGGACGGACTGTATTGAGCGCATAGATCACCGCGCAGTAACCCTGAAGTTGGAACCCCATTTCCTTGAATCGATATTGTGATAAAGGGGGTTTCAAATGACCCAGTAATTGCTAAACAACTTAATGGAAAAATTAATCGGCCTGGTTGATGATTGATACTACTTTTGTTATGGGTAGGAAGTAGCTTGGGTGCCATTTAGATGCCCCCTTTCAGCCAATGCTGCTGAATAAGCCACTTATTTGACATTGCCACTAACTAACTACTGAGCACTCAGTGACCTACGGACTCGCTCAGTGAGCCTGAGCCCCAGACTGCAAACTACTCACTGAGCCTGAGCCTGAGCGCCCTCATAAAGCGGCGGTCACCAGAATAGGAAAGCCCCACCTGTCGGGGAAAATCCAGTACGTACAGCTACCTAGTGTAGTGGGGTACCCTGTCCCCTACTACACGTACCGTACGGGTATGATATTTCGGTATTGTTCATTCCTTACGTTATGTTATGTTGTGTTATTGTACGTACAAGATTGGCGTTCGATACTAGAAGACAATACACACTCCTACACATCTCTGATCTGACCCCTACGGGTAGTCCGGACACATTGTCTTTGTTGGTTGGTGTTGTTCTTTCAGTCTAGCTGGATCGACCCGTGTATCTCGAATACACTGCCTCACGGTTCCCCTCTTTACTAGGTAGCTGTTTTTCTTTTGTCCTTGCAATGAGCTTGGCGTAACTGAGAGAACGCTCGAAGTCGGATAATTGGGATGAATACCACGAAGTTGTTCCTCCACTTGCTGCTCCACGGAGACAGCTTGCTAAGTTGGCTCGAACTACTTCTTCTGACTTGGTAGGGGAAAGGTCACGCATCTTGTCCGTGAATGAGAAGATATCCTTGTAGTTGGTGATGTTGGAAATTGTCGGTACGCCTTCTCTGTTGAGGCTTCAGAGGTCATAGATGCCTGCATACATCCTTTCCTGTGGTGTATGAATGTCACTTTTAGATATTAGTGTTATAATACCTGGTACATTCGCGCGACTCTTGTGCCGCAATTCGGATGATAACCAAGAGCCAGAAAAGGGGATTAATCTTATTGCGACCGCTCCTGACATAGAGACATGTCGTCGAGCTTGACGCTCTCGTCGATAGATTGGTCGAGCAACTCATCGTACTCGCCCGAAGGACTAGTTCGGTGGAACTAGCTTAACTTTCGAGGACTCGCATCTCGGTAAACAAGGTCGGCAGGGAAATTTCAGTATTCATCGTACTCCGGGGCTCTCCATGGGCAGACGATTTCCTTCGCCACCACTGAGTAAGAGGGATGATTCTCGTCTCTCTTCGGCCACTTAAACCATTGCTGCTTCTTCGCGGAGAAATCCTCGTAAAGGTAGATCGCAGTGACGTCCATCATCGCCTTAGATGGCATCATTTGGCGCAACCAAATCTTGAAAGGGAGCCATCTTTGTTCTCCTTGCTCGAGTCTCTCTTTTTCCAGGAGAGTGAAGAGGGCGGGCTGAAGGAAAGATATCATGGCTGGTTGCTTCTGCAACAAAAGTCATGTCAGGTAGTCTGGCTAATGTCAAGTAGAATCCGTATGGACTTTAACATATCAAAATTGTTGAATGTAAGTGATATGCCCTTTCAAGAGTGATTGAAAACGCAGGTCGAAGTGTATGGATCCATGTAAGAAATTCGTTCAATTGCACGGTTGTCACCCATGGATGTTATCAGAAACATAGACACTGCAGGTGAGAACTGCCCAAAGGGTCGGAGTGACCGTTGTCAGATCAATTCGTGCAATGTCGAGAAAGGTAAGCAAATAGATGAGATACTCATTTTTAGACCATGAGTTGGATTTTTGATGACTATGGCCCATGTGCCGAACGTAGACTTTCAACGATATTGGTAAACACTATAGTAAATTGAGGGGAGTATTGATTGAAATATCCAAGAACAGCTGGAAATGATAATTCATTTAGATCATATATCTCTTTATATAACAACGCTTCATCGTAATAAAGGAAAAATGGGAATCTTATAAGAAGGGATAAAACGAAAAGCAAAGATCAAGTCTATGTATATGAAGTGTGTCTCCAAATTTACCACCGGATAACCTTGGTGGGGAAGTATTCGTTGATGAGCTCCATGTAGTAGGGCTTCAGCTCCTCCGCACTGGGGATGCCGTCGCTCTTGCTGTACAAGTCATAGGGGTTGAAAGCTTTGACAGCGCGCAGCATCTCTTTATCATGCTCATCCATGAGCTCGTGGTAAGCACCAGCATTGTGCCAGGGGTAGAAAGAGTGGTATCGGATCATGGCGAGGGCCTCATCAGGAAGAGTAGACTGCTCCTTAGCGATGTGGTAAAGGTACTCATCGTGACCCCAGGAAAGCATAACTTTGTCAAGACCGCAGCCGGGGCTGTAGATACCAAACTTGGAATCGTAGATAGAGTGACCGAAGTCCTCATTGTCCTTGAAGGAATCCCGACCATAGATAATTCGATCATCGAAACCACATCCAACGGGGAATGTGTCACCAACAACATCCCACTGGCCCTGGGCATTGTAGAAGAATAGCAGCTTGCCCAAGTCGTGGATCAGACCGGTGAGTTGCATCCAGCGGGGCTTGCCGTCACGACGGATAGCCTCAGCAGATTGGAGGAGGTGCTCGATCTGAGAGAGACTCGTGTCGGGGTCGGACTCATCGATCAGGGTGTTAAGCTTCTCCATCGCCTCCCAGATGGTCATCTCGGCGCGGGTCTGTGTGTGGAACTCGTGGCGGGCCTTGAGGTTGTAGGCGACAGTTTGCTTGGTGTGTTGTTCCTTGTAGAAGCTCTTGACTCGATCGCAGGCGTCTTGGTATTGACGGAAACCAGACTTGTCCTTCTCCTTGTCGAACTCGGACTCATCGTATAGTCCCTTATCTTGGAGGGCTTCCTTCTCCTTCTTCATGTTGGCCTTGAGGACGTTGACCTCATCGATGGCATCGGAAAGTTCCTCAAGAGCCTGGCCATCCCGGGTTTTCAAGTTGTTGGCAGTGGGAGGTGGGCTGCTCTCAATAGCGACGGGTGCCATTTTGTATGTGTATGTAGAGTTGGAAGTTGAGAAGACTGAAGAACTTTTTTGGTATGCAGTCTGAAAAGAGTTGCAAGGCGCTCAATATAAAAGCTTGAGATGATCTCACAGGTGAGAAATTCAAGTGTTATTATTCGCGATCGATAGAGTAGTTGATCAACCCCAGAATTTCCAGGAAGTCAGATCCATATATAGAGTAACCATCGTCACGGCTACCAAGATAGCAGATCGCATCTAGATTTCCGATGGTGAGCACACAGGTACGGAGAAGATTTCTCTTCCCTGTTAGGCTTCTCCAGATCTTGCCCATGATTTGCAGCCATGTCTTGTTTGAGTAGGCCTCGTGGAGCATAGATCACGGATTCCAGAATCCGTGCCGAGAAGCCCTACAATCAAGGGAGATGGTGCCCCACAGTAGGTGAACGCGGGGGCGAATCATGATCCGTGTGAATCATCGTCATGGAGAAACTGATGTCAGCAAGAACCAAGAATGAAGAAGCTTAGGATTCTGGTTTCCGATCTTGCTGAATCGGTCGATTTAGGTAATTAGCGCCGTGTCCTTCCAATGGAGACTGCACGAAAATGATGTATACCTGCACGTGTAACCCTCGTGACCTCCAAATGGAACTTGAACTGGATTATTGTATTCTTTCAGGCAAAAAAGGGAATCGTGTGCGACTTTAACCGGGAAAAGAATGTCATCGAATCTCAAGGATTATGATTGATGGGAAAATCGAGGGGAAAATCGGCTATGAAGAACCAAATAGTGGGGTTGAAGAGTCCCCCGCGTACCCCCGCGTGGGGAGAAAAAGTGTCGGTTCTCGGTCCATCTTTATAACGAGCCATTACTGCTTTGCATTTCTCTTCTTTTCGTTTCTCTCTCTTTTCAAATCCTCAATCGATAATATATACAATATAATCACAATGGCTGCCGTAGATATCCATATCAAGCTCAACACTGGCGCTGAGATCCCGGCATTGGGCCTGGGAACATGGAAGGCCGCACCCGGAGAGGTTGCCAACGCGGTAAGCCACGCTATTAAGGTGGGCTACCGTCATATTGATGCTGCTCTTTGCTACGGCAATGAGAACGAGGTTGGTCAGGGTATCAAGGAGGCCATCGATGCCGGTATTGTTGAGCGCGAGGATCTGTTCGTGACCACCAAGCTGTGGTGTACCTACCACTCTAAGGTCGAGGAGGGAATTAACCAGAGTCTGAAGAATCTTGGTCTGGAATATGTGGATCTATACTTGGTTCACTGGCCCTTGGCTATGAACCCCAATGGTATGCTTTCTTTCCATACTGTTTCCATGGGTAAACGATTTAGAAGCAATCAACTAATAAACAAACAGGCACCGACCCTATCTTCCCCAAATTGCCAGATGGCTCCCGGGATATTGATCACAGCCACTCTCACGTCACTACCTGGAAGAGCATGGAAAAGCTTATTGGCACCGGAAAGGTTCGGGCCATTGGTGTTTCCAACTACAGTGTTGAGTACCTTGAGAAGCTTCTGGCCGAGGCTGAAATCACTCCTGCCGTCAACCAAATCGAGAACCATCCATCTTTGCCCCAGCAGGAGATCGTCGACTTCTGCAACCAGAAGGGTATCCATATTACCGCTTACAGCCCCCTTGGTAGCACCGGTAGCCCATTGTTTACTGCTGAGCCCATTGTGGCCGTTGCAGAGAAGCGAGGCGTGACTCCTGCATCCGTTCTGCTGAGCTGGCACGGTAAATCCAACACAATTATCAATGCCAATTTATGTGCATGATCGTTCTAACATTTCTTTTCCTCTAGTGGCCCGTGGTTCCTCCGTTCTCGCCAAGTCCGTTACTCCTTCTCGTATCGAGGCCAACCGCAAGGATCTGATCAAGCTGGATGCTGAGGATGTCGCTACTATCAAGAAGTACTCCGACTCTTTGGCTGCCACCAACTCTTTCGAGCGATATGTTTTCCCTGCCTTTGGCGTGACCTTTGGGTTCCCGGACAAGCAGTAAATAGTTCTTGGAGGATTGTATAGACATGACTGATGATACCTTGCACATATTGATGGGCTCTACAGAGAAGAAAATCTAATAGACTCTATTTTATTTATTCAAGACATATTTCAAATATTCTTTACTATTTGTTGCACACTCCATTTTTCAGTATGAAGGCCCTTGGCAATTACCGGGAGCGCAGCCGTCAACTGGTCATCCTGGACCCCTTGTCTTTGTGCATGGCTCCACTAGCCCATCTCATTGTTATCTTCTTCGCCTTCAGGCATGAATTCACCAAACATTTGAAAGGAAACAGTGAGATCACTCATCCGTTTGCGATTCATTAGTCATTATGGTAAAATATGAGCTTACCTGATTCACATATTTGGATCTTGCACTTGTTAATATCTCCTCTTCCATCTCCATTCAATGGTAAAGAATCATCCCCATCCGCAAAAACTACAGGAACAACATCCTACTTGACTATTGATGGCGAGTATCCCTCTTGTTTCAACTATTCAACGCAGTATTCGCGGTAATACTCACAGTTCACTAGCCGGGCGGACCCTTCAAGTATACACTCCTCCACCAGCCACATTCTCCATCGAAGCAATGACCCGCTTGTCAAATAATGGAAAGTAATGTCGGAATTTTCTCTCAAAAAGCTAATTATCATGACTCGGACTTGCGCTGTCGGGCCTGGAAAGAAGACCTCGCGAGGTATTAGTAGTATGTATGTTTCTTTCCTCTACATCATTAGGAAGTAGGCCGAGGTCTAAGTAGTACGTATACAGCTAATTGTTCGTGATTATGCACCTTCTAGCATTATTTTACCACATGCCAGGGTGTTACTATTACAACTAAAGGTTGGAGCTCCTCAAAATGAACTAAAAAGAACCAAAAGCCGCTTCATTTATGTTGGGTATCAAAAACTGGTAACAGCACTGTGAGAGTTGAATCTGATGCTGTCAAGATATGGAACCCAGAAGCGACAAAAATTGATTTTGGTTTGAGAATTAAGATGAGGGCCAAGAAGAGTCTGATTTGATTATTATGAGATCTTGGGAAGAGAATTCGGAAGCACATCAGACTCAGTGGAAACCCTTGAAAGCGACAAATGCGGATGTGGCTTGGGATGTTAAGCGTGTTGAAATGGTCTGAGATGTCGAGATGAAGATTCGAAGGATTTGGGAATATGGTAAGAGATTTTGAATTCTGGAACGCAGTTGATTGTGGTTTTGTGGTTTTGCAGCAACCAAGAACTCCAGTAGTATCACGCCGTTGAGTTGGAGTGGATTTTGATATCGGATCCAGCAACATCCTTTGATTTCAGACCAGGTGATGTTCTTTCTTGACGCCTGACTCAAGCCATTGAGGTTGGGAATTAAGTGGCAAGTCAAATCGGCAAGGTAAAAAGGGTTCAAAAAGAGAGGTTCAGAAAGTCATCAGGTCGTGCAGTGTTTATTTCGTCGTCACGTCGTCAATATCATAAGAGTCAATGGGAGAGAGGTGTTAAACCCAAACTGAAAAGCACCTTTTCTGAGTATCGGGCTCAGCCATTTCTTTAACGGTGGCATGGTCATCAGTGGAAATGGTGTTATCAGCAGGGAAATTCGGGATTGACCTCAGTTGGCATTCTTGGTGGCGGCAACCATCAGGGTTTTGTGCGGGACTTGGCGGCTTGTTCGTCAGCGGCTTTTTTGGAATCGTCATCTCTGGCCTCGATACTTTCACAGTAATCTAACATTGAAAGGCTTCCACACGCGTACTCAACCTTGCACCCCACGTTTAGGACTGTGGGTATGCCTCCTCGACGCTGAGCACGGACAGTGGCCAGGAAAGCCGACGCACGCGAGGGCCAGGCTGAGGAATCGGCTGGGGAAAAGAAACGACCACTTTCTCAGATGGTGGGTCAAGAGTTACCTCGGCAGCATCGCTGGGTTGGGGGCACAACTCCTGGGATGGAGCTGGCAAAGCGGGCTCAGGTGCGGGCGCGGGTGCGGGCTCGGGCTCGGGCGCGGGCGCGGGCTCGGGTGCTGGCTCGGGTGCTGGCTCGGGCTCAGGCTCAGGCTCGGCAGAGGAGCCCATGGCTTGCTCTTTCTCATGTTCCTCGGCTCTTTTCTTTTGGGTTCTTTTGTTCTTGTTGGCCTTCTTTCTCTTGTTTGAGTTGGATGCCGAGGGCTTGTTGGCGGTATCAACGGCAGTGACTTCAGCGGTGGTGACTTCAGCGGCACCAGTGCTTTGAACCTTTCTTTTGTTTGAGGTGGATGCCGAGGGCTTGTTGGTGGTACCAGCGGCAGTGGCTTTGGCAGTGGTGGCTTTGGCAGCGGTGGCTTTGGCAGCGGTGGCTTTACCAGTGGTGGCTCCAGTGGGGTTAACTTCAGCAAGAGTGATTTGAGCGGCGCCAGTTCTCTGAGCCTTTCTTTTGTTGAAGGTGGATGCCGGGGGCTTGTTGGGGCCCTTGGGGGTATCAGCGGCAGTGACTTCAGCAGGAGTGACTCTAGCGGCACCGGTGCTTTGAGCAAGTCCGGGAAAGGTGAACCGAGATACGTAATGCAGTGACGATCTGACGAAACTTTGACTATCCGGGTAATCTAACACCATCACATCCTGTTGCTGTGGGCGCGAACTGTTGATGCAGTAGTCGGGATAGTGAGCGCAGCAGCACCAACGCGGAGTCAGACCCTGTTGACACTCTGGACACCAACACAGCTTGTGGCCTGTATGTTGCTGACAGTCGGGCAAGAATCGGCATGGAGAATCGTTATTGGCGCGGGTCAAGGCAGAGAGCTCGGTCGCCTCAAGTCGATCATCTTGAAATAGCCAGAAAAGCTGAGTGCGGCTGTGGAAATGCATATTCCACCACGGGTTCCATAGCTGCTGGTCCTCGGTGGTAACAGAGGAGGTTGGCGACGGGGGTGCAATGGCCTGGGCTGTCATCGTCGCTGTTTGGAACGAGGGGTAACCGGCCTCGTTAGAGCCTGCACTGTTGGCAGGGGGGATGGGAGAGCCTGCCGGGGGCTCGACTTGGTTCGCGTTCTCGAGGTGCGGGGTTGCAGCAAACCACACATGCTCATCGGTCTGAGTTGACATGTCCTTGAAATTCTCATCGGTCTGAGTAGTCACGTCCTTGACATTCTCATCGGTCTGGGTTGACATTTCCTTGACATGCTTGTCGGTCTGAGTGGACACGTCTTTGACATGCTCATCGGTCTGCGTGGCTACGTCCCTAGTGGTGGACGTCTCGGGAAGCGCGGCTTCCAAAGTCGGGGTCGGCAGGGGGGTGGATTCAGAAGACTGCTTCTTCCCTTTGGCCTTCTTTCCCTTCTTCTTGCGCTTGCTGCCCTTTGCTGGGTCAGCGGCAATTGAAGGCGAAAGTGGCGCCATGTCCTCGACTACCTCTGGGACAGTAGAGAGCGACGTCCACTGCTCAGAAGTAGTCGGTTTCTCAGTGTTCCGTGGGGCGGAAGTGACTGGAGACGATGGTGGGGAAGTTGTTGTTGGCGTCAAAACAACAGCAGTTTCTGGTGAGTGAAGGGACTGAGGTAACGCGCTCACAGTCCGGTTTGGTGAGTTTGAATTGAGTTCACTGACGGGCCTTCTCAGGTCTGAAATAACAGCAGAGGAAGACGCATCATTCAAGACGATGATGGTGGCGGTTGAGGGGGTCGGGGATGGAGATGGAGGTGGTGGAGGGGGGTCGGATGAGGAAGAAGAAGAAGAAGAAGAAGAGAGAGGTGAAGACTCCCAATGTGAATGAAAGCGCTTCAGACAGGCCCTCATTTGTTCCCCGAACATTGATGTCTTCTCCTCATACAACTCCTCTGACTGAGCAAGCATTCTTTTCATCTTGATAGTCTCAGCCTTAATCTTTGGGCTCTGATCATCAGCGCCCTCCAATTCGCCCACCCTTTCCTTGATCCGCTCAGTTATGACGAGCAGGAGGCTCAACATGCGTGCTTGTGGCCTCACTGAGCCACTATCCACCTCCATCTGCGATTCCAAATCTATTTCCTCCTCCAATCTCCCCAAACTCATTTCTATGGCGCATTTATTAGTAAGTTTTGCAATTTACAATATACATTCAGAAACGTACCTAGTATATCCGCAGTGAAATCGTCCCACTCGGACCCTGGAATCTTACGTCGCCAATAGTTTTGGAGGACTTTGTAAGCACCCTTCATTGGGATCAGTACTTCCTCCTCATCAGAAGATCCCTCAGATGGATCAGGCAGAGTGACGCCCCATTCACCAAGCAGATGAGCCGGGAGTGAGGCTATCCAGTCTGCATTTTTCTCCAGGGCGTGGGGATCAATACGCTCATCCCCTGGATCTTCTGAGGCCATGACAGATAAAACTGCCATCTTGAGGCCTCAAAACTCGGTTCCTCGGACTCGGCTTGGTCGAGATAGGTCAAGGGTAGGTGCGTGACAATACGAAATTGATATGCGTGGTCAAGTGTGATGGGTGGGGTGCGAAAGTAAGTAGGTAAGTGGGGAAGTGGAGACGCGTGGAGGAAAAAGGATTTCGCGTGGAGCGAAAATGTTTAAAGGGAAGGGTGGGTCCCCACTTTTAGTGGCGGCAGTTTGAGTCAATAAGAGAACAGTATTCTTCTCCCAGGATTCGACGCACGCACATTCACTTCGGTGCACGTCGCTGCCTAAATACCACGCGGGTCAAACTATTTTCATTGCCACGCGATCTAGGTACCGATGCCAGGACTTCACTAAATAAGTATCTTTATTTAAGTACTAGGGTTTTTTGAGCATAATTGAGCACTGCCAATTAACCTACAGATCGAATATTTTATAATGAGCTACTGATACCCATTATACTCAATTTTATTAGATTAGTATACTGTCTGTTGTTTAATATCTTTCTTCTAGTATAGTTCAGAATCAGGGTAAAGTGGTCCACGTGACTTTTAGTACTAACAATCCACGCATACCACCTAGGCACCAGCATGTAACTAGGCACATATGCATGCGTAGTACCAGTCTCATAGTATTGCTGAGTTAATTATTTAGATAAACAATTTTACGGCATCACAAGTCTGTTCACCAATAAATAAAATTGCCAAATTTGGAAATTTGTTCACTGAACTAACAAATAGTACACCTGGTTACACCTTGGCGCTGGATATTTATGAGAAAAACAAAGAGATAAAGAAAAGAAATCCAGTAGATGGTAGAGTAGACAAGATATTGAAGATATACGCTCAGAAATGCACCAGGTGGTATATGGTCATGAATAGTCAAAAGTCAAAGGAAAAAGAGACCGGAAAGAGGTGGTCGAGAAAGTGAACGTGAACAGGGCCCGATATATGCTGTGCAACCAAGACAGACAGATCAAAAAAGGAAAAGGAAATCAGAACAAAGAATGGAATGTTTTATTAGAACATGCCCCCATCAACCGGGATTGCCGGTGGAGGATATTGTGGGATTGCTGGAGCAGGACTGAGCATTGCCTCCTGTCCTTCAATAGACTTCTTGCGCAGACGGCTGCGGGATTGAGGGTGCTTCTCATCGTCGGGGAACACACTATGTTCATCTGAAACGCTTGGAGCGGGGGATGAAACTCGAGATTCCGGCTTAAAAGCAGACAGAATAGTTTGGGTACCACGACGACGACGAGGGTTCATAGGAGGCAATGGTGGAGCAGCGCCACCTGGAAGGCCAACAGTGGGGACATTTGAAGTACAAGATACCAAGGTGGGCTCGGAGATGAGCTTCTTGTTCACTGGGCGCTTCTGCAGCATGTTGTGGCCCGGAGCACGTTGGGGTAGTGCTTGAGATGCAGACACAGAGGCAGGATTGGTCGATGATTGATCTGGGGCAATCTCATTCAAAGGGGGTGTTGCATTTGCAGAGTAGGCGGGAGTGGCAGGAGAAGGGCGTGGTGTAGCACCGATCATCGAAACTGGGTTAGGCGCCGGACTAAATTGGAAAGGTCGCTCGTAATGGAAACTTGGGGTTCCAGATCTGCTAGCGCTTCGGTATCTGCCCGAGGCGGCTGATGTCGAACGGTCGTATGGGAAAGAATCAATGCCATCCATGGATGGCCGAGCGGAGCTTGGAATGGAGCCAGGCACAGGGGGCTCGAAGTTGTCGGGGATAACAAAATTCTCATGAGCAATGACGGCTCCTTCCTCTACAGTTTCGAGATCGTCGCGCTCACGGTACCGAGTGCGACTCTTAGATCGGCCGGAAGCATCAGAGCTGGAGCGATCTCGAGGTGCCCGGAAGCCGGGCTGCGGAGACGTGGCTCGGCTTCGGCTTGACTCTCGTGATGCGCTACGACTGAGGGTGGGCATACGGGATCGAAGGGACCGCTCAGTGGGAATTTGGGGAACGTTAGAGTTGGAGTGCCGGCTGAACAGAGACGGTCGTTCCTCGCGCGCCATGTCATCAGGGATGAGAGACGGGGTGGAAGAACTATTGTAACCATACAGGTCGTTCTTTGGCGTGCTTTGCTTGCCAGTCATATGTTTCAGAATAGAGAAAGCATTACCAGCCTTGACATTAGGGCCGTCAACATTGTGCAAACTAGGAGTCGGGCTGCTGCAGCGGCTCTCGCTCTCTGCAACACTTCGGAGCTTCTCCTGGATTTTTCGGCGGCGTTCAGCAATCTCCATCGCAAACTCTTCTTGTTCCTTCTGGGTTTCAGTGCTGCCATCGCGTCGGTGGTGGTGATAATCCAACTCTCGTTGCCAAGATGGTCCCGCATCGGATGAATCTTCACTGCCCCGACTGGTAGTCTCTCCCGCGGACTGGCGGGATGAATTTCGGTTGCTGGAGGTCTCCGCCTCAATGGACTCAACAATGCTGTTCACACGGAGGCGTTCTTCCAGTACAGGACTGGGCTGGACCTCGACGACAGATACTTCTGGTTCGAGCTTCTTAGGCTCAATCACAGCCACAGGTAATGTGGGCGAAGGGGGAGAGAAGGCAGTCGATCGTTCGCTGACAGAGCGCAGATGAGATCGAATACTATCAAGGCCAATGCCAGGGACTTGGATGGTAGGAGAATCCGGTCTTTCTGGCATCATCGAATACGCTTCGGAAGCTGAGTGGGCCTCCTCGGGAATCACATCTTCTTCGATTGGCTTGAGATCGCCAAGATCTGAGTATCTAACCTCAGGCAAGGTCTCAAGTTGTTCCCCAGTGGGGGTAGACGGTTTAGACGCAATGCTAGAGCGATGAAGAGAATGACCCTGGTCTGTGGTCATGGATGTCATGGAAGATATTTCGTAGGAACGACGGTCCTCTCCTTCATCACCGGAATCACTGTTCGTAGACGGGGCATAGTAACCTCTCACACCAGGAACACGAGGAGATGTTTCTACACTGGATGCTCGAGAGTAATCCACTCCATGGTTTGCATCGCTGCTGTAATGTGATGAAGCCGACTCAGCTCTGGATCGGTAGCTGGATTTAGAAAGACCACGTGCACAAGCTGGCTGGTCGTGCGACATTACACGACGTGGAGAAGACGGCTGAAGAGGGGGTGGGGTATCCCGTCCCTGGTGCAACTGCAGCTGACGGCGAACGAACTGCTGTTCATCGAAGCCTGTGGCGGGTCTGTTGAAAAGACCCATAGCGGTGGCTTTTCCATGATCTTCTGGGTTGAGTGCTGCCGCGAGCAATGAATTTCCATCCTCATTCTCACTAGCCGGAGGACTCAAAGGGGATGCGCTAAAGGCGGCAGCCGTTGGAGAAATACGGTCTCTGGGGTTTGTGTCTAGGGGAGGCAACTGCTTCGGTGAAGTAGCAGATGTTGGCGGGCTGGCAGGCCGAGGACCATTGGGCTCGACGATAGAAAGCTTCTGCAGTCGATCTCGAAGGTTGGTCGCACTCCGAGAGTAGCTACGATTCAAAAGATCAGGAGTTCCGGAACGATGACGACTTAAGCTTTCCAATCGATTCAGTGTTGAATTTTGGTGGTTTTGCACGTTCTGTGTCAAACCTTGGCCATATAAACGTCGAGATCGAACCGAGCCAGGCCGACCATTCAACGCAGTAGAGAAAGGACGACCCTCGACAGGAGAGTCCAGGACTGGAACTGCAATCGAGGACTGTGGTTCTGGCTGAGATACATTGAACTGGAACTCATCGATAGAAGTTGCTGCGGTCGAGGAGCGAGCATTGGAGGCATGCCCGGATGATGTCGATGAAAAGGTACCACGATTTGCGGAGATAGAAGGAGCATCTTCCGAGTCACGAGTTGCGATCTCATGGCCTAAGTCGTCGGACCGTTCTTGTCTCTCCTGGTGTCTCATGCGTTGAAAAGCCGACATATTCAGATCGTGATCGTATACTACTCTGCCCATTCCTCGTGGACTCTCAGTAGCGGGCGAGGATGCTCCTGGAGAGCGGGCAGGGATTCGGTACACCTTTTGTCGGCCGCCAAACAAATTATTTCCTTCAGCTCGACGAGCTCGGCTCATAATGCTCCCATGCGATCGATCATCATCGGTTCCATATCCTCCATCACCACCAGAAGCATACGAGTCGGTACGGCCCAAGGCGAGGGAAGGTCGGCTGCCATCATTGGAGGAAACTTCGTCGATATCTGCTAGCATTGCTGGGCTGTGTCCAAAAAGATTCAATCGGGATGCCCGCTTCGGAAACAGTACACTATCGTCACTGGCCTTGCCAATCTTTGAGGCGGGATCATCTTGTTCTCTCAGCATACTAAATCGAGCTGATAGTTTCGGCATCAGCAAACTAGTGCGGAAATCATCCGAGGGAGGGAGGACATCGGCAAGATCGAGTATTTTTTGTTCCTCCGCGGCATCTTTCTTTTTCGACAGCTTCAAGCTGAAGGGGGAAGTGGATGGGCCATTTTCCAACTCGTCCAACGTCTCCTTGTTTTCCTTGACCTTCTTATTTTTCCGGAATCGGTTCATCATCGGGATCTAGGGACCGAAGTATGTATGTAGGGGGTAAAAAGAGCGGCTATTGTTCCCACGATAGGGTCTCGGGGAGTAGGGTAACGATAGTGACTAGCGACTTATTCAAGCAGTACCAGTTAGACTCTAGAATTGAAGGGGGTTTTTGCCATATCCCTCTTCAAATACTCACTAGGTCTTGCTTATAAAGGGTATAAAAAGAGCGGCATGACCGTCAGGTACCCGGTCAAGTTGGTTTGAGGGGAAAGTATGGAGTAAAGAGCTGTATGGAGTAGACTCCTGAGAGGGGGGGAAATGCGCGCGTAAAGAATAATCCAATAAACCCCCGCGGTTCAATTGTTCGCGTAGCGTGTGCCGATTTGCAAGCTGGTGCAGGGGGGTTCAAGCACCAATCAAGTGCGCTGAAGGCGAAGTTGAAGGCGAATTGGTCTGATTGATCACACACGAGAGGGAATGGACGGGAAGTCGAATCGATAGGGGAGATCGGGAGCTGCAGGTAAATCGTGGCTGGAAAAGATGGAAAAGCCAAAGATTCAATTTGAACGAGCGTAGAGGGTGGGAAAAGGGAATGAAAAAATGAATGAAAAAGCGAAAAATATGACAGGACCTCTTTGAAGAATGCAATTGGAGGTCGAGAATGGGAGGGAAAGTGTAGTGAGGTACCCGATTTGATGACAGGTATTGTATGGTAATCTTAAATTGGTGTGTATGACACTAGAAAATTCAATTGAAAAAAAAAAAGCCCTGGGATCTGGATCCGGATCGTCATGTCCACTTGCTCGATCTAGATTATGATGTACACTTCTGTTCTTTTAAAAATAATTATAATGAATTTGGAGGGTTGGAAAATATTTGAGGTTTTTATCTGATTCTTTGTTTGTTTACTCCTAAGCTACCTATGTGGTCAAATCATGGAGGTTCCCCGTAAAGTGCATCCATGGATGGACCTTTTTGGAGTTGTAATCGGGTAACATTAATTTATTTATTTTTTATTACGAGCCACAATGCCCAAGGTGGACGTCGTTATATTCTATGGAGTCTAAGTGGAGCTTTACCTACAATATACAATTAGGGTCAGATCATAGGACCTCGGGAACCACTGATAGCACTAATAGTCTGGTCCCTTGCAGCTTTCATTACCTAGGTGCCCAAGTACTGTAATCAAATAACAGAAATTACCTGGTATTTTTCCTCGTGCAGCGGCATGTGGAACCTGGGGCTGAGCGCCACTGCCAGTATCCCAGTCGCCTTCAATTATCTGAATGTTTGATCTCATAATTAAGGATGATGAGACATCTGAAGTGTCCATACCGAGCTTTGACCGAGAATATTGAATTTTTGCTTTATTAACACGAGTCACGAGTTCTGTAATCTCTCCATATACTGATAAATTTTCTAGTCCATTATCCATTATTCCATACCTATACTGGGCATAGACGGGAAAGGATAAGAGAGATTACAGGTACTGAGTGCTAGTACCATCAAGTTCTCATAACATTAAAAGAAGAAAGAAGAAAGGTAGCCCACCGGCACTAGTCGTACCGAAGCTCTGGAACACGGGAACCTTTCCAGTGCCAATTCTCCAATTTAGATATAGGAGACGATCGCAAATTCGACGGTACAATCGGTGGAGACTAAATGTCCGGTAGTTTACCTGAAAGGAGGCATTCTACTCCGAACATTTGATTCTATAGATCTGAAGTGCCGCACCTATGATGTATGCTACACAGATTCCTCCGTGTTTACTGGCATCGGCTGTTATCATTTTGCCTCAAAATGGTATCCCCTTGCATAACGGCAAATATGAACAATGCAATTAATCTCAACTATTCGTATGTCATATTGCCCATAAACTGGAAAATCCAGCTCCAGCCACGCCCTGTAGGCCTGGTCATGGGTAAAATTAGCCAATCTTGCAGCTATTTCTCCGATGGTGCAGCACCTCCTGCGTCGTGCAGCATACACATTTGATCTCAAGGCGCGTATCTACTTCGTACCATGTCATGCTATTATTTGCATCTTGTGCCACCGAAACAGATACCTCTCCTTTTCAGATTCTAGGAAGTACTCCGAATGGAGTCTATGATCGCATATCGCATATTTCATTGTTCTCATTTGCCGATACTGGAGTTCCCACCATCAAATGGGCACCCTCTCCGACGAACTCATCGTATATCCTCCACTCTGCATCAAGATAATTGCTTGTTTTGAAAATTTTCAGACCTCTTTTCCGAGGCGCGCGGACCAGTGTTGCATCATCGATAGATGATTAACAATCTTGATTCCGGATCATTTCCCAGCCCTGGTGGACCTATGAGATCATGTGCACAGGCCAGGATAGAGATGCTCGTTAAGCAGAGACAAGCCATCCGAACGAGACCAGCAGCCAAGACCAAAACAAGCAAACTTCGTCTAGCGCGTTTCTAGGCCGCGGGTTTATAGGGGCATCAGGATTGACAGCCGTTGTAGGACCCAGTCGCCTAGCAAGCTTCGCCCAACTCGATTCTGGCCCACGCCGCGGAGAACTTTCTCCTCTCGTACCTGTGGGCCGAGGAAGGAAAAAAATCTCTTTTTTTTTTTTCATCAGCCCTGGAGAATCATAATAAGTCAGGGCAAGAGGTGGAGATTCAGAGAAACTCGCTTCGGTAATTTGTTTTTCTTAGTGCGTGGTTGTTTTAGATCCACACTTTGTGGGAGCTTTCCCCTCTTTGAGAATCAGTCAAAATCCATATAGTTCCACGCACTTTCCCCCTCAATGCCAAGATGTGATAGTACTGGCACCCTAATAACCGTCCTTCAGTTCCCCGGTGTAGCGCATTGGTTGACCAGATGATGGATGCCCCTGACTAGTCCACATCAGGCGGAATTCAGTAATTTTGATGTCGCTTGCAGATGCACGATTCATTTGCGTCTCATCCAGTAGAATTTGTAATATCATAGGTCAAGGATTCAGGTCTATGGATTATATCAAATCATTCAATGTTCTCTGCAATGATTTGAAACCAAAAAGAAAACTTTGAAGAGAATAACAAGAACTCATACAATCCTGCTCCCCTCAGGTGTCGAATGTCGAAAGTACAATTGGTACTTTATGTCTGGTACCGGTGGAGCAGCCGGTATTGACTCCACCGGTAATCCGTATCATAGAACCAGAACCTCCGTACTCGCTCCGTCTCGTGGAGAATGGCTGGTCGAGGCTCTCTGAAATTAATTTCCGTATTTTGGATCTATCAATCTCTCCGGCCTTTGACCATACCATATGTGCATGCATTGAATTGAAAGGAGACCTATAAACTCGCGCGTAGAACTATTTAGTTGAATTCAATTCTGTTCCTTCCAAGTTCAAATAGATCATTGCCACCCTCGAAATCATGCAGTGCCTGCATTGATCGACTCTGTACCGGAGCCAACGCGTGCTTTCGGGGGATCGATCGGTTGACAAGTTCCGGGTCTGGACCACCTGGCAGATCCAACGATTTTGTGTTCCTGCGGGAGGAACTGAACAAAGAGGAGCGTCTGAGGAAGCTTTGCGGATTCAAGTTAGATGAAGGTGAGCGTTGGGGTCGGGAAATTGATCCCTTGGTGGGCCACCAATCCCAACTTGATGGCTCCGCATTGTGGAAAGACTCCAGGGCTGTAATTGCATGCCCCGCGGCGCCGTTGTTTCAGCGTGCGATCGGTTCTGTTTTTTTTCTCACTGGGCTGACCCTATGGTGGGTGGTAATCCCAACTAAGGCGTGTTCTCATTGATCATTGGGGGATTTTGGGAGCGAGTCACTCAAGTAACCAATGAGTGTTGGACCTTGCAGCCATTATTTGATCCATCCATGGATGGATCTATGCAACGTGTACAACCATGATGGACAGTTGTTTGCTGTATGGCACCGTGACCGTGACCGTTGTATGATACTTAACAACATTGAAGAGGTTCAAGTTCTCAACGGTCCCCAGGTGGGGCTGGGGCCGACCGTGAATCCAGATGCGTACCGCCAGCATAGAGTGCTTCATCGGTTTAACCAACTGGTACATACCTAGTAGTACTTTTGTAATAAAAAATTTTTCTAGAGCTTGGTGAATGCCTTCAAATGTTCATTAGACGGAAGAAACAGTTCAGATGATGGTAGTAGTCCGCTGGTAGTACGGAGTACATATTCAAACGTTCATCACGGTTTCAACCTTGGAAATGGTTAAGTTTGGATGAATGGATATATATCCATCCGGAGTACCGCACTGGCGGTAGCCCTGGAGTAGGTACGTATCAAAACACACAGGCAAATCCCTAAGATTACTGGTAAAAGTCAAAGTTTTTCACTTTTGGAGATTCCAAAAAAGTGCCCCCTTTTTGATTGAACAGCAATCCGTAAATTAGATCCCAAACCTTTTAGAAGATTTAATAGCAGAAATGATTCCATAGTGATATAGTCTAATATCCATCCATAGAGTCAGTGGTACCAGTTGACCTCCAATGTTGACCCAACGGGCCGCGTTCTCACCGCCCTTTACTGCCATTTGTTTGTTTTGCGCTGCAAACAACTCAAACACCCAACACCACAACACTGGCCTATCATTCGGATTCATTCCCGACTCGGACTGAAGGTCTCAAAGATTTTCTGAATCCAGAAAAATCAATCAATTATGTCTCCGTGGAAATACTTCATTGGTTCTGATTTTTATACTAACGCTATGCCGTGTCATCCAATATTCAAAATGTTAAGGCTGAGCTTGACAACTTGAGGGCGTCATGACACCGAAAACCCCAAATGCTGGACTCCAGATGTCTCATCCCATCACTCCATTACACCTGGGCACAGATCATTCCGATCTACGCGCAAACAGATCAATTGATGTTACCAGGGTTTCAATCAATGCTATACTTCATATCAAACTTTTGGCCCGATGCGATATCGCTTACGCATTCAAATATTGAATCATCCCAGTGTCCATAATAAACAATGTTTTATGGCAGCACCACACCGCATCTGCATACATTGAACTTGAAGTATCAAGAACTTTATCCCAAAGTTGGCCAAGATGAATCTACGGATATGGACTTAACTCGCAGATATGCTTGATGTTGATTAAGAGAAACTAAGCATTGCCCACTCGAGCATTGCCCCACTCGGCAAGGTCTTGCCCGACGGTCCTGCAACGCTCTAGATCGAACCCCCCTATCCATGAATATACTGGGACAGACTTTGGCTAGTCTTGTGCTGAAACTGCCCATCCCGACTGAGTTATGAAGTTCGCCGACTATCTCCCGAAATTCAAGCACATGGGCGGGAGAGACTCTGGGATCTTCCCTACTCTTACCGTAGCACGGTCGGCACCCCTGCAGATCAGCTTCTATAGTACTACATGGTGGAGCAAACAGCTCTTTGGGGATATGATAGACTATGTGGGGATGCTGTCACAGCTTCACTTAGATTATCTTACAAACCGGACCCTGCCAGATATGGATGCTGAGTGTCTCGGTTGAGCGGAACTTGAAGAAGTCCTTCTGTCGGCGTTTCAAAATGAGAGGTTGAGATCGAGGTCCTTATATACCTACTGGAATATGCCCAAATATCGATCGCTTTTTCTCAATCACATTCATTCATTTTTCTTATTCTTTGGTATCAATTGAGCTGGTCTCATTTCACATTCGCTTTCCCATTTCTTGATCAGACAAACTTGAATCTATACAAAATGCGGGCCTCTTTCATGTCCAAGCTAGCCATGGGATCCGCCGTAGCACTCGGCGCACCTACTCCTTCTCGGGTTTCGCAGATGGTGAAGAAATCAACCTCCTGCACGTTCGACTCGGCTGCCAGCGCCAGCGCCAGCAAGTCATCCTGTAACACAATCGTGTTGGAAAACATTGAGGTGCCTGCTGGTGAGACCTTGGACCTGACCGATCTCAATTTCGGTACAAAGGTATGGACAACCTCAGTCAGGATCCAGGACACTGTACTAAAAAACCATTCATCGTTTAGGTCATTTTCAGTGGCGAGACTACCTTCGGATATGAGGAATGGGATGGACCCATGATTGAGATCTCTGGCTCAAACATCATCGTTTCTGGAACTTCTAACCATACCATCAATGGTGGCGGAGAGCGATGGTGGGATGGTGAAGGCACCAATGGTGGTAAAACAAAGCCCAAGTTCTTCTATGCCCATAGCTTGGACGACTCGACAATCACCGGTCTGAACATCAAGAACACACCCGTCCAGGCATTCAGTGTTGAGTCCGATAATCTGGTTCTTAAAAAGTATCACCATCGATGATTCCGATGGTGATTCTAATGGTGGTCACAACACTGATGGATTTGACGTTGGCGATAGCACCGGCGTGACTATTAGTAACGCCGTTGTCATGAATCAGGATGACTGCCTAGCTGTCAATTCTGGCACAGTGAGTGATAGAATATTATCTGAGCAGATATACACGATCTGAGCAGATATACACGAAATAAATTGACTAACGCGGCTCTAGAACATCGTTTTCACAGGTGGTACCTGCTCCGGCGGCCATGGTTTGTCTATCGGTTCTGTTGGTGGACGCTCCGACAACACTGTGAAGAACGTGACTATCACCAACTCTGTTGTGAAGGATTCGGAGAACGGTATTCGCATCAAGACAAACTCTGGAACTACCGGATCTGTCTCTGAGGTCACATTCTCAAACATTCAGATTTCAGGAATCACCGATTACGGCATTGTGTTTGAGCAGGACTACGAGAACGGCGATCCTACTGGTACCCCTACTGATGGTGTTCCTATCACCGACCTCACCGTGGAGAGTGTGACTGGAACTGTCGAAAGTGATGCGACCGAGGTCTACATCCTGTGTGCTTCGGGTGCCTGCTCAGACTGGACTTGGTCTGACGTTAGTGTCACGGGTGGATCAACCAGTGATGAGTGCGAGAATGTGCCATCTGGTGCGTCTTGCTAGATACATGTATAGTATCATCGAGATATTGATTCAATACTATCGACCGGTTAACTCGATTTCTTGGTTGAGTGCCCAGGTGGTTGCTCCGATGCTGGTTACTCCAATCAGGTTTTCTGTGTTCTACCAGGTTCATAATAAGGATCCTTTTTTTGAGGAGCACTTGATGCTTGTAACTTCCTGTTTTTTACAGGACTAATTACGTACCTAGGTAGAGTAATGGATTGATAGTTCAGTAAACTTGGAGAAAAATCATATCAATGCTATGCCTGAGGGGTCAACTTTAGGATGAGAGGATTTCAAGTAGACCTGAAGGCCATAAAGCCATATTCCCTACTTAAATAATCACAAAAATACAATTTCTGATTGCCAAATGGAGATTTTCTTCTTAATCAACTCCTCTGATCTTCAAGACCCGCAGTACCTGAGTTTCGATGACAAATGTAAGCTGATGTTGCTCAGTTGCGTTTTTCCATAACGTCATAGCTGAACAGCTACAGCTCCCCGCAATCCCTCGATCAGTCCCTCACAACCTGGGTAGCACTTGAGCATACCAACATCAATCTCCAAGTATCTTGCTCAACAACTCCCTAAAGCGACAATCAACCTTCATTTTCACCATGCAAGTCCTTCTCCTCGGTGGCCACGGCAAGGTGGCCCTATACATGACCCCACTTCTTCTGAACCGCGCCTGGAGCGTTACCAGCGTAGTGCGCAACCCAGACCACGAGAGCGAGATCCTAGCGCTCGGCAAGGGCCGCAAGGGCAAGCTTAATGTGTTGATTTCGAGTCTCGAAGATGTGAAAAGCGCTGCCGATGCCCGAAAGATCATCGACACTGTAACTCCGGACTTTGTAGTCTGGTCGGCTGGTACGTTCCACCCCACTTTTCACTCTTAACACAGCATACCCATGGATCTATCTCACCCAACCAAAACAATTTAACAATCCTCTCAAGGTTGGAACTGATATATAGCGTAACTAATGTGAAAAATATACAGGAGCCGGCGGAAAAGGTGGACCAGCTAGCACAATCGCCATCGACCAAGAAGCCGCCAAACACTTTATGACAGCTTCATTCGCTGCACCCAGTGTCTCAAAGTTCCTCATGGTCTCCTGGATTGGCAGCCGTCGTAGCCAGCCCAGCTGGATGCCCGATGACGCCTGGGCAGGTATCATGGTTGGCAAGACCGAGAGATTGCCCACATACGCTGCAGCGAAGCTCGAGGCCGACGAGTACATGACTGCATTGGCAGCCAAGCGCAAGCAGGATCCTGCGCTTGCGTCGCATCCATTCCAGGCGATTAATCTTCGGCCTGGTGTGCTAACTGATGAACCTGCTACTCGGAAGGTGGAGTTGGGAATTACCGCTAAGGGGAGGGGAAGTGTTACGCGGGAGGATGTGGCGATTGTTGCGGATCAGTTGCTTGCAAGAGCTGATACAGATGGCTGGTTTGATCTTGTTAATGGAGATTTGCCAGTCGAGGAAGCTGTTGAGAAGGTTGCGGCCGAGAAGATTGATGCAGTCAAGGAGGAGGATGTGGATGCAATGGTGAAGCGTTTCTTCCCTTAGATGCACATTTTTATGTGTCTCAGGGTGATATATAACTTGTTGGCCTCTTGAAATGGTACAGAGAATGAAGCAAGAGGCCTTGAATTTCAGAAATATGAATACGTTCGGGATCTTATACATGTGCCCCGGGGGAGATCTGGGTATTTTCCTGTAAACATTGTAAATTTGAGGCAGAAGAGTTCAATCTCCAAGTTTCCTTGTGATGGCTGGTCCGAGTTTGCAAATTGGGTGAAAGAGCTTTCTTTTCCTACTCTTGGAAATGTCAATTCTTCGACACTAAGTCTTGTTGAAAGAAGAATGTGATGAAGCCTACCTAAGATGGAAGGCACGTTCGGTAAAAAGTAAATCCGCGCATACCGGTCAGCATGATAAACTCACCCCTTGCATACTCCCTTTCAAACACAAAGACACTCTCGATCTCTTATACCGATCTCTTCTTGTACCGATGGATTACTCAGTTACTCTAGAAAGAGGAGAAATCTCGAAGGTAGCAGCCCTAAGGATGCGTGGGGGTCAACCTACTGGATAGCAAGACACACCGCAACAACTGACCAGATGAAATCAAACAACGCGTCAACACCGAGATTCAGAGAACGCAAACGCTGCACCTCAATACTAGCACATTCCAGTCCATATGCATACTATTTTTTGTCAATACGCCTCGGTATGTTTGCTATATGGACTCCAACAGATATACAAAATAAAATAAAACCTTGAATCATGTCCCAGTGTCGCGTGTCAACAAGTTGGAGAAATTGAGACGTCATTAGGCCTACCGGTGACCACGAGAACCGACTCTCCTATGCGGAGTACCGCTTAAGTGCATGCTGTCGTAGTATCCTTACTCCATGATCCCTGTCTTTATTGCATGGCATGTTGGCCTTCCAGGATCTGGGCCTTTGCCGATCGACGCAAGCACCATGTTTTCTTTGTTCCAGTTGCGGTTGATTGGTAAAGGCCGAGGGATTGGTAAGGACTTCAGGTTCTCGCCTGACACTTGCCCAAGGTCTCCTGTATCCATTCCCTACAAACTTCCAAGTCATAAATACACCCAGTCACTCTGCAGAAGATGCCGGCAGCTTTCACTAACGCCCAACAAATGGCTTCTTCAATTCTTCTCACAAACGCAACAATCCTTGTTCCTTCCGGTGACACAAGCGACCATGTAGTCGCTCTCCGACGTCACTCATTGCTCATCGAGGGCAATAGGATCTCCCGGATTTTGCGGGACATCCCGCCACCAACTAAGTACTCAGACACTAAGATCCTAGACTGCACCGGCAAAATAATTTCTCCTGGTTTCATTGATACCCACCACCACCTCTGGCAGACCCAGCTAAAGGGACGTCATGCAAACCACACTCTTGTGGAGTATATGCCAACTGGTACGGACCCAGCCGTTCCTCAACCCATTTGTGTGCCAGGATTCTCATCCCTGTAGGACTTCTTCAAGCAGTGAACTTTACGCCGGAAGACATCTTCTGGGGCCAATTGGGAGGCTGCCTTGAAGCGCTAGATGCAGGTACTACGACGGTTGTGGATCATGCTCATATGAACATCTCCACAGCACACTGTAAGTGATTGGCACTACTTAAATCCTTCTAACTTAAATTGTCGAAGCATTTGCTCATTTTTGAGAACTAGCTGCCAATGGTGTGGAGGCCACTATTGCATCTGGGATCCGATCTATCTTCTGCTACACGCCCACTAATCGGATTAAGTCATGGAAGCCCGAGCTAGTTCCTGCAGACCTAGACGACTGGTTCGGCGATTGGGTACAGAATCAGTTTAATGACCTCGCTCGTTCGGCCCCATGGGCAGATGACCGAGTCCGTTTAGGCCTCGCCTTTGATGGGTACTTCCTTCCAAAAGACGTTGTCATTGGACTACATGGCCAGGCCCGCAAAGCTGGCGTCCAAGTTATTACTACCCACTGTGTACATGGGTATCCTTGTAAGATACATGCTCCCAGTAAGTGGGGATACACTGGCTAAATGCACTGTAGGTGATTCTTCTCTCGTTGATCTTCTTGACAGCTATGGCCTTCTCGGGCCGGATATCCTGCTCTCTCATGCGACAAATCTAACTGATAGTGACGTGAAAAAGCTTGTGAAGGCCAATGCTTGGATCTCCTCGACTCCAGAGACCGAGCTCCAGATGGGCCTAGGAAATCCTATGTGTCTTCGGGAGGATTGCGCTGGGATTAGCTCTCTGGGAATTGACTGTCATAGTAATAACACGAGTGATATACCCACACAAATGCGCATGGTACTTCAAAATGCACGGGCTCGAAAGAACGACCCCATTGTCGCACAGGGGAAGCATCCGCGCTCACTGGATCTATCCGCGCAGGATGCCTTCCGACTCGGCACAATCCAGGGCGCTCGAGCCATTGGCATGGACAAGCAGATCGGCTCGATTGAGGTGGGAAAGTTAGCTGACCTGGTTATTTTCGATGGTCAAACCCCAGGGATGATTTGTGCCGCCGAGGAAGACCCCGTTGCGGCTATTATTTTGCACTCATCGATACGGGATATTGACATGGTCATTGTTGATGGGCGGATCTGTAAACAGAATGGTAGCCTCGTTCCTGTGGATTTCAAGCCAACACTTGACGAAGTCAACATTGCAGAGCAAAGAGTCGATTGGTGCACGATTGCACAGCAGCTTCTTGCCAGTCGAAAGAGAGTCCAGGCTGCCATTGTGAAAGCCGGCGCGGATGACTTTGAACACCAGGTCTCTGGAACGATGAGAATGCTCCCTATGGATGGAAATGAATCGAGTTGAATCAATTTCAGATTTACATCATCTCGAAGAGTATCTCATCCCCGTTTGTACTACATTGATTACTTATTGTACTAGTACCACAAATAGTTTGTTTGATTCTCATATATCATTTGATCATGCTCTGGTTGAAAAGTCTATATGCAACGAGAGTTCATTTGCAACTCAGTTCGAGACACGGCTGACAGTTTCGTAGAAAGTCTTTCCCTGAGTTTCAGCAATGGATAACTCCAGGGCTGTCGGCTGACGACTGCCATCAGGTCCCTATAGTATAATTTTTGTTAGGATGTCTCGTTCTAATTTTGAGATTTCTAATTTTGAGATTCCTCTTCAAGCAGGACTCCGAAAAGGGGGGAAGCTTACCGCAAAAGTGCCTGCACCCCACGGGCTACCACCATGGATTTCCGACATATCGGTCAAGAGTGGGAACACTGGTTTATAACCCAGTGGAACATACAGAAAGCCGTGGTGAGCCAATGTACTCATAGCCGAAATGGCCGTGGACTCCTGGCCACCACCAAGTGTTCCTGTACTCACGAAGATACCAGCATACTTACCCCAGTAGTCTCCTCTCTGCCAGATGGCGCCAGTGCTATCCCAGAAAGACTTCCACTGCACTGGGAAGTTTCCGTAGCGGGTTGGAATTCCAAAGAGGACTGCATCATACTCGACCAGCTTCTCTGGGCTAATGACCGGGTATGAAGACTTGGGCGGAGCGTGCATCATCTCCAGGATGTCCTGGGGGAGAGTCTCGGCAATCCTGACCACATATTAGACCATACGACTTACAGACAGGGATGGAATTTGGTTTAATGCTACTCACTGGTAGATATCGGCTTGTCCTCCTGCCGACTCAATGCCTTTTGCTTCAGCTTCGGCCAACTGCTGGACATGTGTCCATGTGGAATACTGAATACGTTAACTTTAATTTTTTTTTTGATTATTGCTTTTCCCAAAGAAAATTCAACTCACAAAGACAATTGCAATTTTTGGAGCCATTTTTTCTGAGTGTCTAAGTAAATGCCGAGACCGGAAATTCAAGATAGATTTACCGAAACAGGAACTACTATCCTGGGTGTCCCCTTCGTGAAATATCACTTGACAATCGAGCGATCAATGTATGATGGCCTTCCATAAGTCTCTAAATGGATACAGCTCGGTTACCGATGGTTCAATATTTGCCGGCATTTTCAAGTTGTTTGTTGCGGGTGGCTCATATTGACCGTGAAGCCACTCGCAATCCAGCCTCGGTCATCGAACCACATTAGTGATACAGAACCGAGACTAAAAAACAAAGAAAATGGCCCCATCCCTGAAGATTACAACTAACTTTCCAGCTAGCCTTCTATAAGTTAGTTATCCGTTGTGGATTTTTGACTTAACTTTCGGCTGAAGATCTTATGGCGAGGACAGTGCCCTCGCTCGTTCAGCTTCTTGACCGAAGGACCGAAAGACCGAACAACCGAGCAGAACAACCGAACAGCCGAAAATAGTTCGATTCATCTGATTCCCCTCGACTTTAGACTACTACTAGTAGGGTTGAAACAATTGAAACAATACATTCCAGACCATAGAGCTTAGAAATCGTATTCTAAACTCGGATCTTCGGGTCTTAGGAACCTTGGAACTTGAAGCTATTACTCCATTTTTCTTTGATCTTCAGGGTTTATAGAGGCTCGGAATAGTTCCTGTCTCTATATAAAAAGTTTATTCAGGGACGCTCATTTGATCTCAATTGATCCTTAAGAGCTCACTTCTACTCAGAGTATCGAATCTGTTATACTTTCAAGTGGAAGCAAATTCTATTCGAAACGATGGAGGATCCTCCCACTTTACATGCCAATGGCGACCAGGAGAAGACTCTCGGAGATGTGCCCGTGGGCGAAACTGTCTACCGCTCCTCGTCCAGCCAGGAAGATGAGGCTGAGAACCAGGTCCAGGAGAACACGACAGCAACTGGAAGTCCAATGTCTGGATGGCGCGTGAGTTCACCTTGATAATAGTAGTCTCATTACACTCTGACTAATAATAAATTATAGCGGATTGTCATAGCCATCGCGATCAATACCGGAAGTTTCCTTTATGGACTGGATAACACCATTGTCGCCGATATCCAGGGTGCTGTCGTTGAGAGGTTCGATGCAATCGAGCAGCTTAGTTGGCTGGGCAGTGGTTTCCCTCTTGGGTCCATCGCCCTGCTCCTGTCTGTGTATGTTTCACGATAAACAATGAGAAACGAACTTGAACCAGTGAAGCTAATGAAGATAAACATCATATAGTGGAAAGGCTTATGGCTTGTGGGACATCAAATGGCTCTGGGTGTCAAGCATCATTGTCTTTCAGATCGGCAGCGCCATCTGCGGAGCTGCTCCAAATATGAATGCCCTCATTATCGGTCGTGTGATTGCTGGAGCTGGTGGTGCCGGAATGTATTTAGGGTGAGTTCATGATGTTCTTGGAAGTTAACAGGATATGAAAGAGGGCTAACAGTTGAGAAGTGGCCTTAATCTTACCGCGGTACTTACGACACTCGAAGAACGACCAATCTACATGGCAATCAATGGAATGGTCTGGGGTGTGGGTGAGTGATATCATCAGTACGCATTGTGATAAGAGAAGATTCCAATGACCTTATTAGGAACCATCCTTGGACCTGTCATTGGTGGTGCATTTGTTCAAAGCTCTGCCACCTGGCGCTGGGTATGATCTCCCAAATTCAAAAAAGTGGGATACGATTCCTAACCTTCATCATAGGCATTTTACCTTAACCTGGTCATCGGAGCTGTCTTTGCTCCCGTCTACCTCTTCATTGTGCCCGGCGTCCAGCCGGATCCGTCTCGATCATATGTCCAGAAACTGGCTGCCATGGACTGGCTAGGTACACTACTCTTCGCAGCCATCTATGTAACATGGATTATGGCACTCACCTTTGGAGGTGTCTCCTGGGCCTGGGGCGACGGACGAACCATCGCATGCTTCGTCGTCTGCGGAGTCACGCTGATCACCTTCTGCGTGACACAGCGCTTCTCTACCCTTACCAGCAAAGACATGCGCATTTTCCCCGTGGAGCTGCTGAAGAACCGCACCACAGTCCTCCTGCACATCCTGACTGCGTCCTGTGGAGCCGCCATGTTCGTCCCACTGTATTACATTCCTCTCTTCTTCCAATTCAGAGGCGACGATGCGATCGAGTCGGCTGTTCGACTCCTGCCATTTGTCTTCCTTCTCGTCTTCTTCATGCTCCTCAACGGCGCAATGATGCCTAAATTCGGGTATTACATGCCTTGGTACCTGTTCAGCGGAGTCACCATCCTCATCGGTGGAGCTCTGATGTCAACTGTGAAATTGACAACCTCAACATCTGCGATTTACGGATACAGTGTCCTGATCGCGGTCGGAGCCGGAGCAACCTCGCAAGCTGGATATTCGATTGCCCCAGCGAAAGTTGAGGGCCGTCTTATCGCCGGCGCAATTGCCTTTATCAATATCGCCCAGATTGGTGCCATCGTCATTGCCCTGACCATTTCCGGAACTCTTTTCCAGAATCTTACCTATAATCGATTGGTTGGGCCTTTGAGTGCGGCTGGACTTGGATCTGAGGATATTCACGAGACGCTTTCTGGATCGATCAGTACTGTCTACAATAACTTGTCTGAGGAGCTGCAGAGTGTGGTGAATCATGCAATCGTTCATTCTATTGGTGACCTGTACTATTTGGTTGTGGCGGCCGGAGCGGTCATGATCGTGGCCTCTGCTTTCTTGAAGCGTGAGAAGATCCACATGACTCTGGAAGCTGGAGGTTAAGTTATTCACCAAGTCACTGTATACCGGTAGAAATTATTGTCTCTCTTAATGAGATGACGAGGTTTTTGGGAGAGGATTGCGCAAGATGTCCGTTGTGATTGGTTACGAATGTACATCAGAAGACTGAACATGCTAATTTTAATAAAATTGAGAATACAATGTATCATATACTCAGGTACTTTCTAACTGGTCTATTTTAATGATTTAAACTTACTTCTTACGCAGCTCATTTAAAAATAATGAAAGATTTGAACGTACTTCCAACCTTGGAACATTAAAACTAAAATCATATGGAATGGATTGATTATCGAGAACTTGAATTTAATTTAATTTAATTTAGTTCTTTTCTGATATCTAAATATGGATTATAGTAATAATAATACATAGTACGGAGTAGAGAGAGTCGACCATTCAAGGAACCAGAGCTCCCATATATTTGAGTAAAAAGCTCCCCAGGTATGGATTCTGCTCTGCTGGCCTAGTAGTCAGCGGCCTGCGACCCAACCGGGGACAAAGGTATTGAAATCGAGGTGGGTCGGGCCGCTTTTCGGTGGCAGAGATAATACTAGCGAGTGGGTGGGATTTCTGGCTACGGTCAGGGACATTTATTTTTTTGAATTTTGAATTTTTTTATCGATCATACTTTCAGCTTTTCTCTTTCTATTGCAACTCTCAAATCCTTAAAATAAAAATAATTGAGGGAGATGGAAAGGATTATGTGTTGAGGATGGATGTATCAAGTGAGAGATGTTGAGGCTATTCACGCATTTCTGATTTTGAAGGTCCTGGGTTCGATCCCTGTTCCTGGATTTCTTTTCCCCCTTTTATCTATTATTACTTGGGCAGTGTTGAAGGAATGCGCATGGCCGTGAATGTTTGAACCATTTGTGGCTATATGCTAGTACTACTTCCCTCTAGCTAATATTGAGGTGACTTGAATCCACAAAAACAACTGAGGATTGACGAGAGTATAAGTCAATGTCAAAGGCTGCATTCTCTATTTTTTACATAAACTCATTCACTGGTACTGAACCACGTTATCAACGCATAACAAATTATAACAGACTCTTTGGCTCCTTAGGGAGCAGGGAATATGATGTGCAAAACACGTCTTTGGGATCGTAAACCTTCTTGAGAGCGGTTAAGCGAGGCAGATTGGTGCCAAATATCTGCTCGGCAGGGAGCAGAAGACCTAGAAAATTTTCACATCAGAAAAACCTGTCACCTAACAACATTCTAGGGGAAAACCTACCGTCATAGTTCGAGTATACTCTTACTGCATCCAGGTCAACATCAGCACCCTCGTTCTTTGTACGCTCCAGCTCAACGTCAAACTTTGCTGCAGTCTTGGAAACCCACTGTCGCGCCAGCGCATCGTGCTCCTGAATGCTCCATTGAGCCACAACAAAGCAGACCTGATGAAGCTGACGACCAGCGAACGCCATCGAGTTAACAGGAACCGAACCCATCTTCTCCCTGTGCGTCATTTCCAACATGATCATACTTGGTGCAGCATCGGGTGAGATCTGCGAGCGCAGCTCCGCCAGGTCCTCACCCAAAGACTTGACGAAGTCCGCTCGCAGCGGCGTGGCAAAGGCGACTCCGTGATATTGCCGACGAATACCCCAGGGAACCTTTGGTGTCAGGATACCATTAGCCTCAGTATACGGTCTTTCGGTGGTGGTGTTGGCCACATGCTCCAGAGCAAGCAATGGTGCAAAGAGCGCCTCGGCGCCCTCTTTCCCACCAGGGTAAAACAGCGTGACGGTCAACATGTTTACTGGTGGGCCGGCCATAGCAATGTTCATAGCCGCCTTTGCGGTGTTCTGCTCTGGGAAGCTGTTCGCAAAGTCCACAACGGCCGGTAATGCATCGAGCTTCATGATCAACTGGCCAGCCCAGATCGGGTGTGCCAGGTCATATGCCTGGTAGGTGAATTCAACGGCCACACCAAAGCACTGACCTGCGCCTCGCACGGCCCAGAACAGATCGGCGTTTTCAGTTGTGGATACCGTGACGAGACGCCCATCTGCGAGGACGATCTTTGCGGAGAGCAGATTGTCTGCGACCAGACCATATTTTCCGGAAAGCCAGCCCACTCCACCGCCTAGCGTAAGGCCACCAATGCCGGTGTTGCCTACACGGCCGCCAACGGTAGCTAGACCGTGCTGGCCTAGCGGGGTATCGATATCTTCCCAACGGCAGCCACCTTCCGCGGTGATGGTCTTCTTCTCAACATCGACTGAGGTCTTGTTCATGGCTGTCAAGTCGATCAAGAGGCCTGGCGTCGCGGCAGACCCGTTTGTGCCGTGTCCACCACCGACTACTGCCACCTCCAATCCGATGGCCTGAGCAAAGAGAACACCAGTGGAGACATCTTTCGCATTCAAAGCTCTGAGTACAATGGCCTTGAATTTACTAAATCAGCACTACTTCTAAACGCGGGAGAATTCGTTGATAGGGACTTGCCGCTCGCTTCTCCGTGTTAGGAGCCCATCTGTGCATGGATTGGTCGTACCCTGCTGTGCCAGGCAGGAGAACGCTTGAGTCTTTGGCAGCGGCCTGGAGTGCCGAAGCCAATGTATTGACGTTGGTAGTGTCGCTCATTGTTAATGCAATAGTTCTGGTCTATCGAGGTTTGTGGAGAGGAATGTATATCTAATAGGTACTAATAATGTTCATTCCTAGCCTGTATCTGCGAGAGGACTATTTATTCTGTCACTACGGGGATAGCAATTAAGCGGAGAACGGACGAAAGCAAGCAGATTGGAACTTGAAGCTGCAAAAGTGGCGTGGTGGGCTTTTCCTTTCCTTTGCAACTGTACTCTACGCTCCAATCGGTCATCGACATCAGCCCCCGTTTTCGATCACCGAGGTGATATCGGTAGTTATGATTTTGAGCATGCCATGAAGAATGTGATTATGATAATTATTGTATCGGACTACATCCTCATTCCTGTGAGACACGTTGGAAGTGGGTCAACACTATACAGGTGGATCCGCGGGAAGATGGATCGGTAGTGAAGGAAACAGAAGGATCAATGCTGCGTGAGCAAATTCCAAGGTTTGCGAAGGCTGAATGCTAAGACTTCAGCTGAATTTGATTTTTTTTTATTCCTGATTCGTAATCCGTACCCCGTATAGCCTTTATGCCTGTCACCTGGGCATACTACTAGTAGTATTAGGCAGTCGAGATCTGGGGCTGTAGTACTTGAGATGCCGTAAACAACCGAGGCTTAGAGCTACATGCAAGAGAACGAACAATATAATCTTTTAGTCTTGGTTTCTCTTCCATTTTTGTTTGATCTCATCATGCAACTGCTACTATAATCTTATGCTTGATCGACGTGTCACGGTCCTACTGAAAACAGACTAGTGCTGCTGCAGTCATGGCGCCTCCTTTGACAATAGATAGGCTAAGTGACATTCAAACCACTAGTCTATATAAGGGATAGACTAGGGGCTAAAATAGATGAATTCTACTCCAAATTTTGTGCATTATTTATACAAGGTTAATCGGGTGAGATTAAGCGCACGCTATTATACGGAGTTACAGCGAGGGTCCACTGACAAGGGTGGCTTGAAGGATCAAACTCGGAGTTTTTTAGGACAAGCGGAGTCCTCAGGGGCCAATAAACCTTGGAAGACACCTACGTGTACGTATTCAAATGCATGTGTCAGCCTCTGTATGCACATGGCGGTGGCGAACCAAAAGCTTGGAATCTACCTGTATGCGAGTGAATCCTTCTTGGACCGTTTGCCGGGTTTTGGTTAGCCTCCGTTAGCCTCCGACCTGAAGATTACTATAGGTGGCTCCAGGGCTGCAGCCTGCAGGTCTTCACATTTTACCTACTAGTATGTATTTTCAAACTCTTGTATTGCTTTTTAGGTTTGTTACAAGTTACAAAGTTCAGTACCTAGGTAAACTATATGAAACCTCGCAGGTAATATTCATAGTAGTATTGCTACCATCCATCGGCTCTTCTATACTGCCAGCCGACACTCAATCAAGCTCATATGGCTGCGACACTCGTAAACACTCTCCACTACCAGGCCTGCTGCGTGGATAATCGCGCGGAAATCATCCATGGTTCGTTCCTTGCTGTTGAACAGCGACAGCATGACTAGGTCCCGCTCGTGGCTGTAGCGACTGTAGAGGCCATAGTCAGCCGGCAGAGGCTTTGGTGCGTCGGGGATTTCCTTGGTGCCCAAAGAATTGTTGATAACCATTTCGCCAATCAGTACGCGCGAATCGGCCGTCATGGCTGGTGTCAGCGATTTGAGGATTTGTATGCTTTCCGCATCGGGCCAGTCGTGGCTGATCAACAACATATCAGCTTATTATTTCATCATGTAAAAATACTCATGCAGGGGAAATGGTTGGAAACTTACAGAATTGTATGCAGGAAGTAAACTGCGGCTCCACTGACTGATTGGGTCTGGAAGAAGTCTCCTGGAGTCAGTTGGACTTGGCCATTCTGCAGATATGAGGGTAGCTCTTTAGTCCACAGAGCCACACCCTTCTCGATAACCTCTGGGCGATCCTGAATGATGAAATTCAATTCGGGATATGCCTTCGCAATGTTCATTGAGTGTGTACCTAGTCAAATTTAAGTCAGCTTGAAGGACTGGTATAGTGAAAGAAGTCTGGGAGCAGTATTATTACTTACCCACTCCACCACCAACGTCCACAACAGTTCCATTGCCAAGTGAATCCCAAGGGTAGTCGTAAATCATTGCCGTGCTACTGACTCGACCGATACCTGTCATGGCCTTCGCAAAGTAGTCGAGTTCTGGTCGTGGTCCCACAGTGCCATCATCCTGTTCGACTTTCGTGTTTAGCCAGTCCCAGAAAGACAGATCAGTCTCATGGCGAATGTTGAATGCTGTGTTTGTGTTGGTTGCAGTATATCCACTGCCAGATTGTCGAACAGCAGCCGGAAGACTCTCAGAAACCTTGTAATGACAGATCGAGCTAGAATAGGTTAGTCACCCAAAACCCAAAAACATGACCGTCGGGAGGAATTGAAAAGGATCCATACAAGACCATAAGGTACGAGCGCAGACTTTCGTTTCCAACCAAGCTTGCTGAAACGCGGTTGTTGGCGAAAGATCGGTCAGAGACCTCCCGGAAGATACCAATGGAAGTCAAGACTCGCAGAATGCGTACTACCACCGGTGTGACATTAGCAAATACAGCATCCATGGATTTTAGTTAAATATTGTTTGTCTTCTTGAAAACTTACAAAGCATGTCTGTGTCTACGTTTGCCTTTGTTGCCAACTCAGTCACAGCCAAACCTTGCTCGTCATGTGCAGCCAAAAGGTCCGCAATCCGGTGCTCTGCTGCGATATGCAGCGCACGCGATTCATAGAATTGGCACGAAGTCTCGATCAGTCGGATGGGCGGACTTGAAACCAGTTCTTGGATCTTGCCAACAGCGCCAAGGATGGTTTTGTGGGCATCATAGGATGCTTGAGTGGGCAGGAGGACACCATTGTCAAGAGTCTTGCCCTCGGCATCATCAGATTTCCACTCTGCGATGAGAGCTTCAACTGAAGAGTTGAGGATCTGAGCTGCTGCGCTCAGGTCTGTGATCTGGTTCTGCAGTTTTGAATTCAACATATTGGCTTGACTTGACTCTCTTTTTTGGCAAAGACAGAAGGGTTTACCGAGACAAAAATAGGCACGTCTCTAGGGATGGTTTGGAGGCCGACGTAGGCATTATTAGGCGTTCTAGTCTTTGATTTTCTTAGTTCCTTACGTGGAGGGCCTAGGATTCGAGGGATTGTTGGACATGGGCGTAAGTGGAATACTCGATTGTCGATGGATTGATCGGTCACCGAACAAGATCTATACCATAATTGCTGATCGGCTACCGAACTCCATGGGTGATGTATGGCCTTGTTTTCGAATCTATACAAATAAAAACATGCAGAAAGATCTCTACAAACCCACAAATCTCTCAACTGCTCTCTTTCTCTCTCAAAGGACAATTCTTTGACCATTACAATGGCTTCTACCGGCACTGAAATCTCATTTTCTGGTAAGCACATATCCATTTTGCATGAAACAGATAAAAAAAACATCAAATTAATTTCAGCCATAGATTATCTCGCATGCAGCGAGCTCACCTTTGAATGGGCAGACAGCTACGATACCAAAAACTGGAGCCGTCTAGCAAATATTTTGGCGCCAACAGTCAAGGTAAGAAATGTCTCACTGCTGCATGAGACGACAACCTTGGGAAAGTGCTGACCGGCCGAAAGATCCACTATGCAGCCGTGAATGATTTCAAGGACGACCAGTTACCCGCGGCGGATTTTGTGAAAATGATGTCCGCACCCGAATTTCTTGGAGACCCATTGATCCACACTCAGCACTTGATGGGGGCGTCTAAGTATCGGCAAATCGCACCAGATCTCATTGAGGGTTATCACCAGATCCGTGCGGCCCACCAGCGATACACCGGACTTGGACTAGAGGAGATCGAGGCCAAGGGCCATGGTCATGCAGTCATCACGCTGACTTACAAGAAGGTCGATGGCGAATGGAAATGGGGAGGTATTACAACTGATATCAGATGGAATGAGTATGAGTTTGAGAAGATTTTCAAGTTTGATTTGTAAACAGCGGAATTTTCCATGATCCGGACTCCGGAGTTCATGATCACCTTGCTAGCCCTGGAGAGCATAGTGATTTTATCTAATGTTGAATTCTACTAGTCTATGCTATTACTACCTAGTATCCAGTTCTTATCAAATGATTGACAATCACCGAGGTTAATTTCAATATTTCTAATTTTATTTTATTTTATTTTATTTTAATTTATTTTAATTTTTTAATTTTTAATTTTTTTTTTTAGAGTTAAGCACTGCCTTACATATCCGAGGGATGTACTTTTGTCCGTATTCGTATTGTAAAATAGCACTCACAGAGTCTCACAGTTGCCCAGGTGGGCATATTTGGCCCCCAACGGGTAATTTTTCCAGAGTACTCCGTATTGGCACATACATTATGCAACCTTGCAGCCTTAGAAGGCCTAGTTAAAAGTATCTCTCACACTAAATCTCATCACACACCATTTTGGGCCACCAGCATTCATGCATATAGCTTTCTTACTCGCTTTCTTACTACCTCAATGGCTTTCTTCTGAACTTTGTTGATTTCCGCTCTAGTTCCGTTCCACTCTTCAACTTGAAGTTCGCACGGTTATCCTATCCAGTACTAGTATAGACATTGTGTAATATACTACCTAGGTAGGAATATCAGTTTATTAATATCAGTTTACTAATCCTCCGTCGGCGCCGGGAGTCTAGATGATTTTATTGGATCTATCCAACAATATGAAGACAGCATCCACACTTTGAGAGTCTGTAAGAGTCCAGATTGCGTCAACTGCCAAGTTATACGGAGGAGTCCGGAGATGCCCTAAATATTCCATGTTTCACATGAGCAGCTAAGCGACTCTGACTCGGAGAAATTGTATCCATAAATTTAGAATGGATCTCTTAGACTGTGATCACTAAGGTTCCTTCGTTACGCTAATAAACGCTAGTCATTCCAAGGTTGTTATTCTGTACACTTCCCGGGATCGGGTTGGTCCCCGGGCCGTTGTGGATATTAGGCATAGCCACCGGGGGCCGGGGCCACCCGTGGGTCCCTCTGGGTCCTTCCAACTGTAGTCCGCCACCAAGCGGAACTTGAAGCATAATTACCCGGATATCACTTAAATTCACTTTATTTATTCTTTTCGGGTCAGATCCATCATAAAACGTCTAAAACGTGCTAATGCTGCATTAAAATGGGGCAAGCTGTGCGATAACCAATAACCCTTCTATCAGTGCTATTAGGCGACCCCATATGCCATAGTTGATTGGTTTCCACTTATACGAAGTTGGAGATAATGTAAACCACTCAGGATTTACAGCCTTAGGTTTCGAATGAATACTCCGAGTCATTCTCGCAAGCTGTGAGGTTGGAAGAAGACGCCATGGGGGCCAGAGGCAAAGGCGGCGGGCCCTATGGATGGCTGATTGAGGAGACGATGGAGACGGGTGTGGATTATATAAGGAAGAGTAAGTGAGATGCCCAGTGATCTCTTGGAGACCATCTGAGCAGGATCGTGGTTCAACAAGTTCAACCTTGTCTTGAAAAAGCGTCACATCCACAGTACCTCCCAAAAGTCCCGTTGCCATCTACCTCGGGAGTCTACAATGGCCTCAACATCTCGACAACGCAAGCCCCGAGCTTCTTGTGACTCCTGCAACGAAGCAAGGGTACGTTGCTCTCAGGCGCGCCCCACCTGCGAACGCTGCGTGAAGAACAAAATAAACTGCGTCTATGGCATTTCTCAACGGGCGGGCAGAAACCGTGCATCGACCCATCGATCCGCAGACGATCAAACCACGCTTGCAGGGGGACATCGTCGACCATCAACTAGCGACCCCGTTTTGTTGCTCCAGCATCCCGGACACGCACAGATCCCTGACGAATTTCCGATAAATTCCATACCCCTGCTCGACGACCTAACTATGGGCCTCAAACCCCACGAGTTCCCGAACTCTAATCATTTCCCAGAAATGTTTACTGAGATGTTCACCGACTCCTCTCCTTTATCAAGCAACTGGAATCAAAGTGATATGAGCTCTACGGTTAGCCTAGGCAATTGTGCCGCAGATACAGCAACATGCACCTGTGTTTCCAGCATCTTCTCTTTCTTTTCCACACACCCCATTCTCACAGGAACCAATCCCGCCCCCATCGACGCATGTCTCGAGCAGGGACGAGAGTCAATCAATCTTTGCGAACGTGTGTTAAACTGCATTGGCTTTTCCCAACACCACTACAGCTCTCTGGTCACTGTCGCTCTATTCATTGACCGCGTTGTTGCTATCTATGATAGAGCAAAACAACATTACCAACAAACTCTCTTTGTGATGCCATACCATACCGAATCTTCCACCAGAAGCTCAAGCTCTCTTTCACTTGCCAATAGTATGTCGACGGCGCATACTGATATCTCCAGAGAGGATATTTTTGCTCATCTCGATGGATCGATCCGTCAGTCCGCGTACATTGGGGAATACCAATTAGACAAAGACGATTATGTGAAATTGACTTTTGAAATCGTGTTCGGTCATCTGGCCAGGGTCGAGAAGTTGCTCCGGATCTTTAAAAACGGCACATCGAGGGACGATCACTTGGTATCAACTACAACGGGAGGGATTGCCCTTGTCCAGCCGACATCTGATCATGAGTTAGAGTATGACCACCAAACACTCGTGTGTGTAAAACTGGCAGAATTGATCGAGCAGCAGTTGAATATCACACGTAATGGGTGGGAGTCAACTTGCAAGGAATGGGAACTTTACCAGATGAACGGTAGATAGACTATACAATTTGCAATGTAAATAGATTACTAATAGATGAGAGGCGTTTTCCTGTCATGATTGGTGGATTGAGATACTATTTCAATGCTTTCATTGATTACAGACTTAGAGCCCTTCCCCCTTATTTAGAAAAAAAGTATTTAACACCCATTATTGGCACTTTGATTGACACTCTCCCAGGTCAGTATCTTTATCATCCAACTTTGTGAGATATTGATGTATCTTATTCTAGAAAAGAAATGCGTTCGACAGCGTGATAGGTCATGTATCATTCTCTAATTCTTAAATAATAGGTAATATGCATGTTTATGTCAAGTTCTCTTTATGGCTGACCTCTTTCCTAAAGAAGGGGAGGAAAAAACAGAAACTCGAAGCCCAACTACCAATGCTTATCGGCCAGCTCCTCCGGAGATAGTGATTGTTTGACCTGCAATGTCCAAGTAAGCTATCATCCCAAACAATCTCACGACTTCTACCGAACTCACCATTGATCCAGCCACCATCATCAGAGGACAAGAAGGCCACAACCTTGGCGACATCTGTTGGCAAACCGAATCGGCCAAGAGGACACATCTTACCCAGGGCCTCCTTTGCCTCCGCATATGGTGTATCCTGAGTAGCACCAGGAACATAACGCCAGGCATTCTCAACCGCCATATCAGAATCAATACCGCCAGGCGCAATAGCATTCACACGAACACGCTTAGGGGCAAAGTCACTGGGAAGCGAGCGCACAAAGGCCTCAATGGAAGCCTTACTAGCAGAGTAAAGCGCATGATCCGCGAGACCACGCAGGTTGGCAGCGATGGAGGACATAAGGACAATGCTTCCACCAGGGGAGATGTACTGGTAACCCTGCTGGGCGACGAAGAACTGGCCACGGGTGTTGACGCTGAAGACTTGGTCGAACTGCTCGGGGGTGGTCTTCTCAATTGTCTCGAAGTGCTCAACACCAGAGTTGGAGACAACGATGTCAATCTTGCCGAATGCGGCGTGGCCCTCACGGAAGAGCTTTTGGATGGACTCGTATGAGGAGACGTCAGCCCGGATGGCGACGGAGTTGCGGCCCAACTGCTTGATGGTCTTGACTACTTCTTGGGCCTTGGTTTCATTGGAGAAGTAGTTGATGATGATATCAGCACCGCGGACGGCAAGGCCGAGAGCGATCTCACGGCCAATGCCGCGAGATGAGCCGGTCACGAGGGCGACCTTGCCCTCAAGGGTAAGAGCTGTGGGTGTGGAGATGGAGCCCATTTTTAAAGATACAGATGTCTGACTTGAGATTTTTGTTTTGCTTGTTCGGATTCCGAGATGCTGGCTCTTGTTGAGATAATAAAATATTTACTTCACCTGGAGTAAGGCATCCTTTTTGTGCTTGGACCATAGCTTGCAGGAACCACTCAAGCCCGAACGATAGTACCCACTCTTTCACAAAATTAAACATTCGATGATCGACTTCAGGCGCTCATCGAACTTCCGACGCCACGTTTCTTAGCTCCAAATGATAACGCGTTCGGTCACCGAATCCTTCCAAGTTCAAAAACCGTTTTTTCTGTTAGCGCAGATTTAGGCGCACGTTCAGGCCTACCAGTGTAACAACGTTATTCTAAGAAGTAAGCTTGAACAAGGCAGATTAGATTAATTAGTAAGAATGAAGTTAGATAGTAGTTTAGTATATTATTGTATGATTTATCGTGAGGGAGCTCCCTTGCATTGGTATATCCAAAAACCTCAAGACTCAACATCGAAACTTGGAGCCCGGGATTCAACATTTTCCGGCCAAGATGTCGATTTCAAGTATAATTTTCTTTGATAATAAAGCGGACGAGCGATTATCAGTCCTAAGGAGACTGGTTCACAGCCATGATAGCCCTCTCTTGGAAGATTTCATGCGCCAGTCTGCTTTCCTATTAAGGGAGGAAGTGTCTCGACAACCCCAGCACATCGGAGACCAGATTCCACAGTTTGCAGATATCGTGGAACTTATTGAGCGATCTCATGATCGGAATATTCCTATCCTCGAGTATGCGCTTCTCTGCATATATCAGATCGGTAGTCTTCTGTAAGTATAAGGAATAAAGAATACGGAATAAAACACACAGAGCTAACTTCAATCACTCTGCTCTATCAGCCATTCCAAAGACACATCCTTGGTATCGTCAAACTCAAAAGCCGCTCAAGTTGTAGGCTTTGAGGCTGGCCTCCTCGCCGCAACAGCTTTAGCCGTGTCTGCAGATGTCACAGAACTATCGAAAATCGGACCGCTGGTGGTTGTTCTGGCCCTCAGGCTCGGAATCTACATCTCGCGCATTGCAGAGCTTCAGAGCCTGGGAACTGATGACTCAACCAGCGGTTATGGTTTGATGACCCTTGAGGGGATTCTAGAAGCCGATGTAGAAGCCATTCTCACACAGAAAGATTTACAACAGGTACGATCCAACGTTTATACTCGAGACCAAACCTCAGATTAAGGCTAACAATGAATTTTCTTCTTTTACAGTTAACACCCGGTTCTCGCCCTTACACTAAAGAGTCATACAGCGACTCCATCGTGGTCACTGGACCATTCGGAGTTTTGTTGGAGCTGGCTAAGCGTCCTGCATTGGAGCAATATGTGAGGCTTATCACACCTACCGCGGGATGCTTAAATGCTCCCCATCTCTACAGCATGGAAGATGCTGAGGACGTCTTTCGTGGCTGGTGCGGTGAGAAGGCTTTCAGAGAAATGAATCAGCAGAAGTCTATTCTGAGTCCGCACCGAATAACAACGTCGAGCAAAAATGGCTACGAGCTGCTTGTGGAGCAGGTACGGGACGTCCTTGAAAGTAAGGTTGTCTTTCCAACTCTCTGTGGGACAATTTCGAGTTCTGTTCCTGCTGAGGGATCAGACCGCAAGCTTTTCGCATTCGGAGACAAGCCTGCGCTTCGTGAGTTGCTTGCAGCTCTTGGACTACAAGACTACAGTGATATACTCCCCAAGCCGGAGGCAACTGATGCAAAGACGTCCGGAAGAAGTAACAAAATTGCCATCGTTGGCTATTCTGGACGATTTCCTGGAGCGGCGGACGCGGAGCTTCTGTGGGAGTTGCTCAGAGACGGGCGTGATGTCCACCGCGAGGTACCGAAAGAACGCTTTGACATCGATACTCACTATGATCCATCTGCAAAGAGGAAAAACACAACCCAGACAAGATTTGGTGGATTTGTTGAGAATCCAGGGCTATTCGACCCACGATTTTTCAACGTTTCTCCCAGAGAAGCGTTCCAGATGGACCCTGTCCAGAGGCTTTCTTTGATCACGGCTTACGAGGCTCTTGAGATGGCTGGATGCGTTGCAGGACGGACACCATCATCACAGAGAAACAGAATTGGAACTTTCTACGGTCAAGCTGGTGACGACTGGAGAGAAGTGAATTCAGGCCAAGACGTGGATACCTACTTTATCCCCGGTGGCATCCGTGCTTTTACCCCTGGTCGTGTCAACTACCACTTCAAGTTTTCTGGACCTAGCTATAGCGTGGATACTGCATGCAGCTCTAGTCTTGCGGCAATTCAGCTTGCATGCACATCGCTCGGCAAAGGAGAGTGCGATACTGCTATCACTGGTGGCGTGAATATCCTGACTAACCCTGACATCTTTGCTGGACTTAGCCGCGGCTATTTCCTGTCTCAAACTGGACAATGCAAGACATTTGACAACGAGGCAGATGGTTATTGTCGTGCTGATGGTGTTTCAAGCATTATCCTCAAGCGATTGGAGGATGCTGAAGCTGACAATGACAATATCCTCGCCGTGATCTTGGGCTCAAAGACAAACCATTCAGCCGAGGCAGCCTCAATCACAAGACCCCATCATGGCGCTCAAGCGTTCCTCTGTCGCAGTATTATGGAGGAAGCTGGAGTCAACCCGCACGAGGTTGAGTATGTTGAGATGCATGGTACTGGAACGCAAGCCGGTGACTACAACGAGATGCTCTCTGTCAGCGAGGTCTTTGCGTCAGAGCACACGGAGACACGCTCCTCTCCATTGTACGTCGGAGCCATCAAAGCAAACATTGGTCATGGAGAAGCTGCCTCTGGTGTCATGTCTTTGATCAAGGTTCTGAAGATGCTGGAGCACAATGCGATCCCTCCGAATGTCGGCATCAAAAGTGGCATCATCAATGAGAAATTCCCCAAGAACCTCACAGAAAGGAACCTCCATATTCCCATGGAGCTGACTCGCTGGTCTCCTCATGCCGACTACTCACCTCGTCTGGTATTCTTGAACAACTTTTCTGCGGCCGGTGGCAATACTGTACAAGCTCCCTTCGTCCCTCTACACACTTTTGACACTAACCAAAAATCACTTGCTAGGCGATACTTATTCAAGAAGGCCCATTCAAATTGCCTTCATCAGAGGCTGATCCTAGATCCCGCCTGGTGATCTCCGTCTCCGCACGATCATTGAGCGCACTGAAGAACAACATTAAAAATCTCGCGGCCTACTTAGCTAGAAACCCTTCAGCCTCTCTAGCAGATCTGTCATACACGACCATGGCCCGGCGGATAATGTACAATTACCGATTCTCCTGCGCAGTAACAGACATATCAGCAGCCCAGAAAGCACTAGCAGCTGCATCTGAACAAGACTATCGTCCCATCCAGACTCAGAAAGTGGCCTTTGCATTCACAGGCCAGGGCGCTGTATACTCCTCTCTCGCACGGTCTCTATTTGAAACATCATCCCAGTTCCGTTCCACCATTTTGATCTGCGAGAAGCTAGCCAAGACACAGGGCTTTGTCTCCTTTGTTCCTGTGATTGACGGCTCAATTTCCGATCTTGACACAGTCCAGCCTCTTATTGTGCACCTTGCTACAGTCTGCGTGCAGATGGCTCTAGTTGATCTCTGGGCTTCGTGGGGAATCAAGCCATCTGCAGTGGTTGGTCACAGTATTGGCGAATACGCTGCCCTATATGCTGCAGGTGTTCTCTCGGCGAGTGAAGTAATTCACCTTGTGGGAAGTCGAGCAGAGCTTATGGAAAAGCTTTGCTTAACAGGAAGCCATGGAATGCTAGTTGCTAAGAGTTCTCAATCGCAGTTGGCTCAGTACATCACTGGCACTGATCTTGATATCACATGCGAGAACAGCCCAGAAGAAATCGTCGTCGGTGGACCGCAAAATTCTATTGATGACCTGGCAGAGAAATTGGCCACACAAGGAATCCAGAACAAGAAGCTTGCAGTTGCATATGCGTTCCACTCCTCCCAAATGGATCCAATCCTGCCCGACTTTGAGTTTGTGGTTAGCTCAGTTACACTGTCCACGCCGAAGATTCCGATCATTTCCTCTCTTCTGGGGCGAGTATTGGAGCCAACTAGCGGCGAACTCAGCCATCAATATTTTGCACGCCATACTAGAGAAGCGGTTCTTTTCTCTGCTGCAGTCGCCGATGCGAAAGACAAAAGTATCATTGATGATGAGACTGTTTGGATAGAGGTTGGCAGCCACCCCATCTGTAATGGGATGCTTAAATCTATCCTGGGCTCAGAGACAGTCGGTCTTGCCTCCTTGCGCAGATCTGAAGACCCGTGGACTACGCTCTCATCCAGTCTTTCAACTCTGTACAACCGCGGGTTCTCGATCAACTGGAGTGAATACCACCGAGATTTCGAGCACGCACACAGGCTTCTCAATCTTCCTTCATACGCCTTTGATCTGAAAAAGTCAGTTTCCACCATTTTCTTTTTAATTTTCTGCATTTTTACTAATGAGTGCTAAATTTCTGTAGCTATTGGACTCAATACCAGAACGACTGGTGTCTCTCAAAGGGAGACACAGCAGTATCTGCAATTAAGAAAGAGGAACTGCCTTCGGCTCCTTCGGCCAAGCGAGGACTTTCTCTTACTGTCCAGGAGATATTGGAGGAGAAGATCGAAGATGGCATTATCACCTTCCTGGCGCAGTCGGATGTCTCTCACCCCAAGCTGAGAGCCCTCATTTTCGGCCATCTCGTGAATGGAGCCGGATTATGCCCTTCTGTACGTTTCTTTTGCTTTCCCTTTTTCTTTTACCAGAAGTGACCTACTGGTTCTAACGTTTCATAGACTGTCTACGCAGAGATGGCTTTGACGATTGGAGACTACCTGCACAAGAAGGGCTTCGATGGAGCCGCCCCGACCGGGATGAACGTTTGCTCCATGGAGGTCGGAAAGCCTTTGGTCCTGAGTCCAGACACAAGCAAGGCACAACTTGTCAGGATTGCAGCTACACTTAGCGAAGGCTCCGTCAGGTTCCAGTTTTTCGGCGTCGATGAGACTGGCAAGACAACAGTCGAGTATGGTGTGTGCCAGGTCAAATACGGCGATCCAGAAAAGTGGCTCCGAAAGTGGAACAAGCACGCTTATTTAGTCCATGAGCAAATTAAGAAGCTTGAGACAGCAGTTGGCAATGCAAACACCCACCGAGTCGGTCGGGGAATGGCCTACAAGCTCTTTTCGGCATTGGTTGAATACGACGAGACCTTCCGTGGCATGGATGAAGTGGTGCTTGACGCAACCGCATTTGAAGCGACTGCAAAGGTGAACTTCAAAACTGGGGAGAGAGATCCTGATTATTACATGAATCCTCGATGGATGGATAACTTGTGCCATATTTCTGGGTTCATTGTCAATGCAAGCGAAGCAACTGAATCTGGTGAGCAAGTGTACATCTCTCACGGTTGGGAGTCGCTCCGTCTCGGGGCCACGATCTCCCATGATAAGACATATCGATGCTATGCACGAATGGCGCTCGTGGAGGGTAGCGCTGTTAGGCAGGGTGACGTCTATATTCTTGATGGGGACACAGTTGTTGGTGTGGCTGGTGGCGTCAAGTTCCAGTGTGTGCCACGCAGGCTCCTTAATCACCTGCTACCTCCAGTGAGCAAGGCATCAAAAGCAACAGCTCCGCCTACAGCGGCTAAGGGCACTGTATCTTCTTTGAAGCCTACTTCACGGTCAGCAGCGCCCGCTCTAGTAACTCAGGCCCAGGTGAAGCCAGTCACAGCCGCCGTGACTTTTGAAAAGCCTGCGAGCGCGAGGGTTCTCGATATTGTGCTCAATGAATGCAGCATCGAGCTGGAGGAGCTAGACGATAGCTCCGCGTTTGAGAGCCTTGGATTAGACTCTTTGCTTTCGCTGGCAATTCTTGCAAAGCTTAGAGAGGATCTTGGTCTTGACCTCCCGTCTTCCTTCTTCATTGACAATCCAACATTTGGTCATTTGAAGAGATTCCTGGCTCTGTCATATGCTGATGAGCAGGTTTCGACGGGTGTATTAGATTCCGGGTACAACAGTAGCCCATCTGGCACAGCTTCACCTTCGCAAGAATCTTCTTCGAGCTATGACAGCGCAATGGACATTCCCAGGGATAATAGTCTCTATGCCACCATCAGGACCCTCATTACTGAGGAGTTGGGAGTGGGTCTGGAGGAAATCGCAGACAATTCGGATCTTGCTAGCATGGGTATGGACTCATTGATGTCACTCTCAGTGACTGCTGGTATCCGGGAACAAACAGGGCTATACGTTCCGGACGATATTTTGATTCAATGCACAACTGTCGCTCAACTGGAAGAAGCGCTTCGTCTCGCTCAGCCTCCTAAGGCTACTACAAAGCAAGTCACGAAGCCTCTAGTATCTCAAACAGCACCCGTGAGCATCTCTCCAAAGACCCCCCCCGAAGACCACCCCAAAGGCGCTATCGTTCCTCATTCAAGGGAGTCCCCGAAACGCTCGCGAGACTGTCTTCTTCTTTCCTGACGGGTCTGGCTCAGCCACCTCTTACGCACCTATCCCAGCCATCGGTGAAGATGTCTGCGTTTACGCGCTGAACTGTCCCTACATGAAGATCCCCGAGGAATTCCAATGTGGAATTGATGGAGTAGCAACCATCTATATCGAGGAAATGAAGCGTCGGCAGCCAAAGGGTCCGTATAACATCGGCGGCTGGTCCGCTGGTGGAGTCATGGCTTATGAGGCCGCCCTTCAACTCCAGGCAAAGGGGGATACCGTTTCCAGGCTCATCTTAATCGACGCCCCTTGCCCCGTGAAGCTTGAACCCGTGCCTTCTAAACTCTTCCGCTTCTTCGATTCCATGGGCGTGCTTGGTGACCGGAGCAATAAGAAATCACCACCCTATCTCATCCCTCACTTCGAGGCAATGATCCGGAACCTGGATACATACATCGCGCGCCCTTTCCCGCGTGGAACTGAGCCGAAGGTTCTTGCCATTTGGGCTCGTGAAGGCGTATGCAAGGACGCCAATAGTCCGCGACCAAAGCGAGAGCCTACTGACCCCAAGGTCATGGACTGGTTGTTGGATAATCGTACTGACTTTGGGCCAAATGGCTGGGATCAGCTCATAGCCAAGGAGAGTTTTACCTGTGTTTCCATGGAAGGGAACCATTTCTCCATGATTGTGAACCCATTGGTAAGTGGTCTGCTCCTATTTGTATCCCCTTATTCTCAACTGACAATCTTGCAGGTGAAGGAACTTGGAGGGGCCATTCGGGATAATTTCTAGAATAGAGGTAGATTGAAGATATTGAAGGAGGGATTTCAGACTATACGCCATATAGACTGTCAGTGATATTTTGTTTAATTTTTTATGTATGGAGTAAAATGGAAAGCACTTGAGACTAGTAAATTGTGAATTAACTGAATGTAGTTGGTTTTGCCTTTTCGGGTTTAGCTTCATGCATTTAATTTATGAACTTCCAAGTTGTTGCCTACTCCATACACTACTTATCACTACCATACTTTTCAATCTTCCTTTCCCCATATCAAATATTCAGAGGGGCTTTTCACAACTATGGATCAGTTACCACTTGAAATAAAGTATATCATTGCGAAATATGTGAGTCTCCCTACTTGACATAACAATCTTACAGCTCTAATTGAATAGACAGGTAGGCGAACTTGAGGACAGGTCTAAGGAAAGCCTCCGAACACTGTCACTAGTAAATCGACACTGGAATAGAATCAGTATACCTTTTTTGTACGAACATCTCATCGTTCGCCTAAGAGAAGAAGCCAACGACACATGCCAGTGGCTTGCTCTACCATATGCCCGAACTATCCTCAAACACGTGAAACGACTGAGTATTGTGGTGGAAAACCGTGTTTCACCACGTATATATCGCGAAGAAATTCGTGCCAGAGTTTCCAGGAGAATTCGTCAATCATTCAAATGCCTTCCTCCGAGTCGTGATCACGGAGAAGAATTAGGGAATACGTTCATCCCCGTTGTTGGTGACTACGAATACTCCGGTAGAGATTGGACTCCCGTTCTCAATATGATTCGACAAATACCTTTATTGCGCAATGTCGATCTTTTTGTTCGAAAGGGGGGCCCGGTCGAGCTCTGTGAGACTATTTCGCAATATCATCCCACTTGTCGAGTTTCCATCTTCACCACTTGGCCTTCCGAGGGTAAATTTACCCCAGAATCGATCATTCAGAGGGCCTGGCTTCTCTCATCAATGCTATATGCCGTGCATGTTACCTGTCCCGAATTCCCGCATTCCAGAAATTTTATTGAACATCCCGATAGGGTCCTGCAGAGCATGATACTACTTGCGCCTCATATCAAGGAGCTTGCACTACAAAGGAGTCGGAATGGTTATAAACTTTCAGCTTGGCGCTTTAGCGAAGTAGTCAAGGTGGAGGGAACCACCAGTGAAAAGCCACCTGCCAAGCTTAAAACACTATCCTGGCCTCTTGATAGCGAAATTACAGCGGGGCAGTTCGAGGACTGGCAAATAATTACTGATTTTAGTCTACTAGAATCATGGACAGTCGGCTGTATTGGAGACTCGGCGCTGCTTCAGACTATCGTGGATATTCATCCTTTTCAGCGCTTAACAAGGCTCACACTTGCCTTATTTCCACCTCTTGGGGACCACGACAGCTTAGAATTCTGGCAGGCTGCAGATTCAATGTTCCAATCTCTGCCCTCAATAACATATCTTGCTCTCTTTGGCAAGTTTTTATCGACTTTTTTAGCCAATTCGGTTCTTCCTCGCCATGGATCAACTCTGCACGAGCTGAAATTACATGGGTATACCCAACGGGGTGACCAAGAACTTCAAAGGCTCCAAACAAGAGGACAAATTGGGCCTATATTCTCGACCCATGATATTCTGCAGCTAGCAGACAGGTGTTCATCTCTGCAGAAGCTTCTTATATGTGTACAACGATACCGGGGCCTCGAGACCGATATGTGGACTGCTCTAGGCCGATTTCCTCGACTGAAGGAACTCAATCTGCTGCTGAACTGTTTACCTCAAACGGATGCCAACAGGATGCCGATCCCACCCCGTGACTTGTCGGATTTTGAAATGAGCACATTGACTTTTCGTCCGATTGATAATATTGAATGTCGCAGATGGTTTATTCGGGATTGCATGATAAATTGCGCAATTGGCGAGAGTCTAGCGAAGGAATTCTTCACACGCATCCACGCATGTCAGCATGAAAAAAGCCTGATGAAGTTGGTTATTCACCCTCTAATTGGTCAATCAAACCAGTACTCTTGTTTCTCTCCAGGAGCAACACGTGCATTCATTGGTACTTACTTCTTCAATGAATTGGCGTTTATCTGGAAGGTTGAACGAGACTTTATGTCCGTGCTGCATGCGGAGTCCGAAAAGATCCCCACTAGCTCAATCTCTAAAGATCCATTCCCAGATGAGAAATTGGAAATCTTACAATCAATTTGAAACCAGGATCGGATACCAAGACTTCGACCTGGACATTACCATGTTGGAATGTCAGAGATGATTTGTTAATTGACAAACTAACTTCCAGCCTTGTCGCTGTTTGACTCTCAGCCTTGTGGGGCCCAGAATGCCAAGGAGGGATTTTGTGATAATCACCAAGTTTACTTAATGTAGTATAACATTCGAATGTGGATTTCATCATTCGAGAATAACGCGGCGCTTTTTGATCAGGTGAAACAGACTGTGCCCTCTGTGCCTAGTTCGAAAGAATGGATGAGTGCACTTAGAGCGCTGCAGCAAGATAGGAGCGGACAGCTTCACTGGCAACCGGTTACGCTGTTGGCTAGAAAGAGTGGCTAATACTATCTGTTGTCATGTTAAGGATTAGAAAGGCTAAGTGAATGGAGTCTAGCTCAGTGAGTTGCATATGTGGTTGACGGACTACAGCCGGCGTTATAGAATTTGAACATTTGAAGGTGCTCAGACCAATGAGGAAAATCAAACATTGAACCTTGGAAAGTGGTGGGTCTTGCCGGAAACCCCCAAATAGGTATAGCGTGTCTAAATTTGGAAATCGGAAATTATTCACGTGATCGAATTTACGCACAGGTAGCTCCACATTGGGAACATCAAGTCACGAGGAATCTTTAAATCGTAAGTTTTTCCGGTGTGTCGGGACTTCCCAATTCAGTATAGTGTACTGTTCTACTCCCGCCGCTTTAACACCATTGGTCGGGATTGAAATATATATCTTTACATCTCAGTGCTACTACATAGTATTCTAGGGTTACCTCCAGGGCTAGTAGCTACCACTGGCAGCACTTGCACATGTGAGTACCACATACCACTACTAATAATATATACTACACATGTGCACTAGCAGATTCTCAGATTCAATGCTCTAATTGTAAAGTGCTAACAAGTTGAATGCCAACTAAAAATACGCCCCAGTCTTTGTGTATAAAGTCTCAAAGTGAATTTACAGCTTGGCCCTGGGTCCCTTCAACTCATCCTTGAACCTCAGTTTTAGCATGCGACGGAGGATTTTTCCACTGGGATTCTTGGGAATTTCATCCACAAATCGTACACCTCCACGCAGACGTTTATGATGAGCGACCTTACAATCCAGCCACTGGATAATTTTGGCGGCCTCATCCTTCTCGTTCGAGCCAGAAGATTTGCTCTTCGCACTGCGAACAACACAAGCCATCGGTACCTCTGACCCGTGAGACTCACTTTCAATACCGATCACGGCCACATCATCAATAGCATCGTTATCAACCAGTAGGCCTTCCAGCTCGGCAGGAGGTACTTGGAAGCCCTTATACTTGATGAGTTCCTTCACACGATCTGTAATGAAGAAATTGCCCTTGGAGTCTTGGTACCCCACATCTCCAGTTCGGAACCAACCATCAGTAGACAGGCACTCCCTGGTAGCATCTGGGTTCTGGTGGTAACCCAGGAATACATTGGGACCACGGAGATAAAGCTCGCCAACCTCTCCGGTGGTAACTTCCTTCGACTCCGAGCCATCTTCAGGCATGGTCATATACTTTGCCTCCATGTTAGGCATCAGACGACCAACGGACCCAATGTGTTCACGCCAGTCCTCCCATCGCTGGGAGTGAGTGGTAGGACTGGTTTCGCTGAGACCATACCCTTGCTTGATACCCACTTTGATGCGCGAATATACACTCTCAACCAGCTCCTGAGTAAGTGGCGCCGCGCCAGAATTCATCATGCGCAAACTCGAAAGATCGTACTTATCGATCGCTGGGTGCTTTCCCAATAGTAACACAACTGGAGGTACAATATAACTGAATGTGACGCGGTACTCTTGAATATGCGCGCACCAGTTCTCAATATCGAACTTTGCCATGACAATCAGGTGATAACCCTTGTATAAGGCTTGAGTAATGAGACAGGTCAATCCTAAGGGGAAAAGTTAGTGAAATTCCAAGCACTGAAATAAAGGAAGTCAATCATACCATAGATGTGATAAAATGGTAAAAATGCCAAAATCCGATCCCCCTTCCCGTCAGGACCGCCATTCCACGACAGATTCCCTCCTTCCCCAAGGGCCTGCTGCAGTACATTGGCAATGATATTCCGATGCGATAGCATGACACCCTTAGGCACACCGGTAGTTCCGGAGGAGTAAACCAAAAACGCCAAGTCCGAGTCCGGTGTAACCTTCTGTTGACGATACCGGGTTGCCCGAGAGATATTCAACACGGAAGTGAAATGCTTGAACCGGGCCTGTGGATCGCGCTGGTCGCCCACCAGAATGATATGGTCATCAGGGATACCAGCTTTCTTAGCGGCTTCCTTAGCGACAGAAAGAACAGAGGGTTGAGTTGCAAGAAGCTTTGCTCCGGAGTTCTTCAGCTGGAAGGCTAGCTCGTCTGCAGTGTAGGCCGGATTCGCGGGGGAGACAATACCGCCCGCCCACAGTGTTCCCCACATCAGCACTGGGGTATCGATGGTGTTAGGGGTGAAGAGGGCGAGCACATCGCCCTTTTTCCAGTCATATATGGCCTTCAGACCCTTGCCAAATTCTAGCGAGCCATCTTTCAGGGTCTTGTAGGTATAATGGCGCTTTGTCTCGGCGTCTTGGTAAAGGACTGGTGGCAACGCAAGAAATGAGTAAGAATGGCTCCCGTAGGAATGTGAGAATGTGATGGAGATTGCTAACTTACTCTTATCATCTGGGAACGGCCTGTCCTTTCGTTCGAACAGGAACGTCCAGAGGTCGACATTGGGGATGTCGACCAGCGGATAATTGGAGGCAACCGGCATATTGCGGGGAAGAGACTCGAAGCCAAGCGTCGATCCGGGGTAAATGCGTCAGTGTGCTGTGCGACTATGGACTAGTTCTGCAGGAGTCGGAACGACCAATATATAGGTACAAATTTGCAAAGAGAGATTTTAGAGATATGTAAGAAGGAAGAATTAAGGCCGCTTTTCAATCCGCCCTTCTCGGTTCTGGGGGAGCGGGTTGCCTCGGTCCACTACTGGACTGGTTATCTATACCCGAAATGGCCTCCACTTGGTGCTAATAGTGCCGGGGTAAGATGAGGGGTCTGTGGGCTATTCGATGGGCTGAACTGAATATTTCCAAGTCAACAGGGAATAAAAAGTCCTAGGGGCTGACTGCATATGTGCTCGTATTGCTATTCATCACGACAAAATAGAGGTGATAAGACTTGTAGAGAAAATTTCTAAGTTTCCTCGGCGTTATCCGGCATTTTCTGATATATTGGGAGAGGAAGCTTTAATTATTGTCGATCAGTCTCACTTCTCCAAGCCAGATGGCAAGCAAGGGCCCCTCTTTCGATTTCTTAGTAGGAAAATCGTAAGTCTTGTCTCCTTTAAGACGTACTTGCACGGATGATTGCATATGTGCGATACCCCGTCTGTATACTCTGTATGTATATCATATCTATAATACCGAATACTGGTATGTACATTCAGATCGTGGCTGGTGTAGACATGGAATCAACCTCAAATGTTTTGATGCTTGCTATGGCTGTACTACGGTTGATCTTCTACGTCGTTGCAGGAATGAAAGTTATCATATCATGAATTTCATACCCTCTCCAGCAACATAAATGTAACTAGTAGAAGGGTATTCTTTTGCTTCGCCAAATTGACGGAAGCCGGAAGAGAGGTCAGAATCCTCAAAATTTTTATGCCGACAAGATCTTAAATTTAGCTGAAAACAGCTGACCCGGACTGGAAATACAATCTGAATAAAGGAACCCAGTTGATGGTGCTGGTTTCCATTTTTCGTTTTCCAGCACCTTCTCCACCACACGCCACTCCAAGGGGAATCGTTCGAAATCGTTTACTTCAGGGGAATGAAACGGGAAGAGTGGGTGGCACCGATACCGGGACGACCGTGCTTGACGGGCTTGCTGTTGGGTTGTTAGAACATATATCAAGACAGATCGACAAAAGTAGAAAAACGTACTAAGAGATGGAGAACTCAGCAAGGTAGTGGCCAACCATCTCAGGCTTGATCTCAACCTGGTTGAACTCCTTTCCAGAGTAGATGCCGATGACGGAACCAATCATCTCGGGGACAACGATCATGTCACGGAGGTGGGTCTTGACGAGGTCGGGCTTCTCGTTGGGCTTGGCCTCCTGCTTAGCCTTGCGGAGCTTCTTGATCAGACCCATGGGCTTGCGCTTAAGACCGCGGTTGAAGCGACGGCGAGCACGGGCGTGGACAACATCGCGGAGCTGCTCGGAGGAGAGGTCCAGGAGCCTAAAAGCTTGATGTTAGATTGCGGGTCTTAAAAAATTTCATCGGTAGAAAATTTGTGTTTGCTCGCGACATGATGGTCTGAGAACGAGGTTCAAAGAAAGAGCCGGTATGATCGGTCATAATATCCATGCTCCTTTTATATGATACACAAGTTCGAGATGCACGTCGCGAGTGGGGGTGGCGGATGGTTGAAGTTGAAGGGTGAACGTACTGGTCGAGGTCAATACCGCGGTAAGAGAACTTGCGGAACTGTCTTCTCTTCTTGATCTCTGTTGTGCGAATTCCTGTCAGCGGCCTGGGCATTCGGTCGTGGTGTATAATATCGTCTTTTCCCCCTTCGTTCCATGCGATGTCGAAATTTCATTCCCACGGGCTCTTCGATATGAGATGTTGTCGTTCCTCCACTCAGTTCCCAACAGTTTCGCTCCACCACTTGACGATATTCGGAAATAGACAGGGGAAAGGGTTGACTCAAGACGTACCGGCAGCCTCCTCGGCGTTCTAATTTATGAGTTAGTAAAGATCATTCTGGGGCGCAAGACGTATATGACAAGATGGGGACTCACGTATTCGATGTCAGCCATTTTAGCGGTTATTTCCTTGGAGGTCGCTTTTCGAACGGTCACGAAAAGCGAAGGAAGATAGGTTGTCGGGATTGTCGTGTCGCTAGAGCGATCTCGCCTACACTGAAACTGGTGAGGTGGGCAGGGACTCGCCTAAGCGACGGGTAGGTTAAGCCCTAACATACTAGTCCGAAATAGGTAATATACATTACGGTTGTAAATAACGGGTCACAAAAATACCATCACTTGATATGTACATTTTATTCGCCGATTTACAGTGCTAAATCTGTTGTGCCTTGAGCATGCAAGTTGTCGTATTTAAGTTACACAATCATGATGGGTCCAGTTCTGCATGGATGCGGGAAATGGGGTCGATACATCTTGATATAAAGTTGATGATCTTTATTCAAGATTACGCATTTCACATTCATTAAAATGTATATGCGGAGTAGGTTGGCTCAACTGTGGTGAAATATTCGCAATTGCAAGATGGGCACTCGGGGTCCATACGTCACTGCGCATCTAAATACAAGGGACATTTGAAGCACGCGGTGCATGATATCTTACAGACTACAAGATAGAACAGTAGTGGAGGATAGATTCTCTGGATTGGCTAGTAGAAGCTCTTTCGAACTTAGATATGAAAAATTCGTAACTGCGTCAAAACAGCCTGAACGATGCACACTTGAGATACCAGTTGGCGAAACTCCTTCCCGAACTGACTAGACCATCCAGATGTCTGTTCCTCCAAGCCGTTACTTTTGAGGTCGTGAGGTGGAATGCATTTAGTCGAAGAGACCGAATCCCATGTCGTCGTCAGACTCCTCCTTCTCCTCCTCCTTAGCGGCCTCGGGGGCAGCCTCGGCGGCGGCACCACCAGCAGCGGGGGCAGCGGCAGCGGCACCAGCACCACCGGAGGGAACGGAGGCCAGCTTGGCGGAACCCTCAGCGATCAGCTGTAGTTGAAAAGTTAGTCGACTATTCTGTTCGATTGCGCATTCAAGAATTTTCGAGATCACTCACCTCCTGGAGGCTCTTGCCCTGGAGCTCAGCGACGAGCTTGTCGAGGCGGTCGGAGTCGACATCGATACCGACGGAGGACAGGACCTCCTTGACGTCGGAAGCGGCAGGGGACTCGTTGCCAGCGAGGGCGAGGAGCAAGTAAGCGGCGAGGTACTTCATTTTGAATGGACTGTGTGCGAATTCAATGTCAGTGGATTTGGTTGCGAATATGCGAAAATTGGGTGAATAACGACTGGTGATCGTAGAATAACGGTGGGAGAGAGGTGATGGGTGACTGACGTTTCTTTTGAAGAACAGGAGAAACAATCGATTTAACCGCGAGTTTGGGCGGAGACTGCAACGTCGAGTTCGGGTTGGAGATGGTTAAGAAATCTGATGCCAAATTCGTGGGAAAAGTGCGTTGCGGCTCCGTGTGGCGGTGCTACCGCCCGGCAGAAAACCAACTAAGCGAGTGTGGCGCAAACAAAAGCACGTGACTCAAACGTCGTCGACAGTGAATGTTGGGCGTGGCTTCTTTCCCCGCTCATTCACTGGGATCGTCATTGTCTATATAAAGCCGTCAGGAATCTCTACGAGCGGCTTCGACTCTTCCTGCACCATCTCTCGCTCCTGCGTTTCCGAAACTTCTTTTTTTCTGTCTTTTAGTGGCGCGCATTTTCGGCTTCTCCGAGCGGAGATCCATTTCTATGGTCTCGCGTTCGGAGTCATGAAGCTTTCTACTTCGTCATACTGATTGATCATTGTCGAAGCACTTGCTTTTCTACTCGCCCTACTTAAACATCCACGACCACATACTTTCGTATTGTTATTGCTTTGAGCCTGCCAAGATGAGTGTATGTCTATACTTTTCTTTGTTCTTTCGAGTCTATCTACTGACAGCCGGCATAGTTCCTCGACTCGGTTCTCTCTTCGCTGCAGACCGGCAAGGCTAGCCCACTTCCCATCTCTCAGCCTCCTGCCGCTCCTGCTGTCTCTGCTACCAATCGCGATGGACGCCAGCCCGCTTTGAACGCAAATAACAATGGAGGAATCAAGCGCAAGGCCGAAGACCAACTGACTGGCCCTACTCGCCCTGCAGGCCCAGGATCTGCTAAGTCACCTGGTTCTCGACCTGTGACTACCGCCGCTCCTGTCAAGACCGCAAGCAAGCCGGTTTCCACCACGAACAAAGTTCCATCCAAGCCTGCCTCAAAGCTCGGCACAGCTGGCACCACCGTCGCTAAGAAAATTGCACCCAACAAGCCTGCTCCACCCAAGGCTACTAAAACTGCGGCCCCAGCGGCTCCAACCAAGGCCCCGCCCAAGGGTTCATTCGCCGACCTCATGGCACAGGCTAAGGCCATGCAGGACAAAGCCCCAAAGGTGGGCGTCCTTCAACACCATCAGACCGAACCGAAGGCCCGAAACAGTCACCGCGAGTTCAAACAGCGCCTCAAGGACGCTAAGAAGCTCGGTCGTGCTGAGACTCGTGGCAAGAAAGTTTCTCCGAAGCCATCAGTTCGCGAGCGACGCCGTACGCGTACGCCAGAGTTCCCCTCCCGCAAGTCATCCCCCGAGAGCCTGTCTTACAAAGGCACCGCCAAGCCAACCCAGACTCCCGAGCCACCAGCCTACCGTGGAACTGCAGGCCTGCCTGGAAAGACCGGTGGCAACGATCGTCGCCAGCATGGGAAGCACCGCAAGAACGAGTATCTCGGTACTGACGAGGAGGATGAAGGCGAGGACTACGGTTATGACGATGGCTTTTACTCCGACGTCTCGTCGGACATGGAGGCTGGCTTTAACGATGTTGAGGACGAAGATCGTTTTGCCTTGAAGAATGCTCGCAAGGAGGATGAAGAAGAGCTGCGCCAGGAGATGGCTGCCAAGCAGGAGAAGATGGAGCGCCAGAAACGACTGGCTGCTCTTGCTTCGCGCAAGCGTTAAAGTCGATGGCTTTCTTACTGATTTCTACACTCTTCCACTGTTTGATCTTTGGTTGATCAATTCTTTACTATTTTTCTTTTGTCTGGGACGGGTCTTTTGCGGAGCATTCTGAGCGTTTCGAGGTGTTTATACTAGATGGTGAACTTTTTCAGTATTCTGAACACAATCCATAGCGGGCGTCCTAGCAATACCAATCTGATATTCAAATTTCGGTCTGTTCAATTCGATATGGTACGATCTTCGTAGAATTAGAGAAAACATTGGTCTCTAGAGCTCTTGACACTGTGCAGGGTCCATGAATAACAATGAGAGTGCTGGGAAACTGCCAAGGCTTCTTCCAAGGTTGTATTGCAGTCTGCTCTGCTCTTTGTCTTTCATTCACATTGAGCCTACATACTCCTTCTTCTATCCGTAGGGGCGTTCAACTGAGCCACCGAAACGTCAACGCCTCGAATACCTGATAGATGTGGAATCTCATATTCTGCCTCTTCAGCCATCAACTCCAACATGGCACGATCTCCCTCTTCTATGAGGCTATAGTCAGCTCCACAGAGCAAAAGCAGTCCAGCAACTTCATTGAGCATCCGTTGCTTCAATGTAAGACCGGGCTTCCCGTGGCGATTTTTGAGATTCTCTCTGCGGAATTGACCAATTGCGATTCCTAGGGGAGTGTCCCCCATATTATCCACAGCATTGATGTCTGCCCCATTTTCAATGAGAATTTTGGCTGTGGAATACCGGCCTTCACGTGCAGCATGAGAAAGAGGAGTGGAGAGAGATTTGTCTCGGCTTTCGAGGTCAGCATGCCGACTGATGAGCAGTTGAACGATCTCATTATGGCCTTCCTCCACAGCTAGAGACAACGCAGACTTGCCATCCCAATCTTTATGCTCAATATTAGTCCCTGCTTTAAGCAAAAGCTCCAAGATGGCTCTTGGAAATATTGTTTTCTTTCCGCCTGTGGACCCTTTGCATGCGACTAGAAGAGCAGTTCGGTGTCGATAATCCTCCACTTCTGTATCAGCACCATGCTCTATGAGAGCTGCGGCCATGTCATAGTAGGGTTGCTCCTCAAATTCAAATACCTGCGAACGAGCACAATGGAATAATGCGTTTCTTCCATCGCAATCCACAATGTTGACATCAGCTCCAGCATTGAGTAAAGCCTGAAATGCACGAGGCCACACTCCAAGTACCGTATGTATCAGTGGCGTGTTTCCGGAGAAATCTTGATGATTCAACTCTGCGCCGTAACTCAAAAGGTAGTTGATGATCTCCTCATTATTTGTTGAACCAGCATGGAATAAGATAGTCCAGCCACTATTGTCTTGACTTTCCAGGCCTGCGCCTTTATCAAGAAACGCTTTGATAGTTCGGATACTTGGTCCTTGCAAGCTGCGCAAACAAGAGACTAAAGGTGAGTACCCGGAATTCAATTCCGTAGTTTGCATATCTGCACCACAGTCGAGGAGATATTCAACTGTCTCTGCACCTAATGGCGATCTAGCTGCAGCTGCAAGAGGCGTGGTACCCATCTCATTCGGCACTCCTAGATCCGCTCCATACTCAATGAGAACCTTTACTGTTTCTGTATGTCCATTCTGCGCGGCTAAGAATAATGCAGTTCTGCCCTCGTCGTCTTTCGCATTCATTGTGGCTCCACCACTAGCTCTACTCTTCCTCTTATTTGGACTTTCTCCAAGTGAGTCTAAGAGAGTCTTTGCTAGAGTATGCAACCCAAAACCGGAGAGAACCATCAAAGGCGTGCGGCTCTCCCAATAGGCAAACCCATCAATTTCAAGCATTGGTCTCAAAACAGAGACCCAGGCCTCGAAACCTGATGATCGGGAATCACACAGCGAAAAGACAAGACTCGTCAATTCTGAGTCGCACTTATATTGAGCTTGACGAACATGGGCATGCCAGCATGTTGCAGCATACCAAAGAAGCTGGTGCGTATTCATGAGCTCATCCGCTTCGAGATCAGCGCTACTCATTGTCTCTTCAAATTCCGTGAAACATAGATACGCAACACATATTTCAGCCATAACAAGATGACCTTCCACCGGATTCAATGAATGTTTCCAAGAGTCAGATTTGATAGTCTTCTCGCTGAGCAGGAATTCTTTGGCTGTCTGATGAATCAAGTAAATATGATCATCGACAATATTGATAAAAAGGCCACAGAGGTTCCGGACCACAGTCGCAAACGTGGATTTCTTCTCCAGATCGAGATCATCGTAAGAACGACTGTCGCGCTCAATAGCCAGAGCTATACGCATTTCTCTCAAGCTCAACGGACGCGTCGCAGAGACGATGACAAAAAGCAGCTTTCGAGTTCTTTCAGTATCCGTACTTTTATCCAAGATTGCGTTGTATGTCTTTTCCAAGGAATCAGGAATCAAAGCGGTAATCTGACGAATTGTTTTCGTTTTGAGAGAAAGCTCTTCTTGAATGAACTCGAATATCAGCTTGAGCCAGAGGTATGTCCTATGCGGAATACTGAGAAGTTGTTCCAACAAAAGTGCCTCTTCCTTCTGGCTTAGTTCAATCATTCTGCCAATCTCAGGCACCTGTCTTTCGATGACAAGATCAATCTCATCGCTGATCGCATCGGACTCCTTCTCGCCCTCGAGGCGAATCATGTTAGAAGACTGGATCATTGTACGGAAAGACCGCTCGATATCGAAATATGGCCTGCTTGTCACAAGAAACTTGATCTTTCCATCACCGAGTGTCTGGTTTTCAAAGATATGGGACAAGTTATCAAGTAATTGACGTCGATTGGTCTTCTCGCATTCATCCAAAGCGTCGATGATATAAATGACTTCATTCGCAGCCGGATCCATCGAGGCCTGGATCAGAATATCCCATAGCTTGGACGTGATTTCAGACAATTTCTTTCCTTCCTTGGAAAAGTCAGGTAATGCATGTTTAATGAGCCAAGGTTTTTGTCCAAACAACTGATGCAAAAAAGCGCAAAGAGCTGAAGTCAGGCTCTTCTGTACATCATTGTCATCTTTGAAGAAAAAATAACATGTGGTTCGAGAATCAGTCGGTCTAAGCTCGTTCTCAACCAAGGACTTTGCCAGCACAGATTTTCCACATCCGGGATCTGCAGATACCCAAAGCAAGCTCTTTTGTTTGGTGATATCCTTCCAGTCTAGGAAATCTTGGTGCTGAAGGAACCATTGGCAAGTATTCGGTACTCTGGCTGGATTTCGATCTTTCAACATTGCATAATCTGTCGTTCGAAGAAGTTCCAAGACTTGGCGTTCAGTGTCACTGTGACGAAACTCTTCCGCTTGCTTCTTGATGCCTTTCGTCTCAGCCAAAATCTCTTCTTGCATCTTATCCCAACGACTCAGATCAGTAAGAATATCTTCAACACGACGATTCTGAGCTTCAATTGTTGACTCCAGCGAATGGAATCGGCTTCGCTGGTCCTTCGCGTCGAGGAGACGCATAACCTTCTCACAGTCCGCCTCTGCCATCTTAATTTTATCAAGAATGCTCTTCCAGTTATCTGCCGTGATTATGCTTCTAGCAATCTGCAGAGCGGTGTTCCGATTAAACTGGCATGCTGCACGTGCTTCATACTCCAAAACCTGTCGGTATAGATTCACGATTGATCTTTCCAGCGATTGACTGGTAGTTTCCTGCTCATCCTTCAAGTACAGTCTCTCAACTTCTGTAAAGCGCCTTACGAGCTCCGAAATGGTTTTCAGTCCAGCCAGTGCATCATCCCGCTGAGTCGTGTCATTAACTAAGAGCTAAAAAGGTATTAGAGGGGGGTTCCTTCTCCAGTTACTACAGATAGCAAGACCTACCGGAAGCAGAACACAGATACCAGCCCACGGTAGCCCGACATGAACAGGATCAATACTGGCAGCTGAGGATACAAAGTCCTTGGCGACCATGATTATTTTCACGATCTGGTCAACCTTCTCTCGGACTTCAATATCTGTCTTTCCAATGCTGAGTCGCCATTTGCGATCGTTCATTTGTGCGATTTTCTTGTCGACCAGGGCGGCCATCCTCTGTTGGCGGTCTTGGCCACTCGCATGTACATGGCCGCTATTGGAGTCATCTTCCGAGTCGACGACACGCTCAAAAGAAGCCACTAAATCAGGCTCATCCTTGCGAAGTTCCTCAAACGCTTGCTCCCATAGTGATCCATCTGCGGCATGGTGAGCATCTAGGTAGTCCCCAAATGACTGGAATGGTATCCTAGCTGTTTGGCCTTTCTTCTCTAAGGGGTTATCCTGACTCGGAGTCTTATTTTCTGTGAGGTCTGCAGGTGTGGTTGAAGAGGGTGCTGGTTGATACCCCGCTCCAGCCGCACTATCAGTAGATGTGTGAGTAGGAGGTGTGTCCGTACGTTGTTTTTCAACCGAGCTCTCTATTCTTGTCTTATTTTTTCGCCAGAAACGAACCGGCATTTCTGAAAGTCGATATATGAAGGCTAATTCAACTGCGTATTGAGAGGCAAGGTTCGACTTTCGTTTCTCTTGTGGTGCCTTTGCAGGTTCATCCCAACGCTGACCGGCGCTAACGGCCCATCAGCAAAAGCCACATTTCCCTTATGGGAAGTATCCATGAATGAAACCCTGGAAGCCGAGTGCCTTTATCTACCCAACTCTCATACCAAAACTGGGTTATGTATGAAAGAAGGAAAGGAGGAAATTTTTACTCTGTAGATTTCTCTTCTCTAGGTAGTAATAGTTGTTCATTCCTTCAGACCTGATGGGATTCAAGTTGAAGTTATATTGAATCTCCAATGTATCCAAATTAGACTGCGAGTAATTCAAAAGGTACCTAAACTAGGGCCCTGCATATTCCATGATTCACCTTCCAATGTCGGTAACAAATTATCCAAATCAATCCACTGCTCAATTGAATACGCCATCTGGAACATATCTTGCATCGGCATCATGAGAGAGCTATCGAGCTCTGAGGACCCACCCATGAGATTATCAAGCCATTCAGTACCAGCTGCTGGCTTGATCATTCCATCCGTGTGCATTTCTTGCTCGGTCCCAGCTTCCTGTAGCGTAGGGTGAATGTCTGAATGATACTGTTGCAGGAAGTTGATCTTGGGACCAAGGTTTCGTAGGATTGTTGCTGCACTGTTCGCGACAGAGAATTTTTCTCCGAAAATCTCGCAAACAGCGATGGACAGTTCAATCGCTTGAATCGCTTTAGGAGCTAAGACCCCGCGGGGGTAAGCCAGTACGAAACCGACAACAGTCATGGATGCATTCCACTGCCATTGAAAAGCCTCGTGCCAGCCAGTAAGAATGGTTGTTGAAGATAGCGTTTGATGTATTATGTTAATGAGTGCCATTGCATGAAGAGCACATTTAGTGGCCATGTTTTCAGTTATACTCATGGTAGGTCCGGGGGTGAAGGATATGAAAGGTCGGTGGATGTTGATCGATAGGGTGTGGTATATCAATTCCAAGTTAAGACGCTGGCGCTGGAGCCAGATCGGTGCAAATGGCTCGATATTGAGTTTGGTTCCATCTGTAGAGAAGGGCGTTCCGTTCTCCTTTCGATCTGTCTTGAGAGCGTTGGGTACTTCGTCTACCCACTGGTATAGGCTTCCCGCGTGAGCCTGTACAAACTCGGCGTGTGATTCCAACAACTGGGGGTGGTCCCAAATGACCTGACCTTGAGTCAGATTGAGATCCCTCTCATAGAACTTTTCGTGTATCTCCCGCGCAAGAATGAAAATTTTCGAGCTGTAGAGATGAAAACTGAGCCAGGTTTTGCTATCGCCCAAATGAGCGAAATGAGATCCGGAATCTTTGGAAGTCTCAGGTTGATCATCAGGAAGCTCAGGCTCGGTGGCAGAACGAGAAAGAAGAAAGGGACGACCAAGTTTCATTCCAACCTTCGCGTCAAGCTCATAAAGAGCCCACCATACGCGGTTCCTTAGCTCACGTTGCGGTGCTGGTAAAGTAGGCGAAGGGGTGACATGAAGGCCAATGGCATAAGCTGCTCTCGCGGCAAGAGCAGCCATGGTAGCTGACATGTTCTGAAATGAGCCGTTGCACAGGTATATACAGCACAGCATGAGAGTCTGTACAGTCGATATGGTAGGGCTTTCAAGCTGATAAATAACTATCTGATGGCAACGTCGGAAGTACCAGCATCCAGCGACACTGGGATCCCCGTCGATTATGGACTTTTGTTGCTGGGGGTCCAGCTGGGAAACACCATGTTGCATGCAAATAGCTACCATAATATCGACAAGCGCACATGATTTCCTTTTTTGCTCTGATGCGGCCCAAAGTGACTGATAATGAGCCTTGAATTCCGCTTCATTCACTATGGGGAATAGGCATGTGTGGTAGGACTTCCAGAATAAATCGAGAAAGTATTCTTCTTGAGTTGGGCTGAGAAATTCTCCAGCTGTGAAAGGGTTCTCTTCGGAAAGGGCGGCTTGCTGAGCCGAGACCTCTTCCTGACTTCCATCCATTGTACCATTTAATAATGTACTCGCAGTGGCATGGAGAACCATTTGGTTTGACATCTGGGTCTGTTGGAGAATAGCACCCAGATAGCTATTCATGCGCCCAATGAAATAAAATAGTGATGAGGGTCCATACCAGGAGGTGTTTGGGGAGCGAGCAGTACCGATCTGGATTCCCTCCCAGGGAGACCCTTGGTCAGAATATCCTATCTTTTGTGAAATGGTCATCTCTGGCGATGAATGAGTCGTCCGGCTAGATGACCACTCCAAGCCCGGTACAGAGGTTTGACCAGGTGAGTCGGTCGTTCGTATTGTGTTGGTCCTTGTGTTGGTCCTTGTGTTGGTCCTTGTGCTGGTCATCGAGTTCCCTGGGTATTGTGATTTGTACCAGAGCAGTTCATCTTCAACGCTTTTAATGTGACTTTTCAATCTTTCTACCTCTCTATGACCCTATCATTAGATGAGGAACCTATCGAGATCACAGCAGCATTCCGTACCTCATTGTTTCGGTTGATGGTCTGGATTCAGTTGATCCATTTGGTCCAGTTTGTACGCAAGGCTCATCTCTTCGGCGGCAAGCTTTACATGGACGTTCATTATCGCACTTGGCTCTCCTTGCTCGGCATCCATCACAAGCGCGTCCGACCTGCTTTCTCATGGGTTTCACGATGCCTGCATCTGCGATGGTTGTCCTTGAGTTTCCCGTATGGTCATGCATATCTGTGCATTTATACCGATTCGAGGGACTCGCACCAGTTCATGAGGGTGAAGGGTGGTGTGGGGGAGAGATTTGTCAGATTCCAGATTACAAGGTTCCGCGGTGGAAATCCCCAATCCCGCCTCGATGTTGTTATTCTCAACAATATTCAACTTATAAGGCCCGCAGAAACCGACATAGAAAATCATTTTTGAATTAGCCTGGCAACATTTGGAGGCTATGATTTAATTCTCTCCAATTCTATAGCGTGTGTAGGTAGTGTCGGGTCACCAGTTGACTATGTTACGGCCTACAAGGGCGGAGTAGATAAGCCTAATTAGGATAGGGGCGTTCATTTAACAAGACTCGGTTAAATTGATACAGATCAGAGACTAAAAATTAGAGGGTTCCAGGCATGTCTGTTATTTGTTTATTTTTTCTATTTTTATAATCTAACATTTAAAAGTTACGGGCAAATTGGCGAAATAAAATTTTTAACCCTGGAAGTGCACATAGGTGTGGGTTATAGAAGTCTTCCTCAAAATTGGTCAACTGGTGATGGGTGCCTGTAAACTCTGGCGTTGATACTGTTTCTCAGTTATAGGGGTAAATTTGGGAGTCCAGATAACCATCCACATCCCAGTAGCTCAGCGGGCTATCGTGTCTATCCCGATGTGATTTGACACTATGATACTATAAGTCTAGAATGCTGGGACTGAGGGTTGCTCAGTAGCATCAGCGAGTGTGAGACTTGCCTAAGTGGAACACCACCGTGAGAAAGCATGCAACGGACTATGTGAAAGACTTCTGCGGAGCTTTTTTCTTTTTGCTCTTTCTTTTGATATTACTTTTATATTTTTATCTATTTTATTGGATTTGTTATGATTTTCTGAAAGTTGAGGCTGTCATCACCTTGCTCATTTTGATGCCTCACTTGGCGAAATCTAGAAGTCCCCGGTTCGATCCCTGCTCCCACCTTTCTTTTTTTTACCTTAGATCCTTTTGATACCTTCCAAAGTTATTGACTTGAGGCACTCCCATCTAGCTCAATATACCACTAGTAAGTGAGAGCCAGTTATTTCCATATGACCAAGTGTTGAAAATACATGCCCAGGCCAATTGTTTCCCCCCTTTTATACTGGAAGGAAGAGATACTGTCTTTCAATGTGACTTTAATTCAAATTTTGTTGGTCTTCTAAACGTAAATAAAAAGTTATGACACAAGGCTAACACAACAGAAACATCTCAGGCTTTAATGCACGATAAGTCTATAACCCTCCAAGTTCCTTACTCTCCTCTGCAGTCATGGGGTGCACAGCTTGCGGGTATTTGTCCAAAAATTCCTGACTGAATGGATAGTCATTATAGCCCACCCACTCCTTGCGGCTATAGAAGGTTGGCCTGTTATATGGTGCCAGGGGAATGCCATTCTGGACCTTGAAAACCAAGTCGGGGTTGGAGATGAAATGGCGACCGAAAGCAACCATAACTTCCCACTTCTTATACCTCTCCTCGACTGCCCAAGCCGCAGAATCTGGTCGGTAACCACCTGCCACGATAACAGGCGACAAATTGTCCCATGCCTCAAGAATGAAATCCAGAGTCTTTCCCTCGTGGACCTGCTTCTGATTCCAGATCAAGGCACCTGGATCACCAGTAGCCTCGACAAGTGAGAGATAAGCGAATTTCACGTTCATGTTCTTCAATTCAGAGATGAGATATGTGTATAGCTCCACATAATCGGACTTTTCGGAACCCTGGAATCCAGCATATGGAGAAAATCGAATAGCCACTTTTCCAGCGCCAATAGCTCCAACCACAGCCTTGACTACTTCGAGGGTAAGACGAGATCGATTCTCAATAGATCCACCCCATTTATCGGTACGCTGATTGACACTGGCAGTCAGGAACTGATCAAGAAGATAGCCGTGTGCAGAGTGGATCTCCACACCATCCGCACCCGCCAAAACAGCCCGTTTCGCAGTCTCGGCAAAGTTTTCAATTGTCTCCAAGATCTCGGCTTCAGTCATTGCTCGGGGTACATTTTCGGATCCCTTCATTGGCACAGCACTGCTAGATCTATAAGGGAAACCTCGAGTAGCCAGTAAATCGGGGTTGGAGGCTCGACCCATAGCCCAAATTTGCTGGAAGAAGATTGACTTGTTCGCGTGAACTGCGGAGTAAATTTTGCGCCATCCTTCAACCTGCTTCTCGCTGACTAGACCGGGGTTGTTTGCGTTGCCTTCTTCGCCGTGTGAAATTGAGGTGGCTTCGGAGATGACGAGCGTTCCGGGTGTGGAGCCTCGGTCGGCATAGTACTTCTCCATCAGTGGCAGCGGAACATGATTGTCATCATTGCGCAGGCGGGTTAAGGGTGCAAAGACAACACGGTGCTGAAGAGTGGAATCGCCGATAGTCAGTGGGTTGAAAAGTCGGGATTCCGAAGGGGTGTATTCTGCAATTGAACCCATGGTGGCTGATTCAAGTTATGTAGTAGACTCGAGTGCAGATGGTGGTAGTAATTGATCGAGTGTTTTGAATATAGTAGGTAGTATAATATATTTTGTGTTCAAGTTGCTTCGAATTCGAACTTGATCTTGGTAGCTGACACTGATCTGGGTTTAGGTGCTTGGAATCTTCAGAACTTCATGGACACAAGAAGATCTATTTGTATTAGCATCAAGTGGGTCAATTTATTATACACAATGCCAATTTTCACATCATTGACAAATCCACATTTGAACATGTTTAGCATCAAAAAGAATCAGTCGATCTACTCACGGAGTTTCGGAGTCGCGTTCTTTAAATGTTAGATAACGATAACATGATTGGTTGATGGCCAGACAGACCCCACCGCTCCGTAACTCCGTCATCACGTTATACGGACTCACGGAGTCAAGGAATCGAGGAGTGGAGGACCGCTGATCCAGGCCCTTTCAGGGTCCTTATCTCCGTATGCATAATGGACGGAGTCTAGGTGCTGACATCTGAACTCAGTGATCCTGAATATTATCAATCTACCATCTTCTTCTCCAGAAATCCGTATGCAGTAAGCCGGAGCAGATTCCGGATCCGAATCAGCCACTCATGCTAAGTGCAGATACGAGATTATTTTATCATGACTGCTATGGCGGGGAAGAATATAAAAGGTCGTGATGCCTCTGATTGATTCAACATCCAAAGCAACAACAGAACAACAAAACATCCAAAGATCCAAAGATCCAAAGATCAGCCTACGAATCCCCTCTTCAACTCGAAGTTCAAGCTTACTATCAACGCACCAACATCTTACAAAATGCCTGCCCGTCGAGCTCTCATCTCCATCACTTCGGCCAGTGCCGCCCTCTTCAATGGAAAGGAAACCACTGGTCTTTTCATCAGTGAGGCTCTCCACCCGTACAAGGTCCTCGTAGCCGCCGGCTTCGAAGTAGACCTCTCCTCCGAGACAGGCAGTTACACACCCGACTGGCTCTCCCAGCAGCCCGACTTCCTGAACGGCGAGGATCTGGAGATCTGGAATGACACGAACAGCGACTTCCGCCAGAAACTCGACAACATGGTCAAGGCTGCTGATCTGGATGCCTCGAAATATGGCCTGTTTTATGCCTCTGCTGGCCACGCCGCACTGATCGATTACCCCACTGCCAGCGCGTTGCAGAATATCGCCGAGCAAGTCTGGGCGAATGGCGGAGTCGTGGCTTCTGTTTGCCATGGTCCTGCCATCTTTGCCAACATCAAAGATCTTGCTACGGGCGAGCCGATTATCAAGGGACGACAGCTTACTGGGTTTACTACCGAGGCGGAGAATACGATGGGTATCATGGGTGAATTGAGAGCCCTGGATACTGAGATGGTGGAGGAGCTTTCCCAGCGGCTGGGTGCGACTTGTAAGTGACTAATCCATTTTCCTTCTTAAGAATTGGAGCTGACGATGGATATAGATGTACGCTCAGATGGTATTTGGGATGACTTCCACGTTGTTGATGGTCGATTGGTGACTGGTCAAAACCCTGCCAGTGCTGCTTCTACAGCCGTTGCCGCTGTTGAAGTATTTGAGACACTTTAAATGGGCCAACGGAAGATCGATAGTGATAGTTAACCAGGCAGAGAATCTAATTAATGATTTTAATCATTGTTTATGTAATAGTTCAAGCTAACTATAAACTTGGAAGTACCGAACCGATATGAGCCTCAAGAACATACTCCATATATTGGTCTGTAATAGGTAATGATATTCAAACATGCGACTTAGAACTTGAATATCTGCCCATGAATCTCCACAGCGCGCGTACCTGACCATCAAGTTCAAAGTGGCCCCAGACGGAATTCGGAATACTTTACACCCTCGTTTATACTAGCTTCATTGGGTACCTAGGTATTCCCGATGACTCTCGTATAGACGAGGATACTTCATATGTCTAAGCACTAAGTTAGTGCTGAGGAACTACTATTCCATAGCTGTACATGTGTTCCTTGGAATGTTCTTTGACTCGTACGATCGAAATTACCCAATATAACAAGCTTTCGACCCCGTGGGCCCTTTCTCGACGTTCAGCCCTGGAGATCCGCTTGAGCTGCGCACGTGGGATGAAGTGAACGTCTAGAAGAACTTGGAGTAACATAAATCCACGCTAAATAGGGCAAATTCGAATTGTCCGATTGGTCCTTTGAACCAAACGACTCGGGGGCCGGCTCAAACGTGCCGAATTGGCGAGTATTTCTTAGCCTTTTTAGCGTTAATATGTAGTCCCGTGGTGGCTTGAAATTCTTTGGTGTGGATGGAGATACTTCCCGGATATGAACGGGCGGCCTACTCCGATCGAAGGGAAAAAAGCAAAAACAAGCAATTTGAGAGATTCGATGCAGGCGAACAAGGGAGAGGGGGACGGTTGGTTACGCCTTGCAATGTATACATGTACCAGAAGTGGGCTGTTAGCCGGGGCATCTGGACGCTTAACCATACATAAGCCTCCGCCCAACTCCACATTTACCAGCCACCCGCCAATTGAACTGGAATTATTTCTAACCCCCACCTCAAGTGGACTTTAGCGTGAGACAAGTTAAAAACGTGCCGTGAATCTGATGTTTTAATTCGTTCATACTATCTGTATCTCCCCTGCGCGTGGGAAATACATCTCCACGGTCGCATCTGATGCCCATGTGCCTGCGCTAGGTACCTCCGAAGTCCGCTAAGCACGCGAGATATTATAAAAGGAACCGATTGCCAGCTGAATTTTTTTTTCAGTTACTGTGAGCCGCTTCCTTCTCTCTAATTGACCTTGATTCTCGCTTTTAGAGCTCTCTTGAAAAGGTTCCGCGCAATGGCTGCAGTGACTGCTATTCTCGCCTTGGCCGGCATGGCCGCCGGTGCTACCATCACCACCACTGAGCCTGCTCTGGCTGCCATTAAGGCTGCTCAGGCGACCACTGTGCCCGAGACCTGGTCTACCAACGTCACGGGTAAGGCTTTCGACCGTTTCTACCAGGTCTGGTTGGAGAACGTCGTAAGTATTTGCTTTCCCAGTATGAACGATTGCCCTTCACTTGCTTACCAACTACGAATAGGACTATGTCAATGCTGCCAATGACACCAACCAGCAGTGGTTGGCCAGCAAGGGTATTACCTTGACCAACTACTACGGAACTGGTCACCCTTCGCAGCCTAACTACGTTGCTGCTGCCAGTGGTGACAACTACGGAATGGACAATGGTGAATTATCATTCTCCCTATCTTATCTGATCTCCCGGAGCTTGAACCTAACATGACTTATTTTAGATAACTTCCACGATATTCCTTCTAACGTCTCTACCCTTGCCGATCTGCTCAACACCAAGGGTATCTCCTGGGGAGAGTACCAGCAGCACATGCCCTTCCCCGGTTACCAGGGCTACAACTACTCCAACCAGGTCACCTATGCCAATGACTACATGCGCAAGCACAACCCATTGGTTTCCTTCGATTCCGTCTCCAGCAACGACACTGCTCTGCGCTTGATCAAGAACTTCACTTCTTTCACCGATGATCTCGAGAACGAGGTCCTCCCCCAGTGGGCCTTTATCACTCCCAGTATGTTTCTTGATTTACATCAATTGAAAGAAAAGAAAGTAAATACTAATTCTGAAATGCAGACATGACTAATGACGCTCACGACACCAACATCACCTTCGGTTCCGAGTGGCTCCGTAGCTTCGTTGAGCCCTTGATGAACAACACCTACTTCTGGGACAACACTCTGCTTCTGTTGACCTTCGATGAGACCGAGACCTACGATGTCCCCGAGTCCGAGGTTTACGCTGACCGTAACCGCGTCTTCAGCATCCTGCTTGGTGGTGCTGTTCCCGAGGACCTCGTTGGTACCGTGGATGACACAGTCTACACCCACTACTCCACCATTGCCACCATCTCTGCTAACTGGGAGCTCCCCTCTCTGGGTCGTTGGGACTGTGGTGCCAACATCATCGAGTTCGTCGCTGACAAGGTTGGCTACACCAACTGGGATGTTGACAACTACAACCTCTACATCAACGAGTCCCTGCCCGGTCCTCTCTCCGAGTCCGACTACTCCGTCTACCGTGCTAGCTGGCCCATTCCCGCTACCAACGAGACCTGCTCCGCTGGTTACGGTATCCTGCAGGCTGTCAAGGACACCTACAGCGGTATGACCCCCACTTACAACTACACCGCTCCCTTCCCCTACGATGCTGGTTACGCCTTGGACGTTGGTGTCTCTTACTCCCGTAACGGTACCACCTACGTCTCTGGTGTCAACGGTACTGGTATCTCTGTTCACGACACCTCCAACGGTACCGCCTCCACCTCTTCCTCTGCTTCCTCCTCTTCTGCCGCTGCTGTCTCTGGCGCTGGTATGAACATGCCCGCCATTGGCTCCGTGGCTGCTGTTATGGCTGCCCTCGTTAGCTTCCTGTAAGCTTCGAGTTATGAATAGTTGCGCCTATCCAATATGGATCTAGTGCTTGCTCTATGATTTTTGTATTTATTTAATTATGCTGTCTCACGATACGTGATATGTGATACTGGATGTCAGATACTGAGAATGAGATAATGCGTTTACGGTGGACATGAGTGTGAATCGTACTAGTAAAATGGTCACAAAAGTATGTACTTCAAGTTACATACCAGTGCTCACGAATATGAGAAGGCATGCAATGGGAATATTGCAAGGGCTTGAACATGAAACTTGAAAAGCATGGCGATCGGAGACCATTTGATTGGTGGTGCCGGTAGTATGAGAGATATCACTAAACTAGGTATAGAGGAATCATACTACTGTAACCAAAATATCATCTGGTACTAGTATAGAGGAAAAGACCGTCGGTACAAATTTTCGATGAGAACCTTGGAACTTGGAACCAGCACATGCGCTCCGATGCAGATCATGTTGAACACTTTTGTAAAACGTAAGTATCCACTGGGTAGTGCAGACAAGGACCGTTACCAACTCAATGGCTACTCTTGCCATGGAAAGAGTTATTCAAAGAGAAAGTCGTAGATTTTTTGCAGACCTTGAAGATCTCCTTCGACGTATTTGCTGATTCCTTATCCACCCATCCCCTGGTGTAGCCTCCACCAAAATCAATGAGATACGCGTCATGATGCGTACTATCTATTAGAATATTATCCGGTTTGGCATCTCCCCAAATAGCACCAGAAGCATGGAGCTCCTCTATAGACCTTGTAATCTGGGCCATCCATTTCTGCCTCATCGAGCTATATTGGGGGGTTTTCCCATCAAAAGCAAGGTGTCATTGTTGGACTCGATGTATGAAAGAAGAAGGCCAACAATACGACCCGAAGAAGGAATATGAACGATTCCAAGTAGCCTAGATGTGTTTATAGGCTCGGAAAATGATGCTGAGTGTATTTTTGCGTATGCCTTGAGCTCTCTGAATGGATTGTTCACATCCCCGGCGCCCACTGATTTCAAGAAAGCACTTGTTTCCCTTGGATGTATACTTTTTGGGGAATAGCTGGTAAGGCACTGCTCTCGTCTGGTATTGAAATTTCGATTTCGTCAGGGCGATAAATTGGAAATGCAGAATAATCCATCTCGTTAGACTCCGGGAGAAGAGCGCCCATGAATCGCTTGACTCCAGTCTTATCTAAGAAGATAGGCAACAGCTTGCCCTGATCGGCATGCAGTGAGTAATGGAAATTCTCTGGAAATAAGCAATCGTGGAGAGTGTATTTCTGATGTAAGTCCAATGGTGGAATCTCATGAAAAATTGGAAGAAAATATTCCAGTGCCCAGTCAACCAATTCTTCAAGAGGATCCTCAAATTCTTCGTCCGGGTTAGGCAGATAATAAGGTTCTAATGCTCAAGATGTCTGAGGTAATCTGCCAGTAGTTTCGGTGACTTCTCAAAGTTGGAGGCTTTCAACTCGATTTGGAACTGTTTGTTGGAGACGAAGGCATTTATCTCGGAGTCCTTGTCATGTATACTGGACCGAAATGGACCTAATGTGTAGCAGCGAAGTGTTTCCATGCCAGTGGTTGAACAAAGTCTGTTGATATGATTGGAATTAAGAAATGGAGGACGAGGATGACCACCTTGATGTTGGATAGAGTGGTATTCTCAGGTAGGATAAAGGGGGTTAGTGTATTAGCCTGAGACCCAATTCGTAAGGTTGATGAGGACAGAAACAGGGAAGCGATGAGTGCAGGAGGAAAAGGTCATGGGGACACGAGGCTGAAAGGGCGGAGAACATCAGAAGGCGGAGCTTACAGAACAAGGTATTAATGTGCTGAACTTCTTCCAAGGTTTGGCACCTACAAGGAAACCCCTTTAGACTACCTAACCGCTTTAAAACTAGGTAAATGTAGCCCTAGAGATACTTCAGCTATGAGCCGATTTTTTGTCTCCGCTATTCGCCAGGTAGTGACAAAGAAGAGGTCTTAAGGTCTACACAATCATCTCCCAGGACATCAGGAGTGTGTTCGTGGTGATGACATGAAAAAAAGTTTTAATTATTACCAGCATGAGAATAAATGGCTTTTCCTATGCTAGTTCCTTGCTCCTTGCCTTTAACTCCTTGAACGATCTTCTCCACTGAACCCATCGCCGTAAGAATCATCTACCAGTTCCGCTGAATGCAGCTTGGTACGCACAAAAAAAAGAGTTCGATAAACCTCAAGAAAAAGAAGTGAGAAGTGAAAAAACGACATTGAAAAAAAAGTAAATCAACCCATCATATCATCATCCGCAATGACCCAGACAAGACGTGCGCCATTGGCAGAGAGTTGCCAGACCTGTGAAACAAGATTAGTATTTCAATCATAGAATAGATCATAAGGATGAAAAAACTTACGTTCGCTTCCACATACTCGTGGAGAGCAGTGGTGAGTTGATCATCGGTAAAGCCTTTGGCAAGCACACGCTCACGGATACGTCGAATGCTCATGGCATTATCTTCATCATCATCAATCACAGCAGCACCACTCTCCCACATGCTACGGATCAGGGTGTAGATCTTGCTGGTAGGGGTGTGATCGGCTCCAGATTCACCGTCGTTGTAGAGCGAAGCCTTGCTAACCTCGATGAGACGCAGGGCCTCATCAACATCCTCGCGGACAACCTCCTCGCTGAATCGGAGACGGGCCAGCGCCTGCGAGAGACGAACAATACCCAACAGGGTACGAGGGGTGACGTGCGAGAACTGCTGGCGACGGGCCTCGTCCTTCTTCTGTCTCTTACGCATAGACACATAGGCACCGACCATGTAGTCGGAGACATTGGAAGGCACAATCGGGCGGAAGCTGCGTGCCTTGGCAATGTACTGACGGACCTCGTGAGGAGTGAACACGACACCCGCATCCTCGGTTTCGGGGTGCTTGTTGTGCATGTGGACGTAGGTTACGTGAGAGGCCAGTTCCTCATCAGTATCCCGGGATGGAGTATCCAAGAGCAGGAACATGACATCGAAACGAGAGAGAAGAGCGGCGGGAAGGTTGATGTTCTCGACGGGGGAGATACGGGGGTTGTATCGTCCGTAGAGAGGGTTAGCAGCAGCCAAGATGGAAGTACGGGCATTCAAGGTGGTGGTGATTCCAGCCTTGGAAATAGAGATAGTCTGTTGTTCCATAACTTCGTGAATAGCAGTGCGATCGCCGTCCTCCATCTTATCGAACTCATCAATACAGCAGATACCATTGTCGGCAAGAACCAGGGCACCTCCCTCCAGCATCATCTCATCGGTAACTGGGTCTCGCATGACCGCAGCAGTAAGACCGACACCACTGCTACCACGACCAGTGGTGTACACACCACGAGGGGCGACCTTAGTAATGTATCGAAGCAATTGAGATTTGGCAACACCAGGGTCACCCATCAGGCAAATGTTGATATCACCACGAATGTGCATACCGTCACCCATCTCCTTGGTGACACCGCCGATCAGGAGAAGAAGCAGAGCCTTCTTCACGTCAAGGTGACCGTAAATCTCAGGAGCAATGGACCGAGAAAGGTACTCGTACATGTTACCCGAGTTCTGGTGCTGCTCGATTTTGCGCAGGGTGCGGGCATCCATACCCATGTCCTGGTAGGACTTCTTGTGCTGGGTGATGTGCTGTGCCTCGAGGTAGGTATCGGTCAACAGACCAGCGCGAATGGCACGGAAACCAGTGTAAGGGGTGGGCAGGAAGATACCGGCAATGTCAACAACATCACCAGGGTTCAGAGAACGGGTCAGGGCTCCGTGGCAGTGGATAGTCAACGTTCTAGGAATGTGACCAACAGGAACCTGGTCGGCCATTTCTTGGATCTTGACCTCTTGGAATGGAACGAATTTGGATGCACGGGTGGAGAGGAACAGCTGACCCTTGGAGTTGTTCTTCTTGCAGTCCTCTGACAGACACTCGGAAAGAGGAAGGAACTGCTTAGTGGTGATGGGCTGGAAAACTTCACATCCGCATCGATCGCAAGTGTAGGCATTGATCTGAACTGCGGGCTTGACATCGGAGACACGGGTTGTAATACCGCGCACAGTGATTAGGCTACCCAGATGCTCACCACGAACGTTGCGAACAGCAAGCGCCTTTCCACCACGGTCGCTGCTGGATCCAGAGGGAGTGATTGGCTTAAAGTTGAGGGTGTATCGGCGGGTCAGCTCCGGGGGGAACATGCTTGCGGTAGCAGCGGCGTCCATATCAGCCTCTGCGGCCATTTCCATCGTTTCGTTGCGCTTGTCACGCTGCGACATGATCACGTCCAGGACATCATCCTTGAACCTGTAAGATATCAGCGATCGGGTCAATTTATGGTCACAAGAGGCATTGAGATCCAATTGACATACGTAACATCCTTAGTCTCCTTGGGCATAATCGCATCCACCGCTTGCGAGAAAACATCGATATAGCGCTTGGTGTTTTTCTGAATGGACTCGACCAGCTTCATGTCTTGCTGCTCCTCAGGCAGAGCTTTCTCGAACTATCATGGCGCAATTGTTAGGTTCGATAATCTAGAGAGGGAGGGTTTAAAAAAAAATACGGCCGAAGAAAACTCACAATCTCAACATCATCCAGCTCAATCAAGATGTGTGCGACATCTCGATTGGCGATGTCCTGCAAAATTTGCATATACTTGAGCTTAGGCTCCCGGCGCCTCCTTGCTCCACGAGTTGTAGCGCCCTCATCTTCCACATCATCCATGAAATCGTACTCATCACTGGTGCGGTTACCATCGATATTCAGGTCCTCGAGGGCCTCGGTCGCAGCAGCCTCGGAGGTCGACTGGAGAGTCTTGAAATGCTTCAAAAAATCCTTGAAAGCATCCAACTGGGCGGCGTAATCCACCGGTGCATGATATTGAAGTAAAGCCATGCCGAAGGGGGTTTAGGGATGCAGGCTCAAGTTAGTGAAGAGAACGCAAAAGTGGTGGGGAGCTGGTTTGCGGCGAAAATGGATCTCCAGCCCCTAGACACGCGAAACACGTAAAACGCGTACATTTGCACTAACGCGCCAAGAAATACCAGAGTATGAGATGATGGTTGGTGGAAATAGACCCACTCTGTAATTGACCAGTTGGTGTCATTTCCAAGGTTACTGAGCTGATTCGTTATGTCAAAGTACCCTCCAGCCTTGTCACCAGGGCTAAGGGATCCATGCCCAGCTGGCAGCTGTACTTCCAATCTTGGAAAGGTGTTTGCCACCTGCGCACTTTAATTCCTTCTAGTTATGGATAACTCGCCGCCTTACTAAATAGGCATAAATCCTGAACCCCACTAAACTGACAGGGATGTCAAGCGACTCAAGCCTTGTTATAATCCCGGCCCCGTATTGCCCCAACTGAGTTATGGGCCCCCCTAATTACTAACCTGTTGGGCAAAGGATCCTGTCCTGCTTTGGCATATATTGGCTCCCACAACCACAATGCCTGACGGGCAGGGCAGGCTGGTTAGACGAGGCACCGCCAGATCACGATCTGGCTGCATCACTTGCAAGTAAGTGTCACTTTTATCTCCTATTTCTAGCAATGACATCCCACTAACCAGGAGACAGGATTCGACATGTGAAGTGTGGCGAGGAAAAACCAAACTGTTTAAAATGCGTCAACTCGGGACGGAAATGCGATGGCTACAGTACGGCAACCCAAATGCAACATCGAGCCAGACTGGAACAGGCTTATCGTCGACCTACTATGTCCTTCAGTGCAGATCACACACTAGTGATGACCCCGGGTAGCAAGCAAGAGCGCCAGTACCTTAACACGTTTTATGCGCAAGGTGCCGGGTGTGTGAGCGGACTTATTTCCTCTGATCTCTGGAATCAGCTTATCCCACAACTCATCCATCAACAACCCATGATTCGACATGCGGTGGCAGCTGTAAGCGCAGCCTGTTTAGAGCAATTTTGTCCCATCGGATCTTCCGTTTCCCAGAACAGTGTGGTCGCACTCCGGCAATATAACAAAGCCATCAAGGAGTTTGTGGATTTTGCATCGAAGGCTCAAAGTCAAGAATTCGAGCATGTGCTTGTTGGGTGTATCCTGTTCATATGTTTGGAGATGGTGAGAGGTGATCAAGATCAGGCACTCAGTCACCTAGATGGTGCACTCCAACTCATGCAGAGATACCGAGCGAGAACAGGCGATCGCGCCTTGGATAGTCCAGTATTCCAATTCCTGTGTCGTCTCAACAATCAACAACCTTACCTTGGTCGAGCAATTGTTCCCCTTGAATCCGAGGCCGATTTTAAAGAGATGGACAAGGAGCCCATGCATTTTGACAACATCGAGCAGGCTCGGGCTATAACCACAACCATGCAGCGGCGTACTATAATGTTCAACGGATCGATGTCTTTAAACGAGAACGGAGAAATAGCAACGGAGAAAATGCAACAAGAATACAATGCGATCTTGCAGATGGCACCAGCCTGGGAAGCAGCCTTCCAGAAGTTCATAGTGGATTCCGCTAAAAAGTCCAAGTCTCTTGATCCTCGCGCAATTTTCGCCATGGAAATCGCGCATCATACTTGTACAGTGTATGCAAAGACCTGTTTATCTCACATTGAATCGGACTATGACGTCCACGCGTCTCATTGGGAAGCGATCATCCATGCAGCAGAACAGATCTTACTTCTTAGCGTGGATCCACAAAACATCACCTCACCACTTTCAAAGCTATTCTCCATAGAGGCTGAAATCACACCCATGGTCTCCTTCACAGCTGCTCGATGTCGGGATCCCTTGCTTAGACGTAGAGCTGTGTCCGTCCTAGCTCGCCATCCTAAACGAGAAGGGTTTTGGAATACGAAGGTCGCCCATAGACTTGTGGAAAGGGTTGTTGAATTTGAGGAGGCGCCTCTTGCTACCCTGCCCATTGAACAAAGGATTCCGCTGGAACATCAGCGCTTATGTCTCGCGTATGCCGCTGCCACGCAAGGCGTGTATCGGAACCCTGTTCCAGTGTTCATGATGTGGAAGCCAGACGGGCCGAAAACCGCGGTAAAGACCTGGTGGGAATATTTAAACTGGGAATAAAATCACTATTACGCGCGAGTGATTTCATAGACTACTTGTACTTGGCTACTTGAAAATATTCGCAAAATTGTCATGCATTCATTGAGTATTCGTAGGCTTTCACTGTGCAGTCTCAAAGTACGGAGGTGGATCGTCCGAAGGACTTTGTGGAGATTGCTCGCCATTCAACGGTCGCGGGCGTGAAAGTGGGAAAGGTAGTGGGAAATTGAATCTCTCCGGTGGAGGAAATGGTGTATACCGCCGGGGTGTAGCAGGTAGCTCAACTGGATCACGATCTGCCCGTAGTTCAGCGACAGGGGTAGCTGGTCTCTGTTGATGTTGAACCTGCCAGTGTCGTGTTTCTTCGAGGGATGGTAGCTCAACCGGTACTTGCTCAAGCTGGATAGCAGCTGATTCTCGTATATTTTGACGGATAGTCACAGGGGAGGACAGTTCCGTGGGGAGGTACTCGAGGTGTCGGAACTCGGCCATGGAGATATCGCGACCGAGATGGCGTTTGAGGATTTCATGGAGGATAAATCGCTCAGAAGCGTTTCCTTGTGCCTCTACAAAAGAGATTCGTGGATTGACCTCACTCATTCTTTGTAGTCGGTTTGCATGGCGATGGTGATTGAGACTTCCTTCAATGCCGATCAAAAATATTGTGACATACGCCCAAGAGAGACTCAAGAGCTCAAGCTCAAACTCATCCATATCACTAGCTTCACCATCAAGTATCATCAGTAGCCTAAGGTTAGGGGTATCCACACCTGGCTGCCACCCGTAAACGGAGTGATATTGTGATGAGCTGAAGTGTTTTTGGAAATGCAGCTGCTTAATCTTGTTCCATCCCGTCATGATTCGTGTTCGTCCACCAAATTTAACATTATTCCAGACGTCATTGACGTTCAGCTGGTTGACAACTCCCATATAATTTGCTTGACTCGAGAAGGTGACAAGAGGGTATCCGTGGAAATGATTATCGTAGGTCTCCATTGACTTCATGAAACGATTTATTATCGCCATTGCGAGTTCTGTATGGCAAGGAATAATTGTAAGCATTTATCAAAAAAAGGTCCAATGTTAATATTCAGTTTTACCTTTGTTTTTTGGCTGACTTGTCTTGACAAAACCAGTGATGAGATATTTGTTATAGTTGGGTCGTGCAGGACTGAAGTCCATAGAGCCAGAGACATCCAGCAGAATCGCAGTCTCATCGGTTGGGGATATAAAATTGCTCCAAGATCGGAAATTGTTCTTAACTTGTTTTGAGTAGCCTTGGGATGTAAGGTGAACATGGCAGGTATCATCAGGGTAATGATATACAGGGGGTATCTCCACTGCTGAACTCATGCGGGTGCGAGCCATATCCAGGGCTGAGACAATGTCAGGCTTGAGGACAACACCGCCTCCATCTCGGTTGCTGAGGACCCAGTAAAGTCGTTCCTCGGCGGTGTTTTCAAATGCCCTCCATGCAGGGGTGATGCCCCGCCAACCGACAGCAGAATCAATTGAGAATCTCAAGGGTGTTGAGGCTTGAGTATCTGCATTCCAAGCGAGAGGAACAGGTTCAAAATATCCCGCTCGTAGAAGGTGGAGGTATTGACAAGGACTTTTTGCCCGAAGCTCTTTCACCTTGGATACGATTCCAAGGGCCTGCTGATACATGGCCACGATTTGTCTGTCGTAGTCATTTTGCCATCGACCTTCTTCCTCTTTGAGGATGTCTTCACGAAGCTTGAATCCGACAGAGAATTTCTTTTTTATCTTTTCTGCCGCCCTTTCATCTGATGTCCTGACAGAAAGTACCTTTTTAAAGCTTGCTCGCCTTGATGATTTTTCTGGATGATCAGCGTTCTCTGGGGGCTTGGAGGGGGCGGTTTTTGTTATCCAAGATTCTAGCTGCTCCAAATCCCAAATGCTGAAGGACGGTTCCTGGACTTGAGCTGCTATCTTCGCTTTCGCATCGAGACTTGCGTTGAGTGCTATGGTCTGATTAAGAAATTCAGCATGATTTTGAGGATCCGGTTTTGAGCTCCCCGATAAAGATACGCCGGAGAATCCGTAAGGTGATGACACCTCTAAAGTGTATGGGTTGTTGTTAAAGAGACGTAGGTGAGTGCAGTCATGATATGGCTTCTCTCCAGGGTATACCACGGCTTTCGACCACGCTTCTTGGACTTCTAGGCGATCGACTTTTCGCTTCCAATATTTATGCACGGCACATTCACATAGATGGGTAGTCTCGTGCTCGGGTTCAATTTCGGGATTCCAGATTTGGCATGACAGTTGGACGCTGTGAAGCATATTTTGCATATCCTGCTCATCCTTGATCCTGAGGTTTGCAGCCTCGATCACAGCGTTGCTATGGTCTCGGCGGAGTTCATGATCACTTATTGGTAAAGTGCGGGTCGTCGGTTTTGGATGTGTTGAACTTGCTATTGATGTACGAGTACTTGGTGGACTTAGTGGCCATTGGCCTGACGGATGGGGTAGGTGCGCTGAGCCGGATGGATATGAGGGAGGAGAGGCAGGCGGTGTTACCATGGTCGCGACATGATTAAGGCTAACAGAGTTGACTGAGCTGCGTACGGAAGAGGGTGGGCGATGGTTCTGATATCTATCCATCACGTCATAAAATTGTGGTGCCACTTTTGACCCTATGATTTGCGCTCTTCGATCTGGTCAGTGCACGTGTGGGCTGGAGATCCATATATCGGCAACTTGAAGGTATTCTGAGATTCTGATTTGAGGGCAATTACCTGTAGACTCTATTACAAAAGTGGATTGAATGTTCAGAGTTGCTGCACCGTGACCTACAATGTAGGCTAAAAATTCCGTTACCTCGGCTTCAAGATTTGTGAGATCCGAGGCAGTGTTAACAGTGCTGAGGTGGACAGGTACCTAGATCTCCTGGTGAGACGTAAAGGTCATAGAATTCATGAAAAAACAACGGGAGTATAAAGATGTGCGCATTTTCTAGGTTGGAAGGATTATAACTTCAAGTTGACGTTTCGGAGTTCCCCTCTCCCCCTGCATAATGACATGTTGCATTGACACACTTGAACCTTGGAACACGGAGTAATTAATCTATACTAATTATATCACGAGCACGTGGGCCGTGTCCTGGCGATGAGTGGGTCTTTTCCATATAGTGGAGAAGATGGCTGGTAGAATCGTGATTGCGGCTCAGTATTCTGGGCGATTTACGCGAGTCTTCGCGACATAATGCGTGTCATGGGATCCGGATTATATTAGAGCCGCCTGACGATACATCATTCCAAGCCCTGGAGGTTATATATGACTCAGGAATGGAAATGTGGCTATATAGGCACATGTGCCCGGGTGTGAGATTCTATAAATACGAAATTTCAAGCTGTCAACTGGTCTTGGCATGTGAACATCATGATAGAACCAATTGACTGATTAGGCACCCAAGATACTTCGAATGTTCCAACATTGAAAGTTCGACTTGTGGTACTAGTATAATCCTGGATGTTTCACCCCGAGTGGCAGAGCATTCAAGTAAAGCACCAAGGGACTCGGATATCATGTGCACATGCAAGCTCAAGTTGAGATACTAGGTATTCTTGGGCATCCTGGATCATGTCGTTGAATTGCAAGCAAGTAATAGCACAATTTGCAACTTCAAGTTTCCAAGGTTCGTTAAAAATCCCTCAATTAGGTAAGACACGTGGTAGATAACCTTCCTTGCCCAGGTGGAAACCTTAATCTTGGAACTTGACCCTTGGAAGCGACATTTTTGTTAATATTTTACTCGCGTAAGATACCGAGCGAATCATGGAAATTTGTAATAGCATCAATGGAGTATGTATCCGGGATGAATGGGTCCTTGATTATGTAGTAACTTTAAGCACTTGATATAATGGGCATTGTAGCCAAAGGTACAACTTGAACCGTGCGCATACACTCGAAGGTTCGGGTTCAAGTTGGCAACCTTGGAATGCACATTCTGGTTTTAAGGAAAGAATCCGTGGATGTATCTTCAAGTTCCAAGACCAAGCAAAATATTCAGTATTTGGATCCTTTAAGTTGTAATAACTAGATTAATTAGTTTCATCCAAAATCTCTCAGCCCTGGGATTCGGTCCCACATAGGCTGCACCGGGCCGGTCCGCATAGCTCAATGAGGGATTCCGAGTCTTCGCATCTCATTAAGATTGGTAAACTTGCTCAGCGACACCACGACGTGCAGGATTAACGATATTGAACATTTCAATGTCATACCAATAGCCTATGAACAGACTATGTGGGTATAAGACGCAATGAGATGCATACCTTCGATTTGAAATTCTATATGGCAACTCGAATCATTCAAATGTTGAAGCTAGAGAGGGGCCATTTGGATGATTCATGGTTTCATCACCCTGTCGATGTTTCACATGTTCCAGTTCAAAGCGTCATTTTTATCTTCTGGGAAATGTACTCATTGATGATCCTTTCTCCAACGGTAATAGCTGAGAAGTATGTGTTGAAGTAGAGTAACATTTGAATGTTTAGTCCTTCCGTGATAGCGATGATGAGAGCCGCCGAGACCATCACAGCTTGTATATTAGCAAATGATTCATCTAGACGAGACCAAATGACTCGGAGCAAGGAGGGTACAGGAGTATCTTCCTCATGCAAAGACGTACTGAACCCCGCTCAACGATCATAATGGACCTATTGGACAAAATCCTCCTCGTCGCTGGGTCCACTTCTTCTCTGCTGTGTTACCTACAAGGATAATGATTTTACAGCCAGTTATGGTTTACGAAAATGAACAATCATCGAAGGAAGAGATTAAAAAAAGACATCATGATGGCACCTGGATGTGCACCCCCTCTTTCTGGAAACTTGAAGATTTTTAAATTCCCATTCCCATGATTATTGACAATCTTTGAGATAATATTGTCACTATCTTATTTGCAGCTCGTCAACAACGCTATGTCTCTTCTTCTGGGTTTTACCTTTATTATATTCCCCGTGGTTGTCTATTTTATCACTACCATTCGCAGCCGTGAAAAGCTGAATTTGCCCCTACCACCAGGTCCTCGAGGACTACCTATTATCGGTAACTTACTGGATCTTCCAGGTCGACACGAAAGAGATTGGGAGTGCTATCACAAGCACAAAAAGCTATATGGTTCGAAAATCGGCTCTCAAAATGGATTAGCGACTTGGACCTTCAAATGTTGACGCTTCTTGACACAGGCCCTATCAGCTACATGAAGGTTTTAGGACAGCCTCTGGTTATACTCAGCGATCCCGATATTGCTTTGAAGCTACTAGAGAAACGCTCTGGTAAATACTGGTCGCGCCCAGTATCGAATTTTGCCGATATGTAAGACTCGAAGAAACAACCCAACCATTCAACCGAGAGGTGACAGCTGACCTCTTCAGGTCGGGTTGGAGTCGAATCCTTGGCGCACTCATCAAGCCAGAGGACATTCGATTAACTCGAAAGTTTCTCCATCAAGAGATTGGTACCAAAGGATCTTTTTCATCCTTCGACGATATCCAAAGATCGGAGGTTAGTCGTTTGTTGTTAAGACTACTGAAAGAACCAGATGAGCTTCAAGGAATTATAAGGAAGTAAGTGCAACAATTATCGGAGTGACCAAAGCTTGAGCGCAATTGATTTTTAACACCAACCAGAGAGGCTGGCGCGATCACTTTGAAGATTGCATACGGTTATAACATTGAACCTCACAGTCGTGATCCCTTGGTGGATCTTGCCGAAACAGCAATAAATGAATTCTCGCTTGCGCTCGTCCCAACGTCATGGCTAGTGGACTTTGTGCCAATCTGTAAGTGAGATTTCAAGGAACATAAGTTAAGCTTTGATGATTAATTCGTGAGACTAGTAAAATATTTGCCGGTCTGGTTCCCTGGTGCAGGTTTTATCAAAACTGCTCGGCAATTCAAGGTCAATTCAACTGCCTTCACTGATATCCCATACAATTTTGTCAAGCAACAAATGAAGACAGACTCGTTTATGCCATCTTTCCTGTCTAATTGTCTGCAGCGCAATCCTGTAGCACCTGGATCCAAAGAAGAAATTATTCTTAAATGGGCAGCAGCAGATTTGTATGCTGGTGGGTCAGATACGGTGAGAGAAAGTACAACACTCACAGTATATTACTGTTACTAAGAGAATACCAGACTGTCTCTTCCATGTCCAGTTTCTTCTTAGCTATGGCTCTTTTCCCTGAAGCTCAACGCAAGGCCCAGGAAGAGATTGACTCTGTGATCGGAAGCCATCGACTCCCTCAAGCTCACGAGCGGGAATCCCTCCCCTATATGAATGCATTAGTCAAGGAAGTGCTCCGATGGCACCCGGTGTTGCCTGTGAATATTGCTCATGCGTTAGTCCAGGATGATGAGTGCGAGGGCTACTTTATCCCTAAAGGATCGTTCGTTCTTGCCAACATATGGTATGCAGCCCTGAATTTTGAGAAATCAGAGGTTATGAATAGATACTAACCCAGTACAGGACATTCACTCACGACCCAGATGTCTATGATGAGCCCATGACTTTTAAGCCGGATCGTTTCTTGGAATCTTCAAATGGGCATAAACCAGCACCCGATCCCCATCGCTATGTATTCGGCTTCGGACGTCGAGCATGTCCTGGCCGGGTCCTGGCTGATGGGAACATATTTCTTTCCGTGGCCCAGATTCTGGCTGTGTATAACATCTCGAAGCATATAGTGGACGGGAAGGTCCAGGATATTCAACCGAACTTCACAGGAGGAGGAGTCATCAGCCACCCCGCCCCTTACAAAGTATCTGTCAGCCCAAGAAGCCAGAAGCATCAAGAGCTCATTGAATCTCTGGAGGAATTGTATCCTTGGGAGAAAAGTGATGCGGCACTTCTACCCAGTATGTAGGAGCTCGATTTCACGGATGGAGAGCATGTGAGAGAGCAAGAATATATTGGAAGCTAGAAACTTCGTATGCGTTTTGATTCGTGTATCAATGTAGGAGTTAGCTTAATTTAGAGTGTTAACGTCAGGGGCTGAACCTCAAGTCGGCATCTCAACTGCATTTGATGCCCGATTTCAAAGGCCACAATCAATCAGCCGAGGTTCACAGTGGACCGATTCCCGGGCGGTGACCCAGCCCTGGAGCAGTCAAGAGACCGGGGAAGCCCCCGTTCCCCACCTCTTTCTCATGAACACCAACATGGCGCCCAAGAAGCCCTCCACGACGGCGGAAGTCGCTCTTGTTCCTTTGAAGAACTGCCTTGTCAATCTCCCGCCGTCGCTGGTCTCCTTGCTGGTCAATGCGGATACGGTATGTCTCAGGAACAAGTCTAAGATTCGCTTTTCCGGCTAACTCATGTGATTGTAGACTGCACAGAATGTCATAATCGAATTGCAATACAAGTCTCCGACTGGAAAAGCGAATGGAGCTCCGCCAGAGCGATCATGTTACTTGGGATGGACGGGCATGCCGAGCAAGCGAAGGCTTGCGCCGGTAGTAAGCCGCGACGGCATCGGCGCCGGCTACTCTAGAGAACAAGAGATCTCAACCGTGGAGCTGGACACAACATTTGGAAGACTTCTAAGCCTTACAGAGGGACAGAAGGTTTGGACTCATTATGCTGTATTTTGAGTCGTGTGTTAACTTAGTGCAGGTCGGACTACTTGTACATCTTGACCCGCCCGTCGCGCATACGATCAATATCGAGCCATTGACCCCAGAGGACTGGGAGAGTAAGTTTCCCCGACCCATCGCAGAACAATCGCACGGTACTAATTATATGTCTTTGAATAGTCATTGAACTCCATGCCACATTTTTGGAACTCAATCTCTTATCACAGATCCGAGCTCTTCCCAATCCTTCCTACGCCACGGCGCAATCGGAGCATATGCACCCGCTTGCACTCCACCTCTCCCCCACATCTACTGCGAATATCGTCGTTACCTCCCTCGACCCCACCCCATCAACAACTTCTCCGTTTGCAAAGATTGCGCCCGATGCAGAGGTCATTGTCGCGCCGAAAGTCCGATCGAAGCCCGGTAAACAATCTCGTGGTGACAGTCGGAGTAACGCTGGGAGTAGTAGAAAGAGCACTGGCGGACGAAGTGCTTCGAGTACGGTTCGCCAGAAGAATCGGTCTGACTCCAGCAGTCGAGGCGCTCTCTACCTTCGCGGCGTTGACCGCGGGGCTGCAGATGAATTGTTCGAGACTGAAATAGAAGAGGACGAGAACGATGGACTTCGCGTTTGGGTGGATCCAGAACTACTGGCGTCACAAGAACTGCGGGGTGCGAGCTGGGCATGCGTCTCAATTGTACAGCCTTCAGGTCTTAAGCCCCCGGTAGATCCCCAGCAGCAATTGGCCCAACAGGAACAGAAATCTCAAGAGGCGGGCTCTCCTACTACTAAGTTGGTGGCTAAATTGCTTCCCTGGGAAGATGCTCCTGATAGTCGACACGCAGCGATGTCTACTTTACTCTGCACGGCCCTTGGTGCAGAGAATATGGTGGGAGGAGTCGTGCGCGTGGAAGCTGCTCCGCCACAATTGCATCGCTCAGCGGTGAAGACACTCAAGGTGTACCCGTTCATCGCGGATGCTTACAAGAAGAAAGATGGGCTCAAGTTCGGATCTGATACTGCTGCGTCTCGAGATGCCTTAGCTGAGCGTCTGAAGGTCATTTATGGCAGTACTGGTTCCGACATCGGTTTGTTTTCTGGCCCATTGACTGATGGCATGGTTCTTCCTAAGGTCGAAAACCATCCTTCGGTTTCTTCATTTGATGGTGCTATCTTACGTTTTGACCCTCCTCTGAAAGGAGGGGCTGACGAGACCAAGACCATGTTTGGATGGCTTCTGGGCTCTGAAGCTATCCTCAACATCGAGGTTCAGGCTGACATTCCCAGGCCATCTGGCTCGGGCTCATCTGCCCTGCCCACGGATGATCCTCTCTCAGATACTGTCCCTCACCTCGTTGGGATTGACAAGTTGATCTCCCAGTCTCTGTCAAACTTGACAAAATCATCATCTATTTTATTGACCGGAGGCCTTGGCTCTGGAAAGACAGCGCTTGCACAACTTCTGGCCCATCGCCTCCGTAAAGATCATCTTTTCAACGTCAAGTATTTCTCTTGTCGCAAGTTGGTGACCGATGAGACTCGTATTTCAAACATAAAAGAGGTCTTGAATCGCCTTTTTATGTCTGCTTCTTGGTGTGCTCGTCTCGGCGGACAAGCGGTTGTAGTCCTTGATGATCTTGACAAGCTTTGTCCCATGGAGACTGAGATGCAAGTCGGTGGAGACAACGGACGCAGCCGCCAGAATAGCGAGGTCATTTGCTCTATGGTTCGAGAGTATTGTTCTATGAATTCATCAGTGGTACTGTTGGCTACGGCACAGGCTAAGGAATCCCTCAATAATGTTATTATTGGTGGTCATGTTGTTCGAGAGATCATCAACGTGAGAGCCCCTGATAAGGAAGGTCGTCGCAAGGTGCTGGAGACACTCACTAGCCAAGACAAACCTACTCGGGCTTTGAATGGTCATCAACGTACAACAAGTACTTCCACTCAAGACTCATGGCTTGATCCTTCAAATCCTGGCAGTCGGCCCAGTTCTTCAGGTGGCGATGGCTTTGTTTTAAGCCGAGATCTAGATTTCCTTGAGCTTGCTGGAAAGACCGACGGGTATATGCCGGGCGATCTTGTACTATTAGTAGCTCGAGCTCGCAACGAGGCACTCATCCGCTCTGTCCAGGATTTGTCTGCGGAGTCCAAGATGATTACTCTGGGCTTCGATGATTTTGAAAGTGCCTTGAAGGGCTTCACGCCCGCTTCTCTCCGCAACGTGACCCTCACTTCATCTACGACAACTTTCTCGGCAATTGGCGGTCTTTTCGAGACTCGCAAAATGCTGCTGGAGACCCTGCAATACCCAACTAAATATGCGCCCATTTTCGCTCAGTGTCCCCTACGACTACGATCTGGTCTCCTACTGTATGGATTCCCAGGTTGTGGTAAAACCATGCTAGCTAGCGCAGTGGCAGGTGAATGCGGCTTGAACTTTATCAGCGTCAAGGGTCCCGAGATTCTGAACAAATACATCGGTGCCAGTGAGAAGAGTGTTCGCGATCTCTTTGAACGAGCTCAAGCAGCTCGTCCGTGCGTGCTATTCTTTGATGAATTTGACAGTATCGCCCCTAAGCGTGGTCACGATTCCACTGGTGTCACTGATCGTGTTGTCAACCAGCTTCTTACACAGATGGACGGAGCGGAGGGTCTCTCGGGAGTCTATGTTCTCGCGGCGACATCTCGCCCTGATCTGATTGATCCGGCTCTTCTTCGCCCTGGACGTTTGGACAAGTCTTTGCTTTGCGATATGCCATCACATGCAGATCGCATTGACATCATTCGGGCGGTCAGCTCAAAACTGAAGATGAATGACGAGGTTGCTTCTCGCTTGAATGAGATCGCCGGCGAGACGGAAGGATTCTCCGGTGCTGACATCCAGGCAGTGGTGTATAATGCCCATTTGGAGGCAGTGCATGATGCACTTGGTGACCGCACCGCCGAAGCGACCAAGCCCAACGCCAAGTCAGGCGCCACAAAACCGTCACCTTCGAATACATCCAGCAGATCCTTCATCCAATTTCTCTACTCTTCCTCCGAGGAGGCGTCCGGGAAAGTCACGATGCCCCCTCCAGCCGTGGTTGCAGCCAAACTGGATGCAATCAAAAACTCCCGTCGCCGCCAACGCCAACTTGAGAATGGCGGCGCCTCATCTGGGACTTCTTCCGTTTCAGCTCCTGCAACTAACGGGGCCGACGGCTCTGCCGATGAGCTCCGTGATGAAATTATTGTCCGGTGGGAACATATTGAGCGATCGCTCAAGAGCACCCGCCCCTCGCTTAGCCCTGCAGAACGCCGTCGCTTCAATGGAATTTATCGAGAGTTCGTGGTTGGGCGAAACGGGGAAATGCCCAATGGTGAAGCAGGAAATGAAATTGGAGGTCGCACAAGCTTGATGTGATCGGCCTTGGTCTAGCCCTGTATCTACGGGTAGATTGTGATGGATCGGTAGTGGGAACATCTGGACGAGGTCCGAGTTTCTGTATATTTGTAAACATTATCATTTTGCATTGTTCCTGTGGTTATTTACTTTGCTTTTGCTTGTACCTACACATTTATTCCATTCAAGTTGCATTTGGATGAGTATCTTTATTGATTTTACGCAGTCCGAGTCTCTACTGGTGATACTAGTGGACCTTCTACTAGTACGACCTCAGTCCATAAGCAGTATTCCTGTTTCTGTTCCTGCTTTCAGCTAAGATGAGGCGCCGAAGAACCTTGAAATCCACGTGTGATTATTCACGGAATCACGGAATTGATTATACTAGTAATTAACCCCACCGCCCCTTCAAATGTTGATGATAAATCGCTAACAGGGGTCGTCTGACAGCATAAGTACTACTAGTCCTACTAGCACTAGTACCTACATGGAATCAGGATTACTCTCGCACCTGCATCCAGATAGTGGCGTAAATTCACCCGTTTGAATGGCCATTGTATCAGGGTCCTGCAAACTGATCTTGAATTAATATACAGTCGGGAAAACTTCCTAGTCTCAAGTGCTGAAATCCTGATTAGCTTCAGGGACAATTGACACCGCTCTACTATACATAATATCAGTATGGATTATAGCCAGTATCAAGGTACTACTACTAATACCTCCAGGGCTGGGTAGTAGATGAATAATCGAATATTCCGGATTTGTAAAAGAAGTCATTTATTTGGTCAACATTTGAATATCAATTTCATACATTGAAGACATCTTGGCATGCATATTGAATGTATGCAATGCCGCATACTCTCCGAGGCTATGGAATATCCGAGTTCGTGCCCAAGGGAAAAGAAAACTATGGTGAGAAGTTTAATATCGGCGTATTCCGTACTCATCATCTTGATCTATAGATGTCGCTAAATAGTAATCATGATGTTTGCCAGGTACTACTATTCCGTACCTTGAGTCCACTTCGTATGGAGTCTCGGTCCTAATGTGTATTAGTTTCCGCATATGCCGCTGTACTATGGACTGTAGTATGGATTCAATCGCATCAATCACTGTGAATATCTCTAACCGATTTCATCTTAATTCTCCTCGCTTGACACTCATAGTCCTTTGATTTCATATATCCGTTTCATGGCAATCTCACCAATCAAGCGGCAGACAATACCAATTGGGAGAGAATTCATGAATCAGTGAGCATTGAAGGATTGAAGGATCGACATACAAACTTGAACTCGGAGCATTTAATTCGGAATCCGTCTAATGTTAAGACTCCACTGATTAAATGAAAAAGTCTCTTGGCACAGCGCCTTGTAACTGTGTAAAAAATAGCATTCACGGCGGACTGGATCGGAAACGTCCGAGCAGTGATTTCTCATTATAGAAATGATGTGTGATGCTAAGCAATATCAAGCATACTTATCTGTGGCTTGAACTTAAATAAAAAAAGAAATAAAAAAAGAAAGGAACCTTCTACCTATTGGACCCCGCAGTAATGATATCACTTTACATAGGTCAATAGAATATCAAGTTAGGGCATGCGTTGTTTCCTAAGAATAGCCTCAACCTAATATTATAATAGGCAGCAGAGATATGTGAACCCTGCGCCACGCTTGCATATGTAATCTTGAGGGTTTTTTTTCTTTTTTTAAAAAAAAAAAGTTAGACTGCAATACTGGTTAGGTGCAGATCCAAAGTACCACGTCTATGCCAAGGACCCCCTCAAGTGCTCGCGGTGTCGGACGGACCCTCCGGTCAGAAGGTTGTAAGACCCACTACTACTAGTACACTTGTGGAGATGCCAAGGGTCATACTGCTTATTTTCCCGTTAGAAATGTGAGGAAATCAGGCTTCGCTTAGAGCATTTACAATTGATGTGAATTTCATGGAATCTACGCCAAGATACATGGAGGTGTGGTAGATATTGGGCGACAAAGGATTCAGATGTTTACTATTTGTAGTATGTAGTAGGAATATTGAAGGATCACTTGATACATAAAAGGCTATACACTAGTACTACTGTAAGAATGATCCTGGCTAGTCTAATACTAATGTATCAAGTTCATTGGTGCATCTAGAGTATAGTACCTGATCCAGATAGACTCGGAACAAATCATCCAATATGCACATGTGTGAAATCGTCCATTTTGACCTGAAAGGATTCAATGGATATAACTATTTCCATGCTACTCGGTGTACTAGACTACTAGTATCTTCGATTTTCAACTTGAATTCAGACTTCCCCTATATCTCCGAGACCCACGTACGGTCTTGTTTCCTGGATGTAGATTTGTCTAGAAATAAAATAAAAACCAATCTGATTGCGACCACGTTATCAAAAATGGACCCCCTGGGTAATGATCAGCAACGCTAACTGACTGCATTGAACCCTTATTGGACCTTGCCACTATTCCTCAAACGGGGTCTAACCGTCTCCCTCCAGGTTTTTCCCGCATCCATTTAGTGGAGCCTTTGCACCAGTCAGTATCACATCATAATTTCTTCTCGAAGGCAGCGACAATTACTATTTTGAAAATCTCCACGTTCCATTTGACCATCCGATTGTCCAATCGCTGTTCATATCCTTCATGATGACCGCAGATTTTCTACCAGTTGAGGCTTGGTCGTCCGCACCGCCGACGTGATGTCGCGTCGTCCCGAAGTTGCAGATCCCAATCTAATTTTTTTTTTAAAATTATTATGATTATTTCTCCGTGCTCCACGGTCAGTCTGGGCATGCAGAACACTGGCAGGAGAGAAGTGACCGACGGTCCTCAGTGGAGAGAGCCAAGACTGACTAGTACTAGACATTCTTCACCTGGGACATACATATAGCCGTCAATCCTCTCCCATCTTGGATAGAATCAGTCAAGATCCTCTCTTTTTCTTCTTCTTCTTTTGTTGTTTTGATCTTCACATTCTTGTTTGTCAGTTGATCTGACTTTCGAGCTATGCGATTCTCAGCTGCTGTTGCCGTTGCGGCCCTTGCTGCCGGCTCTGCTGCTGCTGCCACTCCTGGCTGCCCATATGCTAAGCGTGCTGCTGGGGCCAATGCTGCTCCAGCATGCCCTTATGCCAAGCGTGCTGCTGAAGCTGCCGCTGCACCAAATGCTAACCCTATCTCTCGCCGTGCAGCGATTGAGGGTAAAAAGGGTATCTTTTATAGTAAGTTGATATACATTACTCCACAGTGCTCAAGGGGCTCATATGCTGATACCAATATCTAGTGAACCGTATTGGACCATCTGGCTCACAACTGTGGATTTCCAATGCTGATGGTACCAACCAGACCAAGTTGTTGGGTGACCAGACCAATGCTTTTGATTACCACCCTAGTTGGTCACCAGATGGCGAGTGGATTGTCTTCACTGGCGAGCGTCGTGGAGCTGGACAATCTGATCTTTACCGTGTAAAGATTGATGGTACAGGGTTGGAGACTCTTGCCGATACTTCCTCTGTTGAGGATAACGGTGCATTGTCCCCCGATGGCAAGTCAGTTGTCTATGTCTCCACTCAGGGCAACTTTACCGCCAACGTCTGGATCAAGGACCTTGATACTGGCATTGCTCGTAATCTGACCGACACTGCTTCTACACGTAGCAGCTCCATCTGGCCCTCTGGCCACTTCCGCCCTTCATGGTCCCCCAGCGGAGAGTGGATTGCCTTCAGCTCTGACCGTGACACTGACTGGACTGGTCACTCTGATGGCACTGGCTGGGAGCATACTCAGACCCTGGGTATCTATGTCATTCGCCCAGATGGCACAGGCTTCCGTCAAGTGGCTTTTGAAGATGATTACGCCCTAGGAACCCCGCAGTGGTCCGGTGATGGAAAGCGAATCATCTATAACAACATCACTCGCGAGAACACCTACTATGCTCACGGTGTCTCCGAAGAACAGGAAGTTATTGAGTCTCAGATCTACAGTGTCGACTTTGCCACCGGCAAGAACATTGTTGCTCACACCTCAGGCGCCTACCCTAAGTTTGGTCAACACTACGTGGCCAACTCGAGCAACATCGGCTACTTCATCAAGGCTGGTGATCTCGAGGGTGTGCACTACACTAAGACTGACTCTACTCACAAAGCTTTCAACTTGACCTACCTCCGTGACCCCTCATGGTCCCCCGATGGATCTAAGATCGTCTACGCCATTCCCAGCTGGACCCAGCAGGCTGCTGAGCTAGAGCTGTGGAGCTTCGACGATGACTGGGAGTACCGCTACATGGATGTTTTCCCTATGCACAACGAGGTAGTCAACCGTCTCGCTACCACTCAGAAGGTTCTCGGTGGTGCCAACGGCTCCATGGTGTCGTCCGACCCACTATACAACGACGTCGTCACTGCGCTGAACTCCTACTCTGTCTACTCGACCAGCAATACCACTGAAGTTATCTTGCTCGAGGAGGGCGAGTCCGGTGCTTTCCAGCCTACTTGGAGCCCCGATGGTACCGAGCTCATCGTTGGCTTCGGTGGTTGGTTCGCTGATCGTACCACCGTCTCCGCGGCTATCTACCGTGCCACTGCCAACGGTAGCACTTTCACTAACCTGACCGAGGTCTCTTACACCAAGAATGACGGTTTCCCATCATACTCTCCTGATGGAACCGCCTACGTTTACCGTCGCTGGGATATGGAGAGCGGTGCCCCATTGGGTCTGCACATCCATAACTTCACTACTGGCGAGACCAGCCAACTCACTGATGGTTGGGACAACACTCCTGGCTGGTCCCCCGATGGCGAGCGCATTGTGTTCACCCGTAACAACAACTACACCACTTCCTACGGTGATCGTTGGTACGATGACCGCTTCGATATCTACACCATTCATCCCGATGGCTCAGAGCTTACCCGTGTTACGGATAGTTTGGCCAACGATGCTCAGTAAGTTCACATTATCACTAGGGAGAAAAGAACTAAACACTAACCTTCTATAGCGCTGTTTGGTCCAAGGATGGCCGTATCATGTGGAGCACTGGTATGTACGGCTTCAAGGATGAGAGCTCTCTCTTCGACAACACCTTCCAGCCTTATGGCCAGATCATGATCATGAACTACGACGGTACCAACAAGACTCTTCTCACTGATACCATTTGGGAGGATTCTATGCCCCTGTACCTTCTTAACGAATGGCTTGAGTAGATGCATGTTGCAGATTTCAAGGTCCAAGGTTGTTCTTCTGCGATCCGCAGTTGCATGTAAATAGATTGACTTTTCTTCTTTCATGTCAATGTTTCTTAAGAAATTGTTACTCGACGAAATGTATTTTCATGACTTATCAAATTCCGGCTTCAAGTTTTCGCATGCGCTTGATTCACACAGTTTGTAGTATTCTAGATGCTTCAGTAACCAAGTGAATCTCAGTATCAATTCTGAACACAAGATAAAACTACAAATTGATATCAATCAACACTTAATCAAAATTAGGCACACTCTCCTTTTCCAACGCCGCATCAACAAGCCTCTCCAAATTAGCCCAAGCCCCACCTAACAAAGCCTTGGCCTGAGAATTCGAACCCAAATCAATACCCTGCGCTCTAAACTCATCATTGACCTGCTTAAAATTGGCTCCAACCAACGTGCGGAAAGAGGGGACAGTACAACTCTCCATCTGCCGACTAGCCAAATCAGCCAAGACATACCAAAGGATGAAATGGAAATTCAACTGGAAATCCTCTAATCGCACCGGATCATCCGGCTTGGTCTCAAAGCTTTGTGAGAGATAGATAGCTAGTTTTGCGAGGATCCACGCATGGAGTTGTCGGATTGGGTGTGCAGGACTGTAGATGAGTGGGTCAACGCGTAGATACCGGATCGCAGCGTGTATGAAAGCTGCGCTGAAACTATTTGTCGACAGGTATGAGAGGATGATTTGGTCTCTTAATTGTGGATATGGTTGTCGGGATAGAGACCAGGTTGCTGAAGAGGCGAGAAGGTTTAGACCCTTGTTCAGAGACTTGATAGATGTAGAAGAATCGGCGTCTGAGTCTGAGGCGGCGTTTAGAAGTTCCAGAGCGTCCCGCTCTGCTGTTTCGACGATTGCAGTGGGGTTGTCATCTGTATCTGGAGATGTGGATAGGGATTCGTTTTGAGATTCGTTGAGATTGGGGTTTGGTCCTTTGCTGCACTTGGGACATTTGCAGGTGAAATAGTATCGCTCCGAAAGCTCACTGCGGCGGACTTGGAGTGGGGTTGTGGTATCGATGTAGGAGATGAAGATTTGTTCGTGCTTTTTGATTGGCTTGATTGCTTTGATGAAGAGTTCCTCGCCGTCGAAGCCGACTGTTGCGTTGTAGTCACAACTGTGATTGATCAAGGCGGCATATGGGTGGAGATATAGACCGATGCGGTCATAAAGAGCTGTTGTGAGGTTGAAGGAGTTGAGATCCAGCTAGTTGATAACTTGATTAGTATGAATTTCATGTCATCATAGGGTACATTCTACTAGTATGCATATCACGAGTACTAATAGTAGCATTCAGATTGCCAGTGAAGATGAGTATATTGACTTACCCTGGCGGCATATGCACAAATGGCCTCCTCAGTCATATCAGTTTCAGAATAGCCTTTAACAGCCTTAGCCGTGAGAGAGACACGATCCATTTGGGTTTGGTTTTGCTGAATCTCGGTGATATGTGTTTCAAGATTGGAGAATACACCAAGTTCCTGGGCAGTGTATTTCCCTTTGCCAGTTCTCAGAACCATACGCAGAATGGCCCGAACATTGTTAGGCAGGATTTGAGGCTTAAGCTTCTGGAAGATTTTACATTCCATAGAATGAGCAAACTTCCAGTCTTTAGCTTGGCATACCTATTAGAATAGTTAGAACATGAAGAAAAGACACATAAAAAACAGCATGCTTTGAAAGTGGGCTTTTGAGAGGGAATCAAGTGTTGAACTTGAAGAAAACATCAAGATGGATGTATAGAACTCTCGGAACAGGAATTCCTCGGGCGATCCCGTCATAACACCGTGACTATACTAGTGTAAATAAACTCACCCGATCACAGTATTTCACAACCCGACATCCAGTGCAGGCCTTCAGATCAGAATTGCCTGCCATCTGTCGCTTTCCAAAGCATCCGGAGCAGGTATCCTCCAGCCGAGGGGAATCAAGAATCGCAACGAAAGGTGTTTTAGCATGCACAACATCTTCGCCGACTTTGATATCTTCGGTCGCGAACAGCCCATTACCCATGCCATTGGGCGCGGGACCAGGAACTGTTCTTGTAGTCACTGATGGCAGCGGTTCTTGAGGAGCCATTTCAAGTTTCAATGTTTTGTTGATGGTTGAATCAACTGCTTCGATACTTTGCGCGATGATGCCCACGGGCGGCCGTTGGCATGCTTAGTCAGCGGTCTCGCTTCAGCCCTGAAGGTGAACACCTGGGCAATCTTGAAAATCCACCTCAATATTGGTCAACATCGGATAATGGGCTAAAAGGAACTATTACATATAATTTGTACTACCACTAGTAACACATAGGTATCTAGGTATTCATTCAAGTTGTGGACTATGTACTGCCAGGAACTACCCAAGACGAAACAACTTGCTGCAAAGGACACTAGAAAAAACTTGAATAACTTAGTTGAAGTGGAGATTGGCGAATATACAGACAATGATATCGAATATGAAATACTATAAAGAAAATAAAATTCTTTTGTCGCTGAAACACAATAACCGAAGTGCAGACGAAAAGAAACCCAGAATCAAATCACATCAAGTCGCAAAGACCCAATTCATCGATGGTGCAGAAGAAACTGAACCCATCAGAGTTGGATCAGCACAACTCTGTGTCCCACCTTGTTTCGCCAGGGGAAGTTAAAGAATAAATAACCCCAAATACATGATCAGACCAGAAGTGTAGTATAAAGGAAATGCAAGCCATCTATCAGTAATACACTCTTCCTTCCCACTTACATCACGCCAATGGATGTGGTATCAAAGGGTTTGGGAGGAGGCTTTTTTGGTGGCTTTATAGAATGGGCCATGATTTACAGGAGCTTGCCACCAACGAACTCGGACCAGCTGCGGACCTCGGAGGGAATACCGTCGACACGGGGCATCTTCTCGTGCATGCACTGAGCAAAAAGCTGGGCAGTCTGTAATTAGAGTGGTTAGCATAAACTGGTCTATTGTGGAGAGGAGTGAAGATTACGTACCTTGGGCTCCATGAACAGAGGAACGCTGAAGTCAACAGCGTTACGACGCATAACGTAGTCCTCATCCAGCTGGGTCTTAGCACGGGTCTTGGCCAGGTTGAAGACACCACGGATGTCGTACTTCTGGAAGACCTCACGCAGAGCACGCTTGTCGGTCTTGGGGAACTCGATGACCTGCACAGAGACGTCACCCTTGCAGGTAGACTCGAGGTGAGACTTGACCTGGTCGTTGGCAGCGTAGAACTTGTAGCCAAGAGGGCTCAAGTAGTCAACGATAGTAGACAGGTAAGGCTGAGTGACATCACCACCGAGGAGGATACCCTCACCAGACTCGGGCATGCGGAAGTTCATGGTGGACTGGAGAGAAGCCCAGTAGGCCTCAACAAGATCCTTACCGAAGCAAGCAATCTCACCAGTGGAGGACATCTCCACACCCAGGAAAGGATCAGCACCAGCCAGACGGGTCCAAGAGAACTGAGGAACCTTGGTAGCGAGGTAGTCGCGCTTCTCTTTCATGAGGTCAACGGGCTCGGGAACATCACGGCCAACAAGAGCTTTGGTGGCAACGTCAATGAAGTTGGTACCCAGAACCTTGCTGACGAAGGGGAAGGAACGAGAGGCACGCAGGTTGCACTCAATGACCTTGAGCTGAGACTCAGCACCCTCCTCATCGGCCTTGATGATCTGCATGTTGAAGGGACCGGTGATGTTCCAGGCCTTAGCGACCTTCTCAGCGATCTCCTTCACACGAGCCATGATGGACTCATCAAGGTTGGCAGGGGGCAGGACCAGAGTAGCGTCACCAGAGTGGACACCAGCGGGCTCAACGTGCTCACTGACGGCGTGGAGGAGCAGCTTACCGTTGGAGGCAACGGCGTCAACGTCAATCTCCTCAGCACCCTCGATGAACTTGGTGATAACAACGGGGTGGTCAGGGGAGACGGCGCTAGCGTTAAGCAGCTTCTCCTTGAGTTCATCGACGCTGTAGATGACGTTCATGGCAGCACCAGACAGAACGTAACTGGGGCGAACCAAGACGGGGTAGCCGACGGACTCAGCAAAGCGCTCAGCCTCAGAAACGGAGGTCAACTCCTTCCAGGCGGGCTGATCAACACCGATGCTGTCAAGGATCTGGGAGAACTTGTGACGGTCCTCAGCCTTGTCAATGTCCTGGGGGTTGGTTCCGAGAATGTGAGCACCACCGGTCTCCTGGAGACGGAGAGCGATGTTCTGAGGAAGCTGACCACCAACAGAGACAACAACACCGCTAGCGGCCTCGAGCTCGTAGATATCCATCACACGCTCGTAGCTCAGCTCTTCGAAGTACAGCTTGTCAGCGGTATCGAAGTCAGTGGAGTAGGTCTCGGGGTTGTAGTTGATCATAACGGTCTTCTTGCCCATGTTGCGGAGGGAGAGAGTAGCGTTGACAGCACACCAGTCGAATTCGACGGAGCTACCGATACGGTACACACCGCTACCCAGAATGAGAGTGCCGTGGTCATCGAAGGTCACATCGTGAGAGGTGGCGTTGTAGGTGGTGTACAGGTAGTTGGTGTCGGCAGGGAATTCGGCAGCCAAGGTGTCGATCTTCTTGACCCAAGGGGTAATACCGAAAGATTTACGGCGAGCGCGAACCTCATCCTCAGTAGAACCAACCAGGAGGGAGATCTGCTTGTCAGAGAAACCAAGCTTCTTGGCCTTCATCATCATCTCCTGCTTGACGCCGAAGAGGCTGCCAATCTCCTTAAGCTCGTTGTTACAGTCAACAATGTTCTGGATCTTGTACAGGAACCACTTGTCGATCTTAGACAGCTCATGGACCTTGTCCACAGAGTAACCCTCGTGGAGCATGGCCTGGCCGACAGCCAACCAACGGCGGTCAGTGGGGTTGGTAAGAACATCGTCAAGGTTCTCAAAGTGGTCACCCTGGAGACCAAGGTACTTAGGGTCAACCTGGCGAATGGCCTTCTGCAGGGACTCCTCGAAGGTACGGCCGATAGCCATAACCTCACCGACAGACTTCATAGCAGAACCAATGTCACGGTTGACGTGCTGGAACTTGCTCAAATCCCAGCGAGGAATCTTAGTGACAATATAATCCAGACTGGGCTCGAAGTTGGCAGTGGTGGTCTTGGTCACAGCGTTAGGAAGCTCGGGCAGGGTGTGGCCGAGACCGATCTTAGCAGCAGTGTAGGCAAGAGGGTAACCAGTAGCCTTGGAAGCCAGAGCAGAGGAACGGGACAGACGCGCGTTAACCTCAATGACACGGTAGTCAAGACCATCGGGCTGCAGAGCGTACTGGACGTTGCACTCTCCGACGACACCCAGGTGACGAACGATCTTGATAGCAGCGGTACGGAGCATGTGGTACTCCTCGTCGGACAGAGTCTGACTGGGGGCAACAACGATACTGTCACCGGTGTGGACACCGAGAGGGTCGAAGTTCTCCATGTTGCAAACAGTGATACAGTTGTTGGCAGCGTCACGGACAACCTCGTATTCGACCTCCTTCCAGCCCTTCAGGGACTTCTCAACCAGAATCTGGGGAGCCAGAGACAGGGAGCGAGAAGACAGATCACGGAGCTCATCCTCGTTCTCAGCAAAGCCGGAACCCAGACCACCAAGAGCGTAGGCGGAACGAACGATGATAGGGTAGCCAACGGTCTCGGCGGCCTTCAGGGCATCGTCGACGGTGTTGACAGCAATGGACTCAGCGATGGGGATGTTAATCTCGTTCAGAGCCTGGGCGAAGAGGTCACGATCTTCACTGGTCTCCAGAGTCTTGATGCTAGTTCCGAGAACCTTGACACCGTAACGCTCGAAGATACCCATGCGGTTCATCTGGACACCCAGGTTCAGACCGGTCTGGCCACCGAAGGTAAGCAGGATACCGTCGGGGCGCTCGCGCTCAATGACGTGGGTAACATATTCGGGGGTAACAGGAAGGTAGTAGACCTCATCAGCCAGCTTGTGGTCGGTCTGGATAGTCGCAATGTTGGGGTTAATCAGAACCGACTGGACACCAGCCTCCTTGAGGGCCTTCAGAGCCTGAGAACCTAATTAACGTAAGAGACAGATGTCAGTGGTCTGAATGACTTTGTTACATATATAAAAAGTGCTTGCGGAGATGACCATGTCCAATGCGAATTCCCCGCGGAGAGAAGGCAGGGGCTTTGAAAAAGGCAAGCTATCGTGTGCCTGCGCTTTTCCATGCCGTCTACCCTCAATGGATATGAAACAACAACCGGACCATCATGCTCTACAAAGAAATTATCAATCCTTTACACATACCGGAATAATCGAACTCTCCAGCCTGGCCAATGCTGAGGCCACCACTACCAATGACAAGCACCTTCTTGACATCAACGAGGTTGCTGCCGGGCTTGACAACACCGCTGGCCAGGTAAGACTCAGCGGAGGGAGTCTTCTGAGCCTCAGCCAGGCGAGAAAGCGAGCTGGAGAAAGAGCGCAGCTGCTGGGAACGAGCCGGGGAAGGGAGCTTCTGCAGGCGCAGAGCGGAGGCCGTTGATCGGACAGAAGACTGAGAGGAGAAAGCGCGGAGAGAGAGAGCCGGGCGAGTCTCAGCGAGACATCGCTGGCGCAGCAGATTGGCTGCTTGCCCACAACGAGCTGCAAGAACCATCGTGCCGCAAGTTCAATTTAAGAACTAGAAAGGTCCAATGGCCCGAAGGTGGGAATAAGTTGTAGAAGATGAGTCGACGGGGAGGTCTTTTTTTTCCCCCACCGGGCTCGCTAATTGGTTCGTTGGCTTCACCGTATCAGGGTCCACTTTTCTTTTTTCTTTCGTGAAATTTGTATGTTGAAAGATGGATTGAAGAAGAGAGAAGGAGAGATTTAGAGAGAGAAAGAAGAAGAGAAAGATCAATTGCAATATTTTGATTTTCTACCTTTTTTTCCCTATTTTTTTTACTATCTTTTTGGTCCTAAGTATGAGTCAGTCGTTGAACTCGGTGGATGATTTAAGGAGTGGAGACCCCAGAAAATCCTATATACAGCATACTCAATACTCTCAATAGAATATGGTGAGCTAAAATAGATTAATTAAAGACCCTCAAGCCTCAAGATCTCAGTATATCATCTCAAATTCAATATCTTTACCGAGAAAAAATTTTTAAACTCAGTGTTGGCACAATAGAACGAATAGAAAGTGTGATACGCCGATGCCGGAACTAGGGGACGCACACAAAGCGCTATCTTCTCTCTTATCCGTGGGGATCTGCACTAAAGAGGCTGGAAGAGACATTGCACTTACGAGAAAATTTTATGGATGCGTTATTGGAAATTCGCTAGTCCCAGACACCAGAGTTGAAACTAGGACAAAATTGAGAAGACCGGGCCGGTTCAAGACTTTATGTCCATGCATGTACTCCGTACTTCGTAGCAGCACGGACATATAAACGCGGCTCTTAATCATTATTACAACTTCATTATGAACCTCGATGTATGCATGGCTAGGTCATATGCATCACCTTTACGGAGTGATCGTCCGGGAGGGCATCATATACATACATACTGTATAATAAAGTTGAATCCATGCTCCAAGACGCTATGCAACATGATCAACCGGGGAAAAAAATTAGTCACTGCAGAAATTCAACGGCCACAATTCAGCCTATACTCATTCTATTCCGATACGCCCGTGCAATCCCGACCAAGGACCCTTCGGTCGTTTCTCCAACCGGGATCCACTGTGGTTGCCGACCCCTCGCACGGTGCGAGCTTCGGAGGTCCAGATATCTGACGTAGTTTGGGTCGGCTCCGCTTCGTGCAAAATACTCTCCAGATCTTGGTTCAGGGTACCATACACATCTTCCAGGACCTTTCGTGCATCTTGATTCACTTCTGTCCCGAGTACCACCTTTTCTTGTACATACTCTTGCTCATTTGTGGCCGCAGCTTCTGAGGCAAATGCCCATGCCTCTGCCAGACTCACCAGTTCGTCGGATCGGTCCTCATCCGGCGACTGAGAAGTATTTCTGGAGTTGAGAGCTGCAACAGCGTGCTTGAAACGGGCTTGGCGAGCAAGAAGAGGATACTCGGGGAGCAAATGGCTTTCATCGCGCAGGCGGTGTAGGGCACGCAAGGTTGTAGACTTCTCCTTTGCCAAAAGTGCAGCGAGATATGATTTTTGAAGGGCCAGCGACTTTTGGTTCTTGGAAAGGGGAACGAGAGTTTCGCTTGCGTAAGATAGAACATCCATAGGACTAGGCGCTGGCATCTGCTCGGTGAGGATCTCGGCTTTGTATGTAGTACGAGACGCAGGTTTTGCAGCCACGGTCACTGGTTGGCAAGCTCTGGAAGCAGCCTCAAGAAGTTCTCGTCGCGCTTGTAGATAAGCTCCATACTGCTCTTTTATCTGAGCTCTTTGCTCCTCTAGAAGACGCTGCGATTCTTCTATTTCCTCGGGCGGCAGGTCCTGTACTAGGCTCTCATCTGGGTCTCCTTCACTGACAAGTCGTTCTTCAACCCATTGTACCAGCTCGTCACGGATTTGCTGCAATGCATGTGCCTTGACGGCAGGTGGAACATCTTCCGGGCGGTTCTCTCTGGAGTCATTCCGGGCTTTGACTTTCTCAAATAATCGTTTCTCCTGATCCATTTGTGTGCGTGCGCGCAATACGGCTCTTTCAAGCTTGTGAACCAGTTCCTCTAAATCTGTATCAGATCCATTCCGACGGGTCGCACCTGTATCTAGTTCTTCAGGTAATGCAAGTTGATGATCAGGATTCTCGTGACCCAGATCCCTTGTTGTGGCCTCCTTCGCTCTAAATTCTTCGAGGTAATGCTGGAAGACTTGGAGCTTCGAATGCCGGCGTCGATCCCGCAAGAGCGAGAGATAATCTCGCAGATCCGCGCCGGGTTCCTGCGGATCGGCGGGGTCAGCAGGGCTTGCGCGAGCTGTCCTCTGACTTCTCAATGATGCCACATCATCTGACAGTGCACGAAGTTCTTTCCGAGCGTTCACATTTGCCTGTAATGCTTTCAGATAATCTTTTCGCAACGCGGGGAGGTCGGTAGGGATGCGCTTGACGTCGAGGACGGTGTCAGCGGGTGCACATAAATTGAGGTGGGAGGCCCGGGAAGTATCATCGTCAAGGACAATTAGGGATCGCAGGTATAGCGTTAAGGCCTGGCGGATACGGAGAGCCTCTTGTTGGTTCTTGACGTAAGGAGTGAGCGGTTTCACGAAGGATGGAATGTGGGTAGGGAGTTCTTTGGACTCGCAGGGCTCGTAAGGTTGGGTCATGGTGTCATTGGCAGGGAGGAGGATTTACCCCAGCACAAATTGTACTCAAATATCCGCTCAATTAATGAGGATTTGTTTCATCTGGTCCCAGCATTCTTTATGATTGTTTGAATGGTTTCCCCAGTTTGTTTTGAGATGATTACATAACCCTGTAGATCTGGGAGTTTATTTTGATGTTTGTCTCTGTTTGTTCAATGTTTGTTTATCTGTTTGTCCTGTTATGGTTTCCAAGGTTCTCATTGCCCTGGTGATATATATGATTATATTCTATTATAATTTTTCATCTGCAGCGTGAAGACCAATATCATGCAGATTTATCCCATTTATGCTGATACGAATGTATGGTCATTAGGTAAAAATGGAGGTGAGACATCTCATAGTAGGAGGCCTGAGCACCCAGGTACATTCGTCATGGTAACTAGATGATCGATATATCAATGACGAGATAATATTCTTTCCATGTTTCTTTTTACGATGCCGATCGGGTGATCAGGAATTATCTCATTCAGGAATGCTCCAAATATTTGAATTGAAGAAAGATCATTCTCAATATTCATGCAATTCTCATGGTGATATACCTGTACGGTAGTACCTATGGAAGTGCTAGTACTTCGGTACTCTGAACTAAGTACCTCCATGTACTGCGTATCTACGTGTCTAGTTGCCTTATGTACTTAAACCATTTTGATCTATCACTTGAGCAAGTACAATTGTACAAAAAGGAAATCAGGTACTAGTTTTAATAAAACACAAGCATAGGCCAATCAAAACTCTTAATTCCTCTAGTCGGAAGCTGTTATCTGTTCTATCTTGCAGAAAGAACCCTTTCCTGCATTTGTCGAATGAGCTCATCTGCATCCATACCTCGCAGCCCCTCTCCGGGAATGTCTTGCGACATTCCGATCAAGGGGCAGTGTTTTGCCTTCCACGACATCGCTGCCCGACACTGAAACAACCTTTATAGTTCATCCCGCATGTCCCCCCTTTCCGGTCAAGTCAGGTAAACTCATAACTTCTGCTGGTGCAGAGGACTCGGAGCTGGATTCCCGTTTGAGTATCTCCCTCACCATGGCTTCCGATCTTGCTCACTCGACTCAGCGGCCCAGAGCTGCTACTACTACTCTTCCCACCATGCTTCCTCCACCCGCCACTCAACAGTTGTTACAAGGTCCTAGTTCGATGTATGGAGGAAGTCCACCTTTGGGGTCTAGTGAGCATGATGTCACTAGTGCAGCTCAAGGTAAGCAGACCCCCATTCCAGATGACAAACAATATTCAAAAAAGAAAAAAATTGAAAATCAATATAAAGATTAAAAAAACTGATTGATAATTAACCTGATCAATATATAGCTCCTTTGCGACATCCCAAGCCTTTGACCCCATCGGATTTACATTTGGTTTTGGAGAAGGAGCAGGAGTCTATGGTGAGCTCCGAGGCATACTATATAGAAACCACCACCCGCTAATTATAACCAGGTCAACCGATTGACCCGAGAGCTTTCTCTTCTTCGTCAGCAAACTGCATCAGTAGCATCGACTGCATCCTCCACCTCGACTCTGAATGACGTCTCCGATGGAATTCATGGTTCTCCGTCTCTCAGCTCGACCCACTCCCACTCGTCCCGACGACAGCGCTCCTCGTCTAGTTTGAGCTCCCATACCCCATCTGTTCAAGGTGCACAAGGAGGTATTACTGGTATCGCACCCTCACGAACAGCGGATAATCCTCGTAGTGTGAGAAGTCGTGAACCATCTCTCACTCATCGCCGCCCATCAATTGGAACTCTGAACTCATACACTCAACACCCTCACCCAGACCATATTGCTCATTACGGAAACAGTCCATCCATTTATCCCCATCGGACCTCGGTATCTCAGACCCACCTGGGTCTATCCAGTAGTTCCCTGGCCCGTTATGAGGAGGCTGCGATGCATAAACAAGAGTTGGAAACTGCGAGGCGAGAGAATGAGCACCTACGACGACGAGTGCGAGAATTGGAACAGGTTTTGAAGAAGCAGAAGGAGGACCCTCTTGATTTGTGAATTGTTATTTTGCCCTAAGCAGCCCAAATCCTCTTTTCTTTCTGGTCTTCTTTACTCTCCTTCATTTTGGTCATTTTGTCTTTTCTTCATTCTGTCTGCCGGGTGCAGTCTAACCAACAAATGGGTTCACTTTCACTTTTTTATCCTTTTCTTCTCTTCGGACGTTGTTTGCAGGCAGACATTATTACATCTAGCAATTGCAAATTGAATCAGCATTGATGCTCATTCAACCACGACCTGGTCTTAGGTGACAGCTCTGAAGGCCTTTTATTTTAAGACAAAGGATCCTATTCAAACAATTCCTTCTGATCACTCGCTCCACAGAACTTTCCAGCAGGCTGATATTTGGTAGAACGTTGTTCGTTGAGCGGAGATATTCAAAATCTTTCGAGTCACAAATCCTGCTATGATAGGACGGTCGACAACTGTCCATTGACTGATCAAGTCCCTCATACAATCACCCGCACCATTCCTACAAGCACTGCTATTTATCCGTTGACAACATCAACTGTGTATTCAACAATGACTTACGGCACTGTTGATTGCCCGCCTTGGATTGAAAACTGCTCTGCATCTGAGAAGACCACCCGGGTAACCACTGAGACTATTCCTATCCACACGACAGTCTACCCGATCGTCCCAGTCACAGACGTCATCACGGTGACGGTGACTGAACAGGTCTATCCTGCCCTCTCCACGGTCTATATCACCTCACTCTCTACAGTACTGGATTGTCCCTCTTCGAGCTAGTCTAGTCTTTCGTTCTTTTAAAAAGAAAATACCTGTGTTTATAATTTAATACCCCTGTGACTTATGAGATTCGGTTACTAGTTTCTCCATTTTCAGTTGAGCGCCTCAATAGTCGTTCTGTAAGCTCCGACTTAACTTAATGAATTTTCCCAACACATATAATCATCATAAATTCCTGGCTATCGTGGATGCTCAGACATCTGGATGCTCATGGTGGTACAGATAAAGACACGATGAATAATGGTGTGACAGATTGACTTCCAAGGTTCCAAGGTTTTACATCCTTGGTTCACGAGAACCTCACATGTCATCACCTTCACCTCTCATACAACTCATACAGCTCGAATCATTAACTTCTCGCCACCCACTCCTACAAATTGCATTTCTTTTCCTCATTTCATTCGATCCGACTTTCCTAATATTCACCTATCATACAAACCGATCGCCATAATGCCCAAAGAAGACGCGGAAGTGACGGCGGTGGAGTTCCTGATTAAAACAGGCAACACGATCAAAACCATCGAAACAAATCTGGAGAAAAACCGGATTGACAGAAAAGCTATCCGGCAACTCTTGAACGAATACTCATCCCTCACGGAGTCAGATGGGAGACTGATGAACGCCGCAAGACAGGAGCCCGAGTGTGCTAATCGCGGACTGTTCTTAGCTTACACTCACATTGAGCTAATAACATGGCTGGGAAAGCTCAACTTCACTATTCCTTCCTCATCCATCAAATGGTATAGCTTGCGACAATTCTCTTCGAAATACCGACTACCATCTTTCTGGAACTCCACACTGTCCTCAGATCTACAAGGCCAGCTGGATCATATCAAGAAAACAGCTGCCTTGGTATATGCGGATCTTCAAGCTCATAACGTCAGTAAAACAGGAGCCTGGATTATGAGAAAAGACTAAGTGTGATATAGATTTTGATTCCCACAACTGCGATTGACTATCCCAAGGTCCCAGTCGGTGATCCATGTGCTCCACCTGTTGAAGGTACGTGAGATAAGTTCACCCTTGGTGGGCCTTCCAACTAATCAGTATATCATAGCCTATGAGCAGCTTCTACATCGAGGAACTCTCGCCCTGCAGGTATTAGAGGGCGGTCCAGTCACTTAGTCGGAGCGCGACTTTCATCAATCAATTCCATGACATGCCCAACTTAATTTGCCATTTTTATTCTATTGAATCTTCAATAACCTCTCTTCCACTATTAACAGGGACAGCCCTGCTGTCAGAATGTCTAACATTCATCACGATTATCATTGCCATTTTGAATTTCAAATCGTTTTTCTTTGACTACTGAGTGGAAATCGTGATGGTGCTGGACGATGGTGAAGGGCTCGACCTCAAAAGATGCGAGTGGCAAGGGGGAATTTTCTAGCGTCGAAAGCCGTCATTTTTGGCGTTGATTTCATAGTACTTCATATTTTACCTGGGCATGTAATATGCTACATGTTTGTAGAAGGAGTAATACTAATGCAATTTGAATTCAAATGATCCACATGGACCAGAAACCTCCATGACCGTGCAGCCACATACTAAATATAGCTGCCTATTAAGCTATTTCAATAACATTTCAGCAAAGACATAATATGATATCAGCTTCCAAGATTGAAATGTCCCACATGTGCTTCAAATTGGGTTAATCTATATGAGGCGGTGCAGCCCCGCTCTACGTCACCTGTGGCGCAGCCGTATAAATACTTGGCCTCACCATCTTCTCTCTCTTTACTCCAAATAATCTTGCAAATAATTCTTCCTTTCTGCAACTCTTATCAAAATGTCTGGCGCTACCGTTCATGTTTCGGGTATTGCACCCACCACCTCTGAGAAGGACGTTCGGGACTTCTTCAGCTTCTGGTAAGGATAACCCAGACCCAGTTTCATGCATGAAAACACAAAAAAAATGTCGAATCAATGCAGCAAGGGATATACCTAAACTAACCATATCTCTATAGTGGCAAGATCACCTCTCTTTCCATCACCCCTACTAGTGCTGAAGCCGATTCTCCCAAGTCTGCTAGTGTCACTTTCGAAAAGGAGGCGTAAGTTAGCTACCCCGCACCACGCGTCACTCAGCCCACGACAGAACGCCCAATATCACAACATGCATATTCTTGTCTTTTATTTATAAATAAAGCACGAAAGATTACTGACATTATCCTACAGTGCCGCCAAGACTGCCCTCCTCCTCGACCAAACCCAATTGGGTTCCTCATCCGTGCACGTTGAGGCCGCCTCCAACATCGACGAGCTCGCCGGTGCCCAAGCCATCGCTGCCAGCGAGCACGAGTCCGAGCACGAGATTTCCCAGGAGGACAAGCCCCGCTCCCGCATTTTCGCTGAGTACCTAGCTCACGGTTACGCTCTCAGCGACAACGCCATCCAACAGGCCATCACTCTGGACCAGAAGCACGGTTTCTCGACCAAGTTCACCTCTGCTCTGTCCAACTTCGACAAGAAGTACAACGCCACTGAGCGCGCTAAGGGCTTCGATGAGAGCTACCAGATCTCTAACAAGGCTTTCTCCGGCTTTTCCTCCCTGCACTCCTACTTCGAGAAGGCCCTTGAGCACCCCCAGGGTCGCAAGCTCCGCGATTTCTACGTGCAGACTGATAAGCAGGTCCGCGATATTCACAACGAGGCTCGTCGTTTGGCGGACTTGAAGCAGGGTCGTTCTGCTGAGGGTGAGGCTGCTGCTGCTCCCGCTGCTGCCCCTGCCCCTGTCCCTACTGAGGCTGCTCCTGCTGCTGTTCCTGCTGCTGAGGCTGTCCCTGCCACTGAGCCCAAGGCTTAAGTGGTTGACTTTCAACTCAAGATAGATACCGGAGCTTGCGCTGGCGTGCCCTTTCTCTCCTGGTATTTCGGGTCTATGACTCGATGTCTCGCATTATGCACTTTCTATTTCTGAGACGAGCTTACGATTGCGATATGATTTTGACTCGGTAGCAACTTGTTTCCTTGATAATTTATTGCAATGAGCGAATGGAGATACGAATTGCTCCTTTTTCATCTTTTAATCCTTAAGTAAATTGTTACAGACAAGATAATTCAGTAGATAACCCGATGATCAATTTCGATATGATGAATGATTTAGACATGACATCCTTCAACGTTCAACGTTCAACTTGAACATAATAGATCATTTTCTTTCCCAACTTCTTATGATACTTCTTTGATACATTAGGATCCCTTTGTAAACTTCGCCGCCTCAATCTTCTCCAGTGGGTGCTCGGGGTTACTCGTCAGAACCTCGGACTTGGCTCGTTCCGACTCTTTCTTTGAAAAATCCGGTGCTGGACGTGAACTTGACGACGATCCGATCTTCCCACTTCCTGGGACATCACGTTGCTGAATACCCGATAGACGCTCCTCAGGAGGTGATTGACGACCTGAGTTTTGGGCAGACATTTTGGCTTAAAGTTTGGGTTAGACAATTATCTTCAAGTTTAGAGGGGAAATTCCCTGTTGCCAGATGGAAATACTCACATTGGATGCTGTTGGAGATGTGCAAGTGTAGATGCACAAGTTAAAGATACTTGACAGGCTTGATATATGAGATAGTGGTAAAGAACAACTTCAAGTTCAATGTTGATTGCAGATTCAAATTCTCCTTGGCAACAGTGTTAAATAGTTGTTCTGGTTACAATTGACATGACATCTTAAACCGGGTAGTTTGCGCGGTTCATCATGATGACGTTAAATGACCTGCACAAGTGGTTGGCTAGCACAACATTGGATACAGGTCTCAGAACGGCAGATCCATGAAGAGCATTTCTCTGGTCGAACCATGTTCAAGTTTCTATAAAACCTTTTGTACAAAATTGCCATGGATCGAGTGACATCACAAACCGTATAGTATGAAAATTGATCACGTGTATCATTCTTACACTTCGAGGCTAAGATCATCACTACTCAGACAACATGAATATAGAAAGTAATGCTCTCATTGGAAGATTCTACGCTACCAGAAATAAAATATCATGCACTTAATATCTGTAATGGCTGATGTACCACCTATACCATGAGGCGAATCTTCGGGGAATCTGTGCAATGAAGCGGATTAGAAAGGGAATGGGGAAGTCGGGACTTTTTTGAAGTACATCAGTGGTGGGCATGAAAAAAGCAGGAAAATGGGAAATTCGTTGTCAAGTAACAGAGATAACACGATAAACAAATATAGACGAGGGGAAATGGGCATGATCTAGAAATAATGGGAGGAAAGACATGAAAAGGGGCATATGTCTCGTGAACAAGGTATCATGGGATGTTCCCACTGGACGCCTGGTTATAGAAATAAAGCACCCAAATCCAAGCTAATGGATTTGTGGATGCTTCACATCATGGCTGGTCTATTGGTTGCCGTTGGACTGCATGCCCGCTGCAGCAGCAGCTTCCGCATTCTGCTGGGCGAGAAGAGCCTTCTGATCGGCCTCGTGGAAGACACCCTGGAGAACCTGTTGTTCCTCGGGGCTCAGAACCTTGGCCAAGGTCTCGTACAGCTGAGGCTGCTCAGATTGAAGGCCTGGAAATAAGTTAGTGAGTGTGCAATTTGTAGAGATGGTGGGATTTGACTTACTCATGAAGACATGCTTGAACATGCCGTATGGCTCGACCTTGTCCAAGGGTGTCTCAAGGAGACTCTCCTCATCCATCTCATCATCATCGTCATCAGCGAAAGAGCCGAACTTCTGGGCCTCTTGGTTGAGGAACTCAAGATAGGCGGCACTCTCATCGGCAACATCGTCGTCAAGAGCAGCTTCAGCCTCATCCTCATTCCACTCAACCTCACCATCCCAGTCATTGTCCTCGTCATCATCATCGTAATCGTCATCAAGGGTAAAGTCAGACTCCTTGGTGGCTTCCTCACGCACTATAGGATATTGGTTAGAATATTATTATATGGTAGGGTAAAGAGACACAGTAAAGCGTATACATACGTTTAAGCGCAGCAGGCAGGGTCTGGAAGAGTCTTGTCACACCCTGCAACAATCTTGGCCAGCCCTGCTGAACACTAACTGGAACATCACCCGCCTTCATAGTGAGGAGCGAGCTGATGGCAGCAATAGACAGCTTCTTGTCGTGGACACGACGGAAGTTGTCGATGTTAGAGAACCAAGTGCTGAAGAACTTGTTAGTCCAGCCCTTGGCTTCGAGAACCTGAAGACTCAGAACGGGGTTATAGTAGATAGCGTTGATGACCATCTCCATCAGGTGGATGCGGTAAGACTTGGTGCGAGCTTCGCCGGCATCAATAACAACCATGGCCAACTCAATGAACAGGGGAATGTATTGGTCGATGTGACCGCGGAGGTTAAGCATGAGAGTCTCGGCAAGCTTGCAACCACAAATGCGGTCAACACCGCCAACCTTCTCGTCACGGAAGATATCCTCAACCATGCCGACAACGGCGCCAAGGTAGGCAGGGTTCTGAACCAGCATGTCAGAGCCGTAGGCAACATAGTTGTCAAGAGCAGGAAGCATGTCCTCAAGGTACAGCTCAGCACCGGCCTTGAAGGTCTTGTGGATCAGCTCAAAGGCTTGCCACATGGTGGGTGAGATGTTCTTGGAGGCGAAAGTACAGCTGTCAATGATCTCAAAGACTTCGTTATACAAATCGTAAAGCTTGTTCTCCAGGGTAATGCTGATGACTGGCATCAGGACGGTTTCCAAGTGCAAGAGAACATCTGGGGTGCTCTCCAGAGTAAGGATCAGAGTGCCAATGGTCTGCAAAACACCCAATGCAGTGATACTCTTGTCATCCAGGAAGTCTCCGTATCCATCGTCATCACCACCCTTAGCAGCATTGCGCTCCAGAAGCTCTCCAACAATACGCATGTAGGTATCACGGAGCTGCTCGCTCAGGGCAACAGCGAAAGGAGTAAGCTCTGCGGAGAACACCTCAACAAAGTCCTCCATGACGTTAGCCAGAGCATCGACATCGACCTCGTTAGCCAGCTTAAGAAGCTGCTGCATGATCTGAGGGATGTTTTGCTGCATTGAGGTGCGAATGATATCGTGACGGATCAAAGGCTGAAGAGCGAGGGCGGCCTCAACTCGGACGGGCAACTCAGTGTCAGTCATGGACTCCAGAATGTTGCGGTAGATAACCATAAGATTGTTAGGGTCCTTGAAATCAAGCTGCTCGAACTTCTCCAAGGTGTCACAAGCACGCGCACGCAGGAAACCGTGGGGGCTGCGGAACTCGGGGAAAACGTGACGAACAAAGAAGTACTCGACCTGGTCCGCAATCGGGCTCTTCTTGCCCAGGATGACAGAAGCAAGAGATCCGATCATGCGAAGAGCACCCTCCTTCTCGCGGGGCTGCTTCTGGTCCTCAGGAGCGGACTCGTACTTGCTGACGACACTGTTGACAAAGGTCAGAATAGAGAAGGTTTGCTTCTTGCGGTTCTTGGTAAGGGAAACCAGGAAGTTTGTAGCGGCGACATCCGGAGCCGAAACCTCCTCGTAGAAATTCAACTTGCGGTGCAAGTACTCAGATGGGTCATCCTCGAACAACTCAATATCCTCGTCGGTCTGGCACAGGATGGGGAAAACGAAGTGGGCGATCAGGTTCTCCATGTGCGGCTTAAGGTGGTCCCACATGGCCTTGGGCTTGACACATTCCTCCATGAAGACCAAGGTGTACGAAATCGCGGAGTTGCTGAGCCATTGAGACTTGGAGACCCACTTCTCGATCTCCTGCAGATATCCTTTGAGAATTTCGGGGGCAAAAGTGCTGATGAAGGTTTTGGCGTAGGGGGGTATAGTCGGGTGTAGAGGGCTTCGACATGGTGGTAGGGTTACCGTAACTAAATAGGACAAAAATTAGATATCGAAATAATCTTGTAATATCCACTGCCCGATATATCATACCGGACGAAGAGACGGTTCAAGTTAGCATATGACCACTTCTTGCACTTCCACCAGTGGTTCATTTCCCGCTCCTCCTTCAACTCGCTCATAGAGTTAGCAGGGGGTGTCTTAGAAATGATTCTGAGAAACAAGGTGCACCAGTCCACAGTAGCCTGGTGAGTCTGTAGGCAAGGCGAGAGTTCGAACTATAAGAATTGCCAGTCAGTATTTCTGTTTTCTACCAAAATTCTCGTCGACGAATTCGATCCACCCACGTAAATGGCGTGCTTGTAAGCCTTCACGATAATTCGAAGCATCTCCGCCGCCTCCAAGCTCTCCTCATCGACCAACTTCTGTCCGATACTCAGGAGCTGCGGGAACGAGTGTTCCACGATCTTATCGAACTCCTCTCGCTTCTCTCCGGCCTTAAATCGATACACCCGGCAAATAGCGAGCAAACATTGCAAACCAGCGTAGACGGTGTTCGCATCGTTGGTTCCAAGCAACTGAAGGGTGAGGTCCATAAATTCGGGCCACTGTTCGGGGAAATCGTTCTGCAGAATCTTCTGGAGGAGAGGGACCAGCTGGGCGCGGACATTGGGCGGAGTGGAGGCCAAGGCAGGGATCAGTCTCTCACGAAAACCGGGCTTTTCAGCTTCGGGAATCGAGGGCCGCGAGGGGTTTTCTTCAGCAGGAGCCCATCCTCGACTGATACGGTTCTTCAAGTAGACACCGGCTAGGAAGCGGGGTTAGTGACGATGTTGTGATATATTTCGACCACCGATACGAGTCGTTGCTGCGGTATATAGCCACCAGTGATAGGACTTAAGACACACCGGAAAGCTGAACGGCATTGTTCTGTTCTCCTTGCAAGATATCCAATAGCGCATTGATAAAACCGGGCTGAGTCTCGGCCTAGAAAAATAGAGGGGGGTAAAACCGTCCCCCCACGAGGTCAGTCTCAAATATGAACCCCACCATCCAGGACTTATAACAAACGTACATATTTCAGGTCCAACTCCGCCTGTTGGCGATTGCTTGCATTCGAGTCTAAAGTAGACTGGATGCGGTCTCGAAGGGCCGTGACATCCATCTTTCAAACCACCCCAGCGCCAAAGAAAAGGAAAAAAAAAAGCTCAAGGAAAACTCCAAGCAAGGAACTCCGTGGGAGGATAGCGGGAAAGCGGAGAGTGGTAATAAGGGACAAAATATCAAGACAAGTCCCAAAAACAGGTGAATCCAAAGAACCCAAAGATCAAAGGAATTCAAGGGGAGAGAAGGAGAAGGAAGATAATTGTTTCTTGGGATTTTCACGGGCGGTCGCCCCGCAGCTAATCAGCGCACAACCATTTTCTGCGAACTCCACCTTTTCGGCCCTCTATACTAATCTTCAATATCATCATATATAGTATAGAATGTAGATGCTTCAGGTTATTCTTTTATTATTTCTATTTCAAATAACAAATTTAAGAGTCATTTATCTAAATATATACTACGTTTACCCAAATATCAGAATAATTCTTACGAATTCCATGTCTGAATCGACATGTTCGCGTATGGTATTGGTGGTCATCGATTCATTATGTCATTCCTCACTATGTTATTTTTTTTCTTTTTCAAGTTTTCTCTTTCACTTCAAGTTCTAGCTCCTAGATTCGCAATAAATGGCGGGACTGAAAATGACACAGTCCAAATGCTCCCTAGGGCTCTCAGTCGATGACACACCTCTTCGAGGCCGCTCACATGTACAGTGAGGCGGCAAAAATCACATCCCGCTTGATCAGTTCTTGGGCTTTCTCCATCTTGACATGCAGAGCTGGATCGCCGATCAACTTGGCCGCACTCTTGACTTCACGGCAAGTCTCATCAAGACGAGAGATGCAACGGACAAGGGTACCTTCCATCACATCTGTCAGTTCGGCAATTCGGCTAAAAGGCATGCCCTTGGCCCATTCGTAAACCACTTCGGTCAGAGCAAATCGGATCGGGTTGGCAAAGTCGACGTACTCCTCACTGGTCTGAGCAACCCCATGTGAGGCCTGGCACTTGTCGACCCGCTCGGCGATTTTGACGATCGCTTTCTGGCCCTCCTCAAGGCGGGGCGTAAGGGTAGGCACCGAATCGGTTCTATCCTGAAACACAAAGCAAGATAGCAGCGCGACTATCTCCTCAGGCTCGTAATCTGCGAAGACGTTCTCCAGGATAAGCTCAGTCAAGATCAACTCGTCGGCTGAATTGACTTCACAGGCCACCTTTCCTTTCAACTGGACACGGGCCTCGTTGTCGATGAAATCAAGCTCTTGTAGAACTCGGATGCGCTGTTCATAGTCTGGAAGCAATTTGAGGCTCTCATCAGACATCTGTCGCTTCATGTCCTTGATCAGCGTTTTGAGTTTCCATTCTTCACCTGCCAGTTGGAACTGTGAAGAAAGCGCAGAGGCACGATGTTAGCAATGGTCAACAGCATTCTAGAGATACTTTTTCAACGTACATGTTTCTGAAAGTTGGGACAAGAGGGACTCAAGCAAGCATTCATAATTTCCACCTGAGCCTGTCGCTTTTCCAGAATTTGAATCGTGTTAAAATCGGTTACCTTGGCCCAGTTGTCCTCATCCCAGACCTTGCTATCCCATGATTCGGTGTATTTGACCACTTGATCATTGGCGAACTTCGTTGCCACTGTTGAGATATATTGTAAGTATTTTGACACTGTGAATTTCTCAAAAATAATTTAGAATTCGGCATACCATCCTTGACACCAAAATAGAACGTTGGGTCTTGAAACTTGACGAATGTATGTGTGATGCACTCGAGATCATCCAGCCGAACCTGGACCAGCTTGAGCTCCATGGATTCAACACTCGATGGGAGAGGCTGGAAATGTGGCCGGAAAAGGGGTAGAAATGGCATTTCATTGCTAACATGCTGCGTGTTGCCGACGCTACCAATTTCAAAAACTTCAAGCCCGGGAAATTTAAGTGGCTCTTTAGGGTTGTCGGGGTTTGGGACTTGAATTGTCATGGTACCTTCTTTCACCAAAATACCGGCAGTGCGCACTCCATCCTAGTTGAGAGTTAATGCAAATCCTGGGGACAATAAGAATTAATCGTTCAAACATACCTTTTTGTAGAGGATCAATTTCTTGAGGCCGAACCACTTTTTTCCAGTAGTTGTCTTCAGGAATTCCTCGAATAGCTGTTTGGTCAATTTTCCCCACTCAGCTGAAGCTTCATAGCAGGATGTTACGTCCACGTCACAGATTTCACAGGGCTCTCGGATGAGGCTCTTCAAACTAGCCTCGGAAGCTATGAGATTCTTCTCATGGTCTGGCCGTAGAGCCATAGTGGCATTTTCGCCGAAGCTTCGCTTGATCATTTCTTCGACCTTGAGAGCTTCCACACGAAGGAGGTTCAAAATCATGTTGTAAGTGAGACGGAACTTTGATTCGAGACGCATTGGGGTTCCCAGAATGATCTCTTTCAACCTCTCAGCACTGTGTGCTTCACTCCAGTAAGTAGCCAAAGTGATCACGGTGCCCTTGTCATCGAGTCCACGGCGCCCTGCACGTCCTGCCATTTGTGTGTACTCTTGCGGCCACAGGTCACGCTTTTTCATCTTGCCCGCATTCTTGCGTAGACTGTCAAATACAACCGTTCGAGTGGGCAGATTGAGACCCATAGCAAAAGTTTCCGTCGCGAAGAGAACTTTGATCAGCCCATCGGCAAACAGAATTTCGACGACCTCTTTCATGATTGGCAAAAGACCGCTATGATGCACAGCAATACCTCTGCTCACTTGCTCTCGAAGCCGGAGGATTTGGGGAAGTTTTCGATCCAGAGGGTTAAGTCGCTTGAGGGATCTCTCAACTATCATGTGAATATGGCTCTTTTGGCTGGCAGTGGTGAAGTCTTGGTTGCTCAGAGTCTCTGCATTTGATTCACATCGCTGCCTCGAAAAGATGAAACAAACTGCCGGGAGGAGGTCATTCGCACGAAGATGTCCAAGTAGATGAACCCAGATGTTCTGATCTTGAGCAGCAGTCGGACGCCCACCGCTACCACCACCGCGGCCCATATTCCCCTGGCCACGACTGAAGGTCTTGCCACGTCCCCGTCCATTTTGATTTCGGCCTTCACCCTGCTTTTGATCTCCGCGCTGTCCAGTGCCTTGTTGGCTTTTGCCTTGTTGCCCTCCTCCACGGCCTCGGCCACCTTTGTTGTTTCCATCTGGAGACGCGATATCTTTGGCTGCCTTCCAACCAGTTTCAAGGAATCTCTTGTTCCTGTCAACAATCAGGTGTTTTTCCTTACCCGTCCAGAGGTAGTGCTCCAAAGGAACAGGTCGCTTAGGAGTTGAAATCACGTAGATGTCCTTCTTCTTTATACTACCAACCCACGATGAAAATTCTTCGGTGTTTGGGATAGTAGCGGACAGAAGGATCAACGTAATTGTAGCTGGAAGCATGATAATAACCTCTTCCCAGACCACACCTCTCTCTGCGTCATTGATGTAATGGACTTCGTCAAAGATGACAAACTCAACATCGCGGATAAGATCGGCACCCTTGTAAAGCATACTGCGTAGAATCTCGGTTGTCATGATGAGGCAGCTGGCCTCCTGGTTGATCTGAACATCACCCGTCAAGATGCCAACATCTTCAATATTTGGATCGTTTTTGAAGTCGCGATATTTCTGGTTACTGAGTGCTTTGATCGGGGATGTGTAGATGGCTTTGGTCATGTGTTTCTGTGCAAGAGCGATGGCATATTCAGCCACAACTGTCTTTCCAGCTGAAGTATGAGCACCCACGAAGACTGAGTCTCCATTTTCAAGATTGTAGATAGCTTGCTTCTGGAATGTATCCGGCTCGAAACTCCATGTTCTAGCCATATTCGGGACGAGGTCGTAAAAGTTTTCCATTGGCTTGTTCACATCTACAACATGTGCCCACTTCTTCTTGGGTGACAGAGAAAGCGCTGCCCATGCGCCGTTCGGCTCAAGTGAAGGGTATTCGACAGGGAGAAGCGCATCGATCTCTTCTTGGTCATCATTGGCCATGCCCGGGCGCTCATCCGCGTCAACCTTAGGACTTTTGACGACTTCGTCCGGCTTCGCGGGCTGATCGTCATCCTCAGCTTTGTCGCTTCCTTTCTCGAGCAGCTCCTGCACTCGTTCTTCTTCGTCTGACTTGGTCTTCTTCTGATCGAAATTCATTCCACGAGCAAATCCAGGAGGTGTTGTCAAAAGTCCACCAGCGGACCCAAACTCGATGATTCGGTCCAAGCCAGCCTTTTTCTTAGAGGGTCGGGATTGTTCTGCCCAGTCGGGCCCTAGTTCACTCTCTGCAATAGCTTCAATTTGGTCTAGACCACCCGGCGCGAAAGGGACAGAACCAGATCCGCCTCGAACGAAATCAGCGCGTGACGCGACCTCACGGCGCATCGAGGTAGAGTTCTTAGCATGGGCGCGTTCGGCTGTGATTGTGACATCTTTGTAGTCGGTAACTCTGCCCTCCAAGCCTTCTCGGACGAATCTGGTTTCGGAGCGTGATTGTGTTTGGTCGAGCTGGAAGAGCTGGGACGGATCTTCGGTGACGCTGTCGACTTGCCATCGCCTAGGTAAATGGTGTGTTAGTTGTGTGTACAAAACGTGCTGGGATCAAATCTCACGTCTGAAGTTTGTTAAGCCATTTTGGATTGAAGCGGGTTGGGGGAGTCAGATATTCTGACTCTAGGTTCTGTAAAACATCTTCTTCGGACGGATCAATTTTGCGAGGCTTGTGTTCACGCAAGCCACTCTCTTCTTCAGCCAGCTGAGCCTCAAAAGCTGCAGGGTCTGACTCCTGGGCTTTGAAATTCAGCTCGTCGAATGCTGCAGCTAATAATTCATCCATTTGGGAGATTTTGATGTGATTCTGGGGAGGTGTGATGGGTGGGGGAGGTGGAAGGAGGAAGTTAAGGCGACGCACAGATAAAGTGGTTCCACGCGTGCACGCTGTGATTTCCTTTTTAGGTTTAGCCCCTCACACCAATGGCTGCCTAGTTACGAAGTACACTTACATTCATATTTTGAATTCTGCTCTAGACAGAGCTCTAGTATAGCAGATATAATTAGCTAGTTAAAGTATTTTTATAGCTTCTAACATTCTCACTGTTATATAAAACTACATTACAATTAATAATGTCTGAAAGCTGCTCTAGGTAGAAGAGTCGGACAGTGTATATTCGTGCGTGTGGATACGTGATTGATTAGTCGCTCTAATAATGTCATCGACGCACCCCACCTTCAAAGGTTGCTCTATGTTTGTGTAGGAATGTGCAAGAATCATACTTCTCACATGAAACACCTTTGAGCAACTGTGCAGATTGGACAATCTCCATTTGACCAGATTAATCAAATTTCATGATCTTTCGTGAGAAATACTAGAATTTGTACCTAACAGAGTATCAAGTCCAACATGGAGCTTCAGGCGGTCACAGTGTTGTCTGGCAGTATATTGCGTTGACGTCGTGTGGGGTTCACCGCCAACCTTGGAAGGTTGTGAAGCATCCATTAGTAGGTAGCAATCCGGGGTCCGCGTCTGAAATGTTACTAGTACACAGTACAAATATGCAAATACAATTTACAGGTTATTAATACTTAGTAGTTGGGCATAGAAGATCTCGCCTGGTATTAATATCACGATAGACACTATGTAACATTTAGAACATTTGAAGACAGAGGAACTTGAAAGCTCAAAATATACCGAGAACTAAAAAATATTGTCAAAGATATACATTAAAAATATCATTTGCATTGGAACTTTTGTACCAGGACCAGCCATCAAAAGGACTGTGCAAAGACATGTGATAGAATGGCTAAAGGAACACACCCCGAGCGCCAGAAGAAAATGCAACGGATCAATAAACGCCGGGTCCAGAAGTCAAGATATCACAAGGTAAAAGAGAGACCTTAATAGCATGGAGGCTTACAGAAAGGCAATTGGTCCAGGTTATTTGCTCGAGTGAGAAAAGGTTTTCCTTGGGGGTTAGTTTTGCCTCGACATGAACGAGGATTCAGCGGTATGAGAATGCTGGGAATGTTCGTCGGTCATGAATATTCAGTTGGAATTCAAAGATTCCCTTCACCGTGGCAATGTACCTGTGTATGATGGTCAGATATAACATATCAATAAAAAGAAAAAGACGAATAAGACGTACAGGGTTCTTCCATCCGCACCCCAACCCAATCCGGCTGTAGCATCCGCCTCATCGGCACCAGAGCCATGAATCAAGCTTCGATCAGGAAGATCGTTGATAATGTTTCGGATCCACCTAGGGGAATGGGCCTGTTCAAATCCAAGAAGCTGTTGGCGATGACGCTGTTCCCGTTCATGAGAGGAGCGGTTATGTACCTCACTTGGTATCTGGCGATGGCGTCGCAAACGCTCGGCCGCCAAATTAGCTCTAAGTTCATGGGTAGAAAGACGAGGTGTATCGTATCTCCTTTCTGCTGCGGTCTGTGGCCGCTCAGTTCGCCGGGGCGTCGAGCTCGATCGTTGAGAACGAAGTCTGGCCAGGGCTTCCGAGCGGGTCCCGAGGTCAAGCATTGGAGGAGGCCCTATTGCTTCCGGTGGCCTAGGACCTGACCCATCCTCGTGGCTGATAAGATCTGGATCAGCACCCCGGGGGGTAGTATCCGATGGGGTGGGCTGGAATTCGGACGGCGGTGACACTGTCCAGCTTACAGAGACCATTGGCTGCCGGTCATGACTAGAGTTTCCAGCTTCCAAGTATCGATTTCCTTGAGATAGGACCACGGAACTTTGGCGCCTGGCATGATATGACCGTTCCAAAGTCCCTGTGCCTGAGCGAGTGGTGTGACTCAAGCGCGGAGGCGGAGGCGGTGGGGGCGGGACGAATAATTCATCATCATCGTCTTGCGCAATATCAGGAGATTCGAATGAATGCGGGGGTGGAGTAGGACGGGAGTTTCGAGTGGCCCCATCTGTGGAACCATGATGTCGCGTGCGAGCCGCAGGAAGAGGAGGATGCAGAGCTGCCCTGACAGGCCGCTCAGTTAGACCTTCCTCTGGATTAGAATTCCAACGCGCTGTGTTGAGAAATTCCATAATCAACCTCTCCCGTTCAGTGAGATCCTGGATTAAATTTTCTCGTAGCGAAGAGCGTTCGGCTTCTCCAAGGCCACGATCATTGGGAGAGTCGTCACCACGAATTCTTAAGCGTGGAACCGGCGGTGGTAGGATTGGATCATCATCGTCCATTGGCTGTCCATCCGATTCATCATCTATGGGTTCCAAGAGAGTCTCTTGTAGGGCCGGATCATCAAGCTCTAGTCGGAGTATTTGTCTCCGGATGAACCCCTGCCGAACGTCGGCAATCCCAGCTCGGCCGTGGCCCTCGAGCCATACTAGTAAGTCCCATGGTTCTGGCGAGAAGGTCATACAGCGCACTGTGCCGCCTTCATTGCAAGGCCTAGATCCGAAGAATTGATAAAGCACTGGGTCTTCGTCGCAATCCGTGCCCCCAGCTGTCTTGCGGATGATTTCGACATCTAAGACTGTGATGACACCAGATTGGGAACCGATGGCGCAGAGATGACTGGATGGTGAAAAGGCAACTGTAAAGCAGCATGCATCATCGGCACGGGCTCCGATGTTTATTTCAATGCATTGAAGCATTTCCCACTCCCATCCCGCAAGTTTACCACCCCCCTCGATAAATATGGGGGATCTCCAGTCACGCAGAATCCGATAGAAGTAGACTTTGTTCTCATCTCCTACTGCAGAGAGAATGGTTTGGTCGGGTGAAATAGTCGCATAGTTCATGCATGTTGTGTGTTGGAAAATTTTGAGAACTTTAGATCGAGTCAAGGAGTAGACGGTAACAGTTCGATCGTTGTTGCTGTTTGATATATGGTTAGTATATATTTAATAGAACTCCATCCGAAAAACGTACCTTAGGATCATCACATCTTCATGGGAGGTACTCTCGCCATTGTTTGGAAATCGGTGGATTGTAACAGAGTTTACAATAGTACCCCCAAACTTGTGTATGATCAGTTCCGGTAATGATTGCCTTCCCGAACGACGTGCCGAGGCAGTCTCGCTGCTGGAAGTTTCCGGGGAAGGCAATCTCGACGGCGGCTCGAGGTCGAGTGGGAGTGCACTATCGACATCCGTAGGGCGGAGTGGAGATGCCTCGTCATGAACCTGCAGGCCTCTTTCATCGATTCTGATGTAAGCGCATTCACCGTTGTCCGGCCCACCCACTGCGATCCACCCGTAGCCAGCCGCCAAGCATCGGGGCTCGAACGGAATGACAGCTATGCTCTCTCGTTTTTGCGCGGCGATATGAATCGCATAGACGATACGATCGACGACGACATAAATGCGGTCCGGATCGGCGGTGCTGATGTAGTGGCGGAGCTGTGGGTGGCTACTTGGAAGTTAGATCGCTAAACTCCGAGATCGGGGGTTGTCAGGTATGTGGGGAGTGGGGAGAGAGAGAGAGAGAGAGAGACAACATACAAGTTAGGAATCCTTAAAGGAAAGAAACGACGCTTATTGGGAAGGATGAGAGACTCGGTCGGGCGATGTCTAAGATCGATAAGTAAGAAGGCCCGAAATGAAATGGGGCGACAGAGAAGAGAGAGAGGGGAAACACGGGGACTCACAAAAGCGAGTCCGAGGTCATGATGAGCAGCTATGCCCGCGGCGACATTGTCCGATAATAAAAGGGCAAAGACTGAGAGCACCACTCAGACCCGATCGAGCTTTAGGAAACACTAAAGTGAAGCTGAACTTGAAGTACCCAACCCCAAAGTCGCATGCACCTCTTGCAAACTGATGACGTAAGACTTGGGTGGAGCTGAAGGCCGAAGAGCGAATGCGGTTGGTTCCAGTTAAAGAGTTTAGAAGAAGGGAATTAACCGGTTGCGATAGGGAAAATGGAAGAAGAAGAAAAAAAAGAACTATTGAAAGTACAGGTCAAACTATGTCTATAAACTGTAATCTGTACTGCATAGGTAGTTGTGTTTGATTATGAATTGATCTCACGGTACAGAGTACTATTAAGAGAGAGAAAAAAGAAAAAGAAAAAAGAGAGTATGTGAGCTCTAATACAGTGTAGTTTTTTTTCTAATTTGACTTTACATCTCAAGCCTCATAGGGTCTACCCTAATTTACTCCAGATTACTCCAGTCGGAGTGATTCTATGCCGTCATGATCATTATCTTGACCATCGTCGGATTCCCAATGGAGGATCAGGGGTCACACGACACTCTCTGGTTGGACTCCAACCCCAGAAACAGGAAGGCAACACAGAGATATCAAAATCGGCTGAGAACACGAGAAGTGGAGAAATGGAATCCATTTTTGAAGAGAGAAATATTAAATCCATTCTGATACCTTGAACTCATATGCAGTACTGGGGATTCCAGATGCCAGTTCTATATAATGGGGGAGAAAATATGCGCAGTCCATAGTACTATATACCACTGGCAGTCGACCTCGGGAGTGAACTTGAAGTGCCATATATGTAACATTTAATGTGATCTATTTTCTTCATAATACTCATAGTAGACTATTGAAATAAATTCCAACTAACTCTAAAAGCTCCACCCATTTGAAGATCAATTCGAAGTTGCTCGAATCCCCTGGTCAACTCTATACTAACGTCGAACTGCGATCATCGGCATAACCCGGGGGCGGTGAGCTCGGCCTTCCGGCAATGTCCCGTGATTCCATAAGCTTCCAAACTGTGCAAAAACCTTTCTCTTCTCTTCTCCTTCCTCTCCTTCATCTCTATCTCCAACTCCTCCCCTTTTTCATACCTTTATCACTCTGCGGCTGAGTCGTATCGGGTGATTTCCTTTTTTCTCTTTATTGTATTACTTAATTTAACTCACAATGATTTCTTCTCGCATTTCTCGCGCGGTATGTTCTGCCTCCTTGTTTTCTCGCAAGGGAAAAAAAACTTGTCACGCGTCGCGAACAACAACTAATTTATTTCTTATAGCTCCCGCGCTCTGCTTTCACTCGCGTTCCTTCCTCCAGAGTCCCCGGCGCTGCTTTCCGCCGATGGAACTCTACTGAGGGTGGTGAGGAGAAGGTTAAGGGCCAGGTCATCGGTATTGATCTCGGTGAGTTCCAATTCCGATCTATCATATCATGTCCTCAAACATGATTCTAACATAATTGATTATAGGTACCACCAACTCCGCTGTTGCCATCATGGAGGGCAAGACCCCTAAGATTATTGAGAACGCCGAGGGTGAGTAAAAAAAATTTGCACCTCAGAATTCATTTTGCAGCTCCCGGGAAACCTGGTCTTGGCAGTGCGACGAATTAGCAGGAATCAACCCCGAAGCAAAACAAAGGAAAATCTTGTCTAACAATTCATTTTAATAGGTGCCCGTACTACCCCATCAGTCGTTGGTTTCGCCCAGGATGGCGAGCGTCTCGTCGGTGTTGCCGCTAAGCGTCAGGCCGTCGTCAACCCCGAGAACACTCTCTTCGCTACCAAGCGTCTCATTGGTCGCAAGTTCACCGATATTGAGGTTCAGCGTGATATTAAGGAGGTTCCCTACAAGATTGTTCAGCACACCAACGGCGACGCCTGGGTTGAGGCCCGTGGCGAGAAGTACTCTCCTTCCCAGATTGGTGGTTTCGTCCTCAACAAGATGAAGGACACTGCTGAGGCCTACCTTGGCAAGCCCGTTAAGAACGCTGTCGTCACTGTTCCCGCTTACTTCAACGACTCCCAGCGTCAGGCCACCAAGAACGCTGGTCAGATCGCCGGTCTTAACGTTCTCCGTGTTGTTAACGAGCCCACCGCTGCTGCCCTTGCCTACGGTCTTGAGAAGGAGGCTGACCGCACCGTCGCTGTCTACGATCTGGGTGGTGGTACCTTCGATATCTCCATTCTGGAGATCCAGAACGGTGTCTTTGAGGTTAAGTCTACCAACGGTGACACCCACCTTGGTGGTGAGGATTTCGATATCCACCTTGTCCGCAACATCATTGAGAACTTCAAGAAGGAGAGCGGCACTGACTTGAGCAACGACCGCATGGCCGTCCAGCGTGTCCGTGAGGCTGCCGAGAAGGCCAAGATTGAGCTGTCCTCTTCCCTCCAGACCGAGATCTCCCTTCCCTTCATCAGCGCTGGTGCCGCCGGTGCTCTGCACATCAACCAGAAGATGACCCGTGCCCAGCTCGAGGCCCTGGTTGGTCCCCTAATCAACCGCACTGTTGACCCCGTCAAGAAGGCCCTCAAGGATGCCGGTCTCCAGTCCAGCGAGATCCAGGATGTCATCCTTGTTGGTGGTATGACCCGTATGCCCAAGGTCACCGAGTCCGTCAAGTCCATGTTCGGCCGTGAGCCCTCCAAGGCTGTCAACCCCGATGAGGCTGTTGCCATTGGTGCCGCTGTTCAGGGTGCTGTCCTCTCCGGTGAGGTCACTGATGTCCTCCTGCTCGATGTTACTCCTCTGTCCCTGGGTATCGAGACCCTGGGCGGTGTCTTCACCCGTCTGATCAACCGTAACACCACCATCCCCACCAAGAAGTCCCAGACCTTCTCCACCGCTGCTGACATGCAGACCGCTGTCGAGATCAAGGTCTTCCAGGGTGAGCGTGAGTTGGTGAAGGACAACAAGATGCTCGGTAACTTCCAGCTTGTTGGCATTCCTCCTGCCCACCGTGGTGTCCCCCAGATTGAGGTCACCTTCGACATTGACGCTGACTCCATCGTCCACGTCCACGCCAAGGACAAGTCCACCAACAAGGACCAGTCTATCACCATTGCCTCCGGCTCTGGTCTCTCTGACTCTGAGATCCAGTCCATGGTTGAGGATGCTGAGAAGTACGGTGAGCAGGACAAGGAGCGCAAGGCTGCCATTGAGGCCGCTAACCGCGCCGACTCCGTCTTGAACGATACCGAGAAGGCCCTCAAGGACTTCGAGGACCGCCTTGACAAGACCGAGGCCGAGACCATCAAGGAGAAGATTGCTGCTCTCCGTGAGTTCGTTGTCAAGAACCAGTCTGGTGAGGGTACTGCCACCGCCGAGGAGCTCAAGGAGAAGACCGATGAGCTCCAGACTGCTTCCCTGTCCCTGTTTGACAAGATGCACAAGGCCAACAACGAGCAGCAGCAGCAGCAGGGTGAGCAGCAGGGCGAGAACAAGCAGTAAATGCATTGTTAACTCCCCTTACGCTCTCCAACCTTGGGTTACTTAATTGTAGCCCCTGTATTTTTTCTCCTATCTCCTTCTATGTTTTTGTGTTAGAGACTCCCTGATCTGTTATTCCCTTTTTATTCCTTTTTCATTTGGCGGGCATCTTCTACTCGCATGAACTGTACACATACTTCTCAAGGCTTTTTTATCCCCCCTTCTTGTTCCCTGGTGTATCGGTGTTTGCTTTAACCTTGTATGATCAACTATTTCCTTATCTTTTTACCCAAATACCTCTGTGGAAGGCATGGTGCCTATCAGAGTATGCCGGGATTGTCTACCATTGTATTTTAATGACATTACGGCAAAAAGGGGGAAGCCATCAAAAAGGACTCAGGCTTTGGCTTTCTGGGTGCATGTGACAATAGAAATCGGACTATTCTCCACTCGTCTTTTCAAATTATTCCAATATTCCAATGTTTCTATAATTCTTAATATTCTATCTATTCTATCTTAACTTTGGAATGTAAAACCGTTTATTGCGTAACCTGGGGGCCTTTGCAATGGGAAGCACGATTTGGATTGCTCTGTGGTTCTGAGAACGCCACGATAGTCAGACCCCAAACCCACGTCTTAACAACAAATAAGAATGAAGCGCGGCTGTATGTTCTCTCATCCGAATGCAAGCCTTCCTCTAGTGCCAGTGCTACAGATCAGTGCTCACACCCCAAACATTCAAAAGTACATAATTTCGCATTCACCGAAGCGTGCTTGTCAAACCTGAAAAATGATAGGTCGGAAAAGCTCCCTGTCATACGCATCGAACCAAGTCAGAAACATTGAATGTATCTGAATTCATTAGTTCAAAACCCCGTTCCAATTACATTCTGACCAATCCCAGTGAATCTTCAGAAGAAACCTAGTGTTTCCCACCAAAATAAAGCAAAAAAATAAAAAAATAAATCTAGACAAATAAATTAAAATTTAATTTTTTTAAAAAAAACGAATCATTCTCTTTGATATGAATGAAATAGTAGGAAATAATTCTCAAAAGCTAGTCTACAATCTAGATGGACCAATCGCCTCTAAAACCTCGATTCCTTGCATGAAACGGCTGCAGCCAGGCGTCAGAGCTCTGTTTTCCCCTTTCCCTGCCAAGTGATACGATAATAGAACATTTTTGAAAAAAAAAAGAGAATCCAGAACGCAGTGGATATGAGGAAAGTTCCTTACTGGATCGTGACAAGTTCTCAGTCGAGAATGGGGCGATGTGATGCGATGGAACGGCGCCTATCATTTGTTTGATGTGGAAGATATTTCAAAGACATTATCAAACGGTGCTATAAGCGACTAGGTAGTATGCTCCGACTGGGTACTCCGTACATCGAGTTCAAGTTAAATCAATCGTAAGTACATGTAAAAGGTACTGCTGACAAGTTCTAGAGCTAGGTCCATTTTAATAAATCTTATATCACCGTCACATATAATTAAAATCATTGAAATGATTTTTATTTATCTTATTTGTTGTGTCTTGAATAGACTTTCCTGGGGGATTGTGACTGTTGTACTTTTTTCCTCCAAATGTTCTCTTGCATTCATTCTTAACTATAAACAGGGATGGGACACGAGCCATGCAGACATACTTTCGTGCTGGACCAATCTGCACTAAGAACTTCGGTGACAGGACCTAACAGTGGTGCAGCCTTCCCTGCAGCGATGCGGTGGGCAAATCATCGTTGTACACACCAGTTGGGCTATAAAGTGGGTCTTTTTTGGCAATGATGATGTTTGTTCATTACGAGGCCTGAGATCCTGGAAGGGGGCCCTATACCTCCCCATTAGATTTTTTTTTTTCAACTCTCGGACTTCATTCAAAATATTGTCATGTTTTGTGGGGGGTTCCATATTCCAGATGTCTGGAACACATTCGTGTTCCGTAATGGCCCATAATTTCAAGTTCCAAGTGGGACATGCCCCTTTTATTCCAGTCACTCCGTAGAGTAATGTACATGGAAATATCAGGTTTGTACTTAGTACTCAGTACATCTATACAGATTATGCACTTAAATCAATCCTCAAATCATCCAGCTTGAAATGTTTCTTAACACCCACATCACTTTACGATCATTCGTAGATCATTTGTCTTGTGAGACCATCAACCTTAGCGCGCCCCTAGTGCTGTGTGTATGATTATTTCCCATGTCCCCACTCTTAGATTCCCACTTTTTGCTTTTTTTTTGCCTGTAAATTTAAGTCAAGTCTATGGTTCCTCAGTTTCAAGTCAGATTTAATCATGGGAATGGGATAATTAAGGGGTCAAAGTACTACACACTACAAGACTCAAGTGCTTGACTGTACTCCGTCGAAGCTGAGCGGGACGGAGTACTGAGCATGAGTACTGAGGACACGGAGTACCTGAGAACCAATTTCCCGTAGAATGGATATCTGGATTTCTGGACTTCTGGATTTTAGATGACATCGTCATTGCTATTCGTCTATGTCATGGATGTACGGAGTACAAATTGGATTATGCCCTTACCGCCATGAAGAGTCCCCCCCCCTTTATTAGTCTTTAATAGGTGAATTAGGTTGGGAAAATGATAACAATCAAGGACCCATTCCTATTCAATAGATTGATGCCACAGACAATAATAATCTAAGTTGGAAGTGTAATGCAGAAACACTTGAAGCATCCAATTATGAAGATTTAAAGGATAGGAGTCGTAGTACGGAGTACATATGCAGATAACCGTGTAACCCCCACTGAATTCAGGACTTTGAAGTTCAAGTTTATTCAAGTTTAGTTCAAGTTTACCATCATTCTGATCATTCAAGCCTGAATTACTCAGTTGGGTGGCTATGTACTCTGACTCTCTGAGTAGTCCACTCTACACACAGACCCTTGAGGACCCGAGATCTGAATCAATAGTACATCCCAAGCAGTACCAAACACTTTTACTTCCAGTTCCAGCAGCTTCGACGTGGTCCCATGGAACCACTCCAGGGTCAAGTTTCCCCTGTGTTACATAATGTTTTTTTTTCTTGTTCTTAGTGTGAAAAATGACGGTAGATCGTCGATGGGTCATTGGTTCCGGAAAGATTTGTACCTAACTAGTGTACTTTGGAAATTGCAGTCGAATCTCCGGAGCCGCCCTCAATGAAGTTTGTCAAGTTTGAAGTGATAGATCAACAGAGGCGTTTTTATCCGGACGTATTCCGTTTCTCGATCAAACTTTTTTTTTTTCTTTCCAATAAGAATATGAAGGAATTGGTTGAGGGTGAATAGCTTATTTTTTATTTTCCGTTTTAGGGTACTATTTCTTATTATGCATCTAGTGTACCTAGGTAGGTACTTATGGAGTATGAGATAATTAGCTATAAATCTTGGAATTTTTAGGTCTTGACCTTGGTTACGGTCATTAAATCAGGTACATTGTCATACTGTACCCAGGTACATCCGAGGTCAACATGTACTCAGTATGGAGCACAGATTTGAAGGCTTGCTGTGGTGGGTATTGGTGGGTAAGATGAGGGTCAACTGACTTTTCATGTTTTTTTTTTTTTCTGAATTTTTTTATTTTGTTTTGTTATTTTATTTTTTCATTATTATTAATTTTTTTTAGGGTCTGAGGGCAATTGTGATCTCCATTAGAGAAGTGAAGCTCCTAAGTAAAAATAGGCCCAATTAATTTTGTGTGATTTAATTACACTAGCGCCGAGCCAATCCATGGATGTCTATTTTACCCACAGTAGAGAGAGTCAAACTGGTTTTGCTTCACTTTCAAATCTGATGATATTGATATTGATCTACTATACTATAATAGATCGTGTGAGATATGTAGATCTCCTTACTTGACCGTTACTGAATGATTTCTTTTTTTATTGTTATTATTTTATTTAATGTTACCTTTTATTTTATTTTATTTTTCTTATAAACGGGGGTGCAGCCCAAGGGTCACGCTAGTGGATATTGTCATGTCTTATTTGGACATTTTAGGGGAATTTTCTTTTTTATAATTTTCAATTTGAGTATTTAAGAAATTTTGAGTATTTTGTATTATCCATCGGGGTTATTGGATTCTCTTCTATTATTATAATTGGTAGAAGTGGATTGTCAATCCTTCCTTAACCGTCGACCCATAGATCGAAGGAACTGGACTATTTTTCTTCGATTCCCTTTTTCCTTCCTGGGATCTTCTCTACCCTTGGCTGTCATCATCTTTCCCCCTGGTTAAATCGAGTTATTAATAATTAATATACCATCGGGGAGGAGAAGAAAAAAAAGGAAACATTCACGGTACCTAAGAATCTTGAGAGAGGGGAAAAAAGAAGAAATTACCCATAAGGCGTGAACGTTCTCGAATCAACTTATTCAGACTGCTCAACTTGCAGTCATGACGGCTGCACCACCAGTGCCGCACTCTGTGCCCGAGGGAATGAATGGGGGACCACCGCACATACCTAGTGGTCTCCCTAGGTATCATCCTATCGCCATGAACCCAAATCCATCTCATCCAGCAATGCCTCCACCAGATCAAATGGCCCAAAATCATCACTACCGCCACTATGCACCGCCGCTCTTGCATGATCCGCATGCTGGTCCCCCACCAGTGCCGCCAACCCCGAGCCCAACCAACTTGGAACAGATTGAACAGCGTTTAAGGCAATTGGAACATGAGGAAATGAACCGGATGGCAGCTCGCACCCATTTGTTGGCAGTTCGAAAACGGGAAGATGAAGAGTTTCGACGAATGACAGAGAGTGCAGAGGCAGAAGAAGAGGTATGGCTTTTCATCCTAAAAGTTTCTAGCGTATATATGAGCTATGCTGCATATGGGCCATAACCACGAATGACGACGATATACTAACATTCGAGGAACAGGATCTTCGAAGACAGCGCAAACGGATCAAGAGAGAGTCGATGGGCCTAGGACCTAATTCAGCTGGTGACTCGCCGCCATTAAGGCCTACACCACCTCGGCGTTTGTCTGAGACCAGTGCAGCCACCACTCTTGCTTTTTTCAAGCAGCAAAGCCCTCCAGAGCCTCGTCAAGCTCCTCTGCCTCCTGTTTCTCAACCCCAGCAAGCACCTCCCATGCCCCCTCCTGCTCACCTCCATCATCAACCTCACCCTCCTCACCCTCCTCACCCACCTCACCCGTCTCAACAATCCCATCAGTCTCACCCACCTCACCCGTCTCAACAATCCCATCAGTCTCATCCACCACACCCATCTCACCAGCCTCACCCACCGCATCATCCTTCTTCACAAGCTCAGCAACACCAAATCGTCGCCCATGAATCTATGAACGGCGCTGGATCTATCCGCCGCAAGCAAAAATACACCATTAAGAATGTCGAAGCCTGGGGTGAGCGTCACGGCCGCCCAGCAGCCCACGACCCATCCGGCCGAGCTCTATGGAAGCGGCCCTCTGACGGCAGCCTGGTTTATCTGACCTGCCCAATTCAAGGTTGCGGCAAATCAGACTTTGTCACGCTCCACGGCTTCATGTGCCATCTGACGAAGAAACACAAAGACCGGACGTTAGGCAGCCAGTCGCGTGCTCTTGAACTATGTGGCATTGTATACGACCCCAACGCGCCTCTGCCTCCCGTCTCAGCTTCACACCGAGGCTCAGCAGAGAGTGCATCAGCGATGGATCACGACGGGGAAATGGGCGATGAGCTGGACTCGGACTCTGAGTTGGATGGAGAGGATTCGCCTGACTCTTACCGCGTTAAGACTGAAATCTCCGATCACCCTCTCTCAGAGCATCACGATACCCCGGGACCACATGATTTGTCGCCCGTGCCGAAACCAGTTTTCCCTCATGGCTTATCAACGAAACAATCTATCTCCTCTATCATTGACCGTACCCCCGAGCCGGAATCAAGGGAAGCTCTTACGTCTTTACCTCCATCAGAATCTCTTTCGCAGGGCCCAGCACCTATCCCTGAGCAAACGATTCCTTCGAAACGGAAATTCGAGTACTCTCCCGAAAAAGAGAACACAGAACCGAAAGAGAGATCCAGATCTGGAACTGAGTAGATTCTGTGATTGACGGGATTTACTTGCGTTTTTCTTTTCTTATCTTAATCACATATTGGATGTCATCACATAACCAACGCATATCTAGCCTGGTCTAGTATGAAAATCATAGCACTTGCATTATTCTCATCAAGCACATGTTTCAAGTTTATTATTTTCTACTTTTTATTAACGTCATTCCTTTTTTTTTCTCTGGATACCCTTTTGTTGGATCTGGGTGGCTTGTTGCTCTGTTATTTTCTGTTATGCTGCCACGTTACCGCACCTTGTTAGATTGGCGGATCCTTGTCCATAATTTGCATTTGCATACTGAGCATACTGTTAATGAGAACTGTCTGGATCTATGATCTAGACATTAATGCTAAACATTCAATGTTGTCAGAAATGGATGACTGTACTCTGTAGATGTACTTAAGCCCCTGCAGGAGAATCATTACTGAGTCGTTGACTATGGCTCGCTCATTTGATTCTTTACTGCCTAGTGATAGCGGCCATATGTAACTAGGTACGAAGCCAAGCAAAGTATAAGGGTCAGAAGCAGTTCAAGTTTGTACATTCTTGCAAGTCTATATGCAGCGTCTATCCAGTATTTACAACATAAAAATTGACTATAAACAGTCTCTCCAACCACTGGCAGTCAGACCCAAGCTCACAGCTGCATTCACTTCTCCCTGACCAGAAGTAAATGCACCAAATATCCACTTCCACCCCTTCAACCCATCCCCAAGCACCTCATCACTAATCCTCCAAACCCGAAACTCCCTCAATGTCTCTCTCAACCAAGACTCAAATACCTCCGGTGCCCGCTGCTGCTGCGCAACAATACAAACCGTCGGCTTCGAGCCCTGTCTCTCTGTCTCTGCAGTCGACGTATACACCGGCCGTAGGCGACAAATCTCCGCGCAAGTAGAGACAAGGGGCGTAATGAGAGCATCATTATAAATACAATCACACGAAAGAAGAAGATCAAAGCCCTTATCATCATCATCATCATCATCATCCGAGGACTCCTGAATACATTGTTTCAGTAAAGCCGGCTGATCAAGTTCCCAGTCCAGAGTCGTAAAGATGATATTTGAGTTTGAGGTTAAGTTTGATACTGCAGATGCAGACGCAGATGCACCTTTCGTAGACCCTTGCTTTTTACTCTTATTCTTAGCGGCACCTTTTGATTTCCCCTTGGATTTTGAGGTGGCATTGGCGTTCTCGTCGAGGTTTGTGCGGAAGTAGCGGCGTACGTATTCTTGGTCTGTGGCGATGTAGTGCTGGATTGATGGGGCCAGTGTTAAGGGGATTAGGGCTGAGATGCCGCATCCTAGTTCTGTGACTATGGAGTCTTGGGTAAGGAATGAGGTTTTCCATAGGGGGTTTGTGGGGTTTGAGATCCATTCTGCGAAGAGAGGTGTGATTTTCCAAAGGACTGTGGAAGATATGTTAGTATTGAGGAGCTGGAGTTGATGATAATTAGGATGAACGAATAGTTGTTGAAGTGGTGTAGTATAGAGATATCAAAGACAGCGATATGAAGGTAAACCCGCACTAGTAGTACGCAGCTATATGGCACGATACCAATGTCATCGGACTGGGCATGGGTAGTGCGCTTCGGATCTCGGATTTAGAGAAATCAGATGATCCCGATGTCCCGTCAGATAAAGTGAGTCCAGACCCGAGCGGAGCCTCGGTTGAGCAGATGTTCATGTATCAGACAAACTGCGGGGTGTTCTTATTGACGTCCGTGCATGGGCGGGAATGGAGGGTTTGCAGATCAGGAAGTATAAGGAAGAACATAGTATGAAAACAGACAAGACAGATAAAAAGAATCTTGAAAGCAAAGCAAAATCAGAAATGGCTCTACCCCTCACTTACCGGCTCCAGTAGTACCTCCAGCACGAGATGAGGAGAGTAAGGTTGGGGATTGGTGGATAGTGTATTCATTGTCTCGGATCGATACATCCACTGTGGCTGCGCGAGAATCGATGAACCCCAGATTACCTGTGGGGATGTCCTGAGTGAAAAGGAGAAAGGATTCTACCTCGTGTTCGGCAGTAAGTACAGACTCGTATTCCAAGGTCAATTCTGGGGAAAATGATTGTACCCTCTTCAGCGTCGGTGACTTCTTCACCTATTTTAAGGAGATCGGTTATTGAGGAAGACATGTTTAATGTTTAGTATGTTCAGAGTGAGAGTTGATGAATTGATGCTGATATTGAAGATCACGTGGATCGTGGCCAGATCTCTTCACACTAACCCCATAATATCCTCTTCATCTCAGCACGAGGACTCCATATTCTCTACCTATGAATTATCTGACTTCTGATCCATGGATACATTCTACCTAGGAACCTAATCATCCGTACAGTGAATACGATCTCACACCACTGTTGGGCCCAACAGGTGAAGAAAAGAGTAAAAGATCTACCCGCGGATAAAGACAAAAGAACCTCGAGATACGCCTGTGCACCAAGCCACAATTCACTATCCACTTTGCATCTTGCCGCAATATTCCGAATTAAAATTGCATAAGTACTCACACAGGAGAAAGGTCAAGAGTCACTGCTACGTATAAAATGGCTTCTTCCATCCTTCTTGCTTAGTCTCAGAGTGAAGACCCTAGAAGACCCCGTTGAATCCTTCTGACCCATAGTAATCTGCAAGGCTGTGATCTTGCTCCAGCCTCCAGGTGCTTGAAGTGCGTCATTGAAGTTCTGCGGGAGTACAATTGGATTGTGGCTTGTATTCTAAAGACATAATGTTTTATTTTGAGTGAATTTAATTCAAAGTCTCGTACTACAAATCCTTATCTTTTCCATTAATATAATATAGTAGATCATAAATAATTATACTAATTATTCCTAGTAAATTCGGAGGTAAGAACTTTCAGGTACCGAGCTCCACGGCGAAAGCTTTGCCGTCCGAGCTTCCCTTCCAAGGTTGTTTTGCCCCGTCCGCCTTTAACCCCCCCCGGAATTACGCTAACGTCACTTGTTAGTGGCCTTTTCTTTCTTTTTTTTTTCCCTTTCCCTGCTTCACTTTTTCTCATACCCCCTTTTTTCAGATAACCATCCATCATGTCTAAACACGACATGCACCTCCAACCGCGCATGTCCAAGAAGGGTCCCTTCTCGGTCGAGGCGCCCGGCTATGAACCCGTTGAAGGCGAAACCATTCCTCGTCGACACCCAGCAGCCAAGAACGGTCTCATCCTGCGCCCATCAGAGGACGTAGGAACCACCTACGAAAACTTCCGTCGTTCCGCTCGTCTGTTCGGAAATTCCAAGGCCGTTGGTACTCGCAAGCTGATTAAGACCCATGTCGAGAACAAGAAGATCAAGAAGATGGTGGATGGTGTGGAGCAGGAGGTGGAAAAGAAGTGGACTTACTTCGAGCTGAGCGGATATACCTACAAGACCTTCCTTGAGTATGAGCAGCTCTGTCTGCAGCTTGGTGCGGGTCTGCGCAAGCTCGGCCTCGAGAAGGACAATCGAGTTCACTTGTACGGTGCCACAAGTGCTCACTGGCTTGCCATGTCACACGGTGCTGCATCTCAATCAGTAACCATTGTCACTGCCTACGATACCCTGGGTGAGGAGGGCCTGAAGCACTCTCTGAAGCAAACCGCCAGTGACGCTATCTTCTTGGATCCCGGCCTGATCAAGTCGCTCCTTCACGTTCTGGGAGACATCCCTTCGATCAAGCACATTATCTACAACACCGATACCGAAGTGAATCAGGATGATTTGGACAAGCTGAAGGCTGACTACAGTCATATCTCCGTACAGAGCATCGAGGAGCTGCGCAAGTCCGGCGAGGAGAACCCCGTTGACCCCGTGCCGCCCAAGCCCGAGGACCTTTGCTGCATTATGTACACTTCTGGTTCCACCGGACCCCCGAAGGGTGTCTCCCTGACCCACGCCAACGTTATTGCTGCCACTGCCGGTGTTAACGAGATCGTCGGTCCCTACATCAGTCATAAGGACTCCCTGCTTACATACCTGCCCCAGGCTCACATCCTGGAGTTCATGTTTGAGAACCTCTGTTTGTTCTGGGGTGGTACTATGGGATACGGTAACCCTCGCACTCTCTCCGATACCTCCGTGCGCAACTGCAAGGGTGATATTCGCGAATTCAAGCCTACCATCTTGGTCGGTGTTCCGGCTGTGTGGGAGACCGTGAAGAAGGGTGTCATGAACAACCTGAACAAGATGAGCTTTATCGTCAAGGGCTTGTTCTGGGGTGGATTGGCTACCAAGAACTTCCTTCTGAACAATGGCATTCCTGGTGCAAGCTTGGGTGTCGGCGTTCTTGACGCTGTTGTCTTCAAGAAGCTCAAGGAGGCTACTGGTGGTCATCTCCGCATTATGATGAACGGTGGTGGTCCCATCTCTAAGGATACCCAGAAGTTCTTGTCCATGGCTATTGCGCCTATGATCAGTGGTTACGGTTTGACTGAGACTTCCGCGATGGGAGCTCTGAACGACCCAATGGCCTGGAACCCCGAGGCCCTGGGTGATATTCCCGCGTCCATTGAGATCAAGCTTGTTGACTTCCCCGATGCCGGATACTTCACCAAGAACAACCCTCCTCAAGGAGAGATTTTCATCCGCGGTGGCAGTGTGACATCTGGCTACTTCGATAACGAGGAGGAGACCAAGGCCTCATTGACTGAGGATGGCTGGTTCATGACTGGTGATATTGGCGAGTTCGACTCACACGGTCACTTGAACATCATCGACCGTAAGAAGAACTTAGTCAAGACCCAAAACGGCGAGTACATTGCTCTGGAGAAGCTGGAGTCTGTCTACCGCTCTTCTTCTGTTGTTGGCAACATTTGCGTTTACGCTGCCCAGGACCAGGATAAGCCCATTGCCATCATTGTGCCTGTGGAGCTTGCGTTGAAGAAGCTCGCCAGTGAAAATGGTGTGAAGGGTGATAGCTTGGAGACTCTTGTGCATGACGAGAAGGTCCAGCGCCTTGTTTTGCAGCAGCTGCAGAGCTCTGGTCGTAGTGGTGGTCTGAAGGGCATTGAGATCATCAGCGGAGTTGTTCTGTCCGATGAGGAGTGGACCCCTCAGAACGTAAGTAATTTGATGAACCCACTCTATGATGCAAAACGCTAACGGTATCTGTTTAGGGCTACATGACTGCTGCTCAGAAGTTGCAGCGCAGGAAGATTGTCGACAAGTACAAGGCCCAGATTGACAAGGCCTACGGCAAGAAATAGATTCCTCAAAAAAGTGATGAGCCTCCTGTCTAAAATCTGCTGAAGATCCTTATGCCATTTGTTTCTTTTCTTTTCTTTTTTCTCTTTCCTAACTATGTTACCCTTTACTGCGTTGATTTATGCCGATTTGCGACAAGCCTTGTTAATACTATGTGTTCCCTCGCTACGATGTAGACGAGCTAGGTGATGAATCCAGATAATAAACTGTACTAAGTCGCTTGCATAGTCTCCTGTAATTTTATTTTCGGTTCAAGTTCATTCAACCCTGAGTTTGATATAGATGGTGTTCTTATAGTAAATGGTAGAAACTGAAGTATCTCAAAGTTCTTCTACGAATTTCACCACCATAGCTACCAACACACAAAGTCCCATTTAGACCCACGATACTTCAGCCACAGTTACATCCGCAGCAGCAGGAACATCAAATCAACCTCGCTATGTGGTACAGGTAACCTGCCAGGAACTTCCAGGAACAAGCGTTACGGAAACTTCAGGTGTCAATCCAAATACGGTTAGATCGGCATCACCTGGGCATCCACGTGATATCCACGGAGCTTCAACCAGGACTTTAGCTTCATTTCACGTCACAACTGGTTAATAAACACGGAGTTCCCATTCGATTACACAGAATACGCTCAAAATGTCTCTGTGGAGGTACGGTTTCACACTAAACACCCATACTTTAAAGGTGCACGCAAAAAGCTAACAAATATCCTCCGATAGTACCTACCGCGGCCTTACCCCGAAAACCCGAGCCCTCTTTGGTGTTGGCGTTATGGCCTGGGCTACCATCGGCCTATGGACATCACCGCAGGTTGAGGATGCACTCGGAATGCACGCCTCGAAAGAAGAGCAGGAGGCACTGGACCGTAAGCTTGCAGTGCGGATTTCGCGAGTCGGAGCCGATGAGAAGGATGAAACGAAATGAAAGAATTGAATCGCCACACTTCGGATCCGAGAAACATACCCGTGCATGAATGGACAGAATATCTTCCTAGACTTCTTCTAAGCCTGCATGTCCAACCCGGAATTCGAGCTCGGTTTGCTTGAAAACAAAACATCCGTGCCAGAGGTCAAGGCACTATGGTCCCAGTCTCTACCTCTACCAGTTCATAATGGATTCAATGGTGTCATATCTTACCGTGATCTATTCTCGTGATATCTGATCCCCGGTTCAATATGCATACTGATCTGCTTGACACCACAAGACCGAACAAGCACGTCGCCAGCTCACTTAGCTGCATGCGCTCAGACTTCCAAGTTGCCCTTGTCCGCAACCAATACCAATACCCATAATTAATCCTATATCCATGCCCGTTAATTACTGTTTGCATGAAGTCCGTGCTAGCGCATGACCTTCACCCTGAAACGGATATGCAGCTACGGTATCTGACCCCCTTAATCATTCAATCGCGGTCTTCCCTAGCCTCGTTCAATTCCATGGAAAAGAGGGAAAGGGTGAATTCCAAATGCTACGCTGTTACCAGTTGAGAAAATTATTTCTTGGCGAGCCTCGCAGGTGGTGCCTTTAGTCCAGATCGCGATCCCTGCTAGTCAAAGCCGTGAGAAGCCAATGACGGCGCATTTTATTCTCCGGGCTTAATGGGGTCGGAATTGAGATGCGGTTGCGAGCCGCAGATTTTTTGGGCGTTAAGTCGAATTAAATCGAATCAGCTCATGCTGATGCTTATGGATGTGGAAGATCGATTGATTGGATTGAGAGGGTTTGGGTTTGATGCAATTGCCCTGCAACTTGGTTTATGTCTTGTCTTGGTCGGTGTTTGACTATTCCTGCATATGGGGGTCATAGCAATGGAAAGTTCGGCTCCCCCTGTCTATTTCCATTTTTGTTTGTCTCAGTAGTTGGATTGTTGTCTTGGACTGAATCATCGTTGACTATTCATGCTATACCAATTCTACCTTCCACATGCCCATGTGTGCATCGACACGTAATGCTAATTCCTCATGACTTTCTGATTCTACTGTTTACCTTCCATCCCGACACCAAGTCCAAACTTCAATCCAACTCCCCGAAAGTATTCCTCACGTGCTATCCAAGGGTCTAACCCTGCCTGCTCGTGTCGACAAGTTGCCACACCATAACCCAAACCTAGGGAGCTTAGTACCACAGGACCCAAAAGCCGTTGACGTGGAACATCAGAGAAATTCACCATCCCCGCTGGATGGTGGATGACCCGGCTAGCACTGCGTTGGGGGTAGGGCCCCTGAAGGGTCAGTGTTGATGTACTGGAATGGATCCTGAAGCTGTATCTGTGCTCGCGGGCTACCTAAACAGGTGATACTTGTGATTGCACCTGCGATTTTATCGAGTAGGGCTGTGTGGATTGGGATAGACTCAGACTCTTTGAGTATAGCGTTTGACTCAGAACAAAGGACATGTACGAACTCGTGATGTTTTGAGTTATTGATTTCATACTAGCAGGCTTGAGGTGATTATTGTATGAAATGGTGGTATCAATCTCGAAACATTGAGAAAACTAGTAAAACCACAGTCTCAATGTATTTCAAATGCTCCAGAATTTGATTGTAAGATATTTGATATCGCCTTCATCTCCTTATCGATCAACAACCCTAGCTTCAAGATGCCAGTATACAGAGAGCGCTGGCACTGGCACTGATGACGCTATCAGAGAGGTTACGCACAGGATGTTTCCGTAGCACCGACAACCCAGGGTCCAAGTGTGTCTTAAAACAACATACTATGCATATGCCTGTTGAACTAGGATTAATAGTTAGATTCCAGATCACGAAATCGTCAGCATTGAAAATAATAATGATCACGAGTCCAAGCTACCATAGAAAAATCCAAGAACCCATACCTCAATTCCTCTGATAGCTCATGTACCCTAAGATAAAAACACAAATACAAATACAAGGATGAGCAGATTATTAATTTTATCATATTCAAAATACAAATTCCGTTCGTTACTCTGATTTGATCGGATCTTTAGGCGCTTTGATCTGTCGTGGAACCCACTTCAATGAAGAACCCCTCAGTCAACCAATACCTACTTGCAGGGCTGAGTGGATTCTTCAGATTAGGCATCCATATGATCATTATACCTAGATCAAATGGATTAAAGAATTCTGATACCGATATGCACACTGGCACAGGAGCCCGTGCTCCTCTCGGCCGGCAACTCTTGTACAACGCACGTGCGTTAGGGCAGCAACAAGGCTGAATTTTGGGATCAGGTGATTCGTATTCAGTGTTTTAGATTCTTTGGATTCAAGGTTCTTAGCACTTGAGGTGTTTGATCGCCACTTGGGGTGTGAAGAAAAAAAAGTTTACTTTCAAGTTAATCGTATTTCCCCCCCTTACCCCCGGAAGTATAGGATGAAAGTACGAACTATACGCGTGATTATCAGATGATATGTACTAAAGTACTTGTACGGAGTAAAATTGCCACTGTTTCCTCTATTTAGTATTCTGAGCCTTGGAAAAACTATAATTTGATCATTAGTAATATTCATCTTGCCGGAATAGCCTGGTATAAATGCAGTATACAACTGGAATCGAAAGTACATTCACCTAATCAGTCCTGGAGGTTCTCTCTAACTTCTCACAGGGCCAGGATCCTTGTCAATAACTGGTCATCTAACCACCAAATCCACCAACGAGAAGAGCTAGAACATGATGGTAAGCACCGGAAGTTGCCGAGCCGCAGGAAACCAGAATCACGAGAGAGAGGGACTAGTCAACTTATGGCAATAAGTGGGATGGAATGTATCTGTGTCATTTTCGCTCTACACTATATGCTTAGGTGCAATAGACGAGCACTTGAGTTATGACTCAGACACCCACTGAAGAATATCATCTGGTCTCCCCCACTTATGACCAGTTGACACCAAGAATAGGCTCCCTCCATATCCATGGATGCTCTAATCAAGATGATGACAATAAAATATGAGATTATCGCCACTGACGCCCGGGCCCAGCCCTGAATGTATTCGTAATAGCCCAGGTGCCGTAATTGGGCTGAGCTGAGACGCAATAAATCACCTGCGCAAGCACTGTCGATCATATAGCGATCGGGTCGGGATCGACAAGGGTTCTATTCAGTACCTGGGGTATGTAGGTCATGGTGACAGAAGTTCAATCCAATAGAATCGAGCATAAACATATGAAGTATAGGAATTAGGCTTTTTCACCTCGTTGAGTACACATTATGTTCACATTCCATACATGTGTCAAAAAACCTCATTTTCGCTTTCGCTCTCACAATCTTAATGACAATTACACATGCTATTCCTAATACCATTACATTACTGTCCTCATTTAACCCTTGCCTGGAGATTACTTCATACACATAAGCAGAAGCATCATCTTGCTTAAAGGGACATGGATCTAGATACTTGATTGGTTCTTTCATTGCCCCATTGTGCATCTTGCCTTGTTACCGACCAATCTCGTTTGAAGAGAATTAAGGCCTGCAGGAAAAAGAAACGAAAAAAAGTATCTAGAGTACGAAGTCCAGAAACAGGAATATGTGAAAGAAGCAACTCACCGAAACCGCCACCAGATCCTTAATCTTCGCCCCAGGTAACCCTCCATCCAAATTCAAGTTCTAATGTCCGCTGACCACAGGGGGGCCTAGTATGCATATCAGTCTTCAACTAGACAGTATTAGAAATAGAATCACAAGCTAGAAGAACATTTTGAAACAAGAAAAAAGGATGAATAGTTCAGCTTAAAGGCAACCCATTACTTCTCAGGCAAGCAGGGACATAAAGCCAATAAGAAAAAAAAAACAAGTAAACATTGAACATACCTAAAGTGGGGAAGATTCAAAGTTCAACGCCGTACTTTCTTATTACATGGAGCCACTTTTTCTATTTCTGCTGCTGCGACTTTCCATTCAAACTGGGACTAACTAAATCCCTGTAGATGGCCTGCAATATCCTAGTCAGTGGTGAACTGGACCAAGACCGCAGCAAATAACGGTTCCTGGCGGACTAGGCGAATCGGGGAATTGCGGCGACGTTATGGGAGTGCGCAGGCAAACATGAAATTAAGAATTGAATCCATTTCCAAGTTTATGCCAGGCAAATTTAGAGGTATGATTTGTATAATATATGACGGTGAGTAATTATAGGTATAGGTCTAGTCTAGTCCATATCCAACATTGGAATAGTATCAGATGAAATTCATGACATTCTGTATGGTCTCCTTTTAGAGTAAGAATATGACAAGAAATAAAAAAGTAAATATGAGAAGAGTAATAAAAATCAAGCTATATAGAGCATAATATTATACTCTTAGCTTGTTGAAACCCAGGTAGGCTCAAGAGAAGAGAAGGAAGAAACCGAATCTCATAACGTCAAGTTCATCATAAAATAATAATAATCAGACAAAAGAAGAAATTGAAAAAAGGGCCGTAAATCGTCTCCGTTCTGCACTGCTCCGTAAACCCCTTTCCCAGTACTGCGGTAAATGAAATTCCTCGAAATCCTTAGCATAAAACAAGTCATGAATTTGAAAAAGAGAAACATGAAAGTGAAATGAGAAAACACAAGCTTAGAATGATGACAGAGAGGCAAAAAAAAGAAATAATAATTCTGAAACTCAATACCTAAGTGCATAGGCTATGCGAGTTCTGAATCGGGTCATAACGTCCATAGGTCGAGTAAACAGGATCGTAACCACCAGTACTGTGACGATGATGACTAGAAACCCCAGTGAAAGGATCTTGATATGGATCACTTTTCAAAGTATCCATAGGATCCATAGTACCTTCATTCATCATGTAATGATCAAAGCCCGAAGACGACGAAGACGAGACAAGAGGACTATCACTCAGAGGTGAGTGCTCAGCTGTCTGCATCTGACGATAATCCGTTCTGCCGTACGGAAGCGCACCTCCGTGAGTCGAGTCGTACATCAGGAGGTGTGAACGTGCAGACTGACCCATTGCGTGAGGGAGGCCGCCACCATTCCCATCCCCACTACTTCCATCCGGCCCCATGCTCGCTGTACTGTCACGTCTGCCGTCCTTGTAATGTCCAGGCGAACGGCCTCGTACAACCATTCGGTCGGAATGACGGCGCGCAATCAAAACGGGCTCGGACTCTCCAGTCACGGGATCAGAGACCTCTGCATGCAGCTCCACCACTAGATTGTAATATTGCTGCTGAGCGCGGCGCTTGCCGTTATTGGCGGTCGCTTTCTGGAATTGGATTCGCTCAAACATGTGCGAGGTCGGAGGTGCGCAGGGTTGAGGTGCACCGGAGAAAGAGGCGTTGTAGTCTAGAGACTGCGAGTTAAGTGGGAAGCTAGAGTGCGTGCCATTTCCTGTAGAGCTGGCGGCGAGAGAAGGTGGTGGAGAAGGGTTTAGAGGTACGGGACCTGGTTTTCGCTCGGATTGCTTGTCGCGTTTGGGTGTGTGTTGAACAAGTTCGCGGGTCTCGGTATAGGATTCGTTCACAATCGCAGAAATAGACATCTGGAATCCTCGGATAGGTGCTAGATTTCCATTCTCTTGTCGAACGTATAGAGGCACAGATGCGGGCCATGGCGAGAGGCTGAAACTGCAGGTAACGGCGAAATAGTTACGACGATAGCAGGTCCATTTTCCATCGGATGCGAAAAAGCCGCGTCCAATCTTGGCTTGAATCTCTGGATTGACTCTTGTCTGGCTGCCTCCATAGTCTGCCACGATCGACTCGAGGATGTTGGTATCGTTGAAAGGTGGGGCTTCAACTTGGGTTGAAGATCGTTGTGAAGATTCCACCATTGGCTGCTGGAAGATAGTCTGTGATCGATCCAAGACCCCATCCAGAGCTCGAGGTGTGCCGGAGTATTGGTGAGACCGAGAAACGTCATTAACTCCTGCAAGTGGCAAGCCCATTCCTCTGTGCAAAGCATAAGAGGATGAATAGGCATTATTTCGTCCCATAAGGGTCGAGAGGGAGCTAACCCCATGGGATGGTGTTTGAATGGTGGTTGACATGCCGGCTGGAGGTTGACTGGAATTGCCAACGAAAAACACAGATTAGTTCTCTTGTCATCTATCGATTGTCAGAAGTAGATGCCTTACAGAGGGAGACCACGTCGAAAATCGTTCAGACGATCAAAATGATGTTGCTGCTGAGACAAGTAGGGGAATATAGGACCAGAGGTTGGAGAAAAAGAGTCTGTTAAATACCAGGATGGATCAGCACGAGGGCTAACATCCAAGTTGCCACTCGAAGAAGAAGCCATACCGGAGCCAGAATCTGTAGGTGTCATAGCAAGAGCAGAAGAGCCGGAGTAGCTAGATAAATGGCCCTTTAGTACGTCACATCACGGATTCATTGCCAAGGGTAAACTGAAACATCATAGGATCATAAGAAGATTGGGAATCCGAGCGCAACAGCACGTCCATGATGCAAAGGGAAGCAAATAAGAAACCCAAAACTCGGGACAAAAATAAAATAAAATGAAAAATAAATAAAAAAAAAGTCAAGTCAAGGGTAGGGGGATCATGTCAATGGCAAAAATAAACCAAGAAAAGTATCCCCAAAAGAAGACACGAGACAAGTCAAGATGAAAGATGAAAAAAAGTATCGGAATAAACGCATGCACGCAGCGGATCGGTATGGAAGGTACCGAACCAGGCTGGACTAAAGTGCAAGCTGCCCGGACCCGGAGGAAGCGCATCAATAACAAGGGGTCGAGTGGCCGAGTGGAGAGAAAACAGTCGGGATTGAAAGAACTAAAAAAAAGGAAGAAAAAAGAAGAAACTTACTGTAAGTCCTGCATCGCAGGCTGCTGTGCGTGGTACCGCACACCGTTGGTGACAGGCATAGAGGCGAGCCCTCCGACTCGCTGATCGTCCTCGTCGGTAGGAAACCCTGTCACATGGGAGCTGATATAGTCACCTTCCGTAGTGACCGGGCAGTCCATGGAAAAGGATTCAGGTAGCAAAGCTGGATGATTTTTAGTTGAATTCCAATGATACATGCCGAAGTCCTTTTCGATGGCTTTCCTCCCCAACCCTATCAGTGGCGAGAACAACATGACAAGGAAGTAGAAGTAACCGGATAATTTGAGAGGATACTTACAAGGATTCATTTTTAACAAGATATAATGGTATCTCAGAGACCCTGATGAATGGTTGATCTAGGTAACACCAGAAAAGATACTCGCGTTGTGTGGCGAGTAGTAAATGTCTAGATTAAAGCAGCTTAATTAGTGACCAGGACCAGGATGAAAATCAGCTCTTGGCCTTTTCCTCACAGGTAGAATGAGTGGTTCTCCTCTCTAGAGAGCTTTTTGACTTTCTTCCGAGGATCCTCCCGGTTGATAAAGAGAAAAGAATGTATGAGCGCGTATGAATAGAAGAGTGTGTGGGAGTATTATTCACAAGTCACAACCGGAGAGTAAAGACTGATGTAGATGAACTTGTAAAAAAAAGATCTCAACGGATATCACAACATTAAAAGGCAGAGGGAGAAATGTATGATCTTTCAGTCTGTGAAGAGTGTAAGGGGAAAGTTGGAACAAGATGGGAATTAATAGATAGAAGGAGATCAGATCAAGAAAAGACAGGATAGAAAGGGAGTAGAGGTAGAAGATGCCCCAAATAAAATGCCCAAGCATATGTTAAGTAGAGGCTAACGGAATTTGCTCGGCCAAAGCGGATGCGTCACCGGTTTATAGGCATGAACTTCCTGATTTGGGATGGAAAGAAAACCCTCACAGTTCATGGTCATGGGCTCTGATTTCCGGACCAAATGAAACAATCGGATCAACAACTCAAGATCAAAGTGTCTGAGCAATAGATCATGAAGATCCAAGCAAAACCAGAGTGGATATTTGCAAGTCTCCGGGAAAAGGAGTCCATAAAAAGAAAGAAATAATAAAAAAGAAATAACAAATACAAATGATACACTTCATCTCCCTTCAAAAATGAAATAATGACATCGTAGTAGTAAATAATAATAATAAAAAAATAACAAAATAACAAAATAAAAACAATAAAAACCAGACTGAATCTAGAAAAGGAAAAGAAAACTTACTCATTTAATCTGGTGTGACTTGCGTCCACTAATCAAGCTGTATGATCCTGAAGCAGTATCTGGCCTGAGCACCAGGGCTGGAATGTACTGAATGTACTGTAAATAGAGAGAAAAGTGACCCCTCCAAGATACCCAAGCGTTAAGTTGTGGGATGAAGGTGTCTCTTGTTCCTTTTTCAAGGTTATTTCTTACTCTTTTTTTTTCTTTTTTTTGACTTCAAGTTTCAAGTTTTGAAGAACCTGGTAACAAAAAAAGCAGTGATCAATGCACGAGCAAGAGCCTCTCGTGCACGTCCTGAGCGATCAGAATAATTTCTTCTTGGAGGGGGATCGAAAGAGATGTGGGAAAGAAAAGAAAAGATCTTAAGATCTGAGGTGCGCATGCAATTGATATTTGTCTGCGAGATGATGCTTGACAGTCGATCCTGATCCTTGGGCCTTGGTTAGATACGGGGACAATACCCTCAAAATAGCCTCAGGCCATCGGCCGAGGATCATTCTCGCCACGAGTTTTGGGAATCTGGAAATTCTGGGCCTGCCAGGGACAACAAGAATACGTTGTATTCGGCGAAGGAGACAAGTGGGTGGCAGCAGTCATTTTGCATAAGGGGTCCAACCATAATTAGGGACTGGGGGACTAGGATTTCCGTATTTTCCTTTGGCTGAAGGAATAATAATAATAAATGATAATAATGATAATAAAATAATAAATAAATTCCATTTCCGGGTAGAAAAGAATTTTCATACTGAATATTTTATTATTATTTTCTTTTTTTTGGATTATTATTTTCTTTTCTTTTCTAATCCTGGTCCTGGTCTCTTATGGAGCGCGCCAAAATGGTGGGGGGGTAGGGCGCCAGAGTCTCCATAGGGAGGAAACTGTAGCATCGATTCATTGGCCCGAGCTTCCAGACAGTTTGATTGTTCAAGGAGCATGGCATTGGTTGGATTTTCCATGTTACGTGCCCTGGGAGGACCCGAAAGCCTGCGACAGTGGCCGATCCATAGTGGATAAGGCAAGATACGGCCCCCGTGCAATCCGTGCAATGACAACAGTATGTATTTTCCATTACTCCGTACAGGTTGATGAAGTCAGATGTCCCAGCGCGAACACCCGAGAAGACGGGTTGCTGCAGGAAATACCAAATAACATGAAACTAGGCAGGATAGAGGTTATGATCAACCCCCCCAGGATACCCGTGCAGAGTCTCTTCCCTCCTTCCCAGTCGCATGACAGTGGTTGATGTATCAGACTTTGAAGATCTGCAGGCCAATAGACCCAATAACGAAAAACAATTCGTCCGTGTAAATAAACCCTAGTAACAATCTGTGTGGTTCCTTGGAAATTAACCCAAGTTACTGGGAAAGAAAAAAACAAGACTTGAGCAGAAAAGAAAACACCTGTCGGAGTGGTCCCAGCAGTCCCAGCAATCTCAGTTGTCCCAGTTGGATTTATTTTTTATTTATTTTTTCTTTTTCTTTTCAACACCCTCACTCTTTGACTTACCCAAGTAGTATGGTTCTTGCATGACAAAAAATATGGACGATCAGGCGATCGGCAATTTTCATTTAGCCAGCTGCAGTGTGCATGTTGGCAGTGCTCTCACCGACAGACTGGGAGGAAAGGGATTAAGGCAGCACTGACGACGATAGTTTCCTCCGGGCCAATTGACTCCTCCACCTTCGGGGAGAAGAGCTAAGGACCGGGCGCTCCAGACTATGACCGATGTAATTGATTGTACGGAGTATGCCCCAACTCGGCACACTAGGACCCACCGAGCATACCTAAAACAGCTGCAGCGGGAAGGGTGATGGTGTGCGGTCCGTACCCGGCAGCTTTTTCCAGAATGGAGCTTCAAGAGACCCACTAGGCCTGTGCAAATAGGAATTTGCCCCAGATGAGTCGAGACCAAGGAAGAATTGGAAGGGGAACCAAAGAGAAAAATGACAATCTTAATAAATTCAAGGAGGAACAAAGAGAAAAAAGAAAAAAAACAAAAACAAAACCAATCTCCCCAAAAAGAGAAGATGAGCATGAAAAAAAGTACCCCTCCTAACCAGTTTGGGTGGCTCTGCTGGAAGGTGGAGTTAACTAGTATCATAGATCCAAGATCCTGGTCTTTCACAAGTGGACCTTCTAGCCTAATTGCGTGGAAGATACCTACCACATTCGCGGCTTGAAGATCGTCCATCCTGCAGGAGGCTAGTTGGTCCAGATGGCAAAAGCACAGAGCCCTGTTAAAGCACCCGAGTAGAAATGATTGGTGGATCGGAAGTTCGATCGATGTACTTCCGTCCTTGGGACCAGTCAATGAGTTCTGGCGTTGGAAAAGGAAAAGGAGTGGGATATGTTGTGCAGGATGTTGCCCCCCCTTGGCCCCCAAGAGACCATTCAGACCATTCAGACCAGCTAGACGAGAAGGTACCTAACTCGGTACCAAGTTGCAGGGATGTGAACCATTGGAAGTTCGTCACTTAGGTTATCAAGTGATGAAGTGATGAAAAAGTTTGATGACGAAAGTCCCGCGCTTCAAGTTCAAGTCAATGCGTCAAAAAGAAAAAAAGTCAGATGTTTAATGTTGAAGATCATCGTGCAAGGTTCCTTGTATTGTGAGGGAAATAAAGATAGTTCTCAATCTCGGGAGAAGTAGGCACGTGTACTTAAGGCGGTCAACAAGGAAGTATGACTTTGTAAGAGTACTTGGTGGTTGATGCATACTGATTAGACCACTTTTTTGGAGTCTACTCGTATTCATCTACAATTTGAATTTATTATTTTTTCTCTCTCTTGATAAATTACGTGTACGCAATAAAAGAGAAGAAAAGAGGGGGAGTTTACGAATACTACATAGTATCTCAAATAGTGGATTCATGTACAAGGGATATAGCTCGAAGATAGTCCACATAATCCACATAACTCCGTGTGGAATGCGAAAAATGTGCATGAAATTAAAACTTGTTGGATCTACTGCATAAGGAGGGGGAATAATATGAGTAGATGGACATTGCCCAACCAGTCATGTTATTTATTTTGTCATTGCTTTTTGTCCGATCCTTTTTTTTTTCTAATCAATGTTAACTTCCAAGGTTTAGTTCCATCTGGTATATTAGTATATTATCGGAGCATGATCCATTACACTATCAGATCGCTCGACGTACCCGCAACCGTGCTCCACTAGCCCGTAATCTGTTTCCCGAACTCCACCATTTTACGATCTATCACTTTTTTTACATCTCACCCCCCCCCCCCCGATGCAGAAAGTAATCTCCCTGAGATCAAGAGAACGAGGACTTGAATAATTGTCCGATTCCGTCATGTGGAAGAGTCACGGACCTCTTTGTTCTAATTTCCCTCTACAATTGACTATAAACCTTACCCGATCCCTAGTTCCTCTCTGCAGGTACCTGGTTGTCTGTCTAAACTATAAAATTTCTTTTTTGCTTTACAATTTTGTACTCCGAGACTAATAATACCCGATTTGACATTCCCCCATTCAATAGGCTTGACTAGGCTTTCTCTTTGCATGAACTCATCAAATCCATGGATCGGCCCCGTAAATCCCCCGATGTGCCGAGATGAGAAATGAGGCAGCAGTGAGGCTTAAGGGTCATTGCGTATTCTACTAAGATATATCCGTTCAATTCGGGATTTGATCTCAAGATTGGACCTGTGTTGACCTGTGTTGAGAAGTCTGACATCTTCATCATAACTGATCAATTTGGAATCTTCAGGGCTTGTCAAGGGCACGTGCCACCGGATATAGTGGATGTTGATCTTGGCAGAGACGACGATCAGAGAATCATCTGAGTCTTAGAGGCTTAGAGCTTGAATTGTCATCTTGACGCCTTGCTGCAAGCAAAATGAAAAGGAAAATTTCATGCTTAGATGTATCCTTTGTACGACTATAGTCGTCTTTCCTCACGCAAAAGATGGCCCGTGGTCAGTTCCGCGTTAATTCTTAGGACACGCGGCCGAATGTTCGACCGGGAAGAGAAACTCAAGAGTTAAGGCTATGAGCTTTGACGACAGCAACATTGACAAGGAAGAGAAAATGCTTTGCTTCACCGGGAAGTCGGAGATACGCCACTTACTCTTGTTTTTCAATTTCAATTTCAAATCTTTATTCTTTTTTCTCAAAAAGAATAAACTCGACCCTTTCAAGCCGATCTTCCCCATTGTTTTACAAAGAAGCTTCAGTTGGAAACGCTCATTAGTGGCCGATGATATTCTAGACTTGAAGTTTTAACCCTCCTTGTTTCATCATCCTAGCTAAAATATGCCCGTTGCTCTAGGATCATTTGAGCCCAGTGGATCCAATGACTCTTGCCCCGTCAGCAGAACTGGAATATACCCTAGTCGGGTGTCAGCATCGCCCCGAAAATAAAGAGAAAGAAACGAAAAAGACTAATTACATACATGACACCTGGGTATGGACAGGAGAGAAGAGCCCAAAAAAAATATCCCGATCATCAAATCGCATCCCGGGACAAGGAAGCCGTTGGACCCCACGGCCGAACCCGGTTGAAAAAGCGTGGGAGTTGACTTTTTGACCCCATCCGGGATCCACGGCTACGCCAACCACAACGTCTACAATAAAGTTTGAGACAAAGACGATGTCACTCGACGGGGAGTAATTTCCACAGCCGCGATCAAGGCTCGCAAGCTGATTTGTGACCTCCGAAGCTGCAAGTCAACGGAGTTGCCGAGAACTAGACCACAGTTTCCCTGGTTCAATTTCTTCGGATCTACGTTGCCTGTTGGTGGCTTGCGGAAGTATACAGCGGTTTTTCCGGGGAGCATTGTAGCCTGGGATTCTTCCCCTGCTGGTTTTCGGTCAATGGATCCAAACTTAGATTGTTGCTTCAGACTCCGACGCGACTTCCCTTCTCCGCATCTGGATTCCATGGATACAAGGTTCTGTGTATCACGTTTAGCAAACATTCGAGGGTTACTTGGGGCAACATTCGACCTTACTGTCGGTAGCCCACTCCTGAGACGTTACCTAATGGGGTCCAGGTATCTGTTAGCAACCCCCTGTTCATTCATGCCGATTTCCTAAGGAATTGGTAAGGGTCATCAGGGATTAATGAAGTTCCTATTGGTTCATTCTCCGTTTTGTCGTTCTGTTGTCCTGTCATCCAAAACTTCGACCAACCTGGGTTCTTGAGCGGGTACTAGTAATGCTGATCCTACCAGAATCATGAACATCCTAGTTACTGCCTCGGGCTCTGAATAAAGGACTTACTCTGCAGATATCCCGCAAAGCTGCCCGGAAAAACAAAGACAAAGGGGGAACAGATGAAAAGTTTGCTTAATCTCCCGAACAGGGATTAAAATCTAGAACGAATACTACTATGAAAGTACTGCCAAAGTACTAGTTCAAAGATTTGTCAAGCAGACGCTATATCTGGGTACTTCAGAGTTTTTCTCGTCTAGAAAAAGACTGACAACATAGCTGACGCAAAGTTGATAATCAAACTAATCATCAAACATACATCATCACCATGTTGATATTCCAGCTTTGAAGCAATGACCATCCGCCTCAGCCATCGCCAGCCATCCCGGGCAAAGGCAACAACCAACCCGAAGACGAGACATCGTCACACGGACAGAAAAGCCAAGAAAACAAAAACCTGCTCACCGGCACGCGGCCGAAAGACAGAGTAAGTATCTCATGAAGAGATACCCTTTCTAGTCAACAGGCTTTTTTGCCTCCCGTCTCACGATCACGGCCGAGTCATATCAGACATGGATCGGCGGCAAATGCCATATCGGAACATCACGAACGCCTTTCACATGTATTCCAAGACTGTGATACCATGCCGGATCCGCATTGGCGGGGGAGCAGAGCTTCAGATTCTGGTGGCCTAGTGATGAGAGAAGCTACAAGGAAGAGAAGTCGGGGATAGGCGCGAAAGCAGTACTATACTTAACTTTGCGCCTTTTTTATTATTATTACTCTTTCTTTTCCTCCCCTGTCCCGGGCTTAAATACATGTATCTATTGTCAGGGGCTAAAAGAGGCTGGATAATAGGTCCCACCAAGCTTACCCTGGCATCAAGTAAGCTTTTTTTTATTTTCGTCTTTTTTTTCATGGTTTTTAATGGCCCCATCCAAGTCTCTTTCCTAAAGAGATCACCGATGCGACGTGATGCAACCCAATTTGCGTGCGGGAAATTAGGACGGACGGTTTCTGTGTCTCTAAAGACAAGAGGACAAGATGGCATCTATGGTCTATGCTTCGCAGAGATCTAGATCTGTGTGCTGTTGCAATTGAGTGCAGGATCTGTGATCCGAGTGCAGATTGTGTCAAACATGCATTTCGGGGGCGCAACCTTCTATCTGGACCTTCGGGAGACCCTTTCTCTCCCCGCCGTTTAGACGCTGGGAATTAAACATACTCTTGATCCAGGTTCCTTTCGGGGTTTGGGTTTGAGTTTGATGAAAAATGGGGCTGCTAAGCCCATCTGACGCTCGAACGACAGGGATTGAGGATTATTCCTTGTCAATTGAGGGTTTTTTTCTTGGGTTTCTTTCTTCTTTGTTAATATTAGAACCTTCAAGCTAAGGGAATGATGTACCTCTATCATCCTGGTTAGATGACAGGACCCCTGAAGGAGCTTGGGTATTAATGCTGATAGTTCAAGCCCCCCTAACTTTACTGTGAGCACATTAGAGCACACGATCATAATTGTTTGAGCAAGTGAACCAGGAATATGACGCGGATTGATCTATGTGGCGTGTGGAGATGGTCTTGAATGACCAGTGAAAATGGTAAGTTGTCAAGGAGAGACTAAAAGTGCAATTAGCCAACCTTGGAACAGCTAAAACAGACCCAACTCAAATGACTACAGGCTGAGCTATAGAATCGCGGTACATGTACTCCAAGTAGAAAGATCAGGTGTACACATAACAGATCATGAAAATTCTCTTCTAAACCATTGCTTTTGTATCGACTGACGAATGCAAGTTAAATGACATGGTGGGTGTCTTTTCGAAAATCATCATTATCAATCATACAGTACAAGGGAGAAGAGCTTCAGCCAAGAATGAGGCCCGCCTGAAAGCAAGAAAAAAAAGGGAACCAAGAAATGTCGTAACAGAAAAGCCAGAACCGATTTTAAGTAGAGCGCTTGGCGAACTCGACGCGAAGAATGAGATGGCGGTAACCGACTAGAGAGAAGAAACGAGTTAGTATCCAAGCATATTGAAAACAAGACATTCGCAGCAGTTCAAGTGCAAATGGGAGTAGGAAACGTACAGCCGTCCAGTTTCTCGCAAGCGCTCGCAGCGTCGCCCCGATCCGCGTAACTGATGAAGGCAAAGCCCTTGGCCCGCTGGGTTTCTCTGTCCCGAGCGAGGAAGACCCTGGTGACACGACCGAACCGCTCGAAGAGATCCCGCAACTCTTGTTCCTCTGCCAATTCGCTGACCTGTTCGTTGAGAGAAAAAAAATCGTCAGTATGAGGATGAAAAAAGAAAAACGCGAGTAAAGAAATTCCCGAGAACCCAGGAAATCGCATAGGATAGAATGAACATACGTTTGTAACACGCAGAGTCGCAAGATCGTCCTTCTCGAAACGACCACCCATCTTCTCTCCACCAGCAGCACCACCCTTCCGCATGTGAGGTGGCACATAGCTGGAAGAGCCCGCACCGAGACCACCAGCCTTCTCCTCGTCCATCTCGGCACCAGCACCACCGGTAGACTCCTCGACAGGGGCCATGGTATCCTTGAACGGACAGCGAGCTGTGAAGTGCTCTCCGGAACAAATACGACACTTGACCTTCTTGTCCTTGAGCTGATCCTTCACGCTGCCCTTCTCTCCCTCCTTCTCGGCCTCCTTAGCCTGAACCTTCCAGTTGGTGCTGGGACGGAAAACGATGTTCTCGCCGACAGAGGTAGTATCGAAAGAAGGACCGGCAGGGTTGCCCTTCTCGAGACCGAACTTGGCCCACGAGCGGCGCTCGGCGACCTGGGGGTTGACATGTTCGCGGACAACGGTGGTCTTGATACGGCGGGTAACCTTCACTTTCTTGTTCTCATCGTTGAAGCGGTAGGAGATGACGGTCTTGGTGCCATCTTTGTTGGTAATAACTTGTTGCGCGGGGAGCGCGGAGGGGTCGTCAAATTCCTCGTCGTCGGCCCAGTCGGCGTGGCTGTTTAATTTTGGAGTAATGGTTAGAAAATCTGGGTGTCATTTTCTTCCGGAGTTCATTACTTACTTCCCGAGTCGAGACATGTTGTGTGGTTGTGCTGTTTTGCGGCGAAAGCTGATTTTCTAGGATTTCTTTCACAGGCGAGTCCGTTGTGGATTTCATTATTCGCGGTGATTTTCTAGTGGCGCAGCAACTGTGGCTGGTGGGGTCACGTGAATTACCCCTGGTCAACTGGTGAACCAGCACTGGAGTATAAGGATCTTATCTAGATGCTTGATCACAACTACAACTACAATTTTCTTTTCTTTTATTTCTCTTGCAGTGGTCGAAATGATTTCATTTTTATCTATTCCGATATTAGGTCTAGACTCTTTTGACATCTCAAAAAGGACGAAATTGGACTATCTAATTCAGCTCTACTGCCCACGCAAATCAGAAACCATTATGTGCATCATGCATGGTGCTTAGGTATCTCTCGTCTAAATATGGTCCGCGCGTCCAAGCAAACAACTTGAATTAGATGAATCATTTAATTTCATTATGTACGAAGGACTGTTATAACTATACCCCTGATTCTCTCGCATATGTAGTGGGAGGCCTAAAACGCCATCTCAATACCCCTTCAAAGCATCCTCCGTCCATTCCCACAATCTCTTCGCAAGAATACCCTTAGAATCCTTTGCCCCTCTCATCAATCCAGAGTCTCCAAACTTCCCAACAGGGTTATGGAAACTCCCATTCCGAAGCTCCTCTTTTGGTCTCGTAGCCGCCCAAAGCTGATTATGAACGCCCTTCTCAGGCCGTACCATAAACCACCAGAAAAACGAGTAAAGAAGAACCTTATTTCCGAATGTCATATAATTAAATAAACTCGTAGTCACGATTCCCGGATAAACGGAAACGCATGTTAAATGCGGATACCGTTTCGCCAATTCACGCGCATACAGCAGATTAGCCAGCTTGGTTTGTCCATATCGCTGCCACGGTCCACCAATTGGGAAATTCTGGGAACTCTTAAGACGATCGAATTGTATACCACCAATTGGAGACATTTGCCAGGCTAAAGATGAAAGAATCACGATGCGTCCGTCTTTGCCCTCGCTTGCGGTCTTTTCGAGGAGTGGGAGGAGTTTCCGGATTAGGAGGGCGTGGCCGAGGTGATTAGTGGCGAATTGAATTTCGTACCCCTCTTTCGATGTTTCTAGAGGTCTGTTCATAATCCCTGCGTTGCAGATGAGGGTGTCTAGGCGTGGTGGTGGTGTTTGTGCAAGAAAGCTCTCTGCTGCTTTTTGCACTGCGGATAGCGAGGATAGATCACATTCTATGAATGTAACTTTGGTGGATTTGTTGGACTTTTGTATTTCTTCTATGACGTTCTCTGCGTTTTTGGTGTTGCGACCACTGATGTAGATTTGTGCTGGGTTGTGTTTTGATAGTTCGAATGCAGTATGTGCACCTAGACCACCGGTACCTAATGATTTGATTAATGAATGCCCGCAAAACCTATGTGAGCAATCTATTTACCTCCTGTGATAAATATGGATTTACCCGAGAGATCAGGGATATCTTTGATCGGATTGTACTTGACAGGCATAGCTGTAGCTTGTAGTATACTCGACTTTGTTTTCGTGATCCTAGCAGCTCGCTAGGCTAGAAAGCGCTGGTTCTTTGTTGAGTGGTACTGCTAGTCCTGCAGCTTCCTGCCTGAAAACAAGTGCTCTTTATAACATTCGAACAAGTGGACGTAATATAGATATTCCACCGTGTCCGGCCTGACCGGCATGGCGTTGAACCGCTACCCGTGTGCACGCCTTAAGCTCGTGTGGGCACTGTGGGGGAATCCCGACTAGTCCTCCCGATCCAATCGGTCTTTGAGTCCAGTCATTGACAGAAAACGCAAATGTGTGATGAAGAGGATTGTGATGAAATAGTTCCAATTGTCTTAACTCCGATATGCACAGTATGATGGTATTTTTCAATGGCATGCTTTCCCGTACTTCCGTAGACGCGCATAGTTGTAAGGTAACGGAGCCAGAAAGCCAGCACCTATAGAAAGTACCGCAGCAAGCCAGAATTTAGGGTCTTCGAACGCCACAAGGCCTCCTGTCAAGTGATAGTCGACTGCATTTTCTGCAATCTCCATCGCGATCATAGAGACCATACTCATGCCCATCGCGGTACGCGTAGCCATAGTCCATGAAAGCTGGTCAGCTCCACGTTTCAGGAGGATTGTTTCAAGGATGATAGATGTCGTAATGCCAGAGGCCACTGTAAAATTATTTAGTAGAGCTCAATATTAGCGTGTTGTAATAGGAGACTAACTTGAAGCAAGCATGATAGTGTTCATCCCTAGTTCAGGATAAAGGGACTGAAGGGTCCACATTGCTGAGAAATCACCAACTGTGCAGCCAACTAGGCAGCGCAGAGTGTTGATTCTCGCTCTTTTCCATGTCGAGGAACATGTCCAAAAGGGGAGACGGAACATTGAGGTAGATGTTACTGGTAATCTTTGTGGCTTTTGGTCTGTGCTTGTTGACGAGGATTTATCACAGGCCTGGACAGGGGCGAAGTTGGAAAAGAAGCATCTTCTGGCTGGGGACCAATAAGAGGTCCCACCGGTAATAGGCCGATGCGACTGTGTTCGCCGTATGCAATACATGATTAAGTGTGATAGTGTCCAACCTGGGTCACGGTGTTGCGCGTTCCAGATGTCTTATATGGGATCCGCATAGAAAACGCGAAAATGGCGCATCGCGATCTTGGCACCAAGTCCACAGGCAGATCAAAATTTGCACAGTACGTCGACTCGAAATTATTGATAGTAGGTTGTGTAAGATTAATGAGATGAGAAATCAATCCATGTCAAATTGAAATACCAGATTTTATTGGGAATAATAACTAAAAGGCATAGCCTATATATGCACACACTAAATACTACTAAGATATAGCCAATACCACACTCAATCCATCAAGTCCACCATCCACCAACCTATTATACACAAACTAAATATATAGTTCTAACACCGAAGATCTTCGTCTATTTGCCGAAGTAACGGAGCTCAAGAGGGCGCAGGGCGCAGTAAATGGTGAAAGAGAAAGCAAAGCCCAGCTCGAAACCAACATCTCCACCATAGGGGAGCGCACCAGCGTGGCGGGCAATGGGTCCGACCCACCAGGTCTGACTCATACCAGTAATCATACCGACAATACCGAAGCAGAAAGCGATAGTCGCAGCAATACCGTGAGGAAGCTTCTCGGGTTTGTCATACAGCTCTGGGCGGTATCCACCGAAACCGCGCTTGAAGATGAAGTGGTCTGCAACCGCGATACCAGTGTAGATAGCCAGCCAGTAGGCAATGAAGTTCATGAAGTTATCCAGAACAGTCTCGAAGTGAGAGTAACCGGGGATAGCGATCGCGAGGGAGACGCAGGAAGCAAGGAAGGTCCAGACGAAACGGGGCACACGCTGGGTGTAGCGGCTCAGGACCTGCAGGGTCAGGGAGACGGAGTAGATGTTGGGGCAGTTGTTGGCAATGATAGAGAGGGCAAGGATGACAAGACAGAACTTGCCGAAGCCACCCAAGGGCTCGAGAACAGCGCCGATCAAACCACCGTTACCGGAGGCGTTGTAACCGTCCATGTATTTGTTGACACCGCCATTGGCCTCAGTAGCGGTCATGACAGCAATACCAAGGAATTCGGTAAAGAGCAAAGGAATGACCAGACCGATCCAGGTAGAGAGGAAAACCTTACGACGGCTGCGGTCCGAAGGCTGGTAGACAGTGTAGTCGGCAGCGTAGCTGGTCCAGCCGGTGGCGAAGCCATACACGGTGGAGCCGAAGGACAGACAGTCACCAAGCTCGGACTTACCAACATCCATGGGAAGATTGATAAAAGCGCCGGAGTGGGCGAAGGTACCAAGCACAATGAAGAACACAATGCAGGTAGGGATCCAACTCCAGAACTCGTAGATGTGAACCACTTTGTAACCGGCGAAGGTAATAAAGAGAGTACAGAAGGTAACGATGAGGATACCAGCGTAACCAGGAACATCAGTGTTGACGGCGTTAAGCATCTGCGCACCGACAATCGCATTGGCTGCGGACCAACCAACACAAGCAATGACGTTAAGGATGGCGACTATAAAAGATTTGTGTTAGCGCACTCATATCACTGATATGGCACTCAGTCACCACCACTTACCGAATTTCACAGGCCACCATCCAAACCAGAAACGGGAAAGAACCATCTGGCGCAGTCCGAAAGCCGGTCCAAAGCAGGAGAAGAAGCAGACGGACATGACACCGAGAAGGTTAAAGAAGAGACACACAAGGATCGCATCCACGAATCCCATGTAGAAGGTCGACTTTGCGAGGACACCAATGGCGAAGGAACTAACGACCATGTTGGCCGCAAACCACTAGGTTTGGTCAGTGGGAAGCCCGTGCGCTTCATTGCGCAGGAATGGTATAACACACCATGCTACCAATATTCAGGTAGGAAGTATCCGTCCGCTCATTCTCAGGAACTCGCTCCACACCACGCTGTTCCACATTGAACTTTCCTGCAAGGCGCTGGAGCTTCGCATAAAGCGAGTCACCATACTCAAAGCTCTCACCCGGCACAGCTCCATCACTGACATTGTCCTGGACGTTGTCGTACTGGTTGTTGTAGCTCTCGTTGCTGTTGCTTGCGTAAGCACTATCGACTTGGGGGGGCCTTTTCGACATCAGGCTCCCCACGGGAGAAACCGAACTTGGGCATGTTTTCGAGGATTGGTTGGGGGGGGTGGGTTATTGAGGTTATGTAGTGATACAAAGACCGTCGAGGATTTTTTTGACTGAATCGCTCAGAACAGAAAAAAAAGGTATAGAACCTTTAGATAAGAAAAAGAATCCTTAAGAGCTCTAGAGGCTCAGACTCAATTGTCAAGAGATAAATGGGGCGTGAGAACCGGACCAAATCCACATGTTTCTTCCTTTCTCTCTTTTTTTCTTCTCAAAAATCGCGGCGAAGAGCTTCTCTTTAATATAGTCGCCAAAATTTTATCCGGTGCGCGTCGCCCCACATGTGCAGCACAGTGGCGAAGGAAAAGATAGGCTCTGACTGGTAGTGACAGATTCTGTGATTTGTCGCGTGGGCGCTCCACAAGAAAATTTCCAGAAGGAATCAAATGACAAGCCATACTAAGTTCATGAGCCCCTCTTTACTCTTTCATAACACCAATCATGATAATATGCGTGGATCCTAGCTTATCAGTATCCCGAGGTTTCATTTCTCGCTTCGATCGGTTGATTCGGTACCATTCGGGGATTGGTGAGTTTCCCGTCGATAAGACGGAATGTGCTGATACGCTCTATCTAACATGAACTACTTTACTTCACCCCCTGAATAATCTTGCCATGATATTCACTAATTGATGTTATTCAGGAGTTTGTTTTTAATCTTAGATCAAGCTTCCTGATATTCTTCCACGGGAGACGCCGAAATGCGTCTGATATTTCAAGTTAATTCTCAAGTTCTCATGCATAACCTTGCAGTAATGTGCGGGGGAGATCCCTTCAGATTGGGTGCACGAGCCTACACGTATGTGGCAAAGACACACCACCAATTGCTTGATATTGCTCTCGGATATCAATAGACCTGTTTAGGATATTGCATAGAATCAATGGAACCTATCCATCATGATCCGGAGCTATTCCCTAAATTGACCGGACGACATATGTAATCCGATACGGACTAGGCCAAGGTGGTCCAGCCCCTTTGGTAGACCAACTATGTCATGCATAATCTAGGGAGCAGTTAGATAGCAAGTCCTGGGGGATTCGGAGGAGTATTTAGATCTTGTCCGCAAAATCCACCACCTTCTCCAGATATCTAAGATAGCGGAGATCCCCGTTGTCCACCATTAGGGCGATCGCATCCCCGGATCTGATATCGGCGATCGGGTGCTGTAAGGCACCTATGACACACAATTCTAATTGCCTGTAGACGATTGGTTCTAGGTATCTGTAACATGATGTCCTTGGTGCCAGGATCTACGCCCTGCCGAGTCGGTAACCCGTCGATTTATCCAATCTAGCCTCTCGGCTTACATGATTGCTTCTTTTTCATGCATCCAAACGCATAACCCCTGCATTCCTGCTGAACTGGCCTCTCCGAGTCTTTGGTGCCTACGGACTACTACATTAAGAACTTCGGAGTCCCCCGACGTATGTTCTTTTACTACATTGAAGAAACATGGATCTCGGAGCTTTTCGGCTCACGTCGACGGTCAGCGGTAAATGCGCCCGAGCGCTAAAACACGTTCAGCCAAATGTGATTGTTGCACTGGGAAGATGAGACTCGATGGAAGGCTACGATTGCATATACGAATCTCTGCACTATTGCTGAGCTTCTACGAAATATCGTTAGATCACCGGAATCGGGCTCAAGTTATATTCGCCCCCATGCATGATGACATCGATGGAGAGTCGAAGCTGGAAAAAATACTGAAAAGACCTTTGATCTCGACTCGGAGAGCTACATCCAAATGTCGATCTGTTTCCAACGTTGCCCGATGCTACCAGACCTCTCACCGTGACGGCCTGATTCCCTGATATATCAGCCCCGGAGAGCGGACAGTCAATACTACTGAACATTCATATCATCGGCTGACATCAATTCAATTAAGAAGAACTTCATTACTAGTAGAAACCAAACATGCAAGCTCAATTGATGGCATCGATCACTTACACTGCGCCTGTGTCAACAAGAAATCCGACAGTTCAGGTTTAGTAGAATCCGACTGCTCAACAATGGAAAGAGCCCCATCCTCCGTGAGAACAAGAACCTTGGAGCTCGACTGGTCAACAAATCCATAAATATCATGGTCCTCAGATTTCCGCTCCTCCTGGAAAACCTGGCCTTCCTCTTGAAGTTCGCACCTACCCTCAGGTGAAGTTCCACAATTGATATAGTCTCCGGTATTCGTGTTCTGAATCGTCACGAGGCTCTCCCCGGCAGGAGCAAGGCTCCAGACCTGGTTTGACTGGTGGGTTTCGTCCTGAAAGGAGGGGATGGGGCCTTTGATACCCAGATACAGAAATGGTCCTGATGTCTCGACTTGTTGGATGTAGTCGTCCCCCAATGCGTCTTGGGAATAGACTTGTCTACAAAGGGCGAACACCGCACCGATGGAGAGGGACGAGTGCATATTGAGGACTGAATGGAAGAGTTAAAGCTTCAAGTTGGGTTGAGATTCGTTTGATTGGAAGGAAATTCGATAAACGGCTCGGGACTTGAGCTTGAGACCTCGGGAGTGTGCTGTCTCAGCTGGAGACTCGGCACGTGGGCGAGTGAGTGAGAATTTATATTCTTGCCAAGATCATCATGATGATCCAAGGTTCCTATGATTGACACCTGGACATTAATCATGATCCATAGAGGAGATGTTAAGACCCTGACTTGAATTCAAAGCTTCAAAGGTGAGGAGATAGAGGCCACAGTGCTTGATGCAATCCATGACAAGTTTGGAATACAGGGGACCTTTTGTGTTACGAAAGAGTAGAAATCCTCGAGTCCCATTTGTCTCATCAATGTGAATGATCTTCATGGCGCGGGAAAGCTATAAGAGCCCTCAATGATCTGCACGTATCTGCACGTTTGTACAACGTGATGATCAGCAGCTCAAGCACGGGCTGCTAGTTTGCTGCCAGGTGAGTAAATCCAGGTTGTTTTTACATAACAGTAATTCTCTATTCTCCACGATCTACTGGTAGTGGATTTGTAGGACCAGAAGAAAATCGAGTAAGCAAAGAAAAAATTCCAGGATGAATGGCTGCGGTATTAAGACCTGTCATTGCTGGATTCTAAAAGAGGTAGGATGGAACGATGAAAAAAGAGATAGAACAAGTTGATCTCAATGTGTATGGTGATTATTATTCAAAGCTAAATAAAAACATGAACAAGAAAGTATCATCCAGGCCGAAGCAGACCGCCCTTTTCACCAATTCAAGAAACGAAGAAAGGTAGGAGATATAAATATCTCATAATCAGAATGAGCTCAACGAGTGGATAGCGATGTCTACAGCATCAATGCAATTCCCAAGCCAAGAATAACAGACAAGATGTCGACCCTCAGAGGGAATGATCCTCCTGTCCAGACGGCAGTGACAGCACTACTAGATTTGGTGGCAGCACCAGATCCAGTGCCAGATCCAGTGCTAGTACCAGTACTAGCCGGAGAGCTAGACTGGAGCTTTGTGAAAGTATGACCAGCGGCAGGAGTACCCGACAAGACGACGGCAGGAGAAACATCGCTCAGGGTGGCGGTTCTCGAGGCGGCAGCACCGACTGGAAGGGTGACTGACTTCACATATGTCGTCGGGACACCCGCAGGCCCAGTTCTTGTCACGGTGTATACTTGCACTGTCGAAAGCGAACTCGAATCTGGAGAGCTGCCGGTTCCAGGGATGACTGAAGTATAAGCAGTTGAAGCGCCGGTTTCAGTAGCAGTTACCGGGCAAATGGTAGTGTAAGCCTCCACAGTCTCTGTTGTCACGTGTGTTGTCTTTTCGGAGGCTGGGCAGTCGGTCACTGATGCTGGGCAAGCAGTCACAGTACGAAGTTGAGTGGTGAAAACGATTGAGGTTGTCATTTCCTGAGAGGAAGCTTCGGTTGTGGGAGTAGTCAATGTAGAAACAGTTGTACTAGCACTAGCACCAGTCTCGGTAGCAGTCACAGGACAGATGGTGGTGTATGCCTCCACGGTCTCTGTTGTCACGTATGTTGTCTTCGCGGAGGCTGGGCAGTCGATCACAGATGCTGGGCAAGCAGTCACGGTGCGGAGTTGAGTGGTGAAAACCGTTGAGGTTGTCATCTCCTGAGACGACGCTTCGGCTGTTGGAGTAGTCAATGTAGAAACAGTTGCACTAGCAATAGCACCGGTTTCCGTGGCTGTCACCGGGCAGATGGTGGTTCCCAGAATAACAGTCTCAGTCGTCACAAATGTCGATCGCTCGCTGGCTGGGCAGTTGGTTACAGACGCTGCACATGATGTTATCGTGCGTACTTCGGTTGTAACAATAGTAGATGTTGTGAACTGCTCTGCAGTGGTAGGGAACTCGGACTGAGAGGAAGTAAGGATTGTTGTTGGCTGCAGTGTTGGTACGGACAATATGGTAGAAGTGTGCTCGGTTGATGGTGATGTAGACACTGTGACTGGCAAAGACAAGGAACCGGAGGAGCTGGAGGTACCCAATGCTGAGCCCGAAGGAGTAGCCGATGAAGCCCGGATTGAAGTGCGACTCGCCGGATGGGACGCGATGGCTGAACATGATCTGGTGCGAGTATATCTGCGAGATGAGACCGGCGAGGAAGAAGCAGGCTTGGACGGGAGTGGAGTTGCGGTCGATACAACAGCAGAAGAAGAGACTGGCGAAACAATGACAGAAGATGAGGCTAGTTTTACTAGTGACGACGATACAGCGGAAGAGATCACTGGCGTGTTTGTAGACACAATAATCGATGATTTTGGCGTTGGGGTCGGAGTCGGAGTCGGAGTCGGAGTCAAAGTTGCGGTGGTGCATACTTCTGCCGGTCCCGTAAAGGTGATATTATAAAGATTGACCTCGGAATCATCAGAGAAACTGCCGGACGTGCAGCTGATCTCGATATCAAGCTCGCCTGAGTCGTCAGTAGACATCAATGTGCCGGTGAAGTGCGTCCAGACGGTATCGTCGCTAGAGGAGGTAACGGTTTGCGAGCCCAGATCAATCACGTCAAAGGAGACAGAGACAGTGCACGATCCGGCTCCAACGGCGAGGAGCTGCCACCACATACTGAAGGAGTAGGTGATATCATCACGAAGACCTCCTGTCACATCTTGCGAGATGATATTGCTCGACAGGTGGTCACCGTTGAGAGCGAGCAAATTGCAAGTACCAGCGTATGGGCAGTCACTGGACTCAAAGACATCATAATCACTCCCCGATGAGCCGTACTGCACTGACCATCCGGTCGCACCGTCATCGAAGTACGGATTTTCCAGGTATTGAGTGTCCACCTCCTGACAGGTCACCGTCGTAGTGGCAGTTGAGGCCAAAGCCTGAAAGGCCAAGAGAATGAGTGTGTTTATTTTCATAGTAGATAGAGAATGACAATAGTTGGTAAGAAGGAGTAAAATGAGTGACTATTTTGAGGAGTTGTAGGGGAGAACTACTCAAGAGCTGAAATAAGACAAATTTTCAATCGTCGCTACGAATTGCCATGGATCATTACATCGGCAAATCTAACGACAATAATAGTGGCGCTTAGTAGCCTAGTGGAGTTATTGTTAAGAATTTCACTGAATAGTTTAACAGTATAAGACTTGCTTATCTTGAAGGTCTTCTCGATCTTTTCAGAGTAATATTCTTTCTGGAAAAGAAAAACTGACCGACTACTTGTCTATCTTAACATAGCCAGGAGTCCAGGACCTAGGTATACTGGCCCTGTAGTAGCGCCGCCTGGGCTCGTCCCGCTTACTGTGGATCACGAAGCTTTGATAGTGCACGCCACCCACTGTTCCATGGTACATAACAAAGAACTCAACCTTGGAAACTTGGAAGATACATATCGGGAATGCCGATACATAGTAACTGCTCTAGAGAGCTCCAGAGCCTAAGTGGCTTGGCTTAGGTTGGCTTCAAGTTAAAAAAAAAAAAAGCTATGATGCACATACATACCATATGACCTGGGTTTCCTGAAAAGCAACTTCCTTAAATTCAAAGCAGATTATCAAAGTCATTGTCATATTTAGTTATTAAGGGTATCAAGCCTGGGTAGCTTAGTAGTTAGAAGTTGAAGTCAACTGGTGAGAGATGCCTGAAAATTTTGGCCGAAATATTTTCTCAGTTATAGAGGTAAAATCAGGAGTTCCAGTAACCATCCGCATCGTAGTAGCTCAGCGAGCTATCGTGTCTGTCCCGATGTGATTTGACACTATGATACCATAAGACTAGAATGCTGGGACTGAGGGTTGTCAAGTAGCATCAGCGAGTGTGAGACTTGCCTAAGTGGAACACCACCGTGAGAAAGCATGCAGCGGACTATGTGAAAGACTTCTGCGGAGCCTTTTTCTTTTTGCTCTTTCTTTTGATATTATTTTTATATTTTTATCTATTTTATTGGATTTGTTATGATTTTTTAAAAGTTGAAGCTGTCATCGTCTTGCTCATTTTTGAGGCCTCTCACTTGGGAAAAACATCGCGAAATCTAAAAGTCCGCGGTTCGATCCCTGCTCATTCCATTCTTATTTTTATTTTTTCCTCCCACAATTGAGAGTCGAATGCCATTCCAATCTTTAGAGAGATCACTGTTCCCAATTTCCAAAAAAAGTCCCCATCTTCATGATCTATTGCCAAGAATCCCTCCACATTCCATACGCCCCACACCAGGGAGATCGGGCTTGAGCCACCTTCTCTATATGGCGATATATGCATGTGCTATCAGCAAGATCAACTGGAATCTTATTGCTGCTACGAGTAATCAAACATTTATCCGATTAATTTGGTATCGTTGGCCATATGTATATCGATTTCTGGATGAATTGATATTAACGCTATGATCCAAACTCAAGGTGATCAAAATGACTGAAGTGGTCTATGTTTTGGGTAGTAACAATTTTGATAATGATTTTTATAGAAGACCCATTATTGACTCGGAGTTATGAAACTCCTGGGGTGATGAACCTTTCACATCTTTTAGCGGATGATTTCTAATGGGGTTCAACTCGACGGGCATTCTTGGGGATCTCAGGGCCCTCGGAGTTGGTAGTTCGGTAGTTGACGATCATATAGGATGAGCCAATCCCACCTCCTCCACCACGTTCATGTTATTCCAATCCACAACTGAATACATAGCATTCAGGCGACTCCTTCCCGATATTGAAGCGTCCTCGAGGTCTACTATTGGCAGAACGCAACGTACTAATACACTGCCAACTGATATAGCCCTGGAGGACTCCATATGCACTCCATAGTTCACCCACATACTGGCCAATACAGTGGGGCTGAATGTCAACCAATTCTCCACCAGGTACGTGGCTTATCTCTATAACGAGGTGCATATAATATCCTAATTGGTTTAATAGATCTGCAGAGCCCTCTTGGACTCCATAGACCCTTCCCAAGAAGCCATGATCACCAATTAGGTAGCCCTGAAGGCATTATGACACTGAAGATCTTCGATCTTTTGGGTAATCATCCGCAATTGAGCTGTGAATTCAGCTTGATGGTGGCGTCACGGCGAACTAGTCCCTCGGTTACGATTCTATCTTTGCGCTCTGTTCTCTTACCCCCCCCCCCCTTGAATCTAGTTATAAATAAGATAAAATACTTGAAGATAAATCAAAAAAATGAATGAAAAACTGAAATGAAACATGATGACTGAAAAATAAGACAGGTGAGATGAATAAAATCTTTATCAACAGAATTAATGAAAGTCCACAATAAACATTAAGGAGAGTCCGAGCGTATATAATGCGTTAAATCATTCCAAACTTCAACAGTCTCTATGCATGAGTACCGTAATCACAGTAAACTCATGAGATCCCCCTCTTTGTAAATCAGGCCCAGCAGGAGCCAGAGACCTGTGTCTGAGGAGGACCAATATCAACGGTGCTGGGACCGGTGACAGTGGTGACAGAGTTGTCAATGCCGTCGAAGGTGCAAGTAACACCGCTAGCGTCAACCTCAATGTGGGAGATGCTCAGAACATTGCCTGTAGTAATTAGCACCTGATCATCAATGACCTTTGATAGGAAGACTTACTGATCGAGATGGGTCTGCTGTCGGTAGGGAAGTACTGGACGAACTCGGCATCAGCAGCACCAATGAAGGTAACCTTCACATCAGAGCTGCGACGGCGCTGAGCGGGGAGCTTGTGGCAGGTTCCGGATACTTGGGTCTGGGGAGGGCCGACATCGACCTGCTTGACGCCATCAACGGTGGTGGAGCTACCGTCAACACCGGTGAAAGTGCACTCAACATCACTGCTGCTGGAAGAGATGTGGGAGATGCTCAGGACGTTGCCTAAAAATGTCAGTCTTATGTCATATTGATTCTTATGGGCTAATTGCAACTCACTGATGGAAGTAGGGGTGCCATCAAGAGGGAAGCTCTGAGAAAACTCAGCATCGGCAGCACCGATGAAAGTAATCCAGGCATCCTCACTACGGCGCTGAGTAGTGTATACATTCCAGCAAGTTCCAGACACCTGGGTCTGGGGAGGGCCAACATCAACCTCCTCAACACCATCCACAGTGGTAGAGCTGCTGTCGACACCAGTGAATGTGCACTCAACGCCGTCAGTGCCAGAGGAGATGTGGGAGATGCTCAGAACATTGCCTAAGAAGGTTAGAATGAAAAGTCCTTCTCCTAACCGAGTGGGGCTAGCATTGAACTTACTGATAGAAGTAGCAGTGCTGTCTGTGGGGAAATTCTGGGTGAATTGAGCACCAGCTGCGCCGATGAAGGTGATCTCGACATCGTTTGAGCGCTTGACGGGGGCTGCACTCGCAAGAGCGAGAACAGCGGAAAGAGAGAGAATCTCTGAGAACTTCATTATGTAGATATTATAAGGTATTATAAAGATATTTAAATCAATGCTGTGTCAATGTTGGAATAGTAGTTGATGCTGTAGTTATTTATGTGATTGAATGAGATCTTTGCTGGAAATCAGAGACTCTTATATAGGTCGAACTTCCATAGTACTTCTGAGGGCCTTAAACGGCCGGGATAAGAATAGTGATCCCACATGTGCAGACTCGGACTTGGATGAGGAGTATGCATATGCATACGGACGGTGACGTGAATACATTGCGAGTCTTGAGACAATATCAGCATGTTCAGCCTATCGTAGTAGACCAAAATAATGATCCACGCGGCTGAGTCTTTCGTATAACCTGCATGGCATAGGTTTCGATAATGACCTCAAGGTTCTCGCAGGGCTTTCCATAGAACAAAAAAGTACTAAATTTAGTCCAAAGACGAACTATACAGTCACGAGATGGTCAGTGACCCACGGGTACGGTTGGCGGTGCATTTCTGATTTCCCCACAATTTGTTGTTCTCCAGCCCCACGTTCAATTCTTGACCTATGGTTGAACTTTTCAGGCGGCCAGGATCAAGTTTTCTAGCCGCATGGGGGCTAATCGATCAGTATGTCTCAGTGGATTCGTTTACTCGGCAAGGCTCGGCAGATTAGGCCTGTTGCACCATGACATATCTATACTATGCTTATTCTCCACAAGCGGAAGATCGTTAAAAAAAGCCCTTGGGTGCCAAGGTAGGGCCGACTTTAGGGCTGCCGGGGCATCCGGGCATAGAAAGATGAGCTATATTGGTAAATAGGACATATATGATGGCATTGCTGACCACATGTGTTGCCTTGGAAATTTACGGTTGGTTGTTGAACACGATCTTCCTCGCTACTCCACATAATACGCAGCATGGTCCGATGCGAGATGACGCGCTTCCTCGCAGTCTTCGTATCTTATCAAAAGTACATCCACCCCACTGAGGGGTTTCTATTGCAGTTAGAATCTTGTATTCTGCCAATGTTGCATATCGTTCGATGTAGGAATGGCCGGCTTCCGAAGAAAGATACAACCTTGGAACCTTGGTGCCCAGGTGGTAGCCGCATTTAATAAGATTTCTTGGGGGCCACCCGTTCCATTTGTCGGGTGGCAACTGCCTGATCTTTGGGCATGGGGTGACCTTGATGTAATTCTGGGAACATTGAACTTCATAGCGGCTGTGCTGATTTGAATCATCTAAGAAAGTGTTTGTGGAACGGGCCTGAGACTACTACCTAGTAGTCGTGGATTCATCAGCACTGATCCACTTTAGTACGCTTGTGATGTATGAACACCTAATAATCATACACCGACTAATGCATGCGCATTATTGACTTTGGTTCCTATGCATTTCAGGAAAATTATACTCTAGAGTATTCCATTTGCTATACTAGATCGGACTGGGGTCGACTTGCATATTGAAATGTCCGAGGTGCATAAAACTGTGCGGTAATTCAGATTAAAACCAATGCCGGCATAATAGAGAGCAAATAAGTACAAGGATTATTATGTATCATCATGCTACCAGTAAAGGTGACTTTGAGTTCATATTTCTACAATATTCTTCAAGAAAGTATGTAGTATGTCAAGCCACTAATTACTTGATTGATTTCAAAAGTGCGCTATGGTAATATAACAGGAAATATTTCAAAAATCATTATTTACAGCTTGGCGACCATCTGGTTACCCTTCTTCAGCAAGGCAGCAGCATCATTGACAAGTTCATCCACGATAGCCTTGGCAGACTTCTTCTCGTCGACTACAGCGGAGACCTTGCCCATCAGGAAGGGACGGGCGTTGTCCAGGGTTTCATCGTCAACATCATCAGGAAGGTTCTCGAAGTCGTGCTCTACGGGAATGATACCCTTGGCAGTAAGCTTCTTGATCTCATCGGCACGGTTCTCTTCCCAGTTGAGAATGTACGGGTTCTTGCGGACACGCAGGGGGCGGCCCTAATGTATGTGTTAGTATACTGATTGTTTTGAGAATGGAAATGGTGATACGAACAGTGAAGATGATTGTACGAATGTTGTCCTCGAAGCCAGCGGTACGGACGGCCTCTTGGTGGGCCTTAGGAGCACCAGCCTCATCAGCCAAGATGAAACGTGTACCGATCCAAACAGCCGAAGCACCGAGCATCAGAGCAGCGGCAACCGAGTTACCGTTGAACAGACCACCAGCAGCGATGACCTGCACGTCCTGGCCAGTCAAAGGGCTCTTCTTGCCCTTAACCAGCTTGGCAACAGTGGGAATAAGGATAGTTGTAGGAACGTCACCGGTGTGGCCACCACCCTCACCACCCTGGGCGCAGATAATATCAATGCCAACGTCCAGAGCCTTAGCGACGTGCTTGGGGTGACCGATCATATTCATGCAGACGATACCAGCGCCATGGAGTTTGTCAACAACAGCCTTGGGGGGGAACACCGACAGCGGAGACGAAGAGGGTCGCACGTTCTGCGATAATGATATCCACAAGCTCGTTAAGCTTGCCCTTGGTGTAATCGTAGCTAGATGACATGAGGTATTAGCCGGTTGCTTTATTTGACTGCATTTCGTACGACAAGCTTACTTTGTTTTACGGGCACTACCACCAACTTGAGGAAGAAGCAAATCAACGCCAAATGGGGCGTTCTTGTCATTCAGGTATCCCTTAAGTTCGGCGATCTGCTCACGCAGCATATCGGGGGTGTAACCAACACCACCGATGACACCCAGACCACCAGCGTTGGTCACTGCAGCTGCCAGCTTGGGACCGGCAGCGACATTCATACCAGCCAGCAGAACTGGGTGGTTGATCTTTAGCAGATCAGTGATCGGGGTACGGATTATCTCTGTACCAAGCACATGTTAGTCCACGGATCACATACTGGGGGCGGTATGAGGTCATAAGCATCTGAGCGATAAATAACAAGACAAAAGGGGCAAAAAAGAGAAACAAAACAAAACCGATACATACGAGGAGAAGCCATTTTGTGAAGTATGGATATACGAGTGAAGAAAAGAAAAGAAGGAAAGTCTGGGGAAAGTGGAGCTATTAAAGAGAATCAACCGAGGCGCATTCTCACAGAGTGGAAACCTGTTGCACGAGCCTCGGTCCATTTTGAATTGTATTGGGGCGGGGAAGAGAAATTGACACCTTATATGTCGGGCACCAAGGCATCGATGGTATCTCACATGACACCTGATCTATTGATCTGATTTATCACACCCTACAAAACATTCCACATCCCTGCAATATTTCTGTGACAATTAACAACACAACGAAGTAATGAGCTTTCAAGCTCACCGCAATCGAGTCCTTTGGGCTAGGGGTCTTCATGGCATCTCAAATTCAGGGTCATCACGATCGCCTCGGTTCCCGTCATTACCGAGAGCCCCGAATGCGACGCGAGGAGGTGATCGCTCTATGCACGGATGCCGGACAAGAAGGTAACCCTCAGCTCCCGATTATCTCATCATTTCCAAGAAATGATATGTCTAACAGATACATGTAGTGTTGGTTATATTGCAAGCTCAAGTAGGTTCAATTTGCTGAATTGCCTCTTCCGGCCTTATCGTTTATCGTATCGACAAAAAGAGAAAAAAAATGCGGGACGTCATGAATGTTTTTTTCCGCCTACTTACTTCCTACACTACCCAATTCACAACCATAAAACTAAGAATTTTTAGGGTATTTCTCTATGGCCAGCTCGGGGACAGTGCCCTCGTGCATTGACAATGTCCCTTCAAGGCGCTCTGGGGCATTATCGTACTTGAAGTCATATGCGAGGCGATTTTCTGGCCAGTCGCCACTTCAAAGCTCCTCCATCAACCCCACTTTCGATAATTCAAAGATGCATCGAGCTTTCATTGCACTGGGAAGCAATGTAGGAGATCGGGTTGAGATGATCGAAAAAGCTTGTCTTGAATTGGATCAAGCCAATATCAAAGTCAAAAGAACCAGTTCACTTTTTGAGACGACACCGATGTATGTCCTTGATCAGGACACATTCATCAATGGAGTCTGCGAGGTAATTATTAATAAAATATTCTCTTTCGATTCAATGAATTAGAAACTAATTAATATTCACTAGGTTGAAACAAGCCTCTCCCCAATAGAGCTTTTGGACAAGCTCCAGTCTCTTGAAATTGAGCTGGGACGAATGAAGTTGATTGATAAAGGTCCACGCTCAATTGACTTGGATATTCTCTTATATGATCAAGAAATATTTTCCCATCCACGTCTCAATATTCCACACAATTTGATGCTGGAGCGAGATTTTGTCCTGCGACCCCTTTGCCAGTATGTTGGCAATTTCGCCACCAACTGAATCCAGTTCACTAATAGTCCCTAGATTGATACCCCATGAACGACCACCTAAGGCCGCGAAAAATACAAACACATATAGAGATTACTTGAAGGCTCTTCCACCTCCAGAGCCAACTCCATACTCAACAACGCCAATCTCTCCCCACTTTCCATCCATTCACGCCACAAATCCCAAACGGACAACGCACGTCATGGCAATTCTCAACCTAACTCCGGACTCTTTCTCAGATGGCGGTGTTCACTCTGCATCCGATTTCACTCAACTCACTGAAACAGTTCGCTCCTTCATTGCTCAAGGTGCAACAATCATTGACATTGGTGGAGAAAGTACTCGCCCAGGCTCAACCCCAGTAGGCACAGATGAGGAAATCGCTCGCGTTGTCCCCGCAATCGAACATATTCGTCAAAATATACCCGAAGCCTCAAACATCGCTATCAGTATTGACACCTATCGCGCTGTCGTGGCCGAAGCAGCATGCAACGCCGGTGCTGATATTATCAATGACATTTCCGCCGGTCTCATGGATCCAGAAATGTTGCCTACAGCAGCACGTCTTGAAAAGTCTATTATTTTGATGCACATGCGAGGCACACCGCAGACAATGACTGAACTTACCGATTACCCTACCGGCGTTGTTCCAGAGGTAAGTGCTGAGTTGCGTGAGCGTGTGGCAGCTGCTGAGAATGCGGGTATTCGCCGCTGGCGTATCATTCTCGACCCCGGTCTCGGGTTCGCAAAGAATCAACCGCATGATCTTGAGATTCTGCGGGATTTGCCAGCGCTGCGCAATGCGGAGGGTCTGGAGTGCCTCCCATGGCTGATGGGACCTAGTCGGAAGCGATTCGTTGGCAGTATCACCGGTGTCAAGACTCCCAAGGAGCGTGTCTGGGGTACTGCTGCTACGGTTTCGGCGAGTGTCTCTGGTGGAGCAGATATTGTCCGAGTACATGATGTGAAGGAAATGTCGCACGTCACCAAGGTTGCTGATGCCATTTATCGTGTATAGTGGCAAGGTGCCTGCACATGTGTGAATTTATATGCTTGTGGGCATATTGGTTGGAGCGGTTCTGTCTTTTATTTTCAACATTTTACGAGATATCCTGGGAGCGGTTCTTCATTCATCATGGAGTTGAAATAGATATTTGGATGGTGCTGTATTTATGAGTCTTGATCAACATAGACAAAAATTGGGAGTTTAAACCTGGAAATATGGTTATATTTGATTTCCTGTCGATACGGCTATGATATACTAGGTGGTCTGTACTGTAAAAATCACGTTCCGACATTATATGTTGGTTCCAAAGTTCAAATAAATTCAACCTTGATGTTCATGCTGGGTCTAGATTTCAAATTTCTGACGATAAATTGTTCCCCTTGCATCAAATGAATCTAGGTCAAAATCTTTCTTCGAGGGTTGGATGAGCCCTGATCCAGAACGAACATCCCTCCAAACCAGCCATAGGCCCGATTGAGTCGACGACCAAAGTTCCGAGCAGTCCGGAAGGCCAACTTTGGTTTGGGATGTGGTTCATGAAACTGGATGTTTCCTTCGACATCTAGTTTAGTTGGCTTGAACTGCCAGGCAGACCCGTAGAGCTTCGTGCCCGCGAAGCCAACCGATGTCATGGCGTGTAGAAAGTCATTCCAAGATATCTCACCGGGCGTAGAAGTTGCAGAAGGATTGAAGAACAAAGTCCGGAAAACTTTCAGGGCACGAGCATCGACGGCAAAGGTAGGCTGGGGATCAGTAGGGTTAGGCTGCTCTAGTGCTTCGATTTCTGCGACAGACTCAGGCTTTCGTTGTTCTTTTCCGCGGGGTTTGACCTTCGTCTTGGCCTGCAAAATTTCGGGTTTCTTTGTTGGGGAATCGAAATAGAGCTGCGAGAATGGTTTGTACAAAGCGTGGAGATCTGCTCCATTTTGTCTGCTTGCTGTCGATATGGCTGAGAAGGGCTTTTCCGGCACAATCCATTCTGGAGTGCGCTGTAAAGTACGGGGTTGAAAAAGGAGAGTGTGTAAAGCCGTACCACTCAGGTCCCCCGCATTGGCGATCATGACTCGATCAATGGCTATCCAGAATATGTCAAGGTTGCTTTCAGCTTTACGCAGAGCATCGACATTTTCCCTAGTACGAGGCTTCTCAATGGGGTAAGTGAATTTGCCATTGGACGGCTCACCAAGGCCTACAGCCGCTTTGAGACCAGGTGTGGTTTCCGAAAGCGCGTTAACTATCCTAACCCACAACTCTTTCCGTTTCATATAATCCGTTATCAGGTCAGACTCTTGCTTCACTCCTGTCATTTCTAGGGCCCGAGCCCATGGTTGATAAAGGCTCAACTGATTCAAACACTGCGAGAGAATAGACAGTTCACCAATTATCGAGATGACAACTGGGGATATTAGTTCACGCACATGCTTCTCTGATTGGATCAGACGTTCTAGTTCATCCAAAACGACAGGTAGACCAGTGAGTAACAAATCCTGACCGTTATCCCACAGGGTGCTCAGTAGATAGAGTAGCTGGTTTTCAACCTTTGTCTTCTTCAGGCCAGTCTTTGGCACAACCCTCATATTTGGGGAATCGGGATCCAATGGTGGCTCTCGAGCGAAGAACCTCCGCAGGGGCGGGGAGCCTATGGCTATAGCCTTGAGCATTTCCAATGATCCATTGGCTGCTTCATTGAGGGAGAACCTAGATCGGAGATATGCATCTGAATATTCTTTCGGGAGGTCTTTGTAGGGGCAGATATTGGTCGCATACTTGACCTGGAGCAACACTAGCTTTTCTGCTTGTAGGCTAAGGCCGGAGAAGATTTCCAACGTGTAATATGCTTCAGAGACAACAAAGCGGATCACATTGGCCCAGATAGTCTGTCGACGACCACGACGGAGATCAGGGTGTTCGTTGCCATCTAAGTCTTTCAAGAATTCCAGGCGATGGTCATTTGTCTCGAGAAGCACCGTGACGAAGTAATCGGGATCCTCTCTCAAAGCCCAAAGATGATCTTTAACAGCGGAAGCTTTTGCAGAAAGAAGGGACTTGATACTCTGAAGATCGAGCTTAGCCGGGAGGCGATATGGCGCTTCGGCGGCCATGATACCAAGAGACTCAAAGCCGCTTATCACTTTTTCTGATTTCACTTGTGGTTCGGGCAAAACAGGGAACTCATCACTCGTTAATTTGGGGTCTGGGATATCCCGAAGTACTTCTCGACAGCATTGAACAAGTGCCATCAATAACCCCTTGTGCCTCCAATATCAAAAGGCCTTCTCCAGGATCGAACTGCTTTAGGTCGAAAACCCCATAAGCAGCTTCTGGATGTTCTTCCCAAGCCATGAGTCTACCATAATCGCGGGTATTCTTTTCAATACCGGACAAAATCATGGTATGCCTAGCAAGACCAATAGACGGAAGGACCCGAGTGACTGCTCCAAAAAACATGGCTTTCATATCGGCAGCGGCGAAATACGAAGGAGGATGGCGGCCCCGGGCGTTGAGCAACAGAGGCGACGCCTTGGTGGTAAGAAGATTCTCTTGGTTGATGTAGGGCCACATGAAACAGTCTCGATATTTGTTAGCTTCATCGCGGTCAAAAGTTGCCTTCCTTTGGAAGGCATCAAAGTCGGGACAATGCATCGATGGCATATTTGGCCACGCGCTGAGTAGAATTTTCAGTCTCTGCGCTCGGGTTTTTTTAGACCAGCGCTTTCGAATTGGGTCCTCATGACGCGTCACAATCTCGTGTAAAGTTTTGTAATTGATGAAGATTTTCTCTACCCGGGATGAGGCCTCTTGTCGAACTTCGGTTGAGGACTTGAATTTAGGCATGGGTAAACCCCTACCCATGACTCCCCGAGGTTCCAGAGGTCGAAAAATAAGCACCGGTACCTTGTAAATTCTACCGATGGCGGGATCAGGGTCATCATCCCGGCCTGCGTCAGGTCCCCGTGGATCAAATTGATTCTTGGGTCTGAGGTCCATGGCTGTTCAGGTCAGCTATCGGAGTTAATAAGTGTAAACCTGAGATTTAGGTATGGATATGTCTCCATCAAGAAAGGAAGGATAGCTCACTAGAGACACACAGAAACAGGATTTCGTTTGGAGAGTGTACCGTCTTGGAGGAGCACAGGCAAATTGATGAGGGTTAGAGAAGGAGAAAGGAAGAAAGTGGGGAAACAGATGGGATGTGTAGATGGCAGCCTGAGACGATGTCTAACCTCACTTATTCAGTCGATTCACGAGGTGCACTGCACATAACCATGGCATTAAAACAACCAAATGACACCACGAGATTATCCAACTAATGAATTATGATTAAAATTGAAGAAAGAAAAATAAATGTACGGAGATATTGAGATTTTTGAAAAAGAGAAAAAAAGGTAATCATTAAAAGACAAGTAGCATCCAAAGACAGGGTTTATATGACTTTTTTTACTAGTAGAGGCTGAGTCTATATCCCTTTAGGGAGGTGATCCACATAGTCAACTAATAACCATTAACCTGTCCTTCACCGATAGAGACTCGGCCTTTTTTATTATAACTACGGCCTAGCAACTATGAGGACTTTCTAATATATCTATCAGGATAGGATAAATACTTCCATGGTAATTATGGGAGCAAAAGCAACTTGAAGGGGCAACACTTTTCTTAATTGTGGAAGCAAATGAGCCCTTTCTTCATCATAGCGAACTCAGTGGAAATTTCAGAGAACAGCTTGGGGATTAAATTCATGATATTGTCTCAGTATCGAGTAAATTTGTGAGTGATCAAGAAGTTTGATTCCTGGGAGGTATTTAAATCGGTGACCAACTCGACTCCACGCCTTCTATAGATCCAACAGGTCTCGCTCAAAGGTAGAAGTGGAAATTATTGGACTTCAACTCCGAAGTTGAACCCTTGGCTTCTTTTTACGCACCAAATACATCTTTTGTTTCCCAAGGTCATCCGCCTTAGCTTGACTGGGCTGAGAAATGACTTTTCCCTCGCGGATACGCTTGGTATGGGCGAACAGCTCCTCTTGGAAGTCTTCAGTGATCCATCGCTTGATGATAATGTAGTTGGAGTCATTCTAGAAGATATTAGTACAGATAATAGATTGATTGGAGCCAACATGAAACCTACCCTATCCCATTCCCAAGGAAGGTTGTATGCAATCAAAGTTTCAGGGAGTAAGTGCTTACGATGAACCTAGAACAGTCAATATAGTCCATGGGTAAACCAAATGAAATATTGATACTTGACATACCTTGATCCAAATAGTCTTGGTTTCCAAAATCTCCTCTTCATTTTTCCCTTTGGAGTCGTTCTTTGCTTCAAGCTTTTTTTCTTCCTCAGGGTTTGGCGGACTGTCACGCATAACCCTAGCAATATGTGCTTCCGCTTGACGAAGTTTCGAGTCAAAGTCCTCTTCAAGCTTCTGCCTTTTCTCGATATCCAGAATATTCTCTTTACTCTTCCCTTTGTCTCTCTCATTTGTTTTCTTTCCTTCATCGCGGCTCTTCTTGTTGAGGATTTCATCGATCTCCTTCTCATCGTAACCCAGCTCATCGCGGAGTCTATTTCGAAATTCCAGGTCTCTTTTAGCCCTCTCGGCCTCTTCCATCTCCCATTCCTCAACAGATTTTTTCTCCTTATCCTCCATTTCAAGAATTCTCTTCCTGATTTTCTCCCTTTCTTGTCTCGCCGTTTTCAGATCGATCTCTGGAGCCATCTCGTGATCAAGATCATTGTTTACACCATCTCCTTCCGGTTTGGTTCCCTCTCCTTCTTCGAGCTCCCTCAGTTTCGCCTCGCTTGGTTTTTTGCCTTGCGCCGCACGCTTCTTTGAATCTCTCTCATGCTGCTCCACACGCCTTGCACGCTCCAAAGTTTCATAGGTATATTTCTCATACTCCTCTTCCTCCTCACGAGTCATTTCCCGAGTCTCTGATACTGCTCTGAGCTTGGCAAGATGTCTTTTTAGGTCCTCAACCTCCTCTTGCTGCTTTTCAATATCCCTGTTCTGTTCCATATCGTCGAGGTCAATAGAGCTCCCCTGATCAGGCAATAGATTCCGAGGAAGATCAGACTCGTTAGCATCTGCAGAGATAGAACTGGATGGTAGTTGCCGATCGTTACGTGTGTGAGTGGCGGGTGAACCATCTACTAGTAAATCCTCAACTTCATCGTCGGAGTCCTCGGTTGGGTTGTGAGCACCATTCTCGGGGCTCGTCCTACCCGTGGATCGCCCGCGGTGCAAATCAGTAGTATTCGTTATTTTTGCTGTATACTCGGACTCGGGGTGGTGATCATTTTCTGTCCACTTTTCAGAGTGATTCTCTGGGAAGAGTTCCGCTGTCGTATGAGCAGACATATCCTCAGCAGCGATTGCCAGTTCTTTTGCTCTAGCCTCTTCATCTTTATAAACGCGCTCCCTCTCTTCCATAATAATTGCTTCTCGCGCAACTTCCCGATCATGTGCGAATTTTTCCTCCTGCTCAGCCTTCGCTGCCGCTCCGATGACGATGGAAAATGGGTCGCTAGAGTATTCCATTATCGGAGAAGGGCGATCTTCGCTCTGATTCCGCAGTTCTTCTGATAGCGTGTCGTCGATATGGTTGGACTCAGAGAGTACCTCCGCACTATCAGTGATATCGGGGTTCTCTGTAAGATCCTCTTCCAGATATCCGTTGACAGATGCCTCACTGGCATTTTCATCGGTACTGTTGCCTTCTTTTTCTTCATCGGTGTCTCCATTCTCATCCTCATCTGAGTCTGAGTCTGTTCGCGGTAACAGAAAGAGCGCAAGCTCTTCTAGGTGCTGACCTACATGCTTCTGAAAGTTGGACATCGGAAGAGAATCTCTTCTGCAGATAGAGCAGTCATAGTTATCCTTTTGAGCTGTCGAATTGACATGTGCTTGCGTGATGTGATGATGCCATTGTCGACGACTCTCATAGAGCTTATTTGGTGTCGGACATTCAGGGAAGATACAGACGTATGGCATGAGATCGCGGAAAATGTGTCGCGCCCATGACTTCTTGTCTTTAGCGGTAATAATATAGAAGCAATAAGGACACTCGAAAGGTCCATTCTCTGCCCCTTTCGGACGCGGTGGTATCTTCGGTGCATCTGAACCAGTACCCTCGAGGAGGGTACCTCCATATGAGGTTTCAGATACACCAGCCTCGGAGATCAAGTCGCTTATTTGGCCCGGAATCTCTTTGAATACATCCGTCACTACCGTTTCCGATAGCACTGTTGATTTGCCATCACCTTCAGGGTCAATTCCCTTGCCTAACTTTTCATGATGCCGCTCTCTGTATTTGAGCACAGCCCGTTGTCGCGCCATTGCAGAGCTGATGCGATCGATGGCCAGTGGATCCGCATTTGGATATTTTTCAGATGTATGACTTTTAGCCCAAAATTGAAATGGTTCAGAGTCTGCCTTCTCTGTACCAACCAAGCGATCGTGCTGGGATGGTTTACGGATGAGCATGGACATTTGGTAGAGTTGCCCTATTGTGTCAACAAGGCCTTCATGAATCTCCTGGATCTCCGACATGGAGGGCTCACTCTCTGAGACGTCATCAATGTATTCAGAGTCATGAATTTGGGATCCTTCATCGTCCTGCTCCTCAAGTACATCCTCCAGATCAGTTAGTAGCTCTTGTACCTGACCCAAGAGCACTACTATTTGACTTTTGATATGGGAGGCATCTCTCAGGCGGTAGTCTAGTGAGGATTGACGGGTTTGATGAGCACCGATATTTGCTGCCCACACACGAAGTCGACCCAGCTCATCCCTCCAATCCTGTAAGGAAACCTCGGTGCAATCCACAAGCAGCTCTGATTTGATTAACGAGTTGAACTGGGCGAAACAATTCTGCACCAGTTCTGATATTGTTGCCATCTTGTGTATCTATTCGATACCTGAAGACTGCTCGAATTCTTTCAAGGTGAGCAGAATTATTTTCAAGATGAGATTCTGAGGTACGCCTATCATGATCCATGCGGCTGTTAGTGCGGGGCAAAGTAAGCACGGGGCTGAGAAACAAATAGTCAGCTGAGACCCCTCTTCGCCCTTCTGAAAAATCTCGAATCGACAGAATTAACAGGAGGCATGGTAACCGGTATTGAAGCGGCCGGTCTTGCTCTTGCAATCTTGCCATTATTTGTGAACCAAATCGATGCCTACGCTCGTGGTATAGAGAAGATCAAGGGCTTGAGGCGCTACCGACGGGAGTTTAAAGGCTATTCAGTTGGCCTAAGATCACAATATGCGATTCTCTTGAACACATTGACGCAGGCTCTGGAGGGCGTGGTGAATGACGAAGATCAAGTTTCCGAGCTGATACGCGACACAAAGGGAAATGGATGGAAAGATCCGGAGCTAGAACGACGACTTCGCTTGAAGCTCAACCGAGACTACGACGTATACATTGACAATGTCAGCGAGCTTTCTGAGAGGCTGGAACGGTTGTCACAAAAACTTGACATTGGATTAAATGATATGAAGGTCAGCTTATGTTCTTTCCTCGTTGTCGTGCCTCTCAACTTGAAGCTATGAGCTAACACTAATACCGATTTTCTGTAATAACAGTCCCCAGTTACGGAAGCATGGAACATTTGGAAACTTCGGAAGATCCTTGACCGAGCCGTTTATGAAGACCTACTCGCAAAAATCACCGAAATTAATACTGTCTTGAAGACGCTCATCGATCAGTCCGACCTTCGAGAAGATAACAAGAAGAAACGGCAGACTTGGCACTACCTCCTAAAGCGCTACCAAAAGGCTCGCAGGCATGCACAAGGACTCTTCAAAGCAATAACTGGAGGAAACTATTGGCAGTGTCCGTGCAAAGAGCAGCATTGTGTCCACATTCAATTGCAAACAAACCCGTTGGACAGCACCGATGAGTACTTCGATCGAGAGGTCGACACCCAGTCACAATTCAAAATGATTTTTTCCAACGCAAACCAGACAACCCAAGCTTCCCTTTGGACTTGGACAGAGGTTGAGTTTGAGCCTTGGCAGGTTGAGGAAATTGTCAAAATTGCCAGTTTGTCATTACACGAAGATACGGTGTCCAATAATCAAAAGCGGCGCAGAGTTCAATTTGACATACCATCGGCGCGGGAAACACTGTCATTGAAACCGTCTAAAGAAGCGCCACCAATACATGACTTTTGTACATCACTTTGTGTTTTCAGGCCCAATGAAACGCGACGAGAGTGCATAGGATCTATATCGAACGAGCTAGATGCTTCTGTCAAATACACCATGCATGCCGTGAAGACCCTATCAACCCCCATTCCACAAAGATCTCTTCGCGAGGTACTGTCGCATATCAGTCGGCAAGATCGTCTATATATTGCCACTGGTCTAGCATGCGGGGTTATCCAATTCCATGATAATTGGTTGAAAGCATGGTGGGATAGCTCAGATGTCTACTTAGCTGCCGCCAGCGATGGGAGAAAGGTTTTATTGGACAGCATGTACCTCTCCTGGTCCTTTTCCAGCTCTAACACGAGCTCAACAACAGGGCCAAATAACGGTCCTCACCAACCTCCTCCGGGGAATAATCGTCTATTGCCACTAGGGCTTGCGCTGGTGGAGCTGTCTACTGGAAAGTCTATACAAAAGTTGATAGACCCAGACGATGAAAATGGGGATATACCCGTCACTAAGCTTGAAACTGCATCAAGATTGGTCGAAATGGTATATAAGGAGAGTGGGACGAATTATGCGGATGCCGTTAACAGCTGCTTGTCCTGGTCCACTTTGTGTCTAGAGAAGCGTTTTGAGGAGCGTGTTTTTGAGACAATTGTCTCTCCATTACTGAGAGATCTGGTTAATTTCTAACCAAGAAAATAAATTTACTGAGTATTCCTCTCCTATATCGCTACAGTCCGGACTCCGGAGTATCTTCGGGCAGGCTTAAATAGTACATAACAGAGAGAAGCAATAGCTCCGTCGTCTGCTTGAGGCTGAGGCGGTCAAATTGACCCCTGTTCCCATCCGCGGATCCCGAAGAGTGGGGCTTTCCTCAATTGGATGAGCGTGGAGCTCCACTATGCATAAATTCGGCTAAATAGGAGCGTGGCATTCGGCGAAATAAAACACGGGTTACCCATGGATGGATTGAGAACGCGAATCAATATTGGTTGTCACCTACTAGGTAGTATGGATTATCATAGCTTTTATGTTATTACTACCTAGGTAGTAGTAGCAGTACCTATACAACTATGATATGCATCCATCGCATATAATCTTATCCCATGGATCTACTTTCATACATAGGAGAGGCAGCATACTAGAGAGTAAGTGGACCCATATTTCAAACTTGAATGTTCCTTGCGTGATGCCCGAGAACTGCATATGTGGACTTTTTAAATGACGGATCCCTTACGACGCGCGTATCCATTCTTCACACGCCGATAAAGCATGTGTTTGATCTATTGTATGACCCACTTGGCTAAAGTTTCTTCGGTGAGTTATCGACTTCGCAGTCCGTTACTTTCCGTACAATCCCGCGAATTTCAATAATTTGCATAAAATAAGAAGATAACAAGCGCAACTATGCCACTGGGCCGGAACTAAAAACACTAAGAAATAGATAAGAAGTATGTGCTACCAGTATGAGGAATGAGTGAAGTGGTATTCAGGAGTCCGATTAGACTATTTCCGAGAAAGCTTATTTAGGAAATAGCCGAGACTTTACGGTAAAATCATATTCCGTATTTGCATTTAGAAGTTGGAGAATCCCCGGGAACCCTTCCAATCTTGGAACTAATTTCATCATCTTTCCTAATTCTAATATCCCAGGTGCCTAATTGGGGTCCAGAATGACGCGGCTTATTAGTACGTGCCCAGAGGACCCTGGCATTTTGACGATCCTATAGATTATGTCATAGTCCAAAAATCAAACAGAAAAAAAAGGAAAAAGTGTGCAAAACTACAATAGAGAGAGGGAGGGGGAGAGAAATAATGCCAAAGAAAGAAGCTAGGAACATGTGGATGCCAAAAAAGAAGATCTAGATCCAAAGGGCAGATCAATTTCAAGGTTTTCATCTTACCATACCTACAATCCACTTAAAACCGGTTATCTTGACTCCATTAAAGAAGCTGCATGATGAGCGCCGTTCCCGTTCTTATTTTCTCCACTTTTCTTCTACTTCAAACGGCCGATCTAATCTCCTGATGAATATCTTCAGGGCTAGGCCGTGCTGAGAGTCGTCGTAACACTGATGAGCAACACATCAATCAATTTGGAGCGTCGCAAGATCGGCACGCGTATAGGACTCTCGTGTCTATAAAAGCATCGGGGTTCGCAGATCAAAATGGATGTCAAGCAAGCTTCATCTCGTCTTTCTTTGCAGCATTTTATTAACACACTCTTTTCTTTCTCCTTTTACTGATTGCTTGCCATTCTCATTCTCGAGATGCGTCCCTCATTGGCCGTCTCTCTGGCCACCAGCGCTGGCGCTGCAGTTGCCAGCGCAAAATCTCTCGATGATGTCTGTACCTTGGCCAATGTCAAGGCTGCGCTGCCTTCGAATGGCACTCTCCTCGGTATCAATGTGATCCCCTCTGCAACTACCGTCAATACAGTTTCCAGCGACTCCAGCACTTACTGCAATGTTACTGTCGCCTACACTCACCCTGGAAAAGGAGACACTGTCACCATTGAATACGCGTTCCCCGAGCCATCCGCCTACAAAAACCGCTTCTATGTTGCTGGTGGATTCGGCTACTCTCTCTCTACCACGTCGACTGGTGGAATTTCCTACGGTGCTGTTGGAGGTGCCACCTCTGCAGGCTACGGGGCCCTGGACGGTGTGACTGTCGATGAGGTTTTCCTCGCGGGCAACGGATCTATTGATTGGGACCCGATCTACATGTTCGGCTACCAGGCCTTGGGTGAAATGACCATTCTTGGAAAGAACATCACTCCTGGATTCTACGGATCTGACTCCAAAATCTACACCTACTACGAAGGTTGCTCTGACGGTGGTCGCCAGGGTATGAGTCAAATCCAGCGCTACGGTGAGGAGTACGATGGTGCCATCACTGGCGCACCGGCTTTCCGTTACGGCCAGCAGCAGGTCAACCATCTTTTCTCTGCTGAGGTTGAACAAGAACTCGCTTACTACCCCCCTCCCTGCGAGCTTGAGAAGATCGTCAACGCCACTATTACTGCTTGTGACCCCCTCGATGGCCGTACTGATGGAGTTATCTCTCGCTCTGATCTGTGTGAGCTTAATTTCAACCTGACTGACATTATTGGTGAGCCCTACTACTGCGCAGCCGAAGTTAGCACTTCGCTTGGATTCAACTTTGGCAAGCGCTCCATTGGTAAGCGTGATGATGGTTCTAGCACCACCTACCAGCCTGCACAGAACGGTACTGTCTCTGCTAGGGGTGTTGCTGTTGCTCAGGCTATTATCGATGGTCTTCACAACTCCAAGGGCGAGCGCGCCTACCTATCTTACCAGATTGGTGCCTCTTACACTGATGCTGAGACTGAGTACAACAATGACACCAAGCAGTGGGAGATGGATATTCCTTCTACTGGCGGAGAGTTCGTTGCTAAGTTCATTGAATTGAACGCCGATGCCGATAACCTTGACACCCTCGACGGCGTCACATACGATACCCTGGTCAGCTGGATGAACCAGGCTATGGTCCGCTATATGGATACTCTCCAGACTACCCTCCCTGATCTTACCGACTTCCAATCTCACGGCGGAAAGCTCCTTCACTACCACGGTGAATCCGACCCTAGTGTCCCCACTGCCTCGTCTATTCACTACTGGCAGTCTGTTCGCGGTATCATGTACCCAGAGTCAACCACCAAGGAGAGCCTCACCAAGCTCCGTGACTGGTACCAGCTTTACCTCGTCCCCGGTGCTGCTCACTGTGCCACAAACTCCCTCCAGCCTGGTCCTTACCCCGAGGACAACATGCAGACTATGATTGACTGGGTTGAGAACGGCATTACCCCTACCCGCTTGAATGCCACTGTCACCGCCGGCGAGTACGAGGGTGAGGTCCAGCGTCTTTGCCAGTGGCCCAGCCGCCCCCTGTGGCGCAACAATGCCACCTTTGACTGCGTCTTTGACAAGGCTTCCTACGACACCTGGACCTATGAGTTCCCCGCTTTCAAGGTCCCCGTCTACTAAGCGTGATCATTGAAGTGCTTGTTTTTGGAGTGTTTAAATATAGTATCAAGAAGAAACTGTCTCAACTTGGAGCATTTTTTGGATAGTCGAGGGGAAATAATTATTATTATTGATTCTTGCCTCTGGCCATGTTCAAGTTTGCTCCGTCCATTCATCCATATCCTGTATATAATCCATTGACTCTTTTTAGAGGTTAATATCAACCAATCAACCTTGAATAGATGGGTTTTATTGTCATGGCCAAGCGCTTATTGACTTATGGATTTCTGCGACTTATTCGCTAAAGAATTATTTGATAGCACTTAAATTCAGTACATATGACAAGAAAAGAGTTTGAGACAACAGGGCTCCACGTTCTTTGAGCCGTCCATGGGTCATTGAGCCACGTATAAAGTGCATAATATAGCTGCTGTGTCGTCTCGATAGTAGGCAGCCGGTACCTATGAATATTCTCGCCCTGGAACTTAGAGACACTGTGAATAATATGCATTCTGCACCTTGCAGGTATATCCAGTGGCACAAGTCGTCGCGCCAGTCCAACCAATACCACCACATTGCGCATAATGAGCTGCTGTTGCAGTGGAAGTCGCCGATGTGGTCGTAGTCGTACTTGCTCTTGTTGTCGTCTTAGATGTAGTGGTGGTTGTTGAACTGGAAGATGCCGCAGTAGAAGTGGACGTAGAGCCCCCCTGAGCCGCCAGGGAAATAGGCAGACAAGATATCAATGTAGTACTCGTAAGCAGTGCCGGACGGTGGCTCCATGGAAAAGATATAGTCGCCCCACCAAGGGCCTGCAGCCCACCAAGATGCTCCAAGCCAGACATCACTGTTGTCCTCCAAGTAGTCCAGCATTCCAGTAATGGCCGTGTCACACACAGAGTTAGCACCTCCGGCGAACTCGCCCAAGAACCCAAGCTTCCCGTTGGTTTGAAGCCACTCTGTTGCTGACTCGACACGTTCCTGTCCGATGGTCGTGCTGACGCATACGTCGGATGTGCCAGATCCATCTGAGTCGAGATACTGGTGCATCTCATAGACAAGTTTATCGTTGGGGTCGGTCAAGTTGACAAGGTTAGTGTTGTATTCTGTCCAAGTCCAGGCACCACTCCATGAGTTCCCTTCCACGAAAATGTACTGGGATGTGGCTCCAGTAGCTCGGATGGCATTAATGGCAGCCTGGTTGAGGTTCAGGACCAGGGTCTGATCTTCAGTGTTGAACTCGTTGTCTGCATATGTTAGTGGCAGAAGGAGATGGGCCAGTGAGGTTTTGATGATGGATCCTTACTTGTGTCGAAGATGACGTTCTCATTCGATACAAACTGCGATGCCACTGTCGTCCAAAACGCAGCAAAGTCGCTCGTGGAGTTGATAATATTTCCATAGCTGTTATTCAAATTCGTCTATGAGTAAAGCTCCCAATTGAAAAAGGAGAGGGTATCAACTAACTATCTTCCATAGTTGTGAGGATCGACGATAGCATGTGCGCCAGCAGAAGTGATGTATGACACTGTCTTTAAAATGATGAGCATGAGTACGATCCTACCTAGGTCCTGGGCAAGAGTTCTAGCGGAGAAAAGCTTACACTCTCAAGGTCTGCTAAATATGTCGCGTCTGGACTTGAGGTCAATGAATTGGGGACCAACCGCTCCATAAGGAATGGTACCCGAAAGATGTTCATGCCATCATCAATCAGTGTTTGAATAGTCGAAGTGTCCGGCCAAATATAGTCAGTTCCTAATACTCCCGGAATATCTTCACTGCCAAACTCCGCTCCAGATTCACTTGCACCAAACCCTAGGGAGAGTATTAGTTTGAGGTCGGTCATGGTGGCATCTACACGTACAAACAAAGGTTGAGTCCCGCTTAGAGTGGGCATGAGGCGCAGCGAGGGCCAGCCCAGCGGTGGCTGTGACCAACAGAGTGTATTTCATTGTTATGGATCTTGAGCTTGATGTCTGGTTTACATTGGACAGGGCAATTCCAAAGTCTTTATAGGACAGCACGAGCGCGGGCCCTGGAGACAGTCAACAGTTCACCCTTTCTCCACGGTGACATAGCCGTATCAACTGCTGGAGAAACCTCTTCGGTGCAGTCACTTCTATTAGACATCATGTTCGAAAGGGGATTCTCGGACTCTTCACCGCAGGGGATCGATCGACACTCGGAAATGAACCCCTGATGCAAAGCGAGAAAGTTAGTGTAGACTGGCAATGACTAAGTTGTTCAGGATATTCTTCACGGCACAAGAAGGCACATAAATTCTTGGCTGTGCATAAGAAAGGTTTCGAAAATGTGGAGTAAAAAGTATGGAGTAATTGCCGGACCAAAACAGGCAACTCGGCCATGGCGTCCACCTGGGCACGGGTGGCGCTAGTAGCGTTCTGAAACCTGAAGAAAGCACTTGAGCTACATGGTGCCTTGCGTAGCCGGAGCGTTCTCCGCATGATGACCCCATGCATGTTGCAGAAATGTGACGGACATGACAACGGATGTAAGTGGGAAGAAGCCAATGGGCGCATCTTGATTGGCCCAGAACAATAGCCCTAAGAAGTTGACATATAGTCTCCAGCACTTGAGGATATAACATTTGAATAATTCTCAAGATACCATGACTTTTCCTAGCTGAGAATTCATGCACAGGTGCATAGGTACATGCTCAAGAGCCAACATGAGAAGGGATTGACGACTAGGCGCAATCAACCCTTAGAACTTGAAGATACCTAGTAGGACAACGACTACTAGTAGGCGCTTAAGGCAAGAGCAGAAATCATACATATTCAAATGCACAGCTTTAAATTTTACCTAGTAAGTAGTAATCCATATCATACATGTATGTCCAGATATGCCTAACCTTGGCTACTACATGTACTAGTAGTAGTAGTAGCCATTTTCGGATACTCGAAGTTTAATCTATGATTGTTTTTTTTCTCTAATCCAAGCTGATAATGGAAAATGAGTAAATCTTACTGTAATATTGATAATAAAAGTCATTTAGTATTCTAGTGATTCCGAGTCATCGATTAGAGCATGAGAGACTCGCATTCGTCGGATATTACTATATAAACCATGTGGAACGACCATTGGAGATGACGCAACCGGAGAGGGAGAGAGAGCAAAAAGAAGAAGAAAAGGTTTGCCAAGGCCAGGATTTGAACCTGGATCGCGCCCTTCTTTCGAAGCACCCAGAAGGGTGTGCCTAACCGCATGCTACCATTTGCACCACCTTGGCTTTTTGATATCTGCTTTGCATTCTCGGGCCCCGAATGTTTGTATGGTAGTTGCCACATCAGGAGAAAAAAAAATATTTACCAAGGCCGGGATTTGAACCCGGATCGCGCCCCTTCGAAAGGCACCCAGAAGAGTGTGGCTACCCGCATACTTCCAGTACACCACCTTGGCTTTTTGACAATATTAATCTCAACAAGATTCAATAGCCCAAACACATGGACAGTGATGTTCAGGATGATTCAGGATGCCATGACCAATGGATGTTCAGATGGACCAACATCTACCTTTCATCCCGTCTTCTCTGCTAAGAGTCAGTGTAAACAAGAACTAGAAATGATCAAGGTGAATTCCATAGGTCTAGTCGTCAGTCTTGTAGGGAAGGCTTTAGTGGGCTGAAGACTTTGTGAAGAAGCCTTGGCGGTGATTTCTCTTGCAGTGACGCAGAGCAGGGAAAGAATGTGAGAGAAAGATGTAATGGAAGAAGAACAAAAAGGGAACGGGTGGCCTTTTTCAGATATTGTTTCTCGGTAATAATGATATCCACTAAGCCTAAAGCGGTGCTTAGTATCCACTTTTTGCCCGCATATAAGCCACACGGCATCTGGTGCATAGTGGATGACCTAGTGTTCAAATTCAAGTTGTATAGAGTCTAGTAAATATGCCCAGGGGAGGATTATACCCTCTTTCCGAGTCAGTACTAGTAGCACTAGTAGCCCTTAAGTATTCAAATCTTAGGACTTGATAATATACGTATATTATTTTGAGATAGTGAGAATTTCAGACCGGGCTTCAAGTTCAAATCATATTATCATGAACCTTCACGTTAGTTTTTGTTGAGGAAAAAATGTCTAGAAGATGCTATTGATGTTGTCTTTATTTCTTGTATAAATGCGATGTTGCAAATCCGTAAACTTTCTGCATTAACTCGGAATCCGAACAAAGATAAAAATGGAAAAACTCATGGAAAATAATAACAAAATAGAAGAAAAAGCCTTGACTCATCTTTACGTTGCTGCAAAATGCGTGAGGACATAGGGAAAGGTCAGAGATATTGTCAATCCACCATCGCGGCACACCAGACCACGACTTCACCAATTCTTCTTGGACCAGCTACCACTGACCAGGATTTTGAAAGATGGGACAAAGGAAAGAAATTGGAAAGGATGATAGCGAGAAGGTTTGCGCACAAGATACACGTCACACATCACTGGCATGTTGGGGGATCAATCGGGCTTGCTAAGTATTGAAAGTAACAAAACGGGTGATATAGAGCGATAAAAAACAAAAGAGACATCTAGGAGTTAAGGTAGTTGCGAATAGCACCTATGGATTGAAAGTCAGAACAGTTGAACCAGCAGTTTTCGGGTAAGCAATGTTGAGAACGTACCTTGAAGCTTCGTAGCTCCCTCGCCAACTAGGTGCGACAGGTTCTCGATATCATCTCCTGCCGTGATGCCAAATCGACGGACAAAGTCCTTGGCGGCGTTCTCAAGGTCTCCGTAGCCATCATCCATTGCAGCGAGTTCATCCTCGGGCCGGCCGAAGTAAGCATTACTAGAGATAGAGGTAGCGCCATCAAACTCTGTAAGTCGTTGCTTAGCCTCAGCCTGGGCATTAGGGTCAAAGCGTTCCCGTCCAAAGAATTCGTCAGAAGAGATACCCTTCTGTTGACCGAATCGGGTTCGAGTTTGAGTAAGTTCCTCCTCTAAAATGTGCATTAGTAATTATTCTTCAGGGCAGCATTATTGTACGACAACTCACCATCGACCGGAGACTTAGAGCCAACAGCACCAAATGCAAGCTTCTTGGGAGCTGCAGGCTTGGCGACCTGACCGAAGCCAAGTCTGTTCATTCCCATGCCAAGTCGCTCAACATCGCTGGAGTTGCGCTCGTGGGTCTTGCTGGTAGCACCGAACCCACCCCGGTTGGGGCTGACTGGGGTAGGAGCGGCAATTGGCGCCGCAGCAGTAGACTTAGCAGCAGATTCGGCCTGCTCAGCCTCAGGGTCATATCCAAGCTTCTCAATACGCTCGGCCTCCTCCTTAGCCTTCCGCTCAGCCTCGTCAAAATCAATCTCACTAGCGACGACCTTCTTCGCTCCAAGCTTAGGGGCCTTCTTGGCTCCCAGAACGCTTCCCTTCTTGGCACCGCCACCAATGGCAGTCTTCTTCGCAGCAGCGTTGGCACGGATAGCAGCCGGGGCGGGAGCAGGTGACGCAGACTTCTCCTCAGATCCAGACAATGGAGACTTTGAGCGGGAGCCATTGGAGTTGGCGGTCAAAAAGGGGGATCCGGTGCGGCTCACAACGGGTGGCGTGCCGGTACGGGAGGGTGGGTTACTTGGGCGCTTGATCGAGGGCTTGTCCCATGAAGAGAAGAAATCGTCGTCTTCTCCAGCAGGGGTAGCCGAGCCATCGGAGGGGGTGCCAGCAGGAAGATCAGTGATGACAACCTCCTCGGGGTACCTAAAAGGCGCATCGTTTAGGACTCTTGTTCAAACCATCAACTGAACAAGACAAAAATAGGGATCACTCACTGTTGCGCATCAACCGCAGCTCGCCTCTTCAATTCTTCCTTGTACTTGACGGCCGCATTGGATGTGTACTTGACCTTGGCATCCTTACTTGCCAGCGCGGCAGATCCGCCGTGTGACTGGAAGTATTTAGTCGCAGACTCATTTCCACCAACCTTCATCACCCGCAGTTGCTCCCATTGCCATTCTATATTATATATGTTAACCAATGTCCACTTACAGAGCGCAGAGACATGAAGATTCGCGACTTCTAATCAAATACATACGGTCGAGATTTGTGGATCGAACAAAGGAGATGTGGACACCGAGATTGCGATGATTAGACGAGCAATCAAGACACAGATAGATACCGAAAGGGACCGATGACCAGGTAGGATTCTTAGAGCTGCAGTCGAAGCAGACCTATTGGTGGAAGTCATGTCAGCGATCAATGGCCAAAATACACCGTTCACGGCGGGACGGGCGCGGGGCGAAAGAGAGCGCACCTTATTTGCGGGCTTCAACTTTAGCTTCTCAAAGATTTTTTGAGACTGCGCCTTGGAGGCACTCATGGTGAAAGATGTATGAATTAGGAGAGAAGAGTTGGGTCTGGAGTGAAGAAAGTTGCCGAAATGATGTTATTAGGAACGGCGAACGTGGTCGGAGTCGGGAATCACAGTGCTGTTCCTGGTGTAATTTCGCCGGTTACAGACCCTGGGCGGTGGGGCTTGGGCTTCCTTAAGTATGGAGATATTCAGAGGCACTTCCAAGGTTCATGATATAAAAACTGTACATTGGCTTGGTTTTACAGGTTAAACGATAACCTACTCAAAATAGAAAGAATTAAAAAAATCAATCATCTGATCAGCATTATTTCTCAACTTATAAGTACTAAAATAAGACAAAAATCACAAAATGTAGCAACGCCACTCATGTTACAAATTTACAATACTGTAATTTTGATGAAAGCACGTGAGGCCGCCTATCGTTATCGCGAATTTGTTCATCTTCGTCTTCAAGTTTGAAGCAGTCCAGTACAGCCAATATGAATCCCCAGTACACGCGTGCCCTGTTACGAGTCTCTCCAAGAGCCCCACTGGCACTTCGGCCATATCCTATATCCGGAATTGCTCGTCTATACGCCACACAGAGCAAATCGAGCAGCACGACTAAGAAGCGGAGGAACATCACAGTACTCTCCGACGATGGACGATATGAGTGGGGCGAGTTGAGTGGTGGAGAGAAGTTTTCACGGGCTACACAGCAGTCATTCAACTTTCTCATTGTGATAGCAGGTGTGGTGTTGACGGTATGGCGCCTCGGTCAAATTGTGGACTCCTTCCAAGGCTTGAGAATGAAGAAATTCTAACACATCATTTGTTCTAGGGCGGTGTCTTTACTATCTTATGGCAGGACGTTATCTCACCGAACAGTCGGACATGGCAATTCGAAAAGGCAGTTGATCGTATCAAGGACGATGCGCGGTGCACAAAGCTTCTTGGCGACCCACGAGAAATTAAGGCGTTTGGTGAAAATACCTCAAGCAAATGGGCGCGGCATCGACCTATTGCGTGAGTTAGGACTTGTATTATTTTCGCTGGGAAAAGTGGACTAATAATCATATAGGACGGCTGTTGAGAAGGACCGTTTGGGCCGCGAGCATCTTCGCATGAACTTCCACGTATGTAAATTGCGTCGCATTGTGTAGAGACTATACTTACTCTTCACAGGTCGAAGGTCCTCTTAACTCGGGTATCGTCTTTGTACACCTGATCAAGCCTCTGGATCAGAGCGAGTGGGAATACCAGCTGCTTGCGTTGGATGTGAAGGGCCACTCTCGAGTCATTCTTGAGAAAGCTGTGGAGAAGACTAGCGTTGCTAGCTCAATGAAGCTTTTCGGCATCCAATGGCGTTGATTTGTATCCAAGTTATTTGATACCATGTCATCGATTCATATTGCATTATTGCATAGTTCTCTTGCCAGAGGGCTCCTAGACTCGGATTGCATTTGCGTCATTTGCAGATCCGAATATGAGGCAGACTCGTTTCTACAGCCTCCCAAGAACTGGCCTACTGACGCCAGTTTGTCCAAGTGTTATTGTATTTTTAGGGTAGGGCAAATGCCACCCAATTTGATGTATCATATATGTACTTTTTACCGCAGCTGGGTCTTGCACAGTGAACCCAGCACAATGAAATAAAGATCATCTGAATCATATACATTTTGATAAAGCTATTAACATGAAATCACACAGAGATATCGACATTTAAAATTTTTATACGACACGAGGGCCTTCCAAGATGGTCTTGGCCTCCTCAGAGCGCCACCAACTCTTTCCTTCCTCACCAGGGAAAGCAAAAGCATCCATACTCTCAGCCTTCATCTCAACACTGTAGCCAGGCTCCATAGGAGTGACATAGTATCCATCCTTAACGCTAGATGGGTGAACAAAGTGCTCGTGGAGGTGGTCCACGTACTCCAGAACACTCCTCTTACCGGTAACAACGACATAGTCGATGGTACTCAAGTGCTGTGTGTACTCTGGCAGACCAACACCACCAGAGTGAGGCACAATGGGAACACCGAACTTGCGAGCCAAGAGCAAGATAGCCAAGACTTCGTTGACACCACCAACACGGCAAGCATCAGGCTGAAGGACAGTCAAAGCACCAGCCTGCAGCAGCTGCTTGAAGATGACACGGTTCTGGCACATCTCACCGGTGGCAACACCGACAGTTCCGTGAGGTGTGTTCTCCAGAGCCTTCTTGATAGCAGCGTGGCCGAGGATGTCATCGGGGGAGGTAGGCTCCTCAATGAACCAGGGCTTGAACTCGGCCAGCTCGTTCATCCAAGTGATAGCCTCAGGGACGGACCAAACCTATTCATCCAGTTAGCATGATTGTTCTCAAACGCTGACCATCCACAACGTAACACATACCTGGTTGGCATCGACCATAAGAATATTACCCTTATCATAACCGATAGCCTCTCGTGCAATTCTCAAACGGCTCTTATCGTCCTCGAGGTTTCCACCAACCTTCAACTTGAAATGTCTGTATCCTTGCTCCACACTCTCCTTCAGAAGCTTCTTCAACTTATCTTCAGGGTATCCCAACCAGCCAGCACTGGTAGTGTAAGCCGGAACGGCCTTGCTAGCCTCAGCCTCCTTAATACGCTCCTGCTTGCCACCCTCAACCTCCTTCAGCATCTCCAAGGCCTCTTCGGGGGTAATGGCATCGGTGATGTAACGGAAATCAATGCAGCGGACGAACTCCTCGGGAGTCATGTCAGCGACAATGCGCCAGACAGGCTTACCGAGGGTCTTGGCCCAGAGATCCCAGAGAGCATTAACGACAGCACCAAGGGCAAGGTGGATGACACCCTTCTCGGGACCGATCCAACGGAGCTGGCTGTCTGAGACGAGGTAGCGCCATGTCTTGCCCCAGTCGGCTGTTAACTCGTCGAGGTCTTTGCCGATGATGAGAGGAGTGATGAGGGAGATGGCAGCGCAGACGATCTCGTTACCACGGCCAATTGTGAAGGTCTATATGCTTTATGTCAGATAATTGTCCTTCTTTATGTGACTACCGGTGTTTTGGATCGGTTGGTGTAGGTGAGTGTTATACGTACCATGCCGTGACCCTTGAAGTCGGAGTCTGTGTGGATGATGCAGTAGGCGGCGGAGTAGTCACCCGCTGCATTCATGGCATCAGAGCCAGTCTTGTCGAGGGAGGTCTGGAAGGTTGTCAGAGACTAGATCCGCACATCGTCTTCATGATGCATAAGAAGTGAGATGACATACCGGAAACCTCACGTCGCGTGTAGTGAAGCCAGTGATCTTAACCATGGTGGCGGTGGACAACTAGAACAATCTTTCAATATTTGAACACGGTTCTCTTAATTTGCAAATGCAATGCCAGAAACCACGATATCCGAGGTATGTAGACGATGCAGCTGCAAGTTCAATGTATATGAGATGGTGATGTTTTCACCAAAAAGAACAGAGAAAAGAGATTATAAGAGTTTGAAGAATGGAACAAAAGATTCGAAAGACAAAGCGGAAGAAATTGCGACTCTGGGCCCGTATATAGTCTCTTGTAACCCCCGCGCTCGATGGAACATTTGCCCTCGCCCCTCACTCCGCGTCTCCGTTTCCGCAAATCCGTGGATTTGATTGGAGGATTAATACGGGAGACGGGGAAATGGGTTTCTCCACCAATAACAACGCGGGGACGAACGTCGGAGCACCTCCGGGTTATCTGGGGTTGAATTTCCCCTAAATACATGCATGAAATAGATATGGATGTAGATTGGATCTGGAATATTTCTGGCTTTAAGTGGATATATCAGAGATGTTTTAAGATTGGACCCATTGAACAACTTGAAGTTATGATACAATTGTGCATTGCGGCTCTTCGCGTTTTGAGTTAAGCTAAGCTTGATAGACAGGACATAGTTCATAGTATACTCTGATCGACATGGCGCAGTATCATGTCACTATGCTGACAATCCACGCTTCTCGCTTTCCGAAAAGAAGATTAGCATCCGCCATAACTTGCGAACCAGCACTTCGGCCTCCTCGTCCAGAGCCTGTAGAATTAAAGTTAGCGTTATTATAAGGGAACAACAGACACAAGAGTAAACTCACCTCTGCAAGCAGGTCTGCCAGTTCCTGGGGAGATCCATGCTGGCGAACATGCTCTTCCACAACATCCACTAGCATCTGCTCTTGGACACCCAGATACTCGACAATCTTCTTCTCCACGAAAGGCTTGATCTGGTCGCGGAGGACTGCCTCGTCCACAAACTCCCACTTGATCTCCCACTTCCATAGCCCCTCCTTCTCGTTGGGGATTTCTTGAGCCAGTTGGCGTGCCGCCTGGGCTCGCTCCTCTTCGGAAAGACCCGCTGCTTCGGCGGCAGTGTCGAATTTGATCGGGATGAGAGGACGGCGAGTAGTGCTAGCAGGCTCTTCCTCATCTTCCAGTAGACCTTCGACTTCGGCTGCGGTACGACGAGTGGTTGCGGCCTGTGCCTTTTGTGCGGCAGCTCCAAGAGACAGCTTGAAGCGTTGGGGCTCACGAGGTGCTTGTGTGCGAGCCTCCAGCTCCTGAGCCTGGCGGGCAAGGAAGTCGTCCGCAGCACCACGCGCCTGCTCCTGCTTCTTGGCAGTCTGGGCACGCTCACGCTCCTCGGCGGCACGATCAGCGTCGTCCAGGTTCGCCTCACGAGAACGGAAAGCTGCACGGCTTCGAAGCCAGGCCCCACGGTCCGCGTAGTACTCGGCAGTCTTCCGACTTGCCTCTGTCTCGTCGTTCCATTCCTTAAGTCGCTGTTCCATTTCATCATGGGCAGCCTGTAGATTACCGTCCTCTTCTTTGTCACGTTTCTTCTCGCGCTCCAGTGCAGCAGTTCGGCTTCGCTCACGATTGAGCCACCGGCGTTCCTGGTCGAGGAATTGTTTCTCTTCCTCGGCATCACGTTTTTCTTGACGACGACGTTCGAGCTCTTCGTCACTTACGTCCGAGTCCTCATCTTCGCGATCAATGTGGGCGTGAGATCCATTGACGGCACCTCCATTCACAAATGACACGCCCTTCTGGTAGTCCTTGGGAATCTGGACGCCGAATCCCTTGGGTCCAGCTGGAGCATTAGGCATTCCACGGTCACGAGGACCCAAAGGAATGCCGTTTGCACCACCAGCGGGACCACTGGGAGCCGAGGCAGGAGGGGAGGCAAGTCGACTGTACCGTGATCCAGCATTACGAGCTCGCTCCATAGACTCGATCTCTTCCTCCCGCTTCAGTCGTTCAATGTCTCGGCGGTTACTACGCTCACGGAAGGCAGCAATCTCCTTGGCCACGTTCTCACGCATCTCGGGGGGGAATGTCGGCCAATTCGTCTTCGACAGTGATTGGAATGGTGACAACTTCACCATCCTTGGTGATCTCACCGTCCTTCATCTCAATATCATCTTGCTGGTCAACTGCAGAATTATCCTCCTTCTTAATAGGAATTTCCGGGTAGAAAAGGCCATTGAGAACTCTCTTCAAGACACCACGAGCTTCATCGAAGCGTGCTTGGATTTCTTCCGGGTCACGATCAGAGCGACTTTCCTTGAATTGCTCCAAGTATTTCGTTGTGCTCTCATCTACTACCACCTAGACTGAGAATTAGTACTGTACCTCGTTATATATTTCAAAAAGGGAGTAATGTAGTAAAACTTACCAAAAGAGCACTCTTTTCCACTTCCCGCTCCTCCTCTCCCTCAGCACGTGGCTCCTGGCGCTTGACAGGAATCTCAATATCTTGGAGCACCTCGACTGCCGCCTCCAGACTCTCCGGGTCATCGAATTCGGCAAATCCGAACCGGCAGGGCTTCTCATCGGCATCGGTAGCACGGATCCATCGTCTTAGCTGACCTGCAGACTGCAGAATCTGCTCAATGCCATCATCACCGCCAAGGCCCTCGGTAATACCACCAACAAAAAGTGTGCGCACGATCTCGTCTCTCGTAGGTGGCTGGAGCTGCATCATCGCATCACGAGCATGATGGCGTGAGCCCTCCATATTAGAGGATCCAAGGCCAGCTCGTCGTCCAGGTCCCTCTGGTCCACGTTCCCGACCCATTTCCGGGCCCGCAGGCTTCGCGGGACCTGAAGTACCCAGTCGAATCACCGGAGCGGAGAAGTTGATGTTAGGCATGTTTGGTGGCGGCTGAAAGTTCGCAGGGAAGCCTCCGGGGCGGGCGGGCTGTTGAGCATTCGTTTGCTGCATGTTCGGCGGCGCTGTACCGGGGGCAGCCATTCCTGGAGGAGGAGCTGAATGAAGTTAGCTTTACCTGACGGTCATTGAGGGGAAGAGGCAAATCACTTACCCATACCCGGTGCTGCGCCTGGGGCTCCTGGGTACGCGCCATAGTCTGGCGGACGACCATAACCACCTGGAGCTAAGAGCAAAGTTAGTATTTGGCAGGTCATGACATTTTCTTCATCGCCGCTACTAGCGACGACTGGGAGGAACTCACGTTGATAAGGATTGTACATTATGAGAGTGCGCGCGTAGCGCTATGTGTATGTGAGAGGTTGAGAAAAGGAAGAGTAAGATATCAATGACTGAGATGTTTGATGTCACAGCATCTAGACCTTGAGCTGTCTCTCTTGGAGGCGCGAAGGGAAAGTTGCTGGTCCGTGCGTCAGATCTTGGCGAGTCGCATTTCTTCTGGGGAAACAGTCAACTGGTCAATATACTATTTATTCCGAGAGCCCTTTATAAACCATGGTACTTCTCTTAAACTGTGAGTATTAATATACTATATTTGAATTGACTTGGATCAGAGAACCAGAATGGGATTAAAGATACTACTATGTGTACTTCGTTGACCTGTACTGGGTACTTCTAGTAGGTATATGTACCACCTACCATTGGATAAAATGAACATTAGTACTACTAGTAGGAATCCCTTTTAAATCCTGTTATATATCAAATTATTCTCTATTATCCGAACACCTAGTCATCTTGTACAACTTGAAGTACTTTTATCGGAAGACATATGTCCGAAACCACCTATAAAAGTCTCACCGGGAACGTGGAAGCCGGTTAAATTCCCTAACCTGAACTTGCTTTTTGTTGACAGGAGAATTAGATCCACTGATTGATGTCACAAGATCTGACCTGAGCCTCGACTCCGAGAATTCCAAGGTTACATAGATTGTGTGTAATCAATTGCATAGTATCTAGTGCCATAGGTGCATGGAGTACGGAGTACACTAGGGCATTGTCTGGGGGACTATACCTCTCAATTGATGATCTAGAATTATTCCATAGCATTTAAGCGCGACACTTCCTGGCATAGCAAGAGTATGAGTTATAAAACATTAACATCAACTCCAAAAAACTATAATATCAAAACCCGAGGTTCCTAATTTAAAGAATCGGCAAATGACCGATTAATTGTATTAGAAAACAAACCGCTCCAGACCAAGCCCGAATGCGGCAATGATGATGATTGCCCCACGGAGCCCCTCCACCGGACCTCAACGCGCCGGACTAGACGGCTTCTTCTTTTCTTCTTTACTTTCCAGCTCTCCCTCTTCGATCCCATTTTCGTGATACCCCTTTTTTTCTTCTCTTGTCCCACCTTGGTTAGTTATCGCATTATACAAACTTGCCCCTCGTTCGTTTGCCCCGCTCTAACCAGCAACATTCAAACAGCATCGTCATTCATCATGCCTGGTTTCGCGCAAGCTACTGATCTCGGTGCCTGGAAGGAGCTCCAGGAGCACCACAGCACTTTGGGTCGTAACATTGTTTTGAAGGAGTACTTCGACAAGGATCCTCAACGTTTCGAGAAGTTCAGCCGTACCTTTGCTAACACCGTCGATGGCTCCGAGGTCCTCTTCGACTTCTCCAAGAACTTCATCACTGAGGAGACCCTCTCCCTGCTGGTGAAGCTCGCTAAGGAGGCTGGTGTTGAGGAGCTTCGCGATGCTATGTTCCGCGGTGACCACATCAACTTCACCGAGGACCGTGCTGTTTACCATGCTGCCCTCCGCAACACCTCGAACGAGCCCATGCAGGTCGATGGCAAGAGCGTTGTTGAGGATGTTAACAGCGTGCTTGAGCACATGAAGGAGTTCTCAGAGCAGGTTCGCAGTGGCGAGTGGAAGGGTTACACTGGCAAGAAGATTAACACCATCATCAACATCGGTATTGGTGGTTCAGACCTGTAAGTTCTGTCCTGGCAACAAACATCTCTGGTCCAATTGTATTGGCAACAGAACCAAATTCTGATCATCTTTTCTTTTAGTGGTCCTGTCATGGTTACTGAGGCTCTCAAGCCCTACGGTCATCCCGATCTTAAGCTGCACTTCGTTTCCAATATTGACGGTACCCACATCGCCGAGGCTCTCAAGGACTCTGACCCCGAGACCACTCTCTTCTTGATCGCTTCCAAGACCTTCACCACCGCCGAGACCTGCACCAACGCCAACACTGCCAAGTCCTGGTTCCTTAAGTCCGCCAAGGAGGATGCACACATTGCTAAGCACTTCGTCGCCCTCTCCACCAACGAGGCTGAGGTCACCAAGTTCGGTATTGACAGCAAGAACATGTTCGGCTTCGAGTCCTGGGTTGGAGGTCGCTACTCTGTATGGAGCGCCATTGGTCTGTCCGTTGCCCTGTACATCGGTTACGACAACTTCCACCAGTTCCTGGCTGGTGCCCATGCCATGGACAAGCACTTCCGGGAGACTCCTCTGGAGCAGAACATTCCTGCCATCGGTGGTCTGCTGAGCGTCTGGTACAGCGACTTCTTCGGTGCTCAGACTCACCTGGTCGCTCCCTTCGATCAGTACCTGCACCGTTTCCCTGCCTACCTGCAGCAGCTGTCCATGGAGAGCAACGGAAAGGCCATCACCCGCAGTGGCGACTATGTCAAGTACACCACTGGCCCCATTCTGTTCGGTGAGCCTGCCACCAACGCCCAGCACAGTTTCTTCCAGCTGCTGCACCAGGGTACCAAGCTCATTCCCGCCGATTTCCTGATGGCGGCCGAGTCCCACAACCCTGTCGAGGGTGGCAAGCATCAGGTCATGCTGGCTTCCAACTTCCTTGCCCAGTCAGAGGCCCTGATGGTTGGCAAGACCCCTGAGGAGGTTCGCGCTGAGGGTGCTCCTGACAACCTGGTTGCTCACAAGACCTTCCTTGGCAACCGTCCCACTACCTCTATTCTGGCCCAGAAGTTCACTCCTTCCACTCTGGGTGCTTTGATCACCTACTACGAGCACGTCACCTTCACCGAGGGTGCTATCTGGAACATTAACTCCTTCGACCAGTGGGGTGTTGAGCTTGGCAAGAGTCTTGCTAAGAAGATTCAGAAGGAGCTGGAGACTGCCAACGACACTGGTGCTCATGATTCTTCTACTGGTGGACTGCTTGCTGCTTTCAAGGCGAAGGCCAAGCTGGCGTAAATTAGCCCTTTATCCATGTACACGGCGGCTATGATGAGCAACGATTGATAATTTGCCATATTATGTTTCAAAATGACAAACTGAACTTTTCATTCCATTGTAATCATCCTTAGTTTTCTGGATTTATGATTTATGAGATGGTGAAACATAAAATAGGTTGTTTCTCTAGTGGTTTAGTAGGGGCGGGTCTACCGCAATCTGATAGCCGTGCCCAGATGTTGATATGAACAAGTCGCCTCGACTCCGCGGCTTGTGGCTGAACACCTCCGTCGCCTCTCCGCGCCGACTTGCCATTCCACCAGTATACGCCAGCGCGGGGCGGCTTTTCTCCCTCTGAGTAATTATAATCATAGAAATGTCTCTTCTATCACCATTGACTCGGTTCTCGACTGTGGCACTTGCGCTTGCGACAGCGCTGTGGCATGCAGGGACCGTCGCGGGGAGTACCATCATCAGTGGCCGGGAAGGCTACAGACTTGGAGAGGAGGTACCAGTATCATGCCTCAACCGGACTACGTGAGTATCTCATACTGAAATTATTTTCTGATGAATCAATGCTAACACAATGTTTATAGAGAAGGAGAACATGTATGCAGCTTTCCTCTAAAACATACCCCATACAACATCCTCTACTAACACGTCAAAAATCAGATTACAGACAGTCTAGGAAAACTCCAATATATCCCATTCGTAACATGCAACGAAACCTCTCGTCCTCTATCCTTGCACTATGGCGTCTCCGAAACAATCACCTGCACTATTCCCGCCCTCTCAGATGAAATGTACCACCTATTTGAATACTACGTCCACTCCGACGTCCCAATGACATGCCGCGTGCCCACATCTCCCCTCTCCCCGTCTCCAGGCTCCTCAGAGAAAAGCGACTCGGACGACGAGTCCAGCGAAACAGGTTCCCTCGCCGCGTTGAGTGAGAACGGACCCCCATTCACTCCTCTCACCATCGCCATCCAGGGAACCTTGCAACTTAGCCACCTGCACATCTGGTCCGATATGAACATGCTCATGCATGACATCGCCTCAGACGCAGCAGTGCAACAGCAAAGCTCCACGAAACAAGGTCTCCAAAGCGGACAACCCGGCTACGTCGTTGCGGGAACTGCATACTCGACGCCGGAGTTTGAAACTGCGGTTAAGAACATCGAGGAGGACCCAGACGAGAACGCCGTTGTTGTTTCACTGGCTGCGCGTGAACCATGGACACTTGGCCACGGGACGAAGGTTGTGCGCGGTGAACCGCTAACATTCTCGTTCCATGTTGCGTGGTTAGAAGGTGGTGCTGGTATCGGCTGGCCGGAGCGTTCTGAGACGGATTCCTTCTTAGGACTTGGTGCTGTCGCTTCCAGTGGATCTGGAGCTGGGTCTTTCTTCTCGCGCCTGTTCTTCTTTGTTATGGCTGCTGCTGTTGGTAGCGTGCTTGCTCTTTACTGGGAGCGGAATGGACAGGGCTTCAGGGGGGAAGGCTGGATGGAGAGGTGATGGCATTTTGGGCGCGCCGCCTTCTCGGGGAAAGGGTTCTAGTGTTATCTTTGGGAATGGTGGACGTGCTAATGGCTACGGAGGGTATTCTTCTGCTGCTGCCAATGGCGCTGGAGCGAATGGTAATGGCAATGGCAATGGAAGTGGATATGGAGGGTATGGTGGGTTCCCTACTGGTAAGAGAGATTGATTAATCTTGCTGATGGTGAATTTCTATATTCCATGGATTATGATATGAACAGTATAGTATAGTATGTTATATTTGTGTATAAGTGTATGGGAAAATGGCTGCGAAGGATTGATGTTTTGAAATAATATCAAATGCATTTTATGTCTCTAATGCCAGTAACAAGATAGTAAGAAAAGAAAACAATAATTCCACATAGAGGTAGTTATACATGTTGAAACACAGATCGGGGCTCCAGTTCCGCCGGTTTAGCTCAATATCAATCAGATCAAGCCCATCATCCAGTCAGTCTCAGTATATACAAGATACCGACCGAGCAATCAACCAGGGCAGCCCGAAAAAGAAAACACAGCAGCTAGTAGGCACGTAAAAAGCCTACCAACCCTGAGCCTGCATACGCTGAATCTTCTTCACAGTCTCATTAAACGAAAACTTGAACAGCTTCCGCCACCTCGACCGTCTCAAGTTCTTCCTGACCATACCCTTTCGCACATGGAACCGTTGCTCATTAGCACTGTGCTTAACCCGATTCTGAGCACAAGTCGACTCCAAAAGACGGATAGCAGCAGCGATATCCACACCCTTCTCAGGCTCAACATGAACCTGTCGACCAAGCGAAGGTCCCAGCTTCAGCTCTGTCGCCCGGCTAGCAAGGCTAACGGCGGCGTGATCACGCGCCGCAGAGGCAAAGGTTGTTCCTGAGATCTGGTCTGCGATGTGACGGCTGCGGTAGTTCTTGGCTGTGTCTGTGGGCTCGGGGCGAGCGCCCAGGTCAAGCTTGTTGAGGATTGCGTCGAAGTCGGAGGTGGCGGACTTGGGTGTTGCGGCTTGAGGCGCTGGTGTGGATTCTGTGGATGGGGATGTAGCCTCGGTGGTTGTCTGTGTAGGAGCGGAATTGCTTGGTGGTTGCGGTGAAGAGGCGGAGGAATTGAAGCGGAGGGTGCTGAGGAGGATGGGTTGTTGCTGCATGATGCGAGGTGTGTTGAGCAGCCATGGGGTTGGTCGGGCACGGAGGCCGCGAGCCAGACCGCGGAACTCCATTTTTGAGGAATGAAACAGAGCACCTGGATTTGATAGAACTACTCCAATTGTGAGGATGTAGTTGGAGCGCTGAGTGGGAGAATGTGGTGGGTGGTGGAAGTTCTTAGCAACATCGCGATAACATTTACCGTCAAGAAAATCCGGCCAATTGGAGATCACGTGCATCTCCGCATAAGTTAGTGCATGATGATTTTCTTGAGCTATTTGACTACACTCGGATTATTCTCGGAATTCGATTTAAGAAGAAATATTGGGGAATTTCAATTGAAATTTATTAGGATTTCAGTTTTCCCAAAATTAACATGTCTTCCCTCAATATTGCAACTCTGCCGCGCATTAGTCGTGATGCCCTAGCCGCGCAGCTTAAGGCCGGCACCACCCCCGCCAAGCTAGTCATCATCGACGTCCGCGATTCAGGTATGACCGAATTCCATGTTCAGAATGGTTTAAAATCGATATGCTGACCTGTCCAGATCATGTCGGTGGCCACATTCGCTCCTCAACTTGGGTCCCCAGCTCAACACTTGATGTCCGCATGCCAGAGCTTGTCCGCACTCTCAAAGACACCGAGACCGTTATCTTCCATTGTGCCCTCAGCCAGCAGCGTGGTCCTTCTGCCACTCTGCGCTATGCGCGAGAGCGTGAGAGTACTCTTGGTGCAGAGGAGAGCCAGAAGCAGGATATCCGTGTTCTGGAAGGTGGATTCGTTGAATGGCAGGAGAAGTATGGCAAGGATGAAACATTGACCGAGTCATACGTGGAAGACATTTGGCAAGATTACTAGCTACTTTTTGAACTTCATATGCCTCTAATTAGCAGCTAGATAGGTACTGGCAGTGCTTGCTTTTTGCAGCCTGGCCGTTTATGTGATATGACCAGATTAGAGAGATACCACGAGGGCGATTTATCAGAATAAACATTGATTGACCATATTCAAATCACTGAGTCCTCCTACTAGTCATTTTCTTGCAAATTGAAGTTTTCGATAACATGAGGTCTATTTCAATGAACTCCTTGAACTTGAACGCAATGTACATCCACAGTGTATGTATGTGCCGGCGGATACCAGTAGCGGGCTCAGCCTGAGTGCCCTTGGAATCATGATGAAATTGAACATTGCACTGCCAGTGGCATGCACTGTGCTTGTGCTAGTAGTAATAGCCTATAGTTTGTTCAAGTTGACATACTATTGAGCTACACTGGTACTATACAGGGCATCGATCTCGGGAATGGCTATGCATGAAACTGGGGGCAACTTGAAGCTGCAAAGGAGCCAATGTTGGAAGGCATACAGATAGTTTTAGCCTTCGGGAAGTATTAATTTAACTTTTTAGGAGCTTGAAACTGTAAATGATTGTATTCAGAGCATCCAGACAGTGAAATTGGGTATTCTGCTGTGTCTGCAACACGGGATGATCCTGTGGCTGAGAGCTGGAATACACATTGTCCATATTGTTCCAAAACCGAGGCGAGGACCCTCGTGGAGCTCCTGTCTGCGGCAGACCCGACATGCGGTGCTCACAAGCATATATGAATATGCATAGGCCATTGAGGAGAAGTTTGAACATTGAAGAATATTACAGGTCCCAAGATCGAGAAAACAAAATCCAAGAAAAGAATACAGGAAGCATGATCCAAGCCTCCCTGTTCCTCGCTGCGCCGATTGTCCTGAGGCTTTACCAAAGCCCGCCACGGTCACAGCTCCTAAGTTCTCAGTCCATATTGTCCTCCTATTGTTCCTTTCTTTATCCGCACTGTGCCGTTTGTCCTGAGGTCTTCCTAAACCCGCCGCGGTCACAGCTCCTGAGTTCTCGAATCGCGCGGTCAGATGCTACCGGTGTAACAAGTGATGCAAGCAAATTATTTGAATGCGCAAAGTCGAAAAATTGTCGAAGCCAACTGTGCTGCTTGTCTTGAGAAATTTCATTGAGTAGGTTTTTTTTTGTTTGTGTGCCATGGTGGTCTTGAAGCTGGTAGACTAAGCTTTTGCCTGGAGCATGATGATAAGCTTGTAGATGGAGCTTTTGGAGCACGTGGATGAAGGATGGAGTTTGCATATGCAGCTTTTGAATGGAGTATATGGATGAAGCGTGCAAGCGGAACTTGAAGATGTAGTATGTGGAGATGCCTGTAGATGAAGCATGCAGATGGAGCTTGTAGACGGAGCTCGTGGTAAAGTTTTCTTTTCTTTCTATTTTTTTTGTATGTGTGTGCTCGCAGACATCGAATGCCCGGTTTCTTTTTTTGTGTGCAGATTTATGCGAAGAACCATGTGTGGAAATTGTAGATTGGAAAATGTCAATGAAGACAACAGCGGCAACAGAGGCTCGAGGTGTTCAAGGTTCGAAGAACACGGTTCGGGGGATCGTGGCCGGGGCAGATAGTCCGATTGTCCTGAAGTTTTGAATGAAACCCGCCACAGCGATCAAGCTCGAGGTCGAAGTGTTGTCAGAGCAAGGCTGATTGTCCTGAAGTTTCATCTAAACCCGCCACGGTAATAGCTGCCCAAGGCCATGATCATTTGGGGCTCGGCCCCGTTCGGATCGGGAGTGCGGATTGTGGAAGCCAGCTGCGCCGATTGTCCTGAAGTTTCAATTAAGCCCGCCACAGCTATCAAGCTCGAGGTCGAATTATCGTCAGAGCAAGGCTGATTGTCCTGAAGCTTAATTGAAACCCGCCACGGTCACAGCTGGATATCGTTGAGATGATGTGGAATGGAATTTTTTCTGGGTCAAGTGTGGAAGCTTGAGAGGAGCAGAGGCTTGAGTTGCCAGAAGCTTGAAGTGCGAAAGTTCAAGGGTTGAAGCTCGGGAAGTAGTAAAAACTTGAGCAGTGGAGACTCAGAGCAAGAGCAGAAGCTTGAAGAGTGAAGTTTGAATAGCCTTGAAACCTGAGAAATTGTTTAGTAAGGATGTGAGGAACTGTATGTGGAGTGTGTACTTACCTTCCACACCGGACCCAGAAAGGAGATGAGAAGATGTAAGAGGAGTTGGATTCATGGACCTCATGGACTTTGTGGACGCTTGTTGTGTATCCATGTGGATGTGAGAGATCATACAGAGTATGATGTTGTGGGATGTTGTTGGATGTCAACAACAAAGTGGAGGAAGATGTAAGAGACCATAACAAAGTATGATGTTGTGTCATGATGTTGTGTTGTTGTTGGATGTCAACGTGTTTGAAAAAAGTGGATGATGGTCACAACAAAGTGAGGGTAGATGTTGACGCGTGTGGTCAGATCCAGGTGGTTGAGACGCGTTGTTGTGTTGTCAAAAAAGTGATTGAAGTCAGTCCATGAGGTCCATGAGCAAAAGATGGAAGTGTCAAGAAGACAGTATAATGAAGTGAAGATCAAGTAATATGATACTCAAGAGCTATCTTGATGATCAGGCAAGGCGTTGTTGATGAAACATGTTGAGACATGATGGAAGATTGATGGAAGCATCAGCCAGAGGATGAAAGTGTGAGATGTGAAATGGAAAAGGTGTGGGGAAAAAGGAAGAAGAGGTTTCAAAGTAGGAGAGAATCTGGGGAATTTATACCCTGGGGGTGGGGCCTGGAAGATCACACATGGGGATTTGGATCAACCAATCAGAAGCTCAGAAGCACCACTGAAGTATTCAAGCATCTCTCTCAATATCAAAACAGCTGAGCCTCGATGCTTATTTACTTCACGCTCCAAGATCACCACCCCCAGAATAAGCGAGTCAATCAAATTCCAGGATCGCAGATTCTAAGCGAGCCCTCTAACTCGAAATCCCCATGCAAGTACATGAGTACCTACACTGTTTACGAGAAACAAATAATAGAGACACCGGTGATAACTCTGGGAAACATTTCAAGCAGCAAAATTAGGTACAGTAGTCAGAAATGATCAGCATCAATAAAGCAATCGCATCGCACAAAATTCCGTGACCCCATCTAAGGTTGCATTTCCATCTAATTGAATGCCTATGTGCTGACCTTCTGGAATCTGTTCAACGAATCCATCGTCAACTAATACTTTAATATTTTTGTCGCCAACATGAAATATGATGAGATCGTTAGTCAGGGTGATCCCATACTTCCTAGAGATTGCCTGTGCCAAGTCGTTGGTTGTACGTTCTGACAGGTAGATTGCACGGTAAAACTGTTGAGAGTTCTCCAGCATGAGGCGAACATAGAAGCATGCCACTATGAAATATCGAGTCAGCTATGAACCTGAATTCTGGAGGACATTGAGCTGGAGGAGTACCTAGCGAGGGTGGCCGCTCTGAGGATACAGCACTAGACGTCGATCCAATACGCTGTCTTTGATTGACTGGTATTCTGTGAACCCCAGCCTCCCTGACACCATCATTAGTACCAAGGGACGTGAAACCTTCTGAGTCACTATAATTGGATTTATTATCATCCATCGGAGAGATCTCAGAGGAGTTGTCGCTCTCCTGGTAATCCAGCATATGAACTGGGTATAGATCTGGGTCATCTTCCTTGCTTCCACGGAGAGCTAAGATGGTTGTTGGCTGTGTAAAAAGAGCCATTTGTTCGAGTTCGGCCAACTTGGAATCCATTCCATGATTGCTTGGATGTTGCATCTCAAACTTTGAACCGGGCATTGAGTCAAGAACTTGATCAACTAACTCTGAGGGCCCTCTCTTGCGCTTCTGTGCAACTGGCTTCGTTGTAGCACTTGATATCTTCAGCTTCAGCTTTTCTATCGCCTTGGCAAGATTATCATTGTCATTAGACATCTTCCGTTCAGCGCCATGGTCACGGAAGAGCTGTATTTTGCAGAAACTGATTTCTGGGTCTTCGGGGTGTAGAAAGTCAACCGGAGACGCCAACTCCTGGGTCTTCACACAAAGGCGAATGGGCATTCCTTTTACTCCTTTTGAACGGGTAAAGTCGGTGGATAGGAAATGAAGCCGAATCAATATATCGCAAAGAGTGGAACCCGTGCCAGTGGAAGAGTCCATTTCCCAAGTAATACAGAAACCATCGAAAAATTCTTGTTCAATCTGATATTGAAAATCAGAACTTACAGGGCCAGAAAATTCAACAGCGAGCGGGAAATTTTCTTTTTGAGAATTTTTACTAATTGCCTTGGCCTCTCTCCACAGTTGCCAACAAGCGGCTGGGTTCGATCTTGGCGTATCTTGATCAAATGCCACTCGGACAAATGTGCGATATTGTTTGGTTTGACCATTGACCACATGCGGCTTGGAATCAAAGATTGATAGCTTATAGGCCTGTCCCTTGTTGAGGTAGCTCAATGTTGGATCTTTGATATTCCGAGTCAGCGCAGTTGGGGCTCCTAACACCGCACAAAAGCGAAAGCTATGTAAGATTTATTATATTAGAATCATGAATTGAGCATTTGAATATGGGGTTGAAACATTAGTGAACTTACCCGTTGTCTTTCCATGCCGTAAAAGACTTGTCATGTTTATTTATTGGAAGAGATGTGGGGTTTGGATCAAAATGCGTCCCATCATCAGAGATATCCATTATCTTGTAACTTGATGAATTCATTTTCACATCTGGAATTGTTTCTATTCCCGAGTTTTCCCATGGTTGAAATGCAACCTGAGAGGAAATATCAAAGCTAGAAGTCCAAGAATCATTCTGGGGGATACTGGATGAGCCGCCCGGGACAGAATAGATATCTTCCATTCGCACCAGATGCTTTGGAGAATATTGACCATCATTTCCGCACTGTGTGGTTCCAGACATTTTTGTATGATCGATCAATGGCAAACTAGTATGGTTCAACTGGTGAGAGTTGAGGTCTGAGTGGAATGCTTGCGAATGATTTGGGTGGGACATGTTATGGGACGTAAAGCCTGGATAATACGCTGCTGTATTATTATCCAACGTGCACTCCATTGTGGTCGATTTCCTGTTTATCCTTAGCTTTTGATGTCTATTTGTTGATATGTGTTGATGTAAGATTGCATACTGTGACTGTGAAGGTTGATTTTCCGTGTTTTCTTTATTAGACTGAGGATGTGAGACTTTGTCGTGGGGTTTGGTCAAAAAACAACCAGCAAATCTGTCCTGAAAGGAGTTGAGTAGCTCCGTACTCGGTTTGTGGGAAATTCTACACGTAAATCCAATTGATTAGCAATGGAATGACTTAAAACTAAAGAGTTCTTATTTGAAAATAAAACAAATTTACCTCTCGTGAAGCATGACTGTCGTAATCCAAGCACAACTTGAATTAACTTGAATGTTGCGGGGAAATTCCAAGGGGTGACTACCACTGAGTAGTACTAGTAGGGTATAGTTGGAGCTTGAACATTCCAGATATCAAGTTGCCCCTACTACCTAGTATGCGACAGCACTTGAGTAAATCAAATGTTTGGTTCAAGTTGTATAAAAGCAGGAAATTTCAAATGTGCATCAGGGCGCCACGCTTTTTAGTATATAACGAAATACGTCCGCATCCACTTTCAACTGCCAATATCTTTCTCATTATTCGTAGTATTTTTTTTCTGTTGCAATCCTCGTACATTATACGACTTCGGGTACCCATAACGTCCTCTTATCTGGAAATTGACACAGTTGTCCATGAGTGGCATCGTGATACTATTGATCTGCACAAGTGGAGCTTAAGATGCAGAGAGTACTTAAAAATGGGACGGTAATCACCTTTATGACGTTCAAGAATTTCCAAAATGGTAGGACATAGGTAGTTTAAAGATATAAGATTGGTCGGCAAGTTTCTCCGGATCCATTTCCGCGTGCGGGCTCTTTATCCCTCGCTCGGAGTCAAGGTGAAACCAACCCTGGAACCACTCAAGTGCTTAATAAGTGCTTAATGTGGAGAATGACGCGGCGGGCGGCGGGCTGGCTCCACCAAGAGCTTTGTCCTTCTCGAATTCTATTGCTTCAAGGACTCCGTGGAGTTATTCTATAGAAAATAATTGTACTTTTTAAATAAAAAAAATTCAATCCTTGTGCCGACTAACCTTGGAATCATTCTTGGAACATGTACTTTTGCACATGCATGACATATGTACTTTTATGACAAGAAATTAAATCAGAAATTTTATCCCAAGTCAACCCCCTGCATGTCAACTGGTGTCATGGATGTACTCTGTACTTCATTACGAAGATCCCGGTGTGTTTTATCGCTTCAAATGATGTGATACGGAATAGCTGGAGCAGCTCCAAAATTATGATGATAAACTTAGAAGTGACTCTTGATGTCGCCTCCATCAATCATCGGGTCCTGGAGACCGAAGTCCAAGTCTTACGAGAAGAAATTTGGCATCTCAAAAACCAATTGTTTGCGCATGCGAACTGCAACGACGAAGGTATCAACTCCCAACCCAGTGCAATGGTCAATAGAATGAAGGGAGAGGAGTATCCTTCACCTCCACTATCCGGGATTGAGCCACCAACCCAATCTATGATGAACCTTGGAATGAACCTGAGAACCGAGGGTGGGGCAAACTTGAAGCTGGAAATGTACGGAGACGGATTATTTGATACATTTTTAGATTTCTCTTGTGTTGTATGATGTGCGTATATAAGCAACCTTGGAATGCAATCAATCGGTATTTTTCTGATAAGAAGACCTAATATGGCGGGGCTTTTTTGGGATGTCATGGACGATTAAAAGGGTTCAGTGACTATACTAGCACTTGAGATATTCTTGTAAATTTTTCTACAACAGTTTTCAATGATATCTTTCAATGTTTGTTTCAAAATGTTGGAACCAGTGGGGCTCTGTCAAAGCCCGTAGGTTGTCAAAGCCCGCACCTGGGCAGACTGTCAAACCAGAACATGACATCCAAGGTTCGCTATTGAATTCTCCGGAATACGATCGCATATTTCAATTCATATTTACAGTGGAAATCCCCCTTTTCTCAAAATAATATCTTAATTGATTAATACCCTGATGTGATGGATCTACAGGTCCAGGCGGAACAAATAATCGATTAATCATAGATGTTCTGGTAATGTCTCCGCACCGGATGAACGAACATGGGAATCCTGGTCAAACATTCGCCAAACCCCGAGAATTTGCAAATAGGAGAGCGTGATGTTAGTGGAACCTTTCGATCAGCCATCTATGTCATAAAAAAAGTAAACATTCGAACCTTGGAATTGAATGACTTCAGATCGGATCACTACTTCCTTGAGTTCAAGTTTAATTTATGGACCAATACATACCTAGGCACCTACCACGACCAGTGGCACCCATCTACTAGTAGTGGCTTATATTTTTCAAACCCACCGAATTTTTGCTATCATGTACTTTTCTATTTCTGTGTACACTATAAGAGGTAAGAGCATATTTTGTATTCATATCCCCTCATCATGCAGAACTCTCCTACCGAATCATCGAGCTCGTCAAGCCCATCAAGCCTATCGGGTACTAGCATACCTGCCAGTGCATTATCAGATACGAGTAACTCCTCACCAAGTTCAGTGCAGAATGTGACTCGGTTCTCAGAAAATGATATAATGGGGATAAAATTTGAGATAACTGTAAGCTCGCTCTGATGTGTTTCTCAACGTAAATTATCACCACTCTCATTGGTACTAATTGGGTCTTGGGACCTAAAGTCTAGGTACTCGCAGCTAGAACCGGTCGGCATGGGTGTCTCTGGCGTTGTATGGTATGAACCTCATTGTGAAGTTAAATATTTGCCATTCTGGTATATCAAGCTTATACAAGATCAGTTCCGCGATAGACGTCTTTACGCCAAAAACCGTGGCACTTAAAAAGCTGGCGAGCCCATTCGAGTCCTCCGTTGTTGCAAAGCATATGTTTCGCGAAGTCAAGTTACTGAAGCATCTTCAACATTCCAATGTTGGTTTACTTCCCCCTTAAATCTAATCAGATGGAAATCTGATCACATGGATTCTAACCCTCGATTGTAGTAATCCATCTCAAAGACATTTTCATCTCACCATCGGAAGATCTGTAAGGATGGGGTTTTTTTTGCTGATCAACTATTGCGTTGGATCTAGTTGACCTAAGTTGCTTACATTGGTATTCTTTAGTTATCTTGTGACAGACTTCCTACCAGTCGACCTTTATACACTCATAAAAACCAAAATTCTGGAAGACCAATTCACTCAATACTTCATTTATCAAATAAAGGGCAGTGTTCTCTAGCTTTCATCTTAAGAATCGCACCTCACAATTCTCCAGCGAGGTTTGAAATATGTGCACTCAGCAGGTGTTATTCACCGCGACTTGAAGCCAGAGAACATCCTTGTCAATGAGAACTGCGATCTTCGAATCTGCGATTTTGGAATGGCTCGCACCCAAAAAGCAGAAATGACCGGCTACATGGTGGCAAGGTTTTACCGAGCGCCTGAGATAATGCTGACCTGGCGTCAATATGATGAAAAAGTCGACATTTGGAGTGCCGCCTGTATCTTTGCCGAAACGATGATTGTGAGTCCACCTCTCCCTGGCAAGAACCATATCGATCAATTCGACGTGATTACACGAGTATTGGGCACACCACCAGGTGGAGTGATCTCTCAGATAACAGCTGAGGATGTGAGTGATACGATATGTCTGCTATAGAGGAGTACTCTTCACTAATTCGTCACATCAGACCTTGGATTTCGTTAATTCGATGCCAAAGCGAAGACCGACCCCATTGTCCTAGTTTATCCCAAAGGCAAATAGCAAGGGTATGCTCGAATGATGCGCTAGCTCGTACAAGATTACTATCACTGACTATTCTAGCCTTATCACTATTGAATTGGATGCTTCAGTATGACCCCAAGCTGCGACCTTCGGCGGTCGAGACACTTAAATCTTCCTATCTTTTGCCATATCATGCTCCTGCCGATGAGCCAAAAGCACCCGACGAGTTTGATTGGTCTTTTCTGGAGGCTGATTACTCTACTGATCTTTGGAAATCCCTTATGTACTCGGAGGTTCTACACTTTTACCGGGGAAATATCGGGAGTGATGGAGGTAATGCAGTTTCATCCAATGTTTTTTTTAGGCCGGAAGCTATGCATTTGAATAAATCGCCCACGCAGGGTTTTCAATAAGATGTTGGTATGACCGACGGAATGCATGAATGAATTGCCAGTGGTCAGCCATCTATGTCATAAAAAACAAACATTTGAACCTTGGAATAAATTGGATTATTTCAGGTTTTATTTATAAACCGATACGTACCTAAGCAACCGAACCTACCTATCAAAGATTGAGAACCTTGGAATAATATGAGCTCTGCGGGGATGCATCCGATAGGGTCGGCACGGTCCTCATGTCCAGAAATCTACTAATCTAGCTCTTCAATCATATCACGAGGAAGCTCTGAAGCAATGGTCATGCCAAATACGAGTTGGGAATATACCAGTCACCTCTATAATTCTAGAACAGATGGTTAATATATCTGATTCTATCACTCAAACACACAGGCGTTCATCATCAACCGGAGTACACAACAAGTACCTACCCGTGGACGCCGTATAGGTAGGTACACCCCTGTTCCTGGAAGTCAAAGCTTTCCCCACCCCCACACCTCAGGAGCAATTATTGTTTCCCCCTTCAGCTAACGTCAGGTCTTTCAGTTGACTATCATTGCTATCCTCCTGCTCTCTGCACACACGCACGTATCTACTTTCAAACCCTTTGTCTACGACGCAACCAGGATGGGCCAGTTCTGCTCACTCCAAGAACCCTTCTATACAAAGCTCAGCCGAGGGCCTCGACTCATCAACCAGCCCGAAACCCGGATCACGAGGTTCGATCTTTCTCAGGATTCTGTGGCTCAAAAGTCTTCAGTCTTATTGGAAACCGCTATTGGCAGCAATGAGAATCAGCAGTTTCGTGTATCTACCGTGATCGAAACGCACTCTGCTGCGTTCATTGTTGAGTAATATCCCAGAGTAAGCTCATCATGTCCAAAACTTGAAGAGTACAAGTGATGGTTTGCGTAATACTAGCCTATGTGATCTAGGACCCTCTGAAGCTTTCTGACACTGCTGTCTTGGCTCCTCTTGCAGTATTCCTAGTCCGCGACAACCCACTCACAACCAAATATGTGCGAGAGCTCATTCATAAGTATCTCCGGGAAGACGATGTCCTCTGCTCTGACTTCCTTAGGACCATAATTTTCGTCACTGAGCAAGATACTGTTGACGAGAAAGTTCGTTTATGTCTCGCTTCATTCGGTTGTAAGACACTGTATATTCTACCTACGACCTATAGTATCACGAAGGGACCGTACTTCTATTCCTGCCAAGGTCTTTTTTCGGACCCCAAGGCTGTATCCTGATACCCAGGAAGCATTTGTGCTGAGCACTGTTCCTTCCCAGAATGACAAGAATTTGTAAGTCAGCATACATTTCCCTAACAAACACTAACGCGGGTTAGATACATGAACTTAAATGCATCTTCCGATGGTGCGACAACTCTTTGTGTGACTGTTCCATCATGGCACTAGTTTACCCCTTCAGTCGAATTTCCTCTCGCGGGCCTGAGAGTAGCCGTAAAGGACATATTCCATTTAAGAGGCGTCAGAACTACTTGTGGTAATCGAGCCTATAACAATCTGTACGGTAATCAGGATATCACATCTGCCACGGTCCAGAAGTTAATAGACCATGGCGCTATTATCGTTGGGAAGACAAAGACGGCAGAGTTCGCTGGCAGCCAGGGAGTCATTGGAGACTGGGCAGACTTTTCCTATGCTTTCAACCCGCGTGCTGATGGCTACCTCAGATGCACAGGGAGCAGCATGGGAAGTTCTTCTGGCATCGCCTCATATCCCTGGCTTGACGTGGGTCTCGGCAGTGATGTTAAGACGCTGAACATATGAGGATCGAAAGACTTGCTCACATATCCACAGCTGGGGGCAGTGTACGAGATCCTGCCATCAACCATGGGATTTTTGGGTTTCGACCATCCCAGATGGATCTGCGGAGCCAAATACGCCACTACCCTGCGAGTAAGTCCTGCTTTTGTGGTGGAAGAAAATATCTGACATTCTCTGTAGGCAATTCCATAGATCAGGTCATCTTGCTCGAGACATGGAAAACATGATTAGATTTGTTCGTCACGGACTCAACTTGATTTCTTTCAATGAAGAGGTAAGACTCACCATGTCGGAAGTTCAGCGTTTGAGTTAACTGAACCTGGCAGACGTATCGGCCTAAATGCGTCCTATATCTCGAGGAGTATGGATCAGACCGAAAGGATGTCCAGGAAATTATCGAGCATGTCATTTCCCAGTTGTCCAAGTGGCTGGGCACGGAAGCCGTCCGTGTTTCTCTCGAATCTCTCTGGAAAGAAACAAACCCTATAGGAACTTCAGAGTCCTTCGACGACTACTTCAAGACCGTGAGTACTTCTAATTAACTGAGTAATCGGCTACTGAAGATCTATTTTGGCATTTAGACTTTCATGGAAGTACTTGCTAGCGATTATTGGTCCCATGAATCCCAATTTTTGCAAGAGTACCAACGGAAGTTCAAATCAGCACTGTATGTATGCAAAGTCACTCGTTGATTATGGCAAGGAACACTACCGGAATAGGGTAGATGACACAAGTACATGTACTGACGACTCTCAGGGATCTTGGGGCCTCAATCACCTCTGCTCAGAAGCAAGCTGCTATCGAAAAAGTTCGACTTCATAATTCGTGGTTCACTAAGCATGTTATCTCTGCTTATGAAACTGTTATTGTTATTCCTCGGTACAATCTACAGTACCGCGACGATTACTTGGGGTATATTCCGCGTTCACATGCTCGCCTCTCTTGTCATTTGCACGAGTACTAATGTAATGAACACGCAGGCCACCTGAAAATCGAGAATTCTTTGGCTTTGATTCCAACCTCCATGCCACATTTGCTGGACTGCCAGAACTTGTGGTTCCAAGTATATGGAATTGTTGATTCCTTCTTAGTCTATTCGATGATTCCAACATTTGGGTAACCTGATTCTAGTCGGCCAATTCCCCTTCCATTCTGGAATATCAAACTGCGTGGAATTCATCCCTGTCTCTTTCTCTATCATAGCGAGTCGAGGCATGTTTACCTTAAACTTCTTTTTGTACCTCTATGTGGCTAATGGAAGACCGCACAGATATGGATATTGGGCTATTAGAGCTTATCAACGACTTCTTGAGTCAAAACGGCCTTTCCACTTCCGTCCTAACAGGGAAAACTGCCTTCCATACAGAGACCAAATCCACGGCCGATGGAGAACATGAACGGAACATGAACGGAGATCACCGGCCTAGAATCAGGTAGTGATAAAACCATCTACCAGAGCCAGGAAAGAAGTGTGTAATAGCTTTACATCTCGGAATATCTCCGATCCCATACACTAGAATGGTCATTTTTTATGTTTCCATAATAGTATTACACGATATATTGAGCCTCTATGTATATGCTCTACATCTGAAGACCTCCTCCGAAGCCAACAGGCCGTCTACGACCCCCATTCTCTGGCACAATAGCCAGAACCTTGTAGATCTGGCCCATGGAGCCGCCACCCTTCTCTACCAGCCGCTTCCACCCAGTCTCGAGAGTCTTCTTATGCTCATCATTATCAGCCTTGCGAATGAGTTGCTCGATACGCTCAGTGATACCCATAGCATTGAGGAAATCACCCTGTTCAACAGGACCATGGACCTCAACCCCGTCACTGCCCTCGATAGCTGCCTCGGCAAGGGAGGTGAAGTCAACATCGGCACTGACATCCACCTGACCTGGGGCTGAAAGCGCAGGTACTATGCGGTGGTGTTGGATGCCGCGCAGCGAGTTAATGGGAATAGTAGACATGGTTCCATAATCCATGATCAGAGCCGCACCTGATGGTGTCTTCTTCTGCGGCACATTAATGTCGACGGTTCCCTTCTTATTAGCAGTCGCAGAAGTAGAATCGCCACCGATACGGCGTGCAAAGTCAGCAGCGTAGATCCTGCTTTCGGGACTGACTTCGATGGTTGAGCCGGGCTGCGACTTGAGCGCACGGTAGCGCTGAGAAATCTCGGGGATTACAAGAGATGAAGGTGTAGAGGCTTTGGCCTTGCTCAATTGGAACTCAGGCTCGCCCTCGATGTTCTCTTCGACGGCCTTCGGGTTTAATGTAACCAACAACTCGCGCCATTGAGGAACGTTTTTTGGTCTGATAGGCTGGTGCAGCTTTTGAGGTCCGGTAGGAGTCATGATCTCTGTCTGCTCTTGGATTTCGTTTTCGGGGGATGGAGGAACGGATTCGAATGCGTGGATTGGAAGAGCGTCGAAGAATTCATGTGCGAAGATGAAAGGTGTTTTTCCTTCCTCTGTATTATTCCATTAGTATTTCTGAAATCTAAATGTTTCTCGGGAATATTTACTAACCATGTGGTAGCAAGCGAATATCCTCCACCCAGATTACTGGCACATCGAAGTATTTGCAAGTACTTCGGTGACCAATATCAGTTTCCTCCATGGGAGCATCGCCACACAGAAGCTTTCTCTGCACTTCCCGCAGTGTACCGCTCGCCTCAACCAGGTAGATTGCCTCCACACTAGATGAGAAGCTCTTGAAATTGCGGAATGTCTGGGACATGGTCAGTCTACTCGATATTCGGAGACCATCTCGCAATCACTCACCCGCAGCATATCGTCCATCAGTGTTCCCTTTCCCGGTCCAACCTCCATCAACTGAATTCCTTCTCTTTTCCGTCCTTGTGACATCCATTCCGCAATTGTCCAAATTCCAATTAACTCGCCGAAGACCTGAGATATTTCGGGGGAGGTGACGAAGTCGCCGTGTTTGCCAAAGACCGCGCCTGTCTCAGGACGTGTTGTATAGTAACCACCTTCAGGGGATGTCAAGACTTGGCGCATAAATGCCGCAATTGGAATTGGCCCTGTAACCTGGATGTTTGTCGGGGCTGTCAGGACTGGACATATACGCCTAGTTTTGTTGGGTTTTTGAAGCTATACCTTCATAGCATGAGCTAATGTGCGGGCGAGGGGTGTTGACCATTCTCTAGTCTCAAATGTCGAGTTCCATCGTCGCCCACACCGAGGTACTAAAGTCTTGCGAGAGCTCCGCAGAGTATGCGATGCGGCGCGCCGAACTGTGTTCATGGTCGCGGAGATCCGGGTCAATGGATTCGCCTAGAGTGATGCGCGTAAGAAATGGATATCACCGAGATCGGAAAATCCTTGAAGTGCTTGACTTACCAAAAAATATATACCCTGTTGCAGCCACTCAGGGAACAGGAATTTTGACTGCAATTCCATCTCCGCAAAAGCTCCGCGACACGTGATGCTATCTTATCAATAAACTTGAAGCCGATTGGCTAAGGGTCAATAGCTCTGTGGAAGCATAGCAACTTTGGGGTAGTTTGTTATAGCAAGGTTGAGAATTCTAACAATCGATTTATTTCACATTCAAGTCGTTAGCACCGGTACTGGTTCAGGTTGGTTATGTAGTATCCCGGGCCCCTGCCAGTGGAAACTTGCCCATAGCTGGTACTACAAGTAACTATTGGAAGCACTAGCAGAACCTTGGTCAAAGTAGTACTGACATCTAGAGAATATGGAGTCCAGGTCTGCTACAAGGTCGACTTGGTTCAAATTCAACATTAGTTCCATTACATTTGAATAATCATACATATCATGAGATTGAGGAATTCAAGAGGCTAAAAGCAAATACGAGATACCTAGTTCCATGACAAAGAGGCCCCCAGGGAATATCAAACCATCGATGATTCGCACCCACACACAATTAGCGCTGCTGTCGTCGAGGACGAGATGGCGGTGTATCAACCATCATCTCGTCACTGTACAATCCAGAAGATGACTGCTTGCGACCACGCACGTCGAAGCCAAAGTTGCCATTTTGATAATCGGGGTTTGCCTGACGCTGGCGGCGATCGCGATCGGCCTGGGCACGCATATCGTTGTAAGGGTTGTGGGTGGTCGGTGCTTCTCCAGCAGCTTTGAGTGTCATGGACAACATGCGTCCATCGGCCTAAGAGAAAATTAGCAAACCCTGCATATCCCAATTCCATTCTTTAGCTTCAAACGAACTCTCTGGTTGTGGAAATTGGCAATAGCATTCTCAGCATTCCATTTTTCTTCAAAAGCAAGCTCAGCCACAACTTCTGGGTTGTGGGAGATAACGCGACAGCTGAGCATAGGACCGGAGAGAGGCTCCAGGGCTGACTGGATATCTGCAGCTGTGGTTCCGGGCGCAAAGTTGCTAGCAATCACCACAAAGGGACCAGAGGCGCCCTTGATAGACAAGCCAGTCTTGGGTTTGCGAACGGTTGCCTGGGGTGAGCCGGCCTGGACAGCGTTCAATATTCTATCGGCATTGGAACGACGGTTGTTCTTGGGGTCACGGCTGTTCTTGAAATCACGGTTGTTCTTGGGATCTTTCTTTTGCGCGGGGGCTGCAGCGACTGGGTTGAGCTTTTTAACGCGCGAATTGGTGGCAGTAGGAGGGTTAGACTTGTTGCCGCGAAGATTGGTGGTGGAAGCAGAACGCTGAATGTGGATACCAGGAAGACGTTAGAGAATATGTCCAAATTGTATGCTGCCGGCTGATAAGATATTTCAATTCTGGGGTCCTTTCCTTACCTGAGGCCCAGTAATGCGGCTGGCTAAACTGCCAGGCTTTGCGGACTGAGACTTCTGGATACCTCCACTGGGTGCGCTGACACGACGGCCCTTGCGATCCTTTCCAAGGATCTGGTTTGCAAGGTCCTGGTTCTGTTTCTTCAGACGATCTATATAGAGAAGTCAAGAGGTCAGATTGGCAGGGTAAACAGGGTATTGGAGGGATGCTGTTGCAAGCTACCTGACTTGATGATCTCGTCAAAGGAGACGGGTTTGTTCTGGGGCTTTTTTCCCATAGCTGCAGCTTTGTTGGTATTTGTTGAAAGAATTCAGACGACGCGTGCAATTGAAAGAATATGCGACGGGAGAATACTGAGAGATGAGACGGCAGGAGGTGAGCGGAAGATGCGACGGCTCTCGGGAGTGGAGAAAAGCTTCAGGAATCAGCCGCAATACTCACATTCATTGGGACCACCTGACTTCCCTACCATTTTTGAGAATTCTTCCCTCCTTCACTTTTGATAAGAAATTTCATGATTTAATGGTCAATTTTCTGAATATAGTTAATTTAATTTATATTATCCTCGTTTTAACCCAGGAACTGGATAGGTCTCCATAGTAAAATACTACAGTATATACAAGTTCAAGTTCATTAGGTTCTACTACTATAGACTCCGAGTCGGTCGCGGGCCTTCCTATTTAGGAAGAACTATACTTGCCCAGGTGCAAACTTGAAGTTCAGACGATTTGCTTCACTTGATCTTGTTTATTCTGCATCTGTTCCTACTTTCCCGCGAACTTCTCTGTGAACATCACTTCAGCCTCTGAATACAAACCAACCTTTCGCTGCAGCTGTTCCAAACGCAATATTTTGCTTAATACATCAAGATGGCCCAGCCTAGCCCTGCAAAGCATGTAGGACATCGCTCCTCGTTCTCGCTGTCCATCGTATCTCGGATATCTTCAAAGCGTCAAAGGTAAGTAGCAAAATAACCTCAAACAAGACAGATACTGAATAATACTTGCAGCATCATAGAATCACCGGATCTACAACCAACCTGTGCTGAGAGAGGTCACTACCCAGTGTTTAATCCTCAAGACCCACGGCATAATCCGAGCATGGGCTCATGCCGTCGCCAGGACAGCCACACCTCATCTTCAGATTCACAAAAACAACCTAACTGGGTCCAGGATTTCCCTCGAAGGTCGCTTCACAAAGCTCGTTCAGGCCTCTTGGCGATTAGAGAAGGATTGCGTCGTCGTTCACCTGCATCTACCAGTCAGGATGATTCAATTCTTCATAGTCGCGGGCAGTCAAGTGTGAGCACACAGGAAGACTTGAACTTTGGGATTGCTCTCTATCGAACAAATAGGCCTCTACTAGCGGATGAGCCAAGTCTTGATGCCATGATGCGAGCAGCATCATTACATCCACTGGTTAGTATCGCATCAGCCCCGGAGATGCTGCAGACTTATGAATTGGTTGGGGATGACTTGGTATTTCATCAAGACGTGAGTATACCTTTCCATCGGCCACTCTACTCCAGTGGAGACGGCTGCTTCGACTCCCAGTTTTCTCCCAATGGCAGGGGGGGCCCAAGGAGGGAACAAGGCAGCTGTTCATCCAATGCAACCAAATTGTGGGATTCTTGAAGCTCATTTCAATGCGCCTACAGATTGGAAGAACATCCGCACAATCTCGACAAGCTCCGCTAGTGGCGAAGATACGCGACGACAGAATTTGAAAGCAGAGTCATCTGAGACAGCAGACTCATTTGCTTGCACGAGGAATAGATTATTATTGTCAGATGCCAAATTTCTGCAGCTCGATCGAAATTCAAACGACGTTGAAAATTCCATGCACTGGCGCGAATCTTCAACTAATAAAGGTGGCAGAGACACCATCCAGTCGGTTGGAGAGCCGCAATTTCCGAAGGCTAGAAGAAATTCTTCCATGTATAACTCCTCCAGCATTTGGAGTACTTTTAGTTCAAACGCCTCGTACAGATGCCGGAATCTGAGTGGTCTTCAATCTGAAGCATTTGAAACACAGGAGCGATTAGATCTGGTCTTAGATCAAGAAATCCCCAGTCGAGTGGCCTCGATAAGTTCAAATTCAAGCTTAACAGAAGGTTCACTTGAAGTCTTGATTGCTTTTCCTGGTCTGCACCAGGCACTCCTAGAGCAATGGAGGAGCGATTCAATGGATGAGAGCATTGCCGAAGATGCCCAAATTACACATATTGAAAACACAAATGCAAATATCTTCGACAGGGCAGTCGCCTTGACTACATCTCCGAGAACTTCGGGTCCCAATCTTCTTCCTGACACACCACACCAAACCTATGAGACCGTGAAAGTTCACGTTCCCTCTGAATATTCTGATGAGATGCAATCATCTAACCCACTCCTAGTTTCACTAGAAGGGGCCCTCAGAGGTGATACAGAGACTGTAAGACAGCAGCAAACCCATTTTTCAAACTCAGCACCGAAGGAAAGCTCATTGGCAGAGTTCATATTTACTCTCAATGGAATATCTCAAAAGGAGGGAAAGCCTGCACCGCAGCAATGCAAACCAGCGGAGAGTTGTTATTCATTTGGCTTGCATATCTCTTTGAGAAGTGTGAGTTTATTATTCAAGTAAAAGCACTCACAATACCTACTGACCTGAATTAACTGTAGGACCCCGAAGAAAGATTTGAAATGAACCCATGGGGTCAACCAGATTTCAACCAGTTTCTAATCGAACGGCAATCTATGGCTGAGGCTCGTTTCTTTAACTCTTTCTCACTCTGGGGGTGGGACAATGTAGACCCACCTCTCGATGACTCCGATTATTCATTCTTATTCACACGAGGCAGTGCAATGTCAATTGATCGGACATCAATGACATCAATGTCGTCTCCACTGAACTCTCCTATTGACGAGGAGGTCCTTTCCCCAAGATTTTCCAGCAATGAGTACTGGACTGCGGACGGGAAGCCTGGTAGCTTCTATCCCGATACAGGGGATCAACCTGTCAAGGCAGGGAGAACTACCCCAAATAGAACACCCCAGAGACGTCGCTATCACTACCCATCATCATCGAGCAACCAACGCGGATACGAACGATACGGTTATGAGAGAATTTCAAGTGACTCTCATCCATTTCGGAGAAGCAGACGCGCCTTGATGGCGAGCGATTGGAGTGATTCGAGCGATTCTAGTTGTGATTGTTAACTTGGGTGTCGCGTTCAACAAACACGGTACAGTTGATATGTCATGTACACGAATATCTTGTCTGAGCGATGTCAACTATCACGAATGCGTTTTCAGTATCAATGGCGGTTGAATATTGAATTTTGAGTTTTGCATTGTTGTATTCTTGCGTTGCGCGTTTTCGCTTTTCCATTCTTCAAACAGTCTTTTATTCTTCCTCATTGCTAATCGTGTATGTTTTAGTGTGAATAGAAACCCGAAAGCACTCCGATTCTTGTGACTGATGAATAACAAAAAACGATGCTCTTATCTGTAGGTGATAGTACAAGTGGATTGATCATAGTATGGATATTCTGTATAGATTATTTACTTAGCCAAGACGAAGACTAAACCCAGCGCCAACCTCACCGGTGTCCCCTCCAGGCGCACTACCAAATACCCCCGCAAAATCCAGCTCAGGCGCTTCCTGGCCATGCTTCGGAGCTTCTGGGGTATGATGCCGTCTCCGCTTCTCCATTCCCGCTTTCGAAGGAAACGTAGGGAACATCTCCTTCGGCTTGGGCCGTGGGTCTTCCCGGAAATATGGATGAGCAAGACATTGGCGTGCAGTGGGACGCGAAGCTGGGTTAAGGGCCAACAACTCTGATATCAAGCCCAGGCCCGCATTTGTCAAGTATGGGAATCGTGATCGAGGTAGAAGAGGAGTATCACTCGAGGAAGGAGCATTCGAGTTTGATGGCAGACGTAAGGATTTAGCATTAGGTAGAGATCTAAAACCGGGCCAGATGTGTGAATTCGGGGGCCCGGTTAAATCGAAGATCTTGGAGACCTGATCCACTTCATTCTTTCCTTGTAGTAGAGGTTCTTTGGTGAGTAGTTCACCGAAGATGCAACCAATACTCCACATGTCGATCTCCGGTCCATACTTTTCTGCTCCGAGGAGTAGCTCAGGAGCTCGATACCAGAGTGTCACGACGAGCTGGGTCAATTTTGGTGGTGGGTCACCGTAGTACCGGGCCATACCGAAGTCGGCGATTTTGATCTCGCCGCGGTTATTCATGAGGAGGTTGGATGTTTTTAAATCGCGGTGCATGATCCATTGCGCGTGAAGGAATTCAAGACCGCCAACTACCTGGAGAAGTACAGTCTTGATTTCTGATGGGAGAAAAGGTTCGCGCATTTCATCGAGGAGAGCTTTGAGGTCGTGTTCGAGAAAATCCATAACCAGGTATACACTGTTATTTATATGGTTAGTTTGTCGGAGTTTGCTTCAATGCATTGGCAAGGTCTTAGGGGAAACTCACTCATCCATCTTGTTTCCCATGACCACCTCCCTTAAATAAACCACATTCGCATGTCGCGCCTCTAAGAGTGTCTGGATCTCCCGTAATCCTGTCACAGGGAACCCGTCCGGCGAGTTCTCGATCTTCAATTTCTTCAAAGCCACCACTTCTCCAGTATTGATATCCTTTGCTCGTGATACCCATCCATAAGAGCCCTCTTCAATATGATTCAATCGTTCAAAATTATCCACATGTCGACAAGTCCCCCACTCGCGCACAGGAAACCGCAGTAAGGGTGTTTGCTTCTTCTGTTCCGTGTTCTCAGGGACCTCGGTATCGTTCGTATCGTGATCATTCGATAACCTTCGTCTCTTGGTAGGAGGCCCAGAGTCACCATTGCGTGATTGAGCATCATCGCCAGCGTCCGTTGCAGTCTGAGCCTTGCTAGCCTCAAGTTGACGCTGTTTCTCTGCCTTGGCGCGTTTTTTCTCCTCCTTCTCGCGTTTCTGGGCGGCGAGAATCGCTTCTGTTTCTGGGTCCTCGTCTGCCCATCGCGATTTGGCAGACATTATCGGTGATGTCTGCCCAAGATGGGAATTGGTGAGTCGAGGAGAGATTTTTCGCTGAAAGGGCGGAATGACGTTGCTCTGGGGAAGGTTGGACGGGCCGAAGAGCAGCTCCGATTTGAAATCCAAATTGTTCCCCGCCTTAGCCTATCCCGCCGCTTCTTGCTAATCCTTTCTTTTTGATTTCTTCTCAAGTCGCTTTTATTCTGATATTCTGAGAAGACATTCAATCCAGTATTTAGCTTTTGTCTCTCATTGTTCGGAATTCAGTACATTATTTGCATTGCCTTCAATCCTGCATTTTCTACACTTGTTGCCCCCGGCATCAGATCTACTTCCCCGCCATGATTGAACCTTTTCAGGTTGGTATTCCTTTGAGCATTGTATTATAATATGGACTAATATTGATTCTGATTTAGACGACCTTCTCGGTCCCAATGACCTGTGAAGGATGTGTTAAAGATATCTCTACATCACTATACAAGCTGGATGGTGCGATCTCACGTCTTCCCTAGTCGATGCGACGAATGCTTTACAGTAGACACTCACAATACTTTCTTTCTATATAGGCATCAAGAATGTCGAGGCAAACCTTAAGGACCAACTTATCTTCATTGAAGGCACTGCGCCCCCAAGTTCTATTGTGTCCGTGATCGAAGACACTGGCCGTGATGCAATTTTGCGCGGAAGTGGCACAACTGACAGTACGTACCATCATCCATTGCCACCCTGTCTTACAGTCAATATATTCTAACTTGGACTTTCATTCAGGCTCCGCTGTTTGTATCCTCGAAACCCACTCCAATGCCGTCTCTAATAAGATCCGTGGCTTGGCTCGTATGGTCCAAGTCTCGTCGAATAAAACCCTGGTCGATCTGACTATCAATGGTCTCACGCCGGGTAAATACCTTGCTACTATCCGGGAAGCAGGTGATATTTCCCAGGGCGCTTCATCGACGGGTGGTGTCTGGGAGTCGTTGAAGGCAAAGGTACTTGGATCGGAAGCTGTTCAGGAGAAGGAGCCTCGAGGGATCTTTGGTTCCGTCGAAGTAGATATTAAGGGACGTGGGAATGTCTTCCTTGATCGACCCGTGGCTATTTGGGAGCTGATTGGCCGCAGTATGGTGGTTTCATCGAAGACTGAGGGTCCATTTAAGAGGGAGGATGAGAATACGCTGGTTGGTGTTATTGCTCGTAGTGCTGGTGTGTGGGACAATGATAAGATGGTGTGCTCTTGCTCTGGAAAGAATGTGTGGCAGGAGAGGCAGGAGCAGGTTAGCCAGGGTATGGCCTAAGCGGGTTGGAATGTTGACCGATGTACATTCATGCACGAAGTAGTTATCTGCAAGACAGTTTGATACTTCCGCGTATATTTAACATGGTATCATATTATATGCCTCTTTTACTCTTTCAAATTTTGAGTACTGAAGATTTTCGAACTTTTTGAACTTCGTAGCCTGGTCTCTATTTTTCTTCAAGGGTTTCCTTGTCCTTGGCTAGATAGCACCTACCTAGGTACTGGCAGCACTTGAGCCTGAGGTATTGACCTAGTCTACCATTTTAGGTGCCCGTTCAACTTTAAATTGAACTTGAAGTAGGTACTACATATGTACATATGTACTAATACATATATATATATATATATACCCGTGGACCTAGTAGTACTATTGATATAGATGATGACTCGGAGCTACTAGTACTAACTTGAACATTCAAATGTTGGAACCTGTAAGTACCTAGCATGTAGTATGTACTACTCCCTGAATACTAGTAGTAGATACATATATATCATGGATCCAAGTCCTACTATACATAGTACTTTAATACTAGTATATTGATCCATCAAGTTGTTACCTAGGTAGGAAAACGCCAGGCGTGAATAAGCCTCCGCATCTAGTGGCCCCAGCAGTAGGTACTAGTAGGTAGTAGTAATCTTGAGTATGTCACAGTAGGTAGTAAGTACTATGTCTAAACCCTGGCCTTACATATAACTAGATGCTTACTTGAGACAAGAAGTTTACCAGGAAATATAGGTTAGTGTGGAATAATGTAGATTAGTCCAAGGTCAACATTTGAAGAACCTGGTAGTAGCGTTACCTGATTGATTGTGGTAAGGCTTAATACAAAAAGAAGTCAAAGTGTATTGAACACTTATACAAAGAAACAAATAAACAAAGATACAAATATTTGATAAACTCAAGTACTTCCTTGAAGCCCTATAGGCTTCAAGACCCGTGCACTCGGAGCTTCCTCTCCGCTGTGCTCCTTCGCCCTGCAGATTGTGCCACCCCCTGCATGTCGTAGATTGTGTTATACACTTGGAGCTTCCTCTCCCCGGTGTGTCGTTGTCCCTGCAGATTGTGCCACCCCCTGCATGTCGTAGATTGTGTTATACACTTGGAGCTTCCTCTCCCCTGTGTGTCGTTGTCCCTGCAGATTGTGCCACCACCTGCATGTCGAATCGGAGGGGGAGGGCGTTGGAGGGAGGGGATTGATCACGGGCTGGTGAAGCCTTGAGAAAGACTGTGTGTTGTCTGTGTTAGTAGGTTGGGTTGTCGGAGATGTTGGTGGCTTACCTGTTCACCGAAGCCCCCATAATGTAATGACCGGACCAAGAGAGCCATCAGAGAGTGGAAGTGCCATGACATGTTAGACCATTGAAGATTGTTGTGACCATTGAGCATGAGTAAGAGAGTGTCAACAAAATGTAGTTGTTGATAGAAGGATGAAGTGACCGAAGGTCATGTGGATTGAATGTTGTTTTGATGAATGACATGTCAACAAAGATGTTGTAGAAATATGATGCCACAATTGATTATTATGAGTGTGGTCATGAATGAGTGTCATGATGGATGAAGGCCATGATGAGTGATGGTCATGATGGTCGAAGGTCATGATAGATGAATGTCATGATGAATGTTGGTCATGAATGATTTTCATGATGAATGAGTGCCATAATGGATGAAGGCCATGAAGGCCAATGTTGATATAGAGTGGTGTCAACAAAGTCGTGTCAAGGTAGATGGAAGATGTAAACAGGAAGGTCGAACACGTTGGTGATCAGGCAACGCGTCCAACAAGACCTGTTATTGACAGAGTCAACAAAAGGGAGTTGAAAAAGGAATGGATGTAGAGAGCAGACAATTGAAGTAGAGAGAAGTCTGAAGAGGATAGTTGGAAGAAGGAAGAAGTTTGAAATGGGGAGGGATCCCATTAATTTATACTCTGGAGAGGAGGGCCCCAGGATCACACATCCTAGGGCTAGGATCACAGATCACAGATCACGCATTTCGACGGCGAGACGAGAGATTGATCTGGTGTCGCGATCACAACACAGCCAATCCGCCATACTTACGAATGTTTGCTCGCTTCCACAACACTCACTTCGATTCAGCCAATGGAACTCCAAGATCAATCCTTCAAATGTTTAAGCGAAATCAAATCACGGAATTGATTCTATGCAACTGGGATCCTTGATCTCCATCAGAGCAGCAGCACTGGCACTAGACTGTATCACATGTTTACATCCCTGACTATCATGGATCTTGCACTTCTTGTATCAAGATTATCATCTATATTTTGTAATTACTGAATACTATTCCACATAAAAATTGATCACTATCAAGTTTATACCATGTAGAGTAGTACACGGGACGATCGAGCTAGGTAGTAGTAGTAGTAGTAAGAGTAGTAGTAGTAAGAGTAGTAGTAGTAAGAGTAGTAGTAGTAGTAGTAGTAGTATATGATCTTTCCCAGTCCACATAGTTTCCACCTGGGCAGTACATACTACTTTCTCCACCATACATTAATTAAAGAAACTAAACATGCTCCATATTGCAAAAAAACCACGAAATTCAGGATCTATTATGTACTCAAATGAATTGAAGATATCCCGCAGTCTTGGCCATATACGTGGTGATCGGCACAGGGGTAAACGGGTTGACGAATGCCTCGCCCCACCGGGATCTACGGGCTTAATAAAGGGAAAATAAGTGGCGGAATCCAGATGTCGGGAAGAAGATGTTGTTAATACCCGGTGGCACCTATTAATATGCAACCGTTCTCTAGTTTTATTTAGAGGACTTTTGTTTCAAGACCAGCCCAGACTAAAGTGCTTTAGTTCAAGTTTCTTCAACCTTAAACATATGTACCATAATACTGTACCTAATGTTATAATGCATCGATCCTTAATTATGCATAACAAAGATTCCAGACCTCATCCAGACCGGTAAAAAAAGAGTGACTAAGTCAATCACGTGCCATGAAAATGGATGTGCCCGGTTCCCCGCGACTCCAACTTGGAAATCCCCAGACTTGCTATAATGCAGGCCTTCTCCTAGTGTACAGCAGCAATGTTAGCTCCGAATTTTCACGTCAACGCCCCTGTCCCGCCAGATCCTGTAGAGAAGCCTTCTACATACTCCCCGGACGAGGTCCCGTCATGTGGCGGACACGGGACCCTCGAAATTCTAGAGGTGACTCGGTACCTTGAAGCCCACGGCATTGAATGTTGCATTGTTGGTGTTTCTGCACTGATGTTCTACGGTGCTGGAAGAGTCCGAGATGTATGGAATATCCCCCGTTTCACTCCTTTCGTCAAAATGTTCCTCGAAGAAAGCATCAAAGCCTAAACCGAGGATCAACTCTGCTCCAAATTTAGTTGGAAGTGGAGAAGTAGTTTTTGAAGAAGAAAAAAAATTTCCAAAAAAATTTGCAAAAAAAAGAAATGATCAAAAAAGTCGGAATCTCAAGTAGCTGACTAGATTTTTCTAGGAATGGGAACTTTGTGTTCCTAGTGAGAAAGTCGGCGAAGCTGTTTCCCTCCTTGCGTCAGATTCGATGGCCCCCAAAATCCACGCTGTACCTCCAATTCCTATACCACAACCTTCATCACTCAGTCATACCTATCATCGATTCAAAGGGGGGGGGGTCCATTTCTACTTTATTTTGGTGCCTGCATACGACGTCCATATTCGCAGCGGACCTTTTCGCATACAACGCAGTTCAAACGGTGTACCATATCCCACATTACCGGTCCTCATGCAAAGTTTCTTGGATATGAATGACGATGTATCGTTATGTGATTGTATTGATGGGTCAAATGTGTCAGAAGAGTGGGGGAATCAACATCTGAGATTAGACGGGACCAATGATTTAGAGTGGACGAGGAAGATGAACATAGCAGCTGCGGAAGCTGCAAGGGGGAAAGGATGGATGTTTGTTCATTACTTCCCCACATCAACGATAAGCCGACGAGAAAAGTGGGAATCACGGGTACGAAGTAAGAAGGGGAGAATGGGTTGGACTACACCCGAAGGTCTATTTGACACACGATTTCGACTGAAGGGGTCACCAGATCCGTGGACACAAAAATTCGTGTCAAGTTAGTCCTGGGAAATATTAAATAATGAAAATAATATAATCATCGTGTATAACAATGTGGTTTCATGAAGCATGGCGGGGCGTGTTTGGGGTATAAAAAGAAGCCGGAATAAAGAGATCAAGGAATTCAAGGAAGATCGAGCAATCGAGCAATCGAGTCGAAGAATCAAAGACCAAGAAGAACTCTCATGTTCTCTACTTGATCTGGGAAAGTCGCATATTTCGAGGCATATTGCATCCAGAAGTACTGCCGATGTTGGATATCAAAGCAGTCTCGGAATGTTGGTATTTGAGCCGCATATTGTGTGAGGAGGAATTCCAAGTCCATGAAATCTTTACTGTCTTGTTCTCCACGCCTGGAGAACGCATATAGTTTTGCGTATATCTGGAAGACCAAGCCTAGAACTAGGACAGGTGATCCCAATGGAGTTGGTCTTTGAGGATTTATAGGTTCGCGTGAAGATTGTAGATCCTCTGGTGTGCCCAGGTTTCCTACATAACAAGAATAAAGGGTCTTCATTAATCCGAGTCATTTTGAAGCGCAATGATTCGGAGAATCGGGAAAAAGAGCCAATAACAACAGGACTCCAGGGGGAGGGGGGTTCAAAAAAAGCAATATCACACTCACCACTAATAACAATATCCATACTGACCGCTAAATCAGGAACGTGGGGAAACTCCCCGTCGACACTGCGGCCGGTGTCAATGAATATTTGAACGGCGGTTCGGCCATGGATAGCCGGGAAATGAATACTGGCAGCGGTTAACAACAAAAGTCCCCGTAGTAGGAAAACAAAACGACACGATAAAAAAAAGGAATCTCGTCATGTAGGAACAATGCGAAAAAAGGTCAGTCAATACCGGGGTTGGACAGTCAAAATCTGTTTCAAATGGTCCATCGACGTGGCAACTGTGATGTCGATATCCTGGGTGCGGCGGCGACCACCCCGCAAATACACGGCCCATCCTCCGATAAAGGCGTAAGTGACATGATTTGATTCGAACAAGGCCGCGACGAATCTCGCGGCCAGGCCTAGATGCAAGAGATCGGCTGTGTTGGATGGATAGTAGAGCTCAGCGAAGCGATCCGTGTTATAAATCTCAGCCATCTTGGGCGAGCAGGTCAGGGGCTTTATGAGTAGGGCGGAAGAAGATCTGCTGGTACCCAAGCATCCGAGCTGCCATCGTTGTTCGCAAAAGCGAAGGGGGGAGGGGGGAAGGGGACGCGACCACGCTATTCTTCGGTGAAATTGGCCCCCGGTCAAATTCAAATCCCTGCTCGAGCGCAAGATACTAGTGCTAGTGTGAGTTAGTGTCTGTCATGACTTAAGTATTCACGAAGCGTGAGAGCCGCGAGTGTCAGCCCACACGTGACGTAAACTAATTACCCGGTGACGACTATTGGTTTCACTTATCACTTTTATTCTTTTGGTTACTTTTTTTTTAATACGAATGGAGTTTTATTTGACCAATGCAACGGAGTAACGGACTAGCTATGCGCGATACTAGCCTAGGGATAAGGCTGAGGTGGAGACACTGGTGCTGGTGGTGCTGTTCTCTACAGAAGATGCCAAGGGATTAATGACTCGTGTAGAGCATTTCAACCTTGACTGGCACACACTCACAAACGAACTGAATTACTCCATGGAGTTAACATTACCCATGGCGCTATTATTAGCCGCGTAAAGAGCAAACCAATTTCCGATTGACCCACCGAGGTCTGGGGACCAGAGGATATTCGGGCTCTACTACCGTTAGATGCCGATACCCATATCAAGACCTATATCGAAGCACTTCATCCTGATGCAGTCTCGAGTATGCCGATGATTATCAATATTGATATAAAAGCAACCATGATCAGTTAGAATCACTTAGGATCATGATCTAAAATAGCTACGATTGAACAGCGGGTGGAAGCCATAGAGGTTTATACAAGGCATGAATACAAGTACATCCATAGGAGTAAACCCTAGCCCTGCGTCTATTAGTAAAAAACAAAGATAACTATGTTAAAAGCATAATAATGTAATCAACATGACAGCCTTTTAATAATAAGCAGATAAGCAGAAATAAAGTGCACATCTACTGTAAACCTCGACCAATCGCACCCGGTGACGTTCCAGTTGCTGACGGAGGGCTCCACTCTCTACTTCTCCAACCTGCACCTTGTGTACACCTTCCACCTCTCCATAACCCAATAACCCCAACAATGACCGATCTCACATCAGACCTCAGCCAACTAGTGCTATCAAAACATGGCTCCTCAATTCCATCTCCAAAAGCCCAACGTCTACCCACCGAAACCCCCGACGAATTCCTAAAGGAGGCTTACCGAATCGTGAGTCTCAATCACTCAGTCCCAAAAACCAACCTAACAACCCTCCCAGAATACCCATATTACCTCTCTCCTCCAATATCTCCAATCAATCCGTCATGCCTATCTTACAACAACAACCCCCTCTCAACGTCGTAACCAACAACAATCACCAACAAAACCCCCACCTCAATCCCACCTCACAGATCCCGAACGCGACGCAATAGATAAATCAACAGCCCTCCTCCTCCGCGACCTAGCAGCCAGTATCTCAAATCTCTCATCCGCCGAATCCCTACGCCAAGAAACCGAAGCCTCAGTTCTCCGCAAACGATACGGCCACAGCGCCGCAGGCGCCCTTTTATTCCGCTGGGCGGGCGGCGCAAGCGTCGCGGACGAGGCGAACGACGCCGGGAAATCAAGCGAGCAGATTGAAGCCGAGGAACGGGCGAAGGGGATCCGGGGCGTGCGCGAAGGGATATTATGGTTTTTAAGACGAGGACTCGAGGGAGCGGCGAGTGTGCAACGTGGGATGGTTGAGAAGAGGATTGAGCGAGTGCGTGAAAAGGAGAAGAGTGTTTTGTATAAGAATGCTCGGATGGGGTCTTCCATGAAACCAACACCAACGACATCTGGAGTTGAAAGCTCGGAGAAATATGGAACGAATGGAGTGGGGATGACTTCTTCTTCGTTGTCTGCGCCTGATGCGGTGCATTTGAGTGAGGCCGATACGGCGCATATTGAGGCGCAACTTTCTCCGGAGCAGTTGCAGCTTTTTGCGGAGGAGAATGCTACTATGTTGAGACATTATGAGGATACTTTGGGCAAGGTTCAGTATGTATTCATTGTGCTTTTTTTTGGTGCTGAGCTGACTAGGTTTAGGAATGCGGAGAAGTCTCTTATTGAGATTTCGTCGTTGCAGAATACGCTTGTCTCGCATCTTGCGACGCAGGAGGAGTATATTTCTCAATTGGTTAGTGATGCGGATGCTACTACTACCAATGTTGGACGTGGAAATAAGGAGCTTAAGAGGGCCACTGAGCGGAGGAGTACTGCGCAGGCTGTTTTCTGGGGGACAGTCGGTTTGTGTACATGGTTGGTTGTATGGGATTTAGTATTTTAATCTGAGAGCACTAGATTAGGATTAAGGTATACAAAGAGTGATTTGAGATTGGTACAGCCGAGTATTTTTTTGAACCCTCATGCGATATGATCTAAGACAGTCTACTCTAGAAATAAAAGCATACTCAAAGCAATGTAGATGTGATATGGTATAAGTTTGAATGAAAGTGAAAATCAAAACGCCGTCCATATTGGTTCATACTATTCCCGAAAGCATACATTCGCCTTCACCTAAGAGGTCTCACGCACAACACTATCGACTGCCTCAGCGAAGTAGTCGATGTTATTTGTGTTAAGACCAGCCATGGAAATACGGCCGTTCTTAGTCTAAGCAGAAAGCAAGTTAGCAAATGACCATCCAGGAAATAAAAAGTAAGAGCAGGGAGAGGGTAAGAAACATACCATGTAAACATGCCACTTATCACGCAAGACCTTCACTTGCGTTTCAGTCAATCCCGTAAAACTGAACATTCCAATTTGCGAGGTAATATGATCCCACGAGCCAGGTGTACCCCGGCTCTCCAAGCGCTCCCTAAGACCAGACCGCATCTCGAGGATCCGTCCACTCATAGTACGGAGATCCTCCTCCCACTGCGCAAACAAGACAGGATCATTCAAGATGCGACTGGCAATACGCGCACCATAGGCAGGGGGGGTTTGAGATCTCCGACCGTTGCAGGATAGCCAATTGGCTCGCAATATGCTTGTTAGCAACGGCAGCCTCAGCACCAGGTGCAGAGACGAAGTGAAACGCGCCAGTACGCTCACCATACAATCCGAAGTTCTTCGCAAAGGATTGCGCAACACAAAGCTCAAAGCCCTGCTCGATAAAGTACCGGATTGCCCACGCGTCTCGGACTAGATCTCCTGACGCGAAGCCCTGGTATGCTGTATCGAAGAAGGGGAAGTGTGAGCGCTCCCGCATAACGGTCGCGATCTCTCGCCACTGCTCCTGTGTGGGGTCTACACCGGTGGGGTTGTGAGCGCAGGCATGCAGTAAGATGACAGAGCCGGATGGCGCTGCCCGCAGCGCTTGGAGCATGCCATCGAAGTCGAGGCCCTTGGTCTTAGAGGAGAAGTAGGGGTAGGAGGCGATTTTTAGGCCGACGTTTGTGAAGATCTGGTTGTGGTTGGCCCATGTTGGGTTGGAGAGGTAGAGTGTTGGCTTTTGGGGGTGGAATTTGGAGAGGAAAAGACCGCCTAGGTGGCAGGCGCCGGTTCCCGAGATGGTTTGGAGGGTGCAGATCTGAATATGGTAGGTATATGATTAGACTCTTGGCTGTTTTTATCTTGATGTGAGGGGGTTATCGGGTCGACATACCCGTTTATCTTGGATGGCGGGGCTGTCAGCGCCAACAATGAGCTTTTGAGCGGCTGCTGTGAGGTCGGGTAGACCTCCAATGGAGAGATATTCGTGGTTAAGATTGGGGTCATTGTGAATGGCGTCATCGGCCTGGAAGGTGAAATCATTAGTTATGAGATTGGTCACTGGTAGAATAATGACGAAGATGGAAAATGGATAGCTTCGTATCAAGAAAAAAAAAACTGATAAGGAGCTTACCTTCTTAACAACAGGTAAAACCCATGGCTTTGCGTTATTATCACGGTAAGCACCAATTCCCAGATCAACCTTTTTATCAGAAGGATCCTCTCGATAGGCCTTCATTAGACCAAAGAGAGGATCTTCTGGAGCCGCAGCCACAGTTGACGCGGTAAAGACGGAGGGATTAGAGAAACCCATGATGTGTGAAGAGATGGAGGAAAGACGATGGCGCGCAATGGAAGAAGGGGAAACAGGGGGGGGTTTTGATATGAACGGGATGCCATCTTTGGAACCGCGACAACGTTTTCCCCGGAATTCTGACCGAGATCTGTAACCTTGCAACCTTGCTGCTTGCGTTCACCGGATGAGGAGGAATGAGGGGGTGGGACCACTACAGATGTATAAGAGAAATATAATAAGGATCATCAGACTCTTCTATTTAATACTTTAGTAAATGGCTATTAATAAATAGAAAAAAAAAACTTGAAGCTGTCGCCGAGGTATAGAAGACCGAGGAAGTTCCGTATCTTCTTCGTATCTCATGACGCAGAGTGGAGTTCACATGTTAGTATATGGCATGTGCCAGTATTGAATTATTTATTATATGTACTATGATTAGTAGTACTAAGAGTACTGGTTATTTGTATAGATATTATATAGTAGTTATTTCAATCCAGATGTCTATTCAGAACACCCCAGGCAAATATCATAATGAACTTGAAGTTGCGCATTAAAATCACGCATGACAAGCTCCCTTTTTACCCGATGGTCAGATCATTTCTTGTCTCCGACAGGCTCCTCCCGCCGCCGCAACAAACCGTGTGTCATCCAACGCCGAAAAAAAAAGACGCAGTGGAGCCTTCTGGAACGCGAATTTCTTTGATAAGACTCTTCCTTTGGGCACAGTTTGGGCAGTGCTGGGTCAATGTAGAGGGAGACGTTTCATGATTACCCCTTACACCTAGTTTAAAATTGACCTATCTAGTATGAATATCCCGGAGATCAACTTGCATATGCAGGCTAAATTCCCCCTTGAAGAGTTCGTGACATTTAATGCCTCAGGATCTTCAACAGTATCTACCTAGTTCGCTTAAATGAAAACTTGAAAGATAAGCTGAATCATTTGAACTTCTAGTGGTTGAAACAATCCATATAAATGTAAACATTTGAAATCTCACGCGACCAGTAGAAAGTCTTGTAAACCTAAGCAGTGATTCTAAACATCTCCAAAATATTCTAGTTGATAGTTCGTGAATTCTTATGGCAAGGAAATAATAATATTTTTTTTTTAAAAAAAAAACAACAACCACAATATTCCGTCGGGGTATATAAAAACGAAACTGGACTAATATTACCCTCTCGTGAGGAGAAGAAATCTCCAATACCCCGTATAATGTCATGTCTCGGGACTCCGCACCTGGACAGCCGCAACCTTGGGAATCCGCAGGACATCCGGCTCTGTATAGAAATCGGACTTCTTCCGACTTGAAATGTCTGTTCCCCACGGGAGGAGTGGGATTTTCATTGTCAATGATTGACTGCGAAATTGGAGTTGATCTTAATGACATCAGGGATTTCAAGGTCTTGGCTTGCCACCAACAGGTTTCATAGCTTACAAACATTTAAAGACTCTATGATTTAATCAATTCTAACCGTATTCTAGATCTATGCTGTATTTACTAATGGCTTTGTTTATTTTTTTGGTTCATTATTTGACCCATGAAAATGCACTCTGGTGCTTCCAGGGCTGAATTACCCCATGTGTGCCGGATTCTCCATCCCCACCTAAGCGGAGATCTTCTCACGGGGATTTGCGGGTACACTTGCCCTAGACATCTGGAGAAGAGGCTAGAATTGTCTCTTTTCGGTAATTAGTCCCGTCAGGGCAGTTCGATCCCTTCAAGTTCAAGTTGATGTGTAGCACTATATAAGAGAACCAAATATTGACTACTAGCAAACTCAGTGTATATGTACTGCTCTGTATTGATTGTCCTAAGTCCCAATAGGATCTACATCTCCTATGGCTTAAATGTACACGAGATATACACGAGATATACACAAAATGCAAAAATCCAAAGAAATATACAAACAATCCTCTTTTCCTCAATCTCCAAACGCCATGTGTGCCCGAAAAAAAATCGCATTCATAAATCCATCAAACCATCTTGAAACGTTAACGCCAATGCCAAATCAGCTCAGCTGGAAGTCGTGCAGAGTAGAAATCAAAAATATCCATGATAATTGCAGAAAAGGAGTTGAAGATGAAGGAGTCGTCGTCTCGTCAGAGTAAAGGGAGGGTGTCATTTCAAGTTCAAGGGTGGGAATTGGTTGGCAATTCAGTCACATCCGTAGTACTGTCGGTGATATGCGCAGGCGCAGGGATAGTTGGGGTTGTAGCGACAACGCTAGGTGTGCTCATGCCACTTTCACCAGGACTAGCGGTCTCAATACCGTGGCGACGAGTGCGAATGCGGAATCGCTCGCGCAATCTCATGCTGAGACGATTTCGATTCGGGGTGGATGCCACGTTGTTCGCGACATCGTCTTGATTGGCTTCCCGGACGTGCCGGAGGGCTGCAAGTCGCTCCTCAACGGTGGCATTGCGCATTCGCCGGGCATTGAGGTAGTTGGTTAAACGGTGGTGAGAGTGACGGTGTGGTGTAGCATCCACGGTTGGAGTGGTGGCTTCTTCGGCCGCATTTTCCTCGTTATGCTCAGCATTGTCGCCCTCATGTTCAGCGTTATCCTCTTCCTTGGGTGGATTGAGGTCGATACGACTGATAGAAAGGATTAGCGGGTGAATAGAAAATATATATAATGTAATAGCGAACATACCAAAGAGGACAGGTGCCCGAAACATTCACCAGCCAGGGATCGATACACTCTGGATGGAATTGATGGGCGCATGGCAGGACACGCAGATCTTGACCCTTAATAAAGTCATCCGTGCAGATAGGACACGAGAAGTTACCCGCTTCTGGGGTAGGATCGGCCTTTGGACCGGGCGCTGCAGTAATAGGCTGCTCAGCGCCATCAGTCATGGAGAGTTGCTCAGTTTCACGAGTGGTGTCGCCGACATCGGCCATCTCCTCGGAACGCGACGGAGAGTGTTCACGACCATCTTGCTCCGCATTGGCCAATTCCACATCTCTTTTCGCGGCCTCAACGTCTCCCGGCTGATCGCCAAACTTGACAATGGGGATTCCATCCAGCATTGCCCGGGCTATACCTCTCGCCCTACTTTGCCTGACACGTCCGGCTACCCGACGAGGACCATATCGCTCAGGATGGCGATGGGCACGCACAGCACCTGTTATGATAATACCTAGGAATAGAGCAGTGATTATACCTGTAATACTGTACAGAATAATCATAGCTACGGAGTGAAGAGTAATAAGTATGTATATGGCAAAAGGGATATAGAATTCTTGGACGAACCAGTATTGGGACTATCCCCATTAGAGTTGGAGTTGTTGGTATCAGTGGTATCGACCCCTGTTTGAATGGTCGACATACCGCTGATAGTCGCTGAGGTGGTATTGGAATCAAAGGTACTCTGTAGTGAAGTTGAAGCTTGGTGATTGATGACGGTGAAGATATTGCGATACGACTCAGCCGCGTCATCCGACGAGAAGTTACAATGAGTAGAGGATTCACTATATAGGATAATTGCCCCTGGTGGATTGGTGGTTGAGTCAACAGTATTGATAGTGCTCGCCGCCTTCAAGGGTCCGGGGTAATCGGCTGAATCACAAGGAATGCAGGCGATTGAAGAGGAATTCAGCCCAACCGAATCTTCCGCAACGACTTTGGTCAAGTTGCCTGATACGTGGAAAGCCTAGATGCCACGCGGTCAGCCCCGTGGCGATGAAACAGAGGGGGAGGAATTGAGGAATTTGGGGGCGAGGTATTTCAGCTGTTCATTTACCTTCTTCTCGGTCTCGTTCAACTGGAGAAGCGACTTGGTCAACGGGATAAGGGTTTGACCGTTCAGGGAACCAAAGGCGACGAGACGAAAATGGTCGTTGGAATACGCGGATAGATCCAGGGAATTGTTAGAGGGCTGAACAGTCACGGTCGCCAGTACCGAAACGAAGAAGAGGTAGAAGATAAAGGGCCCCATTGCCGCCCTAATGTACGGGACTCAGCGGATACGTGTGGGGGTTTGACGCAGGCAGCATTAGTCAGGGCCACCAACAGAAAAAAAAGTGGGAGGGGGAAAAACTGCGAAACAGATGGGAGTGGAGTTGCATAAGAAGCGGAAAAACAGGAAATGTAAAAAGAGGGGAGAGCTAAGGCCGATCGTAGTATGGATCCTCCCCGTGGAGAAAGCAGATCCAACCGATCATGACGATAAACGGGCGTTCGAAGTTCGGGGGATCCATGGCGCAGGGACCTGGGTTTTCGGGGATGAATCAGCTATGTACTCCGGGATTGGGAGAATAATGTGAGCTGATATCATCCATGGGTCCAGGGTCAGTTGATCTTCGTATTCAAATGTTCCTATTGCATAAAGTAGAAATTGAAGTTCATGTGGATTCAGTTGATCGAGGCTGTTATCTAGGATCCACACGGAAGTACTACTATCACCTACTGTACTATGTATAGTTATCTTTTGAATACGTGTACAATTAAATTAGTTATAGGTAAATGGGAAATTAGAATGATGAAAAGATATTTAATATTCAATGTGAGATCAATATTTAGTAAAGTTTCATAATAAATGAAGTTCATTGCATATGTATACAAGGGCACATGTGCGGTGATCACCCCACGGGGAAACCAGTTGATAGCTACCCAGGTGGTATGTACTTAGTGTACTTACCATAGTGTACTTATGCTTGTCGCTCTGGCCTCTCCGAGGTCCGGAGTCTCTCTCTCTCTCTCTCTCTCTCTCTGTTCTTACTGTATCCGGGGATCCCGGAATGTATTCAGGGCTGTGCAATTACCATATTCTACCATTTCCCACAATTGTCATATTTTCTTTTTATGCTATTCATGTCATGTCACATTTATTTATCATTTATCCATTTGACATGTACTTTTCACCCGAGAATTTATTGTTTTTTTTTTATTAAGCGCCCGTATCTCGTACTCGGTATTGGGGAGAAATTAAGTCCGAGTCCACGATGTACACACTTAACTCGTGGACTACCCTGTCTATTTAACCAATTATATTCTATAATATTCTATACTAAATACTATAAAATAGGGAGTGCCTCCTCAGATCTTGCACTCAGATCATTTTGAACTGTTTGCCCCGCCAAGTCTCGCTTTTCTTTCCCTTTTCTCTCAATACCAGTGCTGATCCCTTCTCCTCTTCCCGGGCACAATGACCCAGATCTACACTCACGGTTCAAAGCGCAATAATCATGAGCCAAAGAAAAAGCAAATTTTTATCAGACCTATATACTCTACATATCTGTCAGAGAGAGACAAGAGATGAGCGACAAAAAAAAGAAAAGAAAAACATTGCGAACTGACCAAACCTTAAAGTTCTCCTATATGGAAGACATACATAAGTCTTAAAGGATCTAGAATACTACACCGAGTATCTCATGACTATCATTTCTCATATGATTATATGATAATCAAAGGTGTACTTTTTTTTTCTTTCCCTCTAAATCATCTTAACATGACCGGGTATATCTTCCAATAAGTATCTCAGCCCCGGATGTTCGGATCTGATTTGCGGAGAACCAGAAGTGGAGAGAAGGTCGAGGCTCTCATCGCCCAAGCAGAACAGTGAGGAAGAAATGAGAAAAACGAATAATAATAGGGGGTAAAATAAGAAAAAATAAGAACAAAAGGACGATGAAAACAAAAGTTCTACTTGAAAAAATAATAATAAAAGAATAATGGAAAAAATGTTGAAAAAATTAAAATGAAGGTTAACAAGGTTGTTAGTCTCTCTCTCTCTTTTTCAAATGTTCCTCCCCCCTCTTCTGCAAAGTCTCCCCTTAGCTTTTGCCCAAGGGAAAATTCGCGGCTGCACCCGCCCCGGCCTTTTTCAATCCTTTCTTCCTTTTCTCCCCTCCTCGATTGACAGATGATCCACTGATGATAGCTTGATAACAAGTATCTCCCTTCGATCCGGGCTGCGGGTGTGATGCGTCGCACCATGCCTGCTCAGCACGATACCCCGGCCTGGGAATCTCGCTTCGACCGAAAACCAGTCTCATCGTACGTTAAACCTCGAGTGAACTTGAAAAAAAAGAGACAAAAAAAAACTTGGTCGGCGTTTTTAATCTCATCATTTCCTCTTATTTCTAGGAATCGTCTCATCGCACACCTCGATATTGAATATAGTGAATTGGCGCACTCATGGAAAACTTTTATTCGTCATGTCCCGGCTGAGGATCGGGTGGCATGGGAGGAACGGCCACAGACTGCCGCCGATGTCGAGGAACTCGTGCGCAACCTACAAACCTTTTGGATGTCTCGACCTCGACAACGGGTCAGCAGCTCCTGTGAACGATTCCTCCCTACCATCGACACTCATGCTAAACTCCTCGCTGTCCTTCCCGATGGTTCTTCCTATTATGCCCCGCTCCTATATGGTGTGCTGCAATCTGTGATCAAGGTGGGTGACCACAAACCCCCCCCCCCCTTTTAATCCGAATTTTACCTTGAAAAAAAGGACTACGTGAAAGAGAAATGGATGAAAAAATGCAGATGGAGATGAGAGAATGTTTTCCCACTAAGCGACCTCTTCCGACTTCAGGCATCCTCGAATTATCCCCGAGTCCTCGAGGGACTCCTCTCCGCCTTGATCAATATTAGCAGTGCCATCGAAATTCCTCTCGAACTCAATGCATCCCATAGAGAACCCGTCGCTAAAATCTACGCCTTAATTCTTTTATTTTTGAATGAATTTATGGATTGGTATGTGAGGAGGTCTACTTGCCACCTGCTGAGAAGCCATAGCCAAGATGCCTACGCCGATTTTCACCCCCTGGTCACCTGTATTCAACGCCAGGCACAAGTGTTGTCCGTCACCCCGGGTTCCATGGATATTGATGATGGATGCGATTACGCCTACACACCCCGCGCTCTTTGGGAAGAATCTCAACTGAGCCAAGTTGGACGGGAAGGCGAACCTCGTCGCCATGCAGCACAAAATACCATGACCCGACGCTTAATTTGGGATATTCAACAAGATGCCGAAAAACGAGATCGTCTACGAGAAACCCGAGATCAGTTGATACGACAAATGCTTCAGAATACGACCGAGCAGCTCCGCCCCGTGCAAGAACAGAGCAATAGTATCGTTTGCTTGACAACTGCCGCCCCAGACCTTGGTAGGAACAGACATGTCACCCTGACCGCGTGTCCTGCATCTTTTCACTAACTCCAACGCCAGTAACGCCCCATTTTGAATGGTCGCGTGGGTCCAAGCGCCGACTGGCCCGTCTCGAACTCCAGAGCGAATCCAAGCATCTTCAGCCCTTTTTCGATTGTGATGACCAAATTGCCAACCTCGACCCCGATGCCAAGGTTGTGACGGAAGGTAGTGTGATTGTGTCCCTGCAGAAATGGATCACTAGTCCCCGCTCTCAGGCCCTCGCCGTCGGGGGTCCCCAGTCAACAGAGGACCTCCTGAGTCCAGTCTCCCAGATTTCCGCATCGTATGCCTTGTTTGCCCGTGACGCTCAACTCCCAACCCTCTCCCACTTCTGCAAACTTCCGACAAAAGAGGTTGCTGGACAGACTCGTTACCAGCAGGGGCTGATCGCCCTGACCTACAGTCTGATTCGACAGATGATTGATACTTTACCAACAGTAGTGGACAGTGACGCCTTACTAGATCTGACTGCTGAGAGGTTCCGTCCTATTGATGGTACTCTCTCTAGTTGGGTGGCAGCATTATCACTGGTGGATACTTTGCTCCATTTCGCACCACCTTTATTAGTCTGTATCATTGACGGCATTGACATCATTCATGATGAATCAACAGATGTTGCTCTCCGAGAATTGCTTCGTGTGCTTCTCACCCACACTCGTCATCAACCACCAAGCGGAGATAGCCCTGGGCCGACATTCCTCTTCAAGGTGCTCTTCACTGTCGCTGGACGTCCCAGTGCATTGGTTGAAACGATGTCCGAAAATGAACTTGTTCTGAGTGACCCAACTCTGGCTGATGGGCCCAGTACATCCGATACCGTCCTCACCTCTGACCTTGGTGCAGTCATGATGAATGCATAAACCGAGCAACATCTGACGGTCTCTGCTTACGAATCTCCTTGACCTCTTTTACCCCCCTTCTTATTTTGGTTTTCTTTCTTATATTTTGTCCTTCTTGCCTACCCCGTGGAGATTTAAAAAAACACGCCTTGGATTCATAGATTTGCACAACCGGGGGCTGATTTAGGCCTGAGGGTCATAATGATTGCATGAGGCATGAAGCAACGGTGATGACTTCGGCAATATTTTGCTCTGGACCTTTTTCTATCTTTTCCCATCTTTTCCTATCTTTTCCTATCTTTTCTCATCTTTTCTCATCTTTTCTCATCTTTTCTCATCTTTTCTCATCTTTTCTCATCTTTTCCCATCTTCCCCCCGCCCCCCGATTTTTCTTCTTCTTATTTTGGCTTTGGTTTTGATTTTCTTTTCCCCTTGCTAATTCTCATTATCTTGCATGGGAATATTGTGTTTCTGGTGATACCTTGTGGTCTGATTGTTTATCCTGTTTCTCATCAACTCCTGTCTATTTGGCGTCTGGTTATAACTCGGCACTGGATATGGGGACCACCCTTTTGGCCCTTCTGCGCATCTTGCTTTCACCCGTGGTAGACTCTGTACTTTACTGCTTGATGGCTGTGATACCCATGTCTAGAAACTACATTGCTTTGTTTTGATCGGAAACCATAATCCGAAGCCTTCCCAATATTTGCAAGTGGGCGTCTGCTCGATGTCAAACTGCGGGTCTTTAAGTGGACCATTGTGGATGAAATGCGGGGAACGCCATGGAGATTGAAATCCGCCCATCCAATACTTCAACCCCCAGCCCCTCCAAGTAGTGGGGGACCAGAGAGAAAACACCTTGAACCAAAAAAATTATAGTGCTCAATAATGGGCAGTCATCAAATGAACGGCCATCCGGCCATCCCATCGCGACACTTTCAACAGGCCTCGCTGCAACTGGATGATTTCAAGCAGATCTGTTCACGCACAGTCGAGGCCTCCACCTATCCACTAGCCTGCACGGTGCAGCATAAGATCCCTATCTATGACCTCGAAGCCATTGACGGTCAAACCCTAACTGCCGAGACTATCTCGCAGCTGCAGGATGAATGGCACCATATCTTACACAGCGGTCCAGGCGTCTTCGTCTTGCGGGGCATGTATACGCCCACCCGCTACAGCCACGTCTTATCCGCCACAGACTCAGCCTTCGATCGCATAATTGCGAAAGAGCGAGCATCCAATCCCAAAAAGGGTGACCATTTCGCCGCGAGTGGCAGTAACGACCGAATCTGGAACTCGTTCAACAAACATGGCGCTGAGGATCCAGCCTCTTTTCTGGAGTATTACTCCAATCCTTGGCTCGCCACCGTCTGCAGCGCCTGGCTGGGCCCAGGCTACCGAGTTACCGCACAGGTAAATGCCGTGCACCCCGGCGGTGCAGCCCAAGAAGCGCACCGAGACTTCCATTTAGGCTTCCAGGAAGCGGACGCCTGCATTCGTTTCCCCGCCCCCACCCAGCTAGCCACCCAATTCCTTACCCTGCAAGGAGCCGTCGCGCACACCGACATGCCCGTGGAAAGTGGTCCAACCCGCTTCCTCCCTTTCTCTCAAACCTACGCTCCAGGTTATCTAGCCTGGCGCCAACCAGAATTCCGTGCCTTCTTCCAAGAGAACTATTTTTCCCTTCCTCTCTCCCTTGGAGATGGCGTTTTCTTTAACCCAGCATTATTCCATGCTGCTGGGGCAAATATTATGGATCCCGAGAATGGTGGCTTCAGACGCGTGGCGAATCTCTTACAGATAAGTAGTCCATTCGGGAAACCGATGGAAACCGTTAACTCCTTGCCGCTTATCAGGGATACATGGGATCTACTATGTGAGAGGTACCGCAAGGCTGGGAACAGTGTTGCAGATGCAGAACTTGACCCGCAGAGATCTTCCCTTGCTGAGCGTGAGATTAGGGCTTTTGTGCAGGCTGTTGCGGAGGGGTATCCTTTCCCGACTAATTTGGATCGGAGGCCACCGGCTCCGAGTGGCATGGCACCGGATTCGGAGCAGGATATCTTGTTCAGAGGTTTGAAGATGGGCTGGAGTCAGGAGGAGCTTGTTGAGGTGTTGGAGCAGATGCGGAGGGATGAACAGGCATAATAAAGACTGGCACTATCAGTTCTGCGAAACTGGACATTTGGATCTTATTTCAATCTGAGCATTTGAAGCTGTTAATCTTGGTGTTCATATTGACATTTGGCATTATATACGAGTCTGAATTTTACTATGCATCATGGCTTTTGATATTCAACTTCAAGTATCCTGCTCTATGTACTAGTAACATCCGAACTATAACATGAATATTGGAAGCCATGGCAATTGATTTGATCAGAACCATAGCATCATTATTGGACCTAAACATCAATTATGATTAAATTCTGTTTTGTCTTGGAGAATGGGAGTTTTGAACTTGAATGATACATTCAACTTGAAGTGCTTAAGTGCTAGTAGTGTCTACGACTATTAATATGGCCCGGGGTATACCGGCGGCGGGCATAATGTATGTATCTTTGTATTTTAACTAGTACTAGGGTGTATATCAACACTGGCATCGCACAATCAAGTGTCTAGTACTATAATATAGATATTTGGCAGTATAACGTCAATTAAATCCTTTCTATCTCTCTCTTATACCTATTTAATCTTGAAGTTCTATAAATATGGTTGATATCCAGGATGTACAAGAGCTCAGACGTGCTTGATATCGTGCAAGATTGTGAAGCTACTGCACTGAAATTCACAATAGAAGCATCATTCAACCTTCCTTTATGCATATCACTATTGATATACACTCCCTGAGTATAGCCGCTTCCTTAGCTGGCGATGAGCGGAAAGAGCCTCAGTTTCACATTACTTGTAGCTCATAAACATTGAGGGCTACCCCTTATTGATAGTAGTATCTACAGTCGCCTAATCGATAGCTTTGTCTAATCTTGTTTGATCTCGAGGGACTGATCACGTTACCCAAAGCAGTGAATCAGTCGCGTTATTTGCGATCTCTTCGCGATGAGCTAGGCGACAGCCCACACAAGATTTTGTCAGATCACTTGAATCCTAGAACCTCCCTCTCATCTACACCCTCGAACCTCTTTTCTGTCAGAGTAGTTCAAAATGAGTTCCGAGAGTGACTCAGAGTATGACTCCGAGTAAGTATATTGTTTACTCCGATAATCCAACCATCTGAACTAATGATCTATATCAGCGCGACCGTCATCCCTGAGGAGGCGCCTGGAAACTGGATTCTTCGGAATCTACAGACAGTGACGGTTCGACGACTGGCCCAATTCAACGATACGACCGTCCCAGAGGGAAGCACCGCTGAATCTCTTACGGCCCGTCGCATGGAGATCGCAAGACAGTTCATCCATCGTATTGGGGAGCGGGCTAATATCCAGCCTCCCTTCTACGCCAGCTATGGATGCAACATTGTGATCGGAGACGATGTCAACATCAGCAGCGAGTAAGTCCACCAATCCATCTACCCCCCCTACTAGTAGACCTTAGGTTGAACTTCAAGTTTATCATGTTTAAGTTGAAGTTCATGGCTAATAGTATGTACTAGTGTCTCCATCTTTGACAGCGCCTTCATCATAATCAGCCACCGTGTGATTATCGGAGCCGGCGTATCCATCTGCCCTGGCATAATTGCACGCAACACTGGCGGCTCCTCGACGCGTTCAATCAACTTCCAGAACCTCGGCACTGATCCGAGCACCGGCATCCCCTACGGAAATTCAATCATCATTGAGGAAGATTGCCGGATTGAGCCCCGAGTTACAATCATGGATGGGGTTCGAATCAGAAGAGGTACTACTATTGTTGCTGGCTCGGTGGTTACTAGCGACATTGAGGCCAATTGTCTGGCAGGTGGTAATCCAGCCCAAGTTATTTGCCGCTTCTAAATTGCCTGAATCATGATGCTCGTTTAATGTTATCATGATGGTGTTATGGAGTACTGGGTGTTGGTTTTTTTCTTTTGTCTTTTTTTTTCTGTGCCGTTGGAGGTATCACGGCCTTACCACTGTTATCAGCTTGGATAGCTCAGTGAAGAAATTCCATTGTTGGATTTTTAAGATTAACATTTGAACCATCTTACCTAGGTAAAACTACTAGTACTATGTAGTATATAGAGAGTACATGTACCCGTGGACCTACCTATGCATGTACCTAAGTAGTGATACCTGAAGTGTATTCCTCTTTCAAAATTTTATGCATAACTGCCAGTGCACATGTGGTATGTGCACATGGATTGATGTGTTAATCCTTACCAGTGTGTAGTGATCAATTGATGTTCAACTTGAAGTTCTTTGTTACTACTACGCTATCCCAACCCTTACCTACCAGTGGTAGTATTCACCTTCAGTTGCAGTTGATAAAAATAAATACTAGTAGTATACATATATAATCAGATAAATCAGGAGTTAATCCGATAAGCTTACTAAATTAGGTAGGATTATATATTAAATGGCTGAGTCTAAGTTTTAGTGTTGATAGTGTAACGCGGTAAGTTTTTATGTATGTATATACCCTAACCTCTAGCATACATTAAGTGGAGTCAACTAGAGTAGTTCTTCATCCAATAATAATAGAAAGAAAAAGACCCTTGAACCCTTTTGCTCACGTAAGGATTCGGAGATTAATCATCATGATTCGTTAGATGGAACGCGCAGTGGAACCAGAGTGGACCTACATTGAAACCCTGGTGTGGCAACTTCAGGGGAAATGAAGGAGCATATGGAGTTCTGAGTAGACGGAATACACGGAGTACGCACAGTTCAAATTTTGTATCTGTATGCAATATGAAAAGATTGATTAGTTGCAGATGAGTAGTGTAGACCAGTTGACAGTTGACGTATAAGGAATGCTGTGCCTTTTGTAGATCACCATGGCGGCGAGGAATGGCTGTCTCACATTTTTTGTGGCTTCTCAACAATGGTAACAATGGTGAGACATGATCAGTGTTTTCCCTCGACCCATCCTGACATTCTCTTTACGCGTTTTCAACACGTCTTCCATGGTATCCAACTTTAGAGCTACCAATTGACCCGCATAAGACACAGCCATCTTCCTTCTTACCATCTATCATAAGATTCAACCTCTCACAAACCTCGGTCGTGCCGATCGCATCTCCACAACAAACCACAAATAGTCCAACAGGTATTGTGTCAAGCTGATCTCCACACAAGACCACCCCGACTGGACCGGACCATAGAACCTAGCGAGACAAAGCCAGCTCGGGACCCTTAATTTCTTGGGTCCATGCAGATTGTGAGGGGGCACCGAATCCAAGACAAGCAAAACACCAAGAGCCTATGGTTTTTTCTCCCTAGTTCTCCACTCAATCCCGTCATCGAACCAACCAGCTAGACTGATCGTCTGCGCCAGGACGGAGTACACTTTATCTCATTTAAAGGGCCGGGTTTCTTCCCTCCCTTCTTTCCCGTCCCCGCGATGAGATCTAAGCTGGGCAGAACACCCAAGCGTTCTGCTTTTCATCGTTTTGAGCAAATCCCTGATCAACCATACGACGGGATGCATAATCCGAACGATATCGCTATTGAGATCCCCCTAGCTGATAACCCGTCCCATAGTGGCTCGGGGAAATGGGGCTCTGGATCAACACAGGGTGGCATGGAGCCTATGGATGCTGAGAAAGGTGGGGTTTTTGCACCTGCGCGTCATCGTGGTCGTCGCGTTGATTCTGATATGCATGAGGCGAGAGGGAAAGCTGCTGAGGCTCCGGATGATGGATCAGTTAATTCTGTGGGTCGGATCTATCAGGCTATCTACAATTTCTCCATTGTTACTCGTTACATGATCTATGTGATCCCCATTGGAGCTTTGATTGCGATCCCCATTATTGTGGGTGCTACTGTCTCTCCAAATGCCAAAATCGGCGGTGTTCATATCTACTGGTTCTTCACCTGGATTGAAGTTGTCTGGGTTAGCTTGTGGGTGTGCAAGATTTTGGCAAAGTTTATCCCGATGGTATTCATGTTCCTGTGTGGAATTGTGAGCTCTGGTACTCGGAAGTATGCTTTAATTCTCTCGGCTTTGGAGTTCCCTATTACGCTTGTCTTGTGGTGTATCGTCTCGTTGGTCACCTTCCTTCCGGTTTGTCTTCTCCCGTGGTATTCGGCAATTATGTGTCTTGTACTAATTTAACGACCTGCAGGTCATGACTATGAATCCTGGCACGAACGATACAAGTGTTCAATCTTGGGAGAAGAGCGTCAAAAATATCTTATTCGGTCTACTTCTGTGCAGTCTTATTTTCCTGACTGAGAAGGCAATTATCCAGTTGATCTCAATTAGCTATCATCGCAAGCAATTCGATACTCGAATTAAGGAATCTAAGCACAACGTCTATCTTGTTGGTCTGCTCTTCGAGGCTTCTCGGAACATGTTCCCCATGTACTGCCCGGAATTCAGCGACGAGGATATTACCATCATGGACCCACTCCTTGGTCAAGCTACGAAGAAAAACACCAAGCGCAAGTCGATCATGCCAATGCGCATGGTCAAGGAAGTTGGTCGTACTGCTGGTCGTCTTGGTGACAAATTCCAGGCAGCAGTTGGTAATGTTGCAAGTGAACTTACTGGAAAGAGGGTCTTTGATAACAGTACTACTCACTCGGTAGTCATCTCAGCTCTGGAACGCAAGCGCTGTGCTGCGGCTTTGGGCCGTCGTATTTGGATGTCATTCGTCGTGGAAGGACGTGAATCTTTATACATCGATGACCTTGTTGAGGTTCTAGGGCCTAACCACGAAGCTGAAGCTGATGAGGCTTTTGCCATGTTGGATAAAGATGGCAACGGAGATATCAGCTTGGATGAAATGATTCTGGTTATTACCGAATTGGGCCGTCAGCGGAAGGCCCTCAATCACAGTATGCACGATGTTGACCAGGCTATTGGTGTTTTGGACAGCCTGCTGTTCTGTGTTGCATTCATCATTGGCATTCTGGTATTCATCTCTTTCGTTACCACTGGCTTTGGTACAGTCATTGCAGCTGGAGCTACCTCCCTGCTCTCCTTGAGTTTCGTTTTCTCTACTACTTGTCAGGAAGTGCTAGGCTCTTGTATTTTCTTGTTCGTGAAGCACCCCTTCGATATTGGGGACCGTGTCGACGTCAGCGACAAGGACTACATCGTTGAACGTATCTCTCTGCTATTCACTGTATTCCGCTCTGTTCAAGATCACCGCTTGACCCAGGTCCCCAACAACATCCTGAACAGTCTATGGGTTGACAATCTGACTCGTGCCAATGCCATGCATGAGCGTCTGACTGTTCCAGTTGCCTTCGATACCACATTTGCCGAGATTGAAGCTCTGCGTGACGAGATGGAGATTTTCGTGCGTGACAAGGATAATTCTCGTGACTTCCAGCCTGACTTCAACATTGAAGTCCTTGGTGTTGGCGATCTTGATAAGCTCCAGCTGCAAGTGGATATCCGCCACAAGTCTAACTGGGCTAACGAGACTGTTCGTGCCTCTCGCCGTTCTAAATTCATGTGCGCCCTTGTTCTTGCCATCCGCAAGCTGAAGATTCGTGCACCAGGTGCTGTTGCTCCGGAGGAAGAATCCAAGGATGATAGTGACAGTGATAGTGGTGACAAGGACGGTGACAGCAAGATTCCCACTCAGACTGCTGCTGCAGTCGCTGCTGATACCTCGCTGAATGTCAACACTGCGCAGGCTACTGGCGTCGACCAAAACCGGTCGTCTGGAACTATCACTCACCGGGGTTCTACCAATGCAGCCAACGAAGCAGCCATTGCAGACCGCCTCAACGCACGTTCGCCAGCCGTCCATATCGGATATGAGGAGCAGGAGAACCCATTGCAACGCATTATAACTGCTTCTAGCCAAGGGGCTCAGCGGACTAGCGTGAACAACGGAGTAACTGGCTCTGTCGCCCGTGAACCATCCAAGGGTCATCGAAAGGCCGGCACCCGTGTTTCATACACCGACCAAGAACCTATGCCACCACTCTCACCGGTACAAGCAGGCCTCACACCCTCCACCAGCAATGTGCCTATTCTGCAGAACCCTGCACCCCCAGGTTCCCGTGGTAGCGTCCGCTACGAGCCCCCATCCCAGCCTCCTCTCAACAACCCACTTCCACCACCTCCAGAGCCTGGTAATTACACCAATTACTACCAAGCTCACAATGCTCAAAACGAGCATACCGCCTACGAGAATGTTCCACTCGGTGGCTTCAACGTACCCCAAACTACTGTCCCTATGTCAGGTATAACGGCCAGCAGTCACTACGATGATCGCTATGACCCCGTTTCGCCACCATCAGTCTATTCTCCCCAACATCCCGCAGCTGCGGAAGTTAGTGCTCGTCGACCTTCATTTTTGGCACGAACGTTGAAGCGAGACAAGCATCACACGCCCTATGGTGGCCATGATGCTTAATTTTGATCTTTCCGATCTCTCTTTCCTACCTTTCCCTCGTCTACTTTCCTTTTCTCATCTCTTTGGGCAAATACAAAAGTGTTGATAATTTGGCCATTCTTCTTTTCTTCCAGGTTCTTCTTGGGGCAAAATTTCCTTGCGGATTGCGGGTTTATTGTATGATATTGGAGTTTGTATGAGATTTGGATACATCGATGATTTACGAGTGTCCCACTGTACTCTTTCATTTATTAACATTTCATACTTCTGTTCTAGTAATCAAATATCTTGATCTCATGATTCTGCTAGTATTACTAGTACTGTGCCCAGTAAATCACCGTGTATTGAGAAGAGAGCTTAATAGATTCTCCAGAGCAGCTTTAGCTATTTGGTACATGCCATAAAGTAGAGAAGCTACCAGGTACTTAAGGCCAATTGAATAATACAAAGTCACAATATAATACAAGATCCCACAGCGTCGTCAACCCTGAACCAGGATGTGCAAGTAGAGAAAAAACATCCACAAACCTGATGGTCTATCGTCTATGCAGTAGTAGACAGAGATGGCATCAAAGTCTGCCAGCTCAGCCTTGTCTATTTGCTCTCCTTCCAAGGATATCCAACGGTATCATCCTTTCGCACCCAAATCTTCGACTTTCGCTTATTAACAACATGCTCCACGAAAACCTCTCGCGTATATTGAGCCTTGTACTTGCGAATCCATCGTGGATCCCACAACTCACTAGCAATACCCAGATCCTTACAGCAGCGTACAAGAGCATTAGAGCGACATCCCTCGGTAGCGGTAGGAATTCCATCAGGCGAGAAATAATCCTGTTCACCCCGAGCAACGGAGACAAGTCTGTTCCAAAATCAGCCTCTCTTTCAACCCTCCAAATCTCCAACCAGTCTTGAATGAGACTCACCGTCCATGACAAACAAGCGCATACTCCCTCGTCACCGTCTTCGGAGTAACAATACTCTCACCCCTAGGAGCGAGTCCCCATCCACCAGGTCCAAATGCCTTATTCAGAACACGTCTGTACTTGATCTCAGGTAGGTAAACGATTCCATCGGGCTTAATCTCTACCTCATGCGCATCGATCTCGGCGAGTAGGATATCAGCTGCTTCCTTGGAGAAGGGCTCGGCGGAGAGTCCGTGAAATGAGCGCGTCCAGTCAATTTTCTCCTCGGGAGCAGTGTTTAGCTCCAGGGGTTTATCTGCCAGGCCACTCTTGGAGATATTATCTGTTGTAGGGCGACTGGGGGGTTGGTGCTGAGACGCGGCTTTGAGGGGTAGAGGATGATGGGGATGCGGATTGAGGAGGAGCAGTTCGGGGAGATGATGTTGCTGGGGTTGTTGGTTTGGATGCTGGTGATGAGGCTGTTGCGTTGTTCTGGTATCGGGAGGTGCTTGTGCCGATGCTGCGGGTGCTAAGCAGGGGGACTCGGCTGCGAGGGAGTTGAGTGATTGTTGTTGCTTGCTGGAGTGTTTCCAGTGCGCGCCAGGGGCGACAGCGAAGAGCAGACATCGTGGTGGTTGGAATTTGTGCTTGAGCCGTTGGAGATCAAGCTAGAGCTAACATTGTACGTGAAGCTCCAGATTATGCGATATGATATCACGTGACGTACATCGAAATGTTTACGGGGTCGAAACAAGCCATAGATTCAAGGGAAGAATGGGTTGAGGTGATAAAAGGGATCAATTGGATTTGCAGGATAAAAGTACAGGTTCGTTTTGGTTCAATTACGCATCCTTGGTCTCGGTGCGCTTGTCATTCCCTTGCCGCTTCCAGCATTCGCGGAAGGTCTCCATCTGGGATGTTGTTAGCAACAAAAAGAGGAACGAGATGAATGAGTGGTTTCAGGGAGAATATAGTATTGCAATGAGCTATTGTGCATGATATAGACATGGCGTTTCAAGCATAGCACAAGATATAAGGTAGTTGCAAGTCCTCGGTAGAATAGGTATCTGTACTCACCACGTCTTTGCAAGCTCGCCAATCCTTCTTGACATAGTAACAATCATTCATCTTATCTTGCTCAGCTGAATATATGTTAGAGCCAAATTGAACCATACTGGCATTGAATAAAGATCTTACCATGGCAGCCAGTGCTAAAGATGCGCTTGTCCCTAAAGAAAGCTTCAGCATGCAGTTCTATTACAATGTCTTTTCTTGAGAGAGTACTTACCAGTCATCAGGCTCATCGTCCTCTTCAGGGACAACCCGAGGCTTTTCTTCGTTGTTGGACATATTTAACGTATACGACGAGAAGAGGAATCGGAGATCAACGGTTGGCGGCGGAGATGACTAGCTTATCGCCAAATCGATCTGCAATCATCCCCTCTAGTGCTCCCTCGCGAACCACTCAATTGAGCAACACAACAAGAAATTAATAATGGCGACGCCAACAGGCAATAATGCCAATCTCACAGCGAAAAGACTGAATGTCCTCGTATACTCCGGTTCGCTCAATCACTCCGTTTGGAAATTGAGCCGCTTTCTGACCGACAAACCCAACACAGGAACCGGAACCACCGTCGACTCCGTCCGCCACTGCCTCTACACCCTACGTCGCCTCCTAGCCCCGAATTATGCCGTCACTCCAGTTACAAGCGAGATGCTCCTCAATGAGCCGTGGACCGCATCCTGCGCTCTGTTGGTTATCCCCGGCGGGGCGGATCTGGGATACGGCCGCACATTGAACGGTGCGGGGAACAGGCGCATTACGCAGTTCGTGCGCCTCGGTGGACGGTACTTGGGTTTCTGTGCTGGTGGATACTACGGTACCAAGCGATGTGAGTTCGAGGTTGGAGATAAGACCATGGAGGTTGTCGGGGATCGTGAATTGGGCTTCTTTCCGGGGACTTCTCGTGGGGGTGCGTTCCCAGGGTTTGTTTATCATAGTGAGGACGGGGCTCGAGCTGCGGAGATTAATGTTTCAAAGGAGGCTTTCAATACCGGAACTGTCCCTACATCGTTCCGATCGTACTACAATGGTGGCGGAGTGTTTGTGGATGCGGCGCTATACAAGGATAAGGGTGTGGAGGTGCTCGCCCACTATGCGGAGAAAGTGAATGTGGACCCTGGTGAGGGTGGTGCAGCTGCTGTTGTCTACTGCAAAGTGGGCGATGGAGCGGCTGTTTTGACAGGACCTCATCCTGAGTATGTGTCTCGTATAGATCCATGGATTACGACCACTGACAGTGGATTTTTATAGATTTGGGGCAGTCAATCTTGATCGCAAAGCTGGTGGCCCTAGATTCGCGGATGTCGTTGATGCGATTGCCGCCGATGACAAGGAGCGGACGGACTTCTTGAAGGCGTGCTTGTTGAAGCTTGGATTGCAAGTTGCGGAAGACAGCACGGCTATTCCTTCGTTGTCGTCTCTGCATATCACTGGTCAAGATCCCGAGAGCTCACTAGAGATCTTGTCGCTATTGGCACCTGATCTGAAGGAGGAAAATCGGAATGAGTATCTGAAGGATGAAAACGATACATTCCGTATCGAGCGCCCAGGGACATGGAACTTGAGTGAATTGGAAGAGGCCTTACCTGAAGGAGAATCAAAATCTACCGAGGGTATTGTTGACTACCACGCGATTACCAAGAGACTTGTCTTCCACGATGAGCTCCCGTCGTCTAAACTAACCCCATATTTCAACCATCATGCTTTCTACTCCAACTTGAAGCAATATCAATCAGAGTCCCGAGAGGGTGCGTCTGAATTTGGGTCAAATCTTATGTATGGTGAGGTTGTGACCAGTACCAACACTATCCTAGAAAAGTGAGCTCTATCCAATAAGTTGGATTGTTGGTCTATGTCTGACACTTCTTAGGAATACTCAACTGCTGCGCCGACTTCCAAATGGATTCACTGCCACCGCAACTGTCCAGGTTGCGGGACGTGGCCGAGGCTCCAATGTTTGGATTTCACCAGCTGGCTCTCTTATCTTCTCAACCGTAGTGCGACACCCGGTCGAGAAGATTCAATCTGCACCAGTGATATTCATCCAGTACCTATCTGCCATGGCTGTTGTGAAGGGCATCAAGAGCTATGCCAAGGGCTATGAGAAGATCCCCGTCAAACTAAAATGGCCAAACGACATCTGTGAGTAGCCAACTTAGCTCGTGAATATGCGTATTTTAACTGACCTCTTCAACAGATGCACTGGACCCTGCAGACCCAGAACAAAAAAGATACACTAAGATCTGCGGTATCCTTATCAACTCGCATTTCATGTCAAATGAATACATCTCTGTCGTTGGCATTGGTGTCAACGCTACAAATGCTTCTCCAACTACCGCACTGACAGCTCTCGCCGCCCGCTACGCCTCTCCCGGCGCAGCCGAAGTTTCGCCCGTCACACTGGAGAAGCTCCTGGCACGTATCCTCACGACATTTGAGGATCTATACACTCGTTTCCTGCGCACCGGATTTGACCGCACATTTGAAGAGATGTATTATGAAGACTGGCTCCACATGCATCAGATCGTGACTCTAGAAGTAGAAGGCGGCGCTCGCGCACGTATTCAGGGCATCACGCGCGACCATGGATTATTGCTTGCGGAAGAGTTGGGCTGGGGTGATCGACCCACTGGACGTGTCTGGCAGTTGCAGAGTGATAGTAACAGCTTTGACTTTTTCAAGGGCTTGGTTAGGCGGAAGATCTAGTAAGTATTGCATTGCATTGTACTTAGCAGCGATATGATTATGGCTTTTTTCATGTACAGAGAAAATGATATAGATGTATATTGGATTTGATCGAGTATCTAGAGAATTGTACATGATAATTTACCCGTTGGAACACGGCATTGTACGAAGTCTCCTCGACAGAGCCCGTGAGTGAAATATTGGCTATCAAGATTTCAAATGTTCGCATATTGGTATCACCGATTCTCACCAAAAGTTCGGAACCGGACGAGGTCGAGCAACCTTCTCGTATGCCTCCATGAATTGCAGTAAGGTCTTCTCTTCGTCTGCCTTGGCCACCAGACATAGACCGAACGGCCGAGAATTGTAACGAAGTTGCCCTATCGGCACTGTCGCAATAGGATACCCTAGTTTCAAGTCCCTATTAGCAATGGCCAGTCAATCTTGAATAGACACCTGGAGCTATTACCTGCAGCGGCAGCATGTATACACAGCGAGGAGTCTCCCGGAGCTGCCAGGATGTTGACCTCCTCCTTTTCGAAAACGTCATCTAGAATATCCCGTGCTGCTTTTCGAAGATTCTTCTTCAGATCATCTATGTGATCCTTGTTGTCCGTGGTTTCCATTGCGTTTTCTAGATCATTCTGTTCAGTAAACGCTGTGTTCCGTTAGTAAGTCTCCAGCAGTAGACCTGGACTGGAGTTGGATTCTTTTCGTCAACCTACGATATGGAAGAGCCTTTTCCGCATTTTCCTTGTTGAATTTGACGATATCGTCAACGCTTGTCATAGAGCAGTCGTGAAACGAACCCACAAATCTGGGAATGCAGAGATTCTTAAAATCCCAATCTATAAGCGATGAGCCTCGGAGAACTCATGTGATGCTACTGCGAGTGACTTACATGCAATCGGTAATATAGTGGTTGGCAAGACCGAGGGATCCTTGCAAGAGATTTCGTCCTTGAGAAGACAGCCTGCCCGTCGTAAAGCAGAAACACTCTCCTCGTATTCTTCGATCTTGAATCAAATATTAGAGCTATACTCTGAGCCTGTGCGTTACGTCGTTCTGATAAAGTGAGAGTGACTTACCATTTGCTCTGCTGTACCCTCAAATTGGGGGCAAAGCCCCGGTGACATACACCAAATACTGGGGTCTAGAAATCCCACTGAAAGACCTTCCCAGGGGCCTAGTTCAAGGGAGCTAAGCTGGCGACCAAGTAAGATCTCAGAAAGCATGCGAACATCAACAGCCGACTTTGCCATAGGACCTGGGCTATCGAAGAAATCTGTCATAGTATATAGCCCAGTCGTATCCTGGACCCCAGTAGTAGGCTTGAGTGCATATAGCCCAGCACGTGTTGACGGAGTCACGATAGAACCAATAGTATCAGTAGCCATAGCAAGAGGGCTGAATCCCGCAGCTACAGCAACTGCAGAACCAGTAGATGAGCCTCCGGGAGCCTTGCCACATGGATTAGTACCAGTCCAAGACTCACATGAAGAAAACTTACTGAATGGCCGAGTATTTTCTCATTCTCCTCTATCTTCCCAATATACGGTGATAGAGTCTGACCACCATGAGCAGACCAGCCAGGCATCATCATCGTCATTTTCATACCCGCAAATTCCTAGGAAAATGGTTAATACAGTTCCTATTAGAATGGAGCATGTTGACGCACAGTCATGTTACCCTTTCCTAGGATAATCAAGCCTGCATCAATTAATCGCTGAGTGATAGCGCCGTTCTTCAACGCCTTGGCTCCGACAAATGCATAAGATCCAACCGTGGTGCTCATTCCAAGCTCCGAGGCTGTGACAAAGCTATCCTTCAAAATAATAGGAATTCCATGAAATGGGCCGCGGACTTGACCTCTCTGGCGTTCCTCATCCAGGTCTTTGGCTATCTTGAGCACCTTATCAAGAGGGGCAGGTGAGATTAAAGCATTGAGTCTGGGCTCATAGCGATCAATTTGTGTCAAATACTCTTCCACAATTTGAGCGCTCGTGATCTTGTTTTCTTGGAGTAATTGCTGCAACTCGACCGCGTTAGTTGTCAAGACGTTGAAGGCCATTGTTAATGAAGTCTAGGTTTGGGGAGAAGGGAAATTGCGATATCAAGTTAGCGCGTTATGGAAGTTCATGTTAGTGTGAGCACCTGACCACTAGTTGTCCCTGCTAGGCAGTAGGATTACTCTCATGGTCCAGAATAGTCAATAGCAAGGAAAAGAAGGAAAAGAAATCCAGCAAGGACAGGGATCGAACCCAGGAGCTTCAAAATCAGAAATGCGTGAATAGCCTCAACAACTCTCACTCGATACATCCATCGCCATCACATAATCCCTTCTATCTCCTTCAATTATTTTTATTTTGAGAATCTGAAAAGTGCGATAGAAAGAGAAAAGCTATAAGTATCATGAATGGAAAAGAAATGAAATGAAAAAAGTCATTATCCCTAGCCGTAGCTAGATGCCCTCCCGCTCGCAGGTATTTTCTCTGCCACTGAAACCAGGCCCGGCATATCTAATTTCAGTACCTTTGTCCCCAAACGGGTCGCCGACCGCTAGACTAGCAGGGCAGAGTGGTTACAGGGGGAAGCCTTTCACTCAAATTTATGGGAACTCTGGTTCCTTGAATGGTCGACTCTCTACTCCGTACTGTACTTAAGTACCCAAGAAATAAAAATAAAAATAAAAAATTTATATTCTACACAATCAATCATTCCAAGTGATTTTAGTATTACCTAGTAATAGTACTCTGTATCCCTGTAGTGAAAGAGCTCTATAAGACAAGAGGACTTCAGGATTTCAGTCTACTCAATCTTCCAAGGTTAAGATTAATCATCTTTTATCCGTTATGATGCATTCAATCCAGGACTAATACTCTGTTAGATTGCGTAAATGCTGGAATATTGTTATCCCTCACGGTACTAGTATTCGGAAGAGCTTGCGTTATCGGGAGTGACTTGCCTAATACGGTGCAGATCCACACCTGGAGAGTTCATCCCAATGCCAGTGCATTTTAACAACCAGCCCGGGTTTTAAGCTTGAAGAATTTGAAGATCTTATTAGGCAATTTTTCACGGATGAAGGCTTAATAGGTTGCATGGTTTGAATCATGTCCGCAACCACTATATCGAGCCGAGCGGTCCGCCAACCTTGTCAGAATTTAGCCCTCGAAGTTTGCACGACCTAGAAAATCTAAGTGATCAATAAGAATAGAACCAAATTGAGATACAGAATATCTTGTCATTCAAATCATCTAGTCTTCAATGCATGTAAATACAAATTCATCTAGAGGTAACAAGGTGCCAACTCTGTTTATAGCTTGTTACCCAGGTTAACATGGACAGCCTTAATCTGGCTATAAGCCTCCAATCCAGCCTCACCAAGCTCACGACCAATACCACTCTGCTTGACACCACCAAATGGCACGCGAGGATCACAGTCCTGGCTACTATTAATCCAAACCATACCAGTCTCAATCTCAGCTGCGACGCGGTGCGCGCGCTCCAGATCAGTTGTGAAGACCGCGGCACCAAGACCATAAGAGGTATCATTGGCACGCTCAATAGCCTCTTCCTCTGTATAGAAGGGCAGGATAACGACAACAGGGCCAAAGATCTCTTCGCGGACAATGCGCATAGAATCGGTAACATCAGTGAAAACGGTCGGCTGAACAAAGTATCCGTTCTTGTTCTCTTCCTTCGCAGGAACATGAGCAGCACCACCAGTAAGAACTGTAGCACCCTCGCTCTTGGCAATCTCGAAATATGAGAGAATGCGCTCATACTGTGCGCGGGTAACTTGAGGACCCTGGAATGTATTGGAGTCCCACTGATCACCAATTGAGACACCTTCAACAGCCTTCTTAAACTCGGTTAAGAAGGTAGGGAGGATATCACGGTGAACGAAAATTCGTGAAGTAGCGGTACAGATTTGGCCCTGGTTGGACATGATACCGAAGTGGGACCATTTCACCGCTTGGTCCATATCCGCGTCAGGGAAGACAAGGAGTGGTGACTTGCCACCTGTCTCAAGAGTGATATTCTTCAATGAACCTGCTGCCATCTTCATAATCTCACGGCCTGTAGCTGTGGATCCTGTGAACGCAACCTTGTCAACCAAGGGGTGAGAAGTCAAGGCAGAGCCTGCTTCACGGCCATAGCCGTTAATGATGTTGATAACTCCAGGTGGGAATCCAGCCTTAGCAACCAGGGTAGCCAGTACCAAGATACTAAGAGGGGTTTGCTCTGCAGCCTTCAGGACAACTGTGTTTCCACATGCCAATGCAGGGCCCAGTTTCCAAGCTGCCATAGCCAGAGGATAGTTCCATGGAATGATTTGACCAATTACACCAATGGGCTGGCGAAGAGTGTAGGCGAATTTTTGGGGTGTAGTGTTAATAGTCTGACCGAATGTCTTATCGGCCCAGCCACTGTAATACCGGATAGTAGTGGTAGCTTCGACGAGATCCTCATCCAAGGCAACATGATAGGGCTTTCCTGTTTTGAGTTAGCGGGGCCGCGGAGTCTCGATTCTCGAAAAGCAGAGATGAAAGAAAATTTGAGTGGGGTGGATCAGCATGCCGATATGCTTGTCACGCACCATTGTCCCATGCATCGATGGATGCAAGAAGTTCTCGGTTCTCCCACATCAGATCGGCCAATCGAGCCATGAGTTGGCCTCGCTCTGTGGCGGGGAGAAGCTTCCATGATGGGTGAACCAGTGCGGCTTTGGCGGCCTTCACGGCACGGTCGACATCATCGGCGCTGGCTGCGTCAACAGTGGCGATTGGCTTATCAGTACTGAGGAATGTATTAGCGACTTGTGATTTATTTGTATGATTAAATTTGAACATACGCAGGATCAATAGAGGTGATGGTCTTTCCGGATGTAGCGGGGACGAATTCGTTGTTAATGAAAAGACCAGTGGGTTGTGTGTAGCGATGCCCATTGGGCGTGACGATATCCAGTGTTTGAGCCATCTTGTACAATGTAAATAGAATGTGAGATGGTCACTCTATGAGAAAACCAGTTGGGATATATACGGATATCGATATCTTCAATCTGGAGGGGTACGTGGGGGTCTAGTCCGTTTCAGGCAGGTATTTCCGTCGAGGAAGAACAGAGTGGAGACTAGAGATGAGATCCCGAGACTCATAAACATGCCTAGAATGGTCAAGGATAAGTGATAAGATTTATAAATATAAGATAATATTAGAGTTACGGTAGTATTCTTATGTTTGTCGATTCAACCTTGGAAGTTATCGGAGTTCGGCCACTGTCCCAGCACTGGAGGTCATCTGTGATGCCTTTTTCATTTGAAACACAACTGGCGAATTTCAAGCTCCTCTTAAATGCTCTATGTATTGATTCAAGTATAGCTCCGCAAGTCTAGAGACATGTATTGAGAAACTGAAACCTCAAACGCTATTTGCACAACAATGTTGAAGCTGGTTTGTATGCAAGAGCCCTGATTCCTTCCTTGACGGATACTCCGTGATCTATTCGTAAATTCGTAAGGCCATTAACATCAACAGAAGACAAATTATCCCCGAAAATAAAATTACTCTTCGCTCTCAGTCCACGACTCACACCACTTCTCCATTGCCTCAGACCCAATAGGCCCCATTGAAGCCAATGTCGGACTGACAGCCTTAGCCTTGTCGATGACATAGAAATTCTCGCCTTCATAGACGACAGTCTTGAAGAAAGGAAGAATGCGGCTCTTTACCTCTTCAGCCTCCTTGGATATAGTGTTCGGAAGGAGATTAGATAGACGCGTCACCCAGTCAGAGTAGCTCACCTGCTTTGGAGACGAAATGAACTTCTGCAATGCATCCTCGAACTTCTTGATTGGGACTGGTTGAGGATGCACAATATTGTAAAGCTGCACATTGGGCGTACCCGTCTCGTGATCGCCATGGACCTCAGCTAGAGAAATTTCGCTAACAATGCTTGCTGCCTGATCAACCGGCATCCAGTTGATGGTGCCCGTCGAACATGGGATAAGCCCACTAGCCTTGGAGATAATGGCTAGTGAATGAAGGAAATCGTGACTTTTCCACTTGCAACCCGTTGGAACGTCCACAGGGCCACATATCTGGCTGATTCGGAGAATTGAGATTGAGATGTTGAGCTTGGCGCCTGCAGCTGCGAGGAATCGCTCTGCAACTTGCTTCGATTGCCCATAGCCACTTGACATCGCAGTCCCAGAGCAGTTGATCACTTCCTCGGGAACGGGAACAACGGGAGAAATTGCAACACCCCATCGATGCACACTGGCGATACTGGATGTGAAGACCACGCGAGGGCGAGACTCGGCGCGGTTGGCAATATCGATGACGGAGGCCACGCTTCTCAGAATCTGAGGCGCGAACGATGCGAGAGATAGAGCGTAGTGTACTGACCAGAGATTATGGATGATGACATCGGCATATTGGTATATCTCATTCAAGTGTTTTTCAGGTAGCCCCAAGTTCGATCTTGAGAGATTAATCGACACAAATTGTAGACGTGGGTCTTTGGCGTCGATTCCCAGATTTAGCTCGTCCGCACGAGCCTGAAACAATTCTCGACCGTTTGGTCCCCGGTCCAGACACTTTACCCCCGCTACCCGATCGTCCTCTAGCAAATTTTTGATCAAGTAAGGACCAAGACGCCCCTGGGACCCAAGTAGCACTATTCGGAGCTCTTCTGTGTCTAGTGGTGGGGGCGGGCTAGTTGACCTGGGCTCGGGAAGCTGGGCTATCATTTCTTCGACAAAACTATCCACTCCGTATGGAATTTGTGACTGGGCACTGCCACCGCCACCAGGAGCACATACCGCATCGAGGGTAGCAGTTGCGAGATCATCAATTGTGGGATTCTCAAAAATCGTCCGCATCCAGAAATCAATGTTGTTCTTCTCTTTATCCATGCGTCCAGAAAGACCGAGTTTTAATTTTTGCCCTAGTTCCAGCACCGACAAAGAATCCATGGCATTGTTCATGAAAAGATCATCTGTCTCTGAGAGCCGGGCGTCGGGTCGAATATCATGAACGATAGATCCAATGAACCGTTTGGTTTCATCCATCCAGTAATTTTCTAAGACTCCAACTTCATTCTGCTCGTCAGTGGTACCGTCAACGAAAGCCGCATTGATGTACTCCGCATACAATGATTCTGTCGGTTTCCGCGAAATCGATCCCTTGGGTGAGCGAAAGAAGCCCAAATTAGGCTGACTGAGCGTAATTCGAGATCGACGAATTTTGCCGTACGTGGGAGCAGTTTCGTTCGCCTGCGCAACAGTGGGCCAAATAGCGTCAATAAACTCTTTCTTGCTCATGCGATCCACATCGGGTGACGATCGGGGCTCAACAAGAAGAATCACTTCTGGACGACCATTACCAACCACCAGAGCCCCGGCAACCAGAGGATTATCTGTAATCATTCGTTCCATGACGACAGGCAAAAGTTTCTCGTTATTTGCGAGAACAATGATATCATCGATTCGCGCATGAAATTTCCAAAGGCCCGGTCTTGTTGAGTGGGGAAGAAACAGGTCCTGGCATCGCCATGTTTTCACATTTGGGAAAGTGTGTGAGAGAGTTCGCTGCCCGATAAATTTCTTGTCGTTGTGTAGAACCAACTCGAAGATCCCCTCGTCCACCTCTTGCATATCGCATTCTTCGACTGGGTTAGGCTCCAGATACTGCCAATCGCCTCGTCGAGGGACTAGCATTTGAACTTGGCTAATCTCGATGGTACCATAAAGCGAGCAAAGGTCGGTCACCTTGTTTAGCTTATCGCCAATGACCTTTGGCACAGTACCTCCACCCAGGATTATAAAGTCAAGGGTCTCCGCTTTTTTAATAGAAGAGGGAATGGTGCTGACCCATTGCTCAATGACTTGCGGGGTCATCCAAAGGGCTCGAATATCCTGCTGGGACATTACGCTTTCTACCAAAGCACCACTAGGGGCTCCATATGGAGGGCCCATAACCACAGTACAAGTCGGGTAGAAGGAGGGAATCAAAATGTAAGCTTGAACACCAGCCAACTATTCTTTGGTCAGCCTCTTGCCCAACTTGATGATTGCACAAGACATTGACTATAGAAACACCTACATGAAAAGCCGGAAAGCACGGGTAAAAACGACTGGGGGTATCGAACATAAACAGAGTTGCATTTTGCGCACGTCTTCCTTCTGGAACAGGAACTTTGGCATCATTATCTGTACAGGAGATCGCGGCGTGGGTATAGTTGATGAGCTTCGGGGGTCCTACATTTGGTCAGTTTGATACAGAACTCGCCTTTTAGGCCGATCAAGACTTCGTACCTGTTGACCCCGCTGAGTGTAAGATCAAGCAGTTATCATCCTTGATATTTTGCCAGGATGCATCAAATCGAAATGGAGGGGCCCGTGCATTCAAGATCTCGGAAAGTGACGGCACTTGCTTGCAAGATATAGAAGGATCGAATTTTTGAAAGCTTTTGGCAAGAGTGCGCAAAGTGTCGGCGAAGAGAAGCGCAGATACATCTGCTTGTTGTAAAAGACCGAGGTTCAATGTGAGAGGGTTCTTCGAGCTGAGAAAAAAAGGTCTTTGAAGAACATAGTGTGCTGTTAGCAGTGAATCAAACCAACCTTCATCGTCAATTGTCATGCACATACCTTCCATCGGCACTTGATCGCCGCCAAGAAGATCACTGTATATCGCAGATCACTTGGTCCAATATACGCAAGCGTTCGTCGTTTGCTGTTCGATTTCAAGTTTTTACTGAACCACCAGGCCATCTGATCGACAGCACTGGCCACCGTCTTGACCGTAACATCTTCGAAGCCATTGTCGACACCATCCGAATTGTACACAGCGGCGAAGATACGATCCGGATCATGATAGGCATAATAATCAACAACGTGGGGCAGCAGACGCTGCCCCCTGTTTTTCTCCGCGCCCTCGGCCCATGGTTCCTTGTCGGGGACGGCCATGATGGAAGAAGGTAATTGGGTTATATCGAGAGGGCAGATGGAAAAGACGATCACCTAGTAAGGTTTTTTTCACTCCATGCTGAATTTGAGATGTGAAGAATAAATCGAAAGGAAAATCGGAAGCTGCACCTCAAAATCCACGATGTGGGTTGGTACCGTCACCTTTTGGTTTAGCCGCTAATGCGCGGGTGTGCCGCTTCCCCTCTTGGAACCTCGCAGCCTTTTTTTGGAGCTCCTCCTGAGATGTGCATTGTCCGGGACTTTTGAATTTCTGTTAAAGATCGTCATGATCCCCAGCTCTTTTTCAGCCATATTCCAATCATTTGGTTGTTATTATTATCCATTTCCCTTCTTTTCACCACTTCTCCATCCACGCGTCCTGGGTCTGTCGGGGCGAAGCCGCGAAGGAGTATCTCTCCACTGGTGGATTCTGGCCCCAAAGGACTAAAAAAACCACTAAACACCGATAAACACCGCTAAACTAACGAACAAGAAAAAAAAAAAATCGAGTACCGGAGTATTGCCCCGAGACCACTAAAATGTGCTTAAACGAGGGGTTGACTCCACGGTCTCGCTTTATTTCAAGCTCTGGTTGGTTCATTGTTCGTTATAAGATGTTAAGGTTCATCTCTACTGGACAGATGCCCCCCCCTTACTGAGGATCGACATATACCCTAACCCCACGTTATGATCTGGCTTTGCGCATGGAGTTGTTATTTGGGCTGTCTTTTGAGGGCTTCTTGAAGTCAATTGATTCTGTTCCTCTCGAGTAATAACAATCCACTTGAGGAAATCAATTTGGAATCTTGACAACATTTGGTGGAGATCAGTTGTGGGGGAAATGCTGGAGAAACCGTTCATCCGAGGATCCAGATCCTTCAGCAAAATTTGACGAGTACGAGAGCCCGTATGAGTCGTGTGTGAAGATGTGTGACTATCACGCTGCATTGCTTCCCTCGATGATCTCTGCCGGATTTAGCCTGGCACATACAGGACTCAATTCTCCGTGGGGCAGACAAGGTGAAAATCACCCCTGATATCTCTCGCTATCATTCCAGATCCTGACTGTCGGGTCAAGTGGCTGCTCGGAGATCCCGTTGGATCAATCTCATGGACAATGATGCCAGTTTCAATGTTGTTTGTTCTCCGTACTTCGGCCTCCTTCTCCGAGTCAAAAGTACCGGACCACACTATCGATTGGCTGTCATTTATTGCCAATAGTTTTCGTCATGGTGGGGGAGGGGGGGCCTCTGGAACTCGAGCATTGGCAATTCTGACCTATTCAATACGGTGAGTCAACTTTTTGGTGTGTCTTTACGAGTGCTCCGTACTCCGTATATATTTGCAATTGGGGTTTTAGCAACCTTCAAGTTGGGTCCAGTGCTGTCCCAGCCTCGTCAAGCTTTTGATTCCCGGTACCCGTACTCTCACGTCTCCACATTTCCTGGAGAAAAAATCAGTCTGATGTATCTCCGCGGGTGCATCCTCTCTGCAGGTAAATTCAACGAACCAGATAAGAGCTTGAAATGTAGTTAAGCGCTCAATCAGGATAAAGGTCTTGTTGCTCAAAAATTGGACCGAAGGCCATGATGTCTGGAATGTAGGAAAGGTGCCAACACTGCCAAGTGTGGGCGGGGAAAATATTCGCAAAAATCCCATAACTTCCCATAGTCGCCCCATCTTTCCAGTTCCCAGCCCCAATAGTCGTCGTGGTGCTTCAAGTTGTGCCGAGGACAATTGGATTATATCTATTTTGTCACGCGGAGCGCACATGTGCACACCTCTCGGAGGGGCACTCCACAAGGCTCGCAGGCACCCCCACTGGGGCTTGCGGCCATATCACGCATCATCATTCTCAACCGGTATGAGACTGGGTATGCGAGTCTCGGAGGAGGGTCGACAGTGTGTGTATCACAGAATGGCAAATTCTTCCTGCAGTTGAAATAATTTCACAAAGAGTATCGGTTTTTGTTATGTTGCAGTTAACTATTTTTCTCCGTTGAAGGCTTTCACGCGTCGTTGGGTCATGGGTCCTGGTGATCAGTCCTGGTACAGTCAGGGCTGGCTGAAAATATTTGATAACTCAGAGAATTCGAGTGCATATTGGTTTAGCTTGGATAGAATGAGCTGTTCCAAGCCAGAAAGTCTCCAGCTGTAGATTGTTGAAGTTGAGGGATGTCAGACATCTGGAGGTGAAACAGTTGATTCAGGTACGCTACTACTCAATTCGGCAGCCACGGTTGTACTATGTGAGGCTCAGCGTGGTATACGAACAAACCAGGTTTGATAGAACAGGTTATCTATGCCAGATCATGACGCATGAGAATATTGGTGTACGAGTCAGTGAAAATTCAAATGTTGTTATCATCATTAATTCAAGTTCTATTTCTCTCCCCGTCAATTAAGTACAAAAAGAGCCTTAGGCATACGTGCAAATTAAATGATTGTATAATTAAATAGTCGCGTATTCATCCGCGTCCAACGACTGATCACTCGTCAATCGAAATAACAAGTATCGACATGATCATATTCCCGATCAAGACATCCATTTAAAGGGCTGTGGGAGTGTAGCTCTGGTTGGGCGTGACGACAACGCCACCAGCAAGCTGGTTATCGGTGTAAGCAGGCCAGATGATCTCATCAAGGCCGTTGTCAACAACGGCAAGAGTGGTGAAGCCATTTCCAGCACCGAACTGTCCACTCCAGCCGGAAGTAACAGTGAAGGCGCCGCAGGTGGTGGGACCGCCGCTAAGCTCGGAGGCATCGGTACCCGCAACGACCATGGTGCAAGCGGTGGCAGTGCCGGAGCCGATTTCAATACCAAAGGTCCATGTGCACTTGGTGTCGGCGGTGTTGCAAACACGCTTCATGTTTGTGATGGTCCAGGTGGTGGAGCGAGCGGCAATGGCATCGCTGGTGACTGGGGCAGCCAGGACCGCGGGAGCGGCGAGGAGGGCAGAGAGAAGAAGTTGAGAGAACTGCATGGTTGCGATGTGGAGGATGTAGAATATTATGTATTATGATTAATTGATTTTGAGATGTGATTGAGGATGATGAGATACTGGATTTCGGGCGGATGAGCAGCTATTTATGTGTTTTTCGTGACCTAGTATCCTGGAGTTAACCATTCCATCCAAGTGTTAGTGAGACCAAGTATTAACCCGAAGCTAGCATCAACTCACGAGAATACCTTGTTGCCCGGAACTCTTTCTCGAAATAGATCTGATAGTAGGCGATGTGACTATACCAGCGGGGTACCTGGATCAATACCCATCTCATGATGCCAAGTCATGTCTTACTTATGTATAGGTGAGACATGACCCAGGGCCGTAACCCTCCCCGAGGAAATCCCCGAACTATACCAACATTGAAGTATACACCGTCGGCATAGCTCCAATAGAGTATAAAAATTGTGAGACATGCCCGAGAATCCTCCAATTAGATCATGCATGCTGTAGGGCCGCCTGCTCGAACGAGTGGTATGTCGCTTCTACCCATTGCATGACCAAAGCATTTCTCCTGTTGTGGAATAGCGTGTGGCTTAAGCACCCCCACATTCAAGGTCAGATGAAGAGTTAACCCGATCCATGTCGTTAATACGCAGGATGCACATAGAGTCCTAACCGAGGGTGGTGAGCTTGTGAATAATTCCCGTTCCTAGATCAGTTTAGTGGTAGGTAAAAATCACCAACTTCAAATATCTACTGATAAGGACTTGGTCAGTTGAGCCTGAAAGCAAGATTCTCAGTTAACAAAGTAAAATAAACATTCGGAAGTCTCAGTCTTGTGGCTTTTGATCTGCATGGTGTGCCTGCGATGTAACTCTGTCTTAGATTTTACCCCAGAGTTGGGCGTGGCACAGTAAGCAAGCCCCGTCGCCCGGTACGAGCGGCTTTGAACTCCACTCCTTGGCAGATATCATATGCATCGGTCGCCTTGTCTACCCTCGGTCATCGATACGAGATATGCGTTTGTTGTTCATAAGGCTAATCGTCGGTTTGTTTTCAAAGAACCGGAATCTTTAGCTTAGGCGTGTCAGGCGGCCCATGCCATGACTTCGGGAGTATATACGCGGCCCTGGTCAGCAATGCTAAAAATAATTTGAGTTTTGAGGTTCATGATATTTTGCGGGGTAGAACTCAATATATTCATCAAGCCATGTTGTAATCAATATTGTGAACGTGGGCTGGTCCAGCTGATCAGTGGTTCTTGAAGGTGAAGATGCAAGCCGACAACAACTCAAGTGCTTGAACTTTTCCGGGTGGCTGAAAGTCTCGTGCCCAAAGTGCAGAATTCCTCTGCTTTCTGCATAGTAGAATATGCGAAGCGACTCCTAGTTGAAAAATAGTGCTTCATCATCATGTTACTCGGCAAGGCTACACTGGAGATAATACTGTCATAAAAAGCTACGAGATCATGAAGATGTGGAAGATAGAGTGCATTGTATTCAAGTTGTGAATGAGGAGGTTCCAAGAAACATCAAGGTATTAAAAGATGATAGAGAATCATCTAAAAAGCGCAATGCATCAAGCCTTGGAAGGTGTATTTGAAAGCTCTTTCCGGTTCCTGTATTCTCCAAACCCCATGATCCCCACTGCGCCGATTGTCCTGAGGCTTTATCAAAGCCCGCCACGGTCACAGCTCCTAAGATCTCAAATCGCGCGGTCAGATGTTACCGGTGTAACCAGTGATGCAAGCAGGTATCGTTTCGGAGGTGCATGTTGTCATCGAAGCCTTGTCCCTTGTCAAAGGCAGCTATGCCGATTGTTTTGAACTTTGACTTTTTTTATTTTGCTCCTGAAGCCTGTGAATAGAGATTGTATGATGAAGCTTGTGGATGGAGCAGACTTGGAGATTGAGCATGTAACTGTAGCTCGTGGATGAGGGTTTTTTATTTTGATTGTTTTCTGGAAGCCTGTGAGTGGAGATGAAGATGGAGGATCACACTTGCAGACAGAGATGATGAATGAAGTATGGGGACAAGCTTTTGGACAGAGCTTATTGAATAATGAATAGTGACAGAGCTTGTAGACGTAGCCTGTGGAGAAAGGTTTTCTTTTTTTGGGTCTGTGTCTGTGTGTCCGTGTGTGTATTGAGGCTCAGAAGGATGTTTGAAAATTGTAGGTTTGAAGGATGGGAAAGTTCAATGAAGACAATCGCAGTCACAGCTGGAGAGGCTTAAGGGATCCAAGGTTCGGAAAGCACCGTTCGATTCGGAAGATCGTAGTCGGGCAGCTACCCCGATTTTCCTGAGGTTTGATGAGACCCGCCACAGTATCAAGCTCGAGGTCGATATGTCGTCAGAGCAAGGCTGATTGTCCTAAAGTATCATCAAATACCCGCCACGGCGATAGCTGCCTGCGTCGTTCTGGCTCGGATCGGGGAGATAATCGAGGCAAGCTATTCCGATTGTCCTGAAGTCTCAATGAAGCCCGCCACAGCGATTAAGCTCGAGGTCGGAGTGTCGTCAGAGCAAGGCTGATTGTCCTGAGGTTTCATTAAGACCCGCCACGGTCATAGCTACCTTGGAGCGTAGTTTTGAGGGTGCTTGTCCAAGCAAAGTGTGCCGATTGGTTGGGGTTTCATTGAACCTTTCCATTTGAGGTTTGTGTTTTTTGGTCTTTGTTTTTGTTTTCTTTTTGTTTTGTTTTCTTTTTTTTTGTTTTTTTGATGGCTGAACGCTTAAAGAAGCTTGAGGATTGAAGCTTGAGATGTGAAGCTTGAAGCCTGTGCTCGAGATTTTTTTTATGCACTCGAAGTTTGTGGTTGACACTTTTGTTTTGATTGCGGGCACCGGAATGTGTATGTGTTTGTTGAAGCTTCAATGAAACCCGCCCCGGTCACAGCTGCTGGACAAGTTAGGAAATATTGAAAGAAGAGATTGGAATGTGAGTTGTAGTAAGTGGAGCCCGAAAGGCAGGCTGTTGTGGGTCAGCAAGCTGTCAATATGCTCGAGATCAAGTTCATCAACATACCTGTCCACCAAAGGTTGAAGAGTCATATGGCCAACTGACAACGTAGAAGAGTGGGCATGAAGACTGTCTCAAGTCATGAAAACATGATGTTGATGGAATTTTATGTCAATCAGGCGTGGCCAAGACATAAGATGATGTTGAGTGAAGGTTATGAAGGTTGATCAACCTTGGAAGTCATGTGATGCGATTTAAACAAGATGATGTTGAGACATGGCATGATGTTGTGAAGAGGCCATCGATGATTAAACGCGTCGACGCGTAGGCAAAAGGACGTGTCATGTTGACAAAGTGAATAGTGTCAACAAACCTTTGTGGGTTGTGTCATCAACAGATGGTGCAAGGCTTAAGAGATGTTAAGCCTTGTTGATGATCAAAGAAGACTTTGGTGTAAGCAAGAGACTTCAAGTCTTGAAGAGGATGGGAATGATGAAGAAGTTGGAGGAAGAAAGAAAAGTGGAGGAGTGTTGGAAGAAGGAAAAAGTTTCCAAGTAAGAGATAATCTGGGGAATTTATACCCTGGGGGTGGGGCCTGGAAGATCACACATGGGGATCTGAATCGACCAATCAGAAGCTTGGCATCACCACGGAAGTATTTAAGCATCGCTCTCAATATCAAAACAGCTGAGCCTCGATGCTTATTTACTTCAGGCTCAAGATCACCACCCCAGAATAAGCGAGCCAATGAAATGCCATGATCACGCATTTTAAGCGAACCAGTGACACCCAAGAGCCTAAGATTCAGCGCTGGATCTTGATCTCAACGCAAATCGAGAGCTCCCACGCAATAGAGGAATATCTTCGATCTTCCTAAGGAGCCCAGTTTGCAGCTCAGCAGTCCACCCAGAGAATCATGCCCATGTGTGCAAGTATGTGGTTATGTCCACATCAATACAGCCTCATGACATCTGTATGCTACTACTAGTACGTACTAGTAGTAGTAGTGCCCAAGTTCTACTTGAGATATATACTAATGATGTCCCTACTGATAGGCCTACCCCATCCACCTCCAAGTCCGACTCGGACTCGGAGTCCTGGACAGAAAGATTCGACTTGAAGTTCAAGTTCTGAATATTATCCAGCTGTCTGAGCCTGGCTTTCCCTATTCTCGAAAGCCAATCCAGGCCATACTTGGACCCTTTCATCGCGCTTGACCCTTTTGGCCCCTGACACCAACACTGATCCAGCTTCATCTGCCCCGTCTTGATATAATGAACCACAAAACCCTTGGAAATGATTCCACAAATATTCCTCTATCCGAGCGACTCATTCCAATCCATTTTTGCTAAATACAGTGGATCACGGAATGAAAAATAAAGCTTTGGGCTTCTGGAGCGACACTGGGCAGAATCTTGGATATTGCTATATCGAAATCCCCGGTTCTAAGTTTCCATACGGATCTGGATCTGTCGACTGCTCCTATCTATCAAACTTTGCAAGACTCAATTTCGTTGCTACAAGCCTCATTCGAATGCCTCGAGGCCATCCTTGTACCGGTAATGGTGGAAACATGGCGGAATGTTTGATTGGTCGATCTGTTATCTTCATTTTTTCAAATCACGAACTAGTAAGGGAGTGGGAAAGGTAGTCATTTTCGACTTTCAAGAAGAAATAAGGCCCGAGAGTGGTGAATTTTGATGTTGGTGTTCTTTCTAACGTGCTAGTATAGGCGTGACATACCATTCTTGGATTCAGCATTGCAGTGGGACTGCGAACTTGAACGTCACTGGATCGACTAGTATTATCCCTGCCCGAATTTACAACAGAAATCAATCAAGAATGTAAAGAATTTCCATGATGACCCCTCAAATTCATGTATTCACCTTCCCACTTGGAGGATTTGAGAGTGACCCACTCCAAGTGGTGAAACCCGAATAGGCAAGTCAATCCGTATTGATCAGATACGGACCAGACATACAAGCCAAAAAGAAGGTAATTCCGAGTCATAGATGCATGTATTTCTGAGCTTCAAACATTTAAAAGACATGATTCAATCCTAAATCTGAATCCGAAATCAATCAGAACATCCCTCCTCTAATTCAGAAAATCCAATCCTGAATCCCACACTTCAACAAAATGCCTGAACTCCACGGTATCATGGTGGCCCTGATCACCCCCTTCACAGACGATCAAACCAAGATCGACGAAGCCCGTCTGGAAGAGCACATCGAGCACCTCATCAAAGCTGGCATCCACGGTCTGGTACCGGGCGGTAGCACCGGCGAATTCACAACAATGACAACCGCCGAGCGCAAGCAGCTCGCCGAACTCTGTATCAAGTATGCCGCTGGCCGAATCCCAGTGGTCGTTGGCACAGGCAGTACCCTTACTGCTGAGGCTGTTGAGCTATCAGTACACGCTGGACAAGCTGGCGCAGCAGCCGTCATGGTTGTGCCTCCTTTCTACGATCCGCTCAACCTGGAAGAACTTCATGACCTTCTACAGGAGATTCATACCGAGTCCAAGCTCCCAATTATGTACTATAACATCCCAGGTGCCTCAGGAATGAAGCTCACACCTACTGAGTTGGCGGGCCTATCGAAGGTTGGCGTTAAGTATATGAAGGATACCTCCGGTGATGCACCTGCATTGACAGAGATGCTTGTCGGACACTCGGATAAGATTATTTCGTTCAATGGGTGGGATAGCTTGACATTCTTTGGACTGGTTTCTGGAGCGCCTGGTGGTGTTTGGGGCGCGGCTAACTTCATCCCGGAGTTGGCTGTTGAGCTTTATGAGGCTATCTCTGTTAAGGGTGATTTGAAGCGAGGAAGAGAGCTGTGGGCCAAGGTTTGGCCTATTTGCAAGTTCTTGGAGTCGCATAACTATTGTGCTTCTGTTAAAACAGGCGTTGAGTTGATTGGACAGCAGACTGGTGGTCTGCGCAAGCCTATCTCTTTGCTGAAGCCTGAATTGCAGGCTGAGTTGAAGGCATTGATTGACAATGCTGGTGTCAAGACTGTTTAAATCTTTGTATCATGTGGAGGATTTTTTGACTGTATGAACGATAGAATTTATGACAAAACAATTCACTACTGTATCGAATTTCACCTCATCTGTTCTTATAGCCAGTAGAATTCATAAGTTCGTATCACATTGATAGTTTCGTTATGGGTTTTCTTCAATAAAGAGTGAAATAATTATACATCTGAAGAAAGTAGACACAGATGATGGCCTCGCAGGGGTACATGCTTCAGCAGAACAGAGGCCATGTCTGCTCCTCTTTGGCTATCTCAATCCATGATAACATCTTATCTCCTCGATTTGCCCTCAAATGCTCATCTTGCTTATTCCAAACCTTGAGCATGATTTTGCGAGCGGTCGCAAAAGTGGTGAATCCACAGTCTGAGCTCGCAGTATCCAGCCACCTCAAAATAGCCTCTCTCCTTGTAGGGGTAAGAGCCTCGCATCCAGCAAGAAAAACTGGCCAAGTTGTGCCAGGGCCCGTATGGCCATCTTGTGATGAGATAGAGCTGGCTAGAAGTGCATTGATCACATTATCAACATGGCCTTGTAGTACAGCTGGATGAACCTCGCGAATTCGGCGATAGAAGAATATCATAAGCGCTTCGTTCAGAGCCTCTAACATATAGGCGTGCTGTTTTGAAGTAGCCTGTGACTCTGCTGATCTTCCGCGTGCAACTCCAAGACTTAAGGAGCAGACCATGTTTTCCAGTCGCATACTCCGGCGTTGTAGCTTCTCCCAGACATCCATGCTCACAGTTTTCCCTGAACTCCTTGCAACGCGAAAGGCCTCCATGACGTTTGCGAGTCTAGTGGTCTGTGACATTAGGCTAAGCCATGTTTCTGGAATCCCGTATATTTGTTTATAGAGGTGCTCGGAGAAGCTGCGTGAATCATGAAGATGGATATCACTATACCCCGCTGCCCGATCTTTGGGCTCGTCGATATTAAGATCGTTGTCGGAATTCTGATTTTCAAGTCGTAGAAAATCGTCAAGGCGAGGATTTCCCTCGTTGGCGGACGCTGCATTGGAGTTACTCGTAAGACTTGATGTATTTGTTCGAGTCGATGTCCCGAGACTTTTCAGGCAAGAATAAGAGAGGCCATAGTCATGGAGAACGAAGGTGCTTTCACCGAGGATTCGCAGCCAAGTGTAGACATGATGTAAAAGACGTGCCTTTTTAGATATGCGACTTTTGGAAAGACCACGTAAACGGAGGAGACGCTCTGCATCAATCAAAAAGCAACGTGCATGCTGTTGCTGTCCCGATAGAATCTGTAACAGTCAGTGAATTTTCTTTCTATGGCCAAGGATGATGATCACTTACTGCATACTGGGTGAGAATATTTGCAGCCATGAGCTGGTCTTTATATTTTGCCTTTTTCAGTCCTTGGGTCTCATGCTGCAATGAGATCTGCATATGATCCTTGGCATTTTGGTATAACTGGTCCATAAGGCGGTTCCAATGATCCTTAGATTCCTGCATCTCGTGAGATGGCGTTAAGGCAAGGTCAAGAGCGGAGCAGGCGAGGAGGCCATAGAGATTAGCTAGCCTGGCATGGCTTATATTCTCTGTTCCAAGAAATGTTGAATCACCAAATGCAACAACTGCCGTAGGTAAGTTTAGAATTTTCCACGGTGACTTCACACCATGGGGAATTGCCATTATTTGAGGTATCACCACATCCTGGAAGTGCTTGAGAAGGAATTGAGCATCCTTCAGCAGATTCGGGTCATTTGACATCAACTCAGGTGCGACCTGTTGTGGAGTTTGCACTCTCATGGGATCGTCGACAGCTATGCTTGAAGCAAATGGCAGTAGTCCTACATCGGTGCCATAGGTATCCATATCATATGATATGTCATTCGGCATGCTCAAAGTGGGATGTGATGCAAACCCTGGCTGCCCGAGGTCAAAACTTAGGAGATCTGACCAATGGAGGAAATCATCCATCTGGGATAGAGAGTCAAATATAGACCCTGGACTGGTCTCTGGTAGGCCATCTGGAATGGCCGCGGTTGTTGATTCTATGCTAGGAGCAGGATCGCATGGCACAACTTGAGCTTCGCAAAGCTCACTTGATTGCTCCTGTGTTTCTGTTGTAGTAGTGAATTTCATAACTCCAAATGGGCCAATAACCACATCGTCGGTTGGTGCATGATCAGGATCTCGTGATCTTAGGTCAATTTCGGAAAGTGACGCATCTATTGAGCCAGAGACCAGGTTCGCTTTCAAGGATGTGCTCATCGAGAGACGGGATTGCTCTGAATAGATTATTAGCCAATGCTGGGACTTTACAGATACGATCGTCATAGCATACATACCTGTGTAGAGATGCCGACGGGCTTGCCGGGTTCCTTCATCGACTTCCTCACTTTCATTCTCATGCATCCAACGTATCTGGTCTGAGAACCCTTCACATTTCAACCCAGCATTCCGACATGTACGGCAAGCAGGCCGTTTCTGGTCGCATTTGACATGTCGACGCCTGCATGTGCTGCATCCACCCAAAAGGTGGGATCGACGCGTACGCGATCGCGTTGCTCTTACCATTCTATGGAAGTACTTGCAGCGAGATTAATTTATCAAATTCAGTATGTTAATTCATTCAGAATCAATTCAATTGAGATATGAGGTTCGAGGGAGTCTTGATGATAAACCGGAGTCTCCTTCCCTTTTCGTTCGTCCCCGCTATTATCTTATCGCTATCTACCCCGCATCCATCAATCGATTATGTACTCAATTTTGGATCTACAGAGAACCAAGTCGCGTGGCCTCCGCTTTCACTGTCAATGGAATCTCTTGCTCCAAAGAGTGGGCCTTTGGAGTCCATCCCAGTAGCTCAGATGCCCGCTGTGAGCGTTGCCGCGCGTTGGTGCCCCAGAAGACACTGCCTTTTCCGGTCAACTCATCTGCCTCGCTGGCATTCACACTTCTCACAGAAGTCAAGTCAGTTAAACCAAGACCATGTGCTGCTTGAGCAACGAGCTCTGAAATTTTGCCGAAAGACTGCTGGTTCTTAGCCTTGTTACTATCGTATCTAGGAACCCAAGTGGAACTTACCAATACGTCAGTGTTGCCAACAAGGTACAGACCATCCTGGTTCCACAGAGCTCCCTCGGAATTTTCAACTCCTTTCTCAACTAGCTTGGCAAATACGCTGCCTAAGTCCGAGATGTGGATATTGCTCCAAGTACTCTCTCCCTTACCCACTTGGACCGCCTGTCGGGTTTGAATTGCCACTCTCGAGAGCTCGGGAACTTGGATACTGCGTTGGTTCACAGGCCCATCTCCCTGAGCGTAGATAATAGGAGGAAACACCAAAGCCGTCTTGGGACCAGTCAGATTGACCAAATAATTGTCCGCCGTCCGTGTGGCCACGTTCTTGTGGATTATATCACGAATTTCGGCGGCATCATTGATATCGTTATACAGCTTGCCAGAAGCCTCACCATATGTGTTGTTTACGATATCCGGGATTGAAAGAAGGCTGGCCCCCGATATCTGGACCAAATAACCTGGGCTTATGCGTTAGGTCCATTCTCCTCTCATCAGTATCGGATTGACGAACCTGGTTGTGTGCGATTGCTGAGGCCACGGACAATTGCCTCAATGCTAGCCTGATGCTTATAGGTGGCAGCGTCTAGAGCGGCAGCTTGTTATTGGACAATATTTGACATAGCTTGTTCAATTGAGCTTGACTTACTGACGACAACATTTGCTTGGCGAGCCTCCTCTTCAATCAGGGAAGAAGAGTCAAGATCACCCAAGGCAACTCGCACGCCGGGGTATTTCTTTGAAACAACTGCTGCCTTTTCAACATCACGTAGAAGAACACTAATTTCGTACTCAGGGTGTGTCGATGTAAGAGTGTGGAGGACCTGTCCACCGATATAGCCTGAGGCTCCGGTTCTGAGGAAGATCAGCAAACACCCAATCAGATAGTTTATTCCATGCATATGTCTACTTACAGGAAAATGCGTGCCATATTTTCTTAGAATAATTGTACTAGTATGATAGTTGGATGATCGTGGATTTTCTGTGCGAGCATCTTTAATACAACCTGAACGCGGGGCGCATCTCAATGAGGAAAGTGGTTCCGAATGTCGTGATAGATCATTCTACGATAGGAAAGTCAGTGTAGACTATACATCCAGAAAATGATTGGGCTTGCTAGATTGGAAGGACTGATAGCGACTGATTGCCTTAAATTTGAAGCTTCCTCGTGTTCGTGGCAGATACTTATACAGCAAAGTATCCTCCGCCATCATCTTTCTGTTTGGATATCTAGTTCTGTATCTCACAATAATCATTCAAGATGGCTCACCGCGGCGAGAGTCTTCACAAAGATGTCTGCTGTATTGCAGACATAAAGGAGATCGCAGGCAAGAAGCTTCCCATAATGTACCGAGGTACGTCCCTGCATAGCAACAACTTGAATCTTGGAACTTTGTGAGGCGCTGATACCTACCTGAACAGACTACTATAATGGAGGTGCAATGGACTTGATCACGTATGCTCCAATGATTCCGATACACTGTTACATACAGCTCTAACATTTTTGCAGACTGAAAGAAAATGAAACCGCCTACGACCGCTACAAAATCCGACCTCGCATCCTAGTCAACGTTGAAACCGTTGACACCAGCACAGAATTCCTCGGCACCAAAGTGTCACTTCCTTTCAGTTTCGGTCCCGCAGCCTCCCACAAGCTGGCACATCGAGATGGAGAGCTCGCGACTTCTCGCGCAGCAGCCAAATATAATATGGGCATGGGTTTATCGTCATACGCTACCTATTCGTTGGAGGACGTCATCGAGCAGAGTCTTGGAAATCCTTACTTCATGCAAATGTGCGTGTTGAAGGATCGCTATATTACGATTCAGTTACTTGAGCGTGCAGAGAGTGAGTGTTGGATCCATTCAAGACAATAATACTAGTATATGGGCCTCGGATTAATATATACTAGAGGCTGGGTACAAAGCACTTTTCCTATCTGTCGACGTGCCAGTATTGGGAATGCGGTTGAACGAATATCGAAATGAGTTCAGAATTCCAGAGGATATGACTTATCCCAACATTCTCAGCAGTGGAGGTGATTCATCTGATCGGACTGATTACGGTGAGGTCCATCTAAGAAGTATACCATTAGCAGACTCGGACTTGACTGATTGAGGTACTAGACCCAACTCTTGATTGGGAGACTGCGATCCCTTGGCTGCGAAAAAACACATCGCTTCCAATCTGGTTGAAGGGAGGTAAGAAGCACTCTCATCGAAGATTTCTCCTGATCGGGATTTCTGACCATCATTCCTAGTTTGTTCTCCCGAAGACGTTGAGCTCGCTATCAAGCACGGTATCGATGGAATTGTGATCTCCAATCATGGTGGTCGACAACTAGATGGCGCTCCATCTACCCTTGACGCTCTCAGAATCTGTGCTCCTGTTGCTCGAGGACGAATCCCAATCACGATCGATGGAGGCATCCGTCGTGGGTCGGACATTTTTAAAGCGTTAGCCTTGGGGGCCTCTCACTGTTTCTTGGGAAGAATTCCAGTCTGGGGTTTAGCTGTGAGTTTCATCCATGACCACCTGGCTCTTATCCTGTTGTTTGATTCGGCCACTAATACAAACAGTATGACGGCCAAGACGGAGTGGAGCTGGCAATCAAGATCCTTCGCCAAGAACTTAAGATTACCATGGCGTTGGCGGGGTGAGTTCTCCTTTTTTTTTGTTCATAACTCATAACTCACGATTCACCACAATTACGTATAGATGTCGTTCTATCAAAGAGATTCAACCCTCATATCTCTCTATCCTACAACCAAATGGTATCCTTGCCAAGCTATGAGACTCATGTGACCGGGAATATCGGATGAGGTGTATTTGCCAAGAACCTTGGCGTCCGCCCTCTAGGGCTGATGTTTCCACGCACACATTACATTTACCCCTTGATATTGGGCTGTTGATCTGTAGAAATCACGAAGGCAAATATGTCATCAACCTTGGAACCTTCAAAGTTAACCCAGGTACGGAGTATAATTTACCAGTAACCTATTTTTGATCCCGTATATACATATGTAGAACCTTGGGAGCATACGAATCTATTGTGGCTGTTCCAAACTGTATCGTGGCGGTGTATTCCGCGGCAAGGCGTAGTCGTAGGCAGCACCATTCCGATTAATCCGACGCTATACTTAGCACTGTCACGCAGGCGCAGTATTGGCATGTATCTTTTGATGAGAACTGGCAGGGGGAAAAAGACCCTTCCCCATAATGATGGTTGGTTCACTAGCCGAGTCTGTAGTACAATATTTGAATACTTAAACTCAAGCCGATCCTCCCCGTGATTAATTTTTTTTATTATTGTTTAAGCCGTGCCGATCACTTTCCCGTTTATTTAAAACTCGCTCATCTCCCCTCAACCAAACTTCTCATCTTCATATCTGAATTTTTTTTCGCCGTCACTATGTTCAACTTCAACTTCTTCAAGTCTGCCCCTGCCGCTGAGGCTAACTCCGCCCCGGAGAACACCTGGAACTCCACCACTCTGGCTATGCAGCAGCCCTCCAGCCCTGCCGCTCCCAACACCAACCAGAACGTTGTCTCTGAGCAGCCTGTACGTTTGATCTTGTTATAGGATTTAGCCTAATATTGCGGCAATACTAATATGTACTGTTTTTAGACTTCCCAGGAAGAGATGCAGCTCCGTGGAGGTGGTGGCGGTGATGTCTGCTGCGGAATGTAAGTCGCCAATTTTCCATACGAAATTTGAGTCCCAAGTCTGACCTTTTTTAGCTGCGCCGGTATTGCCTGCTTCGAGTGCTTCGAGTGCTGCTGCTAGATTTCTTGAGTTCCATACGAGCAATCGAGATTGGGACCGGAGATACGATGAACAATTATTGGTTCTCACCCCCTGAATATCTTGGGGTTGATGCCAGCGTCAACTAGACGGTCTATGCGATATACCCGATCATGAATACAATGATGATTTGAATCTTGTTTAATCATAAGAACATCCCTGTGCACATATGCTCTGCGTCGTAAACATGTAACCCTGACAATAATTGAACAAACTTGGGAGGGCTTGGTCTTCAAGTTCTGCTCAACTGGAAGATCGTCGGTGAATCGAGGTTCGCACCGCAGTCTCCACATCATATAACCGAAACCCAGGAGCCCGGCCTAGAATCCTCAAATTGGTCAAAAGTACTAGATTCGAAGGATGAGTAAGGCTTCAAGCTTCACATCGACAGAAGAACTTACATTCAAAGAAGCACTCCACATCGAACACATAAGTTGACTGGTTAATATCGTTTGATGTTGATCCACCCTGGTCACTCGGAGTCCCTTCACTTGACGATGCATACAGGTGAGATATAGACGCTGTCGGTGATAGGCCATGCAGAGTCCCAACTGTTTCAGATGGCACATCCAACCACAAGGAAGAACTACCTATGACAATGCCTTGTTGCTCGAGATATCCTTGAACATCATGACAGTCGAACCAATCTCCCTCTAGATCAAGCGCACGTAGACGGTCCCGTTGACTCATTGACTTCTCAGCCGCTTGGAGCTCTTCATCGCTTTCAGGTTCAGCATTTCCACTCCAATCCTCGTCCCAATCTCGGATGCCACCGCGTCTCAGGATTCGCGCCATGCGACGTAAGATCTTTCCAGGTCTACGGATGTTCTTTGGGTAGATAGGTTCTCCGTCTTCGGTCGATCGTGGGAAATGAGTACCAGCACCACCGAGTGTGTAGAAAGCCTGTTTAGTGACCTCTTCTAAGGGGCTACCGATTTCAGAATGCAGAATTCGTCGGAACGAGCGACATATGCCTGGCATGTCGTGGATGCAGGGCACGAGGCCGAATATGCGGCTTATTTGAAGTGGGTCTGAACGGGGATCTATGAGCCAACGGTATGTGTGTTCTAGGCAAAAGCGTTGGAGACGCCTTGATAAATCTGATTCTTGGTTGCTGTAGGTGTAGATGGTGGTTGTTGGGAATAGACGGTTAAGTAATGGGGACGGCGACCTTGCACGTTGATATGCGTGGTGTTTTCTCTGGTCACTACCATCTACCTCATGCTTGTTGCGAGAGACATGATATCCGAATATATCACGAAACGTCTCTGAGTCCGTGTTTTTTCCTGAAAATGATCGAGCCTTATTAATCTCCGCTAAGATCAGTTGCTTTGTGTGAGCGTGATCGTGCGATGATCCCAGACCAGAATCTTCACTGCCATCGGTAGTATCAAGTAAGCCTGAGATATTCTGCAGAGTCTGTTCAAGTGACTCCACACGACTCCTCAGTGTTTGTATAGTTGTTTCCTTCTTCTGTCTGTAGGTACGTTGAGCTCGACGGATTTGCATACGCCGTTCCTAGACCCCTGGTCAGTTTCATCTCGATGCCATCTTCTGTGAAAGCTCTACCTCAATCGCTGCAGCATCTTTTGCAGTCTCCAGTCTCGGTCGGCCACGTTTACGCACGGGACGATCTGCCAGTGGTGGTGGCGGGTCCCTCTCGGGCACTGTGTCGGTCTTGTCCGATTTGGCTCGGGATCCCCGTTCTCTCTGCGGGAAGCACGGGCCCAAGTTTTCCGAGATTTCTGGAGGAGTTTCAGAGAGAGAATCCCGTAAATTCTGTGGATTCTCGCGTTCTTGCGCTAACTCATGGCTTAGCTCCAAATAGGATCTGGCAGACAGGGTGTCAGACAGCATGAGATGAGAGGGCAGGTGTGTATAATTTGATGATTGCAATTATTGTACGAGGTGAATGTGTCTGACAATACATAATAATTAAATAGAGGGGAAGAATATGTACATTGGGGGTAGATACCCATACAATCCATGATCAATAATCGATTTAAAGCTTGACCTCGGTTCCCAAGTCATGCGGTCAGCGCGCGTTTATTTCTGCTGACTCAGCACCGTATCCGTCAGATATGGATGCCTCAGGCGCCTAAAAGGGGGTAAGACGCGCACAATCCCTGCGGAGTCGGAATAACATATCCCGTAGTCACACCCCTGTTATGAACTAATGAACTTATGACCTTGTCCAACCATATGCATTCGATGTGCATTTGACGTTATTCTTGTATTATCCGTGCGCATGCAACCTAACGTCATAACTCTGTACACCCTACAGAGTCCTCCCGGGGATGGTTTATGCAGAGACCTGGACATAACTGAATGAAATTTGAATTCTCCTTGTCTCAGATTTTAGCAGATTTTAGTAAGATCTAGTAAGATTTCATTCCCCAGTCCGTGGTTTTTCTCTCGTATTCTTTTTAGATCAATCAATCCCCGATACTACTCCCGATACTACTGAAGAGATGTGGGGGGCAAAGTTGAACCATTCCTTAATATAGTTGAGCTCCGTGTCTTAGTGAAGCATGTCATGGCCTCGGTCTTGTCCGGTATGCCTTGATCAGGATATGATCGCCACTTCTCACGCTCCACAGTACGGACAAGGAATTGTAACCAGGATGAAATCCGACGGACAATGTCAAGCTTGACCTTTCATCTCATTTCTTATTGGTTCCACCACATTAAAGATCGGCTTCACAGGATCAGAAGGCGTAACACCCCACTCCACTTCTACTGCAGAGCCGAGGTGCAACTTTAAATTGCACATTAAAATCCGATTAACTCCCCAGGAGCATTTACTTATAAACTCGAACCCCTGTCTTGTCCTACGGTGGGACCAGATCGACTCTTCACTTACAACTATGGCGGTCAACTTTATTGTTGGCTTTTTAGCTGCCGCGATAGTTCTCCAAGCTATCCGTTATGCAGTTAACTCATGGCAGCACTCACGAAAAGCTCGCAGCTTAGGCTGTGAGAATGCACCCCGACTCCCTTGCAAGGATCCCTTTGGAATCGATTCAGTGAAACAAGCAATAGAAGCAGATAAAGTGAAGATGATTCCTAAAATGGCAACAGACCGGTTTGAAGCTGTCAGCAAGCTTGAAAACCGCTATGTCACAACTTACATCTCGCGCGGTCTGGGCAGAGACGTTATTTTCACTATGGAACCGAAGAATGTACAGGCATTGCTCGCCACTCAGTTCAAGGACTTTGAGCTTGGTACCAGCCGTCGACGCTCTATGCACCCGATGTTGGGTACGGGAATTGTAAGTTGCCTGATCTTAGGCCTCCCAGTGAGATGTGAGAGCATTCTCGGCTGACCAGATACAGTTCACCGCGGATGGTCAGGAATGGAGTCATTCGCGATCATTACTGCGACCCCAATTCACTCGGGATCAAATTAGCCAGCTGGATTTGGAAGAGACCCATGTGCAGAAAGCGATGGAAGCTATGCCCGTCGCTGCAAATGGCTGGACCGGAACTACTGACATCCAATCCATTTTCTTCCGCCTGACTATGGATTCTGCGACCGAGTTCCTGTTCGGCAATAGTGTGGAGAGTCAGATGGCTGCTTTGAAAGGATTGACCGATCCTAAGGATAACTTCGCGTACTACTTTGACAAGTCTCAATGGGTCTGTACCCAGCGAGCCCGATTCGAGAAGCTTGCCTTCCTTGCAAACAACAAGGAAGCCCAGCATTCTGATAAGCAAGTTCACGCCTTTGTCGATAAGATTGTCGAGACCGCATTGCGAGAGACCGCGGGCGAAAAGAAGGTGCCCGATGAGGAGAAGGCATACATTTTCCTTGACGCCCTTACCGCCACAACCCGCGATCCGATCGAACTCCGCTCACAACTGCTCAATATTCTTCTGGCCGGTCGCGATACCACTGCTTCTCTCCTTAGCTGGACTGTTCTTCTTCTCGCTCGTAACCCTGAAATCTTCACCAAGCTCCGCGAAGTCATCCTCGAGGATTTCGGTACCTACTCGAACCCCCAGAATATGACCTTCACTGCACTCAAGTCCTGCCAGTACCTCCAGTACTGCATGAACGAGGCTCTTCGTCTTTTCCCCGTTGTTCCTTTCAATCGCCGCACTGCTACTAAGGACACCACCCTTCCCACTGGTGGTGGCCCTGATGGAAACTCTCCTGTCTATATCCGCAAGGGTCAACCGGTCGCGTATAGCACCTTCATCATGCATCGTCGCAAGGATATCTGGGGTGAAGACGCGGAAGAGTTCAAGCCCGAGCGCTGGGCTAGCCGCAAGGCTGGCTGGGAGTACGTTCCATTTAACGGTGGCCCTCGTATCTGCATCGGCCAACAGTTTGCTCTTACTGAGGCTGGATATGTTTTGGTTCGTCTGCTTCAGCGCTTCGATCAGATTCATGATGTCAATGCGGACCAGCCTATCCGCTATGGCTTGAATTTGACTCTGTGCCCGGCAGATCTGTTGACTGTCCGCATGCATGAAGGTGAGAATGCTTAAAATGCATTATATGGAGGTAGTGGGAGGTACTTTGCATAATCATTTTTGGCGTGGAAGACGTGCGTCAACTCAGGCTGCATCTTTTTTATTTTCATTGGCGCAGGAGCACTCTCAAGTGCTCTTAGTCATTTTGTATTCTGCCATTTGACTTTTTTTTCATTCAAGCACTTGCGTGCGTGTATATTGGTATAGCTATGTGACGACGATTACGAATTACTAGTACTCACAAATGGAACTTACAAATAGTACTGAAAAATCATTCTGAAACTCATACAATTTCAATGCTTCCTCAACTTGCCTAGCATACACTGCAGGCAATACCCTGTATCGCCTCAGCGACAGCAGTATAAGCCGGATGTCTAGTTAAATCCGAGTAATAAAGATCTGGATCTCCCTCTCCATCATAACTCGCAGGCTGAATCCAGCTGTACTTATCATCGAAATCCCACACTGTCATCCCCGTACACTCAGCTGTGTTCATACAAGCCGAGATAGTATTGTAGTATATCTGAGCCTGCTCAGCCAAAGCGGTTGTAGTGCACGGAACAGCAGTGCAAGGTACATCCAGCTCTGTGACATGCACCTGCAGTCCCAATGCCGTAAAAGACGCCATGGCTGCCTCTTGCTGTGCTAGAGTGGGACCCCAAGAGGTACTGTAGTGGGACTCAAAGCCAACACCGTCGATATGAGCACCACCCCAGGCTTGAATTTCTTGGACAAGCGCTATTGCCGCAGTATTTTTTGTGCCTGCCCACTCGATGCTGTAATCGTTATAGAAGAGTTTGATGTCTTCTCCGAGTGACTGGACTGCTTCGTAGGCATATTGGAACGCTAGTGGAACGTATGCGGATCCGATTATTTCAGAAAAGACTAAATCGATTCGTCAGTCTGAACCCTTTAGGTTTCTTTCAAGCAACATGAGAATGTAGACTTACCGTTGGAAGTTAAACTTCCATCACTATTAAGTGCTTCATTCACAACATCCCATGAGTAACATCCACTCCCGTAGTACTCAATCTCAGCCTTGATGTGAGTCTCCATGGCCGCCAGGAGCGTTGCATTTGTCCAAGTCCCTCCAGTAACCCAACTTGGCAGTTCCGACGACCACACAAGATTATGACACCGGACCTTCTTCCCTGTCGCCTGCGCTAGCGCGATAGTTTCCTCGCCTTCGCTGAAGGTGAACACGTTTTGGGTAGGCTCAGTGAATTCCCATTTCATGGTGTTTCCAGGTGTAACTTGTCCGAATATATTGGTGTCGTTGAAGACTGTCATATAGTCGACATCGCTCGGTTCGGCCGTTGTCGTGTCCATGGCCGTACCGAACCATAATTTACCGGCGGCTTGAGCGAGGTTGTTGAGATATGGGGCTGAAGTGTCTTGACGACGCTGGTTTTGCTGGGCGGGAAGGGCGTGAACTGACGTTGTCGCCGCCAGAGTAGCCAGGAGGCTCCTTTTGAGTGTCTTCATGATGTACTGAGGCTAGGCCAATGGATCTGGAAGTATTCTCTCTGATATTGAGCCTTTTTCATCCTGGACTCCTGTGAAGAAAGACACGTTTTTATAATCTTTTTTTTGCATTCGTAAGTAAACATTCTTTCATTTCACTGGTGCCCTCTTTTGGAACTCGGCGCAAGGTCCGCAACAGGATGTGTATGGAGTTAAGTCCGTGTGGAGTTTCTGATCATCAAGTGCTTCAGCATAAAACTCTCGGGCCACCGGGACAGAGTCTCATACAGCCATCACTGTCTCTCATAGCCGGTCGGAAGGACCCCTTGCCAAAATAAGATCATGATCTGCTTGTGTTTTGCTGATGAACGAAGGAAAATTTACGATGAAATATGCCTAAAACCCCAGATCCAGTGTTAAGTAGAGGCAGTATCATGTCAAATCAACTACCGAGATCTGCAGGAGCTGAAGAGTTCCACCTTCAAAGCGGGGAATTTGCCTAAATGGTTTCTTCAAGGATCATTTCATGTCCGTGGCGCCGTCGGTTTGAAACAAGCTTTCGTCTTGGCCTAAAATGAGATGAAATGTCATATTAAATCTACCCTGAACCCTTGTTATTCATATTTAGGCAAAACAAACTGAAGAATTGAATGATTTCCCCGCACAATGATACATAATACCTAGGTAGGAAACACTTGAAACCTTCTGGTATAGAAACGCGCATTTAATCCCAACTAAGCGTAGTGGTTTTCGACCTTCAACCCCTTAAACTCAAATGATGTGTTTTCTCGTCGGTCAATCACAGTCTTGTGGTGTACATCTCGAACCCGAGCACGAACATACTCGGTTCCCGTCGCGACAGGTTTACTTGTATCTTTATCATCATCACTGAGTAGACCAAGGCGATCGAGTAGAGGCGAGGGTACCGTTCTCATGACTGTATGATCGCCGGGTCGAGCGAAGTAGAGTAGGCCAAGACGGGGAATGTCGATTTGGTCCTTTGGTGGTGTGACCACTCGATGGATTGTAGACTTGAGGAAGCCTGCACATGTATCTCTTAGCAAGCTGTTCTACTGGAATATCTCTCAAGCACTCACCATTGGTCAAAAATGATAATGTATCCGCAACATTGCAGGTAATTCCACCGTCGACGGGCTTGACCCATTTCCACTCGCCTTCTGGTGTCCTAATCTGTAACCCAGCAACATGCTGTGAGAATAATAAGGTCAAACTACCGAAGTCTGTGTGTCCACCCTTTGTATAGCCCTGCGCCTTATCCCATTCCTCTTGTGTTCGAAGATTGTAAATCATGTATCGCAAATGGTCATCGGAGAGTTTGTCATAGGCATGGGCTTGGGATAGGAAGTCTTCTGGCAGCTCCAGAATAATCGACATCAAGACAAAAAGCTTGTCAACAACTTTTTCATAGAGTTCACGGTGAAAAGTCGCGATTTCGTCCCAGTTCTGACTGACAAGTCTGTGTCTAGGAACATTCTCCCATTCGGGAATGGCTTTGGGGATGTTAAGCTGGATGAGTTAGCTAAGAGCAGTCCACTCGAACAAATTTGAATCGCTCATACCATTTCCACATTATCCTTCACACCTGTATCTCCAATCCATCTCGAGTTCTCCCGGTATCCAAAGTACTCTCCATCGGCGAAGTTGCAAGGGAACCTTTGCTTTTCCTCGAGTGGCTCCTTGAAAAAGGCGTTACCAATACTGAACTGACGTAGGACGCGTTCATCTTCAATTCCGTGTCCAACAACCACCCAAAAGCCAACACGAGTCACGGCATCATATAACTGTTTCGCGAGTTCTTCTTTTCCGCCGGGTTGGTCAAAGCGAGATAGATCGATCTCGACCAATGGAGCCCATCCAAGTTGTTCTGCAGTGGGTGTGGGGCGAGCCCACGATTTAACAGGGACTCTCTCCGTTGGAACGGGTTGTTCAATTGCGGATGGTGCCATTTTGTTTTCAAGATGGAATGGAATCCAAAAGTATCGATTAGCATCTGATAGCGATGGAGCAAACATGCACTTATATATCCCAATTTTATCTATTTGCACATCTCATTTTCTCTCATTTTTATGCTCATTTTCTTTATTTTACACATGCGTCGGTCGCTGCGGGGTTCTCGGATAGTATCATCGCTTCCCCGGATTGCGTACGATCTTCGGCATTGTGCCGATGCACAAATTGAGCCAGGCCTATGAAACCTCCTACTTTCAAGGCCATCTCGATCAATCTTTAGTGATTCTGAGCATATTTCGGTGGAATTATGTGGATCGAGCCGGTTGAAATATCCCATTAGATGATTTTGGGTGCAAAACAAGCAAGGCGGTTGGTTAAATAAGGATTCACTCGTCGTGGGCCTATGAGAACAGCAAGATCTTTATCTTCTGCGATGGGGAAACTATCCGAGAAAGAAAGTTCAATCCAACTTCGAGCTGTGATGCTTCAGAAGACATTCAAGTTTGAAAGAAAACATATACGAAGCTGGATGTCGTGATCTAAGCCATCATGGTACAAGCTGATCCTGGCTCACTCGCCACTGCCCCTGGCATTTGTATAAGAGGTAGGATGTGAAGTATTTCAAGTTGGAAACATGCATCTTCAAGTTGCACTCCGATCCCCAGTTCTTCCTATTATGACAAAATATTCGATATCATGACGTCCAAAAAAGATCGTTGCGAAGAGATAATCACCACGCAGTTGTCTCCAGCGCCATCAAGCAAGACGATACAGCAAAATCCCGACGATACCGGACACGCAGTCCTAGAGAGACGAGTATTGCGAAAAGTCGATTTTTGGCTCGTGGGATTCTATTCACTCGTATACATTTTCCGAGTCATCGACTCCAACAACTACGCCAATGCCGCTATCATCAACCTCGAATCCGGCACCGGCATCAAGAAAGAGCTCCATCTTGATGCCTCACAATGGTCATGGTCTCAGTCAATTTTCTCATACAGTTATCTCATCTTTGAGCCAAGCAATACGCTTCTTCTCAAGTACTTCAAGCCCTCAAGATGGATGTTCGTTTTGATCTTAGCTTGGGGTATATGTGCATGCTCAGCTGGCGCTGCACAGAACTTTTCAGGGATGATGTGTGTGCGATTTGCGATCGGAATGGCTGAAGCCGGATTTTATCCTGCCGTACTCTATCATATGGCATTCTGGTATAAGACCTCAGAGATGCCGTGGAGAGTGGCTCTATTTTACTCACTGGGTCAAGTATCAGGCGCATTGAGTGGACTTCTAGCATATGCTATCGGTTTCATGAATGGAATTGGTGGGCTTTCAGGTTGGAGATGGCTTTTCATCCTTGAAGGTCTTCCTGCAATTGTGCTCTCTGTTGTCGCGTTGTTTGGTCTTCCAGATTACCCTGAAACAGCACGCATGCTGACGGAGGAGGAGAGATTGTTTTGGAAGAGTCGTTTATCCACTAAAGCACCATCTGGGGAAGGAGAAAGCTGGGACTGGGGTAGTATCAAAGCTCTCTTCTCCAAAGCTACTACTTATACCTTTTCCCTATACTGGATTGGTCATGGGATTGGCGGATTTGGTGTGACCTATGCCTTGCCCACTGTCATTTATGATCTTGGGTTTACATCGACGGCTTCAGCTCAGCTGATGAATATTGTGAGTTGAGCTCTGACATTATGACACATTTAAGAAACAGGTACTAATTATTCTCTGTGATAGCCTCCATATGTTGCCTGCTTTTTCTTTCTCAACACAATGGGATATTTACTCCATAAGAAATTGATTCGGCCTTGGACTACTGCAGTTGCGAGTAAGTTCGACTCTCAACATCTGATGCACCTACTATTGAATCTAAACTAATACCGAACAGTCGAATCTACAACAATCATCTGCTACATAATTCTCATCACTGTCCCGAGCTCAGTTGTCAAGTATCTTGCACTGGTTGTAGCAACCGCCTGTGCAGGCTCTGCGTACCCCGTCATCTGGCCAGAGCGTATTCGTGCGCTCGACGGTACAAGCGCCACAGGAATTGGCATAGGTCTAACGAACGCGATGGCACAATTTAGTGGCATCTGTGGACCTTTCATATACAGTACTGTATTTGGTCCCAAGTACCGAGTGTCATATGTTATCTGCCTTTGCTTTCTTTGTGTCGCTATATCGGGTATTCTGGCCTCGTGGTGGCTTGTCTGGAATGCTGATAACAAGAGAGGTGCTGAGTCTACTGATGAGTCTCAAACTGAGTCTCAAAATGAGTCATGATGTATATAGGTATCTGGTATACGATACTTTGAAATGAAGGAACAACGTACTAGCACTTGAGCAACATTAGTTGTGCCTATCTAATCCAAGTCTTATCCGAGATTTATCAAGGCAGAACTTCATGATTGATGCCTAGCAGTGTGTGGCGTAGGCGTAAGCGCTCCGGGCTACTTCTCATTGGTTATAAGTGACAGGGGTTCAGGACTCCGAGTTGGAGCTTTGAACTTGAAAGCCTGGGGCTCAACTTCAAGCTGAATTTGAATGCAGCTACAACTACTTCTCCAGTTCAAAAAGGTTTGACTGCCAAAGCCCAAATGATGGATTTCCTTTCATCCTGATCGTTCCTCTACAACTGCTACTAGAACGCCTGACTCGACCATGGACCTGTCTTTTTTTGCGGCCTGTTCAACTCCAATTTGGGGAGACGGTCAATTCTCATCCTGCGTCCAGCAAAAATATGTGTCAAATATCATCCCCTTCATCGGTATTCTCATATCTGCTAGATCCCTATTGTTGGCCTGTGTGCGTCGGCAGCCCCGGCGGCAGACTCGGAGGCATCCACAATTAGCGGGATTCGAGCCCCTGACAAGTTTACCCAGCGACCACCTACCAAACAATTCAACAGGGAAGCCATTGACTGTCGGCCATGGGCTATGGCTAATCCGGCTGGAAGGCTGTCTGCTGGCGACAAATTTAGCCTTATTTTTCCCTTTCATATTCAAAAACGATCCCTCATTAGAATAGACTCCGTTCGGGTTGTTTTTCTCATCCCTTTACCTCATTCTTCTGTGGATTATTGGACAACAATGGGGGCTACCTGGCCGACCAAAGGCTTTTATATTGATATGCCTGCATTTGGGAATACTTTATGCATTGTACTGGCTATGCATGTTCAATATCGTGTTATCAACTTTTGCTGGAACAGCCGCCCGTCTCTGGTCCAGCTCCTCCCTCCTTCAACTATTTCTCTTTGCACTGATTCTCCTGCTCCATGTTACAGCCCCAAATGTCAGTGAGGAATCTTTTCGAGATGAGCATGACTCTCTTCCACCGACAGAAGAAACATCTGCAAGTCTACTATCACGTTGGAGCTTTTCCTGGGTGGGTGCTGTTACCTGGAAAGCGTTCAAAACTCCACTAAATATCAGTGATCTCTATGCTTTGAGCTACAATAATAAATCTGCGGTTGTGGTCAAGCAATTTTACAGCGCAGCACCGAAAACATTTGCATTGTTCTGGAGGTTGTATCGTTTTGCAAAATATGACCTGCTTCAACAGGGCGCCTGGGCTATGCTATTCAGTTTGACAAGCTTTTGTCCAGCGATTCTGCTTCGAGTTATTCTCAGTTATGTGGAGTCGCCTGAAACCGTGTCTCGAAACGATGCCTGGCTTTGCGTCGGAGGACTTTTAGTCACTGGAATTATCACAGGAATCTCGGACTGCCAGTGTGAGTGGCTGGGTCGAAAAGTTAGTGTCAGGCTCCGAGCGATCCTGATAAACGAAATCTTTGCAAAGGCTTTGATGAGGAGAGTGACGAGACCTTCTGAGAAAAAAGATGATGGAGAAAGTCAGGCTCAAGATAGCCAAGCTACGGATGGAAATATCCTCAACTTGATGACTGTGGACACTGCTAGCACCTTCGAAGCCAGCGCACATATACATATTGTCTGGATCAATCTCCCATTCCAGCTAACGATTGCATCTGTGATTCTGTATAAAATTCTTGGGATTAGTGGTATCCTGGGAGTTCTTCTGATGATCGCTTCCCTACCACTGAATATCCTGGTAGCCAAACGCCAGGTGGCAGCTCAGATGAAGGTGTTGAGCGCAGGAGATGCTTGTGTTCAAGCGAGTAATGAGCTCATCACCAATATTTGCACCATAAATCCCTGCACATGGGAAGCAGAGTTTCGAAAGAAAGTGCGCGATCTTCGGGAAATAGAGCTCTCTGAACTACGTGGTCGTTTCTTCTGGTGGTCAATTTCCATGACTTTTTTCTACTCTCTGCCTTTCATCACGACAATCCTCACACTTTCCGTTTATACTGTTGTTGAAAAACAGAATTTGGAGACTAAAGTTGTTTTCCCTGCTTTGGTAGTTTTTGCAGTCCTTCATGTCCCGTTAGATAGAATGTCTGCCATGATATCTTTCATGCTGCAAGCGCACGTCTCTGTCGGTCGCATTGAACAGTTTTTGAAGGAGAAAGAGACTAGTTGATCTCATCAACTGCCGGGCGGAGGGGACTCTTCGATCGGCTTCGAAAATGCCACTTTTAAATGGCCTGCCACTGGAGAGGGAGAAAATGATGCTAGAGGTGACATTCTGGGCACATCTCCCTCCGCCCCGTTTCAACTGTCTGATCTGCAGATTCGATTTCGCAGGAACGGACTCAATGCCATATTTGGCCCCAGCGGCTGTGGCAAGTCGTCCCTCTTGTTGGCCTTGTTAAGAGAGATGGAACTTCTACGAGGCCGGGTACACCTGCCACTGAGATGGCGGACCAATAATCAATCTCTATTCTCGCACAATGCCGATGAATCTGGAATCACGGGTGTGGCATATTGTTCCCAAGAGCCTTGGATAATGAACCAGACCGTTCGAGCCAATATTTGTTGTCGCAGGAGAGCGTGGTAGTTGTTTATCTGGTGGCCAGAAGCAAAGAATTTCATTAGCACGGGCGTTATACAGCAACGCCCATGTTCTAATACTTGATGACTGCCTCAGTGCACTTGACTCACGGACTGGAAGACGTATCTTTTTTCAGGCGATCAAGGGTCCCTTAATGAAAGGCAGAACATGTATCCTCACCACTCATCACAGTCAGCTTGTTTTGCCGCATTGTGACTATGCAATTGTTTTGGATGGTGGACGAATCAAAGGGCAGGGTACAGCATCGGACCTTGTAAATGCGGGCCTGATGGAGGCAAACATACAAGATATCCAAGCAAAAGATAATATCGACCTTTCAGAAACTCCACAAACGACTGCTGCGCATAGTCCAGACTCAATGGAGGCTTCATCAGATGGAGAAATTGAAGGTGATGGTGAAACTTCAGATCTCAGAGCCGAGCCGGAATACACAGAAGAAATGTCAACTGGAGCAGTCCCCCCTTCTGTGATAAGGACATACCTTACGTCGATGGGATCATCGTGGTTTTGGATGATATTAATGTTGCTGGGTTTTGCTCTTCAACAAGTAACGTCTCTGGGAACGAACCTGTGGATCAAGAGATGGGCGCACGAGTTTGACAAGTTGGAACAATTCCTGACAGCTGGACAAGACCCCAACACCGTAAATTCGAGCTATTGCCTGGCGATATACGGTTTGATATACCTGTCATATGTTCTCACCTCCTTCATTCGTGATCTTACGACTTTCTCTGGAGCACTCAAAGCCTCAGCCCGAATTTTCGACAACTTCTTAGATTCAATTCTTCATACCCCTCTTACTTTCTTTGACGAAGTTCCATCTGGGCAGATCCCAAATCTTTTCTCCAGGGATGTGAGTGCAATTGATCAAGAGGTTGCCGTTCATTCTATGAGCACATTCTATACATTCTGTTCTCTTGCTACGATCCTTATTCTGATATCGGCTATTGTACCCATGTTTCTTCCCGTGGCAGCTTTCATTTGCTTTGTCTATTATATCATCTTCAAGGTATACATAAACAGTGCACGAGACCTGAAACGACTTGAGGCCGTTCAGCAGTCTCCATTATATCAGCATTTTGGAGAGGCAGTTCGTGGATATATCAGCATACGAGCTTATGGACAAGTCGCCCGGTTCACTAAAGAGAATCATTGCCTGATCGACAGTTTCAATCAACCGTATGTCCTACTTTGGGCAGCCAAGCAGTGGTTAACCGTGCGTGTAGCATGTCTGAGCGCATTGATATCTTGGCTTACTGGCATCTTTTTGCTTTGGCGGCTAGACCATGGGACTGTGAACCCAGGAATTGCTGGGTTGGTCCTTACATACGCTGCAACCTTCCCTGAAAATGTGCTCTGGCTGGTCCAGCTACATACTATTGTTCAACAGAGCTTCAACTCGGTTGACCGTGTGACTAGGCACACCAAAATCTCATCGGAGTCAAGCGAGTCACTTGAGGAAAGTTTGTTCGACCTTTCACCCAAGTGACATACGCATGGCGCTGTAAATTTCAGAGTCTACACCACCCTATGCGCCCCGAACTCGGCCCCTCTTGATGCCACAGATGCACTGATCCAGGCTGGGCTACGATCCTCCATTGCCAAGGGACTACCATCTTGACTATTGCGCGCCGTCTCTTGTCCATTACAGATTATGATCATGTGGTTGCTATGGATGCCGGTCGAGTTGTAGAGCAGGGCCATGTGGCAATTCTTCTTCGTCGCCGAGGTGAGAGTGCCCTTTTTCGCCATCTGTGCGAGCAAACGGGCAGCGCAAGTTGAACTGATTGGAAACTAGTGTTGCACAATCTGTACTATAATTTTCTGTGGAACTCTCGGTCGCTTCCATGATTATGATTACTCTTTGACTACAGCTTTGACATACATTATCTCTGCTTATCCCCAGATGTTCTTTAGATTCCAACCTTGGAAGGTTGTAGTGTATGCGCATATAGGTGGATCATGACTTGCGAAATGTGGGTCTACAGTGTGGATAAGGTACAAAATGGAGATACCCTATTCGTTAATAAAAGGAGTGGGGCGCATCTATACGAATTAGCTGGTAACTGGCAACGCAGGACATCGGTAAGACGCCGCGAGATGGGGCGCTTTTCATATGAGCCTCATCACGTTTTCACAGACTTATATGCGATCAAAATGTGAAAGTAATATAGAGCAAGAAAATCTACTATGTAGACATGTCTGCTAGAAATGAATGTTAAAATATACAAAGAAGGACAAGCCTTTGAAGAAAATAATCACCAAACCAAAAAAGCACTTCTCCTTTTAATATTCCTTCGCAGCACCGCCTTTACTTAAACACACTGGTAGTAGTAAGGATTCTGGTCCTTGCAGATGTAGGGAGCCTCGCAAACAGTACCACCAGTCCAGTTAATACCACCACACTGGTAGTAGTGGGCAACAAGTTCACCGGTTGCGGAGGCCGAGGCAGCAGTAGATGAGGACTGGGTGGAGGAAGTAGCAATGGCAAAGGTAGTAGATGTAGCCTGAGGGACATAGACGGAGATGGAGACGACTGAGGTGGTGGTCTCAGACTCAGGGGGCAACGGTAGCAACAGGGACAGCAGTAGATGAAGTGGTGACAGAGTCAGCAGAGGGGCTAGGGACCTCAACCTGGCTGTTGGGGGTGGTAGTGGGCTCGGCAGCAACAGAGGTAGTCTTCTCGGCAGCGGAAGAGGTAGTTGTCTCAGCAACAGCAACGACTGTAGTCTTTGAGGCGGATGTAGTAGTGGAAGTGGAGGTAGTAGAGCTGGAAGAAGAGCTGGAAGAAGAGCTGGAAGAGGAGCTGGAGGTAGAGGTAGAAGTAGAGCTGGAGACGAAGTACTTCTCCAGAATGGGGAGGTAGGTCGAGTAGGCTGGACCATCAGTTGGCTCCAAGCTGTACATGTAGGTTCCCCACCAGGGACCAGCAGACCACCACTCAGCACCCATCCAGACATCATTGTTCTCGCTCATGTAGCTGAGCATACCCTCAACGGCGGTCTCGCAAACGGAGTTAACACCACCGGCGAACTCGCCAATGAAACCCTTCTTGTTGTTGTCCTTGAGCCACTGAGTGGCCGACTCCAGACGTTCCTGTCCAATGGTGCTGCTGACACAGGTCTCGGAAGTACCGGAGCTGTCGGAGTCCAGGTACTGGTGCATCTCGTAGATGATCTTGTCCTCAGTATCGGTCAAGTTGGACATGTTGTCGTTGTAGGTGGTCCATGACCAGGCACCGGTGTAAGCATTGCCCTCGGCGAAGATGTACTGGGTAGTGGCGCCAGCGGCACGGATAGCGTCAATAGCTGCCTGGTTCAGCTCCAGAACCAGAGACTGGTCCATGTCGTGGTACTCGTTGTCTGGGGAGGATTTATCAGCTTGGGACTAGAAGGCCATCTCATATGTCAGTCTTACTTGTATCAAAGATCACCAGATTGTTGCTTGCAAACTCGGTGGCCACAGTCGTCCAGAAGGTTCCGAAGTCGGAAGTGGAGGTGATGATATCGCCGTTGCTGTGAACAGTCAGCACTACTATTTCATAAAAACTAGCTCCGTCCAAGAATCTGCTCACTATCTTCCGTAGTTGTGGGGGTCAAGAACAGCATAAGCGCCGCTGTTTGTGATGAATTCGACAGTCTATTACCAAACTGCGTTAGCCATGAATGAATCATATATAGCATACCAGTCAATTACTCACAGTCTTAAGATCATCGAAGTAGGTAGTAGCCAGCGAGCCAGTCATGCTGTCAGGTACCAGACGCTCCATCAAGAAGGGAACTCGGAAGATGTTCATGCCAGCATCGCGCAGGACCTGGATATTGGCTGTGGTGGGCCAGGTGTAGTCCGTACCCAGAGCTCCGGGGATGGCAGTACCGAATTCTGCACCAGACTCGTTACAACCGACCCCTACAGATTGTCAGTGAATTGCTCTCGAGCCACATAACCTTGTCAATCATCAACCTACAGGTGAAGCCAGAGGAGCGCTTTTTCAAGGCACTCCGCTTGCTAGGGATGACATCCCGTCCACGAGGGTAGGCTGAGGCCAATCCAGCGGCACTGGCAGCCAGAATCAAGTTGCTAAGTCTCATTTTGGTTGGAGAAAAATAATAGAGAGAATGACTATGAGCTTGTCGAATGAAAGAATGATGCACAAGGCAAAAAGAATGGAAAGATCAAGAAACCAGTCTTGATGCTTGAATCGCAAAGAATGAATGAAAGATGAAAAGAAAGTTGAAAGCATAAAACGCGGATGGGTTCATATTATATAGGAATGGCTAGCCTCGACTAGTACTGGTAACCGACCGCAATGAAGGGGCCAGCAGTTCGGCTAGGCATCACAGCATCTGATACACGGTGTGGATTCGGCGTTCGAGGCCATCCTTCGGGCAGATTCACCGAAAAAACGTTTGAATCCACCGACTCGTCACGGTTAAAGCTCCGGCGGATGCTGACCCTGTAAATCCGAGTCGACAAGTTCCTAGTATATGTGTGGAGCAATCGATCCATCCAATATCCAAATAAGATGATAGCTTCATTTAGAGGAGAGCCACAGGGGCCAGTACGAGTGGAACGAAATGATCTGACCATATGCAAACAGGGAGAAGGTAGTAGTTTGAAAGATTAGCCTGGATCCAGAGTGGAGTGGGGTTTGACGTTGGGGCCCACAGGGGTCCAGGGACATTTCGATTAATTCCACAGCGCTAGAAGGTGAGATTCGTATAGGTGGAAATTCTGGAAAAATCAGCAAAGTAAATTAGTCTTGGAAATCAGGGCAAAAAGGTGGACTGAGCCATTCCGAGTTGGGAGTGTGGCCGAAAGGAAAAGCGCCGAGTAGATGAGCGGGCGTATCAATATGAAACATAACCGAGCTAGAGGCGGATCCCTTAAGCTTGACTTTATCCGTCAACACTTTCATAAAAAAAGGAGACAGAATGTCTAGTTTTTATATGATATTAGTAGCAAAACGTGCTCTGGACAAATAAAGTAATTTAAATAAGGGAGCAGAAAGCGTGAAAAAGTTCAAGTATCTTCAATTGTGTGATGCCACCTGGGGGCATACAGTGTCATAAAATCATAACACATTAATTCTAGGCGCAATGTATCATCAAGTCCCCTGCGGAGAAGACTCATATCATTGTTCGATATGAAATTCAAACGACCGATCGCCTTTCCCAATGGGTACAGCATTGACATCAGTGTCGTAGAGCGTTCGCTCAAAGTACCTCACTCTGCCATCATGGGTGGCCAACAACACAGTTTGTTTCTGCGTTCCATAAGGACCACTTGTATAATCTGGTCCCACGCCCCCGTTTGTCGGGGCTTGGTTGGCTTCATCTTCAACCCTTGCCGCGGCAGTCTCTTCCGCTTTGCGATTGACATCTTCCTTTGTCCCAATGACAGGGACAAATATGCTCTTGCGTAGGTGCTTGATGTAAGTGTCAATATCCTGGTTTTCCTCCTCTGGCAGTCGAGGTAAAGTATCGATGCAAAGCACCTGAAGCAGACGCTGAATCAATGCGTCCTCATCCTCTTGCGCCTGAAAATGAGCTTCGATGGCTGATTCCATAAGTTTCTCGCCATCCAGGATCTTCGGCCACGTTCGATCGTCCACTGTCGTGTTGCTCAATCCTCGGGTCTGGTCTTTCTCCGCAGCAACCCAAGTAATCTGGTCCATGTCCGAGGAGCGATTGGAAACAATGGCCAGTGGCTCGTTGATGTAACCACACACTAAACTAAAACCGCCGACTTGTTTAGCCTCTTCACTCGCGACCATGGACTGCACAAAGTTATGAGTGCTTCCACGATCACTGGGTGGACTTGTCAACCAGCTGTTCACAATCAAACCTCGACTGTATTGTCCGATGGCCTGATAAGCCTTATCTTCTCTGTAGTTGGTGAGTACAGCCAATTTTCCCTGCTTTGTGACGCCCATCCAAGTTCCGTGAGTAGACCGGGCTAGGTCGCGTGAGCCGAGGACATGTGAGCATGACTCCGGCCACCAGTCTGGGTCTGAGGTTGGGCGATGAAGAAACTCCTAAAACGATGTCAGTAATGATTTCCGAGAGCGAGACAGATAGTCTAGTTTTCACTCACATCTCTGTTATTGATGACGATCAAGGAATAGGCAGGATGGGCGGTCGAGATCAAAGCGATACACATGGCGAAGTTACCGAGGTGGAGTAGCTGGGTATGCGGGGATTGGAGAGACGGGATTCAAGGTGCAGGATGCAGGATGCAGGATACGCAGCTGTCAAAGGTCATAAAACAAGAAGATGTGATGAAAGAGAGCAGTGATATTCGGGAGAAGTGTTGTGGAGGACAAGTGAGGACTCCTTATTCGGCCGTCATACAAGGAACTGGAACATCGGGTGATTGTGCCGATCCCGATCTCCACAGTCAGTTTGGAGATCTAACTTTAGAGCTTTGAAACTTCAATATAATTGAAAGAATAAAGTAATTTGAATATGACCGGGGAAGGATAGATCTTATCAGGTACGTATAAGTAAAGTTATAACAATCAGATATGTCAAAGACAAAGAAGTAACCATGTTTTGCCCGTGACGTCAAGACGAACCGTTGACTTTTTTTCAGCTGCTGCGGGTCTAATGCTTCACCTGATATGGATGCCTACATTGTGGACACTTGATGTGGATTACTCTTTTCTATTTTTTCTTTTTCTCTCCTTTACAACTGACTCCTCATTTACGTTGATTGATCCCTCAAAAGTTGGGATTTTCCTATTCAAAGATCACCCTTTTGCTTCTATTATAAGCCCTTCGACCTGGGGTTGGAGGGGAAGCTGCCGTGGATCATCTTGCCCCTCGTGACTTGTGCTCTTAAACTTCAACACCATGTTTGGCATTTTTGCGGACTTATTGTCGTGAGTCTTAATCAAGGCTGACTCTGGGCAATGCAAAGAAATGCCATGCTGATATCCCGATAGCTCCATCATCACCATCCTTTTCCCCGTCTTCGCATCTTACAAGGCTCTCCGCTCTTCCGATCCTTCACAACTCGCACCATGGTTGATGTACTGGGTGGTTCTATCGGTGATTCTGCTGGCAGAGTCATGGACCGTGTTTATTATCGGATGGTATTGTGTGAATCTCCCAATTTTCAGAGGATTTATTCGCTGACTAGCCCCCAGGTTTCCATTCTATAGTTGGATCCGCCTGTTCTTTATGTGCTATCTCGTTCTCCCGCAGACTCAGGGTGCTCGACTCCTTTACCAGGATTATGTCGATCCTTTCCTTACCCACCACGAGCGCGAAATTGAGGAGATCATCGGTCGCTCTCACGAACGGGCCAAGGCACTTGGATTACAATATTTCTACCAGGCTGTGGATCTGATTCGGACCAAGGTTCTCGGGCTTCCTCCTCAGCAACAGACCCCGCCACCCCCTTCGGGACCCGCATCTTACGCCCAGTCTTTGTTGTCGCGATTCAACATCCCGACCGCTGCGTCCGCCTCTAGTTCGGGTGACTGGTATTCTGCCCTGAGCTCAGCTCTCGGTTCAGTCACCTCCCCCGGGAAGTCGCGTGAAGTGCACGAGGAAGAGTTATCGGCCAGCGGGACCCTTCTCCAACAACGAATTCAATCCATGACCGGGGCGGACAAGGCCCGATTTATCTCGCATCAGCGGGAAGTACTGGATTACTTGCGATCGACTCTCATGCGGGAAGAACAAGCCATCCACCGTGATCGTGAGAATGACACAGATGATCTCGCATATGGAGCCCCGTTGCGCAAAAACGAGAGTGACAACTCCTTTGATGTTGTGGATGATGAAGATCTTGGGTCACGTGGGCCTCGTACAAGCGGGAAATGGAGTTCAGGATGGTTAGGAGGTGATCATGATTCTTCGGGTTCTTCGGATTATGCATCTCGCACTACGGGATATGATCGATATAACTGAAGAGTGAGCCAAGCATAGAAAGGGGGTTTTTTGGTTCAAGTTTGTCTTGGTTTTATTTTATTTTTTTCCCTGTTCTTGCTATAAGACTGGGTTATGTTACTGTATCACTTGGGGTTGTTTGCTTATCTCTATATAAGACTTTGCTGGAATAAAAGCTGAGGCTCCAGATCACCTCACCCCGATGTCAATTCCTATTTCCTCCGTAAACTAGACTAGTCTATATTTACTAATGTAAGTAACAGCCGAGAGCCGAATCAATCCGGACAACATTTACTAAATTACTAGTAAATGCTGCAAGGCGGAACTCGGGAGAAGTCGATCCTAGGCATGCGATGCATAGTAATGTACGGAGTACCCCCTTTGATATCCCTATCCGCTATGACCTAGATTATAGGTATGACTCAAAAGATGACACGAGACTAGTAATTAGTAGTAATCACTAGTAAGTTATTCACAATATTAAGAGATACAATAGTAATAATATTATCTAGGTATAATAATATAATATTATAATATAAGTCATAGAAGTATGTACTCCGATGCCGAAACGGGAAAGTGGCAACTCATACTAGTAGTGATTAAGATGTCTTTTACTATGAGATCCAAGGTCCCAGTGCTCATATCTATGGACAGTATGATACAATTTAATATATTTGAAGTAGATTCATGTTAGTAGTCCAATGAATATCCTTGAGAGTAAACTTGAAGTAATCAGTAGCCTATATAGCCCTACAGAGTACACCGATGTCATGGTGGCGGTAGATCCCCATACAACTTGAAGACCATTTTTTCAGCATCTTTCCCTTTTTTTAATTTCTCCCTATCCATCTTTCTGGATTCTTCGGAAATCCCAGATCTATCTAACTCATCCTATTATAGAAAGTTGAGTTGTTAACTGTGAGTTGATCTCTTTCCCGCATTTTTTTTTTCCCACCGAAACAACTTTTTTCCTGGATTTTTTTCTCCTTCCCACACACAACCGTCGTGTTGAACCTCCCACCCCCATCTTTTTCCCTTGTGGACCACACGCTGCTTTTTTTTTGTTTTAAAAGCTGCGTTCTTTTTTTAGTGGTCGTCATTTCATTCGGTTGATTTGACCCTTTCTTTTTTTTTTCTCCTCCCCAAAAAAAAAAAAAAAAAAAATTCTAACCTCATCTCCCCCTCTCCCGGTGTGCAGATTTCCTGGTTTGAATGTGGCCTTAAACCACTTATTTCATACCTTGACCAATACCTCGTCTCTCTCTCTCTCTCTCTCGAGTTATCCTCTCCGCTTACGACTTGTCGCGCGTTTGACGTGAACACCAACCTGTCTAATGAGCTCGAACCTTTCTCAGTCGGGCGTTCAACAAGGACAGAGCACCGCTTCTACTTCCCCTCAGCCCGCCGCATCTGCCCCCCTGGCTGCGACTGCTTCGGCACCAGTCAGATCCTACGCCAACGCTACGAAGAAGTCCGCGACGGACTCCTCCACTGCTCCCGTCACCGTGGGTGGCTCGGCGCAACATGGGAAGTCGACTTCCATCTCTCCAGTGAACGGCAAACCCATGCAAAACCAATCTTCCCAGCAGGCCGCCTCTCCGGGTGTGACCATCGTCAATGGCGCCCCGACTGCTCCTGCTGCTTCACAGGGTGATCACTCCCGTAAGCCTTCTGTGACTATCACCTCGGCTGGCACTTCTGGATACATGCCCAACGGAGGCCCTGCGAACCGTCCCAACAGTCTTCAGTTTGGTTTCGCCAATCAACAGAGCTCCCCTAACATGGGCAATCCTGCTGTTCTGGCTTCCAACCAGTCTCAGTCTGGCCTGGGTGCCCCTTCTCCCAACCCACGTGTGACCTCTCCCCAAACTTCGCCTTCTCCCATCCCACAGCCCGCTTCAAGCGGTGGTCGTCCTCCACCATCGACTTACCAGGCACAAGGAAACGTTCCTAACTTTGGAAGCTTCGGCGAGACTGGAGATAACAACGTAAGTCATGCGTTTTCTCTCATGTCTTTGTTCTATTTTTTGTTTCTTCTTTCGCCTTTTTTTTATTCGATTGCTATTGTTGTTTCCCTCCTCGGAGTGTCGAAGGGGAAAAAAGACAAAGAAACACAAATTGCAAAAATTCCGATCTTATTTTTTTTTACCCATCACGCATCCCCCTTGATCGCGCATGATCAAGGCTTCTCCTGCTTCCCCAAATCTCCCACAGTCTCGACAGTTTTGCTCACATAGTTGCGCCAAACTCTATAGGCTCCTCTTGGCCCCGGTCAGCAGCAACACTTGCGTCGTGAATCCTCCCAGTCCACCCATAGCGATATGAGCAACCACATGGGCAATGGTCCTGGTCGTGGTGGTTACCCTCACCAGGGTGGCCGTGGTCGCGGATACTCTCAGAGCGGTAGTTACCAGGGTCAAATGCCCTACTCGCCGGGCACTAACTTCCGTCAGACTCCCAACCAGCCTCGAGGTGGCCCTAACATGGGTCCTCAGTTCCACGGCCCTAACCAGGGTCGTCCTCTGGCCGCACCTTTCCCTAACTCACCACACCAAGCAAACCGTAGCCCAGCTCTGGCTAGCGCCCACCCGACCACTCCTCAGATGAACCCGGTTCCAATGGCCCATCCTTCGATGCCTCCCCAGCCCTATGGATATGGACAACATATGGGCCCCCAAACTGTGAGATACCCATCCTCTGCACATCACTCCTCTCAAACTATGAAGCCCGCCCGACGTGGCTTTCATAATAACAGCAGGCCTGGCTATCATAATAAACCAAGAGGGATGAAGCGAGAGCCTTTGCTACCTTTTCCCATCCCAAAGAATGGCGCTCCCCCAAATTACGGCGCTCCCCTTCCCCATCACATGCATATCCCAAACAGCGTGTCATTCCCAAATCACCTGGATCTTGCGCCAGAGAGTGGCCAATTTGAACAATATCTAACAATGGTCAAAAACCCACAGGGCTACGCTCCGTACGATCCCAGCTATGCTTACTACCAACCCCCTTATGGTATGCAAGGAATACAATACATCACTCCTCCGTCGCCGCAACCCCGTCCTGGAATGCCATACAACCCTCAGGCTGCTGGCTACATGCAGGGTCAATACCCTGTTCAGCCTCCACCACAGTCCACCCCTCTTTCTCGCACATCTTCTCAAGTCTCTACTGACCGTCCAGGCTCGAGCCTCGGCCAAGGCCCTGCCCCCACTGGTGCTCCAGCTCCAGGTCACATCCACTCTGGCAGCCGGTCCTCTAACAGCCCCGCGCCTGCCAAGTCCACCTTCGTCATCCCCACCAAGAAGAGCGCTATTGTCATCAAGGACCCCGGTAGCGGTGTTGTGAAGCACTTCTCCCCCGCCTCTCCCGCCCGCGCCACCCCCTCTCCCGTCAAGATCGCGACTCCCACATCTACCCCTCCTCCACGAACCGCCAGCGCCAGCGACCACTCCCGCACTGACAGCAAGGCCGCTACCGCCAAGACTGACGAGGAAAAGAAGCAGGAGTTGAAGGAAGCTGTTCGTCAGAAGATTCAGGAAGATGAGGCTGCTCAAAAGCTGGCTGCCGAGGAGGCTGCTCGCAAGACTGCTGAGGATGCTAAGAAGAAGGATGCCGAAGCTGAAGCTGCTGCTGCTGCTGCCAAGGATGCGGAGGAGAAGGCTACCGCAGCCGCCGCCGCCGCCGCTGAAGCTGCTGCTGCTGCTCCTGCTCCTGCTGTTGAGGAACCCAAGAAGGAATCTGCTCCCGCCCCTCCTGCGGATGATGATGAGATCGACTATGAGGCTATTGAGCGTGAGTTTGCCGAGATTGAGGCTCAGGAACGCGCTGCCGAGGAAGATTACAACCGCAAGAAGCAGGAGAAGAAGGAGGCTGAGGAGCGCAAGGCTCGCGAAGAACGTGAGTCTTACGAGGCCAACATGAAGAAGGCCGAGCAAGAGGCTGAAGAGCGTGAGCTTGCTCGTGAGGCTGCCCGCGCCAAGGGTGAAGTTACCAACGAGGATGAGTCCAGCCGTAAGGAACGTGAAGATCTCTTTGCTTCTCTCAAGAAGGGTGGCTTGAATGCCACCGAGGCTTCTACCCCTGCTGCTAGCGGCGCCGCTACACCTGTGTCTTCTGACTTGTCTATGGGTCCACCTGCTAAGCCTGCTAGTGCTATCTCCAAGAAGCCCGCTGGCTTGAAGCTGGATACTGTCAAGTCTACCGAGCCCGAGAAGCCCAGCGCTGCCATGAAGTCGCTGCAGAATGCCAAGTTCCTTGAGGATATTGCCAAGGTCATCTATCCTTCCTCTGTCACTGCTCCTAACGCTGCTCTGAACGCCGGTACTACTGGTCGTCAGTTCCACTATGACCTTCAGTTCTTGCTCCAATTCCAGGCCGTTTTCAAGGATAAGCCTTCCATCGACTGGGACAGTCGTATCCGCGCCACCCTGGGTGACCCAGAGTCGCGAGCTGGAACCCCTCGTGTCATGAGCAGCGCAGGCCGATCTAACTCTCGCAATACCAGCCACCAAGGCTATGAGGGTATGGCCATGGGCAGTATTGGCGGTGGTGCTAACAACCGCAGCAGCATGCCTGGCGGTATGGGTGGTCGTGGTAGTGCAGGAGGCTTCACATTGCACCCTATCCGCGGTCCCATGGGTGTTCCCTTGATTCGTGGCAGCAACATGAACCCCATGGGTTCTCCTATTCGGGGTAGCTCCAAGAGCGGTAGCCGTAATGATGGCGGCAGCAGACGTGGTGGTGGTAAGAGTGGTGGTGGTGGCCGAAAGGACGGTCAGAGCGATGCTGCCATGCCACTCACTGCTGGCATGAAGCTTGACGCTCTTCAGGTCTCTTCCACTGGTTGGAAGCCCCGCAGCGTTGGCCAGCCTGCTGCTGCTGGTCCCGCTCCTGGAGGTGAGGGACTTTTGGCTCCCGATGTTGTGCAGCGTAAGGTCAAGGCCGCTCTCAACAAGATGACTCCTGAGAAGTTCGACCGTATCTCTGAGCAGATCCTGGACATTGCTTCACAGTCCAAGGATGAATCAGATGGCCGCACTCTCCGACAAGTCATTCAGCTCACATTCGAGAAGGCTACTGATGAGGCTCACTGGGCTCCTATGTACGCCAAGTTCTGCAAGGCCATGCTGGAGAGCATGAGCGCTGAGATTAAGGATGAGAACATTCGTGACAAGAATGGCAATGTTGTTGCTGGTGGTAACTTGTTCCGCAAGTACCTGCTCAACCGTTGTCAGGAGGAGTTCGAGCGTGGTTGGAAGGTTAACCTTCCTGAGAAGCCCGATGGTACCACTGAAGAGGCTCAGCTTATGAGTGACGAATACTAGTGAGTCCACACCTACCCGTGTTAACGGGCTTTTTTCTTTCGTGTTTGTCATTTTTACTAACCCAATTTTTTCTTAGTGTCGCTGCTGCTGCCAAGCGTCGTGGTCTTGGTCTTGTCAAGTTTATTGGTGAGCTTTACAAGCTGGGCATGTTGACTGAGCGTATTATGCACGAGTGTGTTAAGAAGCTCGTCGATTACGAGGGTATGCCTGATGAGGCTGAGGTCGAGAGTTTGACCAGCCTGCTGCGCACCATTGGTGCCAGCCTGGATGCATCTGAGAAGGGTCCTGCTATGATGGATGCCTACTTTGCTCGTATCACCATGATGATGGAGACTCCCGACCTGCCCAGTCGTTTGCGCTTCATGTTGCTGGTAAGAACTATTCCATGCGGTGATAACCATTACGAATCAAATTCAACTAACTCGTTGTGTTTTCTAGGATATCATTGATCTGCGTTCTAAGCGCTGGCACTCTAAGGATGCTGACAAGGGCCCCAAGACCATTCAGCAAATCCGTGAGGAGGTACGTTCATACCAACAACGCCCAACATTCTTCTGTCATATATGACTTATGTTTTCTAACTTTGAATCAGGCTGCTCGTGCTCAACAAGAAGCTGAGATGGAGAAGGCTCGTCAACAAGCTAACCGTGGCGGTGGTGGTGGTCGTCCCCCCATGGGCCGTGGCGATGCTCGTAGCGGTGGTTACGGTGGCTACGGAAACCAGGCCCCTCCTCCCGATTACGCCTCCAGCAAGGTCGGCACTGACGACCTGCGTCGTCTGCGCACCACTCGCAGCACCAACCAACCCATGTCATTCGGTCCCTCCAGCCTTCTTGGTTCCCGGAGCAGCAGTGGCCGTAAGAACCTGGGCCCCGGTGGCAGCTTGGTTCGTGGCAGTGATGATAGCGCTGCTAGCAGCCGTACTGGTACTCCTCCTGCCGGTAAGAAGGAGGACAAGGAGGCCGCCTCGTCGATCAATGCTTTCAGGTAAGAACCCATTCAAGTGTACGGTGTTAAATTTGCAACCCATTTTTCTAACTTATTCATTTTAGTGCTCTCGCTGCTTTGGAAGACAAGGACAACATGGCCACTTCTCCCCCATCTACACACACCTCCCCGGTTCTCACTAAGTCGCAGCCCGCGATTTCTGAGCGCCGACCCTCAAAAACCCCATCTAAGGATGGCGAGAACGCAGCATAGATTCCTTAGGAGTAATGATCAACGTTTTCCATTTTTTCTTCTTTACTGATTCCACAAAAGATTTCCCTTTTTTTTCTGCTCCTTTCCTCTTTATCTCGATTCTTATTTCTCCTCAAACCTTCTTAGTTTATGTTTCCCATCTTTGCTCCTCATCACCTGCGCTTGTCTTTAAGTCTCTCTCAGTCTCACCCTTGCATGTTCCGACTGGGTCGGCTTTTCTCTTTTTTTTCAACGGGACTACTTTTCAAACTCTTCATAGTGTACAATCTTCATATCCTTTACCCTTCTTCCTTGTCTTTTCTTCATCTGAGTTCTAGCTTTAATCGATCCGAGTTAGTGAGGTGGTCCGAATAATGAGTGAGTGTTAGCGTGCTACTGGTAGTGTGGAAGGAGAAAAAATAAGGTTCGGACTTTCATCGGTACTAAGTAATCGGAATTTTATTAGTGTCTAGGTTCAAGTTGATTCTGATGCTGATGAATAAGATCATTCGAGTCATGATAGTGAGTTGAGGTAGCGGTGATAATGACTCAGTTGAGTAGACTTTGGCTGAAAAGATTTGATGTAGTAATGGCGTGGATTCCCTTATTCTCTTGGAATTACTAGACTGACATACCAAATCGTCTCAAAATTTCATCTTCGTGTCGATTATGAATCACATCTGCCTTCTTAATTTCATTATCTGGTGTTACAATCATCGTATAGTAGGTAAACCACTGGTATACACATTAGCACTACACTAGACAGTCCGACCCTTATCAAGCTACTACGTATTTTACTAGTAGTAGAAGACTTCAAGTTCAAGTTATCAAGAACCATGATATGATATGTATGCAGAGTCTACCTCGAAAGACTAAAACTGAAAGAGAGGAATTGCACGCTGCAGGGGTATAAGCAAGCCAGGATAGAAATGCGTGAACCACATTGTACAAAATGCAAAATGCACAACGCACAGCGTTGCTTGCGATGCTTGAGAGTGGTGAAAGGTACACGGAATGCTTCAAAAACAGGATGTAAATGAATATGATGCATGCTAAGTCATGAGCGTTTCGTTCAATGGTATCAGTCGTCATTGGGGACTTTTTTTTCGTCATCCTCGTCCTCGTTGTCTGCTGAGACTTCGATAACAGGGATTGAGACGCGGGGAGTTGGAGGATCTGATTCTTCATAAGTTGGTTTTGTGGTTGGGCTTGTGTCTTCCTCGGTTTCTGTGGATGGGTTTGCTTCGTCAGGTGAGTCTTGGTCGGCTTCGTCTCGAGGGTATGGTGAAGAGGATCGTTTTGTCCCTTCAGTAGGGACTACGCTCTCCTCTGAGCTAGCGGGACTCCCGTTCATTGGACTCTTCATTAAGACCGAGTCCAGGGAATATGGGACAGATGGATTTTCCGAGTCCTTGTCACTGACACTGCTGTGGTCAGAGAGAGAACTGCGCGAGTGAGTACGAAACGTTGGAGGGATTCCGAGTGCCTCTGCAACCGCAGCATCTTCGTCGGGAAGTCTGGTGATACTGCTTTCTGTGCTGGAACTGGCGTCGAAGATCCGAGTACCACGTTTCTCGCTGAGTTCCAAAATATGATTATAACTTTTGCGCGTAGGGTCTGCACGGCGCTTATTCTTTTTCTTCTCGCGCTTGGGTGATGGGCGCACAACGATAACCGGGATGGGCGATTTCTGGAGACAGTATTTGGAGACAGACCCGGGCAGTAAACTGTGAACACCTTTCAGGTTGCGACCACGAGTACCCACAACCAACATGGCAGGTTCATATATGCGAATCTATATTACGATCAGCACTTTCTCCTAAGAAACAGATCAACCCCAGAACTATAGCCTCAACTTACCATCCGTTGAATGATATCCTCCACTTTACCCACAGCCAACTCGAGAATCAAGCTGATCGCCTTTTCGTCTTGGCTATTCTTCTGAATGACCTGATCAAACAGCCGCTTCGCCTCCTGTCGATATTTCCCTTCCTCGATAGCCGACCCGCTCGCCATGCGCGAATCTTTCTCCACGGCGCGCAGACAGACAATCTCGTCACCATCATCGACCAGTTCCTCCAGCATCCACTCAAGCGCAAACTCAGAATAATCATTCTGATCCGTACCACACAAGAAAGTCCTGCTCCGCCGTGTACTCTGGTACCCCTTATGCTTGTAATTCAGCGTCAAAGAGAAATCCGCCGCATCGCGATTATCGAAAGTATCAAACGAGACACCACGTTCATAAGTCCTATCCCCAATCCAGCAAATTAGCCCCTATCCAAAATTATCCAATTGTTGAAAAGAGCCCAAAACTCACCTTGGCGGCGGCGGTGAAGGTCCACGACTAACAGATAAAGTCCTCGATTCACCCTCTCGCTCTCTTTCCCGCTCTCTACTAATTGTGCGATCCAACTCCGGATTCTCATTTAGCGATCTGCGCTTAAAGCTCAACGACCTCGACGGTAACTGCGCCTCCGCCGAACCCACATTAAACTGAATTGATTTCCGGCGTGGACTGCGCGCTCGTGGCTGTTTACCGAATGAGATCCCGCCGGGACTTTGTGTAGGACCCGATGAAGTCTTGGATAAGCTGGTTCTTGATACGGGGTGGTCATCGGAGTCAATGGAGGGTTTTGGTGATGGGGGTGCGGACATGATTGATACACCCGGGATTGGGTAAATCTGATAGACGAGTTTGGAATCGGTCCGAGAGGATGGGTCAGGTGAGTGGAGTTCTGGGATAGAGAGAGACTTCCAAGTTCCAGGTGAGGTTTCTCTGTTTGTTTGGGAGATTTAATGTGTAAGCTTTAGCTTTGTGTGGTGCCACTCTTTTAGTGGTTGTTTTCAGGGTTGTGTTTCGGAACTGCTTGATGTTGGTTGTAGTGACTGGTCGTGTGATGAGGAATGTCAGGCATTAATGTCAGGAGTTAACTCGTGCATCTTAGCCACGAGTTGGAGTAAGACAAATGAGCTTAGGATGGAAAGCATGGGGGCAGTGACGCCTGCAGCGAGGGGTTGGGGCTTGAAATAGTAGGCGGTGAGTACTTATCGATAGCATTTCTGCCTTAGGTGTCAAAGGTAAACATATCAATCTAAGGTTAAATTGACCAGTTGGATTCATTGATCTAATCAATTGATCATAGATTCATGAACTGAACACTGGTGACTGGAAGGAATAGTTAAGACATTGGAATAATCAATTTGAGTCAAGTTTGACTATCATCAGATTTTAGTTTGAAACATAATGAGCTAGGGACCTTGATTCGGATATTAGTCTGGTGACCCAGACCCATATTCAGGGAAGAGCTACACCGTACAACTCAGTACTCTGCACATGTGCACTGCACTCTGTAGCATAACGGGATAAAATGAGAACTTGAGCTCGAGGACTGATTACGAAAAAGGAGAAAAGAACCAGGAATACCTTCAGCAATAAACCCCGCCCATAACCTCCATGGGGTAAACAACTCAGCTCTGAGAAAAAAGAAAATCCTGGATATTGCGGGTAAGGCGGGAATGTACAAAGTGTCCAGGTGATATGCAAAGTTCTCTACTCGGACCACATGCATGCATATACACCGACATCTGTGATGATCCAAGCCCCTACTGCAGTAATTTCCCCCAGCTGCATTCAGTGGCAATCAGATGGCCACGGGATTACGCCTAGTACACACAAAAAATGCAAGATAACCAGCCCTAACGCCATCGAGATAGGTTTGTAGATCCCGGGACTTTCCTTTATCATTACACATAATGCACGGAGTACAGTGCGGGGAAGCCCTATTCCTTCCGATTTGCTTTTTTTCGTATAATGGATGAAGATAGGAGACTATTGTTTAATCGATCTGTCATTGTTTAATCTTATATTCATCCACATGGGGGCAGGGTACTCCATACTCTTATTCAATAATCCAGGTACCACGGAGACCAGTATGAACGACAAGCTGAAATTCCAGAATGGGATAACTTGTAGACCAATAATTGGGCTCGATCCTCGCACTAGCTACTATAGCGGAGAGACTATGTTAACTATGCCGACTTAGCCGCGATGATCGGAGACTATCGTCCCTTGGCGTGGATCACTTCAGCGGTGAAGGTCCATACACTATGTACGCTCAGACCTAGTGATGGGTCACATGTACGATGCAACCAATGTGGTTGGCAGTGACTTGCTGTTTTACTCAGGATGTATCTTCCAGGAAATTGTCCAAATTTTAACTGTTTTTGGTTGGATTTTGGGTTGTATCTTTCTATGTACATGGTTGGGATCACAATTTCTGTCCTTGGCCTTCGGCCCCGCGGTTGGGTAGTCTCAACCTGTCCAACAATGGAGATGGAGGGAGAGCTGCCCAGTGGCTATTTAGTTCATGTTTCAGATATCCAACATAGTCAAAAATGAAGTGAAGAAAAAAAAATATAACATGAGATGAGATGCTACTCCAGGTAGCAGTAGATGTGAGAGGAATGTGGTGTATATATGCGACCGTAAAAACCATAAACTCCGTCAATGTAAATGAGAAAGAAAAAAAAAATTGAGAAGAATAGAAGAGAAATCGCTTCAAATGCCAACCTGGTCATCGTCGTAAAGCATGAGGGTATCACAAGAGATCAAATATAAGATGGTATACACAAAACAGAGACACAAGTCAAGGCGAAATTTAGTACGCCTCGATGATTGTGCTCTGTTCTTGTGAAACGTAATACCCAGGCTCGAACAGATGGGGTTGGGAATCACCCAGTGGGATAGCAGTAGAGGAAGCCTCCTTCTCATTGAAGGTCTCCAGTGCAGGCTGAGGTGGGGAGGGAGGAAGGGAATCATCCTCGGACTCGTCGTCCGAGTCGGCGAGGAGCTCAGGTGGAGATTGTCGCGAAGGCGACCGTGTCAAGCTGAGTTCCTCCAGATCCTCCATATCGTCATATTCAAAATCACTGTCGGTGTCGTCGTCCTCATCTTCCATGAGGATGGGTTCTGGGATCAGAGCCACCGGTGCCACGGGAGATGGAGCCCGGCGGCGGATGGGGGCGTTGATGGCAAAATCAGACTCATCAATATCGGAGTCCTCCTCGTCACTGTCACTGACGTCCGAGTCGAGGTCGGAGGCGTCTTCCGGATCCCATTCCTCCTCAGATTCTTCGACCACGGTCGAAGCCCATTGAATGTGTCGAGGCTCTTCTTGGGCCTTGGCGGCACCACTGACGGTCTGGTTGAACCAACGTTCTTGTTCTTGCTCGGCGTCGGCGAGGTCAAGCATAAGGGAGTCGAGGAGGTTGGCGTGTCCGACAAGCAATCGTAGATCATGATCCGCCCGGGAAGCTTCACGAGTAAGCTTCTTGCGGGCGGTATGAGCGAGGTAGTATGTTTGAGTAATGCTCATTTTCTTTTGTTGACGACGGCGGACCAGGGATGTAAAGTATGGGGAAGCAGAAGCAGCAGAGGCGAGAGAAGAGTCCTTAGAAGTAGAAGCCATTGTGTGGCCGGGAGGAAGATTATAAAGTGGTTCTGCCAAGGTGGTGACTCAATGGTGTGCTCATCCAGTCAAGAGGCGGTGATAGGAGGCGGTGTGTCAATCACGTATATCAGGTATCGCGGTACACGTCAATCACGTAAATTAGGCAGGGGATGATAAGAGATGATGCCTGGTTGAACAAGATTGAGAGTTGCCTTGTTAATCACTTTATGTTATCAATAGTTAGGATTGTTTCAGTTGATAGATCAGATGATAGGTTTGAGATCCCCCACTTGGAGGGGGGGAATCGTGACTTTTTAAAAACACTTTGATTATCATTCTTTTTTTTTCTTTTTTTTTAAGCAAAAGCCGTGTATCCGTTCAGCTAAAGTCCGGGACCCGATCGGAGCGCTCTGATCTCCACCCGTGGATTTTCCATAATTCCCTGTGGATCTAACGGAGTAGAGGGAAGATTATTCAGCGCAACGGAGTTAACTTTACAAACTACACCGCTATAATCAGTAATCATGCATTACCTAGGTAATGTAGATTACTCAATTGATCCTACTCAATTGATATACTATACCTAGGTATTATTGTTCAATCTCTATCTATCTATCAACAGAATAAATAGAGTCAAAATTCATGATCATATCTATCTAACTGACTCATCGGTCAAGTCCGTTTTTTCGCTAGTTTTTTCTCTGTTTCGTTAAATCCATTTTTGATTCCGTTAGACCCTGGACCCACATTAAGGATGACCAATTCAGCTCCACGGAGCAATAGAAAAAAAAAGCGAAGTGAAAAAAAAGCGAACCCGACGGAGAGTCCCTTGGCCCTTACTCCGAATTACTCATTCTTCTTCCATGGATGACTATTCTCATCTTAGTAACTTCGTATACTGATTTCCAATCCTATTGATTTGTTGAATTGTTAATCTTAATGTTTATTTTCTTCATCGCATCATTTTTAACTTATTCGGAGAGATTCTAGTGGAGCTCCCATTATTCATTAATCATTACTCATATGAAATAGTTGACCTGTCAACCTTGGAAGACATTCCAAGCTCTTTACTCCGTACAGAGAAGGCTGAGCAGCTCACGGACCTATAATCGGTCAGAATGCGGCTGCACAGCACATTCCCCAGGAAACCAGGCTGCAGCTTCACTTTACTTCTGTGTTTCGTAGGCTGTGACATTACGCGGGGGCCAATCCCTGACAATATTCAATCTTGGCTTCCCCTATTCTGTCTTGAGCCACATCGTGTCCTCCTTGCAGAGAATAATAGACCTGAAATTCCTTAAATTCCTTAACTTGTTCCATTCTGTTCTTCCAAGAGCCTTGGCTGAACAACCAAGAGAATAATTTTACTAAATATTGCCTACACATCAAGTGCTATCATGGTTCATAGTGGATGCTGTCTCGCTGTGGATTCCATTTTAAGTCCCATTATGCATTTGCCTATTAGGCATTAGCATTCTGTGGCTGAGATTTTTTCAATTTTTTTTTTCTTCGTCTCCACTTGATCCAACAACGCATTGGCAGCCCTACGGCCTAATGTGAATCATCTTAAAACCACATCGAAACCACTGCTAGATGGGGCAACCATGCGAATACGATTCATTGGATGACTCGTAACCCCACTTGAAAATTGTATTAGAGGCTGTGTAGATAATTACCTAGGTAGGGCCATACGAGGCCCCATACATAATCCCCCTCCTCCCTTGCGACCATGACCATGGACCTCGCAGAAATTACCCATATTAACCCCAGCCCCAAACATTTATTGCAGTGAAGAATGCGAACCAGCTCGAAATGATTTCCTTCTTTCGGTCATTAACGCGATCACCCGAATCGACAGGTCCAGATGCAGCCACCTCCAGGAAGATCCGGATGAGGGAATTCGGATCTCCGGATTTAGTGAGAATCAACGCCATTGTGCGGCTCCAACTGTCGGCGTTTGTTATTCTTTGTTTCCGAGCTCCGTCTAATTCCTTGGACTTGACACCTTGATGACATCAACCATCCTAACTGGGATGAGTTCAAATTCAAAATGTTGGCTAGATGAGACTATCACCACTATCATCAGTCTATCTCAATATATTCAATGTCATCATGAGTCTTAAATAGTATAGTCTTACTGATCCAGGGATTTGTTACTCCTGCCATTTAGCAGATACATAATTAGAACAATCCCATTGAAGTTGGTTTCTAATCATGATTATACATCCATTATATGATTTACCTAGTCTAGTAGATACTGCGACTTCAGGTGCCCACATGTGCAGGTGTCGGAATCTCGTGGGATCATCATCATCATCAATTGATGATCCTCGAGACCCGTTGACTAAGCCAGAAAACATTGGATAACCTGGGCACTTGACCACCTGCACCTCCACCGATGCAATAACTGTGCTCCAGATATCCACCTGGGCACTGAAGATGGAGTGCATGCATAGAATGAGTCAACCTTATCCCATATCTCCATAACTCCATATCTCCTCTACATTATCTCGGACATTTGCGAATCACCGAAACTCACTAACCCGAATCCGAATCCCGGCTCTTCCCATTCCTCGTGACTCAGTTGGAGTGGGGCAACCTTGGAAGAAAACCGGGTACTCGGCTGCTCCGTCTCCGACTCATTTGTACATTGACTGCTTGACTGCTCCGTGGATCCGTGGAGCACCCGCGGACTCGCACATTTTTATGCTCGGTTGATCGACGATCCACTCCGAACACACGTGGATCCGAATTTCTTCATAAATGGTCAGTGCGAATCTTTCATAATTAACTTCAGGTTCCTATGTACGGGGTTAGGATTTCATGTCTTGACTTATAGTCCATTCTTGAATTTCCTGGTCACGCGCCCACCTGGCACTGACAGGTGCTTATAGCAGTCGGGTTGGTTAATACTCCGTACATATAGTGTATATTCATAAGTGGGTCTGTAGAATCACCCGGGCACCCGCACTGGCCGATTTACCCGTGCGCTTTACCTAGTGTATAGTAATCATTCAGAACCTTGGAATAATTAGTTAGTGAGCTTGTACTTATGTAGTCTATGTCTAGTAAAAAATATTGACCAAAATCATTAAAAAAAAAATACATGTTGAATTCAATGTTGGAGTTGAATATGATGGCTCACTGAAATGAAGATATGATGCGATGTCAATTCCAGCGATATCATGATGTTGTGGATTCCAAAGATTCTTCCTGCTGGCCTCACTCATTCAAGTTGAAAACTTGAAGTCCTCCTCGGAAACTTGAAGTGCCAAAGTTTCCTCATTTAAGTTCCCCCACCTGAGCTGCTTGATTCCACATCAAATTAGTAGCCTCCGGCATCCCAGTCCATTCATTCGCGCAATCAGGAAGTTCATCTCTCTGTTCATCAGAAAGTGAAAAGAACCAAGACTCCATAGAAATGAGCACAGACCTCGGCTTATCCATAAGAATCCATTCTTCCGGATCAACAAAGAACTTTCTTGCATAATTCAAGAGCGCCGAAGCAGGAAGTCCCCATTTGTATCCCTGCGGATCAAGACGACAGTACTTCGGATTCAGACTCGTATTCCCAGCTCCAAGAGGCATTCCCTGCTCGAGTTCAGCTCCAGTTCGTAGATCCAGGATCTTGTGTAGATCGCCGCGGTTTTTCCAGGGTGGGTTTCGGGTCTCCCATTGGATATGTCGTTCAAGTTGCCATGCTACCTGTTTCTTGGTGGGTTTATTCCAGTTTGTACTAACGAGTAACTGTTCCTCTTCCGATTCGTTCTTTGTGGTAGATGATGAGTCTTGATCACCCTTCTTGTTTGTGGCTGGATCGGATTTGGGACTTAGCGCGGCGATCTGGTTAAGCTTGAGGGCGATCTTAGTGTGGCATTTTTTGATGGAACGGGCTTTGCGAGCTTGGATACGGTTTAAGGATCTTTTGTTGTGTAGGATTTTGACGTTGAGGCGTTCGATCCCATTGCGAAGTTTTTCTATTTCGTCTTCGACGGTTTCTTCGAGGTAGTTTGGGGGCATGGTGGCTGATGATGAGGATGACGAGAGATAACCTTGGAAGTTCAAATGTTGATTTGATGATGATGAGAGGTAGGGGTAGGAAGGGAAGAAGAAAGGGAATTTCGAGAGATGAGAGTTTTATAGTGATGTCAGTGAGTAGCAAACATTCAAGTTGAGAGGTGAGCGATATGCATGTGAGCTAAAGATCTTTGATATTGAATTTATTTTTGTGGAGACTTGAAGCATGCAGATTAAAGAATATATAGATTAAACTGTAGAGTGTACATACAGTGACGATTCTAATGTGGTCGCTATCTACAAAATCTCTGGATACAGGTATAGGTAAATCACAAGTTCAGACTCAAGAGTCCAAGTTATCTGGATCAGTGCTTCTCCGAAGAAGCTTTCTGATCCTCTATTTCCTTCATGTTGATGAACATATCTCTCATTTTCTGAGCGCCCTCCTCCTTGTACATGATTTCCTCAAACTCTATACTATCCTTGATGCTCTCCCAAGCTAGAGGACACATCTGCGCCTCGTAAGCAACGATTGCCCGTTCTAATGCGGCAGCATCAGCATCGAAATCATAGGTATCACTCTCTATACTTCCCAGTTCAACAGTGATATGTTCAAACAAGACTTTTGCATCCCTCATAGCATGATTGACACCCTCGCCATTTGGTGTAGTCACATGTGCTGCATCACCTAATAACACAACGCCCGGTGTGCGATTCCAAGATTTCTCATTCACCTTACCATCATCTCTCAGCGATTCAGGCAAGAAGATATCTTGATCCAGTCTGTAAAGAGGCCAGGGTCGCCACGGCCCTTCAGCATCGGCAACAATGGCACGAAGGTGTGGCGCCCAATTCGCGTACAGTCTGTTCATGGTCGCCCCCGCCTTAGACATGTCACTCACATCAGCTTCTCCACCAGGCTGAGTGAATGCCTCGGGGGCCTCAAGACCCATATAAACGCGATATGAACGGTTTGACATTTGCTGGATACACAATGCTAGCCCTGGGCCCATAGAGACAGAGTTCCCAGCGCCAACCATTTCCAGAGCCGCGGCATACTGGGGATTATGTTCGGAGATGTATCCCTCAATGAACATTTTGCCAGAGTACTGAGGCTTAGCGAGTGTAATCTGAGAAATACTGATTAGCAATAGTTGATGCAATTTGTTAATTATTCACCCACCAGCTGCCGCGTCTTACTCCATGCCCCATCCGAACCAACGATTAGTCGAAACCCACTCTCCTCCGACCCATCATTAAAGCGCAGCATCCAATCTGCAGCTGAGCTACGTTCCACCTCAGCAGATCCGGTGCGCTCTATATTGCTCAACACCTTATTCCACCGAACCCGATGCGCAGGTATGGAACCTAGCAAAAGCCGGCGCAATTGCAAACGATCAATTTCAGGCCGATCATTGCCCTCTCCTGCTCGCAACTGATTTCCACCTTGCGAGTCTTGGATCAGAATTGTCGTTGCTTCACGGCGAGCTAGCTTCTCGAATTCTGTCGTCAAGCCTGCGAGCTTCAATGCTGCCTGTCCGCCCTCTGCAGTGAGGTCCAGCGTGCCGCCTTGGAACCGGGTTGTCATATCTGGTGAAGTGTCACGCTCAAATACAACATAGTCGATCCCGGCTCGTTCGAGAAGACGTGCTAGTGTCAGACCGCATGGACCACCGCCGACAATGGCGATCGGGGCGGGTTTTCTTGGAGACATTGAAGAAGCTTTTCTTCTCACGGTGGCAAGGATTGGGGTGCGAAGAGGTCTTTGATATAGAAATCCCAAGTGACTGGATAATCGCTTGGTCACTGGTTGAAGAATCATGACTGATTCTATCGAATGGTGTTCAAGTTGAAAGCACAAAATATGTAGAGACTGGGACTCGAAGGATTCACGTCCCCTTTTATATTTCGAACAAAGTGGCTAAATTATTATTCAAGACAGAGAGAAATACGAAAATGGGTCTTTATAAAAATCTTTGATTGCCAATCGGTGTTTCGCTGCGAGGTTGAGGTACTATTTGGGGATTACTAAACCCCGATCTGCACTGCAAAACTTGATTAGTCGGGAGTTAGAAATCCCCGAGTGCCAACCCTAATGGATTGATCTATTCCCCTTTATTACTGAATAATAGCAGATTCAATCACAAAATCATTTGACAACCATGGAAGTACTAAAATTATCAAGAGCATGAATTGAATATTGAGCAAGAAAAGGCACAGCTTGCCGCCGAAAAAAAAGAGGAGCCCCCGGAATGAAGATGAAGAACCGTTCTATGGACGGGTATATCAATGTAGCTTGGTGAATGATTTGTGAGCCATATTGTCACATATTGGCCTGTCACAGCGTAAGGGATGTTGATGCTGAGGCATTGGCGTATCAAAGAGTCCATCTATATGACGCTTGAGAACCCGGCGAATGGCAAAAGAGAAGATTGAGCTGGAGGCGGCTGACGACCCATACTCGGATACAGACCCTCGAACGCACACATGGGCAATAATGTAGAATTCTCCTCCACTCCAGCTCCTTGGGGTTAAAATGTATGTGCCCCTTAGGCTTTCGGAAGGGTTGCTGTAAGCACACACAGCATTAAGCTCCAAATGCCCTCCGTGTCCAGGACTTTCAGCATGTCTTACGTTATATTGATTTCTACATATGTAGGCTGTGTCCTTTTCAGATGTCTGGGACAGGCCACGCCATTGAATCTCTGGGTTGAGGTCCATGATTTTTTCTCATGAAGAGCTATGTAAGAATGGGAACCTATTCAGAATGTTAATATGGAAATAATAATATTACTTACTGTTTCTCCTCATGAGCCGCTCTTCGATCTTTAAATCAGTATTCCAAGGTTTGAGTTCAAGTTTGATCCAGTAGTGGCCTTGTGGCTGGATCAGAGATGATCAATTGATAGGTAAAGCCCTGGACTTGAGTAGATTGGGAGGTCTACCTAGAAGTGAGATATTGAGAGAGGTAAAAATAATAGTAAGCAAAAGTTATATATTTAAGCAAATGACATCCGAGTTCTTGAGAGGTTCGGGTTATTCTTCAACATTCAATGTTGAAGTAGCAAAGTCGATGCTTTAACTTGAACACCGAAAGGGATGGATATCCCAGCTCATATTGAACCGTGACGGTAAGCCCCAAAAACAGAAACTATCGAAGTACATATAGCCGCTGCTTCCAGGACTTTTGAACTCCACGTCCTAGAGCCTCCTCAATCTTTGCAATATCCACAGTAGTTGAATCTTGGAAGAAACTGTTTGTATGCCGCTCAAGACAGGCAGTACTTTCTAGATTTTCAAGTCGTCTTGCCAGATTCTGCCTGACCTCCTCTTTTTCCTGGTCTGAAAACTCAAAGCCTCGATTTTTAGTACAGCACAAGCACCCGAAAGTCCAATGGCCTCGACCGTGGCTCCAAGTAGATCTAGATAAATCTCTCCGTGCACAGCACCCACACTGCCGGCTGCAACACCCACCTTGATCTGAACAGTCTTGTACTAAGCTCGCGCGCATAAACCACATATCATTCTGCCTCAGCTGACGATAGGAATATTGCATTATATGCAATGGGATCTCATCGATTGCGCGGTAAAGGTAGCGTTCTTTGCGGTAATACTCTCTTTGAATCTCGCTTAGCTCTTGAGTCACTTCGTCTAACGGAGCACTATCAGACTCAACCATTGCGGTCTTTTTCAAGGTAACCAGTTTGGAGTTCAGCAAGGTCTCGCGCTGAACAAACTCTCGCAGAGAGTTCTCGGCAATAATTAGGTCGTTAATGATTGATCCTTTGGCCTCGGCACCTTTCCAGGTGATTGTGTGATAATGCTTGGGGCTTTCATCATTCTCAGTTGAAGGGAGCGCAAGGCTGTTTCTCAACCGCCATATTTCTGATGAAACCAGCACTTGAGATCTATTAGTACATATATAGTTAATATTCATTTCAGAATGTTTGGTTCAGCGCGTAGATTGGCAGGAAAGAAGAGACAGGCAGGTAATTTGGAGACGGGTATACTACCTAACAAACTGAATAGAAATTCCGAACCTAACTGGGGACCGGATATGATGTGGTTATTATAAGAAGATGAACTTGCGCGATAATAGGATAATAGAATAAGATGATTCTTGAAATGTCAGTAGGGAAATACCAGTGGTGATCAATTCCAAGTCTGAGGTTGATATATGAACATTTGAAGATTCAAAGTTTGCGCTCAAGAGAGATGATCTCTTGATGGCAGTCCCCAACGCTGAAAATAGATAAACCTACCACATTCCGTAGACTAATATGTCCACGGGTACTAGTGAGTTCTAAAATATCAAAGTGACATGTGCAGTTGGAATCTGGAGGCTTTCCTACTCTTACCTACTTAAGTACTAGTAGTAATATAAAGTGTGGAATGATGTCAAATGAATTTATGCATAGGTAGCATTCTTTCTTTTCAGCTCAATAGCCATGCAACACCCTCCTCAAAATTGCCTGCTGATAAAACATCATTCATCCTATAAAGTTCCCCAGCCACAAAACTTCCTCCCAATTCTCATTGTCGAACCAACCAAGAAACCCCAGACACCCGCTCTCAACGCAGCCTGCATGCCTCTCATAAGGAATACTCTCCCACAGTAGGCAAACGCATCAGTCCAAGTATTGCCACCAAACCACAGGCCCACAGGGTGCAGACCTGAGACTCGAGCCGCAGATGAAGGGTGAATGGATAGGAATGAATGGGCCAGAGAACGAATGTAAAGTGATTCGAGTGGGGTCAGGATGATGGTAGTGATCACCGAAGCAAGGTGTGATGCAAGTGAGTCTACCGGGTGAGCAGATAGGAGAGTTACTCTGTGAGCGATTGATGGCTGGTCTGTCGATGACAGATTCTGTCGTGCCTGCGAGATTGGTGGTAATGTAGGGTTGGGTGGAATGTCATCAAGCTCGGATGTCTCCATAAGTGGGGGTAGACTGCTGAAATCATCATCATTCGGTTCTTCCACGCCATCGGGTAGAATGTTGGGGACGTTCGGAAGTGCGTGCTCTTCAAGGGCAGCAGCTTCCACATCGGGGACACGAGTTTCCACAGCCTCCTGCAGCAAGGGCGGCGGCTGGCTTTCAACGGCAAGAATTTCCTGCCCTTCAGGCTGACTGGTTTGTGTATCTACCCTAGACTGGTCTTCGGGCTCTTCTAAGGATGGCTGCTGCGCAGCTTGTTGCTGTGCCTGACTCAAAATCAAAGCTTCGAGGAAATCTGCTATCGATCTGCGATCTCCCACATTTGATGTTGGGCGAAGGGCTGAATGGCCACGCGCGAAGGGTCTCAGTGTAGGGTTTCGTGGCACTTGTGCCTGGTTTTGAGGGTTGCGATTGCGGTTGCCCAGGAGTTCTAGCTGCATGGTGATGATATCAGAGCTCTGATGAATTAATGAGGCTCTCACACGAGGCGAGGTAGGTGGCGAGGTTTCTGGAGAGGATGGCCGAGAGAAAAGAGTATTTGACCGTGAAACATGGCGGTTTCTAGATTCATCGCCTTGCTGAGCAACACTTGGTTGGCTCTGTGAACGGGAGGCATTAGAAGGTGCACTTGTTCGTCCAACTGTAGCCATCTCCGAAAAGAAGTCATTGCTCATTTCCCCAGGGGATTGTGACATGCGATTCTCATTTGTGAGTACTTGCGTGAGGCCGAGATCTAGCTCAGTACCGGACATTTCCGCAGATTCCATAAGAGGAGGTAGATCAAAGGACGATATTCCTGCGATGTCGTGGTCTTCTGGAACAGGAGACCTATCAGGAACAAAGTCAGGATCTAGTCCAAGGAGTCCTCTACTGCGGCGAGCACGGGCTGCTTCAAGTTCCTGCTGTAAAGACTCAATCGAGTTTCGTAGCGTTTCTAGTTTTTCGTGATCTACAGGGGTGGGTCCTTGAGGATTGAGAGTCTTGCTGGAAAGGAGACCAAAAAGACTGAATGCCCATTGCCGCAAGGAGATGAGCTCTTGCTTGATGTCTTGCATAAGGGTGAGCTTCGCGCGGCGAGTTTCCTCCTCTGATCGTCGTCCCAAAGTAGGCACAACCCATTCGACAAGATTCTCTTCAAATGCAACCCGAATTGAAAGTTCATCGGCGAGGGTAGGCTTTGGTAATTGACGTCGAATAAGTCGATAAATGCGTTCCTCGAGTTCCGGGCGGAGATGGAACGCATAGACATATGTCAGGAATCCCGGAGAGGTAAGGAGCTGAATAAAGAATCCACCAATAGATGAAATTGAAAAGTCGCTCGGCAGAGGGGGTAAACGAAAGAGGGAAGCCCCGCCAAAGGGGATGAAAAATTTGAGGCTAGGAAGTGTGTTTGAGGGTACTAAGGAGAGTGTTTGAAGCATAGAATACATGTATGCTTCGATAGAAAAGATAAGGACTGAGCTTCGTGCTCTATAGTATTTCCAAAGTTGTCAGCATGTCGCCATATTGCCATAAGGTACGAGAACACATACAGTGAGTAAAGGAGTCCAAATGAAGCACGAATGCTCAGTGTGAGGCTTCCATTTCCAGTCAACCCCAACACATAGTCGCGAATGGTGGCAAAAACCAGCTTTAGCGGGTTGTCACGCGCAATTGCCAACGTGCTAGATACCGCCCAGGCAGGAATACCAGCGCAGTAGAAACCAAATACTCCCGTCGAGCCCCTCTCAGATCGTATAACATCAAGCAGTGGGGCATGCGTGTAATGCTTCAATGCCTAGGTAATGTCAGGCATGTGCATAAATGAGATTACAGTCAGAACTCCACTTACCAGTATTCGCCCTGTCAGGGAAGATGACCACCAGGTGCTGAAGAATACAAAAATCTGATCCAAGGTTGTGATAACCAACCCGAAATCATTTTCAGCTGCGATTTGGTTTATCTTTTGTTGCTCATTAGATGTGTTGGCATTTTGGTCTTCGCCACTGACGACGATTCCCATCGTTGACAGGATGTCATTTTTGGCCCTGCGCAATTCCCGGCCGAGATTTTTTGATTCAGGATTGACAGGATGGCCTCGTGAATCATACTGCTGCATGTAGTTATCGGAATGAATTTGAGAGACCCTCCGTACTGGATTTGAAGGGTCAATAGTCCCCGCCTCCGGAGCTTCATATGGTGACCGGCCCTAAAAGCAAATCAATATAGTGAGCCAGAAAGTGAAAGAACTAAATTAATAAAATGGAATGGAGGGAAATGAAACACGATCGGAAGCAATCAACAATCCTTGAGGAGGGTAGCTTACCAAGGCGAGCCGGTTCAAATACGCCTGTCGCCCCATTGCGAGGTAAGAACACACCACGCTAGAGCAGATCACATCACCTCACAGAAAGAGCTATGGCTTTCTTCTCCTTTCTGCGGCGAGAGTCAAATCACACTTTGCAACCGAGAGGTTGAAGAGCAAGAAGTTGAAGTCCACGTGTGACGGCGTCTGGGGCGCTTCATGTATGGCGCACGGACCACCTATGTATTATCTTATCGCCCGCCGCGCAAACAATGCAAACACTCCAAAAAAAAGTTGCCCGAGCTTTTTGCGATTCTTAACTTCCAGAGAAAGCGCATGGCTTAAACTGCCAACGGGCGCAATTATCAATCATGTCGAAGGCTATCGTGAAAACAACCTTTGAGGCGTCACGGACCCTCCGTCCGATCTATACCGGAGGTAGCACGGCACTGGATGCCAGTGGTCGCATTTTGCTCTCCTGCATAGGCGAAGATGCCTTGATCGTGGATTTGGAGACTGGTGACCAGCTCGCCAGCTTGGAAGGAGTAAGTCGATATTATGGAATGCGCTGTGGAACAAATTTGACCGGAATACTTATCATGACTCGCTTTTAGGATGGAGAAATCATTACAAGTTTGGCCAGTAAGGCTTCATTTCCATTTCCATCTTTAGATTATACGAAATGCTTACGCTGTTTTCAGTTACACCATCCGCATCGCATGCTATTGTTTGCTCCCGGTCTATGTCTATGCGTATATACACCCTCTCTCCTTTCGAGGAAGGTGCCCAATCCATTGAAGCCAAGCTTGTTCGGACCCTCAAACCTCACCCCACCCCGGTGGTTACATCTGCGATTGATGAGACTGGCACATTGTTGGCGACAGGTGGTGCCGATGGATCAGTCAAGGTTTGGGATATTCGAGGTGGCTACATTACACACACCTTCCACGACCGCGGAGTCATTTCTGCTCTATGCTTTTTCGAGGTTTCTGGAGACAACGAGATCAAATCCTCATCCAAGAAGTCTAAGCGCAAGGATGCCGACGAAGATATGGAGGATGCTGGTGCTACAGAGACTACGGCTGGATTCAGATTAGCATGCGGTAGTGATGAGGGTAAAGTCCGAGTATTCGATTTGCACAAGAGGAAGGCGATTGCATCACTCGACTCGCATGTTTCCCTGGTCCGCAGCTTGTCATACTCTCCTTCAGAAAACGCACTGTTGTCTGCGAGCAGAGACAAGACTGTCATTATTTGGGATGCTAAGACTTGGAAGACTCGCAGGATCATTCCTGTTCTGGAAAGTGTGGAGGCCGCATCTTTCATTGCAGACAGCAGCCTGTGCGTGATTGGTGGTGAGAATACCAAACTGCGCGTGTGGGACTGCAACCGCGGCAGTGAGGTTACAGAAGAACAAGAGGCAGGTGAAGAGTTTGAGTCAATTATCTCTATCCAATATTCGGCCAGTCTGCCCTACGTGATGACTGTTCATGCCGATCAGACTATCCGCATGCACTCAATTGAAGCTCTGTCAGATTACAAGCCAGGATCAACACTGCCGCCATTGAATATTGTTCGCCGCATCTCTGGAAATGATGACGAGATTATTGACTTGGCTTTCGTTTGGACCGGACCGATCGATGCTTGCTTTGGCCACCAACACCGAGAGCATCCGTCTTGTTTCTGTTGCCCCATCTGCAGATCGACCATCAGTCGAAGGCGAACAATTCTTTGGTGCTGATATTGCCCATCTTGAGGGTCACGAAGACATCATTATTGCCCTTGATGTGGACTGGTCTGGCCACTGGCTTGCAACTGCTGCGAAGGATAATACCGCCAGACTTTGGCGTCTTGACCCGAAGACTTCATCATACATATGCTTTGCCATCTTTACTGGTCATGCTGAATCCTTGGGCGCAATTGCTTTGCCGCGAACACCGCCACCCGTTGGCAGTGCTGCCTATAACGACCCCGTCAACCACCCGCCATCATTCATGATCACTGGTTCCCAAGATCGCACCCTGAAGCGCTGGGATACCGGCAAGTTGGCTCCTCTTAAGGGCGATAAGACACACTCCCCCAAGGCTATCTTCACCAGGAAAGCACACGAAAAAGATATCAATGCTCTTGATATTGACCATACGTCTACTCTGTTCGCATCTGCATCTCAGGATCGAACTGTGAAGATCTGGGATGCCGATGAGGGATCTACCATCGGTGTTCTTCGAGGCCATAAGCGAGGTGTCTGGTCTGTACGATTTGCTCCTCGTGACACTCCTATCATCAATTCCGATGCTGGAACCAGCACATCACGAGGCTTGATTGCAACCGCCTCCGGTGATAGCACTGTCAAGCTATGGTCTTTGTCTGACTACAGCTGTCTTCTTACATTTGAGGGACACACCGGAAGTGTGCTGAAGACAATTTGGCTCCCCCTCCTCAAATATCACAGGCTCAGAACGACGATGATGATGATGACGACGAGATGGACGGCAAGGCCGCCAAGAATGCTATTCAGACACGACCTCTTATCGCTTCAGCAGCAGCTGATGGCCTGGTGAAGATCTGGAGCCCATACACTGGCGAACAGGAAACTGTTCTGGACAATCACACAGACCGAGTCTGGTCACTCGCCAGTCCAACCCCATCTGGCTCTCGCTCCGATGTTAAGCCCACCTCATCCAAAATCAACTCTGCCCCATACGCCCTCGCCTCTGGTGCCGCTGATGCCACTGTCACCATGTGGACCGACACCACCTCCGCCACCTACACAGCCGCCGTGAACGCCAGCTCTGAGCGCATTGAGCAAGACCAACAGCTGCAGAACTACATCCGCGCTGGCTCTTACCGTGAAGCTATCGTGCTGGCTCTCCAGCTGAACCACCCGGGCCGTCTGCTCTCGCTCTTCACTGCCGCCATCGATGCCTCTGATGACCCAACGCTGTCTGTCGAGGAACGTCAGCGCGCCGCAAACAGCTTGACTGGTAACCCATCTATCGATGAGGTTCTTCAGTCTCTTGATGCTGCCAACCTGCGTACATTGCTGCTCCGCCTCCGTGATTGGAACACCAATGCTCGTACCTCCCGTGTTTCGCAACGTATTCTCTATGCTTTGTTCCGGTCATACCCTGCTTCCACTTTCGTTGACTTGGCATCCCAGTCCGTGCGTGATAAGGATGGACGTGCTGCCGCTGGATTGAAGGATATCCTGGCTGCCATGGCTGCATACACTGAGAGGCATTACAAGCGTGTTGAGGAGCTCACAGATGACTCTTACCTGGTAGAGTGGGTACTGGGTGAGATGGATGGTGGTGTTGGACTCGGTGGACTCAAGAGTCTCGATGTAAATGACGATGTGGAGGAGCATGAAAAGGATGTGATTATGTTGGAAGCTTAAGTGCGATCTACCATCTCTGTGTATATGACTGGCGCTTTGTTTCTTGGGAGTATCGCGGGAGTGGGATAGGATAAAAGCCATCTACTTTCTCATAGAATTGAAATCATTGTTTTTTATATCATTTGCTATGGTCCATTCTATTTTACATCGTGTTATTCTGGGTATCTCTTTGGAAGTAGTTACAGTCTGGTTATTGCGCTTAGCAAAACGCGCGTCTGGGGTGTGGGTGTAGCTATTGTCCAGATCATTATGTACAAGAGCTCTGTATGTCCATTCATCCATGTCAACCTGGCACTCAATCGTCTCGACGGCTTCGGCGAGAGTCACGATCCCGATCTCGGTCTCGATCATGACGGGAAGAATGGGAGGAGGAATGTCGTGAACTGCTGCTGTATTTATCATCGCGGTGCCGACGGTCTCGGTCACGATCTCTGCGATGATCTTTATCGTCATCGCGATCTCGTCGGCGATCTCTATCGCGTTCTCGATCCCGGGAAGACCGATCATCTCTCCGACGGTCATCATCCTCGTCATACCGCGAGCGTCTAGAAGACTGACGACCGCTTGAACGACTGCGATCCCGACGTGAAGACCCGCTTTTCCGATCAGAACGACCCTCATCATCGTAATCACGCTTGCGATATTCACGGTCCCTGTCCCGTCCGCTCTTTTCCAAATTCTTATCGCGCCTCTCACGCCAGTCGTCCTTGTCTGGCTGGGAAGCTGACTTCTTCTTCAGGTCTGCCAAATCTTCCTCCGTCAAGTATTCACCAGTCTTCTTGTTGCGCATCATCACTGGCATATAGACACCCTCGGTTTTACCCTCGGAATTTTCCTCACCAGCCTTCCTGGACGCCTTGCGCATGGCCGATTTGCCCCAAGCTCCAAGCTCAGCTTCAGCACCTTTCCCACCGGAGGAATCTTTAGCTCCGATTCCCAAAAACCCGGGTCGTCGTGCTGGAACTGCAGCTTTGTTCGCTTTTTCTGCAGAAGCAGAAGAGCTGTAATTACCTCGTCCAATCGATTGTCCATCTTTCCATCCCATTCCTCGTAGCAACGCAGCGCCAAATTCCTCAACGGGAATAGCATTATATTGATCCAGGGTTGCTGATTCAGGACGAGACTTTAAATCCGTTTTAAATGAGTTCGTCGGTTCACCATGGGTGTAAGATTCCTCCTCCTCTTCGTCTCGAGACTTTGACGCCTCAATCACCAAATCAGATCTCCGCTCCACCTCGCCCTTGCTTTCTCGAATCAGAGCTTGTAAAGCTATCTGATCATCTGTAAGTGGTTTTTTATCTTCAGCAGATGTAGGAGCAAGAGGCTTCGCATCTGCCATGGGCTGATCGCCATCAGCAACCTCACTCCCTCGCTGTTCGTCCTGCGCAAAGCTCAGGCCGTATGCCATACTAGGACCTTCGGTCTCAACCTCCCCTCCCGCGGGGGCCTTTCCAGTCCGTTCGGCTTCCTGCATGGCCTGAACCTCAGCGGGGAGGAGGTTCTTTTTTCCCTTCTTAGGACCACCAGGGCGATCGCGCCAGTTATTCTTGCTTGTAACTGGAATCACCAAAGGTCCTTCTTTCTTCACAGCTTCTCCGTCGGCCGTAAGCGCATCGCCAGTAAGGGTGTCGAAGCCCGATACTTCTTCATGAGCAGGTGGGTGCTCATCCTCGTCTGAATCATCATCGCCGTGTCCCAGTCGGTGTGGTCGGCGGGGAAGTGAACGGCCCTTGTTTGCTGGAGAGTCGGCGGGACGGCCGCGGTTGGATTGGAAGCTGAATCCTGCTTTCTTCGGAGCGCCATTGGAATTTGGGGCAAAGGAAAATGATTTAGAGGGGCCACCATTGCGGTCGCTAGGACCACCTGATGAAGACATCGCGACAGGCTTAAATTCTGAGGGAGTGGTGGCTAATGTAAAAAAGTCCAAGTAAATGTGAAGGCATGAGACCGTGTCGGGCGGTGGCAAAATCAGTCTCAGCCGCGCGGCTATCGATTGGAGCTGATTCTTATCCACGCCTCCAGGACTGTTCATGGATGTATTAGATACCTTTCACATAATCGAAGTTTACATAATTTAAAATGTTCATTCCCACTGGTAGCTTGAATCTGGAATTTCAATTTATTTAGCTTCTTTGTCTAATTTCAAGATTTGTATTGACTACATGCAACACTTGTATTTGCGCGATCGTCCTTACTAAGTTCCAAGATTAGGGCTTCACATCTAGGTCCTTAAGTTCTCTATGCAATTATTTGTGCAAATATTAAAATCAATAATAGTCTTAAATCGGAGGAAAGTCTGTTTCATTTGCCCAACTTAAATACATAAGAAACATACGATGAAAGGGTACCTACCTACAGAGTACATGTATTAGGTTAACAATCTTGGGATGAAAGGTGAAGCCATTTAAGGGAATACAAGTCTACGTGAATACAACTCTAAGCCTTGGAAAAGTCAAGATTCAAAACTAATCATACAATTCATGTTCGTCAATTCCTGGGTTCTAACCCTAAGCCCAGAGTTTCGCCATCCCAGGATAATACATGCCCAAATTCATTGAGTTGCCACCGGTAATAACGGAGCCAATGGCATATTTAGTCCATTAGACTAAGGAACAGGCTAGAGGATTCAGGCACAGAATAAGGCACAAAGCTGTAACGGAATCAGATGGTGCTGTTGTGTGTGAAGAGGGTAAAAAGAGAAGAAAAAAAAAATCAAGCTGCGCCACCCCAGACCACCAGCGCAAAAAATTGAGAAAAGAAAACCAGAGTCAATAAAATCAAAGTACGGGGGTGATGAGTCAAAATATTTACAGTTGAAGAGAATAAAAGGAAGTAGGGGGTATGAGGTTGGTTGTGTGGGGAAAGTATATGAAAATCATTGAATGATTTTCTTTAACTGCTCGTTGTTTGAGCAGGGGGTGGGTGAGGACTCTTGCTGGAACCCTGAACGGCCCCAGCTTGAGCACTTCCACTGCGCTGGGTTTGAGGTGTAGCACTTCGGCTAGCCTGAGGAACAGCTCCAGCTCCATTCATCGCCGGTGAACTAGTAGGCGCAACCCGGTTTTGTTGATTGGCTTGAGGAACCCGCATCATTGGAGAGAAGCCCTGGTTTTGGGGAACTTGCATTGCTGGGTTCCCATTGGGCATGTTGGCCTGCTGAGGATTTTGGAAATTTCCACCATGCGGTACTTGATAGTTGGCTTGAACCTGGTTCATACTTCCAGCAGCAGCATTCATGGCTGCTTGCTGAGACATGCGCTGCTGCTGGTATTGGTTGAGTCGGTCTGTTGCCAACTTGTTCACTTCCTCCGCAGGGAGATTCGGGTTGGCTCGTTGGATCTGACTTTGGAATGTGCTAATCGTAGGCACTACACCACTAGAGATAGGCTGGCCCATGCGAGGTGACGGAGTGGAAACAGCTTGAGATTGGAAGGAGGGGCTCTGAATTCCTCCTTGGGCCTGCATCGCTGCGAGCATTGCCGGGTTATTAGGGCCTCCATTCACATTTGGCATATTAATATTAGGAGAGTGTGACCCTTGAGCCGAGAATTGTTGGTTATGGAATGACTGCTGTGCCTGCTGAGGCTGGCCTTGCTGTTGGGGAACTGGTGTCTGCCCTTGTTGTCGCGATTGCAAAAGACGCTGCTGCTCCTGAAGACGATTGGCTTCCCGGATCACTCGAGCATTATCTGGGGAAGTCTGCATCGGCATGCCAGGTCTAGGGCCCACCGGTTGCTGCATCTGACCTTGAGGCATCATTTTCATCGCCATCGCATTGGCAGGCATCTGTCCATTGACTGCAGCAGGAACCGCAGGCATGCCCTGTATCGGCTGAGTACGGTTTTGATTAACACCTACGCCAGCTTGCATAGCAGTAGGAACCCCATTAGTTGTCCCATTAGGCATGTTGGCATTGGCAGAGTTCGGTGGCAGGCTGTTGGGTGTTCGCCCTTGAGCATTCAGACCTGCTTGCTGCTGGTTGGGCAATTGGCCATTGCGCTGAGCGACGAGGCTAGCTCTCTGCTGAGCAATCATCTGCTGCCGATACTGTTCCTGTCTTTCCTGTAGTTTCACTTCCCGATCATACTTGAGACGACTGAACTCAGCAGGGGTAGTGATCGGCGGCTTAGGCTGATTGGCCTCATTGGCCTTCCTCAACGATGCGAGATGGGAAGCGTGCTGCTGCTTTTGAAGCATAGTCTCTCGCTTCTTGGCCAGTTTACGCATACCATCCAACAAGGCAAGATGCCGAGACGATCTCCTCCTATCCACACGCAACGGCTGTGTTGTCCGGCGGCGAACAGGGGGGTTGTGGCTGACCATTGTTAGCCTGCTGTTGCTGTTGCTGCTGTTGCTGAGCAGCCTGCTGCTGGGCGAGCACAGTGCGTTGAGCTGTCTCAAGCCTTTGGTGGTAAGCTCGGAAATATTGGGTCTTGGACATGTCGGCGGGGAGGCCCTCCAGTCCAACCCATCGCTCGAAGCATTCCCAAGGAGTTCTTCGTTCAGCCCCAGATGTGAATAAAGATGGAGAGCTCAAGCAGCTTGAGATCAGAGACCAATTGTATGAATACTCCTTGACCAGCCGACGTAGCTCATCATCCTCAGACATGGTCCATTGAGAAGATTGCCTTGACTCGAAGAAACCAACGGATGGCATGGGGTGTTCGGTTGGGGGACGGAAAGAGTGTCCCGGATGAATTCTATCACGGATTGGCTTGTTCTCAAGGCGAAACAATGCGACGTTAGTCTGCTCCGGGGGGGATTTCAGTAATACGGCTCTCTATGTCGGATCCGTATTGAGAATAGTCGTAACGGCTTCGTTTACGAGGGAGCTTATCATCCTGGAAGGCAATTTTGGTCGAGGCGAACTTAGAAACCGGCAGAAGCTCCGTTTTCCAGACCGAGTCCGGAAGTTGCTTGAAAATCGGAGACTCGGCCCCAGGTGCAATACGTAGTGGCTCATACAGTGGCAATTCATTAAGCAATTTCTCAGCTGCGGGAGTCATGTCAACGGAGAAGGTGAACTCGTCAGACCCTAGAGAAAATATGGCTGCAGGAGCAACGGTGTCGCAAATATTATGTCGTGGCTCTTCATTGAAGCCATCGCTGACCGATTCTTCTTCAGCGGATGGAACAAGATCTGGCGTGGGATGAGAGATAGCAACTTCGTCACTTGTATCTTCCGGAGAAGCGATATTCATCTTCGATGTATCATTTTCTCTAGCCGTCGGCGAAGGAACCTTCGCATTGACACGAAGTAAAGACCGGTGTTCCTCGTCACTACTAACATACTCAGCGCACCAATCGGCACAACTCTTAGCAGCTGCAATCTTCCACTTTCGCTCTTCGCGGAAGTCTGTGCGCATCCACTTGACATGGTCCAGGACGATATCCCAGTGAGTACCTTGGCGAGGAGGTTCGGGGGCCCGTTTCATTTGTCGCAAGGGCCATCTGTTCGCATTCTGAAGACCATAGATTCGGCGTAAGGTCCTGCAATCCATCGACTCCTTGTATTCCAGCTGATGGTTTCCAGTAGTCAAGGTCTTATGAGCGGATGCAAGAAGCGTACTCATGTTCATTCCGCGAGGAGGCGCATAAGCCCTATTCAAGAACAAAGTGAATAGATAATCCTGCTCCTCGTGCAATTTGGCAACTGCATCGGCAGATTCTCGGTGAACAAGCTCCATTGAGTCAGTCTTATCCTGCTGTGGAGTCAGGTTAGGGAAGACCACTGTCGCAAGTCGAGTTCTTTCCTTTTCACGATCTTTGCGGTCCTTGAATCGCATCCGTGCAACACTATCTGGGCTATCATGATCGCTGGCAGTAGTAGTGTGAGGTGTTCGTGGTGTTTCTCCCAGAATTTCAGAAACTGACTTGTGACGAATTGCGCCTGATGATACGCGGGTCGTCATTCTTTCGGGTTGTGAAAGACCAGGTTGTGTAGGTGGAATCACAACAGGCTTCTTGCTCGTATCATGCTCATCTTTAGCAGGTTCGGATGATACAGCTGGGTGTTCGGTGGGTGAGAGGCTATCGGCTTGAGCTGCAGTCGGCCCATCTTGTGGTTTCGACTCTACTGCATCCACCACAGGCTGTTGGTCAACATCCATCACATCTGGATCTGCAGAAGAAGCTCCACTGGGCTCGTTGACTTTCTCATTCAAAGACGTCGCAGCTTCTTCGGCTGTCTGCATTGACTGCGCCTCCTCCAGTCGTAATTGCTCATCCGGTGTCGATGGGATCATGTTTCGGTAAGGTTGAATCAATCGGTCATGCTTGGGACTCGGGCGACCACCCTTCCCGGCCTCAAGTGTTTCCTCTCCGGGGCTGGTTACGGGCGAAGCAGTGACCGGAGCCGGTGTATTATTAGAGTATGGGTCGATAGATGAGGCGGGTGAGAGGGGTTGATCGTGGTTTGAAGGCCCTATCGCGAGAGAAGGTCGCGAGTCGGATTTCTTTCGAGCAAGAGTGTTGGGTAGGATATCCAAGGAAGGTGTTGCGCCTGTCGCAGTAGGTCTGGCTGCTTGTGGAGAAAGCTTAAGCTCCGTTCCATCCTGGCCTTGGTAGCTGACGGGGGTTTCTGGTACGGATGCACTAGACAGTTCAACATTTGGATTAGATGGTGCAGCCTGGGTCGGTGCACCTTGTCCCTGAAATGCTTGTGGGCTGGTCGCAGGCGCAGGTGACTCCTCAATTGTTGTTGTAGTCTTTAAGACAGCCGGGACAAGTCTTGTGGTGCTTGGCTGGACCCCGGCGGGCCTTTCCTGGAGAGTCGGCTTGGTCTTGAGTAAGGATGCGTCGCCATCTGCGACCGGCGGGATAGTAATACTAGGCGCTGGTTGGGAAGTTGTCGCGCTTGTTGTTGTCGATGCGACCGGCTTTTTGGGAGTATCTCGTGCGCGCGCATGGGCAGGCGGTGGTAAAGTGGATTCATCGAAGTAACGACCTCTGTGCCAGTAATAAGTATAAATCCATGCCAGTATACAAAGAAGAACAATAAAATGATTGAATGATTGATGCGCAATAGAATGCTGAATAGTCAGAGATAGTAAGAACCAGAAGGGACATACTTAGAGAGATCGTTGCAGTCGAGGAATGCCTTCTCTTTTTGATGATAGAGTGAATCGGCGGTCGCGCCCTCAAAACCCACGGTCGCATAGTACAATTCGGTCAGTTTTCGCTTGCGCGACAACAGGCAATTTCTGGTCGGCTATTAGTCCACTGACACGTTTCAAAAGTTGCTGATTACAGCGAGAATAATTTTTCGATTTAATACGTACGCGATCTCATCCTGCTTAGACTGGAGAAGCTCGTCGCGGAGCATCAGGTCTATCTTGGGAACACAGCATCCGATTAACGCGGGGAAAAAAAGAAATGGATTGACCAAGGTCATTCAGGTCAGAAAAATCGCTCCTCTTGATGAGAAAGGATGTGGTTGTCGCGTGAAGCGATGAAGGTTAAAGAAGGGAGGACTTTTCAGTACGGGTTGGCACGGGAAAAAAGGGAAGTCGTCGGCGAGTGCAGGTTCAGTGTGGTTGAAAGCGTACGGGTATGGTAACATGGTTACTTGATTGCCCGCTTGGGGGGAGAGATTGGATGGAATTTATTTTTTAATTTCTTCTATAGATGAGAGTAATATAATGGATAAAGATATATTCTGGTTATAATCAAGTGAAAATTCAACCTTTTGGGACTGAGATTCTGTACGTCTGAGGTCTATAAGAATTCTTCCTTAATCAACTGGTGGTGACAAGATCTTTTAGCTCCGATGTGTTGGCATTGCTTGGAGTTCCCGGAGACGCGTATTGTGTATTGATACACATTCCATACAGGTTCTGTTTGCAGTTCAGGCGCCAAGGCAGAAACATGATTCAGGCATTAAGGCACTAAGGCTGCCAGTTCGTCAGGTATTCAGGCAACAATTATGTCCAGAATATTTAGGCAACAAGGCATCTAGGCATTCCGTATCTCTCTATCGATAACGGAGAAAAAAAAACCTCCACCGCCCAGCTCCAGCTTTTCATCCCCATATACTCACGGTAACTCACCATCCTTTTTTCCTCTCCAATTCAAAACAGACATCATGGCCAAGAGAAAGAGAAACGATCCTCCCAAGGAGGAAAAGTCCACCGAATCCCCTTCCAAGACCGTCAAATCTGCTCCGACTCCATCGCAAGCTCCAGATGCAGCTTTGACCATCCAAGTGATCACGGGTTCCTATGAGCGAGTACTGCACGGTTTCACGGCCGGCATCCCCGCATCTGCTGTGCAGTCAAAGAAGGAGGCTTCGAAGGACTCGAACGACTCCATTCAATGTGTCGACACTTTCTTGTTTGAAGCCCATGGATCCGCTATTCGCTGTCTGGCTCTCTCCCCATTGCCCAAGCCTACCGACAAGGGAGAGGGACAAAAGATCATTCTGGCCAGTGGCTCAACCGATGAGCGCATCAACCTCTACTCGATTTCCGCTGCGCCGCCCGCTGTGAATGATGATTACCCCTCAGTGCCTACTCTGGCCGGAAATAAAATCCTCGAGAACCCCAGGAATCGTGAGCTGGGAGCTTTGTTACACCACTCCGCTAGTATCTCGGCCCTGAGCTTCCCCTCACGCAGCAAGTTGCTTGCTGCTGGAGAGGACAATGCCATTTCAGTCTCCAAAACTCGTGATTGGAGTGTCGTCTCAACCATCAAAGCCCCACGTCCCAAGATTCACGGCCGGCCCAGCGGTGATACAGCACCCGAGGGCGGCGCTCCGGCGGGGGTGAACCACTTTGCTGTGCATCCTAGTATGAAGCTGATGCTGAGTGTTGGAAAGGGAGAGAAGTGTATGAGACTGTGGAATCTTGTTACAGGTAAAAAGGCCGGTGTGTTGAATTTCGATCGGGATCTACTACAGAGCGTCAGAGAAGGAAAATGGAGCAAGGGAGAGGGTCAACGCATTGCCTGGAATACCGCTGGTGAAGAGTTCGCTGTGGCTTTCGAATGGGGAGTGGCGGTATTTGGAATTGACTCTACTCCCAAGTGCCGAGCTCTCCCTGCCCCACGAAGCAAAGTTCACCAGATGAAGTATGTTTCACGGCCTGTAGGAGACGCAACCGAGGACTTACTGGCTGTTTCTACCGAGGATGGGCGTGTTATCTTTTATTCGACCGAGGAACTACAGAAGGCTGAGGAGGATGATGAATCGACCATTCCCTATGCGACTCCTGTGGCTCAAGTCGGTGGAAAACAGGCCGGCTTTCCCGGGCGCATCAAGGATTTCGAGGTTTTGAGTCTAGCGGATCAGCCGAAAGAGGTTCACGACGGGGTTGTCGTCGTCACGGGTAATAGTGATGGTGTGGTTCGCATCTGGAACGTGGCCAGCAAAGAGCTTGTGCCAGCCAAGAAGTCTAAGGGCCAGGATACCATTCCCCAAGTTGGGAACCTTTTGACAACCTATGAGACTGGAAACCGCATTACATGTCTGGCATCCTTTGTGATGCTGCCGGCGGAGGACCCAGATACGCTGATTGACTCTGAGGATGAGGAGGAATTTGAGGAGCTCAGTGATGATGATAGTGATGACGAGTAAATGCTCGTGCTCATGTATGGATTTTATACCCACTGTACTGTTAGATCAAATTATATTCCGAACATAAATCAAAAGTACTGCAATTTTCAAAATTGATGGTGATCAACTTGAAGTGCTTCAAGTTCAATGTTATCGATCTAGTAGTAGTAGTAGTAGTAGTAGTAGTATCATGTAGTATGTAGTACTAGTCGTGGTTAACCTGATCTAAACATTTACTACTAAATATAAATACTAGTAGAAGCTAGTACTATGCCTTACTAGTAGTGATGGCCTGGACGAAACGAATCACATAAATTAGGGTACTATTAATGCTGAGATGAATTAAAAATTAGGATTAATTAAAAAAAGGCATGATACATTGTCTATTTATATAACTTCTTCTCATATACTGTAGGTTCATACAATGTTGAGTGCTAATACCAGCCAACTGGTCTGACGGCTCCCGAGACCAAGAATTTTCTCTAGTATGAATGACTCATGCAGCAAAATCTATACCATCACACCAGTATAGTACAAAGAAGATGTAGATTTTTTCTCACAATACCATATGCAAATTATTAGATCAAACATAAATATTTCCATTATAAATTATCATAATGTGCCCTATAGAAATTCAAGTTCTTGGTGCCACAGTCACACAGTCACCGCCCGCTCGGTCCACTGCACAAAGCCCCCCCACTATTACATTCTTCCATTATCATATCGTCCTGCAATTTTCGTCCGCCTCATCTCTCCACCTTTGGCCGACTCTCCACCAACCCCCTTTCTCCCTTCGTCTCGACTCGGTTCGAAACAAAGAACAAATTTTGCAATCATGGCTACGAATGGAGATTTCTCCGACGAGAGCCAGCCCGGTTCTCCCATTCTCGACGGCAACAATGGCCAAGATTTCGCCGACCAGGAGCCTCTCGACAAGCCCAAGTCCGCCATGAAGAAGGCTGCTCCCATTCCCCAGAAGCCGCGCCCTGAGCTCCCCGAGCAGCCCGAACCCAGCGCCCTGGACCTCTCAAAATTGACACCTCTGAGCCCCGAAATTATCGCCCGCCAAGCCACAATCAACGTTGGAACCATCGGTCACGTCGCTCACGGAAAGAGTACAGTCGTCAAGGCTCTGTCGACTGTGCAGACCGTTCGTTTCAAGAACGAATTGGAGCGCAACATTACCATCAAGCTTGGTTACGCCAACGCCAAGGTCTACAAGTGTGACAACCCTGCCTGCCCTCGGCCGACCTGCTACAGGAGTTATGGTAGTGAGAAGGAGATTGACCCACCTTGTGAGCGTGAGGGCTGTGAGGGCCGCTACCGCCTGAAGGCTCACATCAGTTTCGTCGATTGCCCTGGTCACGATATTCTCATGTCTACTATGTTGTCTGGAGCTGCTGTCATGGATGCCTGTTTGTTGCTTATTGCTGGTAACGAAACTTGCCCGCAACCGCAAACCTCAGAGCACTTGGCTGCTATTGAGATCATGAAGCTGAAGCACATGGTCATTCTGCAGAACAAGGTCGATCTGATGCGCGAGGAGGCCGCTCTCCAGCACTATCAGTCTATCCTGAAGTTTATCCGTGGTACCGTGGCCGACGGATCGCCTATTATTCCTATCTCAGCCCAGCTGAAGTACAACGTGGATGCTGTTTGCGAGGCCTTGATTTCTCGCATTCCTGTTCCTATTCGTGACTTTACTGCTCAGCCCCACATGATGGTAGGACTACTATACTGAAGAAGTTGATAACCAAAGCTAACCATTGATTTTAATAATTAGGTTATTCGTTCCTTCGATGTTAACAAGCCCGGTGCCGAGATCGACGAGCTGAAGGGTGGTGTTGCTGGTGGTTCCATCTTGACTGGTGTTATCAAGCTCGGAGATGAGATTGAGATTCGCCCTGGTCTCGTGACCAAGGACGAGGATGGCAAAGTCCAGTGTCGTCCCATCTTTTCCCGTATCGAGACTCTCTTTGCCGAGCAAAACCCCCTCAAGCTCGCTGTTCCCGGTGGTCTTATTGGTGTTGGAACTCTCATTGATCCTACCCTCTGCCGTGCTGATCGTCTCGTTGGTTTCGTTCTGGGTCACCGTGGCCAACTTCCTTCCATTTACACCGAGATTGAGGTCAACTACTTCTTGCTTCGTCGCCTCCTGGGTGTCAAGTCTGCCGATGGAAAGCAGGCTAAGGTCGCCAAGCTGGCTAAGAACGAGGTCCTGATGGTGAACATTGGAAGTTCCGCGTAAGTCATTTTCTACTTTTTATGAAATTGCAATGGTTACTAACTCATCTACAGAGCGGGAGCCCGAGTATTGGGTGTCAAGGCTGATGCTGCTAAGCTGGCCCTGACCAGCCCTGCATGCACAGAGATCGGCGAGAAGATTGCCATCAGCCGAAGAATCGACAAGCACTGGCGACTTATCGGTTGGGCCTCCATTTTGGCCGGAAATGTCTTGGAGCCCGTCCAGCAGTAAAGGAAGGTATCTCAAACGACATTTAGCTACAAGGAAACCAAGAAGAGCGGGTGTGGCCAGTGTGGACTAGAGACCGACAAAAGAGATGATTGTTTCTCTCCACATTGACAGAACCCCGACTTTTCATGGGTCCTTTGCTTACTCCTTGCGATCTACCACCTCGCAGTCAATTTTTTTAACGGTCATGACGAGTTTGAAAAGTGAATGCACGAATTTTCCAGATATCCCCAGCTGAATAGAGAGGAGGTTTCTTGTTATAATCTTGCTCCATCTTATGGGTTTGTCACTTGCCCTAATAGCTGAGATGCGGTGAGTATCTCATCAGAGGGTACAGAGGCAGATACAGCCCGGAAGATGGATGGATGGAGGATCAAGATACGATTCATGGTGAAGAAGAAATGGTTCTTTTTTTATCTGGTGTGCTCTAGGGAGTTGTATTTGAAGAGGGTTATTTTGTTTTATCGATTTTGCGTCTGCATGGACAAGTCCTATGTAAATCGGTTCAGGTCTTATCTCGAAAAAGTGTAGAGGGAAAAGAGTGTCTATTTATTCAATTTCAAGATTTACGCCAGAGATGATCAAGGTCAACATTAGATTACGTTCTAGCCCTAGTTCGTGATTGGTGCATATGTCAGGTGATGATCTTTGAGCTCAAGCTACACGGAGTATCAAAGTCCACACCTCAACCTTAGAACTGCTGGCACTTCCACATGCATATTTCAACCTGAAGGGCTAGATTTGTAGGCACTATTTGAGTATCTGATACATTCAACATTTTGTCGCAACTTGATAACCCAATATTTGAATGCTTCACCTGGGCATGCAAGTATGGGCTAAAACTGCCCGTGCGTGGACCTAGGCCTACTTGACAAAGAACATTGAGCCTTATTCTACTATCTAGTACTGTTTATGCTTTTTACATATTCAAATGTTACTATGTTTCAAAACTGTTCTGGGTGCCCTCAGTTCGAATAGAATTGAGTAATACATATTACTAGTAACCTCAACCTTCCCAGTACTAGAAGTTGACTTATGGCCTGGTTAGATGAGATTACTTGATCTATATACTCCGTAGTGGCCTTCAAGTTAGGCCTTGGGTGATTTCCATTAGTACTAATATTGAGCAACCAGAATATCGGTATATCTATTTTCATGATAAAAGAATTTATAAAAGATGGTATGCGAAATATTAAAAAAAGAGAAAAAAGCATTCAAAGCCTTGTAGTATTATTGTTGCAACTTTGTTGACTGACGTCAGGTTCAAGGGTGGTCCCTGGAGCGATGCAAGTGTTGATCTGACTAAGGCTCCCGGGCAGTCAATTAACACCTAGCTTTCTTTGACGCCCTCTTCCTTCTTGACACCATCGCGTCGACAAAATGTGGATTCTCGAGGTAAGAACTTGCTGTTAATGTTGAATACTATCTTATTCTACTTCTTTTAAATGAATATCTATTTGAGAGTGTCTTTGCTAATATTCGCATCAGCAACTCGCGCGTGTCCTCGACCGTCCGCTCTTCCCATGGAAGAACGTGCTCGTGGGGTTCTCCCTGGGCCAGTTCCTCCTTGAAAATGTGCTAGCTTTCCGTCAATATAAGGTGTTGCAACAGAAGACTCCCCCCTAAGGTTCTGGCGGGAGAGGTTTCTCAGAAGGTCTACGACCAAAGTCAGGTATGGGATCACGCAAGCCAGAAGCTCAACTTACAGTTTAGCTGACAAAGGGGACTTTTTTTTGATTTAGGCATACGGTCGCGCCAAGTCCAAGTTCGGTTTCATCTCGGGTCTCTCCGGTCAAATTCAAAATCTCGCTTTCGTTTACGGTGATGTTCTCCCCAAGCTCTGGAGTGTCAGTGGCTTGGTGCTGGCACGATACCTCCCCGGTCAATTCCAGGGCGAGATCTCTCAAACGCTCATCTTCATCTTTGGTTTCAACATCTTGACTACTATTCTCTCGCTTCCTATCTCGTACTACAATACGTTCGTGCTTGAGGAGAAGTTTGGTTTCAACAAGCAGACCGTTGGCCTCTGGGTGACCGACATGCTGAAGGGTCAAATGCTCGGCATTGTTCTCGGAACTCCTATCATTACTGGTATTCTCAAGATCGTTCAGTCTACTGGCAACTCGTTCTTCTACTACCTGTGGCTCTTTGGTGTCTTTGTTCAGGTCTTCGCCATCACCATCTACCCCATTGCTATCCTGCCTCTATTCAACAAGCTGTCTCCCCTGGAACCCGGTGAAATCAAGACTGGTGTCGAGAACCTGGCCAAGAAGCTCAAGTTCCCTCTGTCTGAGCTGCACGTCATCGATGGTAGCAAACGCAGTGCCCACAGTAACGCCTACTTCTACGGCCTGCCATGGAAGAAGCACATCGTCATCTACGATACTCTTCTCGAGAAGAGCAAGCCGCAGGAAGTCGTCGCTGTCCTCAGCCACGAGCTTGGTCACTGGAGCTTGAGCCACACTACCAAGCTTTTTGGTATTGCGCAGTCTCACATGTTCTACATCTTCGCTCTTTTCTCTGCTTTCGTCAACAACAAGTCTCTGTACCAGTCCTTCGGTTTTGTCAAGGAGCAGCCAATTATGATTGGATTCCTTCTGTTCTCCGATGCTCTGGCCCCCATGGACGCTGTTGTGAAGCTCCTGATGAACATTCTGAGCCGCAAGTTTGAATTCGAAGCTGGTACGTCATACTATACTCACAACCTTTAACATATAGCATGCATACTAACTATACCGTAGATGCTTTCGCCCAGGGTCTTGGATACTCCAACGAGCTCGCCTCATCGCTCCTCAAGTTGCAGATCCAGAACCTGAGCACCATGGATGCTGACTGGATGTATGCCAGCTACCACTACTCTCACCCCATCCTGACTGAGCGTCTTGCTGCACTGGGCTGGAAGGGTGGTAAGGTTACCGACCTCAAGGCCGAAGACAGTGAGAAGCCTGTCAAGGCCGCGGATCGTGAGCTGTAAGCACTGGCAAGCTTGCCAGAAACCCCACCCATCCTTGAAATATGCTAGTCGTATTTCTTTGCAATTTTTGATGAGCTTTGCTTTTTCCTGATTTTTCAATTTCATGGCAATGATGCGGTGGAGATAGATGATATTGAACTGGATCCAGCTTATTTATAGCAAGAACAACACTTTTTCAGACATAAAATGCATGCGAAAATCATACTTTCAAGGATCCAGATATATACCAGAAAACTTGAGCACAGAAACAAAAGAACTCCGACCCAATGCAACAGCTTGAAGTACCCCCAAAAAAACGAAACCCCAACCTAGTAAGATCACTCAGAACGAAAGTAAAATCAATCAGACTCCTCCACCTTCTGCGCCTTAGCTTTCTTCTCCGCAGCCCGTCTCTCCTTCTTCAATCGCTTGCGCTCTTCCTTATCAACCGCCGCCATGGAGCTCTCCTGCTCCTCAAAAGCCTCAGCCTCAGCCTCGAATTCCGGCTCCTTCATTTCCAGATCGTTGTCCTCGCCATCTTCCTTCTGTTCGCCAGCGTTCGCTGCAGCGGGGGCATCCAAGTAATCCTCACCAGGGTTTTGCTTCGCAACAGTCAAATCCTGACCCAGGACTTCACCCGCGAGACCAGCCTGCACGCGCTTCAAGTTGTGGAGGATAAGGTTGGGCGCAGCAGAAGTTGTGCGCGAGACGGGACCATGCTCGCTAATGCTGGCATTGGGTTGCAGAGCTGGGTCTGTGGTTGCGCGGGTGAGGTATGCGGCGAGGAAATCGTGCGCAGCAGATTGACTAATGCTTTGGGTGCTGTGGACGACTGTTGGTGGGAGAGAGGTGGGGCCTGGGTTGTTCATTTTGGCGGGTTTCGTCTATAAAGACTTTGCAGCACGTAGGATTGGAAGTGCCTTTTCGGTAGAATGTGGCGAGAATGGCTTGTTGAGTGACTTCGTAACTTTTTTTGACATTGCGGAAAGAATTTAGGTGGCACTAGTCCCAAAAGGGTAGTCCTGGTTGTCTTGGACTTCAATTCTCTTCTATATAGATAGCATAGTTTATAGTATTTTCTAAAAGAATCTAAGTAGTTTGAATTGATTTCAGCACCATTCTATTTATCTAGTAAATCTATCAATATCACCTTTTCCTCGTCTTATATAGTGCTGTTAACTCCCTACAAGCGGGTCCCGTGCCTGCGGCTCCGCGCTTAATTTTCTTTCGACTTCCGAATACCGCGCCAGCACCAGCGAGATCTCGATCCAAAGCCCCAATCAGTCCCAACTGACCTGAATCGCCCTTCCGATTCCCATATCTCATAATGTTCTGTCTCTCCAGGGCCCTGCCCTCCCTGCGGGCTTCCGCCTCCAGCCTCCGAGCTCCCATGAACAGGTACTGCCAACCAGGACACTCAGCATCAAGCCCAACTCAGGCACCTGTGCCAATGCCACAGGGCCCATACACACATTCCACCTACTTCAAACAGAAGAGCAGAAGACTAAGAATCCATAAACTTATGCAGAATCCCTCAATTCACAACACAACCCTCCACCTCCAGACAATTCTCCTCTCTCCTCTCCTCGCCAGTTCTCCGTCACAGCCCATTGCAAATGCAGAGCTCTATCTCCCGACCAACCTCTGCTCCCACAGCCGTCTCCTCCATTAATTCCCTTCTTGCTCAGTCCGAGATTAGCCAGGGCCAAACCCGTGCTTTCTCCGCTACTGCTTCTCTCGGTGTCCGTCGCGTGACTTTCCGACCATCGCGCCGTGTGCAGAAGCGTCGTCACGGATTCCTTTCTCGGAGTAAGACGAATAAGGGTCGTCAGACTATCTCGCACCGACGTACAAAGGGACGACAGAATTTGAGTTGGTAGATGGATATGTTGTCTGAGCCTTGTATTTGTGGATTGAATGGTTGTGTGGATTTAGAGGAACCTTCGATGGCCAAATGTTTTTCGCTCTAGTGCATCTTGTCTTGTGATCACTTCGATGCATTATTTGAGGCATTGGACTGGGGATTGAGGTGGATTTGTTGGGTCATACCTACATACGTGAGTAGGAGTTTGATCTTGTATCATAGCTTTATGCATTCCGTCTAGGGATTTATCTTGGAATTGTTAAATTATTTTGTTCTTTCTCTTTCTGTGAGGGCTAGGCCTCTTTTACTACTCGGGTGTCTGTGGTTTTCTTCTTCTTCACAAACAGAGGGGTAGGATCAACTTGAATTTAGCCTACAGCTTATCCAGTAGCCTATCTCCAACTATGTACATGCAGCAGCTATTCTTCCTTCCTCCAGGTAGCCCTGTAGGGAACCCGTAGGTACTCACATACGAAGAGGTGTAGGTCTTGGCACCTGTAGATACTACTGACTGAGTACTTAAGTATGCACATGTGTGAACACCTGGGCATCCCTGTCTCAGAGGATATGAACACACCTGGCCAAGCACTTGAGTGCTGAGGACATAGCTTTCCCAATTTCGCGTGAAGTGCGGCATGAGGACTTGTTACTTGATTACTTGGTTTCGATTTGTTCCAAGTTTAGAACTATTAGAACCTTGAACCTTTCCCCTTTTAGTTCGAGGTTTAAGATTAAGGCGACCTTTATCCTCCATACACTTCGTTTTTTGTGCAGCATAACTCCATTGCCATTGTATGAGTTTTTCTATGCTGCTCTTGAATCTAGTTAATCATGTTGCGCGTTCACTCATCATCCTCGTCACTCTCCTCCTCGGATCCAGACTCGTCATCGTCATCATCCTCCTCTTCCTCATCCTCATTAGCACCTAGCTTAAAGCCATAATCATCTTCAAACTCCTTCAAAGCCTGGACCTTAGGTGTGAAGCCAAAAGACTCGAAGCCTTGCTTGATGGGCTGTTGAAACGAATTAGTAAATATGAATTAATATTGAGCCGCGAGAAACCAAAATCACAAAAAGAAAAGAAAAAGAAACATACCTCTTCTAGAACAGTACCACAGGTAACAACCAAATTCGCTGTCTTGGCGTCAAATAGCGGCAGGATGATTTCACGCAGAGCATCCTTCACTTCATCGACGCTGATATCGCGGACCTTCTTCAGCATCTTCTCCTTGTAGTCAAGAGGCAGGTTGCGGACGACCTGACGGATGAAACTGCCCTGCGCGGCGCTGGCAGCGGTCATCTGCTCATTAGCGAAGCTGACGACGATACTGCTGATCGAGCCCTCCAGCATCAGTGGATCAAAGGGTGACGCGCCAGACAGGTGGTCCTCGACGATCTGCTTGCTGGCCTCGAAGGCCTTGTGGGCGTTTGGAGAGCGGTATACATCGAAGTTGACAAAGCCGGTGTCGATGTTGTGAGCAAAGGTAGTACCGTAAGCCAGACCCTTACCACGGACAGCCACCCAGAGGGGACCTTCGACGGCGTTCATGTAAGCCATGGCAACCAGCAGAGAAGGCAACTTGGGGTGGTCGTAGGAGTCGAGACCACGGGCACTGGCGTAGGCAAAGGAAGAATCGACGGTGGGCATAGGGACAATATAGGCCTTGTTGCCAATGGTCTTACCTGCATCGCTCATCAGATCACGTCGGTTGGTGATAGGCTTCAACTCAGTGCTAGTACCCAAACGCTCAGCGAAGGGCTTCCAGGCAGAGACAGGGTTGGTGAGCTTCTCCAGGTCCGCGATCACGACGATACGGACATTTTCAGGCTGGAAGAGGGACTTGCGGATCTCTTCCATGCGATTCACAATCTCCTGGGGCTGATCGGCGAGCAGCTTCTTGACACGCTTGAGGTAGCGGGCCTTGACCAGAGTGTTGCGAGCGCGGACAATAGACTCCTCCGCATAGTGAACCATCACATGCACGGAGGCGAGCATATCCTCGCCGCTGCGCTTGGAATCAGGCACGTCGGCGAGAAGTCGGGTGGTGATGGCGCGTAGTCTCTCAACATCAAAGATAGTGTTCCAAGACAACTCCTGGAGCCAGGCAATTGCAGTCTCGTACTTCTCAAGCTCAACCTGGAATGAAACACGGAGCATCTCAGAGTTTCCAAGAGCTCGGGCGGCTTCCATTCCATAGCCAACAGTGTCCTTCTCCAGTTCAACAACGACTTGCTCGAAGTCAATGGTCTTACCATCACGCTGGAGCGGGACGTTAAAGAACGCTTCGGTAAAAATTGACAGGAGGGGACGCAGTTGAATAGGAACAGACTGTGCGGAGATAAGAACGGACAACTGAACAAAACTGCTAGGGATGTGTTCAAAGTGCATCCAAATGGGCAGTCCTGTCTTGTTTGCATCGCTCTCAATGAGCTTCTGAAGAGCATTATCAGGGCGTCCAGCCTTGAGAGCAGCACCTGACCGGGCAGTCACTGTCTCCATAAAGTGGATAGATTCGGTGGTAGGAATTTGGAAACCCGCCAGCAAATGCTCTGGAATTTCCTTGTCATTCTCTGCCTTGGCCTTCTCAAGCTTGTCTGCGAGATCCTTCAGCCCGTCCTCGCCGAGACGCTTTTTCTGCGCAGCAACACGAGCTTCCTCATCGTTCTTGAATTTGTCAGACAGCTTCAGAGATGGAATACCCAAAATGGAAACATGGTTTGCATCTGAAATCCACATCTTAATGAATCCTCGCCATTGGTCTTGTGTCCACTGCTCAAGGGTATCGTACTCCTTCAGAGATGCGACATCCCGCAGAGTTGAGCCGTCCCGGTTGCCAAACAGGAAATCGGTGATGACATACTCAGCGAAAGATGCGGCAGAACTCTCAGTGGCAAACTTCCAGGTGCGACGCTGACGGTCAATACATTCCTTGAGGTACTTCATGTCAAGATCTTTTTCCATCGCCTCCTGCAAAATCTCGAAGAATCGCTTTTCGACCTGCTCAAGCTTTTCAGTCGCGACACTGGTCATAGTGAAGCGAATTTCAATGCTGGGATGTTCCTCCGTAGCATAGTAAACGGCGCTGGCAATCTGTTCCTTCTCGACAATGGTATTCTCCAATAGAGAAGCAGATGACCCGGCAAGGTAGAGCAAAGCCACATTAAGAGCACCCGCTATGAAGAAACATCAGTTTTCAAGTTCCAATATGGGTGGAAGATCCTGTTCAGAACATACATAGAATAGCATTGTTGCAATCAGGTCCAAGGAATCGAATTTCAATCTCGCCAAAAGATTCATCCTCCTCAGGGAATTCGACCTTCTTGATGACGGACTTCTCCAGAGCTGGGGTCTGCTTGGAGTCGACCCAAGGTCTCTTGAAGGGAGCTGTCGGGCTTGGAATCACATCCAAGATTGTGTCTTCAAACTCGTCTAGAATATCCAACATGTTGTTCTGGTCCACCTCACCAGTAATAACCAAACAAAGATTCTTAGGCTGGTACATCTCTCGGTGGAATTCCCGGATTCGCTCAGCTGAGAGAACACGGAGTTGTTCCATCATACCACCGGTCTCATACCGGAAGCCAACATCTGTGGGGTATGTCAAACGTCTAGCAGCTAAGTCGATCAGCTCAGCGGCGTTGTTTTGAACTCCCTGCATCTCAGAGTATACAACACCAGCATCATTACCGGTGCCATCAATGTGGTGTACTTCGGTATAACAACCTTCATCAGTCAAGGTAGGAGCGATGACATGCTCCAGATAGACGGGCAAGATTCGTGCAAATCCCTCCCAACCAGCTGTGTCAAGTGTGTATGCTGTGTGATCAGTGGCCGTCCAAGCGTTGGTGCTAGAATATACACGCGTAGCGAGCTTATCCAGGAAGCCCTTGTAGCGGAAGTTGCGAGATCCCATGAAACAGAGATGCTCCAGGGTATGAGGAGCGCCGGAGTCATCGTGAATCTCGGTAGCCAGAACGAAATAACCGTTTACTTTAGGGCCTTTTTGGTCGATAACGACGACACGCATTCCAGTACGTTGAGACTCATACTCTGTGAACTCGCTCGCCGAGTAGTCAGGCTTGAATTGCTGTAACAATTTGAAGTGAGACATATTGATCAATGGGGCTAGCCCAGTGCGAATATATCGCCGAAAACTTGATGATCTAGATAAATTCCGGTTAGCAATGTTTCATTTATGCATTGTATGTATCCAAGTGCGGCGGTGACCATTGTCCCACCCACAGCTCATGAGTATTTTCCCCCACCGTGGGGGGGTTTGTGGGACAGAAGGAGCTCTGGAGTAGCTATTGAAAGCTGGAGTAAAGGCCCTATGCACCCAGTCCACAACAAAACAGAGACCACTGGAAGCAATGCAAAGAACCGGCGGCACCTCGGCCAGCGAGGTTCATGTTCACTCATTCTAAAGCTTTTCCCGTGATAGACATGTGTGACGTGGGCGGGGCAAAAAGAAATTTGAGCTTTGGAGGGGGAGGAAAGCACTTTGGAACAACTCACAAGGACCGAGTAGTTCGCACCCGACTCAATCCAAGCAGGCACAACCGAGACACGGTGGATTCAGAAGCTTCGTTTCTGTGTGTTCAAGTTGGACCCAGGCGGAGTTTGGGTCCCGTTTCCTTACAAAGCGGTTGCGGGTTGTCTGGTGCATATATAAGTCTCAATTATTTTATGACCAGGCAGTTATTACTGACGAATCGGATTTCTAGAAAGTTGAATAATTATAGAATATTTCAAGTAAAAAGAGAAAAAAGCAATTTTTTTTGTGGTGTGAAGGAATCTGTGATTTTTTAATTCAGTCTTGACCATTCATAGTCTACACGCAACAAGCACCAAGACGCAGCTCCGTGGGGCGGTGACGCCCAAAGTCACGCGGTTGTTGACAGCTCGCCGCTTTCTCCAGTTCTCTACTTGACCTAGACTTCTAGGGCGCGAATAATCCCCTCTTCTTTTTGTGAGCTTTGCCAATCCGAAGCTTGACAGTTCATCATGTCGCAAGCATCCGAGAGCGACATTTGCCAGGCGGTGCTGGGATTCGTCACTGAAGGCGCTTACCCGGAGGAGAACGTGGTGGCTGCCAAGTTCCCGGCGGCAGCTCTAGCAAAGGAATTGGAGCTGATATCACAGGCTCGAGAAAAAGTGGAGGTAAGTTAGAGCTGTTTTTGAATGGCTAGTGTTTACCATGACAGTTGGCTGACCAGGATTGGTATACGCAATAGAATGAGATTAGCTCTCTCAGTCGTGAGAACAACACATTCGATGCCGACGATTGGATTATTCAAGCGAGACAACTACACGCAGATATTGAACGCTCGAGAGTTACGGCGCGGGAAATCGTGTCTCAACATGAGCAAACTAAACCCCTTCAAGCTAAAGTGGACGACGCTCATGCGAAAGTTGGATTGATCGAGACGGAGATTGCATTTAATGAGGCTGTTGCGGAGACACTAGAGGAAGTACAGCGACTGTGTCAACAGTTGGAGTCTGGACGGGCTGCTCTGGGAACTGGTCGTATAATGACAGCTATCGAACATCTGGAGTCCGCATCATCAGCCATTCAAAAGGATACCCCGTTCTCAAACACCAATGTGATGGGCATACTCTTGGAGGAGACAACCCGGCTTCGGAAGGAGATCGAAGAGGCCGTACAACACCGTTGGAGTGAACAACTCAAGGTTGATCGAGCAATGGGCCAGTTCCACATTACCAGTATTGAGGGCACTGATTCCTTGGAGGAGACTATTACGTCACTTTCTCGACTGAATATACTTGTCTCTGCAACTGATAAGCTCCAGAAAGATCTTGAATCGGTGATCCTTGGCCCAATCCTGGCCTCGCGTGGAGACAGCAGCAGCCGTGCAATTGAGGTTACAGAGACGGCTATTTGTGTTGCCCCTGCCTTCTCTAAGACGATTGTAGCCGAGACATTCAGTCGAGTCACGGATGTTCTTAACTTCTTGCGGAAATACCTGCCGTCGTCATTATCAGCTTCTATCCCTCCGTCCTTGATTCCAGCTATTGCTTCCAAGGCGATATCTGGGTGGCTGTCATCCGCGATTCCAACCACTCTTGATGGCCTGGAAGACTTCGAAAATACCTTGGACAGTGTACTACAATTCACCAAAACTATCGAATCGTGGGGATGGACTGGACAAGAAGAACTTGTCTCATGGGTTAATCAAGCCCCTCGGCTCTGGTTGACTCGACGCCGAGTTGATTCTCTCGATAGTGTCCGGAAAGCAATTGCAGCTAGCAATGGCAGCACAAAACAAGTTGAAAGAGTCGAAAAGGAGGAAGTGTCGCAAGTGGAGGAGGCACTCTTGGAGAATGCTGCCACTGATGATTGGGATGCAGAGTGGGACGACGACAAGGAAGAAGCACCAGCGGCTGACCAACCCCAGGAAGATGAAGAAGATGTTAGTGCATGGGGTCTCGACGATGAGGACGACACTATTGAGCCTCCAAGCAAACCAGATGTGGAGAATGCTCCCGAAGAAGATGATGATGCGGACGATGCTTGGGGGTGGGGAGATGATGACGAAGAGAAGAAGGACGAAAGACAGAAGCCTCCACTTCTCACTGAGACCAAGCCTGCAAGTAGCAAAAGCAAAAACAGTGCCCAACCCAAGGAGGTCATTCTCAGGGAAGTTTACACGATCACCGATATTCCAGATTCGATTCTTGACATCATGCTCCAACAAATCTTTGACTCCCAGGATATCGCCCAACCTCAGTGAGTCATTACCTACTCTATCGCTTGTAAATATGATTAAGCTAACCAATTCCAGACATTCCAATTCTCGTGTCGCTTCATCTGGAGCTGGTCTGCTTGCGCTTCCCACCTTGATTCTGGCCATGTTCAAGGCTACTTCATCCTCTTTCTATTCCCTCAAGCTCAATTCAGGTCAAATGTACCTGTATAATGACAGTCTTTACCTGGCTGGTCGTGTTCGAGAGCTGATTGAGGAGCACAGTCTCATCCGGCTCAGTTCTGACGTGGAAGCTCTGGAAAAGTTTGGCAAGTTTGCATATAGCAAGGAGATGCAGACCCAGAGCACCATTGTCACTGATCTTCTCGATGGAGCGCAAGCATTTGGACAATGCTCAGAAAACCCATACAAGATGGAATGTGAAAATGCTGTCAGCGCGACTGTTGACCGAATTCGCGATGTGTACAAGGAATGGCAGCCAATTCTCTCGCATTCTGCGCTTCTCCAGTCCATTGGGTCTCTGCTGTCCACTGTGATTAGTAAAATAATCATGGATGTCGAGGATCTGGGTGACATTTCAGAGGACCAGTCAAAACAACTCGTTTTATTCTGCAACCAGGTCTCCAGCTTGGAGGATCTCTTCATGCCTGAATCTACTGGAGAGTCTGAAGCTGTCCCAGTGACCGCTGTCTATGTCCCGATCTGGCTCCGGTTCCAATATCTCATCAATATTTTAGAGAGCTCACTTGCGGACATCAAGTTTCTTTGGATTGAGGGCGAATTGGGTCTTGAGTTCTCTATGGACGAGGTGATCGACTTGATTATTGCATTGTTTGCAGAGTCTGATTACCGTCGGCGTGCCATTGCAGATATTAGACGAGCCCCTCGAGGTTGATATTTAGACTAGTCGATTATTTTTGATTAGATAACTAAATTCAATATTATAAAGATCATTATATTTGTCCAAACTAGTGTATAGTTAGTATTCCAGAATTGTACTTTATCTACATAGCGGGGCTGATCTCCGCGCTCTGCGCTAGTGTGCCGCACCGGTCACCGTATTTTTTCTTCACCAGCGCAGACTTGTTCTAGCGACAGCCACACCAGATCAGAGGTTCACAACACCAATTCTGGATATACTTTCGCCCATAATGAGTGACGAACAAAATTCCGGCGCCGAGGCTGCGCAGCGACAGGTTCGTGTCCAGCTCATGAGCAAGCAGGAGGACATTGCTCTGCCTGAAAGCACTGGTCCCATTCTCGTTCCTACTGGTAAGAATGTCATTACGCCCATCATTTGAGGGCCGGTTCAATACTTTGATAATTTCCATGCTCATTCTGTGACTAGGTCTGCGACGTTATGCGCTGTCGACCTTGGTGAACAACCTGCTGTCGAGCGAGAAGCCCATTCCGTTTGAGTTTTTGATCAACGGAACATTTCTACGTACCTCGATTGATGAATACCTGACTGCCAATGGCATCTCGGCCGAAACCACCCTCGAAATTGAATATGTTCGCGCTTTGATTCCTCCTCTTCACATTGCCTCTTTTGAGCATGACGACTGGGTCAGCGCTACGGACGTGCTCTCCAAAACCTCGCCTGCCGCCTCTTGGGCTTCGGGTGCTACATTCTCGAAGGGCCAGGAGAGAATTTTGTCTGGAAGTTACGATGGCTTGCTCCGAATTTGGAACATGTCATCTGAGATTATTGCGACCTCTCCTGGCCCTAACGAGGTGGACACACATCCTCCATCAAGGCCGCGAAGTTTGTCTCGCCAAACCAGATTGCTACAGCCGGTCTGGACCGCACCGTTCGACTGTGGAAGTACACTGAAGATGAGAACCATTTCTCTGGAAAATTAACCCCTCAGATGGAGCTTTACGGACACAAGGCCGGTATCGAGTCATTGGCCGTGCACGCTCCCTCTAACCGTCTTTTGACCGGTTCCTTGGATCACACTGTTGGCTTCTGGTCTACCAAGAAGGCTGATTCCCCCGCCGCCCCAGAGAACCTGCTTCCCTCCAGCAATGCCCGTAACTCCAAGCGCAGAAAGCTGAACGTCTCTGTCAGCACACCGCAGCGTGGACCTTTGGCTCTTCTGTCGGCGCACACCGCTCCCGTCTCAGCAGCTATCTTCGACGCAAAGGATTCTACTGTTGGATACTCTGCTTCCTGGGATCACTCCCTGCGCACCTGGGATCTGGTCACCGCCTCTTTGGTTGATACTCGCACTACCTCCCACTCTCTTCTTTCTCTTGAGCACCTTCCCGATCACAACCTGCTGGCTGCCGGTACTGCCGCCCGCCACATTACCCTGATTGACCCGCGTGCCTCTGCCGCTACTGTCGCTGCGATGACCCTTCGTGGCCACATTAATGCTGTCGTCAGCTTGGCTCGTGATCCGCACAGCGCATACGGTCTCATTAGTGGTAGCCACGACGGCACCTGTCGCATTTGGGATATCCGTTCGACCAAGACTGACAAGGACGGAGTTGTTGGTGAGAGCGTGTACTCGATCACTCGCAAGAGCCTTGAGGAGGATGGAAAGGCAGAGAGCAAGCGCGTCGGTGGTGAGGGTGTCAAGGTCTTTAGCGTCTGCTGGGACCCCACGGTGGGCATTGTCAGCGCAGGTGAGGATAAGCGTATCCAGATCAACCGTGGTGAGGGTGTTCTGTCCGCGACAAAGCAGTAGATTGCGCATATGGGATTGGCGTTATAGATGTGGTCTTGTTTAAAAGTTTTCCTGTACTAGTTGTTCTTTAATTCCAGCTATATTATCTTGAACCCTAAGAATATGGATCCTTGATCTATACTAGTATTGTGCAACATTTACATTAATTCAAGTTTACTTTTCCGTCCGTTTATATAAACTGAGCATGTTGCATCTCACATCTGACCTATAATACATCCGTAGAGGGGTACATTCACAAAGACTGGCGTAAAAAAGTGTATAAAGTGCCAGCAATCAAGAACAAAACGCCATTCCCATGCCTCTCACAAAAGACGCGAGATAGTCCCATAAATCGATACAAAAATAATTTCGTCTGTCAAATTTATAGACGACGCTCCATGCGGTTCAATCTGACAGGGGTTTTGATCTATTATCGTATTGTTAGCTCGAATCCTCTGAATATCAACTCTACCCGGCTCCTAAGAACCGAAATCGCAAAGGAGAAAAAAATATATCCAAGCAATTCAATTTCAACTCCAATGAGAGAATTGAAGCTGAGATTATGATGATAAAAAGGAAAACCCACCTGAGAGCGTGTGCGCTGTCCTCGCACAGGCAGACCCAGAGCATGGCGACGACCACGGTAGGTACCAGTTTCCTTCAAGCGCTTAATATCGTTGAGAACCTCTCGGCGGAGATCATTCTCAATCTTCATATCCGACAGCACGGCAGTCAAATCGAGAACCTGCTTGTTGGCAAGCTCGCCGACGCGGCAAGTAGGGTGGATGTTGAAGCGGGCAAGGAGACGGGAGGAAGTGTCGGTTCCGATACCGAAGAAGGTTTGGAGAGATTTCTATTTGGTCATTCGTTAGGTCTCGGTTTATATGACCATTGGGGTAGGTTATAGTTGAATTGAGGTGCACTGCGGTTGATTGCTGGTTGCTTACCTTCAGAAGGTTCCGCTCCGGGAAGTTGACGCCGAGAATGAAAACCTAAGAAGATTGGTTAGTAAAGTGTTTTTTTGAAAGCTTAGAAAAATGGACGAACCATCTTGACTAGGACTTGGGGGCTGTCAATCGAGGTCTCTTTTGTTGCGCTCTTCGGCGATCGGAATGGATTCGATGCGGGAGAAATCTCTCGAAACAACGTTTCTCCGATGTAATATTTAGAAAACGCAGCCGGTATTTGGATGTTGAATTAGCGTAATTAGTGTAATTAATCCCTATCCATCACCAAATTATCGGTTCCACTTTTGCAAAAATTACAGGTTCTCTGTATTCTCCGCACCCATTGCAAGCTGGCCTCCCCCCATCTGGTCCTCCCTTTCTCTATCTTTGCTATTCCACTTCACACCCCGTGCTGTGGCAATTCGCAACCATGAATTTCCGCAACCTTTTCCTGTCCCTCTTCTTGGTCTTCGCGGTCGGCTTTGCGCTGGTCCAGGCTGAGGATGATAAGCGGGAGCCCCGTGGTCCCAAGATCACCAGCAAGGTAGATGAGTTGTTCTCCAAAGCTCCGTCGAGCCAACGCTGACCCATATTATCAGGTCTACTTCGATATCCAGCATGGTGATGAGTTTCTCGGCCGTGTTGTGATGGGTCTGTACGGCAAGACCGTCCCCGAGGTGAGTTGTGATTCCTTTTAAGAATCCCATGCAGTATACATATGGAACTGGTGGCTAATTCAGAGTTCCTGCCTTTCAGACTGCTGAGAACTTCCGGTATGATTATATTGATCCAGTGCTTTGGAATTATTCTTAATGACGATATTAATATTATTTAACAGCGCTCTGGCTACTGGTGAGAAGGGCTTTGGTTATGAGGGGTCCACTTTCCACCGTGTTATCAAGGACTTCATGATCCAGGGTGGTGACTTCACCAACCACGATGGCACTGGTGGCAAGTCTATCTACGGCAACAAGTTCAACGATGAGAACTTCAAGCTCCGCCACACCCGCCCCGGTCTTCTGAGTACGCAATTGATTCCATCGTCACTATATGTAGATCCAAACTGACCTATCTCTTCTAGGCATGGCCAACGCCGGCAAGAACACCAACGGCTCTCAGTTCTTCATCACCACCGTTATCACCGGATGGCTCGATGGCAAGCACGTCGTCTTCGGTGAAGTCCTGGAGGGCTACGACATTGTCGACAAGATCCAGAATATTCCCGTTGGCGGTGGCGCTAAGCCCCAGCAAGTTGTGAAGATCGTCAAGAGTGGCGAGCTCGAGATGGAGGCCGAGCCCGAGTCCGAGGATAAAGGTAGCCGCGACGAGCTGTAAACTAGCACACTCTAGTCCTACAGTTGCTTTGTTTTTTTATGCTGCTCGGCGACGGTAGGCTGATGCGTGGTTTACTCAAAGAATACGACGACTACCCGACCGATACTACCGCCTCTGTGGCCGACACCAGCTCCTTCTCGATGCAGCCAGTGCTTATTTTCCTCGTCCTCGTGGCCATTGTTGGATTCTACCTTTACCGCCGCCGCAGCCAGCAGGCTACTACTGAAGATGATTACAAGGAGTATCTGTAGATCTATTCTACCAGTATATTTTTCTTTTTGTTGGTGACTATGGTAGAGAATTATTCAAATGTTTATCAACCTCATCAAATACATGTTGAATCAGCTTCAGTTGATACTATCAGTTCTAGATCAAATGTCCAATCATTATAGTCTTATATTAGTGTTATTGTGCTGTGTATCCTCCAGGGCTGAGTATGAAGTATGACCAGTTGACCAGTCATCATGCAGGTCTCTAATCTTAGTCAGAAGGTCCAGACCAAACCGCCACCAACTGGTCAAATAATTTCCCAATTTGTAAAATCAAAAAAAGAAAAAAAGAAAAGAAAAGAAAATTGAAAATTCAAACTTTCCAGTGGCTGGTGTGACGGTATTGTTACCATTTATGACCTCATATTTTCCTACTACTTTCACCTTAATATATTGGATGATCAGTCCCTATTTACAATACCAAACATCGCTACCTGTGGGCTACCTGAACACACAGGCCGCAAAGCTAACAGATCCCTGTACCTTGGAAGTACAGCATTTGCCTCCTTCCCACAGAGCCAAAACCTGCACATCTCTTGCACCTTGCACTTTCTTCATTTCCTTTTCCCTCACTCAACTCCATCCCTCTCTTTTCATTTCTCGGTGCTCATAGAGTTCTTAGAAGTGGGAGATTTGCATTTTTCTTTTCTCTCCCTGTGTGATTCCTTGTCGTTTGTCACTTGATCTTTTTTTCTCTCTCTATCAAGTGGGAAGGGAAAAAAACTTGAGAACGAACTGTTCTACATCTTCTACGTCTCTCTCTTATTTTTTTTTAAAAGGTATTCCGATTCTGTCCCCCCTTGGTTCCGCAGGTTCCCCTCGTGTCCAGTTCGCTCAAGTCTTATCTACGACTTGAGAAACTTTTCCGGTGAAGCCAAAAAAAAAATCCAATCGCAACCGTCTTCCCTGCACCTCTCAAAATTTCACTCCTCCAAAAAAAAGTTTGTCAACTGACATGAATGTGTCTTCTCTCATTCACAATAGATACTTTCAAAACAATCCGCAAACATGGCCGACGGTCTTCAGATGGGCAACCTTTCCATCAACGAGTCTCAGCATGCGCCCCAGGGCAACGCCCCCCAGGGTCGTGCTGCCTACATTCCTCCTCACCTGCGCTCCCGTCCCGGTGCTGCTAATGTAGATGCTGGTCCTGCCCCTGCTGGTGGTCCTGGCTACGGTGGTCCTCGGTATGGTGACCCAAAAAAACACAAAACTCGGTTTACCCCTCGATTCGACTTCACACTAACTTCAAGCCTTCCAGAAACGGTCCCCGCGGTGGCAACTGGGCCAACGCAAATGCCCCCGATTTCAGCCCTCGCCCTGCCAACGGTAATTCCAGCTGGATCCCCCACGGAGAAATCCGGCCATTCGATCCCCATGCTTACGGACATCCAGGACACAGCGGCTCTTACAGTGGTGGTGGTGGTAGCGGTGGCGGCAGTGCCCCCCGTGGTTCAGGAGATGGTCAGTGGCGCGACGGCAAGCACATCCCCGGCCCTGCCAACGCCCGCGTGGAGCGTGAACTTTTCGGTGTTCCCAACGACCCCCTCAAGCAGCAGACCGGTATCAATTTTGCCAACTACGACGATATCCCCGTTGAGGCCTCCGGTAACGACGTGCCCGAGCCTGTCAACACTTTCACCAACCCTCCTCTGGACGACCACCTCATCTCTAACATTAAGCTTGCTAGCTATGTTACTCCTACCCCTGTGCAGAAGTACTCTGTGCCTATTGTCATGAACGGTCGTGATCTGATGGCCTGTGCCCAGACCGGTTCCGGAAAGACTGGTGGTTTCCTCTTCCCTATTCTCTCCCAGGCCTTCCAGACTGGTCCTTCGGCCGTCCCTAACCAGGCCTCCGGCCAATTCAGCTACGGCCGCCAGCGCAAGGCTTACCCCACCTCCCTCATTCTCGCTCCTACCCGTGAGCTGGTCTCTCAGATCTTCGACGAGGCCCGCAAATTCGCTTACCGCTCCTGGGTTCGCCCCTGTGTTGTGTACGGTGGTGCCGACATTGGCTCTCAACTTCGCCAGATTGAGCGTGGTTGTGATCTGCTCGTTGCTACCCCTGGTCGTCTTGTCGACTTGATTGAGCGTGGCCGTATCTCCCTGGTCAACATCAAGTACCTGGTTCTTGACGAGGCTGATCGTATGTTGGACATGGGTTTCGAGCCTCAAATTCGTCGTATTGTCGAGGGTGAGGACATGCCCCGTGTTGAGGACCGTCAGACTCTCATGTTCTCGGCCACTTTCCCCCGTGACATTCAGATGCTTGCCCGCGACTTCCTGAAGGACTACATTTTCTTGTCTGTTGGTCGTGTCGGTTCCACCTCCGAGAACATTACCCAGAAGGTTGAGTACGTTGAGGACCATGACAAGCGCTCTGTTCTGCTGGACATTCTTCACACCCACGGTACCACCGGTCTCACTTTGATCTTCGTCGAGACCAAGCGCATGGCCGACTCTCTTTCCGACTTCCTGATTAACCAGCGTTTCCCCGCCACTGCTATTCACGGTGACCGCACCCAGCGTGAGCGTGAGCGTGCTTTGGAGATGTTCCGTACCGGTCGTTGCCCCATCCTGGTCGCCACTGCTGTTGCTGCTCGTGGTCTCGATATCCCCAACGTCACCCACGTCATCAACTACGATCTGCCCACCGACATCGATGACTATGTTCACCGTATTGGTCGTACTGGTCGTGCTGGTAACACTGGTATTGCCACCGCTTTCTTCAACCGTGGCAACCGTGGTGTTGTTCGTGACCTGATCGATCTCCTCAAGGAGGCCCACCAGGAGATTCCTGCATTCCTGGAGAGCATTGCTCGTGAGGGCTCTGGCTACGGTGGTCGTGGTGGCCGTGGTGGTGGCGCCCGTGGCCGTGGCTCCAGCAACGCTACCCGTGATGTGCGTCGCTTCGGTGGTAGTGGCATGGGCGGTGCTACCTCTTCCTTCGGTGGCAACAGCTACGGCAGTGCTCCCTCTTACGGCGGCAGCGGTGGTGGCAGCAGCTACGGTGGTGCTGCTGCTCCCTCCTACGGCGGCAGCGGTGGCGGCAGCGGTAGCTACGGTGGTGGTGCCTACGGCGGCGGCGGCGGTGGCAGCGGTGGTGGCAGCTACGGCAACCCCTCTGGCCCTACCGGTCCCTCCTCCTGGTGGTAAATCAGTCGTGATCTAATGATGAGGCCGTCGGGTCTGATTTCGCTCCACACATTTTTTATTTCTTTTATGGTCTCTCGTTGATGGATACGATCAGAACGAAACCCTGAGTTCTTTTTCCTTTTTAGCTGTTTCTCGGGGACGGCTTTGTCATGACTTTCACGACCTCGCTACGTGTCGATTTGTTTCTTCTAGATTTACGTTCTCGCCTATCCTCCCTTATCTCCTTACGTGCGGTCCTCTTCTTTTCTTTATGGCTTTATCTCTTTTTTCCTTATGCCTGTATCTGTCTTATCTGCCTCGCATCTCTTTCCTGGCTCTCAATATGGCCTTGTTTAGATTCGGGGCGTTCGAGCAGTCTGATTACCCTTGTTGCTCCGGGCTTCTTTTTTTCCATGTCCGTGACGTTTGTTCCTTTTTTTCAAACTCTTCGAGCCATCGGGTGGTCGGCACTGCATGAACATGATAGAATGCGTTGTCTTTTTACTGTCCGCTCTCATCAGATACCCCTTTGTGTTCGAGCGTTCCCAATCTCGGGGACCACGTTCGAATGACGCGTGTGCGCCGAGCGAAGAGTTGAGGTTTTTTATTTCGCTCAACCTCTTCGACAAAAAGTGCTTTTCCTACTTTTGCATCATCTCGGCGCTGTTATGGCTGCATCGGTCGGTCCTTGCAGCATAGACTTCTGTCAGCGTCGGTATCTCATGGCGGACAACTCCTTGCGTGTCTTTTTTATTTGCTGCCCTCGTGTCTTTCTGCGGCTCATCTTCGTGTGTTCGAGGACCAACAATCCGCGCTTTTCTCTCTCTCCGGGCTTAATGGAATGGGCGTCCACTGTGGGTCGAGCTAGGTCTTTTTATTTTTCTGTTTGCTCGCTCTTTTCAGGTGGGTTTCGTCGGGGAAATTATTTGCATTCTGTATGGCGTTGGCTTGACCTACAACCGCATGTTCTCTGGGGTCCGTGGAGGCTGCTTCCCAAAAAAAAAATATTCCTTTATTTTTTATTACTTCTTTTCTCTTTTCCTTGCATAATTATTCTCGGATCCGTGGAGAGGATGGGAGGTCGTCCGGCGCTTGATGAATGGTATTCGCATGATTTCAAGTTGGGAGGATGAAAAGTAGGGACCCTGGTCTTTTCGAGGCCATGAGAAGGAAAGCCTTCTTAGTCAATGCTATTTGAAAAGTGTTTCCTGTTCAAATATTGTAGTGCTCTGACTTGTATGACTTGTAGCTGCGCATGTATACCTCTTCCTATCCTCCGTACTCAGGTTGAAGACATTGACCTTCTAAGGTTATGTGTAGCAATTTTAGCATCCAAGGTTAATTATAGTATTTATCAAAATCTAGCCACTAACTACTAGGTACTTTTGGATAGAATCTCATAATTATCAGATTTATAACTAAATCGAACCAAATCTATACCTCGATCGGGTAAGTTGTAAATCCGGCAATAGTGAAGCTCACTAATGTTACGCGGATCCTGGATGCGGGTAGTTATCATTCACTCCATAGAGAGACTTCAATCATCTTTTGTCCTTTCCCGGTTCTTCCCTTTCCTTCCCTTGTCCACACCTTCTTTATCCTTTTTCTTTTGTTGAAACTTCTTGAAACTTCACTTCCTGCCCTAATCTCTACTCGAGTTTCTATCATCTCCGCATTTTTAGATCATACTCGCGCCTCCTAGGGGGGCGACCATTACCAGCCCCCAGAACCTTCCAACTCCTCCGATTCTCAGGGCCATCGATTTCAAAAGTGCTCTTCCTGATCGCGATCTTTGTTCAAGATGGCTGACATTGAAACACCTGGAATGGACGAATCCTTCGCGGCGTCCGAAGCTGGTGATGATCAGGGTCATGGTATGACCGCTAGCGCGACGGTCGGCACAAGACGCCAGGCAAATGGCACGATCGGTTCTGTCTATTCAGGTAATAAAATTCGACACCTCAAGAAAGAAGATGGCATCCCATTATGGCGTAAAGATATCCAATACCAGTTTCTCAAGCTAGTCTTTGAGGATAAGACGCCTGCGTTCACGCGATACCCAGACGGCGAGCAGAAGCTGGACTTTGCCGACGTCTATATTGACGCCATGGCAAGGAGTAGCAAGACAAGCAAGATTCTCAAAGACAAGCTGCAAAATGATAAACCAGCAGCGATTAGCATGGCGATGGTCTGTTTGCTTGTGAACTTTGGCCGCATGAACACAACTCTTAACTGTAAGTATCCTGCAAGCAGTCCTTCTGAGTTAGTATTCGTCACAGTACTGATATTTCTCTCTTGCCTAGTTTTCCCTGAGATGCGTGCCCAACTACGAACCTACCATTCCATTCCCTCCCTCCAAGCCCACCAGGATTCGAATGCCTACAAGCAGCTGCAGGATGCTCCGCGCCTGAAGTCCATCCTCAAGGGCGCCTCCGAAGATGTCGATCAACCAAACACTTTGGAGAAGATCAAGGCCTTGACCGTTCCTCGAACAAATCCTGTCAACCTGATATTTGTTTTGGCACAGTATGCGCCAAAAGTATCTGAGATGCATTTCTTCCCTCCGCGTGATTTCTTTGATTTAGTGATGCGGTCCACATTGAGTAGTGAAAGCAGAGCGAAGGCATTTTTATGGTTGATGTGGTGGTACTTGGAAAGCGATTTCACTCGTGAGGCTGCTTTGAACAACCCATTTGGACCAGGCTTGGAAGGAGAAGGAGCTGAGGGATTACCTCTGAAGGTGCCCGCTTTTGAGAGCTTGACTGAGGATCAGGCAAATGATGAAAATGTGGACACAGTGGAGGAACTGGAATATGGGGAAACAAAGAGACTTGAGCGCAAACGTAAGTACTTGAGATTTGTTTGCTCTTCTCTCACCTGATCCTGTTTGTTGACATTATTCCAGGCATTCTTGAAGAAGATGACCCTCTCCCCCGTATCGTTAAGCGCCCAAAGAAAGGTACTCCACCATTGTTACCCTTGTACTACCCTGATGCAGTCCATTCTAACCATGCGCCACATTTCCCACAGAATACGGTTTTGACGAAGAATCCCTCGCCGGTGACTATTCAGGTCTAGGAGGACGAGGCTCTGCAATGTCTACACCCCAACACCCATCTGCTAAGCGGAGCTTGGATGATGACGATGATGAAATGACCCCAAGTTCATCTCGACCCCGCAACAAACAAGTCAAGCGAGACTCATCTCTTAACAGAACCGTGGGTCAACAACGACTCATTTTGAAGACTAGAATGGATCATACCCCGAATGCCTCCCCCGCTCCCTCCGGTTCTGGGATGATGGATCGTTTCGTTGCGGAGCCGTCCCTCACCCAGTCCAGCAGCCGTCGGCCTCGCCCTCTGACACAGCACCAAATCGCTGTGGAGCAAAACCGCCGTCAACGCATCGAGTATCTGCTTGCTAAGCGACGAAGCAATGCCTACCGTGTTCTCCGAGCCAAGCGCAACAGTGAAATCCCTTTTGTGCGATACGGACGTCTGCTTCAAAGCTTGCCGGAGGGATATGATACTGAAGAGGAAGGCTCATGGGGTAAAGGTGGCCTCCTCCCTAATCCCGATCAAGAGGATGACTTCGGCGAGTGCGCCAACTTTTTCCTTTCTGTCGTTCGCAAAGCAACCCGTCGCCTTGATCGCTGGGATTACGAAGACGCCAATGGCCCCAAGAAAGATCGCCAGAAGGAGCGTGAGGAAAGACAGAGAGCGAAGGCTGCCCTTGAAGCCGATCTCCGAGCTGCCAGTAATCGGTCCCGACCTCGTCCTTCTCGTGGTGGTGCTGCCGCAAAGCGCAAGTCAACAGGTCCCACGTCTACCCCCGGCAATGCCAAAAAGTCAGCATCTCGCAGCAAGGGTGGTCGCAATCCTCCTGCAGGCGCCGGTGCTGGTGCCGGTGGCGTGGCCTGGGATTCCGAACGTGCTGGTGGAGATGAAGAAATAGAGGGTGAACTGGACGACCTTGACCGAGAGTTACTGGGAGAGGTCTCTGGTGACGATGATGTACCTCAACGGGCTGGATCTCATGATGGAGATTCGTCTGACGACTCTGGAGATGATGACGATGCAATTGATGGAGATGAGATCTCGTCTGCGTATGATGCTCCTAATGGATATGCACGACATGAGAGCTCATCCCCGTTCCTGAGGGAGCTGCTGAGCGACCAAATGATCGGGATGATGCCATGGAAGATTGAAGGGTGTTACCCAAACTTCAATCCTTGTATGATGACCTTCTAGTATTCGTTCTTTTTTCTTCTCTTTCTTCTTCTATCTCCTCTACTTCTTTTTGCTTGTTCCGGGATATTTTGGGATCTACTGTGATTATTCTGGCTAATATGGGGATTTCTTTCCACGTCGTATTTCAATTGCACTGTACACTTGGGCGAGGTTGCCCGATACATCAAAATGATACTCCGAGTTTTTTTACCGTCCAGCATATTCAAATATTATTTAACTCATCATGCACACCTATGGTAGTCATCTTCAAGTTGGTACTGGTCTACTCGATACTTCCACTTGAAACTTGGCATCACATGCCAGTGTTCGTGTACTAGATGCACATGTGCTAGTGTACTTTCAAATGCACCTTCCAAGGTTGTATCTCCATGTAGTGTTACTATGCAATATGAAGATACTACATAGTATTCATCCCACATGCTGCATAGTCAACTCTAGGGCCACCGTGACAGTATCAGGTCTAAATATATCGCCACAACCGTACTAGTAGTATGTACACTGCTGCCACACAGTTGCTCTGAGTCTGTATTTTGATCTCTACATGAAGTCTGGAGGCGATCGGTAATTTTATCCAAATTTTAACATCCCCCTCAGAATCCATCTGCCACTGTGGATAAGGGGGACTTGGTATATGCTCATGTTCCCAACAGAAAGGTACCTCGGGATGGATACAGAGACTGTCACCGACTTGAATATTTATATGACCCCAGTATGATGAAACTCCTGTGAGTCTTCTACTAAGCCCTGAGTTGTGAACAGGGAATGGCATGTCACAGTTGAACTTAAAGTTGAAGTGACTCAGTGCCAAAGCTGATCTGCGCCGCCTCTGATCAGTGTACTCCGGGGCTATTTTATCCACCTGGGCAGGTATGACGAGGACAACTCCAGTCTCACTAAAGCCCCACAACTTAAAGCGATTGGATTCGAAGGTCTGAAACTGAACATATTGTCTGATCCCAACGTTGAAAGTGAAATATGACCATGCATGGCGCCCCCTCATTTGTTCGAGTTTGGCGAAGCGTCCTGCACGAGATGCATTGCATGAAGGTCCGAGGACACAAACATGGGGTTAAAGACCTGTTAAAGCATGAAGCATGGAGAATATAGCATCTGTCCACTTTGTTTCTCGTATTTCTGGGTCATACTCTGTAATAATGTGGGGATTTGAAGGTCAACATTGGAGTAGTTGAGTAGTTGAGCTTGCCACATAGTCCACACTTGTAGTCCACAGTGCCACCGACCTTTGTAATATACTTCCCATGTGATGGCCCCTCTTTACTTCAACTTTCTCTCTTAATCTTCTCCCTTCTGTTTTCTTCTTATATTACAACTCTCTCTTCTACTTCAATTCCTCAACTTGAAGTTTCCAATCACCTTGGAATAGTTGTGTATACATACTTTTCCAACGTCATACTCTCTACTCTTTTCTCCGTACGGGATCCCGGGATTCAGCCGAACACCGATTCCCCACCCTTCTGCGGGAGAATCACATCAAATCAGCATAGAAACAAAGGAAAAGGTTTCAAGCCAACGGTGTCACGGATTCCTAAGGCCCGAAATACTCAAACTAAAAAAAAGGGCCCGATACGGATCTTCACTACTCCGAAGACCCTTGCAGCCGCGGCCCTTTCTGGCCTTTCTGACGTATTTGCTCCCAACGCTTTTTTTCTTTTTTTCCGTCTTTTTTTACTTTACTAAGTTCTTTTAGCTACTCAACAGGTCTCTTGAAGGAATCTCAATTACCTGTTGAACTTCAGGGATTTCTACCGAGTATTGTTACATTCAAACCTCCGAATTGGTAAGACAACACCAGACCAATTGGGCTCATGTCACAGTGGAGTCAAGACCCGAGAAATTTTGCTAACACATGCACACTAACAGCTCCCCAGACGCGTCGGATCATCATTTAACTCATCCAATTCTTTATTTATTTTGAAAAGAATTTCGGTCATCTTGAAGTGGTAGAGACACGGGATCAAACATAAGTCTCCTGCTTGACACTCGGAGGCTCTGATTTTCAGAACTTAGTTCCACCCGCGCCCAGCTCAACCCCCCCCCCTTCATCACTCACCACAACTACGAGATAATTCACCCATACACGATGGTGGACCAGCCTCGGATTCTGCGGCCTCGTCCGCGCCGCGCTTTTGAGATTCCTGCATCCAACGATTCATCTGGCCCTCCCACTCCTGTCGAACTCTCCAATTCCGAATTCCTGAATCCCAACTTGCAGGGTCAGGAGACCCCCACAACATCCACGAGTGTTAGCCGTACGGGTTCGATTTTGAATCTGACCTCCTCTACTCTCTATGGTATCTATCAGCCAACTGCATTCGGTACCCTCCGCGATGAGTCCAGCCCCTGGGGCACGGAGGCCAACACTCCCGCTTCAGAATTCCCGCCCGAGCCGTCACAGCGCGCGGCGTTGAAAACAGCGATCGAGCCACGTCCATTAGCACTGCGTCGGACACGCTCACGACTCAGCCATGGATTGTTCCGAGGTGTGATCTTGCCACAGGTGCTGAGCAGTGCGTTGCTGTTTGGATTTGGAATTGCGTATGGGGTGATCACCGTTCACCTTCATGATAACCATTGGATTACCCCTGTTAAGTTGGAAAATATCCACTACTACGATTCATGGCAGTACTTGGGCTTCTGGGGATTGGCTGGTATTTTGCTGGGAAATGTGCTTCCTTGGTTAGACAGCTGGCGCGATTCTGAGTCTGTACGCGAGGAACAGACGAAGCGTGCGAGAAATGATGATGATAATGAAGATCGGACCCCATCTTGGGTTGCTGTTGCTCGCAGTGTTGGAGCCTTCGTTGGAATTGCTTTCGCTATGGTAAGTTACCTGCAAAATCGTCTATTTAATCCAGCCCATGCTAATTTTTTCTGCCTATGAACTAGCGTCGACTTCCCTGGCAATCTACTACCCAAGCCTCACTCACCCTCGCTCTCGCAAACCCTGTTCTGTGGTATCTGATTGACCGGACTCAGACTGGCTTCGTTATGGCCACCGCCGTGGGCGTCGCTGGCATGAGCATGGTCCTAGGCTTGAAGCCTGAGCTGATTCCCACATCCACTGGCCCATCCGTGGGAGCTACTTTCCTCAACGGCACTGGATGGGAGAATTCCCTGGGAGCAGACATTACTCAGGAGAGCATCGCCGTGCGCACTTGGGTTGCTAGTGTGCTTTTCTGCGCATGCGTGTGCTTTGGCAACATTGGCCGTCAGTTGGCCATTGGAGCCAACGGCAGAGAAGCTGTCAAGTCCTGAATTGAAGCGGACTGAATTTTGCGACTCGAGTTACAGGTCACTCCTTGAGCTATCAAAAACTCTGCTGTCCACTTTTTATCGAGTCCAGTGGCTGGCTTATTTATTTATGTAGATGGCTTTTATACGAAAAAGTTTTTCATCTTGGCATGGAAGTCATAGAATTTGTAATAGAAACTAAACTCGCTTTTCGAGAAATATAATATATTCCACTCATAAAATATCCTCAATATTTCTTTTAGGACGTAGACCCAGTTAAAATCCAATCCAAAATAGTTCCAAGGATTGTAGAGTCGATCATTGCAGTTCCCACCATAGGACTCGAAAGTCCGGTAGGCACTGCACCCAAGATCAACACTGTGCATGCACTCGGTCTCCCATTCTTTGTACGATTTCCATACTTCATAGGCAAGAATCCTCGTAGGAACGCTTTTATAAAGAAGGTTGTTTTTTGCGTTGTTCATGAAGAAGAAAAGAAAAAGAAGAGGAAGAGACGCGCGAAAGATGCGCTTTTGAACTATCCGAGAGGTCACGTGAAGGTGGATACTATATGAGTCAGCGTCTTCAATCAGCTCTCTGATTGGCTTACACTAGCTCTGTCATTTAGTGTGTATATTACGTATCTATACGGAGGTCGGTCCGGAAAGTTCTCGCCAGAAATTATAATTTCTTTTTCTCACACTAGGCTATATACAGTAAATATTGAAATATATCGCGTAATCAAGATGTATATAAAACGGAAATATATAGTACTGAAATATAATAACAGCTTGAAACAGTAAATATTCACATATCTTCCCATATATCGCTGTCGCTGTCGCTGTCGCTGTCGCTGTCGTTGCCGCTGCCGCTGTTATAGGCGTTATCACCTAACCCGCTAGGGGCTACTTCACCTAATTTATCACGCCCCTCACCGTATTCGTTGCCCCCTTCTAGTCTAATGACTTGCTGTATATGCCATGGTATACGTTCAATCCAAGCTTGAATTTGCGCCTGTGGTAGATCACGCCACGCAGCCTCCCATACTTTAATCCCTTCTTTACGCGATTTAGGTGCTCCTTTTCGCGTAGTGTATCTCTTCATCCAAGGCCATGCAGGTTCAATCATATTTAGATCAGGCGAATTTCCAGGCCAGATCATTCGTTGGACCCCCATTATATCAAATATTCGCTGTTGGTAGTGATGTGAATGGGCTGGTGCTTTATCCTCTTGAACTATTGTTTTCGTTCGAATTCGAGCACATTCTTGGGCGAATGGAAGTAGTTTTGGGGCTAAAATCACGGTGTTGTATCGGTACCAATCGATTCCACCTTTCGAATTGCGTGCAAGCTTTCCATTCTTCTGAGTCCATCTCCACTGAGGTTGTCTTCCAGGCTTATTGCGTAGCCCTAATCGCTGTATACCTGAATTAAGCTCCCATTCTGCACGCATAATAGGCTCTAATTCAGTATTCCATTCGGCGATTTGGTGTTCTGCTTCACGCTTTTGGGCTGTAGTTTCAGGTACCCAACAATGACAGGGGCCCTTCTGATCATAAGAAAAAGCACCCCAAAACATGAACTCAGAGGCCCCCTTCCAACGTTCTCGAATACAGCTTCGGACGAACCGCTCACTAGAAGTACGCCATACACGATATCCACCCCGACGGTGTAATAAAACAACCGCAGTTTCATCAGTCCAAATCACATTCTTCCAGTCTTCTATAGTCCAATGGGCGTGTTTTAAACACCATTCAAGACGTTGTTTTTTCTGCTCAGCGGCAAGCCCAGGCTTACGTGTAGGCTTTGTTTTTCGTAGGCCAATTTTTCGTAGTACATGCCAAACTGTTGTTTTTGATATATTAATCCCTAATTATAGAAGAAATATTAGAGGAAATAACATATCAAGTAACATATGAGATAACATATCAAATAACACACCAAGTAACACATCAAATATTATACTAAATAACATATTAAATAACACACTAAATAAAATATCAAATCTTAGAATAACTAACCTGATTCACTGCGTAGCTCTGCAGCTAGCTGTTCACATGTTTTCTCACGCCCATAGCGGTCTACACGGATTTTCGCCCCAAGTGTGGTTTTAAGCTCATCTGTTTGCTTAGATGGACGCCCAGAACGTGCTTTATCAGCTAACATTTCATCTGATATATTGAATGGTCGCTGATTCGGCTGAAAACCTCGTTCGAGTGCACGGTTCCATATGTCTCCTATAGTACGCCGTGGAATATTCATAAATTCACTGATCTCCTTAGGGGCATGTCCTTGGGCCCTTAGGTATACAATGACAGCACGTTGCGCAATATTGGTCTTCATTGTAGCTGTATAGGTGGGACAAAAGTGTAGCTGTGTAGGTGGGATAAAAGTGTGAAGGGGTGTACGGACTGTAGGCGGGGTAAAAGATAAAGATCTACGTGTCCACGGGTGTTATAAGCAATATTTAGCCTAGTACGTAACACGGCAATACATCCAATATACAGCAGGCTATACACCTGACATACAGGGCCGGTAATATATCAAGAAAAAGAAATTATAATTTCTGGCGAGAACTTTCCGGACCGACCTCCGTACGCTCGTACTGTAACACTTGTCCGATTGCGGCATCGAAAAAAGACCCCGCGGCGGGACAAGAAATTGTTTCTTTTTTTCACTTGTTCAAGCTACTATACCCCGTTGTTGCTTGAATTAAGGTATGAATGATATTGATTTCTTTCTGTTTTGTCTTATTGAATTCAATGACTCTTAATTGAATTCCATTGATTGTGTTCTGATCTAACTAATTCTCTTCTAGTGTCGACACTATGTCTCAAAAGTCCGGTAGGAACTCTTGGCCTTGATATCACGATATCACTGCCCGATCATGGGTGTACATTAGGATCAATACTGATGGTTACTCGATTGCCCTATATACAGCTATCATCTCCGTCTATGACAAGACTGGACTGCTGGACCTGGCTAAGGGTCTGAACCAGCAGAATGTCCGTCTTCTTGCGTCTGGCGGTACTGCTAAGATGATCCGTGAGGCTGGTTTCCCTGTTGAGTGAGTTCACCATATTGATGGAGAGAATCTACTAAAATAAAGGCTCTCCAGTGCTATTACAAGACTGTTCAAGCTAACAATTCTCTAGGGATGTCTCCGCGATCACCCACGCTCCCGAGATGCTGGGCGGCCGTGTCAAGACCCTCCACCCTGCCGTCCACGGCGGTATCCTTGCCCGTGACATCGAATCCGACGAGAAGGACCTCGCCGAGCAGAAGATCTCCAAGGTTGACTTCGTCGTCTGCAACCTGTACCCCTTCAAGGAGACCGTCGCCAAGGTCAACGTCACCATCGACGAGGCCGTCGAGGAGGTTGATATCGGTGGTGTGACTCTGCTCCGCGCCGCTGCTAAGAACCACAAGCGTGTCACCATTCTGTCCGACCCCAAGGACTACGCCGAGTTCCTGAAGGAGCTTGCTGCCGGCCAGATCACCGAGGCTAGCCGCAAGCAGTATGCTCTCAAGGCCTTTGAGCAGACTGCCGACTACGACTCCGCCATCTCTGCTTTCTTCCGCAAGGAGTACGCTGGCAACGGTGTTCAGCAGCTGTCTCTGCGTTACGGTACCAACCCCCACCAGAAGCCCGCCTCCGCCTTCATGGCCCAGGGCAAGCTGCCCTTCAAGGTCCTTAACGGTGCCCCCGGCTACGTTAACCTTCTGGATGCCCTGAACGCCTGGCCTCTGGTCAAGGAGCTTAAGCAGGCTCTTGGCTTCCCTGCCGCCGCCAGCTTCAAGCACGTTTCCCCTGCCGGTGCTGCCATCGGTGTTCCCCTCACCGAGAAGGAGCGCAAGGTCTACATGGTTGACGACATCAAGGGCATTGAGACCTCCGCCCTGGCTCAGGCCTACGCCCGTGCCCGTGGTGCTGACCGTATGTCCAGCTTCGGTGATATCCTTGCTCTGAGCGACATCGTCGATACCCCCACCGCCAAGATCATCTCTCGCGAGGTCTCCGACGGTGTCATTGCCGCTGGCTACGAGCCCGAGGCTCTGGAGATCCTCTCCAAGAAGAAGGGTGGCAAGTACCTCGTTCTCCAGATGGATGAGAACTACACCCCCGCTCCTGAGGAGAGCCGTACCCTGTACGGTGTTCAGCTCACCCAGCACCGCAACGACGTTGTCATCTCCCCTAGCAAGACCTTCAACAACATCATTACCCCCAAGGAGGCCCAGGCTCTCCCCGAGGCTGCTCTCCGTGATCTGACTGTCGCCACCATTGCCCTGAAGTACACTCAGTCCAACTCTGTCTGCTACGCCCTGAACGGCCAGGTCATTGGCCTCGGTGCTGGTCAGCAGAGCCGTATCCACTGCACCCGTCTTGCCGGTGACAAGGCCGACAACTGGTGGATGCGTTTCCACGACCGTGTCATCGGTATCAAGTGGAAGCAGGGCACCAAGCGTGCTGACAAGAGCAACGCCATTGACCTCCTGTGCTCAGGCCAGACTCCCCGTAACGACGCCGAGAAGGTCGAGTACGAGCGTGTCTTCGAGGAGGTTCCTGCTCCCTTCACTCAGGAGGAGCGTGAGTCCTGGTTGGAGAAGTTGGGTGAGGTTGCTGTCTCTTCTGACGCTTTCGTAAGTTTCTTGCCTAATCCAATAATCCCTTCTATCTTATAACATACTGACCATTATTAGTTCCCCTTCATCGACAACGTTTTCCGTGCTGCCCGCTCTGGTGTTAAGTACATTGCTGCTCCCACTGGTAGCCAGAATGATACCCCTGTCTTCGAGACTGCTGAGAAGCTCGGCATCACCTTCGTTGAGCAGGGTGTCCGTCTGTTCCACCACTAGAGTGTGTCTTTGACATGGTGGAAGATGTGATGTTTTCAATATAGCATTTCGGGATCTCAACAAAAAGAAGAGATATGGTTATGATGATGATAGTTTACTTGTTTATGATACAAAATTTTACATATGTTTTCTTGAATTTTATCTCAGTATATTCAAGATTCAAGTCTCTGAGACCTGCGGCTCAGCTGTAGCATTCTAATACAAGGTTTTTAGAACTAATAGGTATGATTCCCTTCCTATGTAGGATAGATTTTACTCTTAATCACCACTGACATCTGGAACATGTGGTAGTCTAATTTCGAGAATTTTGAGTCGTGTCAGCTGTAAATTGGCCACCGGGCGGCAGCTCAGTGATCTCCTGAACTGTATCATGGCATGGAAATATCCATGGCGGTGCGTCCACTTTGGTGAATATTCGCATTATTATACCAGTAGGTCGGATACCAATCTGGATATCTTCAGAAGTTACCGGTATTATAGATGAGAAGGCCTTAATAGTTGCAGGGTATTTACATATTCCATCATGTTCAGATCATCTCCATCTATCAGACAGTGATTCATAACAGCATTCCAATCAGATAGAAACTGAGAATCTGACGATAAAAATTCCAAAGAGGAGATGGGATTCTGGTCAGACTCAGATATAGGATCACCATTGCGAGTAAACATGTTCTGCTGAGGGAGAACCGTTTGACCTTCCATTTGACCTGTTTCAAGCCCAACATTTTGAGCATTCAGACCTCCAACCGAGCACTGTGAGTTCCTCAGCAGTAAAGCTTGATGTCTTAACCAGGAAAGACACTTCCAAATTGTGGATTGTTTGTTGGAATCCTGCACGGTGGCTGATTGACCATTATGCAGCATTTATTCAGGAAAAGTGTCCTCAATCAGACCCCAGGCGTAATCAGCATCAGGGATATTGGATGAGATACATAGACAACGTAGAATGTAGGCTAGTGCGTACCACTGCGTGAATGCGGAAAACAGCCATTTGAACCTGGAATCGGCGCTGCCTTTGGTATACGTACGATAGCTTTCCAGCACGCTGCATGCTATTTTGAATGATGGCCTTTGCACGCTACCTTCATCTCTTTGTAAGCCATCCTGCTTTTGTGAGACCACTTCCTCTCGCAGTTGGAGTATAAAGTTCATCTTGTAGAGAGCAGTATTGCAATGCTGAAATGCAATACGGCATAGCTCACCAGGCGTTTCAGATTGAAACCCGTATTTTCCCCTCAAGGCTTGACTGCGCTCTGTAACGAACCTTCGCTTTTCTGCAATATCATCAAGCGTATTTGTGGAACTGTGTCGTCGAGCTCCGATAACTGGATACATGAGCCGGCATGCTTGTATTTGAACGAGAAGGAATGACATCTCCGTCCAGCCGTCGCTCTCGGCTGGGAGTTCGGTCATACTTGTGTAGAGTTGATCGTCATTGATGTTCAGAGGAAGTCGTAAGTTGGCATTTACCACGTCGACCGTGGGTTCACATCAATGATCCTCCGGAGCTCGGGAGTCGAGCGAACAAAGATGCCATCAAAGGCGGAGACGCATTTCTGTTTCAGAAGGACTCAGACGAAGACAGGCGCCATTGCGATGTAATCCGATAGATTGTGCTAGTCTGACCGCTAGTCCAACCAGAATCTATATGCTTCGACCAGTCTCATTCACTCGTAAACAAGTCTAGAATCCTATGTCAGAGCTTTGGTTTTTACCCCGTATAATAAACTTACAATAAAAATGGCCAGAGCCTGCAATGAAGTCATATCTGGACTATTTATAACATCTGTGTTAAGGAGAAAGCGCTCTAGTGGGAGCCTGTAGCGCTTCAGAATCTCTTTCTTCTCTAGAGGAAGGGTGATCTCCTCGGTACCATCTTCCAGTGCAGTTATTGCAGCAAAATAGATAGCATATGTCAACGCTACCATGGATCGCCCTGCAAATTTTGGGTTCAAAATTGTTCAGATTACCGCAGATTGAACGGTCGGTATGTGTAATATTTTCAACACAGGATCGACAGAATGGACGTATTTTGCCCATAGCGGAAGTGCTAATTCCGGGCCAGGGTAGAACTCTAGGATGTCAGAAGCGGTGTCTGGAAGAGGGAATTTTTGACAAGGCGTCGTATAAGCAGTTGATACCGCCTCTTTTCCCAGGGGCGCTTGTCCAAGATTAGGCGTCTGCGTGACTCGAATCCGCTCTTCCTTCACAGTCAATCAGCATGTGTTTTGGGAGTGCTAATTCGGGTTCCAACTCACATCCTGCAGGAGATCTTTAATATTTGAATTATTGACGTATTGAACAGCTTGACCATCATTCAGCAGCAGCTCCCAGGGCTCGTGTGAAGATTGTGTAGATCCTGATTTCTTTTGACTCCCGTCATCCAAAGCTTCGGCCTCTGCATTCGAGGGTCCCGAGATTTTCGCTTGAGATACGATATCCTCCAGACGCTCGAGCCTGTCAGAGATGCGCTGAAGAGTAGCAACCTTCCCTTCAGACTCCCTTCTTGGGTATATGCAGGAGATACTATATCTTGAACAGTTTTTGCATCGGACCTTACGCTGATGGCAGCCGAGGCAGGACCGAGCACCGATCTGAGAGCTTTGCGTATGTAATGCCCCACTATTGCTGTGGTTGGCTGGTGCCTTTTGTATTCTGTGCATGATTCAAGCGAGAATATTTTTTTCGATTATGGATATCATGCGACCTCCAAGTTCAAAGCCAGGATCTCCTGAAAGCTGATCAGGGAACCATCCTTCGGGATTTCGGCGCAAGAGATCCGATCACTTCTATAAGGCGCGATAGGATCTTATCGGCTTCTTATCTCGGTATCTCGGTGTGGATCTCCCGAGCCTCATCTTAAGCTTACTATGAAATATATGGAATCCATATACTGCTAATCTGACGTGTAAAGAGTGCTCGGTAATAAAGCCCCGAATCTTCCTGAGAAACGAACGGTATATAAGGGCGCCATGGGTAAAAAGCTCTCATTCAAGGCGAAAATAGAATAAAGAAAACTGGCACCATGGTCAAGCCGGCACCGGCAAATGAAAGCCCAAATAACGTTGAATCAGCCTCAGAAGAGTTTCATGAAGGTGGATATGGTTGGGTTTGTGTCGCATGTACTTTTCTTATTAATGCTCACACATGGGGTATCAATGCCGTAAGTCCAGCATTCTCTCCATTCTATTCCACGACCATTAACAAGCCCTAGGCCTATGGCGTCTTCCTTTTTTACTACCTCTCTTCCGATGTATTCCCCGGTACATCCTCTCTTGGATATGCGTTTGTCACTGGTCTAAGCGTTGGATGTGCAATGCTTATTGTGCCCCTTGGTACAATTATCAGCCAGCGTGTATCAAACCGTCTTGTTTTGAACCTGGGTGCTATTATCGAAGCCATGGCGCTAATCACAACATCATTCGTCAAAACCAATTGGCAACTATTCTTATCCCAGGGAGCCGCTTTTGGATTTGGCATGGGATTTTGCTTTGTTGCTTCTGTTTCGATACCCTCTTATTGGTTCGCACAAAAACGAAGCCTAGCCAATGGCATTGCCTCTGGCGGCTCAGGGCTGGGTGGTTTAATATACTCCTTGGCTACAGAAAAGATGCTCCAAGAACTTGGTATTGCGTGGACAGCCCGGATACTGGGTATTTTGGCTTTCACGGTAAATATGATGTGTGGCAATCTGTTGCGTATTCCAGCGCACGCACGAGCAGTACGGAAGACCTCAAAGCTTGACCTGTCTTCCCTTTGGTCTCTCGACTACTTTTTGCTTTTGGGCTGGGCATTCCTCAGTGCATTGGCATACGTGGTCCTGCTATTTAGTCTACCCAGCTATTCAGTTGCCATCGGACTTACCCAAAAGCAAGGCAGTCTAGCTGGTGCGCTCCTCAGCTTAGGCTAGGCAGTTGGTCGGCCCGGCGTTGGCCTCCTTAGCGACCGTTGGGAGAGGTTCCCCGTCACTATCGTGGCGACATTCCTACCGGGATTTTTGTCGCTGGTTTTATGGATATTCGCTAACTCTGCGGGGTTGACATATTTCTTTGCGGTCCTGGTAGGCCTATTTTCGGGAACATTTTTGGCTGCTATGTCCCCCATCACTGCTGAAGTTGTTGGGACTAATTGGCCTGCCTCCTGCAGTTGGTATATTATGCCTTGTTCTATGTCCTCCATTGACCGTGGCCGAGCCTATCGCGCTCCAACTTCGGAATAGTTCTCGCGACTCGAAACCCTATATCCGGGTACAAATATTTGTGGGAGTTGTATATATCGGCGCTGCAGGGTTTTTGATGGCTCTTTGGATGAAGATTAGAAAGAACAGCTCGGCACAGAATGTAGGTCGAGAGTCTTGACCTATGTCGATGGGCCAGATCGGGACGCGATGCATTTGCAGTCTGTTGATAGAAATTTCATCATTGATGTATGTGTATAGAGCTGCTCAACAATTCATTATTAGCGTGGCGGATGAATAAATACTAGTATCATTCAGATTGCTATGGAGTGGAGAAAACAACTTGAACGGTGCAGATACATGTATTGAAAAATAGTCAAGGCATACTAAAGTATGGTCGTTTGGTATGGCAAATACTGGGCTCCTAGGACTGGTATATAGCAAATTTTAATTTTAAATTTAATTATAGTCGATACTTGGCTCCCAGGAATCAGATAAAATCTAAATATACGTAAGTAAACTACAGTACTTCCTAGGAGCATTTGTAAAGACCAGGCAGGATACCTTAAGATAGCCAAGGATTGATCGTCAAAGGAAACCCGGTACGTAGGTAGGTAGTATGGAAAGGCCCATAGTAGTCAAGATGGTGATTTTATTCAGCAAGATTGGAATAAAAATACAAAAAAAAGATGATCCAGTCGCATACCTCAAATTTCAAAGGTCTACAGCCTGAGTATCAAGCCAACTCAAAGCTGTAGTCATAGATGATACATTCCAATCTATTCTTTTCATGTCTCATTTAGCACCAGCTCGGCCTTTACCCTTCTGGCCGGGGACCTTTCTGCGTTCCCAAACCATCAGGTATCCTTCACGAGTAAACAGAGTCTCGCTCTCTGCCCGTTTGACGAACAGATCCTGGACCTCCAGCCATTCCGGACCACGCTGTTCTGCAACGCCTCCTTGATGGTGTGCATTATCAGCAGACATGGCCTTGTCGTGGAGCTGAACAAGCCATGACACCTTCTCACTGCCACCTCCAGCTCCAGAAGATGAGCCACCTGCGCCAGATGCCGCGTTCACACCCTTATCGGCTGCATCTTCGGTGGCCCCTGGGGCAGCGATCGCAGGGTCTAGAATGATATTTGCAACGAGGTCATACAGAATTGGTTCACCCGGAGGCCAGATATCAGGGTTTGGCTCGACATATGGTGACATGTCGAGGGATCGGGGGCTAGGGTGAGTGACAATAGTTGGGTTCCGCTCAGATACAAAACGGTTCTTGCTAAAACGTTTGATGTGGAAAAGAAGATAAGGAGGAAGGGGATGAAGGAGGCGATGTCTGACACGGTGGGCCATCTATAAGACATTGTGAGTGACCGATTCGATGTATCATGCTATGTAAGGATTGATTTAGACTAACCTTTTCAGAGGCATTTAGGCCGTTGTACTTGTTGAGGAGGGTGGTGAGAGGTACTTGTGGAATAATGGATTCCCGGTTGGCGGATTGGAAGAGGGGAGTTGGTGGGAGATCCAATGTAAGTATAAGGTATGGGATGACTTGGCTATTGATGTCGCCAGATTCTGTGAAGACCAGACGTGCATTCTGGGTGTCGGAGTGTGCTGTGATAGCCTGGGATTCTATGCGTACACGACCTTGAAAAGCAGCATGAACCACACTAGTGGGTGTCGAAGATGGCTTCTTGGATCCACCCAGTGAGAGGTGGAGATTGTTAAGAAACCAGGACAAAAATTCCACCGGGTCTGATTGTTGGCTCAAGGTAAAGCGTTTGGAGGATCGTAATGTAATCTCCTGCAGCAATTCGTGCGGAGAAACATGAGATCGAAATGCCTTTGGATTCCAGAGTTTTCGCACCAGTGTACTGAATCGGAGAGCTAGTTGGGGTGTGCTTAATGCCGGAAAGTCATGCAAGAGGAAGAAGTTGCGGATTGGGAGAACATGGGCTAGAAGTTGCACCACAACGTTCTGGTAATCATTGGCCTTGATGTTGTTCATACCAACAAATCCTATGAAATAGTAAGCATTCGTCTGGAGAAATTTTATCAGGCTGCATGTCTCACCTGGTCTGTAACGGGCGCCTTGGAGGTCCCAGGCATCCTGGACCTCTTTGTCCATCTTGACTACTTGCTCTTTAGAGTAGTGAGGATCCACCACATATTTGATATCATCCAAGCTCTTGCTCTTCACTTCATAGCCCTCCGGAAGCACATACACCTTCTTTGTGCCGATGTTAATAAAGACATGATGCCCAATTTCGAGAGCGTGGAAGTACGCATGCGACTTTGGACCGCGACCTTGGAAATACTTTCCACAGACAAGACAAGCATACACATTGATGTTCGAGAGACTGATGGAGCAAAGCTTTTCAAAATCGAAATCGAGTACCCCGCGATTGATGGTGTCAAGATAGAGGTCGCCATATCCCTCCATGGGCTGGTTTTGTCGTTTGGGCGCACTGAGAGCGGAGACATCTTCGTCGATATCCGAGAGATCTGAATCACTCTCTGCATTGCCTTGCAGGCCATCTCCTCCATTCTTCGCTACCACTCCAGTATGCGCGCCATTGGGATCGTCCTGTTCTAGCTGCTCGTTCGCGTTCGCTCGTTGCGCCGGTGCCGCGCCGTCATGAGATTCGACCTCATCCCCATCCTCAACACGCGCCTTTTTTGAGGCTGGTGACCCTGGAATATTCTCCTCCAGCGGGAGCTCTGCTTGCCTTTTCGACATTGTGACTGGGAGGATGTGGTGGAGAAGGAATAAATTGCTAAGGGTCTTCAGTTCCGCAAGCTTGAGCCAGATGCAAACACGTCAAACATCCAATTTCGTCATGTCTTGGGAGCTCTACAGCTGCGACAGGTACACTTCAACCTCGATTCAAGCTTCAGGTAATCAACCGATATGGAGCTAAGGTTTCTAATTGCATTTATCTGGTTCAAAGTTTAATTTCCTTTTTACGTGTTCAAGAGAAAAATCATCTTGGTATCCCGTAAATTGTTAAAACGTCATAGGATATGATACAACAAACACCCAGGCATGTCGACCATTACGCAGCTCGAACGACCTTATCGTTATCAAAGTCTACCTCTCTCACGCCGTCCTTTGTGATGATCTTGACAAGGACCTAGATGAACGCGGCATTAGTATTACTTAAGGCTACACTTGGAAAGAAAACGGGTCAACTTACGCCCTTGTAATCAATTGGTAGTCGGCGCTTGAGCTCATCTGTGCACATCACCAAGAGCTTCATTCCTTCTTCAAGGTCGATGTTAGGGTTGTGGTGTTTGTCGAGGAGAGAAAGGCAGTAGTATCTGTGCAGGTCAGCAAGGGTTGATCACTTCCAAGAACTCGGCTTGATATGGAACGATAGATGGTCAAACATACTGGGCATAACCGTGGGCGGCATATGGCACAGGGGCCAAGGAAGCCAAATAATCGATCCAATACAGATGAGGTTTCTCGGTAGCCGGGTCTACACCTCCCAGCAGGAGATTGACTGTGTACGGGCTTCGTGATCGCAGGCTGCGGGCCAATTCTCCTCGGATGAAGTTGCCCACAGCAGGTGTGCTCAGTTCGGTATCATTGCGCATCGTGTACAGTTGGATGTTTGCTTGGATGTATTCGGCGAATTGCACTGATAGTACTCAACTGTTAGCAACTTGTAACATACTCGTCCGAATCGAGGGCTTCGGTGGGTACTGACCTGTATCACCAGCCTCTCCTGAGAAAGCCATCAGTGTGTGGTTGTTCAGAGCCCGTGTCTTGTCATCCTCAGCCTTGATGATGGTTGGACCTCTCATTATCGCCTTGGATGCGGCCACAATGACGAAGTCCTTGCCGGTAATACCCAAGAGAACCTCCCTGGCAAGCGTTATCCGTTAGTGACAAAGTCCATCTTCAAAAAGCTGGCGGGATAGACTAACATTTCTGCGATAATTCGAATAGAAGTGAAATAATTCAAAAGAAAGTTCAAAAAAGGGCGATGAAGGAGAATGTGGTTGGGATGATGACCACGCGGCGAGCTTGACGCCTGGAGCTCCAGGGCTCTCAGCTACCCTGCTGACTCAGCCGCCGCTTGGCCGCCTTTTTTTCCCCGAAAAAAAAAAAGTTGAAACCGATCAGTATCAACTGATAGTTGTCCGTGGGTTGTTCTGGGTAAATTTCACCCGCAAATTTCGATTTCTTGCAGTGACAGCGGAGTTACTTGACTGGAAACTCCACGATTACCATGTCGTCCTTTTTTACCGTCCCTGCTTCGCAACGCAAGCGCAAGAGAGACGACCGCGCTGCAGCCCCGACAACCAAGAAACGAGGTGTGGATGCAAAGAATGATGGCGCAAAGGCCCAGCAACCCCGTGAACGAGAAGAATCGATTTCTGGAAGTGATTTGGATGAGGATGATGTGATTGACTCGGCAATCTCTGGTGATGAGTCGGATTCGGACTCGGACGATGGCGAAACGGCAGCGGACCGAAGATTGAAACTTGCGGAACGCTACTTAGACAATGTTCGCGAGGAAGTTGATGAGGTTGGATTCGACGCTGAACAGATTGATCGAGACTTGATTGCGGAGCGATTGAAAGAGGACGTGGTATGTGGAACCCTTTTTTCTCCTACACGCATACCCTGGACAGGCATTAATCATGATTATAGGATGAGTTCAAAGGACGAGTTTTCCGCCAAATTGCCAACAAGCTATCTTTCCCCAAGGCTAGCCATTCATTTTTCCGCTCAGATACCCAGACAAATACTTCGATTGCCGTGCATGCGCCATATGTTTACATTGTTTCCAAGGATAAGACCTTGACCAAGTGGGAATTGGCAACACCAAGTGTCCCCGAAACGAACGACCAGAATTCTTCTTCAAAGAGACCCCCACGGCCGCAACGCAAGAAGCCAAAGCGAGTTAAGTACGCCCGGGGCTTGCGCAAGGTTGCTGAGACAGGCGAGGAGCAAGGACACACTGGCCACATCTTGTCCGTTGCTGTTAGTCCCTCAGGAAAGTTTGTGGCAACAGGTGGCGCAGACAACAAACTTATCATTTGGGATGCGGAGACTTTGGTACCCATGAAGACCTTTCCTCAACATCGTGATTCCGTCTGCAGTCTCGCTTTTGCCCGGCATATCTCGGCGATGAGCTCCGGAGAGCAGCTTTTCTCTGGAAGTTACGACCGTACGATTAAGACCTGGTCTATCAGCGCAGCGGGACATGCTTACGTCGAGACTCTTTTCGGCCACCAGGATTTCGTCACAGGTGTTGCAGCAATGAAGATTGATGAAGCCGTCAGTGTTGGTGGAAGAGATCGAACTGCAAGATTATGGAAGGTCGTTGAAGAATCTCAACTCGTATTCCGCGGTGGTGCCTCAAAGAGTGCACCATACAAGGAGAGCAACATTGACTGCATAGCTGCTCTCCCTCCAGCACACTTCGTCACAGGTTCCGACTCTGGTTCCATCCAATTGTGGTCAATGCACAAGAAGAAGCCTCTTTACACTATCTCCTTGGCTCATGGTGTGGATCCTGTCCCACCTTTGAACGAAATTTCTCCCGAAGTCAGCGAGGAAACTGCTGCTCATAACGCCCGGCACATGCGCCCAACCCCACGTTGGATTACCGCTCTTACCACTCTGCCTGGAACTGATATTGTTCTCAGTGGAAGCTGGGATGGTTGGGTCCGCGCTTGGCGCATCTCAGAAGATAAGAAGATCATCATTCCGTTGGGCCCGGTTGGTGCTCGCACTGGCTCTTCAGGTCTATCAACCCCAGATACACCCTCACAACAGCTTAACGAATCTCTTGCCAATGACACCAACACCGATGCTGATGAAATCGATATCGACGGTCAGAAGAAGACTGAATCCGAACCTTTAGTAAAGGGTGTGATCAATGATATTGCCGTATTTGAGCGTCGCCGAGAATCGGATAACCCCGAGTCAAAAGAATACTCCAAATCCAAGGCCCAGTCAAGCTCTCAGCCTCGTGGTGTGTGCATTGTTGCGGCAGTTGGAAAGGAGCATCGTCTGGGTCGCTGGCAATGCTACGCCAACAGCTACAATGAAAGCACTTCATCCGGTGGTCGCAACGGTGCAGTCGTCTTTGAGGTTCCCTTTACATCTTTCAGTGCTGCGGAAGCTGCGGAGGAAGATGTATAAAAGTTTACAATTTTTTACTTGATCCATCTTCGCATAATTTTGTGAAATATTGGGGCAAGCTATGGCATTTTCATTCGGGGTGTGGTGTCTTGGAGTCAATGTGTACATGTATTTTACATATCAAATATGAGAACGGCGATCTTACGCCGAACGTTAACTGAAGCAATATTGTCACCAACCTGAGCGTCCTATAGACGCTTCCAACTCATCTAGTAAACCGTAATCCTCAACTGCTTTATACATGCTTTCCTTTTCTCTCATCTTCAAACCTAGTGGGTGTAATCTCTGCTTGAACAGAAATTGTAGAATAAAAGCTGGAAGTAGTGTTGGAGATTACTTGTATGCTTAAACATTTTTTGTCATCGTATATTCAATGTTCTTCAACTTGAAGTTGCTATCATACATAGTGGCTATAATACATGGGTCATGATGTAGTTAAAAGTACAGATGAAAGGGGACCAGCCCTCGACACGCTTTTCGCACGCTCTCAGACCAAAACAAAAGCGCCTCAATGAAAATGCTAAAAGCTGGCGCTCGCTCAATGCAAAGACGAAATAGAAGAAAAGAGCAAACGCTAGACAGGAACAGGGTACTTGCTTCGCCAATAGAAGTTCCGCCATAACCTCACAGCAACCGGGCTTTGTCGTAGACCAAAGTCCTTTTCAACGCGGCCCAGATTCTGATGAATCTCGTCGAGAATGGTAGCCCGAGACCTGACTGCTTTTAAGAGGACAGGAAGGAAGATGTGTTCGAGATGGCAATGAATTGCCCACTGAAGTGTATCATATCCCCATACACTCATAGGAAGGGGATCCACTCCCTTATCGAGAAGGAATTGAAGCACTCGTAATTTGGAATCAGTGTCATTGGAGATCGCTATCCAGCTACCAGATAGTCTTTCTAAATCCAGACCGTGCTTGCTAAGCACTTGTAGGACTCCTGGAAGGGCATCGAGACTCTTCATTCGACCTATGATAGCTGGAAGTTGGTGTCGATCTTCAATACTGAGTTTGTATCCCAGTTCAAAGAAGTACTGAACAACTTCATGATCTCCCAGGGAGATAGCTAGATGGAAGGCGGCACTGGTAGTCTCGGCCTTGAGTCGTCCTCCTCGGGGTAATCTGTAGCGTTCGGCCCATAACTTCATCATGGGTAGGCCTCCCTGAACTGCCCTGAGTAAAGAGTCGGGACAAATTCCAGGCTGGAGGTGAACGCCATGTTTCCGCAGCATATCAATCTGAGTCATATTTCCTCCTTGCATCGCTGCCATCATGGGAATACTGAGCTCATTGGGATTCCATGCACTGTGATGGGCGTTTGCGCCTCGTTCGAGTAATAGTTTGAAGATGGCTGGAAATGGTTGCGCGTGTGCCAACAGTGACTCATCTTGGTACTGCTCAACTTTGGGGACATTTGCTCCTCTGTCCAGAAGAACTCTGACCACATCCAGGTGACCTTTCTTTATGGCCACAAAAAGAGGTGTATTCCGTCTTCCTTGGTCGCCCATGGTAGCATCAGCGCCATGGTCAAGGAGAATGCGTACAACGCCTGTGTGGCCTCTTTGGACAGCAATATCCAGAGGATGGAAGCACGCGTGAATAGGAAGATTTTTGCCATTTAGCTTAGTCCTGTTGTAGCCACCAATCTCAATGAGCTCCTGAACAGACTCTTCGAGACCAACGGCAGCTGCGGATGCCAGAAGTCGAAGATAAGAAACATAGTCCCTTCCCTTCGCATCAATACGCTCTAATAAGAACTTGACAACCTCTGCATGTCCAGCGATTGCAGCCCATTGAATAGGCCATAGCCTCATATCATCTTGAGTTTGTGCAAAGACATCTGGGGTGAAACCCTGACTGAGAATATACTGAATCACTTCCAAGTCGCCACAGCATGCAGCCTGAGAAATGGTACTGAATTGAAGACGATCACCAGTTATTGGGCTCAAACCTTGAGCGATCAGAAACTTGATCATTTCAAGATTTCCATTTTCCTCCGAAGCTTTGGTCAAGAGAGTTGTTCGAGGGTAAGGTTCACCGTGAAGAAGTTCAGGGTTGGCTTCTAATAATAACCTCGCAAGTTCGACATTTTTCTTCTCGATAGCGAGGCTTATTGATTCGATATTTGCCTTGGCACCATGATATATTAAGTTCTCCACCATTGAAATGTGTTGACCTTCTATGGCCCATGTGAGAGGTGTCCATTTTGCTGATAGATCGCGGCGCTCTAAGTCAGCGCCTTTTTCGATGAGGAGGTTTGCTACTTCAACATGACCATGTAGAGCAGCTGTGGATAGAGGAGATCTTTTTTCGAAATCTTTTGGTGCGTATCTCTCATCAAGGACTGCGATAGTCTGAAGTCCATTCACTTCAATGTCGTTCAAGAGATCAGGATGAGCACCATGCTCCAGTAAACGGCGTGCTTTTGATACGTCTCCCCGCTCAGCCGCCCATTGTAATGCGGGGCCGTAAATCGACCATGGTGGTTTTCCGTAAAGTGTCTCGTCCAGAAGATAATAAAAGCGACGAGAAGTCTGTGCTAAGGCGTTGACATTGCTGACATATTCGAGGTTGTTTGCGATCAAGTAGATCAGTTCGTTGGGAAGGTCGTTGAGGGACATTTGGGTATCTGATAGGGCTGAAGGAGTGCCCTCAACATTAAAAGAGAAACTAAAGTTGAAAACAAAATGGAGAAGGAATCATATGCGCCACCTAATCCCTGTATTTAGCCAATATGATGTATGGAGAAGTTTGCCTCCCAAGTCCAGTGTGATGACTTAAAGGCGCCTAATTACTTACTTTGTTACGCCCAGTGCCGGCGATCAAGTTGAACTTAGCTTCTTAGGCCAAATTACCCACTCACTCAAGGGTGATCAGCGGCGGTTAGTGATACATTCCTTCTAAAGGAAGAAAACAATCCTTATATGGACGAAATGGGTTAGACGCTCTATGACCCTAATGAAGTAAAGTTACAATCCTTGCCTATTCAGGACTAGCGCGTGTTTCTTAATACAATACGCCAAACACTCTAGGGCTGGCTTGGACACTACACGGAGTCCGGAGTTTCTATATCAACATGAATTGCAGTAGAATCTTGGAAATCTGTGCTAGAGCTAGTTAAGGCGTAGATAAAAAGGAGCATCTCACTTTTTTCTAAATTTAAACAGCAAATCAGTAAGTGTTCTGGCATATTCGCAATGAACAATTAGTATGTTTAGGCGCCAGGCTTATCGTATAGACTTCCATTGTTAACACGATTTATCCATGATTGATTCCAAAAAAAGGAACAAGTCTTAATGATCCTGAGACGGAGTCATAAACTATACCTACTTTAAAATAGTAACTTCTAATCCAATTGGTTAAACGAGTATCAATATCTGAATATACACTTAAGATGGAAACAAATCCTGAATTACAATAACAACGCTAATCCAAATTAAGAAGTGGGCCAATATATTGCCTAATTAGGATACATACTAAAAGACATCAACGTCACAGCTCTTAACACTAATCCATGAGAAGATGTGCGGGGAGACTTAATGACTCCACTTGATACGTGATACGACATCTAGATTAATGCAGGCTGCACCGTATTTCGCGAGAATGTTAACGACATGAGGCTTATTGTGGATCATAGTTAGAAGTTAAGGTCATGAATGAAACAATGTCGGAGATGGATCCTCTCTTTGTACTACCTTACTCCTTCAAGACCTCGGGAGTAGACTAAATTAAGTCACACAAGTAAGATGCTTCTTCCACCATTCCTCTTTGCGAGTTAAGGACTCGTAAATCGCATTCTGACCCACCCATCCATGCCCCTCTCCTTCGAATTCTACCACTTCCGCCACTCTGCCGTGTGTCCGCATTGCATCAGCCATCATTCTAGCTTGTGCAACGGGTACCACCATATCAGTAGTGCCCTGCAGCAGTAAAAGCGCCCCCTTGATCTGCTCGGCAAAATTGCACGGACTACGTTTCGTCAGTTCGAGTTCTCGGTCTGCAGGGTCAGTTTTGCTAAGCAGCAATCGATCCACATCCTGACTTTCAAACTTGTAGGAGTCTGCCTGGAGAGCTCGCACATCGCTGATGCCATAGGAACTGATACCGGCAGCCCACACTTCCGGATACATGTGCAAAGCTCGTAGAGTCAAATACCCGCCTGCACTTCCGCCGTAGATCCCAACACGGGTTTTGTCTACCAGACCCTCGCTGACGAGATATTCCACTGCGCTGACTGCATCGGCCACATCCACTAGACCCCAGTACCCTGAGAGTCGCTCCCGATATTCTCGCCCAAATCCGGTAGATCCAGTATAGTTCACGGCGCATACTGCAAAGCCGCGTGTAGTCCATGATTGGATTTCCAGATCTAGTGCGGGCGTTGTAGATCCATTAGGCCCCCCGTGGACATAAACTAGCAGTGGAGGAAGGGTCGTTTCATCTGCCTGGAATTCAGGATTACACGGTGGGAAGTAGAACATGTGGACGTGGCCGTCAGTCAATGGCCCATACTTCTGGGGAGCTTTCAATTCCTTTGCAATCGATACGTATTCGGAAGGAAGTTCGAAGGTCGCAGTTGAAGTCAGAACGGTCCATTCAGCTTTGGAATTGGAATCGATTGAAACTAGTGCAAGCTCCTCAGGCGAGGTAGTTGAGGTTCCTACAATCGCAAAGGAAGTTGGAGAGACTCGACGGATTTCGAAAACGCTCACATAAGGGAGCTCTAGATCTTCAAAGGAAGATATAGCGGTGTCGACGAGAATAACTTTGGCGGTTGCGTTGGTAATGGCCGTTGCAACTACCGTTTTAGCATCAAGGAAGATATATGTAGAGCTAAAGCAACAGCAGTCAGAATCCAAGAACCCACGATCTAGTAGAATTGTACATACCTCCCAAGCTCCCACTCGTCAGTTCCAAAATCGGCATTTTCCAACCCCTCCAGCGACAAACTGCGCTCCTTTTGGTCACTTGGATTGAAGAAGTAAAGTTGCCAAAAGCCAGTGCGATCACTCGCATAACACAACAGTCCATCTGGACTCCATTTAGGCTGTGCAATACTTTCTTCCTGGGATTTACCGGCGATTCGGGTAATATTATTCAAAGACCCATCATTCCACTGTGCGTAGTGAAGCACTGTTCCAGTCCATGGCATATCGGGATGCGACCACTGAATCCATGAAACATACTGACCCGTAGGATCGAATTTGGGATGGGAATAGAAATCGTCTCCCTGAGCGATGGTAATCTCTGTACCCAATTCGATATTGATCGCTACCAGTGTGTTATGAACATCCGTAGCCTGTGTTTCCGGTGTAGCATCCCGATGATCTTCTTTGATAGCTACGATCCACTCGGGATTTGTGGGGTGATTGCAGAAGTCGGCATACCGGATTCCCTCGTCCGCAGAATGAACAAGCCTAGCGTCGGATGTTGCTGGGTGCAATAGGTACAAGTTGCAAGACTCTTCATCCACAAATAAAATTTGTCCATCATGTCGCATGATCATAGAGCCGCCCCCAAGCTCTTGCACTGTTCCGTGGGCGCTCAAGTTTTTGGGTAAGACATCTTGACTTTCACCGCCGACATGCCGGACAATCGCATAGCGACCATCCTCTGTCGGGTGGCATTCAATAGAGTAGATAGTTTCGTCCCATTCCTGTCATTTGAATGTTAACTTCAATCTCAATCGCATTTGGGGTCAGCAATTTTCCTTACATCCACTGCTAGTTCGTGGAGTGTGATGCTGTCCTTGGCTAGACGCTCTGCCGTGAGCGGACTAGTCCAATGCCCGTAAGGCACGATCTGAGATGGCATTTGGAAGAAATGACCCCGGAGGTATTGAATAAATGGCACTGGAGAGACGAGAAAGTGAGAAAAACTTTTACAGGGAAAGAATGCTAGAGTAGGCAAATTGAGTGGTGGTGGTCAGATGACTCATTCAGAGGCATTATATCCATTTCCAGGACAACCTCGGAAGGTTTTCTAACACTTGAGTCAACTGGCATTCAAGTTTCTAAAGTTGCTTACACCATTGTGAGACCTTGAAAAACTAAGGCCACAAACGCAAATAGTACTAAACCTTGGAATGACCTACTACCTAGGTAGAGACTTGGAAGATCTACCACTAACAGTATACTAGTAATTGAAGCTTTCAGCAGTCGAATGAATGGTTTCGATCAGGAGCCAGAAGTCCTTAAATTCAATTTTCCTCCAGCCACACAACTTTCTAGGATCTCCACACTACTAATGCGAATGCGCTAGAATAAATAAAGCTAAAAAAAGAAAATCCAGATAGAAATAGGAGTAAATGGGGGGCTTTGGGGTATTCGCAGATGATGTTAAAACGTGAAATATGTAGAGATGAAGCTGGCTGGGATTGAAGGGCTTCTGAAGCCACAGTGAGCCAATCCAGAGTAGGAGAATCCCGTTCATCCCTAACATGTAGAAGGTCTGCAAATGATATGCAAAGCGCCGATGGGACTTTTCTATCCAATCCGAAGCGCCGCGCTATTGAAAATCATGACAAGGAAGACAATTGCAGAGACGAAAAAGCCAAAGGGGATGGCATCATTAGATTAATAGCAATCAGTACGGTGAAAATCGAGCTTGGCGTCTCTGAGCTGTTCGTCGTATAGGACCAACAGGTTCCTCATCCGAATCATCAATAGTGATAGCATTGCGAACAGATGATCCCGTCGTCCTTGGGGGTGGTCCAGAGAAGTCGCGAGAATCCTCGTCGTCGCTCTCCTCCTCTTCTTCTTCTGAGGACTGAAGGACCGCGTGTTGATAGCGGCGAGAGATACCCAAATGTGGAACATCGAAATCCTCTTCCTCGTCTTCGAGCTCATCATCATCCTCATCAGAGACCTCATCAGAATTCTCATCAGAATTCTCATCCCCATCCTCATCCTCATCTTCTTCTTCCTTCTCATCACTCGGGATATGACTGTGTATTGAAGATGAGCGACCCACCTCTGATGACGACGTGATTCTGTGCGAGGGCCATCCAGTTCTCAACCTCTGAAGTTCATGCTGATCTTGAAGTCTCCAGTCAATCTCATCTGGCCTAGATGTAGAGTTAGGGCCGAACACTGGTGGGTATTGCACAATAGGCGGTGCTCGTAAAGGTGGGTTCTGTGAGCTGCTGCCAACAACAGTTGAGCGATCAGATTGCGAATCCTCCCTCCTCTCGTGACCTTCATGTTCTTCATCATCAATAAATGACTCTTCGTAGCCCTCTTCGTCATCTTCATACTCTTCATACTCCTCTTCTTGATGGTCATATCCATACTGCTGTTGCTCATAGCGATGGCGCAAAGCTGCTGCTGGGGCAGAGTTTCTAGGTCTTATGAATTGATTCACGAGATCTGGATGAAGTTGAAAATGCATCGAATGCATCGACTGCATCGGGTTGAAACTGTGCATGAACGAGGGGAACATGTGTGGGCCAAAATCAGGCGGCCGCTGATTAAATCGTGGTGGTAGATTCGGATGCGAACCATGATGCACATCATGCATTCTGTCGCCATCAAAATCATCCTCGTCTTCATCTTCATCCTCGTCCTCATCTCCTTCTATCATGGAATCAAAATCCGTGTCACTGAAATCCGATCCACTGTAGTCTGTGCCCTCGGAATCAGGCTGATAGATGTAACCACACCCTCCACAATTCAACCCATCCTCAAGCTCCCAATTACAGTGGGGACAGCGAGTGACACCATCATCATTGTCGTTGACTGGTTTCAGCTGCTGAGGCTTCTCTTTGAAAAGGCCTCCAAACAAACCTCCACTTTGCGGGTCTGTGTTTGCTTTATCCTTGTCCAGCCTTTCTGATTCCTCCTGATGATTTTTCGAGTGTTCTGCTGTCGTCTCCTCTTTATCTAAAAGCTCTGGTCGACTAGTGAACAACTGGACAATGGCGCGAACCTAGTATCAAACAAACTAGTGAGATTTGGGGGGTTTCAAGGTTGTAGGGCGGAAGAGTATAAGCACTTACCAGATAAGCTGGCGCAGGCTGTGTTTTGACCGGTGCTCGACAATCTGGGCATGTTCGTTTTGATCTTCCTGCAGCGAACCAGGATGCTAGGCACTACCGGATGTTAGATAAGAGTAACCCTGTCGATAAACAAAACAAAGCTTACAGAGTAACAAAATGTGTGTCCGCATGCAAGGGTGAAGGGCTCGTAGAGAGGTCGAACACAGATCCCACATTGGAGTAGGCCACGGATATCATCCACATGACTTTGGAGGGTATTGGCAAGCTACAAACGCGTTAGTTTCGATGTTCTCAATCATCGCGCAATAAGATAGGAACTTACTACCGATGATTCAATCGTAGAGCTACCTTCGGCTGCCATTTTAGCCGTGTAGGATATCTACAGGCTATTATCTCAATGCGACCGGAAGCTTCAGCATCGACAAGAGAGAGTGTATATGGGTCTTATGTCGACGTTGTCGAGCGGGGGCGCGAAAGTTGATCACGACCCGGTGGGGGTCAGAGGAAAAGCTCAGAAGGGAAGTCCACGCTTTAAAGTGAAGCTCAGACTAAGGTTATGACACAGGTGAGGTCGTAATTGCGCAAATAAGTAAAGTGAATTCGAAGGCCACGATATTTCAAGACCGTGAAAAAACCGTGGCACCTAGACGTGAGGGATCCCAGGGACAATCGTGGTTATTGTGGCCTCAGGCATGAACTTAGATAAGCAGTCCGTAATGCAATCACGTGTTTTCAGCCAGTTGGTTTCAAAGGTTTTCTGCGTGGAGATAAACTGGAGCATCTTCTGATTAAGAGAAGTCCACCTAATCTCTAATGACCTGGGTCATCCTAAAATTCTTATCTCTTCGCTTTTTAACTAATACTAATTAGCTTTGGCCAACATTCAAATCTGCCGGCTCCTGCTCGAACCGAGCTCCTTGCGCTGTTGGTTACAGGGTCCAATGGGAGAGGGGCCCCGACCACCCTAACAACGCACTAACGGCAGTGATGGTGTGATATATCCATCCCAGTCCTGGCTCGCAGATATTTGCATCGCGTCTATCACACAGTGGTCCACGGGTGTTCCGTGGCAATACCAGGGAGGTCAGAGCGAAACCACACACAATCCATAACCATGTCAATATTGTCCATGGGAGTCAAGATTGTCTAACATTGAAAGCTATAACTAGTTAAATGCTCCTGTTGCAGATGTCCAGAGCTGGTCTTGGACTTTTCCAATCGGCTATACGAACTTTGAACATTTATCTCCTTTTCTTGCCCGGGAGGATTACCGTGCATGTAAAAAGAAAAGAACCCGTCAAATGGCGCCATGGAACAAATCGGGCCATGGGAAAGCTGTTGGAACCCAACATGCAATCGAGCTTCACAGATGTATCCTGACCCCACAGCTCAAAAGTGGAGGTTGAATGGATAAAGGCTAACAGAGCTCACATCTGAAGGAATATACCTGCTTGTTCGAATCCTGGTGGCTTGCGACAGAAGTACTTGAAAGCAGTGGGGCGGGATCCTTTGGCATGGATACGTATGAAAATTTAGCGCCCAGTATACATTTCCATCGTGGCGTGCATATGGCTTCTTAAAGGTACTTAATTTTCATCGGAATTTGTATGGCTTGAACCAGGTAATCCATTCTATTTGATTAATCTGAATTACTAGTACAGGAGCTTGCATGAGGTACTAGTAGGATAAGAGGCTAGCATTCCCAACACGCATGCATATGTGAGAAGAAACTCATGTTGGTTAAAATAATCGACGAGATCTTGGCGGTACTTCATGACATTTTGATACCTAGATATACGGCATCTTAATTATTATCAGGGACTGCTTCCCTAGTTACCTCGTGCATATGTGATAGTTGACACCGCCATCCATGAGTAGGAGTATGAGCAGATGTGTACAATGTATAAGCCCCACTCAATCACTCTCCGCGCCAAGACAGCTCCCGTAATTCTGCCGGATAAACACTAGCTTCCCGATCGCCAAATCAACCTCGAGCTCTTTCAAGGCTCATCTCTACTCTAACCGCTAGGACTTCCAAGGTTCACAGATCCCCGTGCTTTTCCTAATTTACTCGCGCGCAATTCTTTCTCAACCTAAACTTGCCCACATGACGTCCGAATCAACCCAATCCCAACCGGAGACGCCCGAGAAGTTGTCTCAGAAAACTGATCACAAATTCACACAGTAAGTTAAATTATGCGGGCATGTTTATGATTCGTCCAAGTTTTGAGTGGGCCCTTGGCTATGGCTTTGGCTTTCAAGACTTGAGCAAGCCTGGCTTGACCTTCAGGTCCCGCCTATTGCCAGGCGGCTATCTATACTGGAGGCTATAATGATAACGACATGCCCCTAGTGCTTTCATCTACCCCATTGGATGGAATCATATTGGACTTATTCACATGCTTAGAACCTTGCTGACAGAAAATTCCAGTAAAAATGCGAGCGAGTTTTATGACCCTTGCCAAGATTTTGCAGATCGGAGTCTCAAGTGCTTAAAGCGTAATGGCTTCGATCGTGAGATGTGTGGCGACTACTTCCAGTAAGCCACCCCCAATACTCCCTCTATTATAGAAGTAGAAGCTCAACCCACTTGTACCTACCGCTTGACGTCAGTCTGTGACAGACCGTGTATACCACCCTCATGATCACTATATGCAAAGTTACTAACTGATTTCACCTAGGGCTTACAGGGACTGCAAGAAGAACTGGGTAAGTCATATTCTGCTCCTCGCTAATTCTTATAAAAAATCACACGTACCCTCTGAACGCCTTTTGGCCAGCCTAGAGTTCCATTTTGTCATCCCAGCACATGGCTAACAATAGCATTAGCTGAACCATAAAAAGGGGATCTCTGAATCCAAGTAGCTTCACCACCTGAGCAAGACTTGACATAGCAGGCCCGAGATCTGAAAGACTCTGCTTGCTTTTCCCAGAAATCACCACAACCGATGGCATCATGAAAAAACCATGGATTTCTCTTATGTTTTATTAGCCACTTAAACCTGTATTCTACAATTTTTATTTCGCCTGACCGGCCCTTTGTATCAAATGAGATCGATCTCCTACACACGTGTGCCAAACTAATAGTCCATTCTAGTCATTCAACTAGAGGAGTTGATTGTGCCAGGGGTAAGGTGGAACTTGAGGTACCAGGACAATGTTCAGATGAGCGGCTTGGCCGGGACTAGGGAAGCATCTACAGGGAATTGGGAGGGGGCCGGTGAAAGAATAAAGTGTCATTTTCAATAGCAAGATTAGCAAGATAGTAGTGCTAGCGACGAATACATAGTGCTCTCAAAGGATCTTACATAACCCTAGGTTTCCTCTGGTTTGTTGCAAGTTCGAAAAGGTAAACTCAATTTCTGTGAGAGGTCACATTCGCAATGAAAGAATAAGCCTTGTTGTTTCTGGGCATCATTGTCCAGATATTGACCGGGACAGTCAACAAAATGATACCTGATCCACGGAGCGCACCCTCCACAGTGAGATCGGCGGAAATAATATCTGGATGAAGATAATCCGCTATCCAACCTTTCCAGTAATTCAGATCCAAAGGTACATCCTCACAAACGGTGAGACTAATCAAGACTTTATGCGCAGAGCTTGCTATATCTCGGGTCAAGGCATGATGCGCAGTTCGACCAATGGTAACGCTTGGTGAATTTTGCTTAGGAATATGGACTGGACATGATTCAACCTGATTCCTTTGAGCTTCACGTAATATCTGCGCATAGATTGCTGCAAGATTTGTTGCTTGTCCTTCTAAAGCGGTAAACGTATCAATAAGTGCTTGTGTAAAAGAGAAAGGGTTTGAAGTGGCCTCCTGACCCCAGCCTGACGCTGCCATAAATTCCGCTCCATCATAATCACCGTGACCGAGTGCCTCCAATGCCACCACAGAGCATAAATCAAAGATATAGCAGACATCTCCCTCGTAATCCTCAAGGAATGACCGCGCGGCCCACCAGTCGACTGTAGGGCCTTGTAATCGGCCGGATACAGGATTTGATTGACCAGCCAGTTCAAGTCTGCGATCTGCCCCGGTTATCCCTAAAATGGACGCATGGCCTGAGTAGACGAAAATTCGCAAGTTCTCCTCTCCGTGAGTATTCCGGCTCCAATTAAGAAGACGCATAACAAGCTTGCGTGTGGATCCAACAAGGGGTATCCTGTATGAGGTAGTCTGGAAATTATATTGAGTCCGGAATATGTTCAAAAGCTCATTCTCAAGGGGAGCAACAACGCCATGGTCATCATAACTAGCCCAATGGATAGCAAAAACAGAGGTATTTTTGTAGACCTTTGATCTAACAGCATGGTTGATGGCGGCCTGTAGATCAGCTGCGAATTCAGCGCAGAAGAACTTTGACTTGGGGATTGGTAGGCGGTTGTAGGGTGGAGAGACATCGTGACAGTGATTTTTTCAGGTCGAAGATTTTTTCTGAGAGATGAGGATTGCGTTAAAGCCTAAGGATGGCTTAAGTGAGGCTTTGTGTGGTTCGTGCGAATCAATGTGCGAAGAAACAGGTTGGTCAAGCTGAGCTGATAAAGAAACTTAAGTGTTATAGAGCTGCATATAAGCTAAAAGGGCGGTACTAGACTTGGTAAGGAGAAGTGGGCTGCTGGGTTGAGATTTTTTTCCGCTCCATCCCTGGGTTGTAGTGTTTTTTTGAGTTGCCTTGCTGTCTGGTAGAATACCAAAGTAGGCAGAATAAGCCTATAGCTTAGACCAGAGATTTACTAACAGACTATATTTTTCTTTTATTTCATTCCATCTAAATATGAGTATATTCCCTCTTACTTTAGGATATATCTCACTTTAGCTATCTCTTACTTTAGATGTCCCTAGGATTGCCAGCTGCCTAGTATATCCAATTATATAGCAGCTGGCCTTCCCTTCTAGGTACTAATCATGCAGGTAACCCTGTCGGTAACCCTGTAGGTACTTACATGCAAAGAGGGGTATGTTACCAGTTACCTGTACATACTACTGACTGTGAACATGGCTGTAGTATCACGGTGTCTACTTGACCGAGATTCCTGGCCAAGCACTTCAAATGTTGAGTGCTAAGTAGATACCTTGCCCAATTTCACTGCTACATACAGTGTCGCGCAAACTTGAAGCGCTGCATGAGGGCTTACTTGATACTACTTGGCCCCTGGAGTAAACCTGCCAAGTTGGAAACAATCTGCACGCACTAGCACATAGCATACACCCGTGGACATGTGCATTCGATTTCAATTAGGAATCTAGATGTAATGTCAAGTTATTGGTCTAATTCGGACTTAGACTTGAAGTCTCTGTACTTGGGCTTGGGCACCTGGGCACCTACTAGTACCACATAGTAAGCTCAAATTCAAGTTGTGACTTACTTGAAGACTACTACTAACTAGTATAGATTGTACCATCAATATAGTAGTAGGGCATTTACTCAGGATGAGTACGACATAGGAGTACTTCAGAGCCATATTTAAGATAATCCAACTTTTAATCCAATAATTTAATAAAATGTATTCATGATGTCAGTATACTGCTCGGAGCCTGTAGACTGTAGTAGGTAACTAGTTAGTTACTCGATATGATAAGCCTCGGCCACAAGGCGGACAAAAAGGTACGGCATATCTACAGCCACAATTCCACACCGCCTTTGAATTGCTTCCCCGCCAAAAAAAGCACCAGTGAATCAGTGATCTCCAGACTCACACCCCCACTCTCAAATTGTTGATCATCTGACCTTCACAGAAGTCTCTTCTGTGAACTGAGCGTCCTCAACCAAACTCTTTCGGAGAGCTCGTCACAATGGCGCCTGCCAATGACGCCACGTTCCTCCGGCGTAACAATCAGGTCCAAGATGCCATTGACGGGCAGAATTTTAAGCAAGCTCTAACCCTGATCGAGAAGCGCGTGAAGAAAGGCGAGGATACGCGCTTTTTGAAGGCAAGTCATTCCCCCCGTGTTACCTTTGTGTATTCAGACATATCTCCAAGAAGCCTCCACATTCTGACAACCAAGTACCCCGCTAACGCTTGCAACAGGCATGGAAGGCCAACATTTACACCCTCATGGCGGACGAGGCCCATCGCGAGCGCGGCAGGAAGGAGACACTTGATATTTGCAAAGCTGAACCACCTACAATCGACCTCGATACCCTCGATTTGCTATTCAGGACTTTGAATAAGATGGAAGGGCATGCAGAGACCAAGAGCTTGCTGTGGGAGAGGGCCGTGAAGGCAAAGCCTCAGGACGAAGAACTTCAGATGAGGTGGTTTACATTTGCCTATGAGGATGAAGACTGGAAGTCAGCGCAAAAGGTCATTGCATCCCACTTATCTGCCCACAATATTCAAGTTCAAGCATTGAATACTAACTATTTACTATCTATATATTTTAGGCCTCTATGAGTCTCCAAAAGAACTTCCCTCGGGAGCGGAAATACTACTTCTGGGCTATCTTTTGCACATATCTGCTATCAGTTGATCCCAGAAGCTCGGAAATGGAGTGTAAGCTGTTTGGAACCCTGGCCTACCGTATGGTCTCTAAAGCAGTAGAGGATGTCCCCACTGACTCCGTGAGTCTTCTGTCATTCTATTTGTCTGATTTCAAGATCAAATCAGAATTTGAATTGGTTCGAAAAGCTAAATGATTGAAATTATCAGGCCAAATCCTCAACTCCGCCGCGAGCTATTCAAAATTCAGAGGAATTGCTACTTCTCATCAAGATTTTTGAGTCTCAAGGGCGGTCCGCTGAGATTGTGAAGATTCTAAACAGTCAGAACGTTGGTATCAGCTCTCCAATCTGCCAAAATGACGCGCATTTCAAATCCCTCATGGCGCATCACCTGGGTGCGGCCAACCTGTGGGAAGAAGCTATTACCTTCGTGAAGGAGGACTACAAAATCGATGAGAATGGGCGCAAGGATCCCGAGGATAATTTCGTCATTTGGGAACTTCTTATCAAAGCCGTGAAACATTATGACACTCCTGGGTTGGTTGCTTAGACTCATCCAAATTTCTGATGATAAACTGACATCGTGCATAGGGCCGGTGCTGATGCTCGAAAATTCGTTGAAAGCCATATTGACTTTGACTCAAAATCACGTAACGCAGGTTTGGCTCGCCTTGACTTGATATCTGTCGCTATTGAAAAGGGCGAAATGACTATGCAGGACGATTTGGTGCCTGCTTGTCAGCAGTACATTGAGCAACACAAACATAAACTCTACATGTTTAACGATCTCCGAAGAGTTCTTCATGGCGACAAGAACGCCATGGCAGCCTCGTTGCAATTTCTGTCTAAGAATTTGGGCGAGGGCGAGAAGGTAAGCTTTCACAAGTCAACACTGTCTCTTCTGTCAATACTAACTCGACCTAGGCTCTCGTTCCTACCATTAATGCCCTCAAACTGGATTTCTGTCTGAACATTTCAGCAGTAGAGAAGCCCTCGAAGCAAAGTATCGACGATTTCGTCGTGCGTTGCATGAATCTCTATGAATCCCATGCTGGCGAAAAGCGGGTTGAGAAGACTGAACCGACCGACGGCGGGAAGCCCGCTATCATTGAAAGTCAGCCCAGAGATGAGCTATGCATTCTTGCCGCCATGGCCATCGGACATGAAAGTAAAGAGGAGCCAATTAATGATCACCTTGCTTGCCTTCGTGCAACTGTGGTCCTAGAGCGTCTTCTTATTGATTCACCTCATAACTATCAAGCTCTCTTGATGATTATGCGCTTTTATCTCCTCTTTGGAGCGGGTTCTCTCGCGCTGGGGGCCTTCAATAAGCTGTCCGTTAAGCAGATGCAGTATGAATCTGTGGCCCACAATTTCTTCACACGTCTCGCTACTATCCACCCTCACTCAACTCCCCCTGTTGAAGGTCTTGAGCGCAAGGAGTTTGATCCTCAAGCGGCCTTGATTCAAGGCCTCAATTTCTACCGCAATGCTGATCTAACCACCATGAGATACCGAAGTCGTGGTCTGGATGAAGGAAGTTACATCAATGTTGCAGAACTTATCGAGCTGCGGAAGCGTCTGAGCACCAGTATCTGTCGCCGGATGTACGCTTTGGATGCTCGCCGAGCACAGAGATTAGTTGGCGGCGACCCTCTGGTTCGCTTTGATGAGATTGGTATAGACGCCACCCGTTGCACTTTCCTATATCTTTGGCCACACTTGACTAATACTTTCTTTTCTATCTTTAGCCCGAAGTACTGCTCCTACAGTAGATCAGCGAGTTTACGATGCATTCATGAACTGCGAATTCCCAGGCGAAGACGATTTCGAAACGTTTATTCGCCTAGGTCCCTTGCCAAAGGTATTTTGGCTCTGTATCCCTTTGGTCTTTTCTTGTTATACTAATAAGGATATAGGAGAACTGGATTGCCACAGCCAGGATTACAGACCGGCTTTTCGGGGTGTTGAAGGATATCGCCATCCAGAGGCCATTAACCCCAGAAACGGATCTCCCTGACCTCAGTGCCCTCACTCTTTCTGAGGCTATCGATCTCACCGAGGACGAACAAGAGAATAGAAAGATTCATTCTGAGCTACTCAAGGTGGCGACTTTTATGGCTGGGTCCAAGAATACCACTGCCGAGCAGGTCGACAAGGCGCTCGCCGGGGTAGAGCAATGGTTGAGCCAGATGAAGGCCCAATTTTTATTGGACGACTCCAAAATCTCACCTTTCTCCGCTGGTAGGGTGATTTATCTCCGCGATAAAACCCCAGTGGCCCCAGTTTGGGGATACTTCCATGGCATCTTCACCCTTCTCGAGACTCTAAAGGCCCTATCATTGCTGGTTGCCTCCGCTTCTCGCAAGGGTTCAAAGACTACCAAGCTGCCCAAAGAGCGCGTAGACAATCTGGCCGCTCTGGTTCCTGAACTATTCGAACTTATTCGCTCTAACACCCGTGCTATGAAGCAGCGTCTCTCCGCCCCCGGGCTGCTGACCACACTGATGGACATTACAGTTCAGGGACATCAGGACGCCCCTCATACTCCAGAGCTCCAGGATGTATTTGAGTCAGTTCTGGGTGAGGCTGAGCTTGAATTATCCTGTGCATCTTTGATGGAAAGCTGGGAAGAAGCCCTGGATGGTGTGCTGAGTGTGAAGCTGTGATGATGGTGACGACGCGACGAAGCAAAGGCATTTATGAAAGTGAAGGTTATGATGACGGAAAATGATGAAAAACATAAAATGCAGATGGATATCAGAGCATGCAGAAAAGAAATATGACATTGGATATGTACAATATTATAAGACTTCCAACCTTGCCTATGTAGAAGTTAGAACTAAATCTTGGAAGGTGGTTTAGGGTTTCTCAATGACATTGACGCCTGAGGCAGACATAAATTAGTCATCGAGACATGTCTACAGTTGATTAGATAATAGCCCTAGCCCTATAATCTCGCCTACGTCGTGCCCGTGCCAAGACCCGCAATTGTGCGGTTCACGACGAGATTAGGGGATTTCCACACGACTTTCTTCATTCCCTTCCTTCGACAACCACCGCCAACCCCTTCAGTCACCAACCGTCGAGATGGCGCAGGAACGCACCGGAATCATCGTCGGCACCAACAGCGGCCGCGTACGTGTTCTTTGAACCCTCTATCCCTGCCTGCAAACCCCCGAAGCACTCCGAATACTCTGTCTCTTATCGGTTTTTCCCTCGAGTCGGTCTTGGTCTTCAGTCGATTATTCCCTTGGAGGATTCGTTTGCATTTTAGATTGGCATGGAGCTGCTGGAGGAATCAATGGAGGACCAGTGGTGTCACAACACGATCAGGCACTGTGGAGGAAAATTTTCGATATCAGGATATGGACCTTGAAACAGATCCTTAGCCTACTATTTCGACTGTTGTCCGACCAGACTTGCTACGAACCGACCTCGAGAAACCGATATTTGAGACAGATTATTCCGAGGGATTCCCTTGCTTGGCACATGGAGAAATGTTTATGCCTCGAACAAGCAAGCTAATTGAGACATACAGAAAACCACCCCGCTGAACACCCCCAAGACCAAGATCAGCCGGTCTAAGGGTCAGTCTTCTCGCCGCACCAAGTTCGTCCGCGAGATTGCCCGTGAGGTTGTCGGCCTTGCCCCCTACGAGCGCCGTGTCATTGAGCTGCTGAGAAACGCTCAGGACAAGCGTGCCCGTAAGCTCGCTAAGAAGCGCGTACGTTTACACCACCAATTCTCATTACGTCCGGATCTCGTCTGGATTGGTACCGATAAATGGAATGATATTTTGGGCTGGGGATCTGGGAGCACTGGAGTGACTTGAACATATTTGCCACCCGGGAAGATTTCATCAACGCTACCATGGCACAACCACCATGTCTACTTCTCCAACCCAGCAACTCGGTCACCCGGATATCATTCCCATTATCTGCCAATCCAATGAGCCAGACAAATGCTTTTATCATTGAATCAAGACTAACGGTATCTTCAGCTCGGTACATTCACCCGCGGTAAGAGAAAGGTCGAGGACATGCAGGCTGTCATCGCCGAGGCCCGCCGTGTCCAGGGTCACTAAGCGTCTCATTCCGTGAACCTGTTTTTCTCTTTCGTTTAACGACTTGAATATCTGGCGCGCGCAACGAACGAAAAAATGAACTTCCGGAGTCTCCTCCCTCACCCCCGACGCTGACCGTCTAATGGGACTGCTTTTATCTTTTTGGGCCGCCAAATAGCGTATGGCTTGCGGAAGCGGAATATGGGAGTTTTATTCGTGACTACCGGTGGATGATGGGGATGGCAAAAGTGGGATCCCTTCCCTGTGGAAGAGAAACCATAATGAAAACATTGTTCCAAGTTTAATTGCATTAATACTTCCTTGTAAATGTAAACTGTAGTACTGTCATTTCGATCTAGAAATGTGGTGGCCTTCAACTTGGCTTCTCTAGCTATACCTGAGTCTTGAAAAAGTCTAGGTCGTACCTGTGGACCTATCATTGGTTTAGTGCGGAGTACTCAAAGGAATTCTAGTCTTTGTCTACGTTAGGCTCTCTGATCATGATCAATCTTTCTTCATTTCCATGCAATTGGTTTTGCTGCCTCAAAGCAAAACACATCTATTGGTACGCCTAGCCAATAAATGCAGGATACATCAAAATCTCCAATTCAGTCATTGTCATCCAAATCATATCCGTATCAATCGTAAGATGATCAAAAGTAGTCAACATTCAGTTCATTTCTTTCCAGGAAGCTTCAACCACTTGGGTACACCGCCGGTCTTCTTAGGTACAGGCTTTCCTGAATCTGTAGTACCACTAGGGCCTGCTTCGGCTTTTGGTGCCGCGGGCTCCTCGATGACATCCGGTGGTTGTTCAATCTTCAGTTCCTGAGCCTGACTACGAAGCTCCGGGCGCAGGAGATTGGTTCGTTTCTGATGGATCGCTGAGCTTGCGTTATCGGCCCATGTGAAATTGATCAAGACTCGACCTTGCAGACGAAGTTCCTTGATCAGAAGAGTTTTGTCGTTCGGGATGGCATGGGCGTGTCCAGCTCGAGCGGCTGTAGTGACAAAAGCATTCAAAGCGAATTGTATCTCGGTATAGGTGGGTGCCAGACAACCGCGAACAAAGTCATAAAGAGACTGGCCTGAATCACTTGGTCCGAACTTGGTCACTACCTGACTCTGATCTGGAAAGCGTACTTTCACATCGATCTCGCGGATGTCTGCACGGCGCTTTTCTTCGGCGGCGACCTTGGCGGCGATTTCGGCGTCTGTTGGTAGACGCTGTGGGCGGGATAGTTCATTGAGCTGTCGTTGGTGGGCTTTGGCATGTTCAATGGAGGGAATATAGTCTTCTTCATGGTATGAGAGTTGTGCAGATGATGGTGTGTCGTCAGATGGAGGGGAGAAGACGGTGATGTGTCGTTCAGATGTTGAAGCAGACTGCTCCGGAGCTGCTGAGGGCGCAGTGGAAGTAGCTGGCTCAGGTATAGACGAGGAAACTGGTTCACTTTGGGGCTCCTGTGAAATCATCTCTTCGTTGTTCTCTTTTACAGGAGCTGGAGTGGCTGTGTTCTGTGGTTGCACTGGTGTATCATCCCCGCTTGATTGGAAGTACTCGCCAATCTTCACCATAGCTTCCTCGAGAGGCTCCTCAGTTAGTCGAAAGCCGAGGCGGATCAACACGTTTCCGCTATTGAAACCTAACTGTGCAAGCGACTTCTGTAAATCCGTGAAGCTTGACAGCTCGCGCTCCAAGATCCTAAGAACGGGAATCTCATAGAACAACCGTCCAGAGCCAGAGTCCCCACCATTCGTAGCGGGTAATCCTCGTGCTGTAAGGTTTCGTACAGGTCCACTTCCTGCTACTCCCGCTTCAAACTTGCGCAGCACTAACCAGAGAGTAGTTGTGCTTGGAAACTTGTCCATTATACGTCCGTTTGGGGCACCACGAGCTTCGGATTCTGGCAGTTGAAGGGCAACTGTGACAACGGAGGGAGATCGGGAAAGCTGAACAAGCTCTAGCTTTGCACCAGAGCTAAGGCCTGAGAGACGGAAAGAAAGAGACATATCCAGTTGTTTGCGATTGTGCCTAGAAGCCATAGTAGGTAAGCATGGGATGTTTTAGAGCGGGGCAAGCACAACATACTTGAGGCCATATTGATTGGCATTGTACCCAAACTTCGAGCATGCCTCTTGTAAAATGTCTGTGAGATGTTTGGTCGGTGTCGTCTTAACTGTTGCTCGTCTGGCTGTCGAGTCTATTACCACGACATGGGCGCTCATGTTCGCGCAAGCGGGGATAAAGCCCACGGAGTAGCTCGAAAATCTGGTAACCAAAAAAAAAAAAATTGATAAATCAAGTGTGAGGGAAGTATAATCAACCCAATAGATAGCAAAAGGAACAACGTTCGAAGAGAGGGTATTTGTAAAGTAGAATGATAAGAAAGTGATCGAAGAGTTGCGGGCGAGCGACTAAGCAGGCAGCGGTGCGGCGTCATCCGAGCTCGCGACCTCCCAGAGGTCACAGCTCCCCATCATCAACACCTCTCCCATCTTTCACCACCCCGTCCCTTCCCAGCCCTCTTTTTCCGACCCTTGTTACCTCTTGAAGCTTCAGAAATATTCTCCTGGTTTACATTGAATAACATAAATTCGCAATAATGGTATGGAGATGGGTCTCCTTGTCCCGTTTCGTTACCGCTGGATCTTGAAAGCTAACTCCTTGACCTCATCATCAGGGCTCTCCCTTCGATATCAGTACGCACAGCCATTCACAGCTCTATCTATTCAAGTAAGGAAGCTAACAGTCATTTCTAGATGGCGGTGCCTGTGTCGCCATGGTGGGTAAGGATTGCGTCGCCATCGCCTGCGACCTCCGCTTGGGCATGCAAGCCCTGACCATCTCCAACAACTTCCCCAAGATCTTCAACTACGCTCCATCCACCTACCTCGGCCTGACTGGCCTCGCCACCGATGTCAACACCGTGTCTGATCTGTTCCGTTACAAGGTCAACATGTACCGTCTACGCGAGGAGCGCCATATTGCACCCCAGACCCTGGCCAACCTGGTCAGCTCATCGTTGTATGAAAAGCGTTTTGGTCCTTTCTTCGTCAGCCCAGTAATTGCCGGTATCAACCAAACAACTGGAAAGCCATTCATCTGTGGATTTGACAGCATTGGCTGTATCGACTTTGCCAAGGACTTCATTGTGAGCGGAACCGCCAGCGAACAGCTGTTTGGTACCTGCGAGGGTCTGTGGGAGCCGGATCTTGTATGTTCCCCAACTTTTATGAAATTAATTCTTTCAAAACTAACTTGCCCTTCAAGTCTCCCGAGGATCTTTTCGAGACCATCTCCCAAGCTCTACTGGCCGCCGTTGACCGTGACGCCCTAAGTGGATGGGGTGCACACGTTTACATCATTGAGAAAGATAAGGTTACTCAGCGTCTGCTGAAGGGACGAGAGGATTAAAGAGGTGGCAATGATCATGGATGTGTTCAAGCTGGGTATTTTTTGGGCTTTCTGTCGGTTTCAAGGCAGATTTTGGCGTCTGCGGTTTTCACTACGTGACGGGGGTACCATGGACGACCGGAATGGAATATCACCGCAGTGATGTGATTAAACCCTACTTATAGAATCGCAGATGCTGTCATCATGCGACTCTATATCTATCTTCCTATCACGATAATATAACCCGTCATCAATGTCAATGTCACAGTCACAGCAGTGCTGCAATTCCACGATAAATGATTCTAACTTGAACCAGCGAATAACAATCTTCCATACGACATACTATCTAATCTCTATTAAAATCAGTATCCATCTTTCCCTTCTATCACAGCATATGCCGCTCCACCTTTCCCTAAGAATTCCTTCAAATCTCCCGCCAACAGCTCGGGTTCCTCCCATGCTGCAAAATGACCACCACGATCAAACTCCTTCTCCTTGACTACATTCCCAATGACCCGATACCAAGCCATTGGCCACATCATCACTTCTTCTTTAAATTGCGCAACTGCAAAGCGCACATTATCAGGGGCACGAGCTGTAAAAGACTGGTCCAACGACATCCACCTCTCCACATCATCGGGTTTCTGCCCTGAAGCCTCATAGTAAATCCGAGTCGAAGCCATAGGTCCTGCACGTGAGAAATAGTAAATACTAACCCACGTCAAGATCTCCTCATCTGTCCACGCATAGTTATCTGACCATGAGTGTAACTTATCGTATATCCACGCCAGTAACGCAGCGGGGCTATCGTGGAGTCCGTAGCCCAGTGTCTGGGGTCGACTTGCCTGCTGCTTGTAATAGGCATTACCGATAGATTTGTATCCCAGCGAACGGGATATGTAACCGCGGTGTTTCGCCGAGAATGGTACGCTAATGAGTGATGAAAGGAAGAGAAGTGGATTGCGCCAAGGGTATGGTGGAAGTACTGGAACGAAGTTTAGATGAACGGCTTGGACGTGCTCAGCGTAGTAGACTGCCATTATTCGGGCAATTATACTACCCCAGTCTCCTCCTTGGATGACTTGAGGTGTCAGTGTTAGCCCAGGCTCGAGTCGAATTCGGTGATTTGTATATCTTAGGTGAGCTTACCATATTTTTCGTATCCAAGTGCTAGTATCACTTTGTGCATGGTTTCGGCGTATTGGGCAAGGCCGAACCCTCTCTGTCAACATGTTAGTTATTACAATTTGATCATATGAGGGGAATTTTTTTATACCTTTTTAATTCCTTGTGAGAACCCAAAGTTTGGAAGCGAGGGCGCTATCACATCGAAAGACACTCCTTCCGAGTCCTCACTTTGGGTGAGTAATGGAATCAACTTCGTAGCTTCGAGGAAATTTCCCGGCCCTGTATTGAGAAGTATATCAGTAAGTAAATCATCTGAATTGGCGTCATGAAGTATTAATTGAAGTCACGGTATCACATACATCCATGGATGAATAGTAAGGGAACTGCACGTGAATTTTCAGATCGATGATGGACAACATGGATATCCAAGTCGCCGAACCCATCGACTGCAACAGGAACGGTGAATTGTTTGAGTTGCTCATTTAGCTTCTTTTCCTGGGCTCGCCAGTCGAATTTCTCGCGCCAAGTGGTGATGAGTCGCTTCATTGTTGACAATGGGACACCCATTTCCCATCCTGCGTCGTCTAACTCATCAGGGAAGGAGACATGCTGGAGTTTCTGGTGGAGCTGGTCGATATGCTCATCGGGGATATCGATGGTAAACGGAGTGATCGGAGCCATTTTTGAGGGTTTTGTTGGATATTCCAAGGTTTCATGGGAATATGGACGAGAAGTGACTTGCTACTGACGAGTCGCTCAAGTTTGACCTTGGAAATTCAATATTAGGACTCAAGCGCTGCCAGTGTTTGCTGCATGATCGAGTTGAGGGGTTGAACCTCGGTATCACACCTTATGTGCAGTAGTGCCAGTGGATTTAGCTGGAGAACCGGGGTAGAAACTTGAATCTGCCCATGTAGGCATGTGGATCCATGATGAATTGGTTTATATACTCCATTTAGCACTTAGTCAATGATACTTCTAGCCATGTCTCCAGGAAATTATCAATCTAGTCCATGATGGATGTTGATTTCGACTTCCAAGGTTCCAACCTTGGAATGTTAGTTGAAACATTTCCAATGTTTCATCAATAGACAAAACTCCGAGTCTCCATCAAACCATGAGATTATCTTTTACCATTCTTAGCACTTGAGCCATCAGTTGTAACATTCAAATGTTTGAACTTGAATTGAAAAGAATATAAATAGTATACCCGAGTCAGGGTAAGCAAGCCCAGATGTCCAACTTGAATATTTGAAATACTACATTTGGTCTCAAGTGCAAGTTTAAATATGGCATACTCACGCAGAGAAAGCTGCCCAGGTGAACTCGATCGAACTTGAACTGATTGAACTGATTGAACTTTGAAGAACTTGAAGTGTATGTCTAGATGTCAACTGGTCAGTCACGGTGCTCTCAGGTCAAATCGGATTCAAATGTTACCTACTAGCCCTGGAGTTAGGTCAACTGGGGTGACACAATACATGTCCACTCAACAAGAGCCTCGCCGCTCAGGTGGACAACCTTGGAAGGAGTGAGTTACTGGTTCGATCCCTGCATGTGCGTCGCTCGAGCATTTTATTGTTTGTCGTCTCATCATCTCTTCGTCCTATATTTCGTATTTAGTAGCAATATTTTTTATAATCATTTTTTCATCCTATTGTCTAAGTGTAATTAGGGCGTTTCATCTATAGAAATTATGTATGGATAATCTTGGAGTTTCCCTTCGTGTACATGCATGCATGGTACTTCGTATTGATCTGTAGGTAGCAAACATTCCCACTTCCCATGACTGGTGGAGTAACGTGGTGGAGCTCCTCGATCCCTCTGAAATAGTCCGAGTCAAGACTTCAGCCAGAATTTTTTCGACTCGATAGATCACATACAAGGATTGAGATATGGACTGGACCAGATCAGGAGCCCCGCACCAACCATCGCGTACCCAGGATATGCCATCAAACTTGTAAAACCCCCCCTGTTTCCCTACAACCCGGATGTCGGGATTTTCATCGATGTGAGTGGAATTTCCATCACCAAACCAGCTGGGGCATTCGCAAAGGATCTTATGAAGGCGGCTACAATCCCTGTAAATTACTGCGGGGGCCGGGAATTGGCCCGTGTAGGCGATGAGTGTTTATGGACTATCTGGCACCATTTTGGTGTCCTAGACCGATGGAACTATATGGTAGTTATCATATACATATACAGGGTACGTACATGAAGTATTTATTTAATTGTTTGTCTTAATTTTTTAATTTTTTTTTCTTCTCTGAAGTGATGGATCGATGATAATTGAGAGTGTTATTATACACGCATCTCTTGGTTCTAGATCCGCCGATCCCCAGGGCTTGAGGGCTCCGCAGAAAAGAGAGATCGAGTGGGAAAATGTGTGTACTCCGTGTGGAAGTTTTCCTTTTTTTAAAATCTCCTTCCTGATTAAATCTAGTCTTTATTGTTCGATTTATATTATATTCTATTATATATACTATTTTTTTTCTTCTCACTTCCCCATGAATATTATTTTCTGACATTGTGTATGTACATTGTGAAGTGTACCTGACCCACGAAAGCCCTTGTTTCAGTCTAGACCGCCCCCAGAACCTGAATCGGAAAATCCCCTCCTGATCATTGCCCCCTCTTACAACTACTCGTTCACCTTGTTCTTGGACATGGTGTGGTTCATTTAGGGATTGGAACTTGAAACGATATCTGAACAAAAGGGAGAGAGAGAAAAAAAAATTCAGGGAAGAGAACAACGGACACTTCCTTTCAAACATTGCATCTTTTTCTCCCCCAAAAATCCCACATGGATCATGACCGACTCGCCCGAACCCGATGCCCCCAACACCCTTCATTCTCGACCGGCCATGTCCTTCCCTTCCTGCAAATCCGAATGTCTCACAGAGGGACTCACAACTGTACCTGAAGATGGCGACATGCAATTTGACGCGTCCGGTCGATCATGGCATGACGGCGCCCAGACAACTGCAATTGAACAACTGGTCTCGCTCAAACAGGGGTTGAGGACTTCAGATACCGAGCTATTCTGGAAACGGCTCATGGAAGATCTGACATCAATCAGTAAAGCTCAATATGGTTTTGTTGCCCGTCGTGCGCATGGCGGGGAACCCATGGCCGAATTGGGCGGGCGCCGGCCGTCGCTCTTTGGAGCCGTGTTTTATTACGATGATGGGTATCAGAACGTCGGACTACAACGAAACCGGTACTTCGCAGGTGGAAACCCTCTTTTACATATGGATCATGAGCGACCGTGCTTGATTCCTGAAAATCTTAAATCTCTAGTCTCCTTTGGGGACGATCAGCTACCTTTCCCCGCCGAGGCGTATCTGGCTATCCCGCTCTTCTCAGCGGGCAAGTGCCTCGCTTATCTTGGGTTGATGTGGTCAGCAGAGGGAACGCGGAATCGAAACCTCTCCTGGTCATTTTTGGAGGTTCTTCTGCATTCGCTCGATGATATGATCGTTCAGCGGCTGCTCGAGGACGAAATCTTCCCGGAGCAGGAAAGCTGTGCATTCCCGCCTATCCCTCCGACTGTCGAAGATATACAATACACCACATTTCAAGAAACCTCCGACTTTGTCTCCCACCATTCAACACTCAAGCCTTACGCCCGCAGTCTATCACACGAATTACGAACCCCAATGCAAGGCGTTGTGGGTATGCTGGATGTGATGCACGCAACTGTGCGAGAGGCGATGGAAAGCAGGACACCTATCAAATCAGGTGGGATTTTCCAGGCCCTCAAAGAAGGAATTGAAATGGTTCAGGATAGCGCAAGACGTGCTGTGGAGGCCGCAGACAATGTTGTCCACGCTTACGATCTCAACATGCAAGTGCCTAAAACCCCAACCCCGCAACGGGAAGAGGATAGTCAATTTTTTGGCGACGTACCTCCATTATCGGAATCCGATGAAAGCCGCCCGAGCATTTTCATCGAAGGAAACAATATCGCAGTGAACCCTTACAAGAGACGACGAAGTCTCCCGCTGGATATGGCTTCATGTTCATCACGACCCGCTCGAAGGCAGCGACTCCGCGCTGCATCATCACGGCAGGAACTATCGCCCCGCAGTGAGGAAGTTAAAAATGCGGTCCACGAGAGCGATCAGATCGTTCACGCTACTCCGGCCCGCCAGATCGAGGAAGTCATGGCCAATATGGTTGACCCTCGGCCATCCATTGCAGTTCGACGGTCTGCGCCTCACCTACTGCTGGAAGGTATCAACGTGAACCTCAGAGGACCAGCCTTGCGATTCACCAAGTTGCGAGACCTGCTCCGTTTAGTCATCAACGAGTCGCTCCATGTTGGCGGTCGGCCGGATTCTGCTGAGAGTAATGCCACCGAGTTTGGCGAGAAGATTGAGATTAAATCTCGATCCTCAAATGGTGAAATATTTACCAAGACGGTGGACTGGTCTGTTGACCCTGCACTGCCTGATACTCTTCTGGCAGATGATCGGGACCTGGCTAAACTGATCTCCTGTGTCTTTCTGAACGCTATCAAGTTCACCAATAATGGCACAATCACTGTCTGTGCAACCATCGATATGAAAAATAACGATGTGTTGATTAGTGTGCGAGACACTGGCCCAGGTATTCCAGAGGCTTTCTTACCAAATCTTTTTAAGCCTTTTGCACGGGAAGATGCGTCAACAACGCGGAGCAAGGATGGGCTGGGCCTCGGTCTCCTTGTAGCAAAGGGACTTTCACGGAAGATGGGAGGTGATCTGGTCTGTGTTCGCTCATCGACCACCGGGCCTGATCATGGGTCTGAGTTTCAAATTCGAGTACCCCTGAATCAACGTGATGCCTACAACCGGCCTGCAACCCCGAACGAGCGTATCATGACGCCGCCTATCTCTATCGAGCATACGCGGACTGGTAGTGGTAGCAGTTTTGTTTGGGAGCCCACGCTATCGAGTTCACCTTCTGTTCTACAGAAGCCACAACTTCAGCAACCAACCCCCAGCATCAGTGATGAGAAATTATCCGAGAGTCCACCCCTACCTCGTATACTATCCCGACCTCAACTGAACCCCAGCGCCATCTCTCAAGATACGTACGACAAGAAACTCGGGGAGAAATACCCGCTACGTTTCCTTGTCGCGGAAGACAACCGGATCAACCGACGTGTGTTGGTCAACATGCTCCGCAAGCTTGGCTACCGTGATGTTCTGGAAGCTGCCGATGGTAGAGAGGCAGTACAAATCGTCCAAGAGATTCTCGCTGCATCGACCGCCGCCAGTGACTCGATGGAAATCTCCAGCACCGCGGATGAGCCCATCAAACCCACACCATTAGATACGCCCGAGCTGAAGCCTATCGATATCGTCCTTATGGATCTCTGGATGCCTGAAATGGATGGTTACGAGGCAACATCTCGAATTCTGCAAATGGTGGATGACCACCAAAGCCAGTCCTCTGGTTCGAACAATTCATCACCTGATATTCCCAACAACCCAGACTCCATGGACATGGATACATGCATAAGTCCACTGCGTTTGACACAACCTCCGACCGTCCTTGCCGTGAGCGCCGATGTCACGGACGAGGCCTTGAACCGTGCCTCTAGAGTGGGAATTAAGGGCTACATGACGAAACCATACAAACTCTCCGACCTCGAAAGATTGATCCTCGGATTCTGCGGTAGTCCTGACCCGATGGTGACTACCTAAAAGCTCCAATCTCCCAACGAGCACTCCTATCCATTCACCTCTTCAACTCTTTATCTCTTCATGCTCATCATGATTCTCCTCATCATTTCCCTCCTCCTCATCCCTCCGTCCAAGGGCTCATATACCCATAGAACCTTTTGTGTTCTCATGTTTTCACCCGCGTTGGCCAAGCGCCTCGCTTGCATACCCATACGGCGTTTCTCGCTGTCCTGACGAGAAATATCCATCATGCCATTGTTCATCTGGCATCATTCGTTTGCGGGCCAATCTTCTTTTCTCTTCCATTGCCATATACCAGCATATTGGGCATTTACCTTTTTATACTTCATTTTATTATCTTTACCCTGGACATAATGAATGATGAACCCCACCACTTATCTCCCAGGGATTTGGCCCTACTGCATTTGTTTTCTTTCAGAGCCTATTTTGTTACATTGACTTGCGAGTCTAATGACCGTCCTCAAGTACATTTAATAGAAGCAAAATGAAAGAAAGCTTGTCATTACATCCATTATCAAAATCGACATTGCGCTAACCATGCACTCCACACCCTCTTTTTCTCGTTGGAAATGTAAACAGATTGTTTCCTGCTAGAGTAAACCACCTGATCTTGGCAATTATACCACGACCACACTGAGTACTCATCAGCATCACTGTAACATCCCACAGTGAAAGAAACAGCGAAAATCCAAGTCCCCCATATATAGCGGGCAATTCAAACCATCTCCATAAATCAAATCAGGCGTTTGTTTGTGATAATAGTAAAGAGCAGAAACCCAAATGCAAAGTTGAAGTTTAAGGGAAACGTAGCGGGAAAAAAAGGGCTTTAAAAAAGGGCTTGAAAAGACATTCAAAATGGCATGTTCTTTTTATCAAATCACCTCCACCTAAGTCAACTTCTGCTTAATGAAGAATGACCGCAGATGGGAGAGTTGCCAGGCACAAGCAGCAGAAAGAACAGCTAACTGGATAAGAGTCCAGCGAACAACACGGGAGTTAGTAGTTTCTGACTGATCACGGAACTCGGCCTCACGTTCCTAGAAACAAGTATAAGTCATAGTTCCCATATTTCAAACTGGACAGAAAGAGCGTAATTCTAATTCAACTCACCCGCTGGTACACCTGTTCGCGGCGAATATCATGCAATCGACCATTCAAGTCCTTAACGCGCTGCACGATATCCTTCATCTTATCCTTATCCTCAGTCTCGATCTTGCTGGTCTCACCAATCGCCATATCAAGCGAGATCTTAACAGCGCCCTGTGCGCTGGACAACCAACCACTTGTCTGGACATCCGTGTCGGCCAAGAAACAGATCTTGTGCTGACCGGCGTCAGCAGCGGTGAAAGTAAAGCGGCCGGAGTGGTGCTCGCGCTTTGAGACAACGCGGTGATCATTGTCGAATGTCTCGTCGACAGTGATCATAACGCGGAGGTTGTGGTCGATTGCGTAGACGTTGGTTTGGGAGTTGATAACATAGGTTGAGAAGGTACCTGATTGTAGAAGTGATTAGATAGGGTATGGGTGATATTTGGAAGTATAATTGGAGTTGGAACTGCAACTGCAGATGTGGATATCATTGCATTAGAAGTATATGGGTTGTTCATACCTGCTACCAAGGTGTCCTTCGGCAGGTCCTCGTAGAAGCACTTGGTCTGGCGACCATCAACATAGAAGTACAGTGCGTTAGTGGGGAGGAGGAAAGAAAGAAAGGAGAAGAGAGCCAAAGTGACTGTCAGCCATGACGAAGAAGCTGTGAGAGCCATGGCTTTGGGTGAAGAGGAAACACTTTAGAGATCTGGGGTTATTAAGAGTGACTTTCCTTTCCAAGTTACCTCCCCTAATTGTTCTGGACAATCAACACCCTGGCTTCGCGCCTCCCCCACACACCGCCTACTGGTTTCGTCATTCCTCAGTCCGTCGCGATTTTCATCATCATTCTTCATCGTCATATCAAGAGTTGGCTTGGTTCTTTTTCTCTCTCATTCACTTATCTAATCTCCGGCTGCGTCTTGTTTGATCTCGTGTTTTTTTGCCCAAGATCAGACTAACATGGCTGCCGCTGATGTGCGTGACATGCTGGACTTGCCCGCTGAGGGCCAGCCCAGACCGCATAAGAAGCACAAGGTTGTTGAGAAGCGACCAGGTTAGTTGTCGATATTCCAAGGTTTCAAGATTTGTCGCTGACTGATGGTATTTGCAGAGGGAATTACTCGTGAACTATACGCGCTATTGGGAGAACGGGCGCCGCCTATCGCCATCAATGAGAACAAATACAAGGGGCGCCCGAAATGGATGAACAAGCTGCGTGTGCGACCGTGGTAAGTAATATGAGAGATAGGAGAGAAATTCAAGTCTGAATTCTACTAATCAGTCATTCTGCTTAGGCGCATGACACCTTTCACCAACGGTGCCCGGTCCGACACCTTGGTCCTGAATCACTGGCAACGCAAGCATGAGTCAAATCGACCCCCCGCGCCCGAGGGATCCGAGATGGAAGTGGACGAGAAAAAGGAAAAGACCGAGGGCGAGCAAGAGGAGGCACCCAAGCCTTTGGAACAAGAATACAACTTCGCCAAGTACAACATCAAGGCCCGGCTACCACAGAAATACTCGGACGAAGTGTACAACCGCCATCTGCAAAACAACGAATGGACCCGCGAGGAAACAGACTACTTGATGGAATTGGTGCACGACTATGACCTCCGCTGGGTAGTCATAGCCGATCGCTACGAGTACCAACCACGCGTAGATTCCGAAGCCGACTCCAACGCCCTCGTACCAGCCAAGCACTACCGGACGATGGAACAAATGAAAGCACGTTACTACTACATCGCCGCAACAATGCTGGCAATGGAGCACCCACCATCCGAGATGTCCGAAGCAGAATTCGACCTCCACGAAAAGATGCTCAAGTTCGATCCTGATCGCGAACGAGACCGTAAGGAACTCGCCGCGTTACAACTAAACCGAAACGCCGAAGAAGTCCACGAAGAAGCCATGCTCCTCGAAGAACTTAAACGCATCACAAGCAACGAGCAGAACTTCATCACAGAACGCCGTGAGCTCTACTCCCGCCTCGAGGTCCCCATCAGCGTCGGAAATACCACAGTCTACCAATCCAGCCAAGGTCTCTCCCAACTCCTCCAGACTCTCCTCCAAGCCGATAAGAGCAAGAAACGTCGCTCGATCCTTGGTCCAGAGGGTGCAGTCGCTAGTCCTGCTGGACAAACACCAACACAAGCAAACCCACACAGCCGCGGCGAAACACCCAGTACCAACCCAGCCGCAGCGAACAAGAAGGGAAGTACAGCCAGTGTACCTGCCGTGCGCGAAGCCCAGCCTATTCGAACACTCACCGCAGCCGAAGAGTCCCGCTACGGTGTACAACACCACGACCGCGTTACAGCAGGCGTGCAATTCCGCAGTGATCGTGCGCAGAAACTCACGCAAGCGAAGTCCAATGTGCAGACACTTAAACTTGCTGGAGCGCTTTCTGAATTGGAGATTCCTGTGCGTTTGTTCATGCCTACCGAGCGTGTCTGTAAGGAGTTTGAGCGGTTGATCCAGTCTGTGAATCTGCTTCTGGATGCGCGGAAAGTTGCCGAGAAGGTTGAGGGTGAGATCCGGGTTCTTGAAGCGGCTAAGGCTGAGCGAGAGAAGAAGTCGCAGCCTGATGCTTCGGGTCATCCGGAGGTGAAGACTGAGGCGGAAGATGGGACTAGCGTTTTGCAATCTACTGCTGCAGATGGAGATGCGAATGCTGGTCAAGTTGATGCGGAGACGAAGGAGGATAGGAATCACAAGCGTTCTGCTAGTGTGCTCAGTGGCACGAGTGATAAAAGCTCTAAGCGACAGCGTCGGTAGAGTTCTATTCTATTTTTCTTTCTATTTTTTTTCTTGATTCGGTCTAATTTGAACTCCGAGAGGTGCATTGGGGGAATGGGATTTTCGTGTTATCCTACTGTTTTACTACTGTATACTATCTGGCGTTTGGACTGATACCTCTTGTACGATTAATGACATTTTTCTGTGGAAGACTACTACAAAACGACTCCGTAGCTATAACCCAGAAAAGACAACCGGCTCCTGATAGTTAATAATATTGAGTCCTGTTCTGCTGAAGATGAGTCGGGTATCGTAAGCCTGATATGAGTTCCCGATGTTTTCTGCTTTGGATCATAGGTACACTTCTGTGCTAAACAATCTCACCATAAAATACAATATGTCTCAAAGCATTCGACTGATTCGACTCGCCCAGCGACTCCCTTCAAATGACCCAGGCATCTCAAGACAATCCGCATCATCTGTCGTGTTGCTCTTCGTAGATATAGCCCGCTTGAGACTGGCATTCGTGGAATCACAATCTTGATACGGACCCGATGACGCGAATGAAGATTCCTGTTGACGATTATTTGAAGGCTTTCTGCTTTCTCTGTATCTGGAGAATCTGCGAGCCCATCGTGCCGCTCGAGAGGGATTAAACTGTGGCTCATGGGCTTGGTTCCCATGCTCATTGTGACTATCCAGTTGGAGATAAGACGGTTCTATCGCTTCCAAGCGGTCCACAGAGAACGCACCATCCTGTGGTGTTTGTTCTTGATTAAAAACCGCATTGTGAGTTGTCTTGGGGCTCCTTGACTGTGTATTCATGGATCGACTTAGGCGAGCCCATTGATGAGCGAAGCTGTCACCACCCTGTCCCTGACTGGTATAGTGTGAGCTTTGGGGAATCTGACAAAACTCTGTCTGTACTGCTGCTGTCAACTCTGGAGCGCAAAGATCTCTGGTACTCTCCTCAGTCAGACCAGTGGTTGAACCTCGTTCTTGACTAGAGCGATTGAAAATTGCCCTCAGGTGTGGTGAAACTGAAACGGTGTATCCTCTGTTAGATGTTGCGGATTTAGCGGATCTGGGAACAGTAGAAGCCTCATTGCTGGCTTTTGGAGGAATGTCAGGAGATGGCGGGGTATAGTGCCGAGCTGATGCTCGTCGTACCTCTTCCAGGCGCACATGGCTTTGGGACAAACCCTGAGCCTCATTGCTCTTTGCGAATTCTGCTTTCAATCCCATTATCTGACTCAACTGCGGTGTTACTTGCTCATAATTTTTCGGAGACTCGGCGCCTTTCGCTGGTACAGGACTATAACCGTATCCAACACGACGTCCCCCAGACATCCAACCAATGCTGATTTTGCGAGGGGAGACATGGCCAATGGCGAGGCTCTGAGACTGAGGGGAGATAGGTGAATCAGGATCACAATGTTCTCGGAAGCGGCTTAGGAGGGTGTTTCTGGGAGCTGGAATGTTGGCCACTTCACTCTCAGAAGACATTGTCTCTTGGATTCCAGGGCTTTTGTTGGGGGCTTTTTGAGTGAGATTTCTAACCGACTGGTCGCCAAGGGACACGTTCCCCGAGGACGGACTGACTTGTGAGTAGCAGGAGGATACATCTCGCAGGCCCGTCGGTTTGTGAATTTGCTCATTGACAGAGAGGGCGGAGGCACTTCCCTTTTGACGAAGTTGAATGTTTTCCTGGGAAGAGTTGGTGAATAGACCGGCTCTATTCGGGCGTACCAATTGAGTCAAAGATGGACCACAAGACATAATTTGAGACGACTGTGAGTGGAAGGCCAGCTTGTTCGAAATACCTAGCTCACTGAGGTGTACCGAACGAGGATCGGTAAAGGACCTGGCCGAATGAGAATCTTGCCTTATTTTGGGAACAACAAGATTGGTTGATGGTCCAGGAAGCGATTCTGATGACGCCAAGCCATATCGATCACGACTCATCTTCAAAAATTGGTTCCAATCACTCATGAGATCTCGGCCACTGTTAGTCTCGGATATATTAATGACGGGGAGTGTGCCGAGTGTGAAACATTAAAGTTGGGTTCGTAGTGAGTCGATGATAAAGATGGTAGTGATCTCACATAATTCGCATTCATGACCGGTTCTGTCTGAGGTTGATCATCTGTGAGAGATCCCACAGGCTGAACTTTAGATTCGTCAGTATCAAGTGCTGTATGAAAGGTGGTTGGAGGTCCTCGGAGAGTGCTCGGTGGCGTTGGGATGAAATGCATGCCGAAGGCAGATTCTTGCGACTGAGATACATCCCGGTCATTTTCTAGAGCCCACCGTTCAGCTTCTGAGCGCTCCTGGCTTTGCTCAATTAGATCGCTGAGTTCCATTCGTCTAAAAGGTCGACTACCAGGAGACCTCCCCAAATGGTCGCCACGTCGTGGGGTTGTAATGTATTGCGCATCACTGTCATATCCTCTTTCGCTCATGAGACTGCTTCCATAGTTCTCCAGCGCTGTGAGGTCTGGTTTTGGTCTGGATGGAACCGACTTTGATGTTTTGAGTACAAAAGGAAATATGGATTTCCCATGACCTCGGGACACGTTTGACGTTTTCGACTCTCGAGAAAATCGGCGACGAAGTATGCGCGAGAGGCTTTCCGATGGTTTCTTCTCAGGTTGGACTATGGAATGCACTGAGGTCCCTAATATTTGCCATTAGAAGAATCTCATATAGGGAATGTTCCAATGGTGTTACCTGGCTCCTGGTTCTGTGCCTGGAAACTTCCCGGTTGTGCGCCTTGATTAGAGTTGGACACTTCCGGTGAGGAATGGCGCTCTTTTCGCCAAGGGGGACAGATGAGAAAAGTCATTTTTGGATGTGATATTGACAACTGGTAAGATGAGTAAGATGACCATTGTGGTGGCTGTTGGAGGTGTGAGAGCTTGGAAGGCTACAATATTTGCTTGAAGTTTGCAAAGCGCAAAGTGTTATGAAGAAGGAGCTCTGGTTGCTCTTTCCCAGCATAATCTAGTAATTGTCTCATGATAAACACTATGAGATCTAACATTTGAATATAGTCGACTGTACTCCGTATACTGGTAATAATTATAAACATTGAAGACATACTAGTCCTCCCTTGGACGTCTCTTTATTCTCTTATCTCTGGGTATGTATATAAAGATGTATTTTATTTATCTAACCTCGGGGTTGTTGATTTTTTTTCTTTCAATATGCGGTGTAGCCCTGGAGACCATAGTAGATCACTAGTGCTACGTACTAGCATGTCTCTCCAGATTATGGGATGAACATCTAGTATGACTCAGATATTCCACCAGCAAGTCATCACCAGTTTGCTTCAAATTTGTGACTTGAAATGTTCAAGTTGGAACCTCGTAGAGAAGTGCACTCAACTACGCGAACTTCAGTTCTCTCAGCATGGATCTGCTGACTAGATTAGTACTCAATGCTAGTATACGATGTGTAGTCTTGAACTCTTCAAATGTTTGAATGCCCACCTGGGCACGCAATCTCAGATAGAACCTGGATTGGTCCAATTGGTCAAATTCTCTCAACTTGGATGGAGTCAGCAATTGCCCCTCCCCACGACATGTTGCGTACTCCGTAATCCGAGCCCTGTGATATCTCTGTGATCTGTATACTATCTCGTACCGCCGTGCATGACACTATGACATCTGCAGTCCCTCAACGGAGAATCTCTGCCTTCAATAACTGCAGGATGCCTTTTTTTGTGAGATAGTTGCCACCCGAAAGCTGCACCATTGGTTGGGGGAAGATCCAACGGTGGGTATCCGCTAGTGAAAACCAATCGGTGTCCGAAGGCGTCCGGAGTGCCAACACTTTGGCCCCGAAATATTGGAAAACATTGATTATGTTTTCTTTTTTTCCTTTTATTATGCATGCGAGTTCAATGCACTTCGGAGAACATCGGTATTTTCGGGCTCTGGCGTCCGGGATTGGACATGAAAACATTGGGTAACAAGTAGATCCAGATACCTAGTGGCTCTTCAGGGCTGTGTTTTAGTACTCCATAGTACACGTAGATCTTATTTCCAGGCACCCTTCAGTAGTCCTATAGCTTATCGTCAGAATGGCGTGATCTTCGCCGATCACGGAGAGGGGAAGAGAATGAGTCTGGATGAGTGGAGAATGAATCAAAATATGGGTCAGTAAATGAATCCAGGACAAATTTACGGGGACCAATACCACCCAATACCCATTCCAACGCCTCAATTGCCCCGAATTGATCCAGTTTCTCATCAATTCCCTCCAATTCCACTTGCAGATCTCACCCCCGGACCCCTTGGTTGGATGATTTGCTCCGTTGAACGGAGAAAGTGTTAATACGGGTCAAGAAACCTTTGGAATCCTGCCCCTCCATCCTATTTGAGGTTAGCCCCTCTTCGATCCCCCTCCATATTTTTTGGCTCGATTCCCCCCTTCTTCTTCTTTTTTTTTTTCTCTCAAAGGTTTCGGGTTTTTGCATCTTTGAGACCTAATCATTTTATTTCACACATCCGTCAGAATGGTTCAATCGTATGTCAATTATCCTTCCCAACGACCTCGTTTCATCACTGACTCTCTCTATCTAGATCCGTTCTGGGTTTCCCCCGTATGGGTAAGCTCCGTGACCTGAAGAAGGCCACTGAAGCTTACTGGGGTGGCAAGATCTCCCGCGATGACCTCCTCGCCGAGGGCAAGCGTCTCCGTCTGGAGCACTGGAACATCCAGAAGAACGCTGGTGTTGACTTCATCCCCTCCAACGACTTCGCTTTCTACGATCAGGTCCTCGACCACATCCAGCTGTTCAATGTCATCCCTGAGCGTTACAGCAAGTACAACCTCGACCCCCTTGACACTTACTTCGCCATGGGTCGTGGTCTGCAGAAGGAGGGTGTCGATGTCCCTGCTTTGGAGATGGTCAAGTGGTTCGACTCTAACTACCACTACGTCAAGCCCGCTCTCTCCGATAACCAGGAGTTCAAGCTCTCTGCTGACCCTAAGCCCGTCCGCGAGTTCCTCGAGGCCAAGGCTGCTGGCATTGTCACCCGCCCTGTTCTCCTGGGTCCCGTCTCCTTCCTCGCCCTTGGTAAGGCTGACCGTGGTGCTAGCCTGAACCCTATCACCAAGCTGCAGGACCTTTTGCCCGTCTACGCTGACCTTCTGGCTCAGCTGAAGGCTGCTGGTGCTGAGGATGTTCAGATTGATGAGCCTGTCCTCGTCTTTGACCTTGCCGCTGATGTCAAGGCTGCTTTCAAGCCCGCTTACGAGAAGCTGGGCAACCTGGGTGACAAGGCTCCTCGCCTGACCCTGGCCACCTACTTTGGTGATATCGTCCACAACATTGATGTTCTCTCTTCTCTCCAGAGCCTCCACGCTATCCACGTGGACCTTGTCCGCAACCCTGAGCAGCTCGACACTGTCATTGCTGCCCTTGGCCCCAAGCAGACCCTGTCCGCTGGTGTCGTTGACGGCCGTAACATCTGGAAGGCTGACTTCAAGGCCGCTATTGAGAAGGTTGAGGCCGCTATCCAGAAGCTTGGCAAGGACCGTGTCATTGTTGCCACCTCCAGCTCTCTCCTCCACACCCCTCACACTCTCGCCTCCGAGAAGAACCTCGATGCTGAGATCCGTGACTGGTTCAGCTTCGCTGTTGAGAAGGTCTCTGAGGTTGTTGTCATTGCCAAGGCTGTTACCGAGGGCCCTGCCTCTGTCTCTGCTGAGCTTGAGGCCAATGCTAAGTCTATGCACTCTCGTGCGACCTCCACCCGCACCAACGACCCTGCTGTCAAGGCTCGTCAGGCTGCCGTCACTCCTGAACAGCACATCCGTCAATCTCCTTTCCCTGTCCGCATTGCCCAGCAGACCGAGCACATCAAGCTTCCCAAGTTCCCTACCACTACTATTGGAAGTTTCCCCCAGACCTCTCAGATCCGTGTGACCCGTAACAAGTTCACCAAGGGTGAAATCACCGCCGCTGAGTACGAGACTTTCATCGAGGAGCAGATCCGTGAGGTTGTCAAGATCCAGGAGGAGCTTGACCTGGACGTGCTAGTTCACGGCGAGAGTGAACGAAATGTGAGTCATATGGAGAAAATTCACTTATGAACCCTGTATCAAAATGCCAACCAGATTTGCTAACCATTTTATAGGACATGGTCCAGTACTTCGGTGAACGTCTCACCGGTTACGCATTCACCACTCACGCGTGGGTTCAAAGCTACGGTAGGCAAAAAAACTCTTCTTTGTCGCATTCCCGGCGCACACTATCTTCCCATACGAACTGTATACTAATATTTTTGTTTCTCTAGGATCTCGCTGTGTCCGACCTCCTATCATTGTTGGTGACATCAGCCGTCCTGCTCCTATGACCGTCAAGGAGTCCAAGTTCGCTGTCTCCATCACCAACAAGCCCATGAAGGGTATGCTGACTGGACCCATCACCTGCTTGCGCTGGTCTTTCCCACGTAACGATGTGCACCAGTCTGTCCAGGCTCAGCAGCTTGCTCTTGCTCTCCGTGATGAGGTCGTTGACCTTGAGGAGGCTGGTGTCAAGGTTATCCAGGTCGATGAGCCTGCTCTGCGTGAGGGTCTGCCCCTCCGTTCTGGTGCCGAGCGCGAGAAGTACATCAAGTGGGCTGTTGATGCTTTCAAGCTCTCCACCGCTGGTGTTACCGACAGCACTCAGATCCACAGTCACTTCTGTTACTCTGAGTTCCAGGACTTCTTCCACGCCATTGCTGCCCTGGATGCCGATGTTCTGTCCATCGAGAACAGCAAGTCTGATGCTAAGCTGCTGAAGGTCTTCGTTGACGAGAAGTACCCCCGTCACATCGGTCCTGGTGTTTACGACATCCACTCTCCTCGTATTCCTAGCGAGCAGGAGATCAAGGATCGTGCTGCTGAGATGCTGGTCTACCTCAGCCCTGAGCAGCTCTGGATCAACCCTGACTGTGGTCTCAAGACCCGTGCTTGGCCCGAGACCAAGGCCGCCCTGTCCAACATGGTTGCGGCCGCCAAGTACTTCCGTGAGAAGTACTAACTTGGATCTAAGAACATTGATCCATCTTTCTTGTTTTAACCTTCCTATAATGTGTTAATTGAGGAGGCGGCAATCAACCTGCCGCCTCTGGCACGGGGAGTTTTGTTTTTTTATGCATGAGTTACGACGATGATACCAAAAGTTCAACATACGGGTTTCAAAGGGGTCTGTGGTTTAGAAGGCACCAAAAAGCGGGTTTACGGAGTTTCAACATGACTAACGATTTCAACATGGGTGCCACCAATTCAGGTGCCAATTATTTCAACAATTGCTTTATTCTCCCGTCCTTGCGAAGCAGTTGCTGTCGCTTGGACCTGGAGAATGAGGAACCTTTTTTTTCTAGTGTAGCATTAGCTGTGAATAATACTGCCTCTTCTACACTGCAAATTATCTTCTTGTAATCTTGATTTTATTTGATAAACTTGAAACAAAATGCAACATTTCAATGTTGTACCTAGATAAGAACACTGATTTGCAAAGCTTGGAACTTGAAATCCCTAGCCCTAAGTGGAAGGGCTACCAAGCACATACATATGTAGTACCTCCTTCTAGGGCTAAATCACACAGACTCGGATTTAGGCTTTCAACTTTGAAGTTATGAATAATTACGGACCTCAGAGTACCATTTAGATCTTCCTTCATAGGGTCATTCAATGTTCATTTTAATGCAAGCCTCCCGAGGTCCATATGGTCAGATTAAATTCTCTTATACCTACTCTACCGAAGTCCGCTTACAGATTGTATCGTTCCTGGCGTTCTATTTTCCCATAGATGACATCTGATTACCACCTATTAGCCTGGAGGTACTTAGTACATTCTACTAGTAATCCCCAATACTCCGTAGGCATGCGAGCTGTGGACCAAGAGTCCATAACTTACCGTAGACCTTCCAAGGGAGTCTATAGCTCACTCGCCCCTCTTGGCAGTGTCAAGGGGGAAAATTTGCCCGCAGGGAGAGAAGAGAAGAAGTGGAAGGTGAGAGGTGATATCGAAAACTACTGGATCACTGATCCCAATCTAACAGGCCTGTGCAAGGGTTCAAGGTTACTGTGATGAAGTAACTACAAACTACTCCGAGTCCAGGGCTGTTGCTTAGAAAGAACTGTAAAGATGCATTTTCAAGTTAGAGTGGGACTTCTGAGTCCTGACAATCTGTTGCTTTAGCTGGTCCCTTGGGTCCCTGGAGGCTGAAATTAATGAGATAAACTTGGAAGGGAAGTTAACGACTTCTCCCACCACCTCCCAAAGTCGTCATGTCGCGACTTAACCCGAATTCTTCCTTGGTGTGGTTTTTGAGCTGGTCGTGGGATGCTTCCTCTTAAGGTTGGTGTCATCCTTTTCGGCCTGCACATCCGTTTCTGACTCTGACTCAGAGACAGACTCAGACTCAGATTCAGAGTCAGAGTCTGTCTCTGTCTCTCTTCCTTTGTGGCCTTCTCAGCAGCCAACCTTTTCAACTCCTTTTGACGCTGGTTGTCACGCTTGCAGGCTTCGTTATGCTTGCGTCTAGCCTCCTCCTTTTTATCCTCAGATCTTCCAGCCAATTGCGCTCTGCGTTTGGCATTAATCACGCCTTTCCCTTCTTTCTCCTCCTTTCTATCTCGACGTTGCTTGTCCTTGCGTGCATCCTCCGCCTTTTCCTCCTTAGATCTTTTAGCCCGTTTCGCTCTGCGTTTGACATTAATCGCATCTAGCCCATCTCTAGCCTCCCTTATCTGTCGACGTTCCCGGTCCTTGCGTGCCTCATCCTCCTTTTCTTCATCTGTTCTTGCAGCCCATGCCACGCGGCTTTGTTCATTACGCTTATCTTTCTCTTCCCTAGACCTCGTTGCAGAGATTCCGGCTTGTGAAGGCCGCGGGTTCTTCTTGAGGGTACTCCTTAGCTTTTTCAGATTTTTCTTGCTTCTGCTCAGGTGTCATCAAGGCTTTCCGGCCCTCCAACTCAATTTTCCTCATTCGCCTATGGTATGTAAGTATTGTATGTTAAACCAACTCGACCAAAAAACTCAATGGGGACAACTTGAAGGTTATACTTGCTCTGCTATTTCTTCACTTATCTCGTCAGGCTCTGAGTCCGAGAGATCTTCGAATGGTCTCTCAACCCTCTCGGTCTCTTCCTTCTCTTCACGCTTCAGAGATGTGCGCAGCTTTGGTTGATGACTCAAGAAAGCATCTGACAGCTCCAAGTGAGCGGGCTGCCGGAAAACTTCCTCGGAAAGAAGCCCTTCCCATTGGATATTGTCTGGTTCAAAGACGTATGCATCCACTCTGTCCTTCCTGTGGCATTGGTAAGCGCAGAAAAGTGAACCGAAGATTGCCTCTGCAATGAGGCACATAATCCTGCTTTCCAAGATCAATTTTCCAGGCCTGCCCTTGAGCAGAAAAAGGGCCTTCCAGGTTATTTCGGGGCTAAGAAGCAGCATATCTCGGTGCCATGACGAGAAGCCTTTTGTTACTTTACTGATTAGGAAAGTTAGTACTTCTGGACGGCTTGAGCTGTCACTCAGTATACTTACTGGCTGTCTCGTCTGCCATTCAATCCAAAGTTCCCAGTGCCAGCCCCGGTGTAGACATGCTCATTCTGCTTATCTGATGCCTACCAAGGTATTACACCCGGGGCAAAACTTAGTAGCTTCATGTAAGACCCCAGAGACCACGTATCTACCCATTCTAGGGCTTTGATGTCGTCAATTGTCGGAGGCTCTTCTTGGTTGAGGGCTTCCTTGACGGGTTTGAGGGTACCAAAACACATAAAATGCATTATGAAATCGGTTGATACTTCCCAAAGAATGTACTTCCATATCGGGGGATTCCTCGGTTTTGCCTTCAGCCTTTCGATTGTAAGCCTCGCTCTCTCATAGAAAAGAGAGTAGGCTTCTTTATCGCTCAAGTATTGAGCTGGAGGGTCGAATTTCGGGACTCGAGCTCGTTGCTCCAGAGTGATCTTCCAGAAATACGGATTCTTGGGGGTAGACATGACGCTAATAGAAGAAGAAATGTGTCATTAAGAGAAATATGGTTGAAACAATCAAAGGAGGAAGTGAGCTCAACAAGAGAAGCAAGTGAGCTCAATAAGAGGAGGAACTTGAAGTGAAATAAACTCTTAATGGTGATGCTAAGAACACATGGGTATGTTTATGTGATTGAGGCCCTTAGGTTGAAATCTACAGCAACTAGAATTTGAATAAACAATATCTGAATTTATTAAGTTAATTGACTCGTTTATGCTACATGTATAGATGTCATATATAAGTCTGTTTATTCTATAGTAGAAGGGTGCTCTAGCGTTAAGGAAGGAAGCAAATCAGAGTTGAAGAACCATTTTATGAGAAAAAACTTGAAGAGATACCTCGGGTTTCAGAAGATTTCAGCACTCGAGATAGGTGTGGTTGATATATTTCCCTTTAAAGACGTTTTGAATTTCAGTGGAGGCACCTGGGCAGACTTTTGAACATGTATATAGTAGTACGAGAGTTGAACATCAGGGGTCAGACGGATATCTTAAACCTGACCCACGCGTCGCTACAGGTGAGACTCATAATGAGGTCTAGGAGATGGGTTTATGAATTGAAGTCCAGAATTTATAGAGAGTATGTAGTAAGCTGTATTACTAGCAGTAAAGATGTACATCACGTGCAATTGCAATCACTGTTTCCAGTGCCAAAATAAGGCGATCGGCAGCCATAGATACAACAGGTATAGTAGTGATTCGGAAGGGTGAAAGTTAGATAATCCTCCACTCCGAGTTTCTATCCCTCTGGTCATTTTCCGGGCAGCAGAGGCGTATTTGTCGTGACCATATGTCCCGTTCAAGGTGACATGTGCTGAGATTGTACCATCTTCCAATCGAATCCAAGTTTCAACATCCTCATGTAGCGTTTCTTCATTGAGCATAATTTGTCTTCCACCCCGCTTAGCATTGCCATATCCACCGTATCCGGTATGTCGACCGTAGCACATGTTGATGCCATTTCCGGATAGATTCTGAGCAACAGTTTCTCCATCCCATTTGAAGCACCTGTCATGCACATCAATTAGCATAGGAAAGTCATACTGATGGTGCAGTCATACCAATCGTTTTCATGATCGTGACCGCTGAATGTTGCCATAAGTCCTGATGTGTTCAATAGAGCTTTCATAAAATTCTTATCTTGACCGGTATAGTCTGTATCACCAGCTCCCTGCTGAACAACTGTTTCCCCGTTGATTCCAGGAGAAGTATGAGAATTGACTCCGTTGTCTTGATATACACGCATTGCATCTGCGGGGATGTGGTAGAAGGCTAATGAGGGAATCGTTGTCCCATACTTGTCGCTGAGATTGGAATTTGTCTCGATGAACCAATCAACTACCTGTACCAAGTCAGTCATGTGGTTAATCGAGAGCTCACACTAGGAGAAATTTCATACAGATTGATCAACCCAGTCGGGCCGATTGACTGAATTTCGTTTCGATACTCGGTTAGTGGGCTCACGTCCACCTTTTGAATCAAAGAACCACAGAAGAAGGGCTGGCGTGTCGCTTTCAGATCCATTGTGAGAAAAGACTGGCAGATAATAGTTCGTAATACCCGCATCTGAATGGTCCACCAAGCTTTGTGTGAGGCTGTTCTTGTAGCGTTTTTCTTGATCATAGATATCCTGCCGCGGATCAAGATTGGGATTGCTGTCATGGTTTCCGTAGGTTGAAGCCCAGACGTATCCCTCGTCCACAAGGGGAGAGACAACTTGGTCGAGGTAGTTGTTTGATTTGGAAATTTTTACCGCTTCGCCAGAAATCAAGTCGCCGTTGATGACAACGAGCTGTGGATTCTCCTTGAAGAGGACATATTTCATCACACCATTTGTTTTATTATCTTTGCTAGCATCTATATACCTGGTCAGAAATGGAATTTCCAGATTGCTTTGAATGTATCCATAGTCAAATCATGAGCTCACCTTCAGCGAAATGCAAGTCCTCGAAGACACTTATTTGGAACGTGCCATCCTTTGTAAAACGCAAAGTTCGATCTGGAGTTGGCACTTCTTTGCCGTGTCTCGCTATTATCGACCGACCTAAAATCTGTGCTAGCATATTCGGAATGTTGAACATCCACAGCCCTAGACAAATGCAGAGATATGCCAGGCTTTTTAATTCCCTGCGGTAACGTTGGCTCGTAGTGCTTCGGATCGCACGTGGAGCGATATCTCGATTGTATTTGTGATCAACATCATGGACGTCATGGAGTAAGGTGTCCGACTCCAGCGGTCTAGCATCGGAAAGGGTAAAATTGCCGGAAGCAGCGATGCCTAGAGCAAGGTGAGACTGCCAAGTAGCAGGTGGATCTTTGCATGTATTCTGATTCATTTCCTCCAGTTTCCCCCGATCTAAAGGATGTGGAGAGTGATCCTTGTGAAAAAAGGGTGGAACTTAAGGTGAGAAGCTGATTCAAGTCACGCTTGGCACGCGGATCCCCCGCTTTCACCTGAAGTAAATTGGTGTAGTAAGATGGAATAGGAGCATGAAGTGGGACCCGTAGAGGCTGTAATTCCCGTTCTTACTCGTGGATCTCTTGGACCCTTGATCTACTTCTTGATATCTTCTTGGAAACAATTCATGTTCATCCACAACTTGAAACACATAGTGCTACTGCATAATCCCCCTTTCATCCAGTACATACATGATATGTATGCATGTCTACAGTCCAAAGATACTCGATGCAAGGGATAACATGCCCGCGTTTAACTCCGAGTAGCTTGTGACATCAGACACCGCTTGAACTAGAAGCTAATGCTCCCTGTACGGATTAATTCATGGGTTGTCTATTGGAGTAATGGAACTTACTTACAGAGTAATTTGTCCAAAGAGACTCGATGGACCCCTGAACAATAAACTTGTACGTGTTTATTGAACCTTGGAAGAATGTTAAGAGGTACATTCCGCATTTACAATAGCCAAGCTGCAACTTGATTTTCTTCTGCTATAAGAACTTATATACTCCGATTTCTCTTTGAATCCCAAAATCTCTACTATTCTCAGTGATTCACCCAGCATTTTAGCCTTGGGATGGAAGTACGATGATAGTTTGTATTCAAGTTTCTTCTGAGCACCTACACATCCCGGCCGATTTCATATTAGGCTAAGAGCTGCATTCAGCATCACCTAGAAAGCCTTATTGAGGGATATGCTTTTGGTCCAGTAGAAAAAGAAATAGGTTAAGACTTAGTCAATTGCATACTAGTAAGCTATAGACTTAGGACAGAATAGCCCATTCTAGCCCGAGCTTGGGGAGAGTGGGGTACACCCGGGCAAGCTTATCAACCCCGGATACATTACCGAGTTGACTGCTACTTATCGGCTTCAAGTTCGACATCAACACCTCTAGTGAGTTCGTCATGGCTTCTTTTCAAAGCTTGCGAACCCGTTATACCTCACTGCTCAAGAAGTTCACGGCTTCCACGAAGGACTTCGAGGTTTTTACCACCATCCCTACAGATGGTTCCCCGCAGCCAAGAATCCTCTATGTGCTAGATTCGTCTTTCAACCCACCAACACGAGCACATCTTCGCATTGCTAGCTCTGCCCTCCTCGAACGCCTTGAGCCAGATTCCCGACTACTCCTTCTCCTTGCCACACAAAATGCCGATAAACCATCAAAGCCCGCGTTATTCGAAGATCGTCTTACAATGATGGAGCTCTTTGCGCACGATCTGCGATCACACCTAGCTACGAGTACATCATCTAAGGAGCATACGCCATCAATGGACCGCATCCCAGGCATTGATATTGGCGTAACCAAGAAACCATATTTCATCGACAAGGCGGCCGCAATTGAGGCCTCGGGAATTTACCCAACCCCACTTGAACAGGTTCACCTAACGGGGTACGATACCTTGATCCGCATCTTGAATACGAAATATTATCCCCCAGATCATACGCTAGATTCTCTGGCACCGCTGTTCTCACAACACAGACTGCGCGTGACACTGAGACCCAGTGATGAATGGGGAAGCAGGGAGGAGCAGGAGTCTTTCATACAGGCCCTTGCTCGAGGGGACCGTGAGCATGAGGGTGGACGAAAGGAATGGGCGGATAAGATCCAGCTTGTCGAGGGCAGGAAACCCGGTCAAGAACCGGTGAGTTCTACCAGGGCGCGCGAGGCAATACAATCTGCTAGCCCAGATTTGGAATGGCTCGTGCCTGACAATGTACGCCAATTCTTACTAGCAGAGAAGCCATATTGTACAGAAAGCTCTCTTTGAGCTCTGAAGCTGCAAGCAGGCTTGAGAAATCGATCAATTGTATATAAGATTCTCTCAAAACCTACGGGTTGACCTTTGATCCAGAATTATCGAGACCACTTTTATTCCATGGGTCTATGGATGGATATAGTACATTTTGTCGGATGAAAACACCATGAGCTGGAAAGCCCATTCAAATCGCCAATACCAGATTTGTCGAATGTCTCACGAAATCTGGCTCATGCAAGCCCCATACGCCACGTAAAAGACATATCGTACACCTCGTCCCACTGTATTGCCGAGCTACCTCTTAAGGCTGCTCCTTCTTTTCTTCGGCCTCTTGCTTTCCAAGGGTGTATGCAAGTCCACCGCCAATCATATTGACCAAGCAAAGTGCCATTGTTCCACCACGCACGATTCCGCGAGCTCCGAACTTCTTCATTAATGGCTGCCGCCGGCGGCTTGCCAAGAGTAGATATAAGCCTGACCAGGCGGCGGTGATACCTGCAGTCTCGGTCTTGAAGCCTTGAAGGTTCACATAGCTCGTCAGGATGAGGATAGGAGGGAAGAGCATAGGGAAGAACTGGAATGGGCGTGCATGTTGCGCGGTGATGAGGGAAGCTAGCAGAGTTGGCGGGAAGGAGTTTTCTGAGAGAGAAATGAGTTAGTCGGATTGAATACTTTCGTTCACTATTGATCCTGTGAGGACCAGTAGTTTCCAAAGTTGAATATGCTTATAATTGAGCACTTACCACCCCAAGCTCTGAAGCGCTGCACGATTGTCTGCTTGGTTTCCTCCACAGTGGAATCTTTCGCCATGGTGAATATGGAAGGTCGAATAAGACCAACTCGATGCGATATTAATTTTTGTCTTATTGCGAACAAGAAATTCCAATTGAGGTGTTGTGGTAAAGAGGAAATCAAGATGATAATGACCTTGATTGCTGTGGGGAGATTTGGCGCGGTCTTTGTTCTTCGGCCCAGATAAGCGCACCATGTTGGTGTTCCCACTTGGCAAAGACACCTACGACACTTTTTCCGCTTTGCCCCCGAGTCTCCCACCTGCATCGCCCACATTTCGAATCATCGCTATTTGGGCATATTCACTACGGATTTTAGTGTTCTACAGGCCTGACACTTTTGTCAGCCTCTGGGGAATCGGGCACCCCTTTCTCCACGTTCTACATTCTACGCCACCGTCACCCGCACCTGTCCCACCAGCGTTTGACACACGAGCCACCGAGACATACCCTCTTCACTAGTCACAATGCCGGCTACCGCGTCTGGATCAGATGCCAATGGAGGCGGCGCAAGATCACGGGAACATAAACAGGGAAACCAAGACCGCAAATACACACCCGAGCAAAAGGCTGCGGTCATTCGCATTCGAAAATGTACAGCAACCTCGTTCTACGAGATTCTCTCGGTAGAGCGCACAGCGACCGATAGCGAGATTAAGAAGGCATACCGTAAACAAAGTTTGTTGACACATCCGGATAAGAACGGTTATGATGGCGCAGATGAGGCGTTCAAAAGTGAGTATAAGACACCGCGGAGACTTTTTCTTCTCTATTGTTTTGGGCCTTGACTTACATATAAATTACTACTAGTGGTCTCGCGAGCGTTCCAAATTCTTTCCGATTCTGATAAGAAGTCTCGTTATGACAAGTTTGGAGGAGATCCAGATAGCCGATTCAATCCCGGTCCAAGTGCATCGTCTGGAGGAGGTGCCTCACCATTTGGCGGCGGAGGTGGATTCGGTGGTGGTGGATTCCCTCGTGGAGGTGGTGGATTCGAGGAGGAGATATCTCCAGAAGAATTGTTCAATCGATTCTTCGGTGGTGGTGGATTCGGTGGTATGGGTGGCAGCCCATTTGGCATGGGTATGTTTATTCTGTTATCCGAGTACACAGCGCGCGACTACACAGTTCAAAACTAACACCAGTATTCCCAGGTGGTCCCCAATTCGTCTTCAATATGGGCGGCGGTCCAGGCTTCCGAGTACACCAGTTCGGAGGAGGCCAACCACGCAGAAGACCTCGCGCGACCAACTCAACCCCACAGCCTCCCCCCGGATGTATGGTCTATTCTACGCCAAATTCTGCCTCTCCTAATTCTGTTCCTCCTCCCCCTCCTCTCCTCAATCTTCTCCGGTTCTCCTGCCCCGGCTGGACCGACCTTTCGTTTTGATACACCCGAGGCTCCTCATACCTTGGGACGCACTACTCCCTCGCTCAACATCAACTACTTTGTGAATCCTTTGGATGTGGAGGAATTAAGTCCTCGCAAACTTCGGCAATTAGACAAGCGAGTGGAGGTGGCATATGTATCAAATCTCCAGTATGAGTGCGAGAATGAAGTGCAGTTCCGAGACCGCAAAATTCAAGAAGCACAGGGTTGGTTCTTCCCTAATGTGGAGAAGATGAAGGAGGCTCGCGCTATGGAGTTGAAGAGTTGTCGCAAGTGGGAGACCTTGAGGAGGAAGTATAATTAGGTTGGCAATCCAGATTGATGGATTCTACATCCTTTAGGCTTCTTCTTGATTAGAAACTGCTAATAGCACTATGTGTGATGGCTGGCGTCTTATGGGCTTTATTTCTGCTGACCTCTTCTTTTCCTCTTTTTTTGGTCTCATCTTTGTACATTGGAAATGCATCCAGTCCAGTTGTCTTCAGCTGTCGTTGGACTTGGTTTTAATGCGTCTTAAGTAAATAAGCGTATTTTTCTAAACAATCGAATCAATATTTTATACTTCATTAATGGTGAAGATGTGCCTCAAGTACTGGTATTAACACTGCTGGTTGGCAGGTGCAGTGTTTTAGTGCTTAGTAAAGGCACATCAACAACCCCAATAGCGAAGAACATGCGAGCGAATCTCGGCGATCATGACAGAACCTCCAGCCTCACTCGGCATACCTTCCCCCTCATCTTGTAATGTGAATAATTGATCCAAAGTCTTTCCAGGATCTTATCTTTTGTCCCATTTTCACGGCCATTACTACATCATCAAATCGCCTGCCTGGAAGGATTCTTCACCACACACTTCTTCACCACAAACTCCAACAACTCCAGTTGGCGGCCGTTTCCATCTTTCACCAATCCTAACCCCCGGGGTCTACGATCAACGCTTCTGATTTCGCTCCGCAGGGCGAATTCAGCGATCTTGAGTCCAAGCCAAAAAGATGTCGGACACGCTATCGGACGCGGAGAAGGTTTGTTCAGCCATCCGCCCAGCGACAGAGCCCCCAGGTTACTCCGCAGCTGCTAATGGGAAACTTCGTATACGACTCAGATCCGCAATAAGCGCCTGGCAAAGCTTTCAAACCCAACCCCTACATCTCCATCTGCAGACGGCTCCTCTGGATCGCCTTCAAATTCTGCAAACCCCTCCCCCACAGGGTCGCCCGCGTCGCCCATTGCACCGCAGTCTTTTAGTCAACCTCAAAGTGCCTCATCGTCTGCGCCACGAACCCCTCAGTACCCCGAGGGCAAAAGAATTAAGATAACTCCTGCCAGTGTCCCAGAGCGACCACGTTCAGCCGCTCCATCGACTCCAGGAACCCCAGGAACCCCACCACCCGCAAAACCTGAAACAATCGAAACTTTCGAAGACAGGACTTTGAGTGCAGTGTTCAAACTTACATTGAAGGAGGAAGGACAACGAGATCTCCATGGCCAAAGAATCTATCTCCCCGGTCTGCGGAGTGAACTTGAGAGCGAGAGCAAAGAACTGCGCATCAGCACGGCAGTCCTAGACCAAGCGCTCCTCGAGGCCGCCTCCAACGCCGGACAAGGAAGCCCATTGGACTACTTGTTGCCATGCTGGAAACGCATCGCGAAATTACACAAGGGATTCCGACGGGCACGAGATGATGATCCTAAATTCCAGGTCCTCTGCGAAGCACGACGACTTTGCATGAGTTATTGCATTTTCGGCATTACCATGCCCGAGATGTTCGGGTATGTTTTCACTGAAATGCGCTACATCTGAATATGAGGATGGACTGGTGAAACTGACTAAATGCTATAGGCTTGAATCCCCACAGAGTTCCACATTGGCTCCTTACCTCCTACTAGACCCTGAGGATGAGAAGGGCGTGGATTTCGAATTCATCAGCGAAGCAGTTAAGCGATTTGAGGATGACGACGGTGTGAAGCCAGCTTTCATAGCAGCCGTTGAAGAACTCAGCGCGGGTCTTTCGACCAAGGATATTAATGACGATTATAAGCCCTATAGCACTGTTCGTTGAAATTTCATCCTGCACGAACTATTTTAAGATTACCATCCATACTAACAACCGCGACAGGCACTGCGAAACCTTGTTCGCCATGCTAGCATTGCGGCTGCTATCACAGAGTCCTCTATCTTCAATGACTCGAAGGACCCTGCGCAATTCGAGAAGCTCACTCTTTTAGGGCCATGGTTCCGGCTATCTCCTTTGCAAGCCAATGTCACAATGTCATATTTCTCAAGTCCGAAGACCAGAGACCAAGCATATATTTTGAATGCCCAACGGTCACTTCGAATGACGCAGCAGTTGGTCAGCTCCGACCTTCTCGATGTTATCAACCACATGATTCGTGCCTCGAAAGAAGCTCGGGATCGTGTTCTTGACTGGTTCGCTACTGCTTTGAATATTAACCATAAACGGCGTGCAATGCAGGTTGATCCCGAGCATGTCGCGTCAGATGGGTTCATGTTCAACTTGACAACATGTCTTGATCAGCTCTGCGAGCCGTTCATGGATGCGTCTTTCACCAAGATTGACCGTATTGATGCAGACTATCTACACCGTGATTCCCGGGTAGACATGCGGGATGAAACGAAGATCAATGCTGATCAGCATGCGTCGGAAGCGTTTTATTCCAAGAAAGCCGAGGGTACTTCTAACTTCATCACAGAGATCTTCTTTTTGACTGTTGCCGCACACCACTATGGAAGCGAATCCTTGACATCCAAGCTGGAGCAGCTTGAGAAAGATCTGCGCCATATGGAATCTACTATTACAAAATTCGAGCTTGAACGACACCGGTGGGCTGGAAACCCTATGCAACTGCGAGTGTTCGAGCAAGCTTTGAAGAAGTATAAGGACAAGCTTGATCTAGGATTGGCTTTAAAGTACAGTCTCCAAGGTGTGCTGTTCGATGACCAGTGGCAAGCCCGCTCGATGCTCTTCATGCGCTACGTGACTGTTTGGCTATTGAGACTCGTCTCTGGGAAGAACTTCCCCAAGGAAAAGATCACACTGCCTCTTCCCGAGCAGCAACCTGAGGTATTCTCGTGTCTACCTGAGTACTTCCTCGATGATATCGTCAGTAATTTCAAGTTCATCATGTGGTGTATGCCCCAAATTATCACTGCTACTCAGGGTGACGAGCTGGTCATGCTGTGCATCGCATTCCTGGAGAGCTCCGGCTACATTAAGAACCCGTATCTCAAGGCCGGACTTGTTTCGATCTTGTTCCGAGGTACATGGGATCGCCCTGGTGGCGCTCGTGGTGTGCTGGTCGATCTGCTGAACTCTATGTCGTTTGCCAATGAGTACCTTCTGCATGCTGTAATGAAGTTCTACATTGAGGCAGAGCACACCGGCACACACACTCAGTTCTTTGACAAGTTCAATATTCGTTATGAGATCTTCCAGATCATCAAGTGTATCTGGCCCAATACACTGTACCGTGAGAAGTTGTCCATCCAGGCCAGCCAGAACTTGGACTTCTTCGTCCAGTTCGTGAACCTGCTGCTTAACGATGTCACTTACGTGCTGGATGAGTCTTTTGGTGCTTTTAAGACCATCAATACTACCCAGCAAGAGTTGGCTCGAGATGGAAACTCCATGGACGCTGCTACACGGCAGCAAAAAGAAGAGCACCTTGCGTCCGCCCAGCGCAGTGCCAAGTCATACATGCAACTGACCAACGAGACTGTTGCTATGTTGAAGCTCTTCACAGAAGCCTTGGCCGATTCATTTACCATGCCAGAGATTGTTCAGCGTCTGGCGGATATGTTGGACTACAACCTCGATGCCATGGTGGGACCCAAGAGCTTAGATCTACGTGTTCAGAACCTGCAAGAATATGGTTTCAATCCTCGTGCTCTCTTAAGTGAGATCACTGACGTTTACCTTAACCTCATGTCTAAGCAGAACTTCATCACCGCAGTTGCTCGGGATGGCCGATCTTACAAGCCTGAGAACTTTAAAAATGCTGCGGATATTCTTCGCAAATGGTCATTGAAGTCCCCTGAAGAGATGCGTCGCTGGAACCAGCTTCAGATAAAGGTCAAGGAAGCCAAGGCAGAAGACGATCAAATAGAAGAGGACCTGGGCGAGATCCCTGATGAATTCTTAGGTATGTTTATCTTTAAGCCCCTGTGCTTAGGATACAGCGCTAATATTTGGTCTTTAGATCCTCTGATGTACACTCTGATGGAAGACCCGGTTATTCTTCCCAACTCCCGCATGTCAATCGACCGTGCGACTATTCGCTCTCACTTGCTGAGTGATCCTCATGATCCATTCAATCGTGTTCCCCTTACAATGGAAGATGTGATACCCGGTAAGTCTCGTTTACTCGTCATCATTGAGACAAAAGGCTAATTCATATAGACACCGAGCTTAAGGCTAAGATTGAAGCGTTCAAGGCTGAACGAACGGGGGCACGTAAGGTGGAAAATATGGATACATCAGCGGGTTAAATTCTTATGATTTGATAGAACCTTGAAAGGTTGCATAGATCTGTAGCTTATGACCGCTTTCCTATCCTGGAAAGTTACATCATCTTTCAGCCTGAAGTTCCCTTTCTATTACTTTTCAGTAGCTCTCGTAAGGCCCCTTTCTTTTCCACCTTTCCACCTTTCTTTCTTATTAAATCTGAAAAATAGTTCTCCCTTTTGCTTTTATCCATGGGCGCGAACCTCTCTACAAGTTGGCGCGCTTTGCCGCCCATGGGAGATTTTTTCCCTCCAACCCCGGAAGCCTACATTGGGGTGCTTACTACTTTCCAGTACTTCCCCATAGTAAGTAAACAATCGCCCAGTCTCCTCACATGGTCAACGCTGATATGAGTTCCAGTTTTCCGTGCTGCAATGGATTCTCTCATGGCATCCAGCTGGCAAAACTTCCATAAAAAGCTCCATTTTCAACCTACCAGGCCGGGTAGCGTGGTGTATTATGGAAATCACCGGGCCCGTCAACCTGATCTACAACCTCTCTCAGGCCTCACCCAGCTTCTTTGAGCTACCAGCTCAAAACCGACTTGCCGCTTCACTTTACTGCATCCACTATCTGAACCGCGCAGTGATCTCACCCTTTTTCTCAGCCCCAAGCATGTCTCCAATCCACGTTTTCATCATGTGCAGCGCCATGGGATTCAACTGGCTTAACTCCGCCTGCATATCTGGTTGGCTGCGCGGGTACTCAACCCCTATCCTCGGATTCCATACCCAAGGAGCTCCAGCGTTAGATCCTTCGAATTTCAGCTTTCCACTCGTGCAGATATTGGGGTTCATCGGCACGATCTGTTTCGGCCTTGGAATGGCAGGTAACATCTACGCCGAGACCGCACTTTTCCGATTGCGAAGAGAGTCAGCAGAACAACGCACATCCAAGAAGTCAGATTCCAAGACAACTGTGACCATTACGGATTCCCACTCGGATACAGGCAACAAGTTCCACAAGGTTTACGTCATTCCTCCCGTTGAGGGCGTCTTTCGTACAATATTGTACCCGCATTATGTCTTCGAGTGGCTTGAATGGGTTGGATTTGCTCTTGTCGGTACGACTGTCTTTCCTATCCTTGGGAATATGCAGTCTACACCGCCCCTTCGTCCTGCGCCGTGGATTTTCCCTGCGGTTTGGACGGCTGATCTTCTAGGTATTCCGCTCCCAGTCCCAGCTGTGCTCTTCGTGATCAATGCTGTTGCGAATATGCTACCTCATGCGCGCTGGGGACGCAAGTGGTATGTGGAGAAGTTTGGTGAGAAGGGTGTTGCTGGACGGGGAGCTGTTGTTCCTGGATGCGCTTGGATGTGAGACATCTGATCTACCACTGGCAGTATTTTGCCTTCATTTTCTTCGGATCATCTTTTGATCTGTCATTTTCGGGATACACTTAATTTGATCATAGTATCATTTCATGATCTTAATACAAAATTGAAATGAAAACGTAATAATCTAAAAGGACTTTAATTTGATTAAATCCAAGTGAACCTTGGTGACCCTGCCAGTGGCAGATAATAAATGAGTATGCATGTATAAGATGAGTGGGAAATAAAAGCCACCAATTGAATAGTATCAACATTTCACAATATGACTATCAGATCTAAAATCTTTTAACTTTGAAGGTCCTATGGTTAAGTTTATCAGTCTGTCTAAAATGAGTCTAGTCGTGGCATATTGGGACGCGGTATACAATATGCGGAAAAGAGCCAAGAATACAACTTGAACATTTGAACTCCCTTTCAAATGTTCAAGTTAACTCGTAGATCTTTCTTTCTTTTATACTCTGTCTTCGACAAATATCTCAGAATCCAAAGGTTCTCTTTCAAATCTCCAAAAGTCCGAAAATAATCCGACGGATCCACCAAACATTTTCAACATTTGATCAGAATGTATCCCGAAGACGAGGATGCACTCTTGTCCATCCAACTCCTCTGCTTCACTATTTTCTGCGCAGTATCCAGCTATCTCCTATGGCGATACATTAGTGTACGTCCATTTGGGCTCCCAATAAGTCAAAGTCAGGAGTGTGGCAGATATAACCAACCCGGAATTCCTTTACATTACAATACGTTCCACTTGAAGTTGAAGCCTATGAAACAAGATGAGGAGCAGCCTGTATTCCTGGATATAAATGCTCTTGGAGATCGACCGAGGGTTCAATATTTCCCTTCTTACGGCCGTGAGAATGCTGCGGCGCATTCAGTTGTCTAGTTGACGATGAAGTCCTTCATGCTTATACTACGGCGCTGACTCGAACGAGCGTTATGTGTTTTTGGCAACTGTGCTGCTTACAAAAGTTTGGTTTTACTTATTTTTATTTTTTATTATTCCTCAGTTGCAATGTTATCTCTAGCTCTTGAAATAATCCAGCTCACTATCCCAATCCCACTTGGAAGACTCGTCATCCGATCCCATGGGGGACATGACTGAGAGGGGGTACGAAATCAAAATATCTGAATCTACATCTGATTCTTTGTGTTCAAAACTTGAAGTACTTACGCCTAGAGTATCGTCCTTCGCTGGAGATAGAGGAGTCTGGCTGCGAGTCAAGGAACTCAAAGGACTTAAAGACATCCCTCGAATATCTGCAAGTTGACATGTCACGGAGGAAGGACCTTCAAACACTGGATTCCGAGGATCCATCATAGACCAGTAGTCTAGTACAGATCTTAATATAGCCAACTCATTCTGGGTGAACTCGCTCACGCGTGGTCCGGTGCGGAGGAGAATGTCGCTGTATCGCGGACACTGAACGATGAAAGATTTCAGCGCATTGGCCTAGTGTAAAATCAAGTTAGCAATAATGATTACCCAAAAAGAATCATAATCCTCTGCTTACCATAATCTGAGCATTATCCCAAAGTTCAGACATATCAGCAAGATACTCGAGCGAAGTTTTTAAATACTCTGCTGAGCTATGACAAACAGACGAATCCCCAATGTATAGAAACAGCGCATGAATAGTACTCGCAAGCAGCATGCAATAGCTATAAACCGACGGAACAGGCATGTATCCCGCCGCCTTTGCCTCAATGAGAACCGCTATTAAAGACTCGGCATGAGCAAGAGACCTCTTGCGGGTTTCTTCTAGCCATGTGGAAGGCATATCGGAGCGTCGATCCGAGTCAACCTTCAACCCAATAAGGAAAGGATGACTGAGGATGCAATGCGCCAAATGATAAATAGTATGTGAGAGGACCATATGCGCGATCTGTTCACGGTCTGGACTTGGCGTATCACTCTGTCTTCGATGTTGACCTTCAAGTTGCGCAGCTAGAACTGGTCCGTTCTTAACAGCGAGTTCTTTTAAGTACTCCAAATCCCGATATATCGCACAATATTCGGAATGAGAGGTCCATGGAGACGTTGCATCCGATTTTCCCATCATGTATTTTGTAGTTCGTCCAAGACAAGCTGCTAACCCGATACTAATACCGAACATCCCCGAACGAGGCAAAATGCCTCTAATCCTCTCATTGAATAACTCAGAGAGGGATATAGAGGGGAGCCTCTTTCCCGCACGGTAATGAGTTGGTAGATTCAGAAGACAGTCGGAGTCATTAATAGCAGGCGGACGCCCAAACGAGCAACAAACAAACCGATCAAGAAGGTATAGCGACCAAAAAAGGTTCCGGCGTTCATCGCGCTCAAGCTCAGGGAGATTAGAGGTCGGCTCTAGCATCATATTCAAATCCTGAGCAATTCGTACAGACATTCCGATTTTCACCCAGGCGTTTCGGCGTCGACCGGCTATAACCGAGTCAGCATACACCACAACCAAGTGCTAGTGCTTATCATTCTTGTCATGAAAGATCACTCACCAGTTGCATCGATAACTGCAAGTATAGCGAGCGACTGAATAATATCGACATCATCACTTTCATCTAGGGGAGTTGTGGAAGTTGTAATTAGGTCCCATGAGCATCGAGCGTAGCTGTCGATTGTGCTTTGTTTTTTCTCCATCCATTGCGCTCGAGAGGAGTAGCGGGTAGCGGACGCGATTAAGGCAAGTCGTAAATGGAGTGGAACTTGGTCATTTTGGACTTTCTGGTGGAATAACGTGGCATTGAAGAAGCCGTAGGGTTTGTTATGACAATGTCGGAAGTAGATGTCGCATGCTTCGAGAAATACCGTGTCCGGTGAAGGGGAGGGGCTACTTTGTCCATCCATTAATTTCAGAATCTGGCTGTTTCATTTTAAAATAGGAAGAGATAACTTCAAGTCGAAGGGTGCTTAATTATTGAGACATACCTTGGAGTATTCATGGGTTCCATGAGATCAATGTAGGAGGAGGATAAGACTCGGATTCACTTTCAAAATGTTAACATTGAAATGAATTTTGTGGGATACTCTTTGTCTTAAACTCCAGATGAGATGAATGAAACATTACCCCACAGATAAAGCACGTTCAAATTTAGATTACGCACTGGAATTTACCCTCTGTCCAGTGAGCATCGTGAAGCCTATAATATTATTGATATAGTGGGGCATAACCCCCTTTCTCCGTCTCTAACCGCTTTCTTTCAAGTCACGAGAACTTATTACTTCAAATGTTCTCAACTCAACTTGAACATTTTGAAGTTCCAAGGGTTGGATCAAATAATTGATTTGGAGGTAAGACCTGTGATACTATAATACTTGAAAACTTGAATCTATATAGAACCTTGGAACCTTGGAACCTTGGAACTTGAAGTACTTCGTGTACGGTATAGGTATAGTATGTATGCGTGAAAGTCATCGATATAAGATCATTTCAAGTTTTGGATTGACAGGGCAAAACAGACATAAAAAATGAATAAAAAAAATCAACTTTCACAGGGAAGATACTAGTCGAATCAAAGTTCTAAAATCATCATGATGTATCTCCATTTCCATCTCCATTTGCATCTGCATTTGCATCTGTATCTGCATCTGTAAATGGATCTGTAAATGGATCTGTAAATGGATCTGGACGCGGCCTGGGAGCAAATGAGGGTGCACCTGGCCAAACTCTTGCATCCATATCCTCAGGCAGAGGCGCCAGCTCTAACAGAGCTGCAGGAAGGGGGCGCTGTGACCGGTGTGCAACAGTTCCAGCCAGCCGAATATGTTGAGTAAAATTTCTCCGACTCAAGCCCGAAGGTTCATCAAAGACATGAACATTCCTCTGACCATCCGGAATTGACAGAACATAAAGTTGATCTCTAAGCCAAGGACCAGCGAGTCGAGGAGCGTTGGCCTGATTTTGGATTGCAGTCTGAACAGGGGTCCAATGTGGTAGTATGTTATGCTGACCTGTGTCTCGCGCACCAAAGACGTGTCCGAGTAGCCGCCTGCAATTTGACGGATGCCGCATGTTTTCTAGGTTTACTTCAAGCGCAACGAAGTAATGGGTAGATACCCAACCGTCGGCCATTTGACCTCTACTCATGCCCATTGCAGGGGGTCTTTTATCACCCCCTGAAAATGATACCACCGTATCTATATCCTTCGCTGCGAGTGTCATATCACTAGAGCCTGTATCATCCATGAAGTCAAATTCCACGTACTCAGTTGTGCCGGGAAGTCTCACTAACTGGTTGATCTATTCAAAACATTATGTTTAGACAAAAACTAATCCATTTAGCGCGGCGTCACATACATTGGTTTGAGCTTGCTCAGGGTCCCCGGGATATAATGCGCCGTTGAAATAATACGGCTTAGGCTGAGGTTGATTATACTATCTTATGTGTTAACTTAAAATTGAACCCTTAATTTTCGTTTCAGATGATAGTAATGGTAGAACTGACCCCTTCAACCCAAAAGCTCTCCCATCCCTTATGCTTCTCGTTGATAAAGAAAAACTCATCCCAGTCAAAAGGCCTTGGCTGGCAAAGCTGCTTTCCATGTGACCAGTATGTTACCAGTCGTGGATTCCATTCTAGCTTTCCCGAATTATATGCTTTCATCAATGCCTTCACGTTCTTCCGCTGCTTATACCTATTCTCCATATCCGAATCCTTCTTGATGAAGTCCAGGCATCCGTGCAGCATGTCCAGGCGATATGCGACATTCAACGATTTCCCTGGATATTTTGCTAGTATTTTACTAAAAGGAAATGAGGATTAGAGAGGGATCAGAGGAGATCATTCCAGAACTTCAAAAAAATCACACGCTCAAGTATTTGGGGGCTCATACTCTCGTTTCTCCTTAAGCTCAGTCATCTCAGCTAATCGATGTTCGAAAAGAATAGGCAAGATTCCATCATCGATTCTTTCATGACATCTCTCAATCTGAGCATCATAGTCCCTATGAAGGTATCAGTAAATCCAAATCTCATCTCCAAGATACATGTTCCGAGAGTACTTACATAGGATCAAGATCATAATCCACCTCAGTCCACTCCCATTCATTGAGAATATCTTCTCTTTTTAGAATAGGTGGATCCTGTCGAGTCCAGAGTTTCTGTCTCTGAGGTCTTTCCACCTTTTTGACATCCTTCTGAGTCTTATCTACGTAAGAAACCTCAGGATCCCATTTGATATCCTTCTTGGGGCGCACCCATGGTTGGTTCGATTCCATCTCAATATCTTCCGTGATAGTCGAGATATCCCAATAGGAAGGCTTCTCTCCGATATTATACTCATCTTGAGACCCGTTTGACGCCCCATTTACATCCCCATTTTGAGGCCAGGAATTCGGGTTAAGTATGAGTCGAGGAGTGTTGTTCTTGGTTATCCTGTAGGGATCGCGAGGCCTGAGTGGGATCGTGGTTGTAAATAAAGACATTTTTTTTCCTACCGACTGCGGTTCTTAGCGTTCAAAAAAGAGGATTGATGCGTATGTGGATGGCAGATGGGGTCTGACTTTATTTAACATGGTGAAAGAATGCCTCGCAAATCTTCGAGACGACTTGGAAAGAACGATCAAAGAAAATTAAAGATAGAATCCCGTAAGTGACAAAGGAGTAGGGACTTCAGATGAAACATTTGGGACCAAGTTGGTTCTAAATTTGAATTTCAGTTTCGATGGAATGTCGAGAAATGCTAGTCAAAGACAAGGAACGCAAAGCGCATTAAACGAGCGTTTTGTATGTTCCAATAAGTAAAATGCTGCTTGTATGTAGAGAATTAGAGAATCTAATAATTCTTAAAAGATATGCTCCCCTAGAACTAACAATTCTAGCAATAATCAAACAAGTTGAACCAAGACAATGACCTCGAACCCAACTCACATTCAATCCGATTTGATCGCAGAGCCAGAAGGACTGCCATGGGACAGGGGCTCAGCCTTATGGATGTTCTGAAGGCTAACAGTGTCTGTAATATGACCGCTTTCAAGGGCTGCTCCTTGAAGACTTATATGGCTTCTTTCACCCTCAAAGAAAAGAGCATAGGCTTCTTCGCCATGAACGGCATCATCACCCACCATAAGATGCTCCTCTTTCATACGTAGCGGGATCCGAAGCACATATTGAATGAACAAGCAGATCAAAGTGGTCATGAAAACATTCAATCCAATGATGAATAATCCACCCACAATCTGGAGCCAGACTTGCTTTCCATTGCCGTCAATTGCTCCTCCAGGGGTGGTTAGCCCGAATGCAGCGCATCCATCTGCTGTAGCAAAGATTCCAGTAAGAAATCCACCAAGAAACCCGGCAACCATGTGGGTGTGGACCACTTGCACTGTAAAATGGTGAGCTTGGAAAGAAAGTAAGGAGTGGATGTCGGCTACTTACTAACGTCATCGACTTTTTGCATTATCTGTGTTCTTCCTGCAACATTCATTGTAATCCAGGGAATAGAACCAGAGCATAGTCCAATGATTATCGCACCCCACCCTGTGACAAAGCCAGCGGCCGGAGTAATAGCCACAAGGCCAGTAATCTCGCCTTGTACCGCGCCGATAACAGAGGGTTTCTTGAAGAAGATATAGTCGAGGCATGTCCAGACGAGAAGACTTGTTGCGGTGCAAATATTGGTGTTGAGTACAGCAACTCCAGCATCGGGACTAGCAGCGTATGGATCACCTCCATTGAAACCATTCCAGCATGTCCATAGTAGACCGGCACCGACGAGCATCAGTAGGACGTTATTCGGGAAGAAGGAGTCTTTGTCTCGTTTCAGGCGGGGACCGAGCCAATAAGCAGCGGTAAAACCTATAAAAGATGGTGGTTAGATAAAAAATAGAGAAATCATGAAAGACGCATTGACATACCTGCAGTCCCAGAACTGAGATGAATGACATAGCCGCCCGAGTAATCGAGAACACCTTTCTGATACAGGAAGCCACCACCCCAGATACTGGAAAATGTTAGATATGTGAAGAATACCGAGGGAAATCAATCATGTCAGCATACCTGAATGCCCCAACAACATAACTGAATGTAATCCAAAGCGGAACAAAAACCATCCAAGCTAGAAAGTTCATTCGACCAAGCAATGACCCTCCAATAATAACGACCGTGATAGCAGCGAAGACAAACTGGAAGTATATCATAGTTGACATGTTATAGTTTGCTGACTCCCCTGCAGCGGGTATTTTGGCTTGGACGAGATTATCTTGCATTGTCAAGACTGGGCCTGGTGCGCCTACTAGTGGGAACTTGCCCCATTGCTCGCCGAATCCCATCTTGTATGCCCAGATGACCCAACATATCAGTGTTGCTGCGAAGGCGTAGAAGACCTGTGCTTGTTAGATAGAGTATTACTAGTGGATTTAATCAAACATACCATGAAGGCAGAATTAATTGCCCACTTCCTATTCAGTGTGACTATGGTTAGCAGGGGAAGATACACGGGGATGAGTGTCTTACTTCTTCACGAAGCCGGCGTAGAGAATCGCCAGGCCTGGGATCGATTGCAAGGCAACCAGCGTGCCTGCTGTGAGCTGCCATGCTTGATCTCCTTTATTCAACCAGCTGTATGTTGTTAGTCGGATGATCCCCGATTGTTCGAAGTGATCCAACCAGCTTGTACATACTTGGGATCAGTGTCTGTCAACGAGGAAGACATAGTCGCTCAAGTCAACTCTATCAAACTCCTCAGAGAGCTCTCAATTTCCGCTCAATCTTTCTGGCTCTTCTTGGTGGCAGTGCCAAAAAAAATATTAGAGCTATGATGAGCACGAGGGGTTTCAAAATCCAACCCGATTCAGATCCTAGCCTGCAGGTCCAGGTATTTATTCTCAGCGAACGGACAAATCGCAAGTTCATTTCAAATTGCTTACCTTCCATAGTAGGAGCAATTACCCGACAACACGATGCAAAAACTCTGGAGAAGGACATTTTCGATCCATTCAGCATCTCTCGATAAGAATCACATCGGAGTATCAGCGAATCCCACAAGTCCGTCCCTGACCTATACCCAAAATAGTCCTGTCACGAAGTCACGCACATGGCAGCCACGAGCCGAGCAAAGCGTCCACAAATCATGAAGGAACTACTTATCTTGCACGGAGCTCCTCAGACCATGACGAAGCGCCCCCGGATTCTATATACAAGCCTTATCGGCCCCACTTGACTGGTTCTCAAGCATTTGCGATCGAAAGCTTGTAGTGAAGCTTGACTCTTTCTGAGGAAATATAATTTCTTTTGATTCGTTGTATGGGTGGTGTGTAAGCCCACTGTGGAATGGTTCAATCAGGGGCCGTTGTCTTATCTTGCTGACTGAAGGATGTATGCCTTGTTCTGTTTTGATGACCTCCAATCAGAGTACTTCTGTATCATCGTGCATGTTGAGCGGTCAATATGAATTTCTTTTGAAAGTACACGTATTTTGAAGTAAATGTACAAGGATGATTTGGAGTAAATGAAGAAACGGTGTAGGTGTGGTGCGCAAAAATAGCGCAGACGATCACACGAAAGTTACTAAACGAGGAGTCGGATGCCTTTTTCTATCCTCATTTTATTTGTTCAGGTTCTCTAATTCTATGTCAGTTCTCTTGCCAAGAAGCCAAGAAGATCGAGTATCTTTATGATATCAAGTGAATCCACTTTGAAAGAGTTAGTCCTTCTACTAGTACAATAGTACTTACTACTGAGTAGGTCTGAGTCTGTGCTAACTGGAGTAGAGATAACCCCCGCATTCTTGGCACACAATGCTTGCATTCAAGAAGTTGGTTCCCCGTAAGAATCAGAAAAAGGAGCAGGATCCTGGACAAGATGGTCCAAGTCAGGATGCCCTGGGTAGGAGTAACAAGGAGGGAACTTGGTCGTCGTCTACTTTGAATGATCCGACCCATGGAAATAGCGCGGGATCCCAAACACGTTACATGGGATTTGGTATTGGAGGAGCAGGAAATATCCGAAAGTGAGTATATTAGCGAGATATGCCTTTTTGGTCGCTAATATTTAATTCTTTAGGGTGAATGTGCAAAATGGCCAGGTGGTGAATCAATAAAATTGGGATAGTCGCAGAGGATAGTGCCCGCTGAAGAGTCAGGTCGATCTAGTCACCGAATCCAAGCTGGAGCCTGAGGCTCTCTCATCCTCTGCAGTGAGTTCCCAGACAAGAAGAAAAATTCGAGCTGTCATATAATATGTCATCAACCGCTTCCAAGGTAACTTGAAAATGCGACCGGTGGAAGTTGTGTACATAATCGGTAGTCTGTCTATACTGAATCATATATGGTACCTGGTCTCAGTCTCCTCAAAACAACCTTGGTCTATGTCAAGACTGAATATTCTATGCCTGATAAAGAGCTTGAACCATACCACGAGAACTATCAATAAATGAAATTAGGGAGTTCAGGTTTCGCCGGATAATGTGTTCGTAGTATTAGGGGTGGCGATACATTAGGGGTCCCGCCCGGGCCATCACATCATGATCAAACCACTCGTATTAACCGCAGTGGTTTGGTTACTCGATTGAGTCGATTCAAATGTCTGATAGGTATAATCGGAGTCACAAAACACCAAAATAAATTAATCAAAGACATCATTTGATTAGCATTTGATGAAAGCCGTCCGAGTACCAGACGGACTCCGAGTCCATGTCATGGATATGCTGCAGTCTTGGAATGGATATACAACTTGCAGTGATCCGAGTCCCGGTAATGCCCCTTGGTTTTCAGAACCTCAAACGTGGCTCAAATGACCTGGAACTATCGTTCACCCGCAATGAGTATTTTGCTGGGGCCTTTCCACCAGAATCGGGTACACCGTGAGGATTTTCTACCCCTGTTCGCTTCGGTTGGATCTGGGTGTTTCAGGTTGAAGAACTTCTCCGTGTATGGCATGGACCCTGGAAATGACGAAATAAATGCGCAAATATTTTCCACGTCTGATAGATCAATAATTACCACAAAGAAGACCGGGGTAAAATGATAGAGGTACAGCGGTTAAGACGTCAGGCGTCTTCCAACGTCCAACATGTGGCTGACCGTATGATCTCATCCATCTCTGGAGTATCAGGGATCTAGACTACCAATCTCATATTCCAGCCTTGCACGGCCCCTGTATTTCCACAGAGGGTCCAAAGTTCCAGAAACTTGTTGCAAGAGTTCTCCGTGCGTATAGAGTAATTTCAAGCTATCCGAGTCAGCCCCGCATGGCATGTCAACTGGTATATAGGCCTTCATAAAGATTGATTTTCTGGGAGTTCATATATAAGCCGCTTGGCTAGACACGCCCAGAATGCCTCGACCGTGTCCAATGCCTATCTTCATCTCTTCATATTGAATTTATTGACAGGATAAAGTGCATGGTGGGACTGAGTGGCGGGGTGTCTATGTGAAACACACCACTTGGGCAGATTAAGGTACGGTGTATTTTACCAGCCGCTTACCACATGAAACACTGGCTTAAGTTGAGTACCTGATATCCATATTTTAGGTCCAGGATTTCAGTATTTTTTTTCTTCCTGAGAGTGAATTTATGGATTCCGCCTCCTTGAATTTCTGCTAGCCTAAGATCTTCACTGGACACCTGGATATTGAAGGGATGTAATAGGAACGTTGATCCTCGTGTTGCGTCAGGCACCATTGCATACTGCACCAGTAGGGTTCTTAGTTGCACCAATCTACCACAAGTATTTCCCTTCTATTATCTTTTATAGGTGTACTACTAAGTTTAAGCTGCCCATCCATATGCGCCACAGCGGCAGTGACAGTGACGGGAATGTGCTCGTTTCTTGATTAGACGAAGATGAAATTAAAGGCTTGGACTACTATAAACTAGGCTCCAATTGGTTAATCTAGATCAAGTCATATACTGGTTGAACCAATTAAATGTTGGTGCCTGATACAGAGTGGAGACTGATTTAGATGACTCAGCTAAAATGTATAGAGTCGATCCACTTAGTAAGTTAGAGCTCAATCTTATGCCTTTTAATTATGATTATATTACCATTATTATGGTCATTTTACCAGATCAATATCAACCTTGGAATATTATCATTGTTTTTGAAGATCCTGTATCCACCTTAGTAACTTAAAGCCCGGTAAATACAGTAAAACGGGACGCCACGCTTGGACTCCTGAGATATTAAATCTTCTATACATTAAGCGGGCCCTGTCACTTTCTTACTTCTTCTTCTTCTCCTTCTTCTTCTTCTAAGCTGGTCTACTCACCTTCTTACACTCGCTGGTCTAGAGGTTTCATTCTTTTTGCTCCCACTTTCTGTCGGTGAATTGATTTCACGACACCTACATTCGTTCAGACCAAATCAGCTATTTTTTAGCTCTCACTTTCGCTCACAACTTTTTACTTCCTCCCCTACTTTCTCCCAAACCCCATCATCTTCTCCCTCTTCCAACGTTCCCAAAACATTGACTATTTCGATCCCCATCTTCAAAATGGTCACCACTAACATGCTGAACGTAATGCTGGTCGCTTTCTTCGCCGCTCTTGGCAGCGCTGAACACCATGGCCTCCATGCGCGTCACCTGAACCACGCCCGTGGTATCAATGGAACTACTCCATCTGGCTCGCTCTCCACTGTGTTCAGCACCGTCTCCCCTACTCCCAGCCCCCTTGAGACTCCTCAGTACCCCTCCCGGCAAGCCTTCTGTCTCGGTCTCCGGTGTTCCTGGCTCTGGTGCTTCCACTCAGTCTCTGATCAGCTCTTCGGTTCCCGTTCCTCTTGGAACTGCTCCTGCTGGTTCTGGCGCTACTACTGGTGCTGCGTCTGAGTCTTCTGGATCCTGGACCACTGAGTACTCCACCACTGATGTGACCGTTACTTACACCCAGGGAGCTGGTACTTCTACCAGTGTTGTCACCACCACTATCGAGAAGACCTTCACCAATGTTCGCACTGTCTACCCGGTATGTTCACGTCCCCAAAATGATCCATGGTAATGTGCAAATTACTGACTGACTTTACATAGACTCAAGCTTTCACTGCTCCTCCTGCGGCTGGAAATGCCCAGAACTCTGAGACCACTACTCTTCACAGCACCGAGACCAAGACCTTGACTGTTGTAGAGGTTCCTACTGCTGAAGTTACTGGCCACCACGCTAGTGGTTCTCAGGTCTGCTACAGTGAGCCCGTCACTGTGACTGTGACTGCTACCGAGACTGTGACTGTGGTAAGTACACAATCCTCTCACCAATACAACCTTGGAACAAAATAACAAATGGAATAAAATACTAACTGATCTTGTAGGACACTGCTGCCACTTCTGTTCCTGCTGAGGGCCACAACCAGGGTGGCTCTAAGGGCGAGGGCCATAAGGGCAACGGCAATGGCGAAGGCTCTGGTAAGGGTAACGACAATGGAAATGGTGCCCAGGCTACCTCTTCCACCGCCGATATCACCACCACCGAGACTGTCGTACCTGTCCCTGCCGCCACTCTTACTACCAGCCGTGCTCCTTACAGCAACGGAACCCTCCCCTTCACCTCGGTCCCGGCCTCCTCTGGCTTCGTGACCAGCTCTTCCGCCATTCCCTCCGCCATTCCCTCTGGCGCCCCCTCCGGTGCGCCCTCTTGGAAGCCCTCTCCCAGCGGTCCTCTTAGCCCCTCCGGTACCCCCGGTGGCAGCTACCCCCATGCCTTCCACCGTCGCTACATCTAAGCTGGTCCTGTACCATTAGGACCGCGTCGTGGCTAAGACATGATCCAATTTGATAATAGAGCGCGTTCTAAGACTTCCTTTTTTTTTCTCGTGCGTCTGCATGCTGGTTTGTACTTATTTTCACTTGTCGAGGATTTCATGTCCGGTTTCTTACTGGATGAGTCCTTGATTTAAGTTTCGATTCGTATCTACGACCAAGTGTGTGTGGATCTTTTTTGATTGTCCCTTGTTTTTTTAAAACTTCTCTTCTTTTGGCATAGTCTGATACAAGTTATCTGGTGTTTTACCCTATCTTGTCTTGTTTTCCATGCAAGTCGCATCTTATGATGCCTAGAGTGATATCTTGAGCTACGAACTCAGTATGCTATCTTTTTTTATTTCTTTTATTTCTAATGGGAGTCAAAATTTCTTTTAATGGTTATCCTTCCATAGTATTCGGACACTCTTTCGTATCAGTTGGCAAGGTCTTGCCTGAGATTGGGTCTTGTGCTTTCCATTGCGTATTCTCATGGGACTTCTTTTCTAGGATTTGCAAAGCGGCGAGTCCTGCTCTATTGTCTGTATATTATTCAGTTCGCCTTACGCAAAGACGTACTTTGGTTATCTGGGCTTAGTACCATAAATTGAGTTGCTTTGATTTGACCCAATGATCTTAACCCGTAGACAAAGTAGTACTAAGATTAGTTCTCCCAATATTGTGGCCGTGAGTCCGTGACTGGTCTTCGTTCGTGGACTTGTCGATTTTGAATGCGGATCCAGTCCAAGTTGAGACTGGGATGTCAAGATTGGGCACTGAATGAAGTGCTAGATGATGTGCATAGTACTATGACTCGGGCATTTCAAGAATTCCAGAGAGCCCAAGTAATGTATGGTTTCTATCCAAGGGCTCATATCCATAGATAGGAAGGGGGTCCTCCATGTCATCGCCAATATCATACACCCTCCAACGCCTTTATACCCTCCCGAACAAGTCTTTCTCGCATGACCTGCCACTCCAACCAAGTAACACCCTGTAACAGACAATCCGCCAAATCATCCAACTTTCCAATCCGTTTCACAGAAGCACCCGATCCAGCAGGTTCCTTCTTGCTCTTACTAGTAGATTTCTCTCCCTTCCATTTCCGTAAATAAGCATCCACCAAGTCTCTCACAGCCTCATGCTCACCAACAAGTACCTTATTCTTCGAAGCATCAGAGGCAGAATCCAACCACCTCCCCACAAGATCAATCTTCCCCTTCTTCACCTCTCTAGCTGAAAGCTTCTTCTTCGTTCCATCAGTATCAAGTCCCTCTCCCTTCGTCTCACCCCAATACCCGACCACACGTTTTGGCTCCACCCCCTCCACAAGAATAGAGGATAGGTGCCCACCTCGCTCCATGCGTAACGCATGCAAAATGGCGTATAACATCCCCTCAAAGACCCCGACACGTAACGTCCACTCTTGAACTGCACTCCCACCACCGGAACGAAACCGCTGACGCTCAATAAGAATATGAGTTGGGTTATAAGCTGAGAGGAGTGTCGTTATTAAAGTATATGCAGTTGAAGCATATAAATCCGGTCTGAAAGCATCAGAGGATGTTTCTTTCGAAAGTGTCACAGTAGATGAGGATGCAGATGCAGATTCAGGAGATAACGCCAAACTCCCAATATCAGAAACAGCTAACCGACGCCAAGCTCTCATCTCAGGCGCGGGTACTATGGAATCGGACTTGGGATTTGACTCTGTAGCACTGGAAAGAGGACAAGGGAGAACCAAATGCGTAAACGCAAGATTCTGAATCCCCATATCAATACTCAAAATCCGCCATGGTTGACCACGTCGCGAATGCGTCTGCGTCACATGGTTCTGTAATGTGTTCTCGATGCGTTCCAGGAGTACAGATTTCGTACCAGAGGATTGAATCCCTGTTGCACGCGCGAGGTGTTGTAGTTCTGTTGATTTAAGCTTTGATAGCCATGGGAATGTTATCGGTGATTCTGATTCAAATTCTGATCCCGAGATGCTTTGAATTCTTGTGCTGAATTTGGAGGAGCATGAAAGATAGCGAGCTCGAAATTGGGGGTTGATCAATAAACGTGTGGTCGAGAGGCGCATTCCGAAATGAGCTAGCTTGAGCTAGGTCATTTGATTTTGCTATTTCTGGTTCGTTCTTCTTTTTTGAAGATTGTGGAGATATTAATGATGTGATTTTGTCTGCTGTTTATTGGACACAGTGGATTCCTCTGATCGAGTCTGGAAACATTCAAGTTCAAAAGTCGCGCCGGATGTAGTGATCTGCGGATGCACGGACCGTGGCCGCACGCGTCGGGGAATCCGGATCGGTGGGAGCTTATCTCACATTTTTATGGTTATTTTTATTCTTATTAAGATCTTGCATGGATACGAGATCGATCTTGTTCTAATCCGGCTCTATAGATCTAAACAGATCTTATTGAGATTTTTCGGATTTTTGTAGTCAGAATAGATGTGAAAATTTTGTTGTAGATAGGGTTGGTATGGTATACAGTTCAGTTTCTAGATTATACAGACCAATAGATCCAAAAAGATGAGACAAACCAAACCAAGAGCGCCGGGAGCGCCGTCGTCTATTTTCCAAGCCCATGTTTAAACATTTGATCCAGACAAAAGAAAAAGAAAGCCCCCCCCATATTTGTCCAGCGCCGGTTATTGCAACATCATGCTTCCGCAGGAGGAAAACGCCAAAAGAAAATGCAGACGCTGAATAACAGATCAAGTACAAAAAAGGCAAGAAAATCACAAAATTAACAGTTTAAGCAAAAAAAAAAAGAAAACTCCAGGTAAACTCCAAGGCTTGAACTCACACAAAAGCCACAGGTTCAGAGTCTATATCAGCAATCTTGTCTCGCATATAGAGCAGAGGAGCCCAGACACGCCAATGGAGGATCCCCAAATGAGCGAGACGCATACCAATGCGCTCAATATCGTATTGCTGAGGCGCTGAGGACTGAGGTGTAGTGCCAGCCCCATTCCCAGTACCGCTGGTGGTGCTGGAACTCGTATTTGAATTAGAATTCGGGTTGGAAGACGCAGCGGGTATTAAAGGACCCGTATTTGTCGTCGATGGTGTGGTACGCTGCGATTCACAGATAGCAAGCGGTGACAATGGCAGGTATTTGCAGGCAGATGAGAGAGTCGCTGATAGAATCTTCTCCCGCATGGCATTCTGGAAGTAGTGGAAGAGATCTGTCTCGTTGGACAAGTGCCATTCCAGAGCGGCTTCGATGGGGGTGATGACTTCATCAGCGACAACAGAGTCAAGGCAGCAGGCTGCACACGCAAAACGTGCAATCTCAAGAGCAATGCTACGCATATTTTGGATCCAGCGTGCGCCGCCACGAAACTCAGGGCCATCCTCATCGATTCCGCTAATAGGCTGACCCTCTGCGTCCATACCATCTTCCATTAAGGACCAAATACGGGTGCAGAAGGTAGAGTACGTCTCAACGCGAGCTGAAAGGTAGCGCGATCGTTTGTGAACATACGACTCGAAGATATACCAAGCGATCTCAAGATTTATGAGATTCTGGATAGTAGAACGGAGTTGCCAGAGTCGATCTGAGTCGAACAGGAAGGTTTCGGGGAAATCATCTGGGGGTGTGAATTGTAGTAGTTGATCGGAAATTCCCCGGAAGAGAGCCTCGAGCGGCTTGAGCCCATCATCGGATTGGGAGACTGTTGTGGAGCTACTCTGTTCGTCTTCTTCCTGGGCGCGGTCTCTTGCAGCGAGGTACCACAACCGGGCGGATTCTACGTGAAAATTGCCACGGCTGATTTTGCCCTCGAAATATTCTTGCAGAAATGGGACCGTGTCCTCAATGAGAAGGACACGAAAGGTACGTATTTGGTGATTGGCAACGTCCTATAGTTCAGTTCAGTTAGCCTTTTTGTTCTGTTTCCGTCGAAAATAATTGTGGATCATGTGGAGTCACCCCATACCAGCTTCATTGCTTCCAAGATCGCGAAAAGCGTTTGCAACCCATTTACGATCTCCTTTGGGTCCTGTGATTGGGAGCCCTCGGTGATTTGTTCAACCATACGATCCGCCCATTCATCCCGCATCGGAGCACAATGCGTCTTGAGAAGAGCTGCCATCCATGTCGCCAGCGCAACCATATCGAGCACCCCCTTGCGTATTTGCTGCATTAGTAAGGGCACCTCCAAATTCTGCATGACGCTCGGGTGATCTCGCTCTGGAACAAGGGTCTTGATCACCTCCTGCAAAGTTTCGAACATGGTGGGAAGTCGGGGCTCAAACGAGCGCTGAGAGGTTCCCTGGGCTTGATCATCTGCATCGCCAGAATTGGCCGCGTGATACGCATATATCCCAATTTCTGTCGCCATTGAGCCCCAGTAATCAGTCGCCTCTTTTCGCTTCCGTCTTCCCTTTTCCCCATCCAGATCGGGTTTAAAATGCAGATCGCGGTCGAAATTGGCGTCCATGCGAAGATTGATGTTGCTCATGATGCATGGTAGATCAAGTTCACTAAGAGTCTTTTTGGTCACTGGCGGATTGCGACGTGCTTTGCATAATATTCTTTGATCTCGCGAGCTGAGACCCAGGGCTTCGGGAATGACGACAGCCTGGGGAGATGGCGAGGGCTCTCGTCGTGGCGGTGCGGTGGATCCCGATGCAGTGGATGGGCGAGTCCCTGGGGGATATGTAAAAGGAGATTGTCGGCGGCGGAGTGGGCGTATATTAGAAGGATTGTCATGGCTGTGAGAATCGCGCCTTTCGTTCTTATGATAGTCATTGGAGCGACCACCCCCAGCACCATAGGCGTCCAAAGGACCATCGGCACCCTCCTCCTGGGTCCGGGCCTCTTTTGTCCCCTGAAGATCCATGGGAGAGACAAGAGAAGAAACTAAACGAACAAAACGTAATCTGGGCAAAAAGGGACGATCTCCCCCTTAGCACCTGTTCATCGTTAGATAAGACAAATTCCGATTTTTGAATATTTTCTTTTTTCTTGTGGCAAAGCGCCCTGCGCCATCAGACTCTCCCCCGGCTTTTGACCAAAATATCGGTCTACTCTGAATCCAGCAAGTTTTATGCAGGTGGATACTTCCAAACTTGAGCAGGAAAAAAAAAGAAATTTTCACACTCACCTCTTGTTTTTGATCGCCCTGTTTGCCTCAGGCAGGCAGCCAATCCGCGTTGCCGACAAAGTGATGCAAGTGAGCTGTCAATCGTTGTGGAGCCACCGAAGAAGCTTGGATCTGCGGGCGATCGGTCCTCGTGGCCCAGACTTCTCTTTGAATGGAAATTGACTGAAGAGATTTCTCAGATGTGTGAAACGAAGGATCCGTCTCTCCAAATACCGTGCAAGAAAGTAAATAATAGATCCTGAGTCAAGATGTGGAACACGGTGAAGGGCCCCGAGACATTGACCGTTGAACACAGGTATATCGTATATCGACTATAGCCGGGACACCCACAGATTTCAGTCTCGAAAAATATGGAGATAAAATGACGATTCGGCACAGCAAAGGATCAAAAAGACCAAAAGGAAAGAGCAGCAATTGGGAAAGCGACCGGGTTGGCACTGATATAGTCGAGCACCGAACGTTTTCAAGAAAACCAATGACGGATTCGGGTGGACGCAACCATCACATTCCACTGCTGCTACCCGAATGAACCCAGCAAAACACCTCGGATTAGATCATGCCCCCTATTCTGCATGGCCTCTGGAAACGATTGAAAGAGAGAGAAAAATAGATCCATGACCCATAAAAAAAAAACTCTGTCCAAATCGGACCTGTGTTCAAGGGGTTTTCCGAAGCCCGGATCTCCAACGCCTCACTTTGACGCACTGGCCACGCGAGTCTTGGAAGATTTGAATTGGTCGGGGAACCACACTGGCGACTTGACCAGCTTGGTCAAATTGAGAATCATTCGGGATCTGGTGTAATGGAGAGGGGGGGGGGGGGATCAAGCGGAGGGTCATGGTTGTGAGTATCCGTTGTATAGTTTGGAAATAGTACCTTGTAGCTCTGGTACTCCAGAGTTTTCTTGGCTTTGATGGTTCCAAGGTTCCTGCCGTTTTGAGTGCTTATCTCATGCCGCTTTAACAGAATATATCACGTGATGACTATACATTTGTTTATGTAATAATTTTGATCTCTAGGGCTGTGATGAGAGAACAGATATCATTTCGTCACATTGACTGGTCATTTTGAACGAGTACATATCAGCATGCTCTTGGTATTCAAGGCTTAAAGGCACCAATGAGGTCTAGGGAAAATATGACCCCATTGTGTGATTATCTGCAGAGATTCAGCAACGCTTCATGAAGATCTCAATAGCACGCCCCGTGGATCATGAACATGTGCTTTCCTATGTCCGCCCGGGGAGGAGCTTGACGTAAGAAATGCGATTCAATGCAGCCAATCCTCAAGGTCTAGGCAGAGCTGCATACTTGTATCACATCCAAGATTCGCCACTCTTGGATCCTGGGCAGTTATAAGTCGACAAATATTTCCAAACAACTACCCGGGCACCTTGGATCTTCAGGATCCGATCTCGATCTACCAATGAATGCACGGCGAACTTGAACGAGCTGAATCTCTAGGCACCCTGATCTTTCCTGATCGAGACAGAAGTGAGGCCGTGATGGCACTTCAAATGCAAAGATGAACCGTGTGGCGCTTTCTCTCTTGACCGATCCAATAGACACCGACTGCATACATCCATCCAGATCACCCATTTGTCGCCCTAAATTTCTTGATGCACAGCTAATGCTGTGCTTCAAGTTCTTTTCTGGGATTCATACGCCATGTGCTCCGTACTTCCCGCGCGGTCTAACCCACAGTGGATCAGCTCCGTAGGTGGCGCCGCCTGTGGGTCTTGGTTCTTATGCTGCTATAGAGTCTCTTTTTAAGTCTGATTCGATTACGTATTGCATGTTTCTGTCTTAAGAAGAGTGTCTAGAACCCTTATGCTTCGGGCTGTTGAGAAATCAATGGGCTTCCTCACTCTGAACTCGTATGAAAGTGCGAGATACATTGGTCAATCACTTTTGACTCCGAGTCATCTCTTCAAGCCGAAAATATTCTATTTGTCTTTCGCCAAATTTATGTATGTTCTCTCCTTGCTCTCTTTAAAAAACCGTTTGAAGCAAACCAGGCAACTCTAATGTTGCATGTGGCATCAAACCTTGGAAACAAGTGATGTGAATGAGGAAAGGTATGTTCTTCCCTAGTTACTAGCAGGAAGCCCTGTTCAATGGACTTTATTCCAATAAGATTTCGTCATGCCAGTGGAACTAAACATTCGAAATTTGGATCAGCCACTGGCATATTTACATACATACTCAGGTAGACTGTTAGTCGTAGTATTCACAGAGGAATGCTCGGAACCCACTCCTACTGTAAGGACATGAATGAGCAGGCTATCCGCTAGGTAAGTTAGAAAAATAGGAGTATCAATAGTAATGCAGAAATTGGATCCAAAAAATTAATTATTATTTACTAGTAGTGCTGAAATTCATTGATCCATGATATGTAGATCAAAGAGCGTTCAAAGTGGGATTGACCGTTTTCCTCAGGCATACAAGAGAGACATCGCCATCGGCACCGAGTCTCCACTCCATACCTCTTCGAACGAAAATAGGTTTGAAATTCCCAAATGACCGGATATTAATGTAAATAGAATGCTAATAAGTTGATTCAACCTGATTAAACACTTTAAAGACAGTGTTCATCTGTTAATTAATCAGTTTCACTGAGTTGCGTTGCCACAATCCCAATCGGGTTCTCAATAGGATCAACCACGCTCCGGCCCTATTGACATCCCGAGTAGGAAACTTGACAGAAACCTCAATAAGACCTTCACCAGACACCTTCACCATGTCAAATTTTATCAAGATTCTATATAAAAACCTCAGGAGACCCTTCCTCTTCATCCTTGTCTTCTGAATGTCTGAATACTCGTCCTCGTGTTCTATTCGAAAATCGCCTTATCAAGAAGTTGACTACTGCACAGCAGGCTTCATCATGAACCCCGCCGCCATTTTCTATCTTGTTCAACTTCTTTGGGCAATTCCGAGCACTGTCTTCTCTCGTCCATCTTTATCCCTTAACACTTCCCAATTCTTGGTTCACTCGCTTCCAGGAAACCCTGCCCTACCTGATAGCTGGGCTGGTCGTCTGCCGATTCCCGAAAGAAAGGGCAACAACATCTTTTTCTGGCTCTTCGATGCCGAAGATGCAGCATACGATGATAACTTGATCAGTAAGTATTAAACCGATCCTTCAAACTGTTGCGTGCTTGTCAACACAAGCGATCCCATATGTCTTCCAAGCGAAAGCTAATCGGCCCGGCATCATAGTTTGGCTAAACGGCGGACCTGGATGCTCCTCCCTCATTGGCCTAACAACTGGCAACGGTCCTATCTCCTTCGATGGCAACTCCACTCGCCTCGTTGAAAACCCTTACTCGTGGACCAAGCTCGGCCATGTGCTCTACGTGGATCAACCCGTCGGCACGGGGTTCTCAACGGCCAGTTCTCTGGTGCGATCCAATGAGCAGGTAACAGCAGACTTTGCACTGTGGCTTCACGAATTCTTCAGATGGTTTCCACATCTTCTTTCAAAGAACGTCCATATGATGGGCGAGTCGTATGCAGGGATCTTTGTGCCCTACTTCGTAGCCGCTTTGATGGAAGGGAACTACTCTCTACCTATCAACTTGCGCTCAATGTCCCTGGGCGACGGATCGTGGGGAAATGCAGCCGCTATGTCATCTGTTGCAATGGGAAGATACATGCATACCCAAAAGAATCGTCTCAATGTTTCCACAGATATCCTTTCTGCTTTCGCCTCCGCGGATAAGATTTGTGGATTTGAAGCAGTGCTGAAAGAAGCGAACACATACCCACCCGAGGGGAAGATCCGGATTCCCGGAGACCCGGAATGGGTTAACTACCGTCGTCGACAAAGCCTGGATCTTGCGCGCCGTGATGGGTCTTCGCTTGGGATCCTGGATGGGTCTTGTGATGAGGATCCCTCGACACCTGCGGAAGTTCACTCCTCAATCCTGAATTCCTCCTGTTACGGCCCTTGTGCGACATTCTCAACTGCGGAGAACTACATGTACGCCTCCTCGACTTGTTTCAGCATTTATGATCTGACACATAATTGTTCCACAATCAATCCCATCCCATTACTGGAAGAATACTTCAGTCAACCGGACGTGCAATCTGCTCTGCATATTGGTGACAGTGGTACATACACGGCCTGCAACGATACGATTCTCGCAACGCTGGAAGGTGTATCATTATCTGTTGAGCCACCGGAATACGAGATTCTTCCTTCGCTGGTTACCAATCACAGTATCTCCTTGCATATTTACAATGGAGAGCTGGACATGCTGATCAATCATATCGGAACTGAGCTGTCCCTGCAGAATATGACTTGGCGAGGCGCGCAGGGCTTCCAGCGAAAACCGAACAATGCTTTTTACGTGAATGATGCGACACCTGACCATCGTACCTCTAGTAGCCAGGGGGCGAAAGCTGGCATTTGGGCTGCAGAAAGAGGGGTCTCGTATCATTTGTTCGAGGGAGCGGGACATAGTGTTTTCGCAACGAAGCAGCGACAGATGTTTGCTTTTGTGCGGGATGTCGTTATTGAGGGGAAGGCGGGTTGAGTTTGTGCAGTCATGGGGACTTATTCAGGTTCAAGATGTCTCATGGAGTCATTCAAGCTGGTTTAATTCTATGGCTCACACAGAAAGAAGAATCTGAGGTCCAGGGCAAAAGAATATGCCGGATGTATACTAAGCAGTCAATGAAAATCTATATCGTATCCATACCTATCCACGGCATCCAGATGTCCGACCTTGGGAGTCACTGGCATATTTTGAATGTTAGCAAGTTGTAACTTGGTACCGGATCACGGATTTGCATATCAGCAGAACATGAATGGACCTCGGACGATGTCGACAGAAATTATACATCAATAAGTGAATGGATTCCAGAGATTATCTGGTTCAGAGTATTTCAATTTCATCATTTGGCCACTGGGATTTGGAAATTGGTAGGGAAGTTGATTCTATTTGACAGCACTTACTCAGTCTTATTTCGCATCATGATGTGTTCGTCCTGGAATACTGGGTTTGAATGTTCAATTTTCATAATTAGGATCTGATCATCGTGGATTATCATGATTTCTATCTGAATTTGAGTATTCTATTATATGATTGTCTAGTCCAAATCTCAGTCGCTATAGAACAACACTGCCATATCCAACTAAGTTGCACCGCCAACCTGGGCAATGTTGCAAAGATGAGCATGGATCTGGGGATAAGATGAGCAATGATGATAGAAAATCCGTCTGTATTTACTTAGTGTAATTTCCATGGCTTATTACAATTTGTGTGCTCATTCGTTGTCAATAATAGTCACGATTACCCAGCATGAGTCATAACGACTAGGGAAGCTATACCCGCGCGAAGGGGCTGTACGAGAGTGTGCATCGATGTACCTCTAGTGCTTCTTCAGGGCTTACAGTGGGGTCTGAAACTTCAAGTTGAAGCTACTAGTACTGATTCTTGCATTGGCATCTAGCATTTCGAGTAATTGAAATCTCTACTAGTACTAGTAGTTTACATTGAAAGCTAGAGGGTGAGTACAGAACATGTGTTCTACATGAAACATTTGAAGGCCGCAGAGAATTTGTCATACATAAAATGATGAGAAATTGGTACTGGGAATGGAGGGATTGACCTTCAAATGTTTACCTTAAAAGTTCTTAGCGCTGGGCTGATGGGAATAACCACCATCGTCGTATGGCAATGATCAATCATGGCTATAGTAAGCCTTGGGCTAAGAATATTTTTGTTCAAACAACTTCGCCCAACTGGTGATTATTGCCATGAGCCATTATTTTCAAGCGACGATGGTGATTATTGCTCTGAACCCAAGGCTGAGAGTTCTTTTTCTTTTTTTCAAGCGACGCTAGTGGTTATTTCCATGAGCCCAGCACTAAGAACTTTTTTACTTTTTTATCCCTTCCAAGCGACGATGGTGGTTATTGTCATAGACATAAGACTAATATTTTTTTTTTTTTTTTTTTTCTTTTTTCCCCAAACAACAGCTTCGACTGAGCCAGGTTGATATACAATTTCACGTTACTTGTACTAAATTACTACTAATATGGCTACAAGAACGAAGGAAATAAGGTCAAAATACTAGAAATATTGTTGAAAACGTACATAATGAGCACCATGATGCATGACTAATTCATACATATCAGACATCCCGCTAATTTGACACAAGACCACACATTGACATTGGGCAAGAGTAGGTAGATGGTAAAAACTTCTACAGAGAGATCTATCTATGCGAGATAGCCGATGCAAGAAGGGGACATATCATCATCATGAGGGGGCATTGACAAGAAAAAAACCACAACAGTCTAACGACGACTAAAGTAGGGTGCTTGGTTTTGCATTGAGAGAAGCGAATCGGCGCGTTGGAAGACATCGCCCTCGAAGAATTTGTCGCTGTACGCACTAGCCGGCGTTGAGGGAACGGTAGCTTGCGCCGCGGGACCCAGCGCTGCGCTGAGAGGAGTGGCAGGGACTGTGATGGATTGAGGAGACAAGCTCGTAGTAAGGTACGGGAGGGTGTTGGAGGCGAGAGCAGATGTTGAGACGGAGGTTTGGTGTTGCAAGTGCGGATGTTGCAAATGTGGGGGTTGCAGTGGAGGTCCGTACAGATGATTCGGGCCATTGGTGGTCATATCTGCAAGGAAGGACCAAGGAGAAGCTTCGATTAAACGTCCGGCTTCTCGACTGGCTCGTTGGACAGGTCGTAGCATGACGATGATATCCTGTGGGAGGAGTTGCATACTTCGAACCTCTCGCATATCATTGACAAAATCGACAAATGACTGCATGAAACTCTTGCATAGTTGCCAGAACTCACGCTGGTTTCGCAGTCCACCGTTCGGCTCCTTGACCTTCATGTTTAAAAGGCGATTACCGAGTGCCTCGGACACTTCCAAGCAGACTCGGCATCGACGAATGAGATTGTTCCATAGCATCTGGATCCCATCCGATTCGCGAGATTGCTCAGCAGCTTCCAAACATCGGGATAATTGACGTCGAGCCATGGGGAGTGCTTGGAGTGCTGCACTGTATGCAGAAGTAAGCTGGTAGAAGATCTTCTCGAAGATACGCTCTTCCTCAATTTCATCCAAACCGGTTAATGGATTGATTCGAGGCATGTTGCCGACGGGCATAGGAGGAAATGACTCCCCAGAACGAGGCGTTGCTAAAGATGTAGGTACCGAAGTATTGATCAAATTTGTTCGACTACTGGATCTGCTGCGCGCGTAGTTGAAGGATGATGGCGTTGTAAAGCCAGGCGAGCCAGTAGCTGTCTGGCCCGTCAGGGTTAGTGGAACTTGAGGATGTCGGATAGTGGTATCGCTGCGCAATCGTCGTGCTGGTGTTGTAGTCTCCCGAGGTGGAGTGACTAAAGGTCGTAGGCCCTGCTCTGGGGCTGACGGACCTTTAGCTACCTCGGGGACAACTGATTTCGGGGCAGAAAGCCGCTTCTCTGCAGGCTCAAGGTTGAGGTTAAGGACATTGTAAGCATTTCGCAATTCGACCACGCTGCCATACATCATCAACATCAGAGAACGCACATAACGTGGATCTCCATTGGAGACAATCTTGGAAGCGCTGTTGCGTAACTGGGTGCCAACATGCGTGTAGGCTGCAATGCATGTTTCACACTCTCGCTTCACAGCTTCATTCGCTGCCCGCGTCGAATCTGGTTCATCCGATAATGATGCTTCTGCATTCTCCAGAGCTTCGTTGAGCCGTTCAACATGGGTTGAGGCATTGTAGAACACAAGTTCAAGGCTGTGGCGTCGGGTATCATCACGCTTAATCACATTGATCAAGGTAGAAATGTGGGAATGAACTTGGAATAATGCAAACAAAATCCCCTTGGCACTTTCAATGATTGGATCCACAGTACCTCTTTCGCCCTTATGTTCAGGAAGGCTTGACATTCGATTCACCCAGCCGTCTCGTGGGCGGCGCCTGTCTCTGGGGCTGCTAGGACTGGATGAACTACTACCACTTGCAGGAGCAGTTCCAGCCGGGCGTGTACGAAGCACAGATCCATGACTAAGACCTCGCAGATGGCTGTTTCGGTATGGCCTGGTTTCATCCAGTGTCCCTAGATCTGTGTTCTTGCGAGTGATGACTCCCATACGCTTGTTCCGAGCAGCAAAAGATGCCTGAATAATGCCCTCACTGTTGCTTCGGTTGCGCTCATTGACCATATGCGGCGTAACACTGGGTCGTCTGAGGCTTTCAATGTGATAGCTGCCACTTTGCTGCCCAGAAGCCATACGATAATGTGACTTGACCGGCATTCCTGCTGTTGGTACACGTGACAATGATGGGGAACGAGAGGATGATGCGGAGCTATCCCCGGTGCTAGGAATCACAGGGAACCGGCTGCTTAGCTTGCGTTTCACTGGTACCGGCTTTGGTGTTTCGAACGATGAGCTCTCACTGTTTGAAAATGAATCAGCATTGCCCCCGGGCTTCAAAATCGCGGTCTTGCATACCTTGCATCTGTGCTAAACTCGGGCTCAGGGGTACTTGATTGCTGTTGTCGTGTCTTTAAAAACCGCTTCAGCTCAGCAGTGACTGCAACTTCTTTTTCATTGTCAGTCATTGCCGATGGTGCCATGTCCGCTTCTGATGCCTCTAGAACACGCCGGAGTGGAGAAAGTAGAGGATTTCCTGCAACTTTGAGGATCTGCAATTTGTTCATATCAGAAAGTCCAACAGGTAGGTCCACAAGTCGATTCTGCATGACAGAGAGCACGCGTAATGACTTCAACCTACTGATCTCGTCAGGTAGTGCGCCAATCTTGTTGCGACTGAGATCGAGGATTTCCAGTAGTGGTAGTTTGTAGACCTGAGAATCATTAGTCAAGTCTAAGGAGACTTAAGACCAAAGGTAAGTACATACTCCTTTGGGAAACTCTCGGAAATTGTTTGCTCTGATGTTAAGATATCGAAGATGACAACATTCGGCGAAACGGTAGGGAATGTGAAAAAGGTGGTTGTTAGAAAGAGACAGCCTATAAATTATTGTTAGAAACGCTAGTCAACAATGGCCGCTACCATATACTAAGGTCGCAGCAACCTATATGGTCCAGGCATACCGTTCCACTTCATCTTTAATTATATCCACCACAGGCTCCGGGATTCGCACAATATGTGAATGGCCCAGATCAATCGTCAATTTAGGCTTGACAACATCAGTTACAGCTTCACTTCCCGCCAATGAGCGCTTGGTATCTTGTATTCCACTCTCAACAGCACGCTTTGCAAGCTCGATGGTTTCGTCCGGTGTCAGTGGTTTTGGTCCAGATCCTCGCTTGCCATTATTTCCAGGCGCATCACCCATGGCTGTGCCTGGCCTTGAACCTTCTGTTTCAAGACTTGGGAACCCTTCATTGTATGACAGTGGCGGAGGTACAAGAGAATCGTGTGATCCTTTCTCTCCCCCGTCCTCCTCGGTGGGCCCAGGAAATGAACGAGGGCCGCGAACGGTATCTTCAGGACGACTCATTGTGGACATCGCTCGCCGGCGCTAGGGTGTATATATGCGCTTAGATCGCAAGCGCGCCAAAGGCCAAAGTAATCCTCCCAACTTGTAACCATTACCAGCGTGAGAGAAATTCACTCCACCCAAGCATCGTCGACAGGGTTGGTGGGTACGAAGGGTATGATTACGTTTGCGCGGGATTCGGGGCAACGCGGCCGCGTGAGACGTGGCACAAGCGACGAGTCGATTAATGTGATGCAGCTCGGCAGGAGGGATGACAGCTCCGAATTATTCGGACTCGGGCAGAGAAATGCTCTGCGGAGGAATGGCGCAACGAAGAGTACTCGGCTGGGGTGAAAACGGTCGTGATCTTCTACCACGATAGATGGTACGATAAGGATCGGATGAAAGAATGTTCGTATAGAGGAAAGCAAAGATGATCAGGTGATCATATAAATGTATGCTGCAATGCGTTCAAGATCCCTGGAATTTTGGGGCCAGCACACGCAGTTCAGGCTGGAATGAAGGGAAGTTGAAGAGGCTGGAAGTGCTGTGATTGGGCGAACTGGAGCCTGATCAACGGTTTCTGCGTGTTTCAGCTCCAGGATTAGTGAGGCCCACTAAGTGAACTGTCCAATTGGAAACATTATATGGGCTATTTTTGCATGATGTGATGTTCATTCGAAGGTTGACCTGGTCGATTTTATAAGCGATCGAGGTAGAACTGCACTGTCGAGTCGTCCCAGATGATATACATGTAAACACTTTTTTGCGGGGGATCTTCGCTAGTGAGAACCATACTGTGTTCTTGGGGAGCTATGAAAAAATATAACATTTTGAACAAAAAGAAATAATAATAATGTACATGACCATAGAGGTAGAGTATCAAACGACTAACAAAACATAATATATGGCCAACATGCAAATGACGTGGATGCTTTGAACGTCTACTGTGCCGGCTCAGCCTCTGCGCCTTCAAGACTGGCAGGAGCCTCCAAGTCGTTCTCTGTCGCAAGTTCTGGAGCACCAGATAAAGCAGCAGCCCGCTGTCCAACAATCTGAGCCTGTGTCTTGGCCCATTCCTTCCAGTTCTCATGCTGCTTATCCTCCAATTCCATACCAATATCCAGATAACGGGGTCCGAAGTTGGCACCAAATGCCTCCGCTTCCTCGGCGGCAACCCGTCGCTCAATATCCTCTTGCAAACGAATGCGGTAGAATTCTCGGCGGGCAATGTCGTAAGCTCCATCCTTGGTCATATCGGGCACGTTGTTTAGGAGCCAAAGTTGTCGTTGGACCACACTAGAGAAGGCACAATGTTAGTAATGAATTGAGATCTCGTCAGGATGATAAAAATTACCTTTCACCATCTAATCTCTTTCCGGGCTGACGGAGGCGGCTCCAGTCGTAGTTCTCATGGTCCTTTCCAGTACTCTCAATCAGAACACGAGGCCGGGCAAGTTCCCAGGGGTGGTCCTTGAAGAATTGTGTTCGTAGCTCATCCTCCTCATATTTCAGCTGTACAGGTTGGAAAAGACGGCTGGGTTTCTTAGATCGGCGGCGTTTTTCTTGAATCTCCAACACGACCTGCGGCTGCGAGGATCCAGGGATTGTCTTCATCCGCTGTCGGACCAACTGATGTTGCGGAGGTCGGTTGCGAATCAAGGCTTCTGAAGGAGGAATATCACGGATAACATCGACCCATTGTGGCAGCTTGCTGATCTTTCCGCTGGCGAATTGGTTAATCGCGGTCTGTCGCACGCGAAGAGCTGTGAGATTGATTTTGCCCATGGCGACTGGGGAGGGATCGGAAACACAGTCCTTCAAAGAGACTGGGTTGAGTCAATCCTGTGAGTAATAGTACAATTGATCAATATAGATCTCTTGAAATGCGCTCAAGAGAATCCTAGGACCGTAAAAAGAAGAGAGACCAGAGGTTCAAAGAGGTGCGGAAGTTCGAAAAAGATGGGATTGGCAATACTCTGCGCCGATTGGTTTATTTGGCCTAACACGGCTCCACTGCAAAGCCAGAAAGTCCGCGCTCCATCAAGAAAAACAGTTCTTCCACTACATTGAACCCCCAATCCCCTGTTTTTCGACTCTACTTATCTACTTGGAAAATTTCAAGGTCTAGATTCAACATTGTGTCATTGGTCTAGGCCTTATTCTGGGACATGCAGGGCTGACCGAGTGCCACGATGTCTGTAATCTCATGCCTCATCTCAACAGGTCCCTCAGCTCGCCGAGCTTGCGAGATCCCTCCAAGTCGGTCTTGGATGAGCTTTCCTCCCGAAGCATCCATTCAATGTCTCATTCGAGATCTCCTTCCTCCCGCTCCTCCTATATCCGAAGCTTCTCTGCCCGCCGGCCTCGCCCTTCCATCGCGTCAATAGCAGACATTTTTGTCAGTTCGCTTGTCCTGGCAGGGTTCTGCCACGAGCACTCACCCAGGGGCCGTGGCTTGTCTACATTAGCTTTCCGGGCTTCAGAAACTAATGCTCGGAGACCCAGGAGGAGGGATGGAGCAATTCATGAGAAATCAGCAGTCCAGAGACACTGGCAGTTTCCCGGATTGTCTGTTCAACAATCGCAACCTCGATCATGGTTCAGTCAAGGTCTGGCGCAAGTGGAACATTTCAATCTGGAGAAACAAGATTTGGAACCCGGAATAGAACAAAGGCTGAATGAAAGTGATGGAGATTTACTGCCCCGATTACCAGAGGTCCTGGATCAACCTTCTCAGGACCACTTTTTCGACACAATACCTGCCGGTTACCGATTGGTAATCTCCTCACCCAGAGCCTTGATTTGCTTCATACCTAAAGAGTTAACGCCAAGTGAGCGAAAACGACTTAGAGCTGCTGCATTTTACCAGCGGTTATTGGGGGATACGTATTGGGAATTGGCATTGGATGCTGTGATGCCCCAAGACTTAGAAGTACGCCCTCGCAGGAGAGAGAAGACGCGCGATCAGACTGAAATCGAGTCCGTTGCAGCACTTGTTGAAGCCCTGAGGGGGGGCAACCGGGGCACGCAATATCTTTTCAACTTATACAGAGACATCCCAGAGCCTGGTGTTGCCTATTTGTCGAGATACAATCGTGATAAACTGTTGTCTGTATTTGCCGCCTCTCCCAATCGACGTTGGGTGGATTCCCGTCGCTACCTTGCGTTGGTTGAAGATATGATCCAGGCGAATTTTCCAATGTCGCTTCAAATGTGGACAAGTGCAATTTACATGTCTGGCCGGAGCCACCACGGGAAACTATCAAGACGACGTATGGTGCGGGCAATCGGAATATGGCAGAAGATGGAGCATCAGGCTGGAATTCGTGCAGATGATGTTGTATTCAATATCTTGTTTGACATTGCCATTAAAGCCAATCATTATACCGTGGCAGATCGTCTAGAGGAAGAAATGCAAAGACGAGGAGTCAAATTTTCCCGGTCGGGGCTTGTTTCCAAAATCTACTCTTGTGGAATGCGACATGATTTGACGGGAATTCGTGAGAATTTCGAAAAATTTGTCCAACAAGGACAGTTGGTTGACACTGTGGTATTGAATTGTCTCATGGCAGCTTTCCTTCGAGCCGGTGACAAGGAGACTGCGGAGCAGTTGTATGCGCGAATGATTAAAGCACAGGTTGAACAAAATAAGTCTCGAAAAAAGTCTTCCTCGGGTGAAAGTCCGCCTACAAATCACAAGGCTCGTCTGTCGCCAGAGTTCACACACTACCGATCAAAGAACAGAGAAATCGGCCGCCTTCTCAAAATGTCTAGTCGCCTCCGAGAAAGTTTGCCTGACTGCCACAAAGCTCTTCAGGAGTCCCTTCCTATGACACCCGACTCGCGGACCTTTTATATCTGGTTGCAACAGTGCGCTCTCACTGGTGACCTTGAAATGTTTATGAATGTTCTAAGGGACATGGAACAAACGTTCGAGATTCCGCCACGTCATCTCGTCTACATGCTTCTTTTCCAAGGCTTCAGTCTTCATGGGCGCCACAGGAAAAGAAGTTGGGATTCAGAAAAGGGACGGTGGAAATATGAAAACCAACAATGGACGGAAAAGAAGCTTCGACTGACTTGGATCTCTTTTCTATCCGCTGTACGAGACTCCAGGGCGAGACAAGATGGGCAGCCCCGCAAATATCCTATCAGTTGGGAAAACCCTTTGAGAGATCTGGACACTGAGTATAAACTCGCAGCCTCTCAACCCTCAACCGATCCTCATGAGCTTTACATGAACCTGCCAATTAAAGACCCGAAATCCTCGCTCCCCACACCCAAAGAGAAGTCTCAAATTCGTCAGCCCAGCAGTGTGGGTGACGAAGATGCACTCGATCAAGAAGAAGAAGATGAAGAAGATGAAGATGAAGAAGAAGAAGACATTGCGGATGTTAACTTGGATCCGGAGGGAATATTTTTGTCATCCAGACTCAATGGGAGTGATGGTATCGATAAAACCGAGCCCGACGGCCAGACTCTCAACTATATCTCCAGTCGACTTGAGAATGGGGTTTTTGTCGGTCGTGCTATAGTCATTAATATCCTCAAGGCCTTTGGTGCTTGCAGCGGACCCGATGAAGTCCTTGAGGCTTGGATGCAACTGGAGGGTTTCTGGCCACATCAGAAGCGTAAAGCAACTGACATGCTTGCTGTGAATGCGGTGCTTCAGGATGCTTTAGAGCGGGGGGCATCTAAACCTGGCCAGAAAGAGAAGACAGACTTGAAAGGAGAGGGAGAAGAGGTTAAAGAGAGAGAAGATGTTACTAAAGAGTGACACTTGTACATTATTTGATACCTAAACATACCATATACCAATTCATTTCAGCGAGCAATTTTAATACTCTCCAATCCTACCAAATCTACGCATAGTTTAACTTGAATGTAATCTGAATACTCCATTTTATATAGATAAAAGGATATGGATGTTTTAAATATTGATTCACATCACGTGAACTCGTGCCAGCGCTTTCCCGCTTGAAGACGCGTATCGAGTTCCCGTTGTAAAATCATTGATGCGCCAACTTCGAAAGCTGACAGATCACTCTAAGTCTCCAGTTTCTGCTATGCTGCCTTATGGCTGATCGTGGATCATTTACACGGCGCAGGCCTGATCTTGAATTCTACCTGCACCGTGTTTTTCGCAAAAAGTCCTTCCGGTAAGTACATCATCTTGAAAAAGACGCGGCTGAAAACTAACGCCCCACTAGTCCCCTCCAGCGAGAAGTGATATCAGCAGTTGTTGAAGATCACGATGTCTTCCTTCAGGCGTCGACATCCTTCGGGAAAAGTTTATGCTTTCAGCTTCCAGCAGTCATCAGCAATGGATGTGAGTATTATTATTGTCCCAGGGTCTGTACTTCAAGTGTCTAATTATTATTTCATACCTAGTGACTATTGTCATTTGCCCTCTCCTGGCCCTTATGGTATGCATACCAAAATCATACTTAGTATGATATGTCACTAACAACCCCAGATGGATCAAGTTAATGCTCTCCAAGCCATAGGAGTCGCTGTTTCAACAATCAATTCCAACACATCATTAGCAGAGCGACGGCTTATACTAGATGACATGCTTTCCGGGCATCCACGTACACGTCTTCTGTATGTGACCCCAGAACTCTGTCAAACAGACAGCTTTCGCCGGAATCTTCAAGTCGTCCATCGACAGGGTCAACTGGCTCGCGTTGCCATCGATGAAGCCCATTGTATCAGTGAATGGGGTCATGACTTCCGCCCAGCCTACCAAGAACTTGGATGGTTTAGAAAGAATTTGCTCAATCCTGCTGTTCCCATCACAGCTCTTACGGCAACTGCCACTCCACGAGTTCGCACGGATATTATCAACATGCTGGGTTTAGATCCCACAAAACTCAAACTCTTCAATACCCCATCTGCCCGTCCTAATATTCACTACGAAGTTCGATATCTGGAGAACTCCGGGGAGGATGAAGATTACCAAGTGGAAAACCTTCTACGATACCTTAAGGCTATCCGCAAAAGACGAGAAGCTCGTCTAGGTGCCGAAGAAGCTGCTCGTCAGCCACCAGTCTCAGGAATAGTGTATGTCGGTCTTCGTGCGATGGCAGAGCATCTCGCAAGTCGCCTATCCCAGGAAAAAAGTATTTCAGCAGTAGCCTACCACGCAGGCTTAGCATCACAAGACCGAACACGCATCCAGGCACTGTGGACCGCTCCTCAAGCACCTTCACAAAATAGCGGTGGTAAACAGGTACCTACGTTCTCAATAATCGTTGCTACCAATGCTTTTGGCATGGGAATCGATAATTCGCACGTCCGTTTCGTTGTGCACTGGACACCTCCGCGCAGTTTCGAGGGCTTCGTTCAAGAATCAGGTCGAGCAGGTCGGGACGGACGTGCAGCTGCTTCTCTTGTTTATTACAATTTGCAAGAGCGAGATCGAATTGTTGATCGTATGAACCGGGATACGGAAAATATGCGCAATCGTGGGCCCAAGCCTTTGATTGCGAGTTTGATGAAGAATCAGGAGGCACGTCTGGATAGTTTTAAAAAAGTCGTGCGGTACTGCGAAAGCGTGATCAGATGTCGACATGACCTGATTAAGGAACTGTTTGGTGACTTCGAACTGGAAGAAATGGGCTCGCAGCAGCCACCGTCGTCGCAGGCGCCTAGAGCAGCTGGAATGGGTCTTCCGGGTTCAACGCCTTGTGATTACGCTTGTGATTTCTGTAAGGAGGGTCGTGTGGCTCTTGGGAAACGGAAGAGGAAAATGTACTCGTGCATGTCCGAGTATATGATTGATGAAGGATATGTTTAATCCCCACATGCATTTTACTATTGTTACGGGGATCTGCCAGTGTATCATCCATTTTCTGTATAATATAGTCATAATTTTGGATGAAGCAATACGAATAGAAAGCTGTCCATATCAGACCTCATTGAGTCTTCTACTAGTAAAGTCTGAGATTCTGTATATTATTATCAATGACCAAGAAAGTGATTCTCTGGAAACCTAGAAAGATGAGCATATCCAGTCAAGGCTTCACAAGAGAGATTAAACAATGATCAGTTATCAGTTTGAAAAGTCACTGAGGTATATGCCGTCTGGCTTGGAACAAACCTAACACCGACTCGGATCAATTTACAAGAAAGGGAAGAACTGCTATTTAGCAAAATATCATGACCAATGTAACTTGCACTAAATCGAAAAAAAATCGCTTTATCCTTTCTCCACTTTTGAAACAATCAAGACGAAACTTGCCATGTATTTTCTTTTGCCTGCCAGGAGGCACAGACCCTTTATCCAGCCCCTGCACTACAGACCAGGAGGGGGAGGAACCTAACAAATCCAATCAGCCATCCATATCAAACCCATTTCAGAAGGTAGAATTTTCTTGGGAGTATCATACCGAGCTGTAGCTACCTCCACCGGGAGGTCCACCGGGAGGAGGAGGAGGCGATCCGGAGCCTGGGGGGAGGGGGCGGAGGAGCATCATTAGACGGGGGAGGAGGGGGAGCTGAGCCCTCTGCCTGCTGTTGTTGCTGTTGCTGAGCGGCAGCAGCTTGCTGGTAATACTGGTAGTATGCCACATAGTTCTGGTATCCGCCGTATGCGGCGTAAGGGTCAGTAGTCCCGTAGTACTGAGCGTACTGAGCACTGTAATCGACCATGCTGGCGGCATTGGCACCACCCGCGGCACTCTGAGTAGTGGGGCTAGCGGAGGCGCCAGGGGATTGCTGGTGCTGATGGTGCTGGTTTTGTTGCTGGTAATCATTGCGGCGATTGTATCCGCCACCGTATCCGCCACGATCACCTCCACGCTCACCACGATCTCCGCGGTCTCCACGGTCACCTCCATGATGACGGTCTCCACGCTCACCACGGTCACCACGGTAGCCTCCATAGCTATGCTGGGGTGGGTTATCTTTGAAGTTCTGGTATTGCTCCTTGACGTTATTAAGGAGATCTAGGCAGAGTTCTTTAGCAGCTTCAACATCATTCGCATCGGGTCCTCTGATATATTTTCATTAGTCAAGGTTCATCGTATGAGGGAGTGGTAGTCTTACGCAACGTGCAAGAACATCGCTTCATCGCTCTCTCGTCCAGTGCTGGATTCAATAAATCCGGATCCTCGGCCCTTGATCTGGACACGGCAGCGAGTCTTCTGCTGGATATGCTTGACATAAGCACCACCCTGACCGACAACCTGGGCACGGAGGTTGAAACCAGGGATTGGCTCCAGGTCAATGGGAATGCGCTCATCGGGCCATTTGCGCTATTATTTGTTAGTGAGTGGGTACATCAGGGTTTCTTTCCATTATGTGAGTCCATACACGACCATACTCATCGCGCTCAACGGGCTCTGGCTCTCGTCGACGGAATCGGCGCTCATCAACCAAGTTGGGCAGTTCCTTCTGCATCAGATCATCAATAATTTTGACAGCCTTCTCAAGACCTTCTTTTGTTTGACTGGTGACATGAAGATAGAGTGGGGGGGGTTCTATTCCGTAACAATCAGCATTGATCTTCTGGAGGATATCAGGCTACTCACTGCAGCGGTCGACATGTTCTTGTCGGGGTAATAACTTCCGCGCGTGGTGACATCTTGTAGAAAAGTAAGCAATGAGCAGATTTATCAACAGAATGCACAGGTAGGCGTACCGGCGCCAGTCTCATCTTTAATCTAGAAATCACGCAGCGGAGGTCAGCAGATGCAACAGAGGGAATGTGGAGTACTATGCGTTTAGTTGATCTTGAGTAAGCTTCATCCAACCACATAGTAAACAAATAATATTAATGGGCATTTGAAAAGGAATGAGGTCCAAGAAGAGAAAGCCATTCTTAGCCCATAGAGAGGATGCTTGTCTGGAAGATCAGTGGAGCAGTAGCAGGAGTAATTTACCATCTGTTGAGTTGAACCCTTAGTCAGGGTGTAGCGGTTACGCAAATCGTTGATTTCGATATCCTTGATGTAATCTCCATCGGTGACATAGATGTCCTTTCCGGTGCCATCTCCATTGCCGTCGGATTTCGAGCCTGGGCTGTCGGTCTAGAAGAAGTATGTGAGCATAGAATCCCCACCAAAAATCCCAATGATGTATTTACCGAGCGAATTGGGGGAACATCGACATGCTGAATGCCCTTCTTGGCCTGCAACTGGGCATTGATCTTCGCGGCGGCCGCAGCTGTTCCGAATATAATTTGGTTAGAACTGACATCGCAAAGTCATAGTAGACGCATCAATGCGGTACAAGCTTCAGACATACCTGCGGCAGCGGCTGGATCAGACTTGGCTGATGCATCCCCCGCGGGGCTTCGAGGCTCGCGGCTCAATGGACTACGGGTCCGGGTAGACTCCGACTGTCTTGCGGATGGAGATCGCGAACGACGGTCGAATCGGGAGCGACGGGGTTCAGCTTCTGTTTGGTCGAAGCGCGAGCGCTTGGCGCGGCGGTCATCATCGGCCATGGTGATGTATGTAGGTGATGTAGCGGTGAGAGAAGAATTAAAGTGGACGAGTTCGAAAAAAATAAAGAAAAGGTCGCTATGGGTCGCGGGAAGGAATTATTGAAGAAAGGAGAATTGCCGGGACTCAGTCAAGTACATGAACCCCTCAATCGTCAATAACTGGAAGATGACTTCTCAGAAGTGATCCACGCGACGTCAAAAAAGTCAAAGAGTAGACACTCAGAAGCTGAGTCTCTAGGTTCTCAGTAGATTTCTCAAGGGCCACACTTAATACAAAGCGCATCGAAAACGTTCTAGGTCATGTGACTCCCGTATGCCAATCTAGCTAATCCCAGACTGGACTAGGGTGTAATGACTCAGCGCCGGCCGAGGTCGGAGCTAACACAAAAAGAATACGGTGATTCTGGAGGTGATTCATCGCACTACCCTTGGTGTTGCTGAACGTCAAAGATGGCTTTCAGGTATCCATTGGCGCTGTCCGCAGCGTCAGCTTCGACTCTATCCTCAACTGCAGCTGCCGCCCGGTCTCGTACCGCCACCGCGCTGCCTCGATTCACCACCGTCCGTGCCTCGTCCAGCTCGACTTCCGCTCTGGCCTACAAGGCATTGCACCGCCGTTCTCCTCTTCCTCTGCCAGTCAATGAGACCTCTGCTCAATGGGATGCCCCTACTGCTGTCTCTTCGATTCTCTACGAGACTCCCGTGCCCCCCTCCAACCCTCCTAAGCGCCATGTTCTGAACTGTCTGGTCCAGAACGAGCCCGGTGTGCTGTCCCGTGTGTCCGGAATTCTGGCCGCTCGTGGCTTCAACATTGACAGTTTGGTCGTGTGTAACACCGAGGTCGAGGATCTGTCCCGTATGACCATTGTCCTCCAGGGTCAGAACGGCGTTGTCGAGCAGGCTCGCCGCCAACTGGACGACCTTGTCCCCGTCTGGGCCGTTCTGGACTACACCGAGTCCGCTTTGGTCCAGCGTGAGCTGCTGCTTGCTAAGGTCTCTATCCTTGGTCCTGAGTTCTTCGAGGAACTGCTCCAGCACCACCGTGAGATCACTACCCCCGGTGATCTGAGCAAGCAGAGTGGCCAGGCCCAGGAGGTCGAGTACCACCCTCGTCACCTGCCCCTCAGCCAGGCTCTGCGCCACAAGCACGAGCACTTGGATGCTATCACCCGCCTGACCCACCAGTTCGGCGGTAAGGTCCTGGATATCTCCACTAACAACTGCATTGTTGAGGTGTAAGTAAACCTATATGCGTACTTTTTGAACATTACTCTAATCCAATATCCCATCAGGTCCGCCAAGCCCAACCGTATCGACTCTTTCCTGAAGCTGGTCGGTCCCTTCGGTATCCTTGAGTCTACCCGTACCGGTCTCATGGCTCTGCCCCGTTCTCCTCTGTCTGAGCAGAGCGAGGAGATCGAGAAGGACGCCGCCGATGTCGTTGATGCCAGCACTCTTCCTCCTGGTTAAATGGGATGTTTCCACCTGTTTCAAAATACACATACCCAATATGAAGGATCCCTTTTTGCGCATTATCAGCTTTTCCGGTTTCAGTCTTTGTTCACTATTTCGAGGTTTATTTTTATATCAATCTGTAAAATGGCAATGTTTAAGCGTTTTCACTGGATTCATTGAACTCTGTAGTTCTGCAAATAGGCTAGTCTTGCTTGAGGTTCATCTTGATTTACTATATAAAGTTATGTTTTCATCTCAACGTTGAAACTTGAATCTCTAAACCAATTCAGAATACTCAAGGGATAATAGCCATCCATATTACAGTAAATATTCGAATACTAAAGAATGAGCCAGCATTCTAGTACATCAGAGCTACCACTTGATATTAGCTTCAATACCTTTCCCCCGATAAACGACAACATTCTCATAATCTCCGATCCTGATGCCAACCTTCGCCACTGTATCCATTGCCAGTGACTGGCCTAAAGCCCGACGCAGTGCATCATATGCACCCCCACCAAGGACCAGATTGACCGGAAGACGCGGTGTTTGTGACACACCCGGTGGGATATCGAATGGCTCGTTGTAGTCAATTCGTCCTACGGGTTCATCCTCCTTGTAGAATGCAACGGCATGTATGGATGTAATCGTGATACTGGTGGAAGTGAGTGGCGAGAAAAGGGTGAACTCGGCAGTGGAAGACCAGAGATGGACCTGGAATGCATTTAAGTCAGTATATCAATGGTGATACAAGGAGGGTTCCTGCAATGGGAGCTACCGTACCGTTGCGTCTTGGAGAAAGTGTGAGCGGCCTTCATCTTCGTCATCTGGTGATCCTGGTGCTGATATAGTGGGAAGTGGGACATCAATTCGAAGAGATGAAAGTGCTTTCCCAAGGTCTGGCAGAGCAGGTATGCTTCCTTGATGGACCTGAATTGTAACACTCGTGTTTGATCCTATATCCAAAAATGTAAGCAAGCGGCCAAAGTTGAATTTGTTGTATCGGGTCTTGTACGGAACTCACCTGAAATAAATGATGATATAAGTGCCTGTCCAGCTTTTATCCCGTCAAGTCCACCATTCCGTAGCGGATCCCATGAGAACTCTACTTCAACATTGGTATTATCTCCAGGGGCCAGAGAGAAATTGCGTGCAGTGACATGAGCAAGAGCAGTGTTGTTAGATAAAACCAATGCGTCTGCGAATGGGATGGTTGCAGAATACTCTGTCGGGTTTGTAAAGTTGACTCGAGTCAACACAGACAGCGAGGAATCAGTGGTTTCGACTACTTCTAGAGACACGATTCGAATGTGTAAATGATCAATTGAGTTGCCAGACGGGGCTATCAACAAGTTAATGACCGAAGACAAAAGAATTGCTGGATTTGTACTATTCTAATTTCATGAAAACATACTCTTCACATGGACATCTCCATCTGCAGGAATCCCGCGCACAGCAAATCGGCCCAATCCAGTTGCGACCTTTGCATCTACGTTGGCATCCACATGAAGAACGATTTCTTTGCTACCAAATAGCATATCCTGCACGAGTTGCGACAATATATCACTGTCTGTTACCTCCAAAGGAGCCTCTTCGATGGCAAATTCCACGAGCAACACCGAGGCTCCATCCACATCTTTCACAATTGTTGAATTGGCGTCTTGCCATTTGTCGAGGTTCAACTTTCCAAGCTCTTGGCCCGAGTAGTATACGTTTGTTAATGCACGAACATGGGGGACATCAACACGAAGATTCATTTCCTGTGGGATGGCGATGAGAACCTTCACTAACGCTGATACGGTTGGCTGGGCCTCCGGGGTCCCCGGCTCCGCAAACGGGTCGGGAAGAGAAAAGCGTGTGTCTGACATGGAGAAATTCTTCACCAGGTTGTCCAATGCTTTATTCGTGAATGGTAGAGGAATCTTAACACTGCGAAGAAGGTCGACCATCCATTCCGGGGCCCCAGAAAGCGAAGGTGCATCTGCTCCCCGTATGTATATTGTTGTCTCGAGGCCTTTGATGTAGCTTGAGACTAAAAAGTCCAGAGGTGAGCCATCTCCACCCGGGCACATGGTAGTCAGCTCCTCTGGCAGTCTCCTAACGATGCCTTCGACGCTCACACTGGTGACTTGGTTGGGTGCGACTTGAATTTCTTGAGTCTGTGCACTGGCGGCTAGGATATATGGATCTCCTGGTAAGCAATTGGGCACGAGAATGTCAAAGCCCAGAGCAGGCACTGTTAAAGCAACAGGCGAGTGGAGCATCGCATTCACGGAAGCGTCAACTTCCATCGTTCCATTGTCGCCATCATGCACATTCAACTGGACAAGGTTGATGTCTGGTAGCGCAGGGAAATCGTTCTCTATATACTCTATTAATATCATAAGTAGGATTGGGTTATTCTTCAAGACTCACCTTCAAATGTAATGGTATCAGCGAGAACTTGGGTTCCCAAGGCTATTAAGCCTGACTTCAAGTGTAGTGTTGCTTTGCCTTTTACTCTGAGACGAGCCAATCTCCCCTCTATCCAATCCATAGCAATTCCATGAATTCCCTTCACATCACCGGCAGTAAGATCGGTCAAGAAGTCAATCTCATTCTGATGACCGTTTCGAATGTTGACCTTAATGTTCGGCAACGCTGCGTTGCCGATCAAAACATTACCATATTCTGGTAGGTATACATCGACATCTGATGGGCCAGTTTCGATCTCTCTTGCAATCCAAGTCATAAATCGGCCATAATTTCGGACCGAGTTACTCTTCACTCGGGCCGAGTCCATAAAGAAGTTACCCTGGATGCGGGCACGGACCCCTTCGGGAGTGGTTGAGTCGATGGAGAGTGCAGTAGGCTGGAAGACAGCAGCCTCCTGTGCATACTCCTTCACTACGGCCGGCGTAGCAAATGCAAAGACGAGGATTGCCAGTATGGCAGTAGTCAAGCCTACAAGGGATATGACTGTTGGCCATCGTATCCGACTCTTCTTAGAGGGCTCGTCATCAGAGGGACCGGCCTCTGAGACGATTGATGGTGATATTGATGGTCCACCATCTGTGCCATATGTGATAACAATATCATCGCGACGATGTAAAAGAGGTGTCGACTCAGATGACAATTCAAATGATCGACGTTGACTCGGGCGAGTGGAGCTACCTGGTGTCAGGTGGTTCTCTTCGCTGGACCTGGCATGCCCTTCCAACAAAGGCCGACTTGCCTCCTCGTCGGCCATTGCAGATTAGAAATAAGGACTAAATGAAATGTTGTTTCTTGAATAGAGATGGCTCAATATGATGATGGGACGATGCGCGAGATGGGGGGGGATGGAGATGACGAGGTGACGATAAGCGATAACGGAAGTGGAGTCATCACACTAAGCCATATTTGGTAATACTTAATACCCTTAAATTCAGGCAGCAAGGCAAAAAGGCTTACCTTTCCGCGTTCCACTATTGGTGGATAGCACACACCGCTTATTTCAACATACAAAATTTCTGCCCAAAATTAAGAAAAGACCCCTTGAGCGGTGTGGCTAAGTGGAGTGCAAGCCACGGTTAGTGACCGCACATCCATCTCCGGATTTGATTGTTGAGTCATTGGCCCTCCACAGCTGAACTTTTCCCTCTTCCCCCAATTGCACCTGCACATATATCCCAAACACACACAACCCCCCCCTCCTGACATTATACCCCTCAGCCCATCATGGCTAGCGGTCTCAAAACTGCCACCCGTTATGGCGCCCAAAGTGTAACTCAATTCGCCGGCTCCACCTCTTCCCTTCGTCGAACATTCCAGGCTAATGGACTCCGACGATTTGCCCACCAGACACAAACCACACCCCCTACCTCTCCCTTCGCTCCTCGTCACCTTCTGTCAATTGCAGACTTGACTCCAGCTGAGTTCGCCACTCTGGTTCGCAATGCCGCCTCTCACAAGCAAGCTATCAAGTCCGGAGCTATTCCTACAAGTCTCCTGGGCTCTATGTCTGGCAAGACCGTTGCCATGATGTTCAACAAGCGAAGTACTCGTACTCGCATTTCTACAGAAGCTGCTACCGTTCAAATGGGTGGTCACCCCATGTTCTTGGGCAAGGATGATATCCAGCTTGGCGTTAACGAGTCCCTTTACGATACCTCCGTTGTTATTTCTTCAATGGTTTCCTGCATTGTTGCGCGTGTTGCCAAGCACTCTGACGTCGCAGATCTGGCTAAGCACTCCACCGTTCCTGTTATCAATGCGCTCTGCGACTCTTTCCACCCTCTCCAGATTATCGCCGATTTCTTGACGATCTACGAGTCTTTCACACCAAAGGCCCACGGCCTTTCTAGCTTGGGCTTGGAGGGCCTTAAGATTGCCTGGATTGGTGACGCCAACAACGTTCTCTTTGATTTGGCTATCGGTGCTACCAAGATGGGTGTTGATGTCGCTGTTGCTACACCCAAGGGCTACGAGATCCCCGCCGATATGCTCAAGATCATCCAAAACGCTGGTGAGGGTGTTCCCTCTGCCGGTAAGCTTACTCAGACCAATGTCCCTGAGGAGGCTGTCAAGGACGCCGACATCCTGGTCACTGATACCTGGGTTTCAATGGGTCAGGAGGAGGAAGCTAAGAAGCGCATGAAGGCCTTCGAGGGATTCCAGATCACTGCTGATCTGGCTAAGCGTGGTGGTGCCAAGGAGGGTTGGAAGTTCATGCACTGCCTGCCCCGTCACCCTGAGGAGGTTAGTGATGAGGTTTTCTACAGCCCCCGCTCTCTTGTGTTCCCCGAGGCGGAGAACCGTCTCTGGGCGGCTATCTCGGCTCTTGAAGGCTTCGTTGTGAAGAAGGGCAAAATTGTGGAGTAAGCTCGAGGTCAGCAAATGAAAAAAAGAAAAGGCTTTAACTCGGCTCTCCATGGAAGAAGAATGACGTTTTCGGGATTCAAGTCATCTTCGGACTGTAATTATTTCTTAAAAAATAAAATTGAACCGAAAGAATCATAACCAATGACTGCATCATAGCCGCTGTAACCATTCAGTTGAGCCAAATGAAAACCAATAATATAGATGTAAAGATGATTGTGTAGTCCGGGACACTCGGCATATCTAAACGCTCCAGATGGTTTCCAGTGTCCTTCCAAGGTTGTGTTCACACTGATTAGATAGTGTGTTCGGATATTCTGTGGGGATTTCGGAAGCTGAGCGTCACCACATAGCGGGGGTTCCGAACGCATCATAGGATGGTAATGAAAGGCTTGGTCTAATATGGGGTAGAAATCATATGAATGATACTATTATTTTATGAATTATTTATCTTAATCAATTCTTCTCTTTGTAAATGAGCACTCCTTACAAAGATGTAGGTTGTAGTTGAGTTCTCATGTTCTCATAGTACAAATTCTCCGACACTTAAGCACTTTCAGCCTCTTCACTTGCATGGATCAACGTACTAGAAAAAGAAAGTATACATTTGCAACCAGTGTATATTCCGCAATTTCTCAAGTTTCTAGAAGATCGGCCGGGAAACCCACAAATCTAAGATTCTCGAACTCGGAAGAGCTCAACGAGTGTATCACCCCACACTCTCCCCACGCTCCGAAACGCCTAACTCCAACGGTTGTCCAACCTGATACTTGATCGAAACCGCAATCCTGCAAGCGGGGGAGATGCCGACATCCCACCAATCCTGGGAATGCATATAACGCGCCATTGAACACGCTATATTCTTCCCTTTCAATTTAACTCTCATCAATTCTTCTTATCTATCTTTAATACTATGCTCTTTACCCCGCATCAATATGGGCTTCGAACACAAACGCATCGCCATTGTGGGTGGTGGCCTGGGTGGCATGTCCTTCCTGAACGCCGCTCTCTACGCCGGACTGAAGAATGTCCAACTTTACGAACAAGCAGCCCAATTCGGTGAGGTCGGTGCCGGTGTGAACATCACCTCAAATGCGAACCGCATCCTGGATGCTTTCGGTCTGCAAAAGAGCATGACTGCCAAGTCCTCACGCAAGCTGCCTTGCTACATGGAGTACCATAATTACAAGGATGGCGATTACTTGGGTCATATTGAGGAGTTTTCCTTCCCTCCCGCGCGACTGCTTCACCGCGCACACTTGCTAGATTCTCTGAAGGAGCGTGTCCCGCAATCTAGTCTGAATCTGGGAAAGCGTCTTGCATCCGTTGACCGGAACTCCGACGCAAGTGCTGCGCCTTACACCTTGCACTTTGAGGATGGAACTACTGCCGAGGCTGATATCGTGATTGGATGCGATGGTATCAAGTCAAATGTGCGCCGTGACATGGGTCTGGGCGACTCACCTAATTACTCTGGTCAGGTTGTGTACCGTGGTTTTGTCGACTACAAGGATTTGCCTCAGGAGACTGCGGATCTTCTTCGGAAGACTGTGAACTTCCGTGGCCCGAGTCGACACGTTCTTATTCTTCCTATTGGTAATAAAGAAACTCAAACCGACCGTGCCGCCGTTATCGGATTTATGTCAGAGCCTTTGGAGGCCTGGGATTCGGAGAACTGGATGGCGCGCTCGGATATCGACAGTCTGCAGGAGCATGTCCGGGACTGGTGTCCGCAGGTACAGGATATTATTGCTGGTTTGCGCAAGAGCTCATCTGATGGAAAGATGCTTAAGCAAGCACTTTATGTGCGTGATCCGATGGAGCGCTGGTACGAGATGAAGGATGGTCAGAAGGACGCAGGTATTATTCTTCTGGGCGACTCCGCACATTCCACCCTTCCTCATCAAGGTATGTCTCTCCTCATACAAACTTCTTTATTCAACACAAAGAATTCGATCGCTGATAATTTGAAATAGGTCAGGGAACATGCATGGCCATTGAGTCTGGTATTGCGCTCGCCACTATTCTTCGCCACTGGAAGACCGACAATTTACAACAAGCTTTCGCCTTTTATCAAAATTTGCGCAAGCCCAGGACAGACCGTGTCACACAGACGAGCTTTGAAGCGGGCAAATTGGCTAGCTCAGACACGCCGGACCAGATGACTAAGAAATTTAATCCACAAGCCCTCGGGGAGCGTATGAAGTGGATTATGGAGTATAATGTTCTGGAGGATTTGAAGACCAAGGGAGCTGAGGTCTTAGACTTCCATGATTCTCGGCTGTAAATATTCACTACATGTAACGCTAGTTAGATGGTTCTAAACACGCAGTTATGTACAAATTATAGTATGTCTACGGTGGCATACAGTATACTATAGCCGCCGGTTCAAGTTTTCTGATATTTCATATTATTTTCAAAAAATCATTCTCAAGTTGGCTACCTATCAAGAATCTCAAGTAGTTGACTTCCAACCTTGCAAGGCTCCAAGGTTGTTCATCCAACTGGGGCAGGAGAACCTGTTCAGGTGGTTCTATATGAATTAATATTACTTCATCCCACGCCCACCTAGCCAGTAGATCAACAACATTCATAGGTTACAAGGAGTTACTACAATGTTTACTTCTAAAGTTTTATGAATAATAGCTTGAAGGAAGAGAGGCGTCAAAGAGTTCAATTGATGGAGGAGGTACCAAGGTACTGTGAGCTTTGACAGGCAACATCGCGTCAATACAAAAAAAAGAAAATACAGGAAAGAATACATAAAATTCAAAGCAACCAAGTCGAGTATCCAAGTTTGAAGAAGACCATGTGTTGGAAGACCAAATAAGACCATGTTGTAAGACCGTGATGAGAGTCAAGGTTGGTTTGAAGACCGAAGGAAGGATTAGTCAGGCCAGGTAGAAGATGAATCAGGCGTCTGTGAAGACTGAGGCTGAGTAGAAGATTGATCAGGCCAAGTATGGATAAGGCCAAGTGGAAGTGGATCAGGCGTCAGAAGGCTGAGGCTGAGTAGAAGATTGATCAGGCCAAGTATGGATAAGGCCAAGTGGAAGTGGATCAGGCGTCAGAAGGCTGAGGCTGAGTAGAAGATTGGTCAGGCCGAGTAGAAGATCGATGGATCAGGCCAGGCAGAGGTGGGTTGGTCAGGTCAGGTCGGTTTGGTCAAAATGAAGTTGAATAGTCGAGGATGGTTGTTTGATCATACAGGAGTAAATAAAAAAATTGTAGACGCGAGTTGGGAGGCGCTGAAGTATGTGGATGGTTGGTTGAGTGAGTGGATGGTTGAATAGACAGTGGATGGATGGATGATGATTGAATGGTTGGTTGAGTGAGTGGATGGTTGAATGACGAGTGGATGGTTGAATAGACAGTGGATGGATGGATGATGAGTGAATGGTTGAATGATTGAATAGACAGTGGATGGATGGATGATGAGTGAATGGTTGAATAGACGGATGAGACTTGGGTAGTTTGTTGTTGAAGAATGTGTTGAGACGATGTGTGGCAGGCCGAAGGTAATTTTTCAAGGCCGCCAAGGTAGAAGAAGGAAGAGCTGAGTGAATGTGAGCTAGGTGTAAGAGTAAGACTTGTATTGTGGATGCGACTTACCTGTGGTGGTCACAGCCAGAGCCGAAAGGGTGGAGTTTTTGAGAGGTTATATTTGGAACAGCGTGGTATAGAGAGAGTTGCATGTGGAGGATGTAGAAGGGTGACGTGAGGATAGAAAAGACTGGAGAGGAATATCAGCAAGCTGTGGACGTGGCTTGGTGGTGAATGAGACTTACCCAGAGATGGTCAAGTGGAAAGATGCGAAAGTGGGTTAAGTAGGTTGAAGGTTGGAAGTGGAGTAGGATTTTATTCAGTCCTCCTCGCTCATTGACCAGAAAGAATTGTATGTAGGAAGCTGAAGACCAGGTGTGTGTGTGTTGTATCAAGGTTGGCATGGAAGAATAGAGTATGTAGTTGTGGGTGAGGTCGAAGGTCAAGTGCATGGTCAAGGTCGCAAGATCAGGGTCGAGGTCCGAGTCCAGGTCAGGTCGTGTCGTGTCGTGTCGTGTCAAGGTAGATGTGTCAAGGCCGACAAAGCTTGTAGTGGAGGATGGTCAAGGCCGACAAAGCTTGAAGTGGATGGTGGTCAAGGCCGACGAGGATGGTCAAGGCCGACGAAGCTTGTAGTAGAGGATGGTCAAGGCCGACAAAGCTTGTAGTGATGGTCAAGGCCGACAAAGCTTGTAGTGATGGTCAAGGCCGACAAAGCTTGTAGTGGAGGATGGTCAAGGCCGACAAAGCTTGTAGTGGATGGTGGTCAAGGCCGACGAGGATGGTCAAGGCCGACAAAGCTTGTAGTGATGGTCAAGGCCGACAAAGCTTGTAGTGGATGGTGGTCAAGGCCGACATGGAAGACCGAGAAGACCGAAGACCGAGGTGGACGACTGACATGTGTTGGATGGTCAAGGCCGACATGAATGTCAAGGCATGGAGGGACCAAGATGGAAGCCTGAGGTTGAAGTGGATGTTGGTGGTCATAGCTGACATGGAGGACAAGTAGAGTGTGATGACCTGGACCGGACCTTGAGCGAGGAGGATTGAACCTAGATGTCGGAGGGGTTAGTGCTGTACACTGTAATTCTTTGTCGACATGGGTGAAGCTACAGCAGCTGTCACGCGAAGGGGGTTAGTCGGAGCAGGGGGGGAAGAGAGGCTGTAGTTCTTGGGTTAGTCGGAGCAGGAGGGAAGAGAGACTGTAATTCATTGTCGACATGTGTGGGCTACAGCAGCTACCACTGAGAGAGCACTTGAGGGAGAGAGAGAGTTAGTCGGAGCAGGGGGAGAAGAGAGGCTGTAGTTCTTGGGTTAGTCGGAGCAGGGGGGAAGAGAGACTGTAATTCTTTGTCGACGTGTGTGGGCTACAGCAGCTACCACTGAGAGGGAGAGAGTATGTGTGTGTGAGGAAGAGAGAGAGAGAGAGAGAGTTGGGGAAAAAAGAAAAGAGAAAGTCGAAAAGAGGGAGATCTTGGGGGAATTTATACCCTGGGGGAAGGGGTCCCCAGATCACCTCCAGGCAAGCGCGGATCAGATCACCCCAGATTAAGCGAAGATCACTCCAGGTTAAGCGAAGATCACTATCAGGAAAGATCGGACCAGCGCTGGTCAAGCGAGAACCACCGTCGGTAAACCAGGGGATTCTCTTCCTCCATACATCTCCTGATCCTGCATCCAGATCCTGATCAATTCCAAAGTTTTTCAGTTTGCCAGATAGCCCAATTCAAGCTCTATCTAATTGTCATTTTTTGAGCCAGTTTATCTGCCAAATTGGGCATGTAATCGTACGGTGCACTTCTAGCGCTTTCCCAAGTGGAAACTAACCCAACCTCGCTGGCTCTCGATGGATTTCTTAACTCAACATATTCCTTGATCCTGCATACTAATGTTGATTAATCGCAAAGTTTTGAAGTCTGGCAGATACGCCTTTCCGAGCTCTATATGACTCATACTTCTTAAATTATTTTCTCAGCTAAAGGTGGGAAGATCAGTCGATGAAGTTGCAGGTGTTTCCCAACAGAGGGTTTCCCAGAATTACAACCAAACTGATACCAGATGCCACCAGCCAGCCATCCTGCTTTCTCTGTAGCTCCATACCACACATGCACAGAATGCCAGTTGACAGTTTCCAGTACTCATTTTCATATTACTCCTTACTCGATAGGCCCAATATTCAGCTATAGTATTCCAAGAGTATAATCACGGTTCTTTTCTAGTTGCACGTAATATTCTATAACTATCTACTGCGATATTCACATATGATGTTCAAGTTCCTGTATACTTCAATGTTTCTGCGGTCAAAATTAAGCATATTCTCCACCGACGGGAATCGAGCCCGCATTAGCCAATTGTATCGGCCCCGCTAACGCCTCCCGCATTCCTAAATCCGTAGGGGTCCATAGAATAAGGGAACACTTCAAGTTAGTATGTAGTTATATGTTATACAATTGTTCATGATTAATTAAATAGAAGATCGCATCTTTAAATGCCGGGATTTAATATGATATCCGAGTCCGAGTCGGACTCAAGGACTACTATGCCCAGATATACTACCCATAGTACTAGTACTGTGTAGCACCAGTTGGCACTGGCAGGATATATATCCTGACTCGGAACCCTGGAACACATATCAATGTAGAGGGTCATCAACTGCAGTGGTTGCACTAGTATTTTCCTACTAAATAGTATTTTAGGTATGAAGATTCGATTATAAGCATAATATCTAAGTAATTTCTGGCCAAAACAAAGGAAGCAAAAAAAGATAACTATTTAGGTCATATTTGTACCCGGACGGTGTACCTAGGCCTTGCAATATCCGAGTGCACGGCCATTTTCACATGCCCGAACAGTCCGCACGTGCAGCACCTCCGCATTTTCAATTCTATTTCGTTCTCTTCTCAACTCGTTACACTTGGACATGAATGATTCGTCATAATATGGAGGTAAGTCAAAAATCAGATAAATATCTGAACTCAGAGAATACAAGTCTTAATATGAACCGCGTCAGTTCCATAACTCGAGTGGTTTTCCAAAACGCCGCTCATACCCCAACCTAAAACACATATCCCTGGCTCCACTTACTCCACGATTTCCCATCGACGACGACATAGATCAGCTTGAAACAGACTATTTTAGCTACCAGAGAGACGAACCGAAAGTCGCTACTGGCAGTAGAACCCCAACCAGGTCCTCATATCTCTCCAGTGTCTCCGTCCCTAGCACACCACCCATCCTTTCGCACTCGCGTAGCACATCCCGAACAAGACACCCCACCCGAAGCAAGAGTTCCACGCGCGCTACTCCAGCAAGCGATACAAACCTTACCAGACAAAATGTCTTGTTCCCTCTGCATCATAATACAGGATCTCACAAGAAACGCAGTGACGCGACCGTAAAATCCGATGCGGAATGGGTGCTCCGTGCCGGGATAGCGCTCGCATCTTCCACCCGCGAAGAAAAAGGGCAAAGCTGGCTCTCCAAGCGTGAATCTTCAACCAGTCTTGTTTCCGAAATGCCCTTTGAGGATCCTTCTGTCTCACATCACCGTAACCACTACCGTACGAAATCTGGTGCATCGTCGAGGAAGTCTCGCTCTGGTGCTTCGACGCCAGGTACGTGGTCTCGTGCTCATAGTCGTCGTGGAAGTCGGGCTGGATTAACCATGACGGCGCTTCCGCCTCTATCTTCTGCTTCTTCTGCTTCAATAGGGAAGGTTGCTAGTCCCAGGACCAGCACCGCGACGGAGACCATTAGTCCTGAGATTCGGGGCCGAGGGAGTGGCAGTGGGGTGGGACTGGTTCCTGATTTTGTCGATGAGAAGATCCGGGCGGAGATGGCGTCAATCCAAGAGCAGGAGAGAGATCGGGGTCGGATGTTCTTTGAAGAGGGAGAGGAAGAAGATGTGGACTCGGAGTATGAGTATTTCTCTGATGAGACACACGAGGATTTTGATGAGGCTGATCTGCAGCGTCTGACTCGAGAGCGTGGATTTGGACTCGGCGGGTGGATTGATCGGTTGGTGGAATGGACCTTGTTTGGTGTTGATGAGTTGCCTGCTTTATCTGCTTCCTCCACGATTGCGACCATTGGTGCTGCTGCCACTACCACGACAGTTACCTTTGAGGAACGTGCCATCTCTCATGGAGATGAGGTAGAGATCGAACATGGTAACTTTTCGTTATATGCCGAGGGGGATCAGGTCGCCCTTTCTGACGATGGTGATGCATTATCGTATACGGATGGCGAGTCTACTGTTGGTGTTGAGAAGCCCGGTTTTCAAGGCGGGTGGGAAGACGCGGGTTGGTTATTTCGCATAGTGAAGCGTGCATTGGTATGATCTAGCGAGGAAAGAGCGACTTTTATTATTCGCATTTCAAGTTTATTAAGCCCAAATTGAGAAACGAAAGAGGACCTTGAAACTCGATACCTACATCCAGAACTACATCTTATTAATGATAAATTGGTACAGCTTAATCTTTGCAGTGTGAATTTATTGTTTCTTATTTCTGATGAGCTATGTAGGCAACTAGTTCTCTAACCGACTTGGCACAAGGTGAAAATAACTTGGCCGAATATAGCAGGGCTTCTTGAACAAACGCATCCACTTCGTAGAGAGGGTGCGTGAACGAGAAAGAAGAAAAGTAGCTACCAACGTATATCGGGCTGTGCCTGGAGCAGAAGCAGGACAGAAAAAATGCGAAGAGCCATGCTGAAATGAAGTAAAGGCGAGAAACCACGACAAATCAAGGGGAAGGGAAGAGAGAAACAGAAAAGACGATAAAGGATGTACAAGACTCCAGAAAGCGCCGAAGAAAATGAAGACAAGAAGGGAAAACACTTCATTGAAGATTGAAATATGATAAAGCAAAAAAGGAAATAAAAGGAGTGAGGGCGGAGGGAGTATCAAGCCATAGGCAGACCGGAGTGGTAGGACAGAAGGAAAGTAAAAGAAAGGACTAATGAGTGTTGAAGCAAGAATGAAAATCAGAATGACGAACGTAGCGGCGCGAGAGTCGGAATCATTCATGAGGATGTCGAAACAGTCAAAGCCAGGAGACAATCATCATTCAGAAGCCTTGACATGCTAGGAAAGAGAAAATGGAGAGAAATTGTCAGGTAATTCGCCTTTGCATGGTATAAACGCCGATCTGAGACCATGAGGGATTTTTCTAAAGGTCATGCAAGAGGTATCGTGATCGTGGCAGACGTAGTATTGTGCGATCCAGTTGTTGAGGACGAACTGTTGGGACAGTTCTTGGTGGAGTCGATGCGAGGTTTTAGGGGGTTGGCGGCTCGATGAGCACGGGTTGGTATCATTGCGAGTGAAGAGGGCCTCAACCTCCAGAGATCGAGGAGGAAGGTCGTTTTCTTGTGAGTTATCTTGTTCACCAAGGCCCAACTTTGACAGGGGTGCCTAAGCCATAGGTGCCTGAGAGAAGCTGATCACGTATAGAGCCAAGGTCATTGCCACTAGGGCCGTGAGAGGGAGAATCTGGCCCGCCCATCCAACCAAGGCTCGACCCAAGTTCATTGACTGCACCTTGCAGTTTCCCTCCAGAGGCTTGGTTATGCTTTGCCAGCTTTTGATCCCATCCGCCGTACTGGAGCTGGATACCTCCGCCACGCTTGGCAGCTTCTCGGATCACCAGGACCCAAGCCTTGCAGATCTCATCGTAGGCAGAGTCCCGTTCGATATTGTTCTGGGGCGTGCTCCAACGGGGCAAGGCGTGAATGATATCGGTTGCGCCATCCAAGTAGCTTAGCGAGACCGAAGGCTGTGGCTCATTGGGTGGCAGAAAATTAGGGGTGAAGTCGCTGAGAGCCTCGAGGAGATTGGTGAGTGGCTGTCGGACTCGGTTGTAGGCATAATCGGATTCTGTGTTGCCACCCAATGGGAAAGAAGACTGTAGGGCCGCTTGGTAGTTCCTTAGAACCTGGAGAGTACTGGAGACACTGGGTGGGGAGAGGTTTGGGCCACTTCATCGGCGAGCTGGGGGTGGCGCTCGCACATGGTTCGCACGACCATTCGCAAGGCATCGGTGTCAAGGGTTTCTAGCAATCTTGGAAGAGCGAGCGGTCTACCAGAGACATTCGGTCGGGAACGCTTGTAATTTCGGAATGCAGGGAGCTGGCGTGGAGTAAAGGCTGGTGAGCTTGTGGGAGAGGCAGACATCCGTCCATCGTGATCGTTGCCATCATCGTCGGCTTTCCGCTTTCGGTTGCTGTAGGAAGAAGAGGGGGTAGACACTACAAAGAGGGTTAGCATTTCAAATATCTTGGAGATGACGTTTGAAAACCAGTCGATGGCCCAGAAAACTTTGGGAATAGGGATCGTACTTATACGAGAAGGAGAGTGCCGAGAGTGTTCATAGAAATGAGGAGGAACAGGAGGAGTGGCCACCAGACTGTTCATGATGACAGCCGGATGGCAACAAATGTATGGGCAGATCTGAAATAACGATGATAGAAAGAAGGTAAAGGAGACGAGGTCAGAAAAAAGGGTGCCCAAAAAAGGGTGAGGTGGGGATGTAGAAAGGCAAAGAAGAGAAGCGGTGGAGAAAAGATTAAGGCGTTGCGGGCGGCAACGCACTCCCTCTGCGCAGGTTTCAAGGTGACTTCTCGACGTTGCAGAAAAACGGGATGTATCGTGAAAATTCAAAGAGAAAAAAATTTAGTGGAAAAGAAAATGAACAGATTAAAGCTGTAATGACAATATAGTAAAAGAGGGAAGCTGCTTTTTTTCTTCTTCTTCTCCCAGCTGTTACCCGAATGCAAGGAGTAATGAAATGTCAGCCAAAGAGAGATGACGAGGTCAATGCTATCGGGTGACTCAACCTTGGGAGCCACAGTAAAATTTCTTTTTTTTCTTTTCAGCTTTGTGAAATATGATGAATTAAGAATAATGTCTATGACTATCTTATATAAGAAGAAAAGGGTTGAATCTTGGAATGCTTTTGAATTTTTATTTTCGTGAACTCCATGTAGGGGGAAAAAGGGGACCTCAAAGGGGATATCATTTCTACAGGTACAGGGACTGAGCAGCCACAATGTCACGACGGACCTTAAGGAGCGAAGCTTCGAACTTGGCTTCCAGGTCGTCGCTGCCCATGACCTTGGCAGCCTGAGCTAGTTGTCGTAAACATTCCTCCAGGCGACGGAAGACACGAATCAAGCTACCTTCGTAGACATTGGTCATTGTACTATCGGGATTGTTAGTCATTATTCTAATGAGTTCATATATAGATAGCATATAACTTACCAGATGTCGGCAAAAGACTTTCCATGAGCCCAATCGTAAATAACTTCCATCAGCTCCCAGTGGAAACTCTGGACATACTCATCTTCGTTCACAGCCATCTTACATTCCTGGTACACCTTGGCGATGTGTCTCGCCTTGGTTTGAACCACCGTGAGCGCCTTGGATAACTCATCCTTGGAGAGAGGAGGAGCCTCTTTGACCTTTTCCTCAAACACGAAGAGACTGACCGCAGCGGCAGTTTCCTCGGGAGTAAGGTCGGTGAAAAAACCGTCGAAGAGCAGCTCACTAAGCACAAGTTCGTCACCAGTACTGATTTCGCAAGCAACACGAGCTTTCAGCAGAACCACGTCCGCATCGTTAATGAATCCAAGGCGGCGGAGAACACGCTGGCGATTCTTCAACTCTTCAAGCTGGAGAACAGAGTTTGCATCGTTGATCTTCTTCTTAAGCTCCTTGATTTGCGTGCCAACATTCACTTTCTCGGCATACTCGTCGTACAGCTCTGGTAGACGTGGAGAGTTGTGCAACGGGTTACCCATAAGTCGGGATTCTAAGACCTCAATTTTGCGGAGGAGCTTCTTGAAGTCATCATCGGTGATGTGCATCGTTTCAATGGGGTCGAGGGGAGGAATTCCATCGGGGAATCGCCTTTGAATCTCACTCAGCATTCTTCCCATGTCTTTACGCTTTGCGGGAAGCGCGAAGTCTTTGGGCAAGCGAACTAGAGGTTGACCAATTTGGGAGATGCACGTGAGCATGACGGGCACAATGTCCATGCGAGATTTTTCTCCTTCCTTAGGAGGTCGTACGCCAGCAGGAAGATCTTGGAAAGTCTTGGTGCCAACCGCGGGCCCGTCAGCAATCTTCATCATTATTTCCAAGATCCAGGCTTCATGTGGAGGGTATTCCTCTGTGAAGTTCTTGGAAGGCTTGCGTGCTTTGCAGTCAACCACGATACCCCAGCCAAAGTCCATTTCCTTGTACTTGATCTGAACCAATCGACCAGGGTTGAGAAAGGGGCGGCTGTAGTTGGGATGCGTGATCACAGCGCGAAGATCTTCAGAAAACTGGTCCAATTGCTTCCTTACATCGTAATATTCACGGATAGTCCCTTCATCGGAAATAGTCATGTTGGCCTTCTTTTCCTCTAATTGCTTTTGCTCACGCTCCAACATCGTAACGTCTGATGAACCTTGGAATTGCTTGAAACATTGCTGAAGCATGAATGTTGGAGAAATTCCTTCCACACGCATCAAATTGAGAATCATGTTGTAGCCCAAGTGGAATGCCGAGTTCAGGCGATCTTGTTCACCACGTACAATCTCCTTGGCAACAGCAGGATCCATTTCTTCACCAACCATCATGATGACAATACCGCGATCATCGAGACCTCTTCGACCAGCACGACCGGACATTTGAATAAATTCAGAAGGTGTAACCCATCGTTGTGTGATGCCATCGAATTTCCGCACACTGGTGAAGACAACAGTCTTTGCAGGCATGTTCAGACCGATGGAGAAGGTTTCAGTAGCAAATAGGACCTTGATAAGCCCTTCTTGGAAAAGAATCTCAATAGTCTCTTTGAGAATGGGAAGTAAACCAGAGTGGTGAATACCAACACCTCTTCGGAGAAGAGGAAGAAGGTTCTGGATCTGTGGTAGGTTTTGATCCTCTGGTGATAACATCTCAATGGCGCTATTGAAGACCTTCGAAACCATTTCCTTCTCAGAATCATCGTTGAACGCAAGGTTTCTCATTTCAAGAGCGCCGCTCTCACACTCTCGCTTGCTGAAGCTGAAAACAATGACCGGATTCAAGCTCTTCACCATGATCATTCGAACGATTTTGTAGAGATCCGAGGGTCCCTTTTCTCCTCCCTTGTTTATCTTCTTATCCTTGCCTTTTCCTTTCCGAACTGCCAGCGCATCGTTTGAATCGTCTCCCTTCTTTTTCTTAATCGCACTCATTGCCTCCTGGAAGTTCTCTTCCCGGAAATTGCTATTCTCATCCACAATGAGATGCATACCATCGGCGCCAGCAGGGAAAAAGTAGTGTTGAAGGGGTGTTGGACGGTAATTGGTGTAAACAACATGGCAAGGCTGGTTATGCATCTTCGTGATCCACTCGGCGAACTGCATGGCATTGGGGATAGTAGCTGACAAGAAAACATACCGGACCTTGTCGGGCAGCAGGATCAGGGTCTCTTCCCAGACAACTCCGCGAGTTTGGTCACGCAGGTAGTGGATCTCATCAAAAATGACCCATTGCACCTCACGCATGATCTCGGAACCGCGATATAACATGGATCGCAGAATCTCGGTGGTCATGACAAGACATGTTGCTGTAGGGTTGATAGTCACATCACCAGTCATCAAGCCGACATCACCGAACTCAGCAGCAAACTCTCGGTATTTCTGGTTGGATAGAGCTTTAATCGGACTCGTGTAGATGACTCTCTGGTTGCGTTTGAGACTTTGCGCAATGGCATACTCCGCAACTACAGTTTTTCCAGCACTAGTGTGCGCAGAAACCAACACACTCTCCTCTCTCTGAATCGAGTTGACCGCAAGTTGTTGGAAAGGATCGAGGGTGAAAGCATATGTCTTAGCAAGCTCCGCTGGCTGCTGGTGTTGAGAAAGAGGGACATAGGGATAGTCCGGGGGGATCGAAACTTGGTGGCGCACTTGGTGTGATACGACGAGGGACGAGGCAGCGTCAGGCCCTTGAAGTCCAGCTTGGCCCGCAAGCTCAACCTTTTGTTCGGCTTCGAAGGTATCGGCGACTAAGGGCGCAGGCGCATCCTCAATACGGGGTCGCTTTGCTTCTTTTTTTAGGAGCGGGCTCTTCTGCAGTCGGAGGTGGTGCAGAGTCTTCCATAACTTCGTCAACGGGGCTGGCCTTTCTCTCTGTCGTCGGGTTTCCATCTTGCTTTAAAGATCCACTTGCTTCGCGCTTCTTGGTTTTATCTTTTTTGTCCTTCTTGGAGCGTCTGGAAGCATTGTTAGATGGCAATGGCGCCGATGGGGCGCCATCGAAGACGTCGAAAAGGTCGTCCATCTGCTGTGGTTGATCGAAGCCAGTCACTTCAAGAGTCGCGAAGTAAAAGTGCCTGGACCTTTTTTTTTCCCGGAGAAAATTGAAGGCGGTAAGGTGAGCAATCAACCATGCCTGGCGCTAACCGATTTAGGTGCGCCACGTGATGTAATTTGTACCCCACCTATGCAGGCATTAAAGATCTGAATTGTTGACTTGATATAAGATATCACGGATCCTGAGGAGCTCTCAATTCGAAATGTATTCATGGATATTCTTTGGGACTTATTGTATTGAATCTGGCTGGGAGGCATACTAGTGCGCAGGTGTATATGAAACCAGGCCCAATGGTCGTGTGAATATACCCCTATTACTCATGAGATTAAGTATTTGAATACTGAGTACTTGAGGACACCTGATCTACAGATAACATAAAAAAAGACCCCAAAAAGACATGTACATTTGCTGAAGTTATATAGTATATTGAATACTGGCATCTGATTGGCCATTCAGACTTGCATCGAATGACAAAGCAATTCGATGTCACGGGAGTCATGTCATGTGACCAAATCGACCCATTCCGCAACTTGTGATGTCTATCCTGGCTCCGTCCGTCCAATTCCGATCGTTCACTCCCTCCTCTTTGTACCTCAAGGTTGGTGCTTTGAAACCTCCAGTTGCATAGTATGATTGATTGGCAAGCTCACAATATTCCAGATGTACGCCTCCTCCGCTGTCCGCGCCCGTCTGGCCACCGTCGCTGCCCGTCGTGGCTTCTCCACCACCCGCACTCAGTTTGGCAGCCCCTACCACTACGCTGAGGGCCCTCGCTCCAACCTCCCCTTCAACCCCCTGAGCAAGACCTTCTTCTGGCGCTACTGGGCTTTCATGAGTGCGTAATCCGCAGTGCCCCGAAGATTAAGCGCAATGACTAACTCGGACTCTCTTTTAGTTACCGGATTCGGTGCTCCCTTTGCCATTGCTGGTAAGCTTTCAATGGTCCGGATGGTTGTTCTATGAGGTACTAACGATATTTCCACTTTTAGTCTGGCAAACCAACAAGACCAAATAAGCTCGTTTTCGCATTTCTCGCGCGACGGCAGTGTGGACAGCTTCGTGCTGGAAATTCTGGAATTGGGCTCCGAAGGAGTTGGATATCATGTATAAAGTTAGAGAACAAGTTGGAATTTTGATTTAAAAGCTGAAATTCCTCAATTGTAACCGTGTAGAAGCTTTATAATTGTAGCTGGAGCGACGTTGAAATCTGAATGAGATCATTGGCTGAGCGGGTGTGGAAAATCAAAAATCTGTGGTTCGACGTTAATTTTGTATCAGTCTCGGCCACAACCTTGTCACCCATAGCATTTCTTGGTCGCTCAGATCAACCAGGCATATATATTGCTTTGGCAACTTTCTTTAATTGTTTTGACTGCTTTCAATACCCGTTTGATTCAACTGTCTCATGGCGGGGTAGAGAGTCGGGCCCGTTACCAAAGAAAAAAAAAAGTTGATACCTACCACCAAAGATGCGGAATCTCAAGAACGTGCGTCTCCAAGAGACACGAGTTTTGGGGGACCTTCCATTGACTGCCACTGCATGGGACACTTCTTCGGATTCTGTTGTATGCACATTTGGTCCTACCTTGGAGAAACCAGTCATCGAACTCAGACGCAAGCGCCCCGAGGTCGTTTCTGCTGACCCACTGAGTCCCAGCGATTTTGAATGTATTGCGTCTTGGGATGCACCATCCCCATTGCCAGACCTACCATGTGATCGGGTTCTCTCTCTACACTACTTTGCCGACAACCTAACCGCGTGTTTGGTGTTGGAAGGTGGAGATATCATTATTGTCCGCGAGGAACCCCTCCCCGGGAGAGGACAAAATCGAAATCCTGGGATCAGTCGATGTTGGAATCACCGCCGCTGCGTGGTCTCCAGATGAGGAGTTGTTGGCGATCACAACAAGATCTAGAACATTCCTCTACATGACCCGGGAATTCGAGAATGTGGCTGAGATCACCTTTTCCCAAGCTGACATGCAGGCGTCGCAGCACGTGTCTGTGGGTTGGGGTAAGAGAGAGACCCAGTTCCAGGGAAAGAGAGCAAAGGCTCTCCGCGATCCCACTGTACCGGAGAAGGTCGATGAAGGCAAGCTGAGCACCTACGATGATGTCAGTACGACGATCAGCTGGCGGGGTGACGGTGCCTATGTCGCCGTGAACACTATTGATGAAGGCACTCGCCGAGTGATCAGGGTCTACTCTCGAGAAGGTACTCTAGATAGTGTAAGTGAACCCGTTGATGGCCTTGAAGGTGCTCTGAGCTGGAGACCGCTTGGAAACCTGATTGCGGGAATCCAGCGTCTGGATGACAGAATTGATGTTGTGTTTTTCGAACGAAATGGTCTTCGTCACGGTGAATTTACTCTTCGTTTGACAGAACAAGATCGTCAAACCTGGGCGTCACGCATTCTCCTATCGTGGAATATTGATTCCACTGTGCTGGCGGTTCGATTCACAGACCGAGTCCAACTCTGGACAATGGGAAATTATCACTACTATCTGAAGCAAGAGATCCCAATTGCGGTCGAACCAGAGTCAATAGTCCCATTCTCTTTCGATTGGCATCAAGAGAAACCATTGCGAGTAGTTGCAGGATCCTCAGGCTCTATCCTTGACATGGACTATGTATTTGACATCCACCATGGGTCTACTGTGATCCCGGAGGACGTTGGTGCAGTTGCTGTCATCGATGGAAAGGTCCTGAAACTTACTCCGTTAAGACTGGCTGGTGTGCCACCTCCTATGGCTCACAATGAGTTACAGTTGGATTCCAATGTAGTGGATGTGGCATTCAGCAAGTCAGGTACACGTATTGCAGTTCTGATGGAATCGAGATTTTCTATATTCCTGTGGCCTCTCAAGAGTCGTCCCGTTCCCGTGCCAATTCTTGAATCCAGCTATCCTCTACCCGATGCACCTCAGAGCCGCCCAAGACAAATCGCTTTCGTGAATGACAATGAGATCTATGTGCTGAAGGACTCTGGACCGAACCAGACTCATATCGAACAAACTATGTTGGAGACCCGCGAGTCCCGCATCATCTACGAAGCAGCCGACTCTGAGCAGCTATCATCGATTTTCGCTGGTATTGGGCACCAATCGCTGTGGTTCTCACACGCACGCCAGCCTGGCCAAGCTGTCACATACTCGAGTGTTGAGATGACCGAAAATGAACTTGTTATTGCTCCCTGGGCTGAGAGCCCCAGTGCTGACACTCACTGGGCTCGTGCTGTGTCTATTTCGGATACTGAGGTAATGTCTTCTGGAGCTGAGCTTAGGAACATAAATCTGACGATTTTAGCGAATTTTAATTACCCTCTCTCGCACTGGTGGTTTATATGCCAACAAGCGAGTTCTTGCAAAGAACTGCACCTCCTTCTTGGCGACACCGGCTCATCTTCTGTTCACCACATCTCAGCATTTGTTGAAATTCGTTCATTTGAACAAGGTGGAAGGTATATCTACGATATTCAAGTCCTGTGTCCTTTTTTCCAATCAACTAATAAATTGATTATAGACATGGAAGTTCCCGAAGATACCCCGGAAACAGATGAAAGATGTCGAAGCATTGAACGTGGATCAAAGCTAGTGTCTGTGATGCCGTCAGTCTTCGGTGTGGTCCTTCAGGCACCTCGAGGTAACATCGAAACCATCTACCCTCGCGCACTAGTATTGGCCGGAATTCGTACCTTCATTGACCAAAAGAGATACCGCGCTGCGTTCTTGGCTTGTCGTGGCCAAATGGTCGATTTGAATATCCTCCACGACTATGCGCCCCAGCAATTCATGGAGAACATTTCTCTTTTCATTGACCAGGTCAAGAGGGTCGATTTTATCGATGACTTCCTCTCTCGTCTCAGGTAAGAGGCTCTATCAAAATGTTTAGTGGAGACTTGTCCTAACCCATGCTTAGCGAGGATGATGTTTCACAAACATTGTACAAAGACACCCTTAAGATCTCTAAGAACGAGTCGGCCTTAGTAGCTCAGCCAGATGCTCCGGTTGCATCCAAGCCCTTGACTAAAGATAGCAAGGTTAACACAATCTGCAATGGCTTCTTGGCCGTATTACAGAGTCGCCTCGACACAAACTTGCAAAATCTGATCACTGCCCATGTGTGCAAGTCCCCACCTGATCTTGAGGCTGGCTTAAAGCTTGTTGCACGTCTAAGGACTGAAAGTCCAGAGCAAGCTGATGATGCCATCGAGCACATGTGTTTCTTGACTGATGCCAACCGTCTCTATTCTCATGCGCTCGGACTTTACGACCTTGAACTCACTCTTCTGGTGGCTCAGCAGGCACAGATGGATCCCAGAGAGTACCTTCCGTTCCTCCGCAAGTTGCAGCAGTTGCCCGAGACTCGCCGTCAATTTGAAATCGATAACCACCTTTCCCGATTCGTCAAGGCTTTGGGTCATCTTTTCTCCTTGAATGCACACGAAGAGCTCTTTGGCTACGTTGCTAAGCATGTGCTGTACAAAGAGGCCCTTGAGATCTACAAATACCACCCAGAGCAACAAAAAGAGATCACCAGTCTTTATGCCGACTATCTCCAAGGCGAGTCCAAGCACAAAGACGCAGCAATTGCCTACGAGTCACTTGCCGTGTATGATGAGGCCTATAAGTGTTACCATCTGGCTCATATGTGGCGTGAATCTTTATACTGTGCCATGATGGCCTCTTTATCAGAGGAAGACTTGACGGAACATATCAACAATCTTGCCTCAACTCTGGTTGAGGATCGCGACTATGTTGCAGCGGCAACTGTTCATGCAGAGCACCTGCATGATGTCGTCACAGCTGCACGACTTCTGTGCCAGGGGTCAAAGTTTGCGGACGCAGCTCGCCTACTTACATTGCACGGCAAACAAGACCAGGTTACAGAAATTGTCGACTCCGGACTTGCGGAAGCAATGGGTTCGATGACTGATCTACTTGCCGACTGTAAGGGTCAACTCAACGCCCAAGTGCCTCGAATTCGCGAGCTGCGCCAGCTTCGTGCCGCAGACCCCTTGGCATTCTTTGGAGGTGATCCCACAGGCGGTGAGGGCGGTGTTGACATCCCTGACAACGTATCACTGGCTCCAACAGAAGCAACAACTCTCGCTGGTCGCACCATGTTTACCCGATACACCGGTAAGACCTCTTCTTCACGCCACACCTCGAAGACCCGCCGCCGCGAGGAACGTAAGCGAGCCAAGGGTAAGAAGGGTACTGTATACGAGGAAGAATATTTGGTGAATAGTGTCAGGCGACTCATGGAGCGAGTCAATTCATCAGTTAATGATGTTGAGGTTCTTGTGGATGCCCTTTTGCGGCGTAACATGCGCGAACGCGCAGCTGCAATTGAGAAAGCGTTGGAGGATGTGTTGAAACTATGTGCAGACTGCCGTGAGGACGTGTTTGAAATCCCGGCTGCACCAGTGCAAAATCCCGATGAGGATGGCGAAGATCAAGAAATGCAGGTTACTGCTGGATCTCGTGTACTTGAGGAGAGTATTGCGGCGATTACAGGAAGTGCTGGCCGTAAAGAGCCGCCTGTTGTGAAGGCGATGAAAAAGTCTTCTCTACTTGCTTAACATAGTATGAGGTCATTTTGCATGGTTTATGTCGAACATGAAAGATAAAAAATTTAGAATTGTTTCTCTCTTTAAATCTTGGCAACTATTAGCATTCATTCCTACCTAGTTAGTTGCACATGATGTTGTTTTTGGTGGTAAGCACTTGGTGATTATTGATGGAGCAAGTCAATGGATACCATTTCCACGAAAACCCTCATCGCAAAAACCCTCAGTTCTCCCCTCAGAAATCACCAAGTCTTTTTCGGTGTCTTTGGGGTCTGCGGTCCTCTGGCGGGGTGATAAAATGATATTTTTGGGGACTTGTGATATTCTCGGCGGAATCTTCAAGTTGGTAAATATGCAGACTGTCGCCCGGATAACGATATTTCGGTTTCTCTTGTCAAGACCGATGGTCAAACCAGACATGGCAGCAGCAGCGTTTCAGATGTTAGAACTTAAGACATTTCGAACGTTCACAGCATTAGTAACCCGCTTGATATCCTCGAAGACTCGAGGTCCTGATTGGGGTGAAGTAGCCATTTCCGGTTGTTGATCCCATTCTGCGATCAGTACTCTGGGGGGGACCGGGACCGGGACCGTACCCCCAGGTCCACAACTACGGTCCCGGATGATGGATCGTACACAAAGAATCCCGAGTCCCCCCTCGCAGCAAATGCCCTTCATCCATAGTAAAGCCATCTTTGAGCGCCATCATTGAGATGTCCGTCATATTGCGCACTATCGATATCCTTCATAATCTCATCGCGTGACTCGGGTCTAACATCTGGTAAGAACTCTGGAAAGGCTCTAAGCAAAGCTTGAGGGATTTTGTCTTGCTTTAGATCAGATCATACTAAATATGGATTCTTGCGTACGCCTCAGCTAGATCTGCTGCATGGGACGTCTCAGAAACATCTGTTTCAGAAATCGCTGTTTTTAGCGAGAAAATAGAATCCTCGCAGGAGATGGCTCGGCAACCAGTGGCATTGCCTGGCGGCGGGGCCAGGGGGATGCCCCTGGCAATTTCGATTTCGAGCGGGTGTTTTGTGGTCATGGTGGTCGTCAGTCGGCTGCCAGACATATATTGCCTCTTCACATTACTGTGAAAGTTGAATCGATCCGTCCAAACTTGAACTTGGAGTTGGACTCGGACGTTCCGAGTCCTTCAACCCCTTTCAGAAGTACTAATTGCCGTCAAGAACCTTGTCGATATATTGGCTATTATAATGCATCCCAGCCAACTTGAACGAGTTGGAAAGATTCCGACATGCCAACTTCGATTATGAAGGATCGCCCTCGTCTTCTGAACTCACTAGTTATATGTATACGCACAGTCAGCTTGTTTCGCTCAAGTAGAAAAAGTGGGAATCGCAGACCGGCGATAGATACTCGAAGCAAGTAAAAGCTATTACCGACGTGATGTGCCTTTACGATATGCAACATCGAATCTGTCGGGCAATGATAATCCCGTAGTATTTGATGAATATCAGTCGTTGCACCATTTCCTGTATTCTCTTTTTCCGAGGCAAATTTGGTGCATATGGCCAGAAGTTGGCCTGTATTCGTGAAACTGACGCTCCTGAAACTTTTTGAAGGATGTATGCGGTAAACATATTCCTTTATTACCATGTCTCCTTCAGAATCTTCAGGTTCTCGGAGAAGCCGTCTTCGTTTGCGCGAACTTCCAAGGTTGGGGTGGTGCTGGAACAAGGCGGACTTAGTAACGGGTCGGCCCTAAACAACGACTACCTACTTGGAGTGTGAGAGGAGGCGAGAAAACTTCGAAGCTTGGGTTCTCGGCAACCTTGCAAATCAATCCCATCGGATAGCTATGGCTGGTGATTAGGAGGGAAGAGAACCAAGGCGTGAAGAAAAGCGAAAAATTGAAGGTCTCTTTTTTTCACAGGTATTGCCTGGTAGGCCTGAGACCGTTGAAACTGAGAGGAGAAACATTATCATGGCCGATCATAAGATGAGCGCAGATATAATCATGGTTGGTCAGTGAAGACGAGAGAGGGCATGGAGTTAGGCTAGGAGGCAATATGGTGGTAGTAAAGGAGGAGAAAGAATATAAGTGTGAAGGAAGACGAAGAGGAGTTGCAAGTCAGACTCGGAGTTGGAAGTTCTAAAGTAAAAGTAGAAAATAGTACAATAGGGCTTACCATGGTTTAAATAAGCTTGATAATAGCCCTGAGGGAGGAAAAAGAATAGAATCATAAAGTAAGATCAAGAACCTTGGAAGAGTTAGTAGTAAGTGTGAGAAGTAAATGTTATAGCATGTGATATGATAGGATAATGAAGGATGATAAGTTCATCATGTGCTAAACTGAGCCTTAATTCAGGCTTCGTAGGCGAGGTGACACACTGGCAGGTACCATGATAATGCTAAGAGTATTGTGATGTGGCTTTGGGCTTCCTGGTGCTGACTTTTTTTGACCAATATTGGGAAGGTGGTGTGATTATAGGCTGGAGGGAGCCATAGAGGCGATGTCTACGGATGCCATTCTATAAGCATTCCGGGCAGTGCCAGTGGAAGATTTAAGAGTGGAGAAGCTTTAAGCCCTCGTGGAAGTTTATGTCGGAGATTTGTAGCCTGGCAAAACATCTGTCGATACATTGATGTCACTAATTGCTCTTTTGAAGACTTCCTGGCCGCGGTCAGTCATGACTCTAATGGATGGTGTTGTAGGCAGTCCGATATAATCGTCATTGGTAGAAACAGCACATCGCGCCGAACAAGGAAATCGCAAACTTGCCTCTAGTCATCGCAATGATGTCGTTCTGATCGGGTATGGTGTAAGTGTCGCGCACGGCTATCATATTATGAGTGCTCGGGTTAACTACGACGCGACCTTTTCGAGATGTTGAACCGTCTTCGTTGGCAATTGTCCTCTACGCAAAGAAAACTGGGCATCCGGTTGGTGTAAGGCTGTGGTTGCCAGGACCGGGCCAATGGTAAAACCTGGAGTGCCTTTTAGGGTGTCTGCTCCTTTTGCATGGATTTGATAACTTCTCGTGGATCACTTCTCGTGGCTATGGCGTGGTCCCGATGGTCGTTTCTGCAAAGGACGTAATAGTACTTACCTATCAATGAAAAAAGAGAAAGCCAGGGCCAGTGAAGCTAGGTACGTTCGGATGTGGTCGATGCGGATTTCGTCAGATTTTCGAAGGCCAAGGCTACTTCCTGGCATGCTTGGCTTTATTTGGGACTCTGCTAAGTAGGGTGATGGGCTCAAGTGCTGAAATTTGAATAACTGAGAAGATTGATAGATGGAAAGCTGACAAATGGTTTCTTTGGTTCCATGTTTATGCCCTGGTCTTGGAGACTAGCAAATACAGTATGGATGCTGACAGTGTTGGTCGAAGTTGATATCCTCAATTGTATGTATACACTCTCAGCCATAATTTATAGGCGTATAATAAGTTATCCATCCTCCTGGGAAAAGAAGCGATATCCCCATTGTCTGCTAGCTAGATACATAGGATATGAAAATCGTTCTTGACGCCGTAATCCAGCAAGGTCAGGAATCGAACCCAAGAGCTTCAAAATCAGAAATGCGTGGCCAGCCCCGCCTCTTGATACATCCATCCCCACCTGGGCAGTACATAATCCCTTCCATCACTCTCAATTATTTTTATTTTGAGGATCTGAAAGTTCAAATGGAAAGATAAAGGCTAGAATTATAATATATAAAAACATTTAAAGAAAAAAAAATAAAAAACATGCAAGCAGTTGGACCTCACGTTCCCTGGTGGGAATTGGATCTTAAGACCAACGCCTTAGACCACTCGGCCATACATACTTGCCATAATAGTAATAGTTTCTACATAAAAGAGATTTATATGTCAAAGTCTTTTCTCAGTATATTCTAGCCTCTCTATCTATATACATACTAGTAGTCTCAATAGAAACATTTGAATTATCTTAAGCTTAGTAAAGAAATAATAATAGGATCGTGAGCTATCTTAGGAATATCCGTAAAATAAAAATATCTAAAGCTAGATAAATAGTATCCCATTCAATAGTATTTAGGAAAAAACAAGAAATAGTAGGCACCATATAACTACACATGATACCTGATCTGGGAGATCGTTCAAAAGGCAATACCGCATTCACTTTCCGAAGTGACAGAAAGATTGAAGTCAATTTGCTTTATCTCACAAAACACCAAGATTCACAGTTTCCCTCCTATCAATGAAATCAATCTCTAAAGCGGTTTCGCACATACCCACTCGCAAAAGTAGAGATTTTAGGTGTCTCAAAGAAGCAGATTAACAGCAACCTTGGAAGATCAAAGATCCTCAAAATGGAAGGTTGCTTTGATATGAGCAGTAGTCCAGCCTTTCCAATAGTTGCCATGAGTGCTTGAACCGTCAGGGCCAAAGGTGATATTTTCATCAAACGCATCATCATATAGCCTGCCATGTTCCGCCACCTTTCGAATTATGCCGTCAAGATCCACATAGGCGGTGTCAGGGCGCGTAGCAATTGTATCGATAAGTTTCACTTTGACGTCTGTAGTGAGTTGACCCTTAAGGTTGCCCATAGATGGATGGTGCCTCCCAACCTCACCATATAAATCAGCTGTGAAGGTTTCTGTATTATTAGACATAATTACCTTTATAAGGATATCAGAAAGGCTTTTGATAATATAGATTATATTCTAGCTAAAGGATTTCTCAGGTAAAGAGAAATAATTTATAGATATAAGGAATATCTCTATTACTAGTTAGTCTTAGTCATATTCTTCTCAGTGTAAGTTTATGGCGTCACGGTGATACTCTTCCATATTTACCTAATTCATGGAATAGTTAGGTATTAGGTCAGAATTTTATAGAACTTAGCCTTAGACTAGTCAAGACCATTATAATGAAGAGTCCCAATCATAAGTGTTTAGTCTAGCCCCGCTCGGATAGGCCTGCCATTCGTGGGTAATAGGCAGGGTCCGCGGGAAGATCTTACTACCTATACTATCAAGCTCAGCTACACTTTATTTTGTTATTGGTATGGAAACGACTCACGTCAGAAGCTATACTTGCAAAATAGACTCGGATAGTCTCAATGCCTGGATTCCAACGGCAAAAGCTTATTTTGATTCGAGTGAGCTAAATTATCGTGGCAGTCACAAGTAGGTCCTATAATACTAGGAATAAAGATCTTGTCAGCACACAATGCTGCCCAGGTGGTACAATGCGCTGATGATGCGGGGTTCACAGAAACATTTCAAAGCTCATCTTCCCCATCGCATCTTTATTCTATTCGATCTTCCCTGTAGATTATTTTATAATCCTCGCAGCCTACTGACCTATATATCAGAAAGTATCTTCAAGAAACCTCTTGTCACTCTACCGCTTGACTTAATCGCTATGTATTCCAGTCACGGTGTCAAAGGAACTCCATCAAGTGAAATCAAGCTCCAGCCAGTGATATCAACACGGCCAGCAATTTCTCGATAACTAGAGAACCATAGTCTTTTTTCGTAAATAGGGTGTCATTGCTTAATATAAGCTGACAACGGTTACCCTAGTTCTCGGTCAATAAAATTTAATTGACAAACATCCCTTACAGCTACACTTTATTCTAATAAAAGCCTTTACAGCGCCACTCTGGCCTATTTGTGTAATAAAATTTCCTCTGTTGCTCAAGTTGCGTTATCGAAACCTACTCGCAAGCTCACATCTACTATACATCTATCTCTTAGACTACCCCTTCACTATGACCGCCATCCCTGTCCCACCGACCCAGGCGGCGCCCAACATGATGCCTGATTACAAGGTCAGGCTTCTTCTCAGCCCAGAAGCCGTGCTCGATCCTAAAAAGGAGCTAATGGACACGGTCCGGTCGGCCTTGAAGATTTCCCCGACCGTCAGTAATATGAATGTCCAGTTCCTCGACACGAGCCCTAAGGATCTCTTTGACGCCGACTGGAGCGTTCGTATTCGTAAGACGGAGGGCCAAGACGACTTGGAGTTGACGTATAAGAAGCGGTATACGATCAAGGATGGTGATATTGATGCCGCTCTTATTGCGGCTAAAAACGATGGTTTCAATGCTGAAAACTCGAAATACGAGTCGCAAGTCGAATGGGGCTAACAGAAGCAAACACTTTCCATTAGTCGCAAGAAGACCGTACCGGATCATGGGAATAGCGAGACGGACCTGCCAAATACGACCAATTCGCGGAAAATACTAATCGACGAAGCGCCAGACAAGTTCGAAAATTGGAGGCTTAACAAATGGGGCACCCGCATGTTAGCGACATCGCGCATTTTTGGCCCGGTCCACACTAGGCGCTATGTTGGCAGATGGGAAACCATGAAACTATACGTCAAGGTCTGGCCCTTTCCCAATATCACGGGTACTGGAAATGAATATGTCGTCGAAGCGTCTTTCAAGACGGAAAGCTTCATGGAAGCTTTGACTGAGCAGAAAAACTTAGCCGCATTCTTACAGAGTGAGGGTTGGTTCCTCCCACAGGATTTGCTAAAGACGTAGCTAATTATAGAGCGCTATTAATATGGAACGTTATCGGACCTACCGGTTGTAATTGATCTGTATTTGGCGATGAGGCTTTCGCCATGAGGGCCCTGGAGAAAAACATAAATCATTGATTGTATAAATAATATAGCCGAGGTTTAGTATCGTGCACGCAAGTGAGAATGATTATGGAATTCAGGACCAAGGGAATAGTACATATCGAAGTACGGGCAGGTATCCAACCTTGGAAGGTCTTTGTTAAAGTTTTTGATCTGTTATCGTAACTTGAAATATTATGCTGAGACTGTTGTTTCTTATTCCTTTATTCTTACCGTCAGTAACCTCAGTTGCTATAAAGTAAACAAAGCAACCAAGCCACAAATCATATTATTTATCTTAGCAGCAAGAAATCTGAAACGCCAACGTAGAGGAGGCCTTGACAAGTGCCGCGGTACGCCCTCTTTGGCGTTGGTGCGGGGGCACTGAATAACCTCAGGTGCCCTGGTGCTATTGTTCTATCACTTCCAAGGTTATTTTAACAAGTATCATAAATAGCTAAAATGAATTTTTGGCAATTTTTAGCATGCTGAACAATGTTTTGGTATTATTTTGGTGCCGGTTGTAAAAACCTCGTGGAGGAAGGAAATGATGCTAGGGTCATCTCGCGCTCTGGGTTTTTTTTTTAACTTCTAGTTGATGACATCTTTTTGTATTTCCGACCTGGTTCCCTCCAGAATCATTCAAGTCGACATGCCTGCGTTGTTAATTCAAAGTCATAATTTTGCTAACACCTGGGCAAGAAACTTCGCAAGGTCCTAGCGCTGTGGCCAAAAAGTCCTATCATTCACCCGGAGACCGAGCTTTTCTGCATGCATCTACCACAGTAACACAACATTTGAACAAGGATAGGATAAAAACTGGTGATACCATTACCTTTTCCAAGCGAACCTCCTTGGATGCAGTCACCTCCTTCCAAGGTTAGAGTCACGCTTATTGAGAATTATGGCTGTAGCCAGATCAAGTGCTCACATGCACATGTGCAGATTCTAGACAATATTAATCAAATTCTAAGATAGATAGCTACTAGTAACATTTGAACCAATTCTGACTCGTACTCATATTGAGATTAAGCACAAAGGAATAGTCAAATTCAATTTTCAAACTTGAAGGTACTAGTACAGAGACATTTATAAACAACCCTCTTATTCGCAAAGCAAATATTCCGGGTTATAACATTGAAATGAGACACAGCAGGAACTTGAATCACATTAGAACATTTGAATACCCAATTTCAATATTTGTGTAAATATTCTGGTGTTTCAGAAACATATACCCTCAAGCCACCAAAGTAGAGCTTTTGGACCTCTCAATGGATAGAATGAAAATGAGATCAAACATCCTAAGTATTCTCAAAGTGAAAAGTGGTTTTTATATGAGCAGTTGTCCAGCCTTTCCAACGTGATGAAATGGTATCAGAGCCATCGGGGCCAAAGGTGATATTTTCATCAAACGCATCATCATATAGCCTGCCATGTTCCGCCACCTTTCGAGTTATGCCATCATAATCCACATAGGCGGTGCCAGGGCGCTCAGCAATTATATCGGCAAGATTCACTTTGATGTCTGATGATAGTCGATTCTTAAGGTCTTGCATAGAAGGATGGCGGCCCTCATGCTCGCCGTATAAATCTGTTTTGAATGCCTTTGTATCCCCTGACATTATTGGCTTTTCATGAGTTTGGAAACTGTTTGGATGATTTGGATTTATAAAAATCTTTTAAATTTGGTATATAGGCTTAGATAGTAAGTCTCTAGGGTGAAATAGAAATAATTTATAGATATAAGGAAAATCTAGAACTATCTATTACTAGTTAGTTTTAGTCATATTCTTCTCGGCGTCCACGGTAAGTTTATGGCGTCACGGTGATACTACTCTTCCATATTTACCTAGTTTATTGAATAGTTACATAGTTATTAGGTCAGAAGTTTATAGAACTTAGCCCTAGAATAGTCTAGACCATTATAACTATAATCCAAATCTAGGGCCTACTCGGATAGGGCGAGTGCCATTTGCGGATAATAGGCAGGGTCCGCGGGAAGATCTTAGTATCAAGCTCAACTACAGTAAATCAAATTCAGCACTTTGGGTCATCCAGGGTTCAACAGGGCTAGGACCAAAATAATCTAGTAATTTGTAGGGCGAATAAGTCAGTTTGAAAAAGCCATCCTACTAGTAGTGTGTACTCCCATCTTCACCTGTCCACTGTTTTGTTGGAGTGAAAGTAGTTGACTGAAGGGGGAGATGAGAGGTAGCTAGACAACCAACCGACTCTCCTGCCTACCATTCAGTTTGGCTTGTTTGTAGGTGAGAGGTTCTAGACAGAGCATAACCATAACCCATAAATTTGTAAAAATCTAGCTATTTCTATGACATTGTTTGTCACCGTACAGAGTACTGACATATACATATGGATGAATCAGATAATTGGAGGAAGAGAAAAGGAGAAAGAAAGTGGAGAAGAGTGGAGAAAGCTTATACAAGAGTCAACACTCACCGCCCAGCAGAAACCTACTGTATATGAAATTGATGGACGCAAAGAATATCAGGAACGACACCATCATGCCCAGGTGATCTTTCTCAAAAGCAGATTATGGGGGGAATATGCTGCAGTGACAATTTAACAGTATTCAATTTTTTTGTGCTACTAACATGAGCATAATTTGGTTAGAGGCAGATGCTCACCAAACAAGCCCCGGTGGTGGACCGGGTGCCTGAGTGGGATCAGCCGTCGGAACTCCGCCCTTGCATAACCATGAAAGATTACACTTAATTGCATCACACTACTCCGTGTGTGAAGAAACGCCAGTCCGGAGTACCCCTGCGATAACGACTCACCCAATCACTCCACTAAAGTGGAGTAAATCCTGCAGCCGAGACTAGGGGCAAATGACAGAGCGGGGATGATAAGCCCCGGAAATGAGAAATACAGATATGACCTTGTCTACTCTCCTCTTCAACCTGCTAAATAAGCCGATCTAACCGTCTTAGTGGATCGATTGCTGACCCCACTGCTGCTTAGGCTTAGCTTTGTGAACATGCGGTGATAAGTTGTTATTTCAATGTGTCTCATTCCCCATGCATAGGCCGTGCTGCTCCGCCGGGTCCAATCAAGCCACGAGTTGAGATGAGGTTTGTTTATCCCGCTTTCTGGAAGTGGAGACGCTTGTTTGTCGCTAAAGCATGGTGCGATTACATTTTTCCTACCATGCGTGGTGTATTTGAAGGGTGCCGATTCCCTGTCTTGGGGCGTTTCAGTGTGGTCATTTGGGTCTCATCTCAAGATGCTTGTGCGCAAATTTTGTGTTGCTCTGGCCCTTGCGGCTTTGACTGGGGCTGCTCCTGCTACTATCAAGCATGTCTTGCATGAGAAACGGGATAAGCAGAGTTATGACTGGGTGAAGGGCAACCGGGTTGAGAGCGATGCCGTGCTGCCCGTTCGTATCGGTCTGAGCCAAAATAATCTAGAAAAGGGCTATGATTATCTGATGGAGGTGTAAGTCACTCTTCGGAACTTAGTAATTGAAATGTGTTTGATTCTAGACTAATACTTCATATGTAGATCTCATCCGGACTCCCCCCGTTATGGAAAATATTGGTCTGCAGATGAGGTGCATGATATGTTCGCACCCTCGGAGGAGGCTGTTGAATCAATTCGCCAGTGGCTAAAATCAAGTGGCATCCATCCATCTCGAGTCGTTCATTCCGACAACAAGGGTTGGATTGCATTTGATGCCTATACGCATGAAGCCGAGCGACTGTTTCTGGCTGAGTTCTACGAGCATAAGCATACGGCAACTTCGAGCATGAAGATCGGATGCGATAAGTAAGAACAACCGTCTTCACTAAGTTTCAAGTGGCTAATTGTGTGTTTTAGATACCATGTCCCGGAGCATATTCAAGGCCACATTGACTATATCACTCCTGGAGTCAAGCTGACTCCAGTGGTGAAGAAGCACACCAAGGCAAAGAGGGCTTCTCAATTGGCTTATGTCAAGCCTAATGCTGTGGCCGCGGCATCTGTTGGAAACCACTACGAGCTTTCCGCAAAGGCGCTGTCACTCTCTGATGACCTTCAGGGTTGTGGATACAACATGACTCCTACCTGCATTAAGGCCATGTATGATATCCCCGATGCCACGACCGCCGTCAAAGGAAATTCCCTTGGTCTCTATGAGCAAGGCGATTACTTTGCCAAGTCGGACATTGATTTGTTCTATAAGGAGTATGCTCCATGGGTTCCCCAGGGTACCTACCCGACTCCAGCTTTGATTGACGGAGCGAATTACTCTGTTCCAGCATACAGCTCGCTGAACTCAGGCGAGTCAGACATTGATATTGATATGGCGTGAGTAGCCTTTATCCTTACTGTTGGTTGAGACTAACCAGCTTTCAAGATACTCGTTGTTGTACCCTCAGTCTGTGACTCTGTATCAGGTCGATGACCAGATCTATGAGCCGGAGGAGGTTGCCACCACCAATCTCTTCAACACATTCCTTGATGCTCTCGATGGTGTAAGTGCTCCGTTTTTGCTCGAATTCACTAATTTAATATTATCTCAGTCTTACTGCACGTACAGTGCCTATGGAGAGACAGGTGATGACCCTAGCATCGATGCCGTCTACCCTGATCCGGCTGCTGGAGGGTACAAAGGCAAGCTGCAATGCGGTATTTATAAGCCCACAAACGTCATCAGTGCTTCCTACGGTCAGGCAGAGGCAGACCTTCCCGTCAGCTACACCAAGCGTCAGTGTAACGAATTCATGAAGCTCGGTCTCCAAGGTCATTCCATTCTTTTTGCATCTGGTGACTACGGCGTTGCCTCCTTCGCAGGCGATGGTGATGAGAACGGATGCCTGGGTCCAGATTCCAAAATCTTCAACCCACAGTATCCCTCTAACTGCCCTTACGTGACCTCCGTCGGAGGAACTATGCTCTATGATGACCAGACTGTCGAGGATGCAGAGAGTGTCATGCATGTTAACCTGGGTGGTACTGCGACAAATTTCAGCACTTCCGGTGGATTCTCGAACTACTTCCCTCAACCGGACTACCAAAAGACTGCTGTTGAGAAGTATTTCAAGACCGCGGATCTAACCTACCCCTACTACTCGGAGTTTGAGGTCGATGTCAACATCACCACAGGTCTTTACAACCGCATCGGTCGTGCATACCCTGATGTTTCCGCTAACGGTGCCAACTTCCGAGCCTACACTGATGGCGAAGACTACTTCTATTATGGGTCCAGTTTGGCATCGCCCTTATTCGCCTCTGTCTTGACACTGGTAAGAAACCTGCAACATGACACACTGGAGTGTACTGACATATTATCTAGATCAACGAGGAGCGACTTCTGAAAGGTAAGGGGCCCGTTGGCTTTGTGAACCCAACTCTTTATGCCCATTCCGACGTTCTCAATGATATCACCAACGGCACTAATGCTGGCTGTGGTACTTATGGATTTGCCGCCATTGAAGGGTAAGTCGAGTGCCTGGCTCCTATAAGAAGCAATATTTTCTAACTGATTATAGATGGGACCCGGCAACTGGTCTCGGAACTCCCAACTTCCCCAAGATGAAGGAACTGTTCCTTTCCTTGCCTTAAGTGCAAGAATGCAAATTAATGTTGATGGAGGATACTTTCAAGCAAGTGAGCGACTCACTGTGGCTCTAGCATTATCTCAGTACAAATTTCGTGTAAATATTCTGCGTTTCAATACATACAATATTTACGATCAGCTATTTGAAGTTTCTTAGTCCAAGCCTTGTTCAGACAAGCTGGGGAAGATCAATCCAACGACGGTTCTCCCAGCTCTCCATGGCCTTTTCAGCCAACTGAAGACCCTTGGCCCCTTCCAGCAGATCATACTTCCATAGACCACCCTTGACTACGTGACGAAGGAACATTCGCCACTGAGTCTTGAAGGCATTCTCCAAAACCTCACGATCGGGAACTTTGGTCCATCCGTCCTTGTAGTCGATGATACCAGCAACATCGGGATTCCATTTTGGTCGCGGAGTGACACTTTCATGCTGTACAACACAATCCCGCAGCCCAGCGACAGCACTCCCCTTCGTTCCATCCACTTGAATCGTGAGTAGATCCTCTCGACGAACCCGCACCGCCCAGGATGAGTTGAACTGCACAATAACCCCGTTCTTCAGCTCAAAGGTAGCATAGGCGCTATCATCTGCAGTACACTGATAAGGCTCATCCTTCTCATCCCATCGCTTTTTGATATGTGTCGCACCCAAGCAAGACACGGACTTGATCTCTCCAAACAAAGAGTTGATAACATAGTGCCAGTGACAAAACATATCAGAAATAATACCACCACCATCCTCCTTCCGGTAATTCCAGCTCGGACGCTGTGAAACGACGTGCTCCCCGTCGAAAACCCAGTACCCGAATTCACCACGCACTGACAGGATTTCGCCGAAGAACCCACTATCCACAAGGCTCTTCAGCTTCACAAGACCAGGCAGCCAGAGTTTATCCTGGACTACTCCGTTCTTCACTCCTGCCTTCTCTGCAATTTGAGATAACTCCAGCGCTTCCTCCGTTGTTACAGCCGTCGGCTTCTCGCAGTAAATGTGCTTGCCCGCTGCAATTGCCTTCTTGACTGCGTCGACTCGGAGTGATGTTACCTGAGCATCGAAGTATACCGTATTCTGTGGGTCGGCTAGTGCAGCGTCAAGATCAACCGTCACTCGAGATGAGTCGATCCCGTGTGTCTTAGCTAGGTCTTGAAGCTTCGCTAGGTTTCGACCAACAAGAATGGGATCTGGCATTATCACATCACCGTCCGCAGTTGCTATGCCACCTTCTGCGCGGATAGCACAGATGGAACGAATGAGGTGCTGGTTTGTTCCCATGCGGCCGGTGACGCCGTTCATGATAATTCCGACACGATGGACCTTTGGTAGAGACATGATGAGGAATATTGGATTTCTTGGTTTTTACATCAACTCAGAAGGGCAACTAGGGATGCTATATAAGGTGTTGTGAGAAGCTTATGATATTGATGCGGCTAAATGAAAACAGAGCACACGTTAAGCAGAACAAGAAGTTGGATAAAGCTTTGTGCTCCAAATCCGCAAGTCCGAGTGCACAGCTTTAAAACCGACAAATCCGAGCTGTTCTGTAAAGGGCTGGATGGATCCATTGCCGGGAAAACGCATTGCCGCATGCTCAAGAACAAGAACTCTGGGGAGTGTGGGGATAAACTCCACTTGCCCTCCCCCGCTCCGCATCTAAAGCCGAGGGAATGTATTCTCATCGGCATCTTTACCGACCGCGCATAAATTGACGCTATTATCCAACCATTGTGACTCGAGCAGCCCATAATTTTATTCAATTGCCATCATGCGTGACGGAAAGAAGTCAGTCCTTGTTATCAATGGACCAAATCTCAACCTTCTCGGTACTCGAGAGCCACACATCTATGGTCATGAAAGTCTGGCCGACGTGGAAGCAGCTGGGAAGCAGCAAGGAAATGACCTAAATGCCCACGTGGACTTCTTCCAAAGGTATGCGCTTCATGAACCAACCTTCGTATTCCTTCATGCTGATAATGAGCTTCGTCCAGTAACTGGGAAGGTGCCATAGTTGATCGGATCCAAGAAGCTCGCACTGATGGGACAGATGGAATTATCCTCAATCCAGGTGGATTCACGCATACCTCAGTTGCAATTCGAGATGCACTTCTAGGCGTATCAATTCCTTTCATCGAACTTCATGTGTCGAATATCCATGCGAGAGAGGAGTGGCGGCATCACTCATATTTCCAAGACAAGGCTAAGGCGATTATTGTAAGTGTCTCAGCTTTACTCTGCTTGATTTCTGAGCTCAGCTAATGGTTCCCCGCAGGCTGGATGTGGTGTTGCAGGTTATGAGTATGCTATCGATCATGTCGTGAAGAAATTTCCATCCAGAGAGTAGATGAGCGAGTGCATGACATTTCAAGTCGGGAATATCTGTCGAGGTTTCTCAGATTGAGCCTGGTGATACCCGATGACGTTTCGTGCTCTAATATGCACTTTGATGACTCTGTCATTGTTGTTGATCTCAAAAGCCCGAAGCTGGGAAATATTTCGTGAGCTACAACTTGATAGCTTGCACCTAGTGGATCTTAAGTTGGCGAGATCATCCACGAATGGTACACCTGGCACAAGTTAGGAGCATTTGACTACAAAATATATACGGTACCTAAGCTTCAAATTTATCTACCTAATTTCAAAATTGTCCTTACAAGTGCGCGGAATGGAGCTAAAAATACATAGATTGAATGTCCACTATCTATCTGGAAAAATAACCTTAATTGACCGTCTCAGCTAATTCTGCGGTGATGCCCTCGTCTGTTCTTCCTTACTGACCCTGTAACCCTGTTCATGCTCAGTTTCGCGGTGTGTTATGTGTGCCTTCTTAGAATGAGTGGATCTGGTCCTTCGTGAATCCCAGTCGACTCAAGACTCCACTTCCAGAACCCATAAATCCAACCTTTGATCCGACCAAGGAGCTGGTCATTGGTGGAGGACCGCAGAGAAGGACCTTGGTGCTCTTGTCGGGGTGTGAAATAATGTCTCGGAGAAGCCCTTCATCGATGCGGCCCTTGCGCAGGCCCAGCTTATCTTGCTTCAAGTCACTAACCACGTAGCAGTAGTTGAAACGAGTGGGGAATCGCTGTTTGAATCCCTCCAATTCATCCTTCAGCAGAATGTCTTCCTCTGAGTTGACGCCGAAGATCAAGTTGACTTTGGTTTCATCATCCGGGTTGTTGAGAATGCCCTGCAGAACCTGGTACATGGGAGTAATGCCGAGGCCACCAGCAATGAGATAGACTTGCGAGAATCGGTTGGGAACCCATGCATATTCCTTGATGGGGAAAAGGAAGGTCAAGGAGTCGCCTGGGTTGAGGGAATGAAGGTGGGTGCTGGCCTTCCCATTGGGGTACTGCTTCACCATAAGCTCGACGATTCCAGTTTGAGCTAGTTTAGATTGAGTCAGTTTGAAATTCAACGAAGACTTGCGAAGAAGGTTAGGAGCCATACCTGAAACACTGATCGGAGTGTAAGGTCGGACCACAGGAAGCCATCTACCAGCAGGACGGGAGAAAGTCAAAAGAGAAGCTGTTTGGTTTAATTGTTAGCGATCGGATCTTTTAATATCACAAAATGAGAAACATACAAACAATTGTCAGACCACTCTGTGCATTCTCGCCTGGCAACTCAAAAACCAGGCGCTTGGTGTTGTGATTGACGGACTTGGTGCTCTTCAAGCGCAGGGTCTTTGGGCCCCAGCTGTTGAACACATACTTGGGCTCATTGGACTCAGCATGGGCCTGAGTAAGAAGTGACCGAGCACCGAAGTATGCGCCGACGCCTGTAACTGCGCATGCAGATACAAGTAGAGGCTTGGAAGATAAGCTGAGCAAGGGGGGTTCGTGAAGCCATGATCATATTCGAAGTAGGATGACCCATTCGCAAGCTCATCGGGGAGTTGAAGGAGAACAAAAGTGTCAAGTGAGACGAAGTAAACAGGTCTGCCTTCGACGCGCCCGACCGCCTTGTTGTTTACCCCACAGATACTGCCAGCTTTATTTCCGGATTAGGCTTAACGCAATTCCAAAGCCCGGCAAAACCCGCCTAATGCCGATCAAGGCGGAAAGTGGGTCGATATAGATGAATAACTGGAACTTCATCCTGTTCAGACTCCATCAAGACTCCACAATGATACAACTCATGCCATCAATGCATGTTGAATGCAGTACTAGCGTTGTCACAACTTGATCCTGCGTCATTCCTTCTCGGACCCTCGGTTTTTGTTCAATCTTCATAAGTAAGACTTTTTGCTTTTTCTCTTCTTACAGCTCATATCCTTGTAAATTCCCTGATTCGATTCCATTCCTTCTCGAAAATATGGATCCTAATGTTGGTTTCTACTGGGCGCAGGCGATCGGTATATCAGGTGCAGCATGGCTATCTGGTATGTGGAATCTACCCAATCTATTAATACATTCTCAAGCAGAATGACGTAGTAGCATACATAGCTGACAGCTTCGGACTCGAACAACAGGAAATATCGCGAGTTTGAGCACGATCACAACACCAACACTTCTTCAATACGACAAAGAAACAAACCAATCTCCAAGGCTACTTGCGCAACAATGGAAATCCCTCTTTGAAACCGGCAAAGCCCAAAACCCTCCCATTGCAGCCACCGTGGCTGCCTCGTTTCTCTACCTTGCCTGGTCCGTTGGACAGGGAGCTGCTCTGTATAAGAATGTAGTATATAATCGCGTTGCACTCTACCTCGCCGCAGCTGCTCTCACAGTCGGCATTGTTCCATTTACAATCATCACCATGTCTGGAACGAATAAGCTTCTCTTACAAAAAGCGCAATCAACATCGGAGTCCGATCGAGAAGTCCCTGGTTTGGTTAAGCAATGGACTGGACTCAACTTTGCAAGAAGCTTGTTACCCCTGGCTGGGGCTGCATGTGGGATTATCGCTGCCATCTCTTGATAGCACAGCTCCGGGTCCCTTCATCGACTTGAAATACTAGACTGGAGCCCATGGGCCATGGCAGTAGGCCTTAGGTCTCCTTCCTTTACTACTCGGGTGTTTATGCTTTTTTTCTTCTGCCACCACTTAGCAGAACCTCCACCCGCTTGCTACCCACCCCAAGAGAAAATGCACCTTGCGGAGCGTGAAGCTAAAACTTGTAACATGAGTTACTTGGTGAACCTACGAGAACCTCAAGCGATTCGTTGTCGCTTCATTACGGGATCGCTCGAGCCATGATGACAAAATGGCTTTCATGGAATTTATGTACATATGATGTAACAAGATTTAAATTAGAATAGAGTCACCATTAGATATATTTATTGGTCCCGAAGCCATTGAAGAAGATCTTCGGTCCATTCCTCTCCTACAGAATCCCCAGACATTAAAGCCAGTGTTGCAGTAAAATGATTATGACTCAAAAGATCCAGTGTGTTGGCGGAATCGAATGTTTGATTCCATAGCCGAGCAAAATCCTGCCCTGGCAATAACACGCAATCTACAGGATCATGCTCCGCAGTTATTACCATGACCCTGGGAGTCAAAAGGAAAGTACCCTGTGACTTGGCTTCTGTCGCCTTTTTGAGTAAGCCGAAGGGACATTTTTCTTGAGCCTCATTTTCAGTACCATAATACTCAACCAACCGGTCCCATGAGTCAAGGGTTGAAGTTGGAAAGTGAAAAGGTACGTTAAGAAAGATTGCCCCTCGCCAATGTATTGAGCGGGTCCCTAACAAAAAGGCTTTCTGTGTGTTGTCTGAATTCCGGTGCAAGTAGAGAACTAGCCAGATGCATTCCACCTGCCGATTGAGCCATGATGTAAAGATCCTTTTTAGTATCTGGGTCGATTTGGTCAACCCAATCTAGAATTAGGGATAGATCTTCAGCTCCAGAGGGATATAGGGCATCCTCACCGCCAGTGGATGATTTTACCCGGCGGTAATCGGGAATAATTGTTGTAAACCCCTTCTGGGCGAAGAAAGTGTCAACATTGTGATACACCAAAGCAAGGATTTTATCTCCACGAACAAAACCACCGCCATAGAGTAAAATCAAAATTGGAGCGTTTCTTACAAAATGTTCTGAAGTATAGACATCAAGTTTTTGTCTGGCATGGCTACCATAAGACTCAGTTCTCGGTGTGATGCTTTTGATTGATGCTTTGTTTTTCAGCAGGAGATGTACGAAAAGCCGATGGGTTGGTCAGACCGTGGCTTGGATGTCTGGCCCATGAGAATCGGTGATTCGACGAACTTGGTCCATGATTTGTGACGGTTTGAGAGTTGAGCTCAGAAGAGAAGAAATCAAGGTTTGGAGCGGAGAGCATTTTCGCACTTTTGCACAACTTTGAGTCACGGCAAGGTCTTCCGTCCACGAGTGTCGGTTTGCATTTCACCTAATATCAAGATCATGAACTTTCAAATGTTTGTCTTCAAATTCTCGACTAAACTGATCGGCGAACACCGATATCAAATGATCTGATCCATTCTATGCCACATTTCCAACAATCTGAGATTTTCTAGGCGAGCCTTAAACAATGACTTGCCAATCAAGAATCAAGAAATGAGAGACGAGTTCTCGATCCAATTGAAAAACCAGGTTCATCACATTCAGAAACAGAAAGAATTGACCAATGTGGGATGAATGCGGGGAAGATGATCATGATTCATAGGTAAATACTAGCGATAGAATAAGCCTGAAGAAAGTCGTCGGTTAAACTAGAACGGTTGTAATTGTGGGGACAGGTCCAGCCTCTAGGATCAGCTGGTGTCAGCTAGCGCCGCCAAGCAAACTGCATGAACTTCACATACGAGTGCCGCGTGTACTTTTCATCAAGCTCTCGCTCCAGATGCCTGTACGCATGCCCCTCGTGGTTCTGGTCCCGATCCGGGCCGTGACTGACATGGATGTCTTCTTCAACTAAAATATTGACGAAATTATTTGTATGTGCCTAAGGCAAACGGCAAGCACCTATAGGCTATTATGAGAAAACTAGTCACTAGCTGGACTAGTGAGCCCCAAGGTACCGCCTATTTTGTACACAATCTCATGACGCTTACAATGACTTGGCAGCTCAACCTCAAACTCGTATCAAGAGGCTCTTGAGTCAAAACTAGAACTAGTCTTGTGTCTGATTCGGTGAAATCCGAGACCCAGACTGTTTGAAGAAGCAGCCAGGTAAAGCGTGGCTGCAGAAGAGAGGAAGCATAGGCGATATGACGAAGCTATGCCTCAGACGATAGCTTGGTGGAGCTCTGGCTTTAGTGGCTGGTAGTTCCGCGGGGAATACCGAAGAATTCTAGCAATCACAATTTTGCTCATGAACTACTGCAGGCTACTCACTGCAAATGGCCTCATGGTGTTTCATGTGGCACTCTCCCTCCGTTCGAGGCCAGAACACAGCCTTGGGACCAATGTCGGCAACCAATCATCATGATCCTCGCCTCGGAGAAACCGGTCTCAGTAAGGATGCAATATCTGAAAATTAGAGCTGAAAGCTCGGCAATTCTTGTCATCTCTTGAGATTCAGCTTGTAAGATTGAGATGGCGCCAGCCACAGACGAAAGGACGGTGATGACTGCCAGGCTGAGGACGACGACTAGCCCTGTCTCAAAGAACCGAGCAAGATCTTGCAGGGTTCTCTCAATTATAAAAGGAGCCCAAACTCCCTCCGTTTATCTTCTTTTCTCCAGACCTCAACAACTCATCTGATTCAAGACTCAGTCTGCCTACCACTTTCATCTTCAATACTTCCAGTATTCTACCATCTTCCAACATGTCCCAGCACAGCACCATCGGACCCGGCGAGTGGCTTAAGCCCCAGACCAGCCTTTACAGCACTGACGGCAACACCGAGCTACGTATGCAAAGCGATGGCAAGATCGCCATTTACCGCGACGGCGAGTGTGTCTGGCAGAACACTGCTGAGCAGCGCCCCGACGTCAAGGGAATCATCGACCAGGATGATGGAAACTTCTGCATGTAGTAAGTGATCTATTTACTCCAACGTCACCCTGAGCTTTCACTTCTATTGTATCATGAGAGGAATACATAGCTGACAAGATACAATTCGCAGCACCACCGAAGGTACTCCTATCTGGGCCACCAACACCGGTGGCCAGGGCAACAGCAACACCTTCCTCACTGTTCAGAACGATGGAAACGTCGTCCTTTACAAGGTTTCTGAGGTTCTCTGGGCTTCCGGAACTAACAAATAGATTGTTTCGGAGTGGACGGCTGCTGCACATGGAGAGACCACCGCAACTTGTGGGGTATAATAGTATTTGAGCCAGGGTCGCGGCTCATGACTTGACAAATTTTTCTCTACCGCCTTCTGTCTAGGTGCATCTATGTACTTCGGGTCTCTAGACACCGTCTCTCAAGTCCTATATGGATAGCCTCAATATCACTTTCTTTTCTACATCATCTATAAGACCGTCCACCTGGCAGATGTAGCTGTAGATCAGCCCGGCCTTGACCTTGACCTTGACTTTGGAAAGGAACATTTCAGTGATAACCAGAATAGGCCATCGTAGTTACCTAGGTAACATAATACCCATATCTAAGCTTTTGAATGGCCCTGGAGGTGACACGACGAACATACCGAAGACAAAGATGCTACCTCAAATGCCGGAATTACTACACGTATGCAGTACAGAATAGCATGAATATTTCAAATACTTCCATTGTACTCCTATTCATTATCTATAAAAGACATATTGATCTACGTAGTAGCTCTCCACATGTGCATATACTTTTCCAAGGTTGCAAGAATCTGAACCCAACATTTTGAACTTGTCCTCCGCTACCGTATCGGTAAGCCAGGGTTCCGTATACTGATTTCTCAACCCGTTAGACTGAACGACTTAGAGATGCATTTGCCAATATCATCTATTCTGGCCCTTTTACTACTGGGGAGTGCGATACCAACTATCCAAGCCGTGAAATGTCGCTGTCGAGGAGGTGTACGGACTTCTCGGGATGCGTGTGATTCAATTGGGGCTCAATACGAAACAACGGCTTGTGGATTTGAAGGATGCTGTGTACAAGCTGGCACCGAGCAGACTCAATTCATCGATCAGTGCCATTCATTGGGGTATGGCTTTCAACGATGCGATGATTGTCACGATTGCTAGGAATAAGGGCTCGGTTATTTAATGTTCAAACGGGCAGACAGTTCAAACGATGTTGAGCAGGTATTTGTTTTCTCCAAATGTCAAGTATATTGATGCTATAATTATGTTCTAAAATATTCGAAAAATCCCAAGAAAAAAAAAGGTCACATGAAGGGCATCTGCATCAACCTTTGTAATGACTGGAGTAAGGCTTCCTTCCAGGAGGAAATGGGGGTATCGTCCAAGTCGGGTTTATCAAGATCGCTGGAGCATAAATATCATTTTGGTCTTCTTACTGGTTGACAAGCTCGCCGGTCTCAGACACGAGGTGCTCGTCGACAGAGATAGGACCCTCTCCAACACCAGTCAGAATGACACGGCTAATACCGGTCTTCAGGACATCCAGGACACGGGGGTCAATCTTATCAAGAGCAACACCGGGAGCGGTGAGGTTGGCAATAGGCTCATAGAAAGAACCGCTGAAGCCTTCAACGTCAGCACCCAAGATACTCTTGACGGTGCCAGCAACCAACTCAGAGTCTTTCTCCTCGTAGTAGATAACGGAGTTAGGACCAGCGTCATAAGTGTAAGCAGCAACAGTGCGGCCAACAGCGTGGTTGATGTCATGCACCAGGCGGACAGCAGCGCGCGAAACATCGTTCATGTAAAAGATAGGAGGCCAGGAGTCGAGACATGTGGCATGGAAAGTGTTGGAGTCACGCATAGTAATCTCGGCGAACTTGGGGAAGTCACGGTCCCGAATAGCGTCTTCAATGGCAGTCATGCGCTCAGGAACAACGGAAGACACTCGCTGAGCAAAGAGCTCGGAGGTAGCAACAGTGGTCTGCATACCTTCTGTGCTGGGAACATCCTTCTTCTCGGCACTAACGACAAGGACCAAGGCCCGCATCTCGGGCCAGTGGGAGGCAGGAGCAACCTCCTCAGCCAGACTGTCACTTCCGTCAACAAGCTCACCTGAGCGCCATGCGACATAGCCGCCCATCAGAGATCGGCAGGCAGAGCCTGAGCCTTGACGAGCAATACGGCTCAGCTCACGAGGAGTCTGGGGCAGCTGGTATAGATCGGCAACGGCACGAACGAGGGCAGCAAAGCCCGCAGCGGAGCTAGCCAAGCCAGCGGCAGTGGGGAAGTTGTTCTCGGAGACAATTCGAAGAGGGAAAGTGGAGAGCGGAGGAAGAGAAGAATCGGCATCTTCCAGGGATTTGCGGAGAGCACGAAGGCTAGACAGACAAGCAAGAGTACGCTTGGAGGATTGAATCTCCTGTGGGCTGCCGTTCAGGTTGAGAGTATCCTCGGCGGGGTAAGACGGAGAGCAAGAGGCGGTGGTCAGAGTGCGGAGGGAACGTTGTGAGAGGGTCACAGAGAGAGAAGAATTAGTTGGCAGGTTAAGAGTAGTATCACGCTTGCCCCAGTACCTGATTGAGTCCAAAGCATTAGCCTTTATGATAATTTATAACTGAGCGGCAGTGTATATCACGTACTTGATGACAGCAATGTTGACGGGGGCAGTTGTAGTAGCCCGGTAGACGGACTGGGTAGATGGAGCAGCCATTTCAGCGTGAGTGTGAATTTGGTGTGAATTTGAATGAAAAAGAATTGAAACAAATAGAATCAAGCTCTATACAATCTAGAAGGTAAAGGGGAGTGTTTGCCTTTGGGGCAGTTTAATATTGGGTGGGCGGTGAGGGTAAATTTATTGCTTGTCCCGAGACTATTTTGTACCGCGATGATTCTGTACTGCGCGCCGATCATTGATTCCGCATTTCCAATCATCCCCAGTCCTGATATTCCGGCTTTCCAAAATCTGTCAAAATGGGGGCTGGCGCAAGTGCTCCCACCGCACCATCAGAACCACCTGCCGCTACCTGTCCGGTAGACCATAAGACTCGAGAGGTCTGGCTCCAACAACATGGAAATTCACCTCATCCTGCAACACCCGGATCAAGTCCAGAGACACCAGCCAAGCTGCAACGACCCCTATCAACAGACCGAGAAGTCAGCAGTATACCTCGTGCGGGAGAAGTAGCTGTAGGAGAAGCCTGCCCCGAAGCCAATAAAAAGAACCCGTCAGCATACGCCTCTTCCGGATCTGCCGCATCTCACGGTTGCCCATCTAATGCCGAGTCTGAGACTGGTCGTGATGAGGCCACTGGAAACTGGATTTATCCCTCTGAGAAACAATTTTTTGAAGCGTTGATGCGCAAAGGCAACACACCCGATTCTACTTCTTCTGCGTCAGAACTTGCGACCTCAGTCGCCTCGATCATCCCTATTCACAACGCTGTCAATGAGCGTGCCTGGCAACAAATTTTGGACTGGGAGCGAAAAGGCCCATCGACAGATCCCGGAAGCAAGAAGTGTGGCGGACCGAAGTTATATTCCTTCCGTGGGCTTGGAGTTGACCCTCAATTCCTGAGTCCTCGTGCACGCATAAACGGATGGCTGGGCTACCAACGACCGTTTGACCGACATGACTGGGTTGTTGAGCGATGTGATGGAGAGCAGATCGAGTACGTTATTGACTTCTACCAAGGAAAGCCATCAGGTCCAAGCCAGCCGGGTTTGACAGGAAACGCGGGACCTGATAAGCTCAGCTTCTTCTTGGATGTCCGACCCAAACTGAACACTTACGAAGGCTGGCGGATGAGATTCAACCGCTTCACTGGTCTGTGATCCTGTTTATTTCCTTAAGCGTTGCAAAACTAAAGCTGAGCACGGAGATGGATTGGGCTCAAGGCACGAGATGTATAATTCATGTATAACCACACTATGTACGATATCGCATTAGAGGATTCAAGGCCAAGAAGGTTGATCTTCTCCATTCCATAAACGCCATTAATCAGGCTAATAATTGAGATCTTGATGAGGGAAAAGTCCGCAGAAGAGTCGCGGCTGTTTCATGCATGGGGGGATATCGTGCGCAGACATAGACATAACTGAGAGGCGGAAGAGGAACATCTAGATGAAGGCATAGCAGTAGAAAAAAGAAAGCAAAAGAAATCGTCTATCCCAGCACGATTGCGAGGACAATGATGGCTAGGATAATAGCAAGGATGACAAACAGACAGCACGCCTTGTTGCGCGCATTCTTCTGGTATCGACTGGCACTGCGCAGTTCAGTATTTGCGCCTCGAGTGTCTTGAGTGACATTTTGGACGTTTTCGCTGATGATGTCGAGCTGTCCACCTTGTTCACTAACAATATGTGCAACGTCTCGGAACAATTCGTTTAATTCGCCGACGCTTTGTTCAATATTGCGGATCTCTGTCTCGCGCTCAATGATCAAAGTCTCCTGAAAGTCAACCTCGCCCTGGTTAGCTAATCGTGGCTGCTCGAGTAGTTGCTGCTCTTGAAGCTGAACATCACTGGCATCGCCAGTTGGATGTTCGCTATCCTCAATGGCGGAACGAGCGGCCACAGCCGATGCGCGTTGTCTTTCTAGCGCCCGGCGCTGAACGGTCTGGAATTCATCCAGGTTGGCTTTGAATTCGGATGAGAGCTTTTGCTGGGTCCATTTCTGGGAGGGCTACAATTTGGAATGTCAGCAGTTGGAAAAGAGTAGTCATCTATCAAATGCGAGACATACATTAACGTCTTCCCATGTCTGGATCTTCTTTAACCCTTCTCCTGCATCCTTAAACCCCGCCCGAGTCTCCTCCAGCAGGTTGTGGACCCGTTCGCGTACTCGCTCTGTATCTCGCTTTGTGCCTAGTAGAGCAATCTGGCTTGACAAACGAGTGGTGTTTGAAGTTAATGAGAAGATTTGGTCTGAGAGCAACTCGGCCAGATGGTCGAAGCCTGGATCGTCGCGGTATTGCGGGTCATCATCCCGGCGCATAGTGGTAGGCTGAGCCTCCAGTGAATTCAAGCGATCGAATGACATCCTCGAAGATATTGTTGTTGGGGGGAAAACAATAGCTAGGGACAGAATAAAGCACGATAAGGGAAGATGTAACTGGGCCTTCTGCCTGCTGCATCAGAAATGCAGGTCACTCTCACATGACGTACCTTCATACACTAGTCCATAAATGGTTAGCTCTATAATCTGAAGTTGGGCTATATTCGGATTATATAATCCTTGATGGGCGGATTTGACTGGCGTATGGGTGTAGATCACGTGAAATAGCTGCGGCTTGTTTTGATACCTCAAAATATTCGATGACCTGGGCTGCCTTTGATCCCATCGCTTTCAGTATCTAGGTGCTCTTTTGTCCTTCTCAACCACCAGGTTTATTACTGGTCTATTCACCTCACAATCTACTTTCCAACCTCTGGGATGGTCATCTGGATCATGCTCTGAGTGCTGTCCCTTTTTCTCTCACGAGTACCATCCCACGTTAGCTAGCACATCATGGCCGTCGCCCAACCTCGGCCGTATCGGCGCATTTTGACATCAGCGCTGCACCGGCGGTTTGTTCATGCATCTGCATTGGCTTTACTGGTTTGCTATGGCATAGCAATTGCCATTGGCAGCAAAACATCATGTAAGCGGTTTGCCTGCGCGAGACCTCACGCTTGGTTTTCAATTCCACTTCAAGTTATTGTATCTGACATCTTCAATCGGTACAGTCTTCTGGTCATGGTTTCCTATCGGCTCTTGTGGTGTTCGCACCGTCCTTCTCTTCGTCACTTCTCTTTGCGTCTTCGTCCTTCGTGTCGGTCAAATGCACCTCGGGTCAAGAACCACCCCATCTTCTCTCAGCACATTGCGATATCTCTTCCCTCTTCAAGTGGCGCAAACCTTTGCCTGGTATCTTTTCTCGGCTTGGTGGTTTACTGAGATTTACGTATGGTCCTCTACAACCGGGGCTCACTTGGAAATGGTGAAGCGCGGCAGGTATGTTGAGTTTAGCATATCGCAAATGTTTCTAAGGCAAGAGCTGACCGAATTCAGACCACATGAACGTCCGCACCTGAACGAACGACCCATTTACATTCATACCTACCACTTAATCCTAGCATGCGTTCAATCGGTGTTCCATCTGTACTACGACTACGACAGTGTACCTATTCCGGTTGTCAAGCGCGCGCAAAATGCAGACGATCAGCGAACACACCCCGTTCCCCCGACATCGAAACATATCCAGAGTATCTTGCCACAGATGATTATCACCGGTCTTACGAGAAGTGCCATCGTTGCAGGCGTCACTCCTGTGGTGTATCAATTGTTCCTTCGCCAAAGCGCATGGAGCTGGTCGTTGTACTTCGCAAAGCTCTTCTGGAACTTTCCTCGCTCTGCCTCAGAACCCGACTCGTTCCTCCCTCCTGGATTTCTGTTTTTGATTGTTCGGTCTCTATTCTCGGGCTCTATGCTTGTTCTGTGCTGGCAATCAACTAACCTCTTTTTCTCTGTTTTCATTGGAAAGGAGCCCCTGAAGCGTGGGCAACCACTTACCATGGAAGCTAAGGATCCCAATGGTAGTCTTCTTAACGGCCTCAAGGCAAAGAAACCCATTGTGAAAGCATTCGCTCTATGGGAGCTCGGCCTCATCAGCCAACGGCTTCCCGAGCGCCGTAAGGCTATATTCAACGAGATCGACCGCGATAACGGCACAACTTGGTCGCAGATCTCGGAATGCCTGTTAGAAGTTATCAAGGACATCACTGCGCGCATTGATGCGAGCAAGGCCCCTGCCCCTGTTCCTAAACAGTCAACCCCAGCTCCAGCTTTCCAGCCGACTCTTCAGACTCTGCCGAGAATCACAGACGCTCCAAAGAGTGAAAATGTATTTGCTGCCTCCCCCAGGGCAAGCTCACGTCAAGACAAATTCGGAGAGGCGTTTGGGGCCGCCGCCAAATCGTATGGCCAATCGGCAGACTGGACACCTCAAGCACGAGCGCGCGCCCGTCAAGTTTTTGACCAAGCCTCATCCGCTGTGCTTAGCCCTGAGCGTAAACAAAAACTCATTGCTTCATCTGAGGAGCTCAAGCTACTTGCTGCAGGGCCCCCGGCCACATATAAACCTGAAAATGTTCACCCAGTTCTAGCACAGTTCCTTCGGTCACCCATCGGCCAGCCTCTTCGTCAATCCTATGCTCGGCGCGCAACCAACATTGTACTCGGTTCTCCTGACTCTTCTTTGACTGCAATCGTCGATGCGGTCGATTCTCTGACTCGTCTCCTGGTTGCCAGTCTGGCGGAAGACCAGTACGGCAAGGTTCAAGCTGATGTTCCATCTGCTGTTCGTCTACTCACAGATACGATTGTCTCCCTAGAGGGATTTGTTCATCAAGGTGGATTGGATGCCCACTGGACTGATGTCAATTTCCCTCCTTCGAGTAATCCTGCCGCTCAGGCAGAGGCCCGTCGCGTCCCAGAGATCGAGCTTGTCTTGGATACACTGAAGAGCGGCTTAACAGACCTGTTATCCGCTTTCAAGCCATACCTGCGAGCCATTGGACTTTCAAGTAAGGACCTGAGGCTAGCCAAGGAGGCTGCTGGAGTTGATGCGGAGGAATAGTCATGATCTACGATGGACATCATTTGAGCTTCAAAAGTTCGAATGTTTTATGTGTATTAAAAGCGGCCGTCAGCATAGCCCGGTCGCTGACTTTATGTTTTGTTGTTGTATCCTTATGGGAGTTGGTTCTCAGTGGACAAATGCATGGTCGGGCGTTTTGTTTTCCTTTCTTCCTATTTTCCTCCTGTTAATGAACGTGGATTTTTTTGGCAAATTTTGAAGATGATAACATTTTCCTCGTATAAACTAGAAATATCAAGATTCAACAATATCAATCGTGATCGTTGGATCCCAATAAATCTCCATATACACTTAGAGCTTCATTTTGGTCACATGACGGCATCGACAACTTGCAACTTCATGTTGACCGTACACGCAAGTTCAACCCCCATGTTTTATTAATCTCCTCACTTGCCACAACAAACGCTCTGACTTGAACTTGAAATACCTCTTCGGCTGCCCAGGTCATGTCTTTAACTAACATATATCACTTGCGTCGCGTCGCAGATACGTCCGCCAAATCATGTCTTATCTGCTATAAGCCATCAACAAGCGTACTTATTACACCCGATAACAAAGTAAGTACACCTGAAATATGCACTGATTTGGCTATCGGCTACGTATACTTGGCTGCTTGTGAGATATGAGCTCCCTATACACTTCGATACTGACTCGAAGTCCAGGACTTTTTCTACGTGTGCCCCGCCCATTTGCAAGATCGTCACTTTTGCACACCCATAGTGGACAAAGAGGGCGAGGCAAAACGTCAAAAAGAGGAGGCTTTGGCGAAGGAGATTGAAAAGGTGAAGCAAGAGTATGAAGAAAAGCAGCGACGAAAGAAAGAGAAGGCCAAGGACGAGAAAGACAAAGATAAGGACGATTCCAAAGACAAGGATAAGAGTGCATCAGACTCCAAGACGAAGGACGAGAAAGAGAGAGATGACAAGGTGAGCAGCTGGAAATATCAAATTAACGGTCCCTCTTGCTAATCACTCCCTAGATTGACTCAATTAAAAATGCCAGTTCGGACTCGGACACAAAGCCTGACAACTCGCCGCGAATCTTTGAGTTGCACAAGTATGTTCTTCAACCCTCTCCCGATGCTTGATTGCTCATCAACTGCAGAAATTTCTATCAAATGCGCATTGACCGACTTCGGAGCATTGAGATGGCCAAGAGAAATCAGGAAAGAATGAAGAATCCTTCTCTGTTTCCATCAGTTCCGACTCGCGAGATTTAGCCTTGGAATGGATATCCAGATATAGGTTTCCCGTCTCTAAACCCTCTTTATTGGGTATACGACATAGCCAAATGCTCATGACGAGTGCTTATTTGCCAAGAAGACATCCGAGATACACTAACTGGCTGGTTTAAAGACTGCATCCTTTCTACAACAAGGCATACCGCTGCACCACGAGACATTTAAATCAAGGGATCCGATCACAGATTAAGGCGGATACAGCCGCACGAGCAACCCCTCACGGCAAGGCTTGGATTATACGTGAATCATAAATCTTATCCGCTCAGGACTTCATAATTATACTCGGATTCTCAAACATTGACCCAGCCGGGAACATTCCCTCTTGAAGCTTGCGCAGGTGCCGCGATGCCAGGCCGCCCATAGAATATCACGAACTAGAGCACGCGGTCTTCAATACGCATATTAAAAACGTGCACAGTCCAAGTCCTCCATGGTTCCAAATCCTGCAGGATGACCTTCTTTCCTTCTCTGACGGTCCTGCCGAAAAGATTTACCAAACCCCTTTCCTATTCGAGCGGCGCTACATGTGTAATTTCCTGCAAGTATTTCAACTGCAAGGCCTCCCACAGCGCGGAAATCGGAATGCCTAACTGCCTTAGGCAACATCGCACGACGCAAGACATCTGCTTTGAACTGTAAAAGGGACAATAAGGCTATCGGGGCTGGCCGGATACTAAACACCGCGAACTCCGTGCCGTCGGCAGGTTCTGCATGGGTACAGGTGGGGTGAAGGGAAGAATAAGCACTAGGGAAATCCCTTTGGGGGTTAAATCCAGGAGCACCCCCTCTTCTAGAAACCCGCCCCCATCAGCCCTAGTGGGCGGTCTGGTCATTATTGGCTTTCGCTTCGTACCGTAGATCTACCGCGTTTTTCTTTGTTGCAAGAGTGTCAGGGTTTAAGCCGTTGTTCATTTGCGCTTGAGGAGGTCAGAGCAGGACGCCTTGTTGGGCTGTCATGTCGGATACAACCGCACTTCAAGCTCTATCTTGGGTTACTGTATCATGCATTTGGGCAACTGTGGCTTGCGTTCATGAAGCTAGAGTCATGAAGGTTGCTTCTATTCGGGCTGATAGTCCCAAGGTTGGCTTTTAGTGCGACTGCGTGTATTTGAAAGCGTTCACTAGTAGATCTGGTCTTGAAGTCATGCATGTGGTGGTCTAGTACAAGATCCTGAAGTATATGATTGGTGTAAATGCACAGGTTGTGGTTGGTATCTGCTCGGGTGAGTTATTGAGTACAACGCATACTTCAAGTTTGCATATCATGCTGGCTCAACCTTGGTCCTGGAACCAGCACGGTGCACATCCGCCTAGACGCCCAAATATAGATCAATTTTGTACATATTCAAGTTTAGGTGCGCTAGTCTCGGACGAATTCCTCAATATTGGTAGTAATATGGAGTCAATGATCATGTCTGCCCAGTACTAATGACACTGGCGTGATCAGTGCTCAAAGAAAGAGACTTGGAAGCGATGGTAGATGCCTAACAGCAAACCCACTCTTCGGACTACTAGAGCTACTAGTAGTAATACTAGTCTAGTCTAGTATATCATGATAGATTTGGGGTCCAGGTTGAAGGATGTTCACCGATTTCAAAAAATCAACCTTACACTATAGTACCGGTTGACTCCGAGGTCCGACTTGATATCCGACCTAATTCAATGAACATGTGCACGTAGCACGATAACTGCCGAGTAGTATTATGAATACTACGACTCATCCAAGCACAGATTAACCGAGTACTCCGTAGCAGGACACGTAATGGTCACATCTTGGCAGCATATACTTCAGATGTATCAAGCTATTGGAAGCGAATAAACTATGATTGAAGCAAACCCGTAAGCCTCCCCTGACCCAAATGAATGACATGCATGCTAATGGTCCTATGATCTCCAGTTCAATATTGTGGCACAGGACCCCCAGGTCAGCCTAACTTGAACCTGGTCGAGTGACGCAGCCATTTCTTAAATCATCAGATGCAGGACCCCCAAACATGCCACCGGAAATCCACAAGGCTGCGGGACTAGATGCGCCTAAGCTTGAAATTGTCAGATATTGGAACATGCAAGGCGATCAACGATACCTTAGTGGGAAAAAAGGGGTCCATAAGTGCGGAACTTTATCCAATCTTTTTTGGTAAAGGGGAGCAACTATGATATCAGCGCATTTTGAGAAGTTCTTTTTCTTTTCTTTCAGAATGCGACTCCACTACTCCGTTCTCCGTAAAAGCTGAGAGCTCTCCTGCAAGGCAAATGTGCACAGCCCCACCCCCACTGGGCTAAATGAACACTGCCAATAAGATAGCCCTGGTGAGCGGGTATGTTGTAGCTTGTTGGCCCCAGGCAACATTCCAAGGCAACTAAGGTATTTTGAAGAAGTTCTTTTTGAGGAGATTTATTGAGTGAATTGAGTGGAAAGATTCATATATTGAAAGTTGTAGGTTTTTGTATATTTCAAAGTATTAATTGAATCCTTTTGGATCTTTTCTTTCTCTTCAATATTCCTCGTTATACTTGCATTGTAGAGTAAAAGACCATCCAAGGGCGAGATTTTGTACCTGGTGTATGTAATAACAGTAACAAACATGTATTACCAATACAGACGTCGCAGGTGGTGGATCCAATCGGGAGACCCAGGAAGGAGACCCGCTTTGCACAGCCTCCTTTTGCTTCACCAACCTTGGAAAGCTTTCCACCCTGAAGGGGGAATTAATCACCATCCCTACTCGAGCCCAGCGTCATTGGCGTCTGGAGTTGCTGATCCCTTTTAAGGAAGAAACGGCACAGTGTAGGATTGGCATCGCGCGCGTCTTCTGAGGATGTGGGGCGATAGATTAACCCTGGAGAAAAGGAATAAACCACCTGGGGAAGGAGAAGAGAAAAGCAGGGGGCACACCGTAAGAAGAAAGTGGAGCTACCGGCTGACGAACAAGCGTCACGCCCCGATATTATTCAGGTCTTCCAAGGTTGCTCTTCTGTGCTCTGGAGCCCGAGTCATGTTGGTGGGTAACTATGGATACGTATGTAGTAGTATTGGTGACCTTGGTGGTAGTGCCGGGGTGCGGATATCAATAGTCCAATCTATTATTCTATACTTCGTAGTCAAAGTCACTAGTATCAAGAAAGATGACCGTGAGAACCTTGGAAGGCGTCAACCACGAGCTTTTTGGGTGCACATTATGCATAATGCATAATGCAGCCCTAAGCTCGCTTGGCCAGGCCCTTAATGGGTGTCTGGAATGAGGCGTTATTGGCTAGTGTTCAGGCTCAGCCGTCACACATCGCCGAACCTGTATCACCTTGCCACGGCAAACCTGTACAAGGCTATAGGCTGTACGGAGTGGGTGGTGGCTATACGGAGTTTATTTCCTTCTCGCAGTTGATCTTCGTGTATCAAGAGATCTGTCGAGTGTGCGGTGTGCAGTGTGACGAGTGCTAAATGGATCGCCGAGGGAGTCCAGCCAGCCCTTTCAAGATTGATGCGGTTCCGTTTTGACCATTTTGTTGGAAATCAAGATCGTAAGCTTTGGTTCGCTGTTGAAGAGAAGGCAGAGCCGCTAGTGTGTTGCCTAGCGTGAGATGGGTTCATTTTAATTGCCAATGAGACAACGATTCGTACTCCAAGCGGGAGGCTCGCTGGAAGATTTAACTCTTGAGCCGCGAACAGGGCTGAAAGAGGAACCTTGTCCTTGACCCTGAGATCGCAGGCGGAGATGTGACGGAGAATCAAGTTCTCGGAGTTCCTGAGTGGTCGCCTCAAGTGCCGGGGCTAGACCGCTATGGCTGGCTGAATGTGGGAGAGAAAATGTATACATGAAACATAGCCTTCATATGACGCAAGTGGCCATCTCCAAAGATAGTCAAATCAGTGCTGAATTCTCCGTGGCCTATATAGAAGTGATTGCTTCAAGTGACTTGAAACAGGGATCAATAAAAACCAAAAGATTTCCTTGTGGGGTATGCTGATCGGCGCTTATGCAGCCCCCAGGAAAAAATAGCGTCCGAGAACTAGAAACTACAACATAACGAACCAAGGAAATTGACTAGTTCACAGTTTCATGATTCGTAATTTACATCGTTAACACATCACTTCAGAGGTTTCCACGTCCCGCGCCCGAGTTACTGGGTCCAGCAGGTTGCATTCCTGGTGGGAGTCGAATGCCTAACGCGGCTGGGGAAGGGTTGCCCAGTACTCGTTCCTTGATATCAACACGAGCTTTCGCCAAGCCAATCGCGGGCACCACCCAGCTCTTACAGCTGCACTGCATGCCTTGCCATGCGAATTTTCCGATGTTGGCCCCACAAGTGGGATTGGGGCAGGCCAGGCGTCCAGACAAGGGTGCATCTCCGGTAAATTGAGCGTTCGGGTTAGCATCAGATGCGGATGGGTACAGGCTTGAGCGCATCCATTTCATGGGGTGCAAGAAGATATGCGCGCACTCTGCGTTGGAGTTCACCCTGACGTTCTGGCGCTTTTCCTCCTCATGTGAAATGATGTACTTGCTGGAAGCTATTCCTCGTCTGTGTGATATCATAGCACATTAGCTTTTGACTCGTTGTTATGAGGGGCTAATCAGCCCGTAATTTGGGGAAGGTTCACGAACCGGCATTTGCGGCACTTGATCTCCACCTCACGCTCAGGAGTTTTCTCGGGTTGCTGCTGGGACGGGAGCTGCTCGTCTTCGTCTTCGAAGCGCACCGACCCCATTTCCGGGGCACGACCACAAGCCACACTTTCCTCGACCTCGCGACGATACAGCCATCGTTGGTAAACCGGCTGGCTTTCCAGGTCATCGGGGCATTCCATGTCGTAATACAAATCTAACTGATCCATGAAACCCGGGTTCGGCTCACAGAAGGGTCGGCCTTCACGGATAGTTTCCAATGCTACGCTCGGCGTAATTGAACGGTCATTACGTTGCTGGTGCATCAAATAGGCAATGCAGATAGTTGCAGATCGGGATTTTCCCATCGCACTGGGATATCAAGTTAGTCATTTGATTCTCCAATACGAGGTAGACACGGCTTGTTTCAGTGTTTTGCGGAAGAACAGAGACATAGTCTTGCAAAAGCAAAAGGATACACGGGTACCAAGAGGAGTAATGTAACAAAAGAAAGAACAAAACCAAGTTACTTACCAATGAACAAGAACGCTTCCACCGCTATCCAAGCCGGATTGAATGAAATTCACCGCGGCGGGCATATGACACAATAGGTTTTCATCGTCGATATCATCAACATCTATCTTGTGGTGCTGATAAGAAGATAGATACTCATCTGAGCGGAGACGGATCACAGAAACAATATGAGTGATATTTGCTCTTTCGAGGGCCGCTTTGTTCTTCAGAGCCAATATGCTATACCCAGTAGGTTTGTTAGTAAGGTGTTGCTATATTGAGGCGCGCCGTGTGGAGGCCCACTCGGTGGGAGGAATCTAGTCAAATCATAAAGGCAAGGGTGTACTGACCCTCCGACATAAATGTTATGACCTGGGATCTGATTCATCGCCATAGCTGTCAACGTGCGGTGTTTCCCGCTATTTACGTTGATGATATGTTTTGGCAATCCAGAAGACTCTGCCTTCACTTCACGGCGATATCAAAAGGGCCGTGTCTGCCCTCACTTGTTGACCCAAAATGGTAAATAGGGCAAGGGCATACCCGCAACAGGTGATATCCATGACAAACTTCATATGTTTGCAGTAGGCGGTCATAAAGGCGGTCGAGGCATATACATTCTGCCTAGCCATATGATAACGACACTAGTCCCAAATAGGAAGTTAATGCTGCCATGATATTGTTGCCTTAGGTCCAAGGCTACCAACTAATATTGAGGATGATCAGATACTCGCACTCTTGCATCACAAGGTGTCAAGACCACTCTGTACTCCGGCACCCACTTGCTCGGTACTCTTCCTGCTTCCTCATTACCACTAAAGCGGGGCCATTTTAATATGAGACGTGCACGACCCCTACGAATCAACCAATCCCAGCTGATGATTCTATGATCCTCCAATAGAGCAAGATTGGGGTTGACCCAATGGGCTGGTTTATCCACCTATAACTCACTCCGCATTCCAAAAGATATCATAGGACTTGCCGAACCCAGATAATCTCGCGAGCACATCTGATGGGGGGAAAAGGTTTTCGGCTAAGGGATACTATTGGGCCCCATCCATACTAGATAGCGCACCAATAACCAGTCCCATCCAACCAGGAACACCCAGCTTGACTTTTAGCCCCAGCCAGCCTTGGATAACTCGCCGCCACCGTCTATACCAGCGTCGTAATACAGCCCCCTTTCCACTGGAATCAAAGGTTATCAAGAAAAGTGGGCAAAAGAAAAAAAAATGCCCGTCTGCGAATAATAGCAACTGGGGCAAGGACCAGCTGAGTGGATCCCACCGCGTGGGTGGGTCGTGGGTTATCCCTGACAACCCTCAAACTTGCACACCGATATTCGAAGAGCCGATTCGTTCTGCGCGCTGCAAGGGGTGGGTTCATTGGTTGAAATTACGACTTGCCGCGGGTAAGTACGGGCGCAGGAACAACAATGCCTACTACAATAGCACTTGTATGGAGTACGCTAGTTCTTACTAAAGAACAAGGCTGACGCGGATGTCGCATCCCTTTACCTCAAGGAGAAAAAGAGGCGCCCTGGCGGCACACACGCGCATTTGCCACTGACCTGCAGCCCTCTAGGGCTTAGACTGACGCCCTACAGAAAGCGCAGACCTGGGAAACCCGACCAACAAGAGCATGGTTATTTTCCCGTTTCACGTGTGCTGAACCACCGATTATCACTGCCTAAACCGAAGTGCAGAACCACACATGGCAGAGTAGCTTGGCTTTCTCGTAAACCCAACTAGGACTTGACTGCGACGATCGAGCATCATTGTGGAAACTCTCGAGACTAGTGTCAACTGGAGATGGAACGGCCCCGGCAGCCGCAGCCACACCTCTTAAGCCGTACTGTAGTAGAGCACTAGTAAGCCAAGATTTGGTTCTATGTCGCTACCATTGACCGCATCAACTGTGCGGAGTATGGAGTAACATTGAATGAGGCGAATAATCAAGTAGACAATAAACCCGATTTGCAAAATGCGACTTGAAGCCAAGGTCGCCTGATTCAACGTCTTGAGACTAGGTCAGACGACCTGATATTGCAGTCTATTTGATGCACTAGTTCATTACCTACAAACACACCGGAAAGCTTACTGTCTCATTGACCGAGGTAAACTGGGTCTCGAATTTGGTAACTTCAAAGTTCTCAGTGGTATTTTATTTGGGATTCAAGTATATTGAAACTAGGAATTGATTCCAAGAATGGTAGACTAGACCCGAGGCTATTTGTCCTCCAGGCTGTCATTCGCACCTCTCACCTTTTTTGGCGTAATAGAACTTTGAAGAACCTTGGAAAGAGGAAAAGCAAAAATGAAAAATTTATATAAATTCTAATATGTTAAAAATTAAAATAAAACAAAATGGTAAAAAAGAATCCAAGATCTTGAAGAGTACCCAAATCTTGAACATTTTGAAGCTGGTGTGGAGCACAAAATGGTGAATCAGCACTACTTGTCAACGTCAACGATCTCGAGGAGTGGTTATGTTGCCGTCACTCATGCTCCGCTCCTTTCTTCCTTGTCCAACCCAGTGGACATGTCTTACTTTTAGACCAGGATAATCACATAATATGATATTGTGTGTGCTCAGATGCGAGAAAAATCCCACCCTTGCTCTCGATCCCAAATGACAGCGGACCGCCAGTGTGGCAGTGCATGCATGACTGGGCCCCAAGTGGGTCACGCTAGGAAATCAGTGGATCTACAACAACGACTCACAGTTGTCCCTTTTCATGTGGAGGCCAAAAAAGAATGTTCTCTCTGCCCTGAAGACTGTTAGCCAGTCATCCAGGAGAATAGGAACATTATTGCCGCGGAATCCGAATCCTCCGAAGCACCGTGCTGTGGATTTTTGACCAGGGAAAAAAAGGTCCTGTGTCTTGACCCTGTTTTTTACATAGTAGTCCTCCCGCGCACCCTTTTTTTCAATCTTTTATTTTTCTTGAACCGATTAAGGACATTGGTACGACGATATTGACCAAAAGAATTCGTTTTTTTCAATAACAATCCCGGCAGATATAAGCCTATTGCCAAGGCTCCTCCAAGACTCGGTGCATATTATCACCGCCGGTCAACATCTGTTCAATGAATCTACCAATCATTTCTTCGCTCATGGAGAAGTCTCCATTATATTATTGGCCAGTGCCTTCCGCCTGGTCTTGTACATGCCTAAGCAAAACGTCAGCATGGGTTGTCACACTGAACCATGGTTCTTCAAGGAGCGTGCATTTTTCTTCATAGCCTTGGAGTATAGTTTAACGGCTCTCATTATTTACTACGTGGTAAATATCCACACTGCATACATTGAAACCCACTCGGTCGATGTCTCAAATGTATAGGTAGGACACTACCCAGGTGATCTCCATGGTATCAGATCATCGCGAGGCGTCCAGTGTATACGAGAGATTCCAAGGCATCCTCTCCATATCCTCCCCACCCTGGCGTCAACATGACCGTAAATGGACGGAATACATCCACATGGAATTCCTTTATGTTTATTGTATATTTTAATTTTCTTGAATTTTGATTTTGATTTTAGAATTTTCTTCCATTAACGCCCGGGTTTAAGTCTATGTATTCTACACCCCCTTTAATCCGAGTCCACGGGTCACTGTAAGAAGGGAGGAATGCTTTAACAGAATATGATTTCCACAAGATGAAGAACAACTTTACTGTCTAGAACAATAGCCCCTGTCACTAACCTAGGTTAAAGTGATTCTGGAAGGTCCTAGTTCCAAGGGTTTTAGAAGAGCGTGAACCACGGATCTCAATTAAAGTCATTGGCCCTGATTCCAGAAGCCTCAAAATTAAAATTACGCCCATTAAGGCTTCAGGCTTTCCGAGGTCAGGGCTGAGATTAAATTGGCGTTTAGGGCTTAGATGTATTAATGCATTCAACGTGGCCATCACACCCTACTACCTAGGTACTTAGTAACTAGTAACTCAAGCCCACGCGGGTTACAGTAATCAGTAATCGAGATCTGATGATCCTACTCAAAAACCCCACTTTCCCTCGGTATCTTACAAGGTTAAAACCATTTGGTAAGTGGCTTACACTGTAAGTACATATACCAGTACCAGATTCTTTTTAACCACGTCAGAATCCCCGTAACTTGCAGGTTAAAATTCGACCCAAAAAGGACGTATGATTTCTCTTTTTTGCCTCTTTGCGGCTTGTTAAGTTGGTTTTTTTTATTTTATTTTATTAATTCCCATTTCCATTTCCCCCTCTTCCTTTACTTTCTAGGAAATGAGATCACCATTGCCTCTCATTTGATCTTAACTTCTTTTCTTCCCCCTCTTCATCGTGTGGGATCCAATCATCTACTACTTTGCACCGCCATCGCCCCGACTTTTCCTTCTAACTGCCCGACCTTCCCACCTTGGCTACACTTTTAGTCTATGAGATTTTTTTTTTTCTTATTTTATTTTTTTCTTTCTCAGCCTTTTTCAAATTTCGATCCATTTTACGGTTCCAGTTGTTCAGCTAGTGGCGGGGTTTGCCCAGAAATTAAGCAGCAAGAAAAAAAAGGCCCTACTATACTCGCCACAGTCTTTTCCTTTTTGGCATCTAATCGCATGAACTTTCGTCTTGCTTTTTCTCCACCCTTTCCCTTGGGCTTCTTGCTTTTTCTTATTCCCTTTACAATCATACCCTCTTCTTTTTTAAATTATTAAAAGCCAAAAAGAACTGAGATTCAAAGTATGTGTGGTACCAGTCCCGCAACTTGCCATTGATTGGTTTCTATGGGAAATAGACGGCTTTTTCCACAGGGCTGTGCGTGTCACTACTGCGGCAAACGTTTCATATATCCCATGAGGCGAATCGCGCTGAAGGGTCTCGAAGGTAACTCTCTTTTGTTTTTGGATTTTTCTTTTTTCATTATTATTATAATTCTTATTACATGATTATTTATCCCCCCCCTTTCAGCCCTATTCCTTGCGCAATAATCCAGCTGCGCGCGCTTTCCCGGTTCCACTAGTCTGACCTTCAACTAGTATCACAGCCAGCCGCATGCCATTCTTCCGCGACTGCTAACATCCCCGTCGCCACCTTCGGATATTCGCCTTGCGCTTGCTGACCCCCAATTTTTTGGAAGCTGGACTTTCTCGTGGTGGGGTGAGGCTGGTTCAACGGTCCACTTAGGAATCCGAGCTGGTTTCACGACCGACGGTTTGCGCTCAACTGGATTGGGCTATCGCTGCGACACCGGATCTTCATTTCGACCTTCATTCTCCCGATAACCTTGGAGCTATTATTGTTTCATTTGTGCAAGAGAACTGAGAAAAGGTTTCATTTGGATTTTCACTTTTCTGGGGTTGTTTTTTCTACTCGTCTCCGACACCAAAACCCTACCGAGATCTATATGCCACTGCGCCGAATTCTATCGCATACGTTACAGAATGGACCCGAGACATACTGCGCCGGATTTTTATGATTTTAGAGAGCGCGATTATTCTTATCCATCTGAACGATTCCCACACACAATGCCCGACTTACCATTTTCATCACACGGCCCGTTACCTATACTATCTCGGCCTGCCATGCATACTGTGCCCCCTCCACTACCTCCGCCACCGAGGATCCGGGATTTGGAAAATGGTTACGACGCAGGCTGGCATCATGGAAACGCCGACAGATCCACCACTTCTCTTCCGCCGATAAATCCGAATTCAAGCTTGTTTGGAGGACATCGACGACCCGATACCGCTCCACGAAGTGATCCCATGGTGGTGGATGAATTAGAGGGAAGGCAAAGTGGATTTCAATTGTCTCGTAGTCCGGAAGCACAGATTAAGATTGAACCACCGCCTCCGGCAGATGATGGATTTCCCAATTCCATGTCTGTCACTTCTCCGTCCGGCCCAATGTGAGTAACTCTGCGCAGGCAGATTTCACTACTTATTTATTCTGATTATTTTCGGCACAATTCACATATACTGACGACTAGATACAGTCTGAAAGGAGAACGGGATTTTTCTCTAAGAAGTGTGAAGGATTCGTCAAATGCGTATGATCAACATTTACTGTCCAAAATTGGAAACTCATTATCACCTCGAGGTTCTATCAGTCATGGATCTGATCACCGTGGTTCGCTTTCAGCACTTACAGTTCCATCTCGATCACCTAGCAATTTACCCTCACCAGGCCCTTCAGAAGGTTCTACGCTTGATGTGAAATGGAGCTACAGCCCCCAATCAGGAGGAGTATCGCCAAGATCTAATGTTGGTTGGAGAGAATACATTGAAGGGCGCAGTCCAGGCCGTAGCCCGAGCGTGGAAAGCAATACACTGGATTTTGACTATATGCGAGATATGGGGAGAAGACGGCATCATGGAAAAACTCAGTCTCGCGAAGATAGCATCAGTCTACCAAGCCGATCAAACCGCGGAAGTTACGACCAAGGTGTCTTTTCAGATCTCGAGGGGAATTTGGATCGGATGAACCAATGCTTCCTCGACCATATTTGGATGAACCCATACCTCCTCGACAATTCATTCTCCGTGAACCAACTCCGCCTTATCCTGAACACTCAAGACAGGGAATGAAGCGGAGAGCTTCTTCGCCTCCGCGAGAGCCGATTAGCGATGATCGTCATACTTTGCATGTGGCTACAATTAACGGTGATTTGTCACAGCGCAGGACTAGTGGACAGCCGTTTACAAATAACTTGACGGTGAATAGCAGTTACGCTCCGAGTCAGCGAACTTTATCTGCGGCATCATCCTTGAGCATCAGAACTTCGGGCTCTTATTCCTCTGCGCTGTCCATCGGAGGTAGCAGCATGACCAGTCTTTCACCATACGACCGCCCATCACCTGGGGGGACTTTCGCCTAGTTCAGATCTCGATACGTTCCATGAAAAATCGATATTGAACCCTAGCTCCCCGGTTGCGCTTGTTCAGCCCATCCCGAGGGTTATAAAGGGCTCGAATTCGCTTGAGCCACCCGCTACAGATGCTACAGGCAAAGTTCCGGTTCCGAGTGTGCTAAATGTTCCCAAATCTGCCAGCTCTAAGATTGGGGGACTCTTCATCTGCGATTGTTGTCCTAAGAAGCCCAAGAAATTCGACAATCCAGACGATTTACGGTAAGCACGATATCGACGAAGTATGAAAAAAGTGAATTCATGCTAATTTAACTCCCAGATCGCATGAGATGGAAAAGCAGTATTCCTGCCAATACTGCAACAATCGCTTCAAGAATAAGAACGAGGCTGAACGGCATCAAAATTCGCTCCACCTTCGACGTCATTCCTGGTCTTGTGCCGCTCTTCAAGGATTCCAAGCAGCATTCCACGGCTCGGTATCCCCATCTTATCAAACAAATGCTGGCCCGTCGCACGACACATGCGGTTATTGTGGGGAGGAATTCGCGAATTTCCCTCGGCCAGACTGGGATGCCAGATTCGAGCATTTGACCACAGTGCATAAATTTGGCGAATGCAACAATGCAAAGAAATTCTTCCGCGCTGATCATTTCCGCCAACATCTGAAGCATAGCCATGCTGGAAGCAGTGGCAAATGGACCAATATCCTGGAGAATGCCTGTATGAAGGAAGAACAGCCTCCGGAGCCTCGAGATAAAATTCAATCCATGTCGAATGCCGGATCCTTGACATCAAATACGATTGATGAAGTTCTTACGGAACAATGACAATTAGTGCAAAATGCTATCTTGTCTCGCATATGTCTTACTCTACTTTTGATACGTGCCCTTCTCTCTCACAAAATCGTCAACCTCTTTTCATTGAGTTCGATTCTTTCTCTTTTCATAGAGTCTCACACAACACTTGCTCGAATCCCGAGCACTTGAAATCCTTTACGATACGCATCCGACTCCTCCATTTCTCAGTTTTCAATCCAGACTTACCTCAGCTCCGAAAAACGCATTCCATGCAAATATAAAAGTGATGTTCTTCAAAAGTTCATGAAGGCGCTGGATATTACGACTTGACACGATCTTTGTTTTTTGGGCGACTGTTCTACGGAGGATGGGGGGAGTTTCCTTGGTTTTAAGGTACTGACTGCCATTATGTCTATACTGGTGCATTACCTGGGTAGTTTCATCATTCTCCATGAGTTGGAGTCTCGTTTTTTTTTCATCTTCATTCATCGGTGGAGTTGGTTTTTGTTTGGACGGGGCTTGTCTAGGGTCCTTTTTGCATATATTCCCCTTGTATATACGCTCGGAATTTAGACCGCGTCTGGCTTCCATATCGTAACTGAAGACCATATTCGTCCTTTTTAACCTCTGGGGGGGTTACTTGCCCTAATAGAGCAGGTAGATACCTAGTAGCACTAGACATTCGTCCTCTAGTAGCCCTGGAGACCCCCGGAGGGTCAACTGGTGATACTACTAATATCATGATACCACTGCCAATGGTGACTCGGACCTACTAGGTACCTCAGACCACTGACAGGAACTTGTGTAGAATAAAGATTTGAAGCCAGTCGCCAGGGGTTTCAACTTATTTGACACTAAGTGACCTACCCGTGGAAGTGGACCCGGAGTAACTTTTTACCCATATTCCATGGAACATGGTTACCTGGGCACTCCCATGGGACTAACTTTTTAACAATATCCCAACTATCCATCCATGGATGCATGGATATCCCATGGGATTTGCACAGGCCTAATCAAGACCCCCTGTGACTCCCACAAGCTGACGAAGACTGCTCCTGTCCTATCAACGATATGCAGTTCGGAAAATCAGTCGGAACTGCATGCAGTACGTTCGCGATCACCAATATCGATGACATCTTTGTTTTGGCTACCTTCTTCGCAGAGGCATCCACTAGTGCGACTCTCACACCCATCAAGATTACTATCGGCCAATATGTCGGATTCACCATAATCATGGCTGTTGGCATGATTGGCTTCGCTGTTTCTATGGTGCTCCCCTCTGAGCCGATCGGATTCCTCGGTCTACTGCCAATGTTACTGGGAGTCTGGAAATTGATCGGACTTCTCCTTCCGGTTAAGGGAGAAGAAGGAGAAGAAGCAGAGGAATCGCATATATCGGGTGCGAAGAGTATATTGAAAGTTTCACTTGTCACTATAATGAACGGCGGAGACAATATTGGAACTTACATTCCTCTGTTCTCGCAAGCTAAAGGTGCAGAAATAGCGATTTATGTCGTTATTTACTATATATTACTCGGGTTGTGGTCCTAAGTTGCATTTCTTATCAAGAAGCAAAGACATATTGTGCATTTAGCGCAAAAATATGCGGATCTGGTGGTCCCTTTTCTTTTTATCGGTCTAGGCATTTATATTACCGTCAAGTCGACATGTTACCCATGGTCTATCGAGCACATTGACGCTGCGAATACTACACCTGATGGTAAGACCATCATGGCGGTTGTGACGACACTGGCCCTTTTGGTTGCCATTGGGTCTATGCTAGCAAACAAACTGCGAAAGAGAGCAGCCCAGTCCGCGTCTAATGTCGAGGATTCAAATCCAATGTCGTCAGAAGCCGGTTCCACTACTAGCCCAAATCTTGCGGAGGAAGGAAAAGCTTTGGCAAACAGTCATCCAAACGAGGAGGCTGGGAAAGAAGTCGGACGTGATCAGAAGGGGTACGGGACTTTGGGGGCATAAAAAAGATGATGCTGATTTTTTGGCATATGCGCAATGTGAACTAGGTATAACTATATGTAAATCAGACAAGTCTACACGGACTCCAGGGCTGTTCAAATGTTCATAATGATTCAAATGTTTTTGACCTTTATCGGTCTCATTCACGTTTGAGAGAATTACGGTACAGCACTTGAGGATTTCCATCTGCCAGTGGCCACGGAACATATCTAGTAGTAATATATATCCTCTACTACATACATCCATATATACCGTAGTCTTTTCGGGATCAAAGACACGAAATAACTCAAGCAATTCGACCTGTGTATCAATTTTCGGGCCCTTGCGAGTCATCAATCATGTACGTACACAAATTCTTGAGATTTCTTTTTGTCAAATGTGATCTCGCATGGAAGGGCAAAGTCATACGCCAGACCAACCTCCAGGCTTCAACTTGAAAATCGATAGCACCAGTGCGATTCAAATCAAGCACTTGAGCGCATCAATCATATTGTTTAATAACTCGGTCTTAGACGGATTCTGCCCTACTAACTAGGAATATATACTTTTGTAACTTGAAATTCTTTAGGTGTTATATCGCCTCAAAATGCAAGTCAACTGGTTTATCAGTTAATTTCTTCTTTATCAGAAGGTTAAAAAAATCGAAAGATGAAAAAAAGAAAAAGTGCAAAAAAGAATTCTCAGGTTATGGTTTTTTAGGAATAGCCGAACGGGGGGGGTCGAACCCCCAACCTTGAGATTAAGAGTCTCACGCTCTACCGATTGAGCTAGCCCGGCAGGGCTGGTTGGAGGAGTTTCAACTTATGGCTACATAAACCAAAAATATCCAAGACTCGGAAAAGCTCTCCATCTAGGTCCAGATATCTGATATGCCCAACTCAACTGGTATAGAGTTTCCCAAATTTTGAAATTCCAATTAATTCGAAAGTTGGTCATGTATTTTGGCATAAATCAGAGGCCAGGATCACTGGAAAGAATCACTCGTTTCTTATTGGCTCGCTTAAATTATGCGGGTGATCTGATGGCTACGATTCTATAGAGGTGATCCTGCATCGCGTGGCAGCCATTTGATCTTCGATCTGGGGAGTGGTACCGAGTGGTACCGAGAGGATCAGTTAAACAAAGATCACGAGCTTCTCATTGCTTGATTCAACTCCACAGGGGTGATCTTGACGCGCTTCCCCAGGCCCACCCTCAGGGTATAAATCCCCGGATTTTCTCATACTTCAGAACCTCTTCCTCTTTTTTCCCCAACACTTGTCCACTCTATCTCTTTCTACAGGATCTCATGATCTCATCAACATGGTGCTTGATCACCATCATGTCTGATGAACATCATGTCCCTTCCATCCATCCCCCCATACATTCATCCATCAACACATTCTCTTGACACATTACCTCGGTCAAGACATCAACCCTTCAGGTGAGCCTTCCGTACCCATAGTCTCGTCCTGGGATTTTTGTACTTTTATTGCTCTACGGAGCCCCGCCCACGGTGCCACTACCAATACCATTGCTAAGAGGAGACTCGTTCGGTCTTCTCAAGACCTTAGGTTCCACTTCGGTTGACTACACTCACTGTGTTGACACATGCCTTGACACGGTTTGCTCCACTGGTTTTGTTGACGCGTCTTCCACAAAAACAATGCCAACATTGCCTTCCACCATGTGATTGTTGACATACCTTCGCCTGTCACAACCCTGATTTGTTGACATGTCAACACACTCCAACATGACACTTCTTTGTTGACATGACCTTCTGTCATCATATCGACACAGTCTTCCATTCACACACTCCAACATGACACCACCTTGTTGAAGTCTCTCAACCTCAACGCCAACTACAGCTGATGTTACTCTGTGTTGATATGTGAACATACCCCAATATGTCATTACCTTATTGACATGACCACCAATGGTCCTCATCAACCTGTCTCACACCTTCCCTGGAACATCTTCTTCTCAGCGCGCCCTACACCTTGGCATTATGATGGGTGGCCCATCTTTCTGCTTCCATCAAGGTAAGAACTCTAGTGACCTTTTTTTCCTTAGTGGGCTTCCTGCGCTTCGGTTCTTTTTATACTTCCATGAGATCTGGTGCCTGTTCTCACATAGGTATTGGGTCTCGGGGTGACTGCTATGAAATATTAGCCTGGGGTCACCCCCATACACCTGCCCCCTTCGTCCCTTCTTCTTCTATCTTTGTCTCCGCCCAATTGTCTCTCATTAGCCCCCCTCGTTTCTCAAATCTTTGTCCCCTGATCTGCACCCTTTTCTTTCTCATAGTTGCATTCATGAGTGGAAGACCTTGCCAGCAACCCGTGCTGACGGAGGTTAAAACCTCCAGTTTAATAGATTAGATATCTGCCACGTCGGTGTCCAACGTCAATCAGTTTAAATTTTTGATGCTGTTTCATCAAACACATCTACCTTCGCGTGCTTTAGCTCTATGGATTTGATGGACAGACTTGTCTTCTCTTAAATTCTGGGATATTTGATTTGGATAGGTTAGGTCACCAACCCTCTCATCAAGCATCAATCCACTAACTTGTTCACGGTCAGCCTCTTGGACTCAATCCATCTACATTCTTCAAATATCCCATGGCTGCTTGATCAACAGCCCCCCCACCCCCCCCCCTCCGTCGCCCTCCCCCTTCGATTCGACAATGCAGGTGGTGGCACAATCTGCAGGGACAACGACACATAGGGGGAGAAGAAGCTCCAAGTGTATGACACAATCTACGACATGCAGGGGGTGGCACAATCTGCAGGGCGATGGAGCACAGCGGAGAGGAAGCTCCGAGTGCACGGGTCTTGAAGCCTATAGGGCTTCAAGGATAATTATATTCTTACATGTTCTCCTGATCTCTTTATCCCATAAAAGATTTATTCATTTTGTTTTTGAAACCTTGCATGGTCTGTTTATGTTTCTGAATGATCATTACATATATCATTTCCCAAGATGTATGAATGTTCATCAGCCTTTTAAATGTTCCTCGGCCTTCCAAGGTTGTCATTCTTCAAACTTCACAATCGTAAACTTCCTACAAGTCTTTCCATCTACAGAGTATCAGCTCTACTACTGAAGTTCAATGAAGCATTTGACATTTTCTACTTACTCTCTACTACTCACACCCGTCTCTCTTCTTGCAATCCTAGTATATGTTCAACTAGTAGATTGTATCTGATGATGTAGATGTCGTAAATTGTTCCAGCCTTCATGCATGTCCTCCTCTACCTTCTGACATCAGCCGGTTGCCCATGTACGTCCAATGCTGTTTGAGTCATAAGGTCACTTCCAACTGCACATTGAAGGCTTGCAGCCCTGAAGACCCTCGACAGTACTATCCTATTGACGACCTTCAGAACACGAAGCCCCGAATGGATTTTACAAGTTAAACCTGAACCTGAAGATACTTCAACGCTGATTTTTATAGACGGATATATGTACATTAGACTAGACACTCACAGCCTCCACACCACTGCATTGCTCCATAAACAAAGAAGAATCTACTCAGTCACACTATCCTTGATAGTCCGCAAAGCACTCGTCTTGTGTCCGGGGTCAATAGCGGCAGCATTCAAGGCCCGACGTCTCGCATCAGTCCAAAGCATGAACTCTCCATAGCTCTTCGGCATAACATTGATATCCTTCTCCACCAAAAAGGTGTAGTTGAACATTCCAGTAGACTTCTTCGTACCGTGCTCCACATCTCGGACCTTCGTGTCAACGCGCACCTGGACTCGGGTGTACTTGCTGCTATCACCTTCACGTTCTTCGGGCTCGGTGTAGGCCACTGTAGCACGAAGGTATAGCACACTTCCCACAGGAACGGGATTCTCAAAGGTACTGGGATCCAAGGCCAAGAAGTTGGGTCGTGCGTGGGAGAAAAGATGCTGCGCAGCAGAAAGCAAGTTCAAAGGATTGTTTTAGGAGGAAGCCACCGAAGATCATGAAGTTGTGTCGGTTTCGGTCTTGGGGTTGCATGATCATGGCGGATTTAAGGACAGTTTCGCTCATGAAGACTTGGTTCTCAGGGCGAATTACTGGGTTCTCGGGGTCTGGAATAGATGTTAGTTGCTGGGCTGTTTGAATTTCAGTGTGTGGATTCCTACTCAGGTAAGACATCTCCTTGGTCCACATAGAGTGGATAAGGTTACTCTCCTCATCATCGGGTGCCTTCTCGAGTAGACTGCGAGTTCTGAGGGCCTTCTTGGCCTTGGAGTTTTCTTCGCCCTTCTTGTAAAGCAGTCTCTCTTCATCGGTTTCAATTAGAAGGGGAGCAACACGGGCAGGCCTGTATACAGGTTAGCATTGAAGTCAATTCAAATAAGGTGTAGGCGTGCCTACTTCTTCGTTGCAGGGTCTAATGACACCATGGTGAAAGCACAGGTAATCAGAACATCCTCTGGCTGAGGCTCCTGGCCCTCTGGTCGGGCCTTGGTTACCTGGCATGAAATCTCCATACTTGACCGGCCTGTAGCATATGTGACCTGACCACTAAGTTCGAGATCACAGATCTCCATCAGTGGATTCTCAATAGTAATTCGATCCACAGCGGCAGTAACGGTGGTAACACCATCACCTGTGTGACGGTGTGCAATGACACCAGCCAAGGCATCGAGGTCCATCAACAATGAACCAAGTCTAAATCGCTATTAGTTTTGGGATCTCATCATTGTGGACTGGAGATAGACTCACCGGATATGGCCGGAGGCATTGAGATATGTATCGAGAAGCCATTTGTCCTGTGCTAATGGAAGAATCTACATGGCAAACTGTGAGTCAAAGAAAATTCAATATTGGGAATAGAATAAAGCATACAGCGCTGTAACGACTATCCGACATCCTTTTCGGTGTCACATCTGGCTTCGGGAGGGGTGCTGCCTCAACACCAGCCCTGGAGTTTCGTGTAGCCTCACGGCTCTGTGTCAAAGCATCAATCCATGGAGTCTTAACCCGCATTGGCATCCATGTCGGTCGGGATGCGGCGTTCGTCGATGTTGAATGGAATTCCCTGGCATCCAGTACAGCAGGAGCAGCGCGAGCTGGAATTGCAGCTGACGTTAAGCATTTTGAACGCACAATGGTGCTTCTTCTTCCTGCAAGACCGAACATCGTGTATTTTCTCTCAATGGAAATGTGTAAAGGTGAAAGAACATTTGAAGAGAGATTAGTATCGGCGATGACGCTGTTGGTTCCCCGATATGGCCCGATCGGGTATAGCGCCCGCCAGGCGGCTAAGAAACCGGGGAATCTCGGGATTTATGACTAACTAAGTGCCGACTCGCCGAGTCGACTCGGCGAGAGACGCCGAGTGCATGGCAGATCGTTCGGCGTAGATCTGGGGGAATATGTGTTACTAGTTAGTTTCAAGAGGCTTACATGGTATTCGTATGTTGGTACCAAGTTGGTACTTATCTCCTGGTATCTATACATATTGGTCAATTCTACTCAGGCTGTTCATGAGAAATTTGAGTAGGCCCTAGTATGCATAAGTGTATCTACTTCAAGTTTGTCTTCAAGTTTATCTGCCTAGTTGTACTAAAACAGGCAAATTGGGCTATTATTTCAGTCGTTTCTGTTATTTTGACCCAATATTTAGCATCTATATAGTATACCCTTATGACGTCATGGTAATTGAAGATGCATAGTACTCCCAAGCTGACATCTGGACTCTTAAGAACAGTAATACCCATAAAGTCCAATTTAGGGATTGAAGATGGAAATAGATTAGTATAAAACAATTCAGATACTTCAATACTTGGCATAAATTGATGTCATGAATTAACCTGCTTCGGACCGGATCCCTAGACGTACCAACCAGGACAGGATGAGTTGGAGCCATGGTCCATTTATCGAAAATACAGTCTTAGCGGAGTAAGGCAGACTCGGAGGCAAGTATCATTCGATGAATTCCTTCGGAGAGCCTGCTTTCATCGAAGTTTTTGTCTCTCGCCATACATTGAAGTACAGTATAAGCTTAAAATAAGGTGTTTCTGATCCGGGGTTGGACTCGGAGATGCGTCAAGATGAAGTCACTGATAAGATTAGCATGATCTATAAAACCTGACTCTCAAGTCAATTCAAAAGAATTTAATCTTCTAAGAACTGAACTTTTATGAGATCATATTCTCAATGAGTGACCCTACCAATCCTCACATCGAAAACCGTACTACTCCCCAATGGGCGCTATATCAGCGGGAGAACTTCTGGAAGCCCAACGAGGGCCAAACACCACAATTCAACACAGGTGCATAATCTGAACGAGCATTTTCTTCTGAATGATCTTACTTACACAGAGCAGATCCCCGCAAGCTCGAAGCCCGAGCCAAAGAACGACTCAGCGAAGGCGGCTGGTCCGTTCCAAGCCCTCTCCAGAAGCTCCAAGGTACACCGAAATAACATTCCTCTCAGGTACTACGCTTCATCCAACGCTGGAATGTCAAATACACACCTAGCAAACCGTCAGGCCTTCTATCGTCACCGTATAATTCCCAATCAATTAGTCGACACCAATAACCGCGACACAACAACAACAATCTTCGACCACAAAGTCTCAGCGCCAATCGGGTTCGCACCAATCGGTATAAACAAGATATATCACCCATCCGGAGAATCCGCCGTTGCAAAAGTCGCCGGCGAGCTGAAATTACCATACTGTCTAAGTACAGCCGGAAGCACACCCATCGAGACAGTGGGAAAAGAAAACGGACCGGGCTCACCGCGGTTTTACCAGCTCTATATGCCTCATGATGATGAGTTAACTCTTTCATTACTTACAAGGGCGTGGGACTCTGGATTCGATGTTTTGATCCTTACAACAGATACGTGGCAACTTGGGTGGCGACATGATGATGTTGCCAGTTCCAATTATGCGTTTTACCGTGGATTCGGCGCTGATCTAGGACTTTCGGATCCGGTTTTTCGTAAACGGTGTGAAGAGGATGGATTCGACCCTGATGTGGATGTTGTGCGGGCTTCTAGTAAGTGGATTGATTCGATTTGGCATGGACGGGCGTGGTCATGGGAGAAGATTCCTTGGTTGATGGAGCAGTGGAAAAGGATCTCTGGTGGAAGACCGTTTGTTATCAAGGGAATTCAGTCGGTCATGGATGCGGAGAAGTGTGTGGATCTTGGAGTTGATGGGATTGTGGTTAGTAACCATGCTGGGCGGCAGGTGGATGGAGCCATTGCTAGTTTGGATGCGCTGGAGGAGATTGCCGATGCGGTTGATGATCGAATTTATATTATGTATGATTCTGGAGTCAGAGGGGCTAGTGATGTTGTCAAGGCTCTGGCCCTTGGAGCGAAGTTTGTGTTTGTGGGACGATTGTGGATTTGGGGATTGAGTATCATGGGTGAGGACGGGGTGCGCCATGTTATGAAGTCGTTGTTGGCGGATTTGGATATCCTCATGGGTGTGGCGGGATTCAACAGTGTGAAAGATTTCTCTTTCACGATCCTTGGTGAGTCTTTGCAAATATGGTGATGCCCTTTGATGGTGATGCTGATTTTGATAGACTCTGGCCTCAAGTCTTACAATTTACTGCCAGAAAAGGCATTGTAATTATCGCGTAGACAAAGAATTGTGGAAATTACTGAATTAAATGAAACTTCCATCTCCAAATCAGATATTATCATACATGAAAATTAAGAATCGAACGCGAGATTGGCTCATCATCTCGCTGAACGGGTGAGCATTGCAAATTGTGCATCAACAACGGTAGACAAATCGCTGACAGAATGGTAGACGCGGTGGGGATATCAATGAGAGAATAACACTCGTAAAGTATGAGCAGATAGGCCAGTGAAAATATGGGCAGTAATGGATATTGACAGGATAACGCCTGGAACGATAGTTCGCCAAAAGTCGTGATGCAGAGAGAGCAGATTGTTGGAAATATGATTGTGTGTGTAATAATTCATGTGGGTGAAATGAAGAATGTAAGAGCAGAGTGCGTTAAGCAAAGATAGCTGCAATGACTGCCATGAATGATGGAATCAAGGTAAATGATATGTGAGAGCCGGAATTGGGTGAGATAGTGGAGTGGGTAGATCCAGATGTAGTTCCAGAGGCTAAAGCTGCTGTATTCGCGGCAGTAATAGAACTCATGGTTGTAGCAGTTGAAGTTGCAGTCGTAGTCGAAGTGGAAGTGGGAATTGTGCAAGTTCCGTTTCCTGAAGCAGATGTCGAATTCCGTTTTCCAAACCCGATTTTTCCATCATCGAAGTCGAAGACGGAGTATACATTCTTCAAGAACACATCGCCCACGAGCCAATCATTAGATCCGGAGGATTGGTAACCCACGATTGTGGACACACAGCCATTAGTGCTTGTAGCACCGATGTAATCATCCGGGGAGATAGAGTATTTGACACCAGAGAAGGCTAACTCTATGGTCGCATTGGAGTTGCATGGAATAATGTAGTTCGAGCCCGACTTGATGGATCCGGGGACTTGAGCGAACAGAGTTGCGGCATCATCGGGTGGAATCAAGATGTAAGTCGTGCCGGTATCGATTGTGGCGCTTTTACCGGTAAGACCGCAGGCTGTGCCATTCACATAGACATCGTTAAGGGGGATTGTCCAGATATCCGAGTTTGTGGTAGTGTAGGTTATGTTACCATCAAACTTGGTGGTGTCAACAGTTCCAAAATTCACCTCACCAGTCTTTGCATCATCCTTGGCACGCGAAAGACTGAAGCCCACGATGTTAGAGGAGAGATGGCCATCCTTGGCCACGATGTCCATGAATGATGGGATGGTCCAGCCCGCAGTACCCGACCGACCAAAACCGAGGATTCCATCGATAGGATAGTTCGCAAAGGCCGAGCTCGCCGATGTAGCGTCTCCGAATGAGAAGGTTGCATTCAGACCAGCGATCGACATGGTATCTTGACCCAGATTGCCCTTGATGGTACCGCTTCCATATCCAACTGTAATGGCAGAGTTGTTTGAGATGTAACTGGTTGACTTCCCTGTGTCAAAGAGGTGGTGACTGGTGCAAACGCTGCTTGTGCAAGTGGAACTGAAGACCCAGGAACTTGGTGAGCCAGTATCAAGAGCGAGCCACATCTGTTCCTTCTGTGATCCAACTTCTACCACTGCGAAGTAAGAGTAATCATGGCCATCCTGGTCGACTGCGGCACTATTGGGAAGAGTCGGAGTATTGGCTTTCACAATGTTGTAGGTATCATCACGGCGAACGGGGAACTTCCTAATACCGAGGGTAAATGGCTTGGCGTTGGAGTCTTCTTCGGGGTCATCGGGCTTCAGAATCCAAGGTAAGAAGCGGCGCTCCAAGGATTCAACGGTTGAAGAGGTATCTGTCAATTCAACCTTGATCTGCCATGGATAAAAGGCTTTCACACCGGTCGCCAGGCTCGCAATGGTCAAAAACTGCGAGAAATGCATGATCCAGCACAGGGATCTAGTAGTAAGGGAACGTGATCGTCATTTGTTGTCAATGAGAAGAGCGAAAGCAACGATGAGAGAAAGATCTTGCACTGATCAAATGATCACAATTCTCTTGAGCTCTTTAAAGAAAGGCGGTAAAGATTTGATTCAGAGAAGCCTGAAGTTGCCTGAGGGTGATAGGGGTTCGAGAACAAATACAATTAGACAGCTTTCACAGATAGCTAATTTCAAGGTACGGAATATTCAATGGGACAATGGAATTGAAAGAGAGAATGAGACCTTCGTTAAAGAAGAAATTTAAAAGAACGATGAGAATAGAGAAAGACCAGGAGGTTGGAACCTTGGAAAAGAACTCCAACCTTGTCTCTACGGAATACGGAGTACAATGTGAGGGGGAGAAGTGGCGTAGGACCCCTCTCCACCAAATCAATTCAATGAAGAAAATCTCCCCTGACAAGACTGCCTAGACTGAGTCTAGACTATGCTAGGTTTAGTTTAGGGAACATTGGCTCCACTAGTTCACTTATTTAGGCGTGATCGTCAGCTAAAATAGCCGCTAGTTCAAGTTCCCCACACTAGGCAAATTAAGATGAACAACAGGGAACTTGAAAATAGAACATTTGAAAAAGAGGACTCCTATTTAAAAATGGACTTGCATAAAATTTATGATTCTTGAAAAGGGAAACAGACATCTGGAGTAAATTGAACATGAAAGGGGATGGTAGCATTTAATCAAGTTGAGTTCTACAATACTTCAAGTTAAGGCGTTTATTGGCTCGATGGCTGGATCACGGAGTCCACTTATGCATGTACCACATGTATGTATAACCTGAGATGTGGCGGTGGCTTTACTAGTAATACATTCCATAATGGGGTCTAGATTCTGCGACAATGACGTATCTTATATTGATTTCAATTCCCATGCAGGGTGCGGAGTACATGACTACCATTCCACGCCTATTACCCAGTTCTACACATGAGTAGAGAGCAAGATACATCAATTTATGTAGTGAAGTTTTTGATTTTCCACTTTTTGATGTCACATAATTGGTACCCGCTGCCTCCATCAATGAAGTAATCTTGATCATGACCAACGGGGCCCTAAAGGTACTCCCTGGGTTTGTAAAACCTAGAGGTGTATTCCAGCGCCATTTCTGCCTGAGCATTGCTGACTTGATGCGCCCTGGAAAGATTCTCAGGTTCTGGAAGAGATGTTAGTTGCTGTATCCAGGGGTCTTACAGAAGAACTGATGAAGCTTCATACCTTCTCAATTCCCCAAGACCGGCATCATTCCCTTCTTTCCTAACAGGAAGGCAAATCATGCTTCAGAAGAGGCTTGGCTGTCAGAAGGGGAAGGGATGAGATGTTGAGGTTTTTGCAGGGGCGTTCTCCGGCTGGTCGTAATGCCGACCATTTGATCGGTTAGAACCAGAGGTCTCACGTCAGGGTTGAAGCCATTGTCTAGGGCCCATGCGATACAACGACCCACAATATCTCTGCTCATCCTGGAAGTCAATGCAATACGGGAGTTACTCCATCCCATTGCCTTGAGTGCCAGGATGTTGGCGTATGTCTCCGGTGGAATCCTCCTTCCTGTGGAGGTCGTGACTGGCGCCATGCATCTTTGAATGGCTCTTCTGCCGGTAGAAGCTCCTCTTCCATGCATTCTCGATGTGTTCTGGAAAGGACTATGTGGTGAAGAAGACTTTTGAATAATTAGAAGAGCTTGAGGGGATATGGAAGGGGATATAAGTTGTCACTCACGAAGGCCTAAGTCCAGAGCCGCTGGCAGAGAGTCGAGTAAAAGATATGTGAGAATTAGAACAGCGAGATTTGGTGAAGGAGTGAGGTGGAGAGAGGCTGGAGGTGTAAAAAGAAATTTACAGTAGGTAAAAAGATCTGAGGTTCAAAGAGATGTCAGGTGTAAAGAAATTTGCCGTGGAGACGTGACGTGTGAAAGAAGTGAAGCGAAGCGAAGCTAATAAATCATCTTCTCATCTCCTTGTCAATGAGAATGGGATGAATGGCATCCAAAACTTATTTTAAGCTCTGGGAAATCTTGATTGAAAGAGTCTTTGTTTATCTTCCTTTCACCAGTTATGATGTGGAGCTTCAGGTAACGATTGACTCAGTCAAAGATATGGATATACTATAGTCATGAGTCAGCTTCAAACAATTGCCATTTGTCAAGCCTTGTGAATCTATATTATTCAAGTTTGCCAGATATACCTTGGACTTCATGTCCTTTACCGGACATACATAGTATGTTGCCGCTGACCCAGATGATAAGCACTCTGCCGAAGGCGTAGTCCACTGATGGATCTAGTATGTTTAGAAGAAATTAGAGCACGACTATTATGTACAATTCTATTGGAACAAAATAATAAAGTGGCTGATTCATGTCCTTTGTCTCCTGAATCAGGAAGACTCTGATTCAGACCCAATCAATTCCCCTTTCGAATCTTCTAGCGTCTTCTTCTGCTCAGAAACATACTGCCGCTGTTCTATTTGTGCGTCAAACCCACCCTTGACAAGCTCTTCGAATCCGACCCTAGGTGCACTTCTCATGACCCTTTTTGAAGTTGGCCTTTTAACAGTGGCTAACAGTGGCGAGGGTGTGCTAACTCTTGCAAAGAATGTAGAAGCTCTTGCCAGAAACCAGGGAGAAGGGGCAGTGTTTTTAGGGCAATAATCGACTTGAATGTCCCCATCGAGTAAAGAAGTCCCGGACTTGGGCCGCTCTTATCGCAGAACAGAGTTGACGATGAGATAAACGAGGCGGTTGAAAGGGTCGGCGATCTTGAGCGGCGAGATCTCTGCTCATCTCAAGGTCTCAAAATGTTTGGCTGACCGTTCCCGGTGCCCTGAGTGTCAGGATGATATCTGCGCGCGGGCCTGGTGAAATCTTTCTCGGTGACGGTCCTAATTCGTGGTATCAAAATGTCTTTGTTAAAAGGCCCGAAGTTGGTAATGCTAGTGGCGGCTTAGAGGAAGACATCGTGAAGGGGTTCGGCAAAGAGATCCGGGTAGTCTTCCAGTTGTATTACTGCGCTGTTAAGCTCACTGCGGAGCTTGTTGATTTCAGCCTGAGCCTTGAGATTAAGATACTTAAGTGGGAGAGATGGGTGTACCTCGCGGCGACCGCCATTCTGTCGGTAGCAACTCCCCCTGTTCTTATCTAGATATAGGCTTGGAGAAGAATGTTGATTTATTAGAAGGGCTTGAGAGGGAATAGAAGAGTGTGAGGAAGTAAAAAGCGGCTTAGAGCCCGAGAAATATATATTTAAATGAGCGGTTCATGGGGAGGCTTGTAGTACAAAAGGAGGGATGAAGTAAAAAAAGAAAAAGATTGATAGAGAGACATGAAGTGGGAAGAGATGGACGTGGAGTGATCGACAAGAGGCAGATGGATATTCCTCAATTTATTTCTAGAAAGGCCAAGTAAACTTGGGGGTGTGAGAGAGACTGAAGAAAAACTTGAAGGGGAGATGGGGTGCAGGTGCAGAGGGGAATGAAAGCTCAGAAGGTACACAAGTGCACCTAGGTCATCATGTGCTCTCATTGTGTGTAAGGTGTAGGGAATCAAGTCAGTGCTTCTTCAGTCTGCGGGATAACACCAACCAGAAGACCTCCACAGAGACAAAAGGATCGTGCCTCTCCTAACCAAAGAGCAGTCTGAGAGTATACGGCGATATAACAGAGACTTGGTAGCATCCTGGGGTTACCAGCATTAACGTCGAACTTGCTACCCTTCCATTTCATACCCAGGTGAGATCATGGGAGATAAAATGGCAATAGTAAGACGGGACATGCTTCCATCTACTTCCCTACCCAGGCTCACTACATCAATACACCTATCCCATAATTCAAGCGGCCAGCAGCCTTTTTTGCAAGAGCGATGAACCGATGTAGGTGAGTGTGAAATCCTCAGGTCTGAAACTTTAGCGTAGTTGGGAGGGAAAAGAAGAAGAGGAGGAAAAGAGAGAGAGAAGAAGATTAAATAGTCTGGGGGCGGTGGGGGACGCGTCTGGGGGACAAACAATCACTTCGCTTCACTCAGTGTCATCGCCTAATTAGGAAACCATCACTTCACAAACATTTGAAATCATGTGATCGTGTACTGGAGTGTGTTAAGAGTACCCCCTGAGCACACCTGGGCAGTTACTTGAAGACCTTTTCTCATCAGAACCGAGGATCTGGCTAAATAAGATATAACATGAAGCTTTTCAGGAGTGAAAATAGACTGTTCTATACCTACGTTTCTGCACCTCAAATTTTTCTATTAATACATTCTCGATTGAACGCAGGAATCTGGATTTAATTATCAAACTCGTTCAGCATCGATGTATCCTGATATAACACACCGGTACTTGTCGTAATGAAGACATCGTCAAGCTTGAAGTTCCAACGTACCTGACGATCAAATCCACAAAATCCGGAACCTTAATAGAATCAAAACTTCACCGTCCATGCGCTGGAAACTTGACCTCTGACTCATTATTCGGCAAAATTGCAGTCAGTATTTGTCCGACGCGTTCTGAGAATCTTGCCTGAGAAATACTCCATATTCGCGACAATGCATACAGAGTCACTATCGGACCTGGAGTAATTCTATACCCGTGGACGTAATGATAAGAAATAGTGTGACCGTAAAGAGATGTGTATCAAGAGAGCCATCCTGTAGATATGAACGGAAAATTGCTGTGGAGCTCAGCAGCCCATCCAGCCATTTGCGAAATTAACTTTCGGAAGTGCTTGATATCATGATCTCAAGCCCTTTCATATCGATGATGATACCAGTCTATAATTTGGCTGTTGTCATCTGACTGAACCAGTTACTCCAATCTGGTAGCCGTGACTCAGGAGGTGGATGCGTGGTACGCGTAGATTGTTTGTTGCTGTGAATGGAATCTATGCCTATCGTCAGCTAGGCTCAAATCTGATATGCTTCTTCCCTCGATTGGAATACCTCTATGATGTCCGTAGGTGTGACTAAACATATGGTTACATCATCAAGTAAAGCCTGAATGTAATGGTATTTGTGGAGTATGCAGTATCATTGCTGGATAAGGGGAGCCATGTGATGCCTGCTTTTTTAAATGTTGGTGCGTTTCCTGTTTCTGTTCGGATTGCTATTATGTCTGCCTGCTCCGTAATATAGTGAGAGCAGATCTACGCTTGATCCATGCGATATGTCCTCCCTTGTAGCATGAATAGTGCGGGGACGCCGCGCGTATATTCTTCTCGCTCGGTGGGTTTATTTCGAAGCACAGCTATAGACGACAGTCAATCGGTGAGAAGAGAGAAAGAGAAGTAAGAAACAAAGAAAGAGATATGAAATGTACACAGATTAATCACTCACAAGCGTTGAGTAGGACCAGTACGCGTTTGGTTACGGGGTCCAAAGTTGAAAACCATAAAGGCGAGTAAGAGACATGGATGTATGAGAAAGAAGAAAGAAAATTAAGATTATGAGAGAAGTGTAAAAGAGGAACTTCCAAGTCGAGAGGAGTGTGACGACTATGGGCATGGGCATGCTATTGATTTTCAATACTTATTCATCTGCTTCTTCGAAAGCCAACTGGTGTTCGGACTCTTGTGGGATACAAAATAATGTAGTAAGACGAGAACCTGAAGCGAAAGTAATACATGGACAGCCAGTAGTAAAAGTAATATAATGAAAGAAGATATAGATCAGGCTCCTGTTAGTATGTAATTTCTTATTCTGTCTTCAATTGACCTTGGAATGTGTCTCTTGTTGTAAAGTCTGGGATATCAGTTGAGCCGCAATTTAGACCAAAATTGAATTTATGCATCAATCCAATTATAGTACATAGACGATTATCCTCTTGATCCTGACCAATAAAAAGATTTGAAATAAGAATATAATAGAGAATCATCGAATTTTCGACAGCTAACTTCCAAGGTTATGTCCTTCAAATGTTCTATTTTGGCATCTTGAGGTCCACCCCAGTCATTTGCTCGAGTAAGAGCTTCTCAATGCCAGATTCAAATACCCTGGATTTTATTTAGATTTTGCTTAAACCAGACTCTAATTTAGTTGTAGTTAAAGGCATTCAACAGGTCCTCAATTCAGTTGAAGGAAAATTGAACATCTGCTACATGCCAGTGTGTACTTGCACCCTAGGTCAACTCGGGCCCAACAGCATTGCCCACGGGGTTATTCAGAGATCCCTCCCCACAAAAATGAGTGGGTAAAATAGCCCCGGATAAACGAACAATTAGACAGGGCTACATCATGGAACTATTCCAAGACATAGCCTCGGGCTAACGGCACAAGGCTGATCCCCAACAAGACTTTCCCCCAGATCCCAACATTGGCAATAGTATACTCCGTTAATAACCTCGCCTAAGGCTGTTCTAGAAGATCTAATCTCGGAAAATAAAACCAACAAAGCAAAATTAAGATTGAGTCAAAAAGGTGGATCCCTCAGAGTCACGCCATAGTTCTTTAACCGAGTTCCTCCGTAAGTATGGAGTAAATCTGGAGTGCAGTACTCCGGACTTCAACAAACCAACCGAACACGGCTGAAAAATCTCTATCCGGGTCCCATGACCTCGGGTTCATCGGGAGATTGATCCTCATTTACTCGGAGTGGCATTGGACAAAGATCGGGTTTAGTTCGGGTATGTGTAGATCCTCCATTATCGCATTATCGCGCTTGACGATCTGGCGGGTGTTGAACCTCGGTAAAACGAAAATTGAACTACACGACACAGTCGGATAAAGATTCCCACGGAGTATACAATTTCAAATGAGTCATTCGGTAATCAATGGGTCAATTCAATTGAACGTATTGTGATTGTTGGCCACGAAATAGTGGTTAAAAATAAAATAAAAAATAAGTGGCACATATGAAATGACAGGTCAAGGAGAGCACTTCCCCATAGACAACAACAATATTACATCGCAAACGCTAGTTCAAAAACAATCCTGGAATAATCAATCCCAAGCAACGAAAATAAAAAAAATAAAACAAGACTCGAAGTTGAGTACCAAGAAAATTCGTTTTCATCACAGGCCTTCAGTAGGGCACTGTAGTAGCCAAGACTTCAAGAATTTAGCTCAAATTCCAGGCACGAAAAAAAGTATACCTCGGAATTTATTGACGAGCAAGAGACTGCTTAGGACCAAGGACATCATCCAAAAATCCAGTCCACAGCTCTTTCACAACGCCCGACTCAGTAGACACGGAGCCGTTAGCCTGACGCTGTAACTCCTCACCAACTTGTGAGCGGACCACAGCCTCAGTCAATGAGAAGGGGTCAATATCCACAGAGTGGTTGTCAACGACTTCGCTCATAGCGCTGGCAGCGACGTCAGCGCCGGCACCGGCGACAGTGTAGATCTGGGGTTTCATGGGTGGGGCGGATGGGGTATGGGACACTCCGTGAGAGGACATGTCGGGAAGGACCGGGACTCGAAGACCGGATCGCACAGGGCCCGCCTCCATGTCAGCCAAAGAGGGCATGTAAATGAAGTCGACTGTGGAGGAGTCACCGACAGCCTTGGAGGAGCGGGAGGTGTTGAATTGGCGGGATGAAGAACTGCGGGGGCCATGTTAGTCTGAGTGATTCAAACAAGATATTTTGACACTGTATCAGATGGAAGTATATGGGGAACACATACTCAGAGAAGGCACTGCTGTTAATACGGCGCATGGCAATGCTGAAGGCTCGGGACTGGAGGACATCGTGGTTGGAGAGGCGCTCAATCAGCTGGTGAAATCGTTAGCTACTTCATCATGTATAGAATTAGGGCTAGTGGCACATACCTCCGACTTGCTGCCAGCAGCACGAAGGGAGCGTCGTTGGCACTCGACCTTAAGGTCTGGAAGGCTGCGAGCAGCATATAGAGAGGCCTTGTCAGCCGAGCCAGCGGGCTGAGCGGACTTAACGCCGGTGATGTGAAGGCCACGACGGGCAACGGGGGTAACAGTTTGCTGAGTGATCTGGCGCAGAGCACGCAGAGAAGTAGATCGAGGAGCGGCCATTGTGATGTGATGTGGTATGGTTGTGTGTATATACCAAGCTTTGGTGTATAGAGTGGAATGTGGGAAGGTAAAGTCAAAAGATGGGGGAAATGCCCAAATATAAGGAACAGGTCCAGGAAATTCCGTGTATTCTGTACGTAAGACACACGCGGATGGTCAACACCTGGCAGCGCCCTTTATAGAGAATCGTTGGGGAGAGCTATCCACTTGGCGGTCTGGACCCGTTATCGATAGTAGGTATCCACGTTCCAATAATTTGGTAGTCTTGACGTCTTCTACTACTCAGGGGAAACAAAAAGCCAAGATAAGAGTTACTTTTTTTTTTTCTTTCTTTTCCTTGGTACCTATTAAATAAGATGATTACCCCTCTGAAAAAGAAAAAGGACAAGGCGCCATTTGTGACGGACATGCTGGTACTACCCGAATTCAACAGCTTTCTGGTCGGAGATCTACGGCGGTTACTCAGGCATTGTACCCGATACTTCTCTCCTGTAAAATGGACTACAAGCTACCCCGTACCCATCAGCATCCACTAACACCAAGTCTCAGCTGACCTGATTGTACCCGGTACATCGCAGTACTTTCTCTCATGATGCCATTTTCCCCGTTGATCATTGACCCCACTCCCGGGGATAACTGGTCGTTCTCCGTTAGATCCATTATTGGATCGCTTCCCGTCCCCCAGCTGCACCCATATGCATGATGGAGTAATGGCAATTTCTCAAACAGCAAACGACCCGTGAGAATCCCAGGAAAAGGGGGGTGGCAGACCCCAATCATCATCAATTCAATGCTTTCCCCGCCGGGAGAATCCTCCCCGCTCCTGATCACTCCTGCTGGCTTCTGGTCTACTTTCTGCACGGGCATCCGCGTAAGCAACTTGAGAACTTTTTTTTAGAACGAGCGAATCAGGACCCCACTAAAAATAATAGCCAAAAAAGGGATCTACCTCGTCTCATTGTTGAGAATGGGATTCATCTTATGATCCCATGACCCAGATAGCGGTGAAACGCCCCCCCAAGTTGGCTGTGTGTGCCTTAATCTACCGCGTAGGATGGAGTGGAAATTAGCCACATCAGTTATGATCTACCTAATCCTTTGTTACTTTCCGGAAGTCGTTACCACGGTCGGGCTCGGTGAGATGATAGCGGATGCCCCGGAATCCGAGGGAAACCCATATCAATGATCAGCAGACCCAATGGTGTGGCGCATTACTTTCCTGCACAGTCTTGCCCAGGCAGGGGCCTGCAGATAACGCTGAGCTGTACGGAGCAAGGGTTGGTTGTGTCATTTCTGGCTTGGCGGGGTTGCTCAAAATTCCTCAACACATCGTCAGATTCTTTTCTGGCCCCTTCATAACAAATATTGGGCCAAGAAGAAAATCACCACCGGGAGATCGGTACTATCGTGAACCGTACCTGGTTCCTTGGTGTGGCGTGTTCAACTCGATCCATTCCTTCGGGGGTTTGGTCATCTTAATACGCGCAATGGGAAACTTCGGTGCCTTGCTATCTTTAGCTATGGTCCAAGCTCTACGGGAACGGGGAATTGAACTTCAAGTTCTATCCCTGTGGCTGTAGGGAGGCTGAGTGGGAAATTCGTGATTGATCTTGACGAGGCGAGTATAACTTGTAATCCGTACTCCGTAGATGCCACCAATTCGTGCTATTGAGGCAATAGTGGCAATGTGCATTATGATTGGTTATGAATGACCCGAGGCTTAGCTATCACTCTGGGGCTTAGCAATGATAATGGCCGTCGGTAGAAATGCCACCGTGGCGGACATCGAGGAAGAGCTTCTAATTCTTGGTGGACCTGTGATCTGGCTCCACCGTTGCGATCTCCGCGGATCTCCCCCACACTAGCTCAAAGCCACAATACCATACATGAGCATGCGTAAAACAATCCAAGGGTGAAATAAACCAGCTGTCTGAAGCACTCATAGTGATCACTTGCAGTCTTGCAGAATCCAACGTCGCACATGGCTGCTTCAGTTGTGTTGTGCGGGACGGTTGAAACACTCAGCCACACATGTGCACTAAACCTTGAATGATATCAATAACAATGATGAGAAGACCGGATAATAATTACAATGTGAATGCTTTAAAGTTCAAGATTCTCATTTCCTGGTTGTTCTAGATGTATATAAGTCATGTAATCGGCGTTGTCGACTCGGACCCTCAAGACAGGCAAATTCATCGTGTCTGGTGTGGCTCCTGAGTAGAGGTATAGTTCCATTTATCCATGCTCCGAACTGCAAAGTAACATTTCGGTGTCCGTTTGAGGAGAAGACAGGTTCTCAAGGGATGTCTGGTGACTATCCAGCGTTGTCTGGGTCGATTCATACAAATCTTGAAAGCTAGCCTGGCTGCTGCTTCGGAGCAGGAGTCCATCTGATTCTTCCTCTATGTCTGTATGGATGAGATCGTCAAGTTCTCCGAGATCCGCATGCACATCTCCATAGCTGATGTCTATATCATCCCAGTCATCATCCAGCTCCAGAATTTCTTCGTCAAAGATATCTTCGGTATACGGCGTTGCGGAATCGACATCAATGTTGACCTGAGGGCTATTTTCTGGAAGCCGCGGAGGAAAGAATCGGTTGCGTCTCCTTGGAGGTCCTGGTTGAGGTAGCAGGGCCTGAGCTTTGCACCAAAGACTACTCGTGATCCACTCTTTCCGTTCCTGGTGTGCATTAGCGAATTGTGGCTGCAAGTCTGGGTTGGAATTGCTCTTCAGCATCGAGGTTATCGCCTTTGTGATCACAGGAATTGAAGCCGCTCGCTGATTCACTGCCTGCACTTTATTAGCTGCAAAGCCGATGGCCGAGACATGTTTATCCTACCTCACGATACTTGCTATTGAAAACAGCGGGGGCCAACTCGCGCAGGTTTTGAAGACTATCGCCGTGTGTTTGGATGTGAGATGTCTTCAGGCTGGGAGACACGATCAATCTCTGAAGACCAAAGTCCATCAGATCAAGAAAGGAATCCGAAAATTTATTTGTGTCGTACTCATGACATATAGCATCATTCTGCACCAGTTCTTGGAAATCGTTCAATGAAGTTGATCCCAATGCAATCACTGGGTCAGTGTACGGTGCTTGGGAAGGCAATCTGTCTTGGAAGGGAGATGGAGGCTCTTCTTCGGAACCGAATATCAATTCCGACGTATCGAAGCTATTTTTTGTCTGTGTTAAATAGTTGTACTCCATAAATATCTCAATTGTGGACAAAGAAATGACAGGAATTGCCTGTGGGGGTGGAATGTCGGGGAGGTTTTGTAACACAGCAGGAAGATTTCGAGCCTTCTCCATGGCAGGCTCGGAGACTTGTCTACACAGTCCCAGTATGAGACAATTCTTTTCAGAGAAGCCCGGCTTTGTGTAGACACTGTGGCCTTTGCATGTGACGGTGAACCCGAGTTCCGACCAAACCTGGCATTGAAAATGAATGTCAGCGATGCCAGAGCTCTCAACCAACCCAAAATACAGACCAGAGAATTGCACAGTCTTTTCTTCAAGTCTTCCACAAAGTGAAATGGGATGAGTGCTATCTCTGAACCAAAACTCAGAGATAGAGACATCACAATCTCCGGGGCCTCCTTGATCCAGGTTGACACTGGGTCGGGCCAGTGTGGGATTGGCGAGTCTTTAAAATTCGAGTTTTGTGGCCAGCTCAGGGTTGCTGCAGCAGCAAATTGAAGCTGTACCTGGGATGGGGTGTCGTGAAGAAGAAATTGGCCCAACTCAAATCTGTGCCTCATTTTGAAGACATGTCATCCAATCCGCCAAGGACATCTGGAAGCTCTGGTTACAGGAAGATCATCATATTGGTTTTGATCATGGAGGTCATTGATTTCAAGTCCAAAAATATTTGCCTTAGAGAGACAGAAATTTAAGCATCAGTTAAAGTCGAGGATATATGGAGATGGTGGGAGAGATGCCCAGGTGGAGATAAACTCAATCTGGGCATGTAACCTGAGGCCAACCCAGCCCATGGCCTGTGCTTGAGCTTGTACAACTGCCAGTGGGCACCAGCAGTGCAGATAGTACTAATAGTTTCTAACTTGAAGGTTATTATGATTAATCCAGGATTAATCCAGATGAATAGCTTAAACTTGAATAGTACTAGTATTTCAATTACTAGTATGATTTTGAAGTGATTAAACTCTTGTTTGAGAGGTACACATGATGTTGATTACATATTTTGCAGTTGAGACCAAATCTAGTAGTAGGAGGCGTGACAATGTATCGACTGTGATCCTTTATAACATCCATCCAAAAACTCCCATTCAAAAATATCTTGCACATGGAGTACAGAATAAACAATATCAGATCCATGGAACTGACTTCTACGAGAAAGCTCCACAGTGATCACCTTTACAGTGCATCAGCGGGTCCAACCGGTCCAACCGACGCGTGGAAACGGGCGTCATCAAAGATCTCTTATCGATAAGCATCACGTGCATAGCCCCCATAAGCTGGCCTCAAAGGACTTTCATCGTTATTTGATCTCCAAGGTACAACAATGCCCCAGGATGAGGAGGAAAATGTCCCTCTTACTGGGCTAAATGGCCAAGACGAGCATGAGGCTCAGTCCCTTCTATCTCCGTCCCATGAGGAACTCGATGATCTTATAGTTCACCCTGGCCCCGTCAGCCCACCAGAACTGGCGACAAGGACACGACCTCACACAAAGCGCCAATCCTCCATATCCCAGCCTGCTCCTGATGGGCAACGTCGCACACCACGTACCACAAACCGAGTTCGATTTGATATTGACGAGGAATTTGAGGAAGAGAGTCCCCAATCGAGCACAGGGAGCCATCATTGGGATGAACGCATTCACAGCCCCGATGAAGGGCACTGGCTAGAGCAAGAGGATTACGAGCTGGGTAACCGCAATATACCAGGAGCCCGACATGGAGGACAGTCGGTACCTCTTCTTACTGACATTGAGGCTCCAAGTGTGACCCTCGCAACCTCAGATGACTTCTTTCCAGAGGATCATTTGGAGAATGCCCGGCCACGAAGCGGAATGAAGATGGCATTCATGAACATGGCCAATAGCATCATAGGAGCGGGAATTATCGGACAACCCTATGCGCTCCGACAAGCGGGTATGACAATGGGGATCGTGCTACTGACTGCATTGACTATCACGGTGGACTGGACCATTCGGTTGATCGTCGTCAACTCGAAATTGAGTGGAGCAGACTCCTTCCAGGCCACTATGCAGTACTGCTTTGGAAAGACTGGCCTCATTGCAATTTCGGTCGCTCAATGGGCTTTTGCTTTTGGTGGCATGGTTGCTTTTTGCATTATTGTTGGCGATACCATTCCGCAAGTGCTTGGTGCCTTGTTCCCATCATTACGTGAAATGTCTTTCCTATGGCTTCTGACCGACCGAAGGGCTGTGATTGTCTTGTTTGTACTGGGCATTTCATATCCCCTCTCCCTTTATAGAGATATCGCCAAGGTGAGCTACGATGACGTTTGAATATAATTCGCCTGGGCTAATCAGGAAAACAGCTGGCAAAAGCATCTGCGTTGGCATTGGTCAGTATGATCATCATCGTAGTTACTATTATCACTCAAGGCTTTCGTGTCCCAGCAGAGTCGCGGGGAGAGGTCAAGAGCCATATTCTCATCAACTCGGGATTCTTCCAGGCAGTTGGAGTGATTTCTTTTGGTATGTTAACCCATTTGTCGCGTGTATAAATTGCTTGCTAATAGTCCACAGCCTTTGTTTGCCGTATGTTCAGCTTCGCATCATTGATTTGACACCGTCATTAATAGAATTCCAGATCACAATAGCCTTCTCATCTATGGATCCTTGAAAAGACCCACCCTCGACCGGTTCGCTACCGTCACCCATTACTCCACCGGTGTATCCTTGATCATGTGCCTTGCCATGGGAATAGCTGGATTCCTTTCCTTTGGCTCAAAAACACAGGGAAACGTCTTGAATAACTTTCCGTCAGACAATATCTTGGTCAACATTGCACGATTGTAAGGCCCCAAAGCTGGTCATGTAAGGATATATGCTAACAACGATCAGATGCTTTGGATTGAACATGCTGACCACATTGCCGTTGGAGGCATTTGTCTGCCGGTCTGTGATGACTACCTATTATTTCCCAGATGAGCCGTTTAATCCCCACCGGCATTTGATCTTTACCACTTCTCTGGTCGTGACATCCATGGTCCTGTCATTGATAACATGCGACCTGGGTAGTGTATTTGAGCTAATTGGCGCAACTAGTGCAGCAGCACTAGCATATATCTTCCCTCCGCTCTGCTACATCAAATTGAGCAGTGCCAGTCGTCGAGAGAAGATCCCTGCTTATCTATGCGTGACATTTGGGCTGGTTGTGATGGGTGTCAGTGTGGTACAAGTAGTTGCCAAAATCATTCGAAGTAAGTTATCTTATATCGCCACTTTCAAATCCACGACTAATTCTGGTCAGATGATGGTGATGGCCACTCTTGTGCAGCTTCCTAGGCTCGCAGCTCTTTTGACTTCATAAACATAATCCATAGACATTATTCCTCATTTCTATACCTTGTACATATGTTTACAATGTAAATTTCCATGAGATTAACATGCCGTTCCAGCTATTCTTGCATGTGCTATGTCAACTGGACAAGATCTTTTTTTAAAAGATCACACTCTTACATTTTCATGGTGTATATTTCATCTTCGCCGAGATTTTTCAAGTTAAAATGAGCCTATCAAATATGTAGAAGGGAACTAGATGATCAATATTGGCTACGAAGAAGATAAATGTTTATTATGGCGACTAAGATGGTGATTTTCACTTGGTGCCTAGTTCAAGTTCGTGTGTTTTGATTCTTAAGGTAGCAACAACTTCTCACTCTCACTCTTCCTTTTTGTTTTCCAACACGACTTACTTTTTCTTCTCCCCTCACCATACCTTAACACTCTTCTCTCTCCCTCATGCTTCCATCTCCCTCTCCCTCCTTGACCAACATCCGCCATCCTTCATCAAGGTGTTCCTTGAATACCTTTTCTTTTACCTCTTTGTTTCTGAATTTGATCTTACTCACTTGCTTTCTCCTCTTTGGGTTGTGTGTCTCTGTCAGTTGAACATAGGCTGCCAGCCTTGGCTGGTAGGCTGAAAATTGTTGTCTGTTGTCACTCGCCTTCGTCAACAACAAACAACACGCACAACACTAAACTCAACTAACATCTACTCCATCACCAAATCCTTCAACAAAAAATACTCTCTTCCTATTCACAACTAAAAAAAAAATTCTACTTCTTTCATCACCCACTTCTCAATTCCTACTGTCGTTCTGAGTTTTCACAATGGCCGACGAATCAGAGCAAACTGAGAGACTCAAGCGATTGCAGATGGCAAGAATCCGTCCAATGTCCTCAAGATGAAATTTCCATGCTAACTCTGTTCTTGATAGGCCGACTTGGGCACTGCTCGTCGAGAATACATCTCCGCCACTGACGACCGAAAAAACATCTCATTCGTCCGTATCGAGGAAATTGAGGCCAAACGACAATCGAACATCCCGGGAACTGCCGAGCACAAACAAGCTGTGGAGGACAGGGCTCATCTCAACCAGTGGCAAAGTAATTTTTTGAAAAATAGATGTGTCGTAGGATTATCAACTGACCTATTTTCTCTAGATCTTCACAGTCAGATCCATGATACTCCCAATGCAGACTCCCAACTGAGTGACTTGATGCATGGCCAAAGTCATCGTGCCCACCTCAATGAGGTAATGCGATTTGCAGAGCGTTTTGGGGCCCAGCATCAATCATTCCTGAGACCACCTCCCAGAGCGCCAAAGCCAAAGTCATTGCCATTACCCATGGCAGTGCCCATGCCACCACCCAACATACCATTCATGACTGTACCCAGGGGGCCAAAATCACCGCCTTCTCGCTTGGCATCTGCAGCTCATGGAGTGGGCATCGGTGGTACACGAGGCCGAGGCTTTCTTTCTCCTCCACCAAGGTAAGTAATGTCTCTTGTTGTATGACTGAGCTTTTATTTACTCAATGACGTACTTTCTCTAGAGCCCCCACGCACAAAGCTATGTCAGTTGGTAAAAGGGGTCCGGTCCGTGAGCATCGCACGCGAAGCTCCTCCTCCTCTTGGGAGTCTAAAAAATCTCGACGAAAGGGATTTCAGTACAGTGAGGACAAACTGAATAAAGATAGTTGAACACAGAAGCTGACAGACTCTTAAGATGACAAAGGCCCACATGGGCGTCCAACCAGACCTCATCAGGAGTAGGTAAAGGGAAGTTGTATTTGAATTCAGCTGCTAATATTGTCTTCAGGAAGAATTTCTCTGGAATGATGGCAAGCCCACAGCAGTTCTTGGCCCAGGCCCAGGCCCGACGAGCCCCCTCATTGGCTGTCCCTACCAAATTGAGCCTGCCCAAATCGATTCCTGCCCCGGCCGAAGAACCCGCAAGCAATCCACTGCCGCCACACCCCCAGCAGGGAAAGCAAGCACAGGTGGAGGCTGCCTTAGAGAAGCCAAAGAACGAGAAAACATCTCCAGCCGCTGCGGCGGTACCGGGAACACCGACCCCTGCTTCTCGAAAGCCCTCAGGACAGAAATCAATTCTTGCGAAGGACGAGATACTCGTTAAACCAGCAGGAAGCATAAAAACATCGCAGTTGTCTTCAAAAGAATCAAAGTCACCCGACAACACGGGTTTCACTCCGGGTTCAATTGACCGTCAGGAAGATGATTCGAATTCGGATAACGCGCCCACAAAGATAGAGGCGTTGACTGGCGTTCTTCTCGAGATCGAGAGTACATTTGATACCGCCGACAGCCCCGACACCTCAAAGGACCCGCTCAGCAGTCCGGGTATTGAGCAGCTAACTGGACTCAACTTTTACGTTGAACCTTCACAAGAGGATAGTGTGACACTCTCAAAGGATACTCCTGCATTCTCAGACGTTGTGCGGCAGGCACAAGACGCGAAGAAGAGAGTGGAAGCGCTCCAAGCAGATCTCAACGCATCCGGTGGGGATTCCAAGTTTGATGCGGAGGCGGCAGAGGAGAGGGCCAAACAGGCTTGGGAGGTGGTGGAGACCTGTTATCAAGCGATGCAGAATTATTTTGCCGCAGTGAACTCGAAACGTCTTTCTGGCATGCAGCCCTCGAGTCCCCAGGTATACAAGCTGGATCCAGTCAATACCTCACCTGAGACTCCCAGAGGAATTCCAGTAACTTTATCTCAGCCTGTCTTAGATGAAATCGTCAATCAACCATCTAACGCCACACTTCACACCTCTTCGCAGCCGTTGGCAGATGAAACCATCAATCAAGTATCTAACGCCAAGCTTCAAACCCCTCCAAAGCCATTGGCAGATAGTTTCAAGGAGTATCGATCCCCTCCACGAACACCGTCTTCCCAGGATTCAAAGGAGGATATGGCTTCTGAGAAATCTCTCCCCCACGCCTCTACGAAACAGAGTTCTCAAAGCAGTGCACACGCCCACGCAAACTTTTTTCAAGGAATGGAAAATGCCCCCAGAGGAATGGAAGATGCCTGCCATCAGATCTCGGGTCAGTGTTTCCAGCAAGGAACCATCCTCATCCAAGGAACCAGAAGTGCCTGCCATTCCTTCTCAGGAGAATTTGACCAGTAACCCCTCTGTAACTTCAAATGAAAACTTTTCAACTTCACGACACGAGGCCAGTACTGCATTCGATTTTGAGGGGACTTCAAAGGCCCTAGCAGAGTCAATTCATGCGCGCAAGCCTTCTGCTGAAATAAGTACGGTAGCCCACCCCGGAATGTCTTCTGAGAAGCTAGGACCAAAAATATTTGGCCCACCGCTGTTTGTGAAGCCAAAGAAGACTGCGGTTACGGTGTCCGATGATTTCAACCAAAGTCAGCGTGCGGTGTCCAATACTTTCAATGAAAGCCAGGCTGCGGTGCCCAAGGCGCAAGTTCGGACCGTTGGCCCTGCGCCATGGCCTGGGTTTAAAGCGTTGAACTCAAATGTTCCCGGCCCGGCAGTGAAGAAAACAGGTTCGGAACCTGATCCCTTCAAAAAACTTTATCCACCAAGTAACATCTCGCAAGATTCCAAACCCAGTACGCCAGTTTCGAAGATGCCCCGAGTCATCGGACCGCAGCCATACCAAGGTCCGCGGAAGTAAGCCTCGGAACCCCGACCGATTTTTCCTGCCAGTGATGATTCGCAAGAAGTGAAGTTTTTTCGAGAATATTAAGCAGCATTGCATGAGCGTCAGTTTTTTGAGGTTTTTTGAGGTTTTTTTCCGTCAGCAAGGTTTGATCGATCAGCCCACGTGGCATTATCTTTACGTTTTTTTCCTCTCTCGTTCCTTTGCGTCTGTCAGTTCCGGAGATATCGCAAAATTTGGCTAACAGAGTGATTGGGGAGTATCGGCATTCGGATGTGATGGTTCAGGTTATTTTCCAGTCTATGAGGTTATCTATCAGTCTATGTATTTTAGCCCGAATGGAGTATTAATGAAATTATTACTTCCTCCTCAAAACCTGGGCTCTGTCTTGAGGTTCTTATTGAGTAGATAATTTAATTGTGTTATTATCTCACGTAAAATTAGTAGTACAGGACATATTCAACATTCAAATGTTGAAGTTGGTGCTGGTGGTTGTTGATAATCCAAAATTTTCACTGCTATGTAAAGTCCGAGTCATTTATTTTCGATCAAAATTTGAAGACTCATTGATGTGCACTAGTAAATTTCAAATTTGTAAATTCGAATCTAAATAATTAACAAGATTTCGTGAAGAGCTAGCTGGTTTTTCAAGTTGTGGCCTTACATAAAGTCTCAGATCTCAATGAACTAAACATTGCTTAAATATATGAGATTCTCCCATGTTTTTTGAAAAAGAAACTATCCAAGGTGATATACCAATGAACCCAGTAGTTCAAAAAAAAATAATCAAAGCTCTTCGAATCTACGCTCGAGTTGTTGGAGAATTGTCCAACAATAAAACTTGATAAAAAATTGTTCTTGGTGGTCTTGAGCTCTATGGATTCCTATAGAAGATCACTGGCACTGGCTGAAATATATGGAACTTGGAATACTGACCTAGATTCATGGATATGATCAACTGCCCAAGTAGTCGATTCGGGATTGCAAGGCTCAGTAATAGAACCATGACAATATGCATCCAGAGTCTTACTACCTCTTTGCCATGCTACATTTCCAAAGTTCATCCCTTTTTCCCTTACTAGATCATATCGCAGTCCTTGGGCTAGAAACCTCTCTAATTGACACGGTTGCACCAGAATTACGCACCTAACTTATGCAGAGAACAAAATCAATGAAGTAGAGCCATGGTACACAAATGCAGGTACTCGGCTTGATTCTCAGACATGTCTCCCTGTCTAAGCTTGTATAGCCACCACCGCCACCTGGACCACGAGTAAAGAAATCTTGGCAATCAATCTTTAAGTGAGACAAAAGTAAGACAAAAAGGTTCTCCCTTGTCCCCTTTTTATCATTATTAATATCATTTGCACGGTTGTAGATTCCATGTCACATGGTTTTACCGCCTCAGATTCCAGTGAAATAGGCTAATCTTACCTGGTGAACCATCTCGCTACCTCCCAAAAATGAGATTTTCAAACATCAGCTTAGATTCTCATTTGGAAAATCTCCCATGATCCCTGAAGTGCTACATATTTTTGCAGGATGATTTTTCCAGAATCTGCTTGTAGTGGTGCGGATACAAGTTATCTTTGTGCTAATACATCCCATATCACGCATGTGCTGGAGGATGGACATCTGGAATTTCAACTTCGGATATAACTTCTATGGGAATTCGATTGAGTCAAATACTATCTTTTCAGATCACTACTAGTGCCCAGATGTAAGGAGCTCTCGCTTGGTTCGCTTTAAAGTTCAAACTTTCTTTTTAGATGTAATACATTTGGGCCTATAATAGTAGGTGTATTTTGCCCTAATCATGTCGCATACCTGACTTCACTAAAATGGATAAAAAATGTGCATCTGATATGATGTCAATAATTTCTATCTCATTGAGACTTGTTATGACTTCTTACTTGGTCAATTCCATAGTAATACTAACAAATGATTAAACCAACATGCTAGAAGCTATGCATTTTTTTACCAAATTAGGAGATATAAACAAAGAATTAGTAGTATACAAACAACCATAATTGCAATTTCCGTAATGATTATAAGCCTAGTCCTTCCGGCTCTATCAATATGAGAATCCACACCACTCCCTCGACAAAATTTATTCGATTCTGAGCGCGGAGGTAATCATGCCGCTTTACATACGAGACCAGCCTTATCCTTCCTATGAACAAGCTCAGCCATACCAAACACCAGCTGCTCAAAAACTTCTGGACAGTGCAAGCGGAAAATCAACATGGACCGAAGAGACTTCTTTCCAAACTCAGGATGATGGCCAGTACCATCCAAAACAGCCAGGATCTACTGGAGTGAGTACCTTACAAACTCCAGCTGATGGCTTGTATCATCTGAACCAACAAGACTCTCACTCTACCTTCGATGATTGTCAATGTCACACATATCAAAAAGCCTCGGGTGAAACCCAAGTGACGCCAAATGCCCCCGTCAATACTGGTATTCGATCTCAATCCAAAACAATGTTCGAGGCGGTCAAGCCTCAAGAAACTCAAAGAGCAACCTCCATACAATCATCCTCGGCACTTGAAACAAACAATGCGGTACAAAATCAGTCCCTGCTAGCCTCGGGAACACACAGTCTCTTATACGATCAAATACCCAGCTCCACAATCGATGCTACAGCATCTGTTACATCTATTCAACAAATGTCAGCGATGACTACTAGCAACCCAGACTCAAATATCGCTTCATTAGCTGCCCACAAACCTTCAACCTCATGGGCATCAAGCCATGCCGCACAAGCCGCATCTATATCCTGTGCTGTCATCCTCGTGGTGGCATTCATTGCGGGACTCATATTATTCCCCCTGTCTAAAAAGCGAAGACTTCGGAAACAGCTCACCAAAAGCAAAGAGAACAAAATGATGGAAGCAAAGCCTCGCAGGAATATCTTAACAGGGTTCAAGTTGTGGAGTGGTGGCTTGAGAAAGATGTCAGTAATGGTATACCTTATCAGACCCAAGAAACACAGCAACTCCATCACAGTCCTTCCATACTTCACTTCCAACGATACTCTGGAAAAGGAGCCAAAGGAATTCATAGCGACAGTTCATGATGAGAAACAAAAGGTGTTTTCTGTTGCTAAGAAAACCCCGACACTCATTACAATCACAGATCCCCTGATTTTGAGGGCCTTGACCTTGGAAATTTACAGGACAAAGACCGAAGAAGCATGCAAATCTCCAGAGTCAATGGAAAGTCCACAAGAAGAGAGTAATTCATCACCGCGCGTCACGTCATCCATATCCAGTATGTCTGAAGGGCATTCCGAATTCTCCTCATCTCAACAAACAGAGCTCTCCAACGAGGATACCATCTACAGCCCAAGTTCTTTGGACAGTCCTAAAATTGGAAACTTACTTTCCGCAAATCCCTCAATCAACAATGTCTACATGGTTGAAATGGATTTTATTCCTTGCAAAACGGGACAGTTGGAGATCCAGCAGGGCCAATCATTGGGTATATCAAAGATTTTCGAAAACGGATGGGTAAGTTGACTCTATCTTTGCTTTCTTTACAAACTCTGAGAAACTTAGTGACTCGTTAAAGGCCCTTGGTGTCCGACTTGACTCTCCCGAGGCAGGCTTAGTTCCTCGCTCTCATCCTTCTGCTTCTCCCATCCGACAACAGGTTCAGTGTGATGAACAAAGAAGATCATCAAAACGACACTCGCTTCCGCAGCAAACCTTCAACGCTCTGTCATCGAGGTTTTATTCGTGGCTTGCTAAGGATAACGCTTCGCATGATATGCCACCTGTTTAGAAATCGATCTCATACCCGACTAACTAAACTTTTTCTTTGCTTTCCAAATATTCTCTTTTTACCTTTCATTCCCTCTCCGGTTTTCTATATTCTGTTCTTTTCACTTTCATCTTTATGATATTTCTCCTATTATTTCTTCTTATCTTCGTTGTCATATTATATGCTTATTGAAATGAACATAATTCATAATTACAGTGTGATGTCATAATATTTCCAGCGAGCCAGTTTGTAGGTCGGAAAATTTGAACAATATTATGAGTCTTATCATACGAGGGGTTGTTCAAGCTCACATAAACTCAGTTTTCCCATAAATATATAAATACTGTCTGGTTTCTGGGGATAGACCGTCATAAAGTGTGAACGAATAGGGTATCTGTATCTAGCAGATCCCTTTAGACCACCTGGGCATGTCGTATGATGACGAAGACTCAGCGATCACCCCGGCTGAACGCATCCAGGGCTTCACCCATGAAGGCCCTTTTGGAGCGTAAATTTTGTTTTTAATTCCAATAATTGGGGTGTATTGTAAGTCTCTGTATTGATACCTAAATCGTCTGAAATGTTTGATTGTGCATGCACGACTCACCTCTCGGCTGGCTCTCGGCTGGCTCTCGGCTGGTTTTAGCCTAGGTGTATTGTACTCTACTTTCAGAGGAGAGACTCAAGCTGGCAAATTTGTATCATCACATGAAGCTCTGGGTGTCACATATGTTTACAAAGTTACCAACCTTGAAAGATTCGGACTCAGACAAACGATAGTGTGAAAAGTGGATTGTCAAAGCGTTAGAATTATGCGAGCCACGCCGGCACCACGGTGGTTTCAGAACTGCAGAGGGAGGTGGATAATTCCAGAATTTGCGAACCACTGCCTTTGCCTTTACGGAGTATTCACACATGAATAATCTTTTTTTTTTAAAAAAAAAACTTTAAAAATTTGCGGAGAATTTCTACAGCTCGAGGTACCTAGTTCGCGGCTTGGACCCGAAGTAAACTGCCTACCTGGGCAGGTGGTATATGCGCATTGGAACGAGCCTTCGAATACTGGAATGGATGAACCTTAGATTCATTAGTCAGAATCAGATGAAAAGAACCTTGGAAAGCTATGATGCCAGTGAAAAGAAGAGAAAAAAAACTCCACAGAGAACAAAGCTTGAACTTGGGGATTCTTCCTAGAATCATTGATTTCCAAGGTGTTATGCATAGTACCCGGCGTACGACTGGTCCCCAAGCTCCCAGGTGTCAATGTGGCTAAGTCTCAACCTGAAACATTTCCCAAGTATCCATAAACGCTTTGATCACGGCTCCCAACCACACCGCTATCTGGTATATTTCGCGCGGTAATAATCAGTAGCCGCTCAACAAATGAGTCATGTTATCGGATTAATACCCCTATGGTGGTGTGGAGAATTAACATCCTGGGTTATTAACAGCCGCAAAAACCTGCAAGCCCCCCCGGGGCCGACGAGAAAACGCGAAGGCACTGGAACTAATGCATGCTGCAGCCTAGATTAAAATCATATACGTACATCCAATCACATGCCATCGTGTGCAAGGCACGAGAGGAAAGCAGGTACGGCGTATCCGTACAAATTACGCAATAAGTCGAGAATGCTCTCCAATCGACTCTGGGTAAATCTTGCGGCCAGTGACCAATTTCGATTAGTGCCCTTTGGTTTCCCCTGTATGAGGAGGGTAGATCATACCGTAGATGGCGTTTCCTCTTGGGGGTCTTTGTTTACGCGGACTTGGACTGAGACCATTGTCCTTTTTGAGATATAATGCTATCTCAATGCGAACTACTATTTGCCAATGCCACATTACTGTAGATCAGGTCCGGAGTGCTCCAAGCCGCTGTTTAAGTGTAATTAGTACATCTATTACATCTTGTGCTTCCCCGTACAGTCTCCACTAGATGCTGACTACTAGACCCACTTTAACTTGATCTCGGGAATCATATTGATGTATGTATATATCCCTCCAGATGTCTCGGGGGAGAAATTGAAGGATTCCCGAGGTCGGTACTCAATGTAGATTTCTGTATTGGGATAGATACAGGGGCCGAGACGGCCAGCACATCAGTAAATACCTTTCAAGTTGATATTTATTATCGGATTTTACCTAGGTACATGGAGGCCCACCTAGGCACCAGAAGTGGACACGGTGGAAATTGTCGAAGCACAACTCGGACTCATCTCAAGCCGAATTTTCATTTTCTCTCTCTTTCTTTTAAGGGAATAAAAAGAAAATTCAAGTCTGGATAACCTGTCGGTATTTCTTTTTTTTATTTTTATTTTTTTATTTTTAACTTTTTTGAGATATTGATCTAAATCTAGTGTGACCTTTATCTTTATGCTAGTTTGTCCGGTCGGGACTAATTGCTGATCCCTTCCAATGTTGTTCCCCACTGTTAAGGGATTTTCGGTGTTTTCTGTCTGATTTTCAGGAATTGAATTGAATTAAGATCAGAGTGACTCGGTGTGAGCTTGCTCCGAGCCGAGTGCCCACGTAATATATGAATTCTGGTAGATTCTATTACTCTATCACTCTATATGGAGAAATACACAGAGTCCTGGAGGCAGCTGAGAGGCTGAATCATGTTGGGGATGATCCTCGTGCTCTCCACAACTTGAAGTTTGGTGGACCGCCGTAACCTTTGGATTAATCTATTTAATCTCCGCGCGGCTCCGCTTTCAAGGTCCTTCGAGTTTTTATTTTATTTTATTTTATTTTATTTTATTTTATTTTATTTTATTTTATTCCATTTTTATTTTTTATTTTGTTTTGTTCTTTTTTTCGCTAGCCAAGCCTGGAGTCTAGAACCGATCCTATTTCATTTTTCCCATGGCAACACCCTCCGGGTGGGTACTCAGGGACATGTAATCCCAAGACAGGCATTGGTGTCTTAGGGCTAACAGCTCGGAGTACGGTTCGCAACTTTCGAACATACGTACTAGTACTACATAGGGCTATCAGATATCACTAGTACATAGCGAGAAAGCTAGGCTAAAGATAAGCCTGTCGCTTAATATCCCACACACATTGAAGCTCGCAGGGGGGGGTTTTTCCCTTTTCTTAATTTTCACCTCATTTATTCCTAAATCAATATGTAGAATAAATGAGGTGGAGTGAGTTCGTTGATCGGAGTGGACCTAATCTTGGCACAATGATGTATCCATACTTCTTCTACCGTTCGTCAATACCTGAAAGCTTTACCTAGGTACATACAATGAAATTATACTATCAATAAATGACTTTTTTGTCTCTCCTTCCCTGCCAATCGCCGTATGAACTCCCCTTCCTCCCACAGTACAAATTCCTTCTACTGCCAGTGAACATTAGATGATGACCATCCATGGATACAGATATAAAAACAGGAGCCAAGTTCTTCGTAACCCTGACGAAAGAACCAAGTACGATAATCGGAGAGGTGGCGAGAGATCGTTTGTGCGTGGATATAGTGCCCAGGTCTGCATTCGGATAGAACATAATAATTGTCCATCCGAGTCGTGACCCTGTATGCCCACATCTGCAGTTCACGGTGTTCAAGCCTCCAGTGACATGTGTCTCAGGATATCATGGATCCCGTGTCACCAATGCCTGCTTTGATCTACAGCTGTAGACAAACTGATCGGGTAGGATCTTGATGGAGATTCTGGCTTCTCATGGTTCCTTTGAGCCTGTGGCCTGCGTCTTCTTAAAGAAGAAGGGGGCCCTCGGAAACTAATCGATCGAATCCTGATAGGGGATGGCTGTATACGCTGGACAGGCTGGGGCTCGACATTGGACTGTTGGGATGGGCGAAACTTGGAAGAGGACTCGGGGGGCGACTTTCGTCGGACGATGAGGATGATGATCGTAATAAACAGTGCAATTAGAAATGCAACGGCACTGATGAGTATGACCCAGAATGACTTCGGGTCGGCATAATAGAGATCAATCAAAGTGTTGAACATTTGTAGGACGGATGGATAGGTAGTTGAGAGGTGAAATGAAATTGAATACTAGGGAGTTGGGACCTTTTATAGGATTCATTTTTTTATTTTTATTCTCCTTTTCAGTCAATTAGTTTACACAGTATCTCTGTATTCGTGGGGAAGAGAATATACCTGTCTGATTTTCAGATCCAAAGAGCCCGAGTGATATGCAGATTACAAGTTGAAGATACGGCATGCCTGGTGCCTTCCCTAAATCAGAACACTCAAATTATTCTCACCTGGCAAGCCAAGGATCTAATCAGGCTTTTGATCCAGTATTATGAAGGTCTGAAATAGTGCTAGCTTGGGCCCGCTACTTGATGACCGTCATCGAGGAGCGGGCCGGGGCTAGCAAGTAAGATGATGTATGCCGTAGATTCGGAATACATAACACAGTGATATACTCGGCCGGAGACTCCGTACTAGTAAGTTACAGTACCCAAAGTACAGGGGTGATATGGTTCTAGTAACCAAATTCAACCTTGGAAGTTGATTATGATGAGATGTATCTTTCAGTCCATCGTACCTGGTAACTAACTTTTTTTATTTCCTGCTGTCTGATATAACTAGTACTGCCTTTGAGGCCTAAAGGATTGACCTATTAAGATACTAAGAATCAAATATGAACCTTGGTAATACTAGGGATGTGGTTCAGTTCATTAGATCTCCCAGATCTACTACCTAGCCAGTACCATATATCTCCGGCCTTCAGAATTTTTGCTTAGAATTTGCTCCGAGTCGTATATACATATGTAACATTCAAATGTTTGAAAAATCTGTTACTTACTACTAGTATTCAGGGCCAAGCCACTAGACAAGGATCAAAAATCTGTGTGAAATCACAAATGTGTATCTGTGTAGGATCACAAAAAAAATTGGGTTGAATCAAAAACTTGAATCTGCACATGTGTGATACCCCCGGAGCTCCATTTTCCATTTTCCATTTTCCATTTTCCATTTTCCATTTTCTATTTTATATTCTCCATTTTCTTTTTCTTTTTTTTCTTTTCTTGCCAGCCCTTGAGTGCTTTGTTCTGCTGTTTAATTCTCTCCTTGTCTTCCCTTTCCTCCCACTCTCTTAGAGTTAATACATGACCACATAACCCCTGAAATGTTTCTTGTCTTTTCTTTAAAAAATGTGAGTTAAACATTCCTCCCAATTTGTTCGGTCCTCTTTTCCTGGTGTGGCAGTGTGGCTTTTGCTATTTGTCTGTGGATTCTGCCTTGGGGTTGGCCCCCATCCACTTCTACCAACGTAAATTTCTTGTCATGCACCTAACTGATAGTCCAGTTTCGCTTTCCAATCACTGCATAAAAGATTTTGTGAAGCGAGTCGGATCGTCATAACCCGGGTGAAGGCTCAAGCTCAAGCTTCCGGGAAATAGTAATGGTTTTGGTCTCCCTCCAACTCTCCCTCCAACCACAACCTAGTTCTGCACGAACCTCTCAATGGGTTATACCCACCAACTTGCGATGAAATTTCAAAACCACTTTCCCCATATGGGAGATGCCCTGTGAACATTGAAGTTCAGCCACAGTGGGTCTAACTCATTCCATGAAAAACAAGTCTCATGACTAGGTAGTCTAGGAAGATGAGGTAAGAGGCTTCGCATTCCAGACTGATACCAGCCTCTAGTCCCGTGAAAATTTCATAAAAAATAACTAAAATCAAGATCTCTTCATGTTTGCTGGCAGTCCTTATTTTGCAAGTTAATCTCTTGCCGCCAATATCCCTCATCCACTCCTTTCTATGGGATATTTTGCTCCCCCTTAACGATTCGACTCTGCACACACAGGGGAAAAAACTTGATCCCCAAGTTGCAGGATAGTCCATCCTACTCAATCACCTCTCTTCTGTGAACAGCCATATGACTTCTCTGTCTCAGAGGCCAAGCTGTGGTTTTGTACATTCAGGTAAATAGTGGAGTGAGCCGTTCTTCTCACACAAAAGGTTAAACTGACGGTCGGGTTCACGATGCCCTCTTTTGAAACTTGAACTAATTTCTTTTTTCCAGTAAACAAGAGAGAGCATAGTGCAAATACTGGCTACAAGTTACTCTTGCTCTCCATCCCAGACTACTGCTATCCTCGTACCTCTCCACCCTATTCCACGCCAGATCGAATTCATCACCGAAACGGATCAGGGATACCGATTCCATCTCCAAAGCTGGTGTTCAGACTGAGTGTGAGATTATTACCCTTTCATCGTGAAGGAAGCCTGCAGAGTCATGATATTTTGGTATTAGATGTCTGGAACATACGGTCGCATGGCCTTCAGGATCAAATCCCACTGGCAGTGACTCAAGCCGGTTCTTGGAGTTCTCCAGCTCCAGGGCTGCATATTCCCATGATTGAGGAGTATGTCTCTATCTCAGAGAAGAGAAACATGGCTACGTGCCAATTTATCTCGGCGAGACTCTGTTCATATGCCACCCCATGAATTTACCAGGGTCACTCCTCGGATAACTGGCGCAAAGCTTACTTGAGTGCAAAATTCGAAGGCTCACAGAATCGACTTATCTGTGAAATTATATCAACTTTGAAATATCTGCCCTCGCATGCTCGCATCCTGGCAGTATTGCAAGCTACTGGCAACTTGAACTCTGCTGTGCACTGGCATGATATTTGTTTAATATTGCGTTAACCTCATCCCCCCCATGAGACTGAAAAGACCTTCGAGAAGACACGGACCTCTCATACACTAAACCTAAGCCAGATTTTCTCCTTTTCTCTCTCTTTCTACTCCTAGTAAAGGAAGTGTAAAAGAGTCACTTCCACATGAATAGAATCATGCCTTGGTCCATTTTTGACTCCGATTGGTGGATCTGGCCAGAGATCAGGAACCACTAAAGGCTTCACTTGATTGGTCAAAATCTATGTTGTCTGAGATCCGCTTATATGAGGCTGAAATGTATGTAGATCATTCTTTAGTTGCCTATTTTAAACACGGAGATGATTCTTTTTCGCAAAATTGCTTTATGCAAGCAGACTTTTTCTCGGATCTCTAATTTCTTTCTGGAAACTTTGAAGGCATATTCCATCAAAATTTAATCTCTTTTAATCTCTTTTATTTTCATTTATTTTCATTTTTTTAAAAAATACGAAATACGAAATGGGAATGGGAATGGGAATGGGAATGGGTTTCGACCTAGATAGTCTAGGTAATCAGTGTACTCCGCCCGACATACTCCGTACTTTTGTAGTATGGTAACTGATCATATGGGCAAAGGTACAGACTGCATTTTCACCACGCTTGACAACACATCTGTCACTGCATATAGAGTCTTCCGAAATAAGTTATGCACGGCTCTCCCATCCCGAACCAGGGTAGGGGCCTTGTCGAGGGCTCTGATGATTGATGCAGGAGAATCATCATGGGATGACGCGGCAGAACTTTTGTCTTCCTCTTCTGCCCCTTTTCCCTTTTCCCTTTCTCTCTGTGCTTTGACCCTAATACCGCTTCTAGGGTTGTTTCAGCTCTTCAATCTTACCATTTATGGTAAAGCACATTTCCGAAGGCTCCCTACACAAGCGGGTTGCCCGAATCGGGATTTCTACACAAAATTGCAATCCCTAATGCTCCCACGAACAGTGAATAACTGTAGATCTGGGCCCACACAAACACATTGAGCTATACAAACATCCAAACCTGTTCGAGGCTTCGAGCACTTCCAAATATCAATCACATTTGCAAGCTTTGGACGTCAAATGGAACAAATTCACCTCCACTGTTCAAGTATTAATGAGCAAACTCGGACAATATCGAGTTTTGCCAGATAAATAAAATTTTTGAGTTATGGAGACTTAGCTGATGAAGACCTTTAAAGCTGTATGTGGCCACGTTATCCGTATATTTAGTGAAATCAGAAAATCGAATTATAGATAATTTAATTTCAATTTCTCAACTGCCAATCCAAAGTCTTGGAAATAAGTAGGCGCACTTACGGCATATCCGATCCCAAGCGCCCGGGGAAGCAAGCAGCCGATGGGGAAAAGAAAACAAAAATAAAAATAAAATAAATCCTTAGAAAAAAGTCTCCTTTCCCATTGAAAATGCCATCGGAGTGGATAGATCAAGTTTCTGGACGAACCCATGCCCGGGGAACTTCGTTAGCTTCCGGCGGAAAGTACGAAAATGCTTCTAGAATGTGAAGGTACTTTATTGTCTCATATTGCAATTTGGATCGCTTCAAGCAAACAACATATAAATTCAAATTAAATTAAAAAATGTTCTTTTCTGGAAATACCAGTTCAATATGCCCCATGTGGGATGCAGAGAATTAACGCGACGTCATTCGTTTCCGGTTCACACCTCTGCATTGCCATTATTGTCTTGAAATGAGGATGGTTATGCGTCTGAGTGTGTCAGTTTTACAAGTAATCTCAAACATTTTTCTCCAAAAATTAATAGGGTCATCTCTCACCGACGTAGATGTAGGGCTTCCGCATTCCCAGTCCAGACTCGGACGTATCGACAACACAAGCTCGGTGGCCCGTGCAAATTATGACATGGTCTGCTTGACACTTTTGAAAGTCAACAAAGGACTTTCTACCAAGACCTTTTTGATCAAAGACAAAGATACTTGGCCATACTTTTTGCACAGGTTCTTCAGGAAGGATCTCCACTTCTGCGAATATCCATACTTTGACTTGACGGAGATATTCAAGAAGCCAAAACATATTGGATTCGATTGTAGGCTTCAGGCCTCAGCAATGACGGCTAGTGGCTAATTGTTTGAAGATGAAAGGTTGATAGGCCATAGGATAGGAGGAAAGCTGTCTGGTATTTAAACCCTTCATCCAGGAGCCATCTGACCAGCTGCCAAATCTCCATGAGGATTAATCTCCCATAAAGAACGGTGACAGCATCACACCTGTGCGAAGAGCTGCATATGGGCACCTGTGACAGCGCATCTGTGGAGACATCATATGGGGGATGGCGGGCACCTGGGCACTCGGTGGCTTTTTTTTGCTTCTGTTCTGCTGTTCCTCCTGGGAACGACATCCGGAGTCTCGATCGTCTCCGATCATTCCAACCGAGCGAGCTTTCTCGTCCTGTGCGAATCTTGATTTGCGGCAAATGTGCGTATGAGGGATCCGGCATTGTTTGCTTCTAGGAAAAGCAAATGTACCAGTTGTTCTCCCAGTTGTCCCGACGAGTCATCCATGCACCCAGTAGTCTGGTACCCTGGGATCATTAAACCAACAAGGAATTAAATTGAAAAAAAAGAAATTGTATAGAGTAGGGTCAACTGGGATTTTATCACGGCCCCAGGGCTCTCATTGGTCCCAAACTCCCAGGTGCTCCTGCATCCGGGGAACTGAACCTCGATAGATCAGAGAGATCAGAAAGACCTTTTAGGCTCCAATCGCCCAACAGGGATTCAGGGTACCGCTGGAACGGGACGGCAAGGCAACAAACAGCTTCTAAATCTCCAAACAAGGGTGTCGGTGCTCATACATCAAAACTTGATACATCGACAATGTCATTCCCTGGCAGATATGGGTATTGCAGGACTAGCTGCATGTTCACCTGTCGATGCATTATCTTGGCTGCCGATCCGGAAACTTGAAGGACAAAGTCCGAATCCTCCGGAACTATCATCTCTTCCGATTCGTGCGGCATATGGGGCCACCGGAGTCGATCATGCGTAGAACGTACTTTTAAACAAAAGCGTTGATGCAGTAGGTGTCAATCTCTGGCTCGTTGTGGCGGATCAAAGATGAGATGCAGAATGCAGAAGACACGGTCCAACGTTCAAATTTTTAGAACGGATCGCATTTTCTGAAGGACCGGTTTTCGATATGTACGTTCTTTTGTATTCCTTCCCATGGCTCCGGAACTTGTGGGTTCTGGCCCGAAATGGGGCGGCCCGCCTCCATAGTGTGGTAGATCGATCAAGATGGAGACAAATTTGTTCTGTACATTTTGCTTCTTTGGAGGGTCCCGGGTGGAGGTGTAATTTTCGACTTCACTATTCCAAATCGTCAGTCCTGTGTAGCCTGAGAAGCTAACAGAATAAGCCCAAACCTGACAATTAGAGACGAGAACTTCCAGGTTGAAGATAAGGAAGGCATCGGAAAGTGGGGCTTGGATGACTTAAATTTAGACTACGTTTAGTCACTACATACTTACTACATATACATAGTAAAAAGTTACAAGAAAAAAAGAGAAAAGAGAAAAGAGAAAAGAAAAGAAAAAAAAAGAAATCCAGGAACAGGAATCGAACCCAGGACCTTCAAAATCAGAAATGCGTGAATAGCCTCAACAGCTCTCACTTGATACATCCATCCTCAACACATAATCCCTTCTATCTCCGTCAATTATTTTATTTTGAAGATCTGAGATCTGCAATAGAAAGAGAACAGCTAGAAGTATAATAGATAAAAAAAATCAAAATTTAAAAAAAAAAAATTGTCCCTGACCGTAGCCAGAAATCCCACCCACTCGCTAGTATTATCTCTGGCACCGAAAAGCGGCCCGGCCCACCTCGATTTCAATATCTTTGTCCCCGGTTGGGTCGCAGGCCGCTGACCACTAGGCCAGCAGAGCAGAATCCATACCTGGGGAGCTTTTTACTCAAATATATGGGAGCTCTGGTTCCTTGAATGGTCGACTCTCTACTCTGCACTATTTACTATAATCCTTATATTTAGATATTACTACCTACTACAGTAATATTAATCCTCGCTGTACTCTGGAGTAAAAGTGGTAGCCCACACTCCACGCGGTGCACATGTGCCTTTTGACAAATAACCAACTGGTGGGCAACCATCCTGAGTGAAAAAAGAGATCTATCTATCTATACTATACGCATCATTCATTCCCCCAAGGCAGTTCAGAAGGCTAAGATGGAGCTATGAATACTAGATTGGTGATCTGATTATTGAAATAAGAATCTATCTAACCTCAAGCCAAATCCACCATAAAAAGATAAGATCCACCGAAAGATAACATGTACTGGCCATGGGTTTGCCATTCAACCTTGGAATTTGTTCTTCGGACACCGAAACGCCGTCTCCAATTTCCGGCAAATTAGAAATGCAATGGGAACTTGAACAGAACAGAAAATAAATTTCATAACATAACGATAGTAATACCCGCTAAACGCGCCTCGATGGATGGACAGTTGGAACCGTAAAACAGTTCATCCTAGGATTATTGTTGCGGAGGGTTAGGTGGCTGGGGAGGTCCAGGAGCAACGTCGGACACTCGGGGACGTTTGGGGTCATTTTGGCCCATGGCCGTAGGAACAGGGTTCGCACCAGGCGATGTGGTGGCATTCGTGACATCGTTTAGTGGAGGACGTTTCCCATTGAGATTGTTTTGCGGAGGGACACTTCCTCTGTTCATGGCAGGAGGGTTAGGTGCGTTCCCGATATTTGGTCGGGTCAATGGCCGGTATGAGGATGTTGATGGACCTCGAGACAATGGGCTACCAACTCCACCACCAGGTGTGCCTGGAGCACCGACACGCCGTTGAAGGTCTGTTGCAGGATTGACATAATCACGTGAATTGTTTGGGGCTGGAGAGGGAGCCGAGAGCATCGGTCTGGAAATGGGAACGCTCTTTGTGTGGTCGACACCTGCTGTCTTGCGAATAGACGGACTTTCGGCGTGCGGGTCAAATTGACTGCCTGGTGTTGGCACAGCGTTCGGGTTGTCACGTAGTGAGTCGGCTGCTCTTGCGGAGAAAAATCCAACGGATTGGGACCCAGCAGGTGGCTGATTATGATCATTATTAAATCCAGGAGCGTCTTCCCACTTGACGTAGGGCGGGGCGGTAGTATTTTGCATGTTGGTATCAGCAGGAGGGCGTGCTTGAGGAGGTGCTCCAGGCCTAGTGTTTGGCATATTATTGACTTGGCCGGGGCCAGGCATCGGGCGCCTCGAATCTGGCACTGCGCCTGGGTTGGGATGTAGGTTCGGTGGTAATGATTGTCTCGCAGCAGCTTGGTTTCCTGCGTTCCATCTCTCTGGTTTTGAAGGAGTCACGGCACTTGGATCGAACCGCCCTGTAGGCGGTCCTCGTGGGGAATGGGACGGTTCATAGGTGTTGGTGGTTGCTGGCGTCTAGGTTCTGGCTCAATGCTTATTTCGTCTGGATTTCCGCCAGCAGCAGACACTACAAAGTCGGCTTCGTCAAAGACATCACCTAGAAGTCAGGTCAGCTCAAAATTCAAGAATGGACACTGATCTTGGCATACTTCCGAACTCGCCATCCCCCTCGAAGTTAGCGTTGATTTCAGGATTGCTGCTTTTTGTAGGCTCGGCAGGGCGCCGTGGCGGCAGATCATCATCCTCTGTGATCGGTTTCGGAGGAGGGGCCTCCTTCTTGACAGGGGCATAGTCACGATGGCGGTGGAGTTCATCGACATCCCATTTACCCTAGCTAATCATCAGCGCCTTATGCTAGCATATCAATACCAATGGACATACTTACCGGTGCAGGTTTCACCTTGATAACCTTGGCAAGATAGTCCTTATCATAAACACAGTTGCCAAGGACGTTGCCAAAAGTTCTCAATGACCGCTTCAATGCATCAGTTGTACCCTCTTTCTTGGCCTTTTCAAATGCCGCCGCTTTGCCCTTGCAATTCTCGATATGACCGTAGCCAATGTCCTATAATAGTCAGAGACCTGGAGGAACCGAGGCGATTCAATGCATCCTTACTTCGTGAAAGCTGCCGTCTTTCAATGTGACTCGAACGATGACCGATAAGCCGAGGTTGATCTTGCCTGTGTTTTGGTTTTCCTCGATCTGAGTCATAAACGTTAGTTTGTTCTTTCACATGATTCTGAGATTCCCATACAAAGTCAATGTCAATTTTCTGGATCGAACTGGACCAGCCGTTGAATCCAAACACCTCATTGGCAAGACTAATGCACTTATCCGCGGAGAGATAGTGCACTTTCGCCCCACCAGCACCAGGTCGGGATGAAATAAATTCAGGTCCAAGTTTTTTGTCAAGGCGAGCCTGTAGCGTAGCAACCTGTTGAGCGGTGTATTCGTTCATTCTGCGTTGGGGCTCCTCGAAAGGGTTGGCCATCATGGCACCTGGGGCATTGGGCATCCCGATAGTGGCGGGTCCACCACGATGCTGGTCGCCGACACTGGGGAAAACGCGATCAGTTTCTGGGTCCATGGGAGATCGCTGGTTCGTCAAGTAGGTGATTCTCACGCTGGCATAATATGGTGATGTGTTGTGTTGTTGCTTGGGTGTGGATGATAAGCGTGTTGAGCGCGTCTTCACCACGCGGCGGCTCGCGAAGTCACGTGCCTTTCATGCCTGATAAAACTGGCCGTACAAATTATAGTGCTGGGGGGGTTTGATCTTATTTCTGAGTTCTCTGGACGTATGACATGTGCTGATCGCAACCATCGAAAGTTTGTATGCCGCCAGATATGTCGAAGTATTTGACACACATTGTACTTTTAGGTGCTAATTTAGATTGTTGTTTATACGTGGGGCGTGTTTGCCCCACTAGACGAGGGACAACAGGAACCCTACTGGCAAGCCATACTAGAACTAGTACTAAACAGGTGTACGTGGGCAGGAATTCCAATACTAGAAGACTGTGGTTTGAATTCAAGAAGATATTGGAGCGAGTTAATAATAAAGTAATCGCTTGCTCATCTTCACCATGATTTGTGTCATTTCAAGAGTCGTGTCATCCTATCCTTTGTAAAGCCATTTGTGCCCAGGGTCCTCAGTGGGGTTGAGTAACTAAATCACTGAACAATCAAACTAGCACTTGGTGTCAGACCCAGTTCCTTCAACGTCTCGCCAAAGAACTCAGCATTGAAAACCTTCCTTGGGAAGTTCTGGGAGAAGCTCTGAACATCGATGCCATCTTCCGATTTCAGGGCTGCGGCAACCTCAAACAGAGTGGTCTCTACAGGAAGGGTCTTCATGATGTTGCCTTTGGACGTCTGGAATCGGAGACGAGATTCGGTGTAGGCAGATGCAGGCTTTGATGCAACTGGTCCGGATGTTGTGGCCACAGGAGCAGCAGCAGCTTGAGGAGGGGCCACACCGGCACGCTCTGCACGCTCGCGTTCTGTCCTCAGACGGCGCTCTTCCTTGTCAGCCTCAATCTTAGCTCTGATGCGCTTCTTAGCATCGATCTCGTCCTGCTTCTCTTTCTTCTTGGCAGCCGCCTCCTTCGCCATCTGTTTCCGCTCCAGCTCCTCCTTCGCAGTCTGGTTGTCCTTGTTGCTCTTTCTTCGGATTTCCTGAGAGATTTGATTAGCCAGGTGTATATTATACGAGCCTAGTGTCTTCGCATACTTCGTTTCTCTTCTGGTCCACCTTATCCTGCTCAGACTGTACCGACCGTTTCGCTGCCAAACGCTCCCTCAACTCAGTCAGTCGCTGCTGCTTCTGTTCCTCGGTCAATGGAGCGATCTCCTCGGTGGACTCAGAAAAGTCGACATGCTGTGTTTTGGACGCGTGGTATTCGGCTTGGGCGTGGCTGCGGAACTTCTTGCCACAATCGTTGCAGACCAAGCTACGGGCCTCCTCGCCTGGCTGTAAGGCGGGGCCCTCGTCGTCTTCTGCTTCTTGGGTCTGTGCCTCTTTGATTTCCTCGAGTGACTTGTCCTGGTTGTCTTCAAGCCATTCCAGAGCTCCCTGTACTGTTCACTTGATTAGATAGGCCAATGGAGTAGGGATGGGATGAAGATAGCTTACAGCCGCCAGCCTTGGAGACAGCCAGCTCCGCACGCTCTTTATCGAAGCCCATCTCGATGAGCTGATCAAGATCTGACGCCATGGTGTGAGTGTGATATGGCAAGATAATTTTCCTATAGAGGTAATTTGTGGTTTGAGCCAGCTCAGGAAAGAGGAGTGGGGAAGAAATAGGAACAGGCAATCGGTGAAGGTGAAGGTGGAAACAGAGAAGCTTGCGGGTGACGTATCGTGAAGGCGGCGAGCGATAAGCGCGGGTCCAGTTGGTGATCAACAACTTCAATGTTGATATTCGGTCATTGGCAAACAATTGATGTGTTACATATGGTAGGGAGTCAAGTTGACCTAATTCCTAATATACGAAGTCAAACAATAGCAATGTTTGTTCTCCAAAAAAAGAAAGTAAAAAAAAACAATAATATTGGAGATCAAGACAATTCATCACATTCCCCACACGCCTGAACATTGTCATAATGTCGAGGAATGGTATCATCATGAAGTGTGGTAGAAATAATTCTTATGATATGGCGATGTACCAAATCATATGGATGGCCGCTGTAACCACACATCCTTTGAAGGATTAACATCATTGCATCGACAGGGCCGATCATCAATTGCTTCTGTGGATGCCCCAGGCACATGTCATAGATCTGCCGAGGCGTAAATCGGGCTGATCTGACATACATATAAATTGCTTGTTTAAGAGATATTTGCGTATATTTGAGACTATGTGAGACATATACATCGAGTATTCATAAGTACCTGATCTACCTGCCATGATAGTAACTCCATATGTAATAATTCCAGAGTGGATATCCGATCTAATAGTTCCGACTCTAAATGCACAATATCAACCCCACCACATCACATGCAGCTGACTTCCCACAAATCCGAGGATTCAACCGAAATAGGACACAGCCAAAATCTAGGACAATCCATCAATTACAGCAAGTTCACTTGCTGTTCACTGGTACTGTCTCCCATATCATTAAACTCGGTCTAGACGTCAGGGCCATCACCTGACTGCTGACTCAGCCATATCCCCGAATGAGACAATAGTCAACTCCTGAAGGCACTCGACTCCCTTGACTTGATAACCTCGACCTAATTCCGTCGCAAGCGCACTCTCTTCCTGATAGTCACAGCTACTGTCATTTGAAACCCCAATACCAAATCTGCGCTTTTCGCCCTACCGTCACCATGTCTGTTGAAATCGATCCCCAGGAGCTTTCCTTCCAACGTGAGTTCCTCGGCCCCAATCAGATCCATAGATTCGAGAACGCCGAGGACTGATAAGAATATTTATTGTCTCGGCAAATAGGTCCGTTCAACCAGGAAGTATGCCAGGTTCTGCACTTGCATAACTACAATGAGGAGCCGCTTGTGTTCAAGGTACGCGCGCATTTGTTTTCCCTGTTCCCCTCGGGCATTTGTCAGGCATGGATTGGACTAATATACCTTCTTTATGTGCACTAGGTCAAAACCACCGCTCCAAAACAGTATGTACCTCGATTATACAGCTGTGACGCTCATTTGTTTCGCATGCTGGTCGTTCTATCTAACAAATCGCATAGCTACTGCGTTCGCCCTAATTCCGGCCGCATTGAGCCCGGCAAAGGAGCTGATGTCCAAGGTTCGAAACATTCCTGCGATCTCGACCTAAAATACAATAAGCTGATTCAGTCATTATAGTCCTGTTGCAAGCTATGAAGGAGGAGCCTGCCCCCGATGCGAAGTGTAAAGACAAGTTCTTGGTTCAGTCTGTCGCAGTTACCAAAGATATGGAGTTCGCCAATGTCACATCCATTGTTCGTGGAACATATTCTTCAAAGATGCACTCTCCAGTTTTACTGACATATCGGTATAGTTTGAAAAGTCCTCAAAGTCCTCAGTTGTGGAGCGCAAGATCCGTGTGACTTGGTTGGCCCCGATCACAGAGCCCAAAGAGCAGTCGGTATGTTTATATGGTAATTTTCACGCTTTGCGCATAAACTAAACATGTTCCATTAGCACTTGGACGATGAGCCTCCCGCTTATCCCTCCCCGAACGCAACCTACGAGACACCCGCTCCCAGAAAGACCACTGCCGAACAAGGATCTCCTATTCCTCCCCCCGACTTCTCCGAGAAGCTCAAAAGCGAATCATCCCCGCCTCCTAATGAGCCCAGCAGCTTCACCAGCGCCAAGGCTGCCGTTATCAACGCACTTCCCTCAAGCGACGATCTGAAGGCCCAGCTTTCAGATGCAAACGCACAGATTCAACGACTGAAGGACCGATTGGCGGACCAGGGCTTGCGGCAGCGGAAGACAGGCGGCGAAGCAAAGGCCGCCCCAGCAACAATGCAACAAACACACACACAGGGCGAGACCGGTGTGCCTCTTCAAATTGTGGCTGGTCTTTGTTTGCTCAGCTTCTTGATTGCCTACTTCTTCTTTTAGCCTTGCTATCGTCGTGTTAATGTCTCCAATCACGACTCGACGCCCCGATTTCTGAGTTTCTCTTTACACTCCCACCCACTTTTCGCTTTTCTTTTCTTTTTCAGTTTCGTGAGGGTCTCTTGAAGAGCCCATATTGACTAGCATCAGCCTTTTCCTTGTCTCTTTTCTTTTCCCCGGTATTCATATTTCCTTATCTCCACCCCTCGTTCGGATCTGGTAATGGATAGATTCCAGATTATCCCAATGCCGTGGTTCGGATTTCACTCTATTCTCTCTTTTTCGCTTTTCCTATCTTTCCTGTCTTGTCTAATATCACGTTATGATGAACGGACTGAGCGTCTCGATTCTCCTTTCTCTTGTCTGATAAACGATGGTCGAAGCGCTGCGAGATAAACCAATGAATGTTGCTACTTGTATCAGTCTCTATGAACTTCAAGTTTTCAGTAGAGATATTCAGAGCTTATCTGCTAAGTGATTCTCATAAATTTACTTGTAAAGATTTGGTCTCAACGGATTTACTCAGGCTCCTGTTTTGAATATGAACTGTTCACGGTTGGCAAGAAATCTGATATGCATGATCTAGTAAATATTTCATATAATTTCTAAAAATAGTCATTTTTAAGCACCAATGACATACTCCATATATACTCCACAGTAATCAAAACCATTCATCCCATAAAGCATATAAAAGTCAACACATGTAAAACAAGATTATAAACTAACACTGGATCTCACTTTCCTTCCATCCATCACCCGCCTCACCGTCCGGACCAGCCGACGCCGCTGAGATGCCCTCACCACCACGTCCTGTACCCTTCTTCCCGGAACCACCACCACCAACAACCCGGCCACCTTGTGCACGCTTCACACGGCACCAGGGACCAACATTCTTATCCAGAATAAAAGTCCAGATCACCCAGACCCAGCTGCGGTGACAGGGTAAGGGCTCATAGAACTCCGCCGCAATCTTATGTAACTCGTGCAGCTTAGTCCAGGGGATAGCAGGGAAATCATGGTGCTCGTTATGCAGACCGACATTGTAAGTCAGGATATTGAGAGGGCCATAGTAGGAGTATGTCTCTGGTGGAGCGAGGTCGTTAAGTGGGTGAGAGGCCGGAGTCTTGGAAGCGGGCTTGGTCTTTAGATCAGCCAATGACTCGGTACCACCTGTCTTGACTTGGGAAAAGAAGTAGTGCTCTGCGATGAAGTGACCGGCACATGGGTGCAGGGAACCTGCCAGGAAAGAGGAGGCGATAAAGTAGTAGATTGGTGTGAAAGAGCCGGCGAAGCGGGCGAGGAAGTAGTCGAAGCTCAGTTGGACGATGAGATTAAGGACGTGGATTGAGGTGAAGGGGGGACTGTAGATGAACATTGGGCGGACGGCGTAGAACAGGATCTGGAAGGTACAGAAGAATGTCTTGCCTAGGACCGAGTTGAGGAAGAATGCTTCCAGTGCGGTTGGGAGATCGGTGTCCAGGCCTGTTACACCGAGAGACTTGTGGTGTGTCAGGTGGTATGGCTGGGTTAATTGATGTGTTAGCATTCAATTGGATTTCTTGGAAATGTAGTTTCATGTGGTGATTATTGTTTGGTACGTACCCTGAAGGCAGCACTGTACGGCAATCCGATAGGGAGGTTCGCGAAGATAGCCAACAGACGGTTGGCCATCGGTGAACGGAATGCCAGGTTGTGACTGATCTCATGAATGGCGAGGAACAGGTTCTGATTTGAGGTGGCTCCGATCACGTAGGCTGTGACCAGAAACTTCCAGTCAAGGATGGGAGTATTGCGGAGGAGGTAGGCGCAGGTGAGTTGGAGAGACACAACACCGAAAACAACATATTTAGTCAGGGGCTCTGGGCCGCAGAGCTTGGTAACCTATATAACGATGAGGTTAGCAACTCAATTCTAAGATTTGTGCTGTGCCCTGGCAGTGACCAAGGAAATGTGGCTTCTACCATGGCCCGGTCTCCGGGATCCAGGAACTGGCCATAGGGCTCGAAAATCATAAACTGCAGATCCATACCTCTGGATGGGCTTTAATAATTGCCTGCCGTCTTGATCTGTGTGGTTCTTCGGTGTACGTCCAGAAGAACTTGTCCTCAACTGCGGAGGACTCTGGCGGTGGGATTCTTGCGGAGGTAGGTTCGGAGGTGGATGTTGACGATTTCGCCGCGGACACCCTCAGGTGAGGCGATTTAGTTTCAATGACTGACATTGTGAGAGGTTTATCAGTCAAGAAGAGTCAACATGAAGAATGAAGTGAAGTTAGAGCGCGGAGTAAGAAAGTGAAAGTGGCTCCAAGTCGTTTTCACGTGGGGCGACACGGGAGACGTAAATGGTCTGATTAATGAGGTGGCTTGGCAGGATCTACATTGCAGCGAACAGTCCACAGAATAGTCCGAGTTACTAAGTACGAAAAAGAGGTTGATATACTTGGTATATTTAGATGTTCAGGTTCGTTTCAGTTTAATCAAGCGCTTAGATCATGTCTTATAGCAACCATGGAACTTAGTAGTCGTCGCCACGACTAATAACCTCCTTAACATTGGGGCGGAGCACGATAGTCTATAAAATGGTTAGGAGACTCGACACCTTAAATGGCATGATATGCATCAAAGAACTTACATGTTCATATTGAGCTGTATAAGAACCCTTGATATCGACAAGGGGAGGGTAATCCTGGACAACCCCAGAAGAGACGAGGTTGTTCAACTATACCGAGGTTAGCTATTATGCTGTATTATTCGTCGGACATTCATATACATACGCCAAGGAGATATTTATCTTGACCCAATCGGTCCAAGTAACGACGACAGAAAGGCAGAGTACCAAAGTTCTTTTTGATGACGCCAAGAAGGTTCTTAGCGGAGGTGAGGCGGAGAGGAACGTTGGGCGCGTCGTTGTTGAGAGCATAATGAGAGCATTCCATCTATTCACAGTCAGTGTCATTGATCGAGCACCTAAAAATTGCCGAGAACTAACATCTTCCTGAACATAGCCCTTTCCAGTACTGCCGAAGGTCTCGATGGCGAATACTTCACCCTCCTCCATCTTAGTCTGGTCGTTTCCCTTGACAATCGGCACACTCTTGCCACCGTGGATGATGTGCTGCTCAATGTTGTGTCCGTTCAAGTTACGAATACACTTGACCGGGTACATAGTGCCGTTGAGCTCAACCTCGTAGCTCTCCATGGCTTCTTGAATCGCAGCACCGATATCACTCATGCGGACATCAATTCCAGCTTCCTAGAGGATAATTAGTCTCGCCACGCCACAATTATGAGTTCTATGAAACTAACCCGGATACCAGTGTTGGTAGCATCTTTGACTGCTTCAAGTAGCGGGTCATAAACAGGATCGAATGTCATGGTGAAAGCACTGTCCACGATACGACCATTCAGCTGAGCACCGAAATCAACCTTCATAACATCACCCTGGTTGAGGACCATCTTGTTACCAGCATTTGGGGTGTAATGCGCGGCACAGTGGTTGATGCTCAGACCACAAGGGAAACCCATGCCACCCTTGAGATTATCACCCTCTGCGAGACCATCGTGGCCGGTCAAGGCGCGTACTGAGTTCTCAATACCCTCGGCGATTTCTGTCAGGGTCTGGCCGGGCTTGATGTTCTTCTGTGCGTATTGGCGAACTTGACGGTGAACTTCGGCACCTTGACGGTACTCTTGGAGGAAATCATTGTTCATGCGATCGAGGTAGCGCTTCTCTTCACTGGTGGTACGGTAGGCATTGTCGTTCAGGTATTCGACGATCTCGCCCTCGGGGTACTGGCCATTGGGGAAGAGGTTGGACACAGGCACCGTAGGTGGCGATGTCTGGACCTTGGCACCGCCCTTCTTCTTCTTCTTGGACTTGCGCTTCTTCTTTTTCTTGGCGGCTATAGTACAATTGTTAGTGCGCAGCCCATAATTTCAGCAGGAGACCTGCTAGAAATTCAGAAAGTGCCTGAATTTTCAATCTGCACTTACCACCAGCCTCGCCGGCATCAGGAGCACCTTCTCCATCCTCCTGGTCGTCATCAGAGTCGTCCGCTTCACCGGTCTGGTTGGCCGCGGGGGTCTCTGCTTGCTCGTTTTGACCATTCACTAGATTTTAGTCAGTGGACTGAACATGGTGATTAATAAAATGAGGTCATACGGTCAAGCTGCTTGAGCTTCTCTGTCTCCTGCGCAGCCATTGTGAAAGATGTTTTGCGGAGTATGTGGCGGAGGGGAGAAGAGGAGGGGAAGCCGATCCGGGATATCGGGGAAAGATTTTTTGCTGCGATAAGATAAGTTGTATAGTAAAGTGGCGCCACAACAGTTTACTATGGATTTATACTAACTGGTATAAATTGTTGGATTCGAATATATTATTTTTTGACTAGTTTGCTATTCAGTGTTTTCAAATTAGTTGAAATATTCAGTGGTGGATTAATTATTTCTTTGTGGTATAGTCTTCTCGGAAAATGGATCATTTAAGACATGAGACAGCCTTATACATCCATGGATGGATGTATTGATTAAAGCAACTTGAATGAGAGTCTCGTGCTACTGTATCTAGGTATTAGATGCCAATTCCATTCTTATGCCTTGGAAAAGTATCATAGTAGTCATTTATCGTGCTGCTCTAGCCACAAATTGGAACTCTCCAGTGAGCATTTTTAACTACGCATACTATGCAAAACATAATTCCTTATACTACTAACACAAAACATGAAGGATGAAGGAAAAAATCCATCTAAATATAATAAAGAACCTCTGAAACAGTGGTCACATCTATTTGAGCTTCTACAATATTGAAATTGAGTGCCCAGGTGGTAATATCAGTAGTCGGATTCAAGTTAGGGCTGCTACTGGTGGTGTATGCATTTTCTAGGCGGTCCAAATACTGAAAGACATCAGGACTCTACCTATGAGCATGGAGACCAGATATTCAAACATTGAAACTTGAATGTATGTCTCTTTAACTCTATTGATCACTCTTACAGTTTAAGCCAGGCTGATTTGCTCGAAGCCTATTTTGCTTTGATAATGTTTTGCCATATGAAACCACCTGGGTACCTATCAATCCCGAGTAGGCCGAGAAAATACTAGTAATTGATAATCATGTTATTATGGAGCAGCTGGGTGTTGTCAGTACTGATGTACTCTGGATTTTTTATTGTTGTGTCCCGAGGTCATGTTTCTTATTTTCCCTTGAGTGCAAGAGCCCTTGAGAGATCCATGTTATCATTATAATCAAGACGTTAGCCAAAATGAGACGGTCTCTTATTTCAAGGTTTAAAGAGCAGCACCTGAATGATACATGCTTAAGTATCAGATAATAAGTGGTCATTCATTCAGGTTCCAAGGGTTGACCAATGCCTCTCAAACTGCCCAGGTAAGATGCTCTCACATTTTAATGCCCCCAAATTGCCTAGCTCTCAAGCGATAGATATTGATATGGCCATAATGCGGTAGTTGGACAGCGATGACGACCTATTTTAAAGCATCGGCTCCAAGGGACTAATTGAGTTCCACAAAGTCAACCTATGCGATGAGTACCTGGAATTCAATTCAGTCAATCTCGACATACTAACTACAGAAGCCTTACTGGACACTTCAACTCTTCCGTCAAATAATGAGGCAAGAATGAAACAATTGCTAAAACGGCCCCAGGGATCTATGCAGGGGCGTTATCTAATCTGATCATCAGATGAGCGAGCAAGTTCAAGACCATATAAACACCACAAGGAGCTATGGCCTAGAAAATTGAAGGGAAAAAAAGTTTGAAGCATAGAAAACATCATGCAATAATTATTAGAGAAGGAAGATTGGAATGATCAATAATGTTAGCATCACTGGATGAATGAAGGTACACAACACTCAAGTAGCTCAAACCTGCCGACCTTATCTTAATGACGCCACTCGGCCCAAGCTCAATCTTCTTTTCTCTCCACACTTCTCCTCATTTTCACTCCTTTAAACCCCTCGTGCCTTTGCAGCCAGCGACTATCTTATTTTCTAAAAAGCCAATGCCTCCCCCTCGCGCATCTATTCCTCTCCTTCATCCACGATGTAAACCGAGTTGGGCTTCTCCCCTCCGAGTCCACAGTCGCACTCTTTCCACCCGCACAGTATGCACACGACCACAGCCACTAAACACTACCTCTCAACTCTTCAGAAACCGAGCATTCCTTCTCTATTTCTCTTTATCATGTCGAATGCACGCCCGTGAACCAAATTACTATGAGATCCTCGATCTCCAACCCACCGCAACAGCACCACAAATCAAAAAGTGCGCCAAAATCACCCATTCCTCCAAAACAGCTACCCATACTAATCCCAAGAAAGACAATATTACGCCCTCTGTCTAAGACACCACCCAGATCATAACCGCGAAGACCCCGAAGCCAATAAAAAATTCCTGCGTCTTACAACAGCCTACAATACCCTCCGCAACGCAAGCAAACGCGCAGCCTACGACCGTGAACACGGTTTCCACCACACCCTGACACATTCCCACGGACATCCAGTTGGAAGCCATAGCAGTCATACCGCAGCACATCAAGGAAGCTATGCAGGATCCAGACCAGCTAGTGGGTTGAGTAAACGGCGCGGGACGTTCCAGGGTCCCCCGCCTAGCTTTTATGCGCAGGGTGGGTATGGGAAGACGGGACGAACGGGATTTGAAGGGGCGTATACTGGACCTTCATCCGGGGAATCAAATACTGGAACAAGGAAGGAAGATGATCCAGAGGATCCGATGGGGTTTATTTATCGGAATCCGTTAGGTCATTTTAATGCGCGGGCGCATTTTCGGACGCAGAGTGCTGAGGATAGAAGGCGGAGTGAGAGGAGGAGGGCTGCTAGAGAAGCGGCGATGAAGGAAGATGATTTTTTGAGGACGCATGGCGGTGGTCATATTGATTTTACGATGTTGTTTAGTATTTTGGGCATTTTGCTCGGAGTTTGTTGTATAGGTGGGTTGGCGACTAACATGCCGAGGGATTCAACACCTTCTGGGGGTGTGGCGGGAGCTCTGGATGCGGCTGAGGCGGCGAGGAGGAGGAAAGAGAAGGAGAGGACTCCTCCAAGTTGAGATTGCATTCAGATGTTGTACAACATACTAGTATTTGTAGATAGATGCACAGCCTTATAGAAGTGTTATCATATGACGATTCAAACGTTTTACCTCGGCTATGGCTAGCCAGCTATAGCTTAAGACCATACAGAGTAATTTGATCTGATTTTACTGTACTACAGAAGACACTCGTCAAACAAAGGGAATTTAAATTTGATATACAACGTGTGAATAGCACTAAACTATGGCACACAGATTATCGTAGGGGAATCCAAGTAGATAAACCTCAGTCCATCATTCCATTCCAGGAGTGGAGTTTAGAGCATTGAACCAAGAATTACAAACTTATTCTTAGAGTATTGCTACTCCTTGAGTGGGGGGGTTATTGGTCATTTAAGCCTCGAAGGTGAAGCTGGCGCCAACCTTGTGGGCAGCCTGGTTCAGGTTCTGGGTATCGAAGGAAGCACCCAGGCCGAGGGTGACACCGGGGCGGAGCAGGACGTTGTAGGCCAGAGCGGCGACACCACGGTCGTTGATCTTGGCCTATAGGATGAAAGAAAGAAGGTTAGTTTTTTAGCTCAACCACATTATATCAGTAGGTAAGACGCACCTTAGCGAAGGAAGAGGGGTCCAGGCGGTACTTGCTGGCAACCTCAAGACCGACAGCGTTGCCGGAGTTGGAGTCCCAAGAAGCCTTGGCACCGGCCTCGACCTGAGCGTTAACGCGGTGGTAGTAGCTGGCGGAGAAGAGGGACAGGTTGTTGGTGGCAGTGATGGCAGCGGAGTACTGGGGAACGCTGTAACCGACGGCAGCGGAGTACTTGGTGATGGCAGCCTTGTTGACATCGTAACCACCCTCAGCGCCGACGAGGAAGCCCTCGTGGCCGAGAACAGCGTCAAGGTTGGCGGTGGGGCCGTTCAGCAGGTCGAAGAAAGCACGGGCGTGCAGGTTGGGCTGCTTGAAGTAGAGGTTGAGCTTAGCACCCTTGGACTGCTTAGCGGGCTGGTACTGGGTCAGGATCTCAGCCTTGAGGCCCTTGGCGATGTTGTTGTCCAGCTCAAGCTTGGTGTCGAGAGCGTTGGCGGTGGTCCAAGCCTGGGTGAGGGTAAGGCCTGCGCAGGGACGAAGCATTAGCTTGAATGTATGCTTGGCAGTATTTGTCAAATAAAAGAAAATCACCCGGGGTGATGCGAGGTGGCCCGATGAAGCTATCCAAAACTGCATGGGCCGATCCTCGCTCACGCCGGGATCGGGTGGTTTGCGCTGGGTGGGGTATTTACCAGTGGGCGCATCGACGTACTTGGCCTCAAGCTATATTTTCAATTCAAATTAGTGATCTGAGTTGATTCGTCCCCGGATTGGGGTCTCCGCGGTCAAGCGGAGGTTATAGGAGTGCCGGAAAAAACTCACCTGGCCAGCGATGGAACCCTCGTGGGCAGACTTGCCCTTAACGGTGAAAGTAACACCGTTGGGGGCCTTGGACTTAACCTCAAGGTTGGCTAGAAGCTGGTTAGCAATGATAATTCCTTTTATTTTCAGAAGAATGGCCAAAACATACCCGGGCTGGCGTGGTAGAAGTCCTTGTTCAGGAGCTATTCAAGGTTCCATCAGCTATCATCCTTTCCGGAAAAAGGTATATTTTTTCAAAGCTGAAGAGCTTCATACATCGTTGGTCGCCTTGGCGATGTCGGAGAAAGCGGCAGGAGCAGACATGGTGAATTATGTGACGAGAGAAAGAGTACTCGGGATGTGGAAGAAGGAAGAAGGAGGTTCGGGCGGGTTGTGATGTGTTGGGGAGAAGGGGGAACCCACGGGTCATAGGGCAATCCCGTGATTGATTGGTTGGTGCTCGGTTGCCGGGCAAATCCGCCGGTTAAAGGAGATTATATAATCCGATTTGCCGGAGACCAGTTGAGTGATTCTATAGTGAGTGGTACATATAGTGGGTATTAGACTACAGATTATTGAAGTAAGACGAAATGCAATAATGCAATATTTATAGGGGTTCCAAATGTTATCCAATTCTATATAGATTCATCAATTAGAAATCCTGGTAAATCCACACTTTTGATCTAAACGGGAAAATAGTTTAAGCATCAACGTTCTTATACTTGTCGTTGTGTGTGGCAATGGCTCTATTAATTCGGGTTAGTATTTCTCCTTAATCACATCATTTCCCCCCCATGTTTATGCACTTACCTGCCACTAGGGTCGCTCTGCTTGGACCAAGTTGGGGTCCACCGCTCAACGGTGCCAGCACAGTAAGGTGGGAAGAGCTCATCGAACATTGTGCGGTACCAGTAACTATAGAAAAAAATAGTTAGTAAATAAGTCAATGGAGTAGATTATTTTTCCGTAAATCGGAGAACACGCGGGGTAGATTGAAGGAACGTACGCCTCCTTAGTGTCGGGAATGTCGGTACCCCACTCAGGCTTGGGGTTCTTCATCATTTCATCGGTAACCTGCAGCTCGGCAGTGTCCTTCAGGCCATCAATCCATCCGTATCCAACACCGTCAGAGAACTGCTCCTTCTGGCGCCAGAGAATCTTGTCGGGCAAGTAGGTAGCAACATCAGGCTCGTCAGTGGTGTCAAAGGCCTTGCGGAGCATGTACTTCTCAATACGGCCCTCGGTAATCATTTTATCCTTGGGGTCAAAACCCATGCAGGTCTCCAGGAACTCCTTGTCCAAGAAAGGCACACGTGCCTCAAGACCCCAGGCAGAGGTAGACTTGTTAGCACGCAGGCAGTCAGCCAGGTGCAGGTTCTTGACACGGCGAACGGTCTCCTTGTGAAACTCCTCGCGGTCAGGAGCAGCGTGGAAGTACAGGTATCCACCGAAGATCTCGTCACTACCCTCACCACTGAGAACCATCTTGACACCCATAGCCTTGATCTTACGAGAAAGCAGGTACATGGGAGTAGAGGCACGGATAGTGGTTACATCGTATGTCTCCAGGTGGTAGATAACGTCAGAGAGGGCATCAAGACCATCCTGAATGGTGAAAGTGAAAGCGTGGTGCTTGGTACCCAGGAACTTGGCAACTTCCAGAGCAGCCGCAGTATCGGGAGCACCAGGCAGACCGATAGAGAAGGAGTGCAGCTGCTGGAAGGTAGTGACAGTGGACAAGTCGTTCTCATCATCAATGCCAACCAGCTCAGAGGCCTCAGCCTTGGACTTGGCAGCAGCAATAGCAGCTTCCTGCATACGCAGAGTCTCGCGCTGAGCAATGGAGGCGACCAGACTGGAGTCAAGACCACCAGAAAGCAGAACACCGTAAGGAACCTCAGCCATCAGACGCTTGCGAACAGACTTCTCCAAAGTGTGACGGATGGCCTTGTAGTCGACGGGGGTGGAGGGGACGTTGGTGGGATCCCACCACTTGGGAACGAAGTAGCGGGACATGGTATCGGTCTTGGAGTCGTAAACGTGACCGGGAGGGAAAGCGATGATGTTGTCGCAAACCGGGTGCAGAGACTTAAGCTCGGAGGCGAAGAAAACGGCACCGGGGGTAGTGGAAGAGCGGCCGAGGTAGAAGCTGGTGATACCAATGGGGTCACGGGCAGCAACAACACGGTCTTGCTTCTTGTCCCAGAGAACCCAGGAGAACATACCGTCCAGGTGCTTGGGGGCATCAAGGCCGTGCTCCATGTACTAAACGCAGGTCATTTAGCAAGATTGATATGCGCGCAAAGATCCCGTTTCCCACATACCAATGGAATGATGACCTCACAATCTGAGTGAGTCTTGAAGTTGTACTTGGTCTTCAAAGCTTTGCGCAGGATGCGGTGGTTGTAAATCTCACCGTTGACGGCTAGGGCGAGGGTCTCATCATCGTTGACGAGAGGCTGGGCACCGGAGTCTGGGAGTACTATGAGCACGAGTTCGAGGGCAATGATTGGGCTTTAGTAAGTTTGCGACATACCAACACCGACGATGCTCAGACGCTCGTGAGCAAGGACTAAAAGACATTGCAGTTAGAATCGATACCAAAATCATAAATCCCTGGGAAGCAATTGACTCACTAGTGCTCTCGGCGCAGAAGTTTCCACCTGTGAAAGAAGATCCAAGTCAATAACCCATCCTCCATTCCATGTTATTTTCGAGTTATAGTTCCCGGTGACTCACTCCAATCGGGACCACGGTGACGCACACTATGAAGGGATATAACATTAGCAAGGATTCTTTCTATGAAGTGTTTAGGGCAAAGGAGGAAAGAAACACTTACGCCTTGGCCATGCGCAAAGCCGTGGGCTTAAATTGTTGCACATCGGGGTGGCTATTCAGAAAATCAGTATTGATTCAGCCCACACTCCACCATGCCGCCATCTCCGAGGAAGATATGGTGGGGGGTATGAAAATGGGATAAGTAGGGTTATGGGTCACGCACTGGTGGCACGCAAAGATTCCACACATGCTGGGCAGATGTCTTGTATGAGTGGAAGATCAATTGGAAGATCAAAGTGGAAAAGAGAAGGAGATTGACTAATCGCGGAGGTATGAGACCCGGGGGTGTCGCAGGCGATTTTTTTTTCGTGTCCCGCAAAGAGCCAAGAGGGGCGATGTCGGACAGTCTTTGAGTCACCGATAAGATAAATCCGTCCACTGATATCAGGGCTATTACTGGGCCACTGAGCTCTATAAAACTGGATCCTTGTAGAAATTGAGATGAACCAATTATTTATTGCTTCATTTCTCTTCTTCATTTGAAAGCAAAATCATGTTGTTGGTGACCTCAATTCCTTCTGTTAAGCATCTATGACTCAAGTGGAGCCCATCACCCCGCCGTGGATGCTTGAATCATGAATAATAAGTATGACTATAAGAATTGCGTGGACATCTGGAGGCAAACCCAATATGAGAGTCTTCAACTTCCTTCAGAAATCATTGTATAGATTCCTCTGCAAGTAGCCATAGACCTGCTCCTATTCTGTTTGTAATTACTAGTCATATATTCTACCTTCATTGTTCTGGTCAAAGATGAACCATGTGCTTACCTAATCCATCTGGCGGGGCGATGGCAATCGCATCAAAGTCAAGCTGCACGGCGCACTGTACAGTGTAAAACAGCTTCTCTTTCACCTTCTCAACATCCATTTATTCTCTTCCCTAATTCTCCTCAACTTTTAAATCTAGGATAATCCTTCTTCCTAGCTCTCACTTACCTCGACTTCCACAGTGTGTCAGAGCTATACATCTGTCTACCAAAATGTCTCTCTGCCTCAATCGCCTCCAGGAGGAACGGTATGCTACCACCACGGACGAGCTATTACAGCAATGATATCTAGGAAATTGCGCTAATCACTTTGGCTACTACCAGGAAGCAGTGGCGTCGTGATCACCCCTTTGGCTTCGTTGCGAAGCCCCATCGCACAACACAAGGAACGTTGGATTTGAAGCACTGGGAGTGCGCAGTTCCGGGCAAGAAAGAGACTCTCTGGGAGGGTGGAGTTTTTAAACTGGATGTTCTCTTTCCTGATGGTAAGTATTTTGCGCATTCCATAGGGATCCACGTGTTGGTACTGATCATTCCTCTCGCGCTTCCAGAATACCCTACCAAGCCGCCCAAGTGTACGTCTTGCCACTTGCCCAACCACCAGCAATGACTGCGATATTAATTTTACTTGTCTCGCGAGATCTCTCCCAACTGACTGATATTATTTACAGGCAAATTCACTCCTCCACTTTTCCACCCTAACGTCTATCCCTCGGGCACAGTTTGCCTTTCCATCTTGAATGAGGAAGAAGCCTGGCGCCCAGCTATTACGATTCGCCAAATTCTGCTCGGGATTCAGGATCTGCTGAATGAGCCCAACCCAGAGTCCCCCGCTCAGGCAGATGCATACAACTTATTCAAGAAGGACCGCGCTGCCTATGAACGACGAGTTCGTCAGGTAGTGAAGGAAAACCCTCCAATGTAATGGATGGCGGAGTGATAGATTATTACCCAGAATGCTTTTGCCTTATGAGTTTTCTATTTTTTGTTATGTTTTTTTAATGCGGAATCTAGCGAGGCGGAGGGGGACCCCGCGTGCATGACATTGTCTAAATGGGCAAAAGGGAGCATTTTTCGCTTTTCTCAGCGACTGATCACCAGCATGGCGTTATTATCAAATGGATGGCGTTTAAGATCAATTATCGGTTCAACTTGAAAGTTTTATTGTAAGAGAAGTAGTACGAATTAAACATTTAGAGCGCCTTTGATTGGGGAAATCCGGCTATACTAACTTTGGGACTATTTTCAAGGCTTGTCTCAGATGTCTTTATTCATCCCATGCTATAAAAAATATGGATACACACAAAGAGAAGCGGCCAATAGATCAAAGCCATTCCTTGTCTTTAATTGTATCGGGCAAAAGAGAACCAATGCCGCGTCTTTACTGTAGACCAAAATAACCTCATTCAATAGGTGATACACAGAAAGAAGCTTCAGAGTTGACAGCCCTCAAGTCTTTGACAACCCATTGTAACCTAGATGTGAGAATATTTAACTGAGAAGTTCCCGCTAGCTCCCTGGCTCTCTCAAAGTGCTAGAAGAGACCATGGTTGGGTTGTGCTAGTATGTTATAACCAGATTCCTATACATAAGAGCCCAGTCCACCGACGACGACATCATCAAACCTATACTTTTTGGGTCACCCGAAATCTGACTCCCTCTCTCATTCTACAAAGACTCACTAGTACACAGGAACCTCTTGCAATCAGGACCTCCACAAAAATCTGGAATCCAAGGTAAGGTGTCAACATGTGTCACTCTATTGTTTGGTATTATGCCCTATGCCAACACCTAGATGAAGCCCAATCACTCATAATTGCATGCGACAGGGCGACAACAACGGGTTACGACTGTCTCCCCACTGATCAGCCAACACTTTCTCTTCCCATCTCGGGAGCTTGCTACCCCTGCAAACACCAATATCGGAAGGAAGCATACATGATGCAGCCTGAGACTGCAAAGCCGAGCCCTGAGGTCGAGATTGAAGCTGCAGCTGGAACTGGAGCTGAGACTGAAGCTAGAGATGAGACCAATGCTGAAGTCCAAACTAGGAATGACAAACGAGACGTTGGAAATGAGGATTATGACGATACAATGCCCGAGCCCGACCCTATTCCCGGCTATCATACGCATCTCTATCCCCAGCTAGAGGGATATGTCAAGAAAAAGTCTAATTGGGAATCGCTGGAAGAGATTGAAGTTGAAGATGGGGATGAAGAGTCTGAGGAGCCGTGCAAGTCATCTTTCTTCTTGGATGATGAAGAGTCTCTTGTTTCTTCGCCAGTGTCGGAAAAGTGGTGTGGAAATGAGTTCGATGTCCCGGATTCACCTACCTTTGGATGCATTGCTGAGAAGTGGAGATCTACATCTCTGCCTTGTCCGACTATTCAGCGACAGTCAAGGATCCCAGTACCTGTGCCTGGTAATGAGGCGACAAAGCGTCACAATACTTGGAATACCTATGAGTTGGAATTATTCGACGAACTTACTTTCTGATCTCGTTTTTGAACTACTGCAGGTATTCGAAACTGGGGGTCTGGTATGGTTGGAGCTCAAAAGCTCCAATTCAGTTGCGACTGAATTCACCTCTAGGAAAGCATTGATGTACTTGCAGAACAAGCAATATCATTATCGTGTCTTATGAATAGTAATCATAAATGCATCAGTCCTCGTATATTCCATCTGCGAACTTCTCGCTATCAAAGAATCGTGCCGTGATGGCATTGCCACTGAAGATACGTCCTTCCAGGGCATTCACAGCCTAGTTATCCCGGTTAGTAAAGAAAAGTTTCGAACCCAATTAAGGATGTTGGACTTACCCGTAGAGCAGATAGGGGACTGGTGAACTTGACAAAAACAGGGACCGGAGGAGCCATATCACGAGCAATATAGACTCGTTCCACACTCCCATACTAGTGGCCATTAGTATATCAGTGTTTCAAGTATCTTGGGCACAAAACATACCTTCTCAGAGCACTCTTCTCCAATTTCCTGCATCAATCCTCCACTCTCCAGCTCAGATTGAAGATCCATACCATTCAGCATACCTCGTAGAATAATGACCTCACTCATAGGTCCAAATTTGCCCGTATCCTCATCCTTCCTTTTACCGCCAATTATTGTCCCCCGCCCAGCAGGTGTGACAAAACCACCTCCTTCAGCATCCGGCCGCTTCTTCCTCTTCTCAACTTTAACTTGTAAAGGCTTCGCAATACCTGAACCCGTAGCGCCGAGTCCAGTACCCTTGGTCCAGCCATATTTGGAGAGTAGACGTTCTGCAAAGCCTTTTTGACCTGGACGTAAAGAACGTGCCGCATTTTCATTTTCTGTGTTGCTCTCGTCCTCTGCGGGTTGTTCATTGGCAAAGACCTCTTCCAACTCTGCTTCGGATGCCGGGATATCTGCGGGAGCTGGTGGGAGGGTATAGCGGACAGGCGCACGGAAGATGGTAGCAGAGCTGGGTTGAAAGGCGTCCATCGGATTTGAAGGTGGCGGTGGAGGTGGAGGTGGAGCTTGGTTTGCTGTAGGTTGGCCGTATGGAGGCGCAGGGGGTCCCTCTGGCGGAGGAGGCGGTATTGATGTAGAATATTGAAGCATATCAACATCTTCATTCTCACGCTGGCTCATACGGGCGCGACGGCTGAAGGCATCTTCTCCAGATGCGTCATCAGGAACAGATGCGGTGGGTGCTGAATCGTTAAGATTCGGCGGTGGAGCGAAACTACTTGGGGGCGCAAATTGACCTTGATTATAGACCGTTAGTTTATGTATCTTTGAGGTCAATTCTAGAAAATGGAGTGTTGACATACGGTTCATAGGACGATCATAGTCGTCGCTATCAGAATCTACGCTTGGGGAGCGTCTCATCTTATGCGCATAGAGACGGTCTTTCCAGTCGCGAACTTCCAGGATCTTTTCGTCACTATGGCGATACTCCTCGTAGTTATTTGGACGTGACGGGTCATAAATATCGTCCCAATTTTGAGGAACAGCGTGCGGCTCGCGGTCCTTCTTGCGCTTCTTTCTCCCGCCGCGTTGCCGCTTCTCGCCCACGTAGTACCCAAAGTCATCATCCTCCGTTGCAGCCCAATCAGCTAGGGTGCTCTTGGCCGGAGCTGCGGCTAGAGATGAAGGTTGATTTGTAGTTGTCGGCGGCGCGGCCTTTGGTAAGACGGGTTTTGGTTTAGGTTTTTGAGTTGAAAGTTGCGGGCGCTTAGTAGGCTGGAATCGAAGGGAAGCTATGAGATTGGAGAGTAGGTGAGCTGACTTGGCCTCGGTTGGAATCATTCAAAGAATTTCACAAGTACCAGCATTGAGTTGCTGCTTCTTTGCAGCGGACTCGTCGAGTTGTGCGTCGTTCTCGGAGCTCTGCTTGAAGACGACAGGAGCACGGGAAATTGTGCCAGGTGTAGAATCAGTTGAAGAGTCGAGTAAATTCGCATAAAGCGAAATCATTCCGGCCTTTGCCGGGTTGGAATCTGAAGCCATGGTGGTGGTCGTTGCGGAGCTACAATGAGGTTCTCCAGGTCTCTGATAAGGGCGCGATTGCCTTTGGATCACCTAAGCAACACCAGACTTCACGGCTATAGTTCTGGTAGTAAATACTACAATATTCCAACATTGGAAATATTTTGGAGAATTAGTGAACCTGATAATAAACTCTTTGATTTGGGCCGAGCAAGTTCTGCAGTTAACTGACTAGTTTCCATAATTTTGACGGGGCTACTAGATTCTTCTATTTTTCGCTGGCATCCGGTATCTAGTACATTGTTGACTCGATATAACCTCATGCTCCTCGGAGGAATAGTAACCCTTAGGGTCATGCAAATAACCTTGGAAAGGAACCAGAATATTGAAAAAAAGAAAACGCAGTATGAAGTTGATTTTTGGTGCTCTTGAACTCTTGGAATTTTGAACAAATATCGATTTCTTAAATATATGGAGCTTGAAATATTGGCCTGTATTGTTCATGGATACCGTCAACTGGTGGATCGAAGGTTCAGGTTACTATATCGCTTACTCAGAAGCGAGAGTCGCAATGAATCCCAGCGTACATATGAATATAGGTATAAATATGTATGATCATGATCAGCTGAATAAACTCATGTAAATGAACCTTCAAATGTTCGAAGTCTGACGCATCATTCATTGGCTTTGATCACTGGTTCCAGCTCTTCCTCACTCCACCCAGCCTCTCGTAGAATCTTGCAAAGAATCGCAGTCTTCCCGCGCACATATTCGTCAATGTTTTCCAGTTCCTTCTCTGCCAGCTGACTCTTAACTTGCCCATACTCCTCACGCAGGCTCGGGTTTCCCAGCAACACTCTCCTGACATCAAGGTGGTTTCTCAAGGCCGTACATCCTTCGATGACAAGATAGGTGTGGTACCGGCACCGTACTTTGAGGTTCTCGCCCCCGCCGTACGCATCGTCAAATCTTCCATACCCAGGCTCTCGAAATGCGACCCGCCCAGATATACCCATCTCTCCACAGTCAGTGAAGCCCGCCTGTATGAGAGCATTTTTTCCGGATTCGAGCAAGGAGAGTGAGATGATGATATCAATGTCAATAACTGGTTTCGCCTGGAGTGAGGGAATAGATGTGCTCCCTATGTGCTCGATGGAAACAATAGGAACATCTTTCAGAATATCCTGTAGTTGTTCTTTGAGCTCGAGGAATCGCTTTGGCCAGTCAGGACTGTAAGGTTCGACGGAGACTTTCATGTTGATCAGGGACCTCCGAGTTAGGATATAGACTGAAATTTGCCAGTGAAAGAGAACTTCAAGTTCAAGTTGAGTCATTGCAAGGCATAGCGGGGCGTAATATGTCAGTAGCCTAGTGAACTTTGCTAACTACTAGTTGTACTAGTACGACATTAAGTCGGAGAACAGTTTTCTTGGATGCTAGGTTTTTCATTGATCTCTCTCTCTAGTAAGCGATCATATTTCATGGTTCATGTTGTGACACAAAAGGCATTTCATCGCATGATCCGCCAGTGCTGGCCCTCATCCAGTGCCTAGGATGCCTCGACTGGTTTCAACAAAAATTTGCATGCAAACGGAAGAGAAATTCAAGGCTAGTGAGGTAAAACATTTGAAGGAATTTCCGACGTCTATCCAAGGAAATTAGGACAAATCATATTTAATCGATTAGGCATGATAAGCTCGTTGTATACTACCTGGTAGTTGGCCGCGGGCAACCCCACGGCATTTGCCGTGGGGTAATAAGGCGAGATAACATTGATTTTCATTTTCACGCTTCGAATTTCAACACGACGCACATCTCCACAAGATGAATGGAGAATCAGAATTAAGAGGTCGACCTTATCGATCGCACCTTCATCCAGCCTGTTTTGCTTGCAAGAAGCGCAAATCCCGTTGCAAGACACGCAGCCATGCGGAGGGATGCATGATGTGTCAGGCCTATGGCACAGAATGTATATTTCCCCGCGCAGATAATGGTTATATACCGCGGAAATTGCCAGGCAATGCGTGCGGTCGAATCGCAAAAAACAAGAGCGTTCCTCGTACTCGTCCTGGTCCGACAACTCCACAACTCATTCCAGACCCCGCAGAGCGTGGTGACGATTTCATCGAGATAGATGACCCACAAACACAGGCTGGTGTTCTGCAGGACTTCTACCGTATTCCGACTGGCGTGAGTCGGAGGGAAGATCATCAGAATGAGAGAGCTGAGGGTCTGCCTCATCTTGCGGGCATTGTCCCAGAAGCCGAGGACGATAGTTCTCATATTGTCAGTCCTGCAATTGCAGATGATAATGATGTCCTAGAGAGCTACTTATCTGCCATTCCGGCTGCCCGGAGACATCTTTCAAGAATCGGACCATCATTGAAGCGATCTATCAGGCCTGTTCGATTTAATGTCGTGCCTAGAAGACCTCTGGGTGTCACTGTTAACCAGTCCCTTGCAGCCGCTAAATGCGAAGTGATAGAGAAGTACATTGACCCTGACATTGATGAGTACTTGAACTTGTGCGTATTATCTCAGTGCATGATGATAAGTACCATGGATATCTAATATTTCAATAATTACATAGATTTTTTCAGAAGGCTAATCCATGCTTTCCAATATTCGATGAGGCTTTGTTTAGAAGTACATACTCTTCTGAAAAGGGTCGAATGTCCCCTGCATTGCTTTGCAGCTTATATGCCAATTCTCTTGTCTATTGGAAAAGCTCTCCAAAACTGCGCTCAGGTCGTGCTCCTGATATTCGATTTCTCTGGAATCAGGCCAATGAAGCACTACACTCAGAACTTTTTCTTTCTCCTGGCATCTCCACTGTGATGTCTATTCTCTTAAATGTGTGCGGCAGACCAAGTACCTCCATGTTCGGCAATGGCGGGATGGTGGGAACTGCGGTTGCACTATCGAATGCCCTCGGTCTAAACCGAGACCCTTCGGGCTGGAGTATATCCCCTCTAGAGAGGAGTCTTCGAATCAGAATATGGTGGCTTGTTGTTGTTCATGACCGGTGGTGCAGCCTGGCATATGGAACGCCATTACAAGTTCATCGGTCACAATATGACGTGCCGTTACCCTCGGTAGCTGATCTGTGTCAAGCCTCTGCCTCCCCGTATGAGACAGAAGCGGCTTCGATATTTGTCGCATTCGTTAGCTTAACCGATGTGTTAGCTCGATACTTGGAATACGTTTATTGCGTATCAAAAGACTCTAATACATCAGAGCTATCCCCAACAGACCTTGAACATCTGATCAACGACTGGGAAGAATCCTTGGATGACGATATCCGTCTTCTTGTTCTTCGAGGAACGAATCTTGGAGGCCCCGGGGCTGCGAATCTTCGACTTGGCTATCTGGCGATCAAGTTGCTCCTTCGGCGGATACAATTGGATCTCAACAAACCCGCTACACAAAACGAGGATCGCGTTTCTCCATTTTATATGCAAGCCCAACGAGCAGCCGAGGATATTGCGCACATAATACAAGAACTGGATGAGCCCCAGCTTCGCGGATTCTGGATTCCCGTGCATGCATTCTCCATTAACTCGACTATGATGTTTCTTCTGCGAAGTGGTCTTCGTATGAGACATCTTAATCGAAATACGCCGCTTCGAACTGCAAGGGACATGATTAGTACGCTACAAGCTCACAGTCAGAACTTTGGTTGGGATCTGGCAGATAATTGTCTGGCTCATTGTAGTGATCTGGTCGAAATAATTGCCATGAACAACCCACAAGTCAATACTGACCAGAGTATATCAGAGTTTCCATATTTCTCTGATGACTTGGAGATAGATCTTTCTGGTTTAGATGATCTCTTTCTAGGGATAACTGGGTTTTCAGACGGATTCAACCTCTAGCTAGACTACCACGAATAAGAATGACTAGCCCAATTGAGGATTCATTGTAAAGATATGTGCTCTTGACATCCACATCTGAACTTATCAGACATCTGAAATTGTTATCAGTTGCACATGTGATTAATGTACCGGGAAAGCCCGCGGTCAAGTTGCACATGCAGTCTCCGCATTGACGTTTCGAACAGTTGAACAGAATCAATCATGCCAGGGCTATTTAAGATGGCCAACCGCTACTTTCAACTGCCTTCATTTCACACATTCCATTTCATATCAAAATTACAAAATGGGCTCCGTTGATACTGCCTCTGCCTTCTGGGCAAAGACCAACAAGTATCTTATGTCAACAGGTGTTCCATTCTCCCCAGTTATAATCACAAAAGCGCAAGGTACTCGTCTTTACGATGCTAGCGGTCGCTCAATCCTCGATTTCACCTCTGGCCAAATGAGCTCTTTGCTCGGTCACTCACACCCCGACATTGTCGAGACTGTCCAGCAATATGTCTCTCAACTTGATCATCTTCTCAGTAACATGATCACACACCCAGTCATTGATCTAGCAGAGCGCCTAGCGAAGATTGTGCCTGCACCACTCGAGAAATCCTTCTTCTTAAATACAGGATCCGAGTCCACCGAAGCAGCTATCAAAATGGCAAAGTTATATACTGGAAATTTCGAAATAGTCGCCTTCGCCGCTAGTTATCACGGATTGACTCAGGGCGCTGGCTCTGCTACATACTCTGCTGGTCGCAAACGAGGTGGCCCTGTCCTACCAGGCCAACTTGCCTTCCCTGCTCCGTACGTCTATCGCTCGCCTTTCCGCAAGGCGGATGGGTCGTATGATTGGGAGACTGAGATGGACTTTGGGTGGTCGATGATTGATAGGCAAAGCGTTGGTTCGCTTGCTGCATTTATTATGGAGCCTATATTATCAACTGGGGGAATCTTGGATCCACCAGAAGGATATATGAAACGGATGTTTGATGAGTGTAAGAAGCGCGGCATGCTTGTCATTATGGATGAGGCTCAGACTGGCGTAGGACGGACAGGTCAGATGTTCGCTTTCGAGAAAGACGGTGTCGTTCCTGATATTCTTGCTCTGTCTAAGACACTTGGCTGTGGTCTTCCCCTTGCATCTGTTACGACTACTGTTGAGATTGAGCGTGGGTGCACGGAGGCCGGCTTTCTTTGGCTCACTACCCACCTTAATGATCCCCTCACCGCGGCAGTTGGTAATAAGGTCCTTGAAATTGTGGAGCGGGAGAATGTCTGCAAGCGTGCCACTGAGCGCGGTGCACAGCTCCGGGAGGGCCTTATCAAGCTCCAAGAGAAGTATTGGTGTATTGGCGATGTCCGTGGTCGTGGACTTCTCCAGGGCATTGAGATTATCTCTGATGCTCAGACTCGTGCTCCTGGCTCTGAGCTTGGGCAGGCTGTCTCTGATCAAGCGATGGCTTGTGGGCTTTCCTGCAATATTGTGAATCTCCCAGGTATGGGCGGTGTTTTTCGTCTCGCGCCACCAGTGACGGTTACTGCCGATGAGATTGAGGAGGGTCTTCGTATCTTGGATGAGGCTTTCAACTATGTACTGAAGACCAAAGATCCATAGCTTTCCCGATGTATTTGCAGCAGAGATAGTAACAAATTCTCGAGTTCTTATCTAAAAAGATGTTCAATCTATCATCATAATCTATCTATAGACCAGATGTAATGTCCTCACGAATCCGATTCCAGCAGATCCGACAGTTTATCCAAGTATGCATGAGGGCGAACAGGACCTGAGACGAAGTCCTCCTTCGAGCTGACACCAGTCAGAACGCCAAGTGTACCACCAAGCTTACCCTCCAAGCCGAATCGAATATCTGTATTGGCACGGTCTCCAACCATGCAAGCCCGACTGCGATCGAAGTGGAACTTGCCCTCAATCGCATCCATCATTGCTTGGCTAGGCTTTCCTAAGGCTGTAGGCTCTTGTCCAAGCATCATGATCAACGGCGCACTCATAGATCCAGCACCAGGGAAAAGAGTTCCCGAGTTTGGCAGCGTTGAATCGATGTTAGTCGCCAGGAACACAGCTCCCCGCTTGACATAGTGAAAAGCCAATGCGTGCTTGAGGTAATTGATATGGAAATCCAATCCCACAAGAACGACACCAACTTCTGGATCAAGGAGGGACTCATCGCCCGCAGCAACTCGCTTGTAATCTTCCGGTGTGATGTCACGGCGGTAAGCGGGGTCTGTACCGCCGATGAAGGGGACATTCTCAGAGCGCAGCTCTTGTTCGATACCAGTCTCACCGATGACGAAGACTTTGCGCTTATTCTCGGGGAGCTGTAAAATGCGAGAAATGTAGATCGAGGAGCTGTATGATGAGGAAAAGATCTCTTCCTATGTGGGTGTGAGTCACTAATACTTCAAGCTCGGGGTATGACATCCAACTGACCACTGTGCTTGGAATTCCTAGACCTTCCAACTTCTTACAGTAATCTGCGCGAGACTTGGTGCTGTTGTTGGTCACAAATACCACTTGCTTGCCTATCCGCGGAGTCAACATCCTGTTTAAACCTCAGAACCGGACAATATGCGCACCATTCTTTCGTAGCAATTCCAGTGTCGCAACTGTTCCGGGGAACAAGTGGTCACCAGACCAGAGTACACCTGTATATCCAATTCTATCAGTTATTGTTGCGACGTCATCGGGGAGCCCGTGTGGATCGAGGCGCGGAGCGAAGACTGAGGTCGAGAACGGTAGACATACCATCGCAGTCGAATAGGAAGACCTAAGGTTCACAATGTGAGTCAATGACTCTATCTAATTGTCTGGTTTGAGGAGCAAACGAGGGACACTCACATCGAACTTAGCCAGGAACTCGCTGAGACCGGCCTTGTCGCCGGTCAGATAGCGGGGAACGTGAGTGTATTGGGGCTCTGCCATACTGGCTACTGATATAGCAAGGGAATATGAATTGCGCGGGTGTATAGAGGGTTAAATAACAAGAATGCAGAAGCAAAAAAGATGATCTGACTAAATTGAGCTGTACAACCCGATCAGAGTCGCCGGTGACTCGCCGATCGCGTGGGGCAAGTCAACCGTGGGGCTCCGATTATCTCCTTCCGCTAACACTCAACTATACTATGGACTATACGATGCCCTCAATATGGTAAGTCTCGGTTTTCTCTCCATCCTCAGAATAATCCTTCAAGTTCTCCGTGCCCATAAACTTCCGCTGTTCAATTTCTACTAAGCTAAGACTCTCTACTTGTAATATCTCCAGTCGTAATGCTACGTCGGCTTCTTCATCGAGTTCTTCCTTTGACATTTCAGGACTGTTCAAATAAGGGCCTTGATTTCCCAAAATCATGACTTGAGGTGACGTTATATAAATTCTAATATACATGAAGAACAAATCAATCATCCAGTTTCCATCGTTCGGTACGCCGTATATTTGTTCTTGATCAGATCCGATGCCCTTTCCGCCACCGCATATAGAGTACTTGTCAAATGGCCACAAAGTTGAGATGGGAAAACCGAGGCATCAATAACTCGAACATTCTGAGTTCCATAAACCTTCAACTCGGGGTTCACGACTCCTCCTTTCTCTCGAGGAAGCATGCTGGCCGTGCCAACAGGGTGATAATTTGACCGGTCTGTTCAAGTTGGGAGTCAGTAATCTTTATTCGGAAAATGAGAGATGAGGTGATGGTGTAGTTTCTTACAGGTTGACTTCACCCAATTCTTCCAATCAGTGTCTGATGCATTTGCAGGCAGGACATCCAGTCCTGGAGAAGTTTCATCTCCCACAAGGTCGCTTAGAGGTTGAGTGTTGAATATCTTGCGAATATATTTACCGACAGCAACTGCGGCATCGAGATCTTGCTCAAACATAAAGTAGTTCGGATTGATCGAGGGTGCTTGAGTTGGATCGCTGGACTGGATATGGATATTTCCTCTTGAGAAGGGGAGAAGAGGCCAGTATTCCGTTCCAAAGGTTCGGGCGATGGGTAAGAAAACGATCTCTGCGAGTGGAACTTGGGATTTGAAGATCAAGTCCCATTGAATTTGAAGCATATAGAGGACATTGGCAGCTTGGACAGCACCATTGGAGAATTTTTCCACTGCGTCTGCGTAGTCTGCGAGACTGGAATTTATGGAAGAGGCAATTTCGGATTCCTTGTCTCCATAAAGCTGATTTGCTGATGGTAGAGCAGAGAACGTTGCTTCACCTAGGAAATACTCTCGACCCTCCCAATGAAGGCCGTTATTCGTCTGATCTTGGAGGTTCTCGCCAACAGCAGTGTTGTTGACCTTGACAGGAATGTCATACTTTTTCAGGATATCCGGGTTTCCCACGCCTGACAGTTCCAGTATAACAGATGACTTGAGAGAACCAGCTGACAGGATAACCTCCTTTGAGGCAAGTATCGTCTCAGTTCCATTAGGGCCGGTGACCTCAACTCCAGCCGCAATGGCTTCGCTGTGGGAATCATTAGACCATATTATCTTGTTGACGTTTGTATTCGATATGATCTTCAGGTTTGGTCGATTTTCGAAAGGCCAGAAGTAGGCCCTCGCAGCATCTTCTCGAATATTCTTCTCCCTATCAACTGTATTGGGGTGAGATGTAAGACCGACCATTTCTCCGCCATTAACATCACGATTGAATGGGACGCTCAGTTGTCGCATCGTCTCGTCTAGCACAGGAAGCACGCTGTCATTCGTCATGTGGTATGGCCAACCAACCTTCAAAGGGCCAGTGAGGCCATGATAGGCCATGTAATAGTCAGCGCCAGCAGCAACTTGTTCCGGGGTCGGGATTTGGAAGTGCTCTGATTTCTTGTAGTATGGGAAGAGATTCTTCCAGTTCCAACCTTTACCAGCTAATTCCCACGCATCGATCTGCACATCTTGAGCTCGAGTATATGACATTCCTATTGAGGAAAAATGAGTATCTCATATGCATCAGGGTGTGTTAGGCACAACTTACCGTTTATCGTACTTGTACCACCAATCGCCTTCCCAGCTCTCATCGTTTGTTTGTTGCCATCTGCATATGTCTGGTTCTCCGTCTGATAAGCCCAGTCGATATCGGTTCCGAAAGCCAAGCCGTAGCCTAGAACTGTGGTAACATTAATATTGTTGAGCACCGAGTCTCCTGCTTCGATCACCGCAACTGTAACATCTTTCTTCTCTGAAAGTCGATTAGCAACAACGAGCCCACTAGTTCCTCCACCAACAATAAGAAAATCATATTGAGCAGGTGGGCCAGCATGTTTCTTCGCCACAGCTGCCCCTAGCCAAATAGTCGCAAAAGTAAACGTTAAGACGATCATTTCCGTTCATATGGGGGAGCGGGATCAGGAAGATGAAGAAAGTGGGACTCCGGGGCAAAGACCAACTCTTTTGTAAAAAGAAATTGTTACTGCAATAGAGGGGCTAAGTAGGGAAAAGTCAGGAGGACCTATGAGTGACCTCCCCACGGCGGGTTGCTGGGAGGTTACGGTTGGAATGTTGGTGTCATTCCTCCTATTTTGACTCCAGCATACCATGTCAGTATTCGGGTGCACGGAACCGAGAAAACGACATAAAAGGCAAGAATTAACACGCGGGCACTGAATAGATGTCAGGGTATCGTAATCATCCTCGTTTAAACCAGTTAAATCAATGTAAATACAGAACGCCGCGGCATGTTTGAAAAATGCAACCCTGAACGCCTGACGAGCCATTTTGAGTGATTGTGAGGCAGATCAAGCCTCGCGCAGGATCCCTGCGATACGCAGAGTCAGGTCCAGGACAGATAGATGCTCATCTGCTCCATCAACAAGTCGCTTATCAATTTCTGAAAAGGCGAGGACAATCTTGTTCTTCTGTCGATCCGGAATGCCCTCATTGAACACAACCCGTCGGTAGAGCTACAACAGAGTCAGTAAGGTATAAACATAAAAAGTAAGAATGAACAGCACCATACCTGGCCAATAAGTTGTGTGGCACTCCACCCGTCAGCCACAAGGTCTGTGATAACCTTCGAAACAGCCTCATATGCGGATCCAGATCCCTTGGGCTGCATGGCGTTCACAATCTGATCTACAATATTGTCCGGGATAACACCGGCAATTTCTTCAATACTTCGGATCGTAATAGTCCCCGAATCTGTGGTACCAGCATCCGTCATCTCCTGGTCGTCATCACCATCCTTGGCAGCCGCCTGGGTAGCACCAACTAGACGTGCCGCACTCTGCAAGTAAGTAATAGCCCGACGCAAATCACCCTCCCCGCACCTGATCAGTGTGTCAATCACACCATCCTCAAGCTTCAGATTCTCCGCGCGCGCAATCACAGCCAATCTGTCGCCAGCCGCCGAATTATCAAGTGACTTGAATCTGAACTTGCTGCATCGACTAGCCAGTGGCTCGATGATGCGGGTTACATAGTTACACACGAGACAGAATCGCGTGATGCGGCTGTACTGTTCCATCGTGCGGCGCAGGGCGGACTGCGCATCTTGTGTCATGCTGTCTGCCTCGTCGAGAATGATGATCTTGAACGGAGGGCAGGGGTACTTTGCGCGGTATTCAGCATCGAGGCCATTGGGCTGGGATAATTGGGCACGTGCGAAATTCTTCACTTTGTCACGGACAATTCCGATACCTCGCTCATCGGAGGCGTTCAATTCCAGGATACGGGAGCGGTAAAGGGCGGGGCCGAAGAGGGATTTGGCGAGTGCAAGGATGGTGGACGTTTTACCCGTTCCTGGAGGCCCATAGAAGAGCATATGAGGAAGCTGAGATTGGGATATTAGCATTTATTTTAACTTGGTAGGTTCAATTGAGCTTGCGGTTTACATTGGAGGCTTGCAGAGTGCGCCGAAGGACTTTAGTAGTATGATCTTGGGCAGCGACATCGTCCAGGCTCTTAGGTCGGCTGTTTCAAGTTAGAAATCAATAAAATCAATGTTCACTTTCATGGTGCAAGCTTACTATTTCTCAACCCAGGGCTGCATTCGGTTTGATTCTTCCTTGTTGTCACCTGCCTTAGCCTTGGAGCTGCTGGATGTAGCTGCAGCCGCAGCACGGGCCTTATTGTTGAAGAATGTGGCAGCCATGTTTGGTACTATCCTGGCTCAAGAACACAGCGAACCTCGATGATGTATTGAAAGATGGGGTTGAAGAAAGACATGTCGAGCTCCCGACGCCATTCGCGGTGGAGCAGACGCGTCGCCACGTGACACGCGCCGCACTTAGAGATCAACCAATCATACAACGTAAGTATACTTCAGAGTCCATTCGCATACTCCAGGACACGGTTGGACTCTTAATACTTATAACTCACTTAAAGTTAGAAAATATTAATTGATAGATGGAGAGAATGAGCACATATATGTAGCATGTACTACCTACTAGTGATATACAGTGACTGCGTCATAGTAGAGCTACTAGTACTAGGTAGTACTATGAACTGTCTACTATCACTGGCATGATATATACATACATACATCATGAATCATGTCAATGTTGGAACCTCAAGTGCTTGGAAGTACTACTAGTAGTACTTTGTGTCTCTTCAAGTTCAAGTTGCATAGATATTTCAATATTCACTCTTGTGATATACATTCATGTCATTATGGAAGTCATATTTCCTTATTTCAAAGTTAGAGTTCATCCCGCATCACGTCTCGCTCTCCTTCCATCATTCGCTTCTTAGAATTCCGAGGAGCATCATCTTCTTCGGCCTGCTCCTCTACCAAAATATCATCGATACGCACATCGTGATCTTTCTGGTCCTCATTTTCCTCGACCATCTTCCCAATCTTATCAATAAGGCGGTCTTCCTCTTCTTGTGTATGTAGCTCATCACTTGTGGGCACAGCTCCTCCTGTAACTGATGCCATATTTGCTTGGATAGTCGCAGAAATATCTGCAGCAACAGGGCTAAGGGAAGGCTGGAGAGATTTCGAATTCGTCAAACCAATGGCACCCAAGGCCATAAACATAAAGCGAAAAGTAAACTGAATGGGTAGCCAGACCAGCCACCAAAGAGGACCATAGAAGATCCGACGGAATAATAGCCATGCAATTGTTCCAATGAGGATATAGAAAGCAGTCTCAAGGTACCATGTATCTGATTTCTGGGAGCGGAGGAGAGAGTTGGCGAGGGTACGGGATGAGGCGAGGAGGCTGTCAAGACTGGTGTAAGACTCGGACAAAGAGGATATGGCGGCTGTGGATTGTTCTGTTCAAAGACCATTAGTACTAGAAGAGTACAACAAGCCATCATCGGGTTACCTACCCAGAGTTTCTTGAGCAAATTGACTGCGAGACAGCTCAGCTTGCATCAAGTTATGTGTTCGACGGAGGGCTGCTGTCACATCATTCGATGCATTCAGTACCAGATCATCCTGCGTGAGCTTTTCAGAAGCTTGTCTTGGACGCTCCGAGGGTGACTTTGGTCGCGAGAGCAGTAATTCACGCTCTTTCCGTCTGGCAAGCTCAGATAGCCGCTTAGCTTGTAGTTGCGCATTTCTGAAATCTCCTCGATTTCTACTCAGTATTAGCATGTCGGCTTCTCCCATCAAAGAGCATAAACAGCAACCCACTTCTTCAAGTCCTCCGCCAATCGGCCTGCCATCATCACGACACGTTCTTTCTCCGCTTCCTTCTCCCCAGTCGTGACCGACTGCCTTCTCCTTGTATCTGAGCCTGTACCAAGAGCCTCCACCTCAATCCGTAGCAGTTCCAGTTCATCCTCGGCATCTTTCAAGCCCGCATGTATCTCCGCTCCAAGCTCCACACGGCCTTCATCGCCTGTTTCAGTTGGATTGAAGTTTCGAAGCTGATCTATCAAAGGCCGAACTTGATTCAATGTGGCCGAGAGTTCTTTCAAGCGCGCTTGAAGCGCAACTGTGGTGGACATATTTGAGTGTATCGTTGCGGAGAAGTGGGATGTGTTCGTAGAGGCAGTTTGGTGATAATAGCGGACCACAAAGTACTCTCTATATTTTCAGTGAATAAGAGGACTATGCATTCAATAGAATGTCGTAATGTTCCACCCAATCCAAGAAATCAAGCTGGTAACCGGAGTTGGGTCGGTCGCAAGGTGGCAGTTGCGTACATAGCTGCGCTCGTGTGTTTGCATACTAAGCAAACACCGGACTTCGCTCAACTCAATCCTCGAATCCACGCAATAACTAACAACGCTACCAATTGCCTATCCTCTACACAAGAAAAACAGCATTGACATATACTGCTTTCACCCGTGCTTCTCCTACCGCAATTCCTTTGGCTGCTATCCCCTGCGCGCGACGTCGAATCCGCCCTGGTCCTTGACCAAAAAAAACTTCCGGACAACCCCAGATCAAACCCGATCAAGTATGTCTACCATTCCACAACAGAAAATGACATAAAATTCCCCGCAAGGCATAGTCTAACCATTATTTCAGCAAAGAATCTATAATTCAACCTCCGTTACAATCTGAGACCTGATCTCCAACCGCAATCATGCCTATCCCACTCAGCACAATCACCACTTTCCGCACAACCTTCAACCCATTCTCCCAAGCCTCGCGACCATGCCGTCTCTTTCTGTCTCTACTGCGCACTCCCAACACCGTCGCTGGTAGCCCCACCCACATCGATATCAAGGTTAACCAACTTCCACGCAACTCCACACAGGAACCCGTCATGACCGTGGGCTTCAAGGGTGGAAAGGAGATAGTGCTTGAGGTTGGAAAACGTGGAATGAAGATCGGGGATGTGGTTGAGGAGGTCTCGCGTGTGGGACGAGCATTGGCGCGCGAGGCTAGTCTGAAGGGCTAGTTTTTGCATATCGAGGTCGAGTCTGGGCTCTTTTTTTCTTCTTGTAATACTATGACCTGGCTAGCTTTGTCCTTCTACGTTTAGCGCCTCAATACACCGTTTTAAGTCCTCCTTTCAATTCAAATACAGGGTTGTGGTAAACGTAGAATCTTGTACAAGGTTGGGCTACCTGGAATGGTAGGATATGGAAACACTGACCGCTGAATTGGTAGTAGCCCAAGTACTACCTAACAAACTCAGTTCGAACATGGAAACACCCAAGTTCTGCCAGTACAATTTTACTTTCCACTGAGGATTTCAGGCAAATTTTTGAGCCGCATGCAGTTCAAGTTTCCGTACTATTCGGGGGGGGGAAGGCAACGTTGCACCGCAATTTAGCGTAGAGAAGGACTTAATTTGCCCTACGGAAGTACATTCAAAGGACTATGGACACTAAATTGAAGAGAGGGGCACTGTTATAAAGTCATTGTACGTGATAGCATGGCAATTTTTAGTTAGTTTCTACATATGAGAGATTGGCTTACTCTTAAGGAAAACCTGGGCAGCTTTCATACACCTGTGGACCTGCCCAGGTGGCAGCCCTGGAGATCACCGCCTGCCCAGGTGTAGGGCTAAAATTGATTACTGGTCATTCTTACTAGTAGTCATTTAATATTGTCATTGGTTACCACTGATTGCTCCAGGCACCTAGGGCTACTAGTTTAGTGCACGTAACTCCAGGGCTGTGGTTAAAAGTCGGCACATAACCCGATGCTACTGGTGCTGAGATGCATGCACTGCAATTTTTAGTTCCTAGGAGGAGTTGGCTTGCTTCTACCTAGAGAAAGGCAAAAGTACCCTGCTTTTTATCTACAATACTAACAACCTATCCTAACCAATCAATGGGGTTCTGACGCCGCGTCTCCTCTACCTAGGTAAGATCATGGGCCGAGTGAGTCCCCTTCGCCCCCCAAAAATCCTCAAGAGCCTGCACTGCAAATTTAGTGTCTATGAGGGGCCGACTTATTCTTACGAGCGTATCATATCTACCAGCCAATGACAGAGAGAAGAAGCAACCCCTCTTCAGTGCGGATATGGCTCGCCCCGAGCCGCATAGAGGTCTCTGTCTGAGAATGTGGCAGCGGTCGCAGTCCACATTCACAGATGAACACCGATGTCGCTCAAACGAAATTTTACTCTCCATGATGGAGAAAGTTTACATCGAAATGTGCAAAATCATGAAAAATCCCATGTGCGACGAAGAATCGCCATACAAAATGAAGGTCTCGATCTTCAAGCCGACCGCCCGACAACAGATGATTTACAGCTGTGGCCATCGGCGGTGAACTCTGCATCAGAGCAACTGGGCGGCGCGTATACCAGCCGAAATGAATTGATAACAGAAACTGAGGCTGCTCCAGTTAAGGAGCAGATATGTTTTGGAATGGTTGGTTCTATATCACGTCCGATTACTTCAGGTTAGTGTAAAAACAGATGCTGACCTGGAAATAAATACCAGCTAGTACACGAAAAAGTCAAGTTGGTCGGCAAGGGGGAACACCTGCGTGGTAAAATCATGGCGCTTAAGCAAAGTAACTTGAATTTGCTACGTCAAGTTTTCCAAATCAAACCCTCTGCTGCCGGAGAACTGTTTCTCATATTCCCAGATGGCACAGAATTTGGATATATGTCAGAAAAAGCGAAGCGAACGTTTGGTCAGTTGATAGAATTGTCTCAATTGGAATTCGAAACGTGGATATCTCTTACTTCTATTCTGGATGTGTTGAGGTTGGCCGAAACGTCTGCCGAGGCGGCAATCCGCGTGGATGTCCATGTCTATGGCCTTGAAACTCGACAAGATCAGATCGGCAGACAGATCTCGAGTAGAGACTTTTTTCTGCAGCATTCTGACACGTGTTGACCAGGGATAAGGTACGATAATCCACATATCCTACGATTCGATGACGAAAAGGAGTCAGATGTCGAGGAGGAGGGAAATTTTGCTGAGGAGGAAGCGGAATCCAACTTATCTGTTGAGGGAGACGAAGACTTTCAGGAAATAATTGCGACTGTTTCCAATCTCTAAGACGACCTGATAACTTAAATCGTCTCAAGGAAACTGATAATCTGACCGGGTCTTTGTATCCGTTAGTTGACCCAGATTCATGCACTCTTGAAGACAACACAGCTAAAATACTCTAATTAAACAGGCATCAGGGGGAGGCATTGGATTTTATGACACAGCGAGAGACTGGAGAAATTCCCCCCCGAATATCGTCTATGGCAGCCAAAAGTGGTTGACGGAGAGCAGGTGTAGGGCTCGGCCATTTGTGGTTGTAGGATATGGGCTGACCTTAAACAGTTTCTCTCATACTATCACTCACGATCGACAGCGAGATAAACAAGACGAAAGTGGAGGAGGAATATTAGCAGATGAGATGGGAATGGGCAAGTCATTAACAACACTAGTACTCATGGGAAAGACAACGGGAGATGCTCGTCAATGGGTGACAGCAATAATAATGCTCTTCCAAAAGGTTCTCTGGCTGGTGAACCCTGCCGAGCGACTCTGTTGATTGTTCCTCAGCAATGTAAAGATGCTCATCTACGTTCTGTGATACGTTTTCAAACATACTCTGACTAGCTATAGTGTTGATAAACCACTGGATGAGGGAGATTGATAAGTCAGGAACCTTTCGACTTCTGGAGAATGCTTGCTGTCAACCTGAAGCTAACCGCTTACTAGGTACTTCAAAGGTGGCCTGAAAGCGATAGTATATCATGGTCGAGCACGAAGGAAATTAGTTACTGGTATTGAGCATCCTGATGTTGTGATCACCACCTATAACACACTAGCAAGGGAGCACGACAACAAATTACTTGGCAAAGGGCAAAGCCCACTACACGATTTCCTTTGGTACAGAATAGTTCTAGATGAAGGTAAGTTCAAGTTGATTCCTCAATCTTCAATCATTTGCGCTGCTAATGCTAAGACGCTAAAGCACATATCATCCGTCGCCCTGAAACTACCTTCCACAAGGCCGTATCCAGCCTTTCAGCTAACAGTCGATGGTGTCTTTCAGGAGCACCCATTCAGAATAGCCTAGCCGATCTGGCATCTCTATTGGTCTTTTTGAAAATTCGACCCTTTCACGAGGCAAGAACCTTCCGACACTGGATAGGAAAGCCATTCGAGAGGAAGGAAACCATACAAAGAGCAGTTCAAAGACTCACCACTCTTCTGAACGCCATATGCCTCCGAAGGACAATAGAGCGTGTTGAGCTACCAGGTAAGAAGCAGGAAACTCCAATTGTGGAATTCTCATCCGAGGAGCGTGCACAGTACGAGCGTAAATCTTCGACCATGCAACGGTTTATTCAGCAGCAGGCTGGAGAGTACAACGAGGAAAGAGTATTTGGAATTTTCCAAGTCTATCTACAGTTGAGAAGCCTCTGCAACCATGGAGCATACCAACGAGAGCTCGCATGGGTCCCAAGGGATCTACTGGATGAAGAAGCAGAGCCGGTCCGTTCAATTTCTCGGGATGGTTATGAACGTTGCCAGGTCTGCAGGCAGAAGTTGCCGATTGTGCCGCGTCACAGACGACGCAAGTATTCCGAAAATTGCAGACACAACCTTTGTGATGAATGTGCCCAAGGACGTCCTCAAGCGACTAGTTCTGCTGGAGAATTTCATTGCCCTCTATGCAAATCGCTTCAAGGATTCCAGCTCAGTGGTGCCCCTTTGCCTGGTCGAGTCAGGATAATATGAATAGCTCCGAGTCCTCCAGTTTGACAGGAAAGTCTTCGAAGATGCGAGCGCTCCTAGGTGATGTACAAAATGGCCTGGAGCAGAATAAAAGGTATTTCAGAACGGCCAGCAAACCTTACCAGCAACGGCTAACAATAGCGTAGTATTATATTCTCATGCTGGACGAGAACGCTTGATCTCATAGCAAGGCACTTCCTTGAAGCTGGAATACGGTTTGAACGTATTGATGGCAAAACCAAACCACCGCAGCGCCAGGCAATCCTTGACTCTTTCAACAATAGTTCTCGGGTCCCTGTATTGATTATGACAACAGGCACATGCGCCTTTGGGTAAGGACAACATAATTTGCTCAAAATTGTCGTTTAACATGATAATTGACTTAAGAAAGATTTAACATTCAATCCGCAAATCGCATTTTCATTGTTGAGCCGCAATGGAACCCGACTGTAGAAGACCAGGCAATATCGCGAGCCATTCGTCTTGGTCAGAGGCAACAGGTCTTGGTCATTCGTTACCATGTCAAGAATAGCATTGAAGATGTAAGTTTTCAACTACATGCAGCTTTTTGTTTCGTCAAGTTTCATCGGAGCTTATTGTCATTTTTGTAGGACATGTGCACGCAGCAAGCAAATAAGCTCAAGATCAGCAAAATGGACTTGAGAATTGAAACAATATCCGTTCCACAAGAATCCACTGCTACGACTACTAGGTAGGGCTTGATGATTCATATCATTTTGATTGATCCTTCTCTGCCAGTGTTATACAAGTACAAGACGTGAGTTGAACTATATGATACTACATAGTAATGGAAGCTACCTAGGTACTAGTAGCAAGCAACGAGAATTTCATTTTCATCATTCCTGCAGGTGCATGTGGTCTTTTGCATTGATCATGAATCATGATATATCACCTTCAAGTTCCGAGTCAAGTCGATTTGTAGTTGTAGGTACTAGCTCAAGCGATGGATAACTGGATCGACTCGGGGGAAGTATTCTTCATCCTACACCTGGGTGGGCAAACACTGTCACTGTATCGTATTCTCTAGGTTTCGAGGACATAGTCTATGCGGGAGATCGGGGGGGGGGGGTTTGAACATGCCCCAACTCCAATATCCCTAAGGGTATCAATGTTACACATACTATACAGGTGGTATCCGCTCCAATACATAAGAGAAAGTCAGCACCTACACTGCAATTTTAGTTCTCTAGAGGAAAATACAGCTTATGCCCAGGTGCGGGTCCCGATTTATTACTGGTTGTCCACTTAGGAGTCAGGAGTCAGACCTTGGGACTCGGGAGAGGCAATTAGTGGGGACTAAGCAATTGTCTCATCGTCTAGCACTCCTCTTTGGCTAGTCTTCAGTGATAAGTAATTCTACTATGTTCTAGTAGATAAATTTCATTGATCTATGTCACATTGTAATGTTTTTATGGCCCAAAGAAATGTCACATTGTCCAGGTAGGGTCAGGGAGTCGAGCTAAGGTAGGTAGGTCTGATCTATGCACACTGACATGTGTTGATCATGGAGGACTATGAAATTTAATTTAAATTCAAGTTTCAATGACCACAACCCATTTCCCCTGAAGCAGGATTTCTGCCAGTGGTGAACACTGTAAAGCCCATGGTCTGCGAATTTCCTTGTATTCCTACTATAGGAAATAAAGCTAAGATCAATGATAATCGACTAGCCATCGAATATTATGCATAAATTGGTACCCAACTGAGTATTATAGATGCATTTGAAAGACAACGTCTAGTGTGTAGTAGTAGGGCGAGATGACATCGGGCTCGGTGCACAAAGAAAAGAACAATTTCCAATAGGTAACACCAAATTGAAACATCATGATCATAGTTTCTATCGCCGCCGTCTCTCATGAATTTTCTCATGTCTCTTCCTGTCATTCTTTCGCGCAAATCCTCGACCACACTCAGAACAACGGAATGGTTTCTCCCCTATATGCGTCCTCATATGATCATCTCGGATAAGCTTTCTGGCAAAGAAGCTGTTGCAAATCTCACAGCGCCACTCGGATCTATCTATATGTCGCCGGCTCAAAGACATAAACGATTCGTCTAGGTCGCACTCCTCGGGATGGCACCTCGACATATGAGAGCGAAGTGCGCCTTTAGACCGAAAGCCAAATATATGGGGTGAACAATTTTCCACTGGGCACTGGAATGGGAGGTCATGATGATTTACATGAGTGTGACGGACATCAGCACTCTTGAACCCTTCGTGAAAATAGAAACACAAGACCCTTGGACAGCGGTAAGGGTACTCATCGTAGAGTACAGTGAGGTCATTTTCAGAATTGGAAGAGAGCTCTTCGACTAGGACCCTGTTGCGTGTGATGGCTTTTTCCAAATATTTGAGGCTCACTTTGTTTCTGGCTGTTATGTCACCCCGTTGGGCGAAGCATATATGGTCCCATATTCGGACAAGAGAGTCATAGAATGGGCGATACTGAAAAAACACACAGTCTTGATGAGAAGATTCTGAAATCTCACTGGCACTTGCTGACAAGTCTTCTCTGTAAAAGTTCAGAAAGTTGCCAAGTTCACGACCAATTAGAGCTACATGGACGTGAGTATTCGTCTCTCTCGGCATTATACTGTCTTCAAGAAATGCATCCTTCATCTCGATGAATGTTTGCATGTGTATATACCACTGCGACACAGCGTAGTCCTGGAAAGCAAGGTCACATCGAAGCACATACTCACGAAGTTTTGAATTCGGTATATCGTGTCGGAGGAAGTCCAGAGTGAGATAGCGAAGGCAACGAAGTGTGAGATCGCATTCTGCGGCCGCGAGATTAATTTGACTCTGCTTGGCAATGAATCTTTGATACTGTCAGAAAATAAACACATTTACGTTCCAAGAGATCTTACAATTTGGCAGTGCTGTGAACCAATTCCACACGGTTTCCTTTGAGGACTTGTACAAGGGAACCACATAGTTCTTGAACGTCGTCGCGGAGCCTGAGATCCATATCGAGTTCATGCGATACAGTTTCCGAGTGAACATCAATAGACAATGCCGCTTGTACTCCGTCCATTTCAATGGTCGTTTAGAGCATACCAGCCACCAAAGTAGTAACCCTGTATATTCTAGCTGCTCTTCACTCAAGTCCTGCTTCAGCCGGTCCATAATGCGTGCATAACTGAGATCGTTTTAGTATTGGCGACCGGAGAATCGCCCAATAAAATGGCTGTTGTGTGAAATACAACGCACGCTTCATTGATTTCATTTGGTAGCCTTGCAGAATCGATCTCGGTTTGGAAACGGCGTCTGTTGGGTTGTTTTGCCAAGTTGTTCATGACCAACTTGGCGAACAAAAATATACCTAGCTAGAAGTGTTAGCTAAGGTGCTTATTTAGCCCTGGAAGTATCATATGATATGGATACTACTAAGTATGTAGTATGTATCTTGGAGTTCCTGAGTGGAATACATACACTACCTAGGTAGTAGTAGGACCTCGGGATTGATATATGTGTACTGCCAGTCAGACTTACCATTGGCCCGGATACAGATTTTCTCAACCACATCCTTCAGAGTACTATTACCAAAGTCAAATTTAGCCAGCTCCTGTGATCGAGTTTGGCAGTATTTCTGAATGTCGACCTTGATATTCTCAGGCTCTATGACAAATACTTGCGCTGTTAGGAGTGAATTCTTGATTTCAGGAGCAGGTCGACTGAGAAAGGCAACCCGCAGTCTGCTCTGTGAGATAATTTCAGTGTTCACCAGATCTGTGAATGTTTCAAGAACGTCCTTCATTCTCTCGTTGCATTCATCGATCCCATCTATTACCACATACCACCGTGAAATGCTCTCATGGAATGTCTCCAATAAGGTTTTTATTGTAGACAAATCTGACAAGATGGTCGTCGATGAGTTCTTCATCTTGGAGTAGCAGTATGGGATGAGTTCGTTGTGCCTGCAAACTAATTGTAGAAGAATTCCACGCAATATCGCGAGCCAGGAAGCTCTAGAACCCGCCTTCTCGCTGCAGTAGAAGTAACATGTAGTACATTCTGTTTTTTGTAGACACGCTTCGATCAAGACAGAAGCTAAATAAGTTTTACCTAACAGATGTATTAGTGAGACTCATCTCATAATATTTATTACAAATAGGGGAAATTTGTAGCTTACCAGCTCCTGGCGCCCATTGATCCAAAGAATGGACTTAGAGGAATCATCCGACTCTGGATCTATCTATTCTTTGATCTGGATTTTGTCTAAGATGCATGTCCCACTGCCTTGATATCTGCTTCGGTCACGGCATATGCTGTTGTGCTCGGTTTCTATCTCAGAAGCAGCAATCCAATTCCGAACCGCGTGGAAGTTCTTTTCCTGTCGTTCAATTTCACCATTCTCAAAGTCCATGATTTCCTTGTCTACCTGTTGCAAGAGATGGCGGATCTCCACTGTGTCCTTGAAGGCTTGCTCGGGATCAATGTAGGTCGTCCTTGTTCTATCTTCGATTGTTAAAAATTTATAGGCACGCATTTGACGCAAGGTCTTCCTAAAGGATGGTTCATAATTCCGCCAAAGGGACTTGAAGACAGTCTGGAGTGCTACATTTCAAAGTATTAGCAGAGTCCGAGCACTAAGCTGGATTACCCCAAGGGTAAGTACCTGGCGCGGAGTATATTTTTATCGCATCGGAGTGAAATTTCAAGATATCGGCAAAGATCCGGGCCAGTAGTCGTTGAAATCCAACGTGGTTTTGGAAAATGTCAAAGCCTTCCACAAGGAAGGGCAGTTCATCGCCGATGTACTCATAGGCCGATAGAAGCCTATCTAAGAGGTCAGTGTGACCTTTCAAAATCTATCACAATGTCAGATAACAAAGTCGCGAAGGCTTAATGTACATCTAACATACTCGAAACAAAGCTCTGGCCGAGCCCCATATGAGACACATGAGGTCATTGGAACCCAGCAAGTTGTGAACTGTCTTTCTCAATACTTCAATACGTTTCATGAACTGCTCAATGCGTCTCATATTTCGTAATGCTCTCTTTTGTTGTTGTTCATCCTGCATGTGTATTAACGCTTTCTTCAGAGAACGAAGACTACCTCCTCGGAAAATCTCAAGCTGATCCGAAGAAAAATTATGCTCAAATTCTTTCACGATCTTATCAAACAAATCTCTTGAGGTTGAATGATTGGCTGCTTGACGCTTTTGGGCCTCTGTGTGAGCACGCTGGGCAAGAACTTCACGTGGCGAATACTGGAGAAAAGCTACAATCAAATCAGCATGTGCGGATCGCACCCAAGCTCCTCGCAGGAGGCATTCAAGGCTGTAGCGCAGGTTGACTCTGCTTGGCTGCACTCAAAACACACACCGTGGTGCTTGTGAATATATTCTGAGGCAAGTAGGAGATCAGAAGATGGCGTGGGATACTCTGTATCGATATAGGGATTGCACATTAAGGTGATCAAATGCTCCATCATTTTTGTGTGCAGCTGCTGTGACATAACGGGCGACTGCCAGTTCTTGAGAAGAGACAAGATGACATGACTTTGCTTCGCCGGTCTGTCTAATATTGTGTCTTTACGCCTGAATTCATTCGGGTACTGGCGACCAAAATCGAGTCGAACAAGCACCTCGCTCATTACCACGTCTCCAAGGATGATATCTTTGCCATCTGGCCTATACGGCACGGCCCCGCAGATACCAACTAACAAAGCCAGTTCAATAGAGACGAAGCTCATGCTGAGATAGGCTGCTGCGCCGGACGATTGGACGTTTCCCATTCCAGGGAGGGTAACCACCACAACAGGATGTCTTCCACTTCTGCCAAAGACGTATTGATTTGGATCACCGGGGGCTTTACTGTAGATCTGGGGAGCATCATGCCAAATTTCATCCAAAGAACAGAAAACAGCGTTGGCCTCCAGTGTTAACGCGCAGATGATAGCGATTCCGAACTGATCGCGGCTGCTTGGACGATCTTGACCGTTCATAGCCAGGGATGAGAAGGACGCGTGTGATGAAAAATATTGGCCGTGGGAATAGTCCACGTAACGCACCAAATACTTTCAAAGGTGTTTTAGGTGATATGAGTATGGGCTGACAGTTTGCTGAGATAGAAAAAATATTGTGGGGTACAGGGTTAATAGAATGATCACTAGCATGTTCATACCAGCGTTGGGCAGTAATAACTTGAAGGCTCAACCGCGGCGCTAACTTGAAACCTGGAAGATGAGCACATGCAGTAAGCCCTCTGAGGCTGAGTACATAGAGGAGGCGTGCTATTTACAGCCTAAGGCTACATCCCTGCAACGCTACCCCCGAGTCTTACACAAACAACTCGATCGGACATCCAAATAGGATATTGGGAGCGCCTAACTCGCGCCCATGCACTGCCAGAGGCTTAGTCAAGTGAAAAAGCAGGGATATACACAGCCCGGGTGCCCAGATACTGAAGAAATGAAAACTCAGTGACAGGTAAATCCTAGTGGTGCGTGGACATGTGGGCATAATAAAAAGTAGTAGTTGAGCTGTCAAAAGATGTTTATGGAGTACCCGTGGACACTAGTATCCATCTAGGTAGACTACAAGTTCCAGAGATTAAAACCGTCACCGATCTTGCTCATCTAAACCTATCGTTCCCCAGCTAGGTGATTAAGATTATCTCCAATAAGAGGCTGTCTTCTACACAAGCAAAACAAAGAGCGAAGAGATGAAGGAAATGGCGATTGCTTCAAATGTACGCGCCGTAATGGCAGCACGTACTCAACAGTTAAATTTTAATTGTTCTTTTTTGATAGCGCACGGCAGCCGGAATTTAGACAGCAGCGCCAGAGATGAAGAACCACTTGTCAATGGTGCCATCAATCTCGGCAGGGGCAATCACCTGGTTAGCAGGGACAGCAGCAACCTTAGCGGGGTCAGCACGGTGAGCAGCACCCTCGGGGGCCTCAATGTTAGCAAGGCTGATCTCGCCAGCGGCGCTCTTGCCAGACATGAGCTTCTCCCAAGCATCGGCACACTCGTGGATGACCTCCTCGGCGTACTTCTTGTTCTTGCACTCGCCGGAGAAAGCGAACTGGTTCTCGGGCTTGCCGTCGGGGATCTTGTAGATGCGGAACCACTCATTGGTGGCACGCAGAAGGCCGGGCAGGTGACGCTCGACATCCTCAATGTCGTTGAGCTTAGGGGCAAGAGGGTCGTTGACGTCGATGACGATGATCTTCCAGTCAGTCTCCTCCTCGTCGATCAGGGCCATGACACCCAGAACCTTGACCTGCTTAACCTGACCGGGGTAACCGACCAGCTCACCAATCTCGCAAACATCGAGAGGGTCGTCATCACCCTTGGCCTTGGTCTCAGGGTGGATAGAGTTGGGGTCCTCCCAGGTCTGTATTAGATGTAGTTTGTCAGTCCATGTGCTACATATGTTATGTGTATAAACATTTACCCCGCCATGACGAGTGTCCATGGTGGGGGTAGGGAGAGGGCACGTAAAGTAAACATGGGATAAGGGATTGGAAGTTCGACTTACGCGGGGGAAGGCACCGTAGTTCCAGAGGTAACCCTTGTGGGGGAAGCAGTTGCGAACGAAGCGAAGCTTGCCCTTCTTGGTGTCCTGCTTAATGGGGTTGAGGAACTCGTCCTTGGAGATCTGTAATTCAATTGAAATCGCAATTAGTATGGACGATCGAGGTAAGTCGGGATAGGCGATATGCGTACCTCCTGCTTGGCGTTGGTCCAGCGAGGAATCTCAACGACCATGTTCAGGATGGTCTGCTCAGCGTTGGCGTAGAGGGGAATATCGTGGAAGGGAGAGACGGGGACGCCATCCTTCTCAACGTAAATGCGGTGCTCCAGCGTGTAAGGCTGAGCGATCTTGCGGACGGTGTAAGACATGATGGGTGGTGATGAGGAGAAATGCCTAGAGAGGAGAGCGGCTCGAGAGAGAGGAGGGGAAGAAAAGGAGGGAGGGGCTTTGTAAGTGGGGGGGGAGCCAGTCTTGCTGATGTGCGCCAAACACCGTGGGAGGCGGTGGAGGCACAGAATCCTAGTCGGGCCAAGGGAGAACGGGCCTGTGCCATTGAGGTTTGAATATTAAGAAAATAAAATAAAAAATTAATATAAAAAAAAGAAATTAAAAGATAATTGAGAATAATGAGGCAATGATCAGCTGGTCCTATCCAACTTTTTTTGGTGAATCCGTATTATGATTAAATCCAATGAGAAGGATGCGTGGATGCGTGGCCTAAAATGATTGTTCCCAGGGGTCGAGAACTGGGTCTCCCGATTGTTGTGTTGGCAACCGTTGATCCTTTTTTTTTTCTTTTCTCGGCAGTGAACCCGGGCCCGAGACCGAATTGATCAGAATCCCGACTGATTTACGTACTATTTTCTATGGATAATCATGCAAATAAGTGATAGTACTACCAATTGATGCATATATTGAATTCTACATAGTCATCTTTCAAGGTTTACATATACCCACTAAACCTGTCAAAAGGTCTCGTGCCTTACACTCTGCACATTGTGCATGTACTCTTCAACGACAGCTGCCAGTGCTAGCCGATATCGGGATAGTTCCGGGCTGGAGATGCTTATATGCTTAAATTATGATGAAGTGTAAACGGTGTGTATTAAAGTGGGTTGATCATATTTAGATTTAAAATATTGAAGATCTCACTGAATTTAGTGGCAAAATAGCCAGGAACATGTAAACCAGGGTTATTATCTGGTATGTAATCTTGGTTCAAATATTCAAATGTTATTGGCATCTCGGGGATATTCTAGTGGAGTCGAGGGCAAAGAGAAGAACCGCAGACACCTAAATTATGAGGCCACATATGAAGGCACCAAGGCACCAAATACCAGGGTCTATCTCCACGTGATTAAACATAAACTTGGATCGGAGTTGCCCGATAACCAAAATCCCCAGAAAAGAAAAAAAAAATCTCCCCTCGAAACAACCCCGCCTCGGTATGACATGAAGAGATTATTTCAATTCTTTCGATCTACCATGTCCGCTATCACCACTCCTGCTGCGGCCCCCCGCGTGCCCATCCCCGCAAATGGTGTCGACTACCGCGGCACCATCGTTCTCGCCCCGATGGTCCGCTCCGGCGAACTACCCTCCCGCCTCCTAGCCCTTAAATATGGCGCCGATCTAGTCTGGGGTCCCGAAACAATTGATCGCTCGATTATCGGTTGCCTGCGTCGCATCAATCCTCGCAATGGAACTATCGAGTTCTACCGTCTCCCCTCCAACGGCGGCCGCGTCGATCAAGCAGCCAAGGAATCCGTCCTCTTTCGCATCGATCCTGTCCGTGAAAAGGGACGTCTCATCTACCAAATGGGTACAGCCGATCCAGAGCTCGCCGTAAAAGCTGGGCTTATGGTGGCCGGTGACGTGTCCGGCATTGATGTGAACTCCGGATGTCCGAAGCCCTTCAGTACTAGTGGCGGAATGGGTGCTGCTCTTCTCCGCACACCGGATTTACTTGTCTCGATTCTGGAGGCGCTGGTCCGTGAAGTGGGTGAGCCTTTTAAGATTGGTATCTCAGTTAAGATTCGCATTCTCTCGGACCCCGAGTCGACCCGCAGTCTTGTCGAGCGACTGGTGCGCACTGGTATTACCGGATTGACCGTCCACTGTCGCACCACCCCTATGCGTCCCCGTGAGCGCGCTATTAGAGATCAGCTTCGCATGATCCGAGAAATCTGTCATGAAGCCGGAGTTGCGTGCGTGATGAACGGCGATGTTACAAGCCGCGACGAGGGATTGAAGCTTATGGAAGAATTTGGTGTGGATGGCGCTATGATTGCTACTTCTGCCGAGGCGAACTCCTCTTGTTTCCGCTCTGAAGCTGATGGAGGTCTGGCCGATTGGCGGGAAGTCGTCTACGAGTATATGAAGTTCTGTATCGAGTGCGAGAACCGTTACGGTAACACTAAGTACCTGCTTAACATGCTTATCCCCGGAAAAAACAAGGAGTTCAACCGTGCGAAGGTGTGCAAGACATACACCGATGTTTGCCGCGCCTTGAAATTCGACGATCTTGTTCCTGCTGCGGTCCAGCTTGATGTGCTGAACGGAATGACGGAGAAGTGGGATCAGGGTCGGGAGGAGAATGAGCAGATTCGCTCAAAGATTGCCCAGAACGTCCTGGAGAATAATGAGTCTGCTCGTGCAGCTGGTGGTGGTAGTGTCAGATCAAAGTCGATCTCTGGTTCTTCTCGTGTTGGTGGTCCCATTCGCACTCTTGGTATCCCGGAACCTGCTAAGATCAATAAGCCTGAGCCTGAGGCTGTCAACACTGAAGCTGCGGATGTCTCTATTCCCGCAGAGATGCCTCAGAAGTCAGAGGTTGTGGCATAATTTGTCATTCGGTTATCCTTTAAACGCAGTCTTGTTCATCGTTGGACTTGTTTCACTGCTTATTTCTTTACTCCTGCATAGCTTGGTTCCCTGGATTTGGTCCTGTCATTTTGCATTTCGAGGCGGCGTGTCTCCTGTTTATAGATTCCCCAAAAGATACATACATGTTAATATAAAAGCCATATGGTTTTCTACTGACTCGGATCTTTGACTGCCAATTGACTACTTTGATGATCTCTTATAGACCGTATTCATCTCTATTGCTCATCTTCAAGTTGATACACCGACATGTCGAAACAATCCGGATGGTATAAATTGCGTTTGTAACTCTACATAAAATTGAACTCCATACCAATTTGGAGTTCCAAGTCCAGACTCCTCCCCCAAGTGAGGACTCGGAAAAGCCTCCAGGGCTGAGTAGTAAGGCTAACTCGGAAGTGAGACACAAGTGAAAGAAATAAAGGCTTCAAAGTAGACCAGCAAATTCAGAGATATGAATCTAAAGTGAGAAGAAAGTGAGGAATTTCGTGACAATAGTCATTTATTAAATTTTCGCTGTCTGCTCTGACAGCTTTGATAGCCCTGATCTCGATGCCAACGCCACCCACCGTGCACGCCGGCAAAGAGAAAAGAAAGTAGAAACTAAATGATAATAATAATAAAAAAAAATTTAAAAAAAAAACGAAACACCAAGGTGCCTATGCACCCTTGGCCTTTTCCTCCTCCTCCCCATTCCCCTTCTCCATATCCGCCACCAACATGGACTCCACGGCCTTCATGCCGGCCTCCTCACCCTTGGAGGCTTCCGCCTCGTCACCAGCGACAGCGTGATCAAGAGCCAGCTTTGTCTGGCCAAGAGCGTAGATCTGCTCTTCGATCGTGCCACTGGTGACGAAGCGGAAGACCTCCACGTCACGGGTCTGCCCCACGCGGTGAGCACGGTTCTCAGCCTGGACATCCTCCTGTGGGTTGAAGGAGGAGTCAAAGATGACAACCTTGTTTGCGCAGGCCAGGTTGATTCCCGCACCACCGGCCTTGGTTGAGAGAAGGAAGACCGGGATCTCCGTCCGCTCATGGAAGGCGTCAAGGATTGACTGTCGGTCCTCGACGTTCGTACGGCCGTCCAAACGTACAAACTCGATTCGGAGAGTCTCCATGACGTGCTCCAGGATGTCCATGACCAGCGTGAATTGTGAGAAGATCAACGTTCGGTCGCCGTTTTCGATGAAGCGCAGAAGGAGTTCGCGCAGCTTCTCCACCTTTCCGGAATCCATCCACTCATCGTTCTGCAGCTTGAACTTGCCTAGGTATTTTTGGTTATCAACACAAAGGCGATGGCATTCGAAGTCATTGTAGCTCTGGAGCTCGGAGAAGATGGTGTCGGGGTCGGATTGTGCCCACTGGGGATCCTTCACGCAAGCCTTGGAGATCTTGCGGATTGTGGCATCGTCGTAATGGCGACGTGCGAGGAGGGGGTGGATGGCGGCTTGGCGTAGCTTCATCAAGATGTTTGCGGACTTCGAACCTGTCTTCTTTCCGGCTGCACGGTCTTCGAGAAGCTGTCGGACTTGTGCCTGCTCACGCTCGTAGATCTTAACCTGAGATGATTTCATCTCGCAGTATTGAACGTGCGAGTGCTTGGCAGGGAGGTCGATGACTTGGTGCTTCTTACGGCGAAGAACAAAAGGCTTCAGCATGGACTTGGCCCGCTCAATTCGCTGAGCCGACAATAGAGCTGCATGGGACTCGTCCGATGTCTTTGCCTTGTTCGAGAAGACAGCCTGAAGATCTTCCTTGTGTTCGTTGAAGACACTGGGCAGAATGAAACCGAGAAGTGAAGCCAGCTCTTGCAGGTTGTTCTGGAGAGGCGTGCCGGTAAGAAGAAGTCGGAATCGTGAGGAAATTCGAACAAGCTTATCATAAACTTGGGACTGGTGATTCTTCAACATGTGACCTTCATCGTAGACGCAGACAGTGAAATTCTGTTCCTTGAGGAACTTCGCATCGACCTTAGCGCGGGCGATGGTGTAGGTGGTAATGACCACGTTGATGCTTTCTCTGTTGTCTTCGATCTGTTCACGAATACGAGCACGCTCATCCTGACCGGCATAGTATGGAATCACGGAGAGGGCGGGGCAGAATTTCTGAAACTCTCGGAGCCAGTTTTCGAGGGTGGAGGATGGGACAACGATGAGGTGAGGTCCCTTGAAGCCCTTTTCATACAAATGTGCGAGGAAGCCAATGACTTGACAAGTCTTGCCGAGACCCATGTCATCAGCTAAGATACAGCTCATCTGTTTCTGGAAGAGCAATGCCAGCCAGTTGATTCCAACGATTTGATAGTCTTTCATAACCAGGTCATCGGCCATGATGGAGGGCTGGGAGATAAAGTTTGATTGGAATTTGGGCTTGCGCGAAACAGCGACAGGGCCATCTTCTTCATCATCGTTCTCAGACTCATTGGGGGACTGACGGTTGGATGAGGGCGTAGCGATCCCAGAATCATGCGCATTGGCGTTGTTCATCGAGGTGAGTTCGAGTTCGCCGTCGGATTTACCGAAGATATCAACACCCCATTTCTTCATCTCTGCTGCAACGGGCTTTCCGAGCTCCTCGCATTCGTGGACAAGAGAATCGATGGCCAGATAGCCGTTCCACATATCCTTGCACTTCTCGACGATCTTTTCGCCAATGGGTGCGGGGGTTCGGCGCTTGCCCTTAGGCTTGGCCTTTGCGGGATCAACAGGAGTCGGCACAACACGAACATCGTCAAGAGTATCAAAGGGGCGGTGGGAGATGATATGAGAGGCGGTGGCATCGGGGATACCGGCCATGTCGGTAAGATCGCGCACGCTGCAAGTGTTGAAGAATCGCAAAACCTTGAGATCTAGAGTGCTAGGAGCAGCTTCTAGGACCTTGACGTCTTCATCATCGGAGTCTGTGAGTAATTCTTCTTCAACAGACACGGAGCGAGATGGTTCTTGGCGGCGACCTTTCTGTAGGCGACCGGTCTTCTTCTTGGGGGAATCGTCGTCGGAATCAATGGTAATGGCGAGAGGAGAGCCACGGCTTCGTGGACCACGAATAAGACGGCCTCGAGGCTTGGCCTCGGACTGGGATTGATCGCGGGAGGTTTGAAAGTTGCGAGCAGTCCATTTATCGTGAATGGTACCGCGGGCTTTGATCTGTTGCTTTGCGGCGGGTTGAATAGGAGCACTCGAAGCCGATGCACTCAGTTCGTCCTCAGACGATTCGATGAGAATTGCATTTCCGGTTTGCTTCACAGTACCCTGGGTGTCGGCAAGGCGATCCAGCGCCTGGTCGAAGTTGCCATTTGATGTAATTAAGGCTTGCACACATTCGTCCACAGATTTGTTCGGCATGATTTTCAGCATACGCTCAACCTTAACGCGGACGCGGTAGTCATCAATGGCCAGCAAAGATGAAACCTGGTCGGTGGCGGGGAGGGCGCGGGAAGGCGCATCCTGCTGCTTGACTTTTTTGACGGCGACGCCCTTGACACCACCGGGGCTGCCCATATGGTCGGCGGAGCGCTTGACACCATTGGCGGAAGGATCATAGACAGCAGCAGCAGTGATTTCCTTGAAACGATCCATTGCGCCGGTAGAACGAACAGGCGACTCGGCGACCTTCTCAGGGCTACGAGTAGCTTCGAACATGGCGGGTTTGATATCAGTAGATCGGACAGTGTAATTCTCTTCTTCGTCTGAAGAACCTCCTCGGTATGTTGGACCGTCGTCGAGATCAATGACTGGGGGTCTTTTTGCGGGGCGAACGGTAGTTGAAGGAGAACGAAACTGAGTTCCAGAAGGTGCCATGAGCGAAGATAAAAGGCCGCCGCGCCGTGGTGGTGAATGAGCAGGAGCTGTGGGTGAAGATTGGGCCACTTGAATGACGGATTGTCTTGAATTTGAGTGGGGCATCTCGACGAGTTGGGTAGGTTGAGTGAATCGTTGCGAGGGAGTATTCAGTGAATGAGCCCCAATTGGGATCGTGGCGACAGTCTCGTAATCGTCGTCTTCAGGTGTAGTTGCTTGATTGGGAGTAGACTTGACCCGAATAGGTGTATCAGGGACAGTGTCAGTCATTTTAGAGAAACCCTTCCTCCCTTGCGCTTATAATAATCGAGTTTCCCCCCTGGAATCTACCAGGAATCCAGGAACCGATTAATCAATTCAATCACCGGTTTTTTTTTTTCTGCCGGCGGAGAACGCGATATACGCGCCAGTCACGTGGATTCGCGAAGATGGTCCATTATACCTGATTGGGGACGAGAATGATCATTATAGATGTGTATGAAGACAAAGGAAAAATGAGATTCAGATTGACAACTATATTATTGTCGACTTGAGTTCATAATACAAAGAGAAATCGAGAAATTTCCAAAATATTGATACAAAAAGCGGTAGTTTTATGCTTCTCTCTCCGCCTTGACCTAGTTATGATCTGGCGCTTGGACAATCCAACCATCTCCACAGTATAGCTTCTTCCTACAAATAGTTGACCCGGAACCATATCAATCAATTCATTTGATATAAATTCAACACCAAATCAAATTTCCAGTTACATCTTTCAACAATCTTTTCCATAATGACTGGTCGTCGTCCTCATGGCCAGAGCTACGCCGACGTTGCGGCCAAGGCTCCGCAGCCAACGGATTCTGACGTGACCCCGTTAGTCCCAGCGTATGTGCTGATACTTGCAAGATTCCACTTAGATTTTCTAATAAATATACTAATACCATTTCTATCGTCTAGTGATGTCATCTACAAGCTGTTGGCTTTCACAGCTGCCATGGTGTTCGGCCCCATCGGCATGTACTTTCTCACAGTGAACTCGATCTATGGAGGTAAGAACACATGTCCTAGCTTTTTTCTTTCTTTCAGTCATCTACAGTATCTAACCAATTTTCATAGGAAACGCCACATATGCTGGTATCACTGCAGCCGTTACAGCTAATGCGGTCTTATTCGGTTATATCTACGTCGCCTGGAAGGAAGATCAAGGAGACCGGCAAGAGGCTGCAAAGGCTAAGAAAGCGCAGTAATCCATGGTGACAAATTTTGGACTCCATCCATTCAGTTGTACTATCTTCATTCGTGGCGTTGCAGGCGTAATGATCAATATGCACCCGAGTCTTGGGTTTCTTTGTTATTTTCCAGCTTGTCCAATCGATGTAGTGCACTATGGCAGGCTGGATGAGCTGAAAGCGAGTAGATTTCTCCCAATTTTCAAAATTACCTCGAAACAGCAATGATGGTGGATGTTTCTGGGAATGGTATATATTATCATGCATGGACATGGTGTGATCACTAACTACCAGTCCGAATAGAATACACAAGTAGCCAGAGATTGAATGAGATCCAGAAGGAGTTGATCCTGGCCGCGCATATCTGCGCTATAAATCTTGTTCTCGTCACATTGTCAATATTCCATGTTGAAAGGACTTGTGGTACAGAGAGAGAGAGAAAGGAAAATGGAAGCTTCATGCACAAATTATTATTAAAAAGACGCCAGTGTGTTGCAACTGCTCCTAGGGGCGACCCGACCCTCAAACAAAGCCCCGTATGAATATCGATACGTCAGGAAACCTCATTCAAGGTCGTCGCTTCACGAACTCCTCCAGATCCGCCTTAGTGGCCACACCAAGTACGAACTTGCGTGCGGGGTCTGTCACAACAGCGAACTGGTGCTGGTCGCCATTGGCACCACCCACGCTGTCAAAGAACTGCTGGAGCTCCTCCAGAGGTGTCTCCATAGTGATGACCTGGTAGGTGCCGCGCTTCCGGTTAAAACGCTGCATAGCCGCAGATACAGGGTCTGACTCCTTAACGGAGCCAGTCTGAATCAGTTCCTTTAATCGAGGAATGCTGAGGTAGCCCAGGAGGGATCGCTGAGCGGAGATGACGGTAAGGTGGGTGTAGTCCCGCTCATAGGCGGCCATCAAGGCGGTGGAGATGTGATCATTGGGAGAAACGGAGAGTGCGAGAGGAGGGTCGAGATCTTCGACATTGGCCTATGGATTTTATATTCATGAGTTGGTGCTTGCTGAGAATTACCCGTTGAGGGGCAGACTCACCCCGCGGTACTTATCAGCCCATGCGGAAGGAGGTGTAGAGGCTGATTGTTGAGCCTCGCGAGAGTAAGCCTCACTGCCGGTCATATAGGACGCCATTTCTTAGCGTGGGTGTCAGGAAGAACGAGGATTTGCAGGATGGAGGGGCCCGATTTCAGAGTTTGAGGTAGGATAGTGGGGAAGCAATGAATTCGTCACAGAGGATCAAAATGAGCAATTGGTAAAGTTGTTAATATTGAACCAAATATCAATGGGTCTTTATTGGTAAATTAAAAGAAATAAAGTAATGTAGACATGAACAAGGAGTAGAAATCAATAATTGTCACGAGATTGAGCTTTTTGACCCAAATCGGCGCTTTTCCTCTTTTTCCCGCGCCAAGACCCTCAATTCCTACGTCATTCTTCTTACGCTCCTGAGCCTTGCGCCCCTCAAACTTGTCAGGATTTCCTCTCTTGAATCTGTGAGTCACTTCAGAGAATCTTTATATTTTTGGAGAATTCTAGCTCATTTAATCTCGAAAGCACTCTCTTGACCAGTATGTTGTTGATACGGCAAAGTGGATCCTACCACTCTCAATTCAGCAAGATCGCTGCATTGGGACAACGGGGGATCCACTCTCATTACCCACGCTAATACAGTATATCATATGTCTAGTAAACAGACCGCCATGATTCCCACAGATTCAATTGTGAACTTTCTGGCAGCTCATCACCCCCTCGGGGGACTGGGCATTCAGCACCACCCCGCCGTGGAACAGTCTGGAGCCCGACCACCCCGCCGTGAACCCTTCCCGGCTTGGAGTACTATCGATGAAGTAAAGAAAACCGCAGCGCATGAGTTTGAGGCTGCAAGCCAAAAGGTTCAACAGAAGGCTGGTCATATCGAGCTGTGGAGCCCCAAGTATTATGCCGCTTGTACGCTTGGTGGACTTCTCGCTTGTGTAAGTTTGGACCTATGCTGCGTTCCTAGTTGTGTGACTGAGATGTATTAGGGTCTTACTCACACTGCGGTTACTCCCCTGGATCTGATCAAATGTCGTCGTCAAGTTGACTCCAAGCTCTACACTGGTAATCTGCAGGCTTATAGTAAGATCCGTGCAACTGAAGGTTTCCGTGGCGTCTTCACTGGTTGGAGCCCTACTTTCTTTGGATACAGCGTAAGTAGTCTAAGCTTATAGTATACTCTACTGAACATACTCACATTCCCCAGGCTCAAGGTGCATTCAAGTATGGTGGATATGAGTACTTCAAGAAATTCTACTCCGACCTCGTTGGTCAGGAGCGTGCCAGCAAATACAAGACCTCTCTATACCTGGTTGCCAGTGCTTCGGCTGAGTTTATCGCGGATATCGCTCTCTGTCCCTTTGAATCCGTCAAAGTCCGTATGCAGACCACTATTCCACCTGATATCAAGGGAACCTTCAGTGGTATCTCTGGAATTGTGGCTAAAGAGGGCGTTTCTGGGTAGGTCTGGACTCGCATTTAGTCTGTTTGTAAACACTAACCACCTTCCAGGCTTTACAAAGGTCTTTACCCACTCTGGGGTCGCCAGATCCCCTATACTATGATGAAGTTTGCTTCATTTGAGACTATTGTGGAAACGATCTATAGCAGTCTTCCCGGTCAGAAATCCGACTATGGAAAGGGTGCTCAGACCGCTGTTGCTTTCTCTGGTGGATACATGGCTGGTATTCTCTGTGCTGCTGTTTCGCACCCTGCGGATGTGATGGTCAGTAAGCTGAATGCAAATCGCCAAGCCGGTGAGGCCTTTGGGGCTACGATGAGCCGTATCTATGGAGATATTGGCTTCCGTGGTCTGTGGAATGGACTGCCTGTCCGTATTGTGATGATTGGGACACTGGTCAGTATCCGATGATCAGACTTGCGACATCAAGAATAATGCTAACCTAGTATTGTAGACCGGTCTTCAATGGATGATGTATGTGGTCATTTACATGTATTTGGCTCTTCGATATAGTACTGACTCATTTTTAGCTACGATTCCTTTAAGATCTTCATGGGTCTTCCTACTACTGGTGGAGGTGGTGAGGAAAAGAAGAAGAATCAGTAGGTCAACTATAACTTATATTATGGCTCTAGTTTTAGTTATTTCCTTCAATACAGACTCGGGCTTCTTTGATTTCATGGAACTGGCTTTTCGCAACTGTGAATACGTGATTCAATATCGGCAGTTCGTCATGCAGCTTGCGAATGTTACTACTACATGTAGTAGAATTTATTGGCACCCTTTTCCTTTTCTATTTCTCTCCGCCCTCCAGTGAGCCTCACTGCTCCAATCCTCATGGGATAGGATACACATTTGGTTCATGCCTCATCCTTCGCACCATGAATGGTATGATCAGTCTCCAAAGATTTGTCCATAGTCCGACTTGCAACAAACGGCGTGGCCAGAAGGCCAAGGGCCCCAATACCCGTCATAACCTCAAAAATACCGTCCAACCCATACACATATGCATCTGTCACACCTTTGCGTAAAGCAGACCCAACAGGCAACGTTCTAAGCGTGCTAACATAACCCTCCGCATTGTGAGCGATATCAGTCGGAAGTCCCAAATCGCTAAGTCTCGTCGCCATAAAGTTCTGCAGTACTGTTCCACCGATAATGACGCCGATGGCAAAGCCCAGCGTTCGGAAGAATATGTATAGTGCCCCGGCATATGCTACATCTTTGGCTGGCGAGCAAGCCTGCGCCGCAATCAGAAGCGCATTGTACAGGATACCGTGACCAAAACCCACAAAAGCAAAGATGAAGATCCAGCTGGCTGTACGGGTGTTCTTTTGCAGGAGGATAGAAACACCAGTAGCCAAAAAATAGCGATCCAGCCACACCAGAGGGCCCAGCGGTACCGTCCGGTTTTGGAAATAATGAAGGCCACGACTATCCTGGTGGGCAGAAGGGCAATGGAGACGGACAACACACCGACACCGTTCATAATGGCGGACATAAATTTAACGGATTGCAAATACAGAGAAAGATAATAGAGCTCGTCGTACATCTGATGAGACAAGTCAGCAAATGGTTAGTTTCAATGTTTTGTGTCAACAAATTCCACAGACCCCAACCTTGGAAAGGAAGGAGATCGTACAATAATGCCTTGGATAATACTGGCATTATATACAGCTAGTGAGGATTGATCTGTGAGTACAGACAGAGGTAGAAACGGGTGATTAGTCCCAAAGAACTCCCAAAATCCCGTTGCAACTATACCACACACACCGAGGCAGAAAGGAACCAAAGTCTGATAACTTCCCCAGGAGTATTGCACTCCACTCCACGAAAGCCCAATCAAAAAGACGGACAGGCTCGCGATAAATAAGATCTGGCCGATCCAATCAAGTGAGCGAAGGCTTCCTTCCCCCATTTTTGAACTTGATCGATACAAAAAGCACTAACCCTGACAGAGCCGATAGCGGGAAATTGATATAAAATGCCCAGCGCCATCCTGTTGAGGAGCTCGTACGATCCGCAAAGCAACCCCCGATTAGGGGCCCCAAGAATAGTTCCCAGTGCCATAGACGCTTGAACAATAGCAAGAAATTTTGGCCGTTGGCGCAAGGGAACCATATCAGTACTGATGATCGTGACAAGCGGAATGAGCCCACCTCCTCCAATACCCTGGATCACACGACCGGCTAGGAGGGTAGTCATATTATGAGCGACACATCCCACAATAGACCCAATCACGAAGAAGTCGAGAGAGGCAACAAGCATCTTCCTTCTCCCAAAAATATCGGATAGAGAAGCCATGATAGGCTGGAAACCTGCGCATGGAACCAAGTATGCGCTACCTCTCCAAAAGGTGCTGGTTGCGTCGCCGTTCAGCTCCTCGGCTATAATCTATTTTCGGCGTCAGAACGCCCGAGACCGAGGATTTGAGATACATCAGACTAAAAGCACTAACTGGAAGGATAGGTAGGAAGATAGTCATGTCCAATGAGGCCATCACACCTATTACTGAGAGGCAAAAGAGGACTTGAAACACCTCCCTGCTTGGTTTCCATTCTTGTTCGGGGACATCAGGCGTACGCGCCTCCTCTACTTCAATTTCCTTGAACCTTGTGTCAATTTGCACTTGGTTGTCTTCACTCATTGTGCCAAGAGCGTGAGCAAAGATCAGTCGAAAACCAAGAGGCAGAGGTGAAAATATGTGTGAAACATTTTGATTGCCATATTCTGCACAAGGACGAAAATGATCCGTTCACCGACTTTTGGGCATACATACTGAAGAGGGGAACGCTCTAAGCTATACATGCAAAAATGCACGGGTCGATCCGGCTACAATGGACAAAACCACAACCAACATTTGAAATACTAGCACTTGAGTGTAATGAGTATCGGGATGACCCCCTAGGGATGCGCTTGGAGATGTGAAGGGGGGGGGTGTATTCCGGAACTGTAGTATCTGGCAATCTTGTTACTTCAATGTTGTATATACAATCTCAAGTGCTCCAGGGCTCAGAATCTGACAAGGAAAATAAAACCCTGGAATCTGTACCCAACAACGGGTCCACGGGTCCATAGTGGGCCAGGGCTCGGGGTACATGGTTCCCGACTCGGAGGTCCCCACTAGGTACAGTACGTATATCGGGAGTCAGGACTCAGTCCTGGAGTCCGGGGCTCGGAATTTAGGTCCCGTATTCTCAGGCTGTATACATGTACTTCGTATTGTAAGCCCATTCCAAAATAGTGGCTGACCTAACGGAATTAAGGTTGACATGGATGGGGCCCTGGAGGTACGATGTGTCGGTGTAAGCACTGCAAAAGGGGATGTGATCGTCCAGTCATAGATCTACAAAATTGAGATAATGCATTACATCGATAGTTCGTCTCGACACATGTGCAGGCCCACTTTCTGTAACTGCTTATCCTGCCAATGAATTTTAGCGTCCTTTTTCAGTCGTAAATTCGTATACACACATCTGCCCAATATCAACTACCTAAACTCTACCTTTATTTTGGAATTATCTCGCCAAAAATAGCTAATGAAGCCTTGTGAATGCCATGAAAACACGAACTTGTGCCTATCTACATGATAAACATCCTTTTTTTTCTGGAGACTGATTAATCATCCCAATAAGCAATTTGGAACAGTTTATCGCATTGGCAGACCTTGGGATTTGCAATCAGAAATATTTAAGACGTAGGCGAATTGCATTCCTACTAGTACGAGTTGTCTTCGGTCACAGTTTGGTTTTCATTTCGAGGATTTCTCAGGCTTTTTCTACAATGGCGTTGTCTAGCATCTTCTATTCATGGAAATCATCCTTAAATCGTGTTTTACAGCGCAAGGAACAGGCTCATCATTTGACTAGCAATGAGTCGGAGACTCCTGCAATTCCTGATGTTTCTGTTGTTGGTACAGGAACCCAATATCCTCCCAACAGGATGGGGCCAGAGACCCTAACGGAAATAGCCCTCAGGCACTACGCCGATAATCCTGCGTAATTCTAACCCCTCCCCCACCCTGTTCTCTCCTTTATCATTATGTACTGATCTCATATATGCGGCCCTCCAGTCTCCAAAAGACTTTGGAGATCAACGCGAAGTCCAGGATAGAAGAGCGTTATAGCGCTATACCGCATAGTCACCCATTATGGCACCAATCAAATATACCCAGTATCAAATATTGCGACGAGCTTTTTAAGGAATTCGGTATTCCCCTCGCAGAAGAGGCCGCTAAGAAAGCCATGGCAGAATCGGGCAGCTTCCCGGGTGATATAACCCATATTGTTGCAGTCACTTGTACAAACACATCCAATCCAGGGTTTGAATACTTCCTGTCTCAGAGACTGGGGCTTCGGAAATCTGTTCAGCGCACTCTCCTTCATGGGGTTGGCTGTGCCGGTGGTGTTGCAGCTCTTCGAACAGCAAATGACCTCCTTCTCGGTGCTGCACATCAGGGTAAGCCAGCCAGGTGTCTTGTGGTTGCGTGCGAAACTCCATCTATTTTTGTCCGAAGAGAGTTAGATGACCTCGTCAAAGAACAAAGGCCTAACATTGGGCTGACGCTTTTTGGGGACTGTGCTGGTGCATTGGTGCTTAGCAATGGTGTTGGCATCATGGAATCTGAAAGAGCTCCCCTATGGAACATTCTCAATTCTCAGACAACTCAGGTCGAAAATTCAGGTGGCTGTCTTGAGTACAATGTTGGCCCATCAGGTGAGTGGCAGTGAGACGTCATCACGGCCGACTAGAAATCTCTTGCTACAGCGGCAAAATTCGCTAACAAGTAAACAGGCTACCTTGCAGTCATATCGAAGGATGTTCCTAAACATGTCTATTCAAGTTTGCCATCAGGCTTCCAGGAACTCATTGCGTCTACCAAATCCCTCTGCGAAAACCAATCGAATTTTGACCCCACTATCTATGACTGGGCGCTACATCCTGGTGGCTATGGCATTCTCACTCTCGCTCAGCAGGCTCTGGGGTTATCAATGCACCATTTGCGGAAGAGCTATGAGGTCTATACAAAAAGAGGTAATAGCAGTTCCTCCACTGTGCTTAGCATTATGGATAAGCTGGCGTACGAACAAAGGACAGGTGAAGCCGGAAGAGACAAACTCATCGCTGCAGCCTTTGGACCTGGTATTACTATGGAGTTGGTGGTGCTAGCCAAAGCATAAACAATGGATATGAGCATGTCGATGTTCAGCAGGACTTGTCTTGGAGACGTACGTAGATGTCGCCCGAGTCTGCGCACCAAGGATAGCCTCGGTTTTTTACTTATATGTTGAATTAATATTTAATATTTACCGACAAGTTCATCCACTGAGGAATTTTATCATTATGTAGGGGACACTAGAGCAATTAATAGACACACCTGAAAAGTACCACATCGTAGAACGAAATATTCTAACCTTAATACTTCCAAGGTTCCAACTAACCAACCCAGATCGATGGATCCAGGGCCCAGTGGGGTCACCTGGGCACAATCACTGAGCACTTGCTGAGTGCTCACTGATTTGTCATTTGATGGAGACCCGGGGACTGGAGGAGCAGCTTAGTGAACCTGAGCGACCTCATTAAAGCGGCGGCCACCGAATGAGGTAAGCCCCGTCGGGAAAAATCCAGTAACTACATCTACCTAGGTATTACATATAGCATTGAAAAATTCTCACTCCTTCCAAGCAAACTTGAAAGAGAACTTCAATGTTGAACACTCCCACATTACTGTAAATCTGATCGAGCAATATCAAATCGTAATGCCGTGAGCGCTATCAGTAATTAGTCACCGCATCAACCAATCGCTGCCACTTATCTTATCAGCGACGTAATGGCGATGCAAAAGAAAGCATCATGTACTCCGAACTCTGTACTCCAAGGCTTCCTCTACCACATACTGCCACGTTCCCTGAGCATATGGAGGGAGAAATCAAGACAAAAATCAAATCAGTCTTGGCAATTTCATCGAGGGATTTCCTCGTACCGGTTGATAGTCAGCCGCACTAAACCTCGTACTCCATAGTAATCCCGGTTGATTCTCGTGGTCTACTAGAATGATTTGATTTCTTTTCCCCCTTGGATTCCACTTCTTTACTTCTTTTTACCCATCCCTAAATTAACTACCGATTAAAATCACGATCGATCCTGAAATTTATCCCCGAGATCCGGTACCTGCATCTTATCGTAAGTCCCACCGGTAAGATCCTAGTCAGTCCCTGAGGAGCGATAAGACTTTCTACTTCCCAAGGTTCTTACCTCGAACTTCACACTTCCACTTCTCGCTCTCCCAAGCTCAGGCTTGAATCTTACCTTTTCTACAACTTCATACTCATTCTTCTCTCGCTAGAATAAGCATCATGCCTGACGAGTCGCCTATGATCTCCCACGGCCGCGGAGGTAATTCCCCTCACCATAAAATGATCATGAACCCCACTAATAATCAAATAAAATTCCAGGTCAAGGAAATATCGGTCACGATTCCACGCAGTATGCAACCCTTCCTCATACTTATCCCAGAATTATACCAATCATGATACCCTGAATCGCGTACTCTTCAAGACGCTCTGCCCCTCATTCATAAATCTACCCCACTATCTACCTACTGAATCATATGAACCATATGAACCATATCCAGAAATCAACTTCTAATAAATTCTTCCAGATACATTGACGGTGAGATCGTCCGCGAAGGTTCCTACGGTGACCAAGGTGATGGAGCATACTCTTCCGGCGTAAGTCGCATTCCCTCCTGCACAGCAGCATAATAACCTACAATACTCATACTCACACCCACACTACTATTCCTCCTCCTCCTCCTAATATATATATATATATATATATATATATATATCTATTACTGATACTATACTAATCTATATGAAACAGCGCGGCGGCGCAGGAAACATCGGCTCCCCAAACGTGCGCCCAACCTCCAAAGTGCCCCACGACGCGGAAATGATCCCCGAACTAGCCGTCCGCAATTCCACCGATGAGACATACCACACTGGTGTAAGCTCCATCTTTCTTATCTAGCGAGGTAGCTGGGCAAGGCTAACCTCTTATTGTGTTGATAGCGTGGTGGTCAGGGAAACGTTCATCTTGACGAGCAGAAGGAAAAGGAGAAGGAGAAGAAGCATGTTGCGCATGAGGGGTTGGCGGATCGATTGAAGAATAAGCTTCTGGGGAAGAAGTGAGGCTTTTTTCCCCTTTTGTTTTTTCTCGTAAGGTTCTTGAATGGTGGAGACTGTGGGGTGTGGTGGTGGAGCGTGTGGAGTGATATCCGATGACATTCCAGTTTTATGGATATGGGGTTTTGCGGATATCTGGATGCCAGTGGTTTTTTGCGTTTGATTCCCATTTCTTTTGATTTTGATTTTGATTTTTGGAGGATTGATCTTAGGTTCTTTGATATTTATATGCAATATGATGCGATTGGAATTTGTTGTTTTTATTTACTCGATTTCAAGTATAAAAGGTATAGGGCTAGGTTACTGATCTTAGTAGAGATGTTGAATTTCTGATTCAAATGTAGTTTATTCCATAGAATCAATCTCCGATGTACATCATTCAATACTTCAAATGTTTGGTAACCCTCAAGGGCCGAATTCATTGTGCAGATCAAATCCAAATGACAGCTGTCCTCGTGGCGCAAGTAAGGGAAACAGAAATGAGGAAGCTATCCATGTAAAGGGAAAAAAACAATGAAGAAAACAAAAACCACAAGAACCCGAACCCCATACCCTAATCCATAGCCCATGTATCATAACGGCATTAAACAATGCATCGAAGTCAAAGCAATCAGCAACAGGCGAAACAGAAATCAGGAAAATCAGAAAATGGCCACATGTCCCATAAATCAGTGCAGTGCAGGAAAGAAAATGAAACTCAACGCCGATGGGGGATGATGGTACATCTTTCCATGAGGAATTGCGTATTCAGTCAACAAGGAAAACAAGAGGAAATCAGAGAAAAGAAAAGGAAACAGGATCTATGATCTAGACAGCGTAGGTGCATCTAGATCTAGTCCTTACTGAATCGTCGCTTCAGCCAACTCTTGCGCTTCTCGTTGTCCTTTGCAGGCTTCTTGACCACATTCACATTCTTCCCAGCTGGCGGCGGAGCCATTGGCGTCCTGCCGTTGGCACTGGGGCCAGCCCCGTATCCATAATCTCCCTGACCGCGCTCATCCATACGCTGCTGCATAGTATGCTGTTGGATCTGGTCATTTGAGCTATTCATCGAGCTAGGATCAGTCGATTGGCCGTATGGGTCTGTAGAGCCGGAGGGAGAGCCGGATAGTGCGGTAACATTATCGTAGGAGCGTCCACCGTTAGCATACATGGCCTGGTCGGTTGACTGGCGAGGAACACGGGGTCGACGCTGGCCGCCATTCTGACCGTAAGGGTTTTGGCTCTCCGGTGCCTGGCTTGAGCTGGCGCCGTAATCGACGAAGCTGTCTGGACGAGATTGGCCGCCGCGACCGTAGTTACCGTTCTGTTCGCCGCGATTGGTGTATGCGTTGGGACCTGATTCAGAATTGGTAATTAGCACTCTGCTTAATGATCCGTTGGTATCTTTGCTATGTATGCCAAACTCACCGTAGTAGCTTGTTCGTCGGCTGAACTCGCCCATTTGTGAAGCGGCATCGTCTATAGTGCAAAGATCGAAATAATCAGCCTGGGGGGGATCCACATGGGTGGGAAGCGTATGAGCACAACGAACCTGTTCGGGCATAGGAAGTCGGGCGTTGACTAGTGTATGTTCCATAAATTGCTGCCTCGAACGATCGAATGGTATCCAGGGGGCGCTCAAAACGCGGACGAGTAGGGTTTGACCAGTCGGGATCAGCTATAAACACGCAAGGGTCAGCAAGAATGTGGTGCGGGGAGGCCGTCAAAAACGTGGGCGCGAATCCTCCCGTCAAAAGTGCAAGAAAGAGATGGGTTTAAAACGTACTGATCGCGTTTCCAAATTGATCCTTATGTTGAATATCTCTCAATGAGCCCAGATTGGATTTCTCCAATGCGACCAGATCTATATCAGGCATTGTTAGTGTGGTGTAGCGGATATGCGACCGGAGAAGTGCTCTTCTCTTGTCTTTTCCGTTCGGGTGGAGAAAGAGGCGCGATAAGAAAGATTTGGGCGGACATACTGGGTTGTAATTCGTTCATAGCGACTAGAGGATCGGCTTTGGTGTGTAAATTGCGACGGGCTTTCTCCTGGGAAGATTCGGAGAGGTTGCTCTTATGACCGGAAGTGCGAGAACGATCGGATTTGACGCTGAAACCACGACTCCGTGCGGGAGTCGTGGCCTGTTTGGGGGGCAGCCATCTCTTAAGAGAGAAAAAAGAGCGGGTCACCGTTTCTTTTTAGCGTCCGAGATCAAGGCAACTGGATGAGCCAACTGAAACGGGAGGTGATCTGCTTGAGCTATGATTGTGGTGGAGCGGTCTTAATGAAGGGTGGACACTGCCAAGACGGTTTTCACACCAGTTTGAATGGCCAGCGCGAGTTGGAATTCGAAGGATAAGAGACGCTAAAACCGGTTCTCTGAGCGCTAGTTCGTCGGGGTTTGAGAACTAGGATGTGATATGTATTGTAGTGGGGGGAGAAGGAACAAGGAAAGAGAGAGAGTTCAGATCTGGGGGAAGAAGAAAGATCGGGTGGAGTTTCACCGTTAGAAAATGGGGAATGACAATGCTTTAAATATAACTCAAAAAAAAAGGCTTCAGAGAATCAAACTCTTTTTTATCAATGTTTTTATAGGTTGACGGCATACGCCACGCAATTGGGAAGAATTCTTATACCTAGGTACCTAAAGTATTGGGTGGCTGCTCGCGGGTCCTTGGGAGGGTTCGAGGCCGCGCAAGCATGAGCAAGCTGATTGTGGGTCAGATCTTGCAAATCAATGAATTTTTTTCTTTTTTTTCTCTTGCAAGAGTACACTAGACTCGTTTTTCTTTTTCGCACCTGATCTGTTCAAAATGTTGTGGTACGATTTGTTGATATACGATTGGTGATGTTCTGGTCTAGTGTCCACTATAGTGAAAAGGACCGAGGGTAAATAAATAGTAAAAAAGGTGCGAGCACTTGAGTATGCAGCACTATCCGGTGTACATGATCTACTAGTCCCTTATATATGGCTTCAAGATCCAACCTCTCCAGATATCCCTTTATATGTATGAATCTCAACACACTCACCGGAATTGAAATACAATAAAATGAAAAAAATGAAATAAATATTGTGATGCATGGTCACCCGCTCTATTCCAATTGGTAGGGCTTTGCGCATTATGACACTCTTTTGGTCCCACTTAATGTATTTTTAGGTCTCGTGTTGTATCAACACCCGCCATCTCGCTAATATCTGAAACGAACACATCCATAATGAAGAGATGGTAGAAGACGTGGCTCCGACAAAAGTGATCGGAGGCAACAGCATTAATTCATACTCTACCCTAGATATGCACATTACTTGTCAGTGTGGATATTCATAAACTTAATCAATCCAATATGACGTGGAAGCCACACACTCAATACATGTTCAAGCTTTAAGAGATCCTGCCATGTATACCCACAGGAACTCGTATCTCGAATCAGATCTTGTTGGTCAATTGCGACAAAGCGCACGGGAATTGCTGATCAGGCTTGTTCTGCCCCACTTGGATCATCATCCGTATTGCTGTCAACTGGTACTCCGTATTGTTTACACAATTCCACTCTGCTAAACAATTTAGCGCGAATTGTCTCAATCAGGACATGAATACGAGATATCTTTCCAAGGTTATCAATATCGAAAACACTAACCCAGTTTACCTACTAAAAATGAATTACACATGCAACATTGAAGCGTAGGTTATCTCTAACGTTGCCTAGGTGATAGTATTGACTATTGAGATAAAGCTTATGAGGCTCAAACTTGAATAGCACTAATCCATCACACGTGCACTGGCAACCCAATCAACACTTAAATCTAATTTAAATCTAATGTGACTTTGCTTCATTAAATACCAAGGTACACAACACTTGAGGTCATACAGCATTGAACATTGAAATCTCCCCACCAGTGATGCTGCCAGAAATGCTCATGTTCCGTGATCTTTTATCCGGTGATCGAGTCTTTTTCCAGCCACAAATGCTGAATCCATTCTTGCAAATATTAGCGCGTGCTCTTCTCACCTAACTTGGAAAGGTTGCCTTAAGGCTAATCAATTTCGGTCCCCAGCCTCGCCAATGGCAGATAATACTTCCGAGGTGCATGGTTAGGGCCAAATATATAAGTCTAGTCTCCACCCTGAGCTTCCGGGCCGGGGTCAAGCAATTCCGACTCCGAATCCCTCAGATCAGGATGGACCAACTACACTTCTCCAGTCCTTTCCCAATATTTCAAATGTTCGAATGTATGTTCGAATGTCTCTAAGTCCAACCCGGAAGGAAATACATGGCGCAATGAGCATCTGAACAACTTGGTCAACTGGTGTTAACTTGCGGGTACCCTTGGGATTCTTACATTTTTCATTCAGGGAACTGCCTTCCTACTACTTTTGCTTCCTGCAGCTCCACTGCCCTCCCATATCCGGGAACTGGGTCCATATGCCTGCATTTCCTTGTCTCAAAGGGAAGCAAAGGGGTTATGGGAGTTATGTCCTACGATCAATCTCATTCCACGCATTGCAGAATCACTAGCCGTACATAGGATCCCTCTTAGATGTCTAATCGAGAACAGGGATCCGAGGAGTCTGCCATACATCAGTCGGAGGAAATTGTAATAATTCTGGGCGCGATCGAGGTCGACGCTCTTCAAGTGAACATCCAAGTGCTGCCAGTGGCATCAACACTCAAGTGCTTGAATTCTACATGTACTAGTGCACTTGTGGTCCACGGTGATATCGTGCTTTGGTAGCAGTGCTAATCGTAGGACCCGGAAAAATTCACCTGTGCAATAGAACATTGAAAGCTTGAAAGGTCGGAATTTCAAGTTGAATTGAGTTCTCGAAACTTCAATATTGAAAAGGTGCTGTGGACCCCGGGCTACATGTCACCTGCACACGTGGGAACATGATTATGTTGCAATGCTCATGTATAGTAAATGCAAGGCTCAAGTGCTTGAACATTTGAACAATCAGTGCTAGATCTTAGGAACTTGAAATATTATGTAGGACCCGAATCGTGGAACTTGCATATAGTCAACTGGTATATGTACTTGGATATTCCTACCTAGGTACTATGTAGTAGTACATACTATGTTGCGATGAGACATCTCAAGTGCTGGAGCTTCAGGCCCAGGTCATGGGTTTAGTACTATGTAGTACATACCCCTGACATATATATGATTACTACCTAGGTATGTATGATAGTATCGAAAAAAAAGAAAATAGAGAAAATCTATTCGAAATGAAACATGCATAGTATGTGCCTCTCAAGATTATTTAGGTAGCAACACTTGCATCTGGAAATATACATACCACCTGGGCAGTAATCGATTTCCAGATTGCAATATTAAGGAGTCGAGCATCCACTATCCACTAAAGGACCTAGTAGCAAGCAAGTATTCCAAGTTTAATCCCAAGGTTACCAGGTGTTTTTGTCCATCATTTTCTTGATATACTCCCAGCTGGAATATGAGATTAAAGTTGGACCGCTTGAAGGGTCCATATTTTAGCATATACCCAGGTTAGCATGCACACAAAACTGGTCAGCTATAACCAAAATACCGGCGGTAGACAAGGAATGTGTAGATTTGGGGAGAAACTTGAGGACACTGATGTCAGGCTCAATGGCAAATACCTAGGTCCATGTAGTCAAAATTAGAATCGACTGTCCACACGTGCGTTCAATGTTCATATGCACTATCAGGTGAGCGCTACTATTAGTAGGTATTAATATATGGATGATATCCATTGGTATCCGATCCAGATGTCTGGAGTTCACTAGCAGCGAGGCACCTAGAACCCGAGTACTAGTAGTTCCATGTATATGCCAGTAGGAAGACTCGAGAGTACTGCATGTGAGACTCACATGTGCAGAAACATCAACCTTGGAATGGATCATGGTTGCCCAGGTGTGGAGGTCAGGTGGAGTCGATGAGCCAGAACCCGGGGTTAATACACACATGTAAGCACCGAGGTTGCAAGGTTGATAGTACCTACTAAATAGGGTCCAGATGTACTCTATACTAGAAGTAGATATCTGGAAGGGAGATCAGCGTCTCCAGGGCTCCACTTGCGCCCAGGTGGCTTAGCAAAAGCCAGATATAAACTACAAGCTCCCCATCCAGATACTAAGCAGACGATCAACTACGATTGATTGGAACATCTACTCAGACACGGGTATGTGTGCATCTGCAGATCAGGCGCAATGGGTGGATATATTTTGGTTCCATAAAGATATGCCATGGGTGAGTAGCCAAAGCAAATGGAGATACAATTCTTCTAGCTCCAAGACAGGGGCTCATGGGGAGAGAAATCGAACTCGATTAACCGGTCTGCTGAACATGATATGGAATTTGGTGTGTATGAGCGTCACAGATACACAGTGGGAGAAAGGTTGACGCTGCATGACCAGCAAAAGTATGCATGCGCCAGTGCCAGAGAATAAGAAACAAGGAGAATCATCGAGAGACTCTCTTCTTTTGGGGAAAAAAAGGCATCTCGCTCCTAGTTGGAAAACCGACACACAAGTGAAACGTGTAAAAAGTTATTTTTTGATTCGTAGGGCTTTGGATATTGGCCCTGCCTTCTCCCACGAATAGAACGTTATCAAACCGCCAACTCCCATCACCTCAAATCAACATCGGCTCGTTCCGTCGACTTTTCCTTGCCTGACCGACCGTTTGTCTGCGCGAAGAAAGGGAATCGCCCACTAGATACAGGTATGCCGTTTAGATAGAGGAGGGGTAGAGCATGACGCGGACGGTGGCACCGAAAGACTTGGGGGGGAAGGTTGGAGCGGAACTTGGCGCGAACAACACCGGAGTTACCTGGAGATAACCGTTAGATTAAGACTGTCCCCAAAAAGAACCAAGGGTGGAATTTGAATTTCACATACCGTGAGGACGGGTAACCTTGCCCCAGATGACCCGAATGTTGGAGCCACGGACCTCACGCTTAGCACGGTAAACGAAAGCGACCTTCTTGCCGAGGTAGAACTGGGCAGCCTTGGAGTCCTCAACACCCTCAATCTTGACCAAGCTGTATCATACAATCAGATTCCATTCGTCCCATTCGATTATACGTCTGGCGGGGGGTTGATAAGTACCTGGTGTTGGGGTTGGTGTTGTGCTTAGCGCGCTGGTAGCTAAGGTGGCGACCCCTAAAAAATCGATATTAATCCTCTGTTATAATCGAAGTCGACTGTGTGCGTGTGTGCATGTGTTTGGATGTGGTAGAGGTGTAAAGTGGTCGTGATCTTCCATTTCCATCGAGTTTCCATATTCTCTTGCTGATCGAACCACTTTCGGATTTGTATGTGCGGATTGATGTTTTGATATGATGCGACGACAGATGGATAGTAACTTACTTAACGTAAACTAGAAAGAAAAGAATATGTTAGCATTTCAAGTTCATTTCGGATTCCTGATCTCCATCCCGACGCCTCCAACTGGTCCTTGAAACCGATTCGAGGCGAACAGATAACTGGTATTTCTTGAGGGCGCACTCACGGCGGTGACCTTGTTCCGAAGGCATGTTGACGGCTTTTCTCTGAGCGGCGGGCGTGGAAGAGAAGTCGAAGGAATGACCCGCAAGAGATCAGAAGTCGTTGCCGGTTGTCGTGGATGTCGTCGCTTCGATAGAGACGAGCGCACAATCAAATTGCAAGGTGTGGTGGCTGACTTTCGCACTAGGCCCAATTTGGATCTTAGCGACAGGGTAAGCGAGATCCCGTGATTTCACACACTAGACCCATTCTAGATGTCTAGATTCCCTGCCCGGATTATTCTATGTCCGATCACCGAGATCCCCGGATGTACCTTGATTATGTGATCAGATAAAAAAAGTCAATATCATGTGACTTTCCAAGATCATCAGCTGATCTTCCGCCTTTGTTTTTTTTTCTTCAAGCCCACTGGGTCCCTCTCGGGGGCCTACTCAAGTTCCCCGTCCCCGTAACTGTACTTAGTTTCTGCCACCCAGCTCGGGCTACAGTAGTCCGGCCCGGTATGTTGGGGCTGGATGCATAACGCTGACAAACTTCATCATGACGACACCGTACCTTAACCTAGTTTTCTTTAAACTCGGTTGAGATGAACGGTTATAAGAGTGGATCGGCTTTTGAAATCACGAAATTGAATACATTACCCCGTTCAGTTTCCCATTATCTCTGATGATGTGTCAGTACTAATACTAGTGTTCCACACCTCTTCCATCTATATACGACGGATATCACTGCTCCGGCGTACCACAGACCGAGAGCACTGATTGGGAAATCCAGAAACCTCCCCATTTACCTGCCCCACCATCCTGGTTATCGGATTTACACTATGGAAGAATCTCGGAGCGATTTTTCAAGTGTTTTCTCGTGCGAGTCAGTCATTACAATAGGATTACTGTAAGAGTGTTTTCATGGAAGAGTACAAAGTACCTATAACCTACCACAGGCTCCAGGGCTACACTCTCTATGGTTAGTACTCCATCCCGCTTCCCGAGGTCCTGGGTCTATATACGACCTAGGCAAAATGTAAAATAAAAAAAAGGTACCAGGTCACCAGGTCTGTTCAAGATGTTCACGTTTAATATGCTCCGAATCCGGCGCACTCTGGACCGAGCGCTTAACTCGGGTTGATGCCCCGGAGATACTACGATCCACGGGAAAATAGAATCCGTCCTGGTATGAGAGATGACAAATGCGCCGATCTCCCTCCTCCACGATTTCGGTCACCGGAGAGCTTTCTTATCAAGAGACGAAGAAGTACCATACATTACTTGAATACCAAGTAATACACCAGTATTTTCAGATCTGCTGAGGATATACTAGTAGAGATCAAATATAATGATCCCAAGAACAATTAGAGGGAGACCAGCCCCCTTTTAATTCAACGATCTTCCGGAAGGGGTTCGATTGAAATCCTGGGCTACAAGGATTAGGTATAGTGGAGCTGTGATACCCTCCCTGCAAACGATCCTTACACTGGGGGTGACTTCAACCCTGTTCGTCAGACTGGGCCATAGTGTTGCAGTCAGGACAGATTCAGGTGCTTATACCGAAGAATCTTCCAATGAAACGCCGCATTTCATGCCTTTTATAGATGTAGATTTCATGACGAATATTACATTGGGACTTCTAGAAGACTTTTTCCATGTATGGTCAAAGCCACGTACTCCACATCCATTCAGGGCGTTTCGAAGCTGCACGCAAGGTACTATGAAGTACCATTGTAGTAGCCAGGAAATTAATCGAGTCACTGTACTCGGTATGTATGGGGCGCTTATCAGATGACCTACTGCATTATTTGTATCCTATAGTATCTCTCTTCTTGCTCCTACCCCCTGTTCTTCGCTTCTAGAACCACCTATTCTTGTTACTTGGACCGGGGTTGGGGATGTAGGTCTAGCTATGTCGCACCTATGAAAAAAAAGCCCCCAGTAAGCTGTCATGGCGGGGTCAAGTCAGCTGAGACGGTAGAGAGATTGAAGTGAAATTGAGAATAGACATTTAAAAAAGTAATAAAAAAAATAATGAATAGAAAATATGATTTAATCATATAGATGTGAAGATAGGACTCGAGTTGAGACTTGATATAGCTCTACTAGTATAAAATCAACAGCAAGCTTAGAATAACCTTGAAATAGATTGATTCCTAAGCTACTTATAAAGGAAAGAAAGGCGAATGTAAGTACAGATCGTCGTAAAAGATGTAATACCCTGAAGTCATAAAACATAAAATACCTAGAAACCCATCCAAAACCGCCCCACCACAGAGCTCACGCATTAAAAAGTACCTGCTCCGCCGGAACTTGTTGGTTCTCTATTTCCCCCCAACATCTTGGATCTCTTCTTTTTCTCTTTTTTCTCTCCCTATACCTCTGATTTTGGATCTTTGATCTGCTTCCTTTTTTCTTCTGTTTCATATAAAATTATACCCTATTGCGTGTGCGTGGAAAGATGACCAGCTTGATCAACCAGTCCGATGAGCGCCAAAATGCTGGGTAAGTTAGCCCGTTCTTCTCTGACATCACCTTTCCCCCTCCTCCGGCAGCGGATGTGAGCCACACCTCCAACCTTCAACCCATATCAAAGAATTGTTCGACCGTGATCTTTTTGTTTTTCCCCTCAATATCTCATCTTTGAGTTGTTGGAGTCTGGGCAATTTCAACCTGCCCCGCGGCTTACTACCCTTCCCCCCGCTTAAACCCCTCTATCGGCTGTTATCCACAGCAAAATTTGCGCTTGTCAATCACACCCATCCCTTAACCACGACTGACAATGGCCTACCATTCCAGCACCATCGAATTGAAGGATAACACCATCATTGTGGTGCTCGGTGCATCCGGCGACCTCGCCAAAAAGAAGACAGTTCGTGCCTCGGGCTTACGCTTATTCCCCTTGAAGCTTGGTGACTCAAGACTAACATATTACTCAGTTCCCCGCACTGTTCGGTCTCGTACGTGACAACGACAACAAAAATCGACTATGATTTTATCAAACTGACCCATTGAATCGTTTAGTTCCGCAACAAGTTCCTTCCTAAGGATATTAAGATCGTCGGATATGCACGGACAAAGATGGACCATGAGGAATACCTGAAGCGCGTGCGCTCGTACATCAAGGTACCCACAAAGGAAATCGAAGAGCAATTAGATCAGTTCTGCACCCTTTGCAGCTACATTTCCGGCCAATACGACCAGGATGAATCCTTCATCAACCTTAACAAGCACCTCGAGGAAGTTGAGAAGGGTCGGCAATCTAAGGAGCAGAACCGTGTCTTCTACATGGCTCTGCCTCCTAGTGTTTTCATCACTGTTTCCGATCAATTGAAGCGCAACTGCTACCCTAAGACTGGCTTGGCCCGCATTATTGTGAGTCCTCATGGAAAACCGCGTTTTACCGAGGCACATAATTATCATCCCTTCACCTGTTTTGGCTAACCTCTTGCTTCCCCACTATAGGTCGAGAAGCCTTTCGGTAAGGATTTGAAGAGTTCGCGTGACCTTCAGAAGGCGCTGGAGCCCAATTGGAAGGAGGAGGAGATCTTCCGTATCGACCACTACCTGGGCAAGGAGATGGTTAAGAATATTCTCATCCTACGATTTGGGAACGAGTTCTTTAACGCTACATGGAACCGTCACCACATCGACAACGTTCAGGTATGTATTTTGTGGAGTTCGATAGGAGAGACAAAAAGAAAGGACAAAAACGATCCTAATTCCTTCTCAGATCACATTTAAGGAGCCATTCGGTACCGAGGGCCGTGGAGGATACTTCGATGAGTTCGGTATTATTCGTGATGTCATGCAGAACCGTATGCTATTCCAGTCGACCAAAAAACTGGTGCAAAGTTTCTAACAAAGTATATAGACCTTCTGCAGGTCCTTACTCTGCTCGCTATGGAGCGCCCTATCTCCTTCTCTTCCGAGGATATTCGCGACGAGAAGGTCCGTGTTCTGCGTGCGATGGATGCAATTGAGCCCAAGAATGTGATCATTGGACAGTACGGCCGATCTCTCGACGGCAGCAAGCCTGGTTACCTGGAGGACGACACAGTGCCCAAGGAGTCGCGTTGCCCAACCTTCTGCGCCCTGGTTGCATACATTAAGAACGAGCGTTGGGATGGTGTTCCTTTCATCCTTAAGGCTGGTAAAGGTGAGTTTTGCACGCTAGGATTACGAAGAGTTCTTCCACGATACTAACATTCATTCCAGCCCTGAATGAGCAGAAGACCGAGGTCCGCATTCAGTTCAAGGATGTCACATCTGGTATCTTCAAGGATATCCCCCGTAACGAGCTTGTCATCCGTGTCCAGCCCAACGAGTCCGTCTACATTAAGATGAACTCTAAGCTGCCCGGTCTGTCTATGCAGACGGTGGTGACCGAGCTGGACTTGACCTACCGCCGCCGCTTCTCCGACCTCAAGATTCCCGAGGCCTACGAGTCCTTGATCCTGGATGCTTTCAAGGGTGATCACTCCAACTTTGTCCGTGATGATGAGTTGGATGCCAGCTGGCGCATCTTCACTCCGCTCCTGCACTACCTGGACGACAACAAGGAGATTATTCCCATGGAATACCCCTACGGTAGGTTCCATACTATCAAATTATACAAGAAGACTCTTGCTAATGTATTATGTATAGGCTCTCGCGGTCCTGCCGTTCTTGATGACTTCACCGCTTCCTTTGGTTACAAGTTCAGCGATGCCGCTGGCTACCAGTGGCCGGTGACCAACACAACCCCCAACCGTCTGTAGACGGGGTGGTTTTTAGTGCTGTTACGACGATACGGGCGGGACATGAAGACGAACAAAATCCATTTATTTGATTTCCCCTTCTACTTCTGATAGCTGGCTGGGTTGAGCTGGCGGGAGTCGCGTCACAGCGATTTATTCGGGCTCCAGAGTCGAAGCTAGAAATGGAGGCTGAGCAATGAAGAAGGTTACGCAAACATCTTGAAGCTCTTTATGATTTTTCTTTCTTTTTCCATTCTCTGGGTCTAGGTTTCCTTGTTTCATGGTGTTTATGTGTATTCTCGGTATTAGGATATCTCCAACGATAGTATCCTATTGACTTCATAATCTGGTCCCAATGCTTCAAGTTTCACGTATATTCTAAATTCGAGCACTTGAGTTGCTATTTAACCTCACTCAGTACTGATCTATCGATTTAATAATCAATTTTGATCATGATATCCATGGATCTTGGATCATGCCACAGCATTAATTAGTACTCCTGACCCAAGACCATGACATTGGGTACTACTAGTACGCATAAAACTAATGCCGGGACTTCATAATTCCTGCATCGAATGTTAAGCTAAGATCTGTACTCCGTATATCCACTTCAATGTCTTTAGCCCCAGTCACCAGTTGATACTTTACTCCGTAACTTTTTTAATTAGACTCCATTTTGTTCTAAAAATGGCATCTTATTACTCAGCCCACGCAATCTGCATCCGTGGACTGCATTGAGGTACGACGCCTCAAGCTTTATACTTCATTCCCCTTAAACACAAACCCAAATTTTAAACCAAATAAGAATATTCCGATCTTCAGCAACAACTAATTGTCAATGCTTACAACCGAATCTGGCACCTGTCAACTCAGATCGATAATTCTTTGTCTCAGCCCCTTAGCGGGTCTGGCGCAACGATAAGGCGCCCGGGGGCCCGCATGAACGCTTAGGCCAGGTCCTTTTTTCCCTCCTGCCATCCGCTCCGCGCCGCGCCCAGGAAATACGAAACACAAAGGCATTGGAATCTGTTCCAGGACACTTCCGATAGCTCTTTCCACGCAGCGACGAACCTTCAATCTCAACTGCCGGGTCACGCGAATATCACCCTGAATCAGCACAACCCGCTCCGCCGCGAATTAATTCCTCTGACAACCCCTCGATACCCCGTACCTGGTCTCGTGCTTCACTCCACCGAATCCTCGTTGCTCCGAACCCTGATCCTAAGCTCGTGTCTGATTCAGACTGAATATCCGTAAATACGAATTCCGGCACATAGGCAAATTGGAGATTCCCATTCCACGTCCGGATCTGGACGCTTCACAGCCCCACGCCCTGCCAGCGCGCCGGTCCTATTGTCAATCTGCGGATTATTTCACCAAGTACAGCGTGTAAAAACTGCATTGACGACTGCGCGCTTCTCCACCCGCATTATTTATCCCGCGAAATAAATACCCGGTGCATTGGGCTTCGTTTCTATTTTGTTCTGAACTCAGCTGCGGAGTGCATGCGACTGCGCGCAGCAGGATGCCGCAGACTGCACGATGGGCCGGGAGTCCCTCTATTAAGGGGAAGTCGGAGTCGATGCGCATGATGCTTTTGACGTTTAGTCTGGTGGGATTACAGTGCGTGACCCTCTATCTTGCTGGGATAGTTGCATATACATCCCAGGACGCATTCGGCTGGTATATCTGATGAGCTTTCGCTAACTGGGTTTTGGTTATGGATAATAGATTTACCTGGGGTACTGAGATGACCTGTAAGTATATGGATCCCGAATGATAACTTGAATATCAAATTGTGAGTGACGCACTAATGATTCTACTTCATAGACTGTACGCCGTATCTTCTTCAACTCGGCTTGACGAAATCGAAAACTTCCTTGGTGTGGATTGCTGGTCCACTTTCTGGATTGATTATCCAGCCTCTCATTGGTGTTATTGCGGATCGGTCACGATCGAAATGGGGCCGACGGAGACCTTTCATGATCTGTGGATCTTTCGTCGTGGCGTTTTGTCTATTCGTGCTGGGATGGACTGCGGAGATTGTGGGGATGTTTGTACAGGATCCGGAGAAGGTATGACTTCCACAAAATACTGAAAGAACTAAGACTGACTTTGTACATAGGCTAAAAATGCCACCATTGCATTGGCGGTGTCAAGCATCTATGCCGTGGATTTTTCTATCAACGTTGGTAAGGGAATCTCCTTTTTGTTTGTATAAGATCGCCGCTCATAGTTACTAGTACAAGCATGCTGTCGCAGTCTGATTGTGGATACATTACCGATTCCATTGCAACAAGCTGGATCTGCTTGGGGTAAGTTTGTTCGCCTATTACGCTCTGATATTATTCTAATTGCATGTACAGCGGGCCGAATGTGCGCCATTGGACAACTCATTAGTTACGTTGTCGGTTCTATCGACACGGTCAGCATTTTTGGAAGTCTTTTTGGAGATACTCAATTCAAGCAGATGACTGTCATTGCGGCGTTTTCCTTGATTGCCGCTGTTGCGGTTACCTCATACTCTGTGAAGGAACGCGTCCTTATCTCGCCAAGGTAAACACTTCGCCTTCTATGCTTTGAGTCCCAATCTAACGCATTCAATAGAGATTCGGACGACAAGCTTGGCGCGTTTCAGGTGATAGCACAATTATTCAAAACTACAATGGAATTGCCGCCGCGCATCCAAGCCATCTGCTGGGCTCAATTTTGGGCTTGGATCGGTAAGTTACGTTGATCAATTCATTGATAAAGAGGAGACCCTTTCTAACTTGGTCACAGGCTGGTTCCCATTCCTGTTCTACAGTACCACATGGGTGGGTGAGACGTACTTCCGATACGAAGTACCCCAAGACGCGATGATCAATACGACCGATATGCTCGGCGAAGTTGGTCGTGTGGGCAGTCTATCCCTGGTCGTCTTCTCCTCCATTACTTTTTTCAGCGCTGTTGTACTCCCATTCTGTGTACAAGCCCCCGATACCAAACGCTCTCGCTTCACACCCCGCCCACCTCCAGGCATGGCCCGTATCCTCAAAGTTCTGACTGCAATCCGTCCGGATCTCCAAACCGCTTGGTTAATCTCACAGATCATGTTCGCCGCAACGATGATCTTTGCACCGCTTGCTCATTCCCGCGGATTCGCCACCTTCCTCGTCGCAGTCTGCGGTATCCCTTGGGCAATCAGCAGTTGGGCACCCTTCGCCTTCATGGGTGTAGAAATCAATAAGCTCACTATGAACGGCGCTACCGCTCCCGGAATTGCAGCCTCGTCTACCCGTTCCGGCGTGACGATGATCACATCTGCCAGTCTGCGCAACAATCCAGCCGCAGACACCGAACTGGAAGTCCTGCGTCTGAACCACCGGGACTCAGATAGCGACACAGACGAAGAGGATCCATCTTCCCTCTCCTCTAACATTCCATCAACAGGCGAGCTGGCGGGTATCTATCTCGGCGTCTTGAACGTATACACCACCCTACCCCAGTTCGTCGGAACATTCATCAGCTGGATCGTTTTCAGTATCCTCGAGCCAGGCGCCAAGCCTAGCCAGGATGGCGATGCATCTGATACACAGTGGATGAACCTTGACAAGGATAAACCTAACGCTATTGCCGTGTGTCTGTTTATCGGTGCGTTAAGTGCGCTTGTTGCTGCTGAAGCAACTAGGCGATTACGATACGTGCTATAATTGGACCTGGCATAGCTGTATCTATAGATTTGTGAATATTACATTGTTACAAAGAGGACAAACGACATTGTACATGTACCTTGAACTTTTATACAGCGTGCCTGGAGATATTAACATGGCGATGCGTGCATATAGCTTGATGATATAGTAATATTAATGACCATTTCTCAGATCCATTGATCATCCTTCAAGTAGATATAGTGTAAATGATCCTTCGGTCCCAACTTGAACATCTAAACCAATGATTGGCTCGGTATTGATATACTTGAGTCTCGGGATAATCGGGATCAACGATCTTAAGTGGGGCATGACGAGAGAATGATCTATACAGACCAAAGACTCCATGTCTCAAAGCTCCAGGCGAACTGGACTTACGTTCACCTTTGCTTCGATCACATTCATCGAAAATATCAACTTATCTCAATGTTGGAATTATAATGGCCCCTAAGATCCTAATCGTTCTAACTTCCTTCGGTGAGATCCCGGGAGTTGGACCTACAGGATGGTACTTGGTACGTGATACTAATATCTCTATTTCGAGCACCAATATCTCTACAACTCAATTAATCACCCTATCATCATTTATCAAACTAACGAATTCACATCTAATAGCCTGAATTCGCACACCCTCACGAAGTCTTCCACAAAAAAGCCACTCTAGTCATCGCCTCCCCAAACGGCGGAAAAGCACCACTAGATCCGAACTCCGTAAAGATGTTTGAATCAGATCCTGTGGCGAAAAACTTCCTAGATACACAGGAATCCCTATGGACGAATACGGAGAAACTTGCGGATATGCTGGCCCGGGTTGATGAATTCGATGCGATATTTTATGTTGGTGGTCATGGACGTAGGTTTCCTTCCAATGTTCTTCATGAAAACCTTCAAATTGAAACTAATAGTGAGATATGATTGATAGCAATGTTCGATCTAACAACAAACAAAACCTCAATCCAACTAATCGAATCCTTCGCCGCAAAACACAAACCAATCACAGCAGTCTGTCACGGACCCTGCGTTTTCCTAAATACCAAAAACTCATCTGAGGAGCCCCTCATCGCCGGTGCCCAGGTAACGGGATTCTCAAATGCGGAGGAAGATGCGGTGAAGTTATCAGCAGCCATGCCATTCATGCTGGAGACGGAGTTACAGCGTATTTCGGGGAAGTATGTTAAGGCAGAACGGGATTGGGGGGGTTAAGGTTGTTAAGGCTAGAACTAATGGGTATGGAGGGGCGCTTATTACTGGACAGAATCCTGCTAGTGCTGGTGCTGTTGCTGAAGCTATTTTGGATGTTTTGGGTTGAGATTATTATTTTCAACTTCAAATGTCATAGGTTTAGTGATGGGATTAATGCTTATCAAATGAGTTTATTAGATGTCTTTTATATGGAGAACACAAATGTGGAAGATTTACTAGATGATTGCAGAAGGTCAAAAACTAATTTTAAGACTAGCGGACTAATATCCTACTTTTAACAAACAAAGCGATTCATATTTAATAGCAAGCTGAATCGGCTTGAGAAATTCAGTAGCGAAAGGGGAATAGAGCAACGAACAACACAAGAGAAGCAGGTCAACCCAATCTGGGAAACAAATGTCGAGGAAACAAATCAGAAACAGACAGAAGAGGATATCAGAAATGAAACCGGATATCTGTCCAGCCGACCAAGAGAAGGAAAATATCAGACTAAATAGTGGTAAATCACAACCAGTAGGTTCCGTCAATCGTATCGCAGTATTTCGTCTTGTCCTTTTTTTCCTTGGGAAATTTCTTGTACGATTTTCACAAGAGGATAAGTTGAACAGTCGTGAGACATGGTCGAAAGCAAACACGAAAAACAGAAAGTATATCTGGTGAGAGCGAAAGAAGGAATCGAGTCCTGGGTTTGGCCCAGTGACACAATTAATGTAGGATATGACTTGAGTTGAAGGTGGGAAGTAAAAAAAATGACAAATTTTAAAATTAGATCAGTCTGTTAGACTGAGTGGGTGTTTAGGCTTCCATGTTGCCAGTGAGCTCAGCGACACGAGCCTTGATACGAGCGACACGAGATTCGATAGCTAGAGAAATCAGATTAGTAGTTGATCAGGATTATGCTGGTGAGTGTGACTTACTCTCTTCGCCACTGGTATCTCCCTCGTCGGTGCGCTCAGACTGGCTGGTGCGGGTTTCGGGTTCCTCCTGGACAACAGCAGTGCGTCTAGCAGCATTCTCGCGAATCTGCGCCCATCGGTCCCCGGAAATCTGCACAGGGCTGACTGCTTCGACCTTCTCCTCGTGACCATTGGTCGGGGTCCGGAGGAGCTCAGGCTCAGTGGGGGTGATGGGAGTGACGGGTGCATCCTCCTCGGGGACAAAGGCAGGCTGTTCAACCAAGGGACCCTGGTCAAACTTGGAGAACTCTTGGTCAGCAGCATCACGCTCATGTGTGCCAACGCGAGACAGAGCATCATACTCAACTCCACGTCTGGTCTGAGGTGGGCTACCACTACCAACAACTGTAGTCTTCTTGTGGTATTTGATGTGCTCCTGGTCCTCCTCCTGCTGCTGAGGTGTGGATGGCTTGACAGGCTCTGTGGTCTCAGCAGTAGACTCGGCTGTAGCGGGGGGGTTGAGTAGGAACGGGCTTCTTCTTCAGCACAGCCTTGGGTGCCGTTTCCTTTGGAGGAATCTCATGGGCAGCCTTGGCCTTGGCTTCGAGGGCAGCACGGGCAGCGGCTACTGCAGAACTACTGCTGGGCTCCTTCGAAGGAGAAGTCTTAACAGGAGCCGGTGCTTCGACCTTCTTCTTACCAGCACCAAACATGCTCTTGAAACCCCCAGTGTTGCCAGCCTTCTTCTTTGGCTTCTTGCTTTCCTCGGCAGTCTGGCCCTCGGACTCAATAGGCTCTGCCATAACGACAGTGTCGGCATCCTTGATTTTCCCATTTTTATCCTCGGACTCCAGGATCGCCAAGGTCTTCTTGACTGGCTCAGGGGAGGGTGGAAGTGGCGTCGCCACCGCAGCTGTGTCCTTAGGCGGTGGAGGCGGAGCACCCTTGGTTGTAGTTGGGGGAAGAGGAGCAGCAGGTGTCTGGGAATTTGTCTCCGCAACTGGCTCAGACTCAGGCTCCTCGGGGCCATCAGCAGCCCCCTCGGAAACAGCGCCAGTTCCCGCACGATGGTTACTCAGATAGGCGGCACGGAATTCATTCTTGTCATAATTGCTAGCCCACTTCATTGCTGAAGAGGCCTCGTTCACGATACCGGGCTGAAGAGTCATAACTGAGTTGGTCTTGGTAGAGTAGGCATCGGAACGCGACTTGCCACCAGTTTGAGAAGCCTCCGCCTCCTGCTCACGCTGTCGCTTCTGAAGAGCAGCGGCAGCAGCCTGGATACGCTTGTGTTGATCAGGACCAATGCTGGTCTTGCTTTGCGAGCCGGGGTTGTTAGGTCGCTTGTAGGAGTCCTCCACAGAGGAGCTGACCTTTCTGGCTGAAGACTTCCGGCGGTTAAGCTTAGTGGTACCCATGCGACTACCGAAGCTGAAGAAGCGCTTCTTCTCAACAATCTCAGCCCCGGCATCCGGCTCCGGAGCAGCACCCTTGATCTGCTCCTCAAGAACCAACCATTTGGTATCCCGAATGACGGTTTCCAAGAGAGCACAACGACCAAAGACTGCCTTGCGTGTCGAGGGTTCATCGCCAGACAAACTAGTGATCCAAACCCACCAGAAAGAATCATCGAGATCCAAAGAGTTAATACTAGCCAGCTCGGCTGGCTCCAATGCGGGCTCGGTGTCCAACGAACGTTTGTGAGACTGGGAGCTCATTCCACGGGTAGCAGCAATGGGCGGCAGAACCTTGTCCGGTGGCAGGAGGAGTCCAACGGGGCTCTTCATGCTGCTTTCATCAGAGAATCCAGATGACATGAAGTCTGCCCAGGATGGAGTGGTTGGACGGCCCAAATCACCTGTTTGGGACTGTGGTGCAGTTTTGATACTAGTGGCAGTGTTAGATCTCCCAATTGTGAGGGTTCTTCTCTCCTCATCCTCCGGGTCAGAGTCGATAGGGCCGCCGAATCCAATATCCTCAAATCGAGACCAGGATGCATCACGCAAGCTAGTCGACTGCTTTGAGCTTGATACACTTGATTCGTTGGTTGATGAGATACACTTTAACACACGCAGACATTCATCGGTCAAGGCCTTGATTGGGTCTTCATAGCTGGCAAATTCTTGCAGGTGCCAGTGATCGTCGCGGTATTCAAAGTTCTTTGCACGGCGCAACAGGGAGAAAGGTGTGGGTGATACAGTGTCCACAATCATGACCACCTTTGTGGTTGTCACTTGAAGAAGAGTTGGGGTCTCCGGAGGATACTCTGTTGCCTCGACTAGGGTTTGCAGGGAAATTGGTAGCGATGAGATACCAGAAACTCCACGAGAAACCTCTGGGGAAAGCGAGCGCAGGTAAGCAAAGAACAAATGACTTGTCGCATCGGCCGCACTATTCAATTTTGAAAAAAGTTAGACATTGTCACCGCAATAGGGAAGAAGGGTTTCATACGCGGCCCAGTTTTTGTATGAGGCTTCAAAGCCATTACCAGTGTCATGATGCTCAAAAGCCCACCAACCAGCATATCGCGACAACTTTCGGCCACCTAGACCATTAGATTTACCATGCGCCGCAATTGCAGCTAGTAAGTCAAAGAAATCAAAGATAATCTTGGTACGTGCATCAGAATCCACACTAATAGGGATAAAAGTTGAAAATGCATCACGGGCCAAATCCGAATCTGGATGGTGTCAGCAATTAGGTTCTCCACAATCCTTTCCCGCGAAACAATGTATCTATACATACCTTGTTCACCAACTTTGAACATATCATATGCTTCCCAGGTCACTACACCACCTGGCAATCTGCTCCAACACCATTTCATCACACTGCAAAGAACCTGCATGGTTATTAGCACCGCACCATTACTCTCCATTTGGCGTTAAAGCCTAGCATTTTTTTGAACCATACCATAGGCTCATTGAGCCGCAGCTCCTGCATCAACCCATCACCACTGACTGGGGCACCCTGGTCAAAAGACTGGTTGAAGTAATTCCGAATAAATGTACGGGCGGCACTCGGATCAGAGCTAGGGCGGAAAGGGAGGAGCAGGAATGGAGTATCGAGAGCTATGTGAAACGAACAAATGATCAGCAATCCGGAATGCGCGTGGGTATCACCACCACATGGTCGAGATGACAATTAATTTAAAATTGCTTGAGGTTCATTTACCTCGCGCCTTCAATTCCTGGGTACAGCCCCGGATCAGATCTTGTACTTCCTCCGGGGCGACCTCAGACCGTTGCCAGGCATCAGTCCATTTGGGCTTTGCGGGGTAGTGTCGACAGCAACAGCAGTTTTAGCTTTATTTTTGGTCGCGGCAGAGTCTTTGCTCCGAAAAACGCGAGAAAAGAACGGCATTGTTAAGGAGATTCACGCGATCGCAGGGGAATTGACTGGGCGGGTATAGCTGCCCGAGGCACGCGTTCTCCGTTGAGGGGTTCAAGGCGGAATTTTTGTGATCTGCAATTTGCAACAAGCACGACCGTTAGCAGTAGTTTTGGAAAGGGAACTGGACCTGATGCATAAAACTAACCGATAATTTAACGAAAGAAGTTGAAGCGTAGTAGAGATTGAAGAACCAGGTAGAAAGGGAAAAAAAAATAATAATAATGCCCGGAGTGTCCTGCAGCGCCGGGATAAGGCTCAGGGTAAAAAAAAATTAATTAAAAAAAAAAAAAGGAAAGGAAAGGATCCCTGGTTAGGGAGTCTGTGCTCTGTAACAGGTTCTCTCGGAACTGGAGAGAATACCTCAATAAATTGAAAAAAGGAGGAATAAGAGGAAAATAGATCAACCGCACAAGATCTAAAGGAGAGAATTCCAATGTTCCAAGATGGATTGAAAGTTGAGTCTCAGGGGTAAAACGGGATCACACTAACTGGGTCGAGACCGCCCTCTTTGTTTGGAATCTATAGTTTTACCCCGTATAGCTTGATTTTGGGTTAATATTTTTTATTGAATCTGGTAATTAATATATTGAGATTAAAGATCCTAGTAGTTTGAACTATATATGAATCTAGATAAGCAAGAATTGGATCGGAAAAAATCCCCTCTAGAGATCAATGGTGGATGGAGTATACAAAGTGTGTGCGGAGAGTGGATGATACCGATGGCGATCATCATCTCAACTCAAATTGACTTTGTTTGAATCCAGGGATTCACTGTGGGCAGTAGTATGGAGTACAAATATTCTAGGAGGAATAACGAAATCAGGAGAGGTTAGAGAAGTTAGAGCTATCAGGTTAACATCGTATAATAATAATAATTGATCAATTGATACATAGCTCAAGTGCTGGAGTGGACAGGTCAATTGGTGCGGGAACCAATCAGAATTTCTATCACCTAAATCCTTGTTCAGTGCCACAATCACATGATACCTCTGTTTTAACATTATTATTGGTTACATAACTGGAGGAGTTGTATTAATTAGTTAACACAATCATGATAGTATAGACAAATATATCTAGTTAGCAGTCCCAAGTTGAGCACTTGAAGGCATTTGAACCTTGGAAATGTTTGGGTACTACTAGTAGTAGTAGTTGAAGTTGGGTGCCCAGTCCAGACTAGGACTACTACATACTAGTACTGCAAGATGACATTATATATCCCGAAGTACCTATAGTACTAATTACTAGTATGTATCCTTAAAACCCGATAAAAAGACTGGGCAGCGTCTATTACTGCGTGTGATAAATTATTATTTTAACAGATATCTGCCAATCTAGTAGTGCTTGAAGTGAAAGTTCAAGTTTTCAGCTCCAGAGATTTAATAACCAGTAATACCGTGACTGTTCTTCTTCAATGAGACCCTCAGGATATCCAATTAACCCCAACTTGAACTAACATAGACTTGAATTAAGAGCACATGAAAAATCAAAATTGGATGGTGATACTATAAAATAAAATTAAAAATTGGAGATCACTCAGAAAGTGATCATGGTGCTTACCTAGGTATAGGGTTATGTCGGAGAATAACGATACGGGAAGTCAAGTTGAAAGCTTAGACCGCGTGTGATAGCATGACACTCGACCCATTCAACACAGCACAGACGCTTGGCTTGCAGACTGTAATACTAACTATTCCGGTTTGGGAATTAGCGCGGTAATTATATTACCAGATATTCACAGACCCACTTTCCAAGGTTATGGCTGGAAGTTGATATCACATATTCAACTACTTTGTATAGAGTACTTCAGGCTATATAGTTATATGAATCTGACAGGCGTCAATTTTAAAGAGTAGACATATTAACCAGTTCAAAGCAGAGCAACTGACATAGCAATAATCTCAGTGCTGGAAAATCCTAAGGGCGAAAGGTTCATATGGTTAATGCAAACATGACAGACATGGAATACTGTGAGGGCTCAGAGTTGAACGAAGGGGGAGAAGAGTAACAGCTCCAAGTCAGCCCTACTGGCCAAGCGGTTTAGCGGCTCCAGACTCTTCAAATGTTAAGAAAATAGAAGTATTGACCAGGGTGGTCTGGGTGATGGCTGAGTTGACACCAGAGGGCGGGCAGGGATTTAGCTTCGGTTGGGGATAAAGATTTTTTAAATTTTTGATATTTTTATATAAAGGATTTCCAGACTCGCTTTCTCTATCACTTCCTTTCAAAAATCAAAAATAATCAAGAATGAGTGAGATATAAAGGGTGATGTTCTGGTACTGGATGTATCAAGTGAGGCTATTCGCAGCATCTCGTCTGATGTCTGTGAATCTCAAGGCCAGGGGCTCGACTCCAGCTATTGCGTTATCTTTATGGTATTAATTTCCTTTCTTGCTCTAACTATATGTAATCCCTCCTGCTATATTTATTCAGTGTTCAGATCTCACATCCCAGTACTTTCGAGGCCCGCTTTCATCTGACAGGCGAAACACAACAAAGAACAAAATCTTGAAGACTACCTGCAGACTACCTGAAGAGTGCGCAACAAAGAATAACAAAGTCGAAGAAAGGAATTCATCCCCCGCCACCATTCCAAATTGGTCAAAACGATCGATCTTTGTCCTGCATGAGACCCCTGAACCATGGACCCTCGAACACTCCACCTTTCATAGATCTCCCTGAGGTCCTATATATAGTAATACGATTTCCAACATTTCCAATCTAGACTTCATAGAGTAAAGAGAGGTACTTTTTTCTAGTTATTTTCTCTCCTGCAACTTAGCCGCGAGCTCTTTTGCATCAGACTCTCTGATCCAATCAACAAGAGGCTCCACTGTGACGAGGGTTATTAATAGACTTAGCGGCCTCAGGCTGCTGATGACTCAGCCGCTCCTTTCCTTTTTCTTCCTCGAGTTCACCATTGTTCTATCTTTAGAATCAACCTTTTCTGCATCATCTATCACCCCCCCCCCATATCTCATCATACCGTGGATCGACTCTTTAAATTTCGCTTTCCCCTCCCCTTCCTTCAGGATTTCTCCAGGTTTTTTTCTCCGTCAGTCGTGTTCTGTGGGTTTGAACCCCCTGGAATCAAGAATTGACCTCGAGACGCCTAATTCTCGTGTCGTCGACTTCGCGAAAAACAATTCGCGCTTGTGTATTGCGCGCGTCAGATTGTCTGTTCTTCATAGAAAATAATTCAAGGGGGGAGATCAGGTAGAAAGCTTGACCTCTGCCCAAGGCGACTCCTTTTTCTCTTCCACTAGAAAGAAAAGCCCTCGCGCGGGAACCATAAGCCTGCAAAATGGGTCGCCGAAAGATTGAGATCAAAGCAATCAAAGATGATCGCAACCGCTCAGTGTACGTGATACCATAGAAAATTATTGGTGTAGGCGTTTGCTAACACTGCTCCAGTACATTCCTGAAGCGAAAAGGGGGTCTCTTCAAGAAGGCGCATGAGTTGGCCGTTCTGTGTTCCGTCGACGTCGCAGTCATTATCTTCGGTCAAAACAAGAAACTCTATGAATATTCATCATGTGATATGCCCGAAGCCCTCGGGCGATACCAATATGTAAGTGGAAACTATTATATCTTTCTCCTACATTCGTGCGCGAATAACGTCAGCTAATAACACCCGTTTTTGTAGTTTGGGGGTCCACATGAACATAAGGGTCCTGAAGATTTTTCCGGCAAACGAGACGACGACGATGATGAAGATGATGATCATACTCCAGCACCCGAGGAAATGCAAACCCAACAGACTCACTCCATTGTTCCCCCGCATCTTCACCAACAACCCGGTTTCCAGCATATAAATCATCACCCCTCTGCGTCTCCACCAATTCCGAATGGCCTCCCAATACGACATGGTACACCGCAATCTCAAATCTCCCGCCCTTCGTCTAGAAATCATATTCGTCGCGTAAGCTCAAATCTCGGACCGCACCAACAACATCAACATGCCACTCCGCCGCCACCCGCCGCACAAAATGGCTACTATATGCCTAACCCGTCAATGTATAACCCCAATGTGCACTCTGCGATGAATCAACCTCGACCTCCACAATACGCCCAGTACACGCATCCCCCGCCATCCCAGGGAACGCCACCCCAAGGAATTACTCATCCCCACGGTCTACCACCTCAACAGCAAATGCCCCAGCAACATTTCCAGCATGCCCATGCGGTAGCAACTCACCAGATGGGAATGCCTCCTGGTTCACACGCGCCGGTACAGCAGGTCACGCAAGCCTATATGCATGACCAGAATCGGGGGGTCTATGCCTCCCGCGTTTCCCGAGAGCCAGGAGCGCGGAATGCCTGATAATCAAGATAATACGTCGGGTGGTCTGAAGCCGGAACACAGCCAATCACCACCCCAGCCGAAATCTCTATCCAAGTCCCGCAGCATCTTTACGCCTATTGACGATCGAGGATCGGTTCTAGCCCAGCACTTTAGAGCAGGTTCCATGTACGAGACGGCCCGGACAAACCACAATATGAAGCCCGACCCGCCACGCGACGATTCATTAGTACCGAAGGCACCCCATATGCATGTCGTTCCAGAACCTCGGGCACAATCGATCTCATCGACTCCAGAACTTAAACCTCCCCAGCGAACCAATAGTGCTCAAATGCAATCTAAACGACCGCAATTGAAAGTTCAGATCCCAAGCGAGAGCTCTGATCGTGGTAGTGCAACGGGTGATTCCTCCTCACGCGATTCTGCGGGCAATAAAACTACGCCTGCTAAGGGCAGCGGGGATAACCCTCCACCAGGGGGTGTCGTTCTACCCCCACCTTCACCTTCAGCGGGGGCAATTCTTAGCGCAGGCGCCCAAGGCCCCCCCGAACCCGTTCGCTCGTCCACCGCCACCGGGAGCTCAGCAACAAGGAAATACATACGGCAATGGGAGCACTAATAATGGCAACTCCAATAATATAGAGACGCCTATCTCTGCGCTTCCCAGCCGCTTTGTCTCCGATGCCTTACTCCCATCGCCTTCTAGTTTCTTCCCTGAATGGGGTTTTGGTCGTTCCGGACCAGACTCCAGTCTCCTGCCAAGTCCTCTCACTTTCCCCACTCCAGCCGTGCAGAGTGGACCAAGTTTTGCCCGAGAGGACGAGCAGGATAAGAAACGCAAAGAACCAGATGGGGGCTCAATGGACAATGGAACAAACAAAAAACCAAAACCTTAACATTCTTTTCCTCCACACTCATGTGAACCCTGTTGATTAAAATATCTTCTGATATACAGTCGATGAACACATACTCCACCTCTTTCTTTTTACCTTGATTCTATTTCCTTTGATTTGGTTGAGTCTAGGACCCAATGCTCTTATACCCCGGCTTGATACCTCTTCTTTTCTATCGTTTCATATTATTTCTTTATCTTGATGGTGTTCTATGTCACATGAATTTTACTTGATATATTTGATTCGCTTTCCGAGTCCCTTTCTCCTTGTCACTCTTAATTTCTTTCCTGCCTATGATTTCTCGAGTCTTTGACTTCAAGTTTAAAGTCGGCGTTGTATCTGGGCACAATTGGATCAATTGATGATGTATATAAAGCGTGTTCCTTGTAATAGGCTAGCAATGTCGAATGTCTATCCAACCTGTCACAGTAACTGACTCGAACTCGAGCCAGAAACATTCAAACTCCAGTTTGCCAATATCTGCGTAAATTGTGACTCCCAGATGCCGAGTCCACCCATTGGACCCTTTCAGGATATCCACTTACACAAACTTGAAATAAACCTTTTAATGTAACCATGAACTTGAACCGATCCACCTTAAAAGAAGATTCTTCTCAAAATTACCCGTGAGAGGTCCAATCATCCGTAACACGAGACACCGAACCCTCGGTGATTGAACATAAAGTGGGGTGGAAACAAACACCGATCACCGCCTCGTTATCATCGGAACCCTGAAGTATAAAACGTCATGATGGCGGAACCCCCGCTTCTTTTTTTACATTGACTTTGATTCTCACCAGGTACACAGGAACAAGCTTATTTATTCAAGTTCTATACAAAATGGCCATTACTGGTAGCTGCATGTGTGGTGCTATCCACTTCTCTGCTGATGGTATGTCAACACTACTTCGGATTAGATGAAAGGGTCTCATGTTGATGATTTCTTAGTGGATAAGTACCTCTCTGCTCTTTGTCACTGCACTGATTGCCAGAAGGTAAGCAATTCAAGTTCCCAATCATTCAGCAGCAAGCTGTCGAGTACTAATATCAATGGCATCAGTGGTCCGGAGGTGCCTTCACAGCTAATGCTGTTGTCCCACGCACCAGTGTCAAGGTGACCAAGGGTGCGTTTTTATTGCAATTTTCCAACTCAGCTATGACAGAATCAACTAACATGTTAAAGGAACCCCATCTTCCTACGACGCAGTCGGCAACAGCGGCAAGGTTAACAAGCACTTCTTTTGCTCAACCTGCGGTTCAAGCTTGTACACCGAGCTGGAGGTTATGCCAGATATGACTTGTATCAAGGCTGGAAGTCTGGATAACAAGGAGGCGAATATGGGTGGCAAGATTGATATTGAGTTCTATGTTAAGGATCGGCCTTCGTACCTTGCTCCTGTGGAGGGTGCGAAGCAGGAACCCATGTTTGGTTAATTTCATTTAATGCGGAGGCTGGAGCTAGTTTATGGAGAACACACACGTCAATTGTTAACTTGGATGTGGGAGTTGAGATCAATGGCCGAATTTGTTGAGATGAGGAGAAAATTGAGATTCAAGTGCTTTTCAGCATAAAATTCGAGTTCATTCTATGTACAAGGAAGCCTATCAATGTGTTATTTTTGACGGATTGTCGGTGGCTTGTATGTGAAGAGTCCGGTTGGATCTATAGGCAGAGATAATACCTCAGTAAATTCGGGTCATCTACAGAAATAGCTAAGCATCGCAAAAAGAAACAGTGACTACTAGAAAAGGAAGCCGGAGAGGAGAAATTGAGCTGTGCATAGAAATGTTTGTTCATATATTTGGTGCGCTAAATCCATGTTCTAGGATCTTACTTGGTCTTAGCATACTCGCTATCCGAGTACCCGGGCCACTCAGTCGGCACCGCATCTACTAAGAATCGGAACAAGGCAGCGTTAAGCTCCACAGGCTTCTCGAACATCACGAAGTGAGCAGCATCAATAGTAACCTCCGTCAGGTTCGAACAATTCTCTCTCATACGCTCCATAAGCCGGGATTCCTTTGTCTCGCAGATCACATCCCATTTAGTGTGAACGAACAACGCCGGCTTCGTGAACTTGAGTTCCCGACCTCCATTATACTCCGCATTCCGCTTATGATGCAAGTAATATGCCGAACCAGTCCAGAAGCCCGTCTTCTGCATATCCGCACTGAACGAGTCGAAGATCTCCGGAGGAAGAATTGGAGGTCCCAGCTGAGCAGCACTAGGAGGCTTCGCTAATCCACCAAGCCATCCGACCTTCCGCACCGTAGCCATAGCTTCGGCAGCTACCTTGGGATCAGGTCGCGGGCCAGGCTTCTGTGCGAACAAGCTGCACAATCCAGCGACATCTTGATCGAACCATTCAATGGTCTTTTCGAAATCCTCCTCGTATGCCTTTTGGTAATCCCATTGACCGTACGGGTATTTATCCTCGGGGTAGATATCACGGTTCACTAGTGGAAGGAAAGCATCCCATCCAAGCTCAATGGTATTGTATGGCACACAGACGTTCACGAGCGCTTTAACGGCTTCGGGGTGTTGGATAGTAACAGAGGAGACCACTCCGGAACCCCAGTCGTGACCCACCCAAACTGCGGCATCGCGGCCCGTGTCTCCCAGTAAAGCCATAAGACCTTCAACGATAGCTTCCTGGCAATAGTCATCGGCGATACGTCGAGCTGTGGACTGTCCGTATCCTGGCATATCGGGGGCGATGGCACGGAAACCTACGGCGGCGAAAGCATCCAGCTGACGTTTCCAGGTAATGGCAGTGGCAGGCCATCCGTGGACAAAGATGATCAACGGGCCATCCTCGGGGCCAGTGGCTAGATAATGGATTTTCTTAATGCCATCTGCATATGTCACTTCATGGTGAGTGATAGTCGACATGATGGCGGTTGGGAATAAAAAGTAGCAGAGAGGAGGTTATTAGTGTTCACATTGAGGGGCTTTTGTACTTTACCTAAAGGCGGGGCTGACAGATTGACCCGCAGAGGTGCGACGTGAGGCTACCAGGACAAGTCGCAGGCCCTGAAGCTATGTACTAGCGCGAGGCTAGCAAGGATTCAGTGATGTGTAATTCGTGTTCTCCGGGTCCACAATCCTTCGATTTCGGAAGACTTGGGGGCTTTGGGGGCCAAGAGCTATTGATTGAGCCAGTAAGAAACAGAATATCGGCCATAAGCTGACATTTGGAGGTGAGATACAATAATCATATCGGGTTGAACCATGGGATATTATTTTGAAATCTGGAAACTTGCTTTCAAACATGTTTGTCCCGTTCGCTGGTGATTCTTGCTTTCTCCACAGCCGAGGTCTAGCCCTCGGATGATCCGATATATAAGAACTTGAATCATCTAACACTCTTGGCGCTTACTGCAGAGATAGCATCTGTTCAGATGAATTAGGATGCCTGAAACCTTGGAGTGAAAGTCGGTCTTAACTTGAACATGAACCTTTGTAAAGAGAAAAACACCATTTATATCGTAGGCTGTCCAGCCAAATTTTGGGTATTACATGAGTGCATAGTCGTTTGACATTAGTGTAAAGATTAGCATTTGTGGCTCAAAAATGGGAGAAAAATGGGAAAGGGAAGAATCCACCTGTTATGGGAACGTTGTCAGATAGGTAGAGCCTCAAACTTTGGTCTGATATGACCTATTCTGGAAACTCTGTACACTGCCCCACTGAGCCCCCCCGGGCGCTTAAACTTCATGCACACTACTGTGATGGTACCCAATGAGCAAGTCAGTGAACACGAATAAGCTGCCACATACTCACCTGGGCATCAGCCGCAGCGCTCCGTCGCCCGACCAGGCGGTCCAAGCGGCGCAGTAGTTGGCTGGAGCTTGAATATGTATTCCACTCCTCCAAGAGGGCTCGCCCTTCATCGTGGGTACAGGTTTGTAAACTTTCACTTAGCCAGCTTTGTTCACGAACCAAATTCAACATCAAGCCGTCATAAATTTTGATTATGAAGACCCCTGGGCCGTTCTTGATCGCGAAGACCTCCTGGCCATGAATCCTGACCATGAAGACCTCCCGGAAGCGTTTCAGCGAGCGATAAGAGATATCAAACTGTACTCAAACCGTGTATGGGCGGTTGCAGGAGAAAACCTACCTGATTTGCTACCGCAAAGTACGCAAATGTTGTCTCATTTCGAGATACTAAGTGACTACAACGTTCATCAGTCATGTAATTTCGAGTTTTGTGAGTACTCTCAGCGTGACTTCACAGCTGTTCAACAGCAACATGAGTGCAAAGATGCCAGCTGCATGCAGATGCGGGGGCAGTTTCCAAGGGAAATACTCCACCATGCTGCCAGTAGTGGAAGTTCGACAGTGTGGAATTTAGCGGGGAACGCCATGCTTGAGCCTCCTCGACCATACATGGCAGTTTCTCATGTCTGGTCAGATGGCACTGGGCCCGGCGCATGGGAAGATGGAAGAGTCAATGAATGCCTGTACAATTTCTTCCGAGAGATTGCAGAACAGTTCCTATGTGAAGGGATTTGGTGGGACACCATTTGCATTCCAAGAGAAAAAGCCGCTCGGAATAAAGCCATCCATAACATTCAGAGCAACTATAAAAGTGCCCAAATCACATTGGGGCATGATTGCTTCCTCCGGAATTGGAACTGGAACCCAGAAACTGCATGCTTTGGGATACTAATGTCCCCTTGGTTCAGTCGAGGCTGGTCTGCCCTGGAGTTAGCCAACTCCCGCAAGGTGAAATTTATTTTCAAAGGACCTTCTGGACCTATGATAAAGGATCTTGATGAAGAGATTCTTGCAAAGACGGATGAATGCGGTGGCCCACACAAAGAAGCTACCAAGATCATCCAAAGCCTACGCAAGGAAATCACTTCTTTAAATGATCTCCTGACCGTGTTAGGCCCACGACATACTCTTGGCCAAAAGACCTTGCCATCATTTCTGCACTCCTTGTCGGTGTTACGCCGGAAGAGAAACTGCAGACTACATACAAAAAGATCCTCACAAAGATCAGAAAGATCTCATATGGACACCTCTTTCATGATTCTGCGAGCATGTCGGCCGAGCTCAGCTGGTGTCCAACTAGTTTATCTAACCATCTGCCAGGATGGAGTTCATGGAACGTGGTGTGTTAAGAAGGCCGATAGCAAGACAGAAGGAATTTGTTCATGGCGTGGTTCGCATCCACTGATCAGACAGATACTTCAAAAGGCCCTCAAAGATTCCGGTCGGTGCTGGCTTTTAGCCAAATGTGGTACAAAGTCAGTGAAAGAGGCATTATTGGTGAGGAAGATACAGGGCGTGCGCTATCAATACGTTGGCGCGTTACCGTCGAGATCTCATGTCAAAAAACATCAATGGTTGGATCGAGGAGAAAGTAACAATTTCAAGCCTGAATATCACGGACAAAGTGACAATGGCGTTCAAAAATCCAGGTCATCATAATATGTAAATTGGTAATGATCAAAACGCCCCGCCAATCAACGTTACAGAGGTCGAGATGTTACGACGTGCGGTATGGACAGGAGATCATAAGACAGTCTCAGAGCTGGGCAGAAAAGCCAAGCTACATGTTCCAGACTCACCTGGACAGTCCCTACTTCATCTTGCCGCGGAGCCCGGTGACACCAGAATAGTTAAATTTCTGCTGATGAGATCCGATTTGAATCATAGATCCAGCGACGGACAGACTGCGTTGCATCGAGCGGCTTGGGGAGGGTCTGATTCCGTCGTGGAATTGTTGTTGAATCATCACATCGATTCAAATGTGAAAGATAACGACGGCAATGTTGCATTGCACATAGCTGCCCGGATGGGATTCTTGTATATTGTTAGGATCCTCTTCAAAAGACACATAAACACAGGGGGCTGCAACAAACTCACAGCTCTGCATTATGCAGTCATAAATAGGCATATACAAGTGGCTCTACTGTTGCTCGAGAACAAGGCTAGAGTCAACGTTCAGGATGGCAAGCTTGGGTGGACACCGTTACATTGTGCAGCTGGCGTCGGAGATGAGGGTCTAGTCGAAATCCTTTTCGAAGCAGGCGCTGAAGTGAACAGTAAAGATCATGAGGTTGGCTGGACACCGATGCATCTTGCAGCTATGTACGGGCACAACAGCATCATGCGGCTGCTTAGGAGAAAGGGTGCTGATTTTGATGGGGAGGACAACTATGGTTGGACCCCGCGACGATTTTCGAACATGAAGGCGCCGGGAGCTGCCGAACTTCGAACTAGCGATTGTTCCGAAGCATTCGCTTGGACACCGTTGCACTGTATGTCAATGAACAACCAGAATGAGTTCTTCAAATTCTTGGTTAAAAATGACGCAAGTGCTTTTTTCTATCGTCAACATAAGAGAGTTAGAACTTGATTGCCACTGCACTTCGCTGCCGAGAATGATCTCAGGGCTTCAACTCAATGGCTACTTTATGAAGGTCACTATGTCGAGGATAGAGATTAGTCTGGTCATAATCCACTATTACTAGCGGCGAAAGAAGGGCACGTGGCCATAGTTGAACTGTTGCTTCAAAAGGGCGCGAAGATTGAAGTTCGTGATAAGACAGACTGCACGCCGATATCATGGGCAGTTAGGATGGGGCATGAAGCAGTTGTCAATCTACTGATTGAGAGGGGGGGCCAAGATCGATGGAGAACCCCGTCTCGTTTATCACTACGATCATTTGAATATTGTCTCGCCATTGGAATGCGCTGCTAGAATGGGATATGGGAGAATTGTAGAGTTGCTGCTCTCCAAGGGCGCCAAAGCGGAAGGAATTGGTATCTGGATAGATGATTGTCCATGGCACATGACACCACTAGGATGGGCAGCTAGGATGGGACATTTGAGTATCGTTGAAGTTTTGCTTCATGATGGTGCCAAGATCGATGGAAACAGCACAGACCCAAATCACAAAGAAAAAGAACTCAATGACTTTGCTATGACACCACTATTATGGGCGGCCAAGAGGGGACATGAGTCTGTGGTTGAACTGTTCTTGATGAAAGGTGCCGATATTGAGGGAGAGATCTCCAAGTCAGATTTATCAAAGTTGGTTGATCCAGGTCAAAAAAGACCAGACACCTAACCCAACATCACCACTCTCATGGGCGGCAAATTCAGGACATGCAGCTATCGTTGTGTTACTGCTTCAGAAAGGTGCAGACATCGAGGGAGGGATCACTCAGGCAGGAGATGACTGGAATTTGACACCACTAGCATTGGCGGCTCGTCGTCGGCATTCAACAATTGTCAATGTTTTGCTTCGCTGGGGCGCTGATAAAGAATGTATTAATAAGTCGCGTCGTGAAGAGGCGGAGCGAAAAGAATTAATGGCACGCTGAAATATTAAAATTAGTCCGCCCTTCAAGCTCAACAGTGCTGTGACATGACCGCCTGAGAGGTAGTCTTCCAATGCCATGATTCCAAATTATCTTCTACGATCGAATAATCGGCTTGGTCTGGAGCTATACAGTAAAATGGAATACTATTCAACTATCCAAGGTTGGAAGAGAACACTGATAGTAACGATATAATCTTGACAGTCTTCGGTGCATCAAGTGTGATCCCAGGCAGTATGGACGTATAATAATGAAAGCGGGCTGGTGAAGGAGACTGATGAATGACGAATGAGTGCTCTGATATAGACAGAAGTGGAAAGTACATTGAGAATTATCACCAGGGGACAAGGATCAAGGGACATGGCAAGATAAACAAAGACATGGGGAATGGGGAATGAAATAAACCTGGAAAACGGAGTGTGTTGACGAATCCCTCAGAGTATATGATACTGGTGACAGAGTTGAATCTGACCACGCGGATCAAAGCCATCAGCCCCATCATTGAAATCGAGGATCTCGTTGATAAAGGCCATCCCACTGCTTTCATCATAAGGATTCGGAACTGCTCCAGCTAGCGTAACCACACAGACAATCCCCTATGGAAACACCCCCTTGCAAAAACATCAACAACATGCATACTAGTTTCTTCAGGGAATCTGCAAATCAGTGCCGAGGCCAAGGGAGAACGGATGATCAACAGTTTAAAAAGCAGGAATGTGTAGAGCCAGAGGAGTTGAAGAAGCAAAGAAAAGAAAAGAAAAGAGGAAGAAGAAGAGGGAGGGAGTATTTATAGTGGGGAGTGAGAGACGCGAAGGCTCCCACTGTCATTCACTGTCATGGCCAAATTAGGAAATCCTCAACAATGACGGTCACCTGATTCCATTTGTTTGCTCGTCCTTGGACTCGCGTAACTGTTTCTGAAGACTAGCAGCTAAGAAAAATTTGCTACTCGTGATTATTTCTAATCTAGCACTCTTGACTCATGATACAACTTGAAGTTATGAATCTATGTCTTAGAATAGGGGTTGCTTGCAAAATTACGAGGTTGATTCACTTTATCCACTATACAACAATAGTACATACAGATGTGCATAGATACATGCATCATAATGTATCTGTCTATATAGGGACTCGAAAGTTAACCCCATTGAGGACACGAGGTGTGCATTTAACAGGGCTCCCATATTAGACCTTAACCTCAACCTCATTCGTGACCGCATACTTGCTCCACTGGCGAATAACAGGCCCAAACTTATAGAACACATATGGCACTGGTACCATAATAGCACTAATGCATCCCAGAATAGTCAAGGTCCAATGCACGCCCATATTCTTATAAAACGGCATTCCCACAACAGTCATTCCACCAGCAGCACAGTACCGCGAAACAGTCATGAAGCCCAATGCCGATGCCGCGTAGATATCATAAGAATCGATGACATACATGTATGAACTGATAAACACGCAGATAGTACCGACTCCGAAACAGGAGGATGCGATGATGGGTGACCAGTACGAAACAGATGAGTAATCTGTCCATCCCATCCAGAATAGCGATATGGGGATAAATGGTGCACCGAACATAGCGAACCAGAGTCGGATTTCGGGTTCGGTCGGCACGCCATCGAGAGCGTGGGGATCGGTTGAGGGGTCGGAACCGTTAACCGCTTGTGCTGCGGCTGTGAAGTCCTTCTTCGTCCAACTGTAGATGATTGGAACCAGAAGGGCGGCGAGGACGATACCGGCGTACATCGCGACCCAGATGATATTCGTGATTCCTTCGGAGAGGTTGTAGGTATCCGTAAAGATGTAGGTATACCCATCGAAGAAAGTGAAAAGCACAATGTACAAGACAGTCATGTATAGAGAAATGAGTAGGATGATAGGTTCGTGAATAGTAATCAGGAACTGGCGTTTCATGGCACCGCCGATACGAGTGAAGAGGGCGATTTTCTCGAGGTCCATCTCTGAGCGGAATCGCTTGTCACCCGTTATCTTGCGCAGTTGATGACTCTTCCACTTGAGTAGTAGTGGAGCATAAGTCTCAGGTTGGAATAGGACAATCAAGACGAGAATGGCACCAGAGCCGATGAGAATAATCCAGGCGCTCCAACGCCACGAAAGGACGTCTGTTTGGCCTATGTAGTTGGCTAGTACGGGACCCAGTACGGGACCACCGAATGAGAGAATCGCGTACATCGGGAAGAAGATGGTCTTCTCGAGCGGATTCCATAGATCGGCAATTGTGCCGCCTGCGCAGGTTAGGGGCGGGCAACCGAAGATACCGGATAGAAAGCGGAAAGCGAGCTGGGCGCCGATGTTTGGTGCGAGGGCTGAGCCCATGACGAAGATCATGAAGAGGGTCAATGAGCCTGTGTAGACGACGTTGCGGCCTAAGATCTCCGAGAGAGGACCACTAAATAGAGAGCCGAAGGCGAAACCCAATAGGTAGAGACCTAAAGAAATTAGCAAATGCATTTAGTTTGGGAAGTAATGCTGCAATATGATGAAATGAATATATGCAACATGTTTGGGGAATATTATCATTACCATCTACCAAGGACCCGACAACATCACTGACAGCGAACGCGGCATCGTTCTGTGGCAAAACACCCGAATCGATAGACGAAGCTGCACCTACAATCCAACCCAGAGCAGAGACGATCAGTGTAGCCGTCATTCGTCGACCAAGACTATAGTTCCGAGGATTTTGAGGATCATCAATGCCATCCCAGCCAACAATAAAGACGCGACTGGGTAGATCCGTCGTACTGTCAAGATCCCGAACCGTGACACCAGGAAGCGAATAGGCTATAGCGGCTTTCTCAGACTTGCGCGTCCGACTTTGCGCTAATGGGTGGTTGGATTCCGGAGCATGATGTTCGATCAAATCGGGGTTGCTCTCTGCAATTTCAGTTGCAGTGCTGGAGTCTGAATCATTCGGAGATGCCGCATGATCTTCTGCTTTCACAGAAGCACCATGTTGAGGTTGATCATCTTCGACAGGGAAATCCGATAGCTGTTTTCTCACAGCATTTCCCAAACGCCGATACTGCAGATAAGACTGCATTTCCAAACCTCGGGATTAGACTGAATTTTTCAAATCCCTTGGGTTGTTTTCTCACCGGTTAAGCAGATAATCTGCGGGGAACAGTAAGTATAGTACTTTCGGCCCCTTCTTTTTGGCCCCGATTGAATTGACTTTCAAGGTTGTATGAATGAACGATTCATGAAGAAAAGAGAAGTTTGCCAGAATGGCATTTAAAAACCCTTAACACGCTGAGAAATCCGAATTGTCCAGCCCGGAGACATTTTATCCAGGATCTGCGTATCGGTGGGTCTCTTGCGTAGGGCGTGCCCGATATCAAGAACGCTTGTTTGTGACCGGAAAGCGTAACTTTTCCCGATTGATGGCGATGCTTGATGTCATTCATGCCTGACTGGCTCACATTGATATGGACCAGGGTCATTCGTCTTCCTAGTTTTGTTTTCCTGGAAGTCCCCATAAATACTGTACTTTCTGTAATTTCTTGTGGCGACACGTTTCCAGGGCCAATATCAAAGATGGGGCTCGGATTTTCGTGAGTGGAGATCGGATTAGGGGAAATCGGATAGATGTCCGACCGAGAGTAGTTCGGTATTACGGCACCTTAACGGTTACATGCATGCACCCGATTGGATGAGGAACACAGAACTGAGTAATGCAGTAGCATAAAATATGGAATTAAGCTAGGTAGGAAGTGAAAGCATGGATTGTATCAAACATTACTATTGACAGTCTTATTAAGTCTAAGATGATTGTTTAACTTTTGGCCACAACAGCCAGAAATTCGGACAAGCCGAGGTGAAAAATTATTCATACATGAATTGAAGTTCCTCTTCTCTAATATAGTGAAGGGGCTGGAGAAGCGTTGGGCCGAATCTAGGCCTGGGTTTCAAGATTATCCTCAGGTTTGCTCTCCTGGTTGGCCAGTTCCTGACGGGCTCGCTCTTGCTCAGCAAGACCGGTCTTGTGGATAGTGTGCGCCTTACTGAGTTTGAGAGGGCGAATGAAGCAGGACAGAATGAATCCGAGAGCGGCAACCGCAGTATACATGATCCACATGCGGCTGAGGGCAAAGGTGAAAGCCTTGAGTACAACCTCACGCTGGGATGTTGTAAGACCCTCGATAAGAGACTTCGAGGAGCCGGCGAAGGAAGAAGAGATGGTTGCGGCGATAGTAGGTCCGACGGCGGCAGTGAGCTCGGCCGATTGTTGAGACATCATGTTTTGGTATACAACTGTGCCCATGACGATGGATATGGAGGTGGCGAGCTGGCGCACAAAGCCAAAGGTGGCAGTTGCAGTAGCCATGTCGGCAGGTCGGACGTTAGCCTGTAATGCGACTAGTGGGGCCTGGAAATTAGGACCAACACCCACACCAGCAATAAGCTGGAAGATGATGATTCGGGCCCAGGAGGCATAGGGCTTCAGGTCAATCATGAGACCGAATCCGAGTGTCATACAGAAGAGACCAGCCATGATGAATTCGCGGTAGCGACCGGTCTTCTTCATAAGAACACCAGTTGCAGCAGAGACAACAGAGAGGGCCAGAACCAGAGGTAGGAGGTAAACACCACTCATAATGGGGGATGCGAGCAGGACAGTTTGGAAGTAGAACGGCAGGTAGTATGTGCCGGAAATGAAGACAAAGCCGTGGCAGAAGCAGATCAACAGGATCAAGACATTGTACCACTCAGTGAAGAGTCGGAGCGGGATGATGGGGTATTTGGCAATCTTCCATTCTGCAAAGAAAGCGATAACCCAAACCATAACTCCAAAAATGATCAAACAAATCACAGTAGCTGAGGCCCAGGGGTAGTTGACACCACCAAACTCAAGGCCAAACAGGAACATAAGAGTACCACCAATGATCAAGAATGTGCCAATCCAGTCAATTGTGCGCAGACCAGCGATCAATGGGGTCTTTGGAGTTTCAATGTGCAAGAAGAGAAATAGAATAACCAAGGAGACACCGCCAATGGGCACTGTATGATAATGTTAGTTTAAATCCCCATCAAGCATTAGAATGTAGAGAGCACATACAGTTCAAGTAGAAGCACCATCTCCAGGTAACAGCAGTGGTGAAAGCACCACCAATGATAGGACCCAGTGCACTCGCAATAGCCCATGTAGCGCCGAAGAGACCATAGTACATGGGGCGCTCACGCATACTAAACAGATCGGTGACACTAATGTTGGAAAGGATAATCATACCACCTCCACCAATACCCTGAATAGCACGGCCGGCAATAATCATAGCAAGACTCTTTGCCAAGGCACAAACCAAACTACCAACCAAGAACAAGACATTGGCCATTAAGATAATCGGCTTGCGACCCCAGATATCAGAGATCTTACCCCATAAAGGAATACAAGCAGCGTTGGCGAGAAGGTAGGATGAAGCGATCCATGAGTAACCACTTTCCGATGCATTGAACTTATCAGCGATAGTGGGAAGAGCAGTAGAAACGATAGTCTAAATTAAGATGTTAGTCAAATTTCCAACAGAAACAAGATTCCAAGTAAGATCTTACCATGTCCAGAGCTGCCAGGAACGTAGCCATCTAGATATGTGAAACATGAATTAGCTTTTCATGTCATACACGGAATAACCCCGAGGTTGGAATATAATCTTTTCTTACACAAAGTGCCATCATAACCAAGACAATATTCTTCTTACTCATTCTTTGCGCCTGAGAAGGAATGCGATCGAGCGGTGCGCCCGACTCCTTGGTTGAACCATTTTCACCATCGACCAGTGTTTTTTCATCCTGCGGATTTTGTTCCGCGAGGTTCTCTGCCGTGTCCCGCTCGTGGGATGGCGCTGTGACCTCCACTGGCTTCTCAGAGATTTCATGCGCCACGACGCTGGTATTGCTGGAGACGGGTTCGGTCGACATGTTGAGGGGATATATGAGCGCAAACTTGAAAGGGCCAAAGAGTAGATATATCCAGATGTCGGTGAGTATATAAATTGAGGGGGTCCTGTAATCGCTTATGCAGATGCAAACGATTCGGATCAAGTGATAAATCGGAGAATTAGATCGGTTAATTAACGGTTCGACACTTGCGACACTGCAGTCTCTGATGTCGATATTAGTTGGTTCCAAATTCCTCCCACTTCACAGTATATTGTGAACCTCAGAATACCAAGATCGTATTGACGCAGCGCGATCCCTCTTTATAAAGGAGGTTGAAGCAAGAAAGAAAAAAAAGCTCCGGAGTTAACAGTGGGTCAGAACCAAAAAGGGTCCGCGCGGAACCTTGGGATGTCCGAATGTCCGAGCCCCGAAGATATTGGGTTTAAATCGATGGATATGTAAGATATTGTGATAAAGGATCTATCTTTTCCTGCGTTTGATCCTAGAGATTAGGATCCATGAGTCAGGCTCTGGTGGGCTCAGTTATTCGGGAAATCCGATGTGTATACTTCATAGAAGTTGAAGTTGAAGCAAGGGGGTGGGTCGGCGCAAACTCCACTCAATTTAAGCTTGTCAGGATCTGTTTATAGTCAACTGGTCAACTGGTCAACTGGTGTTCTGACTCGGAGTGAAATGAAAAGGAAAGTCACTAATTTACCAAAAGCAAGATTGCAGATTTGAGAATACTTGGTTCATACATTGACCGAAGAGATTGAACTGATGAATTGATATTAAATTTACGGCGTAGGAACAGCACCGCGAGCATACTCATCGAGTCATCGGGCATATAGTTGCAACCTTCGAGTCTTCAACTTGGAATGTTTCAAGTTATACTAGCCCTGGAGGTCATCATCCGAGGGCATAAATGACTACATCATGGTCTAGAATCAGACTGATAGATGATGTAATGCGGGTGAAGATATCAAGTGTATTCCAATGTTTCTAGACGCCGGAAACGGATATATAGATTCGGGGGAGGATCTGCATTCCTGAAATGCATGAAAGACATGGTTTCTTTTTTGACGCCCTTGCTGCAATATAACGGGAATGAGCCTCATGGCTTGACTCGGGAGAACTCTATCATTAAACAGAGAGGGAGGGGTATAATGGATGGCAAATAGCCAGACGCGACCAAAATTCAGACTGCAAGACCCATATGTAAGACATCCAAGAAACAAGCACAGATGCAAAGCATTAATTAAGACGATTAAGACCCAGGATTATTCCTGGAGTTGAAGGATTTCTGTACCAAGTTAGTACCATCTTATACTAGTATGTATATCGGCGACACATCACTTACCAGTCAAGAACTCCTCGAAGCTCACTGTAATGTACCCATCACGATCATCGTCATACCGCTTAAACACATCGGTCATGCGTTTCAGGGTGATGCACGCTTGTACGAAGAGATCAAAGCTCATGCCATTGTGAGCGGGGTTCCGTGATAGTGCCGCTAACTGTCGGGTCTTGCTCTCAAAAATAGTGAAGAGCACCGAGATAAATTGCGGGCTTAAGCGATATCCAAACGCGACCAGCGCCTTCTCAAATTCCTGTAAACTGATGCGCCCGCTCCGATCCTCATCAAATCGATCGAATAGCTCGCGCCAAGCGGCAAGATAGCGCCAGAGTGACACAAACTCGTCAAAATTGATAATTCCATTGCCCTCGCGATCGAACATGCGAATCATCATTTTGACGGTGCGGGGGTGAAAGGAGGTATAATCTCCGTTGACCAACGCCGAACCCAATTCATTCTCTGTTAAGGCGCCAGAATGAGAGGAGTTGGCGGCGCGGAAAAGAGGGAATAGGTGTTGCGGGTCATCAGTAGGTGCCGTCAGGGGTGGGGGATTAGGTGATTGCGGAGGACGGGATGCGAGCGGGGGTCGATTGCGCTGAGCCTGTGATGGAGGCGGACCAAATCCATAATTCTGCGGCGGAGGAGAAGGATGCAGAGGGTGTGGCTGAGGTCGATGATGATTCTGACTTGAGGGAGGGTATTGGTTTGGTACTTGTGAAGGCGGGCGGCCGTTGTATGAAGCTGGTACATGAAGATCTTGAGAACGCGGGGGAGGCGAGCTATACGGGTTATGTGGCGGAGGAGCGCTGGAAACAGGGACTCGAGGAGGAACGCCACCACCAACAGGACCAGACTGTCCTGGTGGGCGAGTTGGAAGTGGTTTCTGAGACTGTACAGGCGCGGGCGCGGGCCTTCCTGATACTTGCATCGACCCGATCATTTGCGCGACCTAAGGGATGATCTCGTCAGCAAGCGCATTCAAGGCAGCAATCAACTTTGGAAGTTATTCTGATTGTTTTTTTCGAATAAAGACCATACCTGTTCTGGCTCAGCATGCCTATAACAATCCATGCAAGTTAGCAATCGGAGCATATAGCTTGTACCCCTCCAAACCCCCTCTTTACTTACGCTGGCAGCGCGTCTGGGTTGTAGCTCTTATTGTAGGCCATGATGACCCAATCAAGTACACAGAACCCGTATGAAAAGGGAATATGTACTGAAACAAGAGAAGAGCAAAGGTGAAAGTGAAATATGTCGAGACTGAAAGAAAAAAAGTTGGAAGGTTGTACGTCCAAGCGCGTGGGGCGGTGGTTCCTTAGATAAACCCGTAGCCTGTTTAAAGCCCAAAAAAAACTCGGGCGTCGCAATCTCCCCCACAAGTAAGATGGTGGCTTTCATGTAATGAAGTATGTATCCCTAAATTCGATCGACTCAGCCCTATCCGCCTAATTTTAAATAGCATCGCCTCCAGGATTTAATGGCCTAAAAATAATTATAAGATATTCTGCATGATTTCTGCACATATTCACATTACTTTGAAAAATTCTTACCCCTTGAACCTTAGTTCTATTTAATTATAGTGGGTTCCACTGTGGCTATTGATATAGCCCACTGGGCAGTCTTATTAATGTTAATATACGAATACGAGCCTCATTCTAGTCTAATCCCTGAGATAATATCCTGTATCTCGCTTGACTGCTTCTCTAATAATTCGATGATCTCAGTCCAGGTCTGAGTTTGAAACTGTTTTCCTTCGGGTGCCGTGGTAAGGGCCGTAGATTCACTGGAAAGAGTCAGCATATGAACTTGAAACAAGACGGATGAGAAAAGATAATTGTGTGACCATACTCGAGATATCCATCACTCCGCCAGCATTTGCCCTGTGACTCGGCACCCTGAAGTGTCCCACTGACCAATGACCGACTACCTTGCTCGGTGGTTCGGGCAAAGAGCATATATGCCAACCATACAACCCAGCGCTCGTAGAATCGATTATATTGTCGACCGAGAGACGACCGACATAATCCTGGACTGATAGTGTTGACAATAATAGGCAAGGTTCCATCGTCCTGGCGAACACCATTTGCAATAACCTTCATGACGTACTCCAGTAACAATTTCGAGACACCATACTGTTTCGGTCCCTGAAATCTGTCTGGGGAGTTCAAATGTTCCAACAAGGAGCCCTCTGTTCGGAGACTCTCTGCCTTGGCACGAACAAATTGCTGACTTGAGACCACGCTCAAATGACTGGGATCAGAGCTGGAAGAAGACTCCCGGAGCTTGGGAAGAAGTAGCAGGGCTAAAAGGAAGGTGGAAAGTGTGTTCACTTGTATTGTTTCTTCCCAGCCCTCGGGTGACTGAGAGTATTCCCGGTTCCAAAGACCAGCATTTAGTAATGCGATGTCAAGTTTTGGGAGTTCCTTATTGACTTTGCTTGCGAAACTTTTGACACTCTCGAAACTTGTCATCTCAAGTTCCCAGACCCGAATAACACCGGGTCGATTGGTGATCCTTTCCAGCTCGATCTTGGTGAGAATTCCTCGCTCCAGACTGCGACTTCCAATCACCAATGATCCAACGCCCAGATTCAGATATTTGATTGCAGCTTCATAGCCTAGACCAGATGTTGCGCCTGTTAAAAGGACTGTTTTGCCGACTAGAGATAGCCCTCCGGGATCTGTCGGGGGAGTATATTGCATCTTGAGAAGTCGAAAGAGTCCTGCCATAGTGAGAGATGTGCTTATACGCGTATTTCTTGGATGATTTTGTTCCCAAGCTCTCCTATGTTTCTGTCAGTGATGGAATTTGTAGAGATCAAAATATATGATGTCAGCATGATGAGTCAGGATTTCTTCACCATTTCATCCAATCATAGCTGAGATTCTATATCATTCATAACATTTGAACTTCTATGCTGGTTGCTCAGTTGACGAGATTGATTGCCAATACTGAGCAATCAGGAACTCAAGGTCGAAAGACAAATTGATTGATTCGTCATTTTTGAGTTGACTTCTTCATGAAGTATCAAATTACACTACCTTTGTCTCAACATTTTAACTATCAAACTCGAAGATCTCATCTTGCAGGGAAATGGCGAGCCGCGAACAAACACTGCAAACAAATGGATTGATTTCTCAGCCAATTCCACATCACCAAGTATATCTCCCGCTACAAAATAGAGTCGTAACATCCGCCATTGACCCTTGATCAGACAGAAAATATTATATTGTCTTTTTTTTACATACAAAAAATATTCATCATTGACTATCCGACTCAAAACACATTCATCAACATGTCGGCCAGCTATCAAGGCCATCAGGTACACCCCGACGGCCGAACATGGAAGACTCATTTCCCTAAGGGAGACTTATGGGTATTTGGATATGGGTAAGTGATCTCCGATCAACTTCCAGGGATCTTTTCCAGATACGACTCGGAAACCCGCATATCTGCTCATGCTATTTTCAACTTGCATTACCGAAAGCTAAAGAATCACAGGAGTCTGATCTGGAAGCCACCCCCACATTACGGTACGTGAAATTCGGACTTGAACCTGAATCAATCCGAGTCAATGCTATTTGATTCAATTAATGTACTCGAACACTCGATTACTTGAATTCTTGAATAAGCACACTGGACACGCTTCGGGCCGACCTGCCCATTCAACCTTGGATAACCCCCCCACCGCAACTTTCAAACTAACCTCAACGCCACATATTTAGACCAGCGAATTCCAGGTTTCATTAGTGGCTACGTACGACGCTTCTGGCAGGTAAGAGCCCCAAAATGGACCGAAAGAATATGTACCAAGCACAAACGGGAACTTGCGCCCCCAAATCCAGCACCGACCACACATCTAGAGCAAGCCAAAGCTGACACGAGAGCCGCCGTGGCGTTCCCAATTTTCAGGCTAGGTATGTGAGTTCGGACCATGCTAACCAGATCTGGTCTACATCCCCTATCCCTTGGATCTGACTGCCCGGGTGCTCTGTGCTCCGCATCATGTACCGTACTAATGTTCGCTGGCCAGTACCGACCACCGTGGAACTCCCGAGAAACCCGGGCGCGTAGTTACTGTGATTGAGCGCCAGTTTTGGGAAACATTAGATGACCCGGTATGTGCCGCACCTATTTGTCCAGACGGGTTCCACTCCTTGCGCTCAGACTACGTCAATACAATACGTGGTCACTGTCCAGGTGATGAACTCATGTATCGGGGAGCTAATCAGGAATCTTTGTTCTGTATAGCTGGCACGCCATGAATCCGAATCGGAATCCACAAAGGTGTGGGGCGCAGCGTATCATATCCCCGCTTCACATGCTGAGGAGGTCCATGATTACCTTGATGAGCGTGAGATAGATGGATACAGTGCGCATTTTACGCCCTTTTACCCTGTCTCAGAAACAGGGAAAGAGAATATCCGAGCTTCTGCTGGCTCCGCGGACTCGGAAACACCATCCATTATTTGTATGGTGTACATTGGTCAGCCCAGTAATCCGCAATTCTTGCGTGATCCGGCACGTCGCGATGCGCAGGATGTGGCGCAGGTGATTAGTGCGGGACATGGACTTAGTGGAAAGAATACGGAGTACCTTTTCTTATTGGAGAAGGCACTTGAGGGAATTGGACTTGGGACAGCTGATATTCATGTTACAGACTTGGTGAAGAGGGTGAAAGCTATTGAGGCGGTTGATTTGGCGGAGAGGGAGGAGATGGAGGCTGAAAAGGAAGTGAAGAAGAATTTGGCTTATCCTGGAGAGATTGATCATGGAGATAAGATTGAGTGAGAAACTGGTAGCTTTCAGATGGGGGAGGCGACTTTTACCTAGCTGAAGCAGATTTAGAGATTAAAGATTAGACTCCTGAATAGAGTTGAAGCCAAGAGTCAATGTAGATTCGCTCTGCTAACAGCCAATTTACCATGTATATCAATGACTGACAAATTACGACACCGAGTAACGAAGGAAACAAGAAACAAGAAACAAGAAACATGAAACAAGAAACAAGAAACAAGAAACAAGAAACAAGAAAAGAAACAAGAAAAGAAACAAGAAACAAGAAACAAGAAACTAGAAGCTTAATATCATGATTGGAAACTTGAAATTGGCTCTGATAGATAAAAGATCCGAGTTCATACTAAGTACTCAGATCCCATTGATTGCGGTGTTTTGACCTCACATCAAAAAAGTGTATCCTACAGTTCTGATCAGACAGTGCATCCCACAACAAAAACAAGAAAAAGTAACAGCATATCAGAGGGACATGACAGAGGCAAATTAATGTCCGAGCGCGCATCCTTTCTACTTGAAAAGTCATTGATTACCTCAACTTTCAAGCAGAAATGAATGGAAAACGGAGAAAAACAAGAGAACTAAAAATCAACAGCCAGCTCCAGGCCGAACCGCATTGCATCAAAACTCAATCCCCGGCATATTTTCGTCAAATCGTTTTCAAATTCAAAAGCAGTCGAAGAAAATTTTGCGTGTGCAGAGAAAGACGTCAATGGGGGTATATGGGAAAGATGGAAGCCCTAGTTGCCCTCCGGGCCAGGAGGCTGGTTGCCGCGCCAGCCTGTGAAAACAAATCAACCTCATATCCACCACAATGGGAATTGATAGAGTCTATTCAAACTTACCAGGTTGGCCACCAAATCCTGCATTGGGACCACCGCCTGCAAGAGGAATTGCTGGTCAATACAAGGTGCTCCTCAAGACACACACCCGAGATTCAACAGACGAAAAGAAATGAAACAGGATACTCACCATAGCCGCCACCGTAACCACCACCATAGCCACCACCGCCGTTACTGTATGAGTTGTTGTTGTTATAGCCGCCGCCACCGCCGCCATAACCTCCGCGGCTGTTGTAGCCACCACCACCACCATAACCACCCTGTTGCTGATATCCGCTATTGGGCTGCTGATTGTATCCACCGCGACCCTGAAAGTTGCCGTCGGTACGAGGCGGGCGATCAGGACGGTCAAATGCCTTGTCGACACGAATGACCCGGCCATCGAATCTGTAACACACGATGAGTTCAGGAGCCAATTGAACATGGAGTCAAGAGGAAAACCCCCAGGAGCTTCTTACTCCACATTATTCATTGCATTCATCGCCGCTTCGGCCTCAGCGTCGGTGGCAAAGCGAACGAAACCAAATCCACGACTGCGTAAAGTTGCACGGTCCTTGACGACGGTCTAGATGATGCATTTAGCAAGGTTTCATCATTCATGACAATGATGTTTTTTTCTTTTCTTGGGGGGGTGGGGGGGACGGGGGAGTGGCGAGATACTAACAGCTTCCTGGATCTCACCAAATTGTTGGAATCCCTCACGGAGAGTATCATCATTAGTGTGCCACGAAAGGCCGCTTTAAATTATTGAAATTATATGTTAGTTTATTATTGATCAACATAGACGGTTTTTTCCCAGAGCAAAGAAGAAGCAAGACCACGTCAAGAATCACACGAAAAGCCCAAAAAGAACGTACTGGACGAAGAGCTTTGACATAATGAGCTCGCTCGCAAAACGTCGGAAAGGGGGAATAAAGGAACGGAAGCTGCAACTAGATTAGACTGGCTTGGGGGAAAGAAGCGACTGGAGGCGACTCAACGGAAGAGAAGAGAATGATGAAAGGTTGTGCCGGGTGCAACGGGACAGGGAACCCTAGCGGTTGCGAAACAAGTCAGCCGTCAAATCCGTGTAACAATCACACTGCCTTAGGGCTTCCATATCCTTGGGAAAATTCCCAGTTGGACTGGCGCCAACAACAGTTTACCGATCGAAAGAGATACAATGCTGACTGAAATAAAAAATCCCGGTCTTTTGAATAGGAAAGGGGTGATTTTTTCTTTCAAATTTACCTCTGAGAATGTCTGATGGATAGTGAACCAGTAAGAGAAGAGTCGTTGGGTAAAACAGAGGGGAGAATAATGCAAGGACAGAGGTGGGGGGGCCGGAAGTGTTGCTGCAGAGAGAAAGATAGTCTTTCTTTACCCCCCTCAGAGACAAAGTCCCACCAGCCTAAACCTTGTCAATGATTCGATTGTCGGGGTCTCGGCGGCCAGTGTTCCTTTTTCCGCTTCCCATCAATCAGATGTTACCCGAGGCTTGGAGTTGCGCGATTGGGGGGGGGGAGGAGGTACGCTAATCTAGTCACGGCGAAGGTCCAGAGCCGGTTTTCATTCCCTGAATCCCCAGATCATGATACGGTGAGAGCAACAGAACCATCCGGACTCGATCTACAACAGTTGCGTTACTCAAAAAAACACAGTTCTCCATATCAGGACCGGAAGGATAATAGAGCGCGTGGTTGACTGCGAAGAACCCTGGGAGCGATTCACGGGTTGGTTGGGCGGGGTTCTCCACGCACTTTGGCCCGTGGAACGCGCACCCGTCTCACTTGAGTTGTACCTCGCAGTCTTGATGCAGTTGCGATGTGTGTGTATATGCATTGTTGACCCGTGATCCTATCTGACTGGAGAAACGGGCGCGCCCCAGAAGTGGTCTGGCCCCAAGATGCATAGTCTGCAGAAAGGGCTGAAGGTCTGCGATGGGCTTGGCTTCGTCCTTGTCAACCCAATTTGGGACCCAGTCCGACCGGGATGATCATCCACATCCAATCCACGCGGTGCGTGGTGGAGGGGCCAGGACCCACATACCGCTTGGGCTGTACATCGGAAGGACTCCGGAGCTCAGAGGGGTCGATCAGCGCATGGATCGGCTTGACAGCCCGGCATTGATTGTTTGATGATAGATTCAATACCCGACAGTAGTTCGGGAAGATAAGGCATTAAACTGATAACGATGCTTTGTGTCACTTCATTAGAATTGTGACGGCCATTTGATGCAACGATCGTAACGTTTGGACGAAAGGGCCCACGGTATACCATAGTGAAGATTGAGAACTTGGGTGGCAAAGAATTTCGATGTTGAATCAATGAGTAAAGGAAAACTACCAATGGAGCTCAACTAACATTGAATGTACATCCTTGCTCACCTACTAGTCCTGAACTTGATGTGCAAGTCAAGTTGAAGTTCAAGTTGTGAGGGTTGATGTTGACGGATCGTGACTTCCGTTAGTATATCGAGCCTTCAGGTCACCTGAGCCCAAATCTTCATACTAGTAGTAGTTCACCCAAGTTGGGAACTGGAACTCGAACTTGAACAATGCTTGAATTTTAACTCATCTTTGAAATGTTTACTTTCTGAAGCAATGAAGTGCGATTCTACTTTGATTCATCAATGGCTTACGAACGTGCCAGATGGATTGGATTGCATTCCCGATGACCCAGTCCTGCGCAACCTCATACCCTCCACGCTGGATTTGAAGGAGAGAAACACAGGTAATCGGAAAACCTCTACCTTGCTTGCTCTCGATCAACCATCCTTAATAATAGACTGCGCCCCAGGCTCGAAAACACCGGATGTCAGACAAGGACAAGAGTCACACACCTTGTTAGAAAGGGTCCAAAGTTTAGGTCGGAGCGCTGTGAAACGGAAAGCTCACCATGAATTCGACCGCCAACCACGCCATAAGACACGAGAGGATCACTATGAGTACAAGGGTGGCGGAACTGAACAACAGCAACAAGACTCATCCGATCGAACGAAGAAACGACAGAAAAAGTGCCGGAAGCATACCCTAAATGATACATTTCATGCAGCAAATGTAGCCCGCGAAAGATTGACAGTAGGTGCTGGGTATGGGTGCCAAGGGTGTCTCTTATTAACGGTTTTTACAGTTGCCCGAGAAGATGACCCTTGGCATCTTCAGTAAGGGCAAGGCATCATCTCCACTCAGACTACGAGATAGTGGTATGTATACCCAAGCTTTCGGCGAACAAGTGCTCGAGGTTCAAAGTCTGACTTGCTAAAAGTACCCGACCCCATCAATCTGACCACGTCTTTGCTGAAGAAGCAGGACATTACAGAACCATCTTCACTCACGAGCAGGACAGCCACGGGAGAGAGAAGGGGAAGCGGTCAACAGCGAAGGATACCAAATTACAGACTTTCAGATTCCTTCAATTCGCTTGAACTGAAATCAATCAAGACTCAACAAGGAACTATCACTGAACATATGAAAGGAAAGGGCATTGACACTCCCAGTGCTCACAAGCCCCCGCAAGACTCCCCACACAATGACATAGTGCGAAGCCCATCTTATCATAGCCCAGTCAATACACCGGATAGAGGGACATACCCAGAAGAACACGTTGAACGCAATGCCAACGTATCCATATCTCCTACACCACACACTTGGTCAGAAACTGATCCTGAAAAGACAAAACGCGAATACTCAATACATGGTACTCTGCTGAAATCACTCTTTGTGGGCCTCTCAAGATATGGAATACAGGACCCCTGTCCAAAATTGGATCATGAAAAGACCTATTGCAGCTTGGACGACCTGAAATGGTTGTTGGAAACCCGAAAAGCGTCTTGGCTCTCTAGAACGAATGAGAATCACCAGGACATATTAAGGTCACCAGGAATCACCTCACAGCAGGGTATCCGAGTCAATACCAATCTATCAGTGGCGGGAAACAAGAGCTCTGGACAAAACACTCCTACTCGAGGTCCCGCGAATCCAGAAATGATCCAGAGGATGGAGCTATCCTTTCCCAATCTGGTCATCCCAGCAGAAAGGAAATCCTCATCGGTGATTTCTCAGAATGAACATGGAAAGCCCGAGTCAACTCCGGATTCAAGTCAGGATTTGCAGCCACTGCAGGATATCATTGACCCTGCCGGCACTTCCAAAGACATCAATGATCCTGCCCCTCTCACAAAACCCTCGCTGGATGAGACAAACTGGGTAGCGATTTTGAGCCCGCAAATTCAACGTGAGCCATCGGGGAGCCCCTCCGTTGCTGACTCGCTGGGGTCATGTTTACGCGAATGGGTGGTAGCTGGAGAATCCGCTTTACAAGTCAACAGACACGAAAGGGCCCCAGATGATTCCAATCTACCCCAATATTCCGAGGAGCACGGCATCAAAGACCAGAGCAAGCCAATACATAACGGCTTACATCCCGATACCGCGCATGTTACAAACGACACGTTCCTCCCTGTTAATTTTTGGCGTCCTAACAAGCTGTATTGATTGCCATTGAGAAATTTCCTTTTGGCACTGTTTGTTGAATAAAAGGGGAAAAAACATACTCCCAATATTCTTGCTGTAAAAATTTGATTCAATGTTAATGATGTCCTTCATGAACTCGAGATCATCCATTGTATCACTCAAGCTGATAACAATGCTGGCTTTGCCTAGCAACTTAAACAGACCATCGTTTAGCGAATAAGCCACTGCAGCAGTTCAAATTCGAGTCGGGACTCAAGATATCTGAGTCGCGGCAAAGATCTGCCGGCTTGGCTGAACTCATCATGTATACACGAGAACTGGCTTTTGTTGGTAGAGGTTGATTGTTTGAATTGAGTTGTTTGGGTATATAACAATCTAGAGGGTAAAGAATTATTAACAGAAAGCATCGAATAAATATTTCACGTCTATCCGATGTCTTGGTAGGTGATATCCAGACAAGAGAAACCCGACCATGGTATCATCCTAACAGGGAAGCCAGTATGGGTCATTCTTTTCAACGCCAGTCATGCGAAAAAACAACAAAACAAAAAAAAGACCAAGGCGGAAATAATGCCTTCTTCAGTATTACAGGCTCGCAGCAGCCTCAATGGCACCGATACCCTTGAATACCCCGGGACTCCGCATGACAACCTCGACTGGGTACTTCCACTGCATGAACCGTGTCCAGCCTACATGAAAGCCGATTAGTAAAATACAACAGAGGAAATGAATCAGAATCAATATACTCCAGTATGCACATCGACGGCCCAAGTACTTGCCCAGGAAAGGGACAAGGACCATGGTCAACAATAACTCCAATTGTTCGATGCTCTCTCTCCACTCCGCCTCCGCATCCGAGTAGTCGTCGGAAAGTGTTTCAAGGTCCGAATCGGTGGTTGACTCGGAAGGAAGCGAGGCGATCTCGTCATCGGACTCATATGAGTGCTGAGTTGAGGGGACCATGTATGCGGACATGGAGAACGAGGGATTGGATGGGACAGGAGATTCGGAAGACATGGTTGTGAACTTTGGGAGAGCTGAAAACGAGAGGAATAAACTGGAGGAGCAGTGGCCTGCCTACTGCTTGCTTATGATCAAAGCATTTGCTTCTGTAGTTAAGTTGGATGGTGTAGATCTTGGTGTCGAGAGTCGTCAGTCAACACCGCCGCGGGTGGTGCAAATGTTACATAAGCGCCAAGAGATCTCACGCTTAGTCACTAGCACACACTGTGGGGCTCAATCATCATGGATCTGGAGTAGATTCTATGATATATTATTCACAAAAATGAGTTGCGAGTAAAAATATGTAGAGGAAGGGGTAATGAAATGAACTACGAGGTTTATCACAGTTAAGCTGCTCGAGTGTACAGCCAGCTGTATTCCAAATATTCCACAAGCCTTGCACAGTCTGGGAGTATACGGAATAACAAGGTCTTGCTAGATACCTTGCTGTCTAAGCTATTTTGATAAGATAGAAAGATTTAGTCAAATCAAATCAAGCTCAAATATCAGCAAATTTAAATGAATACCATTAAATCCATGTAATATTGACTCAATATCATTTCAATATCTCTAACCGTATACTTCGCACGTGACCCCCGTGAGTCAGAACCACGTGACATGTCCCGCGATAACAGAGACTCGCCTCTCGCCGAACATGGGAATATCAGATCCAGCGTCAAATTCGTCATTGTCGACCTCTACGAACCTGCGATCCCTCCGGAGCCCTAATACACCTTGAAAATAACCCGGTGGTGGAACGAAGCGAATTCGACAACCACCCAGCATGGCGGACGTTGTATGTCACACCTGGTTTCTTTTTTACCGCACCCACATTTTCTTTCAAGACTGCACAATACCCCTCGGTCGACGTCTACGCTAGTGTCGCAAGCCACTTGCTACTCCGCTAGATCTCGAAACTATTCCATTTTCCTGCAATCTTCTCGGGAGCTTCATTTTTTCTATATAATTTTTTTATTGGGTTACTAATTTGCGGTGGAACCACCTCCGAATAGGAACAAAAGCAGCGCAAATCCGTTGCATTCAGTGAAGGTTCAGTTATCATGGACACCAACGGCCAAGTTACAGAGGCTCCTCCGGCCGACCAGCCCGCTGGTATGCAACTACCATACCTCCTTTTCGATTCTCACATTTGAACCCTGGACCCGCTAACGATGATCAAAATTCTAGACAAGGAAGTCGACGAGGTGACCGACATGTTCAAGGGTCTGGCTAAGAAGAAGAAGTCCAAGAAGTCTAAGGATGCCGATGCCGATGCCGATGCCGAGGAAGCCCCCGCCGGCGACGCCGAGTTCGACCCCTCCGTCCTGAAGAAGAAGAAGAAGTCCTCCAAGTCCAAGAAGCTCGACACTGGTGACTTCGAGGCTAAGCTCGCCGAGGCTGGTGTCTCCGAAGACGTTGGCGAGGAGACCGTCGAGGATGTCATCCCCGAGGGTGACCTCGAGGCCGGCACTGGTATCTGGTCCCACGATGCCACTCAAACCATCCCCTACTCCCTTCTCGTCTCCCGGTTCTTCTCCCTCATCCAGAGCCACCACCCCGATCTCCTGTCCAGCGGATCCAAGTCCTACAAGATTCCTCCTCCCCAGTGCTTGCGTGAGGGTAACCGTCGTACCGTTTTCGCCAACATTGCCGATATCTGCAAGCGCATGAAGCGTTCCGACGACCACGTCATGCAATTCTTGTTCGCTGAGTTGGGTACTAGCGGCAGTGTCGACGGTAGCCGTCGTCTCGTCATTAAGGGTCGTTTCGTCCAGAGACAAATTGAGTCCGTCTTGAGGTCATATATCGGTAGGTTTCATCATTTTTGTCTCCAATTCTCATTTTGAGATTCGCCGCCTTTCTAACTCGTTTTACAGTGGAGTATGTCACATGCAAGACCTGCCGCAGCCCTGACACCGAACTCAACAAGGGTGAGAACCGTCTTTACTTCATTACTTGCAACTCCTGTGGTTCTCGTCGTTCCGTCGCCGCTATCAAGACTGGTTTCCGTGGACAAGTCGGTCGCCGCAAGCGTACTGGTTAAGCGAGCTAGGAATTGGATTTGGCATATTGTGGAGGAGGGAGTTCTTATGTTTTCTCTTCTTTATGGCGTGTCATGCTTTGGATTGCGGTGGATGAAAAAGAAACCCCAGCATTGTATCTTTTTGCCGTTGGGGTGTTGAGATGAGGTCATGATTTGAAGGATAGAATTAGTTTCTCATGAAATGGACTGATATGACTGGCATCTACTAGGTTTCAAGTATACCCTATTGACCACATCTATGTGATATTTTCAACGTGAAGCCTGGCGAATGCTAACAAAAGCATGTCATAATGCTGAGATAGATTTCAAAATACAAAATAGTCTACATTCATCGAGTTCAAATGTTGGATAACATAACATGATTTGATAGATCAAACCCCAGAATCAAACATCAGAGTCTCGTTCACGTTATTCGCCTTTGCGTATGAGTTCCAATCATCACAAACCACATTCATATCATCATAATCAATCAATCCCTTGATTTCATGCTCAAGTTCGAGGAAGTGAAGTGCGAAACCTTCCTCAACATGCCAGCCGATATGACAATGCATCAACCATACGCCGGGATTATCAGTCTTGAAAGCAATCGTCAAGTATCCACCGAAAGGCAAGAGGGCTGTATCTCGACGAGGAGGATTCGTGTAATTGATAACTCCATTAAAAGGTTGAGATGAATTTCCTTGCGCGAGAATATAGAAATCATGGCCGTGTAGATGGATGGGATGATCACCCGGTCCATTCGGATCACTGATTATCTGAAGATAGACCCAATCGTTCTTATCTGGGAGAGTAATCAAGTTTGACCCAGTGAGAAAGCTGTTTGAATCCGATGCGTTGAATGGCCCAATTGTGGTGTTCAGGGATTGACCCTGGTATATCTGCTTCAAAACAGGATCTTTCCATTGTACCTGCATGGATGTATGATTCATGTACCAGTAATTGAAGCTGGTTAGGTCTGTCTGATTTTTTTGCGTAGTCAAGCTCTTGTTCCATGATGCATCTGTCGGCGGTGGAAGGGGTTTTCCAACATAAGGTGTCAAGTTGGTAAGAAGTTCATCTTTACAGATATCTCCTGGGATCGTGCTATTTAGACGGATTGCTGGCAATTTATTGGTTTCTCTATACGTTAAAATGGCCGTAGTGTTGTCGTTCAAGTTTTGCGAGCACTGCATGGACTTTGCTTGAATCCAGAAAGAGTCTGCTACATCGCCCTGATCGGCAGTGAATATAACGTCGTATCGTTGACCTATTGGATTAATTCAAAATGTTAGCTTTGAGTCGAGGTGCATAAGATAGATGTGATAATGTAGGAAAGAGGAACGCCACTCACCCATTCCAATTTGTATGTTTGGGGCTGTATATGGGACGATTGGCACAAAATCCACAGCAATGACAGTCAGGTTGTGAAGATCGATCTGAAATGTGTAATGCGAGTTGATAGCAGCATTGACTACCCGGAGTCGATATGATTTGCCTTGAGTCACTGAAATATTGGAGAATTTTCCTGTCACTGTCCCATTGCTCTCTATTTTGCCCTCTGTACCATTGATCAAACCATTTCCCCAGGGGAATCTAGGACCATTGACTCTCTCGCCAAAGTATAATGAGTCAACCGTTTGGTTTAACCAGTCGTTTAGAAACAAGACTCCTTTATCTTCATCATAGTTGGTGGATGCTGGGCCATTGATGACAATACCACCAAAGACACCCTCCCAGGCTTGTAATCCAATATGCGAATGATACCATGAGCTCCCATATTGAGTTGCCTTCCACTTGTAAGTCATGGTATGGTTGGGTGCAATAGGGCATTGAGTCAATGAGACAACCCCATCATTTGGATTTGTATAATTCTGACGAATGCCATGGAAATGGATGCTGGTTCCATTCTTGGACTGAGTAAGATTGTTGTAGACATGTACTATGACATCATCACCCCAATTTGCAAATATTGAAGGTCCAGGAATGGTTCCGTTGACAGCCATCACCAGACGTTCTTTTCTCCCGTCTGGATTGGCCATAAGCTCATCGATAGAAAGCCAATATTCGCGGGTGTCACCGGTATGTGGTACGTTTTCTTCGTAGTCTGTGCTTATATCAAAGCTGTCGCACCATGACTTTCTGTCATTGGCAGTATTGGTCGGAGTACAAATGCTCGGAGACTGAGTTGATGCACTTGGAGTAGAGCTCGAGGTGTTTGTAGCATATGAGCCCAGGCCTGAGAATGATGGGGCTATGGTGGAACTTGAATCAATGGCCGCATCTTGTGGGTATGCATTGCCATATACCAAAAAAAAGGATAAAAACAGAAGAGAAAAGAATAGCTTCATACTGGCCCGAGTCTAAGTACTAGTAGTGAAGACTTCTCATTCAACAACAGAATCTTTCCGATGAGTATATACTAGACTACCAGTTGACTGAGGCCAGTTGTTGTTGAACCGTACGAAGAATATTCATCTCTTGTAGGATAGCTTCAATCTTATTTATGCTAATGTTGTTTCAAAACTGAGATCTAAACTACCATAGAGAGGAACACATGTTCGCCTTAACACAAGGCATTTTTTTGCAAAAACTAGGGTATGCTAGCTAGCTCCAAGAATTCAATTTCGTTGGGATTTTTAATATCCAGCAAAATACGATAGGATAACATTTGATCCTACCTAGTATTGGGATTCAGACTAGAGATAGAGAGTGGAGATATACTGTTTCTATCTGAAACCGGTGTATACTAGTATTGATCAGCCGGGCAATGGGCAACGAGGTTGAGACGATTGCTACGATATGGGATTATAGATTCTACGGTGTATAATAAGGCATCAACAAATTTGGAAGGTATTATCTAATTTGAAGCGCCTCAAAACGCCTTGATGGCGTGAGTCGCCAGATCCTTCCTTGACGAGGTCCAAATTCAGGGTTGGTGATATTTGATGACATCCCTAACCCGGGTGTCTGATCTCAGATTCAAGTGGTGGGTTCTATACATCATGTATGACACATGTGTACGATATAGGTATTCAAGTTGTCAGGAATCTGAGATTCAGGCGCCCTTTCCAAGGTTTCAAGTTTTATGTCTCAGATATCAAAGCCACGGTGTCTTGAGCCTCAGTAGGGCTGATGAAGGGCCCTGCCACGCGTCATGGTGGTCCTGTGTCACATTCCTAGAGAGGCAAAGGGAGCCGAAGGAATCATGATCACCTGATGTAAGAGGATATAGGAGGATAGATGAACATGATTGAACAACCTTGGAAGCTATTCCTTGTAAATCTGAGGCCTCTCATATCTGGTCATACGTGCTGTTTGTATTGGACATCCCAGTTGGTGATGGGCTATGCTGTGGGGCACCCAAGGAGGGAGGTGAAAACAACCCATTAGACAAGGAATACCCGGGCTTTTAGGTCTGGAATCTCAAGGTAATGCTGGTCAAATATGATAATAAAGGTTCTAGGCAGCTGAGAAACCAAATATTCGTAGACGCTAGGATTCAATACCAGAGTCCAACTCTGATATAAGGAGGCGTGTATCACACCTGTGGATAGCCATCCCATTGCCAATTAATTTTTCAACCTTTGATCTGAAGTTTTCTGGTACAGTCTTGATAGTGCCTGGAGCTAGAAAATGCAGTTTCTACTTTTCTTCGTCGCAGTGTATGGCATTATTTGCCAATGTCTTCCCTTGGAAGAGAGACAAGATAACAATACTTTTGGGCTTTACGCATACGGAGGTAGTCTCCAAGGACTTCCTGTCTACTTTGCAGATGGCAAGTAAAGCCCTTTCCTCACATATCCAAACGAACAGCTCATCTAACAAAATACAGGACAAACCCAGATCGGTGATATGTCCCTCTCAAACGCGACGGTGAGGAGGGAAGTCTACTGTATGTATTTCTCTGTCTGCTTTCAAAATTCCAGGCAACGTCTAATAACCCGAATTCTTTTTCAATAGTCACGGTCTCTGATAAAAATTCTTACACATGGGTTGCTCATGTCAACCAAACGGAGCCTGTTATTATTTCCCGAGCCCAAAGTGCCATAGATGCGTTCGCGACAAATACTACAACTCTTTTGCTCTGCCTGGCTGGGAATATAACCGCATCAGGACCAGTCGTCTTCACACTACCAGAGGACACTGCAGGAAAAATCGTGGATACATTTTATCTGTACGGTCAAGATTTCTTGATCCAGCATCCTGCTGCGAGCTTCTATGCAGTTCCAAATGGAAAGGATCAGTGGTATTCGCTGACTTGGAGCACTGCACCCAAAGATGACTGGACTCTGATTTCTTTGAAGACCATTGGTGTCTGGGCACAGCCTGTGCCACCAGGTGTCGATGTCATGGAGTGAGACCCTAGCACATGGAGAGACCTTCAACTTTGCCTCTGGTGTTACTTGGTTATTGAGAGACGCAGAAATGTTCTATTGACTGTTGGCCCATATGTAATTCTATTTTTCTTCCAAGATTATCCGACTTGAATCTTAGATCGGCTATACTACCGGGACACCTCAGGTTTAAGTACCCTTTTAAGTACTGAAATACATAAATAGAGCCCCCAGGTGCCGGGGCCCGGAGGACATCTTCAGCACTTCCAAGGTTGAGTAATACTAAATGACTATAGCAAAATGGACCGGGAAAACGTGGATGCGTCTCTCTAATAAAATTTGAATAATAATTAATGCCCTGACAGGATTGAAGAAATTTGTTGCATTAGAGAGTATATGAAACAGTAGTTCCCTGAATAAAGATCGTGAGACAATAGAAGCCTGAAAAGTGGACATAACGATCCCAATGAACTTAGTGGATGGCAAAACTGGAGTATTGTTGTAATATCCAGTAAATCCCCTACCAGTGAACGGTGTTGCCTTTTAACCTTGCTGTTTCGGCTCTTCAGCTCTTGTACATTTTCGGGTAAGAACATGCTCCAGGGCTGTAGGGCAGGTCCATTGACACAATTCCTTGACAAAAGCAATCTTATGTTTCTCCAGAAGTCCGTAGAGAGTTGCGAGGTCTCGAGCTTTAGTTTGTTTAGAGCTCTCTCCAGCCACCACCGCTGACTGCGCTTCTTCAAATCTTCAACAGATCAGTACACAGAGGTGCGAGAGACACTCAAATGGTGTCAAGCGTGATGAGATGCACGGATAGGTTGGTCAATCACCATGAAAATAGACTCGCTAGGTCTATCAGCGTCAGGACTGGAGCTTTCATAATCGCTGTGGGTGATGTTCTCCTCTTTCAGTGCAACTGAATCAGCATTCTCAAGAGATAGTTCTTTTTTGTGAAGACGTCCAATATCTAGGTCGACGCCTTGGACCTCATTAAATACTTGCCAAGGCATTTCTGAGCATTATCCCTGATTTGAGTCTGGAGTCTGTTTCGTGCCGTTCACACCGCGTGGAAGCCAACCCCCAAAAATATTGAGTGAGAGTTCGGGTTTCCTTTGTTCATTCGGTATACCCGCTTGATCTCGCGCATTATGCACGATCGTTAAATTCTTTCCAGAAAGTTGAAAAATTTGGACCTGTGTCTCATCGATTTCAACGAGGACTCCATGTATTCGGAGTCTTCATCACAGTCACTTGTGAGTTCTCAGCCTCAATATCAGCGTTCTCTTCACCTTCTGTCTCAATCAAACCAGAATACTTGAGGACTCCGTGTAGTTTCTTTGGAATCGCCTTGAGCTCTGTACGAGGGTCTTCGTCTTTGTTGAAATTATCTAGGTACTTCTGAGATGTCTTCGTAATCTGGCTCTGCAGGAAGATATTCCATTCCTGTTTGCGCGTTGTATACATTTGCGAGTCGACGGCAGGCGATTGGGTCTTGAAGACAGTCGTATAGGTATGCGGCGTACTCCAGCTTCACTGATAAGCGCAGAGGATGCGAGCCTGGAAGTAATTTATCTGCTAGGAGTGCGACGTGGTTGAAGCATGCCGTTCTTCTGCTGCTCATTTATCGTTCCTGAGAGGAAATCTATGATCAGTTCTTTTGGTCAAGGTCCAATTTGGAAGGAGAAAATACTCTACCATTAGTTATACCTGTGACTCGCATATAGAAGCTCAAAGCCGAAGGTTTTAGCCGCACCTTCTTCACAAAGAACTCGTACGAGGGGTACCGCCATACTTCACGCTGAGTTAATGTGTGGCAGAGATCCTGCAGATCCTCATTACCCTTTTGGGTAAGCTGGCATCAAAAAAGCTTAAACAATTTCTCCTCCACAGTTAAAGTGGTCTTGCTTCCTACTAACATCAACTGTCGAGAATGGGTCAAGATATCTCTGTGCATCAAGCACACCTGTATCACGCCCACCATATTTGATAGCCAGGTTTGACTCAATCGGTTGGAAGAGATATTGGGTTTTCAACTTTGCCCAACTTGAAGAGTCCAACCATCAGGCCTATGATGCCCATGGAGAGGTATTTTGACCACATCACGAGGGATCTTGTCTGAAAGCTACATGAACCAGTTGTCCTGGCAGCAGTTGACTCGCGGATCGAATCAGATCTTCCTGAACCATCCATTTTTGTCTGCGGTGACCACGTCCTCAAACTGTCACAAAGCTCACGGTTCACACCCAAGCCACATGATCATGAATGGCATCTTTGGCAAGCATCTTAATAATTTTTCCTGCCAAAGATCTAGTCGTGATTCTGGTCAATATCTGGACGCTCCTTTCCTTATTTCAAAGGAGCACGTTTCTTGATCGAAGTAATGTATGTGTGATTTTCAAGATGCTTGCTGTGGATCTCAGAAGCTCTCTCCCTCTCCATCTGATTTTCTTTGCTTGGCGATCTACGCCATGCATCACTTTCTAATACATAGGTGTTTTATTTTGAGACATAATGTCTTTTGCCATCCTGCAGCTTCAACAGGCACTGCATAAACTTCATGTGTGTGTCGTATTTGCGGTCATTGGGCTGACTCTCGGCCATCTGGCGGATATCTTCGAAGGACATTTTGCCTTCTATAGAGAAGGGATGCGCAGATGCAGGTATCAGTGCCATAGTAGCTTCCATGATCGATTACACCTTCTCCGATGACTGTAGAGCCAAGTGTATAGAACTTCCTTCTGAGGCCTATACCTAGAGATAAAAGTCTCCACGAATCTGGCAAATTTGTAGACAGTGTCGTGCAACCCTTCATAAAGTTAGAAAACATCAACTCGTCTTCTGTGATGGTCGCACAACAGAGTTGATTGGGAGATTGACAAGTCCTCGTGAGCTATATCGTATGTTGAACACTTGCAGATCATATTGATCTAACAAGGTTGTGGAGGACTGGACGGTCTTGGAGACTCAGGATACGTCGCTGCTTGCGGCTCACCCATAAGCTGTTCAGCAGGCTACCTATCGATCGAGATTTAGTAAGGTGCATGGCGTATTTAAAAAAGGAATTAGCGCTGACACCAAATTATTCTCACCGACTTGAATATGTTATGTTGTGACGCTGCAAAGGCTGGGTGGCAAGAGAACACTTGATGCCAGTTCCTAAAGAATGGTCCCTCGTCAATGAAAGTGGCAAGGTGTGTTTGTGGTGCTTTAAACGAGAGCTGGAAGCGCGTCGTTCAATTTGAATATCCCCAAACCAAGCTCCCCAAGCGGCTGTGGTTTGATTTTGATGCGGCCCGATTTTGATACTGGTAATCGATATTTTCCCAGGTCTTATTGAGGGCATGATATGCTCATCATTCTTTTCTCATCTCCACGCACTGGACCTGGCGGCTTTTCTGCACTTTGGTGTAGCGCACCAGAATCAAGGTCACCTGTCTTGTTGAGACACCATAATGACTGCTCCAATGCTGTGAGTCATGAGAAGCGAACTTGAAATCGAAATGACTCTGCCCCATATTAGTATAGACACCCTTTCCACTCCCCTTTCTCCCTCCTCAAAAGGCCCATGCATGTGGTACAATTCTTCGGTCTATCCGAGTCGGATAACCTCCTCCGACAAAAGCGGATTGAAAGGAGGAAACCGAGGCCAAAAACTGCGCAAAGGGGCAGATAGAACAAGGAGGGTTCTTGGAGTTCCTCAGTGGAGGATTGCTGATCTCGAGGAAGTTGCCGACCGTATAAGTCCAGAAAATTTTATTTGGTATTTGACTGCCCAGGTGATGCTTCACACTTGGGTTGAAAACAGCATATCGAAATTGTGGATGCTGAGCAAATCGGGAACATCTCTCAGTGAATGCCGAATGTATTCAGCATATTCACCTTTCTCTGTCGAGGACTGACAAATTCCATTCAAGATTCCCCATAGATAGGAATGTATGGGAATATTTGAATGATGCTCTAACGACTCTGACCCTGTGAGATACTAACCGTATCTAGACGAGAAACGGAAAAGTGAAGAGGACAAAGTCAGCAGTGTGGTCCGTCTTGGGGGTGAGTTGATTCTCAAATTCCTGTGCAGCTTCTGGTACATCCGAGTTTGCGGTTCAGGAAGTGAATCCCAATCTGCTGGGTCATGTGGCTGGATTGATCCTGGAACTCCAAGAGCTCCTGCTTGCTCTTCATGAACACCTGGTCACATACTCGGGCTCTTGCGTCATGGTGTAGATCATCAAACATCCAAGCGTTGTACTTGTTCCATCCAAATCTGATCAGGATCCAAGATTTTTCAAATCAGGATGCCTACAATAAGCATTCTGCACAATAGTCTTTAGCCTGTATTCCAAGTCTTTACAGCATCGAAGTAGTCACCCAGATTCCTAATATTATTCATTTGACACCAAACCCCTCTTGGCGGCCGCCTTTTTGAAAGGTTCACATTGCATTCCATCAACTGTACGGAGTTCATCGAACAATTTTGTCCTCGTATCATCGTTTCGAAGGTCGCTGAACTTCCGTGGGTTTTCATTTGAAGGGGACTCGGAAGGAAATAGGAAGGCATAGAAAGGTATTGCGTATTGACGGGCTGCATGAGCTTTGGCTGCGGGTTTGAAGAGCCTTTGAGTCCTAGCATCGAAGTCAATATTCATATCTGGAGTGCAAGAGAATATCTGAAACCTGGGGAGTAATGGAAAGTATGTAGGATGAGGGGATAGTGAGGGGATGATGAGGGAGAATGGGTTGGTACTTCGTATTGATTCAACCTGCGTTGGGGTTTGAAAAGAAAATAAAAACTCAAATATGCCAATATTCATGAGAAAATAACGGACACCACTGACCTAGGTAGTATGGACTCTCGAAAAGTGATTCGAATGTTTGAATGGCTTAATGATAATGGATCATTTTTATAACAGAAGCCTCTGGCGGTGGACAAATTCCTGGTAGACGTCAGAATCCACGATGCTCATGAGGCTTCATTGATCCAACTATGTCTGAATAGGCTTTCTTTTCAATTTCAAGGGTAAATATCTTGCCTGTATCCTGTTGGTATTCTGCTGGAGAGCTCCCAGACTAAATTGTACTTGGAAATCTTGAGAGATGGAAGAGTGACAGGGGTTGCTGAGTTCCAAATTTGGGGAGTATAAAAGGAAGAGAGCCAATGGTTGATGAAATACATCTTGATTCCCACATAGGCAGAAGTGTTTGATGATGTCATTCAAGATGATTTGAACAGAAATTTTGAAGAATATATGGATCTGAGTCAAAATTATTGAAAGCTCAAGTGCTTGAAGTAATAGTAGGGAAATTAGTACTGGTAGATACTACTACCTAGTAGTATAACAGCAAACAGCAATACTCAGGTCCAAACAAGGTCCAGCACACCTGGGCAGGGATTTGATAGATAATAAATGCTGCCAACACATCATGATGTCAGGTCACGGTGGTTTATGCAAAAATTATCAAGCTGCTGCCAGTTCTGAATGTTTTTTATTTCTCAGTACCTAGCCCAAGGAGTGTTTCAGCCTTGAAATATTACTCATATTCTTACAATTTACGTTTTCATTCATTTCAAATGTCGGGAATCAAACAATAAATTTCAAAGTAGTAGCAAAAGCCCTGGAGAGCAACAGGCTATGAAGCACATTGAGGTATGCACTATAACGTATAATCGAGTTCGGATTGTCAGGAGACTCTCCCACAAACATTCCAAGGTTTGAATGGCATAGTTCAAAATAACGAACACACTTCCTATTCCATCTTACACTTCATCCTTGCTAGTAGGCATCAAGGATTATCACTGAGCAGACCTAGCCACCGGCTGTGCTGACCTTCAATGCCATAGCGAATGCATTTAAGTTTCGTGTTTGCAGGTACACTGTCCCTGGCCCTGTAAACTTACAGCTAAGGCCCTCTCCAGCGGTGAACCCGGAGATAAGTCCACCAGAGGCAACACGCTCTATTTTGAAATCGCAATCCCAGGCAACTAGATAGCCATTGTCGACATAATATCTCTCACCAGCCGCTAGCTGTGATTCGAAGACGACTATTAGCTCCACTCAATTCCAGCGGTTATTTGAGACATACCTCTTTCTTGATAATGGCACCGAAGCTTTGGATCCATACAAGCCCAACTTGCGATAATTCGTACACAAAAAAGCCTGCCCCTGAGAACATGCCCTTTGTCAAATCCTGGGTAACATATTCATGCTCGATGCCAGATGTACAGGCTAGAAAAGCCTCGTGTGGAATCCTCCACTTTTTGTCACCATGCAATTGTAAAACCATGCAATCTCCTAGTATAAAAGGTGCTAGGAGAAGCTCTCCAGGTCCTGTATAAGTGGAAACGCCAAATTTGCTGCCCGCAAGGAATTTCTTGATAGAGAATTTGAATTCACCACGCAGCGTCATTGTTGAAGACATCGCGAGCATAACACCTGATAAAGGGATTAAATCCAAATAGCTCTAAATATTATCAAATATGCACCACTGGCAATCATACCTGGTTTGGCTTTCAAAGGGCATCCCATAGCTAACTGAAAAGTTACAATTGAGTTTGTATCACGATGACTGATCCTGTAGCTCCCTCCATTGAATATTCCGACATTGTCTTGATGGGTTGAAGTTGCGCCCTTGAATGTTCCGGGCGCGGGCGCCCCGGGCATGTTGTACCCCCCCCTGGCCCAGGTGGTGCGGAAATCGGCATAGCAACAGCGCCGTTTTGTGCAAATGCAGCTGTATTCCGATCAAGAGCTTCCGGGTTTGGATTCAATTTCTCTGGGGGTGGAGTATATGCTTGGGGGCTAACTGATGGGTCAGGTCCCATGTATGAATAGTTGGCCTGAACTTGTTGTGTTGGAGGTGGTGGAAAGTCTAGAAAGCACGAGTCAGAACGGATTACTTTTGGCTGGGGTATAGACGTGGATCACTCACATGGCTGTGTCTTTTCAACTGGATCCTGAGCTGCATTTTGCACTGGATTCTGAACTGGATTCTCAACTGGATTCTCAACTGGATTTTGACCTACGAACAGTTAGTATGGGAATTTTTGGCCATTAATTTTTAAGAGCTTACCTGTCCCTGGTCGAGGTTCATCCCCCCTGGACTCCCTCTTTCTCCCAGGAAGCCAGCTAGGCATTGTATAAATAATTGATAAAATATAACTTGTTGAATGGTAGATAAAAGCTGCCTTTAGAATTGTTAGATCAAATCTGCACAATTGACCCAGGTAACGTACAAATTGCCGCCGAGAGACAATGCGGGGTAAAGCCAAGCTTGATGGACCTTTTGGTCGTATATGTATAGCAAGGGAGTCCTTGAGGTATTATGCACCTGAAGTATCGACTGAGAACCAGCTCAGAGACGTGGGAGAATGAAATTCAAATGTTCAATTGAAATATCAATGAGGAAGCGGAAAGAGGGCTTTATTCAAGAAACGAAATTTCTCAACTCCGCATGGGGGGGGGGCTTCCAACCTATTATTAGCCCTGGATGTGCGAGGTCTTCGAATGCAATAAATGGGCAGTTCCCGAATCACATCTCACTACTGCATGATTATCCCAGCCGGGCGCTTACAAGTTCCACGGAGCAACGTGATGGGTCAGTTCATGCAGCAATACAGTGGAGTCACAACCATCGTTGGCCATTCAGCAACGCACCGACAGCGGGTCCAAGCAGAATACGGAATTTGGATGTCAAAAAGTGGGGAATCAAGAAGAGTGAGGAGTACGGTGTATATGCTACTGACCGGTGATGTTTACTCCGTACCATGAAAAAGTTTCTTCCTCGCACTTGCTGACTACAGAACATCCGAGGCCTATTATCTGACGAACGCCCAGGAAAGGCCAAGATGGCTAACGCGTCCAAAATTCAAGTTGTTCTGCTGACCTGAAGTGGCTCGTGCACTAGGAAAAGCCATTCCCCCCTCATTAGTTTAGTCTCGGTATGGCCCCACATGAACAGTACATCTATCATCTATGGATGATCATTAATACTATACTTGCGCACTTCTTGCTTCTTCAGTATTTTACTTCAGATTATCCATCCTTAGGATTATGTCTACTTGACTATGACATAGGTACGAAGTACTCCATAATCTGAAGGTGTACTACTGATGCAAATGCTTTAAACTCGCTTGGACACTACTGGGTATCAAAATTTGGGAATGATCAACAGCTTGACTTAATTGGCATCCGCCGCGAGACCTAACAGGGCTTCCAGCATTTGTATACCTTCAGTGAAGCCATCAATTCTCGCCGTATCCAATGCATCCAAATTCGAGAAGTTCCTGGTAGTAATAACAGCTCCCCACTTCACCAATAGACGCATAACATCAACAGATTCTACTCTCACGGCGGTCATAAAAGCAGTATCGCCACGGCCATCCTGGTCATGAATGTTTGCTCCATGCTCCAGAAGCAAGTTGATCATTTCAAGGTTTTTGTTTCTTATCGCGAAGTGTAATGGTGTCATCCTTTGTGGGCCGGAAGTATGGACATCCGCACCGTAAGCTAAAAGCATCCTAGTCGCTTCCAGATTATCACTAGAACAGGCATGGTGCAAGGCCGAAAGTCCCATTTGGTGATCCGCAACTTCAACGTTTGCACCACACCTGAGCAGCAGTTCCAGGATATCATTACGACCCTGAACCGCCGCAATGAGAAGTGGTCGCATTCGAGAAGCCTCTTCAATTCCATCTGGACTAGCCCCATATTCGAGCAGCTTTTTTATAGCCTCCAAGTCGGGATTTATAATATGGTTAATGAGAGCCGAACGGCCTTCTTCATTTGTAGAATCAATGTCTGCCTCATGAAACTGCAGAATCTCAGGGATCCCTTCCACCGAAGTTTTGCCAGCTAGGGTCCACGCATTGACAAGGTATTCGGAATTCTCCTTGCCTAGCTCAACTAGTCGTACCATCATCCAGTAGGTCAGTTCCTCTTTTCCTGTACCAAGAGCCAGTTCACATAGGTGTACAAAATCATGTTCAAGGAGTTCATCTGAGTAGTTTGGCACCTTCACCGTGAGATGAGCCTTCATCATCCGAAGTCCAAGCTCGGTCTCTTGTTCATTAAGGGTTGAGCTTGGGTCTGGCTCTAACTCTCCCGATATACTGAGGGTTGCAAGTATCCGCTGCATTGATTGCATACCTGGTGAACTAGCTGATATGTGCCAGCACATCCAGCCAAATTCAAGGACGACCTTATTCCACAGGTCGGCTTGATATGTTTCCATGACCCAGTTTGAAAAGTCAAGGTAGTTTCTGTCCTGGAAAAAGGGAATCCTCAGGTCTGCCTGTAGTAGGGTTCTGGCATGCTTTATTCCTTCTTCGCGGATGGTTTTGCTATTATGGAACATCGCACGTCGGCAAAGGTATCCAATACTCAACATCGATAATTCGAATTCATCACCTTCTGACCGCTGGCAAATCCAAATGAGGAGCGAGAATGCAGAATCCCAATCATCTCCCTGAATCATTTTCTCAATTTGTTTTCTCACATTGGAGCAATCTCCTGTCAGCCTTGGTAAAATCTCAGCACGCTTCAGAGAAGGCACTATGCAAAGCAGTGCATCTTCTCTTGACCCCAATTTTTTGTCTTCAAAACAATGTGCCAAGTCGTCCACTCGAGTGTGTTGCGCTATCCAAGTATTTTGTAGGCCAGCTACCATATGAACCTCACCACCCAGCTCCTCCACTTTGGAGAAAATAGCTGCCAGAAATCGGATATACACATCTTGGGCAGCCATGACCTCCAACTCACTACTGGTCTTCATAACAAGAATATCTCTCTCGTTGGGATAAGTTTTGGAGTCATGGCCAAATAAGCGTCTTGGGATATCGACCATTTTTCTTGTAACTAATGTGGCTTCGGTCTGTCGAAAGATCCATTTATGGAAATAAAGGTACGCCCCTGGCGATTCGGCTTCTGGCTCACTGAGACCGACCATACGACTAAACGGTTTGTGCCATTCGTCATCTGATTTGCATAATGACCATGTCCAGAGACCGATAATAGCCTCTAACTCGCTTGTCGTTGCAAGGCCATCGGCATCTACCACTCTCCACCTGAGAGCATCTCCGAGCCTCCGAAGTCTAATGGAATGGGCCCCGAATATGGTAGAGGCTGACGTTGATGAAGAAGATTTGCATTCAAAGTAAAGCGGGAACTCAAACTCTTTATCAAATTTGAAACCCCAACTAGACATCAGATCCATCGTGGTCTCAATTGTCTTGGCGAGATTCTGCGCCACCTTGCGGATTGGAAGGCTATCCCAGCCACGGCTGTTTTCACCCTTGGTGAGATCAGCGAGTCGCGCCCTAGTCTTAATGACATGTTTTGCCAGACTTTTGTCAGATATTTCATTCGGAGGGACATTATCAGGCAATGAAGTGATAAGGTTGAATGACTGGACTTGCTCAAGGTAGAAAGCGAAGGAGTCCAGCTCTTGTTGCTTTCGTGCTACGAGCTCTCTCTCATCTCGTAACATGTTTTCCTCTTGGCTCATTCGTTCGGTTCGAAGAATTGTTCGGAGAACTGACATGGCGAAGGTTGAGCCCAGTTGGGCTAAGATCACAGATGAATGGAGACCTCTCTCACCGATGAACTGGAAAATGAACCCCAACAGGGTCATAAGTAGCGTTGTATAGACTTCGACGTATCTCTTGTCATATTTCATGACTCTTCTCGATTTGATGTAGCGCAGCTTTTTTGTCATGGAACCGTCTGACCCTTCTTTGACTGCAAGGAATAAGTTAAACACTTGATCTCCGACATCCTGATCACCTGGTTGTAGCCAATATAGTTTGCTAGGCTTCGCTGGCTTGAAATAGTGTTCTTTGGATGATCGCTCAATAATGACGGCACAGTAGAACATTCCCATGAAGAGCAGCGTTGTTCCAGTGAGGTAAAATGGAAATGCATAACTGTCGACAGGACCTCCATTAACCGTAAACGACTTCGGAAACACAAACACAGTCAGGGCTGCGTATAATAGAGCTCCTGGAGAGGATATTGAGCGTTAGCCTGCGACATCCATCACTTGGTCATGAAACACACTCACCTATCTGAAGGATAGCACCCAATACAGCAGCGGCATAAAACCAAAACGTATCTTTTTGTTTAATCCCTTTGTTCAAGGACAGATTCGGAATATCCATCTCTGGCATATAATTAGGATCTTTGATGTCGACCAGATCGACCCCGGAGCCCTTGCATGACCAGGCTCCTGTCGCGAGCGCATCACGCAGAGTTCCAATCTCTATTGACTTCTCTCCTGTGTTTTTATCTTCATTCTCCCATGCAACGATCTCCACGATACGGGGCCGGCCAAATACCCTGGAGATTCCGCCATCATTGAAGAGTTCAGCTGTGGACTCCGAAACACATGGTAACAGCTCGCCCTCGGCTTCAGCAGGTCCCTCCTGGGCTCGACCGACAAATGCTCGAAGAGAAGAACTGCCACAGATGCGGATCACAGATACTACTGCTGTCAACACTCCTAGTGGTGAAAGAGCGAAGATGAAATTGTCAACTAGACTTGTTGACTCGGAGAGAAATTGTTTCGTAAGACGTTCGCCGAACAAGGTAATCAAGGGGGCCTATAGATCCAAATATCAGTTTCCTGCTCCAATATTCCAACCAAGTTGAAAAACTTGGGGTATAAAGGAGATGGAAAGTCCACTTCGGATCTCAACTTCACTCTCACTGTTACTTACCAAATCCGTCGCAAGATTATTCGTAAAATCCTCCCAACCATCAGCCAAAACACAAGGGACGAGACTCAATATTAAAAATAAAGTCACATTCATAGTCATTCAATATTCCCTCATTTTTGTCGATTTAAGCACTGTAATCACTCAAATATCATAACACAGCCTTGCAATTCCTTACAGCCCTTCTTAAATCTCCTACTCCTAGTGCCCATTTGCCAATCCCTGAAGTGGGGGCGGGGGTTATCGCCCTGGAAATCCACAGAAAATTCTCATGGCTAATTATATAGGCACCAGAGTCATATCCCCCGTTAGCAATGAAACCACTAAATCACCTGCTGCAGCGAGTAAGCGCTGTGATGGGTCATGTATGTGTGTTGTCACTTGCGCTAGTTCTCGGCCCGCATACGCCCGCGGCTTGCTTGTGGGTCTAGATCTGCTTTTGGGCTCTATTGGAGGCTGTGGGCTGTGCCAAAGCGCTGGTGGCTGAGTCTTTTCTCTGATTATCATTTCTCTTTTCAGATGCGTGCTTCTTGGTGCTTCGCTTGGGGTAAGTGGCTGGATTGATTGGGCTGTGCAGAGTCCCTGCTCTTTTGCCTGGATGATTTATCATGCAGAGGACTTCGAAATTGGGTTTTCAAATATTGCTTCAATCCTAGTTGTTTGTTGTTTGCTCTTATTCTTCTGTTTTTCCCTGTATAAACAGAACTGCTATTTCTGGGGTTCATGCAAGAGTACACGAATCGAAACTAAGGTGCGTAGTTTAGAATAGAGAGCTGCGGAGATCCCCCACTTCACAGATTAGCTCTATAGATAGAACCTTATAGTATGGTTAAAATGTCTGTTTTGTCTCATGAGGCTATATGAGGCTATCATCATGTCTGAGATTGAGGCAGAAAGCACCTTCAAATGAGTATTAAGAAGTCCTTGGGCTGTGGAAGATAAAATATCATGCGTGTAAATTCCCAAGGCCATATCAATCCATAGTGTGAACAAGTCAATACAGTCAAAGACTTTAGTGGTGACATGCTCTCTGTTAAAAGTGAGTGGTAAGAGGCATTTGGCCGTGGTTCCTAATGAAGTACGCGTCTCCCCTGAGCAGAAATTTCCAATTCCTGCTTACTTTGTACGATTTACACGCACAACCCCCGACAAGTTCAAGTTTTGTGGCATTACATTGCCAAGGCCCCGTGAATAGATCATACCACCTTCATGGGTGCACAGTACCCAGTCTTCGGATTCCCGATGTTGTTTTCTCGAGATTCCACATGCCGCTTTTTAATTAGGATTAGAGCACTTGTGGTCATACGGAGGCTGGCTGTGAAGCAGGCTGATGTCAACTTGTATGACGCCGCGACTGCAGCAGATCTCATGTTGAGATCCAGACTATTCGTGTGACCGGAATCGAACAGGATGGCGACGTTGTGTAGAAGAGCACGAGTAGTTAGCAGGGGGTTCCTGTGTTACGTTAAACCTAAAGCCACGGGCGATGTTTTCCGGAGTTTTGGTATGTGGGGATTAGGATAGATGCGTCAACAAGGTCAGGGATATGATCTAGGTCTAGGTGTGACTCGAGTGCTGGGTGCTAGTAATGAGCCAGGTGGCTCAAGAATCAAGACAAACAGGGAGAGTACTGGTTAAGATTTTTAGGTTGAGATGAACGAGGTCAAAACACATCATAGTATTCTTTCTTTTTCTCAATGTCTGAATACAGCAATGCTGAGGTGAGATGCCTTTAGCAAGAGGCTGAGTAGATGTTCAAAAAGGCGCTCAAATGATCACGGGAGGACGATTGGTCTGTAAAAGCACCCGGTTCAAGCTTCGTCATCCTTCCAAAAAGTAAAGCAAATCCACCAACGCCTTTTCAATGATTAAACGGGGAGTAAAGTAGACGTAGATATCTTCAAAAATAGGAAATATGTCCCAATATCAAGAGAAAATTGCATAGATACGACAAGCCTAGAAAATGCTGTTCACGATGTTGGAGCCCACCGTAGCACCAGCACCGAAGATCGCTAGTAAAAATTAGTCTTTAGAAGCTCAACAAGGATGAAGCTATAACACATACCAGCATTGCCCAGCTTCTTCCCAAACTTCTTACCGCCCTCCTCCAGCTTGCTCTTCTGGTTCGGGTCGGTTGATTGACCACCCTGGCTGACTTCCAGAGGCATGTTTCCGTAGCTTGTGGGCTGGGAGACAGGTCCCTTCTCTTCAACAACATTGACATAGCTGCGAGGGAAGATGCCCTCCAAGCCAGTGCGCTCATTGCGACCGCGCCACCCTACAGTATAAACATTAGCATATCTCCAATCGAAACTCGACCAGGATCCAGGATCAAAACATACAGTCATCATTCATGTGCTCCGTAACTTGAATGCGATCATTGGGCACTAGCGCCAGATCACCAGCATCTGTAGGTGTGTATGCATACAAGGCCGAGGCGACAGACAAAACAGGCGGGCCTTGGTTATAGGCTGGCGGGGGCATCTGAGGAGGCGGGGTGGCATATTGATTGTGTAGCGGGGCTTTCTCATTCAATGAGGCATTGTTCATCTGTGATACGGGAGGAGAATAGGGAGCTGGAGGAGGCTGTGCCTGGACAGGTGCCGGCAGGGGTGTAGGTTGGTGCAGCGCAGGCGTGGCCTGGCGGTTCCTGGATACTGGACGGGCATCGGATTCATCGGGCAGTTGGGATAAGATAGAGTTGAGCTGTTGGCGGGTGATCACTGAGGAATCTGCTAGGAACTCCAGCTCCTAATTTGTTTTGCGTCAGTGGCTATTCCGAGTCTTCCAAGGTTGAGGCTTGAAGGTGTGGGGAAGGCTTACGGTTCGGACCATGCGGAGCGACCGGGTGGTCATCGCAGAAGAGAAGTCGCTTGCCATGATGGATAAGTTGATTTGAGATGTGTTCAGCCGCGTAAGGGTAGTCGTTTGGGTAAATCAGAGAGCAGAAATAGGGGGCACTTGGGGATGATGTAGTGATGAAAGAGACTTGGACTTGGAAAGCAGAAGTGAGTGGACACTGCCAAGTGGGTTGTCTCATCTGCCTAGGCCAAGACTTCAGGAACCCCAGGGGTAAATACTCTTCATACTTCTAGATTATAACAAATGAGAATATTACGTCGTTGCACGATTTGGTTTATTTATTTATTTTCTCATCCATAATTATGCAAGCCTAGTGCTTTATTTAAGCTGATTACTACTAGTAGCAGTTGATTAGCTTGAATATGGTTAGTAGAACGCGTACTACTAGTACACCACTATATTTAGCCGCAAAATCAATCAATGACTCGTGCCAGTGAGGATTCAGTACATCCATATGAGCTTGCCAGTGGAGCTTCATTTGAGATATTCAAATTTCAGACTACAGCAATAGTATGGCGAAATCTTGAATTGTATTTTTTTTATGTATTTCTCTAAAACTCATGTCCCCAAGGTTTGCCCAATATAGTATAGGTACCTTGGTTTATAGTACTAACTCGAGCACTTGAGTCATGTTCAAGTTGTACTCAGCACCGCATCCATGAATTCCACATGGGCATGAATCCACTGCATTGAAGATAGACATCATTCTACTACTAGTACATGCACCTACTAGTAGTAGGATCAGTTCACATCGATTGATGGAACTTCAAGTTCAAGTTTCGCGGTTGACATCGGGCAATTCAAGTAGATCAGATTATCTGTTATTTCTGAATATTTTTCTCGAACTATGAACATTTGAACATTTAAATCATTGAATCTTGTGACAAAACCACCATTCCCAAGGTTATTCGGAGCTTTCCTCTCCCACAACACGAGTGAATGTGACACCATCCTATGTGACTGTTAGCAATGTACTTACGTCCACGGGTGACATTGAGGAACGAGGAAACTTACGGGACCCCAAGGAGTCTCAAACTCCTCCAGAACAGTCTCATAAATCAAGTTCGGATTGGGCTTAACGCTAGCACATCCCAGTCCAGATTCAAGCTCCTTGACCAGCACCTTCTTCTCCTTAGTTGAGGCCTCAATCCACTTACGGAAGTTGGGAGCGCCGGGGAAGATAACATTGTCGGCAATCATCACTGAGACACCCGGCTTCATGACATTCATCTCTTCCAGAAGCCAGGTATCGCTCAGGTAGAGTTCCTGCCAGTGATCCAAGAAGATAATCTCAATCTGATCAATCTCCTTCTCAACGATGAGCTCTCTCAGAATCTCAGCGCTACTACCAACAAGGATTCGCACTGTATCGCGCAGACCAGCAAGATCCACAAGCTGATTAGCCACAGCTGCCATCTCGGCATTCTTCTCAATGCCGATGTACTTCTTTCCGCCATTGGCGCGCAGAGCTTCGCCGAAGAGGATACAGCTGTACCCGATGTATACACCCAGCTCAATCATAACACTCGGCTTCTCCTTGTTGATAGTGTTCACGACATGCTCACCCTTGGCAGGACCAATGTTCATGAGCATTTTTTGTGTACAGTTGAACTCGTCAATTGCCTCGAGTACTTTTGTGGGGCTGCCCTTGAGCTCCTTAAGATCTTCACGGCCGTAGATGTAGTGGAGGAGCTCGATCTCACGTCCATCCTAGCTATTGTCAGAATCATCCACGCCTGATGCAATTGCAAGGGCAGGATGAACTTACAAGAGCTCCCTCAGTACCAGCAGCGGCCTTTACTATCTTGTTCGTCATGGTGTTTGGTGAGGTGTGACAAAGAGAAGATTGAAGATGGTGGCGGATAAACTCGGCACTTGAATATGAAAGTGCACGTGAAAGTGATCAATTGTTGATTGTGAATGATTTCTGAGAATTGAGGGAGTTGGGCATTCTTCAATGGCCATCTTTATAGTTCATTTCTTCAGGGTTGACCTGTCATTTCTCTCTTTTCGGTGTTTAGAAAATGGGGTTTGTGATCAATGCATTGCTCCCATTTGAGGAATTGTCCGTCGGGAATATTGCGAAAGCAGCTGGCTTGCATATCTAGATCGAGGATCGACAATTAAGCCTTCTTGTCCTGGCGTCACAAGCCCAAGGATAAGATTTTAATATTTAATGTTTCAACTCTCCATGCCTGATCCTCAACTGATCTACACGCGGCACATGCAGGCTTCAGCTACACCCGGGGCCCGGAGCCCGGATCTTTATACTCGTCACCACGATAGAGGATACAAATTACGATCACATTTTGATGTTAACTGATGAGAGAGCGCTATTGATCAACTCGCATATGTACTCCACACCGGAATGAATAGTACATAGCTGCCCAGGTGGCACTGCCCTTTGCAGGCAACGACGTATTTTGTCTCGATAGGCGCGGGTTGACATGTACTGCATACACGTAGGACTGCCAGTGATGCCCTGTGCTTTTATTCGGAAAAATTCCCCAGACTAGGAGAAAAGAATGCACGGGGTTGATCAGGGGCTGAGGTGGTTCTGATATTGATGTCATTGAGATCTGCAATGTCTGAAGGATTCAAATTAGTGGTCAACTGGCGACAAAACAACTTCAAGTTATCACGGGTGCAAGTTGTTTTTCTGCAACATTTGCATTAAGTGGGACAGGAAACACATCAATTGATATGTCCCCAGGTAACACTATTAATACTATTAATATGAGTCTGGGATGGTTTGACTCAGCCTTCTAGTTGAGGAGTCGGGGTCTCAAATAGGCAGCGCAGGGGCTCTGCCAAGCTATTGTAATACTTAGGAAGTTAGGATGAATGAAATCACTGGGCATTGGGTTGGCAGCTGAGTCAATTGACAAAATATGAATCATGATTATCATGATGGTAAGCCCTAAGTACTCAATGTGAGAACCCCTCGAGAGCAATTGAGATTGTGCGGTGAGATCAATGCCCCCAATATCAGCATAATTCATGTATGACATCAAGTGGGTCGAAAAGGCATCATTATGTCTGCCGAACACTGATATCAAATAGACTAGACCGACAACTGTTATCAAAGAGTAGAGACTAGAGATTATAGTCTATTTATAAATCAATAATAGTAGTGCCAGATATATGGCTGGAATGTACGGGATTCATCGTAAGCGATGTTCATTGTTTTCAAAGGCGGTGGACGTGGCAACATTCATGGTATGCGCAGAGTTGGATGAACTCATCTTGCCCACCACAAATGCCTAAATGACCTCAGGGTACCAATATAGTCAACCAATATAGTCAATCCTAGTAAACTCATCTAAAATTAAAACTCATAGTGATTCAAGTTATATGAATGTATTTCTCTTTGATATGGAATTTAAGACAATGTCCGTAACCCCACTATACCCAAAGTAGTTTAGCGGGTGACTCCCCTCTCTCCCACTCTCTCGAAGCTTCTGTGCAGTATAAATCCCATTCTGCCATTTCTCACGCGATCGTCATATCTCTCCATATCAACCTCCACCCTACATCTCGCTCTACATCCTCCATCTCTCTCCAACACATACCACCTTTCAACTCTTCAAATCTTCAACATGGACTGGGACTCTGTTACCAAGATCGGTGGCAAGCACCGTGGTGCTGGTGCCGCCCCTCGCGAGACCGTCATCAAGGGCAAGAGCGCCCTGAACGCTGCCCAGCGATCTGGTGGTATCCTCGCCACCGAGAAGAAGTACACCACTGGTAACATCGTAAGTGAACTTGAAAAGGAAACCAAAACATCAAAGAAATCCAACTAATAGCCCATCCCACAGTCCGCCAAGTCCGGCGCCCCCGAAGGCCAGCACCTCACCAAGGTCGACCGCAGCGACGATATCATCAAGCCCAAGACTGTCGGTCTGGACGTAGCAGATGCCATCAAGCGCCGCCGCGCCGAGGAGGGCTACAAGATGACCCAGAAGGAGCTCGCCACCAAGTGCAACACCACCGTGACCATTATCCAGGACTTTGAGCGTGGTTCCGCCACTCCAGACCAGAAGGTCCTCAGTGCCATGGAGCGCGTGCTCAACGTGAAGCTCCGTGGTACTGACATCGGTAAAGAAAAGTTCCCCAAGAAGAAATAAACTCTGATCGGGGGTGAGCCCGCGGCTATTATGCTTTTTGGATGAGACTCGGACAATCTAAGTTCTTTTCTGCATTCTTGGGATTCTTCTTCTTTTCTCCTTGTTTTTATGATAATTGTCATGTCATTTCCTCTTTACAGATGATGCCTTTTCCTACCTTCTTTTAGGAGGTTATTTTTTTTTTTCTGCTGGTCGGATTAGCGCTGGCCTTGCATGGAATGGGCTTAGAGAAAATTGGATAAAAATGTATAAATGAGATACCTCAATGTTTCTACGAGATCTATTCTTTTCAAATGTGGTCAAGAGCCTCTAATTTTCATTAGAAAAAGATCGCATGCACCAGTTTATGTGCTTCAGGTGCATATATCACTCCGATCATTCTGGGCTTGTCCAAGTGTGTGGGTCGTAGTATCATTAGTAGCACTAGGAGCCTCATTCGAAGGTCTAGGCTGTACGTAGTACACTTCTACTATATTGTGAAGGTCTTCTACGAACTCCAAATGCTTCTTAATCTGAACTGTTGAAATTTTGCAAAGCTTCGTATTGTCTATTTCGTGATATGCACATCCTCCGCTGGTCCGCATCTCGTGAGTTCCTGCACTCCCAAACGAACATATGACGCGACAGCTAAAAATATGAAGCATGCCATCTTTTATTAAATCAAGGCAATAAAAAAAGGGGGTTACCAACTCCGGTTGATCATGTAGGAATCAAGAAATGAGAAAATCGTGCCTCGAAAGGTCATCATCTCATCTCGTATGCCGGACTCGAGAGGGTCAAAAAATAGAAAAAACCAAACGTCCCGAGTCTAGTTCGCATCATAAACACATACACACAACTCTCGCCAACTGAATTCTCCTATACTTTTTGTCGTAGCACTTCGTCCCTTACTTTCGCAGCTGCTCCCGCTCAACCTCATACATGAAGTCAAAGTAGCCCTTATCGAAGTGGTGAATACGGACGTAACCGTCCTCACCACCGGAGGCGTAAGCGGTACCGGAGGGGTGAACATCGATGGTGTTGAGGGGACCGAAGTGGCCACGGACACGGCCGATCTCGTCTTCGAAGATCTTGTGGTAGAAACGAGCCTCGAATTTACCTTGGCGAGCAGAGGTGGTTGTGACATCCATGGCGGCCTGACCACCTCCCAGGATAACGTAGTCCTTCTTAGCGGTAATAGAGGCGGAGTTGAGGGGGGTATCGGCGGTGTAGGTTTTCAGGATGGCGAGTTCGCGAGCGGACATGAGCTTGATAGAGTCAGTTGACATGCTCCAAAATCAAAGTTCAAGAAAAAAAAAAGGAATGCATACCTTGGCAGACTTATCCTTGGAGGCGGTGATGAAGTGAGTGCGGTCGGCAGAGAATTGGATGTCGTTGATCTGGTGGTCAAATTCGTGGACCTGGACGTTCTCCAGCTGATCACCGGTCTAACATAACAAGTTAGTACGGACTGGTTGTACTGATAAAAAATATCTTAGATGGCCATACCTTAGGGTCGTACTGGCTGACACTGCCGTCCTCGTGTCCAGCAATAATGTACTTGCCCAAGAAGCTCCATCCTGCCACTGTCGCCTTACTCTCGGTGCAAGTAATGACCAAGGTTGGCTCGCCGGCCTGTGATTCGAGGTTGTCGCCCTCGCCATCGCCGTAGGCGATATCGAGAACAGCGATTGTGCCCAGGAAACCCATACGCTTCTCCGTCACAGCCAACAATTGGCTTCCATCCGGAGAGAATGCTACCCGCTTCACGGCAGTCGGGAAATCCCACACCTTCACACACTCGCCAGTCTTAATGTTCCATAACCGCACGGTGTTGTCTGCAGAACCAGTCGCAAGAATAACGGTGTTGGGGCTCACGTCGACAGTCCAGATAGCACCCTGGTGACCGGCATACGTTCCGAGGCGCTCGCCGTTGGCAGTCCACCACGCGCACACATTCTTATCCTTGGAAACTGAGAAAAGGAGGTCGCCGTCCTTGTTGAAACGAATTTGGTTGAGGGAACGTTCCTATACGTAGGATTGGATGTTAGTTTTCACTGTGGACCCCCGAGCTTTTAGCAAGAATCGCACGCACATGACCCGACAGCAGAATAGGTCTCATTTTGGACGGTGAGACAAGAAAAGACCGGAGATGGGGGTATCTGAGGCGATCGTCTCAGGAAGGAGTCGTAGATGGCGGGTATATCGGAGGAGGGGGGTCAATCTCGTCAACCGTTACTTTCTTTGACTAGTGAATTTCATCGCACAACTCCTCCAGCGCCAAGACTGACAAACCGTATCGAATCGCGGTTTTCCGCATAATCTATTTCTCCGGTATCTACACGTGACTGGCTACCCCTCAGCCCTAAGCCCTTCTTTACTACTTTGGGAAGTAGATCTTCTTTCAAGGTTCATGGGTCATGTGATCGGATGACTCATTCTTCAGCTATCAATTACTGCCTCAGGCACTAACATCCCGTGTGACTCGCCGACTCCCTTTCGGATGCCGAAGTATCACCACGAGATTAAAGGGAAAAAGGGGTGGAAGTACAGGAGTCATTGTGTGAGGGGATAGATGAGACCTAATGTTTCTGATGAGAAAGAAAGAAAAAGCTCAATTCCCTCTTAATCCCGAATAATTCTCTTTGCATTGCATTTGTTAAGCTTCCTTGGGTTCCCGAACAGATAACCAGCTCCGAGGGTTCTCGCCCCTAAAGAGGATAATATTCATGCTGTTCCCCGCTGTACCCCGCGGTTCTCTTTCCCTTCAGGCGCGAGCGGTCAATTTTTGTCTCCGCACCTCTCCGTGCTTTTCTTCATATTCTACTTACTCCTCCGCACGAGGGGCCAGAGAAACTTTCTTGTCCAGGTGCTTTTCGGCTCCGTCTCCCGGTTCCATCGCTATTTTAACCCCGCTGGCTGCTACTTCTTATCGCACCTTCACCAGCTCCACGAAAATGGCTTCCAAAATTGATGGCACGGCGATTGCCAAGAGCATTCGCGCGGGTCTTAAGACTGAGATTGAGGAGAAGCAAGCTACTAACCCTAGGTTCAAGCCCAACTTGATTATCTTCCAAGGTATGTGTCATATGAAGCTGTCATTGAAGCATAGGAGAAAATTTTGGACCCGAAATAAGGACTAACATCGCTCTTGATATACAGTTGGCAACCGCTCGGATTCCAGTTAGTCTAATTCCCCTGTCTTTGCTCTGGAAAGAACATCGTTTAGATTGAAAACAAGGGCAGGACTAATACAATTTAGGTACCTATGTGCGTATGAAGCTGAAGGCGGCTCAAGAGGTATGCAGAGACGAACTGTCCCAATCATATAACTACCAATACTGATCTACTCCTAGTCCAATATTCTCTGCACCCTGATCAATGTGCCCGAGACTAGCACCGAGCTGGAGCTCCTCCAGGAGATCACCAAGGCCAACAATGACCCCTCCGTACACGGTATCCTTGTCCAATTGCCCCTCCCTAGTCACATGTCCGAGCATACCATCACCTCTGCTGTCGCCGACGAAAAGGATGTTGACGGATTCGGCGCTATCAACATTGGTGAGCTGGCCAAGCGTGGCGGCCGCCCACACTTCACACCCTGCACGCCTCTCGCTGTTATGGAATTGCTGAAGGCTAGCGGGGTTGACCCCGCAGGTAAGACGGCAGTGGTTCTGGGCCGTAGTGACATTGTTGGCAGTCCTGTCAGCTTCTTGCTTCGCAATGCCAATGCTACTGTCACTGTCTGCCACTCCCAGACCTCCGATATTCCCAGCATTGTGAAGACTGCCGATATTGTCGTTGCAGCCATTGGCAAGGCTGAGTTTGTCAAGGCTGACTGGTTGAAGCCTGGTTGCGTCGTGATCGATGTTGGTATCAACTACAAGCCTGATGCTACTCGCAAGTCGGGTGAGCGTCTGGTTGGAGATGTGGACTATGAACTCGCCTCCCAGGTGGCTTCGCAGATCACCCCCGTTCCTGGCGGTGTTGGCCCCATGACTGTTGCCATGCTGTTGAAGAACGTTGTCCACGCTACAAACTCATACTTTGAGAAGCAAAAGGACCGACGCATTACCCCTCTCCCAATTCGCCTGCAGAATCCAGTTCCTTCGGATATTGCTATCTCTCGTGCTCAGTACCCTAAGCCTATTACTCAGGTCGCCTCTGAGATTGGCATTGCCAACCACGAGTTGGAGCCCTACGGCCACACCAAGGCTAAAGTTAGCCTTGATGTGATCGAGCGTCTTTCTCACCGTCGCAACGGAAGATACATTCTGGTTTGCGGTATCACCCCCACTCCTCTGGGCGAGGGCAAGTCTACAACTACTCTTGGTCTTACTCAAGCCCTTGGAGCCCACCTCAATCGCATCACCTTTGCCAACGTCCGTCAGCCCAGTCAAGGCCCGACCTTTGGTATCAAGGGAGGTGCCGCCGGTGGTGGTTACAGTCAGGTCATTCCTATGGATGAATTCAACCTCCACTTGACCGGTGACATCCACGCCATTACTGCCGCTAACAACCTCCTCGCCGCGGCTATTGAGACCCGTATGTTCCATGAGTCTACTCAGAAGGATGGTCCTCTCTACAAGCGTCTGGTCCCTGCTAGCAAGGGCAAGCGCGAGTTCAAGCCTATCATGTTCCGTCGCCTGAAGAAGCTGGGAATTGACAAGACCAACCCCGATGAACTTACCGAGGATGAGATTAGCCGCTTTGCGCGCCTGGATATTGACCCTGATACCATTACCTGGCGCCGTGTGCTCGATGTCAATGACCGTCACCTGCGTGGTATTACTGTTGGCACTGCACCCACCGAGAAGGGTCTCTCTCGTGAAACTGGCTTCGATATCTCTGTTGCTAGTGAATGTATGGCTATTCTCGCTCTGAGCAACAGCTTGGATGATATGCGTGAGCGTCTTGGACGCATGGTTGTTGCTACCTCCAGGAGCGGCGACCCTGTCACCTGTGACGACATTGGTGCTGGAGGTGCCTTGGCTGCCCTGATGAAGGATGCTATCAAGCCTAACCTTATGCAGAGTTTGGAGGGTACTCCTGTCTTGGTTCACGCCGGTCCCTTCGCCAACATCAGTATCGGTGCTAGCTCCGTCATTGCTGACAAGCTTGCCTTAAAGCTGGCTGGAACCGAGCCCGATGAGGATCACGATGCTAAGACCGGTTTTGTAGTGACAGAGGCTGGTTTCGACTTCACTATGGGTGGTGAGCGCTTCTTCAACATTAAGTGCCGATCATCGGGTCTGTCTCCCGATACCGTGGTCATTGTGGCTACCGTCCGTGCTTTGAAGGTGCACGGTGGTGGTCCCGAGATCAAGCCCGGGGCTCCTCTCCACGAAATTTACCGTACCGAGAATGTGGATATTCTCCGCAAGGGTTGTGTCAACCTCCGCAAGCACATTTCCAACGCTCGCCAGTACGGTGTGCCCGTCGTCGTGGCCATTAACAAGTTCGAGACTGACACCGAGGCTGAGATTGCTGTGATCAAGGAGGAGGCGATCGCAGCGGGTGCCGAAGACGCTATCCCCGCCAACCACTGGGCCGAGGGTGGAGCAGGCGCCGTCGACCTGGCTAAGGGTGTTCTAGCCGCTAGCTCCAAGCCTAAGGACTTCAAGCTGCTTTACGACCTGAACGGTACCATTCAAGAGCGTATTGAGTGCATCGGCACTCGCATGTATGGTGCTGACAAGGTCGAGTTCAGCGAATTGGCTCAGAAGAAGGTCGACACCTACACCAAGCAGGGCTTTGCCAACTTACCCATCTGTATTGCCAAGACACAATACTCGCTCAGTCACGACCCTGCCCTGAAGGGAGCACCCACCGGATTCACTGTGCCCATTCGGGATGTCAGATTAGCCGTGGGTGGTGGATACCTGTAAGTTTTCCTATCTTAAGCTCGCGTTGAGATGGCCCCGCTTGTTTCTTTTCCCTTGACTTTTCACCTCACTTTGCGTTTGGGATTTTTTTTTATCAATGCGGAGGCTAATTTGACTCATAGGTATGCATTGGCTGCCGATATCCAGACGATCCCTGGTTTGCCTACTGCACCGGGCTACCTTAATGTAGACATTGACACCGAGACCGGTGAGATCGATGGTCTGTTCTAGATCGTGTGCGTAGTTCCATTTTCTTGGATCTCTTTTTTTATTTTATTTTTATTATGGATAGAGCGGATATTTGATGTATATAACCATGATTGAGCATGGATCCGGGGTATTTTTTCAACATAACAACCTAACGAGGATAATATGGAGTATATTTAGATCGGAGAAATTTCAACACCCGAAGTTGACGTTGATGGAGATACTGGAATGAATTGAATTCTGGTCAATTGAACAGTTTAAAAATGTTGAAATTTCCCTAATCATTTCCCATGTAGATCGTGCTATTCGGGTGATCGTTTTCCGGTTCTTCAGTGGAGTCATGGTGTACTTCTAAACGTATAAGACGCATTTCGGTGAGTCGCCGGAGTGATGCTCCGATACTCCGGGAACCGCTACATAATTTTTTAATTTTTTTCACTCCTACTAACCGTAGCGGGTCAGTGGATAGAAGCTATGAACCCAGTCATTCGTAAAATGAAACATAAAAAGGGCTTAGAGGAACCAGTTAATCAGATTCAGTGATCTTTTTACCTTATCTTTTTCTCTAAAAAAGATTCCATCAATCTCTTATATTAGAGATTTTATCGTATAAACCCTCATCCCTTCAGGAAGTTCAGGTAAGTCTCGTGACTTTATCAAAGTCCGGCTTCGGCGCTTCTTTGCATCATTTCAAGCGGCAAACGGTTAAAAGAGTAATCAACTGAAGTCGTTCCTTGCAGGTAATACCTTTCCCCGGACAAGGCTTTTTCCTCTTTTCCCTTCAACCTTGCCATCCACTCTTATTCGGTAATTCCCCCAGTTCATTTGCCTTTGAAACATCCCGTTGGACTCTTGGTTATCCGGCTTTCCCGTATTCCCCCGGTCTCCCCCAGACCACTACCCATCTCTCCCGACAAATCATTTGCGGTGACGTTGCGAATCGCGGGCATAGGTCAACTCCGACTCCACCAGCCGCATTTCCCTTCTGCCGAATATCGTTTCCTCGGTTGTTCAATCGGCGCCGCTGTACTGCCCCGATCGAAGCCCTTCGAGCCAAACAGAAAGAGAGAAACTCCTGCTGACGCCTTTCCCCGGAACAGTCTGTGAGAAACAAGTGCCACAAAGGTGCTAATTCCCACTATGAACGCTCTTCGGTCTGGTTCCGCTTTCGCTCGCCGGTCCCTGGCAACCCCTCCTTCCGTTGCCCCTCGTCTCTCTTCTTCTTCTCGTGTTCTCTCTTCTTCTTTTACTTCCTTCTCTTCTTCCCAGAGATCTCTTTCTTCTGCTTCTCTTCCTCGCACAAACAGAATTGCTGCGTCTTCCCGCTGGTCCGGATCGACTCCTACTTTGTACCTTACTCAAACCCGCACTATGGCTTCCGAAAGCAAGATCAAGGTCGTGAACCCGGTGGTGGAGCTGGATGGTGATGAGGTATGGAAATGAAATCAAGCCCCCTTCCCAACCCCTCCCCTTTATATATTATACGCCTGGACTCTCTCCCTCGTGCGGGGTGAATATCACAAGCCTGCTCCTTGATTTCCTCGCTCGGAACGATACATTTTCGTCTTGTCCCGCCCTCGAACGCGGGGAAATACGGGGAAGACCAACTTTCGGGATCACCCTTCTCAATTGATTTCATGTGTCAATTGGGATCCCGAGGCTTGTCGAAGCACTTGTGGAGAGAGTGGCTTGTTCTCAATATGACTCAGACGTGACTAACCTGGCTTTTTTGCATATAGATGACCCGTATCATCTGGCAAGACATCCGTGAGAAGGTAAGATTGAACTTCCCTACCCCTCCATTGCCCCTCATCATATCCGTCATAAGGGTTCTACAACCTGCATGATAAGGGATCTGTGGCGCAGCTGGCTGCATGTCATCAATGCATGATATCATTATTCATGACGATCTGGACCATAAGCTAACATTGCATTCACTAGTTGATTCTGCCGTAAGTGCTTCTAGAATGGGAGATTGATCGTCCTGAGAAAATACCTCCCAGTTACTAAGACTGTCAACAGTTTCCTCGACATTGACCTCAAGTACTACGATCTCGTAAGTTTCTAAATTCGAAATGAAGATTGGAAATATCCCACGTACTAACTATTTGACTAGGGTCTTGAGTACCGTGACCAGACCGATGACCAGGTCACCATTGATGCTGCTGAGGCCATCAAGAAGTACGGTGTCGGTGTCAAGTGTGCCACCATCACCCCCGATGAGGCCCGTGTTGAGGAGTTCAAGCTGAAGAAGAGTATGTGGAGACCACGCATTGCGTTGTGAAACCCCGGAGACTAACCTTGTTCACCCTTCTAGTGTGGCTCTCCCCCAACGGTACTATCCGTAACATTCTTGGCGGTACCGTCTTCCGTGAGCCCATTATCATCCCCGCCATTCCTCGTCTGGTCCCTGGCTGGAACAAGCCCATTGTCATTGGTCGTCACGCTTTCGGTGACCAGTACCGTGCTACCGACCGTGTCATCCCCGGCCCCGGTAAGCTCGAGCTCGTCTACACCCCCGTTGGTGGTGAGCCCGAGAAGGTTCAGGTCTACGACTTCCAGGGTGGCGGTATCACCCAGGTCCAGTACAACACCGATGAGTCCATCCGTGGCTTTGCCCACGCCTCTTTCAAGATGGCCCTCCTCAAGGGTCTGCCTCTGTACATGAGCACCAAGAACACTATCCTGAAGCGTTACGACGGTCGCTTCAAGGACATCTTCCAGGAGATCTTCGACAACGAGTACAAGAAGGAGTTCGATGCCAAGAACATCTGGTACGAGCACCGTCTCATTGACGACATGGTCGCCCAGATGATCAAGTCTGAGGGTGGCTTCGTTATGGCCCTGAAGAACTACGACGGTGACGTTCAGTCCGACATCGTCGCTCAGGGTTTCGGTTCCCTGGGTCTCATGACCTCCACTCTCGTCACTCCCGATGGTGAGGCTTTCGAGTCCGAGGCTGCCCACGGCACCGTCACCCGCCACTACCGCGAGCACCAGAAGGGTAACGAGACCTCCACCAACCCCATTGCTTCCATCTTCGCCTGGACCCGTGGTCTCGTCCAGCGTGGTCAGCTCGACAACACCCCCGAGGTTGTCTCCTTCGCTGAGGCCCTCGAGGCCGCCTGTGTTGAGGTCGTCAACGAGGAGGGTATCATGACCAAGGATCTTGCCCTCGCTGCCGGTCGCAAGAACCGTGAGGCTTGGGTTACCACCTCTGAGTACATGGCTGCCGTTGAGCGCCGCCTCAAGGCCAACCTCAAGGCTCGCCTGTAGATTTATTCCCCCATTCTGTGATGTCCTCTTTTTTTGCATGCCATATGATATCTTCCCCCATTTAGATCTGGGGCAATTTTGATCTACTCTCTCACATGTACAGTTGTTTGAGAAAAATTAAAATGATTGCTATATGAATTTGTGCTTATTAGTAGCCGTAGATGTAGAGCATTGTATCTGGTCGTCCAATAACTGAATTCTCAACTCAAGAAAGCACCTGGAGTACATCTCAACCCAGTGTCTCGTCTTGAGTTCAGATTTACACTGCCCGAACTCAACTTCAATGTTCTCCCCTTCCTCCCTGAGCACCAACTTCAAGTCAAATGAGAGAAGGTCAGGGTATTACTTCCACTATCCCAGCAGACAATCTCCAACTTGAAATTTTTTTAACCATTTAAGAATGTGAGCTCGGGATCACCGAAACCCAGAAAATCCCAGCGTAGATCCGCCACCTGCACGACTAGTGTACCAGCTCTATATGCACAACCTTGGGAAAAACCCCCCACAAGCAATGATAAACGCAATTCCTTCAGTCAAGCCCTATCACGATTCGCAGTCCAGACCCAGAAAGCCTTCGGACCAGACTCCAGATTCCCATCATACGAACAAGTCGGACCCGAACAACCCTGGGGATTTACCGAACAAGGGCAATGTGATTGGAAGTCGTAAGGACAAGACCCATAAAACAAAGTCTAAACTCTTCAGAAAATGAATGAATTCTAAATCTTCAATTTAGGGCAAGAATTGCAACATCCGGCAAGCAATACTATAGGGTGGACCGATCGGCCAAAGCTCGATCCTCTACTCGTACGGGACGATCCAGATTAGTCGGGGTCTTTTCGGGAAAATCTGACATTGGATGAACTCCACATCTACTATATCAGATATCCAATCATAAACATTGGATATGGAGTGGTAGACCATACGAAGAGTTGAGGATGATGTCGTCGACGCAATCGGTTCTGACTTATTGCCTAATGCGGCATGCAGCCCGGCCAATGATTCATTCTCCGTCATTTGAGGGTCCAAGGATTGAGTTCTATGGGATGGGAAATATACTACGAGGGAATTATAATCCAGTTTATGGCGTCTGATAGATAACGTGTCTACGTGGTGGAGAACGATCTCTGCAGAACTCGGATTTTCCCTGCAACGCTCATATATTAGAAGAGCATCGAAGTATTTGCAAACTTGACGATCGAATCTGAAGAAGTGAACTTGAATTTGAATTGAGAATCCATTTCTGCGTTGTACATTCGTTGGATTTTTCCACTCGCTCTTTGACTACGTTATCATCTGGGGCATACGGCTTGCCATGGTGAAGGGATTGAGGCTCATTCCCTCCACGTTGAAACACATAGGCAGATGTCCTTCAGAGTTTCCTTTCTTGTCTGAATCTATTCTGCTGCATCATATTTTATCCATGGAATTGGGAATTCTTTCTTGAACATGCGTGTTGTGATCATCAGCACCATCTTTACTGGTCTCGCAACTCTCTTTGTCGCCCTTCGTCTATGGACTCGGTTCAAATTGGTGCATAGTCCGGGCTATGACGATATCCTCATCGTTGGGTCTTTGGTATGTCTTATCCCTAATGGCTTTTGGATTATGGACCGTCCTAGAATGGGGATAAAATCCGATACTTGGTCTCCGCCCAGAATGCTAATTACTTGCCCAGCTATCATGTTACGCCTTCTTTGCATTTATCCTTGTTGGTATGTCAATTTATCGCTTCTTTGAGACCCTATGGTCAAAGCTAACTTGACCAGAACGAAGTCATGGACTTGGAGTCAACATAGCAGATCTATCACCGGAGGTTATTGAAGATCAAATGCGTGTGAGTAACTAGGAACTATCTATTGAACAATATTTGGAACATCAGTCTGATCAACGATCATTAGTACCTTTGGCTTTCCGTCCCATTCTACAATCTCTCCCTTATCCTCAGCAAACTATCCGCTCTCTTCCTCTATATTCGCATATTTCGTGGACGAGGCTTCCTTCTAGCCACATACATTACAATGGCCTGCTTAATAGCGGCCGGACTCTGGATGGTCATCAGTGGCTTTGTATTTTGTGTCCCCATCAACGATTTCTGGGAGCTACATCGCAACGATCAGGCGAGTCATTGTCTACCCGAGGGACCAGTCTGGTACTCCAATGCTGCAATGCAGATCGTCAGCGATATCGTGATCATGATTCTCCCAATGCCCGTCCTCTCCAAACTCCAACTACCTCTAAAGCAAAAGGCCGGTATAATGCTTGTCTTTGGTCTTGGGGTCTTGTATGCCTCTTCCCTCCTATATCTACCTCCTATATCTACCACCCTCATTATACCTACCAGTCTCTAACCAATGAGTTTTGCTACAGTGTAATCGCTACAAGTTCTGCTCGTCTTTACGAACTAAGCACCATGGTCAGTGGTCGCGACTTCACAGAGAAAAATGCGGAAGCAGCCGTTTGGTCCTCCCTCGAGGCTAATGTCTCTATTATCTGTGCATGCATGCCACCTCTTCATCCCCTTTTATCCCGTCTCTTCGCTCTCTGTTTCCGTCCCATCCCACTCCATTCATCACCCGCATCAAAGGCACATTCCAATACGACTTGTCTAACCGAGACAAGGAAGCCATCGATCTATGATCACCATGGTGTTATTGGCCCAGATGGTGGTATCTTCTTTAATGATTTCTTCTATGCGGGACCAGGGAGTTACATGGCTAGTGTTGCGAAGTTGGAGAATGAGAGAGAGAGGGAGAAGGACTGTGAGAATGAGAATGGGATTCGAGTTGTTAGGGAATTGAGGATGGAGTCGGATTCAGTACCATTTCCGAATGGCGGATTCCTTACCACGGATTACTATAATCATGGCGGACACCATGACTTGAAGGAGAGGGATATTGAGATGGGGCGAATTGGGGAGGGATCGGGTTCTAGTGGGAAGGGAACTGCCAATCCGAGTATTGAGTGGGATTTGGGGGGATTTTGAATTCCCGGACTACAAGGAGAGGATGAATGCGCCTATTTAGGTCATTCTAGTCTTGGCTTGAAGTCGAACTTCTTTTTTGTATATTATTATGAGGTACTTACACGCACAGTGGATATATGAATACACGATTGATGACTCGATACTGTTCTTGATAGATCTGATTAGATTGGAGATGATCTGATAAGTGCATTGACTTGGCCCTGTATATGAATTTCTCGCCCTGAAAGACCCAAAGATAACGTTTAAATTGCAATGATGAAAACCGTCGCTATTTACAACTTTGAATAAATGTTACTATCCTTCCATCTCATCGCTTGTGCAATGGCCTTCGCTACAGCGACGCACTTCTCTTCTCCAAATCTTCCACCAATAACCTGTACACCGACTGGCATGCCATCCACCAAGTTAATGTCATCTATAAATTGTTAGTCAAACCTCCTGGCTGTCAATGAGACAATACACTTTGATGGAACTCACATTGCTCCTTATTAAACTTGTCACCAGCATTTCGAGGAACATGATCAAGCCAGTCCTGATCTGGCATGTCCTTATCTTTAGAAACACTGATCGCAGGGATGGTCAAGGAGGCATATCCAACTAGATTCCAGATGCTGGTATATCCGACGTAATTATTGGACTTAACCCAAGTCCAGGGCTTATATCCTACCCAAGGTGTATTTGGCATGATCAATGCGTCAATGCCAGAGGACATCCAACGTTCAAGATAACCACTCTCGTATAAGTACTTATCCGCGTTCAACTACCAAGGGTATCAGTTTCATGGAATCTTTATAGGGAAGTTTATTTGTCTCACCTGATGAGTCTCCGACGTAGTCAAGGTATCTTTCTCTTTTCCAACAAGCATACCCTCAATTAGAGGCTCACCGGTCATCTCAGTCTTTCTCCGACACCCTTCACCACCATCAGATAGAATCGCCTTTTCCCACAGCTCATATGCGTATTTATGAGAGGAGGCGTCCCATTCAAAAACTGCATCAAATCCAAAATTAGCTTCTTAGCATATCGATTCATTAAGTGAGGATTTCAGACCTTCATGACCAGCGGCTTTCAAGGCACCGATGACATCCCTCACGGCTCTCTCAGCAGGAGGTTGGCATCTCACAACTCCATCATCAACCAAATACCCGATCCGAAGACGTTTGCCACGGAATGAGGCAAGACTACTCCGCCATAGCACAGGTGCAACATGCTGATCGAGCTCCCATGGTGAAGCACAAGGCAAAGCCTCCATGTATCGTTCAATACTCGCAAGGCTACAACTCATGGGTCCTGCTACCGAGCGAACAATATCTTGGCCAGGACTAGGAAAGAGAATGTTAGTGACAGTACAAATCAACAAAATTTAAAAATTTACAAGTCACACCCGTATGGGAGATAATTCTTACTTTCCTCGCTCATAAGGGTGTCGTCCTGGACTGGGCGAAAGTCCATAAATTCCGCACAATCCTGCAGGAATTCGAATCGATCCACCGAGATCAGTTCCGATACCAAGGGGGCTACCCTTAGCAGCGATAATCGAGCCCTCACCACCGGAACTCCCACCAGAGATCAGATTCCGATTGAGAGGGTTGACGCACTGACCGAAGAGATGATTATATGAATCAGACATCATCATCGATTGTGGAAGATTGGTCTTCACATAGAGCACTGCTCCTAGTCGGCGAAGGGTCCTAGCGACGGATTTATCCGCTTGAACTGGGTCATTACTGAGACCAACCCATCCTCCGAAGAGTCAGTATACTCCAAGCCAAATATTCCACATGGGAGAGGAAGTATCTTACCAACCGAGGTATCAAACCCCTTGACCGAAAATAAATCCTTGATAGAGACAGGAAGACCATGCAATGGGCCAGTGGTTTCACCCGTCTTCGCAAGGCACTCATCCATCTCTTTCGCAGTAGCGAATGCCTCTTCGAAGAAAATCTCAGTACAACATGTTGTGAGTTGGTGCGCTAGTGCTGCGCGCTTAGCGAAGGCTTGTGTTAGTTCCAACGACGAGAGCTCTCCGGATGAAAGCTTGCGCAGTAAAACCGTGATATCAGTTTCCTCGGTTAGAGCGAGCTCGGTTGGAGTCAGGATCTTTCGAATGTAGGTCAAGGCGTCGGGTGTTGAGTCTACCGAGGGAATCGGGGATAAGCGCCACTCGGCAGGGATTAACTCGAGTTGACGGGCGCGCTTTTGAGCGGCGATTTCTAGATAAGAGGTAGAAGATGAAATGGCTGCCATGGTGTATTTACAAAATTGAGATTCAAAGACTGAAGAGATTAATTAAGGGGAAAGCATGGCGGTATTTATGTTTACATCTATAGTCCGAGGTTGAAGTGTATAGATAAGAAGTGCGGAGAGGGTATAGATAGGCTTCCGCTTTAGGAAAGTAAACTAACAGCACTCAGGCATTTCTAGTATTATGGACCATATACATTCATTCATTGTGAACAGATCATCTGGCTCCTCCATCTCCGCTCGCACTGCTCTTGTGCATCTGGATATCGTGGAAAGTCGCACTGCTGACAATTCCGCCAATAGGCTCTCAGGGACTCGCATTGCTCCGCATTGGTCGCATGCATACCAGTGAGGTAAGCTGGGGTAGCTAGATGCACGTAAAATCTCGAGGATATCGGGATTTTTGATATTGCATCACAAACGCGATCTGTCATTTTTGATAAGATGCCAGCATGAGCTGAAGATGCCTCGTCTTGTTTGCTCCCAGCAAGACTGAATGCCCCAATAGCGCCAGTGCATCTAAAGACAACAGTCGCAAGCCCACTTTCCGTCTGGTCTCCAGAGTCCATGTTAATTATTTGATCCATAGCCCTAGCACTAAGATCCAGGACGTCAATATTGACATCTTGATTTGCGAGATGAACAAAAAGGTCAAATGTATCTGCCGGACACCCCACTGAATCAAAGAAACTAGGTTCTAGAATCCGACGATGCCAATCATCGAATATCAAAGAGCTCTTGCGAACAAGAGCGCCGGTGACATCGAACCAAACCAAGTAAGCCAGAATATCTCCAAGGCCCGGAATCCGAGCTGCAAGTTGATCAAGCTGTGCTTCATTTTGGCAATGAAGGTCCAAAAGGGAGCGTGCACCTTGTAAATGGCGATGCCATCGACCAAAAGATCCACAACAAACTTCAAAAATCGCAAATGTTGCAATCCCAAATAATGCAATAGGATGTCCGGATTCGATGACTTTGCTCAAGTTTGTTAAGGCCCCGAGATGTGTTTGGATGGATTGTTTATTATCCGATCCTCGAAGCCGAGAACGGGCAAAGTTCAATGTGCGAGAGATAAGCTTGACGGCTTCAGCTGGGAGTTCTTGTTCGATCGCTTGTATCTCCCGGTAGAAATGTGACAATAGATCTATGAATCCGTATAGATTGATTGGAATATTCTTGCTTTGTAGTTCTGTCGTATCCGGTTCTACATCCGCTGTTGCTAGAGAGGAGGAAGAGGGTCCTGCGCACGACGATGTCTTTCTCGGGCTTTCTTTCTTTGGACCCATCCAAACAACTCTTTGCGGATAGCTGCATGTTGTTCCTTGTTGTTGACAAAGTTGACAACGGGGTCGGTTCAGATCACATTTGAGGCCTTTGGCATGGCAACGGTGGCAGTGACGGTCATGACGAATCCCACGAGGCTTCTTCATGCTGGACATCATGTTGTACAAACATCAAATGCTATTTTTGAATCGGAGTAGGACCGAGGGAGATAAGAGTGCGGGGAGATGAGTTGCCCGATTGGTCTTCGCCAAGAAGAGAGATGAATTCGAAGTGGATCTCACGAAGACTTTATCTTGATTGGATTGTATCCATTTTCGACAACAGCTATGTTATAGCTGTTAGGATGTTCCGACCATTCAAAATTTCTGGATCTAGGGATTCTTATCCCCGTGTCATTGAGAGTGAACTAAGTTCATGCGATGCTTCGAGTGGAGCCTGTTTGCTCTTTCCCGCATCAACAAGCCGCTTCCACCGATCGGATGGAAATTTTTGGTAGAAAAATAAAATGAATGTTTCATTGAAGACGAAAGAGCTGCCAGCTATTAAAGGACATAATCAATCCAAAGTGAGTGGCGAGACGACCTGCAAGCAATAACACAAACCGAGCCTGAAAAGACAGAATCTCATGACATTGAACACGAGCACAATAGCAATACAGAAAAACAAAAGAAAATTGCAGAAAAGTGACCGAGTCTATCGAATTAAACGAGCGAATCACAGAAAAGTATCCAATCGCAAGAAAGCAGTCTAAGAATCGAATCTCAATTGTGTCGCATATTATCATGCCGATTTGGAGCCACCATATGCCAGTACCGACTCTTGGGGTCTGCATCCTTGCTACCATGAACTAAGCGGTCGGCCAAACGCTCGCGTCTCTCTCGTCGCTTGGTGGATGAGTTTGGTTGCTCTGGCTTAGCCTCCTTCTCTGCAAGCATGGCTTCATCAATTGCATCGATAGGGAGTAGCAAATCAGCCTCCTTGAGCTTGTCCGCACGACGACGTCGACGATGAAATTTAGCATGTCGGCGAACTGCTGAATGAACCTTATGGACCCTGGAACTGGAATGCTGTGAGTTCGGCTTGCTCACGAGTTGCTCAATTTCAAGTTCGTACTCCTTGGTCTCGTCCGGCCAATCAATGTCCCAATCCTTAGTATCAAATTCTTTTGTAATGGGTAATTCCTGACCAAGTTGATTTGACTCAGGATTTGTTGGGCGGGAACGTTTAGCCTTGGGCAACTTTATCTCGGATTTTTTGCGATCGTGAATACTGTTCTTTCTGGACAGGGAATACTTTTTCGACATCCGTTTCTTCAGTTGCTCCACGGCCGCAGTCAGGGATATTTCCGAAGCAACACTACCCTCCGCCATAGAGCAAATAGAAGTCGCGAGTGCTGCAGCAGCTTTCATCTGATCTGCCAGACCAGCCGCGGATCTTGTCGCCTCCAGTATTCTGTCTCTGACACCAGGGGACTCAGGGGACTCCAAGTCCAAGTCGGGATGGAGAGATCTCGCGGGAGTCCCAGGCTGATTAACTGGAATTTGAGCAAAGGAGCTCGTCGGTTCCGGGGGACGACTATCCGGGCTTGATGCACATGAAGCGGCGGAGGTAGAAGTCTTCTGTGGTGCAGTAAAAGGATCAAAACTTTGAGGGGTCATCACAGGGATGTTGAGTCCATAGAGCCCAATGAATGGAAATTGAAGAGATGCGGTGAAAGGAGGTTGCCCAGTCACTGGCACAGGAAATACCATGGGAATCTTTGCACTGGTACTCGACGCATCGGGATCTGTCATCGATTTGGGCAAAACAGCGGGACAACTCCGAGCCCTGGTCTGACTGGCGGAGGAATTTGTGGATGACGGCGTGCCCGAATTCCTCTCAGATACACTCGTATGCGTGGAGTCGACGCTGCTGGAGCAATGGTTACAGAAGATGTCGTATTCACCTTCCCGTGGTATGAAACTCAGCGTGACAGGCTGTAGTCCCATGTACATTTCCGGAGGCAAGCTGCGCACTTGTAGCCATGAAGGCAGCTCATCTAATGGGATCAAAGGAGCGCAGACCCCATCGGGACGAAAGAGGCAAAATCGAGGACGAGGTTGACGGGGACCGAAAGGCGAGTAAGCTGGGTGAAATTGCATGGACTGCATGGTGACGGGTAACAGTAAATGAAAAAAAGATACAAAGAGTGTGAGCTAATGAACGAGTATAGTTTCAGAGAGTGTATCAGAGTTGTGGATATGAAAGCAGATAGTTGTTTACGGGAGGAAGAAGAGAAGAGAAGAGGGAAAAAGTTGTATATGCTGTTTATGTTGACATCTATACTAGAGCGCACCTTCCTCATACACATAATCTTCATAACATCAATAGAGAAAAGTAGGAAAGAACAACCTTGCATTGATCACGAGACCTTCCATATTAAGAAGGAAGGTAAGTGCCATTACGACACGTGAATCCCAAGTCAGGATTGAGTGTCGATGTCGCATTGATACAGATTACTGTGGGCTCAACCAGACTCTGGGGGATAACCTCAATATTGCTCAGAGTGAAGTCTTTGCAGGATGAGTTGGTATTGCACTCAATAATGATGGATTCAGTGTGCTTGAGATTGGGAAGACCCTCATTGTACCAGCAAGGATCAGTGACGCAAGAACCATCACCAGGACGCCAGCTATTAACTGAGCCTGTGAAGCCCGCCCAGGTAAAGTCTTCCATCATAACAGAGGCATTATTAGCACGACCAGTAGTCGTTCCGTCACCCAGTTGAGTCTCTGAAGATCCTTGGTTGGTATAGCTCTGAGTAACGAAAATGGGGAAGGTCACGTTGTATACGCGAATGTTCTTCCAGGTGATGTTTTTGGCAATACCCTGTCCTCCTGACCATGACTTGAAGCGGGACGCATAGACAGCATCGATGACTGTCACGTCTTCAAAGTGGATGTTGGAGACATTGGCATAAGATGATTGATCTTCTCCCAGTGATCCAATGCTCATTCCATGGCTTTGATATCCAATGGTGTTTCGCTCGAAAATGACATTGTGGGATCCTGATTGGACAGCAATGGCATCATCACCGTTGTAGATGACACTGTCGGAGATGTGGACATTGGTGGCTGTGACATCAAAACCATCGGTGTTGAAGGGGAATGATCCCGTGGACTCGGCATCGATGAAGGCATGGCTGACTGTGATGTTGTCGCCTTGAAGTTGCACATTCCAAGCAATTGGTTTGCGCGACTTGAAGTATTTGAGAGATCCATCTGTGGTGTCAAAGCTCATCAGATGAGGTCGAGAGTCAAGACCGGTGCCATTGGTTGGGTTCGCATCCCACCACGCCTGTCCATATGAATAGATCCATCCATTATTGACATTGTCAGAGCCAGTGTAGTCAATACGGGGACCCTTGAAAGAAAACCAATACTCGCCGTCCGAGTATAGGGTCCCGCCAGTCCCATTAACGATTTCCTGGACGGTTGTGATATCTTGTGGCAGGTGTAGATTTCCATTCATCTGAATCTCCACATTGCTGAGGTTGGTGGCACTGATGGGTGTGAAGACATTATAATCCACGCCTTTTTGGAAAACAATGACGGAGTCGGTGGCACACTTGGCGAAAGCTTTGGAGATGGCTGGGGAATCACTGGCCGTGCCGTTTGAAGAGGGAATAACACAACGATGGGGACGTCCAGTTGTGGAGCGTCTGAACTCAGGAGCACCGAGAGCAATTGTAGACAGGGCTGCCCACACAGCCGTTGTTTTCACCAACATGGTGGTCAATTGAGGCCAGGAATAGTGAATTGTATAACGAAAAGAGGAAGATATCCTGCACACAACCCAGGCTTTTATAGTACTCAAGAGCTCATGGCATACTGCGCTCGGTCCTTGTGACCTCCTCAGTTCATCCAAATGGTATGATGTAGATTTTCCTAACCCCAGATATTAGAGGCATGTTTTCCCCACAATGTGGGGAAGAACCCTGTTTGAACAGCCTCGTGTGGATGGACTTTTATTTGAGCGGATGGGTCTCCCCGATTCATTGGTGGAATTAATGTGATGATCGACACAAATCGAGTATGAATTCGTACCCCAGATAACTGGGGCATAGTAAGTCTTATGTATTGATATGGGAAGTTCAGGTGTGACTTGCTCGCTTTTCTCTCTGTCGGTTTAGGCCATTTATGACGTGGATATTTTCTCCGAGGGCCACTGGGGTTGATTCCGGCTTCTAGCGTGTAAGCTAGATTGTAGATTACATATTCTGCCGTCTTTCTGACTTCCAACATTTGAGATCTCTTCGTTCTAGTCTCGATTGAAAGAAGTAGCATCTTGGTCTTCCTTCAGGTCGATGTTTTATTTCGCATTCGCCGAGATCATTCCGCCTCCGTGAGTTGCACCAAGCCTTCAAGTTAGCAGGACAGGATGATCTGGAAACCTCCCTTGATCTGTGAAGATTTTCGCAGTAACACCGACATGTAGCAATAGCAGCAACTTCCAAGGTTGAAGCAAACAGATCGATCACTCAATTCCAAAGTCTTGATGAAAAAACAGTTTCAATGTTATGTTTCTCACTTTTGCCAGCGGGGATGACATATTATTCGGTCCTGTCTGGAATAGTGCTTTAAGCACAGTCTAACATTAGGCGTTCATTGCACCTGTGAATTAATACGAGATGAAGTTAATAGGGCGGCCTTTCACCCGTCGGCAGCATGGTCACTCCGATCTATCAACTCATTTTTTTCTTAAAAACGGGAAGAAAAAACCCCTTGAAGGACTGAATCGCCAAAAATCAAACACTCATTCCAAACTTGAACATTGATCACTGATATCGGGGTCAACGAAGAACTTGTTCTGGTTACAGGTGGATCTGGCTTCCTGGGATCCCACTGTATCATCCAGTGCTTAGCAGCCGGCTATCAAGTCCGGACGAGTGTCCGATCGCTAAAACGCGAAGAGGAACCCCGAGGAATGCTCCGTGCCGGTAAAGCGACAAATCTCGAGAGACTTTCCTTCATCGAAGCCGATCTCATCAATGACGATGGTTGGACAGATGCAGTAAAAGACTGCACCTACGTTCTCCCCGTCGCATCGCCACTGCCAGCCTCCGCGCCTAAGAATGAGAATGAACTAATAAAACCCGCCCGTGAAGGCACTTTACGTGTCCTCCGAGCCGCACGCGATGCCAAGGTTAAGCGTGTCGTTGTGACTTCATCCTCTGCAGCTATCGAAGGACATGGACGGCAGGATCGGAATAAGGTCCTCACTGAGGAAGATTGGTCCGATGTTAACGCCCCTGGTCTTGGCGCGTACGCGAAAAGCAAAACCCTGGCAGAGCGCGCTGCGTGGGATTTCATCAAGAATGAAGATGGTGGGCTGGAATTGTCTGTGATTAACCCTGGCATGATTGCGGGTCCGGTTCTAGCGTTGGACACCTCCTCATCGATCGAGGTGATCTCCCGCCTGATGAATGGGGCTATACTAGGATGTCCGAATTTGCATTGGACGTTTGTGGATGTTTGAGATGTGGCTAATATGCATCTTCTTGCCATGACGAATCCAAAGGCGAATGGGGAGCGATTTCTATGCCTGTCCCAGCCGCAGATGTCGATGAAGGATATTTCGTTGGCTTTACGAGAACGATTGGGCGATAAGGCTAAAAGATGTCCCACGCGCAGTATTCCTGATTTTGTTGTGAGGATCATGGGAATCTTTGATTCGGGTATTGTGCTGGTTGTTCCCATGTTGGGTCAAACTTTCGTGGTTTCTGTGGACAATGTTCTGGGCTGGACGCCTCGTTCTAGTGTTGATGCAGTGGTTGCTGCCGGAGAAAGCCTCTATAAATTGGGCTTAGTGAAGAAGTGATTCAAATTCAGACCTCCATTTATTGAAGTCTCGGGCTCTTGAGTTTTTGTGTACATGATCTCTTATCCGGCTCATAATTGTTGTCAAATATAGGAGCTATTGAAGCTTGATCTGAATTAAGTAGCCTTAATGATAGTATGTAGTACTCCGTAGCCAGGTGGTGACTCATGCTCAGAGATAGGGCGAAGGAAATTAAGATAATATTACTAGTATTCAGGATCCTTCAGATCAATTTTAAGATCTATCATCTCGCACAATCTTCCATCCCTGGCTATTCTAGGCGAGCCTGATTACACGTTGTCGCTCGAGCCCCCTGGTGAAAATCATAAGTGCATTAACAATATTCCTTGAAACTTCTGATTTTTATTTTCATTTCCGCTCCAATTGATCAGAATAATTCGAGTCTGATCCTAATATTTTCCAAACCATAAGGTCTTTGGTTCTGGCTCGACTGTTCTACTGTTCTACTACAGTTCATAGTGGAGCCTGGAAGAGTTTAGCCGCTGTCAGCTTATCGTTCTACTCCACATCAGCTCATCTCCACAACTTGATTGCTGTCCGCTCCTACAGAACCCCAGAACATCCCCTCCTCCCTAAGACAAAAGACACATCTCAAATACACCGAGATTACAGCTCCGGCTATCAAAATGTCTACCTCTACATCTCTTCCAAACCCTGACAACAGCGATCGCGACACACCGTCCTTCAAAGCCGCAGACGCAATCCTCCAGGCCGGCAGCTCGGCCTTCATCGCTGCACCCGCCCAAAAGGTCTGGGAAACTGTGATCGACACATCAACATGGCCAGAATGGAATTCCTTCGTTCCCCGAGTGACAGTCTACTCTCAACCCGATAGCGATGCCAATGATACACTCTCACCCATCCTCCAACTCGGCACAAAGATGACCTTCCACGCTCGCATGGATCCTACATCCACCAAGCCCCAGAAGTCAACCGATACTGGACTCATTGTTACGGTATTCTCGCCTCCAAATGCAGAGACTGGTGCAACGGGGCGTATTGTTTGGGCATTTGACCCCGATGCGGCAACCACCTACTCTCCTTCGCTTTTAGCCGTGGAGCGACAGCATGAAGTGCGTCAAGTTGAGGGAGGAACGGAGCTTCGGAACTGGGAGAATATGGTCGGGTGGTTGGCCTATGTTGTTAGGTGGATGTATAAGAAGCAGTTGGATGTGAATTTTGAGATGTGGTCTGTTGAGCTGAAGAAGTTTCTTGAGGGAGAAGGGAATTAATCTGCGTGTCTTCTTTCATCTTTACATGATTATGCGCTGGGGATCTGTTCTATTTTAATCGCAGCTGTTTTGCTTCGGTTACTTCGGGTGCTCCGAGGAAATTCAACTAACCTCAAATGGGTCAGATATGCATGAACCATTAGATGTGGGGATTTCCTCTGGCCACAATCTTGGGCATCGAGATTTAGCTGTACTCAAGCGCTCGAATCCTGATTATTTACTTCGGACTTCTCCTCTAATCCTTATGTAGTAGGAGCTCCACATCTAATGGCTTCCTAGACGTGCATAATGCGTCACGGTATGACATCCATCTATCTGGATTTGTTTTTTCAGTCCTGCGTCCGAGTCTCCGAGCGCCTCTTGCTGCGTGCTTCTATGCAACGCCCGCCATTCGTGCAGTGATTTAAACAACGCGATAAACCAGCACCGGTAGCTCGCAAGACCCAATTACCAACGCATAATCCTTCTTGGTACTTGAGATAGTAAAGATGTCAGATCGTGTCTGTGAGAAATGATTCCAGCCTATGGATAGGCCACCGATACATACTCATAACAACTGGGAGGTCGGCACTATTGTTTTGAAATGAGACACTCGGCGCCTCGGTTGATTTCAGCTAGTGAAAAAATACGGAGAACTCCGTGGGGCTGATGTATCCGGATGAAGCAATTATTCAAGTTGCACTCCGTGTGAGCAGTCACATAGTATGTAGGATTGTGGATTTGTGGTGGAGCAGCTGGGTACCTTCAGGGAATAAATCCTGTTATAACCCCGAAGATCAAATCCCGAGGCCTGGTCAGATAAGCCCCCCAGCTATCAAACGAGGACAACTTGATATGAATGCAAAATATGAGGTATAGTCTGGAGCTAGTATTCAATGGTATAAATTTCGAGCCAAAACCTTCAACTTCTGTTGAAGAGGTGCTCAAAGGATATTATTGATGGCTAAGCAGCAAGGAGAGGAGTATCGAGCTGAACGGGACGGGCCGGGGTGTCAGCGTGGGGGCAAATGTGCTGATGCATGAACTTGCAGATCCCATCGCTCAAGACCATTCTTGTTCTGAAGGTCCTTGTAGCAGGGTATTCAAAGATATGCAGAAATATCCAATAAATCTGACATTTTCCATATACCACCTGGGCACTGGCAGTGGAGCTGTGATCATGCAGTTCAGTTTGCGAGGCTGGGATCAAAACCTTGGGATTTTGCTGGAAAAGGGTGGATCGATAAAAAGGATTACATGGACATGTACGGAGTGGCTCTGTCCACGTCAACAACAGTTTTTTGAGTATTCGGACATCCTAATCTCGTTAGCCTGCACATGTGGAGTGGCTGCTCGCTTTAGTTCAATGCAGTGAACTAAAGCGAACATTTGAACAGCCAATCCGCGTCTCAAACGGTGTCCACCAGTTCAGCTGAGAAATCCTTTCAATGTTGTGGGCATCTGTCTGCTACTAGTGTATTTTGCAATGACCTAGTACAAGGAGTATATCAGTAGGGCAGAAGACCCGTGGTCTCAGAGTCTTATCATCAAATTTATTTTCAAATGTTCCATTCCGTTCGCATCACCATCTCAATTTGAAACTTGCGGGTACCTAGGTATACTTTTACGCCATGGCCGATCCTACTCAAGGAGCAGGTAATAATCTACCTCAAGTTCTACTTCATTAGACTCATGTACTTTGCTAACACTATTAGACCCTCCGGCTACTAGTGACACAACTCTTGATCAAGCGGAAGATCAAAGGAGCGAAACAGAAAAAATCAAACAAGCTATCATTGATGATGAGGCAGAAGATCTCAAGAAACTAGTCAATGAAAATCTTTCGCTTCTTGACGCGAGATTCGATTACAACTTCGATGAGGATGATCCATCTGATATTATAGAAGGACTAAGTCCATTGATGTTTGCAACCCTTGCAGGCCGCTCAGAAATAGTGGGTTTTCTCCTTGACAAGGGTGCTGATGCACTGGTCAAAACAAAGCGTCCCGAGCGGAGTATCCTTGAGCTTGCTCTTGCTGCTGACGATAATGCCGAAAGTATGGCAAGAGAAATTCTTGACAAAAGAGGGAAAGACGTGTTGGAGGTGCGGAGTGGGACCGACCAATGGACACCGCTTCTTCGCATGGCATACAATGGCATTGGAGATGCTGTCAAGCATTTACTTGATTTTGGAGCAGATACCAATGCACCTGACTCCGATAAGGATATAGCGCTTCACCTGGCTGCTGAGCGAGGTCATTTTGATATTGCTGAAAAGCTCATAGAAGTTGACTCAGAAGCATTAAAAGCGCAAGGCAATTCTGGACGCACTCCCCTTCATAGCGGTGCTCGATGGGGGAAAGCCGATATCGTTAAGCTCTTACTCAAGAATGGAGCAACGTCAGAGGCACAGGATTCAGATGGGAACACATCAATGCATCTTGCTGCAAAGTATAATCACCCTGATGTTGTCGACGCCCTCCTTGCCAACCAACCTGATGGTCTCAATCTAATAGAGATGCAAAACAAACTCGGCGAAACCCCATATCTTACTGCGGCTAAGTTTGGGGCAGAATCTTCCGTTGAGACCTTACTCCAGCATAAAGCGAGTCGAACGGCCCGAGATGGCTCTCTAAATACAGCATTACACCTTGCTGCGAGTGAGGGATCTCTTGAAACAGCCAAACCGCTTGTGAAAGACGAGCCAGACGTACCCAATCCTCTTGAGTCAAGAAATAAATCCCAAGAAACACCTCTACTTGTAGCCATTCAATTCGGCAAAAAGGAGATGGTAGATTTCTTACTCGAAAGTGGAGCGGATGCGGGAGCGAAAGACGCAGATGGAAACTCGGCGATTCATATTTCCGCTAAATATAGACAATTTGGGATTATTGAGAAGCTCCTTAGCAATCATGAAAGCGAGATTCTCGATTCAACCAGCAAAGCCGAAGCATCTAGGACTCTAGAGTCAAGAAATCTCAGGGAAGAAACTCCTCTCCTTGTTGCAGCTCAAACCGGCGAAGAAGGACTCGAAATTGTACACTACTTGCTAGAGCGTGGAGCAGAACTAGAAGTGGTAAATCAGAGTGGAGATAACGCGCTACATATTGCAGCAAGATATGGATCTCTCACTCTTGCTACGAAGCTCTTTGAACAAAACCATGCCAAGGCCAAACTTCTGCTGGATGTGAAAAACAAATCAGGGGCAACCCCTCTTCTATTTTCGGCAAAATATGGCAGGTTAGAGATGGTCCAGTACTTACTGGAGCATAAGGCAAGTTCAACCGTCCGAGATAAAGATGAAAATACGGCACTACATCTTGCTGCACAAAGCGGAAACCTTGAAATTGTTGAAAGATTTCTGAAAATCCCGGAGTGTTCCGAGATATTGGATAGATCAAATAAAGAGGGGAAAAGAGCTATCGAAGTCGCAGCTCAACATGGCAAGATCAAGATTGTCAATTATCTCTTCATTCGACAAAGAACTTTCAATTCAGAGGGCATAGATCTGGACACTATGTTTCTTGAATCCGCCAAAGAAGGCTACATTCAGCTTGTGAGAAAGTTTCTGCGAGAGAAGCATGATCTTCTCAACATTGAGGACGATGCTGGGAAAACTGCCCTAGTTCTAGCTGCTCAAGAAGAGAAGTTCGATGTCGTTGATTATCTGCTTGCTCAAAGCGCAAAATTCGATCCAAACGGCATCGACCTGAAAAGCATGTTCTTCAAGTCAGCCATGAAGGGTTATCACCGAATTGTCCGAAATCTTTTGGAATGCCAGGATGATTTATTGGAACAACGAAATGGGGACCAGAAAACCGCTCTGTTGATTGCAAGTGAGGCAGGTAAAGCTGATGTTGTTGAATTTCTTTGCAAAAAGGGAGCGGATGTCGAGGTCAGAGACTTATTCAGGTATACACCCTTGATGAATGCTATTTTGAGCGAATCGGACTCTATACCTACCGTGCAATGTCTTCTCAGATACGGGGCAGATCAAGCAGCGACTGATAATGGGAAGAGGAACGCTTTACACCTTGCATGCTATGATGGAAAGACCGAAATCGTGAGCCTTCTTCTGCTCCATAGACCGGATCGTCTGAGGCTATCGATCAGTACAGCAGACTTTTGTGATGACACCCCTTTATGTGATGCGATTTCCCAAGATCACGAGCCTATTGTCTTTCGACTGCTGGAGTCTGAGAACTATTTCCCTCAGAACCCCGCTGAATTTCAACCTCTTGATTCGACCGAAAAACAGAAGATGAAAGTTTCCAGTTGGTTAACCCGCTGGGTTCAGCCCAGAAGTCAAGAAAGACCTAATCCGAAAGTATCCGAGGAAATTCCCACGTCTACGACTTCGATGATGGGGCGAACCCGTGCAAGGTTGGTCTTCGAGAAGAAGGAGACTCAGCAGGGAAGCTTTGATCAGGCCGAAGCCCCCCGATCCCCCCGATCCTGACAGGAATAAGCGCATGAAGTCCGTCATCTGTTGGGCTATCTTGAATGGGGACAAGCCACTTTTGAGCCTTGCAATGGCAGAGGGTGGTCTTCCGCAATTGGATGATGAAGGGAACCGAGGAGGGGCTACCTGGCTACATTTTGCTGCTCTGGTTGGGAAATGCGATATCGTGGATGAGATCAGGCTTTTAACGAATCCTCCCTGGGAGGAATGCATCAAAGCACAGACACGAGCGAGGGTCACACCCTTGCATATTGCTGCTAGGATGGGACATCATCAAATGATCTTGGATCTTCTGGGTTATCTTGCAGGTAAAAGCCCAGACTCCAGCGAAGAGCTCCAGCTAAATGAACTTGTCAAGAAGCCTGAGAATCAAGCAAAAGGAGAAGCCGTGTTGCAAGCCATCATTCAGGAGACCGAGAATGAGGACAATCTCATATCACTAGCGGTAGCAAAATCAATGCAAACTCACAGCCTAGCACATACAGGAAATTCCAAAGCGACCTTTGAGAATCAGGGATATCAGAACATTGAGAGTTTGGAGACTGTCTTATGGAAGACACTGATCACTGTCATAAATCAGCATCAGAATGGTTTCTTCTCCTTTCCACACACTGAAAATGCAGAGCTTGTTGTCAAGACTCTGATTTGGAGAGGTAATATGAGCAACAATAGCACATGGAGCCTTGATTGCCTCGATGATCTCAGAAAAAAGCTGGAAATACTCGATCACCCAAAAGGGAATCTTTTGGACTGGGCTGTTAGTCACAGATATCCCGTGGCTGTTTATTGGCTTCTTTCGAGTGGACTTTATTTCAGTGAACATCAAGTTCAAGACTGTGAGAGCTACACAGACACACAGATCCAGAGTCGCGAAGTAACAAAATTGGAGAAACGACGGGCAGAATTACTCTCGACGACAGAAAATCCCGAGGGATCGACAGTACAAGCTGAAAGGATCAAAGAAATTGGTAAGGAAATTGGAGAGAACAAGGAGGGGATCAGAATCAAGGAGCATATAAAAAAGCTTTTGCGAAGCCCTCCTCCTGTTCGTGCACGCAAAGGTGACACAGAGAGTCCACATTTCCAGGGTTTAATCAACAGTTGCGACAAACAAGAAGGAACAGTACTGGATCTCTGTCTTGTCGAAAATAAGATAATCCCCAAGCATACAAGAGAGACAATCTTCAACATAATAGACGAGGGGCCTGAATTGCTGATGAGGAGGAATAAGGAGCCCACATACGCGGATTTCAAAGCTGCGCTTTTTCCAAATAGCAGCCCTGAGGAAAAGGCTCCTGAACGCGGGGCTCGGAACAAGAATCAGAGACAAGAGCGAGCTGAACCCCGGCTACTCCAAAAAAGAATCCGATGGGTTCATATCCCCGTGAATAATGTGAGTATTCAGGGGCTCATACTATCGACTGGTCGAGCCAGTGCATCTATAGATTCCATTTTCTCTGAGCTATGCTAACTTGAATACAGTTGCGCTATGTTCAGGTGATTTCTCTCCAACCGAAGAATCACTAGATATTTATTTTAACAACCCATAGGAGCTTATGGTCCGGCTTTCCCTTGAAAGGCAGAGAAACGCTGGCTTACATCGCGCTTTGACTAATCTTCTTAGGGGGAGCATGTCAGAGGTTGCTGCTGGAGGGGGCAATTGCTTCATGAGCCCACATTGTCAGGTTAGTTAAAGTGGCTGTAGATTTTACAAGCCCTTGATGCTGACTTTTTCAGATAACTAGTAATGGAGTGAGGGATGGCGGAGAAAATGTGAAGAACAGCCCACAAAGGCAGAAGGGAAGTCTCAATTTGACGGCACTCTACGTTAGTGATGGTTATTTCTTTTATCTATACTCTAATCACTAATAGACCATTTCTCTCAGATGCCCTATCTTTTTTGGGGGGGTAAAGCAACTTGGACAAGAAAATCAAGTTACTTCAGAAAAAGGCGGTTTTCATGGCCCTCAAAGTTCGGAAAGTGAAGGACCAGGCTTCGGGTTTAAGGTATGTGATTACTATGCACATCCTCAAACACTATATAACATTATCTCAACTCTTGAAAATAAGGCATTCATTCATCATTCTCTTACACTTGATCAATACTACTATGCTGCTCTTGAGAACACCGACGGTAGAGACTGCGACCAAGTTCTCAGTCGATATTTCAAACTTCTTGACAAAGAAAAAGAGCAAGAAGATGACTCAAGTGGCAAGATGAGAAAACAGACAAAACCGGAAAACACCCCAAAGTCACCGATCTGCAAGGACAGTATGAAGGATGACAATTCTAACATTGAAGGTGGGAAGCCCTAGAGATATCGAAATTTTGAGCGCCCTGTCAAATCACACAATACTAGTACTACGAGGCTAATTGATAGCCATCATGGGAAGCAGGGAGCGAAGAGCGGAAGCAAATCTTGTTGGTGAATCAACTATGGATGTGGATTCTTGACGACGGTACGCTGCCTATATATTAAATTCGAATCGGGCGGTTAATACAATAAATCGCTTTTCTCGCTTCTGCTGTCATCGCCGGCTAACTTGATCTCCAGACACCATCGTAACAAGCACGACAAAGGAAGCTGACAATGTCAAATACTCCTTTCTTCATCGAGTTATTCGAGAACTCCCTAGCCTGAACGGGAACCCAGACCTTGACACAAGAGATATTGCTCAGTTAATCATGGATACAGCTACAAAGCTTTTTGACGCCCAAGAAATCAAAACCGTTCACAGGGGAAGAAGTCGCCATTAGACATCTTTCGGGAATCTATCCAGCGAATAGTGTGTACCAAGCCTCAATAGATTATGGCGCCATATACAAGCTAACTATGACTAAATCAAGCGCAACGAAGAAGCCGAGCTTTTGAAGGTTTTCCGGGAGTCCCTCAAGCGCGCCCATGCAATGCCTGAAGAAACAGAAAATAACGATGAGATGTCGGATTCGAATAGCCATTCCTCCTCTGATCCAGATGAGCCCAAAGGGAAGCTTCGAAAATGGTGGGATGCAGTGAAGCAGAAAGTCCAGGACAATCCCTACGAGGATATCCGTCCAGAAACAGGCCTTTTGGTGGACGTAAAGGACATTTTAGACGAGCTCAACATTCTAAGAACTTTAGTTCAGGATCAACAGCATGTGTACAACCTTTGGAAGGGCACCAAGCACGATTCCAAGGCTAACCATTTCCCTCATATGACGGAAAGGCAAGAAGACCTCAGATCCATGGTGGATGATGTTACGAGTATTCAAGATGCCATCAAATCGCTATTGGACCTGAAGCAAAAGGAGGCCACTATCATCGAAGCACAGACAACACGCAGACAGAGTGACAGTGTCATGGTCTTTACGGTAGTTACAATCGTGTTTGTGAGTTTGACTCTTTCTCCCAGCTCTCTGCTCATATAGGTACTCATCAACGATCAACCTTAGCTTCCGGCCTCTTTTCTGGCAAGTCTTTTCGCCTTGAATGTCAGCGAGTTTCCTCATGAAGGTGGATCTGTGACCTACAAAAGCTGGTGGATATTCCCAATCATCTGTAAGTATACTGACTCTGGATTGGAACAGTTCCATTCTTGTGGCTGATGATTGTCTGGATAGTTGGTGTTTCACTTGCATTCTCCTTGGTCTTCGTGCCCCTTGCCTTCAGCGCAAATGCCTTCAAGAAAATCCTTCGGTTTTGGAGGCTTCGGGAAGAGCGCAAAAGTAAGTTCAAGGAAGAGCAAAGGGGAACTTCTGGTAAGCAAGAGGAGACAGGCAAATCCTCAGGAAGGGAGAAAAATAGCCTCTCTACATCTGATGGAACGCTCCCAGGATCAATGGGAGAAACTGTAAACGAGAATCAGAAACCCACTCAGAGCTGGAGCACATCCCAAGTCCCAAGATGGTACTCAAGATGGACAAACATGTCCAGGAGTGCGCGATATCGCGGGACGAGTCCTCCATCTGGGGTAGTGTAAGCTAGGTGGATGTGAGCCATGATCTGTGAAGGCGAGAGGGGTTTGGGAGACACTTCAAATTGGTACAAAGTTCAGTTGCATGATAATGAAATAATTTCCTTTCCAATCAACTCTAGGGTATCTCATTTCTTTCAAGCGAGTGTAATTAAACATGATAAGAAGAAAAATAGAAGACAAAAACCGAAATGCTCCCAAAAATGCCCAGTGTATCACAAATAGAATGCAACCCATATAAACCCTTAAAACAGATAGATAGTAACCCATCATCAAAAATCAACAAAAAGATCATACAATATCAAATTAAACAGATGCCAATTCCACCCATTCAGAGGTATCAATTCTCTGCGCGGGGTCCTTAGCAACAGCAGGCTGCATCAACCTCTCCACGAATCCATTCCTCGGCACCCGAGCTCCGTTCGCACCACAACGCGTAAACTCTAAAATCCGATGTCCCTCTCTCGCCATAGCAAGTCGCTGCATATTACTCGAGCCAGGATACAATAACAAATCACCCGTAGCAGCCGCAACAAGCGTCGCAGCAAGAGAAAACACATCCGATGCAGGCGTAGGCGCAACGTCACCTGATGTCAAAGACGCAAGGGAAAGTAGTTCTGGCGCTGTAAATGGTGGCGTAAATGCCGACATGGATGTATGGCTTTTCTCATCGGATGGATTTGTCTGCAGGTCTAATGCAGAGGAGAAATCCGCGAAAAGAGGTTCATAAGGAAATGCGAGTGGCTCAGCGTTTGCATCAAGGTTTGTATCTGTAACTTGCACAACAGGGCGCAAGAGCAGGTTATGCGGCTTGATATCACCGTGGATGATCCCCGCACTCTTGTGTAACCATTCCAGGCCTGAGATCAGTTTTCGCGCAAGATCTCGCCATGCGGCTGGTCCTTGGATCGGATCGAACATTGTAGCGGTGCATGGTCCACGTTTTCGGTTCATATCTGCTTGATCTTCGATATATGTTGATAATGCGAGCGGAACTGCGGACATAACTAGGGCTGAGGTATCGGTGTGGTAACCATGAAATGGAACGACACAGTTCTCACATCCCGGAGTTGAGCTTAGGCGGGTGAGTGTTAAAGCCTCGGAGTGAAGAACTGGGTACGCATCTTTGCGGAGAGGTGCTTTTACGGCGTAGACTCGACTTTTTGCGGTAGGCGAACTTGGTGGAGTGTTGATTGCAGTGAGTATCGAGGTACCTGGTGTTGAACGGGCTTTATATACAATGCTCCATGCGCCACGACCATATTCAATGCGCCGATTGCTTCCATCTGTGCAAGCTTCTAGGTCGTCGGTGAAACGTAGTAAGATGCTGCGCTTTGATAAGCCGGATGACGTGTCGGTACTGCTTAATGGAATTGGTATTGAGTGTTCAGCTCCGCTGGATTTGCCGATCGGAGTCACTGGAGGTGTGAGATGCGACTCGGAGGTTGGTGTTTGTAATGAGTTGCCCTTTGAATCATGGCTAGTTTGTAGCGATAATGGAATTGGTGTTGATTTGGTGGCCATTGTGCTGATTATTACCGGTTGCGGCGCGTGGCGACTCGGCAGTTATGTAGTGAACTTGACCTCGGGATATCCTCCGAGTGCTAGTAATTGACCAGTCTCAAATTATGAGGAGTCACAGATTAACACCACGATTGAAATGAAAGAGTCCAACTTTTCAATGGGGCTAAGACGAAAGGGTCGCCTTATCAAAGGTGGGCGCCAAGGGCCAAAAGGATCTAGGCGCTGCGTGATATGCCGGCATCCACGGTTTAGGGTACTATGACGCGGAGGCGGCGACTCGGAGTAAGGCGAATGTATGCGATGGAGGAGTATGAGAAGTTTTCGGTGGTCGGATCAAAGGCGCAGCAATGTTTTATTGAAGGAATTATATAGAAGTTAAGTAAAAAAGGAGAAAGATTATCATAGTATACGTATCATGGGGGTCAATGGGTCAGATAATAAAGGAGCCCAAGAAAAGCAAAGAAGAAAAAAAAAAAAGAATCCCAACATTTGAACACTTGACCTGAAAGAAAAAAGGGACCCTCTCTATTCGGGCGATAAAGAGTCTCGAACATGTCGCAGAAGACCGGAAAAACAGGTTGATCGGCAAACCCGTTCGAGCTGCTTGCAATACGACGGTAGTAACGGTAGTAACCGTGGATTGCATTGTTAGTGGGGGGGAAATTTGAGATTAGGGATCCATCCATATGGAGAAACTCGGGTTCATGAGGAACAGCTCACAAAAGTATCAACAGATACAGATATAGTCAATATAAAATGACGATCGCTATCTGGCCCGAACCCAATATGATTGGGGCCAAATGGAGAGGAGATATCCTGTGATACGGGAGTATGAGATGTGCATAGTGCAGGGGGCCGGGAGGAAAAAACAAGAAATACAGAATATTCAAGTTACAGCTAGGAATATTGATCATGCAGAAAATGAAAAATCAAATGAAATTACATAGCAAAACTAGCCTCATCCGAAAACACCCCCGGTTTTAATTAGTTTAATTGGTGTAATAAGAACGTGGAATGCGTGGCGGGGATCCACCGCATGCGTATCCAACGGCTGTCAGCAAATAGACCTGCAGAAAAGTCCACCTTTTTAATGAGTGTGGAGTAAACAGCTAGTACTACGGAGTATCGAGCTTGAGTATGATAACATCGGGATATCAAATCATGCAATTAATTACCCAATATCAAGGTACGTCTATCTATAACATCCCCGAAGTAATCAGGTGGTCACCTGCCAGTGATCAACTTGAGCTCTTTATATACAATTTCTCATCCAATCGGCTTCCAATAATCCCCATGTGCACGAGCCAATCCTTCTGCCTCGTGTTGCAATCTTCTTCCTGATTTGTTCTCTCGTTGGGCGGCTAATTGCGTATGTCTAAGGGGGAATTTGGGGGATCTTCACTGCACCCAAACAAGATGCAGCCAAGATTGAGATACATGCAATGACGTAGTGACACAGGGCCAATTCAAGGCAAGTTGAGAAGAAAATTCTAGAAGAGCGGAGATGACAAGATTCGTTGGAGGGGGCTAAAAGGGGCTGGGGGTTGGGGTTGGGGGTAGGGATTAGTGGAGCCTCTTGGCTTGGTAGATCGAATAGTCCCCGGCACGGAAAGACGTCAGGGTTCCCCCAAGAAGCCGAGAGAATTCCAACGAGGAAAGATCCAATGCATGCTTTTGGTATTCCAATAGAATATCCCAAAGGACCGAAACAGGGACGCAACGAAGTCGGTATTCAGTCAAATCATACTCGATATTCTCTTGGAAGCACTTCTCGGGATTGGAGTCTCCTTCGGGTAATGAAACAGGTCCACAGTTTGGTTTAAGTCGTTTGCCGGTATATTTAACCAGACTGGGCAGCATTTTGAGAATCTCTTCCGTGGTGCGTCCGGGAAAGAGAGAATCTGTCAGCTCTGCGATGGTCATTTGGTGACGGGTGCCGAAGCTCACGGACAGCGCCTCGAAAAGTTGCACCAATTTCTCGCGCTTTTCAATCGGAATCTTGCTCAGTGCAGTCGCAGGCGGTTTCTCGGCCGGTTCGAAGTAAACAAAGGTACGACGCGTGCCGAGGGGGAAAACTTCATCCGGCTTGATATGTAACGGGTGGAATGGTCGTCTATCCCAAAGGAGGACAGACTCGTCTAGATTGTTTGAATGAGTTTCAATCCGAGCGTCATCAAGGTTCCGGTCCCAACTACGATGCAGTCGGAAATGGTGACTATCAATCTCTTCTTGTAGCGCAGCCTTCGTATCCCCAATCTTTTTATCGAGCGCCTGCAACTTTTCAGTGGTCATTTTAGGGTCTGCAGCGGCATGACAGAGTTCTGCCATGAGCTTGTCAATGACCATTTGATCCCTGGTGAGATTCTCTCGGACAAGCGCAGTGCGGTTATCAAATTTCAACGATGCGAGTGCTCGAGTGGCGTCCTTTTTCGCTTCTGAAACCTTCTGGGCCTTGTACTTATGGCTGTTCTCTGTAATTCGAGCACCCTTTTCGATAGCCTCCATAAAACTGTCGTGACCCTCTGTTCGCGCTCTGGGGTGATAAGGAATGCCCTTCTGAGGCTTGGGGCTATCCGGGGCTAGTTCCAATGGGATGGCCTCACGGCCAGCAGGAGTGGTCAAGTCTTGTGCGGCAGCCCTCTCTGTGACTCGGTGCATATTGCTTTGAATAGAAGTCCATGTCTTCAGACTGTGCCATGGTTCTAGTTCATATCCACTGGCGAGTTCGAACGCGTGCAATGCCACGTTTTCTGTCAGAAGTGCTGGTCGCTTGCGATCGCAAACTGTACGGGGAAGAACCGATTGCACTTCGAGAATGGGGAATGATGCAAGAATTCGCACACTTCCATAGCAATGAAGTCCTGTTTGTAGCATACAGCTTTCCATCACTGCAGCCCACCATCGCGACGGGGTAAAGTGGTCCTTGGCGGAATTTGGGATAGGTGGATTCGCAAGGATCAAAAGAGAATTGTTCTTCGGCAGATCGCCGGACTCGTTTGGTTGTGGCGCCTTTTGTTCTGGTAGGTATTTTTTGAAGATCTCCGGCCATCGTGCGGTGTAAATGTTCAGAGATCCTAGCGTGTAAGATGGCTTGCTTTTCGCTAATGGTTTCAGAAAAGGCCCGTATACGTCCAATTCCGGCTCAATCATAATATGGCGACGAGGGCGAAGGTATTCATTGACTGCAGATGACCAGACTCCATTTCCGGGCCACAGGTCAACAATATCCAACGGGGCGTCCTGTGGAATATACGGAGATATGCGCTTCAAGGAATCGACTATATGAAGAAGTTACTAGGTCAGTCCTCAGCTCATCAAAGAATTGTTAGGGAGAGTCATAAGCTTACCACATAGCTCCTCACTCACGAGAGTCCCTTGGGAATGGCTTTTCTTGGTAGCAAGAGGCTTAATTTGTTTGATGATGAGTTCAGTGATTGGGTATCGCGCAATTGGCGCCCACCTGCTGTTAGCTGGAATTTTCAGCATTTTGGGTATGTGTGATGAATGGCAGAGATGAGCTCCATTCTAGATCTGCTCATACGTGTTGCATGATGTAGAGTTGAATTGATCTATAATCAAGGTATGTAGGAGGCCGAGCTGTAAGGTGGAAAATTGGAGAAGCTTATCGCTTATCGCTTATCGCTCGAGGTAATGGAATTGATGCGGCAAAATAGATAGACCCTTTATGTATCAGGTCATTGCAATGCCTATGACATTGAAACTCATGTGACTCTTATTCTAACACATACTGGGAGTAATTTACTTGTAAGCTTTGGGAGGATCTTTTCATATATAATCAAAAACCCCGAGCCAGCCCTAGAGCTATTAAGTAAACCTTGGAATGCTTCAATGTTGATAGCGGTGAGTTTGGCGGTGAACATTAATGTACATAGCACGAGTACTGCCAATTTATACCGCATTTACTCATAGTGTATCCCACTGCTAATATTTTATGCTTAGAAGCGGAGATACCTTGCGGGATATGCCCATGGGTTATACTAGTACCAGGCATCATCTTTCCTTTTTATGATTTTCTCTCAATTATCTTTCTGCCTCTCTACTTCTCACCCAGAACAAGCCCGAATGTAGTTGCCTTCACATCCAGTGCACGTCTCTTTTGTTCTTTGTATCTGTCGCAGATTGCCCCACTCAATTCGTCTCAACCATGCCCCTTCAGATCTGGGCTGCGTGAAGAGGGGCCGTTGATCTCAACCCGATTCCCACTTCTCTCCTTGCAACATGGATTCTCAAATTTCGGCTTCCAGTGCTGGGGGCACTCCTCCTCAAAGTGTGCAAACAATTACAAAGATCGCCCAAGAGTATCAATACAATGCAGGTGTTCCACTGAAATGGTGGCTGCGCACTGCAGCCACTCTGCTTAGAGAGGTGAGTGGCCCCTCAAAGTTCATATTACAAGTAAAAGCAAAATAATCTGCTGACGATGCTGTTTTTTCAAGGCTGCGATTTACGAGCGTGAAGGACATGACGAACAAGCTTATCTTCTCCTCTTCCGACATGCCCAGCTGGTGCTGGTAAACCTGTCAAAGCATCCTGATGCCAGCAAAGACGATAAAGACCGTAAAGCATTGATAGCCGCCGAGAAAGAAGTCCAAACAAACCTTGCCAAACTAGAAGTCCTTAAACCGAGAATCAACAAGCGATATGAGCGCTACACCCAGCTGATGAGGGAACGGGACTCTCGCAAACAAGCGCTTGAACCCTCATCAGCACCCAAACAACATGAAAGACCCGCAGATCCTGCTCTCAGTGGTGTTGCGGAGCCTCTGGAAGCAGGAGAGAACCGCGACCTTGCTGTTCGGCTGGCACAATCCGAACTCAGCCGTCGTGCCACTGTTCGAAAGACTGAAGATAACCGTCGGGCCGCCGGTGTCTGGGGTGATTGGGAAACAGCGTTGAACACAGACAGACATTCGGCAGATAATGATTTGAGTCAGCGAATTCAAGACGTCAGATCCAATATTGACCACACGGGCCCTTCAAGGCAGACCTCACGTGCGCAACCTCCTATCTTACGCGACACACCATCAGCTATTGCAGAGAGATACAATTATCCAAGCGTACCACGCCAGAAATCATTGGAGCATTCTATTCTCCCTGGGAAAATTGCCATTCTTGACAAGAATGCGCAGCGACAGCCACCTCCAGTTCTACCACCAAAAGAACATGTCGCGCCCCGGAGAGCATCTCTCGTTGATGCTTCACCCATAACCGAGCCTCCGCCGCTCCCATCGAAGATATCACAAGCGCCAGCACCTCCAGAGAAAGTAATAGCAACTCACGACGGGGCCTCCGCGCCATCGGACCTCGATCCAGCAAGCTATACTTTCAAGCCTTCTGCATACCTTGAAAACGGAAGTCCATTGCGATCTGTCTTTCTACCTGCCAGCCTCCGTAATCAATTCTTGTCAGTGGCTGCTTCCAACACGCGCCGGAACTTAGAAACGTGTGGAATTCTTTGTGGAACATTAGTCTCGAATGCCCTCTTCATCTCTAGACTCATCATTCCAGAGCAAATTTCTACATCTGATACTTGTGAGACTACCAATGAATCCGCCATCTTCGAGTACTGTGATTCAGAGGATCTGATCATGCTCGGATGGATCCACACACACCCTACACAGACATGTTTCATGAGCTCTCGCGATTTACACACTCACTCCGGTTATCAAGTGATGCTGCCAGAGAGCATTGCTATTGTCTGTGCACCAAGCAAAAATCCAGACTGGGGTGTCTTCCGTCTCACTGATCCACCTGGGTTGAAAACTGTTTTGAATTGCACGCAGAGCGGTCTGTTTCACCCTCATGCCCAGGAAAATATCTACACGGGCGCCTTACGACCTGGACACGTATTTGAGGTCAATGGGCTGGAGTACGAGACCGTGGATCTGCGTCCCAAGGACGCGCGTTAATCGTCCATAATGGATTTATGTTAAGTAATTGAATATGATACCCTTTACTTTATTTTTCCTATATTTCCCCTACTGAGCACTGTCAAGTGCAAGATTTGAACTCGATAGTAGTTGTTAGATTTGGCTCTAATATTATTCTTCCATTATCTTATGGGCCTCTCATACGCCATGATAATATGTAATATGTACAGCCACACAGTCGCCACATCTGCTGCTCGCCACCTTACTCTTCTGGCTCCTCTAGTTCTGGCTGGGAAGGTACATGAGCGCTGGTGCTGTTTGACTTCTGATGCCTCTTTGCCGCTGATCCTGAGCTCTCCTTGGACTTTTTAGATGATGTTGGGGAGCGACGGTTGTGAGGCTCACGGTGTGGAACTCTTCGGGGACCCTATATCTCGTATGTTAGTGCCTCTTCACTAGTCCTTAAATAGAGTCCCCGAGTTTAAGCATATCCAACTAATTGGACTTATTTCACCTACCTCATTTGACTCATTGGAATCATGAGTGATGTGACGGTGATGATTAGCACCGTACTTTTCATTCTCTAGCTGGACGATCTCATCCCGATACTTGTCATCTTGAGAAAACCAGGTCGACATGATGATAGTTGAGATGGATGATTACTCGCGCGAAGCTTGAATCCGAGTCGGTGTTGTTAGACTTCAAATGTTAGGCAGTACTAGTCTCTGTAGTAATTATAAACTGGCTTTGAGAGATTGAATCTATTTTATATGGCTATCATGGACCGCCACTATTCCGTCATTTGTTTGGAGGCAAATCGGGGCTTCTTTCCCTCCAGTCCATTTCAGGTCCACAAAGTAATGTAACCATGGTTTATGTCAACATTGGAGTTTAGGTAGTTGTGCAAGTTCTGGATATTCAAATGTGCATATAATCGAAGCTCTTGGAGTTTTAAGTTCAAATGTTCTGCATCTATCTCAATCCGAATGACTCTGGATGCCCTATGTATAGCACCTCTGCCTAAGGTATTCTGATTCAATCTTGGATCTGAATAATCAATTAAAATAATTCAGAACATGATGTTCACATATGCACAGATACCTAAATGTGCCAGCGCTTATCGACCTGAAAAAGAATAACCCAATTTCGAATCGGTGGTTGCTACCTGATACTATACATATGAGTGCCCGTCACTGTTTACACTAGTATAGCAGGATGTCCTACTATGAGATTTTTGGGCTTCAAACCATACAATCCGTCTCATCCAACTTGAAGGTCAAGTGAGTTTGATAAAAGCCGACTATCTACAAGGCTTTATTTTTATTTTAGTTGTTTGTACATTGAATTTGATCCGAGTCATCACCAGGATCAAATGTTCAAGTTAACCTTGGAATAGTGGGGAATCTGGACCTTACGACCAGTTGACCCCACGCGATAAGCGATAAGTCTGTTTCATCTTCACTCCATCACTCTATACCTTGTCCTTGTCCTTGATCTCATAACAACACTCTCCATCATCTTTCCCCTAATCTACTCTTTTCAATTGAATTGATCTTCCCGTATGTCCTTCTCATCTCAGGGGGGTTACCCCCTCCGACACCCCGTCGAGCTCTAGCTCCACCACTGGCAGGTCTGGGTCTCACACGCCCCAGCAAAAGCCATCCAACTCCGATTCATACCAGTCCGCCGCCTCTTACTTTTCTTATCCTGTTAGCCACGTCGTCTCGGGTCTATACCGACGCCTAACAGACCCTAATATCACATCCGAAATGCCTTCCACCACATCATGGGGATCCTCGTCGGAAGTCTTCACACCGCGCCGAACAGCTTCCCCCTTCCAACCACCACCTCTTACCCCCCTCGCCCTCAAAATCCCCAGAGGCGCAGACCTCCTCCAACAACAGCTTCTCACCCGTGCTTTGGCGGAGGAAATTCGCCTTCTTGTTCCTCCGCGCTTGCAACTTGTTGAAGACTGGCGCCTCGCCTACAGCCTCGATCGCGACGGCGCTTCCCTAACAACTCTATACGACAACTGCGAAGAATTCTCCCACCGTAGCCCGCGGGCGGGCTACATCCTGGTTATCCGCGATTCCTCCCCTACTGGTGCCGTCTTCGGCGCCTACATGACTGACGCCCCGCACCCAGACTCCCAGTTCTACGGCACGGGCGAGTGTTTCCTCTGGCGCGCCAGTGTTCTCCCGCCTCCATCGACCCTTGGACTTGCGTTCTCAGGCGATGGTCCTCAATCTGAGGAAGCGCTTGAACGTGCGGGCTTACCTCCACCTCCTTCGGCTGATACAACCCATGCTGGAAGGTGGAGTACACTGCGCAATGATCCGAAGTCCAAATCTTCTAAGTCTGCGTCGCCTGCGCACAACTTGAACCTGAATCTTAAGACGAACATTGCTGCTGCTAGTGGTGGTGCCCTTGCGCCTCCTTCGCCGTCGTCGATCACTACGTCCCGAAGTGGGGCGAGCACCCCTGAGCGCATTCGCTTTAAGGCGTTCCCTTACAGTGGTGTGAATGACTACATGATGTTTTGTGAGACTGGATTCTTGAGTCTTGGTGGAGGGTAAGTTGAATGGTATATTTAAGAAGTAATCATATACTGACAGGTAGCTTCAGTGACGGACATTATGGCTTGTGGGTTGACTCGGGCCTTGAAAAGGGCGTGAGTGCGTCCAGCCAGACATTTGGCAACGAGCCCTTGTCCGATGAAGGAGTCAAATTTGATATCCTCGGTGTTGAGGTGTGGTATGTCGGTTCGTGAATTACGCCTTCATTATCTTCGCCACTCCACTCGACAATAGATCGCCATTTCGGAAGTCAACTCTCCAATTCTGCTGGGTGGAAATTGATACAGGAAACTAAAAAAAAAGTACAATCGAGATATTTTCCCTGGCTGGATTAGATACCTGTGCATTGAGCTTTTCAGAGGAGTCTTTCTCGCTCGGCGCACTCATGCATTTACCAAATACCCGGGCAAAGATGTGATGCTGGAATTTCCACATCCTCATTCCCTTATCGGCTTCAGATCTAGCGTTCGCCTTTTTATCTAATCGACTCAGCTACTCAGTTTCAAGTTCTCTTGATGATCGGATGTATATATTCTCCTTTCACATATACCATGAACAGTGCAATCAAATTCTCCACTTCAACTTCTTGATGACACATGGCAGATGTACTATTAAGCGAGGTCTATGATGTACTTCCATGGCCCCGTGTCTACTATTTCCGCTCTTTTCTACTCCAGCCAGTCTGAAATGTAGGATTCTTCAACCGTGGAAACGGATGAGCTTCCGTATTGAAGACAATCTCCGTAAGTGGAAGATACTCTTTCGGCGAGAATAGCAGATACAAGTATTTCAACGTCTCGGACTAAGAAGATATCAGTAAACGAAGCACAAATCAGAGGATAAAGAAGTTCATACCAGCCAAAAGCTTTCCATATTATCACTCTGTATAGGCGGATCCTTCGTAACATCACTCAATGATGTATACCCTTTACCCCCAACAACTTGTGCATGTCTTTGAAAAGCCTTGAATACCTTTAGCCCCCATTGTCTGTATATAGGGTCCTCCGTGACTCGAAACATCAAGAGCAGACTTTCAACCGTTTCCGGGCGCTGCAAGTTATGCGCGTCGGGAGGACTAATAAAGAAATCCTTCTTCCATTTCCTCACGTCATTACTGCTCCGAGGCCGTGACCTCAAACCAGCAAACGACATCAGATCAACTTGATCTGTCCTGAACCATGAGATCTCAGCTGAGAGACCTGAAGCAGTCACAGCGTACATCGCATAACAGGTTTTCATGAGCTCTCTAGCAAGTTCCATTTGTTTTTCTTTCTGTGCATTCCATGTAGGCAGCTTGCGTGCCTCTGCTTCTGTTCTTCCTTCGGTGACACCAATCGCTATGGACCCTGGTAGGAAACAAACCAGGTGATCCATCTTTGGTGTTAGAGTCGAACCAATGCCGAAAGGTAGCTCGGCGACAAACTGGAGATTCGAATGTTTGGTTGTGGTGATGAGGTGTTTCTGAATCCCCTTTAAAGCTTCCTCCCACATTTCACGGTAGATGGGTTCGTGACCGTATGTGTGTAGGTATTGTTTAATCAGATATTCTGCATAAAATCAGTTTCTCATCTTGTAAAAGACAATGGTTCGGTAAATACCATAATATGAATCTCCGCGACTACCAAGACGAATATTCTGATTTTGAAATTTCCCTGATTCGGGATCAATATGGATGGGCACTAGGCCATCTCGCACACGTTGATCATCTACAATCTTCATTATATGCTCTGCTTTGCGCCAGTAGACCTCATTCCCAGTTAACTCAGCCAAATACTTCATCTCCATCTGCAGGGTTGTCACTTCAGCAGTTGATGAAGCTCCATTATCCGCGATATTCACCACACCCTTGCGTTTTCCAATATTGACACTGGAATAAGGAATGCCCGATGGGGTCTCGTATGCGTTGAGCAGTCTGTCGGCTAAATCGATGGCTTGTTGCAAATAGACAAAATCTCGACGAGACGATACATGCGGAAACTGAATCGACAGATAATGCGCAGATAATAGTCCGCCTAGCATTCGAATTGTCGTCTCGAATGTATTCACTTCTTGGTCTTGATCATATGTTAAACCTCTGTTCAGCCATATCCGTGCATCGGATAGTTGGTCTGTTAGGTTCATGATCATTAATGTGTCTAAGCTGTCAACGATGATCCAGCCTAGTCCACTAGGACTCATTTGTGAGCCTGTTTTGGATATAGGGTGGAAGCGATCTTGTCCTGATGCAGTTGCTAGACTTAGCATTTCATCGTTCAGATGAGAATCAATCGGGTTCGATATTCAATTTAATGTTGAATGCTACTTAATCCACTTACCCCAGGCATATTCAGAATACGCGTCCCAACTCTCCACGAATGCATCTTTCACCTCTTCCCGAGCACCCTCCCAATACGAATCTCGATCAAGAGGTCGGAAGTAATCCAATGCCATGTCAATATCAAAATCGATATCAATGATGTCGGGCCGCAAGTATAAGCTTGTGGATAACGCCACAAGAGCGCTTAACGCCGATCGCAGAATCCAATGCCGACCCAGCCATTTCCGGGATCTTTGAATTGAGCTCAACTGCCGGGTCTGCTTTTCTTGTATAGGTTCTTCTGAAGACATATCTGTGTCCTGATCGGAGAGAAAGTCAATACTGATGAGAACCCCTGAAATAATGCGGGTCTAGCTAAAAAATTCGATGTGGCTGCGCGGGGGTGGAGCTTAGGGGCCATGTGTTTACTAGCGGCGCATCCTCTGACGACATTACTTCCAAGGCTGCATATGCATGACAAACTTGGAATATTGAAATGAGGCTGGTGCTCTCTCTATAACACTGGGTTCTTGAATCAGGATTCAAAATGAACTTTGGAAGTATCAGTCATCTCTACTGGAATACTCTGCTATCTACTAAACATTGAAATTTCGATTAAGGACTCATAAGACTCAAGTGCTTGAATTCATAAATCGGCTCTCCATTTGCTCGAACCTAGCTAAGCTACCTATAGAAAGAATTCTCAAGCTGGAAAGCAAGCAACAACGATAGCTTGGTGGCAAAATATCCTAAACGATGGTCCAGAAGAAATCGCCCAGAGCCAAAATGGACGTTAGAAAGGGTCATTAACAACAGGGGGTATGGGTAATGGTACAACATCAAATAAGAAAAGATACAGAAAAGGAAAGAGAGATCCAGAAGAAGCGAGGGAAAAGAAATCAAGGTGAAATCAGCAGGATCGAAGGAATGAGAACTAGTAAGGGGAGTTCACAATATCATTGCGACCAAGATGGCTGCTGAATCGGCCATTTCGAGCACGCATTGGTGTGATCGGGCCTGCAATACTCTCACGAGTGGGCTTCTGGAAGCTACGCTTGGCGACCATGTTGACCTCGTTGGGAAGGGCAACAATAACATTCTTATCAGAGCCGAAGCGGAAGTTATCGGCCATGACATCTTCACCGTAGCGCTTGATGGTGTATGGGTCCTTGCGGCCTGCCAAAAGCTTCTTCATGGACCAGGTGATGATGAATGGACCAGTGGCAGTAATGATAGAGGTTTCCTCCTTGTCAACTCCAGTGTTGAAGCGAGCGGTAGTAAAAGCGATCGGCTGCTTGGTCTCGTGCTGGAATTGAGCGACGTGTGCAGGCTGCAAGCCCAGACGACGCGGCTGTGGCTTCGAATCCTTGGCGAATGACTTCTCGAAGCCAAGCTTGCCCTCATTTTTGCCCTCCTTCTGCAAGGAGTCGATCAGAAGAAGATAAGTACGGCATGTAGCAAGCACCCAGCGTCCATCAGCCGAAACATCAAGACCGATGATCGGTTCACCAAGAGCAGGGATATGGGTCTTGGCGTTGATACCCAAGCGATCGAACATGCGAATATCACCCTTGTTGGATGCGACAGCGAGGTAGCCCTTTTCAGTAGTGGCCATTGCAGAGAAATCGTTTTTGCTGGCATATTGCTTGAGGTCGGAATCGACAAGCTTGGTACCAGCAAGACGGGGGTCAATACGGTACAGTGCATTCTTAGAGGCACCAACAAAGGTCTGAGCAGCAGTCATTTGGGCAAATTTCTGTGGCATACGTTAGTAACTAAGGATGCATGAACTTTTGAAGCTGGTACTCACATTCTCAGGAGCAAAGGTGTCGACAGTGATATCGTCATGGACCTTCCACTCATCGACAACCTTACCATACTCCAGATCCATACGGTAGAGAGAGTTGGGATCGTCGGTGTTCTGAAGAATCATATCCTGATCCTCAGCGTGCAGCATAACCTTCTTAGGACTAAACAGTTTACCGCCGGGGGTTTCCACCTTTGAGATAGTGGTTGAGAACTCAAGGTTGTTGTTGTCGGTATGCTTGAAGACACCAATCTTGGAGCCGCGAACCACAAATGAACGGTCATGCTTGTAACCCACAGCCAGCTGAGAGTTCACATTGCCATCCTCATCGCGGGTGACAACATCCTCCTCTTCTTCATCGCTGTCGTAGTGCTCACTGCGCTGGCCATCGTCCTGGTCTTCATCTTCCTCCTCCTCCTCTTCCTCCTCTTCTTCAGGCTTGTCATCCGCATCCTCCATGGTGAGATCCTGGAAAGCATCCAGAACATATTCACGATCGTTCTCCTTGACTTTGGTCCACTTCATTTCGTTGAGCTGTTCCCATAGAGCCTGCATCAACCCTTCTTGGAATCGCTCCTCCGAAGGTTGATCCTTGAATCGAAGCAACCATGAGTAGGCAGATCCATCCTCGGCGTAGTGGTTGAAGATAAACGAGAGATATTCAAAATTGAATACGGGGTTGATATCTCCCACAACAGCCTGTCCTAGCCATTCCTTCTCGGTACCAGTGATTTGAAGCCAGTATTGCCAGTTGCCAATTTCAGAAACTGATGCGATAACTTCAGAGTCCTGCAACACGAAAGTTCCTGTAGTGAAGTCGAAGAGATGAAGTTCAGCCTTCTCCGTTGAAAGGACCTCCTTGGCCTCAGGCTGGGCAGCTGAGACCGGTGCAGTTGTGGGTTCCTCGTCGGCACTAGCAGACTTCATCTTGCCCTTGGATTGCGCATATTGCACATCTTTCGCCATCTCGGCGGCGGTTTCTTCGGCGGTCAAAGACTGATTGCGGGAATGAGATGCGGGTGAGGCGATGGGACTCGCAGATGGGATAGGCTTCTCCTCCTGAAAAGAGAATTCTTGCAACTCCGCCTCGCTGGCCTTCTGGGCACTACGGCGGTATTTGCGCTCGTACTGACACTGTAGAGCAGCAAGCTCGAAAGTGCCAACCTTGTCCGCAGGAACCGAGGTATCGCAAATAAACTCAAAAAGGTCGCCCTCGTCGCCACTTAGGTCGTTCCAAGCAAGGATCTTAACACCTCCGTCGCGAACTTCAGAACGGAAATGCAGAGTCTGGTCTAGCAGGAAAACTTTCTCGTCTTTGTCTAAACCATCTGCTGCTTGCTCATCTTCGTCGTCCGCAAGCTCCTCTTCTCCTTCTTCGTACGCTCTTTGAATAACAAGCTGGTACTGAAACTCCTGGCCGGTACGTCGGATAGTGGCAGCCGCGTCCTTGAAGATGAGCTCTGAGTAGCCCTTGGGTGAATCGGGTCTCACTAGGTACAGCTGGCCCTGGGGGATTTCGATGATGGATTCTTTGGAAGTGTCACCGAAGATGAATTTGCTCACTATGAATTATTCTCTTATTAGTAAATCTTATCGAGCGTGGTGGCGAAATAGATCTGTGGCATGGAGGGGTTTAGCGGGGCACGCGTTGTTGCTTACCGTTGCGGAGCATAAACATGGTTAAGAGAGGCAGCTACCAAGCAACGGTTAGAAGCCTTAGGTATTGGTAGAGGAAGGAGAGTAAGGGGGAGGGAGTGAAATAAGGGAAGGAGATTGAAAGAAACGGCAGAATTAGCCGGAGAACCTTGGAAACAAAACGAGGCTTAACACAAGAAAGAAAAAAGGGAAAGATAAAGGGCCATCACCATAGAAATTATCTCCGTCATCGAACTGTGGCGTTCGTGGCTGTTGATTATGTCATATTTACGGCCTGGGTTATAAGGCATCACTTCAAGTTGATCGAACTAGTTAGTTAACTAATCCATATCCAAGGTTGAAGGTCCTACATACTACATATGTAGGTAAATGACTCAGAAGATTCGATTGATCTGGAAATCGCCTCCAGGGCTCATTTTCAGTTCAATCATCTCTCCTTCAAGTCAACTTCAAGTTGTTCCGAGTCCCTGACTCCGAATTCAAGTTACTACTATTCAGCAATATATGTTATCATGCGGGTCATCCATGGATCAAATACAATTTGAACTTGAAATTTTTTCAAACTTGAACCTGAATCCATGTTCAAGTTTCACTGAAGCACTGGCACTGAATAGCTTAGGCTTGAATTACCGGCAGTCAAATTCTCTTTGGAAACTTGAAGTATTCTTTGCCCTAGGCTTGTGGCAACAATCATCTACGTTGGCCCTGGAACGCAGTATGTACTATGTAACATTAATATTCAAAAATTGAACTATTTAATTCAGATCAGACATCACAAACTTGAACCCAGAGCAGCCAAAAATCCTATGCCTAGTAATCTTTGGTCCCTCCATGCTGACAGTATACCTAGGTCATTGCTTTAAGCCTGAGCAGCAAAGCCAAGCTTGGGACCACTGGCATCAAAAACAACGTACTGGCTCTTCAGGAAGATATCACCGAAGATAGAGAAACCAATACCACTATTAGACTGAATACCACCGATACATTGACTTCCACTGACAGCGGCGTAGTTGATCAAGCTGCCAGATACAGAAGCGGTATAGCTACCAATGGTAACCTCAAAGTCGGGCAAATCGGCAGAGCAATCAAAGACGTAACCACCCTGGCTGTCACTATAAGAGGCACCATCGACCTGGTCATAGTAGCTGCTGACAGTGGAGTCATCAAGAAGCAACAGGGTGGTGCCAGTGTCAGCGATGCCAGAGAAACCATCACCAGTAGTACTGCCGACACTCCAGCCATCCACAGAAAAACCCCAGTAGCCCTCGGAGTCATAGACATCGGTGTAGGTCAGGGAGCCGGTGTACTTGGACGAATCGGTGAAACCGAAGTCGAAAACACCAGGCTCGCCGTGCTTCAGGGCAACGCCAAAGAGAGGCTCAGCCAGTTGGGATTGGGCATTGGAGAACCAGGTGTCCTGGGCCTTGGGCTGGACGGTGTTAATAGAGTTGAAGCCCAAACCGAGAAGGCCATCGCTGCTATCCTGGACAAACTCGGAGCTAATGGTCTCCGCAGCTTCGACAGCCTGACTGGTAACAGTGATGCCACCAACAGTGACGGAGTCTGTGTAGACATTGCCGCTGGCGGAGCTACCGTCACCGTAGGAAATATCCCACGAGTAGCCTGACAGCTCAGTCCCACTCTTGCTAGGATTGTAGACGGCATGGCCTGACTGATCGGATTTTGAAAGCTCCGTAGAGAAGACCCAACTGAGTAAATTAGCATCCGGGCTTACGAGGTATGGGATTAGAAGCATGAAGAGATCTTACAGATCAGAAGAACCGGTATCGAAGTCCAGCTGAAGTGTAGTGCCTCCGATGTTAACAGGAGTCAGATACTCCTCGTCATCAGTGGTGGGAGTGTTCGTAGCGACACCGCTAGCGACAGCAGCAGCAGCCTGAACATGAGAAGGTACTGTGGCACCGTACTTAGAAAGTGCCTTGGCATACTGAGCAGCAAAGTTGGTGGTCTTGGTAGCAGGACGAGCAACTTGCTTGATAGAGTATTTGCCAGAGACAGTAGGGGCAGCAGAGGCAATTGATGCCAGGCCCGCGAGTGCTGGGACGACCTTGCTGATGACAACCATTTTGGTAGGTTAAATGATAGGATAGAAACGATGATACTGAATGCAATGCCGAGGATACAGAAGCATGGCGATGAAGGCCTCTTTATAGTTTTCTTTGTATCTCGATAGCTTCACCTTCTCTGTTTCTATTCTCTCGAGAACCGAGACAGCCAATGGCATCAGATCGGACCTCTATCACACGATTCATGGCGATGTAACTCTCATGGAGCAAGTTCTCCATTTGCTGCAGAATCAGAACTCTAAAACTCACCATAATCACGGAGTCCATCGGGCTCACTGGCGCTGAGTTGTATCCGCTAAGCAGGCCTGGCGGAGAGAGGGCCAAAAGAAGCTTAGTCCAAGACATGAAAGAGTATCATGCCCTGATACCCCGGTGGCGCAATATCAGGGACCGCACTAAGACTTTAGATCCATTTTGGAAGTGCTTAGACATAATTAGCGCAGTTTGTGCGCCACCAGTAAAGCCTCCTATTCACACTTTGAACATCTTAAACCACTTATCTCGAGCTGGATGGCACAAATTCGAGTCGCAGACGGAGATGTCCGTAAGATTGATAGCTTGAATCATATGAGGAAGCCGAGAAAAAGCTTGGAAGAAGCTTAATGGAGTCGGCATTGGTTTCTCGAATGATTCACAAAGAAATAGAGCAGCCTTGTGGGCGGATAGGAGAAACATTGCACATAGGGTCATCATTGGACAAAGCCTGTATCGGAAGAGCCCGCATCGACAAGATCGACATGCCAATTTCCTCTGTAGCCATTCACATCCCGATTCTCGGATGGACTACTCCATGTTGGTGGTGATAATGACACCTTCACGTTCATGTCTGACGATGCAGATCATAGAGGAAAGAGACGGAGTATCAACCCGCCCGACGGAACTCCGTCTCCATTAAGATAGCCTCATATATCCGGCTGGTCCCTGCATGACTCTAACTTCAAGTCATCTAGTCAGGGTCTCAGGAGAGAAGTGCCCGAGTCTATGTTCATTGTTCAGGTGAGCGAGGTTGATGAAATGATCCACATTTGATGCGACCCTTATAAGCCACCCCCGCTCTTATCATCCAACTAGTTTTCTAGATCCAGACGAACAGGTTATTCAGGGATAGATTAGCGGGTTAGTTCTCCATTTCACATATTATTTCAGGTGATAAGATTTCATAGGCTCGGGTTTTGACCGTTCATCGTTACGAACTTGAAATGAAGGATTCCTCCCCGTGAGGCTGCAGATCATGCCCCTTTATACTACTTAGCGCGTGTGATCGGGCAACCAGGATTCGAGTTCTTCATCCTCTTCCATCTTAATCCGAATAATCTTGCTGACTTAGATGGAATTGCAGATCTGGATGGGGCGATGCATGAAACTACCCGAATTCTTTGATATTCGCCCTTTCTAGATTTCATTTTCTATTCGGCTAGGGCGCGAATCCCAGGGCAGCCATGATCTAAACATCTATACGGAGTGCTACTAATAACTTGAAAGTATCGAGACACGGAGTACCCCATGAGCCTATACTAGGTTTGGGAATTCTAGTAGCTAGTACTAGTACCTTGGGACAGCTATTGGGTAATAAACTTGTGTTTGAATGTTATTTCCAAATTTCACTTTTGAGGACATACTGTACATGTTTTACGTCCAATATAGAAGCTTCCAAAATTTGAAGCTTAAGAGTTCTCCTCAGCTTCATCACCTCCTGCAGCCTCAACAGCAGCGAGTTGATCCTCTTCAGCTCCAGCATCATCTTCATCTTCATCTCCATATTCTTCCTCGACATCGGCTCCAGCCTCGTCGGACTTGACCTTCAACTTTCCTCCCCTTTCGTTGAGGCAAGACCTTCAAGAATGCCTCGCCCCAATCACCCAATTCCAACCACTGAAGCATAATTTCAATCACGTGGTTGGTAGTCAATATAGAGCGAGAAGCCATCTGGATATAATCGCCAATAGGAAGCTTAGCAGTCTTGACACCCTTGGCCAACGCGCTGTTGTAGCAGACTGCTTTGTGTCGATTCTTATCCACAAGACCACCAATAATATAAGTATTGTATGGCTTGAGCTCCGTCAATGTGTTCTCACTGTCACTGCTGAGGTAAATGATCTCCCCACCTTCAGGCTTGGCATCACCCATCTCAGCAAACGGACCAACAAGCTTCCCACCACGGGGTGAAGCCATATGCTTCTTCGCGATCTCAGCCGCCTCCATGAAATCCTCCGGGATAATCTTAATCCCCTTCCAGTTCACATATGGGGCAAGGATAGTATCAAATCGCTCCTTGAGCAACTTATTGAACGAGCTGAACATCATATTACCCCGCCAAGCAGCGCGGTTGTTGTCCGAGTATGAGCGTGTCAATTGCGAGGCCAGAGAGATTCGTTCGCGATCATGCATGAGTTCATCGTAGCCGCAATCAATGACAATTGTAAATGGAATGAGCGTCGATCGCTTCCGCTTGGACTTCATGGATACGTAGTCTTGCTTAAGCTTCTTCAAAGCCTCTTCGTCACCGGTTGCCCGAGCTTCCTCGAATTTCGCATTTCGGCGATCGCGTTTCTCGGCGGCCTTTTGCCTTCGCAGCACTCTGCGGTTGTCGCGATCCTCTTCCCATTTCTCTCGTTTGCGAATCTTCTTCAGTTGGTTTTTGGACATTTTCGGGGCGCCTTCCTCTGCGCCTTCGGTAGGGGCAGCTGTAGAAGCAGTCACATCATTGGTCGTATTAGTTTGGAGTTCCGAGGTAGCTTTGTCTGCTTCAATCGAAGATACAGCTGCGTTCTGGGGTTCATCGGTTGGAGCCACAGCACCGGTCATGGCGGTCATGGCGGGACCGAGCTCTGAATGAGTAGCATCCTCCGCCCCATCGTGACCGAGCTTCGGTAATTTTCTAGGTCGTTCGTCGCTATCCATTGTGGTGTAGATGGAGAAACGATTCAAGTTAAAAGAGATAGAAGATGTGGGCTGTCAATTGTAGATCACCGAAAAGCGGATAAAAAAGCCCATCGCCAACCCCCCCAACCAATGATAATGCTCCCAGCCCTCATTACTATTATTAACTCACGTGACTACCGTCACTCGATCAACTTCTCCGTTTCTCGACTTCACTTTAGACAGTGAACCCCAATACCCCCCCCACACTCTCGCCATAATGCCTCAGGATATGCCCCCAACGGGGGGGCTACGCCCAAGTCCAGTACAAGGTTAGCAATTGACGCATATTCAACCCCGATGCCGCTCCTGCCGAACGATTCCATATCCGCCCTTCCAGTCCCTTGGGTTAAGCAACTGCTAACGCTGTATGTGAATTATAGCGTAACCTCCCTGCTCGTGGCTTCAAGCCTTGGGTTTACATGGTTGGAATGCACGCGATCATGGCCTACGGTTTCTACAGATACTTCGGCGGAGTCCGTGAGCAACGGTATGTTTCGAGCTGCAAGCTCCGCTCCCTTCCTTTCGACGAATTCAAGCATTATGCCACAATTCACGAACCTGTCACAAATTTGTCTCGTACGGTGCACATGAATGTAAATAAATTGAGACTAATATGTCTTCTGTGCTATAGTGAGCTTTCTCGCGAGAAGATGTGGGCCCGTTTGTACCTCACTCCCCTCCTCCAGGCCGAGGAGGACCGTGACCAGGTCCGTCGCTACTACGCCGACAAGGAGCGCGCCAACCAGCTCCTCGGTAGCGATGAGAAGGTTTACAACTCTGATCGGTATGTTCGACCTGGTTTACATGTGCCCTCCCAGACTTCATATATCATGGGAATTGCGGAGACTGGATCATCCAATCCGCATTCATCGTTACCTCGTCAATCGTCATTTACTAACTGTCGTTCTTACAGCTTCATCCGCCCTACTTTCGCCTATACCCCTGGTCAACTGACCCAATAAATTCACCCACTATGGCTTTGACTTGATTCCTACGTTTTGATTCTCGTCGGGATGCGGTGATTGAATTGAGTTCCTGCTTCTGTCTACAGGGATTGGAGTTGGATTTCTGGGTGATGCGGTCCTGATCAGAGAACCTACGTCCTTTGCAGATGGGTCTCGAGGTGATCGGGAAAAATACTGTAGATATACATTTTCTGAGATGGTTCTAGTTTGGTTTGCAATATCATTTCTTATGCGTTCGAATGCGGCAAGATCTTTTTTGAATGGTTATAAACGTAGTCGTTTCAGTACTCGTGTTTTTTGGACACTCTGTGGGCAGTTCATATAAGCCCTGTAATTGATAGTCACCCATTGAGTAAGCTAAATCTTGCACATGTGGGTTTCCCTGAAGCGTTCTCTCACATGCAGCGGAGAAAGACCTAGTGGAATTTGCATGCACTATTGGTATTTGAACACTATTATTTATTCAATGCTTCATCTGGTATGACGTGTTAGAGCGTGTTGGTATTGTTTTGTAGCCATCTATTGATATGAAGAGGCCCGTCTATAAAAATGTACTTAAAGTTAAAGCGCCACCACCGGGGTAGTCCATTAGATCGCAAGCGAATAAAGCAAAGGCGCAGAAAAGCTTGAAAATGCGCGCTCGTGATGTAGGGTGCTGGAACATCCTGTAACATAGAAAGAGAAACATGCAATGTAAAATATCCCGTCCGGGCCTCGTTCGACGGGTGGATAGCGAAATTAGAGCAATATTGGCTGTTGTCCACCACAACGCATGATAACATGCGGCGAACAGCTTTTGATGGGTTGGAGTGGTATATGAAGGTCAATGTTGCCTTGCGAACTGGAAGCCTGGAGTGAGGCATGGCTCGGGATGCTATATTGCATGGAGCTGAGGCTGACCCAATAAGTGAAGATGGGTTATAAATGGCGTAGACATATCGAAGATGTAATCGCGAAACCTCGCATGAGAAAGAAGGTGAAAAGGCAAATTGAAGTAAGAAGAAAGGAAGACGGAGTCGAGGTGCTTCACAGCAAGCCTAACCAAACATGTCGGCTACACCAGACAAATCGGGCCCATCGTTGATGTCAACGCGAGGATTCGACTGCTGAGCCTCCATGTCGTTGTTGGTCATGTACCGTTCTTGAAGCGCGGAACGAATCTTACGGCGCTCCTCACGAGATCCAAGGATCTTTCCTTGTTCAGCGATGCTGACACCACGAAGAGATTCCAGTAGTTCAAGCACCAATGCACGTTGTTGGCGAGGAGAGCCGCAGCGGTGCAATTGGGCCTCTGTTTGTGAAACCTTCTCTTCGGTGATTCCCGGTAATGTAAGGAAGATTGATCTTGGAGTCACAGTGGCCGGCCCGTACAAAACCCAGATCGATGCGATCAGTTGTGCCAGGTCTTTCTGCATGTCCACAAAATATGGTTCGTGAACTGAGGTGATGCATGCCTTAAGGACATCCGTGCAAATAAATTCACGGATAGTCTGGATGGTCGGGCTGTCTGCTGGAGTCGCAAAATCAGGCAGAATGGATCGAACGACGCGAGTGATGATACTACAGCATCGAGTGTCTCGCATGCGCAAGGCATGAGTACAGAACAGCATGATCGGCTCAAAGATTTCCGCTGAAGAGATGACAAAAAATCGAATAGATTCGGAAAGATCTGGCGTACGAGGAGCAGCAGTTGGATCGTTCTCTGCTCGATCAGGGTCTAGGAATGTGAATGTGTTACTTCGAATGTGTGAAAGTTTTGTTTTGGGAATCAAAGATTTCGTACCTCCACGCTGGGGATCAAACAAACTAGCCACCATGATCACAGCCGAATAGGTTAATTGGCGAAGAACACTTTCAGATTTCATCTCATCTGTGAGATCTCCATCGGCAAGACCATTCTTCCTTTGCTCGATAATCTCCCACTCCGTCGTAATTTTTCGGTCGAGGCTTCTAAAGAGTGTTGAAAGCATAGGCGGGAGGAATTGGCTTCGGTACTGAACCGGGCAGTCATCAATAAGACAGCGGGAAATATTCAGCAAAACTGAGTACTGATGAGACGAGAGATGCTCTGCATCCTTGAACAGTGCTTCAGAAAGAGGCCCAGGTAGTTCAGGGTAGCCATAGAACTGATCACGCATCCTGCTCATACTGAACAGCATGGAGTAGCAAGATTCGCGAACAGCTCGAATTTTTCCACGAACAGAGGAAGCGAATCCTTCCATTGTTGCCTTGGATGCGGTAATTCTGGCATAGAAGTCGTCGCGGCTCCCGGTGGAGATACCAGCTTGCCAAAATCGATCTGTCAGAATGCGCTCAACTACAGCTCGCATTTCGTTGCTTACTGCCCAATTTGCGGGATTGTGGAAGGCATGGGCGTGAGTAAGCAATGGAAGGAGAGTCCGCAGGATCTGTGGCACAAGGTCATGCCACATATCACAAGCCACTGCGTATGCCGGGGCAGACTTCTTCAGCTTCTCTGTGGACACAGCCAGCATTGTCTTTGTACCTCTCAAAGGTAACATCTGAAACTTTCTGGTCATTTCCTCTTGAACAACCTTACCCTCGTTATCTAGAAGAGCAATTGACCAATCGGAAAGCTTGTGTGCCTGTTTATTCTGCATATAAGACCCAACGTTTTCGAGTCCAAGCATTGAGCAGAAACCTTCAAACGATGAGCTCATACGACAAAACTCCTCTTCCTGCCAGGCCTCTCGGATAGGCTCAAGGAAGGAAGCCAGCCTAGTGTGACGAACATTAGGATCAATGTTGTTGGCCCGCTGCATGATGATCAGCAAGATAGAAGTCAGTTCCATCCGAAGCTTGTCATCGACGCGGTTGGCCAAGGTGATCTCTCTGATCTTGGGTTCAAGCAAGTCGTAAAAAGTAGAGAAGTAGTCCGCATAGCGATATGCCAGGCGGCGCAGCTCATGACTGGCGAGCCCGTGCAGTTCCTTGACGGCTTCGGAATATGCAGGGAATTCAGGGTGATCTTGGAGTCGTGTCATGAGAATGTGCTCTAAAACTTTCAAAGCGAAGGCAGGATTATTGTCCAGGGCCCTGGAAGAGATATCAACAACCAACTTGATGACTCGTTGCTTCATCACTGGGTCCTCGTAAGATCTCTGCATCAACTTGGCTGCCCAGGTCTCCACGACGTATTCCAAATTGCTTCGTTCTTGTTCATCTTTTTGTGGTGTCTTCCCGTGGGAATCAACCCACTTGTGATAACCCTTGATGACAGCCTCTACTACAGCAAATTGGGCATCGGCACGCATGAGAGGAATTGAGGATTTGTTAAATGATTGCATACTGAAAGGCTCAACGCCTTCGTAGAGGCTATCCAGGTTGCCATCAACCCGGGTCAGAATCTCGCTGACCGCTTCCTGTGGTCTTTTCAATGTAATAGACTCGATTATGGATGAGCAGTAACGGCGGTAGTTCCCAACAAAGGCATGGCGCTCGGGGATCGTATCAATGTCCTCGACAAGGAATTGTACAGTAGGGTTTTCAGATTCGGTGGGAAGAGACTCCCAACGAATCAATCTCTGGGTACAGATAGTTAAGAGATTTGGGGTTTGCGCAACGACAAATTCCATGCTGCTGATTTTGTTGATTGTCAGAAGCCTGGACCACAAATGCAGTACGGGAATTGACACTGTCAAACTCTCGTGTTGCATTATGGTCACCATGAAGTTGAAAAATGTTGGAAGATCCAAGCGATGCATGGTATCTCTTAGCAGTCGATCGTCCTCCAGGCAGCCTGCAACATAAGAGACCATCTGCTCATACTGTTAGCTACGTGAAAAAAAAGTATAAGCTTCAAAAGATTTACAGCATACCTCAGAGAGCTTCTTCGAAAGCAGATACTTAGGTTCATCAATATCATTGGGGCCTACGATGGACCACTGGTACAAACTTTGAAGAGTGTGGAGATATTCAGGCTCAAACAGAAGGCAAACAAGAGCTTGCGATTCTTCATTTCCCATGTTGCTCCTGCCGTAGAGGGCATGTAATGCTTCAATTGCGGCCTGAAAAAAAAGCATATGATTAGTATATATTTCACTTTTTTTCTGTTTCCTCTCCGGGAGGCTTGACTGGAGTATTTTTCTTACCAGAAGAACTTGTTCATCTTGGCAAGTCAATGATCTGAAGATAGTGGAGACAACTTGTGACGCCACAACTGCCTTGTATATAGACCAGGCCAATGCAGAACGCAAGCTTGTGAGAGCTTTGACCGCAGCATCGCGAGCCTGTGAAGAGCTGGACGCGTTCTGGACACAATTGTCCAAGAACTCACAGATTCGAACGAGCCAACCCTCTTGTCCACAACGTTTGATTGTGCTAGTATTTTTGTCTGGGTTGACCTGTTCGACGATTGCAACAGGGGTGAAGATCTCCACCAATGCTCGGTTAAGCTCGGATCCACGAAGGGAAGACACGGTATCTTCGCGGAAGAAGACATCCTCCGATAAAGTTTCCAAGATTGCGAGGACCAGCTCGTTGTGCACCAAGGATGCGCCCCAGAACTTCATCAGTGCCTCATCCATATCCACCCAATCCAAACCCCAGCTCTTCTTCGCAGCCTCCGCCCATAGCTGAGGGATTTTGTTGCGGAAATAGCTTGGATCTTCGGGTCTAATGTTCTCGGCAAGTTGAAGGATCATGGAGCGCACGTTTGCAGATTCGTCGGTGTTGGAGAAGGACAGGTGACGGAGGACGTGATCTAGGAGAGTTAAACCAAAGTACCGCACCACATAGGCATGATCAGGGCGAGAGGCAAGTAGGAAGCCATTGCGGGCAGCCGCGTCGCTATCCTTTAAGGATTCCACGAAGGAAAGAGCCTCTTTGCGAAGTTCATTTGAAGATGAAGGGCTGTGGATGGCTTCAAGAGCACGAATTATATCGACCATGCCAGCCTCGGAGAGCTCTTCGGCAGCCATATTGTCGTCGTTACGCCGGGTGGTCAACGCGATATTTTGGGTTCGGACGTAGGTGGGATTGCAGGATTGTAAATCAAGCGAGAGAAGATTTGGCGTGGTAGCAGTAGTGACTGAATGGATATCTCTTTGTTCCCTTTTTTTCTAAGCCGATTAAGATTGTCTATGTTAACTTCATGGATTGAGTAAGGGCGATTGTTGGTATGGCCGTTGACCAGGTCCGTGGAGGATTGATTAGCAGTCGGACACAGCAGCAACGGCCATTCGAAGAAGAATATGTATGAGAAGAAAAAGAGGTGGTGAAGGGTAAGTTTGAGAGAGAAAAGTGAGGAAGTTGGTGAGCGTGACTCCAGGTGATGCGGGAAGGAAGCCGGAAGTTTGGGAAATACTAGTTACCGGGCTGAGAATTTTACCAAACAAACCGCCCATGTTAAGTAGACACACCGCTCCACCAAGCATTGGATTATCACCAGTTATGAAACCACCTACCCGAAACCATAGATTCGGTGGAGAGTCATTGGTCTAATATTTTGTTTATTTTGTCCAATTTTTGCATCTTACTATTCAAGTTCAAGTTTAACATTTTTCAATTCGTGTTGATGCCCCTCAATCGTCACCGGTTGTTTATCTTATCTTGCACGCGATCTGTATATCATGATGTTACTTAGCGCGGCTACAACTAGTACCAGTGGCATATCTATAGTAGTGGCTCAACTTGTTCAATGCAGGCTCAGGGATTTTAAGTTACTAGTACTACTACTGGTAAAGGCCATTGGACATCTGGAAGTCCCCTAAACATTACTACTACATGGCACATGTGTAGGATTAGTGGCTGCTTTTTGATTGGAATGATTTAGTTCTTCCATTATGGTACTAGCTACTGCTTGATAAGGTCTTAACATTAAACGCATATCGGTTCCAAGGTTTCAACCTGAGATCAATTGATTGGTACATATCAAATGTATACTCAAGTGCTACTAGGTACTAGTAGTGTTTACTAGATAGTAGTAGCATACCCACACCTGGGCATTGATGTATACCTGGGTACTAGCCGCGGAGCACTTGATGTGTTTTAGGGTATACTACAGAGGATCATTATGGTACATACATACATACATTATTTTGACCAACTTGAATTGATAGAATTCAAATTGATCCGAGTCATACTACTATATGTTGATACATGGGAGTACTAGTAGCGGTCATATGTGCAAGCACTTCAGACTCGCAGTAGATGAAAAATTCCGAGATTCAATTCTCTCTACATTCAAATGTTAATGTGAAATATTTTTTTGGTTGTTTACTAGTAGTAAAATTTGAAGATGGAGAATATCTCAAAAACTGCAAGCTGCGTTGCAAAATTTGGGGGACATACTACACATATATTTCAAGTGCTTCCAAGGTTGATAAATAATATGCATATACTTCAGTGCTTCCAAGGTTGATAAATAATATGTAATAAATAATGATACTATTTTATAATTCATTGAGAATGAGACCTCCGAGTCGGCCTAAGAGAGAAAGATACTGGAAAATGGGGGTGGGGGGGGGGGGGGGGGGGTAAAAAAAAAAAAACTAATAATGGGAGATTATCTAGAAAACAAAATTGGAGGTCAAATCATAGTGTTGTAGTAAATTTTTAGCAGACTGGACTATCTAATTTTTTTGTGCACAGAAAAAAAAAAGCCTCCTGATTTTTAGAGAAGGAGCATTATAGGAATATTTGAAAAAGCATCCAAATATAAGAAAATAATACATAGAAACCATCAAAACCATGAGCGTTTGACATCTAATTCATGAAGTATATCATAGTAAATTTTGGTGGGGCAAACATTCTGGGTGTTTGGGGGGGAATTTTTTAGGCGCGAGAGGGAAAAAAGTAGAGCCGTCTATCGTGCTCGTATCAATAGAAATCCCGGGGACCGGCCCCGCGCCAGCCTATTTCGCGGCGCGGCTCCTCCAACACAACATGATCTCCCCCGCTTTCTCCATCTTCAACGAAGATGTCTACCAAGGCGGCGGTAAAGCAGATTCGAGGAGCTATTGATGGGAAGGACTTTGTCCTTGCTGTCGAAAAGGCGCAAGCTCTCCTGATCAAGGATCCCGACAATTATGTTGCGTATGTGGAGAAAATGACCCACCTCTAAGAAACAGATCCATGAGAGCTGACAGCTTTTTTTTTGAATAGAAATCTCTATCTCGGCGTCGCAACAGACCGCCTGAACAAGCTTGAAGAGTCGGAAGCTGCATATCTCGCCGCGACTCGCATAAAGCCCACTGAACGTACTCCTTGGCAAGGGTTGATCGTTCTGTACGAGAAACAAGGCAATCAAAAGCTTGATGCATATCACACAGCTGTCTTATCATATGGCCAAACTCTGGCAGACAGGTATGTATCCCATCGTAGTATTTGTCAAGAGCTCCCTTGAAACGGAGGCTAACATACCGAAGCGATGAACTCGAACGTTGCCAAGACCTGGTGAACAAATACACTGAGTTTGCTCGAAACAATGGCTCCAAGAGCCAGCTTAAGCATGCCCTTGAACTTCAACTACCATCATCTCCCCTTTACAGCTTCCTTGAAGGACGGCTGCCTCACCCATCACACACCTATCTCCGCATAATCGAAATCACCGAGGCCGAAGAAAAAGCATTCATCAATCGTGAAATTGGCGAGCGCAGAACTCGACTAGGAGCCCGGCTCGGCCAAGTCACATCCGAGGTCAAGAGAGAAGCCTTTGCGAGAAGCGAACTGGAGGCACTGTATCAAGGCCTCATTGACTGGACCACCGATGATAGCGTCCGTCGACAGTATGAAGAGAAAATACTTCAGCGCTTGTGTGACGAGCTGGAAGTTCTTCCAAAGAAGTCCAAGAATCCGAAGAGAAAACAAATCATCCGCGCAGCAGAGGACATGGTTATCATTAAGCACCCTTTCGAGCTGGCATGGGAAATCGCAATGGAATGGAAGGACACCGAAGACTACGCAGAGTTCGACGTTGGCGTTTTGCGCGAATTCATCGAGTTCTTCCCTGAAAATGGTCTTTCCAAGGTTCTGGATGGCTTTTTGTCAACCGATCTCTCTCCATTTCCCCAACAAGAGGATGATAAAGAACAGCAAACCAGTGGTGATGCAGACAACAAACCCGAAGAAGAAAGCCGCATGACGATGGCAGAGCGCCTGATTCCCATGATCAATGGCGCTCAACTTGCCAGCACCTCGATTCTTGCGCACCGCTTAATGGCTGATGTTTATCACTCTATGGAAGAGTATGAGAGCGCCGCGGAGATGTCTAAGAAGGGCAAGTCCAACATTGATGAGCTTGTTAAATCTACCGGTCTCACTTTGACCAACGCGACTGATGCTGTCGACATAACATATGCCCAGTGTCTGATCTTCCACCAATCCCCTCGACACCATCCAGAAGCCAAGCAGATTTTTGAAAGAATTCTCCAACGAAAGCCAAAATCCACAAGCTGTCTCTTGGGTATCGGGCTGATCTTGAAAGTGGATGAAGATTATTCCAGCGCAATCGACTTCCTGCAGCGGGCCTTGGAACGAGACGACTCGAATCTTATGATCCGTGGCGAGCTTGCATGGTGCAAAGCATTGAACGGCGATCTTGAGGCGGGTCTCAATGGCCTCCAAGATACTCTCGAGCTTCTGAAGCAACAGAAGACTGAAGCCAAAGCCACCAAGGCCGAGCTTCTCTACCGCACTGGATATTGCCAATGGGAAATAGACCCGTCCCCCGCCGCCAGAAAAGATCGGAGCCGGGCCTACGCCAGCTTCCTTGCCTCTATCACAACGAACTTTGATTATGCGCCAGCGTACACGAGTCTCGGCTTCTATTATGCAGATTACAAGAAGGACAAGAATCGAGCTCGTCAGTGCTTTCAGAGAGCGTTCGAATTGTCACCTTCGGAAATCGAAGCAGCGAAGCGTCTGTCGCAAGTATTTGCTGATAAGAAAGACTGGGACTATGTTCAACTGATCGCGCAGCGGGCTGTCGACTCGGGTAGAGCTAAACCTGCCCCTGGAGCAAAGCGCAAAGGCCATAGCTGGCCATACGCGGCTCTGGGAACAGCTCACATCAACAAACAGGAATATCCAGAGAGCATTGGTCATTTCCAAACTGCTTTGCGAATTTCGCCGGATGACTACAATTCCTGGGTTGGGCTAGCCGAGGGGTATCACCATTCTGGCCGACACATCGCCGCAATCAATGCTCTTGAGCATGCTCTGGGGCTGGAGGAGTCCCTTTCCAGCAGCGAAAAAGAGAATATTTGGTTTGCTAGACACATGTTGGCAAATGTGAAACGTGAGCTTCGCGAGTATGATGCCGCGATTGAAATCTACGAGGATCTTCTGAAGCAGCGCCCTGATGACGCCGGAAATAAAATCGCTTTACTTCAGACACTGACAGAGAGCTCATGGAAGAATTTGCACACGGGTCTGTTCAATGACGCAGCAGAGCTTGCCGTCAAAGCCATCAATGTGGCCCAGCTGCTCGTGGATACTCGCAGCGAGATCTTCAATCTCTGGAAGCTTGTTGGCGATGCTTGTTCACTTTTCTCTTACATTAAGAGAAAAGCGGATAAGGTATCTGTCGCAGCTTGCAAGAAGCTGATCACTACCGGACTTGACCCCGCAGCACTGGAGATCGTGACTGATGTTGATGAAATCGGCCAGATTTGGCTCGATTCTATCGACAGTGAAGATGCGGCTTCACCGGAATTCTGTATCCATCTGTCGCTTCTGGCTTTCAAGCGGGCGGTTCACGTTGCTGTCAATGACAAGCATGCACTGGCCGTTGCCTGGTACAATCTTGGCTGGGCTGAATATCATGCATACCGGAACGTGCGAGAGCACGGTTCGGGCAATATTCAGCCCCGCCAGAAGTATCTCATGGCGGCGGTCGGATGCTTCAAGAAGGCAATCGAGTCAGAGGCGGGCAATGCCGAGTTCTGGAATTCACTCGGCGTGGTTACGGCAAGCCTGAGCCCTAAAGTCTCGCAGCACTCGCTTGTCAGAAGCTTGCATTTGAATGAGCGGAACGCGCAGACCTGGACCAACCTCGGCGCACTTTACCTTCTCAACGGTGACGCTGAACTGGCGAACATGGCTTTCACTCGGGCTCAGTCTAGTGACCCGCAGTTTGCACAGGCTTGGGTCGGACAAGCCGCAGTTGCTCTCAGTTTCGACACTGCTAGTGAGGCACGGGGTCTCTTCGAACACGCCTTTGATCTCTCCCGCTCATCGGAGACAGTTCCCAAGCGCCATTACGCGTTATCTCTGTTCGATCACCTCCTCTCCGAATCCTCCTCTTCGAATGAAGTTGCCGAGCTCATTCGACCCTTCTTCGCTCTTCACCAACTCGTCATTCAGGACCCATCAGACATGTCATTTGTGCATCTTTCGGCTCTGGTGGCAGAGAGAATGGGTGAAACTGCCGATGCCCAGGCGAGCTTAGAGAGTGTGTGCTCTGGTATGGAAGCCGAGTACGAAAATTCCGAGTCTGTCACTTCACTCCTCAAGTATGCCCAAGCCAACGCCGACTCCGCTCGTGTTCTTCTAGCATGCCATGAGTATGAGCAAGCTGCGGAAGCGGCCCAAACTGCACTCTCCCTAGCAGATGATGAGGAAGCTGAAAAGTGTGACCCCGACGCTTACGCCAAACTTCGTCTTTCAGCACATCTGACAGCTGGTCTCGCATATTACTTCACAAAGTCAATGGATGAAGCCATAGACATGTTTGGCGCTGCTCTTCACGAAGCCGACAATGATCCAGATGTGGTTTGCCTTCTTGCTCAGGTTCTTTGGGCTAAGGGTGGCGAGGAGGAAAGATCACTTGCTCGCAAAACGCTTGTCGATTGCACTCATGAAAACTCTGACCACGTCGGTGCGGCTACTCTCCTCGGTGCGATTGCTATTCTGGATGGCGACAACGAATTAATCAAAACTGCCGAGTCTAACCTCAAGACTCTGCTTGTTCGCGACGAAATTGACCTCCAGGACCGCACCAAGTTACTCAAGCTTCTCGGTACGATTTCCACTCTGGGATTAAGTGAGGATATTGAACTGCCCGAAGACATGCGCAGAATCAAGGAGGCGACCGCAGCCATCATGTTGTCTCCTGGCCAACCGCAGGGTTGGACCGAGCTCTCCAACGGCTCGAAGTCCGGATACCCAGCGGAGATGGCCATCGATCGAGCTTTGCGCAGTGTGCCCCCGCACGGAAACCTGGAAGCTACCGATCTGAGCCAGGCATATGCCCAGAGCGGCAATGCTGGCGATGCTCTCAGGTCGATCATGGTCGCACCGTGGCGACCTGAGGGTTGGGGTGCGTTGAAATCGGTGGTGTGAGTCGGTGGTGCGACCACCGACTCAGTGTATGATTAGTGGAGAAAAAAAACCCCCCAAAAAAACTCCAAAAAATATTATTTTCTATTAATTCTGAAACGGTCTATCTTGTTATCACGTAGAGCATTCCAGGGTTCATAATTTGGCAATAATGAGATAGAGTAACTATCACTGGCATTCAAGTTTGCCCTATCACCGTGATCTCACGCCACCATTACTTGTCCCCTCCGCCTCCATAGCACTGATTTTCTCCAGCAATCGTGCCTTTCTCCCATCCTTCCATGGTTTATCAAGTGCTTCAATCTTTCCCCCAAGTAAAGTCGCGCAACCGGGATCCAAAAGAAGCATCCCTCGCGCTGCAGTAACCCCACGAAGTAAGAATTTCGCTCCAATAGATATCTTTTCCAGGGTAAGGCCCTCTATCCGCTGCATTTCTATTGCGACAACTTTGGTACCCGCTGAATCTTGAAGGATCAATCGATGTGGCCCACCACTAGTTCCAGATGAATTTGTATTCCCTGTTGCGCCCTGTGTTGCTCCAGTGCCATTATTCTCTGCTGCCTCCGCGTCCTCGCCCACATTGATAGTTCGTACGATCTCACGACCACGTATTGACTCGCCGCGTTCTACACGTTCAATTGCTTCGACTTGGCTCCAGAGACTTGAGCCGATGTCTTCAATGTCGACAATTTGGACAGGTATTGGGCCTTGTAATCGTCTTTCGCAGATATGTGGGTTGTAGACATCATCTGGTAATACGGAGGTTGGGTTTTTGGATAATGATTCACGGAAATCTGAGGCAAGGACACGGAATAAGGCTGTTTTTGTGAGTGCGGAGGCGGGGATATTGCGCTGTGTGCTAGAAGATAGGAAATTGTTGAGCCATGCTGGAGAGACACAAAGTCCCTTGGAGCTTTGAATTTGGACGATGATTTGATCTGCCGAAGACATTGTGCATTCTAGCTCCAATGTAGACTGAAAGAAAATCTTCAAGCAAAGTATTCGAGGAAAATGTAGAAGTGCAGAAGTAAAAAACCATGAACCGAAGTGGAAGCTCCGAACAAACAAGCACGGACCACCGCTTAAAGCCATTGATCTGGTCTCACGCGGAATCTCCGCAACTCCGCAACTCTCACACTTCCAAGATTGAGAGCCCAACACAATCCAACCATGTCTACAATCTCCCCCCTCGTCAATCAATTGCTTCTTCCCGTGGACATTCTCCAGCTCCACCATCATCACGTCCATCCCTCGATCCCTTAAATACCAATAGCATCAGCGGCGGACTCAGCGCTGCCTCAACTCCATCCACAACTCGAGCTATCTCACCCAACCCTCGGCGAAACCGTTCCGCTCTGCGAGACTACTATAATCTAAAACCACCTGGTGCGGAATCATCGAGTCCTCGATCCCGCAGTGTGCCCCGAACTACCGATGCGGGCGATATCTCAAACCCAACGAGTCTAGCCTCAGGGACAGAGCTCGATAATGCCGAGTTCGATCCTCAGCGCTACGTGGATCATCTTCTATCTACATCTTCACTGGCTACGATTCTGAAAGCGGAGAATACACTTGTTGGAGATATCCGGACTCTGGATGGAGAGCGCAAAGCGCTCGTATACGATAATTACTCGAAGTTGATTCGGGCTGTTGAGACTATTGGCAAAATGCGGAAGAGTATGGATGAGCGCGGTGCTCCATTGACTATGACAAAAACTTTGGGTCCTGCTATTGCGTTTGTGGCGGAGACGGCGGGGGGATTGATTAAAGAGGGTGAGGAGCAACGGAAGAAGATTAAGGAGGCTCGGGCACAGGAACCGGTATCGGAGTCTCAAAGTGGGCAAAAAGAAACTGTGAAATGGGTTCTTGGAGCACCTGAGCGATTGAAGGGTCTTTTGCAAGATAAGAAGACGGAAGAGGCGGAAAATGACTGGAAGGATGTGCGGCGGCTGCTCGATGCTTGGAGTACGGTTAAGGGAGTTGCCGAAGTTCGTGAAGCCTGCGAAAAGGTCATGGGCAAGAGCGGCCAGGATGATTGAGAGCCATTCCCATGTGTGGGAAATGATTGTGGCTTCAATTCATTACGGTCTTGATTGAACTGCTCCTCTCCTGCGAGCAAACTCCAACCCAGCACATGGGCGCGTGGTGCCAAGTGAGTTTAATCACTTGGCTTACTTGTCGGTTATCCTCATGTTGCTCTGACACTGGCAAGTATCAATTTGGGCTACTTCCCAGCTTAGACCACAGAAGCGTGGATGACTTTGTTTTATAGATACCCTAGCAATCGCATTGATAAACCAGACATGTCAATTTTGTCATAAAAGCTGTCATAAATCATAAACTTGAACTAAGTCTGTACTACATCGAAGCATTATCCAAAATCGCTTTCAAGCTCTCACACCTGGAAATCCTTGCTCGAATACATACTCGCCTTGAGCTGATACTTATTCTTCGAGTTGATTTCAAGCAATGTGAAGGCATCAGACTTGTAGTATATCGGACGCCCACGCGGATCAAAAAGCTCTTCCCTAGCCAGCATCTGCAACACCTTCTTCACATCCTCTCTGTCAGCGAAATCCTCTGTGTAAATGCAAATCAAGCGAGCCTGCCCAGTGCCCTTCCCATCATCCGTCGAGACTTTCGCATCGGCGCAAACATCACCCTTCTCTAGAGCCAGCACGAGCGTTCTCCATACTGTGTCAACTCTATCATCAGAAGGAAATAGCATCCACTTTCCAGCCGTGATGCCCGTTTCACGAGCTAGGGAAAGGATACCTACTTCCAGCTCGCCACGTAGAGGCTTCAATTTGCGAGTTAGTCCTGCCGTGCTTCTTGCAACAGACTTATCATGTGCAGCACAAAGTTCCTGCTCTTTCTCATCGAATTCGCGTAGAAGTTCCGTGCCCTTTTTGACAAAGCTGGCTTCATCGCGGGATTCTAAGCTCTTGCTTAGGCTTTTAGAAGCCTTCCCGCGTACCCATATCCAGGGCCCTGACTCTGACTCTAATGCTATTGATGGGCGTAAGCGGAAGAGAAAGGCAGAGATGGATTCATTGACGCCGCGCTTATGAGGATATAAACGGGTAGATGATTCGTTTCCTTCTTCCGTGGGGAGGGTTGAGCTTGTAGAATTTAATGCTTCCTCAGCTTCCCGTGTTTCTTTTTGTATTTGAGCAAGGAGTTTGGGGTGATAATATGACCAGTATGGCTCGGGGTCGTAGGCTTTCACTTCATCTTCTAGGCGCGCTTGTTCATTATCGTCGCCTAATAGAGTTAGAGCTTGAGTGTGATAGTCAGAAGTTAGGGAACCTACCGTAGAAACTGGATTCATCAGAGAAGATTTCTGATCCATCAGGAGCGCTGTTTCTGGGGGACATGGTTCTAGTGGGCTTAGGTTGTTGGAAGTAGAAAGTGCTGCCTGCTGTGTTGTAGACAAAGATCCCGATAAGAGCTCCATCTTATCGGTGAGAGAGACGTCATTTTGCTCAGGTACCGAATTCTTCTTTGATCATTCTACAACCCGTTTGCGCTGTCTATGAAATTGGTGACGAAATCTAGCAAATATCAATAGATCCAGATGTCCTTTCGGCGCGATAAAATATTCCCTTTGATGGCTTAGGTAGGACCAGTTTGTGTGCCGGGTGCCCAGGGAGTGCTCAACTAGCCAAATCACATTTCCCCTCGCATGAAGAAGGCTATTCCATTTTGACGAAAGTCAATGACTTCTCTCGCTATTTTTCTTTCCAGTGATTGGCCCCTTTGAACAATTCATCACATCCCTGGATCTCGAAGGAAGCGCCCAACCCGCATGGTTCGTGATAGTGGCGAGCTGAAGCGGGGAACCATCAGCTAGGACTCCACAGATCAACAGAGCTACATTACTTGGCCTACACTAATTCTGCACCTAAAAATCTTGCACGCACGCTGAATGGATCTGGATGATGAACCCGAGGCTAATTTGTGCCCAGCTGAAGGGAGGTTCATTGTGGTCATGGCCACTCGGGATTTGATTGGCATTTGCAGACTGTGATCGCGATCTTTCGCGTCAACTTACGCACTATGTCGGAATTATGCAAGGTTCGACTTCTACCCCTCAGCTGCATGATCTCAGGTCTTATCCACTCCTCGTATGTGCCCCTCTAGGCGTTCGCACGGGTTCCCCGATATCTTGGTTGTACAACATCGCCTTTCCCCTTGCAGAAGAGATCTTCCGAGATCTACTTGATCTTGATGATGAGGACTCGGACTATTACCCCACCCGGGAACATGTTCATGCACGAAGCTAACAGTGGCAAGAATGCGAACCGGGGGGGGGGGCTGAACTTTCAAGTTACTAAGTAGTACTCAATTGATGTCTCTAGGTATAAATACTACCACCTTCGTCCTGTAATTGCTACTAGGAGTACTAGGAGTGGTCTTGGACTCTTCGTTTGCCTTTGATTTTTAATTAAATCCATTCCAAGGCTCCGTGCCAAAATGGTGGGAATGAAAAACACATTACGAGCTTTGTGCCTTCTTTTCAATTTAGCTTCAGCCTTGACTGTTCCCCAAGAGATCCTGGAAAACGAAAATGGCATTTCCCAACTCGCGGAAAACGACCTGAGAATCAACACCACCGAGATTGAAACATTCAATTTTGCAGCAACCGACATTAGATCATGCGAGAACTGGGACCCAAACGAATGGGACTATGATGTTGCGATTGTTGGTGGTGGCCCTGCAGGTTTGGCTGCATCCATGTCCTTGGGTCGAGTCGCCCGAACCTCCTTAATGTACGATTCAGAGGAGTACCGAAACGCAAAGACTCGATATATGCATGATGTGCTTGGACAAGACGGTATGTGGCTAGTGCATAGCGTTTGAATGCAACGGACTAATAGTATTTAGGCCAAGTTCCATTGAAATTCCGTGTTGCGGTCCGGGGGCAAATTGATGAGCATTATAGTGAATATTCGTTTCGTGCAACTCGCGGAAGTAAAGTCACTGCAATCCAGCCTCTGTCCAAAGGCTTCCGTGTTTATGATAGCAAAGGAGGCAAGATCACCGCGCGAAAGATTATCTTGGCTACTGGAGTCACCGATGTGCTCCCAAACAAACCCGGATTTGCCGATGCGTTTGGGCGAGGCTTATTTTGGTGTCCCTGGTGTGATGGATTTGATTACAGAGGACGCGATATGGTGGTCATTGGGAAGTCTGGAAAGTTGGCTAGCGCTATCGGCTCAGCATTGAATCTGCGAAAGTTGACGACGAAGATCCAAATCGTTGCTGGTGGAAGAATCACTGATGCGGATAAAGCGGCTGCAGAGGAGAGATGGCCTGGTTGGGAGAAGGTCATCAAGACAACTTACGGGATCAAGATCCACGAAGTGGATGTCACGAAGATCGAGAGAACTGCCAAGGGCACTGAGCCTGGTGATGATGAATATAGACTCACCTTGAACGGTGCTCCGTCTTCCATAATCACACATGGTATTCTTATCAGTGCGGACACCGACCAGACGTCTGATTTATACAAGCAGCTGCATTTACAAATGGATGGCAAATCCATCAAGGTACAGTCTAACATGGAGACCAGTGTGAATGGAATATATGCTGTTGGGGACGCCAATAATGATGGGAGTACTAATGCCTACCACGCTATGTGGAGTGCCAAGCGTGCTGTGGTCAATGCACACGGTATGTAGAGCTCGGAATCATTATGGATACAGGTATACTGACTATGCTACTCAACTAGTTGCCATCTCAAAAGATGAATACCTCGAGAGTGTTCCTGCTGCTATGGTGGCTGCTATGGGCGGTGACGAACGATTCTATGAGCGTCAAATCGAGGAGCTTCACTGGATGATGGGCAACGATGTTGAAGAGCTCTACAAGGCCCTTGGTGGCTAAGGAATGTTATTATATGCTTTTCTCTCTACCCAGTGAACGAGGAAGATTCAAGTTTTATATTGTTTCTATATCAAAGAAAATATCATATGCCCAGGTGTGCATGATCAGAAAGAGTATTATGAGATAAATGGAATTTGGACACAGCTGTCAATACATGAGCGATCAACAGATGATAAATAATTGTGAATATTCATGTCCTAGATATCCCCAAAATGACTGTCACGATAACAGGAGGCGTTTGGGCTCATCAAGGTTTAACAATCGTTGGCCATACTTGTTCCACAAACTCGGTCAGGTCATTCTTGAGTGCTTCGGGCTGCTCAAGTGCTGCAAAATGACCACCCTACATATTGAATGTTAGAATCTATTCATGCTAGATGCCACTGATTGCTAACTGATGTTGAAGCTTACCTTTGAATGATCGGCCCAGTATACCAGATTTCCTGAGGTCTCTATCCAAGATCGAGGAATTGAAGCCAGCTCTTTTGGAAAAGCCGAGAATCCCATCGGTTTTTTGATATACCACCGCGAATCGTTGGCGGAGGATATGGGCGGACGAGGATAGTTCTGTAGTCTCTGTTAGAGTCGCCAATGGTCCATATAGAGATGAAATGACTTACCTGACGATACGTGTAAATTGATCGGGGGAATGTTTCAGTTAGCCAGTATAGAGTGATGGACTCCAAGATATGCTCTGGTGATAAAGGATCGTCGACCCATTCCAGGAACTTCTCGCCCACCCTGAGAATATTAAAATTGGTTCTTATCTGGGGGGGGGGGGGGTTTGGGTTAGGAGCTTACCATGCTAGTAGAGCCATTGGATTCGATGAAATAACATGGCCAATAGTGCTAGGACGAGTACCATGTTCAGTAGCATACCCAGTTCCCAGCGTGACAAATTCGTTCATTCTCGCGAGACCAAGCTTTTCTGAATCGCTTAGATTATCGTCTGTAACACCCACCGGCTGGCTCATGAAAACAACGTTGACTTTGAATGTTAGAGTTCATCTTATTTGAGATTTTTCAGCTCTGGTGCCACTTACAATGGGCCGCTTATCATCATATTAGCATAACACAGTATCGCGGGTCAATGAAATCTTACCTTTGCAGCTTTCATAGTCTACTACCAGTTCTCGAGCAATGCGGCTACCAATGTCACCACCCTGAGCAACGTATCCACTTTCGAACCCGATATTTCTCATCAGTTGATCCAGAACTCGAGCAATATCCTGAGTTCCGAAGTTGCGGTCGAGTGGGGGACCAGATGAAAAGGTGTATCCTGGCAATGAAGGAACGATGAGATGATAAGGAAGAGTGCTTGGTGTGTACTGGTCTCGAAAAAGCTCGAGTATAGGAAGGAATTCCAGAAAGCTCCCTGTGCTGCTATCAGGGATCTTCCAAGTTTTCATGGGTTCTTTGATACAGTTTCCTGGTCTTACCTGGCCACCCATGGATCAACAGTATGGGAATTGCATCTGTTCTCTCTGAGAAAAGGCCTACAAAGTGGATTGTGATTTCTTCAATTTTCGTCGTCCATTGTGGGAAACCGTTGAATCGATTCTCAGATGCTTTCCTATTATCAATGGAAGTTAGTCCTTTTGTTCATAAGGAGCAGGAGTCTCTTGTGAAGAATGTGAACCATTTATAAGATCTCAACCACTGATCCTTCATAGCCACCAGCCAATCAGTCGTAACCCCATACTTGGAATCTAACTGTGAGTTCTCGTAGGTATGCGGGGCAAGCTTGGATAGTCTGATAAGCGTTTCTAGCTCCTCCAATTGCTGCTTCGGGATCGAGACAGTAAATGGCGTGGGAGAGACTCTTGCAGTTGGAGGTAATGTACTGAATGGCAACGACATTGCTGCTATACTGATTTCATGCTAAATTGATAGAAAGGGTGGGATTAATGCCTTTTTGATTTCTGGAACTTGAAGCATGTCATGTGGTAAGTGCGGGGAACCCATCAACGACGTTCACCCGCCGTCTACTTCCAAGGTTTATTGGAGAAATGTCAGCAATAATAAGCAAGACATTAGAATAGGCGACAACGCGGGAAAAATCAGTTTATTGTGGAGAGTGACACGATTATTGACCCGATCTGTCGCAAGTGGGCCATGCTGCCTAGACTTGACTCATAATCGGAGTCATAAACCCTTTCATCCTAATTCACCATCACTGCCAAGCAGAGACTGCCTTCAAAGCATGATGCTACAATGGAAAGCGATACCTTGAGAGTCGCACGGAAGAAGGGTTTGTAAAGCCAATAGATTCTGAATAGATTCTGAGTTTGTTTCGTGTACAACATGCTGATCTACTTACAGGTTGTTCAACATGTACTAAACGCCGCATCAATTGTGATCGTGGCCAACCTTCTTGCCAAAAGTGCCTCAAAAGAGGCCCCACTTGTCCTGGATGTGGACCCAAGCTGCGATGGGCCGGTGGAGCAGCAGTACGTGGTGATTTAAAGGACTTACAAGCGGAAGTCACCGCCCAATCATTACCGTCTGGGGGCGGAACAGAGTTAAAAGCACCTGATATCGAGTCACTGGGTGGATTTTCCCTAGAAGAACTCGTGGATTACTATGATAAGACCATAGCCCCACGCATGGTCTGGCTTGACTCAGAAAACAATATCTATCGTCGCCACATTCTCCCGCTGGCCCAGAAGAACAAGGTTGTTCGTCTTGCTATTGCTGCAGTATCTGCCCAGCATGCAGCATGTCGTCAAGGAAATCGCATCGTTCCAGAAGACGCAAGAAACGAAGCTGTTCAGATCATCACAAACCATATCAATGACATCACAGATCGAGGCATGCGTGGACACGATCTCAATTTGGGCCTTGATCTAGAAGCCGCGGAATGGATTTTGGCCTCAATGCTAGTTCTATCCTGCTATGAGATGGCTCATTCTGGAGCCGAAACTGCCGAATTTCACAGAAAAGCCGCCCGCTCACTTGTCACGACTTTGTCTTCCACAGATTATTGCAAGAGCAAATTTTTCATATCAATGAGGAATAAATTGGCAGTTTATGAGGTCTTTGGCTGTACAACCTCTTTTGATATACAAACGATCAAGAATGCTGTGCTCTCCAACCGTGGAGATGAATTGGTGGGATGTGATAAGACGAGCCTTTTTTTGGGGTATCTCAACCTCGTCCATGAGGTCACAATGCTTGGACGATCAGGAAATGCCGAATGTACCCACTAGCTCGGACTGGAAAGGGAAATTCGAAATCGCAAGAGGAACAACCCCAATGGCGATTGGCAGACATTCCATACAGAACCCTGTTCATCACAGAGACCTTATTCGCCTTGTTGATATTCATTATAACGCCGCTATTGTATACATCTCGAGATGCTTGAGGTCAGCGGTATTTGATGAATATCAGACCAACAGAGCACTTTCAGACCTATTCCGACAGATCAGCTCGATAGAAGATATAGATTATTTGATCCATAATTTACCCTGGCCCCTTTTTGTGGCTGGCGCTGAAAGCTATGGCAACAGGGAGCAGCAGGCCACAATTTCTCAACTTCATAAGAGAATGTCGTATGTCACGGGCTTACAACATTACCATGATTTTTTGAATTTCCTAGATGAATTTTGGACTGGGAATGAATCAGACTGGCAAATACTCGTCAGAGACTGGGAAGCATCGGGCCGAAGAATCTTAGCATATTAACCTAAAGTGATGACCAAAAGTTTCTCCGTTTCTTTTACTATTACCCTTATGAACTTGAGAAAGAGCTTTCTTACAAGATTTCAAGTTAATACTACATATCTCGTTATCCATATAGTAGTAAACCATATCAATGCATATGCAGTGCCCGAAATTGTTGTCTTGGTCCATATATTGGCGCATATTTACGAAAATGATGCAATTGTACATCAATGACTGTGAATTTTCTTTGAATCATAATATTAAGTAGCTCTGATCTGATCTCCAGTAGCTTACTCTTTGCAGATACTCACGTGGCTTGCTGCCTGGAACCCTGGAAGTTGATTTGCGTTTGCTCTCATTGGCCGGCTTATAGTAGTTCCTCTCCATGCTGCATGAATGATTTCAGCCTTGAAGGTTTAACAATCGTTCACGCGTTCATCCTTGAGACTGATCAAGCCTAGTCTGGTGTGTTACAGATCCCAACTGCTTGCTTGACAATGAACCCGCTCCTCCGACGGTCCTTCCAAACACCAAATAATTTCCCTTTTGCCTTCCCAAGCCGCCAGGGCTCTAACAGATTCCGCTCTTATCGAACCGCTATGGCGTCACAGGTAAACACAGGCTATTTGCAGACCCTTGAGGCTGTCAGCGACCAGAAAGTTATCATTCGAGATAAAATTTATGGCGAGCATACCATCACCGAACCAGTGCTCACAACCCTGCTCCAGAGCCCCGAGCTCTTACGTCTGCGGGGAGTCTGTCAACACGGAGTTACCGCTCTTCTGGGCTTTGGCCCTCGCGTCACCCGCTATGAGCATTCGGTCGGTGCATTTCTGCTAGTACGCAAAGTTGGAGCCAGTGTTGAAGAACAAGTCGCTGCTCTACTCCACGATATTAGTCACACCAGCCTCAGCCATGTTGTTGATTTCGCACTTTCAAAGCCTGGAGAAGGAAGCTACCATGAATTCCATAAACCCCGCTATCTGAAAACCAGTCAACTGCCCGAAATACTCACCCAACATGGGTTTGGAGACCTGAAAGTCTTTAATGAGGAGTTGTTTCCCCTGGTGGAGATGCCGGCCCCACAGCTTTGTGCCGACCGGCTTGATTACTCCCTGCGTGATGCATTCGCTTTCGAAAAGCTCAGCCTTGAAAGAGTCCAACAAATTTACAGAAAACTCCAGGCGTTTCCGTCATCTTCTGCACCAAACCGTCTTTTCGTTCTCGATGACCCACACCTCGCCTTGGATTATGCCCGTGCATATATGGCAGTGGATCGCGACGTTTGGTCAAACCGGGTCTTTGCAGATCTTTACCTGAGAACGGGAAGTATTATTCGTGAGCTGGTAGAGTCTGGCCGTGTTAAGGATGAGGTGTTATGGTCTCTGTCGGACGATGATTTTTGGGCCTTACTGCGCCGAGAAGCGACACCCGACATCTCACGGGAAATGGATCGCCTAGAGACGGAGGCACTGCCCAGTGAGGAGAATTTGTCTTTGCCTCAGGGCTCGAAGATTCGGACCATCGATCCCGATATTTACCTGGATGGGAGCGACAAACCTGTCCCTTTATCGGGGGTCCTTCCAGAATGGGGTATTGAGCGACAGAACTACATTGATAGTCGCGAGTTAACTCGGGCATAGACGAAGGACTTGTTGCAAACGTCCTTGGCACCCAGACTGCATATTGATATGGGTATCTCCGATTCGGGATCTTCCTATTATGCATCGCACGTATTAGATAACTATTATTAATACATATTTTATCTTGAATTTTCTCGTATGGAATGAATATTTTAATACTACCTCTCGCTCACAACAAGTGGGTCCTCTCTCTGCTAAGTACGATCTTCGCCGATTCTTCGGTCTATACAGTGGGTCGATGATGGGGTCAACTAAGCTCAAACGGGTAGTCAAAGTGAGAAATACGCAGTATGAATGTTGATAAGAACACTTGGCTATTTTTCGGGGATAAATAAGAGTAAAATGAAAGCAGTCCACATTTGAGATACAAAAGTGCTTCTTATTGAGATTGTGACTGAGAATGGTTGACAAAGCGAAAGTCTTGATTATTGGAGGTGGTAGTGTTGGCACCATCGCTGCTTTGAATCTACAATCTGGAGATCTAGCAGAAGTGACTTTAGTCTTGAGATCAAACTATCAGGTCGTCGAAGACAACGGTTTCTCGATAGAGTCATGCGACCATGGGAAAGTCGTGAGTTGGCGACCTTCATATAGTGAGCAATTCCTTGATCGCATTCATTATCGTCATATCTCTCTAACAAAATAATACGCAGTTGTCAATGCCATTCCAGCTATCCAGCCTGGCGATGAAGGTTATGACTATGTTGTGGTCACAACCAAACATATCCCAAACAAGAAGGGTCATCAAGTCTCCCAGATTGCGCCCTCGATTACTCCAAGACGCACAGTCATTGTCTTGATACAAAATGGTCTCAACATCGAGCGGCCGTATCTTGAAGAGTTTCCTGAGAATATTGTTCTTTCTGGAATCTCTATGATTGGATCGGAGGAAATCGAACCTGGCGTCATCAAACACTCATTCCATGATCAACTCACAGTCGGCCCTTTCCACAACCCAAATCTCAATCACGCTGGGGAAATCGCAGCTGCAAAAAAATTTGTTGAGAGGTACTCCACAGCTGGAAAGGCATCTTGTCTGTATGATGAGGCTGTTGGGTGGAATCGCTGGAAGAAACTCGTCTACAACTCCTCCATGAACCCGATTTGCGCTTTGACCGGGCTAGATGCAGGGCAAATCAGGTCTGCTGGTGATGCAATTTCGAAGTTAGCCCGAGAGGCAATGACGGGGATTTATACAGCTGCAAAGGTATCTGGATATGAGTTACCTGCTGATATTGTTGAGTTTATGGCAACTGTGGATCGAGTTGAAGATCACTTTGTACCAAGCATGCTTCAAGATATTCGAAAGGTATTCAAGTTTCGACTGAGTCTCCCTATTTTTCTCACTTCACTGACATTCCCAGGGGAATAAAACTGAGTTTGAGTATCTATTAGGGGAACCATTGCGAGAAGGACAAAGACTGGGTGTGTCGATGCCTATATTATCTACCTTGTATGCTCTATGTGAAGCCGTTCAGTGGCGTGTCGGAAGAGAACGAACAAATTGAGCAATTAAATTTGGAATTTCTTTTTCGCAACTATTTTCAAATCGCCCAATTGCTTGTTGCATGTGTCTGAGCCTCAAATTTACTAACTTGGAGTTTGCTTGGTAGAGCAAAGCCTAGAGCTACTAATATCAACCTTGGAAGACCCTCACAAACCTTGGAAAAGCAATATTTCTTTTCATATATGTACACACATGTGCATGTATGTTGGGAACTGAAATGTTTCCTAACCTTGGAATTCCTATTTTTAGTATTGATTCTAAGCCTCAATTAACACCTGATGATGCAAGGCGTTGACCTTGGAGGCTGATTCGCCTAACTGAGGAATCGGCCTGATCTATATGCCGAGGCGGAGTACTCCATACTGCAGTCTGAATTGCAGTCCAAATCACAATATAGGCGCTGGGCTGCAGGCCTGTCACATCACATCGCTCATCGACCCCATTTTTGATTTTGATAACTCGGGGAACGTTCAAATTCGCTAATGCAGTTGCGATCCTCGGGCCATCGTTGGCTGCGGCTCAAAGCGCCTTTAGATTGCCGAAGATCTCAATATCAACCCTCCATGAGAATCAGCCATGCCTCTTTAATCCAAAGGACAATCTAAAACGTTTGTTAAACACAGTCCCTGGGCGCAGGAAGATCCAAAAACTAGCACGGACGATGATTCGACAATCACAGCTACGGCATGTAAGACGGCCTAACAAGTCACTTGGCCCCTCCGCTAAGAACATTGGTGCAGGAACCCTGAAAGTCTGGATCCACAGAACGACTCTTAAAGATATTATGCTCTCCACTTTTTCTCGTATCGATCACCCTAAACTTGAAATGTGGAGTGACTGCATGCATGAACCCTGCGATTACCCGGGTGTTGCTGTTCGGCTGTGTACTTTGGTCCACTTCAATCATCTCAGCCTCACAGACATGTATACAGTATTATAATCCTATATTAATTTGATTTGCCCTCCTGTTCTTCTGGACATCATACAAAAACTAAGTTCGTTCAAGAGATTCAAATTTCGCCGAGTTAACCATTTGAATGTTCAGCTCAAAACTTCCTAAAATGTCCCGCTCGCCTCTTGTCCTTGTCCTTATTGACTTCCTTCCGGTGACTTATGCATACACAACCTTTGACACAAACTGCACTCTCCCGTCCGCTCCGGATAAAATAAACTATATCTCCTCGCCGAATACCCGTGGCACGCTGGACATCTTGTGGTCCTGTCTGTTCACTATCATCTCCTGCACTTGGACGGTTCAATGTCCTGACCTACCCACTCAACGAAATGAATTCAAGGATGGATGCCTAGGCTGGTGGAAGTGGGCAGCGAAAAAGTATTTCAGCTCAGCTGCATGGTTCCTAATCACCATGCTAGCACCAGAAATGCTCCTTGGGCTATACGTCATTCAAGCTGTGAGGTGGAGGAATTATACCAAAGTCTTTGAAAAGTTGGGGTACGCAAATATTGATGGAGTCGAGTGGACAAGAACCCACAGCTGCTTTGCTGAAATGGGTGGATTTGTGATGAAGATATCCAAGCCGTCCGGTCACCGCTTGACTCAGACGACAACAGAACATGCCGATGTCACCACTCACGATCTATCACTGTATGTGATGAAAGGACAAATTGACGAAATGGAATCTCACCAAAAAACAGAGTATGTGACACTTAACTGCCGCCAAATCCTTGCCCTTCGCAAGACAGGGATATTGGAGCGCCTGCCGGACATCAGCACAGACGAGATCCAAGATAAATCCAAGGCGGACAGCTTTTTGCGAGTCATTACCGTTATACAAATACTTTGGCTATGTGTGCAAACCATTGCTCGCTGGGTGGAAGGCTTAGCAGTCACTCAGTTAGAGATCGCCACGGTCGCTTTTGCCATCTGTGCTGTGCTCATGTATCATATATGCTGGGCTAAGCCGAAGGGAGTGGATATCCCTATCACAGCCTTCTACTACGGTGGCAACATAGAAGAAATACGGGATCGGGTTAGGAGAGCTGAGGAGGAAGTGACCCCGAGTGTCTCTGGAGCTCAGAGGGAATGGAGCATGAGACTTGTCCACTTTAAAAGCACTGGCATGCCTGGAGGAGGAATAAAGTTATCGCTAACCCCTTCAGAACAGTTTGTCTGGTCAATGACATTGATATTAGGTGGCGTGGTTTTTGGGGGAATTCATCTCATAGCGTGGAACTTTGTATTTCCCACGCATATTGAGATGGTATTATGGAGAGTTTCTGCTCTTTTTTGCACTTTCATTATACCAGCAAGCTTCTTTGCATCTCTCTTTGCAGATACTGGTATATATGTCTGGCACTGGCATGGCGCGAGTTTGAGCGGGAAGATTTTTTCTACATTTGTGCTTGTGATATTAAACCTACTTGGGTATTTTTATGTGTTGGCTAGATTGTTTATCATTGTAGAGATGTTCAGGACTCTGGCTTTTCAGCCTATAGAGGCCTACGTGGGGACATGGACTGTGAATATCCCTTACGTGAGCTAACCCTTTCAAGCCCTGGAGTTATGTATGATATCGATGCAATTTATAGCATGTACTCGAAAAAAATAGTACATTCATGAAATTCCATCAATGTATGTAGAATTCTGGATTGTCCTGCGCTATGTATGATTTTATCTTCAATCAGACTCCGACTTCAAATTCCTCTTTGATTGCCATTCCGAATCGCGCAATAGCCTCTTCTATCTGGGGCAATGAAGCTGTTGCATATGTGACACGGAAGTATATTTCACAACCCTGTACACCACCCGCACGAAACGCACTTCCTTTGCAGCATAAAACACCCTTCTTCAAAGCAGTAGAGTAGATACGGTCCTCTGTCTTTAGTATGATGTTTCCAGCTACATAGTCTGCCTTGGAATAGGCGGCGGCCAATGAGTGAACACGCCAGTCAACCTTGATCCAATGAAACATTCCAGCTTCGGGCACTGACCAAGAGCAGATATTGCGTGGAAGATACTTCGAACAGGATTCAAGAGTGATGTTTCGGCGCTGAGTATACTCATCCCGTAAGTAAAGAAGCCATTTTACGAATCCCTCATGGCCCCATACACCATCCAACAGTGTATGCAATGCTAATTGGGAAAGCCCGCTTGGGGAAACAATGGTTGCATCATGAAGATAAAGGAAGCGGGAAATGATATCGGCAGAGCCAGTCATCCACGAGCATCTCAAGCCTGGTGCAAGAATCTTTGATGTAGAGTCGAGACGAAGAACGCGACCAGATACATCCAATGAAAGATAAGATGGGATCAAGTTGTTCAAGAATGTCTCAACTAACTTCGGATCCGACCGAGGGGGTTGATCTGAATTCGCATAGACTTCAGTTTTCTGAGTTTGAAACTGAAGGAAGTAGTAGGGCTCATCTTCAATGATGTAAAGATCATGCTTCTCTGCCACAGCATAGATATCTTTGCGTCTCTGAAGACTCTGGGTAGTGCCCGTTGGGTTCTGACCGGTCGGAATGATGTAAAGCAAAAATGGCTTCGAAGCACCGCGCTCCGATACATCCCAACCAGAAAGCAGGTTATCAAGATGAGCTGGCACCATGCCTTCTTCATCCATCTGGACACCGATACTGCGGATACCGAAAGGTCTCGCAGCTTCAAGTGCGGCAGAGTAAGTATACGCCTCGGTCATGATATAGTGTCCCCGGTTGCAAAGGGTCCTGAAAACCGAGTCCAGTGCCGAGGTAGTTCCAGCAGTCAGTGAGCATTGCCAATCCGAGTAAGGAGGATTGCGCACTACATCAACATGCTCTGTGAAGAATCTGATGAGCTGCTCAGATCCTGCGCTATATCCGTAGTTGAGGGAAATTGCAAGGTCGTATGAAGCTTTGTTTGTTTTGATATCGGATTTTCCAATTGTTTCAGACAATGAGCTATTCTGGTCGTCTTCTGTAAAATTACTGCTTTGGGGAAAATCGAGGGTCATGTTGAGAAAGGGGAAATATTCTGGAGCAGGTCTGCCGGTAGCAAGACTGATAACATCCGCGTTGAGCTCAGTGCCTGCTGTCTTGAGGGTTGCAGAACCACGAGATAGGGCCTCTTGACTCAGACGATGTTGGAATGACTTTGCCGGTGGTTTGTGGAAACATCTTGGGCTCTTGAACATTATTGGAGTTGTGACAGGCGCAATGTCTCCCGTCAATGGTCCCAATTTCTGTCGCAAAGATGGAATATCAGAGAAATTGAGTGCAGAAGACATTTTTGGACGGATTTTTCAATACAAGTGAGTATCGGGAGGATTCAATCTTGGAATGACTCCTAGTGAGTAACGTGAGATTATCTGGTTGGATTGGGAGTATGACACCCGGTTTGCAAGTCAAACTAAACTGATTTTATACTGATACCTCAAACGCCGAACCTTCCTTATTCAGCTCACCGCATCGATCCTTGTCCCAAAAGGTCTTATCTGAGTCTTTGCAAAGAATATGGATGGACTCCATCCTGTATACTCCGAGTCTTCGATTTGGTGCCATTTCCGGTTAGACTCGATGGATACTCTGAATATGTACCTATTCCAGTCAAGCGTCCTTTATCAATCTCCGATATGGTACCTGATTCAGTTGAGTTGATCGATGATCAGCCTTGACATGGATTAGCGACCGTATTTAGAGAAGTTTGCTGCGAATCATCTGATCTGAAATTCCCAAGATTGGGTGGGAGGATTCGAGGCGTCACCAACTTGAATCACTCGGAGTCGTTCTCGGCCACACCCTTGGAATTCAAATATAGACTGAAATGACGGAACAGCAACTAGGAAAGATTTCGTCAACATGACCACTCCGAGTCCACTTCATGCTATCTGCTCCAACTTGATTTCCATGATCTCACAGGTTACTCTTACAGTCAACTGGTTACACCAAGTCGACTCATACTAGTATATTCAAATGTTCTCAGGCTTCAGACAAAACCTGTTCGCAGCTTCAAGTTCAATTTGAAGCACAGATATACTACATCGGTAAAGGGCATTTCTCAAATTCAAGTTTGCTGTCTGTGAGATACTCGCAATTCCAGTCTTGGCTTTTGCATAGGGGCTTCGGCACCTGGGCAGTCTTTCAAGAGGCTGAGGATGGAGATAAGAATCTTCAGTACTAAGAGATAAATTTACTACAGAGCAAACTTGAAATATTCCTGTCAATTCTGGCTTGGAGACCAATAAGCCCCAAGTACGGCTATGATGAAGCTGGTAGACGGATTAGTGCTGAGCGGCTTTTGCTTGGCTATATTCAATATAGTCACTATTGAGCTGGAAAAAAGGGAAAGGAACAAAGAAAGAGAAAGAAAAATAAAAATAAAAGAGCAAGAGGAGGTGGTTAACAACTTGGAGGAATTATGGGAAGTCGAGCGGAACCAGCTGATTTTTCGGCCTAGGAGCTTCATGATGAGAAGGATGATGATGGATTCCAACTGCTGGGCAAGGAAAAGAGGTGAATACGACTCAAAGGACATTTCAAATTGCTTTGAATATGGCTCAAGCTTGGACTGTTCAGGTTCAAGTCGACTCCACTCAAGATAGTTTCTTTTAATACTATCTCAAACTCATTGGAAATTACGATGTAGTAATGACATCTGGCTAGCTTGGCTGGTACTCACTTGTCCATCTAATTTTCTCAAGTGCTGTATATCACCTGAACATGTGCCTATATAGGTCGTGTCTTACTTCCCAAATGTAGCTCTTATGTACTTGGTATTCTCATAAACAATCAATTTGAAAGATTGGACAATTTTTAAACAGGTAAATTGGAATCTGATTTTTGTCTCTGCCATCTGCCATCTGCCATCTGCCATTTTTGGTTGCAGGGTCCGATGGACATTCCAATTTCCGGATATTTGTATAGCTGCAGCAAGTATCTCTTCATTGTGATGTATTTAAATCAATTTCCCAAAATCCTCACTTCTGTATATCGTCTGATGCTAAGATACATAACCTGGTCTCCTGGTCTCCTGGACCGCAGTGTTTCAAACACTACTAATATTATAGTCAACGCTAAATAGAACTTGTAATCGTAAATGCTAATCAAACCGGGATCTCTTTCTCCTTGAACACACTGTCCATTTTGGGCATGTCCTCTGTAGGTGATGTGCCTTCAAGTTCCTGGCGGGATGGGAAACAAGGAAGACGTCTTGCGACACGGACTGTTTCGAAGACATTTTCAGAAAGTGTGAAGATATCATCGATCTCTTCCAAGCTGCGCCCAGAGGTTTCGGGAAACAAGAAGAAGATCGCAGGTGCCATCGCAGCATTGAGGCCCGCATACACGAGGAAGTAATACTCCCCCATAGCTCTGAAGGCGATTGGCGTGACTTGGGCAATCAGAATGCCAATGGCTCCACCTATACTGATGCTAACAGAGTTGATCGTGGACCGTAAATGTAAGGGTGCAATCTCGGTCGCATATAGATAGGGGATCCCACCGAAGCCAATGATGTAGCAGAAATGAAAGAGAAATAGGAAGAAAACAGCCCCATGTGAGGCTTTGATGTTGTCCACCTGAGACCCGAGGGCAGCGATGCAGGCCAAGCAGATGGTGTTACCAATGGCACTGCCAAGCATCAAACGTCGTCTACCGGCTCTCTCAATAATGAAGACACATAGAGTGGCTCCGAGAGGCCCAACTAGTTGATAGACGGCTGCTAGGAGTCTAGCCGTGGATTGCTTGAGACCCAGATTACTTTCGAAGATTGCAGTAGCTAGGATTGTCATGTTAGAATGCACGGCTCATACACCTTCCCGTGGAAGGATTCAACGAGGACGAGTGTTATATTTGGGGAAAGAGACTCACTATAATAGGTGGTCACTGTAGCACCGGTGAACTGTAAGAATACAAGACCACCAATGGCAAGAATAGCTCGATGGAATGTTCGCTGATTGCCCATTTGAAACAGGAGCTTGAAAGACGTATCTCCGCCCGCAAGATTCAAGGAAGTCTGCACCTCATTGATTGTATTGTCAATCTTTTCACAATCAATATCGATATCTGCTAGAGCCGCAAGCACAGCTCGAGCCTCTGCGATTCGTCCCTTTCGAATGAGCCAGCGAGGCGACTCAGGTAGAAAGATCACAAACAGCAAAAGTGTGAGAGTTAGAACAGTGGGGAAGCCGAAGGGGAGACGCCACGACAAGGTAGTATCTTTTTTAAAAGACAATCCATATTCCAGGAATAATGCTGACGCACAGCCCAGTCCGCTGAAAATGCCTTTTGTCGCGACATGAGAACCACGCCTTTTGGCAGGGGAGGTTTCAGAGATCCAAAGCGGAACGGTGGCAAGCAATGCTCCTGTTCCCATCCCCACGATCAATCGAGATGTGAAAAACTGAGCAAAGGAATATGCAGTCAGGTTCAAAGCATAACCAATAAGTTGAACTGACGCTCCTGCTAGCATAGCCCGACGACGACCCAGAATATCGCCCAACCAAATACAACAGAAAGTTCCTATAAATGTACCAATTGCATATGACGCCACCACAGCACCTTCTAACGTCGATGCATGGTCCTTGTTATCAGCATGAGCTATATCGATTTCGGGGAAACTCTTTTTGAAACTTTCCAAAGATAAAACACCACCAAGGGAAGCTGTGTTGTAGCCGACAGACATGATTCCAGGCATTAATACACCCAGTATAGATGCAAGTGTGAGACGTTTGCCTCGAAGGCCAAGAAATCGCGTCATCCTGGGTATGTAGATTGTCAGGTACGGTCCTAGTTCCCCAGAATTAAAGATCACTTGATCGACGTGATCGCCTTTGGTCCACGTAGTGACACCTGTGGACGTGGATCAGAAGAAGCTTAAGTACTCTCCCACCTTGAAAAGCTTTATCAAATCCTTCCAACCCTTTTCCCTATTCTGTTACAGCTCGGAAGTCGGGTGTAACGGGATGTTTATGCTGGCATTCCATTCTTGTGCATCAAATTCCCTCAGCACGAGTAAAATCGTCGTTCCCGCCACAAGGGTCGGCCTAGATCACTAAAAGTAGTCAAAGTCATCTGCAAGGATTCTTACCATTCTTATCAGTTGACTTGGAAACTGGAAGACCAGTCGGATCCTCCGAGTCTTGTCAGTGATTTTTTTCATGATTCTTCTCCAACTGGTTCGAAGGAACTATGTAACTCAGTGCATAACTTTGAAAACACATAACGATACTTCGGTTCCTCGGCCTATAATGCGGAATAAAAAAGAATTCACAGTAAGGTTCTGTGCTTCCGCCATGATGCAGTGCATTAATGTCTCATGCAGAGTATATTGCATAGCATATAGTCACCAGGTTGATAGTATTTGGTGATGTGGAACATGGAGACATAGTGGAGTATTCACCGCCCCACCCGAAATGACTCCATATAAAATTTCCTGCACGTAAGAACCAAAACCTCATCAGACATCTGATCATGACAAAAGATATCTTGGGTGCTTTTGATTCTATTTATATCCACCCTTGCTGATAATACCTGGAGGAGGCAAGAAGAGCCGCCCGGGAGAAGCCTAGTCCCATCACTTACATTTTCAATTCAATCTCCTGCAATCACCAGATTAAACCAACTTGAACCCTCAAGTTGTGAGGGACAATAAGTCATAATGGCCAACATTCTTCAGAAACCTAAATCCCAAACAACAGTTTTCTTGGACCAACCACCCAGCTGCCTCGAATTCTGTCCAGAGCTCAGTGACCACTTTGTGGTGGGCACTTACCTCCTGTCCGAGACAAAGAATGAAAGTGGAGAAGTGCAGCAAACCAAGACCGGGAGTGTGCAACTATGGAAATTAGACCCGAGCACAAGTGAGCTGTAAGTAGAGCTCTGGGGTATTTCGGACTCCCGGATTAACCCCCCAACTCTCATGCATGGCGTCGGTTAATTGACCTCCATTCTTTAGATGCTTGGTACAGAGGCTAGCTCTGCCCTATGCAGTCTTTGATCTGCACTTCAATCCAAGGGAGAGGAACAAATTTGCCATTGCAACCAGTACTGGTCTTGTGGTGCTTTTTAATGTCTCTGATGATTCAAATAACCCCACAATCAACCAAATTTGGACAAAACAGGTCCATGAGGATGATTCCATCCCAGCCCTGTTCCTCGCATGGGCCCCTGAGAGCTGGTTCCCTCGACCTGCATCTGATGGCTTTGCTGTGACCTTCTCAGATAGTCGAACAGCTGTGTTTGGAACAGATAAAGATATTTCAGATGTGGACGAGATCACGGAATGGGGCTCCTTCGTAGCACGTGAAATGATCGAGGTATGGTTTGTGGCTTTGGCCACAATGAAACAACTTCCTGCTGATGAGGGGACATCGTCAAATGATATTATCCCTTACATGTTTACTGGCAATGACTTTGGGTCACTGCATACACGTCGCTTCGAGACTCACGGCGAACGATCAAATGAGACCGAAGAATCACTCGCATCACTACTCCTTAATCATGATGATAGGGCGCGCCACCACACAGCTGGTGTAACCTCCATTCTACCTCTTGCAGTTCCCATGGTGGATGACGCGCCAATCCTGTTGACAGGAAGCTATGATGAAGGGCTGCGGGTATACCATGCCACACGACGAGGAGATGTCCTCGCTGAACAGGGTTTAGGAGGTGGTGTCTGGCGGTTGCAGTTGCTTTCCACAACGGAGATCGCCAAGTCTAGCGAGACAGGTCAGGGCTTGGAGCGACGCTTTTTGGTTCTGGCGAGTTGCATGCACGCTGGGACAAGAGTTGTGCGGGTTACTCAAACAGAGCAGGATCAGGGTCCATCATGGGATATTGAGATTCTGGCCGAGTTTACAGAGCATGAGAGCATGAACTACGCAAGTGATGTATGGAAGGGCGCGAAGTCGGAACATTCGGATGCATTCCCAGAATCGTCCGAGTTACTCTGTGTGTCGAGTAGTTTCTATGACCGCCGCCTTTGTGTCTGGCGAACCCAGGTTTAATGAAATGATAAGCATCTACCCGGCCAATCTTGAGTGCGTTGGTTTCCGGTTTTTATATCAGCAGTGCTACGATCCTGGGATACGAGATGGTAGATATCTAGACATCTCATAAAAGCGCTAGATCAAATCACAATGCAAGCAGCAGGTATACAAATACATGTGCACCCGAGGACCACGACCAGGCCAAAAAGAAATAAGAAAGTAACCTTTCATATCCATTGTTGCGATGCCACGTTTGTGGTGCTCCATATTAAACAATTGTCTCCAGCTCCCGGGCATAGCCTAGTGTATTCTCAATCACGGTGCCACTGGCCACCAAGATGTCCTTCTCGGACCTGGCAGCCGACTCGGGCTCGACCGGGAAGTGTATCCGTCCATCACGAAGAATCCAACCACGATGTTGAGCGAACTGAATAACTGCACCCTCCGACTCCAGGAAGAGGAGGTTCTTGGCGTTCGAGATAGGAAGGGAAGGATAGGCCTTCTCCGAGCAGTCTGCGATCTCGCTTCGAATAGTACCGATCAGAACCTAGAATCCGCGGAATCAGTAATTATATCAAACACCTCGGCATAATGCTATTGTGAGAAAGAAGAATCATTCAACTTACGTTGGAGAACAATCCAAAGTCCTCATCCGGCACACGCTCCGACTTTGTCTCCCGCCACACCTTATCATAACTGCCCTCCATCAAGTTTCGCTCCAGCTCAACAGGGTACTTGATGTAAGTGTCATCCTCGATACGGCCACCCTTCAAACTGGCCTCTTCTACCAAACCCTCAAGCACAGTGTGGAAGTTGGCGCTATCACCACTGCTCAGCAGGAGCAACAAGTACAATCCTGTAATCTTGCTGCGCTGGCTTGTGCTGGAATCAATCTGAGCTGGAGGCTGTCCCGGTCCACCAACGTGTCGCTCAAGGTCGTAAAAGGGCTGCAGTTGTTGGTAGTATCTTGTGAAGGTCTGGGCATCAGTCTGTCGGATCGAGGCAAGGGCACCAAGTTCGAGCACCTGGCGGGCAAGGATAACAAGCTGAGGAGGTGTGGATGGTGTTGGGATCAAGGCATTTTGGATGAGAAGAGCGCGCTTGGCTTTGCTGAGAAGGCCGTTGGCGGCATCAAGTTGTCTGCGCTCCAGGGCGTTCTGGAGCTCTGGGACAAGGGTCTTAAGGTCGGACATGATGGATGTGTGGGATGCTTTTCAAGCAAACGAGAAGGGAGAAACGGACTGGATCCGAGAATCTAAGATAAAGCAATTGCAAGAACGAGGGCAATTTAATCGAAAGCTGTGGATGATGCGAGTTTCAGCATTCGATGACATGCCCAGGTGACGGAGCTTCCAGCGGGCGGTCAGTCGGGACTACACGTGACTACATACTGGCCAGTTGGTTTGTTGGACAGAAGCATCTAGATGGTCTCCACAAATTACAACCCACTTTCTTCAACTACTTCAAGTTTCTAATCTATCCCCTGTGAGTCGTGACAATCTAACCTGGCATCCTACTAACATTTCTCGCGATCACTGCGAACTCTTGGAAACGAAAAGCAAAATTGAATAATCAATTTCCACCGCTGAGCGACTACCACCATGACATTTAACTGAACGTCTACTGCAACGCGAGCTGTGCCAGTTTCTGAAAGTCTGGAGTGCCCAACCCCGTTGCAGGATCCCAGCCGACAGTTGCATTCCATCCCGCATTATGAATGGGCGATCGGTAGCAACCCACTGATCCTCCCTCTATAATGTCAGTTAGCCCAGCTCGTCCGATTGTATACAGCCACGGATTAATGAATCCCATTCGAGATTTTCCGTGTAAAAGACGGACTGAATTCAGTTGGGATAGTATCCCAGCCACTACAGGTGCGGAAGCACTAATAAAAGTCAGCTCTACCGCTATTCTCATAGAATCAGTCAAGGATACAGACCTTGTTCCCCCGACTGTGAGATAAGTTCCGTGGTCTCTAACACTGAAACTGTTCGCTTGAGCAGCGACATCGGGAATCCCTCTCCCACCTGTGTTATACAGACCCCTCCATTGGTCTCCAATTTTGCTAAGATAACTTTCAACCATATGATCTTGGTACGATGGGCGTTGAAAATATTCAGAGAATCCACCGCCAGAAAGATCAATCGCTCTTTCCGGGTTCACTCCAACGGTTCCACCGACAGATGTAACGAAAGGACAAGATGCAGGCCATGATGGCAAGAATTTGACTCGATAGCTTCCATCGTTACTTTGGCATGATTGTCCTGGTCCCGAGTCTCCACTGCTAAAAATCACAGTCACTCCTCGTGCGCCCAGTTGAGCAAAGAGATTGCATACAGCGGAAGCATAGGCTTTAGGAACGCTTTGCTCTGATTCACCATATGACATTGTTATAATTGCTGGAAGATCCCTTTCTGGGAGAGCAGTAATATAGTGGAGCTGCTCAAGATATGGCTCATTGGAAGACTGGTTCGCGTTTGGTTGATCACCGTCGGGGATCAAGGGACCTCGACCTGCAGTTGTATAGAAAGTCGCAATTGCATCATAAGCCATAGTTATCGAGTACTGGACGTCCAAGTTTGCTTCCACGCTGTTCTTGGTAGAATTTTCGTCATTCTCGCCGCCATTGATGTATACCACAGAGAAATTTGCGCCTCGTTGATTGGGCGCGTATAGTTGTATAAAATGGAAAAAGTCGCTGTGGTGAGCATACTCTTCCAGAAAGCCTGCTATTCCAAGCCTGTTTCGGGAATCCGGCACAGCCTCTGCGTCATGCACTCCATATAAACTTCTCAGGCAGTTAGGTGTGATTATTGTTCCACAACCAGCTGCAGGCCCTGGGTTATCTGGTGTTGGGGCGGAGGACTGCTCCTGGCGTGACATGCGAACAGAGCCAAGGTTTCCAAATCGCGTGGTTGGTTCAATCAACTGGATATGAGGGTGGATATCGTTAGGTACTGAATAGTTCAGAGTTCGTAGGATCATGGTATTGGTCTCATTGTTTTGGTAGTAGAAGAACTCAGTGTTCAACATTCGCTCTGCTTGAGAAACAGTAGTCTGGAAAGTGATCCAGTTTCCTCCAATCTCGATAGAGTCCGAAGAGATATTTTCAGAGTTCAGCCAGGAAATAATCTGATTTGACACTTCTGCAGGTGGTTGTAGCGCTTGTTTCACTTGTTCAAGGCTCATGTGTTGACCATAACTAGGATGACCTGGTGTGGAAAGGTCAATAACAGTTTGCTGGAAGCCAGCTATATCTACTGAGTCCACCGCAAGTCGAAACTTTATGAGATCTGAAGCTGACGGTTTACTTCCTCTCATCCAACCAAATGGCGCATCTTCCAGTTGTTCAACAATCTGATACGAGCTGCCGGCAATGCATACTTGTACCCAGAACAAGACAAAAATTTTGAGGATAATCTTTAGATCCATTTCGCTATTGACTTTTTAGCAGTGATTCAAGATATTCTACTGAGATTCAGAGACGACCCATTTCATGTTTTATAATGATCAGTTACCGTGGATCATTTTCGGGAAAGGGGAAATTACTTCGCCATGGGTCACACACAGCACTCGGGTGTGCTTGTACAATGGTCACAGTTTATGATGCACTTAATAAACTAAGATTTACTTTCCAGCCACGGTACACTACTTCCGAATGATTGATAGGTCATCTCCCTTTTGTCCGCATACCGATCAGGTCAAGCTCCATTGTTTATACCAGAACTCTGGTGTACAGACGTTCCAGGGTCAGTATCCACCCGCGGGTGCTACCTCTAGGTACTAGGTGTGACATCGAATAAAGTAAACACCGGGATGATTGCTTCCAGAATGCAACTTCAAGTTTAACTTGCCATTAAGAACTCAACTTACGAAGAGATTTCTCTTGCTTGTGGGTTTGCAGTTTTTCAAGCTTTAATGATGTTTCAAGCCTGTTCAATTTTGGGTCAACGATGTCACCTGGTTTCAAGCAATGGCCCTGTTGTATAATTTCCTGGGAAATAATCTCAAACAGTTTCCAGGGCTCAAATTTCATGTTTCGGGATAAATTGCTGGCACTTCCGGAGGTCCAAGGTTCAGGTGACGTGATGAAATGTCAATGAATTCAAGTTAGTCGCAATTGAACGGATTATATACTTCGGATATATGGAGGTACTAATGTAGAACTTCAAGTTGACGGCGGCCATAAACGAATACTAGTAATAGGTAATCCAAAATAGCAATACAACGCCATAAAACTCTTTCAAATTTTTTCATGACCTTGAAAGACATAAATATAAAAGTCAATCTCATTATTAGTGGCCCTGAACATGTAAATGTCAAGTAGATTGTGGGAGTGATGCCTTGTCGCCTGAGGCGAAAAAGCTGCGGATCATCCTTAACTCCGATGCGGGATGATCGACGTCACTTTGAATACAATGTGCGGGATTGTGCTGTAGCTGTCTCTTTGCTCTCCACATTTGAAGATCGATGTGATTTAGTTGCAGATCACACTATTCAGAGCTGTACTTCAATTCACAATTTTCAATTTAGTCGTTGGCAATCTTGAACTTGAAGCTGTTTCACTCTTTGGCTTAAGCTTTTCGGCACATCAGCCCGGTGCGTGGAGATTGTGCATTTGATAGCCTTAGCTTAAAAAGATCCCTGCGGCGACTTATTCCCACTGTTCCGCTAGCTCATTATTGTTTGAGTCCCCTGCTCGGTTTAGGTTGACCAACGCCGTGCTCGCATTCAACTGCGGGGTGGCACGACTTTGAGCTCTAATCGACGTCATTTCCACATTCTTCCTACCGCGTGATATCCTTGTCCTGAACTTTCCCAGAATCAACGATTTACTTTACCATCTGTGTTCTACACCAATATTCATCATGACAGACTCTGAAGTGCAGCCAGGTCGTCGAATGTCCGCCGATAACCAAACAATCTCGAAAACTGATATCCCATTGAAGGAACGGTTCTTCCGGTATTTCCAGCATGAAATTACTTGTATGTCCCCACCTCTATCTCCAAGATCTCAGTAAAAAGATGCATGAGTACTGATACGTCACCATTAGCTTTACAACAGTCAATGGACCGCCTGGCCGACACCTCTCTTGTCGGGGGCGAGCGAGCGGATGCAACCGACCATTGTCTTGCCGGGATTGTACGGCTCTCAAATGAAGTTAAAGATGCTGCGAGCTACATACCAACCTATGACCAAAGGGTGTATGCTGAGGTAGGCCTTTTCACAATGACATTCCAACCAGTACTGTAATCAATGACTGACTTCTATCAGGCGATCAAAGCTTTGCAGGATAAACTGAATGAAACACGTACTGCCTTCGAGCCTCGTTCCAAGTTCAGCTTCAAGACCAAGAAGAATGCCTCTGCTATTTCGTTGAATGATGCAGCAACACTTGCCGCTCAGGGTCGCCGGGGCATTCCTGGTTATCGCTCTCCAGGGGCATCATCGGTCGGATCGTCTGCCAACCACACACCCAACTATCCTTCTACTCCATTGAACGAGCCTGACAAACAACAGTCGGAGAGACCGGAGGTAGCTCCTACCCTCTTTCCCGACTGCTTTCCATGGAGGAGGTTATGCCAAAGAATCTCCGGAGGCCAAGCCGTCGTCAACTTTCGCAGCCAGTGGTATTTCGTCTGTCTCGGTGGATAATCACAGTGGCCTACACATAATGCTTCCTGCTTCAGGCTCGACTGCCTCCGTTCCCGCCTCTATTACCTCTCTGCGGCACTGTATTGTCGACATGTCAATTCCTACTGCTAATGGAAAGCCATATGCTAGCTTGACTATCAAAAATGTGCGACAGAGCCTTCTGATCTGCAGTCGGGTTAATGGTCCTGTTCATATTACTGGGGTTGAAAAGAGTGTTATGGTTGTATCGTGCCGTCAGTTCCGCATGCACCACTGCACAGATGTGGATGTCTACCTCAGCTGCTCTAGCAATCCTATCATTGAGGATTGTTCGAATATCCGGTTCAGCCGCATACCCAAAGCACACGTACGTTCTGGTTTTCCCTACCGTCTTGGTGTGATATTATATGCTAATTTAATTTAATTGCTGCAGTCTCTACACCATGACCGCCCTGATCACGAAGATCGCTGGAGTCAAATTGAGGATTTCAAGTGGATCAAGCCCGAGCCAAGTCCAAACTGGAGCTTGTTAGACCCAAGTGACGCCATCCCAGAGGAGGTATGGACTGAGATTGTGCCTGGTGGGCCAGGTTGGTCGCTTGATGACATACTACGTGCCATCAAGCTCGTGGAGGGATAATATTCTTGCGCTGCGTCGAGCAAGTTGCTGATTTTCTAAGCAAACTGGTGTTTTCCCTAGCCTGTCTACTTTTCTCATACATGTGCAAGTCCTCTACTCCGATTCTCAAAATTGTGTTGAACGTTCGTTTCATTTGATCCAGTCCGTTGAACGGATTCAATATGATCTTCTTCTTTTCAATGTGTTCGCTTGCAGGTATCTCAAATTCATAAAGAATTTTAATCACCACATGACCCAATTATGACCAACTTGACAAGGAATAGCTTTTGCAACTGCGAATTGTCATGCGGGAAAACGAAAGGCGCGGTGTATTTGTGCGTAGTACCACTGCATGTCGTCTGATTGACAACATGGCTTGTGGCGGTTGCACCCGCCGCTCCAAATAACATTGAAGAAAAAGCACACATGCATGGATTTCAGTGGTGGCTTAGATACCGATACCAGTGCTTCTTTCTGTCTTGAAAGTCCTAAAGGGGCAAGAAAAGGCTCCAACCAGTAGTATATGGAGACTCGCTTATGCCTTCAAGCTTTCTCTAATGTGAAGTCAACTGCTGGCATTATGCGTGACCACCTGGGCAGTCGACACTGGCAGTGGGAGGAACCATAGTGTGAGATCTCACGGGAATCCAATGTATGCTTGAATCAATTAATTTCCGCAAATAAATTCGACGATATTAATATGTTTTAGGGTACAAAATCATTCTGTGATAGCTTAAATGCTAGTCCATGTAGTTGGAAGAGAGCGGTAATTCTTCGCGTGCAGTCCAAGATCCTCAAACACGGTTTCATCACCTGCATCAAATCCAGGTTAGATATGCCACAAATGGAATTTGATAAAAATTCACCTTTAAGGGACTCAACTCGGTGCTCGTTCTCCTCTGCGAGCCTTTCTATCTCCTGACCAGGTTCTGCCTCTCCCGGAGCTTTATTTCCTTCGGCGGTCGCGGCTTTGCCCAGAGTATCTACGCCCTGACCAATCATCAGGATCTGGGCATTCGGGTACTCGATGAATTCTGGTTTCAGTGGAACCCATCGGAGGTCTCCAAATTTCTCCAGTACACTGCATCAAGTTATCAGCACGTATATCTTGAGTGAAGAATGAGGAAAACCTACGATTCAGGATATTCAGGGTTTTGAGGCAATTGACCAAGGGGTGGACCACGGTACTGCGGGTTCTTTGACTGCACGATCCAACTACCACGGCGATGAAGACCAAAGTTGTCTTGGATTTCACCCAGCTTGGCAGGGATGGTCAGTTCATAGGCGAGATGCGAAGCCCGCTGCGTCGACATAAGAGCATAGACACCTTCTGCATAGGGTTGAGCCTCCTCAGTTGTACGCTCGCCACGAGTTGCAGTCTTATATGTACTGCTTGCCATGAACTTTTCTTGCAAGTCCTTCACAGATTGACCTGCCTTTTCCACAAAAGCCATGTCCCGTTCCTTGGCTGAGGTCGGGAACTTCTTTTTTGGGAGCATCAAGAGGCGACACCGTGCATCTTTGTCCATTGGTCCTTGGCTGGAATTGAATTCAGCTCCAAGGGGTGTAGGTCGGAGCACGAAGAAGCTTCGAGCAATTTCATTGATGCTATGCGGGTCCTCTATATTGACGCGGGGTCTGAAAAAGAAGTAAATGATACCCTTTTCCATGATGTTGGATGAGACCATGCGTTCGCGTTCTTCTGATTTATGAACACCGGAGTCTATTCCTTGGGCATTCTTAATGGATGCATCGACCGGGATATGAGTGCCTGGCACATTTTCCATGATGGGGTTGACGGGCGTTGGTTTACATTCTGGTAGGTCCTTGCATTCTGAAGGCGGGTTGGCGAAAGATCCGAGCTGATGAGCGGGAGGAAATGATTGATCGATAGGAGCACTTGTTCCAGGAATACTATCTCTCTGCATCCTTTGCTCAAAATTGTGGTTTTCTTCCGGGAATCGACCAACTGAAGGGCCAGCAGTATGCTCTGGCTTTGGCTCTTCATACTGAATGTCTCTCTGTTTGTTCGGCGACATGGGCTTTCCGCTGGAGGCTTTACGCTTTGCACCACCGGAGTCTTTGCTGGAAGAAGATCCTTCGGCAAAGCTGGTAATTGCTTCTTTGGCCTTCAAAGCCGCCTGTCGTGCCGATGCTCGAGTTGCCATGATGGATTGCCACGACTTATTCTCATGCAAGGTGAATTGAATACTGTTGAATGATATCAATTGATTCATGCGAAGATCAAAAGCGATTCATGTGTCTCCAGCCCTGGAGGTGACATACATGTTGCTTGGAACCTCATGAGATATATGTGACGTCATTTTGTTAACTTCACACCTGGCGTACATCTCGCGTAGTTCGCTCCTTTTGGCCAGCAAGGAGTGAGAGTGATTGGATGTCCTACCTGGCCAATTGAATTTTCTGATGATCCAAGGATCAATCCATATCCATTTCGTCGGTAATAGCAAACTCTTCTTGCATACAATCTGCGCTGTCATCCGGCGACGGTAAGTCGGAGCTTGAGCTCGAGCTGACTTGAGTATCCCGAAAGTCGTATAAAGATAACATCGGAGTTACTTGGGTCGACTCATCGATGACCTTGTTACGTTTCTGCCGTTGTTTCGGGCTTGACCCAGGAGCAGATGCTGGCCTGTCGCCAGATTTGACCTGTGGCATGGGACGATGATTCTGGTATCGGGATTCGTGCTCAGCCGCCAGGAAACTAGGGTTTCTTCGTTTATGCCCTCTTTGTTGAAGATCGAACAAAGGGTTTGGGTTAAGATCTTCGGTTCTTTCATTACCAGAATCATCCATACTATGCATCAGATCGCGCTGCCATCTCTCGAGGTCATCTGGGAGAGATAACAACTCTACTCTTTGAGCTGCAACATTTAGGTCCTCATCCGGCTCCTCGATATCATAAGGCCGGTATGTCTTGACATGGGGCGTTTCTGATGACATCGTGAGGTTGTTGTCCGTGGGTGTTGGCGGATCCGAGCCGTTCAAACTATATCCACTGCTGTCCGTTGCAGCGCCGGATGTCCTCCACGTCTCAGCAAACCCCGTCGGGGTTTTTGATTCAGTGAGCTTAGAAGTAGCTTCAAAGTCATTCCTTTCAGACCCCGACTCATGTATCATTTTACCCATAAAAACGAAGCTATACCAACGTATACTAATATGTAACTCAATCCGCCACAGGTCGGGGAAGTATCACGTCACCGGTGGCTCAGGGTGTTGATGTTCACGGTATATGTCATAAGAGGCAAACGAGGAAGAAATCTGAGTCCATGTAGATCAAGTGTAAAGAGCGTTGTATCACAGGAATCAGTTTGATTGAAGCTGTATGCTAGAGTTGCGATTATAAAGGCCTGATTGTCACGACTTGGTATTCCAGATGTTTCTAGCAGCGGGGAGATGTATCGACCCCGGACCACGGATATAGAACTACCAAAAACACGTAACTGCTAGTACGGAAGTCAAGGCGCCCAAATGAGTTTCAAATCTGTTTAAAAATAAATAAAACTGCGAGTAGACATAATCTGAATGAAGATTCAAGCTGTAGTTTTGTAGCACGTAGAAACATAGATTGAAGGTCCAAGACCCTTCCCCCTGACTACTCACCGCCCGGGAGCATGATTGGCCACGGCCATTCGCTTACTCAATAAGTCCACGTTTAGTTTACCTTGCTACTCTTGCTACGCTCCATAGGTATCCAACCACCGTTGCGCCTTGCCCTCTTCTAACTACTGGCGAGTGGATGCACTGGTTGGCCGGTATGTCTTGACATGGGGCGTTTCTGATGACATCGTGAGGTTGTTGTCCGTGGGTGTTGGCGGATCCGAGCCGTTCAAACTATATCCACTGCTGTCCGTTGCAGCGCCGGATGTCCTCCACGTCTCAGCAAACCCCGTCGGGGTTTTTGATTCAGTGAGCTTAGAAGTAGCTTCAAAGTCATTCCTTTCAGACCCCGACTCATGTATCATTTTACCCATAAAAACGAAGCTATACCAACGTATACTAATATGTAACTCAATCCGCCACAGGTCGGGGAAGTATCACGTCACCGGTGGCTCAGGGTGTTGATGTTCACGGTATATGTCATAAGAGGCAAACGAGGAAGAAATCTGAGTCCATGTAGATCAAGTGTAAAGAGCGTTGTATCACAGGAATCAGTTTGATTGAAGCTGTATGCTAGAGTTGCGATTATAAAGGCCTGATTGTCACGACTTGGTATTCCAGATGTTTCTAGCAGCGGGGAGATGTATCGACCCCGGACCACGGATATAGAACTACCAAAAACACGTAACTGCTAGTACGGAAGTCAAGGCGCCCAAATGAGTTTCAAATCTGTTTAAAAATAAATAAAACTGCGAGTAGACATAATCTGAATGAAGATTCAAGCTGTAGTTTTGTAGCACGTAGAAACATAGATTGAAGGTCCAAGACCCTTCCCCCTGACTACTCACCGCCCGGGAGCATGATTGGCCACGGCCATTCGCTTACTCAATAAGTCCACGTTTAGTTTACCTTGCTACTCTTGCTACGCTCCATAGGTATCCAACCACCGTTGCGCCTTGCCCTCTTCTAACTACTGGCGAGTGGATGCACTGGTTGATTCTGTAATTTAATCCGCTTCAAGTGTGCGGAGCTTGCGGTTTAGTGCGGCTCCGGCCAACTCATCAACATGCAGTCTTCCCCAAACATGCTCACCAAGGTAACACCCCTCGATCTCGCCGACGGCGCAGCTTAATCGGACTTTGTCTGGTTCACCTAGGTTCAATTGCAACAACTGACTTTCTTTGGTCATATAGTTTGAGTCGAAATCCTCCAGAGCGAAGGGAATCGCATTCCACCCTACACGGTCAGTTCCTTCCGCGGGGACACCTACACATGTACACAAGCTGGAGACCATTAGCTAACTTTTGTTACCAGACCATGGATTCTCGTATCGCTTCATTCCTCCACAATCCAGCTTTGGGACTACCGCATGGGAACTCTCATTGACCGATTCGAAGAACACGATGGACCAGTGCGCGGTGTCGACTTCCACCCTACTCAACCCCTGTTTGTGTCCGGAGGTGATGATTACAAGATTAAGGTCTGGAACTACCAGACCCGGAGGTGTCTATTCACATTGAACGGCCACTTGGATTATGTGCGCACCGTTTTCTTCCACCCCGAACTCCCCTGGATTCTGTCGGCGTCCGATGACCAGACCATTCGAATCTGGAACTGGCAGAACCGGTCCTTGAGTGAGTGATGATCAACATATCCCTCTTGGCCACGACTTATACTAATATCAATGCTCTATAGTCTGTACAATGACCGGTCACAACCACTATGTTATGTGTGCCCAGTTCCCCCCCCACCGAAGACCTCATTGCCTCCGCGTCGCTCGATCAGTCAGTCCGTATTTGGGACATCTCCGGCCTGCGCAAGAAGCACTCCGCCCCGACCTCGATTTCGTTCGAGGACCAGATGGCACGAGCCAACCCCAACCAAGCAGATATGTTCGGTAACACAGACGCCATTGTCAAGTTTGTATTGGAAGGTCATGACCGTGGAGTCAACTGGGTGTCTTTCCACCCAACATTGCCATTGATCGTTTCAGCAGGTGATGATCGCCTAATCAAGCTTTGGCGAATGAGCGGTACGCTTCTCCCCCATTTTACAATAAACTAGGTTTGAACCTATCTGATTTACTGAACCTTCATAGACACCAAGGCTTGGGAAGTTGACACCTGCCGCGGCCACTTCCAGAACGCCTCCGCCGCTTTGTTCCACCCTCACCAGGACCTCATCCTCTCCGTCGGCGAAGACAAGACGATTCGCGTATGGGATCTGAATAAGCGGACCTCCGTGCAATCGTTCAAACGGGATGTGGACCGATTCTGGGTTGTTGCGGCGCACCCCAAGATCAACCTGTTTGCCGCGGGTCATGATACTGGTGTGATGGTATTCAAGCTTGAACGGGAGCGACCCGCCTCGGCTGTTTACCAGAACCAGCTCTTCTATATCACCAAGGAAAAGCATGTGAAGTCATACGACTTCGCTAAGAATGTCGAGTCTCCCCCAATGCTGTCATTGCGCAAGCTCGGCTCCCCATGGATTCCCCCACGAACTGTCTCTTACAACCCTGCCGAACGTGCCATTCTCGTCACATCTCCCGCCGACAGTGGAACATACGAGTTAATTCACCTCCCTCGCGATGCCACTGGTGCTGTCGAGCCCACCGACGTGAAGCGTGGACAGGCTACTTCTGCTGTTTTCGTTGCTCGTAACCGTTTCGCAGTCTTCAACCCTTCAACCCAACAGGTTGACATTAAGGACCTTAGCAACTCGACTACTAAGACAATTAAGCCCCCCGCTGGTACTACAGATATTTACTTCGGCGGCACTGGTTGTCTCCTCTTTATTACTCCCACGACTGTCGTCCTTTTCGATATCCAGCAAAAGAAGCAGCTCGCTGAGGTGACCGTCAGTGGTGTGAAATACGTTGTTTGGTCCAATGATGGTCTCTATTGTGCCCTTCTCAGCAAGCACAACGTTACTATTACCACCAAGACCCTAGAGCAGGTTAGCACTTTGCATGAGACCATCCGAATTAAGAGCGCTACCTGGGACGATGCTGGTGTGCTCATTTACTCCACCTTGAACCACGTCAAGTATTCCTTACTCAACGGTGATAATGGAATTATTCGTACTCTGGACCAGACTGTCTACCTTGTCCGGGTTAAGGGCCGCAGCGTTTACTGCCTTGACCGTAACGCTCAGCCTCGAGTTCTCGAGATTGATCCTACCGAGTACCGCTTCAAGCTTGCCTTGGTCAAGCGTAACTACGATGAGATGCTGCAGATCATCAAGACTTCTAGCTTGGTTGGCCAGAGCATCATCTCATACCTGCAAAAGAAGGGCTACCCCGAGATCGCTCTTCAGTTCGTCCAAGACCCGCAAACTCGCTTCGACTTGGCCCTTGAGTGTGGAAACCTGGAGGTTGCTACTGAGATGGCTCGCGAGCTGGATCGCCCTAACTTTTGGAATCGCCTTGGTGCTGAAGCACTGGCTCACGGTAACCACCAGACCGTTGAAATGACCTACCAGAAGCAGCGGAACTTTGACAAGCTTTCCTTCCTCTACTTGGCTACTGGTGACCAGGAGAAGCTTTCACGAATGGCCAAGATCGCCGAGCACCGTGGTGATTTCACCTCCCGCTTCCAGAACGCTATCTACCGAGGAGATGTTGAAGACCGAATCCAGATGTTCAAGGAAGTTGACCAATGTATGTTCCCAATACCCTTCTCACCATATGATTATATCTGTACTAATGAGTCCCAGATCCCCTGGCTTATCTCACTGCCAAGTCTAACGGCCTGACTGAAGAGGCTGAGTCTATCCTGGAAGCCTGCGGTCTTACTGAGGATCAGATTAGCCTGCCCTCGCTACAACAACCTCTCAATGTTCCCCATCCTATTGTCCCTACCTTCAAGTCCAAGTGGCCTGTTAAGGCTGCGGGTCACTCTTCATTTGAGAAGGCTCTTCTTGGAGAGGTCGGTGCTGCTGATGAGGAGGACGCTGGTGATGCCTACGAGTTTGATGAGGCTGAGCCGGAGGCCGTTCTTGCCAAGGATACTTTGGAAGACGAGGAAGAAGATGCTTCTGGATGGGATATGGGTGATGATATTAATGTGGAGGAGGATGTCGAGTTTGTCAATGTGGAAAGCGCTGAGACTGGCGCTGGCAGTTCTGAGGCGGATATCTGGGCGCGCAACTCCCCGCTGGCGGCTGATCATGTTGCGGCCGGTTCATTCGACACTGCCATGCAGCTTCTGAACCGACAGGTCGGTGCTGTTCAGTTCGCACCTCTGAAGGATCGATTCCTCGAGGTCTTCAAGGCATCCAAGACCTACCTCCCTGCCAGTATTGGGTTGCCGCCTCTTATCAACTATGTCCGCAGAACGACCGAAGAGACAGATAGCCGCAAGGTTCTCCCCATTATCCCGCGCGATCTGGAGCAAATCGCTAGCGTTGAGCTCCAAGAGGGTTACAACGCCATGCGTGCCAACAAGCTGGAAGAAGGTGTGAAGATTTTCAAGAATATCCTGCATACTCTCCTGGTCAACACTGTCTCTTCTGAGGCCGATGTCGAGCAGGCAAAGAAGATTATCTCCACAGCTCGCGAGTACATTCTTGCTATGTCTATTGAGCTGGAGCGTCGTACTGTCGCCACTGATTCCGATGCTGGCCTCAAGCGCAGTCTCGAGCTGTCGGCTTACTTCACCATCCCCAAGCTGGAGGTGGCTCACCGTCAACTAGCACTCATGGCTGCGATGAAGTTTTCCTTTGCCAACAAGAACTACAACTCTGCCTTGGGCTTCGCCAACCGTATGCTGGCTAATGGTGGATCCGCTAAGCTTCTGGAGCAGGCCCGTAAGATCAAGGCGCAGTGTGAGCGTAACCCATCAGACGCGATCGATATTGAGTTTGATCAATTCGCCGAGTTTGATATCTGCGCTGCCTCTTACACTCCTATCTTCAGCGGCTCCCCATGTGTCACTGACCCCTTCACCGGCGCCAAATACCACGAACAGTACAAGGGAAGCGTCTGCCGGGTATCCGATGTCACTGAGATCGGTGCTCCGGCTAGTGGTCTGCGTCTGTTTGTCCCTGGACAATACTAAATGCAGCATTACGAAGTTTGACGGTTTCCCTCTCGCTTTTTTCTTCTCCTGACATGAAGGTATAAAATGGGCTTGTTTTTTCATCTTCTTGCACATGGAGGAAGTTGTGTGTTTGGCGTCGATTCTGCGAGACAAAATATCTCCTTTCACACCCTGTCTAGATGTCTTGTACCCGAGATTTTAATTGTTTAGCGGTTTTCATTCAATTTATGCCACGTTATTCTTTCATGATATTTTTTGAACTAGCATACTCTACACTTCTATTTTACCGTAGTATGAATAAGAGTTCAAGTTGACCCAAGGCGCGGCTTCTATTCGAAAGTAGTTTACAATAAATTACAAGTCTATCAAGTGCTCCAAAATGCATATCATATCGTACAAAAGGGGAGATATCCAAAGCCAGGAGTAGAGATTCAAGAGCTCAACTCTCACAACCATCCATAATATCAGACTTCGTAACAGGATCCAGTGCGAGAAAGTAGTCGAACAGATCCCATTCTTCAAGTCCAGTATATCAGAACTCAATCACACCGACCATCCTTCCAACCAGTGCGCCACCTCTCCTCCCAGAACCGACAATCAAACTCCTTCTTCCCTAACTTCCGATTCACCTCATTATGCGCCTCACACATCCACCACCCAAACTCCTTCCGTCCACTCAACTTCGGCTGATTACGTCCACTGGGGTGAGCCATCCATGTCTTGAAATCATCCGCACAAACCCAGCACGGGTACAATCGTGAGAAGAATTTCAAGAATCCCTGCATATCGTTCTGTTGCTGAATATCCGCTTTCTCGGGGTACGTCGCAGCCATTGTGTGCAAGAGTGTCCAGGTTGAGCGACCCAGCTCCTCCACATCGGGTGGACATTCCGCTGGTGTGGATGGCGCAGCTGGTGAAGCGGCAGCAGCTAGGGGAGTTGTAGCTGTAGTCATTTTGTCGGTTGAGGAGGATAGAGGAGATGTATCTGAGGGTGCGGCGGACTCGGCTTTTGCTTGTTTAGTCAGGGCGCGCCATGAGGCGACGGAGGTACAGGTTCGGCAGCTGGTAATTACAATGTTAGTAATGATTCATCTGTCATGCCCAATGGACCGTGACTTGGTGGAAGGGGAGTAGGTTGGATTCTTACGGCTTGCCATCTTTGTCCAGGACTACGCCTTTTGGTAAAGGCGCTTTTGTGTCATCTTGCGACTCCTTTGCAGGGACTTGGTTAAAAAGAGAGGATGTCCCTTTGAATTGGGAAGTGAATCGCTCTGGAGGAACTTCGGCCATTTCTTCCGATGTGAGGTTCAAGTGTGGTTTAAGTTGTCCTTGCGGAGGGAAAAGTGGTAAGTTCAACTTGATTTCTAATTCGGTTGGAGCCGGAGCCGCGGCGCGGCTTTCAGGTACAATCGAAGCCAGCCTAAACTGACCAGTTGACCACCATATCCATGAATAACTTGAACTATACTAGGTATCGATATTTTCAAATTCCATATGTCTAAGCAAGTGCTATTCATTCAGAATCCCGAGGTAGAAAATTGGATTTTGGTAGTCTTGCCAGTGGATTCTTTTAACTTGGTTCATTGCTAAGGGCTCAGCACTTGAGGTCATCGACAAGTTTTCGAACAGTATTTCGAATTCAAGTTCTCATCATGGTATAGTATTTAACCAATTTTTAGTTCGTTCAAATTCAAAGCAGTGATGATTTTCGACAAACTTCCAAGGTTAGGTCACTACTACTTGCATAGACTTAGGCCAGAACTTGGTCTACACCTGTGCATAACTTGAGCTCCTACTGGCATTAACATTTGAATGAACATATGTAAGCTATCTTGCCACATCTGAGGTTCTTTCATTATGTCAATCATCAAGCTGATATTCATTATTTCAACTTGAAGTGTGCAAACTGCTATTTTGGCAGCAACATCAAATCGTGCAACCATGCACTGCGACCTAGCCAGATCACACTAGCAACGGCAAGCCAGTCATCTATCACCAAGGACTCTTCATCCGCAGGGTCCAGCAGCTCTGCTACCTGTTGGACTCCTCCAGGGGGTATCCAAGCTATTTAAGCGCTGGGGGATAGACCTCTTTTCCTACTTGGGTTCAAGTGGTTTTTCGAGTTTCCTCACAGTCTGGCAGAATACCCAAATTTACCAATAGACTAGATTTTTCTTTCATTCATTCTATCTAAATATTAGTATATCCCTCTTAATTCAGCCATCTCTTACTATAGATATCCCTGCTATGGTTGAAGAGCTCACTATTAAGAAGTTCACTATTGAGATAAAGCCAAAAATAACAAAGCTTGGATCAGACATCTCCAGGGCTGGAGCTCTTCCACAAGTACATTTCCATATCCCAATTGAACTGCTTCTATCCCAATGGAAATGCAAACATCCAAACTACGAACCTTGGAAGATACGTACTATGCAATGATCCATGGGCCTATTGCCGGGATTCCTTATTCGGCTTGAAGGCGAATCCATATATCTGGTTTTAGATAGTACTTTACTCAGATGTATCGATTTGAAGAAATCCCGCACCAAATGAACCTTGACATCTGTTGTTCAGCTTTACACTTAGTTTGGTAGAGCAATACCCAATTCTTGATTATATATGGTCGATCCCAGAAAAGGATGAGCTGAAAGTAGATGGCTGGGGAATAGCCAAGTTCTGATTTCTGTTTTGATACAATATCCCATATGTCATTCTTCAAGCCTAATACCAGTTGTTTGGGAGAGTTATAGTTTATAAGAAATAGGCCAGTCACAGACTCACAGATCTCCACAGTACGGGAATCAATCTCCAACCCGCGTGGTACCAAGCCATTCAACGGTTTAGCTTTCTGAGCCGCAAACGGAAGGGTAGAACGGGCTGAATTGTGGAATGACGAGCGATTTGGACAATTTGAAGCTGAAACTACAGCTACAGCTACAGGCTGACCCATACATTTGTCCTTCAAAACGCTGGTTACCTTTAGAGTCGATGGGTGTGGCATCTCTAGCCGTCTGGTAGGATCTTCAGACAATTCCAAGGTTAGGTTTGGTCCTAAGCTAACTTCCTACATGGGCAGATTTCTCCTAGGAAGAATAGTCTCTTCCATGGTTTATCATGAGCTTTATTCTGAGAGGATTGAAATGACGATTAAGCTGATCCACCATTTTTAGCTGCTGGAACTTCTTTTCATGTAAGGACATATCGATCAATTCTAGGGCCACGCAAAGCCAGCAATTTATTAGCAATTCCAATTATCTTGTCAACTCAGCTTCATAAATCGCAAAATCTTCTATTATGAAGAGTGGAGTGGCGAAATCTGAGCTCGAGCCATTCCCGACAGGCAAGCCATGGGAACAGTGGTCATGAGGCGCCGCATCATAGTACCATGCGAACGACATCCATAATTCAAGATCTGGATCCACAAGGTAAACCTAGATCATAGCTCTTGAACCTCTAAACAAACAAAATCACGACTGCAAGAGAAGGAAAAGCTATAAATTCATCCCCATTCAGCTGATATTCAATCTATTATTCCTCTTCATCTTCAACTTTCTCCGAAATCATCACAATTCATCTGAAACAATCTTCAAATTCTAATCCTCCAGTGAGGACCTGCTCAATTCAGAATCTTGAGTCCAACTCCTACTTCAATTGCGTCAGCTTAAACATTTGAACTAATTGTTATGAACACTCCAGACTTGCCATTATGCACTTCAAGTTCTCTTACTTGTCAATTGCCGCCCTAGTCGTAGCTGCCCTTGCAGCTCCTGTGGCTGAGGTAAAGCGTGACGTGAACAATAAAGACATCCTCATTGGTTTAAGTCTGGCTGGTAGTGCCAGTGTTACCAAGCGTGATGCTGCACCTGAGCACTATACCGTCAAAATTGGCCCTGATGGTGCTGTCAGCTTCGGAAAACGTGATACAGATGAAGCAGATCTCAGTATCAGCATAAATTCCCCGGCTGAAGCGAGTGTGTCTAAGCGAGACACAGATGAAGCAGATATCACTATCAGCATCAATGCCCCTGCTGGAGCGAGTGTGTCTAAGCGCGATACAGATGGAGAAGATCTGGATATTGGTGTTGATGCTGGTGGCAGTGTTACTATTACTACCTAGGCTCATCTAGTAGCTTTTGCTGCAAGGGAATCACTGCACTGACTGCCCTTCAGGTTTGACTTGATATTCTTGCCCCGTGATTCTATTTCCAAAAGGCCCGGTCTTTATGTGAGAACGATCGCATCTTATACCTTTATCTAATACTAAATAATCCAACATGAAGTTTTGAAACCTATTTAGCGCTCCGACACCTCAGGTGCCTAGAATCCTGGGGATCTCTGTATGAAACACAAGGCTCAATTTAAACATTGATGTCGTCAACCCGAACCAAGCAGGACTTCCATCTAGCTCCGAATCTTCAACTTATACAAGGTTGTAGTATCAGCTCAATCTATGACACCGGGACCCACTTGCACCCACTATTCCAACGTCGATCAACACGATCTGTCCCTTGATTGAGCAATTAATCGCCGCTGTTCCTGTCACGGTATTAATACTTCGAGTGACGTTTAAATAGGCCCCAGATTAAACTCCATTCAAGAAGAATGACGAGTTTTGGAGTGCACATATGTTGTTACAAAAGCGGCGACACTGCGATCTATGACGTGCAACATTCAGGTACGGTCACCCTCAGGCTAAATTTCATATTCTGCATGTTCCGAGTCTGCGGCTTGAGAGATAAAGAGTGGTGAACATTTGTCTTACTTCCAGATATCTGACCTACAGAAGTGCCAGTACTACTGTCTTATAAAGATCCAATACAAGGTATTTCATCCGAACTGCTACCCCTGTTCCTCAACCCCATTAACTAAAGATAATCAGATCCCTCAACATGCAATACTCAATCTTTGCTCTTGTCATCTCTCTGGTCGCTACTATTATTGCAGCACCAGCGCCTAAAGATGAGGAAATCGTGAATGTCGGTGATATCATCGCCGTTAAACGTGACCCAGCTCCCGAGCAGAATGTGGGAGTGAGCAGCCCTGGTGGCATTACTGTTGGCAGTATTCTGAAGCGCGAGGAGACTGCAGAGGAGGATATCCTCCCTGACATTCTTCAAGTTGCCCCAGTCAATATCTAACGTTGCGGTGAAATGAGTCAGGTAATTTTGATAGGCGGCTTGTTTTATCATTGACTGATCTGGCTTCAGGATTTTTCTATTTGTCAATGTACTGGAATAATGACTAGCGATTTGAAGACTGGATTGATCCGGTCAACCTCTAGAGCTATAGATTTGGTGGTTCTGCGGTTTTGTCCTCGGACTGAAGTGGTTTAGTGCCAGTGGCAGTCAAGATCAGGCGCCTGAGATGATATTCAAATGTTGAATTACTGCAATTAATACTTTCCCATTATTCAAACGAATCCTTATAAATGGTTGAATCCCTCCATTTTTTGTACAAACTAATGTGATGCATCTACCAGTATGGGACCAAAACTACATTAGCCGCATTTTACCTCTTCATCTATTTCATCACGCTTTAATCATCATAGCTACCCTTTGAGTTCCGTTATTCCAATCAGAAATCCCAGGGACTTCAGACTTTCCGGCGTATACAGCCCATCTGAACGATATGGAGTCCGCAAATCTACCCTATACCCAGAAAACGCCCCTCAACACTGTTTGGCGCGATAATGCCGACCCCGCGATTTACGAAGCAGCAAGGACCAGTCGACTATTCAACGCTCAAAAGCCAACCCAATATCCAATAGCCATCGCTTTTGTGAAAGACGCATCCGAAGTAGTTGATGTGATACAACTTGCTATTCAGCTGAGCTGTCGGATCTCAGTCCGTGCCGGCGGACACAGTTACGCGAGCTGGAGTGTTCGAGATGAGGCCATTCTCATAGATATGGGGGATTTTTCTGAGAATCCATCTCTCGATGAAGCAACTGGAATAGTCAGTATACCACCTAGTATTATGGGAAAGGACTTGATCGAATATCTCGACGCAAAAGGACGGGTCTGCTCGGTCGGACATTGCCCGGACGTTGGGCTCGGAGGATTTCTTCTTGGAGGGGGTATGGGCTGGAATTGCAATGTGAGTCTCTCTACTCAAGGTTTTAACTTTTATGCTCAATGGCTAAAAGAGAGAAAGAACTGGGGATGGGCGTGTGAGCAGGTGGTTGCTATAGATGTTGTCACTGCAGATGGTCAGTTCATTCGTTCGGATATCCAGCAGCACAGTGACCTATTTTGGGCGGCAAGGGGGGCTGGGCCAGCATTCCCAGGTGTCGTCACTCGCTTTTACCTCAAAACGAAACCAGCGATAAAGTCCATGTTTTCCTCCGGCTATGTTTACCCCATACGAAGCTATAGGACCAGTCTACAATGGGCAGCGACGGTAATATTCAAACATAGCAGGGTCGTTTCGCGCGATGGTTGCTAATTCCATGATAGGTCTCTAGTTCGAATGATGGTATAGAGGTTCTGGCTATAGGTAGCTACTCTGCGGACTTGAAAGGGCCCTGTGTCACAGTCTCTATATTGGCATATGGTGACAATGACGACGATGCACGCGATGTTCTGCAGAAGATAGACGCTTCTCACCCTAATGGGGCCCTGCTTCAGTGGATTTGTGAGAAAACAAATATGCAGCAGCAGCTCGAGAAGTCAGGGCAATCATTTCCGAATAACCATCGCTATTACGTGGATAACCTATGGCTTGATGACAACATGGACTTCTCTCTGCTCGATCGAGCCTTCAATTCACTACCTACTAAGAATTCGCTACTTCTATGCCAGTCCATGTTTCCATGCAGTCAACGTGACCTTCCCGATATGGCTCTGAGTCTACAATCCAATCAATGGCTTGCAATGTATGCGATATGGGAAGAGGAAGCCGATGATTCGCGTTGCGAAACCGCGGTCCATGAAGCTATATCAGAGCTTCAGCAACACTCCAAGGGGTCGTACCTAGGAGAGCTTGACTTTAGAGCCAGGAGAGGCCATTATTGGGCAGATGATCAATACGAAAGACTCGTGTCAGTCAGGCGCAAGTGGGATCCTCTGAATAGGATTTGCGGCTGTCTCGGTTTAGAAGTATGATCGAACGGATAATCGAGATTATTTATCATCATTGTGCATCAAACTCTCTCTCAATCGTCAATACAAATTCAGCAATGTCGACTTATAGCTCATTTTTTCTTCCCTTTTCACAAACGGTAAGGTTTATATTGGCGGTATTTCTTCTGAATTTCGGGATCCTGATCGGATAACCAATTACTCAGTGGCTCTCGAAGACCCGACCATTTCGACATCAACGACAGGTCAAACACATTGTAACACGTTTCCGGATCGTGGATTGTTGGGTCTGCTCCTGCCCGTAGAAGCAATTCAACTGTGTCAAAGTTTTGACGATTACCCGCGGCGAAGACAGCAGTTGCACCTACACGTCCTCCTGGAGCATTGATATCAATATCCGGATCCACCTCAAGAAGCATATTGATAACCGAGTTCATGCCCCAGGATGCTGCATAATACAAGGGATGGGTCGCCGCAATAGTGGCTTCGTTAACCGTGGGCATCAGGGTCTGCATCCAAGCACCAAAGTTCCCTTGTCGGGGGAGATGTCTGGTATCGAAAAATTTCTTTACTAGGCTTCTCTCCACATCTCCAATCTTGACAACTGCAGCATATTTAGGCCATGTAAAGGCTGCATAGTGAAGACCCTTATATCTTTTGAACCTTGTGTATACATCGCTTTTGGGCGCGTATCCGCATTTGAAGTTATGGAGGCAAAGATAGGTGAGGCACTTTCGCATCATTATGGCATTGGCAGTAGTCGGATCCAGACTGAAGTAGCTCACGCGTGAAGACTTGATCCAATCGGATGTGAGGAAGTCTTTGATGGATGAGTGCGCGAGCGTCACAAAGCCAGACTTATCCTGTGCAATGAAGCCTTGACAGAGGTCGAGAAGAATATGAGGTGGGACCAGCATCATGTCTTCGTCCAGAGTGGAACATTCCTCATCTATCACTACCGCCTCGTTAATCACCTCCAGTGTGAGATACCTGTTCGCGAAGACTTGATCTTGTGCAAAGCAAACCCAAAACAGAGCTTCGCGCACAAAATATCTGTCGTCTATAGAGACGCGCTCCAATGCGCTCGCATATATCTCCCGCAGAGTTCCTGGCAGGTTCTGGAGAGCTTGGCGCATTGCCCTTGCGGTTCTTTGAGTGCACAAGTTGTCCATAGAGAGCTGTGTCCAACGGAAGCTGTTCAAAAGTTAGTGATGAAATGAGAGACTGCGGCTATTACAACTCACGATCCATCGGCATCTTTCAGCAGCTTTTCTCGGATTTCAGACTTCAACTCTGGTTTCAGATCTCTCATGGTATCATCTGTCTCAACTCGGTGATTTATGTATGCTTGGATGTCGCCTGACATCATATCTGCGCTGATATTAAGCATGTCTGCCTTTGAGTCCTGCGGAAGAACCATTGTCGAACTTGTTGTGACCAAAACACGAATATTCGTCGCAAGCTCAGCGAATCTTAGGAGGGAGCTCTCAATGTTCCTTGGATCATGGCTTTCATTAATCGCGTCAATGAAAATTACCACCTGGGTTTGACCACTGGCATATTTAATAATGGCATCTTCGAGGACAGCAATGTCCACCGGGCGCTTGTGGGCCTGGGACTTGGGGATACTGTCATAAAGAGATCGGATATTGTCAAGAATCGATGCATCACTCCCTGATAATTGAGCTATCAACGATCCCAGAATATTGACCGGGATCTGAGACGCTGCATCGCTCATCGTGCAGTAAAAGTATGCGAAGCTGAGATTTGGATTTTGTGCGGCCATTAAGGTAAGTTCATCAACACATTGAGCACTAGAAGATCTCAGGATCAGCTATGTTGAAAAAAAAGCATAATTTCCTATAAATGAAATTATATCAACACTGCACTTACAATAAAGTGGTTTTTCCAGTACCAGCTGACAGTCTATTAGTATACATACTGCTTCAAATTCTTCGGGAGATATCAACTTACATTTCCCAACCAGAAAGAACATATTCCGTTTTCCATAGCGCAACCAGTGCTTGAGATGACTTCCAATAAACCATTTCCCCGATGCGATCTTTGATGCTTGAGTCGCTCGTAAATGGTAATTAGCCGGGCTGACAGGCGCCATCCATTGAAAAAGCTCCCGATTAGCGATCTGGATTCGTTCCCGTTCTCGAATTCTCATATCTTCTGTCAACGATCGAGCCAAATTTCCTATCTCCTGCTGCAGGTCTCGCTCGACAGCCGCATGATCTGCAGTCAGAACTAGAATCAACCATGACTTCACCCGTTCCAACCGGGTCAGATGAGCATTGACTTTCTCTTGAGTGAAAGGCCATTCCAGCTTCTGCTTAATATTTTTTAACTTTGACTCGGCCGGCTCAAGATCCTTCAATAACGAGTCGAGGAATTCTTTCGTTGTTTGTAATACTCGAATCATGACCTCCTCGTTGGATGGTATGGAACTCTCGGACTCGACTTCTTGATATGCCGGCGGCTCTAATGATTTCTGGGCTGATAAATGATCAAGGATTCCTCGCAATGCAAATAACTCTTCACTGAGTTTCCGCATATCGGATTTGGCGCCTTTCACATCCTTGCCATATTGGATTAAGCGGTTTACGATATCGCTGACATCCAGGATTAGACTGGTGATGGAGATTGGGTCCATGGCTATGCGTGAGACTGTTTATCACTTGACCGAGTTTCAGTGTGAGATATCAACCTCATGTATAGGTATTCCCTTATTTTATTAGATTTCCGATTAGGCCTGTCAGCATTCGAACTCGCTAAGATCAGCCATGAAGGCGGGGTAAGTAGAGGGTCCACTTTCAGCCCTAGAGTCTCACATGTGCACGAATACGATGATATGCGTCTGTGATTGGGAGGGTTTGACAGATATCAGATAACGCATTTAGGAAATACAACAAAGAGTCATGTTCTTTCGACTCGGGGTCTATTCCGATAGCACAAAATGTGTGCCGAGAACCCCGGGATAGTAAGCTCTTGTCTATCCAAATACTTTAATTTCGCGCCTCCAGTGCCTGAAACTATGTACTGGTTTAATCGTACCACTTGCAACTGGGCAGTACATTCCTTCACATATATCTACCAACCTGGGAGAGTCCATTCGATTTCCTATTACTACCCGTGCACAACTGGGATGAGAGACTCGGGGGATTTATACTCCGTAGTAATCTCCAAGGTTGTACATAACTCCAAGCTGAAATGACTTGGAGTTCAAACTTGGAAGTTGAGAGCTACACTACTACTAGTGTACCTAGTAATAAATCTGCCTCCTGCCAGTGGAGCAAATAAGTAAGAATCTTGGACATTTACTTAGATGTTACCAGTTCAAATGCCCAGGTGTTGACGGTGTTGTATCCGATGTCATACTACTAATAGCCTATAGGTATTCCAAGGTTACCTACTCCAGATGTCACTGCCACCAAGATAGAATCCAGGTCTAGCGAAATTTATCATCTGGGCATCATGATGGTCATCTCAACCCAAGGTGGGAATAGTTCGAAAATGGTAGGGCATTCAAATTCACTGAATTCAAGTTGATCTTGTAGTACGGACCCAGAGCCTATGTTAGTAATTAATAGTATCCGTGCCCAGGTCCACGGGTGATCTGGATATACATTTGAATACTCGGGGATTCATGATTCAACTTGATAAAATCCAGGTGTAATACCACTCTAGAGATGTTATTGAATAGTGAAATTCAAATTAAATCCAAGATATTCTCATTCAAGCATAATAGATCTTCCAAACATTCAATTCGCATCGATGTATAGAGTACTCCGTACTCCGTACATACAAGGTTAATGGGTTCCGCAGCAAACGCGTGCCGATCAGCTTTGTCATCCTAATATTGAAACTCAACGCGACCAGACGTGTCGAATTTCTGATCCTTTGATTTTTTGATCAATGACACTTTGAAGGAGACCATATGATTTGTCTCTGATGAATATTCTCTGATCAATACACTTTCCGCTCTCGAACCCGATCCACCAGAGCACCTTCCAGACAAGACACGCGCCATTGACGACCCATAAACGAAGCGTACACTCCACCGTGAACATGGCACCAAAATACAAAATCCCCGACTCTGATTCAGAGTCAGAGCCAGAGCTAGACACCGTTTCCGTTCCATCAGATCAAACAATTGAAAAAGGATTGCGCGATGAAGTGGCGGGCATATTCAAGACGGGCAACATGGAGGAATTAACCGTGAAACGGGTCAGACTCGCGGCGGAGAAGAAGCTCGGTATTACAGAGGGGTACTTCAAACAGACAGGAAATTGGAAGGCAAGAAGCGAGGAAATTATCAAAAGTGAAGTGGTAAGATTTTGATCTTCACTGATTCATGACTATGCATGCGCTGGTCTAGATTGGGACTGACGCAGTTTGAATGCAGGAATTACAAGAGAATGCCGAGCAAAGCGATGCTGCATCAGCTGAAAAATCACCATCTCCTCCACCGCAACCGAAGAAAGCTGCTCCAGCCAAGCGACCCAAGGGAACCAGTGCACCCAAACCGAGAAAGCGCCAAAAGACACAAACCCCAGAGGATGAGGAACCCGAATTGGCTAGCGATGCGAGTGAAGAGGTTACGCAGCCGAAGAAACGCGGAACATCATCCGCCAGTGACAAGCCAGAGAATACTACAGAGGAGACGATGGAAGACGCCGAAGCTCAAAACGGAGCTGATCCAGCCGAACCAACGGAAACCACCAAAGAAGACTCAGAGAGCGAGATGTCTGTAGTTCTGGATGAAGAGCCCAAGCCCAAGGCTGTACGCAAGCGAAAAAGCACGGAGGCACCCAAAAAAGAGAAGAAGCAACCTGCATCAAAACCCAAACCCAAAGATCAGGATCAAGATCCTGACCAGGCAGAGATCAAGCGATTACAAGGATGGCTGGTAAAATGCGGTATTCGGAAGATGTGGTTTCGAGAGTTGGCACCGTACGATACTGCCAGGGCAAAGATCAAACATCTGAAGGGGATGTTGGAGGGCGCTGGTATGACGGGCCGTTACTCGCAGGAGAAGGCCAATAAGATTCGCGATGAGCGTGAGCTTAAGGCCGACTTGGAAATGATCCAGCAAGGCGCAAAAGATTGGGGAACTGTGAGCGGAGATGAGGGCGAAGGGCCACCTCCACGACGTGCTGCGCGAGGCCGACAGGCACTGGCATTCCTAGACAGTGATGGTGAAGAAACCGATTGATCATCGAAAGCCGGACGCTGGATTTTGAACCAGGCGAGCTTTGATTAATCATTGTATCCAATAATGAGCCATTCTAAATGTATTTTTATCCATTGAATCCCTTTTGAAGCAGCTCGTCGGTATTCAGCTTGTGTATGTAGAGCTGCGTCACCGGCCGGCCTTGGGCCCACTCATGCGTTGAGCTGCCAAACTGAAGATAGCGACGGATGAGATGAAAAGCACCAGATTGTAGAACTGCTCTATATCATTAGAGACTGCTTCCTCCATAAAACTAGGGATATATTATGAGGGAAAGAATGTACCGCTGTCCGAGAGTATTCGTTCTCTTCGACCTCTGTTCGGGCCTCGACGAAGAGCCGCCGCAAGTTAGGGAGATTGGCCTGAAGATATGTTAGAATTGATATAAATAAAGATATAGAGCACCTTATACCATCTGAGCGCAATAGAAATGAGGAGGATGAGAATTAGAAGAAGAAAAAGGAATATAAAGCCGGGAGTACGGAGGTTAGAGCATAAAGCGGGAGAGAGTCCAGATCCCATTTGTGGACAACTTTTGATCGCCCAAACACCCTTTCTCTCCCTCTTCCCTTCGTCACGCCTCATCTCTCCCCCACGAATCGCCTTTTTCCTTTCCCTTTATCCTCCGACATTGAATGTTTTGAGACGGGGGAAATGGTATAGGTCTTGTTTCCGACCTCCGTTTTCCTATCCTCGATATCGCGCGACCGGTGAGAGTTCGCGATTCCCCGCAGTCTCCCAAGTACTCGACCACCAGTCTCCGTTCCCCGAACCCTTTGGCGGAAACACGACAAAGCCGTGGCGGAAGCTATTAATCCTTCACCATGGCGATGAACAAGATTCGCGGCGCCTTTGCGGTGCCTAGAAAAGGAGAGACATTTGAATTGCGAGCTGGCCTTGTGTATGGAATCACACCCCTCCGAGTACAAGTGGCCACTGAGCCATAAAAAATACCCGTTTATACTAACAGTGAGAATAGCTCCCAGTATGCCTACGAACGGTATGTGGCTCGGAAATCTAGCAGATATAAGGGAACAGCAGATAGACAATTGGGGTGGCGTGGCTGACATTCGCATAGGAAAGAGTCAATTCAGAAGACAATTATGGCCATGACGCTAGGAAAGGACGTATCTGCTCTCTTCCCCGATGTGCTGAAGAATATCGCAACGGCCGATTTGGAGCAGAAGAAGCTGGTCTACCTGTACCTCATGTGGGTATTCCCCGGACTTTTAAGGGGGACCGCATATGCTGACCACCACTCGAAACGATTAGGAACTACGCTAAATCACACCCCGACCTTTGCATCCTCGCCGTGAACACGTTCGTCCAGGATTCGGAAGATCCAAACCCATTGATTCGAGCTCTTGCTATTCGTACTATGGGTTGTATTCGGGTGGAGAAGATGGTGGATTACATGGAGGAACCGCTGCGCAAGACCCTCCGAGACGAGTCGCCATACGTCCGTAAAACAGCTGCTATCTGTGTGGCTAAGCTTTTTGATCTGAACTCCAGCTTGTGTCTTGAGAACGGATTCCTGGAGATGCTGCAGGAGATGATCGGAGATCCCAACCCGATGGTTGTGGCCAACTCAGTGACCGCACTTTCGGAAATTAGCCATACTGCGCCCGAGACTAAAGCTCTCCAGGTCACCCCCAACACATTGCGCAAGATGCTCATGGCATTGAATGAATGCACAGAATGGGGCCGTGTGACTATCCTCTCGACACTGGCTGAGTACCGGGCAGCGGACATCAAGGAGTCGGAGCACATTTGTGAGAGGGTTTCGCCTCAGTTCCAGCATGTGAACGCTAGTGTCGTTTTGGCGGCAGTCAAGGTTGTGTTCTTGCACATGAAATACGTTGGCCCAGAGCTGGCGAAGACATATCTTAAGAAAATGGCTCCTCCGCTTGGTACGCTGTATTCCCAAAGCTTTGGATATCTCAACTTGAGCTAACAAGAAATAGTAACACTGGTATCCTCCGCACCTGAGGTTCAATATGTGGCTTTGAGAAATATTGATCTCCTGCTGCAGAAGCAGCCAGACATTCTGAATAAGGAGCTACGTGTCTTCTTCTGCAAATACAACGACCCGCCATATGTCAAGTTCCAAAAATTAGAGATCATGGTGCGAATTGCGAATGACAAGAACGTTGACCAGCTCTTGGCGGAGTTGAAGGAGTACGCTATGGAAGTTGATATGGACTTTGTCCGGCGCGCGGTCAAAGCGATTGGCCAGGTTGCCATTAAGATCGAGAGCGCCAGCGAGAAATGCGTGAACACGCTATTGGATTTGATTAACCTGAAGGTGAACTATGTCGTTCAGGAGGCCATCGTTGTTATCCGTGATATTTTCCGCAAGTACCCAGGTTACGAGGGTATCATTCCAACTCTGTGTCAATGCATTGACGAGTTGGATGAGCCTAATGCTCGGGCTGCCTTGATTTGGATCGTTGGAGAGTACGCTGAGAAGATCAGCAATGCTGGTGATATTCTAGGTGGCTTTGTGGATGGATTCAACGAAGAATTTTCTCAGGTTCGTTCGCGTATCATTCTGATTTGGAGGCAACTTCATACTGACTACCTCCCTAGACTCAATTACAGATCCTCACCTCCGTCGTCAAGCTCTTCCTCAAGCGGCCTGAGAAGGCCCAAGGCCTGGTCCAGCGTGTTCTTCAAGCAGCCACCGCGGAAAATGACAACCCAGATGTTCGGGACCGAGCTTACATTTACTGGCGTCTCCTTTCCAATACAAGCGATCAGGATGCCACTAAGAGCATTGTTCTTTCAGACAAGCCCCCCATTGTTACAACCACCTCCTCATTACCACCTGCCCTTCTCGAGCGACTCCTCCAGGAGCTGTCCACTCTATCATCCGTCTACCACAAGCCTCCAGAGCAGTTTGTCGGACAAGGTCGCTTTGGTGCGGATGCCGTTCAGCAAGCCGCTATCGAGTACGTATTTATTTTTATCAATTTGGAAGAAATCACCCATACTAATGCATTTGATAGGGAACAACGTGAGAACGCTCGCGAGAACCCACTGGCTGCTGCTGCCGCTGCTGCCGTCAGCGGTACTACACCTACTGCGCAGGCGCAAAACAACGTCGAGAACTTGCTGGACATCGATTTCGACGGTGGCGCCCCCGCATCTGCGCACAAGAACGAGTCTGGCGGTATGTCCGGCTTAGAGGGCCTTGCCGGTACTCCCGTGCGGGTCCAGTCCCCAGCAGTTGGAGCTCCTGCCCCCGCTCCGGCAGGCAACAACAACTTGGATGACTTGCTCGGCGTGTTCGGTGACTCCGGCCCATCTCAGCCCCCGTCAAGCGGTGCTGGTGATTTGATGAATGGCTTCTCTGGTCTTGATCTGTCCGGTAGCACATCTCCGGCGAACAACAATCAGCCCAAGAAGACTAACGAGGACATCATGTCTCTCTTCTAGGTGGTTGTTATCGGGTATAGCGTTGCCAGCTAACTGTAGAGGCTGGTTCTTTTTTTATATCCCATGTTTCGCAAGCGATGATCTGGACAGATGAGATAGAATATTTGATTTTTTTTTCTACATGTTTAATTTTTTTCTTCTCTTTATTCCGCATTCACATCCTGCCGCAAAAGGCTCATGTACATCTTTCTATCCTGGAAAAAATGGTTCCCACTGACAGGTAGTTCACTTTTACATGTATCTGATAACAATTGTCATGATACTTGCTTCCAGATGACCATCCCAATGACCAGCATCTGAATACTAAGTACAGCTATACAGTACTCACGGCCACTGCTATCGCTATTCTTTTTGCTTTTTGGTCCTTTCTCGTATTTCTGCGCTTAGATAGTGGTATTTCTTGATGACTAATTAGATCCAGGTACCTACCCTACCTACCTAGGTACCTCCAGCCCTGGAGGGCTCCAGGGCTAGGATCAGATACTAGTATCATGATACTTGGTGAGCACTAAAGCGGAAATGGAAGTTGAAAAAAGTCCTGGGATTTCCTGACAATATGATATTCGATACTACGGATTTAACAATAATACATCAGAGGTATGGCTCAATGATGAAATGCTGACCCAGTATACTCCGTAATACTCCGTAAGTGGAGGGCCATTAAAGACTCGGAGTGTACTACAAAGAAGTCAGCGCTGTGGAGAACTACGGAGTACCGGAGTTCCATCTGGTTATCATTGCCACGCGAAAAACTTGAATCCAAATTCTAGAAAATAAAAAGAAGAAATTTTTTCCCCAATAAACTTCTTACTTAGACGCCACTTTACCCAATTAGTTCAAGTCTCCGATACTCCGCTATTCCCGGTGAAACGGTTCACTAGGGTTTTAAGCACTTCAACTTGTCAGCACTGTCAGCCTCTGCAGCGAAGTAAATAGGATGATATTGGATCAGAATTCGGAAATAATTCAAAATCCTCATATTATAACCTTATTTCAATCAATATGCTTGTTTTCTGCTTAGCAATTATTCATTTAACTCATTATAAATCTGTTCGGATTACATGCCCTAACGGACATCAGGACCTAAGGCCGTACTAAGCCTTCAGGACCCTGACCAAACTTGGAAACTAAATTCCATTTTAAATTTCTTTAACTCCGTCTCCATACAATGCTGACCAATTCGTCAAACACGAGGAACCGGAAGTTTCTATTCAATGTACCAATTTCGAATGGCCATGTGGGACTCGGGACCAATCATGCTGTTATTTGGACCTGAAGAAATTGGGTTGGCCCAGGTACCGAGGGGATATTCAAGGATATAAATGGAACCCCAGCGGCCTCTCTCCGGGGAAGCCGACAATTTGAATACAAATATCTTTGGATAACCCACTCGATATCATCAACAAATAAACCATATACACACACACATACAATGGCGCAAACAGATTACAAGTTTGAGGGCTGGATGGGCCTGGATGCCAGCTCTGCTGAGGGCAACATGGTCTGGCAAGAGTTTGAGCCTAAGACATGGGAGGAGACCGATATCGACATCAAGATCTCTCACTGTGGTATCTGTGGTTCCGATCTTCACACTATGCGCAGTGGCTGGGTAAGTCTTATTTTTGTCATCACCTTTATTATTATGCCGTTTTAAGTCTGGTGAACTAACAAATGAAAAAGCGCCCAGCCTCATACCCTTGCTGCGTCGGCCACGAGATCGTCGGTACAGCCGTGCGCGTAGGATCGAAAGTCACGGATATCAAGCTCGGAGACCGCGTCGGCGTCGGCGCCCAAAGCGATTCTTGCCAGGGTCGTTTCGGAGACTGTGAAGAGTGCGCTATGGGATTAGAACAATACTGCTCGAAGACTGTTGTCGGTACATACAACGCCAAGTACTTCAATGGCGACAAGTCTTATGGTGGATATGCGCTGTACAACCGTGTGCCCGCACACTTCGCCGTCAAGATTCCCGAGGGTATTTCCTCTGCTGCGGCTGCTCCTATGCTCTGTGGTGGTGTTACCCTTTACAGCCCTCTGAAGCACAATGGCTGTGGACCTGGAAAGCGTGTTGGTATCATTGGTGTTGGTGGATTGGGTCACTTTGGTGTCCTCTTTGCCAAGGCTATGGGTGCTGATCAGGTTGTTGCTATCTCCCGTAAGAAGGAGAAGAGCGAGGATGCCATTAAGATGGGTGCTGATCTGTACATTGCTACCGATGATGAGCCAGACTGGGCTACTAAGTATTCCCGCTCTTTGGACTTGATTGTTTGCACTGTTTCTTCTATCAAGGTGAGTTTTGTTCCATTTAACTGTTCTCATGAGTTTCTCATGCTAATATCCATTTTTCTATAGATGCCTATGGTTGAGTACTTGGGTCTTCTGCGTACCGCTGGTACTATGGTTCAAGTTGGTCTTCCTGAAGATGGAGGTCTTTTCGCTCCTGTGCGCAACCTGATGCGCCGTATCAACCTCACTAGCTCGCTGGTCGGTAGCCCTAACGAGATCCGTGAGATGTTTGAGTTGGTTGTGGAGAAGAATATCCAGCCGTGGATCCAGGAGGTCCCCATGAAGGACGCCAACAAGGCGATTTTGGATATGGAGGATGGCAAAGCGCGCTACCGCTACGTGCTTGTTAATGAGTAAATGACTGGGCTTGATGATGCTCTTTATATGATGAACCGAGTCTTGTACAAATAACTGTTTTTTACCAGTGCTCATTAGACAGCTCCAGTGGGTTGACCTTTTATCGCATATGGAATCATGAATATATTATAGAATTTCAATGTTCTCATTATTCGCAGCCCCATTCAAGTTATTATCCAAATTTCATGACTTATTCAACTTCTAATTACTATCATGATATCCACCATTAACAATGTATTGTATTAAGAACCAATCATAATGCGACAATTGATCATTCCCCACGTGACGCCGCTTTCGGAGAGGCACCCCGCGCTAGTCCCGATGTGGCAATGAGGGACCGGTCTCTATAGAAGACTCCGGCGATGATTCATATCCCGTTTCCCTCCTCCACTTTGAATCTTGACTCAATTGATATACACAGACTTCATAATGGCAACTTTGTCTCAAAAGTATCTGAGCACTCGAGGTGCCGAGTATGGAGTAAGTGGGAGAATGAGAAATTTCTCTGTGACTCCGAGGTCAGACTAGAGGCAATTTAACTTACACTGTGGTCCTAGTTGAGTTTCGAGGAAGTCGTCCTGCAGGGATTGGCAAAGGACGGTGGTCTGTTCATTCCCGAGGAGATTCCTTCTCTCCCTGCCAACTGGGAGACCGAGTGGGCCGATTTCAGCTTCGAGGAACTAGCCTTCCAAGTGCAAAGGCTCTTCATCGCCGAGTCCGAGATCCCTTCCGCTGATCTGCGCGATATCATCAACCGCTCCTACTCTACCTTCTACCATCCCCAGCGTACTCCCTTGGTCGACCTCGATGCGAAGAACAAACTCCACCTGCTCGAACTCTTCCACGGACGTACCCGCGCTTTTAAGGATGTTGCCCTGGCGTACCTGGGTAACCTCTTCGAGTATTTCCTTGTGCGCAAGAACGAGGGAAAGACTGGCAAGGACCGATTGCACTTGACCGTGGTTGGCGCGACAAGTGGTGATACTGGTAGCGCTGCTATCTCGGGTCTCCGCGGCAAGAAGGACGTCTCCGTCTTCATTCTGTTCCCCGAAGGCCGCACATCGCCTATCCAAAGTATGTTTTCGTTTCGCCACTCAAGGTACACACATCACTAACTTGCGCAGGACTTCAAATGGTCACCGTTTGTGATGCCAATGTCCACAACCTGGCTGTCCAGGGAACCTTCGATAACTGCCAGGATACCGTCAAGGCCTTGTTCGCTGACCCCGTCATGAATGCCGATCACCACCTTGCCGCCGTTAACTCTATTAACTGGTAAGAAACCTAATTCTTAAGCCCAGTGTTTAGTTACTTACTCTTTTTAGGGCTCGTATCCTTGCTCAGATCACCTACTACATCCACTCATACTTCCAGCTCGTCAAGAGCCCTGGCTATAAGAAGGAGAAGCTGCGCGTCGTCGTGCCCTCCGGTAACTTTGGTGATATCCTGGCCGGTTGGTTCGCGAAGCAAATGGGCTTCCCCGCTGACAAGCTCGTTATCGCCACAAACGAGAACGACATTCTTGACCGTTTCTTCCGCAGCAACGGCCACTACACCAAGAGCCCTATCGACTCTCCTGCTCAGGCTGAGGAAGTCAAGGAGACTCACAGTCCCGCCATGGACATCCTCGTCAGCAGCAACTTCGAGCGTCTTCTCTGGTTCCTTTCATACCAGACCAACTCCAGCAGCACTGCCGAGGAGCGCCGACAGCACGCCTGCGAAAGCGTCAGCTCTTGGTTGAGTGACCTCAAGTCCAAGGGCGGCTTCCAGGTCCCCAGCGCCGTTCTTGACGCCGCTAAGACCGAGTTCGAGAGTGAGCGTGTCAGCAACGACGAGACTATCGCGGTTATCCGCGAGACCTTCTCCACTTGCTTCCCAACTAACACTGGCGCTGGTAGCCCTAAGAGCTCTAAGACTGGTGGTTATGTCCTTGACCCCCACACCGCTGTCGGTATTGCTGCTTCCCGTCGCTCTATCCAGCGCAACCCTGGTGCTCACCACATCTCTCTTTCTACTGCCCACCCGGCTAAATTTGCCAGCGCTGTTGATCTGGCTCTTAATGGCCAGGATGGTTACACCTTCTCTGAGATCCTTCCTGAGGATTTCATTGGTCTTGAGGAGCGGGAGACCAGAGTTACTTCTGTTCCCCCTGGTACTGGCTGGGAAGGTATCCGTGATATCGTCTGCGCTGAGGTTGAGCAGGAGCTGCAGGGTCAGCGCTAAGTTTCGTATATTTTGGCAATGAGGGTTTATCTCTAGAGTATATTCAAATGTTTGTTGGTATTTCTGCAAAAAAGGCATGGACTCAATATGGAATTATTAAGGCAATACATCTATGCATCATTATGTTTATCAATCTATCTCGGTTGAAGGCTGCGTCTGCATAATATGAAATGAATGGACATCATGATATTAGGTGCACGAGTTCCCATAAAGATCAAGGTAGCAGACCATGGAAATAACAAGTTCAATATAGAACTTGAATTTTTTGAAATGCTCTTCTAAAATACAAGCCATCATGATGTTGACATACTACTTGAGTACGACTCAGTCAGTAGCATCTACAGGTTACTGGTGACTATCAACAAAATTCTGCAAAACGTTGGTTTTTTCTTGCACATGTGATCGTCTTGAGATGAATATCTTTTGAGCTCTTTGCAGTTGAGGGTCCACGGGTTCGAGTCACTTTATGCCCTTAGGGCATGATCAGCAAGTTCATTGTCATCGTGATCTATAAGCATCTACCTAGAATCTCTGATATTCTTATTTCCATACTCTGAGTCTGAAGAGAGTAGCAGATACTTGGGCATGATCATGATACAATAGAATCAGATTGGGAGTGTACGATGAGACTAGTAGCAGAAGAAGAAGAAGAAGAATCCAAGCAAACAGCTATTTATTGATTACTATTACCATATATCGCAAGCTGGACACAAATAGTGAAAACTAACAAAATCTCGAAATGACCAAGCAACTTTATCCTCCAGCCCTGCTAGCAGGGGGAAAAGCGAGTCTAACATCGATGCACTGGGCCAAGCAAGCAAAGCACAACAAATTAGAATCCCAATACCGAATTCCCAGATCCGCACCACGAAGACCTGGCAAACAAGATAATGGGCATTCTGAGGAACAATGAGCTGAAACTTCATATGAAGTATCAGTCACTAGTTCTGTCTCATACGCTCATAGCTGAAATTTACAGCATGGCGAAGAGACCAATCATACCAGCCAGGAGACCGGCAGCGGGCTTGACGTTGGAGGCAGCACCAGTGAAGACACCAGTGGAGGTGGCCTCGGCAGCGGTGGTGGCAGCAGCAGGGGAGCTAGCAGCCTCGGTCTCAGCAGGGGTAGAGCTCTCGACAGCGGAGGTCTCAGCAACAGGGGTCTCGGCAGCGGAGGTCTCAGCAACAGGGGTCTCGGCAGCGGAGGTCTCAGCAACAGGGGTCTCGGCAGCAGAGGTCTCAGCAACAGGGGCAACGGAGCTGGGGACAGCAACGGAAGTAGCAGGCTTCTGAGACTGAGTGGGAATGAGAGCCTTGGAGGTAGTAGAGACAGCAGGGACAGCAGGAACAGAGGAAGACTCGATAACAACAGCAGAGGTGGTCTCCACAACGGCAGAGGTGGCGGGGACAGTGGCGTTGAAGATAGTGACGGGCTTCTCGTTCTCACACAGAGTGCAGACGGTGGTCTTGGTCAGGGTGATGGTGCTGGTCTGGGTGACAGGGACAGTCCAGGTCGAGGTGCCAGAGGTGACAGTCGACGAGGTAACTAAGAGGTTGTTAATGGTATATTCGGCGAATGCATATTAGGATTCTAAAGCTTACCAGGGCAGGTGGTGGTCACAATGGTGATGGTCTTGGTGGTGGGCTTCACAGGGGTGTGGTGAGGCTTGGTAGAGGTGGTGACAGGGGTGGTGCTGGTGGTGCAAGGAGTGGTGGTGGTCTCCGGAGTAGGAGTGGTGCGAGTGCTGGTGGTGCAGGGAGTGGTGGTGGTCTCCGGGGTGGGAGTAGGAGTGGTGCTGGTAGAGCAGGGGCTGGTCCAGGACTCCTCAGCAGGGCGGCTCCAGGTGTTACCCCAGCTGTCAGCTCCCTGGTGAGCAACAGAGCTTTGGGCAGCAGGGTGAACGTAGGCTTCACCACGGGCCTGCATGACACCGGCGAAGGCCGGGCTGGCAAGAGCCAAGAGAGCAAGAGACTGAATCATTTTGAGAAATTGAGAGTTTGTCTTGGAAAAATAGAGCTAGAACGATCAAACGAGTGAAGGTGATGAGCGGATGGAGAACAGAATGAGCGGGAGCTAGGATGATGTTTATATGCTCGCCCTGAGGCTCATGACTCAGGTCATGACGGAGATGGCGCCCATGGTTGTGTCCAGGACAGAAAATGCTGTCCTGATCCACATCGCAGGATTTCATGGCCGGAAGCAGGAACTGTAAGGGCGAGCCGTGGGTAGCAGGATGTACTCTGGCGAATCACTATAGGTCGGACATGGAGGAGGATGGGACATCTGAGTGCTTGAGGTAGATGCAAGCGTGACATGCTGTAGTATCATCTTAGCTAATGATCTATTGGGGGTCCACAAGAGCTCCAAATGCGGAGTTATTGCGAGTGGGGATGTCCATAGCTAATGCTAGCCTGTCAAAAACAAGATCTGGGTAGTCTAATAGGGCAGTCAGTTGAGAATCCCTGTAGTAAACCAATTTAGCTAATTCCACATCAATAAGCCTCATGGTAGGACATGAGTGCAAGGCAAACGAGTTAATTGAACTGGCAAGCATTACAGAAACACAGGGCCATATGTGAGACTGCGTATACGATTAATCGTCCGAGCCATTCGGGACCCGAAAACAGGACACGCGGGATTGACCACACTGCAGACGATCGATCAAGGACGGGTCAGATCTTATTTCAACCAGTAGCAAGGGCTGTTTTGGTCCGGAATCTCGCTCCAGGTGGGCATGGCAATCTGACAGGGCTTGATCAGGCGATCAAAAACGGTCTATGGGCCCTACGTGGTACTCTACTGGTCCCTCGAACTCGAAGAATGTAGATCCTAGTAGTTGGCTGCGGATGCATTCCTGTGATTGGCCGTTAAGACAGAGCGAGGAATGTGAATCGAGGACTTGCTGGGCTCCCGCGCCGATCTGCAAAGCCTCAGAGATGGCCAATTCAGCAATGGCGAGTGGGTCAACTGTGCCTGCATCCATTGTCGATACAACTGAGAAGTTTTTGGTCCATGACAAGAAGATCTATGGAAAACAAGTCTTGGGTCGTATCATGTTTGGCCTTCAGATTGAATCCAGTACCCACTCCTGGGGGTGAAGAGCATACACGACGTCCGAATGCGGGTGAATCTGAAGAAGTTTCACGCTATTCATCAAACGGGCCAATATGGATGGTCGATATCATTTGGTCAACTTGGATGCGTTGTTGTGTTCCACGGTTCTTCATGTGGTTGCAAGGTACGAGGTACCACTGACAAAATTCCGCAAGCGTCAAGAAAGAAAATAATCAGATTTGCTGCTACTGAACTGTATTATTGGTCAATCACTTGGCCATGGATGAAAGATAGAGTATAAGTTGCCCAGGAGGTGTAGACGCGTGAGCCGGATTAGGCAATATGGGCTACACGTGACTTAGGGCATAGGGCTTGACGCGTCGACGCGTTGGACTTTCCTGTTCGAGTTCAATCTCAATAGACTCGGATACCTCGATAGGGAGTGATAGCCATTCGATCGCTATTTCCTTCGATGCAACAGCCAAACATGCCTCATTCAGTATCTCCGAAGCAGTCGCCTTCCCAAAATGACGACGAGGCCATGCCCGATGCCCCTGCAGAGGGAAATGGCGTGAAGCTCGAAGATATGTTCGAAGATGACGATGACGAAGAGTTTCCAGCGTCGAGCGCTAGGGACGCGAAGATGGAAAGCTCTCCAGCTCCAGTACCACAGCCGTATGTTTACTTCTGCTAGCTTGTCGCTTGTGTACTTACCAAAGATCGGGATAGTGCGCCGACCCCCGCTTCATCGGGGGTGGATTCAGATGTTATGCTTGCCTTTTACCAGCGCCTGTTTCCTTTCAGATATCTTTTCCAATGGCTGAACCACGGAATTGTCCCCACTCGAGATTTTGGCAACCGGGAGTTCGCTTTGACACTGCAGAACGATGCCTATCTTCGATACCAATCATACCCCACCGCAGACCTGTGAGATATTTCAATCCGCCTATATGAATTGGAGAATGGAAGAGATCTAATATGTCGTCTCCTTAGGTTTCGAAAGGATATCCTGAAGATGAACCCATCCCGTTTCGAAATCGGTCCTGTGTATAGCACCAATCCTCGAGACCGCAAGACACTCCGAGGAGGCCAAATGAAGCCCGTATCGAAGGAAATGGTTTTTGATATCGATATGACAGATTATGACGATATCCGAACATGCTGCTCCGGTGCCAGTATTTGCGGGAAGTGTTGGTCATTTGTCACGATGGCTATTAAAGTCATTGATGCCGCCTTGCGGGAGGATTTCGGGTTTGAGCACATTCTATGGGGTCTACTCGGGACGTCGTGGTGCCCACGCCTGGGTTTGTGATCCGCGCGCCAGGAACATGCCAGATGACCGCCGAAGGGCGATTGCTGGCTATTTAGAGGTCGTGAAGGGTGGTGCTTCAAGTGGCAAGAAGGTCAACCTGAAGCGGCCCCTCCACCCTCATATTAGTCGCAGTCTCGATATCCTCAAGAATCATTTCGGACAAACAACACTTGTCGACCAAGATACATTTGCAGGCTCTGAGCAGGCAGACAAACTTCTCCAGCTGCTCCCAGACAAGTCACTCAATGATGCACTACGCAGGAAATGGGGCTCGTCACCCGACCGCCCCAGTACCAACAAATGGGCTGATATCGATGCTTTAGCCAAGACTGGAAAGAGCAGCACTTTGAACACCAGCACCCTGCGTGATGCCAAGCAAGACATTGTTCTGGAATACACCTACCCGCGTCTTGATGCGGAAGTCAGTAAGAAAATGATTCACTTGCTAAAGAGTCCATTTGTTATTCACCCTGGCACGGGCCGAGTCTGTGTTCCCATCGATCCAAAGAAGGTGGAGGACTTTGATCCTCTGTCCGTTCCAACGGTATTGAATCTACTGGCCGAAATTGATGCTTATGACGCCAAGCATCCAGCAGGCAGTGGCGAGGTTGAGATGCCTGATGCGGAGGGTAGTGCTGTCAATGGCTCGGACATTAAGGGAGCTCGGAAAATGCAGGACTATGAGAAGACTAGTCTCAAGCCCTACATTGACTTCTTCCGGTCTTTTATTGCTAATCTGCTAAAAGAGGAACGGGTTGTCAAGCGGGAGCGAGAAGAGACTACTGGCCCATCAGTGAAGCCCGATCCGATGGAATTTTAGGTCTGATCTCGGCTGGCAATTCTCTGCATGTGGTACTCCATGTTGTGGCCATTGAGAGTTATGAATATAATGCCCTGCTGTTTCTGCTTTCAGCCTGCTAATGTTCCAAAGAGACCGGGGCAGGCTTTCCTGGCGTTTTTGTGGTGTTTTGCATGATCCCCAAGCTGTTGTCGATACATTACTTTTTCAAATCCACATTCTCTTCCAAGATTAATGCCTAGGTGGTACCTAGTAGGTAATTTGTAGACTATTTCGAGTTTCAAATTATAGTTGCACAATACCTGGGCTCCGAGGTCAGGTTCGTATATGCCAGTGCTATCTGAAGTTACTGTCTGGGCACTACTAATACTACCTAGGTAGTGGGTAGTAGTATATTCGTACTCCTACTACTAGGTAGTAGCCGTCAACTCCTGGCACTGGAGTGCCACTACATAGTAGGAGTATGTGGACACATCATGGATCCATGCACAGATACCTCAGGCTAGCCGCTGTGGTATATGATTGTGTTAGCATTTAAGTTGGAGTAGTATTCTATTGCCTCTGGAGCAGTGTGTTATCGTAGGAGTATTCTAAAGGTTATCACTGGTGCCCAGCTGTATTCTACTGTTGCTGTGGTATTCTATTATCGCTGGAGTATTTGACTGCGCCTGGAGTATTTGATTGCGTCCGTGGTATCAGACTACGCCTGGGGTATTTGATTGTGTCTGGAGTATCCATGTATGCATTTGAATGTCGCCGTCAATTGATCTGAACGCCTGCAGCACTACTAGGTACTAGTACTTGTAGTGCTTGTACCACTGGCAGCCTCAAGACTTCGGGGGTCTCACTCACTGGCATGTGTGAGCTTCATCTGTTACTTTGTATATGCTATTAGTGTCATGTTTTCATACTAACCAAAGTGCCGGAGAATCGTTCTTATATTTAATTGGTAGTTATTGGTACACGTACTGGCCATGCAAGCTACTAGCTCAAACATGGTTCAGAAGACATAGGATATTACAACGCAGGGAAGGCGTGAAAAAAAGCAGACCGGCAACCCATGAGATCTACATGGTGGACTCGGACTAGGGAAAGAAAATCATGTTGAAGACAAAAACATCACTTAAGCAGCAATGAACTTGCGAACGTTCTCCAACCAAGAGACGTACTCCTTCTGCTCCTTGTAAGCAATGTAGTCGGTGACCATGGTCTGGAACTCAACGTTCATGCCACGCTCCTCGAGGTAGCGGCCCCAGAAGGCAAGGAGCTCGGGGTCGAGGTTCTCAGCAGGAGGACCGGCGTAGAGGCTCTGGCGAGTCCAGTCCTTCTCAGCGGTCTGGGAGTGAGCGATCTCGGCATCCTTGAAGTGGGAGATCTCCTCGACCTGAAGGTCACCATCCTGGATGACGGCCTGGATAAGGAGAGCGCCGCTGTTGGCCTTCTCAATGGCGATGCTCAGGCGGGCAGGGAAGGTAGGGGGGAGGATGTCATCCTCGGACTCAATATCGCGGGAGCTCTGCTGGAACTCGGCCTCGTCGGAGAGGGCATCATCGTGCAGGTCATCCATGGGGTCCTCGGAGAGGTTGTTAATATCAGCGACGGTGAAGGTGACGCGGATCCTGGCAGCATAAATCGTAAGTTTTTGATAAAAATTGGATCCATTGATGGGGCCACATACTTCTCGTTGCCAAACTTCTTGGTCAGGACGACCTCCTGCTCGCCGGCGATATCCTTAACCTCCCACTCGCCAGCCTTCAGGGTGTAGTCAATGCTGGTCTTCTGCTCCTTAGCATCCTCAGCGCCGGAGGCCTTCTCATGCTTAACTTCCTCGTCGAGCTTGGCAAGAAGCTCGATGTCACCTGTCAACAACGGAAAATCACAACATTAGCAATCTGTCCTCTCAATTGTGTGATGGCAAGGAAAACCGGATAAGATCGGATTATGAGTATGCCCTCTGGATTTGACATACCTTCAGCAGCGGGCTCACGGAATGCGCTGGAAGTAGAGAAGGAGGCGTAGATGGGCTTGGAAGCCTGCTTCCAGGGCTGGGCAATAGACTTAGGGAGAACGGCCGGGCGCAGGGAGGTGCGGGCGACGGAGCGGGAAACCCGGGGAATGGAACGGGAGAAAGCGCGAAGTGAAAGCATTTTGAATGTGTAGATGGATTGAATCTGAGTGATGGGAGAAATGGAAAGGCTGTAGAAGGAAAATATGGGAGCTAGCGCGATGATGTTAACGCCAAGCCCGGGTCTTTTCTGCCTCCGCCCAACTCAGTTTCCAGCTATTGGTGGACTTATCTCTGCTATGTGCAATGCTATACCTATATACTCAAATTTATATCCTCTTGGTTCTAGTGCTTTAGTAGCTTTAGTTGTGAAGTATGCAGCAGTTTAAATAATGATTTTCAAGTTGATCTTCAAAAATTGAACTGAATTGATGTATATATGTGTATCATAATAGGTATCAGCTAGTACTTTTCGTGCAAAATCAAGCGTCAATGCATACATATCCCATGATGCGCCAATCACTCCCAGTGAGAGTGGTTAAAAATGGAAGAATTAAAGTCTGAAAAACAATGATGGGCCAAGCGTTGAAGGCTATGACATGCCCTTGGGTGGGAAGCTTGAGTTCTGCTTCCCTCCAGCATTCAGCAATCGAACAAATTTGGCCGAGCTGAGGGCAGTCCATTCTCCATTCCAATGCTTCAACTTCAACAATGTTTCCTCATCGCCAAGATCCGGCATCCAAAATCCAGTCTTGAATTCTCTCTCTTCCGTCTGTGTTCGTTGCTTCAAGGCCTCCTCTCGTCGGGTAGGTGGACGGCCCTTTCGTTTTTCCTTTTCAAGCGCGGCAATCTCCTCAGCGTCCCGGTTGATACACCTGAATATATTCAGTTAGAACTTCATTCCATCCGTACATTCTGTCGTATGCACATACTTTGTTACCAATTCCGCCAATTCAGCGTCAGTCAATGGTTGTTCGGTAGTTTGAATCGAATCAAAAAAGTAATGAAGTCTCTCCACTGATATCATGGTTAATCTAAAAGTCTTCAACCTGACTATAGATGGAAACATACTGTATGGCTGACGAGCCTTGAGCACAACGGAGGTGTGGCGGATCAATCGGTCATCACGGCAGCCTGCACGGCGCAGACGTCGGGCATCACGACTAAATTCATGAAGGGCGTCAACCGCGCCACGCTTCTTAGCGATTTGCTTGTGTACTTTTTGCAGTGTGCGAGGCATTTTATTATTCTGAAATTTGGTTGCTGTGGGCAGCTTCAGATAGCGGCGGTGATTAGATTTGATAAACTTTTTTTTGGGACTGGCAGAATTAAGCGGTATGTTACAACAACCACCGCCTTCCTTAATTTATCCCATCCTTGCAATCGCGTCGTCGCGTCTTGAGGGGAGCAAACGTGAACAAACATTCCATCAGTCATGTCGGTATTTACTTGGTGACCTCGACCTTGATTCTTTCTTCCTACCTCACTGGACAGCTTTTTTTTCGTGTTGTGCTTTCCCACTCTTCAACTCCGCATGTTATCCTTCTTCCAATAGACACGAGGACCCGCTTGAGCCTCGACCCCGGTGCCCGCCATGGGTATCAAAGGTGACTTGACTCGATGAAAGGGGAATGATGTTTCGACGTAAACTAAACCTCGAATAGGATTACATGGCCTTCTCAAGTCCATTCAAAAGCCATGTCATCTTAAGAAGTTTGCCGGGCAGACACTTGCTGTAGATGCCTATGGATGGTTGCACCGTGGAACGGTTGCTTGTTCCGTGGATTTGGTTCTGGAAAAGCCAACCAGAAAGTAAGAGCTCTAACAGACGATAATCCTCACAATTCCCTTGATACTGACAAAAGTAGGCACATTGATTTTGTTCTACACCGCGTTCGTATGCTTTTGTTCTTCGGAGTGACCCCCTACCTTGTTTTCGATGGCGACAACCTTCCGAGCAAAGCAGCCACCGAGGCTGATCGACACCGCCGCCGTCAAGAGAGCAAAGCATTGGGCTTGGACCTTCAACGCAAAGGAAGAATGACAGAGGCCTATCAGGAATTCCAGAAAGCCGTCGACGTGACACCGTACATGGCCCGTCAGCTCATTGAGGAGTTGAAGAAAATGAATGTACAGTATGTTGTAGCACCATACGAAGCCGATCCTCAGATGGTGTATCTCGAACAGCAAGGAGTTGTACAAGGAATCATATCCGAAGACTCGGATTTACTTGTGTTTGGTGCGAAACGTCTGCTGTCCAAGTTGGATCAGCATGGTGATTGTATTGAAATCAATAGAGCCGACTTTACAGCTTGTCGGGAAGTGAGCCTTGTGGGCTGGAGTGATGCTGATTTCCGTCGAATGTGCATTTTGAGCGGATGTGATTATTTGGCTAATATTCCTAAGATGGGGCTCAAAACGGCTTATCGCAGCATCCGCAAGCACCGGACTGTAGAGAAAGCTTTGCGGATGCTTCAATTCGATGGCCAATTCAAGGTCCCAGCAGATTACCTTGTGAACTTCAAGCAGGCTGAACATACTTTTCTGTACCAACGTGTTTTCTGTGAAGAAGCTAAACGACTTGTGACTTTATCGACACCCGAGGAGGGCATCAACCTCAATGACATGCCATTTATTGGCCCAGATGTGGATCCAGAAACTGCGGCTGGGGTGGCATCCGGGGATTTGGACCCAATGACGAAATTGCCCATTGACTTGAAACCGTGGGCTGCAGGAAGATACACCTGGGGCATTAGTCGTCGTCAGACTTTGGGTTCGTCTTCCGAACTGAAGCCCAGTAAGCGGATCAACTCGTTCTTTACACCGAGGCGCACGCCTCTGCAGGAGCTGGACCCAAACAGTTTGACACCCTCGCCGAGTCAGCAAAGACTCCTGGAGCGCAATATGAACAACTCCTGGCAACCAAATTCGGCGCCCTTGCGCTCCAACACAACTAGATCTACTCCACTGAGGGCTGTTTCTGACCAGAGTCTCAGCCCTATGGTTCGAAGCGTTGAACGAAACACATTCTTGGCTCATACTACACGGGCTTCATCCACTTTGCAACCGACCAAGCGACAGCGGCTATGCTCTGAAACTGAGGATGACTCCCTCCCTCCCCATCCCCCTGTGCAGAGTCGATTCTTTGCAGGTGGAGACCAAGCTAGTCCTAGCGGCCAGAAGGTGTCTCGAAGCAAGAAACCACGAAAGTCGACCCTGGACGTATTCTCAGATGAGATCGCAGAGGACATCTTTTCGCAAATTCCTGACTCTGACATCAAAGGCCAGCCGGCTAAAGATGAGGGAAAGAGTGCACACGAAGAATCATCCTCCGGTGGCGAACAGACGATGACTGCAATGGACTCCAAGGCTGAGAATGAAGAAATGCCAAAAGAGACCCCAGTCGCACCCCCAGAGTGGCGTATCTGAGGACCCTCAATTCAACCAGGCACTTGATTACCATATCCACCGACAGAATTCGGACATTCACTCTAAGTTCTCGTTCAACTCTGGATCGCAGCCCCAGTCCCCTGCAACTCGCTCCCCTATGACCAAGATTCCGGTGATTCGGTCTGGCCAGACGGTTGCATTGCAGTCATCTCCTCGCACCCCGGGAGTTGGCTTTCAGAGAACCCCTCAACGAAACCGCCTGACTCCATTGCAGCGTATGGGTCAAAACGCTCTTCACCGTTCTCAGAGCATTACGTTCCCCACTGCTCGTCCCCAAACCAATTTTATTTCCAATTCCATTTCCAATTCCTCGGACTCCCAGACGGACGAGACCCCGATTTCTACACCTGCTCATACTCCTCATGGCAGCGAGGATCTCATGGTCCCGAATAGCGATGATTCGGAAGAGGAGATCTGTACCAGCTTCGGGCAAACCACCAAGCTGAATCTCCAGCGGTTTTCGTTTGGGGCCGAATAAGGCAAGGCGACTAAGTTTCTGGGTACTAAGCATTTTTAGGTATTGGGTATGGAGTATTGAACGGGACACAAGCACTTTGTAGTTTGTGGAGAGCATTTTCATGGAACGGTATCCATATTTTTTTCTTTTTCTTATTACTCTTGGCGTGGAGTACATGGGGGGTCATTTTTGATCATTATCTTATCTTTGGACGCTTCATTTTTAGTACCCACAATATGAAACAGCATTAGCATTATCTTTTCTTCTTTTAAAATCCCTTAATTCCCCAAATTAGAATTCACTGTTGCCTGATTTGGGGGGGAAATACTCCGTACTAAGTAAGTATCCACCAAAAAAGATTCCGTAACCTCGCAGTTACATATCCAATATGGTTAAAGTGTGGAGGCTGGGGATGAAGCCACGACTTATCAATTGATCGGAGTGGCGCCTTAGTGGAGTTCACTGAGATCTGATCAACGCTAATCTATTTTAGGTCTAGTGTATGTGAATGGGCGCCACAATCCCTGGCAGAATATCCCAAATACGTAGGCGGTCAAAACTGGTTACCAGGGAAGCGGGAGAGTAAACAAAGACGGTTGGCCCAGCCTCCCAGATTCCCATACTTCCCGTCTCCATCCCCAGCCTCCAAGGGACAATTGACGTGGAATTTGAGCCTGACTTGGATTTTCCTGGATAGCTACGAGCTTTTTCTCCCCCTGCTTCCATTCCTTCTACACATTCCTCTCTTTTGACAACTCCTCTGTGTTAAAACACAAAGGTAGTGCAAGAAGTTCCATATCTGACCTATTTTGAATCTCGTTATCTAGGTGCGATTCGGATCAAAGACCTGACCGACTTTCGATTGTTTACGTGCACTTCACTGGGCACGATACATCAACCAAGTACCAAATCTTCTCCTCGCACCTCTCTTCACATTCTTTCTCCGCATTCCTGTCAATCGTGACGTCGAACTTAATCCACGGCTTCCAGAGATCTACGATCTTTCAATCAATCAAGTCGTCGCAGCTTGCCTCGATCGCAGGTTTTGACCCTATTTGTCGATCGCAAATACTCCTTCTCGGAGCACCGAGGAGTGAGACAAATAACGTGAAAGAGAAAGGCCAATTGCGGGCCATCGTTGGTCGCAATGCCTGTCAATTTCGCAGCCGGATGGGCCCGTATGTGATAATCAATAACTCTCATAACAATTGTGATGTATGCTTACTTGAATACAGGATTCATTCCCATGATCGGGTACCACCATGTGTTGATGGTCATCATAGCAGTCGCTATTATCCTACTATGTAAGTTCGAATATGTCTTTTCATCCATTCCTGGAATGGAAAACCTTGGAGTTCAGGAATGTGACTAACTCTCTCTCAGCACTCTTGTTGGCGGGTTGCTCTTCATCGTCTCCACAGATTCCCGATATCTTCCTGATATCGATGTACTATGAAAGCTACAAGCCGAACTTCGCATTATCTCAAGTCGATCCGGGTGTAACAAGCGCTATCGCAAACATTGTGAATAGCGCAGAGCTTCGAGGTCCGAGTTGGCTACTTTGGTATCTGCATTCAACCTGATCATGGTTCATACATTTGCAATGCCAATGCCACCGCACTCGCCGAAGTTGTTACTGTCGATCAAGATCCACTTAATCTGATTTGGGTTGCCTCGACTTTCAAGGATGCAGTAGTTTTCCCATACCTTCTGTACGTCTGATCTGTTCTCCCTTCCCTCTATCTATCACGTTCCTGATACTAATGAAATTCACAGCATCGTGGCCGTCATCCTCGCCTTCTTCTGTTTCATCTTATTAGCCACATTCCCTGGCTGGCACGAAGAACCAGATGAGACAGGTGACTCCGTCGAGGTCAAGCCATTTCCCTCACGTCCTGTGTCTCAAGCTGCGCTTGCCCTCATCTTCGTCTCTTCGATATTCGTCCTAGTATCGGTGTTATGGCAACATACAGCGTCCGTCGCAGCAAGCACCATTGCCCAAGATATGGGTAATGGCAGCGTCAAGAGCGGTGTCGGCACCTCAGCCATGGTGCTGGGTTGGTTCGGCTTCGTCCTCTTAGTCGTGGTCACGATTGGTCTTCTCGTTATGATTCTCAGTATCAGACTCATTAAGAAACTGACTGATGAAGACTAAACGACATGATCTTTCTTTTGACTTTTTTTTTGCTCTTCTTGCTTTGATGTTTTACGCTACCCTTTTGCTCTCAACAATACGACAACGACACTACACCTTATATCCGACACACGACACGAATGGAAAACGACTAATCTCTATGAGCTCACGGCAATGGCTCAATCTCTACGGTACGGAATGGATGTCATGGGACATGACTGAGGCGATATGTCTCATGGGAACTGGGAATTGGAAATTTGAATCTCGCGAACATACTAGAGGATCAGGATCCTCACATTCTATTTGCTCTATGGCCTAAAAATTGTCATATTGCGAGATTCCAAGTTGCTATCTCTCGTATTAATCTTATACGGGGGCTCTGACATAGACAGAATGCAATCTACTTTCCTGTACAGCTCCACAATGGTGTTCTTGGTATCTCTCTGTATTTGATCTTCCTCGCGTTCTTATGCTACGCATGTACAAAACCTGTTTATAGGCTTACCGACAATTGTTCTCTCGTCGCAAATTTGACTTTATTCTGATCACCAATTCTTTCATCGCATTTGCTTGTCCTATTAGGGAGTCGAATATTTAGCTCGGATTCGATAGTTAAAGTAACAATGATAAATTTTTGAAAACAACTTGAATTTCTCCACTTTTTCATTCTTATACATCATAGTACTATGTATTTTGTTTTTTGTCTTGCATATGAGCTTACTATGCACATATGCATGAGATCTGATCAAATCTCACATCCGTCGGAAGAACATGTCTTGACGTCATGGTTCTGGCCACAACCTTCTAGATCCATCAAAATGTGGATGGGTAGTTAGAATAGTGTAATTTCCACAGTCTATTTGGTATCTTGCCCCAGTTTTACCCATTATTAACCTGCTTCTAATCTTTCGGACGCAAAATAAGCAATTGCCACCATATCCGGGTATACGGCTTTACGGACTGCATCAGTCATTGCACTTAAGCCTACTAACGGATGTATCTAAATCCGACATTGATAGTATGAATCAACATTTAAGATGAATGGATTTCTCTGGTACTACAAAAAACTAATTGTAACCCTCAATTTTACATCTTAATCTACCGATCAGCCATCCAGCTGAAGAGATACCACATTTAAGCACTTGAACTTGTCGCCTTTACTCGGATCTGCATCCTGCTCAACAGGACTATACTCTCGAGATCTCATGGAGACTCTACGAGACACTGCCTTTGGCAAGCTTGTCCGCTTAGCCACCCGCTATCAATGGATGCAATACCCAGAAGAACAAGACTCATCCATTTGGGTCGAGTATCTCAAGACCGAAACGCAGAAAGAAGAGGCTACTTCCATAGCGGATACCCAAAATGAGAACCCTGATGATCTGGAAGCCTGCGGGATCTATACCGTCATGTCCCAAGTATCGACTCGGAGCCGACGGATGTCATCAGCTTCCACAATCGGTGCTCCAGTTCAATCTATTGTGATTAGTTGGCGAGGACCGGATGATCCAGAGGTGAGTTGTGAATAAATCAGGGATCTACTATAGCAATAGCTCGTACTAATGATGTATAGAATCCCCAAAACTGGAGCACGAAGAAGAAGTTCTTCGTTAGCACCTTAATCTGGTTCCTGACTTTCGCCATTTACATCGGCTCTTCAATTTATTCACCCGGTATTCCTGGCGTCGAAGAACAATTCGGTGTAAGCAGTGTTGCCGGTACACTTGGCCTGACACTATTCGTCGCAGGCTACGGACTTGGTACATTAACCCAGAACCTGAAATTGCACGTTTGCATCGCATACTAATACCCTTATAGGACCAATGATCTGGGCACCATTATCCGAAATCCCAATGATAGGTCGAAGCCCAACATACGTCCTAACTCTATTCGTCTTCGTCTTCTTCAATTTCGGCATCATCTACGCCAAAAACTTCGGCATGCTTCTCGCCTTCCGCTTTTTAACCGGATTCATCGGTTCGCCCGCTCTAGCCACTGGTGCCGCCTCAATGGGCGATATCTGGAGTCCCAGAATCCGAGACTACATGATCGGTATCTGGGGTATGTTCGCTATCTCCGCACCCGTGCTAGGACCCATGCTAGGTGGGTTCGCATTCTCGGCAAAGGGATGGACATGGACTATTTGGCAATTACTTTGGGTTTCGGCCTTTGCCTTTGTTCTACTATTCTTTGGTCTACCCGAGACATTCGCGCCTAATATCCTTGCGCGAAGAGCGCGTCGAGTCAGGAGGATTACAGGCAACTCGGCATACATGGCTGAATCTGAAATCGAGATTAAGGAGATTCAGTCTGTGGATTTGGTGTTTGAGGCTCTGATTCGTCCGTTTCAACTTTGCTTCGCTGAACCGATTGTCCTGCTTCTGAATCTTTATATTGCCTTGATCTATGGAATCCTTTATATCTGGTTTGAGGCATTTCCTATCATCTTTGAAGAGCTTCATGGATTCAATCCCGGTGAAGGTGGACTTGCGTTCCTTGGTATCTTGATTTCAACCTGCTGCCTTGTTATCCCAGGCTACTTCTACTGGAAATATAAGTACCAGTCTAAGTATTTTGATGAGAATGGGAATCTCGCTCCAGAGTGGCAGATGCCACCTGCCTGTGTTGGTGCCTTTGCACTACCGATTTCTCTTTTCTGGTTTGGTTGGACTGGTAACTTCGCCAGTGTGCATTGGATTGTCCCGATTATTGCATCCATGCTGTTCGCTGTGGGTGGTTGCTTGATTTTCAACTCTATCTTTTGTTACCTTGCGCATGCCTATCCCCGGTACGCGGCGAGTGTGCTCGCTGGGAATGATTTCTTGCGCTCGTCGTTTGGGGCTGGGTTTCCCTTGTTTGCCACTGCAATGTTTCATAATTTGGGGATTGGGTGGGCTTGTACCTTGCTAGGATGTCTGACGATTGTGTTTATGCCGTTTCCTTTCATTCTGTTCTTTAGAGGTCGGAAGATTCGGTTGGCTAGCAAGTTTGCTCGTCATGACATTTGAAAAAACTGGTGATGTGTTAATGCTATACCCAAAATGTTAGACTATGAGTCAATTAATGAGATTTGTATGATTCGAAGTTTTCTCTGTTTATCCAATGCCCTTTCAAGTTTCAACCTAGACCATTCAAGATCTAGATTGTGTAGACCGGATAAATCATCGATGTCTAGATGGAGGTGAAATTGTACCGAGATATTGTTTGGTATGTGAACTAGGTAGTGAGCATGAGTATGGGAGAATATGGAAATGGTGATAGTAATAATTCATCATCGTTGCTGAGATGAGCCTCATCGCCTGGGCATCTGATACTAATGACTGTAATTGACTCCAATATGCGTCACCCATGCACGGAACAACGTGGAAACTTCATAAACGCCAATAGGAGAGATCAGTGAAGTAATACCATCACTCAACAGTAGGATAGTCATACACCGTGACTTCAGTAATCCATTTGAAATCCACCACCACCGTGGCCTCCCTTGTTCTCATGCGATCCTTCATACGGGTTATTGCCGTAGTCATCCAGTGACTTGTAGTAAGGATTTGAACCACCTTCTCGATCACGACCTCCGCGACCACGACCACGACCTCGGCCACGGAATTGCCCACGTCCCCGACCACGTCCTCTACCCCGGTAAGCACCACGTTGGTTGCCGTTCTCCTCATTGTGACCCCGGTAATCCCCCGAAGATCGCTGTGGGTATGGGTGAAAGCTGTGATCTTGGTTCTCATAATTGCCACCATGGGCGGCGATTTTGGGGTTGGGGGCATCATCTTCATAATATTGATGGTAACGCTTCTTGAAATTCTTAGGAGCAGATGGAGGACCACCGGCCCTGTCATCATCTTCAACGCGCAGAACTACCTTCTCTCCAACAACAGTATCAAATGTTAATGTTTGACTTGGTGTAGCAGGCTCCCAGTTGGTGATTCTGGACGCTTCAACAGGACGAGCTCCTTTACGAATGGCTAGAACAATCAGAGGCACAGGGTTCTCAGAGTAGATCTGCTCTGTTGACGGGACTGGTGTGACACGGGCAGCGAAGATCCTATTTTCGGAGACCGCCGTTCCAGTAACCTGCCATTTTAGTTTCTTCCCAAGGCCACCGACTTGATTCAAGACCGAATTTGGAGCCGGACGGGGGGTTATCAGGACATTGTTAGCCATTAACTTGACGTCTTCAGAAAGCCCATTAGGTAAAATTGGGGCAAGAACTTCTTCAAGTATGCGCTGGGAGTCGTCTTGAGAAATTAAATATCCAGTGTAAATGACTGTACGCTTGATACGCATGTATCGATGAAAGCCCTTGTACTTCCCCACAGATGGGTTCTGCATGGTACCATTGTGCGAATTGATCATGCGCTGCACTTCGGACACTTCAGTTACTGGGTCAAGGTAGGTTGATTCCTCGGATACCTGGATGACCTCGGCCGTAATGGGTTTCCGGGTATCGGCAGATGCATGCAGTGACCTGTTCATGTTGTCCAAATAATCACGGAATCCTTTGACACTGCAAACGAATTAGCAAAAAATAAAACAAACCCCGGTAACACAGCAGCAAACTTACTGCTTTGGTCGGTCCTCGTACACCCGAATTTCTTCGGCCTCGCCATAAGTGAAGATCAGGTCCTCGAGGAATGTGTGTTTGAATACGCCGGTTGAGGGAAACCGGTGCCCATTAGGTCCAACATCGGGCTTAAGACAAATCATATCGAACTCCAGCTTCTGGCTGGCCACCATGCGCTTGACGACATCGGCAAAGCCTGCTTCATTGCGGCCTGTGAGGAGAACCGTCACAGCATCCTTTTGCTCCATGCTGAGTCTCACCAGTCGCATCTGGTCTTGATTAGTAAAGCGCGTCCTTTGGTTCCATTGATACCTAGTAGGCTCACGATATTTTCATTCCACCATCCCTGCCAAGCGCGTGGTTCTTCCTTTTCCATTCCCTGGCCCGTAGCCGAAAGGATATTTGGATCATGCCACCAACCGCCATTGGCGAAGTGTGTTTCCGATTGCAGGTGTCCAATAGTACTTCCATGCCAGATTTGAGGGTTGGGGAGGGGACTTTGAAATACTGGGGTAGTCGGACATCAGTAAACAGAACCCTTTTGTAACCGAGTTCACCAACTCACATGTATTATCGAAATCATAAACATGTATGGCCTTAACTTGCGAGATAGCTGTAATGGGAGGTGTTAGCTCAGATGATTCCATACTCGGTCCATCAGTCCCAAAGTGGTCCCTTACCGGGAAGCTCCCTATTAGCGACCGACCACCGCTTCAACCCTGTCAATGTGTGCTGAGCCCCTGCGGAAGTACCGTACGACATCTTTTGGGCTAGTTTTCCGTGTCGAGTTAGCTTCTCGGAGACAACAGCTTTGGCGGAACGCATTTGGAGCTGATTCCGGAGGAGTAAAGTCTGGTTCAGTTAGTACATCTCTCGTGTCCCGAGATATTCTGTTCAGGGAAAAGCACTTTCCCAAGGTCAGAGGTTTTCCTGGGGTAAAGTGATAGTACTGGGCAGTGAGTTGACTGCACTCATAGGAAGGCGCGAGTGACTCCCTTTTTTCTGCCGGCGCGTGGTGGAGGGCGGTGGGCTTATCTATCTCATCCCCCCAGCTTCATTCGACTTACTTCATGTTAGACTGCTGCTTCTCCTTCATGGCAGAAAATGGGCATCTACAACAGGAGATATTACAAAGAACCCTACAGGAGGTAGCTAGGGAAGAGACCGATAGTGACCCCTGTGTTATCTGTCTGGAATCCATCACCGAGCCAAGCATAGCGAAGCCATGCAACCATACCAACTTTGATTTCTTATGCTTGATTAGCTGGCTGGAACAGCAGCCCAACTGTCCTTTATGTATGTGTGACTTAGTTTCTCTGCGTGAATTTGATGTGAATCTGACTAACTGTTCCATAGGTAAAACCCAGCTCACAGCTGTGCAATATGACCTCAAAGCACCTCTAGGTCCCAAAACATACAATGTGCCACCCAAAGATCAAGATCGACCCGGACCACCATCCCGAGGCCCTCCCTTGAGTCGCGGATATGGGGCCAGACGAGGCAGAGCTAGATATCCACGCCCCTGTGTGCGCGACCAAACGTCGCCCAATGATCCTCTCGCTGTGCGACGCAACGTCTATCGCAACCAACTATACTCCCTTCACGTTGGATCGAATCGGTTGTCGCAATACAGTGAGGTGACAGCAGCAGACTTCAGCCGAGATGAAGCACTTGTTTCTCGTGCGCGCAAATGGATTCGTCGAGAACTGCAGGTTTTCACCTTCTTGAATCCGGAGACAGAGGCGGACGAAGCGCGGGATCGGGATCGAGTACCTCGCCCGGGAAACCAGCGACTGGAAGAACGTCGGGCGAATAATGCCGAGTTTCTGCTCGAGTATGTTATTGCCATTTTGCGCACTGTCGATATTAGAGGCAGTGCGGGGCAAGCGGAGGAGCTTCTGAGGGACTTTATCGGACGTGATAATGCTCGTCTGTTTCTCCATGAGTTGCTTGCGTGGCTGAGAAGTCCATATGTTTCCTTGCAGGACTGGGATCGCCATGTACAGTACCCGAGACAGACACAGCACTCTGATTACGGGCGTGCGCAAAGTTCTGGTCGCAGGGATTGTCTTCCTGCTCATGCTCAGTCTGGGCCTCGAGCTCGAAGTGCATCTCCGATTGCGGAAGGACGCGAGAGAACTTTGTTTGATCGAATCTCGAGACCAGAGCCAGGATCCACGTCAAGAGATCGACGCCCGCGTTCTCGGCCTTATCATCATTCTAGACCGCCGCGACATTTTATTGATCGATATATCCCAGACTAAAAGAGTTAGACGTATACACTAGATCAATGGATACTGATGAATTAATGTCCAAACTTAAACAACCTTGGAATACTGAACACTTAAGTACTACTAAGAGTATTGTAGCTGGGATGGCCATTCTAAAGACGGGACAGGTCGATAATGATGACTGAGTATTATGAAACCTAGGTATCTATGCTTTGTTTTAATGCAATCGTTAAACATCATGAAGAATAAACCAATTCCTCGAATCCTCTATCGCCTGCGAAAGCGTCCACCACGACCTCGAGATCCTCTGTTACCAATCTTCAAAGATCGGTAATTCGCATGAGCTTGAGGGTTAAGCTTACGAACTCTGGGCTGTTTCTCTTCTTTCTCGGGTTCTTTGTTTTGCGCAGGCTTCGCAGGAGGTTCCATAGCAGTCGGTTGAGACATTGAGACAGCCTCTCTAATTCGCTCAGAGAAACTCTTAGGTCGAGACACCGGCTTCGCCTTTTCGCCATATTCAGGATCATCATCGGAATCATCAACTTCTGTATCGCCTTCAAAATCGGATCCTGCTTCGAAGATAGAATGTAGAGAGGCAACATCCTCACCGGCATCTCCATAAGCATTCTCAATGTCTGAAGGAACTTCCTGAACTTGTGTCTCCGGAACCGCAGCCACTTCATCCTCGAACTCCTCGTCAGATGGAACCGGTTCAGGTTCCTGGACCTTCGGCTTAGGTTTGGAGATAACAGGTCGCATGTTAGCCCGTCTGGTAGTTCGCTTTTGGCCCTTCTTCTTATATGGGCGCTCGTTCTCAGCTGGTTGGCTTTCCGGAACTTGAAAGTTCATTGCTTCCTGCTCTTCTTCGATCTCTCGGAGGATATCCCATTCATCTTCTAGACGCTCTTCTTCCATATCGCGGAGACCTTGTACTAAATGTGATAGTCCTCGTCCTGCGAATTGAAGTGGTTTTCGTGATGCGATGGGGCTCAGTCCATTGTTATCTGTGCTTGATGCTGGGAAGCGGTTGCTATTTGAGCGACGGAGGAAAGACGGTGTCTCGGATGGATTTGAGTGTCGGGATACTGAAGCTTCTGGTGCATGCATTTCGTTTTCTTTGGTATTATTGTCTTCTGCTTCCACCATGGCCGCATAGCGCATTGTTGTGGGCGTTGCAAAGAGATTGGCGAGGTAGAATTGCTTCGTTGAAGATGCGGGGGTTCGTGATAGTCGTAGTGATTCTATTTCTTCTTCGGGTTCTTCGGCGATAGGTTCAAAGTGCTTGGGTTTGGATGGTGTTTGGAACCCTGCTCCTAGCACGTCCTTCTGTCTTTTCACTGACGGAGTGGCCTTGCTACTGCCGCCAGACTCGGACAGCATGTCAAATAGTCCGAGAGCCTTTCCATCGCGTTGTGGGGTCGGTCCAATGGCGGCTTTAAGGGGTGAGGGTGCTGATAGACCATGTACATGGCTACTAGGACTGAACAATCGTCGGAAAGTGGAGGGTGAGTCGTAGGGATCGAGTTGCGAGGGGTGATTCTTGGTGCGAATGTTAGATGGGGTTGCAAAGAGGCCCTTTGCTGATTTTCGAGGCGTAATGGCACTGTTATCTTTGTAGGATGGGCCAGTCGGAGAGCCATGTTTTCGCTTTTTGGATGGGGATTCCGTCGCATGGTGTTGACGATTTTCGCGCCGAGTGAGAACAGCCTCTAGGTTCTTAAGCTGGCCATACTCCTTGTATTTCGTGGCTAAAACAGACATTAGATCAAATCCTGAATCGCATTAAGTTGCATAAAATTGCGAGGATGTTTGCGTTTTGTTTTAGACGCATCACGCGAGCAAGCTTCAACGTACCAATATCCGGCCTCTCCTTGATATCCTCTCGACTTGGCTTTTTGCCACGAGTAGTCATAAACTCCTTTTCCCATGTTTTCAAATCTGCTCGCACAGCGACAGCTTGTGCAGCAATATCTGCTCGAGACTGGTTGTGATCGGTCATATTTGTGTTTTATCGAAGTGTCGAACGCGGAGAATGAGACGCGAAGGCAATTAAAACGCGGTGACGTCGCGTGTCCCGCGGCCCGAGCGCCGATCTATGAAAAGCACTGGTTACCCTTTTAGATACTGAGATGATAAAAAAATAGAAAGTAGATAACCACATATATTACCAGATATCACATGTGCAGTGAGTATGTCAATGAGACCTGAAGGTTCATAGGTACCTACCTGGGTAGCTACTACGGTACTAGAATGTAGTAGCCAGCTCTCCAGCATTGAAGCAACATTGAATGGCAAGAAGTACTATTTACAGGGGAGGAAAACATCACTCTTCTACAAATCAGATAATGTACTAGTATGTCCATCCTTCGATGTTCCCGTTCCATCTTGGACTACTCCAGTCCGAGTCACATTCACAAGGCATTTTCACCATTTTGAATCTCTTTCACCACTTTGAATCTTGCGAGCCAAAAATTATTCCATTTTTGTTTGTTGTTCCACTCCCGCACAGAAACTTTCTCCCAATCTCTAGATCCTATCCAGAAGAGCGTTCTTTCTCTCTTATCCCAGACAAGATTGTCCATTCCCGAGATCACTGGCCAGAACCCAACTCAGAGGATCGTACTAAATTCAGATTATTATATCATTTATAGTATAAGGAAAGTAATAACATACCTCAACGTATCTATAAAGGCATGACGAATTAAATTTCATTCAGCACTATCCATTGCCCAGAAGACACTAGGACTGTCAAGTCGGATACCTGGTACAATAGACCACACAATAAAGGTCATAAACCCGCCGGGTACCGGGTCATCCACAGACTGAGTTGTTTCCTCATATGCCAATAGTCTTGGTGTGATTTCTGATGCGTCAGGGTTGTCACGCAGTATCATGTAGGCCTTTAATTCCTCTGATTTTGCTTGCGAGGCCTGCGAGGCTCGAGTCGCATCCACTTACAAGTTCCTTATTTGAACACTGAACTTGAATCTCATGCGCATGATGGCCGTTGTGGTAGTCTGGCTGTTGGTACACTTTGATTTCACACTTGCGAAGGACTCTGCGTCAGGGCTGAAATCTTCTTCTGATAGTTGAAAATCATCTTCTTTCGTGACCTCGGAAACGATCCAGCTGGTTGGTATGGGCTCGGCAAGGCTGATAATGGAGTTGGGCGCGGTGAAGCGGCGCATAGAACCCTGCTGGAACCACGAAAAGGGCATGGTGGCGGTAGGATTGGAAGAGAATGGGCATTTTGTGATGGGTGATGGGTGATGAAATTGGTGGAATGATGAAATGGTGATGTGGTGATAAGTAGTCAGGTCAGTGTCCCCAAATGTGCATGTGTCACACGAGGCTCAGCTCAGACCAGACTTTTCGAAGAATATCTCAAGTTCTATATATTCAAGTAACTTGCATTTTATCAAACTGAGAGGAATACTTACACACAAGGCCACCAAGAAGAAGAGATTTACAGATTTTCAATAATCTTAGGCTCTTAGCAGTCAAGATTGTGATTGAGTTGCGGGTATGACAAGTTCCAAGCTTTCAAGTTGGAGAGTGGGGGTTCATGTTTCTAGATGATTCAGGAAACCCCTCGATAAGTGGATGTCATATATGTCAAGTAGATCAGTCACAGCTCAACGCTGGCACTCAAGATATCGCAAGTGTTAGTACTCACGCTTCATTTGAGTTATACAAGCACTCATCATGGCGGTATATTACCGGGCTGCATTTGAACGTCTAACGGTTTCCTGATCCAAATTTCTCTGCGAAAAATGGTTTGCTCAGAAGCTGGAGGCTTATGTCGTACTTCCGATCATACTATTTCAGGTATTGAGCAATTTGTCCTTGATTCGATATGAGAACCCAAAAGATCGATGTCCAGGTGGATTTTGGTTGCTCTTTCCGCATTAGTGCTCACCCTCTCGCCGCTTTTGCTCACTGATCAGCTCTCCATTTTGAACTACATAGGTGTAAGGTGTTTCCCATAACTCCGGCTGGCAAAGTATAAGTAGGATATTCATAGTGAAAGCCGAGGTAATCTTGTCTATCTCCCTGTCAGCTTCGCTATTCGCGGGTCATAAAAATCCCGGAAAAGTTCCGCTGAGAGGACAAAACTCGGATTTAGCGGATCATTTCCCTTCGGTATCTGTCTCGGGAGAGAGTGCGTTCCATAGATCGATATACAGGATGTACAGGGATCCGCCACCGATGATTGGTTCCAATCACTGTCAGCAAGAGTCAGCAAGAGCCCTGGAGTCTGCAGAACTCCACGTACTCCACTCATTAACTCCGAACCATACTTCCTCCCCGGTCATCATAAGAAGTTGCACGTGGCACAAGTGGACCTGACTCATCACTCTAAAGCCAAAAGACTTGGGAGAGAACAGCAAACTACTGTATTTCTTCACGGACATAATAGATTACGCCCGCGATGACTCGGAACGTTGGAAAAAGCGGGTCCATCTTGAACCATGAACCAACTCTGCCTGGTAATAACCACGGAGAACCGCAAAGAATATATCCAGAATTTGATGGCGATGATTGATAATTTGGACAACTTGAAGCAGCTCTTCATATAAAGCCCTTGTTGAGGACCCTGGGAACTTCAAGTTCAAGTTTCACTAATCCAACAAACAACAAGTTCCAAGGTTATTGCAATTTGCGCAAAATGGGATCCACCGATTACCAATTCGAAGGCTGGATGGGCCTGAACAAGGAGGCTGCCCTTGGCAACATGGTTTGGCAAACATTTGACCCTAAGCCTTGGGAGGAGACCGACGTCGATATGCGAGTTACCCATTGTGGAATTTGTGGTTCTGATATGCATACCCTGCGCAGCGGATGGGTGAGTACAACCATGATCTTGGCGGGAGGAAATAGTATAAATTCAATGTGAGGGCCTCAACGGCTAATCATATAAAAATAGGGCGCATCTGATTACCCCTGCTGCGTGGGACACGAAGTCGTGGGTGTTGCTGTTCGGGTTGGCTCCAAGGCCGAGGGCAACATCAAGGTCGGTGACCGCGTGGGTGTCGGCGCGCAAAGCGGTGCTTGTCTGAACCAGGATGGTGACTGTGAGGCTTGTGCCACCGGCCTTGAGCAATTCTGCAACCGAATGGTTGGTACTTATAACGGAACCTATTCCAATGGCGGCAAGTCATATGGAGGGTACTCTCTCTACAACCGCAGCCCATCCCACTTCGTCGTGAAAATTCCCGACGCCATCCCCTCCGCCGAGGCTGCACCTATGCTTTGTGGTGGAATCACAACATATTCGCCTCTGCGACAAAACGGCTGCGGGCCAGGCAAGAAGGTTGGAATTGTCGGCGTGGGTGGCTTGGGTCACTTCGGTATTTTGTTCGCTAAAGCTCTTGGGGCAGACCGTGTTGTCGCGATTTCTCGCAGGGGAGACAAGAGAGAGGATGCGCTGAAGCTTGGAGCCGATGCCTACATTGCCACTGATGAGGATCCTGATTGGGTTCAGCAAAACGCACAGTCGCTTGATCTGATTATTTCAACGGTCTCCTCATCGAAAATGCCCATTGTCGGCTACAGCCAGTTGCTTCGGTTCCGCGGTACCTTCGTTCAGCTCGGAGCCCCCGAAGATGGCAGTCTCACTATCCCTGCCTTTTCTCTCCTCATGAAGGGCATCAAGCTGGGCGGATCATTGATCGGCAGTCCCGATGAGATTCGTGAGATGCTTGATCTTGCGGCTGCAAAAAAGGTGAAGCCTTGGATTGAGGAGCGGCCGATGAAGGAGGCCAACCAGGCAATCCAAGATATGGACGCGGGCAAAGCTCGCTTCCGTTACGTGCTGGTGAACGAATCCTGAATTGTCTCATGAGATTATTGGATATTCTCCAGCTTCCTATCATTGTATACATAGATCACTACTGGTTAGAGCGATAAAATATACAATTAGATCCATTTGAGCGTCAAAGTGATACTCAGATTCATTCAAAAATGTTGACCATTCCATTTTATCATGTTCAAATGTTAGGGGTAAATTACAGATCAATTTGATCCTCAGAAATCAGGCAATTACAGGTCATAGTATATGTGATTTGGCCTGATACACTTACCAGTTACTAGTAGTACTAACCACCACTGGCAGGCACAAACAGTTATTTTTATGTGTGGCAATCAATCATGATGGCATCACTAGAGTCATCACGGTTTAATCAAGCACTGGTGGGAAATATGTCGATAAAAGATCATTATGGACGAAGTGTATTTTAAAACCTTGAATTTCTTTCAATGTTTAGTCTATATGCAGTACGCTCTTGAATATCAAGATATTTCAACCTCGAGTGCTTGAAAGAACTTATCAATATATTAGGTAGCGCCCAACCAACTCTTACCAAAAAGACCTGATTCTTACTACATAGGTACTATCAAAATAGAAACTTCGAAGCTAATAAATGCAATATGAATTAAGAAATATGAAGCCCTCCAATCTCCTTACCAACTCGTCAATCCTCGCTCACGATCAAACCCTCCACGTAACTGGGTATCCGGATTGACCACCTTCCCCTGAAGAAGTGTATACTTCACCAACCCCTCACAATGTTCCGGTCGTATTCTCGCCAACCAGATCATCTGCTGTTCCTTCTTCCGGTAAATAAGCACATTCGCCGAGAACTTATGTCCACCCACATGTGACACGAAAAAGATCCCCGCTCCACCAGGTCGGGTATCATCTGCGTCGCGATCTAGCCCAAGAGGTCGCAGATGGCGCTCCAACTCCCGCTTGATCAGTGGGGCGGTAATTCCACATCGGGCGTCACGGCGACGGTGTGAACATAATAGGATCACGTAGTCTAGTTCGCATGGACGAGAAGTGATCCCTGAGGAGAGGGCGTCATTTTTCTCGTCTGGATTATCGAGAAATTGGTTGATAAGCTCCGGTACATTGGTCTGGGTAACAGAGTCCACGAATGTAAATGATGGGAGAATGAGTACTGTTGTAGGTTTATCGTACTCCTCCGAGCCTGAATGGTTTGGTGACTGTAGATTTGAAGCAGAGACCATGAAGCGCTATAGAATTCAATTAGTACTGCGAGTGATAAGGGACCTTGGGAGTGGAGAATTCCGTTGAGATACATACACCGCGTTTTGAACTCGACTGGTCTAGAGCTTCCATTAAAGAACCGGCCTCGTTCTCGACTTTCTCTTTCCAGTCGGTGCGTCCTGTTGCCACGAGGACATGGGAGTGGAATTCCTTGATGTGGCCATACAGAGGACGTATGGTATCGACTTTCACTTTGTCGGGGAATTGGATGGTGCAGTCTGCGCAGTCTTGCAGACATTCAGGTCCATCTTGCTTGGGATCCACTTGGGGGAAAATATAGTCGGGTGCGCGACCAGTGGCGAGTGAGAGTAAGGATTTCAACATGGTGTTGAGGGTAGTGAATTTCAAGGTTTAGGTGAATTTGAAGAAGGATACTTTTTTTTCTTCTTTCAGTCTTTAAATGTTTTCTTTTTTCTGGGTGCCTGAGATTATCGCTGCAGAGTAAGTCCGAGAGCGCGAGCCCGAAACGTTAATCCCGACGCGGCTCCGCTTTCTTGGAGATTTCCGAGAGACGAATAGGTTACTCATTAATAGATGCAGATCAGATTCTGCAGTCATCATAGATATGAGTAATCATATTATATTTGCCTCGATTTTATCTGCATTTTGCCAAGCTTCAGGGGCATTCGAAATGTTCTTGCACATCCCTGCATGATTCTAAGGTTCAGGTTATTTTGATATGAAGGAAACCTGACTATGTGCTGGACCCAGTTAATTGATTACTTCAAGGGAGATCCCTGAAGAGTGAAGTGAGTTAAAAATTTCAAGTTGGGAAAAGTCGATTTTTGATGACCTTGAACTCTTACATGTGCGCCTGGGCAGGGTTCAAATGAACTATTTACATAATATGGTCAACTGGCCAGATTCATACTAGTAGTTACTACCTACTACAACGCTTACCCAGGGGTGAGAAGTGAGAAAAAAAAACCTCAAAACCTGAAAGAGCCTGGCCTAAAAATTAAGTATATCAACCTTTACTTACCATTCAAATGTTGACTTGTATAATGATGAAGCAAGAGGACTAACATGGACTCAGACTCGCGACATCATCCCAGCGTTGAACTGATACTATACTGGATTACTCAATTTTTACAGTCTACTACATTTTAGTTGATCTATTCTGCAACCCCATCTTGCAGAGAGAATCATATACTTCTACAGGAGACATGAACCCTACTAGGAATTTGTTCTTGTGGTGATGTGCACATGGGTTCAACCCTGCATTTTCTCTGCTTATCTCAGGCCCTTGGCGCCTCTCACTCCTGCTCTAACCCCTCCACCTCCCACCTCCGTCCCCACCTCCTCTACTCCACTTCTTCAATGTGAGTGTCCACCTCACGGTTGTAGATGGACAAATGGTTGGCTGTCACATCAAAACCGCTTCTCTGCCACACTGCAGGTGGAATCACTCGGCGCACCCCCTTTGCAACGTCCTGGGCCTCAAGAACAGCCGATGTGGTGCCCGGCTGGAAACATCCTACAACCCACAAGTGCTCGATGGTTGGAACACACTGAACAAGAGCTGCAGCTCCATCGAGCATGGGTTGAAGGAGATCCACCCCGGGGTTGTGTCCACCACATCGATAGCTGAAGAATGGGTTATGCCCAACACGCTGCCGGGTACGATGGTCATGAACGCCAGTAAGAAAAATGGTCAGGCTTTTGAGCTTAACGTCGGCCGGGTCCATCGTGTACTTCACCTTGGTCGGCTCTGTCCCTGGGATAAGAGGATAGGGTGAAAGTTGCGGATCGAATTCGAGGGGACAGATGTATTCGAGGAGTTTGGGACAGATGTACTTCATCCGGAGAGAAACCGTGTCCAATCGTGCAATCAGCTGTGAGAGGGCTGCCGTGCAGGGTACTGGTTCGTCCCATCCCGGTGCTTCGATCGTGCTGATTTCCAGATTCTTGAGGTTGCAATACCTGAGGGCTGCAACCAAGCCGAGATCATACCGATCGTGAAGCCGAATGTTTTGCGAATATTCATCCGTGAACTTTACACTGAAGGAGCGAAGACTACCACTGCGAGCGATAGTGGTGTGAAGAAGTTCCGGGCCCAGGGGCACCGCACCGTACCGGTCGTGTTCGTATGAGCCTTTGTTCGAATGCCAATGTCTGTTTGATCCCATGACCTTGGGAGCACCATAGTCGATTCGCTTGGTGAACCGTTCAATGCCCTTTACGACGTGCTTGGAGCGGTTCTTGGAGGCGAGACGTTGGAAGGTTTCGGCAGTGAGTTGGAAGTTTTCATACAAAACCTGAATTGCGACTGCATACCATGCAGAGCAGACCGTGAGACTGCAGTCTTTCATTCTTCGCATTTTGGCACAACCGACATCTTCGGCAATCATAAAGAGAATTTCCACAGGTAGTGTTTGGAACGAGACAGACATGATGGAGATAGATATTCAGATCTTGCTGACAGCAGCTAGAGATGATGGAGTGGTGGTTGAAGATGGTGGTTGGATGCAAAAGATGAGGGAGGGAGAAGAACCGCGTCGGAGGTGTTGAACAAAAAAGGTAGAGGAGAGATACAGAGTCGCCTATTATTTGTTTTTCTCGCCTATTATTTGTTTGGAATTGACTGCTAGGCGTCCACCAATGAGTTCGGACGATAGATCCCAAAGACGTGTTGATGTGGCTATCCTGTGACTAGGCGAACTTCACAGACATGTCGCGTCTATTTCGCCCTTCTAGGTGCTTGAAACTACAGAGACCTTTCTTTTAATTAGCTGAGATGTAGTTTCTAGATCTCATTGAGCACATGTGCACTATTCAGTAAATTATCAAAATGATACTAAGAAGTGTCGCGTCTATTTAGCTCACCCAGGTGCTTTCAAGGTTATAACTACAAAGACTTTTCTCCCAAGCACTTGAGATGCATATTCTAGATCTTGGTAAGCAGTGTTTAACATAATACTACCCATCCAAAATGTTAAAGTGCTACTTTATAGGGAACTTCATATGTGCAATGTTAAAACCTTCAAATGTTTACATAGATAGCCGAAGTAGGGCTAGACGTTAGGGCTCTTCGAAATGTTTGCTCTAAGCAGCCACCTGGGACTACCATTGTGCAGATAAGTCTACTGATTCAAATGTTCAGTCTGGATATGTGCTCTTCGAGTTACGATACATCATAATATGAGACTTGAACTTTAAATGTAGATTTCTTTGAACACTATCTAGGTAGTAATTAAGCACCTGGTATCAATTTGGGTCGACTTGCATGAATCATGATACTATTCAGCTTCGCCAGCGTTAACGTTGCATAAGAGAGGCTATGAATTCTCCTCTATACTGGAAAGAACCTTGGAATTTATATAGATTGGTCCAAGTTGTATCAAAGGAACATTCAAGTTTGCCAGTAAGTATTGGATTTGAGGACAACCCAGGGTCTGATGGAGACAGATATAGCAGCATACTAGTACATAGTGCCCCTAGTGTTTAAATAGTATTAAAGAGTCCAATATTGAGTGTAAGTATTACTACCCAGTTGCCAGTAGTATTTACCTAAGTATTATGTGAAAATGAATTCACAACAATTAATCATATATGTGAATTAAGATAGAAAGAATGGGTACTAGCAATATCTAGTACTAGTACTATTAGTACTAGGTAGTAGACAGATATGCATAGCAGCATGGATCAATAGATCAACTGGCAATATGAAAACCATTAAATGTTTAATAATAGCCAGCTTCCTAGTTGACTGCCAGAGTTCTCTCATATGGTGACTTTTTATATTGGGCACTATCCATAATAGGAAATCAGAAAGTAAATAGTTACCAAATTGAATGTCATGGAGTTCAAAAGTTTGGGCCTTCAGCCCTGGTGGCGGTTATATTGGGGGCCATTTCTTGGCTTCAGGACCCTTCTTTTTTTTTGCTTTTTCACTTAATTCTCCACGAACCTACTAAAGAAGTACTACTACACATTGTGCACCACAACTTCACAGTGAAATCATGACGGATAAATTCATCTCCAGTTAAAACAAATTCAATCTCCACAAGTTATCGAGGGTCTCATGCGGCATTATCTCCGTGGTCGGACACACTTACTGCATCGGGTCAATTTTGTGGGCCCCGTGGCCATACCACGTAAGCCGGATCAAGTCATATTATCCCACCCCCCGGAACTCTCATGAGAAGGGAAAAAAGGAGGGAGTGATTGTGAAAATTTCTGCTCCAGGGAGTTAAGCAGTTAAGCAATCCTCATCATGGAAGAGGTTCATTCCTTTGGTACACAAGCCGATCGGCCACGTAAAAGGCGTCGTCGCACTATGGCTTGTACTCAGTGTCGCAGTCGCAAATTACGCTGCGACCGAGAGTATCCCACCTGCGGCCGCTGCCTGAAAAGCAGAGCGCCCACCAAATGTACCTACGAGGATGGCTTCCTATGGCAGCAACCAACCACTGTGACAACTACAGCATTTAATCCAGACCGAGGATCCACAGTATCAATGCCCCGGAATGATCAGACTCCTCTCCAGACACCCCCGGACTCGGGGTTAGGGGCGCCGTCAATTCGGTCGGACGCACTTCTTTCGACAACCGCGCCCGGCTCGGGCCCAAACCCGTCGGATGCTCCTCACGGTCGGGGAAAACATGGGAGAGAGCGTCGTGATTGTTTCTTAGAAACCGTGCTGGGGGCTCCTAAAGCCGCTGTTAATCAAGAGCCTTACGTGAATACGGGCCTGTTGCAACGTCCTAGACGTCTGTTGCCGGAACCCGAGGTAACCTTCTCCTCGCAGATCGATACTCACGATATTATCGATGAGGGCGACCTTGATGACCCCTTAACCCCAACCAATCAGTTAGATATTGCCCCTCGCATCATGATGAGAGGTCGCGAAACGAAGACTCGTTTTAGTGGCTCGGGGATATATGCCAATTTGGTGGCTCAGGTATGTTATTGGTACTTTACGATTGATCACATATCTTGTCAATCCATTACCATTACTGGATTACCTTGATGACTGACGCTCGCCTTTAGTTCCCTGACATCAGGTCATTCGCCGAGGACATTCGGTTGTCAAACCCAATCCTGTCTAGGCTTCGTCCAGATCTGGAGCGAGTCAAACGAGGATTGTGGAAGAGGAGACCCCTCAATGAACCAATCCCAGATCCAACTACTGTTTTCTCTCATCGCTCTCCTACCCACACGGGCAGTTGCCGATGAACTCATCAGCTTGTACTTGACATACATCGAATCCACCCACCGTATCATGCACGTTCCTACTTTCCTTCAGGCCGTGGATGAATTTTGGGCAAGCTCCGATAACCCAACCATCCACTCGGCTGCCTTTGTCGCCCAAATCCTTTTGATCCTTGCCTGCGCCTGGAACTTCGCCGATGTACCTAGTTTGCAAGAGAAGAGCCCAACACCTCTTCACTGTCATACCGCTCTAATGTGGGTGCTCCATGCGGAGAAGTGGATCAACAATGCCCATATCAAGCGACCGGAGATTAATACCTTGCGTCTGTATATCTTGTTGATCACTGCTCAGAACTCCTTTGGCATCAAACGCAGCCAGGCATGGTTGGCCACAAGTCACCTGGTCAAGTCGGCCATGATGGCTGGGTACCATCGGGATCCAAGTAAGTATGCTCGGATCTCCACTTTTAACAAGGAGATGCGCCGGCGCATCTGGATTACGATCGTGGAGCTGGACCTTCAGGTCGCCATTGATCGAGGCATGCAACCAAGTGTTCAGCCTCTGGACTATGATACCCTTCCTCCATTAAATATCAATGACAGTGAGCTTCATGAAGGCACCGTCGAGCCACCGGCAAGCCACCCGATCAGTGAAACTACCGATTGCTCTTTCCAAACGGCTCTTGGCCGCTCGCTCGCTATCCGTCTGAAAGCCTGTTCACTCATGCATTCGCCGCGGATTAGCTGTCGATATGAAGAGATCCAAAAGCTTGATTGGGAATTGACTCGTCATCTCTCTCAGATTCCCGGATGGCCCTCTGCCGAGGCGAACGGTCCTCTGGCACAGCAAAAGGTGGCGTTGTGGAAATCATTGATGGAGATTAAGCTGGCACAGAGTCTTCTCTCTGTTCACACACCTTTTGCCATTGAGGCACGCCGCGAAGCCCTATTTGCAGCGTCGGCGCGGTCTCGCTTGGATGCAGCTGTCATGATTCTCTCGACTCAACGTCGCCTTCATGAGACAGCACCTCTCTTGTCGCTATGTGCTCTCGGCGAGTGGACCATCCAGGCTTACATTTCCATCTGCCAAGTATTACATTCATTAGATAGTCACACACGTAAGTCATTCCCCAGCGTCTTGTTTTCCTGTTTCATGACTGACAATCGTTAGCCAATGGCCTCTTCCCGTCAACGTCGACATTTCAACTTACCGCTCTACCCGGCATCCCCGATTCTCTTATGTCACTCGTTGAAACCGCCCTCCTCGCCCTCGAAGTCCGCTTCCTGTTAATTGTGAAGGGTGCCAAGGACTATTTCTTCCTATCAACCATTAGCGCATTAGTCAAAGCCAAACTGTGGCCCGCACAAGCGATTATGTATAAGCAACAAGTCGTCGAGCGAGTTCTATCATTCGCCCAGACATTGTTCACGCGACACGCAACTTGCGAGCATCTGGGAAATCCGGGGATGGGTAATTTTAAGGATAACCAGGTGTCTGCTTTTCTCTCCACACCGGGAATGGCGCCCGTCATTCCGGAGTTTGATGGGATGATCCCACCGCCAGATCTTGGCGTCACGGTAAGTTCAATGACTGGTTTCTATAACTTGGCAGATTATTGATGCTGATTATATTCATTAGCCGCCCGGGGATTTCGATCCCTTTTTGGATGTGTTCGATTGGGAGGATCTGACTGCAATGGCGGCGATCTAAGCGATACACAGGCAGTGTATGATAAACTTTATGACTGGATTTTCTTTCCTTGGTTCTTGTATATCTTACTCTATACTTTATACTCCGTATTCGACATACATTTCTTTTTAACACAGTACATCATGATCATTATTCATTCCACTTCCCAACAGAACAGCCCTGCACATATGAAGGAGTAATGATGCAAAACTTTTACATTCAGGAGTTTCCCCACAAAGAGCACTTGAGATATCAAGATGAGAGCTCCCAGTGGCCCACTATGAAGTCATGTCGCTGATCACTCGCAGCTAACCTGCAAGGGCTCTGCCGATCGGAACATTTGAAGATAGAAGCACAGCGAGCCACGGGATTCCCATGGTGACCAAATGCAGAAACGGGCCGAATCCCGGACTCGGAGGCCCACTAGTTCAGTAGTTCGAGTTCGATGCATTATTTATAGTCAGAGCCTTGCGGATGAATCCACCTGTGGACACAGTCTGAGTCGCTATGGCCCCAAGCTAAATTCAAGTGCGTGAGGCTCCAAGGCTGCGAAGTTCTCCGTGCTGTTTTAACATTCTGCAGGGTGATTGTTTGGCCCCAGGTTATCCGGTTGGATATTCTAAAAATAATTTTGGAAAAAACAAAAATAAAACTCAGAGTCAGAATCTGAAATCAGCCCCAGGATACCTAAGGTATTCTTCTTAACAGGACTGGAAATATCTGATACTGATTCATCCAGATGCCGGGAATTAATGGCAGCCTATAGCGGGACTAAAAGCTTCTCTTGTTTAAGCGAACGCCGTGGCGTCCTTGACAAGATAGTATAATTCCATTTTCCATAGATTAATTTCTTGAAAAGGGGTGAAGATTACCGAGTTAGAATCTGAAACTCATCTACTGAACCCAATCGCTTCATTTCGCCCAATCACCATTTGCCTCTTCACTGGGGCGTGAGTTCAGCGCGAACCGTGACAGGCTATTGTTGATGTGCTAGGTGGGACGAGACCCTGGATTTACGGGTATTGAAGTACTTATGAGGTACATGTAATTATATGATAAATTGGAGGCTCGGAGAAGTACCGTGGAAGTATCTGGACCCCAAAAATGGCAGCCTAACTTGACCCCTAAACTTGGCTTTTCTTTAGTCTCTGGATCGACGTGGGCGAGCCTCGATGGCTGTGCTTGAGAAAATCTTTTTTTAATGATTTTCATTGTGATTTACATTTATAATTTATAGTTAATGCAGTGTTCCCTTACTTATAGCCATGTGCTTGTCCCCTTCCAAGCTTCCGGGTTGTTTTTTGATTCATCCTTGATTCTTTGTTCTACTTCAACTTGTTTCAAAAATCAAATAAATTAGATCAATTTATTTAAAAAGAATGTGCCCGTCTTCTCGATAACGTTTGTTTCTTTAATTTACTGGCCATTGAGGCCCAATTCGAAAATACTCCGACCATATCACACATGTCCACCTGCGCATACTACATATCACGACTCGAAAGAGGAAACAAATAACGACACCTGAAAAACAAGCCTTCAGCAATTGAAAGGGAAAAATTACGTCAAATAATCATCATGCATTTCTCCACATACGCCTCTCTCAGCATACTGCTGATCTCCCCACTCATATCCGCGACTCCAGCTTCACAATCCATCAGCCAACTCTCCCAAGTCTACGACACAACAGACCGCCTCCCACTCCCAAACCAAGGAAAGATAGTCGCCCACGATCCCAACATAGTCTTCTGGGAAGACTACTACTACCTCTTCAAAGGTGGCGTGCATATACCCATCAACCGCGCCAAGAATCTAAGCGGACCATGGGAATCCGTCGGTACAGTCCTAGACGGACCTTCAATAATCGATACACAAAACCGCACACGTCCTTGGGCCCCAACAACCATTTACTCAAACGGCACGTTCTACTGCTACTACACTCTCAGTGAGCGCGGATCCCGTACTAGTGCCATCGGCGTGGCTACAACCACTTCACTGGGCAGTTCGAGTACGTGGATTGATCACGGTGCATTGATCCATACGGGACAGGGAAATGGATCAGAGATCTGGCCATTTAATATAACAAATGCGATTGATGCATCCTTCATTACGGATAATGTCACAGGCCAAAGTTATTTAAATTGGGGTAGCTTTTGGCATGATATTTGGCAAGTTCCTCTTTCGGATGATCTGTTATCGATTAAAAATCCTGAGTCTCCTGATGCGGTTCAGTTGACGTTTATCCCGCATCAGAAAAAGAAACCCGAGGAAGGTTCTTGGATGAGTTTTCATGATGGTTATTATTATGCTTGGTTTAGTCATGGGAAATGTTGTCAGTTTAAGACTTTCCCGGCTAGAGGAGAGGAGTATGAGATTCGGGTTGGAAGATCGGAGAATGTGAGAGGTCCGTTTGTTGATAAGGATGGAACGAAATTGTTGGATGGTGGTGGTACGACTGTTTATGCTTCGAATCATGGGGTTGTTTATGCTCCTGGTGGATTGGGTGTTTTATCTGCGAGTAGGAATGAGTCGGATATTCTTTATTATCATTATCTCAATACGAGTATTGGGTTTGCTGATATTGTGAGTTTTTTGTTTCTTTTGGACTCGAGGTCTGAGACTCTGGACTGATGATTTGTGCTAACTGAAACTTCTCATTAGGATGCTCATATGGGCTGGAACTATCTCGATTACGAGGATGGGTGGCCTGTCGTTGTTGATGCGACTGGTGCCACAAATGCTGGATCAATTCTGTCTATTCAAGTTCCGAGCTGGCTAGCATTTATTACAGCGATATGTATGTTCCACCTGTGAAACTAGGTCTTGATATGTGCAAATGCTAACTTCATATTTGGTTCCCAGGTTTATGGCTGTATATCTAGTCATAGCGGATATTCTGCCTTGACAGTCCAAGGTTCTTCGTGGATCTTTCATGCATCATGATTTTAGCGGTTGCACATACATGGGTGGACTCGGAGTTTGGGAGCATAAAATTTTGATTAAATAGCGATCATTGTATATATCACACAAGCAAATATTATGTTGGAATCATTTTCTGTCTCAATAGACTTGGAAAGATGGAAATCTGAAATTCCTTTGCACTATAGAGCTGAACAGCAGCGGAGATAAGCTCTGAAAGGGGGAAAAGAAGAATACTAGTAAAACAAAAGAATACTGAAACCAGTCAATCATCTGGCACCTGGCCTATCCATGCAGGCCATGTTCAAACATTCAAGAGTTAAAGTGCTGGCCAACCCTTTCAAAATGTTGGAGGTGGTTCGTTTCAACACAACAACCATGCTAGCTGGGCATTTCAACATCGTGGTACAATCTCCTTCCTTTCGCCCGACGGAACGTATTCTGTGAGGAAACCTTGCTCTCGATTGACACAGTGTCGAACAGTGTCCTTGACTGTCCAGAGGTGGTGAAGAGTATCCGTAAAGGCGAATCGGCATTTCTGACATGTGAGAGTAGTAAGTCCACAAATTCCTCGCACATCTCCTGCGCTTCACTTTCCAGCAAATTGATTCCTGAGACAATGAAATATCTCAGCGTAGGCGTATTTGCGAGAAGATGTTTCAGCAGTGCTAAACTGGAGGTCCAACGTTCCCCTGGCTGAGTGAGTTGATCGATCATTTCTCGCTGCAGGAATAATTCATCACCGGGTGGCTGGAACTGTAGTAATTGGAGTATCAGGCTATAAGCCATCGCAAGAACTGCAGCTTTGCCTTCGAGATTCTGATACCCAGGTACTGCTCCAGGTCGGGGTCGATGACAAGTGTAAGCCACGAACTGCGCTTTGGCTTGAATTGCTGTCCAGATGACTCCATATGCTGCGAGCTCCGCACTAGTCTGTGGACCTGGCTCGTAAGGGCTCATGATCCATAGGATGAGATCATTACCGCACGTAGATTGTGTCCATCTTCCGAGTGTGTGGATTATATTAGGCTCTGCGACAAGTCGTCCAGCTTGACGAGCTGGCTCGATGCCGTCACTACCACCCACTTGATTGATCAGCGATTGTAGGTCGAGGCTTTGGCATAGTTCCTCGGCCTCGGCTCGGCTGATACCACCAGTGATTCTTAGAACTTCTGTTGGCTCGTATCCCTCTATGGAAGATGTCTCGGAAGATGTATCACCTGAAGTCTCGTGGAGTCTTGGTAGTTGTGTACTCTCTAGGCGTTCCACTAAACGTAAAAGAAGGTGTGAGAATTGGACCAGTAAGGTTAGAATCATGTAAGGGGTAAAGGACACTGCCTACAGCGTCCATCCAGCTGAAGTAAGAGCTGATACATTTTCCCCCCAACATCATTATTTGCGTTTCGGGCTTCTTTAACTTCTTTTATGATGCTTGCGGCTGAGTAGGCCAATGCGGGCATAATATTTGTCACTTGGCGCGCATTCTCGATCTCCCCCTGCTCCCTGAGAAGCTGGATAGAAGTTTGTATTTTTGTTTTTGTGCCCTGGTAGCTTGTCGTGAAGTTGGAATTGAATGAGTCGAATATTTTGGAAGACTTGGGCTTCATGTACCAAGTCGCAACTTTGGTGAAGAACTTAAAGTACTGCTCATAAATTCCACATAGCCTTTCCTTCATATCCACATTTGTGTATAGATCAAGCCAGTTTGTGCAAATAGAAATGCGGTCTGATAACTCTGCTACGTATCCCGACAGAGTTTCAGCGATTGTTGCGTAGTTAATTGAGGCCTAAAGTATCAGATATTAGAATCGTCACAGCAATAGGAATGGGCTTAGAGTTGTACTTGAACGATCATCGTGACAGCACCACATAGTGCAGACGTATAGTCAGACTGACTCGGGAAGCATTGAAATATTTGTTTATGATCGTTGAGTTTCTGACAGATTTTCATAAAGTTCGTTGCGACCTAGAATTTCCTCACAGTCAATCGGGTTGTTTTGACATTTGATAGTTGTTAGTCCTACCTTGCTATTTGATTCATTCCACTGTTCCTCAAGTTCAGTGGCCATAGAACTGACTTGATCCACCGTAAACTGTCCTCGGTTACGCATCTCCTGAGCCAGCTTTTGTTCTGTGCTGTTTCGATGGAACATACGGCGAACGCTCGATTTCTTTTTATCTGCCTCATCTTTCTGTTCTATTGATTTGAAAAATTCTTCACATTGAGACTGAAGAGCCTGACGTGCAATCTCGAGTCCTCCAACTGATCTGTATGACCGTTGTCAGCCGCCTATAGTGATAACCTTGGAAGGCAATATATGCATATAGACCAGTTGACATACTGTTCTTTTATCTTTCCCTTATCACTGACATGATCCATACGCATCTTCTCTCTTATCTCAATTTGTTTGTCCATGTCCTCTTGAAATGCTTTCGTCTGAATTGCTAAATCGGAGTCATCCTTGAGTTCAGATGTAAAACGGCGCACAAGCTGTGGCTGTGACAACTCTTCTGTACTCATAGCTCTGATTTTCGTGCACTTCTGGGCCAGATCAATCGAAGGAGTATTTTTGGTGGCCCGTGAATCCTGGAAATACTTCTAGATTAAAAGCCGGAATGATTATTATCTCTGCCTATACCGAATGTGGCTGTGACTGCTTGCTGACCTTCCTGCACAGACCTGGACCCCGGGGCCACCCCACTTCAGCCGTGTTCACCCCGCTTCGAGAATGTCCACAAGTCAACGAAATGATTTCCTACGAAGCTCGGAACCTTCGAATGAAGGCGTGTAAAGATATCTGGAAAAGAGAATGTGAGATACAATCTGTGGTGTTAGAGATGGACAAAAATGCACGCAATTTCGAGCTGAAGGCTGCGCATCGTATTGACCTTCACTATCACAAAATGGGGCCGGCTTGGCTTGCATGTTAGATGATAACCAACGAATGACCAGCGAAAGGAGCTGTGACTAGTATCAAAAAAGCCATTCAAATGTTCAAGTTGTGACGTGGCACCTGCACATGTGGGCTTCGTCACATTCGTGCTTGCCGCAAACATATGTACATCTGTTGATATTCACATGAACCCCGCCCCCTATTGCGGCTCTACATTCGGAGTGAACCCTGGAAGACCCTTCCATGCCCTGGATGTTTTTAAAATTATCTTGAACCTTTGAATTGCTATGGATGGTGCTACAATGCTCGATAGTAGGCCCGTTGAGGTTGGCCCCCCCCGGAGTGAACGATGAGATGATCCAAGAAGTAACCGATCCACAAAATAGTAAGTAGATAGGAGGACTCATCCTGAGTTACGCTGGCTAACTCTCTATAACAAAAAGAAAGTGAGGGCTCTGTTCCAATCGTTCACTCTGAGAAAATTTCAGACGAGGTTGGGGGTGTTGGTGCAGCAGAGCCTGGCGATTCTAGCCCTGTCACTGAGGCGAACTCACAGACAGGGACTGAGGAAGATAAGGAGGAAAAACTGTCCAGTAGTGAGCGCATTGCGAGAAAAGAAAAGGTTAATGCTGCTGCGTCGAAAGAGGTGAAAGATCAACCGCATATCGTGTTTGTTGATCCAGTTGGCACACGATGGCTCTTGCCATATGGGGTTGCCAAAACTTGGGATGTCAGTTAGTCGAGATCATTGAAATTCAATTTCCTGGTGATTTGAGAAATAATGTTAACTCTATTTACAGGGTGCCAAAATGTTGCTCAAGTCGATCTTTACCGATATCTACCTCCCTGAATGGGTTGCGGAAGATATCGATGCAAAAGACGAGGGACCCAACCCGGACTTCTTGATTACTCAAACCAAGCCTCACGACTGTCGTATTCTCACGAGCCATTGGGACCACTTAGTGTCACCTGGCTGGGAATTCAAGATCCAATTCACTGGAGTTACTGACGTGACCGGTGCAATAAGCAGGGAAAAGGAAAACCAGATGAACAAGGCCAATGGACAGGATGAGAGTGATGGTAGCGACCAAAACTCAACATCAGAAACATCCGACAGCGAAGAAGAAGAGCTGGAGCCCGCAGTAGAAATGAGTAGCATCATCTATATTGCGACTTATCTGGAGATGGACTCCGATGGTGACTACTTATGGCAGAGCAGGGCGCGAAGCGCGGAGAAAACCAAGCTCAATGGGGTCTTTGAAATCAAAAAGGTCAATAGCGTTATTGAGGAGACTAGAGAGGTCTACTCTAGTAGCAGACATGATAATAAGCGACGAAAGAACGCAGGGTATGATACAATTGGCAAGCCAGTATTGCAAGTCAACTCGCCATTCTTACTCAATGCTCTCAAGGCTACTATTGAGTGTCAGTCGCGGCCGGATGAGTTCTATCCGAAACAAAACAGTCGTGGAAGAACTGAGACTGACCTGGGACTCGGGCGACTTGTGTACCCTTTCACCGATATCTATCTTCATCGAGAAAAGCTTGTTCAGTATCGAGAGAAGGTTGGAGAGGTTCATGATGATGAATACACTGCTACATGCAAGGAGCATATTGACATATTGCTCGAGTATATCTATGATCTTCCCGAGATTGGGTTGAAAGATGCCGAACTCCTTTTCAGCAGTGAAATTCCAAAGACAACATTTGGCTCTCTTTGGCTTCTCCTCAAGCCTGGCTCAGATGTCTTTGTCCGAGAGTATGGAATCATCAATGCATATGTCATTGAATCCGTCTCTGGAGGATTATTCGACTCAGGAAGTTCACGTTCGAGCTCATACTGTGTTTCTGTTTGGAATCTGAAGTACCGCGGCGGAAAATTCCTCACGCGCTCGATCAAGACAGTTTATATTCCCGTCTTTGAGTACGAGAGAGAAATTTCGTCGTTGCCTCTATATCCTATTCAGTTCCACGTAAATGAAGACCCGGAGAACCCTTTGCGCCAGCAATTGATCGAGCGTGGGAAGCGATTTGTCAGAATAGCGAAGAATCCTACATACCAGGAGTACACTGGCCCAAGTAGAATGCAGGGTACTCGCACTGTGAGTTTGACACATACTATCGATATTGATTCTTTAATTTCATTCAAACCTTTTGTCTAATCTCACAGCGATATAGTTTGCCCAGACACGGGTCGTTGTCGACCAATCTGAACTCGAAGAATCAGATGATTATCATGAGGATGAATTAGGCAGCCGAACCCGGAAGCCACTATGCCCGTGTGCAACATGCAAGGCCAAAAGTCCTGCACAACACGGCATTGACAGTCGTCTATTTGATGACTACGATAGGATTGATCTCAACTCAGAAGATGATATCATAGACCATCAGTACTTACTGTGTTGCTCCCATGCTTATGCATATGTGCTGAAAGATCGGGCCTGGGGTTGGTTGCGCATACTTCAAGTTCCCGAAATAAGTTGACAAAGAATTGCTAACGTTTGGACCTAGACTCACTGCTTGTCACTGGTATGAGAGATCCTAAGATCGATGAAAATATCATTGACACCCTCGTCATGAAGCCGGAAAGCAACAAGAGTCTCATCAAGGCTGTGTGTGAGATATTTGGCGGAGGATACACGCAGGCTTTTTCCTCTGATTTTGTTCGGGGCAAGGGAGAAGGTCAGATCTTGCTACTGCATGGTCCCCCAGGAACAGGAAAGACTTTGACTGCTGGTATGGAAAAGCAACTTGAAGACTGCCATTGAGGTTATCAATATTAACCGTCATTAGAATCCGTGGCGGAATATACCGGTCGGCCTCTCCTTAGCATTGCTGCGGCCGACTTGGGCTATGAGCCAGTGAGACTGGAGGAGAACCTCCTTCAATTTTTCAGAGATGCCAAAAAGTGGAATGCAATCGTCCTACTTGATGAAGCTGATGTTTATCTTGAGACTCGGTCTAGCAACGATCTGCGACGGAACAGTATCGTATCTGGTGAGTTATCATACATTTCGAATATTGATCAAGAAGATAGGCTTATCACTAAATAGTCTTTCTGCGAGCTCTGGACTACTTCCAGGGTATCCTCTTCCTAACTACTAACCGCGTGGGAAGTTTCGATGAAGCATTCCTGTCACGAATCCATGTGCAGATTGGATATGATCCATTAGACGAAGAGTCCAGACAAAAGATTTGGGATGGATATTTCCAGAAGTTGGATAGCAACCACGAGGAGGGTGGCCAGAAGATTGAGTATTCCATGAGTGCCAAGGAGTACGTTGAAGTGAAGGAAGACCTTCGAATTCTCCAATGGAACGGACGTGAGATACGAAATGGTAAGCAGCAATCAGTCTCTATAAATAACTCACGTTCGCGGCTCACATTATTCAAGCCTTCCAAACCGCCGTCGCGCTTGCGTGCTTTGAGGCAAAAAGCAAGAAACGCACACCTAAACTTACAGATAAGCATCTAGCCCAAGTTGTCACTATGTCTCACAACTTTAAGAGCTACCTGAGGTCGGTTCATGGAGCAGATGGGGATTTGGCGTGGGCTGCACGGGTGCGAAATGACAAGATTAAGGCATCGGAGGGGAAGATTTCGAATACACAATCGACGAGAATCTAGATCATGATATCAATTCCCATTTGATAGGATTACACTGTTCTGGATATGATAGTTAAATTACACGCCGCACTTGAAGTTGTCTGTGATTGCCCTCCATTTTTCAAGATTTTCACCTTGACATTCGATCATATTTATTCAAATGTTAGATCATATTCCTCTTCGCGGCACTAGATAATAACTTGAACATACAAGTCCTAGCGCCGCGCGAAGCTTGCACACGTGGGAAATAATTGGAAAAGATATGTACTTGACTAGGAATCTCTGTTAAGTGAACACTCAACTAAGCACCCATACTTCCAAGGTTACACACTCAGTCACAGATCTGGACCTTTCCTCGTATCCGTAGGTGATTTTTACCTACTCATCTATGTATGTAAGAACCCGATGAGGCAGGTTAACGGCCATGTAAGGATAAAGAAGAAAGATGGAGGTATCGATTGGGGAACTGTAAACCTGAAGAATGAAGAGATCAACCGGAGTAATGCTACTAATAGTAGGCGGTACAAAATTCTCCAGTATTCGAGTAGCGAAAGAGATTGGAGGTTTACTCTTTAGCATTCAAATGACTCATGCGATTGCGCATTCAAAGATTCTAACCTCCATCGACGTTGTACACCTGGCCAGTGGTGTAGGATGATGCATCACTCAATAGAAACACCACAGTCTGAGCCACTTCCTCTGGAGTTCCAAGGCGGGGAAAAGCCCTGGACGGGACTCCAGTTCGACCATGGATGAACGCAGCCCGATCAAATAGTGGAGAATGAATCGAGCCACTGAACGTAGAATTAGCATTAACCTAGCGAACTCAGAACCCAGTTCGCAAAACTCACGGAGCAACAGCATTGACGCGAATCTTAGGCCCAACCTCTTCCGCAACAGACTTCGTCAACCCCATAACGCCATATTTGGTCGTGTAATGAGCCGCATTTAATTGATGCCCACGCACACCCTGGATGCCTGCCGCATTAACAATACTTCCCTTTCCATCAGGAGTATTTTCCATAATGGCATTTAATTCTGCTTTCAAGCAGTACATCAAACCTGTCAGGTTAACCTCCAATATCCTATCCCATTTGCTAATTCCCATACCCGCGAATCCACCAGTACCGTCATTTTCGCCGATCATACCGGCCATGTTCGCTGCACCGTCAAGTCGTCCAAAGCGCTTCACTGTTTTAGTGATCCAATCTCTCACATCGTGTGCACAGCTGATATCAAGGACAGTGGTCGTGACATTTGGGCCGAGGATTGGGGAAATCCGGTTGCATGTGGAGAGAGCAATCTCAGCGGCGTCGAGTGTTGATTTTGATATATCAGCTAGAGCGAGATATGCGCCAAGGGCGTGGAGTTGTTTTGCAACGGCGAGACCGATGCCCCCTAGTCCTGTGATGGCATAGACTTTGTATTTGACTGAATCCATTTGGTAAGTTCTTTGAATTCCTTGGATACATTCCTTAATGAAAAGAGAGAGTTTCGCGATAGAGGAGAAAAGAAAACCAAAACTGTCGATGACCCTGTTGTGAGGGGAGTCAGAGCTACTCCGCGTCGCGCAATATTTGAATCAGTTTCAAGATTTAGATGCAGCAGATCTGTGTAGCAGTGGGCAAATGGCATAAGATTTCGCATGAGTACTGTGGGCATGGAGGCATCCTATGCTATGCAAACATGGATTTCATGGGTATGTATCCATGGATATCATTCAGGGTTTAAGAGGCTTAGTATAACTCGAAGCTCACGTGCCGATCCAATGCTCAAATTGGGTATCTCAAAAGAATCAAATCACTACTTCCTACATCATCATTCCCGAAACCACCAGTACACTAACAAACAACACAGTCCATGCTCCCTTTGACACTGAAACATGTGGATCAGCACCCGAGTCTTTCGAGTTACCTCCATACTCAATATCCTTCGAGTTCAAACAGTATGAAACATCCTGCGCCTGCTTCTCTGAGCTCGAATTGCATACAGCCGTACAAGGTTCCGGGTTTGAATATAACCACACCTTCGAATGACAACATGACTTAAGCACCTCTTCCATATCCTCATTTGGTGTTTTCGTTTGGTACAGAGGGACCTCGGCATAGTATTTTGGCGCACCAGGGATAGAGGGGAAAGAGTCGCGGGAGTTATAGCAGTAAGCTGGTTGACTGTTGTTTAAGGTGGTGACGTCCATTGTGATTATGGAGACTCGAGATCCGAAATAATCGGATTTGGATATTCCAAGCTAATATCAATGGGAACCCAGATTAAGACGCCTCTTTAGAGCCGGAATTCATGGTTGAAGTTGAGTGGAACTGCAGATTCTGAAGACGTCTCGCACCAGCGTGGTGGAGCTGAAACAATTTTGAGCCTCAGGTAGACGAAAAACGAGCAAAATTCAAGTGGGAATGGACCCTTTTAAACTCGTCGCTTCTTCAATCCAGGGAAATGCCAAGGCGCTACGGCTGACGGGCTGAAGCCACACAAAATCGCGCGTGGGCCCTTGTCAGGGTCACTCATAAACTGGGTGAAGTTGGGAATATTGTTGCATGGAATTTTGGCGGTTATGCATCTTTTATCACTACTGGGACGAGCAACATGCCGCATCCCACACTGGCATATCGAGATTTTCAATAGAGCTGGTTGACAGACGAACCGAAGACTGAGCTTCCAAAATACAAAGTTATGTCTTGAAACTCTGAATACGAAGACGAATCTATTTGCGCCATAAGCATGTCTCTATGAGCATGGAAGCATGATGAGTCTATATACAAAATATCTACAAGTCAAGTCCTCTGTATCTACAGTTTTGCTTCCCGATTAGCCTTCCTCCACATCTTCTTCCTCCGCTCATGGCCCGCATCAAAATCATCCACCCACTTCTGTTCAAAAGGAGGGAGTCGTCTACCCGGCATCCCCTCACGTGGCTCGCCAGCAATGCGTCTCAGATCTTCAAAATAGGCCCGGAAGTCGGGGTTGACAACCGTGAATGCTGGTCCATCACCCTTCTTCGCGATTCGGTCCGTCTCCCAATTGTCCTGTTCCGCCAACGGGGGTAGCGCACCTTTGCCTGCAAGGATACGCGCCGCAGCAACAGCTTGCCATTCGAAGACCTTGAATGTGAGACCAGCACCGACAGCCCCGAGGAATACCAAACTAGGGTCGTGGCGGTAGAAAACGTGTTGGTATAGATCGGGAACACGGTTGTTGCGGGTTGGGACATCAGGCAGGAAAGGTAAAGTCCAGGTGAACCCTGTACCGAAGATGATATGGTCGACTCCACTGACGGATGTTCCATCTTCGAAATGCACTGTACGATCCTCGCTGGTGATGTGTGAGATTGGTGCCCGGCGTTGGATTTTAGGATGCCTGAATGCCTCGTCGCCGAAGAAGACGTTATACCGGCCACGGACTACGGCGTGGATTGGTGTTTGTGCGCTGTCAATTAGGCTGACTGCTGTATCTGCTGCGGAGACTGATGCACCGACAGTGATGACTTTCTGCGGTATGGTTAGTATGTGGTGGATGATAAGTTTCCGAGAACCATTACTTACCTTTCCTCGGTATGTCTCTGGTCCACGGTAATGCTTTGTGTGTTCAACGCTCAGTGGGTATCGTGCAGCGAATTCTTTCAGACCCCGAATGGCGGGAATATATGGAACGGCATAGTGACCTGAAGCCACTACAAGAGCATCGAATGTCTCAACCCACCAGTAATCAGATGGCTTGCCATTCTGAATCTCTCTACGGCGAATTGTGAGAACCCACTTTTGGGTCTTTGGGTCTTTGAGCGCGCGCTCAACTGTCGTGTTGTATTCAACAAGATCGGTGTAGCCCTTCTTGGTGATCAAGTCCTCAATATACTGCCGGATGACAGTGTGGTGCCGAAATGGAGTTTCAGGACCGTGTCGGTCAATTGACCACTGGGAGCGAACAGTGGGAATGGGCTCTTGTGAATAAGACATCACTCCCGCATCCACGTTCGTCTCCAACCCGGGGTACACAGGAGAGTCTGTGTAGCGATCCTGGGTTACTGCCGGAGTCCGACAAGGTAACTGTGAAGGAATCTCCAGCGGCGCATCTGTAGTGCGATCGGCCATGCCATCAAAGTCGAGTTGACGAGGTGGCTCGTCATCTCTCGAGACCCTACGTCGTTGTTAGACATGAATTTGACATTTTATGTAATAATGTGTGAATGGGGAACAAACCAGCATCCACCGGCCTTTTCCTGCCGTTCGAAGACTCGGACTACATCGAAGGCTTTCTCTTGCATCAATGCATCAATGGCAATAGCCCCCGATGGACCGGTGCCGATAACGGCAACGCTTTTAGCAGCCGGCATAGTGTAAGATTGAGGAGAAATGCAAGAACAATATTAATAACAGGTGCAATTAGGTCCAGATATTGATATGAATGTTTCAATCAATGTTGGTTCTCTCGGCCGATGAGAATTTGACTATATTGAGAGAACAACTTGGAACCCTTTAATCTGAAGAGATAAAGTTAGAGTCTGTCACGCCATCGGGTCTTCTTTTGAGCAAAAGAATTGATAACCCAGACCAATGAGATATCAAAACTATTGTCATAAGTACTTACATGATAATTTGGAGCATCCAATGTTTTAGATATAAAAACAAAGTTGATAATGAAATTCTGCAAGTAAAAACCCCATTTTTTTTTCAAACGCCGATAAATCTCAAATTTCTAATTTCTAACACCGAATTATTGGACCATCATTCGTACATTTCATTGGTGTAAAATTCGTGGATCAGGAACTGTATTGTGATTGGTCAAGAATTATTTGATTGATTGATGCCCGGTAAAACATGGTGGCAATCGCCATAAGGGAAGCACGTGACTATCCTGGCAACGCGAGGCACGCGCAGCGCGTCGACTATGGAGGAGTATGTTCTGTCGCCCTTGCTCGTCCCGCAAAGTCGGCCTTCCAACACTCCATTTCAATTGACCTTAATAATGACAACCTCCTTCATAATACCCATATCACGATACCAGTAACATTGTCCTAAAAATTCAACCCACCATGTCCTCCCCATCTACACCGCGTTCGACGCGTTCCGCGTCGCCAGGAAATTCACCAAATATGCTCACCCCGGCCAAAAAATCAAGGCCATGATGGCTCAATTCGACAGCGACTCCGATTCAGATAGCAATACCACCCGGCGCCAAAATACAGTCTCGAAGCTGGACTTCGGTTCCAAGTCAATCGCCTCAAAGACACACCAAAACGAATCAGACAATTCCGAGGACTCGGATGACGAGGTAGCTGTCCAGCCGAAAGGACGAATGGCAGCCCGGATGCAAGGCACTACAAATTTACAAACAGAAAAAGAACAGAGCTCAGCGCCTGTACCAGCAGCCGAAAGCGAACCCGATGCCGATTCCAGCGAAGATGATCTCCCTGCTGTGCGGAGGAGAAAAAATAATGCGGCTACACAAGAGTCGCCGGACGCCAACATATCCCAACATTCATCTTCTCGCGCCCGCTCTGAATCGCCTCTATTCGTCGAGGAAGAAAATGACGCCGATCAAGAGAATGAACAACCATCTAAAGGGAACACAAGATTCCTTGCGCTTGTGGCTCAAAAGCGGAAAGAGCGCGAGGAGCGTGAGAAAGCCGAGGAAGAGAAAAAGGCTGCCCGAAAAGCACAGCTGGAGAAGTTCAGCTCTGACATGATTTCTGGAGAAGAGAGCGGAGCTGAAGATCCAAAGTCGGCACACAAACTTAGCCAGAAAGCTCGACAACCGCGCAAGGCCAGTAAGAAGGCTATGGATGAGATGAGACAAGAAACGCAGCGTATGAGCCGAAACATGCAACTTGCTCATCAGGCACAGACGAAGAAGAAGATCACAAAGGAGAGCTTCTTTGCTCGATTCAACTTCGGAAATACTGGACCTCCTACTGCCGAGCCTGCGCAGCCCAATTCCTCCTCCGCAACTGGATCAATGCAGTCATCAGATGGCGAGGCGGTCCAGAAAACTCGTGACACTCCTCATACTTCTCCTGTACTTGGCCCCTCCGACGCACAAAAGCCAGCGCAAGACGTCTCTACGCAACTACATCCCGAAACTGATGATCAGGCCGCGACTGCGCTTGCTGATCAATCTGCGCCAAAGGAGATCATTGCATCAGAGGATGTGCAAACAAAGCCGTCTGGAGAACTAGTGACCCTTCCTACGCGTCCTCCGAAAAAAGAACCGTTCCAGCTCACCCGCCCCGCTGTCCGGGTTCTCATGTCGAGGCGCGAAATTGCTCGGCACCAACAGGATCACTCAGATAGCGATGATCTTGATGTAGTCACTTCGCCTGGCAAGGCTCGTTGTATTGCCGCTTTCGAGAACCTGCCCGCCAGGAAAATGCAAGAGTCCGCTTCTATGACCAGGCTCAAGGCTCTGGCCCACTTGACCTCTCCCACTCGCAAATCGACCTCCATGTCCAATGCGGAGCTCTCAGCCAGTCTTCTTTACAAGGCCCGTCAGCAAGCCGCGAAGGAACGCAGAGAGCGCATTGAGGAGCTCCGTGCCAAGGGTGTGGTTATCGAAAGTGCAGAGGAGCGTGCAGCTATGGAGGATGACATGGAGGATTTGGTGGAGAAGGCTCGCCGAGAAGCCGATGACATCAAACGGCAAGAGAGGGCTGCAAGGAAGAATGGTCAAGATTTGGACGATGAAGAAGACGATGGTGATTATGAATTCTCAGGCTCTGAGAATGAGGAGCTAGGATCTGCCGATGAAGACGATGATGCTGGCAGTCTTGCTGATAACCACGGTTATCTTGAGAATGAAGCAGATGAAGCAGATGAATCATCCGATGGCGAAAGCGAGGCTTTAGCTTCAGATGACGAAGTTGAACCCCCCGGGACACGGCGCAAGCGTCCAACACGGGTGGTCAGTGATGATGAGGACGAAGAGGAAGCTCAGCAACAAGTTCCATCTACACCCGTCAGACCCCCGTCAATCGCTGCACGGTCCGCGGAACGACCTCATTTCCCTGGCATGGACTCACCCAATCTATCCATGGGTCTTACTCAAGCATTTGCTGGTACCCTAGCCGATGATAATGATGACATGAGCCGGCCAGCCTCGGTTGCAGTCCCATTCTCTCTGCCAGATCCAGGCCGCCCTGTACCTAGACTTCATCAAGAGGAGTCTGAAATTCTTGTTAAAGACAGCCAAGAACAACCGGACGAGCCTGAGTTCATGAACAACTACCGCCAAAATATCACCCGAGTCTCTGAATCACCAGCTGGGCGAGCATTCTCTGAATACTCGCAGCTTCCAGACCCTACTCAGGACGAAGGATTTGTGTTTTCTCCTTTTGATCCTTCCAAGCGATTCAGAGGAACGCCGCCAGTCTCAACTGTAGAGACCGTACTCCTGGGTCAAAGTCAGTCACCTATTGCTGAACGAAAGAGCAGACAGCTGCGGCGGGGACGTGCAGCTGATTTGTCAGCTGTTGCAGAGGAAGCGGAAACAAACGAAGGTGACTTCGAGGTCAATCCCAGTGCCTTTAATGTGATGAAGAAGGCCTCGAAGAAAATACATGTTCCCTATGACAAGAAGAATAGCAAGGCCAAGGGAATCGTCGACGAGGCTGCAGAAGAGTCCGAGGACGAATATGCCGGACTCGGCGGTGCTAGTGACGAGAGTGATGGAGAAGAGAATGCATACGACAAGCAAATGATCAACGACAACAGTGGTGAGACTGTTGACGAGAAAGAGCTTGCCGCTCTCAATGCGTGAGTTTCATACCAAATATTCTCAAACGAACAAGAAATTGACTAACAGCTATTCAGTGTCCATGACCGAAACCGCGATGAAAAGGATGTGGCCAAGCTGCTTAAGGATATCACTACTGGAGCCCTTCGCCGTCGACGTGGTGCTGCCGATGATGAGTTTGATCTCGATGACTCTGATGACGAACGTACAGCACGTCGACGTGAGAAGCAACGGGAGTTTGCCAAGATGCGCAAAGCCCTTCTGGCAGACGACAAGATGGGTGAACTTGCAGAGGATCCCAAGAAAGCAGCATTCTTCAAGGCCATTGAAGATCGCGAGTTTGAGGATGATTTTGAGCTGGAATTTTTGGAGGAAAAGGAGAGCGAATCCCAAAACGAATCATCGCAAGATGTTCGTATGGAGGGACAGGAAGATAATACTCAGGACGACAAGAAGCGCAAGCGACCTCTTGAACCTTCAACGGAAGACATCGCAAACCGTCCTCCGCCTAATCTTCGTCGCACTCCCGCTAGTGCTATGTCGAAGAAGCCTGCTACATTGGCTGAGATTCGTGAGACTCTGTCCTTCTTGACCGAGACACCCGAATACGACTCTTTCCACGAAGATGCCTCTCTTGATGAAGATGAGCCAGGTACTGAGGGGGATGACGCCGACGAGGCAGTCCACTCTGACAACGCCAATTCACAACCCAATGAGGACTTTGCTAAACCCAGTCACCCTCGTCGCACCCGCGCGCCTGTCGTCGATCGCCTGTCTCTACTCCGTCAAGCTTCATCGAACTCCGCCACTGCGACATCTACCGGTTCCAGCAACACGAAAATGGCTTTCCAGGCCGGTGCTAGCAACGATGGCCCTATCGGGTTCCGACCACCCCAACTTCTACGTCGTGTCACAGCTGGCTCCTCGTCCTCATCTTCATCTTCTGTGTCAGCATCTAATCGCGTGACGAAGCCTACTGCTTCTGGTCCTAAGAAGGGTGGTGCTGTCAATTCTTATACCGCTGCGCGGGAGAAGGAGCGAGAGAAGGAACTTCGCATGAAGCAGCGTAACGGAGGTTCCAACGTTGCGAAGTTATTGAACAAGCATGCTGGTGGTGGATTGGCCGGATTGGCTGGAAAAGGCCAATGGGATTAAGTCCTGGATTGTTTTGGGTCATGTTTACTTGATGATATGTTATGCATGGTTGTACATTGGCATTGTGGGATTTAAGGTGTGGCGTTGATGGGTGGAGTTTTCTTATTTGTTTAAGAGTATTTGCAATATGCGTCATTTGCGCCATTGTTCAGGTTGAATCAAGTTTTTTCACTCCTAATCCTGCTCAGATCCATGTCCTTACATGTATTTTTTCCCTGTTTAAATTGGGGGCCATGCTTCGATAACATCCCACCCCGCTTGACAAGGCTCCGTAGGGGTCCGGTAATCGATATAAATCGACCTGTCATCTCAGCCTTGCAACTTGAAGCTGCAAGATCCCTCCTGCATTATCATCAACTCCGTTTCTCAGGTATAAACCCTTCAGTCCAAGTATACAAGACAGCATGCCTCCGATGACCAAGATATGGCTCTCTACCTTGAAAGACCCCAGTTCCATTTCCAGCCCCAAGTTCCAGCAACTCATCACTGAGCTCCTTGAATTCTGTGCCTCTTACACGAATCCAACTGCGGATAAATCGGTTCCACCCATGCACGTATTCTTCCGGAATACAAAGGAGCCATCTCAGCTCTTCATGATCACGGGCTATCCATCTTAGGAAATGAACACAGAGGCTGATATCGTTTACGCAGAACGATATATGCCACGGATGTTTGAGCTCGTACAGCATAAGGTGCTACGACAAATTGATGTCGATGTTCAGACTTTACCTCTAAGTGGGGACGTTGTCCTTACAGTAGGGAAGAATCCCGAGGAATGGAAGGATGAGAAAGCCATTGGAAACTGCGATTATTGGTCTGAGACCCGGGGAATCAATATTGAGGAAGCGGAAAAACTATGGGTACAGGTTCATGCATGGGATGGAGATTCCCTACGATCAGAAAGTCCAGTTGATGGGGTGATAGTATTCTTGAGGCAAATTCAGAGCTCGTAATCAAGTACCAGCGTATCATTCCAACCGCAATTCCCAGAAGATATCCATCAATGAATTCAAAGTCCCCGGTGGTTTCTCTCGCATATTCGCTCGGAGGAGCAGATAGCTCTGCCATCCTGCATTGTGTGCAGCAACATAATCCTTGTAATAGTCATCACCAATGTGTACTCGAGTCCAGGGTTCGTTATGATCATCCTTAGGAACGCCAGATTGACGCACTAATTTCCGGGCCTGTCGTTCCGCAACGTCGAAAATCAATCGATTTGGTTTCTCCGCACCAGCTTCGTAGCTTGTAATCACCATATCAACATCATTGTCTGGATGTAGGCCATTGTATCGCCCCATGGCAGCATCATAATCAAGATCAGCATAATCACGCTGCTCAAACCCAGGTAACATCATACTTAAAAAATCCTGATCAGCACGTTGATCACCAACCCGTAGCCCCAGATCCTTGAGTACAGCCGGAACGCGATCATCCGAGTTTGAAATCACACCAACAACGACGCGATCAAAGCGACGGAGCCTCATGGCCTTAAGCTCGCGCATTCCTGCAAAGAACGGCGCAACATCCTCATACAGCGCATAACCCTTCGCACCGGCAAAGCGATCAATCAGGTTCTCCACTAGTCTTTTTGGTAACTTAGGCTGTCTTTTGGAAGAAGTCTTTGATGTAGATAGTGTTTGCGCGAAGGTATTCCGAATCAGCTCTTCCCACCATTGTCTTGGTCCGCCATATCGCCCGCGCAGCACATCGGCGCGACCGTAGTTCGGGTACTGAGTTATTTGGGTTCGGAAGTTGTCTTTAAACGCGGTGGTTAGTTTCTTTGGGGTTACCGCTGTTCGGGAGAGACCGAATTTGTGTGCGACTGATGCGTATTGTTCTGGGACGGAGGGACGAGGGTAGAAGAGGGTGTCGAAGGCATCGAATGTTAGAAGGAGGGTTCGTGGTGGTGATGTCAAGTTTGATGTTGATATTATTTGTTTTGGGGGGGGATGAGCTTTAAAGAGCTGACGGGTTGCCATTATGGGCGTGGTGAGGAGTTGTTATTGACAGTAACCTGAGAAGGTCGCGATATCTACCCTGAAGCCTCCCCGCACTGTTACTGACCGCCCCCGTGCGGGGAGGGGCAGAATCAGTATCCATAGGGCGGTCAGTTGCCTAAGTAGCGGCTAGCCTTCCTTCGGCTCGGAGTCTCCAGGTAACCCCGTAGGTAACCCCGCAGGTACTTATATAAAAAGAGTTGTAGGTCATCACATGTAGTCACCTATAGATGCTTCTGACTTAGCCCTGTAATTAAGTATGTGAACATCCCTGTCCGCATGTGAGAGGATGTGAATACAGCTACCAACATTTGAAGCACTTGGGTGCTGCCAGGACATGCCTTTCCCATTGATGTGTAACTTCGCTACTACACCTAGGTAGTGCCGCGCGAAGTGCAGCATAAGGACTTGTACCTATATACCAAAGTATGTTCCAAGGCTATGTGAATATACAGCGGCTATATAGTAGGTACTATTGAAATATCTTGGATGGTAAATACTTTTAACTCTAGGGCTTTTGAAGGTTCATTCAAATACTAGAAGTTCAGTGCCCCTGGGCAACCTTGGAACTGGTCACGATCATATATACTAGTAGGCAGAGATTTTCAATACTTCCCTTAATTCTAGGCCTTGTAGCCCTGAATCATGTTGACCACTGGCATGTCTACGAATAACTTGAGCACAGATGAATATATGTACTACTAGTATTTCAAGTTTTGTATATTCAAAGAATCGCGGTGTTCTTTACGCCCAGGTGCCAACTCTTGAGAGTTCAAGACCACCAAAATCCAACCTCGACATTTTATTCATTGTTATTAGTAGGCCCAAGGTCATGATCATTGTTTTGAACAACTCAATTAATGATTTCCCAGCGCTTAAGTCAGTAGCAACTTCTCGAACTACTGTAGTCACTATAGTCACTATAGTCACTATTTCCCTGATCCCAATGCCATTTGATGATCTGTGGAGCGGCTCTGCTACTCTTTACTCTTCTGAGGCTCTTCTGAGACTATTATTAGACTTGAGTCTCCGAATACGCAGCTCAGCCATGAAAAGTCCCCTACGGTGATTTTGTTCGCATCTGGAATACATATTCTTATTTCTGCCTAAAATGTCGTCAGCAATCTCAGCCCTTTATAGTTTAATCCGACTAGCTCAAGACTAAACAAACGAAGAGTGGGTTCGAGGTTGGTGTGATGACGCGTCTTTATCACACTAAATGGCCCTAAACCCCCCCACGAGATAGCATCCAAGCCCGCCACCGCGCGGCCACGATTTTTTCTCCAGGTGGATAACCTCCTTCAAAACCTTTAAACGATTCTCTTCTCACCATATACCCTGCACTAAAGCCTTGATCTCGATTTCAAGGCCCTACCCACAATCATCGCCCAATATGCGGCCCCACCTCAGTCTCCTGGCAATATGCACTGCGGGCTTATCAGCGTCAGCGGTAGCAAAGAGTTCACCAGTTGAATACAGCACCGAACCCGGTTACAAGAACGCCAACCACATCTTCAACACTATTCAAGATTCCATGCGTCAGTGGGGTTCCTCACTGCATCATAACGGCGTTTCCTTCTTCCTAGCGACTGTTCCTGCGGGAACTCAGTTCTACCATGGAACCTCCAGATCGAGCTTCATAAACGGTACCGAGTGGCTTGCTTTTGAGCCTGAGCATGCGATGAACTTTGCGCGCCCGCATATGGGTCGCCCGCGACACGACGATGATGATAAAAAGGATGGAGAAGGGGATAAGGGACCAACCCATGAGGAACTTCGGCGAAAGTCGAATACTCCCCCAGTTGAGGATGCGCAAATTGATGAGGATGCTAAGGGTTACCTGCATACTTATGCGGCTGCGAAACATCTTCGTCTCTTGTATATTGATGGCATGTCTGCTGGAAAGACGCAAAAGGGTACGCTTGACTCGCAGGATGTGCTTCTTTTCAATAACACTATTGGAAATGGTGATCGTGATGGCTCTAAGGGTCCGGGTCCTATGGGCGAGCGTGAACGAGCGCTGGAAGCATGTGAACTCGCGGAGAATGATTGGGCTGGTCGTATCGATGGTGTGCTTCGAATGGAAGCTGGATTTGAAGTCATTTTGTGTGATTTCGAACGCGATCTTAGTCTGGTCAATATTGTTCAGGTGAACTCTGAGTCCAGCGAGAGAGGTCCTGGCCCCAAGCATGATGATGATGGTCGTCCTCCATTTGATGATGGAAAGCGTCCCAAGGGTCCCGGTGGCCCAGGTGGTGGAGGTCCTGATTCATCGCGATGGGCTCGTGCCGTTGCTGCTCGATACACTGGTATTGGCGGCCACCGAGTCTTCCTGAACTACGACAACTTCATCAGCGCATTCACATACGGTCTTGATCTTTTCCCTAACGATGCCATCCACCCTCGTCTTGACCACCTTTCTTACGCGGACTTGGAACCTATTCGACGAGACCTCACCGCCACTATTCTCACTCACGACCCCCGAGAGTTCTCCTGGGATTGGCAAGCCACCACTGATATGGTCATCACGCGATACAGTGAGGAGCTTTCTTACTTTGCCTCTGAGCGAATGACATCTCTCCAGGCGCTGCGTTCTCAAATTGGGATGCTCCTGGAACCATTCGTGGACTACAGTGGGCGTAACGCTGCGAATGAGGTTGAGAGATGTGCTATCCAGTTTATTCCTCTCCCGTACCAGGAATTCCCCACCATCCCTGCTCGCGCAGTGCATGGTGTCACCCACAGCATCTGTGCTACTTTGCTTGAGGCTGCTGCTGAGTCGGATTTGACTTCTGCGCAGAAGCGTATCAAGGAGCTTATGGAGTACCTGGATTGGACGACTTGGAAGCACTGCCGTGGTTGTCAGGATAATGAGATCTGTGTTATCCCTATCTGGCCTATGGGTTCAGTTGAGGATTATGCGCACCCACAGTGCAAGGATGCTCTGCAACCCTACAACTCGAGTGAGGAAAACTACTGGGGAGGATTCCAATAGTTGCCAGGCTTGTTTTTATTTTAAGTCTTCTCTTTTTTTTACATAGCATAGATCTTGACTTTTTTCGATTTTTTTTCTTCTGTCTGGTGATACCTCTTGATATATTTCTTTTTTTTTCTAGCTATATTTACTTTTTCTATTCTTCTATACATTTACTTTCTCTACGAATACCATTTTCCAATGTTTGAATATTGATTTGAATTCACGCTTTCACGTATAATAAGTACAGTAGAATATAGTTGAGACATCAAAGGAAAAAAAGGGAACTCATCATGTTCAGTCGTTGATACATTAGCTCAAAAGCCGCATGTAACTCAACTTTCGAGACACATTAACAGAGAACCCGTAGAAGCGAATGAATCAAGTCCCTTCAAGGGTGGAAGTCATTTACACAGAGGAGGTAGTGCTCTCAACAGTGGTAACAACGGAGGCAACGGTGACAGTGAGGTCACCAAGGCCAAGAGTAGTGAGGATGGAGCCAACAACGGAGAGAAGGCCAGTAACGGTAGACTCAATCTTGACAACGAGAACGGAGACACCATCAGCAGCAAGGACACCGATGACGTTACCGTTGGTCAGACCAAGCTCGTTAACCTTGGACTTGAGGGCAGAAACAGACGCAACCTTGGCAACGACAGTGCCGGTGATCTGGCTGAGGTCCAACTCGCTCAGAACACCGGTGGCCTCGGCGTAGATGGTCTGGCCGTTCAGGTTGGTCAGGGACAGAAGGTTGCTCTCGCCAGAGCGCTTGGTGTTGCTGGCAACATCCTCGACAACGTCCTCGAGGGTGGAGACGACGGAACCGACAACGTCACCGACGACGCCGAGACCGAGGTCGGAGAGGAGGTCCTCGACAACGTCGGTGAGCTGGATCAGAGCGTACTCGCCGGTGCTGAGGACAACGGTGAGCAGGCCGGAGTCGGCGGAGGTGATCTGGCTCAGAGAGGTAACGGTCTTGACGATGGTACCAACGGAGGTGGTAACGGAGCCAAGGGAGACACCGGTCAGCTTGTTGGCGACGGTCTGGTCAAGCTCAACAAGGACCTTCTTGTTGACCTGGTTGGTGACGGTGATGACACTGTGGACCTCCTTGGTGACAGCGATAGAGCTGGTGCTAGCAACAGTGGAGGAGACGATGTTTGAGGGGGTAGGGATAGCCGAGGCAACGGTGGCCAGGATGGCAGAGATAGCGAAAGCGGCCTTCATTTTGATGGTAGAGAGTGGATTTGCTTGAAAGAGCTGTAATGAATGGACGGTATTAACCGGAAAAAAAGGAGTGACTGGAGTAAGAACGAGATGCAAAAGCTTCTTGGGTTGTAGAAGAAGAAGTCGAAAAGTCAATTGACACAAGCTGCTCTTTATACATCTCCATCTTGCTCAGGGGAAATGAACTCTCTTTCCCATCTCATCTCCTTATTCATTGTCTATGGGCCTGACGTCGAATGTAGTGCCCCCCGTTCTCCACCTGGGCACCTCAGAGGTAGCAAGGATGGCGGTATCCCAGAGAGTTTCCAAATAATATGTCCAATAACAGTTAGACTGAGTACAGGGGATCCTGTAGAATCAAAGAAACTCGACCCACGACTTGGAGCTAGTGGAGAAGCATAAACGCCGTAAACTCAGAAGGAAGCTCATCTTCATTAGCCACTCCGCAGATCTACCATCCTGATCCGCTCTGGGTCTGAAGATTGGGGGCATTTGGGTCCAGAAGTGACACATGATAAAGGGGAATATCATGACCTGTCAAGGACTGATTTTCACGGAGAATAAGCACGCAAAAAATCGATGATAGGGTCCTGCAGCTCAACAGTTCTATGTTATTGCAGCCCTGTACTTTCGTATATGTGCCACATGGCTGCAAATACAGAATTTGAGTGCTTAGGTCCAAGCACATCATGGTAATGGGATCGCAGCCGCAACATGCCCGTTTAATTGAGCGATCGACATTAAAAACTTTTGTAGTTCGTGCAATTGGGCCAATGGTGAGTGGGGACAAGTGCTCAGGACCTGAGTGATCTGCATTGGTGTCGGCCCCAAATGTCTGCCGGGAGCGTTGAGCTCCACAGCTCGTACAAAAGCAGTAGTGAGTGGTAATCTCGTTGCTGTGTAGCTAGTGGAAATACTACTGGGGCTAACAACAAATAGTGCCGTTCACGGGGTTAGAGAAGCCTCTTTCCCCGTAGTATAGTGGATCCACGCCCTGGACTTGGGCACAAAGCGCGAATGACTAGGGGGGTTCAGGGATCTCATGTAGCGCCGAGCTCGATTGCATCATCGATTTTGAGGGAATTCCGAAATCCCCTAGCGTATCATTTTTCGGGATTTGTATTCTTGTTTGCCACAGATCGACTTCAAATGTTATAAATTCGACAGGTCAAGGTCAGGGGTGTGGATACAACAACTGCGGGTAATCCCAACGTCAATAACTGAAACACGAACAATTCACGCTGTGGAGAGCGGACCTTCCCCTGAAATTCAGTTAATACGAGCCCTTTGATTTGAAGAACTCGATTCCTGTCTGTCAAAAGCCCACTCGATAGCTAACAAAGAGAGTTTAAAAAACGGAACAAAATTTTTACTATGCAAGTAGTTGTGGGGCAGAGTGGAAGTAGTTTAATTACACGGAATAGTCCATACCTCGAACAAAGAATCCACTATTGAAAATGGAGCACTTGAGCATGGTTAACAACATTTGAACATTTCAACTCGAAGTGGATGTTATGGTTCATCCATGGATGATATGGGACGCATAGTAGTATGGAAACCTTATTGCCGACTCCTGAAACTTGGTACACACGTGTAGTTCTTCAAGCCCTATCGGATATTTGCCGAACCAAATATCAAAGAGCTATAGACGGCGCTATATACTGCTATATACCCGGGACCATGTTTCCGTCTCCTAGTAAAATGCCAAGCTTTAAGGCCAGGGCCCCCAGGGCTGATATGAATGGTCTCCTGAAGAACAATATTAACAATACTTACCGCCATGCATTGTCCCAGCCTGCCTGCTCGATTGCAAACGCAATCGCCAATTCGGTGAATCGTGCCATGTGCTAGCGCTTTGATGAGCAAATATCTCCGGAAGACTCGGACAAGGGAACAACAACTTACATCCACAGAGAAATAGCCCGTCTCATCATCTACCCACATGGTATCGTTGACTCCATGGATATATGGATCAAACTCACCCGGGAAACCCGCTCCGGCTAGTGGGTTTCCTTCTGATGCGAAGGCAGCCGGGTAGTTGAGCTGCGTGTACGCCATGTAATCGGAACCGGCGAGTCTAATATTCAGTTAGTACCCCTGACTCGCACTTCTGAGACATTACGTCAAGTAACTCACGGTCCAAGATCATAGATTTTAGCAGGAATCGAGATGTATTTGTTGCTTAGTTCCACAGTCCAGTTGGTCAAGGCCGCGTCAGCCTGGGTGGAAATAAAGCCGATACTCTCAGTTGCGTTGCGGCTGATATAGGCAGTCATGTCCTAGGGGGTGATAGACGGTTAGTTCTGTTTTCTTTTTTTTCTCAGATCCACAGAGCTGGAAAACCTATACTTACAAACTCCATCATAGCTCCGATTCGCGCTCCTTGCTCCTTCTTGTATCGAGCAACACGTTGACTGCCCAGCAAACCACCTTCCTCGGCCGCATACCAATGGAACTCAACCGGACCATATTGGGGCACGTAGCCGCTCTCGGCTAGGATACGGAAGGCTTCTAGAATACTCACTGTGCCTGAACAGTCATCATCTGCGCCGGGTGCTGGTAAGAGAGGGAAAAGATAATTGGCGGAGTCTTGGTGCGCTCCCATGATGGTCAGTGGGTCGGCAGCATTGCGGACTTTGGGTTCAAAACGAGCAATAATTGATGACTGGGGGAAAGGGTGGGTAAAATATTCAAGTGAGATGTGAGTGCTCATAGGAGCGTTTGCGATTATCTTGATGCCGTCAGCTTACAGAGCTTACACTTATCCACGGGTATCCCAGGGTATAATACCTGTGCAATATGATCATGAAGCCACTGGGAACTACGTTCACCGTGGAAATCACCGTAGTACCGGTTATAGTAGCCAGTCATATGCTGGAGGACAGCAGTCATTCTTTGCTGATCAACTTCCTGGAAAAGAGGCCGAATGAGCCTCTCATGAACCAAGTCTGGAAGGTCTGTAGAACGGTTCGTCAGTCCACATTTTCAGGTCCACAAGCATTCGAGTTTCAGACTGACTAGGTTCTCCAGCTGTGAGTTCATGCACCTGACTCGCATAGAATTCTTCATGATCAGTGATATCTACGAATTTCTTCCCTGTCTACGGAGCCGCAGCTTGTCGCCCTCGGTCATCCATTCTGGCTTCGATTCGCCTAGAACCCGCAGGAGTCGCGGCTGAGACAGGAATGGTTCAGACTCTGGAGACAGGTGGATCATTGCGGCAACTGGATCCGATTGCGCCTCCAAGGCAGCCAGAATAGCCTCGTCAACCTTGAATTCGCCATGCTGGTGCGTGTGGGGAGTGAAAACGACTTGCGCGTCAGTGGCTTTTGCAAGCTGGGCCGTGCCCAAGAGCAGTATAAAAATAGATTTCAAGTTCAACATATTCAACGCTGAATTGATGAAGGGAACTTGGGTGTAGTAGAGATCAAGAAGGAAATGATTATCGTCTTGTTTACCTCCTCTAAGTGCTGATTTAGTCATCAAATGCGGAGATAAGCACTCGGGAAAACGCAATAATTGACCAATCGGATATCCGACGGGAAATGATTGTTATCCTATCTTAATCTATCTATGAGATCCCCTGACTTCTTTAAAATTGTAACGTTGAACAAGCACGTCTTTGTGATACATTATACGTTATCTTACTCTATATTCGCCTGAATTTGACTTGATCTCTCTCTCATGATCATCCTAATTTTTCTCAAGGTTTGTCCAAAGTTTTCATCTTGAGTGGGGTTCAACCCAAGTCCGAGCCGACACGATATATTGTAGCCTTCAGGTGGTAGTGTTAGTACTAGTAGTAGAATTCAAGTTCAATTTATTGATACTATGTACTAATATTCAAGTTTGACTCGGAGTCAAGCTCCAATATTTCAAGTCAAAGGTTCATCATCTAAAATAAAATTAAATGATCATACGCTGGGAGCCTTAGAAGAGCCTTGTTGCTTCTCTCACTTCCAAGTATGTGATCTCGAATCTGACCAGTTGACCATCTTATGAACAGGTCAATATATCAAAGTCCATATGACTTGAAATAATAAATGTATTCAATTAAAATGCTGATAGATGTAAGGTGACGGTGGTTCAAGTTGTTGACATGCCCTATGTCGGAGGCCTTTGGCCTGATCTGGTGAATTCCTATTGCCAGCTGGTGGGCCTCACCGCACAGGACATAATAATCCTTGTACACGAAGTAAAAGGGTAGGCCGAACACTTGGCCAAGGGGAGCTGGGTCCTGTGGCTCCCGGGCAACTTTGATGTCGCCGGCCTTGTTGAAGACGTCAGGCCACCGGGGCCAAGAGATCGATCGCTATCATGGGCCACAAGAACTCCGTTGACTACATTAAGCGTCGATATGTATAGACACGTACCCATTGGAGGTGATCCCTGATATTTAGACCAATATGATTTTTGAACAACAGGGTCGTTACCTGGTAATTGCCAATGGCTCAGGTCAGCGACAAATTTTCGAACTGTTGAAATTCTTATATATTTACCTCAGGATCTCCCCCATCGACTGCCAGTGCCTTCAAGTTCTGTAGGAGGCCATCCAGAAGTGCCGGATGACAAAGTGAGAGTAGTCCCGCGTCTCTGAATCCATCGATTGAGTCACAAAAGAAGATCGACAAAGTTTGAGTCTCTGCGACTGGGAAGTGAGGAGAGAGAGAAAGGGGGTAGGTACGTATTGAGAAATAATCGCAAAGAACGAGCTGCACGCGCGAAGAGTTTGATCTTTTCTTGGATGCTGCTTTAAAAGCTGGAAATCATTAGTAAACGATAGTATCTCTTTGGTATAGAGCTGTGGATCCTCACAAAACGAAGAGAGTAACGGAAGGGCTGTCTTCGATCGCGACAGCCCCTCTACTAGCACATCGGCTAGTAGGTCAGCCTGACAAGGCTTTTGGATAGCCCAGTACTTTATTGCGCTAGGTTCTCCACTTTGAACAAGCCTATTGAAATCCTAATAATATGATGGTATTAGCGGGCGTCATACCACCTTTCCGCTCAGCGATGGCCCACTTACCTGAAGGGATGGGATATAGGAAGCTGTTACAACCCGTTCGATCTCTTCATCTAGGTTCAAATTATTTTCGTCCATGACTGTAGTTGAAATGCGAGATACACCAATAGCAACTTCCTTTTCTTCTGTCATTGTCGGTGATGAAATTGCGTGAGCGGTAGAACAGTGAAGAACAGTTCAAGTTCAAGTTCAGGTTGTTGGTGGCTTTCGATGATTTTTAGTTCGTTAAAATGAAATGTTGAGACTTCAAGTCCACCAAAAATCAACTTTTAATTTTCAGTTGTTGTTTAGATTGGCCATATTGGTATGGTAGCGTGGACCTCAGTTTGAGTTCAAATCAGTGATGATTTTTCGAATCACTTGGGCCACCATTGACGTAGACTTCTATTATAGAATTCTCAGTTGAATAGAGAAGGGTATAATCACTGTCGTTCCAACATTCAATCCAGCGTTTCAAAGTAATATGAGCAATACATAATCGACTAAGACAAATGACCCAAAATTGAAGACTGACTATCTATAACATTACTTTCATAGTCAAGGGATGGCTGAATAGTAGAGATGCCCACCTGGGCACCTTCGAACATAAGAAGACTGGGATTCAAGTTCCTCCGCACCAATCTGTATATCTACCATGATAGTCGACGTGCTTATGAGCACCGTAGAGTTTGATTCTCCCAAACCTCTATCTCTTCTAGCATCTGGTTGATTTCCCCTTTCACATAGGGAATGGTGTCCGCCCCCATTAACAAGCGAATAGGAAGAGGACGCTCATATTGCCTAACAACGCAATCAAAGAGAACCTGAGCGCAATGATCAGGGTCACTCCAAGTGGACTGAGATTGAATATGATCAATCAACTGACTGAACGAACCATCAGGGGAATCATAGGCTGGGTGTCTAGGTGGTGACTCGAGGCTAGACTGTGCAAAGTTCGTACGCATACCTCCAGGCGAAGCGATCAAGAAATGAATATTCCATTCCGGACGAACCTCCTTCGCGACCGATTTCGTGAAGCCTTCGAGTGCAAATTTACTGTAGGCTTTGGTCAGTCCTTCTCTTCAAGAATCACCGAAGGAAGCACAAACCTAGCATGGTAAAACGAATGTCCAGGTGCAGTTAGGAATCCTCCAATCGAGGAGACTTGAACAATCGTACCACCCTGACCCTTAGGATTCACCTCCCGAAAGATCTGAAGCGCTTTCTGAGTTATATGAACTGGGCCCCAGAAATTGGTCTCGAGCTGATTGCGAGCCTCGGACTCAGACATGGCTTCCATGTCTCCCATCAGACCGTATCCCGCGTTGTTTATGACGACGTTTATTTTCGGGGAATTTTTGAAGAGCCTCGGCGAAGGCGCTGATGATTGCCTCTTGAGATGTCACGTCTAGCTGAAGCTTGAGCACGTTCGGATCGTCTGGTAGATATGAAAGTGATGCGACATTTCGGGCAGTGGCTATAATGCGGTGGCCTGCTTTGTAGATGATCTGTGCAAATGATTTCCCAAGTCCAGATGAGCATCCGGTAACTGGAATCAGCTGTGTTAGTAGAATGCACCAAATCACCATGGAACCCCGGAACTTACCAAACCAGATAGTCTGATCATTCAAGTTGAATTGTGTCATTTTGAAGATAGAAACGACAAGGAGAGATAGTAGTAGGTACTGGGGCAGAATGAATGTTTGATTGACGGTCGTTTCATCCCGAGAGGGGTATCCTTTATAGATCTAGAATCCGATTAAGAATATCAAAGCCATAATTTTACGCAGGTGAAGATCAAGATTTTAAGATTCGGCCAATTGGAGGTCGATATTGCATCGGCTTAAGCCTAATGAGGAAGATGCACTAAAGCAACAAGGCTGATAAAAGTGGGCCCTTGTACAGGGGTTTGTGAAGCTAACTCTCAAGTCTATTTCCTCATTTTTATTCAATCTCGGCTAGTGCACTTTCCATTTAAGTCAGAATCTAATTTTCTCTCCCTGAACGAGTTATCATGAGCCAGCAAGATAACCAACCTACTTTTGTGGTCGTGACCGGGAACCCTCAAGTGGGACAAGGCCAGCGACTGAGTCAGATCCGATCGCGAAATGCGATAAAGCATCATGAGCGCAGGATTGCTCGATACAATGGAAGCCACTCAGTCCAAAAGAAACAAGCACATGTGATGAGGGGTATGCAAGTTGCGTTCGAGAGAATACCCCAAGAGCTTCACACCAAGTTCGGGCCTCCACCTCTGGCTTCATCACCGACAGGTTCTACAAGAATGCGAAAATGTGAGTTTTCAACTCTACAGATAATAATTGAGAATGATTATTGACTTCGACATAGTCATGTGTGAATATGTGCTCTACGGTCACGAAGTACACCCATTCTTTTCAACAGTCGTATCTGCTGCAGTGTCTCATCCGGTTCTGATGAGTGCCAAAATTCTGAATGCCTCAGCATGGGACGATCTAATGGCTCATAATAAAATTGAGAGCTTGACATTTGAACAATCGATGATCACCCGCTACCTCCTTGCACAAACAATGGACTCCAGAGATAAGTCGCGTGTTGTCAATTTAGCTGCATTGGTTGCAATTTTATTATTTCATGTAAGAAGTTACAATTCATTTCACGCCCAAAAATGCTAACGTGCAATTGATAAAGATGGTCGCCGAAGATTTTTATTCATTTGAACGAGATGAGAAAGTATTGCAGCTCTTTCTCAGTCCCTATGGAGGCATAGACTCGGATGAACTTGGCTTTGATGGTCACTTGAAAAACAGTCTCATACTGTATGAATTGAATTCTTATATTTTCATTCTGGATCAACTACTAATGATAGCCACTAGTATCGAAGAATTGAAGCGGTGTCTCAATATCAAATCACGGGTTCCCTATTTCTCTAATACTAAAAACCTTCCATCCCAAGCTTTGGACTTGTCACTTTTCACCCTTGAGACCCATCGCAACACCATTGGTGCATACAAAAACTTTCCGCCCATAATTTCCGTGCTCAGTGACCTATATCAACTCGTCATGGCATTTGGAGGACGATACCATCACGATTCGACCGCGGTAGTTGGGTATGATCAGCACTCCACACCGTGGATGGTTCACACACAGCGACCAATAATAGATTCCATGAACGAAGCCTACCCACAAAATGACGCCAGAATCCCAGCCTTACTCCATGCAAATCAAATCTTGACTTGGAGTCACGGTGGAACTTCCACTCAATTCTTGTGTGTGAATTTATGTCATACCTCGCATCTCAAAGATCTTTTATTGAAGACCAATCTTGATGGATTCTGGGATTCTTTGCCTGGGGCATTGATCTGGTGTCTTGTCATTGGTGTCCGATGTTCTCCGCCTGGATCTCTGCGTCAATGGTTTATGATGCAAACTACAAGAGTGACTTGTACAATGACCATAAATTCTTGTGAGGCAGTTTTGAAAAGTCTTCGTGTCCTTTTGGCCGGGATGGACGGAGCGGGAGGTACGGAGTAGAGTGGAGTAGGTTGTGATCTGTGCATTATGTGTTCTACATAACTCCCAACACTTCAATGTTCCAAGTACCATGGAATTGAAAGACTTCCCAGGGTCGTAGATTAGAGTAAAGATTGTGTGGCGAATAGAAAATGAGTTAAAATATCGGCAGTTCTAAAGTAGTGTAGGAACCAGACTTACTCCGAGTACCCTCAAATCCGTAGAAGTCCGGAGAAAGTAATAATGTGGGGAAGTTCTGGTTAGTCTGGGGCTATAGCGGGGATCATTACATTATATTACATTATGTATTACATTAAGAAATATTGATTAATTAAGAAACCAGAAACGCCCGGGGGATTATTGAATTATTGGTTAGGAGTACACCTATATTTTATGCTAAAAATTATTCTTTTTTTAATTTATTTTGGTTAGTTTCTTAATTAATAGTAATCCTTGATATTGATATCAATACTCAGTTATATCTGATTTATTATATAGGGGTCATATTATTGGTTAGGGTTGGAATGCCGAATGATCTCCAAGTTTCAACTCAACTTGAACTCCCCCCAAGCTGATAATGTTTTCTCCCCCATGCACTAGACTCCAGATTCCATGTGGCCACGAGACTAAGTGGCGGATAAAGTCCAACCAGGTTGATGATGAAACATCCAGTGATACGCACTCTGCTCTGCCCCTCCATAGCGGCCGTGTGGGGAGCTGTGGGAGAACCGGGAAAAATCTCATCCGCCCTCGTCATGCTGAGGCAGACCGAATGCGACGGCAAAAGGCCTCGGTGAGAGACTTCTGAAATTTAAAACTCGCGTGTCGCCTTGATTCCTTCTTGACTTTCATTTTTCTCATTAAAAAAAACTTCTCTCCTACTCCCTCTTGTCTTGTTCCTCCCGCGACTCCCACCTTATAACCTCTTTTACTATATACCCCACTTATATCCGACACAATGGCAAAGGCTCCTCAAGATTTGCAAATCGCCATCCTGGGCGCTGGTATGGGTGGTCTCACCTGTGCCCTTGCTCTGGCTCAGCGCGGTTTTAAGAACATTGATGTGTATGAGAATGCCCACGATCTGGGCTTCGTCGGTGCTGGTATCCAGCTTGCGCCCAACATGGCGCGCGTCCTCGATGGCCTTGGTGTCTGGAAGGGCATTGAGGCCGAGGCTGTTAACATTGGAGATACCTCCGTCCGTGGTATGTACACAATTGTCATATATTATTGTTTTCATGCAGAGACACAGCGCAATTGCGTCCCGGAGTACATAAAGCTAACCATATCCTTTTCCAAATAGTTGGTGCCGATAACAGTGAGCTCGCCCACGTTGAGCTCGGATATATTAAGGAGACATATGATTACCCTCACATGGTTGGCCACCGCTCTTCTTTGGCCAACGGTCTTTACCAGGGCTGCTTGAAGGAGTCTGCTATTAAGTTCCACTTCGCTACTACCGCCTCAGACGTCGACTCCTTCGGTCCCCGTCCTTCTTTCACTGCCACTTCCCGTGATGAGGGAACTGTTTCCAAGGTCGAGTGTGATATTCTCCTGGGTGCCGACGGTATCAAGTCCGAGACTCGCCAGGCTATGCTGAAGCTCCTGAATATCAACGTTGGCGTCAAGGACACCAACCAGGCTGCCTACCGTATCATGATTCACAAGGACCAGATCAAGGATGACCCTGAGCTCCTGGAACTCATTAACAGCACCACTGTAACCCGCTGGATCGGTGAGAAGCGCCACATTATCGCCTACGCCGTCTCCAACAACACCATCTACAACCTCTCCACCACCCAGCCCGATACCAACTTCGCCGCTGCTACCAACGCCACCTACACCACCAAGGGTGACAAGAAGGCCATGTTGAACGTCTTCTCTGACTTCTGCCCCATGGTCCAGCGTTTGCTCGACTACGTCCCTGAGGGCGAGGTCTGCGAGTGGAAGCTCCGTGTTCACGACCCCCCTCCCTACCTGGATCCACAAGTCCGTCGCCCTGGTCGGTGACGCTTGCCACCCTACCCTCCCTCACTTGGCTCAGGGTGCTGCCCAGGCCATCGAGGACGGTGCCGTTATCGCCGCCGCTCTCTCCCGTCTCCCCGACACTACCCCCGAGTCCATTAACAAGGCTCTGCGTGTTTACGAGAAGGTCCGTAAGGAGCGTGCTGAGACTCTGGTCGAGATGGCCGCTGCTTCCGGTCGTGCCCTTCACCTTGGCGACGGAGCCGCTAAGGCTGAGCGTGACCGTCAATTCGCTGAGCTCAAGGCTAAGGGTGGTAAGGGACCTGTTCCTGATAAGTGGGCTGATGCCGATGTCCAGCGTAACATCTATGGTTTTGACTGCACTAAGATTACTGAGGAGAAGTTCGATGAGTACTTCTCGGCGATGTAAGCGCTGCTCCTGTTTTGCATTTAAGACCCTGTTTTGTGTTTTCGAGAACTTGGTCCCGATCTTTTTGTTCGTTGGCGCACAGTGAAATTACTGGCTTTCACTTCTTGGCTGTATATTGTTTGCCATCATGTATATCCACGATCTCTACAAAAATGAGAATCTATGACGAGATGTTCAAATTATCCTGGTACTTGTACTGAGACTTTGTTTAGGGGTAGTACTTCGCGCAGTAGTAACCTGTAAGCTTGATTAAAAAGTTCAAGTTGGCATGTGATTATGATGGATAAGATGAAAGTTTCACTTTCAGGGTCAAGGGTAAATATTGCATTGTGTTGTATATAGTAAATCCAAAGTCAACGAACCATTGATTTATAATTATGTCCATACGTGTCCAAATGTAATAGTATTGTACAGTCAAAATAATCAGATCAAATCACTTTCGAGTCAGAGTTCCTGGGACATTTGAGGCTTCCATGTACCAGATTCATCAAGAAATCAAGCTCACGTTCAAAATGTGGAGACCATGGTCAACCCGAACAGAACACTAATGACAGCCATTAAACTGGGGACCAGAATCGCAGGAGCAGCGGACGGGAGTTCGCTGAAACATGAATAACTCCCATTCAAACGACCCATTTGGTGTAGTGTATCGAACGGAGTGCAGTTGAAGACGGAATTATTGTTTGGCGTGATACTGAAATCATTTAAAATTGACGGTGCAGGAGTACTATTCAGCGGTTGCATCTCCTGAGTCAGGAACGTGTCGCTATAAAATCATGTTAACCAAAGATTCAGAATCAGGTGAGATGTGGGAGACTCATGCAAGAATCCATTTCCGATCAGAGGCCAGAGAATTTCAATCCTAGACACATTGGTGGGCCAATACCATGTTCGAACTTGATTTCCCGCATCATCGATAGTGTATTGAGAGGTGAAGTTCAGTTTCGGGTTGGCTGTGACATAGAGCTCGAAACCACCAGTCCAATTCACAGCTTGTGGTGGGAGTCGAATCTCCTCCAGGTAATAATACTTAGGACTGTGTGACTCCAAGCTTTGCAGGTCGTCAAAGTCTACATCCAGGCGAGACATGAATGTATTGGTCACAACCATAGAATTGGCAGTCAATGACTCTAATGTCGGACTGCGTGTCAAACCTGTCGAGTTACCGTCAAGTATGAGACTTTCCACGTGCAATTTTGTGGCAGATGAACCACCTAGCGTAACGTTGAGAGAAGCATAGATCCTGACCTCTTGAGATACATTTGTGAATCCGAGAGTGATGCTTTCCATATTAGGGAATGGACCTTCGATATGACAAGAAATGATGTCGAGTGGGTTACTGAGGATGCTATCAACAGAATCAACCGACATCTCGTAGAGTTCAATGGCAGTCGTGTTGGTTAACTTGGTGTGGTGAAGTGTAGTCAGATTATTGCCGCCGAGGACAAACGAGTCTGCCGATTCAAGAGAGGTAATGTCCAAATAAGTAATTGGAGATTCCATAATGTAAAATGATCCATACACAGTGGTCAGGTTGGGAAGTGTGAGGTTTTGCAAGGAATCTTGAAAGAGCTCTATGCTGCCTTCTACCAGCCGCAGAGTAGAGCTAGAGATAGTGTAAGGGGTCGAGGTAATATCGTCGGTATTGAAGACATTTTCAACGGATTGGAGATTTCCTTGGATCACTTCCACACCATCTAGGTTGATATGTTGGGTTGTAGTTTCATTGAAGAGGCCAATGCCGACAGTTCCGTTCACGACTGGGCAGTTCTGGCGTAGAGCCTCTGCATCAGCCAACGATGTAATGATCACTGAAGTGCAGTTCGCAGCAAGAACGCCTGGGAGATTGGAGGTTAGCGCGGTGTCTTTTAACCAGTAGTAGCTGATCTTACCAGAAGAGCATATTGTAGCTCCTAAGAACTGGAGTAGGATCCTCGTATAGGCGTTTCTTAACATGTTGTCTGTGCCAAAACTTTCGCGACGCCCCTTCTACTCAAGTCGTTTCTGAGAGGAAAAGATTTCCCTTCTATCACCAAATAATCTGCCTTACCAGGTCAGCCGCAAGCCATAGCCCCATTTTGCATTGACCCCCGACTGAACCCTTGGTCCCTGATTTCCCCAGGCGCTAAGCTTTAATGGGGTTGCGTTCATATCGCTTAGCTGCTTAGCTGCATACTAAGGATTAGCGGGACCCTGGCCGAGCACTGTAGGGTCTTTGTGCCTGTCCCTGATTTGATACAGGCGTAACAGGTCCATAAGTGGAGGAGATTTTTGCCGAGCGTTCCGAGACAGAATTGGCATATGGAGTACCTACTATGCATTGAACGCTTTTATAGGTGGATATTTAGGGTGTTTGGAGATGTACGGAGTACTCTGATGGCCTCATTCGAATTGCTTGGGATGGTAATAGCAAGGAAGTCAACTGGTAAGACTGATTGTTGAGTCCAGAGGCAAAGAATGTTGTAGGATAATTCACAGTGAATATTTGAGTGTTTTGGAACCTTGGAATTAGTACAAACATGAAGTTGAAACTGGATATTGTTCCTGGTAGTGGGTATGGAGTAGTGCCCAGGCTTGGCTGATGTGCATCTCCCCGCAAGATCAACTTTGTGATCTACATCTACGGAGTAACGCGAACGTCACTCGAATAAACCGCGTCTCCGTCATGATACATTGCAGACGCCCACCCGAATACAATAGCAAATAAATGCCACCCCCGGCCGTATGCATGATCCCACGATGATTATCTTCCACTTGGCTCACTAGTTCATGCAGACGCCCTCTCCATTCCGCCTCTCCCGCCGCCAACCGTCTACGCGCCGCAATGCCGGTCCACAATTCGCAACCTCTCCTCGATTCATACTCTCGCAAACAACCCCACGGAGGACAGTTCGAGGGACGGGCATACTTGATGATGGTGCCCCGTCAGCAACAGCTCCTGTGGCTGCAACCCCTCTCGCGCGTCGCGTCCCACCGCGTTCCCAAAGAGACGTGATTGACGACTCCGATGATGGCGAACTTCCTCGAAGCACATACACTCAAAGAAAAGGAGTTTACAAAATAACGGATTATGTGATTGATAGTTCGCCGCCAGAGGCCGCAGAATCGACGGAGCTTTTTGACGCTGAAGAGAACGCGGCATTCGAGCTCATCGAAGACAGCAACAAGCGCAGACGTATCCAAGGAGACCAACGATCGCTGGCCGAGAACTTAAACGAAGCCACAGAGCAAAAATTATCATCGTCATCTCCGAGAAACCTCAAAAATCCTCTCGCTCCTCTAGACACTCCTGCGCCTCGTTCTTTACACAAGGCAGAGTTCCAGAACTCGACTCCAAGGATACCACCACGACCAACTAGCTGGGCCACATCTATACCAGCAAATACCAAGACACCATTCCGATCTAAGCCTCGTTTCATGATATCAACACAGAAACCTCCAAGCAGCCAGTTTGCCCCTCGAGCTGAGACCCCGGCAGCATCCCAACCAACTTCACCCTCTGTCGAAAAGCGCAAGTTGGCATTTGTCCTGCCACCATCGCCGCCTCCTAAATCAAAGGTGGATGATATTCCAGCACCATTCTCGCCTTCCTCGCGCACTTTGAGCCGTCGTGGACGGCGTCGGTCTAATGTATCGGGATACTCTCCTGGTGGCATGGCAGCGGAGGTGCGACGTTGGGTCCTTGAAATGGGATCTAAGCGTGAACAAATGAAATATAACCCAGGTTTCGATGGCAATGACAAGGGATCTGGTGGCCTAAGCCAGTATCTAATTGCAGCGCGGGTCGTCAGTATCAACCAGGCAGCTTTTAGTAGCTCGGGTCCTCTGGCATTCATTCGAGCGGAGCGTGTGAGTGAGTCTGAAGATGAGACGACGGTTCTACCCATCTTAGCCATGGGCTTACCTCGGCGTAAACCGTCATCCTGTTCAAGGTCTACTCCATTTCAAATCAAAGTGGGCGATTTATTAGGATTCCATCGGGGATTGGCCTGGGATATTGACTTGCATGGTCCTGAAGCCTCTACCTTCCTTGGCTCTGGAGAACAGGCTATCTTGTCTGACATGAATAACACCCAGGGCACCAAGGAACGATGGTTAGTTGCTATGGAGTGGGATCTGGTGGAAGAAGGCGTATAAGATGTTAGACTCTTTGTTCATACTTAATGTCCGTAATGAATTACATGAGGAACGAGACTTATAAAAGACAATACAACTTTTCATTGCTATGTTCAATGATGGGTATATTCAAATATGCATAATCAACCGCCAGATAAACAAGATCTACTGGCACATATACAGGACGTTGCACATCTCTTAGTCTCGAATCGCTTTCAAGGCGTCCACGGCTACTTGGCAACCCCAGCGCACTTGCTTTTGTTCTTTCTCCGACTCGACAATATCAGTCTTTGAAACAAACTTGTTGAGGAAGAAGATAAGACCCTTGGCAATTTGGGGCGTATCTTGAACGCGCACAAATATCTGCATGAGGGACTCCTCATCCTTTGGAGGGTCGTCCTTGGACTTGTCGCCCTTCTTCTTTTGTGACTTTTTGCTCTTCTGTGACTGTTGAATAATGCTAATAAGCAAGACTTCGGTGAACAGCTTGGTCTTCGGCTGCAGGTAGGCAAAGTTCAGGGTCTTAAGAACGCCGAGAGTCAAGGTACCATCGGCAATCAGCATACCGAACATCTTGGCCAGGTTGATCACGGACTTCATGCTGACTGCGGTTTCCTCGTCATCGGGGTCGAAGTCTGCTTCCTCATCATCATCCATATCTCCCTTCTCTCCCATCTTCTTGAAAATGTTCCACAGGGCAAACATGAAGGAGACCTTAATCTTTCGTCCCAAGTCACCACAGATTCGTCGGGCGATGAGAGTATAGTATGGATTGTGTACCTCCTCTTCCATTGCACAGTGGAGAAGAACACGGGGAATCTCAAATTCCTGAGCACGCTTCAATCGAAGCTTAAGGAGTCTGACATGCGCATCTTGGAAATCGGTGGCGGACATGATGGCAACGAAGATGGAGCGGCGGACATCTGTGTTCATACGATGAGCACGCGCAAGGTCACCGTAGTCAGGCTCGGCGTCACTGTCATCTTCGGAAACCTGCGCATCCTTCATCTCTGTATCTTGCAATTCCTTGCGTGCTGCGACGAGGGGATCTTCCTTCCAGCTAGCACCAACCAGCCACCACTTGCCCTTTTTGGAGGAGTCGTGGATATCAGCACGGGTAATATGAATGGGCTCTGAAGCGCGGATAACGCGAGAATTGTTCAAGGAACCCAGGATCTTGCGCATTTTGGTAATGTGCTCAGTTGTGATGTTCGCCCCAACGGCATTCTTGACGCGGTTGTTCTTGAGATCGGTAATGGTATCAATCATGAACTTGGTGCGGACTGATAGTTTGTCCTCGCCGATTTTGGCAACAGCAGGCTGGATCAGGAAGACAATATCCTTAAGAGAAGAGGGATCATCTTGACGAAGTTGAGGACCAGCGTTTCGAATAACCTTGAGAAGAAGCTCGGTGTTGTCCTCCGTGATCTCCTCTAAAAAGAGACGAACATAGTCAAACATCAATGGACTGCCGATGACATGGAAGTTGTAAAGCTGTGTGAGAAGGGAGACCAAGTTGACAATCTCCTTGCCCGCAAAAGGCCCCCGCTCGTCGCCACCCGCATCCAATGTTTCCACAATTCTTTGCACAATCTCGGCACCAACGTCCATGCCCATCAGCTTGTATAGGGCTGCAATGAAACCCGCGTGAAGAATCATGAATGTATCCTGAAGAACGGCTCTTTCGCAGATAAGGCCCATCAACAAATTGAGAATCGTAGTTGTGACATGCTGTCGCGGGTAGTCGCGATACAACTTCTCAAATTCAGATACGATAGAGATGAGGTTAGCCTCAGAAAGCTTGTTCAGTTGACCCTGGGCTTGGCGCTTCAGGCGAGTAAGGGACTCCGCTTCAGATCCCGAAGCAGCTCGTAAGGATGGAGGAATATATTTCTGGGGAGCAGCTCCTGCGGCCTTGGGAACTGGTGCCACGAAGGGGTTCTCCTTTTTCTTTGGTGGAGGCTTTTCATCCTCATCAAAGCCATCAAAGTCACTTCCTTCGTCGCTGTCATCGTCGTCGCTTCCGAAGATTTGCTCATCAAGATCGTCCTCATCCTCATCGCTGTCCATATCACTGTCGTCATCCTCGTTCAGGGCCTGGGCCTGGAGCTTCTGTGCCTTCTGTCGCTTGCTCTGCAACCAGTCGTCGGCTTCCCGTTTGCGCTTTTTACCCTCATCTTCAGAAGCTTCCGCCAAATCACCCAGCAAATCATCCAGACCATCCTCGGCGAATGCCTTCGGAAGTTTGCTTCCCTTCTTCATGCCAAGCTTTTTCTCCAAAGCGGCGATTTCGGCATCGTCTTGATCCAATTTGGATTTCACGGTTGCCGAAATGTGAGGTTTAGATTCGGCTTCCTCTTCGGATTCGGATTCGTTAAGGTCGATATCATCGTCATCTTCCTCCTCGCTATCCTCGTTCAAGTCAATGGATAGGTTATCCTCCTCGGATTCAGAGTCGATTTGGGCCTTTTTCGTAGCTTTGGATTTGCCTTTAGGCGCAGTCTGTACATCGTCGTCGGAATCCTCGTCCAAATCGAAATCGTCCTCGTCGGATTCTTCAGGCTGTTGTCGTTGCGTGGTCTTCTTCGGGGGGCCCTGTAGGCTTTCTGATGCCCTTCTTTTCTGTTCGCTCCGCACGGCGGCGATCTTTGCGTGTAGCAGGGCCGTTCTGTCGGCGCTTCTTCTCGCCATATCTATCGCGGATTCCCAACTCGGAACGTAAATCCCGGGGAAGGGAAGTTGTATTATGCTGAGGACGTGGGCGCCGCATTTTGAATTGAATTGTGCTTGCAAGACCCTAACCGCGGACTTTGATCTGGAGAAAAAGAGACAAGAATGCGGGCGGTCAGGAACTTTTTTTCATGGCCGCTTTTTAATGCCGGTCAAATAGTAAGGCGGCGACCCCAAACCCACAGCGGAGTTTCTTCCCCCACGACGGGACTCTCTTGTTGCGTGTTGTCTTGATCGAATCCATTGTTGCGCATTATCTATCTATTTTTCACAATGGCTCCGCCTCTGAGCCACGATGAGGTATGTTTAGCACTTGAATTATTCTATATAGATGTTTTGTTATCAAACACTTGAGGTGCATTCATCTTCACGTGGCCTGGCTAATCATAATGTCACCGCCAGTTCTTCTCATCTCTCACAACTCTCCTCTCCAAGACTACCGAACAAGCCCATGGTTCCGTATACTTGACCCAGAAGCCATTGCCCAGCTCCGAATCCACATCTTCACCCTCAATCCTCATTCGCGCCTCGGATGGCAACACCAATGCGCCAAACCCCAAATCCGCAAACCAGACTGGCAAGATCACCAAGAATCGATCTTCGAAGGTCAAATTCTCCACAGTCGTCAAGTCCGAAGATCTGGACGCTTTCTACACTCGCTACGCGGAGGTGTGCAAGACTGGCATGTCCGGCTTGAAGAAGCGGGATCGCAAGCGCAAGACAAAGGCTAAGGGTGGAGCTTCGAAAGCTACCAAGGCATAGATTCATGCGACCATGTTCTAGACCGATGAAAAGTCCTTGGCTTAAGAACTGTTTCTGATTGCATTTTCTGGCGTTATCTGGTGGCTGTCTCGAATGAATGGCAATGACTCCGTACGAGCTTTCTTTTGCTTTCCGGCTGTACATATCTCCCATGTTTGTATTGCACAATGGTCATTCTTCTTCTTTATTTTCATTCTGAGCAAACTATTTGGCTCATCTATCTCGGTATAGCTGAGTGTTGTATTCTAGGACTGCTGTCTTAGACCGGTTCTAATTATCCAGTCTTATACCTCTCCACACAAACTTCCTCTGTGTCTGTAGCCAGCTTGAATTAACTCCCGGCATCTCCAGGAATGAACTGGGGCGCACAGCAGTTTGATCCTTGAAATCACTGGTTCGCAAGCGCAACGTATACTATCTCAACTATAGTTATATGTGGCACTGCTGTCCTTTTCGATCTGCTACCAACTTGAAATTCAAGAAGACAACAACTTCTTATCAGCTGTTTTCATAATGCGAACTCAATCGCATAGACGCGCTGCTGACCAGGATACGCTGACCGCGATTTCATTGCATAAAAACCTAGCCGCGGCATTTACCTCTAACGAGATTTCCCTGAGAGGCCCAGGACATTACACCCTGCATGATAAGCCAGAATGATCATTAAGAGCAAACGGGCAAAGTAATCTTTCATTTGCTCAGCTTACTATCACATATGGTTCCACGTGGTAGCACGGCCATTTCTTGTGACATGCCCTGACTCTAGAGACCGATAAGAGTTGTTTCTGCCATGATGCATTTCACCATCCCACCGAACGCGTCAACCAGGTCAGATTAATAATATGCCACAATCAACCTTGGAAGTCTGGAGCCTCTCATGCATAGCTTATCCTTCAGAAGGAAACGGCATTTACATCCCGCGTTGTCGCGGGATAACCATTCAAAAGAGGGGTAAAAAGATACCCAATCCAGGCGAGTTGCGTGAGCTTTGACTATCGAGGCTTATCTGGACTTATCAACCATTCCAAGGTTGTATTCCAGTCATATCCTAAATCGTTACTTTTTAATTCTTGAGTTCGGATCTATTATCTTATCATGTCAAAGATATTCTTCATTACAGGTGCCGGAAGTGGCATCGGTCGAGTTGCAGCTCGCTATCTTCTCCAGAAAGGACATCGGGTCTTCCTTACAGACTACAATTCTGCATTTCTTCATGAAACATGTACAAAACACCTCCCATCGGTGCTTTCCCCCGAATTACATGCGAACTTCAAATGGACTCTTATGGATACATCGAACCAAAGCCAAGTGACAGAAGTCATCGCTAAATGCGCAGAAGAATTCGGATCAATTGACGTTCTCATAAATAGTATGTTCTCTCAACTCTCTTACAAACTCTAGAAAATGGATACTAATATCCTTTGAAGATGCGGGAATCAATGTGAGTGCGTAGTGAACATAGTTCTCCGTCCAGTCTACTGACAGCCATCAGAGCCAGTATATGCGCGCAGGAATTCGCATGGATGAAGCCCCAACATCAGACTTTGAACATGTACTCCAAGTGAATCTGATTGGCACATACCGTGTTTCTCAGCAAGCAATTCCTCATCTTGTCAAAGCTTCCGGTGGAGGTGTCATTATCAACCTATCGAGTTGCCGGTCAACTCAACAATCAAAACACGGCGAGGCATATGCAGCTTCAAAAGCAGGTATTGAGGGTCTTTCCATGGCGATGGCGGTCAGTCTGGGACCGGAAATCCGTGTTCACGTTATCAGTCCTGGAATGGTCGATGTACGAAGTGAGCGTGACGAGAGTGCACTTCCCGATGTCAAGACTATCCGCGAGGACCTGAACCGGGACTTCCAGAGTGAATACGCTCCTGAGTGGGGATATGGGAAAAGCCGCACAATGCATGAGGCTCATCCCGTTGGTAGGATTGGTAAGGGAGAGGATATTGCAAGGTGAGTTTCCTTTGACCTATGGGATTTTCTATGCATCTAATGAGACTTTTTGACAGGTGGATCGAATTCTTGTCTGTTTCTGAGGGTGGCTTTACAACTGGAGGGGTGAGTCCCTATATCCGTCCCTGCTGGATGGATTGAAAGCTAATGATTTCTTAGACTTATCTTGTTGATGGAGGGTATTCGAAAGTTCTGTCCTATCCTAGTTAGAGATTGGCAAGTCTATAGATCAAACTTTTATTCTTTCGCGAACACCATGTGCACTAGAACACTTAGAATTTTCAGAGATTTCAAATTCTAGATTGAAATCAGTATAGCCACTTCCAGATGTCATCATCTCCTGTAAAAAGTAATTTAATAGCCAATGTGGCACGGCCCTTCTTCACCCACGCCATAGTAACATTGGAGTGGGGTTGAGCGGGATAACAGCCGGTAGACAGATCGTTATTCCTACTCTTAAGATTAGCAACCTAGAACTCAATTACTAGTAATTAATGAAGGTTATATTTGATCCAAAGAAATTATTGCCAAACGAACCCGAATTTTTAAACATCTATTATGGCAACTAAAGTAATCTTGTTGGGCACTAGCCACCCACATATCTTCCATCGCTTACAATACCTCAAGGAGCACGATGTCACGGTTCTCGGGTTCTACGATAGTGACCTGGAGGTATCCCAGCAAATGCTCGAACACATAAACTACACCAGATACACCGAGCCCGAAAGACTTCTCGAGTTGGATTTCGATATCGCCCTTATTCACGGACGCGACCACGAAAATCCAGACTTTATTCGACAGGCAATTCACCATGGCGCAAAGGAAATCTTCGTGGAGAAGCCAGGGGCTGCAAAACCCGAAGAGTTTCAAGGCCTTGCCGTAGAGCTGCAAGAAAAAGGCATCGTCTTCGAGACTGGATGGGAGCTACATTATCTGGAATCCGTATGCTTTGCGCGAAATCTTCTCAGAGATGGAATTTTGGGACATATTACTGAAGCTCGATTTCATGGCGGATGCCCAGGTGGTGCCGGTGCAGAGCCCTGGCAATCCTCAACAAACAACATTGGCGGATTCTTCTACAGTCTTGGAGGACATGTTGTCGAAGTTGTGGTTGATCTTTTTGGCTTGCCAAATCAAGTTGTTTCTTCCATTCGAAAACTACCAGCTCAAAAACCACATGTTGGATTTTCTTGGGTTCCTGGACTTTTCGCAAGTAGGGAGCTTAATCCACAAAAAGCTATCGGCACACTGGTACATGAGGATCTGGCTTCGGCTATACTAGAGTACGACAACATGAATGTTCATCTTGACTTCACGGCTTGGGAACCAAGTGGATACCTTCAGGACTGGACGATGGATCTGTATGGTGTCGAGGGTGCTTTGCATATGAATTTTGATACGCCTGGAGGTCACCTTTTGCTAAAAGATGCAAAGAAGGGATGGAAGGCAGGAAGAAATGAGATTTTCCCTGAAAGCGAGTATCAGAAGGGAGATATGCTCAAATCAGCATTTACTCAACAAATGGACGTTTTCTTCCAGCGCGTTGAGAACCCAAATGGTGACATGGCACGATGTGATGAGAAGATGACACATAAACTCCTCGTACTGTTCGATGCATTGTACTCCTCGGCACGAAATAGGTCTTGGGTCACGATAAAGGGAGAATCTCTACAGAGTGAATGTTAGTAGTTCTGGTGGATCAATGTTCCTACAAACAGTCTTCAGGGCTAAGCTCAGGGGCTTGAGTACCAAAATTCGATTTCAAGTTTGAATCTGAATCATAATATTATTAGGCATCATGATCACCCTAGTTCCTACGGGGCTATCCATGTTATCTGTGGACTATTAGACGTTACTAGGCTTGGGCTTCTTTGAAATCTGGATGATTACTGTTACCTCCTAGACTACAGTAGTACGAACAAAATACTTATTTAAATAAGAGCAGTCTGAGACTAAACTTTTCTCCCAACGTGCTTGCCAGGATTAATAGGATCAAAATCCTAGTGTTGAGATGAATAGACAGCGCCTGTCATTTAATCCAGGTTCATCCCGACCGCAACGGCCGTGGGGGCTGGCTGTTTGGGCTACAGGGGCCATCTTGCTGGGGCTACTCGGGCTCGGGCTCGGGCTCCGCCGTGGAATCCCTTGGAGACGTTCCTCCACCGTCAAGATCACACATCCACGGGCGACCTTTGCCCATAAAACAACACTTGAGATTCATTCTCCTTACGGTCGATTCCCCGAAAAAGAAGATTCATTCCATTTTATCCCCTGTACGAACTCGACTTTTCCACCAACCCTCGAAGATGACCACCCTCAGAAGTCTTGGGCAGCGTTATTCGACCACAATCCTGACCACTGGGATTGGGGTAAATCTACATCGAACAACACAATCAAAGAGGATCCCTACGCGGGTCGTGGTATATACTTGTGTGGATATTTGGATGTGCCCCTTGACTATGTGAACAACTCGGACACGCGAATTGTTCGCCTTGCCATTACCAAGTTTCAAGTCAGGGGCTTGGCTCGCCTCGATTCTTCAAGAACTCGATCCGCCTCATCCAATATTGGCCGCAAAACTGAACGCACTATAATTATCCAGCCTGGTGGCCCAGGAAATAGTGGAACTCTTGTTGCCCGGAGAGACGCTGAGGAGTTCACAAATCGTTTTAGTGATGGGGAGTTGGATGTTCTAGGATGGGATCCGCGTGGTGTGAACATCTCGCAGCCTAGTCTGTCATGCTTTCCCCATGATGCAATTCGGGACCGATGGACACTGCTCACAAACCAGTACCGTGAAGAATCTTCTCCAGTGAGACAATTGGAGATTTCCGATGCTATGAACAATGCGACATTCTATGCTTTCTGGAAGAGGTTCGGCGATTTTGGTCGATTTATTGGCACGGCATCTGTTGTGCGTGATCTTGAAGAGATTCGAAAAAGACTCGGCGAGGATGAGGTGACTGGGTATTTTGTCAGTTATGGCACAGCCATTGCTCAAACGTATGCGAATATGTTTCCCGAAAATGTTGGTCGCATGATTCTCGATGGAAATATATATGTGAAAGACTTTCGTGTGCTAGGTGGCGCCGGTTGGACCTTGCTTGAAAATGATACGGATGTCTGGCGAGATGGCTTTTTGGGAGAATGCATCAACGCCGGTCCTCAGTGGTGTGCTTTGGCAAAAACGACTAATGATGAAAGCCCTGTGACGCTTGAATGGCTAGAGGCGCGCCTAGCGAAAGCCTTCAACTCACTAATCGACCGACCACTCCCTGCCTATACTGACAAAAGTGGTCCATCCATCATCACATACAGCCAACTGGTAGATAGACTTCGTCAGTTCATGTATGACCCCAAAAACTGGCCAGATGCTGCTCAGATGCTCTATGAGCTTGAGAAAGGGAATACTACTCTCGTAGCTACATATCTCGACTCCCAGTGGGGATATAAACCTTGGATACCATCATATATTGGTCACCCGCTATCTGACAAATCCATGTATCTCATCATTTGTGCTGATATCGTTGACGCGACTCCTCCAGATGACGGGCTTAGCTGGTGGAATCAACTGTGGCTGAGCATGACACGCAAAAGCTGGCTTTCTGGAAACATGGCTTTTTATTGGGTTCTCCCTTGTCAACATTACGCAAAGTATTGGTCTACATCTTCAGAGGTGTATCTGGGCGATCTCAATCACACTTTCAGAACACCTGTCCTACTTATGTCCACAACCTATGATCCTGCCACACCTCTTCGGAATGGGCGGAGACTACTCCATGACATGGGCCATAATGCGCGTTTGGTTGTGCACCACGGATATGGACACACCACAATAAATGATCGATCAAAATGCACAGACCGAATTGGAAAAGCATACATCCTAAATGGTTCCCTTCCCAGTGAGCAGGAAACTGACTGTTTTGCTAATCGAAAACCATACATTGGGCGCTCTACTAATGTGAGTAGTCATCGTAAGTTTGAATGAATGAAGCCACCAGGGCATATATGATTGTGAGTTGTTATGACTTATCAAAAGTATGTTTCCGAGCTGCTTAGCCAGTAAGGATCTTCAACATTGGCAGACTCCCAACAACTCTCCGTACATGCAGAATACCATTCATCTAACGCGAGATTAAATGAGTAAACCTCTTTACCACTCGCAGTAATGGCCAGAATAATATCCGCTTCTGTGGTCAGATCATCAAGTCTGACTACAAGATTGTAGATACCACTATTTGTGGCTTCTGAACAAGGGCTGTAAGCATCGCATGGGTTTGTATTCACAAGTTGTAGATATCCATTGGATGGAGACAACAGAGTGACGTCCATAGTCACATCATCCTGCGTCAAAGTAGCACTCTGATTGTCACTTGCAATGCTCACAGTAGCAGTTGTGTGCCAACTTGTTGCAATGTCAACTGCGGAGGATGCACGAACCTCATCTCGAATCAGAATTTGCGAATCATTCAGGAAGGCCACGCCTCGAAGTACACTGGTAGTGACATTCGAGTATGCTTCTGTCAAATTGGCAACTCCAAACCGGCTGGAGCTGTCAAAACTTCCCACCCATCGCAATGAGTTGTTGGACGAGGGAATCTGGTTTGCAAAATGCAAGGCAGTCTGAACTTCCTTGGATATGCTGAGGGTATTTGCACCTTCACTCCTGCAGCGGTAATATGTCCAGCGTTGAGGAGCGTCGAAATAGTCAGGGAGACTATAGCTATCAGAACCAAGGAGCTCTGCCCATCGATAACCTTTGTAGTCAATGACAAATGAGCCAGCGTCAAGGTGGCCGTGAGAGCGTCCATTAAATCCACCCATGAATCCGAAGAACCATCCATCGGAATCTTCCCAGGATGTACGGTAAGTCATACCGGCAACATTGGTGAACTCATCGTACCGAGGCATGGTTGAGAGGACATCAGGGGTCATCAGAGTTGAGTTGTAAAAGAGAAAGGCTTGGAATGTGGCTGCTTCTGCTGTGTCAAATCGAGACAGCATGCCTTGTAACCACTCTGGGGTGTTGAACTTCTGTGCCCAGTATCCCACACTCCAGAGACTGTTGGCATTGGAAAATGTCCAGGCTCCGTCAGCCCAACTAAACCCTCCGGTATTCCCGAATCCATGGGTGAGCCATGCACCGAGATTGCTCATGCCTGGTAGGCTGGAGATACCAAGGTCATTACCCACAGCGCTGTCAAGAGATCCCATCATCAAGGCTAGGAAGATCCCGGCGTAGGTGCCATATGAGTATCCCTCGATCCAGCCACCATCCGGGGCGTACTGTGCCAAAGAGACATTCAGCTTTGGGAAGGTGAAGTCAAGTATCTCATCTGCGATTGTGGTGTTCGTGTCTCCGATCGCCAAGGTGGCCAGGATCAAGCAACCGTTGGTTACTTGAGCCCAATTGTTGGTATGTTCACTCCATGAGTTGATGGAGGAGTTCAAGGCTGGGACAAAAGCCAAGTCGATAATGGCCGTCTCGAGTGTGAGTCGTTGAGCGGCGGTGAGTGTGTCATAAACCCAATCGTATCCAATCGATATCGTCATGGCCATATCTGCTGTGTTCAAGTAATCGGATGATGGTTCCCAATCAGAGAGACCGGCGATGACCAGGATAGTATCAGCAACCCAATCCGAGTAGGTCTCATTTTTGGTCAGAAGATATGTGCCTGCCACGGCACCGACATCCATGCGAATGGTGCTCGACCAGCTCGAAGCAGATGTAAGGGAGATAGAAGATTCCACCGCCTCATCTGCCGTGCTTTTCAAAGAAGAAAGAATGCCTTGGTAATAGGAATCACTCTCGTTCATCGAAAGCACAGCATCAACACGGTCTTCTGTGAACATCAAACGTGGATGAGACGGTAGATTGGCATAGTCAATGCTAACTGCCATTGCCGTCATGGTATTGAGCCATAAGATGAATATCAGCCAAGCCATGATTCTGCTGATGCATGCACAATCATAGAATTTATCGAATCAAAGAAGATTGCATCTCCTATCTTGCATCAGATAGGGGCATAGATTTATCACTTTTCAACTGTACTTCAGCGCTAAGACCCTCTCCCGCGCGGACATGGGGGAACTAATCAACGCCTCTATCTTGATTCATCCCGCCCCTGGAATGGCACTCGGCAGTAGTGCCGAGGTGGTTCTGACGCGTAGATAGTGTATCCCACGAATTATGTGGGGAAATCCATTCCTTTGTTTTGTGAAGCTCAGTAGTTCTTAAAAGTGTTCTTCGATCTCCGCAGTGGAGAGCTCTTGTATCCAAAACACATCCTTCGAAGTTGCTTGATCTCCTTGTTTCAGAATCACCATGGGCGCCAACAATGATGAAAACCTTGATGTTCATGATATCTCTCATGAGGTAGATCACCATTCATCGACTGAGAAAATATGCTATTCACGATACAACTCGCCTTTTTGGCAGGTGGTTATTGTAAGCTTCGTTGCTTTTGGGTGGGTCTCTTCAACCTCAATCTTAGAGTAATCCACATGCAGTTTCAACTAAACCATTTGATCCACATAGTTGTCCTGGAATGTATAATGCACTCTCCGGTATTGGTGGTGGTGGTCAACTCGACACGACGACTTCGGCAAAGGGTCATATTGCTCTCTCATCCGTCAGCGCAGCGGGAAATCTGTTTGTTGGGCCAGTCCTCACCAACACCCTGGGTCCGAAATGGACCATCTTAATCGGTGGTTTGCCTTATGTGCTGTATGCTGGGTCTCTGCTGGCGTATACGCATACCAACAACCAAGGGTTTGTTGTTGGTGCCAGCGCTCTGTTAGGTATCGGGGCCTCGTTACTTTGGATTTCGCAGGGTGCGATCATGACGGGCTACCCTTTACCTCAACACCAGGGTAGAATGATCGGTATTTTTTGGATTATTTTCAAGTGAGTGATTCTATTTCTACAAATGTTCGATACTCTACTGACATATTCTCAAGCCTCGGTGCTTTCATTGGAGACATGATTTCTTTTGGTCTCAACTTCAATTCTACATCCGGCACTGTGTCTGATGGAACTTATATCGCTTTCATGTGTATCATGGGTGCAGGTTGTCTCTGTGCCTTTGGTCTATTGAAGCCATACGATGTGATCCGTGAAGACAAGTCGCGTGCGGCAGTTGAGAGAAAGCCGAGGGTATGGGCGGAGTTCGTTGCTACGCTAAAAGTCCTCAAGGATTGGAGAGTCGTATCACTTATCCCATTCTGGATCACAGCAAACTGTGGGTCTTTCTTTCTTTCTGTCTCCAGCTTCAGATTATACTAACAGGTACAGATGCCTATAACTATCAGCAAAATACATTCAATGCGAAGCTGTTCACAATTCGAACTCGCAGCTTCAACGGCGCAATGTACTGGTTCGCCCAAATGTTCTCCAGTTACATCTTCGGTCTTTTCCTAGATAACAAATACATGAACCGACGTCAGCGTGGTATCTGGGGATTTGTTATCACAGCTATCATCTCCATGATTGTATGGGCCGGCGGACTTGCCGCGCAACTGCGACGTGGACCAAATAGCGATTACTACCCACTCAACGAACTGGATATCGTTACATCCGGCGGAAAGTATGCAGGGCCATTTCTACTTTACTTTTTCTACGGCACCTTCGACGCTATTTGGCAAACCCTCGTATACTGGACCATCGGCTACCTATCTCACGAGTCTCCAGAGCAAGCAGCACGGTATGTGGGCGCATTCAAGTGTATGGAAGCCGTGGGAGGAGCTATCGCGTCGAAGGTCAATTCCGATAAGACAAACTACAATGTTGAGTTTGCGATCGATTGGTCCATCGTTGTCTTTTCGCTTATTTGGGTGATACCGTTCGTCTGGAAGATTGAGGATGTCCCCGCACACGCTGGCCAAGAGACCGAATACGTCAAAGATGCGAATGACCAGGGAGTCGAAGCTTGAACCCCGGCTTTTTTCCAGATATCTCATTGGTGATTTTTTAAGAGTCACGGGGACATTCACGCTGTTATCGTGTAATGGAATGTTTATGAATATTATGATTGGTGGGGAAACCTCTTGTGGCTCGAGCGTTCAGCCATGGCGCTTTGATAAGATTGAAAACGATAGGATAGAATGAGAGAACTCTATAAGCGAGCAGGTTAGAAAGAGGGGAAGATAGGAGGTAACTTGAATAACCTGATCTGCCGAAGTAGACACTAGGAGTCTCTCAAGCTTTCAAGCTCTAAGCAACATTCTGAGTTACCATCTAGTTCAAGATCTTCAAATTTTTGGACATATCACTGCATTATCTCCAGACAGCTAGATAGTTCCAATGACTTCAGATATGTCAAACAACCCTCCTTATGTGTGTTCACAGCCAGGATGCGATCGCAAATTTTTGCGAAAAGAGCATCTTCGTCGGCATTGCCTAAACCGTAAGTACGCATCTCTGTGGTAGACGGGGTATAAGTCACCGATAAATCCCATCGGATTGAAAGAATTGATCTAAAGTTATTTAGACTCGCCCGAGAAGATTTATACGTGCGAAGATTGTCCGAGAGTGTTCGTTCGTCGGGATCTATATCGAAGACACAAAGCGCGCCACGACAGGTGTATCTTCTATCGTCGCCCTTCTGGAGCTATTGATTCAACAGTGCTGAAGGCTGATCAAACACAACTCGAGTCTGATCTTAAATTATCAGAGAAGTTCATTGAGAGCGACGACCTGGAGATGGCTCAGTCTCAAGAGGATGTTAATCAAGAGAAATACAAACCGGCAGCTATGAATTTATTTACTCCGACCTCAATGTCTACCCAACAAGAGGGACAACATATTGAATGGATGTTTGAATCAATATTGGCCACTGGTAACGATGACTGGGCAGACTTGAATTTATTTCAAGGCGATCTGAGTTTACCAGATATCCCATATGACGCTTTCAATGGAGAACCAGTGGCAGTCAACGCGACTGATTACCAAAACGACCTGAATAGTCCGAGTCATGATGAAGAAAAAATATCTTCATGGAGTTCAGTACGATATCGACTTGTTGAAAGCTTGAATAACCTTGATTCTGAAGTATTGAACTCGGCATTCTTCTATCCCGAAAATCTCAAAATGTTCCATGGTTTATATTTCCAACACTACCATCCACACTTCCCGATGCTTCACCGACCAACATTCACCAGATCCGAAGTTCATCCCCTATTACTCGGCGCTTTAGTAGCGCTAGGATCGACACTGGCCGGAGACAAAGATTTATTTCTGTTGGGCCAACGCGTTCATGACGCATTACAAATTACAGTGATCAATGTGAGGTGAAGTTCCCATTTCTTGAGAAGTTATGCTAATATGAAAAGAATGGCTCATTTGCACCTCCAATCTCTTTGTGGTGTCTACAAACATGGTTGCTTCTCCAAGCGCATGGAAAGATGATGTCTTCGCGCAAGAGCTTCGAGCTTGCTCAAGTATTTCATGCTGCGATATTAACAGTGAGCTCATGGAGCCATCTCACGGATCTCAAGTAACATACTAAGTGATTTTGAACAGTCAATGAAACAAAGCGATCCATCCGCCAGTGACAAATTGACGACTGGCTCCGAAGCCCAAAAGGATTGGACAACATGGATCCAGGAGGAGTCATGGCGTCGCGCCGCATTCTTCGCCCTTTGCATGGATGCACAACATGCATGCCTTTTTGGACACAGTCCAGTGCTCTCTGTCAGCGACATGAGGATGTCATTACCATGCAAAGAAGCATTATGGGAATGTTCAACTCCACAAGCATGGAGCCAAATGCTGCAATCTGGCAATTTGAAACACCCTGTGGATTTTCTCTCAACGCTGAGAGTTATACTGAAAGAATCCATCATGCCGAGTGCTTATAGCGAGTATGCCAGATTCATCATATTACATGGGCTAATCTGCCTTCAAGCTCATTTACAAAGGACGCCACCATTAACACTCGGTATCGAACATTCCGAGTCCGGTTCAACTGGGGAAGGCGAAGGAAACCAAGAATCTGCGCCCGAAAAAATTCCATCTTGGAAGAATGAGATGAGCCGGGCTTTGAGCGCCTGGTCAAACTGTCTCCTCGCATTGCAACCATCGCTTTGCCTTATCGCAGCGGGCCCACTGTATCGGATGGCTCAAATTACTTTGCATGTCAAAGTGACCGATTTACTCACACTAGCGAAGGAGTACAACCATGTGGCCGGTCTTCAGACAAGTGAAAACTACACACAGGCAAGAGCTCGCTTGTATGCATGGGCATCGAGTGATTCAGCGCGCGAAGCAGTTAGATTCTCACTATTACTTGTGCGCGAAACCATGTTCGCCGGTCAGCCGTATCGAGCTCAGGAAGATCGTATCGCTCCTCGGCCTTGGTGTTTGTATATTGCTGTGCTGACTCTATGGGCCTTTGGAGAGATGAGACAAGACACTTGCTCCTCTAAGCAAGATAATTTCAGGGAGGCAACCGCCGAGGAATATATGATCCAGATGACACAGGCATTGGAGAGAGACTTGAAGGACCCTATTCAGGTAAATGACGTGGTGGGATTGCTGGGTGCAACTCGTGATGCGCTGGCAAATTGTCGATGGGAGTTATTGCAGGAAGCGTGTCAGGTTCTTGAGAATTTACGCCTCTCACATAATATTCAAGAATGAGGTCAGGTACTATATCAGATAAATTGAAGCCAAAGGCCTTGAAGATCTATCAGAAGTGTGTAGAGTATATTAGGTGATATTCTCGAAAGAAAATCATGCATTGAAGGTTAAAGCCCAAATCTTGACATAGGTACTGGATTTGGATATATGGTAGGTGCTCTGGGTTCGAAATCTGTGTCTCCATATTACAAGACGAGAAAGAAAAGAAATTCAGCAAGGTCAGGAATCGAGCCCAGGAGCTTCAAAATCAGAAATGCGTGAATAGCCTCAACAGCTCTCACTTGATACATCCATCCTCATGACATAATCCCTTCCATCTCCATCAATTATTTTTATTTTGAGGATCTGAAGGTTGTAATGGAAAGAGAATAGCTAGAAGTATGATGGGTAAAAAAGAAAAGAAATAAAAAAAGTCATTATCCCTAGCCGTAGCTAGATGCCCTCCCGCCCGCAGGTATTTTCTCTGCCACTGAAACCAGGCCCGGCATATCTAATTTCAGTACCTTTGTCCCCAAACGGGTCGCCGACCGCTAGACTAGCAGGGCAGAGTGGTTACAGGGGGAAGCCTTTCACTCAAATTTATGGGAACTCTGGTTCTTTGAATGGTCCACTCTCTACTCCGTACTATTTACTGTAATCCCTCCATTGAGATATCAGTTACGTTCTAAATATACAACCCAAGTAGTAAAAGAGTTTATCACTCAAATGTATGGAATCCATTAATTTCACGACACTTCTTACCAGTCGACCATATCTTCTTTATGCAGACTCAGAGGTATTAGCAAAGAAACAAGCGAATTCTGTCCCTTCGACCCATGAACGATCTTTCTTCCAAGAGTTTACCACGATCTCCTTGCCCACCTTAGCCAGATCCTTGACTTGCTCGGGGGTTCCCCAATTAGGGGCAATGGTTCCAAAAGTAAGCAAATGAACTCCTATTTGGAGGATGGTTCTCCAAGTCTGATCCTCTGTCTGTTTGCCGAGCCCATCTGCGTAACCTTGAATCATCCACAAGCCAGCATCAATCTTTCTATAAAACCACAGACAATACATCTCACCAACCATCTCTCCATGATCAATGGCTGAAGGTCCCAGCTGAGCCATCTCCCAGTCTACCACAAAAATATCCACGTCACTCTTTGCTTGAAGAGATCCTTGCTTTAACAAAATGCTTCCAGATAGTTAGCCCCGAATTCAACCAACACGGAGAGATAACGTGAATACTCACTTTCCCGGCCAATAGTCACCATGAATTGGAACAAGCGTATCAGGACTATGAAGCTCCCGTACGGCCATCTTCTTGACCTCTTGAAAAATGACTCGTGAACCCTCCAGGATATCCGGATACTTCTCAATTCGCTGTAGGAGCCAGTCGTAATTGGTCTCGTGTCTGATGTCTTGCATGCGTTGGTTAAGCTTAACCAAATCACGCATTTGCCGATCATTCTGAGCGTTCAAATGGAAGGCCTGAATGTACTGTGCCAATGCCTTGCCAAGTATGTGAAGATTCGGCTGCGATAGGTTCTGCATGTTCGAGGGGAAATCCTTCAGAAAATATTGTTTCAAATTTATTCCACCGTGCAAATCTTCAATGATTTGGTCCCCATTTTTCTCATCACAGAGATAGAAACGAGGTACTCTGACAGTATATCGGGGCGTACTCTCGATACTTGTCTGAATATTGAATGAGGCGAGTGCGGTCAAGCAAGTTGACTCAATTTGCTTTCAATCCATTAGCATGCAAGTATCAGCTAATGACAGATATAACCACCTGGGCATCTGGGTACCTACACAGCGACTCATATTGAGTTTGTTCGCAGGCGCAACGGCCATATGCGCTTCAGCATGTTTGATGATCAAAGTTGCATCGTCATCTAGAGGCTTTGATAAGGTCATCCTATAAACGAAATTTGACGAGCCACCAGTCAACGGCTCCAGGTGGGAAGACTCATATTGAGTTCCTCGCAACCGGTCTTTCAGCTTCTCCTGGATTTCTTGAATCGTTTTTGGATTCGCCATTGTCGCCCAAAGCTTCAAGTTTTTGACACAAAGTAGAACGAAAGGTGATTCTTATAAGAAGTCGATCGCGATTTTCTGAATTTTCAAAATATCGCAATAAAGTTATATAGTCGTATTGGAACGTAGGCATCATAATTGATTTATCTATGAGACTCGGAGGATGATAACTTGAAAAAATACGTAGTAGCCTGAAATGGTGTGATTGCAGGCACCTGGGGGCCTTAACCCTCTACTAATCTACTAAGAAGCTTTAGGCAGTCAACATTGAAGCCATAAGCGGCACTTTCTTTCTTTTCGGGGTCATACTAGGTCCGAGTCCGCTCAACCCAGGATTGCCATATATCCAGATTATCCAGATGTTACTGCGCGACCTCGAGGATTTATGATTGATGCACACTACCCACAAATTCAATATTACAAGGAAACATGAAACGTTCAGTTAATAAAATTTGAAAATTTGAAGCTCTACCTAATTCGATCCTTTATCATTGCTGCCAAAGCTTCATCCAGGTCGAGATATACCTGTGAATTAAGCCATCGGAGACCGTATTTTCAACAAAATCCAAGCTCGAACAATCGCGTATCGTGCTTTGTGTCTCGAACACCAGTCCAGCATCCTCTGCCTGCTGCGTTCCATGACCCCCATACTTCGATTTCCAGAAATCAATGAGTTTGATACTTGGGTTAGTCTCGGGGTTCTGATCACTGCTGGCCAATCTCTGCAGCCACTCTTGTGGTGTGACGATCTCGAAATTAGCCAGCGCCGATTCTTTCTTCAAAGCTGGAAGCAAATCATTCTTCCAACTAAATGTACGCGGGTTAACCAAATGATAGACCAGATCCACTTCCTGCAGAGGTGAGGTGCTCAGCGTGATCTCAGTGATTGCTTCGGCACATTTGTCCACAGGAAGCCAACTCGGTCGCTCATCCAAAGCAGGCAGTGCGCCTGTCGTCAGAGCGCTCCGGAACATTAGAGCTACAGCTTCAGTCTCGTTCCACATCGCACTCTTGGTATCTCCGCCGAGTTGACCAATTCTCAATACCCTGGCATGCATCCCAGTCTTGCGCATAGCATTGTGAGTGATGTGTTCAGTCAGCAGCTTAGATCTTCCATAGCCCATTTTCTGAGCGTGCGACAGGTCTTCAATTTTGTGTTCACGGATGGACGCTGGCTTTGGTGTGCTGCTTGCTGCGCTCACGCTTGAACAGAAGAAGAACTGGGCCGGCGCTGGTAATTTCGATCGGAGACAGAAGTTAATGAGGTTGTAAGTGCCGCGAATATGTTGGTGTTCGAAGGATCGCACTCCAAGGTTGAAGTTGACTGCCCAAGCACTATGAATAATCCTCGTCGTGCACGAGAGGAGATATTCAATAACATGGTTGTCGAGGCCTAGATTGGCTTGCGATAAGTCGCTCGGTACAGCGTAGAGTTTGGCAGACTCGGCATCGGAAAGAGAAATGTTGCGATCTGCCAGTGCTTTCGACAGACGAGCCCCTGCAGCTACCTGACCGGGCGCGCGTACAAGAGCCCAAACCTCAGGGCCATTCGGTCGCTTGAGTAATTCAGCGATGATGAATGCACCCAGGTTACCTGTTCCACCCGTCACGATCACGATTTCCGCTTCGGGTTGTTTCTGCAGAGTCGGGATGTGATGAGTAAAGTTTGAGTATCTCTCAATCATATCTCGCATGACTTCCAATTCATCTTCCGTGTCAAACTCTTGACCGGTTCGCATTTGATATAGGTGCTGAGCAAGCGCTCTGACAGTTCCCTTCTCAAAAACGATATTTTGAGATAGGGAGTCTCCTTGGTCCCCGAGATCAAGATCACGAACAATATATCGCCATATCTGAGTGGTCTGAAGACTATCAACTCCAGTGGAGAAGATATCGGTCTCAGCATTGTCAAGCTGTACATTCAAGTCATCCCGGAATCGAGATAAGAGCCAATCCTCTAACTCAGATAGACTAAGCGCAAGCGTTCCTTTCTCCTCTCCGCTACCTTCGAAACGGAGGTAGGCTCCTTGGATATCTTCCTCAAACTGCTGGTACACCTGAGCTCGGATGCATGTTCCTTTGTCGGTTCTTGGGTAAGTCACTTCTGCCCCCTTGATGATCACCAATTCTTTTGGAATGCGGGAGAATGTCTCCGCGCGAGCATTGGCGGCCTCAACAGCAGGCCATATGGTCTCCAGGAATTCCTCGTTGTTTAGATGAAGAGCCTTCCCAGGGGTACGGAAGATCAAAGCACCTGGCACGGTTCGCTGAAAGCCAAAGACGACACATTCTCCCACCAGCTCCTCCTCGCGAACACGACCTTCGATCGGAATCGGAAGTACCTTTTCGCCATTCACGAGAGTGATTCTGTCATCCAGACGACTTAGGTATTTATAATAATTGCTTTTCTTTGGATCGGGGTGTCGTGTGAACAGGTCCGATGTGCGAAAGCTGTTCTCAGGGTTCTTTTCACTGAACGGTGCCTTGGAATTGGATGGCCCCTTGCTTGGTAATCCGTCCAAAGCAACACACTCAAATACACCAGGAGATAACTCATCCATCAAGGTATGATTGGAAACGGGGGCTTGGAGACGCATATACTGCCATTCAGTATCGCCATTAGGTCGGAAGGACGTCATGATCTGACCGGTCTCCGTTGCACCGTAATTGGCAACGAGGTTGACGCCTTGCGCGACTAGCCTGTCTCCCAAATCATCTGGACAGCTAGATCCTCCATAGAGGACAAGCTGGGGCTTAGCCAAAGCTTCGATGCCTTCCTGCTTTTCTGCCAATAGTTTGATGACGTACGGCACGGCACTGATCTGTTCTGGCTTTGCGACTTCCAACGCGTCGATGAGGTTCTGATATGTGATTGCGAGAGAGTGGTTTCCGAGGTATGCCGTGGCTCTTGTGTAGAAAGCTCTTCCAAGCTCCATCAAGGCATGTGAATGGAAAAGTGGACTTATATTAAATAGACGCAATCCGAAGCTCTTCCGGAAATTGGCCAATGACTGATAGTTGGTTAAGAAGATCGGCTTCGGGAATCCCGTACTTCCAGAAGAGTGCAGAATCCAGGCCATTTTCTTGCTTTCCTTAGCTGGATCCACGTTTTTCCGCTGGAAATGAGGGACCATAGCAGGGCGATTGAACCATTCTTCCCGTCGCACAATGGGGATGCTGCTACAACCCGACCGATCTTGGCATATCTCATGCACGGTCTCCTGATATCTATCGGCAATAATGAGTCGGTTGCAGTCCGCCATTCCTAGCAGTCTAGCATATGCTGGAGCTGTCAGTCTAGTGGAAAGAAAGAGGACAGCATAACCAAGTCGGTTCAGTGCAAAGAAGGTGAGAATAACTTCAAAACTTGACCCAGCCAGCAAAGCAATAACTGGTGCCTTCTCGAGACTGGGGTTCTAACAAAGAGTTAGCTACGACATATTTCTCAGTATCATACATGTTAACCTACCGCTGGAGCCAATCCCTTCTCCATGTAAGAGCGAACCGCGAGATCGGTATATCGATCGAGATCGCCAGCCGTATGTTGCTCAAAATCCGCAGCTCCTCGAACAGGATAGCATATCAATGGTTTTGCTGATTCATTTGGGTGTGCTGCGTGAGATTTGAGGAGACCATCAATTGTCATAAATTTCTCCACTGGTGGATAGCTTGCGTGCAGAGTGCCATTTAGTAGGCGAGTGGCAATGTCCTCTGGCTTATATGATAGCCTCGCCATGGCCGTCGCGGTTTCTGTAATAGTTGCCATCGTTGATAAATCGTAGATGAACATTCAAATGTTTGTATGAATAAGAACATCGAAGTGTCTTTATATGAAGTCAACGTGGAGATGCCGAGCTCGGCGTACCCCCGAGACTGCTTTTCCGGGCGATATCCGGTTGGAGTTCCACATCCCGGAGAAGCATTGCCAACGGTTTGTGCCCCTTGCCCGGAAAATGTAGTTTCAATAGAGAGACCTTGATTGGAGCTCATCTTTCCAGATTTTTTGTCGAAATGGGTATCTCAAATGGACATGGTGTCAATGTTGTTGAGCCCCTGGGATGAATTTGCGGGGAAATCCGTCCGGACGTCGGAAATCCACCGACGTAATCGGATTTCTATCCACACTATCCCGGGGCAGTGTGCACTATGTATGACTAAAGCAAATTTTATTCGGATGAATTCAAATGATATCAAAGTACTTAAGATGTTTGAAGTAAATAAATGCAGCAGGTCTCTTGTCCAACAGCGATCGCTGATTGCCAGACGGCAATAGTGGTGTGAAGGATTCCTATTACGGTGGGCAACCTCCTACCAGTCAGACCCACTGTGCATCTACGCAGCATCCACGATAAAGTCATCAACTGACGACTTCAATTCAGAAGTTACGATTCCACTCAGGGTCACCACATCTTAAGAGGAATGAATGTATTGAAATGAAAAATCCCACACTATCATTGTCAAGGCTGGCATTGAATTCTACCGACCAGCCATGCCAGTAAGAGAAGACTCATTCCCTATGTTTTCGGCTTGCCAAATATGGGAGCTAACATATGTATAGTGAACGCTTGGGTCTATTTCTCTCTTATGGACCCTAGTATAAAGTGGAAGTCAACCTCACATCAAATCATTTAACGGTAATTGAATGGACCAGATCCAAAGCGCTTCGTCAACCAGACCCTCATTTTTCCATGAGATCCCAGGGTTCATGGAGTCATATCCGACTTGAATCCTCTTCCTACTGGAAAAGCTAAGGGATAATCAACGGAGATGGAGAAGAATCCGCGGTCAGCTCTCCTTTACCCAAAATTCCCGCCAGTTAAAAGCCAGCCAAGCCTGATCCACAGCAGTCTGTGGAGAAACATTGCATGAAGAAGGATCAAGATTGGCAAAATTGGCTTTTCATCTTATATATTCCACAAATGAAAGCTTCTTTGAGCTTGATTTCACTAGGCATCACTTGTGAGATGATTCACATAGTCCGGGGTTGGGCCGTAGGTCTCCATGTATCCCCGCGTTTCCCCGCAGATCCCCGGATTTCATGACCTACTATCTATGTAGTAAACAAAGAAAGCTATGACCAGCGCGATGATTTGTACCAACTAGCCATAAGCCGCCTCTTAGATAAAGTATATAAAGTCCCGGTTATTCAAACTTGAGCTGAAGTATCTCAGAATACATTGGAAGTGCCACTGTCCTGTCCATTGACGCATTTTATGCCCATCATGGAACACGGCCAAAATATCATTTCAGACGCCGACGTGATGGGAGAGAAAGCGGAGATGACCCATGAGGAAACGGTACACTTGGCTTGTCTCAGCCCTGAGGAAAAGGTGCTTGAGATAAAGCTTCGACGTCGCATAGATTTCTTGATCATGCCTTTAGTTATTTTGGTTTATCTGATGAACTATATTGACCGGTAAGTATCTTGAACTTCTTTCATCCTGAGATGATCTCGTGTTCCATTATTTCTATGCGCATGTATCTCTCAGATTCTTTCCATGCCTGAGGTTCTTTACCAATTGGGCCACTCATCGCTGACTCTCATTGCTTTTCAGCAACAATTATGCCGCCGCCAAACTTCAAGGTCTGATGACTGATCTCAATCTCGATGGTCAGCAGTATCAGACCGGTCTTTCCATTCTCTTCGTTGCATACATCCTGATGCAGGTACCATCCAACCTCCTCCTAAATTATATGGGCCGACCATCTCTCTATCTTGGATTCTTCGTTGTTGCATGGGGGCTGGTCTCTGCATGCACAAGCCAGGTCACAAGCTATGGAGGAATTGTGGCTTGTCGCTTCATCCTGGGACTTGTTGGTAGGTTCTCTGTTCTTGGAAAACATTATTCAGATGCTCATTCTTCCCCCAGAGGCCCCATTCTTTGCCGGAGTTCTGTTTTACCTGTCCAAGTGGTATACTCGCGCCGAGTTGGCTTTTCGTATGAGCCTGTTCTATTCCGGCTCTCTGATTAGTGGTGCATTCGGCAACCTCATTGCGGCCGGTATCCTTACTGGACTTGCTGGTAAGCGAGGAATGGCTGCCTGGCAATGGCTTTATATTATTGAAGGGTCAATCACCTGCTTTATCGGAATTGCTATATGCTTCATCCTACCCGATTTCCCCGATACCTGGCGATTGCTTTCACCCGAGATGAGAGCTGTCGCAATTCGAAGATTGGCTATCGAAGCTGCTGAAGCCGACATTGATGACGAAGGGGGCTCGGGAACTAGTCAACTCAAGGGTCTCAAAATGGCTTTGACTGACATCAAAACATACATTTTATCGTTCGCATATATGTGCATCGCCGGTGGGGGAGGTTTCCAGTATTTCTTTCCCACACTAGCAGAGACATTGGGGTACAACAACACCATCTCCCTATTATTAGTCGCGCCACCATATGTGTTTATGGTATTCTATAGTCTTTTCCACAGCTGGCTATCCGACAAATTTGGTATGCGATTCTGGTTCTTCGTTTATCCTATTCCTATTACAATCGCCGGATTCATCATTTTCATGACAACGGACTCATTTGGCCCTCGCTATTTTTCTCTCTTCTTGATGAATTTTACATTTGCTCAAAACGGTACTCTCTTCTCCTGGATGGCAACATCTATGCCTCGACCTCCTGCCAAACGAGCCGCTGCTTATGCCTTCTTCAACTCCATCGGAAATTCGGCTTCGATCTGGACTCCGTTTACTTACTACAGTTCACAAGGGTCGCACTACCCAGTGGCACTAGGCATTTGCATTGCCTTGCAATCACTCAGTGGCCTTTCTGCTATGGTCCTATACTTCAATCTCAGAATGCTTAATAAACGCCAGGAAAGATTGGAGAATGAGAGTGGAGAGATACAACTCACTGAAAAGGAGTTAAGACGCCTGCAGGTCACAGCTGATGCTGAAGGAATTGATATTGCTGCCGCTCGCCGGTTACAGAAGGGCTTTCGGTATATGCTTTAGTGTCAAACTCTTCAATTGAATTCAAAGTCACATCATCATGTTCCATGTTACTCCAAGGTCCTTCACGGATGTCCCGTTTTAGTTCTAGACTCCGACCTGGCAAATGATCAACCTGACGCGTCGTAAATTTTTACCCGATCTCCCGGTGTATGCACTTCCCCGCAAACCTTCTTCCAAGTTTGAAGAGGTTAAGATTCCACTAACTGTGTATTTCTGCATCACGCTATATGACGTGATATGCGAGCAAAATTCTGATATCTGCCTTCCGAGGGCTCCGGGTTGCGCGTGAAAGGACAGGGACCGGGGTGATTCCCAAATGCACACACCCCGAGCCCAACGAAGTTCTGTTCTTGTTGAAAATTGCAACGAGTGGAATAGTTACAGGTTGAACTATCATTTGTTAGAACACCTCCCATGTGTAGAGCGTTCTATATTGAACAGACTCATTCAATGATCTACACAATCCTGTTGCAAAAGCTTGTACTTGATGTGAATAAAGTCGCTAATTTCAAATCTTTATATGTATCATCTGCTATTTACATGACTTGTGATGTAGCAAGTCTTGGACAATATGTTCAAAAATTCCAACTATGTCCGCGTCCAAACAACTTCCAGCACCTGCGGCCTCTCTAATCGATTTGTGCGGTCCGGCTCACGCATGTATACCTGTCGCACACGATGTCTTTCAGAGATAGCGCCCTTAAGACGGTACGACACTTTCTTGTTATCCCGTGGACGCAATGGACCCAAACTAAACCCGTAGTTATCGTCTTCAGTCCATCGGTAGTATTCCCATGTTTGTTCCATAGAGGCCAACTCTTCCAGCGAGGGGGCAGAGGAATATTTCACTAAGGAAAATCCGTTGATGAAGTACCACTGATCAGTGACCTTCCATCTCCGTAGTTGACAGTCTGGACCGCAGACATCAGAGACTTTGCTCATGTTGAGAATGTCCACAGGGTACCAGTCGGAGGATTTCCAATGGTGCAATGACAGAGGGAGTTCTCGACCGGCTTCGTAGAAGCCTGACCCATCGTTTGTGAGATCAAGTTGGAAGAGACGTCGGTCCCAGGTAAGTTTGGTATTGGTGTACGTATAAACACACCAAGCAACGCGCTTATCGCCGGTGTCCTTGTTGTCGTAACAGTCATCGTAGTGTTGATCGATCTCCTTCAGTAAGGGAATTGAAAGGAATACTCCGGCACCGCCGTACGCCATAAATGTGAATGTGGCCATTTGTTGCAGGTTCTCGGTCGGGGCTCCAATATAATATGGTTTACTTGAGTCGTAGGTAGCGAGATCTGTGACAAGACCATCCATAGAGGGGAAGAATGTATCGTCGTCGATGATTACAGCCCATTCTGTGTGCCCATCGTGCAATTCCAGCATTGTTCGCGTGAGCATATAGTACCGATCCAGGAATGGTTCGTCGCTTTCAATGATATGCAGATTGATGGCGAGATCCTCGGCGTGTTTGACGAGTTCTGAAAGACTTCGGGTATGATCTCTCTCGACTATTGAGATAATTCGCGCGTTTGTTCCGCTCGCCCAGCGAGAGAAAACCGGCAAGGTATCATTTAGTCGTTCCATCGTGGTAGCTACACCAAACATAATATGAGATGCATCGACGGGTTTCTTAGGCATGGGAGCCTCCACAGTCATGGTAGATGAACATTGCGACGCGTTCAATCTATCCCATTCTTCGTTTCCGCCCAGATCAAGCTCATTGAAGACGGGTTCACCAAAGTCGAGTGAATCTGAAAATTGGCTGAACTTTGGAGACGGCACCACCTGAATATTCCATCGCGCATAGTCTACCGTCTCATTATACCCGAAAGATCTCAAGAATTCGAGATCCACATTACAATCGGGACCTTTATGATGGCTCAAAAAGTTGACTGGGGAATTTTCTCCTCCTTGATACAGGAAGACGCCGGTTAAAAAGATTAGGATAACGGCACCGACAAGCGACCTAGCATATTGAGGGTAGAAACGGGTCATTGCGCATGGCAGAGGTGCGTACAAGGAGAAAAAAAAGATCAGAGATCCTTTGAACCGCATCGTGACTTCTTGTATTGCGGCAAACTGAAACGATATGCGCATGAGCTTACGTGGCGAAGGTGTTGGGGGGAACCACTATAATACGGCCCAATCCCGAACCCCAAAAATCCAACTGAACCCGAAAAATGCATATGGGCTTTTTGCTTAACAAGGTCTCTTAATTTAACGGCCAATCATTACCTTGATGGCTGAATGCTTGTGGTTCATGGACCCGCTCTGGGGGAAGATCGCGGCAGCTACTATGTTGTACTATCAATCATATTACCTCTATAGACGCTGGATGGTTGAATGGTAATTGACCCGGCTATATGATAGCTATTTAATCCCTAGAATTAATTCATTCAATCTCTATTCTCTCACATTTCCCTTCTTTTCCAACATTTGCACTTTGAATCTGATTACTACATGTCGTACTCATGGCCCGCTGCCAAGAAGACCCACGTCGCCATCGGCCTAGCCAGTTCTCCTATAGGTTAAACCCATTGAAGATCTATCGAGGGCCACATCATCCCTATTACCATTCGGTTTAAAGAATCTTGCTTCGGTCTTTTTCATCCATGACGTGAATTATTCCGCGGGTTTTGCCGACACTTGACACTTGGTTAATTGAATACACATGCACATAACCTGAATATTGCATGCGTCCCTGGAGGGCTTCCACTGCGGAGTCCCGGTACTGCCCTCGAACTGACCCACAAGGGCCGCGAAGGAACAGGTCCAGCCCTGGACATTGCACATGTGCTCCGTAATATCCAAGGCAACTGGCCATTCAGAATCCAGTCCACGAACACCCTATGGATGATTTATCCCGATGTACGAAAGCTCAGCGGGGCGAGTCCCTTTTTTCCGTAGGGTCCCCCATCTACTCCGTACTCCAAACATCTCAACTTTTCTGTGGTATGATCGACGTAAGGAGAAAAGTCTTCACCTGAATGACAGGTTCAATCGTCATCTTTGTGGATGGTAGCCACCTAAGCTCTTCAGCCACCAGGCAAGACACGTCTCAAATTAGGTTGAAATCTGAATATTTGAAAGAAAAGATCGCTCTCGACTCGGAGAGCCCGCGTAGATTATGTCTTGGAGGCTATGTTGATCAGCTTTCAATATCAGGGTCCATTGAGCCACGTATCCATCAGAAGCTCAGCCTTGTTGGAAATTTCCAAATTCCAGAATATTCCTTCCTAATGTCAACCTGTCATCAAACAATTCTCAGAATTGATCTATCGCCAAAACTTACTTGTGAGTATCGAGTAAAATGTAACGAATAGACGCCCTGTTAGCTCAGGCGTGCCGAAGTAACGGTTTCAATTGTGAACCCTGTTAATACGGGTTTCGATTCTACTCCGCACCACACTTGAAACATGCCATGATATGTGGGGACTTTTCCACGCGTTCGGACCTCGGGACTTATGCCTGCACCGCGACAAGAGGCATAACTTACGTAGAGTCGGGATTTGCCGTTATTCAGAAATTCAGATCGACACTTTGTCTGAAGATGTTTCAATTTTGAACTTTCTCATAATACTGCACATGTGTCATTATGGTTGGTGATTGGGGGCCTCATTGGTCTCCTTACCTCAGGTAGTATCATGACCTGTCGAGCAGATCGACTCCTGGGTCGATTTGTTGTTCATTGATTTCGAACGTTTCAAGCACTTTTGAATCTATCAATCTATTCAATCAGATTCATCACGGAACCCGCTATACAAACATTACTTCATCAGTTTCCAGTCGGTTGAACCAACTGGATATATCAAATTCCTGCCTCAGGCATCAGTTGACATGCCCGCTGCGTAACACAGCATAGAGGGTGGGATTCACAGTGAACGATGGCCTTAGCTAGTCCAATAAGAGCTGATAGGCTGCAGCATTGGGGTAAAACAACCGATGATGAGCGCTCAGATTGCAGCGATAAAGCTACTGGAGATAGGATACTTTACCCCTCTGCGGAGGTGCGGAGTAACAGGTCCTTATCTCTACCTCGTATTTCACATTCACGCCCTTCATCTTTTTGATATTTATGAAAAACTGTGTTTAATCTCTTTTGATCGATATAATCCGAGTTGAAGGCCTTTCATACATACCGACATATCCGAGTCAAGCTGCGTAACTGGGAACCTGTCACTGATAATTATGGGTATCAAGGGAATTCGCACCGCTTTGAAGGTTGATCTGGAGAAGCATGCTAGTCAGCAGCCCGGCTTACATGTAAGCATCTCGAATAAATCTGCTTGTAAATGGAACATGATCTAACAAGTTCTCGCTGTGTAGAATCGATGGCATCCAGATGGTGAGTGAATCAGCATTGCTGAACCAAAGTATCCTCACTAAACGACGTCTCTTGAATCTTGCAGTTCCAGCCTATGGTAAAATTGCCAATAACGAGGTAGTCAAGATTGAATGTCTTGACTGGACTGGTGGCCAGATCAAGAACAACGACTCAGCCGACGATGTTAAGAATGTCGACCTCACCCAGATTCACTACCTGTCAGGTCCCTTCGAGATCGAAACAGCTGAGCCGGGAGATGTCCTCTTGGTTGAGATCCAAGACGTTCAGCCTTTCCAAGAGCAGCCATGGGGATTTACCGGTATCTTCGATCGCCAGAATGGTGGTGGTTTCCTGGATGAGATTTATCCCAATGCGTACGTTTCTCATCTTCCTCCTGCTGACAAAACTCTAACAACCTCACCACAGGGCTAAAGCGATTTGGGATTTTGAGGGAATCTTCTGCTCTTCCCGCCACATTCCACATGTTCGATTCGCCGGCTTGATTCATCCTGGTATCCTGGGATGTGCTCCCTCAGCCGAGGTTCTAGCCGAATGGAACCGCCGAGAGGGTGAGCTAATCGCGGCAAACACAGTCGCAGATCGTATCGTCGCGCAGCCACCAAACCCGACAAATGCTCACGCTGGAAGTGCCGGTGAGGATGTCAAGTCGAAGGTGGCCAGAGAAGGAGCTCGAACTATTCCCGTACGTTTCCATTCCTCATAATCTGAGCAATGCCTCATTAACCGTGCGAATCGTGATAGGGTCGTCCCGAGCATGGAGGTAACTGCGATATCAAAAACCTCTCCCGAGGCTCCAAAATCTACCTTCCAGTTCACGTCCCAGGTGCGAAATTCTCTGTTGGAGATCTACATTTTTCGCAGGGTGATGGTGAAATCTCATTCTGCGGCGCGATTGAGATGGCAGGCGTTATCACACTGAAGTTCACCGTGATCAAGAACGGCATGGCGAAACTGAGTATGAAGTCTCCCATCTTTCATGCTGGTCCAGTTGAGCCTCAATTTGGTCCGGGTCGGTATCTCACTTTTGAGGGATTCTCGGTCGATGAGAATGGCAAGCAGCATTATCTTGATGCTACGGTTGCGTACCGCCAGACTTGTCTGAGGGTTATTGAGTATCTGAGGCGCTATGGATATGATGATTATCAGATTTATCTCCTCTTGAGTTGTGCCCCTGTCCAGGGCCACATTGCTGGGATTGTGGATATTCCCAATGCTTGTACTACTTTGAGCGTTCCCATGGATATCTTTGATTTTGATATCAGACCTGAGGCTGATATTGTTCCGAGGGATATGGGGGCTTGCGCGTTCACGAGCGAGTAAATTATAGTATTTCCTTGTTGAATATCTTCGGGTTTAGGAAATTGATCAATGAGCTATAATTGAGAGTATTGAAGAGACAGTATTCATCTTTCACGTACTGCCATCCTCTATCCACGTCCATTCATCATTATGAATACTTTGGAAATCCATAACTTTATATGGTCCTCCAAAGCGATTTTGTGTTGCATGCCAATCTCGCTCCACCGCCGTTTCTGGCCTCCATCGGAAAACGCCCTTGAGTTCGGATTGTAGAGTTCCTTCCAATGCAGCAAAAATAAACCCACCAATAGATGGCATCTTCATTGCACCATTCCCGGATCCCCCAACTGCAACAAGTAGAGAACGATACTTAGGATGTCGATCAATCAAAAATGCCCGGTCAGGTGTGTCCGCATCCCAGCAAATTCTAGCAAACGTAAGTGGCCGCTCTGCGAGGTATGGCATCGTATCTCTCAGAAAGTCCCTTGCTCGTGCCTCTGCCTCAATAGGAATCTGCTGCTTAGCGAAGGGAATACTTCGAGTCTCTCCATTATGCAGAGGATCCGAAACGAAGTTGCAATAGCCTGGATGTTCATCACAGATCTTAAGCTCATGCTTATCTTCATCAGGCTCCATAAAGAATCCTTCTCGATATTAAACAACACTGGCAAGTTTCGGTACTGCTGTGCTTCCGCGGGCGTCATCTGGATATGGCATAATGTCCAAGCGGTTGGGCGTAACTGTTTCTCGAAATCGAATAAGCGATCGCTAGCTGCGCCTGCAGCTAATATAACATGGTCTGCACGATGGATGAACCCATCCTCTGTTTGAGCACCGATCACATCATCATTTTCGTATACTAATGTTGCCACTTTTCCGGATGGCGATCCAGTGATGAATGTGACGCCTAGCCGTTGAGCTTCGGTATATGCAGAAACCATTGCCTTGCGCGCGTGAATCCAACCAGCCCCATCAGTGCTGAGCCAGCCTTTCCAGCCTGGGAAATCTCCCGCCAAGATACCAGGTGGCATTGTTTTTCGGAAGTCTTCTGCCGTCTCCAGCTTTGTGAAGTTCGCGTCTGTGGGATCGATTTCCTCTTCCTTGATATGTCGGATCAAGGCTGGTGTATGTCCTGAAACGATGAATCCGGTTTCGTGGAAATATGGTTGGAACACTGGATCGGTTTTCCAGCCTTGTAATGCTGCTCGACTGCAAGTTGCTGATGCAACGCTTCGCGCGTCTGGATCCTTCGCTGGAAATTCAGGGTTTGTTAGCCAATCTTGCATTGCGAGGAATCAGGTTTCTGCTTACTCTTCAACTCCTTGTGCTCCATGATCTTATTCACGTCATTCCCAGCTGCAATCGGTGATGGTACCGCGTAAGGGTCGAGAACAGTCACATTCTCATATCCGCGGCGAGCTAAATGCAGCGCTGTAGAGCAGCCCCAAGTACCAGCTCCAATAATGAGGAGAGAGGAGTTGTGGGTGAGGGATGATGGCGCCATCTTGATATTGCATCGGTTGAAGTAAGAGGTTGGGAGGAGAATAATTGTGGTGAGAATCACGGGTGAAAAGGTGCAGGATTAAATGGGCATCCTTGGAATTAGAGCCAGTATACGCAGGTGAGCTCTATTATCACGGTGAGACTAAATGCTTATCAACGTTCCAGAGCTGATCGCCTGGACTTCCCCTCATATTCCGAGGTTGCCAAGTTTCTCCGCACTAGTAGCACCTTCTCTTATCTTGTCAGTTGATTATTGCCAGTGCCAGTGGTTATCCATGCCTCATCCTTTACTGATATGTAAGAATTAGATTCATTCTTGGCCATTTACTCCTGGCGAAGCATCAACATTCGCAGAGTTATAACTTGAACTCGTGTTGTTGGTGTACATCGCCTACGCTACGGCACGTTCTGAGCCAGGATATCTAAACACATCTGTTGAATACTTGATGCTTAGGGTCTCTTTACTCTGGGGCTAATATAAGTGGCGATTTCAGGTGGTGGAATGGTAGGTGTCACCCTTTAGCTTCACCGGGGTCCAGATTAGGACCATAGCAAAACATTCTGCTAGTTCAATGATTTCATAAAACTTCAATTCCGAGTGTTAAATGACAAGGGAGAATCCGCTATTTGCAGAAAATATTCTATTTTGTTTAGAGAAAAACAAAGGACATAGGAAATGATTACATGAAATGCTACATGTAGTTGCTAGCGAGGCTAGACTAGAATTCCAGAAAGTAGTACATGGAGAGGATATCAGAGAGACAATGGCACGACCGCGTCACGTCTAGAAGTGGATGGGCTTAGAGTAGGTGGCCATAGCAGCCTCCTTGAAAGCCTCGGAGAGAGTAGGGTGGGCGTGACATGTGCGGGCAACATCCTCGCTGGAGGCGCCGTACTCGATGGCCAGAGTAGCCTCAGCAATCATCTCACCAGCACCGGGGCCGATGATGTGGACACCGAGAATACGGTCGGTCTCGGCATCAGCGATGAACTTAACAACACCCTCGGTGTCAAGGTTGGTCTTAGCACGGGAGTTGGCGCTGAAGGGGAAAGAGCCGACGTTGTACTTAATACCGGAGGCCTTGACCTCGGCCTCGTTCTGGCCAACCCAAGCGACCTCGGGGTGGGTGTACATAACGCTGGGAATGGCGGCGTAGTTGACGTGGCCGTGGCCCTTCTTAATGTACTCAATGGCAGCAACGGCCTCCTCCTCAGCCTTGTGGGCCAGCATAGGGCCGAAGGTAACATCACCAACAACACGGATGTGGGGGACCTTGGTGCGGTACTCCTGGTCAATGACCAGACGGCCACGCTCGTCCTTGTCGATACCAACGCTCTCCAGGTTCAGACCCTCAGTGTAAGGGCGACGACCAATGGCGACCAGAACGACATCAGCGTCAAGAGTCTCCTCCTTACCACCCTTGGAGGCCTCGATGTTCAGGCTAACGAGAGCACCGCTGTCATCACCATTGACGACCTTGGTGTTGGTCTTGAACTTGATACCCTGCTTGCTCAGGATCTTCTGGGCCTGCTTGGCGATCTCAGCATCCATACCGGGGCCACCGATCTGGCCAAGGAACTCAACGACGGTAACCTCAGCGCCGAGACGGGACCAGACAGAAGCCTAAAAAAAATACAGTTAGTAACTGATCACCGCACGGCCAGAATAAAAATGACTTCATACCATCTCCAGACCAATGATACCACCGCCGATGACAACCATCTTCTTAGGGACCTCCTGCAGCTCAAGAGCACCAGTGCTAGAGATAATGCGCTTCTCGTCGATGTTCAGGCCGGGGAAGGGAGTGTACTCAGAGCCGGTAGCAATGAGAATGTTCTTTCCGCGCACAGTCTGCTCACCACCATCGAGCAGGTCAACCTTGACAGTGTTCGCATCAACAAAGGAGCCAGCACCCTTGATGTAGTCAACACCGTTCTTCTTGAGGAGGAACTCAACACCCTTAGTCAGACCCTGAACGGACTGGTTCTTGGCCTCCAGCATCTGAGCAAGGTTCAGCTTGACATCGCCGACCTCAATACCGCGCTTCTTGGTATCGTGGAGAATCTGGTGGTAAAGGTGGGAGTTGTTGAGGAGAGACTTTGAAGGAATGCAGCCGACGTTCAAGCAGGTACCACCGAGCGTTCCACGCTTCTCGATACAGGCGGTCTATCAAAGATGGTAATTCAGTCAGTACGTGTCCACCGATCGGCATGTCAATTTTGACACCCAATGCACAGAGAAGCGATAGATTCGATGATATCATACCTTGAGGCCCTCCTGACCAGCCTTGATAGCGGCAACGTAACCAGCGACACCACCACCAATGATAACCAGATCGTGCTCTCCTGTTGACCGGGGGCCGGGAAATCAGCAATCGCGTCCGGAAAGACAAGGAAAGTCTGTGAATAGTGGAAAACCTGGGGGAATCAAGAAACTCACCAGCATCAGAGGCGTAACCACGCTTTGAGCGGCTAACAAGGAGCATGGAGGGAGCGATGAAGGTAGCTGAGACAGCCTTAGGTCCGCAGGCGCGGAGGCTGGCCCGCGGCGCAGCTCGGGGAAGGACGGCGCGGAACATACCGATTATGGGGAATTAAAAAGAAAGGCAAAAGAAATACAACAGGTGGTCAAGCCTCCAAGAAAAAGAGGTGAAGGAGTTGCGCAGAAACAGATGTTGGATCTCAACGGGAGAGAGAGGACTGAGCTTTGCGGTATTTTGAGATTGGCAGGTTATGTAAGCCAGTCGGGACCTCCCGGTAAGCCACCTGGGCACTTTACCGGATGACAATGCCGATTTTTAACTGGTTTTATTCTTTGGGGGATCCGAGAAGAGGAAGAGAAGAGTGATTATGAAGCCAGAGAGCTTGGATAATGAGGATACTGGGTTTTTTTTTGGGCTTCAGAGCTACGAGGTCAAGCAAATTTGAAAGTTCTCCGAATCCCAACAGTTCTTCCGAGTCCCTCTATATACTCAAGAGCATGGCCACGGGAAGCCTGAAGACCTTTTCCGCTCTCCACCTGCCCGGCCAGATCTTACCCCGGGAACAGTGCAATAGCGTTATTTTAGCGTTCACTGGAGGCCCCAGATTATGTTGAATACCCGCGGACATGGAATTAGCATGACGTTTGCCGCTTCCGCCTTCCACGGTTATACTCGGGATCCGGGGATGTTCTTGTTCCAATTTCTATGTATCTGCATCCATCTTCATGGCCTATTATCTAAATCCACATTTGGATTCATGCTAAAACTAACATCTAGTTGATGATTCAAGGCCCCGGCCACGAGCCATGTCCTTGAGTAATATATCTACGACTTTCAATGTTCAAACGTGAATGTTCTATTAACCAATATCATTTCAAACCTGACATTCGCATGTTTCTTACGTTTCCAAAAGTATACTAATCCTTTTCAAGTTATTGCATCATACAAGCGCTCAATTAATGCCTTTTTGTCCTTCATTTTCTTTTGCATAATCTTCGCACGAATCTTCGGACTCAGAGGACTGCCCAGGTGGACATTGTTCAAACTTAGGACCCTACTATTACATACTACATGTGTACTAGTAGTATGATATATATATATATTCGATACTGCGCAGGTGCTACATATGTAGTAGTACTAGTACGGGGCTTTTCTTTGGAAATTCGATAATTCACGTTTGAATCAAGCATTCAAGTACTGGAAGCATCTGTACCAAGGTATTCTTTTCAACATTTTGAAGAGCGCACATGAGTGGGCGCCAGCCTGGAGTAGATGAATACTACATACCTACTACATCCATAGCACGAGTAGTACGTACTAGTACTCAAACACTTCAAAGTGTTGGAAGCTACATCCATATTCCAAGGTTCAAATTTTGATACTCCAAATATATCTACGTACACTCGACTGCTCAAGTGCTACTAGTACTTACTAGTAGATCCACTGGCAGCTCCTCCAGGGCTTCCTGAAAGGAATTTTATATACTCTCCTCACTTAGCTAATCAACTTGGAACCTGCACCTGAATGTTTACTAGTAAAGTCGAGAATGTCGATTTCAAGCTTATAGTAGGAGTTCGCCGGTCAACCACATGCACCAAATGTCAACAGGTTCCAAGATTGAAAATGGGCTTTGGTAGTTTCAATATCTGAACTACTTGTTTAGGAAAAGCACCATGTTTTCTTAGACTGAATAGAATGCATAGGCCTGTTCTAGGATCAGTAAATGTAGTTGAGGCGAAGAATCATATTGAAAAGGAATTTGACACCTCAGGATCAAGCCAGTCGCATCAAGATCAGGATCACCAGGTGAATTGGTCTGAAGTCGCAGCGATCTCGCTTAACGATCCTGATTTGGAATTGCGAATCTCTGATCCTGGTGTCCTATTGGTTGATTCAGAGTGAGAGGTGTGGCAGCGAGCAAACATTGTTTACTATGGCGAGTTGGCTGTGGTTTCATTGTTTGCGCAAGATCAATCTCTCACTTCGCCTTCTTCGCTTGCGTTTCCCAATTAGGAACTGCGTGATCTTGGGGCCCTTTCCCCAGGGTATAAATTCATGGGATCTCCCTCCATTTCAATTCTTCTTTCCTTCTTTCCCCAACTTCCTCTCCACTTCATTTTTCAAACTCCACTCTTCATCAAGACCTTCCTTGATCATCATTCCTTCTTCAGCCTCTTGTTGATCCTCTTCTACCATCCCAGTCACACGAGGTCACTCAGTTGGCTGACCTCACCATCCTCACATGACTTCAACACGTTGATACAGCCCTTCAGGTATCCCCTCCATGGCTCACTCAACTAACGTGGCCCAGCAGCATGACATGACTCCACTCACATGACCTTACTCTGTCATAACTTCACTTTTGATAAAAGTTTGCCCTGTTGATGATCCCTCTCTGCGTAACCTCACTGACCTCCCTACCAGGCAACCACCTTGACACTGCTCATCATCATGGCTCAAAACATGAATTCATCTGGCCACCCGTTCCTCAACAAGCATCAACATGGACACCTCCACTCATTCACCCATCCATCAATCAATATGCATCAATATAGATCTATCTATCCTTCAAACGATCCACATCAAGGAACATGGATCCATCCATCCATCCATGTATCAATATTCATTCACCTATCAATATCCGAGATTCCAACAACAATCATTCAATTACACTTGGCCACCAGGCACCAGCCAACAACAGTCAACACTCCCCATCACCTATCCAACTTCATCCCAACCCAGGTGATCCCACTCAACAGATGGCTCTGATACTTCTGTTTCTGCTGGCTGGTGAGCCCTCTCACTTCGGGAAGCTCAGGCTTAACAGGTACCACCACTACATCCCTCACAGAAAAACATACTAACATCATCTATAGATGCCTCCTTCCTATGGTTATCCCTTCTGCTGCCTGGTCAACCATTCACCACATCCAACCTCACATAACCCAGGCCAGAGGGTGATCAGTTAGATAGCTGGTTTTCGACGACACCTGCTGAGAAGGAGCTCGGGGGTGGTGGATTTTCCCTTGTGTGATGCGAGGACCCACAACCGGCATGATGATCTGATGCTGCGACTTCACAGTTATACTGAGCGTTGCTTGCAACCTTAATCCGATGTTCCCATGAGCAAATGATGGTCCCCTGGGGCTTGATGTGTTGACGGGTCCTGCTTATTAAGGCTCTGGGGCCCACCAAATATCTATGAACTTGTTGCCTCCTCCTGCGCTCCGATGTTCCCATGAGTGTCTACCCGCCGGTTCGCCGGTAGATGGTGTTCGCGTTGACGGGTCCTGCTTAGCGTGGCAGTGCTTCAACTTTACATAGCTCTATAGCAGTGGTCAAAATTCGTTCACTTCCCTGTCTGGGTTGTCTAACGGTCATTTCATTGTGGGGGCGGCGAGGCATGAAATCGGTCACATTCAGGAGGGGGGGTGGTGGAGGGGGTTTTCTGCTCCAAGGATGGGATAATCTCAGAGGGTCGTTCCTAAGTTGTACTATAGAGGGATTGCCGCTCTTTCTAAGAGACACTTCCCAGTGAAGAGTGCCGCGAAGGAATTACTTCCTAGGAAATGCTTCCCTAGGGGCTGCGAGAGGTGACGAGGGCAGTGGTCGGTGGACTTGGAGGGTGGAACATCAATTTACCTGTATCAAATTCTTTCCTGTTTGCTGTTGGGTTCGCTGCTCTGAGTGTTCTTGCTGTTCAAGCTACAGCCTATTCTCTTTCTACCTCAGATACTTCATCAATTAAGCACCTTACACCCTCCACATCTCTTACTCCTTCCATGATAGTATTAAAACTAAATCATCTAGACCTTGTCCAGAATGGCATTGCTATCTGGTGATTGCCAGGGTATTTCAAAAGTTGAATCCTAAGTCAAACTGCATTCTCTTTATGTCTGACGGTGGGATACATGAAATGCTTCACGGCGTGTGGACTACAGATGGCAAAGGTCTACTTGTATAACTCCAGAGTATAACGAGTGATGAATTCACGGGCTCGACATAAGGTATGACCGCATTTCTGGAATTTATTTATACAAAAATCTCACAATATGTTCGTTGGCTTTTCAGCTACCTCTACACGCTACACGAAATCCCCGGCCTTGACAGCACATCGAAGCGTCTCTTCCTGGAACCCCATAATCCACCCAATCATCAGAGCATCATGGGGCACAAGCTTCTCTACGTAGAGCTCCACCGACGATTCATTCCCGGCTAACTTCGCAAAGTTACTTGCAAGATCCTGAACATCCTGAGCCAAAACCTCCTGGCCGCCAACAGCAAATAGAACGGGAGAAGGTAAAAGAAACGAATGTTTTACGGAGCGAGATACTCCTCAATCCACGAAGTTATTTCCAACTCTTTTATGAAGAGCTTCGCACCCCAGGCGGGAAACGAGGCCGGTATGTACTCAGTCTTGTAGTTCGGGTTCTGCACCTAGCCTGCAGGATCCTAAGCTGCAGGAACATCACACCAGGGTGACCAAATCCAAATACGTTTTGGTGCTGGGAGAAGTTTATAATTTTTGAACTGTGTGATATATCGTAAAAGCGCAAGGACGAGATTTCCTCCTGAACTATCTCCACTTAAGATGATTTGCGATGATGGAATTCGTAACGTGTGTAGCATATAGGGATATGCGGAGATGGCATCTTGAAGTTGCGCTGGGAAGCGACAGTTTCGTTGGCCGGCGAGTCGATACTGGAGGGACAGGACGTAGCTGGTTGGTGTGTGTCGAAGGAATTTCTGGGCCATGAAGCCGCAAGATGCTATATGACCATCGCCGAGGATATATGAGCCATCGTGTGATGAATGATAACATGTTGATCGTCGGATATGGGGATTTTGGGCTCAAAGTGTTTTGGAAACCAGGTTGCGCCGACGTTCTCTGTTTTGATTGTCGTGTCATCCACAGTACCAGCATATAGGTCTGGGTTCGCAGGGTGCACTAAGGTGAATCGATTGCCTTCCAAGGAGGACTCGAGGGAGGCTTTAGGAGGTTGATGAAGGCTTTTAAAAATGCTGAGAGACCTTCAGAACTGTATTTACAAGAGCTTGTCGATCTTTCCAGTGTGCATACTGACGGTGCTGAGTACTCAGGTATGTAGCAGCGAAGAAGGGAACCTTGGGAGGTACAAGAGTGAGACGTCGGACTGTTCTCAGGGTATTGCAAGCTGCGGTAGCATATAGCTATGCAAAGCAAGACAAGACGAACGAAGATGATGGCCTTTGGGCAGGTGAGAAAAGGAAGCCAAGCTTCATACTTATAAAAACACCATTGATTAGCGCGATTTCTTCTTACCTGATGACCTTGGATTACCTCGGGTTCATAAGCCATGTCCTATTCTGTTTATCTGCATGTATACTGCATGTATACCTAGACAAGGGTAACGGTTATTCGGAGCTTCCAAGTTAGAGTGACTAGGTAGTGAGTGAGGATCTGCATGTGGTTTTGTATACAATGACATCATATTGATCTTTCTCTACACAGTAGTAAAAAAGAGAATCATGAATCAAGTTTGTGCAAGTTAAATTTTTTCTTCTCTCACGTACTGTATCAATTGACACTAAAGGCTACCGATTTTGAGTTGGGAGTGCAATAGTTATCAAGGCCATGCTCATACACCAAGATTAACACATTTCCCAGTGAGATATTCCCATTTTCAAGCATCAAGCATCTGGCGTCTCAGCTTGAGTCTGTCCATCAAGCGTTCATGGGATTCCTTTACATACTTCCATTTCCCCTCGTCGACAATTTGGCAGTTCCCAACCCCCACCAAGGCCACCTTTTGCTTTTCCTTATCCCAGAGAATATTCTTCATTTTTATGTGACCTGGCCAAATGTGAAGGCGACAAATCTTTCTAATGATATAGGTATTGATTAATGTATCGTTCGTATTGCAAAGTGATATAACATACATTAGTTTGTCCTGAAAAGCTGCAATGATCGCGTCTTGCTCCCATATATCCAGCCGGAATGGGGGCCGATCTTCAAGAGAGACTCCTGGTCAGAGTTGCCAGACCACAAAGATAAGAAACCCACCGGGGATAGCTTGAAGATTGTCCTCAGGCTGGGTGGTTTCCTTGTAGGCTAGGAGTTTTGGTGTAAACCAGGGTCTTCACTGAGCATCTGATATATGGTTAGTTCCTTCGGTTTGAAGGGTGAGGCCTGGGAAGCTCGAGTTGTAGGTGGCTCAAGTTCAGTATTGGTATATGGAATTTGAAGGTAAATGCGCATAATGGCATTGGCGGTTTTCTCGCTGTTAGTATATCGCAATTTTAAACTTGCGAATGATGGTGCATCGGGTGTCACTTTGTGTTTGGCCACTTGCGAAACATTTTCTTTCAGAGAGTCGAGAACAACCCAGCTAGTAGGTTGAGGTTGAGTCAGGTTGATGACCGAGCCTGTATCACTAAGCCGGCGCATGGGGCCTTGATGAAACCAAGAAGACTGGGACAATGCCATGGTGGCTGCAAGGTTGGAATGGGTAAATTCAAGTTTTGATGAGTGATGAAATGGCGATAGTGATGCGTTTGGAAACCACGTCCTTGTAGTACAGGTGACCACTGGCAGTTGTTGAGGACAGGCTGAAGAAAGTAGACAGTTGAAATTGCGCCTTTACAAATTACAAACGAGGATTAACATTTTGCCGTACTTGTTTTCACAAACAAATCTCTACAGATGCCACCTGAATAGGTTCAATTCTATCAGATCTGGGATTCATGTTTACCAGATACTAACGATACTAATGATTAAAGCTCTTTCACTATGTGGGGGGTTCTAGCTCGGCCCAACTCCGATCTACATGTACTGGCTCCGATTTTCGCTGCAAACCCCGGAGAAACCTGCGACCTGCTTCTAAGTCTTGTGTTAGTACAGCAGGTTCAAGTTTATCATTAATCTTGCAAAAATCGAGAAACTCCATGTGGCTGAACTTTATGTCCTTGAATCTCAAGACCTGGGACGGCTTGCCGAGTACGCAAAGAGTCTGGGAGTACGCAAAGTCTGGGGTCTGGGGTCGCTCGATCTCCGGCTTTGTGGTGGAAAGGGATATGCCAAGCCCGGTTATGATTCGTGATTCGGCACCAGATCAACACGGAGTACACGGTCTATCCATTTGTCCCGCCGATTGACATCTATGATCCCTTTTATGGCCCGGTGGGTTAATCACAGGATAGTCATGACGAATTCGAAGAATAGCCCGACTATGCTCATGGCATCTCGGACAGGAGATTGCATACATACCGTTGGCTTCGAGGCTTGAAACAGAAGAAGCACTGGCATTCATCCCTGTCGTATCAGGTACCAAATTGAACTCGCAGACTTGAAGGCCAAATTCCTGTGGCTGCTCCGGTCATTCTCCTACTCTCGGATTGCCGATTTGAGTTCCAACCGGCTAAAGGGCCCCGCTCGATATTTTTCTCCCCATACCGAATCAAACACCTAGACCCGGTTTTTCTCCAGTTTGTGGAGTGTTGAAGCTCCATATCTCATGGTAGGACTTTCCTACTTCACTAATATCCCGCCGGAGTATGACCATATCGAACATTGCCGCTCCTTGCTTGCATAGGATCAGCTCGCTTGGTCCTCGTGGGGAACTTTCCATGCCGACATGCAGCCTTTTGTACTAGGAGTCATGAAGCTTGGCTTCGGCCTTAAAGGGTGTGATCTGCCATCTTGCGCATGTCGTGCGACTCGGAATTTTGTTTGCATTACCCCGCTGGTCTGAGCGTTATACTGCGGGCCTCTTGACAACGCTGTTCTATAGACGGTGTTCTTAGTCTGTCTTTTCAAAAGAATTACCTAACTTACTATTGCTGTTACTGCTCTCTTTAATCTTCAGGTTTCTAATTAACTTCGAAATGTGTGACAACATCCCGCCATGGAATATCGTCCACAAGTTGGAGAAGCGTCGGCTTCTCATCGCGATCAACTGTATTGCGGCGCTGTCAATTCTGTTCTTTGGATATGATCAAGGAATGATGTCGGGCGTGAATAACGCAGATGACTATATCAACCTCATGAAATTCGGATATACAACAACGGAGAATGGCGAGACAACGGTAGTCACCACCAACTCACTGCTAAAGGGCGGAATTGTTGCCGTGTATTACTTGGGAAGTCTTTTCGGTGCTTTGTTTGGTGGCTGGCTAGGTGACCGGATAGGTCGAATCAAGTCCATTGCTGTTGGTACAATCTGGGCTATCGTGGGTGCGAGTCTGCAGTGCTCAGCCCAGAACCATGATTGGATGATATGTGGTGAGTGAGATTGCAGAATTTGAAGATAATGCAGCACACTAATTCTGAAAGCCCGTTTCGTCAACGGTATTGGTACTGGAATTCTGAATGCGATTGTCCCCGTCTGGGCAACAGAGACGGCGGAGCATACCTCGCGAGGTCAATTCATCGCGATTGAATTCACCTTGAATATTTTTGGTGTTGTGTTGGCTTACTGGCTAGAGTTGTAAGTTCTCAACTCACGCGAGGCTACTTGCACATAGCTAACAATTCTTAGCGGCCTGTCTTTCATAGATGGAGGGAAGTCTCCCTTCCGCTGGAGATTTCCAATCGGTTTCCAGATTATTTTCCTTGTGATCCTGTTTTTCGCTGTCTGGTTCTTCCCCGAGTCTCCTCGCTGGCTTGTAAAGGTCGGTCGAGAGCAAGAAGCCCGGTATATCTTGCAACGTCTGCGTGGAAGTAGCCAAGAAGATTTGGTCAGGGCAGAGGCGGAGTTCCTTGATGTCCAGAATATCGCCGAGATGGAAAAGACCATCGTCCACGGCAACTCGTACCTCTCAATGCTGTTTGGGTACAAATCAGGAGACTTGCATATCGGTCGTCGCGTGCAACTGGTCATTTGGTTGCAGATCATGCAGGAGTGGGTTGGAATTGCAGGTGTTACCGTTTACGCTCCGACGATTTTCACTATTGCAGGATTTGATTCGATGAAGAGTCAGTGGATTAGCGGTTTGAATAATATTTTCTACATGGTACGTACTTCGACTCGAAGTCCAGTTTGATTATCAGCTAACGGTAAATATAGTTCGCCACACTGGTCTGCGTATTCACTCTGGATCGCATTGGTCGTCGATGGACCTTATACTGGGGCTCAGTAGTCCAGGGCATTGCAATGTTCCTAGCAGGTGGTTTCTCTCGTCTCGCTATAAACGCCAAAGCAGCTGGGAATACTACCCACTCGTCTTCATATGGTGCGGCTGCAGCCTCGATGATTTTTATCTTCACTTCGACATTCGGTGCGACGTGGTTGACGGTACCTTGGTTATACCCTGCTGAGATCTTTCCGCTGGCGGTGCGGGCGCGTGGAAATGCCTGGGGTGTCGTTGGATGGAGTATTGGAAATGGTTGGCTGGTGAGTACATTTTAGGCTTCTCTTTCGAGTTTTGGAAAGATACTGACTGTCAGCTTCACTAGACGCTTTTGTGTCCTGTCATGTTCGATGCCATTGATGAAAAGACATTGTATATCTTCGCTGCCAGCAACGTCATCACCATTCCGATGGTCTGGGCTTTGTATCCCGAGAGTAACCAGCGAACACTGGAGGATATGGATCTTTTGTTCGCGGCCAAGACGCCGTGGACGTGGGATGCGGAGAAGACTTTCGCTCGTCTCAAAGCTGAAAATCCCGGTATGGTGCAGGCTGTTGCTGGGAAGGGTAGCGTGATGGATCCTGAAACGGGCAAGGTGTCGATTGCGGAGCATGTAGATTCAGCATGATTCGAGTGCAGTGGTCACGCCGGCGGCGACGTAAGCCTGTCGATATATTCTAGAACTTGAAGTCTGAAGCGGCAGTGTGAACTTCAAGTTGAAGATCTTGAGGATAGAGACTCGACATCCGCATCATGAAGTTATGAATATTCTCCATTAAAATCCATAGAGAATAGAGGGTTCCAAAGAATCAATATCATTCTAGATCTGTCTATTCCACATTATTAGGTCATAGGCTTGGAATTCCAAGCGCGGCTCTGATTGGTCATATCGAGAACAACGAATCCAGGCTCCAATGTCTACTTGAACCCTTCCAACTTTTATAAAAAGCACATTGTTCAAGCAAGAAAACTCACACTTCACAACCTTGGAATATTCTTACCAGTCCCGCATTACCAAAAACTTCACTTTTCTTGGTAAGCCACCCTCGTCGCGTCTACGCGTCTTATCGCGTACACCGATAAGAGACTCACCAGAAACACAGATCAACGTCATCAACCAACTCTTCAAGGCACAATCCAAAATGATATCCAAGATATCCAAAAGAAAAGCAGATGAAATGCTCGCAGATAGCCAAGAACCCAAATCAAATCCCCCAGAATCAGAATCAGAATCACCAGACTCACCTCAAACCAAATCCCCAAAATCACCAAAACAACTTGAACTCTCAAACACCCAACTCCAACAAAAATACCTCCACCGAATCTCCCTCCATCCAACACTCACACCCTACCGCCGCCGCGTCTATCGAGTCCTTCTCTCCGTACCACCAGGTCGCTGGACTACATACTCGGCCATGGCAACGTACCTAAACTCCAGCGCGCGAGCGGTGGGGAATGCGATGCGCACGAATCCTTTCGCACCTGAGGTTCCTTGTCACCGTGTCCTTGCGGCGGGTGGATCGTTGGGTGGATATAAAGGGGAGGGATTTGTGAAGAAGGATATTGGGGTTGGTTCGTTTCGGGATGAGAAGAGGATAAGGTTGAAAGAGGAGGGGGTTGGGTTTGATTCTATGGGGAAAGCGACGGGGATTTGTTTTACGGAGTTTAAGGATCTTGGGGGTAAGAAATGATTATCAAGTTCATTCTCTTGGGATATCATTCGAATGTCTATCATCTGCTTAATGCAAGAGGCAAGATACTTTGAATATCAACTATTTTGAATAGCGATGCTTATATTCATCTTCCACTACTACTAATAATATTACCAAGCACATTTGAAACTCAGGTTATCAGCCTCATCCGGAGTACGGAGTATCTAATAGTGATTGACAGTGCAACCACCACAAAATTCTATTTTCGACCTATACGAGCCGTTAGATCGGCAACGGGACTCCTGTCAGCATTGGCATTGCACCCACATAGCATTCTCCATATTTGCCGACTAGTTCAAGATTGCCACAGGGGTTAACGTTGATCGCGTGGCGATTGGGGCCATTCTTCTAGTTAAACGCGATACGGCGCTTCAAACGCTGGACTATGTCACTAGATCCTGTTTACTGGTTAAGGTATAGTAGGCGCCTGGTTTGAATAACTTGAAACGGAGTTCTCCGTATCTATTCTTTACTATACTTACTAAACCCAGTAAGGTATTTGAAATCACTGGCTCTCGAGTCATCGTGATTCTATGCAGTTTTCATCTGGTCAAGCTCAGCGGCTGTAGTATGGGGTCCAAATGACAGAGCAGGATAATGAATACGAGATACGAAAGACTAGGTAGTAGAAGTAATTCAGGATACATGCATACCTGCATGTAGGTTCTAGAAATTTAATAGAAGACTCAAAAGTCGGTTACTTCATACATATGCATGAGTACGTAAAGAGTAGGAGTCTTATGGAATGCTAAAATCCTCGATGCACTCCGTACTGCAACCCACGAATCCACTGCTTCGTGGCTCTAGTGGATCAGTCCCGGTATTCTGTGTGGAGGATCAGATGCGATCGACGCTTCCGGTAAACCAGTCTGCACGAGCGGCGCAGAAGGATTCAGACTATTCCCGAGACAGCAACGATAGCCGTGAGTACTAGTCTGGATATGGACAACGGAGATGTCCTTTACAATGGAAGTAGAAAGTCCTGGGATCCAGTTTTCATTTCTGATTTTGGTTAATTGGTACTATTAGCTTTGAATAAAGAACCTTGGAATAATGAACTAGAGTGATCTATTCATAGTAACCAGGGATATGACATCCTATTGTGTGAAATAACACTTGTGTTTCTAAGAAATGTACCTGAACTAAATAACCACCTAATCCCTAAATGGTTGGTCGGCCGAAGAACCATGCGGAAGGATCCTGGACTAGCTTTACTAACGCTATTCTTTTCTTTTTCTTTTCATTTGCTTTGTTTCTTTGCTTTTTCCATACACTTCCACTGATTGGTAGTTGTACGCCATGAGCGGGCATTGTAGTATCCTGGATCCTGGATTGCATCCCCTCAATATGATTTGTCGCCATCTGACTCCGGAGTTCCTCGGTGCTGCTTATGGGTTTGTGAAGTAGTCTCTCCTGTTAGTGCGGGTTGTACAGGGGGTGCGAGTCAGTCTCTGTGTGAGTGAAGTCAGGTTCCAATTCGTGACACGACTTAGGTGGACTACCTGGGTGATTGTCTTTGAGATTTATTAAGTTCAGTTGGGGATCTGGACCCTGAGGGATTTCAAGGATTTCATCCATGTTAAAAAGAAAGGTTAAAATACGGAGAGTGATGAAGTAGGGATTCTCGTTATGAATTTTAAAATGGAAGACTCGAATGAAGTTCAAATTCAATATTATCGGAATGATAATTTGATCAATTGTAGGAAACTGGTATTCCCAAAAGACTCCATCTAACCTGACCTATAGTCTCGTCTATTGTACCAAGCCAAGTAAAACACCAAGGAAATTCAAGGAGAATCGTATCTCTATACATGAAAACCAACCAGACTATCTATAAGGAACAAAATAACATCGGACGCGCCGTCCATAGTATCCATGCGAAAAAAAAGTAGAAAATACACCAAGGGTAAAGGGTAGGGCTATCGTGAATCGTAAATCGGGTTAACATGTAGGTATTGTATATGAATATGGGAGAGAACAATGTGAGAATGTGAAAATGGGAATATGGGAGAGAAACAAGCGGGGATGTAGAAAAGGTCGCACAACATTGACTCAAGCCATTTCCTTGGCAGAGCGTTTCAAGGCGCGCTTTTTAGGGACATCAAGATGGTGGTAAGAACGCAAGTGTTCGACGAGGTGATCCTGGCGCGGGAAACCGTTGCTGCCTTTGCGAGAACAGTGATCGACGGGACAGTTGCGGAAGACAGGGAAATGGACACTGGATTGATGTCGCTTCAAGTCGGCGAAACGAGTGAAGCACTTGCTGCAGTTATCGCATGCGAAAGGCTTTGCGGGTCTAGTCATTATTAGCTATGAATTCAAATCCAGCTGTTGCCAGCTTCAGCTTGAACTTCGACTCCATGGAAACTCACTTCGATGGTGCGGGTGGCGATTCAGGTCCTGATTCCTCGCCTGGGATAATAGGATAACTAGGCATTGGAACTTCCTCCGGCATATTGAAACTGCTCCCGTATGAACTTCCCCCACTACTACTAGCGGCGGGGCTGGGAAACCCAGTAGCCATCACGGATGTATCGTAGATCGAAGTTCCAGGATAGACATATTGCGCTTGTGTGGTAGTCGGCGCACTTGTAAAAGAATAGCTTCCTGGCTCCGAGACAAATTCTGGTGCGAATTCCGGGGTAGAAGGGAATGAATTGGGATCGACATCGTATAACTTGTCATAGACGGTTGGGGCGTAGAAAAAGAAATCCATATCGCCGGGAGAAGAGGAATAGGAAGAGCTTGAGTAGGAAGGTTCGCGATAAAGGAAAGTGGATTGCATGTCGGGCGAAGTTGTAGAGAAATTGGAGGCGAATTTGGATGAAGGAACTTGAAGTGGAATGGCAGTCTAAATAAAAGGATTCGGATCAGAATTCTAAAAAATCTAGACTATAATAAAATAAAATACGAAAAAATAATAAATGATTAAACGAATTAAACGCAGACATAAAAAATAAAATAAAACAAGATAAAAAAGACGCAGGGGATAAAAAGACCTACCATTGTGAGACGACGGTACGAATCCTTCTGAAGCTGGGATCCCCAATGTTAATTGTGGGGGGATGAACTTGGTTTAACTTGGGGGCGGAATGCATGAAAGAACTTGTGAAGATCGAGGTCATAAGTAGTAAAGTAAGTAAAGTAAGAAAAAAAAAGAAATCCATAATTCATGGGGAAGTTGATTCTTTTATGCCCTGTTAAGTGGTAACCTTTCTAGTGATGCAAGCTAGAGGAATAATCATCATAATACTCCGTAAAAACAACATTCTAGGAATAAATAATAATTAGAATAATGAATCCAAAAATTGAGAAATTGAGAAATTAAAAAAAGTATAACCTAGAATAAAAAAAACAAAAAAACACGAACTTCATGGCAAGGCAGTTTTGTGAATGGCTTCAAGCCTCGAAACTCGCATTACTACTGGTTCAAATCTATACACAGCCCCCGCCTTCAAGAGACTTCAAGAGACTTCAGAGCGTCATGAGGGGAGATCAATGCGGGAATTTCTGCAAACCCACGCGGATCTTGAACGGCTTAGTTTGTATGCTGACACTTCCTAGCGTGTTCTATGCATGTTCTAGCGTCGAGGCCTGAACGTGGACATATTGACCGAGTAATGATAGTCATGATTGGAAGAGGGGGGCTGGGTTGATACAAAGAGAAAAGTGGAATAAAAAATGAAATAAAAAAAATAAAATCAGAACTCCACTAGAACCAGTTCTAATTCAGTTATACCAAGTAGAGCAAGGATTATTGGCCCCGATAAGTTGTACAATAGTACATTTGTACACTCTCCCCTCGTATGTAGGGAATCGTAATTCGGCGGTCAGACGATGATGCGCTCGATCCCACTGTTTGCCTCTTGTGTGGGAGGAAAAGACGATCTTATCTAGTTTCAGAGTTAGTGCAGTTTTCTGGAACAAAATCCAGGCTTCTAGCGTGGAATCCTGGTTTCTTGGCCCCATTTCTGTGCTTCGTGCTTCTTGTGCTTGGTCGTGTTTTTTGTGGTGTCTGTTTCAGGACATTTGTGGCGCTATGGAAAGATGACTGCATTATACTGAGTCAGAGGCATCAGCATTTTATTATTTTATTCACTGAACATTTAACCATTAACCTAGGTAACAAGAATTATATTATGATTTACTACTCTAGTAGAAGTAGAGTATTTATGCTCGGCTCCCGCGTGCCGAAATGAAGTCACTGTATTGATCGTAGATCAGGGAACAGGATGATCGCCAAGCACGGCAGAGGTTTGCATCTGGGGATGTACAGAAGTAGAAGTACTCCGTATGGATCGACAGATGATATAATAGAATGGAATAATTATAGAAATTAGAACTATATACTACTTAGTACTAGTAACGGAGATAATACCAATAATAGTACTCCATAGAGTCCACCTGGGCATACTATTCTAAGATTCTTGTCCTTGTATTGGAGAAAAACAGTCGAAAAATAAAAATACAAAGGAAAGAGAGAAAATAGAAACAACAAAATACACAAATATTAAATAAATTAAATTCATAAAAGAAAAAGAAAAAAGTACGGAGGACACAGCCCCTGTTCTTTGATCCCCATCCTTCTAGAAAACCTTGGAAAAATCCCGCATCAACTAACGTGTTAACGTCTTAGCGTGTGCCAAGAATACTGAGCTGAGCAGACAATATGCACCTTCATGCACCTTCAAGTGAGGCAACTTGGCATTCTCTCTTCACTGCCTCTCTGACTGGTCAACTTCGTGTGGAGAGAGAGAGACTCACAAAATGACCCACTTAACGGGATGTCTTCCTAAAACTCCAGCGTGATGTAATGCGACCTTTTTTCCTTCTATCTTTCCCGTGTAGCACCGAACTTATCTTCGATGTTTATTGGAAGATACCATTTTCGGGATGTCGGGATGTCGGGATGTCGGGATGTCGGGCGTGCTTCTACATGTCCTTAGTCAACTTGAACTAGAATGGTATGGAGTGCGCAGTTCGTACTCCTCTGTACCTGTGTCTCCATTTCTACGTATCACCCAATAAGGCGGGACGGGTTGGTTGGTTTGCTAATTCAGCCTCAGACTCCCTCGTCATGCATGATAGGTACAGAAACTTTCTGAATATGGACTATTGTAGGTACCTACACCTGAGGAACACGTAGCCTCGAAGTCTTTGTTCTCCCTGGAATTTCAATCTTACTCTTCAGGGTTACTCGTCCGATCAGTCCAGACTTTACTATACTGTTCTTTGTTCTTTGTGATAAACCCAGGACATCTAGCCTGATGATTCATTCGCAAACTGCCGGGGATAACTCAAAATAGCACAGAACTCCCGTGTCCCTGAGACCCATTCGTTGTACTCATTGCCCGATGCCGTGTCCTGGCATCCTGTGGAAAACAATAGTAAAAAATGAAAAAAAAAGACCATGAAAAAATGAAACACAAAAACACAAAAACCCCCCGATACTCAAAACAACCCGGAATCATAAAATACAACTCCCCAAGGCCCATCCAAACCCATGACACATCTATTCCTGATTTTTCTTTTTTGCGGAGAAATAAAAAAGGTACCTCAAGATCATCCGGGTCATAGCGTAGGCGGCCCAGAGCGGTGCTTCTGTGGATCCAGGGTGCTAAGCCTCAGGTTAGAAGGAGGAGAAAACGCTATAACTCGTCCTCCAGATATTTGTACACAAACTTGAAATCAGCCTTGCGCCGGTTCATCCTGTCGGGCAATTGTTAGCACATGATCTTATCATGGGGCATTTGGTAAAATCCAAAACGTGTGCGGGATAACTTACCATGTGCTCTCATAGTCGAAAAATCGATACGTCCCTTGTTCGAACTCTTCGGTAATGTTCTTGGGCTCTTCATGACGTTGGAACCATGTTTGGTACTGCTTATGGAAACGCCAACTTTGATTCTTAAGAGCCTTGGCGGCCAGATATTGCTGATAAGATCCTTGTCGGTAATAGAAAAGATAGAAAAGTGTATCGGTATCAATACGGCCGGTGTCATAAAGTCGCGGGTCGTCGAAGATGGAAAGAGGCTCTTGTGGATAGTGGAGAGAAGTGTTGTAAGGATTCTGCGGCCTGTAATGACGAGGCTTTTCCGCATCTCCAGCTTCCGGACACGTTGTCAAAGAGTGAGCCAGGAGTCGTTGAACTGATGGTGAGGGGTGAAGTGATGCTCGCTGCTTCGTCACCTCGAAGGATTGAATCAGGTCTTGCAAATCGGGAGGCAGATGGTAGACTGATTCTTCACCCTCAGCTTCTGGACTCTTCTTGCCGTTCGTCAATGGCTCTTTTGATTCCGTGGGCGCTGGAGCAGGAGCAGCTGGTGATGAGGTTCCGGAAATACGAGGAGTCTTTGATCGTACAGCACTAACAGGCTGTTCTGGTGAAGCAATGGCCGAAAGCACGGGGACCGCTACCTTATGGGCTGGCTGTACCGATGCGACGCTGGGAGAAGCAATAGAAGCAGGCTTGGAGACGGGGAGAGAGACTGAGAAGGCCGGACTGGCACCTGGTGGAGGGGGCAGGGGGAGAATACCGACTCCGCTCTTGTCACTCGCGGCGGCCGCAGCTGCAGCAGAGGCATACTTCAGGGTTTCTCCAGGTAGACGGGTGGGGAGAGGGGCGGGTTTCATGCTCGGGGTAGCAGACGCAGACGTAGAGGATAGCGTGGCGAGAACTGGCAACGGGGACTTCATCTGTGTGGAGGGTCGTCGAGCCGTAGGATCTGCCTTGGGTGGCTTGGGCTTGGGTTCTGGCTCATCATCTTGAACCGATTGGGCATCTTGTGATGATACTCGATCGTTCTCGGCACCCATTCCAAATTGGGCCTCAATCTCTTCGCCGATATCCAAGTCATCGTAGAGTGTCTCGTCTTCTCCGGAATAATCCAAGTTACCCCCTTCCTCGACGTAATACTTAATGCTCTCCTTAAGGTCGACGACCTGAGTGACTTCTAGATTGCCATTCTGTAAGGAGCGCATAAGGAATTCAAGCTTGTTCACGTGCCACTTATGGCGTTCTGATACTCGCGAGATATCAGCCATGCGGTTGGCCTTGGACAGATCCTTCTTCCCCTTCTTCATCTGCGCATGCAATGTCTCCTCCTCCGCCTCCATAGCCTCAATCTTTTGTTGTAACTCGTCCACCATAGAAGACAGAAAGTCACACGCCTCCACCTTCTCCTTCTCTCTTGGATCTAGTCGTGACGCCGCCGATAAGCCTTCTTTGGAGTATGCTTTTGTTTTCATCTCCTTCTCGACCGCCTTGAATTGTTCCATGCACTAAGTTGAGTCCATTAGCCGCCTGATCTTTCGGGGGAAAATCACATCTGTCAAAGCACGGATCACCAATCTCCAATCGTGCAATTATGACCTACCGTTTCAATCGCTTTTCGCTGCTCAAGCAGCGGCGCTTTATCCTTGACTTCATTGCCTGCAGCCCATGATTTGATCTGATCACGGAACCTTTGGAGCTTCTTGATTTCTCGTTTTAGGTTCTCCTCCAGTTTATCCCGCTGAGTGGGATTTGACGCTGAGCGAATCTTCTCATAGATCCCTTCAAACGTTTGAATCCCTTCAGCAACCTTCTTGAAGGTCTTCTCGATCTCTTGCTGTGTCTTTCGGGATGCCATCGTGCACCGGAGTTTGTGGACTAGTGTGTTCCCACCGTCGGGTCAAGCGATATGGTGGGGGCGGGTTGCGGGATGTGGGCTTGACCAAGAGGGTCAACGCTACACAATGGGTAGGAATATTGACGTGGATGTTGTTAGGGAAGTTCCCTCGGTATGAGAACAAGGGAGAGAGCGGAGAGCAGCGAACTTGGGGAATCGTTTGCTTCGCTCGCAGAGCTTCGAGGATTGCCTATTCAGGTAGGCGGTGACTAACGGCGAGGACCGCAAATGACCAACTCGATTCTAATGGGAACAGGGAAATGATCTTAGTGTACACTGCATACAAACCTTCTCACGGGAAAAGGATATTTGCAGGTATTATTCTATTATTATTGAAGAAGGTGTGAGTTGACGCGTTGTGTTGATGAACTGACGCACGTGACGTTGAAAGAAGGAAGGTGAGATCATGCGACGGAATGAGATGTCATGAGTGCCTATTTCGATTTCATTTACGGAGTACTGACAGACACACCTCAGTTTTATTGCTTGCACCTCAATATGAAGAGTAGACACCCTTATCATTGCTGTTTGGTCTCTGCCTATACTGATTATGTCCCTAGTTGTTATCCAAAGAGTCAAATCAGCCTCTGTGACTGTGGATGAGGAGCTGGTTTCATCTATTGGTCGTGGCCTGCTTGTTTTTGCAGGTATCGGTCATGAAGATACAGAAAAGGAAGCTGATAATCTGGTGAACAAAGTCTTAAAAGCCAAATTTTGGCCTGATGAGAATGGAGCACAGGTAACATACTTCTAGATCCGAAGTTGTAACTTTGCGCTAACTTTTAATAGTGGAAGAAGAATGTCCAGGATGTTGAAGGCGAGATTCTATGTGGTACGTACCATCTACATCCCTGTTATTATTACCCAGCCTAATATAACCTCTTAGTATCCCAATTCACCCTCTATGGAAAGATGAAAAAGGGCAACAAGCCCGACTTCCACGATGCAGCGAAGCCTGAGGCTGCCCGGCGAATCTACGACTACTTCTATAACAAAATGGGCTCTTCATACATCCCGGGCCGAGTCAAAAACGGTGTCTTTCAGGCAATGATGGAGGTCGAATTGAAGAATGATGGGCCGGTGGGTGTTGACTACCGCAGTGAAGACGCGGCGGTATATTATGCCTTCCTGGCTTTAAGCTCTTTTCGCGTCCTTGCAGTACCATAAACTAACACATCTCTTTTGTCTGATAGGTGACTATTGAAATCAACACCAACCTTCCAAAGAAAGAGCCCAAAGAGCCCAAAGAGCCGAAGAATGAATCAACGGAGAAAGAGAAAGAACACGATGGGCCAATTCAGCAAACATTTGAATTCGAAATACCTCCTGAGTTGCTGCAATAAAGGAAAAGAAAGAAAATAATGGGATAATGGTCATGTACATAATAGATACCTGGGATATACCCCCGAGCATTTTCAATGGCGTCAAAAATCTAGAAATATAGATTCTGCGGCATGGAAGCTTCCTGAAGACCGGCAGTAAATCTTTCCCCACCATTAGAGCTTCTCTTCTCACTCTCACACTCTTCCCTCCTCCACCTTTAATTCCGATCTTCCCTTCTCCCAAACTCCATCATCTCCACTTTTTTTTCTCTTTTCAACCTTCTTTCTTTCGTCTCTTGCCACATCCTTAACTTTCAATCATGGCTGACTCCCGTACGTCTTTCAATGCGGGGTCCATTCCCCGATCTACCCGCTGAAATGCAAGAGATTGACGGACGCGCTAACCACTCAGATGATAGAACGCTCTCGAGTCTTTTTTGACATTCAAATCGGTGACCAGAAGGCCGGTCGCGTTGCATTTGAACTGGTAAGTTTTATGATTGGCTATAGGCGCATACCTGCAGTAACTAACTCGACTCCTTGCACAGTTCAATGATGGTACGACGTGAATTATCCCTTGCGCCACCCACTATATACTAACGCTGTGACCATTAGTCGTTCCCAAGACCGCAGACAACTTCCGTTCTCTCTGCACTGGTGAGAAGGGTATTGGTCAACAGGGCAAGCCATTGACTTACAAGGGTATGTATTTTACCCCTCTTAACCCCGCAGTTGTCATAGCGGCAACCTGTTAACCAAGGCGACAGGCTCAATCTTCCACCGTGTGATCAAGCAGTTCATGATCCAGGGTGGTGACTTCACAGCATTCAACGGTACTGGCGGCGAATCCATCTACGGCGAGAAATTCCCCGACGAGAACTTTGATCTTAAGCATGACCGTCCCTTCCTCCTCTCCATGGCCAACTCCGGTCCCGGTACCAACGGCAGTCAGTTCTTCGTTACTACTGTCCCTACCCCTCACCTTGATGGAAAGCACGTTGTTTTCGGTGAGGTGATCAATGGAAAGAGCATTGTTCGCAAGATCGAGAACATGAAGACCAACTCCGACAAGCCTGAGGTTACTGTGACTGTGGCGGACTGTGGTGAATTCAAGGGCGAGGAATATGAGAACGCCAACAAGCGCATCCAGGACTCGACCGGTGACCCATACGAGGACTTCCCCGAGGATTTCCCACTTGATGATCTGACTGCGCCTTTGGCTTTCAAGATCGCAACAGAGCTGAAGGGATTCGGAAATGCTGCCTTCAAGTCGGGTGAGCTTGCGCTGGGTATTGACAAGTACCAGAAGGGCCTGCGCTACCTGAATGAGTTCCCCGAGCCTGGTGACAATGACTCCAAGGAGCTTGGTGAGCAGATGAAGGCAGTGCGTTTCACTCTCCACTCTAACTCCTCCTTGCTGGCTGGCAAGCTTGCGCACTACCGCGATGCCCAGAAATGGGCCACCTTCGCTTTGGGAGTTGCGGACAGTGCCAAGGCTAAGGATGCCGACAGGGCTAAGGTGCACTACCGTCGCGCGGTTGCTCACATTGGCCAGCGTGAGGAGGATAAGGCTCTCGAGGACCTCAAGCAGGCTCTTGCTCTCGCCCCCGGTGATGTGGCTATCACCAATGAGATCACCAAGGTTAACAAGGCAGTTAAGAGCCGCGAGGCTAAGGACAAGGCTGCTGCTCAGAAGTTCTTCTCTTAGATGTGTTCTGAGAATGCTTGCGCTGTCTTCCCAATATGATTCACGACGTATTTGCGGTTCCTTCAACGATGCATGATGTATGATAAACTTCGTCATTCCGCATGGCTATCTTGCTGGCATTTCCATTGCTGCCATCAATACAAATAGTATACAAGAGCATTCCGTGGGGTGAAATTCCTATTGCGCCTGGTTCAGTCTGTATCTGAAGGTATCTTGTGTAGTGCACAGGTCGTCAAATAGAACATGTAGCAGATCTCCTATTTACCACGCATATGTGGCCAACTCATAAGGTAATGATAGCTTCCTGTCCCACTTAATCCAGAAAGCGACCGCCTATCAGAGTTATACAAAACCCTCAGCTTAGCCAACTCATACGACAGTATAAGCCGACAAACAAACACGGAGGCCATGAATCGGCCAAGAACTGCAACGCCATCCCGAGCTGAAATAAACAACATACTCGAAAACGCTAGTGTCCCCAAAATAACATGACAAGTCGCACATAGAGACAAAATGCATGACATCAACAAAGACCAAACATTATCCCGCTTCAGCACAACTCTCTGCGGTAAACAACCCTCGGAATACCCGACCAACATCCACTTGAACCAACCATTATAAGTATAAGAATCATCACTCTCAACCTGAAACTCCTCTTGTACATGTCGCGCTCTAATTCGCAACGCTACAGCCGCCATAACATGTACAATAGGCGTGAAGAACGCCCAAATCAAAATAAGGTAAGTATACCCCGGCGCAAATGCCATGATAGTATCATGACCAAGCGCATACCCCAGCGTAGCGACATTAGCAACAGCCGCAAACACCATAACATGTTCGAAAACTGAGATCATCGCCTCGATATGGAATGGGAAGAACGTAGGTATCATCCCTCCTTCACGAGGTTTAAGACTCTCTAACGGATCCCGATGCTCAAACGGTCTCATTGAGATCACAGATGTAGATCCAGCTGCGAGTGCGAGCGCTAAGATCGGTCGGTTTCCGACGACTGTTAGGATGGATGTCTCGTCGAGGTTTGAGCCTAGTGCGGCGAGCATAACGGGTGCGAGTCCGAGTAACACGTTGGCGCTTGCCATGTTGCTTTTCATGAATTCGGGACAGACTTCCATGAGACAGTTTACTAGTGGAACGACTAGTTCTTCTGTTTTTGTGGGACCGGCGCCGAACCATTTGGTTTGCTCGTGCATGTATGTGTGGTTTCCATGCTGGGTTTTGTACCAGTCGTATTCTGAGGAACACTTTTCACTGATTAGGCGTTTGAATATGAAGCCGTATTCGGGGTACCAGTGTTCGAATAAATCTCTGCTTGCGAGGACGGGGGTGAGGAGGGTAAGGAAGAGGAGGAGTGGTGTTATAGTGAGAGACTTCATAGTATCAGAGTGTGCGGTTTTTAATGGAAGTGAGGCAGGTCATGCTCTTGCGGTTCAAGGCTTTGCTTATTTCGCGTAGGAAACGCGATTATAAGTGACTTTATGGAATCTTCTTCCATCTGAATAGATATTATGGGAGGGACACGGAGTTCAAGAACTAAAGATAGAATATCGCATGGTGGCTGTCCAGGATTCATGAAGATCTTGATCACGATCGTTGGCTGAGACCCCTAGGGCTGATAATTATTTTGGGTTATGGCCCGTAGTGAGACACGCATTAGTGCTTATATCCCAGTCTTGTATTCAAATATCCTGATATTCGGAGGGAGTAACGACCAACGACGATGCTTCAAGTCCGGAATCTTTCTGCAAAGCCAGAGCCAATAGAGGACTGCATCGGGCTTAGGATGGCTGATATTTCGCGGACGCTAGAGCGGAATAAAGCAGGTCACCGAATCCTTTGAGGATACCATGATTTTATTAGTCGGCTATCAAGTCCTTGGGAATTCAGCTGAATCTACCCCAGATTCATTGGTTCCAAGGTTGTTTTCAGTGATAACATGCATAATTTCAAATTTTCCCGCCCACACCTCATGCACGTCTGAGGGGTGCTTTGACATCGAAAACCAAGTTTCGAGTTCATATTTTCGAGTATTGATGTGGCTGCATCGTTGTTTCCAATCAGTTGGTATCAGCCCCCATTTTTTGGACCACGGTCCTTCTCGGTGTCTATCGTGGAGTTCGCGGTAGATTCAAATGTTAAAAAGAAAGAACAAAAAGAACATTCAGTAGGGCCCCGGCTGATAATCACATTCAAGTGGATTTATCTCAATAACATTTGAATGCGTTCTTGGTCGTGTCTCACCTGGGCAGCCCTGGAGGTAATTCAGATTCGATGAGCTCCCGAGGTCGAGATATATTCCAAGGTTATGGAACACCAACACCAACATTCAGTTAACATTTGAACTACTCAAGTGCTACTACTACCTACTACTTCAAGTTGTAAACCTTATAATCCTTCAACCTCATTGAAGTTCTTCAACTTGAATTTGACATTATGAATCGTCCAAGTCATCCTCCATTCTATTCCATCATGATTTGATCAGGTGTAGAGAGTAACTTCTACCTAGGTAGGTTATAATAACTCCGACTCAGGGGACCCTTCACGCAGGGAAATTGTTTATCTCCGCATCCCACCAACTACCGACAGACTCTCCGATAAAGCGTTGATTAGCGCGTAAAAATATCTGATCTGAATTACAGAGCTGAGACCCTTCAAATACCGGACGCTTTTGTGGCATCGCATCGCAGTAATAGAGAGGGGGGGTTGAATATGATTATTACTGGTTGGCTCAAAAGCCATGCATAAATCTAGACTGCGCCGCATCAGCGTGAGTGGAGGGGCCAAACCCACCTCGTAAATTTCTATATTAATATTCAAGCACTTCAAATGTTGAGTCCATACATACTATTTACTACTTGAGTAGTAGCCCAGTCCTGCAGATTTGAAGTATCTTTGGTCAATGATCACTTCAATGTTCGGAATTCCCACTATAGCTTCGACATCTAGAAGGTTGTGCGGGAGTATTGGAACTAGGTAGTATTAATGTATGAACCTTGATACCAGTCAAGCTACATCTAAGCACAATTAAACACTCGGCCATACAATATGAAGAAGAGTTCGAAGGAATGAATGCTCATTTGAAGATGTGAATTGATTAATGACTGAGTGTATGTTGTCTAGAAGGCTGTAAGGTGGAGATGGGATAGCCCTAATGTGCTTGTGTGGGAAGTGCACCAGCCTTGATACTTCATATCAGCATGATGAATGGTACAAAAAGGTATCAACATTTGATGCAAGATACAAAATAAAAGGTACAAAATAGAATAACAAAGAAAGGTATGTCAACCTTCAAGGTTTTCTCTTTTTTTTGGTGTGCACTCGGAGCTTCCTCCCCGCTGTGCGTTGTATGCCCTGCAGATTGTGCCACCCCCTGCATGTCGTAGATGTTTATACACTTGGAGCTTCTTCTCCCCTGTGTGTCGTCGTCCCTGCAGATTGTGCCACCACCTGCATGTCGAATCGAAGGAGGGAGGGCGTCGGAGGAAGGAGGGAGGGGGCTGTTGATCAAGCAGCCAAGAGGTGGGATGTGGCAGGGATTGATTGTAAGAGTGGCTATAGGAATGTTAGCAGATGGTAGTTAGATGGTTGGGTTGTGATGACTGACGTGACCCGTCCACGAATCCAGATATAAATGTTCAATGATGAACCAAACCTTGGAAGTATACATCAATGGAGTGTAATGTGTGGATGTGGATGTATGAAGTGTTCCAAAGTTGAGCAAGGTCAACATGAAGAAATGTTTGAAGGATGTGAAGTGTTGTTAGACAACATGATGTTGATGGAAGTGTGCCAGCCTGTATGGACTTGTGTGGGATATGTCAACATGTGTTGGTCTGTTATGATGCAACATGGTGTGGGTAGAAGTGTGTCGATCTGTGTTGGTATGTTGTGACTCAACATGGTGGAGATGTAAGATTGTGTTGACATGTGTTGATGGATTGTTGTGTTGACTTGTGTTGGTAGAGGGACGTGTCAGGTAAACAAGACAACGTGATGTGATGTGATGTCAACAGAATGGAAACGCGTCAGGCTGAGCCATATAGAGAATCATGGCAATGGTAAGCACACAGATGAAGCAACAAGATGTTCAAGCATGTTGTTGATCAGGCAACATGCTGAACCTTGGAGCTGATATCAGAAGTGTGTGTGTGTGTGTGTGTGTGTGTGTGTGTGTGTTTGTTTGTTTGTTTGAAGGAAAGTCTGAAGAGAGGATTTGGAAGAAGAGGAGAGTTGGAAGAAGGAAGAGGTTTGAAATGGGGAGAGATCTCATTAATTTATACCCTGGGGGAGGACCCAAGATCACAAATGCCCTAAGATCACGCAGAGACAGCGAGCCGAGAGATTGATCTGGCGTCGCCAATCGCAACACAGCCATTTCGCTATCACAAACAATGTTTGCTCGCTTCCAGATCTTTTCCTTCGAATCAACCAATAGAACGTCAGGATCAGAGGATCGTAATTCCAAAGCTCCCTAACCTAAATCACAGCGAGTGCGTGATCCTGATACTATCAGAATGCTTGATCCGAGGTTTATTCGCCAGATCTAGCATGCTGATTCTGGATGAGCCCACATCTGGCTTGAATACTACAATAGCACACTCCATTATTGTATTTTTGAAGTCCTAGCTTTAATCCCTAAATCCCTAAATCCCTAAATCCCTGAATCCCTGAACTATTCCTGAACTATCCCTGAACTATACTACTAGGGTACGTGTGCAAGTTTGTCTTTTACTATATAGACTAGAATTCCTTTACTACTACTTGGGCACTGGAAGTTTGTTGACCGTTCAGCATTATTATAGTTCAAATTTTGATCTCTTTGAGCTTACATTTAGCTAATACTTTGATTTTTCTTGCTTATCAACATGTGTAACTTCTAAGGTGATGCAGCCATTAGCCTACCCCTTTAGGTACACATCTTTGTATCATATAGATACATCTATAGGGACACCTGTAGTTACGCCTATAGGTATTTACATAAATGGAGGAGTATCCAGCTGAGTACCTACATAGGTATGTAAACATAAGTGTTTGATCAAGTTTTAGCCTTGTCGCGATATAGGGCGTCCATTTGACAGAGCTTCATACATAGCCAGGTACATGACTTTCCAATTTTCTGGATACATATAGCGCTGCGCTTTGCGCGGTGCTAGGCATTTTCTAATTACCGGCTTACAGAGGCACCGTATTGGCGCTTTGCACAATTACCAATTGGTCAAATGAGGCGGCGTTGAAGACGTAGAGAATTTATCCGGAATATTAGTATGTATGTTTTCGTGAAATGGAGCAGAGTGCTTAAGACTTATGGTACCTAGTATTGCCAAATATCTATAATCGAGCTACGACTTCCAAGTTTATGCCAGTGACTGATATTCTTACTGAAGAGGTAACCACCTAAGCCGCCATTTACTCCTCATCTTCTGAGCGCTTTTCTATTATCCTCAAGTGCTTCACAGAAATCTACATCTCTCTTCTTTCTACCTTACACCCATTGCCTTCCGAGCGTTTCAACATTTGAAGCTTTCTATTATGCTTCACACACGTCCGTATCTCTCTTCTTTCCACTTTTCACATATCTCTCTCTTCTATTTTACATATCTTTCATCTTTCTATCTTCTCTTTATTATCTTCCAAGTATTTTAAGCTTTCTGTTATGCTTCGTACACGTCTATATCTCTATTCTTTCCACTTTTCACATATATCTTCTTTCTACTTTACACATCTCTCTTCCCCAACTTTTTACTTATTGCCTTCCAGGCGTTTCAACATTTAAAGCTTTCTGTTATGCTTCACACGTCAGCATCTCCACTCTTCACATATCTCTTCTTTCTACTTTCCACTCGTCATCTTATCTTCAACATGACTCATCTACAAGTGTAAGGTCTGTACTAACTCAGTGATACATTAAGCGTCCCAGAATACTAATATCCATAATAGACAGGCCGATACCCCGGGCTGGACCGTGTGTCCGGCTGCAATTATGCCTATCATTCCAGCAGGCATACCACTTGCAACACTTCCCCGAGCTTCTGGACACAAAGTATCTTCAGATTCAAATACTGCTCAGCCAAGAAACATGATCGGTTCGAATGGAAGGCATTGAAGCATCTCTCAACCATGCAGCCCCAACGGAAGCTACAGATACGTGCCAGACGTAACTATCGGCCCGGAAGACTTTCTTCATGATGACCATAACAAGCTGGAAGCAACAGTTTGTTTCATGGTTGGGGAGATTAAAAAGGGCGAAGCTGCTTGCTTGAACTACCACTTGGGATAAGGACCATTCCCATTTTGTGTAGTGGTCCCAGGGTGTCCACATTTTCTTGACTGCGCCAAATGTCACTTTGGAAAGAAGTCTAACAAAATCCCATGCCAATTTGGTCGCTCGAAAGAGTCATCTAGTGAGCATGAAAATACTGATCTCGAGATGAATCCTGATACCCTTAGCGGGTTACAGAAACTCCTAAAAGACCATGAGAATGCCGAGAAAGATATCCTTGACGTGAAAAAGCACCATGATCTGCTAAAGGGGAATTTTGCGATGTTTGTGCAAGTTGGAATCAACGATCGAATCATCGCTCAGGCTGATGAGGTCTCGGAAGCAAGGGAGAAGATTGCTGAAAAAGAGACTGAGCTAGGAGAGGTGGTCAAGAAGATCAAGGCGGCTGTAAAGTCAGGGGAAGAAAAGGCTGTGAAGGAGGGCCGAAAGAAAGCTAAGACCATTCGGCCTATCCCTGAGGAACGTCTGATCTAGCCTGTTCCTCGACTTTGCGTTCTAATTTGGATTCCAAGAAATTCAGCTTATTTTTGAAACTAAAATTCTCATGCTTAGTGCGCATGCCACCTAGGTAGTCTTATTCTAAAACTGTAAGAGCGGGCAATGGTGTATGTACAATCCCACCTGGTCTTCTAGTATAGTGCAGTAGCCCTGCAGCAGCTCTTCGCCACATTTTTGAGGCTTTACAATCAATGAATGCCACTTCTTAGCCCACACTAGACTTTAACACTGCTGAAAGCAAACAGGTCTTACCCACAGAGTACTATTGATCAAGTCATGCTTTTTCTAGTAAAATGGATCGAATTTCTATGGCGACGGATCTGCATCAAGATATATTGTGACAGGAAAATAGCAATAAAAACAGGATTGATAAAGTAAAACATGACGGAAAGCACGGTAAAAGTCATGTCTCGGAAATATACAATCATCAGTGTGCCCTTCTTCTCCCTCTCTGGGCGGCTCGATGAGCTACCATGACAACCGGTAGAGGCGGTCCGTATACCCATCTTGCTTGCCGTTGTTGGTTGCTGGGAATACTTTCGTTGCCATGAACAGCTTGTTTTTTGGGTTGTGGATTCCCATGGAGAGAACAGGTAGCGGAATGAACATGACGAGATGGGCTTGGTGCAGGTACAGGTACAGCTGGTTCTCTAAAAGGACAATGAGTTTGTCCCTGAGGCAGGGAATGAGGATGGTGATCATGGTTTCTGAGCTTCTCTCTCAAGTTTGCTCCATGCATATGCCGAGCTGGGGCATCTTGTTTTCGCCCTCTATTAGTGGTCTCTTTGTCGATACTGGAGGATCTAGCCTCACGGTGGTGGCCTGGACTATGTCTGTGATCCATCGGTTCTCGCGGTCCTCTCCAACCAGGGCCAGAATTGGCATGGATCGGTTGCGTCATGTGTACTGGATTCTGGACTTCGTGATGAGGGGAGCGCTGCTCTTGCGCTAGACCGCGAGCTCTATTATTGCTTCTATAAACATGTCAATACTGAAGGGCGGTTGGTTGGGCCTGAGATTTCAGATTCTTACGAGTGCATGTTCGGAGCATTGTGTGAGTGGATATGTCCCCGATAGGCCGGATGGCATTGCTTCAAGTTCGGGTTTGCCTTATGCGGACTTCTATGCTTCTCGGTTGGTCCTCCAGCAGGGCGAGGGGCTTCATTGTCACAAAGTGTACGAGAGTTATCGCTTGAACTGGCGGCGCTTTTCTTTCCGTGACTGCAAATGTGATGCTGACTTGAGCAGCATGCCGGTCTCCTGGGGAGCTCGTGGAAATGAGCTGAGCCCAGAGGTTGGGGGCTGTGACGAGGACAGGGTCGACGAGACATTGTCTCGTGCTTCCACGACAAGTTTCAGATTTGGATATAAAACTCCTTCAAGTTGGGACCTTGGAACTCGGAGGGTAGACAAGGTGTCGGATATACCATCCACTGGTGGTGCTCTGAGCATTCCTCGGGGATGTAGTCCTTCTTATTTCATTGGGAAGTCCTCCAAACAACCTTGAGGACCAAGTAGGAGTCATACCACACGTGTAACACTGCATATAGTTTGATTTTGAAATAAACCATTTCGTTCAAACCTCAGGACAGTCAAAGAATAATGCGACTTTCAGTTACTTGGAAGAGATACTAATGTTTTGACATGCACGGGGGTCTGCATTTCGAGTTACACTAAACGGGCAATTTGTTCGACTTTTAGCGTCACTACAACTCTCATGCCAAGGCTAGCTACTTGATTACATGCAGGGAGACTTCTCATCTGGAATAGCATTCATGCACTTTATTTTTGGACCTTTTAAACAAACATTCATGGGCTATTCTAGTTCAAGAACGTGGCCTGACGATGTTGGAAACTTGCGGTCGTAAGTCATGGTAGGGGTGTAAACCTGAACCCAGTTATTCAAAATCGTCTTGAACACCTGACAGACAGCGTTGACAGCATCTTCACACGAGGCGCCACAGCTTTCGATGTAGACTAGAGGGCAAACGTTAGTCGGTTTCGAAATGGCTTGATAAAGCCGTGCGGATACCCAATTGGGGAGAATGCGAGGAGGCGTTGGGGTTGGTGAGACCTACATTTGACCTTTGGCTCAGTGCCCGATCCTCTGATGGTGAAACGCACACCTCCTTCCAACCACAGAGTCAGCATCTGGCTACTAGGGTCTTCGGGTAGATCGGGCTTATTGTCAGGTGTTGCAGAGTCGTATCCTTCAGTCATATCTCTCCAACGGAGAATTTTGAATGATCCAAACTCCATGTTAGCAAGGAAGGGTCCACTGCGAATTCCACGGAACAGCTCCAGAGTCAGAGCTGGATTGGGTGACCGGAAGTAATTGTTCAAGGTCTCATGGTGTCCATATTGGGCAAAAAGTTGCTGGAGCTTTGCGTGAGCTGTCAGGCCCTGGGATTTCCACTTTGCGTATGCTGCTAAAAAGACTGCCGCGGCGGTAATTCCGTCTTTATCGTAGCATACCGAAGAAAACATGTAGCCGAGCGCCTCTTCGTAAGCAAATGGGACATGCTTGCCGGTTTTCTCAAGATCTCGAGCTACGTTCCCCATCCATTTGAAGCCAGTCAGTGTTTCTTGGAACTGTGCACCCTCAGATACTGCCATTTTTTCAATCATGCTGCTGGATACAGCTGTGGTAAGAAAAGTGGCAGTGGAAAGATTATTTGTGGCTTTCAAGGACTCAAGAATATGAGACGCTAGCAAGACACCGGCATGATTTCCCGTAAAAAGGAACCATCGATCACTGTACACGTCAGTAACTTTTTGTTTAACAAGACAGAGGAGACTAACTTGACTTTTTCCGCTGCCGCAAATCGATCCGCATCTGGGTCATTGGCAATGATCAAGGTTCTTCCTTCTTTATCTGCTGTTTCCATGGCAAGATCGAGGGCCCCCGACTCTTCGGGGTTGGGAAACTTAACTGTAGGAAATTCGGGATCCGGTGCTATTTGGAGAGGCACAGACACGATGTTGTCGACTCCAAGTGAACTACATAGCTCCGGGAGTACTAGGCCTCCAACACCATGGAGAGGGGTGTACACGAATGGGCTGAAGGGCCTCCAATCAGTCACGGTAGACCTCTTTTGACAAGTCAGTCATTTTCTGTTAAGAGCGAGAAATGAAACAAACCGCGAAGTCTTGGACTTTAGTCTCATAAGGACCGACGAGGTTCTGAAAGGCGTCGAAATGCAAAATATCGCATGGGAGTAATTCCTTCCAAGCATTTTGCCATGGCTCCAGATTTTCACGGATCGATTGCGCTATGCCCTCGTCTTCGGGTCGGTTGATCTGTGCTCCATTGCTCGAATAGCTGAATCAAGGAGTCAGCACATGCGCATCCTCCGTACCCTCCTGCGATAAAGCTTTCTATTTTAAGAACTTACACCTTGTATCCTATTTTCGAGTTAGTAAATTGAGTTTGACTGTGAAAAAGTGCTACATACCGTTATCTTGTGGGGGATTCTTCAAGTTCGCTTGTTAGCATTGCATACCCTCGAAGTAAACTCTTTTTCACATACATGGCTTGCAGTCACCATCACACCCGCAGTCGCTTTGAAGTAGTTGATTCCAAATGGAACCATTGGTGTGGGCGAGGTTTCTGTAAAGAAGTAAACTGGGATATCCAACGCAAGGAAGGCATTCGCAGCAAGCTCCGCAAATCTACGAGAGTTATGGCGCGCATCATGACCGATCACAACACCCTTGACCGCATCCTCTGGGCGTGTAGTTTTGATGTATTTGGCCAGTCCCTGAGATGCTTGAATCACCGTCAAGCAATTCATATTAGAGAATCCTGCGGCCATTCGGCCGCGTAAGCCCGCGGTTCCAAACTCGATGCCTAAAGTAAATGGACAAATCCTTCAGCCACTAAGCATATAAAAATCTCAACTCAACATACGCTTCTGGAGACATAGTTCTAGCTCTTTAACGGCACTGGCGTCTTGCAGGTTCCGTATTTCCGCTCGAGTCGTTGGATCCTATATCCGAACGGGTAAGACAACGATCAGGCCACAGACAACCCGCTGAAGGATCTCACACCTGGTCCCACTGAAACCATGTCTGGACTAGAGAAGAAAGAGAATCCTATATTGGTTAGATTAAGTGGAAATATCGGGGCTGTTCACACAATGAATCACCTGGGAAGCCATCATGCGAGTGTTCTTTAAGTCCTGTATGTTGTTGTAGTTCTAGGCCTATCTGCCTTCTCTGCTATTATACTCGAAGTATTGAGCAGTAAGAGAAGAGTCACACTGAACAGACACGAGGAATATGTAGAAGTTGTATGCACGTTAGCTATGCCTGAGTTATGATAGGCAAGTCAACCTTGAAGTGTAATCACGGGAAGTTGCGTACTCCGTTAGACCGCGGCCGATCTCTCCCCGCTTGTTGATCCACCTCCTTCATACACATTTCTCACTTCTGCCTGGTCTGGATCCTTCATTTCCTGTCTTCTTAATTTTCAGTATTCAAGCGCTTTTTAAAAGACTACAGCTCGTACAATGGTCTAAATTTGCTTTGTTTTTTCTGAGCTCCTCAAATAAACACTTCTCTACCTTTCCCCATCTCACCGCATCGTCTCACAATGGAGAAATCCACACCCCGACCGCCCCGGAAGGACTCTCTGTTGAGTCGCCGATACATTGAAGGACTGATCGCAGAAGGGAAACATGTTTTTATCTTTGAGGACCGCGTTCTCAAGGTGGATGCTTTTATCCAATTTCACCCTGGCGGAGAAAAGGCGATCAAGCATATGGTAGGCAGGGATGCCACAGATGAGATCAACGCGTATGTTCTAGTTTCTTACTACAGACGCATTGCCCTTGGTCTTTTGACTAATTTATCATTCTCCCTCAGGTTGCACTCGAGATATGCCCGCGATCTTATGGCCAAGTACCAAATCGGACGAATCGAAGGAGTCTGGACAAACTTCCTCCCGCCAATTCAAGGCGGCAAGTTTCGTCTTCATACAGAGGATGCTTGCTCAAGCGAGGAGGATCTGATGAGCCAGGACAATACCAGTCAAGAAGGATCTCTGCCCCCATCACCGATCTTTGATGCGGTCGACGCGAAATCAACGACCCGCCGAAGGAAGTACTCAAATCCAGATACCGCCCCTTCCACGCCCCCGGAGAAAGCATCGCAACACAGACCAGCATTCCTCGATGCCCGAACAAAGGAGGAGGTCATTTTCGATACCGCAAAATATCCGTCGCTGGACCAGGCAAACCAGGAAAGCATCAAAGCCAAATACCGCGCGCTGAATGAGCGTATGCCAGCCGAAGGACTGTTCGATTGCAACTACTCAGCGTATATGGTTGAAAGCTGCCGATACAGTCTCTTTGCGGTCTTATTCTATGTATTTCTCCGTCTGGGTTGGTGGGCGACCTCTGCTTTCTGGCTTGGGTGCTTATGGCACCAGCTTGTTTTTACTGCCCATGATGCTGGTCATATGGGTATCACACACAATTTCCATGTAGACACGGTAATTGGAATCATCATTGCAGACTTCATCGGCGGATTGAGTCTGGGTTGGTGGAAACGCAGCCACAATGTCCATCACATTGTCACCAATGCGCCTGAGCACGACCCTGACATCGAACACATGCCTTTCTTCGCTATCACACACCGCTTCTTCGATAGTCTTGACAGTACCTACTACGACCGTAACATGACCTTCGATGCTGTATCAAAGGTTATGCTCAAGATCCAAAACTACTCATACTACCCTATTATGGCGCTAGCTCGCTTCAATCTTACCCGGTTGAGCTGGGAGTATCTACTGAAGGGTCAAGCCCCGCAGAAAGGAATGGCCTGGTGGCACGTTTGGCTAGAGTATGCAGGTCAGATCTTCTTCTGGTACTGGTACGGCTATATTGTCCTGTATCAAACGCTGCCTGACTGGAACAGCCGGCTCGTCTTCTTGTTGATCTCTCATGTTATCCCTTCGCCGCTGCATGTCCAGATCACCCTATCTCACTTCGCCATGTCCACGGCTGATATGGGTGTCCATGAATCATTCCCTCAGAAGATGCTGCGAACTACGATGGATGTTGACTGCCCTACGTGGTTGGACTTCTTCCATGGTGGTCTCCAATTCCAGGCCATCCACCACCTTTACCCTCGCATGCCTCGCCATAATTTGCGACAGGCCCAGAAGTACGTTTTGGAATTCTGTAAGGAGACGGGTATTCCCTATGCCCTCTTTACCTTTTATGATGGTAACAAGGAGGTCATCAGTCGACTAGGCGATGTGGCCAAGCAACTTCGACTTATGGAAGAATGCCGCAAGTCGGTTGCTGCCGAGGGCGTGTTTTCGCATCATCATTAACGTTAGATTTTTGTTCAGTCACATATGTGCTTATAGGCAGGCCTTTTGAATAAGCGGAAGAGATGGTATTAGATAGTGTTACTTCTTTACCCAGGAACCACCAGGTGTGGATATCTATATTAATGAATGAAATGTACAATCCCATTTATGCGTTTTTTATAAATCTAAATGAATCTATGAACAATGAACATTCGCTGCTAAGGTTCCGACTAATGAAGATGCTGGAAATTCTCATCTTTACCGGATGAATCATGCAAACTCTGACAACATTCAACCAGGCAGCCCACCACCTCGCGCGATCTTCTTAGCTCGTTGCTGGCGTCGATTATGGTTAGCCCTGCTGGCCTTATTCTCCTCCTTCCTCCTATTAGCCGCAGGGTTACTCTGCTGTCCTTGATCCCCAGGCTGGGACGGACCACCTCCACGCCCTCGCCCACCACGGCCCCGTCCACCTCTACCTCTTCCGCGACCTCCACGAGCGGCAAAGCCACCAGAAGACTCATCCGCAGAGTCATCATCATCTCCAGCTTTCGGCTTCCGATACGAAGTAGGAGCCAAGTTAGGCTGATTCAAAGATCCAGAGCCACCAGTACCACCCGCATCAACAGCAAGTTGACCCTCAAGTCTAGCAAGACGTTTAGGGTCCCTCGTAAGCATAACCGCCCAGCCCTCGATAGCCTCATCCATCATATCAGTCTCCCGCTTAAGTTGCGCACGAGGCTGCGAGCGACGCGTAACAGCATCCCGAGCAAAGATTGCCGGGTTAGTCTTGTACGCGCGGAACAGCACCATATCAAGGTTATCTCCTGTAGGCGCACGCTGGTTTCGGGAGTCGGCATCTGCGTCGGCGTCTGTACCTGCTGCTCCGCTATCGATGGTACCGCCCACATCTGCGGCATCGTAGGTATCGTCGCGCTCATCGTCGTCTGAATCAAATGTTGCCAGGGCAGATAGAATGGCTGCTTTGTTGGTTTCGTGTTGACTGCGATCTGCGAGGACTTCGTCGGCTGTAAGGTCTGGGTCTGCACGGCCGAAGCGTAATTTGCCCTTTGCTTTTTCTGAGAGGCTGAGCTCGGCGATGTCGATGTCCTTGTCGAAGATATTCTTGCGTGCTGGGATGGGGTCCAGGGGTGGTGAAGGGTGTGCCATGGGTGCGAGATGGTCATGCTGCGGTTCTGCTTGGGGTGGCAGTTGCTCTGAACGATCCAGAAGTTGAAGTTCGGCGGGGAGTGAGTCGTCTAAGAGGTGGGCGACTACGGTTTCTGGGTTGTCGTTGTAGACATCTAGTAGTCGCACGACAAATGCGGAACCAAGGTCTGGGAAGAGGTCTTGTACTTGAGAGACAAGAGACATCTTGTGTGCGTGAAGCTCCTGTGGGACATGTAGACCTGATGACGGTGCTTTTCCCTTGTCTATCTTCTTCCTCCTCTGGTAGCGGTGGTGCAGATGTTTTGATTCTATTTGATAAACGCGGAGACTGTTCAGGAGGTCTTCTCCTCGTCTTTGAGGGTGGGTTTGGAGGTAATTTTCGAGTTTTTGCAGCATGTCAGAGCTGCAAATGAGATCCGACAATATTGTTGCTTCGCTTTCCTTTTTTGATGAACCTAGTCCAGCGGCGGCCTTGAGGCTGAAGAGCTGATCGAGTAACAAAGATAGGTTTGTCGAGGGCTCCTTCAACAATGAGACGAGGCCAACGTAGAGGTTTGCGACGAGAATTCTGCGCAGCTCATCCTGGGTCTTGAGTGGCAGGTAGACTTCTGCTAATGTGTCTAGAAAGTCTGAGCCTGCCATTAAGACATGGCCGGAAGGTGGCAAGACCGAAGCCAAGATCGTCAGACGTCGAATATCTGAGAGGACACCAGCAGACTTGGATGATATTGGCGAAGATAATTGTTCAATTATAAATGTTTTGGCTGATTCTATGCTGGATGATATCTTTTCATGATGCATGTCCCATATTTCTGATAATGTCGTCTTTAATGCCGTGCTTGACGGATAGCAAGAGCATATATTTCCAAGCAGTCTCCAGTTGAATAGCTCCACTGAAGTATTGAATGCAATGAGCATGTATCGTCGTGCTGTCAAGAAACATAGCTTGCGAAGCTGTCGAGCTTTAGGTCCATGATGTAAACCTTGATCTCCTTCTGCGGCATATTGATAGAAAGATTCCAAGAAAGAGACAGCTGAGAGGTCTTCTATAGCTGAAGCTTCAAACTTCTTATCTGTGACATTCAATCGAATGCCTAGTAACATCATCCATGCATCCAAGCAGGCATCCCAATCAGCTGATGGGATAGTCCTCCGGACTGCGGGGGAAGGTACCGGAGCAAGTGGCGGAAATCCCGCCATTGTAAATGCAGCCAAGTGAAACTTGAAACCTGAATGAAGCTGTTCCACGAGAAGCTGAAAATTGAAAGAGAAAACAAATAACAGAAAAAACAATAAAGCTAACAGGGATCCTCACTGCAAGTAATGTAGATTGAACTGCATTTGGTCCCCGACTCTGATGGATGACTCAGCAATATTCCCAATTCAGGTTAGCGTGGTGATAACCGAACGTGCCAAGGCTTTTCCCACTAAAAATGTTCGCTTTTCTCGCTCCATACCCACAATCTCCATCGGCCATCATCACCTTACCGAACGAAGTTCAGGTCTTGATTGGCAATTAGTCTCTTTCATCAATTCAAACAAAAAATCAAGATGTCTTTCCAGAAGCCAGAGAAGGAGTTCGGCGAGGGCCCTGTACGTGAAATCTCATCCTCAATCGCATCGCACTATCAGTTGATAGCCATCTCCCTCCCCGCCGTCGCAATGTGCATTGTGCATTGCGCCGTGGTTGGAAGGACGAAAAACACACAATCCCACCATGGGACTTGACGGTCATCCTTTTTACATTTGCTAATTCCCCTTATAGAAGGTCCACAAGATCCGTATCACCCTCACCTCCCGCAAGGTTGCCTCCCTCGAGAAGGTCTGCCAGGAGCTGATCGACCGTGCTCGCTCCAAGTCCCTGCAGGTCAAGGGCCCTGTCCGTCTTCCCACCAAGACTCTGCAGATCTCTACCCGCAAGACCCCCAACGGTGAGGGTTCCAAGACCTGGGACAAGTTCGAGATGCGCATCCACAAGCGTCTCATTGAGTGAGTTTTCCCCGTATCTATGTACTTGGCATATCGCGCATTGCGCTGTATGTCTATATTATGTTGAATATGCAGCTAACGTTTAATCAGCCTGCTCGCCCCCACCGAGACCGTCAAGCAGATCATCATCAACATCGAGGCCGGTGTTGAGGTTGAGGTCACCATTGCTGCTTAAATGCACTACCTTCGGTAGAACAAACAATGGTTCAGGGAGGGTCTTTGGACTGGCTACTTGTTGAAAACGAGCCTTCTTTGGAGGATTGGAAATATGGGATAGTTGGTCGTTCGTTGTGAGCCTGAGAAGGTCTTCATAGCGGATACCCGTTACACCTGATATAAAAAAATGGAAACATCTTGATAAAACTCTTCCTCTTCTTGTAATTTTTAGGTACACTGGAGACCTCATTCTTATTGTCGTGTAGCATTGCCGTAGCATTTGCAGTAATTGCTAACAAACTCCGAATGCACCTATTGACTGACTGGCTAGCTCGCAGAGCTCAAACAAAATCACGCTGCTTCGTATAAAAGTACACATCAGAAACATTGAACCGAAAGCCATAACACATTTCAAATCCATGCAATTTCTCAAGAAGAAATTCAAGCCACACAGAACAGTCTTAGAAATCAAAGCTGATCCACTCTTTCTTCGGTGGCACCGGTGGTATGATATCGTCCTTGAAGCGGCCGTTGGCCAAGAAAAACTTGTACATCTCCTCGATTTCGGGGGTATACTCCTCGGGCTCTCCTTGAGAGTCACGGAAAGTCCCAGGTTCAGGGGCCCCGTCGGGGAAATTTACACGAACAAGCGTCTCGTTATCCTCGGGGTGTATGTAACATGGATGATCATCGACATATTGTACGCGCTGACCTTTCCACATGGTGAGACGCTGAGTGTTAGGATCGCGCCGGGTTTCACCCTGCAGTCTTGGAACGGGGGTCAATTCACCAGGCTTTGTACTCGCCAGGTATGCGGGTGGGCCAACATCAGCATTGGTTACTGGTAACCCTTGTGCTGCAGCGGGTTGACCAAAGGGAGCGGCAGGTTTTGATGGCGCCCCGAATGCGTTGCCGGCTGAGGGCGCGGATGGCTGCCCGAATGGAGTTGGCTGAGCTGGTTGTGGCTGTTGGGGTTGACCAAATGGTGAGGGTTTTGTAGATGGTTGACCGAAGGTTCCGGATCCTGATGGTTGGCCGAATCCAGACGTAGCAGCGGGTTGCTGGGCAGCTACTTGGCCGAATGGGGATGCGTTGGTTTGTTGGTTGGCAGCAGCACCGAAGGGAGAAGCTGTAGCGGCAGCACCGAAAGGTGCCGCTGGTGCTGCTGGCGCTGAGGGCTGGCCAAATGCTGGTTGTCCAAAGCCGGGCTTATTGTTGGCGGCCTGGGCGAATCCTGACTGACCGAAGGTTGGTTTTCCGAATCCACCCTGACCACCGACGGTTGATGGCTGTCCAAATGCACTCTGACCACCGACGGTTGAGGGTTGTCCAAACGCAGAGCCTTGTCCCAGTGACGATGGTTGGCCAAAAGCGGAACCTTGACCAAGAGTAGATGGTTGTCCAAACGCAGAGCCTTGGCTCTGTCCGAGGGTGGCAGGCTGACCGAAAGCTGATGGGGCGCCAAATGCAGGTTGTGTGGGTTGTGCGGGTTGTGCAGGCTGTGAGGGCTGTCCCCAGCCAGAGGAAGAACCTCCAAATTGATTAGAGGCCTGATTGGGAGCGGATGGTGGTCCAAAGGCAGGTTGTCCAAAGGCACTCTGGCCAGCTGCTGGTGCTTGGTTTGGAGCTGGGGCAGTGTTACCCTCAGTGATATCGATTCGGTTCGGATGCTCATTAGCGCCATCAGTGATGTACTTAATAGCACCGTTGATATCATTCAGGGCGGTATTCATCTGATTCACAGACTCTTCGTACAAAGCTTCAGCCTCTTGGATTGCCTGGGCTGGATTACCAGCAGCTACAGCTTGGTAGTGACGGAGGCGCATCTCTTCCATGCTTTGCTCTCGTTGAGGGCCACCAAATAGCTGGCGCGGAAGATCGCGAAGCGGTGCGTACGATGAGAATACCCATTGTGGTCGACCTTGTCCGGGAGTGAGGTCCACCTTGATATCATCGTGTTTCAAATTGTAGCTGTCGTTATGTTAGTTTGCAAGAAGCTGAAGAGGTTGGAATGCCAGACTGGGACTCACTTGGACTGTTGCTTTTGTGAATCTTGACCTAGAGGGGGACGATGGTTAGATTCTCTGGCCGAGCCTCTCCAATAGTTTTTCCAATGAGACACCATGGTTTGAAATAGACCCATTTGGGTTTTGTGCAAGATCAATACAAAAGTAATAGCGAAGACAAATCAAAGGGTTCACAAAGATGATGAGTGAGGGGAAGGGTGTGGGGAGACAGGTGGTAGGGACATCTGGATGAGACAGGAGAGTGAAGTTGCAGGACACTGGCAGCTCCAAGGTGGTCGGTTTATTTTAAAACGAATTTCCATATATAGCAAACTATCAGATCGAAATCACTCACCCCCAAACCCTCCAGATAGGGCACCAAATCGATTGCCTGATAAGCCCGTCGTACGGCCGGGATGTTCAAATTTGCAGGAATCTAGACAGTCTTAGCAAAGCTTGCTCTATATTCTGAGTCCATAAGATACTTACCGCCATATCTGCAGCGACCCTGCTGGAAGAATTTACAGGCGACCATTGTCAAGCTATGACCGCATTGGCGCTAGTCTCGCAATTGAGATGGATTCACTGTGATGCCCTAACCGGGGCAATAATAAGGCGTCAGGCAGCGCTCGATATAGTCCCAAGTAAAATTGGTCTGAAAGAGGTAATGATTTCGATTTAATAGAAAAGAATAAAGTCTGTTGAAAGGGAATACAACGCGTCTAATGAGAACATCGGTCGAAGCTGTTTTTCCCGGGTTGCGCTAACCTTATCGATACGCTTATCGCTTATCGGTTCTTAGCAATTAACTAAGGACTCGGTTCTTAGCCTGAACTATTGAGTTTAGATATTCTTCAAGTTGCAATTGATGCAGTGAATAGAAAGTGGTTTGGATGAATGCGTTTCAAGGTTTATACTTGTCACATGTGCACCTGCACTGTCAAAGCCGCTCACAAACTTGAATGATCTCAAACGGGTGGCGCAGGGTAAGATATATATAGATAGTAGTATTGCCCGACTCGGACGTGAGCCTGAGTGCACACATGTGCATCACGATGTGTATACATAGTACTACAGACTACTCAAGTGCTGGAGCTCTCCAGATGTCAACCTTCAAGTTGAAGCTATTACGTAATATAAGTACTAGTATCAATGACTAGGATGTATTCAAGTTTGCACATGGTACATACTGCCAGTACATTGATATGGGGCTACTGGCATGAACATTGATCATTGATTCTGCCTACTACTACCACCTGGGCACTCAAGCTACTGCTTGTGGTAGTAATGTTGAACTTGAAACTTACATAAACTCTCCAGATGTCCGTCTCTACGGTTGTATTGATGGAAATCATAATGTTGATGTTTGCGGGTAGATATAGTACACTCATAAATGTCACGGTGATCGGACATCACCTCCATGGTCAGTGTGTAGGTTCAAGTTTTAATAAGACCGAAACTCCGATTGTTTATCCCTCCTTAAATCTTAGATATCATTACAAATCATTCTGCCAGGGCAGCGCCAGTCTGGGTATTCCGCATGCTCTCCCGTAGATCATCCCAGTTGAGTCCATCCACCTTCTTGCCGCCCAATGCCTCCAACTCTACCCCAAGATCATCCACCTTGCCTGTTGCCAGGCGTCGCATCAAGAGGGTATCTTTAGCTCCTGGAAGCGTGCTGGCACTGCCACGGAGCAAATTTTCCTCAAACCACTCCTCCTCGTACTCATCTAGCGGCAGCCCAACCAACTCCATCGCACGCTTACTGCGGGTTTGGCCAGGCGCAGTTCGGTGGATGAACTCAACCAGCTGAGAAAAGTAGCTTTGGCGCTGAGATTCATCGTATTTCCTTGAAAAGTAGAATGCCTCGGTGACATTTGATCGACAGAGAGTCTCGAAGAAGGCTCGTTGGATCTTCTCGGTAGCCAAAGGCGGCGAGGCAGTGAGATAATAGGCGATAGCTAGGCCATCGTCATGCTTCGGGAGTTGCGAAAGAGTGAGAGCGTACAGGATTTCATCCGGGAAGGTAGGGATAAGAGAGGGCTCTGCAAGATATTCGATTGCGCGCTATCAAGATCTTCGTTAGTCAGAGCGGTGCATGTAAAGGACTACAAAACATACCCGAAATTCAAGACGGTCCATGTTCCAGAGGCCTTCAATGACCAGGCGATATTTCTCAGGCAAGTGACAGGAGCGCGCGAACTGCGCTGCCGCCTCTGGCGCACTGCGACAGTCTTTGAGAATGTAGTAAATCAAGGCTTGTTTGTGATGGATGTCTAATTCGGAGGAGATAATGTGATCGACCAGCGATCGGAGGTCAGCATTGGTCTTCGGGGGATAGACCTTGGTCACTATGGAGAGATTGATGGTTAGTCGCGAATACAGGAACTGGATCTCAAGCTGTACGAACCTCCTTTGATTCCGAGTAAACCCAACAGCCGGTCAACGAAGAGATGGTTCTCTAACGCGCGGCGGTTAGAGTTAATCTGTTCGACAAGTTTGGTGTCATAATGATATTTCTTGTTGAAGCTGAATATTTGACCAAAATCCTCCCATGGCGCCATGGTTGCGAGTGTTGTCAATATTTTTTTGAGAAATGTAGGAGATATCAAAGAGCTCCGCACCAACGAGAGATGCTGACGTAATATATGTATTGTAATTGAGTAATGGAACGGTATGACCAAGGCGGTGAGGGTCAACTCTGCACATTTGCTGAGACCCTGTAGCTTACCTACCACTCACTCAAGTGACTCAACCTCCAGGTAGCACATAGAATTCGTCTCATCCAGACACCTAGTCCTTTACTCTGTCTGACAATATGCTTTTCATTTGAAACCTATAGATGTTGGAATTTGTTGCTAGTAAAAGCCAAAAGCCACCTTACACATTGGCAGCCGGCGGAAAGTTAAAGTTTCCCTTCGGGGATTATGTACTTTGATAATGCTACAGCCTAAAAAGTATCAAACTGACGAATCTGAATGAAACTATCAAGTATATGGAAGAAAATGGGAAAAGTCGCAAGTCTTGAAAGGGCCATATAGTGAACCAATCTTTATTGACATACAGAGTCCTCATGTAACACTTGTGTAAAGTCAAACAGTGCAAACACCCCAAAGTCTCTATGTTATGGCAGAAATCGGTGCCATTCCTATTTGGGCCGGACGTAAACAACCCACTTTCTTAAGGTTTCCCGCAGTTGCTGCGTGTGTCTTTCATCATCAAATCTTTACCCCCCACCCCTCGCGCCCCATGAAGCAAGCGCTTCGACGTATCCGCTCATAATGGCTTCACTCGCAAAAGGCCGATCCTCGCGACGCTCTGCGCCGCGCAAGAGTTACGTCGTCGAAGAGACCTCTGAATCGGAGGACCCTGGAAATGTAACACCCACACCTTCAGCAAATGAGGATGATGATGAGGTTGAGGAAGAGGACTATACCCCAGTCCCCAAGAAGACGAAACGGGTGTCGCGCAGCCACATGAAGCTTGAACCAACGACACCTTCCACTGCGCGGCCGGCCCGCAGATCGCGACCATCAATCGCAGAAGAATCCGACGCTTCACAGGTCACAGATACGGACGAAAACGACGAAAACGACGAAAACGACGAAAACCACGAGAACGATGAGGGAGCCAGCGTGGTCTCGGTGGAGGCCGATCCCGAATCTCCCTCTAACAATGCAGCGTTGAAGAGAAAGAGTGTTGAGGCGGTGGAAATGGAAGATCCCCATTCCCCCTCTAGCCAAGCGGCTTTAAAAAGACATAGTATGGCACATTCCCGCATAAGTGGTGGTTCGATTACGCCTAAACCGGCCAAGGGCTCACTTCCCACTCCAGAGCCGTCCGCATCGCCAGAGCCTGAAACGCGGGCTCACCGGGAAAGTGTACCTCCTCTCTCCGATATCACCGAATCAGCCGTCAACCAGTCGCCGTCGAAACAACCCGAGGAACCGAAATCCCAGATATCCTACATCAACCCGAATTCGACCGTTTTGGAAAAGCCCATGGACATCGTCATGAAATCGAGAAATATGGCAGCCCCCGCCCTCGAGGAACCCGCTGAAGTCAAGCCCCGAATGATCATCCAGAACTTGATTCTCAACAACTTCAAGAGTTACGCAGGAAAGCAGGTCGTTGGTCCGTTCCATGCATCTTTCTCATCTGTGGTCGGACCGAACGGATCCGGCAAGTCCAACGTTATCGATTCCCTTCTATTTGTGTTTGGCTTCCGTGCTAGCAAGATGCGACAGGGCAAAATCTCGGCCTTGATCCACAACTCCGCTGAACATCCCAACCTACCATTTTGTGAAGTAGAAGTCTATTTCGAACAAGTCCTCGACCTTCCCGACGGCGGCCACGAAGTCATTCCAGATTCCCAACTGATCATCTCCAGACGAGCATTCAAGAACAATACCAGCAAATACTACATGAACAGGAAAGAGACAAATTTCACTGCCGTAACGACTTTCCTTCGTGACCGTGGCATTGATCTTGACCATAAGCGTTTCCTGATCCTGCAGGGTGAGGTCGAGTCTATTGCTCAGATGAAAGCGAAAGCTACGGGCGACCATGATGAAGGTCTTCTCGAGTATCTCGAAGATATCATCGGAACCTCAAAATACAAGACTCCGATCGACGAGGCAGCCACTGAGCTCGAGGGATTGAATGACGTTTGTGTTGAAAAGAACAACCGTGTTCAGCACGTCGAGAAGGAGAAGAGTGCGCTTGAAGACAAGAAAAACAAGGCGCTGGCATATCTTCGGGACGAAAACGAGCTTTCTCAGAAGCAGTCTGCGCTCTATCAGATTTACATTGACGAGTGTGTTGACAATGTTCGTGTCACGGAGGAGGCTATTCTTCAAATGCAGGAGCTCTTGAACATGGAGCTTGAGAAGCATGAAGGAAATGAGTCCGGCATCAAGGAGCTCGAAAAGGTCTACAAGCGTGGCGTCCGGGAATACGAATCAATGGAGAAGGAGGTACAGGATCTTCTCAAAGAAATGGCCAAGTACGACAAGGAGTCCGTCAAGTTTGAGGAGAAGAAGAAGTTCTTGGTCGGCAAGCATAAGAAGCTGGAAAAAACCATGCAAACGAGTCGACTTGCTGCCTCAGAGTGCCAGAGCTTGGTTGAGAAATTCACCGATGATATTGAGAAGAAGACCAACGAGACGACCGACCTCGAAAAGGAAATGAAGGACGAAGAAGAGGAGCTGAACTCTATCCGGGAGAGTCTCAAAGGCAAGACCCAGGGTCTTTCGGATCAGATTGCAGCCAAGCAGAAGTCCTTGGAGCCTTGGAACGAGAAAATCAACAAGAAACAGTCCGCTGTTGCGGTCGCTCAGAGTGAACTCGATATTCTGCGCGAACGGAGTAATGCCGGTGCTGTCTTGCTTAAAGAGGCACATGGCAAGATCGCTTCGATCGAGGAGACTTTGGAGAGCAAGCAAGCTGACCTGGAGGAACGACAAGCTCAGAAAGAAACCTTGGAAGCCGAAGTGGCGAAGCTAAACCACGACCTGAAAAAGTACACAGCACGTGAACCTGAAGTTCGTGCGCACGTCTCCACTGCCCGCCAAAAGGCAGAGGAAGCGCGAGGTAGCCTTGCTAGCACGCAGAATCGCGGTAGCGTTTTGACTGGGCTGATGCGGCTCAAGGAATCTGGGCGTATCGATGGATTTCATGGTCGCCTTGGTAACCTAGGCACCATCGATGAGAAGTACGATGTTGCAATCTCCACCGCTTGCTCAGCTCTGGACAACATGGTGGTAGAGACCGTAGAAGTTGGTCAGCAATGTATTGACTATCTGCGCAAGAACAACCTTGGTCGAGCGAACTTCATTCTTTTGGACCGCCTTCCTCGTCGTGACATGTCCACGATCTACACACCCGAGAGCGTTCCTCGTCTATTTGATCTCGTTAAGCCTAAAGATGAAAAGTTCGCACCCGCCTTCTACAGCGTGATGCAGAACACCCTTGTCGCCAAGGATCTTGAACAAGCGAACCGAATCGCCTATGGCGCTCGCCGATGGCGTGTGGTGACCTTGGATGGTCAATTAATTGACGTTTCTGGAACTATGAGTGGTGGTGGTACTCGTGTTGCGCGTGGTGGAATGTCCTCAAAGCAAGTCGCAGATACTACCAAGGAACAAGTTGCCCGTCTCGAGTCAGACCTCGAGGAGTTGGAGCGCAAATTCCAAGCATTCTCAGAAAAGCGTGGGAACATTGAGTCTCAAATTCGCGAAAAAACCGAGGAAATTCCACGCGTTGAGACCAAGATCCAAAAGATCATCATCGAGATCGATAGTGCCAAGCGCAGTCTTGTAGATGCTCAACGACGAATTAAAGAGATCAGTGCGGAGCATAAGCCATCCAAATCCGATGAATCACAGGCAGCTGCGCTCGAAGAACAGATCGAAGCCATCAATGAAGAGATCGAGGACCTCAACAACCAAAAGAGCGGCATTGAGGAAGAGATCCAGAGCTTGCAAAGTAAGATCATGGAGGTTGGTGGTGTCCGTCTCCGTGGACAAAGAGCCAAGGTCGATGGTCTCAAGGAGCAGATAAGCATGCTGTCAGATGAGATTTCCAACGCTGAAGTCCAAAAGTCTAAGAATGAGAAACTCATCAACAAGCATACTAAGGCTCGCGATGGGTCCGAGAAGGAGATCAATCAAATCACAGAGGACTTGGAGAAGCTGGAGGAAGATATTGCAAACCAGGCTAGCGACGCTTCTGGCTGGAGACAGAAGGCCGACGAGGCGCAGGAGGTAAGCCGATCCAACAATATAACGAATGAACAAAATGCAGATGCTAATATCTATATGAAGGCCCTCGAAACAAAGAAGGAGGAGCTCGCGGGTGTTAAAACAGAGCTCGATGAGAAGGTGGCCGAACTCAATGAAACCCGTGCCACCGAAATTGAGATGCGGAATAAGTTGGAGGAGAACCAGAAGGCTCTGGCCGAGAACCAGAAGCGCAGTCGATACTGGGAAGAGAAGCTTTCCAAGCTCTCATTGCAAAATGTCAGCGACTTGGGCGAAGAGCAAGAGTCTACGCAGCTTCAGATGTACACCAAGGACGAGCTGGATGCAATGAACAAGGAATCTCTGAAGGCAGTCATTGTGACTCTGGAGGAGAAGGTTCAGAACGCATCTGTCGACCTTGCTGTCATTGAAGAATACCGTCGCCGGTCTGCAGAGCATGAATCTCGATCTGCAGACTTGACCACTGCTCTCGCAACCCGTGACAGTGCCAAGGCTCGTTTGGATGGTCTCCGTTCAGCTCGTTTGAATGGCTTCATGGAAGGCTTTGGTATTATTTCTCTCCGTCTCAAGGAGATGTACCAGATGATCACCATGGGTGGAAATGCTGAGCTAGAACTTGTTGATTCCTTGGATCCTTTCTCCGAAGGTATTCTTTTCTCCGTCATGCCGCCGAAGAAGAGTTGGAAGAACATTGGTAACTTGTCCGGTGGTGAGAAGACACTGTCCAGTTTGGCACTGGTTTTCGCTTTACATCACTACAAGCCTACTCCGCTTTATGTCATGGACGAGATTGATGCTGCTTTGGATTTCCGAAATGTGAGTATTGCCCCTTATTTCATATTGAACCGCACACTGACTAGATACTATAGGTTTCTATTGTTGCTTCATATATCAAGGAGCGAACGAAGGATGCTCAATTTATCGTCATCTCTTTGAGAAATAACATGGTACGCTACCAATGGAATCCCCTGATATGTGCCTTCACTAACAAAATCTTACAGTTCGAACTTGCATCTCGACTTGTCGGTGTTTACAAGGTCAACCATATGACCAAGAGTGTCACGATTGAGAACCGAGACTACATCGAGGGTCGATAATGAATAGAAGATAGTATTGCATGTTTTCTTTTTTATTGTTTCCTCAGCATCCGGGGATAGGCAGGTGGCTGGATAAGGTTGCTTGTTCTTTCTGATGATATCATGGGTTGGAGTATTTGGATTTTTGAATGCATATTGTTTTTCTACCTCAATCTTCAAAGTTGATATTGATTTTCAAGAATGGATGTGAATATGCCATGGTATGATTAGAAGTTCGCACATAAGCCCGATAGCGCGTTTAGGCTAATCCTCAACATCAGTGTGGGGGAAGCTTCGCCCAGGTCCACTTTTCGGCTTGTCTAGATTTCCAAAGCAGTATAAGACCTTCAAGGTATCATCGGGTGTTACATTGCACTCGGTGACCTTGCCAATCAAATATGTCATGGCGTTGCTAACCCCACGGAGCACGGATTCCCGACTCCTCAGATCCATTGTATATGCCGCGTGCATTGATGCAGGATGCGGGGTAAAGCGAAGCAATTGACAAACATTGACAAGGGATCGACTCTGCAATGTAGAGATCGGCGATCTATTCACAAATGAAGGTTACACTCATCCAAGTAAGGATCGGAGTTATTGTGCGCCGGGGAATGTATAAGAATGAGGGAGGCGCAGGATCTTCCTTGTTTCAGCTTCGTCTTGAAAAGACACGACAAGCGTATAATATCTGTCTCAGTCATCCTTACAGATTAAATGTTGTGGAAACCACGACTATTCCCCACGTTGGGACTAGTCCTGCTCACTGGCACCGTCGCGGCCGAGGTAGATCTCTCTCAGTATGTGAATGTATTCATCGGCTCCGAGGGCCCTGATGGAACGGGATACGGCGGAGGAGATACCTTCGTTGGAGGTGCGCGTCCATTTGGCGTTGCGAAGGTCGGTATTGATTCAACAGCTGTCAATTGGACTACAGCCGTTTTGAATGGCGGGTGGACGCCAGACGGCAATGTTACCGGAATCAGCATGATGCATGAGAGTGGTACTGGTGGTGCACCAAAATATGGGTTGATCGCTCAGATGCCCCTGACTTTGGTTGATTCTCCGGTTAACATTCTTGATAATCAGACATATAGTCAGCCGAAAGTAAGACCGATCCAAATGTTGTGTCGGAGGTAGACTGATGTGAAGTTGTGATATCAATTAGGTTGGGAATGACACGGCGAGTGTGGGATACTATAAGACTCAGCTGGAGAATGGTATCACTGTTGAATTATCTGCATCGCGTCATGCTGGTATTATGAACTATTCGTTCCCAGAAGGGGAGAAGCATGTTCTTGTTGACGTGTCTCATGTAGGTGTCCAGAATATCGATGTGAACAGTTCGAATCACCTGCTAACAGTTAATGTTAGTATCTCCCTGGAGCACCCGGTGACTCAGGAAGCCAGTTCTATGTTGGCGGAGAGATTCAGATCGAAGAAGATGGCAAGTCTTACACTGGATATGGAACTTATGTTGGCGGATGGAATAATGGTAATCCTTCAGCTCATCTGTTAAGAGAATTACTGACTGACGTTTCAAGGTGCACCCTTCACCGTATACTTCTATGGAGAGTTCTCTGAAGCTCCAGATCAGGCCCAGACATTCAGCGGTGTTAATACTGATCCCATTCCAAGATATCAAAACACGGCAAATGGCGGAATCAGCCAGCCTACATATGGAAACAAAACGAACAAGGTGGTTTCCGGACCGATGACCAACAGAATCGGTGCTCTCTTTAGTTGGGACTCTAGCTCTGCTTCACAAGTTATCTCCCGTGTGGGCATTTCCTCCATTTCAACCGACCGAGCTCGCTCCTACATCGAAAAAGAGATTCCTTCATGGTCACTGAATGACACTGTGGCCGACGCAGTCAAGGAGTGGAATGAAGATGTTTTCAATAAAGTCCATGTTCCATTGGACAATTCAGCGAACGCCACAAATATCAGATTACTCTACAGCTCTCTGTACTTCATCCATCTGATGCCGTCGGACCGCTCCGGCGAGAATCCCTTGTGGGATTCTGGCGAGCCTTTCTGGGATGACTTCTATACTATGTGTGAGTGTTAAAATCAGATGTTTCCTCATGGCAAATTTCACTGATAGTAAACAGGGGACATCTTTCGCTGCACTGTCAGCTTCTATCATATCTTTCAACCCGATTACTACGAGTCTATGATCCGGGCGCTCATTGATATCTGGAAGTAATATCATTCCGTCCCAGAATCACGTTCTTCTTTGCAGTTGAGCTAACCAGTAGTTCCAATAATAGATATCAAGGGTACATGCCAGACGGGAGATCCGGAAACTGGAACGGTCTTGTTCAAGGTGGTTCCGATGCAGACAACGTCTTAGCCGATGCATATGTGAAGGGACTCCGAGGAGCCATTAACTGGACTGATGGATACGCAGCCATGGTCAAGAATGCCGAGGTGACCCCCTACAACACATTCGATTATACCGATTACACGGCTAGCACAAAGGAAGGCCGTGGTGCTTTGGATGACTGGAAAGAGCTAGGCTACGTCTCAGAGGACCATAACACGCGCTGTATTTCCCGCACTGTCGAGTACAGTCTCAATGACTTTGCTGTTAGTCAGGTCGCTAAGGGTGAACAGCCTGGCGACGTGGAGAAATATGTCAATAGATCTGCTGGATGGCAGAATATCTGGGATCCAAGTGTGAAGAGTTTGAACTTTACTGGATTCCTGGCGCCAAAGCTTTCGGATGGGTCTTTTAACAACACTGACTATGATCCGCGTATCTGTTTTGGTTGTGAGTGGAGCTCATACACATACGAGGGTGTTCCCTGGGGTGAGTTTACTGCCATAATCTAGAGAGAGTGGTGGTAGGAGAACTAATGCGATGTCTCAGAATATTCTTTTGTCATTCCGCATGATGTTGAGACACTTATCAAGCTCATGGGAGGCTCGGACAAATTCGATTCGCGTCTTGATATGATGGTAAGATGAACACTCATACCATCTATATCCGCAGAGACTAACCACTCGCCCCTTTATTAGTTTGAGCCAGAAATGTCTATTCAGAACCTAGGTGCAAATGGAGCCGGTATCACCACACTAATGAACATCGGGTATGTATTTTGATTGCATTAATCTCGAGGATTATCAGTTAACCAATTGAAACCTGAATCCAGGAACGAGCCTGACTTCGCCACGCCATATTTGTACAACTATATCAACAAGCAGCACAAGAGCGTCGCACAGACACGTAGTCTTGCCAATCAATAGTGAGTCACTCTACTAAGTCATCAGAGTCATTACTGAACCAATTCCATAACAGCTTCCATGATGCCAACTACGGTATCCCTGGGAACAGCGACGCTGGAGCCATGAATTCATGGCTTTTGTGGCAGATGTTGGGCATCTATCCTATTGTCACGCAACCTGTCTACCTACTCTCTTCGCCGTGGTTCCCGGACTTGAATATGACTATCAACGGGAACAAGACGTTACGGATTTCCGCTACTGGGCTAGATGATGGATATTATGTGCAGAGCGTGAAGATCAATGGTAAGCAATGGGTGAAGAACTGGTTTGAGCATGACGATGTTATGACAAATGGTGGAACTATTGAGTTCGAGCTCGGTAATAACGCTACAGTGTGGGAGAGTGGTGATGTTCCTCCGTCGCCTGGCCATGTGGAATTGAGTTAAACAGTACTGGTGTTTAGGTTAGCTTGTCGGGGTTGGTGATCTCCAAGACATGCAGAAACAGACTCGACAGAGTTCAATGATGATTCATCCAAGACATGTTTTTCAGTAGCCCCATTCAATGCCAAACACAAACAACCCACATCTGCTGTGCGACATCGATGTACATATCCCCGCATGTATGCAAACCAGCTTTGCAGGGTCCCCCAGAGCCAATTCGCGGCCGAAGGCAACGCCATTCTCATCATTGGGTTTTTTCTTTCTTTATCTCCATGGCCAATGAAGGAGAAAAAAGTTGAATTGTTGAACAGGGTTCCAGGTTTGTATCCTTGAACGAAGTAGATCGTTGCTCTTTCAGGACGCCTAGGTCGACGTTCCTTTGACGTCAGCGCGGGATAGAAGGATTAGAAGATCGAGGACAAAGGGTATTCCTGTATTCCTTGATGAGGGGAGGAAGGTATAAGATGAAAGACCATTGACTGTGAGATTCAATGGGATTTTTGCATTTCTGTTACGGTCGGACGTTCCTCGCAAATTCGCAATCCATCAGGCTATTTGGTGAAACCGGGAATCCATCACAGAGATTACAATTTGCCCACGACTTATTTGTTACAAGAAAAGTTCACGAGCCTTATTATCACTTTTGAAAGAACATAAATTCGAGGCTGAAAAGGATCGATAATCAAAATGGTCAGTGTATACTATTTCCACGGTGCAAATCGCAAATTCCGAACGGATCCGAGATCCAGAACCTGAAAACAACCCTTATTCAATCGCTAATTTTCCTTTCTCATAGGCCCCAGTCGATTTCACTCTTACTCCTCGTGCAACAGATGATGGATGTCCAAGTACACTCTCGGGTGGTGCCATAGCAGGTATTGTGATCGGATCTATTGCCGGCACTCTGCTTCTTATGTGGGTATGGCATCTTTGTCGAATGCCTGGGGCGTTAAGTGGTGGAGAGACGGATGTCGGATATCGACCACCAATTACTCGATCTCGGGGCCATAGAAGGAGAAGCACTGGGTCCTATATTGATGTTGTTGAGAAACCTCGGTCTCGCAGTTCACGGAGATATCGGGATGATGTCCGACGCCCGGCTAGAGTGTATGTCAGTTGAGATGAAATTGGTATATAGGGGTGGGGGTGTCCTAGTTTTTTCTTTCTTCTAGCGGGGCAAGGAAGAGGAATTCCACCATCCTTCTTGAGATGGAAGAATTATAAAGTGCAAATGCCTACCTAACATTGATGGATGGATTGGGTTACGATGATATGAGATATGATAACGTGAATACTATAAGTGCACATGTGTACCTATTCTAATGATTCGATAGATCATTTATGATAAGACCAAAGTAAATCAGGATTCCATCATTTTCCAGGCTGCAGTGAAATTATTCGGTCTAAATTGCTACTAAGGGATTGGTCTCCGCTAATGAGGAGTCCGAAATTTCCGTATGTTCGTGCTCAAATGCTCCATACTATGAAAGCCCTGAAGTCTTAGGGTATTATCTCCCATAGAGCACATGTGCATGATGCTTATCCCCTGATATGAACTAGGGAGAATAATCAATCAATGTAGTACAAAGATACTAATTTCAGATCTTAACTAATCCAGATTCTCACGCCGTAAGAGTAATTTTAGACTGATTTTGAAGGATTGACATTAGCAATTTCAGATTATCCACGATGAGACCAACTGATCACGGACTGGCGCGACGCCTCAAAGCTTCGCCTTTTTACATTCCTCGGGAACACACCAATGACGGCGTTTTATAGTGTCCCCGTTGAAGTGGGGGTCTCCAACTCGCTTGTTAGCTTCTTAGTAAACGAACCAGTGTGATTTTAAGTGGATATTCGGCGGAGAAAAACCCACCCGGATGACTTCGGCTCAAATGAGGTTTTTTTAAGTGTCTCAAAATAGGACATAAAAGGGGCAAACGGATAAACATTTCTGGACGTTTGCCTAAATGTGCTCATGCAGGAAACCTGTTTTGATCCCCTGAGTTATCTGCAAGAAGCAGAAAGAAACTAGACATGCGGAAAGTTCATGCCAGGGCAGTCCCTTTTTGAGTCTAGACCAAAACAAAATACTCCTGTCGATTTGACCCTGACTTGGCATGTCGATCATGATAGAGATCAGAAGTATTGTATCTAAGAACTCAGAGTACCAATAGCCTTACTCTGTACTCCGTAGAAGCCTTCAATGTTGGAAGAATTAAACGATACTGTAACGGAGCACTAGTAATTTCAGAGAACCACTTTGAATCCGCTATATGTCATTCCAATTCTAATTTCGTCCCATGTAAAATCAACCTCAGAGGGGACCGTGTGTCTCCTGATTCTGTATCTATCCGTGGATCCCGGTCAAATTAGAGAGCCGATCAGCCAATGAATACAAATATCAATAACAGGACTCAAATTCATCGGTTTCCACACCCTAAACAAGCTTAGAATTCTCTTTCATTGGGTTAGATTCAGGTACAGAGTCACTCACATCTTCCCAGTCTGGTTTAGTTGGGTACCCGATCATAATAACAGTGCATCTTTTCCCCTTACTCTACGCTAAGTGACTCCGTACTTCCGTAGCCATACGAAAAATTACAAAAAAAAAAAGAAAAATCACTTTGCTTTTTTTCATAAAAATAAAATCATTAAGAGACACTATAATGTAGCGTTGTACCACAAATATCCACATCTAATGTGGCGTTTCCCCCCGATTTCTCTTCGATGCGTTCAACTTCTTTCTTCTTCATCGTTTGCTCGTGGTCACTTCCACTTCCTGTCATTTCCAAGGTTCTTTTAGTGCTCATCTATAGCACATCCATTCTTTTTTGAAAGTACATAACCAAAGCGAGATATTAATCTCGTGTCCTTTCATTATACCTGGTTTTTTTCGCCGTGCCACTTCTCCACAACACTGAGAGAACTTGAATCATCGCCATTTCAATTACACACATTATGAGGAACTTCTTTAGCATTGCGACTCTGGCAGCTTTAGCTAGCTATGCTGCCGCTCAGACATCTACAACATGTAATCCTCTCAACACAACATGTCCCGCAGACTCAGCCCTGGGCACTGAGCACACATGGTGGTTTAACGAGACGCTCGACTCCACTATTTGGGACATGACAGATGGATCCATCGACTATACCGACGAAGGAGCCGAATTCACCCTCAGTTCAAACGGATCGTCTCTTCTGTTGAAATCAAACTTTTATATTTTCTTCGGAGTCGTCGAATCATGGGTCAAGATGGCTAAGGGTGCTGGTATCATCAGTAGTATCGTTTTGGAATCCGATGATCTTGATGAAATTGATTGGGAATGGGTTGGATATAACACAAGTGAAGTACAGACCGACTTTTTCGGAAAGGGAAACACTACAACATACGATCGCGGCGCAAACTACTACGTCGAGAATGCCGATACTGAGTTCCATAACTACACTACCTACTGGGATCATGACCGACTGGAATGGTGGATCGATGGTACTTTGGTTCGAACTGTTAACTACTCCGAATCTTTGACTGTCTGGGGTAAGAACTACCCCCAGACTCCCTGCCAGGTTGAGGTTGGTATCTGGCCTTCGGGCGAGGAGGGTGAATCGACGGGTACTATTGAATGGGGTGGAGGTCTGGTTGACTGGGATGATGCCCCCTTCACCATGGTTGTCCAGCGTATTCGTGTCCATGATTTCCACACCGGCAAGGAGTACAAGTATGGAAATGAGTCTGGTGACTGGCAAAGCATTGAAGTTATCTCGTGAGTATTTCTTTATTTGGAGATCCATCTATACATGATGACTGACCTTCTCTTAGCGGTAACTCTACTACTGTGACTGAACTGAACAAAGCCCCGGCGGAGACTCTGGCTGAGAAATGGGCTAAACTCGGCGAGGGTGCCCACATCGGAATCTACGTCGCTGCTGGTGTTGTGGGCGCTGCATTGATTGGTGCATTCGCCTTCTGGTGTATCCGACAGCGAAGCAAGGGCCGTCTCGAAAACGCACTGGATGATACTAAGTACAACGACCAGCTCGCCGAATCGGAGAACTTTCAGAATGACTGGAAAATGAGCGAATGGAGGAACAGCGGCTACCGACAAGTTAGCTAGACGAGAAATCGCGACCCTATAACGAACTGGCCTCTTTATATCGATTCCTTCCGATCGTCTCAAACAGTTCTGTGAACTTGTTTTCTTTCTCTCTGCGGTATCGCTTCCTTCAAATCACCGCTATGACTTGATTATCCGACGAGTCTCTTGTGTCCTGCACGTTCTGCGGGGGTCTCCGATGTGGCCATGGGACCCTATAATGACCATTTCCTTTCGCATCAGCTTTTTCATTCGGTCCTTGTGTCCGGTTTCTGTTTCATTACTTTCTTGTCGATATCCGTGTTCTCTGTTTGACCATCCTGGCGTTGTATAGGCTTGCTACTGCGTTGCCCTTGTTCGTTAGGAAAACATTCGTTCATATACACATATGACCTGTACATATTTCTTATTCCTTCCAAGACATTGGCCCTTTTCATATTCAAGTCGCATCTCCTTCCACTTACGCAAAGCCCCGCTAATCCGCAGTCTCCCTTGCATGATCAATTCTGAGTTGCCTTTTCTAAAGATATTCCGCCACCTTCCCTATAATCTCACTTGCATACCGCCGAAAGCCGAATCGGCGTACACTGCCCAGGTGCACCTTGTGTTATATCACTAATCACTACGACTCGGATTAATATTAGCGGAGTTGAGACTGGGATTGGAGTTTGAACAATTCCGCCCGACGGACAAGGAATAGTCTAGCTATCCGTGTCCGCCTCAACTTATGGGGCACCCATCGGAGATGAAGTAGAATTGGGATTTACAATTGCATGATTTGCAACATTTCAACAAAACACCGAGTGATCTTCTTGTGCAAGAAAAAAAGAAAAGAACATGGAAAGATTTCTGAAGCTACGATTTTGCAAGGGTTTAGGCGTACGGCGTCACCTATGGACGGTGCCACGAAGTCATGATAAAAGCTTGAGCTTGGTTTTACTTTGCCGACAAATCATATTCCAATCTTAAATTGCTGACAGGATTCTAGTGCATAATCGGTCAGACGGTCTTTTCTCCAACAAAATTGAAGCATTTCGTCATGCATAGCTTCATAGCTATTGCCCCGCAGACACGGACACGGAGCGCCGATTGGCACAGCCAGACTTTCGGGTTTCACTATGTGAAACAGGATTGTTCAGTGAAAGTTTTCGGGGTTCACTATGTGAAACAGGATTTTTCAGTGAAAGTCTATAAAACAATTCATATGCACCTCGATTCACCTGGGCTTTCTTCAAGTTCTCATCTCTCTCATTCTTCGAGTTTTACCTGAAGAATTGAGATACGACATGACTACGAAGGAAGTGCCAATTCCGGGCCCCAAGGGGGTTCCCTTTCTAGGCAACATTTATGATATTGAAAAAGATGTCCCATTGAATAGTATACATTTGATGGCTGATAACTATGGTAATGGCACCAATTATACGACTAATAACGGGCTCTTGTACTAACATTGGTGATTATAGGCCCGATCTATCGACTCACCACGTTTGGCCAATCGCGCGTATTGGTCAGTTCCCACGAATTAGTCGATGAAGTTTGTAACGAAGAGCGATTCAGCAAGAAAGTTGCGGGCGGATTGAAGGAGATTCGAAATGGGGTGCACGATGGCCTTTTCACAGCCAACTGGCCAGGAGAGGAAAACTGGGCAGTTGCACACCGCGTGCTTGTTCCTGCATTTGGACCATTGGCGATTCGGGGAATGTTTGATGGTGAGTGAAATAGAAATCAACTCGAGTACCTCAATTTCTCATTCTTTGTATAGAGATGTACGATATTGCGACACAGCTGGTTATGAAATGGGCACGCCAGGGCCCGAATGCCTCCATTACGGTCACGGAGGATTTTACTCGCTTGACCCTGGACACGATTGCACTTTGTGCGATGGGCACACGCTTCAACTCATTTTATCATGATGAAATGCACCCGTTTGTTGAGGCGATGGTTGGTTTACTCTCTGGATCCGGGACTCGGGCGCAACGTCCCACTCTTCTCAATAACTTGCCAACTAGCGAGAATGCTAAATACTGGGCGGATATCGAGTATTTGAGGAATCTGGCGCAGGAGCTTGTGGATACTCGAAAGAATAATCCGGAGGACAAAAAGGATCTGCTCAATGCGATGATTCTCGGTCGCGACAGTCAAACCGGGCGAGGTCTCACCGATGACTCGATTGTTGATAACATGATCACATTTTTGATTGCTGGTAGGTATTCCTGGGATTCAAAGATCATCACTTGGTCTGTCAAGGCTAATCAGTTCTAGGTCACGAAACCACATCCGGGATGTTGTCGTTTCTGTTTTACTATTTACTGAAAACCCCACATGCGTATAAAAAGGCCCAAGAAGAGGTTGATCGGGTTATCGGAAAACGAAAAATCACAGTTGATGACATGTCTAAGCTTCCTTACATCAATGCCGTCATGCGTGAGACACTGCGCTTAAGACCAACAGCACCTACCTTCGGTCTTCACGCACACCCGGTCAAGAACAAGGAGAATCCCGTAACTCTCGGAGGAGGAAAGTACGTCCTGCAAGAAGACGAAACAATTCTAGTCCTCGCTGGAAAGATGCATCTGGACCCGAAGGTATATGGCGCTGATGCGGAAGAGTTCCGACCAGAGCGAATGCTGGATGAAAATTTCGAGAAACTCCCCAAGAACGCTTGGAAACCATTTGGAAACGGGATGCGTGGCTGTATAGGACGACCTTTCGCTTGGCAAGAGGCTCAGCTGGTGGTAGCGATTCTGCTACAGAACTTCAATTTCCAGATGGCGAACCCAAGTTATGATCTGCGTATCAAGCAGACACTTACTGTCAAGCCAAAGGACTTTGCAATGAAGGCATCTCTCCGTGAGGGTCTTGATCCGACAAAGCTGAGTATCACGTTGAGTGGTACCCCGAGCGGAACTAAGGATTCTGATCTGAGTGGTCGCGAGAGGAAGCAGAAGGTTGTTGTGCCAGAGGGAAAATTCAAGCCGATGCATATCTTCTATGGAAGTAACACGGGTACTTGTGAGGCCTTTGCGCGCAGATTGGCGGATGATGCTGTTGGGTATGGGTTCTCGGCATCAGCCGACTCATTGGACTCTGCATTGCAGAATATCCCCAAGAGTGATCCTGTGGTGTTTATAACAGCTTCTTATGAGGGACAACCACCTGATAACGCTGCTCACTTCTTTGAGTGGCTTAACGAGCTCAAGGGCAATGACTTGGAGGGAGTTAACTATGCTGTCTTTGGTTGCGGCCATCGTAAGTTTTATCTCTGGACCTTTTTTAAAGTGCGTATTACTGATTTGAATTGCAGATGACTGGGCCTCAACCTTTCACCGAGTACCTAAAGCTGTTAACGAACTCGTTCAGCAAAATGGAGGAACAAGGCTCTGCGAGCTTGGACTTGCTGACGCGGCTCACTCCGATATGTTCACTGATTTCGATACCTGGGGTGAGGCGACATTCTGGCCAGCAATCACTGCCAAATTTGGTGGGGGCGAGAACAAAGACAAGAAATCCAGATCATCTCTTCAAGTTGATGTGAGCCCAGGAGGTCGTGCCTCAACGCTGGGTCTTCAACTGGAAGAAGGCTACGTTGTTGAGAACCAGCTATTGACGCAACCCGGCGTCCCAATCAAGAGAATGGTCAACTTCAAATTACCAACTGACATGTCTTATAATTGCGGTGATTATCTTGCTGTCCTTCCTGTCAATCCAAGCCAGGTCGTGCGTCGCGCCATTCGCCGTTTTGACCTGCCTTGGGACGCTACACTGCGGATTCAAAAGACATCAAAGAGCACAGCTCCTCCCTCAATTCCACTCGACACGCCCATCTCAGCATTTGAACTTCTCTCTACCTATGTCGAGCTCTCACAGCCCGCATCAAAGCGTGACTTGAATCTCCTAGCCGATGCAGCCGTGGAGGACGAGGAGACTCAAGCAGAACTGCGCTATATCGCTTTCAGCCCAAGTCGATTCACATCAGAGATTGTGTCCAAACATGTTAGTCCCTTGGATCTACTGATGCGCTACCCAGGCATTCATTTGTCTCTCGGAGATTTCCTCGCCATGCTCCCGCCTATGCGCGTGCGACAATACTCTATCTCATCGTCACCTTTATCCGATCCATCGGAGTGTACCATCACCTTCGGTGTTCTCAACGCACCCGCTTTATCAGCTATCCCCGGATCTGGAAGTCAAGAAACAGAACAATACATGGGAGTCGCATCCAACTACCTTTCCGAACTTCAAATCGGAGAGCGTGCCCACATCTCTGTTCGACCCTCACACACGGGATTCAGGCCTCCGGCTGATCTTCAGAAACCCATGATCATGGCTTGTGCCGGTAGTGGACTTGCTCCATTCCGTGGCTTTGTCATGGATCGTGCGGAGAAAATTCGTGGTCGTCGAAGCTCACTTTCGACAGAAGATATTGCTCAAAGTGAGCAACCTGCTAAGGCCATTCTGTATGCTGGTTGTCGTACGAAGGGACTGGATGATATCCATGCAGCCGAGCTAGCTGAATGGGCGAAGCTTGGTGCTGTCGATATTCGCTGGGCATACAGTCGTCCTTCCGATGGGGAAAAGGGTAATTATGTGCAAGACTTGATGCGGGGAGACAGTCGGGAACTGATTGACCTGTTCGAGAGCGGCGCAAATATTTATGTGTGTGGAAGCACTGATGTTGGAGGTGCTGTAAGGGATGTCTGCAAGGAGATCTTCCTACAGAGACGTTCTGAGAGAATCGCTCGTGCTAAGGAGACTGGAGAGGAGTTGGAGATTAGTGCTGATCTTGATGATGCTACCGCGGCAGACATATTCTTTGATCGGATCCGGACTAAGGAGCGTTATGCTACGGATGTCTTTACCTAGTTGGATTTGATTGAGTGTTCCCGGTCTTTTCCGCGTTCTGAAGTCCTGCACTTGTACCTCCACTCTGGTGGCCATAGTTATGCCTCCCTCTTTCAATCCCTTGATGATGGATTTTGCTTTACATGAATTCAAATTGATTGATGAAGCTTTATCAGCACTCCTTATCACCTCTACCCCATAGTTCTATATTCTCATAAACCACTCCGGTATCTTCGTGTTTGAGTCTTGCATGGGGTCTTTGAAAGCCCCCTCACTAGTGAGGGGCTATCTTGCTCATGCCCTACTCATGTCTTGGTTCGTTTCCACTTCAACTCACTAACAACTGGGTCTAGCATCATTAGCGTCGGAATCACCGATATTGCTGAATAGCCTGAAGCTGGTGGGGACGACGCGGTCATGGGACTTATTTTTTGGCCCCCAGAACGCCAGATCGTTCAAGTCCCTTCTACCAATACAATTAACCACTTCCTGTCTCGAGCAATGACTATGTCCTGTTGCAAAGAGGTGAAACCTCCCATTTATTTTGCTCATTGATTTTCACCTTGGGATTCTTGTTCCATCGATGTGGATTGCAATCTGAGTTCTCCAATGCATGAAACGTCCGCTCCAAGCCACGGCTGATAATCCCTGTCAACGCGCCGCGCCAATGCATGCAGTTTGCTATCATAGCCTCCAAAGGCCCACATACCAGGAACTCGAGCTGGATGCCCCAATCATGTCCACCTTGAGAAGACTATACTAAATATTCGCTCGATAAATCCCGGTCAATTGAGCCAAAAATAGGCAATTTCCCGTCAGTTTTCCGGGATTTGTGTCACTATCTTGTTTCTTGTTGCATAAAATCGCTTTCGACAATGACCTTGTCCTGTCTAATGAGTTCAAGACGAAGGGACTAAGAAAATTGGGGAAGGGACTTTTGAAACGCGTGCATCTAGCGCCCAAGGCTGATTCCATACCAGTGGGGTTTAAGAAGAACGCGCCTTGCCGGTACTTTTCTTCCTCAGTTCCAGCTTTTATTCATCCTCTTCTCTACCTTGGATCTAGTCCTTTCCTCAATATCAACGTCCTGTTCGAAAAAATGACAGCCCGTGTGCCTATTACAGTCGACAAGTTCTTGGAACTTTCTCAACTGTACGAGGAAAAAGATCTTGTCTTGTCTGTCGTTGGCTGTGCGTATCTCATAAAAGCAAAGAAAAATCACTGTGGCAACTCCGCTCACAAGGATACCGCGGAAATTGGCAAGATGTATTTGCAGGGTCTGTACGACATTCTGTGCGCAGACAGCAAGTCCAGTCCGGATGGAGGAATTGAATTCAACCAAATCCTTGACGAATTGGTTAAATACTTTCTATGCAAGAGTAAACACCACGACTCGGAGAACGTCTCCCAAGCCAAAAGCCAATGGCTAAAAGAGCTTTCTACCTTTGACAAAAGGTCTCAACTGCGTGAAAAGCTGGAGATTTATTTCCCCAAGAATGCGGATGCGAATACAACCCCCAAACCTGAACGCGCTACTGCAAATTTGCCTCAATCGTTACCCTCAACACCACCATCCCAAACAATATCGGATTTCAAGCCATACAGTCAAAAAACACCACAGAACCAAACAGGGGATGAAGATATAGCAATTCGGCTATATATAAAGCTGAGAACCCCCCTTACGGAAGAGGAGAGAGAACCTGGATGCCTCTATTTGATCGCTCATACTCGAGAACAGAATATGTTCAAAGTGGGAATTACCACAACCCCCGATAAACGGCTGAAACAGCACGAAAAGTGCTATGGAAACATTAAGACTGTGGCAAAGGAACGTATCGAGTTTGTCCATCGGATTGAACAAGTTATATTGCTCGAACTTGATCGAGAACGCTGCAAGTTGAAGAATCAATGCATCAAATGTGGTACATGTCATGGGGAATGGGTCTTTGGTAGCAAGGACAAGATAAAGAAGGTCTTTGATAAATGGGTCGAATTTGCTCGGAGTGGTGAAAGCCCCTATGACAAGCAGGGTGCATTGAAGAAGGGTTGGCCATTACCGCCACCCACCGCGATAGTCACTTATCACCCTAAGGCTGCAAAGGGGTCACGTCGAAAATCAGATATGGGCCCAAAGAAACCATTGGAAAGATCATTGTTCCCCGAATTCATGGAAAAGGCTCCAGGCCGACACTCAGATGTGGGCTCGTCGCAACATTCATCACAGTATCTGTTCGATTCTGATAGGTCTGATATGAGTGCCATCAACGAAAGGGTTGCTTCGCTCACTGTCAAAGGTGAAAACCAAGTCCGCGACGATGCTGGTAGCGAATTGGACTAAGTATCAATTTACGTTTCTTTTTATCTCTGGATTTCTTCTGTCATGCGACTTATCCAAAAGTATCTTCCGTCAAACTCGGAGCACAGTGATTGGTCCTGTATCGCACATCTTGTCACATTTTTTTCAATTTTCTCATCTTAGAATCATTAGACTAGTGCATATAGGATCGGAAACATGACAAAGATGTTTACAGTAATCAAATGGTCGTACCCCATGTTTTCTCGCAGCAGGTAGATCATATTGTGGGGCTGCCCCATATCCATTGCAAGCCGGCAGGTACATAAGGCTTCGGTAATCAGTCAAAGGAATGTGGAGGAATGCGGGAAAATTAGGTTTTTTATCATGAGAAAACAGGAATTGGAACTTAGATGTCGTGGCGTGGTGAAGTAAATCATCATTCAGAACATCATTCTCCTTTTACCTTGCCCAGCCTGGAAGCAGACCGACTCAGCAGCTGATTCATGATGGAGGAAAGCAAGGTGGGGGTAGCGGAAAGACCACATCTGATGCAGAGGTAAATAACTCCTGCTATATTTGAGCCAAGTGCATTTCTGATGCTGTGGGAAACGAAAGCCACGCTCACGAAGGAGACATACCGGGAACTGTTGATCTCAGTGCTGTCGAAGGCGATGACACTGCATATGGACAAGCATTGTATCCTGTTCCAGCCGAGGACCCCAACAATCCACTACAGGTACGTTTCTCAAGAAGACCATTCACCTTAGACTCATCAGCTGAGAATAATTTAGTGGCCAATATGGAAGAAAAACACCATCCTCATTATTGTTGCCGTATATTCATTTTTGGGCAATAGTGCATTAACCGGCCCATCTGTTTACATCACCATCTTTAGTGAAGATTTTGGAATCTCATCTGCAGATGCGTCTGGCCTGATCTCCTATGCCAACTTGGCATTTGGTTTTGGTATGTACCTGTTCCTTGAATTATGAGCGGGTTTGCTGATCACACATAGGTTCGCTCATTCTCATGCCAATGTATCTCAAGATTGGACGACGACCAGTGACACTTCTATCAATGATCACAGTGAGCTGAATCGCGGCTGAAAAATCTTGATTATGGCTGATGCGTTCCAGTTTTTGTTAGGATTGATCGGAGCCTCACAATGTACAAGCTACAATGGTCTCATGGTTGCTCGCGTTTTTCAGGGACTGGGAAGGTTTGTTCTAAGGCAGGACGTTTGACCTGGAAGTCTCTTATCTAACAAAACCAGTGGTGTCTGTGAAAGTCTTCCAGTACAGCTGGTGAACGATATCTTCTTCATTCATGAGCGTGGGAAGAAAATAGACTACTATACCAGTGAGTTCCAGCTGTCCAACAAAGATGAATTTGGAACTAATAAACTCTAGTTTGCCCATGCCTGGGATCAACAGGTCCTCTTTACGCAGGGTATATGCTCGGTGGGGGTTATTCATGGCGCCTTTTCTTCTACGTTGAGGCGGCCTTTGCGGCTGCTGTGCTTGTCATGGCGTTTTTATTCGTTGAAGAATCGACATACCACCGCGAGACTCAACCAACGCCAGATTTGTCCTTAACGGACTCATTGGATATCGGAGAGAAAGATATAAAGCTGAATTACCCTCAGCTATCTTTCCATGCTTCAATACGCACTGCCCCAATGCGGAAAAGCTATTTTTCAACCCTCAAACCATGGAGTGATGTTGATCATGATGCTGAATTCACGATGACCATGCTACGGTCATTCACATACTTCCTTGTTCCGGCCGTTTCTGGGTCATCGTAAGCTATGATAAGTGTCCGCTTCTCTGGTATGACAATGTATTTTAATTTTATCACCCAGGTCTTTACATTGGTCTCGGAGCCCTCGCTTTCAATTATACCTTTCCAATCAAAATCGTTGAGCCTCCATACAACTGGAGCGAGGTAACCAACTTTGCTCACTAACTACAACCAGATAGAATACAAAACTAACTGACAACAGACAAATTCAGGCCTGATCGCCATAGCATCATTCATCGGTTATCTTCTTGCTTTGCCATTCACCTCTAGTTCCGATCGCCTTGCCGCTTACCAAACAAAGCGAAATAATGGAATCCGTGAAGCTGAAATGCGACTACCAGTGCTCTTCCCAGTAATGCTTCTCCCACCAGCAGGATTGATCGTATATGGGTTCACAGCGCAGCGTAATCTCCATTGGGTCGGATATTTTGCGGGCGTTGCGATGAACATGTTCGGCTCCTACTTCTACTTTACGTTCACCTTAGCTTACGCGGTCGACTCATACTACGCCAATACCTCTGAGATGCTCATTGCTATGAATCTTGGTAAGCAGGCCATATCATTCGGCATGGGGTCCTACCTACTGGATTGGATTTTGGAATGGGGTATGCTGTGGTAATATCCGGAATATTTGGAGGTGTTCTTCTCGCAAACAATCCGATGGTCGTGATATTCGTTCTATTTGGTAAACGAATTCGCAGATGGAGGGCAAACTCTTGGCTAGGGGAATTGCACAAGCGGACGGCAACAAGGGACATGACTCAATGAGCTTGTGCAGACATCTGGAGTAGAAACTACTAGTGCCTCCTAGGAGATTATTGGAAATTATAGCAAGATGTCTGGCATTTCATCGTTTGAATTGCCTATAATGACGTCATTAGTTTTCATTACTATCTTCTATCTTCTATCTTCGAGGTGAACAGACTCAGCCTTGCAAGTTAGTTCTGGCAATGAATTCATGGTGACTGAGAATATTGATTATACGTCTCCGCGCGCACGACGGAGTATATGAGCCAAATAGCCATGAGTGTGGTATGGATTGCACGTTGTATCTCACCGACATGCCCCATCCCTGGTGGATTTTACTGCAACAAGCAAGGGCCTAAAGGGGCACGGAAAGTTGAACAAGCAAAATCAACTCCGGGGACTCCGCAGCGGGGCATCCTGGGCTATTCTCCAAGACTTCCAAGGTTGCTACTTGGCATCTTTGAGCCCATTGTGGATCATCAAGTGGTTATTGATTACCGCTTTGAACCTGATTGAGGGAATAAATCCCGGCTGACTTCTCACAATCTCACAATCTCACGGTCGAGCTTACTCCTCACCGATCCACAAATTTTACGAACATTATGAAGATCATCCACCCCGAAAGCCTTGGGCTCCAAGCTCTTGAGTCTTGGCATTGAGACCCTGGGCGGAGAGTGTCTGTGCACGATCCAATAATGTGCACTCCAAGTCGCCGCTAGTGATGCGCCTTTTCCATTTAGAGATGACCGGGGTTCCTCCGCAAGTCAAATTGCACTCTGCAACATGCAAGACCCTTAAGCTAATACATCATGGGGTCAAAATGGCGGGGAAAGAGCTTTGAAATTTGGTCATGATTGGCGTCTCTCGCGGAGCTTTATCGGCGCGACTTCTCACATTCCTCGTATAAAGGTACGCCTTATTCAGGGAGATTTCTCCTCTTTCGAGAATAATCTTTCCTTCCAGGTGCCCCTGGTACAAAGCGACGGGCTAACATGTTTCAGTTTGTGACCAGGGTAACATTGATTGCTCCTGTTGTCTGTTGGCTTGGTTATTGCTCTGTGGCAACAGCTGATCAGCCATCGGGTACAGATGGTAAGCCGGCAGTTCAGTCCTGTTTCTTTTATTCTACAAACTAATTTAAATATTTGTGCAGCAATTGTGGTAGATGGAACCACATTCGCGCTTAATGGTGATAATGTTTCCTACCGCTTCCATGTGGATAATAGCACTGGGGATCTATTCTCTGACCATTTCGGTGGCAGGGTGACTGGTCCCATCCCAACGGAAATATCAAGTGCAGTCAATGGCTGGGTTGGAAGGCCGGGTCGAGTCCGTAGAGAATTTCCGGATCAAGGCCGAGGGGACTTCCGTACACCAGCTATTCGTATTCGCCAGACTCAAGGATACACTGTATCTGATCTTCAGTATCAGTCTTATGAGATAAAGCGTGGGAAGCCCACACTATCCGGCTTACCATCAACATTTGGGGATGAGGATGATGTGACTACTCTCGTCATTCACCTATATGACCATTATAGTGATGTCGCCGCTGACTTGTTCTATTCAATCTTCTCCAAATATGATGCTATTGCGCGCAGCGCCAGAATAACGAACAAAGGCCAGGCAAATATCACAGTCGAGTCACTTGCTAGTTTCAGTGTTGATTTCCCTTATGAAGACTTGGATATGATCAGTCTCAGAGGCGACTGGGCAAGAGAGGCTCACCGCGAGAGGAGAAAGGTTGAATATGGAAGTCAGAGGTATGAGTACTTTTAAATACCGAGCGTGATTCCTTTGGCTGATAATTATTTTTCAACCAGCTTTGGAAGCTCTACAGGTTACTCATCACATCTGCATAACCCGTTTCTGTCTCTTGTGAACCCTTCTACTACTGAAGCTTCTGGCGAGGCCTGGGGTTTCTCTCTTATCTACTCAGGATCCTTCTCTGTGGACGTTGAAAAGGGCTCTCAGGGTTTCACGCGCGCTCTACTTGGATTCAATCCTAGCCAGTTGTCATGGTCCCTTGGCCCTGGCGAAACACTCGAATCTCCCGAATGTGTCGCTGTTTACTCGAATAACGGAATTGGTGGCATGTCGCGCTCTCTACACCGACTGTACCGAAACAATCTCATCAAAAGCAAGTTTGCGACCGACGATCGTCCACCGCTCCTTAACAGCTGGGAGGGACTTGGGTTCAACTACAATGAAAGCAGCATTTATCAACTCGCTCAAGAGTCAGCCGATCTGGGTATCAAACTGTTTGTTCTTGACGATGGCTGGTTCGGCGATAAATACCCTCGTACATCTGATACTGAGGGCCTTGGTGACTGGGTACCCAACCCTCAAAGATTCCCCGAAGGGCTAGCGCATGCCGTGAACAGTATCACGGAGCTCAAGGCTGCTAACAAATCAACTGGTATGCGCTTTGGCATCTGGATGGAGCCCGAAATGGTCAATCCTAACTCCAGTCTATACCGTGAGCACCCGAACTGGGCACTACATGCCGGATCCTATCCACGCACAGAGCGCCGGAACCAGTTGGTGTTGAATGTTGCTCTACCAGAAGTGCAGGACTTCATCATCAACTCTGTATCGAATATTCTGAACAGTGCCAATATTTCTTATGTGAAATGGGATAACAACAGAGGAATCCATGAGATGCCATCGCCATCAACCGACCACTCATACATGCTAGGCCTGTACCGAGTTTTCAGCAATCTTACAACTCAATTCCCAGATGTACTGTGGGAGGGCTGTGCTTCTGGCGGCGGTCGCTTTGATCCGGGTATACTACAATATTTTCCTCAAATCTGGACTTCCGATGACACCGATGCAATCGAACGTATAACAATCCAGATGGGTACGTCGCTTGCTTACCCACCCAGCGCAATGGGTGCACATCTGTCTGCAGTTCCAAATCAGCAGACGGGACGAACCCTACCCGTTGATTTCCGTGGCCACGTCGCCATGATGGGTGGCTCATTCGGTTTAGAGCTCGATCCAGCAACTATACCCGAGGATGACAAGGCCGCTCTCCCTGGTCTGATTGCACTTGCAGAAAAGGTGAATCCAATTATCCTGAAGGGTGATATGTATCGTCTCAGTCTACCCGAAGACTCGGACTGGCCTGCTGTTCAATTCATATCTGAAGATGGTATCCAGGCGGTATTGTTCTACTTTCAACTGAATCCTAGAATCAACCATGCCATTCCTTGTATTAAGATGCAGGGACTAGACTCACAGGCTATGTATAGTGTGGATAGAAATGTCACATACTCCGGTTCCACTTTGATGAATATTGGACTCCAGTTTCCGTTTGACACAGAATATGGCAGCAAGGTTGTTTTCTTCGAGAAACAACAATGATACCAAGTATCCCCCAGGGCTGATGAGCATTTATACATTTATATTTAAGGTCACATTAAAGATACGATGATTGACATCTGCCCAGGTGGATGCTCGGGATTAAAAAATGCCAGGACTGCTCAACCTTGAAATTCTATAATATTGCTTGTAGAAATGAAAATGCCAATATATACATGCAATAAACCCAGATCGAAACTCGGAAATGCAACGCAATGAAAAGAAAAAAACAAATAAGATATATGACCGGCATCTAGATTGGTCACGACCAGCGTAACCCCTCATGAAAAAGACATCAACTCTTGTAAATTGTCAGAATCCCATCACAAACGATTGGAAACCAAACTTTTGAGCCTGACTGGAGGGATGCCTGATTCCTCCATAGAACCCAGGTTCACAATCTTTCACAATGAACCAGATCCCTAGAACAGTATGGGGATCCCGGCGGCCTTCTCAGCTACTCTGAGGGCATTCAAATCCCCTTCGAGCCTGTGAGCCCAGAGCTCCTTTGCTTTTCCGGTGAATGTCTGATAGCGATGATAATCGTAATAGTATGTCTTTTGAAGGGCCATAATATCGGAAGGAACCTCTTTGAGAAGAATAGATCGAGGATCAGGGAAGCGTGAGGCTGCGGCAGGACTGGCAGAGGCAGAGGCAGAAGCAGATGTGATCACTGTGGGAGTGACTGACGTCAAGGATACTGAGGGTGTAGGCGTAGCAGAAGCACGAGGAGCATGCGGGAGAGCGATGGCACTGCCGGCAAGGCCGAGTGTGAGGATGGTCATGAAATGCATGTTGGGTAGAGCAAGAGTCAAATATTGCTTTTTTGCCTGTGACTATATGTTGATAGAGAATTTGGTTTGAATTGTTGCTTTATTCGATAGACTTGTAACTTAGGTTTGTGGAAGTGACTTGGAGATCTGGAGGATGAGGATAGTTCAAGCCGGGAATTCAGAACATCTTTATACATGCTAATGTCGCCACAACGCTCAATAGAAACCTATGGTGAAATCAAAAAGAAACTCGAATGTATGAGAACAAGAAACCTTCCTGAATAGGTCAATCAACTTCGATCTTCAAACTTGGAACAATGCCTCCTGTCGATCATTCTTCATGAGCAAAATCACACTTGAGCCTACATATGCGTATCACTTGAAAAAGTCTCCACAAGGCAAACATGAACACATGGAAAGATTCGAAACCTCATTGGACGCGTGCTAAAATCTCAATAACCTGCAGACATGAGCTCAAACACGCGATTTGCCATGGGGCCCAATCTTGATATTGGCCCCCAGATTAGTGTGGATCTTCACTCTCAAGCATCTTACAATAGTATTTCTCTCTCTTCATTTCTCTCGAATACTCATGATTTCATCGAAATTTCTCAAATATTAGATGTCAAGCGACAAGCGATGAATTTTCTTCTGTGCTAAGCTTATGGTTCCTGTGAGCCAAGAAGGCGTTACAAACTCAATGCCTATTTCTCGGCCCGCCCCTTTGGCCCCAGTGCCACCGAACTCTACAATCGCCACCCGGAGTCGCAACTGTGGGCGCCCGCGCTTCCCGGGAACTCTGAAAACAGTAATCCTTTGATACATTTCCTCGCTCACAATGTATTGATCACCAATCATCGATATCGAATTTGGACATTTTACTGGAGATTTACGACATCTTAGTCGCTGCTTGGGGCCATGTTTCGGAATTTGATCACCATGCAGGCACGCGGGGCCGGAATGCCGAAACCTCAAGACAGGCAACTCCAACTAGGTAATGGTACTTGATCCACTTAATATGGGGTTTCCTCAAAGAGATTCCTCGAAACAATCCTGCTCTGGGAGTAGTAAGCTTCAAATGTTCAACGAGGTTGGCGGCTTTGTGTTTATCGTACTAAGTGATGAAATTGCACCCATGGAACTGGAGAATATATTCTCATCCACTGGCAGCCCTGTAGATGTCTTATCCAATGCCGAGGCCGCCGAGATTCAAGTTCTTCAAGTGCAAATTTATGTATTGTCTTCCAAGGTTTCCTTATTCATTGCCATATTTACAAGAATCTACAGATTGCCTGAAAATTACCAGCCCCCTCCAGGCCATGGCCCTTTAAAATATTTCACCCTCACTTTGTCGTGGCTTTCACCACAGCGCTAATGCTACGAGCGACGTAGTCGATGTTGAAGTTGTTGAGCCCACTATGAAAAAACGTCAGCTAGGATAATTTCTCAAATGGCTCTCATAAAACATACGCAATGGAGATTCTTGAAGAGTCTTGGAGGTAAACATGGTACTCGTCTCGGAGCAAAGTGACCTGCTCAACTGACAAGCCGATGTACCTAAAAAAGGTCAGAATAGGATTCCCGATCGCTCAGGTTGGTTAAGTTGCAGTGAGTACTCACGAGAACATTCCGTTTTGTTCAGTGATATGATTCCAATTACCCGGTGTTTCCAGCTTCTCTAATCCTTCTCTCAATCTCAGTCGACGCTGTTTGAGTCGATTCGCCATATCACGCACTTCCTCCCTCCATTGCGCCTTCAAAGCCTCATCCGAGAGCACTGTTTCCACGATCTTAGAACCAAAGTCAGGCGGAGCCCCAGACTCAGCTCGAGCTAAGAGCTTCATCTGCACCTCTAATTTCTTTGCGGTGTCTTCATTGGCAGTAAGAACAGAAAGAAGGCCGACTCGCTCGCTGTACAGTCCGAAGCATTTACCATAAGTCGATACAAAAACAAAGGGGAATCTCCAATTCGGCGAACAACCGAACACCCTGAAGGTCAGTGTCGATATCGCCTGAGGCAAATCCTGGGTATGCCGCATCGAAGAATGCTAGGTGACCACGCTGGGAAAAGATCGTCGCTAGTTCGCGCCACTGTTGCGGCGATGGATCACTTCCCGTTGGGTTTTGGGCATTGGACTGAATCAGGATAACGGACTGGGCGGGCAGTTCTCTGAGAGTTGCTGTGAAAGCTTCGAAGTCGAACGAGTTTGTCTTGTGGTTAAAGTAAGGAATGATAGTGGGCTTGATTCCTGCAGACTTGAACAGGAAGGGATGATTCACTGGGAGCTGGTCAGAACATGGAACTACTGAACTTGTGAGAATTGGGAACTTACACCATGTGTCGTCAGGGATAAAAATCTCTGGCTTCCCGGATCTCTTCCATGGCTCATAGTGGTCTCTCAACAAGACTGCGCCGGCGTGGCATCCGCCGCTTGCACCGAGTGTTTGTGTTGAAACAATTCTGAGAAAGTTAGTCATTTCTTGAGTCATTTTTGGAGCTCTTTCAATTGGTCTCAATTTACCTTTTTCTCGCAAAAGGCGATGGTCAGGTCCAAAGAACAGCTGGGCACTCAAGTCCCTGTAAGTCTGGGAACCCAAGGCGGATGGTCGATACTCGTGATGCCAGTCGTGATCATTGAAGATTCGTGATTTTGCCTATTTCATTCCAGGTTTTAGTCTTTCATGTGTCAATTTGATGTTTGCTAGGAAGCCATTCATACCTCCAGTACACTGGGAAGTACATATGCTTTCCCTTCATCTGTCTTGTATACACCAACAAGAAGATCGGCTCTGTTCAGATCGTTGTCCTTACGAAACTGGGTAAGGAGGGTGTCCAGGCCATCTAATCACACATTCTTAGCTCTCTCTCCCATCAGGAAACTAAATGATTCAATTGCACTGTTACCTGTACGGGCTTCTGGGATATCTTGGAAAGGGTTTGCTGTTATGCTACCCATTGTGAATAAGACACAGTTTATTGAAGATTATTATGTTTTTCAAAATGAATTGAGGAGCTAGGAAGGCCACGTCAAGACTATTTATCATTGCGGGGAACGGCATTTGGTGTGATTAATATCCCCCCAGTAGCACGCCACCAAAAAGGTGCTATCGCTGTCGCAATCTTGGTCATCAATTGTAGGCGGGTAATTCTCCGCTTTGATTCCTTTAAAGCTGACAAACTATACACGTGCAAGGCATTCTGGGTCCGGAATCGGAGGTAATAAACATGCATGGAGAATTCATCAAGCGCTGTCCCCCAGGGGAATCGATAATCAATTTTATTCCCAGTATCCGGAAGTTTTCACCAATTCCGCCTCTTAAACTACGAGATAAGAGATAACCGATAACCGATAGGTCGACAGAGATAAGATAAGATTTATGAATAGTGCAAATGGTGCAAACATACACTTTTATGCATGTACATTATCTCAGCAGGTTATGCAGCCACCTGGGCAATCATGTTGGCACTGCAAAATAGTATGTAGTCGAGATTGCAAATTAAACCTGACACTGATGGAATATTAATGACAGATGACGCTCTCAATTTGTACTAGTTACGATGCCAGTAGCACCTGAGTTGAATAAGTAGGCGAGTCAGTGCCTAACATTCTAAGGATTTAGTGGTATGAGTTTGATTTCTCAATGAGAACAACATACACGTTGGCAAGTCATGGTCTTAGTATAACATTCATATTTCAAACATCATGATACAGATTAAGCTAGTCCAAGGTTGGCTAATCATAATTTCGTATAACCCGCCGTCGTGAAAAAAACAAGACTGCTATCAAAGCGTCGAATCATCAATTCCCCTTAACTCGCATGTCAATACAGTGAAAATCCTTCAAAGCAGTGGTAACAATAATGAACTTGCAAAAATATCATATCAATTCTCCTCCATACTTCACACTAATTCCACGTGTCGGGACCGAAGTATCCCTTCGCAGGCAATTCGGTAATCAAAGCCTGCTGGCCAATACCACCGTCGATCGTCGCATCAAGCACGTTGTTACCCCACCAGCTGATTGACTGTGGATGATACTGTACAGCAAAGAAGATGATAATACCGGAGAATGCGACACCACCAGTAAGACCCGCTGCGAGGACATAGTTGTACTTTTCCCACCATGCAGTCTTGTACCTCCTCAGGTAGTACATGAAAATACCAGAGAGGTAGAGGCCACCCGTGAAATAGGTGAGGTTGATGGGGGCCCACCACAAGAAACCGTTGAAGACGAGTGATGGATGGACGTGCTTGAGCCACGAAATTGGTGTGAAGATCACGGCATTGAGCGGCTTGAAAATACCCTCAGGCAATGTTGACTTGGCCGCATCCCGGACCTTCGATCCGAATCGCTTACCGACCCACCAAACGATCGCAAGAAGGAATCCAAGCAGGAAACACCATTTCATAGCTGGGTAGAACTCGTTGAAGATTCTCTTTGGACCGATAGCACCCTAGAGTAAAGTTAGCTCCATGACCTGGCTTAGGAGAAATAAATAATATCTTACCCAGATAACCGATGATGAGTAGTAAACTTCGGAGCCATCTTCACAGTTGAATTCAGAAGCCTGGTCTGAGGTACAGATGCCTGAGATATCGTTATCGACCCATTGCACAACACCGTAGGCGACCAGGGCAGTAATGATTGCGCTCATCACTTGACCACGGTACATGGCTCGAGGAGGGATCTTGGCATAGAAACCCATCTTCTGGTCAGAAATGTAGCTATCCGCTTGACCGTTGATGTTGTATCCGAAAGCCTTCACGAACATCAGTGCCTCCGGGTGTCCAGGCAGAGCATATCCAATGATGAGCTCTGTAACGACGTTCAAACCCTCCGTTGTACCCGAGATTGCGTAGAGGTACGACATCGGGATCAGGAATACCAAGTTGAGACCGATGACAAAAAAGATAGTCCAGACAGGCGTCCCAAGCTCAGTCCAGTTAGTTGTAATAATGATGGCAAAAATGAAAGCGATCAGAGCGATAATTAAGAACCACCAATCAGGAACCTCGGGATAATTGCGCATCAACTTAGTAAATGGGTCATCAAAACCATCATAAATCGAGGTGCCATCATTCATGACATTGGACAAATGTTGACCTGCTTCGCGCACATTTCCCTTGGCAAGGGATTTTGTTGCGTTTTTAATACCGATAATAGTGCCTCTAATGGATGAAACAGCAGCATTTGCTGAGGACTTGTAAGCTTTGAGAAGGGGTCTCCATGAATCCAGAAGTATGAAAACCATGGTGAGTGGGTAGAAAGCAAAGAATGCTCCATACAACAATAGGTTTCCCGCGCTGTAGAACGCAGGAGAGTATGCCTGGTAAGCTGATTCATTGAGAGTTCCAGTAGCGCCATTGATTACTCTTGTGATGTTATAGGAGGCACCAGTGTTGTCGAAGATACCAGACGAATTTGGTGGGAGATAAGCTGACCAGTTGGTGTTAGACCAGTACAATGCGACGATGATGAGACCACCCAAAAATGTGCCAAAATATTGCTGGCTGTATGAAAAGAAGGGGTAGGTAAGTGGGTATGAGTACACAGCAATGACATTCCAATCGAATGATGAAATGGGATTAAATCCAAGGCCGTTCATAGAGCCCGTGATCATGTTCAGGTTGAAGTTGTTTGGTGCGATCCAGGTCATCCATCCGAAGTAGCTCAGAGCTTGGAAAATGAAGTCCGGGAACCAGAAGTAGACGAACATGGAGCCAAAGACGATGAAGAAAAATTTATACCGCGAGATAGTCCAACCGTGAATGGAATCCTTCTTTTTGGGGACCAGCAGCGCTCTATTCAGGGCCAAAGTGGGCAAGATGTTGGGCCAAATAGCTTCCATTGGGTAAACCACGAAGCGGCGAAGCAGTCCGGAAAACCCGAGTCCCATAAGCTGGGTTGACAGCAAGAGTAGAATTTCGTATCCCGGAGTAAGCCATGTGTCCTGATAGTAGACAGTCTGGGTCTGAATGTTCCAGAAGCAATAGGCAGAAGTCAGACCAACATCGATGATGATAGTAGAAAGCACCTGTTCTTTGTACGACCAGGGACCAGGATTGAGAGAAACTCTCTTGCCACCCAACATAAAACCCCAGTCCGGAAGAATCTTTTCACAGATTAGACCACATGGATAAAGCAGGATTTGCGCGACAGCAGATGACAGCGTAATAGTAGGATAGCGAGAGTTGAAAAGGGAGTTGGTGAATTGAGCAATAACGGCCCACATATAGCCGAGGAGGTGAGCACGGATGGTCTCGCAAGGAATGTCTGGATCATCTGTAGGCGTGGAAACGGCTCGCACCTCAGGGTATGGCGAGTAAAAGTGGTTCAACGCAGTCTCAGTCTTCAGCTGCAGTTCCCATTCCTCGGCATCTTGCCCTTCAGAAGGTCCCTCGAGCAGGCGAGAAAGCTTCTCCCGCAAGGCAGTACCGAAGTTGTAGTCATACTCATGGTCCTTGAGGAGCTTTTTGATGATATCTTTGCACTCTTCCACTGACAAAGTGGTAATCTTGTCCATCACGTACTCGATGTCTTCAATTGGTGCCGTTTCATCACCACCAGCCACGAGTTTCTCCGATAGATCGTGGACCTTTTCATCGACATCGTCCACAGTGACTGGCATGATGTTCTTCTCGCCAACTGCTTCAATCGGCGAGTCACGATCCGAGTCATGCTCCATTTTCTCGACGGACGACATTGCCGAGGTGGGGTTACCCTCCCAATTAGGGAAAGTAACTGTCTAGCGGAGGTTGAAGGTAATGGAGGATTATGTACCAATACTTGCAATGGTGCAAGAATGGTCTACCTCGATGGGTTATCTCCGGGCTTGGGAGAAAGTAGAAGTCGCATGGAAAGAAAGGAGGGGAAGGAAGGCTAAAGAACGTAGCGGACATGGTCAATTTATAGACTATATCGCGGCAGCTTTGCCCGGCTATTAGTACTCGCATTTGGCGTGGGATTATAGGTACCGGGGCTAGTAGATTGCAGCCCTTCCCTAAAGTATGCATGAATGAAAGTAAGTTTGATAAGGAGATTAATCATTATCCTATCAACGGACTTTCTTCCACACCATCGTTGCGCCACCAAAATTATCAGACCGTGTACCATCGCAAGGCTAGCTTTCTTTCAGGTGTTAGCCTCTGGAGCGCGGCACGCGCTCGCTGGGTTAAACTCAAGCCCTGGAGCTAACATGCAGGCGCTGTTCCTGAGGCCATATCTCGATGAGCATCTTCTGAAAATCCCAACATTTTGAAGCAAGGCACATCTGATACCTTCTTGGATGTGAGTGTACTAAGTGCTTGCGAGAATTAATCCGGTGAGTGGCAAAGAGGCAAATGCAATATTGAAGTTGAGCCGTACCAAACATCAATTGATTGAATGATAACGACATCCTTCAAGGTACTGAGAACCTGGGCATCTTGAGCCTAGTACAAGCCTCTTAAGCCTAGTGCAAGTTCAATGCCCAAGCGAGGGTAGTGTGCATTTGCTAAACCTGATTGTGCAATCAGCTGCCAGTGGCTTCGGTTGTTTACGGCTACCTGCATCGCTCTGTTCTCTACAATTCTCCGACTCTTATATTCTTGATATCTATCCTTCACACTGCTTTAACATTCCAAGTTTTATAGATGGTTGAGTCACTTCAAGATAAGTATAACTGAGCATTTGACCCGTGGACGTTTTAATGAGTGTATTTTTCGGTAACGTTATGAAATCCTGCACTAGTTCAAATTCACATCAGACTTGAAATTCACGCCATATTCCAACTTGAAGGTCCATTCTAACGAAATGAAATCGAAGGATTTGATATTGGCTCCAGAGTTATCTACGCGGTTGTTAAGATATTGTTTTGGTTTAGAAAGTCTGATTTACTATATGCCAGTATTTTAGGGTGGCCCCTTCGGTAGTGAACTTCGGTAGGCCGTCGGGTCTCCGCTGTGGCGGCACTCACGGACTGTCCAGATGTGTGGGGTACGTATGCCTTGCACAATCGTAGGTTTATGAACCGGCAAAGAGCGTGCTAATCATCCAATCAACTGATTTCGTCTTATCGACCTTGATGCTTGATAAAGGTCTCCAGTCGGATCTCCAGGGACATTCCGAGATGAACTATTAATCATGCCTCCGGAAGTTACCGGTAATAAATTGATTTTATATCTTATATCCATGGGTTACCGTGACTTAGCTATTGCAGGGGAATTTGATGAGGATTAAAAAGTGCGCTTAAGGATAGAAAAGAAGGAGGCGAGCTGGGACATCTGGAGATGATATCAACAACTCCGGTGGGCTAGCGGTCCCAAGTTCTAACACTGAGCTAGCCCTTAATCTCCACACCCGCCCGCCCGCGTTATCCACGTTAAATCCACTGGCTACAACTGCCTAAAAGAGGTCCAAATTTCCTATTCAGATCCATCTAGCACTTCTGTAAATACGAGATATCAAGAAAAAATTGACCATGTGCTATATTAGTACCTGGAAAAACTAGCCATATTGAGGGGTAAATGGTAGGCACATGATAGGGCTTATAGGCCCAAACACCTTAGAGATTCTCCAGGTCCACGGGTCGGAAAATCAGCCATTTGTATCTTAGGTTTAGTTGATCTAGTGGTCCAACATTTTAAGTCGACCAATCGCGTCCAGAGTCCCTAGTTTGGATGGCCTGACACGTAGTAGACATTGCTTGGTGGGATATATCGATTGATTAAAAAAGGTACTTTGGAAAATTGTCAGTCTAACTTAACAAAGGAAAGGTTCAAGTAGGGTAAAAAAATAGGGAAAAAGTTTTAGAAAATTCCCTGCAACTCTGAACACGTGGAACATTTGAACTTTAGGTAAGAGTCGTCAAATGGGCGAAATATTTCGTGCAAAAAACGTGATACCCAAAAGAACTGTATACACCTAGGCTAAAAGGTCTGCAGAAAATCAAGTTTTGGACATCGGTGAAACTAAACGCGCCTTAACCTAACAAGCGGTCACACAGCTGCACCGAAGCACAGGAAGAGACATCTGGAGGCCCAGTCGGCGATAGCGAGGTCTGGGGGATAGCGAGGTCTGGAGGGGAGGAAGGTCTAAAAAAAGCTAGCCGAGGGGCAAAGAGCTCGTAAGCCAATGAGAATGTAAAGATGCGCTTAGAGAGATAAAAGAAGTGCGAGCTAAGGGGTGATATCAACAACATTTGAACTACTAGACCACAGATCCCAAGTTCTAACACGAAGTTATACAGTAAACGTTCAAATGTCGCCTTCTTTGCGCTGGAAGTCTGATAAAAAGCCGAATCTTAACTGAAAAATGTTCGAATTTTGTGGTCAGCTATGTGGCGCCCACTATATTGGAGTGCTTCAAGTTGCCGCTCCACATCCTCAGCCGTCTTCAGGACGGATTCTGTTTCTTCCCATAACTCCTGGAATGGTGTATAACAAGCAGCAACGAAGGTAAAAATAGACAACAATGAAAGGGCTTCATCACACGACTTTATATTCAATCGAGCCTGGACAGCGGGAATCTGTGCTCCGAACCACCCGCGCTGCGTACGGCCCGCAGCAGAAGCACCACCAACGAACAATAACCAGAGCAAGAAGCGATCTGGATACCATCTGGCGTCTCTCCTCATATTTTTTTCATTTAGAGCCTGTGACAGACATTCCAATAAGTAGTCAAATATCCGGCTACTGAGCGGCAACTCTCGTAGAAAGAGGCAAAGGAAAATATATCCCACGATCGTGTAGGCTCTCAATGGAATGTTGTCTATCCCGGTTTGGAAGAATCCGCCCGCCATCATGCGATGCATGCTTAGCCCCAGTGCATTCAGCCTTTGTAACCACTCAGATTTGGGCATGACCTCGGAGCTTGGCGTCATATCGAGTGACAGACATTTGAGGTCGTGGAACATTGTTGTCAAGGTCGAATGAGTATCTTGAGGAATTAAACCCAATAGATCGCTCATTGGTGACTCTTCAATTGTGTGTTGTGCCAATGGGAAATTTCGGCCTGCAAATCGAGCTCTAGATCTCACCTAGTCAGCTCAAGAAGAGGTATGTATCCCAGGCTGTCAGCTGGGTAGGAGTAATTATCTGAAGGCTATCTCATACAAGTTGATCAATCCAGTCTCGAAGATGTTAGCAGCTGACTGTGGGAAATTGCATCGTCTTTGGATTATCGTGTCAAGGGCAACCAAATGTCTGCGCCCAGTGGCCATAAACCCGGTAAAGTTCTGGTCTTGTAAGCGTCGGCCGGAACCACTGGCAACAGTAAGAGCGGGACTCAAACCTCTAGAATTGATAGGGTGGCAATAGCAACTAGCGCATCGCCAGAAATATTTACGGGGTCTCTAGCATCTTGCAGAAATTTTTGTATCGTCCGAATAGCCTCAACTTTGTGATGTTAAAAGACAGTGATGAGATGTGGAGTCGGTCCACTTGTACATATTCTGTTCACAGCCATCACGCTGAGCACTGAATTCAAGACGGCGGGACCAGATACCATGTATGGTAGGCAATTAGTTCTGAGGTTTTGACCACGCTTCCAAGAAAAGTTGAGTATGTAAGAATAGACATCTCTCACTAGAACCAGGTCAGGATATATAGTTGTTCGTGCCAGTGGAGGGTGGAATAACTTCACACGCAACATACGATAATCAAAGAGCAGAGTGGATCCCTCGATACAATTTACGGGTAGTCCTGTATTCAAGGGGTTAATAATTCTTCATTGTCGGGTCGGATTCAAATTGGGAGAAGGAAGAGACGGTAGGTACCTTGCAGGGCAGGTTGTATCTGATATGTCCGGTCCATCATCCACATCTGGGATAAGGCCCTGGCTGCTCTACCACATCTAACGCATACTACATGAGGTCTTAGCGCGGAAGTCCATTGGAGTTGAGCCGATAGATAGTTCGGTGCTGATTTGTTGAGACGCCATGCTGCTTGCTGCTGCGGGGCGGAGGGAGGTTTCTCAAGCGCTTGGGTATCTTTGACATGTTTCATGACATGCGACCGAATCCTGGACCTCGTGGATGTGCTCTTGGAGTTCTCAGCAGATACAAACTCAAAATTCCTAACATTATCTGGTTTGAAGACAAACTGCGTAGCCCCTGCAATATATTCATTATTTCAGTATCCCTACGACTGGAGAATAATTTCAAGTTGAACTGAAGTACGTACCGGTCGGGGGTAGAACTTGATTCTTTTGACATAAGCAGTCCATTAATCAGACTTCTTGAGAATATTCAGGTTCCTTTCACAAAAAGACGCCCGCTGTTGAGATTTCGAGATGATCAGAGCGGGGTTCACGGGTACGGATCTCGTCAGATATAAGCATTCTTGGGCGTCTGAGCTTGAACAAATCAGGAAATGGACCCCTCGGTACGGCATTGGTGCGGCTCATACCACTTCTCCCTCTTCTTCTTCTTTCTCTTCACAACACACAAAATATCATCTGATTTATCTTTCTATCCGTTTGTCCATCCCTCCTTGTATGCAGCAAGCTGGGACTGCTTATTCTTCATTCTTTCCTCGCTTCCTCCGCTCCACTTCAGCCAGCTTTAGGTATTGACGACTATCTGACTCAGTCAAGCGTGGTAATAATACAGGGAACATCATTTGATGGTGATAAGTCTGAAACGAGCTCTGTATTATTGGAATTCGCAAGATAATATTAACTAACAGCACAGAATATCGCGTGCTATGGCCCTGAAAAGTGAGTTTAAGACTTTCCATGGCTCTCGGCAAAGTCAATCGCACAATCAGCTACCTCTTTCCAACCGTCTTGGTTGACGATTCCGTGAGTTCGCCCCTCAAATATCTTCAACTCCACAATCGCCGTAACTTCCGCCGCAACATAGGCATCATATTCCTTCTGCACAGTATGCCTCGGTACAACGTGATCATTGGTTCCCGCTATCAACAACAGTGGAGCGCGATCCGCCTTGTCGAAGTCAACATGCCCAGGGCCTGATTTCTTCAACATACCCGCTACACCCTGCCACAATACATGCGCCACACTGGGAATTGCATATCGCGAATAAAGAACGTCACTCTGCTCCCTCGTCAAGTGGTTACCAAAGCAGAAGTGAAACTGCTCTGCGGTGAATGGCACAGCGGAATGAGCATGTAAAGGATTTGAAAGAACTGGTCCAGTGGCTTTGAGGACATTGACAGACAGATCGAAGATTCCTGCTGGCTGCGCAGGGCTGACACCAATTCCCGCGCACCCGTAGCCACGAGAGAGAAGAATCTGAGTGAACAGGCCACCGAAACTATGCCCAATTATAATAGGCGGAGTCTTTAGGGTTGAAATAATTGATGCATAATGATCCACGATGGATTCGATTGATTGGTCGGCAATGGGTTTCGAATCAGCGCGAATCTCTTCTGGAGTGCGATTATCGATGCCTGGCCAGCCTGGGGCGAGAACTTTGTAGCCTTTTGCCTCGAAATATGCAATCCAGTATTCCCAGCAAAGTGGAGTCATCCAGAGGCCATGGATGAGCACGATGGATGGCTTGGGGATAGAGGATGCCTCATCAACTGGGCCAGCCTCTTGCTGATCCGCCATTTTGCTGAGATCAAGATATCAACTAAAAGTCCAAAGAAATTATTTGTGGAAGAGATTCAAGTTGGAAAGAATTAGTGGTTGAAGAGATGGATAATTATTGGGGAATTTTTGAGTTTTTAAGAGTCATCTATCTCGTTTTAGTAAACCCAAGAACTAACAGTGGTCAAAAATAAATGAATATGGCGGGGTTTTTACGCGATGTCCCATGCGTTACTCCTCTCTCTGTCTGACATGCAGATGGCAAGTACCCGATGGAAGTAGATTTTACTCACTTGACACGAACCTGTCAAGTAATTCATTAAAACTTACATGCTTTAGGCAGCTAGACGAGCCGCTTTGACCATATTTCTCACACACATCCAGTTATCCTTCCGTGATACCACGAAGTATACACATGTGCATGTTCAAGTCTCAAGGTTTCAACCTTAATTAACCTTGCCCCAGAATAAATTTCCCATTCAAGACAAGGTATCCAGTAGCCAATATAACATAGGAAGGATAAATAGCGGGCCCAAAAGTGCGAGATACTAATGCGTGCTCAAAGTTTATTTTCAAGGTAAAAATGAAACTGGTATCTATGCTTGTAGTGTCTGCATCACGGCGCATGTCCCAGGTTTGGTAGTTGTCTCAATTAAATTTAGATCCAGATCTCATGCAGTAAGATAGCAATAAGCGGAGCTCGCGGAGCTCGAAGTCCGAAAAACTCGAACCTTCAAGTGTTGTCAGCAGCTATACTACTTTAGGTCAATGATTGGCCCTAATTTGGAATAGTGTCTTTTATGCAGCTTATCCTCATGATTCATGAACATTTAAATACGAGACAAATCTTGAGGAGGCCAATGAGCGACTCCTCCACAGATCATTATTCATGCATAAAGACACCTGAACTCTAATGAAAACCCATAACCCCTCTTCCAATGAAATCACTTTTCATATGCATATATTTGCCCGATTTGAATCCCTGCAATCACACCACCATGTAACCGCCTCTTTTTTAGTGGATGTGGGTATTTTTCCATGCTTGAGGCCTCAGAGAAAAAGCCCAAAGTCAGCACTAGAGATGTAGACAATGACAGAAAAGGTAGCAAGTCGCAGTCTTGTTCCGGGTGGCTGTAAAGGATGCCATCTTCTGTATGACAATATTCTGATGACGCAATGACTTCCAAAAAGCTGTTTGCTCTCAGCGTCAGCCATTTTGGTCAATTTTATATCGATCCAGCACCCGCCCTTGCAAGACGCTCAAGAAGGTAAGGAATGGTGAGTCAGGTCCCAGTCCTTTCGTTTCCACGGCGCAAAATGTAGATTTCCTCACCGATCAAACGGAGCGCACAGGAAAAGCTTGTCTGTGAATAGCTCGTAAATAAGTCCTTACCCCGGAAGACTAACCAGTTTAGGTCAGCGTTTGACTCAGATCAGGATAAGTGCGGTTACCATAAGCTTGCGAAAACTACTTAATTCTAGTCTCACGATATTTTTCTCTCGCCTAGAGATATGCAGAGCGAAATTTGGAATTATTTCGTGGCGTGAAGGGCTTATGCACTGGGAGCTTCCAACCCGAAGTTGTGACCAATCGTCATTCTGTGGAATCAAATGTCTGTAGGTGATTTTGGTCTGGTGTCCGACCATTTCCATCAATGAAACATTAAATGAAGGAGTAGTCACAAACATTGAGATAGTGATCCTTACTCCAATGGTTGGTCTCTCACAACTAATTTCACCCCCAGGAGATGTTGGCTTATTCCTGAAGGGCACATGACTGTACGTAGGCTCCATGAATTATAAATAAAGCCAGCTTGGACGACCGGCTTTCACTCATATTCCCATCTTCTATTCACAAACAAGTCATTGAATCTGAGGTCGTCGAGACTGAACTATTCCTTCAATAATGACTGAAACTTCAATCGGTGTTTACCTCTTCTCTCGTCTCCGGCAGCTGGGAATCAAAAGCATCTCCGGTGTTCCTGGTGGTAAGGACGAGAGTCCTATACGTTCCACTTAAATCTCGCTAACCAGCTTTCCTTGATAGATTATGAGCTCGTTTTGCTGGATATGATTCCTGAGGCGGGATTGACCTGGCATGGCAATGCAAACGAACTTATCGCAGGCTATGCTGTAGGAATTGTTCCTTTCATCCTGCACTAAAATTGCTAACTTGTCGCTAGGCCGACGGCTATGCCCGTGTTCAAGGTGCTGCCGCCTTTGTAACCACATATGGCCCTGGTGAACTATCAGCGTACTGTGCAATGGCTGGTCAATACGCGGAATATGTAAGCATATGACATCCATGTGGATGATCATTGGAGATATGAGGAATTGCCTTGACAATCAAAACAATAGGTCCCTGTGGTTCATGTTGTTGGTTACCCGTCCACCCTAGCCATGAATGCAAAGAAGATCATGCACCACAGTCTTGGAGATGGTAACTTCGGGTAGGTCGGGATCAAACATACTCGATCCTAGTTGTTGACGAGTCTATGCAGAATGTACCAGAAAATGATTGAACACATTACCGTTGCTAACACCGTGCTCACGGACGTTAAATCTGCTGCATCAGAAATTGACCGTGTCCTCAATGGTGTGTCCTTCCCTCTTGTCGATGACATTCTCCAAATGATTTCTTCTGACAATATTCTTTAGCTATGCTTTATCATTCAAGACCAGTGTAGGCTCCGATGGACATCATCCTGTGTCGGGCAAATTGCTGACATGCCACAGCTACATTGGTGTTCCCGTCGATATCGGTCCTCAAATGGTATGCAGTGATCTGTTAGAGTCATCCCTGCAAATTACACTACCAGAGAACGATCCCGAGCTGGAATCCAAAGCTATTGAGGAGATCATCTGTCTTCTTCAATCTTCCCAGCAACCGGTTATACTTATTGATGGAGGTATGTGCCAGATGACATTTAGTCACAGAAGTCTTACTGACACGGTCTAGGGGCTATCCGTCATGGTCTTGTCGAGGAAAGCAAAGTGCTGGTTGAACAGCTCAAAATCCCATACTTTGGCACTGCGATGTCAAAGGGGTTTCCCGAAACAATTGGAGGTAGATTTGGTGGTATATACGGTGGTGGTGCATCCACTGAGGGCACCAAACACGGCGTCGAACAGAGTGATCTTGTCATCATAATCGGGCACTATCCGGTATGTTCATCTTAATTTCTGTCGCTGGATTATTCAGACTAAACTCAGAACCCGAAGAGCGATTTCAACACGTAAGTGCTCAAAATTCCACTCCCAGGTTTGTGGGTAAAATCTCAACTCTAACACAGGGGCGAGTTCACCACCAAACTGCCTGGAGGCAATGTCATCGACTTTCAGCGTATGGAGCTCACCATCACCGGAAGTCAATATGAACTTGCAGCAAAACATGTGCGTATATCCTCCCATCTCATCGCATCTGATACTAAACCGCCATATCAGCTTCTCCCTCGGCTGATCCAGGAGCTTTCCGATCTTGATTCAGTCGTTGCTGAAAGAAGTGTTTCTTGGGACCCATATCCCAACGATTCAACCCCAAAACCCGATAAGTTGACACAGGATTATCTTTGGGCGGTCAGTCTACCTCTTTCAAATTCAGTTCTGAGACTAATCCAACTGGTTTAGCAACTTGGTAAATACTTCCGACCGGGTGATTTTGTCATCGCAGAAACCGGAACCTCCAGCTTTGGCATCCCTGCGTCGAACTTGACGAACGTAAATGACGTTCGTATGTTCAACCAGACCGTATTTGGCAGCATCGGCTACGCGACCGGAGCCGCACTGGGTGCCTTCATTGCAGGTAAAGAAGACGGATCCATCAAACGCGGTATCCTGGTCACTGGCGAAGGATCACTTCAGTTGACTGTACAGACTTTCTCTGACCTGCTTCGTCACGGACTTAACACTACTATGTATGGAACTTGCCTTCTATCGAATCACACTAAACGCACTTTATTGACCATATACCTTGCATTTCAGATTCCTTCTCAACAACGATGGCTACACAGTCGAGCGTTTGATTCACGGCATGGAGGCATCATATAACCAGGTCCCGAGGTGGGACTACAGCAAGCTCTGTGACACGTTTGGGCCTTCATTCCCGGCCAGATATTACCGAGTCCAAACAGGGGATAATTTGCTTGAGCTTTTTGCGGATGAGCAATTTGTCAAGGCCGACTGTACACAGGTGAGTTCTTCCGAGCGCCAAATCAAGCACTGGTCTATTTGATAGCTAATTTCAATAGGTTGTCGAGCTGATGCTTCATAAGCATGACGCCCCTATGTCTGTCAAGCTGGCGACGAAGGCTGTCGAGGATTTTAACAACAGCAAGGGATGAATTGTTGACTTCCTGATCAGCACTAGCACCTGGATGCCTCCCGACCTGTCATTGCTCAAGTCTTCATGTTCCTAAATACTCCGTTCATTACTTGTCGCTTTCGCAATACAGACCAAGCGATGCCTTTTCGCTTAATGGGAGACTCTTGTGACCAGCAGAAATATTTCATTCAAGAATATTGGCCCATTACATACTACTTACTTTTATGCTGGAATGCTTCGGTGAAAGAGATACAGCCAATCAATCCGACCAACGATCCGATGCCAGCCCCGCCAACGACTCCGCGCCAGCCCCCTAACGTGGCTGCCGATGGCCTCCGTAAAGCAACAGCAAGAGCCCCCATGACCGCTCCCGGCTCACTCCAATTATCAATTGCCAACTGCCCAGTATTATATCGTAGACGCCAACTGCGATCTGCCCATTCAATCCCCTCTCGGCCCCACATCCTGCCGATCATTCCGACTGTTGCTATTCCAGCGCCGATGATGCTTCCAGCACCGGCCGATCGTAGGAGAAGAGGTATGGTAATGGCCCGACGTCTGAATACAGACTCGATCGTACCGCTTATCAAGCCAAGTGCAGTGCCTAGCTGGAAGCCGCGGCTGGCGACATGGGTGGCGAGAATGGTTCGCGCCAAAGGTTGCTCTTCGGCATACTCGGCTGTGGGGTAAAAGTGGGACATCGGGATGAATTGCCAATCAAGAGTGATTTATTGGTATAAGAATCGATATTGTATTGTTTCACAAGGCAAGTCATTGGTTTTATAGGATATCGTTGCTGATACGAGGGTGGCGGGGGAATCCCACCGGAGAATGTTCTGGCCCGACGTCAGCCGTCCATATACGGCTGGCGTCTGGCTTCGGCACGAGGTGCCCTCCAGACTAATTTGAACAAATATGTCTTCAATCGCCATTTCAAGTTCGATTTTCGTTCTAGCTAGTATGCAAGGCGAGCTTCTCAAAGTCATCAAATGAAATGACATCCTTTCGGGACGCTATTTCAAATTCCAATTCGGATCGATATATTTACATAAGAATAGAAAAGAACTTGAAGGCAGTCTTAAGAGCATACCTCACTGCTCATTAGGGCTGCCTGGCCTATTCTCTCAATTCAAATGTTATTATCTCCGAGACTAGCTGAATCCCAGGGCCTCAGCCTTTTACAATGTGCCTAGGTATCAAGTCACTATGTCCTTGCCATAACGCGTGTGGCAGGTTTCTGGGGGATTAAGGGCCAAAGCCTCTGAGAGAGTTCTTCTTTGGTGAGAAATTCAGCGATTGTCTCGTCAAGCTTACAATTCTAAATAGCCACGGTAGATTTCTTTTAGCCATAACCAACATTTGAATTAGATGACTAAAAAGATGGTACATTGAATGGTAGATTAGAGTGTTTCTTATTGAGGTAGACACGCGTTGATGACTTAGCACATAGTGGAGCTTTTCCAATACCAATATCATTCATGATGCAATGATACGTTGTCTGCCACCTGGGCATAGCCCTGGAGGTAATCTAATCTACTACTTGGTTGATATACTCTTGAAATACGGAGTACACTAGTCGAAATACGCTAATTGGCCTCCCCGGGACGGACGGATGCGCCCTTGCAGGAAGTCTGTTTTTAGAGCTCAACACACTGTTTGAGCTTCAAACTTATGAGATCATCCGTGGGGGCCAAATGTATCACTTGAAAGATGCGCCAAGTTCAAATCGCGTAATTACATGTGAAATTTGGGGGCCACACTAATGTCAGTTGTTCAAATCAAGGCAATGCCCCTGCAGTCCTGAAGCTCGCGCTCGTTCCCAAATTCTTTCATGATCGTCGCGATCTGTGTGATAATGTTATCTTTATTTAGGAGGTAAGGTGCCAATCATCTTTTTTCTTCTTGCTACGGTCGTCATTACCCCGCAGAGCTATATTGGGAGTCCAGCCCCCCTAATTAATACTTATCTCAAAACTCGCCCCACTCCCAAATAACCTTAGGATGCTTTTTTGACCAAGTACACAAACCAAGGACACCAAAAGCTGGGCCAATCACCATGCCTTCGAAGAGCTTTACCTATTTCTACACCGCGTACACCCTCGCCACCCTCCCGGCATGGCTGGTGGCCGTGACGATTTACAACATCCCAAAATTCCTTCGTCCCAATGCCGCTTGGTCGTACAAAAAGGCATATACCTGCAGTATGTACAATGCGACGCTGAAATATTGGACGACTGTGCAGAAACTTTGGCCAAAGCCATTGGAAGCAGGCCCATTAGGAGATAGATTTATTGATTGTGCTGAACCCCCAAAAGAGCATCACCACAACGACCGAAGAAGGCCAAGAACAAACAGAATCCGAAGTCTACAAAGGTATCACCCACTCAGTTCCAGGAGTTGAGCCCGTACCCGTTGGGGCTATCTGGTTCCCGAAGGTCCCATCTGAGCCCCCACGGCGACTCATCATTCATTTCCACGCGAGTGCCTATGTGATGTTTGGCAGTCGTCCCGGTGAAACTGCTGACGTAGGTATCAGTGAACTCAGCAAAGTGTCCGGATGGCCAGCGCTTTCCATTGAATACCGTTTGTCCCGGGATAAGAAAACCACATTCCCTGCGGCACTCCAGGACGGAATCACTGCCTACGTCTATGCTCTCGAGGTACTCAAAATCCCAGCATCTCGAATCGCATTCGCTGGCGACTCGGCAGGCGGCAACCTCGTCCTGGCACTGCTCCGCTACATCAAGGAGGAGAACCCGGCACTTCCGTTACCTCGCTGTGCGGTTTTGGTATCTCCCTGGGTAGATCTGAGCACTAAATCCATCGAGGATTTGCCCCTGAACCGCAATTACAACACCGACTATATCAAACAGGATTTTCTTGAGTGGGGCCGGAAGGCCTACACACCTGAGGGCTGGGATAGTAATAACTCCTGGATGACTTTTCTTGGAAACGAGACTCGGCTTGGTATCCCGGTCTTTCTCAGTACTGGTACATCGGAAGTCCTTTATGATGATAACTTGAAGTATGTGGAGAACTTGAGGGAGAAGGGTGATGAGGTTGAATTGCTTGAAACTCCTCTCTCATGTCATATGCCTTATCAGCTTGGCAAGGATTGGGGCCAGGAAGAAGATCAGGCTGTTTGCGTGAAGACTATAGCTAAATTTCTCGAGAAAACCGGTGAGTGAGTCCGCAGCTGGGTGCATATACCTCTCCTCCAGAGAGATAGACTTTTCAACTGATGGAGGACTCAATATTATCTACGCAAGTTTGAACACTTGTGCAATACATCTTTACGATTTCAAGTTATACGGAATTCAGGCAACGTTGGAAATTAGTCTTCAAATTGTTCAAGTTGATCCTTGAAGTCACAAACGGTGTCCACCTGGGCACGGGTGTTCATCTCCTAATCCATGACGTAATTGAGGGCTTTATGGATGTCTCCCGAGGTCTCAAATCTCGAGCTTTTTTCTTTGGGGGCTGAGGGAACTTCGTAGTCTTCCAAACATGCCCACAATATCGGCGCGAGTGAAAGGCCAGCGAATGCGAAGATGCGCTCAAACTCGACAACAGGATTGAGAAGAGCGGAAATCCAGCACGTGAATAATCAGATGTGAAATAGTTGTGTTCCGGGTTATGTATTCAGGTGATGAGCCCGGAGGCCCTGAATATAAGAGCGGCAAGGGGAGCTGCCCAAACGAATCAAAAACATACAACAGCATAAGTATGACCGTGGTCACCTAGCGCCCACGATTCAGGCGTGGGCGGCTTGCCGCTCTATTCAGTCCTCTTCAGGGCAATCCGGTCAGATATTCACCCACCTGAATATTCTTCACCTAATGTATCAAGATGTACGTTTTCGCAATTTCAATTTTCACTTTTGTGAGACCCTGATTTTTCTCCTTCTTGCTCTACCATCTCTTTCATCCCTTTCCATAAACACAGCAAGATGCGTACTAAGTATGACCACACGCTTAGGTACCTAAACAATGTTGTGGACTACGAAGAGCATAACAATGATGTAATCCAACGAAAGGTTCTGCCACGAACTGAATCTAGGTATAAGGACAAAATGGTCCTTTTTGATATGTAAGAAAGGTGTCTTATCCGCAAGGAAAACCACTAAACTACTTAGGTTTGTCAAGTTACATCCACAGGCTATCAGCCCTCCAGATATCCAGACGTGCCGCGCCTTTATGGAGTGGATAGGGCGAGGAAAACACGGTCGGATTGAAGAAAAGCCTACAGTCAAAACAATGCTTGGATTTTTCCGGGAATTCGCAACGCCCCTGAAGAGGGAAAGGAGTATTAATCTCCCGTCCTCTACTAGGACCACAATAAATGAAGTCTGTACTTTACTTCTGTTTGAATAAGTGAGAGCTAACCTTGAGCTAACATTGGATAGTTTGTTCTTGGAGAGCTTAGGCTGAAGATCTTTCTTTCGACTAAGTCAATGGATAAAGATGGGGGTGTGTCTCCAAATGATTTAACTATCTTGATGACTCAGTTATGGTGTCGCGACCACCATGAGTACCGTGGTAGCCCTCCCGATCGAGCCAGAGTCCAGCTAAGCGCTGCAATGCTTTTATACTGCTTTACTACTGCGCGGACAGGAGAGGTCCATGAGTCGACTGCGCGAAGACATGAATCCCACCAAATGGGGAACAGCAAGGATGATGATTTAGACGCCCGGGTGATGGCTGCTTGTTATAAGGTAATCCGGTAAACCTCATTGATACAGACTTCAGCAATTGAAAGCTTACTACTTGATTAGAACTTTTTACTTACTGTCGAGATCGTTGATTGTACAATAATGCTTGTATTAACATACTAGCATGAATTTGTCAAGGGATTCTGGAGAAAGAAAAAATGGAGTATCCCGACCCATGCATTCTACAAGGTGGATGTTGAGGATGTACCTATATTCCTGAATCTCTTAATTTTCTTTTTGCCAATGGCAACCGCGGACCAGGCGTTTGGAAAATATAGGTCTGTGATGGAGATTCTTGACGCTGTTGAAAAAAAAGGGAAAGCTGGTCACTCTCGTTCGAAGATTCTCAAGGTGATTCATATACGTGAGGATATAAAGGAAGTACCGGTATTCCGGCAATATCTTGAGCATTCCGTAGGTGACTACAAAGGAAATACCAGAGCCGCAGATTCATTCGACAAGTCATTGGTCAGTCTAGGGCATAGAAATGGTTATTCGCTTAATATCACTATTCGGGCATATCGGAGATGAGCTTTACAGGAAGCAGGTATGACAGTCCTTATCTTTATCTTTCTACATCTAACGGTCATATAGATAAGAAGCATTCTGAGTCTACAAGGATGAAGTTTGCTGGGCATATTAACCCCAATACTTATGGGAAGTCATATACGTATCCTCTGAGTGAGGTTGATAGACCTGCAAATGACCTCGGGTTTGCGAGCAGACAGGAGCATATTCAAAATCGTCGTGGAATAGGCCTTTACCACAGCACTTTTTCACCACAGCTACTCCTCGTAAAAGCGGAGTACGAATTTCTTGCTCGGGAAGATTTTTCGCATATCAATTACTTGATGCCCAAATTAAGTGCACAGCTCTTGAGTGTGGGCCCGGAAGAACAACGAAGAATCCAGCTTGAGCAGAAAAAGCTTTATAGTCAAAAGGGGTCTCTATACAACGATGAGCTTCGAAGGGTATAGTAGTATTTAGAAGGTCAGGATGGAAGTCTTTTTACGGAAAGTTTATTTTACTATAGGAAGTAAGTGATGCTTCACAGAGATTTCCTTGCCGCTATACTAAAATCTAAGATTGGCCTTTGAAGCTTAAATTGTAAAAGGGCTTTGTAGGTATTAGAATCACTATGTAGTGACACAAAAAGGATATTATACTAAGACAGCCTTAGCCCTATTAATAAGTCCTGCCTCTGTGGAAAGCATATGGATGAGTATATTCATATAGAAAGCTTGAAAATCCAATTACTAACCAGAGTAGGCTACAAGATCACCGAAAATGGCTATATCTCTATCGCTGCTACTCAAGATACTACCAATCGAAAAATCGGTTCGCGGAAATGTGCTTTGAGTATGATCTATGGTTTACGTGCGAAGGAAAGTGGGAAACTCATTGCCAAGAGCATCTGGATAATCCGGTCGAATTGCTCCGCTGCGATCCTTTGATTTTCCAGAATGCACCTATAAAGGTAGGATTATATCCCTTTTGCCTGGGGTGTAATAGTGCGCCACCATCGAGAAGAATGCGCCATTTCCTGACCTCACCACCTCAATGGCACTCTCATATCGAAGGTCACTTAGAGGCCGTAGAGCTCGATTTTGACTGCAAGCACCCCGCCTGCTCCACAAGCTTTCAAAGCTTAGATCAGCCGACGTGCCATCTCATTGATTCCCACTGTTGGCGCCCGAGACGCAACCACTCCGGAAAGCGAAAGCGGCAAATTGAAGATTGAGTGGCTTATCATGAAATATTCCTTCGTGTAGTAGGGAAGTCCGTCTTACTTTTTGTATGTACAAGACTGCAATTTTAGCAAGTACTAGAATAACCATCTCAATATCTCTTTCTCCTAATCATGCTACGGTCTTTGCTCTCTATGTTCCTGGATCGACCTGTATATTCCGACTACTATAGTTAATAATACTAGTATTCTCTTCTTTCTTATTTAAGTATCCACTTGAAAGAGTAGAGCCGTTCTCAAGGTCTATTCATTATATTGTCAGAGCTGATCTAATCTATGATGCGATTTGTTACTCTGTTTAGAGTGAAGAGTGAGGAAGAATGGACATTGAATTAACCCTCCTATTATTCCCAGTGCTACTTCCTCTGAGCTTTGATTGATCATGTTTAGAGAGAAGAAAAAAGAGAAGTTTTGGAAAGAACTTCGAGCCTTATTATCAGGCTATTGGAGCCATCTTTTGGAACTCATCACTCGGAATCTTCCTTATGTGTCTTGGAGCTTCCTAATACTTCCAAAGTGACCTTGGATAGGCATTGTATTAAAGACACACTGATTTGGTAAAATCAAATGATGTTGTATTGGGCCTCAAGATTGGATGTAATCTCAATTTGAGCCGCGGGCACTGGACCATGATTTGAATATTGATCGAGTTCCCTCCCACCCGATCTAAGACCATTTTCCTTTCGAAATGCATCTGAGTCTGCCCTTGTTTGGACAATATTCTGACTTGAGCTGCCAAAATCTCTCCGAAAAGAACTTTCAGTAGGTCTTGGTCCTGTGTATGCAGATGAATTTTCCGATTGTAGATCGATAATACGGACTATCTGGGTCATCTGGCGCGATATTACATGAGGAACCTCAGTTGTAATTTTGTTTCCTGCACATACTGCAGTTTTTTAGAACCTAGGTATGAGTAGGGCAATATGGCTTTGCGAAACTAACTTGCCATCAGTGCATTTCCACGATCGTCAAGAAAACTACTAGGGATTGAATTCCTAGCATTTGCAGCTGAAGGAGTTCGGAAAATTCTCCTATGATTACTATTCCATGCTTCGAGTTTGGGAAAATTTTTAGAGTGACCAAGTGAAGGATATGGAGCTTAAAGGTGAGTTTCTGCGAAGTTCAGCTTATGTGCATAAAGTGGAAGTGCGGATATTAAATACATAACCTCCTGCATCCTGACGCAGGAGCTCATTCATCCAGTCATATACCCATTCAAAATTCCCTTCTGATGGTCAGCAATGGAGAAAAATGGCGTCTGAATAGCATCTTACATTTGCTATTGATCTCCCACACAACAAAGATATCACAGCCTTTCCCTGGAGTTGAATTTCTTTCCACCAAAAGTTTAATAAAGGAAAGTATCGACGCAATCCCGGTGCCAGTGGCGATACAACGTAGTCGGTTGTAGGCTTCCAGATCATCCAAAAAGCTGTAAGGACCATCTAGCCATGTCAAAAATTCTTTCGAACGGTGTTTTATCAAGCTTCGTGTTAGTCTCTTCTCCGTGTTGGTAAGCATTATGATACTTGTCGCCTGTCCCTTTGAGTTCTTCTGCCACTAGCATATTGGGAATGAATAAGTACTTAGACCAGAGCAGAGATTAGCACGTGGTATCCATATGTATAACCTCATTTCAGGGCGAATGTAAAACAGCCTATTCAGTGGGATCAAGATATGGACAGCATCAGCGTTTTCCACGGGTATTACGAGTGCTCAACACGCAATTTCCGTGCCTTTAACATTTCTAATGATAAGAAAGATCCACCGTGAGGTAAAGGGAATCACAATAGCGAGGATACAGATAACAGTTTCTATGATTGTGAAATCTTGAGATCTCAACAAATAACATAGAATTGGTACCAATGGCCAGGCCGGCAACCCGATGAATTTTAGACAGAAGACGTGATATAAGCTTGTTTAAAATCTGTGTTTTTAAAGCTAATAAAATCCCAGATAGCCCTTAAAGCATATGAGTAATTTTTTCACTAAAAGTTCATGGGTTTACCTTACTATTAATCCATATAGTTGGAGTTTACTACTTGGGTGCCAGCCAGCCTGGGAGATTACAATTGATGCGTAAAGTATGGTTTGAACAGTTGACATCATTGCCAATGTGGAATGCAAAATACTCAATGTCTCGAGTGGAACCCCAAGCAGATATACCAGGTACCTCAGTCGATCACTCATGAGAAGAGGTATAGTGTTAATGACAGCCATATATCCAGATCAAGCTCTAATCTCTGTGAGATTATGGGTTTTTATGAAGGTGCTGACTAGCATGCCTGTCCAGCATATGATCTGCAATAGAAACCAGGCCCTTGATTTTCCTCCAACAATTGTTGGGTGGACCAGATGCTTGAGAATGGCGAACATAGCCCATCCGGAAATAGATTCTTGTGCATTGAGATGTGCGGCGTATCTTCGCATGAAACTCACGCATCTTATACGAGCCCAAAAAAGCTAAAGATATTATCGAGCCAAGAACAACAGAATATAAAGTTGCAGGGTCAATCATTGTTAGCATGTCTATCGTTCACGCTTTCATAGGGTGCGTGATCCTCAATGCTGGTTCCCGACCTCGGAAGGTCCAAAGTTATAAAGATGAATTGAATTTAGTTATACCTTGTTTTTAGAGCATCTATAATTATATTTATTCAAATCTCGGAACATGAAACAAAGATCATGATGCACAGGCCTCACAGGTCTTTCTCCACCATGGGCGATACAACAACGGTCAATCGAAAAATTTTTAGATCATGCCACCTTTATAAAATATGTACATATCGCCTTTCTCCAAGTTCAAAATTCCTTCATCACATCTTCGCACATGTAAAATGTCGACATCTCTACATCACTCCAATGAGGTCCGAAGGCGTAAAACATGCTTTCGCAAAATTCGCCAACTATGCTCTTTGTGCCATATGAGAGCAGTGGTCGTTCTAGTTGATAGAGGCAATCGCCATTGGATATTCAAAACTCATGATGATATCCCGGCCCTTGACCAGGTAAGATCAATGACCGTAATACATATTCATGCCCCTTCTTTTTGCGGTTGTTGACTGAGCTTACAGATTATACAACACCCTGTTACACAGGGACATGATGATTTCGAGCCATTGCAATTGCCTACCCAGCGATTTTCATCCGCTCCTCAATCACACCAGGGGGCTTCGACTACTATATTCACCCCGCCAAGCTTTCGTCGTGGAAGTTTATGTGGGGCTATCATGGGGACGAAGTTCATCGCAAAGGATGTTTTATCTTCTGTCAGCTATTTGCCATGGGTCGTGCTGCGTATTCCGACGTGGCCCGAGAGGAAGGCGTCGATATCATAGGGCCCAGTGCAATCCCGATAGAAGAGGGCGCTCCAGTACCCCGAGAGATGACTTTTGACGAGATCCAGCAGGTGATTTCGGATTTTGTATACGCTTCGATGAAAGCGATGGAAGCCGGTTTTAATGGAGTTGAGGTTCATGGTGCGAATGGGTATTTGCTAGATCAGTTTCTTCAAGACACCAGTAACCAGCGCCAAGGTGAGTTCGGCAGTAGTGTGAAGAATCGATCTCGTCTTTTGGATTGTGTGATTAAGGCTGTTGCGAACGCTATTGGTCCTGATCGTTTCGGGCTTCGATTGAGTCTATGGAGTGTGTTTCAGGGTATGCGCATGTCGGGTCTAATCCCACAATTCACGAATATCATTCTCAAGGCCAGAAAATTCAATATTGCCTATCTTCACTTGATTGAAGGACGAGTGACCGGCGCGAGAGACAATGACAGTCATGATACACTGGACTTTGCATATGATCTTTGGACTGGCCCTGTTCTGGTTGCCGGTGGTTACACTCTATCAGAGGCAAGGAGATTGCTTGATGAGATACACCCGGATAAAAAGATTTTGGTCGTTTTCGGTCGATATTTCATCTCGAATCGTGATCTTGCTTTCAGAATGAGAGAGGGGTTAGAGCTCACTGCGTACAGAAGGGATACGTTTTATGCGGTCGGCTCGCCTGTGGGATATTCAGATTATGCATTTAGCAAGTAATTTTGGAACTTGCAAATTAGATTGCTTCAAATCTTTAGACTGAAAGATCTCGCCTTTCATTTTGCCATGACAGATAGCACATATATACACTCATTTCAAGTTCTTCTTCATTATTCACCTTCACATCGGCTACCCTGTGGCTTCAGGCACCCCTCCAGGTACTCACATCGAGAGCAAGGTAGATAAATAAGCAGTTACCTATGTACAAACACGGTTTGACTATTGACTGAGTGTGTATTTGAACATCCTTCAGGGCTGGGCATGATGACCGTTGGCTTTATGAGAAGAATGTGAGGAACCCAGTTGTGTTTTTTTTAGACTCTTGGTCTGGCTTATTCATTGATAGTGTCGTTCTGCTGCTAAATGGAAAGAAACTTCGTCCAGATGTCCTCAACTTGTGAAACATTTACTTCGTATTGAATAATTGTGTACTAGATGGGCTGTCATCCGTCCTCTAATGAAATCTAGAAAATGGACACAATTAAAATTTCAATCAACATCGGCATTTCGTAATCCTGAAATGAGAGGATCGCGTTGATCACAACTTATCGAGCCGCAAGAAGCCCTCCACAGCAGTATGTGGCCCATCGGGAACAGAGAACTGCTTTGAGGTCGGGATAAGTGTGAACTTTTGGTTGGTGAGACCGGTCGCATCGAACTGTATGGGTTGCACCCAAGTCCAGCTGCCTTCCGCGGGCGCATCGATGGAGAGTGAAGGGGCTGGAGCTGGCGTCGCAGAGGCAGCGGGCGGCGCAGAGGAAGAAGAGTCAGTAGTAGTGGCAGTGGCTGGCGCCGCGGTGCTCGGAGGGGAGGCTGTATCTTTCGAAGTGCCAGGTATATCACCCGAAATCAACAACGGGCCCGCACGCATAAAAGTTCCCATCTTCTTCAAAGCGCTCTCTAACGCCCATGGCGGTATATCAAGCGAGGTGGTTGGCAAGATCCCTGAAAAACCGTTGATACTCTGGAAGGGGTCCACAAGGGCACCGAACACGCGGAATTTCCGGTGATGCGCCTTGATAAACTCGTCTATCTTGGTATCTGCTATTTTGACGGCGCCATACTCGATAGGGTCGATCCAATAGGGAGTGAATGGCAAGTTTTTGGCTTTCAACACCTGCGGAACTGGCTTCATTTCCGGAACGGTAGACCCAGAAGCGGGAGTAGCAATTGCAGAGGAAGTGGACGACAGAGAGCTTGCCCTTCCTGGGCGTATAGGAATAACAGAGGTATTTGCACCAGTGATATCATTACTCGCTGGGGGCAGTGTGACAGCTTCTCTGCGTTTACGCAACTCTCTCTTTTTCCCACTCAAGCCGTAGTGGGTGAAAACCTCGTCGAAGGTGAAACTAGGCTCCCCAGAAGCGGCTTCCTTATCCTCGTCAAAATATGCGACCAGCCCATCGTGGAGACTCATTTGATCACCGAGTTTCAAGTCAAACTGGTAATTCAACACGCTCATCTCCAATGGGGTTGCGGTGTCTGTTTGATCCACCATTGGTCTGGTGGCCAACTCCAGAGACCATCCCATGGAGACAAGGGCGAGAGGCCGGCCTATCAACGCTGGAAGAAAGGCTGCCAGCGTGCTGGGCGCATGGTGGATGTGCTCGTTTGCGTCCGCTACCATGGTCCAAACACGGTGTAAAAATTCGTTTGACGAAGATAGTCTTTCCATGAACGTAGCGAGCTCTGCGCACGTTACAGGAGGAACGGCGTTCGTTGTGGCCGCATCTGGGTTCAACCAAAGTCCTTTGGTAGTAGGGGCACCGACAAGAATCTCACCGCAGAGAGTACCGTCGCCTTGGAATACTTGCAAGCTTTCGTCCTGGAAGTTACACACCACCCAGCCCCAGATGGGGTTCTCCCATTCAAGAAGGGGTCGCCAATGGGTATCCTCTGGCGATGCATTCGTTACTGGTTCAATCTTCTGCTCTTGCGCTTCTCGCACGACGAAAGAGGAATTGAATCGTATATCTTGATTAACACGCGGCCCAAGTTGGAAGAATTGGGAGCGTCCTTCAGGTTCTGCGAGGGCGGTATTGGCGAAGACCCGCCCGGCCAGATTGCTTCGCTGGCACGCTAAATCCTCGCTGACACTGGGATAGATTGGACGAAAAGGCTGTCCAGGACGCGGATCAAATGCGCAGACAACTTGGCCGAACTTATCGACGACATTAAGCTTGGTAAATCGGACCTGACCGTGTGTGACGGGTCGGAATAGTTGGCCGTCTGTGCTGCGCGACACGCCTTGTACCGGCAGTAATTTGGTGTAAGGGGTGACATCTGCACCAGAACCTGTTGCCAGGGAATTTACCACGGCAGAGTGATCATTTGCTGAAAGCTTAGGAAAAAGAGAAGATATCCAATCTGAGATCTGCTTACTTTCTACTGCGCTAGCTGTGGCGTGAGTACCCCGAACGAGCGTCAACAGATGGTCGCCAATGCCTTCCAACTCCGCAGACAGAATATTTGTCACACCAGCCACCGCTTTTTGAATATCTTCTTTGCCTTGGTCACCTAGGATATTCTTGAGGTCTTCTGGGCTGGTTCGGCGGAGGACTTGATCGACTAGAGTTCCCAGGGATTGGGGACCCTCTGGAAGAATTGCACTTCTTCCACTGAGACCACGACAAGATTTGGTAATCTCAGGATCACCTGTTAGATTGGCATCATGCTTGATAGTGTATTTCACAGTTCCATCGTTGGTTTCCTTCAACTTCCAATGCTTCATTGGGACATGGAAGTAATCGGCTTCCCACTCGATAAAGAGGGGGAACCAAGCCTGAGAGGATTGTGCATCGACCTGTGACGTTGGTGGAGCATCGGTTTTCTCTTCAGGATTCAGCCAATCGTGCCTCAAGTCGTCAATGCAGGCATGAACCCAGGGTGGCAAGTTGACCAACTGGCCCTGAAATACCTGCCATTCTTCGTTTTGATTCACTCTGCTAGTGCTAGACAACTGTGTATTGAGTTGGACTTTGACATTATCGTCTGTAAAGTCCGCTGGCCAGCTCGACTCCATATCTGACAGCAATATCGTCGGATCTCTTGCGCTGAAAAATCGGGCTGCGGGAATTTTGGCCGTATGGGAACCGTCCTTCCTCAATTTATCGATATGTGCGGACAGGGTTGGAAGGACACCGGACTTTTTATCGCCACGGTCGAGTTTCATGAGTTTTGTCAATATGTTGCGCAATCGGTCGCGCGTTTCCTTCAAGTGGTCCTTGTACCATGAACGCATGGTGGTGAATCCATCCTCATCATCGTTAGTCAAAGATCCAGCATTGCCGTATCCAGCAGCGCGGGCCTTCCACCATTCACAAAAGAGCAAGTGCTGAAGCAGATCGTAATGTCTGGTTGCCGAGTCATGGAGACGCTGGGCAGCGTTGAGATCATGAAGCATTTGTAAAGTTTCGGGTGGCGGTTTATCATCCTTCGGCTTGACTTCGTCGCCGGATGGTTCCGTGTTTGAGTCTGTTGTTGAAGGTTGGACTGTAGCTTCTGTTGAGACTGAGGGTGGCTGAGTTGGGGCCGAGGCTACTGTGGTGATATCGTGCTTGGTGTTGGAATCCTTCTTAAGTTTCCACACATGTCCTCCATGTCCTGGTTTGAAATGGCTGGATTTTTGTTGGGCTCCCTGGCTGGAACCTTCTCCATCATCACTGGGATTGGCAGCGAGAATTTCCAGGTGCTTGAATGCGGCCGCGAGCTTTACATCGGCCTTGGTTGGATCAGCTGGACATAGATACGAAGCGGTCAGGGCATCTAGTAGATCCGTTCCTACGGCCACAGGGTGAAGTCGAGCAAAATTCTCAGCGGCCTCGTCAGCAGGTACCTTTGGTGGCTGCTTCGCTACCGACCAAAAAATGTGATCGGCCCTTCCATGACACAGGGAGCGGATGCGGTTCTTCCCTGGCTCGTGTCGCAACCATTCGATGTTTTCCTCAGAGCTGAGCTTCATGCCATGAGTCGACAGCAGCGCGGTATTGCTCGTCGTCTCGCCATTGGCAAGGGGATCATGCGCCTTCAATCCGTGATACCCGACGACAAGATAAGAAATATCGGCGCTCTCTAGCGTACAAACCTCATTCTTATCAGGTGCAAAATATGTCAAGTCATCGTGCATAGCAAAGACATTCATGCAGTGGTGCTGAAAATCAGTAAACAGCGGATTTGCGGAGTCGGCAATGGTCAGAGGGATATGAAAGCTCTGCGAATCAACAGCCGCAGGGTCCCACGCGCCATGCCAGTCCTGCAAGGGGTATTTGGCCCCTAGAAAAACTCCATGTTGCGCATCAGTGGTTCCTGAGTGGTCAACAAACGGCGCCCCCTCAGTGTCAAGATCAAGATTTGCGAACTCCTCGCGATCAAGACGACGAATACGGTTGCTTTCTACGACAAAGGCCGAGAATTGGCCGTATTGGCCTTGCGCTGGTACTGATGTGTGTATACGGCGGATCACCACCCAGCGGTCGGGAACGGCAACAAACTGCAATCAAATTCAGCGTCGAGTTTCAAACAACTAAGAATGTCAATTTTTACCTCTGTTGATCCCGTAGTTGTTTCTCTTTTCTCTTGTGGGAGCCCCTTTTTCTTGCGTTGTTCCTGGTCCAGGTCCTTAGCGGAATCTGTGGCCGCGATACCCGCGCGAAACGGCTTGGGGATGGTCCAGTGCAGATACACGCCCAAGCGATCTCGACGAGGCTTTCCTGAGTCCAAATCGGACAGTCGCTCGTTGGTGGCTGAGAGGGCAGCAGAGCGGAGGTCGAGATGTGGAATCACATCGTGCTGGAGACGGTCTCCGGGCTCGAGACTGCCATAATCTGGCAAGGAGAACGGGGCAATCAATGCCTTCCCACTGTCAATGACATCTTTATTAAGGATGAAGGCATCGACATTCAAGGGAATGCACACCGCGAGAGGGGGTTGTGACTGAGCCATGGCGCAACCACCATGATCATAATTCTTGCGACCATGTCGCCGTGAATCCCAGTATTAAGGCATACTGTCCACCTCATGTGAATCACTCGGCTGTTATCACCCTCGGCGACACGGACTTGAGTGGGGAAAAGGATGTTCGTCTGCGCAGCTGAACTACGGAGTACTCCGTAATGCCGCTAGTGTACCGTCTTGCTCGCCCCCTGTATGGTACAGTAACGCGTGTATTATACAGCCGTGACAAGACAGCCCATACGGGCCATACCGAGTCGCCTCCTAAAATACTCATTATTCCTGCTGTCTTCTTCCTTGCAAGAAGCATTGATTTTTACCACATTTAGCAGAGTGGAAAGCTGCATCCCAGTATCTGACAGCAGAAATGGCTTCAGCAGACCAGCCGGATATCGCGGACACCGACGCCATGGAGTTGCATTCCTACTTCGCTCCAGGTCTGCCCACGACAGATGAGCCATATACTCTCCAAGTGACGCAGACGATAGAATGCGCCAACCAGCAACTGCCACCAAAAGAGTCTTTTATGAAATTTATTGTTGATGCTCCGCGATTCACTCTCCCTGCTGAGAGTATTCACTCTGTGTATCCAGCTGAAGGAGTGTCTGAACAGCCACGTGTGCTGCCGCATATCGTTTTCAACGACCCCCAGTTGCCATGGGAGCGAGTCAGTAAAAAGAAGCAGTCAGAAGAGGAAAAAAAGGCCAACGCTCGTCCGCCATGGTTAGCTTTGATGGTGTTCACCAACGACGAATTGCAAGTGCGACAGCTACCAGGTTTGACGGATAAAATCCAAAATTCTTCAACAAGAGCGCTGTCTAGCACGGTGGGCCGTCTCGCGCAGGCAGATCAAGCGCAAAATGACTTCCGATGTCCCAATTTGGAGGACGACGAGGCGACAGATGACGAAACCTCTGCTTCGTACATCCTACTGAGCAAAGAGCGCTTCCAGACACTCATCAGTCATCAAGCGACCGATACAGCTTCAGTCACTCTGGATCACTTTAAGTACTTCTCACATGTGCGCGTGGTCAACGTTGAGGGAAGTTCACATGCCACAAAGTCGGACAAACCGGACAAACACCCTCTCAGTGTGGTCTTCTCGCATCGAACCGCTCCTGTTGATGTGAAAGAGCCCCAAACGGTCTTTGTGCACTTAATCTCGCTTGATGGTATTTTGGATGGCCTGGAGAAAGTGCCTCTCAAAGCCACAGATCAGCAAATAGGTTTGCTGTCGCTGTATTCTTGGACGTACCGCGTCGCGCCGGCTGACCACATCAGTTACCATGATCTGATGCAAAGTTTGGACGATACGAAACAGCCACTCCGCCGACCAAACAGCTTGATTGATAAGATCGCTACTGCAACAGATCCGTCTTCAATATGGCTAGCTGAGCGTCTTCGTCAAGGATATACCTGGATGCGCCATCGGACCATGAGCGGCGAGACAACGGTCGGACTCTATCGCGGTCCTTTGACACCAAAATACGTTGAGCCGGGACATTGCGAGCCTACCATTGGTGGGAAAAGTTTGCAAATAGTTGATGCACAGGCCGGGGTTGTGGATTTGAGCTACAGTATAGCTTGGGAGCTGGGACGAAACCTGGCTATTGCCGATAAGGGCTTCACAGCGGCCATGCTGCGACTGCGAACCGACATCTCAACTATGGCGACAGATGGAGGCACCGACAAAGCAAATGGAACTTTCAAGGAAATGGCGAGAGGGCCGGATGGCCATACGAAGAATGAAGAAAAACTCTACACTGGTGTCTACCGATGGGCAAATATGGCCGCAGGCAAGGTCGCACAAACGGCCGGGCTTAGTCCACCAGCAGGAAAAGAAGTGCTGATCAACGCATTGCAGCGCCGTGTACGGACATGGTTGACTGATATGGCGGAAAAACAGGCTCCAGCCGAGGTGAAAAATGAGAAAAATCCATCCGCGTCGACCGACTGGCTACTTATTTTACAATGGGTAAAAGACAAGCTGGCCCTCAAAGGTATTCCATATATTTATCTTTTTCCAGACCCGGCAACATTACCACTGGAGGCTCTACGCACGTTCTACGTGGATGAAAATTGGACCGATGCTCTGATTGACGGTGCGCTCAGCATTGCCAACCATTCCACCCTTGAAAATGACCCAGTCAAACGTGAGATCAGAGGCAGCATCAACCATTATTTGTCAAAGGCTCAGGATGAGGTTCCAAGCTCCAAGCTAACGTGGCGACCGCGATGGGGATTGCTCATGCGCAGCAAAGTGATTGAAGCCTATCCCAATCTACGAATCGCACGGGCGGCCAGTCAAGATGCAGGCCCTTCTCAACACAAAGACAAGCCCGCGGCATTCAGTGCTTTGGCATCCGATACCTTGATCTACTATCAACCAGACACTCCAGAGGCTGACGATGACGCGGCCCTTGTTATTTCGCAGCCCTTCCATCACCAGCGATTTTCAGTTGGGGACGAGCTCAATGATGAGGAGTTGAAATTCTCGTTCAAATTATTCGGCAAAAATGGAGCCGCCGAGCGAGCAGCGAGGGCCATTAATGAAGTTAAATGGACCGTTAATGGGGATGAGGCGGAATTCAAATGCAACCCATCAACGCCGGCGGAGCTTTTTTTTGAGCCGGTGAAGTTGAAAAGCATTTATGACTGGAAGACCCGTTGTATCAACCCAGCGGTATTTATTGATGAATGTCAAAAGGTAAATGACAAGGTACTGGGAGATTTTAAAGACGCGGAGGAAAACTCGTCCGCCTATATGGGTGTGCAGCTCAACGATACTCTATTAATGCTGCGCCTTAAATATCCTAACCGGAATGCGGATTCGAAAACCCCACCGGGAGGGCAAAAACGGATTCTTCAGGACTCTTCTCCCGATTTGAATGTCAAGAGCCCGGATCGGGGTGATGGAAACGAGAAGCTCCCGCTGGATGCACCTCAATTTTTCCCCGAACCGTCCAATATCAATCCCGGTCTGCTGCCACCAACACAAGGATTCAAGGTGGAGCTTCTCGGTGATGCTGTGGTCACAATCGACAAGAATGTCCCTTCATACAACAATCTGCTCCCTTTAACCACTTCCCAGTTAGCGAAGGTGTGCTATCCCCGGCTACCCCTGCCTCGACGACACTTTCCGGCAGGGAATCGTATAAAGCTGGACGTCATCTTCTCAATAAACGCTATCCCTGACATACGACAAGATATCCACCTCCGATCCCTTACTGTCTATATCCCAGTCGGACGGATAAACACCAATCTCCTACTACCCTTGGAAGCTCGGCCGAATATGAAGATGATCGGTCCCGGACGCTTTTGGATTCTGAGCGCGGCACAAGTGACCGGAAAGCGCCATCGTATCAACTTGGACGGGACCTGGATAGTCGAGGATGCATGCGACGATCATGATCAACAATGGCTGGCGATCACTGTGTCCCCAGTCCCAAGACAACGTGCTGATGGTGGACGTCGTGCTCGGCCGTTACACCTGATCCGACATCCCCAATTGAGCTTCTTGCTACATGAGGTGGAAATGAATTCGTTGTCATGCGAGCGGATTCCTTTGCTAGTGGAAGAACACTATTACCGTGCGACAGACGAAGAGACTTATGATCCTGCAGGGACTGTTAGGACGGTGGTGGGGGTGACCAAGCAGAGTTGTGAGTGGAAGTGATGATGATTTGTATATGTCAAACATTTTGATGGTTCAATTATTCGTGTTTCAAAGGCTCATCCGCTGGTCCAACTGAAATCAGAAGAATAATACTTTTTGATTCAAACCTGAACTCACTTTTGATTGATTCTCAATACCCGTAGTAACTTATGCCCGTATAATCCGACTCTACTTTCCAAGGTTTGGGTCAGATGCTGCGTCTATACCTACACGTGTTTGAGCATGTGACTAGACCCGAACACTTGACATCGGGAGTGTCTTCGCATTTGCCCAGTAGTAAAGTCAGCGGTAATGATCCATGGATATTTAACTACACAACCAGTCAGTCGATGAGTACTATTTCAATGTTGTATGCAGGATTTGAACCTTTGTCCAGGCCTGGAGTTGTACCCACAGGGCTCCCCACAGGGGTGAGCAAGGAGGCCGCTTTGAAGTTGGATACTACTGAAGACCGTGACATCTGGCTCTTGAAGAAGGATTGATTACCTGGGCACGACTCGGATTTCTAGCTATACTACCTATGTATGGAGTCCCGGGGGGACACCCGTGGACGTCATACAAAGTGGTTCTACATAGTACACCATATCCCTGGATATCTCATGATGTACCAGGAACTTGACCTCGGGAACTTGAATAGTATGTAGTACCCTGACACATCAAACTTGGAACATTCATATGCACTACCCAGGTGTCATTAATTGATACATTAATTAGTAAATACAAGTAGGACATACTTCAAGTAATCCGGGTCTCCAGGCTTTAGTCCTGGAATTTTTTCCGAGCTCTAGTCGGTTCAAATCCACTGATTGAATCGTGATCCGAGTCGCTCTCCATGTCAATGTCATACAAATTGTCATCCGAATTGCCCTCCAAAGTGGTCGAATCCATCTTCTTAGTCAATTTAAGAAGTTTTCCATCAAACAAACCCGTTTCCCCTCCTCTCTTCTTCAAAATTTCCCTTTCCTCCGGTTTTGCGACCCAGAAATCCTTCTTATCGTCATCGTCTTCATCATCTTCATCTTCCTCAAACTCATAATCGGAGTCATCCTTATAAGGACTGTCAATGAACTCAGCTTTACGCGAGACGATCTCTCCCCAAGTCTCCTCTTCAATATTCATCTTTTCGCCAGCGATGTTCATCTTTTCGGCAGCTTTCTTGGTCATGGCACGAGTCAAAACTTGGTTACGAGACTGTGTTTTCATGTTTTGGTCGGTCGTTCTGTCAGGTTCCATGCAAGCCTTCGCCCTCACTTTTGGCCACTTCTTCAAGGGTTCTTTTCTCAAAACTTCTCCTGATTGCTGAGGTGATACTTTGTCAACTTTTTGGCCTTTTTTGGTTCTACCCTTCTTATTCTCGTACATGCCCTCGCACATCAAAGATTTGTACTCGAAGGTACCATTGGGCTGGATAGTAGCGTAGGTCGGGTTTTGGGCCCCAAAGACCTGTGCCCAGTCTCTGACAAGCTGGGCTCGGCCATCCAGATCCTCATTGTCACAGTGCCTCGTCCAGATGAACAGTGGCTGTATTAGGCTTTGAGGACCCCAACGTTCATCAACACTCGATATCAGTCCCCAAAATTCCTTGAGCATTGTGAGATATAGGAAGAGCTTCACATTGGCAGACGAATTAAAATCTTTCCAAGGGTAAGTTTTGAGGAAATTCGCCTTAGTAGTATCCCAGTGCTCTGCTGGCTTGAATGCATTGCAGAAGGCAAATATATCCAGGATATGCCAATCCTTGAAGTTTCCCAATCCCCCATACGTTTCACCATACTGTTCAGCAATTTGAGTTTTCAAGTCAAGCGCTCTCGCTTTCGTCGCTTTCGTGGGATCCAAAAGATCGAGTTTGCTAACCGGTAATTTATGCTTCATGTTCAGGTCCACAGTCTTGAGCTTTTTCCACTGGGTTATATCATAGCCCGCAGTTTCAAGATAATACGGATAACGAAGAGTGACAACAAGGTGCTCTTGTAATTCCTCTTGTCGATAATGGGCGTAAAGGAGTGATAATATGGTCCAGTCTGTGACGGTTAGCAGTTGTTCAGAATGTGCAAAAGGACGCACAGGGACTTACTAGGGTGACCGTGCTCAAAACCTGCCGATATGATAAATTTGCTTGGTTTCATGGACTCGAGCATGGCTGATGGGGTAGAGCTGCGTGCCCCATGATGGGAAGCTTTGATTACACGCACACGCGTGCCCGCTAGCCACGTTGCGAGCTTTGACTCTGTGTTATTGAAGCTATCCCCACCAGAAAAGTAGGAGGCACGAGCGTCGGTCTTTGGGTCTTGAGTGGGCGGCCAGACAATAAGGGAGCAAATTGAGATGAAGTTCTCGAGAGTCGCTTCGCTTGGCCGGTGCACTACTTGGGCCATGTTATCCCCCAAGACATAACCCTCAGCGCCGACACATAGAAAACGCGGCTTCTCGGGGTTGGGAAGCTCCTCGAGCAATTTGGTAAATGTGATTTGCCTTTCGTGTATTCCACCTCCTCCTTTTTTCCAGTTTTGCATTTTCTCTTCGTCGTAAACGGAAAAGAAGTCCACACCAGCTAGGTTTTCGTAATTTTCACACATGCGACAAATGCCGGGCAATTTGACAGCGAGATCCACATCCTTGAATTTCATTCTTCTCATGTCCTGAAACGGTTTTTTGCCCGTGCAAAGTAGGAGAAAATCCACCAGGTCGGAATGAGTCTTGTTTCTGGTGAGCAACCAATGTGCGCCCTTGGGCTTCCATTTCGACTTCTTCATTCTTTTCCAAGTTTTGTTGTCAAAAACCGGGCTATATAAGGTTGTCAGACATTTCCCAGCGTCATCGTACATGAAGTATGATGACTTGATACGATTTTTCGCGTCGCCGTCAGTCAGGTTGGCCTCGTTCTTTTGCTTCGTATACTGGACGTGTAAATCATCAAGGATCATGCGTATTGAACCTGAGTAATGGTCTCTATCCCAGTGTGATACCACCCACGATGTGAATTTGATTTCACCGTAGGTCGCGGTGAGATCCTCCAGGGCATCTCTGATCGCGTTGGCTGCGCGGACGCCGGTCCACTTCGCGCCTCCGTCGTAGCCACCGTCCACGAGCACCGCACTGATGAGTCCCTCGCGTGTGTTCGCATCAACGAGCTGGCGCAATGATTGATTTGAACTGTTTGGTTGAATATTTCGTGTCCAGAAGTCTGTGTCGTTCTTGTTAATCAGCAGATGAATCGAACAGTCACCCCCGGGCACGGCTATCTGAAAGCTTTCGACCACATAGTCGGTAGACCAGTATTTCGGGTCGTCAGAGGTGAGAATTTTGTTGAAGCTCATTTTTTCCCTCGCTGCTGGTCTGTTTGACTGTCTACAGTTTACAATGGAGCTGGGACATGGCTAAATACACCCTGACCTCTCGGGGCCGTCCCGGAGTACCGTATCGAACCCGTATTGACTAGCATTGTTAGCGCGTTACCGTCCCATACGGTCGGCTGAAATACCCTAACGACATTCAGCCCCGGCGCAGTCTGAGACAGAGTCGCCATTGACTGCTGCCATTTTTGCCGAAATAACTAACCACCAGGTATATCTGTATTTGGTGGGTCAGAGTGGCCGCTCACTGCCTCACGAAATTGCCAGTAGCAACACAGACAGAGGAGAAGAGAAATGGCCTCTCCAGTGCGGATTATACCGCATTCGACCACTCAGCCGGTCGCCGATGAGATTCCTCTGGCGGCCGACAGCGCTGGAAACGACTATCTGGCTGCTCTATTTCCTTCTCAGGCTTGGGAGTTGCAACAGGCTTTAGATGCGACTGCTGCTGGAACTACATTCACAGCCCCTCTAGCAGCCACCGACACGACCGCATCATGGCTGTCGCAATTCATCAACACCTCCGAGTTGAAAGTGACCGGATCAGTGCAAGCGGACAGTTCTCTAAGAGTCCAGTCCTTGGAGTGCAATCTTGTACACCCGCCGCCCAGTGCAGGGTCGGCGACCATCTCGTTGACCTTTTCCACTTTGCCAGATGCGCTAAATCAACAGTTCGGTCAACTGGAAGGGCCGCTAACCGGGCTTGAAGTCTTTGAGCATGAGGCTGGCCTCTTGTTTGCAGTTCAAAACGCAGATGCCGCTCAACTTGTCCCATTTGGCGTGCTCCTCGAATTCACTGGTATTCACATCTCGGCCTGGGCTAGAGCGCTGCTCGACGCCATCCATCTGCGTCTTCGGGTTGACGAACCTGCACAGCCCACTGGCAACGATACAGTAACCTCTTCTACAACCACACGCTCCCCTCCCCGAAATGGACTGTGGGTGTTCTCAGCGGACAGGCGTACTGTGTTGCGGCTCGAATTCGAGTTGGACACCGGCGACATCCCTAAGGATTTAGTCAAATTTCTGCCTGCTCACACTCTGACAGACCTGTCTTTTACTGCCCGGAAGACGGCACACTTTGGGTTACTCCGTAACCAGCCTGCGTTTGATGGAGAGCTGTTTGTGGCTAGTCAAATCCTCTTCCAGGTTGACAAGCAGAAGTTGCCTAATTTCCCGGATGTCAAGCTCGACTTTTATATATTTCTCTCATTGAACGGCACTAGCTTCAAGATTCACAACGAATGTAAAGTTTCATTTGCAGATTTGATTCTTATCATTGGAGAACACTTGGAAGAGGAATTAAAAATAGTTGGCGTCAAGGCAGGGTTTGACGAGCTCAAAAGTCGTCTCTCAACCCACATGGCGCAGGAGGACAACGAGGAATTTGAAGTTCACTGGCGAGAGTTCTGCATGACGTTCTCAGGGGATACTCTAGTCAGTCTCTCTCTGCAACTCGAAGTCGACACCCCGTTTGGAGTAGATAAAGGGCAACATTCCGCTTTTCTATTCAGTTTTCAATGGTTACCGAAAACGAACGATGTCAAGGTTACCGGCAAATTTTGGCCAGTGCCGCCTATGGAAGAGAGAAACAAAGAAAAGATGCCACTTGAACGTCTTTTGAATCCTATTGATGAAAGTCACTCGATTATACAGCCTCTCTCCTCCAACGCACAGAGCGTGATCAACTTAACAAAGCTCTACCCGGGCTTTTCTCCTGGGACATTACCGCATTGGATCCCAGATGAGATTACTGTTCTTGAAGTTGTTCTCTCCACAACTGAAATTGACTTCGAAATATATCTGAGGTCACAATCAGCTCCCGACGATTCGCCAGGTCTACCATTCGACGAAGACACGACCTTTCAAATCTCTTTCCATTACACCCTGCATCAGCCCGAATCAGCTCAGTTCTCCATTGAAGCAGGCGTAGCCTTACATCCACCACAGACATTCAGTGATGTTGGATCCTGCGAGCTATCAGTTGGTGTGGAATACGTAAGTCCCATGTGGACTGTCTCTGCCAGTGCGCAAAATGTTCGGTCGGCCAACCTTCATCCACTCTTGCCCAAGAGTGTACGCGACGATATCATTCGTATGATGCCCAATGTATATGTCCCAGGCCTCTTCGTTGACTACACTTGGGGTGGATCTAACCCGAGTAACTTGTCGGTATCTGGCTATCTGGTCATCGGGGGGGTTGCTCCTTACAGTCTATTATCAACACAGCAGTGATGGAGAATGGGGCCTCGTTGCCGAACTGAATGCGGAGACTTCGAAAATGGCTGGGCAGAAGACAACTATTGGCAAGCTGATCGAGGACATGATGGGCGAGGACGCCGAAAGTTTGCTCCCCTCATATGTCAATAATGTCGAAATTCCAATAGAGGAATTAGCAGACGATGGAATCACTCTCAACATCATGAAATCCGAGGCTGGCCCGGTGTTTGGATTTTTCGTGCGTATTGGTTCCCTCCATTTCGACTTTGCACAGATTCCAGGTGGCGACGACAAACAGCCAAAACGTCTGCTAAGATTGTCAATCCATTCTTTCCCAGAGGTGCCTGAGATTCCCTTGGTGGGTAAAATACCACAGCCCTTTGACCAGGTGGGCTTCGTGTGGACTAAGTATGACTTCTCGTGGGATGAGGTCGATCATCTCAATGACACTTTGTTCGCTAGCTGTGATGCGCTACAAGTTAAGGCCTCCAAAGATCACGAACAAAATCCTATTGCTCTCAAAAAGGGCCTTCATTTCATGATTTCAATGAATCAAGATGGTAGCCCAGCTGTTGTCATTGACTATGTGTTCGGCCAGGGCCTGCAGAAGACCGCGAGCGCCTCGCCAGCTTTAACTGAGAAAGGAGAAAAGGATGAGAAAGAACCATCTCAGACAGACACCAAGACAAGCGCTGCTACACAAGTAGAAGCCGAAGAGCCGGAGGCCGGGCCCCAGTCAGAAATGGCTCCAATCAAGAAAAATCACAACGGCTTGTCTATCACAAACGTGGGCGTGCAGATGGCCGGCCATATCTTAACAGTCCATCTCAACGCCAATGTCACACTTGGACCTATCGAAATGGCTATTATCGGACTAGCCTTACATCTTGACCTAACTGACGCCAAATTTCCTAGCTTGGCTGATATCAAACCTACCTTCTCAATTGACGGCCTCGCTATCTCTTATGATCGCAGCCCAGTACGGATATCCGGTCTCTTCCAACACCAAAAGTCGAGCAGCGCCGACACTTTCGCGGGTGGAGTTGTCATTGGACTTTCCAAGTATACTTTTGCTGCCGTGGGTGCATACAGTCAAGTCACTCCCGCCCCACCAGCGCAGCCATTCAAGTCGTTCTTCATCTTTGGGGCGTTGACAGGACCACTGATGCACTTTGAATTCGGTGAATTACGTGGAATTTCAGGAGGATTTGGATACAACTCCTTTGTCAACTTACCGGATGTATCAGCTGTGTCACAGTTCCCCTTCTTGGGCATGATGAATGCCGATAACTCCGACCCCCTCAAGACACTAGAGACTTTCACCTCTGGGGGTACCATCGTTTCCCAAACAGAATCGCTTTGGTTTGCCGCCGGGCTGAAGCTGCGAATCTTTGAAGTTATCGATGTCAGCGCGGTGGTGTCGTTGCAATTGTCACAAGGAGATCCTGTTCTGGCTATATTAGCTGAAGCTACGGCGATGGTGCCCCAGACAGCTACTGTTGAGAAGGCGTTTGCTCTTATTGACTTTGGTATTATTGCAACATTGGATCTTGGCGATGGTACTCTCATGATTCAGGGCCAGATAAACCCTCAGTCATTCCTTCTCAGTCACGCCTGCCATCCCGCGGGTGGATTTGCCCTGTGTGTCTGGTCTACGCACTCCGGCCATGGTGGTGACATGGTTTTCAGTGTGGGTGGGTTCCATCCAGTCTTTTCCCGACCAGCTCACTATCCAAATCCCCCTCGCGTGGGAATCTCCTGGATCTTTGATTCCCACATCAGTATCGTCGGTGGAGCTTACTATGCCATCACTCCCTCCGCTATCATGGCTGGAGCATCCCTCCAAGCATTGTTCTCCATGGGATCACTTTCAGCACACATAGATGCCCATGCAGACTTCTTGGTAAATTTCGAGCCTTTCCACTACCAGGCCTCCGTTGGAGTGATGGCCAGTGTCTCGTATGAGTTAAAGGTCTGGTTCATTACCAAAAAGCTCAGCATCAATCTAGGTGCAGACTTGGATCTACATGGCCCACCTATGGCTGGTATCGCTCATTTCAGTTTCTGGGTGATGAGCTTCGATGTGGCATTCGGAGAATCGAAGCCAACAGTAACGCCTTTGACTTTGTCAGGGTTTTGGGACATGTTATCAAAGGGAACACCTGGCAAATCCAATCATGTTATGGCTGTGGAGGCTGGATTGCTTCCATCTCCCACCCAAGATGCCAAGAAAGACGAAAGTAGCGTGAAGGAAACTATCTCGCTGGTTCGCGGTGGAAGTCTGGCATTGGGGATCTACGCTCGTGTACCCATCAACAGCGCGACATATCCTGGGGCAAAATCTGTGGAGGATGATACACCCATCCGCAGTCGTCCTATGCAATTGACCAATACTACGATCAAGTCCAATATTGCGTTTACGATCACTCCTCCACCGGACAATGCGTTCACATTGTTTCCAATTATCAAGGACGTACCAACATCCATTTGGGGTGAATGTAAGCATTCTTTCTTCTGTTCTATTTAATTATTGAATCCACTAACACACCTACTCCAGATGGTGTTTCCGACGCGGCCCTTCTGGCGGGCACCACTCCCCAGAACGTATCGCATACAATGGGTATCCGCCTAGTGGCACCTGATGCAATTAGATCTACGGATCGTTTTCCTACATTAGATGCGACCTTTTTTGGGGAATCGACGGAGGTAAACGGTGATCTGGCCTTTTCGGAACAGCCATACATCTACGAAGCTCTTAAGTTGCCCCAGCCAACCCCGTCAGAGCCAGTAGCAGCACCAGCGACTACACCGGAAACGATACCAGCGGTAACAGCGAGTGATGCGACAGCTACTGAACAGACCGCCGTCGTCACCCCGGCTGTCACACAGACCCCGACTCCGATCCCAGTAACAACTTCAGCTACACTGGACACGTTCGCCGACGCAAAGAGCAAATGGATAGGCGAAAGCCGTGTGATCGACCCAGCCAAGGCTCTTCGTATTTTCGCAGATGCGGTGGCGGACAAGCTAGCATTTGGAGCTGAACACTCTTCGGGAATGCAACTCAATTCGGGTTGGGCGGATCTCGAGCCTCTTGCAAAGCCACCTTTGCAGTATATCAAGAATATGGAGGAATACTACCTCCAGGCTCCACAGGTACTCTTCGCAAGTGCGTGATGTGATGTGATGTGATAGCTTACTGGGAATGGGATTTTCGCCCGGTGGCGTGTAATTATTAGTGATTTTACCCGAGGAGCATGCTCTTCTCCACCACTAGTTGTCCGATTCTTCAATGTTAAAACTTGTTTCTCGGCCTTTTTTGCCATTCCTCTGCATTCTTCCCCAAGCAGTGCCACCGGAGATATCTAGAGCTTACTAGTGCTATATTCAGCCTGATTTCATGTTGTTCCTGAACGCCACCGGGTCGTCTAAATATGCTTTGTTTCTAAGACTGCAGGCGTACGCAGGCGTCGCCGGCATCATTACCCGACGAACTCCACGTGGTGAGCGGGCCGGGCCTTGTACCAGGAACGGTATGTATGGTATTGTGGTATTACATCTTACGGTGTACGATGTATGTAATAAAACATTCTCGGTTACTTTTACTCAGACGAGAGGCTAAGAATAGTAAACAGCCAATATGTAGACAAATGGATCCTCCTTTCTGTGAAAAAGCATTCCACTGACATCTTTCTCCTGTCTCTTCACATCACAACCCATCTTGAAGATGGCGGCCACCGAAAACCCCATCTCCAATGGAGGGTAAGTCCGTAGTGGTCGATCTATTATATATATTCCCCAGTTTTGCTAACTGACGTCTTCTTCTAGCACGGTGGATGGTATCGAATTCGACGTGAAGATTAATGGCCATGAGATCAATGGTTCAAAGATCAAGTCGAAACTAGGAAACCTCCTTAAGCGAAAAAATCACTCATCCGGTCTCAACGGCGTCAACGGATCTTCGGTGGTTCAACCGAGGTCGAGTACTACCACAAACACACTTGATGCGAACGGCTCCACCTCTGCAGGTATCGTGCGCAATGGAAGCGCTACCGAGGACGGCAGCAGCATCAAAACTGGTTCAAGCGCTGTCGAATTCTCAGGCGAATATACCAGGTCTACCATCGGCGTGACTGGAGAGAATCGCTCTTGGGAAGATCGTACATTCGCATGCCAAAAGCACTATCGCCCTGCCCGCTTCCCGGAAGCCGTGGGGGCTTTGCCTTTCCCACGGGAGGTTCGTGACCTGGTCGCCTGGACGGATTCCTTTGTCGAGCGTTTGGGATGGGTTACAATTCAGAAAGAAGAAGTGAGATTTTCCAAAAAGGATAAGTTGTGTTATATGGACAATATATTCTGACGATAATGCTATTCCCTAGGAGGTTGTCGGATTCAAGACTCGCCTTCGCCATGCTGAGGACGAGAAGATCAAATTCACCAAAGACATTACCGATCTTCAGTCCCAGTTAAAAGACACCGAGAAAACCAATGAGGATCTACGCCGGGACAGAACCGAGTTATTGAGCAGAATCAAGGTCCTTGAGCTCGAAAAGGCCTCACTTGATAACCGAATCATTGGTCTGAAGGATGAAAACGCAAAACTCAATAAGGATTTGTGGGATCTCGGCGCACAGAACGAGATCTTGAGCGATGCCAACGCGAGTCTGACTCAGATGGTCAATACTCTAACCACAGAGTATGAGCTGGATGAGAACAGAATCCGTGAACTCCAGGAGGAATTGGACAGATTGAATGACGAAGATTTGCGCAGAGGACTAGAACGGGAAACCGTTATCTCTCAGCTGGAGGCGGCTAACAAAGCCAAGCAGGATCAGATTGACATTCTCACTGCCGCCCTGACCGCTGCTACTGCCGACCTGGTTGTGGCCAAGGATCAAGTGGACTCAATCTCCGAAAGTCTCAAGCGGGCAGAGGCTTCCCGAAATGAAAAGATTGCAGAGCTCAGAGACGTCAAAGACAAGCTCCGTGCTACAGAAAGCAAGAATGCTGGCTTGGATGAACAGATCAGAGTTCTCAAACGCGATATCTCTCACTACGAACAGGATATCCGTGTTCTTAATGCTCAGCTCACCGAGGCCAGCGTTCGCGAGAGCGAAGCACGCGCAGCTGTCGGCGCTGTACAAGACCACGCCAGAACTCACTGGAGCACTCTTCAAAAGATTCGCGGTGTGGGAGGCTGGTCGCGCCAGAACGACTGGCACGAGTGCGATACAGCTGGATCTCCTCCTACTGCAGCCATTCCTGTTTCTCATACGGAAGATCCTTCTAGCAGATCAGGCGGTGACCCTGGTCAGGGGTCTTTGCGCAAGCCACTTGTACCCATTGAAACGCCAGTCCCAGTTCATGGGCGACCGGATTCTGAGAAGCCCGAAAAGCCATCGGCTCCTGCTGATCCCGCTCAGCCGCTCAAGCCTATTGAGACTCCCAAGCCTGTTGAGACTCCCAAGCCTATCGAGACTCCCAAACCTGTTGAAGCTCTCAAGCCTATTGAAGATTTCGCAAATCCGGAACCTATCCGAGCACCTGGACTCCCAAGATCGGATGATGATGATAAGTCGGCAGCGCCAGTTCAATCTACTCAACCGACCGCACCCGCCGACATTCCTATGATCCCAGAGCCTGTTGAAACTCCCAAGCCAGTAGCGCCTGCTGAACCTGTGGAACCCGCAAAAACATCCGAGCCTGATGTCCCTACTCAACCGCCATCTGTCTCGGCTCCGAAGACACCAGAGCCTATTGAATTCACCGAGCCAGTAGCACCCGTCCAAAAGGATGACCCACCAAAAGTGATCGACGCTCCCATTGAGCCAGTGGCTCCCAAGGAATCCGACTTGCCGCCACCTACCTCACCAGCACTCAACCCAGTCCGAGAGCCTTCTGCACCAGTCGAGCCCTCACCAAAGCCGACTGACCCGATACCACCTGTGGCTTTTGAACCTTTGGAATCCCCCGAACCGGACTTTGGTGGACCTGAGGGTAATGTAGATGAAGTGGACGATGGAGGTGATAGAGATGATGAGGATTGCCCTGAGGACGATTCAGGTGGTCGCCATCATGGTGGAAGAAGGCCCCATGGACCCGGCTTTCACGGAAGGGATCACCATGAGCGCCCTGGGCCGGGTGGCCCACCAGGACCACCAGGACCTCATGGACCTCATGGACCAGGTTTCGAGGGACCAAGAAGAGACCACCCCGGGCCTCCGGGACCTCATGGACCAGGCTTCCAGGGTCCTGGAGGTGACCGTCTCGGGCCACCAGGACCTCCAGGTCCGGGCTTTCATGGCCCAGGGCGTCATGAGCGTCATGGATCCGAGGGCTCTGACTTTGACGGGCCCCCCTCATGGCGGACCAGGCGGACCCGGTGGCCCACGGGACCAACGTCGTAAGCGTCGCCATGATAAATGATATTCCCCTTGATAGCTAGTTTGATGTGATGTGTTGAGATCTATGGACTGTAGTATTACGGATACTCAAGTTGTAGGACATATGGCCATGTTTTTGTCCGGCGTACTATGTATTAGTCAAACGATGCCTGTTGTTTGAAAGGTTTCCTATGCTCATTTCGAAATCAAATTTTGTCATCTATTTTGTTAATGAATCAAGTATTTTGCCTTTTGTATTCATTTTAATGTTTTCAATGTTCTATCAGATCTTAAGACCAAGTCTTTGTTGATCTCATCTGTCATCTATCATCTCCATAGTTTCATTTTGAAACATTGAAACAGATTTCTATGGAGTATGGAGATTGCACTGGCATCCATTCATCATGGATAGGAATAGATTTTGCATACTAGTACTACTGCTAGGTATGATGAAAATTTGAATATCCAATGTTTCTTTGCTATACTACTAGATTTCCCACTACCTAGGTACAATATCTACCTGAAACATCAAATTAAGTCGCAAATGAAAATTTGCGATATTGCGATACCTTCGATTTCGAAATTGTTAGTTTTTACAAGTGCGAAACTACGCCTTCGATTTCCATCTGGTGATATGTAGTCCATCTTCCAAGGATCCCGTTGAATCAATGCTGAGGCTCAGGTCTTGCCGTTGGGATAAGCTTAAAACTTGAACATACCTTTACTCCTGTTAACTTTCGCTTGGGCTCAAGTTCCAATTCGACCTGCTCAGGGTCATCAGAAACACCATGAGCGGCCTCAGATCTTTCTATTTTCTCAAGATTTTGAGCCATGATAAATTCAAGTGTTCCCGGGCACTGTGACGTATGAACAGGACGGAGTTTCGACGACAGCAGCTGTATAAGTTCAAGTCTCCTTCTTGAATAGTGAACGCAAAATGGCATATTGTCAGAATATTTTAACTCCCAAGTCCGATATGTTATCCCCGGTACATAAACCGAAGCACCGAATGTTTCTTTGTTTCTTGGTGATCTACAATTTACTTTCTACTCAAAGCTCCATCAGATTAGACTTCTCCAAAACCCAATTTGGGTCCAAGGTATGGACCCAAGACCCAACCCACCTGGGTCTTGGGTCCAGCATCTAAAAATCCAACCCAACCCAAGACCCAAGCTGGGTTCCCAATGGGTACCCAGAAAAACCAAATTTTGCATAAAAAAGAGGTCTTGGCGTACATAACTCTGCTCAGTCATCAATTTAAAATACTGTTTTTTACCTGTGTTTGGCATTTGTTTTGGTTTGTCTATTAGAATCTTTATATCTTTACATGTAGCTATAGAGAATTTTAAATATCTTTCTTAGAGATAGATGTTAAAAAGTAAGGTTTTATATTAATTACTAGTAATAATAATAGACTTCTCATTTAAATATAGTATTTGTATATAGTAGGAAAAAATGTTACAAAAATGTTATAAGTAGCTTGTAGAAATATATATTTACATGTTGTGGAGGTAGTAGATCTTTTAGGTGCATGCCCTGAAAAGTACTACTTTTTTTATTTTTAAGCTGATTTAGTGTTTCTTAATATCATATTAAAGCTTAAGTTCTATTATTTAATATAATCTTTTATTCAATTAGAGAAGATAGTCTGTATAAAATAGAGGACTAAACTAAAGAAGCCTGGGTAAAACTTTTTGGAAGATTTTTGACGGAATTGGGGTGGGATTGGGTAATCCTTGGGTTTTCTTGGGTCTCCTTGGGTTTTTGTGGGTAATTCTTGGGTTTTCTAAGGTTTTCTTGGGTCCTGTTGGGTCTTGTTGGGTTTAAAATTAAATATTATTTATCAGAAGTGTACTGTTGGAGATATATACTTTAGTCTACCTGGCCTGCTATATGGTTCTACTGGTCCTGCTATCTTATATTGTCTTAATATCCTAGCTTGGTTTGTGAGCATTAGTGAAGACCACCAGATACTAGATATTGCTGAATCAGGAATGTGGGATGACCTATCTCACTGTCACTATTGTTTTTACTCTGGCACCAAGACCCCTTTAGGGTTGCCTAATAGCACTTTTGGAGGGTGTATGGATCACATTTTCCCAGCAACTATATACCTTGGGCGTCTAGGTGCGATTTCAGATGTACTAGTTGGGCAGATGCGCTGGGACGAGGTGGATGTACAAGAAGAGCTTAACATGTTGTTTAGAGATGATGATATAGCTGCTTGGGATTTAATATAGATGTGGCGGAAACGTGCTCAGTAGCTATATGTTACTGGCTTTGTAAAGCTAGTTATAGCTGAACGTGCTACATTTGGGGCTGGCTCCTTCTTTCAGCGGACCTAGCTTGGTCTAGATGTTACCCCTATGTTTATCAAAGAGGGTGTTTACTAGTCTGGGTTATAGTATGAGATTAAGGGTGAGCATGAGTATAGTAGTAATAATGATAGTAATAATAATAGTAATACTGATGATGATGGTAATAGTAATGTCAATAATAATAACAATGGTGGTAATAGTGGTGATAGCGACGGCAATGGTGATAGCAACAGTAATGGTTGATGGTAATAGTAGCAATAATAGTATTTAGATAGTATTTAGATGCTACAGAGATAAGTTTTGTGCACAAAAGCCTATTAGTATGGCTTTCAGTAGGAGATGGCTAGCCTTTCTATAGACTTCATTAGACTATATTTTATGCACAAAAGCCTATCTTAGTTTATGTGCTTTGGAAGACAAATGGGATAGAACAGGAAGACAGACAAGATGGTAGGATGGAACAGACAGAATGGACAGAATAGAAGAAAGAATTAGACAGCAACAGAGTAGATGAAGTGGATTAAGTTAAGAGTAGATTGAATTAGTTAAGACCCTAGCATCCAAAAGCCTAAAGGCCGTAAGGGAAATACCCAAAAATACAACGCCAAAATGCATAATTTATGCAGTAGCAAAGTCTGGGCATGTTGGCTCTGTTTGTGACCCAAATGGGTACCCATGGGTTGGGTCGGGTCCAAGGGAAAAACCCAAAACCAAGGCCTGGGTCTAAGATTTGGACCCAAACCCAACCCAATGGTGGGTTGGGTCGGGTTGGGTCTTGGGTCGGGTGGGTTTTGGAGAAGTCTACACCAGGTCCATGTAAATCCCGCAGCTCCACTTGCCGCAGTCAAGTTTTGACGTCAATCTAGGGATTTCGGCCGATGTTTCTCGGCTTTTGTCTTATTAATGGGATAAGGCTGCGGAGACCCCTTCAAGTGATAAGGACATCATAATATAATTGTACTTTTGAAAGCAAATTTTTAGAGCACGTGTCTACCCGTACATGAGACCACTTCCTCGGTAGACTTTAGCTCTTGACGCGTCTGTAGAACTTCCCCTTCTTAGGTTTCCCCACACACAACTTTCCCCTCGTGGCTCAGTTGCTAGCACAAATATTACAGATCGTATGATTGAATAGAGACAATTGGCTTGCTAGCAACAGAAGCAACCATCATGGCCGCCACTTACAATGTGCAAACATACCTGCTGAAAAGAGCAAACATTCAGGACACTATCGTCCGGACAGTATTGAATGAGTTAATCCCTGTGATTTATTTCGTCCCACTCACTGACTCCCTACAGATGCACCTATTCGACACCGGTGCGACCGCCGAGACGATCAATTCTGTTTATACTGCTGAGATCCACCTCGATTATGACGAGCTTCTCGGCTTCTCCCCCGAGGTGATCTCCAGTGAGGCCTGGGCTAAGAGGCTGTATCAAATCCATACGCCGTTCGAAGAAACGCAGCATGTCATTCAGTGAGGCTCAAATTCCACATCTTGTTGGAAAAACCCGGCCCTTAAATAGCCCGGTCCGCATTTGCGGGCCGCTGGCTTCTTAGGGGACCTACTTGCAATCCAGGCTTTTCAAAATGGTGAAATATCCACAATTCGCGAGGTAGCAAGGCGATTTGACATACCAAGGACCACGCTCCAGCGACGCCTAGCAGGCCACCTATCTCGGTCTACTACACGCGCAAATGGCCATAAATTGACCGAAGTAGAAGAGGATTCGCTCTGCAGATGGATACTCTCTATGGATACACGTGGTGCAGCGCCTACGCAGCCTATGGTACGAGAGATGGCAAATTTATTGCTTGCTAAGCGTGGAGAGGCAACCCCGCAGACAGTTGGGACTAAATGGGTATATAACTACACAATAGGTCAAAAGTCTGGGTACACCTCATATATAAGAATTCGGCCGAAAAAATCAACTCCTACAGAAAAGAAATTCTTAAAATTCCAATTTTTAATATTTTTATTTGAGACTTGGTAATAGTACAGATCAATAGATAAACTTCTGATTCTTCCACTAATATTTAGTGTAATATCCCCGAACGTTATAGACAGCCTTACAGCGCTTAGTGAACGACCTGATCAGGCTATCAATGGTTTCTTGAGAAATATTCCACCACGCATGTCTCAATAAATCATGAAATTCAGTCCAGGCAACTAAGGAGCGGCCTGTGTGTCGTAAATCAGGGCGCAGTTTAAAAACCTCGCGTTTAAGAAGGAACCAGCAGGGCTCGATTGGGCTAAGATCAGGGCTATGCGCAGGCCATTCCATAACATGAATTCCATGATCCATAAAAAAGTCTTGGGTGGTCTCCGCAGTGTGAGGCTTTGCATTATCTTGCTGAAATATCATCTCTGGTGTATAATGACGTAAAAAGGCCTCTTCGAGAGCCCATGGGTAGGATCTAGCCGAGTATCCACCACGAGGAGCTTCAGAATCGCGTTTCATAATGACTAGGTCTGTACGACCACCAATCCAAATGCCAGCCCAAACCATTTGCGCAATATCTCGGCCATGATTAGTAATATTTACCAAGTCACGTCGATAGGCCTCTGATGTAAGTCGAAATACCCATTGAATTGTTGAATTTGACCGTCTTTGAACTGAGCATTCATCGCTGAATACTAAGCGTTCTAATTCATTGAAATGACGCCATTGACGTGTAAATTCACGTCTCTCAATAACATCTTCCTTCTTTAAAGGGATTCGACGGCGAGATTTCCATTTATGGATCTTATAGCGACGTAAACATCGATAAACAGTTGACCGTGAGATGCGTAGACTGGTCTCTGCAATCAGGGCTGCCCAGCTCATTCTAGGGAACCGACGACAGACCCGATAACCCATAACGTGTAGTTCGATCATTAATTGAAGTAGGGCGCCCTGAACGATGACGTGACTTCATGTTGTTGTGTTCCTCATAGCGTTTCATTGTTCGATACACAGTAGTACGGCTGATTTGAAGATCACGCGCGATTTGAGCTGGTTTATGACCCAATTTAACAGCTGGAACGATAGAAGAACGTGCCTCAACAGATAATTCTCCATTTCGCGGTCTATTTCCGCTAATAACGGTGCCAAAAGCTCTCATTTTGGTGGTGTTATGATTTTTTGAAAGTGATGGGTTGGAAAAATTAAAGTTCTACGGAAAAGTGTACCCAAACTTTTGAACAGGTATGTATATCCAACGGACACCTGAGCTTGCTACACGTCTATCACGTCTATATGAATATAAGCGTGCTTTATGTGAAGATCCAGCTACTATAACGGAGTGGTTTAACCGTGTGCAGCAAGTTATTCTTACGTATTGTATCCTTAATGAGGATATTTATAACTTTGATGAGACTGGCTTTGCTATGGGTATGACAAGTACATCCCATGTTGTTACACGTGCTGAGTACTATGGGAGAAGACGCCTTCTTACATCAGGAAATCGTGAGTGGGTTACTGCTATTGAGACAATCAACAGTCGTGGATGGGCACTTCCACCATATATCATCTTTAAAGCAAAGATGTTTAACCAAGCCTGGTTTTCAGCCGAAACCCTACCATCTGATTGGCAATTAGATGTTAGTGATAATGGCTGGACTACCAATCAAATTACAATGAATTGGCTCCGGAATCACTTTTTACCCCATACAAATACACGTGTGTATGGAAAGTGGCGGCTTTTGATTATGGATTGCCATGGTAGCCACTTGACACCTGAATTTGATCAAATATGCGAGGAAAACCATGTCCTACCATTATGTATGCCAGCCCATTCTTCCCATCTTCTTCAACCTCTTGATATTTGGTGTTTTAGTGTGATAAAGCATACCTATAGGCAGGCTATCCAGCAAAAGCTTCGATATGGCACACACCATATCGATAAGCTTGATTTTCTTGCTATATACCTATCTACCCGGGACCAAGCTTATAAGCCAGCTATAATTTCAAATAGCTTCTTAGCAGCTGGTTTAATTCCGCTTAGCCCGCAGCAGGTGCTTGAGAAGCTTGATATAAAGCTACGTACGCCTACACCACCCCCTAGTAGCGGAAGCAGTAACTTTACCCCCCATACGCCCTACAAGCCTACCGATATCCGACGACAGGCTTCATCAATCAAAAGGCTATTGAAGCAGCGGTCATTACACCTCCCAGCCCAGCTAAAGAAGCGCTTGAGCAGCTGATTAAGGGATGTGAGATTGCTATGCATAACGGCGCATTTCTTGCTCATGAAATTGAGCAATTACGCGCTGAGAATGGGCGGCAGGCACGTAAGCGTGCCCTACCTAATAGGCAGATGGCCAATAAGGGTGGAATGACTGTGAGCGAGGCAAGCCAGCGCATACAGAAGGAGGAGGATATAGTAGAAGCAGAGCGGGTGGTAGATGCAGAGCGGCGGGAAGCTCGAAAAACGGCCACTGGGAGAGCGCTGCCAAAGTGTACAAGTTGTGGAAATATTGGACATAAAAGGAATACTTGTCCTAATTAGGATAGATGTTATTTTAATTAATCATCTTTGTTGTTGGTTGAATAATACTATAAAGTATGCGTTGGTAGGTAGAACGGTGGCCCGCTCGCTTACATGGCCCGCTCGCTTACGGGATACGTTATTTTTACATCTTAGATTTAGCAGAATTGAACACACACACATCTGTACAATTGAACCCCATTGGGTGCCACATTGACAGAACACGGGTGCAGAACTAGCCCAATTTGGTTAGTTCAAACCACTATTTAATGGAGAGCTCTGATTGGTCGAACCAGAATGGATCACATGACTGATCAGGTGATCTCCAGGCAGAATTTATGTGCGTAATTATCAGAATGAGAAAACCAGACCTGTTGAGACATCCCATTGGCGACCGCCTACTGCATTGGACATTGTAGTCTGTCACACATGCTGCTGAATAAGCCTTTATTCTGACATAACGTGATTCCCGGTTACCCGAGCGTCCCGGTTACTCGAGCGATGCTCCAAGAACTTCAAATTTCCTACTTTTTCAATCTCAAATTTCAACACCAAAACACAATTAAATAATTAAATAAGTTTAGTAGGACATTTAGAATAGGTATGTCCTTTAGTTCCACAACCAGAACAAGTGACCTGGCGCCGTATGATAGACACAGGGGGTAATGGAGGCTCTACCAGTGGCTCCGTAGCACCCTCCGTTGTAGATATATATTGCCTTCCACCATCTTTTTCTTCCACCACATTACACTCAATCTCTTTCAAACTTCGCAGACTGCCTTCATGCGAGATCTGCTTTTTACTAGCAGTCCTCTTGTTCACCTGCTTCTTATTGGCTGTCTCTAACTTGGCGCAACGATCTTGGATAAAGATGAGCTCATGAGCTAGTCGAATAGTCATATCATGCGACCGGTCAATAGCTCTTTTAAGCGGCGAGGTCATAGTCTCTGATGAAGGTTCAAGTCCTTTCTTGATCCTAGAATTCGTTTTTTGCAGTTTCGAGAGGCTCCAAAGTGTATCGAGATCACTAGTACTGCTAGAAGATCCTGGTCGTGGCTCAGGTGGTTGAGATGATAAAAATGATTCAAGCTGAATATTAAGCTTATCTAGTACATGATTAGCATCTAAAGGTACTAGACCAGCACCTCTAAAGCTATTCTGTATAGTCTAAGCTTTAAAAGCAGCTTCTTGGGCAATAGGATAGAGTTAAATAAAGTTATCTTTATCAATAGAATTGATACCAAGACGTATCTCTTCCATAACAAGCCCTCCATACACCTTTTTCAAGACTGCAAAACACCCAACATCAAGAGGCTATAATAAGTGAGATGTATGAGCAGGTATACAAAGAGAGATAACATTATTCTCTTTACAAATTTTATCAAATTCAGGTGTCAAGTATGATGAGTGTCCATCTAGAATTAGCAACATATATTTCCCTTTCCGTATAGGAAGATAAGGTAAAAAATGCTTTTGTAGCCAATCAACACCAATCTCATCACTTGTCCATCCATTAGGACTTTTGTTCACACCCCAAAGTGGTGGCTTTTGAAACCAGCGCTCCAAAAAGACCTTTCCTTTGAAAATAATATATGGTGGAAGCACAACACCATTAGCACCGATATACTCAATAGCAGTGACCCATTCTCGATTCCCAGGTTGTAAGACACCTCTTTTGCCATGATATTCCGCAGAAGTGATAATTCTTTGAGTTGAATTGATTCCCATAGCAAATCCAGACTCGTCAAAGTTGTAGATATCATCAGATGTGATACCATATTTTTTGATAGTATTTTCAACAAGTTTAAACCAGGATAGAATGACTTCAGGATCCTCGGAAAGAGCTCTCTCATAATTATACTTACGAGAGAGACAAGAGGAAAGGGACTGGTGTCTTTTGACAAATTCTGTGGTCCAATTCTTGCCAACTTTCGGAGGGGGGTCAGAAGGTGTCAATCCACGCGATCGGAGTAGTAAGTTGGCCATATCTCTCAACATAGCATGTGTGAGAGCTGCTCCTCGAGAATCCATAGAGAGTAGCCATTTTTCCATAGACTTCTCTTCTAAAAGAGTAAATTTATGGCGAGGATGGCGAATTTCATCCCAAAATTCTCGCCCATTGATCCGGTGCTTCAAGGTTGAGACTGGGACGCTAAAAGCGCGTGCTGCAGCAGCAGCCGAGGGATATTGACCATCCTTTATAGCTTTAATAGCTAATAATAGGGGTCCCTCTTGCTGTACTAATTTTTGAGATCTTTGAGAGCGAATTGGTGGCATGATTAATGTTTAAAAAACTTAGGTTGCTACAGATGTGATTTTGTTTGATGTGTCGCTCGGGTTACCGGGACGCTCGGGTAACCGGGAATCACGTTATAATTTTTTAGACTTTACCTAATCTAGTAATCTTAATTATGAAAAATACAAATATGTTTTGGATTACAGAGATTATAATTATAAAATAAAAAGAATTTAAGTTTTAATTATACAAGATCAAAAGATTTAAAACATAAGCCATACTATAATAAAAAAAAGATTAGTATCCTCCTTGAGATAAGTATGAATGACCTATGTTTCAAAGCTCCCTCGCCCACTATTAAAATGCATCACGAAGATTATTAACATCAGCTTGATTAGCACCAATATCTGTTGTTGCATCTATAGCAAGCTCCATAAAAAATGATCGAATAGCCATTTGCCAAAGAATATATCCATTATCCTGTGGTTAAAGTCGAAGAAATAACCGCCGATTGGGTGCAACAGGTCCGTTTGGGAGGACATTCGCCGGTGCTGTAGGTACGGCTGGCCCTAGAACCAAAGGAGGTGCGGTTAATTGAATCTGTATTTGCCGTCATATAGCCATTAACCTTTGATATTCTTGGATTTTCTCAGTATTCCCATCTGGCTGTTCTCCTGTATGTAAATCATACTGCTTTGCATGCATTTTAACAGCATGATCCAATGCTAAAGCAAGTTTCCCGGTCGCTTCAGGTACTTTTGCAGCGGCATTCGGATAGTTTACCCATACGAATCCAGTAGCGAGAGTTGCTCCAACACCAGCAGTTCCAGGTACAGTTTGTGTTGCCTCTGCCCATCCAATTATCTCTTGAAAATCCAGCCAATCTCCCATCATTCCTTCTTACCACTAAAACAAATTAGTTTTAGAACTATATATGAACCAAGGGTAATACATACCTAAGTACAGTAGCAATTAGACTGGATACAGTTAGTACATTTCTTTAAATTAATATTGGTATATTGACAATTCATTCAAAAAACTGTAAGGGCTAGACCTCCTGCCTGGAATGCAGGTTGATCGGTATATTTAAACTTGTAAACTTCTCTATGAAGACATCAAATATAGGTATAAATCGATAACCGTGGTAGATGGATAAAATGGATTTGGATAGGAGATGGTAAAGGCTCCGGAGGTCCTGGGATAACGTTTAAACCAGTAAGGAGAAGAGCAGTAGCGTCTATGGTTTAGGGGTGTTTCAGAGGTAGTTCGAAGGTGGTTTGGAGGTGGTTTAAAGTTTTATCAAGAGGGTTTAAGTAGTATTTTGTAAATAGAAATTGGAGATGGTAAGAAGGAATAGATTTAGAACTTAGGGATTATAATGATTCTTATATGTACAGAATATTATTAGTAAACAGTAAAAAATTTAAGATTGGGTGATTAAACAAATGAAATTAGTAGAAATAATATTTGCTTTATCTTTGAAAGAGATTTATTTCCGGTTTAAACCAAGGGCTACGTATAGTTAAATCATAATGTAAAGGAAGAAATAATAAAGATATACGTATAAGAGATTATAGGGGTAATAATATTTTATTAAAAATTATCAGATATAAAATCGGAATTAGATATTTCCGCTTTAATCTATTTTCAGCGTGGGGAAGACAGGACCAAAGGTGATGACGTCACGCAGAGGATGTCAGCTGAACAGGGGCACCAAGCTACAGGGAACCCTTCGGAGGAAAGGGTAAAGATAAGACCAAAAGATCAGACAACACGGATCAGATGGAATGACATACGACCAAGCTGGATCCGAACTTAGGATGGAATGGAAGGAAAGAATCAAACAAAGATACAACTGATCCAAAAACGATTGAATTCGATGCTAAACTAGCTAAGGGGTAAGATCAGGTTTTATAGAACTTTAGACTAAACAAACATGAGACCAAAGGTCTCAGGATATGGGACGAAAGGGCTACGGAATCCGAAATAATCGAGTCCTTTCATCTCATCTTGCAACCATTGATCCTAACAACGGGGCTCGGGTTGCGGATCTTCTCGGACGAGAGAAGATCATCTTTGATCTGATAGATCAGATCAAAACCATATCATTCATTTCGCAACGGAAATGTTTGATCGCGGGATGAATTAGTCAGCATAACCTTTGGACCAAAAAGGGCCACTTTTCATCCCAGGAATCCAGGCACACAATCAGCCTGAATTGCTGACAATATATCTATTCGATGGCTAAATTCTAAAAGAGCTCTATGGAAAGTTATAATAAAAAATATACTTATTTTAGGATAAGAAAAGCTTGTAGAATATTATGAAATGACTAATGGGAAATAAGGTTATCTTTATGCTACTATAACTATCTTAGCTTCTTCTCGTAAACTATAAGCTTTTTAAACTAATATATAGTGTGGAGATGACGCTAACTGGGCTAAGGAGTATAAGCGCTTTATACGTGAATAGTATATGGAGTATGCACGAACCAGCCCTAATCCACCTACCTCCAGACGTCTAACACCCTAAACTTTTCTTAACCGGCTTCTTTACTAATCTTCCACTTAACAAAATACTAAGGATAAGCTTACACGCTATCTCTAAAGTGGAATTATTAAGGCTAACCCTTATACTTAGTAGCGGAACCACTCTAATGATTATCTAATTCTAGCCCGAATCGCCCGTGATACACTCTATGTCCTAGCTACTGGAGCAGGTGTTAAGCGTATATTTAATTATGTTTAAGATTTATGCTATTACCGCTAAGGTTCTCTAAAACCGGAGACTATTAAGGATCTAATGTTGTATATATGCTCAACCAAGTTTGAAACAGAGGAGGATCGATTACAGTTCATATGTGATTCAATGCTCGAGGAACAAGCAGCCATTGGATCCTATGAGTATAGTGATGAAATTGAAAATCCAGAAGAGGAAGTGGAGGAAGAGATTTAAGTGGATGATGTATTTAATTATATCAGTGATGATGATGTAGAGGAGGTTGATGAAGAGGTCTCCGTCATAGGAGATTCAACTCCAGGTCTACCATGCAACAGACCTAAGTCACCCTTGAAACGGACTCAGGTTCGAAGGAGTGTCTATGATGATGATAATGATGATGATCATCATCATCGACTCCCTAAACGACAAAGAAAACCTCCTTCTCAGGCTCCAGGATTTACCATTACACAGTATTAGATTATTATCTTTTTAATTTAATTGTTCTTTTAAATTTACCTTTCTTTATATACTTGATTCAACGATACGAAGTATATGATTTAGATCTATACCATACCCTTCTCAAACCCTTCTCAAACCCTTCTCATACTGCATAATGTTTTTTAAATATGCATATTATACATGCTCCACTTTTCTTTTGCCCATGGGTGCCCATGGGCCAGGGTCCTAGCCCATGGGCTGTGATGGGCCAGGCCCATGGGTTTTACCCATGGGCTTTGCACAGGTCTAACTATGTTTGTATCAGACAATTGGATTCAAATGTTCAAATGTTTAGAGGCATCCCCTTAATTCCCTTAAGCTCACCTATACTGATGAGACTGCACATGTGACATAAACTAGCACTTGAGAATCATGATATTTGAATCAATTGATATTTATCGGTCTTGAGAAATGGATTAAGGTATATAAGGAATACGGAGATGGATATTATGATTTCTATTCGATACCTATGCACATCAATGTGTTGATCATCTTGACACTAGTATAATCTCGGAGATCAATACGGAGTAGTACGGAGTACAATGGAGTATCACGGAGTCTCCAGAGTATTATGAAAAGGGGAAGTGTTCAAATGAAATATTTTGTATTTCAAGGTGAAACATTTGAAACCATTTAAAAGGATCATAATCTATTTTCCGGATCTTTGACCAATTTGCGTATGTTCGGGGCTGAATCCCCACTTAGTCCATCTCTTAGCAAACCATATACGGTGAATGTGGGTCAACGTTGATGTACATTATAGTACATTAATACGAACTATATTAGTTAACTGTGGCCGGATCCCTGGAAGACTTGCTGTAGCATTATTAATTTCGCATACGTGCACGAATGGAAAGAAAAAAAGAAATAGAAATTAAATGAAAAAAAGGCAGAGAAAAGAAAGTAAAAGGAAAGAAAATGAAAAATGAAACAAAGTAGAGATTGTTTACTCGGTGGGCTGCGCAGTCCCTAACAGCGCTTGTGCCTGGTAGAGTTGCTCGTCTATGTCTTGCAATTCGGCATCAACCACCTGGTTTGCCATTTCCAGATAACGGATGCGTTTAATGGCCAGCGTGATGATCATGCCGCGGTCCACCTTCCCGTGTGCCGAGGCATTGTGGTAATCGCAATCCGCTTCAGTGCCAGCGAGATGATTCTCTTTGCATTTGATGCTATCCAACAACTTTTCAAATACCTGCGACAATCGCTGCCGGTATCGCACCTCGGCGGCATAATGTCTGCGGAGCGTCCTGGGTCCCTTGTCGCTGCTGAACTCAGCATTCACGTTGGCAGAGAGTGGAAGATGTAGGCAATTCCCCTCATGGGAAGAGTTGTCCATGGTGAGAGATTCGCAATCCACTCTGTTGGTGGTGCTATAGAAGGTAGATTGTTGTTGCTCGGGGGGCGGATAACAATGATATACATTGTCGAGAAACCTCAGATGACTGGTAGAAGACATGCTTGGTGTTGTATAGTGGTATGTAAGCATGGATGTATTGTATGTGTCGCAAGATCTGAGACGAAAACATTTTCTCTCTGGGGAAACACAGTAAATAAGGTGGAATCTGGTCTGATCGGGGACTGAACGGCTCCTCTATTCTCTACTATTTATCGTGAATATCCTTTGTAATGATACCTGTTTAGCCGATATGTCACTTACAACTATTTTCTGGTGGCAAAAACCTGGTTTTACATACAAAAATCACCAATTCCCCTTATAATGATTATTATTAATCTACGTTTTATCTCTGATACAGTCGATAGCGAAATCTGCTTCCACCCTACAAGGGTGGGAGTGGGGACGTTCTGCCGAAGCGACGGATCTAAAATTCCTATGAGATTGGAGCTACTATACAAATCTAAAATATAGCATTTATTGGAGGTAATGGAACATGGAATTAACTGTGCCAAAGCCTACACAATGGGACCATCTGAGTGTCTGACTCTCAACCCTCAAATTGAGGGTAAGGATGGAGGGTCTAGTGATGTCTAATACTCACAGACTTTCCACTCAATTCGGCCCAGGTTTATCTCTACTAACGAAGAGGCTGAGGTCGTGTCACAAATGTGAGCCACTCGGGGATCTATCTTTCTTTCCCTGTGTACCCCAGGGTAAAACGCATAGTAAATGCGACCTCATCACTGGCTAATTCTTTTTTTTTTAAACTACGATCTTCAGATGCCTACAAAGCGCAAAAAGAATAGCAGCCATCAAACTTCCTCCAGAGGGACAGGCACGCCAGCTGATGGCCAGCTAGTGCGTTTCGAACACAGCCGAGCAGGCTGATGAGCACAATCCCAACATTTCCATTACCCCTGAAATACTGTCTCCGACGTTTTCCCCGAAGAATTATTACCTGCCAGACGTCGGCGGCAGTATTTCTAAAGTACCAGCCCTAGTTATTTCCATGGCTACCGCTGATCTAACAAGTACACGATGACCAGAATCTGGCAACATCAGAAGCAAACAGGAACAGAGGAAACCACCCCGCTTTAGATGAGAAGAGAAGCCGCTCCGCCCGACACGGATCTGGAACAGCGGTAGGTTGGCCAATCATCATATCAGGGGACAGAGCCGGGCCGCGCCGGTTGGAAGCTGGCCAATAGGGGACCCGGAAAATGCACGCAGTACGGCCCCACCCCCTAGCCCCCTAGCGGACACGGTGTGGAAACAGTTTTATCGGAACCGGTATATTTAATACTTTTGGAGAAGCTAAGCGGGGGCGGTGAACAGGACCGTATTTAGTGCCCCTCCCGGGTTTCCCCAACTTTCCCTCCTCTTTCCCCACCTATCAGTTACGAATCAACTCTACTATCTTGGTTATTATTCCCCACTTCTCCAATCCTTAGGAATTGTATCTCCTTAATCTTTTGGGCTGTATTGTTACGGTCCTCCTTCGGACTCCTTCAACGGATTGGGAATCACATCAAGTGATAGAACCGGGCCGCTCCGGTCGAAAGCTGGCCAATAGGGACCCAGACGGTGCTCCGGTCGGAAGCCGGCCAATGAGGGGCCCGGAAGGTGCACGCCGTGTACAGCCCACCTCCTAGCGCTCCAGACACGTAGGTGCGCGACCCACGGGAATTACAGTGGCGTTAAAAATATTTTACGTTATGATTTTTACCGCCTTTATCTCCGCCTTCCAGATTAGGCTCAGCTCGAAAGTAGAGGGATAGATAAAATAACAGCAAAATGCGTAATGATATCGATATTGGGTTCTGGCGATTCGATTTAATATTTGATTCAAAGACTCACACGTTATATATATACTCTGGATGCTATGTAGGTTGTTGGATTTTTTGAATGTCCTGGCAGAAAGATAAAGTGGCAGAATAAAGGTGGCAAATATCATAACGCAAACATTTTTAACGCCATTGTACGTTCCCGAGGTTGGCTTGGGAATTATGGAATTACGTTACGTATCACCTCGTCTCAGAAATGACCTTCCATCGCTAACTAGCTCAACAGGAAACCTCCTTAGCCTCAATCCTACTACCGTCATCTCGGGACTTGTTGTTCTGCCGCAGATGATCGAAATGGACTCCATTCATTGCCCGGAGGGAGAAATGAACCTCCAGCTCTGACCCTTTAGTCGAGGCAATCATCCCTGTATGGTAAGCACGCACTCTCATTGGCTACAGTCAAAATACATAAGTCCAGCAACTGACCGTCTCCGTTTCCTTTTTCCCACCCTTAGTGCCAGCAGCGAAAGCAATGCTTGGAATATATTCAGCAATTAATGATGAGTATGGGATGTGGGAAATGCTCGACTTCATCCGACCAGGTGCCTCCCTTGCATCTACAGCCTCTGCACTGGCACTCTCAGTCGCTGACATCAATCCCTGGCTGTGTTGGACTGGATGAGGCAGCTGGAAAAATGCCATCAGTCCCGCCCTCACACGTAGATCTACCAGATTCAGTGGAGGAGACTCTCTGGCCGTTCTTCCAAGCTCCAAATATGCAAACAGAGGAGACAACGTTTGATCATCACCAGTGTGTGTTCTTCTTCCCGTTTTGGTGCAGGACCCTCAGGTCTATCGAACATGAGCTAACGTCACGACGTCTTCTCGCTCACCTCAGACTTACTCAGCGACGGATGCTCGCCCAACGAACCACCAGCATGTGTTCAAAGAAGAGCGTCAATAACGCCGTCGCATCCAGGTCCAAACCCTTCCAATAGTGTGGGAAGCCTTGAAAATCTTGGTCCACCAGGTGAGAGATCTGGTATCTTAATAGACGACTGATGTCGCAGGGTTCTAACGACACCCGCTATAATGGCAGGCCAACCCATCTCCAACCAGAAACGCCACTATCAGGTCGAGAGGAATTATCGCAAACGACTGAACGAAAAGATCAAAAACCTGGCGGAGGTCATCCCGGGATGGTCACACACCGACCCGACAACTCTCACCACGGAGAACTCCAAATCGATGGTGTTGGAGAAAGCGATTGCCTATATCACGTGGCTAGAAGGTGAGCAGCAGAAGAAGCAACGCGCATTAGAGGCCAAGAAGGAAATTGCCAATTCTTTGCATTTTCTCTTCCATTAGAGAAGCCTACTGGATCCAAATGCGGACGGCTCGATGGTAAGAGGACGCTTTACATCCTTCACATCTGATTCATCTATTAACGCTCGTCCCTCATCCCGTCCCTCATAGCATCAATGAATCAATCAACGAAGCCGTGCGAAACCGTCCATGTCGAATGCCCTAGTGAGCAGAATCCATTCTCACTCCTGCCTTCCGCTCGATCTAGAACAGGTGTTCACCTTGGGCCATATCAGTTTTTGTATGTAGGAGGAGGTAGTATCGATCGTGGTGAAGGTTTGAGAGTGAAGCGCTGGCGGTGTGTAGCAGATTAGGTGAAAAATAGACAAAATATATCCCTAGCCAGCTAACAGTTTAGCTCGCTAAATGGCTCACCCTCCTAGTTGATTACGTTTCTCGGCACTGTGTCATATTTTATTGTGGGTTGGGGATCTGAATTATTTAACCTGATCGCAGGTTACGGATGTAAAGGAATCAGCGTGGGTCTGAGTGCTTTCGTAACGTAGAGGGAGTTCTATAGCTATCTAAAGGGCGGATATAGTTTCCCCCTTAGGGCTAGCATGGTCCGATTACAGGAATCGTCGTACCACCAGTGCTCCCATCCAAGGTAAAGTTAAATAGCTCGGTAAGACACGAAAGAATCATTAGTTATAGGCGGTGGCCTGACACCACCGTGCATAACTAGACCTTTATAGCGTTGTATTGCTTGTATACCGCTAGCGTTTCTACTCTGCTCTTGCATTTCTCCCGCCGATACGAAATTGCATCTTTTCTTTCATCGAGCCTCAAGTTCTATTCACAGCTTAAGTTACCGCCGTCCCCATTTCCCTCTTTCCCTCTTTTGCCTTCCTTTGTACGTTTCCAACCATTCAAAATCCATAACAGGACAATGGGCTCTCCTTCCACCTGCTATGACGTTTTAATCCTCGGCGATGGTCCTGCTGGACTGTCTGCAGGCCTGGCTTTGGCCCGCGGTGGCCGTTCAGCGATCTTCCTGACCTCGGGATCATATCGCAACCATGGTGTGACTGCCCTCCATAATGTTATCGGACACGATGGGGAAAGTCCCGCTCAGTTTCGCGCCGGTGCCCGAGAACAGTTGTTACGGAAGTATCCAACCATCAATGTGGCAGAGGGGCATACGATCGTTCACGCGAGCCAGGAAAAGCTCCCTCTTCATGGTGGCGAAGCGGCTGGCTTCCGACTCCAGTCAGCACAGGGTCAGGTATTCTACGGGCGAAAGCTGGTCTGGGCCGCCGGGGCACGCGATTGCTTCCCAGAGGATCTGGAGGGATTTCAGGCTTGTTGGCCGTCCCACATTTACCACTGCCTATTCTGCGATGGGTTGGAGAAGATGCAACTGGACGCCGGAGTCGCCGTCCTGGCATACCCCTGGAAACCGATCTATGGCTATCTGGCGCTACAGGCCGCCTCATTTAAGCCCGCACGGGTGGTGATCTTGACCAACGGTGTCCCTGTGACGGACCAGCTAAGGGAAACATTGAAACTGGCCTGCGCGATGGGATGCACCATCGACGACCGACCGATCGGTCGGCTCCTTGCCCCGGCCACGGCGCAGTCTCAGTCCCAGGTCCCCCAGGACACAAGCTCGGTGACCGTCGAATTTGCAGATGGGAGCTGGGACAAATTCGCCTTTCTGATCAACAAGCCCAAAACCGACATTGTCTCCAAGGATCTAGCAACGGAGCTGGGACTTGAGCTAGAGCACTCGCCGCAGTTCGGCACCACCATCAAACGCCGGGAACCGTGCGGCGAAACTAATATTCCTGGTCTCTACGTGATCGGTGATGCCGGAACCCATGCCAAGCAGATCGTCGTGGCCATGGCGCAGGGTATGTACGCAGTGGACAGTCTGTGGGCTGAGTTGATCACGGAGGATGCTCAAATGCAGGTCAAGAAGGTGGAAGACGCTACAGGTGGAGGGGTTTCCTCAAACGCATTAGTTTAGCTGTCATTCTGTGCTTCCCACACTCTTCTCAGAAAGGATATACAATCAACATTCCCCCTGGAGGTATTATGGATTAGCTGATTTATTTGACTAGTAGATAGAAAAAATTCCCATGAACCCAACCCCTTTATCATTACGGAGCGTGACAAAGACTAAAATTTCAGGTCAGAAGCGATAATATGGCTTCAATGGGGAAATCTTGCAACCATCAAATCACCCTCACTCTTCTTCCTACTGAGAGACTCTAGACCCCCCTCCCCCCATCTCGCCCTCAGAGTATCACAGTAATCATCCAATTGAAAGCGCCTGAGCAGTTTGTAGACCCCGTGATAAGCGCTATCCAGAGATCCAGATACCCACCCATGACTGAGACTGGCCCCCTCGCCAACTATATAAAAGCGACCATTTGCCGCCGGCTGAATGAGGGCCGGGTAGAGGTTCATGAATTGGCTTGGCCCATTTAAGACAAATGCGCCTGTCGCAAAGGGGTCACGAGCCCAATCATAGCTCTTATGTGTCATATAAGCCCTTTGCAGCTCTGGCAGCGTTATGCAATGCCCATGCATTTCCGCTAGATTGCGAAGGACCAGATCCACAAGTTGTTCTTCCCCCTCGGGGGAAGTCTCCGCGACCAGAGCCCCCATGCGCACTGCATCCTGAGACCAGGTGTAAGAACACAACAAGACTGCAGGCTTTGCATAATCGACCGGTTTGACCTTGGGGTAGACGCAGACACGCACCGGGAGATCGGTTTTGCCCGCCCCGCCGTGGACGATTCGGCCATGGACGGCCCACCAGGGATAGGAGAATTTGATGGCAATCTTCACCGAATGATCGTAGTGCAAGCTGCGGATTGCCTCCGTCTGGGTCGGAGGCAGACCCAGCTCTCGGAGATCAATCCCGTTGCAGAGCTCCCAGAGTCGTCGTGCTCAGCACCGCAGTGTAGTCTCTGGTGGAGGTTTCTCCTTGCACCTGGACCTTCACGGAGTCGGTCGACCGTTCATAGTGTATCGCTTCAACCCTTTTATTCCGCTCCGGCTGGTGGCTCACCCGACTGAGAATTGCCTCGATCAGTCCGATGCTTCCGTTTTGTACCGAATACCATTTGACGTTCGGTGCGGGATAATTGAAGAAAAAATGGTCCATCACACAGTCAACCAAGGAGTAGTCAACCAGTCCGGTGGCACTGGAAGTTAGTGTCAACAAAGGTCCGTATCTTGCACATCAAACACTTACCTGCACATCGTTTCAATCCATGCAACCGTAGCAGCGTCCAAATTACTGGGTTTATTATCAGACTTAATACACTGAAATAAAGGAGTTGCTTGAGCTTGAGCATATACCGTTCGAAGAGATATTGCCGCAATGTGTAGTGATCATATTGAAGCAAGAGTTGAAATCCAGTATTAAATTCCTTTGCTAACGCAGAAGTAAATGGATGGATTGCTTCCGAGAGAAGTCCGTCGGCTTCTTGATAGACACATCTATGAGACGGTGTAATTTCTCTTAGTAAGCTTGTTTTTTTCCCTTTCCTTCACGTCTCTAGTTGGGTTAGGTGGACATACCTATCTGGAACCTGACCCCCACGTGATACACTGAAGTTGAAAGGATCGACTTCGGCTGATCTTTGAGAATCACGAATATGCAGTACACCGTTGAAGAATTCGGGGGTATTTGCTCCAGAATAACGAAATGGAACCAGTGGAACATTCAATTTGTCTATCAGATGAAAGAATCTGTACGCTTCTTAGACCGGCAAAATGAGAGAGAGGAGGGGATTTTTTGACCTTTTCATGGGAGGGATTTCTGGGAACCTCATAGCCCCAAGATCTACATAATCACCAGGAGCATCAGAGAAACGGTGGGTGAGAATTCAACCCCCGACTCGATGGGAACCTTCGAGGATGTCATAGCTTAACCCGGGAATGCCAAGGTCATCAAGCATCAAGGCGATATAGAGGCCTGCAATTCCCGCTCCAACAATCCCAATCTTTAGAGGACGGCAATTGGTCAGCTGGCCGTCCATCACGCTCTGACCTTTTTCTACGAGCTTTGTGAAATGCTCGTGCGCTTCATTACGCCCTGGCCACTGACGGCTGCCATGAGTGGCCCTAGGAGATGGATTTATTTCAAATGCCATTTTTTGGAAGTTGAATTTTGGCAAGTAAGCTTCCGAACCCCTGGAGCTAATTTTAAAGCAGATTGCATACCATTTGTTTATCCGGTTATTGCTGGTCAAAGTCACACTTTGAACGCCGTATCTAGAAAATATGTACCTATCTCCACTTAGCGGGAGTGCCTAGGTACTATGTGGTGCCACGCCCCACGTGGTACCACTGTTTATTCTCAACACGGTTTGGTGCCTGGCACTAAGATCAGAAATTGGCATGCAAGGTGGGTTCTGCTTTCGCTAACCGTGGTCCAGACCCGGAAGCATTAGTAATTCGATGACTGGACGATATTATCTGGTCCACAAGGGTCTTTAAGAGTCGAGATACTAGATACCAGGAGTCAAATTGCTTTTCAGCCTTTCGATTTCCTTCCATTTCCTCTCCTTTTACATTGTTGGCCATTCTCGCCCAAGATTTGTATCTGGAAAGACGTCATTTCCTTGAGTCGGGAGAAAGAAAAACAGAGTAAGAGAAAGTAAGAAAGAAATGGGCATAGATGAGTCCATAGGGCTGGAGGGCAAGGATGTTCAGATGGAACAGACAACGTCGACGGCCTCCGATGAAGTTTCGTATCCGACAGGCATACCTCTTTGGTCAATACTGATTTCATTAACCGTGGTAATCTTTCTTGTTAGCATGGTAAGTCGGGAGATTCGCCCGAAATTGATTGCAGTAAAATGATAGAGGACCTATACGCAGGACGGAACCATCATCACGACGGCAATAACCCGGATCACGGACGAGTTTGATTCAACGGCGGATATCGGATGGTACGGCTCTGCATAGTAAGTTTTTCCTTCTTCCTTCTACTCTCGATAACTGATTTTTGACAAAAAGCCACGTGTAGTAAGTTGACCATATGCGCTTTTCAACTCGCGTATGGCAATATATTCAAGCTCTTCCCCGTCAAATGGGTGTTTCTAAGTGCACTCACGTTATTCGAGCTGGGATGTGTTATTTCGGCTGTTGCACAGCATTCATACGTATTCATTATCGGTCGAGCGCTGTCTGGACTGGGGGCAGCGGGCGTTCTCACGGGCTGGGTTATGTAGGAAACTTCCATCTTCTCTATGTTGTTTCCTATTATTTAAATTTTCTAACCGTTTTACTCTCCTTCTCGCTTGAAACAGATTGACGCGGCTTGCCTTGCCGTTGGAAAAACGCCCACTTGTCACGGGAATTGTTGGCTCAATGGAAGGGGTCGCGATTGTCATCGCCCCCTTGCTCGGAGGAGTTTTCACCAGCCGACTCTCGTGGAGATGGTGCTTCTATATTAACATAATCCTCGGGGCTCCAACAGGGATTGCAATAATTCTGTTCTTTCCAAAGAGCACCTCTGCCAATAAATCATCTTCTGTAGCACCACCGGATCGAAAAATGACTCTCGCAGGAGCGTCGAAGAAATTCTTTACCAAATTTGACATTCTGGGTCTCATGTCGATTTTACCGGCAATCTTCTGTACTCTGCTGGCACTAGAATGGGGTGGATCGTCATACAACTGGGCAAACTCCCGAATAATCGCTTTGTTCGTCCTGGGTGGGGTGTTCTTCATCATTTGGGGAATGTTGCAATTCTATCAAGGGGACAAGGCGACAGTGCCGGTCAGGATCATTAAGCAGCGAAGCGTTGCCTGTTGCGTCCTATACAGCTTTGGGATCTCAGGTACCTTGAATCTGTTCGAGTATTACGTGAGTAACTCCTTTTTCGAATTGTTTTGACAATCAGATCCTCCTCACTTTAACACATATACTTATTCGTGCGAGAAAAAGTTATCTATATGGTTCCAGACGGTTAAAGGTGTCTCTGCGATTAAGGCCGGCTATATGTCACTTCCTTTGACTGGGGGACTTATCATTTCCTCAATTGCAACCGGATTTGCTCTATCTCGACTAGGGTACTACACACCCTTTATGATGGCAGGTGGCGTCCTCATGATCCTCGGAGTGAGCCTAATGACTACGCTGAAACCAGCCTCGGGAATCAGCGAATGGGCGCCTTTCGAGCTTCTGATCGGGTTAGCCGCAGGTATTGGCTTCCAACAGCCGCTAATTGCTATCCAAGCCATCCTGCCTGACGCTGGCGATGCGGCATTGGGAACTGCCATTGTCATCTTTACCCAGTCCTTCTCCTCCTCCATATTTCTTTCCGTTGGCAATACTATCTTCTCCAATGGCATCATCCGCGGAATAAGGTCGGCCAATTTGACCACCTCTAGTGATGATGTGGATGTATCAGCCAGCGGACTGAATGGTCTAGTCGCACTTCTTGGTCCCAGCACCAATCAGACCGTGCAGCTAGCGAAAATGATTTTGAATTCTGCCGTGCGGGATGTGTTTTATCTTGCACTCGGAACAGCGTGTCTGCTTATGGTTGGGGCGCTGGGAGTGGAATGGAAAAGTGTAAAGAGAAAAAGCGATCCTGAGACTCATGACCAACGGCATAAGTCAAGTTCTGAAAGTTGAGACAGGATGGGGAAAACCGGAGGATATTCCCAGGTGCACTTGGCAGTTCGTATGTGGTCGTTCCATTATCGAACCTAGGAATCCTAGCGGAGCAATTGATATAGATTTTTAGACCCGAAGCGATACCTTAAGAAAATTCAGAACACTGGGAAAGGATCATCGGGGATCTTGCGAGGCGAGGAGGAATTTTCCCACATTATCGGCGATCTCTTCTGGCCTGCTTAGGCGCCGGTTGTAACATTTGAAAATGTATTATTGCGCAATTCGGCATGAAAGCCTCATCAGTGTTGAAGGACAATGTAGCGATATCCGTGTGACAGTAATAGGAAAGAATTTTGAAGTATATAATTTGATTTAGCCTGCTTTGGTCGAAACCAGTTCATCTCTTTCAAGTCTGTCCAATCAATCAGTCAATCAGTCTAATGCAGCCTAAATAATTGTACAGTGGTTAGGCAGTCGCTTTGTCCGTCTAAAGCCAGAGTGTATCAAATTCCAGTATTCCACGCGAGAATAGTTAATAGAAACGAAATGGTGAATTGCCGACAGAAACCGATGCGCAGTGTCCAGATGCCCTCAAACCTCTCAAATAGCCCTGATATATCTCTCAGTCCCCCTGTCATCTCCTTCATATTGTACCTCCTCATTTTGGCTTCGGTTGCACCTTCTGCACCGTTCTCAATGATCGTAGTTCGTCGTGTCTAGATGGGGTCGACCTTGCCCTCTCGGTGGCCGCGGGTTTGGCAATCATTACTACTCATTGTCTGCAAGATCATGCCCGTTGCCAGTTCGTCCTGGCGTGCTGTTTCCTCATCTTCTGGCCCGACTTCGACGCGGCGGAATATTTTTCGACGAATCTCGTTGTCTTGCGACAAGACAGTGTCGATGCTGTCGAGCAACACAACGGTTCGGATCCGGTCGGAAACTCACGAGCAGTCTCCACATATTCAATGGCACATAGGATTCGGGGTTTCCGTGGTAGCAGAAAACACGCTTTCGTGGTTCCCACTGTTCCTGCGCAGCTGTCTCTGCCAGAACCTGTCCCTTCTTTTATCGGAGAGCTTCGGGTGTGGTAACCCTACTATCCCTAATCTCCTTGGGCATGCCCTTGTCATGCCTGTTATTAAGGTACTCTGGCTAAGCCCATTTGGCATTTATTTTCGATTTGTATGGTATTTTCCTCGATATTCTGTTGAATCTATAGCCTCATTGGCAAGAGATAAAGCTCTATACATTGAGAAATGCTTTTGAACGCCCCACCGGTCAAGATAGGCGCGTATCGTTAAATTTTAATAAACCTAGTTATCGTTCCGAGGTATTGGTTGGTTTAACCATTACTCCCTAGCTAGCTCTAGTGGTGAGTACTGGGGCTGTATTCTGGTCTGGCCTTAGGACTGTCGAACATGGACTAGTGCGTATTCTTCTTGTTGAAACACGGAAGCATGATGCGTGCCTACATGTAGATATCTGCCTCACAACACATACTCTGTAACCTTCGGATAGTACCTTTCCTGCTCACGGTATCTAATGGTCTAACTGCTAATAATTCCGCGAAAGGGAGAGAATGAAGAACTCGAGTTAGCGAAATTAGGTGTTTCAATACAGTCAGATATATTTATGTAATTGGAGCATATACAATGCAACAAAGTATGGTCATGGAACTTGGTTGACCTGTGGCTGCCGCCTCTTGGCCGACACCTTCAAGTTTGAACATAAGGTGCCGATGGTTTGGGCCGCCACCCTCTTAACAAAGACCCATTGTTCTTACATCTACCTAGGTAGTCCAAAGGAAAGGTGACCTCAAAGTAGTTCAATTTTACAAAGCAAATGATCATTGGTTTTTTATTCTTCTCCTTGAAAATCGCATAGATGGTGAATTTCAGCCTAAGTACACAATGGTAGAGGCTGGAGTTGAAATATCTATAGGTCAAGTTCCGACTCTCAGCTCCACCATCCTAGTACGTTCCATGAATCCGGGAGTCCTGATATTCGCCAGCTGTGATGTCGGGATATTGCGAACACTCGCCGTCCAGAAGCAACTGTGGCAGAGGATGCAATGAGCATGCGCGATTGGGTTTCCCAAAGAACGCCACTGAAAATCGCTCCTTCGTAAATATCGGACTGTCGGTGCCGGAGGGGCTCTGACTGGGTGCTGTTACTTGATGGAGGACGGCTCGAAGGTGGTTGTTAGTCCATCGCTGCAAGGAGTCTCCCACATTCACTAGCATGATAGGATGGCTTCCGTCGACGACACTGTACAGACCAGTCTGCTGATCCATCACCTGCAATCCACCGACGTCATCCTGGAACAACAAGGTCAATACTCCAAAGTCTGTATGGGGGGCGATCCGAGTTTTTTGGCCATTCATCAGCTCCTTCTTGGGGACGGCTGGGTAATGAAGCAAGCGAAGCTCGTGGTCGTTTCCATCGACTAGTGAATCAAATGTGTGGGCGTCGAGCTGCAAGCCCAAAGCCAGGGCACGGAGCAAGGTGTGATGGAAGTCTTGACAGGTTTGGTAGAAGCTCTCTATTTCTGGCCTAAAATGAGGCATGTCACAGTCGGCAGGCCATGTGTTGGGGAAGATGCGACTGTATGGTGATCCCATATCGAACGATTCCTTTAAGGCTCGGCCCGAGTATCAGTCGAAGTAGCTCACATCTCAGGGTCCGATTTCTCGTACCTTGCAGTCTACGGACGGTTTTCCCTCCCCAGGTGCCAGGATCGAAGTCTTTTCCTGTCCCACAAAGCTGTATCCTCGATGAGGGATTGCAGTGGTAGGATGAGCAGCGACCGCTTTCGCTGCTTGGTCCATTTCAAAAAACTGCTTGCTCTACACAGACGGGAGATGAGCTCTGACCATAAGTCACGACATGTTGACTGGCACGTACAAATTCGAAGATTTTTGCAATTCCTTCAGCTGGGACTGCATGGTTGATCAACTTGACGAAACCATGCTGTTGAAGAGCGGCTGTAAATTGCTGACAGAATGATTGCTGCCGACCGGGGTCCTTCGAACAAAATGCAGAAAAATCGAGAGTGGATACGTGAGACATGATTGCGGCAACTATACACTGAAAACTGCCATCTATTCTTCCTTTTATGATTTTAATTTCCTTGCAATGGCCGGGTTTAGTCATGGGAGCAGCCCTCGGGTAGTTCGATAAACATATTCTCCCGGAAACCCACCCGTGGATCCACTTTGCAGATGAGTCTTAGGTTGGTGGTGCCACCGGAATATATCAGCGCAGGGGCTAATTTCCTGTTATTGGGCGGCTAATTACCGACTAGCTCGCAGTTAGGATGCAATTAGGTCGGCTCACCGGGTAGGGCGTTGTTTCCAATTTCTTGTTTTGTTTTATCATGATGTTGAGATATATCCCAAACTTCGCAGGTGCAGAGCAGAGTCACTATGAATCCCAGAAGCGCCGCCGAACGTATGACACAAGACACCTTCTCCACGAAAGAAAGATGGGCTCGTCGGCTTGTTCGTGAATAGATCTACGAGTATCTCGATTATTTTCACGGAAGTGCTCGTCACAGCGAGGTAGAGAGTCCATTTCGGCTCCCTATTCGTCCCCGACAGAGTCAAATGGCTCCTATTTCTGAGAACTTTCATCTTTGTATAGTAGGAGCTGGGGTAGCGGGCCTCTATATTGCCCTTTTGCTGAAAAGTCTCTGCATCCCCGGTTTGACGTACGACATTTTGGAGGCGTCTCACTAGACCGGCGGGCGGGTCAAAATATAAATTGCAGTGAGGAGCTGTCAAACTATATGGATCTAGGTCCTGTACTGTTTGATAAAACGTCAGAGAATCATAGGTTCGTAACTGATGGTGAGGCAATGGCCTTCTCCGAAGGATCGTGGTCTAACGATTGCATCCCAGACTGCTCCAGCTTTTTAAGCGATTAGCCCTACCTATAGTGGAAGATGAATCCAAACAGTTCACACATATGCAGTTACTACTCTCTTGTCTCATGGTGAATGATATCCTGTCTCTGAAAGTCCAACCCCGGAACCGGATCCATTTCGAATGAGCAGGTCGCGAGGAGGTCTCGTACCAGATGAGTGAGTGCGTTTCGTGTGAATTCCCCCTTCTCTCGGCTTTTCTTCTTTGCTGTTACAACACGCTCGATGGATTAGAGTTCATTAAAGGAAACTGTCTCTCAGCTTAGTCGCCAAAGGTGCCAATGCGGTTTTTTGCACAAGCTTTTGCACCAATTAAATCTGCACTCTGAAAGGATTTCAACCTAGGCTTTATGAAGCTCTTGGAGGTAGATAATCTAAGTACAGGGACTTTTCTCGAAGAAGTAATGTGAATATACTATCCCTATTTCTTCCCCCCTCTCTCCACAGCAATCGCGTTAATACTTTGGACCTATTATAGCGGTTACGACCATCATACGACAGTGGATGGCAAGGATGTCATGGTAAGTTCTTGGACCTTTGTCTAGTCCCTGCCATTACTTAACCGCCTCCCCCAGGGACAATAACTTTCTGGCCAAACCGTTGACCGAGGCAGCCTCTGACTCACTGATGAGTGAGCTTCATAAATCTACGGGCGTTGGTAAGTTTACGGCGGGTATACTGCCTTGACTCGGGCGATGGGCTGCCATGTCCGAAATCAGCCTATCTTAGGTGCATTAGTAAAACGGATATATTACTATGGTGCTAGAGAGGGCGAGAAAACGGTATTGAGAGTGGCGTCTGAATGCCTGCCTCGGTGGTATACAAATATCTTTAACACCGTTCCCTTTGGATATATGCGACGAATCATGATGGATCTTCGTCAAGCTCGGCTGCATCCTGCGCAGAGGGACGTTATCTTAAATTTCGAGTCAATGGCGCCGATTAGCATCAAGATCCGGTTCAAAAGGCCCTGGTGGAGGAACTGACAGGGAATATATCGATCTGGCGTGGCTTTCACTGGCACGCCTTTCGATTTGGTCGGAAAAATCCAAGACCGGGTACAGAAAAACGGTATTACTATTTTCCGGGGTTCTGCCCGAATCTCAATCCCCACTTGAAATTCGCTCAGAAACGAGGACAATAATAGTACCGTTTTTCTGTACCAGGTCTTGGATTTTTTCTGACCAAATCGAAAGGTGTGCCATTCAATAGCAAAATACCCAATCTCAGGTTCGACACTCTGCTCTATGCAGGCAATGGTGGATAGTGGAAATTAAGACAGAGTTCTCATTGGCTTTGGCGGCACCACCACCGCCCCGTGCTACTTGTCCGAATATGCATGTTCAGTGGGTAGTCTTGCATCTATGGGTGGTACCACCAAAATTGATCGAACATACCATGCACGGTGGGGTTGTTGGAATAAGCACGTTGAAACAAAAGAAGTGGGTCGGTGGCATCATGTAAAAAGAAGAACGACGCTAATGAGATAGAAAATGGATGCAATCGATGAGAGTCGAACACACCATACATAGTGGGCTTGTCGGAGTGTTCTAGAGCAAAGAGAGTGGGTCGGTGGCATCATGTGAAAAGAAGAGCGACGCAAATGAGATGGAAAATGGATGCAGGCGAGGAGAATAATATGTAATTGTATGTATAGAAGGGCTACGTTTAACTACTCCTTGTCTGTTTGGACTGACCTGAGTGAACAAAAAGCAACAAGAAAAGACGGTGGAACAATAGAAAAGGAAACAAGGTTAGTCAGAACTAGACATTCCTCAGTCACTAATCGGCCAGAATGAAGGAACATCAGGTTCATGGGATAAATTTCCAAACTCTCGACCATCCTCCAGAGGTTCTCACGGTGGGAGGGATCTATGTTGCTCTCCTGCAACATGTCGCGGGAAGAGGAATTGGGCTGAATCTGGAGGTGACCAAGGAATTCCCAAAAGCTGGGCATACCACCACAAACCAGGCCACGATTCACATCCATCCAGATGATCGAACCCACACAATGCTGCAGAGCATTTCCCGTGCGCTGGCGGAAACCCCCAAATTCTGCATCGCTCAGACACAAGATCAACACTCAGTGTCCATGCAGGTGTTGCTGGTGTTAAGCACCGAAAACATCGGGCATAGCTGGAAAAAGAACTTTTCAGGGCTGAGGAAAGATGGAAAGTGTGCGTTGTTTTTAGTGGATGCCAGTGCCAATGACACCCAGTTCACTTGGGAGTGGGATGAGATGCTCATCCCAGGGGGGTCAACTGTTGGGTCCTCATATCGACCAGGCGTTCAAGGCCCTGATGATTCCAGACACTGTGCTTTCTACCATATCCGTTTTCTCCGACAGCGACAGCAAACAAATCCAGGACTGGGCCGGCCGTAAGCCAGAGCCCGTTGAGGAGTGTGTCCATAAATTGGTGGAGAGTTTCGCGCGCGAGACCCCCAACAGTCCTGCAATCGCTGCATGGGATGGTGAGGTCTCGTACAAAGAGCTCGATGCTATGTCAAGCACTTTGGCAGCCATGCTACATTCAAAATACAAAGTCGGCCCCGAAGTATTTGTACCCCTCTGTTTCGAGAAATCCAAGTGGATGATCATCTCCATGCTTGCTGTTTTGAAGGCGGGGGGGCTGTATTGTGCCATGTGATGCCAGCACTCCCCAGGAGCGCCTTAAAACTATAGCCGAGTCGGTTAATGCGTCCCTTGTCCTCATCTCATCTTCACAGTTGGAACGACACGTAATGCTCGATATGCAGTGTCTGGTTGTTGACCAGTTCTTGATGGAGGGGGCGAGTCCAGTCACGATCACGCTGCCATTGGTACAGCCAACCAACGCTGCAGTGACAATTTTCACATCTGGAAGTACCGTGAGTTTGGGTTCCATATTCTTTTTGAGACACATTGGTTGCTAATGGCAAACTATTCCAGGGAACCCCGAAGGGAATTGTGATTGAACATCGAAATATCTGCTCAAGTCTCTACGCGCATGGAAAAGAGTTTGGTTTCAATCAGGCTTCACGCGTCTTTCAGTTCGCATCTTATTCTTTTGATATAGGATACGGCGATGTATTCCGGGCCCTAATGTTTGGTGGTTGTCTTTGTGTGCCCAGTGAATACGACCGGCTGAATAACCTGGGACCTTCAATCAATGCCTTTGCAGCAAACATCTGCCAGCTCACCCCAACTGTCGCCGGTATCGTCTCACCACGAGAGGTACCAACCTTGAAGACGCTTTTGGTTGGAGGTGAGCCAATTTCCCAAAAGGTGATGGAATTGTGGGCCGACAAAGTCCGCTTGATTGGAGTCTACGGTCCCAGTGAATGTACCGTTGACTGTCTGACTACGGGCCCCCTGGCAAAAGACGACCGTCCGGGCCTGATTGGTCATTCCTTGGGAGCCCGGCCATGGCTCGTGACCCTGGACAATGATCAAGTTCTGGCACCAGTTGGAGCCGTGGGAGAAATCATCATCGAAGGTCCCGGCGTGATGCGAGAGTATCTGCACGACCGGAAGCTCACCGCGCTCGTCGTATACCCAGAGAGACCCTGGCTAGCGAAAAAATACGGGACACTTCCACATCGCCTGTTCAAAACCGGTGACATCGGCTACTACCAGGCGGATGGGATGATCGTCTGCCTTGGAAGGCGAGATGCCCAGGTCAAGCTGCATGGTCAGCGTATTGAAATGGGGGAGATCGAGTACCAATTAGTCTCTCTGCTTCCCCCCCAGTGCGGAGGCTGTGGTCGATATTGCTCAGCCTTTGCACTCTACCCGCCCGACCTTGACGGCTTTCCTTCACCTTCCTGGACAGCAAGGTAGAACAAGATCAACCTCCTCAAAGATCCTCATCCAACATGCAAGACAAGACGAGGAAGTGAATACACTGATAAATTATCTTCGCCATCAACTCGAAAAAAAGCTTCCCAGTTATATGATTCCGTCAGCCTTCATCCCTCTTGCAGAAATTCCAAGAAACACCTCTGGTAAAGTTGACCGCCGACAGTTGCGTCAAATGAGCGTAGGGGAGGGTTCACTTGATGCTGTGCCATCAGGTAAATCTCTGAAGCAGACAGAACCAATGACAGATATCCAACGACAAACACGGCGGCTCTTAGCCGGTGTCCTGGACCTTGACAAGGAACTTATCGGGCTTGATGACAACTTCTACAGTTTGGGTGGTGATTCCCTGAGTGCAATGAGATTAGTCTCAGAGGGACGGCAGATGGGACTGAGAACCAGCGTCCAAGAGATCCTGAAGCATCCAACCCTCCGTGAACTGGCAGCCACCATATCTGTGCAGACTATCACTGACGTACCAACAACGGCCTTGAACGCTGCCTTTTCAATGCTCGATGGCGATCAAGAGGAGGTCCTTCGCGAAGCTATCGTTCAATGTCAGGTTCATGCGGACCAAATCGAAGATATCTATCCATGTTCGCCTTTACAAGAGGGTTTGATGGCCGTGTCCATGAGGGAACAGGGAACATACATCACGCATACCACGATGACCCTTCCAGATAGCGTGAACATGAGCGGGTTCAAGGCCTCATGGGAGTGTATTGTGCAGCAATTTCCCATTCTTCGTACCCGAATCATTGCTACCTCTCGGGGGTTCCTCCAGGTTGTCATCCGAGAACAGTTACATTGGCGAGAGATCACGAATCCGGAAGGATATATTGCAAAACAACAGCTCAGCCTTACAGAGCCTGGTGTGCCTCTCTCAACACTTGCCGTCTGCAAGGCTAGAAATAAAACCCAGCTGATCTGGACGGCCCATCATGCCATTCGAGACGGCTGGTCGAAAGGGTTGATCTACAGAGCAGTTGAGGGACACTTCAAAGATGCAACTATCCCACCTTCATTCTTGTACCGAGACTTCATCCATCATATTGGGTGCCTTGATTTGGTGACCATGAAAAGTTATTGGACAGGGTATCTGGATGGATTTTCCTCCACCGTCTTCCCAAGGCTTCCGTCGGCCTCATATCGCCCATTTGCCGATCAAACGCTGCAGCTAGGATTTTCTATTCCCCGAAAATATAATTCCAAAATCACAATGGCAACCAAGCTCTATGCCTCTTGGGCTCTTTTACTCAGTCGCTATAGTGATGAAACTGATATCTGTTTTGGAACCACGTTGAGCGGCCGGACAGTCGGGCTGGATGGCATTGGGGACATCGTTGGACCGACCATTGCAACCGTTCCCATACGCATCAGAATTGACTGGACTGAGTCAGTTCCCAAGTTTTTAGAAACCATTCAACGACAGCAGATCGACTCGTTATGCTTCGAGCAGATTGGATTGCAGAATATCGCGAAGTTGTCCTCGGCTGCTGCCCTCGCTTGTGCCTTCCAGTCACTCTTTGTGATTCAAGATTCTCCGTTCAATGAAACAGATTCTGACCTGTTTAAACTGGACGAGTTACAGGACGCTTCATGCATTTCCCTTGGTCATGCCTTGACCATTGAGGTACTCCCATCTGCTTCTAGCCTCGGCCTCAAGGCAAGATACGATGCCAAAATCATTGACCAGAAACAAATGGAACGCATCCTGCGACAGTTCGAGACCATTTTCCTTCAGACATCAAGTGCTGCAGATGACCCGGACAAATCTCTCAATGATATCATGTATGTCGACCCGACGGAGATTGCGGAGCTTACTCAGTTCGGCTCTGGTCCTGTCGTCGCAGATGGTCCCTTACTTCTGGATATGATTTTCCAAGGAAAACAGAAACAGTCTGACGAGCTTGCTATTGATGCGTGGAATGGCTCCTTTACGTACCTAGAGCTGGATCGAATGTCTATGCGCCTCGCGCATCATTTGATGGAGCAAGGACTACAGAAGGGCGATCCAGTCATGTTTTGCTTCGAAAAGTCCGCCTTGGTGGCCATTGCCGTGGTCGGTATTCTACGTGCAGGTGGTGTTTGCGTTCCAGTTGATCCATCCTTCCCTTCAAGTCGATTCCAGAAAATAATCGCGACGACGAACTCCAAATTTGCCTGTACTTCTTCCAAAACCTCCCCTATTTTGAGCGGCCTCATAGAGAAACAAATCATCTTGGATCAAAATTCCTTTGCCGGATCGGAGTACCTTGCAATGGACCTCCCACAATGCGATAATGGAGATCAGGCATATATCATCTTCACCTCCGGCTCGACCGGGGAGCCAAAAGGTATTATGATGAGTCATGGATCCATATCTTCCAGCATTGCCGTTCACAGTCCAGCAATGGAATTCAAAGCCGGGACAAGAGTTCTACAATATTCTGCCTACACGTTTGACCACAGTCTCTTCGAAATACTCACCACATTGGCAAATGGAGGCTGCATTTGCATTCCTTCGGATAGCGACAGAATGAACAATCTCGCTGAGCAAATTCGCAATTTTAACATTACCTGGGCCTATCTGACACCTTCAGTTGCTAATCTCCTGAAACCAGAGGATGTTCCAAACCTGAAGACCCTTTATTTGGGTGGTGAGCAGATTACCACAGCCCTGATTGATACCTGGGCTGGGTCAACCAAGCTGCTGAATGGATACGGACCCGCAGAATGCTCCATGTGCACACTAAGCAAGATTGAATACGGGGCGACAAAAGCCAATATCGGCCAGCCCATCAGTGGCCGGGTCTGGGTGACAGCACCGGATAATCCCAGAATCCTTCTTTCTGTGGGCATGATAGGCGAATTGCTGTATGAGGGGCCTACGATGTCCCAGGGATATCTCAACAATCCCGTTGGAACTCAAAGATCCTTCATCGACTTCCCATCATGGTCGTGGTTGTGCTACACAAACCGATCGCCCTCTCGTCTATTCCGAACGGGTGATCTCGTCCGTTACCAGTCTGATGGTACTCTGGAGTATATTGGTCGTAAAGATACCCTCGTGAAGCTTCATGGATTGAGGGTCGATCTTGGAGAGGTTGAGTATCAAATCAAAAAGCAAATTCCGGAATTTTCAGAGGTGATAGTGGACGTGGCGCAATTTGACCATGGCAAAAGCGATCGACTTCTCGCAGCTTTCGTCAGATTGGAGCAAAAGTCATCTTTCTCGAGCTCCCCAGGCCCTACATTATCTGCAGGGGAAAATCAAAAGTACTGGCAAGAGTTGCTTCAGGACATTGAGACTGCGCTTCTGAAACAGCTACCACCATACATGGTGCCTCGTGTGTTTGTTCCACTATCGTCGCTGCCACACACAACATCAGAGAAAGTCGACAGGAGGACCCTTCATTCCTGGGCAGAACAGCTCTCTCTCAAAGAGATCGCAGCTCTCCGTGGCTCCGAGGACAGTCGACCGCCATCGTCGAGTACGGAGAAGAAACTTAGCGTCCTCTGGAAATCGGTGCTGGGAGCAGATAATCTGGAATTCATGGCCACCAACAACTTCCTTCAGATTGGTGGTGACTCAATCAGTGCTATACGGCTTGTAGCTCTCGCAAAGCGAGAGGGGCTGCCACTCACAGTGGATCAGATCATGAGAACACCTCGTCTTGACCAGATGGCGGCCTCGATCGATTTGCAGACCAATGTACAAAGCATTAGGGTAGATGCTTTTGAGCTAGTCAGGGACGAAAAAGATAATTTGCTTGCCATGGCCCAAGCTCAGACAGGCCTTGGTGTGGACATGATCGAAGATATATATCCCTGCACAGCCCTGCAGAGTGGACTGATGGCTCTCTCCATTAAAGAGCCCGGCACCTATGTTGCCCAAATGGTATACCGCCTCGATAGTTCCACTGACATGAAACGCTTCACAGCTGCGTGGCAGTCGGTCTATCGCTCAAGTCCCATCTTGCGAACAAGGTTGTTCCAGACTACCTCCGAATTGATGCAGGTTGTGGTCAAGGATAACCTCCACGTGCACACCCATGACAACCTAGACATGTATCTCCATCGTGAAGACGGTCTACTCATGATGCTTGGCTGCCCGCTGTTTAATCTGGCTTGCATAGCGGATGAATCAAAAGGGCAAACCTTTGCTGTCATCACGGTACACCACGCCGTCTATGATGGATGGTCCCTTTCGTCCCTATTTGAAGCAGTTGATAATGCGTATTCCAACCGTCCCATAATCCCCCGACCTGGCATCAACGTCTTGATCAAATACCTACATGACAATCAAATTGAAAAAGGCCATGCATACTGGGAATCGCAATTGTCTGGTGGCGAAACATCCCATTATCCCAACCTACCTTCGCCATCATATCGTCCGATCGCGTCTAAATGTTTGGAAGGTCTTCTGCCGTTCATCCGGAACAATAATAGTGCCATTACAACAGCTACAGCTATGAGAACTGCCTGTGCTGTTGTCCTAGGACGATACCACGACTCAACCGACATCATCTTTGGAGAGACACTCAGCGGACGGACGCTGCCACTGGCGGAAATCGATCTTCTTGACGGGCCCACAATCGCCACTATCCCAGTACGAATCCGCTGGGAGGAAGGAGAATTGCTCTCAAATCTTCTGGATCGTGTTCAGGATCAATATATTAACATGAATGGCTACGAAAATTATGGGCTGCAGCATATCCAGCGCATTTCGGAGAACTTGAGAGACATCGCCAGCTTCCAAACGCTGGTCATCATTCAAAACTCTGCGGAAGACACGGCAAGTGGTTGCCAGCTTCTCATGACGCCTGTCTCAGGCAATTTTAAGGCTTTTCACACTTATAGTCTTGTTCTAGAGTTTACTCTCGTGCCACAGGGCGCAAGGTTGAAAGTTAGCTTCGACCCCAACATTGTGTCAGTGGAAATGGTCACAATACTGAAGCTCCAGATTGGACACATCCTAAGACAGCTGAGTGATGTTGATGTCCACTATGCTGTCAGCGATCTCGACTGGGTCACAGAGCCTACGATGTCAGAACCTGCGGTCATTCCTACAGCAGACGAAAGGTGTCTGCATGCGATTGTACATGATAAGGCCGTTGCCCAACCTGAAGCTCAAGCCATTGTATCCTGGGATGGAAACCTGTCATACTTGCAGTTGGACTCATTGGCCACACTATTCAGTCGCTTTCTCCAGCAGGTCCATGGTGTGCAGCCGCGATCTTTCATTCCCATTTGTGCCAAGAAGTCTTTATGGTCTGTGGTCGGTATGCTTGCTATCCTGAAAGCTGGGGCCGCCTTTGTCCCCATTGACCCCGCCCATCCCAAGGCACGCATTGAATATGTTGTCAAAACCCTTGATGCCCCGATAATTCTGACTACCCCAGAGACTCGAGTGATTGTCGATGGACTCAACGTTCCTGTGGTTGAAATCGTCGAGATCCCGATAAACCAACTTCCTCAGACGGACGAGGTGTGTTTCAGCAACGCACAGCCATGGGATCCAGCATATTGCTTATTCACATCCGGCTCAACTGGAAATCCTAAAGGAGTCGTTGTGCAGCACGCCTCCATAGTGACCAGCTGTTTCGCTCATGGAAAGGCCATGTTCATCTCACCCGAATCCCGAGTACTCCAATTTGCCGCTTATTCATTCGATATCTCTGTGTCGGAAATATTTGCAACACTCCTATATGGTGGATGTGTCTGCATCCCATCAGAGACCGACAGACACAACGATGTGGCTAAGGCTATCAACACTATGGATGTCAACTGGGCTTGCCTAACACCATCTTTCGTCAAGGTTCTCTCTCCCATGCAAGTCCCTAGTCTGAAGACGTTGGTTCTAGCTGGAGAAGCTTTACAAAGAGAAAACATCGCAACCTGGGTCGATCATGTTCGCCTCATCAACGGATACGGACCCACTGAGGCCTCTGTGTTCTGTGTGTCCCATGTTATTACATCGGGTAACTCAAACAAGAGTATTATCGGAAGACCTGTCGGTTGCAGGGCATGGGTAGTGAGCACGACTGACTACAACAAACTCGCCCCTCTAGGAGCTACTGGAGAACTCATCTTGGAGGGCCCTATCGTCGCACAAGGGTATTTAAAAGCTCCCGAGAGAACAAAGGCTGTCTTCATCAGCAACCCAGATTTCCTATTCGAAGAACCCAACACTCCTCTATATCGTACTGGAGATCTCGTGCGCATGGATACTGACGGGCTCCTGGAATACATCGGTCGAATGGATCTCCAGGTCAAGATCAACGGCCAACGTGTCGAATTAGGGGAAATCGAACACCAAGTCAAGGTTGCTATTGATGAAAAAGCGGAAGTCATTGTACAGCTATGTTCTGATACTACGAGTAAAGCCTCAAAGATCTTGGTCGCTTTCGTCTCTTTCGGAGCTTACACCAGCAACATGCATTCTCGTTCTGATGTTGTGAGTCTAGACTCGTCGGAAGAGCACCGGCTGCTCATTGATCAAGCTAGAGGGAGACTCACAAGCTCCCTACCACATTACATGATTCCCTCCATGTACATATGTGTGGATTTCATTCCTTTGAATTCATCAATGAAAGCTGATCGGCGCAAATTGGAGGAATGCTTTCCTCGTCTTCGAGACGGACATGTTCCGATGGTGTCAGCAAGCCAATCGCAGAAGAGGGACCTTACTGAATTGGAGAAACGACTGCAGCACCTTTGGTCTAAAGTGCTGGATATCCGAATTGACGAGATCAATCATGATGCCAACTTCTTCCGCCAGGGTGGCGACTCTCTCTCAGCTATCTACCTTGTTGCCGCTGCCAGAGAAGACGGCCTCCAGTTGACCGTTGAGGACGTATTTCGTGAACCTACCCTGGCCGCTATGACAAAGGTTACTTTGGCTATCTCACAAGAGAGCCCATTACAACTCATCCCCTTTTCTCTGATTGATGAAACACGCCGTGCGGAGTATATGCAGTCTGCGGTTGTTCAGCTGGGGATATCGGACACAGACATTGAAGATATTATCACATGCAGTCCATTGCAGGAAGGTCTTGTAGCCTTATCATTAAAGGATGCGGGAGCCTATATCGGCCAATTTATCTTCTCTATCCCAGATGCTGTGGACATTCAAGCCCTTGAGGCGGCATGGGGCCATACAACGCAGAAGATCCCGCTGCTGAGGAGTTATTTCATGCAAAGTGATGACAACAGATTGGTCTCCGTGATTTCTCGCCGGTCGACTCTCATTCGACACGAAACAGACCTTAAGCATTACCTGGAGCTTGATAAGGTGACCCCCATGGGACTAGGAGATCCCTGTGTTCGACTCGCCATCATTCGGGGAGTTGACAACAGGCACTTGGTGATGAGCGCCCACCACGCCATTTACGACGCTTGGTCCATGCAACTAATCCTCCGAACCTTGGAGGCGACTTATCTTGGTGACGATGTAATTTCCCCTTGTTCATTTACCAACTTTCTTCAGTATTTGTCAACCGGGGATGATGAAGGGACACGGCTTTTTTGGCAGCGCGAGTTGGATGGAGCCTGCACCAGTGTCTTCCCGCAGCTCCCTTCGTCTGATTTCCAAGCGCGAACTGATAAGGTCATCCATCGTCACATATCGATTTCTCGATCGAATTCAGTGGATGTTACACTGCCCACTTGGGTCAAGTTAGCATGGTCCCTAGTATTAAGTCGACATTCTGATCGAGATGATGTCTGCTTTGGTATGACCCTCAGTGGACGAACAGCCCCGTTGGCAAATATCGACCGCATCGCTGGGCCTACCATTACTACGGTTCCCATCAGAGTATCCTTGTCCAAGAAGGAAAGTGTGGTCGAGTTTGCTCGATCAATGCAAACCCGGTCTCAAGAGACTAGTGCCTTCGATCATTACGGTATTCAAAACATTCGGAAGCTTACCGAAGACACTGCCAGAGCATGTAGTTTTACAACCTTGTTGGTGATTCAAAATGCGCGGGCTGCGTCGGGGCAGCACGGCCAAAGGGTATTGATTCCTGCTGAGACGAATGAAGTCTTCTCCCTCACTTATCCTCTGGTGCTGGAATGTTTCCCCTTGCCAACTGGTATATCGATCAATGCCAGCTTTGATTCACGAGTCCTCGATTCGAAGACGGTAGGAAGGATATTAGGCCAGTTGGATCACGTTCTCCATCAACTGATGGAACCCGCTGCATTGGGTATGTGTCTCGCTGATATTGAGCTGATCAGTCCTGAAGATGTACGGGAGATAATGCTTATGAACCAAATTGTGCCCCCTGTGCAAGAGCTTTGCGTTCATGAGCTCTTTGAAAGACAAGTCTCGGACCAGCCATCGGCAACTGCCGTGGAATCTTCAGAAGGAGCCTTGACATATGCTGCCCTGGACGAAATTTCGTCGCTTCTTGCAGACTATCTCGTTTCTGTTCTCCATGTTAGCCCTGGAGATTTTATCCCTCTTCTCTTCGAGAAATCTATGTGGGTAGTGGTAGTGATGCTCGGTGTCCTTAAAGCTGGCGGTGCATGCGCGGCGTTAGATCCAAAACACCCCGCTAGCCGACTTCAGGGGTTTATCGATGATTTAGAAGCCAAGGTCATACTCTGCAGTGACTTCTGCTCTGATAAGGCGCACATGCTGCTACCGGATGTGCTCCAGGTAAATGGTGCCTTCCTCAGTCGCCTATTGTCAAGCAAGTGCGGTATAACCCCCTTGAAGCACAAGGTTACACCACAGGACCCGGCCTTTGTCCTTTTTACTAGTGGAAGCACAGTAAGTCTTTTCGACAAAAGATTTGTTCTTGAGGTGATTCTAATCTGGTGATTCCTAGGGCCGACCGAAGGGAATATTTATTGACCACCAAGCATTCGCCAGTAGTATCAAGGGCCATGCTGACATCCTCCAATTCCGCAAAGGCTCACGGAATCTTCAATTCACGGCTTATACCTCGGATGTGAGCATTGGCGAGATCTTTACCTCACTCGCCCAGGGCAGCTGTGTCTGTGTGCCTTCTGAGTACGAAAGAATGAACGAATTAGGTGCCTTCATCACTCGCATGAACGTTGATTGGGCCTTTCTCACCCCTAGTGTTGCTTCCCTCCTCCACCCTGCTGACGTTCCTACTCTGAAAACTCTTGTTTTTGGGGGAGAGACGGCTACCCCGGAAAATGTTAGTACCTGGGCGCCAGCGCTATATCTGATCAACAGCTTTGGGCCTGCTGAATGCTCTATCTGGACAAGCTGTAGTCCTGGATTCAGCCCAGAAGATCACGGTTCCAATATCGGATACGGTGTTGGATGCTTGCAGTGGATTGTTGAGCCTGATGATATCAATAAATTAACACCTTTCGGAGCGATTGGAGAGTTGCTGATCGAAGGACCCAATGTCGCTTCACATTATATCAAGAACCCGAGCAAGACCGCATCTTCATTCATCAAGTCGCCGAAATGGCTACCCTATGGCTCCCGTCAACGAATTTACCGAACAGGTCTGTTTATATTGAGTTCCTCCCTGATATTGTTGATGTAGAATCTCATTCTTGATAGGTGACCTGGCCCGTTTCTTGCCTGATGGAAGGCTCCAGTTCATCGGCCGGAAAGATACCCAAGTCAAGTTACATGGTCAACGTGTTGAACTGGGTGAGATCGAGCACCAGTTAAGAGTGTATCTTCCTAGCATGAAGGAGATTGCGGTCGAAATGATCCAACCAGCTGGAGGGCATTCCAGATTGGCCGCCTTTCTTCCGATGGCTAAAACAAGCGATCGGACAGATGCACGTATTCGGTATGACGTTGAATCACTCACTTGGTTAGACAACTTGGTCAATGGATTGCAGGAGAAGCTCTTCTCCCAACTCCCTTCCCATATGGTGCCGTCCCTCTTCATCCCCATGAGTCACATGCCGCTTTCGGCGTCGGCAAAAACGGACCGCAAGGCTCTTCATGCCATAGCATCTGGAATCTCTCCGGAGCAGATACAGGCGTTGGGTAAGTTGAGTATGCACGGAAACATCGAGGCGCCATCAACCCCAATGGAGACAATACTTCACGGTCTATGGCAGGAACTCTTCAACATTGACGGCGCGGCCTTTGGCGTCAACCATCATTTTCTCCGTCTTGGAGGAGATTCCATCCTCGCAATGCGTCTAGTAACTTTGTGCAGAACCAAAGGCGTCTCTCTGAGCGTGATGGTTATCTTTCAATCCCCGATCCTCAAGGATATGGCAAACTCAGCCACCTTCATCGAAGTTATTTCGAAGCCCGACATAGTGGAGCCTTTTTCACTAGTTCCAGGGCAATCCAAGAGCGAACTCCGCGTCGCTGCTGCCATCCAGTGCGGTGTGTCTCCGGAGGAGATTGAGGATGTGTTCCCTTGCACTCCGTTGCAGGCAGGGTTATTCTCCCTTTCGCAGCGATCCAGAGAATCTTACATTGCTCGATTTATCTTTGAGATTGACCAATGTATCGATATGGAACGGTTGTTGGGATCCTGGAAAAGAGTAGCTCAATCGCATGAGATTCTTAGGACGCGCTTCATTGAGAATGATGACCTCCATATCCTCCAAACTATTGTCAAAGAACCACCAGAATGCCAGACGAGCCAAAGTCTCTCGGAATACTTGGCGTCGGATACCGCGAAGCCAATGATCTTTGGCCAACCACTTTTCCGATGGGCCCTTGTTCATGAAGGAGGTCAAAATAGCCATTTTGTTCTCTCCGCTCATCACTCTTGTTACGATGCATGGTCTTTAACGATTCTTCTCAAATCAGTCGCAGAGATCTATCACTGCCGAGCGCCATCATGTACCGTTCCCGGGAATTTTAAAGCATTCATTCGAGCAACTCAGAAGCTTGATGAAGGCGCAGCGAGGGAGTTCTGGAGCATTACCCTTCAAGATGCTCCAGCGCCATCATTCCCGGCCTTGCCATCCGTTTCATACCAGCCAATCACCGATGCTACTGTGACCCATGTCATCCAACGGCCGAGGCAGCAGTATAACGCTGTTCCATCCTCGGTTCTATTTCAGGCCGCGTGGTCAATTGTGCTGGCGCGATATTCAGACAACAAGGACGTGGTCTACGGATATAGTACCAGTGGACGATCTGGTGACATACCTGGTATTGAATCCATCTGTGGGCCGACTCTGGCGACTGTTCCAATGCGGGCAGTAATCCAACCAGGAAGGTTGATACCTGAATTTCTGAACGATATACACAGACATTCCTTGGAACGGATGCCGTATGAGCAATTTGGCCTTCAGAATATCATGAAATCGAGCCCTCAAGTGAAGCAAGCCTGTAACATCCTAACACTGCTGGTTGTTCAATCAGAAGGCCAGGTTCTATCAAACGACACAGTCCTAGGTATGAAACAGGTTCACTTAGAGGACAACGGGGGTGGGCTTACATATGCTTTGGTGCTCGAGCTCACACCGGGAGCAGCGGAAATTGAAATGAGGTTCAGCTTTGATTCCAACGTTATGGATCGTCGTCAAGTTCAGAGACTTGCATGCCAGTTCCATCATGTCTTGAAACAAGTCTTCGAATGCGCATCGTCGTCGGTTGACCAAATTGAGATTATTTCACCATCAGACAGAGAAGAGATCTTTTCCATGAATCACACAGTGCCCCGCCGATCCTCTGACTGCGTTCATGAGCTTTTCGAGCGACGGGTTCTCTCACAACCTGACGAACTCGCGATTAGCTCTTGGGATGGTGAGATGACCTACAACGAACTAGAAAATAAGTCAACGTTACTTGCTCAACATCTCATTACGCGGGGTGTGCAAAGCGGTCAGCTTGTACCCCTCCTGTTCGAAAAGTCTCTTTGGACAATCGTGGCCATGCTTGCTATCCTCAAGGCCGGCGGCGCCTGCGCATGTCTCAATCCTGCAGATCCATTAGAGCGTCTTCAGGGTGTTGTGGAAGATATGCACGCACTGCATATTCTTTGCAGCACTGCCAACCTGGAGAAGGCCAGCAAATTGTCCACGCATGTGGTTCAAGTCGACTCCAAGCGGCTAGAGCGACTAAAAATGTCGAGACCAACTCCTGTCATCGACAGCAATGTCTTTGTTAGTCGAAAGATCAGCTCTGACCAGCCTGCATTTATTTTGTTTTCTTCTGGGTCTACAGGCAAGCCCAAAGGTATCATCATTGATCACGGTGCCTTCTCTAGCAGCATCAATGGTCACTCTGAAACGCTGCTCTTCAAAAAGGGATCTCGCAACCTCCAATTTACAGCGTATACATCCGACGTTAGTATTGGCGAGATCTTTACTTCCTTGGCAGTGGGAGCCTGTGTCTGTGTCCCATCAGACTATGAGCGGATGAATGATCTGGAGGGATCAATGGAGCGCCTCCGGGTAGATTGGGCTTTCTTGACACCCAGCGTCGCTTCGGTTGTTGATCCTGCAAAGGTTCCAACTCTTAAGACTCTTCTCTTTGGGGGTGAAACCGCAACTCCTGAAAATATTGCCTCCTGGGCACCTCAAGTCTACTTGATCAATAGCTTTGGCCCGGCGGAATGTTCCATCTGGACGAGCTGCAACCCAGGTGTCTCGATAACCGATATTGGCTCGAATGTTGGGTATGGACTGGGCTGTCTCCAGTGGATCGTCGAACCCGAAGACCATAACAAGCTCGCACCCTATGGAACCGTCGGTGAACTTCTGATTGAAGGTCCAAATGTCGCCACGGGATATTTGAATAACGAATCGAAAACCAAATCTACTTTCATTTCGAGCCCGTCTTGGTTATCGGCCGGACGGCGGTTGTACAAGACCGGAGACCTGGCTAGGTTCATGCCAGATGGAAAAGTTCAATTCCTGGGCCGAAAGGACACCCAGGTCAAGCTGCACGGCCAGCGGATTGAGCTACGCGAGATTGAACATCAAATCCGGCAGGTCATGGATGTGCAAGAGGTCGCAGTGGAAATGGTAGGATCGACAAATGGAAGCCAGCTTCTTGTTGCATTCCTAGCCATAAGCGAAGAGATGGTGGCCCCTCAAATTGGAGATGTGCCAGCACCTGTCCGAGTTGTCACCCCCGAAGAGACGCACGAGATCTTCAAATCCCGTCTCCATTCGCTACAGTCAGTCTTGTCGGATGTTCTTCCTCGCCATATGATTCCTACACATACTATCTGTCTTTCTAATATGCCCTTATCTGCCTCTGCTAAAACAGACCGAAAGGCATTGGCCGCCATCTTCTCCGATCTTTCGGTCAGTGATTTGGCCATAGCATCAGGGCAAATGCAGAGCTGCAGGACCCCAAAAACCGACATGGAACAGGCACTCCATTCGTTATGGGTCAAGGTTCTGCGTATTCACGATACCGAATTTGGACTTGATGACGGATTTTTCCATCTCGGAGGAGATTCAATCTCTGCGATGCGACTTGTCTCTGAGTGCCGTGCTTTGTCTATTGTCCTGTCGGTGGAGAATATCTTCCTGAATCCACGGTTGCAGGCTATGGCAACAGTCGCACAGATCGATACGTCCCCTCTCGCTTCGGGTCCTACGCCAGTGCCGCCATTTTCCCTCATTCAAACACCAAATGAAGCCAAATCTCAGGCTTCAGCGGACTGCAAAATCCCGCTTGATGAAATTGAGGACATATACCCTTGCAGCCCGTTGCAATCAGGGCTTCTGGCGCTGAGTTTGATGAACTCTGGGGCATATTCCTCCCAGTTCACCTATCGAGTACCCACAGAAATAACTGAAGACATTGTCAAAGATGCATGGAGGAAAACGGTTCAATCTATAGATGTGCTGCGGACAAGGATTATCTACCGAGATCATGATTACCTCCAAGTTGTGACGAGACAAATAGGTGAGGTGTGTATTGAAAGAATTCGAAACCTGCCGGCATATCTCCAACAGGACCGAGAGATTACAATGACGCTCGGAGCGCCACTGGCACGTTGTGGCTTCATTCCTCACTCAGGAAATGAAAACTACGTCATTATAACAGCTCATCACGCCATCTATGATGCCATATCCTGGGAACACATCATACAAACCTTTCAGTCACATTGTCGAGCCCAGCCTTCACGTGCACAAAACGATGTTCCCTTCAACCACTTTATCAAATTCCTAGGAGAACAAGATTTGAGCCGTGCTGCGACCTTTTGGACCGAACTCCTCCAGGATTGTCCAGCGTCAAATTTTCCCCATAAGTTACCGCAGCAGGTCTTGACAAACGATTCTTGTCAACGCCTTATACAACTCAACATCCCTTCTGGGTCTCCCTTTACCTTGAACACCTTCCTCCGCGCAGCTTGGGGTCTTGTCTGTTCTTCATTCGAGCACAGTGAGGATGTTATTTTTGGGGTCACTCTCTCTGGAAGAACAGCCCCGTTAGTAGCCATTGACCGTATTCCGGGTCCAACCATTACTACAGTTCCAGTGAGGGTTTCCTGTGCAGGGGGACAGACCATTGAAGAATATCTCGACCATGTGCAAGGGCAGGCCAACTCGATGGTTCCGTATGAGCATTTTGGGCTCCAAAATATCCAAACATTGTCTCCTTCTGCAAAAATTGGTGTCAATTTCAACTCTCTTCTCATCGTCAACAAGGACGACTCTGACCTTGGGAAAGCCCCTGTGTTGAATGAATTTTCGATCATCGATACCGGCTATCCTACTGTTTACACTTATCCGCTTGTCTTGGAGTGCCTGTTAGGGCAGCGGGGCATTTTGGTCAAGGCATTCTACAATACCGAAATGATGCCAGTTGCTCAAGTTGACAGAATCTTGTCCAATTTCGAAAATACTCTCCAGCAGCTTCTTTTCCGGGACGCACATGATCGTCTTGCTGAGATGGAGTCTATCAGCCCAGGGGATATGGCAGAGATCGAGGATTGGAATGGCCCGATGATCGACATGGATGATCACTTTTTGTACGATGCTTTTGAAGTTCATGCCTCCCACAAGCCGGACAGCCTAGCGGTCCACTCCTGGGATGGTGAGTTATCGTATGGCGAATTGAAGTCATATTCAGATCGCCTCGGCTACTTCCTCCAGCAGCAAGGATTGGCGCGCGGAATGATGGTGCCCTTCTGCATGGAAAAATCCATGGTAGCAATTGTCACTATTCTTGCAATTCTGAAGATCGGTGCAGCATGCGTGCCATTGGATGTCAACGACCCCATTGCCAGACAGAAAACCAAGGTTGACCAAGTCAGCGCAGCATTCATGCTCACGTCACCTACACAGGTATCCTCTATTGAAAATCTGGGACCCAATGTCTTGGTCATCGACATCAGTCTGATCAGGAGTCTTGATCCTACCAGCCGCAATTTGGGGGTGGTCAGTACAACAGATATTGCTTATGTCATGTTCACGAGCGGATCAACAGGTCTACCAAAGGGTGTTCTTCAGCAGCATGATTCCCTGAACACCGGCATCAATGCTCTTGGAAAGGCCATGGGAATCACTGAGACGAGTCGAGTATTCCAGTATGCATCGTACACCTTTGACGCTAGTATCGGAGATATATTCGGAGCTCTTTCGTATGGTGGTTGTATATGCATTCCTAGCGAACAAGACCGTTTGAATGATATATCCTCGGCCATCAATCGCCTGGGTGCCAACCAAGCATGTTTGACACCGACTGTTGCTCGGTTGCTAGATCCTGTCTCCATACCTGGCTTGATGCGACTCAGCTTAGGTGGAGAGCCTATTACTGAGCATGATATCTTGAGATGGTCTCCACATACACGACTGCTCAACGTGTACGGCATCACAGAGACGGCGGTCTGGTCTGCGACAAATCAAGAATATGTCGAGACTGCGAATATTGGCAGAGGCTTTGCCACGTGGTTGTGGATTATACACCCGGAGGACCATAATCACCTGATGCCGATCGGTGCGATTGGAGAGATTATGATGGAAGGGCCTGTCCTTGCGGTGGGCTATTTGAACAACGAGAAAGCCACATCTGCCGCGTTCGTGACCAATGTTTCTTGGGCGAAGACTAAAGAACAACCTAGACGATTTTACAAGACCGGTGACCTCGCATACTACAATTCCGACGGGACGCTTCATTATGTTGGCCGTAAGGATACCCAGGTCAAACTCCACGGACAACGGGTTGAGCTCGGAGATATTGAGAGCCATGCTCGCAAGTATATCCCTGGAGGGGTTGATTTGGTCGTAGAGCTTATCCAGACGCCATCGGTGGATAATTCGGCTGTCTTGGTATGCTTCTATGATAAAGCCGACTCAGTGGTTGATGTGAAGATGATCAGAACCTTACTGGGAACGACTTTGCCATCAAATATGGTCCCGACGGTCTGGATGGCGGTGGATACAATCCCAAGGCTTCCTTCTGGGAAGACTGATCGAAAGCAGCTCCATCTGATCTTCGCGGAAAGAAGGCTGGAGGATGCGCAGATTATCATTGACGACTCCTCTCAAGCCAGAAGACAACCACAAACCATCAAACAACGATTGATGCAAGAACTTTGGGCTAAGGTCCTTGCAAGAGACCCGTCACTCATTGGCATTGACGATGACTTTTTCCTCCTTGGCGGCGATTCCATGGGCGCCATGAGATTGGCAGCTTCTTGCCGCGAGGCTGGCCTATCCTTGACTGTGACCTCAATTGTTCAAAGCTCCATCCTAGCTCACATGGCAGAAGTCTCTGAATATGAAGCTGCGTCTTCCTCAACTGCAGTGGCGCCTTTTTCCTTAGTAGCTCATCCTCCGGAAATGAAGCAACGTCTCCGACAAGAGGCCTGCAAAATCTGCCAGGTTACCATGAGTGAGATTGATGACATCTATCCCTGCACGACGCAGCAGATCCGGTACATGAAGCTGAACCTATCACCTCCGGGTTGCTCTACTCTTCAGCAACCGTTCTCTATTCCTGCCACGGTTGACATTGCTCGACTCAAAGCCGCTTGGGAGAATGTTACCTCCAGAAACCCTATCCTCCGCACTCGGGTTGTGCAAATTGATGAGGAATATTACCAAGTGGTCACAAATACCCCAGTTACATGGCACACCGCTGACTCACTCGAGACATACACCGACTTTGAACGATCCAAAATAATACAATTGGGAGACCTGCTTAGCCGAGTGGCAATAATTGATAAACGAGATGGATCACGGCCTTATTTTGTTTGGACAGCACATCACGCGGCGTTCGATGCGTATAGCCTGCAGCTCACCCTTAACCACCTGGAGGGGGCATATTTTGGGAATGAAGCACGCGAGGCTCCCATGAATCTGCTTATCAAACATACCCAGCGACTAGCCAGCAATCCGGTCTCCCTCAAGTTTTGGGAGTCCCAATTAGCAGGCGCTCGATCGAAATCATTGGTGCCGACCTCGCACGAGCCAGCTCAAATTAGAGCGACAGCCTCGGCGGAACTGCAAATCCACCTGCCTGAATTCTCCTCTTCCACAATGACCCTGGGTGCTGTTATCCATGCAGCATGGAGTTTGTTGATCGCTCATGAGACTGGATGTGATGAATCTGTTCAGGAAGTTACGCTAACCGGTCGAAGTGCACCGGTTGATGGCATCTTGAGCATAATAGGCCCTGCAATTACCATAGTTCCTCTTCGAATCTCCATCGCCAATCGCAGTGAGCCACTGTTGTCATATATGAAGCGTGTTCAGCAGACCCTCGCACAGATCGTTGATCACGAGCATGTGGGCTACCAGAATATCCAGAAAATCAGTCCAGACGCAGCCCATGCTGTTAGCGTCGCTGTACCCATCCTCATCCACCCCTCCGATCCTGCCACCTCTCCTCTAGGCCACGGGATAGGCTTGCAAAGAATCAGGCGATTCCCTCTCGCCGATAGCCCTCTCCTTTTCAATCTCGAGTGCTCTCTCAACGCCACCGGATTTAGAGCTGAGGTCTTGTTCGATGATCACCTCCTGAATGCGAGTGTAATTGCACAATGGCTGCAGCAGCTGAAATTCATCGTGGAGTCTCTCATTTCTGCTGCTCAAGGTGATGCGGCGGGACGGTCTATCCATGAGTTACTTGACCGTGTTTCTCATTCTTCTTTATGATGCCTCAACAAGCACTGGTCGTTTTGAAACTGCGAAAAAATGAATTTCTTTTGTTCTTGTTCTGATTAATCAATTGTTTTATATGCAAATTGAAAATTGTTCTGATTTTAGTGAATTAATTGTATTCTCCTATACGTCCAGGTGCCACGTCGCTGGCCTACGCCGTTTCCAATATGCGTATGATACTAAGGAGATTGACTTTGATTTTTTAAGTAAATATTAAATTGTAGGTTTTTGATTCTCTCAACAAAAGGGATTGTCTGGTTCTGAAAACTATCCGGAGCAGACGGTCTTTATGTTATGACTGAACAACCACAAGTCCTGAGAAATAAGTCCAGCATGTACTCCCTTCTATGTAGTGGCACCCAAGCAGGTGGCGATAACAAGTGCGCCACTTATATACCGTCCATAAAGAGCTAGCACTAGCTATACTCTAAAACTACAAGTGTCACAGGCTACACCTAGTAAAGGTATGGGCTACGCCCACACCAAGTCACATGACTCCACAACCTTGTTGGAAATTGAAGGTGTAAAATGCGGAAATGTAGATAGCATATTGGGTATTTGGTGTTTTTTCTTATAGCCCATTCTTATAAAGTATGATGTGCATTAACGTACGTGTTATTTACCTCCCGAATCATTCCTTCAAAACAGGTGTCAGCTTCCAGACTACTTTAAAACGAAGAGATCGAAACAGTGTGACCAATGGTCTAGGCTGGCATCCATTTGACGGTAATTGGCTCATGTTTGTTGCTCCTCACTCTCTTATCCTTTGACCACAGTTGGAACGAGAGATCAGCCGGCCCAATCACTACCTTTACATCAAATGATGTTCGCCACCACGCCGGGTTTCGGTTATACCAGTGTCGATCCTTCAGCTTTTTATCGACATCCTCTATGCAGATATCCAAGTCGCAAACCTTATTGGAACCTGGCTGGCTGATACTCTCTGGCAGTCCATCAGGAGGTAAGCTGGACATGACGATCTGGACCTTCCATGGCTTGTTCTCTTGGCCTTGATTCATCTTCAACTGAAAGGGTCTTTTTAGTCCCCTGTACGGGATAGGCGTTCCCTATATAGGTTGGTCAGTGACTCCGATTTATATATATTCATATATTCCATAATAATTTTGAGAACGTTGCGCTAGCTCATTTGGATTACAAGCCAGTCGATCTGACCAACAGCAAATTTCTTATTGTCACGCGCATCAAACCGTGTAGGCTCTGAGGAATGCTTCAAAGGGTTGAATAACTTATTACAGATGATTCTATAGCTCATAGGAGAGCATCAGGAACCGAACATCACGACACCCTTCTTCAGTTGTTGGACTCGGTCTAGAACTAGTCTATGGACAACAACCAGTTATCTGTATCTCACGGTTTAGCTCTGTTTATTTCACAAGTTTCTTAAGATTTATCTCTCAAAGGCTTACGGCTCGTCTGCAACAAGAATTATCATACTTTTTTGCGTTATAATGCGGGTTGGCTTCTGATTTAGCATATTTCTCTATCAGACCGGCTTGAAGATATGATGAGCTGCCAAATCCTCTGGACAGAATCAAATAGCGCTGGGGGATTATTTAGTTAGTAGGTGAAGTTTGTAATGATTGATAGTTATGTACTATTTGACCCTAAGGGTACTTTAGTGACACCTGACGTATTTACTTATTAATGAGACCACACATTGCATCAATCTTTGTGTCAAAAACACTCTGGATGTCGCTCCTTTTCTACTATTAGCTTCATATGCATAGATTTGCTATGTTAGGTCTCGGTAATGCTTGCTATGCTATGCTGATTTGCCCATTAGAGCTTCCTGCCGCAGGCAAATCAAAGTCCGAAGCGAGATGGGGGACATCAAGCTTCAAGTACGGAGTCAAGGTAACTTCGCTCCCAAAAGCACATTTAAATCGTTGAAATCGACCGGTGGTCATTTCCCATGCTGTCTCATCGGGAGGGAGCCGCAAATGATCTTGCGCATTTTCCAACTTCTTTGTCAGTATTTCGTGCACATGTCTATCGATGAAAACAGAGCCGATCGGAAGTCCTGCAAGAGAGTTAGTTCAAGTTGACTTTAAGGGTTCCTAATGGAGTACATGGGTTTTCTGCGTTCCATCTGACTCTTACCTTCGACTTGTCCCATTTGCTCGAGCCTTGTTGGCTCACCCAGTGAGGACATGAGCTTTAGAACATTGACATCCTGCGTCAGGCATTCCCATCTCATGAACCACGGTCGGTTTGGGGGTTTCAAGATTCTGGAGATGGTTCCACACACCTGAAAGTGTACTTTGGCATGCCATCATTCGTTGCATATCCTCTTTTGCTTTTTCATCATATCGACCCCTCCATCGCACTTCGTTCGGAATGTTCAAACTTGCATTCCCCGCACTTCGCGGTACCTCCACATCTCGAATAACGTTGTTCACATCTTCGAGGACCCCATCAATTCAAGCTTTCTCGCTAGGCTGCAAGGAAGGATCCTTTACCTGGCGCAACCGCTTCGCTTCACGCAGTTGATCAAGGATCTGAGTGTGTGTTCTCTGAAGCTCGAAGTCGTCGTTGGAAGAAGTGAGTTGCAGATCTCTCGTTGATAATCGCGAGACCGATGAACGGTGGCTATGCGTGCCTTGAACATAACTTCTTTCCCGCTCTGAAGAAAGCGATGATTTTGATTTCAGAAATCGTGGGAGCTTCATCGTGGCTGTGTTCAATGTTGATCAGGAAAAGTACATACGAGGTAGGCTTGGAAAGTCGGCCCCAGTCTTGGCCCCCTTGGCCCCCGGGGTCATGCACGGTAACCGACGCTCAGGTCCCATTGACAAGGATTTGACCCCGCAGCGTACGCGGCTCGGATCAAATTCCTTTTTGTGCTTAGCTTTGCATTAGCGTTTCGGTAGTTTCTATTGACCCTCAATTGGGGCTCTTCTTGGGAAATAGGTGGTATTTGCTCCGTAGATGGTGTAGCATCGTTACACCCCCGGGGCCGACTTGCAATCACATTCCCATGTCGCTTCCATTGGTCAAGGGATATTCCGCTGGAAATTAGGGCAAATTTTGAACCAAATTGTATTCGATTGATGGATTGCCCAGGTGTGAGGTCTCTTAATATGGTCTCTGGTCTGCCATGTGTGAGCGGCATGAGTTTAGAAGCGGAGGGCCCCCGGGGCCGTCACAACTAACAATCTCATCTCTGGAAATTGTCCTAGTCAGATTGAGATTGGCTTCCTGAGAAACACGCTCTGTTTTGGTTGTGATGGATGGGGAGCAGATTTCAATTTGCGAGGCCTCACTCTCTTTCCAAATATATATCTCTCCTGCTCATTCAACTTTCGAATAGACTTCCAAGTTTTGCCGGAAATTAATCCCTAAAACGTCATTTTGCTCTTAATGAATGAACTGCGGCGAAGTGCAGATACTGTTGTTTCAGAGAGGCATGTGGCCCAATCATATTCTAGTCTAACTCAGCTGAAAGGGTCGGTACAGGGTCGCAAAATACAGAGTTATTCTCATCCGGTCATCACCCGTCACTTACCCTGTCTATAGCGCACTCACCCCATTCTCACCTGGGCGGCACCCACCCGACTACTTACTGCGTTTAAGCCACACGCCGGTCAGTTAGTAGTATGGTGGGTGACCACATGCGAATCCTGACTGTTGTATGTTTTAGTTTTTGCATTCTTTTTGATTTGTTCGGGATTACTCCCCTTGCCGCTCTATTCTTCTGGGTATTCAGGGTATATTCAGGCTATTCAGACTGTTCCCTGAGTAGCCTGAATATTATGTAAGTAGTGTAGTGGGGAACCTTGGAAGGTGGCCCTTCCTACTAACTAACGTGATTCCCGGTTACCCGAGCGTCCCGGTAACCCGAGCGACACATCAAACAAAATCACATCTGTAGCAACCTAAGTTTTTTAAACATTAATCATGCCACCAATTCGCTCTCAAAGATCTCAAAAATTAGTACAGCAAGAGGGACCCCTATTATTAGCTATTAAAGCTATAAAGGATGGTCAATATCCCTCGGCTGCTGCTGCAGCACGCGCTTTTAGCGTCCCAGTCTCAACCTTGAAGCACCGGATCAATGGGCGAGAATTTTGGGATGAAATTCGCCATCCTCGCCATAAATTTACTCTTTTAGAAGAGAAGTCTATGGAAAAATGGCTACTCTCTATGGATTCTCGAGGAGCAGCTCTCACACATGCTATGTTGAGAGATATGGCCAACTTACTACTCCGATCGCGTGGATTGACACCTTCTGACCCCCCTCCGAAAGTTGGCAAGAATTGGACCACAGAATTTGTCAAAAGACACCAGTCCCTTTCCTCTTGTCTCTCTCGTAAGTATAATTATGAGAGAGCTCTTTCGAGGATCCTGAAGTCATTCTATCCTGGTTTAAACTTGTTGAAAATACTATCAAAAAATATGGTATCACATCTGATGATATCTACAACTTTGACGAGTCTGGATTTGCTATGGGAATCAATTCAACTCAAAGAATTATCACTTCTGCGGAATATCATGGCAAAAGAGGTGTCTTACAACCTGGGAATCGAGAATGGGTCACTGCTATTGAGTATATCGGTGCTAATGGTGTTGTGCTTCCACCATATATTATTTTCAAAGGAAAGGTCTTTTTGGAGCGCTGGTTTCAAAAGCCACCACTTTGGGGTGTGAACAAAAGTCCTAATGGATGGACAAGTGATGAGATTGGTGTTGATTGGCTACAAAAGCATTTTTTACCTTATCTTCCTATACGGAAAGGGAAATATATGTTGCTAATTCTAGATGGACACTCATCATACTTGACACCTGAATTTGATAAAATTTGTAAAGAGAATAATGTTATCTCTCTTTGTATACCTGCTCATACATCTCACTTATTATAGCCTCTTGATGTTGGGTGTTTTGCAGTCTTGAAAAAGGTGTATGGAGGGCTTGTTATGGAAGAGATACGTCTTGGTATCAATTCTATTGATAAAGATAACTTTATTTAACTCTATCCTATTGCCCAAGAAGCTGCTTTTAAAGCTTAGACTATACAGAATAGCTTTAGAGGTGCTGGTCTAGTACCTTTAGATGCTAATCATGTACTAGATAAGCTTAATATTCAGCTTGAATCATTTTTATCATCTCAACCACCTGAGCCACGACCAGGATCTTCTAGCAGTACTAGTGATCTCGATACACTTTGGAGCCTCTCGAAACTGCAAAAAACGAATTCTAGGATCAAGAAAGGACTTGAACCTTCATCAGAGACTATGACCTCGCCGCTTAAAAGAGCTATTGACCGGTCGCATGATATGACTATTCGACTAGCTCATGAGCTCATCTTTATCCAAGATCGTTGCGCCAAGTTAGAGACAGCCAATAAGAAGCAGGTGAACAAGAGGACTGCTAGTAAAAAGCAGATCTCGCATGAAGGCAGTCTGCGAAGTTTGAAAGAGATTGAGTGTAATGTGGTGGAAGAAAAAGATGGTGGAAGGCAATATATATCTACAACGGAGGGTGCTACGGAGCCACTGGTAGAGCCTCCATTACCCCCTGTGTCTATCATACGGCGCCAGGTCACTTGTTCTGGTTGTGGAACTAAAGGACATACCTATTCTAAATGTCCTACTAAACTTATTTAATTATTTAATTGTGTTTTGGTGTTGAAATTTGAGATTGAAAAAGTAGGAAATTTGAAGTTCTTGGAGCATCGCTCGAGTAACCGGGACGCTCGGGTAACCGGGAATCACGTTACAGATTAGACCCACCTATGGGTTACCCATGGGCCACCTTTTGCACAGGTCTAAACATAGTATCTACTCTGTAGATCTATGGATGAATGTTTAATTCCTCAAGTGCTGCCAAGGGTACTTTTGTCCAAATTCAGAGTCTGGAACTCTCAAATGGGGGCGGAATCTCAAATAATTAGCCATACATTCAAATGTTCGTACGTAATTTCTAGTTGACTACTAAATTAGTATAACTAGTGTCGACAATTCCACTTTCATAACGCAGAGGATTCTTGAGTTCTTTAACAAGGTTCATACTGCAAATTACCAAAACCGTGTACTCCGTATGCAGTTGGTCATCGTACATCCAAAGACCACATATGGGTCAAACTCCAGCTCCTTAAAGCCGAATCGGCTTAAATCAGAATACGGGAGAACCCTAAGGTCAGATGGCTGTACATCAATTATTTATGTTTGTACCAAGTGCTCCATATGTCCGCTTAATGGATCAAACATTCAATTTTGAAATCTTTTCAACTTGTGGACCCATGCATACATGCACCTCCAAATCACATTGCAGTGGCAAACATGCAAGCTTCAAAAATGGTGCCCAGGTGCGAACGGTGGTTTGTCCAGGTGTCTGATGCAGCAAAACTACCCCCTATAACACCTGTTGTTCAAGTTCAGATGTATGCTTTCACCTAAAGGGCTTTGACCCCTGAGAGAAAAATCTAAAAAACCTTAAGAGGACAATTGTGTGAACTGATTTGAAAAAACAATCCTTCGTAGGGCTATCCCTGATCAAGTGAGCCACTTGTTGATCGAGCAGATTCGAGCTAGGCACCAATTCTTGGGGGCTGGATGCGTTCCTAGCCTTATTCTGGAATGTTGATTTTTTTTTCCTACTTCCCTATATCGCGGATGGAATCATATCAGAGAAACTATTGATCAGATCTTGTTTGAACATTAGATTCAATAGAGACAAAGAAAAAAAGGTTCTAACAAAATCATTGTCGTGTGCGAACCGTTGACGGAGTAGTTGTTCAGTGTCTCCACTTGAATTATGACTAGCAGAAATAGGTAGGTAACTACGTCGATATACATAGAATGCTATGCATATACTGTAACCTTGGAATAGCCCCAAGGGTCCTAAGCTTTCCTCCAGTCGTTATCCTTTTCAAAGGTGAGGAACCGACATCTGGATTGGTCACCCTACCATAATCCGATAATTGGGAGATATATATAATATGTGGCTCCATGATGTCACCTCCATCTCGCGGGCAGCCCTAAGAGGCGATTCTTAAGAATTCAGAATAGTTGGTCTTGTTCCTAGGTTATGAAATATGCTTGCCCTTTTTCGGAGTTATATTAAAGTATGATAAAGGGTCAAAAGTCATTAATAGACTTTGGGTGTGAAGCAGGCTGCACAATCTGTAGAGGAGCTAAATTCGTTGACCAACCGTTCAGACTTTGAACGATGCTCTGGTATATTCCTATATGACTTACCTTAGGAATATGAATTATTTTCGCTACGTTTGTGTCTCCACCCGATACCCTAATTCAAAATTTATCAGGATCCTACGGTAGTAATGTCTCCTATCAACGCCTACTATATAATGTTAGGAAGCAATGGCTTAGCCGATTAGCGCCTTGGTAAAAACCTTTCTCTCTAGCTGTTCGACTAGGGTTTGATTGCCAGAGGGCTCTTGCTGCAATTCCCTACGCCCACTGGAATTTCCCAAGGTTCACCGACCTCACCCATCCTCCCTGATCTACAATGCTGATTTGATCTAGGACTATGCATCCCTAAGGAATCCCGGCGATATCGGCCGGCAAAGATCACCCGTAGATAGATATGGGATAACGTAGTTCCCGGTCTCGCCGTACACCCGGTCTCGCCGTACACTCTACCCCACTAGAATTTTAAAATTCAAATATTTTAACCCAACACCAATAAATTCAGTTATAAATACGATTTTTACATACATTAATTCGATGTCCAACCTCTCGACACCCACTACACCTAGGCTGAGCCCTAGGCGCTGGCTGATTCGGCTGAACAGGCAGTTCAACCTGGGTGTGTGATTCAACCACAGGTGGTTCCACTGGCAAATCCAGCTGTGTAAGTAGCTGTAGGCCTTCTTCAACAGTCAAACCCTGTTCACATGGTATCTGTCTAGCGGATCGACTGCGCTTCTGTCGTTTCTTCTCGTTCGCTGCGCGTAAATTGGCGTTTTCTTGAGCTAGTAGCGCAGTGTTATGTAGTGCTATCGAATGCCCTTTGATAATTTGATCTAGCATCAATTTTGACGGGCTTGGAGGGCTGTTTGATCGCTGTTTTAGGAGTTCTTTAAGCATTGAAGCTTGCTTCTGAAGCTGAACCACAGTTCTAGGTGTTTTAGGTGAAAATTGACTAGATCTGCTGCTTGGTCGGCTACCTGGTGGTGTAGGTGTTCGAAGAGAAATATTCAATTTGGAGAGAACTCTTTCTGCATCAATTGGAACTAATCCAGTACCTAAAAAGCTATTTTGGATAGTATTCGGCCGAAATGCCTCAGCCCGTGCACGTTGGAAATCAGCTAAGAAATCAAGCTTGTCGATATGGTTATAGCCTGTACGTGCAAGATGTTACGGACCCACTACGGAGAGGCCTCCCAGGAGCAGCTACGACCCAATCAGTTGGCGGTCGGGCCAAATATGGACAACCAGCCATAACGGACGCACGGCCCAAAGGGGCGCAGGGCTACTATGGTGCCTGAGGCACCAACAGGAGCCAGATATAGCCTGTTGCTTACCATTGCAACATATACTGGCTATACGGGAAGGACGGTGCATGAGAGGCCACTTCTGACTCCATGACACGTGACCGCGGATCTATTCCAACAATAGATCCCATCCCAGTGATAGGACAGGATCCCATCGGACGGATAGGATGGACTGGATATATAAGGAACGGTCATTACCATCATGTATTTAGTTCTTCGCGATTATTACTCTATTGTTATTGAGACCTACAGCACAATTCAGACTGATACTTGATCACAATCGAACCCTTGAAGATAAACCTCAACTAGCTTGGGAGCTCACTCGTGATAACCTCACTCGTGACTGACTTGCTAGCGAACCCCTGACTCAAGCATTACCGTGCAAGGATCCCTAAAGACTAGCCCGTGTAAGGCCCGGACGGCGACGGTACAATTGCAGGATAACGGCTTGCGGTAAGTATTGACACTACGGCAGTGTATACTCACGTTGCTTGACAGCCAGTTCGTAACATTATACTAAAGAAGTATTTTGTATCACTTATCGCCAAGTGTCCCGGATCAGGCTCCTCTTTCGCAAAGTTAGCGTTGGCTGCTTCATTACAGAACAGCCTCTACCTATAATACATTAGGGTAATAAAAAATAAGGTTGGTGGGATTGCTCACAATGTCCAGTTCAATACAGCATTCTCGTAATTTTGGAGTTTAGCCGGTGCTAGCTCCTTATAGCAAATAGTATTTTCTTCTTATTCCCGTTCGTTCTGATAGTCAAGGGTAACCCCACGTGATGCAGCACGAGCGTTTCCCTCGGCAAGCTTTTTCAATATTCTGTATCTTTTCTGTGAGCATCGTCTTTGAGTTGAGAGAACAAGATGAATAAAAAATGGCAGGTCTTACTGACCGCCCTCGGGCTGCTATTTATCGAAAATGCGAGTATTGCGGTGGGTCCCTCTCACCCCGTTCTCACCCCCGGTGTCCAGAATTCTCACCCATATCACCCTCACTCACCCTAATGCAAAACCTGGTGCCGTTTTAAGGTCTAGGGCTCTTTGAAAATTAACCGCGTTTAGTATGTGGCTTAAGTACGGCTGAGCGGACGGGAAGCCCTGTTCTCCACACCCTGTGGTCGTATGTGAGTGAAACACACTAAATCAGGGGTTACAAGTCCTCACGCCGTGCTTCGCGCGGGACTGCCAGTGTACATACCTTGTAGCAACGAGCATTTGTATCGGGAAAAATAGGTATGTCCCCAGGACTCAAGTGCTTGGCCAGGTGTGTTTACATACTTAAGGGTTCAGTCCGAGTCAGTAACGTCTACAGGTGACTGATGACCGACCCCTCTTTGTGTGTAGGTACCTATAGTGTTACCTGGAAGGTTATCTGCAAGGGAGGGTTAGCTGTTATATTATTAGATATAGGCACCTGGTAGCCCTGGAGATAAGCTGTAGGCTATCCTCAGGTATCAAGACGGGCGGTGAATAAAAGTGCAGGAACCCAAGTAGTAAAAAAAGTCTATATAGAGCAAAGCAAGAGAAATGAAAGGTTATTGCTCAACTGCAGCCGAAACGCCGAAACTGTGTGACGGTCATCTGGTGCTGTTTGTTCCAATCTCATAACACCTCAGAAAGTTCCATGGTTGAAGTTCGACATTTGTTAGACGACTATCCAGTTTTTACCTCAGGATCCTTAAGTTGCAATGTTCCCAAGACAAATCCCTCAAATATGCAAGTGCTCTCGTTGAATACTATCTCACTGAAGTAGGATAGATTTCCGAATCTATACAACTGGATGATATATCCTATTCATATATCCGATGGTAAAATTTTAAGCTAGACCAGTTGACAGGCTCTACTGAATATAACGTAAATACAAGCGGAATTTAATCATTATAAAACTTGAATGATTCTGAAATGTGCTACCCATACATATAAAAATTTACAGTAGACCGGAAGTGAACTTCGAGTTCTCCCTAGTAATCCCGACTTCGATCTATAAAGTTCCCAGTGAATTCAAAATACCTTCCATTTGACATCCTAACGTAGTATCTGCCATCATCATGATTGAAGTCGTGGCTTCTCGCGCCTCCTGTATCAGCAAGGCAATTCTTTGCTCGCAATAATGAAAGCTGCCAGTCGATTGAATATGGTCAACTGCCCGTTGCTTGACCGCAATATCCTCACTGCGCTGTCTCAGGATGCTGTATAGGATTTGATTCTCCGGCTGTGCGCGAATGCTATGGATAATTGGAAAGGAGAATTTACCCTCTGTGATATCATCAGAGAAACATTAGTTCGCGGTCTATGTAGTGCTTCGCAGGTTCTGATAATCATCCCGAATTTGGAAAAGGACTCCTAGTATCTCAACGAGAGTAATAAAAGCATTTTCCTCTTTCGCCGCTGGCTCTGTGCTCTCAGCTAACATCCATCGGACTGCGAGACGAAAAGAAACCACCAGTCTTTTCTAGCACCATCTGAATGTATTCCTCCTCGCACGGAGATTGCAATGAGTCTCTCCAGTAAAGCTCCATTCCTTGCCCACGATGCAAGTTTATAAGCTCATCGATGAAAATGGAGAATGCATGTGGACTTAAAAGATTTGTGAGCTCTCTCTGAGCAACGAAGTATCCATGGTTGGCTGAATTTGTTGTTTGAGATACTCTAAAGATATGATGTGCTGCAGGGGCACCCCGGCGTAGCTGGGATGAGTTGGATATCATCAATACCAAATTTACCAGATCAGATCAAATTTGGCTTTTCTTAGTGCTATTATCCACACTTACAGCAATTAGGCATGGTGAAGCATATCGATCATTCTCTTCACTACATCGAGTTTGTCGCTCGGTACACGAAGGAACTCGTTGAATGCATCAATCAGTTGGCTGCGTATGCCTTTTCCCGGTATGTCCCGCAGATAGTCAAGGGGAGCAGTCAAAACCTAGCTCGTATTAGTCCAAAATACTTCATGCTAGGAAACAGTAATTTTATAATAGGTTACCTTTTCATAGTGGTCCTTATTGCTTGAGGTTTCAATTGCAGTAGCACGCACGTGATATATGATGTTGGGCAAGGCGCTTGTATAAGAATGTGTGAATTCGGTTTGTGCATCCATGATGATTATTTGGGCTCTTCCAATCCAAAATATCTTCAATATGGAGAATCGACTAGATCTATACGTCCATGCATGTGGGTGTGTTGCGTTTTATCATGTTGTTCTACCTCTCCCATATATTGAGACATTGAAATCCACACGAGAGCACCCAGAATACGTAAATATCGGCTTTTGGGGTGCCGTACGGCATGGTCACTGCTGCCAGAGTTCTGGGGCTGCATATATCCCTCTTCCCTTGGAATATATCTGCATCCTTTAGGTTTTCGACCCCTCTTGCTGTTCCAAATGTTATGCTATGCAAAGACACGTCATACATATGTATGTATGTAATATACTGATAGTGAGGGGTCCGGTTGCCAGTGTGTACTTGGGGTTACTACATAGTGAAGAGGGGAACCGTTAGGCAGTGTATTCTAGATACACGGGTCGATCCAGCTAGCATGAATGGATAACACCAACCAACATGTACGTTGTGGCCGGACTACCCCGTAGGGGTGGGATGAGAGATGTGTAGGAGTGTGTATTCTAGACTATAACGACGGGCATTCTTGTACGTACAAAGACGGGACTGAAAACATGACAAAACAGAGATGTAACCAAACGGTAATTCTTAGCACGGTACGTGTAGTAGGGGACAGGGTACCCCACTACAATAGCCACTACCAATCTCAGGAAAAATGTTCCGTAGATCGAGCCTGAGTTCATGCCAAGGCCCGGGCCGGGTGCACATGTGTCCAGATGTCCGCTTTTAGCCTTGGAACTTGAAGCCGCATGTGCAGCATGCATACCTGGGCATGTGCCCATCCACTGCAGTGGCAGGTATCACACCTGTCACATTATAGTTCACTTGACCAACCATTACTAGTATCCGTTATCCCGCTGCACGCGCTGGAAATACATTTTTCGCAGATGTGGGATCTTGGACACTTAACGAGAGAAAGAGGTATTGAATCTATGTCAACCGGTTGGGCCTAGATAAACTACATACTAACATTTGAATACCAGGTCCACCACCACCAGTCAGACCATGAGTCCCGAAGCCAGGGCTCATGAGGGACTAAACTCTTAAAACCTGCATAAGAACACAAAATTGATTATGGCCTGATTTCCCTAACATCCAGACGGGGCTCTATACGTAGTATTTTGATGTCAACCCCTGAGTAGTATATATGTAGCTTGCTTATAATGGCTTGGACAGAACTTGAAGCTTTCCACCTGGGCATGTTATTTACTAGCACGTTTGAGTTTCCAAGCCCTGAAGGTTTGATTAGGAGTTACTTCATATGTACTGCATGTATCCAAAGCGCATACGTTGCAAAGATGAGCATGGTGAACCTGAGAAGGGCAGCCCGGGAGAAACCCAAAAGCTCATTCTCGTTCGTCAATTCCTTCAAATGTTGCTATTCCATGCATCAAGTGGTGCCCGAGCGAGGTCTGACCCCGTTTCAAGGCTATGAGTTATGGACTCAGAAGCCCTCGGTGAAAAGCGGATCCTGGATACACGCATGTGCAGCAAAATGAGACTTCTACGCCTATCGCTGCGCTGCCCAATTTGGCACACTAGTATACGTTCGATACTCATTTTTCATTTCATGTGTCGTTTTAACTGCATATTCTATTCTGCAGATAAATTTGAAGAGCGACTGGTCTAAGTAGCAAAAGACAGCTCCTAAGATTGAATGATCTGAAGGAACTCGAAGCTCTTAAAATTCAATATCTCATGAAAAAGAGAATTCATTACTACATAAGAATATATTCCTTTTTTTGGGAGGGGATGAGAGCTATTTTACTAATACATGTTGTAGTGTCAACTTGAAATGATCAGGCTCAAGTTTGCTCCCGAGGTCGGAATTATGCCGGTATTGCGCACGTGGCATTGGTAGGTAGCTTCCAAGGTCCTAATGCCCGGGGAACATTGAAGCCCTGGAGATGACATTGAATTACGTATGCCGGTGCCACAGCTTTGTAAATAGACGGTCGTATATGCGGACTCAGATTGATGTTACACCGCACTTGCGGCACTCACTATTTTACCAGTTTCTTCAACGTGTTGAAAGATGATTTGGGCGTAAAAAAGCGGGGTTATGTTGACCGGTGGAGTGTGTATAACCACGTGCTCAGAGGGGAACTCCTCCAGAATACTACGACTAGGTAGCAACTATCACCAAAGATACGTAGGGATTTCCTTTATGTAACAATACGGGGATATGCATATGTAAGGTTATCTGTGTAGGTTTTGCGTAAGGCTTATATACATCTACCTGGGTCGGCCACTATCCAGTACCATTAGCAGGTTCTCTTCTTTTTGAGCGGGCTCACCAAGATACGTCAACGTTGATTAAACAAAGGCGCTCACCTATTGCCCATCCCAATACAACATTGAATATGGTTGAATTCGGGACCAAGGACTCCCTACCTGCGATACCTCTTTCCTTGCCACTGGCATATCATCTCGATTTCAAGCGCCTCGAGCCTGAAGTCTTTGCTTGGCTACGCCCATTTCTTTTTGACGCCTTTGGCGAGAGTGAAGGCAATTCACCAAAGACAACCCTTAATCTGAGAGAAGGATACACGGAGTGGGGGCGATGGTCTACCCTCATTGTATTCCTGAGAGGTTCTTAGCTTTGCAGGCATGTATGCACTGGCTCGTGCTTATGGATGACGTTTTCGCCTCTCCTACGATACAGAATCATACTGCAGCGCGGATGGCACAGGCAAACCGTCTGAATGCCATTATTGACGGTATTCCCATCCCGTCAACACCGACTGAAAGGGTTCTCAACGAAGGGTTGAAGCTTTTTGCAGAGCACCAGCCAACCAGTGTCCTAAATCGCATGGCTGAGGACCTGAAAGCCGTCTTGAAGAATTGTGCCAATGAGAACACAGACGGTGTCGGGAAGTTCACTGATCTTGAATCTTATGATTCATGACGACGTAAAAATGTGTTCGGCTTTTGCCTTATTACCATGCTAGAGTGGGCGCTTGGTTTCGATCTGCAAGAACACTTTGAACAAAACGAGGACATGCGGACAGCCCGCGGCTTGGTCATAAAACATTGGATCTTTGTCAACGATATTTTCTCCTTCCCTAAAGAGTTGGAGGCTGGCGAGAAGGTGAATAGCGTCTGGATTCTTATGGGACAAGGGCTATCGCTTCAGAGTACCCTGGACCGGCTTGCTGCAATAACTGTGGAGACAGAAGCCCAGTTCATCGCGACCCGTGATAGAATCCTTGACGGTCCGCTCGGAGACAACCCTGAGATTGTTGCCTTTCTACTGGAAATGGGTTACGCCATTTCAGGAAATCTTCGGTTCCATCGTAAGACCTGCCGGTATCATGGTTTCACCCGCAAACTTCCTGACTCCGATGCTGGCACTTTAACCCCTGAACCAACGATAGTTTACCACAGGGAAACAGTTAATGTACATGTGGTGACGGTTTCAATGTAAGGTGCCAATGCGTAGAATTTGGGAGCCACAATTCGGGGTTCAAGTTGACCATACTTGGACTTTTCTTTATGTTATTCGGGTATATGTGAATATTCAGCAGCTGATAATTACTTTCGGTACATCCACATTTGAAAGTTTTCTATGATGTGAAAGTAGTTTTTGGTATTTTTATATACTCCGTAGCGTCATATCTATACCTAATTGATCCAAGTTCATCGCGTATGTAACATCCTATCTACGATGTCCAAGCATATACAACCATAAGGTATGAAGAATAGGGCTTCCTGTCACACCAAGAGTTGCAAGGTTCCAAGATTGAGGATACGATATTGTTCAGTACTAGCGTAGGTACGGATCTCATACTTGACACGTCGAGATAGTTTCAAATAGTGAACTTGTATACCTCCCTCATCAGACCTTCGCAGAAGACTCAACTGAGGCTGGATCCTCGTATACCTTACATGGCTTTGGGTTGTTGTGTTCTTTTGGTAGGATAGCTCATTTCCCCTCAATTTCCCAAGTGCCAGGTGTTTCATCGAACTTAACTTCTCTGAGGCAATCAGAGACAATATAAATACCGGTTCAGCTCTGGAGCTGGAGTTCAGATTTTGGCAAGAAAATTTGGAACCTCAATTGTAATTAGAAATATTTTCTGCTCAGTACTTTGATTATATTGCCAATGTACCATTTTCTTCCCAGTACATTATCCACGCCTCTGACTGAAACGAAAGTCACGGTATCAACATCGCGAACGAAATCTCCGCTGAGGCCATCTATTGCTCTATCGAACTTCAACCATGATAGGAACTGGCGACTTGCGGGTATGATAAAGTCAAATCACTCTAACTCATGCAAATTGGAGTTTTTTTGTTCATCGGCAGGAAGTTCAACTCTTCTTGACTCCTCAGCAGATAATTCATGCTTCTGACCATCCATTCCGAGCTCCGGTAACACTGGGACGTTATTACCGAGGTCCCCTTTTGTGAATCCTCGCCGCTTCCGCCTGCGCATATGGAAGAAGAAAGCCACAAGAACAAGCAAAAGGGCACTCAGTGAGACTCCAACTCCAATCCCAGCTTTGACGCCTGTGGAAAGCTCTTTCCCAGATGTATATGAGGCCGGTCTATTGGAAGTACCACTTGAGGTAGTCAAGGAAGTAGAGTCGATGCTGGAAGATTCGGCTTTGGTTGCTTTACTAGTGATAAAGATCATCTCCGCCTTCGATGTATTACTTGAGGTAAAAGAGATACCAGATCCTGTGTTGGAAGATTCGGCTCCGGTTGCTGTACTCGTGACATAAATTGTCGTGGCGTCCGGCATGTTGACTCGCAGTAGGAGCGGTATAAAGGGACGGGAAGGAGGGTAAAAAACACCAAGGGTCTAAAGGAAGGAAAGAAAACAGGGGGAAAATGAAATGGACAAAGTAATGGCGATTTGAAATGTGAACACACTCGCATTAGTTAGGGGAAAGCTAAACTAGTTGGATTCACTTAGTTCAGCCCTGGAGGCTGTTTGATTGGCCATTGTGAGACAGTGAGACTAACAACAATATTAACGAGCACCGTTGAGGTTTTGAGTAGATACAACTTTTGAGAACGACTTATAATCACATAAACGAAGATCATTCAGTTTCCGTCCATCATGTAGATTAAAGGTACACAGTTCTGTTCCCGCGTAAGAGAGCTTGTCTACAGAGTTCGAAGTGGAGAGGTTGGGGATTTGGGGCGGAAATTCAGTGAGAATCTCGACTAGCGGGCACGAACCTTGTCGCATCAGTTCGCCGATTCTTGCATGAACTCTCTGCTAGGCAAATCTTAGGAACCAATTGGGAAAAGAGGCACGATTCTTTTCTGATGTACAATTTATCAAACCAAAATTGCGCACCATGAATATTAGATCAAAAAGTTCTGCCGAAATCAACTTTGAGCACAATATTGCTGTCAGTTGATTGTGATACTCTACCATGTTTAATAGTTTCAATTGTCAATTGGTGGAAGACACGGTGCTACCAGGAAAGAGAGTCCACGGCCAGAGGCATTTTTCACTACGAAATACTCACTGGCAAATATAAGATCGCAAACCCTCCAGGGATCCAGATCCAATTTCCTCCCGTTTCCCAAAGATTTCGTCTCAATATTTAAACTGTCTTTGTTTACATCCATAAATTATAGCCTATTGACATCTGGACGCAACATATTTCGACATCCGCATTGTAAGCTCTGGGGCTCAGGCTGGAGATGGCCCTTTCTGGAACCACAACTCTCCATCATTAGCTCCATCCTCGGCCTTCACCCATTGACAATCAGTGAAATTCCTCGAAAGACTCTCTAAGAATGAAGCAGATTCATCTTCTCGATATCGTGATCTCAAGACTGGAATGATAGCTTGTGTGGCTTCTTTTGCGTGATAGAAAGGTATTTGGCTGAACAGAGTCAGCCCCTAGTCAATGAAACATATCGGATAGTATTTAACGTCAACCTACGGAAATAGGTGGTGAACCACATGGAAATCAACGATGTTGTGGATAAAGAACCTTCCTAACCAGCCAAAGTCACGGTCAACTGTGGCAAGAGCTCCTTTCATGAATGTCCATGAGCCCCTCTCGTATCTTGGCACAGACGGATGATTATGCTGTAGGTGTGTCACAGCGACTTGTATTTGTCAATATAAATGAGGCGAATCTTGAAAAAGTCTCCACTCACCTATCCAATGATTTACCCAGAACCAAGGGATACTATCATAAAGCAGGATCACGATTTTGAATCCAAATACTTTGTCTAGAAACCATATTCCTGTTGCCGTCATACCTGTGCCAATATCGGAGATAAGAACAAATGAAAATTCTTCAGCCCTGCGCAAATAGTGGACTGGTGGGGTTCAAATGATTGTTTTTCCACTGGCAGTTCCCAGACTTGTGTAAGTGCATCATGATGCATGGACACTTATATAGCTCATGTTATCGATTTAATGAGTACATACCTTTTGTTGCTGTGACTTGATGACAAAAAGATTGAATTTGCACCTGAATTCAGTATTCAAAGTATTTAAAGCCTATTTATTCTGAGCAATGAGAGAATGACCTTCGATCTACACGCCACCATCCATCACACGTAATAAGTCACGCTGCGCTCACAAGCCAGGCAACCCCGGTCTGCGCAAGGCCTTGACAGAAACCTTGAAGCTATGAGGAAATTCCTTAGCCCAAAAGCTTACATCTTCTTAGAAGTCGGTGTGGTAGAGTTGCGTGATAGAATCGTAGGCTTCAATGTAGACATCACCAAGTGACCAAGGATGAGATGCATATACTTCCTCACACCGCAGGTCATTGTTCTATAATTTCGCCCATATCCTAAGTGAAAAAAGGATGAGAAGTCGGTGTGATAGACTGATGCAAGAAAAGCTTACACCCTTGTCTAAACATTGCCGAGTGTAAAGGAATATCAGGAAACTTCGAGATGTCGATTCGTTCCAAGGTTCACTTACTGGAGATCATCACGCCTCCCATCGGGCGATGACGCAGGGTTTGCAGAAGTATATCTAGAGTTTGAATGTGAAAGTCCTGCATAACTTGAAGGTTATTCCTTGCTGCCGTGAATCTTTCATGGTGCACTGGCCACTGCCAGTGCCGGGCCACCTCCGTAGATCGTGACCCAAGGAGTCTTTTTAAATTTCCACAATTCATCCTTAATAACTCTCAAAAACCTGCCAGAATCCCAACCTTGGAAAACACAATATTCTTTTTGTCGACCTTGACTATTATGACTATCGATTCACTCAGCAGGATTGCGTCCAAACTCAAATACATTATTCAAGATGAAGATACAGCCGGAAAAGCTAAGATCGAAAATTGCGTTGGCTCTATCAAAGTGCCTGTTGGGATCGCCAGTCCTTTGAGTGTCAAGGGGTATGATGGAACGGATGGCGCATTCTATGCCCCATTGGCAACTTGCGAATCTACGTTGGCTGCAAGCTGCTTGCGTGGATTCAAGCTCTTCACTGATTCTGGTGACATCCAATTCAAGGTACTACGAGATACAATGACAAGGGCGCCTGTCTTCTGGTTTTCTACTCCAGGAATGCTGCATCGTTCTACGACCTCCTTCCAGACCTTTTCCCTGAGTTTCAAGAGGCTGCACAATCCACCAGCAAATATGCCAAACTTATGAAAGTTGATTCTCAACTCGTGGGAAGCACGGTTCATGTTATTTTTGAATACTATTGTGGAAATGCCGCGGGGCAGAATATGGTCACGTTCGATACGCAAGAAGCATGCGATCGTTTTGCAGCGTCAAACAACGCTCTAGTATTGAAGCTTCGCATCATAATGATTGAGGGCCAGTCAGCTGCCGAAAAATCCCTGTCTTGGAGAAACATCTTACAATCACGCGGCGTGTCTGTCATGGCATGGGGAACGATCACACAGGAAGCATGCGAGAAGATTCTAGGTATTCCAACTTGGGATCTGTATGAACTCATCCAGAATAGCAGGGAGGTTGCTACACGAAACGGGCAGTTAGGCTATAGTATCAACCAAGAAAATGTGGTTGCAGCGATGTTCATTGCGTGTGGACAAGATGCTGGCTCCATAGCGGAATCAGCCTGGAGTCATTTGACTACTAAATTCAATGACGAAACCAAAGAACTGGGTGTCTCAACATACTTTCCAAGTCTCCACGTTGGAACCGTCGGCGGGGGTACTATTTAAGATACACAGAGAGAAGCATTGGAGAAGCTTGGATGCACTGATCCAGGGTCCAAGGGTCGTTTGGCGGGTCTCATTGCGTCATTCTCTCTTGCTCTGGACATGAGTACAGTGGCTGCAGTCACCAATAACACATTTGCAGCGAGTCATTACAGGTTTGCGAGAGCTCCTCGTAACGCACAATCAAAGCTTTAATACTTTTTGGACACGGAGGCAACATTTGAACATCGGGAATCTCCATTTCACCCGGTTAATAGAATCTTCCAAGTAATCCAATTATTTCAATCAGATATTGCTGTTTGGTTTTCAAATTTTCGTCCGGAGTTCTCAAAGGCTAGTATAGTGTCCAGTCATCGCATAGGATCTGGCCCTAGCGCTCATTGAAGCGAACGTTCCAACAAGCCATATCGGTACCAAATTTCAACCTGCTGTACATCATTGGAACTAAGTAGTACCCAGTGGCAGATATACCATCCATGTAGCCCGGCGATCTATATGACCCAAATACCATAATCAAGACAACGCTGAAGTCCACGGGTATTTTGATACCTCCAAATACCGTAATACAGTTGACCTTGGGAAAATTGCATTTGAACAAATACCGTATAAAGTACCGTATTTGATCCATATAGGCGGCCGACATATAGCCATATGCATGGGATTAACCGAGAATGAACCGAACGGTGAACTAGTTACTCCTTACTCCCATATAATTCGGCAATCGAGATTGCCAATACAAGATAGAACATCTGTGAGATCTCGGGAAAAAACGCTAGCAATTCTCACAGATCTAATACATAACGAAACATAGGTTACAGGTATGCATACGTTGGCTACTAGAACCAACCTTGGAACATTAAGTTAAAGTTAGAATAAAATATATTTTCTGCATGAGGTCTGGGGGTATGCCTCGTGTTCCCAGCAATCGGGAGCGACAAAATAATCCCCATTTGCAATTCTTACCGCCGATCTGGATGAACTTCCACACCGTATCGATTTGCTGTCCGAGCACTGTCAGTAACAAGCATAGATAGCACTGCATCCATCATGTCGGAACTTCTGCCTCTCCTTTCTCCTGCATAGTTGCCTGGTCTTCACATAATGAATCAACTTTGAATGAGCAGTGAATCTGTAATGCGTGATGGTGGCAACCTGATATCATATTTTCAAATTGTAGTTATACAAAACCCGGTTTATGGGATTCTGAGAACTCTAACTTGCATAATCAGAGTGAAACTTCAAGTTGATACCAAGGAGGTCAATATTACCAATTTCTGGAATTATCATTGTTAGTATACTAGCTCTCAGTCAAAACTTCTTGAGAGAATATTTTAAGGTTTTAATATTGACCAACTTGACATCTCGAAGGTATATTGAAGTTTTCCAAGGTTGTATCGAGAAAGTAACTGATAGTGTAACGTAAATTCCATCACTGCTAACTACCTAGGAACATTTGAAGTATATAAGCCGGAATCAAAAGATATTGATCATAGACCTCAGGACATCTGGGCCTAATATTGTTCAGATATTCAAATTGAGCGGATGATAGCTGGATTGATGAATGTTCAAATGTGTTCTTACTACTTCAAATATTCAAAAACGTACTGGTACACCTACTTAGACACACTGGCAGTCAAGATGATTACACAAGTAGTAGCTGATATGCAGGCAACTAAAGGAAATGTGTTTTGAATAAAAGTTAAGTTTAATTCGAGTTGTAGGACGCATGATGGCGTCCAAGGTTTGGCACCTTGAATAAATGGTGGTCAATTTATAGCAATTCTAAGTGAGCGAAGTGCTGTGCTGAGCATCGGGCTCTTCTCAAGAACAGTCGCACCCTTAGAATGATATATTACTTGGGTTGTTGAAGTATGATGAAGTCATAAAGGGAGGAACAGCCATTGGGGAGTAATGGTCGGTGGGTTATAAGCACCGATAACAACCACTATCACCATCCAATCCTATGCTAGCTTATGTCTACGCTATCTGGTAGAAGTTTTTTATATCTCTAATTTCAAAGACATGAGTCATGGAATAAGATTCGATAGATTGGAGGTTGCCTACTGTGCGGTCGATTCTAGAAAATGGCATAGTAGGCAGTAGGTTGGTTATGGCATTAGGATGTGTGTAAACTTTACCATAGAAAAGCTTTGTACAGTCTGTTCCTATATGTATTTTCAACTGTTTCTGTCCGCTCGGGTAATCAGTCACAAACTCTGATATATCATATACAATATTGTCAATTAAAACCAATAAGCAACCGTTTTTGAGATAATCGAAGTATTGTGTGATGGTTATGGCTGGGACCTCATGAGGCAGGATTCCCCAGCATATCTTTTGGCGCTTGTGTTCCAATTCCGTTTCTAACCGCTAGAAATGAATTTTCTCTTAATTTCATTTTGTGGAAATAGTTTAAGGTCAAAAGCAAGATTCAAACATTTGAATGGTATCTTGGGTACTCTTGGCGATTTGAGGAGGAATCGAATGATAAAATGATATCAAGCGTTATCTAACTCAATCTACCAGCCTATAAGGTTGTTTTCAATTTGCTCACCTTGGCATATATCTTTATTATATCTAGAGTATATGGCCTTCGGCGGTATATATAAATAGCGATCAGAACCAGTAGAAACAACCTTTGAACTGTATATATATGTAGGTCTAAAAAAAAAAGGTCAAAAAAGCAAACACAAAAACATACAACAGTCAGGATTCGCATGTGGTCACCCACCATACTACTAACTGACCGGCGTGTGGCTTAAGTACGGCTGAGCGGACGGGAAGCCCTGTTCTCCACACCCTGTGGTCGTATGTACTGGAACCTTCTAGATAGTAGGTTATATAGAGCAAAACAGGAGAAATAAAAGTATATTATTCGACTGAGGTTCAAGGTTAAGGTACTGGCGAGGAGTGTGTGGCCATATCCGAGAACTGTTTTCACCTTGGAAAATTCCATGCTGGAAGTTGTGTTAGACCAATATCTAGTCTTGACCTTGGCACTCGGAGGCTGGAGTTATAATCAATTGATGCTCCTAACATTGGAAATAACTTGAAATCCACCTCACATGTGCAAATTCTATCGTCTAATAGAAGATGTCTTTGGAAGTCGCTTACCACTTACCTATCCAGCCCACAAGGGCCATGAAGAATTAATTCAATATCTTCTAAAGGAGGGTGCCGATATAGATACCAAGGATATCTTGAATATATCCCCTCTGGCCTTAGCAGCAGAGAAGGGACACAAGGGAGTGGTATAAATTCTTCTTAAGAACAACGCTAAAGTCAATTCAAAAGATAACATGTCTTCACAACCGGCGTCATACTACGCCATTGAAATGCAACATTTCGATATTGCAGAGCTACTACTCAAGCATAGGACAGAAAACATAGATGACCATACTGCCTTAGGTCTTACATTAAGAGACAGGATGATGTATATGATACGATCATTCAATCACTACTCGAATATATTGCGAATTTGGAATCAATTCCCCTGACTCATACAGATAAACTCCATGTTTTTCATTGGGCAATATACAGCAGGAATGAGAGAATGTTTAAGCTACTGCTTAAGAAGGGTGCTGGAATAAACTTGAAAGCTTCTTACGGAAATACTAGTACCCCGCTGGCAATCGCTGTCGATTATGGATTTAAAGCATTTACACAGCTTATCCTGGATGAAGGGGTGATATAAATATGGCAAACAAGGGAGGTATCACCCCAATCAAGCTAGCAGCTAAAAGGGGAAGTGATTCTTTGATACAGATCCTTTGCGAAAGAGGTGCAGATCAGTGGATGAAGAAAATATGCTACAAGAGTTGTTATTCGCTGCATCAATAGTTGGCAGTACAACGCTGGCTTGAATTGCCCTTGGTAAAGGTGCTGATATCAACGGAAGAGACACCAATAATATGACTGCTTTATCACCAGCAGCATTATATGGTCAAGATCCGTTGTTGCAGCTGCTTCTTGCGGAGGGTGCACAGATAGAGTCAAGATCATCCTATTTTTAATTCACTCCACGAAGACCAAGCAGCAATTGGTCGTCCCATGGGCTCTGTGCAGGTTCTACTTGCCAAAGGTGCCGACCTGGAAGCGAGAGATGAAAATGGCAGGAGACCGCTCGCACTGGCAGCACTACATTTGCTTGATGAGGTAGCATTAGGCCTCTTTTACTCCTTGGGTTCCTGCACTTTTACCTATCGAAGGAGAGAGAGAGGCAGAATTGGCCTACAGCTTATCTTTAGGGCTGCCGGTTGCCTATATTCAACTATTCACATGTAGCAGCTAACCTTCTTCCCCTTCAGGTAATCCCGTACGTAACCCCGTACGTACTTACATAAAAAGAGATGTAGGTCAGCAGTCATCTCTAGATGCTTCTGACTGAGCCCTGTATTTAAGTATGTGAATACACCTAGCCAAGTACTTGAGTGCTTGGGACATACCTTTCCTAATTTCGCTCTTACAGTGCCGCGCGAAGCGCGGCATGAGGACTTGTAGAACTGGTACTCGAGAAGGGTGCCGATTTGGAGGCGCGAGATGAGAATGGCAAGACACCTTTGGAATTGGTGCCGGCAAGAAGTCTAGACTAATACTCATTCTCAACCCTTGAAAGGATGCAGTGAATCTTCTGCTAGCAAAAGGTGCCGATCTGAAGTCGAGAAATAACATTGGAAATATGGAATAACTCCAGTCAGCGTGAGCATTGGGAGTGAGTTGAAGGAGCCTGATCAGGTTAATTTCAAGTTTGATAGAAAAACAGTATAAGCCCCCCCTTTTTGATGTTAATTCGAGTTCCAAATCAAGTTTCACGTGTCTAGTTCAACCTGTTCTTCAAGGAAAAACGCAAAAGTTATTTCAAGACTTAACCCAGGATGAATGAATGTCACAGTGTATTTACAAGAAAGAAGTCAAGTTGGCAGCAAAAGCCGTGGACCGCGTCGGCATTGTACATAGGCACGTTCATGTTACTCAGGTGCAGACTGGTGGTGTTGTTCCGCACGGTAAGGCCAGATACATCCGGACAAGGAGAGAAAAACAAAAAAAAAGAAAACATCCATGGGTGGATAAAACATAAGAGCTTGAACATAAAGGAATACAATGGCCAGTCATCCACCATCATTACGGTATTACATACTACATAAATGACCGGCGTGTGGCAACATTGAACAGCTCCAAGTCGAGGTACGATGTGTCCCCGCCCACCTGTTCATCCACCTGGCATCCATATTGTATATTGTGTAGTACGTAGGCCTAATCTCATGACACTTTATTCAATTCCAGGGCAAATGGCATTTTATCAATAAGAAATTAATCGCTGATCCTGATAACGGTGTCTAAACAGCCTTGTTCAACCTCAAGTTGGAAGTCGATTTTTGTCCTTGCCATAGAGCACAGCCCGTGAGTATGGCACGCGTAGCAATTCTCACGCAAGGGCGGAAAGATTTATATATTCTTCAAGTTCAAGTTACTGTTGAAGCTTCGAAGTTCTTATTGCCCTTTCGATCAATACATCCGTTTGCATAATATTAAGAGGCATGGTCCAAGCTGTAGTACAGTGCAAGTTTGAAACTGAAAAATGGACTTTGTGGTGAAATTTTACATTTGGTGAGTGTCTTCCATCTTAGCGCTCGTCCCTCGCTTCGAAGGTCCAGGACTTTTCGGGGGGAAAGATTTTACTAGTGCCAGTGAGCCAGGTAATGAGAGTCAGATACTTAGCTTGCAGGAAAATTGCTACAGTATAGAAGCGATATGGTCAAGCCTTCTGGCTTTGAGCCTATTGCTTGGGAACAGTTCCACTTTGAAGATATGCATTGTATTATGTGTACTCAGTGCGTCTTGATAGGCACTGAAGAGGTCATTCAAAAGCTGACACGGAGCACAGACGAGGCGGAAGTCATCAAAGCAAAGGGTCTCATGAATCTTCTGGAAGGGTTGAAGGTTGTATTCTCACAGGGAGCATGTGTAGAAACACCTTGGTTCATTCTAGTTGCGCGGAAGCCTCTCTAAGGAGTTGAACATTGACCCTTCCATGGAAAGAGGCAGAGTTAGATATTTTTGTGGGTAGCATCAAAGATTGATGATAAGCTTATCATAAAACATCAGAGCAACCATGCACCATCTAATGGAATATTTGAACATTCCTGATGTATTTCTCTCTATATTCTAGAGCTAGTGTCAGAAATTGGGACCAAGTGGTCCACTAGTTCTGCCCGTAGGTATCGCCTTACGCTCCACCTTCTTCTCCCCTTCCTCAAGCACCTACCACTGACAAAATTCAAATTTAGTATAATTGATTTCGACATACTAACACTCTTCGGCTCCACTTGACCCTAGGGTCAAAATATGCATACAAGTCAATACACTGCTGCTTTGCCACCAAAGAAATACACAATGAATACAATATCATCAAAAGAACAACCACTCGATTTGAAAAGACCGATTACTTTTTGAAGCTCAGTTCATGATTCCGTTGCATCTTTTGGTACATAAATAGAAACTGGGTCGAGGTGGAGCCGATGGAAATATCACGGAGTATTCGACTCTCCTTGCGAATGAGCAACCTTGGAAAGACCTGATAAACAGCTCCTCCACTTTATTTACCCCGCACTATGAATAGTTTGATTCCTGTATGGCTGGTTTTGGCTCCGTTTATTTTACATCTTTTCTTCACAACTATAGACCCTGCCACTTATTTAGCTTGGAAATCGACTGAGTCGGCCACTCAAGCTTCACGTCAGTGTCATCGGCCCCACATAATTATTACGGAATATCAAGTCTGGGGTAAGCTTCTCTTCAATATTGAATTGATCTAGCAGAGACGTATAGATCTTAAAATCCCAATTTAGTAATAGTATTTGTTCACTCGCAACCACCGGGTTATCTCATTGCCAAGTGCCGCTGAGCAAGATGTGGACATTTTACGTACCGACCTCAATTTTCATATCCATGGATGTATATTATAAATACTAATCTGTGATGGTCAATCAAAATCTCAAAATCACCATCCACATCACTGGCAAGGATATATCCATCTATCTGGCTATTTCTTCATCATGCTGCCTATCCTTCTTTTTGCTGCATTTGGCACAGCAACGGTTACCATACTTGATCCAAGTGACTTTGCAGATCTTTCAGTAGACGCAAAAGACGATGCTCTCACAGCTGACTGGGATTACCAGCCCCTCTCCTACCAGGCAATTGCAGTAACCGGTCCCTATCACTACAGTGACGTGGAGAAAGATGTCTCTCAAAAAACTCTTTTCGTGTCAACAAATGATACCAGCGTGGTTGTCATAACGCAAGACTCGCACGTCAACATTTCCGACTCTACCATCATCAAACATGGTTACTCGACTGACTTGTACCAGTCAAGCTTTTATGGAATCAACGCGGCAATAAATGTCGCAAATGCTTCTGTCGCCTACCTCGATGGTTTGAACGTGACAGTTCATAACGGCGCTGCCAATGTTTATGTGTATGGCAATAATAGCTACGCTTATGTGTCGAACTCAGACTTGTACAGTTCGGGTCCCGTCTCCCATGGACTTTATGCGGCAGGATATGGTACTGTTGTTGGTACCAACCTACGTCACTACTCTGGGGCTTATCGGTCATCTTCTTTCGCCGGAGACAGTCCGAAAGGATATGTCCAGGTATATGACTCACTTTCACATACTGCCGGGATTGGAAGTGCCACTTTCTATGGTCAAGGAACTATCTACGCCAAAAATATTATTGGCCATGCACAAAAAGCTCCTATTGCCTTCCTTGATGGCGCGCAGATAGATATTTATGACTCCGATCTTACCGCTGGGCTTCTTGCTGGTGCCGTAATTTTCTCATCAGGCACCCGCGAGTCAGGATCTTCAATAAGCTTCACTGACTCTAGTATCACCGTGCTACCAGATGCTGCAGCCGCTCTGTGGTTTGGCAATGTAATTGCCAGCGCAAGCTTGACACGCACTCGAATCAATACTACTTCCGGAATTTTGGCCATTGCGAATTATTCACAGGTGACCCAAGACTTTACTTATTTTGCCGACTCCACTGCTTCTGCAGAAGCCACAATCACAGTGTCAGATTCCGACCTGACGGGTGACCTGGTGGCCTACAATGGGAGTTCGATCAGTTGGAGTCTCGAAAATTATTCTTCGTGGACCGGTTGTGCTTATTCTGGATACGGCAGTGCGAACTTCTCAATTACACTGGATTCTACGTCTATCTGGACCCTAACAAAAGATACTGTGGTGAAACATTTCAAGAATGGCGACACTAGCCTCACCAACATCCATAGTGAGGGACATAGCTTATATTATGACTCCAGTGCTACAAGCAATAAGTGGCTAAAGGGTACGACCAAGAAAATGCAGGGTGGGGGCTACTTGAAGCCAGCCTCTAGCAAGCAGTTGTCTCATCGTTAGTATATCAATATATTCCGTATCCATTCAGAGACCTTCCAAGGTTCTAAGGTTGTCGGTCGAGCTTGGCCGAGTTCGTTCAAGTTCCTAGTCGCTATTAGTAATTTTTAAGATCAACTCGAACTTCTATGAGACAGGAAATGGGGGGGGAATTAACATGGATTCCAAGGCTCCAACTTGAAATTGAAGGTAAAAAACAATTGGAAGAAAAGTTGACAACCGAATTCTTCAAAAAGAAACTTATAAAACCCAGTGATACCTGCTTCTAGAAGCAATCTGGAATTGCCGGCGGTGTTCAAGCTTTCCAAGGGTTCTCCCTTCAAGTTATTATTTTAAGTCAATCGTCATTTCTGTTTCAAGTCTTTGTCAATCATCGCCCACGATTATCAAATATTCAAAGCATCTTCCTAAGTCCACCTCATCTTTGTGCGCCATGGAAGGTAGAAAATCGCCAACGGAAAAGCTTAGCCGCTGCTCAGATAGCACCTGTCTTCTTATCAAAAAAAGCAATTGAGTTTGTAAACTGTAGACTGTTTTGGGTTCATTCTCCTGTAGATTGGAAGAAAAAAAAATATATCAGAAAAGTAATAAGGAAGGAAGGTATGAAGTATGAAGCTGTATAATACGTAGGTGAGGTGAACGCTTTAGAGGCCTGTATGGCGTGTTATGGGAAAACACGGTCTTTGGTTCTGAATTTATTCTATCTGATGAAAATATTTTTGGGAATTTTCTTTTACTTTGATCCTAGAAAAATATCATTTAGACCGAAAATATTTTTATTTTATCCCTAACGTAATTACTCATTTGTAATTTAAACTAATTTATCACGCAAAATTATTTTGAGTCCATTTTACAGCCATTTTCGGATCCATGAGACCTCCCGCATAGAAGGTTGATAGAAGGTTGATTGGAATCTTCCAACTACGGACGATGTTAGACGGGTAAATTTGCCAACACAGGCAGAAAACAACGTTCGAATTCATCATACCTTGGAATTTGATGATATTTACTAATAAACTACTGCATTTTCATAGAAATTTTGCGGGCATGTTTGAACCCGATGCTAGTCTTTTGGTCATGTGGATTAGCGGATCCAGGTTTCAACTAAGCAAGGGGTAAGCGTAAATGAATCATCGATCCATTCAGCCTAGGTACACCTAATGACAATCGAAGACTGCTCGAGGTTCCTAAGAAGCTCGAGCTTAAGCTTGATCAAAATCATTGTGTTACGGATGACGGGGAGAAGGAATCGAGGGGATGAGAAGCACCGGTAGGATTCTGCCACTGTCTCTCGATTACATCCCTTCTTATTCAAATGCGAGTCACAATACCAGGGATTTCTCCTCCAGCTGTGGAGGCTCTTCCGCTAACATTCAATGCTTCCTTCGTATTGTTCACTATGGTGAAAGGGGGAGGCCTTGGTCTTAAATGTTGGCAATTTCCTGTGAAGTGTTAGTGGATCGCAAGATGCTTGACGCGCGTGTTTTCGCGCAGGTGCGCCCGTGAGCCCGCGACTGTGATAAACCCAACGATCAACAACTCAAAGATTCTGTAGCAGTTCGAGATTGGAAGGTAAATTATTTAGCTCTTTTTTATTAGTTTAAGATCAACGCTCAGGCTCAATCTCAGATGGTGTACCTTGTACTTGATGCTGTCCTCGGATCGCCTCTCAGATGGTGTACCTTGTACTTGATGCTGTCCTCGGATCGCCAGTAACGGGTTGAAATGCTACATCCATTGCGAAGCCGCAAATGAGCTACTAAGCGTTTGTTCTAACGTAATCCACAAGCGAGCCGATCACCCCGCCAAAAATCGCATCTTTCAACCACCCTGCCTAATCCAAACACCTACCATGCCACCAATTCGCAATATTTCGGCAGAAAAAAAATGCCAACCAAGAGTACAAGATATTATTAGCCCTTGATGATAATCAAAATGGTCGAATTAAGTCTCTCCGTGCAGCTGCGAGGCTATACCAAATACCCTATACAACCTTGGCCAACCGCGTGAACGGCGTATCAGCACGCATTGACACGCGCCCCAACAGCCATAGAATTAACCCAGCTAGAAGAGGAGTCGCTTGTTGAATGGATTATCTCTATGGATTCACGTGGTGCAGCACCTAGGCTATCTACTGTAGGAGAAATGGCCAATATTCTGCTAGCTGCACGCGGTAGCCACCCTCCACCTACAGTTGGTATTAATTGGCCATCGAATTTTATCAAACGCCATGATGAGCTACGAATGAGCCTTTCTAGGCGATATGCCTATCAACGTGCCTTAAACGAAGACCCTAAGTCCCTCCGAGAGTGGTTTACCACCGTACAACGTGTTATTGATGAGAATGGTATCCAACCCGAGGATATTTATAACTTTGATGAGACAGGCTTTGCAATGGGCCTTATTTCAACACAGAAGGTTATAACACGGCAAGAATATTACGGTCGGCGAGCTATTTTACAGCCTGGAAACCGTGAATGGGTGACAGCAATTGAAGCTATCTGTGCAGATGGCTATTCATTACCACCATGTGTGATTTTTAAGGGAAATGTTGCTATCGCTAGCTGGTTCGATAATCTACCAAGAGACTGGCGATTCGAGGTCTCAGCTAATGGCTGGACTACCGATGAGATTGGCCTACGTTGGCTAGAAAGGCTATTTATCCCATTAACAAATTCACGTGTCCGTGGTCGATTTCGGTTATTGATTCTTGATGGCCATGGAAGCCACCAGACGCCCCAATTTGACCGAAAATGTTCAGAGAATAATATCATTCCACTTTGTATGCCTGCGCATTCATCACATTTATTACAGCCATTGGATGTTGGCTGTTTTGCGGTATTAAAACGTGCCTATGGTTGCTTTATAAGTGATCTTGCGCGTACAGGCTATAATCATATCAACAAGCTTGATTTCTTAGCTGATTTTCAACGTGCCTGGCTTGAAGCTTTTCAGGCTAGTACTATTCAGAGCTTTCTAGCTAATTGATTAGTGCCAATTGATGCCGAAAAAGTGCTTTCTAAATTAAATATCTCTCTTCGAACACCTACACCACCAGGCAGCCGACCAAGCAGCAGATCTAGTCAATTTACACCCAAAACACCTAGAACTGTGGTTCAGCTTCAAAAGCAAGCTTCAATGCTTAAAGGTCTTCTAAAACAGCGATCAAACAGCCCTCCAAGCCCGTCGAAATTGATGCTAGATCAAATCATCAAGGGACACTGTATATCGCTACATAACACTGCGCTACTAGCACAAGGAAATGCCAATTTACGTGCAGCGAATGAGAAGAAACGACAGAAGCGTACTCGATCAGCTAGGCAGATACCCTGTGAAGAGGGCTTGACTGTTGAAGAAGGCCTACAGCTACTTACGCAGGTGGACTTGCCTGTCGAAGCACCTGTGGTCGAATCACACACCCAGGTTGAACTGCCTATTCAGCCGAATCAGCCAGCCCCTAGGGCTCAGCCTAGGTGTAGTGGATGTCGAGAGGTTGGACATAAGATCAATGTATGTAAAAAATCGTATTTATAACTGAATTTATCGGTGTTGGGTTAAAATATTTGAATGTGAATTTGTCTAATGGCGATGGGTGCGCGACCCGGCCGGGTGCGCGGTCCGACCGGGAATCACGTTAGAGATATTTTTGCTTACTAATCAAAGCTAGAAAGAGCCTGGAGTGCAACTACACAACACTGGATCACATTTTCTGCCTAATATCTCGAATCATAGATAAGGCATAATCGGATTTTTAGGCCCCTCATCCGAACTGGTTACCATTTGGAGCTTTTCAGCTAAACTTAGTATACGTGCTTGAACCCTTATTTATTGGTTACTAAAGATTTTAGGTTCAGACACAGGCCTCTTTCGCACCAACCCCCGTATTGGTCTATATCGAGTAGGTAGCTAGTGCTTATGGGTAAAAAGAAAGTCAGCCCCCAACCTGCTCCTGTAAAAATTCATTAAATGAGACCCTCAGTTCAAGATTCCTGATCGTCCACTGAATACATTCCCTTGAATATTCTCTCAGACAAACTTGAACCGGACACAATGCGCTTCCTGAATGACGAGCTTATCATTGACCGGGATAATGGAGTCCCTATGATGCAACTCATTGGGGCCGGGCTCCCACGCTGCGCAACAAGCTCCATTCAAACAGCTTTCGAGTCCCAATACATCGGCCTCACTCCTTGCATGCACTTTGCCCATGTGGCACCACACCCCGGCCGCTCTGACATTCTTCTGGCCGCAATGCGAGAGCACGACAAAACGCGACGGCACAAGCTTTTGCATCAGCTATTTGACGGTTTTGAAGCGACAACCGACTTCCCCGGCTCCTTGTTTGTGGATGACCTGATGGACATGTATCCCGACGCCAAGATCGTGCTGAACAAGCGGCCCGGTGGTGGATCCAAGTGGGAACAGTCGATCAAAGTTCTTGAATACGCTGGCAACCCGCTTTATTACGCTGTCTGCTTCTTGTGGAAGACGGACCGTAACATTTACACTATCTGGGATCTGTTCTTGAAACGCTCTAAGGCCACCCTGGGATTAACAGATGATGAGCTTCTGACGGCTAAGCATTATGATGCGCATAATGCCTGGGTTCACGTCCAGGCAGCTAAGCGCGGTTTGGAGGTCTTCGAATTCGAGCCTCGGGATGGATGGGAGCCATTGTGTGCCATTCTTAGTAAGGAGACACCCAAGGATGAGCCATTCCCCCATCGTAATGATGCGTCTGAGATTCGAATGATCGTCCGGATTTTATATGCTCGGGGGTTGATCTCCTGGTTAGTCCTAGGTGGTGTGATATATGGCGCGGCGAAGTTCTTGGTCAAATGATAGTCCATGCCGGCTTTTTTTATGTTCTAAATACCTACTGTAAGACAAATCAAATGGAGAGATTGATGGCGATTTATAATATGAACAGACTTGTATTAGTTAGGGGGAAGCTAAACTAGTTGGATACACTTAGCAGTTCAGGCTGTTTGATTGGCCTTAACAAGCACTATTGAGGTTTTGAGTAGATACAGTTTTTGAGAATCACCTCTAATTTCATATACAAAGATCATTCAAATGTTTAGTTTTTATCCATTAAGCAAGAGATTCAATATACTTCGTTCTTTCCCCGTGTGCGAGAGCTTGTCTACGAAGTGGAAAGGTTAGGGATTGGAGGCGGAAATTTCATGAGAATCGATTGACGATTCCATACTAGTGGACACGGATCGACTCCGTGAAACCGCATCATTTCGCCGATTCTCGCATGAACTCTCGGCTCGGCAAATCTTAGGCCCAATTCAGAAAAGAGCCACGATGTTTCTATGATATCAAATTTATCAAACCAAAATACCGGACCAAGGCTATTAGATCAAAAAGTTCATGGTATCAGCTTTCAGCACAATATCACTACGAGTTGATTGTAATCTCTAACCACCCGCCCTGTTGAATAGTCTCAATTGAGATTTTGCGGAAAATACGGTGATGCAAGGGAAGAGAGCTCATCACCGGAAGCATCTTTTACTACATAACGGGAAAAGATTGAGGCATAAAGTAAAATTCGATGATTTAGTAAAATCTCAGCCAGTATTCATCTTATCTTCAAGTCGCCTCTTGTTTGAATTAAAAGTCAAGTACCATCTTCGTAGTACAACCCCTAGATTCCAGCATCAGGAGATCAGCTGAAAAAAAAACAACACAAAAACACACACACCCACACACACACACAGAAGAATCTTCAAATATCCTGCCCCATAGGACTATCACCACAGCCTTTGAAGAACATTGAACCTGAGAATTGAAGAAAAAGATGGAAAAAGGATGCATTGCCATGAGCTTTGAATGGATAGAAAATTCCAAATGTTTATTTTCTCATCCAAATTTATGCATATCATGCACCTGAGCAGAAGATAACCATGTCCTCGTCAACATTCAGACATAACCTGGAAGCTCAACCCTGGAGGGTCCCAGGTGGTACGGCTCTATAGCCCCCAATCGACGGAGCAGGCACAAATAAGCCTGTTTCGGGTTGGACAGCCCAATTTACGCCCATATGTGGAGGACGAAACAAAGGTCCGGGTCTGTTCCCCGGAGGAAGGATTGGCAGCATACTAAACAAATCATGCACATCTGATCCAGCATAGAGACTCGGGTAGGGAGCCTCGGGCGCAGACCCAACATAAAACTTTGATCTCAACCATGGACCAGCTAGTCTTCCAGCACCATCAAGTAGCATATGGTGATACCAAGGTCTAAGCGTCTCAAAAACGGCGCATGGGATAGTTGTCCAATCAGGTAGCATAAGCCCGGGTCTCCGAAGCTCGTCAAAACCCACCATATTAACCTCCACGGAGAGAATCTTCATCACTGCGACTCTACCATCAGCTAGCGCAATGGTGGAATAACCCATAAGATGGCCCATTGGTGCAGTAGCAACCTCTATTTCGTTCCCCATAAGCTCCCACATATCAACCTCACCGATTGTCATAAAATCAGCCGCACTGTCATCTATGAATCGCCGTAATAATACGGGAAATGGCATTCCAGTATAATCTGTTTGACTGAGTTCCATTTCCCGGGCAGTTCTGTCAAGTCGGAGGCCAATACGAACCTAGGTACCACGAGAACAGTTCATATTAGTCAGTGATTCAAGTTTACTTGTGGTATTGAGTTCTCTTTTACTTTCATGCTCGCTCTCCCCTCCTGGGAAAGATCATAAAAGTCATGTAAGGTAATGGTACGTACCTCTGGGGTTCCCACCGCATTACGTGTTGGACTCTCCCATCTCATAGCTTTCTCGGATGGAGCAAGTGGGAAAACCTTTGAGTAATCATCAATCAAATTAGCAATGCCTTCAAAGAGTGTGAGTTGAAAAGAGTGAGTTGAAATAGATGATTTCAATTACTTACTCCTTCAACCCAAAATCCTCCACCTCCTCGATTCTCTTTGGTATTCAGTGTTCTGAAGTCAGACCACGAGAATGGCGAAGTACCCGCAATCAGTTTCCCTTGACACCAGTAGCTAGCATTATCGTCCCACTCCAGTTGGCCATTTTCATAAGCGTGGATTATTGCATTCACATTAGGAAGTTCTCCTAATGGATCTTCTATCCCCTCCAAGTGTGCGGCTATAACCTTTAGACTGCCTATACGTTGAATAACCTCCCAACTCTTGCCTGGGTATTGCACTTGTAACCCTCTAATAGGATTCAATCATTTAGCAGTTCCTCTATGAAGGGTCTTATAAATGGGTCCCAAAACCTACTTCATGGTTCCTTGATGAGCTTTCAAAATCTCTATCTTTGCCTCATATACCTTGCTAGGATACCCTTGTCGGATTCGCTCTTCATATCTTTTGATCCGCCCATCGTAATCATCCGGGTCAAAGTCAACATCGTCAGTGATTTCAGCTCTTTGACCTTCCCTCACGTAATAGGCAACAGACGTGATCTTGTCAGTCCTTACAGGCGATTCAAACTCCGAAACCTTGAAATTTTGAGATATCTCGGTTACAAACCGTTGTAACCAAGATTTATCTTTCAGTGAAGACTTTGCCCGCCTGACTCCATTTGTTTTCGATCCATTCATGGTGCAATTATTCTCGAAGATAGCCTATAGTGTAGAAGGAGTTCAGTCCAAATGATTCTCAGGTTCACTTGATATGTACTTTCAGTGTAACAGGTTTTGTAGGTTGCTAAAAGGCTCGAATTGATTTATTTTATTTATCAACACTCAGGATCATTAGATTTTATTGAAAGCAGCAATTCACATTGAATGAAGCAGTTCTATCTTTGTTCATTCATAGTCTCTAAATAACTCGCCACCCTATCTCAAAGAACAAAACATAGATTTAGGACAACTCAAGTGAACTTTTCTTTCAAGTCTTTGAAACTCTCATGCTGTTGACTTTGGACATCAAGTTCTAGTTTTTATATAAGATGTTATTGTCAAAAGGGTTGAGTATTCCTTTCATCCAGGCAGCTATTCCCAACCTTGAAGACGTCCAAAATCCCATTTAACCTTACCCAGGAAAAGGCCAACTCGGATCCATGGCCCCAACCTGAAATTTCTACATCTGAAAATTCATCCAGAATAGCATTTACCTGTATATGCAACGTTTTACAATCAATCCATCAATCCATTCCCTCAAGATCTGGGGCTTTTCTTATAAAGTAGTAGACTCTAGAGTGCTTTGAATGAGCAGGATGAAACCCTTGAAAACAAAAAAAAAACATTCCAAAGGCAGGCTCTTTAAATGTCACTGGCATTGGGAATATTCTGTCAGTAATCAATTTCATGTTCAGGCTGAAATATTGTGGGCTTTTATCCAAAGAAATGATAGGTGCTAGTAATCAATGTTAAAGCATGATGAGCACTTGAGATGGATGAAGACCTGATAAGGCTGAGTAACAAAAATGCATGAAATCCTATTAATTAGGTTTCATGGGATGAGCTGTCAAAAAGTGCAAAAGCCACTAAACCCCATTGGTCTACAGTGTATTGGTAATGTGGATGAAAAGGCTGAGTATAGCCTTGGAGGAGACCCTCAGTAGAATGTATCCATACTTGATCTAAATTTGTCTCAAAGAAATCCAACACCAACAATGGAAGATATACCACAAATTTGGTACCATTCATGTCTGAATACCCACGGCCTGTTACTCATATCTCAATCAAGTGAATTTGAATGTCTATAAGAATGAAAATCAACTTAAACCTTGGAAGATGAATTATGGAGAAGAGTTGCGGAAAGAGGGAAATGACATCTGGAAGCTTATATACAGGGTGGCTAGAGTGTTCCAAGCCCTGGACCTTTCAATATTCGATATATTCAAGTTGTTTTGCATCGCGCAATGCTGATCCCTCGTCGCTGTCCTTCACAATTGGCCTCTATTCCCGCCTTGGCCTATTAGTATTCAGAGTTGATATTCGGCCTTTCAGAGATATAACCTCTGGACCTCCTCTACCGGGCTCACCACCCCTCTCTAGCACATCTCTACACCACTAGTATTAGTACCTATGGATGTTTGCCGGTCTCTCAAATATCATCGTATCTGCCGAGCCAAATTCATGCGTGGGACTCAAAGGATCGGCGACTTTCTCGTATCTGGTATTCCCTGATCCGATTTCATGGGCAACCTCACTCCCAAGCTCAACCAGCTCCTTAGCCTCAGACCTTGCATATTTCGGGCTTCCGTTTCTTCCTTTATAAAATTTGAGGAAGTATAATATACCGGCACACAAGAGGGTAGCTCCTACCGCGACGCGCCCACCGATTGCACCTTGAACACCAGGAGACAGTCCAGATAAGGAGCTGGGATCTGTTTGATTGTTTGAAGCAAAGATTTCCTTGACAAGGATAGCATCCGACGTAGTGCAGCAATCAGTCTTATCACCGCAGCACCAATAATCAGAAGTCTGGGTTTTATCGCAAGCAGTCATTATGATATTTTCTGTGCTATTCCGACCATCCTAAGAGGAGATCAGTCATTGGGTCACAGATACGGGCTATTCATCCGCGACGAACCGTAGTATTTGCGCAAGCATTTAAACAGCCCCCAGTCGACCATTTGTTGCTCGTACAGCCTTCTCGCCAATATATGGTTCAGCTGACACCGTCTGAATGATATTCTGATTCATACGGATTCCATTCTGAAGGCAGGTGTCTGCAGTGTCGCCATAACTCTGGTTCCCACCTGATGGATTTTCAAGATTTGTTGCCCAGCACATTCGCGTTCCAGAATTTGAGTAGTCGCATGGCTTATATTCAAGTGTTGCTTCCCTTCTTTCATCAGGAAGATAGCAGTTCGTCGTTGCAACCGATAGAGTAGCGAACAAAAAGAGCATTGGGACCCTTGTATGAATGGCAATTATGGCAAGGAAATTGCGCATCTTTTCTTCTACGCGAATCAAAATAGTTCAGATGTTGGATTCGAGCAGAGGGGTAGTGATTGGATCGGTCGGTATCTTTTCTATGAAGCAGATGCAGAGGAATTTAGTACGGAGCGATTACGACTTACGACGTAGCATTCATGACAGACCTCTGAGGCTTCAAACTTGAAAATTCGAATATCATTTTGATCAGAAAGTCGAGAATCAACTGCCAGGATTTCAACTCAGCTTTAGGCGTCCTGTACTAAGGCGAGGCTTTTGGCCCCCTTACAGCTGTACAACGGATCTCGGAGTACAGAGACTCCGCTCAAAAGTAGTATCCCTTGCATATTCAGATAGCGACATCAATCTCAAAAGATATTTGATTCCAGAGAACGTGTAACGTGTAACTTTGTGAGATAACATCTTCCTTGAGTTGAGGTTTTATCGAAATTAGGAGCAAAATCATCTTTTGATCAACGGGGAAGATGAACGCTGAGATCAGTGAGTTTGTTTGGGTGTCGACCTCGGAAGGAACATTTTGAATCAGGCCGGTCACATCAAGGGTCTGCACTGGTCATTAGGAGATGTTCAGCCTCGTCTCACAGGTCCTGTGAGTGGATCCACTAAGTCCTGAGAACGCCGCGAAGATTGGCCATGCTCACAACATTCGAAATGCTTGACCTCCACGCCGAACTTCGTCTTTCTGATACCCAAAGGCCCTATATCGGGCTACCACCACTGATCCTTCCGCATCAAGCCATCTCAGTTGACATAAATTGACACGATGTTGAATATACTACCTGTCAGTCTGTCATTTACAGGTACTCCGTGTCATCAACTGGTCACCATCACCTGCATAAGAAGCCGTTCGCTCGCTGTACTAATTAACCTTCAAGTTGCATGAAATATATTGAGGAGATGTGAACTCCCAGCATATCCACCATAGTTCAACTTGAAGTTCCTTCACAAATATTTGAACCCTTGTCTCAAATGTTGAAGTCCGAACGCGTCCCGAGGTCGAAGTTCAAGTTCAATATATGTATTCTTCATGAGGCTGATGCAGAACAAAAACTTGAACTCATGCTTTTTGAACTTGAAATGTTCAATTTGAATCTCCAGTACTATTCCCGAGGTCCTTCAACTTGAACTTCCAAGGTTCGATATATGCAAAGACCCCAGGTGCCGTGCCTCGGAGCTTTGACTCGGAGCACTTGAGTTTTACAGTTGAATGCATCTCAGCTGTAGAGCACTTGAGACTCCGAGTCGGAACTTAACATTCAACTCAACATTTGAATGTTCCAACTGGTATATCCCACATCATAAGGGATACTACATTTTACTAGTTTTCTGTACTGTGGACCTCAGAAATTCTAGTTCACATTTGCATTAATCTTATAACAAAACGCGAGGAATAACTAAGGTACACGTAATGAAATATTTCTCATGAAACGCATGCATGAAAATAGCAACCGGTTCACTTGTGGCAGAGCCCCAAGTGTGGTCCATGATTATTCACAGCTCAGAACCAATTTTCTCTGTTTCCGTTATGACTCAGAAGCAGACCGCTGGACTCATCATCCATATTTGCGATCACCTGGATGGACTTTGCGACGCTTTCCTCTGGCTGGATCTGCCCTTCCAAACTGGGCGCGATGGTCTGAAACTGTTTCAGCATGAATGCATCACCTTCCACCACGGCGGAAGGTTTTTCTCCTGTACTAACATTAGTATTAAGTCTTTCTGTAACTGAGTCAATGATAATCTCACCCTCCCATGTATCAACCCAGCCCGGGCTTAAACCCAGCACTTTAATTCCTCGAGGAGCCAGTTCAGCTGCGTATTTGGCGATTTGAACATTCATTCCTGCCTTGGCAACAGAGTATGCAACACCATAGCTAATGCCAGTTCCGCGAATAAGATCCACTTCTGCCATAGCGCTGGAGATGTGCACGATCTTCTTCTGTACTCCCTTCTCAATCAAGGGTAGAAAAGCGTTCGTGGTCCATAATCCTCCGTAGATAGCTGTGGTCAAGGACGGCTCAAACATCGCCCGAGTTGCTTCAGAATCAAAAGGGAATTGACTCGGGTTGAACGACATAGTGGCTGCATCCACGGCGTTGGAGTTATGAATAAGCACATCTAGTTTACCGCCTGTGATGGCGGCAGCGGCTGAGGCAGCATTGAGAATCGATTTGGGATCTGTGACATCACCCGCAATGAGGTGCACATTGGCGTATTGAGAGGCGAGCTCGGATACCCCAGGAGATTCAGGGTTTCGAACGATAGCCAGGACTGTGTTATTCGGATCGGTGGCGAGTTGACGCACGAACTCACGGCCAAGGCCTTTGGAAGCTCCGGTGATGGCGTATGAAGACATTTTTCCAAGGTTTTCTTTTTGTCTTTAACTGAAAGCTGTAAGTGTAGTATCGCTGTGATGCTCAGGTGGATATATCGATGGATGATGAATTCAATCTGATGTCGGGTCGTTATACTTCTTATATACTCAAGTTGGCTGATTAGAAACGGTTCCGACCGGATGATCCGATCGACCCGTGCCAACTCCACATCAGTAACCCCTCACCAATAACTTGGCAATAAGTCATCATTCTAGGCCGATTCCACCAACCGGCCGCTCCGTTTGACGTGCCTCTCCGCCCCCTCTCCCGTTTAACACGACATCACGAATCCATGATTATGAATAGCGGAACTCCAATATCCGCAGTGAAGCGAAGGGCATGTGTGGCGTGCACGGTTGCCAAGGCGAGATGCACGCCGCAGGTCGCCAACATATGTCAGCGCTGCGCTCGTCTCGGCAAGTCTTGCACATTCCTTGATCTTCCTCAGACGAGGCGTAAGCAAAAGGCTACACCAAGGTATTATTTCCAACCATGGATGTCATTCTTGGTGCTGATCATCATACAGTCGTGTGGAGGTGCTAGAGAAAAAGGTCGACCAATTGGTGTCGCAACTGGCTACCCTGACGCGACCGAACGAACAAATATCGCCAAATACGTCCAATACACTCACTGATGACTTGGAATTATCACGTGAAGCCCAGCAAGAGCCAACAGATGTTGCCAGTATGCTCGAGGCGGCCAAAGACCCGTCGCACGGCGTAGATCCTCCAACTAGCTCTGTTCTGGAAGGCCAGCCATCTATTGTAGACCGTGGACTTTTAAGCGAAGCCGAGGCTGAGCGCTTGATTATGTCCTTTCAGTTTGGATTCGTACCAAAGTTTCCCTTTGTTTTGATTTCACAGGGAAAACAGCCTCCCAGTTCCGAGAGCGAGAGCCTTTTCTCTTTCTGTGCGTCGTGGCCGCGACCATAGGCAGTACCCACCCTCTAAGAAAAACCATTGCGGAAGAGGTTATGAACCACGTTACAATGAGAATTGTAGCAAGATCTGAAAGAAATCTCGAGCTGCTGCGTGGTCTGTTGGTTTATAGCGCATGGTACACCTACCCTGCAGAGAGACATCACCCGCGGCTCTTGCTCTTGATTCAGCTATGTTTTTCCATCCTTTATGATTTGGCATTGCACAAAAAGTCCAGTACAAATTTGGATGAACAGAGAGCGGTACTTGGCACACACTGGCTGTCAGCTGGGTGAGATAATCTGCCTTGGTCTGGTATACAAGATCTCTACTGACAATAAATCAGTTTATGCGGCGTACTAGGCCGACCAAGTACCATGAAGCACGATAATCGAGTCGATGAGTGTATGAAGAGACTAACCTCCACAGGGCAACTGTCCGATCGGTGGATTTCGCCATTTATAGAATTACAGTCATTCTTGGGAACAATGGATCAAGTTCACACATCGGTGCATGCAAGTGGCGGAAGAGCGCTTGTCCAGGTTACACACAGCTCTCTTCAGCGGCAATTTGATAACATCAAGGCAGATGTAGAAAAGTCTCTCTCAGACTGCCCGCCGTCCACAGGTGTGTCTCGCAATCATGTAAACGGAATGGCTAATGGGGTTTAACAAATTCTTGAAGTGAACGCCATACGAACAGAAATCAAATATGCTGAAATGCGGGTAGAGGAATTTTGCTTTCGTGAGGAGCTGTGGATTGCAGACCCTGTCAATCCGATCAGGATAACCATGCTGATGAACATGATTCAACGAAGCAAGGAGCTCATTCAAACAATCATCAACCTACCAGCCTCGGAGATTATCCAAATAACGATCACCACAAGCGCTCGCGTATGTGCTGCCCTGGGCTATATACCTACTGCAGTATTGTCTCTTCTCACCATCCTTACCAGACACAATGGCTCTGCTACTGATGACCAGGTGCAGGCTGTTGTTGATGCAGCGGATTATCCAAATATTGTGACAGAACTTGCCGACGCGCTTGAAATAAGATTTGCGCAATTGTCTGCTCAGGAGAGAGAGACCGACGTGGTGGGAAGTCTTTGCTCCAAGATGCGGCTGCTAGCACGCTGTTATCCATATCAGGTCAGAGGAGTTGTGGGAAGTTTGCACTCCCAAGACGCAAGACAAAGCGTTTCCTCGGTGGTAGCTCACAACGATGAAATGGCCACGACACCCGAAGTCTGGCCCCCCGTTTACGAGGAATTTGGAGAAATATTTCCTATGGATGATTTGCAATGGGATTCTCTACTGAGTGATTTCACTGGTTTTTAAGCAGTAGTGATACTTCCTTCGCAAATGATGCAGGTCAACGCAAGTCAATGCAACTCTGTCGCATATTACGTCTTTACTCAAGGGCAGCTATTTGCCAATCCAGTTCCATCGCTTCAGATATGCGGCATTCATTATAGAATGTCAATGACATTAACGAAGCCCATGCAGGTTATCGCAATTTCGCATAGTGTCTCATTTACTAAACCGTATAAAAGTATGAATTTCCTTTCTCAAAAACCTACGGAGATGATTCTGCGTGACAATGTACGCTTAGGGGACGGAGTACGAGTTGTTGACAATTCAAAGTCGACTTTCTGCTCCAATGCTTAGTCTGGAGTCATCTTCGGAGTGCACCAGGTTCGGGACTGTCAGCCTATGGACCTGACACCCAGGTTTGGAATCTTTCACCATCGCTTTCCCTGGGAGCGGGAAATATCTCAACATGGCGTGAGAGCTACAAAATGTGGCATCTCAATTTTTACTTGTAATAAGGAAACCTTGCATTGAACCTTGGAACATTTGAGGTCTTGAAGATCACTTAATCTGGATATGGCTCAGCACTGAGTCCCTCGACCCAACAAGATTTGACCCTGCTACGAAGCATTTCTTTTGAAATCTCCTTTACCGGTCGGTAGCCTCGGAGGTTATACCGAGATTCAAAAGTTGTACATAGATCTTCCCTAAGATATCAGTGGCCATATTCAATGAGAAGCAAACAGAGGGAGTAGTACTGACATGAGGGGCATAAAAGCCCGTGATGGTAGTGTTCGGAGCAACCGTTAGCGTTTCGAATTTTGCTTCAGGCTCAGGCTCAGGCGTTGCAGCACCAGGAAATTGGGGGCGTGGTCGTGGAGGTGCGGTTTTTCCGATTCTAAATTCCCTTCCTTTTGTTGTTATCAGCTACTCATATTAGTGTCTGCATCCTAAAAAGAATCTGGGATAGAAATAGTGACTTACCTTCAAAGCACAAATCCCGCCTCCGCGCATGGCAACTTGAACAGTTTCTATTATCTCACCTCTAGCTCCATCTATGGGTCGCGGAGTGAGATCATCTGGGTCTCCGATTCGACCGAATTGAGTGATGTCAATCTGGGAGCCCGTGGCATAATGGAAGTTGATGCTGATGGGATTTATAACGTAGCTGAGGGAGACACCATTTAACTGTCGAAGATAGGCACCTTGAGGCCCTCCAAAATGTCCCCAGTGAAGAGGGACGTATTTCGTTGTCAGGGAGGTTATTTCTCGAAGGTTTTGCTCGTTCAAGCAAATATCCTGGTCAGGGATTGATGGGTACCATAAAGCAGTAGTACGAAGCGATGATGAAATATCAGCAACCCCAGACTGATTCGAAATATTCTCAGGTCCACTGGCCGCAACACCAATTATCTTGTATCCCTGCGGTTTTTAGATGATTAGGAATTGCAAGCTGAAGGGGGCTCGATTTCTTACATCAACGCTGACGCGTATGGGTTTCGTAGTATCGATAACCCTCAGACGCTCAGTGACGGGCGTCATTTCCGGAAATCCAAACCATGCCGAACGATCTCCATTGCTATGAACGATCTTCACACCCCGGACACCCTTGGGATCGATAGCCAGAACGAACCCGCTCAGATCTTCAACCTTGTATACCATCGTGCCATTGGGAAATAGATATCCAAGCTGAGTTTTCATCCCATCCTTTGAGCTAAAGCAAATACCGGTCAGATGGCCATGATTCCCCACTTCGATGAACGATAAAGCAATTGAATCTAGGCTCTGCGGGATATGAGCCTGTTGCGTCTTCAGGAGTCGACAACCATCGTTCAACACATTTGAAGACCCATTGCGGCGGTGAACCAGTTGCATGAGCTTTGCATCGGCTTCGACTAATCTCGTTTCATGGCTTTTATAAGCCCAATCACGACTTTCATCATGTGCCAGCCTTAGCTTTAGAAGGGGAAGGATATAATTGATGAGATTCCAGATTCTGGTCCGATTCTTGAGTCCGGGAGGACTTCGCTTCTGACTGGTACTGCGGTACAAAGACAGCCAATCTCGAATTTCCGGTCTTCTATAACTTTCGAAAAGAAATTCACGATCTAATCCAGGCTGGAATCGGGATGCCCAGAAGGTCGAGCTTGCCAACAGAGGCTGGAAAGCTCTCGAGGACTCACGTAGACTCAGTGCATCACGGGTTGATAGTTTATTGGCGATAGCTTCTCGAATCTCCCACGGAAATTGTCTAAAACAATCACTGGATTCATTCAAAATAGGAGCCCCAGCCATCGGCGGTTTATGGGCAGTTTCTGCCATTAGCGCGCGGAGGGTCGGTATATTCCATGGGTTCACCCTAGCACATCGTAAGGCCTCTGCATCCAAAGCTTGATCCAAAAAGCTATATTCCCAGGGAAAGGCGGAGATATTGTCAAAGGTGTAGATGCCTCCATAAGTATGGCCCCAGTGGAAAAGTCCCATTATTTGTATCAATGGCAAGGACGAGCAAATATCAATAAATCGTTTGAGAGGGATGTTATCGGGTTTGAGAGCCTCTTCAAATAGCTTCCAGCAAGCGTCATGAGAGACAAATGCAATAGTTTGCTCCCAGCAGAAGGTCACGTAGAACTCCTTGGTTAGATGTCGATCGTAATTCTCGTCGTCATATCGTTTTGTTGGATCGGATGGCGCTTGTAATGGGTCATCGGTACTGTTATTAATTCCGACTCCCGAAATAAAGCATCCTTCGGGATTTGAATAGACTATACTCATGAGCCCACCACGCCACTGAAAAGGGTTGAAGTGAACTTACTGGCTCGGAATTCCATGAGCCACTTGCCTTCCAAGGTCCCATAGTCACGGATGTCATATCCACAGATCACACAGCAGTCTTTCCGCGGACTCATGTTGCCTATCACCTATCAGGTTGAATGCAAAGGGAGGCAACGTTAAAAGCCAGGAGAGGGTCACGGGTGCTAATTAGGCAACTCTGCTCCGCCTCCTGTGAAGGCCTGGTAGGGAGCCCCACACTTCACCTCTCTACCTAGTACTAGCCGCCCTCTTAGCGCCCATCGTATGCCAACTCCTGTGTTTGCTGCACGATGCTTTTCGCTCATGAATTACGACATTATTTTGTTGGTGTATTGGAAGAAAATCTTAATTTTTGATTGCTTGCTGAAACAACCCCCCCCCCTCGCAAGTTGTACGCGACCGGTGTCTGCGACTCACATACCGCTATTAGCCTGCCAGTTATAGTTGGCCATCCTGGGGCATTGGTGGAACCTAATATAACTGGGCATCAATATTGACATGGGTCTGTTGGCCTTAGATGGTACATGGCTGTGTACCAAGTCACCAAGTCACATTATTTCTTTGTGGCGATTTATTTTACCTCACCACCTTCCCTTTGTCTTGCTCATACTCTTTCATTCCGGAAGTCGGCTCCACTACCAGCTTCCCTTGGCGAACGAAATACCAAGCCTCATAAAATATTTCAAACCCTCCCAAAATTCGGTGGACTCGAAACGGCGATCTGGAATTGACCACTCTTTTTAAGCCTCGACAGGAAGACCTTGTGATTTCCAATCTTGATTGATGTCTCATGTATGTGATTGAGTTCGCGAGAAGAAGATTGAACGGAGAACTCCTCCCTCCCGATACAAGGATTTATTTCGGGATATGAAGTTTCCACTGGGAAGGATTAAAGCTCAATCTTCCTTGAAGTTCCACTATATGATGCAGCCAATCTAACATTTGGAGATACGTCTAGTATTTCAAAAACCCCATCATTCGAGACTTCTATGATTCCATAGCAGATCATGATTCCTCACAGACAGCAGTTGATGGCTTCTGGTGCAATGTCCTCCATTCATACTTCACTCCTCCCCTCGGTTTCGGTATGATTCCATACAGGCAACTTGTGCCTGGGTTGCCGCGCTACAAGGGTTTCGCGATCGACAACTATCGATCACACACTTCAACCTTTCAGACTGTGATGTTGTATGAAAGTAAGAGACGGCTGTATGAGTCAAATGGTGCTCAATGGTGTGACTCGACGAATAACCTTGAGGCTTATCTCCAAGCTGTTTTCAGGAAAGAGAGTCCCCAAGAACCACTGTATGGGTTAGTGGCCATTGGGAGATATATTCGCTTCTTTTCCCTTGCGTCCAGAGACTCTCTACTAGAAGGTCTTTTTGACAAGCCTGACGGTCAGGCTTGGGAGATTCTGAATGACGAAGAAGCGATCCACCAAATACTTGATTGGCTTGTGAATAAGTCAGTGTGATCGACTCCCTGGCTTGCAAAGCACTGGCATGATCGAAGATCTTATTTAATATTCTTGTTGGGGATTTGACCTTCAAATTGAATGTGGTTCTCTCCAGGGCTGTTGTCCTAATTGAACTTGAAGTTCCTGGGCGTGGGGAGCGTCTATATATAGTATGCGTGTCTAAGCTTGGAAATTTAACTCCTCAATCAATCAGCGTACACAGTACCTACTAGTCTTATGCTACATAGGCTCATTTGATTTCTCGATCACTGATTTTCCACTTCGCAGTTAATAGGGAAAGTCCGTAATAGGAGTCTGAAGCGCCGTGTCTAAATAGGCCTCAGGGCCATATGTGACCTTGGAACTGGAACTTGGCATTCAAGGTTGTAGGGCGGCCCGGCCCGAAGGATACTAGTATATAATTCTATCAAGCTCAAGTTAGACTAGTCCTCAATATGAGAAATGGATAAAGCGTTTTAGTATTTATTAAATTTCGCCAGCACAAAATTCTCACTTCTCATAAGTTTGCCTTGACATGCGACTCAGCAGGATGAATTTGTAAATATAGGTGGACGAGGATGGGGATGGCAAATATGGCAAGGCCCTTTTAAGGCTTCATGATCTGGTAAGTCTGGTAATATGAAAAGATTTGTTCCACAATGTTTGGGAACCTGCGTTGATTGCAAATCCGTGAGTACAAGAAAGTGAATGGTCCAAGTGAGAGAAGTGAATGAGCACGAGACGGGATGGGTTTTCGCGTGGACGCGCGACCCAAGTATAAACAAGTCTTCTCTCACTTAATTTTTTTTCTCTTTCCTTCTTCCTCCTTCAACCCCCCTCCCTCAAATCACTCCATCTGGCTTGATATTACAAGTCTGACCACCACGCGTTCCTTACCCCGTTTTGAGAACTCTCAACGGCACTTCCATTTTCCTTGTCATCTCCTGCGTCAAGAAAGGGTCTCACCCAATGGCGCAGATCGATCTCTGACAAGATGCGGACGCCTCATTGCACACCACCAGGGAATTACCATGAGTCTACCGGCAGAACGTCACCTCGTGGCGAACATGCTCGTCCTCTTATGTCCCCTGAGGACGCGGTCCTTCAGATTCGAACGCATTATCGGAATGCCAGTATGGTCTGGAGGCTCCCGTTTCCGTTACAAACGTGCTCTCGAGGAAGGTTGAACCTACACGCTCGATGTTGCCTAAAGCAGCTCGCCCGTCTTAGTATTTGGGACTTACAGAGTTACAACTGGGAGGATCTGAGGTGGAGTGAGTGTTCGACGAGGGATTCGACAAATCCGATGTGAACTTCGACAACCCCGACATGAATTTCGACAAGTGTAACGCTTTCGATAACCCCAACCTGACCTTCAACAACCCCGACATGAACTTTCACATACCCGAGCTCAGCTTCGACAAATCCTACGTGAACTTCGACAAATCCAACCTGAAATTCAACAAGAGCAATGTGGGCTTCGACACCCAGTTCGCAGGGGCCGCGAGAGAAAATGGGAGATGGAGAAACCAATACCGAACTCGCTGAGACAAGTGATCATTCGCACTTGACCATTGAAAAGACCTCTCTCCTTTTGGGGTTTGAGAGAGGCGAAATTTTTTGTATCTGAGTGAACAGTCACTCTTTTGTCAAACGTATTTTGTCAGTCTGCTCTGCGGAGCGCTCTTCGGAGCACCCTTGTTTTTAGCTCCTGGTGAGCTCGCACCAGGCAACAGCTTCAGTTGGGCTGTTGGGACAATGGATTCATACCTTCGCGTGGTGTCCGGTGTTAATCCTCTTTGAGGAGACCAAATTGAATCCATTCTGGCTGCTTGTCGGTGCATAATTGTGCACTGGCATCGCCAGGATATGACCAGGTAAGACACATCACTCCAGTTTCTTTGGAATATCCATGGATGAGAATCCTCGAACTTGACCTCTAGGAAATCCCAGCAAGAAAACTATCACTCGTATTCCCTTTGGAGGAGATTTCACTCACTCTCGAGGACATCCTTCAACTATCTCAACTTCCAACCATCATGAGCAACGAGGGGCAGGCTCTGAAATGCCATCGGTTGGGTAAGTCTCCATTTGCATAACGCCCGACGTGATCATTCAATTCATCCTCCTAATGGCAATTTTGAGGTCATCCCTGACATTCAAGATGCTCTGTGCCTTTGAGACGTTGGGACCTCGGATATATTACGGCTCTGTCATCATCGATACTTCGCCAGCAGAAATATGCGATGCAGCCTCTGGATCAAATTGTTGTCAGGCGAGATCCACGCGGCGTCATGAAAATAATTCGTCAGCTGATTGGTCATAGCGGCTTGAATGAAACTGAGGCCGAGGGAAGCTTCATGATAAGTGAGATCTGCTGTGTCGAGGCTTGATGTTATTTGTGTCTTTTTTTCCCTTAGCCTGAACCTGACTAAGTCTCTTCTTGTGTGGAGATGGGGACCGTGTTAGGTTTGTGCGAATTAAATCCAGAATTCCGTCTCAGATCAGAAACTAGCAACATTTATTTCCAGGCCCACATGATATAATCTAGAGGAAAGTTCCTGTGTGGCTAGCTCACATTCTCCGCATTCCTGAAACAGAAAAGACCAGGATGGTTATTTTGGTAAAAGTGGGTCTTGAGGGGTCCGAGATAGGCGTTGGCCAAGTCTACCTTGGCATATGTTCCTCCGTGTTTCGAAAGCATGAGCATGTGCATGATGTTACTGGAATAGCAGGGATGAAAGTTTCGCATTTCAAGTAAAACACAGAAGGTCTGGGCACAATTCTCTAGGCGATTCTATAGGCGATTCTATAGGCGCTTGAGATACCATTATCATCTTTCGAATTCCTAGGTCTTTTAATAGATGCTGAAGATCAAGGTCATTCAAAGCTGAAGAAAGACATGAGACTCGGCAAGTATTCTATGGGAGCAGGAGGTAATTATATAATGAGGCTGTGCATGTTCCTATGACAAGCCCTGGAGGGTTGCGATACTCGGCAACTAACTGACTAGCCTGTGGGGGCCAAATCAGACGGAAAGAAGGATTGTCAAATGTGATGGGCTTCTAACCTCCGTTGGTCTGTGTCAAAAGATAACTTTATAGGTGGAAAAGTCCAAGCGCTTCCTTATAGACATTTCCAGTAATAGTAACTAAGAACTTGAAGCTTATAGGTTGCACACTCTTCCAAGCGACATCGGATTCGTATATAACCGCCGCTGTGGAACCAGCGACATTTGGTGCGGCGCTACTGCACTCGACCACAGCATCCTGCAGCAGAGAAATAAGTACATGTATTTTGTAACAGTCTAGCGTCTCGGGTTCCAAGAATAAAATGCACACTAGTCCATCTTGCATCCAAAGCGTATATTACACCAGATCCCCGCGCCCGGATTCCATATGCACTTCAAACCATTGCCGTCAGTATGAGTGTCCCTCGATCTGAATTTACCTTTTCTGCATCGGAATACAATAGATTTACCAGAAGCCCTTCTTCATTTTCCTGGAATCAAAGTGATGCATTGGCTGCAAGTGACTCGCAGTCGACAAGTGTACCACGATCGCCCCCAAGAGCCGATCAGCCACCAGTCTTTCAGTTCGAAGGTCTTAACATCGCCAATCAATCGTCGGTTTTTCAGTTTGGAGCTCCAAGCATTGCGAATCAATCCCGCTTCATCACCCCGGCAATCTCTCAACATGACGAGTCGCTACTCACTCCTACCCGGTCTACCTCAACCTATGCAGACCAGCATAATGCTTCCCCAAGCCCAGTCCCTACACGCGTCGCGAATCCCCGCATCAGTCAGGCTCGGCAAACCTCGATGGCCTCTGGCTTTACCATATTCCGCAACGTAAATGAGCACCCCGTCGAGCCGTTGGGATCTGAAAGACAGACTGAAAATACGGAAATGCCAAGAGCATTCTCAGAAGGTCTGCCCCATTCAGACCGAAGCGTATCGATTGTCCCTAGGCAACCTCAAAATGCGAATCAAAGAAGAATTCGTGAGGAGTCGCTTCCAAGCGTGCCAATCTATGACGTTCGTCTTCAAGACCAAGTGAAGGAAGTGAAGAGCAAGTTGGCCAGCCTTGCCACCAGCATAGGCTCCTCGGCGCTAGCGCATGACCAATCCTCCAGCTTACATGCTCACTATGAGAAAGTAAAGAAGGCTAGCAAGTTCGAATATCCTGAGATTCGAACTGTGGGATTCATCGGTGACTCCGGAGTTGGTAAGGGCTTTTTCTTTCTCTACATCGCTTATATTTCCTGACACTCGAACCAGGCAAGAGTTCATTAATCAACTCACTCTTGGACCAGAGGGGACTCTCGCGCTCGGTAAGTTATATGTCTCTATCATTCAACAACTACGGCTGATGCTATCTACAGAGTAGCGATGGAGCAGCGTGCACCTGTGTTGTCACAGAGTTCAGACACATTGACGAGACTCACACCGGCCCGTTCACCATCGAAGCGGAGTTTATGAGCACCGGGGAAATGAAAGAGCTTTTGGAGGAACTTTTGCTGAGCTTCCGAGAATGGTTCGTCCCTTCCGCAAGACAAGAGATCGAAAGTGAAGCAGCGCGACAGGAATGTCAACGTGCTGCTGAACGAGCGTGGGAAACATTCCGGTCATTGTTCAAGAGTCAGCCAGGATTAACAATTGGCTTTTTATCTGATGATCAACACGGCGCTGATGAAACAATTCTTCATCAGCTAGAGCGATGGGCGTACGCTGGATTAACACATCGGCCTGGTGGTGCCCAGGCAGTTGACTATTCGGCTACTGCCAGCGATGTGTTGGACTGTCAGGACCTGCTTGACATCCTCACGGCTGACCATCAAGGAAATGAGCTACCAGCACTCTGGCCGTTTATTAAGATAATCAGGTTTGTACTTCCAACGTCTTCCTACAGGGTGAAAATGCTGAGTATACCAGGGTTTATCTTAGTTCGCCTGTTTTACGAACTGGCCTGGTGTTGGCCGATCTTCCTGGTATGTTTCCCCTTTCGAAAACTCAGGCTGCTAGGCCAAGGCTCATTGAAGAATTCCAGGATTCCGCGACATGAACTTTGCAAGAGTCAGAGCTACAGAACGATATCTGAAGCACAAGTGCGATGAAGTGTTTATCGTGGCAAATATCATACGAGCCAGCACAGAAGACTCAGTTCACGACATCATGAAAAGATGTAAGCCTGACCAGCCACGACGAATTGTTTGCACGAGATCAGAGGTATGTTAAGAAATTCAACCCCTAGGTCTCTTCTCTTTAACAGGATTCTAGGACGTATCAGCCGAAGAATCAACTCGTGGCAGAGATCAAAGCGGTCGGCGTGTTGAACAGATGAATCGAGATCTTGAGAGAATCAGAGATAAGATTGAGGAAATTGAAGTTGCTCGAGAGAATGAAGCCAATCGTAGTAACTCAGAGCTTGCTCTTAGGGAATCACAGCTCCGGTCAGTGCACGTTGTTCATTGCGTGTTTTTTGCTAATCGTAGAACAGTGACCGGGAAAGAACGCTTAATTTTGAGTAAAGAAAGACTCATCCATGTTAACCTTCGTTGGAGATTGCTAATCTGTCTAGAATCACGCAACACTTGATTATCCAAAGGAACGAAAAGGTCTCCCGAGAGCTTCTGGAGGAACATACAGATATCAGAGTGTTTTGCGTCAGCAACACACTATATACGAAATGGCGTGCAAGCCGAACTCACCAAGCTGAGGCTTATGTCAATTTGAGTGGTATCCTCGAGCTTCGTCGCTACTGTCAGCTTGTTCCTGCAGAGGCTCAACTGCTTGCTACACGGACGTTTTTTGATCACGAAGTGCATGGACTACTATTGTCTTTGCGACAGTGGGTTCTAGCTGGGGCCGACTCTGTGACAGCAGAACGGGCTACAGCATTACGCAGACTTATAGGGAATGTGGAAAAAGCGCTTGTTCGGGTATGAAAGTTTCACAATATCTCAAGTGAGCTGGAAAGAGACCATATGTAGAGGGTTCTCTGACCTCAAGCAGGAATCCACCTCACCGCAAGCCTATGTGACTCGGATACAGGACGAATTGAAAATTCGTTATAACACGTTGATCAATGATTTCGCTAGTAAGACCAGTCACAATCCGCTATCCTCAACTTCTTACACTATTTAGGGAGTTACCGCGGGGAATGGAAGAACATAGGTATCGAGACCAGCGAGCAATGGGCATCGGTGAGTTTTCCTACTCCTAAGAAAGAGCCCCAAACCTGTCTAACTTCGGATCAGTGGCACCACTCTACATATAAGGTGTACTGCGCGCATTATGGAACCTACTCTACAGACAAAGAGCCAAACCGTTCTTGGAATGATGAGTTGATGCGTCCGACACGCCCCCAATTGAATCCTCAATGGGAAATCCTACTTGAATGGTTGGAATCACAGATAGACAGCTCGGCTCAGGATATTTCCGATCTCTTCCAGAGGGCTTCCAGGGAAATTAATGGTCAGTGTCTCTCATCTCCAAAATATCAGCATCTGAGCGTGTTTACTCAGATCTTTTCCGCATGCAGATCGGATTCAGCTTGCACCTCTCGCCCTTCAAAATCTCCTTCGCAGCATGCTGTCCAGAAAGGATTATATCAACCATTATATTGACGTGTCGATAAGGGACTTTATAAAGCAGACAGAGTGAGACAAAAGATTCTAAAACATTTTGTGAACCCCCAAGCTGATCCTCCAACGTAAGACTCCTCAAAACCGATATGCTGTATGGCCATGCCAGCTCATACATTTCGGACCTCATGCGACCGGCATATGTTTTGTGTATAAGAGAGTCAGGTATGCTATGCTTTAGAAATTTTTAATTCATCTTCCCACCATCAACCCAGGAGTTCTAACTTGCATTCTAGGAGGCGGGAGCGATCGAAGACGAAAGAACATCATGTACAACCATCTTGACCGTTCGAATATCTTCCATGATCTTTCTCGCGTTACACTGGGAGAATACAAGAAGATATTAGTGGCTTCGTTCAAGAACTTGCAGGACAGGATCAATGAGGAAATTGTGAATATTACGCGGGACTTACATGCTGTAGTCTCAGAAGCGGGTCAACTTCACGAGGCACAACGGGAGCCGGAATTGGCACGAGAACTGAAACTGGATGTTGAAGATGCAATGGGAATTTTGACAAATGCTCAAAATGTGATTGGAATAGTGGTCACAGAGTTTGCTGCTAGGCCTTCCAGTTGAGCCTAGTTTATCCTACTTCTTTAGTCCTTATTCGGGTCTTAGTATCATTGCGCAATGCGAGAGTACGGAAATTCAATGCTCATTCTATATCTATCAGCATACATTTCTTGACCTCATTTGTTGTCTATTTGCAACTTTTTACCTCACTCTGATAGCCTTATTCAAATCTTCACTTTGCATTACCGCCACCTCTTGATGCCAACTAGGATTCATATCATATCAAACAGTGTATTTTTGCATTCTAAAGTGTCAAAGATGTCGTTTCCCATTTTCCTCAAGTGCTCTATCTCACCAATTGCTATTCGCCTGATTTGAATGCCAGTTTATGAAACCAAATGACCATTTCAAACTAGTTATTACTAATTATTTGAAATCAAGTTCCATACATTAGAAATGGATGGTGTTCATCCCTTTATTTACGGTGGAATGTGCATTGATTATGCGTCTCCACTCGGATGAGCTCGTGGGAGCTAAACCCAAATAGGCTAATTCATCAAGCCACTGCCCCAGGTACATCATCCCGAGGTCCGATCACATCTCCTGTTTGCATATATCCTCAACTTTATGATTACTTACACTTCGATGAGCTACTAGCCCCAGGTAGACCGAAATCAATCACCCTGTCCAACATGATCCTCCGCAAGGCTTGCACCAACTGCACAACCTCTAAACGGAAATGTGTGGTCGAGAAACCAAAATGCACTCGGTGTGCCCAGAGGAACCTTGAATGCGTGTATGATCTCGAGCCTCTCAAGACCCCGCCCACAAATGCCGAGAGACTAGTTGCACTCGGTTTTGATCCATTAAGCGCCCAATCTGTCGGAGTCTGCATAATCAATACTGTCACGCTCCAAGGTCCACATATAGATCCGGCAATATGTGCTCCCGGCCTTGATAGAACCGTGCATATCACACGGATAGGATTCGGGACCGCGCCGGGTCTTATCAGAGCAGGGAAGCCTGCGTCATTTGTACATCCGAAGCTGAATATGCAGGGTGTGTATAACCATTTTGCAGCCTTGATCGAGGGAAAAACTATTGGGGTGCATTCCGAAGGCTTCAAACAACTGATTCGGCTTGAAAGAAAGAGGTTGTGCTTAAAGGAAGCTCTCACCGCAGTTCAGGTCCTGCTAGTTCATCTGGAAGCATCGGCCTTTTCATCATCGCGAGCAGAACGGGATGACGCGGACAGGTCTCTCGTTCTCTTATCTGAGTGGACGCAAGCACTCTTTGGCTTAGTGGATACCAGACTTCCAAAAGGTTCTCCATGGCAGGACTGGCTTTTAGGAGAAAGTAAGATACCCACCTGGAATTCTCGTCCAGGCTAGTTCTAATGATATAGGTATTCGCCGGACTATTTTCATGTCGTACGTCCTGCATATGTCCGTACACAGCTACAAACATGGCTACTGTCCGAACTATCTCTTCATGGAATCTCTCCCATTCGACGCCCGCCCGGGCCTGTGGATGGCCGAGTCCCCTCATGCGTGGATCGCCGCAGCCCATGCCCGATGTGGCGAGGATGTTGGTGAGGAACTAACGTCATATCATACATTCGCCGCGGGAGTGCGTGGCCAGACGTTGGATTTTGGTGGAGACGTGCTGCTTACCTTGGCTGCCTTTGCACATAACGGTGCGGGAACTAAACCTGTTCAGTCTACATAGTAACTTTCAAGGTTATATAAACACGCCCATCTACCATGCAAACGATCTGAATTTTTATCATTTGTTATCTTCACTGGATTTACTATCATACTTCAATCATGCCCAAGCCTGTTTTTGTTATTCTCGGCGCCACAGGTAACCAGGGAGGCTCTGTTGTATTCCACTTCCTCTCCGAATCGGCCTACTCACTTCGCGTCGTGACTCGTGACCCTTTCTCCCCTAAGGCCCTCGCTCTTGCCGCTCAAGGCATCGAAGTCGTTTCTGGAAACTTTGACGATCCCTCGTCCCTTGACGCGGCATTCAAGAATGCCTCTCTTATTTTTAGTATGACCGATTTCTGGAGCCTGATGACCAGCGACACCCTGCGCAAGAAAGCGGATGCCTCGGGTATTAGTCCAGGCTTCTATATCCGCGACTGTGAGGCGCAGCAAAACAGAAACATCATCGATGCTGCCGCTAGAGTTGAGACGCTGGAACGATTTATCTTTTCAAGTCTCCCGAACGTGACTGAACTAAGCGGCGGAAAATACAGACATGTCTACCATTTCGATAGCAAGTCCACCGCGGGGGGAGTATGGTAAATTGACTTATCCCGGTTTATGGGCAAAGACGAGTGTCCTCTACGCGGGACTTTATCTTGAGAACTTTCTTGGAGAGTCGAAAGCCCTTTTTTGCCCAAAATTGGTAATATTCCTTGCTCTACCCACGCATGATATATCTGGCTAACATGCAAACCAGAAAGGAAATACTCTTGTTGCAGCGAGTTCGCAGCCTCTTACTATGGCTAAAATCCCCTGGTTCTCTGTCGTTAACGACACCGGGTCCCTTGTGGCCGCATTGATCAGCTCTGCGCCGGGCAAGAACCTTATTGGCGTGAGCGAGTGGCTGAGTCTGCAGGACATCTGGACGATTCTGGCTCAGACTCTGAAGAAAGACATCGAGTTTGTGGACGATATCTCTAGTGATTTTGGACAGGGAGATCCCGAAATAAAGCGCGACCGTGAAGAAATGATGGGCTTTCTCATTGAATTTGGATTTGACGGGGGACGGAATGATCAGACTTTTATGAGGCCGGAGGATTTGAATATCTCGGTAAAGCTGCAGTCGGTGAGGGATTGGATTGAGAAGCAGGATTGGAGTGACCTGTAAGAAGATCACATGTATACTAGTATATCTTTAGAAGCTATCAAGGCTCCAAGCTTCTGCTACCAAGACCCGGATGAGCATTTTGAATTATTGACAAGAATAGCTGGAGACACTCACTCAATGCTAATATTTGATTTCAATCTTATTGATTCGTTGCCTGCGCTAGAACGGGATGAATATAGAACACAAACATTTTTGAAAAGTAGGGATCTTAGGATTTGTAGCCACTGGCAGGGGACGACCGGCGTGTGTCGTATTGTAGAATGGAAATGCGTCGACGGAAACTTGAAGTTGGAATGAAGATTAAATTGGAATCGATTGCTAGAGTCTCTTTGCAGTCTACTGATTATGAGTGTTTCCAAGGCTGCAACTTGGAAGGGTCCCCAGGTGCCTTAGTGCTGGGTTAGTCAGTAAAATAACCACGCATTTCAATTTCAGTATTTTCTCATGCTTTCTGGGTGTTTTGAAGAGCTCTAATCGGTATTTGGATGTGATATTAAACAATTATCTCGATCTATTCAGTTGCTGTTGGAGGAAGGCCATTCTGAGATCCCACCACATGTTCAAGGCTGACCACCCCCAGGGGACAGCTTGAGGTAATTGAAAATGCGATCTTGGTCTTGAATCAAAGCCGTAGCATCGGGATAGACCCTTTGCCAGGCATTGAGGATCACACTTCCACCCGGAATCTCATCGACGGATGGGAACTTGCGTTCCCATCGAATGAGGTGGAGCACGGCATCTGCTTCCTCCGTGGTATCATTTTGCATAACATCCGCATAGGGATAACTTCCAGTCATGATCAAGTAGAAGATTGACGCTAGACCGAACAAATCCTGGTACACTGGAGAGATAGTCCACTCTGGATCGAAGAATCCGGGCGTATGGCCACAAGCATGCTTTTTGTCTCCTATGCCTGAAAACCCAAAATCACACAATAGAAGGTTCAGATCATTGTTTGAGTCAGCATGCACAAGCATATTGTAAGGACTCATATCGAAGTGATGGACATTATGTTTGTGAATGAACTCGATCGCCTCTACAGCCTGCGAGCGCCATTTCAAGCGCAAACTCATATCCATGTCCTTTCCATGATTCTTCATGTATCCATGAAGATCGCCATGACTTGCCTCTTCAAGGAGGAATCCACGATGTACCTCAGCAATACCCAGGCATCTGAGGTTGGATTGTTAGCTCTGCTGTGTGACTGCAACTCATACGTACCGTACTATTCTAGGGTGTTCTCCCAGTATCTCAAAAATTTGCCTTTCCTTCTCAAACTTCTCTTTGGAAGTATGAACCTCCTGTGCTTCCCAGCTTCCTTCAAGCTGATCGATATTTATAAGCCACCATGGATAATAAGGATACTTCATCACGACACCGGGTTTTACTCTAGCGAGATTTTGAGCGATTCTGGGAAATCCGGGATCATACTCCAAGGACCAACGCGCTGTACCAAGTTTGCCGGGGATTTGGAGAAGGTGCTCGAAGGAGGAAATGGGGACTTTCGGCAATAGCTTGAAACTTGTTAGCTTACTTCAGGGTTGATGAGCTTTTGTTGGTTCTGTCGTAGGCTTTCTACCTCGGGTTCATGATGCTCATCAGAAAGTGAAATATCCATTCTGTTCCCTGGATTTCAAGATAAAGATAGTCTCAAAAGTATTGAGTAGAATGGGAAGCGTGCACCCCAAGCCCAGAAGGCGGAACAAGCTGTATAGCAAGCGTTTGGAAATCGAAAGAGTGCGACGGAGTGTACAGCCGAAATGGTTTTATCTCAGCCATCAGGACAGGATGGTAGATTTACGCAGACGCTTGGAACTCATGTTAATCCATGTTCGAGCGATTCCAAATCAAAAACCTGGAAAGACTATAAGAGAGACCTTAAGAGACCAGGTGCGGTGTCAGAGATTTTCACGAGGCCACATTCATCCGATTCTATTCGTTTGTACGCAAGCTTGGGCCTTCTCGTCTCGGGCTTCACCGCAGTTCGAATCGAAACAGTATAAATACCCCAGTAGTATAGGTCTTGGATTGGATACATGGATGACAAAACGAGCCATCCCTGTCGCTTTCCGCGGATATCTCCAGTTCCGTTACTTTCTGAAATTCTCTATAGGATGTGGAGTCTAAGGACATGTAGCGATTGCGACGTCTAACCCAGCCGTATGAGTTTCTCTGCGTCGGAGAAGATAGAAACAGGTCGCTGAAGATAATGCATTTGTGATTTTCAAATGGCCCACATATAAAAATCCGCATATGGAGAGAAACATATTTCGAGTCATTTTCTTACGCAATTTGAAATGGGAGATAACTTCAGGGAATGAACGGATTCTCTCAAATGCCCAAAGCTACCCAAGGAGTGATGAGATCATAGAGACAAATCTCATATGATGCGAGAAGAAAGAGAAACGGTTGCAAGGTTGGATTTTTTTCTACCCAAGGGTATTCCAAGACAAAATGCCTGTAATATTATCGCTTCTAGCATTTATTTTTATCATCCATAATGTTGATGTAAAAACTTGAAATCGTCTCAAGTTTAGTTTCCCCACTATGTTTAGTGCGTGTTCTTACCGTGTGCTCCAATTTCGGTTAGACTGATTGTCCCACGTTAGACCTTAACGCAAAGATGGATTATCATTAATCTCCGATCCTCATCTATCACCAAGCAAGGAAAACACCAAGATGAACCATATTCACCAATACGGCGTCTTTAGCGCCCTAATGCATGGCTTTTCCTCCGACGGCGCCAAATTATCAGATATTCTCTCATCCTGCGACCATGGCTTGGGCACCGTATGCTCACTTAATGGCGAAATTATTATTGTCGACGGCGAAGCCTACCACTTCACCCCAGACAACAAACTGCACAGACTCAACGCAGATGATCGCATGCCCATGGTGGTCGCTACAGATTTCAAACCCACTCTATCCAAAGAGCTCTCCACCTTGAGCATGGATCAATTGACACAAGCAATGCACCCGTTCTTCCCCACCAAGCAAAACAACTTTATAGCCATCCGCGTCGACGGGAACTTCCGTTCCATTACTTACCGTATCGCTGGGCCTCAGCTCCGACCTAAAGAGCCGCTGCTGGAGCTCGCTAAGCGGCAAATTTTGAAATCGTACGAGAATATCGCGGGTACGCTTTTCGGCTTCTACTCACCGCCGTATATGAACGGCATTGCGGTTGCCGGGTTCCATTTACATTTTTTGTCCCACGATCGCACGGCAGGTGGGCATGTGATGGAATTTGAAGGTGAAAATGTCGTCCTGAAGGCGGCTGTTAATACGCAGGTTCATCTTCAGTTTCCGGATTCTGATGCATTTAATGAGGAGGCTATTCTACCGGAGAGTGCGAGGGATTTGCATTTGGCCGAGTAAGCTAGCTTTCATCTTAATTACAAGCATACAGAGGCACTGCATTGGCGCTTTTCACAATTATCAAGGGTCAAGTGAAGCGGGGTTGAAGAGGGGGCCAGAGAATTTACCCGCCACGCGGTTCTCCCGGTCGGCGAATACAAACAATTATGTGTTTAGAACATTTAAATCAATGTTGAAGTGTCTGCCGAACCTCAGGCTTTTCATACACGATCTAGATGATTCGCATAATAACGTCAGCAGCACAATTTTTTTTACTCGCATTAACAATGCAGCCCCACGACAATAGAAAGACCGTTGTATTTGACGCTCATCGCGTTTCAAGAGTCTACATATATCCTCGACCCTTCTCTAATCCTAGTCGGTCACAGGTAACTTCACTTGAAGCTGCACTCAGCTATGCGCTGTCTTCCAGGGCACTAGGCCTCTGGTATTCTTAATCACCGGCCACATCTCTGTGCAATACAATCCCATAGAAAAAAGGATATTACATGGTAAATGGATCTGGTAAGGAAGATCATACTGAGATGTTGTATTAGCATGGACAATGTCCAACATGTAAGTAAAGGGAGAAAAGATTAAAGCATACCCAAAGTCGAAGTTTGTTCTTCCAAAGGTATAACCAGTTTCCTCTGCAGCGGGTGCGAGGCTGTAGATATGAGACTGAGGAGCAGTAGACTCACTGAAAAGAGCCTCCAAATGCCAGAGCTATGGATTCAAATTTTAGTCAATAACGAGTGGCATAGAAGGCTTCTGCTCGGAACTTACCCCTGGCCATATGTACCAAAACCATGCCAGATTCCAGCTCTTCACACTTGCGAGGCGGGGGCACAACCTCCGAGTGCAGAATTGATGAGACTTATTAGCATTGCCACAAGGGGCGCGTTTTGAGACGACGCAACCGCAGCGATAAAGCAACCTAAGCCATAAATGCCTTGTTGTACGAAATGTTAGCCTACGTCATGAAGTGGAGTCAGATGGTCAGACGTACAGTAATAATATAAAATATCTATAGTTAACTGAGATTGGAACGGAATGGCTGGTACTGTGAGCACCATGTAGAACGTTGTGAAATGAAGTGCTGATAATGTGATTCGGAAGAAAGTGGAAATGACTTTTCCGATGGAATAAGCGCTTCTAGAATGTCCTGAATGCGACGCCTCTCTAAAGAAGACAAGCTCTAGACAAAGAAGTTAGCTAAAAGAGATTTATTTTTCATGGGCTGAAAGCAAAGCGATATGCACTTACTTTCGTTTCCAGACGTTTGAACACCTGCTGGTCCGGCGGCACATCCTGAAGAATAAAATCAGTAACAAATTTGGAATTTCAACTGGGCTTCATTACCTATTGCCAGACAGCAAAGGATTCCTTGTTCTCCAAGTATTCGATAGCTTGCAGCACTTGAAAGTCGCTCGAACGGGGATTTGTAAAGACCTTGAAACAAGTGACCCTTAAATTCGTAGTTGGATAGCCCGATCAAAAGGCCAATGATAGAGCTAGACAACATTTCGAGCAAGAAGCTGGCAGGATGTCTGGTTTGTTGCAACATACCTCGCAGTAAGTTGAGATAAACTTGAACATGCCAGGGTGCCCTTTGCTGCTTGATAAAATAAATAGAAGCCGATGCATTTTCAACTACATCTGATTCGCTGGGTAGAGAATTCGTACTTGCATTGAAGACTTTGGAGCTATTGGGAGACAAGAGTAGGTTCATTATCATATCAGCTGGATTGTAGGTCTTTGATAGATCTTTCCCAGGTCCTGCGATCCGTTGGTACGCGTCTGTTGCCCTGTCAAGGTATACCTGCTTTCCCGAATCCAAGAGCCTAAGCTGGTCAAAGGCCTCAAAGATCTCAACGCGTGGCTGATGAACAACGCAGATAACCGCCATACCCCGTTGAGTCAACGCCTTCAAGGACATAATGAGGAAGAGTGCTGTTGTAGTATCCAAGCCCGACGTGGGTTCATCGAGAATCAACATGCTAGGTGCGGCCGCTAGCTCGAGACCGACATTGACCCGTTTTCGCTGCCCTCTAGATATCTGCCTGTTATCCGGGCTGCCCACCAGGTGGTGCTGAACATGGGCAAGACCACGTGATATCATTAGGCTGTCCACGTATTCTTCGATTTCATGCTTATTCCATACTCCGCCGAGTCGGATACGAGCTGAATGCATGATGTTTTCCCTCACGGTCAAATGATACAGAAGAATATCATCTTGTGGCACAAATCCAATTAAGTCTCTTAATCTAAGTATTCCAGTGTCAGTTAATATGGTACGAGCCAACGAAGATCCATATTATCATACTGGGCAGGCTTTGCGACACGGCCATTGACAAGGACGTGCCCGGTGGTGGGCCTCGCCCGTCCGGAGATATATTCATCAGAGTAGCTGTCAAAGAAAGCACGATGGATTAGATGTTGTCATTCCTCTTGCCGGCAACGCATTGCAACTCACATTTCCCTGATCCAGAGAATCCCATGACGCCAAGAAAGGAGGCGGGCTGTATCCTCCCACTTTGCTCAAATAGAATCATGCTATCCGAGTTTCTGGGCCGCATGCTTATGTTTTGGTAGCTAATCTCAACACGTTCTGTATTGAGCAAAAATGTGTTGCTCAGAAACTGCTGACTTGTAGAGTTTTGATACTGGCTGGGTAAAACCCCATCGTCAATTCGCTCCCCTTCGAAGTTCAAGTCTTTCCTCTGTTTGGAAAACGAGATTAATCTCAAGCCTTTTCGAATGGCTGGCAGGCTCCAGCGAGCGAAATAAATTCCAAGGGCTGCTATGATGACATCAAGGAGGATTATACACAGAAATCCAATCATATAGATTTGCTGAGAACTACCCTCCGGACAGATGGAGAGAGCGATACATGGAGAGAGCGATACATGGAGTGGGCTGAACGCTGCCTAGTGGGCAAAAATGACCCTTGGGACATATTATTTGACTCTTCCCACCAGAGGGACAGTATGAGCCCGAATCACAAATTGCTGGCTCATAATCACCTTGTGGACGATCGCAGATATTGTGTGCTTCTTGGAGTCGCGTTGCGAAGCACTCAAGCGTGGGAGGACAGTACTCCGGTGGAAAGGATGCATTGTTATTTGGACCTGGAGCCATAATTAGTCATAGTGAAGAAATTGTTTGATATTCGGGCTATACAGTAGAAGCCATCAAGACATAATAGGGTAGAACATAATATGAGCGACTGTTTACCAGAGAGACAGGTTGTATTCGACATTGCCCAGGTGAGTTGGTGCAAGTCTGCCAATCAAAGAAGATTAGACGCAGAGTACTCTGCCATAGCTCCTGGTAAATGACACAGCACGGTTCTGCTCACCCGAACCGGTACTTTCATTGACCCACATTGGAATAAGCTTCACCCCTGCGATCTTACATTAGTCGTAAACCTTGGAAGTATTCAAGAACCTTGGAAGGGAGCGTAGCGCTGTGTAATCAGAATACACATCTCAATCCAGCATGAAGCTTTGCTGCCAATAACAACCAGAAACTATGGGCTAGGCATAGAGATACCTATGGGGGTCAGATCAACTGGGTAGAGAGGTATAGGATTGTGTATCCTGAAATAATATCTCCCGCCGCTGTAAATACGGTAACATACTTATTTTATCATGATAGTTTTTCAGATGCATTTATTGATTCATTCATCCATTCATTTCCTCTTTTGGTCGTCATTTTGTCCGGCTACCAAGTAGCAGAAGGTGGAGTCATATGCAGGGGATGAATAGTTGTAAAACCTAGTAAAATATAAACCATGTTTTCAGTATAGAGTATTTTGACGTCGGGAAGATTTTGTTTTCACTTGTGGGTCTATTCACCGCATTTTCAATAGCTTCTCGTCTTCAGCTGAGGCGCATGTCCCGCGTGAAGATGTATCCACTCGAGCAAAATAGTGGAGTATGCAGTCAAACATACCGAATTAGTCGGAATACTCCGTCTAGGTATGGCTCCCGAGGTCTTCTTTAGTGTTATTGCCCCAAGTTCTTGAATCTATTAGCTATTAAGGACTTGTCCAACCTCTACTCCGCATATTTAATTCTCTTTCGCTCTTCTATAGCTTCGAATATCAAATTCCAACTAAAATTGTTTCATTTTTGTTACAAGCAAGATATGACGGATCTTCCTACCTTTGAGCCCTACATGCTCACCCCCTTCGATCATTCTACTTCACCAATCCATCTGACGCCTCTTTTTATCTTTCACCCCAACAACCCTTCAAATCCCACAGCTATCCTTGAAACAGGGGTCCATCGTCTTATAGCCCTACTCCCATTTCTAGCTGGAAATGTCACTCCTTCAAGCCGATTGCAAGGCAAGGAAAATGTATTGGAAGCGGCACCGCCAACACGGGAATTTCTCCAACTGTATCCTATGTTTAGAGTGAAACATCATTGCAAACCGGTTCAGTCAATTAACGAAGTTGGAGCCCATGAAGATGCATCCCCCAAACGCTTCGCCCCAATTCCGTACGAATTGGCCGGAGAAGACGTGAGTCCCATTTTCCGAGTGCAAGCCAATGTCATGCTAGACGGTATAATTCTTGCCTTAGTGTACACCATATGGTATTGGATGCTGTTGGCTCTATTAGCACACTATACTCTCTTGCAGCATGTTGTCAAAATCCAGGGGTATCTGTCAATCGACTCACAACCAACCGTTTGAAGGAAGAACAACGGCGGCAGTTAATCTTTGATGCTTCTTCTTCCATCAGCACGGAAGATGTCACCCATGAAGATAACTCTGCTCATGACTGGGAGCCCAATGGGGACATGGCTTCCCAACCTTCCGTCTGTGACAGGATCTTACTAGACGATCGCAAAGTTGGCGGACTTAAGGAGTCATGCGTTGGTATACTTAAGAATCAGCCAAACTGGAAGAGAATCAACCTTTCACGCACTAGTGTTTTTATAGCTGCTCTTTGGCTTAGCCTGCTTCGTGCGCGAATTTCGTCTTCCAGCGGCTCGCCCTCAAAAGAGTCTTGTCTCGTGATAGTCAACGACTGCCGCTCAAGGCTTGATCGAAAGCTGCCCGCGTCATATATGGGTAATGCCTTGGTCGTCAAGGAAGTCTATGCTTCGATCGAGGCAGTTCTTTCTTCAATGGGCCCTTCCGAGGATCGTGCTTCTAGGGCAGATCACCTTGGTCCTCGTGATATTTTACTTCTTGCCAACCTTGCAGCCGCTATCCAAAGTGGCACCCTGTCAGTCACAAATGAATATATCTGCAGCACTCTCGCAGGCTTTGTTCAACAAGATGATTGGACTCCTAACCCCTGCCTCGGAGACCTCATGGTCAGTGTGATTCGGCCTTTCGATATCCATGGAATTGATTTCGGGCCTTCGCTGGGGCCACTGAAAGATATAGACATGCTAGAGAGCCGATTCCCCAGCGCTGAATGGGTTGTGCCGCCATTTGAGAGGGCTAACCAGAAACTCTGGGAACTTATATTGTCATTGGATCCAGCAGTCATTGAAAAGATGAGGAATGACGATGTCATGAAATGCTTGGGGCTTAGCCAAGTCGTGGTGGCAAAGCTCTGATCTAATCACTGCATATGCAGAAGTCAGGTCTATGTACCGGGTAGCCATGGATTTTTGTGACCATTTTAGTTTCAGATATCGCCAATTCTTCCCTTGCTCCAGCTGCGTGTTCAGATAATTCTACCCTTTCAAAACAAATGAGACTCAAGTATCAATAGCCTTAAAGTCTCCAGGTTTAATTGCAAATTCATAAGATTGTCGTAAGTTAAAAGTCCTCAAAGAAGGCCCAGCATATGCCAGTGTGCATAATTTAGTTATCTTCAAATGCTCCTCAGCAGGCTACCATCCTCTAAGATCCACACCACAGGCAAGAATTTAGATGAAAAACTCGTAGTTTTGTATTTTGCCTGTAGCCCCTATGGTTCTCACTCAGATCAAATAAATTTAGACTGCCCCCGAGCTGTAGCTCTTACTCTGTATTTCCGGGGTATGAATTTGTAAAGAATGATCGTTCATTGAGATAATTTGAACCAATTATTCTTATGTAACATGGTCTGAGCATCTCAAAGGTTAACAGCTATTTACAGGTTCACTTCTAGCACCACTCCAGTTTGCCTGAAGTTGAAGGCAAATGTCTCAGCGTGTCCTTGAAATATTTGGACATGAATGCCATGACCGATTCCCTGACCACTGCATCCGTTATCTTCTCGGTCATTGGACCTAGTTCCGCAACCATTTTTGCGTCCCAATCTCCGAAAAGCTGAGGCAAGTTGATCTCGTCGAAGATAGCCTTCACCTTCAAAACATTGACGGGGTCTTTCTTGCCATAGTTCTCAATGAGGACCATTCTCTGGTTGTCATCACAACGAGCCATGGCTTCAATCGCTGGCCAGGCGCATTTGTGGTCTTGAATATCCGTGCCAATCTTTCCAGTGACGTTAGGGTCACCATAGACGTCCAGAAAGTCATCTCTGGCCTGAAAGACGTATCCCATTTTCATCGAAATATCATAAATTTCCGCGAGTCTCTCGGGGGTTGCAAGTCCAAGATAGAACAACGGGATTGTAAGCGGAAGATACATCGTGTAGTAAGCCGTTTTCTTCGCAGTGATGAACCCATATTGTTTCCAGATGAACTCCTCCAGGCTACCCGTGGAGGCCAAAGCATCACAGTGCTGCCCAAGTTCAGTTTGAAGGCATGCTTCCGCGAAAAGCTCCGTCAGCTCTAGATATGAAGGATGATCACGAAAGCCGTTCTTAATGATCACGTAAATGCTAGACCTTAGCAGACAACCGTCGTTCACGGCATCCATCCCAATCGACTCTCGACGGTACCAGCACGGCTTTCCACGTCTAGTTGAGGATCCATCCATGATATCATCCCAAATCAGGTATGCGGCATTCAATAATTCGACAAGGGATCCGAGCTTCCCCAGGTCGTCGGCTTCAGCTGGGGAAAGAGAATGGCCTCGAAGTATCCAGGCTGTATCGATGACAGTTCGACCACGTAAGAGGTTGCCGCCTTGAGTATTGGCGTCGATGCACTTTTGTTAAAAGAGATAAAATCAGTCCTGATGAAAGCACAACGACCCATCTTCTGTTCTCACTCACATCTGCAATTTTTTGGTTTGCTTTGGGTGCAAGGCCCATAGCCTCCAAATTATCAAATACCAGTTGAGGGACGCGCGTCATCGCAGATTGCATGATCTGCGGCGAAGTAACGGTCGGTGAGACAACCATTTTGAATTAACTGAGGATAAACAGGGGACTTTTTCCAATACAGGACAAATGGTTTTGATGCGTGAAAGGTGTGTTTGACACTGACAGGTGCAGATCGGTTTATTTAAGGATTTCAAATTTCACGGCATAGCACTTGAATAACACAGGTTCAGCACGAGTGGGTATATCGATGTAATCGAACCTGAGATCTAAGTTGCCACATCCTATCGGTACTATCAACCAGGATTAGCTCCGAAAACATTTTGCTCCATGTGGGAATTTCCCGGTCAAACACTATAATCAATAGTGCCCTCATGTGTGTACATGCCTTTTGTGGCGCGGAGGCTTGTACATGTGGGCTATCATAATTCTCTCGATTTTTATTTAGCTTTGACTCTTACTTATCCCTGGTCTGCATGTTTTAGTTATATTCCTACCAGCTTTCGCTTTATTAGATTCTCACCGTCTTTCAAAGGTTGAAGTATGACTTCAAAGTCTTTCCAAGGTTATAGATCGGACTTTTACAAGTTTCTGATATTGAAATATAGTACGTGCATGCTCCAATCGAGCTACTCTAGTGACACGTCGCACAACAGCTAGAGTTTTGACAGATCCACGTGTAAAACCCTGGACTTGGAGTCCCCTTCAGGTTCAGAGTGAGACACCCGGATCTAGCTCTAGATCAACAGCAATCTCGGTACTAGTATTTGGTATCCGAAGGATCATGATGTTTCTTATTTTCCTTAGGTCTTGAAAATGTTCATTAAGTCAAGATGATACATCTATACGAAGAAGATCTGCAAAATGAGCTCAGAATGAGCTCAGAAAATGTCTTTCCTCACTCTCTGATGAAAATGCTTTTTTACCCAATGCATGTGGTGTCTTTCACTAGGGTAATTTATGCATCAGTGGCTTAACCTTGGAAGGTGTAGTTCGTGTTAGGGAAAATAAGTGGGAACTTTGTTTACTATCTGATCCACTCTGTCATTTATTATACCCACATAGATGATTCATGCGACATCTGGACCCGCTTAACTATCGGAAATTCGGGATTTTGAATAGAGTTGAAATAGAGATGATCGGCAATCTTAGTCGAAACTAGAATCGAGTGGCTTGATGCTGAAAGATACGAGACGTAATGCGCAGCTGTGATTCGATGTTTCAAGCCGTCATAAGTCACCGCTATTTTCGCCTTCTGGAAAGTAAAAGTTCAATGGTTTCATGTCAGGGGAAGAAAGGCGCCAAGAAAACATCATGTCGACAAGGAGGGAAAAGAAAGAAGAAGAAACAGAACATTTGAAAGCAAAAAAGGAAAGTTGGGCCTCAGTCTTTCTTCAAACTGTACGCAGTACCCTGTCAAGCTTCTTTGCACAGTAAAAATACCAAAGTTCAGATATCGGAGCCCCTGTCTTAGACAAGAAAGACTTTTTGTATCTTATCTTCAGTTGAGCCTCTTGCAAGAATGAACTTCAAGAATGAAGGGATGGTAAATTTCCGTCAATTCGGTGGTTATCCTTCTACTCTGCGTTCGAATACATCAACAAGACATGGCTTTCTCTATCGTTCCGGCCATCTCTCAGATGTCACACCCGCCGGTTGGCAGATCTTATGGGAGTTGAAGATCTCGATTATATTTCGCTTGACCACCGAAGAAGAAGCGAAATCGCTGTACGCCAAGGACAATAAGTCATCGAGCGAGATTGGCCATTTTGAATTTGTCGAATTGCCTTTCCAAAAGGACAGTTTTTCGAGAAAGGAGATCCTGCAGAAGTATACGGAACATGCAGCAAGGGGTTCCATTGTCAGTGTCAAGATATCCCCGATCTGCCAGGTGGGGATCTGCGTATGATTATGTCATCATTAATATTCTGACAGACTACAATGTCTAATGCAGTAGGCGGTCGCCAATGGGATGTATCAACAGGTCTGGTTCTCTAATTCTGATAATTACGCACATAAATTCTGCCTGGAGATCACCTGATCGGTCATGTGATCCATTCTGGTTCGACCAATCAGAGCTCTCCATTCAATAGTGGTTTGAACTAACCCAATTGGGCTAGTTCTGCACCCGTGTTCTGTCATATTCCCGACTATGGGCAGGCCGTTGCTGAAGGCTACATGGAGCTTCTTCGAGGAGGGGCCGGCGTGATCGCGAAGATATTTTTTCATATCAAGGCACACCCAGATGCTGTATTACTTGTTCATTGTTCAATGGGTAAAGATCGAACTGGTGTCGTATTTGCCCTCATTCTATCTCTTGCTGGTGTCTCCCGCGAAGTCATAGTTGCAGAATATAGTTTGAGCGAATCGGCTCTGAAACAACACCTACCTCAGATGTCTAAGCTGGTTCAGAAATCAATGCCCCATGGTGTCGACAAATCCGATGTTGAGATCATGGCACAGCAAGTTATAAAATCCAGGTGAGAGGTGGATGTTTATCCGCGTGTGAGTTTATTTACTAACTCTTTCCAGTTCGGATTTCATGTTACTTACACTTCAAATGATCGATGATGAATTCGGTGGCGTTACGGAATACCTCAAGAGCCAATGTGGTTTGACCGAGGATGACATTTGCGAGATCCAAAATCTGCTCTTAGAAAATAGTATCTGAAATATCTAGTAGTATGACCCATGCCTTCCAATGTTCTTAGTTATAATCATGATCCCTCAGAGGTGGTATCAATCAATTAATGGTATAAAGACCCAAGTGCTTCCAATATATGAGATATTTCGTGGCCAGAACTCCGTTTTGCCAGATATCCAGATGTCTGCCCCGGGAGCTCTTCAAAGAAACCTACTTCAAGTTGTGCATTACATAGACTCAGAAAAGAAATTGACTGGTCACGGCGGTTGTAACTTCAAGTTGTGGGATTGGATGATTTGAGGTACTGCCTAGTAGAATTTCCACCTGCACAGATGTGCATGGACAGTGTTCCACCTGGCAGGCTGAATAACCTTGCAAGCCCACCTGGGCACATGTGCAGACCTGGGTCCATGCCGGATTCAAACCTACATTATACACATGTAGGCAATACATATTGAAGAGGGAACCGTTAGGCAGTGTATTCTAGATACACGGGTCGATCCAGCTAGCATGAATGGATAACACCAACCAACATGGACGTTGTGGCCGGACTACCCCGTAGGGGTGGGATGAGAGATGTGTAGGAGTGTGTATTCTAGACTATAACGACGGGCATTCTTGTACGTACAAAGACGGGACTGAAAACATGACAAAACAGAGATGTAACCAAACGGTAATTCTTAGCACGGTACGTGTAGTAGGGGACAGGGTACCCCACTACAATATGTAGTATATGTATCCAAATATCTGTTCCAACCATTTGAACACCACGAGCAGAACAGTCAACTGGTACCTAGTTTAACGGGCACCTGGGATATGAACCCTGCGCAGTTGGAGGCACCCGGGATATATAGTCTTTACCGGGGTAGTACTATAATACGGTCCCAATACGGTATTTTAACCTGACTTTTTAGACCAAAAGAATTATTCGCCTAGTCAACGCTGCTCAAGAACACTGGCCTCTGAGCAACCCTCCAGAAATTCAGCTGTCCACTTGAATCACCTTCAATTTCATTCGCCCAGATCATCTACTAGTGCGAATGAGCGCGGCTATGAAATTTTATACTTCCGGCGCCTAATCCAGTATCGGGGTATTTAAGCCCCAGGAACTGGCCACCAGCTTTACTTTCATCTTCTTTCCTTGTTCTTTAGCGCTAGCTCACAGGATTTTCAAGTGGATATATTTAATGATGATACTACTACTTAAATTAATATTTCTGGGATGTATCACCAGCCTGAAGGGGTCATGCGCGAAATAACGGCTGGGGTAGTTTCTGAGTCCACAAGATCAAGCGCGAGCGATGGATCTTTCAAATGTTTTTATTTCAAGTTGCACTTAGCACCACAAGCCGCTAGGTCTATATGAATTATTACAATGGTTTGTCAAGTACATACGACCACAGGGTGTGGAGAACAGGGCTTCCCGTCCGCTCAGCCGTACTTAAGCCACACGCCGGTCAGTTAGTAGTATGGTGGGTGACCACATGCGAATCCTGACTGTTGTATGTTTTTCCGTTTTTTTTTTTTGTTCTTGCCATTTCTTCTTTTTTTCGTCGTTCGGAAATCGTCTCTTGCCGCCCTACTCTTCAGCCCTTTCAGCCGCCTTCACCTGAATGCCCTGAACACCACTATTTTGCACTCTGAATACATGAATACCCCGCATATGCTTGAAGTGCTGACGTGGCCTTCCCCTCCTTATGCTGATTTCTGCCTCTAGGAGAACCTCCGTGTTATTGATGCGTCCGTCATTCCGGTTATTCCTGACTGTCGCATTCAGAACTCGGTCTAACGTAATTCCCGGTTGAGCGGATCACCTGGTTGAACGGGTCACCCTACCACATTACAAAATTTCACAGTAATAAATTCAGTTATAAATACGATTTTTACATACATTGATCTTATGTCCAACCTCTCGACACCCACTACACCTAGGCTGAGCCCTAGGGGCTGGCTGATTCGGCTGAATAGGTAATTCAACCTGGGTGTGTGATTCGACCACAGGTGCTTCGACAGGTAAGTCCACCTGCGTAAGTAGGTGTAGGCCTTTTTCAACGGTCAAGCCCTCTTCACAGGGTATCTGCCTAGCTGATCGAGTACGCTTCTGTCGTGTCTTCTCATTCGCTGCACGTAAATTGGCATTTTCTTGTGCTAGTAACGCTGTGTTATGCAGCGATATATAGTGGCCCTTGATGATTTGATCTAGCATCAATTTCGACGGGTTTGGAGGGCTGTTTGATCGCTGTTTGAGAAGATCTTTAAGTATTGAAGCTTGTTTCTGAAGCTGGACCACAGTTCTAGGTGTTTTGGGTGTAAATTGACTGGATCTGCTGCTTGGTCGGCTACCTGGTGGTGTAGGTGTTCGAAGAGAAATATTTAATTTAGAAAGAACTCTTTCAGCATCAATTGATACTAATGCAGTAGCTAAAAAGCTATTCTGAATAGTTTTTGGCTGAAAGGCTTCTAGCTGGGCACGTTGGAAATCAGCTAAGAAATCAAGCTTGTCGATATGGTTATAGCCTGTACGTAAGGTCGCTTATAAAACGACCATATGTACGTTTTAACACTGCAAAACAACCAACATCTAGTGGTTGTAATAGATGTGATGAATGTGTAGGCATACAAGGTGGGATAATGTTGTTTTCAGTACAGATTCGGTCAAATTGGGGCGTAAGATGGCTTCCATGGCCATCAAGAATTAATAACCGAAATCGATCACGGACACGTGAATTTGTTGATGGAATAAATAGCTTTTCAAGCGATCGTAAACCAATTTCATCAGTAGTCCAGCCATTAGCTGAGACCTCAAATCGCTAGTCCTGTGGTAGGTTTTCAAACCAGCTTGCAATAGCAACCTTTCCCTTAAAAATCACACATGGTGGTAATGAACAGCCATCTGCACAGATAGATTCAATTGCAGTTACCCATTCACGATTTCCAGGTTGTGAAATAGAGCGCCGACCGTAGTATTCTTGTCTGTAACAACTGTCTGTGCCGAAACGAAGATCCTAAGTCCCTACGAGAATGATTTACCACTGTACAATGTGTTATCGATGAGAATGGTATCCAACCTGAGGATATTTACAACTTTGATAAGACAGGCTTTGCAATGGGCCTTAGTTCAACACAGAAGGTTGTTACTCGATCAGAATACTACGGTCGGCGCTCTATTTTACAGCCTAGAAACCGTGAATGGGTAACTGAAATTGAAGCTATATGTGCAGATGGCTATTCATTACCACCATGTGTGATTTTTTAAGGGAAAGATTGCTGTTACTAGCTGGTTCGATAACCTACCAAAAGACTGGCGATTTGAGGTCTCAGCTAATGGCTGGACTACTGATGAGATTGGTTTACGATCGCTTGAAAAGCTATTATCCCGTTAACAAATTCACGTGTCCGTGGTCGTTTTCGACTATCGATTCTTGATGGCCATGGAAGCCATCTTACACCCTAATTTGACCAAATCTATATTAAAAACAACATTCTCCCACTCTGTATGCCTGCACATTCATCACATCTTTTACAGCCACTAGATATTGGTTGTTTTGCAGTGTTAAAACATACATATGGTTGTTTTATAAGCGACCTTACACGTACAGGCTATAACCATATCGATATGCTTGATTTCTTAGCTGATTTCCGACATGCCCGGCTAGAAGCCTTCTAGCCAAAAACTATTCAGAATAGCTTTCTAGCTACTGGATTAGTACCAATCGATGCTGAAAGAGTTCTTTCTAAATTGAATATTTCTCTTCGAACACCTACACCGCCAGATAGCCGACCAAGCAGCAGATCTAGTCAATTTACACCTAAAACACCTAGAACTGTGGTTCAGCTTCAGAAACAAGCTTCAATGCTTAAAGATCTTCTCAAACAGCGATCGCATAGCCCTCCAAGCCCATCGAAATTGATGCTAGATCAAATCATCAAAGGCCACTCGATAGCGCTACACAACACCGCATTATTAGCACAAGAAAACGCCAATTTACGTGCTACAAATGAGAAGAAACGACAGAAGCGCAGTCGATCAGCTAGGCAGGTGCCATGTGAACAGGGCTTGACCGTTGAAGAAGGCCTAAAGCTACTTACGCAGCTAGAATCTTTTGTTGAACCACCTGTGGTTGAATCACATACCCAGGCTGAATCATCTACTTAGCTGAATCAGCCACGTCCTAAGGCCCCGCCAACATGTAGTGGGTGTTGAGAGGTTGGCCATCGGATCAATATATGTAAAAATCGTATTTATAACTGAATTTATTCGTGTTGGGTTGAAATATTTGAATTTAAAAAATTCTTGTGGGGGTAGGCTGGCCAGGTCAACCGGGAATTACGTTAATACAGGCCTAGCTTGCGAGGAGGCTTGGCCAAGGACCGTTCCAAAGCAATACATTTATTGATATTCAGTCGCTTGAGCAGATGCACCATTATCAAGGAGCAGACAAATCAACTCTTCCCCTTGGGCAGTATGGTTGCTTACCCAGTGGTAGCAACCTACAGGCGTCTTAATCCCATAACCCGAGAGCAAACGCTTCATCACGATACACCTGGGCAAGTGAATTGAGGGCCGGCTGACTATCTATAATCAATCGAGCCGTCTCGATCTGTGCCTCTTCACATGCTGCGGTCAGCAATGAGCACCCCCGCTGATAGAGAGGAAGATATCTCCAGTTGGTATTGTAGTAATCTATAAGAACGCGGAGCACCTCCGTACGTCTGTGCTTTGCGACAATACAAAGCGGGTCCTTAAACACTTTTGTTTCTATATCTAAGCGTAGGGAATAGAGAGAAATATATTATTTTAGTCTGGGGATGCCATTGTTGGAAATGATTGCAAACAGAAGGCCGCGGTTGTGAAGGTCGTTCTTGTAGAGCCTAGTGCCGTGATCATCACGGAGAGCGTTCTCTGCGGATTCCAAGGGAACTTCATCCCATAGAGCGTCGAATTCGCTATAGGACATGACTTAGATTTGTAAGATAAGAAAGGAGTAAGGGGCGAGATAAGGGAGAATTAAGGGGCGAGATAAGGAGTAAGGAAGAAAAAATGATAGTCCTTAAGAAAAGAGCCACTGCTTGGTATTTCTTCTCTCCTCCACGGTAATTCTGGTTTTGTGACAGATGGCCCCACTGCTGTATTGTCATCCCATTTCAGTACCGCTGACCCCAATCTTCCAAGTTCCAACCTTAGAAGGTTCCAAGGTTGGAAGACATAGGACTATTCGATATTAGGGCCAGTAAGAGATTCTAGTGCTCAACAAGCGCACCACATAATACATAACATTTAATTCCATCCTAAAGCTATAAATTATTATGTATTTTCAATAGAAGGCCTAAATCATGTTGGAATGAATATCTACAGTAACCTTGGAACCGGACAAATGTGTTAACCTGGGCTAACCACCTATGTTACTATATACTATTCTGTCGGTCAAAGAACTCTAAAATTCAATAATTAATATGGTGCCCAGGTCACCAGGTGTATATCATCCATGAGACTCAACATACATTGCAACTCAATGCGTTCCAGAATAATATGTGAACTCTTGGAATATTGGCAATCCTTGGATAATTGTTCCACGGGCATGGTGCCAAGTATGTATGCTCGTAGTGAGGCTGACTTAGCTTGGCTGAGATATCAAAAGGCCAAAAGCGAGGGAGGGATGGGGATCAACTCGCGGTTGACCAGAGACTGACTTGTGCTGCGCTGCGCACTTTCTCACCCTTCCCCTAAACAGCGTAGTCTCCATTATTCTAAATTTTGTGCAAAGAACACTTCGTTATACGTGCTGGACGCTGAAGTCATGCATCACATTAATGGTTCCTGGAGGAGTGACACTCAAATTCGAGTGGGACTCTCCAGTATCATAAGATGTGACATAGGTGTTTGTTTCCTTGCCCGCCAAATTCCTCTGCGATTCACCTCCGTTTGTGGTCGATATGTGGGTATGAACAGCCTCATGATCGAATCGATTCATGGGGTAAATATTGTTTCTCTGTGAATCTTGGAGGCGTTCAAAGGTTTGTGGGTCAGAGACAGCGTTTCGTGTTCTCCCGGTTGAGAAAAGATTAGGAGCGACGCGAGCCACGATTGTCTTCAGAAGAGGCATGTTTGCGCAAATGATGGCAAGCTCGGGTTCAATGACTGTCCACATGACGCCCATTTGAACGGACCCGGTAATATCGCTGAAATCGATTGCCATTAAGGATACCAGACGAACGATACTAATTATAGAGACACTGGAATTTTATTCAGTTAGTGGTTAGACAGAACTCAAAAGGCCTGGAACAGGTGAAAAACACAAGCAGATAGGATAAACAGCAGAGGGTATAAAAAGAGTATACACACAGTAGACCAATGGAAAAGACGCCGACCAAAGCGATCTTCTTCGCATTTCCAAGTTGAAGCTTCCAAATATGAGGCATGGGAAGAGCCATGACCATCAAATCCGTAATCAAATTCATGGTGCCTGCAATAACATATGTCGCATTTCGATTGCCGCAGACGCCAGAAATTGAAGTATCCCAGTTATATTTCAGCGGACGACACAGTAGGAAGGTCTCCAGAATTACACTGGCTGACCACATCCACACAATAGTCATCGTGACAGCGACTTGGATCCGGAAGGTGCGATTTGTGCCAAAGATGCGTAGATAAAAGGTCATGATTGAAGTCTTCACTAGGGCGAGCACAATTCCGTACAAAGCTTCGAGGGGTAGAATCGTCTGTGAATATCTTCATCAGTATGAATCAATTGAAACACAAGAGCTGATCACGGCCAGGCATCTGACCTTCAAGGTAAAAATCACAGAGGATGGATCTATAGTGCCTGAATTTCGGCCCGCTCCACCGATAATGGTCACTATTCCGGCGTAAGTCAATCATCCTTTTTTTCTCTCGAGATGATGAGAACAAGAACCGAGGAATATCTCCAAACATACAAATATACTCGAGGGCGATATCGGCATACACAATGAGCTGTCTCCATGTTGTTAACTCGATCACGCCTTTTCTTCTATAGATCTCAGAACAACTCACCAGTGCTCCTAAAATAAGAAATTCAGGCAACCCTGCACTGACTCGTCTCAACTTCAGCGCCCAAAATCGCAATCCGGTGGTGATGGTAGCTAGAGCGCCCAGTACTGTGACCGCAATAACCGGATTCCGGCTAAGCGGCGTGGTTAACGGGTATGTGATAGTCATTGCAGAAGCAGTATTCCTATCCTCTCCTACCAGTACAGAGTAAGGAAATAGAATTGCTGTGGCGGAATTTGACAAGCCAAGAAACGAGAAGGGGCTCACATTTTTTTTTAAAAAAAATAAGAATAAAATAACCTTGAAAAATAAACGCACCCGACGCCTTGGAAACCAACTCCGTCCACGTGTGTGAAGGACTCAAGCTAGCCTAAAATGCGCCCGGGCGGGTCTCTATGTACGTGCCGTTCCCGACCGGGAGTCCCCCGGCGCTTTTAGCGTTGCTTTTAGCGCCTTTAGCGGCGCTCCCGCACCGAAGTTTTCTCCTTTTTAGGACTTTCGTCTCATTGTTCCCTATAAGGAATTGTGATAGGCTCTTCAACCCCTTAAACGTACTTTCCTATCCACCTTCTATCCACTGATCTTCACATCGTTTTACTCTACTGGTCGTCATTCCAGCACTACTCATGAAGACCGACACTCCAATTTGAATTGATGGGCCCAATTTCAGTTAATGGCCAATCAACATGCGATCGGGGACCCATTCACTTGCAGGACTTGCATCCTTAGGAGCTGTCCTTCTTTTTTAGGTTAGGCTTCGGACATGAAATGTCAATAGAGGATAAGTAGCTAAACGGTTTTCTTGGCCCTGACTTTGTTTGCCACGTCGGCATTTAAGGAAATGCCAGTTCCGTTATCTTCGTCCGTCCAAATATACTTTGCTGATCCTGATCCTTGCCACTCCAATCTGAGTCTTGGAAACAATGGAGTCTATCGATACATCGTCACTTACCGATCTGAACAAAGAATATGATTATATTGTTGTTGGCGGCGGGACATCGGGCTTGGTCGTAGCCAGTCGATTGACTGAGGACCCCTCATGCAGTGTCCTCGTTCTCGAAGCAGGAAAGAACCAGGTCAATGATCCCCGAATTGCAGCTCCTGGTCTGGCAGCGACCCTTTATTTCGACCCAGACTTTGACTGGTGCATCACCAGCACACCCCAGGTACGCATCTGTCCTTGCTAATTTCACCTGGCGTAAGTATTTAACCCCGCTGACTTATTGTTAGGAAAACCTCAACGGACGATGCGTTGCCCAGCCTCGCGGACGAACACTTGGTGGTTCCTCAGCCATCAACCTTGGAATGGCTATCTACCCCAGTCAAACTGATATCGATCTCTGGGAGAAGCTTGGCAATGACGGTTGGAATTGGGATTCATTGTCGTCATATTTGAAGAAGTCGCAAACTTTCACCCCGCCATCTGCTGAGATCAAGGAGCAACTATCATTGGATTATATCGACCCGTCGGTCCAAGGTGAATCGGGTCCACTTCAGATTTCCTTTGGCGAGGGACCTTTCCCGTCATTTATTGGAGCATGGCCCAAGGTATTCCAGACCCTCAATCACGAAATCAGCGGAGATCCAATGTCAGGAGTAGCCAGAGGTGCGTTTTGCAACCCAGCCACTATCCATCCCACTACCAGAGCTCGCAGTCATGCTGGCGTGACGTACTACAACTCCGAAGTGGCGAAGCGATCGAACTTGAGAGTCGTTACCGAAGCCTTTGTGCAAAAGGTTATTTTGGAGAATGATGAGAATGATGATAAGGCAGATGCCAAGGCTACCGGCGTCCAGTTCACTGGCAAGGATGGCATTGAGCAGATTATTTCCGTCAAGCGGGAGGTCATTATGGCTGCTGGCGCTATCAAGACCCCCCATCTCCTCGAGCTATCTGGTGTTGGTGACGGTGCTCTTCTTCGTTCCCACGGTATGGAGCCCATTGTCGAGAACTCCAATGTTGGAGAGAATCTCCAGGAACATGGTTTCGTCCCATTCAGCTGGGAGGTTGCTGAAGGGCAGATGACTGCCGAGGCTCTCAGAAACCCCGAAATTGCAGGTGCAGCCATGGCAGCCTGGCAAGAATCTGGAGCTGGGCCCCTCGGTGTCTGTCCCCTTGTATCTGCATATATGACTCTTCCAGAGCTGGCAGATGGTGAGTTACAAAATCTCTTGGATGAAAATCTCCAAGACCAAAAATTATCACCGGGGTTAAAGGCCCAATACCAATTACAGCGACAAATGTTGGAGGACGAGATTGAGCCTAGTGGACAGTATACTTTGGCACCATTCCAAATCCTCCCCGACAAAGGACCAAGTCCGAAGGGCATCTTTGGCATGACAGAGCCAGAGAACTTCCTCAGTATTGTCTCCGTGCTTAACCGACCTTTCTCTCGCGGAAGCGTGCATCTCACTTCTCCAGACGCGAAAGAGAACCCCGAATTCGACCCTGGCTTTTTCTCACACCCTCTGGATCTGGAGCTTCACGCGCGCCATGTTCGTTGGCTGGAAACGCTCGCTTGGACCGAGCCTTTGGCTGCACTATTAAAACCTGACGGTCGGCGCTTGCAGGAATCATCTCGCGATATGACTCTTGAGACCGCCCGCGAACTGAGTCGTGATAGAATTATCTGTCATTACCATGTAGCGGGTTCGACTGCCATGATGCCTCGTGAATTGGGTGGTGTTGTGAACTCCAAGCTGAAGGTTTACGGCACCAAGAATCTACGGGTGGTTGACGCTGGTATCTTTCCTTTGATCCCTCGTGGAAATATTCAGGCTACGGTTTTCGCAGTTGCAGAGAAGGCAGCCGCAATTATTGCTGCTGATGCGAAGCTTTGAATTACGGACCTTCCAGCAACATTTAAGTCAACAAATACATAGAAGTTCTGAGAAATATAAATTTCCCATTCTGAGGGTCATCATTCAAACAGTTTTCGACCTGACTAGCTGCAGTTCTTTCCAGTTCTGATCGGTTTACGGAAACCTGATCTTCCAGATGTCTTCCAAAACAACCAAACCACAATTCTTAAAATGCCTTTGGTTGAATACTGTGACTTCAATGGTACTCTCTCAGGAAATGCCCGTCACATGTGATTGATGCAAGGGATAAATTTGTGGTATATTTGTCTACATACTATTCGTCTCTATTCTATTTCCTAATACTATCACATGTACACATGTATGATTGCACTACCTGATTGGGATATCAATCCTCAGCTCGATGGTATGTCTAAACTGAGGCAATCATCAGATTCTTTGATTGACCTGGAAGGAGCTGACCAAAGCATCCTTATGAGAGAGGATTCTCGGCTTCGGTGAACTCGGATGCGCCATGTGGGTCCGTATGGAGTGCGAAGAGGTGTTTACATGCCGCTAGAGGATATTGGGGCCCAAAGCACAAGGAAACATTATGAAAGGACTAAATAGTTGGCCCCGGGGCCGGAAAGGGCTTGTTGAGGAGCCAATCATCACTTATAGCAACCAAGATTGATATCTATTTTGACCAGGCACTCCAATTACGTGTCTCCCGATGATCACTCTTAAATTCTTTGATAAACAAGAACCTCCAGGCTACCGCATTCAGAATTACAAAAACGCAACTCTCTACACCTGGAGAGTATACATTGTTTCCTCGCAAAGGTATCACTTGACGTACGTATTTGGCGCTTGGGTCCAGAAACGCCAGGGAATTACTTCGGACTTTTTTCAGATTCTGCTTTCTTCTCTTTGCCGTCTTTCACATCGGGTTGGGTTCGATGGCACGCATATATGCAGACGACAATGCTGTCCCTAATGACTCACTCGGCAGCCGGGGTTCACCATTTGGATCATCATTGTTGCTTTTCGGAGTCTTCTAGAGGCGCTTTTCTACTGTCTCTTCTACATTCCAAGCTCATTTTGTCAAAGTTCAGACTGGACATATTGCCAGGCGTGCCTCACGCGGGTCTTTGAGCGAGTGTTTCATACAATCTTAGAGTTGGGCTTTACGCAGTCGCTAAGCCTCGAGGCTGGCGATCTGGGTGATAGATGGAAGACAATTCAGCCAGCGCCGGCCTCGGCGTACCGTGACGACTTCTGGAGTGATGATATCCACCCCGAGATAGTCGGTGGCACCTGGTATCCGGAGCTTCCATCGAAACAATGGCTGCTGGAACAACAGAACCTGGTTGTCATGTCCTTCCATTCCGTATCGCTTCTCTGGCTGAACGGCCGACCAGAAGACTCAGGTCCCACGGCAACCCTGCTCAACAATACGCTGGGCAACAACACTCACTCTTTCTGGCTGCAATGCCGTCTTGCTGGTGGTGATAACCCCACTTCATGGCCCGGCGCCATGCAGGATGCTGTGACAGCTTATATCTACCTCATCAAAGAACTTGGCATTTCTCCGGCGCGGATTGTGCTGGCTGGCGACTCCACAGGATCAACCATCGCTATGGTCCTTTTGCGCTATCTGACTTCCATTGACCAAGACTCAGATCATGATCTTGCGGGCCTGCCACCGCCAAAAGCGTGTCTACTTTTCTCGCCCTCAGTTGACTACTGCTTTGAAGGGGACCCGGAAGCCGTAGCTTCCAACAGGAACATAAAGACGGACTACGTCAAATCGCGTATGATGGCCTGGGGCGCCATGGCAATTGCGCCGCCCGACGTGGTGCGTTTGGATAGTAAGTATATTTCGCCGGCGTTATATCCGTTCGCGACTCCTACTCCAATCTTCGTGCAGGCCGGGGGTGCCGAGGTTCTGTGTGACAGCTGTCGCGGGTTCGCCGAAAGATTTTGTAATGTACCAGGAAATCAAATTGAGTATTATGAAGTCCCCGGTGTGCCGCATGATGTTTATGTTTTGGGAACTATTCTGGGATGGGCGAAAAAACAACATGACGTCCATGACGCGGCGGCAAGATTCGTGCATGAACATTAATTTTGGGGATATCGCAACAATGCACGCATTATACTTGAATAATCATGCATTGGGAGAATCTTATCACATGGGAGTGGGAGTATTTTAGTATATGGCCTATCTTATGATGGGAGACGAAGTCCGCTCGACGTTTCAAAACAGGTCAGATATCAATCTCCCAGAAATGAGAAAAATGAGAGTTTTCGGCGCTTGTATCAATGAAACCCTCCAGATCTACCCAGCTGCGCCGGGTGCATTGTCTTGTGTGGTACCACAAGGCGGTGCCACAGTCTCTGGGCATTGGGTTCCTGGTGGGACTCGAGTATATACATCTCCGCTGGCCATGTTTCGTTCCTCTGCGAGCTTTCATGATCCTGACTCATTTCTCCCTGAGCAGTGGTATACGGAGACGGAAGAGAAAGTTGCTACAGATGATAGGGATGCATTAAAACCATTCTCTGTCGGCACTAAAGACTGTGTCGGCGAATAGTAAGTTTACTTGTCATATCTTCTTGTTAATTCGACGCTGAAAAATTATCATAGCATGGTGAATTATCTAATACGCTTTTGTACTCGCGAGGTGATGTTGCATTTCGATTTCGAGCCTTGTGGAGAGAGCGAGGAATGGGTTTCCAATCGAAAGATATGGACTTTCTGGGACAAACCGCCACTAATGGTCAAATTGACCCCAGTCAAGCCCCATGTGTGATTCAAGAAAGAAAGACAGTATGGGATAGAGATTGTAGGAAGTCAGACGAATCGTTTATTCTCCTCTTTCCCCTCAGCCTGATGGAAATTGAGAACATATGCAAGTGTCTGCTGAAGATTTTGGTCCTTGCCGCTATGTACTCCATGATTCTTGTTAGCTTTCTACAGATTTCTTCAAGACTTCCCACCAAATAGCGCATTTGAACATTCGAATCAATCACATGTAATCACTGATTACACAATTTATCTGCCGTTCGGCTAAAACATTGAAGCTTGCCCAGGTGGAATTGTAAAGTCTGTATTGAAGGACACCTGGGCATCAATCCATGGAATATTACCACATGTGCACTATTCAAGTTCTAGAATTATATCTACACTATACTATTAGCGGCATATCCAACTTGAAAGATTCCAGACCTCCGTGCATATATGATATCATAACATCGAAAGTTGATGTGATATAATCAATTTCACCGTCAGTAGCATGGAACTACTCCATACATGCAATCCAAATCCTTTCTACCACAATGCGAGAGGTACATCTAGATGTGAAAAACATTTGAGTACTCATGTGCAAATGCATATGTGTTTTGTGAAGCGACTTGCAGTCGCCATTGCCACATGTAGTTCCCCTCAAGACCTTTACCGAGTGACCAAGGCTGCTCCGTGGGCCTTTATTAGTCGATACAAGTCGAGGGAAGCTTCAAATGTTTTGAAACTAGACGATGAATTGACGAATCCTTTTCTGATCCTTTCACGCCAGCAGTATTACCGCGCCCCGTACAGCCACTACTGGATGCAAAGAATGAGACAAGAAAGAACTCTACCTATTACCCGTCAGGTATCTGCCAATGTACTAAAAGGACCTCCAGGGCTCGGGAGAACCTTAAATATTCCCCTTGCTGAAGGGCGCACATGTGCGGGATGCTGATTGATGAAAGATTAGGTCCCAGGCATCAATGAACGAAGGATGTCAAGGAGCGACGAAATTCCGTATATGCTTTTGCTTTTTGACTTCTACAATGTCGCTGTGAAGGGTTTGACACCGAAAAATAGTGCTGTAGATGCAGGGGAAGATGTGGAGCTTTACAAACATTGAAATCACTTAGACCTGGGTGAGCAAAAAAGAACATGCACACAAAGATGATGACCAAGTTGACAAGAATACAAACACAAGCCCTAGAAATCAGATAGCAATATTTGCGCGGATCTATCATGCAGACTCATTCTCACTTCAACTTGTTTTCGTGAAAAAACACCCGATCGGCGACTTGCCCGAGGGAAATTCCTTGGCGCATCGGCTAAAGTCTCCTTATTTCTTCAAATGTTGCTTCACACTCGTCACGTCCCTGCAGCTCGCCTTGTCAGAAAATCGAGTGGATATCCATAAGTGCTGAGTAAACATGTACGAACCGCCATGCATCACTGTGCTGGGGTTCTCTGAGACCATGGAATACGGTCTAATTTAATTCGGGATTAAATTTGATCCCGAAAGAAGTTGTAGTGGAATTCAATAGACGCCTATCGCCTACCTTGGTGAAAATAACGGCTGTAACAACTCCGGGGCCCTGGTTCCTTCTAGGGAGGTAGAAACAGGATGAGAAAGTGGGTGGCTTTATCCTCCAGAGGGCTCTATTGCCTTTCCCGTTTGCGGGACACGTTGCCAAGGAGCGGGACCTCATGCTTGCTGTGCCCGACGTGCTTACTCTGCATTGGTCAAATGGCGATGCTTTTTGGCGTTTTTTAGTTCATCTCTTGCATTTTTTTATCACAGGCCCATTGGTGGTATTACCAAGTGTGGACATTTATTTTGTAAGACCAGTCAACACACTCTGATTAAAGCCTCGTTCAAGGCAACTACCATATTCTGCTTACAATACTTTCCGGGAATTTGCGGGAATATCTCACTCCTATGCACTAAGATAAAGATATATAAGTACCGCTCGCAATTCAACTCCCTTTCACTATCCAAATTAAAACCAACGACAGGAATATTGTCGATTACCTACTTACAAGGCGCATTATGCGTCCCCTCTCCACACAACGTCTTTCTTTTGGTCTTCTGCTCACCCTGGTGAGTGTTTTCAGTGTCATGGCCGAGGAAAATTTTAACCTTCGGTCGTTCCAAATTGATCTCTCCGCCAAAGTGCCTCGGATGATCCAGCGAATTCGCGAGACACAGCTACCAAATAATCCAATATACTTTGATAGTGGGACAGCTGCGGGTATGGCCTTGAGTGATCTCAAGTCCTTTCAAAAGGAATGGCTCACAAAATTTGACTGGAATGAAGAGGAAAAGACCATAAACAAGTAGGTGACACCGCGTTTGGGTGGTTAGTATGAGTGGTGTTAAATCAGTTTTCGTAATAGGTTCAGCCAATATACTGCGGAAATAGAAAACTTGACCATTCATTTTATTCATCAGAAATCGGGCGCCGCTGACGCTATTCCTTTGCTGCTCCTTCATGGGTGGCCTGGCTCTTTCCTTGAATTCATACCTCTGATCCACAACCTCACCGAGACAGGGCAAACAAAGTCAGGCAAATCGGTCTCTTTCGATGTCATTGTGCCCTCTCTGCCAGGGTTTGCTTTTTCATCTACCCCTTCGACAGAATGGACGATCCAAGACACATCTCGTGTGTTTGATACCCTAATGACTGAGGTCTTGCAATATGAACGATATGCCATCTTTGGCACTGACTGGGGTAGTGGTGTCGGATACACCATGTACAATCAGTTTAATAGGACAGTCATCGCGGCCCATTTAGCATTCCTTCCCTTCTACCCATTGTCACTGTCTGAACTGAACGCTGAGAACATCACTCTTACGATACTAGAAGATTTCGAAGAGTCAGTGACTACGACCTGGAGTAATTCGGGAATTGGGTATTTCTCAGAGCAAACCACAAAGGTATCACAAGTGCCCCTCACTCGAAGGAACAATCGCAAAATCTCGTTTGGCTGATGAATTATTGCTTCTGGTAGCCCAACACAATTGGCCTGGCTCTCTATGATAACCCCATTGGACAGCTCGCCTGGATAGGCGAGAAATTCATGAACTGTAAGCTTGAATGTGAACATAGTTGCGATTCTTGCTAATTAGCTGATAAGGGTCCGATCCGAATGCGGGGCATGCCCCGTCAGTCCTAAATAGAAACGAGATTCTACGCAGCGTTTCACTCTATTATCTTACACAGACTTTTGCATCGTCGGTGTTGATTTACGCCCAGAATCCAAATGGATTTAGCAGTGTATATACGAAGGCATTGACCGATGCTCCGTTGCTATTCAGCGCTTTCAAGTACAACCCAGGGTTTTGGCCGGAGGCTTTGGTGGCTCGGGTTGGAAATCTTGTTTATTACCAGAGTAAGCCTTGGTAATTCATTCTAGAGATTTAGTATTAGGGCTGGGTGGCTAACTTGAGATGAAATAGATCATGATTTCGGCGGCCACTTCCCCGGTCTTGACAACCCACCTGCTTTGCTGGCGGACTTGCGCGAGATTGCAAGCTATTGGGAGACAAAAATTTGAAAAAGCCTTGTCAACTTTGAAACACTTCCTCATCAATTGGCAAAGCCAAAGCCATATATGATGTGGTTGGAGTCCGAATATGATGGAAATCCACATATGTTTTTCATATAGTGAAAACACGCATTCATCAGTTCTTGCCGAAGAGTTTCCACAATACTTATAATAGTCGCAGCACCATAGCTAAATCATTAAGATAGTTAAACCATTTAGGGATACACCCTATCTTTACTTATCTCCTTATTTCAAAAAGAAATCTTCGTCCTCAGTTCTCTATAAATAAACTGTAAGCTATTAATTCTCTTTTACTTAAAATACATAGACATACAGACCTTATTGATTCAATGTTGTGGTTATAATAGATAATAGAAGTTCGATATTTCCTTCCCTCTTCAGACCGCTACTGCATTGCCTGAAAACCCCAAGCATCGTTTTGACGGTCGGTCTTTGCTCAATCCGACCATCAGTTCCCATCCCGATCCACTCCATGCAGACACAGTATGTTTGGATATCTGGGGAGTTAACAGCCTGTGGATACAAGTTAAGAGATATAGTAACATTAGCCTGAATGACGACTGGCTTCCCTACCAGGGAAGGTGCTGCTCACATATCGAAAAGAAGCAATTTTTCTCTGTAACCTGACTCAGTCCGTAGCAGAACCGACCGGTACATTTCACTGTTGCTGTGCTCTTTAAAGTCTCCAACATGGTTCAGATATTTCAACGTTGGGTCATGCCTAGCATGTATCCTGCCTTGGTGATCAAGAAACCTTGGAGAGATGGTGAAAGCAGGAAAATAGAGGAGGAAAAGAACAAGGACTACTTTCGCCTTACACAAAACGTGATAATGTACCTTTTGACGTATAGGCTGAATATTCAGGTGAAGAATATTCAGGTGGGTAAACATCCGCCCGGGTTGTCCTGAAGAGGGCTGAATAGAGCGGCGAGCCGCCCACGCCTGAATCGTGGGCGCTAGGTGACCACAACCCTAGAGGTGACTGTTGTATGTTTTTGTTTGTTTTTGCACCTTTTTGTTTTCTTGTCTTGATTCATCTCTTAACTACCCTTCTCCCGAAACTTAACAAGGACACAATTTGCTAAAGCCCCGCTCAAAATGACTCCATCATCAGTTTCACTAATTTGTCGTCTTTCCACTCCCGAGCGACTAGGAAAAGAACATATCGCTGAATAGAATCAACAACGCTGCGGTCATATCTATGGTGGAGAAGAATCTCAACTATAGGTTGATTCCCTTCCATTGCTGCAATTGCTAGTGGGTACCATCCTTAGTCATTCAAATTTCGGGTCAATTCCTTTTGTGAGAAGAATTTCCGCAATTTCCAGATATCCCTGGCTGGAGGCAATCATGAGACATCACTTAACCATCCTCACGTTCGCAAAGCGATATTTTGGGAGCAACAGCTTGGAGATGGCTTCTCATTGATATGACACCCGTACTAGTACACGTCTGTTTAGATCCAACATTTGAAATTAATACTACGTGAAATTGAGTTTCTCGGTTCATGGATCGACTTGAAGTATTTATTGTAGTCGCAGATTGAATAAAATGAGGTTCTATGTGATGATGGATCTTAAGCGAGTTTGAAACCTGCGTTCGGATTTTTATTGTATACGAATCCCCAAGCCGAAGCTCCGGTTGGAGTTGACTATCGATTGTGAAGGTTCAGAGCATGTATTTCAAACAGACCAGACCTATAACCAAATGTATCAGATACAGAGCCTGCCAGAGGCCAGGGCCAATCACGACATCACATTCAATAGCATACCCAATTTCATCCAAGGTCCACTGTTCATCTGGGCGATACACATGTGCACTCGGGGGGATGGTTTCATCAACACCACGGATATCTGTCAAATTGATAGCTCCCGAGTTGAATGCAGCTATCAGAGCATCAATCTCTTGGTCCCACGAGGGGAACTTCCCTCTTTCATACCCACGAATGCAAAGGAATTCCAAATTATCAGGCAGGCCATCGACAAGCTTCACATTTTTCCTTTCTCTTGACAGTTGGATGTCACGTTTGATCAAATAGAATAAGAGGTCACTCCCAACGCTTAGCTTTTTCAAAGAAACGAACTCCTTGAGTGTGCCACGGTTTTCCCAGAATGATCCAAGAAGTCATGATAAGAGTCATTTTCATCGCCATCCTCAAATAGATCTTCATTGTCTCTATCGTTTTGGGGCAAAGGGTGCTTGGGGTTATCTTTTTGCCTCCACCATGAGCCTTCTATCTCAGCATCAATATCGAGTGTTTCCAGGCTGGCTTTGTGCGTAAATAAGGCCTTCACCAGCGTCTTTTTATTAAAGTATTTAACATCGAGCTCTTCGCGACCTCCCACGGAGTATTGGAACCTCTTCAATACTTTGCATGCTAGTATTGCGCGGGCAATATAATGCGTGCTGACATTTGAATGCGTGATGCAAAGCTCTGTTAGATCTGACTGCCGTTGTTCGATCTCCGGCTCGTCTTGTTGGTCGTCTGTCAAAGTATCAATGCCAACTGAGACAATTGATGGAAGCTTGTCGAACAAGTCAAAGCAGTTAAGGAACTCGATATGCGTATAAAAGCCTGGCTCGTCAAGTTCGCCGGCCTGATCAACTATCATATAAACCCTACGCAGACTCTGCAAGTATGGCAGAATATCAGAATTTTTGTTGGCTTGGGATAAGAATGCCTTTAGAGGAAAGTTTTCCTCTTGGCTAGACCAGCTTGCAAATGGCTGCGTCATTCCCATCAACACCAGATTTGGGGCCATGGAAATCAAAATCACTGCCAACGCCTGCGCAATATGTGGCCCTGTGAAGGGGGTGTTCATTCTAGGTATCCAGTTAGCTTCACTTTTTTCTTATATTCATTTGACTCAACCAAGTCGGGTGACCTCTTACCCATTATAATATATCCATTTTCCAGTCTCGCAGCCTGTTGTCTTCTGGATCGCCATACTCAACACTTCTTCCCATTCGGTTTCCAAAAATCCAGCCCTTTTGATCGCTTTGATAAGCAAATGCATTTCAGATTCAGGCAACTTGCGAGAATTCTTCCCATTTATCTCACTGCCCCAAACAAAGGCATGTCTCGGTCTTCCGTAGTACCTGATTTCGCGCACATATCGCCCGAGGTGAGGCTGTTTCAGAATTTCCATCACTAAATCAAATGCTTGCTCAATCCCTCTGTTGTTGGGCCACACGCGAATCAGATGAAACTTTTTCCGTACGGGCATATTACACAGGCCGTGCATTTGGCGACACGAGCGAGAAAGGGAGGATACATCTTGCAAAGATTCAAGATATGATAGCGTTTCCACAACGATTTCGGGGGGTAGAGAAAGGATCCCCATTTGGGATTTGAGGAAACAGTGAAAGATAGTATTTTGCTGCAGATTCAGGGTCCACGTCTGGATCTTAAGTACCCACCTGCCACTAATTTCGGTCCCGCGTCCATTCCGGTTTTTCTAGGCAACACTAGGCATCAATGCCAAGACCTGCTAGCATCACAGAACCGATATGTCCACCTGGGCAATATTCAAGTCCAAAGGCGGATCTTTGAGGTATCCTTAGGTGTATCCATGCTTGATTCAGGCTGAGGATTGAAATATTCTAATATTGCTTGGCCTTGGAGGAGTGCTAATAATAGTTGTTATTTATACTAGTAGTATATATCCTTCTTCATCATGACTCGGATGAAGAGCTTGAGGGGCACACTCAGAGCTGTAGATGTATACCATGACGGCCCGGGGTAAATTCAGCTGCAATAAACCGCACAACACCATTCAAGTTTGAACCACCTGGACACCTATCGTGACTATCGTGAAAGACACCAGGATGACTTGCAGGAGCACATTCAGAGATATGTGACTGTGTATTCCAAAATAACTAGAACCAGCAATCTTGTACGCACAGCAACGAAATGACATAAGAAGGACAGAACTTGTCTTGCCAGGTACAGAAATTATGGGGACACTATGTAGAGTGTGTGTCAAGGGTTGCAAGGGCCTGAGGCTACACACGAACAGTATTAAGACTGATCGACTGGAATAACTTATGTGCGGCTTGAAAGCTTCAGCTTGATGCCACTTTGTCGCACAAAAAAGCTATTGTGAGTTTACCATTCCCTAGTCGGATCGACAAAGCTTATACCATAGCGAGAAATAATGGTAGCAAGAACCTTATACACCTCAACTAGACCTAAGTGCTTGCCGAGGCAGATACGACTGCCGCCTCCAAATGCCAGGTCCCTATTATTCATAAGGTGAAGACGTTGTTGAAATTCCTCTTCGGTCTCCAGTTCTTCGTCGCGAAGCCATCGCCCAGGGCGGAATGTGTCAGCATCCTCCCCAAAGACCGACTTATTTCGCCCAAGAACGTAAGGATTCATTCCAACCACGCAGCCTGCTGGGACATGACGTTCATCTGGGAGATTAAGACCTCCTTCGGGTACGTTTCGTTCAAGAAGCATGGAAACGCCGGGATGGTACCTTAACGCTTCACGGACAACTGCATTCAAGTATGGAAAATTTCTGGAATTCTTGTAGGACGTTGCCGAAATTGACGACTTCGAGTCTTGGGAAGGGATTTCTGATTTAAGGCGCTGCCAGATAATTGGTTGTTTTAAAGAGTAGTATAGCGCTGTATTAAGGGTGATAGCCGTCGTGTCAGCTCTAGCAATCATAATTACCATCTCAACCAAGAAACAATCAGTGTGTCATCAAAAATGTCTGGGGAGTCTTGTTTCGCCTGTATAAATTTGTCTAGGAAATCTGGTTTGCCCGAGTCATGGTATCCCGCATCATTACCCTGGAGACGGTCCACTAGATGTTGGATCGAGATATTGGTGATGGTACCGAAAGAGGGTGGTCCAAGCCTATAAACTGGGTTTTTGTCAAGTAGATGATCGAGTATTGGCATCTGTCCGACCAAGGTAAAATAATCCATAGCGATATCAGCCGTCTTGAGAGTGGTGTCAAAGTCGTAGCCTTTTTCTAGGTATCCGATCGGCTGACTAAATGTAGCTTGGCCAAGGACGTCCCAAGCACCTTCAATGTTGGCACAGTTAGCTTCAATAAACGATTGCTTCATTGTAGAATTGGGTTTTTAGAGAGTCGACTTACAGTAAGAAATCCATTCTCCGAGGTCGCATATTTGGGAAGAATTAGATCCGTCGACGAATTTCTCGTCTAAACGCTGGCAAAAATACTGAATCGTGCTGTCCATGTGAGGTTCAAGCGTGAGAATGCCATTCAGAGAAAAGTACTTAGAGGCGGGTCTTTTGCGTGCTGAATGGACTTCCGGCTTGCATTCACTGAATAGATTATAAATAATTTTTCCGTTATTCACGGCACTGCTACCATGGTAAAACTCTGTCTAAAAAATAGATCATGATATTAGCTTGGTATATAACATTTGAATGGATACTCGGATTTCAGATAATCCATCTGTGAAAGTAAGCACTTGAAATATACTTACCTTGATGTAATTCTCTTTGGTGTTGTAAACAGTCTTGATCAACTCAGGAATATCTAGATCCAAGACGTTGGGCGCTATCCGCACCACGGGACCGTACGTTTCGCGCAGCTCTTGGATCACCACATGATATTTTCCTTGCCGAACATGAAACATTCGCCACAGATTGGTCCATCTTAGAGAAAAAACATGTAACACATTTATCCAGCTGGGTACAACTGTAAGAGCTAACTTACCGGCAAGGAATGGGCCAGGAAACTGGCACAGGGGCGAAATGAGGTACGATGTAAAATACCACAGGGGAAGAATCATCGCAGAGACATACAAAACGCCTGTAATATGTCCTATAACGGCGCTGAGCTCTAGCATTATGGTAAGGTTTCAAGGTCGTCGTCGAGAATTATTCAATCAATAGAGAGTTAAGACGAGATTAGGAGTAAATTGGGAGTGGTTGCAAGTTGAGAGTCCCAATGGCTACCTAAGAAAATACCAACATTGAATTATTCCAACATTTGGAAATCATCTATAACCGGTTCGAGCGGGGCTGGAACATGGCATAACCGGGAGGGGAATTTCAAGTTTCCTGGCGCGTACGGCGCTGTCGATCTATGCCAACTTTCACCTTGGGTGCATCTCAAGTTACACAAGGTATCGAAGCTCGAGACGTGCACAGATGTGCACATTTGGCTGTATTCTAAGGTTCTCGTTGACTCAGGCTCGGGTGAGTGCTCCAGCTGAGTAAAGCTCTGTTTCACCTCACCTACCTCAGTACTTTGTTTCAAATGAGAACTCGGGATGGATTAAGGAGGCAGTCTAGTATTATATACTGATAGCCCAACAGCCTAGCTGCATTCAAGTTTCAAGTTCATGGTATTCCAAGGAATGTGGGTACATTTGAGATCGCCACTCCTTGATCTTTGTCCAGTCACAAATCCTTGGTGACTTGAAACCCTGGTGCTTGTTGACCACCTAGGTAGAAGATATATTGAAAGCAATATGTACTTATGTACACCTTGATTGATAAGAGGACCATGGACATACTATGAATTGCATAGCAACTTGAACATGAGCAACAATTTCCCAATGAACTTCGCGAAAAGGAAGCTGGAAATATATTATACGATATGGAAGTCTTCCATTTGACTTGCTAAATCACTCTTTGCCGCATTCTCCTTCTTGGTGGAGACTGGTGTCCTGGCGGGTGACGGAGATGCAGGGGACGATTTGTGACGACGGGAAGAGGGGACTGCAATTTTTCTTTTGCTCGCTTCCTCTGCGGTTGCTGTTCGAACAGGTTCCGGAGGGTCTCCATGTCGAGAGAATATGTTTTCGTGGTTTTCTCTCGGTCGCGAATTTCTTACATAGTAGCGTTCGGCAAAGTCGAATTCTCCCTCTGCAGTATTTGGGTTTTCCCTCCGTTCAAGCAAAGCACTGCAAAAACTTTTAAGAAACGGATATGGCAGTGGCTCTTGACGGCTTAGCAAGTGAGCCTGGGTTGCATTCCGAACCCAATTATCGACGAAAAATAAACGCAGAGGGGATTGAGGCTGGGTATGGGTGTAGACATAATCAACCTTGTTAACACCCAAAACTCGACCCGGCCGTTTATCAATCTCAATTCTGAGAAGCTCTATCGCATGATTTTGCAGCTTGAAAACCTCGAATTTTTCGGCAAGTATCCATAGCCTTAGTAGGAAGAAGACATCAGAACGAGAAGGTATGTCGATAGAATCGTCACCGTGGTACATCCAAGCTAAGAGCTCGGCGAAGACATCTGGATCCTCGTCTGGAAAGCAAATGGGATCAGATGGGATGGGTTCCAGAGTGCGATTGCCGTATAGTAAGTCAAAGTAGGGGGAACAACTGCACAGCAACTCCACGTGAATATCGAATGGAGTCCCACTGGGTCCCACATTGATCTGTACCATTCCAGCACTAAGAGCACTGAGATCATGAATTAGTACAAAGCAGGTAAAAGCTTTCGAATGCTGACATACAACTTTCCAAGAACCTTGGCCATTTTTAGAGGCGTCTTCAAGTTCTTGGGGACTTTTGGAAATTTCTGGAGGGGCCTGAAGTGATGCAGAGAAAAAGGATGTAGATCCCAGGTATAATATTCCAGATTGTAGAGGACTCGGAGCCAACCTTAGAACATTTGAATATTCCAGTCAGAATGACGCGAGTCGCGACATGTTTGATGCGGGGGCGGCTCAGTAGGGTTAAAGATTCCAAGGTTAGTCCAGTTTAGTCTCCCCGACAAAATTCAGAATTCTAATTGGATATTTCAATTCACCGCTCTATCACTACATAGTTTAGAGGTCGAAGAGGGTCCAGGCCTAAAGCAGCTCTCTGCCACTCCACTACGGAACCCGCCGCTCTGCTCAAGCAGGAAAAACCAGCTACATTTATAACACTCCTCGACTTGACAAAAATATACTACAAATGTTTCAAGTAGGTCCATGCCAGTGGTATTTTTGTGAAAACTTGCCACTCGCGCTCAGGCTGTTTCTAACGTCGGTGTGTTCAAATGTTCTAGTGCTCGTTTCAGAACATGTGAGACTCGGAATTTCTTCAATGGCACAATTGATATATATGCATGCATATGACTCAAAAAAGTCATGTCTATTCGCAGCCCTGGACTCAATGGCGGTTTCTGAAAAGATCGAAACGCAAAAAGCTCATTAGGCTCTCATTTCGATCGCTTATGGCTAGATCTCTTCTTTCCATCCTTTGTCTTCGAAGTAGACTTTCCTTTGCTCTTCTTCTTTCTATCCTCCTCTGATGAAGCCGAACTCGACTGAGAATCAGAGTCCTCCTCGCTTTCAGCGCGTGGCTCACTATACTCATCCTTATCCGATGATGTACTCGAATCCGAATCACTGTCGGAAGACTCGGCTTCCCTTAACACTCCTCTCTCAGACCCTCGGCCTTTAGAAGAACGACTCGATTGCCCAAATGCATAGGCTGAGCGACCTGGATCCTGTTTGGCTACCATGGGCATAACCACCGGTTGATTCTGGAAGTTATCGACGCGCCAACGATGCTCTTCGGCAAGCTGTGAATCATTCTTTCCCTGGCTGAGCGAGAGGAGGTATTTGTCGAATTCCTCGGCGGCGGCAGCGACTCGGATGAACTGTTCTTTACCGAGGATCAGATCATTTGGTCGTTTGTTCTTCTTAGCGTCGAAAGCAGCAAGAGCAACGGCTGTTTGGAATGCGTTGCGAATTTGCCTACAAATGGAGGGTTTGGTAAGCATGACTACTTTGATAGAGTGTATGTATCAAGGTTAGGTAGCAGGTTGTACAGTACCTTCCATTCCAGTTGAGTAAGTTCTTGCTCTTGATGTCTTTGAAGTGCTCTTTTGCGAACTTGATGATTTCTTTGTCCCGGATCTCGGAGTCTGGATATTGTGACTCAAATTCTTTCCTGATCCGTCCAATGTTGTTCTTCCAAATCTGGATGGATGTTTTCTTGTCCAGCTTTGGATAATACAAACTGACATGAATTCGGGACTTGAATGCCCGGTCAATTTGGCCGACGCGATTTGTGGTCAGGAAAAGGATACCCTATCCGGGTTAGAAGATATCCATAAATAATGTTTGGTGTATTCTACTCACACTGTAGTACTCCAAGGTTCGAAGAAAGACTGTTGTGAAGAGGTTTGTAATTAGTATTGCTGTAATAATTCCGAAATGAAGAGACTGGACCCACCTGAAACAATAGCATTGCGAGCGAGATCGGTATCATTGCGTCGCTTGAGGAAAACACTTTTGCGGAATTAGCCATGTCTAGATGGAAGAACTTGAATTTGGGGGGATGCGACATACTCAGCTTCGTCAAGTAGAAGAACGCATCCCCATTTGTGAGCAAGCTGGAAGTTTCTCTCCAAGTTCTTCTCCACGAACTCAGCGTTGTCTCCTATGTCACCACATGTGACTGGGAAAAGAGGCCGTTTGGTATGATCGGCAACACATTCAGCTGTACTAGTCTTGCCAACTCCTGGTTCGCCGTGTAGCAGAATAATCAGGCCCTTGCCTTTACCCTGGATAAGGTCGACAGAGGGCAGAGATCGTCCCCGCCCATCATTCTTGTTCGGGACACTCTCATGATTTTCAACCATGGCCAAGACGGTTTCTTTGATACTCTCGTTGATGACCAAATTCTGCCACCCATCGGTATATTGAACGTCACTAATGCTCTCGATATCAAATGTCGCCCATTTTCGAGAACGAAGAACAAATCCATAGACCTTGAAGGGAAGTAGGGCCTTCTGATCTTGATTCAAGTCTTCCGCAAATCCAGTTGAGTCAATTAATCTCCCATGCATGTTTTTGAATTCCTGTTCTTCTTTTTCATCAATACCAGAGTCCGCAACGATATAGTCGTTTCCACAGCATCCTTCTGAGGTGCATCGATCACAGCGGAAATGACCCAAATTTGTCTCTCGGAGATCATGATCGGCTAGGCTATCCAGTCCAATCTGCGGTTTGTTGTCGGACATCTCTAGAAACGCCAGCTGAAAATCGATGATTACCTGAGATTCGACTTGTTCTGGATGTTTATCCAAGGTCAATCCACGATATTGTTTGTGTGCTGTCTTTTGTGGGTTCGACAAAACCGCAAAGTTTTCACCTCGAGCGACCATCGCTTCGCGAATGCCTTCTGGGTTCGGATCGCATTGCAGTGGATATACGGGGAGAGCTGTCAATTCTCGCTCTCCCTCATACTTCCGGATCTGGAATGTACGGTTGACGGGGCCATATTGAACTCCGTCGAAATCGATGTAGAAGCACTCCACTATGAAACTTCCCGGGGAGTATCCTTGTTCCTTCAATTTGAACCCAGCAGAGTTGGCTGGAGGGTCGCCAGAGAAGGTGTAAATCGGTCTGCCTCCCGTTACGCGAATCACCCGGTATCTAATATTTGCGTTAGTAATTTTTATTTGATTACAATTTGGTTGGAGAGCTCACAGTTGGATCCGTTTTGAAGTGGGAGTGCGCACAGTGGTGCCTGGTCGGAAAAGATGCCAAAGATCACAGAATGCTATTTTCCTAGCCGTACCATTCTCAACATCCTCCCTTAACTTCAACACACGGCCCATATGATTTGCCATGAATTCATTGAGTAACCGTAAATGTTCAAGAGCCTTTGGACTCTCCGTTTCTTTCAATGGACCAATTTCTGTTGAAGGCTCTTCACTCTCAGCCGTGCTGTTACCATGAATCTCTTCAAGTTTCTTTTGATATTCCACCAACTCCTTCGAATACAGAGTCAACAGCTTGAAGGGCCTCATGAAGCTGACTTTATGTTCGTGCGGGCCGCGGTGCGGGAGTTGGTCTGTGACTTCATTCAAGACCTTCAAAAGAATCGGGGAACGAAGTCGAATCTGATATATAGGAACGTTGCCCTCTTTGCCATCAGTATTCACTTTGTTCCCAGCGGGGAGCTGCTTTGTCATTACTGCCAGTGATCGCACTGCTCTGAGTGATAGAGGTTCCTCAATTAGAGCCTCAATGATACTCTGTGGGCTATTGTCGACTTCCGGGACGTGCTTCCACTCGCCTAGCGTCTCAGGTACTTCGTACATAAGGGAGTATTCTTGCCAGCTGAGCCATTTGGTCGTAGCCTCGCTATCGGGAACCTTGGTTTTATTGGCATTCGCATTTTCCACTTTCTGCGGTCCAAGAATTGCGGCCTCAAGTACCTCGAGACGACTGTGAAAGAGTCGTTGGAGCATCGCTTCGTGGAAAAGCCGCGCGGGAACATCTTGAATTTGCTCTTGTATACTACGTGGATCCCTGCGCCCGCTGGATTCATACCAGTAATCAATGTCCCATGTATCCACATTTAAATCGGTGATTTGAGGTACTCCTTTGTCCTTTTTATCCGATTCCGAATTTTGGGGCTCATGTTCTGCTTTCACAGGCTGATCTGGCTTTCCAGGTTCATCTTGCTGTTCAGGTTGGTCGATTTTCGGCGCATCGGAGGATAATGAGGTAGACGGGGTCCTGGTTTCAGAGGGAGACGAGTCTGCGTTGCTGTCCGCTTCTGATGTTGAGATATTTGGTTCTGAAGGCAGACTCAGATGATGAGTCGGACTCATCCTGTCGACATCCGCTGTTGCCATGATGCAAAAACTTCTGCAATCCCCCTCAAGCGTGTGAAGAATGAGAAGATTTGTATGTGATGAAATCGATCACTACCAACACAACTGCCAGTAGGTTTGCGGCTGCAATACTCTCCAAAGATGGGTTATTCTCTAAAGTAAATAGATGCGCACGCTAAAATGCAAGCAGAATGCACACGCGCATGAGCGCCGCATGGACGGCCTTTTTTACGGCGATTGCTCAGCTGAAAATATTACCCCGCCGGGAGAACCTTTGCTTATTTTGGTCAGACATCCTTCAGGTTTTTGACAAATAAAATTTTGCTCTCGGATCATCTGCCTATTTCATAGCGCCTAGTTCTGCAGCTAAGTGGAATAGGATTACGAGATGGGGTTGAGAGAATCCACTTTGGCGGGAGAGCTCTATTTTGATAAGTGTCAGTACTCTGTTAGTTCTTCTTAGCGTCCGCCCCCGGGGGCCGTCAGCACATGTACTTGTCTCTATTTGGCATAGGCCATCCTGATAGCTTCTTTGCTGAACTCCGTATCTCTTGCACCCTCGTCGCCATCAGCAAATCTTGCAATATGTGTCATTTCTCACCAGCGTGATGAGGTGAACTAAGGCTGTATGCTGCCCTGGAGCCAAGGCGCTATATTGAGTCTGACTGTCAGCAGTGGATTATTTGGAATAATCTTGACAGGGTTCTTCCTATCAATGGGGCTGAGGGCGCCCGACAATCATTGGTCTGATGTGAGCCTCCAAGGATTCAAGTGCCCACCAAGGCACACTTTTTACCCCTCATCAATACTCCACTGACACTCAGTGGTCGGAGTAGACCCGATCCTTGCGCTAGAGGGGTCATAACGGGGTCTGCATTCTTCAGAAAATCACCGACTAACCACAAGCATCATCTTTGTGCTTTCTTCGGACCACGAACGGAATGGCAAAACAAGTCGTTACTCAGTTTCCAGTTCGCCGTTCAACCAATATACCAGGGGGCTATATTGAGAACCACCAGACCACCCCCAAAGACGAGGAAAAAATTAAATTTGTTCAACGCATCAACTCCTTCCTTCACGAGACAGATGCAGATCAGTATGAGCTGGAATGTAGGCAACGAATGTGTGTGTATTCACCTTCCGCTCATCATATGCCCATCGCTCACTGTCGAGGATTCGTTTTATCAGTGAGGAGTCTTTCAAAAGTACGACCAGCAATGTTCAAGCCTTGAATGAGGCACTTGAAGCTTTCCGCTTGAAATTGTGCAAACCCGGCCAATCTCAAGTCAGCCAACCTGTGCCATCAGACCAGAAGGTACACTGGTCAGATTTGATGAAGGAGCTCCGAAATGCCCAGAATTACTACAAGACCCGTCATGGAGGTGGACCAATTGGCAAAGCTCTTTCGAAATTTGGGAGATATACCGAGTCGCTGAAGGGATGGCTAGACGTTCTTCCGTCTGGCGATTATGGGTCTACAATATGCGGTATGCATGCAACGATCACATTTGCCACACGAATGATGCTAATTGTGCAATAAATCCACAGGCGGAATCAAACTCTTATTAACGGTATCAGAACACGCGCATTTCAAATTGACTTGATTGCCCCAAAATTTCGCTAACGCTATTTAGGCCGTCGATGAAACTTACAAGCTGGATAGCTTAGTTTTTGTGGCATTGTCAGACATACCTGAAATCTTGTACGAAGCTCGATTCTACCTGGATGCGTGCAGAGCTTCGAGGTTAAGCATGAATATGCTGGAAAAGATGGCTGATCTATGCAACCACATTCTTATCGTGTTGCGGGAGATCGTTTACTACTGTCTGGAAACAAAGTCAAGTGAGTACATAAGATATTTTATTTTTCCTGGGTGAAAAGACCGCGTATCTGACCTGGTTCTTTTCAATCTTTGCACAGAACATCTCGTGTCAGCAGTCTTTAAAGGGCCGAAATCAAAAGAATCTTTACGACAATCGATTTCCGAGCTGAGGGAATGCGCCACATCTCTTTCCCGAGCGGCGGAGCTCACGAACCACCAAACCATACAAAACATCAGCGAGGATATTCAAGGGATCAAACAAAATTGTCATAATTCAGAAGGGAGCCGCACGGATATTTATGTCAATCTATACGTGCTCTACTCCGGACACCCATCTCTCGACAGCAAAGGCGAACTTCTTTCCGACGATATAGATGGTCAGTATTATCCATGAAATTCTTTTTGCAAGTTTTATCAAATCTAAACAAGGAAAAAAATCTAGAGTCTCGATTGTCTCTTGCTGGCGTTCAACTACAAAACCTCATCAGCGCAAAATCCTCCCCAGGGCTCCACCCATCCACAGCCGACCTACCAGATCTAAAAGATTTGCTCACTCTATGTGTCAATTCTCCATCAAACGATCACTTAAAAGTTCACCGACGGTCACGATCTCGGAATCAATCATATCCCGAGCCCGCGGAGCCGATAATTACTACTAAAGACCTGTTGCATCTCCTCGCCTTCGACGAAACTAAGGTTGCTAGGGACCGGGCATGAACGTTAACCCAAGCGATTTCAATATACGTGAACTGCGAAAACTTCCTTCCATTACAGGATCCAGTCAATTCCAAAACTGGACCAACAAGTCCAAGCGGAAGAACGCTTCCTTACTCGTTCAAGGTCACTTTGACTCTGAAGGTGGCACATCGGCTTTGACACACCTCTGCGCAAGAATCGCTTACGAGTCCGCTCCAAACTCAAAGGTCCTGGTTCTCACTCACTTCTGCTCGCTCAATACGGCCAGTCGCGCAGAGATCGGTCGCCGGGCTGGTGCCAGGGGTTTGATTGCTAGCTTTATCGGACAACTTCTCTCTTACGATTCACATCGAGTCCATTTTGATCTATCGCAGATCAGCGGACATAAATTATCACGAATTGAAGAGTTTTCATTGAAGAGATTGTGCTGGCTTTTTGAAATGCTCATTGCCCAGGTTAAGACGGGAACTACGATTATTTGTATCATTGACAACATCTCATCGTATGAGACAAATGAAGCTCTTGATGATATGGAGTGGTTGGTTAGTTGTCTACAAACATGGGTCATTCAAGCAAACCAGACTTCGAAGCCAAGGATGAAGCTGTTGATTACAGACACGAACCAGACCACTCGGATTTACCGTTATTTCCAAGGAGGTGATATCCTGAACCTATCTGAAAGGGGTGGTGCATCGGGAGATGATTGGGATGATGAGTCTGAGGAGGACACCTGGATAATATAATTGGGGGTGGATTACCTTTGGCAGATGTCTAATATGTCATGTTATATATTTTTTCTCTTCTTCCAAAGTTGGCTGACGCCACCATTCAAGATTTGAATCATGTCAACTGGTTAGTAGACCTCTTTTTCTACTTGGGTTACAATGATTTTTCGAGTTTCCTCACCGTCTGGCAGAATACTCAGAGACCATAACATAGGTAGTATATTTACTGATAGACTATAATTCCTTTTGTTTATTACAAATAGACATGATTATATCCCGATTTATTTAGCTATCTCTTACTTCTAGTTTGAATATCTCTCACTTGAGATATCTGGAGCGTTGCCAGTTGCCTATATCTAACTATATAACAGGCAGCCATCCCCTCTAGGTAACCCAGTAGGTAACCCCGTAGGTACTTACATACAAGGAGCCCTGGAGGTATCGGTCATTAGTCACCTATAGATGCTAGGTACTGACTCAGACTGAGTCCTGTACTTAAGTATGTGAACATACCTATCTGAGAGAATATGGTCACATCTAGCCAAGCCTTTCCGTGCTGAGGACATACCTCTCCCTTGAATTTCAATGCTCGCTGCTTCACCGGCAGTGCCGCGCGAAGCGTGGCATGAGGACTTGTATAATTTGACTCGGATGACTTTGGAAAAAGTCTGCACCCCTCACATGTGCAACTGCCAGTGCTAACCTGAAAACTTGATCATGTATTGCATGATCTATAGTAAAGGTTTGGATCCACTGAAAACCTCTTCCAGACCGTTTCAACTTTTTCCATATAAGTATAAACAAAGAAGTCCAATCGGGGATCAAAAATTGAATTGCATATCCTAACAATTTCCAGACAAAAAAATGCATCACTTTTCAGCATGTAGGTGAGTTTGAAATAAACTTGAAGTGAAATTCCCGATGTCTCCTTGACACCACAGAAATCATCAGTCGTCCAGAAGAACATCCACCCCTAAACATTTTGTCCTAGGTCGAATCCGGACCATCCCACCAGTCAAAAACCAGTATGGTCACCTGAGCATACCTGGGGTGCCAAACAGAGAATAGCAGTAATTTGTTGAGAACATTCATCCACCCTCAATTTGTTTGATCCAATATCAATATGCCTTCAAAATACGCTGAATATTCCACAAAGATGCGCCATTCGACATTTGGACCGCCCTACGAAGGGCTGTTATCCTAATTGCGACTGATGCCCCTGTATAGCAGACATGTCGAATTTCTCTGGCGATGCCGGCGTAGATTTTTCATTCTTGTCGATCTTCAACTGAGCTAATTCTTTTTCAAGCAGACTGATTCTTTGATCTCGCGCCTGAAGATCCCTCTTGTGCCCTCGCATAATGAAAATTACTGTATATCCCATGGCAAATGGCTGCAACCAGCCACCCAAAGGTCGCAGATGTCGCATCATATTGGAATGATAAAAAGTAGAGTAACTTTCAAGACACTGGCAGTGGAAGAACTCGTTAAAAGGCTGAAAGGAGATAGAAGAGATAGCTGAGGAAGATGAAGGATTGAAAATATTTTCAGAGGACTTTGAATACTTAGAACCATCAACTCCAAATTTGAAAGTAAGCCGAAGCTACATTTGTGATCTGGTGTCAGTGCCGCGATAATTAGGATCTCTCGGTCATCCAAAACCATACTGGACACGTTCCAAGAATAAACTAGTGAGTACCTAACAGTCTAGGAGTTGTTAAATTGACATCCGAAAGATGATACATGGATACCCTCTACCCAATTAGGCTTAGTGTGAGGATACGGGCTAAGCCTCTTTGGGTAAAATGTGTTTGTCTGGACCTCGTATTATGTAGAGAAAGGAATCATAAGATGGGTAACCTATTTAAAAAAAAATATTAGATCATGCTGCCTTAAGACCTCGAGAAGGATAGTGGTAAGTCTGGTGACTAGGTAGTAGCGGTCTATCTAGGAGCAGGGGAAAGATGACACTTGAACAGCAAAAATGTACTACCAATATTTCAAAGGGTCCCACAATAATGTATCTGTAAGTATTAGCGCCCATTTTCCCCATGTAATATGATGATAGAACCAGTCCTATACTTCATACTTGCGAATTAGTAGCTGAGGGGTTATGTGGGCCTAAGGCGAACCATTGGGCTTACAGGAAGATCACCCTCCTTTGGTTGGCCCCAATAAGTGGGCCTCCAGCCTTTTCTTGTCAGGATTGGGATTAAAACAACTGTCGACAACTTTAAAGGAAAGGAGGGGAATCCTTCTCCAACGCAATAAACATCACGTGGGTCACTCAGTATATAAGCAGACCATCTCTCCTTCCAAGGTTCCAGCTTCGTCTTTCCCTTCCCATATATTTAAGTTGCCTTCTTCTGTTTCAATAAAGCTTCAAGCCCCCCGCAATCAAGATGAGTATTGGAAATAAGACATGGTTCATCACTGGTTGCTCAAGTGGATTTGGAGAGGAGCTCGTCCGACAGCTACGCGCGCTGGGTGATAACGTTGTTGCAACAGGTCGCAATGCAGACATGAAGCTCGCACACCTTAAAGATACCGGTGCTACAATCATTGATCTAGATGTTACAGCACCTCAGGTTGAGCTAGATGCCAAATTCCAGCAGGCAATCGATATCTACGGTACTGTCGATGTGCTTGTCAACAATGCGGGCTACATCCAGGTTGGAGCCCTTGAGGAGCTGACGTACGTCTAACTTTACCTTGTAGCATGAATACCATATCGCTGACTATAACCAAACGGACAGACAGGAGGATATGCAGCGATCTCTAAACACCAACTTCCATGGTCCTATTAACCTTACACGATCCGCGTTGCCACACTTCCGCAGTAAGGGCGAGAATGGCGGTGGCCTCATTATCTATATGAGCTCACAGGGAGGATTTATTGGCGAGCCTGCGGGTGCGGGATACTGCGCTAGCAAGTTTGCGCTCGAAGGTATGTACCCTATCCCGTGTAAGGGTATGGACCTGAGTACTGATTTGAGCCCATTCATGCAGGCGCCGTGGAGAGTCTATCGAGGGAACTTGGGTGGTTGGCACCGGGCGTTAAGCTTCTCATCCTTCAGCCAGGTCACTTCCGCACCGAGGTCATGAGTAAACTCGATCATGTCCCATACCGGGTGGACTTCTGGAAGCCACTCAACGATTCAGCCCGTACGCGTGGCGCTGGAAACTATGGAACCGAGCTTGGAGACCCCACCAAGATGATTGCTAAAGTGATTGAGATCGCCAAAGGTACAGGCGTCGCGGAGGGTAAAGAGATTCCATTACGCATCCCTTTTGGCAGTGACTGTGTGGGTTTTATCAATGGGAAGCTGGAAACCCTCAATAAAACTATGAAGGACTGGGATGAGGTGGCACGGAGTACAGACTTCCCGGAACATAAGGGTCCAATGCCTGCTCTCCCAGAATAGAAGTCAGCTGCGAGGTTAGATCCATGTTGCAATCTGGAATATGATGATTTAACCTGATGGTTCTATTATTCCAAACAACCGTATGTATCGGCGACTCAAAGAGACTTCCGATGTCTCGATATCACTGCCCAGCGTGGTTTCTTTGAAAGCCTTCTTTCTTTGTAGGTGGCAACACTTGGAAAAGGGTCAACTACAGATATCTGATGTTTCAATATCATGATCCATTGAGGTGCGAAAATCGATTCCAACACCTTTTAAGGTTTATCTACTGGGCAATTGATGGACGCTCAATTGATTGTGTAATGTGATGATAATGCGTATCTTAAGTGGTCGAAAGAGGTTGTGTTGAAATGGCTGTTCCCTACTCCGTAGTGCAGTGCCGCCCCGATGTGGAGTAAATCGGTCTGTGCACGAAGCCCTCGGCCGCCCCTTCGGCTTTTACTCCACATCAGGGCGGCCGACCTGATATGCAAACACGAACATTTTGAAGGCACCAAGTTTCATATCTTGAAGACCCACTTGAAGTTTCATAGCCATGAATTTGAGTAGGTGCAAGCTCTCATTCTCATATGGGACCACCTCTATGTTCGCTTTTGCCTATATATTCACGGATATTGATACCACGTAATCCAGTATGTCTAGCTTGCTCTATGACCTCATCGACAGAGAGAGAGAAAGAATTGCGTAGAGAATTTGGGGTATATATGTATTGAAATTTAATTTGAACGATGATAGCTAGTGTTGGGGTAAACATGGGCTGGAAGTGCCAGTGTGAGAGGAGGCGCTATGATGGTTTGATAACAATTCCACGATCTTCATATGGTTATTGGATAATGCGACATCAATGGGACTCTTTCCACTGCGATCGGGTGCATTAAAATCGGCTCCTTCATTCAAAAATGTCTCGACAATCTCAAAGTGCCCACTTTTTGCGGCCAAGTGCATCGGCAACCGTTCTTCACGGTCAGACTTTTCTAGCCTTGCACCGCTTTTCAGTAAGAACCTACAAATCTCAAGATTTTCGTGGAAAGATGCCTCGTGCAATGGCGTCCACCCATCTTTATTGCCATTATTGACGTCGGCCCCCTTCTCGACCAATAAGTGGCAAATCTTCAAGCGATTACGGGCAGATGCAACATGAAGAGCTGTCCATCCATGCTTCTTCACCGTCATCATTTCCACTTTCTTTTCGATCAATAGTTGGCAAACATTCAAGTGGCCCCCGGAAAAGGCCGTATGAAGAGCTGTCCAACCATCATTATCGCCCACCATTATCCTCACACCCTTCTCAATCAAGAATTCGCAAACATTCAAGTGGCCTTGAAAAGATGCCACTAGAAGGGGAGTGTGACCGTGTTTATCTTTTTCCAGGGTACTGGCTCCTTGTTCGACGAGAAATTTGAGTAGATCGAGGTGCCCCCTTCGTGCAGCACTGACTCCCAGATCTGAGATCCCACTTTTCAGGATCGCATCATCAGCACTGTGGTCTAAAAGGAGCTGCACAACCTCAAGATTTCCTTCCGCGCAAGCATACACAACTGGACTAGGGTTGCAACAAAGACATTGATGGCACTTGAAATCTGGCGTGTTGAAGTCGGCACCCTTCTCAATCAACAGTCTTACAGCAGTTACATGGCCTCTTTTTGACGCAACAGCAATTGGTGGACACAAATCCGAATCAGCGAGGGTGAAATTGGCGTTTCTTTCTAGAAGCAGTTTGATAACCTCGATCCGACCCTCTTGGGAAGCAAGATACAAAGGCGTGTGATTCTTGTGCTCGGTATTGTTTATCCCGGCTCCATGATCAAGGAGTAGTCGGACTATTTCAGTAAGTCCTTTGAAGGAAGCTTCCATAAGTGGGGTCCACCCATCTTTGTTTCTTGAGCTGACATCAGCCCCATATTCAAGGAGCATCGTGACTATCTGCACACGGTTTTCTTGTGAGGCAGTAAACAGTGGTGTACGCCCGTCGCCGAGTGCGAGGGTAGAATTGGCATTTCGTTCGAGAAGCAACTGGGTAACATCGGTCCGACCTTCTTGGCTAGCCCTATATAGGGCTGTGCAGCCAAAGATTGTAGTGATGTTTATATCCGCGCCGTGGTCAAGTACTAATAGGACTATCTCAGAGTATCCCTTGGAAGATGCTCTAATGAGCGGAGTCCACCCCTCTCCGTTCACGTCAGTATGAGCCCCGAATTCTAGGAGCAGCTTTGAAGCTCCAAAATGGCCTCCTTTAATCGAAAACAGTAGGGCTGTTCCACCAGAATCGTTCACGGCATTAGGATTGGCACCTTTTTCGATGAGGAGTTTCATAGTTTCAACATGACCATTGAGAGCAGCGTACATCAAAGGCGTCATACCATCTTGGTTCACGGGATTTGCATCCACGCCTTTCTGTAGCAGAAACTTGGCTACCTCGATTTTGCCAAAATAGGAAACGTAATCGAGAGGCCTCAACACAGAGGGTGGAAACCTGGTATATATGTCTGCACCATTCGCATACAAGATCTCAAGAATTTCGGTGTTGTTGCAGAAGATTGCAGGGTAGAGGCTTGTAAGACCACCATAATCTGGCGTATTTACCCTGATACCCCTTTGCAGCAAAAGTAGAACCAATTCAACAAAATTTTTGGATGATGCAACCATCAAGGGAGTACGTCCTTGATGGTTTATTGCTTCAATATCGGCACCTCTCTCCAGGAGAACCTGTATTATATGGATCCCGTCTCGTTGTGAAGCTAATGTTAAGCAATTTTGACCATCGTGTATTTGAGCGTGAAGGTCTGCCCCTTTTGCAATAAGAAGCTGACCAATTTCAAGATGACCTTCTTCGCAAGCCATCAGGAGAGGAGTATATCCCAAATTAGTTGAGGTATCAATTTGTGCCCCCTTTTCAAGAAGTAGTCAAACCACTTCAATATGACCTTTCAAACATGCTATGCACAGTGGATTTGATCCTTTCTGTGTGTCGTGGGTGATCATTTTGCGTATCACACCTTTTTTAATTCCTTCCAGAAACGTTATTGCCTTATGACGCCCATCCTTTGACGCAACCCAGAGAAAGTTGTAATAAAATCCTTCAGTGTTTGCCACTCTTTTGCTTCGTCCAGCAAAATTACTGGGATATCCAGAGATTCTTGGGTTGAGGGGCCATCAAGTGAGAAATCAATTGAATATCTCACCACCAATCTATCCCAGGGAGTCCATACAAGCCTCTCGGAATTCTCTGAATGGACGTAATGCAGGGTTGACAGGTTTTGTAGGCCTTCTTCATTCACTTTAGCCCCATAATCAATCATAAAAGCCACTATTTCCAGATGGCCCTCTGCACAGGCAGCATAAAATGGGCTGCTATACATGCCACCTTCTAGGTTCAGCCTTGCACCATAGGCAATTAGAAGCTTGACTATCCTTTGGTGTCCCCAAACGGAGGCTGCCTGGAGAGCGCTTCCATAAAGACCTCCTTGCACGTTTGGATTGGCTGCATGGCTGAGAATTTGCTCAACTACTTCTATCGCCCCACTTGAGGAAGCTGCCTGGACGGCATTATGGTAGGTCCCACCATGTGCCTCTATTTCAGCTCCTTTCTCGAGCAGTCTGGTCACCGTCAGTGAGAGCCCTGCGAGAGATGCGTAGTACAATCCACTCGCAAGTTCCTTATCCATCCAACGTGGACCGTCCCACGGCTGATCGGGGTCAATGAGTTTACCCCACACAGCATAACCTTTGGGTCGGAATAGCAGGAACTTGAGTATAAATTCACTGACACTTTCTATTCCCTCGCGTGGCTTTGCATGAGCCATCCAACGTTGTGCAGCATATTGCGCTAAGGGGAATTCGACTCGGATCTGGCTTGCAGTCATTCTCTCGTCTAGGTGCGACAAATACTCCAGGCATACAACCGTCATATCTCCTTTTGCAACCGCTTCTTGCATCCTCGTTTGTAATAGAGAAGCGAGCTCTGTGGAGTGAGGTGATAGTGTCTGGGCAATCTTCTCGGAAACGAGATATTGCTTCACGGTAAAATGCGCCAATCGAAGTTCTTTGATTTTAGCATGTCCAAAACTTCTCACTCCGATGAAAATAAGGCTTGAGCAAAGTTTAAGAATCTCATGAGGCACAACCATTCTCATGGAGGGATCAAATGCAGGTTCTATGCCGACTTCAACGGCCACAATATCAACGGCTTCTTCGATCATTAGCGGGCGCTCTGAGTAGGTGAGAAAATCCAGAATCCGTAGAGCATGATTTTGATATTTGTGGTCTATACGAGCCAGGGTTTGAGCATACGTTTTGTTCAGTGTATCAGGGAGATATCGGAGAGAGTTTCGAAGCATTTGAAGATCTAGGCAATTTTGCAGACTATCCAGCTGACATGCTGCCCATCGAAACCTGAAGAATCCAATCTGTTAGATTTTGAGTGCGTGGGAAGCTATCGGTCATAGAATTCAATTTACATTTCACCGGCCTTGTGGCTGACCTCCGCCTCAATCTCGCTCAAAAGCTGGGGAGTCGAACGCCATCTTTGAAATCCTCGATCGATACGCAACCTTTCCGTGACAAAGTTGCTAATATCTTTGTTGGTTTCATCTTGATTGATGGAATTGATATTCTCCTGATGCAGCCAATACTTCATTCCAGACTCGATTTCCTCTTCTTCTCGACTAGTAGCAAGGATATGCAAATCGTCATGGTCGGAGCAGGTAAGATCATACAAACACTGAGAGATGTCCCCTCTTGAGTTGCACTCGTCAAGGGCATCTAGAGCAATTTGGACCTTCTTTGCATGTTTCAACATCTGGTGGAAGATCTGAAGAAGTGCTCTGTCGGTTGGCTGAGTATTGCCGCTTTCACAAGACAAGTTCAATTGATCCAACTCAGTACGAGACTCAACACATCTTGAATATAGCTGTACAACCAATGTGCGAAGCATTTTTCCAATTGATTGTTTGTTTGAGTCTAAAAAGTCAAAGAAGAATGAAAGAACAAGGCAGGAAGGGCCATGCTATTTGTTGAGGTTTTCGATGATGGCTGCGATGAGCACCGTCTTTCCACATCCTGAGATCCCACTAATTCACAGAAATCGCTTTTTTCCATCTCTCCAGTCATAAAATAACTCGCTTTGGAGAAACCAAGAGCATGCCCCCCTCCTGTCGAGCTTCAAGTGCTGCATTGAAGTTGATCGATATATCGGAAGGCAAGAGCCATTCTTGGATGTGCTTGAGATACTGAGCTGATTGGATGCTTTCAATCCCTGCCTGTGTGCCCTTGGAGATATCCCGTATGGTTTTGATCTCTTTCTTCAAGTCTTTGCAGACTTCGACTACTAATCTTTCCTGTGCTATCTGGGCCACCGCGACATTGCCGAGCAATTCCTTAGCATAGGCAGCTGCGCTCAAAGCTGCATATCCTTGCCACTTGTCATTCTTGTGTGAATCAGAGTAGTCACATATTCCACGAATGAGTTTACATGGAAAATCCATCATAAGCCCAGATGACTCCATCTCAAAGCATAGTGCGCCTGTTTTGGCACCCAGTCGATCCCTCGTGGCCGCATGCTTGATGACACAGTTTCCCGACGCGATGATCCCATAGTGTGTTTCAGGCTCGCTTGTATCACGAGCGATTCGCTTTGACTCCCATTTAGTTGGACAATCGTTGCAGCTAGTACCCTCGATGTGCTCGTACTGAGCCTGGAACAATCTATCTTGGTCGGCCTGGGGTCTCCCGAAAGTCTTCTTGGTTCGTCCGTTTCTTCCTGTTGCCTTCTCGATAAATTGCGGGAAGCACGGGTCATCCACAAGGGCGCTCGCTTTCAGCTCTGTAAGTGCTGTCAATATCGGCCTTGGTGGTGCATTCAACATCCCTTTTAGCTGGACGTCTCCATTTATTCCCAATTCACCCATATCATATTGGGCCACACCACCACAAGTTCCCTCGGGGCGACTGATCACGATATCTCCAAGTCAAATGTCATGGTCTGCTGAAGTAATTCCACCCCCGATCCCAACCATCAAGCCGATTCGAAGGGAGCTAGAGAACGTGCGCACCATGTGGTTGGCAACAGTTGTGGCTGACGTGGCTCCATCTTGGCCTTTAGGGTGGCTAGCAATCGCGACGTTGTGTTTGCCAATTCGACCCAGGGTATAAGTGATTGGATCAGCTGGGTGTGTCTCCTCTAGAAGACCAAAATTCTCATCGAGCATTTCCTTGGCTGCAGCTTTTTTCGATCGCAAGGGCGCAGATCCACCCTATTTGGAATGATTCGAGCGGAGGAGGCATTTTGATGGTTGTTTTCAAGCCCTGTTATAGTGAGCAGTTGAAGGAGAAGAGCTTGGGGACTTCTCAGAAAACCAACTCCCTCTGATGCCCAAAGGGATTAGAGCATACGGAGTACACCCAGCAGATCTCAGGCGTTCAGCCTTAACTGCATAGCCCCCGCTTTTCAAGAGCGGTTTATGTGGGGCAACCTGATACTATTGCAGTCTGTTGGTAGAGACATCTTCATTTGCCCCAGTGAGAAGATTTATCAGATCGAGTGGCTGAGAGATGATTCTCAGCCTAATAAATAATTTCATAACACATCACGTACCATTAACCAACAAAGATTTTTCGGGTTCACTAAAGGCAACACGACATTTCTTCACGAATTTCAGTTTCAGTCTCGATGTCATGATATACATCTCCAAGGGTGATGTGACTAGGAAGAACATTTGAAAGGGAAGAACTAGCGGTGAGCTGCTAGTACTAGTAATAGGGATTACTGGCAACCTCAGGGGACTAATCTTGGAAATAAAAAGCATAGCCAAGATTTAATACATGAATGGATTGAGATAGCGTATATTTCATCTTTCATTGCTCTAGAAATCTGGCTTAATGAAAAATCCTTGAAATTCTCAAATAGTTATACGCCGAATTTAGAGGCCCTGATCCTCACCCAGCCCCCTGGCTTACTATTATCGTACTGTGCCATTACTCGGAGCTTCAAAGTTAAAAAAAAACTTGACATGATGAACTGTGCTCTCCATACTACATACGACCTGTGAGTTGACACCATGACCAATGGTTTCCATTCTACTTCGGTGACTCGTAACCACGCAGCCCCCGCTCGACAGCAGCGATTTGCAAAGCCAACACAGGAGCAAATTGTCTCGACCATACAAAGTTGCCTGTCATGAACCAGAAGCCTGGCACATCGGTCGGCCTCCACACCTAGAAGCAATGTCAGCTATTTGGAATTGGAAGATTCTCCAATGGATACCGAGCTTACACCTTTCCGCTCTTGGCTATCGTCGAGAGTGGCCACATCTCCCACTTTATCCATAACTTCCTTTGCCATGATTTGCTCAATCATCTTCTCACAACCATAGACACCCGTTGCCAGAATGACAATATCGGACTTGATCTTGGTACCATCGCCAAGAATGATTCCCTCCGCATCAAATTCTTGGACCCCTTGTTTACATCTCTGGACCTTGATCTGACCGTCAATGATCATTTGGGATGCTCCTTGGTCAAAGTAGAAATGACCTCCTTTGATCAGCAGAAAGTCGAGCAAATTCTCTCCTCCATCTCTTTTCACGGCTAATCCTGCCTTTTTTAGTCCGTCCAACATATCTTTGTCATTTGCCGTAATCATCTGGGTCATTCCCATGCCCAGAGTGCGAATCACAGCAGTTGGAAAAGAGTTTCCCAAAAGGTCGGCATCTTCGGTGCTTACTCCTGGAGTGTTCCACAGTGATGTCTGAAACTTCTCCATTGAATCAAGAGAAGTTACAAACAGAGACGCACGTTGCACCATCGTCACAGTGCCAACTCCATGGTTAACGAAGTCCTGGGCAACGTCATGCGCGGAGGTTCCAGCACCGATGATAGTAACCACTTTGTTTTGCAGATCTGTGATAGAAGCTGCGGACTTGTGGGCCAATGTGTGGTAGATCTGGCCCTTGAATAAATCCTCGCCAGGGAACTCAGGGCGAATTGGGACATCAGAAAATGGTCCCGTAGCCAGCACGACATGCTTAGGATTGATTTTTTCCACACTGCCATTGCTCTGCAACTCGACTGACCACTGTTGTGTGAACTCATTATACTCAATATTCTTTGCGAGTGTGTCATATCTGACTTTGAGACCCAGGGTCTGCTGATAGTGCTCCATCCATTTCAGAATATCTTCTTTGTCGAGATAGCGGGGCGAATCACTCGGATATTTCAAAAATGGATAGTGGCCCGTTTCAGTCGGCGTGTGTAGTTTTATTGTGTCATATCTGGTTCGCCATGCATCTCCAACTTGAGAAGCTTTATCCACGATGAGATATTTGAGACCAAGTTCTTGCAAATGAGCCGCAAGGTAAAGTCCCGAATGTCCTAAAAGTCGAGTGTGAGTTGTTTTATTTTCTCGAAATGAATTGGGTACGGTCGGCTTACCTGCGCCCACAATCAAAACTTGCAGAGAGTCAAGGGAAGCGTGGGACTGAGTCTCGGCTTCCTGCTCCTTTAGATGTTCAAGTGTGGTGAAAATAGTCCATGCCTTCCATTGGTCGGGCCCAATACTGGCTAGCCTCAGAACTCCTCTTCCCACGCCGATATCGGTTTCGAAGCTAAACCCGGATTGGATGAATTGCATTGGTCCTAAATTGGCGAGCTGTGGCATCATTGCACCGGGCTGGTCGGCCTTGGGATGCCTAAACCCGCTTTTGGAGGTGCTCAGATATTTGGATATGGTCTTGGCTCCATTGTGACATGCGATATCCCATGAGAAAGAGATAAAGTCTCTCCACCATGACTCCTTTTCAAGAAAATGGTCGCTGATTTCCTCTGCCTGGCCCTTGCTCAAGCTCTCTGTGAAGGAGGACAGCCAATCGGCGACAACCTTGGCAGCATCGAGTTGTTCTGGGTTGACAGATGGGTGCAAGGTGAGGGCGGGAAGGGCCGCGTAGGGTGGGAATTCTTCAGACATGATAATTTAATATAATGGTGGCTGAGACTTTTTTTCTCTTTTTTTTAAACAAAAGCCACAAATACACAGGCGGTTAGTGAAAATACTTTATGGCGTATTGCTATATCGCCTGGATGCGGGACTGTGGCGGAACGAAACTGTAAACAAAAGCGCAAATAAAAGCGTAAAGAAAGCGCAAATGAAATCGGAAATGTTTTTCTTTTTAATCTGCCGACTCTTAGTTAGTCAGACACAATTTCAAACTAGTTAACTAGTATTAATGCGGTGGGGAAATGTTTTATTCCCCATAGAGACTTGCAAGGATGATGTCTGGTTTTTGATGCACGAATCTACGTTTCTTATTTTATTAAGCGGGCCATAACCTTGGAAGCAAAGTAACATTGAAATTTAGTTTATTGTACTCCGTATTTATCTTAGAGGTACATATACAGATCACAGAGGACTGATTGCTTAATTCTCACGTCAGTTCACGTCCAAGTAACAGGCTTTACAGCTAAGTAAGACGCTGAATGGGAAATTAGGAGGGGTAAGCTGGGGTATAGGCTAATCAAAATCTTGGAAAGGAAGAGAAGTGCGAGGTGGGTTAAAGTGGATTGAGGTGGAGCAAAGTAAAGCAAAGTGTTGTTACTGTTGTACCCTTAAATGGGGATACGATCGGCGGCCCGACCCCCTTGTGAGCCTAGGCTTGGCTGCGTGCTGCGTGTTATGTACATTAGAACATGTTCAAGTGCAATTGTATTTCAAACACATCCCGCTCATGCAGATCATTGTTTTTTTAGCGAGGGAAGAGATCGACCAGCTCGGGCCCCCTTCACACGCTTAAATAAAAGATACCGCCCCCTAATCCCTGATTGTCTAGTTGCCTGCAGAACTTGAGCTCGGTTACTCCATCGTAAGCATGGGTATTGTTCCAGGTATTCACCTTCTGCCTTCAACCCCTTGAATACTTTCCACTGATCGCTAACATCAATTAGAAGACGAGAATATCGACCCGGCGTTGGGTTCGCCTGACCAAAGTGATGAGAACTATCCCGTCAACATGTCCAATGTCGACGAGGCTGCGCTTCTCCGCAAGATTGATATGCGCGTAATGCCAATGTTATTTGCTATTTACTTTGTCGCATTTTTGGATCGGTATGTCAATTCTCCTATCGTGTACTGTGAATATCGACGATTCAATTGCGATCGATGAGTGTATTTCATTGCTCAATTTTTGCTAACTCCTTCTTAGAGTGAACATATCCAACGCGCTCACGATGAGTATGCCCACCGAACTAGATTTGTACGGCGATCGGGAAAACGTCGCCCTTCTAATCTTCTACATTCCGTACATTATTTTCGAAATCCCCTCCAATATCATAATGAAGAAAGTCAAGCCTCATTTCTGGCTCTCAGGTTGTATCATTTCCTTCGGTATTGTGATGCTCGGCCAGGCCTTTGTTAAAAGTTACGGTGGTTTGATTGCGACGCGTTTCTTTCTCGGGTTTGCGGAATGTGGTATCTTTCCCGGCAGTTTCTATCTCATTAGCTTTTGGTACAAGCGTGCCGAAGCTCAGAAGCGTTTCACCATGTATTGGTCCTCGGTCATCTTTGCTGGTGCTTTTGGGGGTCTACTTGCCTCAGCTATTGCCAAAATGGATGGCTTGCGCGGTCTCGAGAATTGGCGATGGATTTTCTTGCTCGAGGGCATTGCATCTATCCTGGTCGGCATTATCGCCTTGTTCTTCTGTGCGGATTTCCCCCAGCAAGCGTCCTGGTTGACCGAAAACGAAAAAGCCGCAGTTATCGCAAGAACTCGCAACCAAGAGGATGACGATGTTGCGATTACAAAGTCCGATGTGTTTGAGTTCGCTCAAGACATTAAATTGTACCTGGCTGCGATCATGTACTTCTGTAAGTTCTCTTTTTGGAAGTCTTGTGTTTAGCTTCTAACCCGATCAAATAGGTATTGTGGTTCCCATCTACGCTTTTTCCTACTTTGCCCCGACCATCATCAAAGCTTTGGGATATGGAACCATCGAGACTCAATTGCACAGCGTGCCACCCTTTGCTGCTGCGCTCGGGCTCTGCATAGTGACGGCCTACTTCTCGGACCGATTGGGCCTCCGCATGCCATTTATTCTCCTTGGTGACCTGCTGATCATTATTGGTCTAGCTATCATGCTGACGATGCATGGTAAAGATAACTTTTCCCCCGAGTATCTTGGCATCTGCTTTATCACCATGGGCGCATTCAGCTCCGGTGCCGTGGTCATTTGCTGGGTTTTGATGAACATGCACGGCCATAAGCAGCGGAGCTTTGGGTCCGGCTTCGTGATTGGAGTTGGGAATGCAGGTGGTATTGTCGCTGTGTTCTGCTTTACTAAAGACGACGCGCCCTTGTATAAGCGCGGATACTGGATTCTGATGGCTGTGACACTCGCCGGTACTGTGACAACAGTGGTATACGGACTGGTGGCTGCGCGTGAGCGCCGTCGTCAGATTCAAACTGAGGGCAAGACAGACAAAGAAAAGGTTCTCTCTTTGTAAGACTCCAGGGCTGCCTTTTGACTCTGCTTAATACTATACATAGACTAGTATTTTTAATTCTTTGTCGGCGGGGAATTGGGCTGAAGAAGGAAACATAAAATGTATATACACATGTCACGGTGTGGTCTCTCGGGGTTTCCACCATCCAGCTTCACAGTCTCCAGGGATGAGATTTATCAATTGCTCAGGTGATAATTACCAGTTCACTACATACATCATGATATAAAACGAAGTTAAACTTGAACAAATTGAACAAATTGAACAAATTGAACAAATTGAACAAATTGAACAAATTGAACAAATTGAACAAATTGAACAAATTGAACAAATTGAACTGGCAAAATAAACACATACTATGGTCTTCCAAGGTTCAAAAATGTTAGCACTGGTATAATCCATATCCCTGGAGTGCGGGGGAACTCTTTCTGATCGAAACCTCCGAGTCAGAAGCAACATTTAGAAATCCGGAGAGGCTTGGTTCAAATGTTGGCTTGTAAGTTGTAAATTATGCAGGCTGATATGACGGTATTGAAATATTTGCGATTAGTTCAACCTTCTTCTAAACCACATGTCCACGCAGAGCTGGTCGCCTGAAAATGTCGAGGGTCGCCTAACGGAAGATCGTTACCATCTTGAGACTGCATATTGCTTGATTATGGGAGCCAAGTAACACCTCAGGCTTGGCATTCGGAATAGGACGCGGTAAATTCTACTGTTCAATTATATTGCGGACCCAGGTCCTGTGAACGCTGCATGGGCGAACTGCCGCCCATCATGGTGATAAATGACCGTGGTAAGCTTCCAAAGTTACCGCCAAAGGTCAGCTGAAATTCCTTTGTTTTGCCTCTCCAGTCAATTCCTCATGACAAACTTTCGTACTGCATATTTGACCTTTGATTTATTATCATCCTATATCAAGAACTGTCCAGCTTTGATCATACCCGAGCAAGATTTTTTGCTTTGCGTGCAGCAGGAGCTTTGTTTGAGAACGGCAATAGAATAGTCAGCAAGAACCCTCGGGCCCCGGGGCCATCGTCCACAATCAATTTCGCAGAATGTGACGAAGCAACCATCAACGAACATGCGCCATTTAGAACATACCTCGGATTCATGTATCGCTCGAGAAAGGCATACATGTATGCTTAACGCTGCCGAATGATTCCGATGCCTTGGAATACCCTGGATTTGTTCAGAATCACATAGTAAGGACTCCATTTCCCATATCCCGAGATTCGGAGGTAAGTACATGGTTCCCTCCACAACTACAAAAATACTAACGATATTTGAAGCTTCAAGTTTAATAAAATGCAAAAACATACAACAGTCAGGATTCGCATGTGGTCACCCACCATACTACTAACTGACCGGCGTGTGGCTTAAGTACGGCTGAGCGGACGGGAAGCCCTGTTCTCCACACCCTGTGGTCGTATGTGCCGTAATGACCCAGATGGGAGGTTAGATAGAGAGAAGCCATAAAGAAATTTCGCTTAAATGAGGAGTTAGATGGTGATAGAATATGCTATGGTACTATATAAGAGTGAGGAAGAAGGTGATACCTAGTACAGGGCGGAGTACCAAGACCCTTATCGACCCGTGGACTGATTAACTGAGCTTACCCATTTAGCCTACACATCTAAAATTGACCCGATTATCTTCCTTTTTCCTTAGGAATCGATGTGAAAATAGAACTGGCTGCCTAGTACCCGTCGACACCTTTCTCGGTTAGGTGACCTAACTTAGGTAACTAGGTCAATCAGTATTTAACGTCAACATCGCTAAGAAGCGTTGGTCAACTGGTAGTCAGACCTGATTTTAACCTTGAGTTGTTGCGGCGAGAGTATTTGTAAGAATTGTCCTGAGGCTTCAATACATTGAAATTGATATTACTTGCAGGCTTCCATGGTTGCATAAGACTAGCAGTTCAACTTCCGGGGTTTTCTATACAACGTCTCCTCGGACTCCGTTAAGACATTGATCAACTAGCGCTAGTAATCACATGCACATATATGCAGTTATTAAATTTTTCTTTGATTAGCAATAACAGGCTGATCAATATATACGTTTAGTCAACTGGTATCAAAACATGGATATTATGTTATACATGCCTCCCCAAGGTTCAATGTTCAGATGCCCAGGTGTTGTCTCCCATGTGCATGTTTATGGATCACCCAATCACTCAAGTTCTAACACCAGTTGACCCAGGGTCACCTATTCAGTGGCCTGCCTAAACGCCTTTACTGAATCACCAGGTAGTTCCAGTCGTTGCGCTCCATCAGCCTCAAATATTTGAGATCCAGAAATCTCCAATGGCTCTCTGGTAGATCCTGGCACAATTCTCTCACTAGAATCCAGCTCGGACTGGATCGGAGTCCACTTTCGCTCAGCTCAGGTACTAGTATCTGACGAACAGGTAGTTCGCCAGCAGCCTGTGACTTCCTGCGTCGATGCCATATGATAAAGCACATGGTAGCCATAATCAAAATCACAGCCGGGACGCAAATCCCAATGGCAGTTTTGGCTCCCGTAGACAGTCCGGAGCTCCCGCTGTTGTTGGATCATGACCCTGTGTTGTGAAGCAAGAATATGATACTAGCCTTAGCTAAGGCTGATCCCCCCTGAATACGTTCCAACCGACCCATTGAAGCCACTAATGCTAGTTGTAACGCATTGATTGTCCGTACTTTTAACCCCAAGACTCATTCGCCCATCTAAGCTCCAAATGTAGGACTCGCACGCGGCCGGACCGAAATCGGCACCAAGGACATATCCACTAATTAAAGGTTAGCCTCTCTCGTTCCCTCTATCAACTTCAAGTTTCCCTGTCAGACATTCAAGTTTCTAATCCACAATGATTTCAAAAAAATCACACCACAACAGACTAAGACACATGCACATACCTAGGACAGCATCCCATAAAAATATCATTCGCAACCAATGTTACATAGTTAGCTCCAATTAAGACATTGCGAGCGCCATATGCTGTAGTGGCTATGGCAGATCCATAGGGAGTGTTGTAAATGGGCTCCCATCCGGAGGGGCAGATATAACCAGGCGAGAAAACCTCGTTTATAGTCCCCGGGTTCTCGGACCTCGTTTGCCACACGTTTATATAGCCTTCTGGGTAGCAGGAGTCTGCGGCGGTAATATGGGCTATTGAGGATGAGCCCGAAGTGCTACACGCTGCACCCCATGATAGTACTACATCATACACACCCGAGGAGTCGTCGTGCGAAACCCATTTTTCTGCGAAACAGTCAGGTGCAGGAGTAAAGGTGGTTGTGAGTGGACCTTAGTTCGATGGATTTGAAGTAGTCGTCATGGTGGTACTCTATATCAACCCTGAATAATTCCAAGGTTGTGTACTCGTGTGCGGATTTGTAAGTGAGGTTTACAGGAAAAGAAAGAATAAGGCGCAAAATCTGAGGAGGCTGAACTAACCTTCGTTGCGAATGGCCATGGCCCCAGAACCTTGGGGCCAATACTGATTGTCTAACCATTTTTTACTCCGGTCCGCACATGGATGTGGGGATCTAGAGGGAGCCATAGCGCACTAGGGCTGTAACGATACATCCCGCACACTTGGCATTGGGCGGTGCATCAAAGAATGAAGCCAAACTGATTGCATTTCCGGAATGCTGTATTCCAGGCTATCCGTGCTGAATCTGGTGAGCCTCTGAGTCTCAAAGAGTATACTTCTTGTATCTTTACTAATAACCAGCCGACCGTCTGATAGGAGCCGACTGTTAGACGTTGAGTTAGGCGTCACCTATGTCAAAAATTCTCTTCGTCTGGATTCACCCGAGATGAAACAAATTCAGTCCGCAGCAAAGACCAACTCGATTGCGGTATTTCTGGGCTTCTCGGAAAATGATAACAACTCTGCCTATATTGCGCAGGTGCTCATTGGCCCTGATGGACAAATCGTGTCGCATCGTCGGAAGATGAAGCCCACTCATATGGAGCGCACGATCTTCGGCGATGCCTCGGGTGAATGCTTTGCAAGTGTTGCAGAGCTTCCCTTTGCACGAGTTGGTGCTCTCTCTTGCTGGGAGCATATTCAACCGCTCCTTAAGTATCATACAGTCTCCCAGTGAGAGGATATTCATGTTTCCGCCTGGCCGAGCTTGACACCTCATTCTGGTGGACCGGAATTATGGTCTATGTCTGCTGAAGGTAAGTCCCTACTAGTGATAGGAAAATTTAGAAGCTGATTCAAAATATGAAGGGTGTCACGCTCAATCACAGACCTACGCGATGGAGTCACAAAGCTTTGTACTTCACTACACAGCTTTGATCACCGAGGCTGGTGTTGAGAAGATGAAGACTTCGGGTGGCATGGGAATGTCATCCCCAGGCGGCGGCAGCTCTGCTATATTTGGGCCCGATGGAAGGAGATTGACGGAGCCGGTGAATAGCACGACTGAGACTATTATCTACAGTGATCTTGACCTTGACCAGATCATTGCAACAAAGCTTTTCGCAGATGCCACAGGCCACTATAGTCGCCCAGACCTCATGTCGCTGAGCGTATGTACGCGGGTGAAGAAGATAGTGTGTGAGGATGGAAAATTGGGCGATACTGAAGTGATTTGCGATCTCAATGATAGTGAGTAAGGCTTGGCTTCAATTTTGGAAATGACATGATTGTAGCGTGCAAGAAACCAAGAAACCCAATAATATTTTACAAGCTCTTCCCAATTTGAGTAGATGGAATTTGATTTTCAACCTGCCAAAAATTTTCTCAAAGAAATCGCTCTTGAACCCATCGGTGTTGAAGAAGCTCCTCAGTAGAGCTCCGCTCAGCTGGCTCAAAACGAAAAATAAGTCTCATAAAAGCAATGAAGTCTGCCAGCTCATCCTCTCCCATCCCGTTCGGCTTGAATTCCCAAATTGCTTGATCAAGTGGTAGTTCCCTTGCATCTTCGGGAAATGGGTTCTTCAAGAGTCCATCAGATGTGAGATGACGATCCCAGTCCAGCCACGCCGTCCGTAGTGAGTCCGGTACCGGGCCTAATCGCTCAACAAATCCAACAATCTGTTCCAAGTTCGCCTCGTCCGTGGTGCCCCAACATTCTGGTGCGAAGAGCGGGGTTCCTGTGATGATGCGGAAAATCACGCAGCCAAGAGCCCAGATATCGGCTTTGGTAGTGACGAATCCTACTTCCATGACCACTTCAGGCACACGGTAAGGAATCGGTTAGGCGAATTTGTTACTTGAGGCATTCTCAGCCATGTAGTATTGATCCGGGTGTGTCGGCAAAGGACTAGCTGGAGGATGTTGTGAGGCCAGGAAAAAGTCGTGGTGCTTATAAAGTACAGAAAAGTACTTTCTGAATCATGGGGAAATACACACTGTCTGGACTCCAACGCAGATCTTACTAGTTCGAGGAATTTGATTTATTCCAAGATTCAAGTATTGCTGGATAGAATGACTCTGTTACAGTTGAGATATCCGGGATTTGAGTCAGAGTATAACCATGATGGAATTCCACATGGTGAGATGAGTGTAGATATTCAATGAGTGAAAACATAAAGAATAACAATAAAATGAAACAAAACAAAAATTTGAAGTTGACCTTTCACATGTCCAATCTGAGTGAGGTCTTTTGCGAAAGGAAGTAAGGCCATGAACGAATTTTGTACCGTGAGGTGTGGTCTTGTATGAACCAAACAATATCCAAGAAAGAATCAAATAAATCACACGCGCGGGGTATCGAGGACGGGTAGGTTGTCTCGATAAAACTCCACCGACTAGCAGACCTCCATATCCAAGTAACGAGATAGTAGCCAATCTAACCAGTCAAAAAAAAACAAAAAACCAGTGCGGAAGCAGAAGCTCCCTCTGTGGGGACTGATGTCCAAGGAGAAACAGAAATAACACGTATGAAAACAACAAAATGCAGATACCCGTCCCATAAAGCAGAGAAACAATGTTTTTTGTAAGATGACCGTGAAGCTTGAAAACGCTGGCATGGGGCTAGCTATGTGAGAGCAGCTTTGTATCGCGCTCTCAACATATCTGGCCCTGAAATGATTCGTAGAAAACATAACGCATGATAGATTTTCGACAAGAACGTAGGCTCAAGTCTAACAAGAACACTAACGTGAAAGGGAAAACAAGGCATAAACATAGACATTGAATATGAATATGTATATGAATATGAAGGTGGACGGAAAGGTAGAGGTAAACATGAACATGAATAAAAATATAGACATGTACATGAGTTGAGAAAGAGTTAGTATAAACATGGGAAGAAGATCATTATGATGATGGAAGGTATAACGGATATGAGGACATGAGGTATACAGGCGTGAAATCACACGCTTTATTCCAGAAGTTTATGGTAAGAGCCATGGCTTCTGAAACGACGCGATCCAAAGATCACGTAGAGAATGTATCTGAAAAGAACTTCAAACACTCTTCGAGAGTCAACAAACTTTTTATCTGCTCCGAGACTTGCTTCGAGATTTGCTTCAAGATCGGCAAAAGCATCTGTCCAGGCCGAGAGACTGTTCAACTCGATGTCCATTGAGATGTCGAATTCAGTCTCAATTTCGAAAAGCTCAGGCTTCTCATGAAGAAGGAGAGGGTGATGGGATATTGGGTCTTCTGAAGCCAACGAGACTTCAGAGGCAGTATCAGAGAAAATGCCGTCGATATCTGACTCGACATCGCTCGGGTTCTCATCATGGCCCTCGGTGACCTTGACCGATTCGGATCCAAGGCTGAGACCATTCAGGCTCTTACACAGTGCCTTTTCAATGGTTTCGGCATCCTCTTTGGTCTTCTTGTTTCCAGCACGAGCGACGGATGACCTGAGCTTGAAGAGTTTCACGACAACTCTCACTCGTGTTCGTAGTGGGTGACTGCCACCACGCTCCTCAGGAAGAATCTTCATATCGACGTAAAGGAGCTTCCCGGGGACAAGCTCCACACAAGTCTGTCCCTTGTGGGCTTCCAGGTCCATTGGAGGGCCGGGCATCGGGGTTTCTAGGACTGTGGGTTCATTCGCAGGGAAGGTTGGGTCGGTTCGAAGGGAGGAATTTTTGCCTAGGAAGTCATCAAGCTTGTTAGAAGAGGCAAAGATAACGGTGGTCAAGTTACGAATCAAAAGCGGGTGGGGCTTAGTATACATACAACCAGTGATCAAAGACTTCATTTGAGGAAGCTCGGATATGCTCTTAGGGAGTAGGAACCTGATTGGGAGGCTTGGACATGCGGCTGAGAACTGACTTGTCGAGCTCTTCAAGTCACCGAGGTCGAAGTCATGCTCATCCAGATGATGCTCAGCAATTGTTACCATCAACGCCCGGGGGTTGATGGCAGAGCCACCGAATGGACCATTAGAGCCTCCTCCTCCATCCTGATGATGGTAGTCCGGGGGCTGTTGATGGTTGTACCTTCCATATTGAGGAAAGCCTGCAGCTTGAGCTGTCCCACCGATGCTTCCTCCAGTTTGAGAATTTTGTGATGTCAAGAATGCCACCTGGTATGATTCACCACGTAGAACAAACTGTATCCTGGTCGTGAGCGACATTCTTCTTATAGCCTCAGAACACTCGTGACAGCCATATGCTGACATTGTGAAGTAGCAGCATTCATCGCAGGCCATGAAGATGTGATTGCATATCCGGCAGTGAAGCTGTTCACTGGGTAATGGCCGTGCCTGGCCTGCCGGTTGATGGACTCGCATTGTGCTGCCATGCTGAGCAGGACGCAGGGCAATTCCTTCACCCATTGAGTTCCGTCTCTCATCCTGCGTGCTGGGGGTATTGGGCTGAAGGGCTTCTCGAGTTGGGGGCATGCGACGAATTGCGCGTGTCACTATAGGAGATAGTTGATTCATAGATCTCTGGTTGCCTCCTCGCCTTCGCGTCACGCCGCCGCCACGCCGACGGTTACCACGTTGAGCTGGACGCGGAGGCCCCATCCCAGCACCTGATCTTCCTGCTAGCCGTGATCCATTTCTCGAAGAGGGACCAGCGCCTCCATTGCCTGGATTGTCATCGCCGCCACCCGGTGGCCCGTTGCTGTCAACCGGTCCTGCTTCAAAGGTGCAGTGGCTAATCCAACATTTGTAGAACTCCTGCCAGTTTCTAACCAATTTGGGACAAATTTCACATTTTCCAGGACAGGGTATATCAGTCTTCATCCCATCGAGTTCAGCAGGTGTTACCCGGAGCGTATGAGCCTCCAGGGAATGGGTGCGCATTTTATCGCGACGAATTTCCACGTGGTCGCAGCCCGGAACACCACAGCTATACATGCATCGGGCAAAATGCAGAGACTCTATATGTCTCTGAAAGCTGGGATAATGATAAAATACCGCCTCACAATGCATGCATTCATACCAGGGGGTGACCACACCATTGGTAACGGCCGAACGCGCCACTCGTTCCACTGGAGTCTGGGACTGTTGACCCTCAAGCTCCTGGTCCCCATGCTCTTCAAGCAATCTTATCATGTTTCGGAGCTGGTGGCATCTCTCCTCGAGCACGGGCGACCTAAGACTTCCTGTTGAGCGGACAAGCATGGCGGTATAGTCTTCAATCCAAGGGCCCATATTCTGGGACACGGTCTCCACCTGGTAAGGAGATTGACTGTCAAACTGGCCATTGATTGTGGTTTCCTGGGAATGACTACTCCTTGGGATAGTGGTATCATGCCGCGTTGAGAAAAGCGAAGCGTCATCAATCTGACCGTGGGGAAGTGGAAGAGCGCCTACGGCAGGAGCAGGAAGCTCGAACTGTCCCTGGTTCATTACGGTGAAATTAATTGGGTCCATATAGGTCGCTGACACAGGCTGGGGCTGCTGGCGAGGTAGCGTATCAAGTGCATGACGCTCAGGCTGTGTGCTTGTCTGACTTGAATGGCTCGGTGGCAGAGCGGAAAACACATCAGGCTGCTAGTAGCAATAGTGCCATTAGTCGCAATAAAACATGATATGGATTGGATGGATGGATGTTCTTCTTCTTGTATACCAGGGATATGTTCAATCAGGCGGCGGTGAGGATGGTAGGTAGGATGGCAGGGCATGTATACGACTCGGAGGTTTCATGCGAATGGAGATCACACTTACCGATAGCAGTTCCGAGCTACCTACACTCGGCAATGATGCTGAGTTCATGTTGTTGTTCAAGCTTAATAGCCTGGAAGGGACAGCTGGATTGGTTTGCTCAACCATCGGAACGTAGTCTCTATAGTTCCCGCTAGGAATTCCGAAGTATTCCCTTATAGCTCTTTCGTCGTCGTCCGACATGGCTCTACCTTTGTTCTCAGATGAGCTGTCGGCAAGGGCAAGCAGCAGCGAGATAGGGTAGAGTTATGCGGATAGTAGCCTGAGGTAGTGATGCCTGAGAGAAATAGAGTAGAAGTATACGCATTAGACAAAATAGATGAGAGATAAATAAAAGAACAATGAGGGGTAGGTGAGAGGTAAATGAGGGAAGACTTATGCAGGTACCTTAACTCGAAGGAGTATCGATGTAATGGTCAAGGAGGGTGGTAGTATATAGCTTGAGTTGATAGCTAATTGGGTGTGGAGTGGAAAAGAAAGGAAAGAAGGCTTGAAATTCTGGGGTTTAGTATTTATATACATTTTTAGCGTGCCCAGGTGAAAAAGAGGTGAATTGGGAAGAAAAAAAAGCGCATTACCTGGGTGAAATCCTCAACGATTTTTTTATTTTTATTTTTTTGGATCAACTCCGTGCAATGACCATAAAATTAATGTGGTGTTGAGGGAGTGTTAAATGTCATGAATTCTTCAGACGGATTGGCTTAAGCGGCAGGGGCATGTAGGAACCGAGATCAATAACAATGATAAGCGCGTAAAAAAATCTGAGTCCACTTTTCAAAAGGCCAGAGAACTTGGATTTTTGATGGGGAAAACTAACTTCTTATGAGTATTACTCGTCTCCTTCTGGGGGCCATTTTCTAGTACCAGGTATCTAGTGGCTGCCTCGCGGCCATGGGTATCAGGGACAGAATGATCGATTGAGGCGCAATTCCAGGCAACCTAGCTGCAGACACCTGGATGCCCAAACACAGCCTGAAGAAAAGACTTCCAGGGCTAGGTAATGGGGCGCCTTGAGCCCCTCAAGTGCCAGCTTTACTAGTATGTACCTACTCAACACAGCCACACTCCTTGTATGGGAATAAAAACGTGTAAATAATATAATCATATAATCATCCATAATTACTGGTTTGAATGGAGCAGGAGCGGTGACGATGCTTAAAACAGCGAGAATAAGCCAAGCAAATTTGGGCTTAGACCTAACTAATCTAGTGATGCCAATTGCTCAGGTGAGAGCCTCAGACTAAAGCAGCGTTGGCTTTAGTACCTTGGCTTTGGGCATCATCACCGCTCGCGCGTGTGTACCTATCCCACTTAAAAAAAAGGGTACACAGTATTCGTTTTTCCTTCTTCCCCTTCTTTCTTCCAATTATTATGCATTTTTTTTCGGAAACCAGGGACAATCGGGTCTAATTCCCGGCCTTGTACGGAATTGTGAACCTGCCCGCTACGGTGCCACGACACAAGAGGCTATTGAAGGCAGTCTGACCAACGAGGGAAATGAAAATCTCCACTTTTATTTGATTCGTCTCTTCCAGAATTTTGGTGCCAATACACAGACTATACATATGGAGAATCACAACGCTGATGCAATCAGATCACAGTAGGGATTCTATCATGGGCTAGACAAAAGTACGACACCAGATCAACTACCAAGACAACTGATGCGGCGAATGCGAACCATGCAAAAAAGACAGAAGAGGAAAAAGGGAAATAAATCAAGTGAGGTACTTATTACGCGAGGGATGATCTTGGATCATGCACGATGACTCCATCGCCGGCATTCATACTGGCCGAGTCAGCGAAGGTAATTGACAAGGCGGAATGGATTGGCTACTCTGTACAGGAATGATTACTGGGGAGATCTTTTGGGCCAAAAGATATCCGTGAATATTCTGCATTAATTTGAACGGCCCAATGAGTCCCAATGAGCCGCTAGTGCTCCGAGTGTACCAACCAGGTACATCATGGGCTTCACAATCGGATGCGCCATGACGCTATACGCTGCTGCGGACACGGAATGAGGCGATCGACACTAGTTCCTAGCAGGGTTCTAAGCTCTGCAAACTCTCAGGTCCCGTAATTGATAATCGCGGTCTATATCGCGTGAAACATAACGCGGCGCAGCTATACCGACATCGGGGGGTACACAATCGGTGTCCAACTCCTCTTTTCTCTTTCTCAAGTACACAAGCCACAAATACAAGATGAACGTGCGAGAATCCTTTGTGTGCCGATCGAACCCATGACTGAACGCTTCCAATGCGCACGCTGAGCGCTGAGTGGCCCAGTGACGCGCCCCTCTCGATGTACCTCCTTCCCCGCATCCGGATCCGGATCCGATGAAAAGGGGAGTTGGGTAAGGCGAAGAATACCGAAAAAAAGCACCAATAGACAAGTAACAAACACCGAATCACATCTTCGCGATCAAAAAGATGACCATCACTCGGCTGAGCAAAAGAAACTGGACCGCTTGACATGAAGCGGGAATCATCCGGTTGGTCCTATCCGGTATCAGGGAAGTGCCAACACAACTCTACAATGTATCTTACGGCCTTCACAACCTTGATAATGGGATTTAACGTGGTAGGGCATTTATGCCTACACCGGAGACCCAGAAGGAAAGGGAAAGAATTAATTAATTAACTGAAGTGAGGCGAAACTCAGTGATTGTGATTGTGTCCGTGACCATCCCCTTGAGCCATCGCGATTTTTCCCCGGATGTGCAGCGCCACCCCAATGTTTGAATCTTGTAAAGTCAATCTTGGATTCACTTCACCGGTGAAGGAATTCGGATGCCCTTCTGATCTTCAATGAGAAGGTAGGCATGGGGCTCGCTAAGAGAATGAATCTGTTGGATCAGGAGAATTGATTCTTGTGAGGTTGACAGCCGTTGACTTTGGAACCATGGAACCTTCCGTCGCCCTATAGATGGGGCCGAGAGTTCTTTTTTCTTGATTTCTTTTTTTTACTCCAGCTTATCTGTATTATTAGATTCAATCATTATATTTGGATTTGATATTTTATGTTTTATTTTTATCTTCAAATGTTCATTTTGACTATGCGGCATCAATGCTCACATGGGCATGACGTACATATACTTTTCCGTAAATATTCCGAATTACATGCTTTAACTCGTCGATTATCTTCATAATCTGTTTTTAAAATACAGCACTTGAGCCGAGGTCTCTGAGACAAAACACTCGAAGTCTCACACACATCCATATGGCGCTGGGTAACTGCAGCGGGAAATGGTTTCCAGCCACTGGCACTACAGGCCCAAACAAACATGTTCATGACGGTACCTGGGGGCTAATTTTTTTTAATTGTTTTTCGCTCGGTTCAGTCCGTACTTTCCGTACTTTATGTCCACTGGCACGCTAAAACAACCTAGCCACATAGACAATCCGGATCCGAACTGGATTCTCATCGGGCAATCGGGCTCTTGTAGTTTTCTTGCATACGGGTTCAATCCCATGATCGGCATCAGGATTAGGAGCAAAAGTTCTTGCATGAGAAAATGTTTCGGGCACATTGAGGCTCTTCCTTCTTGTGTTTGACCACGACCCCCCCCCCCCTGGCTTGAACACTTACTTTGCCAAGCAGAGCACGGTGATGAACCTGTGTGACGTGAGAGGGGCTTCGCGTCGGATAATGCTACCAGGAGTAGAATAGATGTACAACTACTCCGTAGAAGCCGAATCTCCGACTCCTACCGCTTTTGATACCGCCTGTCTAAAGAAGCTAGCGCTAACTGCGCTAATTGCTCAAATAATGCAAATGTGTAAAGCTACACCCATCTATGGAGGTTTTATGGCCATCTGATCAATTTAAAGGATTGCCCCCATACTCCATTCAAATCTTGAACAGGATGGTTGTGGTTTGAACGTTAATGAATTTGTGGAATTATTCTGGCAGAATAAAGCGGCAGAATATTGGCGGTCTCCGAGGGAGCTGGGCACTTCACCTTCCGAGTCAGGGCTGAAGTCACTCCACTCACTCCACTCCGTCCGGAGTGCACTAGGAGTAATCACTCGAGTTCCCGTTGACTTGGTCAATGCTGTTGAAAATTTGAAGGGAAGAAAAACAAATCTGGTGATCCCTGCAGCCTTACGTGGCTTTCCCTTTTTCCTTTCTTTTTTTTTTCTGACACTTTTCAAGATTCTGATTTTTCCTTGATTTATTGATTTATAGTTCTTGGCCATGTCTCAGATACCGATCTCGGATCGTCTCTAAATGATTTTTAGTCCGAAAGTTTCTACATGTACCGAAATCACTGACCCACCCATCTCTTCCCCATTCTAATCCATCGTGCCGTACGGAGCGTACGGAGTACGGAGTAGAGACGCAGACTCTCCATGATCTTAAGATTCTAAGATAAAACTAAGACTCCACTGATGTATGCACGTGGACAAATACGGGTAGAAACTTAACACTTCCAACTTGGAAGGTTATGGCAGAAGGAACTGAGTAATATACTGAGTTTTACTGGTACAGGTTGCCCCCAGGTGGGGTCGCGTCCCTGACTACCGATGACACGAACAGGCATTGACCACTGGAAAACAAGAGCACTTGAGCTGACCTGCGCCCAGCTTAAAAGGGTAGGAGAAAAAAAAGTTCATTCAAATGGAGGAATACGAGGTACATGAGTGGGAATCTGCATAACATGAAAGGGGGGAAAGTAAAGAAAAAGAAAAAAGCAAGGAACAAAGAAAAAAAGAAAAAAAGAACAAAGAAAGAAAGAGGAGAAGCACGCACGCTATCTAGGAACTATGTGTCACGATCACAGAGTAAGACGAATTGGCCCCTCAACAGCAGGCCTGTGGTCTGCAAGACCCCTTCTAATTCAGACCATTCCAACCCCAGTCTAATGCACTAGTCAAGGGAAAAAATCCAAGTCAAGTACCACCACCTCCATAACCCCTCCCCTTATGCATATCAACATCCCCGTCAATAAAAGGCTTACCCCCACCACCACTTTTCAGTTCTAGTATGGGTACATTGTAACCACGAGCCTTCAGCGCCAAAAGAAACATCGATCAGATTGAGGATGGTAGAGTATCAGTGCCAACCCTACGCCCTGCACAGAGTAGATAGACACCACTTCCCCAAGCATCTTCCATACTCCAACAAGTCTCGCCACCCTTTTTGTCCCTTCAAGGTAGCACTTTTTAACAGAGGATGTTGGTGTTGTTTAATTTTGCCCGCGAGTATTGGAAGAGGACCACGGGGGTGAACGCGGCGTGTTGTGGGTCTGCCCGCCGGCATTGCCATTGGGATGGTTGGCACCTCCAGCGGGAGGATTGTAGGTCAGATCATCGAGGAGTCTGGGGTAACAGGGCCCGAAGGAATTGCTTTTGCCAGGGATCCGAATTGCGATCCGAATTGGCGGACATCTAAGCTATAATGATCATTCAAGTTAGCGCAGGGACATGACGTAGCAGATCGAGCGGCGATCAACAGCTAGTGGCTTAGCTTAGATGGAATGAGGAGAGCGTACTCTTGGTTGCTAAGTGGGGAAGGCATCTTGCTCTCAGGTTGAGGAGAAATAAGTAGGAAAGGAATGGTGTGAATAATCGAGGTGAGGCTTTTTTTCGATGAGGTATTTTAACGGTGACAACGAAGTTACTTGAGGAGAAAGCTCTGCGAATGCCATTTCGTTAGAATGAGAGTCACCGTAGGATTTACTCCAGACGGACTTACTTTTTTAATCTGTCCTTGCCAGGTGTGAGAGAAGACTCGAGTACTGATGAGAAGACTAACAAGGAGGACACGATCTTTTTATCATAGAGACTGACAACATAGCCATCAGGCTTCTACCTACAACCCGGGCGTGCAAAAGAGCTCCTGGGTGAGTCAAGGTTGATTTCTTCACCCCAACCCTGGAGCGGGTAACGGTTTCTACGAGTAGGATACTAGATCTACGTCTATTGGGCCCGGGGTTAGGAGGGCAAAACCAGAGAAAACCTCGGTGCAAAAAAGGGGGGGTGCTGCCTAGGATCAGTGTGCCTAGGGTGAAAGCATAGTTTCGAAATATCGTTATATCAGAATTTCGAAATGGGCCAGTTAGTGGATATCCTGGGAGGCGAAAATAAGTCAAAAATGTTATAAAAATGTTAAAAAGGAAAAAATAAAATAAAAATACTGGAAAGCGTTAGTGCGATAACGCAGGGGTCAGTCTCGTGGACCTCTAAAGTTTTCCTAGTAGCTTGGGGGTTATTACTCCTACGATCTCTTAGAGGACACACTCCTCTGCGTGATCCCGATGTCGGGTTATCTCTAAACCCAATACAGACACGCTTATCCGCAGAAACTGCCCAACTTCCACGGTTGCGATGAAATAACGGTGTGAATGAAAAAGATGGAAACGGTATCACTGACTGTACTCGGTACCTGGTGCGCTATGACGATATAGATAGCACCGGACAAGACGTACGTGGTTCGAGACTACTAGTAGAAGAAATCTCCGATGGCATATGCAGACAGCCGGTTGACCCAGCATATCGGGTCTCGTATTTTGGATCAATTCATGCATTTAGGATGAAAAAGAATGAAAAGGATTGTTCATCTTTGTTTTTTGTTCCTTTGAGACCATGTATTCTTGTCTGTACGTGGCACTTCCATGTAAATCTAGGAACATTTGAACCTAACCATTCCCCCGGGTAATCTTAGTCTCTTCCAAGGTTAGTATGATCCACTCTGAAACTTAGAAAACCCCTCTCTTGATTTCTGAATATGTAGTCTACGAAGTACTCACATTGAATTGTACAAGGTAGATGGGATTGATGCCTTCATCAACTAATAGCGGGGCCTAAAGAGATGCGTCTGATATCACATTCCTCTCGAATCCACACTGACACCATAAAGTTAGATGTAAAGGGTAAGAGCTCCCTATTTCAGCGGTAAACCTTTAATAAAATAATATTCATATTAATAATAAAATAAAATAAAATAAAATAAATACATTGAGAACAATTGCACGCCCGGGAGAGCTTAGGGTAACTTGGTAAGTGGCTTATGCCCCACTAGGACCCCAATAAACCCCACTGTCACCGCTCTTTCTCTCTCCTATCAACAACAACACCACAAGCGTCCGCAACTGAGACATCTGGACATGAAACAACCCGGGAATTGGACCGCTATGCCAACTCATCGCTCTAGAAATGGTACGAGGCTTTTCGGAAGCATCTCGAGTTATCGGAAGTTGCCTGGTGATCATTGCATTGCAGTATGTGGAAGCCAAAGTCGCAGGTGGATGGATCCCATGTAAGCGATTGAACGAATCATGATACAGTGTGATCAATACACACTTCAGTACTGCAGTCAAGGGGAACCATTCAGATCACCGAGAAGCGCTAGGCTTTATTGTAAGTTCACGTTAAGGCTTTCCCCGTTTTCCCCCCCTTTTTCTTTTTCTTTTTTTTCTCTATCAATGTTTTCGGCAGTTTATCACGTATGCTCCACTGTACGGAGTACTCCATACAAACCACATTCCATTTCTATCGAGTAAAGGAAACCCATGCGGGGCATAAACTGGTCTTAGCGGTCTTAGCTTGCTCCACCTGGGCGATCATACACTCAAATCCAGAGTCAAATTCGAAGAGAACACATCTGGAGTACGGAGTACACCGCGCAAATTTAAAAGATACAGTGACGATAGAGACAACCTTGCCCAGGTGGAAATGCCCAAATTGGATATCAAGACCATCATATAGGTCTTATTCTGCCCAAGGCATTCTCTCTTAACTATTCCTAGCTGCTCCGCCACCATGAGAGATTCTAGTTGTCAATTCTTATGACGTCGTGAAAATTTGGGGCCGAGTCCAACCGTTCCAGTCCCCCATCTCCCCTCCTCGATCCCATGCAGCAATGCGCGCAGATTTCTGCACTCCACAGTGGTCTCGACCAAGAGCTTTGAACACAGAACGCATCCGTGCCCTGAATTCTTTGTATACTGTGTCCTTTTATTGCTTTTTCGCAAGACAGAAAGAAATGTCATGACATCTACTGGAGAGAAAAAATAAGATCCCACAATGACTCGGACCTCCCACAGAAAAAAAAAGAGAGACAAGACACCTGCTGTACTGCGGAGTAGAATACCAAGGCCAGAGGCCCTTTGCTGATTGACTCTTAGCTGCGTTAGCTGCATATCCGTACATCTTGTACACTGGTCTCATGAACCTCTACAAAAAGAGAAAAGAAAAAAATCAGACGAGATAACCGAGTCTCCCAAGGTTTACTTCGGAGTATTGTGCATGTTTGGTGTTTCAAGATGTCTCGTCTGACTTACTCTAATTTTGAGAACTACTAATACATCTTGTACATCGTTGTCTTTGTTGTCAGTGCGTCATGGTTCAGCCCCAGTCAGCCCCAATCAGCCTTGTCTAAATGGTATTCACGAACCACACCGCCTTGCCTTCGTCCACTCACTGCACAAATGTACTCTGTAACTCGATTCAATTGAGGGAATTTTTATTTTACTTTATCAATTCAAGTTGTAGTCTAGCCGGGGTGATATTTCGTTCTATTATGGGTAATAATTCCGGGGTGCTGGGCTATACAAGGCGGATTATAGTGATAGCAGTGGCTTCCACGGTTCTAGTTTGAAACAACATCTAGACTCTAAAACTCAAGCATTCGGAGCATCCACTATCGTCACTACTCAAAATTTTGGATGTGGCGCAGTCGGTTCTGATAGTAAGATTCTTGGAATTTTATACCTCACCATTTCATACGTACACACCTGGGCACCCAGGCGTGGCCCACTCCCACGCCAAGGCATCAGGGCACCAGGGCTCGAATTGATACATCTCTTCTCTTCTTTTCTCCTATCACAACTGCAGATTCATCATTCGTGCGGCTGATAAACCCGGGATTCTTGATTACCTGGGGAATTCAGGCTGCGGATTGAGGCATTGCTTGCTGCATCTGTCAGTTGTAAGTTGTGGCAGTGCAGTGTGGATTACATGTCATCTTCATGACTCTCGATCGGATGTGGTGGAATACGCCCAGGTCTTCTAGATCATGAATTTTCTGCCTTGTCTGAGCTTAGCGTGCTTAAGACTGAGGCTTGGATGGCTCGAGCTTGGTATGCTCGTCTCGGCTCTTGGTGAGGCCGAGTAGGGATAGCAATGCGATGTGGCTGTGTAGGCAGCACTCTGGTTTAATGCTAGTCCCAATTGATTATTATTGCGATATCTTATTTTAGTTTCTCAGGGATTGAATTGTGACGTCAATTGGGTTCCATTTTGAGCTTGCGCTGTTCAACATTGGAAATGTTGAGTCCATCATGATCTGTTTACCACTATCATCATTCAAATGTTGATGTCAGGATCAATGGACTCTGGGAATCTGGAATGCCTTCAATTTTGAATGCCAGTGATACTAGTACTCTTATACACTAGATAGTCTCAAAATCAAACTTGGAATCAATTCGTCATTTTTCGTTCACGCATGGCATACATAAGAATAAAATAAAGCTTCATCAACAGAAACGAGCAACCACCACCAGTATATCACCACCACACCACATCCATTATACTGATACACTCAAGCAGAGCTATGGACCAGTTCAATACAGAACTCGCCCAGCTCTGCCCCATTATTCGAAGTCATAATCTCCTCCGCAATCGCCTCCTCAATCCGCTCCCCATATCGTCTTCTATAATCAATCTTCACCTGCTCGAAGTGTCTCGGCTCCCAGTGTAGGCGCACAAGACGTGAGATGAGCAACTCGGTCCGCTCACGTCCGGCTTTCGATTCGCGGAGGGCTTGATGAAGGAGGAGGGCATCACGCATGGGTCGATTTATGGCGCCGTTAAGGATGTGGGCTAGTGTTTCGCCCTATTGAAGATGAGATTAGATGAATGAATCAGATGAAATGAGATTGGAGGTTGGGAATGGTGACTTACAACCAAGTTCCGAGACTTTGCAATCATTGCCTTTGCGAAATTCTGTCCATAGTACTTTTCGTACGCTCGTAGAACCTCGCGAAGATGATTATCACTTCTCAGAACAATAATATTGATCATTGCCGTTTCACCACCTTCCCGAGAGACAAGCGCCCGATGTAAATCCTCCAGATCTAGACGGATCAGTCTAGGATCCAGAGGCTCACGATCATCTTGTCGTCTTTCCTCGAGTGCTAACAAGACCGCAACGCGAAACTTATCGGCTTTGAGCTCTGCACGCATGCACTTCTCCAAACTGTTCTCGTATCGGCTGTCCCGGAAACTAGCCTTAATCTCACGGATCGCGGCATTCGAGCGTCCGATCAAAGATTCGATCAAGAGCTCGCGACGAGATGTACCGGCTTGGTAGTAGCAGTTTGCCCAGTACGCTTCCGACTCCCATCTTCCCAAGGCTGTAGCATAAGCTACCTTGGCAAAGGATGAGGTTCCCAGTTTCAAGCGGAGATGTTTCGCGAGGTTGATTCCCTTTCCGTGGACTCTCACTTGGTTCTTGTATTCTTGACGTAGTAGAAGGATCTCGTCGCTGGATAGACCGGGTAGGACCTTGATGATGGCCTTGTTATCGATGTTTCGGGTATGGTTCAAGGCTGATTGCATCGCTGCGGCGTCGCTTTCGGCGTCGTAGAATGATACTCGCTTGCTACCGGATGTGGGCGATCTGATGACATAGGAGCTGTCGCCGGCTGTGAGGGAGGAAGTAGATCCATGGCGAGCGGGGTCGATGGGTGTACGGCTGCGTCGTCTGTCTTCCCGGTCGGAGCCACGTTCGATTCGAAGCTTTTCCTTGCTGCTTCGAGGGGTACTTTCTCGGTCGCGATCTCTTTCACTGGTCGAGGACTTGGTGCGGCTGTGCGTCTTTCGTCGGCGGGTGTCTGATCCAGAGGTTTCTCCATCCAAAGGCTCTAGATCGGAGATATCGTCGTCGCGGATAGAGGGAATAACAATCGGGGAGGGCATCGGCGACATCGACTGGTAGGTTCCGTGATACGGTTCAAGCAATGGGCTAGCAGGGGGATGATGTCCTGCAAGTGAGGCACCACCCGTCACAGCCAGGTTATTCGCAGACGAGACAGACAGACTGTGTGGCCGAGTCTTCCGTCCACCACCAGGTGTGATCTCGACAAACTGTTGCGGCTGCGGCTGCAGTTGAGACTGCACTCTCGGTGATGGGGGCGGCTTCTCAACCTTCGGTTCATAGCTGTACTTATAAGGCTGGGCTGGCTGCTCCGGCTGCTTTGCGTGAAGATCCAAGTGCGACGTCCTAACATAAGGATCAGGCTTAGGTCCCGTCTTGGACGTGTACCTCACGTTTGGGTCAATTTGCGCATATTGATATGGCACAGGGTTTGCATAGCCATTCTGCGGACCATGGTATCCATCACTAGCAGATGCAGTCCGATAATGTGACGGCGCATATGCACCTGTCGATGCCGGGTATGCACCTGTCGATGCCGGGTATGCACCTGTTGAGGCTGGATACTGCGTCGGCTGGACTGGAGCCATGGTCGATGGGATATCCGCATAAGTCGATGTGGGAAACGCTCCTGGCATAGCTCCAGCCTGCGAGGTCGGCGGAACAAAGCCCGGTCGCTCACACTCCGGCACAGACGCCCAGTCTATCTGGCTACTACTCGGTCGCGCCGCAGGAGTAGGGGCCGGCTTCGACGAGGGGGCGGGCTTCGACGAGAAAAGCTTCGACGCCGAGTAACGGAACTGATCCGGTCTCCCATAGCTAGGATGGCTACCAGGGGTATCGCCATAGGCCAGATCATCATCGACAGAACTATCCGAGCTAGAACTCGAGTCCCGACGACTATGATTCCGTCTATGACCATATCCATTGCGACTACCACTAGCACCTCCTGGTGATGATGGTGGAAGCTGCTGCTGTGAAGAACTAGCACTGTACTCACGGGGCTGAATAACTTTCGTATCGCGCTCATCCCCGGAAACCTCGTAGCGGTCGCGATCCCGACCGTTATCGCGTACATCGTACCGTGCGGGGCTACGAGGGACTCTCGTAACACTAGCCCGAGGATCTCGATCATCTGCCTCTCGTCTACTCTCCCGTTCACGCGCCCGAGCCTCCTTAATCAGTCTGTATTGTCGCTCGATCTTAGCCTCATCGTCCGAATCGTAAGTGTTGCGATTGGGGCTGCTGGACCGGCCAATCTCCACTACGGCGGGGGATCGCGAACGGGGTCTTCCAACCGAGGGGCTCAAGGTGCTGCTTAGTCGTGGATCTGAGACATCTATTCGGCCGTCTCGAGATCGAGAGCGGGAGTCACGCTCATGGCGACCAGGGGATTTCGAGCGCGACCGGGGATCATTCACTTGGAGGGACATGAGTTTCCAAGGTTCGGCTGTGGGGTATGCGCCCAATTTGGAGGTTTGTTTTTATGTGAAGTATAGGATACGTTTAAAGAGTTGACTTTCTTCTGAGGTGATTGAGAACTGGAAAATTCGAGGTCAATGAATAATTTCGGAGGTTTTCAGGGCGTGCGACAGTAATTACCTTTTGTTCAGTGTGATGTTATGGGGAAGTTGGATCCACTCAGGGTTCAGCCTTGTCGAGGCCCCGGGGGCGATACGAGGTCGTATACTCCGTACAGACCTCGAGAATAGAGGGGGGTAAAATATACAGAAAAAAAAAGAATAACAACTTGAAAGAGGGGAGGCAAACTAAGAGAGAGAAAAGGCGATTAGGATAGAAACTACAGCCGCATAAGTTAACATAAGTCCAGCTGACAATGTAAACGAGGTGGTTGGAGCCGCTTGGCTGATTCTGCTGATTGGTTCTGTAGATGATCATCGCTGCAAGCTGAAGATTACGAGCATTGCGAAACAAACCACTACGGAGTACTCCGTGTGAAAGACTCGGGCGCTTATGATAATTCTAGCAATCTATACCTATAATAAAGAACGTTGGAAGAATTTCCATGATATTGAACAGATTCTTTCAACCATCCTCAAATACGAGTTCCAAGGTTGACTCTGCAGGTGCCCAAGTGGCTTTCAAGGGCTCCATACTTGCCCCTGATATGTGATAAGCAGCGTTTTCATAGATAAAATCCCCATCAGCGAGACCATTATGAATTCAGGTTTTTTTCTCTCTATATTTTACGTTCAAATAAACCATCTGGGCATCCCTCAATAGAAAAAGATTTCATAAATATTGATTCAAGCATGAAATTGTGAAACTGGCTTCCAAGGTTAACCTGCTCATCCAGTCGGGAAAATGTAAATCCGAGTTATTCATAAGGGCGGTCTGGTAAGCGGTGGGTGGGAAAAAGCAGCAGAAAATAGCCCAGGCCTCAGGCGTCAACTGGTGGTGTGGGTGCCTGGAAATTCTAGCCTTAATATGACTTCTCAGTTAACTATAGGGGACAATTTGGGAGTCCAGATAACCATCCGCATCGTAGTAGCTCAGCGGGCTATCGTGTCTGTCCCGATGTGATTTGACACTATGATACCATAAGACTAGAATGCTGGGACTGAGGGTTGTCAAGTAGCATCAGCGAGCGTGAGACTTGCCTAAATGGAACACCACCGTGAGAAAGCATGCAGCGGACTATGTGAAAGACTTCTGCGGAGCCTTTTTCTTTTTACTCTTTCTTTTGATATTACTTTTATATTTTTATCTATTTTATTAGATTTGTTATAATTTTTTGAAGGTTGAAGCTGTCATCATCTTTCTATTTTGAAGCCTCACTTGGTACAAACATCGCGAAATCCAAAAGTCTCTGGATCGATCCCGGCTCTCCCCATTTATTTTTCTTTTTCTTTTTCCTGGAGCTAAGATCCTCCACCTTCCAAAGTCATTTATAAAAATGTCTCCTTACCCATTATGATTCAACACGCCCCCTCTAAACAAGCTAGAGGTAAGATAATATTTCTATTATGACTCTAATGGGCAGCACCAACAAGCGGTGGATTATATATGGCACACTGAAACTGACTGTCCACCTTTTTCGCAGCGAACTACTCAGTATCTACGAAAATCACGGTCACAAGGCGCCATGCTTCACGGTCGATGACTGGAAGACGAGGTACAGCAACAGGTACCCAGATATCAAGTACTCCCACAACACAGCGATAAGATGAAGAAGAGTTGCTTAAGTGGTGATGCTCCCTGGACCATGGAAGGTAAATGAGATCTTAGGAATGGTGTCTATCTCCAGGTTGGACGCATCATGGCCATAGATGCCGGTGCAGCTGAATCCCTATGAAAAGAGGCCTTGCTAACAGCTACATACATCAGCAGCCGTTTACGACCAATATGGGTGTCATTTGTTTCACTAAAGGACAGGCAGAACTTTTCAGAAGATCTCAATTTTTCAAGTCGATATGACATTTCAACGAGTTGATGATCTTCTGGGAGATAGTCTCAATGACCAAGGAGCCAACATTAGATCAAGGTAGGTCTTGTGGTACCTGTCTAGGTAAGATGAACTATACAGTACTTATTCTTTCTACTCGCTAGATATTGTTCTTGCACGGATCTTTGTTAATAAAGACTCTACAATGATGTATGAGTCAGAATTTAAAAGACTGTTTCCAAAGATCTCAGAGGTCTCTGAAGATATCACCAACCGCTTACGACCAAATGCGTGTTATCTGCTTTGCCAAAGGACAAGCAGAACTTTCCAGAAGATCTCAATTTTTTCAAGTCGACATGACGTTTCAACGAGTTGCTGAGATCTTCCGGGAGATAGTCATAGTCACTAAGGAGGCAACACTGAACCAAGGTAGGCCTGGTACCTAGTATCTAGGATGAGTTATAAGTTACTAATCCTTTATATTATCTAGCATCCTTGCGGGGGTCTTTGTCAATAAAGACTCTACAATCATGTATGAGTTACTGTTCAAAAAACCCTTTCCAACGATCTCCGAGGTCTCTGAAGATATCAGCAACCGTTTACGACCAGCCAAAGATAAACCACATGCATACATATTCTACAGAACGGTGCCCAGGTGGGAAAGGGGAATGAATTGCAGAGATCAACCAACATCGTTGGCCCATCCACGATTATATTACTACCGCAGTGCAAATCATACGTCAATATTCCACCAGAACGCCGAACTAAGAGCCAAAAAATGCGCCCGCCCCTGTGCAAAGAATGTGTTTATATCAAGGTCACCTAGTACCCCAAAACACAAGAATATATCGAGTTATATCGAGTTATCTCTCATCAGTTTCTCATTTCTCTTACCTCTTACTTTATCACTTCATCCCTCTCTTATCAAGCTTCTATCTCGCTCGCCCATCACCCATGGAGTGTCCTATACACTCATCGATCAGCTGACGCCACCTCTGGCTTATCACATCTTAGCAGGGTTAACCCCACAAGTCACAAGGTTGCTGATCCAGCTCAATTTTAGGAGGTGAACGCTAATGCGATGTGTTGTGTTTCGTGTTTTAATCGGGCTCTTGCCGATTATGAGAAGGTGGTTGCAGGTTTCGACGCCCCAGGTCGTTGATTACCGAGACTGCGCAGTATTGACATCGTTCCAACTCTAAATTTTGCCAGGTGCTCCTGCGAGTATCAAATTTACCTGTTCCTGGTACCATTCGAACTCGAATACGTGTCGACAGTGTATGGCAGCTGGTGAAACTTGCACCGCAGTGAGGATCCATCTTCCTTTTTCGATGTGATGGACTCATGCTGATGCTTTTTTATCCATAGCTTCCTGCTGGAATCTTATAGTATTTATCTCTCACCCATCATTCATTTCCCCATTTACCTATCATCAGCTTCTCACTTCTCCTACCTCTCACTTCATCCCTCCATCCCTCTCTTATCAAGCTTTTATCTCTCTCATTTCTGGGAGTTTCCTCCCCCCCCCCATTGATCAACCGACGCCATATCTTTTGTTATCAGCAGCATACCATTGCAGTCTCCTCAGTAACGCTTGTTTCATTATCCGGGCTGTCCTACTTGCAAAATGGCGCCCAGAAAACTTACTAGCGAAAGCAAGGCTATTCGACAGCAGAAAAATCATCCCTGCATACTACGCAGTCCTTATGAAGATCCTCGTCGGTCTCGCCGTATGTAACTTGGACATCAGTGGGCGTGTGTCCAACGACGTGAAACGCGATATCGTCGACTCTGACACTCTGACACCCTGTCCCTAAACGCCCTGGATTTTATCATCAAATATATCCAGCAGGAACTACTCGTCGAAGAGCTACGAGCCATGGTCGTGACATGCCACCTACATCTTTGTCCTAGGGTTTGAAATCAGGGCTTAAGGGGCAGTGACCATGAGGGGTTGCTCTCTCTTTCACTGGCTTTTGCCTTCAACCTTGGACGTATCCATTGAATTCGGCTGGTACTTCTGCAATAAGATGTTCAGGACGCTGGTTCTCCGCTTATGCAAGATCTCAGGACTAAGACGTCATGGCAGCCCTATTCTTCTGCTTATTCCCCTCTGGGCTTGATTCACGCCTTGTTCGTGGTAGAAGTTTCTTGTCTGGTTTTGGAGGATTTTTTGGCCTGTCTTGCTTCATTCCACGGTGCAGTAAGTTGTTTCACTGTTGATTTATCATTTTCTTCTCCGCAGACGTTAGTTTTACGTCGGATTTCTTTCTTGATTTCATCAATTTGAAAGTTTTCGATGCCGGATCCAGGGAATTTCGCTTTTCTCTCCCAAAATACGACGTCTCGGTGCATGAAATTTTAATTGGGGAGCTCGTGGGCTTCTTTGTTGGCCGGTTCATTGGCTTACAATATGACTTGGACCCAATTGAAGGTTGGATCTTCATGTACAACGGCACATCCTCATTCAAACGTTAGGATGGCCACTTATTGCCCCATCCGAACCTCTCGGACAGAGTTCATTGCCTTGAATAGCATCATCGATGAAGGACAGCTCATAACTTGAATGATCCTGACAATTAAAATTGGACAACAGACTGGATACGCAAAAGCCTTCTGGTCACTTTCGAGCGCAAAGCTCGCACTCTGTCATCGGCAGACGGTTGTATGTCTGTCGAGCAGGTGAGTGCGAGGCTGAGGAAACTCTTACCTCGTGCCCGAAGAGGTGATTTTCATTTATTGGGCCAAATCGAAGTTCGATCTTTCTCACTTGGAAAGAGTTTGAAAAAGATAAAAAGAAATGTGAATAGCAGGCTGTATCTAGATCTGATAATCAAACGGCAATCTACCCTATTACATTCCACTTTTCCTGCTCAGGAGCGATTGACATGATTTAGTTCAAATTAAAGGTACGTGTCAATAAAATGGGAGTCGAAATGATGTGAGATCGTCGACGCTGCACAGAACTTGAACCTTGGAAAGAACTGGCTGGGATGGGATCAGGTATTAGAGAACCATCCTAGTTTCTTACGAGACTCGCCAGGGCCAACTAGAAGATACAGGAGTTGGAAGGAGACGACATGAGGGAAATTGAACGTGGTGTTCAATTGAAGCGGGTTATGGTGGATGAATTGAGGAGAATGATAGATCCGACTCTGCACATGTAGCAAGGATTCCTAGTGCGTCAGGCTATATAGGATACACCAAGCACTACATTCCCATTAGGACAGTGGATAGCTACCAGGGTCCGAATGATATAAGAATGTGAATACAGTGGAGTACTAATTCTAAGTGTCATACGAGAAAGAAGCTCTGGAGGTCACGGTTTCCCACAAATTGGATTACTAAAAAGACAAAACACGACACATTTTGTGCGTAAGGGAAAGACAGAAATAAAGGAGCTCGAGAGATCTCGGAGAATGAGTAAAGGGAAAAGGGGGTATGTGCGGAATAGCAAGCTATGCGAACAGGAGAAGAAGAGAACTCAAGGGGTAATCAAGTAAGAAAAGACAGAATTGTGCTGAAGACAGAGATCGAAAACCATCCTAGCGCGTGCGACGACCATCACGGATAGGTCCCATGCGGCCACCATAGGTAGGCTTAGATGGCATGGGCGCAGGTTGGCCATTACGGTTGAGACGGTTGGTTCTCCAGCGTTCGTACCAGATCACACGACTAGCATCTCGTAGCTCAGATCTCCATTCGGTAAACACGGACTCCTTCAGCTTCACAAAGTCGCAGTGCTCAGGGTTGTATGGGTCAGCGAAACCCCAGGCAAATCGGCGTCCAAAGGGTTCTTCGCCAGATGCAAGGGAGTGTGGGTCCGGAGATAAAATCGAGAATGGCACGTGGGGATTGACAGTGGTGATCGATCCGGTGGATTTGCGAGTGCTCTGACTACGCTGCGAGGGGGAGGGAGGCGTGGGCTGTCCCTCCTCGGTAGAAGGCGCATTGCCCTCAATGGGGCTCTCGGTCTCCTCGTCGGGCTTGGCGACTTCGGGCTCGCTCTCCGCAATTGACTCATCATATGCACTCTCGGAAGAGCTATACTCTTCCTGGTCTTCCAGAGTCAGGATCTCCAGAGGATCAATATTGGCTTTCTTGAGACTGCTCCAAACAGCCTTGCGCAGGTATGTCATGTGGGCAGAGGTGATGGTATCGGCCTTGCTGATCACAGGCACAATGGTGGTCTTGCCGAGAATGGTGCGCAGCACCCCCAAGTCCAGGTTCTGATCCAAAACGCCCAGGACGGGAGTGTCAGTAGCCTTGGGTGTTCCATTGGCAAAGCGCTCGGCAGCTGCGATGTTCTCGTCCAGGTGCACGGGGTCGAGCAAGAGGAAAGTGCAGTGGATGTGGGTGTCGCGAGCTCCAGGGGATCGCACAACCTTCATCTCCTCCGCCAGGGTCTCCTCGAACTTGCTCTCCAGGAATCCGGTGACGGCACGCATCTGCAGGTCCACAATGTTACGCTCCAGGCCGGTGGAATCCCACAGGGTCAAGCCCACGCGCTCGCCATCAATTTCGGTTTCGAGATACTGCGATGTGAAACCCTCATAGGCGGAGGTCTGGCGCTCCAGCTCCTCCAGCTCTTCGGGGCTACGTGTGGGGTGCTTATGCGGGGGCATGGTCAAAGACTGGCGGAGAAAGTTAAGGAAAGAGGTCTTGCCCGAATTGCGAGCGCCAACCACCAAAACACTGTTTTTATGTTAGAACTGTTGTGTTTATTCAATAATAAATACTTTTCACATGATTCACTCACTTGTATGGGGTAGGATCCTTGCGACGACGAACTCGACGGGGACTGTTGACAGTGCTGACAGCGCTACTGGCATAACTGTAGCGACCCCGATGGGTCATACTTTCGGCCCGCGCATACGGATCAATAGAATCGGTAGGGGAAGCGAGCGACGCCGCAAGACCAGACTGAGGACGAGACATGACAGGATCAATCTTCAGGGTATCACGCTCTTCACCACCAAAGGTTTCCAGCTGCGGGGTAGGGGAAAGGTCCGGGAGGCGTGGGGCGATTTTAGGCGCGTAAGACTCGCGCTGACGGCGTAGTTCCTCCTCCATTTGTTGCGACTTGGTCATCTTCTTCCGACTAGCAGAGGATTTACGTTGTTCACCAAGTGGCTCGGTAGATTTGGAACGACGGAGAAAACCCAAAGAGGTACGACGCGCGTTGAGGGTTTGACCGTTGTCGGAAGGCACTTCAGATGGTGCGCGTGAGGAAGTTGGTGTTGCCATTTTAGACCGTTTGTATACAGATGCAATTTTGCACTATAAGTCTGCAGTCATAACATCAATCAGTCTATGTCAATCATGTCACTCCAATTATTCTCTTTTGTTTTCTTTTTTTTTCTTATTCTGATTCTTTCTCTTTTTTCCCTCGGGTATGACATTCCCCCCCTCATCAGTAGGGATATCCCACTTACATATCCGAATATGATCACACGTCAATGATACACACCCTAACCTCAATACTTCAATTGATGGATTTTCGAGAGGAAAAAAATAACGAATGTTCGACCCAATAAAAAACGAAAGAATAGATTCAATCGCAACAAATCTCTCAACCAGTGTGAGTTCGTTGCTTCTTCTCTCCGATAAGAACCGTCTACTAACTGGAGTGACGGAGCCAGGGGAAGTCGGAATGGAAATTCGGGTGGAGGAAAAGAGACAAAGATTGTCAATTCTTTTTTTTATTTCTTTTTAGCGGATCTTTTTTTGGTTTGAAAATTGGGAACCGGCCTGCTCACAGCGTCCGACTCTAGCGGCGCATGGAGAAAAAAAAAATTCAAAACGAAAGGAAAGGAGTGGGTGAAGAGAGAAAGAAAAAGCCGAGATAGTTTAGATTTGCGGAGGAGGATTATGTACGAACGACTCGATACCCTGGATACTGGTATTGGAAATTCAAGTTCATTAAACCTGATACAATGTGGGTTCTTGATAGAGATATTGACACTATTGGTATCTATGAGATCGCTCTACAGTACTCTATACAAATAACGGGAGTAGAGAGTACTCAACCATTTAAGTAGTTATGCTATACTATGGTTTCTCTTTTTGATTCCCAAGGTTAGGTATTGGGCTGATACAGAGATTCAGGGGGTAAACCGTGTCGAGTCTGGTCCAGAGCCTACCACAGACTCCCCCCACTTAGAGCTGCTGTGTGGGCTGTTGTGTGGACAGCTGGGATGTGCGCCGGCGGGCGGCTAACTCCCGACTGGGAAGTGTGGATGTCGATGAATCCGTGAACGCAAGAATCAGACTTCCTAGGAACTATGAGTGGTTGAAATTCCCTGTCTAAGGAGGTCCTTGAACAGAGGGGAATATTGGGACTACGCAACTCCTCGTGTTAAGTCATATAAGCATCACAACCACGAGTTTCCCCCCTGAGAGCTGGCACGTGCGTAAACGCCAGGGGCCGTTGGGCTCCACCTGATTCATCTCTTTGATCATGTTTCAGGTTTCATCGCCTTAATTGACTCTAATATTGTCCAGGTGGTTGGGTTCATTAATGATGGAATAGAGTTGGTCACGGGATCATATATCAATATCAGACCAAATCAGACCAAACGAATGAATCTGAACCTTGGAAGGTGTTCACCAACTCAAGACTAAATATACAATTCAGATTGGAGAATATTTTGATCGGTAAATAAATTCCCGAGTTCGGATAAAAACTGTCAGCCCAAAAAGAAAATTAAAAAACAAGCCAAGACTCAAAAGAACCCCTTTCACAGTTCTATCTTCAGCTCGGCCGAGCTATGTAGATCCATATTCAGCTCCCCTCCAGCTCATCCTGTAATCATTAAACTTATTCCTGTGAGGATTTAACGCGCTAATATCTGGGCAATGTCCGAGGAACCATAGACTGCCTTACGGAGCACTCTCTTCGTTCAGTGCGGGAGCGGATCAACTAATGCATGTGTACAGTCGATCCACCGTGGTATCTCCTGCACGATCACAACATCCACGCGAGCTATCCAACGTGGTGGGGCACGCACAACCCGCGGAACGGTCCATTCTGGGACGCGTCCTGGAGCTATTGATTCTGAACCCTGGATTCATCCCGCTCAACACTCTGCAAAAAAAACATTGAAGAATCTGATATCGCGTTGTTTACTGGATTTCTTCGGTATTCCTTCAATCTGCTGTGTGTAAGATGCAAGTACTGTCAATGTCTGTGCTGCCTGTGCGTCAATGGCCAACGCGAATTCAAATGAGGTGGACCCGTGGTGGGGTCTCTTATGTGCCGGCGCTGGGTCTTGGGCTGGGCCCGAAGAAATTTGCTTGAGCTTGGGCTTGTTTTCTGGGTTTTCACTCTGCCAATTATGGAATGGCACTCCTCAAGTGCTGCTCCGTAGTTCAAGCCCAAGTCCACTTGGTATCTAGTCGACGGATATATGCCCAAGTGGGACATTTTGAATTTGAAGTCAAGATCTGTGTACCTGAAACCTTGTAGCCTGTGTGCTAGTCGGCAGAGGAATTGGTTGAAGGGCATTTCAATCATGTGCTGGATCTGCTGAGGTGACACACACCAGTAAGAATCAGAGTCAATATTGAAACTTGAACTTGAATTTCCAATGTCTGTACCTCAGGCTCCAGTGCTGACCTTCAGATCTGTAATTTTTGTGTAATCAGTGATGGATCCACAGGGTCACCTTAAAACATTTGAATGTTGTGGATGCGAGTGACCAGTTGACCATGCTCCAAGGTTCAAGTTTATGCACTAGTCCCAAAATAGTAAGCGCCAACGTTCTGCAATGCAGCCTCAGGCTCTCAATGCACAGGTGAGGCCTCAGGCTGTCAAATATAAATGTGTCCATGAGGTGTAACCCGTGGACTATCATTGTATAATCCTGAATGTTATTTTCATTACCTGGTACCTATTTCACCTGGGCAGTACAGCTCTGGAGCCCTGTTGTCACATGTGCACCGTGGCGATATGGTTATCCCGATAATTCGAGTCCGAATCGTTATATATCTTATGATGGAAACCTTGGAAGTGGATCGCGGGGCACTTCGAGAGATCGCAAGTACTTCAAGTTCTGTATCATAGATTGATTAAAAATCCCATCCCAAGCCTTAAAAGCCGGACACCAATCTCCTTATAATAAAAATGTACTAACAAAGCATCATAAGAAACGAAACCTTGGAAGTAAATCAAGAAAATACCCCATGGATGCGTGCCAAGCCTCTTGCACAAGGACATCTGCATTATGCGATTACTGAAGACATGGACCAATTGAAAAACAAGTCGAAAGCTGTGTTAAATGTGACAGAGACTTAAACAAACGGACTCTGAAGATTTTAGACGCATAGCTAAAAAAAACCCTCTATATTGTTTTATTCTTCGCGTGAATATCCATTATATAGAGCAATTGCATGGCGGGCCTTACCGCCTTCTTATCGCGATTGTTTACAACGCGATTAATCTTCATCGCACCAATTCTACACATACCCACAACTTGAAGCAAGATGGCTAATGCAACACAAGCACTGAGACTGCTCCAGACGCTCCAAAAGGAGCAGGGAGATCTCAAACAAAAACTGAGTATCATAAGGATCGCAGAACCCATTTCAGAAATCGGCGACACCAAACAATCCCCCTCGAAACGAAGATCGGACGTCTCGATATCAAACCTCAGTGACCCGACTCCTGCCTCTTTAAAGGCCGATCTTACTCACTACAAGGTTGGAGCTTACCCGTCCCAAGTGATAATGCCGACCCGAATCGCAATGGCTGACCTTAGCGTTCGTAGGAACTATTTTCCAAATTACGATTCTCCTACCTCGAACAAGTCACAAAAGAAAAATTTCTACGAGCAATCGTCGGCGACCCTCCTCTCGTCGTGGGACACAATGAGAATGTGGAACTGGAGATACAGCTAGCGGGGGTGAAAGCAGAGCTAAAAGCCCGAAAAGAAGAGGCGCGCGTGATGATCGAGGAGATGGAGAAGATGAGTCGGGATTTAGCAAGTCGTGAGTATCACCTAAAACCTACCTATGCTCGTATACCAGTGGTGATTTAACTGTTTTTTGTGCAGGTTACAAAAACGTTGAAATCCAGGAAACACAACTTACCGATCTACCGGAATCGATTGAGAACCTCGAGTCCACAATTGCGGGTCTTCGCGCGAAACAAGTCGCTAGTATGGATACGTCGAATCCGCGTTCATCGCAGAATTTGACTCTCCCTGCGACGATGGAATTGTTATCGGAGAGGGAGGCGGAGTTGGCGGCGCTGAATAGACAGATCGCTGCTGTGCAGAACTCGTTACCGCGAAAGACGAGGGAAGCTGAGGCCATTGAGAGGGAGTGTTCCGTATTAGAGAGGCGGAAGGAAGAGGCGATCATGCAGGCGCGCGAGGCAAGAAGGAAGAAGCAGAAGGGTGAGACGGATGGCACGGAGGAAATGGGGAAGTGGTATAGAGGTGCGGAGGAGACATTGAAGGAGATGGTTGGCATAGAGGGATGAGATCTGAAACACTGATCAACGACGATACGACTGAATGAATTTTACTTGAGTGGTCTGGAGTACTGGTATTGGCGTTAAAGAACTGAACCTTAATTTGTACTTTTATGTGGCTACATGAAAGAAATAATATTACAGAGTATGAAAAGATTCGGGTTTCGAATGAAGCCATTATGGCTGGTGTGTTCTTTTTATTCATTGAATTTGCATGATCGTACAACATAAATCGCTCAATGCTGCAGTCATCAGGACCCAGAATTTTGACCTTTCCAAAGCGAAACCCGACCGGACTCCCGTTTTCTTTTTTAGGCGCTAATTTACTCCTCATCCTCCTCAGCCTCGTCGTCACCACCGGCGGCGGCAGCGGCCTTCTTGCGGCGAACGCGACCGGGGCGGCCACCACCGAAGGGAGAGGACAGAGAGAAGTCGATGTGCTTCTGGGAGTCCAGGCGAACCATGAAGGAGGGAACGTTGACGATCTGCTTGCCAACACGGATGTGGCGCTGCTTGATCAGGACACGGGCGTGGTGGATGGACTTGGCGAGGCCGAGCTTGTACACGCAGGTCTGGAGACGACGCTCAAGGAAATCCTCGACCTTCAGGGCCAGGACGTAATCGAGCTTCATGCGGGCCTCATCGAGGACACCGATACGCACAAGACGGCGAATCAGGGCGTTACCCTCGAACAGACGCTTGGGGTCCTTCTCATCGAGAGTAAGGAGCTCACTAAGTGAGTGTTAGTCTTTGTGCGCTTCCTGTCTGAAGATGTCTTATGGGTCCTCCACATACCGAGCAGCACGACGGATCTTGGAGAGGGTAAGCTGGACACGCCAGACCTCACGCTTGTTGCGCAGACCGTACTCGCCGACAATCTTGAGTTCAGAGTCACTATAGAAAAGTGGTTAGAGACGGGGAACATCACGACTTGAACAGAAGCACGCTTCTATTCAGTGGCCGGAGAGTACTAACAGACGAGCCGACTCGTAAGCTAGGCGAAAAAGTTAGTATACTGTAAAACGAGGCTAGAAAAGGCCATTGCCCAAAGAACAGAGTTCCTAGGCTATATCCAAGTCTGTATTTGAATTTTGAAGATTTTGGAAGAGGTACTCACGACGACGGGGGACCTTATAGGTCTTGGAGTAAACGCGACTATAATGTCGAAAATTAGACTCATGCAAATAAAATGCACATCTCGATGATACTCACGGGGCCATTGTTGCTGGGTTGTCGCAAAGTCGTGCACACTACGAGGAAACTTCTCTCACGGCGAGAACATGAAGTTCAATCGATGGAGTCTCGGCTACGTGGGCACTAGTCCCGAATAGGTTATAGTGGCTACACACGGGGGTCAGGGCTAGGGCTAAGTTGGATCCCGTGCGCACAGCGTCACATGACGCGCACAATTATTCGGGACCTCCGCCTCAATCTTGATTCAAAGGCCCGCTGTCGCCAAATCAACCTCCAAGCACCAACCAACCAATACCGTCGCCATGCCTCACTCGTACGGTCTGCGTGCCGGCACTCGGGTACGTCGCCATTCTCGCCATTATTGAATTGCTATCATTTCTATAAACCGCCGATTTTCAAGTCGGATGGCAACGAGGAACCGCAAAGGAAGAAAAAAAGACCGACCATACTGACCAAATGCACAGTATGCCTTCAGCCGCTCCTTCAAGGAGCACGGTATGATCCGTCTCTCCACCTACATGAAGACCTACCGGTACGAACGACCTGGAATCCGAAATTTCAACATCGAAAATGTGAAGAATTGGGGGATCTGACAAATTTTTAGTGTTGGTGATATCGTTGATATCAAGGTCAACGGTGCCGTTCAGAAGGGGTCAGTAACACCGAAATTTTCTTGCTTTGCTTCGCTCGCCCGAATGCGCTCATCTTGAGCCTTCAAACACCATCAATTCCCAATCCTTTCCGCCGACACACTACTTGGCCATTTTGGCATTTGCGATGGACCATGACTGAGACTTTTGATCTTATAGTATGCCCCACAAGGTCTACCACGGTAAGACTGGTGTCGTCTACAACGTCACCAAGTCCTCCGTCGGTGTCCTCCTGTACAAGCGTGTCGACAACCGCTACCTCGAGAAGCGCATCAGCGTCCGTATTGAGCACGTCCAGCACTCCCGCTCCCGCGAGGAGTTCATCAACCGTGTCAAGGAGAACGCCCTCAAGAAGCGTGAGGCCAAGGAGAAGGGTATCCACGTCCACCTGAAGCGTCAGCCCGTTGGTCCCCGTGACGGTCACCTCGTTTCCCAGGCCGGCAACGTCCCCGAGACTGTTACCCCCATCCCCTACGACACCCACATCTAAGGGACTCGCATTGGAAAATGGGTCTTTCGGTTCGGTGCGCGTGGTTGTTCGGTGTTATTTGAACTGGGTTTTCGCCGCTTTTCCCTGCCCAAGGGGCTGGGTTTGGACTTGGGCTGCATGAGACAACGCGTGATGGGTCTCCGATGCCCTGGCACATCTCAAGCCTGTGCATAGATTCCCCTGAATGAAACAAAAATCAAAAATTTTTCCGAGTTCACCTTAGTCCTGGACGAATTATGAATATTCTTTCTTGTATGATTTTGCTGCTTCGTATTGAGAAGACACTGCTATAGGTCTAGACGCAATCTAGCAGGACAAGCTCTTCTACCCCGGGGCCCTATAATTCGTAGATGTAGCCTTACATTATGCCTATGGGTCTACGTACTCGAATGCTTATACTGTGTGGGCCTACTTGCGGCTCCTATGCACTTACGCTCCTACATTACAGTCTCCCGAGGTTGCCACCTGGGCATAATTAGTATGCTAGCAAGAATCCTAGTCTTTGCAGCCCGCTCAAATTTAAATATCACATGCATCATTCTACTACGTCGCTAGATCAAGCTTTATTCTTCTCTCAAAAGATGACAGTATTTTGAACTGCCAATGGCTGCTCATTTTGAAATAAAGCTACTCGTACCTTTCATAGACTAACTGTTCTATACTCACTTAAACCTCACGTGAACGTCATGGTCTCCCAGCTATCAGCAGCCATTCCTATTTCTATGAATAGAGACATTCAAACTCTGAAACTTTGACCCAGACCTTCTTCTCTCGCACGAGAAGAATGGATTTCAGATTTTTGAAACTCAAATTTTAACCCAGATGATTCTGCTTGCAGACTACAACGATGAGGCGAAACTATCGCTACCAGGACCTGGCTTGGCTTGACCGGGCAGACTGCTGCTGTGACTGTTGCTGCAACGTCCGGGTTTTTCTCGACAAAGGTACTTAATAATTCGCCCTTCAATCACTCCAAACACCGTTAACATCTCATACTGTGTAGGCACGCTCAGTGTTCTCATGCGCTAAGGTGTCTGGACCTGGCCCTCCCAATGCGGTGATTAAGATCCGAATCCAGTTAGTATCATAAGTCTCCTCCGTTCTTTTTAATGATAACAATCCTCATCCTCATATGCTACAGCCTACCGCCGAAATTCCAGACAGCCTTCCAGACCCGCCGCCACGCTCTGAGAAAACTATGATCATCATCGACGTCCTGCCGGAGTTCGAGCCAATCGCTGCCTTAGCTGATATGAAGGCTGTCCTCCAGGCGCATCACAGCCAGATCACCGAGCTCTGTAGCTCCGACCAAGCACAGCGGATCAAGCAGGCTGCCAACAAGCTGCAGTCGCTGCTGAGCATGCAGACCAGCATAACCGCCTAGTTGCCGAGGCGCATCATGCCCATTCCAATCCGATCGCCGCTATAACCTCGAATCCCACTGATAAGGCTGATGTACGATACTCCTTGGGTAATTTTCACCTTTGTCTCTGTCTCATGTGGTCTACCTTTGGGGTGGGGGGTAACGAGTAAGAGGAGTCTGATTTTTAGTGTGCATGTGTGTTGCAGACCACCTGAGCAATGCCAGGGCGGTATTATCTGAAGAATGTCATTCCTTTTCTCCGAAAATTCCACGGGTTGTACTTCTACTAGTAGAACTACCCGAAATGACAGTCCAGACTCGGATGTCTTGTCTACGGGTATATATGTATCCGCTACTACTACCAGTAATAGTGATCCATCATGATGCCAGTGTGCCCGACACCTATGCAAATTGAAGCACTCAACTTGAATCAAATCTCGGTTTAATATCGGATTAATGTAGAATACTTGATCTGGACACTCCACCGGCATCTTAACGTCCCAGTGGGTACATACTAGATCGCTCGGCTTTCGGCAAATAGATTGATCATAGTCCCCTAGTTGTGGCCAAAAAGCCAGCATCGGGCTAGTTCCGTTCTTCTGCATGATGCCCAGGTGGTCACATTTTGCTAGTAGACATGACTCGGATTGACGCATGGAGATAGATGCTGGCAAGGAGAATCAACGTTAAATGGAACTTCAAATGTTATCCGTGCATCGAAGTGCCGAGTGCCGAGCGTAGTAGAGATCTAATTCTTCAGCACTGGAGGGCTTGAGGGCTCGGACCTTTGCAATCAAACTTGAAGTACTAGAATGTCACCGTGTTCGCTCATAGAAATAACGGCGGTGAGGTCGATATAGACAGGAAAACCTTCTCAGATGCAAGCCTGACACATACATGAAGTAGTTAGTGCTAGGCCCGTGGGTTATGCTCCTAACCTTCAAACCTTCAATTTTTGAATCGGAAATTAAGAATTCAAAATCCTGCACATTTAAACGCACTTGATACTTTCAGATTAAATCGGGTGACATGATAGTGATCGGAGTTGACTGAAAATTATATAGTCCGTTCAAGGTTCTAGCACTGGAGTATACTCCGGATACATAGTATGCACTAAAATATGTTACATCGGTTAGTTGTCAGCCACGCTTCTCCACAAACTTCAACTTCATCTATTTCATCCAATAGTCAATATCACAAGACACCCACAACGGAACTTTTCCCTCAAGTGGAAACAAAAAAAGACTTCGTGGATGAGGCTTGCAGCGATTCATTTCCCCTGAAGACCGAGTCTGACCTATCATGCATGACTACGGCCCCGTAAGGGGGTCTGCCAATAGGAGGTGGAACCGGTGGTCTTTAGTAGCCACTACACGATGCGCACTAACAAATCTCATTTCAGATGATGTATCAGGTACTTGATCACATCGTGCTCACGATCGGGATGTCGTTCATGTCCCACCAAACTTGGCAAGGAGCTGACGCGTTTTGCCCTATTCTCCTGCAAAGGGGAGCCTTTCTGATTTGAACACTCGAAAACGCCATGAGGACCATAATCTATCTACCGCTGCAGGTCCCCGAAGGATCATCTTGTTCAATATTGATGTCGTGCTTGTATCCGCTCATATTGACCTCCAAGTTCAGATGAATTTCTGACGGACCATCCGGAATTCGTTCTGCTGATCACTATTTCCCCGCAGATTGGTCGGGCACCAAAATCGTGAAAAGACTGACTTATATCGCCAAGCACTAAGAGATTTGCATGAAGCCGAAGGTCCGAGGAAACTTGTGCGCATGATGCAATCATGCTCCCCCAGCACTTTCCTCAACATGCATCGCTTGCCCTATGAACGGGCTTGCAAACAGACCGCATATGCATCTGCCCTCCCTTTCCCCGAGATCATTTTGATCATTTGAATCATTTCGTGGATTCGTGCACTCGCTCATTCGATCAGCCATCACAATTTGGCCACACTCGTTTTATTCCGCATCTTTATTTACGCCATCCCGTGGGCGCAGTCACCTGCGAGTTGTTCTGCCAAAACGTCCCAAAAAAGAGGATACTCTGATTTGCCGACGCCACAGACCTGTCGATCCCGCATAGACCGCTGCTTGTTCCATGCGACCTGAGATTTGACTGTCTTTCTTTCTCTTTCTTTCCTTGACCGAGTCGTCGCTCGTTCGGAGTTAGTCCATTTATTCCAATTCAGGTGAATCATCCCCCCCCATGTAAACCGTCTCCACGAGCATGGTTCTCCCCCCCTTCTCCATATCCCTGCAATTCTATGGATCCTACCTAGCCCCTAACATCCTGTCGTTTCCTCCCCTTGCCATATGGCCGAAGCGGCCGCATGAGATCTCATTTTATTATTTGGGCACTGACATGGTAATCAGCCGACTTGCGTGTTCGGAACTTTCTTTTACGCAGGTCTGCTGCTTCGTGAAATTACTCGCTGCTTCGCACTAAGCCGTTTCGTTCTTTTGGCCGTGGAGGGGAGCATTCTGGCATGCGGGCCTAGGACGGACCTATAGCGTTCCCCTTCGTTTATTCTGCTATCCCCGGAGTTCGACTATAAAAATGTCCCTGGCATTCCAGTAAACACCGCGTCGATCCTTCCTGCATGTCCTCTGTCATACCCAGTGTTCGTGCAGCTTGCTTCCTTAGAGCTTCTTAATTTTTGCTCTGGTGTCTCTCCTTTTACTTTCACTCCTTTTTGTCCGACACAATAAATATCACAGAGCACAAGCTCCTTGGTTGATCTTTTTGATCCCGTCCAATCCTTTTTTTGTCAAATCACCGACATAATGCAGCTGTATAATCTTGGTCTTCTGGTCGCGTCTTTTGTCGCCTCCGTTGGTGCTGTCTCGACCTTTACACCTGCTCGACCCCCGGCTGTGCCTCTGGCTGTTAAGTCGCCATACCTAAGCACTTGGCTTGATGCTGGCAGTGATGGTGGTAATGGAGGCTACTTGGCTGGCGAATGGCCCACGTTCTGGGAGTAAGTTGGGATCTGCAATTACGCTTTAAACCTTGGCTAATCTTTATTTTCCCAAATAGGAACCAGATCACTGGGTGGTGCGGTCTGATTCGCGTCGATGGTGTGGCCTATACTTGGATGGGTCTGCCAGGATCGACGACTGTTGATCAGGTATCACTGGAGTATACATCCACCAAGAGTATCTTTACTATGAATGTTGCTGGTGCCGTGGAGATGAACATTACTTTCATGTCGCCTATTACTCCTAATGACTTGAAGCGTCAATCCCTTGTTTTCTCTTACTTGAATGTGGAAGTTTCCTCACTCGATGGAAATGATCACGATGTACAGGTTTACGCCGATATCTCTGCAGGTGAGTTCCCCATTTTGGAAAATACACAATTCAGATTGGGAGGGAGTTCTGAAGGTATTCTGTTTTTGAGGGATGAAAGCTGACAGAAACAGAATGGGTATCGGGAGACCGAACTACAATTGCTGAATGGGAGTACGGCACCACCGATGATGTCGCATACCACAAGGTGTACCGTCAGACACAGCTCGCATTCTCGGAGGTTGACCAGCAGGGTGAGTGGGGCTACTGGTACTGGGCCACGGATGTCGCCGATAGCATGACTTACCAGGCTGGCGAGGATACCGTTGTCCGTGGTCAATTCTCGTCCAATGGAACTCTTGAAAATACTATCAACACCGACTACCGTGCCATTTCTGACGATTGGCCCGTTTTCGCGTTCGCATCTAACCTGGGCTCTGTTTCCTCATCTCCCGTCAGCACACTGTTCTCGATTGGTCTTACACAGGATGACGCTGTCCAATTTGAGGGTGCCTCGGCATACGGTCCTGTCCAGTCTCTCTGGAAAGCATACTTCGACACTGAGTTGGATGCCTTGTCATTCTTCCATACGGACTTTGCTACATCCAGCTCTCTCTCCGGCGAGTTTGATACTAAGGTGACATCGGATTCTAGTGCGCTTGGTGGTGAAAACTATGTGACAATGACTTCGCTCTCGGCCCGACAAGCATTCGGTGCCACTCAACTTTGCGGAACCGAAGACAAGATGTACCTGTTCCTCAAGGAAATCTCATCTGATGGCAATGTGAACACAGTCGACGTCATCTTCCCAGCCTACCCCTTCTTCCTGTACTCGAACCCGGAATACCTAAAGTTGGTTCTGGCACCGCTTTATGAGAACCAGGAGGCTGGAAAATACCCCAATGACTGGGCTATGCACGATATGGGCTCTAGCTACCCCAACGCAACTGGTCACAACGACGGGGATGATGAGAAGATGCCTCTGGAAGAGTGTGGAAACATGCTTATTATGACTCTCGCATACGCACAGGCGGCCAATGATGTGGACTACTTGACTCAACATTATAACCTGCTCACTCAGTGGACTGGGTACCTGGTCAATGATTCTTTATACCCGGCGAACCAAATCTCTACCGATGACTTTGCAGGATCCCTCGCGTAAGTAAAATTCCCTTCATTCGTTTGAGCATGTGCTGACTCGTGCGATTAGCAATCAAACCAACCTGGCCTTGAAGGGTATGATTGGTATTCAGGCCATGGCTGTCATTGCCAACAAGACCGGAAACACCGCCGATGCTACCAACTATTCGACTATTGCCCACGACTACATTGCCAAGTGGCAGGACCTGGCTATTAACAAGAACGCTACCCCACCCCACACAACCTTGAACTATGGTAACTGGAGCAGCCATGGTAAGTTTTTCCCGGTCGCATTGATGTGTTTTTGGTGCTAATTTTACCCTTTTAGGTTTACTGTACAACCTCTTTGCGGATGCCCAGCTGGGCACAGGTCTCGTCCCCGAATCTGTCTACCAGATGCAGAGCGACTTCTACCCTACTGTCATGAACACATATGGCGTTCCCCTCGATACACGCCACACCTATACCAAGTGTAAGTTCTTCCGGTACGAAGACTCAATTGTTTAGAAACTAACCAGAACAAGTTGACTGGCAATCATTCGCCGCTGCAATCTCGTCGACAAGCACTCGAACCTCCTTCTTCCAACACATCTCGACTTGGGTCAACGCAACAACGACTAACAAGGCTCTCACCGATCTGTACGATACTTTGACTGGAGAGTAAGTTATCCCTACGTCAATATTCAATTTATCAGTACTAACAAGCTGTAGCTACCCGTCAACCACATTCTTTGCCCGACCTGTCGTCGGTGGCTCCTTCGCCCCTCTCTTGGTCACCAACTAAAAGACCACCACCTTCTCTTCTTGTGCATTTATTCTTATATATTATCTTTTTTGTCATTGTCATGTGTGGCTCAGCCATACCTTGAACGCATTCTATCTACTCATTGGTCCACTGAATTACCAGGTGTTCTTAACCTGGCCAATTGGTGGAAGACAAGAAACGACGCGCTGGACGTCATCCATTCGTTCGAATTTACCCTACTGCGCTTCGTTGATTCATAGCGTGTAATGTTTTTCTTCGTCTGCAGCCTTGATACCCATCCATAAACCGTTCTCATACCGAGTCGACGGCCAAGTGTGGTTGTGTCTTCGGTTCGCACTTCCTGGTGCCTTTACTTCGGCCCGGGGTTGTCTTTTGTCCATACGCATACAATTTGATTGTTTCCTAATCAATATGTCTTTTCTACTGAGATTTTAAGAGCTGTAGATTTTTTCGACGCACGTTCACCTCATAGACTAGAATTCAAGGGCGCTCATGTTACAATATGGACGAGTCGATGCTTGTTGCACATCTAGCACCTAGCATCATATCGGATCTTCGTAAATTTCAAATGCTGAGAAAACAGATTATTCTTAGCTAAGAGCGTCTGCTTTTGCTTGCTTCGTCGAGATATGTAAGTGCTATCTTCACTTTTCTCATAATGTGGACACGTAAGACCATCCACATGTTAAGTCAGGTTTCTCATTACCAAGAACTGTTTACTCGGAGCTCTCATCCCAACCATCAAAAGAACGGATCAGATCTTAAAAAAAGATGTTAACAAGGCTCATCTGAAGAGAGGAAACAATCATAACATACCATAGTACAGCATCATTCCCTCCAAATGAACATTCAAGTTGACCCGCTCGTCAACAGTATGGATGTTAGCTGCTCCACCCGCACGAGATGGGCTCCAACGGTAAATGTTATCCGACAGAGACCAGTAGAAGCGGGTATCGGTGTTTCCGGTCATGATATCGCCAGTCACAACAACAGTCGGGGTAGCATCGGAGGTGGCGTCGGACTTGGTGAGAGGGTTGGGGTGCGACTCAAAGACACTGCGCGCAACACCAGAGAATCGAGCCCAGACCTTTGACGTCAATGGATCAGTAGGGGAGATAGGCGCCGGGACAAGAGGATCACTAAGGGGCGAAAGACGAAGAGTGCGATCGCCTGATATCTTCCTGGTACCAGCGAGGACCACACCAGGGAAATCAACGGACATCGAAACATTATGGCGCTCTGCAATAGGATCGATAATGCGGACCGCACGCTGACGAACAAGATCAGGTGTCTGGTGCAGTGCGACCCGATAGTTCACAACAGCAGAGATCTTCTCAGGAAGTGCATTAGTCTTAACACCTCCCTGAATCAAATCCGCAGCCTGAGACGTCTGCAGCGTATATCGCACCGCCGCTCCACGCGACTGAGCCACTGCCTCTGCCAAAGCCTCAGCATCACCAGCTTCAAGCTTACTAGCAAGCCAAGACTCAACATGATCCGGCGAGTACCGAGCCTGACACTCCAGCGTCCCGAAAGAGGGATGCGACTCATCTAACCAAGCAGTGAATAATTCCTGACGCTCAAGCTCATACAGAATCTCGGCCATAATCCCAATACCAGTATGCGCAGGTGGAATAGAACTATGTCCACCTGGCACCGCAAGTTCCAGTACCAAATCCAGACTACCCTTCTCGCCAACACCTGGCAACGCATAAAGAACTTCACCTGCATCAGCCGAGGATCCTAGACTCTGAAGACCCATACCACCCTCATCGAGAATGAACTCGAAGCTATCCTTTCCGTACTTCTCCTCTAGTGCTGGTGCGATAGATCCGGCACCGAGCCACCCGTGAGATTCCTCATCATACCCAAAGGCTAACACGATTGTTCGCTGGGGACGCCAGTTCTGGGAGAGGAGGTCTTCGAGTGTGGATAGTAGACCGATCAACACGTTCTTGCAGTCGCTTGAGCCGCGGCCCCAGATCCATTCGCCGTCGATCACTCCGTCGAAGGGTGGGTAGGTCCAGTCGGAGGCATCGTCGATTGGGACTACATCTTGGTGTGCCATGAATAGGATGGGTTTGCGAGTAGTGTCTATGCCTTGGAAAGTGTAGAGTAAACCGAGACGGTTGATATGTTCGAGTTGAGCTCGGGAGTGCCTGATTCAAATCAATGTGAGTTTCTACCCTCTCTTCGACCTTTTGTTTATTCCTCTCCATGAAAATTAAGGGTTATGGCTTACACTAGAGGAAAGAGCTCGGTCAATAGCTCTTGGAACTCTACAAACGGCTCAAACGCCTCGTCATATGGGTCATCGGCGAAATCACCCACGGTCGTTGGGACCTGCACGGCCCGCGAAAGTCGGTGTGCTTGACGAGATCGGAATGCTTCATCTTCGAGGAAGGTCAATGAAGAGTGAAGACCGTCATTCGGAGCAACGACTCTCTGTGCCTGAGGGCAAGTCTCTCTCTCCGAGGGCTTGAAGGCTGGATTCCGGACCGATTCTGCAGGGACGAGGAACTGTTGTGCTGGGATGTTCAATGCCAGAGCGGATGGCAAAGATGCCAATCCTAGAATTGAGAGGGCCTTCATGACTGGAACTATACTCTAGTATTGAGTATACTGAAGGACTTGACAAGAACTGAACTTATATACGGGGTTTCACCATGTTATCTGCACTCTTATCTTCCCCTCAATCGGACTGCGGCCGATACCGCATTTTTACCTGAATTGGAAAGTTTTAACAGGATTTGCCGAGGAGTCGGCAAGTTCACCAACTGGTCTATGTTGGAGATGATACAGATTGTGGTGAGTATACACAGTTATGGTAGGATCATGTTGACATTTTGATACATAGTTTATGACGGGATAAATGTTAACCCTCCTTCAGCTTTACCAAGCCTCCAAGCCTCACAAGTTCCTCATTATGGACCCAGTGTGAGTTCACTGGTTCCTGACGGGTGGAGCCGAGGAAACCCAAGGGACCAGTTAACAACATGAAGGAAATGATAGTCCCTGATATTATGGAGTCATTCAGGAACAGACGAAGTGGGAGGAATTATGATCATCCATGAAAACCCATCGAACCCCATAAGGGTTTTCGTTCTTCTCTGTTCAACGTCATCAGCCACTTAGCGATCAATGTCGATCTCCACACAGGGGGCTCCAAGGCTTTCAAGGGGCGCAGGATGCCTCGAAAATACACAATCTCCACACAAACGGGGACCTCCAACCGGATGAAACCCAGCAATTAGTGGCAAACCACCTGAACTTTCAGTCTAGTGAAGGGTTTTCTTTCCCTTTCTTACTCGCCAAGACCATTGGTTTGCGACTCGTTAGTCCGAATAACAAAGGATGTCCACTTCTGGGGACGATGATCTCTGTGATGATCCATTCCTTGCACCAATGAGCCTCCATATTCACTTCAATAGCTCTGTCGGATTAGTGTTTCAGGGATGATCGTCTTGCTTCACGATGTCATCGTCTCCGTTTCATCCATAAAATAACGGGTCCACGGGTTCTTGGGAGGATCCGACGTAGCGAGTGTCAGACCCTTTTAAAAGTGAGACACCAAGACTTGAAGAAGGTTTTTAGTCTCTTCAGTCTCTTTTTCTTCATCTTTTCATTCCCTCTCTCTTATTTCTTTCGCTTTGTCGTCAACTACTCTCTCGTTTGATCTGCGCATTCCGCATACTCGACATAACCTTCATTATACTTAAATCCATAGACTCGCTATATTATCTCCTTACAAGGATTCCTCTCTTTTATACGTTACTCTTTACTCGATACGTTCTTTCCGACAAACTATACCTACACCGCAACATGCATCTTCAACATCTTCTCGCTTCCATGGCCCTGACTATCCCATTCGTTAAGGCTAGCTCTGACTCCCTTGGTTGTTTTTCCAAGGTCGCAGGCTTGACGGATCTCGAACAATACACCTACCAATCGCATGGAGCCTGTATCGAGGAATGTGAGAAGGGTGGCTATGCGTTCGCTGCTTTGAAGGACGGCATCACATGTGGTTGCACTAACACCACACCCGCCTTATCTGCTCAGATTGCCGATGATAACTGCGATCAGTACTGCGCTGGCTATCCTATGGATTATTGTAAGTTGAGTCCGATACATATACAAAATACGGGAACAGAGATCTAATATTGGTTATCTAGGTGGTGGTGTTAACGTCTACACTGTCCTACCAACCGAATTCTACGCCGATGCAAGTGGCGATGACTCGGACTCTGATGATGCGACTCAGACTGCCTCCTTGCACACAACAGACGGTGGTATCTTCGTCGCTGCTACCCCCAACCCATCGCCTGTTGCCACCACTATCCAGACCGCAGCTTCGAAGGTTATCACTGCCCTTCCCTCCGCTTCAAAGTCTAGCATCGCCTCAGCTGCTATCACTACTGCTAGCTCATCCTCTTCGCCGTCTGCTACTCCCAACGCTGCGGATTCTCTTCGCGTGGGTCCTGTTGCTGGTGTTCTTCTCGCCGGACTTGGTCTCCTGCTTTAAGCGACGGGGAGACTCATGCATGGGCCTTCCCTTCAAGTTATCACTAGTACCTTGAAGGTTAGCTGGATTGTTTGTACTGTATTGCCGATTCTTGTATCCTGTACTGCATAATGTCAATCTCTACTTCATTTTATCCGTTGACGGATAGATGGAGTGGTTTAATTGGTGGTGTTATACGTGGTGGACTCGCTGGCGAGTTCGATGGGTTGGGGCTTTATGGAACTTGAACTTGAACATTCTTTCGACATCAGTTCTAAGGTGGTAGATCCGGACCTTGGATTACATATAGTACTCCGAATGGACTTCGATATCCTCGGTAGATCTGTCGTTTCCTTGTTCGCTCTGTTGTAGATGCTGGGAGTCTTAGCATAAGGCTATAAATTTGTAGTGTAAGCAAACTTGAAGTAGTAAAGTGATCTTGTTTAAAGAGCTCTACAGGGAGACATGGCAATCGAAAGTGAAAATTCAATTGATTTAAAGTGAAAGAAAACCAAAAGAAAAGCAAGAACGGATGCGCCGTGTGGGTATAGAACGTATAGAACTTGGTTCAAACGCACGACGCCGTAAGAATAAAAAAAAGTATTAATACAAAAGAAGAAAAGAAAGAAAAAAAAAACCCCGAGAGGCCGTCGGTGGCCCCAAGAGCTCAACTGCTCACCACTTCAGCTTCGACACATTCTCAAAATTCCGTGGAAGCTGATCCCCACGCCTATAACACAAATTAGTATAAATACCATACACATACGGTAAAGTTGAGCTATCACTTACTTCTCAAAGCGGCGCCTCAGGACACGGGCCCGGTCCTTGATATCCGTTTGAGTGCGCTTCCGCGCAGTGAACGCCGGCCCACCATCAACCGCCGGACAAATTGAGTCCTGCTTTATGATTTCAGCCCAGCCCGTCCCATGCGCCGCGATCAAATGGATCAGGCGCTTGTCCTCTTCCTCGGTCCACTTGCCACCCCTCCGCCCGGACACATTCATATTCGCAGCATCGGGGGCATTCCGAGCAGCCCAGGAAGACTGCTTGGCCGGTTGAGAAGGTGCCGATGGGGAAGGCGCCGGGGGAGAAACGGGGGCCGAGGAGGAGGAACCCAGAGCTTGGGCACGGGCTGAGGCAACGACGGCATTGGTTCTGGTGGGTTGGGAGGTCTGGTTTGAGGTGTCCAGTTCGCCAGCCAGCTGGTCATCGGCTTCGTTGATCTCGGGTCGCTGTTCGCGAGGAGGATCGCGTCGCGGTGCTGGTTTCTTCGCTCGCTTTTCGGCCACGTTGATACGGCGGCTATCTGGTTCGAAGTCATCGCCAGATTCATCATCATCCTCCTCTTCGCGGCGGCGCTTCCGGGAAACGATTCTCTCAGTTTCCACTGGTCTTTGCACTGGTCTTTGCACTGGTCTCCGCTCTGCGCTTTGGCTTTCTACTTCATTGATTGGAGAGACCCGGGAAGCGTTGTTCTGACGGTCGAAGTAGGTAGACCGCAGAGGGGTTTGTTGCTGCTGGTCTGACTGCGATGCTCGACGGCTAGCCTGGGCACGAGGTGGGGAGACCGACCATTGACTGGGATGGTGGCTAATTTGGTTGGTGCGAGCGGATCCGGGAGGAGTGGTTGATTCTTCGGGCATCTCATCGAGATCAAAATCATAATCCGCCTGATTGATGAATGTTGTCTCGTCACCGATATCCGGTTCGGGAGCACTGTGTTCTTGTGCTGCGGATGATCCTGGCGCTGCGGAACTGGTCGCATAGCGGGATAATTCCGGTTGAATGTCTTCCATACGTTTCTTGAGACGAGCCATATTGTCCATACTAAGGAATCCCTTGAGGGACTTGCGTCGATTTGGATCTTTGGCTGTCGATGACTGGCCTTGGCTGGGAGTTGGCTGTCTGATGGATTTCTGGGCTTGAGGCTTGGGACTAGGGACTCTGGGTGGTGCAAAGGTTGGGGTTGATGTTTGTGCTGCAGGCGTTTGCTCAACTCGCTCAGTCAGCCCTTTTCTGGAATGGTGGACTACCGGTGACAAGGAGTCCGCCATTTCATGCCGATCAGGATGGGAGTCCGTAGATTCCGGTTCGAAAGAAGGTGTTGGGCCATCGTCGTTGATTCTCTTGATGATGATATCACTAATATCATCGAAATTCGCCTGTGTCTTGAGATCACGGCGAATCTCCCGATCGCGACTGTGTAGAAAGCGTGCAGCGCGCACAGAGAATCGTTTCCAGGGGAAGGAGGATTTCAGGCCCGAGGGATTAGGAGCACCATCATCGTCAAACATATCAAGTCTCAGCTCACCAATTCGATCAAGAACTGCATCGTGGAAGCGATCTGGAAGACATTTGTTCTCGTCTTGGAGAGCAATGGCCAAGGCAAAGCCTCGAAGCCAGCGGGAATCCAGTTCACGACCTTGATGGATAGAGTTATCGTAGAAGACAGACTGAAGCAAGGCCTTTGGATCGAAGTCCTTAGATCCTTGCAGCTTTTCAAATTCAGCGATGAAGTGTTGTGTCCGGATCTCAAGGGCAAGCTCAAATGTGGCCTTTTCAGCGCCACTAGATCCGGTAGAAGGATTGCTCGACAATTTATCGAGGAAAGGGGCAGGGTATTGAGAGTTGAGGGTATGGACCATCTGTCGAGCAGATTGGGATTCGGCGGTTGAGAGCAGGAGTTCATAAGCCAGTCGAGCACAGTTTGCATTGTGCAATGCAGGAGATGGACTCCATGCTGCTATGTCATCCTTGGCGGGGATGGAAGGAATCAAGCTCTGAATGTGCGGCACGTCAATAAAGGTTTCATGACTGAAATGATTCATTCTCTCCATGAGCTTGCGACAGGCGGTTTTTAGACGTCGGGTTTCTGGGCTCTTGGGATCTGCAGAGCGAAGACGTCTTGCTTCATTGACCATGTTGATTGGATCCTCATGACTGGATACCAGCATGATCATCAAAGTCGAAGCTACATGCTGAAGGTCTGGAAGCTCATCAACCATGAGAAGAGGATCATTGGGAACTTCATCATCATCAGACTCGTCAAGATGGTCTAGAAATGTGGTGCCTGAGATATTAGTGTGGCCCTCTGGGTTATTGGGCGATTCAGGAACAACTGGAGACCCATGCTTGGAGAGTGAAAATTGGCGGGAAGAGCTGGGTGTTTCTTCAGCTACCGAGCTCAACTCTGTAGAGGTTGATTAGTATACTTCATTCAGACCCAGTATGCATCAGACAAAATCATAAGCCCTCGAAACAGAAGAGATGGCAATGAAATGAGGTAGACACCACAAGGAAAACAACACAATTAGCCAATTCACCAAGAAACAAAGAATTCTTTGTTGGCCTGCAGAAGATATGCAAAACAATGCATAAATGAATGCAGTGAACTTGGGGAATATGCAAAATTTGAAATGAAAAATGCAAAAATGCAAATGAGAGCATATTAGAGGACAAAACTCACGTGAAGCAATAGCTTTTCCTTTGCCGGTAGCTCTAGAGCTTTTCAATGCAAGTTCAGGTTGATAGCTTGGTGGTTCCAACTCCCGACTCTGGCTTCTGGTCATTCGACGAGTGGGTGCGGCCCGTGACATCCTGGGCGGTGTGAGAGTTGCAGGGATATCAGCCAACGCGGTCAAAATTCGTAAAAAGGGTGATTTGGGCTTGAAAATTGAGGAAATTCAAGCCAAACCATGTGGCGGGATATTTTTTTAAAGAAAAATCAGTGCGAAATTCAAGGAGGGGAAGGGAAGGGATGCGGGTGTTGTGTTGTGGGAGGGAAGAGGGCGGTTGGGTTAGGAAGTCGGCTTAAGTGTTTTTCCACAATCAAAACATCCCAATTAGGCAATGACGGTAGGTTAGGCAGACGCATTAACTATTAATCCGATTTTGAAGGCATTAATAAGGCAGCATAAACCCCAACACCCGAAGCACCCTAACCACCTTAATCTTACGTAATCAAAACATCATCACACGTGACCTAACGTCAACTGGTCAGACTATTGACCCCTGAGTATCATTGATGCAGTGTGACAGCGATGCAAGCCTGAACTTAAGCTTAAAGGTTGAACTTGAAGTTGTGGAACATACTATCAACATCATAATTGAGTGCATCTGATCATTACGTTGATCAGGGACGCTATTATTCATTAGAACTAAAATCAATTGTATGTCACAGAACATTTCAACTTTTACATCGATGCAACCGCCAACTCGAATAACTACCAAAAGGGGTGTCTACCCATGCAAAATATTTAAAATGCCGCTTCAATGAGATAAATGATGCCGAAGAGAAGGAACGCTGCGGCACCACCCAGAGTGACTGATAAAATCCGTTAGTTGAGAAAATTGAACCTGGGACATGCGTCAATGATGAGGGAGAATACATACCGACACGCATGCTGACACGACCAGCAATCGCACGTCCACCGATGACGGCAGCAGCGGTACAAATACCATGACCAATTGTAGCTCCAACGGTCACCCACCAGTAATCCTGACCGGCTGCCATGGCAATAGTCGCAATCTGGCTTCGATCGCCCCATTCACCAAGGAAGGTCATGACAAAGGTCTGCACCCATGCGGGGCTCAAAAGAAGAGAGAATAGATTGCTGACGCCAGTCGTTAAATCGTTCAAGCGATGCCGAGGAGTAGGGGAGGAGCCACGCGACGAAGAAGAGGATACGCTCTCAGGAGGAGAAGGGAGACGGTTGTGCGAACCACGAGCCTTGGGGACACGACCAGCCTCCAAGGAGTGTGGAGTTACGGATGAGCGACGACGACCCATGCGCATCTGCTCCTGTTCTTTCTCCTCGAGCTCCATCTCAACTTCCCGCATCTCCTCTCCAACACCCTCGTCCGGGGACATTTCCCGACCCTCCTTGAACATCTTTGCACCGAAAATGAGAAACAGGATGGCTGCCATGAACTTCGTGAGGGACTTGGGAATAAGAGTCGGAACGGCGTGGCCGAGGACAGCGGAGAGAACGGTCATTGTGGCGAGGGCACAGAAGGCAGACGAGAATACAACCAGGCGGGGATGGCGCATTGCCATGAGTGCGGCGACGAGGAAGGTCTTGTCACCGATTTCAGACACGATGATCATGGTGAAGGCGAAAACGAGAGAATGGAGTCCATCGCTTTCCTCGGTGACTGCTTCCTCCTTGGTATAGGCGCTCGAAGAGCTGGGGTATGAGCTGGAGCCGGAAGCGCCTTTCTCAATAGCCAGACGATCTTTGTTGACTTGGGAAGCAGGCTTGGGATGAGGGATATCGTGGGGCTTTTCGGGGAGATCGGCGGGCTTCTAAAAAAAACATTAGTACTTTATACCATTCAAACGAGATGAAATGCAAACGAAGGAGCAGAAATTGCACATACCTCCAGCATGCCAAGGGTTCCAGCACCCTCAGCGGTACGACTGCCACTTGTAGTGCTGTCGCTGTCCGAGGGTAACTTTTGTGCCTCGCTGTGGGGAAGTGGTAGCGCTTCCTTGGGGGCACCCGGTACCTTCTCGGCGTTCCACTGATTCTCCTTTCCTTTCTCCGACACTCCACCCTCTGTACCTCGTGTGCCTTCTTTCGGACCCGTGCGGTTCGGGTCATCCATCACGCCACTGTTGGAATACGGGATCGCTTTCCCCTCCTGTGTGCCGAGGTGTTCGGAAGAAGAAATCTTGGTATCGAATTTTGTTGACATGAGATCAACATTGTTTGTGTCTTGGCTGCTCTTGCGATCTCTCTCTGCACTGGTTTCCACCCACGGCCCAGCGTGTGGCCTGCCATCCTTGCCATCTACAGGAACGTCCAGCGAACCTTTGGCGGAATTGGCACCTCCCAATGTATCGGCATCAGCGTAGCGAGAGTCAAGACTGGAGATTTCACGCGATGGATATCCAGAGGGCTGGGCAATCGGATTGATAGATGTCGCCGCAGTTGACAGTGCGGGAAGGAGCACAAGGAGCAAGGAGGATTGGAATTTCATGATGACTGCGCGGATGTGACCGCAAAACGAGTGATGGCGGCACTTCTATTCAAGGACTTGAAGGGAAATGGGCGAATTGTGCGAATTGTGTGAATCGGAAGATAATTGGAATGTAGTTTAGCAGGGTAGATGCCACGAATGCTAAGACGCAAAGGAAATGGTGTTTCGGGGGCACGCGAGCCACAGAAAAAAAAAGACGAATGTAAATAGGCAACTCCCAGAGGAGTATGCAGTATTAAAATTGAGGAATACCTCTTAATAAGAACGAGAAAGAAGGACGGCACGGAAGTTGAAGTTCAAGTTGTTGATTGATCTCTTTGCTTCAACGCAAAGGGGGCGCCACATCACGTGATTCTCCACCCGCAAGCGGAGATTATATGGACGCGTGTTGATTCGTCCTTCATCTCTCTCTGATTGACCACTATAAGGAGTATATAAGGACTTCATTCCCAAATCGATTCTCCATCAGCAGGTCACCCTTCTGATTGTGGCCAGGACCTTAAAGCGGTGGGTGAGAAGTGGTGGATGGTAATCAAGTATGATTGCTACTGGAAATGGCAGTTCTGTGGATGGAATCTTGAAAGATTCTATATTTCAACTAGCATCATCGACTGAAGGATCTACAAATGATGCTCAACATTTTGTCCTGGGCCATGCTCATCAAACTAATTATTCACCTTGTCATTCCAGAGAACACCCCACATCTCACCATCCAGATCAAGGTACGCCACTTGTTCCTTGAACAACCCGCTTCCTAGGTCTCTCTCAAGAATACTGATTCGCTGTCCCAGCTGAACGCCAACAGCTGCAAGATCGCCAGCCGTGTTAAGGTCATACGTCTGAGCAACATAACCACCTGCTGAAGCGGCTTGAACAAAATCAAGTTTACCCTGAAGGTCGTATCGAATCCTGAACGTAGACATCGAATCCGATTTCCCGCTTGGGGGATATTGAGTCACAGTGCCATTAAAACGCTCATCACGACGATTGCTCACAATCAAGAAGTTCCCATCAGGACTTAGTCTCAATTCACCGGTAATTCCCTTGCCAGTCGTATATGGCTTAGGGACGCCGGGTTCTAGCGACGAATAAGTGCCATTGGGAAGCGGTACGAAGTCGATGCCTCCACGGTTAGGCAGATACTTCACACGGTAAGCGGTGATGGTTCCTGCGATCTCAGCACCGAGATAGAACACATAATCCGACTTGCCATCAGCGAACCGGATTGGTTCTTGTGTGAAAACACCGTGTCGAGGCCCAGAGCCCGGGGTAGCGTTGAGTGCCTTTCGCTCGTCAAGTAAGAGCGTATCATCGTCGATGGCATAAATCCGCACTTTGTCGGCTCCAAGATCAACAGCCAGCACGTACTGCTCCAGAGGGTCGGTCCGAGTTTCATGGATATGTGGAGCCGCCTGTCGTGCTCCTGCAGGTCCTTCCTTGGACATCGTGTAGGTAAATGTTTGAAGTGGCTTTATTTTTCCATTTGGATCGGTGATGTCGTAGGTTTGCAAAGCGCTGCTTGTATAATGTGCCACTGCAAGAGCTTTACCGTTGGCGTAAAAGCCAGCGTAAGCACCATCGAGAAGACACTCAATGCGTATCTCCTGTTTTCAAGATCCATAGACTGCCATGTCCACCACATACGATCCACTTGTGCGTGATGCTGGAATAAATCAGTAAAGCCTCTTACGGCTCCATAGATTTGTATAAAAATGGAATGGAAGTCTCACCAGGAAGAACACAGGATCAGTCGGACTTGTAAACAGATCCGCTCCATCGCCGCCCATAGCAACATGTCCTCCACCATGGGGCCCGTAATGTGCATCTCCTTCCGGGGTCGACAAAATATTCTGAAAGTCACTAATCGTAGGTTGCGACAGGAGCTGCTCAATATCGCTGTAATTATTATTCAGTCGGAGCGAGTCATCATCCAAAGCACGCTGGAAACAATTCGGGCTATAATCGAAGGACCAGCTGGGGATGCTGCCATTGCCGTTATTCTCGATATTGTCCATGATGATATCATTCGAGAAGTAACGGAAGGTGGCCGTGTAGTTTGAGAAAGGTCCTTTGTAGACACATAAGTCGTTTCCTCTTCCATTGCTACCCAATGAGTATGGACCGCCGTCAAAAATAGTGGAATCCTCCAGTCCATCTTTCACGTATGCAGGCCAGTCCCAGTATGACTGAACTCCTTTGTAACCACACTCATCTCGAAGGGCATTCTCATAAAGCCAGACGTATCCACGGTGCTAAGGTAGGAAGATGGCGTCTAGGTGAATGATAAATGTATAGTTTATGTGTGTGGCTACAAAATCGGCATAGCGGTTCTTAGCCCCAGGGTATTCCGTGTTGTTCAGTTGGGATGGAAGATTCTGGAGACAGGTCACCGCATCACTGTAGGCCACACGTTCAGGTGGACTCATGCTTGACCTTCATAAGATGGTTAGCTTATAAGTAGTGGAAAGAATTCTGGGGCTGGTACCATTCTTTCCGCACCATCACGTTCTCCGGTGTACGTGGCGGTCGACTCGGAGCTGCAGAGCCCAGTAAACTCAAAGCGAGGACGCCGAAAAGAGTCCATGGTGAGACGTTAGGTACCATGATGACCAATGGATGAGAAGAGGAAACTTTGGAGCTTGAAGTGAGGGATATTCTGATGCCTTTTGTATAGAGATTGGTCGGTCATATTGAGTTGTTATCCCGAATCTTAGTCTGTCAAACCGGTGAATTTGCTAAATTCATATTTTCTACCTTTGCTGCCAACACTAGTGCTTACTTGAATAGATCTGATGTCTTACTGAAAGCGTCATAGTGAGAACTTGAAGAATTCCTGCACATGCACCCCGCTCGGGTCATTTGGCCAAGAACTTGAACACAGCCTAATATTGCTTAGCATTATTCAGTGAAGAATAGAGAGCACTAATATAATTTTACGCCACGAATTTCCGATCCTGATGAATTTGAAGCTACAGATCCCAGCTTAAAGGTAAAAAAACAAGCACTACAAATTCGGGGTGACTATCTACCAGTGTGATAACTTCCCAAGAAGGCAGCATAACTCATCCGGGTGCGGAGGAGCTACGAATTTACGACATTATATCGGCCCTATTATGGGTGGTGAATCGAGCAAAAAACCGAATATCTCTCATGAAATTCAGTGTCGCCCCAAAGGTTCAAGTTTCTGTTCGGTTGATCTTCAAGTGAGAGCCAGATAATGTGGGGTGCATATGTGCGAGGTATGGGGAACGATCGGCTATGAGATTGAGAGAACATGGACAGATACTTCCGGCCAAAGTCGACGTCACGAAGTAAGTTGAGATTAGTCTATATAGAAACAAGAATTCAGAAGATCAAGCTATTCTACTTGAGAGCTTTGGTAGAGTACTTCGGATGAATCATCTAGTCAACTTGAACATTTAAAGTATATATTATAACATGTCACAAGTCGCAAAGAACTACTACTTCCAAACCTCGAAATGACAGGGATTTATGCACATGCAGGGATCGGAAGTTATTAATGGAGAATCGGAGGTTAAACACTCATTCCTACCTGGTAGATATACACCCGATGGATTGGCATCGTTGCAGGCCTCTTCCCGAACATTTGAAGGTTCACTCTACTACATAAGCATAATTCCGTCCAGTTTCTCCTAGCTTGAAATTTCCGAGTCTATGTATTAATCAAAATCGGAATCTTAACATTTGAATGTATTGGGCTCTGAGTCTCTCCAGACGTCTTCGTGAATCTCTTTGATCCCTTTCCACGCTTTGTTTTATTCATAGTAATGACTGCATGGGCTGTAACCTTGGAAAATACTTGAAACATGATATTCTTAGTACCTAGTAAAGAGGGGAACCGTTAGGCAGTGTACTCTCAGGTACACGGGTCGATCCAGCTCAACTGACCAAAACACACATCTGAATGCTAACACGTAAGACAACAAGGACTGGACCAACTCATCCCGACCCGCTGGAAGGGAAAAAGGAGATAATATTCAGCTATAGGATGAGCAGAGGCCTTATAGTATGGACAGGGCGGTAAGGACAGAACAAAACAGAACGGCAGAACAGAACAAGTGACAATACCAGTACCTGGGAGACATACTTCCCCACTACACTAGGTAGTTCTTTGTAGTCATTGTGGACTATGCAATACTTGAAAATTGTATATTCAATGGATTATTGCTCTTTCCTATTGTTCAAATGTTCCTCAACAAAGAATTATTGCCACCACCAGTTGACCATATTGTTATGCCTTGCTACTCCTTTTTGTCCAATGTTTGCCAATCTCAACTTAATGATTTTCTGCAGAGAATGGCTTTGGCTGAATGTACAAGCCAGAGATTTTCATTATGGTGGATAGGAATCCTAATTTATGTGAGCGCTTTGAAATGATTCATCGCTAGACCTTACATTAGAAACTCTTAGTAGTATTCATGGGCTATAAGTAGTGTTTAACCATAATTAGATTTCTTCTTTGATCATCTAGGTACAATTCAAGTTAAAAATAGTATCTTCTCAATCTTAATATAAGCCCATAATGACTATTTAACTACCCATTGAGTCCACCCATCGAGTCTCCTAACATCTCAATATTGATGTCAACAACGTTCGGTATCATTTGAAATGCTGCAACTTGAACTTCAAGGTCTCGACCCGTGGACATCAGATCATATCAACACTCAGTCCTATTAATCTGGGTAGAATTTACAACATTCAAGTTTTAAATAACACGAAATCGCATTGCAAGATGGAACAGCCACCTCAACCTGAACAGGAGCGATACCAAGTACCACTGAAAGGAGTGGCAAATAGGGCCCGGCGTGGCGCGTTCCGACATTACCACGTCGCGAAGAGTTTGAAGTTTTCGATGATCTTTGTATCAAAAAGAAGGAAGAGAAGCTATTCATGAGATCGCTTGTTAGGGAGGTGTATCAAAACTTTTTAGAAGCTGAACCAGAGTGGAAAACGAAGTGTATATTTTTACGTTCTTCCGAACATGAAAAACTTTTGATCCATTTGCGAGAGGCAGTGGATAGACACGGACTTCCAGCATGTATTTTCGACTCGGACAATGGAGTAGACCACGAAACTATCTCACATAGCCTTTGGCGCTGTCTCTGGATGCACGCCAAAGTTCTACATGAAGAGCTAGCAGGAGTACCATACCCCGGACCAAAAGCGGGAGATGTTGAGAAGATGAAAAACTACCTTTGCCGATTTGATTGACGATGTCAGCGATGATGAGAATCAACTTGAGCAAAAGGTCGCTAAACCTCGGGAGGGAACGAAATATACGAAAATTCCCCGAGGTAGACGATACAAGGACTTTGATAGCTTGCAGTCACTCGGATTCTCAACACTCCCACTTGAGTCTACACCACAGAGACCTACGACCTAGACTTTTACAAGGGAGACGCGTTTAAATGAAGATGGTGAAGCTCGAAATCCGTATGAAGTTGTGACTAAGCGTCGCAAGATTGAGGATCAACCCAAAGGTGGCATGGGGCGATTGCTTCAGCGAGTAAAAGCAGGAAATAAGATGTGGCAGAGGGAAAAGCGAGATAAATTTCCTGTTGGAGTTTATGGAGGTGTTCCTCGATATTTGCCTGAAGACCTCACTGAACCAAATGTAACTGACTCAGATGTGTCTATGTTAGACGCAGACTTCGATCAAGTCTCTGACTAGCCCGAGCCCGGTGAAGAACAATCTGACATCGAATATTATGGTCAAGAGCCAATTTTAGACATACTAAAATCATACCCCAGCATGTTGAAGCTTTTTCTATCTCAGGCTTTGAGTCGTTTTTTCTAGTATTCAGGTGCATGTGGAATCAACGACTCGGAGTTTAGTATGGGTTCAAGTTTCTTTGAATAATTTTTTTTGATGCTAGCCCGGCTTTTGTCAAGGTTGATCGAGTCATAATTTATGTATTTATTCACGTATACACGCATCATTCAATTTTCTGTGTATTACTAGCGGTATCTACAACTCAAACCACTCCCAGGTGGCCTTGAATTATTGAAATTGAATACTCCTATTTATAATTGCTTCCTGAGTTGGAGGCTGATTCCCTTAGAACTATCGTACAACGACTGGAGGAACAAAGAGGGCAACAAGGGGAGCCTGCCTAACGATTCAAGAAATAAAAAAATAAAAACATACAACAGTCAGGATTCGCATGTGGTCACCCACCATACTACTAACTGACCGGCGTGTGGCTTAAGTACGGCTGAGCGGACGGGAAGCCCTGTTCTCCACACCCTGTGGTCGTATGTAATTGAAACCTACAAATAGTAGGTTATATAGAGCAAGCCAAGAGAGGAGAAAGAATTGGATGGATTCCGGGCCCATGGCTTCTCGCGGCCGAGTACGCACCTTTAGTCACTCGGTCTCAGTCAGCGGCACTCTCCACATCAGCAACCTGGCTATTTACCTTTCCCGTGGCAGAGATTACGCCCTTAGCTATCGCTACCGGCAAGGTAATTATATGAACTGGAATGCAATATGAAGTCCTCTGATATGAGAACCGAAGACTACTCACCGGGCAGAGGTAGTATAATCCAAGTCCAATATTGAATGATATAGATTTGATACTAAAAATCAAGTAATGAATTCAGAGAGACGCTGGAGTTCTGAGTTCATATCAAATAATGAACAAAGCCCGTCGTCTTTAAAAGGTAGAGAGCTGTAGTAGAATCAATGACGAAAGGAGATATCAAAAATCATGATATTAAATATTTCGGTCTGAACCAAAATGTGGAGAAGCGGCCAGGCTATCAGAGAAAATCACTCTCTGCCTCAAAAGGAACTTCCACTTTTCAAAGCGCCCGGGAAATCATTCTGTAACGCCTCCCAGAAAGGAGTTCCATCAATTTGGAGATCTTCAAAGGCTGGGCAGGTAAGATTCAACACAGGAACAGCAAGGATGTTAGTGATGAACTCTAGCGGTTCAGCCACTGTCTTGTACAAATCATCGAGCCCATTTGGACTAGCAAACTTCAGTACCTCAAAGACAAAACACAACAAGTTGTTGCCCTCTAGGAGAGTTGTCGGGTTGAGGACACCGCCTGTTAGGTCTGCTGGGTCAACTCCGGCGAAGCTGTTCACTGTGCCAGTGTTTCCTCCGATGCTGAATTCAATGAGCCTCGAAATTGTGGGAGTTGAGAATTAAGAAAGTTCCTTACCTGCCAAGCTCTGGGTACTTCAAAATCCAATCAATAGTATCCAAGTTCAATTGGATGAGACCGTAGTCCACAGGAGTCCTGTACCAATTTTCGGGGATTCTCTCCCAACCTTCGCGGTAAGTGAGATTACCCTCTTCGCCATAAATGCCGTAGAAATCCCGAATGTGATTCTTGGCTAGAAAAGAGTTAGTAAAATTCTATGTAGGAGAAACTATCATATGACTCATTACTTACTCAAAACTCCTTCCGGATTTTCATGGGTGTGGTTTCGGAACATGCGAGCAGCGAAGAGATAACCGGCATTACGGGCAATGAGACCGGTTACAGGTCCATAGTAAAAATTGGGATTCGTTTGAATGCTTTCCTCAAAGCGGATCTTGGCGCGCTTTGCCATGAGATCCATGTCAAAGGTACCATTGGTGGACATGTTGTACCAAGCCATGAATTTGTTCATGTTCAAAGCGTGGTTATTTCCCGTAATGTAGAGATCGTCGCGCGTATTGGAAGAATCAGCTTCGATGAAATTGTGAGAGCCATCAAGGCCACGAGGTTCGCCTGTGAACAGATGTCAGTAAATATAAGGCTATATCCTGATTCCAAGCACAGAAAATCTCACCAAGCAGACCTCCCAGATTATCAAGGAGGTTGTTGACCCCGGTGTCGCGTCCTCCGATAGAAAAGCTGGGATCCAAAGATAGTGGGTTGCCAGTCCAGACAGTGCCCATGATTGCAAGAACTGTGGCTAGATCCACTCCCATGCCATACACTGCCAATATTTGAATTAGCATGTCATAAGTTCAACATTATGATCAAATTGTACCTTCATTGATCGCAATTATGACATTGGCAAACTGAGTCGATTAGCAGGTGTTCACGCGCGTTGTACTAGTAATTGTTGACTCACTGATACAACGCCATTTCGAGGGATATATCCATGATTTGCCAGCGCGTTGAGACCGGGACAAGGGCCACGTTGATCTCCGTTTTCGAAGTTGGGCGGTTGGAATTCATGCTCTCCAGTGACTAGACCATTTATTAATATCACGAAAATGAGCATGAATTCTTCACTTACTGTCAATCGGGGTATTCATGTCACTAAAGAGAAACCGCTTGTCATGTTTTGAAGCTTCCTGAGGCTGTCCATTCGAATATGGGCATCGTTTGTGCAAGTTCCTGCGGTCACGACCGACATGAAAGCTCCCTGTATCGGGGAAACCCAACGCAATGCCAGAGAAGGCTAATGACAAGAAGAGCTGTCCTACTCCAAGAAGACGCATGATTGGGACAGAAAGAAACAAAAGCAAATATTATATTATATCCGCAAAGATGGAGTGAAAAGAATGACAACTTGAACCCAAACGAATGAATAGTTCACTGTAGTCTAAGAACAATTCACGTCAAACCAAAATAATGTACATATGCCGCTTAATTACATCCCCTGAGAGATCTTCAGATCTTCGGCATATGAAAAATCAAATCAAGCTCACCTGAATGGTCGGCAAATTCCCGACCAACATTGTATGGATACGTATTGTGCACTGATGAAGCTTGTAAATGAGATGCTCCACTTATGGGAAGAAAGCACCGGCCAACTGGTCTGAATACCGCTTTTCTAGAAAAGGATATCGCAGGAAAATCCTTTCTTGCCCCTGACCCCTGAAAAGAGAATCGAAATTTCTATTCAAAAAAACATATTAGTCTCTTCATTCGCAGAAAAATTGATCCAAGTGGCTGTATTAGACTCGCGTGATGTTGATCACGTCTGCTTGGGGGAAATTCTCCCCGTGCCCCGCATCGTCTCGGATCTAACCCAGTTGATTGACAGCGCTGATCAGGTTCAGAAGTAGAAATTTTGAGTGGATCTCTAGAATACAGAGAGAAAACAACGTTTAATACACATCAAAGTATATTCGGTCAGAATGGAAGGAGTTTAATAAGTGGAGAAGATGTTAAGAGACTAAGGATTAAGCGATAACGCCTCAAAACCACTCCTAGGTCATTTCCGTGTGGGTAGCCAGCCTCGTGGAGACGACTAAGATCAAAGAAGAGATGAACTGTGAATTAAAAAGTATAACTTCATGAAAAATACTGATTTCACAGTGGGACAAAGGGTCCAAGTCCCCAATGCCGATCAGGATCAGCCACGAGAATTGGCAGGTGGATCCGCGTCTAGTTTTGTTATTTTACCGGTCTGAATCCTTAAACGGCACAAATAAGCCACAAAGTCGAAGGAGCAGGATTTGGCGGGGACAAAAAAGTGGACGTTTCGTATAGAATGTAGATCTTAATTCGTGTATCCCGATGTTTGGAGAATATGCTAACTATAGTGGCTTCGAGTCATCATTCAAACAACGGTCCAAATAAGATGATACATAGATTACATCTAAATTAATTAATTAACAGTTTGTGTATATAGTGATCGACAGGAATGAACTGTTTGGAAAATTGCGAGAAAGTGGCGAGAAAGTGGCGAGCAGAGATCTAGCCTCGACCCCTGGAGTCTGAAGCGGCAGGATGGGATTGAAGTGGGAATTCTAGAATTGCATGCTCCTATTACAAAGTTGAGGACACTTAGTTTACATTTTGAATGAGTCCACATGTGGAAGGTGGTAGTTCCCTTGAGCTCTATCACTTTTCTTCATCCTATCTTCATGAAATTCCTGATTTCATCTCTTCACTAGCACAATGCGTATTCTCAATATAGCAGTCCTGGCAGTGACGCTGCTTGTCACAAGTGCTAGTGCAGGAATCTCAGAGTTGGAAGCAGTGCTGCCAAAATGTGCAGTGGGTAGTTTCTTTTCCCTTGTTGTTTTTGGTGGAACTGACATCGTCAAAGTTGCAATGCATGGCGAGTTCAATATCACAAAGCTCCTGTGCACCTACCGACCAGGCATGCCTCTGTACTGATACAACGTATACTGAGGCTCTTGAGGAGTGCGTTTTGTTAAGCTGCACGATCCGACAGTCACTGAGTAAGTCAGACCTCTGGTGATATGTCCTCACATTGCTTACATCCATACAAGCCACAAAAAATGTCACCACATCGGCATGCGCGGCGCCTATCCGGAATCGCACGAAAATTGTTTCTTGTGCGGGAGTTGCGGGAGGTATAATAGCAGTGATTGCCTTTCTTCTTCGTATGTTCGCCAGGCTGAGATGCTGCGGTGGTACGTTCGGCATGGATGATTGGACGATGATGTTGACAATTGTATGTGAAGCCTCGGAATCATTGAGGAATCGAAATACTAACAAAACCCAGTGCCTTGTCATTCCGTTATCCTCACTTTCAGTTGTTTGTGAGTATACTCAATATCCGATTCTCAACTTCCCTGATACTGATTCCTTACTATAGTGGCCAATGCAGGACTTGGCAAAGATATGTGGACTTTACCATTTGAGAATATCACCAGAATTCTCTGCGTTGGTACCCAAATTCCTTATCTCACACTGATTTGAAACTAATTAGTCTCTACCTACTAGATCTACTTTTGGGACGAGCTACTGTACCTCAGCATCCTGCCAATGACGAAAATATCGATATGCTGTTTCTACCTCCGAATTTTCCCCGAACGACGCTTCCGCATTATAACATACTGTGTGATCGGTATCAATGTCGCCTATTTAATTACGTTTATCTTGATCTCGGTTTTCCAATGTCGACCACTACCAGGTGCATGGTTACACTGGGATGGAGAGGGTGATTACAAGTGCAACCATATCAATGCGCAAGGCTGGTCAGCAGCGGCTATCAATATGATTCTGGACATTGTCGTCATGGCACTTCCTTTGCGACAACTCTATAATTTGAATCTTTCGTTGAGAAAGAAGATCTATGTGATGTGCATGTTTGGTCTGGGTCTCTTGTTCGTGTTCTCTAATAATCTTGATATCCATTATGCTGACCAAGAGTTTAGTGTCACCCTTGTTAGTATCCTGCGACTAAATTCACTTATTCACTTTGCCTCTACAACCAATCTCACATGTGGGAATCCCTCTTTCCTTGATCTGAGGTGATATGATGCTAACTCGACCTTGAAGGGGACTATGTGAGTATTGGATATTGGAGTACAATTGAGTGCGACGTAGGTGTAATCTGTGCGTGTCTACCGGCAATTCGATCCTTGCTTCGCAGATTATCGCCCGGCCTTTTTGGTGACACCGAGAATGTGAAGTCATATGGGTTAAATTCCCAATCTCGTGGGACTGCCTCGAGATATGAAGGACCCATATATGTTCATCATGACATCCAGGTCAAGAGTAATGACGGGAAGTTCTATCAGTTGGGAGATATGGATAATTCTAGCAAAGCCCACCTCCCTTCTCAAGGCGCTTAGAAGGGAATGGAACATTTGAAAGTTCAAGTTCCATGGTCACTGGAAAAATGCGAGAAGAAGTGTCTATAGTTTTCTTTTTTTTCGAATCTGTTTGGATTTTATTATATCAAGTGCCCCATGGCTTCATGAGAAACTGTGATTGACAATCTAGACAAGTGTATAGAATATTGAATGCGAAAAATCGAGAAATTGCACATCCGTTATTCAAAGACCAGTCTTCCTGCAGACCTCATTTCAGGCTCTAGAGGAAAAATTTGCTCTCCATGAGAGGCCGTCTCCGTATATAATCTATCCCACTTAGATCGTAGCGCTTCTGGTATCTCTCCAAGCATTTTGTGGGTCCTGCAGCCAAAGGTGAAGGGGTTGTCGTCTATGAACTATTAGCCGATTATCTTCACGGTTGCTAAGTGCAAAAACCTACCGCTGGTTGGGACCGTCTTTATAAATGTTCCTCGCATGTAACATGCTCAAATTATTGACGAACTGCATATCGCCCTTTCGTAGTGGCATAGGCACATGAAATCGTTCTGCAAGGAAATGAAGCGTGTCCAAAACTTCAGCCTGCTTGGTCGAGAGTTTATTCGAATGCGACCATGCCCCAAACCCAGAGAAGGAACGCCGAGGAAAATGAATGAGTATCCTCTCACTTGTTGAATCAGACGGAGCTTGATGGTAAATCAATGGTCGACGAATGATATGACCTTCTTTCTTGGAGCTAGAGGAAATGTACGTTAGTTTGCGATCGAGGTCATAAAGTGTGAACATACCTTGGAATGGGCCATTCGGTCGCTAATACCTCGACCAGGTCGGGTCGCAATTTTGCAAGCTCATTATAAACTCGCCAGCCGCTTGCTATGAGACTTTCACCACCCTCCACGGGCTCTTCCAATGCAAATAAGGAGACAATGTTACCTGTATCAGTGTGGAAAATCACTTCTCCATCAGTATATGCAGGGGAAGTTGCTGAGCCTGGCTCTAGGGAAGAGCTAAAGTCCGTTATATGCGCAATCATGACATCCGCTGGGTTCCCATTATACTGGTGATCTTGACGGCCACGGACGGAGGCTATATTGGACGAGAGGCCAATATAAATGATCACATTATCCTCTCGAGAGTATTCTTCCACGGGGATTCCGCGCACAAGGGAGAAGCCCGTTCCTCGATGTAGGTTGTCCGATACAGACTGGAGGGTTGAATGAAGGGATGGAAGTGGGAAGGTGGTTGGATCGAGTGACTTAAGAGGTTTGTCAAGAGCTAACATTGAATTTAGTAGTTTTTATGTCTCGGCCTAGATGTTCTTACTTTTAAAATACCGCAGCGCATCATTGATCTCTTTCAGATTCTCTCTACTTAATTTCAGGATGCATCTGTCATCATCCACAAATCCACGCTCGTCAAGGCGAATACTGCTAGCATCCCACACCATCTCCGAGGACAGTTGAGCAGGGAATCGCTCAGGAAGACCAGCCCTCGATATTGAATGCTGGGCCAGGGCTTGTTGTGTGTCATATTTGACGCAATCCGGAATGTACGGAATGCTTTCAACACAATCTCCCATGTTGTCGATTCTGGATGGATGAGCCCACTTCGAAAGAAGAGCTTTAAGACCCGGTGGTGTTTTAACAGAAATGACGCCATTTTGCTTGTTTCCAGACATCAGACACACTTTCTGCACGTGTTCGTATAACATGTTGTACGGCATGAAGGCTAATCCCCACATTGGAGCCACTTTGATGATGTGGCAGTCAATGACAGGGTCTGATGCAAGGAGATTTATGCGGCTTTCTGCAATGTCGATTCCTCATATTGTTAGCTAAATTCCACAGTCGGTGATTGGCAGGTTATGTTATGGCCATCGAATCAACTGAAGGGAATCTTGCCGTTATTCCACCGGTCGGGAAAATCATTGTGATGTATCCAATAGTGTCAACATCATCCGTGGATCATTCCAAGGTTCCTCACCTGTGATCCACTCAAAGCTCCTCGTGAATTGAATGTATAAAGCTACCGACCGTATCTTTTCTTTTGAACAGCTCATCAAAATACTTTAAGATTTGAAATGACTATTACGTCGCCCCCAGAAGCACCATGTTTCGAAACAACGAAACGATTGCTGGCTGGCTTGATTAACGAAGGGCTGATTCATGCCGTTATAAAGGGATCGAAAACAGATTCGCAACGGCATTTACACTTGACAAATAATGGAAGCTCGTGGGAGAATGGCAGAATTTTGGTCCAAGCCACACCTGAATGCTTGATTGAAGATCGCGATGGTGAAGTGCTCCCAGTGATACAACCCAGCATGCTGTGCCCTCCTGTTATTGTAATCAGCCAGGGAGTTGAGAGCCAAACCATCGATGCAGGTGAAATCTTCAAACTGATAGTTCCATGGTTTGAGGATATGGCGAGCCAGTCGGTCCTCGAGGAGATCTCAAGGCATTTGCAGAATTCGGGGTCCAATCAAGGTCAGACACCAATAAAGCCCTGCGATTCATCTTGCTCACAAGAGAAAGAAACCTGGATGAGAATTGCAGCAAGTCAGAAGATGCTGAGCTTACAGGACTCGTCAATTTCCTGGGAAAGAACCATGATATGCGGGCATCCGACTCACCCCGTGCGTAAATAAATGATTGGGGATGATTGGTAGCGATTCATCTGATATATGCGTACAGTTTCATCGTACTTGCGATGCGAAGCCACCACTGAATCCTGTCAAACCAGAGGATATCCCGGCAATGCTGACACCAGGAATTACATTCCTCTCACTGCCATCCAGCGACCTCCACTTGGCTGGCCCATTTAGTCAACTATTGCACCCACTTCTTGAAACTCTCGGAATTCCAAATGCCCCAGAAGGCTTTACAGTCTTGCCATGTCTGACTCAACAGTTACCCTCTGTGATACAGCGTTTCCCAAGAGCTGAGGTCTTGATGTCGGTAGATAACTGTGTGGATGCTCAAGCGTCTCTACGAACTGTGACCCCTCGACCCGAGCTGAATTTCCCATTCCACTTGAAGCTATCTTTAGCCTGTCAGATCACCTCTGCGCTTCGCACAATCACACCATGGTCCGCACAGGGCGGTCCCATTGTGACCCAGATCATGGATCGATTCCTCCCAGCCGATCTATGGATATTCAAAGAAGTAGCATCTGCCACAGGTAGTCAGTCAAACTTTGATGACGCAAAACATCTATCGTGTATTCTGCGAGAGAATTTGGAATTCAGAGCCGAGGCCAACGACGAGGTTCTCATCATCGCAGCTGCACTGACTCAACAGTCGCATGGCACATCGCAGCCTTACGCAGAGATCCTCTTCAATTTGGAAAGCATTCCTCAAAAGCAAGAGTGGTTTCGAGAGTGAGTTGATTCCCCCTCCCATAATACACAAGAAGGCACTAATAAAAATCCACAGATATGTTGAATGCCTCCTCGTCCTCATCCTCCCACCTTTGATAAACCATGGCATTGGCCTCGAAGCCCACGGCCAGAACATGCTCGTGCGAGTATGTCGGAAGACAGGAAAGATCAAAGGATTTGCAGTCCGCGACTTCGGTGGTATCCGCTTGCACACTCCGACCCTTCGCCTTCAGGGCGTAAATTTCGACGCAATGTATCCCGGCTGGGCAGTGATGACGGAGAGTATGCATGATGCGTGGGGAAAGGTGCATCACTCGCTGCTGCAAAATCATGTTGGATATCTCTTGGATGCCCTCAATCTACAGAAGCATGGTGGGTGGGCCATTGTACGTGAGGTACTGGAGCAGGTTCTGGCAACGCTCCTAAACACTGGGCTATACGAGTTCTGTATGAAAGACACCATGCCATACAAATGTTTCCTACGGATGAGAATGGAAGGGAAATATCGCGATGTAAGTCATCCTCCCCGTCAAAATGAGAATTACGCTCTAACTTGCTCAGTATGTGGAAAGAGAGGTACCAAATACTTTGCTGATGGGGTCAGAAAGATGGGAGGGAATACTTGCGAGCTATGTCCCTTCCTTGCATTGGACTTGACCGAGAGTATTTATGATGATATCTTTCGGAATGATTCCATACGAGCAAAGTGTTCAAGATCGCATTATTCCAGTGTATCGTTTTGGGCGTGGGTGGCTTCCTGCTCCATTGATCATTCTCCGGGAAAAATCTCTTTCACCATGTAAATTCATGTTTTTGGATTGGAGGGTTCCTTTCGATAGGTCCATTCCGACATGATATCTCCTGACAGAAAGCTCTGTTTACAATTATTCCACAAATCCTCTATTACTGGACTCGTACGACTCAAGGACCATCATGAATCCAATAGCTGATCTAAAAGCCACCGATTCTCGTATGAAAAGTACTGACTTACTACCATTTAACCAAGCGCTTAACAATTCTTGGGCTTTGTTGAAGGCTGCTGAACAGAGGAAATACTACTTCCAGGATATAGACACATGCCCATGGACTCGGAAAAGAGATCTCAAAGTCATCAAAAGAGCACAGCCTACTAAAATACTGGGGAATGGCCAATCAAGGCTCTGGAAGAAGGTTCGTGGATTTTTCGATACTGAGAGGCCATAGATAATGAAAGAATGATGTTCAAGATCACTTCAAAGAGACTCGGAATTAACGAACCCTGAAAAATCATAACTTCACGTCAACATGCCAGGCAAGCCATCAACTCAAAGAATCAAAATTCCAGTTTAAACTTCTTTACTCAGAGATATCCCAATATGAAGGTTGCCCCAAGACCATTTCTTTGTCTTCAAATATTGGAGTTTTGAATAGGGCAGTCCATGCAACATGTCGAATGCACATGTGCAGTTGGTTGCATTCATCTATAGTTGCTGAATATTGTTCTCTTTCTTGACCTTCTTTTCTTGATCTTCAACTTTGGAAAGATCGCGAAAAATATGCTAGAGAAAATTTGTTATCCCGAGTTTCTTTCCATCCATCAAAACCTGGATTAGGCTGTACCTAGTACTGACGGAGAAAGAATTGACTAGGATTCTCTCGGCTTTCAAAGGTCTTTCTTCGACATAGAAGGATTGAGATTCGAACCTTTGACCTTGATAGTCCTTTCACTCTCGCCTGACAATCATCCAGTCAAACCTTGGAACTTCCAAGTACGACTCTGACTCCATTGTGCCAGTGGTACTCAATAGTCACTATCTTTTTCCTATTTTCTTTTAATGATTGGAACGATGCCCCGAGTTTAAAAATAGCAACAGGTTGAGGGAATATAAAGGCGAATTCTGTCACAGTGTCAATGATGCTGCGCTTGGAATTCAGCGATGGGCATGACCAGACCTGTGCATCTGAAAGTACAACCGCCGAGATCTAGCACTTCACTATAACTTGAACCAGACCATAAGTTGACTTGAGTTCAAATCTCAACTTCCTTAATTCCTTCTTTGAATATTCGAGACCTCGCATCGATTGGCATTCTGAGTTCCACTGGCATCCACGCAATTATGGAACTTTCTGCCGTGGCTAAGTATGGTACCCATTATTTACGAGGGATAGCATACCAGAGATGGATTGATTTTGAAATCATCATGGTGGAGTGTCCTGTTACAGCATCTCAACTGACTGTTGACCAATTCCATGGATGGAAACTTTTTAAAGATTGTGAGATCTCAAATTTAGACACGGAATTCAACTCTAGCCCTCAGTCCGATGATGGTTTGTATGAAGTCGCGGAGGAAGATATGCCCCAGAGCCTTCAGGGTACTGCAAAAGATGGCTCTCATGCACGCGCGTTGAGACACCTTGATAAAATGGCCAATATTTTCAAGGTTGAGTTGCCAAATATGGCCGATTTTGGAGAGTTTTTGCCTACAGGTCGGTTTCAGAAATTTGATCCAGTAGGGTCCTTATACCCTCCCGAAACACGTGAAGACCGGCTAGATAAGTTGTTGGGAGCCAAAGATCAAGGTGACAGGGAGTCGGTCACTGTAAGCTGGGATGGGATCGTCACCGAGGGGAGTCTCCTTATCAATTGGGTTAGACGGAACCATGACCAGCCACCTCTGCATGAAGTAACAAATGCAATCTACTCACATCTTGTACCAGATGGAGAGTTGAGTTATATCTTTCTGCATAATATTGTGGAATCCGATACCAGGAATTTCATCTTGGATAAGATATACGACCAGTCTAATAACTCGACATTGCCGACCGGTCCAAACGGCGCACCATTTTCACAAACCTTCCACCATCAAACATCTGAATACTTTGCCTTGCTCGGTACTGTAATGGGTAAGATGATCGGGCGCTTTATTTTGGGGCGTTATCAACGTGGAGACTGCAAGCTCAATTCAATCGCGGTTGCACTCTCTCGCCAGGGCCAGCATAATGATACGATTATTGACATGATGTTTGAACTTACGCCAGCTGGGCCACCAAATAAATTACCATCGGCTGGAGGACCCGTTTTGAAAGCATCAGCCAAGGGAACAAGCGTTCTGGAGAAAAGAGTGCCGGGCGGAGAACGACTTATTGGGGGGGAGCCGACCTCAAGAGCTCAGCAGAGAGGCAGCCGCGAGCACAACAGCTTCAAGTGAACAAGCGGTTGAGAAACCGGCTCCAGAGCCACCTGTTACAGAGTCAGCTTCAGTGCCAGTTCCAGCGCCAAAGCCTGCTGATTCAAAAGCGGAAAAAAGAGCCCAGGCTAGGAAAATCCGTAAACGTCGCAAAGATGAAGAGAGTCGACAGGCTGCAGAGCAGCAGGAGAAGGAAGATGATAAAAGACACGAAAAAACACGTTCAGGGAAGAGACGGAAGAGGAATTAAAACATTTGGATTCAATTTTTGCAGATATGGTAACTGTTTGGCTCTGTTTGGCTAAAAGATTGAGTGAAAAATTTGACTGAGACGAGGTATTCAATGTCTGGCTTGCTGTTTATGGTTATTCCACGTCGTTGAGCTTTTTAGAATAGATGCCGGTGGCACATTTAATAAATTCAAGTATTGAATCTGGGGACTTGGTCTCTCGGAGGAGTCTAGATGAATTAGGATGAGAAGGATAAGACTGAATGACTAGTATGGAGTTATTAAATCAAATGCATCCATCCACTAGTTAGTGGTGCTTAGCATATCAAAAAATAATATCGAGAATACAGAGCCCTGTTAAATGAAAACCTAGCTTGAGTTATGAATCAAGAGTAGTCAAAAGATAATTCATGCTAAGCGTGACCTTATCAACCGTTAGATGACACTTGGGTGACTAACGACTCTCAACATTTGAATGACACGCACTCAGGCTTAAGTCCAAGGAAATTAAATGAATTTCCAGTGCCAATGGAGCCCCAGGGGCGAAAGACCCCATAGGTCCACGTCTGTGCACATGCTTATTTTACTCTTATCTTGGTACCGGGGGCCAACGCTAAGATTGAAATTTTGGGGCTGAAGCATTAGTCTGCACTATCTACGGAGGTCGGTCCGGAAAGTTCTCGCCAGAAATTATAATTTCTTTTTCTCACACTAGGCTATATACAGTAAATATTGAAATATATCGCGTAATCAAGATGTATATAAAACGGAAATATATAGTACTGAAATATAATAACAGCTTGAAACAGTAAATATTCACATATCTTCCCATATATCGCTGTCGCTGTCGCTGTCGCTGTCGCTGTCGTTGCCGCTGCCGCTGTTATAGGCGTTATCACCTAACCCGCTAGGGGCTACTTCACCTAATTTATCACGCCCCTCACCGTATTCGTTGCCCCCTTCTAGTCTAATGACTTGCTGTATATGCCATGGTATACGTTCAATCCAAGCTTGAATTTGCGCCTGTGGTAGATCACGCCACGCAGCCTCCCATACTTTAATCCCTTCTTTACGCGATTTAGGTGCTCCTTTTCGCGTAGTGTATCTCTTCATCCAAGGCCATGCAGGTTCAATCATATTTAGATCAGGCGAATTTCCAGGCCAGATCATTCGTTGGACCCCCATTATATCAAATATTCGCTGTTGGTAGTGATGTGAATGGGCTGGTGCTTTATCCTCTTGAACTATTGTTTTCGTTCGAATTCGAGCACATTCTTGGGCGAATGGAAGTAGTTTTGGGGCTAAAATCACGGTGTTGTATCGGTACCAATCGATTCCACCTTTCGAATTGCGTGCAAGCTTTCCATTCTTCTGAGTCCATCTCCACTGAGGTTGTCTTCCAGGCTTATTGCGTAGCCCTAATCGCTGTATACCTGAATTAAGCTCCCATTCTGCACGCATAATAGGCTCTAATTCAGTATTCCATTCGGCGATTTGGTGTTCTGCTTCACGCTTTTGGGCTGTAGTTTCAGGTACCCAACAATGACAGGGGCCCTTCTGATCATAAGAAAAAGCACCCCAAAACATGAACTCAGAGGCCCCCTTCCAACGTTCTCGAATACAGCTTCGGACGAACCGCTCACTAGAAGTACGCCATACACGATATCCACCCCGACGGTGTAATAAAACAACCGCAGTTTCATCAGTCCAAATCACATTCTTCCAGTCTTCTATAGTCCAATGGGCGTGTTTTAAACACCATTCAAGACGTTGTTTTTTCTGCTCAGCGGCAAGCCCAGGCTTACGTGTAGGCTTTGTTTTTCGTAGGCCAATTTTTCGTAGTACATGCCAAACTGTTGTTTTTGATATATTAATCCCTAATTATAGAAGAAATATTAGAGGAAATAACATATCAAGTAACATATGAGATAACATATCAAATAACACACCAAGTAACACATCAAATATTATACTAAATAACATATTAAATAACACACTAAATAAAATATCAAATCTTAGAATAACTAACCTGATTCACTGCGTAGCTCTGCAGCTAGCTGTTCACATGTTTTCTCACGCCCATAGCGGTCTACACGGATTTTCGCCCCAAGTGTGGTTTTAAGCTCATCTGTTTGCTTAGATGGACGCCCAGAACGTGCTTTATCAGCTAACATTTCATCTGATATATTGAATGGTCGCTGATTCGGCTGAAAACCTCGTTCGAGTGCACGGTTCCATATGTCTCCTATAGTACGCCGTGGAATATTCATAAATTCACTGATCTCCTTAGGGGCATGTCCTTGGGCCCTTAGGTATACAATGACAGCACGTTGCGCAATATTGGTCTTCATTGTAGCTGTATAGGTGGGACAAAAGTGTAGCTGTGTAGGTGGGATAAAAGTGTGAAGGGGTGTACGGACTGTAGGCGGGGTAAAAGATAAAGATCTACGTGTCCACGGGTGTTATAAGCAATATTTAGCCTAGTACGTAACACGGCAATACATCCAATATACAGCAGGCTATACACCTGACATACAGGGCCGGTAATATATCAAGAAAAAGAAATTATAATTTCTGGCGAGAACTTTCCGGACCGACCTCCGTAGTGCCATTCAGAATCCATTCAGAAGATATAATTCGTCCATAATTTTAGGAATGTGCCAACTCATTCTCAGACCCTTCCCAATGTCCCGTCAGGGTCACTGTTCAGGGTCTTGACGATTTCCTTTCTGCAATAATCATCCCCGATTTAATACCCCGCGTTTAAAATTTCACCGCAGGAACCGCGGAAGGTGAGGCTACAGACACGTGGATTTTCTGACTTTCTTCTATATTTCTTCTCCTCTTGCGTCTTCCTTCTGGAGTCGGCTTAAGTATCAAGATCACGATACTGCTCCAGCCTCTTTCCCCTTTCCCTTTAAAAGCTCTTGCCGCAGGGATTGAGAGCTTTGCACTGGTCCCCAGAAATACCTAGACCCCCGTCGACAAGCCCTCTCTGGTCCACGTCCGGAGATAAAACATTTGATGGATATGAGTTCACTCGGAAAGGCCTCTCGCGGCCATGTAATTGATGAAAGTGATGAAAGTACCCAACTTCAAGCGATAAAGTCAGATACACACACCGCTCCTCCGGCCGAGTCACAGGATATGCGTCTCGAGATCGATTCGTCTCAATTGCACAACGCTCATCGAACACAATACAAGATTGTTGCCTCTTCAAACAAAAATAGCAAGTCCCAACCCATATTACAATCTCTGAGAGACTGGGGCTGGGAAGTTAGTGGAATCTTTGCATCCGCTATTATGATTGTTACTATCGTCGTCATCCTTGGAAAATTCAATGGGCGTCCACAAGATGCTTGGAAGTTGAAGTATATATCGCTTCATTCTGTGATTTCTTGGTTGAGCACCCTTGCCAGCGGGCTTGTGATGTTCTCCATTAGCCAAGGTATTGGTCAATTAAAATGGTTGTGGTTATCAAAGCATAGTCGGCCATTATCGGATCTCGCTGCATTTGATTCTGCGAGCAGAGGGGCTACTGGGAGCGTGATTCTTCCATGGGTTGTGAAGGGACAGTATGTGAATTCCGAGTCTCAACATTGTGCAGTGGCGATCATAGCACTTGAAAAGCCTTGCTAATTCTGTATAGGAATATGGTAGCCTTGCTTGCCTGTCTGGCTACGGTGCTAGCCATAGGTTTTGATCCTTTCATCCAGAATTTAGTGCACTATGTTCCAGGTAACATTGATAGCCCTTCTGAGACCTCATTGCTCTCCGGCACATCAATATATAATACAGTTGGACCGCTGATGGGCGGCGATCGTGAGTAATTGATAATCGAATGGAAATCTGTTAACAAAGACTGAACTGTATTTGGCAGTGATTTTCGTGGATCCGATTTTGAAGGCAAACGTGTTTAACTCGTTGTTCAATACCGATCCATCCCAGCCATGGGCAGAGCCACAATACACATGCCCAACTGGAAATTGCACTTGGGATCCAATAGCAACTCTCGAGATTCGTGCATTTTGCCACAATGTCACGTCAAACTTGACCACGACATGCAGAGTCCTATCAGATACTACCAACTGCACTGTCACGCTGCATAGCGGTACATTATTATTCTATTTAACTACCGGTGGCGAAGCCCAGCCAATGGTAGTTGAGACATTACAAACTGAGGGCCTCTACGCCAACCCGGACACTTTCTATAGGAATAGCTCTTTCCCTGTTATACAGTATATTCTGGCAATGGGGTCAAATGACGATCCACTCACGGGTGGCGGAATTGCGACCGAAATTGGGAATACGACACAGTTTGTGGCCACAGAGTGTGCTCTTCAACCAGTTGTTCGAAGCATCAATGCATCCGTTACGATGGGGGTCTAGGAAGAAACATACCTTGCAGAGTGGCCAGTGCTTGATGACACAACTACGACCTTCAGCTTCACATATGATTCTCTCCAGCCTCCTTGGAACGAGACTTTGGGAATAAAAGGAAGTCAAACCTTTGGTGTAGGCCGCGAGGCGTGGGATTCGCTGTGGACTTTCTTTAACTCAATATTCGCAGGCTATGTCATGGCGGGCTCCGATGACCTTGGATTCATGGCATCGAGCTCGGGAGGCACATATGCTATTATGGATTCACTGGAAGCCATCTTCTATGGTAACTTTACAGGTAAAATTTGTCAGGATGCCGACCAACTGTCTTGCGCTATAAAGAATGTCGCTGCGGCAATGTCCAAGACTATTAGGGATTCTGCATTTACCTATAGTGCCGAATATCAACCCTATGCTGACAATGGCCTTGGCACCAACTCAACAAGCATTGTTGGGAGAACGCTAATCACTGCCTCGTTTGTGGAAGTTCACTGGGAGTGGCTCACTTTGCCAATCATTGTCTGGGTTCTTGGAGCACTTTCTTGTTTTTGTACCGCTTGGATGACCCACAAGAGTCATATGAAGGCTTGGATGAATCAGATCTTTCCGTTGGTCTTTCTTCGTTCCTACCGCGACAACACAGTGAATTTTGAAGGTGGTGGCGATGAAGCGTTTGAAGAGGTGACTGGAGAACAAGACGGGACATACGGTCATGTTTTGACTGATTATAGCCTTGTAGCGGGTACAAGCTTGCGCTAGCACACGATATTCCCAATGGTTTTGGTTTCTATAACCCGTCACTCCCATTGAAATTTAAAGAAGGGACTTGCAAAGTTGGCATTGAAGTCTACAGATAAAAATGATGACCATCGTATTTTGAAAAGCAACTATATCAATCAATGTCTGTAGGATCAAATAGTGAACGAGGTTGATATATCATATCTTATCAGATCAGACCAATCTCACTCCGAACCATGGAACCGTTTGTTATTGCAACAAATACGGCCAAATACCCCTGGGATCACAGTTTCAATATTTGAAAATCCCTATTACTAATTGCCCGGATGGTTTAGTGGTATAATTCGCCCTTCGGGATAGATTCTCGGATCTTTCAAAGATTCTGAATTGGGCGAGGTCCCGCGTTCGATTCGCGGTTCGGGCCACTATTTTTGGCTCTTTATCATGGGTAAAAAATGAAGCGACTTGAATTTTTGGTCGAGTCTGTGAACAAAGAAGTTGGGATAGAATGAAATACCAATTGCTGACTTACAGTGCTTAAGATTTTGGACAAAGCAGGACAATATTACTTTATTCAGCCACTGACTATCTCATACGTGGTCAATTGATCGGTTAGAAAGGGAAGAGGGGAAACCAAGCCAGTACACGCATGTGCATGAGTTGCATTCGATAAAGAGTTGTAGATACATACAAACTGGCACAATTCCCATCTTGTGGCAGGAAGCTGACTTTGGTCATGACTCAGAGAACAAAATTGGGTAGATAAAGTGGCATGGAGTCTTCCCACATAGAGTCTGACAGAGGTGTCTTGTTCGACCCATCCTTATCCATGATCATGATCTGACCATACGGCTGAAAAGTGTTATCGTAGAGCGCACACTCATATCGGAAGCCGTTCATGCCGGTCGACCACATAATCCGACCGTCGTGAGACCACACAGCATGAGCGTCATTGGCACCACTGCTAGTCAGCACTTTGAGGTCGGTTCCATCAGGACGAATGGTACAGACATCATAGTTGAATGTGCTTGTTTTCCGCGTGAAGAGGATGAGTTCTCCATCGGGAGAATATTCAGGAAGATTATCCCATTCTGTAGTCAGAACAGTCGTTTTCCTGGTCTCAAGATCCAAAATGCGTAATCCGATCTCTGATTTATTGCCGTAGGTTGCGGTGTCAGCACCCCAAACTCGGTAGACAACCTTTTTGCCATCGTGAGAAAAGCTAGGGAAGCCGTTGTTGAGGACTGTGCTGTTCTCGATAGAGTATGCACTATCAACAAGGACCTCGGAGTAAGAGCCATTGGCAGTTGCTCTCACAATCCATCCGCCGGATGTTTCTCGGGTTTCAAACCAGAAGCCGACACCAAAAACAACCCATTCACCATCGCGAGACCAGTTCGGGTTATAGGCCGCGGCTCCAGAAGTCTCTGATGATGTCAGAAAGTCAGCTGTGCTTGGATCATAGACCAGACCCAGGTTTCCTCCTGTGGTGTTGAATGTCACAATAGATGAGTTACCAAGTTGCTTCTGGGTAATAACAACTCGATTGTCAACAGAGGAGTATTGAGGGAAGACATCAGTGAAGCGATAGTCCCATTCCGGATCAAAGCTATATAGTTGCTTGTAGGCGTCACGGATTACCCAGGTTGTTTTCTCGTATACTACCTGTTTGAAATCAGGGGACCAAGAGGGAGAACGGACGGTGCCAGTGTAGTTCACAAACTGGCCAGACGTGGTATAAAAGCCTTCAGTGTCGGTACCGCTCTTCAGCAGATAAGCGATCGTGCCATTGTTGTCAATGTATTGAGGGAAGACTTTGACACCATCACCAGCAGCTTCCACTCTGATATCCTCTCCTGTCTCAACATCGACTGACAAAATAGTAGAGTTTGCTGATGAAAGAGTAAATTCGCTGTGTGCATTGTATGTGTTTTCACGTGTCATCTCGTAGTAGACGAGGCGTTTGCCATCCAGTGACCACTTAGGAGAACCCAGACAGTAGTATGGCTTTGAAACTATTTTGCGGAAGTCGGTGCCGTTGGGCCGGATCACGTAAATTGAAAGCTCTTGTGTCGTTTCCCAGCCAGTAAGACCCAGGTAGGTCGGTACTCCATGCCCGCTGTATTGAGTGTTGCGATCCGATGAGAATGCGAGCCATTCTCCATCAGGAGACCAAGCCGGGCGGAAATAACCCATCATCAGTGACTTGTTGGAGGCGGTGATGGGAATGTCTGTAACGTTCCATTTATCACCAGTAATCAAATCCCTGATCCAGATATTGGCTTTCATATTGTTCGCGGTAGAGACATAGGCAGCGTGACGTCCATTGGGAGATACAATCACAGAGTCCTCAACATAGGGTGTGGTTACCAATGGCTCAAGGTCGGATCCATTGGGGCGAATGCGATAAATATCAGCATTGCCATCGCCATTGCGTTCACTTGTGAATGTAATCCATTCTCCATCGGGAGAGAATGAAGCATGGTACTCGAAGACAGGATCAGAGAGAAGTTCGCGTTCATCAGAGCCGTCGACATTGGAGATGTACAATTTTGATGTTCCGGGCGCAATTCGATTCATCAGAAAGATGCCCTTGGTATCAGCAGCATCACTACTGGGGGTTGGAGTTCCAGATGAAGGTATTGTTGAGGAAGGGAGGTTTCGGCGCATATTGGCGTGAGCTTGGAGTTTGGCATGGTCGGCATCTGCTCTTTTGTCGAAGCCATAGGGACACCCAGCCCAAACCTGACCAGCGGCAAGGCCGGCCACCAGAGCGAAGGAGGCTCGCATATTCGGAGAATGGAGGAAGAATAGACGAGGAAGGTCCGAGTCTCAAATATTTTTTGATTCATTCAAATGATCAAGAGCAAGGATCTGTGGCTACTTATGCAACTTCCCGAGTGAGAAGCCCACATTTTCATACACTTGAAGAGAGTCATAGTGATAGTATCTACAACTCATTCCGCGTATAGCGCCCGAGTAATTAGTTTAGGATGAATGAAAGAGAGGACGCTATTATCCACACATAATGGCATTCATCCTTAGGTACGCACTATCCACCAATCTACATCGAGCATGGTGAGTGGTCAATTCATCCCAAGGTTATCTGATCCTGCCTTAATTTGACATCGGCAAGTGTTTTCTGGAAAAGTACCTATTGAGATCGACATGGTTAAACCGGATCAGCCCGAATCATCTCCTCAAAGAGTTTAGTGTGGTAGAAGTCGGAGGATAAATATTTTCCGATCGCTCATGGAGATTTAGTGACGCGTCGACTCCGCTCGATTTCTGCAGTGATAAGCACACGCCAAGACGGAGAGGCGGACGGGGCTGGGAGCCCTGAGAACCCTTCAGGGCTGAAGGCCTTGGCTAGGGTATGTTTTATTCCTCATCGAGCACTTCAACCCTACTTTTTGTTGAAAGATACATAATATTAGTGGATCATGGATAGACTAGAGACCCTCCATTCTGCACAAAAATATCACTTCGGGTAAATTCTCCTCCATTCCCCCTACATCTAGCTAGTATATTGCAAATGTTCCAAGTCTTCATTGATGCACATGTGGATAGCGGGGTCCTGTAGGATCGTGAACCTTGGAAGTCAGTCCATGGGTTTATTAAGCAAGATTCGGATATAGCTTCAAGTTCTCAAGTTGTTAATATGTATCCGTTGTATGTTTCCCCTCCTATCTTATCACCACTGTCTTGAAATTTACTACATAGCTTCCACCTTTTTTTGGCATCCCTCTGAACTTAATGATGACCTTGCCTCTAAAGGACTATGAAGGATATAAGATGATATCAGATAGACTACTTTTGTCAAGGGCAGTGTGCAATTTCAATTTCGAATAACTGTTTTAGGTGCTTCGGCAGTGTAAAATAAGCGAAGGCGGTTATAACTTATACGTATGTTGATATCTTCAATTAATATTCTAACATCATATTGTTGGAAATATCATTGCCACCTGTGTCAACTCAGGAATGTATCCTTGGCAATGTGGGGACTCAGACGCGGTCTTCCACATGTGCAGGATGATTCACGATACAACCCTCAAGTGCTCTCTGCTTTGCAAACATTGAAGGATTACACATTGTATAAAGAATCTTTCTGATTAGTGGAGCCTGTAGTTTTTCTTAAAGAAAAGAAAATAGGGGGAGATTGATGAAAGGTGTTCCAGATTTCACTTCCGCCTGCTATTAAAAAGAAATTGCTTCAAGTTCAATCCTCATCCATGGATGCACATGTGTAATGTGACGTCTAATGTCATATTCAAATGGGCACTTGATAGCTGTAGCTATTCCTTCTATAATTACATATGTAATGGAAAACATCACTTGAACCATGAAGATCTTTCAAGTTCTTCTTCGCCTAGCCCTGGAGGCGAATGGAACATGAGGTTATGTCATGGGAAACGTGCGAGAGAGAATTGGATAGTAGTGACCAGTTGACATAACAAACTTTGAAAACAAGCTTCAGTTTCAATACATCTAGATATCAAAATCTTTGAACAAAGAGTGACATCGGTTGAACATAGATATGTCATGTGTTTAAATTATTTGACTATTCCGCGAACTTGACTGCTTCGGAACTATTCTCGCTTCAAAAATTTCGTTAGGAGGGGCTGGCCTAGCCCCCGGGCCATAATTATTCCAAGGGGTCATCAATTTCGGTCATAACCTGAACGGTCCCATATGCATACCCATTGGTACTGCAGAATTCGAATAGGTTGTTCGGAAGTACGAAATAATGTGTGGCTTGCATATCTTGGCATGAGATGAGAGCTCAGCCCTGGAGGGTCCCAATGTTTCCATCTCGTCCTATAATTCCGTTTCATATTCCTTGCTCAGCCACGATGATCCTCAGTAATTCGCCCGCGGTCATTTATCCTTGCTCATTCAGGTAAGAGAACATTTTTTGCAACCTTGAAATTGAAAAAGCAGCCGAGCGGGATATTACTCAGTGGAGAAGGGGTCTATGCACCAACGTAGATTGAAAAAAATCATTATCATAAAATACCTATCAAGCAGCTCTTTGAGTTCTTGATCAACTTGGACAGGGGTTAGTTAACTCAAAACCAGGATTATGCGATCGATTTTCGAGCTGTTTGTCTGGATTGATAGGTGGAACCCGTGTACTTCGATTTTCAGATTGATATTTTTAACATGGAATAGAGAACAATGAAGTTGATTAATGCAGTATCACGCTGGTAATGTCACTCAAGCTCGATAACTCAAAGCCCCCCCCCTGCAGAATCGGCTAAGTACTTCAAGTTTCAAGTCTTGAGGTTGGACGAATCTAATCACAATCCCGGAACAGCCAAATTAGGTACCGAATGCCGACTCCCCACATATTTCGATGCCGCCGGATCTGCATATCAATGCATGGAGTTTGTGGTATCCTATGATGCTACATTCCTAGTGATACCTTGGACACACCTCCCGAAATATCCAAGGAACACTAGCCCTGGCTACATCAAATCTGGGTGATAGGAGGTCAATCTTCATAAATCATATTCGCGACCAAACTTTCAATTTATTGCCGGCGAAGATATTCTGTCACGCTTTTGCCCCATCGCACTGCACTCTTGTATCTGTGCATTCCAGGAGAATTTCCTTTAAGCAAGCCGTCGATAGCATCGGCTAGATCTGGTCCGGATCCTTCTTCTTTAATTTCCGATAGAGGATAAAGGAAAGTCTTGAAGCAGAACAGGATAAACTTTGTTGATGGTAGACGTGTTAAAGATTGGAGTTCAATCCGAAGATTTGCCTGACAAAAAATAGTGAGCGAATTGACAATCGGAAAACGCAGAAATTTCATTGACAAAAAACAAAAAGATTGTGATATGAATGTGAATTATGGCTTCTTACCCGTGAACAATCAACCTCCTCGTCGGCGATGAACTCGTCTCCCTCTTTGATATGATTTCCCGCAACGTTGATAAGTTCAGTCCCTGTTTGTATATTCCACTGCAGTACAAGTCAACAAAACGGCACTTGGTAAACACGTGACACGTTTGACTTACATTCATTCGACGAACCGCCTTACCTACCTCCAGCTTCCTGAAAAAGCGCTCCATACTTGGACCAATCTTGTTATATGTGGGCACTGGCCCATGAATGCCGCTCAGATCCTTCCCCAGTTTCTCGGATGGATCGAAGCCGGTAGGAAAGCAGCATGCAAAAGCTAGACAAACGTGAGTGGTTTCTGTCTCTTTCAATAGGAATATATCTTCTTCCACCGTCTCGGCCAGGATGCGCAGACACAAATTGGGGTCTTTTGGAGGCTCAACTGGGAAAGCCCGTTTGGTTATCGTGTTCAGGAACTGTCCTCCGTTTACACGGAATAATCTCGGGAATCGATTGGGTAAATGGTGCGATAAAATGTATTCGTAGAGCTCTCGAACTGCATCCTCGCCACCGGGTAGGCACCCGTGAACCGTCTCTTGGTACTTTTGCACAATATTGCGTCTGATGGTAGTGCGATCGAGGTACTGGTTATCAACGGTGATGAGATTTGACAGTGACTCATTTTTGACCCCTAGTCAATAATGATTAGTTAGTGGGTTTTGCAATCATCTTCAATCTGTGGCAAGCGCTTCAGTGTCATACCCATCGACATGTGGTAAATTGGCTTGAAAGGTCGTAATTGCTGGAGCTTTTCGGCTCTCCAGTCAAAGTGAGGGAGACTTTCTATAGGGGAAAATTGTTGCCATGATCTCCATTTCCAAAGTCTTGCCTGTCTCTATTGGTGATTCTATTAACCATAAAACTTCAGGTGGGAGAGAGTGTTGACTGACCGTGATGATCCATGCCAGGACAAATGATGCACCAATGAAAGCGGGGAGGATAAAGAGAGTTGTCCGTGGTGAAACCATTTTCATTGCCGTTATCATTTCAAGAATTCAATTTTGTGCTGCACTTTCCTCTCAAAAATGAATTCAATTGTTGATCGGAAATATAGTGAAGAGCTGTAGCTGGCAAAGCCGTAGAAATTGAGGGGCACTCAGACTTATCTTCCAATGCTTCACGATCAAAACTCTAGGCCCACGTAAATCACAAGAAGATAGAAAGATATGAGTTTGTGTATCAGAGAAATTCGCAAAATGAGACGGATTCTGGCGAGGCGATCACAATGAACGCGTGATATTGCCGTTTTAGGCAATTTTAGGAGTTGTGGAGTAGACGCCGCACTCTAGTCTCCGCATCACTGTCCGACCCCATCTACAGCTGTTATCGGTGGGGAGCTGCAGCCATTATGCTTTGCCACCTACCGACAAAGTGAATTCCGTGTCTTGAAATTTCGAGTCTGAGTCTTTCCCCACAGTACTAAGGGATTGGGGAGACAAATCCTGGCGCAATGATGACCATGACTTCTCGCTGCCCCAGCACTGGCTATAATGATCAAATGTGGAAAATATTTGTGTGCCTTCTTCATATCTCCAAAAGAGAATGCAAGTCCTAAATTCTCAATATCGCACAGGTATGAAATAAAAGGCCTATCGCTAGCCGTTCAATGCCTCAAAAAACAAACCAAAACCTCATCCTTGGCAATACATCTAGACATCTTTTCACCTATCAACAATGGCTGCCTTCCAAGTTTTTGCTCAAGGCCCAATCCAAGTACGAGATCCCTCTCTTGGGCAACAACAATGTTTTCCTCGGCGACATTTTCTCTTCGCAAGACAACAACCCGGCAGCGCCCATGTCAGCTGGCCTCTTTCGATTGAACAATGGTGACCCTCTCACTTACGCATACAAGTTTGACGAGATGAAGGTCATTCTCGAGGGCGAATTTCACATCTCCGATACAACTGGCCAGGAAGTTGTGGCGCGCCCAGGAGATATTCTTTACATTCCCAACGGATCCACCTTGACCTTTACCACACCGGGCACCGGTCTTGCATATTACGTTGGGCAGAGAAATGAGGGAGAGGCTTGAAACAAAGATTGGTTATGACGTCGCAATCAGATGATGCTATGGCATGCCTGTAGACGTGATCATACTGAGGAGCAAAACAGTGTCTGTGCATTGGACGTACAGCTGCAATTGGAATAAGGAGGTTTACGGTGCAATATAGGTTCGGGTGTACATATCCTGTGTCTCCCAGCATCTTAAGCATCAAATACGTTTGTGAAGTGAACATTTATATTGAATGTATTGTTTCAATTTCTAAGCTTCAATGGAATAGACCCCGGTGCGTACTCAGAGTACTAAAAGTAACATCTAAGTTCGAATATTTCCATAAAAAGCCATAGCTGGACGCATATTCGAGAATAACATTGAAATGGATGATAAAGACTAGATTTGGAGTGAGATATCATAAAGGAGCTCGTCTGGGTGGAAGAATCAAGTTTGAAAATCCAGATCTGGTTATGCAGTTTCACTCAGTAAATGGTTGAATAAACTTGCCACTAAAAATTGAAGCTATTCCAGTCCCACTAGATTCGATAAATGGTGTCAATTATTGGCCTGGACATGCACAGTTCTTATCTATGACAAAGGGCGCGCTCCGGGCTGTGGACCGCGCTTACCTTTACCCCGCATTGATAGGCATTCAACTTGACACTCATCTTTAATTGATACCGAATATTTATGTTTCGATTGATTTCCTACTAGACAGAAATGAAAGCAACCCGACATTGAAAAGACATGGGTAGAGTTGCACGGTCTCGAGGGGGATGTGAAAGATGCAAAGGTTTACATGTGCGCAATGAGGTTTGGACTCTATACGAATACGACAGGCTAACTGATGTTTCCTAGAGTAAATGCGATGAAGCAAGACCTTCATGCGGGAGATGTATGAGAGCGAAAGTCGAGTGCTCTGGATACAACCGCTCATTCAAATGGTCTCGAAAGCATGAAGTCCACTCATCTCCAAAAGGCTCCCCGAAAAGAGTGGGGATGAGTTATCCAGTATCGATTTCACACAAGACTCCACGGACAAAACGTCTAAAGGTTCCTATGAGACGGAAGGCCTCGCATTTTCAAATCTGGATCTTTTTAGCAGCGAGGAATTTCCTGATTTCCTCGAGCTAGCATTGGCTGATTTCAGTTCTAGCCTATCCCTGGATTCCGTATCTGGTCTTGCTGGGTCAATGGCAGATGGTGATTCACCAACAACGCATCATGATAATCCACCACAATTATTTTCCTCTTTGCGGAACTGGGATAAAAATTTGAATGGTCAGATATTTTATGCGACAGAAGAATCTTCAGATCTCCAAGTCCCTCAAAATCAATCACTATTAGCTACAGATGTTTGTCTCCAAAGCGCTACGCAACCTTTTGTCCATCCTCAACTACGAGATACAGATACCCTGTTAACACAATTTTACTTCCATGAAACAGCCAGAATATACTCAGTGTACGATGGTACAATGAATCCATTCCGAGCATGGGTGGGCCGAGCATGGAGCCACTCTCGTCTGATATTCTGCGCTATGCAAAGCATGGCAGCGGCCAATTTGGAGAGATTCTACCCTTCCATCATTCCGATCGGTCAAGAGCTTAGAAAGGAAGCCTCCGTTATGCTAGCCTGCAGTACTGATTGCCAAAGAGAGACCTTGCTCGCGCTTCTCATGATTGGTGCCACATCCAGCTGGTTCAATCCCAAAGATAGTGGAGCTTCGTTATTTCTATCTTTTCAATCTCGCCTCAAACGTGCAATTTTATTGAATAAAGTTGATATCAATGGAGCTGAGGGTCTTTTTTACATGGGTTCATTGGTATATTGGAGAATGCTTTTGTCTTATGTTCACGATCATCCCCGAATTGTGCGAGATGAAATTGGAATCTCTGTACGGTAAGCTCGTTTGATATTTCTTCGTACCTCTCTCTATTGATTTAAATCATCTTCCTTTCTGCATTTTTCTTCTCTTCCCTTCATTTACACCAAGACTGATGCCACTATAGCGTACCTTCACAGCCCTCAACGCTTTCTTTCAACAACACGCCTCATCCGTGGGCGGGTGTCGGTTTTGAGATCCAGAAAATATTATGCGAAGTCGGGCTCCTTATTCGAACAAAGCGACGAAAATCAAAAGTCCCAGATGACGAACCTAACCCGAATCTCTTCGACTCCCAAAATAGTCTTCTTGAGGCCTTCGAGCTGGAGTCCCGTCTTCTGCAAACAGGTTGCCCAGCAGAAGATCAAGTAACAAATCCAGGCGATCACCAGACACCGGTAGATCACTTGCTTGTCTTTGCAGAAGTATACAGACTTTTGGGGTTGTTGCAAATATATCGCATTTTTCCGACCGTGCTCACATCTCGGCTTGCGGCAGACCGATCTACGTGGATATCGTCAACACGGCGCATCTTTAACATGGTACACCATCATGCTATGACCTGGGGGCTTCAAATGAATGTCCCGCAAGATCAGTTTTCTCCAAATTTCATGGCCATCTGGCTCACTCTGTTTGCATACTCAATTATTGAGAAACTGAAGGCCCTGCCTATTGAAGCCGGTACTGGCGCTTTCCAACCCTTCTTACTCGTCGCCTGTAGCGGGGAGTTACGGCGGCCCTCAGTGTTCACTGCTGGTTTAAAGGCCCTGATTCACTCAGATGGAAGTCTTATTCTGATGGAGACTGGGATCCTGCGTGCTCGCCAAATTCTCCTCGGTCGGCTTCAAATGCTGCGTGATTTTTTGCCGCCGAAGCCGTGGGACTTATGTGTTAGTATCGTTCAGGAGGTGTGGTCAAGAATGGATGCAATCTCCTTCCCCTCAATTTTGGACAAAGAATCGGATTCGGGAATGGATAATATGCCCCTTTGGCTTGATGTTATGATTGACCATGGCTATGAGACGTTGATGGGCTGATTTTAGGTTGAATGTGATGTAATCTCTGCCTCAAGAATATGTAAAAACATCATCAGGCCAACGAAATAAATTCTTTGGAGCTATTGAAATTTATAAAGGTGGCCCATTAGTCTTACGCAGGGCAAATGTTAGTCAAATACGTTTTCCGAGCTCGAAGGACCCAGTCAGCCAAAATAATGAAGCCGACGATTCCATAAATGACAGAAACATAGTTCATATCTGTTGAAATTAGCTCAGAATTCCCTCCAGTTGAGTCAAAGTGTATACTTACTTCCACCATCCACTGGCATTATCGAAGGGAATGAATAGAACACCGTTGTAAAGGCAATCCAAGCCAGACACACCCAGTTGCATATCAAGCCCCAGGTACCAAGCCAAAATGGGCCATGTGAGATATTATTGCGTCCTCGAATGAGAATTCCAACCACAGGAAGCACATAAGACAAGTATTGAAGATCAATGCAAGCAGTAACCATGGAGTTGAACGCAGTCTCCGAGCCTAAATAAATGCACCCAACTAACCCAATGATGGTTGTGTTGAGGATATGAGCGGCAAGTGGAGTATCCAGAGATGGAACGATTTTACCCCAAACATCAGAGAATGGGACTCCTTTATTACGCGAGAAAGACCAACAGAGACGCGCAGCCCAAGTGTGACATGAGATAAGGCAGCCTGGACCGGTCGCAATAGTCAAGGATTCTAAGACGGTCGCACCTGCGGTGTTATCCAGAGCCTGGCGAAATAATTCAAGACTTGGAACTGAGGCATCCAAGAAGGCGGTATAAATCTGAATACTGAAGAGCATAGCAAGGATAAATGAGAATGAGGTTATCTAGATGTCGTTAGGATCCATCATGTGTAGAGAATCCTGAAAGATTAATGAAAACTTACAAAACCGATGACAATAACACCCATGATAGCAATTGGAATCATCCGTTCAGGCTGAGAGATTTCTTCGGCGAGGTGTACTGCTGTATCCAAGCAACCAAAGCCCCAGTTTGTGTTGATGAGGCCGACAAAGAAGGCAAGCACATCGCTTTTCCATCCAGTTTCATTTGAAAAGGACGCGAAAACAAACTCCGCCGATTTATGGGGTTGTGCTCTTGCAGGGACTGCAATAAGAATGACAATAAAAGAGCCGAGACTGACATAAAGATAAGCATGCCCGATGACTGAAAGGGTTCGCCAGTATGCGTTGAAGAAAAAGCAAAATATGTTGGCTGCTTCGTAGGCGACTAAGGTATGACATGACTTCCAGTTGCTATATGAACAATAATTAGTATGAGTAGTTTGTGGGTATTTGAAGAGGCACACATACAATTCAGGATGTGCCATGGCATAGCATCCAACACAGGCTGACGCAACGCCCGATGCGACACTGGAAGAACTGTTTGAATCATGTGTTAGCAGGAAGGGTAAGATTCAAAGATCATGAATGAAATGAAAATGAGTCTCACGCGAAGATTGAACCAGTCCAGGCAAGCCAGCCAGTGATGTATGAAGCAAGCCGGGAAAACTTTTTCGGTGACAACTCTTTGGCCCAGAAGGATTGGCCGGCGGCATTCGGCATAGCAGAGACCAACTCAGCTAGTGTTGCGGCCACTGCAACGGACACTATGGACAATAGAATCGTCCCATAGAAAAGTAGAGTGGTTCCTCCAGAATTGACTCCAGTCACCAGAGAAGCTGAGAGACCCCACTACGAGTTGGTCAAGGAATATGCGACGCCTAGTACTGATATCACGGAGTATTTTCGTCCCATAGGCTGTGAATAACCCATTTCCCGCAATCTCTGCTCCTCTATATCAATGACCTTACGGTAACCTCCCTCAACTCATGTTGGAGGGGTATGACAGGGTCACTTATTTTTACTGATCTGGACGAATTCTTCGTATCTGTCGACATCTTGGTTCAAGTGTTTCTATGTGGTCAATGAGGGAACAAGATAATAAGATAATTTGTTTTTGAGAAAACCTTGGAACGTAGGGAATTGAACACTGGCACTATTGTGAATGAATGTAGTAGAGGTCATTCTGAACTACATATCAATGGACTTCACCAACCTGCTCGAGGACGAAATGTGTAGGTGCACATGATTGAGACGCTTGTGGCCTATCAAACGATCTTGCTTCATTATTTCCAAGGAAAATAGGAAATCTCTCCCGTCTCCTGAGATAAAGATAGTATGAACCTATTCTCATTCGAATTGACCAAGAATCCGGGGTAGTTGATATGAAGCTGATCAACTGACCGCCAGGAATTGCCTGTTATTGCTATTTCCCCGCAATCAAGCTTGACGCCACATCCAGGGAGATAAGATAGCCTCATAAAATTTCCTATTCAGGAATGGTAGGAGATAAGATGTTATCATGAGATGACTATATAGATGATCAGCAAGCGGAGGTTCAGCATGGTAGAGGGGAAGCTGGCTCTACTCGACAAATGATAGAAGACAGACTCATAGTCTTACTCGTTCGGTTCAAGCAGGAGATACGAGATATATCTGCTCCTCAACCACCGAACTGAGGGGTTTCGCGAAGAGATGTTTGAACGAAATTGAAAACTCACAACACGCTGAATATAGCAAACAAACTTGAACTACCATCGTGATGTCGAATATTGCGAAAATCGCATCCACTTTTTCACTAACACCCACGGTGGGCCCGACTTTGATCTTGGGTCGGGCCATTTTGTTCGCAATTCTTGTCTTTTTATTGAAATTCCTTTTGACCAAGCGTCAGAGTTCCAAGACTCAAGAGCCTTTCGGTGTCCCAGCCAAGCAAGCAGAATATGTGACTACTTTTCCTCCATCCCAACGGTCGGCCCTACGTGATATATTACGGAACGCGTCATGCGTGTCCGGCACAGATGATCCGACAGTTTTGGCTCGAAATGTTCTTGATCTAAACGCACATTATCGCTCCGCTGATCCCTCCAAGCTGATCTTCACAGGTTTTAGTGTTGGAGAGATTCGTGCGTTAGGAAACTTTCCAGATTATGCGAAGTTATCGGGGGTGCCGTTACCTACTCCAGTCTTTGATTTCGACCTGAAAAAAGCATTACCGAGGCCGTATCGGCCTTTTCGATGGGCCTATCACCAGACTATGTGTATGTCATCTCTCAATTCTTTCTCATTGTTTATCTCATTTCTAACCATCACAATCCCGTAGCATTGAAAAGGCTAGAGCCCGACTACTGGATCGAGATTGAGAATAAATACGCGAAACGCATCAAGCAACGACAGGAGATCTATGCAAAGCATGGTAAAGATGTTTTGAATGCATTATCAGGATCCGAACTTGCCTGCAAAGAGATAATGGAAATGGCATTGCAGTTTGTCTGTGCCCGGTACCCTCGACAGTTTGAGTTAGTGGACGGCAACAGGACGCTGGTGAACCACATTCTAAACACCAGAGATGACCTTGCGAAAAAGGACCCCTTGCTAGTCCTGCTAGACAACATTCCTGAGGACTTCTGCATGATGCTCCGAGATCCAACCACTGGAATGTATTGCTTCAGGGCGGGCATCATCTGCTCCTCTGTTGGATGGTATCTTGGCGACAAAATGGGACTCGGCATGCCAGCAATCCATAAAACGGTCCCTGATTATAAGGAGAAAATGGAGTTTAGTATGGATCGGTATGTCCCGTCCATAGGATAGCTAGCTAAAAATGAAAAAAAAACATTGAGGCTAAGTGACAGCAGATTTTTTACTCAAATGCCAACTGACAAGCCAATCCAAAGAGGGTCCTGGGCGTTTGAAATTGGCGAGCCTCTCTACCTGCCACCGCATGACCCCGAATTCAATAACAGAAATCACCAGGAGCAGTCACTTCGTCCGGAAGACATCTCCCTGCGCGTTGATTGGCAGACATTGCGTCGGCTTCCACTTTCGGGGGCCGTGGTATTCAACTTCAAGGCTCTCTTTACGCCGATCACGGAATTCCGAAATGAACGATATGTGCCATCGTTGATCCTCAAGGTATTGAGCGAGGGCAATGAAGCTATTTTGAAATATAAAAGCACATGGCATGTGGAACACGTTATCAAGCCAACTTTGGTGGAATACGAAAGATATCAGAAGGAAAATGGGTTGATGAACAAAAATTGGGAGCCAGAGACACTCGCTGAGAGCCCCTTTTTCCCTGGCTGGGAAGATAAATGGAAGCTTAGTACTGCACATGTGGATGCTAGTATTTTCTAGTGTCTGTCACATCACGATATCCCTTAAACACGATCACATTCATGTTTCGCTACTATTCTGATTTATTGAGCGCGATCCTTCTCCATAGTGCCTTTCACCTCTATTTGTTTTTCTTTATTCAAATGTTCTCGGTTTCCGACTGGTAAAATCATGTTTCAGCTAGCTGCCAACTCATCTTCTTATAGTCCTCTTGCTACTAGGCGACTAATACATAGCTCTAAGCAAAGCCAGATTGTAGCAGTGATGTGCACATGTGGTGTGGGAGTAGGCTCCAGTCCCGACTCGGACATGTTCGGTAGCTATCGAACGGAGCATCACCGAGGCTTCAAAATGAAAAATTTTGAACATCCAGCACATGCTCCCCTGAAGACTGCGGCCAGGCGTTTCGAATTCGAAATCTAGTTTCCATAAAAAAATTCAGAGCCTTGTTGACAGCGGTAGAGCGGCCCGGGCGTTTCGCTTAGTGCGATCTTTACCAGAATTGGCATCCCCACATGGTCAAGGTCCCTGAACCAAGAACCCGGGTGGGAAAAAATAATAAATAATAAATAAAATCCTGTACTATTCTGTAATAATTATTAAATGAAAAATACGTATTTTGAAAGCCGGAAAAGGTCGAAGAGGCTTAGCTCCACTCTTAAATTGGTGGCGTTGAATGCCGTGTGATCGACACGTAAAACGGTCTATAGCAGATGGTAGCTTCTTCGCACGAGGATTCTCGGACGTTGAAGGCTTGAATTGCCCCACAGAGCTCGAGACCAAGATAATTTCTTAGGGGTTGAATGTGTCAGTGGCTATACGCCGCCTCCCGTACATGTACGACGGCACATTTGCAATTGGTTCAATACGCGAGGACCCATTATTTCTCCAAGAAACGGTCTCCGTGCATATTAGACCATATTAGACCGTACTATTTCCGTATAACAGTAAACGGCAGGCTTGAATGAGGAACAAAATGACTGAAGTCAAATGGTGATGTCGATCAATGCCCGAGAGTCTGGACAACGAGCGTAGTAGTATTCCTGCGGAATATCGGTATAGAGCGCTTCCAGGGGCCAGGAAAAGGATATCAGTATAATAGGGACACGAAAAGTCATTTTTCTCTCTATTGAATTGTAGTCACTCATTTTCAATCGGCGTTTCTTCATAGACTTTCTTCTTTTCCCTTTGTTTTTTCCACTCGTCTTCCATTTCTTCGTCTCTCGTTCAAGTTCACCATGCGTCTCCTCAAGACGCTTGGTTTTTTTTCTTCCATCTCAGCAGTACTGGCCTAGTAAGTTCTGAGATCCAAGTCCCTTGTTTTTCACAATCGGATTTTTGTGGTAGCTAGCTCAAGTTACACCAGCTGATGGCGGAGAAACAGTGGCCACAAACCAACCCAACAATACCACAACGTCCATAACGTCCACAGGAGGGACTTTGCGAACGAGACAAGCCATCAATCCAACGCGACAGAATATGACTATGTGATAGTTGGTTCAGGCCCTGGAGGTGCTCCTCTGGCCGCAAGACTAGCTATTGCTGGGTTCAAGGTTCTACTTCTGGATGCAGGAGACGACCAAGGAAATGCAACCAGACAGATGGTCCCTGCTCTGCAGCTTCAGTCTACAGAATACACACCTATGAAGTGGGATTATTTTGTTAATCACTACTCCAATTTGACTCGCCAGGAGAAGGACTCCAAAATGACATACCGCACACCCTCTGGTGATCTTCACGTGGGTAGCAACCCACCAAATGGATCAGAGCCTTTGGGCATCCTCTATCCGCGGGCGGGTACTCTAGGTGGCTGCTCAGCTCACAATGCCATGATGTAAGCTCAAGTTTACCTCGTTCCTAGCTGGAAGTTTCCACACTAACCCATTTTTCAACAGCACCATCTACCCCTATGAGAACGACTGGGAAAATTTGGCAAGCCTCACTGGCAACGAGTCATGGTCTGCTACCAACATGCGTGGATACTTCGAGAAACTGGAGCGAAACAGATACCTGCCGACCAGTATTGTGGGTCATGGATTTGATGGGTGGCTCACAACAAGTCTGACCGATTTGCGTCTCGTGATTGAGGATCAAAAGCTGCTATCGTTGATCTTGGCTGGTGCAACTGCTGCAGGTCAGAGTTTGCTCGGAAAAATCATCGATACGGTCACCGGACTCGCAGGGGTCTTATTGCGTGATCTCAATGATCCATCCCCTTTGCGTGACTACCAGACCGGCCCATTCCAAGTTCCTCTCGCTGTTGATGTCCCGGAATATAGGCGCACTGGTCCCCGAGACTTCCTCATGGACACGGTTAATGCTGTGAATGATGATGGATCCCGGAAATATCACTTAGATATTCAGTTGAATACCCTCGTGACCAAGGTCCAATTTGACACAACTGGAGCCAAGCTTCGCGCTACTGGTGTGGAATATCTCCGAGGAGAAAGTCTTTACCGTGCGGATCCTCGGGCGTCGATGACTTCCTCCGGTGGCACGCCCGGAAGTGTTAGCGCAGCTCGTGAAGTGATTCTTTCTGCTGGATCTTTCAATACGCCTCAGTTGTTGAAGCTGAGTGGTGTTGGACCCAAGGAGGAGTTGACAAATTTTGGTATCAAGACTTTGGTTGATCTGCCCGGTGTGGGATCCAATCTTCAAGATCGCTACGAGACTGGTCTCGTCGGCAAGTCACCCACTGACTTTGTCCTCACTGAGAAATGTACCTTCATGTATACCCTTCCCGATCCCTGTCTGGAACAATGGGAAAATGATCCTTTATGGAAAGGTACCTACGGCACTAACGGCATCGCGATTGCCATCATTCATCAATCATCGATCGCAGACGAGGAGCCTGACCTGTTGATCTCGGGTGCGCCAGCAAATTTCCCCGGTTACTATCCCAACTACTCCTATGAAGGTCTCAAGGATGCTCAACACTGGACCTGGATCACATTGAAGTCGCGTAGCCACAACAATGCTGGAACCGTGCAATTGCGATCAACTGACCCTCGCGACACTCCTCTCATCAACTTCAACTCTTTCGATACTGGTGTCACTACCAACGATGCAGACGAGAAGGATCTCCAGGCTGTATACGAAGCTATGGAGTTTTCCCGCACCATCTTCGAGGACCTTATTCACCTTGACGGCGGATTTGAAGAGGTTTGGCCAGGTCCTAATGTGAGTACTGAGGCTGAGTTGAAGGACTTTATCAAGCGTGAAGCTTGGGGACACCACGCGTGCTGCACAGCTGCTATCGGCGAGGATGGAGACCCCCAGGCCGTTTTGGATGCTGATTTCCGGGTGCGTGGGGTCGATGGACTGCGTGTTGTGGATGCTTCTATTTTTCCTAAGATTCCTGGTTATTATATTGCCTTGCCCATTTACATGGTTAGTGAAAAGGCTGCCGAAGTCATCATTGGGGATGCTGCATAATTTTGTTGGCCACGTTTAATATTCAAATTCCGTTCTGGATCTTATTGGAGAACCTTTAAAGTGCTAGTTTGATTCTACTTGTTCATATTTTCTATTCTGATCATTAGATTAACTTATCTCACATAGAGAATCAAAATTCTTCATACTGAACATGCTCATATTTCAAAAATTTAATTCAATTTCTAATAAGCGGACCAGGCTAGGCGAGGTCTTCGGCCTCGGTCCTGTTGTCAGATGAGATTTTGACAACCTTCAAGTTGAAACCTTAGGTTAGAGCCTCTCATTACTTATTTGACTGCATCCTTTCCGATGAGACCTCACCAGCAGCCACTGTCAGCAAGCTATCCATTTTTGCGACCGGGCCGATCTTGGTTTCAACCACCTTTGCCCCGAAGCTTAATTTTGGAAAAAAGAATAGCTCGGTAACAGCGCTTTAATACCCTGTGGAGCCTAATAGTAACGCCTGAGTATCTATCGAGAACGTACTTGGTCACCAAAGATAGGGTCGACTTTTTGGGTGCAAGGCTAGAAAACTCTCCAGGAGGCCCAATTCCGATCTCTCCAACCGTCAATGTAGACGGTAATAGCGTATAGCCTACCTCTCGCACTTATGAATTGGAAGAAATCTCTCAAGCACTTGCTATCAATCTCAATGTATTTCCGCTCCCATTCATTATGCTTCTGAATCTCATCAACCATTTATCCCCACCGGAGTCTAGAGTGTATACTTTATAGATCCGTCGCTCTGCTTGTGGCGCACCAAACCGTAACGTTTGGTCGACAGAGACCAAGCCAACAGCCCAGTAACAGTAGTCTGGCAGGTATCGAGGTATCTCTTAACCTGATCCGCGAATTCCGTTCCAGCCGTACTCGCTTCTATTTGAATTACCGCTTGATCAAAATTGAAAACTGAAGATTGCAGCATTCCCTCGATTTTTCCCATAACGCTTTCTAGATTTCTGTTTGGGTCGGCGGAGCAAAGAATGGGTACCGCGTTCAGCACGGATCCTGATGACTAGAATAACATGAAATTATGATATGATTATGCGTGCGTTAAAAATGTAAATGAGTTCGAGTTTTGCTTACCAGTTCTTTTATCATTGAGTGTATATCGTTGATCCTAAAAATGACATTAGAAATTCTTCAGACGTACCTGAGAGTCTTCTCTATCAATCGACTATTCACTTACAACATGCAGAGAAAACAAGTCTCTTTCCATATCACCCTCATTAACTTGGATGCCATCAACTCAGAGTCGAATTTCGTTTGGGTAATGAATCTGCCCACATATTAACCCACATTCAATACACTATGCGAAGGAAGCCTGAGAAAAACCGACTCGAAGATAGCAATCACTGGGTAAATTCCCGATGTCAAATATCTTAACTCTAGATATTGACTCAGTGAAGGAATTTGTCCGGACTGTCGAACAGTCTGTTCTTCAATCGTCGATCGCATGAAAAATTTGATCTCGCGAAGCAAACGATGACGTTGAACTAATGACAAGGGGGACTGTTAATTCATCTTTCCAAGGTAGAAGAAAGTGGGAATGATCAGACCTTCATCCAGATAACCTCTGAGCGCTGGACAGGCATCGCGAAAATAGGTCATTGTGGTGACCGAACACGAAGCGCTGAGGTCAATTGATGATTCAACCATGTCGCCATTATGCTCCGATTCGCCATTCGAGCCATTGATGTAAGTGAGCCCGAGATTGAGCCGGGCATATTCCATTGACTCTTGAACATATGCCTCTGCATGCACTTTATTCTGAGCGACTTCAGAAGAGCCCTCGTCGATTTCGTCATCCCACAAAAATATCCACAGCATGAAGATACCAGAAATTTCCAATTCTTCCCACCTTGCCTGAGGGAATAAACTGGAATTCAAATTTCAGTTCAAATATCAAGATAGGTCTGGAATTCATAAGGAATATTCGACGTACCAAGATGTCAGCAGGGCGAAATCACAAGATTTGAGAGCTTCGAGTTTAGAAAGCTTCGAGTCTTGAATAGTTCTATACATAGTCTTAGAGTTCATTCATGTTCTCGCAATTCTTGAGATTAGTATCACATACCTTTCAAGGATCTTATTCGTATTTTGACGGAGCCTGTGCAGGTTCTCATTGACTGCACGTGGCCAGTGTTGGAAAATTGGCCATAAGTTTGGAATCGTGAGAGTCTTTCCATGTAGCTCTGCAGCTAGCTCTGCATCCTGACTTGCATGAAGCGTCATGACCTTGAGACCCAGATAGGGTTACCTAATCAGCCCTTAATAGCTAGGTAGCGGATTATCTCACTTCAGCTTTTGCAAAGGGGATTTGACACTATTTATCAACTGGTCCAAGGCTGCCAAAGAGAACTTGACAACACTCCCAGAAAATCTGATGTGACTGGCTAGTCTTGTTAGGCTGTAGTGGGGCATGCGTGTGTCACGTAAGAATGATCTGACTGAGCAAATAGGAAGAGCTTACTATTCAACTTGCATATAGCCGGACTCTGATCACCAATGAGATGATGTGGCTGAACTCTTGTTCCCTTTGGGCAGCTGAATGCATGGGTGTACTACATGAATTTATTCGTCGATCGATCGTTATCTATCGTTATCTCAAGATAGATTGTCTATTTATCCATTCTTCTTTAGTCTAATCTAACCGAATTTCACTTCGTCAGGTCATATCATACCAGAAGAGCAAGCTCATGGAGGAAGGCCCACTTATTCGCCACATCGGGTTGCTTCAGCACGCTGCATGGTTAGATCTGAATCTATTGATCATTAGGCACGTACACTCCTTAGAATGCTAACGAACCTACAGAACTGACCTATTGTTGGAACCATTTTCATACTATCTTATTCTATTTCTCGTATGGATAACTCAACCACACTCGTTCCAACACACACACCGCAGATTCCATCCACCCACCCACCCCTTCCTCTGGTTACTGGATCCTCCCGAGGTCACTCGCCTCCCCCTTTCTGAATTCTGTGATAAAGGATTATAGACATGACATTATGAAATTTTGTGGTCACAATGATTATTTCGTTCTAAATGATTGGTCTGTCCAGGGAGGCACAGATCATCTGCGACGTTTGATAGCCAAATCAAGTGCACGTTGATCGCTGTTATTTTTCCATTCGCCTCCCTATGGGACCCCAAAAAGGCCAAAAATTACATTTTGAAAAATCTTCAATAAGGGTGTGAGCCAACAATGCCTGCCACGCACCTTGTCCTCATGTTGGAACAGACGACGCATGATGGGATTTATTTCGGTGCGATTTGAGGAGGTCTTCCCTTCCCTAATCTAGAACAAATTTTCCCAATTTCTGAAGACTCTTGTCTAGCCAGCCATTCTATTTGCTAGTGAGGGTTCGAGTATTTTTACCTGGATTGCCTACTCCCGGAATCCTTGGGTGGCTACACAACTTTTCCCATTTTGCAAGATGGAGAAGGGTTTGGAACTCGGAACTCGGAGAGTTTCAATTTGCTACACAGGCTGTTCTGGATGATAGACTATGTTCATCTTCTAGCAGATCCCGACTCAAAATATTGAAAAGAGCCACCCGGCGTCTGAACCGATTGCCTAGATCTCATGCCTGCAGCAATGCAGTCTTCTCGCTTGTCAGCGTTGACCCTTACTTTAAGATGAATGGAGTAATACCTAATTCCAAGTTTATCAATCGGCATAAATACTGGGCTCCAATTTTTCATTTTTTGCAAAGATCTGCCAAAGCTGTGTCTCGAAATTCACTCCCTCTACAATTTTGGAAAAGGAATGCTCGACTCGCTTCTCCCGCAGTTGAACCAGACCCAGGCTCTGTTTACTTTGTGAGTATGAGCTCATGTTAATGACCTCCCTTGCCATCCTGGCTGTGTAACTCACATGGATGCACAGTGGAGACTCCTATACTTCGACAGGATTCAACGCGTCACTAGAAGCACCATCAATCCAAAACCCGATGGGAAATCCTGCCTTGGGTGAATCTTCGCCCCGCAAACCTGGGGGATACTAGTATCAAGGATTAAGTGAGGGCATTACCTGACGAGAACCGGTGAGAAAACAGCAACTGATGGTATAAACTGGCTCGGTCACACCGTGACGGAATTCAATCAAAGTAGCATTCTAAGCTACAAGTTTGCAGCTTATGGGGCTACTGTGGATAACTCCATTATCCCTGCCGTGCCAAAGGATCTTGTGAACCAAATCCAAGACTTTCAGTAGCATTACTGTAAGGAGAATGCGGTATGGATCACGACCTCGTCTATCTTCGGCATCTGGGTAGGGATTAACGAGTTTGTACTCCCAAAACTCCGAATGAATGAAACCGGAAGATCAAGTATCGACGTTCTGACTATCATTGAATAGCGTCTACATTAGCCCAGAATTTGATGACTCGCTTGCTAAAATTTCCTCAACTATACAGAGCTACACTTCGCTGCTGAATGACCTCTACCTCTGTGGAGCAAGAAGATTCTTTGTGATGAATGTGCCTCCAATCTCACGGACCCCTGCAATGCTTAGCAACCCAGTACAACATCAAGTCGCTGTTGATCAAGGAACCCTTAACTTCAATTTTCAGCTTGAACTGATGGTAGCGCTATGGAGTAACCACCACACCAAAGTAAGTATCACCATAAACCTTGATCCTTGAGTCACTATGAACTTTATTGATAATGAAATCAAGATTCAGATGCTTATCTACGATACGTGGAACCTAATGAATAAGATTTTAGATCACCCTGAGCTTCACGGCTTTCTTGACAACACCTGCATTGGCCATGGCTGCATTTTGTGGGACAACTTTCATCCAACATCACAATTCCATTTGCTCCTCACAGCAGACTTTCAATACAAGTTTCACTTATAGATTTGGCGAATGGTTATCTGAATGAGCATTTGAGCTCTTGTTCAATCTGGAAATAGGAACCCGAGCTATCCGATTTGTTCGTGTCGTCCAGAAAGGGCTACTACCTAGCACTTTACGATACAGGATTCACGTGCTCAACGGTGAGGAAGAACCTTGAAACCCTCCAAATTAAACTCAAAGCTGTGAAAGACTTGAATATTTAGTGATCTACTTCAAATTCGACTATTGAGATTGGAGCGATTTGCTCATACCCACTGTCAGGAGGCCGTCTTCAAGATTTATTGGACCACTAGAAATGTCTCGAAGACATTTAATAGAAGCTTTGACTCCCAATGAATCGATCAGCGAGCTTCGAGATTCTGCATGCTATAAAATGACTCGCAGATTTCTCAAATCTTAAATTCAAAGGGGTAGACGCTCGTCCGGTTTAAGCTTTATCATTCTCCTGTTCAAACAGCAAAAACCAAATTGCTTCGAACTTGGATATCTCGCAGCCATGGACTCCTCCGTGAATGCTCTGGACTATCTCCGCTCCAAAACACAGGTTGATCTCGATGATTTGGACGTAGAAGGTGAAATATTTTGCTCTTTATTGTTCATGTAAATTTTGCTAATGCTAATCCAGTCGCCAAGAGGGGCGCTATGGGAAGACCCTTTACTGATGCCACATCCAACCAAGTATTCCCTCATGCATTTCCACTACTTGGTAAGATCGTATCCACTAAATTGATTAGATTTTAGTCTTGTTCCAGGTGCAAAGTCCCGCCAATGCCGAACTTGTTCAAAGAACCTTATCGATAACGAACAAGCTCCATCCAATCCACCCTTCTCTGACATTTGAGGAGCTGGCTGTCGAAGTTGCTGTGGGTTGAGATAAATCGTGGTCGGAAAACTGTTATTCCATCCATTAATCAGCGCAGGCCGTACACCTAGCCACTCGAGTCCTACCATACATCAGTGGAAGAGTCCATGTCATGGCGAATCCATGCTACTCTTTCGATACTCCGAGAATCATAGAAGCTGGAAAACGTAAGCAGTTCTCATATTGATGAGCATTATTTATTCTGACTAGTCCGGCAGGGTATCACTCTTTATTCCGCTTTTTCGATACCCAATGCAACTTAAACCGGGTCGTGATGAAGGTTCCAGCCACTTGGGAAGGCTTACAGGCGTGTAAGACCTTGACTACAGAAGGTATACAAACACTTGCGACTACGGTATTTTCAATGGAGCAGTGTATTCTTGCAGGGGAAGCAGGCTGTTTGTCTGTTTCTCCTTTTATCCATGACCTCAAGAAACTGGTCTGTCCAAGGTAGGCAGATTATTCAGTACCATCTTTGGATATTTCTCCTGGCTTACATTTCTTGCTCTTAACAGCTACAAAGATGAGAATCCAGTCATTGAGCTTTGTGTACAAGCTCAGATGTACTACAAGTCACATAATATTCCAACTCGCGTCAAAGCATGCAGCTCCGGATCTCTCGATGAGATCCTGCAGCTAGCAGGAGTCGACTCCCACACTCTCGAATCAATTGAGATTGATGCACTAGCAAAAGAATGGCGCGATCGAAATCTGCTTCACTCAGTTAACCTATTTGAGGCGCCAAACATGACTCACCACGGCACTGCGGAGTACCCGTCGTATGCAAACAACGAAGCCCGCTTCCGTGTGGATCTTTCCGCGAGCAAGGGAGGAATGTCTCAGCTCAAGTTATATCGCGTGAGGATCCCTTGATCATGAATATTCTAACAAGTTACTAACTATTTCCCAAGGCAATTGATATTTTCTGCGACTATCAGAAGAAGGTTGAGGAATTTCTCGGTTCCATTAATGGGTCCTCCTGAATGAGGGATCTCGGGCTGTATTGTTTCTCTCCGAGCAGCTCCTTTTCAGCATTATCGCAGATGGACGGAATCGCAATGGATATCAACATTTAAACGCTTCTTAATCACATCAATCCATGATACACTGCATTTTGACAAATCCCAAATTCTGGCTAATAACCTGGATCAGGCCACTTTGCTGGCCAGATACCTATCCCTTGCAAGGTTACTATGTTGCGAAGCCGTTGTTCGTGTATGTGCATCCGGTACTGGTGGCTCTCCAGGGCTTAAAAGGTTTTTCCTGTAGTTCATCCAAGCTATATGCGAGCTGAAGTCTTCCAAGCTTATTTATTTATTTCGATCACGATCCTACAACAGCCCGACCAGTTGACCAATTGACAGATCTTCCAAAGCTGGAACTGGTTACGCGAAACTACTGGCAGTGCTGAAGACCGACCGAAAATATCCATGAATATCACTTGTGGGATTATGTCAAGCTTTCCAAACCTAGTAAGGTTTAATTCAAATTCAAGTTTTGGTTCAAATAGCCATTGAAGCGCATGGGCTTCTCCTATCTTCGCAGCTCCGATCAATCCCGGGCCAGGGTCTTCCCTGTATGCAATATGCAATAGAACTTCATGTATGGACTCGGAGTACCAAGAGGAGTACCGGGATAAATTTGGCTCTGGGTTTTTTATTTTCACATGTGCACGTTCAAATGTTGTACACAAATTTCAAAAACCGACCATGCATCATTATGCGAAACCAATGCCCGGCCGATCTCGATAAAATCCATGTCATCGGGCAACTGCCAGACATCTGAAATTATTGAAATTATATAGGTCTGAGAAATCGCTGAACTCTCAGTTCCTTCTATTCATCTTTTCCTTCCCTGTTTCAAACTAGTCTATCATTGATTCCCATTTCTTTTTTGTCAAAGTCTCCAGATGCCAGTCTCACACGTTCTTCTTTGCCGATTCAAGGATAGAACTAGCAATGAAAAGATTGAAGAAGTAAGCGATGCTTAGTCCAGCTGAAACTCTCACTTATGTACTGATATAGTGAAGGCATGTCGTCAAATAATAGGTTTGAAGGATAATTGTATCATGCCACAAACTGGGAAAACCTACATCAAGTCTTTCGTTGGCGGAAAGGATCACTCACCAGAGAACGCTCAGGTATGCCGCTTCCAAGGCTGCTTTCTGCTTGCTTCCGATACAACAGGAATTCTGACCACTTATAGAACGGAATGACTCATGGCTTTGTGTCCCAGTTTGAAACTCGAGAGGATAGGGACTTCTTCCTTTTTCAGGATCCGATACATCTTGCACTTGATGTGAAGATCTCTCATGTGATCGAGAGATTTATTGCTCTGGACTTTACAGACAATGAGCTATCATGAGGGGGGGCTGAAAGAAGGCCAGCCCTGGAGGATCATGACAATGACAAGTCTCACATCTTCTGGTAGGATCTGAATTACTCTAGAAAATGCCAACCAGAAGGTTAGCATCATCTTGGTTTCCAATAAGATCGCAAAAACACCACCTTTGCCACAATAAAAAAACATTTAAACAGACCTCGGGTTTGAAGATATTGTATGCCTCATGCGTTAATTTGAGTGGTCCAACATTACTTATATCCTTGCGCGCTGATCCTAAAAATTTCGTTTGCCAGTTTGATGGGTAGTTCCGGTCCACTTACACTATTTATGTTTAGCTCTCTGTCAGTTAGAACTTCCCCTCCTCAGAATTCCCCAGAACATCAGTTTCTGACTTAGTGTTCGCCGGTTCGTATGCTCAAGAAATTTCTTATTCTAGACTCTGACCTCAGTGCCAGGTGGGAGGTGGGCCAGTGTGCAGAACATCCTGGTCGCAGATTCTCCTTCTACTCATCACTCTTTCCCTCCTCATTCTCCATCCCCTGTTGAGAGCTCGAACGTGCACAATCTCTAACTAACTGGGTGATAGGCGCTTCAAATTGTATCCCCTCACCTCTTGCTTCAAAATGACGACCTTACCTTCAACCCATGACTGTATTGGATGCGCTTCTTGTCCAGGTTTTGCTGGGTACGAGAAAGAGCTTATTCAACGAACCCGCGAGTTCATGGGAGACGTCAAATGGAAGCGACTTGAGGCAATATGCTGCAAGCTGGGAAGCTCGCCATGTCACCTTACGATGGAGGTCGTGACTGGCCAGTACGATATGACAAGGCGGGCACTGTTCAATGACGGCAGGTCAATGACTATTCGCCTTGGTATGCCTTCCTACAGTTTCATGCATGCTTCCCGGGACATGAAAATGGAACTGCGCTCGGAGGTTGCAACTATGAAATTTTTCAAGTTTGTCTCACTTACTTTTTTCTCGATTCCCCAACCCCTCTTGACCCTTTGACCTCAAGAACATCATCACTTCCCCGGTTGCATGGGTTTTTACTAATCATTTTGAAGAGCACGAACCTCCATTCCGGTCCCTGAGATTTATCACTTCGAACCAGACGAACACGATATTGGAGCACCATATTTCATTATGGGATACATACCGGGCGAGATAGCGTTTGATGGTCACAATCAAACAAACGACCCTTTGTATGGGCTTGGGACCCGTGAGCAGGACCAAAACTTCCGACGCCAACTGGCAGCAATTCAAGTCGAACTGGCATCCATCAAGTTCGATAAGATAGGATCTCTGTATGAAAATCAAGAAACTGGAGAGTTCTACATTGGCCCTGACAGTGAGACAGGGCAGGGTCCTTGGGGGTCGTCTCTTGAGTACTACCGCTATCTTGCCAACGAAACACTGCAGAATTGTCTCCGGTATGCACCAGAAGATACGAAAGACGACATTTCTTTTTCACTTCCGGTCATTTTTGAACGACTCGTCGCAATGTACACCGAAGAGAGCTCGATCCCAGGGCCATTTGGCCTTACACATGAGACATTCGGGGCTTCAAAAACTCTTGTCAATGAGCAGTTCGACATTATGACGTTTATCCGTTATCGGGGCTTTCTTTCTGGCCCCATTGAGCTCCAAGCACAGTTTCCTCTTTTTAGCAGGACTGGAGATACTACCGCCATTCCACGTCGAAACCAGGCCTCCTGCAATCAAGAGAAACAAACTTGCAAAGCGCAGGATCGAAGAGTACAAGCGCATGGTTCAGGAGCATGAACGGGTGATGGAGGCCAAAGATGTTACTTTGAAATCAGAGCCACGTCTGAGTGACATGTTATTCTCGGAGTCGGCTGCAATAATGGCCGGTCTCCAGTCCTACAGAATGCAAGATTATTCTGTTAATTCATGGTGGATGCTTTCATTTTCTCGTCTCCTTCGACAAAAACTGACGGCCTGAATTCGAGAGCAGGATGAACAGAACTGTCTTGAAAGGAATGACTAGTTGTTCAAGGCAGGGACTCGGCATTGCCTCAGAACCCAAAAGCGACAAATTTGAAAAGTACTAATCATTGACTGCTATCTCCAGGAGGGTAAAATCTAGATTGAGAGTGTTGATATCCCCAAGTTTGAGTTTTTCTCATGACCAAAATTGAATTTATTTTACTACATATTCCAATTCCTGAGCACTCCACTTATAGATTTCAAGAAATCGCGTATGGCCTGCAGGGCTGCCAATCCAGGGGGTCTCACTAACTGGGGCACACACCGAAGCTGTGATCACGATTTTTGCAAATACTGCCGACGCCTTATTTCATGCAAGAAAGAAAAATTCAAGAAAACTAGGAGTGTGAACATCCAGGCAGGTGAAGAGTTGCCTAAAACTTCCTGAGGTCTTACTGCTATGAATGTGCCCTGTATGTAGAGCTCAGCGACCTGACCAAGGATTGTTTTATCTCCATCTCTCACTCGCTCTCTTCTTTTCAGGTTTCTCCTCTCCGAATACCCTCCCAGATTCAGGTCATCGATACTGAATCCAACACTTCCTCTGCTCAGACTACTCGCGGATATCAAGGAATTTCCATATTCCTTCCTCGACACCTTGCTGCGCCCTTTCAGTTCCCTTGACAGGTTTCTCAACCTCTACACGCGCTAAGCTACCCTGGGTATTTCTCCGGTTCGATCCCTAGATATAATACGCGGGGATCTAGCAAACACCCAGGAAAATGTCACGCAATAACAGAGTACCTTACAAGGCTTAGGAAGATGATTGGCCACCTACCCTCATCAAGCGACTCACAACAACTTTTTCGAGCCAGGCTGAAACCTCACCGCTATACGTTTCGGTGCTTGTCCATGAAGAAAGACATCCGTTCGGTCGCGACACGCTCAGAATTCTAGGTGTTTTCGAATCGGTTTTCCTCGCGAACCAAAAGGCCATAGAGATACTCTTATCCTTTGAAAAGCACAAAGACTGGTCGAACTTTGTTGAGCAGACACCCTCCAACCTTGGGCTCCTGGAGCAGGGTAGCAAGGTGAGGTGGGAGGTTTCTGATTGGAGAGAACTGTCCTTGATGGCTGTTAATGGAAAGAGTGGTGATAAATACAAGGTCTATGTCCAACATCAGGTCATTCATAGGAGTCACGAGTCAACCGCCAGCGAGTACGAGGACACGGACGTTAAAAATTGAGATTTTTTGACCTTGCTTTGTTTTCACAGTTGATCTGCTGATCCCACCTGGAGGTGCCGGGACTGAGCACATTTGACCTGAGGTTCGAATTTGATTTCGGTTCCTGACGTTGACCTTCCAAATCCTTCCGGTGAATGGAGCATATTCCAAATACGAGGAGCAAAAGTTGAGTATCTAGGCGAGAATGGATACCATGATTGATATCTCAGCACTGTTGCGCGTATATCTAGTTTGAATGGGCTGAGCGTTTCTCCCAATGAAGGGAATTCCAACAGATGAACCAGGGTATCCTTGTTTGCGAGTAAGCTTGGATACTCTCCTTATCGATCACCTCTGCGGCCCAGTATGCGGTGTGTAAAACGCAGGTCAGAGCCCGACCCACAGTTCAATAGGCCTTCAGGTGGCTGAACTTTCTCCTTTCCTGATCAGCACTTGAACATAGAGTATTGACCACATCTATCGTTATTTTACCCTTTCCGCAAGCTGGTATGTAGTATTTCTTGAACATACACATTCGATTCAATGAAGATATCAAATTTCTGATCACTTTAGAAACAAGCTTGGGAAACAAGCTTAGGAAAACCAGTGAAATGCAAGATTCAAGAAGGCGGGTCAACCGCATGGGGCCGATGTGGGTCAATGATCGACTCTGCATTTAACCCAAAAAGGTTGCTGGGCCTCAGTTGGAGCAAAGTCAACTGGTCATATAGGTGAAGTCACCCTCCTTACATAGCAACCTGAAAAAAGAACAAATTCCAGCAAAGAAAAGTGAGCTCACGGAGAATTCCACACGTTCTTCCTCCTTATTTGAAAAATCTCGCGTTATCGATCTACTCAACCTGCATAAAACACGACATGTCGTCTTCCGAACCTTTCACCCCCGCTTCCTCGGAGTACAATCTCCAAACCCGATCCCGTTTATTCTCACTGCCGCCCGAAATCCGACATGAAATATTCTCTCTAGCCGTGGTGGGCACACAAGATGCAGTCAAATCTGTTGATCGGAATACATATTACGGGCGTCCGGGATACGAAACTGTGCCTTGTATCTTCACAGAGCTCCTACGCACCTGCAAGCGGATCTACATGGAGACATGGTCTATGCCACTTCTCTTATCGGAGCATGCTTTTTGTCTATCCTCGGATGGACGGTCGCCAAAGGGCACTCTGTCAGTTTCTGAAATGCAGAAAGGTCTTGATTTGATTCATAAACGCTACGGTGAAATCAAGGGTGGCAGAGTGCGGATCTTTTCACAATTAAAGGCCCTTGAAGCAACAAATGACTTTGGCGGAGTTCTGAACATGATAAATTTCCATCCCATGACAGTTACTCTTACCGTTCGTTATTTAGATACCTGGAACTGGGAGTGGAATGAAGAGTTACATATCGATGGTGCGTGGTGTGGGAGGGTTGAGCTACCGGCTAGCGTGACCAAGTTCAACATCGAGATTGAGTGCCTCGAGCATCGGAAGAGTGAAGTCGACTACATTATAAATGGAATTGCAACGGGCTGGAATTTTCGGAGGTCTGACGGTGTGACTTTTGAATCCGATGAAGATCCGATAACGATTTCTCGATGGACGGGTGGTTCCATATTGCCTGGTCGGTGGCGACAGATCCGTGATGAGAGACGTCCGGGTTTCCTGGATTATTATGTTGGCAAGGTCACCTGGCGCCCTTCAAAAAATCCTCCTACTGATGAGCGGCCTTCTAATCCTGCTCTTCGAGTGAATCGGGAGCGCCCTCTATACACAGGTCCGTCGATAGACGCAATAATGAGCTCAATAAACTTTGGGGGACATCATTTTCTGGATCATTACAGGCATGAGAATTTGGGTCCTCTACAGATGGCGACTCATGGACCAGCCTTGATGCTACAGGGCGAATACCGGAATTGACATCCGGACTTGCAAATTTCAAAGATCATTTTTCTGGTAATTATTTCTCAGATGAATATTATTAAGCACACACATTTGGAGCATGACCTGGCGGTTCAAATGCCGTAAAAAGTAGCAAACTTTGAACCTCAAGTGCCGATCTTACGACACACACATGCGATAATCACTTAACGAGTAAAGGTATGCTGTACTCCAGCATTAAATAATTCTATGTTTTGAGAAGGATATGGAGAGTCATTTTTTGAAGCACACTTTTATTATCGTATATTATTCCTCGGACACTTAATATTATAGAGTACAAAGTGCATGAATCATTATGAGGACTGATTTTCGAAAGTGTGGCATTTACAGCAAGTGGTTGAGACTGCACTGCAAGTCCAAGTTCAGGTTGATGAGACCGTTCTGAAAGCGAAGTCAGTTTCTATCAGTATAAGAAGTTAATCACATATCACATACCTGGACATCGTTTGAAGAGCAGCAGTAGACGTCACCGCCGGAGCAGCTCTCGCCCAGGAGGCCGGTGAGGATGTTGCCGAGACTCAACAGACCGCCGTTTCCGTTGTCGCTGCAGACAACAGTCTCGTGGCTGTCGCAGGTAGGCTTGCCGAGGTCGCCCTCAGTGGTGGGCAAAGCGAAAGCAGCGGCGAAGAGAGCCGAGAAAATGAAAGTGTACTTCATGGTTGCGGTTTTGGATTGCTAGAGCAAGCACGTCAGCAAAGGGACATCATGTTATTCGTGGATAGTGCCATACCGGCAGGCTGCTGTAAAAAGTGCGATAATCGAGCTCATCTTCAAGGTGTCGATGTAGGACTATTTATACAGCTGAAGTGTGTCCACCTTTCCGGTCCTAAGGGCAAATCCGCACTTGGTGGACTCCGTAAAATACACCAGAAGGTATAACGGCTTACCACCGTTGCATGAACCATATAAAATTACTCGTGGGTGGTAGTATATCAGGTGGAAGTGGAATAGATATTGGCCATTTACCGGAAACGTTTCCTAATGCGATCTCAGTTCACCAGCAGAAAACTGGCTCAAAACGCCAAAGGCTTGAGGCGCCAAGCCCATCAAGCCCCCTGTTAACTTTAATTTGACACTTATGCGGGATGTCCAATGAGACCATGATCATGATGATAGACTTTACGAAAATACTGGGGTTTCCAAGCCTGTCTGGTCATATCTATGACCTCATGAAATAGGCCCTAGCAGATGGATTGTTAATTTAGTAGGCAGACTTGAGGATCGATCTCTGATTATAAGATATTGAACACATGTGCATTATCATAGGGATACTACCCTACTTTTCCCCTCTCGAACATTGGAGAAATGACTCCAGGGCTTTTTTGTTCCTGAATTTGTTGCCACCTTCAGTTTTAAGCAAAAACATTTTCTCCTTTTCGTCTCTTCATTATATATTCTCTGGATGAAAATAATAACTTGAATGTTACTATAAAGGTGAAAAAAGCTATGTTAGCAACGAATGAGTGCCACGATCAACTTGCCTGATTTGTATCGTGTAATGACATCTGGATGAGGCACCACTTCAGCTAGTGACGTAAAAATTGGAGGTTGAGCTAAAATTTGAAATATGTCTGAGTAGCTTTTTCTTCATGGAGGTGATCCATTGAGCGCAGGTTACATGGAGATGGAGCGAAGTAGCATTTTCAGCCGCATGCAGCCTGTGGGTCCACCATGCCTCTATGCCCTGACTTCACAATAACTACGTTCTGTCCAGGGGTTTTCAAGTCATACTCGGGACAGACCAAAAAGAGAAATGCCGGGAGACATTTTGATCCGATAGGACCTGAGGCTTACTCCAAAGTAGCTCGACACCAATGGTCGTGAATCTCGTGATATGATATCGACACCTCAATGGTCAGGCGCGAAATGATTAACTACCCGATTAGGCTAAAATAGTGTATCTCATTCTCCAAGCAACTATTTTTAACAGACATTTGTCTGGACCTCCTTATAGGCATTTTCAAGTGGAACTTCATCAAAAATATTAAGTACTACTGAGGGCAGTCTTTTCAAAAATGAAGCTCACTACTCTTTATGTGTGTGGATTTCGATTTTGGCTCGTGCTCGGGATATGGCAATAATCTTAAGAACTTTCCGAGGAATGTGGCGTTTGCGACGGTGGTAGAAACGGATCCCTCCATGCAAGGACGCCTTCCGCAAGCCACAATAGTATTGAACTTCATTCATGATATCATTTTCTTGAGTATGATAGACTCCAAAGTGCTATAGTGCTGTCTTGATTTTGGCTGTCATACGCGGTCCCTAGCTAAGCTACTACCATGAAAAGTCAGAAAGATCCGTATGTCAGGGAGCTTGGTTAGAGTTTCATTGCTATTATTAGACATGGTGTTTGATATTTTTCTACTTGTCTGTGAAAGAAGATCGGTCTTCTGTAACGCCACTGGAGATTGGATAAAGCTTGGTTCAGCCAAAGAATAAAGATAACCACACATTCTACGGATCCACAGGGTAGGGGAAGCATCATAAGGGTAGGAATTCAGTATCGTAGACGTAATGGGATAATTTGGTGAAGGACCTTGCCTTTGATCTTCTTCGACATGGTAAATTGCTCTACTGCGTAGAGCTACGGATAATCTGATGCTTCCCTCCACAATGACCCACTATGAACCCCTTGACTCAGGCACGCTCCACATTATGAGGTATTTGGCATTCTTGATATATGGAATGCTACATTCTTACTCATTCTTCCTATTGTACGAAGTCAGGGTGATCAATTCCAACGAATGGCTGTCCATTATCATCGCTGGATCTCAAAGGCATAAATAACACGGCCACCTCGTTCTCTCCAGCAGTCATTCTCAAAGTATCAAACTATTGCAAACCTATCAAGGTAAGTCAAAGAGCCTTTTCACCCTGTTGCAAGAGAGGATCTGACTCTGAACAGTTCCTCAAACTCCTCAATCTCGCAAACATGAAGTTCATTCTCGTCACCTTCGCCCTGGTTGCCTCCGTTCTCGCTGGTGGCTCTCATCCTGAGAGCGGCAAGACCTGCAGCAGCGGCCAGAGCGTTGTCTGCAAGGACAACGGTAACGGTGGTCTGCTCACCCTCGGCAATGTCGCCCCTGGTGCCCTCGGCGAGAGCTGTGCCGGCGGTGACGTCTACTGCTGTGACGACAACGATGTCGCCGTAAGATCTCCAACTCCAATCATCTGCTTAATTCTCTTGCTAACAATCCTTGTTACAGAGCGGCCTTGTCAACCTCGATGTCAACGCTCAGTGCAGTCTGAACCACCTTCTGTAAGCGGGTTAATCTTTGACCGCTATGCACTGTTTGACTCATGAAGACCTTTGTATCCTCGTCGTTTCGGTGGATCGGTTTCATTTGAGCAATCTATTCTGTCTTTGAAAGTTTCTGAAAGGGATATGTCTAGCAATCTATAATCAACTGCGTGCAGATCAATTTTCGTTTCCCGGGGTAATTCCATATTCAACTGGCCCTTCTAGCGTAGCTCTGAATCTGCCATGAAAACCGATCTGTACATTCATATTAGTATGGTAAATGTCGCCATGTCGGCCATTCATATACCTCAAATCGTGTGGAATACAGTAGCAAGATACCAGGTGGTATTTCCCGATATTACTAGTAGTTCCAAGGTTTGTTTGAGTACTATTTAATCGACTACGGTATTTGGTGAAATACGATATTCCATAAATGTTTACCTCAGGGCAAACTTTCCACGCGTTATGCGAGAACAAACCATCCATATCAGACTCTTCAAATTTTATAGATAGTATTAATGGGAGACACTCGGAAAAGATGAAATAAACTAAATAGCGAAGGGGTAAACACAACTCAATAAACAACTTGAAACCTTTAACTTGAAGTCCACTGGTTTAATTCCTGAGTAAAACATCATTTACTAGTAGCAAAATAGAGTAACCACGGAGAATAGACGTGTAAAGTAAATATATGAACTTGAACATATCCTCGGGTAGATGTGTAGAATAACCTAGAACTTGAAGAATACTCAAAAAACAAGAGAGAGAACAAAAAAAGCGAAATAATCCGTTTAATACAAAAAATCGAGTTCGAATAGTACCAAACTTTTAACAGTATTCTTCACAATACCATATTTCCTCAAAATACCGCCCGGGCGTTAAACTGCCGGCATGGTCCGCGTCTCGCAAAATATCCAGTATCGCGAACATTCAGATTTTTGAGACGGAGAACCAGACACTGTGTACCCTTTCATATTGATGTACATTATCAACCTCAGAATACTGTCAGAACGGAAAGTGGGCATGTGTGCTTCAACTTCCGAGTCAAATGCACATATGCCAGTGCCAGTGCAACCTTCTGTCTGTACCAACTTCTTGAATTTGGCACACCTAGGCATGCATTGATTCATCTTTCATCCCAAGAAGTTCGAAAAATCTATACGAGCACTAGTATATACCTATCACCTCCAAGGATGCACACATGCATTTGCCAGTGGGCGCAACTCGTATACAATGAGATATAAATTTAATTATAATACTTTGTTCGAGCCCTTGTTCGAGTCCTTGTTCGAGTCCTTGTTCGAGACTTTCCAAGATTGTTCGAGTTAATTTAAGTCTATAGTTGGGTCTTTGTCCAAATCCTTGAAGCCTTTGATTAGATCTTTAATTTGCTCTTTCGTCAAGCCTTGGATCGATTCTTTGATGAAATCCTTGGTTAGTCTTTCTTCATGTGCTTATATGGATCATTGTTTCATTCTCTGTTCAAAGCCTTACTTAGGTTTTTGTTCGAGTTTTTGGGCGAGTCTTCTTTGATTGTTTTATTGAGTCTTTACATAGCTGAGTGGAACAGTGTCCAGATGTCTTTGTACTATATCGAATAATAGTGTGGTCCTTGCGATCTTGTGCTTTGAAACAGGCCCAATGCCTCACGCTTGATTTTTCGAGTAAGCCTTCAAACCGAACTCATATTGGCGATCTTCCGAAATCAGAAAAACTTCCCTTGAGCTTACCATGGCTTTGCAAAAGCTATGTCGGGCTTGCTGTTGTGGCACTCGTGAGGATAGCCTAGAAGACTCGGACCACTCACAGTCGCGGAGCTCCGACCACGATCCTGATTTGTGTCCACTTTTGGCATCTTTCCAACCATCTCCTGCCGTGAGCGGTCGCGCTCAATCTCACCACACTGAAACTGATGCTGGTAGTCTTCACCCCCTTCTTGGCTCTCCGCCAGGCTCTGTTCCACCTGGAAGTGTTCCAACTACCGAGAGTAATGAGTAATCAGGCTTCACAAGCCCGGGGCGGCTATGGGACCTTTGTGAGCTCAAATCAAGCCCGGGACCCATTTCTATCAGGCGAGGAGGCCCGTATTCGGGGTATACAGGTGATCCAGTGGATCGAAAATCCAAGCGCTGATAACCCGCCCTGTCCGGTTTCTATGAATACGCTAACCTATCAGCAGGTGCAGGATGAAAGTGATGGCGATATGTTTCGGATGATAAATTTTATGCCTGGTATTCGACCTGATGCACTGATATTCCCGGTAGGAGTGGAAGCACCTCGTAACTATATTCAGCGATATGTTGGCTTTGGTGATAATACTAAGTATATTTTGTTTTTTGCTCCAGGTGTTATTGGTCTGTATGACATCGTGCATGAAATGGGTAGCCCTAACCCTCATCCAACAGACGTTGCTCTAACTCTTTATAGTGAGGAATTTGGAGCGCTCGATACTTTGCGCTGTGTTTTCGTATACGGTGTGATCAATACCCAGACGGTTGCCTTCCTTAATCGGCACATTGAAGCCCGCTCTATTGCTCAGTTTGGCTCCCCGGATATGCTCGAACACTATGCCTACATGTATGGAACCCCAGAGCGCGAGGGTCTTGTTGGTGTCCGAATTCCACGCACTGTTGGCTATCTTGTTCTTGGAGCTTTCCCCCGTGGTAGTCGCCGGATCGCTCGCATAGAGGCGTATGCATCGCCGGGACCCAGCTATGATATTCGGTTTGATATCGAGCCGATTCAGTAAGAGGGTAAGCTGGGTTTCTCAACCCGAATGTCTTACCAGATGCCTTCAGGTCCGCAAGATTAACATGGTGTGATGCTGGCGCGAAAAGAGGAGGAATCTCTTTACCCTATTGAAGAAATAAGAGTACTGTTTTAATTTAGAATGCCGAGCCCATTTACCGATTAGATAGCCAATGAAAGTTGGATGAGATCCTCTTAAGAAATAGGTATTTATGTGATTAGAAAGCTCTCGCTCATAGCACAGTTGATCATCTAGTCCCGAATAGACCATCTAGGGCAACCGTCACTAATACCATAATCACCCCAAATTTTTTAACGGTCTTCCAAAATTCGGCTACGACTTTTACAGCATTTACGTATGATAGTTTTGCATTCCTTGCCCAGTACATACGACCACAGGGTGTGGAGAACAGGGCTTCCCGTCCGCTCAGCCGTACTTAAGCCACACGCCGGTCAGTTAGTAGTATGGTGGGTGACCACATGCGAATCCTGACTGTTGTATGTTTTTGAATTTTTGCTTTTGTTATTTGATTGTTTTTTTTGTCGGGAAACTTGTCTTCCCCTTCTGTCCCTTCAGACCCACCCCTTTTCATCCACTGGCAAGATGGCCGAGTTGGTCTAAGGCGTCAGGTTAAGGTCCACCTTGACTCTTACGGCAACACCGTTTCCTGATCTACGTTTGTAGGCGTGGGTTCAAATCCCACTCTTGTCATTTCTTTTTAAAACCTGGCGGAACATCCCTTGATGTACCCTTGCTGTACCCTGCGGGAACCACACAGGTCAGGGCTTACCACTTTTTTGACCGGCCTTCTGCCACCTGGGCACGCTTTTGAGCCTACGTTCGAAGGGTTTCATATATGTACCCTGCTTTAAACATATGTAACCAAATGCTCTTCCAAGATTGGTTGAGTACGCTTCACAATTCGAAGCTTGGAAAGCATTGTTGAAGTAAATTCCCAATTTCAAGATTAATTACCAGAGCAGAGCCGTGCACGAATCCAATTATTGAACTTGAAGCACCCGTCTTATTTTTTTGGCCCTCACGACTCAATTATGATTTTTTGTGTAACCTAGCACTTGAGGTGAGCAGCAGCTTTCAATCAGCGTTACTATTTATCCGATTGTTACAAGCCTTGTGGAACATTGAATATACATAAGCGCCAGAATTAGCAAAAATACAGTACCGAAGCCCAATTAAGAAGAGACAAAGAGTCTGGGTAGAGGGAAAAACATGATAATAAAACCAATAGACAGAAAATAGCAAAAAAGATAGGTCACATGTTAAACATTCAAGTTGCCGATCCATATCAGTAGCTTTCACACAGGGATATGTATCAATCAGATCCTTACCGATGAGGGTGACAGTTCATGCGTGACGGAGGGCCATGTGTTGCCCATCTCGTATGGGCGATTCCAACATGTGTCTCGAATTTAATATCCATCTTCGGCGGGGAACTCTCAATAAGTCCCCTCAGCTGCGCGACCTTCCCAACCTCCTTGAATGCCAACACATCGAGTCCACTATCACCATCCACAACCAACCCAGACGAGTCATAACATCGATACTCGAGCCTGCTAAGGCCTTTCCCAGCCCAAGATTAGCAAAATTATAGTGCACATTTATGATCAAAAAATAGCGTGATAGCCTGGAGGTGGCCTCACCATTCAGAAGAACGTCAAGAATGTAGCTCCGCTTTTTCTCAGGGCAATGGTTTACGTAGCCGATTATTCCGCTACGGAGGGTCAGAGAACTCAGCTTTCATGTGGATTCGATGTTCAAATCCGACGGGAAAAAAAGAAATAGTAGTACTACCACATGGTTATTTCCACTTGAAGATTCCGAGTTTTGTTATCAACAGATGTAGGCCCCTGGGGTTATAATCTGCATTCACGTCTGTATCATGCACATGTCACGGTGTTGGGTATCTGAGCCCCTGTACTAGATTATATAGCTTCAAATTCAAATTACTTGACAGTGTTTATCTCAAGTGCTCGTATCCGTGGACATTGTTCAACCACACTTTGAAGTTTCCCAGGCGTAAGAACCGGTAATCAATTTCTTGTTTTACCTCGTAACAAACATAAGAATTAATCAGAGTCGTATTTCCGGTCAAATCCGGGCCCATGGACTCGGATGCGAAGGATAGAGTCTTACGGTCAAAATTCGGCGGATTCATACTCCTTCAACGGCGCCAAGAGCTTGGCGAACTTTGGGAATGGACCCTGCCAGTGAAGGGGGACCCATATTAGCGTGAATCAATCCAGACCTGCCTGTAAAACACGAACTATGTGCTTGTTCAACCCGTGCCCAGGTGATCCATGGAAAGAAATGAAAATTGAAGCTTATCCTTGCCACATGGAAGGAACATGCGGGGTAAGAGATCGCAAGCCATGTGAGTATAGTACAATTATGCTCTCCCATTGGATGGTTTATCGGCCGAACTATGTATCCTTGGGTAGGTACCATACTTACTACCACGCCACTTCAAGCTCCTAGCTACATTGGTAAATATACACTCGGACCAATAGAACATGTACAGCGACAGATTCTCTATCGCCTTGAAAATAATTTGTTGCGAGACCCCCAAGGAAATGGATACGGGCCTTCATCAGCCTTGCAGGTCGGCCACCCCTCCATACAGCCGTAAGGATTCAAAACCTTGGAATACGGTATTTTGTCTGTACAGTATTCGAGTAAAATACGGTTGATATAGCCCCGGGCCTGGAGGGAGTGTACAGTGGAGTGGGAAGTGTAAAATTTTCTTACTATCATCTACATTTGTATTTGGTGCCTTTTAACAAGGAAATTGATACATAGAACAGATCAACCTATTAAATAGAATCTTCAAGATATCAGTATAGTGTACATAACATACAGATTTCAGCACTTGAGCTTCATTCTTGCAATCCCATTTCCGCCTCATTTTCTGATCGGGCATATGTTCGCGCCGGAGTCTGATCGGTGCAAATCTTTCTGGTTTTGCCCCAATCAAATGAGTCCATGTGATAAGATGCGAAAAGGATGAATATGTTGATGAATGGCCCACAAAGAATGTAAATGATACAGCCAACCAAGTATTGTACTCGAGCAAGAATCCCTGGGGGGGATCCGAATGACGATCAAGACGTAATATATCAGTGGAAGAATCATCAACGTTGCGAAAGGAAAGATAATCCACCACGAAACAACTGTTCAAGCTCTTAGCCCCGTTCTCATGAGATTTAGGGATCGTAGAGGGGTAGTATCACTCACACAAACACGCATAAACCAAGCACGCAAGGCATGCCAAGATGAATACGTTGAGAAACCATGTCCACACATTGAAAAAGGCCAGAATGCGCTCAAACCACTGAATCCCTCTAGACCTCACCAGCATAAGGTCGTTCGAAGTAGCGCCGAGTGTCCATCGTTTGCGCTGCGATAGAAATACAGATACAGAATCCGGAACAACAGTAAAGGCATGAGCTCTCAGTGCTTGTCGAGTTTGAGCAGTCGAGCGCGCAGACAGCATCAAGCACACATGGTTGCGATCTTCACTGGCGGTAGCTCTTATTTGCTTTAACAACCCATCGGTTGGCTTTGGAAAATAACCGAATAATTCGATCAAGACGTAGTCACCGCAGGTTGTCTCACAGACCTTTAGTAGCTGGCAACATCCTGGGAGACAAGACACTTTTTTGGTGGCGATTGATTGGTGCATTCGGCGCAGGCCTTGTGAGATGGTATACTCAGTAGACTGGTATAATTTCATATTGTTCCAATTGCAGCCTTGGAAATCAACAGCAACATACTCGGATACACCAAGCGTGTCTGGCTAGTTTAGCGTGTGAAAACCGGTCAGTAAGGACTGGGAACAAACTCAGGAATACAGGGGTACTGAGAACTCACCGACTCTCTTTTAATAGTTCAGCAACACACATTTCATCAAAATACGTGTCTGCGTCCATACCAACAAGACAGGAGACCTTTTCAATTTCACACTCATTGAGCATGAACGAGGAAAGCTCTCTAAATAGTTTTTTTGAGAGACATGTTTCCGGGTTCTGGTCCCGAATGTTGAAATTGTAGAGAAAGGACCGTGACAGAATCAGAGCATCTCGTTTGCCTTGATCAAATCCTTGAGGATCTCAATGTAAGGAAAGGACTTGTATATTCCTTTTTGTATGGTAATATCCATCTGTCGTCTGTCCCAAGCGAGATATGCTGCTGAGATCCGGCCGCGAAATTTGTAGTTTTTCAGGATATCCTATGATAGAATTTCTGCTGTGGTTTTTTCCATACCTTGTCCACGGAAATTTCCATCGGATATGATGATTAAGGATTTCTTGTGCCCTTCAATCCCACGTTGTTGCATCAGGGAATCCAAAGATGGAGGATCCAAAGATAGTTCAAGAGTGGTTTAATCTGGTTTTTAAGACGATCCAAGAGAATGGTATTCTATCAGAGGGTATTTATAACTTTGATGAGACTGGATTTGCAATGGGGCTTACAGCAACTGCTCAAGTTATTACTTGCTCTGAATTCTACGGTCGGCGAGCACTTTTACAGCCTGGAAACCGTGAATGGGTAACAGCTATTGAAACTATTAGTAGATCTGGACAAGTCCTTCCACCAGTTATTAATTTCAAAGGCAAAGTTCTTATTCAGGGCTGGTTTGAGAACCTTCCACTTGATTGGCGATTTAAAACTAGTCCAAACGATGGACAACCGATGAAATTGGGCTTCAATGGCTTCAAAAGCACTTTATTCCAGCAACTACTGAACGTACACTTGGAAAATATCGACTTTTGATTCTTGATGGTCATGGGAGTCATTTAACTCCCCAATTTGACCAGATTTACAAAGAGAATAATATTATTCTAATTTATATGCCAGCTCATTCTTCACATCTTCATCAGCCACTTGATGTTGGATGCTTTGCACCTCTTAAACGGGCCTATGGTCAGCTTATTGAGAATCAAATACGGCTTGGTTTTAACCATATCGATAAATTTGATTTTCTTGAAGCCTACCCAATCACTCGTAAAAAGGCTTTTCAAACCCAGAGTATTCAAAATAGCTTTACAGCAGCTGGCTTAATCCCATTTAACCCAGACCAAGTGCTTTCTAAGCTAAATATTCTTCTTCGAACACCTACACCCCTAGGGAGCCGCCCTACTAGTCGATCAAGCCAATTTTCACCCAAGACACCCCAGAACCTTACCCAGCTTCAACGGCAAGCTAGTTCAATCAAAGCTCTTCTAAAACAACGATCAAGGAGCCCACCAAATCCACTAAAACAGCAAATTGATCAAGTTTTAAAAGCCTGTGAAATTCAGATGCATTCAACAGCTTTATTGGAGGTTGAAACACGCAAATTACGTGCCGCCCATGAGAAACAGAAGCAGAAGCGCAAGCCGTCTACTAGGCAGATACCTAGCGAGGGTGGTATGACAGTTCAGGGGACCCAGGAGGCTATACAGTGTGCTATACAGGTGGTTGAAACACCAGTTGCCCCTCCCGTACTGCGGCCTAGGGCGCCTTTTTTACCACCTCAGCCAGCTAGGCTACCGACGTGTAAAAAGTGTGGAGAAGAAGTACATAGATCAGATCACTGTGATATTTAGATAAATATTTTAATAAATTGGCGTTATGGTGGTAATATTCATGATTAAAACTATAGGATAGGCGGTCAGGTGGCGGCTCGCTTGGGAGATACGTTAAATTGATGTGAACCCCTGGCACCTATGCCCCTGCGTAGTCCGGGCTTATCGGCAACTTGAAGTTGTGCATATCCACCTGGATGTTTCTTATGCAAAACTAAACATCATAAATTTGGCCATTACACTATATACCACAGAAAATGCAACTAACCATGGGTCGAATATGTGACGGCAGCGGTTAAGAGGTGAATAAATTTTTCAAAAATTTGTTTATCCTACAAATTTCTGTTTCATAGCTTTACGCCAAAGTTAGCCATCCCGGCATACCCGATTTAGAGAACTATTTAATGCTCTCTTGAACTTTCAAGGTTGAACATTAAATTACCAAAACTTCCAACTCAGCACACAAGCTTCAAGCTGAAACTTCAAGTGACAAGTCTCTTCAACAGTCGATACACCACAATGTCGCTCCTTCAAGTCGAATCCCACATCACCATCGCCAAGCCGCCGGCGGCTGTCTTTGATTTCATTTCCTCGCCTATGAACTGGGCTGGTCTGCATCCTGGCAGCAGGGAGATCAAAGGAGATGGTGTTCACACATCTGCCAAAGTTGGCACTCGCTTTATTGAGGTCATTGACGACAAGAATGGATTGAAGTTCGATGCCGAATGGGTTGTGACACGCAATTACAAGGATGAATTCTTTCAATTTCAATTCCCCTCGGACTACAGCCACGGTCCATTCCAGGAGATCGTCATCACCTACAATGTCGGTCAAAACACAGACGACTCCACCTCCTTCACTCGCAGAATGGTAAGCTGGATTAAGCCGGGCGTTGACACCAAGCCTCTCAGCTCCTTCTACGAGAATGACATGCACAATGAGTATGTTGCTGCTGTCAAGGCTCATGTTGAAGCAGTTTAATCTCATGTTCATGAATTTGAGTCATCGACGCCCAGGTGCATCTAAGAAAAGCCTTCAGGTTTCATCATAGTTTATCTAAATGGGACATTCGGGGGAACTGAATATATGTTTTAAGGACATCTTTGAGTCCTCGTTTCATCACATGTTTGTTTTTGTGTTCTCGCTACATGTTGTAAATGAAATACTGGCTGTTGATAGGTAAAGTTCAAGGTTTTAAAGTAGCTGCACATATTGATGTATGTGACGGCATGGGTCTCGGGATTTGCAAGCTATTAGCACATCCAATGTTACTCCTCATAAAATTTTGAATATTATCATAAGTTGAGAAGCTTGGAACTTGAATCTAATAGTATTTCCTCCGAGTCGGCTCGACTTGTACCAGTGGTAGGCTCAAGTGCTTTATCCAACGTTTTCCGGATCGTGCACATGTGTATAGAAAGGAAACGAACGCGATACAATGTATCCACTCAAGAAAAGAATAATGAGGAGATCATACATAGGGGTCCATAAGTCCGTGCACACTTTTTGATTCCGCACCCCACTGAAATGATTACAATTTTTCAACTACCCACGATTCAATCAAAATGCGTTGTTTTAGCGCTGAATTACCTCAATTTACAAGATCCGCTATATTATATGGCCTAGAAGGTTGGGCGAAAACCCACACAAATCGCTCGCGATTTTCAGATCTCCCGCCGCGTTGTTTACAAGATCAAAACGGAGTTTCAAAACAACAATTCTTTTATTTCTAAGCCTCGACCAGGGCGGCCTTCGAAGCTTTCGCCATCAGATCGTCGATATATATATCGCTTAGTTCGCCTATATATCGCTTAGTTCGCCGGAACCCGATTATGTTACAAAGCGCTACAAGTTGATACCGGTTTTAATGTATCAAAATCGACTTTGAAACGCGTGTTAAAACGATATAATATCAAAAAATGGGTTTTAAAGAACCGGATATTCCTAAATAACTATGACGTGTAACGATAATGAGAGTTCTGTCGAAAGTACGTAGTTATAAATTATTGACTTTAACGATTTTATCTTTTTGGATAAGTATTCCGTACAACGGAAATTGAATAATATCCATCAACATGTCGTTTTATTAAAAAATAAAAGATATCGGAAGGATCTTATTAATCTGATTAATCATGATCAGGATCTTTGTTAAATGGTTTAGGGAGCTATGTGGCTTGGTGGCCGGTCAAAATTGATCATTATAGAACAAGACCCCCTATCAAAAAAAAAACAGTTATACTACGAATTCTTATCTCAACGCCCTTAAAGAGGGTTTGATTCCAGTTTATCAACCAGGAATTATCTTTCAGCAGGATAACACATCAATTCATACGGCAGAAATCTCGAAAAATTGGTTTGAAACTCATGGTGTTGAAGTGCTTGAATGGCCTCCACATTCTCCCGATCTTAACCCTATTGAAAATGTGTGGAATTTATTGAAACAAAAGTTATTTGAGCTTTATCCCCAGCTGGCACACCGAGGAAAAGCAAAATTAAATTGGACTGAATTTCGTGCAGCTTTACTACATACGTGGGAGTCTCTTGATCAAGAAAAAATCGATCGTTTTATTATGAGCTTACCACGTCGGATTCGTGCGGTTAAAAAGGCAAAAGGATGGTATACAAAGTATTAATATATATCTATCAAAGATTATATTATATATATTATATTGTGGTGGCAATTACCAATTTAAAAGTTCAAAATTGTTGAAAAAACAAAGTACCCTATGTATTGTAGTGGGGTACCCTGTCCCCTACTACACGTACCGTACGGGTATGATTATTTCGGTATTGTTCATTCCTTACGTTATGTTATGTTGTGTTATTGTACGTACAAGATTGGCGTTCGATACTAGAAGACAATACACACTCCTACACATCTCTGATCTGACCCCTACGGGTAGTCCGGACACATTGTCCTTGTTGGTTGGTGTTGTTCTTTCAGTCTAGCTGGATCGACCCGTGTATCTCGAATATACTGCCTCACGGTTCCCCTCTTTAGTATGTATTTATGCACTCCAGGGCTGTTGTTCCATAGTAGATCAATCTGGGCGGCCCACACAGCCCGCCGATCAGCCCGTCCATGTCTGCGTACGGAGCACTCCGTTTATATTTTTTGTTAAGTGCAAGATATCGAATGACATTATCCTTATCGTATGATTGACGGAAATTATTACTTATATTCCCGTATCAAAATTCAATGGTCGTTTCAAGTTCCCGGGACACTTAAATTGTCTCCTTGTACTTGATTGACATCCGGTCCAACTCTTGACGAAGCCTGGTGGAGTAGCAAGGCCCACATCAAAAACAGCTACCAGTAGTATACCCGGATATTCCGTGCCGGGTGCTAGCGTCCGTCTGCTCAAGAGGTTTATGCAAGAAATTCGGACATTAGCATACTTTCGAGTCAGGTATAACTTATAAACAAACAGGATCGGCAACGGAATTCCCCTTTCAGGTATCGGAGTTCAATGATAACAACAAGGCCATTGATATGAGAAAGAGTCAGGGGCTTATATAAATTTTAACCCAGCCTCTTTGGATATTCAAATGTGCAAATTGATTGACCCATTGAATTTCCTGATCCAGGTACATACTGGTCATTATGGCAGAAGATAAAAAGAGATTCCGCGTCATTATCGTTGGTGGCTCTGTCGCGGGTCTTACCCTTGCTCATTGTCTGCTGAAGAGCAATATCGATTTCGTTGTTTTGGAGTCTCACGATGATATTGCGCCAGCGGTGGGTGCTTCAATAGGCATAATGGCCAATGGAGCTCGCATCCTTGATCAATTGGGAATGTTTGATGACGTCTTGGATGCTGTTGCGCCTTTGTCACACTCAATGTACTTTGGAGATTCTGGAAATCTTTTGGCCAGCTCTGACGGACCAAAAATAGTTGAGGAAAGGTATGAATTCTAAAATTTGACAGAATGAAATTGAAAAAGGAGAATTCCTTTTCGAGGATTTCTGGAGAAAATCTCAATCATCAACTTAAACTGACTTGAAATCTTAGACATGGCTATCCAATTACGTTCCTTGATCGGCAGACTCTCCTCCAAATTTTCTACACACATTTAGAAGGAGACCAAGAGAAAGTCTTAACAGGCAAGCGGGTTATTCAAGTTGATCATCACAGTACGGGTGTCGTTGCTCATTGTGAAGATGGATCCTCTTATGAAGGGGATCTGATAGTGGGAGCGGATGGAGTTCGCAGTACTGTGAGAAAGCTGATGTGGAATCATATGGAGTCTGCGGGGCTGAGGCAGCAAGTTGAAAAGGAGAGAACAAGTAAGACCGTGTCCAAAAATTCCAAGGTCAATTTTAAAACTCACCAAGAACCTTTTAGCCATGACATCTGAATATGACTGTGTTTTTGGCATATCAGACCCGTTGCCAGGACTTATTCCTCGCCAATCTTACCGCACGTTTGGCGAGGGGTACTCAATCCTCGTCATCGCGAGCAAGGATGGTCGAGTTTATTGGTTCTTTTTTACCAAAATGGACCGCAAGTATCTTGCTCATGAAATTCCGCGGTTCAGTCAGCAGGATATTCATAAACACATGGCTCAGTGGCTACATAAGCCAGTCACAAGCTCTGTCACTCTGGGCGATGTCTACAACAATGCCTCTGTTAAAACTCATCTTGCCTTGGAGGAAGCAAACTTTCAGCTTTGGTGCAAGGATCGTTGGGTTTGCATAGGTGACTCTATTCACAAAGTGGGTTCCTATACTATTCCAGCCTATAAGAAGTGTTGATAACTGATACTCTGCATATAGATGACCCCAAATGCTGGATATGGCGGGAACAGTGCCATTGAAAGTGCCGCATCACTCACAAATTATTTGACTCAACTATTGCAACATAATGCTTCGCCCGAAACCGAGGATATAGATATGTGTCTTACAAACTGGCAAACTCATCGCCAGGTGCGACTCGCAAAAGTTTGGCAATCCTCTCATGATTTGACTCGGCTGGAGGCATGCGAAACGTTCAAGGATCGAATTATTGCTTTGCACTTGCTCCGATTCCTCAGTAACACCATGATCAACAGAGGCTCAGCAATTGTTGTCGGCGCGGAAAGAGTTGAGTCGTTACCGCTTCCTTCCCGATCTTTAAGAGGCACAATGCCCTTCTTAAACGGGGTCGAGATCACAGAGCAGCCTCCTGCATGGGAACGAGGCCTTAGGTGCCTACCTTTACTGGCATGTCTCGGCGCTGCTGGGGCTACCATGATACCATCCGCCGCTCGTTTTAAGACTTTCATGGGGCCTATTTTTGCTCAAGGCTTGTGGACAGCAAAGAACGGAGACTCCTTTAGTCTTCAGCGACAAATATCTCCTTTTTCTTTTCTTGATAAGCTTTTGAAGCCATACATCACCTGTTTTTTGCCTTCGATCAGCGGTCATGACCCGGTGTCAAGAGTCCAGATGCTCTCATTCATAACTGATCTTGGGGCAGTTTACGGCATTTGGTTGCTAGACAACTATCGAATTTCAAATGGTTTCACTGACGCTCTGCTGTAAGTCCAATGTTGCAGTGAAATCACATCATGATGGTTATGTGACTAATAAATCTGTTGACAGTCCTATTACCGTTGGTGTTGTGGTGCAACTGAAGGGCGCTGGGATTTTTGCCCCAGTTTACTACATCTTGGACCACCTTCGTGCCCCTATCTCACGCTTGATATCAGGGGGTGGTCACGAAGTGAATGCGAAAACAGCAATTTCAGTTGTTGTTGGGCTGCTGGCAGGTTATTATCTGCCAAGCTATCAAGGCTTCACCACGTCCACGCTTCAGTCCCGGGGATGGTGGAACGCAGTCTGGCAGGTCTTCCCCATCGCAGTACCCGTAATTGCAGGTATATCCTCTCGGATCCAGGGAGCAATCTTGAAAAATCACGATAAGCCTGAGCAAGCGAAGCGACAGGAAAGCTCCCGGAATATGACCACCATTCGATGCACATATATCGGTCTTGCAGCCATATCTGGCTTGACTTGGATTCATGCACTTCGATCAGCACCAGCAGGTGCTTCGATTTCGAGTATCTTTTGGCCTGGCATGAATCCTCACTCCACCCCAGTCACATCATTCGTGGATGGAATTGCCCATTTCTTGAAGTACGATCAGCTATGGTTCATGGCAAGTGGATTTGTTAGTCTGGGACTAAGACTAGAGGAGTTGAAACAGCGTGGAGCGAACTTCTCCTGGTTCAATGTGACTAGTTCGTTAGTGGGAGCTACTGTGGCGCTTGGGCCGGGATCGGCTTTCGTTCTTGGATGGGGCTGGAAAGAGGAACTCCTGAATAGGCTGTCTTTGCGATCGACACCGACCGTTTAAGATTAAGAGGGTATCCCCGAAAAAACTGAAAAATACTTTATTTAGTCCGAGTATATGAATGCGGATCTTTTTTTTTTAAACTGGAAAGCTGCAGACCTACCAATTTAAAGTCACCACCGGCCTGAGGTACCTCCAGCGCTGTATTATTGATTGAACTTAGAGCTAGTTGGAAATGAAGTAGCTTGAATTAGACAATATTCGAATGCACAGGTAGTATTATAATTCCTTTACATAGTTTGTGGGCAAATCAGTACCTAAATCAATTGCAGGGCTAGTGTTTATAAATTAACCCCGCACTGTCATGGATTTATTGGAAGGGAGTAAGCTCATTGGACCAGCTGACATGTGAAGTTATCAAAATAGGTTCATGGGGTAGCTCAAGCACTAGGCTAAGATTTTTGACTTTCGGCATGATATCCATCCGTCAATTGGGAGTTTCGTTGCTTCTCATTTCATCTGATTTGATTCACCCATACTGAGACCAATCAAAGATTCATCAGAACTGACATTTGGTTCTTCAACGTGTTCAGACCATTGGAAATCTCACACTGATATTCTATCGGGAAGTATCTGGAAATGATGTACCGTGGCCTTAGGGAAACTGTCAGGCGCAAGATCTGCAGCTTGCGTCATTCAGTTGCACTGCATCCCTGTTCCAAGGTTATAGTCATGCAAATATGCATAAACGCTTTGAAGCTGCGTGTCTCGTCACGGAGAGTTGGAATTTATACATGAAAATTGGGCACAAGATTTATGTTTGATTTTTATCCTTCTCTCACCTGGATGTTCAAAATGCTTTAAGAACTATATGAGCCACGTTGATATTCTGCTTCTCTGCTCTCTCTCTTCAGATGTTTTTACCCTCATTATTGTAGTCTACAGGATTACTTTGACTTCTGCTTTACTAGATCCTCTCATATACACCAGTCTGCTTGTTGCTTTTACATCAGGTTATGTTATTTACCAAATTTTCCTCAGTCCGTTAGCCAGTGTACCCGGGCCTCTATTGGCCAAAATTACAACATGGTACCAGGCCTACCTCTCTATGCGGGGTAACGTTCATCGCGACCTGGTGGAGCTACATAACAAGTATGGCTCTGTCGTGAGAATGGGACCAAACACTCTGTGGGTTTCCAATGGTACTGATCGTCCGAGGTTCCCCAGCTGCTAATATATTGCTTAGAACGTGATAGAGCCCAAGCACTCCGTGAAATATACAGCAAGTTTTGATATTTTATTGTTTTTTCCTTCCTATTTCTGAGCGGAACTAATGTAATCAACTTGAATTCAGAGGCGAGCGGAAGATTCAAGAAGGCCTCCACATATAATGTTCTCAAGGGAAGTCGGCCATTTGATATTGTTGGCAAGCGAGACGAAAGAATTCATGGTGAGCAACGCAGATTAGTAGCTCGTGCGTACTCCATGGATTCTACGGTTTATCTCGAGCCAAAGGTCGACGAAATTTTGCTTCAGAGTCTCGATCAACTGGCGAAAACATCCGGATTTACAGATCTCGGGGCTTGGATTCAACTGTTCGCATTCGGTAAGCAAAATTGGTTCTTTATTCGAGAATGTATTTCTCACCTTCATTCCATCAGATGTCATAGGTGCTGTTAGCTTCTCAAGGCCCTTTGGCTATATAGCAAGCGGAACAGACAACGGGCTTTTTACCCGCATGAAAAGAGCCCTCTCATCCCTTGCCTGGCTTAGATATGTTCAGTGGTTCTATAGTCTCCATCAAACACTTATGCCCGTCATTGGAAACTGACTCGCGGTTAATGACCGGAATGGCTACTTTTTCAACTTTGCAAGCGATCAAATTAAGCTTGCAAAAGGTCATTCTGACACGAAGGATATAATGAGCCAGCTTTTTACCACCCAACAAACGAAGCCAAAACTAAATGACATGAACATTGCCTTCATGTTAAGCTCAAATGTCTTTGCTGGCTCGGATACGACATCATCAGCCCTACGAGGCATCCTTTATCTTCTTCTTAAGAACCCTCAATACTACGATCAACTGGTGAAAGAAGCCGAGGGAAAATTTGCCGAGGGTAAACTGAGCGATAGTATCCTGTTATGTTCCATGAGGTGGAATCTTGGCCACTTCTTCAAGGAATAATTTATGAGAGGATGCGCCTGTTACATTCTGTCGGCCAAGTACTTTACAGAGACGTGCCAGTTGGGGGTCTACAGTGTGGTGATTACTGGGTTCCGGAGGGGATGAGTCAAGAATCGCATCTCTCTGTACCAATTAACTAATTCCAAGCAGACTGTCGTTGGTACAAGCCCTTGGCCCCTTCATAGATCACGTGAAATTTGGGGAGCAGATGTTGAAGAGTTTCGGCCAGAAAGATAGCTGGGCCCCGGGGCCAGTGAATCGAGTCAGTTCAACCCCATATGAGACTCCGCTTCAGGTCGCTAACACCGTTTTAGAACGATATTTCTTTGGTTTCGGTGGTGGATCTCGGACATGTCTTGGAAGAAGTATGTATCTTTTGGCTTTCGCGGCAAGGACTTTATACTAACAGGCTAGCTACTAGATATCAGTCGGTTAGAAATGTCAAAGGTGCTTGAATATGCTCCCAAATTTATAATAAGTATTTTGCTTATTCAAACTCATTGACTTAGTTTTTACCAACTCTTCTCATGCGCTTCCACCTCGAGCTTGAGCCCAATGCTAGTCTGACTGAATACTGCGGGCAAGTGATTGCAGTCTTCTTGTCTCAATAATTTGCTGGTATTGACCAAGTCCCAACTTCGTTGGTATTTTTCAATGGACTCAATGTCCGCTTGACACCGCGTATTAATGAGGACCCTGCAATTTGAGTTGTAGGCCAAATCCTGTGATGCTGCACATGTGTCAGGGCTGTGTTTAGGTCTACGTGGACTTGAGTGGCATAATGATACGGAATTAGCAATAATTTCATTGAATAATCAAGGTTTTCAAGGTTCTGGTTTGTTTGACTTCAATTACATGGTCCTTTTTTGGATCCTCATGACAGGTTTAAGTTTTCATACATAAATTCAATTAATACTTCGACAATGGATACCGTCAATGATAATCCGTAGACAGCACTGAGTGTGGTGCTTTTACCTACTGCCTATGTAATCAATTAGGCAATGAAAAAATTTCGTTGAATCGACCAGTTACCTAGGTAACTGCTACTTTTACAGTCGCTCGGAGTATTACAATAAATATATTCATGTACCACCAACTTGCAACAATTGAATAGTTCACACAACTTGAATCAGGACTTTGGGAGTCTAAGACGAATGATATCAATTCATTGGTCTTCAAGGGATCTTCAAAAATGGAGGGAATAATTCAAGTTAGATAAGTGAGCAATCGGCACGAATATGTTGTTGATCCCTCAGGCTGAAAGAACAATGCTGGTAGCAATGCCAATCCGGGCCATCAACTTGATTTCTTCACAATCTTGGAACTACGATCCCTCGCCAGAGGTGGATAATCCATAAAGGACATCAGGGTCGGAATCGAAAAAAAATGTCTTGGCAGAGTACACCAAGCAAGGGGCGCTGATCTATCCTCAGCCACTGGAGGTATTTGAACACGAGTTTCAAGAAATTTCAGAATATCCTCAATCTCATCTTCCACGCGGTACCAATGTCCAAGTCCCTTATAAGGCCTCCATGTAACATCCATCCCTAGACCTGTCGATATAAGTTGAGACATTTTTTCACCAAGATATACAGAGGTCTTGGGATCCTCAGTGCCATGACCAAGGAAAATAGGTATGTTAAGTTGAGACAAGCTCGCTGCTACCGTTTGATTCTCAATTGCCGAAATTGCAGGGAGGTCAAGGATATCGCGGATATAATCAACGGCCTGAATGGGCAGAGAGACTTCGGGTTCTTCTCCCCTCTGGAAAATATCGAAGTCATCATCTGGCTGGGTGGATTGTTGGAGGTCATCCTCGGGCGATTAGCCTGAGTTCTAAATTGGCAATATCCATTTGTCACGATGCACCTTACCTCCTTTTAAATCCATGCCTCTCCACCATGACGCTTTGGATCTGCTTGGGATTCAATCCCTGATCAAGCCATAGCGATCTCAGCTCATCGTGGTGACTGTCCAACTCGGCCTGATTTGATTTCTTGGAAGCCATTTTGTGCGCTTTGGTTTATTGACAATGAGTTTTGCCCCTGTGCCCCTCAAAACTGGAGCCGTCCATGCTGGCTTTTATATGAAAAAACAAAAAAATGTATTGGGAGCATATCGGTTGACGAGGTTGGTTCCACCCAATTCAACTCCATTGGACGTTACCACAACATCAGTACATCCAAAATAATCAATCCTTTTAGGGGTGAACAACTCAGAAGCCATGCCCTAGTGATAGTGAGATCGGCAGGGCAACTATTGGCCTCAGAAAATGAAAACACGGAATCTACGCCACGGCAGGTCTTCGTCCCCGTAAGCGGCATTCTGTTGGTTGAGGCCTCTCTTGCGATCGAACAATTGTCTTCGAGTCCAGAATTGTGATCTTGGATTGGTATTCGGATTTTTCAGTCTCTGTCCTGCAAAGTACTGCAGGAACTACGGCGACCAACTACGCAATACGTACTTCTTAGCATAGTTAGGTGCTCCATACTCCGTACAAAGTACACATGTTTTCTCTTCCTTGACATGGATGGGACCGCTTTTTCCGTGACAAAAGTCCAGCTGAAAGCTGAAACAAGCCACTTATCTCCAGAACTGCTCTCCATTATGTACTTGGATGCTCCGTACAGGAATGTGGAAAAATCTGCGTCAATGCTTCACATCCCCCTTAATACGTTGATTTACACGGAGAAGCAGTCTCTAGCTCCTATTGCTGGTTTTTCTAGCGATTTATTGACCACAAGGTGGCCCGGGGTCTGTTCTATAGTCCTCAACTCAACACACAGCCTTCCTCACTTCACACACCACTCAGTAACACATCTTCCTTCTCTCATCATCCATCATTTCCTCCCTCACGATCCAATCAATCAGCGAGAGCAGAAAGCAGAAAAAAAGAAGAAAAAAACATACAACAGCATTTCTAAGTTGATGGTCACCTAGCGCCCACCATTCGGACGTTGGCGGATCGCCGCTCTATTCAGCCAAACCAGCACCCATGGAGAATTTTTGGACGCCCTTCAATTAAAATCCCGTCCCCGTAAACAGGGGCCATTATTGCTATCAGCAAAATCCACAAACGAACACACCTCATTTGGTAATAGAAAAAACAATACCTGGTACGGGCACTTGAAATCGTGCACATGTGGCTATTCGTACCTGGTGAAGAGGGGAACGCTCTCAGCAGTACAATTAAGGTGCGCGAGTCGATCCATCTACAATGGACTCAAACCACACCGGATCTAACCTATGCGAGACCAAGCACTGACTCTAGGGTCCGACTGGAAGAGAAGGGGAGAAAAGAGTGTATTATAGAACTATGTGAAAGCTGGCCATCTTATAGTAAGCGCAGGGCGGGAGGAACAGAAGTCGACCCACCGGCGCCTGCAATTCTAGACTCGGAATTTCTAGTACCCAACATGATTCGAATGTTGAACAGCCCTCCCACTCCAAATTCCACTGCAACCCCATTTCAAGTTGGTATATTCATCAAGTTGTAGCCTTCACAATTCCAACCACGCCATAAACTAGTTCCCACTTCCTCCTTACATCTCCAGTCTCTCAGAGACGGGACGCCGGCACATTAGAATTTCCGCGTCGGGATTAGGGTAGATAAATTCATGTGCGCGTAGATTCTCAGGGCGCTGGCTCCCAGGCTTAAGTTTAAATTCAAAGTCCATCAGTAGACGGACAAGAATGACCTTGATCTCAAGACTGGCAAAGAAGCGCCCGGGGCATGCGTGTGCGCCGTGTCCAAAGTTCAGGATTCGGTCCTGGGTGGAAGAGAACTGGTGAAGATTGGATTCCCCCTCACGCTGACGGAGCTTGTAATACCGGAGGCCATCGAAGATCTCGGGCTCAGGGGTGACTTCGGGGTCATTCTGAATAGCGTTGACTGCCATACCGATATGGGCCCCCTTCGGCAAAACCATACCGTCCGACAATACCGCCTCTTCAAGAAGCACACGAAGCATGGCTAGGAGAGTTGGAGGATTGAATCTCTGGGATTCACGCATGAAAGAATCCAGCTTCCGGAGCTTGGAGAAGGCGGGTTGCTCCCAAGACATCCAAGGGCCCACTTCGTGGACCACCGAACGAATCTCTTCCCGAATTGGCTCAAGATATTCCGGATGCGCAAGCAGATCATATAGTACTTGGACTGTGTTTATCTGTGAGGTATTAGAGGCGAGTGACATCACGACCTCGAGATGGGCCAAGGTTGCGGGATCACTCTCTTGTGGAGTCGCAATCTCCATCATCCACGATAGGAAGTCAGGTTCATCCTCCCCTGGCTCCTTGATGCCCTGAGAATTCGTCCCACGACGACGATTAATTTCCGGAACAATTAGCTTCTTTGCCTTCCTGAGATATGCTGAGCCCTTGTATGAAGAAGGCATGAGCCAGTTCAGAAGCCCATGAGTCCACATTGGAAATAATCGAAGAAAGACCAAAGAGATGAAGACTAGTAGAATCTCAGTATTTTTAAAATTCACAAAATGTAACTTTCAGGCAGGTCATACCATTCTCAGTAAATTGGGTCGAGACCTCCAACCACTCTGGGTTGCGACAAATTGGCTTTCCAACAAAGATCCTAGCACTAACACGGGCTACAACGTCTGCAATTATATGGTGAGGCTTGATTAAGACCAGATTATCTAGATTATTCTCAACATTCAGCATTTATCATATAAAGGGAGCTCATCCATCAAGCACTGGCACTAACCCTCAGACTTTGTTAGCCCATGCTCAATGGCAAAGTTGAGCTCATCCTGCATTGGCTGCAGGAGAGAATTTAGATTTGGTGTTAGTTTACGCTGGATTGTGCGGAAGTGCAAGTTATAGTGCAAAATGATGTCCATATTTGTCGAAGAACCCATCAAGTTTTGAACGTGCGCTACAGTCGGGCTGGCAACATGATGTGGCAACTTGCGTATTTCGTCGACATATTTCGGAGGCAGCACCAGCATGTAGGTTCCAGCGCGGCGAAATTGGAAAATTTTGTCCCGAAACTGCCATTCTGATGAGTCTAAATCCAGTCACCTGGGTTCCAAAGAGTTCACTCACAGCGCGATATCCCTCCTGCAAAACCGTTCCTCCACTACGGAAGAACCTGAAGTTGGACATCATGATCGGCTCCCACAGTGATTTTACACCAACCACGGGGAACTTGTAGCCAAAGATGCTGGTCCAAGCAAATGAAAGACAGTAGGCGCCGATCAGTACAGCGGGCGCCGTAAAGGACCATGGAATCAAACCATCTTTCCTTACAGTGTAGGACTCAGGAGAAGGACCCCAGGGCTCTGTAGTGTTGGTTATCATTTTTCCACAACGTTGAAGCCACTGGCATGAAACGTTTGCAAAACAGCAAAGTGAGGAGTAGAAGGCGAAACCTGAAGAGAGTACGAAGGATAACCCCCCTTCCAATACCTTAGTAGATATCTGATTCAAGATCTACTGTGACGGCTGGGGCAGTAACACCTGCAGGTGGTCACAATCATTTGATGGTTGTATCTTTCACGTATATAAGATACATGGCTTTGTTAGTGCCTGGGACTACTAGTAGCTGCATGGGGGGGCCTAGTATAGACGTCAATGATCATTCTAGTTGACTGTTAAGGTTTGGACTTTCTTTGCCGCCAGGATGGCGCCCGGGCTTACCTCTTCACTTGTGACTTACCCTACATTAGCTCCATGCGAGAGCCAGAGGGACTCCAATGGGATCAATGCGGATTCTTTTATTCTTTTCATGATATCTTCCGGATAGGACGCCTGTACGGTGTATGGAGCTAATGTTTTTATTTTTGATACAAAAACTTTAGTGGACTTTATGCAGATTAAAAGAGAAACAAGTAGTATTTTCAGGTTGAAGATCTAGATAGTAAGGGAGGTTTGAACATTTGAAAGGGTAGGGAGAAAACAAGTCATAAAAAGTAAAATAACTATAGCAGACTGACAAAGAAAGTATCAAATCAGCTGTTACAAATAGAAGATTGATCCTGCATCTAACTAGCAATGCCCTGCGTAGCGTGGGTTTGTTCAATCAAATGTGAACATCAATGAAAGCTGGACTCTAGCTTGCACGGCCGTGGAGATGTCAATTTCAGCGAAGAGACTGGTAAAACACAGTTGTATGTATACTCTTTCTAATTCTGCGAGTTATATCAGGTCCTGCTTGCGACTGTTGCACCTCCCAGATGAATTTCAAGTAATCCCACAAATTCAAGACTATTAAGGTTCTTTTCCGCAGTATCTCGTCTTTGAGACCCGTAGTCAATTGTTGTGTTGGCACATAGTAGCCAGGTGAAGACCTAAAGCCCGCGCGTAAAACTTCGGCTTGATGGTAGAAATGCCAAAGTACCCCCACCCCCACTGATAAGACGACAGAAAAATGAAATTGAGTTAGTGCAGCTGGCGTTCCAATCTGTGTCAGCCGTCCGAATCAATCAAAATAAGAACGGGTGAAGGCACCACCTTCTGTATGTGCCTCGGGAGTCTCATCTGAGCATTCAAATGTTGATTAGCTGCCAGTGCCTATTCTAGGCCTACTGCAATATAGTCATGACTCATGCTCTTCAAATGTTTGACTCCACACGCATCATCGCGTGCAATTACCCAATAAGTGCGTGGCTGAATCGGAGGCCGGCTGGTCTTCCGAGTGATTAACATGACGGCCAAAACAAGATGGTTTCACTGCTCGCTTACAGCCTCATGGTCACACTGACCCGCGCTGTGCATGTAAACGAGGTACTAGCGGAATCCTTTTGTCATTTGATAGGATTTTTCATGTTGAGAGTGCTGAGTGGCATGGCCCTGAGACTTCCTAGCGACAAATTGGCAAGGATTTCTTCGTAGGTCTGTCAAATTTTACCAAGTCGGGTAATTAAAACGACGCGTTAGTACCCAGCCCTGGAGGTGGAGTTTGGCGATCAGAACTTCTTGGATATGGACCGTGGAGCGGGCCGTGGAGCCAAGCTCACCAAGCGCTTGAGGCACAGAACAAAGCCGTGCTTAACACCACTGAGCAGATCGATTTTTCAATATGCTCCCAATATGTCTTTTTTCTTTCTTTTTTTGCTTGATTCTTGCTCTCATGAGAATGAGTAAGGTTTTCGGGAAAAAAAAAGGAAGGTGGAGGGCCACCAAAATGCGCGGTATCCTTGGCAATTGAGAACAAAGAAAATACTAGGCCCTAAGAACACGGCTGAGAAATAATCCTTGTAGCTACCCCTCTTTTGGCTGTGTGATAGAAGATAGAGGGGAACTGATCCCCCTTATCAAATCTCTATGCATTCAAATGTTATTATGTATTTGTCTTTTACATAGCCCTCCCATTTGCCAATCATCAAGTCCTCACCTGCCCAGGTGCCTAGGTGGCCTTTGGCCCAATCAAGCTAGGCCGCTTTAGCCGCTGTACATACTAGCAGTCATATTATGTTGCATGCTACATATGAAAGGAAAGTCTCAAGGATGATGCGCTTCAATTGGACTAAATGTGCAAGCCTCAAGTGCCAGAGGAATGAGGCAGAACTTGAAGTAACCCGGGGTATTATCTCCCCGCTTCCTTTGACCTTTCAGGACTCGGAGTAATATTGATCACAGTGACTCTTCAATGTTACGTTCAAGATGTATGGGGGTATCTTTCCCGCTTCCTAGATAATAGTACAAAAGCCTGGGGCCCACTGGCAAGCCACACATGTGCATGTGCACACTTGTGGACGGCAGCCCTGGAGACAGTCATATATATGAATAGAACAACTTCAAGTTGGAAGCTTCTCTCGAATATATTCCTGCCAGGTCCACGGGTACACTACCCTAACCGGGCACTGGGAGGGGATATTGTGCCCGAGCTCTCCATCCACTCCCGATGTCTGTCATCACTTGTTTCGGGGGCACAGTTGTCGTAATTATGTTCAGTTAGGTGAGTTGGCCGCACTAGAAATTCAAATTTGCGTTCTGGAAAGCCTGCGACTTTTCTCTAGTATCCAAGAGCGCGTCTATCGTGATTGCTTATAGCGATTTGGATGAAAAGGTTGAAGTCTTTATTGGAAGTATGGGGACCGATTCAAACTCAACGGGACGCTTGGTATCCCTCGGCGGAAATACTGGGGCATTTAGTTTAGATTGCCATATTGGGCATGGACTTTTTTGGATACCGCTTGCAGATGTATTGTGCCATCACTTCTAGAGTGACGTGTAAGAAAATTTGCTCCGCTAGGAGAAAAATCCCTTGGGCCTGCGCGTCAGTCGCTAGGGTCTGGGCCGTTATAGAGTTCCCCGAGATCGAAGGTGCCATCATCTCCTGAAAAGTTGGAGGCATCTTCTTGAAGGATCAGAGCCTACTCCGAGATTAGCAAGAACAATCTTTAAATGGCGAGGCATCAACTGTACCATCACGCACATCGTAGACGTTATTCACCGCTTGGGAAAGCACTGTGACTGGTATTTTGGGACCGGAGATGTAGTATTGAGTTACTGGGGATGATAGACTTCAGATTGGTTAAAGATTCAAGTTGTAAAAGGTATCGATATATAGATCTACTCCGCAGTGTGACACTCCATGACTGATGTTTATTTCATTGTAAACCTGGGGCCATCACTGACATAGACCTAGAGGTCTAGCTGTAGCCATTCCTGGTAATCCCGACAGCATTAATTGCCATGAGGAGTTTGGCATGAATATCCCGGTACTTGCCTAAACAAGTAATGAATATCCCGACGCGACGCACACGCAGGTAATAGGTTCGGCATTTTGCAGGGAATGACCTCAGGACTAACTAACAGGTAATAGTCTCACGCTGATTTTAAGAATCCTTTGCCTAAAGATGGTTGGGTCTGGCGAGACCATCACCGCGTATATTCAGCGAGGGGGAGAAAATCGAGATGAACTTGACACCAAAGACATCGAAATTTGGCTAAGGAGCCGAGTTACCAGCCATAAAATTCCTGATCGTGTTTTTTGGACGGGAGAACAAGCAGGAGTCCCATATAAATTACCCGTAAACGCCACTGGGAAGATTCTGAAGACTGAGCTAAGTACCACATGTGCATTGAAATTAGGTTGCTGAAAGGCATCACGATGTGAGAATAAGTACTTCCTTTCAATAGATCAATCGACTTGAATATTTGTACAGATGACATACTTGAAGAAACAGAATACGGAAGTACTCAGTTTAAAATATTCATATGTGCAGATACAGGATCGTCCAGATGTCCTGTTCAGACATGCCTTAGGCACCTACGACCCCGGTGCGCTTGTTATATTTTGCTGTTGCTGTCTATTTCTCTCTCTCCTAGATACCATCTACCACCATCTTGTTTGATCCCATCCCCCACATCGACCGCCAAGATACGATTTGATTGATTGCTGGCCATTTCGGGAAATTCATTACCCTTTTGGGTAATACTTGGCTTGAATTTCCCGGACATCGACGACGAACCCCCTGTTGACAAAGCACGAAATAAATGAAGGAGACTATGCACGCTGAATTCCTGCAGCTCAGTAGCTGTCAAGAATATTAACAATGGAGGACGAAAAAAAAAAGATGAAGTCCAAGGCCAGCGCCAGGTAGTATATCGTGGCTTTTGTGGCAATGCGGCCCGCAATAGAACAATTTAAAGGCCACAATCGAGCACCCTACAACAAATGCAAAATTTACGAGCACGAAGAGTGATCAGACAGTCGACGTCGAACACAACACCGCTATGTCTACCACGGATGGAGAAAATGAGAAATCTTCCAATCCTAACGAGGTGGATTGGGATGGCCCCGACGATCCTAAAAACCCACGCAATTGGCCGACTTGGCGACGGTCAATGCTTGTCGGTGTCATCACCTGTGTTGTGTCTTGACGTGAGTAGAGGTATACCGCGCTCTTTGCATAGGTTTTGAATTAAAACTCTCCTAGATCAATAGCCTCGTCCGCAATTGCTCCGGCCATTCCCCAGATCCTGAAAGAGTTCAACTCGACGAATCAGGAGATTGGAGTTTTAGCAGTTACAATCGAGGTTTGTGCTTTAGCAAAACCAGTATGTTTGAAAAGGGCTAATGGATTAATACTGGTAGCTTCTAGGAACAGGTGTCGGCCCTATCCTGATGGGTCCCATGTCCGAACTTGTTGGTCGTCGAGTGATCTACAACGGTGCAAATATTGGATTCAGCGAATTCTCGCTCGGACGTGCCCTCGCACCGTCTCTACCTGGATTGGTGATTATGCTTTGCAAAGATGCTCTGCGTCCTGCTCCATGAATAATGCCGGCGGAATGATTTCAGACCTTATACCTATCCACCGAAGAGGCTTCGCCATGTCAATGTATTCAGTTGGTTTCCTGCTGGGACCTGCTGTTGGCCCGATTGCCGGTAGCCTTTTGGCAGCAGCAGCCGGATGGCGATGGGTCTTTTGGTTGCTGTTAATTCTTGTGAGTCTATCTTGCATTCACTTTGCTTAATGTTCCGAATCATTGACTCGGCCAGAATGGCACCACGGGAGTTATTTGCGCCCTTACATACCGCGAGACATATGAGCCCGTTCTTCTCGAGTGTAAGGCAAAGAGGCTGCGCAAAGAGACGGGGAACCCAGCTCTTTACGCCAAGGGCGCTCGGAAACGCCCAGCAAAGGTTGCTCTACAATAGGCACTCAGTCGCCCTATTAAGATGTTACTATTCTCTCCGGTAGTCACAGCGTTGGCGACATACAATGCCGTTGTATACGGTTTCACCTACCTTCTCTTTTCCATATTCTCAGATTTCTTTGAGGGACAATACAATTTCAGCCAGGCAAGGCTTGGCCTGGTATATCTGGGACTGGCAATTGGGTTCCTTATTTCGTTGAGCATTGACAGCTATGCAAATGATGCAACCCACGCGCGCCTTACCAAGTAACATGGAGAAGCAAAGCCAGAGTGAGCTGAAATTCTGAATCAATTTTTAAACTCTGTACTAAACTGAGGAACTAAAGATATCGATTAGACTCCTTGATATATGGGCCATAGCAATTCCCGCCGGCCTCATATTCTATGGGTGGACAGCCGAAAAGCGGGTCGATTCCGTCGTTCCTATTGTCGCAACGGGTTTAGTTGGGGTTGGTGTCATGTTTACGTTTTTTAGTTGCATTCCGAACCCAGAAGACTCAAATTCTGATTGTGAAAGATTCTATTCAACGTGTACATGATCGATGCATACACCAAGTATGCAGCTAGTGCTATCGCTGCCGGGAACATCTTGCGAAGCATGTCAGCTGCGCTACTACCACTCGTTGGAATTCCGTTGTATGACAGACTTGGGTATGGATGGGGAAATACTCTTCTTGCGTTCATTTCACTCGGATTGGGAGGGATGTTCTTTTTGATCCGCAAGTATGGAGAGGAGTGGCGGAACAAATTTGCTATTCAGTTTGACTAGGAAGCCAGATTTCTTCCCCGTGTTTTATAACAGGGTTTCTAAAACTGGCTCCAATCAACCTGACTCCAGATCTCCTCGGCACTGACCAATCTGTCTTTGACGTTTTCGAGTTCACGAGAATCAACCATAACATCACGATCTCCGACAGTTCCCCACATCTTTGGGGGGCCAGCTACTTCCCAAAACTTCACCATAAGACCCAACTCAGTTCCCCACATACCGTGAAGCCCTTCAAATTGCTCGAAAGGAATTGATAGAACCTGAATCTTGCCTTTTCCAGCTATCATTGCCCATTTCGAGAAATAATCTTGAAGTTGGTATTTTCCCGTCGTGACGTGAACATATCTACCTCCCTCTGGACTACCTGCGGCCTTCGGATATGGGTGTTGCAGAAGACCGCTGACGGTGATGCCAATGTTACTCACTGAGCCCAGTGAGGGAAGATAAGACGAGGACCGTGCTGGGAGGGCAAGAATATATTGTCCAGCAGGCTTCTGTTATTTTAAATTTTTAGTTAGCAGGCAAGTTCGGCAGATTAGAAGAGAAGGAGAATCCATACCGAGTAAATGGGGGTAAAAGGCGGGTAGCCAAAATTAGACGCATAGAACCCCGTCAAAAGAAAGATTGTCTTTGCGTTCAAGACAGAGTCATTCTTGATATATGCATCGATAGCCCCTTTGGCATCGAAATGCGGAACTTTCACCTCGCCGTTCGTCAAGTCGCTTGCAGCTGGTAACGTACTCCAGAAATAGAATTCCAGAGTTGTTGTTTTAGCAGCTGCACGGGCCAACTTCACGCCTCGTTCGTACTCGATTTGCATGGCCTTCTCGGGGCCGATCTCTGTCGCAAATGGCTCATAGAAATCTGTAACTGCGAAGATGGCGTTGGCACCAATGAAGGCATTAGAAAGACTATCTTCATCATCCATGTTGGCGGCTACCATCTCGATGCCACGATCCATGAGGGCTTTGGCCTTTTCGCTGTTGGTATTTCGGGTAAGACCACGGATTTTCCAGTCGGGGTTCGAGGCGAGGGCGTCGATGACGCCCGAACCTTGCATGCCGGTTGCGCCAGTGACGACTATAAGCTTCAAGTTGGACATATTTTCGATGACTTGGGTGGGTGCTTTTGACAGTAGGGACCCTTCAAACTATGGAGTACTCGATGTAGTAGATTGAATTTTCTTTTACAGAGTACGGCTGACTGGGTATTCTTGTAACCTTCTCCAGAGCACATAAATTCTTACTATAAGAATTCTGTATTTTGGATACAGTAATCAGAAAAATTTCTCACTTTTTGCTTTCCAACCTCAAATGTTTGGTGACTACTCTGATTGGTGCTCATGGAGCGACGCGGACGCGGGCTTGCATAGTGCATACCGAAATTCCCGCAGTACCGCAATTGACCGCAATCCCACGCGAATTCCGCAAATCCCCGCAAGCCCGGGCCAGTTAACCGATACTTTAAAGATCCCTAGTTCAGAGGCGCCATGCTAACGGGCAATTGAGGCCGTATTTGTCACCACAAATATTCCAGATGCTAAACAATCCGTCCCTATAGCGATAGCACTTAGGTTAAGTCTCTACAATAACGAAAGTCCGCGCTCGTCCAATGGAGGGAATCTATCTTTTTGAGATACCGTATTTTTTAATATTTCAATAAAGATAAGTATTTTCTAATTTTATTATAGTATTTTCTGGGTATCTAAGCTTTATAAGTCTTTCGAAATTTTATTTCAAGATACAGGTATCAGGGAAGATACCGTATCAATTATATTGTTAAATTTTAGAAGGACCACCTAGGTATGTAGTCTGTAGGTGTCTTGCTGAAATATATATAATGAGATTCTTATACTAAATTTTTCTTTGGCTGTATTACTCAGTATTATCTAGTATTTTTTGGTATTATCTAGTATAAATGAGTATCTTTATAGATATTAATGGAGATTATCTTAAGATATCTTTATATATGAGAATTTGAATCTTTATAGATTAAATACCTAGATAGTGTAGTGGTAAGACTAAACTTGTAAGGTAATAATAAAATATACAAGTCATAGATTCGATTCCTTATATGAGTAAAATAAAAAAGAAAGAAAAAATAAAAAAAAATTAAAATTTTTTTTTTTTTTAAATTCTTTTTTTCTAGATCTTGATTTGGTATCACCTATGGACTACTATGAGCCACGGTATATAGTCTATACACTCTTGGGTACAGTATCATTTAGGATATTGGTATTTTGAAGTATTAATTTAGTATCTAGAATACTCAAATTCCCTGCATTGTCCGGTTCTGCGGTCTGCGACCTAGAATAGCTGCTAATATGTTACAAAGAAATTAGTCTATGATTATTTCAGAGCTGCTAGTGCACATGCAGTCATCATCGGGGGAAAGCCATTGGAGATTATTAATCACTCCGCTGCTACCTACCTCCGACTCAGAGGTAAAGCACAACTCGACAATGTGGTCTGCAAGTGAGCATGCTATATAAGGTAGCTCGGAAGCCCGTTCATAAAGGGAGAAGGCATACTAAATACATACATTCTTATTCACTTGAATTTGACAAGATCTTCAACTCCCAACATGGAAAACCAGAAATTGATCCTCGTTATTGGAGGAACCGGTGCACAGGGTAGTTCTGTCGTCAAGGGTACGTTCTCCACCTGCATAGTCTAGCTCTCTTCGTCCTCTAACGGCCTTGTAGCACTCGCCGCGAGTGGTCGCTACAGTGTTCGAATTCTGACTCGAAACCCATCTTCAAATCAAGCTACCAAACTAGGTGCTCTACCGAACGTGACACTCTTGCAGGGTTCACAGGATAACCAGAAGGACCTTCACACTGCGTTCACTGGTGTCTACGGAGCATGGGTCAACCTAGATGGATTTACAATCGGAGAAAAGAGCGAACTATTCTACGGTGTCCGGGCATATGAAATTGCTCGTCACCAGGGTGTCAAGCATTACATTTTTGCAAACTCTGACTACGCCTTCCGAAAGGCTGGGTGGGACGAGAAGTACCACTGGGGACATAACGATGCCAAGGGTCGTGTCGGCGATCTGATTTTGAGTCATGGACAATCCACCATGAAGACTTCACTTTTGACCACGGGACCGTATATGGATATGCTCTTTGATGGAATGTTTGTTCCTGAGGAACAAGCCGATGGGTCATTTGTCTGGGAAAATCCTGCTGGTGAGTTTCCCACTTGTCTCATTTAATATTTACGAATTGACTAATGAACGGTTCCCGAGTAGCGGGTGGTAAAATCCCACTCATTGCTCTCGATGATGTTGGCGCCTACAGCTTATGGATATTTGACAACCCCTCTGAGTCCGCTGGGCTCGATCTCGAGGTTGCGACAGATCAAGTCAGCTTCGCTGAGATTGTGGCCATATTTACCAAGGTGACTGGGAAGCAGGGTATACACAGAGTTCTGCCTCTGGAGGAGTATCTAGCCAAGGCAGAGCCGTACCCAGGAGCCTATTCAAACTGGGCCGTCAAAACCGATGCGCCTCGCGACGAGTCATTCATGACCTGGCGTGAGAATTTTGCGGCCTGGTGGCGTTATTGGGGCGAGGGAAAAGGAGCTACCCGCAGCATGGAGTTCCTTGATCGTATTCACGGCTCTCGTATTCCTAGTTTGGAGGCATGGATGAGATTGAAGAATTATGATGGTCGCCCTCAGTCTGTCTTGAAAGATCTTCATGAGCTGAGAAAGGGCGGGGTGACCAGCGAGTAACTCTGTGGTCATTACATCCATGGATAGAGTCATTCAAGTAACTAAAGCTTATAGTTATACTACGTCGTGTTTGATGGTTCAAACGGAGTTTCGTGCTCCGAACTGTGTGTCATACCCTTCATTTGTAACTACCATGAACAAGGTGAGCGCTCGTTGGCATCACGCTCACGGGCGCGAAGGTCGATTCAGCTGAGGACAGAGGATACAACTTAAACAAAGTTCGTGCATGGATCTAGAGATCTCGATTCTGTCAAGTTCACAAAGGAGCGGATAAAATGGTAAAATATCTGCAAGTAACTATAAAGAGAAATAAAACATATTCTCTCCTTCATAATAATAGTTCGAGTTAATCAGGACTCCTCCCCACAACACTAGGTAGAATATCATCAATAACGTACCCGCAACTATGATTAATCAATATATGCATTTTGATACTAATTCCAGATAATTTCGTTCTCCCTGGCCACTATCGACATATTTCCTCTGTGATCACCTCTCTCGCCACTTCTCATAGCTATATCACTGTTAATCAATTATATATGAATCTATCAATCACACAATCTCAAGTGCTATCTATATTACGCCCTCTACATAGGTATAAGCACTGCACTACACGCATTTCTCTCTCTTTATATTCATAATGAGCTCACCAACTTCACAGGAAGGTTAGCTTAGCCCCATAGATAAAGCAACCAGCGAAATCAATCAACAGTGCATTAAGAACTCAAGTAAATTATTTCTATATAATCTCCATCCAATATTCTTTGCCGTCAAAACTACGCAAACATCCTCTGTCCACGTTCAAAGATCCGTTTCACCTGATTCTTATCGCTAAAGCCCACCGGCCCCATCACAGTCGAATCGAAAACCTTTCGAGGCCCTATGGCATTGAGCAACCAAACAATGAAGGCATTTGTCCCTTTCCAAATATAGCTGACTTCCTTTGTTCCGAGAACGTCAGGGACAACCTGCTTAGCCAAAGCGGCTGGTGTGATAGAGGCTTTCGCGCTTTGCTCGGTCCTCTCCTTAACCTTAACCTCGGCGTCGGCATACAAACTGTCCGGTCTGAAGTTGATACCGTCTGCCGATCGAAGCTTGGTAGAGACTTCGCCCATAAAAAATGTGACGACTCGAATGCCAAGAGGGTCCATTTCAAGCCGCAATGTATCAGAGTAAGCGGATACTGCGGCCTTTGTCGCATTATATGCAGACGCAAAGGGAAACGGAAGCCGGGCCAGTATCGAAGCAACGTTGACGATTGTTGGTTTTGAATTCGGATTGCGGGCCTTAGCAGCGATCAGGAGAGGGGTGAAAGCTGTCACTATATCGAATAGACCGAATACATTTGTGTCGAACATTTTCTTCACTTTCGTGGGATCGGCCTCTATGGCGGGGGCCTCGTACACTGGGTCCGAATTTAGCAAACCGCGAAAGGCCGAACGCAGGAAGGATTCAGGTTTATAATAAGAAAACTTACTGGAGCCAGCATTGTTGTATAAGATGTCGAGAGTCCCGCCGGTGCGTTTGGTAATGTCGTCTTTCAACGCTAGAATGCTTTCTGGAACGGTAACATCCAAAACGAGGGTCTCAATTCCACTCTGCGAAAGGTTGCTCATCGACTCGAGGGAACGAGCAGTTGCAAATACTCTCAGACCCTGGGCCGCAAATTCCAATGCCAAGGCATTTCCTGCCCCGCCTTGGGAGCATCTTCATAGAGTAAGCCTGGGGATTTGTAGAAGGAGAAACTAGGCTTGACATACCCAGTAATCAGGATAGATCGATTTTTAGTTGGTGGAGACATAGCTGGAGATCGAGGGGAATTGAATTAATGATGAAGAGAGATGAATGGAACGCAGGTGGAATCTTTTATAATGGATGTGATTGAACAAAATGCCAGGTATTCGTAAGGGGTAGATCCGAGGCAAAGATCGCAGAAAGCCCGCAAGCCCGCAAGCCCGCAATGACACCCGCATTTCCCGTCGGCTGACCAAGACGCATTTTTCAATCCGAGACCGATAATAATCATCAAGATTTGTAAGAAATCGTGGCACTATAGAAATAGTATCGTGGAGTAACGACTGCCACAAGTATATTCCGTTGATGGTGAGAAACGCGAGTCGTATCAGTGAGAAAAATGTTCGATAATCACGAATAGTAAGCCTAAAACGACCCCAGTGAGGGTAAAAGTAATCAAAAATTGGCCATTCAGCAAAAAATTTTCATCTTTATTTATTAATCACAAAAGATTCAAATGTTATAACGGAGATTTAAAATATCTAATTTGCGGTCTCAGCACCGAGGATCGAGTGGCCGTAGTAACTGAACCAGTGGCCCCTTGTTTCATGCTTACACATCCGCTGAATTCCTCTCAGAGTATTATCAGCTAAACCTTTTCACATATAGAAGTAACGGCACACTTATACGGCCCACATTTCTCGGGGACAGGAACCAAGGTACAATTATCGGACATGCGGAGTATTCTACATAGTCTTTCAGTTAAGCCGCCGATTGTATTACGAGAAATATCATATAGAGCGGATATGGATGTGAATGAACTAGAATATACTAGAGTTAGTCTTTCGTAATTCGACAGCAATTCAAGTACCTATACGCCTGGGCATATATTAAGCGGGTATACCCCTGATCTCCACTACCACTTTGCGCGGCACAATATCAGTAGTATTTATATCGCATCCGCTGCTAACAGGGCCTCCTTCGCATCTAAAATGCTATCATAAACTCCTATCTTGATATTAGACACTCATCAATTCAGGCTGCTTTTCGGAGAATTCACCAGATAGTGGCCAGCGGTTTCGTATATGCTGCAGTAGCCATCTCAACAAAGTCATGCTTTCCTTCATTTCTGCCGAGGGGGGTTCCTTTGCCCATAGTCATGATTGCCGAAGCCCCTTGATACGCAACACCCGCCAGAAAGAATGTGCATTGGCCGTTCTGCAAGTCCAACATATTAGACTTCTGTCGGAGAGCAGATGCAATTTGGCAAAGCGTGTTGATGGCATTATGGGTCTCGACAAATGTATACTGCTGCAGCTCTTCCTTAGATCGTACCTGTAACTGCGCCCAGTAACTGTCTTGAAGGAGGAAGACACCGCTGCCAAAATGGGTAAGGAGTTGTGTTTTCTCTTTTGCTCAGATAAATCCGATTTCTTACCTGTAAGAAACCAGGCTTTGACAGCAAAATGCCAGCCTGCGGACCGTAATTTCCATTTCATTGGCACGAACCAAGGCTTCGAGTGTGCGACATAGTTGGGTTGTTTCTGGTGATATAATACTCTCATTGCGGGCGATGGAGACTACGGAAAGAGATCTGATCATAGCAAGGGCCTGGCTGATCAGATACGTTGCCTGAGCTAGTCTGCCGAAATGACCAATTTTGAATATGAAACCCTGGCACATGGGAACTGCTTCATCCGGCTGTGTGGTCTAGATGTAGGTCAAAGTCAGAAAATGTTTCTATACGCTGGGAAGTTTTAGATAAAGAATTATGTGTCTTACCGCGTCATAGAACTTATCATCATCGACGGGGAGAAAATCTTCGAACGCGGGGTCTTCGGTTGCTAAGACTCGAGAAGGATTTGCGAAGTTCAAGAATCTGTATTGGAAATGCGTCAACAGAATATATCGCCAGGGATCTCGAATTTCCATGTTTTTAATGGAGGTGAAAGCCCTGGAGGGAAATTAAATATGAACTGACGAACCGATCCAAAGTTAAGATAGCCCACCAAGCCCTTCGTCTCTCTTCAATCTCCATCCAGGACGCCATACGACCATAGCGTCCGCCCATACGATCTTTGTTGATCTTGTCCAGACCCATAGCGATACCATATCGGGCACAAACTCCGACGGTCAAATAAGCGGCCGGGTAGATCGCATCTCCAATCTCAAAAATAGCAATGAGTACGGCCGCCTGTAAGACTTCAACACACAGTTCCTGCGTGCTCTCCACATCCGAGTAGAATTTCTTGACTAATTCGTATAATGTGGCCTTTTTAGGGCTTTCGTCGTCATTTGCTGATAGGCAACATAGCTTCATGCACAGAGCTAGTAAAGCCGTCCGACGTCGGGATGGGGATAATGGATTGAGGATAGCAGCTAAATAACGCTTCCGGCTGACTATCGGTAGCCACGCTGTCTGGAAAAACTTGGAAGCTGTCTCCCGAACCTGGTGATTATCGCCGAGGTGAAAGGCAACTTCGTCCGGAACGCTTACATCCAGGCGAGGGATTTCTAATCGAGCCTCGCGGAAGATATCGGGCGCGAGGAAACTAATGGCGGTGGTAACAGCAAATGGAGACGGAGGAGAACAGGCAGACTGATACTGAGATCCGGTACTCCTGTACACTACAGCAGGTGCGTATGGTGAATTAGGAACTGTGCCATAATCCGATCCCTGTGCACTGCGGGTAGGCGAGGCGGAGCGTTGGCCGCGTCTGCGGGGATAGCTGCACTTCAACCCTTTTTGAATACAAAGCTGACATGTGGGTAGATTCTTGTCACAGCGTCGCTTACTGCGGCGACAGGAAAAACATGAAGCGAGGGCGTGGGACATCATAAGCTAGGATGTCAATGATGTTGTTGCTAGGGGGGGTTCGGTGTTTGCGGAGGTTTGCGGGATTTGGTTGTTTCTGGCGAGGTTGCGGGCAGGGCCCAAAAGTTAGGCCCAAGCCCGGTCCCTATATGCAGATGCCAAGAGACCGATCGTTTCAAGGGGAGGCTTTGGACCAATAATATTTAAAAACACTTAGCTGAAAGGGGTTAGTGCAGTTGTCGCTAAACAGAGTATGATTCTCACCCCGGCTTACCCCATTCTCACCCTGTCTATTCCGCACTCACCTTAGTCACCCGAGTCGCGCGGCGCTAAAGCGGCGCTCACCCTATTCTCACCCGGGCTGCACCCACAGCACTACTGTCTGTAGTTTAGCCACATACTAAACGCATTTAATTCTCAAGAAGCCCCCAGCCTTAAAACAGTACTATGTTTTGTGTTAGGGTGAGTAAGGGTGATATAGGTGAGAATGCTGGAGACTGGGGGTGAGAGAGGTGAAAACGGGGTGAGAGGACCTACCGTACCTAGTGTAGTGGGGATGTATGGCATCCCACTACCGGGCGCACGTGACCTCGTATGTCCCGGTACGCCCGCCTGTATGCTACTACACCTATAGAGTGGCCACCGGCCCATAGAGAAGAACACACACTCCTACACCTCTCTGATAGCACCCTCCCGGTTGCTACCTAGTATACAGCCCGCTGTTTATTAGGTGCTGTTGGTAGTATGCGCCCGGTGCCTTCTGCACGTGTATTTTGATTACACATCACTACGTTTCCCATTTCACTAGGTAGTACTCGAATTTTAGATAAATACCAACTTAATGGTGCTTATTAAGGTTGGCCTGCTGTTTCTTTTTTATTTTCTCTCTTATATAAAAGATGATGCTCCTAGAAAATACATAAAAAAAAGCTTGCCGAGGGAAACGCTTGTGCTGTATTATATAGATTTACCCTTGACTATTAGAATAGGTGGTAACAAGAAGAAAATTCTATTTAATGTAAAGAGCCAGTGCTAGCTATGCTTTAGAATTATGAAAATACTGTATTAAACTAGGTATTGTGACTAGTCCTATTAAAATTTATGTTTTTATTATGAGTTGTCAGCAGATCAGGCCAAATATCACATGACCTGACGGCTTATCAGCCAACTGGCCTCCCAATGTCTAACATTCATCGTGTGATCAAACTGCCCAGACAGAATGGTCAGAATCCAGGTAACACAAGAGTGTATCTAAACATCAAAAGGCCACATGGTGGAATTGGTTGATTCAGGTGCCCCTCGCAATGTAGGATCCGGTCTCCCTCGCTTTCCAAGTATTTCGCACATGGATAACAAAATTAGAGAAATGTACGGATAATCCTGTGATGTGCTCGGCATCCACTTCGAAGAACTAAATACATGCTGGTGAATGAGCGTCCTTATATATCCAGTCCTTCCGTTCCTTCTTTGAACAGATCCCTTATCAACGCTTGATGTTGTTATCATCCCGTGATCATTTCTGGTCCAATCCTGTCCTGATCCTTCAGATCAATGACCCTCTTTCCATGTCCCAGTTGGTTGGCTCTCGTATGTCCATTTTTGACATCCCACCAGGGTCCGTAACAGCTAGAAATCAGCGCCCACGTTAAGCAAGTGCGTGACCGCCTCGTGTCCGCGCTCGGTGGCCAAGTATAGTGGCAACATGCCACCCGAGGTTTTAGCCTCCTTGTCAGCTCCCGCGGCTATCAGTTCCCGCGCGATCGCCTTGTGCCCGTGCTCGGCGGCCCAGTGGAGCGGCGTCTTGTCACACGCTCTAGCTTCCTTATCGGCGCCTCCGGCGAGCAGCCTCCGCACGACTGCCTCGTGCCCATCCTGAACGGCCCAGAGTAGCGGCGTCATGCCGTGCACTCTAGCCTCCTTATCGGCGCCCCCGGCGAGTAGTTCTCGAACCATCCCCTCGTTCCCGTCGCTGGCGGCTCTAGCTAGTGGCGTCCAGCAATAGCCGTCCATAGCCTCCGTATTGGCGCCTGCGGCGAGTAGTTCCCACACGATTGCCTTGTGATCGCGCTCAACGGCCCGGTGTAGCGGCCTCCACGTACAGTCATACCTAGGTTGAGCCTCCTTATCAGCCCCCGCGGCGAGCAGCTCGCGCACAACTTCTTCATGCCCGTTCTCGACGGCCCAGTGTAGCGGCCTCCAGCCATCTGAATCTTGAGTCTCTTTTTCGGCACCCTCCTCGAGTAGCTGCCGTGTGACTGCTTTGCGCCCGTACTTAGCAGCCCAGTGCAGGGGCGTACAATTTTTCCAGTCTTTAGCCTCTTTTTTGAGCAGCGGCCGCATTGCAATTCGCAGCTCATACCCATGGCGGGTGCCCTCGTGCAGCGGCGGCTTACTATTATTTGGTCTGAAATTAGCGCCTTTTTTGAGCAGCTGCCGAATCGTAGTTTGGAGCTCGTTCTCTGCCGAAAATTGAAGTGGTATCCAGTTCTCATTCTTTCTTGTGCAATATCTTATTTCAGCACAGACAGTTGTTACACGAGAAGAATATTATGGTCGGCGTGCTATTATACAGCCTGGAAATCGTGAATGGGTGACTGTAATTGAAGCTATCTGTGTAGATGGCTATTCATTACCACCATGTGTGATTTTCAAGGGAAAGGTTGCTATCGCTAGTTGGTTTGATAACCTACCAAAAGACTGGCGATTTGAAGTCTCAGCTAATGGCTGGACTACTGATGAGATTGGTCTACGTTGGCTACAAAAGCTATTCATCCCATCCACAAATTCACGTGTCCGTGGTCGTTTTCGGCTATTGATTCTTGATGGCCATGGAAGCCATCTTACACCCCAATTTGACCGAATCTGCACTGAAAACAATATTATCCCACTCTGTATGCCTGCACATTCATCACATCTTTTACAGCCACTAGATGTTGGTTGTTTTGCAGTCCTCAAACATGCATATGGTCGCTTTATAAGCGACCTTGCGCGTACAGGCTATAACCATATCGACAAGCTTGATTTCTTAGCTGATTATCAACGCGCCCGCCTTGAAGCTTTTCAACCAACTATTATCCAGAATAGCTTTTTAGCTACTTGTTTAGTCCCAATTGATGCTGAAAGAGTTCTTTCTAAATTGAATATTTCTCTACGGACACCTACACCGTCAAACAGCAGGCCAGGCAGCAGATCTAGTGAATTTACACCTAAAACGCCTAGAACTGTGGTTCAGCTGCAGAAGCAAGCTTCAATGCTTAAAGATCTTCTAAAACAGCGATCAAACAGCCCTCCAAGCCCATCGAAATCGATGCTAGATCAAATCATCAAAGGCCACTGTATAGCACTACACAACACAGCGTTACTAGCACAAGAAAACGCTAATTTACGTGCTACAAATGAGAAGAAACGACAAAAGCGCAGTCGATCAACTAGGCTGATACTATGTGATGAGGGTCTAACAGTCGAAGAGGGCTTACAGCTAGCTCAGCAGCTATAATCGATGGATAGAGCTGCTGGTATCGAACCAGACACACAAGCTGAATCACCTATTCAGCCGAATCAGCCACGTCCTAAGGCTCCACCAACGAGTAGTGGGTGTCGAGAGGTTGGCCATCGGATTAATGTATGCAAAAATCGTATTTATAACTGAATTTATTGTTGTTGGTTAAAGTATTTGAATTTAAAATTTTGTAATGGGGTATGGGGTATGGTGTACGGCTCGCTTGTGTGTACGGCTCGCTTGTGGATTACGTTACAATAACAGCTTACATAAGCTCATTACGTGATCCACCAGGTCTGACAAGTCCTCGCCCCTCCCCGCCCCCCCTACCCCCCCCAACGCTCCATACTAGCCAACTGGTCCAATATTGATGCGCTTAAGTGAAATAAACTTGAATTTCATTCAAAAATGTCTAGGTGGGTATAGAAGAATAAGACTTCCAAGTCAGTTCAACCATTTCTGTGATTACGATAAACCAACCGTGGAAGGTTCCAACATTTCAATAGGAAACTAGGTAGTTTCCTATTTTCAATTTTTTGACTGATAAAAAATAATTCAACTGGTGACATCTGAGGCTTTTTTTTTTTGTTTTTCTTTTTGAAAAAATAAAAAAAATAATGGCTGTGTAAAAAGTGTTCAATGTGTTACTACGGAGTAGTATCAGCAGAAGCGGGTGTAGGCTTACCCAGTCACTGTAGGACTTCGGCGGCTTTTTGGCCCGCTCATCTATTTTCTCCTTTCAAATGTTCTCCAACATCAGCCAAATTTCTCCCAATGGATGACAACCGACGAGTACGATGCACTTACAAGACCAACGCTGGCGTCATTCAACTTGATGTCCGCAATCTTTCAGGCACTTCTTCACGGCGCCTTTTCACGGACCAGAGACCACCAAATGAGAAAATCCCGCGCCGCTCCGCATTTATCGATTGCGCTTTACACCCAGTTTTAACAAACCAAAATGAAAAGAATGACTTACTGTCGCAATCTATTCAAAAGGCAATGCTGTGGAAGAAAAGGTACGTTTAAACCTCTTCTCCCTTGTGGTCTCAGAAATCGAAGAATTAAAAAGGGTATATATACTGACTCCAATCATGTATAGGTGTTGGGATGAAGTCCATCAGATCACAGAAAATGACCGATTCTGTCTTGACCGGGTGTTTGTCAACATCCATCTCCCCTATATCTACCTTGGCTGCTTCATAGTACCTCCAGCCGAAGAGAAGATAATAGACCTCGCTACTGCTGCTGCCCATCGGGACTTCCAAGTTCTGGACTCTGTGATTACCCTTTTACAGAATCACTTCCCATTCTGCAAATGCATCCATCTGGTTATAAAAACCATTACGGATCAAACCGTGGAGGTCATCCCTTCACTTGCCGGCTTTGAAAACGTGAGAAATCCGTATTTTTGGGACGACAAGGCTTTGACAAGGGTGGTCGAGCTCCTCGAGGGCAGGGTATTACAGCGCGTGGATGAATTATATCGCTCAATGATCCAGCAACAGCCACAGCTGTTGAAGGCAGAATATATGCGCGAGGGCCTGTGGTTTTTGCCGTCTTTATGGGAGCCATTTGAGAAAGCTGCAAGAAGCAGAAACGCAATTATACGAGATGGAGGCGTGGAGAGGTCAGAGATTGCCGTTTGGCGGCCAGTGGACAATTTGGATACTACAGAGATAAAGCGTGAGGGCGACGCAGGGTATTATGTCGCAACACATATGCTGGACGTGTACGAATGGGGAGGGATGGAATTTGTCTAAACCTTGAAATCTTAAAATGGAAAAGGGATATCAGAAAACATGTTTAGTTTGAACTAAACAACTGGAGAAGTCTTATTACAATTCAACATTTGTATGTAACATACTACATTGGTAGCCATCAGCGATAGCGGTAACAGATATGATTGCTACAGAGAATTGTTTCCTAGTCAAATGGAAGGATTGGCCATCAGAATATAACCAATGGGTCCCAGAAGAGGACATGAACGCGGGCGCAATGATCAAGAAGTTTAGAAAACAGAGGAAGAGAAAAAACTGAGCACCAAAGGACATGCCACCGAAAGGGCACCGAGACGGTACCCTAAGAGAGGGAGACATATAACCGTCAGATAGAAAAAAAAAGAAAACCAGAATAGAAAAAAGAAAACCAGAAAACCCCCCTAGATCACTGACGTCCACCGGAGGTGTGTATCCCGAATAGCTTCGCCGATAACTTGGGTCCCGCCAGGATCAGCCACGGCAGACCAAGCGACCTCCATAAAGAAACTACGTACCCCAGCATTCCACTGCAGAAAACCCTTATCAGAAGAGTTTGACCGTGGGAGGAATTCCCGCTCACGCGTGGAAGCTGAACCGAAATGGGCAGGGGAAACCCCCAGGCATCCGGGTCCGAACCTCTAGAGCTTTTAACTGATTTCGATGGCGTTTCTGCACTCGCTGGGCGTACTGGTAACGTTGTGAACGATCCTCGACATTCTTAGTCGTGGAGAAGCCGTGGTCCTTCCCATGGTCAATCACTAGCTTCTGGAATACGTGCGCCAGGTGAACAGAGGCATCCTTAGCGGCCTGGTGAGCAAATAGACCCCAAATAACTACCACTGTATTAGATACTGGCCCAACTGAAGAAGGAGGCACAGCCCCTGCTTGAATCCCCAAGCCCATGCCAAAATCTCATGGAAAGAATACCAATCATAGTGTAATAACACCGGGATCTAGACACAGCCAAGTTAGTACTGTTACCCTAAGACATAGAAGGGGATAATACCTACTGTCATACAAGGCTCTCCCTTACCCACACATTGAAGATATTTCCCTAACTCCACCTGCGAGATAGTGTAAGTGATATGGAAAACATCGACTACCGGGGCAGTCCCGACTACTGCCCCGTTGGTACCGTTAGCATTATCAGTGAACTCTTTCAGGAAGTTGCCCACACTCGTATTCAGACATCGAGTGCAACAAGCCCGCTCCGCATTCACAGTATGAAAATACGTGTCCCCAGGTCCAGGGATAACCCAACCCAGGGCCGCCCGACTCGCGGCGATTGCGGCTGCAGTAGGTGCTAGAGTAGCCATGAAGAGCAATATAAGAAATAGGAAGAAGACTCAGATGTTTAAATCAAGAATGGTTAAGGAAGTGAAAACTCTGAAGAACCTGACGATGCTAATAGCTCACCCTTTACCCCGGGGAGTCCCTCTTGAGCCTACAAACAAAGGCCCGACCTAAACATCATCAAAGGAAGCCATAGCCAGATACAAAGCCAGACCCTACCTGAAACCCCCTGGGAGACCCAGCCAAAGCCACCACACATAGAGGAGGATTCCTCTAGGGCCCGAATTACACTCCTCAAGTGTTAGTCGCTGTATCAAAGTGAACCAACTCCTCGTGCTCTCTCCTTAGTATATCTCGCCTAGCCCACAGGTGTCACCCTAATCTGACGAGTTCATTACATCCTCCTAGAACCTAATATAGATAGGTCAAGAGTCTACAGTGATTTTAACGTAATATTCCTTAACATATCTCCTAATTAATATAACGGCGAACGAAGATATCTTCTAAATAACTTAATACACGCTCTACTCCAGTGGGGAGGATTGATTTCTAGGAGGGTATAAATTCTGGTGTATTAACAACGTCGTCCTTGGTCTTCGCTACGCCGGCTGCGACTATAAGGAATGTCCTTATAATTACTTACGTACCTATCCTTTGGACTTAGTTAATTAACCTAATAGCTTTACTAAATCTTTGGAAGTGTGTATCTATATATTAGAAGCGTAGTCTACTGAGTGGCTTCTGTTAATATAAGTAGCTGCTATGCTGTTTCTAGCGATAGGCCTTAGATTAGATAGGGCCTATTATTATCTTCAGGTTCTCCAACTCTAACCTTGTGAATTCTTCATTGTGTAGTATTCTTTCAGACGGCTGGTAGTACGCCGAATATGGCTCCCGTTGGTGCCTGAGGCCCCAAATGGACATACGTCTATTCGGGCCATGCATCCGTTATGGCCGGTCGTCCAGTTTGGGTCCGACCGCCAACTGATTGGTCCGTATTTGCTCCTGGGAGATCCCTCCTTAGTTGGTCCGTAACAACAGTATTACTTTCCAAATACAATGAAAACTAATACTTGAAGAACTTGGAACCCCGGCTCACTGGGGTCAGCTAAATACTGGTTTACCCCGCAGTTCGTTGCCTGGGGCGTTTCCATGATTATGGAATCAACTTCAATTCAACATATGAATGCCGTGACAATTTCTCTAACGAACTCTCTTCGATTTCGTTTAATTTGAACGAATATGCGCGCTGCTTCGCGATTTCACATTTTTTGGTTTTTGATAGATTCCATAGCAAGCAAGATACGCCCTTCTTGCTCCGTCAAATTTTGACGATTTTGAGAGTGTTTTGGTGGCATGGTAGATGGTTGAAGAAGATGGTCAAATTAATTGACGCGTTTTGATTTGGGTGGCCCGCTCGCTAGTGAATTACGTTAGCTGAGATGATTGACTAAGATCCACCTTAATTCTAAATCGGTAGCCAAGCCGCGCGTACAATACCAAAATTAGTCTGTCGATAGCGCTACTAGAACTCTCTCTAGATCTCACATAAGGAATCAGCAACGCCCGCCTCAACGGCCATTCAAACGCCTACTTTCTAAAAGCCGGTGAAGTACTCAACGCCATAAATGCACGCGTGTTGTCAATCTATACTACACATCACCACGGAAGCTCTTCAAACATCCATTTGGCTGATGGCATTGAAAGGCAGCCTACAATAAGCTCACAGCCCCTGAAAAGTCTTTTTGGTTTGAACAGAAAGCGCAATGGGCGTGGAATTTCTCGAGAACCTCACCAAACCCTTGATGATATCCGGCGTTTCCACGCCATGGAACCACAGCCGGAGCCTGGAATATCAAAATCTGGACAAAAGCGCACCATTGAAAGGATACAAAGATGCGACTTGGAGTTTTCCGGGCCTATCCTTTTGGCGAGATAGGGACGAGTGGGGCAAGGTGCGGAAGTGCCCATGGATAGCCGGTGCTGTCCTCGTGCTGAATATCATCCTGGCTCTAGCGGCAGTTGGAGTTGGATACTCCAAAGAAGTCAACAAAGGCGAATTCGAGATGGTCGAGCTATACGAAGGGAGTTGCAACACGTCCAGCAGGATAGCGACCATATTACATCTAGTAATTAACATCTTGAGTACGGTGTTACTAGGCGCGAGCAACTACACGATGCAGTGTCTTGGGGCACCGTCGCGGGCAGATGTTGATCGTGCTCACCAAAAGCACAATTGGCTCGATATTGGGACTTTCAGTGTTCGCAACCTGGGGATCATGAACTGGAAGCGTCGCATCCTCTGGGCTTTTTTGCTCTCCACCTCTGTTCCTATTCACATGCTTTACAACTCGGTTGTGTTCCGATCCATCTCGGCGATGGAATTTGGCGTGTTGATTGTGCCTGACGACTTGTCTTCATCCGAGTCGCTAGTTAATGACAGTGTGGCCGAAGTGACGTTTCAACGCGATATTGGCACTAGTGCGCGTGATATACAGGCGGAGATCTTCAACGGCACGTTCTACAATGCCACCTTGTTGGAGTGCATTGAGAAGTACGATATCAACCTTGAAGACACATGGAACACGGAGCTCAGCACGTTGGTCTTGACTGCACATCGACGTTTTTTTGACAATGCAAGTAGTCTGGGTGGTTCTGTCGCTGATATCAAATATTTTGATGACTCAACGTCACTTGCTCAGATAAAAGAAGACATGAATAAGGCCTCCTGGGATAAGACCTCATGGAAACCCATAGCAAGGTTTTGGAGCTACCGCGTTTGGAAGTTTACAAGCCCAGGTGGAACCATTTTTTCTCTCACAGGTGGCGATATGGTTCACAGTCTTTTCGAGGGCGAATCCGAGATTGCTTTCGACCGGCATACGCTCCACAAATACTTATACGACAAGAACCCATCTGCCACGTCATTACGGACCTACCTTGACACTCCGTCCCACTGGGAAAATAGCACCTGGGCGGGCGGGATTTCCTTTACCTTAATGGGGTATAAACAGACTTCAGGAGACCACGTGGTCGTCCCAGTCAACGGCTGCAAGTACAAGAAAGCTACCGAACGATGCCGAATTCTCTTCAGCCCGCTGATTGCTATTATAGTCGTTGGTTGCAATGTCGTGAAAGTGATTTGCATGGTTTTCGCAGCCCGAATGAGCCGCACTGGTCTTCTTCTCACCGTCGGAGATTCCGTGGCTTCTTTTTTAACGCACCCAGATCCTATGACCAAGGGCCGGTGTCTGTTGTCACAGTTTAACGTAGCAAAAGGAACGAAGCCATGGAGCAGACGCAAAAGGATGTGCGACTTCTGCTTCGCACCTTCCCTTTTTTTGAAGCGCTCCAGTGATTCGGAAAGCGATATGGAAATCCATCTGGTGGATAAGCCGCCAAATGGAACCGATGCTTCGTCTCCAATAGTGTTTCCGAGCTTGTTATCCCCTAAAAGGAAGCGTTGGTGCCAAGCAGCGACCGGGCAACGCTGGCTAGTCACTTTTACTTGGTAAGGCTATCCACTCTGGCGATATTGCTAGGTCGCCTTTTGCTAACACAGCTCCATTTATAGCGTTGCTCTGTGCGACATGACTTTTATCACCTTGTTCGTCGGGATCATCTTCGCCGATGACCTATTTCGGCTGAAGTCTGCGTCTGCGTTCTTCGCCGAAATCTGGAGTGAGGGATTCGGATTAGTCAGCGAAATGACATTGATACCCCTTCAATGGTTGTCAGGTAACACGCTGACCATGATCCTGATATCAAATTTGCCGCAGTTCTTTTTATCTATTATGTACTTCCTCACAAATGGCTTGCTCACATGTATGCTTGGGGCAGCGGAATGGGACCGGTACGCCTTCCAGCGTCGACCATTGCGAGTATCCCGGCCACGAGGCGCTCAACGCTCAACATTCTATCTCACGCTCCCGTACAGATACGGTGTACCAAACTTGATTTTATTTGCTCTGATCCATTGGGTTGTGTCTGAAGCCTTTTTTTTCATCGACGTGCAGAGTCAAAACGTGCACAACATCCCAATCGAATCTAATTCCAGGCGCGGCTGCTCTATTTCGCCCTTGGCGGTGTTTATCGCTATACTTCTGATATTTGTGGGGTGGGTGACACTCGTATTACTCGGACTGAAGAAGTTCAAGACGCATGCTCCAATAGTGGCGCATTGTAGTGCGGCTATAAGTGCATCTTGCCATCCTCCTCCGGATGATGCTTATGCGGCATTCAAGCCTGTTATGTGGGGAGAAGTGACCCAAGCCGGACACATGCCAGAAGAAGAAAACTGGACTGATTGCGATTTATCTGAGGAGCAGACAGAGTTGAGAGCAATTGATGGGCTAGGGCTGGGATCTATGCAATATCTTTTTGCACACTGTTCGTTGACCTCAAAAGAAGTCTCTACACCACGATTAGACAATCTGTATTGTTGACACCGGTTCGTTGTGCTCTCCATTTTCAGCAACTCCTAACTTGTAGGCGTGCAGTGGCGAGGCTAAACGAACGCATACCCACTTTCCGAAGTTAAGCAAGGCTACAAGCTACTAGTATCTCCCATCGCATCTTCACGCTACTGAATGAGACAGCAATTTAGAGCCTTTTATCATGCTGTCACACTGCCTCAGTAGCAGAGAAAAGCCTATGCAGAAGGTTATATGTTACCAGACATCTGTCTATATAGGAAAAATAGACTTATACAAAACTAGAAGTTAGATCTAAAGACGTTAATAAAGGTAATTTCTTAATCTCTTCTAAGATGTTTTATATTACTCATAAAATTAAAATTATTAGTTTTCTAGCTAAATCTTTCCTCTCTAAGTACCCTTGTATTTAAAACTATAAAATAACAATTCCCATCAAGCTAGGGGTTATAATTATCGTCCTTTAATATTTTCTATCGAAGATAGCTATACTAGGCAGTAGTCTATTTCCTCTTACTTCTCTTAGTATCAAAGACTATACCATAGAGAAAAAACATCCTCCGGATGTGAAGGGCTCTATAAAGACTGAAGCAGAACGATATAGGCCGTCATGCAGTTTACATTCATGCTTAAGGAAGAGGAAGCTATGGTACATAGTGGGGAATATATGTCCTTCTGTGGATCACGTGTGGGGCCGTACGATTACGTAAGTGGAGACGTTCGTGGGGGTTTGTCTTCTTGTGCACAAACAGTCAACTGTTGTCAAACATAATCGTACGGGATAAGTGGCTTTGGGCTTGTCGAGGATTGACAAGCCCTCGTCGGGTTCAACCCGTTACAGTTATGATATCTATGTCTATAAGGAAGTAATCTAGACTATAGGCTATAATTACTGGACGACGGAGGAAGTGGAAACTTTGTGTATTCGGACCTGAAGGCCACTTATTGGCTGTATTTATGATTATTTTTGCGTACAGACCCGCCGGTTAGGAGAAATATCCTATTTCAGAGGACCTCAAAAAGACAGAGGAAAAACAAAAGAAACTGACTGAAGTGTAAAGGAATGATCTGACACGAATAGTGGAGATCAGTCAGAATCCTCAAAGGGATTTGTCTCCGGAGCTGGAGGAGGAGTTGGCTCCTTGTTAGGCTCAGGAATGGCGCCGGCCCCGGAAAAGCTTTCCTCCGCCCGCGGGCCTAAAGATGCGGAAGTGTTCGAATCAGGAGGATCTCTGATTCAAGATGTGATGGATTTTCACATGTTTACCGTGTCCTGCGCGACATGATGGATTCCCGTACCTTGCAGAGTACGATGACATGCGTCCGTGTCGATTCTGACACGATGAGGTCGCTGCCCCGCAGCACCGCCCGGAAATCGAGGCATGCAACCGAGCTTAATTGAGCGAGGACAGACATGCTACCGCGCCGTGAGATATGCTACTCACAAGAGGTAAAGAAAGACATGCTACTAAAGAGACATTTTACCTACGTGGCGTAGATACGACATGCTACGACGCGATGAGACCTGCCCTACAGTGTCGACCTGGATCCACGTTCGCCGAACGTGAAGAGTCACTTGGAGCCGCGACTGTCGCCGAGCGCTGTCTCCCTGACATGACTGTGATCAGCCCTCGCTGACCACACCTGGCTGATGAAGTTCTGGTGATTACCTGAAGGTCCAGACCTAAGCAGAAGACATGCTTCCTGGACGGGACGATCACATGAGTCCCTGACTGGACGAGAACTTGATGGGTTGTGATGAAACAACCGAAATTCTTCCCCTGAGACTGATTATGCGTTGATCTGTACGAGAACAGATGATGGCGGCCGCTATGAAGCTTTCGCCTGGGACATTACTATCGATGTGTGTCAGAACTTGTGGAGATGGAGAGAATTATTTTTTTTCCTCCTCAAGACATGAACAAGACGGAAGTCCTACACCTTCGTCCGTTCACATGATGTCATAGGCTTTCGTCTACATAGACGACCTTACGGTCGCGTCCGGGCCCCATCGCCCGCGATTACATTCGTTTTGCGGAATTCGAGGCGAATTCCAAGATGGTAGGGGAGGATGTGATATTCGCCCCAAGATTACCATGTATCTTTCCTTGCTTACATCATGTTACTGTTATGATCGCACATCACCTGATGTCATTATGTTTGATTGTATATAAACTACTGTTATTCTATACTTAATCAAACATGCACTTTTACCTCCTAAGATCTCAATCTTATCCCTGAATAAAATAAGTTATTCTTTATCTTATATATATTCCTAGATTATGATAGAGTTAGGTTTAGGGGTTTAGGACTTTTATTTATATTTTAAAATTCTGCAGTGCGAAACCGATCTCAAATCTTGAGGCTTTTCTGATATGCCATCATTCGAATTATCAAAAGGCTTACGGCAAAATTCAGAAGTTCTGTTATTTTGTTAGCTCTCAGGTTTAGCATTATAACGGTAGCGTATTTACTATAAACAGAGGAAACCTCTTAAGATGAATATCAAAAGCTACTTAGCTTTTAATACCGAATTCTTCTACAAGATACAGCTCGATTGCCCACATTGACTGTACAATATTTAGATAAAAGCAAGAGACAGAATTACAGTTTTTAACATAGACACACTTTATTAGTAACCATCAGCAGAAAGAGAGAATGTAAGAGTATAGTATAGATAGAAAAAGAGTATGGAAGGACAATTTTCGGATTGCTTGCCTAACATTTTTCTATTTTGGCTTCAGGGAGGGAATGCTTTGTAAGTGATTTATATAGAATATGTTACCTCTAATATAGTCTTAGTGGAGTATACTATTAGTATACTGGGGGGTATAAGAGGTTCTCCTAAATTTTTGACTACCTTAAAATCCCTATTAAGACCAAGAAAATGCTATTAGCGATAGTAAAAGCCGGCCTAGGTCTAATTCTAATAATAAGATTTGATAAAATAATCGATAGAATAGGGCCTTGATTTCCTTTTTAAGTATGTTAGCAAATTCTGCTTCTATGCAGTTTAATTAAATACTATAAAATATTATACATAATAGTATATTTTACAAATTAAATATTTATAGGAAAAGGGAATTTAAACTAAATATTTGTTATTTTAAAATATGAAATGATCTTTACGTAGAATTAGAAGTCCTCAAAGTGGAAAGAATAATTCTGAGTTAATTTTCTGGATTTTTTAATATGGCCGCCCATAGTAAAATTTCATTTTTTCAAATCTACCTAACTTTAAGGACCCACAGCGTGTTATACATAAATGGAAATAAAATATCTTTGGTGTGAAGGTTATAGAGTAACCAATTTTCTATTCTTTATTTTTTTTTTTCTGGAAATAACTAACGTCAAAAGGTAAAGAATTATGGTTGAAAATGGTCATTTTTTGAATTTTTGTATGGGAGCATCGACGTGGGGCCAGACTTTTGACCACCCATAGTAGTTAGTTAGTATCTGATATAACGTAATTCCCGCCCGAGCTGCGCACCCACCACCATTAGACAAATTTAAATTCAAATATCTTAACCCAACGCCAATAAATTCAGTTATAAATACGATTTTTACATACATTGATGCGATGGCCAACATCTCGACACCCACTACACCTAGGCGGAGGCTTTTTGGCTGGCTGACTCGGCTGAATAGGCAATTCAACCTGGGTGTGTGATTCAACCACAGGTGCTTCTACTGGCAATTCTAGCTGCGTGAGTAGCTGTAGGCCTTCTTCAACAGTTAAGCCCTGTTCAAATGCCACCTGCCTAGCTGATTGACTGCGCTTCTGTCGTTTCTTCTCATTTTAGCACGTAAATTGGCGTTTTCTTGTGCTAGTAATGCGGTGTTATATAGCGCTATCGAGTGGCCTTTGATGATTTGATCTAGCATCAATTTTGATGGGCTGGGAGGGCTGATTGATCGCTGTTTTAGAAGGTCTTTCAGCATTGGAGCTTGCTTGTGTAGCTGAACCACAGTTCTAGGTGTTTTGGGTGTAAATTGACTAGAACTGCTGCTTGGTCGGCTACCTGGTGGTGTAGGTGTTCGAAGAGAAATATTTAATTTAGAAAGAACTCTTTCAGCATTGATTGGTACTAATCCAGTAGCTAGAAAGCTATTCTGAATGGTAGTTGGTGGAAAAGCTTCTAACTGGGCGCGTTGGAAATCAGCCAAGAAATCAAGCTTGTCGATATGGTTATAGCCTGTATGTGCAAGATCGCTCATAAAGCGACAATAGGCACGTTTTAACACTGCAAAACAGCCAGAATCAAGTGGCTGTAATAAATATGATGAATACACAGGCATACAGAGAGATATAATATTATTCTCTGAGCAGATTTGCTCAAATTGGGGTGTAAGGTGGCTTCCATGGCCATCAAGAATCAATAGCCGAAAACGACCACGGACACGTGAATTTGTTGATAGGATGAATAGCTTCTCTAGCCATCGTAAACCAATCTCATCGGTAGTCTAGCCATTAGCTGAGACCTCGAATCGCCAGTCTTTTGGTAGATTATCGAACCAGCTAGCGACAGCAACCTTTCCCTTAAAAATCACACATGGTGGTAATGAATAGCCGTCTGCACAGATAGCTTCAATTGCTATCACCCATTCACGGTTTCCAGGCTGTAAAATAGCTCGCCGACCGTAGTATTCTTGCCGTGTTACAACCTTCTGTGTTGAAATAAGGCCCATTGCAAAGCCTGTCTCATCAAAGTTATAAATATCCTCGGGTTGGATGCCATTCTCATCAATTATACATTGTACAGTTGTATACCACTCTCGTAGTGACTTAGGGTCTTCATTTTGGGCACTTTGATAGTCATATCGCCTAGAGAAGCGTGTCCGAATCTCCTCACGTCGATTTATAAAGCTTGACGGCCAATTCTTGCCAACTGTAGGTGGAGGGTGGCTACCGCGTGCAGCTAGTAGACTATTGGCCATATCTCGTACAGTAGATGGCCTAGGCGCCGCACCACGTTTATTCATAGAAATGATCCATTCAATAAGTAAATCCTCTTCCAACTGAGTCAATTTATGACCATTTGGGCGTATATCGACGCGAGATTGAACACCGTGCGCGCGACTGCGTAGTGTGGACTCAGGCACGCTAAATAGCCTGGTCGCTGCGCGAAGAGACTTGATTTGGCCCTTTTGAATATCCTGTAAGGCTAATAAAACCTTGCCCTCTTGTTCGGCATTTTTTCCGGCCGAAATATTGCGGATTGGTGTTAGGAGGTGTGCCTATGGAACAGCTACAGGAAAGAACACGTATGGGGGGAAGTGCGCGGAGGGGAAGTCTGCCCCGACACGTCGAGAGCTATCTACCTAGCCACCTTGGTCTGAACTATACAGACCACGTGATCTAACAATTGGTGGCATGGTAGGTGTTTGAATTAGGTAGGATGGTAGAAAGACGCGATTTTAGATGGGGTGCGCAGCTTGGGCGGGAATTACGCTAGTTATAGTTATAGAATGCAGTAACTTATGTAACCCCACATGTGCAGGCACCTGGGGCTACTTTGATCTTTTGAACATGTTGACCCATCATTCTCCAGGGCTGGAGACTATAAATGGTTCCCCATATATGACGCGCTCAACCTCCCGCTCCTCAAATCATCAACGACTTTTCGGTCGCAGTGGCGACTTTTCCTTCGGGCGTGATGAGTTGCCTATCTTAGCTAGATATTGTGATGTCATTTAAAGTGTGGCAAAAATTACTATATATCGGGAAAGGTTTCGAGGCCAAAGTCAAGGTTGCTCCCACGTTTCCCAACCGCATCACGGATGATCCCCAAATTTCTTCCAACCGAGTGATCAAAATATCAAGACTCTACCATGTCGGACTTCTTCCGCAGAGCATCTGACGCTTTCCACCATCGCCCTCGTCAGGACTCAACGGGCTCCACTAGCTCGACTGAGGCAGCCATTGATTCCAGCGCTGCTAAAGCCCCTGATCAACAACCACTGAATCCAAGTTCACAGACAGTTCAGCCTCAGCCTCAGTCTGGATCGTACGCTGGTACGACAACTGGTACGCACTCATTATCTGACCTGGATTTGACCTGGGCCTGGCCTGGGCGTTCTACACAGTGTATACTAATAAAATCACCATGCAAAATGTAGCCAAGCCAAAGCCGCACCACCTTTGGGGCTGGAAACACGGCCAAGAGAACAAAACTGACCCGAGCCAGATATCAGCCCAGAAAAAGGATGACACTGACTGGGTTGTTGGAACCTAAGGAGGATGGGATGTGGTAATACGCGGAGAGGTGGAGTAGCGGGTCGTCGTCAAGTTTTATTTTGAAGGACTCGGAGACAAATTGAGCACGGGATATGGGAAAGACCAGAATGAAAATATGGCTTTTAATGAAGTATGAGTTATGACAGCTTGAGAAGAAATCAAAAATATATCCCGATTGCAGAACATTCTTATCTGTCAAAATTTAGTATTACCAGTAGTTACGTCACGGTGAGAGAAGGATTCGAGAAAAGTAGCAAGAGGGATAGTAATAGTGAAGCAAAATTTCATTAATAAAGACCGTTAGCAGGCTCAAGTACTTTGATATCAATCCTCTGTAATCTCGGATTTGCAGATAGTGAGGTGAAATGAAGTGGCGAAGAATGAGGGTGATGGAAGAAGTTGAAGAAACTCCCTATAAAATGATACCCATATTAGAAACGTTGATTTTGCTGAATCTATATAGGACTTTTTGATAGGCTTGTATAACGTCCGGGCTCTATCACTTAGCACATTGCCAAAAGAAAGACCTATTTTACGCCTGAGATTTCAATGACAAAGAGAAGAATAAAACCAGAGGAAATAGGGACCCTTTTTATCAGAGGAAATCTAAGGCCGGTTTGGTTTCATTAACTCGCTCATAATGATTCATGAAAAGTTGAGCCCAACATCTTTTTGCGTGAGAAATTGAATATTCATAGCATGAGGTGGGTTCATACAGAATGGTGTTCTCATGAAACACAAACAGTTCAAAACATTTGGACTCGCTTACACCGGAGGAATTTTGAATACAACCAGTCTCGATAAAACCTGGCCTCGGGAGGTCTCCGCGTTCCTTCCCTGATCTGTGCAAAACGCTCTCTCCACTTTTGATCCAAAGACGACAGCTTCATTGGTGGATACATAGAAGGCCTTAACGGCTCAACCCATGCTTAGCGTTGACTACCCTCGGACTAGCATATGCACCGGCCCCCAGGGGGACACGCACGTGAAATAATTGGGATTTTATGCGATTTCTAGACAGCTTTAACAGTCATTTTAGGCGCGCCGTTCAAAACTTCCCCTCAATTTATTTGGTTTTGATATGTCTTCTTGTTAACTTGAAGTGTCACCATGGCTGCCTCTTTTCCCATCATAATTGCTCTCGTCATAGGCATTTTAACGGCGATTTATATGAGAAAGACGAAGGATGGCAACAAGCATGGAGAGAAAGTTCTCCTGAAGCTTCCCCTCATTGGCGATATCCACAAATCACCTATCGAGAAACCGTTATTGAATTGGGATGCTTGGACCAGAGAAAATGGCCCGATTGCAGTCCCGAAGCTTTTTGGACTCATCCCTATCGTCGTTCTTAATTCATGTGATGCAGTGACAGAACTCTTCAGCCATCGCAGTCAATGGTATAGCAACCGTCCGTCGTCAGTTAGCATGGAAATGATTACAGATTCGAAAGGCGGGAAATCGAAATTCACCTTAATGCATGACTACGATGAGGAGCTTAAATTGCATCATCGGGTTCTCTCTCCCAGCCTGGGAGCTCCTGGCGCACCCAACTATCAACCCTTGATGGAACTCGAGTCGACACAGTTGATCTTCGACCTTTGTGAGGCTGTGAAGAAATCCCCAGATGCGATCAGCACAGACACAATCTACCTGCTTTTGGAACGCACACAGTCTAGTGTTATTCTGGGTCTACACTACGGACTACGTATTTCACATTTTGATGAGGAAATCCTGCGAGAGATCATGGATCTCCAAACTCAAATCACGTATATTGCTGGTAACCCGGGACTTCCAGATATGATTCCAGGACTTCGTCACCTTCCCGCTTTTCTATCTCCGTGGAAACGGTCGGCCAATAAAATGTATGCCACTCAAGTAGACCTCTATATGCGTCTATTAAAGCTCGGGAAAGATTCTCCAGGTTGGAATGCAACAAAGCAAGCCATTGCGACCGCAAAGAAGTACTCGGATAGTGGAGAAATACCGGACCTCGATCTTTCATTCACACTTGCAACGTCTGTTGCCGGCGGAATTGAGACATGCCCACGTCAGGTCCTATGGTTATTTATCGCAGCTTTGCGTAAACCGTCCTTCATTGAGAAAGCTCATGCTATCTTTGATGAAGTCATCGGTCGTGCCGATTACCTCGTTTCTCGGACAGGTCAGAACTCACATTCATCGATGCTGTTGCGCAAGAGATGTTCCGATGGCGACCTGTCTCCCCAGGTTCAATTCCACGCCGAGCGGATAAAGACGATGAATACAATGGTGTGAAAATCAAGAAAGGATGGACGCTTATGGCAAATGCGTGGGCTATTGGACGAGACGAAAAGGTTTTCGATCCTGCACTGGGTGACTTGCAGGATTTTGTACCAGAGAGATGGCTTCGACGGGATGAGAATGGGGAAGAGAAATTGCGGACCGATCTTCCATTGCCAGTCTTTGGACAGGGTCGACGTATGTGTCAAGGAAAGAGAGTCGCTATGGATGGAACGTTTTTACAGGTTGCTTGTCTGCTGTGGACATTCGATGTTGAGGTTGTTGATGACATGGATCCGTGGGCGATGAGTGTTGCGGGATTTATGACTATGCCAAGTGAGGTGAAATTCAAACTCAAACCGAGAGGTGATTGGGTTGTGGATGTCATAAAAAGAAATGTAAGATGGCGGAGAAGAGTACGGGGAGGTGATGGGTATTGCCGATGATGTTGAGAGTACTTGATATCATGGCAGTGGGTACTAGGTAGTCGTGGCGGGCCAAGTCAGCTCGTAAATATTGAACTTTCTTGGATTTTCAAGTTTGGAGCTTTGGAGAGAGCTTGTATGAAGGTTGTAGCATGTAAAAGCGGTAATGATCTAGCAAGTGTTGGATACAGATTGAGATCACTCCATTTACTCGAAGATCTCAGCGACTATCGGCCCATCACTGTGGTACGCGGATGTACCTCCAATACCACTGCATGCCTTTGGTAAAGCAGGGGGCATCACATTGCACAGAGAATTATAAGTCTGTGACCGAAGAGATAGACACACGAATTGATTTCTCCCCATCTCCTGTCGGCGCTCCCACCGGCTGTTTGCTAGCGCAAAAAGATGAGCAGAAGTACCAGTCCCACGAGCCTCTGTGTGCTTAAAGACCTCCTGGCACCAATCAAATTTCCTGCGATCTCCAATCTCAACACAGTAGGCTGAAACTCCGCTCAGACTGAATAATATCGGCCTATGACACGTGTTTTTCAAGCTCTCCTGCAGGCAGTAGGGGACTGCACGAGCTATTCTGTTCGCATATACCCCTGGAAGTGAGATTTCCTGATTTTCAAAAAAGTATGAATGTGAAAGATCCTCCTGGAATCCTGATCTTGTGATGTCTGTGTGCAATTGGAATATAGAGCGTGCACGATAAATCAATCGTTGGAACAGCATCTGAACCCCCCAAAACATCATGTAGAGTGCCACATGATCGGACGATGAAAAGTGATAGGGAGGGCCGAATAAAAGGGTCGAGGAGGGAACTGCCTCATTGATAGGTTGGAAATAGTTCGCAGCACATTCGTTATCCGAGGGGTCTTCACCCAGAAGTCCATCAGTACGTAATCTCAAGAGACATTCTCGTGCCTCGTAGCATCGATGAAGTATATCTTGACAAGCAGTCAGGCTGGTGTAGTCGACTGTATCAAGCATGGACTGTAATTTCCCAATAGTCACTGCTGATTGAATAATCTCGAGTAGTGGGTCTCCATTTGTAGGCTCCATAAGGTACTCGTATTCTGATTCCAAGAGGTTCATCCCTGTTGATGTGTTAAACTATATCAAAGAATTAGCTATGCCAGGGGATAGCGGGCTTGGGTCCATACTATATTCAGTTTGTGTTGGTGACTATAGATTGCATCAATGATGGGATCGTTCTGGCCCTTTGTCCGGTATTGTTTTAATAATGCATCCATTCCCGCTATGTGGGTACCCCAGGCAGTTAGACCATTAGGACAATAAAGTATCTGAGGAAAGAATTCAAATGTTAGAATACCCAGGTGCTGTAGCTGAAAAAAAGAGGCACCCATACCTGAATTTCCTGAAAAAGGTACGTAGTATATAGGAGATCATTGTGAAATTTACTGCACTGTATCAAGCGGGACATATCTCGAATTGCACTGTTATATAATTGAAGGCCATGATAGAAAATCGGTGGCTCATGATTAGTCTTGCCTAAAAAAAGACAAGCCAGTGCAGACACGGCCTTATCGACCATCTGACTTTTCTGGGAAAGATTTCCAATACTGGAAATTAAGAAGCTCTGATAGCCATTGATCGAAGGCAATTGTTGAGCCGGGAAGGTTTGTTGTTGAAATGATGCAAACATTTGGACTCGCATTGCCTGTTTCGAAGAAACTCTTGCGGGTAATATCGCAATGCGAGCGCTGGTTGTCGCCTGGCAGTGTCGTATAACGATACGCTCTGCTTTCTTATTCGATTCGTTTATAGAAGGTGCTCCGATGAAATGTGAGTAGTTGTCAGTGCCTTGACATTTCAGTCCCCGCTTTGTACACCGTGCACATTCAGGCTTTCCCTCATCGCACTGTCTGAATTATTAGGGACTTGGAGTATCTTTGGAGGTAGTCAGGGGATACACTGACCTTGATCTTCCGGTGTCGGCAATTTATACAGCCCTTGGATTGCCACGGTCTTCCACCCATATTTGGCTCTGATAAGGAAGCGTTGAAAGTGTAGAATGAAACCGACTTCAGCAGAACACTGGCATCTGGCGGCCTTCCTCATGTTGCGGACTGGTTCCATTGGGCGGAATTATATGGCAGAATGTTGCCCCTGAATTCGGACTTGTCACTTCCCCCCTTTACTGTACGTAGTTTTTACCATTATCCATCCTGAAATTGAATTTGTCTTTTACGAACAGTTTTCTGTTGATTTACAACTCAGTTTGGTGGACTGTGTTTTTGTGGTCTGACCTTTTGAGTAGTTTTCTCTCTACCCTGATTGGGTGTCTGTCAGTCCCGGGGACGTCCACGGACCACGCCCAACCTTGGAGTGGGAGATCTCTGCCCAGGTGGAAGTGGATCCCTGGCCCCCAAATACATGTAAAATGATATCATATACGGAGTAGTTTCTTTTGGACTCTCACCAAACTACAGGCCTTGAATAAGAACTTCCTTTGTTTCCGCAGCCATAACATGTGATCTGGTGTCGTATACTAGTGGCCTTAGGTGTACTCCGTATATGTGCAGAATATGAAGCCCTTGACACATTGAGCGAGCTCCCCCAGACCATCGCTCTTAATTAAGTGGCGCAGTCCGTGCACTTACAAAGCAGCCAGACCGCGTTCTTTCGAAGGTTGTTGTCATCTCACTTAACTCCTCTCAGCCTCGTCCACCCGTGGAGTCTTCTGAAGAGCTGACATACAGTCGCAACACATAAAAATTGCTAATAGAAACTTAAATCTTCGAATTAGCACATGTCGGTCTCGCCGGTCAAAGTCTACGCCTGATGTCACCCCGCCGGGGGAAGCGGATTCCTGGCACTCTTGTACTGAACTGGCAATCACCTGAGGTGCGAGCTTCAAACCCAGTTATTCGTCGCCCCATGACTGCATGCGAACCCTGTCGCGCCGTCAAAGTTAAGTGTAACGGGCAGCAAGCCTGTGAACGATGCAGGAACCGCGATCTACGTTGCGCATATACCCCGCCAAATACACAAAATATACAAACTATACACAATGCACAGAATGGAAATGGAAATGAAAATGGCCATATCTCACCTGGATCATCAGCGCGTATGTCAACATCGATGACCACGCCTGTAATAAGCAGTCAAATGATGCCGGCAACAACACTACCCACACTACCCACACATCCTACGACACCAGACCCAATGTCGGTCGACTTACCAGGTGACATCTTTTCCATGACCACTAGTGGCCCTTTTGCACCGCCTTCAACAAATCCCAGTGCTGGAATGGAGTTCAACCAGGCACTGGAACAATTCGATTGGGTGTTTCCAGGTATAGACCTCAGTCTGAATGTAAGCCACTCTTTACAGATAACACCAACTGAGACACCTGCGAATAGAGGACTATAAAGACCACCCGGGATCCTTGCCTGGATGACTTCGACTTTTTCCAAAATTCGACCGAGCGGATGGGTCAGTCTGGAGATAACAGCGAAAGCTCCACCTCTGACCCACTTTCAGATCCCATCGCATTATCCCGGCAAGTACCACCAACACCAAAGAATTGTCAGTGCAGACTGAATATGATGATGAACATCCCCAAGCTTGATTGTGCGATCCAAGAAATTCCAAAGCCCCAGCTGGACAAGATGTTCAAGGTCACGGGTGATGTCATTCGTAGCTGTCAAGAATCGACGCGCTGTGGCTGTTATGTGGGACCCGTTGACCTAGTTTGCATTATGACTGTCTTCGAGCAGACGGCTGCTTGCTTCGATTATATTGCAAAGTCTGGCTTCGACGGGACTGTCAAGGTGGGAATTGGCAATTATTGCGTGTCAATGATTGACGATGCCTCATTGAAACGAATGCTTGTTCTAGACTTGGTCAAACAGGCCAATGAACTATTGGACTCAGTCAGCGAGATCGCACAAAATATGTTGGTGGCGCAGAATGAGCCTGGCGTCAAACGCATGGGTCGATCACCTGCCTGTTTGAATCAACTTAACATGGATTATGTACGGCAAGCAATTGACAGCTTTAAGAAGCTGTTTCGTTTGATTACCAATTTCTTTGGCGAGAAGGATCCAAAGTCATAAGATTTGATACTCTTTTGACGAGACAAAATTTAGCAGCGAGGAACGGCTGGCCTTTCGTGATTGGAGTGATGCTATGAATTCTTAACCCGGCCCGCTCCCGAAGGTAACCCTTAGACCCAGTCACTTCTCACTCCTGGGCATCCATCATGATTCATCTTTAGTATCTAAAAAGGAAAAAGAAAAAGGAAAAACAAAAAGGCAATAACATACAACAGTCAGGATTCGCATGTGGTCACCCACCATACTACTAACTGACCGGCGTGTGGCTTAAGTACGGCTGAGCGGACGGGAAGCCCTGTTCTCCACACCCTGTGGTCGTATGTATCAGATCATGGAGAATAGGAGGTTATATATGGAAAGGAATGAGTGTACATTTGTGCCGCGTCAACTCTATAGTGATGATAGGAGGCAACAAATGTTTGCAGTACCTTTAGTCTGAGAGTCAGTGGCGGATGATTTTCGAACGTTCAACCGATATATCCATTGATTGCACAATAATTAGTATGTTGCGATATGCCGACTTTCGAAAGCTTATTTACCTCAACAGCGCCCATGGTAGAACATGGTTGCAAAATTCCAGTTCGCGGGATTCATCATCGCGACAGGGATGTGATAAATTTAGGATACAGACTAGGAGATTGTTCGCGACCAGGTAAGTCCGAGTCTGTTAAGCACGACAACAGGGATCTTTGGTGGGAGACTCCTTACTCTTTAGTATTTCTAGGCTCCAGGCTCAAAATATGACATTATAAATAATATAGTTGTCCCATTTGACACATGGGTCATCCGCGGAGCAATTGGGATGGATACTCGAGTCCAGGCGCGGACCCTCCGCGGATCCTTGGCCCCACAATCACCCGGGCTCGTCAAGTTTTCATCTATGCCACACATGCAACGGAATATAAATTGCTCAATTGATCTTGTTTGCCAGGAACTTGAAAATATTCAGGCAGTTATAAAAGGGGATGGATCCCGCCGTCTCAGTGTATCAACACACTCTCAGTTACTTCATAATTCAAGTATCTTCAATTTGATCAACTAATAGCAGACACGCCATGGCCCCACCAACCGTTCTCATTATTGGCTGTGGTGTCTCCGGGCCTGTGTTATCACTGCTTCTCAAGAAGAAAGGATACAAGCCAGTGATCTATGAGAAGGTCCGCGTGCTAGGTGAAGCCGGTGCATCGCTGATGCTCAATCCAAATGGGTAAGCTCCATGTCCTGTATGAAGACTCAGTATACAGGCATACTGACACACAAGAAAAAGGATGAAAGTCTTGAATCTGCTCACAAGTCCCAACAAACTCTTCGGAGACGTCAAGGCTCTGCCGTTAGCTAATCTCTGGCATGGGACCGGTTCAGGCGAGACTTTAGTGCATAATAGCTTGCCTAGTAATTATGCCGCCAGATACGGGCAATCATCAATGGGTATTAAGCGGACAACATTGAACATTTCGCTGAAGGAAATGGCTTTGGACGCAGGTATTGAAGTTCATGAGGGATTTGAGCTTGTTGATATCGAAGAAGGTGAGGCGTCTGTCACCGCCCACTTCGGTAACGGGCAATCAGTCACGGGGTCATTCCTCGTCGGTTGTGATGGTATTAAGGCAGCATCTCGACGCATCCTGCTTCAGAATTCCGGAACAAAGGAGGGACCTCCAATATTTACTGGGTTGACACAAACTGCTGGTATCTCGATGACCCCAAGTGCACTGTTAGAGAAGCCCGCCACTATGTCGAACTGGTATGGGAATGCTGTGCATCTCATCGCGTATCCAGTTTCGACGACGCATATCTCGTGGGCCGTTACGCTATCTCAGACAGAGGAACGCCCTGAGGCATGGAAGCTGGCAACAAGGGTCGAATTGGAGGCAAAAAAGCAAGATTTGGAGGCCAGATTGAAGGGCTTTGAGCCAGCTCTGTTGGAAATGGTGAGAACGGCAGAACGAATTATCTCATTTGGGCTCTTTGATCGTGCGGAACTCAGTGGAGATGAGTGGTTCTCGAGCCGTTGTGTGTTGATCGGCGACGCAGCGCACCCGACAAGTCCACATTTGGGACAGGGAGCGAACCAAGCATTGGAGGACTGCTATCATCTTAGCCGTCTACTCCCTCAGTTGAATGGAGACTCTGATGGGAACCTTGCAGCCCTTTCTCCGATTTTTGAAGAATTTGCACGACTGCGGCAGCCGCGGACCTCAGCCTTGGTGAAAGGTGCTCGGAAGAAGGGAGAGGAAAGGGTAGTGACCGGAGGTCCGGAGCTTTGTCGGGCGCGCGACGCTCAGCTCGTTGTTGCGTTGGGAGATGCTGAGGAGATACAGAGAGGGAATGACCAATTGTATAGAGAACCTTTTTAAGTATTGTGTCATTTGCAGTTCGAAGTTTGTCCTCACCAAGACTGGGAGCTTCAACTTAGAAGTTGGCCAATAAAAATTCGCCGGGCGGAGTTTACAATTTGACACTTTTTGCTTCAATAGACCTTGGGAATCAAACTTGAATGTTTGACAAATTTTGTAGCGCGGGAGGTTATTCCACGGGTATGGAGGGCCTCCAGGGCTTGAGTAACCACTTGGGCAGTTGACAGTGTAGCACCTGGCAAATTCAAGGATACTACTAGTCGGAGTAGTTTCTCTACCTAGAAGCCCGGGCCTCCAGGCTGAGGACGTGTTTTCCAACTTGAAGGTTCAACCTTGAAGTTTCAAAACGTTCCACATGTCAGCCCAAAGTATGAATACCACGTAGTATGTAATGCACATCAATTAAAACTTGAAATGGAGACTGCAAGTGTTCAAGTTTGGTAAAGTGCCCAGGTGGTCAAGACCGCGTCTAGGTCGACTGGTGTAAAAGAAAATTCTATCATTTGAAGCCATCAAAAGTTGAGGAAGTCCGAGTCGCTTCAACAATAGAAAATCCTAAAGCCTAAGGCATCATAACTAATAAAAAGCATCTCAGGCTTTATTACCCATATGTATCCAGGTGCACTGGTAGTCCTGGAGTTAGACTTCACGTTGAAGGTGGCCAGAGGATGTTGGTCCTCAGCCAAAACTTGAACTTCAAGTTGAAATATATGGTAGAATCATTATGCCAAACATTGCAGTGAATAGTATGAATTTGAATCGGGGCCAAACCTTTGTCAAAAGATTATTTATTTCCAAGGTTGTGCTTCAGGTTCGTGAAGAAATGCCCAAAATTATTGGGGGGGATTCAACGTTTGTGTGGTTGAAAGAATCCTATGCATTATCCCTCAAGGGATACAATCTTATTTTTTTTCTTTCTATACCTTCAAATGTTCAGTTTACTATCAATAAGCCATTCGTTATGTCTATATAGCCTACTATTTGTAGGTTTCAAGTACATACGACCACAGGGTGTGGAGAACAGGGCTTCCCGTCCGCTCAGCCGTACTTAAGCCACACGCCGGTCAGTTAGTAGTATGGTGGGTGACCACATGCGAATCCTGACTGTTGTATGTTTTTGTTTTTGCAATTTCTTTTTCTTTTTCCACTCCTTGTTAATTTATCCTATTCCTTATGTACAGTTTAGCTTATTTTTCAACGGTGGCACTTGAGAAGTCCTTTCCACCTAAAACATCCACATAACCCCGCACTGTTGACGTGAGGGCCAAACTAAGGTTAGCGTCATGCAGCTCTTGCGACTGTCGCAGTCATCAACTGCGACCAGGGTGGCGACTACTGCGAGTGCGACTCGATTGTCACAAAATGCGACACTCAATACGAAAAGTTCACCACAGAATGCCTCAACTGCGACAGAAGAAATAAGAAAAATCGACCTATCGCCCCTGAAATCTCTTGTATTTAAAGGGGCATCTCTCCCACCGCAATTCACTCTTCCCAAGTTTTCCCATTCTCACTCAAAGCCATTCTCCTGGGCAGAGCTTGACCAGACTACAAGACACCCACTCCAGTCGCTCCTAAATTTCAAGACAAATTCCCAACACACATGGAAAGCCAACAGGGTGCTGTACCCCGGCGCCTTAATTATTTAAAATGCATTCGATGTCGAAAAGATAAGAAGCAGGTAACTGCGATAAGCTTGATTGAACCCTTTCTCTTGTTTATTAGGCCTAATCAAAATGTTGAATAGTGCCTACCAGTCGATCGAACATGGCCGGGGCAAAAGTGCAATCGTTGTGCTCAACGTGACTACGCTTGCTCTCAGAGCATGTTTCCTATCGCATATCGCGAAGAGCCTTCCACCGACACCTCAATCGGTAATCGAGTTCGGGGAGTGCAGTCTCAGCACCTTCCAGTTGAAATATCGCAAGAGCATGGAGGCAATGGCAAGCCTGATGGAACTTTCGTTGCCCCGAAATGTGCCTTGCTTTTCGATAATCTTAGGAATGCAACTTGGAGAGTCTTCGGCGCCCCTCTGTATACATTTGACATGCGGGCTATGGACATCGAGGCTGTGGAGACAGGTGTGATTTATGATGTGCTACGATCCCGCCTTGCACTCATAGATATGCTTCAAGACTATGAAAAGGCTACGAAAGAAGCAAAGTCAAAGGGAATGGCGGAACAAGAGTCTCAAATCTTTGCTTCCCGAAAAGTCATGATGAAGATTGGAAAAAATACGAATGTCGGCGAGAAATATGTCGATGACTTTATTCAAAGCTTCGATTCTCGAATGAAAGCCGCAAGGCGACTAAAATGTTTGCTTGATATTATTGGTGCCCCGGAAGTCTTTCTTGTCTCATTTGACGAAGAAATTATTGATGATCTGGGAGACATACCGATTCCTGAATTCTTTGCATTGAGCGACGAGGAATGGGCCTCCTTACTTTCTCGTCTCCGAGACCCAAAACTTCAGCTCAAGGAAACATGTCTCAAGCTTAGCGGAGTCGTAAACATGATACGGAAACTGGTTGGGCTGGATAGCTGTGAGCTTAGGTCATTTTTAGCCTCGGAAATACAGCGAAGGGCCAAGGAAGTGCTTGGTTCTAGCAATGACAGTGAGGCTGAAGATGATGACTACAGTATGCCGGATATTGAGTGAGGTAACCTCTGACTACTGCCTGCCTTGTTTAAATGTTTCATACCCTTTTATTCAATTTTTGAATTTTAATACATGACATCCGGTAGTACTACTTGAAAACCATGAAAATTTGAACTCACGCATATCTGTACGACTGGAATGCTTTTAGGACCGACCAAACCTATAGAGAGATTTGAGGTTGTGAGATATACACTTCTCAGGCGCAATTTTATTTTCTTTTGGCATTGTCAAAGTTGCTGACCTAAGGCTTCAGGTTGGAATAGAACATTTGGAAGTGGAGAAACTGAACCAACTTAGTATATTCAGCCAAATTGCACAGACGGTTCCAAGGTTGATGCCCAGGTGCTAAGCCGTTCAAATGTTCAAATGTTCAATCATGTTCGTTAACGACCAGCCAGTACGTTATTAGTTGCTGTAGTATCGGGAAAGCTTACAACGTTGGCTCCTCAAACATTCAAATGTTTCAATGTGCAACCCTACATTTTGATGCACGGGCTGAATACTCGGTGAAGAATATCTTTCCGGATTGCCCTAAAATTCAAATTTTCCAAGTTGAAGAGGCCTGCATATGTGAATAAGGCGGCGAGCCACGCCTTAATCGTGAGCACCTGATCATAATAGACTTATATATGCTGCCAGTGTTGTATCAATGTCTTTTTATTTCTTTTGTGATTGCTCTATTGACTATGTTTTCTTGTCATACTATTTTCAAGATTGTCGTTGAGTTATGCGTATGCATATTTCTGAAGGCCTACAGCACTAATTGGTTCCAAGCATCTTCTCCTTAATTGTGGGGGCTATTTCACCACCAAGTGAACCTACTTGTAGCGTATTGTGCAGCGCAGAAGGGATTTTGACAAAAGACACAGTATAGATAAGCCTCATCCATTAGTTGGGCCATGGTACTGTAGGGAATTTCCACTATTTTGACATCCTGGCAAAAGTGTGGCGAGCGTGATGATCATTTCAGAAATGAATGTTCTGCACGCCCCGGAGCCACTGATGTGTCCATATCCCTCTAATGCTCACTTTTACTAGGTACGTCATTTCGGTCACGGCTCTTTGGTCAGTTATTAGCTAAACTTTTCACTATTTTGAGGTGGTCTGAGTTTTGAAATGATTAGATTAAACCGTGATGAGCCCATTTGAACACTCTACCATGACTTCCATCCGGGCCCAGAGGACGGTTACCATTGACGCAACCATCAAGGCGCCAATAAAAATCGCCATGTACAAATAATTATCAGGACTCGCATTACCGCCGTGAGACCGTTGGACCAAAACACCAGTAACTGGCGTTCCAATTAGGCCGGCAGCACCCTGGAACATGTACATAATACCTGTTACCCTCGGCATAACCTCCATCCCAAAAAGCTCCACCAGCGCCGGCGAGAATAAACCAATATATGCACTGACAAACGGACTGTACATAATGGTGAAACCAATTAAAAGACCCCTTCCTAACGACTCCGAGTCATTGGTCGTTCTAGCTAGTGTACTAGGAGCCCAGAGCCCTGCAGTTGAGACAGAACTTAAGAGTGTCATGGGAAAGAACGAGTTAAGACGTCAAATTCTATCAGAAACAAACCCGACACCAACTTGCCAATAGCGTTCCATACATTCCTCAAAGATGTAAAATCTGAACCCTCTGACTGGCTATAGCCAAGTGCTTTTGCATATACAGCAATATAGAGGACATGTGTATAGTAAGCTGCACTCTGCAAAGTAGTTCAGACACTGAGCAAGGAATTTGCGTGTCATAACAACCTTTGCAGAGGGAAGAGGAACCTTATAAAGCCCTAAGCCCCAAGAAAGATTTTTATTCTCTTCCTTGAGAAAAGCAGCCATTGCTGGTTCCCAACTTAGGATGGCGCCAGAAATACAGATAAGCATAGTACAGATAGAACCTGTAAAGCGAAGAGTATTTCGAAAGCCTGTAGCCTCAATCAATGCTGTCAATACAGGTGACCAAATAATACCACCTATACCAGTGCCAGCAGAGATAATTCCCATGTTTAGTCCCCTGTGCTTTTTAAACCAACTAGGTGGAACTACCATAGATGGCATAACAGAAAATTAAGTGGAAATTCCCATCAAGAGGCCTTATGTAAGCTGGAAATGCCATAACGTATCCCGTAAGCGAGCCGCACATGTAAGCGGGCCGCACACCTACCCATCAACTAACATATATTATATACAATCATTCAACCAACAACAGAGATATTTAATTAGAACGACTTCTATCTTAGTTAGTACATGTGTTTCTCTTATGTCCAATATTGCCGCAATTTGTACACTTTGGCAGCGCTCTCCCAGTAGCCGATTTCCGCGCTTCCCGCCGCTCTACATCCACCACCTGCTCTGCTTCTACTACCTCTCTCTCTGTCTGTATACGCTGGCTTGCCTCGCTCACAGTCATTCCACCCTTATTAGCCATCTGCCTATGAGGTAGGGCACGCTTACGTGCCTGCCGCCCATTCTCAGCGCGTAATTGCTCAATTTCATGAGCGAGAAATGCGCCGTTATGCATAGCAATCTCACATCCCTTAATCAGCTGCTCAAGCGCTTCTTTAGCTGGGCTGGGAGGTGTATATGACCTCTGTTTTAACAGCCTTTTGATTGATGAAGCCTGTCGTCGGATATCGGTAGGCTTATATGGTGTATGGGGGGTAAAGTTGCTGCTTCCACTGCTAGGGGGTGGTGTAGGTGTACGTAGCTTTATATCAAGCTTCTCAAGCACCCGCTGTGAGCTAAGCGGGATTAAGCCAGCTGCTAAGAAGCTATTTGAAATTGTAGCTGGCTTATAAGCTTGGTCCCGGGTAGATAGGTATATAGCAAGAAAATCAAGCTTATCAATGTGGTGTGTGCCATATCGAAGCTTCTGCTGGATAGCCTGCCCATAGATATGCTTTATCACACCAAAACACCCAACATCAAGAGGTTGAAGAAGATGGGAAGAATGGGCTGGCATACATAATGGTAGAACATGGTTTTCCTCGCATATTTGATCAAATTCAGGTGTCAAGTGGCTGCCATGACCATCCATAATTAAAAGCCGCCACTTTCCATACACACGTGTATTTGTATATGGTAAAAAGTGATTCCGGAGCCAATTCAATGTGATTTGATTGGTAGTCCAGCCATTATCACTAACATCTAATTGCCAATCAGATGGTAGGTTTTCAGCCGAAAACCAGGCTTGGTTAAACATCTTTGCTTTAAAGATGATATATGGTGGCAGTGCCCATCCACAACTGTTGATTGTCTCAATAGCAGTAACCCATTCACGATTTCCAGATGTAAGAAGGTGTCTTCTTCCATAGTACTCAGCACGTGTAACAACATGGGATGTACTTGTCATACCCATAGCAAAGCCAGTCTCATCAAAGTTATAAATATCCTCATTAAGGATACCATATGTAAGAATAGCTTGCTGCACACGGTTAAACCACTCCGTTATAGTAGCTGGATCTTCACATAAAGCACGCTTATATTCATATCGACGTGATAGACGTGTCGCAAGCTCAGGTGTCCGTTGGATATAATTATATACCCATTTGGTCCCAACTGTCTGCGGGGTGGTCTCTCCACGCTTTGCAAGTAATAAATTTGCCATCTCTCGTACCATAGACTGTGTAGGTGCTGCCCCACGTGTATCCATAGAGAGTATCCATTTCTGAAGTGATTCCTCTTCTAATTGGGTCAATTTATGACTATTTGCGCGTGTGGTTGATCGGGGTGTCGCGCCGTTACAGCGGTCGCGTAGGGTAGATACAGCGACGTCATATAGGCGCGCAGCACGTCTGAGCGTCAAATTTTTGTCATTTTTCATAGCTTGTATAGCAAGTAGAAGCTTTACTTCTCGGCTATCTGATTTTTCGGCCAAGACAGCGTGCTTTGGTGGCATGGTTGCTGGTTGAAGATCGCGAGTTGTGTTTCGCGGCCGGAAATTTGGTAGGTGTGCGGCCCGCTTACATGTGCGGCTCGCTTACGGGATACGTTAATGCAGTTCCAAAGCTAGCCAGAACACTAGCTATACCAAAAAGTAGACCGCCCGCGAAAATAACAGGTTGGGGACCAAAGTATTTTGACCCCGGAAATTTCCTTCAAGGTGGTATCACTGCATCCATTCAAGCTGGCTCATTTGCCGGATCGCTTCTGACAGGTGCTTTCCTTGCCGATCGACTTGGCCGTCGTAAGACTATTCTGCTGGGCTCTTTGATATTCACAATAGGAGTGGCTGTTGTGACCCTGCCACTACGTAGTAGGGAGCGCCAAGTTTCATAAGGCCGGCTTATATACTTCCGATAAGGAAATATGTGGTGAGGAAGCGCTGTGACATATCCTCCAGGGCTCGTAAAGGGAATGAAAGATGCCGAAGCTGAAGAGGATTCCACAACCAGAGAAGTTGAGCATGAAGGCGGCGATTACAATCAGGAGTTTGCGTCTGCCAGTGATTTCATTCGTAAGTTGGTATCCAGAGCAAAAACCTTTGGGTTTTCAAGGCCGTAAGAATTGAACTCATACCTAGTTCAATTCCTAAGTAAAGTATTTAAATATAAAAATGTAGAGTAAATATATAGAATAGATATATAAAGTAAATATACTATAAACATATCCACAGAAACTTGAAAAAAGGAAAAAAAGACCCAAAGTAAACAAAAAAGGAAACGATTCTTTTATATAAAAAATCAAGCTCAAATACCAAACTTTTAACAATATTCTTCCAAATACCGTATTTCCTCAAATAGTACCGTTAAACTACCGTCGTGGGGAAGGGTATTTCAAACATATAAATTGCCGGCATGGGTATACCTCTTAGATGCTTCGCTCTTTCCGAGTCTTTGGGGTGTTTGTTTGTTTGTCGAGAGGCATCCTCTCAAGGGTTCCATTGGAAGACATTCTGATGAATCGAAAAAATGCATGTGGTAGCCCTGGAGTTTTCTTAGGTAACGGTACTGCGACTGTCAAAAGAAAGGGCTTGAGAATTGGATCAGTTTGGAATGCGTATAACCAATGTATCAAATGTTCAAATTTTTGAAGTTCCCATGAACAAATACCTAGATACTAGTATTTATATTTATATGGGAACTTGAAAAATCTGACTCGGAAGACATGATGTAAGACATCTGGATATCAAAGTCATTCACAAACATCATGATTTGAAGATTGCAGAAGGCCCACTGGTAGTAGTGACCAATACTAGTAACTTCAAGTTTGCCTTCTCGGTATGATCATACATTGTACGTTGCTCTTGAACAGAGAACCGTTTAACAGAAAACCGTCAACCTGGGCAGGCGGAGTTGAGACGAACCTCCCCGGTGGTTATCGCATGGATAATTAAGACTGGTTCAACCCGATTATTGAACAATCGCCCGAAAATCACCCGTCGGCGCACCTATCCAATGATTGAATTTACTATGCATATATCTGACCAAAGAAATAGTGTGTCCTGCGCGAAAAGTTTCATTAGTGGTTCTTGGCATTTTGGAGAAATCCCATTAAACGTTTGAAGAGTCTGATATCCCCAAAATGCCAAGAAAGAAATTGGCCCTGCCCCCCCCCCCCGCCCCCGCACTCGGCGTAGATCATGTCAAATACTAGACGATACTCGGCGGGCTAGTGCTAACATTGGAAGGTTTGGTAATGGTGACTCATAAGACCAAAGTCAGAGGGAGAAGAATTGAGTAGTAGAAAAGCTCAGTTCTAAAACATAATAGATGTAGACATATAACGGTATGTAAAATAACGATCCTGTATGACTGAACATTTCTGAACCATTGGAGTAGCGGTTGTGAAAGCAATGTCTGAAGAATGCTTGATTTATGCTACTTTAATAAAGTAATCGATATCTTGACTTTGAACTAGTAGCACATATAGCTTATTACCTCCAGGGATGGCACTCGCTGATTGGATAATTGAGGTGCGAGCCCGCTGTCATGCATGCTGTCATTGGTGGCGTTGTCTTGGGCCGAAAAGACAGTGCAAAATGCAGCATTCGCACTACCCACATGTTTAGTATAAAATAGTGTCATCAAACTTGTGGTTTCAAATATTTTATTGTTGATAGTTGTTGACTCATATGATACCGAATATCAATTAGTACGTGAACGGGATCTCAACAGCGTCTTAAGAATAAGCACGATCACTTGTAAGTCATTGAGATGCCAGAATGCAATTTCTAAGAACTAATATTTGTCAAATAAGCTGCAATCCCCTCGGGCCTTCCTGTTTCAATAGATGACGGGGCCTGTGACAATCTAGCTGCGCGACCAACTGCCCCGCCCGTCCATCTCCCGGCTACTGATTCCACATCTGTGATTCTCTCGAGCCTTCAGGGGCTCACAATTGTTTTTTGTCATCCTCGTACAGCGGCTGCGAGCGAGGAAATCCCCGAATCATGGAACATTATTCCTGGAGCGAGGGGTTGCACCCCTCAAGCGTGTTCCTTCCGCGATAATTTGCCAGACCTCAAGAAACTTGGTGTAACAAATGTCTATGGTCTAAGTACCATGAGCAAAGAGCATCAGGCAGAGGCCCATACCCGGCTGCACTTGGCATATGAATTATTGAGTGATGAGAGCCTTGTATTCATTTAAGGCTTTGGTCTACCTTCCTTTGAAAGGAATGGTAAGAGACTGGTCAAGCGAATTACCTTGGCAATCCAAAATGGTAAAGTCGTCCATTACTGGTACCCGGTATTCCCTCCAGATAAGAATGTTGATCATGTGTTACAGTGGCTGGAGGAAAACGGGCCGACTGTTAAGGATGAAATGTAATGAATCCAAAGCGCTGACTGTGGCGCGCCTGGTGTCACTGATTTGTGCTTTATTTATGGCTCTCTATGTTTGTTTTTAGATAGATCAATACAATACCACTTTTCATGCTCACACGTTTTTCTCCTGCATCCTCATAGAATACGACAACTGTGTAAGGTGATTTTTGAGTTTAGAGTGTATATTAGCCACGTGGGGATTTCATCCGCAATTGCTTAGTTTCTGTTTTTGGAATTTCATTGGTCCAAGCGTGAATGAAGAAACCAGATAAACTCTTGCTTTAACTCAGATCAAACCTCCAAATGAAATAACTCTTACTAGTAGACGACCGGGAGTTGTCGCTTTGCGAGGTAGATCTTCTGATTCTATTGAGGCCAATCCCAGACTCTTTCTCTTAATGGCTAATAGACATATCGATTGATGTGTTGTTTCATTGGGCGATAATTTCTAAAAGAATTGAAGCCTTCGGGTAGGAGTCGGCTGAAACGTCAAGAAATATTGACCATGAAAAGAAATAAAAAAACTTCGTGTTCTGATTGAGATTTGCTGGGCGAGAAGACGTTCTGGTATTGCAATGCCTCTAGAATCCATTTACTCCAAATTTGGCATATATACACTCATCTCAAACCCATTAGTAAATGGCAGAGTCATGTTTTGAAACCCATTCTCAGGAGCTCGCAAGTATGCCAGAAGATCTGCATATCCTTTCGCACCAGATATCGTGTTATCGGTAAGCACAACTGAACCTGGTCGGAGACGAGGTAGCACAGTCTTAAGCGTCGGGAGAGCGAGTGCGGACCAGACTATTTTTGATCAGTATGGGACAATGATTGGGCTCTAAAATGGTCAGACTTACTATCGATAAAGAGAGGATCCACCTTTGGCAGTCCATCCTTTAAGGTCTCGAGCAAATCACCCTCTCTCAAGTCAATTTCTTGCTGAACTGCTGGACCACACTGGGCCCAGTATTTTCGTGCAATTTTTCTCTTTTCCTTCTCTTTTTCAGTCGCGATCACAACCCCCGATTTACCAGTAGCGGCTTTTGTCTTAGCAATGGCAAGAGCAAGGTAGATCGTGCTAACCCCAAAACTAGTCCCAGCCTCGACAATATTGGTGGCTCCCATGGCGTTTATCAGCTGGTATGTGAACTGGCATTTGTCTTGATCCAGTGCAATGAACTTGTCACGCATAAGTCGATCAAATTCATCTTGTGGGTTACCAGATGGTTGCTGGTCCTCGAGATCCCCCAAAATTTCGGATGAAAAAATCTTTTTCTTTTTGGAAATGGTGGCCTCTTGTTCCAACGACTTTTGATGAAGTTCACCCAGGAGTTGCAGGATATGCTGTGGCCCTGCACATGTGGATGCGGGCATGTTCGATATATAAAAATAAAGCCTGGAGTCCATCAGTTGACGTCATCAAGGTGGTCGGCATTTAAATCTTGGCATTTTGGGGAACTTTTTTGAGGTCAGGAACAATCTCGAGGGAAGCCCTAAATTATTTAAATCTCAACTTGAAGTGCTCCTTGCAACCTTGGAAGTTGATATCATATGTACTCCCTACATATAACTACTAGCCCCAGGTCTTAATTTCTTCAAGTTTGCACCAAAATGCCAACATTGAAAGAGACGAGCCGAAAATTTTTAAACAGCCGAACATCAAGGGTGGTATATGGATCCGGAATCATCACTAGGTCCGGGAAATCCACAAGGTCCAATATCCTTCAACTCGACTGCTTTGCTTCGAATGGCCTATATACGACTCAATGTGGACGTGGGTCCATGGCGCGCCTTAAAAACCCATGATCCGCATGAAATTGCTGAGTCTATACACCGAAGCCCACAACTGGTGCCAACATATAAGCTGACACGTGCCGTGCTATACTCTGCACACGCATTGAGCATCCCGGTCAAAATTGGTGTCAATATTGTGGCGCGCAATCAAGCCTTTGCTTGGTCCCTTCAGCATTCACTATGTGCCCTTGAGTGCGCCTTTGTTGTTAACAAATGGCTGATTGCCGTGCATAATCGAGCCCCCGAGGTGCCGTTTACTGATGAAGAAACTAGACTCATTGCCTAAATGACTGATATGGTGACAGAAGCAAATTCCGGCTTTGGCCTTGCGAGTAATGGCGACATGATGGCACGCCCTCCTGATTTGTGTATCCAAGTTCTCAAAATTTGGGCTAAGCTTTTTAGCGGAGAGGCTGTTTGGGATGTGGTGCGCATGATTGGAAAAGCCCTGGCCGCATATGGCCATATCTTAGAAAGAAAATCCCAAACATGACTACGTGAAGGTATCCATGACATACCATTGTTTCTTCCCAGAACCTGGAAACTACCTTTTCTGCCCAGCCTCCCATCTTATGCAGTAACAATTCCTCGTCTCCCAGATTTTTTACAGTACCGACCGCTCCCGCCTTCCATATTGAACAACATAAAAATGTTCTTTCAAACCCTGATCACATGGTACACTAAGCCATTTCTGGTTAACACAGTATTTGAGGATTCGTTCCAAGGGTGTATCGTATGACTTGGAACCTTTAAAAGAACAATTAATGTACATATCTATATATAGATTTTTACAGGATAACAAAATACAAGTGCGAATCCACTGCCACTGGATGGCCGTCATATTTTTTGAATGACAATGTCTAGGAATTACCACACCATATCACATGAACCACGTGTGTCATATGTTATTCAAAGTTCTATTCTTTACTTAGACAAAATATATCTTTCAGGGTCTTCAGATCTTCATTAATCTCTCTCATATTGAGAGAGAGAGAGAGTAGGAGTACAGGATGTTTATCCTTGTTTTCCTTCCAGTACAGTATATGTTTCGTGCATCCACTATAGTGAAGCTGAAGAGTTAATTGGGCTCAAAGTGGCAAAATAATCTATGTACTAATCGAGTACATATTTCAAAAGATACTGTGATGAGAATAGCTATACAGTATTATCGGGTAGTAATTTCTGTCTTTGATCTTGAGCATATTAAGCTGCTCCAGAATTCCTTGGGTCGTATTATAACCCAGACCCATGACTTTCTCATAGCCTGCCAGTGCTTGCTGGTACATCTCCTCTGTCTCTTTTAGCTTTCCTTAATTGGAGTAGAGAATCCTAAGGTTCTTGACTGTGCTAAGAGTGGATGTATGGTCTGGACTGAGGGCCTTCTCATAGTCAGCTAATGCTTGCTGGTATATGATGTTTTCCATTTTCAAAATCTACCCATTGGCTTAGAGACGATTTTGTTAACCAACGCCAACATGAACAAAAGGATTTGTATGACCGCAACCGTCTGGATCAATCTTCTTTGCCAATGTGCCGTCCTTGTCGCACTTAACTCCATCTGGTGACAGTAGAGATTTATGAGATTTTTGAGTGTTTCGTAAGTGGACATATGATCTGGACCTAATGATCTCCTCTTGCCTTCCAGCGCCCGGAAGTATATTTCCTCTGCCTCTTTTAGCTTACCTTGATCTTTATAGAGAATCCTAAGGTTGTTGACTGTGTTAAGAGTAGATATGTGATCTGGACCCAAAGCTTTCTCCTTGCCTAGCAGTGCTCGCTGGTATATCTCTTCGGCTTCTTTTACATTCCCCTGACATTTTTTGAGGATGCCAAGATTGTTGAATGTGTCGAGAATGGATATATGATCTGAGCCAATGGACTTTTGATAGCCTGCCAGTGCTTGCTGATATATATCTTCTGCCTTTCCTAACTTCCCCTGGTCTAAGTGAAGATTTCTAAGGTTGTTGACGGTGTTGAGTGTCGATATGTGATTTAGACCTAGGGCCTTCTCCTTGTCTGATAGTGCTCTTTGGTACATTGCTTCTGCCTCTTTTAGCTTTCCCTGGTCCGAGTAGAGATTCCTAAGGTTATTGACTGTGTCGAAAGTTGATGGATGATCTGGGCCAACGGACTTCTTATAGCCAATAAGTGCTCGCTGGTACAGCTTTTCTGCGTCTTTTAGCCTCCCCTTTGCTTCATAGAGAAGACCAAGGTTATTGACTATATTAAGAGTAGAATTATGATTTAGACCTAAGGCTTTCTCCTTGCCTGTTAATGCTTGCTGGTATACTGCCTCTGCCTCTTTTAGTTTCCTATAGTCTGAGAAAAGAATTCCTAGTCCATGAAGTCCACCTAAAACCATAATGTTGTTAATAGTAACTTGCTTATTATATATACGGTTTATATGTGGTATAAGACGTCGCTGGAGCTCTGGAAATTTGCTATTACTTGCACTAGGCACTGTGTATCCGACACAAATTATTGCTAGCTCAGAAAGCTGGATAGCATTCATATTACTGCTGGCAAGGTGGAAGCACCAGTCCTGAACCACTGGATGCATCGTATAGCTTCCTTCCTGTTGCTTGGTCTCAAGAAAGGATAATTCTATAAGGGGCTTCATACATGATTTGAACTCAAGTTCGCTTGATATAGCTCTTTCGAGCCACCATGGAGCTTCCGAGCTATTAGAAGTATTTCTCACTGACTTATACCAAATATCACGATTATCAAAACGGGTAAGTAGCAGTAGAAGCTCCGCTGCATTCGGTTCCCGATTCTGAATCTCACGATATGATATCATCTATGTCTGTGATATATTGCCTTGCTGGTATTGACGTTCAGGGCTTAATTGCGACTGTAGATCAGACCATAAGTGTTAGTAATATGTCAAGTACTGAGCGATACTAGTGCTAGTCTGACGCATGAATGCCGCAGCTATGACAATTGCTAATAGCAATCCATCAAGACGCTTAGCAAGGGCAAGGGTATCTAGATATATTAGTATTATTATCAATCTTGGACGATCTATATATTTAGTATTATCATACCTAGATTGGCATCAAGCTGCCTAATATTATCATTTCCTAATAAGCCACTGTTCTCTAAGAGAAGCTGAATAGCTTCGGTAGAGTTAAGTTTGTGGACTGGAACGGACTTTCCTAGTTCAGTGAGACCTGCGAGTTGAGAAGTGACAAGAATAGAGCCTTGATCTGCTGTAGGAAAGAACTTTCCAATGTCATATACATCCCTAATGCCGCTACCGGTTGGAGAGTACTGATCAATATTGTCGAAAATTATTAACCAGCGAGAGTTGCCGTCCTTTGCAAGCCACTGTAATAATTCTCTAGCTTGTTGTTCTAGCTCCTCGTTATCGATTGCCCCATGGTCCTGGGGTTTCCCGGGTATCCGAGGTAAGATAGAGCTAAAGGATTATAAGAGCGTGTCTCGGTCTTTGCCACTTAACCAAAAGACGGCGGTAAAATCGTGTTGGTGTTCTCGCGCGAAACGGACCGCTCACTGTGTTTTTCCTATTCCACCAAGTCCATGAAGAACCGTGACTTTTCGTGATTAGGAATGTGTCGGCTTTAAATACTGCTATAGGCGGTCAAGCTCGGCTTGCCGCCCCACGAAGTTTTCTATTACAGGTACTATAGTAAGGTCTCATGGAATATTATAGTAATTGACTATAAATATAAAGTTCTCGTTAGTAATGATCCTAACTGTAGAAGAGGATATTAATATGGAAATTTAGAGCTTCTTACTTAAGTTTGCAAGAGTATCTTGTGCTGTGGGAGTATCATCAACCTGATTAATTGGAACCACCAAAAGCAGCTCTTTAGCATAGGCCGCTGCTGCTGCTGCCGCGTAACCTTGCCATTTCTTATTCTTATATGAGTCAGTATAGTCATAGATACCTCGAATAACCATATATAGAAAGTCATTCATAAGGCCCGCAGCTTCCATCTCTACATAATATATTCCTAATTCCTAGGCCAGTTGGTCTCGTAGTCTGCTATCTTTTACCACCTGGCTTGCAGATACAATCAGTCCATAATGAATCACTGGCTCTTCATAGGCTCGTGAAGGTCGTTGAGTTAGTTTCGATCGGTCACAATCCGCACATGTATCAGCTGCTCTATGATCATATTCTGCTTGGTATAGGCAGTCCTCTTAGGTGGGACAAGTAAAGGTTGCAGCTTTACGAGATAAGGTTTTGAGATGGATGTTGGAAATGAACTCAACAACTCGACTATCTTCTATAAGGTGATGGGCTTGTAGTGTAGCAAGGGCGGTTAGCAGAACCTTCGGGGGCCGGTTTAACATGCCGGTCCGCTGGAATTAACCGTCGTGTAACAGTTTCCCAAGATCGTATTGGATCATGCCTCCAAACGTATCCCTTGGCTGGCTCACCACGATATTGCCTAGTCGGATGTCTACGTTGCTGCTTGGTATACCCCCACCGATACCGACCATCAGCCCGAATCGAATAGAGTGGAAGCTTGAAAGCAACTGCATCGCCACTGTTGCGGCCGACACATTGCCATATGCACCGCCTGGTAGGCAGGCAATGATAATGTTATGTTCCCCAATATTTCCCAGAATATATGTGTTTTGATCAGTTGGTGGACTCGGCAGGCTTGGGTGTATTATGTCCATCATCAGCTTCGCAGCCGCCATCTCGAGCGGTAAGGCGCATATCCACCCGACCGTGTAATCGTCGTGAGATAGGGTGGCCCCGGCATCCATGCTGGATTATATGAGTATCTTCCACTTTGAGACTAAAAGCCGTGTTGAGGTGACGGTCGTCAATGTCTGCAATCGTTTCATCATGGAGTAAAGGTCTGGGAGGAAATGGACTTAGGAGGGAAGCGGGGTTTGGAAGTGAGGCTGACGTACAATGTCTCCCTACCAATCGTTTTCAATAGTGGATATGGGAGGGATCAACAGGTTAGTTGGTTGAAGATCTCCATGTTTGCTTGCTTTGCATCGAATCTTCTGGTCATCCAGGCTTCCAAAGCTCTGTTCCTTCCGTACTAGTGTCATTAATCCTTTACCCATCAATGTGATTCCAGAAAGACACTCAGAGCATTAGGCAGGCTCTCTGGACTCATGAACCGCGCGACGCAGCAGGACTGTTGACAGATTTCAAGGCCATCATGTTTGCAGGGTGTGCATGGAACCTTCCAGGTGTGAGTTAAGAGTAAAAAATTGTATTTTCCGTACGAGTATTTTAAGATACTGGTATTTATTACGTGGTCAGCTACAAAACGGATTAATTACAGCTATTCATATCTGGATTAGCGTATCACATGATTAGGGTTTGAAACAGTCTCTCTGTGTTCAGAACATGGAAGGCGATAGCGGTCGGCACTGTACATTAATATAGACCTCTCTTCCCGCAGCCAGGTGATCGCTCGTCAATTTCCAACTTACATGTGCACCAACTTCATTCATTTTCCACCTGTAAAACTCACTGAGTTACTGGGTGTAAAGAAAAGATATTATATACTAATAAAGTCCACCCGCAGCGCCGTCATGATTCTGACAATCTTTATATTTACTACTTGTACACATCGGCATTCAAAGTGGTATATGAGTCGGATAGTACCATCAAGGAAAAGATGAATATCCCTGGACCAAAAACAGGATAGGTGTACGAACATACTCTCACTCAATTGGGTTGTTGTAGTGCTTTTCGGGACAAAGCGGTAAGAAAATGATAAAAAGAAGTTCACGGGTCAAAGACCCACCGTGGCGTAGACTTTGTGTTGCCTCTTGCTGAGACCATCAGTTGCCCAAAACTGCTCTGACTGGTGTCCTTGTATAGAGAGAATCAAAGCAACTGCTTATCTTTAAGTTTCAAAAGCATGCCTTGCTTTTCTTACTGGCTTTCGTCTTTCTTTCTCCGAGGCTTTGCCCCTGTGGTTCCCGTCTAGGCATTTTCGTTACCTTTGACGCCCAATTGCTCTTTCAAGTGTTCAGTAGGCTCAGTGAACGAGCCGCGCACGGAATTCTTTCATTCTCACCCCATTTAATGAGTCTATTTTTACTCACGTATCATTTTCATTCCTGCATTCTAGCCAAAATAATAAAAGATATCTTTGACACAATGTTGACCTTTGAGTAAATCTACCAGAATTTAAATACCCAGAAGACTTCCATATTCCGGGGTTTTTGGAATAGACCATAGTCAAATGTGAATTGTTTGTATTATCTGGATCAATCACAAAATGGCGGTCTTGGGATCACATGCATTATATAAAACCGTAACTCAATCAAAGTTACCTAGCGCGCCAACATACAGGACATTTCGCAATACTCGAAAAAAGTCAGCCAAAAAGACTAATGGCATGAATACGAAGGATAGAGTGGGGAAAAGGAATGGAACAAACAAAAAATTCAAGGGACGGAATGGGACATCTGTATCTCCCAATGAATTGGAATCAGAGGACTGGGGAGACTGGGGGTCACCTTGGGATCCTACACCGCGCAAACCCCTTAAAATTGAAGATATGGATTTAGAAAAATCCTATGTCAAGGAAGTAAAGGAGTTTGAAAAAATTGTGGAGAATGAACTTGAGTTGGAAGAGGACGAAAGCGAGCAGCCTCAACGCCGACCACGTTGGAAGCATCAGGGAAAAGAGCCACTAACCGATATCTCCAAGCTCATTGAGATGGAATGGGATGCAAGAGAGCCTGACTTAGATCCAGCGTGATCCCCCCCCCCATCCAGCTTTTGAATACAGATAGCAAAGACTGACTGTGTACAGAGATTTGAAAGCGCAAATTGATCGATGCAAGGAAAGAATAGATGATAATATTGTGCCATCTTTCTTTGAAGATCGCCTAAAGCTGCTTGAAGCAGAAAATTCAGAAATACTGTAAGACTAGGCACAGGACTGACTTTTTTTTCTTCGCAACTGATTTTATCGATAGAGAAATTCAGAAATCAGAAAAGGGAGTACATGGGTTGAGCATGGACGTTCTTACAAGAATAGCGCAACTTCGAGAAACCAAAGCTGCCCTTGAGAACAACGGGGGCGGATCGACAAACCAACTTCCTAATGTTGATGCAATTTTAGCTGCATACCGAAACAAGAGCCTTGATTGGACCGGACTAGTCACATACTGGTCGGAAGGGAAGCAGCTTTGTCAACCTAGGCTTTTTGATTGGGATGAATTTGAAGCAATCAATGATACCTACAATGGATCCAAAAGTTTTTGGGTAGAGGGGGTAAGTAACTCGTGAATGACTATCTTAGCCCATCTCATGTTCCAAGTCTCCAGATGTCATACAGATACACGTTTGCTAATAAGTCCCATAGTTTAGTGATTTAAGTCCTAGGTTGGCGTATGCAAATAGAAGGATACCTGCTCTGAGGAGACGTGCGTTAGCATACGGGACAGTGGAAAATGTCTTGCATTTTGTGAGTATTTGATCTCAGTAGACCCCTCAACTGATTAAAATAGTATTTATCTGATGTATTATATTCGCAGTATACACTCGCACTTCGAATCCCTGGTCGAAATTGGTGGACTGACCTTGAGTTTCTGTATGACACAGGGGCTTCGGATTTGCTGCTTTTCAGGGCAGATATAGATCTCATTGCAGGACCAATCCGTAACCCTGCATTACGTATAATCGAGGAAAACACTGTCTATGGGATTATCGGGGATATGACCACTCCGGTTGTTGAACTCGAGGTTACCATACTTGATACCCGGGGACGCAGAATCGGCCCATGGATTCGTGTTCCAGGTCGCATTGATGAAAGAGCTGGTGTGAACGGCCGAACCCCAGGAACTCGAGGAAATCCTCGATTGGATGGAGGAGTCCTCAGGCAGTTCTTTTACTACATGACCAGCCCCGATAATGACATAACTCTTACCATAGCCAAAAGTCGCCTTGGCATGTTTCCTCTTGCTGGTGGTCTCGGCGAGCAGGAACGTTTAGATCTCATTGAGAACACTAGGCAATATGAACCAATTGTGCCAGCCAGAGAATATGCACTTGGACGCCTTGATGCGGATGGGGTTCGTGAGATTCTACAGACTCGCCGAGACTTTCCACGAGCGGCATAAGGAATTTTCAAAGAAATACAACTTGAAGTGCTAAAATTGCTGATTATAACTTCAAAGGCTGAACATGTAGCATGCTGTTGTATTCAATGTCGGTGAATTATGAATATTCTCTCCCTTGCAAAATTTGAAGCGTCAAACATGCTTTCATCGTTCTTCAGATCGAGTGAGACCATCCACACTTCTCGAATATTGTTCCTTTTAGATGCTCGTCAAATTATGGATCCCTCACCGACTGTTTACCTGTCCCATTTTCTATCAAACTTTGTCTGGTTTTTTGGTCCTGTTTTTATCTATTCCCGTTTCTCTCTATCATTAATAAGTGGCTATATTTGCAGTAAGTCATCTTGAGCATTCATTGTCTTCAAATTTGAAGGGGGAATCCAGGCAGAATGTCGATTACTCCCTTGGTTTCGCAAGAAATGATTCTCCACCTTAGTTAATTTCTTGTAGATTCTCTTGAATGGACCTGAAATATTGTTCCACATGAATATGGGTTAATCGAGTCTAGGTACTAGTAATGAAGATGGGAGTGATTTCAAGTTGATACGATAATATGTAGTCACGAAGGATTATAGCTTTTCTAAGCACTCACAAGACGGTATAGGCCAATTCCGTATGTGTGGAGCACACTGGCATGACTCAAACCCCAATCTGAATGGATTCAAAAGAAATTGGCAACACTCTTGTAAGATATGAACAACACGGCTCAAGTGCTGTATGCCGTAAATGATTATCCATGAAGCTAGCTATCACCATCGCACAACCTTGTTGGGGAAAAATTCATCAATCAACTCCTGGCAATAAGGCTTTGATGTGGATAAGATCTTTAACAACCGACTTTCACAAAAATTCTTGATCGAGTTTGAAGGAATTCTTACTTTTTGAGTCTTCGCGTTTGGAACTTCATCACTCTTGCTTTACAGGTCATACGGGTTGAACGCACGGACCGCCTCAAGCATCTTCTTGTCATGCTCATTCATCAGTTCGTGATAGGCGTTCTCGCGGTGCCATGGGTAGAACGAATGGTATCAAATCATAGCGAGACCCTCCTCGGGAATAGTTGACTGATCCTTAACAATATGATAAAGATATTCATCATGACCCCAGCACAACATCACGTTCTCAAGTCCACAGCCTGGTGAGTAGATTCCAAAATTGGTACTGTAGACAGGGTTGTTGAGTCTTCATTGTTTCGGAAAGATTCAGTGCCGAAGATGATTCTCTCATCGAAGGCACATCCAACGGGGAATGAGTCACCAACAACATCCCACTATCACTGCGCACCGAAGAAGAACAGGAGTTTACCAAGATCATGGATCAATCCAACAAGTTGCATCCATCTCAGTTTTCCATCCTGTCGAATTGCTTCAGCGGATTGTAGGAGATGCGTCATTTGAGACTCTTGAGTATCAGGGTCGCACTCATCAATAAAAGTATCGAGCTTCTCCATTGCCTCCCATACGGTCATACGGGCGCGAGTCTTGGTATGGAAATCATTTTGGGCTTTCAGGTTATACGCGACGGTTTTCAGGGTGTGTTGCTGGGCATAGAAATTCTTGACGCGGTCGCAGGCGTCGTTGAATTGGCGAAAGCCGGTCTTATCTTTTGCCTGGTCAAATTCGGAGGCATCATACAAGTCCTTGGTTGCCTTGCCCTTGATAACGTTCACCGCATCGATGTTGTCAGAGGTGACCTCGATGTTCTTGGGTGCTTGCGGGATATCGATGATTGAAGCTGGCATTGTGAAGTCGTCTCCAATATCAAAGGATTTGACTTATAGAGGTCCACACTGTTCAAGTTATAGATGAATTTCTGATTCAGTTGAACATCTCTCCCATGGGGCAAGCTGAGCTTTCAATCCATACCGTCAAGTTCACCGACGTAATTTCTGATCCATGTCGGGTACATTAATCCGTAGATATACTCCGAGCGTAAGGAATCGTGTACTGATCTGAATATCCTCCTCAAGGTGTTGGAAATCCGATTCAACATACCCAGAAACTTGAAACGAGTAGATTCATAATGAAAAGCGTTTTCCGTTGGGTCTAGGTTCTCAAAACGTCGACTAGATGTACCGTGACCTTGTGCTCACTGCTCAGGTGGACGCCACTCACTGTTCCCCAATAACCTATCATTAGCCTAATGGATTTCTGTAGATGTGGGGATCACTAGCCTGACGAGCTGGGTAACTGAACCTGGTATTCGGCCCATTTGAACGAATTGGATGTAAGACCGATCATATATGTAAGCCATTTTGAGAATTGGGGTCAATCGGAGAATGATTACCGACCTCGGGAGTAATGCGGGGCCCCAGTATTGCGGGTACTAGCGGAGGTGATGTCTCCCTAAACTTGGAAATGCCCCGGGCCTGTTGTAAGCCATTAGGGGACTTTATGGACAACCCAAAAGACCCGCATAACATTTGACTCGGAATTGGGACATATTTGCATGAGGTCAAAAATTGGAATCTGCGGCTGACAGTGAGTAGTATGTCTGAATATGTCTCAGGTCCGAGGCAAGAAGCGAGAACAACCAGGCAGTTGACACTCAAGTGCTCCGACTCGGAGTTATTATAGTAGGTGACTCGGAGCCTTGAGTGAGACAAATTGATCGATTGACACGCTATCAAAATTTTGAATTGTAACTTGAACCTTTGAACACATCATTCCAAAGATTATTTCTAGCTGGTGTTAGTAGTAGAACTAGAAACTTACCAGTTGACTAATACTACGTTGAATATTCTTGGGAAGAGTGCAGACGAATGATGTGCAAGTTATATAGATTGTGAATAGTATGTCAACTAAAGCTTAGAACTTGAAGTCAAGTCATTGCCAAATACTATCTTCTCGCCACTGATCAAACTTCGCTGAAGAGCCTGGCCAATAGCAACAGCCTTAGCTGAGCTCTTAAGGCTGATAGGCACCGGCTTGTTATCCAGGCAACACTTGGTAAACTCGCGAGCCTCAGTAGCAAATGCCTCCCTAAATTGCTCATAGTAATGTTGAGGAAATTGACGCCTGGAGCCTTGGGAGTCGTGAAACTCAACATGGTTCTTTCGTGGCTGCATGTTGATTCTGACTGAGCCTCTCTCGCAGATAAGTTCTGTGGTATCTTCCTGTCCAGCGGCCATCATGCGTGAGCAGTACAATGCCGCAATCTTGCCACCCTCAAACTCCACTGTTGCCAGGGCATTGTCCCGATCGCCACTATCTCGTAAACCTGGATGAACAGCCGTAACGCCTACTGCTTGAAGGCTTTTGACTTTCCTTTCTTCGCCCATGAACCATAGCATAAGGTCAATGTCGTGAGTAAAGCAATCAACAAAGATTCCACCACTTGTCTTCGCATACTCCACGAAAAAGCCAGATTGATCGAGAAGGTCTGCAGTTTGGGAACGGAAAATAATCGGTAATCCAAATTCGCCGCTTGCAATGCTCTCATGCGCACCTCGGTACGATGCATCGAAACGACGAGAGAATCCGCACATCACTTTCTGGTTTGGTTAATTCTTCAAGGACTGTTCGTAGGTATCAAGCATGCTCTGGGACTATTTTGAAGATGGGAGGTTAGTATATGAGCGGGTAGAATGAGGAAGGCGGAGGTGATAGGTACATACGATGGCGAGATCGATGCTGAGAGGCTTTTCGCAGAGAACATGCTACCCCTTCTTAATTGCCTCGATTGCTTGCTTGGCATGAACAGCAGTGATACTTGCAACAACAATAGCATCCAAGTCATTCCGCTCCAGCATTGCATCGTAGTCTGCGTAGATCTCCACTCCCTCCAGGTTTTCAGCTCCCCATTTTCGCTCTTCGGCATCGGGTGTGCTTGCTGCAATCACATTGGCTCGGGTAGTGAGCTCGTGGAAATTCACAGCGTGGCGTTTGCCTGTGTTGTGTGTCAATTAGCTGGGAATTTTGTGATCGCAGTTACATTGAGACATACCCATGCGACCGAGACCGGAAATTCCGACGCGAAGCTTGGTTTTGGACATTTTGAAGTAAAAATGAATATGAGACTGGAAAATGTGTGGAAAAATCAATCTGTTCAGGGAGTTTACTGATCTAAATAGGGGATCTGGAGCTTGGTCAAATCGGAGCCAAAATGCGGGGGTCGGAAATTGAATTCTACCCTCGGGGTTGGAAATCCGATGGGTGAATCACGAGGATATCTGGTAGTGCAGAATGAGATATTCATTTTCTACTAAATTTAGGAAAAAAGTTTCCCGAAATGGTGGCTAAAAGGGCCGCATTGATTATTCCCAGGTTGTGCTCAGCCGTCTGAAGATGCAGAAATTACTAAATAGTTCCAGTGTATACAAGCTCAATCATTCTAATTCCATTAAAGTTGATACTATACAATTTCTAGTGTAGGATTCTTGCTCATCTGACTCCTAAATAGCTTTGACAATTTCACAGTGCTCAATGTTCTCTTTGCCCTTATCCTCCAGATGGAGACACTCAACCCCACTCCACGCTCCGTTCGTGCGATTCTAGTGACTTCCTCCCACGAAATGCCATTTCCTCCTTCATGTTTCAGCTCAAAAAGACGCTCGACTTGTTCCAAGGAAAGATTGGCAGTCTCGATGTAATAGAACCAAATAATTGGAAGAAAACAGATATTGAAAATTGCGAACAGCATATAGTACTTCCAGCCAATGCTATCGATCGCAGTCGGCGTGGCAACGATGACAAACACAAAAAGCCAGTTGATAGTTGTCGCAAACGATGTTCCGATATTGCGCATATTCTGTGAATTGATCTCTGCGGGGTAGATGTAAGGTATCGAGAGTAGCGACAGCCCTAAAAGACGTAGTATAGGAATATGAAGACAACGGCAAGGATGGACATTCCCTTGTTGTCTGGTCCACCATATCGTAATCCAACCGCGACAAGTGCAAAGCAAACGCTCCTTCCAGTCGCGCCAAATAACATAAGTCGCTTGCGACCCACACGGTCAATAACCAGCGCGGCCATTCCACCCCAAAACATTAGAGACATCGCGTCGACGGCTGAAAGAATCAACGACATGCAATTACTGAGTCCGACAGAGCGCGTCAGAACGATTGGTAAATAGTATGCAATGACATTTGTTCCTCCAACTTGCTGAAAGAAGGCAGTTCCCGCGCCAAGTAGTATGCGACGTAAAGTGAACTATTTGCTGCTACGATTGAATATTTCCTTGATAGGAGCTGATGCATTCATTTCAGACTCATGGTCAACCGTTGCCACGAGATTTTGAATCTGGTCAACAACCACTGGATCATCGGTGGACATATTCATCAATCGGGATAGGACATCCCGAGCTTCGCTAACTCGATGTTTCATAACCAGCCAACGTGGCGATTCCGGGCTAATGAGCACCATTGCGATAGTGACCAGCGCAAAGAAACACTGAAAAGCAAGCGGGAAACGCCAGCTAACAGGGTTGTCGGGAATAAATGTGAATCCATAGTTCATACACTGTTTGAAATTCTGTTAGACCATGTGCTTCTTAAATTTGGCATTTCTGACTATGACGCAGAACACTCACATTTGTAATAACAATTCCAAATATATTGGTAACCAATTGAGCCACAATGAGCTTTCCTCTATCTTCCGCACTAGCAGTTTCTGCTGGCCAAATTGGAATAGCGATTGTGTTCATACCATTTCCAATTCCTGCGACGATTCGACCGACAAAATAGAAACCCAGCACCACAAGCAGCGGTGATTCTGAATTGAAGGGCTTTCTCTCGAGTATCCGGAGAAAAAATTCTTGACTGGAAGATGGGAATAATTTCTGAATGCACAATAAAACCGTGATTATTGCGGAAATATCCGGACTAGGTCAGTTTTTTATAGTAGGACATTTTCGCCTGTCCACTCATAATTGAGACATATAACCATGACAGACTCAATGGGTTTACGCTTACCCATTATCTGTGGGGTAAAATCGCGGGGTAGATCATACCTTGGTTTGGACTGAACATTTGAATCTTTGAGACTCTGACAAGATCATCTCGGGATTCAATTAGCGGGAACGTTGATATTCGGGAGTGAAGATCCCGGATTTATCATCGATTGGCTGGCAATTGACTTCAGTCTCCATCTAAAGTGTAAAGTCAACTCAACGAAAACAGTCGGACGCCAATCATTAACTCGAAATAGAGAAACTGCCCCGTACCCCGGATTTCTGACTTTCATCTTCACCCTCATTGCGTGTGAGCATTCCGAAGCCGATAAAGCTTATGGCTTACCAGACCCCCACGCATTTTCTCCAGGTCGGAACCTCGCCGTCGCTGAAACTCCCACACAGACTATGACAGGTATCAGGATGCGATCGGTAAATTTTCCCAGGAGAAGTAAACATGCCACTATGGCATGTGTGTCCTGCAGGGAGAGCAAGGCGAAGGTGAGCATTGACTGGTGATTTGGGAATGATTCTCCAGTCTCAGGCGGCGTCATGGAACTCTGACACCATAAGTTGAAAAGTGCGATGGAAAACAGCCGGCATGTTCCACGTGTGTCAGTAGGAGACGCGAATGCAGTTATCAGACTATTGATAAGCGAAAGTCGGTCATCTATTTCAGTGCGTGAAGTGTTATCTTTGTTGACCATCGATGAATTTTTAGACTGTCATTACGAGTTGCTATTGAGCTTTTGACGGCCAAAGTTGATCAGTTATGCCATTTCATAAATGAAAATGGACTAGAGCCTCCATTGCTCCCCTTGGAGAAAGAAAAATCGCTCAGAAAAATCTTGGAATCACTAGGAATGGACGAATTAAGTCCAAGATTAGAAACAACGCTATCGAAGGAGAGTGAAATAGAGAGGTCGGTAAACCACTCTTCAGACCCAAAAAGTCTGCCAACAGATCCATATGTCAAAGCCCCAGTCCCCGGAAACATGTTGCAAGCTTCTGAATTCATCCTTGAGACAGGGACCCAACTCAATCTGAGCCGCCCAACTAGCCCACCGCATCATTCCACAGCAAGTGAAAATTTTGGTCTCCCCGTGGGAAAAGATAAACAGAGTCCGACCCAAGACAGCCCAGACAGTATTCTTACTGCTTGGGACTTTGATCTTGGGGTTGAAACATGTATTACAATTCCTCCACTGGACAGTGACGATTTTCTCAACTTATCGCCCAGCGACATGCTATCTATGGAAGGAGATGCTTTAATGGCTCTCTTACAACCCGCAAGCAAGGAGGATGAACAGAGATCGGAGAGCTCAACAGATATTGAGGATATCATAGACGAGATATCGAACCGAGTAGGAACCTTGAGAATCAGTCCGGGCGGAAATACCCAGTTTCGGGGTCCTATATCTGCATTCAACCTCCCAGGTGTTATTCACTGCGAGGAACCCGATGAACGGCCTCATCCTCGAGGGCTTTCGGTAGAAAATCAAGATTCTCTCGGATCAGAGTCGAAAATATCCCCAGAATTGGAAGAACACCTGCTCAACCTCTACTTCTGTTGGCAGGATCCATCTTCGCACACAGTAGATCGCAGGATTTACGAAGATGCGAAAGTAAAATGGCAGAATACGGAGGAGACGTCATTCTACTCTGATGCACTACGGTATTCTATGCAAGTCGCGCCCGGGCTGATTGGTCTTCTCAAAATTTGAGGGATATCCGCTAACTTGAATCTATGACATAGGTGTGCACTGGGCAGTACTTTTGAATCTCGCTTCCATTCTGACCTTATCACATTTCCCAAGACATTGGTCGATTTCCTAGGTGCATGAGCAAAATCACTCTTGGAGATTGAGTTAGACTATCCGTGCGTCGCAACATTACAAGCACTGATTATTCTGAGTAATCATGAGATTGGAAATGGAAAAGAGGGTCGTGCATGGTTACTGAGTGGTATGTTTTGGTTTCACGCGTTCGTACGTTTCTAGGTTCTACCCGCTGATAAAAGCAAGGCATGGCTATGCGACTCGCATTTGACCTTGCTTTACATCTAGATATTTCTTATCTTGTTTCCGGTGGCGCTATTACTGCTGAAGAGGCGGACCTTCGCCGCACTGTTTTTTGGAGTGCCTATACCGTTGACCAGTGAGTCGACAAACGTGTTTATTATATTCTCCACGCCTTGAAATAGCTAACTATTCCCAGCCAATTGGTCTTTCATCTTGGTAGACCTTTTCGGACGAGTATGGAGGACGTGACAGTCGGAAAGCCTCATGACCGACTTACCAAGCCCAACCAATACAGGTGGGCACCCTATGAAAGTTCGAACTGTGGGGATGAGGCATCTGGATTACATGACTGCGTCGAAGCAGTCAGCCAGCAGCTTGTCTCACTTTGTGAGCTTATGGGTCCTTGTGGCTATCTACTGTGAGGATTTAGGTTTATCTTGAGATATTTAGTGACGTATGAGTAGATACGGTACATCCCGAATCTCCAAGTCCACCTTGCAAGAACCCAATGCGAAAATTGTGGCAGAGTTGGGCGGATGGAAAGCCAGACTTCCACTTTTCCTACAGATCAACCTCGATGATCATACATCTCCATATCTCCCTCACGTACTACTCTTACAGTAAGTGAAAGAAAAAGATGTCACCGCACCCTTGACATATCGAAACGCTAATTTATTGCCGAACATGTAGTATGCAATACCACCAGAACATTATTTACGCACATCGACCTGGGATGTCAAAAGGCGGCCTACAGCCCCAGCCTCCAAAGGGCCCAGGATATCTTCATGCGCGAGAATGTGCATCGGGTCCGCGATCGCCATCTCCAAGATCCTTGTTCTCTACGAAAATCGATATACACTGCGACGAATTAATGCCAAGGCAGTATCGATTACATCCTCTGCCATTCTACTACTCCTTTTTGCTGCCGTTACAAAGTATCCGGGCCACCCGCTGGATGAAATAAATATATATTTGAGCTCCTGTTTCCGCGCACTGGATGAATTCGCGCGTTCCTGGCAGAGTGCCCGACGCGCCAAGAAACTTCTCGTTAATTTGCAGCGAGAATGGGAGAATCGAACAAAACTGAACAAGAATGGCAGAGCGCTTGAAAAGTCGGCTTTTCTACCTCGGAAGCGCTTAAGGGGGCGGAATGGAATTTATCAAGTGCCGCTTCCGCAACATAAACGGTATCCGGAAGGACGAGATGACTTGAGTGTCAAATCAGCTCAATTTTCCAACCTACCCAGATCTTACAGCAGCTTACCATATCCAGTGAAACCTATCAACTTGAATGAGAATCATATGTTAGCCTCCCATTGAATGAGCAAGGGGTATTTGAAAGTCGCACCAAAAACATGCTCGGTGGAGAACATTGAACGTTTGACGTGTGATTGGCACATAGTGTCTTCCTGTGCGATTATTCTTCCGCCGATTGGACTTCACATCCTCTCTATAACAACTTTGTGTGGTTTATGCATCAATACATCTATCATCATGTCAGAAATTAAAGTGGATCTCCAAACGGTTGTCGATCATTAGTAGATTCATTCCTCTTTTCGGCCACTGGTTGATCCACCCTCTGTATACTCCCGAGGTACGTCCACAAGCCTCAAGAGCAAGAGCAAGTCGCTTCTGTCAGAGCTTTGTGTCAACAGCGTTGAATGATAATAGTCTTAATTTTACGTCTGTCTTTTTTCCTCTTGCGGCAACTAGGAGTTTACCCGGAATTCTGGCCCTTACTGGAACTCAAATACTCAAACCACTTGAAAGGACCTTCGAGCTTCTTCTCGACTGGGGTGCTAATATTGGGTTACAGGATCAAGACGGCCAGACCGCGCTTTTCTATGCGGCAAAGTCCGGAGATGAGAAGTGCGTTCAGCTCCTTCTGCAAAGGGGTGCCGACTTACATTTAGAAGATCACCATGGCCAAACACCGCTCTTCGTCGCCACAGCGTGCGAGAGGACGAAGATCATTCAATTATTCCTCGAGGCGGGCGCGGGCTGTGACATGCCAAATAAGGCTGGCCATACACCCCTCATCCATGCTGTAAATGGTGGACACAAATCTTCTCTTAATACACTCTTAGGAGCAGGTGTCAACCCTGATGCCACAGATGAAGTCAGCCGAACACCGTTGTCTTATGCTACAGAGTCCTGGGATCTGACCATCATGAAGCGACTTCTTGAAAAGGGCGCCTCCCCCGACTTACGAGACTCTCGCGGTGGAACGCGGATATCTCACGGTGCAGATACCCTAGAGAAGAGTGATGGTCCTCGTTTCCTTAAAAAGGTTATGAAATTCAAAGACGACCAGTCAAGCGAAGCGCTCTTGGAATTCATTGTACGGGCAGACGAATTCACCCCAACAAAGAAATCGCGCAAGGCTCGGTTTCGAAAGTTCAAAAAAAGAGTCACAGCGAGCAGCCCTCGTGGAGCGTAATTTGAACGAATGAAAAATACATGGTCTTGGTCTCACCGACCTTTTGGGAATACTGATCTCAAGTGTCAAGGTGGCCGAATATGACCATCGCACTCTTCTCATGTGATTTCAGATGAACCCCTTGAAACATCCCCATCCGAGCTCATTTGTTTTTTCCCACGTTTGGCTGTTTTTTTTAAAGCAGGGCCCACTGGCATCTGCTTTTTGAAAACTTGTATTTGAGAAATGCGCTGTTGATATGCTTCGAACAAGAGCTGAATTGCTCCGCGTCTTTATTGTGAAGACTTTTGAATGATACTCTGGGCAAGGGTACGATATGAACATAAGATAGAAATGAGGGCACCCGAGCGACATATTTATTCCTCGGCATTCTTGACATAAATTTAAAGTTTGAAGGGGATAGGGATGGGGATGTTTCAAAATTTCGAAAAAAAAATAGAACAGGAGTCTGAGTGGATGTTCAGGAATGATAGAGGATCTGGTTCTGGAATGGATCATAAAGATCCATTCGATTTGGGTCAGAATTCTCCATTCTAAGGCCCATGTCCTGGTCATTCCAGCTATCAGCAGTTTGAATACTGTGAAAACAATAGAGATGTTCCCTTATCTACTTTGTTCGAGTACATACGACCACAGGGTGTGGAGAACAGGGCTTCCCGTCCGCTCAGCCGTACTTAAGCCACACGCCGGTCAGTTAGTAGTATGGTGGGTGACCACATGCGAATCCTGACTGTTGTATGTTTTTGTTTTTTTATTTCTTGAATCGTTAGGCAGGCTCCCCTTGTTGCCCTCTTTGTTCCTCCAGTCGTTGTACGATTACTCTCTAACCTTTTCACCTTCAAGTTGGCGTAGTCATGATTCTACTAGGACGAAGACCTCTGACCTGACGCCGGTGAGTCAGAGGAGACTAAGTAGAAGCAGCGAGAGCCCACTGTACCTTCTATCCACATGTGCAGGTCTTAGATTATATCAATCTTCAGGTTCCGAGGCGAAGAAACTAAAGAAGGTTGGGGTCTGGGTAGAAACTTCAAGTTGAACTTGAAAGCCTGAATTATACATCTGGAGGGAGTACATTGATAGATATATTAGTGGATCCGGCTAGGTATATAGCTAGGTATCTTAAGCTTTCAAAACTTCAAGTTGAACCTTCCAAGGTTGGAATGTTTCAATGTTCAAAGGTTGATTCCTGATCTTTATCTTTAGGTAGGTACGGATTTCTTATACATAATATTCAAATGTTTAATCACCCTTCAAATTTTGGAGCTGATTTCTTACATATACAACTTGAGCTTGGAAAGATACTTCAATGTCACGGTTTAATAAAATAGCCTTACTACAACATTTGAAGGACTTCATACTTCTGCTTATCTGATCCATGGTAGCACCACATGTGCAGCCTCTATGATAGAATCTGGTTCCTCCTCGCCAAGTCCTTCCTCTGCACCGTTACGTGAGTATCAAAAGGTTCAAGTTCCTATTATCATTTCGGTATGCAGGGGAGCAAGTCCCTCAAATCCTCTACCTTTCCTAGGCCTAGGTGATGATATCGCCGGCGCTGATTTTAAGGGGTATCTCAATGTGGCCGTGGAGAGTATTTTAGATGGGGTTTACCTGATTGTCGCCTTGCAGATGTTTGATCTACACGAACGGGTGCTGGGATTCCGACATGATAATGATATCCGGTGTACGGGTCATCGGTGGGGAATACGCCATTAGGAGAAATCGTAATTTATGGCATATTAGCTCGTCAATGGCAATTAAACATATTGCTGGTAATCATCAGCTTGGCCATAATTACCGTTCCCATAGAGTTGATTGCAGTCCACTTCCAGTGCTGTATTATATTCGGCGGGCAAACCGTCCCAACTCCGCCTGACCATTCAAGACAACAGTGTCTTTTTCATCTTAATATTGTTCCGATATAGTACACTGTGAGATATCGGACTCTAAAATCACTAGAACCGGGTCCAGAGGGGGATCGCGGCATTTTATTGTCATCGATCTAGAGGAACATGAAGCCTTGTTTACCGGCATTTTCCACAACGACAATCTACAGTAAAAATCCGTTATATTTCAAAGTGGAGCACTCCTGTAACTTATTCCAATTAAGTGCGGTCTACAGACGTTATTCAAAGATAATGCTACTCCGCAGTGACGAAACAACCTTCGCTCCTGCTGAGAGTGGGGGTTTCGACCCATATCGGACCAGAGTAAAGAAGGATTAGTTCTCTTCTCTCTGTGACGTTCGTAATTTTTTGTGTCTAATCCTGAGGGCTTCATGTTAAAGTTGAGCCATGCTGTGGAGACTTCTTAGGCCGAGATATTTCAAGTTATTGGCTGGCACTAGGTCGGCGCACAAGCGCGGTGCTCAGCCCTCTTATGTTGTCACCCCTCTTCTCTTGTCACCTTCAAGGCTTCAACCATCTTTATCCATATTCCCTCATGCTGTATATGTTTATTTATCTATCTACAATATGAGCTTATTGGAAATACCTAATGAATTAATCCTGCTTATTGCACTCTCCCTCCCTGAAAGCGCTCTCGCCCATCTACTACAAGTTCATCGCTCCCTTTACAAACTTCTCATCCCGAATCTTTACCAGCGCCATATACGAGACTCTAAACTTCAAGAAGGGCTCTTCTGGTGCACTGCCACGGGCAATGAAGCAGCTGTCAAAAAATTCCTTCACTACGGTGCAGATGTGAACGCGTCCATGGGCATAATTTCAATTCGTTATGCGAAAATACCTTTCCAGCCTTGGTTCGATGTGCAGACACCCCTGAGTATAGCAGCAAACATAGGAAACGACACATTAGTTGCCTTACTGCTAAACAATGGCGCAAATGTTTACGGATTCCCTTCTCCTCACTGGGGCCCAACCCAGCCGGGGGTAGTAGATGCCCTGTTATCGGGCCATGAGAGCACGGTCCGGCTTTTATTATTGCATGGGTGACCTATTCATGAGCCTGGCATGGAGCAAGGCGGGCTGGTCAACTGCGCAATATCCATGGGACAAATTTCTCTTCTCAAATTGTTAGTTGAGTTCAAGGCAGATCTCAATATGCCCTGGCAGGGAAGGTATCCTTTGAACAGAGCTGTGTCGTCTAGCAATATCTCAACAGAGATAGTTCAGTTCCTGCTGGATAATGGCGCAGATATCGATTTAGCGAATCGTCATCCTGGCCTCCTGTTAAACGAAGCATATCATGGCACAATTTATACTTTGCGTCTATTGCTTGACCGTGGATTAACCTATCCGCCAGATGACTTTGAGAGATGGTTTGGAATATTGGTTGACGGGTGTCCAGTCGAGACGGTGCATCTGTTGCTCGAATACGGTTATACGTCGAATATCGAGATGCTGTCGATTGCGATAAGAGTTCAGCGGGGAAATATCCTGCAGCTCCTCATTGATAGCGGTATTGATCTAAATATGAGAGATACGAGAGGGTTTACTCTTCTTCACACGGCTATCTTTCGCTGTATACCCTCAGACCCGCCAATTAGAATCGGTCACGGGAGCATAGTATGTCGTCGGCCGGGTAGGAAGAGTCTGGTACGTAAAATAGAAACTGGTCCGCAGCGGGTCTCACCTCCATGTATGAGTGACAAGGTTGAAAAGTACGCCCCGGAGGAAATCGGGCACTGTCTGATCCGCGGAGGTGCAGACTGCAATACCCAGGACGCGCGGGGGCGCACCCCGCTGGCTCTCGCCAGAAAATGTTCTCCGGCGATACAGCAGATTCTTGTCGATGGTGGAGGTGAATAGAGAAAGATGGCATGAATAATATCATCTATTGGAGTATGGGTTCAGCTGACCCCCTCTGTTTGCCAGCGCGTGTATGTCTTAGCTCTCTCTCTCTCTCTCTCTCTCTCTCTCTCTCTCTCTCTCTCTCTCTCTCTCTCTCTCTCTCTCCTCCATCCATCTTGGAATGTAGATCTTGCCCCTTTCTTCTGTTTCCACGCTATCATGTAGCTCTTTCGCTCTTTCCCCCCTGGACGGCAGACCAACTGCCAACAATATCTCTCCTCCATGCGCTAGGGGGGAACATCCCACTGATATACTTATGGAATTGCATCTGCAGTGATACCACCAGTATCACCGTGCCAAAATTCGAAGTCAGGAAATTGATATCGTTATCATCCCTGTGTTTTGTTCAACTTCCCTCGAACCTGGTGAATGGCCTGTATTCCATACGGAAGATCACCGTCTGTGTAATTTGTTTTGCGGGAGAAATGCAAGGGCGGTAGTACGAGGAGACAACATTTGATCAAAGGAGAATTCAGAATTCTGCCAAACCATGGCCCTTCGGCGGTGAGTTAGCATTCTTGTCGGTGGCGCAGCTGAAGGCTCTAAGGGACACCCTGCATGTACGATCATATTTCGTGGCTTAAGTTATGAACAAGGTTCCCCAGATTCCTGTACGAACTTTATATCGGGAAATAACCAAACATAACCATCATGTCTATCTGATAGACCTCCTCACTATCTTTAAGGTTTGGCCACCTAGCATCAAAATCATCCAGTTGGTATCTTCATGTTTACAATCAGCCCATCTCTACTTCCAATAGTCAACTGGTAATGGCGCAAGTGGCGGAAAAGATGACGATGTTGAGTATGGCAATGTCAACTGGTGTACGGAATACGAGTTTTTACTAAACTGTTTTACTTAATGATGTTCAAATGTTCGTGCTAAGTGCCTCTGCACTTCTCCCTACACACATGTGCAATCTGAATGTCAATGATATCCTTGAATACGCTCTAAGATGTCAAGTGAAAATTTCTTCAGCTAGTACTATTAGGCGATATGATTGGTTCAAGTTCGGCTAATTAGCGAAAATCGCGGTGGGTCAATCAATTGAAATTTAGTTCTTGAAATCAACATCACTTAAAGTTCAAATTGATATTCCTACGCGAACCAAGAGTTCTCAACGGCTGCGTGGCTAGTTCATTATGAAATCGTTAGCTGAACGGCCCAATCCAGACTCCCGGGCCCGGCGTACCCGATGCCCAGGTGCCCAGGTGTCAAAGTGGATACGGGTCGGCTATTATTGCGCTGTCATTTAGTGATCTATTTATCTTTCAAAATATTTACACCTATCATTTCTTTGAACGTTAGACCTATTATCTCTTAGCACGTTGCTAGTGATGTCTTAAAGTAGAATGGATTCAGCTAAGCCCCTGACATCTTAACGGGCCGACTGAGCCGAGGCGAACACATAAGATGCCCTTATAATGTTGTGGCTCCGGGGAAGTGTCAACACTATCATCCCTGGAAAACACATCAAAAATGTCTCTCGCGTCAGTGTCAAATTCAGACTGTAGTCCCGCCGTGGCAGAGTGCCGGGCACTCTACGAGCAAATATGGCACACGCCTTCGCCAACTGTGGAATTGGCTCGATCACCACTGATGAAGCCTGCATCACTGTCGTTGACTGTCGAAGAGCGAACACAGCTCACATATCAAAGAGCAAGAGCGTTGGCACAATCTTACAGTATCATCTCCTCCCACAATTCTCATGCTTGCAATTGACTAATCGGGATTAATATAGACTTGACATTGAAAGACGTAGTTGAAATGACTCCACTATTCTGGAAACTTCACATGGACATGCTCACCGCTATGGACGGCGGTGCAATCAACCTCGTCAGCGTCCAATATAATCTTTTTGTCGGCACAGTTGCTCCATTTGTTGCAACACATCCGGAATTGCCATCCATTATCGAGAAGGCATTGAGAGTTGATATCTCGTACGTCATTCGCCAAATTTTTCCGGAAGTATACTTTTTTAACCTGCTTTAGATCACAATTCATGCTCACGGAGCTCGGTCATGGCTTGGATGCTCGCAATCTTGAAACAACGGCTACACTACTGCCCAATGGCGACTTTGAGTTGCATACCCCGACTCCGAACGCCGCCAAGTAAGCGACAATATTCTCCCGGAGTATCATACTCTCATACTAACAAAGCTATCTTAGATGCATGCCACCCAATACTCCACGCAACGGACTTCCAACCATTGCAGTGGTCATTGCGCGTCTCATAGTTGAAGGAGAGGACCGTGGAGTCCGCCCGTTCCTTGTTCCCATGTCCGACGGTACCAAGATGTGCACCGGAATTACCTCAAAGTAAGTATCAGCAATAAGTGTCTAAAGATGTATCCAGACTGACAAGAATGGTTATCCAGAGTCTTCCCACCCCGTCCGGGCGCGAATCCAATTGATCATGCCCTGACCTACTTCAACCACGTCAAGCTCCCACACTCCGCCCTGCTCGGTAGCTTGGAAAAGCCACGAAATGAACGCGAAAATTTCCTATCCACCATCCACCGCATGGGCGCCGGAACTCTCTTCTTAGCTGGTGCCTGTATTCCTCTAATCAAAATGTCTGTATACAACGCCAGCAAATTCAGTTTCCGACGCCACATCCTCGGAAACAACGGAGAGCCAATGCCTGTGATCGACTTCCGGACGCAGCATCTTCCCATCTTGCACGCTATCGCGCGCGCTCATGTCCTGCAAGCGTTCCTGATTTACGCTGGAAGGGAGTATTGCACTCAGGCTGATTCGCGCGTCCGCCATATCTTTGCAACGACTTTCAAAGCTGTTACCATTCATCACTTCAAACATAGTCTTCAATCTATTAATGAAGGCTGTGGCTGGCAGGGATATTATGATCGCAATCAGATCCTCGCAGCTAGCGTAAGGCTCCGCTTCCCCAATGAGCTAATGTGCATTGCTGACCGCCTCCGAAATATAGTTGGAGTTCAACGCAGTGGCAACCGCAGAAGGCGACGTTCGAGTCCTAGCTATCCGTATGTTTATTCCCTACTCTTTACAAAAATGACCCAAACTAACTTAAATCCACTATCACAGGCCTTGCCAGTGAACTTCTGATCGGCCGTTATGAGGTCCCACCACCAAAGAACCCCAACAGCGCTCTCGCACGCCACGAAGCAGGTCTCTTCGCCGAAGGACGGGAATTAATGAAGCGCTTCGGCAACAAGCACCGCAGCGAAGCCTTCAACCGCACTATTCTCCCACTGTGCCTTCCTCTAGTCCTCGCCATCGGTTACCGTATGGCACTTGAGGCCGCTATAGACATGGAAATTGACCCGAAGCTGCGCGCCCTCTACGAAGCCGGAATCTTCAAGGAGGATGCTAGCTGGTTTGCGGAGAAGGGCGGAATTAGCCGTGAAACGCAGCGCGCAATGGAGGCGCAGGCCGCCGATTCCGTTCTTCCGGACTTGGAGCGCTTGGCTGAGGAAACTGGCGTCGAGCCATATTGCACTGCGCCTATGACCTCGCAGGCCTTGTGGGATGGGTATGTTGAAGAGTTAGAGACTTTCTCCGGAGATGCGGTGTGGAAATTTGAAGAGACTAAGGCCCGGCTTTAAATTTCTTCTAGATTTATTTGTTTTGAGCGCTTTCATTGTTTGACAATATTATAGATCAATTTGAGATTAATGTAATTCAATTCCCAGCTGAAGCTACGATCCCTCTTGAGTTGTAGTCAAGCTTGACCAATACTGCACTATGACTGAAAATTGGGCATCTTCTTTGTTCCCTAGTGCGATCTAGCGTGGAAGACTTAAAACAGGGCACTGCTGATCAAGAACAGGTAAAAATAAATAGAGCCAATGCAAAAAGACACTGGCAATTTTGCATGGACCCATGAAAGCCGCGATACATAAAATCACAACTGCGTATGTTTCACAATGCACACAGGGCGCCCGAAAGAATGTAGTCTCCCATCGAATCAGCAAGGGCGTCTGCCAGACTGCGACTTTCCTGATCGCCACAACACCAAAGCTTGGCAACCGTACAGTGCAGCGGCTGTTGAACCCACCACGCGACAAGTGGATAAACGTGTCGGCACTATGCATGCTGTCAAACCCGTAAATATAGTCAGCCAATAGAGACTTCTAGCTCGCTCGGTTATTGTGACTTCAAAATTTCGAACTAGTAGTTATCAGCAGCGCCACAATCCACATATTGGGCTGGACTAAAACTGATTGGGCCAACGCCGTGCTCGAACACCAGTTCAAGTCCGATAGCGGGGCCGCGCCGGATGTTCAGGTAGATACTGGGACTGACTCCTGCTTCAAAAGGCATAGACAAAACACGGAGCGGCCGTAGCTGAGCCAAGACACGTTGGAGCAGGCAAAGATGCCTAAAGAATATAATGGAGCATAGACCTCGCATTAAATTGTGAAATTGTGAAATTCATTAAGGTCACAAAAATGGGTGAACTTGTAGATCGCACCAGGGATGCGTCCCAGACGATAACCAACAATATCAACGTCTTCGGTACAATTACCGACTCGGAAAACAATCCGCTTCTAGGTGGCGAATGCGGGAAGCGTTTAATGCCCCATGTCATTGACGCAACGGCTATCGCGACTCCAGATGCTGAATGCTTGTCCGTCCCCAGGACCTATGGCAAGCCCAGCGATGGCTGGAAGTCTGTTAGCTGGGCCCAAGTTGCAAATGCTGTTAACTATGTGGCTCGTATGTTGATTGAGCAGGCTGGGACGCCGAAGCCTGGTTCTTTCCCCACGGTTGCGTATATCGGCCTTGAAGACCCTCGTTATGTGATCCTTATCATGGGCGCAATTAAGGCAGGCTTTAAGGCTTTCTTCATCTCGCCACGGAATTCCGTCGAGGCACAGGTTAACCTGTTCGAAAAGACGGACTGCAATCTCTTATACCATGATGAGACGATGGCGTCAATAGTGAAGCCATGGGTTGCCGGACGCCCTGGGATGAAGAGCGTCGCAATTCCTTCATGGGATGACTGGGTGAACACGCCCGTCACCCCATTCCCGTATACAAAGACCTTCGCCGAGGGCGAATGGGACCCATTTGTGGTACTTCACACCAGCGGTAGCACAGGTCTACCTAAGCCAGTCATTGTCCCCCAGGGCAGTTTGGCCCTCAACGACCTACATCGCTATGTTCCCGATTATAATGGCGCTATGCCGTGGTTGGCGACATGGGGAGAATTCGATAATCCACGATACCTTTGCGTCTGTCCTCTTTTCCATACCGCAGGAATTATGCCCACGGTTGTCTCGCAGTTCTACTATAAAACTCCAGTTCTATATCGCGATCCGTCAGTTCCCCTCACGGGCGATAACGTGGTTGAGTGGTTGCAGAACTCCGGCGCAACATATACTGTGCTGCCTCCGGTGATTCTGGAGCAAATGTCTCGATCACAAGTAGCGCTCGATGAGCTGAAGAGGTTGCAAGTTGTGGCTTTTGGAGGAGGTGAGTGAGCGAAATTCCAATGAAGTGTGGACCGATATTAACTGAGCCCTATTTACAGGTCCAATCGCGCCCGCTGCAGCGGCTTCATTGCTTAGCAACGAAGTCAAACTGGTCGACGCCATTGGAGCAACGGAATACGCCTACATGCCGTACTACCAGCAGCCAGACACATCCCTCTGGGAGTGGTTTATCGTCCCGACAGACTTGGTGGGTATCGAGTGGCGGCCCTTTGGCGAGAACACCTATGAGCAGGTCGTTGTTCGGATGCACAAGGATCATCCAGGTCCGCAGGGGTGCTTTTATGTTTTCCCAGAGCTTGATGAGTACTGCACGAAGGACCTCTTCCGCCGGCATCCCACTTTGCCAGATCACTGGGCGTACGTGGGTCGCGCCGACGACATTATCGTATTTTCCAGCGGTGAGAAACTCAACCCCACGACCATCGAAGGAGCAGTGATCGGACACCCGGGGGTTCTTGGCGCACAGGTTGTGGGTTCAGGACATTTCCATGCTGCTTTGTTGATCGAGCCGGCGAAACCGCCGGCAGATGAGCAGGAAAAGCAGCAGTTCCTCGACGATGTTTGGCCAGTTATCGAGAAGGTCAATGAGCAGACCGTCGCGCATGGTCGCATTTTGCGTGACTATGTCTTTTTGTCTGACCCAGCGCGACCCTTCCCACGAGCTGGTAAGGGAACCATCCAGCGAGCTATGGCTGTAAAGCTCTACGCGGATGATATTCGCCGTATCTTTGAATCTAGCTCTGATTCCAACGGTGCAAGTGTAGAGCTTGACTTCAGCTCAGATGCAACCCTTGCAGATGGTATTCGGGATTTGGTCCGAGAGACGCTGAAGTCGCCTGCACTCAGCATTAATGATGACTTCTTCACTATGGGCGTCGACTCGCTACAGGTTCTCCAGCTTGCCCGGGTACTGAGCGCCAGTGTTAAGAATACTATTGAGGCGAGAAGTATCTACAGCTACCCAACCATCGCCAAACTCAGCTCCTTCATCAATTCTCTTGCCGGATCCAGCTCGAATGGAGTCGCAGTTACCAGCACCGAGGCCGACACTCTCGCCCTTTGCTCCGCCCTTGTCGAAAAATATACGCAAGACCTTCTCTCCCCAACAGCCGAAAAACCCCTTCCCGCTACTACAAACCAGACTATTATCATCACTGGCACAACTGGAGCTCTGGGCTGCTATCTTCTGGACCTTGCCCTCGCAAACTCAGAAATTACCAAGATCTACTGCTTCAACCGAACCTCTGACGCACGCGAGCGCCAAATCGCTGCAAGCAGGGCTCGCGGTCTCTCCATCGACTTCCCAGAATCCCGCGTGGAATTCCTTACCGTCGACCTCTCCTCCTCGGCCACATTCAACCTGCCAGAGGAGATCGCAGCTCGCCTCACGAGCACAGTGGACCGCATGATCCACAACGCCTGGCCGGTGGACTTCAATCAATCCATTGCATCCTTCGAGCCGCACCTTTCTGGAGTCAGGCATCTCATTGACTTCGCCGCTGCCGCCACAAAGCGTATTCCTATCACCTTTGTTTCGTCTGTGAGCACAGTCGAACAATGGCCCGAATCAACCCTTATCCCTGAGAAATCACTCTCGGACTTTACTCAAGCATCTCAGATGGGCTACGGCCAATCAAAGCTTGCCGCAAGTCTAATCCTGGATGCTGGAGCGACAGCATCATCTGTGCCAAGAAATGTAGTCCGCGTAGGCCAGGTTGCTGGGCCTCGGGCTGAAAAGGGTCAATGGAACCCACGCGAGTGGCTTCCAACTCTTATTCGGAGCTCAGTATTCCTTGGCCTTTTACCCAGCGAGCTTGGATTACTGGGTAATCTGGGATGGGCCCCTGTGGAGGACATTGCGGGTGTTATTCTGGAGGTTACTGCCGGCCAAGATGATAATGGCGGATACTTCCATGCTGTGAACCCGAACCTTCCAGACTGGGAGGGGGTCATTGTTCCTGCCGTAACGGAGTTCTACGGAAGCCGGATTGAGCGTGTTGTGAGCTTGCAGGAGTGGGTGGAGGCTTTAGAGAAGAGCGCAGCTGGAGAGGTGGATCTGGAGAAGAACCCCGGTGTCAAGCTTCTGGATACGTATCGTTTTGCGGCTACAAAAGCTACTGAAGGCGAGACCAGCATTTCAGGCTTTGCGACAGAGCGGACGGAGCAGGCGAGCGAAACTATGCGGCGGATGGAGCCGGTGACGGCAGAGCTTATGAAGCGGTGGTGTCAACAGTGGCAGTTCTAGATGACATATGTTTATCATGCATGTTGATATTATGATAGAATGACGAATAATGTATATAAATCTTTTTAAATGTTTATTTCAAGTTCGATAAATCTTGTAATGGTTTGGTACATACTAGGAGAATCGATTGATGCCAGGCGCTGTGCTCATGCCAGATATTAGGTAGTAGTAGCCATGAGAACGCGCAGAAAATTCCAAGCCTTGTCTACCATATAATCTTGCAAATCTGAATGGCAGAGGCAATACTTAAACTCAATCTGACTCGGACTAGGTACTAGTAGGTCAAAACTGCGTATACCGGAAGAAAGAGATATTTCGAGCGAGTTCTCAATCTCAAGTAGTACAGGTGGTTATCTTGTTTAGGATCAATGATTTAATTGACTCATTGAAGATTGCTCAAAATTACTTTAGGCGTAAGCTCCGACCTTGAAGAAAATTAATAGTTTCTCATTGTCTCAATATAACCTGATCGCCTCAGGCGCATTATAGTCTCATAATGAGTAATTCGAGGGTTGAATGAATTTTATGAAGATGAAAAACAGACACACGCAATACCTGCATTAAATGGCAGCCCACATTAACATAGCCACTCCAATAGCCAATGGGTTACTGAGCGGCATGTTGGTGGGTGCAGAGTTCTTGGTGTTTGCGGTTGAGGACGCATTGACTGCGGTTCCAGTGGCACTAACACTAGCAGTGCCGGTGCCAGTGGCAGTACCGGTAGAGCTAGTAGATGACACAATCGGCTTGGGACATGGGTTATCATACACATACTGCTCAGCAGTGCCATTACAAGTGCTCGCAGAGCTAGCGTCATATGTGCCGCTGGGATAGATCCAGCAAGAGCCATCGAGATACTGCGATTTGTCTTCGTTATCCGCGTAAAAGAGAGCATAGCTGCAAGAATCGGCTTCGGTACACAGACTCAAGCAGTTTACTGCACCCGTACTGGCAACACAATTTATTGTATCGCAGTCGGCAGGCTCCGGGTAATCGCAGACCTCGGCAATGGCAGAGGGAGTCGCAGTGGCGGCGCATCCACCAGAAGTGGTGGTTGCGCTTCCACCTGAACACGTGGGCTCGTCGTAGACCTCCAGGTAGGGATCGGAACAGTCTGTACTTGCTTCGGTCGAATTGTAGCTTTCACCTGGGTATAGCCAGCATGTGCCGGTGCCAAGCGTGGGGTTGCCTGGAACGAAGATCACAAAGCTGCAGGGAGGGTTGGCGTTACAGTAGTCCCAGCAGTTAGCTCTGCCAGAGCTGGCGACGGCGGTGCCTTCGTCGGGTTCTGGGTAGTCGCATAGAGTCGTGATCAGGGAAGCTGTACAGGTCGCAGTCGACGTAGTGGAGGTGCCAGTGGTCGCAGCGGACGTAGTGGAGGTAGCGGATATCGCTAGAGCTCGTGGAACAAATAGGGCAACAGAGGCCCAGAAAAGAGTGGTCTTCATGATAGCGAACGTGAGGAAGGAAACCTTGGAGTAAACTTGAACATCTCGAAAACCGGGGGAAGTGTTAATTTAAACCGGACCTCGCTTACATTACTGTCAGACTAGAGCCGCTAAGGGACCATAATTTGGACTAAAATGAACCAAGATGAACAGTCTTGATACTGGCATATATTTATAGCCCACTTTTCATATTAAAGACTGGAGAGTGCTGAAATATACGCGCGCATATCGAGGAGGCTGTATTCCCTATCCCGGTGAACCCTGGAGGGTTTTGGTGTGTTTTCAGGGTCCACAACTGAACATTTAAAGGCGCCCGAGGGCTGAGTACAACTACATACATTATTTGCTGTACTATCTGCTAAGTCATGGGCCCCTGAGGGAGATTTAGAAAGCTTGTTTCCCTCCAGAGATATATGCAGACACTCAATTTCTGTGAAAACTTCGGCCGTGGAGCGTGCCTTGGGGAAGGGTATTATCATCTGAAAGACTGAAAGGCTAAAACCCCTGCGGCTCCACGCCCGTGACCAAATTGGACGTGTTAGCTGGAAGATAATTCTTCCGCTTCATCGCCTCCCGAGGTCATCTTAGTACAGACCAACCAGAATCGTGAAATGAAGTACAGGATTCCAAGCTAAAGAGATATAACATTTGACTTACTCCTTTCGTGTGTTCGGTCTTCAGAGCTGCCACTGTCAGTGCGGCATTCTTCTGTTTCGGTAAAATAGTATTTGCTTCCATGCAAATCAACTATAGATTTTCAGATGTATATATCACAATGACCGTGCATGTCAACTGGTACACGCACGTATGCTAACACATCATGATGCATTCGAACCTAGGAAGTGCCATTGCCAGTGGTCAGGAAAACTTGAATACAAACTCGAAGCTTTTCAAATTTCATCCGAACATTTTGAAGCTGAAAGCATTCATAACATGGATTTGAAGTGCATAATGGCTGACTAAGACTTTTTTTATGCGGTTTCAATTTTCAATTTTCACGACTCCACATGTGCAGTATCATGAATACTAGGTTTGACATCTTAATTAACAGAAAATACACATGTGCATATCGCATGCAAGAATCGGCTCAAAGACTGCCATGTGGATATCGTTTGCGGGAATAACCGCGTCCCGTGCGGAGAAATAAGCCGAAGAACTGCTTGGCAGATAGTGGTGATTCCTAAATGTCGACTGATCAATAATGCTCAGGTTTTGAAGGGGTTTTTCGGCTATCCATATACTGTGGCCCCAAACATACTTGCAAGCAGCGTAATTGGCATTCAAATGTTTCCAAGGAATACTCAACATGAAATGTTAGCCCTAGAGGCTTCAGTGGAGGTCTGAAACACACCTAGGTAGTACTAGTATGTCAGAACACTTGCCATTCCTAAACTAGTATACTCTATGTATCCGAGTCGAAGTCACGCTCGTACCAATGAAAAATTGTAAACAACCCTGGGTTCTTTCTGAAGGTTGCAGCTAATTTTGGGTGATAAAAGACGTCCCAGTGACTGATATCTGTTAGCAGCTTCAAATTGTCGCTACTATGAAGAACTTGAACGCCTAAGAATGGTGAGTCAGAAGATCCTCGGGGCTTGCTTTGGTTCAGTAATTTTTTGTAGCGAAATTCCAGGTTTAGTAAATCAGTACATAGGCGCTGGCATCTTAATCGGGGTTTGTATTCAATTGACCCAGATTTTATCCCAGGGACTGTATTTCGTCCTGGCAGATCTGGAAAGCAAAAGATATGTTGAGATTTCCCACCTAAATCCCGTCTGGCGATGCCTGAAAGACAAAACTAGTGCGGTCAGCTGGAAAAAAAGAACGGCTTGTTGATCTCCAAGCGGTATGGAGTGCACAAGGCTGTTTTCAATGCCTTGATAACCCATTTTGACTCCAAGTCGATTATCTGGCGTTGAATCTTGTCCTCATGTTAGTAACATAAAGCCAAGGTATTTAGATCCATGGATTGGGATGCCACACCCGGGCCAACATCAGGGAATCATGGATCGCATCGTATCCTCAAATGGATGTTGAAAGTTAAATATATGCTTACTAAGGGATATTCGGGACCTCGGATTCACGGACATTCACGGGTCACGATCGCACATCCATCCTCCTTGAAAGCTGTCCAAAATGAGCCCGACAAATCGGCAAAAAATGGATTCGAATGAAAGAGCAGTGAGCATTAAACTCTACCAATTGGACTATCAGACATCCTGACCATCGAAAAGAAAAAGACCGTCACCCCAGATGAGTACCAACAAGCTCGGGCCGATCTTCTCAAGCAAGAAAAAGAGGCCACACAATTATTGCAAAGACTAGCAGCCTCACGTCGGGAACTCCCGATGGTAGAAATCTCAAACCCCGATCAATTCAGATTCGACACACCCAAAGGAGAAAAAAGCCTAGTGGATCTCTTTGATGGTCTCGATCAACTGATCATCTACCACTTTATGCTTGGTCCGGGAGAGCATGCGGGGTGTGTGGGGTGCTCCTTTTGCATGGACCATATTCCAAATCTTGAACATCTGAGAAGCCGTAATACCGCGTTTGTCGTCGTTGCCACTGCCCCGTTGTCTGAGATTACTTCGTATCAGGAACGGATGGGATGGAAGTTTCCTTTTTTCAGCTCTGCTAAAACTCATCAGACGTGGGACGAGGTTGAAGAAAAGGGGGAGCAGGTCACTTGGAAACCTGGGAATGGGTATTTTGGTCTATGTTTTTTCCGCAGGGATGGAGATCGGATCTTTCATACCTATGATACCACGGATCGGGGATTGGAAAGCATCTTGTCGACATATCATTTGTTGGATATGACACCGATGGGACGGCAGGAAGTTGGTAACGGGATGGGTCAATTTAGACTTCATGATGAATATTGAGTTGGAAGGCGGTATGAGGATCATACGGGCGGGAATGCTGTTTGAGATCGATCAAAATAAAGATCTAGTTTGAATTCAGTCCGAGCAAAAGCATTGATAGGCTGAGTATAATACGACAAAAAAATATGGACACCTAAAGTGGGGCTTTTGGTTTGAAATATCTCGCACATCCATTGAATCTTACATTTCTGCATTTCTTGGTCTTCGAACCAAATTCAAATGTTCAAGCTAGCTTCTTGCCAGGAGGTTCAGTTGCCCCACAGATCGTACGGATGCCCCGGAAGAATCTCCGGAAACGGAAGGCTTTATATTTCCAAGGTTGATACTTTTTAGCTCTAGAGCGAGCTGGTTGTCTTTAATCCTCATTTTGATATTGAATTCAAGCTAGTATTGGTTTTATCCCGCTGATCCTTACTCCTTCGATACTCTTGGGTTGTTTGAAGGTCAGAAAAGCCCTCATGGACTATAGTCATTAATGTCATTATGATCAAAATAGCATTGTTCACACCATTGAATTTTTAAATGAATGAAAGTCTCTTTATGTAATATATTCGAGATTTTTGGAGTTTACCAACTTTTGTTCAAAACTCAATTGTTTCTTTTCGTAGTAGTTGGAACGTATAATAGGTCCTAACTGGACGTCGAATTGAGGATTGGAAATACTAACTTGCATCACACTCAATATTCGCTATAATTATACTTTCTCCATCATTCCACCGGCCACAATGAAGGTCTTCTTCGCTTTTTTGACTCTTGCTGCCTCTACAATCGCGGTCCCTCTCACTGAGCGAAGCACCTGTTCAAGCGACCAGGTTGTTGTTTGCAGTGGTAATGGCGATGGTGGCCTCATCTCCCTGGGAAATATCGCCACGGGCCTCCTAGGCGAGAGTTGTTCTGGTGGCGATGTCTACTGCTGCTCCGAGGAGGACGTGAAGCAGGTATGTATTGAATTCCCTGAAATGAGTCTTCAAATTCAGGAGCCCCTTTTAACAATCAGTAGATTGGTCTCGTCAACCTGAACCTGAATGCCCAATGCAGCCTGAACAACGTGCTGTGAGAAAGATTATAGCCTTTTCTCTATCTCTAGTCTTAGTGTGGTGTCAATCTTGTCTAAATAATATCGTGGGAATATCCCATTTAATTATAACTCAGCTCAATTCAAATATTGATTCGGTCTTATGTGTGGAATTGATACATCTGGTCTCAGAAATCGCAGTAACTGCATGTGTATTTGTATAAATCTTTATTCGTCCTACTCAAGGGGCGGGCGCCCAGCCAAGGACGTATGAACTGAAAAGAGTTAAGTGGAACCTTCCAAGTTGCAATGGATGCTCCAGTCTGAGAGAGACTGTGATCTTGCCTATTTCAAACATGGACGTCACTTTGATTCCTTCCAAAGGTTGAAGTTCAAATCTTCAAGTTTGGACCAAATGTAGACGCAACTCAACCATAACTTTCTCCTCTGTAGTATATATGATCATTCAAAGAACTGGCTTTGGCTTTGGCGGAGAGCCCAAGAAAGAGTAATGAAAGCATCAAGGGGGGAAAACATTTTATCGTCAATGCTAGTTTAGATTTTGACGAGGAAGGCAGGCCGGTTAGATAGGTTTAAAATTGATAAAGCATAGAAACTGCATTAAGCTATTTTCGTAACTGAGGCTTTTACCCCCCACTCTGCTCGGTAGCAGGTACAGGTATTCTAAAATTGTTTGTATACAGCCCCGATGTTGGTGGATTGATGTCATGCAACTCTGGTCATATCTGACACTGCATTTGGGGCCTATTTCCAAGGTCGCTGCATACGCGCGTACAAAAGCTGAAAGGGTCTAAGTTGTGGTCCCTGTGGATATATTAGATGGGCCTGAAAGATGTGCACGATGCAGAACTTGATGTGGATCTCTTGGGCTCTGCTATATGCACAGACGGGGTGGTGATAGGACAACCTAGTCCATATCGAATCGATACGATGGATGGTGGTGAGTGGTGGGTGGTAAAATAGGACGATATGAAGCGGATAAAATGGATTCAATTGATAGGCGCGCGCTTGGTCGTACTTGATACCTCTAAAAGCAGGGCATATTTCAGGATTCAAGTCCTCGCCTGCTGGGGGCCGAGAATTAGAATAATGAATTTGTGGTGAAAATGCAAGGTCGACATGGAGGAATTAAAAATTGAAAGAAATTAGATTCATAGATTGTGTCATATAAGTTCCAGAAGGACTATTTCGAGTTCCAAGGTTAAAGCACTCAAGTTCCATCTAGTTCTCTTAGTCAGTTCTAAACTACAACCATTGGATCTGACCGAGTTGCAGAATAATAGAAGTAGACTGGTAAGGCATAGAAAATGACTCGTATGTCCAGTGACTATGCATATTCTCTTTCTCGAGCTTGATATCCCATCGAGCAATTATAGACGCAACCATCAATTTCATAACGTATGTCGCATGTAGTCGGCCTGGTCTATAGATAGATGCGAAAATTCAGTTAGTAAATGGAACAATATTGACCTTCCCCAGCCCCACGGAAGAATTCCTCACCAAGCGAGTGATCCATAGCCCCATATCAGATGCTTTTCCGAGACATCCCCAAACTTGGCAGTTCGATCATTGGAATTCCTGTTCACAAAGCAAGCTCCATCGAAGCTATCGGGATTGGGATACGTATCCGAGTCACGGGTTGCATCCCAGTTAGAAACGCAGATGGTAGCTCCTGCTGGTGCTATAGTGCCTCTATAAGCAAAGGTATAGTTCTCCATGGCCTTTTGGCGGATAGCAACTACAAAGAGAAATTTATGTTAGTAGTGATAATCCAGATGTCCTGTTGGGTTAAGAGTTCATACGTTTATCTAGACAGTAAAACCTTGCACATTCACGCATGAAACTGTCTAATAGAGGCAGATCATCAATGCTATCAATATCCAGCCTGTCTCCATTTGATTTGATCTCTTCATGGAGGGTTCCTTGCCATTCGGGATAGACGCAGAGTTGATAAATAAACATATATAAGTTGACCCAGGGTTGATACGAGGCGGCAAGCCAGAGGCCCATTATGGCTTGACAAACAGCCTCTGCGGACCAGTATCCTCATTTGCTCTCTGTCTCAGTGATCATATTGTAGAGTATAGTCAAGGCCTAGATTAGTGATTTGGTTATGATTTGGAACTGGAAGTGGGATCTAACATCTTCTTTGTTTGAGGGGTCTTTCCAGTTCTCTACTCCTTTCTGAATTACTGGAATCATTTTTGACTTGATGACTTTCATTGCCCGTCTTTTTTTGCTCACAACTGCGTGAATTAATTTATCCGGTCAAGTCAATCATTTAGTCTAATGATGGTGATGGAATCAATATGAACGGAGAGAGGAATGATGGAGTTATTTGGAAAATCATCCAGGTAACAATCTGCAAAGGATGTTGGAACAAAGCATTCAGAAATTCCAGGTCTGATGCTATTATGGAGTTTGGTGAGTTATCATTCAGCTCAGAAGTTCTTGAAACTATCCTTACCTAGTTTCTCACCAAGGAAAATAACCGCTATTAATTTGGAATCAACTAATTTATATGTCTGTGCCAGCCCCACATGAATAGGCTCTGTGAAGGATTAGAACTATATTTAGATCCTGATACGAGGATCTTCCAATGACCTACCATTGGAGTCAACTGGTGGTTGATTAAGCTTGTTGTCTAAGAAATTATACGCTTGTCTCTGTAGTAATGGGGAAAGGTTGCGTAAATGTCCCCTCCCTCTGACACTAAAGGATCAGCCCAAAAAGTCGGGATTGACTAGTATTTACTTCATTGTGATTAAAGTTGCTTAGGGTGCTTTCGAATCCGAACATCTGGCCATTCAATAGTTAGTTCTAGCAGCTTTGACTTACGGAGGATAAATACTCATACATCTGCATAAACGGCACGCTGGGATAACGAAGATGTATTGCTCAGCTCAGTCATTATCCTGACCTCCGGCTCAATGATAATTGGACGTGTCCCCTACGGATAATAATATTTTCCATTTGACTAGCATAGCTCGAGTTAGTACTTGAACGCCCATCAAAAAGAAAAGGATCTTACAAAATCGTGAAGAGCCTTCCACAGGGTTGATACCCATAAATATTTTGGCTTGATGGAGCTTGCAATATCCTGAAGTGAATATGCTATTAGTCTTGATGGGTCTAGCTAGATTTGACCCTTTGCAAATTGCAATAGAACAAGCGGACCTTGAGTAGGAAGAAGACTTCGGCCAATGTGAGTAGGAAAAAAGCTGCAATAGGCAGCCACGGAGGAAGAATTTCGTGAAACATGTTTGCTTGGGTTTGACAAGTTACATCCATAAAGGCCTACATATATGAAAGAAGATACGGCATTTAAGATCATATCCAACACATCGTGGGGCACTTGGAATAGAAAGCCCCAATATCATCCCGGCATTCAACTGCCCCCAAATAAATACATACAAGTTACTACTAGCCCGGGATTTGTATTGGACAGATCCAAAACCTACGTGTGTATTCCAGCTAGTAGCCAGGGTGTGCACTATTCCTACACTAGCAGAGTCTGCATTTCATGAGATATAAAAGGACCATCTATCAGCGGGGTAAAAATAATATGATGTAATTGGCCCAAGGCAATTTATTCCACATTCTTGAGTGGTAATGACGAGTAGTCTATGGGTCCAGGTCATCGTTTGCAAAATACCAACATTAGTCTACCGTGACCTCGGCACAGTAGGCTAACTCTGCGAAATAAATCTATTGAGACAGCCCTCAAGTCTCGGTCAAGCCAAATCAAGTAAGGATTTACAACTTATCGAGTTGAGTAATCTTGACGAAGATATTATCCTGCGTAAAACTTGCATTAGCCTCCTTCTCTACTCCACTTACGGGAAATGTACAAACCATTATTTCGTTAGAAGAACCACCAATGGAGAACTTCGTACTAGCGGAGTTGTTTCCACACCAAAAACGGCCTGTAGCGCCCTGCTCAATCTGGGCTACGACTTGGCTGCTGTAGTCCAGTAAAGGCATCCGCTCGGTGCCGTCTTGCCCTTGTGCCAGAGAAGCAATTATCCCTTCAATTGACTTATACGGGGAGTTCTTGGGTAACTTGAAATCTCCAAAGTAGGTCTGACCCTGTGTGGCAACAGCACCGGTTGTGATACACAGAACCTTAACATAGAATGGGATTAACTCCAGTCGGAGCGTATCAGCCATCAGCTCTATTGCGCGTTTTGAGCCGGCATATGATCATAAATTAGATAGTCACTGATCAAGATGGATTCATGCATAGCCAAGACTAAGCGAAACAAGGGTAGAAGATAAGAAAAAAAAACCCCAGGCGAGATGGGTAAAGGCTACTGCAGAAAATGCAGAATCCAACAAACAAAGTACAATTAGGCAAGACATACCCATAAATGGAACATTTAGATAACCAGAGATAGACGTGATGAAAGCAATCGAGCCTTTTGCCTTAATCAACAAAGGCGAAAAGGCCTTCGTTACCCGCAATGGTCCCCAGACGTTGATATCATAGAGAGCCTTGAGCTGATCCACATCCTCATCCAAGTAGGGCATGAAATGATTGCGGCCGGCATTATTGACTAGCACGTCGAGAGATCCGCCAGTCTGCGCATCTACTGCAGCCACAGCTGCCTGAATTTGGATTGGCTCTGTCACATCCAGGGTCAGAAGGGTGACATTAGGCAGCCCATTCAGCTTGGTTATCTTGTTGAGGTTTCGGGCCGTAGCAAAGACATGAAACCCCTGTTTTTGGAATGTCAATGCTAGACCATAACCAATTCCATCGTCGCTACATCCGGTAATCAAGACTGTTTTAGGGGCCATGGCGGGTTCGTAATGCTTAGTGGGTAGATTTTTGTGATGTTGAGATGAAGAAGAGGAGTGAAAGTGGTACGAGTCTGACGCATTCAAGTTTTAAGCTACCCACCTAGGCGGTTCTTGGTATTAATCCAGGCTACTTCCAAGGTTCAATGTTTGATCTTTGAGTCCACCAATGGATACGGACTAGGTGGTTTCCAAGTTATCGTGGGGCCGTTTTATCTTGATCACCCTTGCTGATCATGCACCGCTGATTGGCGGATGGTGATAGGTAAACCCATGTACAGAGTACATGTGTGTAAATTACCTACTATGTACGGAGTACTCCGGATGGCTGCCTGTAGATGGCTGTCCAGGTGGGACGCCTCGGATCGAGTCCGGACAGCTGGACACTTTACTACATCTGCATGTATTGCATACTACGGAGTGCTTTTTCAAGTTTACCCCTCCTACCTGATGCGCCCAACTAACCTAGGACCTTGGGCCGATGCAGCTCGCTCTATACCGGAGGGAGTGCGATCGATCTGCACAGATCCACCCCCATGTCCACCTTTGAGGCCCCTCTGGCACTCCATGACTTGAGAAACCCCTCAAATAATTACGTTAGCGGGGTTCAGCTCTAAAGTGGGGGAATTGAACTGGAACGGTGGACATCCATGGATGGTGCAACAACCTACCTCAACCCTGAAGGAAAGATGGACCTCGGACATGTGGAAACGGCCGAATGGCCCACGATTGGTGAGTTCCAAGGTTTGGCGAATCAAGACCACTAATATGACTAGGTATCCTGATCTGGACTAGCGTTCTGCATTTCGCACTCAAGCTGAAATCCTTATGGTGAGGGACACCGGGCCGTGCTATTGTCTCCGTTTCTTTCTGTATAGTGTAACGCATAATATACTCCAGGGCTAGCGCTTCAATGAGGAATTTTTCAATATGTATGTATATCAAGGAGTGGAGTTACGCCTTCAATTGCCAAATAATGTTTCTACTAGTGAACACGACACGGGTCACAGTCAGTGTTGTAGACCACACAGCCTTGGAGGATCCCCACGGGAGCAATCTTGGAAGCGCCCACGCTAATGCAGGAATTAAACTAGTGAGCTAGGCACCTTCCTTTGGACAAACAAACATTTGAACCCTGTGGAATTTCAAAAGACCACGCAATACCTTTTTTCAAATAGTCAATACGAAAATTCCACGGAGTACAGGCGCAAACAGCAAGTCCACTGGACTTCGAACTGTTATCAATGCAAGGCTTATACATATTCCTCGTCAATGATTCATGAGATCCAAATTATGTACACAATCTGCATTCTATTTACATAAGCCCATGAGGAACAATTCTGGTTCAAGTTGGTAGTCGGTGGCTCAAACTTCAAGTATTGAAATCTTCAAGTTGTATGAAAGTTTTATGAGATACCCAATGAGACAAGACCAACTTATACTTATTTCCGCTCTTCGTTGTACATCAAATCCATAGTGCATATGAACTCGATTCTGGTTAACCTGCGGAGTGGCAAGACCAGCCTGAATAGACTTTTGAATAGCCCGATCGTTGTAGCATTCATCGCCATAATCACTTGTTCCATCCACTGGGGGCTGTCTCATAGGGTACTGAATATTAAAAGTGGAAATACTTCAGCAAGGTCTCACTAACAGTCATCCGGAGCCAATCGCTTTCGAATAGTAAGCTTCGTATATAAGCTCAGTACAAAAGTGCTTTACATCAACGCCATCACGATTCCTTCCACAATATAGAGAATCTAGCCATCAAATGGAGGATTAATAAGATTAGACTCCATGCCCGCCGGAGGTACTCCAGCCGGGGTGGTCGCCATTTCCTCTGCCGACATATTGGAAGTCATAGTGAGTAAGTAGCAGATTGACAGGAAATCGAGAAAAAGAAAATCAGAGTATACCTAGAAGCCCCAGAGCTGCAGGCAAGTGCTAATTCACCTCATTAAAAGTGCACCCCAGTACGAACTTGCTAATTCTAGATGGCGATTTTAGTGGGAGATGTTGGGGGCTAGCGAGAAAATGTGGGAATTCTGCACGAGCGAACGCATTCTTTATGAGACATTCTCGCTCTCGCACCTTGGGGGTCAGTTGGGTATATAATTTGATGCTAATAAGTTATAAAAAGGGTCTCAAACAAACATTCAATGCCCGTAAGCCCCCATTCCAATATGGTTTTATTCCAGGTGGTGAGCTAGGCGGTCTAGGGCCCATACTTCTCCGAATTAGATTTTCCGTTTTCCACCATCAGATTCTAGGGTTGTTTATATTATCCGCAATGTGGCAAACTAAGTACATACGACCACAGGGTGTGGAGAACAGGGCTTCCCGTCCGCTCAGCCGTACTTAAGCCACACGCCGGTCAGTTAGTAGTATGGTGGGTGACCACATGCGAATCCTGACTGTTGTATGTTTGTGCTCACCAGCTTTTTTTGATTCGTCCGGGAAATCGCACTTGCCGCCCTACTCTTCAGCCCCTTCAAGCTGGTCACCCTGAACGCCCTGAACACCGATATTTTGCACCTGAATATTCTGCACTTGTCTGGAGAGCTGACGTGGGCTTCTTAATATAACTACCGACATCTACTATATATTTATATATCTGCTATCACTACGACGGAATTATATTATTGCCAGGCATGGTAAAATTCCAGATTGAAAATTCTCCTCTCTCGTAAGAAAATCAGCCTTGTCACCCCTTGAAAAATTTGTGCCCAGGTGGTGGCACTCTTTCTATCGTTCTAACCTTCAATAGTAGGAGTAAGCACCTCACTAACACATCTTTGGCCTAAAGACTGGAAAAGCTGCTTTTGTAGAGAACAGAAAAGAATTGATGGAGAGTGTATTTTGGTGATTCAGAATCTGTAGAGGATATCCAGAGGATGAGTTCAATACCAGGAAGCAAAATAATCTATCTAGATTAGAGCAGCTAGATCTATGATATAACACATGTGTCAGTGGCATATCATCACGAGGGAAAGGAAGAAGACTTATAGTGAGGTACTTGAGAATAATGTGCCGACCTGATGGCTGCGATGTTCATCTTTAAACTCTGTCCCACCCCCTTCTCCAGTTGTACCTTCACGGTCGCCTCGATCCCGAAATAAGAGGTTACCTACCAATAGAATATCAAAGCCTTCATGTGAACGACCTATCTGGAATTCTAAGACATCTTAGACTAAATTGACAAGATTGTAGAACTCTGGCTGAATATACTCAAATTAAGAGTGATAAGACTCAAACAAGTGTAAATGCAGGCTATTTGGGAATGCATACTCCAGTTGTTGGCTGCATACCTTAGAAAAGCGCGTAAATCGACCGAATGCTCTCCTTTCTCTCTGCTTCCACCTTCAAACTCTGGGGAGATATTATCTTTGTTTTAGAAATCCAGATAAGTTACATATATCTCTGCTCAAACATTATGCGCTCTGGCTGGCGATAGAATGTTGCCGAGGCACGGACACAGGTGGTGGTAATTAACTAAGTGCTAGAGATCAGACCAGTAGATAGTCACCTGATCCCGTAGGATATCTCTCACCTCGCTGGCAGTGCCCCATTTTCCCCTCCTTCCCTCTTCATGCTCCTCATATCTTTGGTTTCCCTCTAGCACTAAGCAAAAACTAGCCGTTTGGTGGAGGAAATAAATCTTATCATGGGCGATTGAAACAAAAAGTCCACAAATAGTTCCAAGGTACACCTTGAAGTTCCTTTGCCTCTAGATCAATGTTGTCCTTGCACTCTAAGGTATTATCAACATTCACTACAATATTCATTTCGGAGACTGCCATCGGCTGGCTCACTGCCAAAATGATGCTTAAGACTCTCCGGACCACCATTTGTTCTTTATATTTTTTTTTTCAAAATCTGCTTCTATACCTCATTTATATTGGCAGGCAGAGTCGCAATTGTACTATCCACCCTTTCAATTGTCTTCTTACAATATAAAGCCTTCAAAATTCAAACCTAAGGAAGACCTAGAGATATACACGGTGCCCAATCTTAAGTAATTTCTTAGCCAGGTGACTTTTGATAGTAGGCTCTGAGAGCTCCTTCTCTTTTCATAGCTCCTCAACTTCATATTGCATGGTATGGCTTACTTACTCGCTTACCATTCTGAACTGTACTCCCCTGATTCATGGATAGAAGGGTGGTCAGAACAAAGATCTCTAAAAATGTTTATAGGGTGCAGTGGGGAAGTATGTCCTTCCGATGATGGTATTGCCACACCCCGTCTTACGGTCATATACTCTGTTCTGCCGCGATGGGACCCTTGGTTTTCTTGCAGTAATCCTGTTAGTGGCGGTTTGTTCATTGTTAGCTGGATCGACCTGTATACCTCGAGTGCATTGCCTAGAGCATTCACCTCTTCACTATTTAATATTGTCTGCTACTTAAGGAGAACACCTGGTTCCCAGCTATGAGACAGGATGCCTTCACTGTTTATTTATATGCAATAAAGACTTTGGGTATCTCAATTTCCATCATCGTTTTATCTAGCGAATCCATCGGCGGAAATCTTGTCCTTACGATGTTGCGTTATCTCGCGACAGAATTCCGATAATATGTTGCCTCTACCGCGTGCAGCTTTGGTATGGTATCCGCGGATTAACATGACTAAAGAGGCAACAGAAGGCGTGGACACAAATTGGAACTACATATCGGATTATCTGTTCTCAGAGCTCGCTGAATAGGGTTCCTTTGCCTACGTTCCACCCAACTAGCCTTGCGACTTTTTGTACTTTATACCCTTGGAAAGAGCCGAACCTACCCGTCCTGGTTTATTTACAGACAGGAAAAGCAGAGTTCTAACATGATTTTGTATCAAATATGTTGAGAGCTTGAAGAATGCTGGCAATAAGCTAGGGTTTCACGAAGTGCCTCATGTTGCACATGCGATTTTTGGTACGGGAAAAGTACTTGGGATGCCCGAGGCTTCTATGGAAGGAGATACATGGGCAGCATAGGTTAGCTATAGGCTAAAATATGAT